TAGTAAGATAACTAAACAGGATTATTACTAATTATATAATTTATATATAATAATATAATATATATAATAACTAAGGAATCACTATTCTTTATAAATTATAGATATAATCCTATAATTATCAAAGAACTAATTAGTAATCATACTATAGCAGAATCATCACAAATTCTAGCTATAAATATTAAGTAATTACACAGTTAGATAGTATAAGACCTTAACTTTTTTAATCTACAAATAAAAAGTTACTATAATAAAAACCACAAAGAAGGGCCTATACTTAAAAAGGGGGAGAGAGTATACCTCCTATAAAGAAATATCAAAACCAAACAACCTAGTAAGAAACTTAATCACCGAAAATTAGGGCCTTTCATAATTAAAGAAAGGATAGGATTAGTTAACTACCAATTACAGTTACTAGAAAATATAAAATAAATACACCTAGTTTTTTATATTTCACTACTAGAAAAAATACTAAAGAACATATTAATCACTATTAATATTAAAATTAAGAACACTAATAAATAAGAATATAAAATAGAAGAAATCTTAGTAGACTAATAGAAAAATAATTAACAACAACTCCTAGTAAAATAATAAGGGTACCCTACCAAAGAAAATATATAAGAACTAATTAAGAATTTAAGGAGCTACCACCAACTAGTTCAATAATATTACCAAAAGATAAAGAGAACCCCTAAGAGATAGTAGTAAAGAAAGAATTAAAATTAATACTACTCCAGTCTATAAATATAATTATCTATATTAGAGTAAGATCCTCTAATATAGCTATAAGAAGCTAAACATCCTTAGTATAAGTAAGACTAGAATACTCTCTAATAGCTAGAGTAGTCTTAACTTTATATTTATTTTTAGAACAATTAGTATTAATATACTCTTTCTTAAGCTAATCTAGTTCATCCTTTTTATAATACTTAAGTTCTTCTAACTTAGTAATATCTTAATATTTATACACAATAAAATCACCTACATATTTCTTTAACAACTTCTTTTATTTACACAAATAAGCTAGCTTAACTAATATTTCCTACTAAGTAACTAAGATAGCTTCCTCCTTATCTTTAAGTAAAGACTAGGATTTAAGCAATCATTACTACTTAGTATTAATAAAAGCCTCCTTAGGCATTTCACACTTTACAAAACCACTAGCCTAGTTATAGGCTATATAACAATAGGAGTGATTAGATTAAATATAAGATTTATTATAAGTAATATAGTAAAGATAAGAAATAAGAGATTTAAAACCCTTACATTTAATTAATTAATAAAGTTTATAACTAAAAATACTAAAAGGAGATATAATTAGAAAAATATAGGAAGAAGAGAAATTAGAAAAATATTTAAGCACTATACTTACCTAAGGGGGGTAGTAATTATTAAGGAATCTTTAAGGATAAAGACTAAGAAAGAAGGGGATAATATTATAGACCTACTTAATCAAAACCTCAGAAAAGAGATAAAAACTAACTATTCCTAGGAAGTATAAAATAAGCTATAGGATATATAACCAATTAAGACTTACTAAACTAAGACTAAGTAAGTAATTAGTAGAATAAGTCAGGATAAGAAATCTAATACCTAGATTACTCTATATAATAAACCTCCACTCCCTCTAACTATACTATATTCAGTCACCACCTAAGCAAAATAAACCTAGTATATAGGGAGCTAGTTAGGGCCACCTTAGTATATTAGCTATTACTCCGCTATAATAATATAGTATATTTAATATAATCATATAAGGTATAACCCTTAGTAATTAGGTACCAACCTACCCTAGTAGTAGGATAGGATCTTATCCTAGTAATAGGATAGGACCTAGGTAACAAATAGGAAGGACTTAGTATATAAAGATAGTTATTACCTATATATACTTAGTTCTTTATAATTAATCTATATATTATTACTTAGAACCTAATAGTTTATTCACCTATCAGTTTTATATAAGACAAACCCTACTAGAAAGAGGTATCCTTAGTCTCTAGTCTCTCAACTTAGAAACTAAGTATAGCTTAACTAGGTAATACCCTCTTAGACATAGCCCCTTTTAAGTCTATTCTATAGATCTGAGCCTATATAAGGCCTAACATTAATTAGCAACAGTACAGTTACGAATCAGCAACTTAAGGATTAAGTATCTACTTAGTAAGTAGAAGCCCTAACAAACGATACTTACTATGACCATAGAGTATTATATAACAAATTATTACTAATATTAAAATTAAAGATATTAGTAAATAGGAATATAAAATAGAAGAAATCCTAGTAGACTAATAAAAAAATAGTTAATAATAACTCTTAGTAAAATAATAAGGATATCCTACTAAAAAAAATATATAGGAACTAATTAAGAATTTAAGGGGCTACTACTAACTAATTTAATAATATTATTAGAAGATAAAAAGGACCTATAAAGGATAATAGCTAAGAAAGAATTAAAATTAATATTATTTTAGTTTATAGATATAATTATCTATATTAAAATAGGGTTCTCTAATATAATAACTAAGATCTAAGTATTACTAATATTAATAAGATAATCTAGCTTAGTAAGATTCTTAGGTAAGAGAGGATTCTTTATATTAAGTTATTTTATTAGAAAAGAGTTATAGTTTAATATCCTATTATTTTATATTTTAAATATTTATTATTATTTATAAAGATAAAGTATCTCTATTATTAGTTTTATTTATTATTACTTAATTTCCTCTATTTATTTATTAATTATTTTAGATTTATAAAGAACCCTCTTCTACTTAGTCTTACTATAAAACTTATAGATATATTTATAACTATAATAAATATACTCTATATAGTTATAACTCTTTAGATCTATAATATAAACTTTTAAATAAGAAGTATAATATTTATAAGAATAATCAGAAGGAATATTAGTTAAGAGGATTACTTAATATTAATAAAATCTATTTTATTTATAAGTTTAATTATTAATAGATATATTATAAAAGATATATTACTATAAAAGATAAGAAAAAGAGAAAATATTTAGAATACTATACTTACCTAAGGGGAGATAGTAATTATTAAGGAATCTTTAAGGATAAAGACCTAGGAAGGAGGAGATAATATTATAGATCTATATAGGATATATTAATTTAAGAGTTAATAAGACCTAATTAACTAATCTAATATATAGATTATATAAAAAGATATAGTTTTAGGAACCATAGCTATTCTATTATACCTAGATAATATAGAATAATAGATAGGAATTATAGGTTATTATCCTAGGATAAGGCTTATTATAAGATAAGGAATATCCTATAATAAGCTATAATTTATTTAGAAGGAAAGAGGATCTTAGGAGAAGGAGTATCTTATAATAGATAGTATCCTATAATATACTATAATTCCTAGTAAACTATAGGATTCCCTATAATATCTATAATTATAGGATATACTAGATTATAGGAAGACCTATATCTTAGGAATAATAAGATTATAAGAATAAGGAGATCCTAGGAATAATAGGATCTTATAAAGATAAGGGTTATATAACTATATATCCCTATATTAACTCTAAGAGTATATATAGGATATATATAATAACTCCTAGATCTACCCCTAGAGTTACTAAAGGAGTAAGAAGGATTTAGTATATAAGGATAGTTATTACCTATATATATTTAGTTCTTTATAATTAATTTATATATTATTACTTAGAACCTAATAGTTTATTTACCTATCAGTTTTATATAAGATAAACTCCTAACTAGAAGAGGTATCCTTAGTCTTTAGTCCCTTAACTTAGAACCTAAATATAGCTTAACTAGGTAATACCCTCTTGACTACAGAACCCCTTTAAGTCTATTCTATAGACCTAAGTCTATATAAGGCCTAATATTAACTAATAATAGTATAGTTATAAATCAATGACTTAAGGATTAAGTATCTACTTAGTAAGTAGAAGCCCTAATAAATAATACTTATTATAATCATAGAGTATTATATAATATTTAGTTTCTTATATTATATAATATTATTAATTAATTTTATTTTAGAAACTCCTATAATCTTTATAATCCTTATTTAGAGTATATATAAGGATTTATCTTTTAGCCCTCTTAAAAGAAAATAAGCCTAGTAATAAGCTTAGGTTAGAAAAAAGGATACTAAATAATAATCTAAAAATATAGTTTATATAAGGATTAGCTAGTATAGAGATTAGATAATAAGTAAATATTTTAATAATAAATAGCTAAAAATATACTAAGATAAAATAATCTAGCTAATAACTAATAATATTATAGATAAAGGAAAAGGAAAAGGAAAAGCTTCTTAAATATCTTAAATATCTTAAAAAGAAGGATAGTTACTAATATCTTAGGTAATAATATATACTATATAATTTATAATACCTAGAGAGTCTTTAATTTTATATAAATACTAATTATTATTTATATAAGTTTCTACTATAGGAGAAGCTTTAGGCTTAGGCTTAAGCTTAAGAAGGGGTCTTAGGCTTAATTATGATTAGGAGCTATTTCTATCTCTAGGAATAGGTATTCTATTAGAAGAATAGTTAATAATTATCTATTAGATTAAAATATCTTAAGTGAATATTTAGAATAGGAATAGGAGTATAAATAGGGTATACTTAATATAAGTAATTGAGATAGTGGAGGAGTATATATAAAGAGAATATGAGGAAGTGGTAGGATTGAGTGGGGTAGATTTTGGGTATCCTAGTTTGGGGTAGGTAATTTAAATTTGAAATTCTGCCAATTTGATTCTGCCAATTTGATTCTGCCAATTTGATTATGTCATTTTTTCCATTTTCCGCTTTGGCCGCTAAAATCGCCAGTAACTGTGTTCCCCCTGTATGTCGACAACAATACGAACAAAATTGACTGTGGAGCATTCAAGGACGTGCAAGAGCATCACCATGATAATCATCATCATTATATGTACCTGAAAAAGGGTATGTACCACAATAAATGACAAAAGAAAGAAGAACAAAAAATCTAGCGCTTATGAAAGCAACCAATGACCACAGATTTCGCCAGGAACCACAGCGATCCTGCAAACCGGAAAAGCGACAGAACAACAGTCGCCCACATAACAGCCATAACATAACTCCAGATCCGAGTGTTAGGAGCATCTGCCATACAAAATCGGCTATATCCTGTACTGTTCATGATAAGAGCCAGGATGATGTTACTAAACGCCCACATCACCACAAGGTTTGTTCGGAAAAACTTGTACGAATCATCCATACTCTTATCCTTTTCTTCTGGGGGCGGCTCAAATGGAGTGAGAGCTCGCTTGACGGTAAGTTCAAAGGTGGAATCGATATCGATCTGCGGCCGGTCCACTTCTTCAATGACTCTGGACTTTCCGTCCTTTTTGATCTGTGCCTCGGGCATGGTCTGCGCTTTTTCCTTCACTGGCGTACCAAGGGAGACGTCGTGCCAATTGCAGAAAGAATACACCATCATGATGTTGGTGGAGCAGATGTTTCCGGCGTAATGTGCCCAGCCGGATGTGAGAACGTGCCAAGGGTCCATGTAGAGGAGACTGACGACAATGTGAGCGCCATAGGTACAGACGATAGAGATTATGACCATGATCGCGGCGGAAACATTCGAGCTGTCGGATTTGATGGCGTTTTCGTCCAGATCGAGATTGAAGTTGCCGTTCGTGTAGTTACCGACGACGTAAAATGCCAGCACTGTCACATAGAGCTGGATAAAGGTAAAGTACATAAAGGTGAGGAGGTATAGAAGACGTGTTCTGGTTGGAGATTGAGATATTAGTTTATCATTTCGCTGGGACCAAAAGTATGGGTATATCTCTGCCAAACTCACCCTTTAGGTCGGTTTCCGAGAGACAGAATGAATTGCAGAAGTAAAAACACAACATATCCGTATTTGAAGAAGGTATGCACAATCGGCGTGGCTTCGTTACCAAAGGGCCATGCTGAGTTGTTATTGAAAGAGCCTGGAGTTCCGACCAGGTTGAGAAGACCCATAGTGATCAACCAGTATGATGCTATTGGAGGTCAGTAATTGACGCCAGCATTTCATAAACATGTGGACATACCGAGTGAGAACCACACCAATACCAGATTAGAAAAATCATAAATCATTTGCAGATAAAATAGCAACAACCTGAAGACATTGTGCCGACTCTTCAACATCCGATCAAAGTGAATGAAAGCGTAGAGGTTCGCCGCAAATGAACCATTCAGCCATTGTCGTCGCTGGTTAATGATATCCGTAAAATCCTTCGGAACCTCGGCTTCACTCTTCGCATTTTTCACAAAAGACAAATGCCATTTCGATCCAGCCTTCGCTACCAGCTCAAAGGACAAGATACGATCTCCAGCGAAGAACATGTTCTTCTTAAAGATACTCATTCCCTCAATACCCTTTTTGCCAAGCTTCTTCGACAGAACCATATCTCCGTTGAAATATTGTTCCAGTGGTCGGCCCATGATGGCCCGGTAGCGGTATGCCGAGAATGAACCTAAGGAAACGTTTCCAAAAACACTTTCCAATGGTTTATCGAGAAGATTAGACTTCATATAGTCGAAGGTCTGGGCGGCGACGAAAGGGTTGATCATGGATCGCGTATCTCGCAAAGCACGGGTCTCACCGCAAGATCCACCGAGATGTTCGTCATTGTAGAATGCTTGCCACAGGTTGAGGAAGGATCTCCTGTCGGGCTTTGTACCGGCGTCAAGAAGAACGACTACCTCTGGATTCAACATGCGACAGAAACCGTTGAAGAGCCAACGGTGAGAGTTGATCTTGTTACTGGTTTGCTGCTTCAAACACAGGATCATTTGAACAGGGGGTAGGTTGGTCGACTCATCGCCCTGAGGTCGAACTAGCTGTTGATCCGGCGTGACGGAAAGTTGTGTAGTATATTCAAACTAGACATTGTAAGCTGGAGAGGCCCTTGAGGGTCGTATACTAGCAAAGTGGTCCACTCACGATATGTGCCTCGGTTTCTCGGCCGTCAACGGATTTCTTCATGATACCCTCCTGGTAGACACCGATTGTCGCCAACACATCCAAAGTATTCTTGTCGCAAGGGTCGATTCCATCAAAAATTATACAGCAAACGATCTTTTGCCAAGCCGGTCCACCTTTGTTCCAAAATTCGGACTTGCGGAGACTAGTAATATCGCGGATGTTCTGCATCACTCCGTGTAATGTACGCGCAGTGAGAACCTTGTTTTCACTTTTGCAGGTGATACCAATCATCAACTCTGTATGCCGACTGTACATTGCGGGACGAAGGTTGTATCCATTGCGCATAACGAATTCATCGGGGTCGCAAGTTGCCGCGGTGTCTATACTCGATCAGTTCCCGGAAGTCTCCCAAATAGAAAAGCAGAATACAATAGAAAACAATTTTTTTTTTTGAGAAAAAAAAGAAGACATTTAAAAATGCAAGCATATAGATCAAAGACTTACATCTCAAATGAGAGAACTCCTCGGGAAAATCCTCCGTCTCTCGATATTCTTTCTGCATGGCGTTTTGAATGGCGCTTGGCACCGGGTAGTCCGCACTTAGGACATAACCTTGCACGAGCTTAATTTTTCGGGTCGGATAGCGACGAATGCCCTGCGCAAACGATTGCGCCACAGAGCGCCGTTGCACTGGGCCTCCATTGTTGCTGTAATACGATTGTCGATTGCCTGCGACTGCATTGTTGCCATAATATGATTGCCGAGTTCCGGTTTGCTCTTCTCTAGCCTCGGTGCCGAATTTCTGCTACATGTCGCGCAAATTGTGGCGTTAGTTGATTGCGCCGAACCCTCACATTATCCATATTTAAAAATAGTGAAGAAAAAAAAAAGAAGGACCTACATCGAATGAAAGTGAACCGGTACTCTCACTATATCCCCTCGTATGCTGATTGAAGTAGTCGGGTGCCTGAGAGGGGACGGGAGATGCCGAGCCTGGAGTCCCCATTGCACGAACTGTTAAGCCGCCGGCAACTCGTGGTGTTGAGCAATTGGGGAAGGTGTGGGAAGAAAAAAAAAATAAAAAAAAATGAAGTGTTGGATTGGAGCTACTGATCAATTTAGCGAAAACATGGAAGGCGAGCAAGATGCGCTAGGACATACGGAGAAATGCCGCGTGTTCTGGGCAGCGTTGACCTGGCGAGAGTTTTTAGGATAGATTTACATGTTGAAGATCGCCCTAAAGAAAGTCACGAAAAGCAACGGGAAAAAAAGCGATTGCCAAGACCGTCACAAGCTCCATCACGTTAGTTAAAAAAAGACATCTCGGGTGGGGAGATTTCTAGCGTTGGGAAATCTAGAATTGGTTTTTCTCTCCAAACATTGAATCTTCAAAAAAGACTGGATCTAATTGGAGATATGGCCGTGTGGCCCATGGACGAGGACGAGGATTTTTAGCAAAAGCTGCGCAACGGTCGTACGTCAGCGGACATGGTGGCCCACTTATGGAATCTTGAACAATCTACAAATGTAAGATAACTAGAAGGTTATTTCATCAATTGCAATTCTTCAATTGCCTCTATGTTGGGGGAAAAAGAGCATCTCATGCATTGACAGAACAGTTCATGCGAGTTAGTTTGGTTTTTTTTTCTCTATTTTTTTTCCTTTTCTCCGCTTCTTTTTCTTTGACTTTTACGCATAAACCATGGGTCTTGTTATGCTGCAATAATTATTTGCCGGGTGGGTCTTTTCCAAGGAACGACTTCTTCATTGGTTGGGCTTCATTCACAGTCAACCCCACTCTATAACGAACGCGACTTGATTTTCGTTGATATGGTTGATATGGTTGATATTATTAGGCTGAGTTAAACCGCTCCATTGAAATGGTGAAACATCAGGGCGTTCATGGCGTTGAAAAACGTACTCCATATCCCGAATCGCCTTCCCCGTACCTGATATGCGATGATCATTTCCTACTTCATCCTCCCCTGACCACGAATTATTATGATATGAACGCTTCAAATGTTTGTCCCCTGTTATTCTTCAGTGGGGATTTAAGTTGCATCATGGGATATCTACCGACGATTATGGCGGAATCAGACACTTGATCCACCGATTACGATGTACTATACTGCGCCTCATCGAATTTAAACATTTTTGACCGGGATTTTCCTTATAGGGCACATGTGCATAGAAAGATGCTAAGGTTCAAGTTTACTTAGGACCTAGGTAATGGCTTACGATTTCCCATTCGATGCACCAATCCCATGTGAAGTGTATCTAAATCACATCGACTTGTTGAAAATTCGCATTCTACAACCTTGGAAATACGGAATTAATGTGGCGTGGGTCTAACTAAAAAGCTTAGCCTTGCGAGACATTCCGGTAAGAATGTCTCACAGTGTCTTTGACATGACTCAACAGACTAGCTCTACACCCAAGAAAAAGCTAATAGCGTAACTGAAAGCCTATAAATATCATGAATTCAATTTTCAAGCTATGTGCAGTGAATGTTTGAGTAATTGAATCTGTAGCAAAATCTACCTATATTAAAAATTGATTTTGGGATTCATTTCAAGCAGAACCATTCTCCCGCTTCTGCAACTCTCCCCGTACCCCGGGCAACACATAACGTCCATAATCAATAGCATCATTAAGGTTGTCATAGCCGCGAATAGAGATCAGTTCAGCACCAAGATCAACGTAATCCAAAATAGAGTCGATAATAGTCTGATGAGATCCGACCAAAGCAGTGGAAGCTCCGCGAGCATTAGTCGCAGTCACAGTAGGATACCAGAGAGCCCGGTCCTGAACCTCTCCACGAGCAGCAATATCAAGCAATCGCTGCGAGCCCACATTTTGAGGAGGCGGGGCATTGGCAGGTGCCTTTCCTTGTCCATTCGCACGATTGGCCGTTAACAGATCCAACGTCTTGTGTGCCTTGGCCCAAGCAAGCTCATCAGTCTCGGCAACAATAGGCCGGAACGTAACCCAGATGCGTGGTCGATCGCTCACAGGCCGACCAGCCTTATCAGATTCGGCATAGATCCGATCAATCTGCTCCTTGGTCTCCTTAAGAGGTTCACCCCAGAGCCCGAAGATATCGGCTAGGGAGCCACCAATGCGGTACGCCTCATCGGAGGAGCCGCCAACAGAGACCGGGATAGTACCGTTGACTGGCCGCACCTTATTGCTGAACTGCTTGAACTGGTAGTACTCGCCATCCCAGTCGAAGGGATCAGCGGATTCCCATGCGCGGCGTAGAATGCGGATGTACTCCTCGAGACGCGCGTAACGCTGTTCCTTATTGAGGAAGTCACCTTCCTTGGCTTGCTCGGCGTCACTGCCACCGGCGATGAAGTGGACGACTGCCCGGCCGGAGCTGAGCTGGTCTAGTGTGGCAAGAGCCTTGGCTGCGACTGTTGGATAGAGGGTATTGGGACGAAGTGCGACAATCACCTTGAGGTTCTTGGTGTGGGCAGCGATAGTGGCGGCGATAGTCCAAGGGTCAAAGTAGGACGAATCGTAGGGGACCAAGGTGTAGTTGAAGTCATAGTCATCCAAGGAACGGGCGTACCGAGCCAAGTATGCCGGATCAATCACCGCATCGGGGATTGGCTTCAGCTCCGTTGAAGCATTGGGGAAGGTAAGACTAATAAATTCGGTAGGCATTTTTTCTCTCGAGCTTTGGCCTTTATTGGGTATCTTGTAAATTCAAATCTCCTGTCTTGCATGATGGGAGATATGGTTCTTATAGTTGTTTATTCGGGATCCGGGGAATTGCCGATTATCAATATCCGAAGCGCAGATGATGCGAGCTGGTACAGAATGGCGTCTTATCACGAACTGTGGGTAAATGTAACTACCTAGTAATCTATATCAGTATTTATCATCAGGAGGTGTTCTCGAATTGACATTCTAACCGTTTAGAGGGGTTTATCGCAAGGTGCAATGAGGGGTTTGTGCATGGCATCAAATCCCCCGGGATCACGCCATGACTTTTATGCCTTTGCTGACATATAAGCATTGTATTTTTCTGATAATACAACATGCATGCGAGGAGACTAAAGCAAGTGACAGAATGTTCTTGGTAAAAAGCACATATGTGCTGTCTGGCCAATCGGTGGCAGGCCGCTCATGCCATTTGCGGCTACCTTAAGAAACCAGCCCTGGAGGCTGGAGCTCAGTGTTGTTGATTTTTACTAACAAATATTCAATGTTCTTCCGGGGGTTCCTCACAAAACAATCATCTTCTTACATCACGGAACACACCTGGAAGATCGATTTCAACCTCGACATAAACTATGAATTCATGGTTGCTGATGGAAGCTGAGATGTGGAGATGACATACTCCATATCGGCGACGATAAGCTAGTCCGGGCCCGTTCCCCGCGATTTCGGCTTTTACTGAACACCTACGCTTCCTACCTTCTAGCGACGTCGCGTACATACCCGAACTCAATGGCATCCATTACACCTTATACTACGGTGATTCAATCACCCCCCGGCCCTGATGCGAAACTCGTCCTCCCAGGCCAAGCAACAACCAACCCACCGATCTTCAACGATGCAATGATCGTGCGCATGCGCGTATTCGTCGACGAACAGAAATGCTCCGCCGACGGCGAGATTGACAGTGACGATGCACGAAGCTGGCAATGGGTGATGTACGATTCAGCCTCAGTCACGAATTCGAATACACCTGTTGCAGTCATCCGGCTGGTGCCCCCTCCACAGCTACCACATGCCCTTCTCACACACCCGGATACAAAAAGCCTACCCAAATTTGATTGGGATCACGAGCCGTGTGTCAAGTTAACACGCGTCGCGGTTATGCCCGAATACCGGGGTAAGGGACTTGGGCGGCGTCTAGTGGATACGGCACTAGAGTGGGCGGTGGATCATGCGGCCGAGATTGATGAGGCCGCAACCAAGCTCGCATCAGCGTCGAATGAAACCGCGGCTATTAAGAAATGGGAAGGCTTGGTTCTTGTCCATGCGCAAGTGGATGTGGAGAAGATGTATTGCGGGCTGGGATTTGAGACCGATGAGTCGCTTGGTCGGTGGGATGAGGAGGGCATTGAACATGTGGGGATGTTCCGAAGATTAAAATCGGTACAGTGAGAGCCAATGAATTGCGTATGAGGGGAAATAAAAAGCGTTAATCTTAGTAGGACATGAATGGAGGATCCGTACAAAAAATAAGCGGGCATGGGGGTATAAGGTTCTGTGAGCCATTTATGTCGATTCATCGATTCTCTTGTATTTTCCCCGCAAATCATCGGTATAACGCATCATATGACAACCATCCTTCGCAGAAGCTTAAATTCCTCGCAGAAAAGGAACGGCAAATCAAATGTTATATCGGTTGGATGAACCTGAATGCAATGACGTGGGGGATACCCCGGAGCGGCGCGTCAGTGGCGGCCCATACTTTCGCCTCTCCACATTACCCCATCGTGTAAAAGGAATGACCAAAGCATATCCATATTCCATTTCCATGGTCATGGCACTCCTGAGTTCTGTTTGAATCATGGCGATTTTTTTGCTTAAACATCCCCCTTCTCCCTCTTCAGTGGCGGCAAACAGCATAAGACGATACGGGCAGTCGAGCTGCTTCAAAAAGGTCTTCCCGAGCAAAGCATGCATTACAAAATCACTACTATGTCCTCGCGCGTCAAAACACCATTTTTCCTTGAATCATGAGCGACACGGTCCCTGAGGGGTCCGTAAGCCCGGTTTTTCGAACCGGCAGTGGAAATGTGGCTCTCGGAATCGCTGTCATTGCATTCATGTCTATTGCGCTATACAACGCTCTGGAGCTCTCGGTGCTCATTCCACTAAGCTTCAGAAGATATAACAGCCTATATTTCTGGGCACTATTGATATCTACTGTTCTCGGCGTGATACCGGCTACAATCGGCCCTAGCCTGGAGTTCTTCAACCTGTCACCTTTGTGGCTTAGCCTAACACTATCCAACATTGGCTTCGTGTGCATGGTGCCAAATCAATCGGTAGTGCTTTACTCACGGCTGCACCTGGTATCTCAGAACCCAACTGTGTTGTCGATGGTGCGTTGGCTCGTCATTGCCGGGGGCTTTGTTGTCATTCCCACTATTGTCATGAACTTCGGATCCAGCTATCGCCCACAGGAATCATCGTGGACCAGCGGATTCAATGTCCTTGAACGCCTACAGTTGACCTGGTTCGCGACACAGGAGATGTGTATATCCTCAATTTATATCTGGGAAACTATACAGTTGATTCGTCTCAGCCCGAAGGAGGACAAGAGACGACACAAGATCTTATATGAACTTATTGCCATCAATGTTGCAGCTATCTGCATGGATATATCGTTGTTGGTACTTGAGTACTTGGGGTTCTATTACACGCAGGTGATATTCAAGGCCACTGTTTATAGCGTGAAGCTGAAACTGGAGTTTGCAGTGCTTGGAATGTTGGTCTCGATTGTTCGTTCGCACTCAGAGTCGGCGCCACCAACGTGGCAAGCCGACTGGACTTCATCAACGTTCTCATAACCACCCGTGGACTAGTGAAAAAGAAAATTAACATTGACTTGACCTTGTGGACAAGAATACTCCAGTTTTAAGAAAATAATTACAAACATCACTCCGTTTCTAATATTGAGTCTCCACATCAATCGAAAATGAGTAATCGTGCATCGTCTAGGCCCTTCCTAATTAGTAAATCCCCAATATACTATGGATTACATAACCCAGGCACGTGATGATACCGTGTCTTCCGATATTTGTAGAATCAACGGCTTCCAATCTACTCCTTTTGGCTTCTTAGCTTTGCATTTCTTCTCGTAAGAAATTATAGTTGAACTGTTCCATGAACTTGAGGTGACCCATTTTTGAGTTATCTCTTTGTTCAGCTCTCAGTGATACCATGTTGCGCTCATCCATCGGACTGGGCAGGGCCCGAGGTCCAGCTTTGCGCCAACCATTGTCGAGCCACTTTCTCAAGTCGAACTCTGCAATCAATGTCGCTCGTACAACAAGAGCAAACTCTACTGTCACAAACCTTGACAACTTTCCCGGAATTGGCGAGAAGCTTCACGGATTCACCGTTCGCGAGAAGAAGCATGTCCCAGAGCTGCATCTCACCGCAGTTCGGTTAACTCACGACAAGACCGATGCCGACTACTTGCACGTCGCTAGAGATGACAAGAACAATGTCTTCGGTATTGGTTTCAAGACAAACCCGCCTGATGCGACAGGCGTACCTCATATTCTAGAACACACCACATTATGCGGAAGCGAAAAGTAAGCATCCTAGCTTGACAACAAATGATTGGTTCAATCCTAATTTTCCATCGCTCTAGATACCCGATTCGTGACCCATTCTTCAAGATGCTTCCGCGTTCGCTTTCAAACTTCATGAATGCCTTCACCTCCTCCGACCACACCACATACCCCTTCGCTACAACCAACCCCCAAGATTTCCAAAATCTTTTGTCTGTGTATCTTGATGCCACCCTGCACCCCCTTCTCAAGAGCGATGATTTCAGACAGGAGGGATGGCGTTTGGGCCCCGAGGACCCCCGCGCCCTTCTGAACACACCTGAGCAGAAGGCCAAGCTGGAGGACATTGTATTCAAAGGAGTTGTGTACAACGAGATGAAGGGTCAGATGTCCGACGCCAACTATCTGTACTACATTCAATTCAAGGAGAGCATCTTCCCCGCGATGAACAATTCAGGAGGCGATCCCGAGTACATCACCGATCTCACCCACAAGCAGCTATACGACTTTTCCAAGCGCAATTACCACCCAAGCAATTCCAAGATATTGACTTACGGCGATATGCCGTTGGCCGATCACCTGGAACAGATTGGTACTGTTTTGGACGGATTTGAACTAGGACAGGCTGATAATGATGTGAAACTTCCTCTGGATCTCAACAAGCCGGTGGAAGTGACTGTCTCCGGACCGATCGACACATTCTCCAGCGAAGACAAGCAACATAAGACCTCGACCTCCTGGTACATGGGAGACTCGACTGATACCGTGGAGACATTCTCCGTCGGAATCATCTCTTCACTTTTCTTGGATGGTTATGGTTCGCCCATGTACCGGGCCCTCATTGAAAGTGGTCTTGGATCTTCCTTTACTCCCAACACTGGGCTGGATGCGTCCGGCAAGGTCCCAATCTTTTCGGTTGGTGTGACTGGCGTTGGCGCAGAAGAGGCTCCCAAGATCAAGCAGGTTATTCAGGATGCCTTCCGAGAGTCCGTTTCGGCCGGATTCAGCGACGAGAAGGTACGTGGTTTCCTGCACCAACTAGAGCTTGCGCTGCGACACAAGACTGCGAACTTCGGTATCGGAGTTATGCAGAAGACCATTGCCTCTTGGTTCAATGGTTCCAACCCAATGCAGGAGCTGGCCTGGAACGATGTCATTGAGGAATTCAAGAGAAGGTATGCGACACCTGGCTATCTGGAATCTCTTGTTGAGAAGTACCTCTTGAACGATCGCTCTATGACCTTCACCATGGTCGGCTCCCCGACCTTCAACAAGGAATTGGATGATAAGGAAGCTATCCGCAAGGACCAGAAGCTTGCCAAGCTTATTGAGGAACATGGCTCAGTCGAGAATGCCGTCGCCAAATTGACCGAAGAGGAGCTGCAGCTGTTGAAGGTGCAGGAGGACGCCCAGAATGCGGATCTAAGCTGTCTCCCATCGGTACGGGTCAAGGATATTTCTCGCCAAAAGGAACGGAAGCTTGTTCGCGAGTCCAAGGTCGACGGTGTCGATGTTGTTTGGCGCGAGGCTCCTACCAATGGTCTGACCTACTTCCAGGCTGTCAATACCTTCGAGGGATTGCCAGCCGATCTTCGTCTCCTGATGCCCTTGTTCAATGACTGTATCATGCGACTGGGCACTGCGAACAGATCCATGGAAGAATGGGAAGATCTCATCAAATTGAAGACAGGCGGCATCTCGACCTCTGACTTCAACGTGTCATCAGCAACCCAGTTGAACCAATTCAAGGAGGGTCTTGACTTCTCTGGATATGCCATTGACAAGAACATTCCTGAGATGTTGGAAATGCTCTCCACTTTGGTGACCGAAACCAACTTCTCTAGCCCTGGAGCACCAGCTATGATCCAAGAGTTGTTACGATTGACCACAAATGGCGCTCTCGATTCCATTGCCGGAACCGGTCATCGCTATGCCGTCAATGCTGCAGCTGCCAGCATCTCGCAAAACCTGTGGGTGCAAGAGCAGCAGTCCGGTCTTGAGCAGCTGCAGGCCACTGCCAACCTTTTGCGTGACGCAGAGTCGTCCCCTGAGCGCCTTCAGGAGTTGATTGAGAAGCTACGTCTTATTCAATCATTTGCAATCTCGAAAAACTCGAACCTTCGTGTTCGCATGGTTTGTGAAGCTGAAAGTGCCTCACGTAATGAGTCTGTACTGCAAAAGTGGATGGCTGGTCTCCCTCGGGTGCCTTCACCTCAGTCGAGCGCCTCCACAGCTGGTTTCCAGCCGTTTGAAAAGGCTTTCTACGACATGCCATACAAGGTCTACTATTCTGGACAAGTGTCACAGACTGTACCATTTGTCGACCCCGCTAGCGCTCCACTCACAGTGATGTCACAACTTCTCACTCACAACTACTTACACCCTGAAATTCGTGAGAAGGGTGGCGCATATGGCGCCGGAGCCAGCAACGCCCCTCTCAAGGGTATCTTCTCCTTCATGAGCTACCGCGATCCCAACCCTACAAACACACTGAAGGTGTTCCAGAACAGTGGTATCTTTGCCAGAGACCGCGTGTGGTCCGAACGTGAGATCGAAGAGGCCAAGCTCGGTATCTTCCAGGGCCTCGACGCCCCAGTCAGTGTCGATAGTGAGGGATCTCGTTACTTCCTGAGCGGTGTCACCCATGAGATGGACCAGCGCTGGCGAGAGCAAGTCCTTGACGTGACCGCCAAGGACGTGAACGAAGTTGCCGATCGATTCCTGGTGAACGGCTCTCGAAGCGCAACGTGTGTGCTCGGCGAGAAGAAAGACTGGGCTGGCCCTGAGTGGGATTTGCGCAAGCTGTCCATGGGTCAGTCAGAAACCTCTGAGTAGAGGTCCTGGCCGCCCTGCTGCCATTGCATTTCCCGACTAGCTAACATGTCACAGCTTGTCGGGATCAAACCTTGGGAAGTGCTTCAATGCATATGCATTTCCCGTGTACTTTAATCACCCCGTATGTTCGAGTATCTATGCATCCCCCTGTACATAAATGTATACTACCCGACCTGATGAATCTCCGGTCTTTCTGTTCTTTTCTTTCCCGTTTCCTTCTTCTTATCCCTTCAGCTCCCTTCCAACCCGCGCTACAAGATCTATACGTGCTTCCATGCACATGAGCCCCCTCACGTCTCCAACCAGCTGTCTCTATTGGTTGATGGGTGTGGCATCTTTTCATCGGTTTACCTGATGGGATGCAAGCGCAAGAACTACAGGAATGTGAGCCCTTGAGGCACACTTCCCATCTCCGTTTCTCGGAACCGCTCTGGACTTTCAGCCTACGCAGAGCGGACTAAAAACGTGAGAACATACACATGCATGTACCTTATACCTAATAGAATTCTCTGTAAAATCTTAATTGTAGCGATGACAATTTTCAAACTTCCTCTCGATCCCACTGCCTTGATAATTTGGAAAATGCCCGCATCCATTTAGTCCATGGGGCACATGAGCACTGTCTGAAGGAGTTCATTTCAAATGTTGACTCATTAATAATCAATCCCAGGCTAGTTACTGGTAAATTTTGACTTTGCTTTATGAGTCATCTTTCTGCCAATATTCATATACAACAACGGGTTCCATAGCTCAGTTGGTTAGAGCGTCGTGCTAATAACGCGAATGTCGAGGGTTCGACCCCCTCTGGGACCATTCTTTTTTGTCCTTTTTTTTCCCGTTTGGAACTTCTCTTCTTGCTCTAAAGTGATTTTTTTGGATTTTTTCAGTGCTCTCCAAAGCTGAATTTGCCAGGGATCAACTAGGTAGGCCAGAATTCTGACAGCCTTGGAGGTCTTATGTATCAATTTTCACATTCAAACATTCAAATGTTCCAGAAACCTCAACATTTGAAGCATTGTGTTTGGAGGTGTAAGTGCTGTCTGTAGATGGATCAGGGATATGTATGTATACAATGTGCAGCCACTTTAAACCGGGCGGGTTCCATTACCACCAGCCACATGTGCATCAATTGATGGTGAAGTTGTCCGTTCAGTCCTTTAAACAAGGATTTCTGAAGCCGAAGGCACTTTTAACTATTCCAGCAGTGTAAAAATCTGGATAATTTAGGTTCAATTCTAGACGGAGAATAAACGTCCGTTCAAACTGTCAAGACGTGAAAACCCACGGAGCCTCACATTCCGTTGTGGGGCAGACCCACGGCGGGGATGTGGCGTTGTTGCATACCAAGTGCTCTACAGTGTGCAGGCCTATAAAATGGCTAAACTTGAACCTGGAACGGACCTCATAATAGACTGAATCACTTGCGAATGCCAATACTCAAGTACTGTCAATTCTGGATCGCGAGTCGCGCCTGATATTCGACTGTGAAAAACATGGCGACTTTGACCAACAACGGAACACTCAACGAAAAGTCGTCAAATGGAAAATCTACGCCACAAGATTCCTTTTTTGAGGATGTCCATTTTCTAGGTGACAAGGAGGGTCGCGTCGTTATTCGATCACCCCCGAAGTTCGAGGATAAGAAGGCAGAATGCACATACCAGAAGCAACATCTGGCCGTCGCATTCCGGGTCTTTGCAAAGCAAGGCTTTGACGAGGGTGTGGCAGGACATATATCTCTGAGAGATCCAATCAATCCTGGTAAGCAAGACCTCGAGAAAAGACATGCCCTTCCGTAAAAAAGTCTCGAAAACGAACAAGTGCTGGCCATTCAAAGTCCCCTCAGGCTAACTGTGATGGGCAGAACACTTCTGGATCAACCCACTTAGCATGCACTTCTCCATGATCAGCGTGTCAGATCTAGTCCTCGTAAACGAATCCGGCGAAGTTCTCCCAGGAGGAGCCCAACACCCAATCAACGGGCCCGCCTTCGCAATCCACAGCGAAATCCACAAAGCCAGACCAGATCTCAACGCAGCTTGCCACGCTCACTCCATCTACGGAAAGGCCTTCTCCTGCTACGGCCGACCAATCGAGATGCTATACCAGGACGCACTACGCTTTTACAACGATCTCGCCGTGTACAACCATTACGGTGGGACGGTGGTGTCCACAGAAGAAGGGGCCCGTATCGCCAAGGCGCTTGGTCCCACGTGCCGAAGCGTGATTTTGCAGAATCATGGGATGATCACCTGTGGGCGGACAGTGGACGAAGCGGCATTCTTGTTCATCGCACTGGACCGGTGCTGTCACTCACAGCTGCTTGCTAATGCGGCTACGGGTCCAGGGTGGGAGAAGATTTATATTAATGAGGCCGAAGCGGAGATGACACATAAGAAGAGTGGGAATTCGAGTAAGATGTGGTTGGCTTTTCAGCCGTACTATGATCAGGTTGTGAAAGAGGATCCGTCGGTTTTGGAGTAGGATCCATCATCCATTGGTTATTCACAAGTATCTAGCCGAGTCTATAGTGGCATTCAAATGTTAGCTTCAAACTCAATGTTGCATATATACTAGATGCATGTCCACGGGTGAGTTGGGCTCGAGCACTTGTGATGGGCCTGAATGGGCATTGCATTTGATTGTGATGAAATCTCCAGGAAGCTGCCAAGGTCTGCTGATGCGTTAGACTCGATGCTAAAAATATCCCATATGCATACTAGGATTCGTTGAAAACTTGAATATGCACGTGCGTATATGCAACTATTTAAGGAAATCGCATTCTTGGAAAATTTTCCGAGGGTCTCTCTCAGTGGCCCACCGGAATACGCGATGTCTCCAGTAAGTGGAAATTAGATATACTAAGACGTGATTAAGACCTTATCTCTGCCAATTACATGTTCCTATGTGCACTAAATATGTGTATATTCCATCCCATGCTAAAAATCCAAGGGTATAAGCTAATAAAAGACTCTCCAAAAAATGCCCAAATCCATGCTGCCGTAAGCTACCAGCAAGTCGTAATGAAGTGAATAGCAAGACCGTCCAGGGTTGGAATCAAACAACTCGTTCTTCAACCCATATCTAGAATAAGTTAGTGAGTGCATCTTGTTTAAGCAAAGGACAGAAAAGCATACCTCCATCTTTCCCATCTCGCTCCCTTCCCGGCGCGCAACCTCTCGGGCTGAGCTTAGGAGTAAATCCAGATCCTCCTGGTCTACCATAGTAATCATATCACCATCATCTTGAACTTTGATCTTCAAAGAATGTTTGAAGCCAAACTTTTCGCGAATACGAGTTTCGAACTCTGCATATTCTATCGTAGGCCCGATGATGATATACCGAATATCATCTGGCGCGTGGACCTTTGTGCGGAATTTTTGTACTTCCGGCCGTCTGGAGTTTGTCTGGTTTGAGAACTGCGCTGGAGATCGCGCTCGCCGTTGCCGAGTAGATGGGCTGCCATCAGGTGGGCCGCCTACTAGCTCAAAGCCTCCATCTTTCAGCGGCTCGCTACCACATAGTTCTGCGGCATATTCGTCTGCTTCGTTGATGTATTGTGGAGGCTGATAGCGGCTTCCTCGCCCGTAGCCCGAGTTGGTATGAGATCGGGACCCTTGGTATGGGTCATGCGTGTCGGCCTGTCCGTACTCTTGATTTGGGGAAAAGTCATTATCGCTATGATTCCTGCGGTGTCCTTCTTGTGAAGGCCAGGAGCGATTGGGATCTTGCGAGTAGCCGCGCATGTTAAATTGCCGAGACGGTGGCCCACGAGGCTCCGATGCTGTCCGAGTCGTCCCGATCCGTGGCTTTTCTGCAGATGCCTGAACATGTGGTGCCGGAGCGAGTGGTGACGCAGTCTCTGATCCAGTGGGTCGACGGTCTAGGGCAGCGCCTGTTCGCTCTAGCTCCAGCCGTAGTGAGGGCCGCGCATTCCGAAGTGAGGAAGTGCGATGATGGCCCTGACTGCTTCCAGATGAAGATCCATTGCTGGTGGAGCGGTCATCGGGCGGTGGTGTTGGTGGAAATACATTGCGGTTCAAAGGTGGTTCCGATTGCTGACGAGTGCGACTGCTCAAATTTTTATGAACCAAATTTGTGGCTGCATAGGACATTCCATCCCGGTCCTCAAATGCCGTCTTGTCCACGACGATCGGCCTCCAATTCTCTTCTGGGTCGAGATTTCGTTTTGATTGAGCAACTATGCGGGATTTGCCTAGGTAGTCCTTGGATTTCAGGTTCTTGACTTTGGCGGCGTTTGGACGATATAGAGTCCCTACAGGGATCGAGAAGACGGTATACCCCTTGATTTTTAGTCAGCAGGTTTATTTGAAACGGTCTCTGTCTAGGGGGGCTTACATCTGCATTCTCACGTATAGCATCCTCGATGACATCGTGGTCTCCTGTAACTTTCTCCCTTGCAGCAAACTGCATATCTTTCATGCCAGGCTCGATTTGTTGGAGATAGATGTAGCATAGACCACGATTGAACAACACCTCACATGAATACAAACGAAACAAGAGGCCCAGTTGTTCATAGTCGATGGAAGTGTTGCCCCGGAGATAAAGTAGTGTGTCGTTGAAATTTGCGAGGGCTTCTTCAAAGTCTCCTAGCAAGAAGTTCGAAACACCTTGTTGGAAATAGGCGATGGCAAGATACCGATCCAGTCCTACTGATCGTTGATAGCAATCGACCTGTAAGATATAGAGTTAGTGGGCAATCTTGTTCACTTTTCACAAGAGAAGTCAACATACGGCTTTTTCATGTTCACCCAAAGTGGCATGAATCACTCCAAGGTTGAAGAGTATCTTAGAGGTGTCGGCAATCTCATTAAAGAGTCGCAGGGCTTCTTCGAACTCCTGATTATCATAGCAGTCCAGGGCGCCAACCCATGTTTCAATTTCCTGAACTAAATCAGTATCGGCTATCATGCAATGCACCCTTATTGCCGCTTACCTGTTTCAATGACATGCTGCCAATATATGAATCAAAGACAAGCACACGATGGTGTCTAAAGATTCTCAATTGACCACAGAACCCAAACCGGATCCAACGCGGATTTCGACCTGACTAGGTCAAATGGCACACAGATGAATCCAATGTGTACACCGCTAATCGGCGGAGACCGGAAAACGTCACTTCAGCGGGGTCTCCAAGTGACATATAGGGAGAAACCCCCCCTCCAACTATTATTAAAATTGTTGGTACTAGTCTGGAGACAATGTCGGCACGGAGGTGAGCAGCTAAACCTTCGACACAATGCCAAGGCCCTGTCACCCAAGGTTTTTTAGAGAGGAAATGAGCGGTGGGACGCCCAGGGAGCGGGTCACTACCCTGATTGGAATCCCTTGACCGTTGCGATAGGACGGGGGGTCTTTTCGCGAGGGGGAATAAGTGAAGGTTGGATACGATGCACGCGATAGAAGCCGATGTGATCCCGTCCAAAGGGAATCGGGAAAATGATCTGTCAAAAAAATGTATTTATAGAATTCTCTCCCGCGATACTTCAAAAGACCCGGTGGTTGGCCGAATCAAAAACCAAGAACGCCCACTTTGGACTGAGGAGTGAGTGCAGATTGTGTGGTTTCTCACCTCCGATTCCGGTGGTGAGAGGGTCCGAGTTGCGAACGACGCGAAGTGGGTATCCCGGCTACCTGGAAGCGCCCCATGAGGCGGATAAGAGGAGAACGTGGTGCTGCGGGGAGTGGAAATCGATGAAAAGGGGGGGAAAAGAGAGAGAAGGATTTATCGGAAGAAGCAAAGCAAAGCAAATAAAAAAGCACAAAACCCAAAATCCAAAAAATGCCGGAACCTGCAGAGGGGCTGCACCGAGGGGCAGGGACACCTAATGCAAAGCTACTGGGAACGGTTAGTCAACCCGAATAGAAGCGCCCAGTAAATGGGCCAAAAATAACTTGCGTTGCACCTGCAGGAGATTTATGCACGCCTCGATCAATCAGATCATGGAACCATCAATTTCCTGGTGAACGCTTGTGAGTGGGCAGCTTTTTTTTTTTTTTTTTTTTGGTTTCCATGCATGAGCGATATGGATCCTTGGTGCTCCTTCGCCAGTCATATATGACGGTATTGAAGTGGGGGAGAGCAGCCAAATTGAAGACTCGTGGCCATTCCCCTAGGGAGCCATCTCCAGGTTTCCAACATGGATAACCCATGACCCCTGTTACACAACCGCGCTTGTGCATGGACTCATTTCGAGGAAATTGGCTATTTTCCTGTCAGCCGTCGCATGATTGGGTTGAGAGTCGCGAATCTTCATTTCCAATATGAAGAGGGGGCGGGGGAGGGAATAAGCTGTGGGACCGGACCCATCACACTGGGAACAACGTTTGGAACGACAGGGTTGGTGGTTGGCTCGAGCGAACGGGCCGCGAGGGACCGAATGAATTCCAAGGCTGATGCCCACAATCTGTGTTTCTGCAGCATATGGCCCTGCCATTGGTCAGGACCCACTGAACTATTGCCACGGGCGCTTCCAGTGCTTTATTTAGTTGCCCAGCACCCATCTGCGGGGAACTTGATTCCTTCTCGCTTCATACATACCATTTTGAGAAGGGAAAGAATCCACCGAGTGGTTGAAAAGAAAGAGCTAGGGCTAGCGTGATGCTTAAAATGGCATGCAAATCACGATTGGGCTAGCGAATCCAAGAAACCGCAAAAGGGGAACTTTTGAAAGCTCCAGGGTTGATAGATCATCTTCGATCACCTGATCTCCAACCCAGAATGTCGGGACTAACGAAATCCCTTATCTCTTATCAACACCCTTATCTTTCCCGTTATCAGTGATCAAGTGACTGTCACATGGGGAATTCAAGCTTCAAATAAGAAACCTTGGAATTTCATTCAATACTAGTAGTAGTAGTATATAGTATATCATTACTTTGCGTCTCTGGCTATGCTAGTAATTTTCCTTTTTTCAAGCGTCAAGGACCGCAAATTATCGCACGGAGTCCTGCAGTAGGCTACATGGCGGCTTCTGCTCATACTTAAAGTGAGAGAGAAATGAAGTTTCGACAGGAAGTAAATTTTTTTATTATCCAGCAAGGGTATGATTTACATGGTTTGAGCCCTCAGCTTCTAGGTGTAATGCATGCCATACTGTCTACTACTAAATTAGTAGATGGACTAAATAACTGCTTGCAAGATGGAGTCTACAGAACGCTAAACCCCTTTGGGTACCCGATAAGTAAAGAAGCGGCTCAAATGGGCGGTGTGTTAATTCTGCCCTAATTACCTGGAAAAGATAGTTAATAGTCTCTTCAATCTTAGAATACTTCACACCGAACGACTTATGCAGAGTCTCATTCACTCTAATACAGGAAGGGGCGCAAGTCAACATGTTACCATTCACTTAAATCTCAGACTCAATTCAAATATTCCTTGTTCTGACCAGTTTCGTTCTCTTTATTACTTCCCAAATTAAAACACTACAACAATCGCACGATGGCTGCCTCCTCCCGTCCTGCGCACGCTGCCGATGAGGCAACCTACCTGCAAAGTTTGGATGTTGACGTGCAGAATCAGGATGATTTGGAACGAGAGCTTGCTCAAAAGGTCAAACCTCAGCGACAATCTGTCTTGAATCTTGGCTAACATGCCTTAGGCTGACAAATTGCTTGCCGAGAGGGCCGAGGAGAACGAGATCAAACGCCTGGAGAAGGCTCTGACTGACAAAGAGTATGTGCACATGCTGCCCTTGTTTACTAGGTTGAAATTCTTACCCTATCATCAGTCGAGCCGATGCGCAAATTCGGAAGCTAGAATATCGCCTTGCCCAACCCGTAGGCTCCGCCACCCAGCAGCGTCTTCAAATTGAGCTTGACCGACTCAAGCTTCGCCGGACTGAACTAAACAAGGATGTGCGAGAGATTCAAAAAAGAATTGATGGGCAACGAGAAGTCCAACAGTCAGCTTCCTCCAGCCATGGGTCCGGTCGACAAGTGAACGAGACTCGACGCGACTACCTCCTGCGCACTGGTCAGATTACTCCATTTGACCTCATAAACACTGGTGGATCAGAGGGACCTGCTGCAGCTCTACATGATGCTCTTGCGGGGGCTGAGGACGAGCAAAGGGTCAAGGAAGAGCGAGAGCAAGCGCAACATGATGCTTCCCACCGCAACCTTGTCCGCCCTGGTCACGACTTTGATGACCTTGGCGAAAGCAACCGCACCGAGAGCAGCTCAAAACGCCAGAAAGTAGAAGCAAGCCCTTCTCCCGTCGACTCAACTTTCACATCAACACCAGACGCACGAAAAACCCCGAAGACCCGCCGATCCCTCTCCCCCTCATCCTCCGCAAGTTACGTTGCCTCCGAAGGTCCTAGTGTCAAGTCCGAAGATGAAGATTACATGCCCGACACTCTGCCAGAGACAAAGTTGACTGCAAAGCGGAAGCGACGTTTAGAAGTGAAGGATACACAGGATAACTTGGAGGACCTCAGCGGCGTTGACGATGGCGACGAGTCTGTATACCAAGAACGTTTGATGCTATGGATTAAAACTCGCAGCGAGGCCCGTCGTCGTGAGCAGCCTGGATATCAAGACGATCCAAACGAGGAGGAATGGCACAAACCACACCCCAAATATCATGACCTTGAACTTCCCAATGGACTCAAAGTCCCCGGTGACATCGCACATTACCTCTTTTCGTACCAAAAGACGGGTGTCCAGTGGCTATGGGAGCTTCACCAACAGTCAGTGGGTGGCATTGTTGGAGATGAAATGGGACTGGGAAAGACAGTCCAAGCTATCACATACGTTGCTGCTCTTCACCACAGCAAAATGTCGTCAAAGCCCGCTATCGTTGTCTGTCCTGCAACTCTCATGGTTCAGTGGGTCACCGAATTCCATAATTGGTGGCCCGCATTGCGTGTATCAATCTTGCATTCTTCAGGAAGTGGAATGCTTAACCTGAAAAGGGAAAACAACCGGGAAAACGCGCTGACATCGGAGATGATGGGCGCCGGTGGTTCTCGCCCTCTTTCTTCAGGACAAAAAGCAGCTAGGAAGATCCTCAAGCGTGTAGTCGAGGAAGGCCACGTTTTGGTGACAACTTATTCTGGCCTGCAGTCCTATTCGGATGATTTAACTGATATTGAATGGGGATGCGCCATTCTCGACGAAGGTCATAAGATTCGCAATCCCGATGCCGGCATAACTTTCAGCTGCAAGGAACTCCGCACCCCCCATCGCATTATCCTATCCGGGACTCCCATCCAGAACAGTCTTATTGACCTCTGGTCTCTTTTTGACTTCGTTTTCCCAATGCGCCTCGGCACGCTGGTTACGTTCAAGAACCAATTCGAAATCCCCATCCGTCAGGGTGGATATGCTTCCGCCTCCAATCTCCAGGTACAAACTGCTGCCAGGTGCGCGGAGACCTTGAAAGATGCAATTACGCCTTATCTCCTTCAGCGGTTCAAGACTGATGTCGCGTCCGATCTTCCGAAGAAAAGTGAACAAGTCATTTTTTGCAAGCTCACACAATACCAGCGGTCTATGTACAAACGATATCTCGCTTCCGATGACATGCAGTCCATCTGCAAGGGGAAAAGAAAGTCATTTGCAGGCATTGATATCCTCCGCAAAATTTGCAACCACCCAGACCTCGCCGATCGGCAATATACTATTCTCGATCGTGACTATGGTCGCGAGGATCGCTCGGGTAAAATGCAAGTTCTTAAGAGCCTACTTGAGCTTTGGAGGGATACTGGACACAAGACTCTACTATTCGCCCAGACTGTTCAAATGTTAGACATCCTGGAAAAGTTCCTCCGGTCTCTCGGAGGATTCACTTTTCGTCGAATGGACGGAGGGACACAAATTCCCAAGCGGCATGCCATTGTAAACGAGTTCAATCTTGACCCCGAATTACACGTATTCCTTTTGACTACGAAGGTGGGCGGCATTGGTATAAATCTTACTGGTGCGGACCGGGTCATCATCTACGACCCCGACTGGAACCCCTCTACTGACATGCAAGCCTGCGAACGCGCATGGCGTCTCGGCCAAAAGCGTGATGTGACAATTTTCAGGCTCATGATGAAGGGTACTATCGAAGAGAAGATCTACCACCGTCAGATATTTAAACAGTTCATGACCAACAAAATCACCAAAGATCCGCAGCAGCGTGAAGGGTTCCAGCTAAATGATCTCTATGATCTGTTCTCACTTACCGAGGAGGATGACCAGGAGCTCGAAACAACTCAACTCTTCAAAAACGCAGAGATCACCTATCAAGAAGAACAGAAAGAGAAGTCAAAGTCCAAGCTTCCGTCTAGGCGGCGCCCCATGGTCATCAATTCAATGTCGAGAGTCAAGTCGCCGTCTCCAGCTCAGGTCAAAATCGAAGAACAAGCGGACGACCTGGGGAGGGTTCAGGGAATCGCCAACGTCGAAGATTTCCGGACTGCAGCTGGCATCAAGACCGAAACTGGCTCTGAGCAGAAAGTCGACGATCAAACTACTGATCAGAGGGGTGATGACAAACAGGCCGAAGACCGTCTCATGCATAGCATTTTCTCCCGGTCAGGTGTTCACGCCGCTCTTGAACACGATCAGATTGTAAACGGCAAGCGAGTGGTCCGACCAGATGCGAAGATGGTTGAAGCTGAAGCCCGCCGTTTCGCCAACGAGGGTGCTGCCGCGCTCCGCAGAGCTGAAGAAGCCGCTCGCTCCTGTCCCATTGGAGTGCCCACATGGACTGGTCAATTTGGCCTCGCGGGCCGTGATATGGGTGGAAGCTCGGCGCGCCCAGGTCGAGGTGGGCCCTCCTCCGCCTCTCTCCTCACAAACCTCAACCCTGGTGCCGCAGCAAATAACCAACGCGTTCCTGCTCGCTCCACCCCAACGTACATGCCTCGTGGCGAGGAGTTTCTACCACTAATTCAGAACTTCTTCCGGACCTACCGAGGTCCTATTACGTCTCAGGTCATTGTCAGCAACTTCAATCACTACTGTGCGATGGAGGAGCGGCAACAGGACTTTTACAGAGTCTTGAAGAGAGTCGCTGAGCTTGGTCCACCTCATCGGGGTCGTAGGCTGTGGAGACTAAAACCAAAGAACGGTGAAGGAGCACCGTCAAAGCCCTAAGAGCGGTTTGTTCAAATGTTGTGATTGAAAATCTACCATAATTAGTACCTTCAAATGTTTAGAAGGAAAGATTTTGTACAATAAATATGTAAAGTTTATGATGCTATGAAAAAAAAAATATGAACATGACTGCCCTGGAGCCCGCTGTACATATAACCATGAATCTGTATGTCGAAAGTGAACTTCCGTAGATCTAATCAATCAATACCAAAGTTCCAAGGTTACTTGAATCTCCCAACTTGGTGCCCAAGGAAATCAACCTTGGAATGACCCTGGGCCGAAGGTGGAATATCTGGATGTCCACCAGGCAACCGCAGAAACCAGGACCTTTGCGCGAGAAAAAATCATTTGGCTCGAGAGGACTGCCGAAGTTGAGCTCAAATCACATCCAACTTTGGCGCCGAAGTGAGCACTGTCTCACTATCGTCATCCCGATCCCATTGTTCCCGATATTCTTCCATCAGGGTACGAGCGGACGGCGCCCTTTCAACAAAGTTTACCACAGCAGGGACGGGGAACACATGGTGAAGTGCACTATATACACCAGCGCTGATGAAGAATCCCGAGAGAAAGCAGATGTAATATAAATGCATGAATCCCACCGGGACTTCAATGTTGGGGTTCACATATGCAACAAAGCCGGGTAACGACGGTGCAGTTCCGCAGGCCCACTGTATGAACATCCGATATTAGTACTCGCTTTCCAGGTCAAACTTTGTAGAGGTTCTTTCTTGCTTAATCGAAACGGAGGAGCACCTACCCCGAGAACGGCTCGCCAATCCACACCGTATGTATACCAATAAATACTAGAACTATTTCCAATGAATAGATCTTCGACCTTGATCTTGCCTTTATTAACAAAGAAGTATGATGAAATCATGAGTCCAGTCATGGGTCCCAGGAAGACGGAGTAACTGCTCAGTACGGTAAGGAAAGTTGTGGCAGTATTGACAAGCTTCCATGGGTTGCAAGCGATGGACACGATAGCTGTGATATAGGCACCTCGACGGATATTGATGTATTTGGGGAAAGTTGCAGCCAAGTCGAAACCTGAGAATTGTCAGTCAAATGCACATGAGAAAACACTATCAGTGGATCCTCTATGTTTTTGTACTTACCTCCTGCCAATGAGTTTCCAGGAACGTTCACTCCAATCTGCGAGACGACCAGAGCAGCACCGCCAAAGAACCCCGCAGCCCGAGATCTCGAGCCACCGTCCTCAATTATAGCGCCTAGCAGGGTAGGAAGATTCCAATAAGCCTCACCAAACCGGTCCTGTGTCGCAGCCGTGACCAAAATTCCAATGATAGAGCAAGTAATTCCGTAAAATGGGAAGCTGATAAGCTGGCCCCAAATTGCGTCTGATGGTTTTCTCGCGAAACGCGCGTAATCGTTCTGATTGAGAATTCCTGCCGCAATGGATCCAATAGTGCTTATGATTCCGAACGCGATGTTCCACCCGGAAGTACTTGTAGAGGCACTGGACATAGTTGAGCCAAACCCGCTGTGACCCATGGTTGCAAGAGACCAAATCAGCAGCACAATTTCAAAGACTAGAATCGTTGCTGCGGAAGCATAGAAAAATGTGTTGAGCTTGTGTGGATGAATCCAGATAAAGGGCAACGAGATGATCATGAAAATGATATATGCCACGAAAGTCGCGGTTGTGGTACCTGTTGATGCGGAGAGAGTGTTGGGGATGCGCGACTCAATGTCTGGCCATATTGCTTGCAAGCACACATAGATACATTCGCCGCCAATCCATGCTTGGAAGCCGTCTTATATGGGAGGTTAGCTTTGCGATGTAGGGTGGAATTGAGTGGGCTCCCGGGGAAACGGGAGCGGGAGCGGGAAGCTTACACCACACTGTGGAATGCAACAGATTAGTCAGTGTGTTTCCTGGAGTAATGATATCAGAAGTATTCGAATGTGGGGAACTCACCAATAGAAAGAAGAATACGATTCCAAATCACAAAAGAACTTCCATACATGCCCCAGACATATCGGTTAACCACGGGGAATCCCACTGCACCGAATATAAGTTTCTGATCCCTCACATTGGTAGATGCACCTACGATAGTAAAAGGCCCCTGGAATAGAGTTCAGAATGACAAAGACCGTTGCCAATAGCTGCCCGATGATAATAGCGACAATGGCTTGCCACCATGTCAATCCGAGTGCAATGAGCGAACTACCAGTCATATAGGTAGAGATATTAGAGTTAACAAGCACCCCTGACAAATATAATTAGCATCAAGAATGCGCATAAAATAATTGATTCGATCTTACAGAAGTTGTGGAACGTCCAATGTCCCCACGTCCGTCGACCAGCTTCAATAGGCTTGATGTCATTGTTAATCCAACGGTCCGGCACGAGCCCACCCTCCGCATTAATCTCGATTCTCTTCAGAAATGCCCTTAACGACATACTGAGGAATTACTGAGAAAACTGGCGAAAGGTGAAAGAGGTGAACAGGAAAAACCCAAAAAAAATCCCGAAGCACAAAATATTCAGCTCAGGTGCATGGGTCACTCGCTACTATGTACCCTGACCGATCTACTCCGCACTTCGTTTGCAGCGGTATTCATAGAAACGAAATCGGCCATGGATGTCAGGGATTCTCGAGGCTCTTAGTGGTGGTAACTCCTAATTACACGTACTGCCCATGTACTGGAGTTGGGGCTTGGTAATCTATGGGCCAATGGCAGTGTTGGATAAGCCCGATAAGAAAAGGGCTTATCACAATCACAATCAGTTATGCTTATCAGACAAGGTTTGTGTTGTATCATGTATGTTTTCTCTGTGTGACCATAGGATAAGATACTTTGGACAAATCACATCAAAGAAAAGAGTCAATGATGCTAAGCGATCCCTGTTGCCACTGCGCCCCGGATTTACATGCCGACTTCGGGAGTATCTCTATTCCTCGTAGTCATAGATCTCCGTCGAAGAGAGATAAGTGGTGATCCAAATGTATGACGCGCCGCATAGGGATTGGTTGACTGAAGTACATCATGCTGAGTTCGGGCACATTCGGAGGTGGTTACAACGCTTGGGGCCCCGGGGTGAATCATACTATTTCTTTGTTCTTACTCCGGATAATGGGTCAATGCACTAAGCTCAATACCACTCCGTATTCCTTTTGGGTCACCCCGGACCCCGACCCCGACCCCGATACCCCGTGGCGATAAGGTGTGGGGGAAACCGCTAGTATGGAAGTCACGCACTCAGTAACTCCGGACATGGTTCATTGTACGTACTATGGAACCTTATCTATCATGCCCAATATCTGAATGCATTGATCGTCGAATTCTCAAGGTTGTCATTTAATTCTTCCACTTCTCAGAATTCTCTCTTTATTCACTTTTACCCTGTTCTCTACCACTACCTTCCCCGATTTTCATCATTTTATTATCTCACCTTGGAAAGAACTACGATCGCATTCAAGTATATTCCACCATGACTCGTCGCGGCTCATATCGGATCGGTGTAGATGTCGGGGGAACAAATACAGACGCTGCCATCATTGACATCTCCGCGTCGGACACCGAGACAAGAGGTGTACGTGCTTCAAGCAAAACACCTACAACGCCTGATGTCACTTCTGGAATTCAAACAGTGATCAAACATGTATTATCCAAGTCGGGTATTGAACGTCAAGATATTCTCAGCGTGGCTATTGGAACCACCCATTTTGTGAATGCCGTTGTGGAGGCAGATGCACGTCTATTGAGTAGAGTCGCCGTTGTTCGATTATGCGGACCTTTTACGAAGATGGTATAGCGAGCCCAAAATTATCTCAATAAAATCTTAGTAGAAAGTGTGCTAACCGCGATATAAGTTACCGCCATTTTCCGATTTTCCGCCAGCATTGAAAGATATCATGGGAGGACCGGCATTCTACCTAGATGGAGGTATGTTATGAAGCTCCGAGCCCGACTATTACCGAGTCTAACTTCTTACAAGGACTTGAGATTGACGGACGTGAAATCGCATCACTAAATCCTGACCAGATCAAGCAGACCGTCCGGTCCATCAAAGCAGAGGGAATCGATAAGATAGCGCTAGTCGGCGTTTTCTCACCCCTCGATGCACAAGGTCTCCACGAGGAAACCTGCAAGCGATTGATGTTAGAAGAAGATCCATCTTTATCAGTCGTATGCTCTCATACGATCGGAGAAGTCGGTCTCCTAGAACGTGAGAATGCAACAATTCTCAATGCGTCAATTCTGAATCTCGCGCGGCGAACAGTTCGCGCATTCTGTACAGCGATGAAACAGCTTCGTCTGGATTGTCCCTTGTTCCTCACTCAAAATGATGGGACATTGACAGATGCCGCTACAGCTGCGGAACTGCCAATCAAGACATTCGCATCTGGTCCAACCAACAGCATGACAGGGGCAGCGTACCTGGCATCATTAGACCGCGGGGAAAACAGGACTCGATCCGAAACCCAAGTTCTTGTGATTGATGTTGGAGGTACAACGAGCGACGTTTGTGCATTGCTTCCATCTGGATTCCCTCGGCAAGCGCCAAATTTCGTTGAGGTCGGTGGTGTGCGCACTGCCTTTTCCATGCCCGAGGTACTTTGTGTTGGACTTGGTGGAGGAAGTCGGATTGTATATGACGAGGCTTCAGACAGTGTTCAAGTCGGACCTGAATCTGTTGGCCATTATCTGACCACCCAGGCTCTAGTTTTTGGCGGCGAGATCATGACCACCACCGACATTGTGGTAGCTTCAGGGAAAGCGGATATTGGAAATGTGAAAAGAGCGAGAGCCATTCCCTCCAGTATTGTAAGCAAAGCACGAGCACAGATCAAGAAAATTCTGGAACGAGCAGTCGAAGACATGAAGGTTTCCGATCTCCCTGTGACTCTTCTGCTCGTTGGTGGAGGTTCGATCGTCCAGATGGACGACTTGGAAGGAGTTGCAGAATGTATCATCCCGCCGCATCATGATTCTGCAAATGCCGTTGGCGCTGCAATCGCGAAGGTCTCCGGTGAAGTTGATGTGATTGAGATCTTGGAGGGTCGGGATGAAAAGGCTGTGTTAGAAGAGGCAAAGCAACGAGCCATCGAGGCTGCCGTGGCTCGTGGTGCAGATCGACATGACACCAAGATTGTTACTGTTGACAAACTTCCTCTCCAATATGTTACCAACAGGGCCACACGACTTGTTGTCAAAGCTGTTGGTAGACTTGCGCTGTCTGGAAGTTACCCTCTGTCTACAAATGGTGCATCTTCAAATGGAAAGGCTGTGAATGGCACCAATGGTACCAATGGAACAAACGGCACAAATGGTACACATGGCACCAATGGCACAAACGGCACCAACGGCACCAAAGGAACCAATGGCACCAATGGCCATGATGAGCCAGAGCCAGAGAAAAAGTTCAAGAAGAAAGATTCAGAGTCGCTGCAATCATCTGTGAAGTTTTCTCCCTTCATGGATCTTGAGGCATATCAACCTGATGTACGGAATGGAGTATGGTACATATCTCCTGTGGATCTTGAATTCATGGCAACAGGAACCGGTGTTCTAGGAACTGGCGGAGGAGGTTCCTCATACCTTGAATACCTACGATGCCTAGAAAGTCTTCGAAACTCTCACGGCAAGATGCGTGTCGTTTCACCCGGCTCCATGAAAGATTCCGACGTTTGTGTTCTGGGATCCTGGTATGGTGCACCGAGTGTGGGTAATGAGCGATTACCCTCAGGGACAGAGACCATGGACGCGATTGACTGCTCAGTCAAGATGGCGGGACATACGCATTTTGAAGCAGTAATGGCCGATGAAATTGGTGGTGGAAATGGACTCTCGACTTTCCCCACGAGTGTCTACTACGATATTCCTGTGATTGATGGTGATTTGATGGGGCGTGCCTACCCAACAATGGAGCATGGTTAGTTGATTCTTGATTCACCCTTGAGCTTCTCTTGTGAGATCCGATCTAATATTTGCTACCAGGCACTCCATACATATATGGAGAATCTATCACGCCCTGTGCAGTTGCAGATGCTAGGGGCAACGCGTCTGTTATTTTGGTACGTATTTCTTGAAAACCAGAGACACGCAAAATAAATACTAATTGACCTCAAAAAACAGAAAGCTGAGTCAAATCGCCGCATTGAGACGATGCTGCGTTCTCAATGTGTGGATCTGGGCCTCAACGTGGCTATTGCCTCCACCCCATTAACCGGTAGAGCAATCAAGCAATATGCGATTCCGAACACAGTTTCACAAGCATGGTATATCGGACGTGCCATCCACAAAGCCAGGAAATCGAAAGCAAACCTTGTCAATGCCATCGTGAGTCTAAAATCCGTCAAAGTACCTATTCCTTTTGTCTCTAATTAAAATCCTAGTTCGAAACCACCCCGGGATATCTCCTTTACTCTGGCAAAATTGTTGATGTCAAGAGAGACATCAGCGAAGGTTACACAACAGGCCAGTGCACAATAATACCCCTGAGCAACGAAGAGCAGGACCTCAATGGCACAGCCAATGGTTCTGCATCGGATGATAGCCGCTGTTTGGTTATTCCATTCCAAAACGAATTCCTCTACGCTGCATATGCAGATAGTGCCAATCCAGATGATTCCTCACGCCATGAGATCATCTGCACTGTTCCAGATCTCATTTCTATTATTGGTCAAGATGGTGAAGCGATAGGATCACAGGATCTTCGTTACGGTCTTCGTGTCAATGTGATAGGCATGGCTGCACATCCCCTGTGGACAGGAGATGAGCGGGGCTTACGCGTTGGTGGACCGGAAGGATTTGGGTTAGAGATGGAATGGAAGAGCATTGGGCCGTATCAAGAGCCTAGAAGTGTTATTGCCGAGTTCAATAGAGACACTTAGATTATTATCCATAGATATTGAAGCGAATGGAATTTACGGATGAAAATTCCATCTTTCAGAAACTCTTCGCATAAAAAGTTCGGTCACTCCTAAAGGTTACAGGCGAGCGCCTCCACTCGTCAGACGTTCCCATTCCCTTTCTCCGAATGGTACATATGCCTCCTCACCGGGAGCAAGCCACAAGAACCGATCATCCTTTCCATCCGGTGCCTTGGTGCCAATCAAGGCAGGATCGACACCTTCATCTCGAAGCGGCACTTTGTTCTGTTTGTTATTGTGAATGTGGGTAGAGTCCTGGACCACGCGCAAGAAAACGGGAACAGCATAACGCGGTAGCTTGGAACGAACGAAGCGAGCAAGCTCCGCAAAGTCCAGACTATGCCTGGCTTCGGGGCTGATCTGAAGTGCTGCACAGCCAGCGCGACCTTCGTGGTTTGGAACGAGGACACCATAAACATTAGCCTCCTGAATGCCGGGGAATCGTCCCAGAACTTCAGCCACCTCTGCTGTTGAACTAAAATTGAGAGTAGAGCGTCAGCGCGAATCAATTTTCGCCAGGGTGGCTAGGTAAAGGACACTTACACGTTCTCACTCTTCCAGCGGAATGTATCACCAAGCCGATCTACAAAGTACCAACGACCATCATTGTCACGACGGAGGGCATCACCCGACCGGTAATACAGATCACCCTTAACGAAAACATCGCGTAAGAATTTCTTCTCTGTGGCTGACACATTTTTCCAGTACCCCTGGAAAGCCTGCTCATTGGGAATATTGACCAAAATCTCGCCACCTTCCTCCAAAGTTGGACGGATAGCGAATCCCGTTTTGCTGTCACGGAGGACCTCGCCGGTCTCTGAGTCAATAGATACAGGGACGAAGATGTTGCGGAAAAGGCCGCGCAGCAGCAAACCATGGTGACCCACACACCCAGAAGTGAAGGGGCCGACATTGCGATTTAGCAGATTAAAAACACCTTCGCTGCTGCTGAAGAACTCGAGGATTTCAGGGATGCCGAATCGGTCTCGGAATTTGTCCCATACATCAGGGCGAAGACCATTGCCATACATGCCTCTTACTTTGTGGTTGCGGTCCTGGGGAGAGGGCGGAGGCGCTAATAGATAGCGAGCGGTCTCTCCCACATAGACGAATAAGGTAGAATCGGAGTCACGGATGTCGGTCCAGAAGTTGCGAACACTGAATTTCGGGGCCAGTGCAACACTCACTCCAAGTGCTAGAGCTGTTCCGACGCAAATGGCCGCGGTGCCGTGATACAATGGCATGCAACTGTACCAACGGTCGCCATTGGGCCCTGGAATATCACCAACTCCTATAGATCGCAAACTGAAGCCCCTGTGCATCCGGCCTGTAGTAAATGCGGTGGCCTTGGGCATCCCAGTTGTACCGGATGTATAGAGTAGAATTGAAGGGTAGTCTGTCTCGACATTCAACGCCCTCTCCGCGGGTGGATGTGCGGTGGAAAAGGTGCTGATGTGGTGCCTGAGCGAGTCGTCTAGCGTTACAGGTTTTATACCAAGTTCAGTAGTGAGGGTAGTCCGGCAATCTTCGATATTCGAATGACAAGTTGGGTCCTCATCTGCCAAAACGAGAGTAGCGCCGCTTATCTTCAGGCAGTGAATCAATGCATCCCCAGAGAGGTTGTAATTGATTGCAGCAGGTGCACATCCGATGCTCCAGAGAGCAAACCACCCGATCAAAAACTCTGCACGGTTCTGGAGGTAGAAGGCAACTAGGTCACCCTTCTTCACTCCCTCAGATAGGAAGTAATGGGCATATTGACATGCCATTTCGTGAACATCACGGTATGTATAAGTCCGTTCTCGAGTCCAAATTGCAATCGTGTCAGGATATTTCTTTGCCGTCTCCACAAAGACGAACCAAGCATTGAGTTGACCATCGGAGGCTATTTAGATATAGTAAGTATAGGATTTTTCGATACTGAAATAAATACATACTTGCTCGCGCAAAGGCACGTTCCGCCCCTCTCACAGCGATCACAGCTCGCGTGTCTTTGCGTAGGTGAAATTTGGCATCGAGATAAGCTGCCAGGGTTGTACCCCCGGCGAGGGCAGCTATAGCGGTACCTGACAACTGTTAGATATAAAGTAATTCATTCAGTGGGATTTCAATCACACACCGAGTTCCATTGGTGAAGCGGTTGAAATTCCAGTTTTCAATATGTTCAACAGATGTACTACTCCCCAAATAATGACGTCGGCCAAACGTTAAGAATAAACAAAGGAAAAAGAAGCCTCCGGAAGCCAATGCAATTCTGGATTTTATTCTTTATGGTCACAAGAAGAGAAAAATGCAGCAATGTGGCAAGATCAAGAAATAAAACAAATGTTCATCTTAAAGCCGAAGCCGAACCTGAAAGTTGAAACGGTTCCTCGGCACAACAATATTCGCTGCGGGGGCGTTTTGGAGCAAGGAGCTGCAAGAGGTCGAATTGCCCCCACTTTTCCTAATTCAAGCAATGGTTGCGACAGGTTGCGAGGATCCGAACAAGGAATCGTGTCCATTTGAGGGGCTAAATGTGGCTTGCGGGGAACAAAGAACAAATCAGGGATGAAAGACAGCAAAAAGCGTCACCTCGGCTCATTTCAAGGGAGATCCACAGCATAACTCATTCGGTATGTAATTCGCCCCAACATAAAATCCAGCTCAGATCTCGTAATCTCGGAGTTCGTGATTTGGGATGAGCCCAGAATGCACTCCTCGGCCTCCCTGGTCTTTCTTCCACCCCCAAGCTGTATCACGGTCGGCCCCATTACTTACGCCATGTACGACATTCGACACAAAGCGTCCGATGATGGGCAGAAATTTCCAGCAGTGGAACGATCCTCCGACGGCGAGATACAGATTGGATAGATGAGAGTGTGAATGTTGTGTGATTAATGGGTGCTGCCCGGGTGTGATCGCATCCCAACAGATGCGAAAATAGTCCACCTGGCGATTATTCTCAAAGAGTTGAGGCAATCGGCCCCTTATCGACGCGATTAACTCCCGACGAAGGCCTTCGGGAACAGTCCGCTGGGATGTTGGGGGTGGGACGGAGATCGTGTATCCCTTGCTTGCTTCGACGGAGTTCTTAAAGGAGATTGTGTTGGTGAATTTTAGTAGCCCTGAAGCCGTCGGGGGGAATGTTTCACCTAAATGCTGAGTTAATTAGGGATTCCAGTGCCATATGGCTCGCACCCAGGTACCAGGGTCCAGGTCAACAACATCTTACCCTCTTCACCATAAACGTATACTGGAAGTTGATCGTAGGGAATCCGCTCTATGTCTGATAATTGAAAATGCGCCACGCAAACACCTGCTGCTGTGAGTTGGCTCTCCATCCTGGACCCGCTGGGAATATCAAGTCGGTCTTCTGCGGAAGCCATCAACTGGCTAGTCCAGGCTCCCGTGGCGAGGATTATCTTCTTGGCCGTATATATGTCACCGTTGCTAGTTTCAACACCCTTGACTCCGGAGTCATCAAGAATGAGTCGAGTGGCCTCGCCGACTTTGTACTGGACTCCCATGCGAATTGCCTCGTCTGCCATGATTTCGAGAGCACAGCCGGCATCGGCCCATCCAGCTGACGGATTATAATAGTAAGATTCAAACGATTTCATATCTGCATCTTTCAGTACTCCGCCCCAGCTGCAGCGAACTTCATCCTCTGTCATGTCTTTAGTTGGGTCAGGGCGTCCACTGGTTTTGAAATTGTTGCGAATTCTCGAAGCGAGATCACTGCCCCGCTCGCCCATCATAATCCAACCGGTTTGATGATAAACTCCAGCAGTATTGAAGAGTGGGTCGTTTTCCCAGGCATCAATTGCTTCGAATGCGAGGTTCATGTATAGAGGGCTTGAGTAGTCTGCCCGGACAATCTTATTGATGTCTGTAGATGCGGCATCTCCAGATGGAGGAGGGGCGCGGTCAAGAATAACAATCTTTGATGGGTTGGGGGACTGTTTAGCCAGGTGGTAGGCTGTGCTGATGCCAAAAACACCGGCGCCAATAATCAGTATCTCGGAATCCATGCTGAAAATGCTGTACAAAGGAGGATGAATTTCAAAGTTGTGTTAAGAGAAGAGAGCATGTACACAATTTCCAAGGTTGGGAATAATTGAACAATTAATTTTAGAAATTTTGAAATAAAAAGAGCGACACCGGAGGCTACCTAGCTTTGCATTTACATGTATGGTGCAGTGGCGTGATGTACATCAAGCTACGCAATGTAATGTAGTGATAAGAGTCAAGACTGAATATTCGGTCCTTGGAGTTCTAGGCGCACACATGTGTGGATGTTTGACCTTGACGGCAATGCTTTGTGTTTGTACTAAATGGCAGACTTAACACAAGCTGCACCGAGCCAACACCCCAGCAATTATCAATTAAATTTCCAACGGAAAGGATTACACGCAGTTCATGTCGAACCAATGCAATGAATTGTGAGGCAGAATGAAAGTCGGTGATGCGGGAGATAACCGGCAGAATCCCCCGAATGTCGGATCCGCGTAGCGTCAAGTGCAAGAATTATTGACTCGGAAAGAACAGCTTCTCCGAATTCAATTAACACGCCATTGTTATGACGAGGAGGTACTAATACCCAGAAACCACCTTCTCCCCGACTCGGGTCGCAATACACATAAGCAATGTCTACCCCCAAAATGCCGCCTCCCAATAAATCCCAACCAAAGGCCAAACCACGCATCTTGAGCCCCCAAAACGCCAAAATACTCGCCTTTGACAAATATAAACCCGAGCCTAAGGCGCCCTCACACCAATACGCTTCCCTTGAACACCAAAAGCCTGCAAAACAGGGGCCCGCTCTCGTCTCCAGGTGGCACCTGCCCTCAATCTTCTCCCGCTTCCGCCAGAGCTACGCTGCCCTCCCCTCTCCCATTCGACGAACGTGTCGCGTGCTTCGCATTCTCGCGCCAGTTATACCGATCAGTCTCTTCTTCTCCGAACATGTCGCCCAGGTCATGTGGGTCCGTGGTCCATCCATGACCCCGTACCTAAACGAAGACTACGAACAAATGCATACGAAGAGCGATATGGTGGTCGTGAGAATGTGGCCTTGGGGTCCCATCTTCCCATGGGCCAGGTCAAAACAAATTGAGCGGGGGATGGTTGTGACCTTCCGGTATGATTACAATCCTTGTACCTTGAGGCCTTTGCCGCGCAGCCAGCCTACGGGTTTGCGGAATTGACGCACCCTTTCAAAGTCAAGATAAAACTAACATCGACTACTTCATATTCTCAGATCACCGGCCAATCCATCTCACATTGCCATCAAGCGTGTGGTGGGTCTCCCAGGCGACCGTATCACCACTCGCGAACCCTGCGCGAAGGCCACTCAGATCGTCCCATACAACCATGTATGGCTGGAGGGCGATGCAGAGGACCCTCGCAAAACGCTCGACAGCAATACATATGGACCAGTCAGCATCAGTTTGATTTCAGGGCGTGTTCTTGGTATTCTAGGACCGCGAATGCGTTGGCTAAACTGGGAAGACTGGGAGGCCGGGAAGTCAGGCGCGCCGTCAACAGACCCTTCACAGGATAACTATCGGCAGAGTGTGCGAGATCGCGTTGAAAAAGACCATGTCAAGCAGGAGCAGCCGGGCTTCTAGTGGATTGTGCTGTACAGCCGACTGCTTGATACTAAATCCGAGGCTCATGATCAATACCTTGTACATATACTGATTTATAGACAGGGCCACAAATGCCCTTGTATTATTATTTAAGATCATTTATTCCTTTATATCATTTCGTCTGGTCCAACCATTGGCTCAGCTGACGACCAAGCGGGTTGAGTAGGCGTCCTGATTTCATCCATGCTGGGATCTCCACTCTTCGGGGTAACATCCACCGATGAGAATTCCAACAAACACCCGGACTCTAAAATTGCGCCCGAGATCATCATCTCAAACTACCACAAGAATTATTCCGAATACCAGCACCAGACAGTCATTGCCACAGGGCTCCAAATACATACTGGAAAGCATAACCCGCCAATTCCAATCCGACCCCGCATTATACCTTCAACGCCGAGCGAACTAGGACGTCAGCAAGAGGATTACAATCAAAATGCCCACACCAATCGTGGACTCACACATCCACCTCTTCCCAGCCTCACACCTCCCAACTCTAGCCTGGCATGGGCCGAACAACCCCCTCGGCGCGCAGCACAGCATAGACGAATACCGACACGCGGCATCATCCGCCTCCCCATCAGCTGATCCGCCCGCTGACAAGTATCTCCGGGGATTTATCTTTCTCGAGACAGACCGGATATCCTCTGTTCCAGAGGAAGATGCCGAGAATCCAGGATGGAAACACGCCTTGGACGAAGTGAGCTTTCTCACGCGCATCGCTCTTGGCGAGCCTACCGCAGGCGAAGGACACAGGATTGTCGACCGGGATCTTTGCCTCGGTATTATACCATGGGCACCTGTCCCGGGTGGTCCAGATGTACTAGAAAAGTATATGGCCAGTGTTAAAGAGCGGACGCGAACAGATGACGTTTGGAGCAAAGTGCGAGGAGTGAGATATCTTGTTCAAGATAAACCGGAGGAAGTGATGCTTGAGCGGGGATTCATTGACTCGCTCATGTGGCTTGGAAAACAGGGTCTCACGTTTGATCTCGGGGTTGATATGAGAAGCGGCGGGTGGACACAGCTGTGGGAAGCTAAACAGATGATGACCCAAGTATATGAGGAGCTTGATGGTAACGAAAGCGAGCAGGTGACGATTGTGATTAGTGAGTTGACAAGCCGATGACCATACCCAGTTATAAATGTCCGTGCTAACCAAATAGATCACCTTTGCAAACCTAACTTGCGGTTAAGTCCTGAAGAGGTCCGAGATCACAATGAATATCTTTTTTGGTGCGATATCATGAGAGACTTCGCATCTGCGAGCAAAAAGACTTACATGAAGCTTTCGGGTGCTTTCTCCGAGCTTCCACCTTTGGAGGCAGATGCTGATTTCAACGTTGCATCAACGGTTGATCGTCTCCAGCCCTGGACGGATGTCGTTTTTGACAGCTTTGGCGCAGACCGTGTCATGTTTGGTTCTGACTGGCCGGTCTGCAATGTTGGTGGCGGTGGAAATGATGTCGCATGGAACAGATGGAAAGAAGTCTTTGAAGGAATTCTGGAGAAGCGAGGCTTAACAGAGAAGGAAAAGGAAGGTGTTTGGGGAGAAGTAGCCCTGAAGGCATATGGCATTGTGAATTAGAGAGTTTTATTTCAGATCGTCATATATCATGTTAAGACACCAAATTCGCTAAAAAGTTCTACTGTAAATTAACAAAAAGACCTCCATCAACCAAAAGCTGTGCACCAGTCTGCCCAGAAGCAACAATTAGCATAAGGAGACAGGTAAAAAGGAGACGGATATGATAGAAGAAAACTTACCACATAGCTGCTCAGTTCATCACAAGCCAAGAAGACCGCTGGCCCAGCCAAGTCCGGGGGCTGACCCAGTCTGCCCAATGGGATGCGGCCTTCCATATACTTCTTCTTGACAGGATCGGCCATATCCGCATCATTCAGCTGCGTACGAATGGTTCCGGGGAGCAGAGCATTGCAGCGGATGCCATATTTGCCCAATGCCACGGCGCACGACTGCATCAAACTCAAAACACCCGCCTTGGTGGGGGTGTAGTGTGTCTGTTCACCACCACCCACGAGTGCAGAGATCGAACTAATACCAATAATTGAGCCACCGGGCGGAGATTGAACCAATGCCATCTGTCGAGCAGCGGCTTGTGTGGCATAAAAGGCACCGGATAGGTTAGTCGAGATGGTGTGGTTAAGGAGGGAAGGCTCAAGTCTGAGATTCTTATCATTAGCACAAGACCTTTGGGCTGAGTCGCGAACAAACAACATGTTGCGTGCTGAGGGAGGGTTATCGTACTCGAGAAATTCAGCAAATTGGCAAACTCCGGCATTGCTCACAAACACGTCTAGTCGTCCAAATGCCTCGACAGTCTGTGCAACAAATTTCTTTCCTGTCTCGGGCTGAGAGATATCACCTGAGACTGTGATGAATCGAGTCTTGTCTGCGCCGTCTTCGATCTCGTTCACATCTTTCTTCATCGCTTCTAGCAGGTCCTCTTCCTTTGGTCCGCCCAGGTGGCTGATTGCGACCTTGGCGCCGTGGCGGATGTACTCGAGCGCAATTGCCTGGAATATGACCTGTCAGTAAAGTGTCGTCTTTATGAATGAGATCATGCGTACTCGTCCAATACCGGTGAGACCGCCGGTGATGGCGGCCACCTTGCCAACAAGTAATTGGGGGAGGGGCATTGTGAATGTTTGTAATTGGCTTCCAAGTCTAGGGCAAGAAATGAACGCTCAATGATCTTCAGAAGTATCTTGAAGCCACGTCGGAGAGAGCAATGAATTGTCCTGAGAAATTTTTCGCCTCTGTAGCGCTGGTCTGTTTCGCGTCACCCCGCGGAGGACCTCGGCTTTCGCGGTGATGTTAGCCCGAGTGTGGGGTCATTTCCCCCACGGTGGGGGCAATGGAGAGGGGCAAAATTCTTCCGTGTGGACAGTGTTGTTGATTCCGCCGAGACAACCTTACAATGTACATGTGCATGTACTCTCTTTGAGTTTTTTTATTTTGGTCAAGTGATATGGATCTCTTCAATTCAATCAATTTGTGCTTACATATAATTTCCAAGTTGTATGGGGGAAAATTCGGCATGATTCAACGTTGACGTTGGGAATGGTTTGACATGGAACATTTTAATTGAGACTTGTTTTCTCATCCGGAACTTCAAGTCTATGTATTGGATAGAGTGATCATAAGGCTATTTATGTACATGAATTCATATTGCAGAGAAGGAGTTCGTGAAAGATCAAGAAACTGGCCAAAACAAAACAGAGATATATTGAACGCCGAAAACCCAAATTGCCTAGGCAGTGCCATTGGCAAGGTGCTCGTTATCAGGAGCGGGAAGGCCCTTCTGGGGAGCGGGATTCAAGAGGCTCAGGCCTGAGATCAACGGGGCGTTGGGGTTGAGCTCAAGACCGAAACCAGGCTTATCCAGGATGGATACATCGAGGAATCCTTGGGTAGGGATGGGCTCGTTCAAGAAAAGATTGCCAAACACGGGCAGGACGGACTTTCCATCGGGAGAGTTAGCCAGATATTCTTGGAAGGGGCAGTTGGATTGAGAGACCACGAAGTGGTAGGAGTAAGGACCCGAGGCATGGGGCACAACGGGGATATCATAAGCAGCAGCAAGAGCAGAGACCTTGAGCAACTCGGTCAGACCGCCAAGCCACATGACATCAGGCTGGATAATGTCCAGATTGCGGCCCTCGACAAGCTTGCGGAAGCCGTAGCGGGAGAACTCGTGCTCTCCAGTAGTGAACTTGACAGTGGGGTGGGCACGCTTAAGCAATGCATGGCCATCGAAATCATCGGGCGCGAGGCACTCCTCCCACCAGTCAATGTCCAATCCCTCAGCTTCACAACGCTTGACCAGCTGAATAGTGTAAGAGACAGTAAGAGACATGTAGCAGTCGACGCGCAGAGGGAAGTCAGGTCCAACGCTGGCGCGCATTTGACGAAGGTACTCGACGTTCTTCAGCAGACCCTCAGTTCCCTCGTCCGGTCCGTGAGGCAGAGCCACCTTGGCGCCAATAAATCCCGCTTCCTTGGCAACACCAGGCTGGGGTCCAGTGCAGTAGAAGTTCAAGCGCTCCCGAGTCGCACCACCGATCATCTTGTAAACAGGCTCCTTGCGAATCTTGCCAATCAAGTCCCAAAGGGCAAGATCAACGACGGAGATTGCAGCCACTGGCAGACCCTTACGTCCGTAGAACATGGAAGCGCGGTACATCTTCTCAAACAGGTTGTTGGTATCACGGGGATCTATGGTAATGCATGCGTTAGAATTATGCTAAGCATAGTAACATGTCATGCGAGCTTACCTTCGCCGATTAGGAAGCGCTCAAAGTGCTGGTGAACCAGCCAGCAAGCAGGGGGACCACCAAAGCCAGTAGCAAAGCCCTTGGTTCCATCTGTAGCCTCAATCTCAACACAGAAAGATCCCAAAACATTAATACCCCAAGAAGTACGCGAGCCGCGGTACTCGGCCCACTTGGTCATGGGGGTGGAGATGTTGCTGTCAATCAGCCAGTGGCCTCCCTTGACCTATAATAGATAAATTAGACCTTTTAAAATCTTCCAAAGTTGCCAATTGAGCATTTTCTTACATTGTGGTAGTCACCACCGGAGCCGACACCGTCAATGACGAAGGTGCGGATCTCCTTAATGCGGGGAAATTCCGAAACTGAACCCATGATTGTGAGGTAAAAATATGAGGACAGAACTTCAAATTGACAGAGTATTAGAAGGATGCAAAGAGAAAGAAAAAAGAAATAGAGAAAGGTGGGGGAACGGACAGTTTTTCAACGAGCGCGTGTCGACAAAAATCCAAGGCCTCGGGCCAGCAATGCCCCGAGCTGCGGGACAGCGTCGGAGTATCACCGTTGCAGAACGTGGGGAAATGAGGCGAGCCACTGCCAAGATGTCCACCCCAATAATGAATTTTGAGCCTAGGGATTTTCCCATGTAAATCATGTTGAAAACTCGCATATTAACCAAGCGTTATATTCTGGAGAAATTGAATTCGCTCCCATCTCTCTTCCGCTCTTGAAATTTGGTCTATAAGTTATAACTGATGGTGGTCCAAACATCATGGGAGCTTATTGAGGTCAACATTGTCCCACATAGGTTGGTACATGTGATAATAGGTACCTGATGATGTACTAGTAGGTGTTTTGCTGAGTTAAAGTAGGAGGCACGGTATGGGCATTTTAATCTCAACTAACTTGATTTGAGAATCGATGACTAAAATACTAAAGCGCTACGCCTGGACATACTACCCGGTATATTGGCCCAGAGCAGCACTTGAGTATAATGCTAGTTATACCCGTGTAGTCGTGCTCCGACCTTCCGTAGACAGATGAGGTTCAATTCCGAAAAAGGAAATCTACTTCTTTCATCCTCGGTCTGGTTTTTTTTTACCTTCCACAGCCCTTAGCCACAGGGCTTCCAAGGATCGAAATCACGGATTCGAGGTATTTGGTCTAGTAAACCGATATACTCCAAACATAACATGGAATTTAAATATAAAATGCCTAGAAAGGAAAAGTAGTAGTTCCTGGCAACCATGTAATTTTGGAAGCGATGAAGTATAAAGCCCAGTATGCCAGATTTGGTCGCGGCATCATAGACAGGTACTAGTGTCAAATAATACTTCTCTCTACTTACATCCATGCATCCTCCATCCCCTTAGGTATCTGTACTCGTTTCGATAACATCCATTATATTGAAACTTCTATCAAACATCTATTGTATACTTGAGCTGCCATTTCCACTTCAACCTTTTCAAGTGCTGGCTCAGCTGGTCGGTCACCATGTACGCACAACAGGACGCACCAATGACTCTCGCCGGTCCGAACCCTTACTATTTCACTTATTCGGATGAGAATCCATCTTCCGATGCCAATCACGCACCGAACTCCAGTCAAGATGACAGGATCCCCCAGACTGAAAATTACTATCCGCAATATCCACCTGCCTCAGAGCCCTATGGCATGAATAATCTTTGGGAACTTCAGGGCAATCCTTCGGTCAATGCAAATGTTTTTCCTAATGGGAATGGAGTTATGGACCAAACGGCTGCTAATATCGCCAATATACCCTACTACACTAATATGCCACGTGCAGTCAGACCGATGGATTTCCAGCCTGATGCGTACTTTGATCCTTCTATGCCCGGGCCATCATCGTTTCAAGTGCCCCAAAGAAATTTTTTCTTTAATCAATGTGCCCCAGCCGCGCAACCTTCAATGCCATACGAAGATGAGCCCATACCAACAGCCCCAATGCAGTCTTATTCTCCGGATCAAAACTTTCCTCCAAACCCACTCTCCGGACCCATAGACCAATATACCCAAGCTGCACCACCTTCAGTACCATACGAACAAGAACCCATGTCAACAGCCCCAATGCAGTCTTATTCTCCGGATCAAAACTTTGCACAAAATCCACTTCCCGGGCCCATAAACTCCCAAATGTTTGACCCTGCTTTGTCCAGTGGAAATAAATATATACAAAGTCCTTACAGTGAGAAGACAGCATTTTTATCAAGGAACTCACTGCAAACGAACAGATCAGAACAGGTTTCGTCTCCAAGGGCCGAATTGGAATGGGTCCTGGTGGATCCCACCAAAAAAGATTGTCGTCGCGAAAAGCGGACTAGAACACAGTTGGATATCGAAAATCGAAAAGAAGATATTCAAAGGCTCAAAGAATTTGGTGGAGCATGTATGTGGTGTCATCGGAGCAAGAAGAAATGCGACCCGGCCCAAGTCTGCCAGCCCTGCCGCTCCAATAAACGCCGGTGTATCCGAAGTTCTTCCCAGTTGTGCTTGATAGGGCTTTCCAAGTCTCCTACCCAAGAAAATCCACCTATTTTTGGTCCTCCGTCGAAAGAGGCGTTGGATACTTTGTTTTTCCTAACCAACAAGACTTTTTCGGATCAACAAATCGTCAAAGTCCATCTTAGTATTCAGCATGAGGATAAACCACCAATTGTGGAGCTGACCAAGACTCACATGCACCCAAACAGACCTGAAACAAAGATTCTCGTTCATGAGTTCATTCACTGGGCGGCTAATCGTGTTCAATTGACGGACTTGGAAAATTTCATAGAACCTTATTCGGCTCACTCGTTAGTTATAACGGCAATCAGAACGATCAAGTTGCTCATGATCATTCAGAATCTGGCTACAACAGATGTTCAGCTTCGTGCGTCCGATGCCGACTTGGCGCGGTCAACTTTACTTCTGGTATTGATTGTCAGCTTTCAAAAGCTGGCCGAGGTTTCTGACAGGTTCACGGCTGAACTGTGTGAAGCGCTGCGTCAAAGAAGCACGGAGCCTACTAGACTTGAAAAAAAGGATGGCATTCAAAGCTGTCTTAGTTTAGGTCCGGTCATCGTTGCCACCGACCTTTACTTTCAATTGGTTGACAGTTTGCTGGATTTAATTGAAATTCCAGTGGTTGAGCTAATCTTCAAGCACCTCGATACACACATCTGTGAAGCCCACGCCAATCTGAAGAGTATCCTCAAGTCAGCCGGTGCGCACCGTCCAAAGCGTGCCAAAGGTTTAAAAGCGAAAAAAGCTCCAGGTGACCAGCTCCCTGCTTTTCCATCCACTCGATACTTCACCCTGATTTTCCAAGTGGGTGTAGTAGATACTAACGACAACTCCCAATTGACAACAACCAATTCTGAACTGATATCTTATGATGTCGAGAATCTTTTTAAAAGTGTAATCGAAAACTTGGGAACCTCCCAAACCCCCTCGAAGGAGGGGGAAAAGGTACCTGTGGCGCTGGCTGAAGAGCCAGCTCAATCTGCATCCACAGAGAAGACCGAAACTGACAACAATCCAAATACCATGGTTTCCGGCAGTCCCTCAATGCAATCGGACACCTTTGATGATATTCTCAACTCTTTGCCGTCGGATTGGGCATTGGATGCGGATGAGAACATGTACTGTGGTCTGTTTGAAGATCAATAGGAATTCCGAGGCACTGATTTCTTCCATTGTGATTTTTTGTACGTGCACATTTACTTCGTTTTCGCCTTGCAATATTCCGTCCTTCTGTCTTTCGAAAGTTTCAAATGTTCAACGATACTAGCTATACGGCCAAGGCCTTGTTTTAATACATGCAATACGATTTGTGCACCTCTCTATTTAATTCTGACTTATTAAATCTCTACCTAGGCACTGACCGTCAAAGGCAACCTTGGTTGGAAGCGACCTCTCTCCATCCATACATAGTATTTAGTACTAATAGATCTCAAAGATCTAATACCTACATTAGATCAATACCCACTCAACCAGATCATACATATTGATCAGCAATGGCACTCAAGTGCTTCAAAATGAAAAGTCTGAATGAACACCCTTAGACCCAGAAATCAATAGATAATTTGAAAAGAATTGAAAAATAGCTCTGGAGCTGGGGGAGTAAGAAAGTGTGTATGTATTGTAACGAAGCAGCTTATTTTTATAATCCATGGCATCGACCTGCAACTAAATCCAGAATACGAACCTAGGTCTCCTTGAACTCATAAAGACCCTCGGAGCGATCCTTGACCTCAACTTCAATGAGACCCTCCTCAACCTCCTTGCCGTCAACCTCAATAGATGCGCGCATGACATCGCCAGCCTTGACTTCACCAACACCCTTGGGGGTACCAGTCAACACAATATCACCCTTCTCGAGAGTCATAACACGGGAGATCTGAGCAAGCTGTGTAACGATGCGGTGCAGCATAAGGCTAGTCGAGTCAGCCTGGCGATCGACACCGTTAACCTTCAAGCGGAGGAAGGCGTCGTGAGGGTTAGGAATGCGCGACTTGGCGATAATTTCGGAGATGGGCAGGAAAGTGTCAAAGCCCTTAGCAATGGACCAGGGAAGACCCTTCTTCTTAGCCTCGTCCTGGACGTTGCGGGCAGTCATATCAATAGCGAGGATGTAGCCTTTTGAAACGATCGGGTTAGCGGAGCTTCTTGATCGTAGTAGTGACTGCCATTTGCGGGGTAAGTAAAGCTAAGCTTTCAAACACTCACTTTCAATGGCTTCGAACGCGCTCTTCTCGTCATTGGGGTCAAGATCGCGAATAGTCTTGCCAATCACGAGACCCAATTCGACTTCATAGTGTAGGCTGACACCCTTAGGGCGGAGGACGGGACCGTCGCCGGGGAGAAGGATGGAGGAAGAGGGCTTCAGGAAGAAGAAGGGCTGTTTGGGGGTCGCGCTGTTCAGCTCGGCAATGTGTTCGCTGTATCGTGGCAATTGAATATTAGCATTGGCATAGACAAGCAGACAGTCCTTGAAGGGTAATGGTTTTCAGGCGGAACGCATCCGTTCTGTGGGGAAGAAGAGACGCACGCGTAGTTACGGCCGATACACATGACCTTGCGGCAATTGGCTCTGAGAGATGATGCCATTGTGAATGGTGATTATGTTGTGCGACCGAGAAGTTTAAGTCTAGGTAGTACAAGAAGGGAAAAAGGGAAGGAAGGCCGGGGGAATTTCGAGGTTATGACTTCGGGCCTTCGGTCAAGCTCCGGTGGTCGCAAGTCCGGTGAATGCGGAGAAATCGGCGACAGCCCCAGCCGCTTGTATCTTTATCCCCCTGAGTTTCTTGACAAAGTCACTCCACACAATCTGGATTGGCATTCTACGTGATCTAATTGGGCATTCTATTTAATTGGGTTGAGTGGTTAATACTAATAAAAGAGAGATCTCACTGCATCGAGGAATCCAGTATTAATTTGCAAGTCAGAATAGAACTGTGACTAGGCGGGTGCTTGGCCCGATAATCGGATGCTGCAGCCGAGCTGCATTTTAACTAGCCGGACTGCATGGCATTAATGCAGGTGATGTGTGATGAGTGCTTGCAGCTTAGTCCATGTCGGCATTTCAGGTCCAAGGAGGTGAGCTATTTGGATTTGAGGCTATGATTGTTGAATACTGAAGGTGGAAGACTGCTATAATCAATCTCGGCCCCTTTATTAGGGGTGCCAAGTGACCGTCTTCCCCAAGGGACCTCCTCGGTCATAAGTTACCAAAGCAGTATGCTGATCAATCGCCATCACACCAGGCCAAAAGCTCGAGGCCTGCGAAACCACGCTGGCCCCGCTCCATTGAATACGCCCATTCTGTGGCGGCGGAGCGAAGACAGCCTTGATCGAAGCATTCTTGACCCATTCCACCTTGGGCGAGTCCTCATCGGTCATAAATACGACGACCATAGAACCATCCGCAAATGACGTGATCTGAGGTGATCCTGCATTGTGACCGGGCTTCGGTCGGAATACCTCATGACGATTATGCCAGGACGCACCATCATCGTAAGAGACAAGTGCCTCGATACTAAACGGACCGTATCTTGTAGTCTCAAAGACCATTACCAATGCCTCGCGGCCGTTGTCAAAACTGGTCGCAATGCCATTCATGCCATCGCGCAGAGGATCATTGTCACCATGCAAGCAGACAGCACGACTCCAGGAACTTCCATGGTCGTGCGAGGTCACCAGCATTGTGCATTGATTATTGGGCGCGAACTCTTGAGAGTATGTGAGCTGAACTTCTCCCCGCCTACCCAGTCGCATGAAGGGCTCCCATATACCGAGTGGGGCACCCTTCTCCGCGGCCTGTGATGCATAGTTCCAAGTACGTCCTCCGTCCTGGGACCTGCATACAGTGATACGGAAATGTGTTGGACCATGAGGTCCGACGTCATGGTTGCGGAAAGCCGCCAGCACGACGCCCGGAACCACCTCTAACAAGAACATGTTATCCACATCCCCTGCTGCGCGAGTGACCTCGGAAAGGTTCTCAAAGGTGCGACCGTTGTCGATGCTGCGGGCGACGCAAAGAGCGTGCTTTCCATCGGGGAAGCGGGTGAATGAGGACAGAATCGATCCATCTGCGAGACGGGCGAGGCGGGGATAGGTACCTCCATTCGGTGGGGAGGAAAGCGGACGTTCATCGTTGTTCACTGTTGCGCGACCTGGAGGCTGCCGTGAGGGTTCATGATGGGAGTGATTTCCCCCCAGGGCGTTGATTATTTTCTGACCGAGATGACCAGGCATTGTGGTTAAGAATGCTCAAGTGTTAGTTGGAAAGACGGAGAGGGGTTGCATGTTAGAAAAGCAGTTGTAACGGCTTCTGCCTGCTATTACGTCATGTCAACCAACCGTGTCCCTTGTATTGGGGGATTTTGGAGCTGATCAACACATTTGAAACTGAGGATTTTCTTGGACTGTGTAACACAAAGTCAAAATCCGCGATCGGTGTTAAACACAAATATAGTGGAGTTAGGATTCTTGAGGAATTTTCATTCCGTCGTGTGGTAACTGCGCTCCGCACTTAGGCTTCGCACGGAGTTAAGTTCTATGCCACGCAATCTCCGCGTTTGAAGAGTCTAGTGACGAAGTTTGCCGGCAGAATCCGAGCTTGAATTCCAAGCTTGTTTCAAGTTCCATATAAATACTTCCACAATCCCCTGTTACTGGTTGTTTCGATTCTGCAAATCAAAGGATTTCTCATCAAATTCTTTCAACGCAGCTTGCAACCATGCCTCCTTTCCTATACTCGCAATTTTTCGTTCGTCCTTCCTACCCTGAGGGATCACTAGACGGCCAGACAATTCTCGTCACTGGTTCCAACGTTGGCCTTGGTCTTGAGGCTGCCCGCCATGTTGTTCGCCTAGGAGCCTCCCGTGTGATTGTTGGAGTGCGCAACGTGGCAGCCGGAGAAGAGGCCAAGAAGGAAATCGAAGCCTCTACCGAGCGCCCTGGAGTTTGCGAAGTATGGGAGGTAGATCTCGCCTCATACGGCTCTGTCCTCTCATTTGGAGATCGAATCTCCCAGCTCCCTCGTCTGGATGCCGCTATTCTGAATGCGGCAATTGCAACCAAAGAGTTCCAGCTCGCCGAGGGCTATGAGCGGACAATCACAGTCAACGTCATCAACACCCTGCTCATGGGGCTTCTCATCCTCCCAAAGCTCAAGGCCACCAGGAAGGAAGTGCCTTCCAGCCACCCACATTTGACATTTGTGGTCAGTGAAGTCCATGCATGGGTCAAATTCGATGAATGGAAGGAGGACAAGACCCTTCAGATTATTTCAGACCCAGAGAAGGCCAAAATGGCCGAGCGATACCCTCTCTCAAAGTTGCTGGAGGTCCTAGTTGTGCAGGAGCTAGCTGGCAGAGTTCTCGGATCAGAAGTTATCATTGATATGGTGAACCCTGGCCTTTGCCATTCGCAGCTGGGACGAGAGGCAGGTTGGACTTTCTGGGCGATGAAGCAAATCCTTGCACGCTCAACTGAGATTGGATCACGCACTCTCGTGGCTGGTATTCTAACCGGGCTAGAGTCGCATGGCGGATACATGTCAGATGGAGTTGTGGACAACACCGCTTTCTCGGAATTTGTGCGCAGCGCAGACGGAGCCAAGGCTCGGAAGAAGGTCTGGAGCGACGTGACAGCCATTCTCGAGGGCGTCAGGCCTGGAATCTTGCAGAACATTTAGGAATCAATATTCGCTGGATCCGTGCTATTTTTATTATGTACTATGTTAACACCTGATAATAATTACCCTATGTTTTTAAAGTGGCCTTCCCGGCAGTGTGATCTGTGCACATCAGCTTTTCTTGGATAACACTAGTACCCTATGTGCCGTAGATTATCAAAAACAAAACCATAATAGTAGTCGTTATAACGTAATAAAATTGTGATAATCTTCATTCGCAATTACTCACAGTCGCGCAGGGAGAATACAATACTTGACAGCCTTGACCTGAGTCCAGCCCTCGAGGGCATCTTCGCCCATATCTCGGCCGAATCCGCTCTCTTTCACTCCACCAAATGGAACATTAGGGCTCAGCATGGCCCACGCGTTAACGGTCACTTGGCCAGACTCCAGGGCTTTAGTAACACGATGCGCACGGTTGACATCATTTGTGAAGATGGCAGCACTCAGCCCGTGAGCAGTGTCATTGGCCTTAGCGATGACCTCTGCCTCGGTGGAGAACTTGGCGATACTCTGGTGCAAAAATGTTAGCACGAAAACCACTGGTAGCTGCTTTATGCCTTGGGAATGACAGCTTACCGCAACTGGACCGAAAATCTCTTCTCGCATAATCGTTGCATCGTCTGCAACATCCGCAAAGGCAGTATTCTGGACGAAGTATCCTTTCTCACCAATTCGCTCGCCACCAAACAGCAAACGCGCGCCACACTCCTTGCCTTGGCGGATGTAGTCTAGGACTTTCTTGTGCTGAGCATTGCTAACGATAGGACCCTTTGTAGTTGCGGCGTCCAATGGATCGCCAGCAACAGTGGGAGCATCGGCTGAAGCCTTCTTATACGCCTCAATGAAACGTTCATAGATGGAAGCCTGGACATAGATGCGCGATCCCGCTGCACAGATCTGGCCATTATTGGCAGTAATACCAATACGGGTCCAAAGCAGAGCGTTCTCGAGGTCACAATCATCGAACACGATCGACGGCCCCTTGCCTCCGAGTTCGAGATTCACCTTCTTCAAATTGGTTCGAGCTGCCGCCTGAAGAATCTTCCGTCCGGCGATGGCGCTTCCTGTGAAGGAAATCTTTCGGACTTCCATGTGTTCGGAAAGAGACTGGCCTGCATTGGCACCGTCGCCGGCGACAATGTTGACCAGGCCTGCGGGGAAGCCAGCCTCCTTGACTAGCTCGGCTAGTCGCAGGGCATACAAGGGCGAGTTTTCGGAGGACTTGATGATCAACGAGTTACCAGTGGCAATGGCTGGTGCCAGTTTCCAGATTGTGATCATTCTTCAAATTATCATATTAGTATATCACCCCATAGTTCATCAGCTTGGCAGGAAGTCACTTACAACGGTGCGTTCCAGGGGACAATGGCACCGCAAATGCCCAAAGGCTCCCGGTGGGTGTATGCAATACCACCATCCATCTCAAGTGTCTTACCATCGATTTTATCAGCCCAACCAGCATAGTATCGAAGACAGCCAACCGCCTGTGGGATATTCAATCCCATTGAATCGGTAAATAGGGTACCGGAATCAACGGCCTCCAGAGATGCCAGATCCTGCGCATCACGTTCGACTAAATCAGCCAATTTGAGTATAAGACGAGCGCGGGCGGGTCCTGAAACCGCCTTCCAAGCTTCGAATCCGGCTTTGGCAGACTTCACTGCCTTGTTAATATCTTCCAATCCAGCTGCGGAAATGGTTCCGAGATGTTCGCCCGTCGATGGATTCTCCACGGCCAAGGTCAGACCTGTGGAAGATGGCACAAACTCATTGTGAATGAACAGTCCGGTCGGCACTTGAATGCAGCATGTGAGTTTCAGAGCTCATTTCAGCAACGAGTCAATGACTAGTAGTATGCTGGACTCACCGGCAACCTTCCGACCTTGCACTCCGGTGATTGTCAACGATGAAGACATTTTAAGTAAAATGGCAGTTTTAGTGATTGCTGAATTTCAAGTCATACGGACTCATACCATCAGTCAACGACTGGGTACACCAAGCTGCTTTTCTATGTTGACCCCAGGGCGCACGGTCTACTGTGGGGACCCGGCTGACACGGGCTGACTCGACTCACTCGAGTAAGAAAAGCACCGTTCCGCGCTAGCATTCCGCTTCCGAGGACTTTCGGCATGACCCTTGGCTGAGTGAGGGAAAGATCTGTGTTTTATCTTAGTGAAGCGGGGAAATATACATGAGCTACAAGGCAACGGTGCATTAAATTATCTAGATCCCTGACTAGTGCCCCCATGGCTTACCGGGAGCCCGGGACCATTCCGAGCGCTCCTAGGGTCGGAGAAGTTGGACAAATCGACTGATCAACATACATGATAGTTAGTCATTGGTATGTAAAACGCATTGTAGATGATAATGCATGCCCGTCTGCATACCAACCACCCCAACTATCAATCGTGGGTATGCGAAATGGGAAATTCAGCGCTGGAGTGGATATCTGAAATGCCTGTCAATAGCGGAAGCGGTCCCGGGAGACTTTGCCACGCCTTTGAGAAGCACACCGATCCTAGAGCTAGGCTTACTCTCGTGGTCGTTAGGCCTCCCGTATGTTATGAGAAAAGCTGGTTTACCATTTCCTCGAAAGGGTATGCTGTATGGCAGAGTGCGCCCTTGCGGTTTGGCAAAATCATTTTCTTCAGTGATTAAGTGACTCCAGGGCTCATGATAGTTCGCTCCTAGGTTAACGGCGCCTTATACAAGAAAAATGCTGTTCAATGTGAAGTACGGAATAATCGAAATGGTATTGCCAACCTTGAAAGGTCAAATCAGGCAAACATTTCCCGTTATCGATTCGTGTAACGCGACAAGCGCTTCCCCGCACAAGTCACGACTCTACATGTGCCTCTCACAATAAACGGGCTTTGTCGTTTTTGACAGCTTCGGATCCAGATTCCAGATAATCATGCGACGAGTCAAAAAATCCCGCAATGGATGTGCAAGGTGCAAAAGCAAAAGAGTCAGTATCTTTGCATAGTCTGAGCTTCCCTCATAGAGACCAGACTCTAACCTACTGGAACAGGTCAAGTGTGGAGAGGAGAAGCCTAACTGTAGTCGCTGCACCCGACTTGGGGTCCGGTGTCCTGGGTATGTGCAGTCACTAAAATGGGTCACCGAATATGTGCAGTCTAGCCCGGGCGCGTTATCAGATGGCCAACCGCCTAGCCCGGAACCAACTCCATCAGTGCCGAGGGAAGCTCCTGCTGCAGTGGGTGATGCACCGTCGCTAGATAGTACGAACCGCGATGCGCATCTACAGCCAGATGATGTAGGATTTGAAATAGATGACACAAACGCTATTTGCGACAATCTTTGGGATCTTCCGGGGAATCGTTCACTGCCAGATTTAACCGATCTCTGTCCATCTTCTCCAATCCCGATATCACCGTCGGGTTTCTCGCCGAATAAAAATTTGCCATATGACCTACCTTCATCGGGCGATATGACGGTCGATGTATCCCATCTGTTATCGCTGATTGGCCCTCCACAAGAGAATCTTGCCAATGATGGGAGTGTTTACCCAGATTTCTCGCCTTCAAGGATCGTCCGCAGCCACCTACCTGCTTCACAACGTTCTACTTCGCGAAACACCATGTCAATATCTCGTCCTTTGAACAACCCATCATGGACCCTTATTGAGTATTATTTCAAAGAGGTTGCGGCTCTCTTCTCCAGCTATGATAGCCAGATGAACCCGTTCCGCACGACCGTCTCCAGACTATGGGGCTCATCATTGGCTATGTGCCGTACAATGCAAAGCATGGCAGCTGCAACTCTTGTCAACGACTTCCCACAGTTTGGCCCAATAGGCCGAAAAATGAGGGACGAAGCTGTCAATATCATCACACTCGAGGCAGTCATGGACGACAAGTCTTTGTTAGCGCTCCTCATGCTTGGCCAGACAGCAAGTTGGCACGATCCGAAAGACTTGGGAATTTCCTTCTTCAATTTACTCCGGAAGCATCTCAACTCAATCTCTGACGGATCTAGTACGGAACCTATCGGCGTCCCGAACAGCCGCAGTAATAATTATCGCTTTTTCGAGGAGGCTCTTGTATACTGGGAGATGCTCCTCTCTTTTGTCTCAGACAATGACTCCACGATGTTTTCTGATACATCTCGTGCCTCGCTTACGAATGAAACTCTTGTTCTTCAACGCGTGCCCCACCCGTGGACTGGCATAGCACGAGATGCGCAATTTACTGTACATGAAGTGGGCCGCCTTGTCCGCAAAGAACGGCAACGTATCCATTCTCGAAATTTCACATCCCAGGACGATATAAGACGTGCACAGATTGCCATCGAAAAGGCACATCAGTTAGAAGACCGCTTATTAAACCTGGCTCATCTCACAGAAGCAGAGATTGTCAGCACCGGGGATGATGAAACTCCAATCTGGCATCTCCTTACTGTCGCTGAAGTATATCGGTGTACGGGGTTAATCCAGCTATATCGCGTCTTCCCAGATTTACTCCGTGACCGTCTCCAAAATCCAGTGGCGGCTCATTTCCCAGATTTTTCGGCGGAAGCAGTCGGCGACCCGTTCTTCCCAATTGATTTAGACTGCATGAATCTGCCTTCGGGCTTCGGCGAACCATCAGACAGTACTACGCCTAACAAAAGCAAACCACCCCATCAAAACGCACACATATTCCCTCCCTGCTCACATCATCATATTCCTCGGGTACCCGAATCCACATCCCAGGAAACCCCACCGGATTCACTCTACGACACCTGGCTCACCGATTTTGCCGTCACGCTCCTCTCACGCCTGAAAACCATTCCCTTCGAATCCCGTACCCGCTGCCTCCAACCATTACTACTGGTAGCCTCATGTAGCGAGCTACGTCTGCCACGACTGGATACAAGGCACCCTCGTGCCGAATTTGAAATTCATCAACAGGATGACCCCACGGATGACCAGGCTGGATCTGGTACCGAAACGCCAAACATTTCAATGGAGGCCATTGAAGTCTCCCAGACACGGAAGTTTATTCTCGGTCGTCTCACGTCTTTCCTGCATGTTTTGCCACCTAAACCAATAAATGTTTGCGTAAAACTTGTGAAGGAAGTTTGGAGGCGGATGGATGCCGGAGAAGCTGATAGTTATTGGATCGACGTCATGATTGAAAAGGGATGGGAGACAACAATGGGGTAGCATAAATTAAATCCACGCCCTTACTCCAACTTATACACCCTGTGGCCTTCAGTAAACACCCTCGGTGAAATCAAAAGGGATGAAATTGCTGTTAGCGGGAATAATAACCTCAGCCAAAGCTTGGTATTTGTTCGTCCGGAAAGCCTGCAAGTCAGTGACGCATGCTGCGTGACCGAAAACCATTTGATCAGCACTTGAGCTCTGGATTGAGTGATATGACGGGGAGAATACTCACATAGTGGTAGTACGTAGTATCTTTCGATTTTTCTTTCTTACGAGACAGGAAGCCAAAAAGAGCTCCTTCTTATTGACATTTACCATAAGGGCACATGCGCACAGGCACCGGCTAGAGAGATCCTGATGCGCGTAGAGATGCCCCATATAACTATTACTTCTTAGTCAATCGCATTTACAATTCCGAGTGGAGAAAGTTATAACAATGCTTGTATTAATAACAAGGAGGATTCATCGGTGATTAAAGCTTTTAAGCTAATCGGATTGCATAAAATTCCGTAGTTCAAGGTTCGGCTCGCTGCAAGGGGTAATCAATAGCCACATCTGACAACAGGACGAGCAAAGCTGAACAATCTCTTTCAAACTCCCATCAGAGTCAACATATTTCTCTAGGATCAAATCTCCCCAGAACATTTCATTGACAGACTGCCCTCCTGCCTGGAGAATCGCTCGTGGTATAGAACTATACTGAATTGCATCGAGGCAATCCTTTTGTCCCAGAAGTATCCCCGACCGGCCATTCGGCACTGCATCTCTATCAACGACCCAAGCGATGATGTCCATGCTAAGTATAGTGTTGGTAAACTCTAGGTTAAAGGAGATGATTTGCACTCGTGTTGCATCCTGGTTCTGGTATGGTGCATGAACCGGGTCGGAAAGATGCTTTTGAAAGTGTTGAGTTAAGATGTCAACCGGTCTTTCGTGATTATATGTATGGTGCTGGTTGCACCAGTGTCCCATAATACTTCCATCTTTTCGAGGTGACATTCGGGCGTACCCACTTCCCAGTCAATAGCAGTGATTTTCGAGTTTCCAGTGACGGCTATTAGCGTATTCTCTGTGCGCACGCCGCAGAGAACCCAGCTCAAGGAGGAATGCCCGTGGTGGCGGTGGGTCGTTCTCGCTCAACGCCTTCTTCTTCAATGCAGCACGGCGATCTGGGGATAATTGTCGTACGAAGATGTCATATGCGATGATATTTCTATGCACTAGTATGGAGCTAAGGGAGACTCTGAATACAGTCTGTCTGTGTGGCCTCAGGTGACGGGGAACGCGACAATAATGGTTGAGGAAAGCCTGCGGATTCCAACTTGCCAGTAGTTCGAATAGGTCGGCTTGGCGGGTATTTCTCGGACGAAAAGTCCGTGGTCACTGGTGCTCAAGGAAGCCATAACCAAGACGATAAATAGGGAGGAAATTTGAGAAATGAACTTTTTCGGGGAAGGAAAGATTGATGCGAGATTCAAGAGTCAAGAGTCAAGAGTACTATACTTATATGGATAATGGGGGCCGATAACCGCCACCCTACTGCCATAACCCAATTTCAATTTCTAACCTCACCGGCCTGTTTCCCGCCCGTATTGTATTTATCACATACAGGAATATCTTAAGGGATTTTGATCTAAATACGGGTCACTTTTAGAATAGACTTGAGAATAGACTTGAGAATAGACTTGAGAATAGACTTGAGAATAGACTTGAGAATAGACTTGAGAATAGACTTAAGAATGGATTGATTATAGAGTTCAGGGATGCAATGTGTAATGCAGTTCAGCATTGAAGGATTCAAAATAGAAGGAAGTACAGGGGGATTCAACGTATAATGGAGTTTAAGGATTCCGTATATAATGCAGCGCTGTATATAGAGTTCAAAAACAAATATGAATTTGGAATTACTCGTAATTTACTTTCTGCCAGTCGGAAAGTTGAAACTGGGTTATAACTTATGGCAGTAGGGTGGTATCGGCCGCCGTAATACTTAATAAGACCCGCTCTAAGCATTAAAATTTAAGGTTATTGGGGTCGGAACTACTTTATTCCGTTCACACTAGTACCAATACAGACAGACTGTAGTAATTACTCCGCGAGGCCACTTTTGACTCTTGACCAGTCTCCCGTGACCCGTCCACAACCTTACTACCATAGCTTTTTGACCATGGATGTCTAGGGGTGAACAAAGAGTGGCATATATTGAAATTGCAGATTTTGGGCCAAAGTTAAACAAATGGCGGAAGCCAAGTCATAGAGTCAAAACAGAAAATAAGAGGTTGCACATGAGGAATCAAGAGTTGACAATTCATCGCCAAGACCAAAGGGGCTCTATGTAACACCGGACTCATTTCAACTGTACCGGTTATATGTGGAAGATTTTCGACGGAGAATGGACATGCAGGGGTATCTTAGAAGATGGTTCCCTTCACCTGTGGTTTTTCCTTGACATTGATGTCCCGGATCATCATAGTCCAAGGAATAGCGAGAACCATGATACCCGTACCAATAGCAAGTAAGCGCAGCTCAGCATAGGAGTAGGCCTTCTGGATAGCAATTCTCGTAGCAGAGCCCAACGGGTATCCTCGCTGGGTGACTAGGTCGTTATAGATATTATCAAAGTTCGACATAGCAGACTCGGGAAGATAACGCTGCAAGGCGACTGGGTATGTGTTTTCCCAAACAACGGTACTGATGGTAAGACCAGCACTGTCACCAATCGTACCGACGACGTTCAATAGACCAAGGGCCGAGGCGAAATGTTGGTGGTCAACAGCAGCGAGAATGGCAAGCTGTTCGACGATGATGAAAATGGAACCTCCGATCGCAATGAAGATCTGGCACATGATTTGGTAGCCGACGCTCATACTAGCGTGACGGAAGTAGATCATGAGACCCTGGGCGAAGATATAGAGCGGAACGCAAATGTACAGAAGCCACTTGTAGCGACCGGTTTTGGAAATCACAAAACCGACAATCAGCAACAAAACTCCGGAGACAATATCGAAGATGTGATTGATCCATCCGGCTTCTTGGGGAGTTAGCCCGTTAACAACCTGCAGGAACGACGTGAAATAGTAGTTCCAGCAGTAGTAGGAGAGTTGATAGGTCGCATCTAAAAGACAGGCGCCAATGACGGTGCGGTTTTTAATGTAAGTGATATCCAAGAAAGGCACTGGAGCAAAGAACTTCTCCCAAATAGCGAAGAAGAACAGCATGGAGAATCCAACAACAAGCATAGCAATGATATAGCCTGTCGCCCAACCATCCGGAGCGTAGTCGGCGATATCGAACGGAAGCTCAAAGAGCACAAGGCCGACAGTAAAGATAAACACACCAATTACTACGGAAGATTAGAAGATGGTCTCGGCGTAACCTGGAGGTTTTTTGGGACGGTAACTCACAGTCAAACTCTCGCGTCCAGTGCCATACACTCTCAAAGAATGTGCGTCCACTAGACTCCCGGACCATATGGCCCTCCCTCTGAGCTTTACGAAGAGTGGACTTCAGCGTAAAAAATAGGGGGGCAGCAGTGAGAGGGAAAATGATTGCCCAGGTGCCGAATCCCCATCTCCAGCCATCGCCAGGAAGAGCATAGAATTCCTGGCCAACGGTGGGACCAGCGAATGCCGTGATAATATATGGGGATGAAGTGAATGCGTACGCGAAAGCCCGGTTTTGTAGCTTAGACATATCAGCCGTGAGGACATCAACACAGTACTCCATGCCCATGAAACCCATCGAGTAGAAGACCTAGAATATTGAAAATCAGCATGCACAACCATGCTAAAAACCTTGAAGGGGGTTCACTAACATATCCAGCGCAGTAGACAGAAAAGCCATCGCATGCGGCCATGAGAATCAAACCCAAGGTTGAGAAGATAGTCATGAGTAAGAAACCCTCTGCTCGACCCCAGGTGTCGAGCATCTTGCCTACTGGGATGAAGACCGCGGCGGAACACGCATCACCGATAGCGGTAGGAAGACCAGATAGTGAATGGTATTCATAGTAACTCGCAACATAGGGGCTGATAGTGTCGTAGACCGATGATTGAAACGCGTTGACAAAGTACAGGAACCAAATACTGTAGGAGCGAGGCGTCAATTTCCCGATTAGGGAATCTCAAGAGGAAATGGGTAGATCAAGCACACATACTTCAAAAACACCAAGAAAAGGGTTTTTCTTGACCACGTCAGAGTCATAGCCTCAGCATCAGCGACACCTTGTTGCAGCCCTGCCTGGGGTAATTCGGCTCCATTTTCGTTAACAGGGACGACGTTGTCAGTAGCACCAGGATCTTTCTTCTCCGGGGATCCCTCAGCAGATCCAGTATCAACCGAAGAACTTCTTGCCTGGTCATCCTTAATGCCACGACCGAAGACATTGCGTGCCCTGCGTAGCAAGGGGCGCATCTGTGTTACCGCCATGATACGTGGCCAACAGTATATAAGGCGGAGGAAAGTGGTGAGGAGAAGAAGACTAAAAAAAATCGACGATCAAGCGGTTGAGCGATATCACCCAACTCAAAAAGCCAAACAATCCGAGGAAAATCCTTGCCCTTATAGAATGCCGACACCGAAATCGGATGCTTGTCGGAGACCAAGAAAGCACGAGCAGCTGCACAGAGCCAGCTAAGAGTTGGGGGATTCTGGGCTATGGATCATGATTTGTTAGGCAGAAGCAAAAAGTCCGATTTTCCCCCTGCGCGATGCACCCCGGCTCCACCGGGGGCTACTGGAATGGGAATTAAAAGAAAAATCAGATTCGTGTTCAACTCTGAGACCTGAGTTGATCGGCGCCAAGATGCGGTGATGGGTGGGTCAAAACAACACAGGTTGACCGTTTCACGATTCAAGATGGCTCATTCTGTTTCGTAAGGGAAATGCTGAACTTTTTCAAACCTGTTTGAATATTGGATCTTATGTATCATTTTGTTCCATGTCTGTCTTTTGCAATTGTATCTCAAGGTGGTTGCTTGGTAAACAAAGAGTTGCTTAGATTGAAATGGTAACAACGGACTCCTATGACGCATTCAATATGGCTCATCAAAACAAGTCGAACCCGATGGAATTCCTGGTCGACAAAAGAATCGTGAGTACGACCAAGCGTCCCAGACTTTTCGCCTAAATCAGGAGATTTGAATTAGTACCAGAATGAAGTACATAGGCCATCAAGATCTAATCAGATGCGCGATCTTATCTCGTGGCACTCACAAAGAAGCAGGGTCATTCCGTAGTGCGGTGCAAGTGAAAGGGTGGTGGGGACTATGGGTCCCACACACCCCAGGACCCTGAGACACTGAAAGATGAATGGATAGCTCGGCCTCCTTTGGCCCCCGAGAATGATGATCCTTCCTACACATGAACTTTCGGATTTGGCCGCGTTGAGTTGTACTTACGGAGAACACGGAAGATGAATGGAGAAGAAATGTGGAACGACCCGATCGTCAAGCAAATGAAAAGCATCTTGGCATGCGGGAAAACTCGCAACAAGCAACAATTCCAAGGCTTGCAAAGTTTCTTGGAAGTTATCAGATCGTCGCCCCGGGGGCCACTTTCGGTCCAGTGTCGCCGACAGATCAGCCCACTGTCAATATGGTATTTTTCTTTTACGCGTGTTCTGCGGTAAATATTCTCGAATCATGGTCTAGCGGGGCTTTTTTTTGGACATAAATCTGGAGATGTATTGCGTACTGCATTTTAACGTTGGCCAATTACCAGTCCTCAAAAGTAGTTTACTTGCGAAGTTGCGATCATCGGCATTTCAATCTTATCTGATCAACTCGTACGCGCCATATCATGATTCATATCCACGAATTGCGATTGAGGCATCAATACAATTTTGATCGGCTTTTTATCACAATCAAGCCAAGGAAGCCATCACCGACGCGCGCCCGATAAAACTGGCCATCGTCAATCCGTGATGTATCTTACCTCCTTACTTGGCAATATTGATCACGGTATCTTGGAATGAAGAAAATTAACTAACTTCTCCTACCAGCTTCTTTTTTGGATTACGCTAACTTTCTGCATTCAAATGTTACTATAAAGTGTGATTTTCATTCCACGGTTCCAAAGTTTCCAGATAAAACGCGCGCTCACAAATCTTCTTCACCTCAATTGGGAGATCAGCTTTTTGACCGCTAATCACCACAAAATGCCCTGTGTACCTATCAAACCTTGGAATTTTCCAGTTCTACCTACATCTATACTCTAACCCTTGGAAACTGCTATTTGTATTCATACGACCTTCCAAGAAATGGTTCATACCTAACTAAATGTTCCCAACATTTCAAGCCCTCCCGGGAGGTCAAATGTCAAAATATACTAGTGCCTACTAGTAGTAGTATTGGTTGAGGGCAATTAACAATTCAAAATGGCAGCTCTACCAGGTTGTACCTACATACTACATACTAGATACTAGTTTCATATAGGTCCTCGTGGACTTTTGATCAATTGAAGGCACCTCCAGGGTACATACATATAGGTCCCAGGTGGACATCATTCTGTGGGTACTACACTTAAGAGGAACCTTCAATGTTGCGCACATGCATATTTAGCACTTGAGATTGATTGGAAACACACACGCGCGGGCTTGAACATTCGAAGGATGCGTTTATAGGTGTCATTGAAGACACAAATTTTATATCAGGACCTTTCAACATCAATTGATTTGTTGCAGGGACCTATATTCGGAAAAAAAAAAAAAAAATTATTGCCAACAGATCTATCTTCAAATGTTGTGTTGGAAATATCTCACGGTGAACTGGTGGATGATGGATCGAGCAAAAGTATCTGGTTCAAATGTTGCCTACTATAGGTTTCCAAAAACATCCATACTAGACTCAGGGGCTACAGTGTAGGGTATAGGAAGGAGTTGTACCATGGGGAAAGGAGAAACTAGTAATCGGCTATTGAGGCAAGTCCACGGTACCAAAGTATCAAGGATTCCGTCCCATCCGTGTCTATGGCGTAACTTGAGTTTTTGGTATGCAGATACAATTTTTTTTCATCTTCAAGGTGTCAACTGGTTCTTCAACCCCTTTAAATTTCCCCCCATAACATAGAGGCTATAGCTCCCTCGAAATCTCTGCATGGAAAAACGCTAGCGCGTGCCGCGACCCAAATGCCATGACGATGTTCCATGCCCAATTGGAAATTCTCTGACCAATCGTTAGAGTCCGGTCCCTCCACACTAGACCAAATCAGGTGACCCCACCCCTGATCAACTTTTTTTTTCTTTCTTCTTCTGCGCGTTATTTTTTTTTCTCTCTTCTTCTTCTTCTCCCCCACCACTCCTTTCCTTTTTTTTTTCTTTCTTTTTTTGTTTCTTTGTGATACCCCCTCTCTTATTATTGAGCTGTTTGTCTAGCGACAAGCTTGCTCATCGTGGTCCTGCTGCCTATTACTCCAATAGAGAAGCAGCTTGGGACGGAATCTTTTCTTTGGAACAAGAAAAAAAAAAAAACGGAAGTTTTTTGGGTGAAATTACACCCTCACATATTGCCATAATGGATCAGCAACGATTCCTGCAGCAATTGCAGATTGTTCTCGACCGTATGTACTCCAGCATGACGAGCATTTCAAGCTCGGAAAATCTTTCTCCTTTTTGAAGAATCTTCCCGCTGACCCTTGCTTTCCAGCCTCCCAGGGTAACGTTAAGGAAGCGACCGGCGTCCTGCAGAAGGAATTCTACACTCAGCCCGCATCCCTTGTCCTCCTTATTCAGATTGCTACCGCTCATGAGGATTCCAACCTTCGCCAGCTTGCCGCTGTCGAGTCCCGATCCCTCGTTCAGAAGCACTGGGTGAAGGTCGGCGATGAGCAGAAGCCCCAGATCCGTGAGCAGTTGCTCCGCTCCACCATGGGCGAGAGCTCCCCTCTCGTCCGTCACTCCATTGCTCGGATCATCTCCGCTATCGCCAAGATTGACCTGAACGATGGTGAGTGGGGTGATCTGCCCAACATCCTCATCCGCGCTGCCGACAGCGGTAACCAGGATGAGCGTGGCGTTGCTATCTACATCCTGTACACTATCCTTGAGACCCTCGGTGAGACTTTCGAGGAGAAGTTCGAGGACTTGTTCACCCTGTTTGGCAAGACCATTCAGGATCCCGAGAGCGCCGAGGTCCGCATCAACACTCTGCTGGCTTTGAGCAAGTTGGCTATGTACATTGAGCCCGAGCTCCACCCTGGCCCCGTCAAGGTCTTCCAGGATATGGTTCCCTCCATGGTCGCCGTCCTCAAGAACGCCATTGACCAGAGCGAGGAGGACCGCATCATGCAAGCCTTTGAGGTCTTCCAGACCTTGCTTGGTTGTGACTCTGCCCTGCTCAATGTCCACCTCAAGGATCTTGTCATGTTCATGAACGAGATGTCCGCCAACACCGAGGTCGATGAGGACACTCGTACCCAGGCCATCAGCTTCCTCATGCAGTGCATCCAGTACCGTAAGGTCAAGATCCAGGGCCTCCGCATTGGTGAGCAGCTTACTCGTACTGCCTTGCACATTGTCACCGAGTTGGATGATGACTCTGCTGCCGATGACGATATTACTCCTCCTCGCTCTGCTCTGGCTTTCCTGGATTTGCTCTCTCAGAGTCTTCCACCCAGTCAGGTCGTTGTTCCTCTTCTACAGGCTCTTGGCCAGTACTTCAACAGCGCCGACCCCAACTACCGTCGTGCCGGTATCCTGGCTCTCGGCATGTGTGTTGAGGGTGCCCCTGACTTCATCAGCACCCAGATGAAGGATATCTTCCCCATGGTCCTGCAGCTCCTTGCTGACGGAGAGTACAAGGTCCGCATGGCTTCCTTGCACACCGTCGCTCGTCTCGCCGATGATCTTGCCGAGGATTTGTCCGCGGAGCACCAGGCTCTTATGCCCTTGCTGTTCCAGAACCTTACCAGTGCTATGCAAGAGTACAAGGGTGAGGAGGAGGGACCTATTGTTGATATCCTCAAGGCTGGTATCAGTGCTATTGATGCTGTCGTTGACGGTCTCGATGAGAAGGATGTCGCTCCCTACCAGTCCGAGCTTGTCCCCATTCTCCACAACCTCTTCAAGCACCCCGACTTCAAGATCAAGTCTCTTGCTGCCGGTGCCCTTGGATCTCTCGCCTCGTCTGCCAGTGACTCATTCCTGCCATTCTTCGACGAGTCCATGCACTTGCTTCAGGAGTTTGCTGCTGTCAAGGATAGCGAGGCCGAGCTTGACCTCCGCGCTAGTGTCACTGATGCTATGGGTGAGATGGCTGCTGCTGCTGGCCCTGAGCGTTACCAGCCCTACGTGGAGCCCTTGATGCGTGCTACCGAGGAGGCTCTGAACCTCGGCCACTCTCGCCTTAAGGAGAGCACCTACATCTTCTGGGGCGCCATGGCCAAGGTGTACGGTGAACACTTTGCCGCTTTCCTCGACGGTGCGGTCAACGGTCTCTTTGCCTGTCTCGAGCAGGACGAGACTGAGCTTGACGTCGCTCTGGGCGAAGCTGCCAAGGACCTTGTTGGACAGGAAGTCACCGTCGCTGGCCAGAAGGTCAAGGTTGCTAGCGCTGATGATGATGAGGATGATTTCGAGGGTGATATCGAAGATATCGAGCTCGGTGGTGATGATGATGACTGGGATGACATCACCGCCACTACCCCTCTGGCTCTTGAGAAGGAGATTGCTGTTGAGGTCATTGGTGACCTTGTTACTCACACTCGCAGCGCCTTCTTGCCCTACTTCGAGAAGACCATTGAGCAGGTCATGCCTTTGTGTGACCACCACTACGAGGGTGTTCGCAAGAGCACCATCAGCACTCTCCACCGCTCTTATGCCATGCTCTTCGCCATTGCTGAAGAAAACGGCCAGATGGCCAAGTGGCAGCCTGGTCTTCCCCTGCAGATCGAGCCTGCTAAGGAGGTTGCCAAGTTCGGTGAGATTCTCATGACTGCCACCATTAAGATGTGGACTGAGGAAGAGGACCGGTACGTTTCACTTATTTTTTTCTTGTTCTTGATTTTCTTCCCATTCTCCTTGTTAGATGATTATACCTATCGCTTAACCCAGCTCACTTTGACGTGCCAAAGAGCACGCGTGATGTGAACCGCGTTTATCACGAATGATAACTACTTGACCCTTTTTTTGCTATCATATTGGACAACATTTTGGCAGACATTTGCTAACGAGTCCATAATAGTGCTACTGTCGCCGATATCAACCGCAACATGGCCGAGAACCTTCGCTTCTGCGGTCCCGCCCTCATCGCTGATGAGAGTGTTCTCACCAACGTCATTCACCAAATCACCGACATCATTAGCAAGAAGCATCCTTGCCAGATGGAGTTCGAGGATGAGGATGAGACTGACGGCGCTGGTGAGACCTCCGAGTTCGATTGGGTCGTTGTTGACACCGCTCTCGACGTTGTTTCCGGTATGGCTACTGCTCTTGGCTCTAGCTTCTCCGAGCTGTGGAAGATGTTCGAGAAGACCATCCTCCGCTTCGCCAGCAGCAGTGAGTCTCTGGAGCGCGCCACCGCTGTTGGTGTTCTCGCCGAGTGCATCAACGGCATGGGTGATGCCGTCACCCCCTTGACCCCCACTCTCTTGAAGCTTCTTCTTCACCGTCTTGGTGACGAGGACCCCCAGACTCGCTCCAACGCTGCTTACGCCGTTGGTCGCCTGGTTGAGCACTCCAACGCCGCTGACGAGATGGCCAAGGCCTACCCTACCATCCTCAGCCGTCTTGAGCAGTGCCTCCAGATGGATGTCTCCCGTCTTCAGGACAATGCCACCGGCTGTGTTAGCCGCATGATCCTCCGCAACCGCGAGGCTGTGCCCACCGCCCACGTTCTGCCCGTCCTCGTTAACATCTTGCCCTTGAAGAACGACTACGAGGAGAACGACCCCCTGTACCGCATGATCTGCCAGCTGTACAAGTGGGAGGACGCTACTATCCGCGACCTCACCCCCAACCTGCTTCCCGTCTTCCAGGCTGTTCTGACTGGCGATGAGGACCAGCTTGAGGATGAGCGCCGTGCCGAGCTCATTGAGCTTGTTAAGTGGCTCAACCAGATGCAGCCTGGCTCTGCCCCTTGGGCTGAGCAGCTGTAAATGCATGACTTATTTTGATGACCCTTTGGAATGGTAATAGACGGACGATGTGATGTGGATTTTCCACGAGATGACTAGACGATACCCTGTCTGCGCGGCGATCCCCGCGATGAATGATGAAAAACAAAAAGTGATTGCTGTATATAGTTCAATTGATTTACAATATTTCTTGTACTTGGTTCTCCCGTCTTCCCAATATCGTAACTACCTGTACCAATGCTTTCCACGAACATGTCATGGCCATCACATTACGTGGTATTTATTGAAGCTTGAGAGTCATGAAATGACTTGCTGGGCAGGGAGGCAACGTCCCGTACGGGTCACAAAACTCGAACCCCGCCTTGCTATACAGGTTCTCCGCTCTTGAAAAGGCACAATCTTTGCCAGTCTCCAAGCTCAGTCTAGTATATCCTCTGGCTTTCGCCTCCTTAATGAGGTGCTGCAAAATGGCGCGTCCAACCCCTTTGCCCAGAGAAGCAGCAACAGTCCTCATGGACTTGATTTCCCCGTGTGTTGGCGAAAGTTCCTTCAGAGCCCCGCAACCCAATAGCTCGGCCCCGTCCCAGGCAGAATACAAAGTAACGTTTTTTGCCTGGAGACTTGAGATGTCAAGGATGTCACAGGATTCCGAAGGTACAATTTGACATAGTTCGGCGACGTGCAGGAGGATTAAGGAGCGGAGTGCGGGTGTGGAAACGTTGTCAACTTTGATAAGCAGCTGCTGATGGGCCCCCATTAATGATCATTTTACTCTTATTTCACCAGTACACAACATTGAAGGTTGAACCTACCATTGTTTGTAAAAAGCAGCGACAAAATAATTGGAAGTTGCTGTACGGAGATAAACTGGGTTGGGTGCGGACCTCAGGAATGCCAAAGAAGATGCGAGAAGTGTGGACTACAAACTTCATCCCCACTAGTATGGCGTTAATCACCAACTTCAACCTTGAATCTCCAGGGCTGAGCCATATTCATTATTTCTTTTCAAGATCACTTCGTACTAAACATAACAATACTCCCAAAACATATCCAACACCATGCAAAGAAACACAACAAACAAAAGAAACAAACAAGAAACAACCACCAAATAGAAACAAAAAGGCACAAGGGATATATTAGTCGTCAGGTGTACTTTTCCACTCATTCATGTCCAGGCCAGAGAGACTGTAAAAGCTCCAAATCCTGCCCAACAGCCGGACTATGCCGAGCACAATCCTCCAAAAACCGCATCATCACGTCATTCCAGCGTTCCCAGCCGGGCGGCAGCGTCTCACGCACACGCGCACTAGGCGAGTGTGCAATGCAATAAAATAGAAGAATTTGACCGAAGAATCTGTGCACGTCAGCGGATGCGATCAAGGATGTGTGGGGAGAGGGGGAGATAGGAGGGGCAAGACTCACTGCGAACAAAAAGCAAACTTGATCGGTATGCAACTCTTCATCTTACGGAAGATACCCTGCGTAACGGGCCAGTCCATCGCGTGCCGGAGACCACTTTTGATTTGTTCGATATCGTCGTCTGTTAGTTTGTTCGGGATGCGTAGCGCTTTGTACAGGTATGGACGGCCGATATGGAATTGCGCAATCATGTATCGACCGCGGAGCATGGCGTCTGTTACCGCGATTGCGGGCGAGAGTGGGCGATTCGGATCGACGGGACGCGGGGAGGAGATTGGGTGTGGAGAGGCGGGGGTGGAGGGCGATGGATGGTGCATTGAGTGATCTCCTGGCGTTGAGTGAGAAGGTGGGAGGCCTGTATCGGGGAATTGGATGGCGGGTGGGAGGTTGTTGCGCCATTGTTCGAGTTGGTGGCGGAGCTCGGCGTTGACGGCGGGTAGAGGAATGGCTCCTGAATCAGCTGCATGGTGTTAGTATACTTGAAGAGTAAATTTTTGGGGGTAGTTTTGTTAAGCAATAGCTTACAATAAAAGTAGAGGGAATGTCGGATGCGGGTAAGGATGATTCGGTGTGCGACTTGGGCGAGGAAGTGGTATTGGAAGTAGGAGTCGTCGATGACGTTTGATAGGGGGAAGCGGTTTGCTGCGTGGCCTGTGGCAGAGAAGGCGATGAATTTTGGGATCGGGACTTGCTCTTCCAGTCTGGAGAGACCACTGGGTGGGAGGTGGAGCTCTTGAACGAGAATGGTTTCATTCATCAGGCAGTTCCAGTAGACGCGAGATTTCATATCACCTTCCCACTGGTCGTAGTTGACATCGTGGCTATTTGTAAAATTAGTTGGGACTTTTCATACAATTCATCACATCGAATAAGGTTCCACTTACTTGGTTAACATTGACAAACAACAAGTGGCGGCACGGTGAATCATTGCCCAAGCGTCCATTGGGCGAAGGATTTGGCTATAATATACACTGCACCTAGTCAGCAACAGACTTCATGTGCAAAGCAAGAAAAGATTCCACGTACGATGAAAGAAGGTAGAATTGACAACTCTGGATATCATTGTCACACATCAAGAATCCCATACGCCGACGGGCCTCATTGAAGAAGCGCAAGCCAGGCAATTCTTCATAGACGACATTCATCCATTCGGGCGCTTCGAACCGATGGCTCGTAGATCCAGGAAGAGGGTAATTTCCCTCTTGATGAGCTAGCACGGCCTGGCAGCCCAGCGCCATCACGGTTAGAACAATGCAACTCTCCATTGAATAGCCGAATCCACTTTCAATTGCCGAGCCAACAGTCAAAGAAAAAAAGAAGCTCTTATCCATGATGGGAGTAAACGGGTTGAACACGCTGAAGAATGCATCTGCAAGACCTTTGATCATGGACAAGGGCATCAGCTCAAGCCATTGCTCCCCAACATGGAGAGGATAGGGCGTTGTGAACATGGGGAGCGGTTGTCGTGTGGATTCGAGTTCAACCACATAATTTTTGCCTAATCTTTCGTAGGCTGCAAGTAACTGCTTGGGGAGAATACTTCGTGCACCGGGCCACACGATGACACCGTGTTGACTGAATGAAATTGAGATTCGACCAGTTGGATCCGGGGCAGGTTGATTATCTTCCCAATCATAATCATCTTCCTCTCGTGCAGGCGTGAATGAAGATGCCATGGCCGTGATGCGGCGATTTTCGCCCACGACTGCAGGGGATGGGTGCGTCTCCTGGACACTATCTGAGACTTGGCGCATCTGACCGCGGAGTGAGTGGAGATCATTTAAGATAGAACTTGGGATATTCTCCAGCTTGGTCTCCAGTCGATGCAGCGTGCTCATGATCATGGTAAGAGACTGATCCCGTCTGGAAATAAATCAATTAATCCAGCTGCTTGTATGAAGCGCGCTAATAGAACTTACTTTGACGATTTCCGCTCATTATAAACACAATCCAGGCCAAGGGACTTGCACAGGCCACATTTAGGGCGCGACTCGTCGCATCTTGTCTTCTTCAACCGACAAGTCTCACAGGCCTAACAAAGTTAGTGATCTGGCGGAGTTACAAGTTCTGCGGTGCAATTAGACTGCGACGGGGCCATGGATACATACCACCGTGGCAATGAAGTTCCGGGGCTTCTTAGACGAGCCGGTCGCGTTGATCTCCTGCTCATCGCCAGGCGAAAGTAAATCATGGATTGGCAGCAGGCCATTGCTATCGCTGTCGGGCGCCTGGCTTTCCCTTGACTCCTCGAATGAGCGCTTGCTCATCATGCATTATGGAGTCGCGTGCTGTGCGCGTCGAGAGTCCCTCGAGAATACGCCAATCCTCAACTCTTTTTTTTTATCGCAAGTGGGGCGCCGCGTCTTCTCCACCAATGAGAGGTCAGAGCCAAATGTGAATCATACATGACTCGATTTTGCCTCGAGATCTGCGGTATACAGTGAAGTATTGAATGGTTAGATATAACATTGGCCTGTTGACTATGCGACTAGCTGAATTAGTTTAAATTTCGTAGTTGGTAGTATTATCATCTCAACATTTGATGACGCCCACTTGTATACTCAAAAACTCCTAAATTCGCGCCAGATCTCCTCGTATCACCAAAACAGAGACCCTGGGAAATGCAAAAAAAAAAAAAAAAGAAAAACCACAAGGTAGGAAAATGACATGGTCCAGAAAAGAAAGGTAGAGGGCGCCTGGTGAGGCTGATTCATTCCAGGTGGGCAATATCGCGTGTCCAGGTGGCACTCATACTCAACCATCTCTATGAATACTAGTATGTCCACTTTTCGCACAACATGAACTCGTGTGCATGGACGCTGGAGACTCACGAGATTCATCGGGTATGGTCCGCCTGGATCCACCTGGGCTGCCCAAATGTTTTCCAGGCCGTGTAACATTTGAACGCAAGGTCCTCACCAATCATTCTTGGATCCCGCTCATAGACGATCATGAATCGTAGTACCAGTCAAGGTAAATAACCCGATGGATGTATACATTCGGTAAAAAGTCAACTCGGAGTCAAACATTCAAAGTAAAGAAATGTGCCAATATCACATCATGGCATATCACAAGGGTTCCCTAATCAACCCCAGATGACCTTAATAGTCTGATCTCACACGACTAGGGGCGTTCGATCACGCCTCCACGAATCACAAGCCACCATGAGCCCATGCCGCGTAGATCATCAAATTGTATGGCCCGCAAACAAACAGCGAAAAAAAAAAGAAAGAAAAAAAAACAGAAATAACGAAAAAGAAAGCACATTCACTCCGACTTTCATATACTGTATCGCCTCCAGAGGTCACTGTCAGTACCTTCGGCGAATAGAAATATGCCCAGCTGGTGGTGTGTTCATTCCATGGACGTCCTCGTGCCGCAAAAGCACGCCCCTTAGCCCCAGGCTTCAATGTTTTATATGAAGCATCGCCCGCATTCCATCCAAGTGCCAACCTCCCTAGCTTTGGATCAGGAAGCGACTCCCTTTCCAAAGCTGTCACGAGACCAGCTCAGTTTTGCAGTTCAAGGTAGTCATGTATAAGATTTTATTGACAATATTGGCCTTGACCGGTCTTTCTATCGCACGCCCGAATGTCTATTTAATCCGACATGGCGAAAAGCCCAAGGACGGGAATGGCCTAAACGAATATGGTCTGGATCGCGCAGAGTGTATTCGACATCTCTTTGGTGAACATTCGAATTATAATATTGGATATATCATGGCTCAAAAGCCAAAGAAAAGTATGCCATGCTGATACCTGCATTGTATTTCTGGAAGCAAGGACTAATTAAAGCTTGTTTTCTTTTTTCTTCCTTCTCCACAGATGGAAGACGAATTCGACCCTACGAAACTGTCAAACCACTTGCACGAGATCTGGGAATAAAGGTTGACTTGTCTTGCAATCGAGATGATGCAAGATGTGTCAAGAAGACGATCGCAAACTATGACGGCCATGGAAATATTTTAATTTGCTGGGAACATCATCGGCTGACTGACCTTGTGGAAGAGCTTGGGTATGAGGATGCGCCTCTTTATCCAAGTGATCGGTGAGTCTTGTGTGGCGTGTTTATTGAGAGAGATTGGAAATGGGACCATCGCTGACTGTAATGGATGAACAGGTTCGACTTGATCTGGACTGATCCATACCCTTACACGAAGATCGCAAATATAACAAGTGAAAAGTGTATTGGTTTGGATTGGATGCCTGAGGAGTTATAATATGAGGCATATAACATTGAACGAATTGCAGCATTTGAAGATATGTATGAGTTGGGATTTTCATGGCGATCCTCAACTGCTTAAGTCGGCAGTCACCGTGATCGGCCCCGGAGCGCTGCCCCTTGCATTTGCCCGGTGTGTATTTAATGCGACGCAATTTAGCAGACATTCTAGCGAGTTTCTTCCATATATCCATGGATAATGTAGCCGGAAACCTATCAGTATGTCTTTGCTGATTGCATTCAAATGTTCCAAAAACCTTGAAAGGATATTAGTATCAGGTATAAATAATATGCCATTTTCATACTACCCGTGTTATCGGGAATATCTTCTTTTTGGCTAGCGCACATGTTCAGGGGTATATCTTGGAACTAAAAAACCACAAGCAGTAGTAAAGAGACGAATAATATCCACCCGTTCACTACAGTGCTGCTATGTACTACGTACTTGGGCACTTGCGCTGTGCAGGCATTTGTGAATTGCCGCGAAATAGCCGTCTACAGCCGGGTCAATGCGAACCGCACCTACTATTTTTACCCTTTTTTTTTTTTTAGTTAAAAAACATTTGAAAATTCCCTTTTCGAGATACGAACCATTGGTTTAAATTGCAGGTACTAATAGTCAAGTCGCTATGAATAAAAAACACCCCAATTCTTCTGCATGCCTCATGCCTTGTTGGGATTCTTAAAGTGGCGTTTCAATGGCGTCCAGCTGTGATCATTGTACTCTTCCTGGACCTTCTGACAGGTCTTCAGACCCCATTCGGAGACTCCAACCATTAGAGCACTATATCCCAAGTTAATAAATCTCAACTATATGCGATCCATCGGGGAGAATAAACATACCTCTCAAACATAAATGCCATACTTCCATCACCAACCTTCGTCGGCTTCAGCTCAGCATTGCTAGCACCCTCGAAAGCAGAAGAATCTGGACCATGCGCGCTCATCACGTTATGCAAGCTAGCTCCAGCAGGTTGGAAACCACCCCCGGTCTTTGCATCGTAATCACCGGCGATTAAGCCCATGAATTCCGACATGGTGTTGCGATGATACCATGGTGGACGGAAGGTATTTTCCTGGACCAGCCAACGAGGCGGGAAGATGACAAAGTCCGCAATGGCTGTGCCAACGTGGTCCGAGGGGCCAGTGAGAACGGTGAAGATTGAGGGATCGGGGTGATCGAATGAGATTGAACCGATAGTGTTGAAGCGGCCCAGATCGTATTTGTAGGGGTAGTAGTTCCCGTGCCAGGCGACAATGTCGAATGGAGTGTGATTCTGGCGAGCGGAGTACAAGGAGTTGGCGAACTTGCTGTAGAGCTTGTATTCGGATGGTTCTTCCTCATCGTCGAATGCTGCGACGGGAGCTTGGAAATCGCGCGCATTGGCCAGACAATTGGAGCCGATGGGACCTAATTCGGGTAGCTGGTAATGACCTTGGTACAGCTCGCAGATGTAGCCACGAACAGGGCCATCAGGTAGGGTGACACGGTATCTAAAATGCAATGTTAGATGGAAGTAAAAAAGAGCTTGGTGGTTCTATGACTTTGGCCATACCTAACACCGCGAGGAATCACGCAGATCTCATTCGGGCGCAGGATGATGCGACCCAATTCTGTTTGAATATCCAACACACCATGTTGGGGCACAATGAGGAAATCTCCATCAGCTGAGTAAAAGGCCTCCTTGCCCATGTCTTTTCCTGCGGCATAGAGCAAGATACCCAATCCCTGCTTCAAAGTTGGGTCGCCGGCTCCAGCAACCAAGTGTAGGCCATGAACCCAGTCGACTTTTTCGTCCAAATCGAAGGGATTCCATCGTAGCTGGTTAGGAATATGATGTAGCTTGTGGGTTTCTGTAGTCATGCGAGTGTGGTATGTGTCTTGCTCTTCGGCTACAAAGTTCTCGTGTGCTGCTGCGGGGATAATGCGATAGACCCAAGTCTGTTTGTTTTCATGGCGGGGTGCAGTGAAAGCGGTGCCAGACAGTTTCTCGGTGTATAGTCCAGATGGGGCTTTTTGGGGAGAGTTGTGACCGATCGGCAGAGCTCCTTCGACGGCTTCAGACCTGCGAATTTGGTAAGATACTACTTGAGGCACTGTTTTTTTTTTCACCCAATAAGCAAATTGAAGACTCACTCATGGTAGGAGTCAAAGCCGGTCTGGTAAGAGTACGGATCAGGGTGAGAGAAGGTGGTGACGGGCATAATGGCGGTGATGGAAGAGGGAACAGTTGGAAGACAAGACGAGTGCTTTGTATTCGTCAGCGACCGAGGGTAAATGATTTGAAAGATTTCGTGGATTCCACATTATTTCAATAACCGCGTGTTTGTAGCAACAACTCCGCGATTATCCTTTGCGTCATTCGCTTTCACTTCCGCGCTTGGATGCGGGGCCGGAGCAATTCCGCACATGCCGGAATTCTAGACCGAGGGGCAGCTGCAGCAAAAAGATAGTTAAGTTGGTCAACTCGCACTGTTTGGATTTCTGTTTCATCTTCGCTTTCACTCATTGATTAATCATGGCTTCCTGGCTTCAAATCCCCAAAAACTCGCCCTTCTCGCTGGCCAACATCCCGTTCGGCATCATCTCCGCTTCATCCTCCAAAGTTGCCGCCATCGCGATCGGTGACTATGCCTTAGATCTGAACGCATTTGCGTCCGCTGGAGGCTTCTCTCAATTGCCTACTTTCCAGCAACATGTCAACGTGTTCAGTCAACCCACACTCAATGCCTTCGCCGAGCTGGGTCGTCCAGTGCATCGTCAGGTTCGCGAGTACTTGCAGAATGTCTTCCGCGCCGATACCCAGTTCCCTCAGGTGCTCAAGGACAATGCGACCTTGCAAAAGTCTGCTCTTATTCCTCGATCACAAGTTACCAACCACGTCCCCATGCAAATTGGCGACTACACCGATTTCTACGCTGGATTGAACCATGCCTACAACATTGGAGTCCTCTTCCGTGGAAAGGACAACGCTCTCCAGCCCAACTACAGACACTTGCCCGTCGCCTACCACGGTCGTGCTTCATCCGTCGTTCCATCTGGCACCCCTCTGCACCGCCCGAGTGGCCAGATTCTCGCCAACCCAACTGCCGACCCCAAGATTCCAACCTTCTCTCCTTGCAAGAAGCTGGATATTGAGCTGGAGCTGGCATGTTTCATCAGCAAGCCCAATGATCTGGGCAAGCCTGTACCCATTGCTGAAGCTGAGGACCACATTTTCGGCCTAGTCTTGATGAATGACTGGTCTGCTCGCGATATTCAGGCTTGGGAATATGTTCCCCTGGGACCCTTCAACGCGAAGAACTTCGGCACTACCATTACTCCCTGGGTTGTGCTGATTGACGCTCTCGAGCCATTCCGTGCTGCAGGCCTGGAGCCTGGAAACCGAGAGAGTCTCTTGCCTTATCTTCGTGAGAAGCGCGCCGAGACTGCCTACGAGATCCCACTCGAGGTTGAGGTTACCAATAAGGGTGGCCAACCCACAATTATTTCCAACAGTAACGCCCGCAACCTTCTCTACTCATTCCCCCAGATGGTTGCCCACCACACTATCACCGGATGCAATTTGAGATCGGGTGACTTGTTGGGCTCGGGTACTATCTCTGGTACGGAGCCTAAGACCCAGGGCAGTTTCTTGGAGCAGACCAATGGCAAGACTGCAATCAAGCTTGCCGATGGCTCGGAGCGCATGTTCTTGGAGGATGGAGACACTGTTACTCTCCGTGGTCTTGCTGGTACTGAGGGCAACTATGTTGGTTTCGGTGACTGCACCGGCACAATCCTACCCCCTGTCTCGTTCTAGTCTATATGATACAGATTATTAAAAAACAAAGGAAATGGCTCTTTGATAACGAATATGTTGGCAACGAGATTGCTACCAATTTCAGTCCGCACTGAAACATCAGATAGATCACAATGATATGCATGATTTGAATAAAGCTCAGTTTGACCAGTACTAGTAACTGCTGAGTAAAATTGCTAAAAGTACCTACCTAACCTCCATATGCCACCTACTCCTTCGCCCGCAACTCCTCAGGCGTATCAGGCTGCGTCTGCCAATGGCCCTTCCTCACAGCCTCCTCCCCCTCCAGATTCCGAATAATCCCATACGTAAGCGGAAAAGCCGACAAGTCCACCCCAACCCGCTCGGCACCCCAAGCCGCGGGAATTAAGCAAATATCCGCAATTGTAACCGCATCCCCGACACTGAACCTTCCCGCAGACCGAGACACAGTCGTCTCATACGCCTGTAGACCCTCCTCGATCAAATCCTTAGACCAAGCTGCCCTGTCCACGCCTAGTGGGGCAACACGTTTCAGGATCTTGAGGTTGGTAACGGGCTGCACGTCACAGGCGATGATGGAAGCCAACGTGCGTGCTTGGGCACGGGACTTGGGGTCGGATGGTAGGAGGGCGGGACCGTGGTCTGGGAAGGCTTCGTCCAGATACTCAAGTGCGGCTAGGGACTGGGTGATTGTTATCGGTGCGGCGCCGTTTTCATCTTGGATGATGAGGGCTGGGACGAGGCCGGATGGGTTGATGGCTTTGTGAGCCGGGGACGATTGTTCATCTTTGAGTAAGTTGACGAAAACCGGTTGAAATGGGATTTCCTTGAGATATAGCGCGATGCGGAGTCGAGCAGAGCATGATGAGCGGAAATAAGTGTAGAGGGTTACGGACATATTGGATTTGCTGGTCATTTTTGGTTCTTCAGGATCCAAGATTGCAGATGCTGGTGAGGATGCGGAGTAGATGGAGGGTTTGTGATCTGAGCAAGGTTACGTGTTAATTTTTAGTTTGACTTTAATACTACTGAGGCCGTGTTACTTAGGCTGAATGTAGTGATAGTACTAGTAGCCATGTAACTATGCTTCTCGGTCTTCTGCGGCAATGAGAGTATGTTCCAACGTCCAAGTACCTCGTATACTTGACCGCGGAATCAATCCCGTGTGCCAAGTCCCGTTGCTTTCCGTCTTGTGGGGTTCTCCTTACCCCACAAAATCCAATCCTTGACCCTGAAAACTACGTGTAGCGGAGGAAATTACCACCATTAAGTTCACTGGCATGATACTAAATAAATTCATGTTGTTTCAGGGGATAAACATCTCTAGTAAACAAGGCATATAAACGGTAAAACTGGGAAGAAAAATCAGTAGTAAAAATATTGGCTAATCAGGCATTTGGAGTGGGAATCGAGGAAAATCGAGTCTTTAAAAAATAGGAGCAAATCATCAAGCTCATCTTCAACCCCAGAATGAGGCATAACGTTCTATCACCGACCATGTTCCAGACTTGGCACAATGACAGGCCCATATTTGACCACGGTCGCATATGCCCCTTCGCCTTGCACCATAAAGTCGGCCGCCAAGCTGAGCTTAGGTCTGGTCTGTGGCGTGACTGCGCCATAAGGAGTGGCAGCAACAACCTCTGGGTCGTAAGCGACGATAGCAACATAATTCCTTCGGCCCATGAGTTTCCGGTGTTCACGTGCTTGCCCATTGATATCCGTCTGGAAAATCTCCATCATGTCCTCCTTGGTATCGGTTGGTTGAGATGAGGACCGGTGACCATTGGCGGGTACGTACAATGGCTTGTTGTTACTGTGTAGCATCTTGACAACGTAGGACGGGGGTGGAGTATTGACAGAAGGAGAGGAGATGAGCTGGTACATCGTCTTATGATCGGAGGGTTGGCTCGGATCGTGTACAAGACCCGCACCGCAGACATTGACGGCACCAGAGAGGAAAGTCATACGAAGAGATTTCTGGTGGGCAATGCCCTGCAGAGTTCGAATAAGATAGGTCCGTTCGAGGTCCTGGAAGGAACATATTAGTAAACGTTGGGGTGTTGGCCTTGGAAGTTTTGAATACATACCTTGGATTCGTGAGTCCATTGGTCACGCAGCTCGTCCATGAGATCGAATTCGCCGAATGGGCTTAGGATCCCGCCCATCAGACCAGACTTGCCCACGGCTCGCTTGATAGAGTCGAAGCCTGACCCAACAAACTCCTTTGCTCCTACTACACCGGCTACTGAGCTAGTGACCTTGCCCAGTAGATTATAGGTGCCTGTCACAGCCCGCTTTCCAGTGGCAACAGTCTGGGCAATATGCTCAGCAGTCTCCAGCCGAGGGTAGATGATTGGTACCGCAAGCATCCAAAGACAGTGTTGTACACTGGGCGGCAGCATCGCAATCTTCGGGAAAAGACCTTGATAAGTGGGGCCAGCCATGACCTGATGAGGGTTGCGTTCCGAGCGGCAATCGGGCCCAACGACCACGACACCAGGACCAAGATATTTGACAAAATGCCAGCCAGTTCCAGTAATTGTGAAGAGATCCAAATCATTGTTCACGTTGCGAAGAATATCCAAAGTGGTATGGTGCTGGAAGAGAAGGTACATTTCGATGCCGATGCGGCCAATGTTCTTAAACATGTTTGAAAATTGCATATGTTCAGGGTAGGAGCCAAATCCGTCGAAGCTATAAATAATATAAGTTAGGGCGGAATAAAAATCCAAAAAGCAGGTAATACTCACATATCATGATCATCGATCTGACAAATGTAGGGGATCTGGGCAAATGATTCTCGGAGGTTCGGTTGGTCAAAGTGGCTGGTGTAATAATGGAAGTAGGCATGAGAAACATCTTGTTGGTTTGCAGCAGTCCAAGGAGCATTCTTCCTGGCTTCCTTTCCGCTGATGAGCAGCCACTGTTTGAGGCATGGGATCTCCTTCCACATGCGGTCGGCATAGATCTGTCCTCCCAGACACAATTGCGCGTGGAATCCACCAATCTCATTATGCTTTTGCATGATATCCTTCCACATAACGCCCACTCCACCTAGACGAGCTCTCTCGTTAGCGTTCACGTTGATCGAAAAGTCATTTCCGGATGTGGCAATGAATCGCCAATTAGTCTCATGTCGGCCAGCGACAAGGAATTCGTAGCGGGTGCATCCCAGATGTGAAGTGATTGCATAAGTCCATTTTGCGGGTCCCATTTCCTCCATTTGAATGTCAATATCGTACTTGTAAAAGGTCCAGCGTTGATGGACTGCAATATTGACCGCTTTCAATTGTCTTGGGTTGGGAGAAAGATCAGCACTCTGGTGAAGGTGGATCGTAGGAGGCTGCGCGGCATCTGCCACAAGTAGGATAGAGCCGAGCCAAAGTCCACGCTCGAGGTCCATGTTTGTGTATCGCAGATAGGGGCCAAAGTAGACTCCATTTGTAGGAGCTGTCTTGTACATCTCCATACCGCTGCTGGGTGGAGGTCCAGAGAACCCAGCCATGGGGGATTGAAGGCTCTCAAAACCCGGTGTCAAAGGCACTCCAGGCGAAGCCATGGGTTTACCAAAGGCCGATAGCCCAGGCGATGCCATCGGGTGACTACTATACACACTGCCAATGGGAGACAGGGGAGTTTCATTGAAATTCAATGGTGTGGGACCTTTCGGGAACTCCCACTGGGTTGACTGTGTTGCCAGGTGGATGTAATAGTACTGGCCAGAGCTCGGGTCCATGTGCGCAATCCAGCCCTCGGGAAGGGGAGGAGGAGATGAAGGTGGAAGCCCGGAAGCTGGTCCAGGTGAAGTCACTTGGACTATCTGTGGGCCCTGGTTGAAAGTTGGTTTTCCATTGGTCACAAAGCTCTGCGGTGACTGTCCAACTTGAGGTTGCTGGCGAGGGTCGTTGGCAAAAGCGGGGTGGTCTTGTGGCGAGACTGACTGGGCTGGAGAAGGGGCTGCGGCCAAAGCAGGGTGTTGTTGACTTAAATTTGCTGGATGTCCAGCTAAAGCAGGACCAGAAGCAGGACTAGAAGCAGCTCCAGCAGCAGCTCCACCAAGAGCTCCAACAGCTCCAGCAGCCATACTGCTCCGTTTCTCAGCTGGATAATTGTTCGAAGGTGCGGAGACGCTTGAATACGCGGGTGGTGGAGATGAGCTTAGGCGCATTCGGTCGAGATCTTGTTCTAGAGCATTCGGTGGAATTCGAGACTGTGGTGATTGCTGTTGTTGCGATTGTGGTAGCGATTGCGGCAGGAACTGGGACTGCTGGGACTGCGGCGGGGGGCTACTATGCTGTGATGGATGAACTGGGGAATGCTCATCATCACTCACAACATCTGAGCCTTGATATACCGTGGGTGGCCCATGCGGCTGGGACCCTGGCTGTTCAGTGGGTGTCCATGGTCTTCGCGGGGCAGGCTGCTGTGGTTGAGTAGGTTGTTGTCCAGCATACTGTGCGGCACGTCTTTGTGCAGCAGCACTTTGTGACTGCAGACGATCCAGTGTTCCTGTGCCAGCAATCCCAGATGCAGCATAACGAGCTTCAATATCCGAAGTAGGTTGTTGACCTGGGCCCACTATCGGCGTCTCCGGTGGTGGCGGAGATCCACGCTCGGCACGGGTGGTAGAAGTCGATGCAGTTGAATTGATGCGATTGATTCCACTGGATTGAGGGGCATGGAGAGTAGAGGGAGGTCGGGCGGAAGAAGGTCGCGAGTTGGAGCGCTGAGGAGGTGGGAAGTATTGTTGACGATAATCATATTGAAGCCCCTCTGGCGCCACATTCGTCGGGACGGGAGCAGCCGCAGGAGGACGAGGGTATTGTCTGGCCGCCAACGCTTCACGATCTGGTGCATCTGGGCCTGGGGATTCCGGCAACGGCTTTGGTGCAGCCCCTCGTCGCTCGGCCAGAGTTGCGACTCGTGGCTCACGACCATCGCGTGGGCGCAGCGCCAGGGGGTAATCTGCGGGGCTCACTGAGCCGGAGCTGGGGCCGGAGCCTACGGGCGGAGATCCATATCTAGTTGGATCGGCGGGACGCCCATCTTGACTAGAAGAGGAGCTGCGCATTTGAAGACGAGGTCTATCGTCGGGGTACGGCAACGGGGCGCTGGGTGGACTGGTGGCCGATGCAGGGGAGGCCGAGTCTCTCTTGTTAATTCTCAAAGGTTCAACTCGAGGCGACTCGTCGGGCCTTTTTGAGGAGTTGTTCAGGAACAACTCCTCGTCCGGGTGAATGCCGCGACTGTCGCCGGGGTTCATTCTGCAGGAAGGACGATCTAGGACCAAAGTGAAGTTGCAGGATGCACGAAGCCACCCGGAAATTTATTTTAAATGCCTTGTCACAGAGCTAAGCGCCCAGGGTGGTTCTGCGGTGATGGACCGATGGTTCTCAGCAGCAACAGAGCGGGGCATCTAGACCGAGGTGCTCTGATTCGCTGTTTCAAATGGTCTCCATCGTGGATGGATTGGTGATTGGCGGCGGGGTAGCACATCCCAGGCGCTTCGAGTGAAGGCAACTTCATTACGGCCCAATCCTGATCCAAAGTTGCGATACTTCAAATGGTGTACAAGAAACTTGACTGCTAACCGATGAAGACGAATTTCATTGGGCGTGATTTCAGATATTTATAAGATTGAATGTTTAATGCTGTTGACACAAGTATTGAGATAGGTAGTAGCCCGTGTAAACACTCGACCCCTGGAACGATAACGATAACGGTTTCCGCCCCGATAACACTACAGTTCCTGGCACGCAAGCCCTGGCAGTGGGCATATACATACTAGTACTTAGAGCCTTCATATATTCCTAGCAATGTACATATTCAAAGCATTCATCGATGTATGTTTCACCGTGCGAAAACTCCCGTGGCCTCAAACCGGCCAATTTGCAACCTCCAGGGCTTCCACGGTACCAACCTCATTATGTACTAGTACCTAGGCTGCACATATACATATTCTGCATGGATCGATCCACTCACATCGGTTAGCCCTGTACATAGCTAACTATCCATTTGAAGATCAACAGATACCTTAATTTACAGAAATTCAGATCCATACGCCCAATTTTGGAAGCAAACACAACATTCAATAATTATGTAGATAATGAGTTTTGAAAACAAAATAAGACCAAATGTTGGCCTATACAATCAAAAATGTTACGTAGTTGAATAGCGATTGGTTTAAAGATCAATTACGTAATCACCCGAATGACTGAATTGAATGTTTGAGCGTCAAGCGGTTGCCAGTTTGCGCTACATCAAATCATGGCTTCTCTTCGATTTCAAGGATTGCGTTCCATCCTCCGGGGTCAATGTAACCCCCTGCGGACTCAGCAGCGTCGCTGGGCTCAGGTTCACGATGTTCGCTTCCTTGCTTCGCACCACGAACCCAACCACGTCTTGGACAAGTACCGATCCAAGCTGGACCAAAAGGCCAAACAGTGAGTTCTGGAAGACAATGTGGCCGGGACACCCAACTAAGCACTGCATCTCCATCTAGAGAAGGACATGAGTCGATCGACTCCTTGAAGGAAGCCTATAGCGAGAAGATCCAGGATCTGCGCTCCAAAGCCTCCACCGTGACCACTCCAGAGCCGGAGACACCCACATCCAACACCACCGAACAACCTGCCGCTGCAAAAGCCCCCATTGCCCATGCTGCACGCGAAGTGTCCGGTAAAGCGAGCCCCATCAAGCCGCTCAGCTCATACCTTGACGTTGAGAAGATCCGCGAGCTTCCAGCCAAGGAAATCGAGGCCCTTTGGCGACTGCGATTCGCTAGTAGCTCGACCTCTATCTGCGCCGCGATCCCCCTTGAAACATACCAGCGCATTCTGAACGCTGCGCGTCAAAACCCTCAATTCATCCTCCCACTTCCCCGCGGGGCAACTGAGGACCAGCAGGAGACCACAGCCGATATCCACTTCTTGCAGTGGGCATTCCACCCGCCCGCCGGTGAAACCGCTGCGCCCTCTGGCCAGACTGCCAATACCCATGTTTCTACCGTCATCTTCACCCACCTCGGTGCATTCAAGATGCACGGCTCTTTCGCTCAGCCGCATTCGACTCTTACACACTACTTGGATTTGGCTGATGACAAGGGACTTGTGCTGATGCACGGCCAGGTTGTGCCCGACCGCGGTGTATCCACCATGGAGGCGACTTGGCTTGCTAGCTGCGTGCAACGCTTCTACGATTTCGAAGGCCAGGCCAAAGGCCGTAAGAGTGAACTCGTTCGCATGTTCACCCAGGGAGATGTTGAGAACTTTAAGGTCGAGGAGCTGTTGACCGAGGCGGAGAAGATTCACTAGATTTTTTGTACCATCGTCAGGTACCCTGTACTATATGTCAACCTTAAATAGAAACAATGTCGAATGCCAAAAGGTCTTGCCGGCATTTTTATACCACCTGTCCTTGAAACAATTGAGTAAATCCAGTTACGCTGCTATGTAGAGATCACATGCAAGACAAGCGTCCTCCATAGATATAAAAAGAGGTGTCGTGTTTGATGTGAGCATTGCGCATAGTATAAGAGAAGGTTAGTGGATTCAGAATGAACATGGAAGTAGTAATTGTCTACGGTGCATTGAAGTCTGACAGACTCAGGTCAGAGAAATGGAAATGGATAAAAGAAATTGAATCATTCTATTCCAGACTTCCCACTAGGGATGTTTCCGTAGGTCACAGGCTCAAAGCTTTGACTTCTTCTTACCTGTGACATTCTGGACCGCTTCTCCAGACAACAGGAAATCCGGGTATTGGAGGTTACCCTGAGAGGCGTGGCCTCCCGAAACACGCCAATTCGCGCCGTCCACTATTTTGTGTTAGTTTTCAATCTTGTTTGGGATACGTGAGTTTTCAGCAAGCAACTTACCAACTAGTGTCTGTCCACTAACGTAGCTCCCAGCGTCAGAGAAGAGGTACACGGTCGCATCCGCAATGTCTCGTACATGACCGAAGCGGCCAAGGGGCTGGGATCTTGTATATTCCGCCTTGGCGTCCGATGGAAGAAGACGCTCCAAGCCCTGTTAGAGTAATTGGATTTAGTATTCGTATTCAGTGGCCATGAAACGGATTCGAAGAACTAACCTCAGTGGAGGCGATGGGACCGGGGGCTAGAATGTTAGATGTCAAGCCCCGAGGACCATACTCGATGGCCACGGCATTTGATAGAGAGTCGATGCCCGCCTTCGCGACAGAGACATGGGCCTGGAAAGGCATACCACGGTAGTGGATTGTAGCGCTGACGAAGATGATTCTGCCACCGGTACCCAGAGGTGACGGGTTCACTATGAGGAGATGTTAGCTTTGGACATGCACTATGTACTAGGAGTTGTTCAGCCATTACTTACGTTCGGAGTCGACTCTGTGCTTCTTACCCGACTCAATCAGATGAGGTAGAACAGCCTTGAGTGTATTATACGAGCCCAAGACATCGATGTCCATGACAGACTTGAAAGCATTGACTGAAAGTTGCTCAATGGAAGCCAAAAAGTTGCCTGCGGCACCGGCACTGCACGTACGAAGTTTAGCAGAGATACACCGAAACAGTCCACCTTCAGAACAGCCTTACATGACGAAATCAATACCACCGAGCTCCTTCACACAGCGCTCGACGGCATCTTTCAAACTGTCGAACTTGCGGACGTCCACTGCACCGATACCAATTACTTTGGCACCGGGGCGGAGAGTCGCCATCTCCTTGGCGGCGCGCTCGGTCTTTTCGACATTGCGACCGATGATGCACGCGTTGGCACCTAGGTGAACGAGGGCCTTGACTTGAGCGCTGCAGATAGTGCCGGCACCACCGGTGCAGAAGACCACTTTGTTCTCTGTGTTGCAGGTCAGTCAAGCTGGCCCTGGGCTATCGGTGGAGAATGTGGGATAGATTTACCAAAGATGCCATCCTTCCAGATGTTACTCATATAGTCTTTCTTCTGAAGCGCCATGGTGATGTGTATTTTTGAAGATAACTAAACAGGTATGTGAGTAAAGACCGGAACAATGGATTGATATGTGAGATTGCTACGGGGCTAAGCCCGTAAGCTTGTAAGACCGTCGCCATTTCTCCACAGCCGCGGTTGTGCCTCGGCTCGTTCGGAGTGCACCTACTAGTTAGTATTTATGCCGCTTAATCCACTGAAACGGTTTTCCACCACAAGAGTATCAAATTGTGGGGAATCTTATGCCTATACTCGCTCTGGGGTTATTCTGGGTCTAAAATCCCATCATTGCTCATATATGATAGGGAGGTGCTGTTGTGCCATAGCAACTGGTACCGCAACTAGTATATACGGTACCTTAAGAGGCAAGGATCAAATTTGGCAGATCTACGCCGAGTGATTCGAGGGCAAAAAAAAAAAAAGATATAGATATAGATAAATGGTAAAGGTCCGACACAATTGTCAATATCTGTCCATTAATCGTCAATTTCTCTGGACCTACGGAGTGATCGTAGCCAAAGAAAAGGTACGATGAAGAACTGGCGGGCGGTGATTGGCTCAAGCACTTGAGTCTGGGTCTGGCGTCACTGTTGCCCAAATCCACCTAGCAATCCCTTCAAACCACCATCATCAACCCATTTCCCTTGGAAGAACCACCAATTTTTCCTGCACAACGCCATGGCCTGCCCAATAACTGTGACTAAGTTCGTTGGGACCGTTTCCCTCGGTCTCCTGACGGTAAGCGCATTCTGGAGATGACTGTTTGCGCATCGCGCCACGACAGTCTCAGTCGTAGTCGCAGTCGAGGTTGTAGACTAATCAGATCCTTCAACATCCAGGGCATGTCTTATTCTACCGCCTCAATCACTATCCCGGCCCTTAAGCTCCTCCCCTCATCTACCGCCGCCTCTCGCTGCCTCAACGAAGTGAAGCGCCTAAACCGCAAGCATGCGCTCCGTCTCTCTAGCTTGACCAACACCTGTATTCTCTTTGCCTACTCCATTTCTCCTCCTCGCCGTCAGCACCCCTATCTCGTATGGATGTGCGCTTTCTCAACACTTAGCTCTTATGGCCTTGACCTGTTCTTCAACAGACACATGGGGCTCAAGAACTGGGCTTTCGCCGTCATCCAAGACACCACTGGCCTCAGTCTCGGTCTCCCAGCTAACACAAAGAAGGATGACGACCTAGTGATGGTCGATGCCGAGGAGGATGTCAATGGTGAGAGCGTGCAGCGTGAGATGGACCGGGAGCGTCGGCTGCAACGTGCGCGGGCCTGGCTGGCTGGACTTGCGCTGTCGATGGGCATTGTTGGTCTGTGGGGAGACAAGAAGTGATTGTTTTCATTATTATCAAACCCTTCAGGACATACAATCCTAGGTTAATTTCTTACTTAATACTTGCAGGATCAGGTTGATGGTTTCTCATGTCTCTTCATTTCGGCGCCGTGGTTAAACACTGGATGTTGACCGCGCTGCCTTATTTATTGGATTTTTTTTTTTTTTTTTAAAAAAAAGGAAGACCAACATGCGCCCTGTTTGGGCAGGCTTACATGAAGGGGCCGGCTGTTCTTGGATTCAATTTGTCTTTTCTTCTTGCCCGCTGATTACTCGGGCTTACTTGCTTGTACATCGAAATCCGAATCCAACGTAGATATAATCCAAACCACAGCTGTTAACAATGAATTTGAAGGCCTAGATTGCTTATACAAGTATTTACAAAGCTAAAATCATATGAAGTGCCGCAGATATTACTTCACCCGGGGTCTGACCCAGAGTCCACGTAGTTGTACAGGGGTTTGATAAATGACGCATTTGAGTGGATGGAGTCACCCGCCACATGATGGATGAAAAGTGGTGGTGGGGGTGGGGGCGGAACGCCTAGCCCGAACCGTAACGTTTCATAGACCTGGGGACCGGGGTAAAAGCTATAAGAACCTCTCTACGGCACCAGGCAAAAGTGCATTGGTGATCATTGAATACATTTTGCAAATTTTTGCCAAAAATGTACGCTTCCCTGCTATTGGCAACCCCGTTCCTTTACCTGGGGCTTCAAGTCCTCCTTAAGCTCTCAAGAGCCATCTTCTCTCCATTAAAGGATATTCCCGGTCCTTTCTGGAGTCGTTTCACCACTTTATGGTATTTCAACCGGACTCGCAAAGGAAAATTCGAGCAAGACAATATCCATCTTCATCAAACTTATGGCCCAGTCGTCCGTATTTCTCCGGATCAATACAGCATCAGCGATATCGACGCCATTAAGATAGTGTACGGGTCTGGTTCCAAATTCGCCAAATCTGCATGGTATGATGGTTGGAGACATCCCCAGCAGTGGTCAGTATTTTCGGATCGGAACATAAAGAGACATTGTTAGTTTGGACTTTCTTTTACTCTTCTTTCGAGATTCGAAAGCCCAAAGATTATTTTTCTTTGGGCCAGCGTTATACTCCCAATCGTGGTATCCGGCTAACATTTTACCTAGCCGAGACACGGAAGAAATTCACCGGCTTATACTCTATGAGCTCGGTAGTGCAGTATGAGCCTTTTGTGGACAGCTGTATCGAGATATTCTTTCAGCGACTGGATGAATTTGCGGACCAAAAGCAAGTCTTCGATCTTGGGCATTGGTTCCAGTGCTATGCATTCGATGTGATTGGAGACATTACATTCGGGCAGAGATTTGGTAAGGTTTCCTTCCATATATACTCACGGACCACGGCCATTCGAATCTCATAGAAGCCACTGTACTGATTATTTTCAGGTTTCTTGGACCGAGGTGACGATATCGACGGCGCTATCAACGCTGTACATCGGCTGCTGGTCTACAGTACACTAGTTGGGATCTACCCTGAATGGCACGCACGCCTGTTTCAGACCTTGACCAAGTTTAAAATATCTGGTGCGGGAGGTAGAGCTTATATTGCGAAGTTTGTTCGAGAGAAGATTGCACTTCTCGAGAAAGAGCGCAATACCATGGATAAACCAACAACAGAGACATCTCAGACACAAGACTTTCTGACAAAGATGATGCAGGCGCGCGACCAAGACCCGGAAAAAGTAACTGACTTTCATCTGGCAATGATGGGCCAGTCAAATGTAGGGGCTGGATCTGACACCACAGCCATCAGTTTGTCAGGTATCATGTGGCATCTCCTCAAAAACCCGCAGGTACTGCGAAAGTTACGCGAGGAGATCCGCGATTTTACTGAACAGGGACGCTGTAGTGTCAACATCACCATGAAAGAGACACAGGAGATGCCGTATCTTCAAGCCGTCATGAAGGAGGCCCTCCGCTTGCATCCAGCTACAGGCTTACCCATGTGGAGAGCAGTGCCTGCAGGAGGAGCACAGCTGAGCGGAAAGTTCTTCCCTGAAGGTACAATAGTTGGAATCAATGCCTGGGTTGCACATTACAATGAAGAAGTGTTCCTTAACGCTACGGCATTTCGACCGGACAGATGGCTAGAGTCAGAGACTGAGCCTGAGAAGATGAAGGAGATGAATCAGATGTACATGCCGGTAAGTTCAGGTTTGAAGTAGTCCTGGAGGTGAACTCTTCGACATGTGGATTCTTTTTTTCCCTTCTTCTTGATACCTGATTGGCTAACAAATGCCCAACAGTTTGGATTGGGCTCAAGAACGTGTCTTGGAAAGCATATCTCCATTCTTGAGATGTCAAAGTTGATCCCTCGCATAGTGCGTGACTACGATTTGGTCCCATTGCGAGAAACGCTGGATACTTCGAACTTTTGGTTTGTGAAGCCGACGAACTTTGACGTGCGTGTTTCTCGACGAGTAAAAGAGTCTGTCGCCTAATGATTTGGATAATGAAGCGAGAACAAGTGAAATGAAGTGTTCTTGTTGTAATTTGTCACCCCTTGCTTCGGATCTAGATCTTAAAATTGAACCTGTATACTGGAGGTCATGAGGGAAACTGGTCCTCAGATGATGTAGATGAGAGACTCGGAAAATGGATACATCCATTTCAATAGATCATATTTCCTGTTTGTGATTTTTTTTCTTTCTTTTCTTTTTCTTTGTTCTGTCCTTAAATCATGAACGCTAAACCTTTCATCCTGGAGGAGCTGACAAGTAAAAAAGCCGAGTTGTTGTCAAGATCGACGGGAAAGGCCCGTGCAAAGAGTGCAAACCCGCGACCGTGCGCCCGTCACACTCCAAACGCCCCATTCATCATTAGTATCTTGTACCCCATGTAACTTGGCTTGTTATATCCGTGGGTAGCAAATCGGACATGTTCATTGATCTCCTGCATCAATGAAATCCTGGTGCAAGATCCTGGACCAATCAAATCTCCAGTCTACCCTTTGAGGAGAGCCGCAGTTCACAGCACTCTGCTCTAGCTCTCTTTCCTCGATCCTGAAATCCTCCCCTCTCAGATCATCTCCCCGGAAATCTTCGGGTGGCATCTTTGAGCTACTTTTACGTTTGTCTGACTCTTGCTTCATTTACGACTTACGATTTTCCCCTCAGGCCTTCTGTGCGAGTCTCTCTGTAGACTGATCTGCCGATTCTCGGGAACCTGACGACTGGACACGAAGATCATTTTATCCCCCCTCCTGCCAACCACTCACCGGACAAGGCTGTGATTCGACCGCACCCAGACCTTCAACGCGATCGCTTCTTTTCGACCATATCATGATATAGTGGTGCACTCAGATCTTCGCCGCGCCCGACCTTTTAACGCTCTGCTGACCCCTCCCCAATCAACCGACGGCGTGTTTCTGCGCCGCGGCCTCCTTGAGATCCTCATCCACAACACCCCGCCCATCGATGAGGACTGCTCGTCGACATAATCCTTACCTTTTACACTTCAACCCTTGATCAAGCCTCACGCCTCCAGCTTTCTGAATCGCGTTCCCGTCTACGGGTCAAAGCTCCGCCCGCTGGCAACAGCATCACACAATACGACGATACAACACAGCTGCCCATCGCAGCTGTTGACGATAAATTTAGCGACGATTGATGGTGACCTACGCCAGGTCCCCGCGATCCTTACAATCCCAGCTGGCTGTGACTTGATCGCGCCTCCCGTGGAGGGATTCGACCAAGTCCCGGATCAGCAATGCCCGTCCGGGAGCATGACCAAGCTGACCGACAGGGCTCTGAGAGCTCTGGAAAAACCAGCTGGATATCACAAGAGACAGTGCGGGATAACGAGGAACCACCAAGGAATCTGACTAAATCAGCCTCTACCGGCCGTGATGGTCGTGATGCGGAGCCGTTCCCCGGCACTTTGATGGCCAGGTGAGCACCGAACTCTCCAATAACAGACCAGTGGCGAGCTTTGAAGCTCCGTAGTTCGCACAGAGATAGCTTGCGACATATACTGACTGCACATTCTAGGTCCGGATCGTCTCACGCTCCGAGGATCGACTGGGGGTCTTCACATTGGTCATGGAGTTCACCGGATATTTCGCCTACCGAAGAACGGAAAGGTTCTGGCTTTAGCAAGGATCGAAAAGCGCTTGCAATTCTAGGAGCCGGTGAGGATTTTACTCGACCTCATCATTCCAGCCCGCATCCCCCACCCATAAACCCGGCTCGCTCTAGTCGAGAAGGACTTGAATCTATTGCCCCATGGGCTTCTACGGCTGGCTCAGACGGAGCTGGAACCTTTTTCAATGACTATTCCGAGCATGAGGCATCTCCAGCGTCTGCGACGTTTCGCCCTACGACAGGGCGAACATTCGCCAGTGAACCGGCCGATATGGATTACAACCGAGACCATCGGCGACCATCTACTGCAAGCATGACGAGCAGCCAAGGATCCAAATCGAGTCTCAGTCATAAGCCATGGAGAAAGAAGTCTAAAATAGCGACGGATGAATACACCGCTTCTGACGAGGCAGAGGATAGCCAGCAAAACGCACCAAGCCGACGAGGAGGACCTATTGACCAGTTGAAGGCCCGCGAACGGGCGAATTCTGATGGATCAGACCCGTCCCAGCGGCCCTCACGACCACGGCCCGAAACGCCCCTGCCATCAAGTGACATCACGCCCTGGGTGTATCAAAATATCAAAGATGTTTCCCACTATGGGGAAGCCCCTGTGCGCCAGGTACCTATTGGGCCTGACGGTCAACGGATCGAATCTCGCGCTGGAACGCATTCTGGAACCCGGGAGTCTAGTCGACGCGGGGCCAATGGACATCGGCATTCTCGAAGTAAAGAAGAAAGGCCCACTCTTGCCGGTGATCTAGCTGGGTACCATCGGCCCTCTGGCGGACGCGATGATCTCTTCCTAGGGCTCAAGCCTTCTAACGAGAGCTATTTGAACTCGTCCACCGCTATGAGCTCAGTCACTAATCTTGGTGGTCGATCTGCGAGCCCGACGCCAAGTGTACAGAGCGCCATCTACCGCGACAGTGGCCAAAGCTCTCCGGGCGGCCCATCAACTAAACGTGGAATTTTTGACAGGGTGGCAAGACATCTGAAGCCGGGATCACATAAACCACATGAGAAGACAAAGCGCGACCAGTCCCCCAACCGGCGTAGACAGCCCAGCCTAGAAGGAGCTTCTACCCCTCGTCATATGGACGCAGCGGAGGCAGACAGGAAGAAAGAATCTGGCAAAGGTCTTGGAATTGGGGCCCGCAAATTTCCTCGGCGCGGCTTTACTCATCTGGGAGAACTGCCTAAAGATGGTCCATCTCAAAGAGATGATAGTCATGTTTTCAAACTCAACACCGATCTCTCCGATCTCATTGGTATTGTTCGCACTGATCAAGGGCTGGTAAATCGCGGCCCAGACGGCACAATCACGCCGCGCGAAGAAGTCAGTCAACCTGACATGATGCAGCAAGATCAGATTGCCGACGACAGCTGGCACGCCCCTGATAGTTGGCAAGTCAAGAAACAGCAAAACGATATGGAGATGGAAGCCCAAGATACCGCGCCGAAACCCACTACAGGTCTTCGTGATCGTGACGGACCTTCTTATTTCATCCGGGTCTTCCGTATTGACCACACCTTTGCCACACTTTCTGCCGGTGTGAATTCGACTGTTGCTGAGATTCTCTACATGCTTGGTCGAAAATCTTTCTTATCTGACCATCTGAATAATTATGAGATTGTTTTGCGGACGAATGATTTGTCCCGACAACTTGACCATAAAGAGCGCCCAATCCTCATGCAGAAGCAGCTCCTGGAGAAGGTCGGCTACACCGAGAAAGACCGCATAGAGGACATTGGCCGCGAGGACCATAGCTATCTTTGTCGTTTCATTTTCCTACCTACCAAATTGAGTGGCTATACGAGTCTGGAAGCCGATCCCGGCTTCAGCAAGATGCAGAAGTTCAGCCACGTTGATCTTCAAGGTCGAAGCCTTGTCACCATTCCCATCACTCTCTACAAGAAGTCTTCGGAGATAATCTCTCTAAACTTGTCCCGCAATCTTTCTCTGGATGTACCGAAAGACTTTATCCAAAGCTGCATCAATCTGCGCGAGATCAAGTTCATTGGCAACGAGGCCACATATCTGCCCACGAGCTTTAGTTTGGCAAGCCGATTGACTTACCTGGATGTCTCAAATAACTTCTTGGACCAGTTGGAACATGCGCACCTTGACCGACTCACCGGTCTTGTGAGCATCAAGCTGGCAAATAACCAGTTGACAAAACTGCCCAGTTATTTTGCAAAGTTCCAATCTCTTCGAAGTTTGACCATGTCTTCAAATGGGTTCAAAGTTTTCCCAGAATTTCTCTGTGAGCTTAAAAGCCTTGTTGATCTGGATATCAGCTTTAATGGTATTGAAGAGCTGCCGAATATTGGCCGATTGACCACACTGGAGCGATTGTGGATGACGAATAACAACATGAGTGGTCCACTTGACCAGTCCTTCCAGAAGCTTGTCAATTTGAAGGAGATCGATGGACGGTTCAATGCAATCTCAAACATTGACAGCCTCTCTCGGCTTCCAAGACTAGAGCAAGTTTTCTTTGGTCATAATTTGGTTTCCAAGTTTAAGGGAGCATTTCCAAGACTGCGCAGTCTGCACCTGGATCACTGCCCCTTGACTCAGTTTGACATTGATGCACCAATGCCTACTCTATCTACGCTGAACCTTGCATCCGGCAAACTCTCCCAATTTCGTGACGGGATGTATGAGAACATCGCTAATATTTCCAAATTGATCCTGGATAAGAACCACCTTTCGTCAGTTTCGATACAAATTGGGAAATTGCGTCGTCTCGAACATTTCAGTATCATCAAGAATCCTCTCTCCTCTTTGCCTGCCACCATTGGATGCCTGACCGAGCTTCGAGAATTCAATGCCAGAGAGTGCAATTTGAAGGCTCTGCCTGAGGAGATATGGCATTGCTCCAAGCTAGAAACACTTAATGTGTCAACCAATATCCTTACAACTTTCCCAAGGTTCGGTGCACCAATCCCACTGGTGCCTGGAGAACCTCCCCCAACCCCTGTTTCAACCCCTGGAGTGACAGGTAACCCTAGCTATGAGGAGCTGGGACCATTGAATGAAAAGGACTCTCGCAGGCCAAGTGAAAGTTCCGGTGGGCCTCCTGCATCTGGTACCTCGCCAAGTGGTTCCTATCGCAACCCCTCGATCGTTCCATCTGTTGGTCAATCTAGGAAAGTTTCAGCAGCATCACGATCAGCCAACACTGAAGGAACCTCGAACTCTAGAAAAGACTCTTACTTTTCTCAACAAGGAACAGCAATCACGTTTGCAGGCTCTCTTCGAAATCTGCACCTGGCGGATAATCGTTTAGAGGATGATGTGTTCCGGGAATTGATCCGTCTTCCTGAGTTGCGCATTGTCAATCTCTCTTATAATGAATTGACCGAGGTGCCTTCAGGTGTCCTCAAACGTTGGCCATTGATCTCCGAGCTTTACTTATCTGGAAACGAGTTGACCTCTCTTCCATCCGATGACCTGGAAGACATAAATCAACTCAAGGTTCTCCATATTAATGCAAACCGTTTCCAGGTTCTACCGGCGGAGTTGTGCAAGGTTAGCAAGCTCTCCATTCTGGATGTGGGGAGTAACGGTCTTAAATACAACGTATCGAACTGGCCCTATGACTGGAATTGGAACTGGAACCGCAGCCTGAAGTACTTGAACTTTTCAGGAAACAAGCGACTTGAGATCAAACCCAATATTTCATCTATGGGCCCAACTGCTAGCAATGGTGCAGACCTCACTGATTTCACATCCCTGACTCACCTGCGAGTTTTGGGATTGATGGATGTGACTCTCACAATTCCAACTATTCCAGAGGAGACCGAAGACCGCCGTGTCAGAACATCTGCTTCGCTCGCTGGCTCCCTCGCCTACGGAATGGCGGATACACTGGGTCGAACCGAACATCTTTCAATCATTGATATGATTGTTCCGCGTTTGAAGCCAGACAACGTTGAGACGTTGGTCGGTATGTTTGATGGAAATATCAACTCGAGCGGAGGTTCTCGAGTTGCAAAGTACCTGCATGAGCATTTCACGCCTACTTTCTCCCATGAGCTCAAAAAGCTTCACCGGGACCATGGTGAAACTCCTATTGATGCCTTAAGACGGGCTTTCCTAGCCTTGAATAAGAATATGGCAGGTTCAGCGTACAGATCGATTGATGATCGTGAGCTTCGGCAGTACCATCGCGGATCTAATGCTTCTAAGCAGCTCAACCAAGATGATATCCAGTCTGGCGGAGTTGCAACCGTTTTGTATTTGAACAACATGGAGCTGTATGCTGCCAATGTTGGTGATGCACAGGCAATTCTCGTCAAGTCAGATGGCTCGCTTCGTTATCTCACCAAAGTTCACGATCCCGCCGACGCGACTGAACGAGCTCGCATCCGTGCCGCAGGAGGATTCGTGGCCCGCAATGGCAAACTCAACGATTCCCTCACTGTGTCCAGGTGCTTTGGTCATTTCCCGATGATGCCGGCTGTTATTGCCGCCCCTTCTACAATGCATACTACCTTGACAGAGCAAGACGAGATGGTTGTCATAGGCTCAAAAGAGCTTTGGGACTACGTGACGCCCGAACTTGTTGTTGATATCACCAGAGCAGTGTACCCGGATCTAATGTTTGCTGCTCAAAAACTTCGAGATTTAGCCATCTCATTCGGTGCTACCAATAAGTTGATGGTGATGATTCTCGGTGTGAGTGAGCTTCAAAAGAAGCAAAAGAAATGGCCGCGGCCGAGTGTGTCCTTGGGACCCTCTGCTTTCCCAGAAGATCAACTCATCACATCCAAGCTTCGCAAGAAGCCTCGCGATATTCCCAGTGACTCCCGCCTTGCGCGATTTGATTATGTGGATGCTCCCATCGGCGAACTGGCCATCATTTTCACAGATATCAAAAAGTCAACCGGCCTCTGGGAGACATGTCCAGATGCCATGCGTTCGTCTATCCAGATCCACAATGATATTCTTCGACGACAACTCGGCATCATCGGCGGCTATGAAGTCAAAACTGAAGGTGATGCTTTCATGGTGGCATTTTCAACAACGACTGCCGCCATGTTATGGTGCTTTAACTGTCAAAACCAGCTTCTCGAAGCTGAATGGCCGACTGAGATCCTCGAGCAGCCTCAATGTCAGGTTGTTCTGGATATGGACAATAACATCATCTTCCGCGGTCTATCTGTTCGCATGGGAGGACATTGGGGTGAACCAGTCTGTGAAAAGGATCCAGTGACCAATCGTATGGATTACTTTGGCCCTATGGTGAACCGTGCGTCTCGAGTTTCCGCTGTCGCCGATGGCGGCCAGACCTTTGTATCCTCCGACTTCATGAGCGACATTCAGCGCAATCTAGAGGTCTTTGCAGATGCCGAACGTTCTGCATCAACCAGTTCTACCGACAGCCAATCGCGAGTTGATAGTCTTGGTCACAATATTCGTCGTGAACTGCAGCAACTCAATAGCCAGGGCTTCGTGATCAAAGACCAGGGTGAGAGAAAACTGAAGGGCTTGGAGAATCCAGAACCGCTCTATCTTGTTTACCCACATTCGCTATCTGGCCGTTTGGCCGCTCTTGAAGAAGCCAATGATGCAGGTGGTCCGGCTCAAGTAACGTCCAATTCAGAATTGCAGCTCAAGACCGATTTGATCTGGCGTCTTTGGGAGGTTACCCTTCGATTAGAACGCATTTGTGGTGCCTTGGAGAATCCACTTGACCCACAACTCAGAGAGCCTAATGTTGCTCTGTTCAACATGGTCAAAAATCATGGTGGTGAATTGAATGATTCCACGGTGATCAGCCTGGTAGACCAACAGGTCACTAGGATTGAGGTTAGTTATCGCCCCCCCCTCCCGATCCTTGCATTATGCTAATGAAGCTCTAGGCAACTATCAACACCCTTTCCGTACGAAACTTGATGCGTCCCTTCAAACCGGGCGATCGTCTTGAAGACCATGCCGTCCCCATCGGCGAAGTGATGCAACAATTGCAAACTCAAATGGCCGAATACCGCGCCTTGAAAGAGCAGATGGCCAACGGGAGTGCAGGCATTCCCGTCGGATCACCTCCGTTCGGCGGCACCCCTATTATGCATGCCTCCGACAGTGTCGACAGCAACGCCACGTCCTCCGCCTCTTCCTCTTTTCTTCATCTATCTAGGGCAGCGGATAACCCTCGCCCCCTCGATATTCATCGGAACGGTCATTGATCATGGATCAATGCATACACCCGCGCTACTACAAATAACCCTTCTTAATCCACTGGCCTACTAGGTCATTCATATTTGGTTTGGCTTTCGTTTTTCTTTTTCTTTTCTTTTGCGTCACGTTTTATGGGTGGCGTTTTTTTGGCTGGTAATCTTATGGGTCTCTACGAAACATCGGGGCATGGAGCCATGGAGGTCATTTTCGATTGGAGGTTCTTACCTTTTGCCATTTCTTGCTCTGTGTATTTTTTTTATTCAAGCTATATAGGCTATTGATCTATGGGTCTACCTTGCAAGACATGTGAATAAACTATTCGACACTTATCTTCTACGTCCAAATATGTACTACGTAGCAAGTAACTCACTCCAGGCACATTGGAACTTGGAAAATGCGCCAGCAAGGGTTGAACCTTGGAAACATGTGACCTGTGCACCCTTTGGAGCATGAGAGAAGGCTCCTCATCTGCAAAAGTAATGAAGGTAAACACTCGAATAATATTGAAATAGCTGGTGGACTAGATAATCACATGAGGGAGTCATTTCTAGGCTAAAAATCGCGAGGGCACATGTACGAATTGTCTTCGTTCTGATTTGAATTAATAGTCGGTTGATAAGGGATTGATTATGATTGACTAGGGGATCTATCGAGTGTACTCTTGACCCGGCCCTCTCGCTATGAATGCTATCCCGACAGACAACTTGGCGATGTAGTCTATTTGACTTAGTTCTTGCTACCTCCGCGAACCGAGGACTTTCCAGACTTTCCAGACTTTCCCTTTCCAGAGGTCGAAGAGATAGGCTTGGCCGAACCGCCGCCAGAGAGGCTAACAGTCTTTCCCTCCAACCAAGTGTTCACAGTAGAGTTGTAGTACAGAGTGTGTCCCTGGCTGTGAATGTTCTTCAAGCTGGTCTCAGAGTCAGTGAAGTTCTGGAGAGTGGTATCCGCAGTCAAAGTCCAGGTACTGGTAGCATCGAGAGTGACACCAAAAGTAGCGTCTCCGTATCCAGAGTAGGCGGCACCAGTCCAAGTGCTGTAATCCGCCAGAGACCAAGCGATGGAGCTTCCATTGTATGCGACAAGATCACCAGTCAGATCGGACTCAGTGATGGAAATGGTCACCTCCGCAGGGGACAGGTCGTTATTATCAACGTATCCGGCATAGTAATCGAAGTCCTGGGTGATCTGAGAGTAATTGGCGACAGCGAGGATTCCGGATTCAGTGACAAGTTGCGAGTTGGCCAAAGTTGCCTCAGCAATGATATTTCCGAACCACAGACCCGGCATTTCCTTGCCAGTGGTAGTGAACTTGGTGTTGGTCAAGTTCAACTTCGCTCCACTCTCGATGATAGAGCTGCTGAACATAGCAACACCACCGAGAAGACCCGCAGTGCAGTCGCAGTCCACCAGGTTAATGGTCTGAGCACCATCCGAGAAGACTACGGGTCCGTTCTCGGACAGACTGACCACGTTAGTGGCGTGGATCTCGCCGAGGGCATAGAAGCTAGCAGAGCCGATACCGGCTGCGTGTGCGACACTGTCGTAGACGTAGATGTATCCCGCAGGGGAATCTCCCGAGAAACTCGAGGAGCGCTTGCCACCAGAGTAGACCTGGACATTGTGGCCAATGATGGTTCCATTGCCGGAGGCGTATAGACCGTGGCTAACTGGGCCAGAGGAGTATAGCCAGGAGTTGCTGACCTGGATGACAGAGTCAGTTCCATAGGCGTAAAACTGAGCAGCACCGTTGTGAACGGTCACATTGACGTTGTCGAAAACGGCGGTGGAGGCATTGGCCTTTAATATGGGAGGAGAAAAATTAGCTCTTTCTCAACGTTTCATTCGGGGAGCCTGACATACCACGTTGATTGCAGCATTGAAGCCCCAGAAACTGGCATCATCCAGGTTGGAAGAGTATCCGCTCTTTTCAAAGTCAATGTATGAGCCAGTGAAAGATCCACCCTCCGAAACGAGAAGAACACTGGTGTCGTTCGCGGTAGCAGACCAAGTAACGTGGTTCGCGCTGGAGGTCTTTCCCTTAACTGTGTGTGTCGCCTTGACTAGATTTTTGCGTCAGTATGTGGTTTGATTCAATCAAGGTCGCCTACTCTCCATCATTTCAGGCTGTGCAGGTGTACTCACTAGCAGAAGGCTGAACCGAAGGGAATGCAACGTTGTAGTCAGGGACGATAGCATTATCGGCTTTCCACAGATCAGGATTGATCACATTGGAGGGATCCTGAATCGTAATCGATGCCAGCGCAAGCGCAGGGAAAAGCAAGAGAGAGCAAGCCGCCATTATGTCCAAAACTCTGATGAGGAACTGTGAGAGTATTCTGTTTGTCTGGTCCTTAAAAACATCACTGGCATCCTCGCACAGAGGTTTAAATACATGACTTGTTTGGCCAACGTATGTGGACACTTCAATTGAAGCATCCACTTCTGGAGACGTCCCCCGCAAATTGATCAGCTTCGACGGGGTAAACCTCGGGAAGATGTGGAGAAGAATCGTCACTTACAGGGGAAAATCTGGGGAGATTAAGCTCAAAGCGGGGAGGGATGATTGCCGTTCAGGAGAGAAGCTTCAGTGGGCCACTCCCAGCTCTAGACCAGACCCCCCACATCCCGACTATATACAAGGAAAGAAGCCCGCATGGATGCGCGCAATCCTATAGGAGGTTTGAGAAAGAGAAACGTGCTAGTCTATGCCAAGAAGGCGTACGCAAGCTTTAATCTGAATTATGCAGTCCGCATGTTTGTGAAGATGGGCCATATCCCGAAAAGGAGGGGAAATAAGGTTGGGTTATTTGAGGGGAGGTCTCGAATGCTCGCAATTGGAAGCTCGAAATGTTTTGAGTCTAATATAGCTCCGTCGCAAGCTTGAAAAGAAGCACTCGCTTATAAATATTGATTGTTGTTGCAGCATGGGTTGGATGTTTGGAAGAAAGCTTCGGATTCAGACTCCGGAGTAGCAAGACACCTGGAAAGATGCTTAGCTGGGCAACAGCGATGATCTGAAAAGTTTTCAGTAAGAAGAGTACGTACGACAGACGATGCAAGCCAAGTATATAACAGCATAAGGCGAGCATAAATCCGGATTTGGCATGGTAAACATTTCCAAATGTCAAAAGGTCAGCTGACTCGCCATCCCGCCCCAAATTGGCAATTTCGAAGCTTTCCCCTTTCTTCTTTTGCACTGATGTCTATTCATTGCAGTGCATACTGATTGCGAATTTCTTGAGTCTTTGCCGGCCCTCGTACAACATGTAGACTGGACCAGCTCACCAGCTCTTCAGTGTCACGAAGAAAGCGGAACGCATAGGAGGTGCGATACATATCATTAATGCACAGATGATCCCCCCGGGCCCGAAGCACATAAGTCTGCTCATCAGCGGTATTCGCAGGGAGAGCAGGGACGGGCGGGAAATGCTCCTCGCCACCTTCTAAAGAAATGCGTCCATCTTCGGTGAAATCAAAGTTGTGGAAGAGGTAGTCCGCTTCATCGGGACCGGAGCCAACTTTCACGAACCATGCGCTGAGCTGTGACGTCGCATCGCTTAGTCGCCATATATACTTTTTGGACCAAGTGGCATTCGCCATGCCTGCCAGCGCAGGGGGAAGTGCCGAAGCGGGGAATTGGCCACTTTCGGTGTAGAGCCAATCCTGACTCTGATCGGCATTGGTGTTGGCGGGGAGCTGGGTGAAGGTTGCTGTGCCGCTAAGTTGACCGTTGATCTCGTTCACATTGGTACTGCGGAGAGTACGATTGAGCGACCATCGCGAATTGCCCAGTAATTTGAGTATAGTCGAGAGAGACGCATGTGAGGGGGCCATGGCGTCGGTGGTCGTGATGCGCGGGGAAAAGGAGGAAAAAGTGGCAGAATCACAAACGGCGGAGTTTGATGTCTTTCAACTTGTTTCTTCCCCGCCATCAGAACAATGCTAGTGATAATCTTGGAAGTAAGCTTAAGGCCAACCGAATCAATGAACTGTTGATATGCTACCTTTTTGAAATACTTTAATTGTAGTAAGGCTATGTTTGATGTCCTTTTATTTGCAATCTTTTTGTTTTCCTCTCGCTCATAGGTCCCCCTTCAAGGAGCTCTGTTCCCTGTGATCGCAACGACAATGTACATAACTTATAAGTATGGATCAAAAAACATCTGAACATTGAAAGTCCTATTACCTTTATGCATGGGCATAGTAGTATAGGTATAATATAGGAATATCAAACAAGGCAATGAAGACCGAAAATGAAATTAAAAATATCATACAATAATATTAGTGGAGTAACGCCACCTGCAAGCAACTTGACTTCCACACAGGTTTCAAGGTTGAAATGATATGAAGGTCTCACTAGTTATACAGATGATACTACCACTCTATAAAAGATAACGGGTGTATAGTAGTCTCGGATAATCTACTCCGTACTGATTGCAGTGCTGACATGCATGTGCAAATGTGGTAGAATTGAAACCAAACCTATAGATTGATGGACGGTCAATGCGTTCTCGAATCACCAGTTATCATCTTCCCCGTTCTGAGCTCATGGTGTGGTGGACCGTGGATTGACATCTTGTGAAACGGACAACTCACCACCTGAGGGAAGTCAATGCCGAATTTGGAAAGTCCTTGGGAGGACCTTGACACAAGGCTTATGCGACGAGAAGGGACTGAGACCTCCGTAGAGTGTATTTTGATAGAACAAGACGGCGAGACAGGTAAAATCCAAGGGCGTTCCAACTTGAAGATTCAAATGCTATTTAGCAAACGTGCAGAACTGGTTGCCTTTTCTGATACTCCCACAGAAAGGACTGAAGGTACATGGGAAAAAGGAAAGTTCCAAGGACGCTAGAAAGCGGGGATATGGTCCGCATGATGGTCTGCATGTGCTTTGGGTACGTGGACAAGGCAACCGGATATTTCCCAAAAAAGAGGGGGTGTTGGCCTGTGAATTGAGGCTCTGCTTTGGGCATAAGCCCGGCTTTCTTCCTTTCTTCCATCTTGTCGCGCCTTTCCTGTTCATTGATTGGATGAGATCTTCGTCGGTTACAAGCGACCGCCATGCCAACATCTTGCATCCGCCATCAATCCACATCGAAATGTTGCCTCTGAATGGCGCTCTAATGAACACGAGCAGGGAAGTTGAGACTGTTTGGCCAAGTTGTGAGCACGGAGATTGTTATAAAAGTGTCACACGTCCGGACTGGCCAAGTCCAGCTTTTCTCAAGATGCTCTTTTTATCCACGCCGATTCATCCATATTGAACCCACTTTTTATACATCACACCAGTATCTTCATATCCGAGAATCCACATCGAGTCTCCATTTACACCATGGATCCCAAGAAGACACCCGAGAAGGCTCCTCCCAAAGAAGCCTCGAGCCCTCAAAGTACAGGCGCTTCTACATCTGCCACCGCGGGCAGCAGTCAGACCTCCACTGGAGCAGTGTATACCAGCACACTATTTTCGTAAGAGTGCACTGCAGAATTCGCCAAGCTTGGAATTGGGTCATTAACGATTATAGGTATCCTCCATCAGCTACCCAGCGCCACGACTTACAGGGCATCGGAAGCTGGGTGAGCACAAGGAATTCACCTTGACGCAGATACATCCCGCTGACTGTTATTTCAAGATCAAACCAGATAGTGAATAGGGATGGTGTACCTACCTATCGCTACGCCGAGGAGGGGACAGAGATGGTCAGAGGCCACCATGCAGGAAATGGTAAGTAAACCCCGTGCCTCAAAGCATCAGCCAGTGAATTAATCGACCATGGAGTCTAGTGTGTCCGTGAATACCCGATATTGTAGTTCCCTCTGGAAGAGAACGAATACACTCACTTGGCAATGATGAGCTGATTATCCCTTCTTTAAGGGAGGGTACGTTGAAGAGTGCGATGCGATATCTTTTAAGATCGACGCGAGGGAAAGCAGAATTAGGAAGGAGCCCTTTTCATGGAATAGTACATGCGTGCACGCAATCAACCCTATTGGATACTGGAAAAAGATGGCGACATGCTACAAACTGGCAATCGGACAGATTCAAAGCCCGAGATGATCGTGTGCAGATTGCAGCTGCACCTCCGCCCGTGTTTCCCCTCTTTTCCCTGACGCATTTTATCCTGATTCATCGTCACTTATATGATCTGATTTTTGATTTCAAATGATTTTTGCTTTTAATCCATTCCATGTTTCTTATCTTCGGTCATCTGTGAGATTGTTCAGATGCTTGCTGATTGCGGTTGATCCGCTCCACATGTGTATGATTCATTTCTGATCGACTATGTACCGTCGAACTATTGGAGTGCAATAAATCGCCACGCAGTGCATGTGATATCTTTGGATTACAAACGCTTCGCCTTCTTATCCAAATCCAAGCCAGTGGACCGAGTTGACCAGACCTCTCTTGGATGGTAGTAGAACCGAATTTCCCGGGGTGATAATATTGAACCGTTTCATCCAAATTCCCATCTCGGGTTACACTCCCGAGACCAAAGTTTAAGGTAGGGCTGATGGTGGATACCTCGTATCAGATAGGTATATCATATGTATGATTTACCATATTAATTTCTGTGGACGTATCTCGGTTGTTACCGTGAAGCGTGGTCCAATGAGACGTGCACGGTAATCTGGCAGTTATGACGACCGAGGCCCTGTGGTACTGAGCTCCAAGACAGATAAGAAGCAAAGTAGCCGTATTCATTTGAAGAGTAAACATTGAACATAAGCGAGTTTAGGTATCGCTTGAATAAATCTGCTCTAGTGTACATTGAAACTCTTAATTCTGCAAATATGCCGTTCGATCCGCTTTGTTGCGGGCCGCGATGTACTTCCAAGGTTCCGGTGTCTTTGCGGGGACTTTTGATCGTTGCTCGCCCGTCATAGGTTCTAGCGCTTTCAAATCTCCTTTCATCCGAGATGAGGTTCTTGCTGTACCCATCCGCTAAATTGAATCGTTCTTTGCCTTTGACGGTTAGGCGCTGGCAAACAATTGTGGGACATGGCCGTAATCGACACGCTGTCAGTAGCGTGCTGCGTGGCCAATTCCGCGCTATGGGGAGATCAACGCGTTGATATGAACGAAAAATCCCAATATTGGAAAAGCAAAGGCCATATATTCACTGGATTAGATAATTCTACAATCCGTTGAGTGAAGGAGTTTAAAAAGAGACAAAAGAGTAAGGGGCGCCGTATCGACTATCGTAGAATCGTTATCGCCGGATCATTACCTCATCCGTCGCGGTAATTGCAAAGACCGCGCTAAGATGAGGACAATCTTAGTCCTGTGACTCATGTCAACAGAAACCAAAGAAACCAGAATAATCTATTGTGTGTTTCTGCACTCATTAAACCCTTGGAATACTGGTGCGCTTCTTCTGCCAACGATAATCCCATCATGGCCGAGTCCGCAGATACCGAATCCCCCTCCATTGAGGTACAGAACCTCTCCTATAAGTTCCAGGATGGCTCCAACGGACTGGAAAATGTCTTGTTGAGCCTTCCACCGGGTAGCCGGACGCTCCTTATCGGCGGTATGCTTTCTCTTAAATCAAAAATCTTCTGTATATGACAATCTTGCAGCAGCTAATCCTTGCGCACAGCAAATGGTGCGGGGAAAACCACACTGCTCCGCCTAGTCTCGGGCAAACGCTTGGCACCTAACAACACCATCGCGGTAGCTGGCAGGGATCCGTTCAAGGATAACCTTGAAGGCGTGACTTACCTCGGTGTGGAATGGGTGCTGAATGCCATTGTTCGCACCGACATCGATGTCCCCACACTACTCGCCTCTGTGGGCGGGAATGCCTTTCCGGAGCGACGTGACGAGCTCGTCGATATCCTCGATATTGACCTCCGCTGGCGTATGCACGCCGTATCAGATGGTGAACGTCGTCGTGTCCAGCTAGCCATGGGACTCTTGCGCCCTTGGAAGGTCCTGCTTTTGGACGAGATCACCGTCGATCTCGATTTGCTTTCCCGGAGCAATTTCCTCGCTTTCCTAAAGCGGGAGACGGAGGCTAGATCTTGTACTATTGTTTATGCTACCCATATCCTGGACAATCTTGCACAGTGGCCCAGTCACTTGGTGCATATGCATCTGGGTAAAGTCAAGGCATGGGGAACAGTGGAAAAGTTCCACGATCAGGTTCCACAGTGGACATCTGAGAATAGCCGTCTCGGAGAGCTGGTTCTGAAGTGGCTCAAAGAGGATCTTGCTGTTCGGGGTCCTCGCAATGCTGGGGCTGATCAAGCTAAAACCTACGACGCTGGTGGCATTGGAGGTTACGGCTATGAGAAACACGATTAAACAGCCTGATTTTAGGCTTCCTGTCTTTTCTTGTGCATTCCGAACAACTGCATCTTTGTTTTATTCTTTTACATTGAACGGGTCTTTCTGAAAACGTGCCGTTCAACATCAGGTTCAACCAAAAAGGCATGGGCGGGGGTTTTGCGGGCATCTGGGTGGATCGATTCAACATTTGGGAGTTTTATATGCGACCATGATTCATGATATAGAGAGCTCGCAAGAGGTGGTTACTTAACAATAGACCACATTTGATTTATTCCAAAAAATGAATCTGTAACGATCGTGTATTTTTTTTTTTGGTATATGAAATCTCACATGAGTTCCATCACAAGCGTAATTCCTTTTTCCTAAAGCGGGTTGATATTGAATTCCTGCCTGAGGCACTACATTTGCATCATTTGTTGACGCGTGAGTCGTGACGCGCCTTTGACATATCACATTGGGCCTCTGGTCTGATGAACTGGCAATGTTTTCCTACTTTGTTGGGCGCTGAAAGAAAATAAGGGACCTTCTCAAAGGGTGACCGATTTTCCACTTAATTGGCCTTGTTGGTTTCCGAGCATTGCGAAAAGGGCCGATACATCCTATCCGAACCCGCTTGAGCCCACGGCATCGCACCACCGCCATGCGATCTTCTGACGAGTCCGACTACTTTGACGATGACGATTTTGTTGTGCCTGATGATATTGACGCCGTAAACGCGTCTCGTCCAGCCAAACGTCACCGTGTACGACCTCCGACGCGCCACGAAGACCACGCCGATGCCTCGTCGACAGATGCCTTCTCTGATATTGACGAAGAGGCTTTCAACGAAAGTGAACTGTACGCAGCCCGTGACAAAGAACATGCTCGTCCTAAAAATCGGAGTTTTGTACCAAAACACAGCAACAAACAAGAAAATATTTTCGTTACCCAATTAACGCAACCTCCCTCGAGCCCTGACCGAATACGTGGACCGCGATGGAAAAAGCCAGACCCTGAAGCCCTTCGCCCTGCTTTAATACCGAATTTACAGGAGAGCGAGAAGAACCGACAGCCAGATGAGTTCTCGGATGACGATGAGGATGCGTTAAGGGCTGCGTTGGCTGCTTCGCTGGACTCATTCGAGGCAGAGAAAGCTGCACGAGGACCATTCACTGCACATCCCGCGAGGAACCCCACCCCTGGAAGACCTCTGCCATCCGCGATCGTGACAACAGCTGCACCGCAAGGTTCTTCGTTTGAGCTTGACGATATCCCGGACGACGCATTTGACTCCTCGCCGTGCCTATCGCCAGTCGCACGGCCCGCTCAAACATCAACCTCTTTCTCCAGCACCCATGGGGATCGATCATTCTTCCGGCAAACCACCTTGTATGGCATGATTCAGACAAACCCAGATATTGCACGACAACACCAAGACCCCGGCCCGCCAGATAAAGTCGAACCCCCAACACACCACAAATTAAACCACGATGCACTGGAAACATGGTGGTACCCCATGAATATGGGTAGCATCCGAGATTATCAATACAACATCACTCAAAAGGGCCTTTTCCATAATCTCCTCGTTGCTTTGCCTACTGGTCTGGGAAAAACCTTCATCGCTGCAACAATCATGTTGAACTGGTTTCGCTGGACGAAAGATGCTCAGATCATCTTTGTAGCCCCGACCAAGCCGTTGGTGTCGCAACAAGTATCAGCATGTTTAGAGATTGCAGGCATTCCACGTTCTCAAACCACTATGCTCACTGGAGGCGCGGCACCAGGCATTCGTGCCCAGGAATGGAAGTCAAAGCGGGTATTCTTCATGACCCCTCAAACATTGATCAACGATTTGAAGACCGGCATTGCAGACCCCAAGCGCATTGTTCTTGTGGTCGTAGACGAGGCCCATCGTGCCACTGGAGGTTATGCCTATGTGGAAGTGGTCAAATTTATGCGACGTTTCAGCAACAGCTTCCGTGTTCTAGCCCTGACAGCCACGCCAGGATCCACAGTTGAAGCCGTGCAGGGCGTCATCGATGGCTTGGAAATCTCACGAGTGGAAATTCGTACTGAGAATTCTCTTGACATTCGGGACTATGTACACGCTCGCAATATTGAGATTGAGACATTTGAATATTCAGAAGAAATTCAGTTATGTTTAGATCTTTTCTCTGCTGCTCTGCAGCCCCAAATGGATCAACTTCGATCACTTAATGCTTATTGGGGCAAAGACCCTCTAATGCTCACTGCCTTCGGCTTGACCAAAGCTAGACAACAATGGATGGCCTCCGAAGCTGGCAGAAATGCTGGGTTTGGGCTGAAGGGTATGGTGAATGCTATTTTTACTGTTCTTGCCAGTTTGGCACATGCGCTTGATTTGTTGAAATATCATGGAATCGTGCCATTTTATCGCCATTTGTTGCATTTCAAATCGAATACCGACGGCCAGAAAGGCGGCAAATATCAGAAGCAAATTGTGCAGAATGAGAGTTTCAAAAAACTTGTCTCCCATGTTGATCCATGGAGCAAAAATCCTGAATTCATTGGTCATCCCAAATTGGAATATCTGAAATCTGTGGTTTTGAACCACTTCATGGATGCTGGAGAAGGCCAAGAAAATGCTGATAACAGCAAGCCAACTACGCGCGTCATGATTTTTGTACATTTCCGCGATAGTGCCGAGGAGGTGTCGCGTGTATTGAAACGATATGAACCCATGATCCGACCACATATCTTTGTTGGCCAGTCCAGTGCCAAAGGGTCAGAGGGAATGTCCCAGAAGACCCAGCTTGACATCATTCAGAAGTTCAAAGCGGGAACTTACAATACCATTGTGGCAACCTCGATTGGTGAAGAAGGTCTGGATATTGGTGAGGTAGATCGCATTGTGTGCTATGATTCTTCTGCGTCGCCAATCCGAATGCTGCAGCGTATGGGTCGAACTGGACGTAAACGAGCCGGAAATATCACACTTCTTTTGATGAAGGGCAAGGAGCAAGATTCTTACATCAAGGCCAAAGATAACTACGAAAAAATGCAAGAGATGATTGCAAGTGGTTCACGATTCGATTTCCACGATGATCTGTCTGCCCGAATTCTCCCTGCGGGCATTCGACCAGTGCCTGACAAGCGGATCATCGAAATTCCTCAAGAGAACTCTCAGCGAGAGTTACCAGAACCGAAGCGCAAGGGTCGCGTGCCTAAGCGGCCACCAAAGGTTTTCCATATGCCCGACGATGTCGAGACTGGCTTCACGCGGGCCTCAGCCTTGGGTGAAGACGGTGTACAGAAATCCAAACCTTCAAAGGCGCCCTCCAAGACGAAACCCAAGACACCTGCCAAGACAGCACAGAAAAAAAAGTCGACCACACCAAAAAAGCGGACTCGGACCCCTGAACCTGTACTCGCCGAGCGGCCGACAATGGCAGAGCTCGATATTGAGTTCCCATATGCGATGCGCGAGTATGAGGAGGCCATGCGGGCAGTCGGCGACGTGACAACCCCTCGTACTGGCTTCTGGCCCCGTCCTGAGGATTCAGTCAGGAAATCAAGCCGACCTACGAAGATGATCCCTCATAGTTCTCTGAGTCGGCGTGTTAGCAACGTCATACGGAACATGGATCTAGCCATTCCTAGAGGCGACTGAAAGTGCCTCACGCATTTTGAATGATGAGATGAAATGAAAGTGTTGATTGAATTCGCCGTGCATAAGCGGAGTTTGGACCTCATGCTGGTTTTTCTTTAATATGGGCAGGGCATCAATAGGAAACGAAATATACCTAACCGCATATTTGCCCCACAAATTTCGCGTTTGCAATGCGTCGCTTCCCGATACTTATGTACATGTATGCCAACTATCAAAATTCAATAATATCCAGACTCGTTGGAAACATCCCCGGAGAATCAGTTAAAGAGGGAAAAGGGCGTGGAATTACGGCAGCAGTGCATAAGGTAGAGAGAGTTCAAATGTTACGCAAGTGTGATCTATGCCCGCAGCTGGGTAACCAACGGAATTATCTTTTTCAACAATGAGCGTTTGTTTCCGTTCTTCCTCAAAGCCGCGGAGGGATTCTACATCCGATCCCGACGGCATCGATCTGAGACTGTGCATAATGGATGCTGTCGAATTGCTTGGTGCCTAGGGCTGAGTAAAGCAATTAGAGTCTAGTGCTGACGATTGGGGGCCTTTCCCCCACAATAGACATGAATCCAACCATAAAGCTCTTCTATCTGAATTTCTCTCCCCGACAAAGAAAATCGGGTGGAAAACGAATGTGGCTTGGACCGTTGGACCGTGTGGGGGGGGAAAGCATAAATACGGGCATCATTTTCACCTTGGAATCCATAAAACTTTCGCCTTTCACCTTTCACCTTTCTGATTGTTAACCTCTCTAAAACAGAAATAACGATCAGCATCAAATTAATCTATCGAGCTTGCTCTTCTCTCTCTCCGGTGCTATCTATAAAATTCCAACATGGCGGACGATGAACCGCTTCGTCCGATGTTCCCACCGCCCGCCTTCGATGCAGCGGCGGCCAAAAAGAAAGGGCTGATCAGCACAATTAACGTAAAAACCTACAAAATATCTACCTAGAAATCTCGGGTGTCTCGGATCTGACATGAATTTGCACAGATATTTAAAGACCAGTTCTCTTTGACCACATGGTTGCTGTTGGGGGCGGTTACGCAAGGCCTCGCTGTGATGCTTTTCCCTGCATCTTATGCGATTCTCCCTGCCTTTATCATCCTTTTGTACCGTATTATCGATGGCCTACTCATGACGGTGGGTCTAAAACAAAACCGCTATATGGATAATGTCATAATGGGGAAATTCACCGGCCAAATCCCTAATTCGGAAGGCATCTATTCGAGCGAGCCGGCCGACGAGAATATAGTTGCTTTCCAGCTAATCTCGCGCTCAAATCAGTATGTTATACCATCCCCATTGAAAGTCACCCTTGGGTCGCTCTGTGCACAGCTGTATGCTGATGATATTCCTTAGCCCTTTGGGTTTGCTCGCACCAGGCGCTCGCGAGGTCGCTGCACTGGCCCAAAACATGTATGCTCAGCTGGCCAAGGAAAGGGAAACATACGGATGTATGAATTTTGAAACTATGACCCTGTTCTTGAAGAGAGAGAAAGACTGACCTCCCATTCAGTTCTCGGCTCCAAGACCATGATAGGAGCAGATGAGCTCTCGGCCGGAAACCATATTATTACCATGATGTACTTTCGTAATTTGGAAGGTATTCACCGTTTTGCTCACGGGCCTATTCACACAGATACTTGGAATTGGTGGAATGCCAAGGGCAAGCATTATGGATACCTTACTATTGCGCATGAGCTCTATTCTTCGCCGAAGAATCAATGGGAGAACATCTACATCAATGCTCAGCTTACAGGTCTACGTGAGTTATTTCTTTGGCAGTAAAAATGGTCATGAGCTGATTTGATGTTTTTTCTTAGCCGGAACTCTGGTGAAGGTGAAGAAATTGGATGCAGATGGTAAGGAGGATGAGTTTGAATATGTGAATCCGGTTATCGATGCGCGGAAGGGGAAGTTGGCCAGACAGTTTGGGAGAGTCAATCGAAGTTACGATAACGTCGATACAAAAGTTGACTACGATTACTAAGGAATGAATACTGGGGTATTCCAAGATTTACTGAGGTACGTTTATAGGATGGGAAGAAAATAATTGGATTTCGGAGTCAGCGTTGATTGAATAGGCTATATCAATTGTACCTAGTAGGTAGTGGAGTTCAAAGTTGAGACAGATGGGGAAAGCACATAAGAAGAACGAACAAATGCAAAAGAATAAGAATAAGCAACTCACCTCTAAAAACAAACCAAGATCCTATCATCCAAAGTATGATATACCTGTTGCGTCCAATGCTATGTAGAATGTCAGTTTCGTAGCCCTGAAGTAAATATCAAATTAGCCAAAATGCGTATATCTCAAACGGGAGCAATATCGAAGCGGATGTTAGCAGCTCCGAGACCTGAATCGTAAGTCACAATGCGAGTGATGCGGCGAGTGCCCCGAGGGAAAGCTCCCAGGACCAGGTATGCAATCACTTTGCCAATTCGGGTCCCAAGCATACCATCATACGCAGGAGTTCCATAGTCCCAAGTGCGAAGGTTGTCACCATCAGCATGCCAAGCAAGGTCCGCAGCAGGGTAAAGCTGCTCAGCAATGAAGTCCAAGGTGTGCGAGTTGATAACAGTGGTTACATAGACAGATCGAAGAGTCTTAATATCAAAGTTGCGCTGGTAGAAGGCTTGGGCCAGGGAAGAGGCCGTAGGCACCGTAGCTCGCTCTTCAGCAAGCTCCTCAACGTTGTTGGGGTTCTGGATGCGGTTCATAACTTCAATATCAAGGAAGCCTGGTCCAACAACACCGTACCAATGGAATTGACGCTGGTGGATCTTGAAATTCTCGTATTCGTCGTGGTTGGAGGTTACATTGCTACCAATCTCTCGTCGAATTTCGGCGATTTTCTGTAGCATAGACTCCTCCATGAAGTTTTCAGGCACTACAGTGCCGCACTTCACTGCACCATATTTCTGCTCAAGCTGGGCGTAGGTTAGCGTAGATGGCTTAACGTGGCAGCCGGGCTCATTTGGATTGGCAATCCAAAGGCGGAGCTGCATTCCATCGGTTTGGTACGAACCGAAACGGGCAGGTGCAGAGGTTTGTTCGGTCATCGCTAAAGGTTTTTTAGTAGATTGAGAAGGTAAGGTTTTTTGATTGTTGGTTGTTCTGATTGTTGATTGTTTTTGATTGTTGGTGGAGAACTAAAAGGGACGGGCAGACTGGGTCTTTTATACCTTGGACTCGAACGAAGTCTCGATAGAACATCCATCCATGGGCTATTTACGGCACAGGAGATCCATTGTTTCCATGTAGATCAAAGACTTTGTTCAAATGCTATAATAGGAAATGTAAGCCATTGTCGAGTCGAGTGAAAGGCCGGATGAAAATAACAATCAACTGAACAATGTCCTTCACATTCATTGATGATAAAAATAGAAAGTCAAAAATAACATCATTGTTCTACCCCATATTACAATGGGGCTTTGTATGTGCAAACAATCGAGTGCCAAATTTATCAGATCGTGGTTAGCGCGGTTGGTAGTGTACATCTTGCGCTAGTCAAAGTCTGCCGGCGGTAGCCCTCTAGCTTCCAGGGCAGTATGAACACAAGTTTGTAAGGTCTCGATGGCTTCGGTCCAGGTCTGTAAGCCCTGTTCAGACCTCGGAGTCTGGTTTTCTATTGGTGCGCGCCCAAGATTATCCTCACCAACGAGCCACATCAGCCAGCGCACTACGGAGACGGCTTTTTCGATGTCTTTCTCGTCGACAACAACACGACCCAAGTAGTCGCACAAGAGCCCAACATCCTCGCTATACGGACCATGGCTCGCAAAAGCAGAATGCCACTCGCCGACCGTCTCTCGAAGGTCCGGCAATTCTGTGAAACATTGTGACGTGAATGTAGGTCGTTCTGGTAGAGGAGGTAGTGGCAGTCGCTTCTCCTCAGGTGCGGGTAAAGAAATAGAAGCTTCAGGCTCGGTATCTGGGCCCGCATCGGTAGGGGCAGTGTTGGAAAGAAGGGGTGGGGGCGGAGGGGGAGGAAGAGGTTGTTGTTGTTGTTGTTGTTGTTGCTGAATTAAAGAGGTGCGCCTTTGCTCCTCCAAAATTTCTTGTCGGATATCATCAGGGAGTGCAGCTAGAAAGTCCGCTGAAATGCCATGGTGTTCTTCATCCACCGGGGAAGGTTGGCGAGAGATTTCCGGCTCTATGGAGGGAAATGTACTCGCCGGTCTTGTCACAAAGCTCGTTAATCTTTGCGATCTGTCGTCGATCCTTGAAAACTTCGGAGGACGGCCACGCTTTCTCTTCGGCGGTATAAAAGGTTTCTTTATCCCAACAGATCCAGAAGACGATGGACGGGGGACGGGGTTCGTAACAGAAGTAGGAGGAGCCGATGCCGCTTCCACGACAGGTGGAACCAATATCGAGGCCTCATGGTTATAGTAACCCAAAACTTCGTCACGCAAATATTCAGGTAGGGCAGCCAAAATATCGAGATCCAGCTGAGATTGAGGGGGCAACGCTGGAGCAGCGGGCCTTGGAGCAGGTGTCGGAGACACTGGATGTGCATTTTCGGGCGACTTTGTCTGCGCTACGAGTCTCGATCTTATATCGCTAGGAAGTTCAGACAGAACGGCAGGGTCGACCTGAGTGGGCATAATGAACTGAGATCCAGGGATATCGGGGGTAATCTGGCCAGCACGGACTGGTGTCCGACTTTCAACGCGGGGCGTAATGTTCTTTGACGGACTGTTCGATTCAGCTCCAGTGACCGTCTTCTTACGCGAAGGAGATTTTGCAAAGTTGAGCTGCCGTTGACTACTATCGATATTCGCCAATGAACCAGCCTTAAATGGCTCAAGCTTGGTCATTTGAACACCAAGCCCTCGTAAGTCACCCGGGGAAAGATTCAGACTCCTTAACATAGAAATGGCCTCTTTCGAGATGATATCAGTATCGTTGGTGGCGACACCCATAATGACACTCTTGTTGAAAATATCACATTTTCCATGCCCAAGATGCTTCACAGGTTCCAATGGTGCATCCGCTGATCGTCGCATGACTTTGAGGGTAAGATGTTTACCTTTTACAAGATTTTCCATTAGACGTCGGTTGAGCTCACCGCAGAGAGACTTCACAAAGTCATCTGCTTGTTCTTGATTGGTGAATCGAATTCCCCAATTGACTTCTGCGGAGACTGATTTTCTAACAGCCTCATCCCCGACTTCGGTCTTGTCAATCCCTCGAGCATATTCCCACATCCGAACCCCAGTTTTTGGTCCTAGACTGGAGACCAATCTTTCACGGGTAAGGTTTTTGATGTCCTTGACAAAAGCTACTCCAATGTTTTCTAATTTGGCAGTCAAACTGTGCCCAACTCCCGGAAGATCTCGAACAGTAAGTTCTCCCATGAAATCTAGGACAGCGTCAGGTTTCAATTGAAACTGGCCTGCGGGTTTCGCCTTCCGTAGGGCAACTTTGGCTTGTAAAATATTCGCACCAATGCCCACCGATACAGCACATCCCGTCTTTTCCTTTACTGAATGACGGAGCGCTTGGGCGATTTCATCTGCTTTAGCTTGTTCCCGATCGATAGAAATCTCCAATGTGACTTTTTCGTCCGAGCCTCCGGCTTCTAAACACATTTGAGTGATATCAACAAGAGCTTCATCAATGCTCACACTTTGAACAACCCCATCGATCGCAAGAACCGAGTTATAGAATTTCTTGCTAGCCTCTTCGTATGCTGGAAAATCATATGGTAGAACTTGAAGCTCAGGGCAGCTCTCCAGGGCACCCTTCATCCACATGCCATTCTTGACACCCCGCCCACGAGCGACATAGTTGCAGCTCGCGATTTCAGATCCAGAACCAGGGCCATGCGCAATAGCAACAGGCTTTTCGCGGAGTTCTGGGTGTTTGAGAAGGGACACTGCAGCGAAGAACGAGTCAAAATCAACATGCAGAATGTATCGCCTTGCACCGGGAACGGTTTTCTTGTTGGTAGGTCTCGATTGAGCCTTCTCTTTTGTTGCTGCTTGGAGCTGCGCCTTCAACTCAGCTTTCCAGGTCGACAGATGGTGGAGCCGAGACTCTCGATAATACTGTTGTAAGAACTCTGGGTTCCCAGCACTGGTATTTGCAGTTCGAGGATCCGACAGAAGTTGTGCATTGTATTCCTCGGATGACATTTTCGCGTTCGGTGGAACGGGAAGCTTTCGAGGCGGAGGCATCTGGTTGTTGTTCCATTTTGACTCAGGTTGGTGGCCATCGTTATTGATAGATGTTTTACTCGCTTTGGGGGTATCTGAGGTGTGGAATGGTTCATCGTCTGGCGCATCAGGGACCGTGGCTTGGGGTTCCCCATCGGCTGAGGTGAAGCTAGGAAAGTCTCCGTAGTCTGATTGCGAGGGTGGGGTGACCGGATCCATAGCGGCTAGAGGTCTTATCGATGGAACATTTGACTGGGATGGAGGGCTCGAGATTCCGTCAGCTGTGTTCGTAGCGGAAGGTTATGGGATGCGCTTGTGGCTGCCGCGTCGTGGGACTGCAGCAAAGACGCGCCACGGCCATGACCTAAAGGTGAAATATTAATGCTAAACCACTCATTTGCGCGAGGCTGTGAATATTCTAGATGCGATGGATGCACAGTTCAAGGGGCTTTCGTTATCCATCTAAGGCTTCCAAGGTTTGGGACGGTCAACTTCTGAAAAAGCATGGGTGTTGACGAGGCCTGGGTCCTGACGGCCGCAGGCGCGAAAATGCGGAGATACCAAGTCCCGCATTACACAACTAGTCAAAGGCGGTGAAATGTAGTTATAGTATATAGCAAACTCCTTTACTACGTACGAGCTCTTTCTACTATTTTTCCCTCGAGGACATTCTCGGTTTTCATTTCAAAGTACCCAAAGTATTTTATGGAACATGGACATGGAGGTTTACATGTAATCATGAGAGTTTGTACAATTCAAATGGTCATGTATAGGCATTCTCGTAACAAACAACAACCGTCTAACCGTGAAAGCATTGAAAATAATAAAAGAATCATGATCCAGCAAACCAGTGCTGTTAGTTCATGCTGAAACTGCAGTTTGAATCCCGTTACCATTTACTTTCTCCAAATGTTCAATTTCCGACGCCTTACTCGATCCATTGGTTGTCTCCTTGGGGTAAAAATCGACCTTGCCGCCTTCCTGAATCACTCCCATTCGGTCCAGACAAAGACGAGCCCGAATGTAAGGGTCCATCTTCCAGTGGTTGACCCGCAACCGCTCTGCCAGGAATGTCCTTTCACTCGCCGCAGATTGGATCTTACTCTTATCCTTAGCCTTGGCTGCCTCGATCCATTCTGCGGTGGCAGTGAGGAACTCCTCGCCGATCTGTAGTCTCTCGCGCAGAAGAGCATCGCGGGTAGTGGTGTCTTCCATTGCTTTGTTCTCGCCCTCCTTGGGCTCGATGTATTTGTACTCCCAGTTCTCGTCACCACCGACACCCTTGGGCAGTTTGCTGCGGTCGATAAACTTGGTCAGGTCGTCGGCGGAGTTGGTGAACTGCACCTTGGCAGCGATATCGGGGTCCATCCAGCCGCGAATGAGCTTCCAAATGCCTGCAACAATAATTTTAGCCGAAGTGTCTTGTTGGTAGTGAAAATAAAGTCAAACGAACCAGAGAAAATCCAAGGAGCATTATGAATCAACATGACTCCCAATGATTCCGGGTAGTTGGCCTCGAAACACTTCAAAATAAATTTCACTGGCGGGTATTCCATGTTGGAAAGGCCAAAGCCCGTCATATCAAATAGAACACACTAAAAACCGCATTAGCAATGGTCCCGTGTTTCCAAGAAACGAACTTCGCCTACAGCAGTCTCAACCTGACCAGCCATAAGGAGTCGGACAGACTCGATGACATGAACAATATACCGCTCCAAAGTCTCTTCACTCTGGGCACCAGGCTTGTGCAAGCGGACTTGAATAACCACAATTGGTCGACCGATCTTATCAAATCCATGAACATAGCTCTTGCCCATGCGCATCTGATCCAGGAGGTCCTTTCCTGCCTTCTTACTACTGGGATTGGAGCCATTCTCCTGCTTCAACGCATAGAGCTCGCCCTTTGCCATCACATCGTCGTCCACGTGCATCTCCTTAACTCGCCAGACAATGGCTTCCATCATCATCGCGAATGCCTTGCAGATGTCCCACTTGCGCGCACGAAGGAATCGTAACATCATAGCATCTGGGTGGTCGTGCTTCAAGAGCTCAAGAATACCCTGTCGAAGCTCGCCGGGGCTGATCTCCGATAGGGCCTTCTGGACCATCTTGGTCTCATTGGGGCCAATGCCAAGCTCGCGGAGATAGGCCATGAACTTTTGCTGGTACGGTCTTGTGAGGGTGGGGACGGCCTTGTCGGAAGTGGTGCTTTGGGAGGTAGTGGTGCGGCTTAGAAGCGACATGCGTCGTGGGGGTGCGGATGGAGTCGGGCTTGCTGGGGCCTCCTCGACAACTCCGTTGGCATCTTCCTCAGAGGGGATCTCGGCTGCTCTGAGTAGAATAGCCCATAGCTTCTGTAGCTTCACCTCCTGGTCTTCATTGATATTTCCCAGGAAGCCGGGGCGGGGTCCTTCCGCGGCCATTGTAAGTGAAAATACTTTGTGGGTGTGGGGTCTCGGATGGTCAATTGGATTGTGATAGTTGGATGAGAAAGAGATTTGGCGAGTGAAGCATTCTCTAGGGGCTGTCCAGGATAATATAGTACGTGCAGTTGCCACCACATGAAACCCCTCCTTTTTCTTCTCCAGCCCCAGCCTCGGCCCTAAATGGGGTAGATAAAAAAAGGATTGAGGTCCATGCAACACTCCTGTTTCGTCATGGTCAATCGCATTCCGATCGTGGGCAAAGATCAACCAGGCCCACCCACCAGTTCCCCGGATTTTTCAGCCATCAAGTTGGTGGAATGGGACCTCGGCCCTTTCAGGAGTAGAGGGGGTCCACTAGAGTCTGCTAGTGCTGAAAGCAAAGAAAATCATGTGTTGCACATTTGAGAAGTGTGGTCCTTTGAAGTCGTCAATATGCACATTGACGACGCCACCCAAATTCTAAGACACATATTAGCCTCTATACGGTAAGGAGAGCCCCTCGGTGTCATGATCTTTTGCTGTGCATTTCTTGTCTTTCAAACCTACTACCCGCCTTGGCTTGTCTCTTCTCGACTCCTGAGCTCGGTTCACCTTCACATAGACCGGAGGACCAGTAATATCAAAAGCCGGGCCCCACTATGAAAGCCCACGAGCCACTACTAGATACACGACATCCATACGTCACCGCCCTGTACTAATACGGTACCTACGACGATTCCAGATAGTAAAATAGATGGTAAGTCATGTAATAAACAGTTCTGCCCGTGGTATTTAATCATGTCCTCAAGCTATGACAGTGTATCTAGCGGGCCTCCCTAACCCCTGATGCGCCATGCAAAGAACCGGAGAGATATCTCTCATTCCGGTTAGTCTCAACGAATACGGATCGTCGACTAAAGAACTGTCCTTCTCCACTCCCCCAACTTTTACAAAACTTTACCGCAGGTGGTGGGTTGCCATATGGCATCATAAACAATTACCCCGCGCTATCCAAGCCGATCATCCATCTGGGCCTTCTCACGGAAATTGCCCACCATCAACATTGCTGACCTTTCATGAGTCCAATGGTTATCGTGGGACCGAAACAGCGCTTTCGAAGAAGAAATAACCGAAATCATACCGGTTTCATGTGCTTTCATGCATGATAATCAAATCGAGCAGGAAAGTGGAGTCATGATCAAATCCGAGGTCTTCTACTTAATCTTCAGTTAACTACTACATACTATTCACATATGGAATAAATATAATTCATGCTGATTGGACATTTGGAAGGATGACGGTGCCCACCATGGTCTTATAATTGAGGAAATAAGTGCCTCCCAAGTCCATACCTAACATACATGTACTATTCCATTTCAACCTTACATAGTTGACTTTCGATTTTCAATTCCCATATCTGCATGCTCTAACCCACGATAGCACTGGGAATCTGCAAGAATTTGAATACAATCAAACGATGCATTACTGAAGATACTTAGAATGGGGCCTAACTAAATAGATCAAGATTTTGGCGATTGTGTAGATACATGTATATTGTCGGATTAATTTGAGGAACCATCTCCAGTACTCAGTCTACTAAATAGGGGTATATAAGTCTTGTTGTCGGGAATTGTAAACCTTCAAACGCTGTTCTTGATGGGACAGATCACGGCGAGAGAAATCGTGAATTCAACATGTAAACTGCTGCATGTGCATGTGTATATCAAACCAGTTGACACGAACTAGATTGTTCAAATGTTGCTTTAAATAAGTTCATGAAGAGCCGAGACCAATATCCTAAGCACTGTATCTTTATCGCAGTTTCTAAAATTGAAAGCAGGAATGTATCGATCGTAATGATACCGGGGTGTGTATAGAAGAGTCAACATTTGAAGATAAAACTTCCTACGTATTGCTTAAACATCAAGCAGATGCCCTCAAGTGACAAATAAATGGAGATCAAACTGAGACTGATAACATATCTCCGGAATAGTTAGTGGAGTTGACATCTGGATGATGTAAACAGAAGAAAGCTCAATAATAAAGGTTGAAAGATGGCATACGTAGAAGGTTCTAGTATCTAGCATTATTTCTAGCTAGAAATGATGTTTTGCGCTTGCCCAGCTGGGTCTGTGTGAAACGAAGTCCATTGTGTATAAACGCGCTTTGTGATAAGTGTATTATCCAAAGTTATGTGGGTCAAAAAGTGGACAGGTACGCCTCTAACCCCAGCGATACTAGCCAAAAAAAATCGACACTGTCACCACTCTAAATATGCAGATAATCTTTCTTTGGTGGAGATTTCTCGGAGGTTCACTGAGTTGCTCCCAACCCAAACATCTTGATCGAGTTATTCCAAGCACTAGTAACAAGTATTAGCAAACAAGCCAGTTATGGGTATTTGGGTTTCTCTTACGCTTCGCAAACTTCTTCGACGGAGATTCCCTTGACCTCAGCAATAACATGAGCAACACGAGCGATGGCCACAGGTTCATTCCGGCCCTTGACCATAGAGCCCTTCTGCCACTTCTCCTTTTTAAAAGCTTTAGGTAATTCCGGAGCGCCGGTCAAAAACTTTGCTGAGGCATGTGAAGGACGGATTTCGCACTATTGTTCTTGTCAGTTTGAGTTGGCAGATATTCCGGTGCTTGTGCGCTTACCCAGGGTCCATCAGTTTCAATCTGAAGTCTTTCTAACGGAACAGCCTTCACAACCTCCAGATTATCTTCAGTTTTCATACTGCACCCGTTGATGCCGATATCAAGGCCCAAAGCAACCAATCTTTGCATTTCCTCCATAGTTCCTGTGAAACTGTGCACAAGACCACCCTTTGGCAAGTGAGGAAGCTTCTCGCCAATCAATCTCTCAAAGTCTTCACTCGCAGCACGTGAATGGAGGAAGAGGGGCATGCCAATCTCAATCGCAAGGTCCAATTGAGCCTCGAAGTATTTCAATTGGGGCTCCTTGGCACTGTGGAAGAGTCGGTCATAGTCAAGGCCGATTTCACCAAAGGCAACAGCAAATCCGGATTCCTTAGATTCGATGGCCAGCTTCCGAAGCTCTTCCAGCATCTTGGTGGGCCCTTCGGGATGTTCGTCGAACAGCTTGGCTTGGCAAGGATGCACACCGACAGTGGCATAACAGAATCCGGCTACAAGTCCTCCTATTAGCTCCATACATCACGGATTTTTGGATTTAGTATATACTTACGGTAGTTGCGGGCAATCTTCACAGCTTCCTCAGACTCGACCAGATCAGAACCGGTGACCATAAATTTCTCACAACCCACGTCCCGAGCACGCTGGATCACATCGTCCAAGTCACATTCGTGAGCTTGCTTTCCGTGATATGTCCCACTGAACATTGGGTCACTCAAGTTTATTCCAATCTGAAGAGAATATATTAGTTTCAAAGGGGCTCCTAGTCTCTTGCAAGAGGCTGGGAAAACATACATCGACATATCGGAGAGTTTTGCTTTCGTCTGCCATGGCGCTTGGAATGTACTTTCTGGAAGAAGTTGAAAATCCCGAGCCAGAGTATAAACTGCCAGCTACTTGTAGGGTTGAGTTGCTAAAAAGAAACTGGCCACTCTGGAAAGATTCTGTCAAGAATGTTAGCATATGTGCAGACCGTGGACATTAAATCACCGATTCCAAGTGCAACCATGGGCGTTCACAGTAGTGCAACGCATATGGTTTGAAGCCAATATTTTCCATTCAAACATACTGGGTCTAATAGGCTGATTCAGAAAAGTCTTTGGGGATACAATGGTTCTTCCTGTTGCCCCTCTAAAAACGCGGTTGTGGATATGACGAAGAATGTTCGATTGGGTCCTTCCTAATGACTTGGTAGGCATTCAAGTGATGATCTGTCACTGCCGCCTTGGTTTCAGACAATCAATGCTCTACTGCGGCAAGAACGAGCCTTTGCTCAAAATATTAACACAGTGTTGACTCGGAGAATCACCAGCCACATATATCGCTCGATTTTCAGCGCGTGTGGCGGTGCTTGATGACATAAGCAGATGGACCGTGCTGTTGGCTTCGCGGAGAGAAGTCCGCGTGGGAGTCGGCAAGTCGGTAACTCGCCGCCACATCTTCACTGTTAAGGGTCCAAGGGCTTCTCAATTGGAAGTGAGGAACATTGAAGACACTTCTTTGGGATTTTTGGAAATGATCGGAAATGGCCAAATTGGGAACAAGAAGCTTGATATCATGAATCATGATGTTGCTTCCAGCCGATGTAAAAAATTTGAATACATCTAAATTCGTTGGATAAAGTACTACAATCGTATCTTTTTAGATGGCAGTGGAAGCTGATACGAAACCCGGGGTAAGTCCGGCAACAATCCCGGAGTGGAGAGAGTCTTCCCTACTCTCGCCCGGAGAATGACCGTGATTCGCGCGCGCTCCTCCATCTACTGAGTCCTTGATTCCTTGCTGAGTATTAAACCTTCTCTGGCTGGCCAGTTTCTTTTTTCACCTTGTCATTCTTTAAACTTTTTATACAAGATTGGTCTACTCACTTGTCTGGAGTATCATTAAGCTGGTGCTGTTATCGACAATGACGGGTCAGAAATTACTCTCCGTAAAGGAAGTCTCGGGGCATCAATCACCCGAGGATTGCTGGATTGTGGTGGACAACCAAGTGTGGGATGTCACAGATTTCCTCGAAGAGCACCCCGGAGGATCCAACAGTAGGTGATTCGATTCTTGTATTGAAGTACTATGAAGAGCCCTGGAATAACAAATTCTGCAGTTATTCTGAAGTATGCAGGCCGCGATGCTACCAAAGCCTACTCGGAAGTACATTCACCGAGTGTGTTGAAGACAGGATTGGAACCGCAGAAGCTCAAGGGAGCTCTAGACCAGTCAACAATCGATGAAGATTGGGTTAAACCACCCCCTGGCGAGAGTGTCAAGCTGCTTCTGGAGAATGAGAAGCCTCCATTGGAAACCCTGATCAACTCTCACGACTTCGAGGTCGTCGCGTCCAAAACCGCAAACAAGAAGACATGGGCGTTCTACTCCAGCGCATCTACAGACCTTATCACGCGAGACGCAAATAAGTCGTGCTTTGATCGGATATGGTTTCGGCCGCGAATACTCCGCAATGTGCGATCCGTGGATACTCGGACAAAGATTCTCGGTGGCAATTACAAGCTTCCGCTCTTTGTCAGTCCTGCTGCGATGGCCAAGCTGATTCATCCAGAGGGAGAGTGTGCTATTGCGCGGGCCTGTGAGAAAAAGAACATTATCCAAGGCGTGAGTGGATTCTGTATCTTCATTCCGATGTTTCTTGTGTACACAATACTAATGTGAATTCTTAGATCTCCAATAATTCCTCCTTCACCATCGATGAATTGCGAAGCACTGCCCCAGACGCAAGTTTCATTTTCCAGCTATATGTTAATCGGGATCGTGAAAAGTCTGCCGAGCTTCTTCGACAGTGCTCTGCCAATCCTAAAATCAAAGCTATCTTCGTGACCGTGGACGCTGCGTGGCCTGGGAAACGTGAAGCGGACGAACGCGTCAAGGCAGATGAAGGCATTTCTGTCCCGATGTCTCCCTCCAAAGCGCAGAATGACAAGAAGGGTGGTGGTTTGGGTCGTGTGATGGCCGGCTATATTGACCCTGGCCTCACATGGGAAGATCTGAAATGGATTCGACAGCACACTCATAAGCCAGTGTGTCTAAAAGGCGTTATGTCTGCCGATGATGCTCTCATGGCTATGAAGGCTGGAATGGACGGTATTCTTCTCAGCAACCATGGTGGACGCAACCTTGATACTAGTCCTCCTTCTATCATTACTCTGTTGGAGATGCAGAAGAGATGTCCCGAGGTCTTTGATGTCATGGAAGTATACGTCGACAGTGGTATCCGTCGTGGAACGGACATTCTGAAAGCCGTATGCTTGGGCGCGACCGCCGTGGGAATGGGTCGAAGTATGCTTTTCGCTATGAACTATGGACAAGAAGGTGTTGAACATCTGATTGATAGTAAGTCATCATTAGCGCACACTACTAGGCCTCCATTTTTCGATTTCAAATTGAATCTAACAGACATTGTTGTAGTTATGCAAGATGAATTGGAGACTGCCATGCGCAACATTGGGATCACCTCGTTGGATCAAGCGTCTCCCGATTACGTTCACACAGGAGATGTGGATCACTTAATTCCAGCGTCTCGCTCACATCCGTATGCTCGGGCAATAGCTAAGGGCCGAAAGCGCGGCTCAAAGCTCTAACACAGTATCGTTGGTGCTCATGCCAGTGAAATTCATAGAGCTACTTCATATACGTTCTAGTCAATCTCTCTCTGAAAGACACTTACCAACTTATACAACTTTGAACTTGGACTGTTGAAACTTTTTCTGGATACTCTGCATGTCTCGAAGGCTAGATTTGTTTTAGATAATGGTCTCGGAGACAAGCCGGGCGAGAATAATGAGGTCTTTGATTGTGCGGATAGCAAGTCTTTGGTTTAATTATATGAGATTGGAGGTAGTAATTTGAAGTGGCTGTACATCATAATTTCGAAAGACTCCATTATTGCCTCCTCTCCCGACCCCATTCAAGATCTCCCGCTCGCTCCAGTTTGCGCTCACGTTCTCGATCCCGCTGGAAGCCCCTCTTGCGACCATTGCTGCTGCTGCCAGCCAGATCCTTCTCCTTCTCACGAGGGTCAATCACCATGAGTGAGTCCACATCGGCTTGGTGGTCTTTCTTCCAGTTCAGATCTTTGCCCAATGTATCCTTTCCAAATCGAAGCTGATGGGACATCCATCCTTCTTCTTCGCCCTCCGCATTATCCGATGTTGCAGCTTCCGGTTCATCCCAGTCCTTGCAAGATTGGCAATTCACGATGAAGTGCAGGTCGCATAGCTGTTCCTCTTCGTCGTCGTCATCATCCTGGGCTTGCCTTTCCTTGCCCTTGTTTGTGTGTGATTCCTTATTCGATGGTTGAGCTGAGGACTGTGTATCTGCGCCTTCAAGCTTAGCTTTGAAAGCATTGAACATCTTGAGCGCCTCATTCTCTGCCGAATTTCTGGGCCCCGAAATAGATGCGACACCATTGGTAGAGCCTGGTGGAGGGCGCCTCCGACCTCGAATCGCAGTCTCGGGAATCATTGCTTCAATAGCTGACTTCTTGTGGCCCGTATCGGCAGGTCCCGTGTCAACATTTCGACGCATAGAAGCCTTCAGGGACGCGATTTCGGCATTTGTTCGTGAGAGTTTTGATTCTTTTTCGGGTGTAGGTGATCGTTCGGGTGATTCGGGGTCTTGTAGAGGGAGTTGGGCTTGAGGTTCAGGTGTTTTCGGACGTGGTTTGCGCTCTGCTGATGGGGATCGTTTCGGAGATGGAGAGCGCGGTCTCTTTCGTTGCTGTTTGGGTTCTGGTTTTTGCGAATTCGTAGCTGGCTTTGTGTCGCCAGTCGCACCAGGCGCATCGGCAACTAGCTTTGTATTGAACTTCGGCTTTGCTGGGCGCAGGGGCATCTCCTCTTCGCCTTCGTCCTCTCCAAAGCTCAGCAACACCTTTGCAGCCTTGGGGTTCTTCTTCTTCTTCTTGGCTGCCGGCTTGTCACCTGTCGATGTCGAGACGGTTTTCCGATCTTTTAGCTTGCCTTCCATTGGTCCCAACTCGCCCAACTCGCAAGAAGTAACTTTCACCGGGTATACAGGCTTCTCGGTGCCCTCGACGCGCTCTGCCTCAGCGATCTTCAACACATTGAAAATGCTGTCTCCTTCCAACCGCCCAAACATGGTACATTGCCCATTCAGCTCCCGCTCAGTATTGTCCAGCGTGATGAAGAACTGACTACCATATGTCCCATCTTCACTCTTGGCCATGCCAACCAGCCCGCGCCGGTTAAAGCGCAGGCGACTGTGCAGCTCATCTCGGAGAACTATTCGCTCATTCGGGTCGCGCGCTTCGGGGTCATACTCGAATTCCGGGTATTCGTAAATGGAGGTACCACCGGACCCAGTACCGGTCGGATCCCCTCCCTGGATAATGAATCCTGGAGCAACACGATGGAAGATGGTTCCAGCATAGTAGTTGTCCTTGCAGTGCTGAAGGAAGTTCTTGCAGGTGAGAGGGACCTGACTTGCGAAAAGAGCGATGTGGATTGGGCCAACGGTCGTATTTAGCGTGACCGATGCAGTCGGGTTAGGCTCAGTGGCGTACTGAGTAGACATGGCGTAGAGAGGGTGAGCTGCCGAAACACGGCCCGGAGAGAGGAAGGTGAATTGACAAAAATCAAAGCTCGTCGTCCACTCTAAAAAGGCGCCGCAGTGAAAAGTGGACGGACGTCATGTAACACGTGACAGCCGTTCTGTATGTACTTCTGTACATTATATCAACCACCTGGGCAAACCCCTTAAAATAACCTACATATCAAAACTGTAGAATAGTCGATTAAAATAATTAGATCTTTGAACCGCTCTTACATTATGAACAAATCAGGTTGGCTAAGTTATTTTGTTCCTGATGTTTTATGGGTGATGATGTTTTATGAGCATCAGTAGTATGATTTGTGAATGCATATCTGAAAAAAAGTGCACACTGCCTAACTACTTGTTAAGTATAGGGTATGTTCATCTGAAAAAAGCGCGCGTTGCCCAACTACTTGTTAAGTATGGAGGATTTCTATCTGAAAAAAAATCGCGCGTTGCCTAACCACTTGTATAGTATAGGAGATGTTCATCTGAAAAAAAAGCGCGCGTTGCCTAATTACTTATTCAGTATAGAAGATTTCCATCTGAAAAAAGCGCGCGTTGCCTAAGTACTTGTTAAGTATGGAGGATTTCCATCTGAAGAAAGCGCGCATTGTCTACTAACTTTTTGTTAAGTATCCCTAGGGGATATTCATCTGAAATACCATCTGCAAAAAGCGCGCATTGCCTAACTGCTTGTTAAGTATAGAGGATTTCTATCTGAAAAAAGCGCGCATTGCCTAACTGCTTATTAAGTATAGGGATTTCCATCTAGAAAAAAAGCGCGCGTTGCCTAACTACTTATTAAGTATGAAGGATTTCTATCTGAAAAAAGCGCGCATTGCCTAACTACTTATTAAGTATAAAGGATCTCCATCTGGAAAAAAAGCGTGCGTTGCCTAACTACTTGTTAAGTATGGAGGATTTCCATCTGAAGAAAGCGCGCATTGCCTACTAACTTTTTGTTAAGTATCCCTAGGGGATGTTCATCTGAAAAACCATCTGAAAAAAAAGCGCGCGTTACCTAACTACTTGTTGAACATAGGGGATATTCATCTGAAAAAAGCGCATATTGCCTAACTACTTGTTGAGTATAGGAGATGTTCATCTGAAAAAAAAGCGCGTATTGCCTGTATATACACCACGATGACTAGTATTTATACAATCTTGGAAATTCCGAGCTCTGGAGGTAATGTTATTCTGCTTAGCTTGAGACATTGATTGATCTTGCATTGTATGGATTTATTTTGCTGACATTGAAGAATTTGTTCCAATCAGCCCGCCAATCTTGCAAGGTCAAATGTGAATATACTAGTAGGGCACACAAAATCCATACTCTGGGTACTCGATATGACAGAAATCACCAAATTCTTAATCACTCTCATCATCAGAATAAGCTTGTCCAGAACGCCACTGTCCGAATCTACCACCCTCACTCCCAGAATGGTCAAAATCAAATTCTTCGTCATCCGACGCGGCACGAACCCGATATTTACTGTATATAGCAGTAGGGTCATCATCCTCGTCGGAGGAAGCCAGCTCTTCTTCGGGGTACTCATTCGCGGGGTGATTTTCGGCTGTTTAGTTTAAATTCACGATCAGTATTGTGTTGCAAAAGCATAGATGAAAGATAAAACTCACCATTGGAGTCTGCATCTTCACTATCCCATTCCTCTTCGTCGTCTTCAATAAAGTTCTCCCAGTATTCCTCATCTTCTTCGGTGATGACGATAACACCAATACCAGAATTTGGAGCTTGAAGTGCCTTGAGTTGCTGTTCGGACTCCAGCTCAGCCAGTGGGTTGGCAAGCATATCGGCTTCTGCCAGTGGACGTCGAATGTAAACATCATAAACATAATCGTCATCATCATCGGTGATTGGCGTCACCACTTCCGGTTTCTTCTCATCACTGAGGGGATATGGGTGAGATGGGTGAGATGGCACAACTCTGGGTTGTTTAGGAGGCCGCGGTTGGTGTTTCAAGGGCTGCGGGGGTTTGTACTGTGGCCGAGGTTGGGGTGATGGCGGAGCAAAGTTATCATTGTAGTCCATAGGCTCAGCTTCCATATCTCTTTCGATATCTAGGGCAACCTGCTCAAATTCCTTAGCTAGGCGCTCCGACTCTTCATCCCATGTGGTCTGCTGGGCTCGGGCAGACTTCTCCAGTGTGTCCGAAAGATGTTGTTTTGCGGCAGTGATAGCGCCTTGGCGTTGCTCTCGCCATTTCTTTTCAGCTTGGTTGACGACAGGACGCTTTCTGGGTTTCACTTGTGGTGCTGGCTCCTCGGGTGTCTTGATCCTAATGCTTTCGTCACTTTCAGACTGAGCCTGGTGCACGAGGTCTGCAATCATAGAAGCTTGACGGGAATGCGGCTTGCGTGTAAGCTGCTCCACCAAAATAGCAATTCCTGGCGCAGCACCATCAGCTCGGCGCTTCTGAATGCCAGCACGTGAACCTGGGCGCGAGCCCGGAGTCGAGGCGCTTGGTCTGCTGATCTGGAAGCGACGAACGGAGGGCGCATGGCGCGGTGAGGATGGCACAGAAGCTGATACATGGTCTTGCTCAGTTGGTCTCCTCCCAGGCGCAAGAGTATTGCCTAGCGGGACTGGGGAAACGGATTGCGGTGTAGGAGGACCATAGATTGCGCGCTTGCGCTTTTCTTCAGCCTCCTTTCGAGCGGCTGCGGCTCGCTGGACTTCACGGATCTCAGCACCAGGGGACGTCGCTCGTACAGTGGGGATCCCGCTTGGAGAATTCGTTTGAGCAGTCCGCCGAGGTGGGATGTGCAGACTGCTCACTGATCGGGGACTACGTAGCAATCTCTGGGTAGCTGGGTGAGGAGGCGTTGAGGCGCCGGAGTCATCAGGGCTTCCATCACTTTTAAGTGTAACTCGATGGAACACATAGTCAGTAAATCGGCGCTTGGTCTGGTGTAGCGCAGATTGAATAACTATGTTGTGTTAGCGGGGCATTCCGTTGTCTTTTTGTTTTGAGGAATTGAGCTTTGATATAATGGGGAAAGTCTTCCAAAAAATACGCAGTCGAATGAGACAAATGTATTATTGGCACGCAGGGAACTCTGAGTGTATTGAGAGATCCGACGAAAGGACATTTGCAATCGCAAAAATATGATCGTCATAAGTGTTGCTTTTGAACGGTGTAAAATGTGGGGTAAAAAAAAACACAAAAAAAATAGAGGGATAGGGGAAATACATACACAATGTTTCCACTGGTTCTTCTTCGCGTCTCCGCTTGATATTAATCTGTTCTGGAGGAAGGGCCATTTTGAGATATTGATGCAAGATGATGATAGCTTGACTCGGAGAGTTTCAAGGTTGGAGAAGATGGAAAACGAGCGTCACCAGATCGGGTTAAGCGCTGTACACGTGACCGTCAAGCTATTGGTTTAAAAGGCTATGCTTTCTTGGTGAATACTGCAGTTGACTATTCAATGTTCAAGGAATTTATTCTGGAATTTTGGTGTCAATTCGAATATTCAATCCATCTCTTTGTCAAAGCGGGTCCCATTTAATCATCGAAAAGATTCTTCCGGAAGAATCCAACAATCCTACGGGCAGCTTCCTTCCCGACCAGCGGATCTAGTTGGTCCGCATCCATATTAGCTATCTCATTAATATTATCCGTCTCTAAAATCAGACGATCAAGGGCTTGCGGTGTCACTCCGGGTACGGCCCGTAGCATATCTTGTGGAAGGAGATTGAAAGTACGATGCTCAATTCCAGCCGCAGCCATGACATTGTCTGATCCAGATCCAGTGATGTCAATATCCAAGCCAATCTGGACCGCTCGAACGGGATCAGGTTCCGGGTTGTTCTTCTTGAGCTCGGCAAATATCTCGGCGGTCTGGTAGGGGGAGGATGACCAGATGATTTTGAGGCGTGGGAATGCAAGTGTGAGAAGCACAAGCAAGTGCTGAGCACTTTTGGGGGCCGATGGATTCGCCAATCCCCCGGAAACCCCGCTGATTGGCGTTCCGGCAGAAGAAAATCCAGATTCGGTCCTAATGCCAGCTGTGAACGCATCAAAGGTAAAGGCCTTGTTCTGGTCAAACTCGATCAGTAGAAGTGGGTATTTGTAGTGCTGGAGCATGGTTTCGGCTTGGTTGTACAGGCGACCGTTTCTTAAAGATTGCATGAGATCCTGAACAGATTTTCGCTCCACGCAAATATCAGGGGTGAGAATATAATCGCCCACTGTGAGTTGAACGGGAACGACAACTGTGTTATTGCCATGTAGAAGAGACGGAAGCGCACTTCGAAACTCACGCACATCGACCACCACCAGTGGTGGGGATGCAGTGGCTGCCAGTCGTCCACCTCCCGCGATACGAGTGTTGACTGTGCGCAGGAATTGCTCTTGCGGGTTTTCAGCACTCTTGTCATGAGTCAAAGTAACAGCCATGTTCTAGATCGGGATATTAGCAACGCTTTCCCCACAAGACAACTTTCATGACTTACTCCTTTCTCCCTGATCAACTTGGTGAATGAGTCTTTTTCTCGACGCACGGCACTCAAATATCGCTGCTCCTCAACCGACCCACCATAATACATGAAGTACACCTTCACATTTCTGCCGGAGTGAGAGCTACGGTAGACCTCAACTCTGCGAATAAACGCGGAGTCGGGCTCATACATGATGATGTACCGCGGCCGAACCTCCTCTAAAATGTGCTCATCCATGTCACCATCATATGAATGTATTGTGACAAGGTCATTCATATCATAAAGTTCGTAATAGTCTTCCATGTCCTCAAGTTCGTCAATATCGATTTCAATCTTTTGCGTTTCTTCAACCTCGGTAGGTTGTATTTCATTGAGAAGATTGATCACTTCAACAGGCTGTTCAATTTGGGTTTGAACACTGCTATTCGGCACGCGTGCAGCTGCAGAGTTGACAGCTCCTCCACCCCGAACTCGCCGACGCTTGTTGGGGGGAGGTCTTCCTTGTTGTTGTCTTTGACCAGACGATGCTTCTCCCGGAGTTCCGGGCTGATCTCCGTCTTGCGATAGATTTTTATTCACGTTTGATAATGCTCTTTTCCAATTGAGGTAGCTCCGTAGCCGGCGCCTCATCATGACATCTGCTGAAGAGCCTTCTTCGTTTGAGTCGTCTTCCTCTCCATCTGCGGGTTTTGCTGTGCCAATTTTGGTGCTCATGGTCCCGATATACTCACGGAGCTGATAACAAGTCTTCACCGCGCTGCACATGATTAGGATGGTGCTATTTGATTCGTCCACATTGGTTGGGTGCAAGTAAGCATCATGTTCAATCTCTTGAAGTACCTCTGCAAGTACACTCCATTTTGGAAGAGGCTCAAGGACAGGCTGCAAGGCGGCCGAAAATGCAGCCGAAGACGTTGAATCAAGCTTCCCTTCGTATGCTCTTGACTTGGCTGTCTGAAAAAGAACATGCGCAGCATCAAGGAAAAGCCACGGTGAGTAATTATGGGCATTGGACCCAGGAGGCGGCGCATTTGCCATTACAATCGTATCCAAAAATTTCACAAATGATACGGAATCGTACGTAACCAGGGCCCTGATATGATGATTAGAGAGCCGGAATGGAACGATGAGGAAATAGACGAAACATACTGGAGGATAGACTGAAGATCTGTCAGATCATTGACAATTTGCTTCGTCCGATAGGACACTCGATGCCAGATTGTTTGCAGCTGTCGCCTAATCGCTGCTGCAAAGTTTCTGTGCAAAGCGCTGTCCAAGGTCCATTCTTCCATGTCTAGGCCAGCGTTGGCCTTGCGAAGTTCTGCAACACTGAGCTCAACACATTCAAGAACGGCGTTCTGAATTTCTCGCATTTTCGAGCTCATTGGAACCTCCAGCTCAATCACTTCAGCCTTGCGGTCACCTTCTAGAGCCTCGGATACAGCTACATGAAATCTGGGCCACAGAGATGCTTTTCGAAGAAACAAATTCCGCAACATATTAGCCAAAGGTGCAAACCCCGTGGTGAATGGTTCAGGGGATTCAGAAAATGCCTTCAAAAAGCCTCGCTTATTTGATTGCCGATAGATTCGCACGATGAATGCCTCCAGAGACGTTGCCACCACCTTATCGGCATGCAGGATAACCATCCCTGTAACTTTTTCAGGGTCAAGCAGCTTCGATAGCAAATCCGTGACCAAAATTCTAGATGTCACACTCATTATTCCTCCCTTGGCGTATATTCGCTCTCTGACGTAGAATCCGATTAGCATAACGGCATTCTCACCGGCAGGATGTATAGACTCACCGCATGGATACGCTCGCTTTATCGGTGTTGATGGCTTTCAGCCCTCTAGCCATTGGAGACTTGCTGCGATCATTATGTTCCGACAGCGCTGTTCAGCAATCATGTAAGTGATCGATCACGCCGCGCAAGCCAAGGGTAGATATCGGATTCGTACCCTCTCCGATCCATTCGTTTTCTCGGTCATCCGCGCCGACCACCAACACCAAATTGTTCCCTGCCACATCATGGAAGTGAAGGAAGTTCGTTATAAGTTGTAAGAGACCCAGGCCACGAGCAAGTATAACCAGCTCATCCTCGGCGCGTAGTTCGGTGAAGATGTCCTGCTGGTATTGCTGGTAGGGAGTCTGTTAGCGACTTTGGTTGTATTTTGAGAAGGGGTGGTGATTTACCAAAGGCAGTGACAGCTTCACCGGCGCATTAGTCCGTTCTGGAGGCATGGGGAGCCTGTCTTGACGCGTTGGTAGAGTACACGATCCCGCGGATGAGACGCCGCGAGGTCACGTGGTAAAGTATGATGCAATGATTGAGCGCAGGTGCAAATGGGTCTAGTAGGGGCTAGCTATAGCTAATAGATCCATATAACAATTTGACGGATAGTTTTTGAATGCGGCGAGGCTAAGCACGATGTCTGGATATGTAGCCATCATGATATTTTTTTTTACATTACAGTGCTATTTGAGCTTTGAGGTAATCACTCCAGTCGATTCATCGTAGAGTATATTCAATTATTGTACAAAATTTAAACAGCTACCTGTAAGCAGCTTTAGTCCAGGAATTCCATCACCAATTTTGGGATTTGAGCTACACCCTCGCCTCGAATTGCGCTGATGGGAACAGCTCGTAATTTCTGTTTCCAGCCATCGGGGTTCCCAGATGGGTGATCCACCGTGCCTTTCTCCACAGCGTTTAAATACTCCTGGAGGGCTCGATATTGGGGTTGTGTGTTCTCGAGATCGGCCTTCGTGGCTACAACAAACCAAGCCTTGGTGTGAATAGGAGCCATGGGAAGACGAGGGAGAGATCGAGTTGGCTTGTTAAGGCTGTCGAATGACTCGTGCGACGTTTCATCTTCTTCGTACTCCGGATATCCAGCAGTAGACGATGAATCCCATTCGATCACACCCTGTTTTTCTTCGGGAACAGACTCGGGTTTTTCATCGCGAAGTCTTTGATACTCTCCGAGTTCGTGCCAAAGCTTCTGTAGTTCTTGTACGGGGTCACCGTTACTCAGATCAAGCACAAAGGCTAGGATACCCGCCCGGTCAATGTGTCGAAGGAACCCGAGACCAAGGCCCCTGTCGAGATGAGCATCTTCAACCAGACCCGGGATATCTGCAATCGTAAAGTGGGTACGACTTTTCTTTCCGCGGGATTCTACCAGCGGTCGGCCGCGGTGATTATCAACGATGACGGTACCGATATGCGGGGACAGTGTAGTAAACTCCCAGTTCCCAATCCGAGTTCGACTGTTTGTTAAAGATCGCAGTAGAGTGCTCTTTCCAGCGTTGGGCTTTCCAACTAGACCAACATCTGCCAGCAACTTGAGTTCAAAGTCAAGCTCCAGCCTTGTTCCACCCTCGCCCTTGGATGCAAACTTCGGTCGACCCCTAACGCGACCAATAAAATGAGGGTTGCCGAGTCCACCGGCACCACCGGCTGCCAACAATAGAGGCTTGTCCATTGGCGCCGACAGATCAAGGAAAATCGGGGCCTGGGGCTCCATCGCAGCAATTCCCTGCCGCCTTGGTTTCAGTCGGGGGAACTCGACAGTCAGGAAATCAGCAGGGTTGGCGCCAGGGTAAAGCACCCAGCGATCATGACGAATCGGAGTGAATTCGGGGTCCTCCTCCTCCTCCTCCATTTCGTCAAACTCCTCCCCATCTTCCATCTCCTCCATCCTCCCACGTTGCTCGGTCCGTTGCGCAGCCCGTTGCTCAGCCCGCTGCTCAAGCCGCTGCTCACGTCGCTCTTTCTGCTCGAGCTGTTGGTCCTCATAAATCTGGCGTCTCATGGCCAACTCTTCCGCGACAGGGTCATGGCGAGCTATCTCACGAACCACTGTCCCGACCGGTACCTGGATCAAGACATCGTCACCACGTCTCCCACCTTTGCTTTTGCCTTGTCCGTTTCTGCCTCGCTCAGCTCGGACAATACCCCTTCGAGCGAGTTTGTGTAGACTGGTCAGTCCCTCAACAGCTTGAATGTAAAGACCTCCTCCGCTGCCACCGTCACCTCCATTTGGTGGACCCTCTTCGATATATTTTTCTCGTAGAAAGGCAACACAACCATGGCCACCACTTCCGGCATGCATTGTGACGGAGCATTTGTCTTGGAAAATGAATCGAGAATAATCTTCTGGCGATGGGTTCAAATGCGACAAATCTTTGCTTTCATCTTGAGAGGGGGTTTCGGCGAACCGGGGGGCATCGGTCTCTGTTGTATATAGCTTGCAGGGAGGGATGATGGCTCGAAGGGTCCGGGGTAAGAGAATTTGGGAGTATGTGAGTCGTCCAGCTCGAAGCGGCTGCTTCGCGAGAAGTAGACAAGCCCGTTGATGAGGCATCATTTTGCAGGTGTATTAATCACAATTGGTGCGTGTAGAGGAAATATAGGCGGGAACAACTTAGTTCTTGAACATTGTAAATTTTGCGGCCAGTATTCACGGGTATATGGGTTTTAATTGAAGATCGAGCAGTAATGAAGGTTGCACATGTGGATGAAAGAGATGGAATAGCCGCAGGTAAAGCGAGCTGCCATCCAAAACCAAAAATCCGAGCTCTATCGATAAGGGTCACGTGGAGATAAGCAGCAACATTTGATTACTTTGGCAGGTGAATTGCTGCCAAAGCCAATAATGTTAATTTGTTCCAAGGTTGTACTTAAAAAACTGAGTGTTGAGGTGAATTCTTTCTGGGGTGCTTTATTATAGCTAGGAGGCACTACTTATCCATCAATTAAAATGCTACAATTGGTGAGAATCATCCACAGAAAGTGTATAAATATATCCGTGATATAGTATCGGCCACGCTCCGATCAATCTGCGCAATGTTCGAAATTTGCATGGAGTGAGTTTGCCGACAAATGAAGATCAATTTGGAAGCCCGGGTGATTCTGACTGGAGATACTCAAACATACGTGTCGATCGTCCAATTTCCAAGGTTGTATTTTGGCCTGGTTTAACACGAGAATTTCGGCTAGTCTAGTCCGGGGAACTTGTCGCGACTCCGATAAGATAGACCCCAATTTCTCCAACCGTCGGAGCAGGCCTTGAGCGGGGTATTCAAAGGCCGTCGGCCCCTCCCTTTTTGCCTAATTGAGCAGGTCTGTGACTCGTATCTCTTGCAATCATAGCGGGGAGAATTTGTCACAATCATATAAAAGAAGTGCAAATCATTGTGAGGGCCATCAAGCTGACATCCAAGAGGAATCAACTACTCAGCCATCCAAGTCCAGACCATCAAAATGCCGCTCAACTCAAAAGCTGTTTACGCAAAGGCCGAGGCTGATTATGCCCCCTTTGCCAGTCGGAGGAGTACCGTGCACAGCAAAAATGGCATTGTGTCCTGTACGCAGCCGTTAGCAGCTGCGGCGGGACATCGCATCTTGAGTCAGGGCGGAAATGCAGCGGTATGTTTTTCTTGGGAGTTCCGGGACCATTGAGAGAGACTTGATTTGGAGGACTAATAGATTGATCTGCTTCTCAGGATGCTGCTGTTGCTGTTGGTATGTTTCGAATTATGCGGTGGTAGGGAGATCACAATCTAATTACATTGAATGTTTTAGCTGCTGCAATCAACATGTCCGAGCCTGGCTCGACTGGTATTGGCGGTGATATGTTCTGTCTCTTTTATAAGGCCGAGACGAAGAAAGTCCACGCCCTGAATGGATCGGGTCGATACCCCGGCAAGGCAACATTGGAAAAAGTCCGCAAGGACCTGAATCTGGCTCCCGACGCTCCGGGCAGCATTCCCTTCCTCAATGCTCTTGCAGCTACGGTTCCCGGCGCAGCGGCAGGATGGGTGGACACTATTGAGAAGTTTGGAAGTGGAAAGTTGTCTTTGGCACAGATCCTGCAACCGGCCATTGAGATGGGAGAGGAAGGCTTTGTTGTTTCTGAGCTTTCGTCGCAAGGTGTCAGTAATTGGTTCTTTCTGTTTCAATCCTGTCATCTGTGAGCTAACATGTTCAAACTATCTCTAGTGGCAAGAGAACGAGGAGGCTATGCGTGCTGCATCGCCCAATTTCCGCGAAATGCTGAAGAAGGATCCATCTGCTAAGGATGGAGTGCGTGCTCCTCTCCCTGGTGAGATCATGAAGAACCCCACATTGGCCAAGACCTTCCGTACACTGGCAGCCGAGGGAAAGAAGGGCTTCTACCAAGGTAGAATTGCAGAGGAAATTGTCAAGGTGGCCCAAAGCCTGGGTAGCTATATTGATCTTGAAGATCTGGCAAACCATGCCGCACAGGGTACACAGGAAGTGGATGCCATCTCACTCAAGTTCACCGGTCAAGATATTGCATCCAAGCAGTCACCAGGAACTGACGGTACTAACCAGGGTGTTGAGGTCTGGGAGCACCCACCTAATGGCCAGGGTATCGTCGCGCTTATGGCTCTAGGTATTATGGAAGAATTAGAGCGAGCCGGCAAGATCCCAAAGTTCAGCCAGGAACAACACAACTCAGCGGAATATCTTCACGCTGTCATTGAGAGTCTAAGAATTGCCTTCGCCGACGCGGGATGGTGGGTGACAGACCCCGACGTGGAGAAGGTGCCCTCGCAAGGCCTCCTCGCACGCGAGTACCTAGCCGAGCGGGCGAAGCTATTCAAGCCAGACGGTGTAGCTGAGCTCTTGGACCACGGCAGCCCGGCACACAACCACTGCGACACAGTTTACTTTGCTGTGACAGATCGCGAAGGAAACGGTATTTCGTTCATCAATAGTAACTATGCTGGGTTTGGCACATCTATCATTCCCGCAGGCTGTGGTTTCACCCTGCAGAACCGTGGTGCCAATTTCTCGCTGCAAGCTGGACACCCTAATGCTCTGGCTCCGAACAAGCGGCCATACCATACCATTATCCCTGCTTTGATCACAAATGTTGAGGACGGCTCTCTGCACTCCGTTTATGGTGTGATGGGTGGCTTCATGCAGCCCCAAGGCCATGTACAGGTGCTGCTTAACATGCTTGCATTCGGATACCACCCTCAAGCGGCTCTTGATTCCCCGCGTATCTGCGTCAAGGCACCAACATCTGAGGATCGTGACCGTACGGTATGTGTCGAGGAAGGAATAAGCAAGGTGACCATTGAGGGGCTGCAACGCCTGGGTCATAAGATCGAGGTGCTGAAGGGTTGGGAGCGGTCGATGTTTGGCCGTGGGCAGATCATTCGTCTGCACTATGATGATGATCAGTTGGTATATAGTGCGGGTAGTGACCCACGAGGTGATGGAATGGCCTTCCCGCTACTGTAATGTGCTGGAAACTGCACACTCTGTCAGAGCCTAAGCGCCACTTAAATGCCGACAGGTCGTGAATGTTGTGCACCTACGGAGATTAGATAGATAAAATGAACTGGAAAGTCAATGATACAAGGTCAGATGTCCAATATAATGGCGAATTTGAGCCGGGTCGAATGAAATTGTGCACATATCAAATCACCTAGCTAGTAAGATGCACAGGGATCCGTAAACGTTGATCCGACAATCGGACAAATCATCCTCCTCGCGGCCCAAGATAGAGATAAACTCTTTTTTTGTAAATGTGAAACAAAATCCTAAACGCCCCCAGAAGTGCCGAGATCGAAAACGCTTCAACAGAGGATATTGACACGTGACGGACTAAGAAACTGACAACGCCACGATGGTATTCAGAGACAGGAAAATGACGATGAAGAAGTGCAAACAAGATATCGAAAATGGCATGAGAAAATGTACTGAGTGAAGATCAGAGAGGTCTGATCGCTGACAGAGAAGCCGTTCAGTTCAATTCGTTGTCCTGCATGCGCAGGATGAAGTTGACGATAACGGCAGCCAACAGGGCGATAGCGAGAATGGTGGGACCAAAGCGGTCATCGAAACCGCTCTGTCCACGGCGCCGGATACTTTGGGCGCGCCAGTGGAATGTGACGACTGCGTAGATCATGGCAGCCATGGCGATAACGGTGAAGAGAGCCGCGGAGATGCGACCGACACGGTCACCGAAGTTCAGCAAACCGACGGCCAGACCGCCCAGGATAACGGTGAAGTTCAACCATGACAGGAAAGTACGCTCGTTAGCGAAGAAGACCTTGGGCTCGACGCGAGTGGGGAGGGCGATCCGCTTGCCTGGGAATTGTCAGTTTCCGTTCGGGATGGTGCATTGGGATGATTATGGAGAGCTAGCTGGCGAAGCATCACCTCTGAGATGCCGACGGGGCTGGGGGATTGATGTTCGACGAGTTCCAATCGTATCAATTCCATTGTCGGCATCCCATTGGTGATGCTGCGGGTGATTTCAAAGGCATTGTTACTCACCCGGGGCGGTTTGAAGAAGAGGTTGGCTAGACATGATGTGGAGAGATGCGGTGGCGGGAATGTCAGGGTCGTACGAGAGGAAAGGGATGAGATTCCAGCAGCAGCGAGCCGATAAAGCTTCTTATAGATTTGAAGAAGTCAAGGAGAGTAGAAATAGGTGTTTGAAAGAAATTCCGAGAGAAAAAAAAGATAGCAGGAAGAAGAGCAGTAAAAGAGCAGTGGAAGTGGCAGTAACCATGAACCAATCCCCGCCGAATGACGAGGGAAGTCGCGACCGACGGTTACGAGCCTTCCCGCCTTGGGACTAGCGTATGTGTAGCTCTGCCGCTGAGTCTGCACGTGCGTCCAGTGCTGATATCGCTTGGCTCACAGTCAATTCCCATTTCTCTTTAGTACGAAAATTTAGGAAAAAGTCGTTTGGCCCTGAATCCTATACGATTTCTTCGATCCATATTGATATCCATGGATCTATATGCATTTAAACCCTGGAATTTTTGGAAGAGAAAAAAAATTAACACCCTAAAGAAAAAGAGAGAAAAAACACAGTGTTCACCACAATAGACCTAGAATCAATTGTTCCATATTCCTAATTCGTCTTATCAGTTTGACAAGATTGGGGGGGAAAATAGTTGAAAAAAAATATTAAAATATAAAAATATTAAAAATATTAGAAATTGCCCGGTTCCCGCGGAGTCCACCTACAAGTAAGAGTTGCCCGCGCACATTGGGGCCATATTGGGTCAAAGGAACTACAGAACCCACCCAGGTCCAATCCACTAACCATTTAGACTCAAACAGATGCCACCCAATAGGAAACAACACCCGGCTAAATTGCACTACGAGTCATGCACACTACACGAGGCACCCCTGCATCAGAATTTTCCAGAGGCGCTCGACGGCGCGGCGATCATCCGATTCCTGCTTGAATTTTATACCGGCACGTTGGATGCGGATTTCGTCGTTTGAAGTATCCGATGTCTGTCAGGACAATTCCAAGACAACACCTGGATGGTAATATTAGAAATGGAACCCCCACGACTGGAAACCCACAGCAAGTGGGATCTGGGCCTGCCATTTGAACTCCCCGCTCCCATTGTCGCCTCGTAGACCCGCGGCCCGCCACATCTGGACGGTAAATATCGGCCCCGTGTTTTCGGAGTGGGCTTTTTCCCTCCGAGTCTGGTCCCTTGGAAGCGAACATTGGATCCCGAAGTCGGTTGGGTATACCAATCATGTTGGGTAATAGAAATGTCCCAAAATTTGAACGGTGAATATTGAACGGCGGGATATAAAGTTGAATAGCTTAATGATTGATTTGTCATTTTAGGCAACTGAGCACGTGCGCTCTATATAGCTATTAGCTTCTGAATTTTTCCTCCCTTCTGCGATCGGCTTAGTGCACTTACTTTGCAGTCTCTTGCAGATGCAGGCCGTTGACCAGTCCGTATTAGGCAGGCAAGTACCGATGTTCTGCCGGGGTGGGGTTTTCCGTGTCAGCCACCTAAGCACCAACCACTTAGACGGGGCTTTCCCACGCCTAGATGCCCTTCGGGTCCTTCTGTAGGGCGTCCAAACATTTGAATTCATTGTCTTCCTCGAAACGAGACATTGAATTACTAATCTCGCATCAAACCCCCCCTTCCTCAAAGCTATGTTTCAAATGTGCCATCTTACCGAGGTTTGTCACCTTAAGGAGTATTCTCAGTGTCACACCTATTCGTACTTGCTTGCCAACCGTCTCCAAGTCCCCTCATAGAATATTTGATCCGACCATCAGAAATTTCACTCACTCCAGATGTCCTGATTAGCATATGAATTATTCAAAAATATTGAGTATTTCAATACGCAGTTAGCGTACCAAGTTTACCATGCTGGGGGTCAATAACGGAGTGCGGTGTGAAGAAGCGAGAATCATATGAGTGAGAGAACCTCAAGTATGCAAGACTACTCCATCCGGTGACAATTCTGGATTCCTTCCCGTCGCAACAAGCAACTGGTAGTGGGTCAGTCGTTGGCAACCTTATTCCAAGGCTGTCAAGGTGTTTGTTCTACTAACTTGAATGTATTGCGAACTAATTCCAGACTTCACAAAGCGCGCCTTGGAGCCTAAATCTTGTGAAAAAGTACATACTATGTACTTTTGGCAATGATACGCGTCGTCTCAGCCCCCTAGCCAATGGCTCCAGGGCTCTGACTCCTGAGTTCCGGTGTATGTGAACTGTATCTACCATGGAGTTTAACCTGTGTGAATGAGGACTGCATCTACATCAACCTTGGAAGATGGTGTCCAATTTTGGATTAATCCGTCCACATGAGCAATTGGTACAAGTTTCAGCATCCTTTGAATGAAGATTTTTCACATGCTGTGTTTGTCGACGATCATGCTGAATAAGATCTGCATTACTTATTTCCCAATGAGTACCAATGTAATTGTTGCAAGCGTCCAATCAGAGTCTCTTAATGATTACTGAGGTTTCTCAACCCCACTCCATTCATTGCTTCATAATTCCGATATCAAGATGTGATCTACTGTATTCAAATGTTGGACCGTGAAAAGAAGCAAACATTGAAAACCAGTTGTCATATATGTAGTATGTATGTATTCAAATGTTCTTAGGGACCAGGTCGGATTGTGACTTTAAGAAGTACATTGATAATTAGGTATACATACATAATCAGTTGACCAGTTGACCCTCTGACACTAGGATATATAGCACCTAGCCCTCATAGATCTTCAGGGCCGATACGATTGATTACCAGACTCCTCTGGAAGTATGTACCACCGCAACCACTATCTCACGTGCAGACACCCCAACATTTGAACATTGAGGTGTGTACTAGTATGTATGCAATTAGAAGAGCATCAAGTTCCTTCTACCTACATAACATAGTACCAGTAGCTGTGGTTCCTTATTCCAAAGTGGGTATCTGTGGACACAGTTCATACTAGTGAAGGTTCCCGAGGTCCAAAGTCGGATAACCCGATCGGTGGGGTGACTGGCCTCATCCCATGGTTTAGTGAGGAGTTGTTGGTGGTGGCTGTTGGTGGCTGTTGGTGGGGCAACCTTGAAGCGTTCAGGAGTTCAGCACAATGTATACTAGTAGAGTGCATTTCACTTGAGACCCAAACCCAGTTCCAAATTCAGTGTTCTGTAGATGTTGTTATTCCATCTGAGGGTAAGGAGAATACTCGTGCCGCTCTTGAAATGCTGAAGGTAAACTAGGGTACCTGATCATTTCAAGCCCCGAAAGCGTATCCGAATTGGTTGAAGTAGGTATAGTGAGTTCTTGAATGATGCCTGTGGTAAGGTTGAAGAACAACGGACTTGGGATGAGTGAGCATTGAAGTACTTGTCGGAGAATTATGTCCCATAGCAAGACGAAGATATCCAACGAGTTTGGAAGGTTGTAAGAATATCTCTTAGATGTTGAAATTGATATGTCTGAAGTCTACCGTCGGGTTAACCCCCATAGCGAGTTATGACCTTACCACAAGATCAGATGTAACTGTCCAAGTCAATATCGTTATAACCAGGAATCTAGTGCAGCATGTGTGAGTAAATGATATCTGGTATTTGATAGCTTATCTCATTAACTGAACGATATGGTGCATGTCTTGGGGTGGAATTGGGGTAAGCGGCCGTAAGCCCCTCCAACCTCCCCCACAGCCGCTCCGCAATCGCATTTTCCGGGTAAATTGTACCGCGCCCAGGGATGAATTGTGCTCCGATCTTTACGCCTTTGGTCCTGCCCCGATTTTTGGTCATGAAAACTCCTCAACAATTCTACCAACTCCCTACCACCTCATCAACAGATATTGCACATATTTTGTTACCCCTGCGAGTAGTGATCCTGCCAATTGTCGATATAAGTCACGCGATTACCGCCCCACGTCCCGATGCCGCTCCCATCTCTCCCTCTTTTCTTGGCAGCGCAACATCATGCGCAGACCGACGCTGACAAAGTCGCGGTCATTGATGCCACCAAGAAGCAGTCATTCACTTTCACACAGCTTCTTGAGGATGCTGCGGGACTTCGTAAACAGATCCTAGAACTACTGGGGCTTACGACCACGGGTGATTTAGAGGAGCGTCGCATTGCGTTCCTTATCCCAAATGGCTACGATTACGTTGCCACTCAATGGGCTATCTGGGCTGCGGGTGGAGTGGCTGTTCCTCTCTGTAAGTCACTGCTACTTCATTGTGCGTGCGCGCAAAGTTCTAGGAAGCTAACAGTTGCCACCTATCAGGTACAAGCCACCCGGTGAAAGAACTTCTATACACAATAGGTGACTCGGACCCGTCGTTGATCCTCATCCACCCCGCGTTCGAGAAATTTGGTCCAGCACTACGTGAACAATGCACTACAGACATCCCGTTCCTGGGACTCGATCCCTTCACTCGCAACGACTCGCCCTCCTTGCCCTCCTTTATCCCCGCATTCCCACTAAACCGCCGCGCGCTTATGATTTATACCTCTGGAACAACAGGCAACCCCAAGGGAGGTGTGAGCACACATGAGATCATCGAATTCCAGGCAAGCTGTCTCGCCAAAGCCTGGAAGTACAGCTCTTCTGATCATCTTATTCATGTGCTCCCTCTCCACCACATCCACGGTATCATCAATGGATTGACGGCCTGTCTTCTGAGTGGCACAACGGTGGAAATGCACCCTAAGTTTGATCCTAAGGTTATCTGGGAGCGCTGGCAGGACCGAGGCTCCTCTACCATGTTCATGGCTGTACCGACCATCTACTCTCGCCTAAATGATTATTTTGACACCCACATCCGTGGAACAGACCATGAAGGAGCAGCACGGGAGGGTGCAAAGGCGTTGCGTCTGGTGATTAGCGGATCAGCTGCGCTCCCAACTCCTGTCAAAACCAAATTTGCCGAAATCACAGGCCAGATTTTGCTCGAGCGTTTTGGCATGACCGAGATCGGCATGGCGATTAGCTGTGGATTGGAATTGGACCAGCGTGTTGACGGGAGTGTGGGATGGCCGCTGCCTGGAGTCCAGGTCCGCTTAACCGAGAAAGAAACCGGACGCATTGTCGAGGATATCGACCAGGATGGAATGATTGAAATCAAGGGTGGCAACGTCTTCCTCGAGTACTGGCGCAAACCAGAGGCAACAGCTTCCGAATTCACGGCCGATGGCTGGTTCAAGACGGGTGATGTGGCTAAGCGGGATTCTACTGGGGCGTACTTTATTCAAGGTCGTGCCTCTGTTGACCTGATTAAGTCTGGTGGATACAAGATCTCCGCACTAGAAGTGGAACGGAAGATGCTTGCACTAGAATCGATCCAGGAAGTAGCGGTTGTGGGATTGAAAAATGAAGAATGGGGTCAGCAGGTGGCCGCGGTTGTCAAGTTTCGTGAAGGGGTATGTTATTGTGCCTATGACCACCCTGTTTGTGTTGAATATCACTAATTGGCTATGTTTCAGGCTACCCCGTTGGAGCTTCCTGCTCTCCGCGCTATTTTGAAAACCGAGATGGCACCTTACAAGGTACCCACCGTCTTAAAGGTTGTGGATGGCATTGAGCGCAATGCCATGGGTAAGGTCAACAAGAAGACCATCATTCAGAAGTATTGGCCTGATAAGGCATAGATGGGATTTCAAGAGTAAATGACTGTGCTTAGCGAACTTACACATAGAAGAATTGATTGGATATATAAGAAATAAACTGGAATAGTTAGATACTACTACTTATTACATACTAAGAAGCAACCCTCGAACATTTAAAGTAGTTGGAATATTTACATATGACGTCATATAGTCCGCTCCCCACAGTCCTTGTGATATCACGTGTTGCTTACCTCATCACTTTAGCTCCCCGCTGAGTTTTCTTCCCGCGAAATTCGTTTCTGTTTTTCCTTTCTTCAACATATTCACGGTCTCCATCATACCCTTGTGCACGGAACCTCATTCCATTCACAAATTTTAGCATGAGACCCAGACCAATTGAGGCTCGTTCTAATCCTGGCCCCTGCCGTTGGATCGGTTTACCGTTCCACCCCGAGGAGTTCAGGTTCGCTTTTGAGCACACAACTCTCAGCACCAGACTTGATTTTGTCAAATCTTGATGCTGAGCCTCTCTAATGAGGATTATGTATCTTGGATGCTTTATGGAAGTTGATTGTTGGGTCCACTGTGGCCCTGGAGCAAATTGCACTATGGCCATCACTGGCACTCGACAAGCTGCAGCCATGTCTCTGCAGAATATGATGTTGTTCTGCGTAGACATGTAGCCTGCTGTCTTGAAGAGTTATCGCATACCTCCCTTCAACCTTGCTAACTAACAGGACGCGGATCGCATCGATTCCCATTACGTATTTACCCCTTCGGCACTTTCGAAGTCTCGTTCTGTCTATTGCCCAATGATATTCGAGGTCAAATTTGTGCCAACAGTAAGCTCCTCCAGTTTGACAAAGATCTTTCTGGAGCTCCTTCGTGTTGCGTCCGCTCCCTCCATGGGGCTGGATGTGTCTAAAGTGGGAGATACATACCTTGGAATCTAGTCTTAGATAGTGAAGCATTACTGCTCAATGAACATATTATTCATGGATCCAAGTTGAAACTCTTTGCTTTATGTATTCGATTATTGTTGGCGTAGTCGTTCGTACTGTACCTCCAGCTCCGAGTCCGTCAACTCAAGTCTGGAAAACCCACCGGGGATCCTTGTCACCCAGGAACTCGCCCTCTGCATCCGCAATATCTTCCCCAAACGGCTTCAACCTCCTCGCCTCCCTTTCCCTAAGCTTCTTAGCATTCTCTCGTCGCAATACGACCCACAAAATCCCAACAACAAATATATTAGCAACTAGGTATCCCAGCGCAAAGCCGTGTCCAAGGAAGTATCGCGGGCTTGTCTCAGTCCGGTACAACTGCGTCCCAATCACAGCACCGATATTCCCAACACTAATCTGCAGCGCATTCGCAATACACCGCTTCGTCTGCCCGGACACATTATTCGCAGGCCAAGACAACACGATCGCGACGGACGGGTAGATACCCGCGGCAGCAAAGATGGTCCCCACGTACGACACGCCGGCTCTATGGTCGGAGAGCAGCAAGATGTACCCGATGCATGCGAGTGCCGACGTGCCCATGATAAAGGGTGCCCTGACGCGCAACTTTTCTGACGCGACGGCTACACTGATCGTGCAGATGAAAGCTACGGCGTATGGGGGAACGGACAGTAGCTGTGCCTCGGCAGATGAGAATCCAAGCTCTTTGATGATGGTTGGCTACAGGTATCATGTTAGTGTTGACGCGGGATGTCACATTTTAGGGAGACCACTCACCAGAAAAAGTGATAGTGTGTATAGTGGCAATGACATTGTATGAAATCCGAGGCAGTATAACCAGACCTTCGGATCCTTGAATGCGTCCAGCACTGCGGACCAGGTGAAACTCTCATCCCGCGTGGCATCGTTGTCGTTCTTCAAGCGGAATTGAATAAATTCGCGCTCCTCCGGTGACAGGAATTCGGCCGTTGATGGATAGTTGTATACCCAGAAGTAGGCTACCACAGACGCGATTACGGTCACAAGTCCTTCCTAGATGTTCAAAATATGTTAGTCCAGGTGGCAACGCGTCAACATTCGAAACTTGCGACGATTTACCAGAATGAAAATCCATCGCCATCCGCTATAACCTCCCACACCATCCATGTGCGCGATTCCCTGTCGATGAAGTTAGCTCTCGTCTCTAGTGAAAATGGCATTGAGAGAACCTACCCAAGCAAGAATGCCACCAAAGGCACCCGCAAGACTTGCAGCACTGAAAAACAGACTAACTCGATAGTGCTGCTCATTCCGTTTGTACCACATCGAGATGTAGTAGACCACGCCCGGGAACAGTCCACTCTCAGCGACGCCTAGGAAAAATCGCGAGGCAAGATAACCGCGGTAATTTTGGACAACGCCTAGCAAAGTTGCGATGATTCCCCAGACCAGAGTGAGAGTTGGAAGCCATGTTCGTGGTGAGGCTTTTTTGAGAACGATGTTGCATGGGATCTCGAACAGGACGTAGCCGATGAAATACAAGGTTAGACCCGTGAGGTATTGATCTCCGGCTGCATAAACATTGGTCGTGTTAATTCCCGGTCGGTTCTCTCGCCCCCTGAGGAAATATTAAGGTTGAACCCACTCATTTTTATGTCCGTGGTCATTCCTTCCAGCTTGGCGTTCCCGACTGGACGAGACAATCAGTATGAGGTATAGCATGAGGGAATGCTGAGATACGAACCATTGCTTCGATCCAAAAAGGATAACAGGTATAGCAACGTTAAAGGCGGCAGCAAACGATAGTCCAACTTGCGCAGTAGAGACTTCTCGTTTATACCGACAGCCTCTGCAACGCTACTGGACGAAGGGGATACCGTAGTAAAGTCCCTTGCCTCGGGGCCGGTACTTGTGCCGACTTCCTTTTTCTCGTCGGTGGAAGCCATGACTATAGAGAAGACTGAAAGACGCTTGATGTGAAATCCAGGTCCAGAGGAGTGGACTTTGTTATTTTCAATACCATTTTCAGGTGTTTGCGAAATCTCCGAGAGCACATCATCAACAGTTCGCTTCACGCGATAGACAACACGGAGGTACAGTGATGTTACATCATATAAATTCCCGGCCGAGAAAGTCGAATTTCCAAACAGCCAATGAGGATTGGCTGGAATGCGAGAATGGGTTAATTGTGGCACAGAGCTAACAAGTTAAAATGAGGTATATGCGATGAGCAATCCTAGGGTTGTGATGACGAGCTCGGGTGGAGACCAAAGTTTATCTCAACTATTGCCGTGTGGGAAATCGACTTGACATCTGGATGTTTACAGATTGAATTTGTAGGCCAAGATCTAACTGTATTTCATATGGTAGATCTTTTATTCATTCAGGCGAGGAAAATGAAGGCCCAAAACATGATGCCAGAGAGTGATGGCCGTGAAGGTTTTCTTGCAATCGCAATTGTCCCATCCACAACCCACACTAGTCATAATATGAGCCTGCATCACATGTTCCCCCAGGGCTTTTTTGGAAGGAAGATCCTGATGGCAGTTAAGCCATTTGCATTTGAGTCCATGTTCTTCCACGGCCGGTTGACGGATGGTCTTTGGCTTATCTTTGGGTTCAAAGTACTTCGAGCGGCGTGGGAAATGTTCTGAGGTTACTTCCTCTGGTGATTTTGAAAGCCCAACCTGTATCTGAGGAGTATGATGAAAAGACGAGAGCGGAGGAGATTGAGCGCTCGGCTTCGTCGCCTTGGAAGCCAATTGTCTGTTTGTTGGCATTGCTGCCATTTTCTGATTTTTTCGAATGCTTGGATTTGATTTTTCAACCGGACAAGGAGTGGCTGGGTATGAGGAATGAGAATCGTTGTCTTCAAATAACATGATGTCAGGCAAAACATGCGTCTCGATATTGACCTTCTGCTCCATGGAACTACTCAAGCGAGGAGGGGTAGAGTTGGCCGTCACACTAGACGTTGGTGTCTCGGGGTCGATCATATCCCAACGTAATGATTCAAGATCTGAAGAGTATTTTACCGCTGGGATGTTGCGGCGCAGGCCAATCAGATGATGATTAAGACAATTCTCGGTGGGATGTTGATTTGCAACAATCAAAACATCCCTCGCGATTGTGTTAGGATCATAGGAGTCTTTGATGACTGCAAGTTTTGGATCTAAAGGTTGAACAAGGTCATCTCGGAGGGAGGGCTGCTCACCCAAGGAAGACACTTCTTTATAACCCCATGTATCCATCATGACTTTTGTTCTCTTCGTTTCATAGTGGGGAGCTTGAAGGCAAAGACCTGCAGAGCTGCGAGTTGTCTTTGTGTCGGTTGCATTTTCCCAGGTCTGCTGGTCGGGCTTTGCATGTCTATGCGTCCAACGTGGGAAGATGGAAGTGATACGATCATGTCCCGCAAATGGTAATGAAGGTGCCTGAGGAATGTTTCGTTCTGCATATTCACTTCCTCCAAATGGTAGTGAGGATACCCGAGAAGCCAAAGGAATGTTCTGCATGTGATTGGTATGCTCGAGGGTTGAAGATGTTGCTTGAAAGTTTTGATGAGAGCCATCCTTGGAGAGCCAGCGAGGACCTAATGGGCTCCATGGGTAAACCATGACTAGAGTTGAAAGGTGTTGGGTGAGTCGAAGGAGTGAAACTGGAAGGTGCGGGCCCAGGTGCGAAAGGTGGATATGGAGAGAGCACTCGAGGAATAAAGTTAGCCTTCTAAGGTTGGAACCTGTAAAATATTGATGTATCGAAGAGCTTCAAACCTTGCTGGAAGAGTGGATTAAGAAGAAAAAACATCGGAATTTGAAAGCCTGAAAGCAAATTACAGTGCACAAAGCCTTGAAAAATGCGAGAGATTCTCTACGCACCGAAGATAGCCGCTTCTACCTGAATAAACTCTTCATCGATCAGATCAGTGCTTTGAATTCAGCTGAGAGCTCTGTCCCTGGAGATTGGGCTTCTTGCACTATGGGTAGCAATTACGCTGCGAAATTCAACCACTAGACCGAGGAACGAGTGAAAGGAGTACACATGTGCATAGTACTATTCCTCACTTGGGCATACTATTTTACTAAGACTGCAGTGACTCCAAAGCTTCCATCTTGGATGCCTAGATATACGACATAAACGTGATTTACAAGAAGCCGACTCGTCGGAATTCAATTCCAAATGCCCTCCATGGGTGACGTACTCTGGATTTTGTGGAATTTTGGACCTACAACCTTCTAAGGGCCGATTCAACTGAGGTCATATTCAAATTCTAGCGACCCAAATTAAACCGTCCACTGTATCGGAATCTGCTCAGAAACAAACGTCTATATTGATATTTGGGCGATATTCATGTATTTTATATGAGAAAGAAGCAATATTCAGCTCAAATGTTGGTTTAAATCAGCTGTCTTCGGAACGCCTTCGAAACGCCATGGGAATGTGAGTCAAATCTTTTTAGTTAAAATCCCAGTTAATCATCCATTTGCCCTCAGTTGTAGGACACAGAATTGGCCCAAAGAATATCTTTGCCACCTCGCGATGGCCCTCATCCGGCCACAGTGTCTCCCGCCAAATATCGTTGCACAGGGTCCGGATCACCAGAGCCGCACTGGGAAACTCTGCGTCCAGCCTTCTTCCGGTCGGAAGCCAATGTCTGCGCAAAGGGACACTTTTCACGAATACTCGGTCCATACCAGTAAAAAACGTAGATGGGAATCGTGAATATAATGGCCAAGAATCCGAGAAGGGTACTTGGCCATTCGAGTTTATGTTTGTGACCCATATTCGAATACACTAATTGTTGTTAGAAATATTCCTGGGGTGAAATGGGTCAAAGCCATGCGCTTACTTGGTACAGAGTACATTGCAGCCACTCCAGCGAGGAAGTCTCGAGCGAAACCATTTCCTCCAGTTGCTGAAGCAGAATATGGGCCATATGCTGCTATCATGTAGTCGACAGTAGCCATGTAAATTGAAAACTGAAATAGTTGTTAGCTTGAAAAATCACAAGTTCGATATACGAGGCAATGCAACTGACATTGGCTATTGCAATCAGACATGAAAATATCATGGGTGCAATCCAATGCACATGCGGTGGTCCAAGACTAGTCCATGCAAACCCGAAGAGTCCGATTGATAAAAGCGGGGCGACTTTCGCCTTGTCAGTGAAACGGCATGACAGAAATGGTTGACCAGTGTAATATCTTACCCCATAGTAACCAGTATAGACGAGCTTCTGGCTGTAAACCATCGGGGTCTTTTGCACGAATATTATTGTGGTGGAAAATCCAAGGCAAGAACGAGAAATAAGCGATGAAATATCCGACAAGAATCCTGATTTAATAGTAAGCAATGATCTCAATCGCTGTTCTGGAATACTCACGGAATAAAAGCCAGGCCTACCTGGCTTGTACTGAATCCCCATTGCTTGTATACTGGAGAATAAGACTGCAAGAAGATGAAGATCAAAGCATCACTGAAACCGCTGAACAGTGACAGACATAAGACAATTGGTTCACGGATGAACATGATAAAAGGTCTAGCCCAAATCATCAGAATATACCGAATAGACAGGCGGCTCTTCTTTAGCTCGTCACCGCTGTAGACCATATCACCTTCGGCGCGTCTCCTCTTCGCTTCTCTGGTAATGAGAATGCTGCACCTCGTTTCCGGAACGAATAAATGCAGGATTTGCACGAATCCCCCCAGAATGAGCTGAAGCCAAAAGTTCCAGTGCCAATCAAGGTACGTCGCAACAAAGCCACCCACGATGGGCGCAATCACTGACCCTGTCACTGATGACAACACCACGTAGGCGACGGCCCATTGCTGATCCTCAGCTTCCCACATATCGGCGACCATACCTAGCGTCACTGACCCACCCGCCGAGGAAAGGCCACCCAGCAGGCGACAGACAACAATGGTACCAAAATTTGGTGCCAGGGCACATGGGATTTGCCAAATATTCACCAAGAACAAACTCATTTGCATGATGGGCCATCGACCGAATTCTTCACTGAAAGGAGCCCAGAACTCGCATCCAAAGGCATAAGCGATGAGGAAGTCCATTTGACCGACACGTGCAGCTTGTTCCGACACATTAAAATGCTTTGCGTAGAGGCTGATACTGCTGGCGTAGAAACTTGCATTCCAATTCATGGATAACTGCACGGCGAAGATGACTGAGATGATACTCCATTTCTTATACCAAGGAAACGAATATCCCAGCTTATCGTAACACTGCCATTCCTTCAACTCGCCTTCTTTTTCAGGGTGACCGTTCGAATATCCGTTGCTGTCTCCGTTCACTCTTCCCTCGAAATGGCTCCGGTGAGGAGTTCCGCCCGGGGAGCGAACTCGTCTGTCTTGTTGATCTTGCTTTTCCACATCCCCATCTCCAGCGGTAGATGAAGATGCATAAGACATTGCTAGGGCACCTTGGATCGGATGAACGTAGTTTTTTGGCACTCGAAGATATGACTCGTTGGCGGGGGTGTCATTCTCCCCAGAGGATGGCGGTTGAATGATCCGCAAGAAAAGGGGAATGGGACGTGTTTAAGTACCCTGACCATGGGCTGGCTTCTTTGACTCCGATATCTCGGGGATATGGTGGTAGCTAGTCGGCCACTGCTAGTACTAAGTACGACTGTAGGACTCAGGGGAAAGCTCCGATTGGCTCGAATGAGGTATACCAGTGGGTCAAATAAGCTTTACCAGATTATCTCGCGTGTCGCCTGGTGTGGAGCAAACATCCGGGGAGAATGACCCGATACATCGTCACGGATTCCCTCTCCGCAATATGGGGATGCGGGATTCACAGGCCGCAATTGTACCCCGGAGGTTTGCAGGCCAAAAGTTCATCGAGTGCTATCCCTCTCAAGACCGGGTCTGAGTTTCCGATCTAAGGTATTCTGGAGGCGTTCCATCCACACTTCCCCAGGAAAGCTATCCCCCGGGTTTCGGTTTCTACGGCGTTTTTATAAGCCGAGGGTTGATTCCTATTTGTTCGCTGTGTGGCCACTGAATATTGTAAGAAGAGAGGGTATGAAGACTTCTGCTGAGAGGTACCTGCTTGTGGATTTGGCAACAGTTGAAGGAGAAAGTTGTCATAGAAAATAAGCCAGAGTTCCAGGTCAGCTATGCTCAGCCCTGGAGGTGGCAAGTAAGTATAGTACTAGTATGTGCTGCGGGAGGTAGTATCAGCGGTTTCAATGTTTGTAATTCACTCAAATGCAGCCGCATACCTAGTCCATGCAGCTAAAGCGATCGACGCCAGGTCACCCTCGGGAGTAAGGATGTCACTCTCCGGTGAACTACTCGAAGGGAATCAAAAATTGTGGACATTGCCAGCTGGACAGAATCATCAAAATGTCTCGACGATACCCTAGGTCGGAAGAGTAAGGGAAAATTAATCTCCAAGCTTCTGTTTCATAGAAGGAATGGCAGCTTTGATGACCATGTTGCGTACCCGCATGCAATAGTCCAGTTATCTTGACATTGAAACAAACCCAGAAGTATCTCGATCATCCATGCTGTAGTCCGCACAGATTACACCATCTCCAACAGTGATACCAATTCGAAATGGCAACAGTCACAATAAATTCTAGCGGTGAAGCCTCGTATGGCACCATCCAGCGCCCAAATTCGTTAAACATGGATTAAAACAAACTCGCCAAACCGATCAAGCTCTGACTGAAACGATGTGGATCAAGGAAGTGTGTCGATCTCTCCGGGGGAAGAAGGTTGATTGGGGAATTTGAGGGGTGACTCGTGAGCCTGCAGCCGACAGCCGACAGCGCAACCCGGTGGGGAGATCACGCCATGTAGTAGCCCGGTTTTAAAGTCATAGCTTCGGTGCAATTGATCCGGCGGAGGGGGCTTCTATGGAGCCGGTCAGGGGCCGAGTCGGATTTTTTGCAAGCTACAAAATTCACTAGCGACATTTGGGATAATAATGTACCGTTTGTGCGATCGTGATCGTCCGGGGCTTGAACTTTGAAGCTTGCCCCGCATTTCGTTTGGGCCGCCGGTTTGAGAATAGTGTACGAATTACAGAATCTACTATGATCCATGGGTGGTGTATCCAGATGTCCATTGCTTATGTAGGCGAATTTCAAATAGCGTAAATGCATAATTATGAGGGCTATAACCTGTTTGTACAGTAATTCGTCCATATCACGAATTGATGTGACATGTAACACATGTATTCGAATGTTCAGTGTCCACATGCATGTATCGAATGTTCAACGATCCCCAAAAACTAATGTATAGGCTGTACAACCTTGGAAGAAAGAGAGCGCTGTTGATCTCCATAACTCCGCCCAGAATATCTTAAACACCGGTGTAAATCATAAATCGGTAAAGGAAAAAATTCCGTGTATGCCTCAAATAGACTCGATCCATTCGGTCCAAGCCACTTGGTCGGAATGTGCAAGACATTTAATCATATCAGGAGGAGCCGGTTGCCACTGGACCGTCTCCCCTTCATCCAATGCTGACCTTGAGGAATCGACATGATCATGCACGTAGCCTCGAGTATGCTTCATCTCGGTAGCTTCGTTGTCAGAATAAGCCACATTCACAGATGGAACGGCAAGGATCTTCCCAAGACCTTGACTGAATAGATCCTTGGCCAGTAACACAGTCTCACTCATGTAGCAGTCCGCCTCGGTTTGCTCTGCAGGCCTGAACCTAATGACGTCTTCTGCAAATGACACAGCGTTCAATGTCGCCATACCGCCCCAGCATGAGTATACCTGCAAGGGCTGGAAATCATCGAATCGCAGCTTGTTGGGTTGGTCATCAAAGAACATTTCATTACTTCCAAGTAAAGAACCATCTGGCTGGATCTCAAAGAATGTGTTCCCGGCTAGCGACCGAGATTCCCAGACATCGAAAAAGACGGTTCCGTTGAAGGCCCAGTCAAAAGCACAGGTCATCTGCGCCCCTTGATTAATATGTTGGAACACTAGTTCCAGGATATCTTCTGGACATAACACGATGTTATCCAGAAAAATGACCACCGCCTCGGGTGAGTACATGCTTGAAAGTGCTTGCACAGGCTCCTCCCCTGTTGCTTTGAGCGGCTCGAGTGCTTGATTGCGGAGATCTGCAAGGGTTGCCTGGCTCGCATCATCTCTACGCGATAATGAATGGCGACTGGAGGCGAGGAAGTATGGCACATCCATACTATCCAGCCACGGTTTCAAAGCTTCAAGGATTTCCCACGTTCCATCCTGGGACTCATTATCAACGATGGAGACGGCGCAGTGTTTCGCTCCTAGGTATTTCACCGCCTCAAAAATGCTGCTCATCAATTGCGGAAGAGCATCAACCGCCTCATGCAAATTCAACGCGAAAAAGTATCGCACTAGGCGATTTTCCTCTTCATCCCGCAACTTTTGATATCTAGCCCCAATCTCAGCGGGACAGGAAACACGATCGAATGGCCATTTATCTCCGAAATCAAGGATCGAATGAACATATTTATCGACTTCTTCGTGCAGCATGTGATTCGTCGGGGGTGCCACAGTTGGATCTGTTGGCCTTTGGGACTTAGACCACTGAGGCCATGTGCTCTTGTTATTCCATGCAGGGTCGAATTCTTGGAGACTGGCACTCGATCCGCTGAAAGATGTCGGGGATGGCGATTCTAGGGATTCGCTCGGGGTATTCTGTGTCGATGGTGCATGTTGGGCCGAATCCGGAATATTGACTTCGGGAGTAACAGAATCGTATTCTGGGATCGACGGTAGCTTGCCATTGAAGATCGAGAGACCAAGGTCATCATTATAGCGATTATAGTACACAAACAGTCGTGATGAAAGGAACAACAAGCCCATCAAAATTGTAATTCCGCCCAGGAGGGCCTGGTAGAACCTAGGCCCCAGGACGGCCATCGCAGGTTCACAGTCGGTCCAATGAAGGGGTTGAGGGGGCGGGAGATGACGTTTCTTTGTTCCATATGAGTTTAGTCAGGATTCAACAAATGTGAGACAAGAACAAAGAATTGAACGCGCGACGACGAGATCGCTACCTCCAATGCATGTTTTCAAGGTTGGGATGAGGGTGACTGAGGTTACTGCATGAAGCAGGATTCTCGAAGATGACCTCAATCCGGACTCCTCGGTCGCGCATTCCCACTTTCAGGCCGAAAACGGCAATTGTCCGCGTGGCCAGCGGAGAACCCGAGCAACATACGATTTGATGAAAGGCACAGATGAAGATTCAACTCACTCGAAATGATATTCGATTCTTTTGTATTGCTGCAAAAGTAAAGGAGTTTCAGATTTGTCTATGGGAACCCCACATTGGGGTAAAATGGGCAGTTATCGCACAATATGGGAAGATCGGCGCCGAGCGGTGGCTATTTATGCTAAGCCAAGCTCTCATATCTGATCCATCGAAGCAAGGGAAAACAGAGAGTAGAAAACGACAAATGGCGCGAGATTTCGACTTTAAGAGTTCATTGAGAGAATTCAAGCGCATGATGACTTAACCGGGCAGGGGCCTCTATGGGGTATACGTATTCAAGACAAGGCGTCGTTGACAAAGACCGCGTCTTCGCGTCTTCCTGAGCAGATCCTGGTTCGACTTCTTATCTTTCGTAACGCACAGACCCGAACTGCACAAAAAGGGAATTAAATCCGAGTTTCCGGATGACTAAGGGATGCCAAGGTGACTAAGAACAACCAAGAACGACTAAGAACGACTTAGGAGCGAACTGTGGCTGGAAATATAAGCGTGGGGCTTGACTGGGCTTGACTGGGCTTGTCTTGGCTGGACTAGGCCTAATCAGGATTATTTAGGCTTAAAAGGAGGATCCACTTCTCCATTCTATTGAAGCCGATGGCCGATTGGCGATTGATAGCTGCCGAGCACGAAATGCGGCACCGTCATGGCGCATCATGTAATGCAGGCAGGGATCAGCTGAATCCTCGTTATAAGAGTCTCGTGCAGCTACCCCTCCTGGCAATCTCTTTTTCTCTCTCTTTTAACTGCGGAGCTGTTTGTTCACTGTGTTTACTCGGCTTTTCATTCGAAACTTCTCCATTAATTGTACCACGAACATAATTGACAATGGCGAAACGACCCAATTTCATGGTCATTGTCGCCGATGACTTGGGCTTCTCTGATGTGGGCTGCTTTGGTGGCGAGATTCGTACCCCTCACATTGATAAGATCGCAGAGGAGGGCTTGCGATTCACTGATTTCCATGCGGCGGCAGCATGCTCGTGAGTCTCGAAAAAGGAAAAAAAACAAATCCAAACTACAATCATTTTACTAAACCTCGTTCCTAAATCCAGTCCCACACGCGCCATGATTATGACCGGCACAGATCACCATATCGCAGGTCTGGGTAACTTGATCGAATGGACCAACATTTCCGGACAGAATGGACCCAAGGGCTCTGCAATGAGCACTGCCCCGCAGCGTGGTATGCCTGGGTACGAAGGGTACCTAAACGAGCGCGTGGTTGCCCTTCCCGAGGTTTTGCGGGATGCGGGGTACCACACCATGTTATCCGGCAAGTGGCATTTGGGCCTAACGCCCGAGCGTTCCCCTCACAAGCGTGGATTCGTTCGCTCATTCGCCCACCTCCCCGCCTGTTCCAACCATTACGCCTATGAGCCCCAACTGCGCGATAATGACGATATTCCTACTTTCATCGAGGCGAGCTACATCGCACTACACAGCGAGGACGGAGAGTATGTACGCAACCTGCCCGAAGACTGGTACTCGTCCGACGGCTATGGAGACAAGATGATCGATTATCTACGCGAGTGGAAGGAGTCTGGCGGCAGTGATGGACCGGATGGGAATGGTGATCGGCCGTTCTTTGGTTACCTGCCATTCACAGCGCCCCATTGGCCACTCCAGGCACCTCGCGAGTACATCGATCACTACCGTGGAGTCTACGACGAGGGTCCTGATGCTCTACGTTTGAAGCGCCTGCAACGCCTGAAGGAGCTTGGGATGGTCCGTGAAGATGTCGAGGCACACCCTGTCGTTGCAGATGAGATCAAGGACTGGGATGAATACACTGATGAAGAAAAGAAGAAGTCTTGTGTATCCATGGAGGTCTTCGCTGGAATGGTGGAGTGCATAGATGCGAATGTGGGCAAGGTCGTCGAGTACTTGCGCTCGATCGACGAGCTGGACAACACATTTGTTTGTTTCATGTCTGACAACGGCGCAGAGGGCGCCGCATACGAGGCTTACCCCATGGTGCAAAACGGCGTGATGCCCCACCTACAGAAGTACTATGACAACAGCCTCGACAATCTGGGTGCTGGTAACTCCTTTATCTGGTATGGTCCGCGCTGGGCGCAGGCTTCTACCGCCCCATCTCGTCTCTATAAAGCCTACACAACCGAAGGTGGAGTACGAGTTCCCTTCACTTGCCGCTTCCCCAAGAACATCAACCTCAAGCCCGGCGACGCAACAGCACCGCAGGGTGGTATCACCGACCAATTCTCTACCGTCATGGACTTAGCTCCTTCTATCTTGGACATGGCCGGTGTCAAGCACCCTGCGCCAACATATCAAGGTCGTGAAATCGTTTCTATGCGTGGCCGCAGCTGGCAACCCTGGGCCACCGGCCAAGACGAGCGCATCCACCCGAAGGACTTCATTCAAGGCTGGGAGACTTGTGGTCGTGCTGCACTTCGTTGCGCCGACTGGAAGATTGTCTTTATCCCCAAGCCCAAAGGTCCTGAGAAGTGGCAACTGTACAACCTCGTCGAGGACCCTGGTGAGATCCACGATTTGGCGGACCAGGAGCCAGAGAAGATGAAGAAGCTTCTTAAACTGTGGGACCAGTACGTCCTTGAGACGGGTGTTATTCCGTTGTGCCCTGATTTGGGCGCCTTCCTTGAGGCCACTGAGGCTCAGATGCCAGAGAATGCTTGGATGGAATTTGATTACTGGAAGAGTGGTGCTCGGGACACCCCTGAGAAATTTACGCGCGAACCTCCTCGTTTCCAACGGAGTGTTCAGCAGTGGTAGATTGATAGGAAAGGGGTGGATTTAAAAACAAAATAACTGTCATATGTTTACTATTATGAAGCAATGAAAATAGATTACAAACTTTCAATTTTCTATTGGATTTCTAGCTTTTGAATTGGAAACGTTGGAGACCTCTCAAGTGCTGGCTCAAAAATTCCAGTGCCCCTTGAGCCACATGCAGGCACTCAAGTGCTTGAGTGCGTGCATGCACATGTGTGTAGTGGACCTGACTACTACGTACTAGTATGTACATAGTATGCACATGTGGGGTAGTGCACATAGCAGCTCTGGAACATTGAATACCTGGATCGTGATTTCAACATTTGAATGTTTATTGTTGCACACCTGACCTACGATCCAAGTCTCACAGAACCTTGGAATATCCCACATACATACTTCAAGAATGAAGCTACTTTGAATAATTGATCCCGGTATCCGGACAGAAGCACTGGGTTTCGAAGCGTGTGGACCCTTGTATATATACAACCTCAATATCTTACAAATGTAATAAATACCTAATACATAGTATCCTTAAAGGCCCCTCTTGATAGCCCAGAAGTAGTTACCCCAATCCTCAGATCCAGGAACCATCTTCCATCCCAAACCAGGCACATAGATGGTGCCTACACACTTCCACCGTGTGCCGTCCAGAGCCGCAGCTCCCGCACGAGTCACAGCCGTGTCAGCGGCACGCATCAAGCCCTCTTGTGACCAAGCCTGCAACTCAGAGGGATTCACAAACTTGCTCCACTCATGCGTACCCCGGGGCACGACACCAATCGGCCACGGAGCCTCAGCAATGACCTGATTCAAGAGGAAAGACGGGAATGTCCGAGCGATGGTTGAACCAACGAGCCAACCACCCGGCTTAACCGCACGGAGACAGTTAGCAAGGAACGCTTCTGGAGTAGTAGTCTTAAAGTCGATGTGCTCGATGACTTCAAAGAGGGAAACAACGTCAAATTGCGGGTGAGTGACCGAGGACGAAGACGGAGATCCGGACTCGGATTTGGACTCGGATTTAGAAGCGAGCACGTCTTCTAAGGTGGTGTTCAAGTAGCGGAATTTGCCACTGCGGAGGTGTGAGTCGACAGTAGGATCCATGCGGGCATGGTTTCTAGCGATATTAATCAAAGCCGTTGTGGGATCGATGGCTGTCATCGACGCGGCGCGTGTGGGTGTCGGTGCATCCGCAGAGGGATCGACTGGAATTGTGCGCGCAAGAGACTCGGCGAAGATGCCGCCGCCACAGCCAATGTCTAGGTAGTGCAGGTTCGCAGGGTTGCCGACGAGGCCTGGTGTGTCTGAGGGTGGGGGGGGTCCTTCGGCAAGACATTGTGCGATGAACTCGTGGCGCAGAGGGTTCATGAGGTGCAGGATTCTGGAAGGACCCATGGGGTCCCACCATGAGCTGGCGAGACCGGAGAAATGGGAGACTTCATCGGCAGATACGGAAGACGTTGAGTGGTTGCGAATGGGTTGTGTGTTTGAGGGCACAGTCGGAGATCGAAGGGTGGTGGGAAGTCGGCATGTTGACCTTGAGGTGGTTGTGGCTGCGCGCAGGGCACGGAGAGGAAGCGCGCGAGGAATAATAGACGCCATGTTGAGCACTGGATGGGGATATTGGGTTTTGACAGTATGGGAGGTCAGCAAAATAGCTTCAGCAAGGCCTGCTCAGCTGAGCTTTATGAAAGGCCAAGGGTTCTGTGAAGTAGGCAGTCTATGTGAGTGGTTAGATTCAAGCATTTAGAAAGGTATGATGGCATAGCATTGAGGGGAACAAGATCATAGTACTTACCAAGATCCACGCATTACCGGGGGCTCCGGCTTGTCGCAAGAAAGTTGAAGCTATCCCCGACCGCAGAATCTCCGCCAAACAAACATGGCAAACGCGCCAAGGCCGACAGAGCTTTGACCAGCTGGCCAGATCTGTACCTTCAGGCCCTGTCAATATGTACCGTAGTGATGATCTAGATCTGTTCTGAGATTGACTTTCTGGAAATTTTGACTGTAGAAATTGATTGTTTTCAAATCTTTTATCACTCATTGGAATATTTTTACTACGTACTAGTAGTAGATAGTATAGATAAGTAACTGAATTATGGCCAAATGGAAACAACAAGGCCCACAACCAAATGCCGTCTGGTCCACATACACTATGGTCCCTTGACAGCGGCCAGCTAATTGCTAAACTACCACTTACTAGCTACCAAATACTGATAATACTGAAGCAACTTTTGTTGCAACGACAAAACGCTTATCCGATGACCAACCAGAGATGACTGTTCCTGATTATGTCAAATTGGCACGTGAAAGGGCAAATTGTTGGGAAAAGAACACTTTCACATGTGAAAGAGGGACTGTTTAAGTGGGGAAACAATTGGATCCATTGTTAGTACATTGACCACATTGACCCTTCAATTGTGGACTGGTCAAGAGTCAAGACATTTCAGGGACACGAGATACATTTCCTGATTTATTTTCTTTAACCGCTGTAAGCCTGTTAGGGTTCTCGGCATGGATGTGGCCAGTTACATCTTACTCGTGCAGCAAACTCTGATCCCTGTCGAATCGAGGTACGCCATTGCTGCGGATGGGAGTGACCCGGGGAACTCATTGGCCCTGGGAACCGGATATGAAATCTATGGATTTCCAAAGGTTCAACCCACTAGACAACATCCAGTTAGCGGCGAGGCTTAGGCTCCATTGGCAGCATCATGGCTTTCCATCTCAACAGAAAATGATCGAATGGAATGAAATAGAAATCGATCTGGCTTTTTTTTCCCCTCCAGCAACTAATAAGTTCATCTTGGCAGCTCCCTCTTTCTGGATCAAGTCTCGCATGTTTGCTTTTGCAACTGAACACGAATACATCAACACGAACCTCCGATGACCGCACCTTGTGTCGTCTAAAACTATATCCTAATTCGATACCGGGGTCCCCTCCACCCCATACGCTGCATTCAAGTCCACGAGGACCTGTTCACCGGTTCCGATTTTCCCCTTGTCCCTCGTTATTCCCCAAAATTTCAAGTTCGTGAACGAACACAACAGAGAATATATAACGGAAAATGTCTTTTATTGATACAACCAAAGATCTCCCTACCCTGTTCAAGAAACAGGTAGAGGCAACTCCCAATGGCATTGCGCTGGAAGATGGAAATGTCACATACACATATGCCGAATTAGATCAAGAAGTCGATGCGCTGGCCACTCGACTCCGATTGTACGGTGTCAGTCGCGATTCCTTGGTTGGAGTGTTGCTTCCACGTAGCGCACACTATGTGATTGCCTGTTTGGCTGCACTTCGTGCCGGTGGTGCATTTTTGGTGTTGGAGCTCGCGTACCCCGCGGGGCTGCTAGCCGACGTTATCGAGGATGCCCGCCCCGCCGTTGTCATTACCCACCAAGTGGAGGCCCCCAGAGTGAAAGCGCAATGCCCCGTGATCGCATTGGATCAGCCAGCAACCGAAGCAAACGGATACGCTAAAGAGGCCACACCACTACCAGCACAGGACGATCTGGATCGTCTGGCATTTGTTTCTTATTCTTCCGGTACCACTGGTAAACCCAAGGGAATCGCCAACCCCCACAGGGCACCCGTCCTTTCATATAACCTGAGATTCGGAGTCCAGGATTTGCAACCGGGAGACCGAGTCGCATGCAATGTGTTTTTCGTTTGGGAGATTCTCCGCCCGCTGTTGCGTGGTGCGACAGTCGTGACCGTTCCCGATGATGTCAGTTATGACCCGGCCGCCTTGGTTGACCTACTTGCCGCTAAGCGCATTACCGAAACTCTCATGACTCCGACATTGCTCGCCACTGTACTTTCGCGTTATTCTGCCGGTCGCATTGCGACTCGCCTACCCGAATTGCGAACATTATGGTTGAATGGAGAAGTGGTGACCACGGATCTGGCCCGTCGGACGATCAACTCTTTGCCCAACACGCGCCTGCTCAACTGCTATAGTGCTTGCGAAACACATGAAATCGCATGCGGAGATATTCGGAGCATGATCGATGACTCCATCTACTGCCCTGTTGGCCCTCCTCTCGACCCAGAGCACATGTATATTTTGAATGAGAGTGGTGAGCAGGTTGAGATCGGCACAGCTGGAGAGCTGTTTATCGGTGGAGACCTCCTTGCCCGAGAATACATCAATCTCCCAGAGGCAACAGCCAAGGCCTTCACCCCCAACAAGTTTGTTGCTACCCCGGGTGCTCGCATGTATCGGACTGGTGATTTGGCCAGGCAGCTACCTTCGGGACTTTTGGAAATCACCGGCCGAGTGGGTGCGATGATCAAGCTTCGCGGATACTCCGTTGTACCTGCAAAGGTGGAGAGTGACATTTGCCAGTACTTGGCTGTTAGCCACTGTGCTGTTGTCGCTCATGGAGATGGTCTTGAGCGACAGCTGGTCGCATACGTCGTGGCAGATATTGAGGCGGGAGATCGTCCAGCAGTTGATGTCGACGAGGCAGGCCACAGCCCAGCCGCACGCCGCGTCTTGGAGGCCTATCTTGCGCACTACATGATTCCTGCTCTGTGGGTAGTCTTGAAAGAGCTTCCCACCAGTGAGGTTTCTGGAAAGGTCGATCTCAAGAGCCTTCCCCCACCTCGCAGTTCTAGCCCCGTGAGCAGCGAGCAGTCCGTGGACAGAGATCCTATTGGGATCAACGACATTGCTTCTATCTGGGCTACTGTTCTTAAAACTTCCAAGACGCTTCTGAAGCCCGAAGACAACTTCTTTGACTTGGGAGGTCATTCTCTGTCCCTCGCGGACTTGGCATCCAGAATTTCCAGACAATTTGGCTTCCGTGTGCCTATTCCACGTCTCGCTGAAAATGTCACTCTGTCTGGCCACTTGGATACAGTACGCGCCATCCGTGATGGTCACACTGCGGCTGTCCAGGCAGATCTCCCTGCTGTCCTTTTGGCTGACTCTACTTTGGATGACGATATTAAGCCGTTCCCCGGTGCAAACATCACCTCCATCGCCTCTGCAGAGACTGTTCTTTTGACAGGTGTGACTGGTTTCTTGGGTGCCTTCCTGCTGAATGATCTTCTTGAGAACACATCGGCGCAGATCATTTGTCTCGTTCGATTCAGTGATCCGGAGGATGACGACCAGGCTGGTGGTGTTGCTCGCATCCGTCGCAATCTCCTGGATTTGGGACTCTGGCGCGACACAATTATGGAGCGCGTCGAGGTTCTCCCTGGAAACCTTTCTAGGGCTCGCTTCGGATTGTCACCTGAGACATTCGACGACCTTGCCTCCCGCGTCCAGGTCATTGTTCACGCTGCGGCTACCGTCAATCTGGTCTACCCATACGCTGCTCTCCGCGACGCCAACGTTGGCGGCACTAGGGAGATTCTTCGTCTGGCCTCTAAGGGCGGTGCTACAGTTCAGTACGTCTCGACGAATGGTGTTTTGCCCCCCTCTCCTACTGGTGGCCGCGGCTGGACCGAGGATACCATGCTGCCTATTGAGGATGTGCCCACAAAGCTGCTCGACGGATACGGCCAGACCAAATGGGTTGCTGAGCAGCTCGCTCTCAAGGCTAGTCAGCGTGGACTGCCAGTGAAGATTCACCGTTGCGGTACCATCAGTGGTCACAGTCTCAACGGTTCTGCGAATGCTTGGGATCTTCTCACTGCTCTTTTGGTCGAGTCTGTTCGACTAGGCTACGCGCCTGATGTTGATGGCTGGCGCGCAGAGATGACTCCCGTTGACTTTGTCAGTCAGTCAATTATTCACCTCGCCACACAGACACAGAAGGTCGAGAACCAGCCCGAACAAACAGTTTACCACCTGGGTGACCCCGATCCCATCAACACTCGCAACGTATTTGAGAATCTAGCACAGCTCGGTTACCCCACCCAATCACTGCCGTGGGATGAATGGGTGGCTCTCTGGATGGAGAAGCGTGGCTCGACTAAGGGTGGAGATGGTGCATTCACCGTCGACATTCTTCGCAGTGGTATGCCGACCGTGGAGTTCCTTCGTGGCATCGTAGTCCTGGATAACGCCTTGACCCGGCCTCTCCGCAAGGCTGTCGAAAGACCCAAGGTGGACCCTCTTCTACTCGAAACATATGCCCGCCATTGGTTCGCTCGTGGCTGGCTCCCTAGACCCCCATCCCGCCGTGATGCTCTCAGCCGCTCACTTCCCACCCGACCGGTCTCCCGCGGCCCTCTCAGCGGACAAGTGGCCGTTGTGACCGGTGCTTCCTCAGGCATTGGAGCCGCAGTCGCAGCCGCACTCGCCAAGCAGGGCTGCGCCGTCGCCCTCGGTGCCCGGCGACTGGATGCACTAGAATCAGTGAAGCGCAGTGTCGAATCATTCGGTGTGAAATGTATTATCCGTTCAACGGACGTTACCAACAAGACTCAAACCGAGGCACTCTTCCAAGCCGCTCATGATGAGCTTGGCCCCGTCGACATCCTCGTCGCCTGTGCCGGTGTCATGTACTTCACCATGATGGCCAACACCCAAACAGACGAATGGGAGCGTACCGTCGACGTTAACTGCAAAGGTCTACTGAACTCTCTTTCATCTTCAGTCCCCGGCATGCTTTCTCGCGGAAAGGGCCATATCGTGGCTATCTCCTCTGATGCAGGTCGCAAGGTCTTCCCCGGTTTGGGCGTATACTCGGCCAGTAAGTTCTTTGTTGAGGCTACTCTCCAAGCTCTGCGTCTTGAGACTGCCGGTGCCGGATTGCGGGTGACTAGTATCCAGCCTGGTAACACATCTACTCCGTTGCTGGGTATGTCTACGGATGCGGAGGCCATCAAGAAGTTTGGTGAGCCGTCTGGTGCCAAGATCTTGGATCCATCTGATGTGGCGAACTCTATTGTGCATGCTCTCACTCAGCCGGAGCATGTCTCTGTCAATGAGATCCTGGTGGAGCCTCGTGATGAGCCTATTTAATGGCTATGATTGTGTGTTTTTGTTACTTATGATTATTCCAAGACGATACGATACGGTTGCTTGGACTGGTAGATATAGACTTCTTGTATGTACATAGATTGTGAATCAAAGTTGTTAGAGTATCTCTAAGTCAGTGTGTCTTGAAAATGGTACATGTATTCTGGGGCTTTTAGTAAGCTGATGTAGGCAGCTGTAGATGTCAACCCACGGCTACCTAATAGCTGCTATGATCTGCGTCCAAGCGGGTTAAACTTTCCGAAGTCCCGACAGAACCTTGGAATACTGCATGTGCTGTATGTGCCGTGATTTAGAAACAAAGTCTATTCAAAAAAGTGGTCTGCTATGTAATCGACCAAAAATCTCAAGTCTGTATATACAAAATAAAACAAAAAAAAGCAAACAATCTATATAAGCTCCATGGTATCATAAGCCGGGCATTGCAACGCACAAAAAAAAAAAAAAACAAGCATGCACCATGCAAACATCTCGTAGACATGAACACATAAACAGACATCGCAAGAAACTCAAAACTCAAGCCCGATCGGACCCAGACCTTGATGCCCCAAACCCAAAATCCCATGAGACTCTCCGTTCCCATTGCCATTGCCATGTTCTAGATGCTCCCCATCAACCGTTCCAACCTCGTCTACATCTCGATGCATACTAGCCAGTAAATCTAAATCCCACCTCGGATCATCAGGCCATGTGCCCCGTTGACCAGGTGTCGGCGAATCACCTAACGTAGGCAGGAAATTTCCCATGTTGATCGTGCCATCTAGGCCGATGACATGCTTACATCGCTCTAGCAGCGATGGAAAAAGATACGACGGTGACCCGCGGATCTGTGAAAGGGTATGCAGGATGCCCCAAAGTAGTTCGCGGGGATCGACAGTTGACTCGGCAAGTCGGTGGACGGCTTTTGAGCCGAGAGAGCGGGTTACGTCTGCGACTGAGACGCCCATGTCGAATAGCTTTTGCTCCTTTAGTTTTGTTTAGTAATGGCACTGGAAGCTAGGAGACAAAAGAAAGGAGAAAAGGAGAATTAGACATACCATTCCGATTCCATGAGCGTCCACTGCACCCTGTGAGGCGCTCCCTATCACGCTCATGACGGCCTTCCCGACTAATACCGGCAAATGAAACGGTAGGACTGAGTCATCTTTTGAGCCGGACTGTGATGCATTGCTCATGGATAATTTCCACATCATGGCTTGGAGCCATTGTTGTGTTATTAAAATGTCGACTTGTTGGATTTCTAGGACGCCATCCAGCGTGATGGGCTTGGATAGGCTGGACTGGATGGCTGATGTTGGTGCCTGTTCGATTAGGCCGTCGCTACCACCGGCGGAGATCCAGTCGTAGAGATTTGCAGTGAGCTTCTCGAAGATATTTATGAGGTTAATGAAGCCATATGCTAGAATGGGATCCTCGGAGCAGAGGACTTGTGGTTTGTGGATGGAGCTGCGGAGCATGACTGGTTTGGATTGCTGGAGGTTGTAACCCCTGATCGAGAAAGGTTAGTGAAAAAGAAGAGAAAAAGAATCTGACGCAGAATGCCTTACCTTTCTGTTATGAAGAGAAGCCAGAATACTCTTCTCCTCTCCTCGGCCTCTTCGACCTGAAAGTCTGCATACGAAGACTCCCGATGCAAACCCAACGTAAACGCCATGGAAGTAGCCTGGCACAAATAAAACCACGCATGAGTCTGTTTATCCAAATTCCCATATGAAGCAAACAAGAAGAAAGAAGTAAGAAGATTCTCAATACTGATGTCCTCTACAATATCGCAATCCCGCCGTGCCCGCACGGCTTCCTCCAGTAACTTCTCCCCAGAGACAAGCACATCACCATCGCCAAGAGTATGCAGCCGTGCCTGGTCCGGACCAGGATTCGCCCCATCAAGCTTAAGCTGGATATGCGTAGCCGCACATATAGCAGCCAGAAAGGCATATCTCTGCGGCAACAGGCGCTCTGGCTGCAGACTATCGCGACGGAGCTGATCACCCCGCACGACCGGCATGATGGGGAACAAGTATTTCAGATAAACGTTTACATGCGCCAGCAAGATCTGCGGTGATAGACGCGCTATTCTTGGGGGCATGATGGGCCCATATGCGGACGAATCAACGGTATGCATATCCATCGAGTCGGGCGACGAGCCCAGCTCCGGCGGCGGGAGTTGAGAGAAGGAGTCGGAGAGATCATACTGGGCGAAGGGGGCATCGTTGATTGCGAAGGCAGGGGATGTGGGCGAGCTTAGTCTGAAGCCTGATTGATCGGGGAAAGAGCTTGAGTCTGTTCCGCTGTAAATTTGGTCTGGGGTTGCGGTGTCGCTTCGTGCGGGGACGACTGGGTGGATCGGCGCGAGGGGATAGAGAGTTCTGAACTTGGGGCCCTTGCGCCGGAGTACGTCGCTGTAGGAACAGGATAATAAGAGACGTTGACATTTATCGCAGGGCAGATCGCGGGAGCATTTGATTTTGCGGCGGCGACAGTTATCACAGGCTTGTTTGGTTGAGCTTGGGGGGACTTTGGATGGGGCGTCGAAGTCCATAGTTCGGGAGATCAGCTATTGCAGCTGTGGACTTGGGCACTTTCAAGTTGACTTTGACTTGAAACGGAGAGAGATTGACAGGAATACGTCAGGGCCATACACGGGGCATGGTCTTGTATTGGAAGAACTGGGGAAAAGATATGGACTTTAATAATGCACATTAATTAATGATACTAAAATGCATCTGGGGAAAGCGCGGGGCGCAACTGGCATTTTGGCCAACCCCGCAAAAGGCCCATGCACGATACTTGTTAATCTAAGCTACTAGTATACTAGTATATTCTTTTGGGGATTTGATTTTTATGGGACGTTGTATATAGTAGCTATGGTGTGATGAGTTTATACCAAGTGGATCTCTCTATCCAAGTCCCTGAATGTTCTAACCGGATTTTCACACCGAAACCTTTCAATCTTGGAAGGTGACGATGATACTCAGGGCCCTAAGTACGCCCCTAGTTCCCTTCTAGGATTGGATCAATGATCAACAGAAGTTAGATTGTTAGGTTTACGCTAGAAGGGAATACCCTCGCAGCACTTGAGAGTTGCTAGTATCTACGGAGTTAGAGAGAGTACGACTAGTACTGGTCCCCTCCAACCGGGATGTATAGAAGCCCTTGTAAACTCTAGAAGGTCATGGAAACCTTCCAGCCGAACCTTGTAAAGCCTCCAAATCCCCCTCAATCCCCCCAATCCGGCAAGATTATAATCCCTTTGAGTCTTCTTCATGCAGGGGCGCTAAGCGAAGTCTCCTCGACCCCTCAACCTCAACCACCGAGATCATCGCCAAGCCAAGCCGACGTAAGCCATGTCCTCGTTCTAGAAGGTTTGGATGATTCTCTTTCCCTGTCAGCAATCACTTCTCTTCTGCAAGCCATAAGCCCCTCTTCCTTCTTCGGTCCTTCCCCTCTAAATGTGAAATCAAATGACGGAGGAGGGGGGAAACAAGATCAGTGCGCGATTTTTCTGTGACTGGCGTCGTCTTACCCCAGCTAGCGTGGCCCGCTAAACCACCCCTAGCCCGTCTCCGCATATCTGCAAGGGAAAGGAATGGGGTCCCCAGGTTGAAGCACCATAGCCGATCCAATCAGGCTACTTTTCTTCTCCGTCGTCATGGCGTTGGCGTTGGACTGGGATTGGACTGGGATTGTAAAGTTGATAGCGGTTGAGAAGATGCCGAGAGGTGTTGGCGCCAACGTTTTTTGTTTTTGTTTTGGGCTTCGGGAAGCCGAAATACCAATCAAGTATCTCCAACGGAATAAGTAACCCTGTAGGCGCTACGCTCGGGGGTTTTCCCACTTTTTTTTCATGTACGTATTTTTCATCCCATGTGTTTTTCCCAACTCCATAGATTCCTTCTTGCATTATCTTTTTTATTATTTGATTTTTATTCAAAAATACCAGGTGGGACTTGTCGGAAACTGCCGCCCAAATCCCGGGGAGCAAATCACGAAACCTCCGGAAATCTTTGTCTCCGAGGTGCCGCTTCTCCGAATACGCTGCACACTGGACACTGGCCAGCGGTCTGGAATCTGGATATTCTCCACAGAATCCACTCAGTATGGGGCCATGGAGGTGTTGCTTCCCCACCAGAGCTATACTATGAGTCTTGAGATTTGAGGTCGGCTGTTGGGAACTTGGGATCATTCCATCGGCAAAATTCTCACTACTTTGGGTAAATTTAGGTAAATATGGTAGATCAAAGCCTCGGCAGACCCAGCTGGAAGCTTAGTATACATTAGTATACAAATCCCGGACTTGGCTAAAGAAATATCCACCAGCATGGTAGCCCAGTCTAGTCCTGATATAGAACATGGTGCCAGGACTCACTGCAACTTCCCTTCATCTCCTCCAAGGTTGGGAATTTCTCCTTCTTGATTGGCCTAGTGCATGGAAGCCACAATGATGGTGGATACTGAATACGAAGGCTGTAGTAACCTTGGAATTGTGCAATTGCATCGCCACTAGCAGGGACATGATACCGGCCCAACAGCCCACGACCAAAAAGGGATGTGTCGAAAAGACAATATACTACTTGCTAGTATGTAGTATTTACTAGTATGTTTCACGTCTTTCTCCCATTATAATCAATCAACAGATCGACCCCTTCTTTTATTGGTGCTCGATCTTGTTAATCAGAGTGCCGACATGAGGCAGCAGCTCAACGGCAAACTCATCCCCGGCCTTGATGAACTCTTTCGGGTTCTTAGCCGCACCAACTCCGGGCGGGGTACCCGTGAGAATGACGGTCCCGGCAGGCAGGGTCGTACCCTGTGACAAGAAGCTAATCAACTGGGGCACCGAGAAAATGAGATCGGTGAGTGGGCAGGACTCCTGCATGACACGGCCGCTCTTGAGGCCGCGAATCCTGAACTTGCTAGCATCCGGCATTAGGGCCGCAGAGACCAACACGGGACCTGCGTGATTCCAAAAAATATTAGCTGGTGATCGCATATGGAATGAATATCCTTGTATCATACCGATCGGGCATGCGCCGTCGAAACCCTTGGAAAAGGACCACTGGCTTTGGTTCATCTGCGACGTTCGGCTTGACACGTCATTGGCGGCGGTGTAGCCGAGGACATAGCTCAGGGCCTCGGACTCTGGTACATCCTTGGCGTCGCGACCAAGCACAATTACCATCTCCGACTCGTAGTCGCCGGTGTTGTCTTTTTGGGTGATTTTGGGAAGGACAGTCGGTGCGGGCCATGGATCGGCGAGCGAGGTCGAAGGCTTCATGAAGAGGGTCGGCACATCGGGGATGGGGAGGGACATCTCCCTTGCGTGCGAGGCATACTAAGTGAAGAGGCCGAATCAGCATTTTACTTTCTTTTCAATTGTTCATACGCCCGGATATGTTCATGTTCATGTTCATATAGAGCTTGCTATGTGTGTCACTCACGTTCAAGCCAACACAGCGGATGGTTCCGACTTCAGTCTGCGCCAAAGGCGAGAGAATCCGAGAAATCGACTCAATTGACTCGGTAATCGACCCCGGATTCAACATAGATGACCCCGAGAATGGGCGCACTGAGACATCCTTGCCTTGGTACACGGCTAACCCGACATCTAGTTGCGGATCGATCGGCTCGCCGATGAGAACCCTGGCGGGATTGGATTTCGGAACGAAGCGCACCAGGCCTAGAGAAGGTTAATTGCCAATGTATGATTGCGGAAGTTTGAGAAGGTTCTTACGCGAAAATGTCGATGCGATTTTGGACATGATTGTTATGAACAAGAAGAAAGCTCCAGCGAACGCGATTTCTTATCGGAGTATTTCTACCCCGGTACAAGTGTCCCACATTGTGGGGAATGGTGAGTCGGTGACGCAGGAACTCCCACAGTGGGAGAAGCTGTGATAGCACCAGAAGCAGCTTTAGGCTGATCTGGTACCTACAGCGCCAAATTGTTCCATGGATATTGGAGATTCATGCGAATTCATGTTCTTGGATCTCTAGTACAATTGTTTGGTAGATAGTAGTGCTCTCTCCAGGGCTCCTGACCTAACACTGGAACCATCCAGGGCAGTGCTTGAGAACAATATTCAATCCAGTAGTAATCTGTTTTCCACCTCAATCAATAATTAATTGCCCTCTTTCTAAACAGTATACTATACCCGTACACTGGTGCTTTTGTGCTATAGTCGGAGATAAATCGCTGACTGGACTTTCCGCGGCATCACCGCGGGTGACGCATCGAATTTGGAAGTTGGAATCCTTTAAACTCCGCAACTCCGCATCGCTGATCCTTTTCCCTCCGATTCCGTTTCAATAGTAGCTTCAACCTTGCTTCATCTTGACCTTCTCCAAGGCTTCTTCAATTCTCTGAGATTTCAGTCTTTCGCATCCCCTTCCACCATGCGCTAATCTAACCTTGTCGTTGTCTCACCATGGCGCACGCGACGCTTCTCCGGTCTCTACGACCAACCCCCCTCTCCATCCGTCCTCTCCTCCACCGACATGCCCACTCGGGCTATTATCAACCCTTTGTACCACCATCACCAAGCTCACTAGGCAAGCCCCAAGCTGCGAAAACATACACCCGTACCCGCAAATGGCTCCGCCGATTCTTCTACACCTCCATTGCGGGAGGTGTGGTTTACGGCATCGATAACCAATTCTACGCCGCCTCCCTCACGCGCACCTTGCGAACATTCTCCCTTGGCCTTATCGTCGCACTTGATTATAAAATCAATTTCAGACCACATCCGCTCTTTGCTAGCTCTATTGCAGCCGTGCATGCGCGCAACGCGGAGCGCTTATCGGATCTCCTACGTCACAATGGAGGACTCTACCTGAAGATGGGACAGGCGATCGCCATGCAATCCGCCATCTTACCACAGGAGTTCCAGGCAATGTTCTCGCGTATGTTCGACGATGCCCCGCAGAATGATTGGAAGCAGGTCGAGAAGGTCATTCGGGAGGATTTTGGAAAATCCCCGGAAGAGGTCTTTGGGGTATCGTTCTCTGGTGAACCTGGGAAAGGTGTCATGGAGCGCAAGGCTCGTGCCAGTGCCAGTGTTGCTCAGGTTCACTGGGCTCGTCTAGCTGATGGAAGGGAGGTTGCAATCAAGATCCAAAAACAAGAAATCGCACAGCAGTTGGCTTGGGATTTGTGGGCTTTCAAGTGAGTATACCCCATGTCGAGTGAGTCTATACTGAAGCCAAGTACTAATATCATCGCAGAGTCGTGACATATATTTATAGCAATATGTTTGACATCCCCTTCTCAAGCTTGGTTCCTTACATAAGTGAACGCCTGTCACTTGAAACGGATTTCGAGAATGAAGCCACCAACTCCGAGACCATGGCCCGCCTAGTAGCTGGTGAACCTAGACTACGCGACCGAGTTTACATCCCGAAAGTACACCGTGAGCTGAGCTCAAAGCGTGTGATGACTGCGGAATGGATCGAGGGCGTACGTTTATGGGATAAAAATGCCATCACTCGGACCTGGCGCGGTGGCTGGAGACAGGGCAGCCCAGGGTGCCACGGCACTCCCTTGGACCAACCGAATGCCATCCAGCACCAAAACCACCAGGCTGGGCAACTCAAGCCAGATCGGAATTACTGGAGGGGACCGAGTAATAGAGGCGGGCTGGGCCTGTCTGTAAAGGATGTTATGACGACGATGGTTGATCTGTTCTCCGCCCAGATGTTCCTGTGGGGGTGGGTGCATTGCGATCCCCATCCTGGAAACATCTTCATCCGCCGCAAGCCATCCGGAAAGCCAGAATTAGTCCTCATTGACCACGGCCTGTACATTCACATGGACCCCGACTTCCGACACCAGTACGCTCGGTTTTGGAAGGCCCTTTTAACCTTTGACAATAAGACACTCAGTGAGGTCGCCGAACAATGGGGTGTTAAGAACCCGGACATGTTTGCTTCTGCAACCTTGATGCGTCCTTATCGTGGAGGCGACATGTCAACACAGCGTGGTATCCAGGGACTCACCAAATCCCAGATCCAAGAACGCCACTATGAAATGCAGCAGGCAGCCCGCAAGGCGATCCGCGAGATTCTCGGCGATGAACAAAAATGGCCACAGGAGCTCATCTTCATCGGTCGAAACCTCCGCATCGTCCAGGGAAACAACCAGTACCTTGGATCGCCTGTGAATCGCCTCAAGATCACAGCGATTTGGGCTTCACGGGCGCTTGTGGAGTCACCCGATTTGCCATTGTTGGAGAAGGTCCGCAATCTTGGTCAACATGTTGTTTTCCGTTTGGTCCTTTTCAGCAGCGATGTTTTCTTCTATTTCACCAAGGTTCGGCAGTTCCTACACCTCGGTGGAGGCATGGAAGATGACATCGAGGCCCAGATGCAGGGCATGGCTAAAGAGATGGGCGTGGAGCTTAATCACAGCGTTTTCGAGGGATAGACCATACTAGAAGACGACAAAAAAGACTTCTCTCTACTTCATATCGTGTAATTTAAGACAAGACCAAAACACTGGTCACTATTGCTCCTTAATTATTCCAGGCGCCACTGTAACTTGACAAAGAACCTCGATCATCCCCGCATGGCGTTGAATAGCTGATTGGACGGTATCACCCTCGCTGCAAATATCAATCCCATTCCAAGCGCGACCACAGCTGTAAGCGCAGTGAGAAGTCCCAACCGCGCCAAAGTCTCAACCCCCGGCCTCTCAAACTTGGTTGTCCGTCTCTGTCCCAACCGCGTAGTCCGCGCCAGCGTCGGCACATACTTGAAATCGAACCTCGATTCCCGCCCAAGGCCAATCTTCTCATCCAGAATCATCTTATAGAAGTATTTGCGGCGCAACTAAACCATTCTGTCGTTAGCAATCAATAGACCCCAAACAGATCCCAACACAAAAATCCAGACAAAAAAGCTTTGGCAAAGACCATACATACCGAAATCATCAAGCGATCCATAAAATAAATCTTCGGAATAACATACGAAACCCCAGAGACCCAAAAACAATACCCCCAAATAAGGACCCGATAATAAAGACTCGATCTCGGAATCTCCAACTCATCCGAAAGCTGATCCCCATTCAACAACCGACTCATAGCCTCCATAAACTCCTTAGAAGCATACGCCGGCGCCGTATTCTCCAGTCCCAAAATAATATTCTTCGCCAACACCCGCCCGATCTCCGTGGGATCAATCTCCGAAATCAACAACGATTCCATCATCGCGTGAGCCTGTCGCGTATTCGAAAACGGCTCCGTCGGCGTACCCATGTACCACGCCACAAGCCGCCAGAGCGCAATGTAGTCTTCGATCTCCTGCGTGCTGAGGAAGATGCCTTGGCGCGGGAGGCCGAGCCAGACGACCGAGCTGCAGAACGTGTTTATGGTGCCTATGCAGTCGAGGTCGTTTACGGGGGTGCCGTATTGTTGGACGTCGTAGTAGTCTGCTTTTTGGTCGACGAGGCTTAGGATTCGGAGGCGGACCATGGAGTGGAGGAGGCGGACGCGGACGGAGGATATGTTGCCCTCGCCGCCTGGTTTCATGCCTTCGGCTGAGCTGTTGACTTGGAGGACGTGCTGGAGGGTTTCGAGGAGGCGGCGGCGGACGACTTTTGCGCCGAAGCCGCCTGTTCGGGCGAGGGTTTCGACGACGCGGGTTGCGCCCCTGTGATGATTAGGGTAAGTATATGCATTTCTGTGAGTTTGTCACTAGAGTCTTTGGGATAGAGTAGACTTACATCCCGCCTAGAAGGCTTTCGAAGCTGAGCTGTGGGAGTTGTAAGTTTGTGCTTGCTCATGATGATAGAACTACTAGTATAGACGCAACTTACCACGTTCAGGATCGGGAGCCCATATCGAAAGAAGACATCCTGTCCTCTCTGGATCTGCTTCCAATCTACCCATTCAGGGGTTGTGTTTACCTGTGCCCATAGTTCCTGGAGCTTCGGGTTCTCATCCGCGTGGTCCTTTAGCAGTGTATAAAAGTCCTTGTGGAACGGCTTGTCCGCGTCCCCGTCCGTGGGGATCTTATTCAGTATCTCGACACACTCATCGGCCAAGGTATCACAGGTATAAGCCATGGGCCGGAGTTCCTCTTCAGAGCGATGAAGATCGGACCAGTGGAACGAGTAACCCCAGTAGTGATATTCGGTCGTATTGCCGTGCTTAGTAGGGGCTTTCATCGTCATTGTATATGCTATTGTAAGTACTCAGATAAAACAAGTAAAGTTGATAAAAATTCTCTTCTTCTTTCTATATCGATGTGAGGTTCTGATATTCATGATTTATATGATATAGGTGATGATTTGAGGTTTTGTTCGTTTCCTGTATTATCCAGAGCAATAGTACCGTGGTCCGTGGTCCGGGGTCAAGAGGGGTTAATGGTTTCCCTTTACATGTGAACCCGCTCTCTTCAGTGATCGTCGCTCTCCCTTCACAAAAACGTTATGGCTCGTTATTTGCCGATTGGTTCAGGTGTAATTGCCATTTGCTTCCCCAGATAACCGAGCGTGACTGGAAAATCATCACATGCAGCTGACCCCTGTGTATACGTTGCGTATACGAACACACCACCCTCGAATCATGGAGAAATGTCTCGTGAATTGACATGGAGATTATCATGTCTGTTGGCTCTAAATATCTTGTGAATATGTTAGAGTAGGTATGATGAGAAATATTATCAATATTGGTTTAGAGAAGTTGAAACCCCAACGAATGCCACAAGCACAGGCTATCAGAGGCAACCTTGGAACAAAGTCACAGTTTCGGTGTTGGTCTTGATTAGCTCCTGGATGTTCACTGAACGGGGACATTCTGAGATAATGTTTTTCGGCTTTCTAATTCCAAGGCTTGGCACTTTTCACCTGAGAATGTGATTTCCTTTTCTCCCTGACAGCTAACCAGAGCATGTCGCGTACTCGAAATCCTGCAGTGGTACCAGTACCCTTTTACCTTGTAGCCTGTGATAGCGGGTGACATACCATGTACCTACTGTTGGCCAAATTCAGGCTCCCCATTGATTAATATTGATTTAATACCATGAATTCTCCTACTCTATTAAATAGTATTCAACAAACCATCATAGGTCTCATCGCTTCATTAAACACCGTAGATGCATTGGTTGTTCTCTATAATTTATCGGAAGTAGCGCGTGTCTTCCGCTTCTTATTTGTGCGACCTGTGCCCTTGCCCGTTTGAGTCGATGTGCCTTTCTCCTGTGTGGGCGCGGATGTGGTGTTGGCCTCATCCTCCATTGGCTCGCTAGCAGAGGGATCCTGGGCTATCTGAGCTTGTCTTTGAAGGCGGCCAAATGCCTTTTCCATGCGACTCACACCGCCACTGCGGACTCGAGGGGCAAATGCTCCGGCACCTTGAGGTCCCTGCATGAACTGGGTAATGTTCGACTGGGTACCTTCTTCCCCCCTGCGATTCATATCTCGAATCACGGGCACCAGTACTTCGTCTGTTCGCTCAGGACTCCACCCAATTGTCGACATGAGAAATCCTCTCAGTCCGTTCAAGTCTGGTACACCCCACTGGAACTGCGAGGGATCCGAGTCAACCTCCGGCTCAAGATAGGCAGCCTCTACTCGTTCATCGGGAAATGAAGGAGGCAAGAAAATCTTTGACGCCTTCTTTCGAAATTTTTTCCGGAAGGCCACGTGCTTGTCATCTGGGTTGTTTACACCCATCTGAAGCTCTGACCACCAGTCTCGGAATTCTTCGAGACTTGAGAACTCGGTGATCAACTCGAGTGCAGTCACAGGTCCAATACCGGGGATTCCCTCGGTATAATCACTTCCCAAGAGATGGGCGAAGCTTATCAGCTTCTTGCGATGTAGAGAATATTCTTTTTCAAAGTCGGAGGTCAAATAACATTCGACATATTTGCTTTGGTTGAACATGTTCTTGTAGACTCGAGTTCCACCAAAGAGAAACGTATCACTGTCGTCTGTAACGATACCATCCACAAGTCCCAAAGATACTAGCTCAGCGCACTGGGCTTCAGCCTCCATGGGAGCTGTAATATAGGGCAATCCAAAGAGTTTGAGTAACTGCTGACACTCGTTTATCATGATGGTAGTAACCTCGTCTGCATCACGCCGATCTTTCTGTTGCTGGTTCCGTAGCTGCTTGAGCTCTTCCTCATAGTCGAGTGCGGTTTGAATGGGTGCCGCCGAGTTCAAAGTCTGAGCAAACCGCGCATGCTCTTCGGATTCCTCGGCGAGCTGTTGCATCAGCTCTTCGTCTTCGGGGTCGCTGAACTCGCCCTCATATTCCATGGTTGGTTCATTGTTGATAAGTTCTTCCGGTAGCTCGACGCGCTGGTTGGGAACTGTGGCGCGGGAGACCACAGTAATTTCGGGTGCTGGTAGGGGTGCCAAAACATCTTCAAACTCTGGCTCCGGTGAATCTTCAGGCCGTGTGGCTTGCGAATGTTGCCCTTTGTCAAGTATTTCTTCCCTTGGTGGTAAAGGCTCGTGTTGAGACTCTTTCTGCACATCGACAGAGCTTGGGAATGGAGAATTTACAGTTTCAAATACTGGCTCCAGTGACGACTCTGTGGTTGGGTTGTGATCGGGACCGACTTCCCTTTCCTCCTCTAATCTTGACTCTACATTTGAGCCCACATCGGCAACCTCTGGATTCAAAATCTCAGCAGTTTCAGAGCTAGGTTTTAACTCTATAAAATTTGAGTCTGTAACGGGTTCATCCTCTGGGTCTTCATCCAATTCAACCACTTCTTTGGTGTCGGACATCTCATCGACATCTATAACCTCCGCTGGGCGGCGGTTGGAGAGGAAGAGGTGATCGGGATCTTCTGGCTCCTTGTAGTCTTCAGGATCCTCAAAGGTCGGATCCACAATGAATTCCTCATTCAATTTCGCACCCGCGAACCACGGCGGTAGAGGCCCTCCCTTGGCCTTTTTGCTTGACTCTTTCATGAAACCACCTTCATTGTCGTCAATTTGGAGGGGCTTGTCATCTTTAACGACCTTGGTGAGTTTGATTGACTCGAAAGGAAGAGGCCCATCGAACGGATTCTGTGGTCGAGGTTTGTTCGTAGAAACTTTGGTTTGTGCAACTGCAGCCGCAAAGTCCATGCCATCGTCGTCACTTTCACTAAGATTGGGATCTGGCATAGCTTCGGTGTGCGTCATTGTGGTCATGGGCCGATTGATTTGAATATCAGGCATGTCATCATCATGGTCATCGTTAGGCTGCATAGACAGTGATATAGCTTTTTGGAGTTCCTCGTCTTCTTCATCGTCAAAGTAGCTGTCGGTCTTGTCATTTCGATTCTGCGGAAGGAGAGGCCCCTCGCTTGGTACGAAAAGAGAGTTGTCATCAACTTCTTCTCTTCGAGATTCATGCGTAGCCCTTCTCATGTCAGACTCTTCTCGTGATTGTTGGAGCGATGAGTCAAAGACACCTTGTTGGAGAAATGGTAGCTTAGGCAGGCGATTGAGACCCTCGATTGGCACATCTTCAAACTCTTCATCAGACTCGTCAGAGCCAGATGGTAAATCAGGCAAGCCAATTTGATCTACATCAATCGGTTTGTCCTCGTGTCCCTCATTCTTATTCCCCACCACGCCAAGAACCCAGCCTCCTTCATGCTGGCTATCCTTGACCAGGACATATTCTCTGCCACGTTCGCCCGCGATACGCTGACCAGATTTGTAAAATGCCTCTTCTCCGTTCATGCCGTTTATATTCATAAGTCGTTGTGTCAGGTCATTGCGTTCTGTCACTCGTTCAATTTGAAACTTAGAGAAATCCATGCGATTTGGGAACATGACGTCCAGCTGATCCTTGGAATAACCCATTCTCAGTCTGCTTCGTAGTCTGGCTGCATTCAGGATATTATAACGATCTGTGGGCGGTAGACTGAGGAAGAAAGCACTGTCAAAGTCAATTTTGGAGAAATCATAGAGATTAATATCTTGGCCCTGGTGGAAGTGTCGCGCATATTCCTCCAGCTCTTCTTGCGACATAATTCGAGGGTCGTTCGGTGCGCCCATATCCTCCAGCGAGATATCCAAGTTCGGTAGGTGATAGGCATCCTTCTTCTTAAAGCTCCGGTTATTCTGCCTTTCCTTTTCAGTCAACATGGCCTCTTCAGCATACACCGGGGCACCAATTTCTTCTTCCTCGTCTCCACGGACGCGCTTTTTGCTTTGTTTTCGAGCCTCGGCTTCTTCTTCGGCGATTCTCAACATTTGGACCGCGAGTAACTTCCCGGCGGTTCTAGATGCATCTTCTCTTCGCCCCTCACGCCTTCTTTTCCGCTTGTTGATCGTCTCGCGCTTGAGAATTGGGGCACCTCCATCGAAGACAAAGACGGGGCGAATGCCGACATATAGAAGCTTGCAAATCCGGCGAAAGAATCCAACAATATGAGAGTTTCGTAACGCATTTCCTTCTTTGTCGCGTACTGCTTTCAAAAACTGGTAAATCCAAATCGACGCGTCGACGGCCAGTCGCTTCTTGTTGAGGGTTTCGAGTTTGATAGGTCGGGCGCAAGGCTGCACAACTGTCCAGAGCCCGGTAACACCCATTATAGCGATATGCGGCGCTCATTCAATCAGGCCGGAGTGATTGAAGTGAGCGTTGGCTCACGGGAAGATTGGCAAGCAACTCATGGAGTTGGAGATGATGATGCCATCGGTCGCAGGATCCACCTTAGTACGCGTGTGGGGCGGCGCGCGATCACGTGCATTCCTAATTTGGCAAGATTTCATCTCAGAGTTGACCATTCAAATGTTAGGTCTTGACTCTTGATTTTCATCAAACTATGTTCTTTTGGGAGGAAAGCAAACCAGCTGGCGAGTCTTAATTGACATTTCGGAAACGCATGCGGGCTTTATACATAGTAGTAGTATGTATCGACTGGTATCTTACGGATCAAAATTCCCGAATCCTATCAATTCAATGCACGTGTGGTGATATATGTTAACGAAACATTTGAACATACATACATGCTGGTATGTACTATAGCCCTGGAGCCCTCAGTGTTACCTTCTACCTATTGATTCAGTGCTTACCTTCAAACATTTGAATGTTGCACAGAATCATCTGGACTGTGTATATTATGTAATCAATGGATGCAGCCCTGAGGTCCACTGTCCCTACTGGTAAGTAGTCAACTCCCTGCTATCCAGACCAGTAGGTACTAACATTTGAAGTGCTAGGTACACAACAGGGTTGGAAGGAACGGCATTGGTTCAATGAAAGATTCAGAAAATCTCTAACTTGAGAATCACGTGAACTGCGGTAGGGATCATGGTATGTATTGAAATTGATATCAAACGTCATTCTCATATTTGAATACTTAGTCCAGCCCCAAAGATAAGAGGCCGATTTCTAGCCTCAAGTCTTAATTATTGGGCATAATCAAACGCCATTCCACGGCACTTCAGCCAAAGAGAACGAACAATTTCCAGCGATGGCGACCTTGCACCTCTGGCAACAACAAGCGACTCCAAGAACCGAGACTTGTCTTGTGGGGAGAGAACGGGTGATTGCTGCCCATGAGCATCGGTGGTCTGTGCATCTAGGGCATTAAGAGCACTCGTAAGAGTTGGCCGCGCGAGAGCCATTTTCTTGAAAATGGTTCGCCGAAGAACGTCATTTAAGAAGGTTAGATCTGACCTTGCACATCGGCCGGCAATCTGTCTGATCAACGTCTCACACAAAGATGGAATGAAACGCTCCAAAACTTGGTCGAGAGCCATGGTATCCTCAGGGGATCCACCACGCAATTCTAGCATGGCTACCCAGAAGGCCGACCCTGAACGAAGCACGAGAGGTTCCGGGCGAGTCAAAGCGTGGAGAGTGAAATTAAGTAAGAGGGCAAAGGTTGGTGTGCCTTGTGAGGTAGAACCAACACTGGAAGGAAGTGGCTCTGTGAGCGAGAACAGAATGGCGTAATATTTCGGCAAAAGGCGCGTGAGGAAATCGATTCCGGCATTGGCAGTTTCTGGATCATAAACATCAGGATTGTCAAGCATAGAAGCAAACAACTGCGACACATGGACAATCAATTCCACGGCCTGGTCCCGAATTTGCATTGCATGGGAGCCGTGCGAGGCAAGGAACGATGATGCCGTGGCCATGATGACATCTGTGCCTGAGATCCCAAGTGGGAAGCTTTTGATAAAGTCGACTGTCAACGATGGAGGGAAAACGAAAAGACCAGATGATTCAGTGTAGCCGGCCTTAAGAATATCACAAGCTGAATCGATTATGCCACTATCGACAGGGAAATCCACAATGAGAAGTCGCATCGCCTCCATTATTAGCTGTTGCGCTGGAGATCCAGGCCCCGCATTCCAAAATGATGGAGGATATGGATTTTGCTCTTGTGCTGCATCGACGTTGATAACCTCTTCGCCATCAGACCGAAGGCCCTTCCCGATACTGGCAATGCAACTCAAGATAAGATGACCATGGGCCTGGGCGATGTCGCATGTAGAGCCAGCTGCTTCATCCCGGGCTTTGTTGGCCTCCTGGACGAAAAATCCTAGAATTCTCTCTAATGTTTGTACTTTTTCTTGATCTGAATCTAACTTCTGTATGATTGTCGCGATTCCTTCAAGAACCTTTGGCATGGTAGAAACAGTTGCCGTCGGCTTTGTACGGAACTGATCTAATCGATCAAGGAAAATGGGGAGCTCTGTAGTCAGCATTCGAGAGCATGACTTTGAAAGTGTCAAAATGGACCGGGAAGCCGGCTGAGCACACGACTCGAAATTCAAGGATTCAAAGAGGATGTTAAGGACACTTGGCAGAAGGAAACTGTGGCGTTCAAAATATGACTCGTATTTACCGAAGGAGTCAACAAGTGTTTGGCGTGCCTTGAGGGGGATTCCAGTCTCACCACCAAGGCACAGTTGTGCAAAGGCGTCACTTCCAAAAATGGAGTCCAGGCACTGGTCTGCATGGCCATTTTCGTCAACGGCCTCGGATAATTGGGCAAGACAGAACATGGCTGCTTCGAAGCCTCGCCAATCAAGCTTTTGGAGGTTATTTGTTGCACTCTCCTGGAAGACGTTGACAAGTTCAATACCCAAAATCGGATATGCCGAAAGCAGGTAGTCACAGGCTTCGTGACGAAACGCATTGAATTCGCTCCGCTCGTCATCGCCCCAGTCCGCTAGATCACTAGGGTTGGGATAAAGTAGCTTGTTGAACATTCCTAGGACAACTTCCGCCATTTGAGCCTTGACTATTTGGTACCGGGAATCGGCAGAATCCAATGTGTCCGGAAGGCACTCGGCAATCTCACCCCAATACTCCAAGGCGCGGGTTGTGGCTGATTCATCAATGGCAGCGTAGCCTGGTGTTTTGAAAATATTATGCAAGATGGCAAGTATTTGGGTGTTATGAGGTTTCATTGGATCGCTGAAAAGGTCGAAATTGACGTGTGAGACATATGCGACTAACAGGTCAACGAAGGTCATACTATCAGTGTCATCGTTTTCGTCGGCGATTGCAAGGAGGTGTTTTGTGACGATCGAGTCAGAAAGAATTTGAGATATGGTAAAGATGGAATGGGTATCGAAGGCCCAGGTGCGGGTCTCGAGGGCTGAAGTCAATACAGTTGCTGCACTTTCGCTAAAAGTTGGTAATCGGAGCGCCTCAATGATATCATGACCACATGAAACAGCGAGGGTCTGGGTTTGTTTGTCACTTGAATGGCGATGATTTCCATAGACACTAAGCCAAGCCTTCAAATAGCAAATCAGAAATCAGCTGCGTTCCAAACAACTTAATAGATTCAGACAAAATCTTACCTTCCAGGATGCCATGGCCTCATTTCCCAAAGTAGGTTCCATAGATCCACTGCCAGCTTGAGAGGCGTGATATGTGATCTGGCGGATGAGGTATTGGACTAACAAGAAGGCATCGTCAATGTTTGCCACCACCCTTTGAATGGCCGATCCGACCAAGTCATGAGGCTCAGCTTCAAGACGCAGAGCTTCCTCAGCCAATGCGACCGAAAAGAATACTAGAGCTTTAGCTTTCTGGGGATTGAGGACTGGGAGGACTCCATTCAGGAATTCTACTGTCTGCGAGTCTGCTTCAGATACGTATCCGCCATGCGCCAGACTTGCGGCTAATTGCCATAGTGCTCTTTTCCAGGAGCTCGCAGAGTTTCGGAAGACAGCAACCAGACTAGAAGCAAGCTTTCTAACAACCATTGTCTGTTCTTCCTCATTCACAATCGTGATAAAATGATTGATTAGACGTTCCAGAATTTGCCAGGTCATAGATTCCTCAATATCACTCCTATTTTCGTGGAAGATTTAGCCAAAAAGTGTCAAATATGTTAAAGCTTGAGGACGACTCAGGCGTCATATGGGAAAACTTACCCCGATACATTGATTTTGACTGTGAAAGTCAAAGCTCCCATAAATCGATGATGCATAGAGCGTTGATGTAAAAGAAAGTCGGCAATTTCCCAGGCCTGGTCACTTTTCTGTAATTGTTGTAACCGGGTTTGTATTTCATTTATCCTGGTTGGATTGCGCTGGTTTGCGGGATCATAAAGTTGGGTTACCAACTGCCGACGGTTAGCATTCATGCCAAAACAAAATAGTGGATCAGGTCATTTACCGTGTGAGCTTCCATTATGGGCTCTGTGGGAGCAGGGCCCATGTTTTGGTTACGCGTCGCCATGGCTGAGGTAGAAAAGAAGAAAGTGGGATGCGATAGACTAAATGTATACAACGCTTATCATCACGTGGAGATATGAAGATTATTCATGAATCATGGGAGCCACAGCCAATCACATCGGTACAAAATATTCTAAGGTTGTTAGTAGTCACCGATATTCTAATGAGTATATATGAGTTCAGTAGATGAGGATGCAATGGTCGTTTCTAGGACTTGTGGTGCTGAACGCACAAACTCATTCATACATGCACTTAACATCGAAATTTTCACATGTAGACCCTGGGTCCATACTAATTCTTCCAAGGTAGGTTCCAAAGTTGTGTTCGCACGCAGATGCAAGAGCCTCTTAACTCTTTGTTTGGGAACTCCACATTCAGGTTCTCTATTTTAATCTCCCCTTACCATCAAATGGTTCGCAAACTCCGACCTCAATCATCCATGCAATCAGATAGATTCAGCTGTTCGCTGGAACAACCGATCAATGAGTCTTCTTTCCTTCAAGAACAGAGTCGGCCTTGACGTGTTCATCACTGGATACATTAAGCTTGTCAATGTGGTCAAGTGGGAGACGTAGGAAATCATGCTTATTTTTCCACGTTACTTGACTCTCTGCGAAGCCTTCGCTTTCAACAGGAGATGGCGGTGGATCGGTAATCTTGGTGACAAGGTATGCAGTAGATGCTTCAGCAACACCGTACATGACGACACCAATGAAGGGAGTCTTCAAAACCACGGTAAAGGCAAACGAAAAGCCGAACAAAACACCCTCGCGATCGCGGAACCAGCGACTCTTCTGCTCTGGAGTGAACTTGATTCGACGGAAGTACGGTTCGAGCTAGATATTTCGGTTAGCTAGTATTCCAGCCATTTCATTGATCACTCAATACTCACAAGTTCACGCATCAGACTTCGAGATGCAAAGTAGGTGTGGAGGAATTGAACAATGTATGTCTTAGGCAGGACCAGGCCAGTGCCAAATATGACAACAGCCGGAGCCGTGCCGACATGCGTTTTGAAGGTATAGAAACTGGCCGCTGGCAACACAAAGCGACCAATGATAGGGAGCATAGACAGGACATACACACCCAATCCGAGCGCAATTTTCTTGCCATAGCGATTGGCAAATTTCATAAAGATCTCCATCTTGGGACGTGACTGGCGAGGGCCTCCCTTAGCTGGAAAAAGATCCAGGTTGGGGTAGTACATGGCACGCAAAGTATTGGGATCCTCGGATTTGTGTTTTTGGGCGTATGTGGTGTCTACCCAGTGGATGGATTGCATAAAACTTGAGCGGAGTCAGTATTTGCTTTAACTAATGCCACTGTTAGAACCTTGGAGCCTTACATCTCATCGAGAGTTGGTGTCAGATGACCCATCAAGGTCATCAACAGGAACGGGACTTGGAGCACTGATTTGGATAAGAAGGCCAGGCCTTTGAGAAGATCATCGTCCCATGTTACGCTTTCCAGGTCGATTACCCAAGAGATAAGGTATAAAATGAACTTCAAGCCGATTATCTTCAAATGATATGTTAGAAAAGCTTTAATCAAGGACCACTAATAAGTATATTTCCAAAATTCACATACCGGAATTTGAATAATGAGCTGGATGACAATACCAACTGCAACTGCTATAGCTGCTTGACGAAAGTGCTCATGCTTGAACAGATCAGGGTTCTGCAAAGCGCGGACAGCTGCATTGAATAGTAGTCAGCCTCTAAGAACGCTGTCGCCTAGTTGTATTCGCAATTTCCAGCTAGCTGCTATGGTGGGCCCTCGATCGAGCAACACGCAACCCAAGGCTCCACACAAAAGTTGTCTATGAGCCGGGAGTTCCGCAATGGATGCGGGTTCAAATTTTGAGAGCTGGATTTGCACAAAACGAGCGCGGGAAACATACTTCCTACCACGGTGAGCTGGAAGCCGCGAATAACGGCATTGGGCTCGAAATTCGACATGATCGAGCCCGATTGAAATCTCCCAACAGCGGCGACTTGTTCTGGTGAGTATTTTGATGTTGCAAATGTTCAAACGCGAAATGAAAGAGGATGAAGCACAAATCGCTAGGCATACGCCATTTATAAAGCTGGCGCTGCGTCATGTCACATGTGTGCTTATGGCCTGAGGCACTAAGATGAGGCCCTCCCCACGCAAAAAGGCACGCGCCCATTGCGCCGATAACGATTCCTCAACCATCAATGCGTTCACCTCACGGTGGTATCGTTTTGTCCACCCATGATAATGCCCGAGCCTCAGAGTGAGTCCTTGGGTGAGGTACATTCTATCCGGCGCTCAGTTACTTTTCCCACGAAGTTAATCCCGAAGTCGACACGCGGTTCCGCTGCACCAAATCCCACTGGCGCAGAGAACGTCATTTTCTATCATCCTTCTGCGAAGATAGTCCTCTTTGCTCCGAGAGCTCTGGCCCCAATCCCGTCAAGCTCCGCGCCTACCGATTTTGATTATCCCGTCGATACCATCGAGACACACCCCTGGCGCTCCGCGACGGAACGAACCGTCGCAACTGCGCCACTGAGACTCGAGAAGGTCCATGGGCTGACCGTGTTCCTGAAATGCGGGGATGTCGTCCATGCGATTCTAAAGAACTCTCAGTGCTGGTGCGTCGATGGAGTTTCGAAATTTGTCTTGCGCATTCGCCCTCTCACATATTATCGCATCGAAATACCCAATGAAACACACGAGGATAAAAGGCTGGTGGAGGATTTGAAGATCGCGTTGCCAACAGTACTTCGATATGAAGTCACGCCATGTCCTTTCAAGCGAGAGTTCACTGTTGAGCTGCCCGAGGAAGCCATGGCACCTCGTCGCAAGAAAGCCTGGCGGCCCAAAGGCCCCAAAGGCCGGAAGGAGGGAGTGGCGGCGTTATCCGGGAGCGACCAAGGCTCTCCTGTAGAGACCAAGCCAGAATGGCTAGATTCTGCCAGTACTGGCGAAGACACTGACGGGGCCGCAACCGATGACAGTGCAGTTACCCCTGAGCAGTCTGGCGGCGCAACCTCTGAAGTTTTACCAGCGCATGACCTATCGGCCTCTCTGGCCATATCCGAGTTTACTCCGCAGCCGATTTCAATGAGAAGATCGGTTACCGAGACACCGCAGACATTTAGTACCCTACGAGCAAAGTTTGATGTTCCTCAGGCCTCAGAGGAACAGCCCCTTGAGTCTGCGCCTGAAATTCGGTCTGATCTTGATCTTGATTCTGCACCTGAAAAGTCATTGAATGAATCTGCCCTCATATCTATGCCTGCAGTTGAGCCTGTATCTGCAGTTGAGCCTGGACCTGCAGTTGAGCTTGTGCCTGCAGTTGAGTCTGTGGTTGAATCCGAGCCTGCGTCAGCGCTCACTCAAACCTCCACAGGGTTAGTTCAGTCTGACATGCCCATACCCCCAAAGGCTTTGGGAGTAGAGCCAGAGTCCACTTTGCCGACCCGAGAAAAGAATGAGCCCACGCAGGTGGCCACTCAAGAAGCGCTATATGTTAAGACAGAAGAAGAAGATATCGAAATTCCGTCGGTCTACGCCGAGTATGAATCGACCGATGTCGAACCAGAGCTAATACAAAAGGCAAATGTGCCTAGCGAGCCAATAATTGAGGACAACGGAGTTTTGTCACGAGAAAACAATGAGCCCGCGAATGCGAGAACCAATAAGCAACAGGCATTTGGTACCGAAGGAATTTCCGAGCCCAATGCCCTAGGTTTTACAAATATCAACAGTGAATCGGCGGAGGTCGAAGGGACGCACGTTTCTTATGAAGTCGAGACCAAGGATGATGACAAAGTCGCCGACCCTATTCTTATTGAAGCCCTGTCCACTGGACCCAAAGTGGCCGATAGCAACAGTCAACTTTGGCCCCAAACATCCAATAATGACCCAGAAGATGACAGCGTTTCCACGGAGGCTGAAAATCATCACAAACCCTCGTTCTCGTCCACGCCTGAATCTTTCCATTCGGCAGAGCCTCACTCGCCATCTGACTCTATTTCCACCCATGCCACGTCATTGGGATCTCCTAGTACAAAGCAAAAATATAAAACGGCCTTTGATCAAGATCTGTCGTCGCTCGATCCGACCACGAAACCACTAGTGTCTGATACTGCCGCCGACACCTCATTCTCTAATGTGAAAAAATCGTTGAATGAGAATGCCACCAATTTTGGTAACGATTCAATGACTCGAGAGAATTCACTACAGCCTTCAGTGGTCATTGCATCAAACTCAGGCAAATCCACTGCAAAGGCCTCACCACCATCAGATCTCTCACATATGAGTGCCGAGTTTCGTCGTCGAGCACAGGCGACCAGACAACGCGATGTCTCTCCAATGCCAGCCCCTTCTGCTATATATCAGCCGACTACTGGTGAAGAGGCTACTTCTTTAATTTCCAAAGCGCTGGCTCTCGTGTTGGTACCACCGATTCATCTTTTTATAGTTTTACTCCATATCGCGGCACGCATCGTTATCAACCCATCTATGAACTCAACCAGACCTGGAGCTCAATCTAGACCGCAGTTGTCTTCAAGATCTTCTTCTAAAGAGGATGACTTCAGCTTCCCTTTAGAGCGTGAACCCTCCTCTGAATACGAAGATGCCGAAATGACGAAGAGACTAGATCCGTGGGACCTTGACTAAGTTGGTTTGGTTTTATGGCCATTAACCACCCAATACCTCTAATACCTCTCTTTCTTCTTTGTGATTTTTGCACAATTATACCATTTAATACTCCCTTTCCCCACATGTCACATCACGACGTCATTTTTGTTTATGATTATCTCAACATCGGCCTGTATGATTCACGGGTTTAACTAGGGGCAAGGTGCCGATGACATTTTGTATACTAGCGCTGCATACTACTAATACGAGACTATGGGTCTATTATAATTTCTGATGGAGGTCTACTAGTAATGTTCAATGTTGTGTCTATGATGCTAGTAAGTGGCTCTGGCCTACTCCAAGTTGTATTCAGTAGCCGTGCAGACCACACTCACAGTCCCACCGTGCTGCGGAAAAAAGTCGCCCAAGTCTTACGTTCTCGAATGCTCTTACTTACTAGTAATTCGCAGATGTTGGCAATCATGTTACGGAAGTATTGAAAACTCTAACCATATTACATCAATAGAAATAGAGAGAGGATTTGTACCAACAGGAAAGGCTAATGCTGTTCGTTTGATGAAGGGATACATACAAAATGAGCCCATGGTACAAGAAAACAAAACAAAATCAATATATAGAGAGGTATCCCAAAAACGCCACAAGTGCCAACTTCACCCCGCCGCTCTCCATGCTTGCAGACAAAAATATGCCCAATGGCGGCTTTTTCCGGTGACACCGGATTCAAGTCAAGAATAGATCTAGTTTGAGTGGATCTTCTTAATACGCATGCCGCCTTCATAGAAGCCTCGGTCCAGAGCAGCAGCAACTGTGAGGGTGCCTCCAATGATAGCGCAGACACCAGTCAAGAAGCCGGTAAAAGTCTTAGGGCGAGTCTCACGGTTGATCACCTTCATGGGAGAGATATCATAGTTGAAGAACACACCGGGGATACCACCAGCAGCGTGCATACGCTCCTCGTGTCCATCGGCAGCATCATTTCCACCCTTCAGGGAACGCTTGTGTGAGGTAACAGAGTACTCGTGGGCCTCGATGCTACCATGTGAGCCATAAGCAAGTCCGTGGCTACCAAGGGGGGCCTTGTCATAGGCACTGTGAATGGCAGTCGAGAATGTCGGGTCCCAGCCCAGGGGCAGGTAAGATGTCGAAACAATCTTCAGGAAATACATGAAGTTGTAATCGGGCGCATCAGTGCTCTGGGAGGTACCGTCGAGCGGGTTGATATGGTGATCCTCGGTCCATTGCCAACGCTCGGAAAGCTCAACGGGGAGCTGGGGACCGAAGCGGAGCTCGTGGATCTCGTGTGCCATTGTGTGCACGTTCTCGGGGGCGGATTGACTGTCCAGGTAGTAGTTCTCCAAATCGTGGGCGTGCATGTTCATGTTTGTGAAACTGCGGCCAGGCGCAATGTGGAAGTTGCCGACAACCTTGTTGACGCGGAGCACACCTTCAATGCGACATCCTTCGCGGCGCTGGGCCGTCAGCTTCTCGCCATATCCTTCCCGGGTGCACTGCTCCACGTTCTCTCCGATACCGAAAGCCCACGACTTCGACGCGTAGGCTTCACGCACTTCATCGCAGGTGTTACAGCAGCCTGCCTTGACTGCTTTCTCGGGAGCGGGTGCTCCATAGCACTCACCACAGTAGTCAGGATCCAGATGTGTGGCGGCATCGGCGGGGGAGTGTCTATTTTGTGAGTAAGTCGGGTGTTTCAGTGACATCAGGCGGGTTTTTCGAGGGCCGGATTGAAACTTACAGGTCCAAAGATTGGATATCAATGACCTTGCCTCCCTCCGAAGCAGCGGCCAGGCGCACCTTGTTCACGCCATGCGCCACGCCTACTTGCTGCTCTCCAGACACATCCATGACATCCAAAGTCAGAAGCTGGCATGGCAACCGGGGGAAAGTCATGTTCAAATGAATTTCCATTCTCTCGCCTATCCGTATAGATATCCAATGTCAGTCACCCAAGCATGAGCTCCAATGGCGGGTATTTGTTTCTCATACCTCTCGACTTATCGACGATCAGTTCCGGGTGCACGACCACACGGCGGTAGTCGGCCCATTCTCCCCATACTAGCCACAAGACCACTAGTAGTGAGGCAATTGTGATCACACCACCGGAGTTGGTACGAATGCGCGCATCTTCGACGGTCTTGGCGAAGGCATCTAGCCTTGTGAATCGCGACTTTGCGGGCATCTCGCCACGCAATTGACGACCAAAGAATGGATCGCCAGGCGAAGAAGAACGTGTGAAATGGACTCGTGGTCTAGAGCTCGTAGAAGCATGAGTTAGCGGAGATTACCAAAAACACGCCAGGTATGAATTGAGCAGCTTTGAAGATCGAGTGTCTAATTGCGCCGAGGTGTATGACAACGACACGACGGTAGACGGGGAGCCATGGGTCAGGTCGTACCTGAGCCGATCGTGTTTATTTGAGTGCCCTTGGTGCCTGAGGGAATCCCAGCAAGCCAGTCACTAAGCAGAGCTGTTGCAAGCTGGTCGGTTCGATCTTGAATGTATTGGAATTACTCCATTCTGAAAGGACAGAAGACAACCCCTGATTGGTGGGAACTGCTGACTCAGTGTGGATATCACATGACCTCATTTTAATCTATGGGAATCAATCGCGTGTCTTGTCTAGTACGTACTAGTACAGTATTACTACTTAGTATTTCACGTTGACTCCAAATTATCAAGAAAACGAAAGCTTTATGTTCTTCGTTGTCTTCAATCCACGACCTCAGATGCGCTGGCGGGATATCGGTTTTGCAATGACCAATATCTAGGCGGGTTGTACCTGGCCCCGGCACTAACTCCGTCCCCCACTAAAGCACCGAGGCTTACTGATAACGATTGTACTATAGACTATAGTAAATGTTGTCCTTATTGAACCATCCATGCTTCATGCAAATTTTATATGGATTTCGGATTGTAAACATGAAGCTTCGGGGTTCCGAGCCACTTTCTTCTCTTCTCTTTCCTTCTCTTATTCATTTTGAAACGTTGATGGCAAAAAATAGCCTCTATAAGGCGATTGGCGCAAGGTTTCCAGAATCCATCATCCACTCAATACTTATACTAGTACATCCATGGATGACATCATCTATGGATAACTCAACTCCCTCCTCGCCGGCAACCAAATTATTGGTGGAAATTACCCCTGGGAAAAGCTCGTAAAGGTCCAAATTTGCCCAGGTACCGTGTTCAGCTTGCTCAAATCAATTGATTGGATGGATATTGAATATATCTCTGTGGTCACCCGAGGACTTAAGATTATGATAGAATGAGATAACATTCTTTCAGGAAATTGCAGACAGTTTTATCTCATAAAAATCTTTAGTAATTTCATCAAAGGGTGATACAAGTCCTGCATTCCGCACGTTCAAGTCCAAACGGCACATGTCCAGTTGAGACACGGGGAATTCTGGGACCCGATCTCCCCCACAAGATAGACTGGGGGAACTCTAGTTGTTTGTGCCCTTTGGAGGAAGAGAGGGGAAGTACTTGGATATGTAGGGAGATTCTTTGATCTCACATGTACCTTCAAGGGCCTAGAATGCACCTGGGCATACAGATGCAGAGGATAACGAGGATTTCGAGGGGTAACCAAGTGGGTGTAGCGGATACATCAAAATTGGTAGTGCCCCACACGGAAACGGATGTAGCTGGTACCACAACAAACTTTCGCCCTTGGGGCAAGTGCGGAGTCATGTAAACAAATGTAAACAAAAGCCCCAGACAACGCAACATCGCATTTCTCCCACTCGTCAGCCACTTTGATTTCCATCTACTAACTGTCTCTATCTTCTACTCAGAAATTGTCTACTTTTTTTTTTCTCTTCTCCAGATCTAATTCACGAAACGGCCTTGGCGCAAAGTCAAATATTTTTTCAAGGGCACCGAGTGTCCCTAGAGTAGGGATGATGAACTTCGTGCCCAGCGTGATGGTGAGCTCCCTTGAACATTTCTGATCCTTGATTCAAGGAAACACGGTTCACATGAAAGAAACATATAATTCTGACCTTCTTTTCCTCTACGACCAGATCCAGCGACCGGACAGCCTAAACGATATGGACATCGACTCCATCCCCGCCCAGCAACGCTCCTCGCGGAAACACTTGCGCAGCAGTGAGGATGATCATGATCTAGAATGGAGCTCAGACATATCAGGTCAATTTGATGATGCCGATGAACCCGACGGGGAAGACTACAAATCGCCATCTGCAAAGTCCGCAAAGCGGCGCCGGTCCAATGACTGGCCGCTGCCAGAGGAAGCTGCAGACTATGGAAACAACGGCAGTCGGAACGCGCGAAATGGGAATGGATCTTTGGGACCAAACTACAAGGCCTCGCCCCGCACATCACCCCGCGGGTCAGCTGCATCTTTGCGCAACAGACACAAAGCTTCTACCAATAGCCCTCGGCATCACCTTACCCGACGATCTCGTTTCGTCGAGGCGAATATGAATGACAGCGTTAGCGAGAAACCCCCAAGCATTTACTTGCGTGAAAGCAAAGGGCCCAATGCGCAAAACCGGGCATCTGGCATCTTTCGATTTGGCAAAGCAATCGCCTCTGCTTTCAATCCATTCGGCGGTTGGGGTAGAGCCTCGCCCGAGATTGCAACAAAATCCCCACAGAAAGATGCGCTGACCCAGGCCGAGGAAGCATACGCGAACCTGAAGCGTGCAGGCTACAAGGGCACGAACAAGGGATCTTACATGCAAAGTCAAAATGTGAACCCCTCCAATGCCGACCAAACCTGGCAAGCGATTCAAGACAAAATGGGTTATGGTAGCCCGATCCGAAATTCAGGGACTTATGCTGAGCCCATGTCACCATCGCGATCTCCGTCCAAGTCCACCAAGCGTTCTTCCTTCCAAGATCTACGCATTCCATTCATTAAAACCTACGAACAACCACTAGCGCCATGTCTAGATCATCCATCCGAAGACTCCGAGAATCAAGGTATTCGGAGACAAAAGTCTCGCAAGGAACTCTCACGCGAGTCAAAGCTTCTCAAGAAAGTTAGCAACCTTGAGGATAAGCTAGATCGTGCGCGGCAAGAACTTCGCCATCTAAGCGGCAACGAAGAGCGAATCGCATCTCCAACTCTAGACTACCGATCCATGAGCTTTGAGATGGATCCAGGGAGCTATCCGCGAAAATTCGTCCCAGGTGCACTTCCAACGGTGCCATCTGAGCGATTACTAGATCAGCAAACAGCTGCATCTCAATCGCCCGATATTCAAGCCTTGATCTCCGAATCGGGAAGAAGTGCTTCGCCGGAATCTCAACCAGTGGCCAAGTCTCCAAAACGGCGGTCATCGTCCATGGGTAAGGAAAGCCCTTCCCGCAAAAGGAAGACAACAGTTCCTGAACCTCTCCCTAGTCGGAAATCTTTTCAATCCAATCCGAAGGACCGCGTCCACGATAACGACTGCCCATCCGAACACGAACATTTGATCGACGCCGGTCTGCTCAGCCCACCTCGACAGTCCAAGTGGCAGAAATTCGAAGCCGGCGACAGCCCAGGGTCCGTCGAGCGCAAACGCAACGCGAATCCTACGGCACAAGACGCTGGCTCGATGCACCAAAGGTCTCCGCATACCAAATCAAAATCCTCTTCTGGCGGCCATCGCTCACCAAAGTCGAATATAAGATCATCGCCTATCCGCCAACCACTCAATCGATCGGACATGCGCTCCTCTGTTTCCACCACCTCCGTCCCTCCCACATTTAAATCTGACCCTATCGCCTATGACTTTTCTTCTCCCCCACCACCATCTAGTGAAGCCTATCAGGCATTTTACCTCCAGACTCAGCGCCAGATAGATCCTGACCGTTCCGCTCCCTCTTCACCCACCAAATCCCGACCCAGCCCAAGACGGCGACATAGTCACGAAGTGGACATCCCTCCCGTGCCTCCTCTCCCCAAAGAACTCCGCATGAATGCCATCAAGGTGACCGGATCGCCCACCAAACCGCATAGCTCAGTAAGAGACTCTGCTCCGCCAGTCTTGCCTCAGCAGATATTACCCGGACTGGGTGACCAGGCGTCAAAGGAAGAAAGCTTTCTTTGGCCCGAGGACATCTTTTAGGTTGTGTGCGACAACAAGGGAGAGCTCCGTTATTTCGAGCCAAAATCTACCCATGTTTGCTTTGAATTGTTTTTACTCGCCGCTAGCAGGTGATGTGATGAGGTTATGACTTTCTGATACCCTGGGGTCTAGGTTTTGGATTCCTGTCTTCTTTGCATGATTTCTTTTTCTTTTGTCTTGCTCTTCCTTTCAATGCACATACACAATTTCATTCGATATTTTGCGGTCAGATCAATTTTGTTCTCCAAATTTTCGTAGAATATACATCACCACCTGCACATGTGGGCATGATGCGACAGCTCAACATAATTGATGTATTCCAAAGTTCAATCACGGTGAAGAGCAGCATCTTTGGGAAGAAACAGCCAGCTCACACCTGCAGCGCAAAGTAGGCCGACTAACATCGGCTGCAGCACTTTGACACCGACTTGTGCCGCGATAACACCGGTGATAGCAGGGAATATAGAGCCCCCAATTTGGCCTAACACGAAGACAAATGCAATGCCCGATGACACGATTTCTGGGTCAAATATTTTCGATCCAACCGATATGCCCTGCCGCATGGAGTATTGCCCGTTAGACCATCGTAATTGAAGAAATACCACGAGCAAGAAATGGTAGACTTACTGTAGGAAAAAATGGCCCCGAGAAGAGGCCCAATAAGCTGACTGCCACTGCTTCGGTGATGATGTTTGGGACTCTGGAGAGACCGTTTAGTTAATTGTAGACAGCCTAGGATAGGTCGTGCTTACAGCCAGAACACAAGTTGCAGTGCGACACAGAGCACCGCGTAAATGAAGATCATGCGTCGTTCTCCTAGGCGATGCGTTGGCTCTGCAAGAAATAGTCGGCCGAGGAACCCGCCTCCATAGAATCCCGCAGGCACATATCCCATATTCTTCACGTCTCCGTGGCGGACTTTGACGAGGTATTCGACCATCCATCCTATGAATTTCAATCAGCAAACATGTTTTCCCACAGACGAAATTAAAGATAGACAACTCACCTCCGGCAGTAATCGATGCACCAAGAAAGAAAAAGAAGAACAGACTCAACAACCAGACCCCCGGCGTGCTCAAAGTGGTCTTGATCTCCTGAAGAGCATTCTTTCCAGCCAACGCGGACTGACTTTGCGCAGAGCGCTCTCCCTCTCGACCCTTCTTTTGCAAAAAAGTCATGCGATCGTGAAACGAAAGCGCAACAAATGTAAGATTGATGACACCCAACCCCAAAGGGAATACGTAAAAGAGATTCCACTTTGAATCGGTATTCGCCGAAGCTACCGCCGTAGCTACGAACGGACCTACCAGGCACCCGGCCATATACATCGCATGGATGAAGCCAAGCCAACGGTGCGCACCATGCTGGGAGGAGACGAATGTGTTGGCGTGCGTGTCATTGAGGGCCTGGCCGAGACTTGCGAGCAGAAATGTTACCGCGTAGAGTGGGAATGGTGGGAGCCAGGTGCGTAAGACGTGGGCTAGGATTTGGAGTGCCGCCCCGAGCGATAAAAGGGCGCCCAAGTCTAAGTATCGGACAATAAAGCTGTTTGAGAGAGCTGCGAAGAACCATCCGAAGAATGTGACGCCGTATCTGTATAAATCAATTGTAAGCTGAAGTCTGCATGTAGCTGAGTTGGGTGAATCAAGGATTTCATATTACTGACAGTACTGCGACCATATTTGTCCCAATGTCGTAGGAGCGGATGATGTAGGGAATCAGGGATCCAAGACTTCCGTCATTGACACCCGCAACGAAGAAAGAGACCCCGGCGCTGAAAATCTTTGGGTAAAGCCATTTTGTCTGCGGTTGTTGATTGGGCTCAGACTCTTGTGAAACACTGGACTCTGGTTCTTGTAATTGAGTATTGGCATTCCGAGGCTGGAGCACTATTGTCTCCGTCTGAGTCTGGGTGCTCATATTTGTGAAGTTTGAAATCGATGAAAAGGTAGACCACCAGTCACCACATGTGCAGGAAGCCTTTGGAATTTATGGCTCAAGCTGATGCGGGGATAGAAACTAAGACGGAAGATCGGGCCGCCTTAGCGCCAACTTTGGAAAAATTGTGAAACGTACGGCGTGCCTCAATACCTATTCAAGATTCAAGGTTGGAGAGAGAAGCCCGAAACATCCATTAAAATGCGGAGAGAGTGCGTGCCCGTGGCCCGTGGCCCGTGGGGCAGTACAGCCTGTACAGCCAATGCCCGGCCCGCCGCCCGGGCTATGTGGAGCTGCTGGCTGACCTGCCAAATCCAGTAGTTGAAATCTTCACTTAAATCCACAGTCAGGACTCAGGATCCATCGATTCGCTACCTATATAAAATCCGAGAACGGAAGACCAAAAAGGAATAGCGCCCTTTAGATTCAAACAAGTGCAATCAAGAGGAAGATGCATCAAAATGATTATCTAGGTATTTGGTCATCATGATCCAGGTTGAGCTTCCACGTCCCTCCAAATATGAGAGGAATCTAAGCATTTGGCGCCAAAGCCGACGCACTGAAGGCAGATGAAGAAATTAGGGCAGATTGTGCAGACCTGGTAGGCTTCGCTTTCTGATTGGGATCGGGTACAAACATCACACCAACTAGATTCTGGGTCGAACTTGACCGAAGAACATTGGGGATGAGAATTGATTTCCATGTCGTTGGAGTTCGCTGTTTCTGTACTTTGGCGTACAAGGTCTATTACCTCCTCACATCCACTTCCAAGGGCCCACCAGAGCAGATTGCGACCGAGCTCACTCTGAGCAGTAATCGAAGATTGGTTTGTCAATGGAAGCAAATATTCCACAACCTCTTTATGTCCATTCTTGACTGCTGCAATCAAAGGCGTAGCTCCGTATCTGTCCTTTTGGTCCATTGAGGCGTTCTTCAACTGTAAGAATTGCAAAATGTTGACATGACCCCTCTGAGCAGCGAGGAAGAATGGGGTGCGGCCATCGAAATCTTGAGCTTCAGTTTCGAGATATGAACAATCCAAAATGTGTTCTATTATCTCCATGGAGCCACATATTGCGGCTATGTGTAGCATAGATTTTCCTTTGTTGGTGAGCAAGTTCATGTTGGCCCCATGTTTGAGGAGTAATTCTACCACGGCAGGAGCCGCAGGGCTACCATGATTTAACGCTGCTGCGTGAAGTGGCGTCCATTGGTCATCTCCCATTTTGTGGACATCGGCCCCACCGTCCAAAAGTATTTTGACAGCCTCTAAATGCCCATTTGATGAGGCTGAGCGTATTGCAGTCCACCCGTCGTCGCTCTGGGTATTAATATCTGCTCCTTTGTCGATAAGTAGCTTCAAACCTTCCGATCTTCCAAGAAGGGCGGCCAGGTTAATGGGTGTCATGCCGTCATTATCCTTTGTCTCTAATGTAATTTCTGCTCCCTTTTCAAGGATCATTTTCAAAATCTCAACATTACCATTCATCGATGCTTGAATCAATGGAGTCGCTCCGTTAAACCCCCGCCATGTCAAAGGCGAAGGCTTCTGAGCAAGCAGAAGCCTTATCACTTCTGTATGGCCATTTTTGATGGCAGAGTGCAATGGCATCATTCCTTTGTTACTCTTTGACTCAATATCTGCACCATGTTCCATGAGCAAAGTGACTATTTCAAGATGACCATTGTAGGCTGCTTTATTCAGAGGGGTCCATCCATTCCTGTCTGGTGCCGATAAGCTAGGCGAAGGAACTTGAGCAAGAAGAATCTTCACCACCTCGGTATGACCATTTGCGGATGCCACATTGATTGCAGTATAGTTTGCATTATCCTGAACCAAATGATCTGCGCCTTTCGCGAGAAGGACTTTCACCACTTTGATATGGCCCTGCCAGACAGCAGACAACAGTGGTGTCTGTCCAACATTGTTCTTGGATTCAATATCGGCATTGTGTTCGAGAAGTAAATTCAGCGTCTCGAGATGACCATAGTATGCTGCCAAGTTCAATGCGCTATATCCGTTTTTATCAGCCTCTTTCAAGCTAGGCATAGGACTCTGAGTAAGAAGAAGCTGGACCACCTCAGCATGACCTTTCAAGGATGCTGAGCTAACCGGTGTCCGTCCACGGCTGTTGGCAGTGTGGTAATTTGCGCCTTTTTCGAGAAGGATCCTTGCAATGTCCAAGTGGCCTTCCCCTGACGCAATGCATAAAGGCGTCGTTCCGTCATTCCTTGCAAGATCCAGCTTTGCCCCGTGCTCAGTGAGTAACTTGGCGGTTTCAAAATTTCCATCACTAGCTGCACAAGTCAATGCCGTCCGCCCTGTTTTATTTTGGGCATCTACATTTGCACCCTTTTCTAACAGCATTTTGACCACGTCCAAGTGACCGTGCAGTGATGCCATATATAAAGGCGTCGAGCCTTCATTGTTTGTAAGGTCCAGCTTTGCCCCGTGCTCAATGAGTAACTTGGCGATTTCACAATTTCCATCATAAACTGCACAATTCAATGCCGTCCAACCCTGCTTTCTCTGCGCATCTACATTTGCACCCATTTCTAACAGCATTTTGACCATGTCCGAGTGACCATTCAGTGTTGCCGCGTATAAAGGTGTCGTACCGTCATTGTTTGCAAGTTCCAGCTTTGCCCCGTGCTCAATGAGTAACTTGGCGATTTCACAATTTCCATCATAAACTGCACAAATCAATGCCGTCCAACCCTGCTTTCTTTGCGCATCTACATTTGCACCCATTTCTAACAGCATTTTGACCATGTCCGAGTGACCATTCAGTGTTGCCGCGTATAAAGGTGTCGTACCGTCATTGTTTGCAAGTTCCAGCTTTGCCCCGTGCTTAATGAGTAACTTAGCGATTTCAAGATATCCATCGTCAGCCGCCCAAGTCAATGCTGTCCAACCCTGCTTTCTTTGCGCATCTACATTTGCACCCTTTTCAAGGAGATAATTCACAACCGGTAAGGAATTATTAGACGTGGCGTGATGCAGAGCAGAGAGGGAAGCAAGGTCGATCGCTTCAATGGCTGCGCCATTCTCAACCAGTACCTTCAGTACTTCTAAATGGTCGCCTGATGCTGCTCCGATTACCGGTGTCTCCAGATCGACATTCGGTTTGTTTATGTCTGCGCCCTTTTCGATCAAAAACTCGACGACTTCAATGTGTCCATCAGATGAAGCTGCATTTATAGGCGTCCACTGATAAGTCTGCGTGGAAACGTTGATATCTGGACCATATTCGTACAGAAATTGAACAAGTTCAATCGATCCTTGTCGCGCAGCAGTGTAAAATGGCACTCTTCCCATATCGTCGGGTGTTGTACTGTCCGCACCATTGACAAGAAGCAGCCTAGTCAGCTCCAGATGGCCGGAGGATACTGTGGCATTTAATGGGGTCTGTTTGATTTTATTTTGGGCCTCGATATTAGCTCCCCGATTGAGAAGAAGCTGGGCAATTCCGAGGTGCCCATTGACGCTAGCACAGTGAAGTGGAGTCATCAGGCTAGCCGTCGAGGATTGAATGTCAGCTTCCTTGTCAAGGAGCAGCTTAGTTACTTCGTAGTTTCCATTCAAGGAAGCCATGGTGAGTGGCGTGTGTCCTTCATCATCTCTAATTGTCAGATCGGCTCCATTGTCGAGTAGTATCTGGACAATCTGCAGATCACCTCTTCCAGAAGCTGCCACTAGTGCCGTGCGTCCCGCATTGCCTTTATCGTTGATCCTTCTCTTGTCCTTCTGGATCAGAGGGCTCATGGTTTCGGTCAGACCAAGACATGCTGCGTAGTATATTGGATTCTCTGAGGTGTTTTCGCAATGCGATCCATCTTGACCGGGTGGAATTTCTTGGCCAGATAATTCCTCTTCTATATCTGAGGTCTCACTCGTTCCTTCGCTGTCAGAATCTGTTCCTTCACTGTCAGAATCTGTTCCCTCACTCCCCCCTCTGCCACCATCTTCATAATTTAGATCAAACCAGGTCTTCCATGGGCCCCAGCTGGGGTTTGCAGTGTCAAAAAGCTGGTTCACAAGATTGATAAACTTCTCGTCCTTCAAATTACCGAGAGAGGCATGCTTGAACCAAGCACCAGCGGCGTAATTTCGAAAGGCAGTCAGAGCGCTTGTGTCTTCGTTTTCATCGGCGTTCTCGGTCCAAACATGTTGATAATCGATGAAACAAAGACATAATCTGGCAAGGATTGTGCTTTGTACCACTTCCGCTTCTCCTTTTGACATCGAATTCATTTGCAGGGGTTTTCCTTGTGTTGGAAGATTGAAAAGCAAGTATTGCTTCACCGAAAAGTGTGCCAAGTGGACCGTTCTCAGCCCAACATGTGAATCCTTCTGGGGAATCCGGATTTCAATAAGTGATCCACATAGACCTAAGATCTCTGTATTGATGTAATCCTCATCAACATTATCCGGCAAGTCATCAAGCTGCACTTCATCGCTGTCACTGCTGACTAGGACCGCGCCGGTCATTTCATTGACGGTCAGTGGCCTCAAAGCAAAAGCTGCCCAGCGCAACAGAGAAATTGTTCTTTCCCGATCTTCCTCACTAAACCGTGAGATCTTCTGCCAGTTGCGCTCGTATATGTGCTCGAGGCCAGCTGGCGTGGAGTTGATAGTTTCTTCGATCTTCTTCTGGCTCTTACCACTGCGGAGACAGTCTTCTTGCATTTTGACCCACAGAAATTGCCCATTACAGCGATCAGACAGCTTCATGGCAATATCCTCTTTCGTGGCCTCGGCACGATTTGAGAGCTTTTTATTGACAATGCTGCGTGAGTATGCCTCGGTATCGGAGCGGACATCATCGGGTTTGATCTTGTAGCAATAAACATCAATGTTGCGCTCGTTCTCATTGTTAAAACAATTCCGGATCTCGGGTTCATCTCGGCTCACGATGAGAATTCGTGTCTGGGTGCCTTTTATTGCGGAAGTGAGTGCCTCGAAGAAATTAAATACCGAATCGCTGTCGTCAGTTTGTCGCCCCTCAGAAACCCAGCTGCATTCATCCAGGCCATCAATGATGAATGTACATTGGGGGATGTTTGTCACTATCTCCTGAAAAAGCTGGACTATATCACTCCGAGACGATCTTTGGTTTTGGTTTGCAGACTCTTTCTGGCGGATTAAGGCAAATGCTGTACTGTGGGACATCAATTGAGAAATCCAGGATCGCATAGCAATAAAAGGATCCCTTCGGGATTCAAAGTCAGATGAGAAAAAAAAGTGCGCAACTGGGCTCTTTGAAATTGCAGTCATGTGTTCGATGATTCTTGCACATAAGACAGACTTTCCAAAACCAGCAGTGCCGTTTATCCAAAGCATTTTTGCGCGGTGGCTAGGAAAGTCCGAGTAAGACCAATCCAGGAACCAACTGCGACTTAGAGGCCATTCACAGGTACCCCCAATCCTTTTGCTGGCTGATATTTCAAAAAGCTCGTTTTGAGGATCAGATCCAAGTAACCATGGATGGAGATGACGTTTTATTTCATCTGTTGTCTTTAAGTAAGAAAGCCAAGGTGAAGATGAAGAAACAAGCAACAAACCTTCAATTTCATTTTCGATGCTACTCAAAATCTGTCCAAATTCTGCAATCCATCTCCCTCTATCGATGGCGCTATCTATGAAATTCGATGTCAGATTGAAACGTACCGATGGCATCATGGGATCATCCGGAACGCGTATACATACCATCGCCTCGACCCGACTCTACAATTTTTGCAAGGCCATCTTCATCTTGTCTCATCGAGACAGGAATCAAGCTATGAAGCTGATCCACAAGAGAACAAAATTGGCCGACTTGAGCCATCTTCCGCGCCTTGTTCCTCAGCGCCCAGCCGATCTTTTCCCGCTTCGAATCAGGCGGGGCGGTCGGACGATTTTGTCTCATCCATAGTTTATCCCGGAAAGACTGTTGGTGCTCCATGAAAGATTCGGGTGCCGCTGTGGCACCATCTTCAGAAGCAGCAAATCCTCTAATTGCAGAAAGCAGTTCCTCAACAATTGAGAAGGTCCGTGGATCATCTAGTTGTCTGTTATGGCTCTCCATCAGGGTACCTCCCTGAAATCCCACTGCTTGGCCCCATTTTTGCAATCGAAGGCTTTGCGCCTTGAATTGGGCCTTTACAGCACGAGACTCGTTGCCGAATTCCTTGAAGGAATTCAATCTTTCCACGACATCTAAACAGGTGCTGAATAGCCCTGCAAGACCAATGATTCCGACGGCGAAACTGACTGGATCCATTTAGATGCCAATATTTCTGGTGCCTCGAGACACGGGTTCAGCCTGTGTGTCTTTCGATAGATTTCAATGTTGATGGGAAGTATGAAGTATTTTTCTGGTTCGGATGCCCACTGGTTGCCTATTTGAGGGTGGCGGGGTTAGCCGTGCATGCTGAGTGACACAAAAGTAAGGATTATTCCGAAAGATACCAGCCGCTGCGATAGGCAAATTTGCCGTCCAGTGCACCAAGTGACTATTGTACGAAATTGGGCATAAGAGATAAACAAAGACTTTCTAACATGGATAAGGCGATGACTTTTTGTGGGGTGATGAAGAGGGGAAAGGTTCTCCAGCTGATGAGGGGTTGAAACTTGAGCCGCAACGTGTCTGCTGGGCACCACTGCACGGTCATCAGTCAGGTAGTAGTTAGACAAGGACCATGACCAACTCGCTGATTTGGATGTTGAATCCTCTATCCTCTTCCCCCTTCCCCCAAAGACACAGTACACTCATTCGTTGTATGTGATTAATATACCTTGCAGTTGGCACAGACATTAGGCGATCCAAAGCGGCGGCCGCTGGCATAGTTGCTTTGATGAAATTGACGATGGATTGGCAACTTGCAAGAATGAGAGAGCTTGGGGGGCCGCCGTGGCGCCGCCCATGTCGCAGCATACATAAGCAAGTATGGCGGCCGATAGAGGCCACCCCTAGGTCGTATCCCAATTTCAATTTCAAACTTCACCGCCCTGTTTCCCGTATTGTATTTATCATATATAGGAATATCTTAAGGGATTTGATCTAAATACGGGTCACTTTTAAAATAGACTTGAGAATAAACCTGAGAATAGACTTGAGAATAGACTTGAGAATAGACTTGAGAATAGACTTGAGAATGGATTAATTACATGACTATCCAGGATCTTAACCTCTCTTTCTTGCCAGTTGTTATGATGATTTACCTATGTAGAGAAACATTTGAAGAGAAGTAATATGATATAGCATTATATATAATAGAGTTCAATGATTTAATGTATAGTATAGCCCTGAACATACATAATGGAGTTCAAAAACTAATATAAATTTGGAATTACTCGTAATTTACTTTCAAATGTTCTGCCGGTCGGAAAGTTGAAATTAGGATTTGACCTAGGGGTGGCCTCTATCGGCCGCCGCAGGCAAGAGTCTTGACTCAAGTGCTGAGCTGAATGGTCCAGATGTCGGCTCCGCACGATACTATATTCATACCCACAGCGCTCTAATTTCTAGCACCGACAGGAGATATTTCTTCCTTGACTCACATCCAGGCCTGAAAAAGGCATGGTGAGTTGTCAAATTGACATCCGCATATTTTATTTCAAGTATTCAAATTGAAACAATGAAGCTCACAACGAAATCATAGGTGTTAAGTAATGCTTTGGAATTGACCGATCCGGCGCGGTAAAACGACTTTTCACCGAGAATCATTATCGCCGAAAAAAAAGATCAGCCATTACCAGTGACTCACTCTTATATTGTCTACTACGTTTTATCAATTTATCACAAGACAATTAATCTTCAAATGTTCCCATTTGTCTCGCGGTCCCTAGAGTTCAAGCCAAAGACATGCCACTTACTTACGCCACGGTTCCGATCCAGATTGAAGGCGTAAACCTCACCCTATCTACAATCCACAATCTCAAAAATGAACCACCAATTCTATTCCTGCATGGCTTCGGCTCTTGCAAAGAAGACCTAGCCGATATAGAACTTCACTCTGACCTGGAGCAACATGGATTCATCGCCTACGACGCACCAGGCTGCGGACATTCCACAAGCGACAAACTGTCAGCCACCGACATCCCCTTCCTCGTCGCAACAGCAGAAGCGCTCCTAGCGCACTTCCAGATCACCCAATTTCACCTAATGGGCCACTCAATGGGCGGGCTGACTGCGCTCCTTCTCGCGCACCGCCACCCAAGCCGGGTCCTGAGCTTCGTGGATATTAAGGGCAACCTTGCGCCGGAGGACTGTTTCCTCAGTCGGCAGATTTTTACATTTCACTCAGACGACCCGGAGATCTTCTTTGAGGAATTTATCGATCGCACCCGGAAGGCCAAGTCGTTCGCTAGTCCGTTATATTCTAGCACCCTCCGTGCACGGGTGCGCGTCGAGGCGATACGACCGATTTTTGAGTCGATGGTTCGCCTGTCGGACGAAGAGGATTTATTGGGGATGTTCCTCGGCTTGCCGTGCCCGAAGATGTTTATGTTTGGGGAGGAGAACAGGGGACTTTCTTATCTGCCGCGGTTGAAGCAAGGGGGCGTGGAGCTGGCGGAGATTGCGAAGAGTGGACATTTTCCCATGTATTCCAACCCGGTTGAGATGTATAGTCGGATTTCGGGATTTTTACAGGGACTTGACTCTATTTGATATTACTAGAATATCATGTACAAGTATGGAATAGAGTATGAATGGACAAACTTTACATACTAGGATCTATCGCCCATATGTCCAACATTGAAGAACCCCGAGAACGCATATGGTTGAAGAAAGGCTAAGGCCAACCTTGAGCCTTGGATGATTACAATTAAATGATGGGCCATCTGAAATTTCAAGCATCTTCATGGTTATATCTACATTTTTGCACAGGAAATCGAGGTCATTCGTTCAATTTAATTTTGAGGTTCTCAACCTCGGAAGGAATCAACGACACATGAGCAATTTAAAACATGAGCCTCGCAAAATAACATTTGAATTCACAACTTCAACTTTGGAAGTCACTTTCCTATCGTCTCTTTTATGTCACCTTCGAAGAGTGTGTTTTTCTTTTTTCTTTCTTTTTTGAGCAAGTTGCTTTTCTTTTCCAACTTCCGCGTTCATGTGAACATTGAAGCAACAGTCAAGCAAATTCGTCAGAAAAAGGACATCCATTGTCCAATGCTCTGGGCATCGAAGATCTCGTTATGCATCTCCGCCAGTTCTTTTTGGACCCACCAATCGGCCTTCTCATAAACAAGCTCCCATAAACTCTTGGAGTCCAAATGGTCTCGCTTCAATAATCCCATCACCATGAGAGTAGCAACAAAATTTGCTTCTCGCTGCCCGATCAGGTCACGTTTGCCGGATTGCTGAAGTTTAGCAGCAACATTGGCGCGCATCTCATCCATGACACGTCCGATGATGTCAAAAAGCTGCTGGTTCCAAGTCCAAGAACCGTCAAAATTCTGCAACCCAACCAATGAGTGAACCTGCGATGCTGAGCTATTGAATACAGACTTTGAAGCGTCTGCGTGCGTTGCAGCAGATCCAAACGGTATTGCTGATCCGAAACGAGAGCTTGCTGACGCCTGTCCAAACAAAGGTACGGCTCTTTTTGACGCTGATGCCCTAACCTTCATCTTCATAGTAGGCTGCGAGTCTGACGATAGACGTCTAAAGGATGGCGATCCCACATGCCCCCCAGGTGATCCACCAGTCCTGCGCATGTGGGCGCCAGGTACAGGAACACAACCAAATGCGGGCAGACTGGAGTACTGCCCAATAGCAGGCATCATTGCTGCCTGTTGAAACAGCATTTGGCGCTGAACAGGTCTGCCGTATATGGCCTGATAGTTAGAAGTAGACGGTCGCCCTGTTACTGCCTCGTATTCATTTTGCTGTTTCTTGTTGGATTCTTGAGTGGTCTGGGCAGGGTCACTTTCCAAAGCAACGAAGGAACAGTACTTGCCCGTAATTTGATACTTGATGCCGAGGTTCTGGCATTCACGAGCAACGATTTTTCTCTGTGTTTGCGCATGAAGTTGTTCAAAAGAGTTGCCACTACCATCTCTAATGTTCTCCAGCCAACTGTGCCCCTCCTCCAATTCAACGACCGCTTTGCGGGATGCAAGCTGGTGTATAGTTTCTCCCTGGCCGATATCGGTGATAGGGATCCGTAAACAGAGAGGACCCTGTTTGGATGTGGCTTTGAAAGTTAGGGAGCGCGGAATTTTGTCAGACTCAGGGTCCATGAGAAGATACACTGTCGTCCTAATAAATGGGTAGAGAGGAGGGATTTTGAAGGGGGCTTGGAGGACTTTGGGAGGGGATATTTTAGGAAGTTCATCCGCGAGAGCTGCAGCGTTATTGGCTGACTTGGCCTCCTCGAAATCATCACTGAAGAGGGGAATAGATGGAGAAGCTTGGTCAAGGTCCATATCGCTGGCATCAACCCCAGTCTCTGTCGTGGAGGAGCTGTCTGTACCAACAATCTCATAATCCTGATCCACCGTGGTCTCATAGTCTACCTCCAGCTTGTAATCGTAGATGTGAGGAGTGAGAGCTCCCTTGAGCATTCTGATGACACTTTTGTCTAGTTCTTCGTTTTCAAGGACTGATTGAGAGAATCCCTGGCCAGCTCGGGCAACTCCTTCGATCAGGGAGTGGGACGCAGCATGGCCGATACCCAGAGAAAAAAAGCGGGCGGTATGACCATTAGCGGTCTCTCGAACAAAACGGAAAAGATCGTCTTGGTCCATTATTTCCCCATCTGTAAGAAGAAGAACCTCCAACTCCTTTTCCACGATGCGTCTTTCAACGGCAGCTTTTACAGCCGGTAGCATATTGGTACCTCCCATGGAGGCATCAATATTTTCAACCAATCGAAGTGCTTCGTCGTGGCTTGAGCTATCGTATACTTGGCTAGTGGGCCATAGAAAGGTATAATGTGACCCAAATGAGCAAATGTTGAAACACACCCCAAGAGGCAAGGACTTCAGGAAAACCCGAAGAGCACTTTGCAGAGTGTCAATTTTATCTTGCATACTTCCACTCCGGTCAATCACGAAAACAATCTCCGGCTGGTTGGGTGGGAGATTGAATTTCGGAACCAGTGTAGCCATCAAGGCTTGTTGTCCCGGAATAGTCGAGTGTGTTTCAAGGAGTGCACGAGGTTTATCAAGTCCATCAGCTTTGACGACCAGGACATAATCGCGTTCCAAAAGGGCCTGGGTTGTTTTGAGCAGGTTGAGAGTAGCAGAGGCCTGGGATGGCTCAAAACCACTGGTGCCTGGTGAAGTAGAGGATGTTCTACCGAGTGAGACTTTTGGAGAGTGGCTTGGAGACTGAAGCTCTCGGATAATTGATGCTTTTTCCAGCAGAATATCAACCGTGATGGATATTCCATCCAGCAGAGCGGAGAGCTTGGGGGTCTGCTGCCACTGACTTAAGCTCATGGAGTTTTGATAACGAGGGGCAATGGAGTTGGGCAATGTGTAACGAACTCCATCCATCTGCGCATCTGTTTTGAGTTCACCAATGAAAGTAATTTCAACTGTCACCAACTCATTCGCCGGAACATTTCCCAAACGAATGGTAAAGACATCACCCTGGGTTTCAGATTGATCCATGGTGGCAGCTGACTCTTGTCTCTCCACAGCAGTTTGGTAGTCGGTGTTAGCCTGTTCCTTAGATTTCACCTTGCTGTGGAGAAGGCGAGTGCCAACATGACAATTAAAGCTCACAACGCTGACACCATCGTAGAGAGGAAACTGATAGGACGCCTCTTTTAAATTGTGGTCGGATGGGTTAAGAAATGACTGTGTCAATGTAGTGCGAGAAGTGGTGGACAGGATGGTAGCATGAGCTTTGAGAGAGACCTGGGGTAGGAACTGGGGGACACAATCGACAAAGAAAAAACAACCAGAACTAACTATTGCCTGCATTGTGCGGGACTTGAATCGATATGGATGAGGAGAAGCGAGAGGAATGGGAGATTTGACGTGGGTTGAGTTGGTGGATAGTGAAGTGAAGGTGGAAGGGGAGTAAAAAGGTAGGTGAGATTTGACCAGTAACGTTTCAGACTTTTCAAGTGGTCGATGGAGAAATTGGTGTTGAAGGAAGAAAGAAAAAAGGGCAAAACGAGGTTTATATAGTCAAGTTTGTGGAAGACAGGCTGCAGGCACCCATAGTTGTACAAGTGGATCGGAGGCTCCAAGATTAAGTGGGGTTTCCCGCCAAACTGTGCTCCGCTCAGCTTACTTCGTGTTAACTGACTCATCTTTACATTTGAAGTCATCACAATTTGTATTATGACTCTTAACCACACAAATGTTTCATGATAATTTTATTAGTATGCACTAGATCTAGATAAACGTTAGAAACTTGAAGCCTTCAGCCATGTTTGGCTTGAACTTTCAAATGTGTATTTCCAAGGTTCTATATAGTACTCCCTGGAGGACTTATTCTAACTACGAAAGCTATGTACTCGGAACCTCAAGTGTGTACTCCAAACCTGCACATATATGGGCGGGCGGATTCCAACATTCTTGAGATCCATCTACTTCAATTTTTGAGAATCCCTCAACATTTGAATGTTTCCGCGAAGTACACATATTTAACCTCGGAATGCATCCATCGACATTGATTCATGCATATAAATACTAGGATAACACTACACCAATTTTAATAAATCCTCCTCCTGAACTCGATAAATTTCATCAATCTTCTCTCCAGTGCCCTGCCCACAAGCAAAATCCCGATTAACCCGCTCAACAAACTTCTCCACAAATTCATTAGCGACCTCATCAACACCAACGCCATGAACCCCAACACCCTCCAAGCTCGTCACTTCCTTCCCCTCCAGCCCGCATGCTACAATCTGTTTAAAAAACCACATTGGCTCTTGCGTAACATTCAACCCAATTCCAAAGCTACTGATATTCCGACGTAAATGAACCCCCACGGCTGTAATCTTCTTCGCCTCCGCATCTGCAGAAGAAGCCGGGTCCTGAACCCAGACTCCCGGATCAGCGGTGGTGAATCCTTTCACGCCATATCTATCCAGCACGTCTATGACACTGTTTTCAAGCACGCGGATGTGGCACCGGGGCGTGAGGCCTAGACGGCGAAGGTCAAGGATTGTATACGCGACCATTTGGCCCGGGCCGTGGTATGTGGTTTGGCCACCGCGGAGGGTGGGGTGGTACTCCGCCCTTGGCGCATCGGTGCCGGAGGATGTTAGAATAGAGCGGATGGGCTCAAGGGGCGGTGGGAGTGAGAGGTGATTTGTTGGCGAGTTGGGGCAGGTGTTGGACGGTGGGAGGTCGCGGCGACCGGTTGTGTAGACTGGGTTGGGGGTGAATGTGATGATGGTGGGATCGGGGGCCGGTAGGTGTGCGTGCCCTGGCAGATTTGATTTGAGATCTGTTTGCGACAATATCGAGGCCGGGGAGGTGAGCTTTTTGTGTGTGAGGAAGCGGCTTGTGAGGGCTTGTTGGAGACTGGACACTCGCGCGAAGGGCGTGGTGTGTGGGAGGTGGAGGTGTGCAAGTCTCATAGTGACTGTTTTTCTCGTAGTTTCAATTGAAGTAGAGAGGATTTTTGATATTCCGCGCGATCATTATAGAGTCGAATTGAGTGATTGCGGTTTCCCTCGGAGTTGAAGGGACAAGAGGATTTTGAGTTGCGGAGAAGCTGGGAGCTATCCGATAAGCTGATAAGTCATGAGCTACGTAGCAACATGACGATCATGCAGGATTTAAACTAGATCTTAGATTTCAATCATTAACTATGCAATCGACAACTTCGTTGCTTATTTAACACTGCTTTATTTTCGTATGTTGGTATTGGGACATTGCATCGTGTGTCACGGATAGCATCACGAAATATTGAGACTTATCACTATAGCGCCACTGCACCCTCGATTTGGAAGTCATCAAACGACCGGTTGGGTTAAAAGATAGAAATATGCATCTCAGTACTCCTTGCGATAAGAAGAAACCCTTGCGATAGCCAATTATGAAGAAATCCCATTAACCAGGCCCTCCTGGGCATCCGCTGGAGGAAGCAAGATCCAATCCCGGACACCACCCTTCCAGTCCGCAATACGGCCCTCGCGCACCTGGACCGTAACCACGCGCACATCACTATCAATCGAGATACTGGGTCGACGCACGGTCGGATCCACTCGCTGCTGCTGTCCAAACAGAGTCATTTCCTCCTCCTCAAAGGTGTTGTTCTCCAGATGGCGCTCCTTGCACCAAGCCTCTTCTTCCGAGCCAGGCTCCAAGAAGCGCGCCTCCCCAGTGATAGTAGTGGAGATGCTGGAGAGAGCACTGGTGTTTAAGTTGAGAAGTAGGCTTGCCAGTGATGAGCGGGTGGCGGCGGGTGGGGGAGATCCGTCGCGTCCACCCTGAGGGTTTGGCGCCCGGGTTGGTGGGCGGTGGGAGACCCAGTCGTGGACTAGGAGGGAGAGACGAGGGTTCGAGAGAAGGTGGTTGGTCTTGCGGGATGCGGGGTTGGTGGTCATGATGATGGTTGGGTAGGGATCGAATGGGGTGGAGGGCAGGTAGGTGTAGGACATGAGGGAGATATGAGGAGTGAGCTTCTCATCGCATGTTGCCAGGTGAAGCTAATTGGAATTCATAGTCAGTGATGCTGTGAGATTTCATTTGGGTAAATGCGCTGCGGATTGGGTGGTTGCATACGAAGCGGGAGTTCTTCAGGCAGGCAACGACCTCCGAGGGCAAGCAAGTTGCCTCATGAGGGTGAGTGGTCGTGGCAGATGCCTCGTAGGATAGAGGGGGGTTGATTGAGTCAGCCATAATGACTAGATTGTGAGCTTGCCTTGAGCTTGAGCGGAGGTGTTCGGGATGGGGATCGATCTCGCGAGGGCGGTGTCAAGGTGGGCTGAAGGTGGGCTGATATCAACGTCATCCAATTGGCCAAGAGTAGAAGTTAAGTCTATGTACATAATACTGTCTACGTGATTTATTTCAAATGTTTAATAATAAAAAACCGTGTAAATTGTAATGAACTCGCAATATGATATTCAAATGGTAATAATGATTCAAAAACAACTATCTAGTACATTAATAGGCTCGGATCAGCCTTGCTGTTTCATAAGCATACATAGCAGAGACAATCAAGTTCAAAGATGAAAAGAAAAAAAAAATATACAATAATAACTCCATGCCATATTTCGCAGAAAAATTCAAAACGCGATGCAGTCAAATGGTTTTTCGTCGAGCTCGTAGATCATCGTGGAAATAGAAATTCAAAATTTGAAGGGCCAGTAGGGTAGAGGAATCTGTTTACTCTTCGTACAGATCCATGTCGCCGCTGCCGTCCTCCATCTCAGCAATGGCATCATCAGAGTCGACCATTTCTTCGTCGTCATCAGAGTCCGAGGAGTCATTCTCGTGGTTGGGCAAGACATCGATGCGCCCGTCAATCATGACCACTCGGGCGGCCTCGCCATCCTTAATGCTGCCACGCAGGATGAGCACGGCAAGACGGTTGAGGACCTCCTTCTCGATAATCCGACCAAGAGGACGAGCACCATATGCAGGCGAGTAGCCAGCAGCACCGAGGTAATCCTTGACTGCCTCAGTACATTGAATGAGCACGTTCCGACCATTGTGGTCCAGTCGCTTTTGAACTTCATCAAGTCGTAGGTCAACAATTTTGCGGATCTCCTTTCTAGTGAGACGGTTAAAGATAACCGTGCTTGAGATACGGTTGAGGAACTCGGGAAGGAAGTAGTCACGGAGAGCACCCATAACCAATTCGCGGGTTTGGGGGTCAATGCGACCGTCTTTGGTTGTGGGCCGGGCCAAGAATCCAGCTCCCAAGTTGGAGGTCATAACAACAATACAGTTCTTGGCATCGACAATGCGACCTTGTCCATCGGTAATACGACCGTCGTCCATCAGCTGCAGAAGAACAGTGAGAACCTCCTTGGCGGCCTTTTCAACTTCATCGAACAGAAGGATGGAGAAAGGACGACGGCGTAAGCTTTCGGTTAGCTGGCCACCAGCGTCGTGGCCAACATAGCCAGGGGGTGCGCCGATCATCCGGCTCAAGGAGTGGCGTTCCTGATATTCAGACATATCGAAACGAATCATTGACTTGGGATCATCGAAGAGGAACTCCGCAAGCGCCTTGGTAAGGAGGGTTTTACCAGTACCCGAGGGTCCGCAGAACAAGAAGCTGGGAGGCGAGTTCGGGTTGCTGAGACCGGAGCGCTGAAGTCTGATTGCATTGGAAACAGAGACAACAGCCTCCTTTTGTCCGATTACAAGCTTGCCCAGGTACTTCTCCATTTTAAGGAGCTTATCTTTCTCGGTGGTCTTGAGTCGGGTGACAGGAATACCAGTCCATCGAGCAACAATCTCGTTGATTTGGTCGGGACCAACGGCATCGGCCAGCAAGGCTTCGCCAGCTTCACCGTGGGCAGCGCGACGCTCGGCATCGGCCCTGGCGCGCTCGGTCTCGAGACGCTCAATAAGATGCTTGGTTTCAGGAATGGCGTAGTATTCGAGATCGGCTGCTGTAACGGTATCCCCTGAACGCTCTGCCTCGTCACGCTTAACTTTGAGCGAGTCAAGCTTAATCTTGGCATCTTGGACTTCCTTGCTGCGTGCCTTTTCACTCTCATACTTTTGACGCATGGGGCGAAGTTCTTCGGCAACATTAGCCGCTTCCTGTTTGGCTGCCTCCAAACGGGTTTTAGATGCGTCGTCCTTCTCGCGCTCCAGAGCGTGAATTTCAATCTGAAGCTGTCGCAACTTGCGCTCGAGGGTATCCAAAGCCTCAGGCTCAGACTCTCGGGTTACACGAACCGCGGCGGCAGCCTCATCGATCAGGTCGACAGCAGAATCGGGAAGACGGCGGCCTGTTAAGTATCGGGAAGCGAGAGTTGCCGCGCTGACAATGGCGCCATCGAGAATATTGACACCGTGGTGGACTTCGTACTTCTCCTTCAGACCCCGAAGAATTGAAACGGTTTCGGGGACGGAAGGTTCCTTGACCAGGACTTGCTGGAATCGTCGCTCAAAGGCTTGGTCCTTCTCGATGTATTTGCGGTACTCACTCAGGGTCGTAGCACCGATACAGTGCAACTGCCCACGAGCCAACATTGGCTTGAGCAGGTTTGCAGCGTCCATGCCACCTTCACCGCTAGATCCAGCACCCATGAGTAGATGGATCTCATCAACGAAGAGGACAATTGTATCTTTAGAGTCTTCGATTTCTTTGAGGACACCCTTCATACGCTCCTCAAATTCACCACGATACTTGCTGCCAGCTACCAGAGAGCCAACATCGAGAGACAGCAGGCGGCACTGAGCGAGATTGGCGGGGATATCGGCATTGACAATACGGCGAGCCAGTCCCTCAACAATTGTTGTCTTACCCACACCGGGTTCACCGATGAGGACGGGGTTGTTCTTGGTACGTCGGCTCAGGATGCGAATAACACGTCGAATTTCTTCTTCTCGGCCAATGACAGGGTCAATTTTACCCTCGCGAGCCAGGGAAGTCATGTCGATGGTGAACTTCTTGAGATTTTCGCTCTCGCTCTCTGCGTCGGCGGTCTTGGAGTCCACGCGCCGTGTGCCACGAATCTGCTGGACGGCAGTGTCGATTAGTTTGACATTGGGGATATTTGCGTCAGCTAGGGCGCGTTGGACCTGGGAGTCTTGGGCAGTAGCCTGGATTAGGTGGTCGATCGCCACGAAGCTGTCCTTTTGGGTCTTGGACAAGTCGGTGGCTGAACGAATGACCTTGGCGAGTGCAGGGGAGACGCTGACGGTCTCTGGTGGGGGGTCTTGGCTAGCCAGTCGGACCAGCAGCTTCATTAGGGAGCGATCCAGCAGCTGGGGGTCACCGTGGGCTTTTTCCACTACTTGGCGGAAAAGTGGTGCGGTCGCACCATCGTGTGAGGAATGGCCGGCGGGCTGTTCGTCGGCGTCGTCTTGGGATGGGTTGAGCAGTGCGACTGCCAGGTGGATAGGGAGAATTTGTGAGTGGGCGTATTGCTCGGCAAGAGCGCTGGAGTCCAGTAAGGCCTTGTTGGCCCGGTCTGTAAATTGGGCGCCGTTCATCGTGAACGGATAGGTATCGGTAAATTCAGTCTAAAGGAGGCAAATGGGTTTGTTGGGGAGGTTGTAGAGGGTAGATAAGTTGTGAGGATCAATATGTAGAAGAGATCTTCAGTAGTGGTTGTCAGGTGTGGTATGTATGAAATGACACGAGCGCCGATGATGTAGTTAATATACTTGTTGACCAACTCCCCACTGGGCACTTGGGCACCCCACCGATGCCTCATGACGCCACGACAAGCGTCCACTGCGTTCCAGAAGGTACGGGAACCACGTGAGAACCTTCTACGGATACGTCATGTGATTGGTCCGGATTCCCGATAGTGGGTCCTTAGGCTTCCCATTCAGGTAGACTATTTACATTTTTGATGATCTTTACTCTTGTACACAATGTATGTTTATAGATCTGACACCGTTTGAAGGCTCATTGATTTGATATTGGATCTAATTGCCTACTAGTAGTTAACAGGATATTCAGAAATGTTGTATCAGTATTTACGTTTCACAATGTCTCTTGACATCTCAAAATATTATTTCCAATCAAGCTGTAAAATGTTTTATTTTCCTTACCTCCTTGCCTACTTACCTGAGTCTAAGCCCAATGAACGTGGCGCTCGCGTGGTCGACCCTCCAAATTGCCGGGCCCATCATTTCCAACAGTTGGATTGCGGTATTCCACAGGAACGACGCGTTGTCGGCAAAGTGGGCAAGTTGGATGCCGATCAAGCCAATCGATGATACAAATGCGGTGGAATAAATGCTCACATTCAAGAACGACAATTTTATCCCCAAGCTCCGGTGGGCCGAGACAAATAGCACACTCAACTCCCGAATCGATCATTTCTTGGTTAGCGTCCATCGCGGGCAGGGTGTTGAACTCGGATTCTCCAAACACTCTGCGTGGCCTATCCTCAGTTAGAACTTCATTTTCACCATCAGTAAGGACATCAATTTCATCGTTAGATGTATCTGCGAATCCATCCATATCAATGCCGAGTGCTCTTGCCCTATTTACCAGCCTAATATAATAATCTCGCAACTCCTCTGGATTGTCACTGCTGGTTAGTTCCTCAAGGCTTGGGGTCGGTGATTCGGCATTAGAATCTTCGTCTTCATCTTGTGTGCGACCATTTCCATTACCTCGGGTCGGCATTGGTGTATCTTCTCGACCGTAGCGGGACATTGTAAAACTTTGTCAACTTACTTTGAAATGATTACCTGTGTACCTTGGATTTTGAGTGGGAAATCAATCTGAGAATCTGGAGACTTGGAAGTCGGAAACCCCTGTTTGAGATAGTAGTCCAGATGTCGGTTTGAACTTGATAGTAACTGTCGATGTTTTGATGCTCAGATACTTTTGTTGATATAGATACTCGATATCGATGTAGGGAGAGTGTCAGCTTTTATACCTATCCACATCACGCGGACAGTGGACATTGTTTTCATTGTCCTCATGGTCACCGACCACAATCAAAGAGCCGTTGAAAACAATGACAATGTAGCCATTCAGTCAAAAATAGCTATCTGGTACTGTAAATATCTATCATTGTCTGCATTGTCTCGAAACGAGATATACAATGAGTTCTGTGCATGGAAACAAAGACACATGCTTTGAAAGAGAAAAACACTTATGAAATTGAACAAAGGCATCGAGAATAGCATCTCCTCAAAAACCCGGAATGCCTAATATCGTGATAATTTGAGTTATTTTCATTATGGGGTTTTATCACCGTGTCTTACTAACTAATTGCTTGGAATAAACAGAATTCCGTATATGAGAAAGCGGATGTTGATTTGGACCACAAACCTCGATATTAACCTGGAGGATTGGAAAGCTTTGGCAAAAGGAAGATTAAAAATATGATATAATCTCATGATTCAACTTGGCACAGACAGCCTACTATGACAGTCCCTGTACATCAGTCGGATTGGATGTGGGGCGATCTGCCAGGTTCCACGCAATGAGATCACCAATTCTAATTGCACGTCTGAATACTTCATAGTAGCAAACCGTTCTCTCGTGCCCTTTTATAGCGCAAATAACACACAGGAGCGGAGCAAATAGAGATGATCGTATGGAAATTGTGGTTATGTAGAATCCCTAGTAATAATCGATGGTGTTGTACGTTAAGTCGCGTGGTGTTAAGAGTCATGACATCATCGGGTCCGCCTCCAGCCGCTCTACTGATTCCCGGTTGATGGCCCGATGGACTGTCCGGTCTTGTTGACCGGATTAACCAAATCCGAGTGCAAGATCAAGGACTAGGATATCAAATCCGGCTTGCCGGGCCAGCTGTCATTATTTATTGTGGCGACGTATTATTTGGACGCCCATAGGAATCTAGATACTCAATTATGAGGTCATGGTTCAAGAAATAAGAAGGAGGGGTACTTTGATCAAGGCAGCCTCTCACAACTCAGTTGACCTCATCCTCCGGTGCTCGTTCCTTTAAAGCTTACCCCTCTCCCGTCTTACTCTCCTTCACATTACCTTATCTCACCTCAAACCAAATCTCTCTACTCACCACACTTCAAAAACCACCAACCTACATTTCCACTACCTCATACATCATGCCTATTCCCGTTCCCAAGGCCGACAGTCTCAAGGACCTCCTTAGCCTCAAGGGCAAGGTTGTTGTCGTTACCGGTGCCTCCGGTGCCCGCGGCATGGGCATTGAAGCTGCCCGCGGCTGCGCCGAGATGGGCGCCGACCTCGCTATCACCTACTCCTCCCGCCCCGAAGGTGGTGAGAAGAACGCCAAGGAGCTTTCTGAGACCTACGGTGTCAAGGTCAAGGCCTACAAGTGCGACGTTGGTAACTGGGAGAGCGTGCAAGAGCTTGTCAACAACACGATTAAGGAGTTTGGCAAGATTGACGCCTTCATTGCCAACGCCGGCCGCACCGCCAACAGCGGCGTCCTCGATGGCTCCGTCCAGGACTGGGAGGAAGTCATCCAGACCGACCTGAACGGCACTTTCCACTGCGCCAAGGCCGTTGGTGCTCACTTCAAGGAGCGCGGCACTGGCAGCTTCGTCATCACCTCCTCCATGTCCGGCCACATCGCCAACTTCCCTCAGGAACAGACCTCATACAACGTCGCCAAGGCTGGCTGCATTCACATGGCTCGCTCTCTGGCCAACGAGTGGCGCGACTTTGCTCGTGTTAACAGCATTTCTCCCGGTTACATCGACACTGGCTTGTCGGACTTCGTTGAGAAGGACGTTCAGGACCTTTGGAACTCTATGATCCCCATGGGCCGCAATGGTCAAGCTAAGGAGCTTAAGGGTGCCTATGTCTACTTGGTCAGCGATGCTAGCACATACATGACTGGCAACGATCTTATCATCGACGGCGGTTACACTGTGCGGTAAATGCATGCCTCCACATAAAACAATTTTTGAATTCCTTGGCTGGTACCATATCTTTGACCATAATGTTGCTTCCGATTAATGAATGAACAAAAAGAATGAACCTTTAAACCAAATTTTCCCCTTCCAATCATAAGTTTCTTATGTATCTATACCGGTGACTTGTAATTTGGTCCATATTACGCAGTAGCTAGTGTAGACGATGCGGATAAACAGGCAACCAATCCTGCTAGTAGGTAATCCTAGCTACTAGGAAGCAGCAACAAGCAACAAGAGATACGGGAACTCTCCGTTTCCTTGCCCGTACAGAAATGAAACCACGACGCGTCCAATTGATTCTCTTTGGGCTATTGACGCGTAAACGGAAATTATCGCTCATCACCGACTGTGGTAAGACACTCTTGTGGCTCCCTCCGAGAAAGAACTACTAACACCAGACTCACACTCTTTCACAGGTTTCCTGCAATCCCAACACCAGCCAGATACATCACTCCTCCCTTCGCCTCTATTCGCGTGCGCACATCACGAAGGTCACCGTCGGCATACCAAAACACACATCTCCTCGCAACCAGCCATCAACTGCTCGAAATGTTTGTCAATGTCAATTTTGGCAGACGGGATGGCCTTTTGGAGGATGAAGAGCTTCTGGACATAATTCGAAAGAAGGTAGCAAGTAACGATTACTGGACGAGCGAAGCAAGACTGATGCATTCGAGCCCACCATGTTTCTCCTTTTACGTCCATGGAGACCTAGAGCCGCGCATCAAGCGATCTGCAATGGTTTTCATCAAAGAACTTATCAAATTCAGCGAGAAAGTAGCACCTCTCTTTCTTAACGATTCGATCTTTGCCAACGACCAATATGATTACACTTTCAACGGGGTTCTCGACTATGACAAGGATAGGGACGATAAAGAGAATCAGGAGAATGAGGAGGATCAGGAGGATGAGGAGGATGAGGAGGATGAGGATGAGAACGAAAATGACCCCGAGGACGAAAAGTTTGGCCAGGGCGAAGTTGATTCAGCAGCCTGGATTAGATGAACAATGTTTACGGCATTATTCGCGTGTGTTTCAAGGGTTCTATGGCAAAATGCTGAAGGTCTATGCTGAGAGCCTTTTCGTGGACTTTGGCATATGTATCTGCTATGATTCCATTTCCGCTTCGCTTCAATGTTCTGGGCAAAATTCTTAAAATGTGCCATGGATGTGAGATCTAATACAGGTTGAATGGACGGGCTGGAGTTATGTTTCCTCAATAATGACAGCACACTAGTTTTCTATGGGTTAGACCTGGTTCTTTTCCAAGCTCAGCATACTCGCAGCTAACTAGTATTCACCACAGGTGTATGATATGCCACCGCCCACCAATGTTAAATGATATTTTACAATCAGGCTACTTTGAAGACATGGTACTAGTAAGCTTAGGACTGACACTAGGCTTCTAATATCGGTGACAAAGAATACAAAGGCAAGCTAGGATAGCTCAGCAATTATTTCCAGTAATCAAAGGTGAAAGAAGATGAATCAAATCAAAGCTTTGAGGATGGGACAAGCTATATGGCTTTGAACAATCATCAGCGCCTGGTGTAAACATTCCTCGTATATAATGAAGCGCTTTTTTCTTGCCTACGAGGTCAGTTATTCACATGGTAGAAACTCCCCTGGGAGTTAATTCATGACATAGTAATATGCAAAGCAAACGAGCCTCAAATCGATTCAGCCTGGACCTCCGGGGGATCAGATTCACAGAGGCATATCCACGATCTGTGAACGAGATTAGCCGAATAGAGGTCAAGATGCTAACAGAGATTCTGCATATAAACACCACAACAAGCCCCCAAATCCAGCAAGTTCAAAGGCTCATCAAAGTCCTTCCAAAACGGCTTCTCCGTCAACGAGTATCACTGACAGGTCTGAGCATCAGGTCCTCGGGGCTATGCGACCTCCACCGACCGATGAATTCCGATGTACTCGGCAGCATTCTAAGCCTTGTCCAGCGAGAGGTGACTCAATGCTTCCAACCATTTGATCGACACCCGGAACTTGTTGGTCCTACTGAAACTTACATGCTGGGTAAATTGCGCGCGGTGAGGGGAATGTGGACCAGGCCTGGAGTGGGTAGCCCAACAGCGGCAGGGGCCTGGGCGTACCAGATTAACGAATGTGCAGCATGCATGCTCGGTCGGGTTGCGCTGCAAAAGGAAAGTGTTCTGCTCCTCCGGGTAGCATTACAAAGCCGAACCCGTACAGGGAGAACCCATCGCCCACGCAAACTTATGATATTTGTGGACGAGTGCATGAATCGCTTCAGTCACGGAGATGCGGAGGAGATCTTTTCAATCTCTAGCAATCTGGCATATCGCATGAAAGCTACCCGGAGGGCTTGTAGTCAGACACATCGAGATCGCGCGAAAAGGGGGCCGGTTCGATCGACGGATGGCAGGAGGGAGCGTGCACAATTGCCTGCGATATCAGGATTGATCGATGGTCAGGGCGGTTATCATGGCGAGAATAGGGATGGCAGTGCTAAACAGAATCCTCCGTCGGCTCGGGAATTGTATCTCTCTGCCAACACTGATATCGAGTGGGCTGTGCCATCGGAGGTTCGAACTTCAGGGTCAGTATACTCTAGCCACCCCCGTTCATTTCAAGCAAGAGACGGGCGGGGAGATAGAAATCCCCAATTTAGGGGATATGAGGCGCCATATGCCTGCGAAGGAACCTGGGGAAATAATCCATTTTTGTTCATGGGCGAGGAGGGGGAGAGAGACAATGTTGTCGATGAAGAGTCGGGGGATTCGGAAGATGAGTGCGATTCTCCATACGAGGGTAAATTTATTTGAGTTGTTAAATAAGAATTAAAGAGATATGATGAAAAAAGTGGACAGACGAGGAAGGTGCAGAAAAGAAAAACAAAAAGATAAAAAAGAAGAAGACGTGGTTGTCTCACCAAGTAGCCCAATTTCTTGTAACAGGACGGTGTATTCTGGCGACGCCATCCCAGGGTGGAAATGTCTCTGCAGAATTGCTTCCCTCAAGGGTCATTTCCATTGCTTAGCGCCCGACAGCATCGCGGATTACTCGCGCGAGTGAAATGACGACCCCAGGATTCGTACCAGGCACCTGTACCTGCTGGCCAATTGACCGAAGCAAGGGCGCGGACTTGGCGGTGAGCCTCCCACTAGGTTATCCATGACAGATTACCAATTCTCTCTACAATTACCCCTTATAACGTACCTAATGGCACCTCCACCAGCACTTCCACCATTCTCCCTCAACTGGGACTTTTCAACACCACCGACAAATACCACCAATGCCATCAACAACCAAAATGACTCCCAAGAAATCCTAGTATCATGGGTCCATATAGTCAAGCCACCCCTGTTCTGGGAACCTATCGCTGAGCACCCTATATCCCTCAAACTGTCTAATATGAAAGCCGCTCTAAGTGCCGGCGCTGATCCCAATGAAATGGACCACGAGCGAGATCGATGCCGCAGTCTTGGCAGGCCTCTTCATTGCGCTATTGGAGACTGGGCAGAGCCGGAATACATGAAAGAAAACATCCCAGTGATCAAGTTATTGCTCAAACACGGTGCTGATCCCCGCTTGCCTGGCCCAGAGGTCAAGCCTGCAGCTTTCGGGTTACAATCGCCCCTCGAATATGCAAGACGTCTAGCCATGCGTGAGTGGAGTGGGGTTGATGAATTATTCGAGTGCGGATATTACACAGAAGCATACCGTATTATGAAAGAGGCTGCGGATGATCTGGATCGTAGGTGAAAATGCTGATGACTTTGATATTTGTCTTTCCATTGCTGATATTCTGTAAAAGGGCGTGATGCAACGACAAAGGACTAAACAAATTGTCACATGGATGTAAATTTACTATACACAACAGGTTGATTTCTTTCAAGTTCTAGCAGCCAAGTACTGGTTATGTCAGAGGAGAAGAACGACCTAAAACATACAAAGTTGTGGTTAATATCAATGAAGTATGTCAACAACGAAACCTGATAGCTACTAGGTTCTTTGTAAAGAACCAAAAACAAGACAGCCTCACCCGCAGAAGATAAGGATATGTAAATGCACAAACTCGCTAACAATGAAACGCCACCCGAATGATCTCGCTTCGTCAGCCTTCCACGGTCTCAATTTTAACAAAGTTCCAACGAAGCTTCTGTTCCGTCTCGCGTTCAATTCAAGTTTCCACGAAGCTCTTGCTCACGCTCAATCGCTTCGAACAGTGACTTGAAGTTTCCTGCGCCGAAGCCCGAGAAGTTGTGACGTTGAATAATCTCTAAGAACACAGTTGGGCGATCCATCATATGCTATTAATTATAGTCAGCGCCAGTTCTGCCTAGATCTAGAGTCTTCAGAGAAGGGAAGGGTAAAGAAACATACCTTTGTGAACAGCTGCAGTAAATAGCCACCCTCATCAAAGTCAATCAGGATATCCAAGCTGCGAATGGTTTCAAAGTCCTCGTGGAGCACCAATCCAGACTGCTTCAGGCGAGCCTTCATATTGGTGTAGTAAGTCTCAGGAACCTTGATGAACTCCACTCCACGAGCCTTCAAGTTGGTGATGTCGCGGATAATGTCATCAGTCAGCAGCGCAATGTGCTGCACACCAGCTCCATTGTAAAAGTCCACGTATTCCTCAATCTGTGACTGCTTCTTTCCCTTGGCAGGCTCGTTGATCGGCATCTTGACCAACTCGTTGGGAGATGACATGACAACACTCTTCAAGGCGGAGAACTCACTGCAAATGGTTAGTGTTATCTTGTCATTGGCCTTGATTTGGCTTAACTTACGTGCAGATTTGGCTGTCGTCGACAGACCAGAAACGGTGGAAACCGAGTGCCTTCTCGTAGCTACTCAATCGTCAGTATTTTATCTTCCCGAGGCATCCGTGAAGGAACAGGCAGAGTAGCTTACTATTCACAGATCTTATCCATTTCATCCCAGTCCTGATTTCCAACGCAGTGATCAATTCGCTTAAGGTGCACTCCGGGCAGGAACTTCGAAACAGGGTCCTCGACATTCGCTTCCAGACGATAACCCGGGAGGAAGGCGCCCTTGTATTGGTTGCGTTCAATCAAAGTATGGGTAGTCTGACCATATGTCTGAATAGTCGCAACCTTCACCTGGCCACCCTCATCTTTGATAATAGTGGGAGCATAAACAGCTTTGGCACCATTCTTGACGGCAGCGAAGAAGACGGCATCGACATCATCTACTTCAAATGCAACATCCTTGACTGCATCGCCGTGCTGCTCAAGGTGTTGGTGAATCTCACGAAGCTGGTCTTGTTCTTCGGGAGAGAAACGGTCGATCTGGTCCAAAGACCGGAGAGGTGAGGTAAGAATGAAAGTGATATCACCGTTGCGAATGACGTGGGAGGAAATGTGGCGGTGGCCTGTCTCAAGGCCGCGGTAGGCAATACGCTTGAACCCCATACGGGTGATGTAGTAACTCGCAGCCTGTTTGGCGTTTCCGACATACCAGTGAACATGGTCATAGCCACGATAGCTGGTGATGGAGGATGCCTCGTTCACCGTAGAAGGAGGTGGGGTGGTGGAAATAGCTGAAGGAGCCATTTTTGTGATCTCTTTTCTCTTTCAGATTATCTGTACTATGTTTGCTTGTTGGGTGATAACTCACTGTCTGAAAAGCTGTCAGCTTGAAGTGTATGGTAAGATGACAAGTTAGATCCGGGTAGTGAGGTGTAAGATGAGAAGTAAGATGAGAAGTAGGATATCAACGCCACGACTTCTACTGTTTTATAAGAACCAGTAAAAGCGCCTCTATTAACCGTACCGGGATTTTTGCGGATATCTCAATTCAATTTTCGTCATTGGTGCTATCGTTGTAAGCGAAAGAGCCGTGCTTTGGCTCGGCTGGGGGCGCATTCTGAAATTCCCTGTAATAGCCGGTAACAGCCGGGCCGCGTCTCTGACGGGTTCACGGCCGCCCTCTATTCATCCTAGTAGTACTTATCGTTCCAAAGCTTGCTTTCTTCCATCTTCCAAGTTCTTTGCTTATTGAAGTTCTCGATTTTCTTACTTCTGAGATTCCTCAACTGAGTCAACTTCACCTGTTCATCTTCACATTCGCAAAAACGAGTCTCACAAATACCACTACCCGAGAGGCAGCAAATATCGATATGGCATCAATCGCAGCTTCTCGCCCATCACTCACGTCGAATGATGCGGCAGTTCTTCAAGCTCTATTCGATGCCGAGTCCTCGCCTTCCTCTGGGATCACGGTTGATTCATCGCTTCCTCCATGGCCCAAAGCCGTGAACATCTCCCAAGAAGACCTTCTCTCACTGAAGAATCGCGAAATCGAAATAATCCGAGAGTTACAGCCAAGCATGAACCCAACTTGCGAAGTTGTGCAGTCTGCAGTTGATAGACTTAGCGCTCTTCTTGTTCAATATCCTTCGTACCCCTCCGCATATACCAACCGCGCCCAAGCCTTCCGCATGCTAGTCGATCTCCAGTTCGACAATACCGAAATGAGCACCGACGATACCTCAAATGATGCACTATTCACACCGCAAGCCGCAGATATGTCTTCTCAAATTCTGGCGGACCTCGGGCAAGCAATCACTTATGCCACGCCCGCTTCACCAGCAGACCCAGTATCATCAGCCCAGGCACGTCTCCTGGCAGATGCGCACACACATCGAGGGTATCTACTATTGAAGGCCGCACGATTAAAGAAGAATGCAGTTGAGAAAAATGAAGAAGCCTTCGGTCCAGATCGCTTGCGGGAACTTGGGGCAGATCAGCTTGAGGAGATGGCAAGCCGGGATTTCTTCTTGGGCGGAAGATATGGAAATAAAGTGGCTCAGCAACTTGCAGTGCAAACGAACCCCTACGCAAAGATGTGTGGAGCGATTGTTCAAGAGGCTATGAGGAAGGAAATCGAAGGGTGATAATGATTTTTAGCATACTGCAGATGGTTTACTGCTTCATCATTCGTGGCGTTATGAAATCAGCTTAGCATTTGAGGATATTCAACAAAGTGTGTTTAAATTCAATATTCTTTTTCCCACCAGTCCTGTTACTACGGTGACTTCAACCACGGATCCGATAGTAACTCCTTTGCGGAGGCACGATCCTCAGGTCGCCATTGAAGCATTTTGCGAATAAAACAGAGAAAGAGGTCTTGTTGTGGACCTTGTAGATGATCCTCTAGTTTTTCTAAGGATATGGAGGGGATTTCAACGGCACCCTTCCAATTACCTATACCTTCATTGTTAGCTGCAATAGCCCCACATATCAAACGTTAACAAATATATAGGAGATATACCGTCAATGTCGAAAAACTCATCCCCATACTGGCTTTTGTGAAGCATGTCTTTAGGCGGTGGCCCAAGAATCACAATCATCTTTGTAAGGTGATGGGTGTCAGAGCTTTTCTTTTCAGGATCACAAGCATAGAAAAGATATCCCTGCTCAAAAAGATCCTATGCCTATAGAAGACATCAGTATCAAGAGAGTCAATCTAGGATTTCCGGTAAGCTAACAAGAACTCCAAGATTCCAGACATCAATCTTCTCATTCTAGGGTATCCGCAATAAAACTTCTAGGGCTCAGTAAATCAGGGGTTGTACATCCTCCCATCTTAACTAAGTACTAATTCACGAACTAAATCATACCTCCCTAAAATCCGATAATATAGGACGACCATATACTTTAGGAATTCTGAGTTTTCGCGAAGGATAGATTATTCGGTTCTGAACTAATTTGTAGGGGCTGGGATTGTAATTCTCGGCCTCCTCGCAATCAAGCAGAATTGACTGGTCTTCTATACTCAGCATGATATTTTTTTCCTGTATATCTACCTATGGTTAATACCAAATAGTATAGGATGAACAAGATCGAGACTATTTTACCGGTATGAATGATTCTAGCTTCTGTATGAAGGAAGTCGAGAGCAAGAAGAATATGAATCAAGGTTGGTTTCAGTAAATTCTCCGGTAGAACTTTCGCTACCGCTCGATTACGCAGTTCGAATAGACTCATGGCCAAAGGCGCATGTACAAGACACTGATAAGAGCAAGAGTTATCAGTAGATTTGAGTTGAAAGTCATCTAGTGCGTTCCGGACGAGAAAGGATCCTGTGTGGGTTGAATTGAGCGTTGTAAGATGGTTGTATATCTCTTTTTCTCTTTTGCCATGACCGGAATCACGCTCAAATATTTTCAATGCGACGTAAGCATGCTGCCTATAGCCATTCAGTTCAAATGTTGGTTTACTCAAGATCCTCTGGTGAAGAGCCCCACTGTAAATCCCTACACAGCCATACAGTTGAGTAGCCCCCGTGGCCCAACTTTCCAATCACCTGGTATCGTGACTTAAAGACATCCCCGATTTTCACTGGGTAAAAGAGATCTAGCGAGTACCATCGCAAGGTTTCCTCTTCTAACTTATCGCCTGAGTCGAGTAGAGCACCCAATGGAGGGGGGGGTCGAGCTGGGGATGGCCGTCGCCGAAACACATATTGCCTTAACTGACGGGCTAAGCGTAGCATTATTTGAACTGATGCGTAACAAGATATGCACCAACATAGAAATGGGGAGGAAGGGGACTCTCGATGACGGGCGGTGAGGACCAGCCTCCAGGTATTGCACGCTTGGGCCCCACGATTATGACCAATCAATGTCAGTGGGTCAATTGCCAAGGGAACCATGATTCATGAATGTAGAAGCTTAACAGCCGGACTTTCTACAGAAGAAGAGAATGAGCTATCTACACAGAGAAGAGTGAGAGTACAGGTCACATGACAAGTAACCAAACAATAAGGTTTGGCGGCCGTGCTTATAGTGAGCTGGACTCAGTTCAATACTAGTAGAGACGGAAAACAAGGAATACTTGATGGAAATGAATGTGGAATAGATAATTGATTTGGTAAAAGGATGCTTGATGAAGGCAAGTTCAGGAAAGTGGGTCAGAGAACAACAAGAGCGGGCAATTCATCCCGGGTTCAACGCTTCCCTCATCCGGTCGCCACAATAGCGCGACTCGCGACTTCTTTCAAATGCATTGATGTCTGCAGATAAAACTCGGCTTGATGACCGTCGGAGGAACACATCTAATTTCGGTTTCACTGCGAGGTGGCATAGCTGTCGGAATGCAGACCAGCTCATAGCCACTAGAGTTTCACCTGGTTTCTCCCCCTCTGCAGCTCCCTCGTATAGATCCTCGATGATTTGATGATACGCTTGATCATGGCGAACTTGAGTAGTCCGAGTATACCGCAACTCAACAGTTAGGATAGCTATGGGAGGGATATCCCCCCCAATCTCGATACTAACTCCATTAGCACCAATCATTGTACTCCCAGGCTCCCGGCACAAACAGGTCAAGCGGAGGATGATCGGCAGGCAGTCAAACCCTGCTCGGCTAGTAAGATGTCCATTCTTACTAAGTGCAATGAGGCCACTTGGGCATAGCAAGTGGTATGGTAGACCGGTTTCTGGGAGTTGAGCCTTAGCAGACCATAACCGATATTCATCCACATCAGCTGAGCTCTGAATCTGGTCAGCGTGGAGACACTGTGACCCTATCAACTCCGTCCAGAGAAGTGAGAGGTAGCAACAGAAGTCAAGCGGTTTATTCCACATTGGAGTCGCTGTTATAAACCATGTAACATTCCGAGAGAGCTTAGCAACAGACTGGTGCTGCCTAGAGGATATCGTTTTGATGCGATGACCCTCATCGCAGATTGCGCATTGGAGCCGAGCTCGGAGGAGGCTGAGAAAGAACCGGCGGCGAGTCGTTGTTTTAATGGCAGATAGGTTAGTCGAGTCCACATCCGCGTCCTGTAGATCGGCCAGCTTATCGCGCGCATCGTCCAAAGTACTATCCACAGGAGAGGGCCCAGGTGTGGGAAGTATTGGCTCATCCTCAACATCTGTAAGGAGATCTTCGTCGAATTCCTCCTCAGCCGCTTCGGGATCTCGCGCCTTTGGATCGGCCGTGGCCCGGGGGACACCAGTATAGCAGGTGGAGTTCACGGGGTTACCGTCTATGTCCACCTCACGAGTGGTACGCCGGTCCCAGGCCTGGTAAGAAGAGAGAATGATCGTGGTGCCAGTGGCTGGGTCCAAGGGGTCAAGGCTATCAAGCATCGATTGCAGGTCAGCGCTCTTGGCTAGAGGATCTGCCGCAGTAAGCCAAGTCTGTTGAGCTCCACGACCCTTCAAAAGGAATACATATGAACCAGCCATCTTCATGAGGACTAGCTGATTTAAGGTTGGGATGGGTTGCTGCGACATTTGATGATGGATTTTTTGTGGATGACTGGTAGGTGGAGAAGACACATGGAACAACGATGGTAGCGATTCTGGCCCAGGTGCCGCTTGGCATGCCCCTCTCTGCACATGTGGCACATGCAAGAGCGTTCAAATCGGGACGAGGTCATATAGTTGCTGTCTGTCTGGGTAGATAGTTTAAGGGAAACATACGACAAAAGCCCGGAGTCGAGCCATGAAGACCCACGTTTCGAAGTAAGATGTGTAGGTAGGACCTACTAGTAGGTACTATGTATAACATTCAAATGTTTGAACATTTGAACACATACCAGTTGACCATTTGTATCTCGAGTACTCAGGGAGTAAGTACTCACTTCAAGTACGAGCTTGAGTACCTACCCATGCCAAGTCTGTAAAAGTTAAGTATGCACTAGTCGAGCACTTGAGTGCACATGTGGACATTTATATCTGCGCGGCGCGCTTTCAATGTTAATTGTTATTACCTTCTTCTTCAAACATTGAAGGTTTAGTAAGGTATACTAATCTCTATATGTATCTCAGTAAGGGCTACTACCTCCAGTCTTTCTAGCACTTGAGGGGTATCTATTCTACTTAGTATGTACTAAGGTCAACATACTTAGTACTATGTGTAAGTATCAGAGGAGGAATGCAGGTAAGTGGATGAGGGCCACGGGTATGACATAAGCGCTCTACCACGGCAACCGGTGATGGCCTGAGTACGACGGAGGACGGGGGTTCGATTCTCCCTATCAGAATTTCTTTTCTTTTCGTTTTTGTGGTTAAGTATCCGATCAAGCTTATCGTGATCCGAAGATCAACTCCATGTACACTCCGGAGACATCCACTGGTTGCTGCTCGGATTTCCACAATAGTGAAGATAAATACATTTTTCGGTCACTGTCATTATCCATTGAGTTCATTCCTTGGTTTAAGCCGACGGCGGGCGCATAGCAATTTGTAAACTGATGAAAATCCCCAATTTGATCACCAAGCTTAGATCAGAACAGATATCAGGCTTTTGGATACTTCATAATTCCAATGGCCATTAGCTAGGCCTCTATTACCGGAATAAAACATCAAAACTTCCTGGTAAAGAACAACAGGAAACTTCTTTCAGGTTGTGGAACAATTTGTGCCACATTTCGATAAGATCGGATGCGGCATCGGCTATCGGAACGACGCATCCCCCACATGATGAAATGCTTTGGATCGCATATGAACAGCTCTATTTCCAGCAAATTATCTTCTCTACTTATTTCCCACTTAACACCAAGACTCGAATCAAAATAACATCCACTTTTCCGCAAAATAAAAAATCCATCGCTCATAATGTCATACGAAATTCAGTACGACGCATCTCTGGCCCCGCCCCGCGCCGCCGCCATCGTCAGCTTCATGCAAGACTTCTACCGCACCAGCGATACCGAGTCATTGCACGAGAAATATGTCGAAAGCTTCACCGATGACGCAACTTTGATCATGGGACCCAAGGAGGCAAAGGGTACGGATGGTATGTTTACGATCCCATTCCGACCAAGCCGAGTTGTTTCATGATGCCATGTCAACTTATACTCACATACGCTCCTCTAGCCATTCGCCCTCTGCGACACGGTCTCTGGACCCATGTGGCGTCGCGCAAGCACACTCCTACTCGTATCTTTTTCGGTGGCGAGAACGAGATCATGCTCTATGGTGGAGTGAACTACCGTCTCAAGGCTGACCCTGAGACTGATGTTTATATTCCCTGGGCTGGACGCGTTGTCTTTGCCCCACAGAAGGGTGATGAGGGTGTGAAGATGCAATTCTACCAGGTCTACTTGGTGTGTATTTCTTGGATAACGTGGTTGTATGTGGATATTTACTGACAGGTGTGCATAGGACCCATCCGCGCAATCCGGCAAGAAATGAGCGATTGATACATGTATTTTATTTAGCAATTTTGAACCTACTATTTGAAAGAAATTGGTAGTAAATTTGATAAACTTCATACTATCAAGTGAAATTTGGAAAGAACCATATTCAAATTACTGAGGTACTGCACCTCGCCCGCCTAAACATTACAGGCGCGCTAAAAGCGATGGCATTTTGGTTGTGTCTGTATCGAGGTTGAGAGCGCAGATGCCAAGTAAGCAAGGTATGGTGCACTATATAATTCAAGTCAGGCAAACTGATGATTAAAGAGAATGTTGTGGGTATCTTACGCAGACTTTGGCTCCCGTAGAGTTCAATAGCAGTGGACATGAGAACGCATTGGGACAACAGCCAATTGTTGCACCCGCAGAGATACACGTAGTATTGACCGCACACTGCACATGTCAATCGTCAGCAACGAGTCAAATCAGCAATTTTTTAACACTTACACATGTACTTGTCGCATTACAAAAAGTCTGGTTCGCAGCACAGGCTCCGCACTTGCCACTTATACAGCTCTGAGTAGATGTGCACTAGACCAGGAGTGAGTTCAAGACGCAGAGGAACGGGGAATCCGATTCAATCCAGTACTTACCTTAGTACCACAGCTTCCGCAGTTGTTTATATCTGAAGTTGTATTTGTACATGCGCCCCCACAACAGTTGGGTGTCGTTCCAGAGCACTAAGATCCATTGTTAGGTCTGGTCGAGATAAGGCAAAATCTCCATTCAAGTGGTCAAAGTCCATGCACTCACCGTTTTGGCGCAGGTTCCACAATTTGTGGAGCTTGTATTTAAGTTGACACAAGATCCATTGCAACATGTTGGGGCTGTTGTAGGGCACTAAGTCATATTTTGGTCAGAACCGTTAGGTTGCTGGGTGTTGTGCAGTAGGATAATCTTACGACGACTCCACAGGCTCCACAATTCTTGGAGTCGGTGACCGTGCTGGTGCAATTTCCACTGCAGCAGTTTGGAGATGTAACCGGACACTAATACACAATTCTTGTAAGCGATGGGCCGGTTAATGACCGTTTTTATCAACATAGCAAGGTACTTACCGTGATGTTGCAACTGCCGCATGTCAATGGATTGCTGTTCACATTCATACATACCCCGAAGCAGCATGTGGGTGCAGCAGCTGGGCACTTTTTTTACATCAACTACTAGTAAGTCGTTGTTTCGAGTTGCTTCGTTTGGCTATGATAGGTGTAGTATAGACTTACCGCAAGACCGCATGTTCCACAATTATTGGGATCAGTCAATATGTTGGAACACTTGCCATTACAACATGATGTAGCTGGGAAAGAACACTAATTTTCAAAGTAAGCGCTCCATATTAGTAGAAATTGTCACATCCCATGCCCCTCTCTTATATTTCGGGATACATACTGTGGTATTGCAAGAGCCGCAAGTCAGTGGACTGCTATTGAAGTTGGTGCAAACACCAGAGCAGCAATTTGGTGCTAATGGAGGGCACTATAAGAAGCGTCAAAATTATGTTTTTCTGGATTATTGAGTGATAAATGGAGAGGAACAGTACTGAAAGGCCGCAGATTCCACAGTTAGTCGTATTTGTATTTGTGTTTGTGCAGGATCCGGAGCAACAAGTAGGTGCTGCAGCAGTGCACTGGGAAGGTATTTCAAGGTTTATATGTCAGCCAGCCCTCTAATGAGTCTTCAAGTTCAATTGATGGAAATCCATGAATAATCATACCGGGTTATTACAGGCTCCACAGGTTAAAGCGTTGCTGTTCAGATTGGTGCAGGATCCAGAGCAACAAGTCGGTATCAGTGGAGGGCACTGGCAACTTCGCATTAGATTTCTTGTAAAATATTCAAGAATATGTAGAGCTGCAAGACATACGGATAAGCCACAAGTTCCACAGTTTGTACCGGTAATGTTCAAATTGGTGCAAGTTCCCTGGCAACAGGTAGGCGATGTTATTGGGCACTGCTTTTGTTAGAAGCTGTTCTCAAACATTTAATAGAGGTTTAGGCCTTAAGTTAACTGACAATTGTGTTGCAGGAACCACAATGCGTAGTATTGGAAGCTAAGTTAGCACATGTGCCCGAACAGCAAGTTGAGGAAGAAGCGCACTATTTTTGATGATCAATAAAAACTCGCTGTGTACGAGTTCTAAATAATATACGGGAGATATTTACCGTGTTTCCACAGGAGCCGCATGATGAGGAGTTAGTTAGTAAATTAGTACAAGAACCTGAGCAGCATGTTGGTGATGACGAAAGACACTAATAAAAAGTTTTAGCAATCCCTTCCTGGGTCATCTTAGGTTTATAAATAGACAGGAACTCACAGTCACACCACAAGATCCACAGTTAGAGGGCGATGTATTGACATTCGTACATGACCCCTGGCAACAGCTTGGCGATGCGGCCGAACACTGTAAAACTTAGTTCAGATCTGTTGACTCGTCAGGGTCAAAGTAACTCACAGTCGTATTACAAGTCCCACAATTCGATGAGCTGCTGCTTAGATCAGAGCAAGCTCCTGAGCAGCAAGCAGGGGACACTCCCGTACATGGTGCTGCAGTACAAGAACCGCATTTGGTGACATTGTTGTTCAGGTTCGTACACGTACCATTGCAGCAAGAGGATGCAGTTGAGGAGCACTGTTAATATAATTAAACCATTGATTCTTCACAACATTTGAACGTGGAAATATTTTATGCTTACAGCATTGGCACAAGAGCCACAATTTCCGCTACTTGCACTCAAATCGACACAGGTTCCAGAGCAGCATCCTGGTAATGTTCCGTTACATGGTGAGGCTGCACATGATCCACAGTGGCTCAAGCTGGAGTTAGTGTTTGTGCATGATCCTGAACAGCAGGTGGGTACAGAAGAGTTGCACTAGACAGAAGTCAGATGATCTGTTAATCTTCAAGGAGACGGATTACTTACAGCTGTGCTGCATGCTCCACAGTTCTGAGAGTTGCTGGACAGGTCTTGACAAGATCCAGTGCAGCAGGCCGGCTCTACACCCGTACATTTATTACTGCAATTACCACAGTTCGTGACGCTAGTGTTGATGTTTGCGCAGTTTCCAGAGCAACAAGTAGACTGGCTTGTAGCACACTATTGAGTCTTAGTCAATACGTGCACGCGAAAGTAAGAGATTATGAAGATTCTTACTGTATTATTGCAAGTTCCACAGTTGACAGGATCGATTCCCAGGTCACGACATCTTCCAGCGCAGCAGCCTGGTATACTCCCACCACACTATAACTCAACACATATTAGTATATGGGCATATTGAATGAAGTCAAGGAAACTTCAAAGTATAGTCAATGGTATTTTGTCCTACCGGGGGAGCTTCGCAGGACGCGCAATGGGTGGCATTGTTGAACAGGTTGGTGCAACTTCCACTGCAGCAATAGACATATCGACCACTGCACTAATAAAAGAATATGATCAGATATTGAAGATGTTTAAATGACACGTCAAATCGATGATCGAAATTTCCCTCACAGTTGTATTGCAGGATCCACAGTTGGTTCTGTTGGTGGAAAGATCAACGCAATTTCCAGAGCAGCAGCTTGGGTCTACTGCTGGACATAAGCGAGCGCTGCAGGATGTCGAACATGATCCACAATGAGTCAAGTTGCTGCTCAGATCCACACAATTATTCGAGCAGCAAGTTGGCGTTATACCTGTCGTGCACTAAAATATTCCATCCCTTCAGCGATTGTGTCATGTAAAAATGTGATATGATGATATCGGGTGTCTTACAGGTGTACTGCATGCCTGTAAATCGGGTAAAAGCGATCGTTCGGATAGTATATTGGAGCAAGCAGATTGGGACGCGTCCTGGTGATCTTGTTAGGCCACCATAATTTCTTGGAATTTAATGGGGTTTTGCCACGCAATTATACCGAGTGGGTTCAACAGCCCTAGGGTTTCTTGACATACATCATCCCAAGAGAAAGGATCGCAGTGAGCTTTATTTGGAAAAGGATGTCCAGCGGGAATTAGAGGGTTTGCGATTGTTCTTGCATTGGGGAAAGTAAAGAAAATGACTGGGTACTTCCTGATTAGAAGATCGCGCTCAAAGTCAGAGTAAAGGAGAAAAGACTCTGAGACGAAGTTTCTTTCGGTCATTGACTTACTGCATATCAATATTGAGGGCATCAGCAGCTTCAAAGTCTCAAGGATCGCCATGACGAGTCAATATGGTGCGATTCTGATAAACCCTGTCTGTCCTTGTTTTGCTCCCTCTATCGCTGGTTGATATGTCGGAGCTTGAACAATCTAATCTCAAAGAGCGAAACTTAGATCATACTGTGACGAACTACTATCTTCAAATATACTGATAATAACAAACGACCCCTGTGTCACAGCTTCCAGGGACAATGTAACGGTGGGTTGAACCACATCGGCTGTCAATTCGTCCATGTTACATCTTTCTAGACGAGTACTACCAGGGATTTGAACGTCGTATGCAAATTGAAAAAATTATTCAAATTTTGTATTTACTTCAAGTACCTATTCCATATTTCGGAAACTATGTAAGAACTTGGTCTTCAACTCCGTGGCATCGATTGCAGCCTTGGAAGTTGGAAGCTCATTCTGCTGCTAATATCGTCACGGGCGCTCTTGCACTTAATATGAACGTCTCCTCCTCCACTGTGACTGAAAGTTCTACTTTGAGCCAGTTCATAATTCGAATATTATACACATCAAGACTGGGGGTTATCGGCTGGACTTTCTGAAGCCGCCTTCCGGCGACACTCAGCCCATCCGAGTGAAGAACCATCTGAAGAACACTCCCAAGATCGACCGTTCCATCTCCAATGGTAACCTCCCAAGGGAAATCATCCATTCTCCGGACGGCATCCTTTAGATTCAAATTCTGAATGCTTCCTTGGCTTCCGACGGATTTGGTGGGGATTGAACGAGCATTGTTAGTGGGTTGACTGTACCCGGCTTCCAGAGAGGCTCCGTGATACTTGACAAAGATGCACGTTTCCTGAGAAAGAGATATCGAGTGAATCCAAACTTTCCTTGGAACTTTTTTAATCTCTTCGCTTGTGTCATCCCCTTGGGCAATGATGAGGTTCAGGGGTAGGACCGCGGGGTTATCAAGCTGGATCGTACTCGGCGTATAAACCCCAACTTGAAAGGAAAGCTCGGGCACTTTGGATGAGCCAAAACGCTTTTGTGCCCTTTGTTTCATAGTCAGGGGGGAAAGTGGAGCGTCCGGGAGTAAACGATGGCTCCGAACTTTCCTTTTGAATATGTGTTCTGTGATTCCGAATTCTTCGAATTCATTCAGTGGCTGATGTCGCAAGGTGATCGGATAAAGTGCAGTGCATGTTCTTTCGATATCATTTTGGCCAAATGTCCCCTTTTCCAAATATCGCAGTTCAGCCTCCAGATAGTAATCGATCCACGCTGTCGACGTGGCCATACCATTACGACCAACTGAACCCGTCGTTCCTGGTAGGTACTCGTATGAAACATCGAATTTCCCATACACCCTTCGTGGGGGATCAGGGATAATTTCCGTGGTAAATGACCAAGAAATTGGATTTCCGCCATCTGGAATGTGTAGGGGGCCTTGGAAGATCGGATAACGTTTTGCAAGCAGGATCTGCTCGGAGGCAACAGGTTGACTAGTGGCAATGGCAGGGTCGGTTGAAAATGAGCCGCTGTTGCCCACACTTGATCTACTTGTCTGTATACGACCTCTCAAAAATAGATTGACGTTCGCATCGGCAGTGACAATGGGAGCGCAACGAACCACGTCACCGATTACCGTGTCACCTGGAGCAAACGTCCATCCCTCGGGCGCAGCCAAATCAATCCGAAGGGCATCACTACACACTTTGCGAAGTGGCATTCTCCTCGAAAAGGTTTGTGTAGTGGCAGTCCCCGATTTAGATCCGATTTAGTCTCCTGTAGATTCTAACACTAAAAATAAATCGCGTTCCGGATCGTTCGCCCAGAAGTGGGGTAATACTTCCGCGCCTCGCCGAGGCTGATTGGCAGCTGGCACCATCCTCTTCTATTTATGTAAAAGAGCCAGAAGGAATTTGTCGAAAGCCTCAAGTTAACCATTCTTCATTCTCTAAGCAGAGACAATGAATTATTCCAAGGTTGAGCAGACTTTTTGGGTTCAGCTTCCAGGCTTCCTGAACCGGTGGTCTGATTGCAAGAAAGAAAATAAACAGTCACATGGTCCTACACCTTCCTCTGACTAAGAAATAAATGGTATCTATATGAAAAATCGCTCGAAAACATCTATGCAGTATGAGCTTCTATGGCTCTCGGGCGAAGTGAGAATTCCCAATCTCGGAGCGCGAGGCGTTGCATCGAAAATCGAGTGTTGACTCAGACAATGCCGTAGCCCATCCACCAAACGCCCCAGATCAACGGTCCCAAAGATCCTAGGACCGCTGGCCCAAAGGACATTTCAAGAATGCACCAGATCCACACCGTTCCATATGCAGGTGCCTTCTTCATCACTCCCCAGTAGGGATCTTCGTTTGTAATTGTAATAAGGTGCATACCCAGCATCACTGCGACAGGTAGATAGACGACAGTGCGAAGAGTCGGAGGTAGTAACAAGCGTCGTAAAAATGTCAGACTCAATTTTTCGCGTGTGAATGGGATGAGGGAAACAGGCTGCGGATTCAAAAAGCTCCATCGCGGAAGTCGAAGGGTGACGATGTGGCCGTGGACGAAGTGAACGAGAAATGTGAGTAACGGCAATGTTTTAATAACAGCCTCTTTCACCAGCTGTGACACATCCGTAGATTCAGCGTACATGTAAGAAGCGAGGTAGGCGAGGGTGAGGTGGAGGGTTGTGAGGGGGATTGAGAGCAACACGGTATCGAGGAAGGGTGGGAGGGGTTCGTCCACCACAGAGTCGTCATCTTTTTTGTCTTCTTCGTCTCTCTTGATCTTTGGTTTGACATCTTTGCTGGAAGGGCTCTTTTGTTCACTGAAGCTCCTTGAAATCTCGCTATTGACATCACGATCGGTTTCCACAAGAGCTCCAGACGCGTCCACTGTCACGTAACGTGCCCCCGACGATTTGGTGGACTGCTTCGTTTCTCTATTCAATGACGGTGTAGCCTTGAGCCCGGCTGATTTGCCAAGTAGCTCATTTTGACGTTCTTCGATAATGTCATAGAGTGTTTTATGCTCTTTGGGTTTTGTGGACGGATCGTCGCGTGAGGGGAGGGAGAGAGGAATGTCAGAGTCGGTGGGGTCGGACTCAGCAGCCGCAGCACGGCGCTGCTTTCGATTTCGGGGGCCGTCCATGGATCGAAGATAATGAGGCAGATGTTAAAATTGTAGAGAGAAGTAGAGAATCAAAAATGGCCAAGCAATAGGAAAAAACTGGTGGAGGAAGGGACTCGGCGATAGCCCGGGGTTAAACTGGGGAGCACCCTTTTATTGCACAGCCGAACCTGTAAATCGTAGGGAGGCGGGCAAATCCCCAAGTGAATTTCTTAGCTGGAAACCTTGGAATATACAAATAAATGGCAATTGAAAGTGGCGATTCAATAATTTCAAGCTGCGGTCAGTTTGGTGAGTCCATCGAAGAGATGTGTCAAGTGAGACATTTCACGCTAGTTGGAGTCCACATGTGATGCCTTGCTGCCTGGATACTCAGGCTCTGGCTTTGAGAATACATACAAATTCAATGAACATCTTGAACCGTCATTCAACGTAATACCATTCAAATTTATTGCATGGTTCCGCTTTCTTCACCTTGAGACAAACTTCTGGTTGGCCCCCAAACGATTTGTCCGACCAGGATCTCAACATGTCGGAAAATAAACTCGACGAGGGTGCCGAGTACGGTGCTTTCCCATTCGATTACTACATCGCAGTAAGTTAAGCGTATTCCTCGCATGACAAACCATCTCAGCTTATGCAAAATAGGACCATTGGCCGAGGGCTTAGTGTAAAGCCCTCAGAAATGGGAAGAATTGGTGTGGAAATATCTAGCGTTATCGCTTATAGATCGATATATCATATGTGATGTTTGACATCTCCCCTCGCCGGGCAGTGATAAAAGGATAAAAGGGGGGAGTAATGGTTCAATATCAAATCTCTGCTCTGGACCATGGATTCAAATGTTTAAGGGTCACAAGTTATGTATCAATTCAATTGATATGGAATAAGTGGCCAGATTAAAATGTTGACCGCTAGTCGCAACCGAAGGAGGGCCTTAACAGTAGTAGTATTAACGTTGCTTATGCCAAGTGTTCTCAAGTCGACATTACGGTGACTCAATTGGCCTAACTTTAGGAGATGGGAAGCCTAATAATTTCCAAGAGGTCAGATTCGTCAGAAACTTCGCTATAAAAGGAAAGTGGTAGAAGGTAGAGCTCAATCCACGGGTGTTGAGTCATTGTGTCACCAAAGCCCAACGTACAGTATAAAGACCGCCCATGTACCCCGCAGGTCCCGTAGATCCACCAATTCTCCGCCCATACACATTATGTTTCCCCCACCACCTGCAGCCCTCGATTGGAAGGATATTGGCTTCAAAGTCCGCGACGGTAAGAGTGTTTCAAGTTCCCAAATTCCTCCAATGCCACTTTCTAAACAGAAACAGTGCACGGCCATGTTGAATGCCACTTCTCTCAGTCGGAAGGCGGCAAGTGGTCCGCCCCACGATTCGTCGCCTCGCCTTTCTTGACGATCCACGGAATGGCACCGGGCCTGAACTACGGACAACAAGTGTACGAGGGACTGAAGGCATTCCGGCATGAGGGGGACAGCAAGATCACGATCTTTCGACCGGAGCGCAATGCAAAGCGAATGCAACATTCCGCAGAGGTGGTCTCGATTCCGCCCGTCCCCGAGAAGCTGTTCATCGAGGCCGTCCATTTAGCCGTAGCGGCCAATGCCGAGTTTGTTCCGCCTCATGAGACTGATGCGGCCATGTACATCCGGCCTTTGCTGTTCGGGTCTTCTGCGCAACTGGGCTTGAGCCCGCCAGATGGATATACCCTGGCGGTGTTTGTCATGCCGACTGGCGTCTACCATGGCGCTAGTGCCGTCGATGCCCTCATCTTGGAGGACTTCGATCGATCCGCCCCCCATGGGACAGGTGATGCCAAGGTTGGGGGTAACTATGCCCCTGTTCTACGTCACAGTGATCGCGCGCGCAATGAAGGGTTCGGCATCACACTCCACCTTGATAGCGCGACAAGAAGCGAGATTGATGAGTTTTCCACATCGGCTTTCATCGGGGTTAAGGGCAGTGGCACGAATGTTACGATTGTGCATCCCGATAGTCCTAATGCTATTGACTCCGTCACAGCCGCATCCGTGGGCGAAATTGCCCGGAAGCTGGGCTTCCGCGTCGAGAAGCGACGTGTTACCTACGATGAACTTGCTGAGTTTGACGAAATTGTTGCAGCGGGCACAGCGGCCGCCCTGGTGCCGGTACGAAGCATCACAATGCGGTCCAAAGGGGCCAAATTTGAATACCGATCTGGAGAAAATAATGAGGGCGGTGAGGTCTGTGTCAAACTACTACAGAATCTACGCGGTATCCAGTCGGGTAAGAAGGAAGATGTGTTTGGTTGGAATTTTGAAGTGCAAGCTCCTCCCAAGGGGTGGATGGAAGACGGCAGCCACGAAAAGACGGAGTTGAGTGGAGCGAATGTGCCTTGAGGATTTAATTGGACGGGCCTCTCGATTGAAAGTCCAGATTATTGAGCAAGTGCTGTTCAGCAAAGGGCCAGAGTCCAGGGAGTCCATACCCATTTCCCCCCTTCCGGAAAAGGGATAGACGTGACAACATCGGAATGCGGTGTTGCACTAGATTCGTTTGCGGTCGCGAGCCACTTTTGACACCTTTACCTCTTATCTTTCACAATTCACTGGCTTGAGCTTACTATGGATCGAATTTTCCCCATAGTGTCTGTTTCTTATCGATCAAATGTCGTACGGCTTGGGAACCCCTGCCCGCATTCCGCTCCGATCCCCATTGTAATCCAGAACCATGGATGCCACGATACCATGACAGGTCCAGGGTCACACTTCAATTGATCCTGGTCTATTTCCGGATGTAATTGGTAGCTAATTGTGATAGGGAATCCCCATGCAGTTGGATTGATGTAGCCGTTGTCCACTATTGGGCCGGGACTAGGAGGTGACTGGAGGGATACACGCCTTGTTACCATGCCAGCACCCCCATTGTTCTTGGAATGTGATTTGTGATCCACAAGACCCCTCTTGTTTTCCAGATGTGGATGTTACGTATGGTCGCTCATCTCTTCACAGGACTTCTCTTCCTTTCTAACCTTTTGCTCGAGTGGCTGTCTGGAGGTGTGCGATAGCTGTGCAATTGATTTCTTACCACCGGTTTAGTGAATTTCTATACAATTAGACAAAGGAAACGGATATAGGCAATTTGATCGACTCAAATACTGATCCGAGTCTCGCATTATAACGCATCCCGGCCTCGATGCGTATATTCGACACTTCTCAGCCCTCATGGGCGAGAATATTGACAACCGCTCTCGCGGCAGCATCAACAGCGCGAGCTGTGCAATTGGACGTCGAGAGTGCCGGTATGTGGATAAGAAAATCAAGAATCTTGTCAAGATTGGGACTAATCCTTCGTCGCAGTCTCCATCAAGAGAGCCGCAAAAGAAGTAGCCACGAACATGATGTCCTACTATACCGGAAATAGGCCAGGAGACAACCCAGGAAATCTGCCTGATCCATACTACTGGTGGGAAGCTGGTGCAATGTTCAATGCATTGATCGACTACTGGTTTTATACGGGAGATGATACATGGAACGACATCACTACGCAAGGTCTGCAGTGGCAAGCAGGCGATACGGGCGCCTTTATGCCCAACAACCAAAGTAAAACAGAAGGAAACGACGATCAAGCTTTCTGGGGATTCGCAGCCATGTCTGCTGCTGAGCGAAACTTTCCCAATCCTCCCTCTGGCAAGATGGGCTGGTTGGCTATGGCCCAGGCGACATTCAACACGCAAGCACCTCGCTGGGATAACTCGACTTGTGGAGGAGGACTGCGATGGCAAATCTTCACGTGGAACAACGGATACACCTACAAGAATACTATCTCCACTGGCGGATTCTTTAATCTCGCTGCACGCCTTGCTAAGTATACTGGAAATTCGACATACCAAGATTGGGCCGAAAAGGCTTGGGACTGGACGGAGGATGTTGGATTCATGACACCCGACTACCATTTCTGGGATGGTGCAAGCGATTTGAGCAACTGCACCGACATCAACCAAATTGAGTGGACATATAACAACGGTGTTTTTCTCCTTGGCGCAGCGAATATGTGGAATGTGGTATGTGTTGTACATCTCCCTTCCAACCAGTGCCAACCTTACTAACTGACTGGCAGACCTCGGATCCCAAATGGAAAAATCGAATCGAAAAAATCATTGAATCATCGTCCGTGTTCTTCTCCGATAACCCCAAGAATGTGATGTTTGAACGAGCCTGCGAGGGAGTCAACACCTGTATGGTCGACCAAAGATCTTTCAAGGGATATCTCGCTCGCTGGATGGCAGCCACCACTCAACTGGCCCCGTTCACCTACGACTTGCTCATGCCCAAGCTCAAGGCATCCGCCTCGGCCGCTGCACAAGCCTGCGACGGTGGACCGGACGGCACGACATGCGGTCTCAAGTGGACAGAGCAGAAGTGGGACACTACTAGGGACTTTGGTCAGCAGATGGCAGCCCTCGAAGTGATCCAAGCGAACCTCATTACGAAAGTTGCTGCTCCAGTTACTAGCAGCGATGGTGGCACCAGCCAGGGAGATCCCAGCGCCGGTGGAAAGCCCCCACAACCTACACCGGATGCGCTCTCGTACCGCATTACGACCGCCGATCGAGCTGGCGCTGGTATCTTGACCGCTATGATGATGGTCACTCTTGGAGGATCTGCGGGGTGGCTTATTTGGGATTAACCAATAAGCTACATTCATTTTACAACATTCGTTTCTTCAATTGCTCTACTCTTCGTTGTTCTATTTTGGTTTCCTGCCCTTTGCTACGGATTTTCAACAGTGGTGTGACGCAATTTATTTCTTGCGCAGCGCTAGAGTCTTGTATATAGTCGTCGCATTCAAATGTATTCAGTTTGGTTATAATGGATATTGATTCAAACATTTAAATTGTGTTTTATTGTAAAGTGAGAAAAACCCAAAGGCACCAATTATAAGCTAGAGATATCCACGATGCCCCTAGTACCCCTACGTGTGAATCTTCAATCCCCTAACGCCACAAACGCCACTAAGTCCGGGCATTTACGGAAATTATGTTCCTCATCGCGTGGAAACTCAATGTGGACAAATGGCGCGACGGAGATAAGATGGATGACGAAAAGCGGGGGAAATCCACACACAACGAACAACTTGCTGTAGTAATTTCCAGATGTCTGAGTGTACTAGTATGTAAGCTCCGTAGATCTGGCCAATACCAAAGCATGGTAAGCGATTGGCAGCACATTTTGGACAGCCCCGAGGAGAAGTGCAATTATGATTCGACATCTTGAGTGGCTCTCAAACCCTCACCACTGTACCGGGTCTTGTCAGACCCGAAGGCATCGGGAGGATTGCGCATGCATGACCATTATCCGTGCCTGAGAGGGCCTAGGTGACATTGATCAAGGATTCGAGACCCACTGGAAAGGGGGTGGACAGGGATTATTTACGATTTAGATATAGCGGGGAAACCAACATCGACCCGAGGAGCTGATTGAAGGCACATTAGCGAGACGGGAAGGAATATTGTAGAGTTAAGCCTTGGAAGGACTAGGTCGTGAAGTCCTGTGCGTGATAAGTGACAGCAAATGTTCAGAAGGTCAAAGTGGGGGTGATGTCACTTGGAAATCCTCTAGTAATTTTGGCCCCCAGTCTTGAAAGGCTGTGAAATGAGATTCCCTCGGAGCTATGCCCAGATGAGACATAATCGGCATGATTGGGAGCGCCAGAACCATTCGACTGTTTATGGAATTTTCCAGGTTGGAACACACCACCTGAAAGGAGCAGGTGATAATATCTTCACCCTTGAAAAGTGATTGAATAGACTGAAAATGCATTCCTATGAATAGCTTGCGATATTCTGCTTTGTGGTCTATATTGCAGGGCCATATCAATAATTGCGGTTGTTATTTTGGGGTTTGGTGGCATTGGCGTCTAACCGATCTAAGCCTAGGGCCCGCAAAGGACCCATGGGCCACAGGTTAGAGTTGAGTCCTATTAATATTCATTCTATTCAAATGTTGTATTCATAGACACATCCATGTTGCTTGCGATTTTCTATATTTACATTGGCGGCTATGCATGATTGATACAATTCCAATACTGTGAGTGTTAATCTAGCGCTAGTAAACTGCGAATGTAGGAGTTGTTTTTTATAAGCAATCACAGGAAACCATGCTTCTTAGTAATTGATCCAGTGACGCGGAGTATCTGAAGTCCGAATACTGCATCCGTGGCAAGGGCATCTACAACCTGAAACAAACCACAAGAGAATAGATCGACAAATTCGGGATGAAACCGTTGAATATGAAACAACCTTGGAATTCATCAATCGCGAAGTACGAGATATGGGATGAAAAGGTCTTGCCATCGACGAACTTCTGACCCCCAATTTCTTTTGGAAAGGTACAGGATGCATAAGGTTGCATACCTCCACCCCGGAGACAAAGAGAGTAAGAGGTGTACCGTGCGCCGCGTGGAAATCTTGCCCCTTTGCCATATTCATCTAGTTCGCCTCTGGATTATGAGCTTGTGGTGGCAATATGCATTATGAATTTGGATGCTGATGCCCAGGTGGGTACCGATAAGGCGTTTTGAATTCTTACTGTGTTGGGATAAACACCAACAGTTGGATGGTGAGATTAATGCTCCGTGGCTGCTAATAGGTTCGTTGTCCTTGCCAGTGTGGAGTTATGGGTTTCTTCTTAGGCCTCTAACATGCTTTGATCCGAAGCCAACGTTCTTGGCCGGCTGGAAATTTATGCAGGGCGACGCCGTAAGCTCTCGTCATCAATAAATAGGACAGAACACCTTAATGTCCAGCAGTTCAATCTGCCTAGGATATTCAATATGGGGTCATTGGGGTGGTTCCTACAAGATTCCAAATGGTCCAATGGAGCAACACCATTGTGCAGTTATCTGTCTCAGTAACATGTCACTGACTCTAATATTGACGGGGCGTTCCTTGATAGGCAAACTTGCCTTTTCAGGCAAGGGTACCTGTCTGGGTTAAGCGTGGAGATAAAGCCGTCTATGTCTGGGGAGTATCAACTGTCATGAGGCGGACTTGAAAAAGCTATACGGTGTAGTGGAGTTGTAGTTCCCCCGGAGGAATTGGGAGGGATCGGGAGGTTGTCCCAGATCGTAGATCAGGTCAATCATGATTCAAGAACATAATGCAAGATTGAATAAGTAGTACTTTCCAATATCTGAGGACCTTTTTTAGTGGGAAAAATACATGTCTTGTTTCTTTTCCAATACAAGTCGGTATGAGGTGTGTTATGGAGCCGGTCGAAGGGTATGGCAGTGGAAATCGGTATGATCCAGTCTATTGTGCAAGGACCCACTTACCGGCACGTTGAATAGTACCTCCCCCGCAGTTGAGTGGTGGATTCGAGGGAATTTGTGGGTGCATTTTTTACAGAAGTATGGTATCTTACGGTATGGGTATGGGCAATACTAGTGGCGAATTGATACGGATCAAGTTGGGGGCCGTGTCCTGCATAGACTTGCATAACAGAGGGGCCACAGTCCACGGAGAGGCAAACATTGTATCTGTACAGTCCAGAAGGTCTCAGACTTTCTCCGTAGTCCATAGTTGATTATGGGATCGTAGATCCTCATACCTCGACTAGGAAAGATCTCAAGTAGGAAAAGAAAACAAAAGCTTCCTCTCCACAAGGATCACAGACACCACATGGTGCACATGGCTGTGGATGTCGTGGCGCAGAAGGGATAGCCAATATTGGTTTTAATTTATTGGCACTCTGAATCTGACATGTTTCTCTCATGCCTGTTAAATGAGTGGAATGTAACCCTAGTTAGTATATAGGGATTGCCGATCAAAAGTAACGTGTAGATTAAGCTAAAGCCCAAGATGCAGTGGCCCATGGGCGTTTTAATCCCAGAATGAAATGTGACCATGTAGGTTCATGTACGATAAAAACAAAATAAATGTTTGATAGATATTAAAAAAAGAGTCAAGATACTCGAAATAGAAGTTCCAGTTCGAATAGAGATGATCCTCTTCGTAAGGGAAGGGGGTTACTCGAAAAGGGAAGATTCCGGCCCCCAATACGAACTGGGCTGCTTGTATTGTATTGCGGTATTCCCTCTTTCCCTCTTTTCCTCTTTAGTGACACACAGGTGGAGTGGGCCCATTGAACGCCTGAAGAGCCCAGCAGCTTATTTCCAATGATATCAGCGCTGTTCTGTGCAAGTGCAGGTACTGCATGACTAGCCCCCAACCTAGCAACTCCCTTTCCCCCCCTAAGACAAAAAAACGCTTGCTCCCGGGGCTAACTTGCAAACCTCCTCTTTGTCAACATCTTTGAACAAGCCACTGTTACCTCCATCAAAAAACCGAGTTCTTTGTTCCAGTTGGAAGCCATCCCCAACAACAAAGAATCCATTGCAACCACACAACCACACCACGGGATTATCGGGCTCCGATCGCCGGTACGTGCAGATGCCATTATCCAACAGAGACTTGAAAAAAAAAAAAAAAGAGACAGACTCGAAGAGAGGGGTACACAGGGAAATCGAGGAAAATGCGAGGATTCGGCAAAAATGGCCTGGGATGCGATGGACTAACACCGCAATAATAGGAATAAATCTGCGAACGATGCTCCAGGGTTAGGACTTTCTCTCCCACCTTCGGAGCGAAATCCAAAAGGCGGCGCATGTCAAAGATGGTCTCGCCGGCCACGTTCCAGTATAATCAACCAATCGAGGATTCCTTGACAAAGGACAAAGGGCTGAAGCCCCTTCGGCCGCCGCCACTGAACCTCAAAATTGAAAAGACATTCCAATCGTCAAGGATTAAAGCTGTCCGGGGCAGCATATCCGGCGCCGACGAAGGCACAGAGGTGCCATTAATGATTGAGCTAGCGGGTCACAGGCCCACTGCATCTGACACTTCTAGAGGCAAGCCTTACGAGTGGATCGACATGGATGTATCTAAGACCCGACCGTGGGACGGCGACGCGGACAATCGTCCTGTCTCCCCACCCCGGTCCCTACGCACTATTATTGACCTGGACTCCCCACTGGGCTCCGACGATGAATCTGACATCTCTCCCATTTCCGACGAGCGACCCGCAGATCACTCTAGTAAGGTGTTGGCTCGCTTTTTCCCCGAACTCCAGAGTAGCTTCGCCGTGATGGCCCCCGAAGGCCTGGATACGACTTCGAAGCCGAAGCCGAGGACAGGCCGCTCACGGGTTGAGAATGAGATTCAGGCGCGGGTTCAGAGCCTTTATCACAACTCGGGTGACAACCTTGGCCAGGCTCTGGGTTCCGGCACGCACCAAGATGAGAGCTATTTAAATACCCCAGGATCTTCAGATTATAGTCGACAGACTTCCATGGCAAGTTTTGGTTTCGATGATGGGTTTCAAAGAACAAACAGATATAGAGTGACTACGGATTCCTCAAATTATTCGCCAGTTCGAGCCGGGGTTTTCGATGAAACCCCCAGAGCGTCGAAAAGATTGAGCATGACCGGAGCCAGACCAACGCCGACCAGATTCAATTCTTCTGCCTCGAAGATGCCAAACTTCCGAGATATGAGGAACAAGCCTCTACCCCTCGCCCCCCTCGTTGAACCGAGTTCAAACAATTCACATCCCGACCATCAACAAGCGTCAGATCCCCACCGCCATTCTACACCAGACTGCACAGACTGCACGACCCAGCACCCAAATTTACCCCACTCGGCATACTCAAGTCGCAGCCACCAGCCCCAACGATGCCATACGTGTGGACACAGGGAGAATCGTCATCTTCGAGGGGGCTCCAACTCGCCGGAGAACCGCAGAAATTCCCGGCACCAAAGACATCTATCAACCTGGCAACAAGCAGCAGACGAGATGGAAATAGAATTGAGTCTGGATGGTACGAAAAGGCGGTTGGTGTTGGAGGGCCCACTCCAGATCAGTCGTAATAATGGCGACTTGGTAGCGGCGCGGCCCGCACCCTTGCCTCCATCCCTGAAACCTTACTCGGAATCAAACCAGAGCTTGCCATTGAGAACAAACACCAGAACAGGTAGCGTCAGTTCTCGGAAGGATAATTCCGGGTCAAGGAAAAAGAGTCACAAATACAGCCGATCGAAAGATTCCATTGAATCCAACAAGGGCAAGACTCCTAAGGCCAAGGATGAGCCCAAGAGCCGTTGGGGCGGGAATTCCAAGTCCAACGAGGGCACAAAAGGTGATCTTTCTAAATTGAAAAAATCATTTTCAATCTCCAGGGCAACATTCACCCGCAAGCAAAACCCTACCCGGTCGGACCAACACCGCTTGAGCACATTGAGCTCACGGTCGGAAACTTCGGTGGTGGACCCACAGGCCGATCTTCCCAGCTCGAACGACAAAACACGCTTGTCGCGTCACCTTTCTCAGTCGGATCCCAGCTTGGAAAAGGTTGTGATTGAGGACGACCCACTGTGTCATAAGCGGGACGACCTCCTACTTCAATTACCGCGTCTGCAAACCGACAACTTCGGTTTCAAGACCCTGCTCGACCAGTTTGCGCCTGACCCACAAGCTGCCACGGCCAACCCCGCAAATACCAAATCATCCTCTCTGCAGACTGACAGCTTGGGCTTCACCAGTGTTTTTGAACAACTCGCCCCCGCACAACGGTCTGCCTTGGCCATTCCGGTCCAGTCCCCTTACTTGGATGAGACCAGAGATGCCAAAGAGGTCTGTCCTTCATTTACCTTTCGCCGGCCGATAAGAGATGAGAAAATGGTCGTCACGACCAATAGGATGCGCCAATCTGCTTTCATCTCCACTTCCAAAGCTAGCACCAGCAGTGTGTATTTCCCGCCCGAACAGGTGTATGAACTTGCTGCAGGACCAACATCCCCTGAATCGATCATGATGTCGCAAAAATCTGCGACCGCGGTGCATTTCAAGGCCAATTTCCCTTCGGCTGGTCTTGAAGACTCGATTGTTCAGATGATCATGGAAAGGATCAATTCGCTCGATGATCTTTTCAACTTCGTTTTGGTGAACAAGCGCTTTTACCGCGTATTCAAACGTCGCGAGCTGCCGATAATCAAAAGCGCACTATATCAGATGTCACGACCCGCATGGGAGCTGCGAGAAATGAGTCCTCCCTGGACCACTGAGTGGCAACTCACCTTGGACCCGGACTCCCAGGTACCCGAGTACACCCCATCGCTTTATCTGGATCGATATGCTCAAGATATTTATACTTTGGCGCAACTAAAATCTATGATTCTTATGCGCTGCGCCCCTTTTATGCGTCGCGATACCGTGCGTGGCTTGGCTGGATTGGATGACCAGCGTGCCGAGGAGGTTGATAATGCATTTTGGCGAATTTGGACATTCTGCCGCATCTTTGGTAGCGGAAAGGGTCGTGAAAATGATCTGGAAGGCCAAGTAGATTGGCTTAGGGGAGGACCAAAGGCTCGGACAAGCCAAGGTTCATCATCGTCCATGACTGAGCCTTTCGGTATTAATAATGTTTTGTTCGAACCACCTGAGGGATTCGCCCATGGGAACTACAGTGGTCTCTCACCAACGGAGCTGTACGATATGACTGAGATTTGGACTTGTCTTGGAGTTCTTGTGCAACCCTTGCATGCCAAGTGTATTGAAGCTCGCAACGTCGGTATTTTTAAAGGTATCGACGTGCCGGAGGATGATCATATTCGCGAGGAGACCGTTCTTGGTAAGCGAACTGTTGATCGTACATAAACAGAGATAGTATGCTAATGATTCAATCCAGAGGAGTGGACATCCTATGTGCTCACCCTTGGCTTGTCAGCAGTCCTGATGGTCAGCTCACTCAACCCCACAGAAACCACAGCCATCACCTTCGAACGTGCGAACGCGGTCGGTCTTACCAAGTGGGACTTGACAGAAGGTCAGACCACCCGGTCATCATTCATGAAGGAAGCAGTATCCCGCGTTTATGAAGATCGAGAGCGATACTCCTTCTGTCTTCCATCTGGTTCTGCCGACAGCCCATGCGAACTACCATCAAATGAAGTGACAACCCGCGGAGAAGATAGCGAGCGCCGACAAGTGTTTTCACAAGAAATCCGAGTCCAGCGTCGCGAGGGCAGACATCAATCAAATGGGGGTGACTCCTTTGCAACGGAGCGACCCATGTCTACATACAGCACGATCCTACACAGTCTCGGAGGTAGCCTCAGAAGAATTGTCCACGAATCTCCCCCTGTACCACCAGTTCCCCCTCTCACATTCGATCGGTCATCCACATCAACCGGAAGCAGAAGCCCACCTCCCCCCGGAACACCCAACTACGCTCCAGGAACCCCCCAGCATGCGCCGGGCACACCGACCCAATCATCAAATGGCCCGAATTATATGATGGGTCCATCACACCAAGTATCCGCCCCCGACCTTAAGACACCTCACATCCGAAGCCCCCCACTCTCAGGCTCATTTATATCAGCACCTCTGCAACCCCAAGTCCAAGACCCCGTCGACCGAGCAATCTCCCGAATGGTGAATGAGCTCGGTTTCTTCGAAGATGACGTGAAGTGGGCTTTGAAAATCACCGACACTGGTGAAGGACTCAATGTCCAGGCTGCTGAGCAGCTTCTTCAACAACAGAAGAAGGCTGGGCGCAACCCCTTCGTGCCTCGTGGACGGAATGCCAATGGGAAAAACCCTTTGCTCATGTCTGTTATGAAGCAACAAGGAACCCAGGACTCGGGTTGGCGATGGGCCTAGATCAGTGGAACATGTGCCATTACCATTGTAAACTCCCTTTTTTCATGTGTTTTTTTTATTCTGCGCTTAGCGATGTGCGGAGCATACTATATTTCCTTTGTTCAACCCACCCATCAGAATATCCAGAGCTTCCAACAGAATACAATGATTGTCCAGGACAAATTTCATCCATCTCTGGAGTCTAGTGACCGGCCCTTGATTTGCACAAAATCATAACACAAGGTGGTGTACATAATTGGAATTTACCCCTCATTTGGCCTGCTTCAAAACAGGGCCAGTCTCCAAGGTCTCAAAGTGTAGATGATTTCAAGGCTCAAAATCACAGCAACTGCAAGATATGACAATGCATGCGAATGATCATGACCAGTCTGTCTCGCGTTGACGTAGACAGGTACAATTTACCAGCAGCACCTTGGGGAAAAAATCATGTCTGTAACAAATAATTCAAAGGCTCAATATGAAGATGTAGCTATATGTAGAGCAGAAAGACAGTAAGCTTAAGAGACAGTGGCGGTGTTCCTAGTCAGGGTATGTCGGAGAAATAAAGAAGCACTTGAGGGGTAGAGGGAGATGTTGCAAGTACTGGTAGGCTACTAGTAGGCAAGATCTCAAGTGCTCTTTACATACTACGAACTGTAATATTTACTACACATGCGTATGTAAGAAAAACATTGGAAATTAATATCAACGTATGATTCATAAAGTACGTCTGGCAAATTCTAAATCAAGCCTGACAAATTAACCTATATTTACTTCTGCTTGGCCGCTTCCTTTTCAGCATTCTCTAACTCCACCATGTATCGCAAGCGGGCAACTGCTTCTTCCAACTCCTGTGGAGTGGGCATGTTGACGATCATGAGATACAAAACATCCTCCCGAAGAAGCTTGTACCTGTTTCCACTCTCCTTCTTCTTTCTGGCCATCTTCTCCTTGAATGTCTCAGATGGGGGTAGACCCTGAAGAGCCCGCTTCCTGTCATCCCGCTCCTTGATAGCAGAGCCCGCCCGCTCAAACAGACTTGGCTTGTGCTTAGGGTTAATCTTACCACCAGTTAGAGTGGAGATGAGATTTCCACTGTTTGCCGGGTGGTTGGGATCATTGTAGCGGGAAGTGTACGGCTTGCGGTTCTCCTCGGTAACAGCCAGAGCAGAGCCCTTGTGATCCGCCTCCTGTTTTCTGTTAGCGAGTGTTCTTTTTATAAGAGAGGAGGAATCAAACATGTGATACTCACGAATTCAATCTGCCGTCTTCTATCGATGTACTCAGAAGCCCATGATCGGCTGCTCGCGAACGCACCCTTAGCCTCCTTGCCCTCCCGTACTCGCTGAGCAGCTCGGTCAATACGGGGGTAGATCAATGGTGCAGACTCTGGAAGCTGCATCTGACCACGGGTCTCGCCACTCTGTAGTCTGTAACCCTTCATGCGGGTCTTCCAAGCATTCATCTCGGGATGATCCTCGGTGTTGGTGAACTTTGCAATTGTCTCGGCGGCATTGAAGTCTTCCTGGGAAGGTGCTGAACCGACCTGGGGGTCACCCTCTTGTCTGACGCCCGATCCATTCACATTAATCTGCTCCATGTTGAACATGTCCGCAATGGGGTCGGAGGCTGCCGAGCCGTTCTTCTTCTTCTTGGGCTTGAGAGGCTTCTCAGTGAACTTCATGATCATAGCGTACTGGCCGCGAGGCTTGAAGACCTGCTCGTTGACCACGTCAAGGTAGCTGGTCGTGCGCTTGCGGATTTGGAACTGCTGAGCCGTGTCTGCAAGGATTTGGACGGCAACAGCGGTCAGAGAGACAGCCAGACTGGGGGACCAACTAGTGATGCTGGCTCCAACAACGATGACTTGAAGCCACATTGAAGCCTATCGTTATATGTCAATACTATATTAAAGAATGAAATCACAAAAGGATAAAGAGAGTTCGTGGTTACTAACCTGACTGGCTTTGTGGAAGTCACTGATGAACTTCAAGAACACATCCTGACCAATGCCACAATCCTGCAACACAGGAGCATATGCACGGACAAATCCACGCTTCTTTGCACCAGGGCGGCGCTGGGGAATGATCACAGGGAAAGGAAGCTTTGTCTTGGGTCCGGGGGGTCCGGCCATCGACACCAGCTCGCGAATCATACGAGCTGTCTTCTTTTCCTTTGTATCTTCAGAATCATCCTCTTGAATGGCGTCAGGGTCATTCTCGGTGTCCCTCCTAGGGAGCTGCCCTGGGGTGCCTTCGGGGGTGCGCTCTAGGTCATCGTACGAGGGCAGTGCCTCAGACATCTCGTCGAGTTGCCAGGCCTCCTCATCTCCGCCCATCTCGCGTGCCCTATCTTCATTATAGAGTGCCTCTTCATACTCGTCGCCAGACTCGGAACCGGGCTCGTAGCGATGCTTTTCATCAGCTGGGTAGCCATATTGATCAACAGATCTACTATTTGAGCCTGCGCCAGTCGAGTATGCAGGGAGCTCGTCTTCATTCCCCAAGTCTCGAGATCGGTCGGAGCTGTCTGTGTCCCTGGTAGGGAAAGGAGGAGGAGTGGGAGTAGTATCAGCAGAGAAACCACGAGGGGTTCCAGAAGTGGAAGCGGATGCAGAGCCAGAAGCAGAGCCAGAGTCAGGCCCTGAAACGGACCCTTTGTTACGGTGTCTGGCTGCGTGGATAGCTTCAGAGGTGAAACCGATACCCGAGCCGATCAGGCTAGCGAGTCCTTTACCCATGGTGTGGGATGCGGCTGTGGGGGCCGTAAAGGTGAATCTAGAAAAGGAAACGTGCGAGACAACAGATCTGTCCTACGGCTACACGGGGGGTGATGTACGTATCTTATATAGAGCCTTCAGCTGGAGGGGCCCATATTTGCGTAAGTCTATTTTCAGCCCGACCCCCTCTTCGCTACATTCCCCCTCCGCCCCACGGGAGTTAACCATATTAGGGCAGCAGGATGCTAATCTGCAGACGGTGATGGGGGACTGCATGTTTTCCTGAAACGAGACAAGCCTTCAACAAGGATTAAGCGCTGCGCCCCACCTTTTCTTTGTTTTTGACGCTAAAACGGAGCCTTTTGATTGGGCGAGAGAAGTATCAGATTCAGCCCCCAACTCCAACTCCGTTTTGGGCTTCATCGTGGGAATGCGATAGGTCAATACAATCCACTACGTTCTTTGATTTGACCCTCGACCACCCACTCACGACTACGTATTCTCAGCCCCCAAATACGTACCAACAGATGATCCCTGCAGCTTGTACGAATCCACGATAGCCTCAATGTCGATCCCCGGATATGGGAAGCATAAGACAAACACAACAAACACAACAAACATGAGAAACAACAGAAGCTGCACAGCGGGTATTACTGCCCCGCCGTAATTTAAATTGGCAATCGCGGATGCGTATGCAGATCGTTCAAGAAAAAGATATCCGGAGTACATCAACAATAACCCCAGCTTACCCCTGCTGATTAAAACCACACTTGCAACAATCTCAATCACACTCTCAAGTGACAAACTGAGGGTTCCTCCAAATAAATCAAGATGGCTACTCAACCACCCCAACAAGACACCTCGAGCCAACGAAGAGAGGACTTCGAAAAATTCAAGAAATACACAGCCTACACCTTCCTCGTCGCCTCGCCAGTCCTCATCGCCCTCCCACCCCGCAAATTAGACCACCTCACCGTCCTCCTGGTCGGTGCTTTCGCTTTCTCCGCAAACCACGTCACCCGTGAACAAACCGGGCGCAGTATCGTCGACCGCATCGAATCCCGCATCGCGCGCCCACGCATGAAAACTAGTGACTTGCCCTCTGAGCGCGCACAGGAGGTCCAGATGCGGCTGCGCGCGGCGCGCGAAGCGCAATTGCGTGAGGGCGGCATGCCCGCCGATGAGATAGAAAAATGGAAGGCGTTGCAGGCGAAGCAAGATCAGAATATCGCGCAGCGGGTTTGGCTGGGTGGGGAGAAGGAGGGTTGGATGGAAAGGAGAATCCAGGAGGAGCAGAAGGCTCTTGAGGAAGGAAAGGGGTATGGTGATTTGATTTCCGAGTATGTTTGGGATGTGTGGAGCTGGGGCAAGAATGAGGAGGAGGATGATGATTGAGTTGGTTGAACAACATTGGAATGAATTGAGGGGTTGACTGAAATCATTTAATTCATGGCCCTTCTCTCTCCACTTGACCCTCATTGTCCTTGGTGATTCATTCCTCTTGGGTTTCGCCGGCTTGTGTGTTCGCTATATGTGTCTTCTCTTGTACCAAAACTTTTGTCAAATCAGCATCGGGATCGGGCGTTTGTTCTTCTACATTTGCTGCATTTTATAATATATTCTGCATGTTATATTTCTCCACTCTGGACATCATGACCACTCGTGGACCTCTGTCTATACCAATTCACATTTTCCAATCTACATGGCGCAATCCCCGAAGAACTGGACTGGCTTCTGACTCTCGAGTTGAAGCCAATATTCCCGAACTCCTTAGCATGTTCGGCGACTCGACCTTCAATGTTCTTGCCTGATCGTATTGTTTGCCGATTTCGGGCCTGGGATTTTTGGAATTACATGTCCAATCCACATGTGCACCGTCGCTTGGTCGAAGCTTAAGCTCCACGTGCGGCATCAAAGAGTCGATCGTCAGTCGCATCAAACATTAGAAAGATTAAGCTTTCGATCGGGTGTTTTGATCGAGCAGATCATTGGCATACATATAGCTAGTGCGTAAAAAGGCCGGGCTTTTCAAATTTCTCCCCGAAGTCTGACCTAGGGTTCCGTGAGGGAGGATGCAGAGGAGCCAATGCTATGTTTCAATTGATTCATATATCGATGACCTGGCTAGCAGAGTCGCCATTGGTAACTTTTAATTCCAAGGCTGTAAAATACAAGAGAAGTGCGCATGCCCAAACCATGGGGATATTACTCGTAATCCAGCCCTCTACTACAAGGTACTGCTCAAAAGCGGAGGCTCAAAGCTACTTGGAATCTACAAGGGCTTATTCTCAGAGAGAGGTTTTTTTTGGAACAACCGTTTCATTCACGCGGGAGACTGACACATACATACAAAATTAAACGCAGTTGACTGACATCGTCCACGCATGGAACACATGAGAGTATTAAAAACATGAGAATTTGAAACATGAAAAGTTGAAACATGAGAACTTGAAATTTGAAAACTTGAATTCAACACCAACCACCATGGAGGGTTTGCCCCCATGGCCGCGGTTTTTCCGCGAAGCCGACCAGAAAAGCCCGAATGGCCATGACTCCACGAAGACAAGTCCAGCCAGCTCGATTGGGTCGAGATACATGGGATATTGTGCACCATTGGCACAGAACACATGTGGTTTTTGAACAACACGAGAGCATAGCGAACAATTTGAGAATTTAAACGAATAGCGAACAGCATGAGAGTGAGAAATTCGGCACCAACCACCATGGAGGGTTTGCCTCCATGGCCGCAGATTTTCCACGAAGCCGACCTGAAAGCCCGAATGGCCATGACTCCACGAAGGCATATCCAGGTGACTCGATTGGGTCGAGATACATGGTATCTTGTGCAACATAGGCACAAAATGAAATAGAGGTCATCAATCACCCTATGATGATAGGACGTGGATTTTCCACGAAGCCAAACAGACAAGCCTTTATGGCCATGACTCCACTCCAGCGAGCCCATTTGACTCTGATTGTGACCTGACATGAGGAAGAGACAACATTTTTTCAGAAAAGAGAAAAATAATCCAAGAATTCAAAAACTGAACACATGCGACTGGAAGTTGAAACCCCAAATAACGCCCAAGTTTCCAATTCTGAGCACAAAAAAGTCTCTTTGAGAGAGTTGTTTGGAATCCTCCATTCGGGCCGTGGTCTTGATCAGTTTGAAGTCTGAAATGTGCCAACGGGGGACAGGGAAAACTTCCTGCGGCTTGAGACGGTGGGCACGCATGGTAAAAACCCTGGCCAGGATTCAATCTAAATCTAAATCTGTCTTTTCATATCTTCTCTTCAAACAAAAAAATCAGAGGCCACGCTGCACCGAATAAGTTGCATTTGTCGGGTTTTTTTTTTAGTTGACAATGCTTGCCTTTGGCTTTTTGCCTTTGGCTTTTTGCCTTTGGCTTTTTGCATTTTGCATTTTGCATTTTGCAGCTTTTTTTTTTGAGCTGGTGGTGGTCGGTGCAGCGTGGACCTCAACGAATCAAGCTCGAATCACCAATGCTGAAAATTGGGATGTGCGTGGGCAGTTTGATTTGGGGATTGATGTTGTCCCCAAGACGCGATTGCGTCTTCAAAGGCTGAGGGCCAATTTGTCGATTCGTCGTCCTCTGGCGAAAATGTATCCAACATGATTATGTCACCCTCTGCATCCTATTCAAGGCGTTAGCTTATGCAATGGTAATTTGGGAATTGAAAACTCACATAGATGCCGTATGGGCGGGTTGGACCTGTGATGCGGTTAGAACCATCGAATACTCGAATGACAGTTGCAACTGGGATGATACCGTTTTGGTTGACGTAGTCCAGATTGACACCGTTGAGTTGGCCTTGATATTGATGGCCTTGTTGGCCCTGTTGGCCTTGATGGCCCTGTTGGCCTTGATGGCCTTGTTGGCCTTGGTGGCCAGGTTGCTGGAACTTGCGGCCCTTGCGGCCACGCCCCGGACGATTCTGCTTGATTGTCAGACCGGATTTGGTAAATGCGATAAGAATCAAAATGACTTACATTTCGTCCAGACTTGTTTTTCTGATCAACACATTGCAGTTGATCATTGGGAAAGGTTTGCCGGCCATTGTCCCAGTTTTGGCTGCCCCTGCCCTGGCGGTTCTGATATCTGTTACCCTTGCGGGTGTGTCCGTTGGAAGATGGATGAAATTGACGAGGATCCATCTTCGCTTGCTGGCGGACACGATTGGTTCTCAAACTTTCCTTCTTCGGGCCTCTGCAGACAAGGGTGACTCGTTCGTTACCAAGCAAGAACTGAATTTCCACTTCAGGGATTCCCAAGTCTCCTCTGTTTTTGAATTCCAATCAATTTAAAACAAATTTTTCGCAATTTAAACCTTTTTGGTTTTTGAAAGACTGAACAGTGAACACGCAAAATGGTTTTCTCAAGATTTGATATGACTCCCTACAAGTTCAATCACTTCGAGGTAACTTGGAGCCCGGGCCCGCTTGTCTGAGATCCGCAAAGAAGTACTCGCTGATGGTAGTAGGTAGTGTTGTTTTTGTCACAAAATCTAGCCGAAGCTGGGCAGGGAATCTGGGATGACACGGGTCCTATTGCCCAATGTCGTGTTCTTTATTGATGAAAGAACTTTGAAATGATGGTTGATCTCTGTTCAATGATGATGGCGAGCAGAGATGAAGGAAGGGGAAAAAAAAGGAAAGGAAGAAGGTGGGCCAGGGGGGGAATGGGTTTCTTTTATCCCCCACGAGCTCCGACGTTGAATTGAGATTGAGTTAAAGCTTGTCTGCATACTAGGTAAAAGAGGGAGATGTTCGAATGAGTCTAGGCCCAAGTGTGAATGAGATCAGTATACCTAATGTAGACCCGTGGACGTTTAGGGATCAACAATCTGCTACTAGCCCTAATTGAGATGGGCCGAATGATGTAGTTGCTAGGTAACAAGTCCATTACGATAGCTCCGACCTGTTACTAGTCTACAAGAGGATATAAAGGCAATGATACGTGTGGATGAGGTGAATTGCTCGGACAGGATAGATTGATCTATTCGGATGCCGGCTTCTTATTTGGAATCAGACGAGGTCTTTCGGCATCAAAGCTTAATTGAAAAACTTCACCCCATTGATGAACGGGCAGAATATTACTGGATCCGGTAAATTCCTTTAAAGGGAACTTACTACATATACTGGTAGTTATCGGGAGTTGTAGTAGGTTTACGGGTTTTTGGAACTTGAATGTTCCGAGTCCCTTCCGAGTACTGCTCCTACTCTGGAGTTTTGTTGTTCAGGTAAATAACCATATGAAGTATACCTCCAGATTAGGCATAGCCAGGGTAGGTAATATCTATATTTGAATTAAGCTACGTAGCTATGACTCCATAAGGTATTGATTCATACTATACATATAGTATTATCCCGAATTATCGGGCGGGTGTAATACATACCAGTTGACTAGAACTATGTACAGGGGGTGATACTGGAGTTCAAATGTTTAAAGTACAAGTGTATTCTCAACATTTGAAGTCTCTTCTCAAGTCTATTCTCAAGTCTATTCTCAAGTCTATTCTCAAAGTAATCTGTATTTAGATTAAATCCCTTAAGATATTCCTGTATGTGCTAGGGTCAACTGGTAGCATCATTGGAATTGACCGTCCCCTAAGACCGTCTCTAGGGCCAATCAGAGACAAAGACTGTTTGGACCTACTTTGGGCCTCTCAGTCAATCAGGTGCTGCCCAAAAAAAAACACAGACCAACCAATGATGACATCGGGCCGCCTATCCAGGTAAAAGGTTACGGGAAGTGCACGGTCCAGCACGGACAAAGCCGGGCCTATGATGTCGTGGAAGCTGCATCGTTCCTTGGATTTTCCATAACGGCTGGGGTTAATTATAGATTTAACCCTGGTCTTTTAATCCTTGAAAGAAGAAAAACCTCCTCGGGTGAAGATGAAATGTAGTCTGGTGATATCGTGGATTCGTAGTACAAGTACCTGTATGTATGATTTTATGCTGCAGTGACCTGAAGTTATCCGTAAAAATACCGAGCAATACCGAGTCACCAATACGGTACCTTTCGTCTGAACTCTTGCACTTGGTATTACCCTTTGCCAATATTTTCTACACTTGAAGTTCTAGACCAGGAACATACCAAGATTTTCTCTCTCTTTTTTTCTCTCTCTTTTTTTCTTATAGAATTGACTTTTTATCCCTCTTCCCCCCTCTTTTTTCCCTTTTTTTCTTAGTGCACAGATCACTTCCCTGCTTCCGTACCCGCGATAAGCAAAATAAGCAGTCGAGATTGCAATGGACTGGTATGGTGGAACCAATCACGAGCCTTCACGATATGCAGAATCGACTCCACTGGTGCCGTCATTGCCCCCAAGCTAAGTGGGCATTGACAGCTCCAGGCCTAAAGCTGCGGAGTAAAACCTGCCCCTCTCCTCCTCCCTGATTCCTCTTTACTTTTTTTTTTTTTTGTCACGCCTTTCCATTCCATCCACCATTGCAACTTTTCGGGTTTCTCAAGCTGTTCTTCCATTATATCTGTATTGTAGCCTGGTTTGACTCGACTTCTTTTTCTTCATCCTTGAGTTGATCTCTTGAGCTCAGATCCACCATGGTGCTGATCGACAAGCATGAGCATCTTACCGAGGAGGAAAAGCGCCTAAAGGAGGATCGCGAGAGAACTCGTTACTGGAAGAAATGGGGCCCTTATGTGGCCGAGCGACAGTGGGCGACCGGTGAGTTCGATCGGGCAATCTGGAATCCATAATCTGGAATGTGGGATGTCGGATGTGGGTCGGGACCCCGTGCTAATGATATCATCCTTGTGGTGATCTAGTTCGTGAGGATTACTCGTAAGTCAACCCATTGATCTGATCCTCAACCAGAGAAAGAAGCTAACTTTGCGCAGTGAAGATGGTGATGCCTGGAGCTGTAAGTCGACAGATCTGGGAATACCCCGCAACTGCAGCTAATCAACCAACCAGACTTTTCCCATGACCATGCTCGGTCGCGCACTTTTCGTTGGGGTGAGGATGGCATCGCCGGTGTCTCCGATACTCATGGAATCCAAAACATTGCATTTTCCTTCTGGAATACGAAAGAGCAAGTCGTTCATACATGAACCGCCCATGAAAAATTTATGCTGACATAATATATAGTGAGTACCTCAAGGAGCGTCTGTTCGGTCTCTCCAACCCACAAGGCAACCATGGTGAGAGTGTAAAGGAAGCGCACTTCCATGTCGATAATACCCCTACGGTAGGAGAATCTTGGAGCCAATCAGATGTGACCACCTCTAACATGAGTCTTCCTATTAGCACTCGTACATGAAGTTTCTCTACAAATATCCCCAGACCAAGTTCCCCTACGAACAATTGGTTGAAGAAAATGCGAAACGATCACGCTTGGAACCGGAGTTCCAAATCCTCGATACCGATGCATTCAAGGATAACAAGTACTGGGACATTTTCATCGAGACTGCCAAGGAGGGTGACGATGAAGACGAGCTGATCTTCCGAGTTATCGCATACAACCGTGGTCCGGATCCAGCTCCCTTGCACATTGTCCCTCAAGTGTGGTTCCGAAACACCTGGTCTTGGGGCTACGAGAAACAAAAGGCTAGACCCATAATCAAGGAAGACGGCCCGCGAGTTGCCAAATCCAACCACGAGAAGCTGGGAGAGCGTTACGCATGCTTCGCACCATCTCCCCCTGTGGGCGATGGAGATGAAGATATTCAACCTCAGTTGCTCTTCACAGAGAATGAGACCAACAACAAAAAGCTTTGGGGTACCGAGAATGACCAGCCCTACGTGAAGGATGCTTTCCATCGCTTTATCGTCGACGATGAGAAAGACGCTGTCAACCCAGACAAAGAAGGAACCAAGCTCGCAGCCTGGTATGCGTTCGATGATGGCGACGAGGTTCCACCAGGTGAATGTGCGGTGGTTCGTTTCCGTTTCTCTCGGAAGAAGGTTGAGTTTGTCGACGAGGAGGAGATTGATGATGTGATTGAGTCGCGTCTTGCTGAGGCAGATGACTTTTATCACAACATCAGCCCCCTCCCCATGAGCGAGGATCTCCGAAACATTCAGCGACAGGCCTTCTCCGGTATGATGTGGTGCAAGCAGTACTATAACTTTATCTACGATCAATGGAGCACCGGTGACCCAGCTGAAATCCCCCCACCGCCTGGTCGGAAGGGTATTCGGAATGAACAGTGGCGCCATCTGTACATCGACGACATTCTGTCGATGCCAGACTCATGGGAGTATCCCTTCTTTGCTGCATGGGATACCGCATTCCACTGCATTCCCCTCGCTATGATGGATCCCGATTTTGCGAAGAAGCAATTGGACCTCATGACTCGTGAATGGTACATGCATCCTAATGGTCAGCTCCCTGCCTATGAGTGGAACTTTGGTGATGTCAACCCACCAGTGCACGCATGGGCTGTCTTCCGTACTTTCAAGATTGAACGCAAGATGTATGGACGCCAGGATTTGGATTTCCTCGAGCGTGTTTTCCAGAAATTGCTTCTCAACTTCACTTGGTGGGTCAACCGCAAGGATTCGGATGGCAAGAACGTCTTCGAGGGCGGTTTCTTGGGTCTTGATAACATTGGACTGTTCAACCGGTCCGAGCCATTGCCCACAGGTGGTGTCCTTGAGCAGGCTGATAGCACAGGCTGGATGGCTTTCTACTGCCTGTGCATGCTCAACATTGCCTTGGAGCTGGCTAAGCACCGCAGGACGTACGAAGATAGTAAGTTCTCTGACCCAAACCAATTCAGTGCATCTATTCTAACATACACTCCTAGTTGCATCCAAATTCTTCGAGCACTTTATCCTCATTAGTGATGCGATGACATTCCGCAATGGTGAGGATAACATTGAGTCCCTTTGGAACGAGAAGGATAGGTGAGTTTTTACCAGATCTCATAGTGATAGCACCAGCTAATCAATACAGCTTCTACTATGATGCCATCTCTTACGGCGGACCATGGACTCAGCAATTGCCCATCCGTTCTTTGGTGGGATTGATCCCACTGTACGGTGTGCTAACCCTTGAGCCGGAGCTGATCAACAAGTTCCCCTCGTTCAAGCGACGATTGGAATGGTTTGTCGAGAACAAGGCCGATGTGGCCGAGCGTAACATTGCTAGCATCAAGACCCGAGGTAAGGGTGATCGACTTCTGCTAGCACTCGTGAGCAAGGACCGCCTGGAGAAGATTCTCAAGCGCATGCTCGATGAGACCGAGTTCCTGTCAAAGGGCGGCATTCGTTCCATGTCCAAATACCACGAGGAGAACCCATACTCCATGGACGTCAATGGCGAGACGTTCAAGGTCGGCTATGTTCCCGGTGATTCGGATAGCGCCGTCTTCGGCGGTAACAGCAACTGGCGTGGACCGATCTGGCTATGCGTCAATTTCCTGCTGGTCGAGTCTCTGCTTCGCTTCTACATGTTCTACGGCGACTCTTTCAAGGTAGAGTGCCCAACTGGCTCCGGTGACTATATGCATCTGGGCCATGTAGCCGAGGAGCTTCAGCACCGCATGCAGCATCTCTTTGCTCGAAATGACGAAGGACGCCGTGCCTGCAACGGTGATAATGATCTCCTTGATTTCGACGAGCACTGGAAAGACTACATGTGGTTCAACGAGTTCTTCGACGGTGACACCGGTCGCGGCTTGGGTACGTCCCACCAGTGCGGCTGGACGGGATTGATCGCAAAGATCATCCATGACACAGGGTAAGTCCGAACCACGCTTTCTAATCTTTAATAGCCATTGGGTTACATTCCTAACTCATTCTTCTAGTATCAACTGCCGTCTCCCCCAGACCCCACGTGGGCCCTTCGCCGCCGCTTCCCACTACTTCGACGACATCTTCTCGCGTTCCGGTCGCGGCCGTGGAATCGGCTCCAGAAGACCCTCTATTCGCCGCTCTTCTACAAACCGATCCATCGGCAACCGTAGTGACTTTAATTCGACCATTGCGGGCGATGCCACCCCGGGTGCATCCTCTATTCTGGACGACGACGAACAGAACAGCCGCCCTATCAGCCGCCGTGGAAGCACCCCCGCCCTCAATGAAGATGGCCAGCGCGAGGAACACATCAACCACTATGTTGAGAGCCAGCTGCAGCGTGTGCGTAGCTCTGCCTCGATTGCGACCTACGAGGATGAGCTCGAGACGCAGGCTGAACAGGAGAACGGACACTCTGACCACTGATCTGGTCACGCATCTGGTAATTAGATCATGATTGATGGATTCCTTTTGTTTCATTTGGTTAGGTACGGCCTTCATTTAATAGATGCTATCTAAGACATCATAGTTGAGCATTTTATCATCAGAATACACAGAATACACGGACATTTTATTTACTTCCTCTAATACTTCTTGATTTCTCGCCTCCGTGGATGCACATGTGCAGTGACGACGGGCAATACAATATTTGAAGTTCAGGGCAGTGGAAGGATCTGCCAGGGAAATGGAGCAATGGAGACATTGTGAACCAGCGGGTATAAGGGCAGCGAATCGAATGACGACAAGAAGAGAGTGCATAATATTGACACCAGTTTGAAGGCGTACTGGAGTGGCTCGTGTCTAAAATACATTGAAATTGGAAAAATAGAAATCGACAAAACCCTTGTCGTTCGCCTGAGCCATGCATAAAAAATTCAGTCCCGTCGTAGCAAATTGTTGTGTTGCACATTGTTTGATTGCAATAGGAGCGATCCCTTGCGTAGTATGTAAAATATGATCGCCGACCAGTTCATGAGACTTTTTTTTCTTTGTCTTTCTCGAGTGGGGGGGTAAAAATGCTGTGATAGGAATGGCGTGAAGTGGGAAGAAGACTTGAACTGGTAGGTAGTAACTAGTAGTATGTGTTTTTTTTTTCGTAGCATTTATTGATCACGCCACAGGAAGGAAAGCATCTGGGGGCAAAGCACCCTGGGCCTGATTCAAAGAACTGATTAGTATGATTGTTTTGATGGAACGATGTCCGATGAGAGTGTTAGCCTACCTTCAACTGTTCAAAGTTTGTCCATGCGGCTTCGAGACTCCATCCATTGCTGGAAAGTGCCATTTCAGAGTACTGAAGGGTCATGTTAGATTTGGCACTGATCTGCAATACAAGTTGTTCCTGCTGAACTTGAGCATCGGTCTTGCCAGGGGCAGGCGCGCCGTATCCCTGGGGGAAGCCAGGCCGAGCGGTAGCCAGGGCTCCAGGAATGGCAGGAATAGCGGCAGGAGCGACTTGAGGAATCACGGAAACTGGAGGGGCGATGGCCTGAGGGATTGCCTGGTTTTCTGGGCTCCAGGCTTCGTGTCCGCCGTATGCGCGGAGAGTGAGAATGTCGCTGATGACTCGAATGCCGCCGAGGCCGCTACCGGGGCCAAGAACGAAAGAGCGATCAAAGCTGCGTGTCTCCACTTTTCCTCCAAGGCTCTCCTCAAACTTGCCGTGAACCATGACCAGGAGACCACCGACGCCAGAGGGGCTCTGGCCAGTGTGGTCAGGAAGTCCGGGCATAGGGTGGCATTCGACAAGGCACTCCTCGGGGTGGGTATTCATATCGGTGTGTCGAGTTTGAGGCAGGGAGCTCCACACTTCACCGATCTTGTCCTTGCCAGTGTAGGTGCGTGACATACGTGCAGGGAGATGGGTGATCTTCATAAGGTTCCGACTTTTCTTGATGTACGGCTCCCAGCTGGCAGTCTCAGCCTGCGGGGCCTTGGGAGCCGATGTGTTGGTGTTGATGGAAAAGACGGAATTGCCGTCGTAAAGATTGTTGAGAAGTTGGGCCCGATCAGTATCGTAACCGATGAAGAATACACGGATGAAGTTCTCTGCGATCTGGGAATCATCTTGGAAGTGAGGTGGCTGAACGGGAATAGGCGTCTTCTTCTGGTCCGCCAACTCCTCCTCCGTACGAACCTGGATGTTGTTCAGGGTCCGCAAAGTGGGATACCACTTCAGCATGGTTTCCTTGAAGCCGTCAACGGCGCAGAAAGGGTTTCCAGTCAGATCCAGGAATTCAAGGCTCCGGAACTTCCACCGCCAGCCCATGAGCGACTGAGCATCCTTGAAGTTGTTGTTTGAAAGGTCGAGATTTTTGAGACCATGGATTGTCGCAGCGAGGGCAGTCACGACTGTGATGTTGGCGAGTTTGTTATCTGCAAGGCTCACACTTTCCACAGCTTCGCGTCTCTGTTTCGCATCAGGGAAGCCCATTTCCCACACCTTCATCAGAGCCGGGAAAAACTTGGACTCTGTAGTTGTGCTACCGAAAATTCCCATGGCCTGAAGATCCGGATCCGTGCCCAGGGCGGAGAGATCAAGAAGCTTAGTCTCGGGATAGTATCGCTTGCCGAGAATCTGGGTCATCTTGGTTTTAATGTCGACCGTATTCTGGGAGAGACCATTGGAAGCGCTGAGTTCGCGATCAAGCGCCTCAGTCGAGGAGGGGTCATATGGTGCCACGGAAATAGGAACTCCAGCAAAGGTATTGCCATCGATGCGGGAGAATAGGTCTGCCAAGTCGGGTTTGACGGATACAACCAGTGTGTCTCCTTCAACTCGCGACTAATTGAATGTTAGCAAGGCGCAAAGGACCTTGAAAATGGCCAGGCCATCGATAACGATAACGATAAAAAGAAAAAGCCAGGGACCCCAGGAGGAAGCGACCATCGTCTTTCCGGAAAAGCGAGATTTGTTGATCGGATCCGACGTCGGACCGGGGAGTGGCGCATAGTATATATATGAGGTGGCCGGGATGTCCAGGATAGTAACATACCTTGGTGATTTTAGCGCGAGGTCCGGACTTCGACATCGAGTTCATGCGTCGTTCGAGAAAAGAAATGAGAGAGTCGACACCGCTATCACGCTTGGATGCCAATTTGCTCTTCTTCCAGCCACGGACGCTGTATTGTTCCAGGCCGCTTGAGTTGGAGTTGGAGTTCTTGCTGGACCGAATGCTGAACTGTGAATCCTTGGAGTCGGAGATGGCCCTCTGAATGGCGTCGATATTCTTGTCGCGAGGGATGCGGCCAGATACTGCAGATCTGCCAGAGGTGGCTCGGCCGGTGCTGCCCCGGCCTCCTCTCTTTCCTCCACGAGCGGCGCTCGCATCCATCTCCATATCTCCATCTCGGTCGGTGCGTCCCCGCTTTCGAATGCAACCACGGTCGGCTCCAGCAGGACGTCGAGACTTCATGGTTTTCATCTTGCCGAGGAGTGTGCTGCACGAGCAGTTGGGTTTGTCGCAAAGAGTGGGGGGAGTGGGTGGTGAGAATTGATTGGCCTGGAGGTTGGTTACTTGTTTTGCGCGCGGCGCGCCTTGGTTAAGTGTGAAGATTCGGTCGCATGCAACAAAGTCCAAGAGGGTGTTCGGAAGGGTGAGGCGAGGTATTGAGCAGGAAGAGAATGAAAGATGGAAACTGCAAACAAGCAGGAGGGAAGACGTTAGGCAGCGAAACCCGCTCCGACTGTGTTGCAGTAAATTTGGTACTAATTGAATAAAAAAAAGTGACGTGCAGGTCACCTGAAGCGGTGAATGACAGTTCCCCTCGGGTCACGTGCATGCTAGCAACCAATCAGGATCCGTAGATGCACACTAGTCATAGTACTAGTCCTCTTTTGGACTCACTCGGTTTGGCTCAATTTTGCTCAAAAGAGACATTTGGAGATTCAATGAGTCAATGAGTCAATTGTTCTGGAATTCGGCAGTGAATAAGGGAAACTTACTAGTATGAAACGCCTATTCCAAATATGGTGCTATTGTTCTCTCTTGCCCCACTAGTACCTCCTGCCTATATGCTATTTTTGATCAGATGGGTGTTACAAAGAGAATCAAACATTGAATTCAAAAGAAGGCTTTGTTTATAAAACAAAGTATCCTTTGTTTATAGAACAAAGAATAAAAGTCCTATGCCCGCAGGCGTTCCCCTTCAGTTTCATCCTCTTTCAGACCCAAATTCTGCAAACATGGCGCATAAAACAAAGTTCCACGCCATGCTCCTAGAGCAGTTCGAGAAGCCACCAATACCCACAAGAGCAAAACAGCGGTACTGAGAATCTAGATCAAACCATAGATATCAGAAATGTTCGAAGCTCAGGCATACGTATCAACCAAACTTACTGTTCCAAAGACCTTGAAAAACATGAGATCTAACTCTTTCCCCAGCTCCATTGTATTAGCTGCATATACACCCAGTGGGAACGTAAAGCCCCACCATCCCATATTGAAAGGGAAAGGAGAACTGTATAAAACAGTTGCAAAAGCAAAGACAAGCCAAATCAGCCCAAAACTCCACATAAGCAAAGATATAAAGACACCAAGAACGTAGGCCATGGAGCCCGCAATGGGATCGAGAATGTCAGAGTTTTGGAAGAGTTCACGAGCTACTTTTCCGATGTAAATGATGCTACAAATTGTTAGCAACCGTTTTGACAACAAGGAAAATTCAAAAATGTCAGCTATGGATGTGCATCTCACCCGAATCCGCCAAATCCCAATGGCCCCAATGGTAGAAAGCAGCTCACAATAGCCTCGCGAGGAGGCAGTTTATGCACTGCAAGGCGCTGGTAGTAAATGACAAGCACTGCCATTGCTAACGGTGTGCCCATGCCCCACAGTATGAAAGAAACCAAGAGCGTTCCCATTGCATGGGTCTTGTTAGGCAGAATATTAGCGATCTCGGCACCTGCACCCGCCGCGACAATAGTTGCAGCTATCGGCAGCAATTGAAGCGCCGTGATTCGGTCTAAAGAGGTGATATGCCGTTGAGATATCCTAGAGGAATTTGATCAGTAAAAGTGAGGCTCCAGAAAGACGATCGCGGGAAAAATCTCACAGAATAAATGATAGCGAAAGCGTGACCGAGGCTGCTGCCACAACATCCACCATCCATAATGCCCATACAAAGGACGAGGCCCATTCACCCCAACGGGGAACACAGACAAGAACCCACATCTCAATGAGGGTAGCAAAGCCCATAGGCACAGTTGCCAAGAATAGTGAATTTGTGGGATCTTGGATCATCACTCGCCAGATCTCAGGATATAAGGTGTATCGCACGATAGAGGTGATAAATGCCAGCGCGAAAATGATAACATTCAACACAAAGAATACGATGGAAATGTAGTGAAGAACTGGCGAGGAAAACGGAACGGAATTGAAAAGCACCGAAACGATCCCGGTTCCCATTGTGACAGCGAACCACCTAGTATGTTCATCGTTAGAAGAGCTCGCGGAATGAGTTCAGGGTTCAGGTAGCATATGCGTACGATGGGCTGAAATTCCTGACCACACGTCGCCAGCCGACATTGTACTTAGCTGGGCCTTTGACCTCACTTGCCACCTTTTGTTTGGTCATGATCAATTTAAAACTTGATAGTTCATCGAAAATTGACAAGGAGAGTTGGAACATTGAACTTGTCAGTCATGGAATTCCACGGTTTGCCGGCCGAGAGAGAAGAGCCCCGCCCGCGGGCAACCCAGTGGATCCCGAGGGAGCCAAGCCCAGCTTAAGCATGCACACGACTCACGAGCCGCGGCTACCACCGTCCAAGCCTCCAGATGTCCAAAAGATTATTGAATAACAATATTTATACTGGTCACTTGAAAAGATTTCTTTGGAACTTCAAGTCCTGGAGCTTTGACTTCATCGAGGGCACCACTTTCAATGTTGAACTTCTCAAGTGCTGGGTTTGTAAATGCTTGAAAACATTTGTTTGAAAGAAAACTGTGTATATTTTGAAGATAAAATCCCATGTATATATGTATATGTAAGCTGAACAAATCGCAACGCCAGAAATGAATCACGTTTCCCATCTCATGCAACCCTAGAAAGTATTTACCACGCACCGACAATACCCGCAATCGGAATATCGATACCACTTGTATAAGAGCTGGCATTGCTCAACAGATATACGTAGGCACCACCCAGCTCACGCGGGTCGGCCAAACGAGGCATACCGCCGTAGTATTGCATCTTCAGATCCCAGTCGGGTGCGGTCTCCACATAATATGTCATGGCGGTACGAACGAAACCGGGTGAAATGCTGTTGACGCGGATGCCGTGCTTGCTCCACTCCATAGCGAGGGTATGACACATGTTGCGGACTGTGAAAGGAAAACGTTGGTTAGAATTGAAGTGAAATTGCGGATTCGGATTCATAGCTTACCGGCAGCCTTGGTAGCTCCATATGGTGCGGACGGGGCGGCCTTTGAAATATAACAGATTAGCGTAAGCTCGTAGGGTATTTTCTGGGACGCAATGCTCACCCGGTTGGGACGGTAAGAGGTCATGCTGGAGGTCATCACAATAGAACCCTTGATGCCAAGCTCGATGAACTTGCGGGCAGCAATCTGGGCACAGAAGTAGGCACCGTAGACCTGAGATTTTCATCAGTAAATTTCACCACGCTTAGTGAAGATCTCACAACTCTTACATTAAGGTTAAACAACTTCTCCAGGTCGGCACGATCAAACTTCAACGCAGGCTGATGCTTGGTCATGCCAGCGTTGGCCACAAGACCGTCAATACGACCAGTCTCTTCAATAACCTGGTTGATGGCCTTCTCCACGCTCTCTTCAGAAGTCACATCGGTCTGGATAAACTTGAAGTTGGGGTAACGCTTCTGCAACGCCGCGAAGTCCTCGCCAGGCTCCATCAGATCAAGAGAGTAGACCATCTTAGCCGAGTTGGCTAGGCACACCTCTGCAATACCCAGACCAATACCGCGGTTGGCACCGGTGATGGCAACAACTTTCTGACCCAGTGTGATTTGCCAGTTGAATTCGCTGTCCGGCATGGTGTTGAGGTAGGGAGCAGGGGTTTCGACCTTGGTGGCATCAGCCGAAGCATTTTCGGTAGCAACTGGAGGCATTTTGGTGATATTGGTAAGAGACTGGGGATAAATTAAGATCGTTCAATTGCTGGAGAAGAGAAGGTGCGATGCGGAGAATTTTGGATCGGTGCAGGAGGCATTCACCAGCTTTAATAGAAAATTTTGGACAATGGCCTGCTCCCCGCATTGTCAAACAAGAAACCCCACCACCCCTCTATGATGATCTGGGCTGGTATTTCCCCCGAATTCGGAAAATGACATCGAATCGAGGCTCGGGTCGAGGCACGCGGTGGTTGAGCTTCATCTGACGTCATTATACTGGGGCTCGACGAGACCACAAAATGGAATCTTATTATGGTATTTGTTGAAACAAATCAATATGTGGCTGCTTAAATTATGATCTTTATCAATGTATTTTCCCGTTCTTTTCATCAATTGAAAATGATGGCAGCCAGTTTCAGAGGCATCCCGCATTGACAAGGATCATAACAGGCCGTCTGCATATGCAGAAAACCACACACTAGGTACGGCGCGTTGTCACGAGTCACTATGGCGCTGCAAAAGTGACAATCCGGATCCTTGCTTCGAAGGACGTATCGTATTGGCTGATAGGAATCCCCACACGAATGCCTCGAGACGAGACGAGTGAAACGCCCGCCACCAATCACCAATAGCGATAAAGTTTGTGGGGACCGCCCATATGGCATCGTGAAATGCGGAGGTGGATCCTATCAACCCCCAGCCTAGTTCCGGATCAGGGATGCCGTGTGGAATGATGAATGGCCTGGTAGATTGCCGTCATTGTTAACAGCGAAATACGGAACAACGATCGCCAAGCGCTGGCGTACAAGGGAGCATAAATACTCCCTTGCACAGCAGGTGTTCTCGCTCTCATTATTCGTCGTTCTTTTCCGCTCACATCAACATGGATTCGTACGAATTTGAAACTTCTTCTCAAAAGGAGGTCTCCTCTAAACAGATTGAACATGCTGAATCGGAGGTCACCTTCTCCCCGGAGGAGGAGAAGGCTCTTGTCAAGAAGATTGATTTGATGTTATTGCCGGTGATATGGATCATGTATCTACTATCCTACATGGACCGAACGAAGTAAGTCAATTATTCAATCCAGAAGACTACCCATATGCTGACGTTTCACTTCTAGCATTGCCAATGCTAAGGTGTCTGGCATGGAACAAGATCTCAACTTGACATCAGGCCAGTACTCGGTTGCCTTGGTAGTCTACTTTGTAGGATACGTGGTATTTGAAGTGCCTAGCAAGTGAGTCAATCCGGTTATTCCGAATAATTTTCCAAAATCCCACCCACTAATCAACAAATCTTGCACAGTCTCGTTCTGGTCCGAACCCGGCCTTCAATTTTCCTCCCTTCAATCATGATTGTCTGGGGCGTTCTTACCTGTCTGATGTCCGTCATCAAGTCATACAAACACCTGGTGGTTCTTCGAATTCTTGTTGGTAGTGTCGAAGCCGGATTCGCACCTGGTGTCTTGCTCGTTCTATCCTCTTGGTACAAGCGCACCGAACAGTCTAAGCGCTTCGGTGTATATATCTCGGCGGCCGTGTTGTCTGGAGCCTTCGGTAGTCTGATTGCCGCTGGTATCGTTGATGGACTAGAAGGCGCTCACGGCATTCGTGGATGGAGATGGCTATTCATCGTCGAGGGTGCTGCTACTATCGGCTGTGCTTTAATCTCCCTTTTCATCCTTCCTGATTTCCCTGCTACCTCAAGGGGACTATCTGAGCGAGAGAGACATATCGCCGTTGCTAGGCTGGCTTCAGAGAATGTGACCGCTGTGACCGAAGACAATGCCCTGCTAAGTAGCTGGGGTGCGGTCAAGGTGGCTGTCCAAGATTGGCGGACGTGGGCGTTCGTCGTTGGATACATGGTAAGTGCCTCCTGACTCTTTCTTGTGTTTTCAAGAATCTGTCGCTTGTACAGTAAACTAACGATTCCTTTGTGACTAGGTCATCGTCGGATCCAGTACCCTCACCTACTTCTACCCAACCCTCGTCAAAGGTCTCTTCGGTGATGCCTCAACCTACAAGATCAATCTCCTCACTGTCCCCATCTATGGCGCCGCCTTCGTTGCCACCGGCATCACATCATACTTTGGAGACAAAGTGCCTAACTGGCGAGGCCTGATTATTGCCGGGTGGTTGACATTTTCTCTTGTATGCTCGATTATTGTGTGCACAGTTTACGACTTTACTGCCCGATACGTCCTGCTGGTGTTGATGGCATGTGGTCTCTGGGCTACGAATGGAGGTACATTGGCATATGCATCATCGGCCTTTGCTGGCATGCACCCGCAGGCTCGGGGTGTTAGCTTGGCCTTGGTCAATGCGATGGGTAATTTGGCCCAGATCTATGGGTCGTATCTGTTCCCAAGTGCTGACAGCCCCAAGTATATTATGGGCTTTTCTGTTATTTCTGCGATGCTTGCATTGGGTGTTGTCGTTTTTGCTTCTCTGCACATTTGGTTCCGTCGTCGCACAAGATCTTTCATTGAAGAATGAGTGGCAAGGCCTTTGTGACCTATTGTATATAATGAACATTTGAATCCTTTCCATGACCAACCAATGAATACGGTGAATCCAAACATTTGAAACATCAATGTCTTTTAAAAATAATCTTGGAAATGTTTCGATTCAATTGAATATACATTGTAATTTTTACATATGCCAATAAAAGCATTGACTCAATCCGTCCACAGATCAGATTTTAGTGTCGATAGAACTGGGCAACTGAAGGTTGCCTCAAGTTGAACCACCTTGTGCTTAAGTAGAAATCCTGCCTTTAGGGATTTAGTCGCGCCGCCAAGACATATCACCTTATAAGTGAAGTCCGCCTTTAAAAGTTGAAGACAAGACAACCTCTCACCATCTTGACATTACGCGAAGGGAAGATCGGCTTTTAATAGATGTTTGATCTGCGTGATTGGCGGGCGCAGAGTTTTGGCGGCCTTCTGGATAGTTTCTTGGGTCATAGAAACAGACAAGGAAAAGCTATTTAGCAGCTTTTGCCACGGAATTTTTGAGGTATCTGATCATCTCATGAGATCATTGACCGAGTCCTTTCCATATTCATGCTCAAGCTCCTTTCGTAGAGACGCCAAAGGCCAGCGAACTGTTCGCTGGCACGAGTCCAGAAGGTCCAAGAGGGCCAATCTTTCATGTGGCGTGTAGACACACATTCCAGCTAATAATTATTAGAAATATGTACCTGTGAAACTCAAAAAGACGAACTTCTTACCTCCAAAGAGTGTGTGCAAACAAACGATGTTTGCTGCATGGTCCTGCTTATCCACCGATCGCGCTATTCCGCAAATTGTATTGACAGACATTGTCAAAAGCTTCTGCGCGGCCCGGAAGTCGTCAAGCCCGCCCGAGGATGGTCTATGGAGGACAACCAAAATACGAGCAAGACTATGAATTTGCAATGCTCCTGCAAAGGGCGCCGGATGGACCCAGATTGGAGGGAATGTTTCAGTGCTAGAGATGACTGGGAGTGGGTCATATTCGGGGGGTAGATGATCATGCCATTCCTGCAGCATGAAAAGCAGTTCGCTCCCACGGTCCAAGCGGCGCTCTAGATCAAAAGCCTTTTCTTCCTCTTTTGACGCGTAGTTGACACATTGACCGAGAAGATATGTTGCTCGAGTTGCTAGTTCAGAGCCAGTGAGAACTGACAGAGGCTTCTTAGGTGTCCAGAAGCTGAAGATCCGACGCCGCTCGCGCATGGCAACCCACACGTCTTGTCGAAGCCAGGCCCACCAGACGGCAGATCGCAGTCCTCCAGATTCGCCGTCGTTGTCCTGGAATCGCTGGATCCAGAACACACCTTTCAAATGTCGTTCCCAATCCTGGTTTGATCCATCGATCATTTCATAAGTGCTAATGAGGAGTGAGATGGCGAGCAGTTCATGGCTGCGAGCATAAGACGAGTTTTGCATAGCTTTGTTCAAGTAATGGAGGGATTCATAGTAATACTGAACAGCCAGGTTACGGTCGATAATAGTCTCCTGGTGTGATGAAACACTTGCATCTTCCCCAAGGGAACGACCTGGATATTGTGACTCAAGTTCTTGTAGAGAGTGATGACGGGCGGAGAGGGCCAGCAGGGCTTTCATTAGCCCAACGTTCCGAAGAGCCAGATGAGAGACTGTGGAAGCGAAATGCTTCTCTGGGTCATAAAAGTCCAACCAGTCACTTGAGACGCGCACAAAGTGTCGAAACAAATGATGCTCCAATGGCGATAATTCAATCAAAGATCCCGGGCTCCATGATGGCGAATTATAGACAGCCGGTTCCACCTCTGGGGGTTGGGAAACCAGTCGTCGCGCAATTTCGGGATCCCGTGGAAATGCCGCGGCATTGAAGCTTTGACTCTCCCGGAATGTTCGGGGCTGCAAGTTGGCACTGTTTCGTGGGTCTTCTCCATTGTCGATCTGCACGTGAGACTTCCTGCGAGGTAACTGACCTGTGGGAGACAGACGAAACCTGTCATCGGCATTTGCAGCGTCCGTGGCCAGGAGTTCGAACCAGCTCAAGGGCGCGACTCTCGAGGAATAAGAACTTTCTGTTCCCGGTGATGGGACATATGCATATGGTGATCTTGCTGTCGGGACAACGGCAGCTGTTGACCCAGAATTTTCAGGAGTGATTGTGCTGCTTGGGTGCCGTGATTCGTGTGGACTATCTTGCTGCATGGGTTGCTCTTGATGGCATGCATCGACCAATATCTGGAGAGGCTCATGGACTGAGCTTCGACTATTCATTTGATTTGCAAGCTCCATTCCTGGTGTTTCGGGCGCCTGCGCCTCTGCTGGTGACATGCGACTGTAAGGCGAGTCTCTAGGCGCGTACATACAGGGACGCTGGCCTTTGGCACAGGGCCCACATTGTGGTTGTACCTGATAGTCCAATTAAATAAGTCTCATATTTTTGAGGGATGGTACGTGGTGGGAGCGATCGATACATACCTCATCGCACTTCACATGTCTTCTCTTGCAGATGAGACTAGTGACGCGTTAGGGATGGAAAATATTTCCTAAAGCCGGGGAAAAACTGACCAACCAGTGGTCGCACGAAGCCCTCGTCCGCGGGACTTGCGCTTTTGCCGGATAGCGCCCTGCGGCTTGGCCATCATGCGGAGAAGTAGCGCGCATACAACCTAGAATAGTGACAGATGATCAAGTGATTCGAGTCGAGGTCAGCGGGGGAAAACCGAAACTGTGGGGAACGGCGAAACCTTGTTCGGTGACTGGAAGCGTGGCAAGCCGGAAAGTGGAGTTTCGCGGCAATTTCGATCGTTGCTTCCAACCGTGACCATTTGCGAGAATACTCTTGACTTTGGCTCACTTATCTTGAAAGCACTCCAAATTGAATGAATCATAGATCTATTACAGTAGTATACTAGCAGTAGGTAGTATACTCATGGTAAATTTGCTAACAACCATCTCTCCTATTCCGGGCCCTATTTGCGCACTGTGTGGGTCGGAGAAATTTCCCCTGGTCTCACTGTCAGTACTCAGAGAAGTAGTAATGACGACACTGTAACTACATACTAATCAACACATGGTCCATATTGTGGGGTAATATTCAAGGACAGGATGCAGGTACCCCAGACATCTCTGGACTCGTAAATATTCAGCCACATATCCACCGCGCCTGGAGATCCATGGTGACACGGTACAAGTGCCGAGCCTCGAGACGAGCCCACGGGTACTAAACAGCCACTGCGGATTTGAGAGAAAAAGGAGTAAAAGGATCTGGTAGTACGCACTAGTGAGTTTAAAAAGTAACCTTATCGAGAATTCACTTTGAACCCCGCGATTGGGCTTGTATAATTGACCACCTGCACTCCACTTGTTCTAAATTGACGGTTATAAAACGAAAGAAACCATTTTCACAGTGACTCCACTAAGTACAGAAACTTCCAACACCCCAATGGTAACCAACTCCTGCTGGTATACCTTGTTGCGCTAGGTCTGTAACCTATCCTTCAAATCAATGCCAGTGCAACTCATCCATTCGCTGATAGTAGCTAGCATCTGTTTCACCCTCTTCCTTTGGTGTGTCGATAGGCGCAGTGCAAATCTTCATGCATCCTCCAACATATTTGCCATGTGTATAATCATACTTTTTGTCAACTCTGTATTCATGGCAGAGGTCACAATGTACAGAACCATGCATGCAGTCACCTCTGCCATAGTATTCATAAGCATTGCATATGCCCGGATCAGCGGCCCGGCTTGTCAATTTATTGCCTGCAAAGATATGAGCGTCGCTTCCTAACCAAAATTCATCTTTGTTCAAGTATCTTGCCTGCTAGGTCTTTCAGATCATATGCCACCAGTCCATCACCAGCAGGCTCACGCTCAGGTAGTTTGAGTTCTGGGTTGCGCTTATTGATCCCCTCCGCGAAAAACACCCTTGCGTAGGGAGGGTCGAACACAAATGTCGTTTCGCCGGTTTTGCGATTTCTGACTTCTGCTGTTGCCGAAATCTCGTCTATGGCAAAATATTCATCTGGGGCTGGGATAGTTGCTCTCTCAATTTGATTTTTGATACGCTGAGCAGTATCAGGATTGAAACACGTGTCGATGAAGTATAGTTGATCTTTACCAGCGGCTGCCACATATGGTGTATCTGGTGCAACAATCTGGAAGCCATACGCTGTTTCGATAACATCTGGTACGTAGCTGCTGTCTCGATATTCTTCTTGATAGACTGATGAACTCTCGCATAGTTGGAATGCGCTTAGCTGCATACCAATGATGAAGAGTAGGAAGAGCATAGTGAGTATAAGATCAAGTCTTTTTTTTGTATCTGTTTGATGACTATACTTAGGTACGTAATGAAGTGGGAACGAGATCAGAAAATAATTATGAGCGCGACGAAGAGAGAGGAAAAGCAAGAAGTAGAAGAAGGCGAGAGAAGAATAACATGAAGCTACGGCGGGGAGAGCACAAGCTAATCCCAAAATGGGTCATCCCCCTCCAGGCTCCAGCTCAGAGCTGCTGAGCAGTAAGCTCACTTGGAAGTGGCTGTATTGAGGTTGTATTTCAATCTTTCTTGCTATTATTCCAATAGCTGTGGGGTACTGTGGGCCTTCTTGATAGGACAAAATTCGGAACACCTACGGAGTGCGGAAAGCTAAGTCCACAGCCCTACATACTACTAGTATGTATTAGATAAGCCTCTTTTTGCGTGTTTGGACAAGAATAATAATATCGCTTTTAGCCCTAGGAAGTGCTGGAATAACTATAGCACGCTAGCCTTGGAAGGCTGGATCCATACGAAAACCCTGATTCCCTGAGTCCAAGACCCACTATGTCTCCTTCGCGTCCTTCACTTCTTTTCAGCCTCACAACTGCCACCACATCATTCAAGCATGTCTCTCAAAAGATCGTATAGCCAGTGGCCTGAATGTATCCCCTCATTTATTCGCCGACATGAGGAACCTGTCGAGTGGGAAGATATCGATGGTGACGCCACTCGTGCATGGAGATATTTTGTTCGTGAGCGGTGGGTCAGTGGCGACGACACCGCAGATCAACAGAAACGAGATCTGATTGAACAATGGGCAACAGCAGACCAAAAATTCCGAGATGTATGACTTGACTAAATACAGATATTCCTTGGTTTTCTACTCACTGCCCCTTTGATAGGGCTATCAATCTCGAGCACCAGAGGACGAGCCTAGTTTTTTTCGAAGGCCCCGAACTTAGAGTACGAAATATCCCCTACTTTCCCGATTCTAATTTTAACCTGAAAACAGGACGAGTCTTTCACTAAAAGTGACGTTGAAAGCTTCTGCATGGTCTATATTTGTATCACTGAATTGAACGAAGAAAAACAAGCCTTGCTGGCTAAGTGTATCCTGGGTTTATTCCCATGGGAGGATGGCTGGGAATTTCTAGCCGACGAAATTGTGATGTTTTTGCCCTTGGAAGGTAATCAAGGCAATCATGTTCTGGACACTTTCAAGCTCCAGCAAAGCGTCGCTCGGCCCGATTTTCTCGATATGCATATGGCGCTTGATGGAACGGTAATCTTCAGGGATTGTTATCCCAAGCTGATTATTGATGACCGAACCCTAGAGACCGGACTAGGGCTTTGGGTTGAGTTTGGAACGAATGGCATCTATGAAAAGGCCTACCGGGCTCAAATTATGATGATGGAGTTTGCCGACTTTTATCGTGAAATCGGACCTGGCAATCAGACTCCGATACAGTGCGCGTTGATGTATATTGAGTCAAGATACAGTGATCTTGATAAGGATAGAGATCCGAAAATTATCTTGGAGGACGAGCCGTGAGTCATCTTCCTCTTATTTAAAGAATTTTATGACCTAATCAGTGCTTAGGGTCGATATGTGGAAGCCGCTTGTGGAGATCTACCTGGGTGAAGTCGATCTAGTGGATGACTATGCTCCCGGCTTTCGTGAGGCAGAGGAGGAGGGCAATGGCCTAGCGATCGGATTTGATTTACGACAGATACTTGCGAACGATGGAAGACCCTTGATAATCACAGACTATGAAAGATTCTAGATGTAGTGTTTACTACCACCCCCAGGGCTACTCTACTTAGTACTCACTGATCTCACACTCGGAGAAAGTCCGATAAACAAAAGAAACCCCCACCTTTCTCAGTTCATCACGCTTGTCAAACTTCAAGGTTACAAGGTTACAGTAGTATATAGGGTGACAAAACCTCTACATCTTATGCAGTTATTGAAAATCACTACTACATTTGGTGGGTCTTATCGTAAAATATTACGGTTCAAATCCCCTCGCATGGTGCATCGCACCTTTGCCCGCGTGGGGGAAGAGAGGGGGTCTTTTACCTTGCATTTATTGCAAGGTCTATCCCAAGGGATGTGAGGTAGATATTTTATGATTCATTTTACCCTTTTGCTGGTTCCTTTTGTTTCTCTGCCTCCTCCTTGCACTCTTCCACCATGTCTGCCATTCCAGGTGTCACACAACCTCCCTACCCGCTCCATGAGTCTGTCCGAGATCTGCTGGATCCCGAATACGTCAATTTCTATGACCAGCATGTGATCGACAAGCAACAAGTACATCTGCAGCCCGTTGCAGCATCCCGAACCAGCGGTGTTCTCATCCCAGGCGCGGGTCCGATGCTGGAGGTTGGGAAGACTCAGGATATCACTATCACGCGTCGTGAGACTCAGGGACCTCCAGTTGAAGTCCGCTGTTTTACCCCCAAGGGCGAAGTACCAGCCGGAGGATGGCCAGTCATGCTGTATTTCCACGGCGGTGGTTGGGTCCTTGGCAACATTGACACTGAAAACGTGGTGTGCTCTAACCTTTGCGTGCGTGGTAATTGCGTGGTGGTGACGGTTGATTACCGGTGAGCTTCCCTTCCCGCATCTTCTCCCTCTTTCCCACACCTCGGTCCAATCCGACCCAAATAGCACACTATCTAACCAATCAAAGTCTCGCCCCCGAAAACCCATGGCCAGCTGCCGTTCACGATTGCTGGGAGGCCCTGTTGTGGTTGAAGGCGGAGGGAACCGCCGCGCTGTCAATTGACACGTCCAGACTCGCGACGGGCGGGTCTTCGGCTGGTGGAAACTTGGCCGCCATCATGACCCACAAGGCATTGACCCTCTCACCCCCAGTCCACTTCTCCGCTCAGTTACTCTCGGTCCCTGTCACGGACAACACTGCCACAGTGGAGAACAATGAGTCCTACCGCCGATACGAACATACCCCCGCTCTACCATCCCGGAAAATGATTTGGTACCGCGACCATTACCTCCCCAACGAAGCCGATCGCACCAACCCCGAGGCCAGTCCCCTATTTTATGCCACTGGCGGTAGCTGGTCTCAGCTTCCCCCTGCCCTGGTAATGGTGGGCGAGTTGGACGTGTTGCGGACCGAGGGCGAGCAGTATGCCGAGAAGCTTCAAAATGCAGGCGTGGCGGTGGATTTGCAGGTGATGAAGGGCATGCCTCATCCATTCTTGGCCATGGATGGTGCACTCTCCGAGGGGAAAAGATGCATCACACTGATGTGTGATGCCTTGCAAAAGGCATTCTGGGTCTAGTTTATAGCCGGGGAAGAAATAAAATAGTCCCTCCCCTGTGGTTCAACATGCAAAATTTCAATATAATTGATTCAATAGATGGTTAATCCACTTCCAAGGTTCCAACGTGGCCGAATTCTCAACTACACTTTCTATCAATCCAGGCCCTTGAATACATCGTCGAACCGCAGCTCATTCCATCTCACATTGGGCTTGAGGCCTGCAAACTTCCACACTCCGTCAACCTTGCGGTAGTAGTGCTCGTTGGTGGCATGGCCGTGGCCACGGAGCTTGACCTCCTTCAAATCAGCATCGGTGTACACTTGGTGGGCGGCACGGAGCTGGTGATGGCCGATAACCTCGGTGTCGGATATCTTCTCCCACCAGGTTTGGCCGAGCAGATGCTGTGTCTTCACGGTGGGATCTCCCAGGAATCCGGGGTGGGTCACCATAGCCATGTAATCGTCTGCTGACATATCGTCCCATCTTCGGAGTCCAATCTTGGTGTAGTCAACCTGTTCAAGTGTTGGTATTAGCGTTCACGTTGTTTCCGGTGAATTGGGATGTATTATCAGTTCATACCGTCAGTGTGGGAGCAATAATGCTACGCAGACGGTCCCAGTCCTAAAAGATATAATTATTTCAGTTCATGAACTTTCGTCAAAGGTGCCGTCAAAGTAATGGTCATATGTACCTTAGCATCGTAACTATCGGCCCAGTCGAAGACGACCTTCGACAAAACTAGATAATCTGCAAAAGTTAGTAATCACCGTCAGAGAGGTTCAATATTATTATGGGGCTTATCACCTTGGAAGCTAATGTCCAAATTAGGCTCTGTTTGCTTCTTTATGGCTGGCGACATGATGTTCTTCGAGACGAGTAACTTCAATGAAATAACCTATCGAGGAGGCTTCTCAGTAAAGTATTTCTCCTAAGGCACATCTCCCCTGTTTCTCGTGACTAGAAACTCCATGCTTGGCTTCGCCGGATGCAGCGTGAACATGAATTGGAATTGTTGGAGACAAAGGAATGCAACACAAGCCGATTGACGCGACTTCGTGTGGAAACCAGCTGAACTACTACACTTCCGCAAGCGGCAATTGTTCCATACCCCAAGCCATTAATCATTCAGATGTTCGAAAGCAGGATGACTATTCTAAAAAAGAACCATAGAGTGGCGCCTATGGTGAGATGAAATCCGGCTTTGGTTTCATCCAGCCTCGTGTGGTACTTAATTACAAAATACCTACTGCATCCTGTTGCCTCGATCGAGATCTCGTTTCTTTCATTTCAACTTTCCATTCATATTATACATTTTACGTCCGTTCATCTTAGCAATCTCATCAACATGGTTGTCCCACACACTCAAGCGGGTTCCGGTGAGCTTGCAGGCAAAGTTGCCCTAGTCACCGGCGGCAGCCGGGGTATCGGTTCAGGCATCGCGCTGGAGCTGGCCAAGAAAGGCGCTTCAGTGGCTATCAACTACTCCCGCGACCCCGTCTCCGCCGAGAAGATTGTCCAGGAGATTCAAGCCTTGGGCAGCCAGTCGGCCGCTTTCCAGGCCAACCTGACCAAGGTTGACTCCATTGAGACCCTATTCCAACAGGTTGTGGCGCACTTCGGACAACTCGACATCGTTGTTTCCAACTCCGGAACAGAGAAATTTGTCTCGCTAGCCGATACCACCCTCGAAGATTTCAACGAAGTCTTCGATCTCAACACTCGGGCTCAGTTCTTCGTGGCCCAGAATGCCTACAAGTATATTCAGCCGGGCGGCCGAGTGGTGCTCATGTCGTCGATCGCTGCAGGAGTTGGCGTCCCGGGTCACTCATTGTACGCCGGTAGCAAGAGCGCGATCGAGGGATTCACCCGTTGCTTTGCTGCCGATTTCGGCAAGAAGCGCTGCACCGTCAACGCTATTGCCCCCGCCGGCGTCAAGAGTGATATGTGGTTGAAGAATTCGTGGCGTTATGCGCCTGGCTGCGATCAGAGCTCATCCCTTGAGGATATTGAAGCAGCTTTGGCCAGTGGTAGCCCCTTGAAGCGATGTGGCGTGCCGGCCGACATTGGCCGCGTTGTGGCATTCTTGGCCAGCCCGGGAGGGGAATGGATCAACGGTGAGTTGCCCCTATTTTAATTTCTTTCCGAAAACCAAGGGCACATTTTGGCCCTCATTGAAACCCGAACTAATTGATCTTGCAGGCCAAATCTTGCCGCTGAACGGAGGTGCCAACATTTAATGGAGATGTGTGGCTGATACCTAAGCAGGCAGCTTACTGGAGTCCTTCTTTGATTTCTTTTCCCCCCTTCCGTCAGGGTGACTCTCGAGTACCTATTGAGATTTAGTTCAATCGTACAGAAATTAGTGCTGAATTTACAACATGTGAAACAACCCAATGTCCTTGCTTCCAATGTTTAAGACTTCTACTCTCACCTGGAAGAACAGTACCCTTCGAGCTATCCGTGCCCAGGGTTCAACCCACACTGCGTATGGTATGGGCGAAAGCCTCGGGCATAGATACTTCGGGACATACATATTGTCTTAGACGAGGCGGTCAGTTAAGCCCTGGAGCTGGGAATAGGGTGTAGCGCGAATAAATTTGCAGTGTCATTTCATTCATCAAATTATCTTCAACCATTCATCGTGTTCTTTTGCCCCTGGAAAGTTCGTTGTTCATCGTCGCAATATGCGTTTGAGTAAATTGTTTTGTGCATCGTCGATTTCAACCATGATGGTAACAGAAACAATCAAAGTGACAAGGATGATCTGGATGGAGTTAACATGAGTTTACTCTCTCCGTATTCATGAGAGATGTCACATACCGCAAAGAGTAGGATCCCGACCGAATTGAGCTCCCAGCCCCCAGCATGAACTTTGCCCAAAGAGATAGCACTTTGCTGTCTCCAAAATCGATAGGCCCCGATCAAAGCGACAATAACGGCGACACAGTGACAACTGACGGCAAGCGGAATACCGACCTGGTAGAATCTCAGGCGATCCTCGGCAGTTGGGGCACGTTGAAGGCGGAACAGCTGTGCGATGACCACCCCTTGCATTGCGATAACCACCGACGTACGGATATAAGCGAGGAAAGTCCTCTCCAAAGCTGAATAATTTCCGATCAGTATCAACTCCTTTCCAATTGTATGTGGCAAGCTAAAAGAGCACAACGATCTTACTGACCATAATGGTCCCTGTTGCTTTTCCGAGGCACCGTCAGAGTGACATGGTGTGTCCAAAATCGACAAATCCGGCTCCACAGTCCGGTGCGATTGTGGTGTGAACGCTGAGTCGTGACACGAGACACAATCCGACTTGTGGGGACCCGATACTCGTCACCAGACGAAGCAGATGCTGATGAACATTCCAGCTCGTCATCCTCGCGGGTTTGGATTTCCTGTAGCTCGAGGGCTTCGCGATCGTCTTCCTGACGACGCTCGTCACGCCGAGATGGCGGTCGGCTTTCTCTCAAGACAGCAGTGACAGGTCGTTCCAAAGCCGACAACGCCGCAGCACTCGTTTCGGTCATATTGGGGAGCTGTAGCCGGGAGTGGCATTGCTATCATGGAGCTTGCCAGGTCGGAAAAGATTCAAAGCAAGTTTTGGGACCCTTGGGCCTTTCCCTATCTCTTTCAGTGTTTTTGGGGGGAATTGTCCCCGGATCGGCTCCAGCCGAACTTGTCACTCATCGCCCCGCAATACTACTCATGGTTTGCATTCTGGGGTAATTATGTGCTTGTTGTGTTCGATTTTGTGATACTGATATATTGAGAAGATCAGAAGAGGTGAAGCTATTATTTAAGTGAGTTTTCAAGGGCTTTTCTTTTCTTTTACTCCACATTCTATCTTTGAGGAACACAATGACCGTAGTACCTGCATCCGGCTTGGTACCTAGACTCATTGGCCAATCAAATCCTCGCAAATGTGAATTGCATCATCTTCGGTCGATATGTTGAAATCCCCTCCAATGACTGCTGCAGTGAAGATGGATTAAGCATTACTAGGATCCGATCTATACGAGAGGACTTGATCAGTATCCACCGAGAATGTTAGGCCCAATCGAATTGGATTCGTGTAAAAAAACCAGGCGTCTCAGGTGTCCCAGCTGGCGGAGATCCAATCAACGGCCGTTCTCAGCAGGGAAACTGAGATATAATTGTCCATACATAGAACGGGATACGGAAAATACTAATCAATGAAACTTATGTTAAATTATCCGATCATTCAAACCTCTGGAGAGCTTTTATTATCAGTCGGTAAGCGTTCGGGGTTGAGGATTGAGGGTTGACCAGTTGACGGGATATTGAAAAGGTTTCCTATTCAAGCCTAGTGCCGGTCTCACCAGAACTTCTTCCGCGACATGTTTGAATTTCAAGAGAAAAAACCAACCTTGGGAAGTCTTGGAACTTCCAAACCCACTTGAAATATTGAATGATGCGACGACATCCAAAGAGCCTTTTGGGACTCTTCGAATCCCCATTACTTCATAAAGGACACATCCAGCCGTCCATTCGAACCCTGACTCCTCGTTTTCAATCCTCGTCCTCCAATGATTCGCGTTCCGACCAAACCAACTTGAACACCCGTCATGGCACCACCGTCCGTCACAAACCTAAAAACTATCTTCACAGCGAAAGATTGCCGATTGGAGTTACTTCACTAGGTGAACCTGGTGAAGTGGTTATCGTGCCCCCCAAAATCCGCCGACGACCGCAGCACAGTGGCCCGAATGCGTTGGGAGAAGGAGAAGGCCAGCTGAAGGAAGACCCAAGCTCAGTCTCTGCTATTCTGCACGACATGGACGAGGAGTCAGTTGAAACGACGGCGGAGATAATACGGGTCAGAATGGAAGGCCTCCGGACATATCGACCCAAGCAAAAACTGACTGCCAGCGAGTGGGAGGACCTTCAATCGACCATTGTATCATCCTTTTCCCGTCCTCAGCTGTCACAATACGTGGCCGCATATAATCACGACATGCCGATCTCCGAGGACAACCTTGCACCATGGCGACCGGGAACATCTGCATTTATCCTCAAAACCGGCTCAAGACTGCGACCCCGGCTTGATCACAAAATGCAATTGGCGGAACATATTCTTCGAGAGTTTTGGCAGCTTTCCATTTTGGATGAGGTGGGCCACCTGGACCTCACTTTGCCTCCTCTATATATCAATTTACTCCTAGCGGCCAACAACTTCTCATTTGACGAAGTGGCAGGTCTCCACAAGTCCAGTATTGATATCACCCACTCTCTAGGGTTGGTGAGAATTACGGGAACCGAGACGAGTTGCGAATCAACTTGCGAAGTCATTTCAGATGCTGCCGCTCGAATTCAAGAGGAACAGGTTGGGATTGACTTTGTCACCGTTGGCACACGCTTCACTCCGAACTTTATCGATTGGGTGTGCCAAACATACGGTGTTGAAATCGACCGACAGGCTGTCCAGGGTCCGGAAAGGATTCTGTACCTGAAGGAAAACAAACGGGGGGCGGAGGAAGCTCGAAGGACGCTAGGCCTCGCAGCTCACGGTGCTAATCCATCACCTCAACCGTTCTCTACGTACCTACCAGCCTCCGAACCAGCAAATGTATACGACTACACCCCCGAGACCACCGCTAGCTGGTTGGATCAACAAAAATCCTGGTTCCGATGGGCCATGCCCGCTGTTCAGACTACCGCGACTGAACCCCAACCCACCCCTTTCTTCAATGGCCACAACGCCCTGCTATCTAACACTTTGTTAAAGCTTCTGCGTGATCAGCGCGAAGCTAACCCCGTCTCTCTTGGTGGGTTCACACTTCAGGAATCGGTGACCGCCGCAGTTGGAAGGTGTCTATTCAACCGGAAGTCTACATTTGACGAGACAACAATCAGCGCCTCTCAGCTTGGCAAGCTTTCTTTACCACGAACTTTTGTGCCCGATGTACCTCGAATCAAACCTTTCTTGGACTCGCTCTCACCAATCGCCCCAGAGAATGGAATCCCGATCCATGTTGTTCGGCTGATTCCGTTGCCAGGATCATCTGGCAATCTTCCAGAGCTAGAAGTGGAATTTTCCCCTAAGACTATGAATGCGTCGGGGGCCTCCCAAGACCCCATTTCCATCCACGGTGTCAGGTTCATCCTCGATACGAACAGTGTCGATTTCCTCCTTCCAGAGACTGGACTTGATCTACGCTTCACGCGTACTCTCCACTTGCAGGCCTCGGCTGAGACCGTCACCGATGAAGAACAGTATGAAGAGCTCTTGAACAGCATCAAGCAGTCTCTTCGCGATACGTTCACTTCCCCGTCAAGCATCGAGGGCTCTTCCCTGCCTGCCTTCGGACATATTCGCCTACCGCAAAATATCTTCCCATCATGCCTTCACACCAAGACCGAGGGCAAGGTCGACTCTGTCGAGTATATTTTCCCTCCAATGAATGATGCTCGAGGAGCTGTTGCCCAAAGATATCACTTTGAGGGTACGCAGTTGAGCTACCGCTTCTATGAAAGTGGGCCGTTCCTCGCAGCCAGGACTACTGAAGTTTCGCTTGACATGAATATCCCTCAAGATACCATGGAGGTTGTGGATGGCGAGTCTCAGGATGCCGTGGAACAAAACTTCCACTCCTTTTACAACACCGCTTGCGACATGGCGTTTAAAATCGACAAGGCAAGATACCCGGACGAACACGACGGATAGAACTATTTCGATTCACCATTGTATAATAAGAATCTCCGACTACATAGATGAAAAGTGACCCCTTTCTGGGGCTGTACAATATAATTACCCAAGACTAATGAAAGAACATTATGCAATATCAAGGTTTCTTCCAAGCTGTGTAATACACCGCCTACATGTATGCCGACCCAGAACGTACCTACTACTGGTAGGATGTACTTGTGTAAGGTATTAACAGCAAAACCATCTCATGTGCTCGCTCCTACCTGGGCAACCTTGCAATATTAACATTAAAACAATGAATAATCCAATATTATTTTCTTTTGAAGCGGTGTACTTGAGTGATGTTCTACGGGTCTTAGTGTAAATAAAGGTTGGGAGTTCTTCTGATTCTGTATTTTTAAACGGGCTCTCGCCTCTCGGCTATGTACTACAATCTTCAATTTTTGGTTTTTGGATCGTGGATAATCCGTAAACATTCATATATGCATAGAAGAGCCACCAGGCTTGCCTTCCCTTGAAGGCCACAGGACCCTTAACACCGAGCAATTATTGCAGTGATTCAAGCTATTGCAGCAAGTAACCAATATCGATAATAGCCACCTAGCAGTGAAGCCAGTGTAGAGAATCTTAGCATCGTTTCCATCCAGTAAGATCCTTCAAAAATTACACCCATCTTGTGGCTGAGGGCGGGATTTGAATTTTGGAATGGCGCGTACTTCAGCTAAGAAGCAAAGCTGGAAAGATGGGATAGATAAAAGTCCGCGTTTGCTTTTTGGTTCGTTTTCAGGACAATGCAGTCCACCAAAGCATCATAAGACCCATCACCCAGTGTGTGCCCACTGAGCCGAAGTGGATGGGATAAAAGCTCCTCGAATATCATCAAGGCCTCCCATATGAAGCTCCACGCCGTCTGGGTACGAGGACGATCCAATTGTAAAGCCGGCCTCGGGATCAACTGGCAGCCAGTTGGAGGTCTTACGGGATGATCCATCGGGCATTTCTAGCATTGTGGGGAAGTCTTCATCCTCTGTGTTCCAGGTAGGACCATTGGCCATCCAGGCTGTTGCTATGGGACCCTGCATGGTAGAGTTGTGCTCAGACACCATATCGGGGAATGGCGATGTGTCTCTAGCTTGTTCGGTCCCGCCGCGGCTGAAGGGGGCTTGAGGGATTTCGGGTGTACTGGAGTGGTCGGATACAGGGGAGCCTGGGAATGTAGACACAGACAAGGCGTGGACAGAGGGGGTCATGAAGAGGGCCCTTTCGGCTGCTATGCGCGAAAGCAGATGCTGATTTTCTGCTTGATCGGGGCGGGCATAGGGGCTGGTCGGTGTTTGATACTCCGGGATCCAGGAATCACTGCATGATAAAGATTTAGTTTTTGTCTCGTTTGCTTTGACGCAAGCACATGCAGACTGACCTGGTCATGTTTAAGTTCTTTTCTCCGTCCATGGTAGCTGTGTACGGGCCATCGTAAAGTTGCCAATTTTGGACAAAGTCGCTAGACGATTTCAGAGCCATTTCGCCGCTCCAGTCGTAATTTTCCAAAGCCCATGCATCGGGCTCGCCTTGGAGGACGAGTGGAAAGCCACTGTGGGCCATGAAGTGCTGGCTAACCTTCTCGTAGCTTTGGACGTTTGGTGTAGCCAAATTTGGCACGTCTCTGTCATGAGGGTCTATCTGCTGCCAGTACTCAAGGCTGTAGGAAAGATTTGGGGCAGTCATTTTTAGACAATGTGAGTGGCGTGTTGATCGAATTGTTTTCAGCGTCCAGGTTAAATAAAATTGCCCGAGGTATAAACACGTTCGCGGCAAGAAGGTTATTGATTTGTTTTGCGTGGCCAGCACAGCAGAGAATTAGTATGAAAAGAATAGACAATAGTAAAAGCGTATAATAATAAATAAAGAATAATAATAATAAAAAAACAATCCGTTCCCCGCAAATCCGGGGCATGCTTGACTTAAAAAGAATTTGCGGAGAACATGCAAGCGACCTTGAAAGCTCGAAGCGAGCTAGAGCTCAGCCGACCTGCTCGGTAAATTCCTCACCGTATGATGCAGGAATTTATCCGATGTTTTCCCCGGATTCTGGCCCTTGATCGGATCGGTCCGAGGGCGCTACGCACCAATCGGTGCATTCCACTCGGCATCGGTAAAGAGCAAAGTCAACAGACTCGCGTTTTAACCGACCCCAACCCCGCAAAAATGCAAAAAATGGGGAGGTCAAAGAGATGGACAGGCACATTCCCCAGACTGTCATTCTATATTAACTGTTGATTTCATCTTGCATGGGGTTCCTGGGCCATTCAAGCAAGGTACAATGTCCACGAGGCGATGAATTTCCAGAGAAGGTCTCGTGCAGATCGTGGACAGTGGACACTCTCGGCTCGTAACCGGAGTAATTAATATCCCAGCAGTTCTAATTAACGGCCAATTTACTATATGTACCAGGTAAACATAATCAACCGACTGAAGAGATCCAAGCTCATGTATAAATCTCACTAAACTCTGTGTTTTCGCTCGGTGAAGCTTAACATTTGAAGAATGACCCGATCCTTGTTAACATAGTATAGCCTTCGAAACATCTCTGGAAAAGCCCAAATGAGGGGGGCAAAGGGGGAGCAAATCGCCATTTCCTCAATATTTCAAAGTTTGCCACCCTGTTTCACTCACTTGACCATCTAAAAGGTCTCTGCTCGCCTTGATTGACATTTTTTGCCATATATAAATTAATGGCAGTAATAGCCCTGGAGGTATAGTGGTCTACTAGGAAGCCGAGTGATATTACTGGAGTTCAAAATTTAGTGGATACCCGACTCAATCTCGGTAAAATGTCATTAATCATTAATTAAGCCTTGACTCTATAAAATAGATTATTCAGGCGCATGAGGCTTATGAGTTTGTGGAGGGGGTGGATTCCTTGTCCTCTGCCGTCGCCTTTTTCCGCCCGAAATAAGTCTGCAACGAGAGACCTGCCACTTGCAACCAAGACACTCCAGCCAGAACACAGATTGCCGTAAGCCCCTTCAAGTATTTGGGCGCATCTTCGGTACGGAAGATCTGGGAGCCGGAGATACCAGCACAGTTTGCGGCCATCACAACCAAACTGAAAAGAGAGAAAGTCAGTACTCAATATTCTGTTCAACAGACAATCAGGCAGATCAACTTACGCCATGGCGACACTCCTTTCTTGGGGGGTTCGGCAGTAGAATGACAACCAACCAACATTGAGGATACTAATCTCTGGTTAGTACTAATTTCTCGAATTCGAACGGAAGCGGGAGACACTTACTGCATGCTGCAGTAGGAGACATTGGTGATAGCAATGACACCATATCGGTGCCACTGTCCAGAGTGATACGGATCAGTCCGCAGGCAGGCATAGGAAATCACATTCCAGGTGATTGCAAGCAGCACAAATGGACCGCGGTGGCCAGTACGATCCGCAAGGAACGACAAAATTGTCAACCAGACGATGCCGCAGTAAACCGGCACAGACGAGAGAGCATTAGCCTTGATCGAGGAAAAGCCGAGCGACTTGATCATGGTAGGAGTGTATTGGGTCAAGCCCTGGAAAGCAGACATGGAAACCAGGGTGATGAATACGTGCTGCATGATGCGCGGGTTCTTCAGAGCCTTCCAGACATCAGATTTGGAGATCTGGATATGGCCCCGAGCCTTCTTAGGGTCATCCAGCAAGACGCGGTTGCGAATTATGTGCGATTCCCGCTCGGTGAAATAACTCCAGCGGCCAAAGGCGATCAAGGGACGGCCGTCGCCCACGCTGGGGGGAACCAAGAGTGTAAAAACGATGCCGATGAATAGGGTGATGAGGCCCTCGACTAATTCAACATGTTAGCGAGAATCTTCTGTTGACCGAGAGGACAGAATCCTTACTGAGGAAAATCCATCTCCATCCAGCCCATCCGTTGGTGCCATCCAGCTTGAGAACTCCAGCTGAAATCAGACTGGAAGTCGCGGAAGCAAACATCTGACCATAAAAGAAATAACTTGTCCGGAGACTGGTCTCATCCTTCTTATACCAAGTCGAAAGATAGTACAGCGCACCTATCACATGAGAACCATCAATTAGCGGACGCGAATATATGTCATTTACAGAAGAGCTTACCTGGAATGAAACCACCTTCACAGAGACCAAGCAGGATGCGGGTCACTAGGTATGCCGGGTAAGACGTCACAAAGGCCTGGAAGGTAGCCACGAGGCCCCAGGCGAACAATTGACCCGACAGCCATGTCCGGGGTCCGATGCGTTGCAGAAGGAAGTTGGAAGGGATTTCCGAAAGAACAATGCCAGCCGAGAGAAGTTGGGTGCCGACATTGACTTGGTTGGTTGTGATACCGAGATCTTTGGTGATTGTGGAGGTAAGGACGGCGCTGATGTTGCCACGATCGAGTTGCAAGGAGAAGAAAGCAAGAGCAAGAGTAGGAATCAAAATGAAGTCGATTCTGTTCCGAAAAACATGGCTGTCAGCTCATCTCGTTCCAGTAACCATATCGAAGATTCCCCAAGGGGTTCGGGAGGCTAATAGTAGCCACATACTTGCGTCGAACAGCCGACTCTTCCTTGTCCCAGTCCTTAATGATACCATGTTCCACCTCGGTATGGGAAGAATCAGTGATCTTTGCATCAATTGCATTTTTCTCTGTGAAGAATTCCTGGTCTCCCATTGTGATGTGTGTGGATCCTACTGGGATCAATGGGTCTCAGTAGATAACTATGGGAGTGTCTTGAAATAGCATCAACGGTGCGAACATCCTGATTCTTATATATAAAAAAAAATTGCCCCGGTCGCTTATCGTGGATTGCGTACGCCGTACGTGCCCAGGTACCAGACAGCATCTAGATTGCCTGCACGCCTGTCATTGTGGCCCCGTTGTGTCGACACGGCGGGAAGATATGGCGCAATCATGGCGCCTTTGACGTGCAAGTATCGGACCCATTTTTTTTCGCTTCTGGGTATTATCATTGCCGATATGTGAAAACAATCAATCATAATTAAAAACAAGCCTACGGGTTTTCCGAGGCAAACAAGGTCTTGTGGCGCGACAGGATTTCTCGGTGGTTGACGTTTGTTGTGGTTCATCGGCTTTCTTGTCCTCTACTATGGATCCATTCGTTAGTACTAAGGACTAACGAAGCAGGACTTCAGCTGTGCAATGCTTAGCCTCCTTTGGTTATTTTACCTACACCCTTCTAATAAACTAATTTTCCTCTTTAAAGTGCAGCCCGAAATGATTCTTATCTATCCATTTAAACTCTAGCTGACCGTATATTCACGGTAGGGGTATATGTTTACACGAAACTTTTTTAATGATTTACACCCAAGCATCCCAAGGAAGACCATTTCGGGTGGTCAATGGAGCTTGAGGCCCTTCTGCCTCAATGACATATCCCAAATCACACCAATCGAACGAGACCCGAGGCTGTGCCTCATAAAACAGGTCATACCGTTCATCCAGAGCATCTCGCATAGTGCGAATAGAGTGTTGGGGATGTAGCACCTTCCAGGGCTCGATGCAGGTAGATCCCTGGCACGACTTGAGAACGAGCAAAAGAGCATCGAGTCGGCTGATGGCCTGGGAGAGGGTTCGGCCTAGAATTCGAGGTTCGTCGCCGACAGCAGGGCCGGTAGGGTATAGGTTGTGTAGCTGATAGGGGTCCGTCTGTAGAATGACATGTTAGCACTCCGACTCAAGTACAAATGTATCGAAAGTCACCACTCACAGAGAGATCATAAAGCTCGTGCTCGTTGGTACACCACACAGAGTAGTACAAATTATAGCCCTCACCCAACAGACGAACTGACTTGTATGTGTTATTGTGCTGGAAGACGGTGCCGGCAATTCCTAACGGATCCGGATTAGTCCTATCCTACTCCAAAAATGATGAGTCTGAACACGCGCAAAACTCACCTATATGACTAAAGTCGCCTTCGAAAACAGTTCGACCCCAGAACTCAACAGTGACATGTTCATGTCGGGGCCCCGCAAAGTCAGGAGTCAGAGGAATAGCGGTTCCATCAAAGTCCTCGCGGTGGGGAATACCAGCGAGACTGAAAATTGTCGGCGCGAGGTCAATGTGGGTGGTGACCGAATCTTGCACATATCCCTCCGGAATTCCAGGGCCACGAATGAAGAGAGGCACGCGGATATCCTCCTCAAAGCCGCAGGTCTTGCCCGGTGGCAAACGGTGCTGTCCGATATGGAATCCGTTGTCGGAGGTGTAGATGATGTAGGTGTTGTCCAACTGGTCGCTCTCTTCCAAACGAGTAACGAGTGAATCCACTAATTCGTCAACTCCCTGCAGTGCCTGCAAGCGCTTGCGATAATAGTGGTCCCCGTAATCAACCACCGTTTGATTCTGCTGGGCTAAATTCCGAACCCAACTGACTCCGCTAGGCTATAAACCGGTTAACGGACTGATCTCTGCTGGTAGATTTAGAGATTAACACATACCTCGTCTGGGTTGAAATTCTCAGTCCGGGGCACCTTCACATCCGGGAATAGATGCTGATGTCTCTCCAATGGGATCGGAGCCCCCATGACAATGGTCTCGGGCCGATCCAGTGCGGCGGGATTCAAATTTGAGTGAGGAGCGATCGGAGCGACTGTCACAAAGAAAGGTCGATCTCCTTCCAGAGCATCATCTAGGAATCCGAGTGCCTTATCCGTAATAACATCAGTCGTGTGCTGTCCCTCATAGCTTACGGGTGCATCGTGATTGCGCTGATAGGTGGAATTAAGGTAGGAGTAGGTGAAAGGATCGAGTAGGAAGTCGGAGCCATTGAATCCGTTGATGTGCGGGCTGTGGTAGTTTTCGACTGTATGAGAGTTGAACATTTTCCCCGTATAGTAAGTATCGTAACCGGCCTCTTGCAGCCAAACGGGCAAGAAATTATCATTGAAGCCGCGATCCACAAACTTGGGATATCCGCCTGAGTCGATTCGGTCAGTCTTTTGCTCCCGAGTTCCAAGTTCCAACACGTAGTAAAAACCACTAACCATAAGGCGGGTTGACATCTGTCACGTTGGTATTGTGTGCCTGTCGTCCAGTCCACAAGCTGACTCGCGAAGGGCAGCACAATGCAGTGGTCACAAAGTGATTCTTAAAAAATGTACCCTTGTCGCGCATGTGCTTCAGAATGTGGGGTGTGTAGGATAGGGAGTCGAGTTGCAGATCTTGGTCGTCGGTGATCACAAACAGGAAATTCGGAGGTTTTGAGGATTTCAATGGTTGTGATTGCGCAATGCTGAGTACCGACTGAAGGACATTTTGCATATCCATCGCACTTCCGATGGCGGCGCCCTCGGCGGCCACGATGAGCCCGGCAATGGGGGCGAGCAGCTTCATTCTGGCGTGGATGTGTGATGAAGAGAGGAAAAGAACTTGGGGGGAGGTCACGACGTCAATAGCATTGAAAACGCGTGTCGATCATCCAGGCCCTTGCTTGTAGCTTCAGGTGCTCCACCACTAACAGTATCACGGCATATGCCAGGCAGTCTGGACTCTTAGCGCTAAGCGTCAAGGGCGCGGTCGGCAAAAAGTGGAGAGAGCTTGGATGATGCCATCGGTGGTTCCAATGGCGACCGGGGTAGACTCCACTTTGAATCGGGACTTTTACTCTCTTCTACACGTGGGAGTTCCAGTTCCTCTAGGGGGATTTTGAAATTGTGTATAGGGAGTAGTTGGGATGCGAATGCGATCGTGTGAAATGTTGCACAAGGCAAAGGTAATTTGAACGTGAGAAATTCGAATTCGAATAATTATCAACTGACGTGTACAAGGATATTGCTTGTTCTCATCTGCAAGATTTCAATGTTCAAACGAAAATGCAATGATGATCTTCAAACTTGCCAAGAGTGGATCGCTTGCATCTCCCCATGTCAAATTGCGTGCTTTGGATCCTCCTTTGCGTGGCAGCTGAGCTGATAACGATCAATGCCAAGCTTAGTCGCTCACTGGCATTTTAAGTGATTTATCCCAGTTTCGGATTAGGTTAATACCTTCATATCTTAAATTTTTGGATTTCTTCTGTTTAGTATTTTTTTTGGTTTTGAAAATAATAAGCATAATGATGAAGAATAGAAATGGCTCAGTGTTTTCCACGCCAGGAAGGTCTCCTTAGCATCAAACAAAAGCGGCTGCTTCTTGAAATGTGAGCGTATGCCAAAATCGTTCGGCCGTGTGCCGTAGATCAAAAAGGTTTTCACTTGTCACATTCTGACTGAGGAGCGTTGGCGGTTGATCTGCCAAGAGGGCGACGGTGAATCTATTAGCCTGTTCGACCGCATTGGTCACGGTGTGGAAGTGAACCGCGCGAAGGTTCTTAGGCAGCGAGGCATGGCCAAAATCGTTTTGCCTGTCTTTGACGAAGTTGGCGATAACATCTTGAGTTGCAGGACAATCGGGGGAGAAGAGTCGATGAAGTTGGTGGCATGTTTCCAGACCCATTGCACCGGCAAGACGAGCCGCGGATCCATCGAGATCCGCTTAAATGTGTTGAGAAAATGTGAATCTATCTGCCGGCCGTATGTGTGCTTTCAATGTAATGAGCATCCCTCGCATTGACTTGCCATAAAGGCCTGTCTACCGGGTCACCCTCGACAACTGAAAGTTGGCGGCAATCTTTTAGTGAAGGATGCATTGATCGAACAAGTATTTCATCATCGGAAGTTTCGATTTTTGTCATCAAAGATACTTTGGCCTTAAGGCTCGGTAGATCGGCGTAGGCTGCAATCTCGATTCTCGACTCGGCGAATATTTGGGAAGGTGAGGGGACCATTATCAGCCGGGACTCGGGAGAATGGCATTCTGGGGGGAAAGTCTCGGGGCCGATCAATGGCCGGATCTAGAAATAATGAGTCTGTCAGGATGAATCAAAAATCGGGGTGACAGTTAGTATGGTGTGCACCGTGATTAGATGTGATTTGTCTGCGTAAGCTTGGTAGTGGGGAAGTACAGGAAGTGGGGAAGTAAGGACCAGGAGTTTTGTGGGGGGTGCGGCGGCCGATAGAGGCCACCCCTACTCTCAAGTCTATTCTCAAGTCTATTCTCAAGTCTACTCTCAAGTCTATTCTCAAGTCTATTCTCAAGTCTATTCTCAAGTCTATTCTCAAGTCTATTCTCAAGTCTACTCTCAAGTCTATTCTCAAGTCTACTCTCAAGTCTATTCTCAAGTCTATTCTCAAGCCTACTCTCAAGTCTATTCTCAAGTCTATTCTAAAAGTGACCCGTATTTAGATCAAATCCCTTAAGATATTCCTATTTATGATAAATACAATACAGGCGGGAAACAGGGCGGTGAAGTTAGAAGCTGAAATTGGGATATGACCTAGTATATAGGTAAGGGTGGCCTCTAGTTAGTTAACTAACTAACTAACTAACTAGTTAGTTAGGCCCTGGCCAATGACTAAGCTAGGTATCTGGCGCCTAGTTATATCCGCATTGCTTAACTGAGAATCGTGGAGATCGGAATATCCGAGCATCTTCCATTAAGAGCATCTTCCAAGATTCCTTCGAGTCATTCTACGCTCTAATGCCGGTTTTGTGTGATTTTTGAAGGCCAGGGAACGCCCCCGGGTATATTAGACAAACATTCAACCTATAACTAGCCTTGAGAGCCCCAACCCACTCCAAACGCCATGTTCAAGAGTTAAACAACCAACCAAAGACCAAGAAAATATGTGGTAGTATGTACTATTATGTATACAGAGTTGCGGCTCCACTGTGGAGTTAACGGCAGTGACCTTTACAAACTTGGAAGGCACTTGAGGGTCCCGCCAGAGAATCTTCCAGGGTTTACAGAAGGGTTGAAGATCACAGAGCCAATCCAGTCCCTTTACGCGTCCATCGGTACAGAGCCAACACCGCTTTACGCCTGTGTCGAATTTCACTAGGGTTCACCGGTCGCCCGCGAGCTTGAGCGACAGCGCTGCGCATCACCTGTCTGAAGCTCCGCTGATATTCCGTATTAAGGGTGACAACGCAGGATTCCGTGGCCCGGATCATGGTCTCGCAGGCATTCAAAATCCCCTCTCCGGCTTCCTTCTGGAGCCGTTCCACGATGAGGAGCAAGAGGAAACTACCCTGCAGCAGTTGGATTCCAAAGAAGTATGGCATGAAGCTGATGTCCGGATCAAATCGTAAGATCTGCTGTACGGAATCCGCAGCCTCGAGGGCATGCGAGATTGTCGATGCAAAGGCCGGGGAGGACGTCCAAAAGTCCTTGTCCTCGATCAGGGAAACAGGATCCCATTTGCCAACAAGAAGAATATGAAGCACATGAACCAAGTAGGACGAGTAGGCAATCACTGTTTGGGTATGCCACGAATATGCCTCGGAGAGTTTTGGGTCGATAGGCTGCTCGTCTGGTTTGCCGGTAAAAGCAGTTGACTCGGGGTCAACAACCGTGGCGGCGGCAAAGGTGGTCAGGCTCGCCTTGTAGATCTCAAGCTGCCGTAAAACTTCCGCAACATGAACTTCCCAGGCTTCCTTGCCTTGCAGCCGCAAGCCTAACGTAGGGTGATTTCGCGCTTGGTTCAAATCGATCAGTTCTCCAGTGATGGTCATCAGTGGAAGGAAGAATCCAAGAATAGAGTGGTCGTGGCAGATGAAGTTGGGGAAGACACGGCGCTTGTTTCGATCGCCAGAGCGAAGGCATTGGGGCCCGTCAGAGCGAGGACTATTGCTGTGGATGTTCCCGGCCTGCCAGGAACCCTCGTCCAGGGGGAGAAGCAAATCTTCGCTTTCGGCATCGAGGAGAGCCAGTGGCCGATTGTAGCACAACGCCAAATGACGATCCATAATATAAAGTAGCCACCAGGTTCGACGGCGCTCTTCGCGGTATTCTTCGGTCACTAGGAAATTACTTGGCGGGTTACGCTTTTCATCACAGATGCAGTTCAAACTTGGCCTGGATGGATTTGAGTAGTCGAAGGCAGGCCCCCCAGGGGAACTTGCCCAGCCTCCCAATGAGTATCCAAAGGATGGACTTGATCCATCGCTTTGGCCATCCGAATGGGGAATAACTTCGATCTCCTGGTTGAGTTTCAGCTCTCGAGCCAATGTGAAGGCCGCATGCCACCTGTGATCTTGTTAGTTGGGAGCGGCGGACAGGATAAAAGTGATAACAATGAATAACATACCATCGCATACTAGCTGCCTTTTGCTCACTGGAGGAAATAATAGATGCAACATGTATATACGTGATCACATCGTCGAGCGAGCCGGCCGGTCCCACGAGCCCTTTGTCATCGCCCACTCCTTCAAACGGATGATGTGCTGCTGCCGCTGCAAAATCTTGAGGACCATTGGCATTATCCGGCGGTTCGTGGTCTTTGAAAGAAACATGAATTAATGGTCGAAGTAGTCGGATCGTTAAGGCGCACAAAAATTGACAAATCTTTCGGCGCTGCAAAGGAGAGATGGACAAAGAGAACGCGCGATCATCAACGGCGGCAACCCAGAGCATACTGGCTAGTAAGGCCGGGCTGCTTGGTCGAGGATGATCTGTGCTCAAGAAAGAGGCCTTTCGCAATACATAACAGTGAATATGGTGACAGACTGGATGCATGTGGGTCGAAAAGGCGCTGGTAAAATATAGTTCAAGTAGATCACCGACCAAGCGACGGGGTAAGTTGGACCCCAGGAATGGCATGACGGGTTCCAGTACGGGGTACTTCAAACCCGATCTTTTGTTGGTGCCATAGTTTTGGCCAGGGACGTTTGGCGCCGGCATGGATTGACCTTGCGGAGGGTGTGGCGGATGGCCTGCCAAATCAACCGGGCTCCAAAGATCCAAAATACGGGGCAACGACCCGTCCCCTCCATTTACATCACCCAAGACCTCATATGAGTCTGGCGACAAGTTCGCGGCTGATAGCCATTCCTCCGTAGGGTTATTAGTCGCTTCCGGCACCGCGCGGGAGGGATTGTGGCCATCCGGTGCAGGATTTGGACCATCGACGCTGGCGACTGAGGGACTCGGTTCATTCGTCATTGGCGATCTGGGTTGAAAGGAGGAATCCGGGGAGCTTGGCTGCATTGGCGACAACGCTGGTTGCATGAGAACTTTCTGATCATCATTGGATTCCCTTCGAGTATAGTTGGAGGTAGAAGTAGATTCGGCGGGGCCGGTTGGTAGTTTGGAACGTGCGATCCGTCCTCGTTTTCTGCGTTCCCGAGTAAATTCGCAGTGAGTATCGCTGCGCAGGCACCGGGAGCAAGGGAAAGCCCGGTCGCATCGAACACGTCGGGTATGACATGAATCGCAAGCCACTCGATTCCGGCGCCATCGTCGCTTGCCGTTCGGGAGGTCATCCGGCGCGGGATTCGCAGAAGCCTGCAGGTCCCCGGACTGGGCTTCCATGTCCGGGAATATTATCGCAAGATTGTCATTGAGAGGATTCTAAGACGAGAATGGAGGAAAATAAATGTAAGAAAGTTAAGAAGTTTGGGGAAAAGGGAAAGCTAAAGCGCGGGGAAATTGTGGCGCTTGTCTCGCAGCTCACAGCCAATCACACTTGGACGTTGCACTGCCCACGAGCACTAACAGAGTTGTAGGTGAGAAATTTAATCTACGAAATTGTTCGGTTTAGCCGATGCTTTTCAGATGTGGTAAATTCGCCCCGTAATAATTCAAGGGTCTTCAGAACCCGCATTACTTCTGCAGCGCTGCCTTGTAGCGCGTTAAAGCCCGATCCCGACACTCGGCATGATCCACAATAGGACGGGGATAACCATTCTTGGTAGCAATTGCCTCGGCTCCTCGTCCATATGGATCATGAATCGCTTTGCCCTCCACGTCCTTCAGTTCCGGGACCCAGTGTCGAATGTACTCTCCATCAGGGTCAAACCGCTCGCTTTGGCGCAGGGGATTGAAAATTCGAAAATATGGTTGCGGATCAACACCTGTGCTAGAGCCAAATCCCCAACCGCCGTGGTTAGAAGCAAAGTCACCATCAATCAGGTTCTCCATGAAATATCGCTCTCCTCGGCGCCAGTCAAGCAATAGATCCTTGGACAAGAAGGAGGACACCACCATCCTTGTTCGGTTGTGCATCCATGCACAGTGGCGGAGTTGTCGCATCGCGGCGTCTACAATGGGAAACCCAGTTTTGCCATCACACCAGGCCTGGAACTGATCAACATCATATTCCCATTCAATGTTTGTACATTCTGGTTTGAAACATTTATTCATGCTGTAATTGAATTTTATTAGCAATTGGGGAATGCAGTGAAAAAGATTTGGTTCAAGCCAATCATACCAAATAAAAGGCCAGTGAGCCAACACATGCTTGTAAAAGTCCCGCCAGGCGACCTCGCTGATCCAGGTCATGTAGCCCGCGTCATATCGATCCAGGTGGTTCTTGTTTGCTCGCTTTGCGGTCAATACTGCAGTGCGAGCGCTGAGAGCCCCCGAAGCGAAGTATGGACTGAGGATCGAGGTGTGCTTGCCAGGCAGAACGCTGCGCATCTCCTCATATTTACGGCCTTTTTCTTCCAAAAACTTCTCTAGCCGCTGGAAAGCCTCGTGCTCACCGGCGGGATAGAGTTCTTCAAAGCGTTTCCGCTCCTTTTCGGACAGCTTCTTGTTCTCGGGTGCGATTGGCACCTTGCAATCGAAGAGGTCGGACAGCTTCTGCCGCGTATTACCGGGATTCGACCCAGGCTCCTCTGACAACTCCAAATAATCTGGATTCTCCTTTAGGAAAGCCAGCCATGTCCGGAACCAGGGCGTGTAGACCGCGTATTGCTTGCCTTGCTGGGTGCTCAAAGCACCCGGTGTGACCACGCAGTTGTCATGAGAGGGCGTGAAATCGATATCATTTTTCGCACATAGATGCACGATCTTCGCATCCCGGCGCAGTTCGTCCACTTCATACTCGATATTTGCGCAGATGTGCTTTGCCTCCCACTGTTGGCACAATTCCACAATGCGGGCCGGTATCGCTTTGCGCTTCTCCACGGTCTCCATGTAGAGGGGGATATCCAGTTCAGCGAGATCTTGTTGAAGACGTTGCAAAGTGCGCAGAGTGAAATCTACTCGAGCCGGGCTGGCAATATGAGCAGTCAGATCTTCAGGAGATTGAATGTAGAGACAAATCAAGGGGATCTGATTCTCCTTGGCCAGGTCAGAGGCCATGTGTAACGCCCGATTATCATGTAGGCGCAGATCACTCTTGAACCAGTGCACCACGGCTTGGCCTGGTTCTATAGAGCGACGGTGGTCTGCGGTATCGCGACATGCTTTCTCCAGAGTTTCAATCGGTCGTTCGAGGGTTCCGTCGTTGTAAGCCTGGCACCGCTCATTTGCCATTTCCGGAGGATAGAAGTCGCTCAGTACGATGCCAAAATCTTCGGTTTGTTTCGCATTCGGGTGCGGAGACCGTAGGTCAACGAGTCGCTCTTTCTTATCGACGTGTTGTGTCGCTCCGGCATCACGGGTCGCGTCGGGGTCAGGACTCTCGCTCTTGGTCGCTTTGCGTTTGCGGGGCGCCATTGGGACGAAGGGATTCAAAAATCGGTTGGAAATGTTCGGTCGGAGGAGGGATATGAAGGGTTGAGATGTCAATCGTATTCGCATCACTGGTACATGTGTCCTGTGCAAAAACGCGTGCTAGAGCCATTTTGTAGGAAAAGAAAATACTTGGGATGTCATCGATCGAGCGATCGAGATTCCTGACGTCACCCGATCTGGGATGGCGCGGAAGTGCAAAAATCCTGTCCATTGGCTCTTGGTTTCCATGGCTGCGAGCTATGGCTGCAATCGTTCCTGCGCAGCTGAACGGTGTTTTGCAGGGGGAGAAGGTTGGACAGGGTTGACTTTCCAAGATTGAAATAATTCCAGGATTAAGAACGGCGATCCCGTGACCTCGATGCCATCAATTGATCACTTCGATATTTGAGCATTGCTTCTTTAATCTGGTATAGATTCCTTATCATTCAAAGCATTGGAGAATCTGCAGTAGCTTTGAAAAAAAATGAAGCTTATGTATTCTCATAGCTAATTTGCGATTTTATGATCGGAAAAGAAGCTTTGACATCCTTGCATTTTGTTGAGACAATACAGGTAATTGTTGTCAGCGTATGTTTAACATCCTTTAATGTTCAGACGCTTCAGCGGGATTTCTACAAGGATTGAGAGTAGCTACTAGTATATTGCAATGTTATAGACTATTACTAAATTAATTGGGATTTGATATTTCACGTTACCAATACAAGGTCTTGGCCACATATAACGTAGCAAACATTAAACCTGAAGTTCCCCGTATTCGGTGTACACTAGTAAAGTCCGGATAAAGCGCAGATCTCTCAGATCTCTCAGATCCACAAGACGAACATTTGAATATGTCATCTTGAAACTGCATGAACACTAGAACTGTATGTACCATTGACTTCGCAAGGGTGTTCTTTTTCCCACGAATAACTCATTTGGCTCAGTTGATTCCATTGATTCTTCAAGTCTGGTATAGCTCAGTGTATAGAGTGGGATTTCCCCCCACAGGATCCATGGGACGATCAAACACAGCTTAAACGGTGCTCCGTCTGGCTCTTTCCCCGCGCATTCTCTTCAATGTTCGTGCATTCAATGTTTTAATCTTTTGCTCAAAGAAAAAACTTTAACTCTCTTTACCGCTCAAGTGCTCATGACACATTTCCCCTCTATTTTCCTGTAACGTAAAAAGATCGACATCACCGCATCCCCCCTTCCTCCGCTGCCCACCAAGATATATATACCTTTTGAACTTGGGCATCCCCCCTTGCCATCTATTACCCTTTAATCATCCTTTCCATGGAGACATGTCCTCCCTTCGCCCATGGCCCAAGATATTGCGAATTCGCTGACGAGCAAATACGCCGGCGCAGGTCCTGCCCGCAGCCATATCTTTGCCGCCTTTGCTGCCATCGCCTGGTACAATGCCATTGAACTCATTGTTCTGTGCTTTGTCTCCTTCAAACGACACCAAGGGTGCTACTTTTGGAGCTTACTCGTCGCCTCCTCCTCCATCATTCCACACTGCTTAGGCTTTGTGCTGCTCTTCTTCCCCACCGGGGTCTCGCCCTATGCCTGCGTCACATTGATTATCGTCGGCTGGATTGGCATGGTGACCGGCCAATCCATGGTCCTCTGGTCCCGTCTGCATCTAGTCTTGCAAAATACAAAAGTACTTTGGGGGGTACTATGGATGATCATCATCGATGCCGTCCTCCTCCACGTTCCCACCACCATCCTGCTTTATGGCGCCGCAACTCAAACGAACGGTGCCTTCGCTGCGGGATATAATATCATGGAACGCATTCAGCTTGTTGGATTCTGTATCCAAGAACTGATTATATCCGGTATATACGTGTGGGAGACGGTAAAGTTGTTGCGCTTACGGCCTGAGGGCCGTCCTTCCGGTATCCTTCGCCAGCTCCTTCTCATCAACATTGTCATCCTTATTCTGGATATCGCCGTCGTCGTGATTGAATATGTCGGTTTCTATGCCGTCCAGGTCATGTTCAAACCGGTGGCTTACAGCATCAAACTCAAGCTTGAATATGCAATCCTGGGCAAACTGGTGGCAATCGCTAGGGGGTCCTACGAGGATGAATTACCCTCGAGCTCCCGCGATATCGTGTCGTTCCCTTCATCTCAAGAAACCCAATCGGCGAATGGGTCTCGTCGTAACAATTACCGCCAATATAGCCTCCCTTGGATTTGGGAGAGTTCACAACCCTCGAGCTGCATATCATCAGGTGGTTGATGATTTAGCGTTAATTGTTTGTATCCAAGCTCAGAGTCGTTTGGACAACAAACTGGGCATTTTTTTTCACCTGTCAGAAAAGGGGCGCCATAAAAATGAAATCTTGCCCCTTGTCCCGAAAAGTTTAATGATATCTTGGTAAATGATAGAATGATCAATAATGATGAATGCTAGAATTTGCAAATACAGTCGCACATCAACCTAATGTTCAAACAATGTACATCCAGTATCAACGGTAGATATCTGACAGATGACCTGTACCGGCCTGTAAAACCAATACACTGCTAAACACCTTGTTCTCGGGTCGAACCATGAGGGATCCGATGGTTCCCAGCGCCTGACGAGTACCCGTTCCCACGGAGATCTCATCGACGCCGGGTTCAACGATGGTTGGTTCTACGGCATAACTACGACGCCCAACGATGACAATGCTACCGGGCTTGTTGGAATTCTGATCTAGCTCAGCCCGCACAGCAGCAAGGGCCACCTGGCCTGGATCACCGATGGTGTCCTGTGCTGCAGGTGCCTGGAAGACCACCCGTTCCTGGAGATCTGCCGGGATGGAATCACGAATAGTCTCGAAGAAAACCACATCCGATGCAGCACTCGAGGTCGCTGTGCCCCTTGGCAAATCTGATTGTGAGCCCGGAACGTGAATAATGGTGGCTGTGACGTGATCATTTTGCGCCAATTGGAGCACAAATCGGAGAGCAAATCGGTCATCTTCCCCACCAAAGAAGGGGAACACAATGTGGTGAGAACGGCTTCCCATGGATGGCCGAGTCCAAGACGAGCCTTGGATGGCTAGCCCGCTTGGACGATGTTGGCTAGTCGGGCGGCTAGCAGAGATCTCTGGGATATGGTCGACCAAGATGGCTACGTGACCGGAAACTCGCTTCAGAATATCCGACACAAATCCTGCATATTCCCCATTTGAGAAGCGATCGCTGGGGTTGACCTCCACCCCATTATGACGGTCAGCCAGTATTCCGGTTTCACTCCATGGTAGGAGAAGCAGGTCTGATGAATCCTGATGGGCCATGTTGACCACAGTATCAGCATAAGTATACTCGGGAACAACTGATACTCCGGCCATAAGAGAAAGATCATGCCACTCGCCAAAAGCGCGGAATGTGTTGACGACCGGGTCCCACAGTGCTTGATCCCCAGCTGCAACTTTCATCACACTGGAGTCTCGATCTGTCAACTCCATGAGTCGAACTCCATGGACTCGGAGAGCCGTTGTTTCATCCACTGACTCGTCTGCATCTTCAACGGTCTGCTCGGTTTGCTTGGACTTCTTTCCTGGATGTACCTGAGGCAAAGGCACATCTCCGCGATTGGGACTCAAGAGAGCAGCCAAAGTGCACAGTCCAGAAAGACCATCAAGACGAAGGTAGACGAGAAGCTTCCGCACAGGCACGGTCGTCAACTGTTCTTTGACCGCAGATACGCTATCTGAACGGCCGTCTTTCTGCACGGAATTGTCATTCCAGTCGATTTCCCCTCGACGCCAACGGGCAACCTTAATCTGATACCAATTTGGATATAGGGAAACAGTCAAGGGAGTTGTCATAAAGGTGGTGACAAGCGCCATGACAACAAACATGGTGAATGTCTGGGTGCTCAGGATTTTGGCTTGCAGACCGATATTCTAAACATTTCAACATTAGCCTTGTCCCCTTGTGCATGTTTAAATCAAGCCGGAAATAGAAAGACATACCAAGACAATCAGCTCCACAAGTCCCTTGCAACTCATCAAAACACCAATGGCGAAACTTTCTCGCCATAACATGCCACAGAAGCGAGAGGCAATTGCGCCACCAGCGACCTTGGCTGTGAAGGCAATAGCAATGATACCCACCACATATCCCCAAACAGTTCCGGTATTGAGCAAGCCTAAATTGGTGCTGAGACCAGACAAGGTGAAGTACAACGGCAAGAAGAGGGCGGCTACCAGATCTTCAATTTTTTCCGTCAGTTTGATTGCAAATCCCCCCTTGTGTGGACAGATTAGTCCAATAAGGAAACCGCCAAAGATGGCATGGATTCCAATCACTTGGGTAAAGAAAGCGGATGCCAAGGCCAGTAGCAAGGTAAGCATCACGACCGACTGACTGGGGCCTTTTTGCAAGCTTCCGGTTCGTTCCAGGAAGCGGATGAAAAGCGGGCGGAACGCGAACACCAGAAATAGCACATATCCCGCTGCTACGAGAAGCACATAAAGCGCAGTGATGCCGCTTCCCGCGTTGACTAATGCCACACACAGGGCAAGCAGGATCCAGCCAACAACGTCATTTCCAACACCAGCTGACAGAACGATGACACCAACATTGGTGCCAAGAAGCTTCAGCTCCGTCAGGATACGACACAGGACAGGGAATGCTGTGATAGCCATCGCAATACCGATGAAGAGAAGATATGTGCCAAAGGCGACAGGGACCGTTCCGGGATCATCGTGGAACTGGTTGTAAAGTCCATATGAAATGGCACAGCCGAGTGCAAACGGCAGAATCATTCCAGCCGCTGAAACACTCAGCGCGACACGCCAGTTACTCACGAGGAAGCGGAGGTCTGTCTCCAGTCCCACCAAGAACAGAAAGAGGATCAGTCCCAGATTTGCCACGACGCTCAAGCTGGGCAGGCTGGCTGTCGGGAAGATGGTTTCGGTGAAACCGGGAATATGTCCCATTACTGACGGGCCCAGGATAATACCACTGATTACCTCTGCGATGACCCTGGGCTGACGGATCTTCGAGAGGGGCCAGTGAACCAGGCGGCAAAGTATGATGATAATGCCCGCCTAGATGAGAAAGAAAAAAAGATTCAGCATCGAGTTTCCATCATGAGGCCCCTCCCAAAAAGAGGGGGAAATTCGGAATTGTAAGCTTCTGTACCTGTATGATAAACATGACTATGGGGTTGGAAGAGTCATAATGAGACGGGTTTCCTCCTTGAAGGATACCCTGGGCGGCGGCCCGGGTTGTGGTTGAATTTGTTGCCATAGGTTTAGCAGCACTATGGGATGCTCATGACAGATTATCGCAAGCTCTAGCTGTTCATGAGATGAAGCTCTGGGAAAAGGGAGGGGGCAGCCAAGGGCCAAGGCGAATGACACGAGCTGGGGGTTGGCGGGGGAGGGTCTAGCCATGTATAGATTAGTGAAATGAAGTGGTTGAGATGGTCATTGGCTCATTGGTTCGAACAGCTGACGTGGGCCACACCAGGATTCAGCCCCATTTTCTGTGTCGGACCTCTTTTCTTTTGTTTTTCTTTTACGATTACGATGGGCAACAAAAGAAATTAAGTACTTTGTGTGGACCTTGGAGGGGAAAAGACAGAAAATGTGGTGAATGAGGACTAGGATACGTACTCTGCATTCTTCCGAATGCAGCACTCTGTAGAGACTGGAATAGAAAATGAACTGGGTACTAGTATGTAGTAGGAATGATCTCAAACCTAAAGACAATTAACCTCTTCACCATGAGAGGAGTGAAGTGAACATAAAATGCTAAAAACGAGCAGATCTTTGAACGTGAAAATAGCAATCCACTAGGAAAGATCAATGCCGATTGCGAGAGAAAACCCCGGCCGGATTTATGTAAAGCCGAACAAAGCCCGACTAGCCGGAGATAGTATAAGGTAAGCTACTATAAGTAGTAAGAATCCGCGGACCCGCGGACGAGAAATGGTTTACTGCAGCATTCCAGAAGAAAAAAAAATCAAAATCCATGAAGCGGCGAATAAAAATAGCCACTAGGAGTTGTTCCAGCGCGGCCAAACAGGCGGCAAATCCTTCAGTTTTTAAATTTCTAAATCGAAGATCTCGGTATTTCGGCCTTCGCTCACGCAGACCCTTTTAACTCCGTGGTCGGGATCTCGGAGCTCCGCTTCCCCGATCACTTGGACAGTTGCAGTATCAAGTATCTACGGAGCACTTCTGCTCCGTATCTTAGCTAGATGGTTCTAGTGACGATTGTTTACCTGAATTAGATTAGTTCCAGGGTTTCACTAATAAATTTAATCCAGGCTGTGTAACACCCTTCCCGCAATCTTGAATATTCGATGTTCGATAGAACCATGGATGAATTCCATGTTGGAGCCGTGAAGATACATGGATAATATCTAAGCCTTAAGGTTTACGGCATATATCCGTTGATAGTAGTATGCACATGCCACGCACCTGGCACATGGCATTCCTGCATTATTCAAATTTTCACTGTAAAACCTGCATGATCGGAGATTTATTTTATTCATCCCTAATACTTACTAGCATCAACTGTACACGCTTATCATTCCCCAACTGAGCTTAAACAGATAACACGAGGTTGGCCACGAGGGAATAGAGCCACGCACTTGGGATCCACTTTCCACCCCGAATCCCGTTTGTGAGGGGCTCGGGTGGCTTGTCTACCGAATTAAATATGCAAATTGTCGGCCAAAGTCGCTCCGTGCCCGAATCAATAGTCATGAAATTTATTGTACGGGGCTATCCATGAGCCCCTCTTATATCAGTCGTCGATCCCTCGGGTTTCGACTTCTTTTCCACATACTCGGTTGAACTCGTTCACCGTTAACGCACATTCGCCCATCATGGAGAAAGACGACTCCGATGTGGAGTTCGAGCCCATCACTACCAGAACGGCGACAGTTGAGGAGGAGAGAGAATATGAGACCATCAACGAGCTCAACCGCATCGCTTCCAGCAGAATTGGAAGAGCTGTCTCGGCCCTCTCAGCTTCAGGAAAGAAAAATGATCCCCGACTGGATCCCAAGAGCCCCCAATTCGATCACTACAGATGGGCCCAAACGGTCTTGGATCAGATGCACGAGGAGGGAATCGAAGCTCCCCAACAGAGTGTAGTCTTCAAGGATCTCTCTATCAGCGGAAGTGGAGCGGCAATCCAATATCAGGAAACCCTGACGTCCGTTCTTGCAGTTCCCTTCCGTTCTGCCACACGAGCCTTGTCCGGACACCGTGCCCAACCACGCCGGATCTTGCAAAGTTTCGACGGCTTGCTCGAAGCCGGTGAGCTGTTGCTTGTCCTTGGTCGCCCAGGAAGCGGTTGTACAACCTTCCTCAAGACAATTACCGGCCATCTTGGAGGATTGACTATGGACCCGAACAGCACCATACACTATGACGGCATTTCCTTCGATGATATGATCAAACACCACCGCGGTGAAGTTGCATACAACAAAGAGGTAAGTTTCCAATGCTTTAGCAGACTAGGATTGAAGCCAACAGTGCATTAACAATCCCTCATCTTCTAGGTCGAACTTCATTTCCCTCACCTTACAGTTGGCCAGACCCTCTCGTTCGCCGCTCACTCCAGGGCTCCTCACAAGCGACTCGAAGGAATAAGCCGTGCCGAATTCTGCGAGACACTTGTTCAGGTAGTGATGTCTGTATTTGGGTTGTCTCATGCCGTCAACACCAAGGTCGGCAACGAATTCGTGCGTGGTGTAAGTGGAGGTGAGCGAAAGCGAGTCAGTATTGCGGAAATGTTCCTCAGCCGCTGTCGTTTGGGAGCCTGGGACAACAGCACACGTGGTTTGGATGCCGCCTCTGCTCTTAGGTTTGTCCGATCACAGCGTCTTGCAGCTGACATGGGAAAGTCTTGCCACGCCATCGCTGCCTATCAAGCCTCTCAGTCTATGTATGATCTATTCGATAAGGTCGTTGTCCTTTACGAGGGATATCAGATCTACTACGGCCCCCGGGAACGAGCTGTCTCTTACTTCGAGGACCAAGGATGGCAGAGACCGGAACGTCAGGTATCAGGAGATTTCCTTACCGCCATCACCAACCCTAACGAGCGAAGCACCCGTCCTGGTATGGAATCCAAGGTGCCGCGCACCGCAAAGGAATTCGGCGAGTTCTGGAAGAACAGCCCAGAGTACAAATCTTTGCGTCAACAGATCACGACCTTTGAATCCCAGCATGCTCCCAGCAGTGAGGCTACCAAACAATTCCAGGCCAGCCACGAAGAACAACAAGCTCGTCACACGCGATCTCGCAGTCCGTATTTGCTTTCGGTCCCTATGCAAATTCGACTCTGTACTGTTCGCGCCTACCAGCGAATGGTCAACGATCTTCCCACTGCATTGTCTCCGCTTATTGTTCAGTTAATTCTGGCTTTGATTATCGGTTCCGTCTTCTACAATACCCCTGACACTTCAAGCTATTTCTTCCAAAAGGGCGCCGTGTGCTACTTTGCTGTTCTTATGAATGCCTTGCTCACCATTAACGAAATTTTGCAACTCTACAGCCAGCGTTCAATTGTCGAAAAACAGGCTGGCTATGCATTTGTTCACCCGTTTACCGAGGCTCTCGCCAGTATCATCATCGATTTGCCGATTAAACTTGTGCGGCTTTCCGTCTTCAGTATTGTGCTCTACTTCATGGCGAATCTGCGCCAAGAGGCAGGAAACTTCTTCGTCTTCTATTTGTTCCTAATTGTCGCGGTCTTGACCATGTCTGGTCTCTTCCGCAGTTTGGGAGCACTCACAAAGTCGGTTGGACAGGCCATGGCTATGGCTGGTGTTCTTGTTCTGTGCATTGTTGTCTACACGGGATTCACCTTGCCACAGCCCTATATGCACCCTTGGTTCTCCTGGATTCGGTGGATCAATCCAATTTACTATACTTTCGAGGCTCTCATTGCCAATGAATTCCATGGGAAAAATTACGCTTGTTCGTCCATGATCCCAAGCTATGGCACTGGAACGAACTTTGTGTGCTCTGCTGTGGGATCAGTGGCTGGTCAGTCATACGTTAATGGTGATGATTTTATCGCTGATAACTACGAGTACTACTACTCTCACGTGTGGCGGAATTTTGGAATCCTGATTGCTTTCATGATCTTTTTCAACGCGCTTTACTTGACAGCCACGGAGTTTATCTCTCGTGACACATCCAAGGCCGAAGCCCTGGTCTACCGCCCTGGCCATGTTCCCCAGCATATTCGAGACAGCCAAGATTCGGAGTCTGGAGGGGGTGATCTGACGAAACTCGAAGTACAACGCACCCACGACGATATCCGTCTGCCAGAGCAGACTGACATTTTCTCTTGGAAATCACTTCAATACGAAATTCCTGTGAAGGAGGGTACTCGTCGTTTGCTGGATGATGTCAACGGCTGGGTTAAGCCAGGAACATTGACTGCATTGATGGGAGTTTCTGGCGCTGGAAAAACCACTCTGTTGGATGTTCTTGCGCAGCGAGTGTCAATCGGTGTCGTCACTGGTGATATGTTTGTGAATGGCAAGGTACCGGCCGCAAACTTCCCCCGGAGAACTGGATACGTTCAACAGCAGGATCTCCACATGGACACCACAACCGTTCGAGAGGCCCTTCGATTCAGTGCATTGCTCCGCCAGCCAAAATCTGTGTCCAAGCAGGAAAAGTATGAATATGTGGAACAGGTCATCCAGGTTCTTGGCATGGAGGATTTCGCGGAAGCTATCGTGGGTACTCTCGGAGAAGGTCTCAACGTTGAGCAGCGTAAGCTTCTCAGTATCGGAGTTGAGCTTGCTGCAAAGCCCACTCTTCTCATCTTCCTTGACGAGCCCACCAGCGGTCTGGACTCTCAGAGTTCATGGACAATTTGTCAATTCTTGAGACGACTTGCAGACCATGGTCAGGCTGTGTTGGCAACTATTCACCAACCTAGTGCGACATTGTTCCAGACGTTTGACCGTCTTCTCTTCCTTGCCAAGGGTGGCAGAACAGTTTACTTTGGTGATGTTGGAGAGCAATCCGCAACACTCCTCGAGTACTTTGAGCGCAATGGAGCCCGACCTTGTGAGACTTTGGAAAACCCAGCTGAGTATATCCTTGATATGGTGGCTGGAGATGGCTGCCCTGATGTCGATTGGGTCCAAGCCTGGAAGAAAAGTCCAGAATGCCAGGAAGTTATTGCAGAAGTCGATCGTCTCCATTCTATCAAGGGACCTGGAGGTGAACAGCCTACCCATGACGAAGGTGATGACGATACTGCCGAGTTTGCTATGCCTCTGGGGACCCAGCTCTGGGTCGTCCTTAGCCGATGCTTCCAGGCCTATTACCGCCGACCTGACTATATCTACTCCAAGTTCATCCTCGGTATTGTCAGCGGTCTTTTCATTGGCTTTTCCTTCTACGGTGCCGACGACTCTATGCAGGGCTTCCAGAACGCACTCTTCAGTATCTTCCTCCTTTGCACCATCTTCAACTCCCTCGCCAACGCCATCATGCCGAACCTGGTAGCCCAACGATCCCTTTACGAGGTCCGCGAACGGCCATCCAGAACCTATTCGTGGCAGGTATTCATCATTTCGCAAATCCTAGTAGAAGTCCCCTGGCAGTTCTGCCTGGGTGTCTGCTCCTGGGCCTCGTTCTACTGGGCCGTCTTCGGCGCCAACCAAACCTCGGAACAAACTGGAATTGTTCTGCTCTACATTTGCCAATTCTTCATGTACGCGGCCAGCATGGCCCAATTCGTCGTTTGCGCCATCCCTGAGCCCGCTCTTGCTGCCATGGTAGCAACCCTCATGTTCGGTCTCTCGTTCATCTTCAACGGAGTCATGCAGCCCCCCAGCGACCTTCCTCGCTTCTGGATTTTCATGTATCGCGTATCCCCATTCACCTACTACATCGCCGGTATCAGTGGCACAGCTCTCCATGGTCGTGAAGTGACGTGCAGCAGCGTTGAACTCGACATTTTCGACCCACCTTCCGGTCAAACTTGCCTCGAGTACATGGCGGATTACCTTCAATCTGCTTCGGGTGCCATTTACAACCCCAATGCCACTTCCAACTGTGAATATTGCAGTATGAAATCTGCGGATCAGTACCTTGCTGCCCGGGAGATTTATTACGATGATCGCTGGCGTGATTATGGAATCTTCTGGTGCTACTTCGTTTTCAACGTTGCTTGCAGTGTGTTGGTTTACTACCTTTTCAGAGTCCGGACCTCCAAGGCGAAGGTCTCAAGAGGCAAGGCTGCTGCTTAAATCAGATGATACCCGGACCCTTCTCAAAATTATAGACTTTCCTTTTCCCTTCCCACAATCTCTCCCTCCTCTTCTTTACCTCTCTTTGCTGTACCATACTACTATCCTTCTCTGCACATGTGCCCATTCCTACATATTGTTACCATCTTACTATTTACTTATTACCTCTACAAATATTGATATCACTACCGTGATCTTTTCTTTTTTCTTACTGTGGTAAATCTGGAGTTTTTCATAACGTTCAAAGAATTAAAAATGTATTCATGCATCAAACTGAACAGGCGTAACTATCGTAAAGTTTCATAATCTAATAACGTTGGGAGCCAAGGGTCTTGGATCCATCAAGATCCGAGTCGATACGGGGGTCAAGCTTGTTAGCAGTATCACTGCTGTGGGGGCCAGCAGTCTTCTGGTGAGCATTGTAGCTGCTGCCAGCGGAAGCACCACCAGTGGCACCCTCATTCTGGGACTTCTCAAAAGTTTGGGTGGTAGTCGGGGCCTTGTTACCAGATATGTGCATCACACCACCGCCGCCGAGACTACCCTTGCGAACATCCTCATCGAACGGGGAGTTGTTACCAACAAAAGTGGCATTGGCAGTGTCGTTGCTGCGGTCGCTGTCAACACGAGGGTCTGCCTTGTTCTCCAGGTTGTTCGAGTGAGGACCAGCGGTCGACGAAGCTGGGCCAGTGGAAGAAGAGTAGCGGTCGTTAGGGGTATCACTGTCAACGCGGGGGTCGGCCTTGTTCTCTAGGTTGCTCGAGTGAGGACCAGAGGTAGAGGTGGCGGGGCCAGTGGAAGGAGTGTGAGTTGAAGAGTTGTGGTGGTGCGAGGCAGCGTAGCCAGCGCCAGCGCCGGCGGCGGCACCAGCAGCGGCGTATCCAGCACCGTGACCAGAAGAGCTGTGGTGGTGAGCAGCGCGGCCATCACGGTCACTATCGACGCGGGGATCGACCTCATTGGCGACATTGCTGTCATGGGGGCCATGGTTGGTGGATCTAGCGGAATCGTAGGTGTTACCGGTACCATAGTTAGAGCCAGTCGAGCCATAGCCAGTACCAACACCAGCACCAGTGGCGGTAGCTCCTGTCGAGCCGAAGCCAGTCGAAGTGTTGCGGGTGCCACGGTTGTCTAGGTCGCTGTCAACACGAGGGTCGGCGGAGTTGGCCAGGCTGCTGTCGTGGGGACCGAAGTTTGAGGACTGGTTAGAGTCGTAGGTGTTGCCGGTACCGAAGTTGGAACCAGTCGAGCCGTAGCCGGCACCAGCACCAACACCAGCACCAGTGGCGGTAGCTCCTGTCGAGCCAAAGCCAGTCGAAGTGTTGCGGGTACCACGGTTGTCTAGATCGCTGTCAACGCGAGGGTCGGCCGCGTTGCCCAAGTTGCTATCGTGAGGACCATAGTTTGAGGACTGGTTGGAATCATAGGTGTTGCCGGTGCCGAAGTTGGAGCCAGTCGAGCCGTAGGCAGCGCCAGTAGTAGATGGGACAGCACTGGAGGTGTTGTGGGAGGTGCGGTTATCCAGGTCGCTGTCCACGCGAGGATCAGCCTTGTTGGCAAGCTTGCTATCGTGTTGGCCGTAGCTGCCTGTGGTTGAGCTGTTTAGGTTGGATCGGTCGCTATCAACACGAGGATCGGCCTCGTTGGCAATCTTGCTGTCGTGGGGTCCATGGTTGGAAGACTTGGTGGATTCGTAGGCGTTCTCGTTGGTACCAGTGTAGTTATCAGTGGCCTTCTCTGCCTTTTCTTCGGCCTTGTTTTCCTTGTGCTGGGCAATGGTATCCTTGACTTTGTGAATGATGCTAGACATGATGATGGTTTGTTGTAGAAGATGGATGATTCAGAGGAAGAGGAATAGATTGAGGAAGATAGATTGAGGAAGTGAGAATAGATGGATATTTGAGTAGAGTGAATTGATTGATATTGATGGAAATCCCCGTCTTCCATCGACCTATAAGTACTACGTTTGTCGCACTGTGACGCCATTTCTGAGACAAAGAACAATCCAGGAAGCAAATGACGTGCCCCGCACATGGAATATAGATCGACAAATATAGCCAACATTTTGAAGCTGGAGAATTAAATTAAGTTCCAACGTGTTGACGGTTAAAGTGGGGAACGATGAACAAGATCGTGGCGAGGACGAAATCGCTGACATCGGATAACGTCATCCGCGCCACCATCTATTGTTTGCCTTGAATCGACTCTCAGCCTTACTACACCATCATAGGACAATCCGATCGAGCTCACACGCCATAGCTCCATACGTAAGGATCTACAGGATTGATCACTTATTGATAAAGCCTAGCCATGGCTCCCCTGTAGCTACTTCAAACACTGTGACGGTGTTGTCTCCAACCTTGGAAGCTTGCCAAGGTTACACATCAACAATTAAGGGTTCAATGTTCGTCACGGGTACAGAATGACCTCATTTTCATAGCTTTCTAGTCCCTTGTACCTTGTAACTACATGTACATAGTACCAGCAGTTTCTGGTTTCTAGCTGTTAGGAAAAGAACTCCAGACCTATGCTTAGGTGGATGATTTCCAAACATTTGAAGTTTCTCAAACTTCAACATTATCCTGCGAGCTACTACGTAGTACCTTCTTAGGTAACCATGGTAGTGGATATTACTATTTTCGATATTCATTCAATATTGAACATTTGAATATTCAAATGGTATTCTTCCAAGGTTGAAGACCAAGAACACTTAAGCTTCCTAAAATGACCCCGTGCGTGATTCCCCTCTCTTACCAGTTGACAAGGACAGTACATACTAGTATGTAATCGATTTCTTAAATACACATGTGCATGTAAAATGTAGTAATCAATTTGAGTATTTATTTACCGGTGGACATCTGTTTTAGAAAGAGTCTATTCATTCAATTGATTCATGGATGGATTTCAATCAATCAAGTACATCGCCATTTTCACATGCACAGTACATGAATAATCTTCCAGGGAAATCTCGACATCAATTTCAAATGAGTTCAATGAACCCAGATTCACCATGATGTGCAAGCTTACACCTTAGGTAGGCAATTTTGGAAAGTGACTCCCGAGGTCTATGACATTGCAGGCAGCAAGTGTGACCAACCCCGCTGACTAAATCGGGCAAATAAACACCTGATAAAAGTGGTAGGAATCGTGAAGAATGGGAAGAGGACATCTGCAAGCACTTGAGATTTGTACATTGTTTTAACATTGAAACCACTGAGCTTCAATTGATGTTATTGATAGCTTCCCACGCACTAGACGCCACATGGGCAGATCCACTGATCCCGCCTAAATACATACACGATGCCGCCGGTAACATGGATCCGTTCAGTATTCAGCATTTCCAAGCCCTGGAGGCATTCAAGAACCAGTTGTTCTCATAATCCAATCAATTGATGAATGTTGACGATGCACAGGTGTACTTTATCATAACCTTGAAGCATAGATCACCGCCCGGGCGCCCAGTCTATGCCTTTCAAGCTTGTTGTACTATGCACATGTGAAGTATAGGGATTTCAAGGTCACAACAACATTAAACAAAGTGGAATGGGTAAATGAACAACTCTAAGTATTTTTAACCGAGGATTGACATCTTCAAACATTCCAGGGTTACGAGGTTGGAACAATCCGAAGCTTGAACTACCCACCAGTTGACTTCCTACCAAGGTGGGATACTTGGGTAAATCCCAGGACATTTTGAATGCACGTTCTATCATATATGTAAGGCTGTGCGAATGTAAGCAGCCTCATATGATCTAGACCCTGAAGATTGACTACGCACATGTGATCTCTTTAATCCTGGATCCTGATTGTGCTAGCCGATGTCTAGCCTAGTAACTAGTACTAGTAGCTCTTGCGTGCTAAAAAAAAAATCAAAAATCAAAAAACCGGGTTTTGGCCATTTCACCTGGCCCCACTATACCTCTTGTGTACCTGAGACAGTGGAAATTGAGGGTCATGAAAGCGACGATTTCAAAAGTGGTATATTCACACGTTTTATCATTAATAATACCCTAGAATATATAAAGACCAGCTCTTAATAGTAAACTGAGCAGAATTGACTTAAGCTCTAGATCTGATCGGCAAAGGTCCCTTGGTCCTGGGCCAACGGTCAGCCCTGGAGGTTTGGCGATCAGCGCAGTGGGCCCCTCGTGTTTGGGGCCAGAGCTCTCGAGAGTAAGTGATGTTTATAAGAGAAAAAAACATTGCCCCAACAAATCTCCATCTATTGAAGAACCATGAACCATGATAACGAAAAAGGCTTCCCATTGAGATCCTTCCTACTACAGATATATCCATTTGATTCCAATCTGTACAAGGAGAAAATAGCCGAAATGACCTAATAATAAACAAACCGCGGATTCCGTACATTCCGGTGGATTTTTTTTTCTTTCCTCCCTTTCCAAATGTTCCAATTCCCATGCTAGGCGCGCCTGATTATGGCAATTGCGTACGGACCCTGGATTTGAATTTCTAATTTGACCGATCATTGGCTTCGCGGCCAATCGTCTCTTCGCTTATCGATCTTGCATCGATCTGCGTCTTTCTTCTCCACGCTAGGAAACACGCGCGTTCTGACCTCATTGATCCGGTCTTCCCTGGCACTGGCCATTGATATTTTTCATCTCCCACACTCCCTGTACTCGGCACCTTCATCATGGCCGATGGGAATCAAGGATGGTAGGTACTTCTTTGGGGGGGGGGGGACGCAATCTATCGCTTTTTGTCGCGGCGCAGATAACAAACACTGAACTAACCGTAAACAGGTGGCCCTCGCATTACAGATGGGTGGTCATGGTGCGTGCAAACCCTGAAAAAAAAACAACCATATATCCAATTGATATGCGAAATCATCACAATGCTAATCTGAAGCTACAGGTTATCGTACTGGTGATAGCCTTCGCCCTGATCGCCGCCTTTGGAGTCTGGTTTAGGCGTCGTCGTGATACCAAAAGAGGTCTTCAGTTGTACGGGAATCCAGTGAGCGGCGCTGGCCCCCTTCAAAGCTCTGGCATCTTGAGCTCTGCATCTGGCGCGTCGGGTATATTACAACCAAGTCACCTCCAACCGATGTCCCAGGCGCAAAGTCTACCCACCGACTCGGTCGCTAGCAGCTCCCGCACCAATGTTGCTCCACCCAAACCTCTTACATCCGCCGCAGGGAGTCGTTTGCATAAACAACAAAGCCCTGCGGCTGCCGTCGACTTCCAAAGCGTGGAGACCAGACAAGTTGTACCGCCATAAGGTCGTTTTTTTTTTACTTTTTTTTGGATGCATTTATATATCGGAGATCTGCGTTCAACTTTCTTGGTGTTTTTTTTTTTTCTTTTTTCTTTTTTTCTTTTGGCTTTTAGATCTGTCAGGACCCCCTGCTTACCATGACTTTCCCGTCACACTTGCATTTCTCGGCGTTGGGTGTGGAAAAGGATTGATCTTCACCTACTATCTATTACATTCATTTCAAGGCTGGCTTGGATTTGTCTTTCGATGCTACTATATACGACTACTTTTTTTTATTCTAGATTTTAATGAGGGTACATAGCGTGCGCATGGCTTGGCCAATGCAATTTGTTTTTGAATCGTCATTATTCGTTTATATCTGTACAATTTCTCCTTTCTCAGGAGATGCTGATGCTCACAACCTTTACATCAACCTCGGGCTTCTCCTTGTGAGTCTTGACATTCTCAATCTTGTGCACCACATCCAATCCTTGTACGGCCCGACCGAAGACGGTGTGCTTGTTGTCCAACCACGGGGTTTTCTCGGTTGTGATGAAGAACTGACTACCATTGGAGTTGGGACCCGCATTAGCCATGGATAATGTGTACGGCTTATCGTGACGCAGAGTGGAAAATTCATCCGCGAACTCTCCGCCCCAGATGGACTCTCCACCAGTTCCATCGCCCTGCGGATCACCACCTTGAATCATGAACTTGCGAATGACACGATGGAAGATGGTGTTGTTGTAGTAACCTTGCCGAGCGTGGGTAACGAAATTCTCAACTGTCCGTGGCGCAGCGGAGGGGAAGAGACGCAAATGGATATCACCCATGGTGGTGTGGAGAACAGCGGCAGTGCCACTTTCATTCGCCTTGGTGCTGCCGGCATCAATCCCACCAGCAACCTGGGTGGGCTTCTCGTTCTGTACATCTCGAGATGACTTCGATATATCGGTTTCGTTGGTAAACATGTAGAAGCGCACCTTGCCAAACCCAGTGCTGATCAAAATGGCATCTCGTTCCTCCGCTTCTTGAAGCAAGGGGTTGCTACTGGCGGCCATGGAAACAGTGACAACGCCTTTCCGCTGGGGCTGACCTTGATAGAGGGCAAGGTTCAGGGCACGGAATGGCTCGTCACGGCCATATACGCGCACAACGCGGTTCGTATACGTGTTGATGCACTTGGTTCCGTAAAGAGATCCATAAAGCAAGAAATGACCCGACTCGTCAAAAGAGACATTGACTTTGTTACGGATTGACTCGCCCTCTAGTTCCCGCTCTACTCCCAATCGTCGTCCGAATTCTAATTCATCCAACTGGTACGGGGCGGTTCCAGCCTGCTGCATCTCCATAAGAGTAGCTATCGACTCATCGTATGTGCGATACAACTTACCCGTTGCGAACTCAAACACGCGAACCTGGCGATCTGGGAAAGATATCGTGGCGAATTGTTCACCCGAAGGTGAGATGGTTATGGCCGTAGCGGTTGATTTGGCCTTTTTGAAAGTAAACAGATTGGTGGACGATTTGAGTTCGAACACATTGTCCGGCTTCTCAAATGATCCGTCTCCGGCTCTCCAATATTCAATCATTCCAGATTCGTCCGCAGAAATGACACAGTCATACGCGTTGTTGAAGGCCAACGAAACTACCGGGCTCCGGTGAATGGACTTCACGGTATGCAAGGGCTCGGGGTTCTCTCCTCGCCCATCAAAGACTTGAATGGTGTTGCTGGATTGATCTGTCACAGCCAACAGCGGTAATGAAGCGCCTCGGCGATGAACCCAGCATACGCAGCGGGGGACGAATTCGAGAGTGTACATGGCGAGGAGATCTGTTCACAACTTTGTCAGTCTTGATATTCTCGCTGTTTAGCTTAATAGAGGCCACTTACCAAAAGTGATGACATCAAATATCTTTACTGTCTTATCGGCTCCCACTGTCGCAAAGCTGCGACCATCTGCACTGACGCTGGTGCTATGAATCTCGCCCGGGTGGGCACGAAACTCCTTGACAAACTCGATACCTTCGGCCATCTTTTTCCAAAACTTGACCACGCCATCGATAGAGCTTGTGATAACAAAGTCGGTAACCGGAGTGACTGTCACAAAGGACAATTGCTCCTTGTGCATGAGGGACTTGGAGTATCGAGGCGAGGCGGGTAGCGCCTTCACGTAGATCTTCTCAAAGGGAAGCTTGCGGCGTTTCTTCTTTGGCGCGGCCTCGGAGGGGAGGGCAGGACCGAAGTCGTCGTCAGAGGAGGACTCGTCGCCTGCTCATCGTAATTAGTGGATTGCGCAAGCTGGAATTTGCGGGAGCTCGGAGGAGTCATGTACGAACCATGGTCGTCGCCATCAACAGCGGAGTGTGGGCGCTTGGCCGCAGGAGCGGCAGCGTCTTCAGAGCCTGCCATTTCAAGCCAGGGAGAATTGAAAAGCGAAACAAAAGGTTCTAAGTACTGCTCAAGACCGACCGCCGATAGAATGGCCCTGGGAGAGAAAGCCGGAGAAAGCAGCGGGCGGTGGCAGAAGACAGAAGCTCGGGCCACCCAACTTTTCTCCTTTCCCTCCCCCCACTGTTGACGAACTCATTGCCTTCAACTTCCAAACAGTCGCTTGGATAAGTTGAGTCAATTGTTTATTCTACACATATCATAATGGTATGCTATTCCCTAGTATTGCTCGACTTTCATGCAATCGAGAGAGAATATCCAACCCCGCTAACTTGCGTCTAGGCGTCGTTTGGCAATCCCACACAGATCTTCGCCAACGATGTGACCGAGGAGAAGGGCGAGAATGCCCGTCTGTCGGCCTTCGTTGGTGCCATTGCGGTCGGTGACCTTGTGAAGAGCACCCTGGGTCCCAAGGGAATGGACAAGATTTTACAGTCTGCGTACGTGGAGAAACACCAAAATGATACTATCTGCATGATTGCGGGCCGGGATCAGGATTGCTAACGAAGGAAGCGGGATAACAGATCAACCGGAGAAATCCTCGTGACAAACGACGGTGCTACCATCTTGAAATCGATTGCTCTGGATAACGCCGCGGCGAAGGTGCTGGTCAACATCTCCAAGGTTCAGGACGATGAGGTTGGTGACGGAACTACATCTGTCACCGTGCTGGCCGCGGAACTGCTTCGGGAGGCAGAGAAACTCGTCAACTCCAAGATTCACCCCCAGACCATCATCGAGGGCTACCGGATAGCCAGCAAGGCCGCCCTGACCGCTCTCGAGGGCATTGCCATCGACCGAAGCAAGGACGCCGAGGCCTTCCGCAAGGACCTGCACGCCATTGCTCGTACCACCCTGAGCTCTAAGGTTCTGTCACAAGACCGTGAGCACTTCGCCCGGCTGGCATGTGAGGCCGTCCTTCGCCTCAAGGGTTCTACCGACCTCAGCCACATCCAGATTATCAAGAAGGCCGGCGGCAAGCTGAACGATTCGTACTTGGATGAAGGTTTCATCATGGACAAGAAGATTGGTGTGAACCAGCCCAAGCGGCTGGAGAATGCCAAGATCCTGGTGGCCAACACCGCCATGGACACAGACAAGGTCAAGATTTTCGGAGCTCGCGTCAAGGTCGACTCGACTGGCAAGCTGGCTGATCTGGAGAAGGCCGAGCGGGAGAAGATGCGCGCCAAGGTTGAGCGAATCAAGGCCCACGGTATCAACTGCTTCGTCAACCGACAGCTGATCTACAACTGGCCCGAGCAGCTTTTCACCGAGGCCGGCATTATGTCCATCGAGCACGCCGACTTCGATGGTATTGAGCGTCTGGCTCTGGTGTCTGGTGGTGAGATTGCTTCCACCTTCGACCACCCCGATCAGGTCAAGTTGGGTTCTTGCGACCTGATTGAGGAGGTCATCATTGGCGAGGACACTTTGATCAAGTTCTCTGGCGTGGCTGCTGGCCAGGCCTGCACCATTGTCCTGCGCGGTGCCACCGAGCAGCTTTTGGACGAAGCTGAACGCTCCCTCCATGATGCCCTCGCCGTTCTGTCTCAGACTGTCAAGGACCCCCGTGTCACCCTTGGCGGTGGATGTGCGGAGATGGTCATGTCCAAGGCTGTGGAGCAAGCAGCTCAGAACACCACCGGCAAGAAGCAGCTTGCCGTGGACTCATTCTCCCATGCTCTGAAGCAGCTGCCCACTATTCTGGCGGACAACGCTGGTCTTGACTCGAGTGACCTTGTTACCCGCCTGAGGCAAGCGATCAACAACGGCATGACCAGCTCTGGTCTGGACCTGTTGACCCCCGGTGGCGGTATTGCGGATATGCGCGAGCTCGGTGTGCTTGAAGCCTATAAATTGAAGAAGGCTGTAGTGTCATCGGCCTCCGAGGCTGCTGAGGTATGTGCTTCCTGTCTTTTTCTTGCTAACATTTTTTCGAATTTAACTAACTTCTATGTTTTTCTTTCCAGCTGCTTCTACGTGTTGACAATATCATTCGCTCTGCGCCTAGACAACGAGGCCGTATGTAAAGTTACGTTACGACTCATGGGTGATGACTTGTACCTTCTAGAAATCCAAAAAGCACAAATTATCAGTTAGAGATGAACCCAACTAGCTTCATGCATGACACAATAGTAAAGCCCCTGGCTACCGAATGTACTAATACAAATCTCGGGGTTTCAAGTGCAAGTAGCCTGTTGTATCAGGTACTGCTAATAGACCCCTTGACTACTCCCCACCGTATAATTTTGAAACCTCCCAAGTAGTAATTGGTATCGCGCTACACTCATCCCGAAGTCCCATTTCAGGCGTGTAATTTCTAGTCACTTGACCAATGAGAGATAAGAGAAGGCAAAGATGATGATGGGAAATTCGGTGATACGGTGAAACCATGCCTGGGCTCACCTTGGTAAGTCTATTGTACTACATCACTTGATATGTTGGTCTAACAGACTCTAGAAACTAGTAGGCTATGTAGATGGTCGGCTGTCTAGGGTTGCTGGATGGATGCCTTGTTGGTGCCTGATTCAGTTGTCAGTGGATGTATCGCCTGAATCTTGAGGCGCTAAACATCATGTCACTAGCGGAGAGCACTAGTCCCGATCCAGTTACCCCTGTGGATCCGGGACCTGGGCCCTGACGCCAACACTTCTCCATTCTTGCAACTCTGCCGAAAGAATTCTTTGGTTTGATCTGCCACAGTCAGCTATATTTGATATTTTACGTTGAATATGACTTGCAGACTTGCATCTGAAATCCATTTGCTCTGGTAAGTCTTGGCATCGAAGCAAAGGGGATAGCTACTGGTAAGTCCGGGTGATCTGCGATCTTCCATGTTTTAGTAGCATGATTAGTGGGGAAAGTGACAACCCTGACGATTATCCGTAGATAAGCGGCAAGTGACTTCAAGTTTGTACATAAAACATGTACAAATTCTGCACAAGACATTAGTACTATACTATACTTAAATCAGTCAATTCATATATTCGATCCTTCCCTTGCCTGGACATCCGCAGCAAGGGGGGTAAGCGCCAAGGTCCCTTTTCTCTGCGGGTTCTGGCCATTCATGTGATAAGTAGGGTCTTGTAGGGATATAGCTGACACTAGATGCCAAAGGAGAGAACAGAACCTTCTCAATAGCTCAGCTCCATGGGTCTTGATAGACTGCTAACCTTTAAATTTCTCGTATCAAATATTTCTTAGCACTTGAGTGATCGAACAGCTGTATACGACATTGTGTCTTGGGGCCCCACCGAACCAGGGACCTGCCCAGGCTTGTCAAACTTAAGTGTAATACTACACCCCGGCTCTTTCTTCCCCATGCTTTTTCCTTCCTCTTCTTCCCCACTGTTCTTCGTCACTCGCAAAAGATCGTCCTCAAATTTCCATTCCTCGACGCGCCTCTTCCAGCTCGTTTCAATGACTTTGAGCTCTTCGCTCACTTAACATGATTCTTCAAAAATGGCTTTCCTCCCTTCTGGGTTGCATTTTAGCCGCCCAGGGTGCTCTCGCAATTACTCTCGACGTGGATGATGAAAGTTGGTGGCCCGCATTCTTGTGCCTTCCCCCCTCATGTCATTTGGATCTTGGGTGCATGGACTAACATGAAAGCCGCGCATTCCAGGCTCCCTCAAAACCGCCGCCAAAACTGTCGCTGCTGATATGATGGACTACTACAATGACCGACAATCCAAGGCTATCCCCGGAAAACTTGATGGGACTTGGTGGGAGGGCGGCTCAATGTTCATGATCCTCATTCAATACTGGTTCTTGACCGGGGACAGCCAGTTCAACAGTGCAGTCCAGGATGGCATGTACTGGCAGAAGGGCGACGACAACTTTTTCCCCTCGAACTACAGTCAGTATTTGGGTAACGATGACCAAGTATTTTGGGGTTTGGCAGCCATGACGGCCGCAGAGCTGAATTACCCGGAGCGAAGCGGCCAGCCCTCCTGGGTCTCGTTGGCACAGGGTGTGTTCAACACACAAGTGCCTCGCTGGGATACCAGCAGTTGTCATGGAGGAATGCGCTGGCAGATCTGGCCCTACCAGCCTGGATATACCACTAAGAACGCCATTTCAAACGGTGGACTTTTTCAGCTGGCCGCACGTTTGGCTCTCTACACCAACAATGCAACATATGCCACCTGGGCCGAACGTATCTGGGACTGGAGTACAAGTACGCCATTACTTCGCAGCAATTGGGTCATTGCAGACACTACCAGCTGTGAATCACAATGTACGGATCATGGCGACTATCAGTGGACCTATAATTATGCAACGTACATCAACGGTGCCGCCTACATGTTCAATTATGTGCGCTTCATACTCCCTCAATATGACTTCTGAATGGAATATAAAAAGCTGACCATATACAGACCAATGGCAACCAAAAGTGGCTGGACGGCGTCGATGGGTTGGTAGGTACATCTGGTCAATTCTACCCTTCAGGGAAGCCCTTCGGTATCGACAACGGGACCATTCTCAGCGAAATCACCTGTGAACCAATCGAGAAATGTGACCGAAACCAGATCACCTTCAGAGCTTACTTCTCATCATGGCTGGCTTTTATGACCCTGATCGTTCCCGGAACCTATGATCTGGTAATGCCAAAGTTGAAGACCTCAGCCGCTGCGGCAGCTTTGTCTTGTACTGGCTTGACCGATGGTTCACGCTGCGGTACCAAATGGTATACGGGAAGCTGGGACGGCACGGATGGGCTTGAACAGCAGCTGGCTGTACTGGGTGTCCTCAATGCAAATCTAGTCCCTTTCAAAAATAAGGCGCCCTTCACAGCCGACAACGGCGGAACGTCCAAGAGTAACCCAAGTGCCGGAACAAACAGCTCTGACAATGAGATACCTCGATTGGACACGGTCCACACTGGCGATCGAGCCGGTGCTGGAATCTTGACCGTTGTCTTCGTCACTGGTTGGGCTGTTGCTATCACATGGATGGTCCGAGGGGGTTAAGATATTCTAACTTTCTGATTCTTATTGTATCTATCGATTTTTCCATTCTCTGTCTTCTTTTTTACCTCTCTTCGATTGTCATGCAGTGCGTGCATCTTTTGGTTTCCGGTTACCCTATGGTCTGATCTTATGTCTCCACTTTTTCCATTCTTTGTATCTTTTATTTTCTTTCTGTCGCTTATCATCTCCTAATATCTCCTTGATTTGCGTGCTGTTTCAGCGGTATGGGAGGTTCCATCAGGCGTCTAGGGGACATATCTTGACATAGTCTCTTTAAAAACTACATTTTACTTGGGAGACAAAGAAACGGATTTTGAAGATCTAATATGATTGGTCGTGAAATGGGGCGCCTGGACGGGAAGGCCGAATTCCCCGGACATGATCAACCCTGCGGCTCGGAGAGAAATCAGTGCGAGCTTGTAAATTTGAATTTTTGCCCTGTACTCGGTATGATAGTCAGGCTGACCTGCATCACACGCTGTGCGACCAATATGATGCATCCCGGACAAAATAAGAAAAGAAAGAAAAGAAAGAAGTAAAGAAAAATAATCAATCACACCATAATTGTAGTTCAAGGGGCTTTCGAAACACTTGCGTAGCCTCGATGGCGCGGCCCCATTTTATTACAGCCATAGTACCTGTAATACCGCCAATAAGAAAGGGGGCGGCTGGGCGGAAGTGGTCGGGGCCTCCGTGTATTTTACAAACATATTACACACAATCCCATCTGCCTTCTATCTTCAACTACTCGATTCCCTTCTCCCCCTTTCATCTTTCACCTTTCCACTGGCGACTACTTACTACCAATCCTTCCCCCTCCCCGCCACTGTCACAATCCGGTGACTATCGACTCTTCTACTTTCTCGCTGTAGCGGATTTCTACCTCCGATCCCGTCATCCAACTGTGGGTGGGGGATGATCCGCTATCCGAGTTCTCGACTATTATTTGCTCCACATTCGCCATCCATCCAAACCAACCTCTCCAACCTCCTCCTGCCACGACGTATGCCGCCGATACTTCCTGCCTTCTGAAGCCTTCGTTTCCCCTACACACCGGATCGAACCACGCTGCCGCAGTTCCACGATGCGGTGGCGGTTACCGGGCGCTAGTTCGACCCTCCCCGCCAGCGTCGCCCTTCTTCTTCTTCCAGCCCTGGTTGTTCCGCAGCAACACCCAGAGTCCCATGACTCCATCCCTCGAGTCTCCGTTCCGCTAGCCGCGAATGGAGTCCCTTCATATTCAAAACATACAGTCTCTGCGGCTGTTCCTCCCATCGTGAAATCCAACGATGCGAGCGCCCTGGCAACTCTGGCTCTGGCGGGCTCCGGCCGCGCCGTTCGAGCCCCTCTCACCCAGGCTAGCAGTACAGCTGCTGGTCTGGCGTCGCAGCTTCACGCGCGGTCCTTGCAGGACTGGGAGGTTGAGGACTTTGTCCTGTTGGCGACCATTGACGGAACTATTCACGCCCGAGACCGCAAAACTGGTGCTCCCCGCTGGGCTCTAGAAGTCCCTAGCAGTCCTGTGGTTGAGAGTATCTACCACCGTGCCAATCGCACCAGCTTCGACGCAACCCAACCTGAAGACGAGTTTCTTTGGATCGTGGAACCAAGCCAAGATGGCAGCCTCTACATATACAGTCCGGGCCCAGAAGCAGGACTTCAAAAACTTGGTCTGACGGTAAAGCAGCTGGTTGACGAAACGCCATACTCCGGCATTGAGCCTGCCGTTACATATACCGCCCGGAAAGAAACAACCTTGTATACCATCGACGCCCGGACTGGCAGCATCCTGCGGGTCTTCAGCTCTCGTGGACCATTCCAGTCTGGTCAGGAGTGTCGCAAGGTGGATGGACAAGATCTCGACCCGGAGGAGTGTGAAACCTCATCTGGTACATTGGTTCTTGGCCGTGTTGAGTACGCCGTTGCAATTCAAAATACTGAGACTGGGGATCCAATCTGCACATTAAAATACTCCGAATGGGCGCCAAACAACCGCGATATGGATTTGCAGAGCCAGTATTATCGCACAATGGACCTTAGCCATGTTTACAGTATGCACGACGGTGTTGTACTTGGGTTTGATCATTCCCGGATGGATCGCCCTCGCTATACGCAGCGCTTTCAATCCCCCGTGGCTCGAGTCTTCGATGTGGTGCGACCGAACAACAAGGATGCCCCCGACGCTTCAACTCCATTGGTGCTTCTCTCACAACCACTTCAGCCACCGGACCCCGACTACGGTACACTGGATGATGATCGAGATACGCGCGTATTCATTGATTCGACTGGTGCAGGAGGATGGTATGCTCTCTCCGAAGAAACCTATCCTCTGGTTACCGGGCGTGCCCCCATGGCCCAATGCTACGACAAAGATTTCTTCCGCCGAGGGCAGTCCCTGATGAGCTTGACACCTCATCAGCAGCGAGATGCCCTGGCTGGTGTACATTCGCTCAATGGTCCGCAAATTCGGCCATCTATTCCACGACTTGGCAGCTCCACGACAGAAATCTCCAATGACACACCACGAGAGGTTCTACGGAGCCCATCGGAGCTAGCTCTTCCTCCTGCTTTACGACACAGCACCATCATTCGTAAAGGCTGGGACAATGCTCTTGACATTGTCGTCACTCTTATTCTGCTCTTCATCGGTACATTCATCTACTTCAACTCGCATCACATTAGAGACCTGGCCAAGCAGAAGCTAGACATTAAGAACATCATCAGCTCGAACGACAAGTCCGCTCTCTCGGCGCCAACTACGCCCATTCTGGGTACAACACCAGATTTGCCTCGCGCGTCTACCCCTCAGCCAATGGCTGATGTGACTGTCGATGTTGACTTGATAGACTCCGGGGATGCCACTCCACGTCCCTCCCGAGATCGCAGCATGCCACCGGATAGAACTCCCCGCGTCAAGATTAGTGAGCCTGACCGTGAAACAGAGGAAGGGGAACTAGACGAAGGAAGTCAAGATCCAGACAAACCAGCAAAGAAGAAACGGTCTCGTGGTACACGAGGTGGAAAAGGTCACCGCCGCAAGAAGAAGCCTGGCACCGAAGGTGAGGTCGGCGAGCATTCTGACCAGGGAGTTGAGCTGGTGAATCGTCTGGCCTCACAGACTCGTCATGAATCTGACGCTCACTTGACACACACTGTATCGGCTGAAATTGTGCAATCGGATGGCGTCGTTCGTATTGGACGATTGGAGGTCTTCACAAACGTCGTTCTTGGTCATGGCAGCCACGGAACTGTGGTCTATCGCGGTACATTCGATGGTCGAAATGTGGCTGTAAAGCGCATGCTTATGGAATTTTATGACATTGCATCACACGAGGTGGGTCTGCTACAAGAGAGCGACGACCACCATAACGTCATTCGCTACTTTTGCCGTGAACAGGCTACTGGGTTCTTGTATATTGGCCTGGAGCTCTGCCCAGCATCTCTCCAGGATGTCATTGAACGGCCAATTCAGTTCCCGGAGCTGATACAAGGGGGCCTGGATCTGCCAGATGTTCTTCGTCAGATCACCCAAGGAGTTCGATACTTGCATTCGCTCAAGATCGTTCACCGTGACTTGAAACCACAAAATATCCTGGTAGCCATGCCTCGTGGGCGAACAGCGTCGCGCGCCATTCGTCTCCTGATCTCCGACTTTGGCCTGTGCAAGAAACTGGAGGATAACCAGAGCTCTTTCCGAGCTACTACTGCTCACGCTGCCGGAACCTCTGGCTGGCGAGCACCGGAACTACTTGTGGATGACGATACTGGGCCATTGAGTCTTGCGTCCCAGCACACCGAATCTTCTGAGCCTGCTGTCGTGGATCCTCAGACGAATCGCCGTGCCACCCGCGCCATTGACATTTTTTCCCTGGGCTGCGTCTTTTATTATGTATTGACCAGGGGCAGCCATCCGTTCGACAAGAATGGCAAATTCATGCGAGAGGCCAATATCGTTAAGGGCCAATTTGATCTACAAGAGTTGGATCGTTTAGGTGATTACGCCTTTGAGGCGGATGACCTTATTCGTTCTATGTTATCTCTTGAACCACGCCATCGGTATGTTTAAACTTCTCAAAATTCCAGTCAGTTTTCTTACTTGATACTAACTCTTCCTCCCCAACAGCCCCGATGCCAGTGCAGTCCTGATGCATCCCTTCTTTTGGCCTCCATCTGATCGACTAAGCTTCCTCTGTGACGTATCGGATCATTTTGAATTTGAATCGCGTGATCCCCCGTCAGATGCACTTCTTTGCTTGGAGTCGGTGGCCCCGCAAGTTCTTGGACCCGAAATGGATTTCCTGCGCCTGCTCCCTCGCGACTTCAAGGATAACCTTGGCAAGCAGCGTAAGTACACTGGTGACCGGATGCTGGATTTACTCCGTGCTCTCCGTAACAAGCGTAACCACTACAACGACATGCCAGAGAACCTGAAAACGCATATTGGCGGACTGCCGGAAGGGTATCTGAACTTCTGGACGGTCCGATTCCCCAGTCTCTTGATGAGCTGCCACTGGGTCATTGCTGAGCTACAATTGACCCAGATCGATCGGTTCCAACGGTACTTCCAACCACCGGAGTAGATGTTAGCAAAAAGATTGAGCACCTTAATTTCAAAAATATGAGAATCTAGAGATTTACTGTGCATCGTCATATTCCATCAATCTATGCAATTTTTACGAGTGCATCACGGCCCACGGAAGACCAACAATGACGCCAGGCTTCCGAACGATGATTTTGTAAAATGAAACAAGAGGATGACTTTCGTCACGGATCTTCGGGACCGATTCATAACCTACTAAGGGCGTATCATAAAATAGAGCAGAATCCTCGTTTGTTCTCTCCAGATGTCAAGACGAGTGTCAACTCTCAGATTCAAGGCCATCGTCAGTCGCTGGAGTGCATGAAGCTCCTCGCAAGTGCTTGGGTTTTCAAGCATGCATGTGATTACTAGTAGTCTCATGGCAATATAAATTTAAGACTATGTACTACTCTCAAGTCTACTCTCAAGTCCTACTAGTAGAATTTGCCATAAAACATAGGTGTCAGGTGGAAGCAAGCAGTGGGGGAAAGAAGGAGATTCTTTTCAAAACATCGAAACGAAAGATCGGTCATATCCGTGGATCAGAGTTCAAATCTCTTGTCATTAATTCATTCATCCAATCTGGTTGAGATCTGATGTCATAACTACAAAGCCCAATTTTCATCGACCGTCGTATATAGAGTGAGCTTACTCACTCACTACATAGATTCCAAGGTCCTGTTTTGGCTTCAGTCTCAACGAACCATTATTCGGCCCAGCATATGAGATGGACTAAATCCATGGATGGCGGCATCATTGTAGTAGATCCTGGGTGATTATTATTCATCATGGGTATCCATGCGATCGAATGCCTTGATCACCTCCTTGTCCCATCGACTGCACGTAACAATAATCCACTGCACAACTCCGACGCAGTACAGGGCAACACACTGGCCCACCCAGAGGCCCTTCAGCCCCCAGCCATGAAATGCAAGATAAATGCCCAACGGCAGGGCAAATAAATAATAGCTGACCAGGTTTACAGCAGCGCCAATGTGCTGTCTGCCCATGCCACGCAAACTGCCACCGCAACTTCCATTGAGACCATCTGCGATTTGGAAAAGAGCAACCAGTGGCATGATCTCCGACACCAGCTCTGCCACTCGCGGATCATCATTGAAAATTTTGGCAAAATGATCTCGGGTTCCCATAAGCACCGCCAGGACCATCGAGCCCAAGATGATGGCCAGAAATGCAGATATCTGAGCCGTGCGTGCCGCGGCCTTTGCACTCCGGTCGCCGAGTAGATTGCCAATCCGGGAAGACGTTGCCACACCAAGACCAAAGGGGATTGTGTTCATAACGGTGTCAGCGGTCATGATTACACTTTGAGCAGCTAATGCGATCGTGCCTAAGCGCCCTGCTGCCAGTGCCACAATCTCAAAGGCAAGCCATTCCGTTCCGATGTGCATGATACCCAAGAGTGATAGCCGCACAAATGTCCACATATTGTCGAAAGCTGCCCTCGAGAAGCCACCCCAGCACTCAGAGCCAGCAATGAGCTTGCTGTAAAGTACCAGGAGAGCAAAGGCTAGCCAGTATGAGATGTCGGAAGCTAGAGGAGCGCCGAGTAGGCCGATTTCCAGTTTATAGCAGAAGAGATAGGTCATTGCCACATGGCATGGCAAAACGATCAAAAGCACATACGTTCCGGCTCTCATTAGTCCTATATAAAAACAACACCTAGTTAGTAATTTTTCCATAGTAATGATGACATGGGCTGGTGAGTCTTTCTACCTTGAGCTTGCAGGTACTTCTTCATGACCTCAAAAAAGATATACCCGAGTCCACCAGGGATCAATACCGTGAGATACTGTGAACTAAGATAGGAGAGCTCAGGATCTTGACCAAGCATTCTGAATAAAGGATCCGAATAAGCCCAGAGAAAAGCGATGGGTATGAAAAAGATGCTCAAAACAACGAGCGCCCGTTGAAGCAAGATTCCCAGATCATGCTTGTTCTCACTGCCAGTGAAGGTTGACGAAGCAATAGTATCAAGAGCCGTTGTTCCTCCCAAGGCAATCATCCACCCAGTAACTAGCGCAAACATCTGTGAAAATGCTGCAACCGCCAAGTTCATGGGAGAAGATTGTCCTATGATAATTGCCGTCGTGGTTTGTAGACTCATTTGTAACGTATATCCAAAGATCACGGGCAACGAGTCCTTCAATAACCCCCAACATTCTGCTAGCCACCATTTCCCGGGAGAATCAGAGAATTTTCTTTGACTCTCAATTTCGCTCCATGTGGTGGGATGAGGAGTCGGGTGTGGAAGGAGCGAGGTTTGTTCATTTGGCGAGTCATGGTCTTGGCCATTGACATTGTCTATTCGGGCATCGTCGGTGACATGCGACATGTTTACTACCCCACGATCCAAAATTCAGATAAGTAACCCCCCAAGACTCCTTTGATAGAACAATAGGAACGCCGGTCTGGTAAATAGGGTAATAGGGTTCGGATTATCTAGCGAGCACGTGTGAATGATTCGAAAAGAAGACTCGTAGAACTCGTAGGGCGATTATGCGGGGTGAAGATTCAAAGGGAAAGGCGAGCTGGAAAATACAAAGATTGCGTAGTGATCGACGACTCCCTGGTTGAATTGGCCCGTACGAATCAAAACAGGGCAGTCTGTTCCCCACCTGCCTGCATCTTGTGAGCTGTCGACTTCTGCTTCGGATTGTTAGCTTGGGGAGTGGTGGATCCTTCTTTCCTATGGAATGGGCATCGAAATGCCCCAATTGTTCCAAATTCTGCTCTTGATAAGCCATCAAAAAACCATGAGGATCTATCCGGAGTAGATCGATCGAGTTGAATGGGTGATCAACCCTGACAGCTCACAAAAACAGGTTCTGGGTGGTTCATGCAACTAAGTGGATCGCGGCTTTGGATCAACGTTTGTATGCCTGGCGATCTACCTATCAACTTGCTCTTCTTGACTCAACTGCATCTCTAGTGGGAAAGTTTCACTGCAAAACTGCCATGTATCATCCAATCAGTACAAATAGATCCTCTTTTCGGTGGACTCGAGTTTTGTGACATAATAATTGAATCTTACCTCTAGAAATATTTGCTGTCAGCAAAACCCTCCAAATTTCAAAGAATTCGACATGATGCGTATATCTGCTTACTGTGGCATTCATTGTTGAAAGAAAGCCGGATGGAATGGAATGTTCCAATCTTAGTATCAATTCCGAGGCTCCAACATTTGAAGGTTGCATGTATTCAAATGTGATTTTGTTCGTAAATGTATTATGTACACCCATGTATAATATGCGCATACTGTACACATCCCGAGGTCTCAATTTAAAAGCTGAAGAGCCCACTTCTCCGTTTTCCGTATGGGTAGACGATGAGCGCGGCGATAAACAGTCCGATCGTAATACCAATGGCCACTTGGATCATGCCAAACCCTAAAGTAAACACCGATGTACCACTAAGTCCAGCCCCAGGTTGAGTATTAGGCGACTGGTGAGAAGATATGTTTTGGCGAATCGCGTCTGCAGACTGCACTCCCGTGATTAACGAACCGGTCGCGGCCAGTCCAGAAGGAACAAGGATAAAAATTCCCGGTAAGATCGCGGTCGCGGCATGACCATGCCAAAGTCGACTGTATAGATTCCCCAACATGCCAATGGTAAATGCTCCGACGGTATTCGCAACCTGCGAGTTTGATCCGAGCTTCTTGGTGCTAAAGTAGTTGGCTGTGTACCCCAACAGCGCGATGATGGCCATCGGCGGAAATTGTTTCCACTTGCCTTGGTTGATAATGAGAAGCCACACGATCATGATTGATACAAAGGGAAATCGGGCGACATAAGGGCTAGAAAAAGCTCCGGTTTTGGGGCAATTGAGGTCTGATACTGCGCCGTTGTCGATAAGGCCATAGATCGTGGTGCCAACGGTGATTCCGTAGCCGATGAACAAGGAGAAGATGATCGCGTACACCATTCGAATTGAGCCCGCGATGATCTGGTGCGATTGCAGTTCTAAGCTGCTGCACAAGACCAGAAATCCAGGCAAGATCAAAGCGATTGAAGCTTGGGCGATGGCAGAAAAGCAGAAGAGGTATTCTCGCTTGCCATCGACATGTCTGAGTGGGATACTTCCAAAGGCACGGGCGAGAAAGGATGTCACCACCGTCGATGTTACTTCGAAGACATTCGAATACAAGACTGATCGAGGAGCTGCGAGATGCTGCATGGCCCCGACCAGTAAGCCGTTGAGGAAGATAATGGGCATGTCGATAGGCCGTGCGTTGAATGCAAAGGGACCGACAGTTGCTGTCGCCAGACCGTATACTAGCACGACGATGAACTTATTATAACGTGGTCCCTTCTTCATCACCTCATCCAGGTCTTGAACCGCTTCCTCGATCCCAACCACATCGTGAATGACATTCTTATAGATGAGATGGGTATCCGAAAGCCGTGCCAGATCCACTCCCTGTGCAACTCGGACGAGCTTCACCTCCGTCGTTCGGGTCGAAGGATCATCAAATGACATGATCATACACCCAGGCAAATACAGAAATTGACTATCGATCTCGAGCACCTTCGATGTCATTTGCATGTATTCTTCCAGTCTATGAGTTGGAGCCCCAAATTGCATCAATGCCCGACAGAGCTGCATAATATACCGTTGTCGACAGATGATCTCCGCAATGTGAATAGTGACCCGGATCTCATCTTCCAGTCGGGGTCCACTCTCAGGCTGTTTGCCCCGTCGTTTTGAAGCAGCTGACATCACTTCACTTGTAACAGGGGTACTCGCTCCGCTCAGGCTGCCCCCAACCAGCGTCGATGTCGATGTATTGGATGGCTTCTTGTACCATTTCGGTTTAGATTTTTTTGATCTTGGTCCCTGGCTCGTGGAAGAGGCGTCGGTGGATGCAGATTCATATGACGACTGACTCGGGGTCCTGGATGTGCTTCCTTGTTGTTGCTGCTGCTGCTGTCCGCCATTGAGCTTGATCAGTTGCGACAATACACCTCCACCACCAGATCTATATCGCAAGCCCGAATCCATGCTGGACTCGTGTTCCGCTCCCACGAATTCCGTAGCGTTTCCTGGACCATGTCTCCCTCGTGTCTTTCGCCGCTTGGCGGAATGGTCCTGCGTCAGGTCACGGACGAGTCGATGTGCTTCGGAACTACTTGTCGCCTGATGCTGGCGTTTTTCTTCATAAGTCTTGTGCTTATCGTCTGTCACATCCGACATTGGAGGTTCGCTACCGGTCGCCCAGTCTGCATGGTACATACCCGACCCGAGATCATCACCTTCATGTTTAGGCCGACCAAGTCGGTCACCAAAGCGAGAAGCCCTCTGTTTGAAGCTCAACTTTGCGGAACGGAGACGGTTCTTGGTTTCGTTCATGTTGAATGTCCCTGGGATTGTCTTTATATTCTGAGGCTGTATAGGGACTTCTTCGTTTGGCACTTTATCGTTTGGCGCTTTATCGTTTGGCGTTGTTTCGTTCGGCGTTTTATCATTCGGAGATATACCATCTGTTTGGGCAGCGGATTGGAATCCCCCTTCTCCGAGGTGAGCGTCGGCGATGTCTGCAGACTGGTGGGAATACGGTGCTGTAGGAGGATGTGGTCGATCTTCAAAACGAGACTTTTCGTGTGGTGAAAGACGAGGCACATTTTGGGAAAAGCTGGCTGATGATCGGAAATGTACCCGTGGTGCTGCTGGTTCCCCTTCTTGACTCTTGTCGTTTCCGAAATACTTTTCGTCTGGGCATCCTGTCGCTTCCTGGTGATCTGCATCATTATCACTTCCAGCCTCGGTTGGTGAACCGCTACTCCCACTTTCCCGGACAGACATAGGGGGCCAGATATGGAGATCATTCGTCTTCACTTTCTTCACAAGAACGTGGGCGGTCTCATGTGCTTAAAAAGGCCGGCTGTCTGGAACACCATGAAAGTTTCACTGGGTACTAGTAGTACATAGTGACCATTCTCGCGACACCAATGAGCTCATCAGCGCCTCTACTCGGTATATACTTCAGATGAACCAATCAAGCCACCGCTTGGAATCTTTTTCCGCCATCCCCTCCTTAATGGGCCAATGGTTCTTGTCATGCGGAACAATTGTCCGTCGGCTTCTGTATTTTTACCCAGCACCTACGAGCTACGTAGGTTGCGTAATGGCTATGTACACCCGCTATCTTTATGTCGACTTCCAAGGTTCGGAAGAGGCGATAAAAACACATGCATGGGGACTTGAAAGTAAGAGACAAAATGCTAAGTATGCGACATGATAACATTGGGAAGACAGTGAGTTGGAACACATGCAGAGGAAGGGATATCAAGGTGCATCGCTCCAAACAAGACATAAAAAAAATAAAAAAAAGACATGAGATATGCTTATAGGTAAAATGAAAATATTTCCAAGAACATGGCTTTTCCGTGGGAGGAAAGAGAGACTAGGGACGAGAACGCTGGCGAAGCTTACTAGTCTCTCCGTTAGGAAGGATGTCACCGTCACTGTCGCTGCCACTGTCTTCGCTAGAGGAGCCCACGTCCCAGACAGATCTACCCGTAGAAACAGAATTGCTGGCCTTCTTTGGTTGGATGGGGAGCTGCTGTGTCCTCGCTGCCTGCTGTGCCTTTTGAACTTGAAGAAGACCTTTCAACGATCTTCGTGGCGTGATTTTTGTCGTCTTCTGCAGAGTCGGAGGCTGCTCAACTGGCTTTGTAGTGGCAGAGGAAGAAGATGGGAGGGGTCGGCTGGTTTTGTGGGTTAGCACTTGTGATGATCAGCAAGGGGTGAAACTGTCATACTTGAACCTGGGGTCAAGGTCATCTTCGCTATCCGAGTCTTCTGAAGACGTGTCTTGGGCTTGCTCTTGCTCTTCTTTTTTCTCGGGCAGCTTGTTTGATGCGGCCGTTGTAGGGACCTCGACGATTCCAGCCTCGGTGGTGTCCTCAATTTCTCCAGTGTCGTTCTTATTTTGGAGGGAGTTGTCTTCTTCTGACTTGTCCTCATCATCGTCGACTTGGGAGTCACCGACCTCTTCGGCTGATCCTTCCTCCTCGTAATCATCATCACTGTCAACTCCCGCCTCGATATTGAGGAATTCTTTGACCGGGTTGTCTGATTCCTGCTCTTCTATTTCCTCCTCCTCTTCCCCTGCTTCCTCTTCCTCCTCTTCTGCCTCTTCCTCCTCTTCCGCCTCTTCCTCGTCGTTATCACCATCTTCAACCCCCACCTCGACAGTCAAGGGTTGTTTAACTGCTACCTCCTCTTCCCCTGCTTCGACCTCTTCCCCTGCTTCCTCCTCGGCCTCCGCCTCTTCGTCCTCGACCTCCTCTTCGTCTTCTTCTTCCTCCTCCTCTTCCTCCTCTTCTTCCTCTTCTTCCTCTTCTTCCTCTTCTTCCTCTTCTTCCTCTTCTTCCTCTTCTTCCTCTTCTTCCTCGTCATCATCATCTTCAACTCCCACCTCGATATTTAAGAGTTCTTTGACTGGTTCCTCCTCTTCCCCTGCTTCTTCCTGCTCATCGTCATTGGTGTCACTAACGGACCCAGCCTTGTTATCCATTAATGTTTGGACTGGATCATTTGCAGGCGAGGCTGGTTCTTTGTGATTGGCATCACCATTAGGCTTGGCCTCATTGCTCACCAATGCCTGCACCAAGTCTCGAACTTGAGTATTTGGTGGCGATGCTGGCTCGTCGTAATCTGCTGGGGCTGGTTCTGCATCCGGCATATCTTCATCACTGTCAATAGCCTGTTCATCGGTGTGGTGCGCAGGATTCTCGACATGTAAGCTTCCGTTGTCCTCGCCAATCTCCTCGTCGTCCGAGGATGCAATTTCATTAACCTCCTTCGACTCCTTAATGCTGGGCTTCTTATAACCGTTTGCTTTGGGTGTAGGTGCAGACTTGGCAGCAAGCTTGTCTTCGAGTTTTTGCAATTTGTTTCGGAGAGCGTCAAGTTTCTTCCTTTGATCCGACATGTTCGTACCCCCGCTCTTTCTTCTTTTGCCCTTGTCATCTCGAGGCTTCATGAGGCCGTAAATCTGCGACATCTGCTGGAGAATCGGCCGCAGCGAAGGATCCGTATTGCGGTCGTTCAAACGTAACCCAACCATGCGGATCTCATTGCCTTCTTTCTCGATATTCTCCTGTACCCGACGAATAATCTCCGGGTCAAATCCAGGCGGGTAGACGGTTTCTGATCTCGAAACTTGGCTACTGGACGGAACGGAAACTTGGCTGCTGGACATAATGGAAGCTTTAGGTTGTTTGTAGGCAATTGGGGTATTTGTGTTGCTAAAGGAAACGTGACGTTCGCGGTTGAAGGAGGGTTGGCTTGGAGGGCTACTCGTAAGGCCTAGTCCCAGCCCCTTCTTGTTTGGGGGAGAGACATTGGATGGTCTGCGATGATGGTTGGTCCAGGATTGCTGGAATCCAAATTGTCGTGATGAATTCGGGGACTGAAAAGCTGATCCACCGGGCTGGCCTTCCAGCCGAGGTTGCTTCGATGGCGCATTGCTCTCGGGGGTTTGTTGCTTGCGCTTTCGGGTAGGACTTTGATTGCCTGCTTCATGCCCTTGATCGGGTGATTGCTGCCTATTGGTAGCACGGTTATCGCGGCTTCGGATGACGTTGAGGATACCACCTTGGTCGTGCCCGTCGGCGCGAGCTTTTCCGCAATCCACAAACACATCCTCGACTGTCAATTCGGCATCGAGGTCAATCAGAGGCATTGCATCGTTGAACAGCTTCTCGATCTCAAGAGGCCTAAGTTTTGCAAGATTAGCAGAGTCAATTTTGTTAATTTCACTTGTCGTCTTACTCACTTCAACTTTGGGTATTTCTTTTTCCATATCTGCTTCACACTGGAAGCAACCTTGTCCATCGACCATTGTTCTGGTTTGTCCACCTTCAAAAATAATGCGATAGGGTCCTCGGGCTCTGGCGCATCATTGGCCGTGCTTGAGCGCAAAAACTCTGGCCTTGGGGGCAGTTGGCCCGGCGGGTACACACGGACTTGCAAGCGTACTCGGACCATAGCGAAGGCCGTGGCTCCGATTGTTTCGAGTGGATAGAATTAGGGCTAGACTGGGGTATTGGATGAGCAACAAATTGAGTAGGGTCAGGAAGCCATATGATTTGAGGTTGGAGAAAAACGATTTGTCAAAGTGAGGAAACGCGTTCGCGAAACAAAGAGAAAAAAAAGCTGCGGGGATTCGCGATTGGTGCCTCAGGCGAAAATCCCATTAATGGACCAATTTGACGATGAACGAACACATCTAATGTGATATATCTGATCAAGTGACAAGTCAATAATGAAAAATAAATCTATCAAGTACAGAGAAGGAGGCAGATATTCTGTGAGTATCACCTTTTTGATATTAAGCGGTACATACACATGTTGGTATAAATGTTCAAATATTGCATAGTACTAAGTTGGTACCCAGCCTTCTTTCATCGCACACTTCTATCCACACTTTCTTTCTACTTTCCCCGCAATTATACTACTACCCTGTATGATGCTAAGTCCTATTAAATCCATACTGTTGCTCTTAGCTTGCTTTCAGATGTCTAACAATGGACTCCGTCTTTATTGGTAAAATGCACGCGAACGGGTGATTTCCAAGCCTGATCCTTCAACAAACGCCAAGGCACTTGGCTTTAGTACCATTACCGTCACTTGGTCGTTTTCAAATTCCACAGTCGCAATGCGAGCAATGAACGAAGCGAGGGCCTCGACACTGCCAAACGATGTGGTCTCGACACGCTATGAGAAGGAAAAAAGTATTAACTTTGGACAAACAAGGAAAGGAAGAAATGGTAGAGTAATAACGTATTCAACTTACCTCAGCAATCTCCAATACCATAGCTTGATAGATTTCCGTGAATCTGTATCCCCATTGTTGTAGTGCAGGGCCGCTGAACTTCAGAGAGATGTGGACTGCTTGCTTCTCAACTCTTTCCGGTGGGTTAATTCCCAAAACGCAGTAGCACCGGATGTTCTCTATTTTGAATTCCTCCTCGAGGACCACGAGACGTTTCTCGGTTCCGGAGACAGTGTTGCCCTTCAGAAGGCCCAATGCAGATTTGCTGCGATAATACAGACCTCCATCTGCACGCAGAACGACTTTAGGAAGGCGAAGTTCTACTTCGAATTCACCAAAGTCATCTTGAATTGCAGGGGACGAGTCATTCGCAAAGGGCAACTTTGAAAGAATGAGAAATAAGTCTTGACGTCGGAGAACAATGTTGGGCAAGGAAATTAGAAGGGCAAAATACGAACTGCTGTTTCTCCCAATAGCTTCATTCCAAATTTAGATATCAATCCTGCTGCCAGTCTGACATCTTGGCCGAGTTCTCCGCACAGGTGTTTGTGCAATTCTTCACCATCGGCTCTTACGACACCGCATCCTTGAGCGATTTCCAAGCTATTTTCTGCGACCAACCCGCTCAGCTCTGCGCTAATTCCCCGAAATAGCTTTCCATAGTCAATTGTCTTGGCGACGTCATCATTCACAGCTGAGGCAGCGGATGATGCATAGGTAAGCCGGAAAGATGCAGTGCATGGTTGTTGCTTTCCTGAGCGATGCCATGCTTCCGGGGCGACGGGCAGTGGAAGCTGTATGTTCCGAAGTTGAATGGTGTCTGCGATAGTAGGTCGAGACTTAATCAATAAGTTTTCACTGAGATTGGTCATTGTGCGTGAGTGAAGGAATATATGCTTATAAAGGGTTGAATTGAAGGTGACTGGACCAACAGCTTGAGAATTCCAGGGGAAACTGTTAAATTGTCACTCGGTGTGCTTCTGGGGACTTGAAGGGCCAAGGCGGGGTGGAAATTATTTACATCCACGGATCGCATTGAGAATCTGCCGGACTTTCTCTTTGTATCTCCTCGCCGCCTCCATTGCTTTTCACCGCTTTCACAATAAATCCCCACGTGAACTGCTTATCTGTGGAGTGTAGACTATGTGAGATATGGGAGATCGACTTCCAAGATTTTACTAGGTGATGATTTCCGCGGAATACAGGGAAATATTCTAAGTACATACACTCATAAATGCCATTTACATAAATGAATCATGAAACATAACCATTCGTCACAATCATCGCTAATTTATACATAAGATCAATGATCAAGACGGTAGATTCCAGATGAAATCCAAAGCCCCACCCTCGCACATGGGAAATTGACTGCCATTGGTCATACCAAAAGGTGCCATTGAAGGATCAAAAGGAAGCGAAAGCCAGTCATCCGTCATGTCGTTGAGGGATGGCATGAACCCGAGATCCGAGGACAGGTCCTGGGGAACTGGGGTATTTACTTGATTGGCACGGTCGCTCGCATCAGGCCAAGCAGGTGGGCCCATGGGAGATGGACGCGCAGCTCCTCGGGCGTTCTTAACCGCCTTGGAGGATGCCAGCAAGTTATGACGCAGGCGAGAAACGTGCATTTCCAGAAGAGTAGCGTAGCGAGTACTCAGGTGAACATCGTCCAAAGCATTGGACTTCAGTGCGGAAATGCTCTTTTCTAACACCTCCAATGAGTCTCGGAGAACCGCCTCACGAGTTCCTAGACTGAGCGCCTTCATGAGGAAAATCGAGGCGCTAGTGACACGCAGTACGATGCGTACCGGAGAGAATCGTAGTGCCCCAGCGTCTGCAAGATGTGTTACTTTTCGTAAAATCTGGCAGCAACCATCGATCACCTCTTGGATGTATTCGTAGTCAGTTTGCTCAATCGTCATTGGTCGCACGTCATCAAAGTGAGAGTCGGCATCAGTCAGAGCACGCTCTACCACGGCTTGCATACCGACCGAGTGAGTGTACACGCGGACAAAGTGATACTCGATAAAAAGATCATTGTAGAAAGATTTATCAAGAACGTCCGGTTGCAGATACTTATCTTTCCACTGGTTGAGTAAAGGCCGGAAATGGTCGAGGAGTCCAATATAACGGCCACTATGCAGCTGCTGGCGGGCAAATTTGGCAGATGGAAAAAACATATCGGTGACTGATTGCGCTAACTTGGTAAGCTCAATCCAGGAGTCCATGAATATCAGCCATGTACTACCGGGCTGACTTAGTCCTCTAGGCTTTCGCCCGCCAAGGACAGCATGGTTGAGGGACTGGGGAATCGGCGACATGCACCCAATACGCCATGCGAGTTGGTTTATGTAGACATAAAGCAAGCGCTGAACTCTTTGTCGCCGAAGAGCCATTTGCTCTCTCCATTGGGGATCCTCATCTGTAGAGTCATCATCCTCGGTTTCGAAGATACCCAGCTCATGCGCGAGAGAAAGGCCAGATCCAAGAAGCATCCACGACATCTGGTCAGATCTTCTTGAAGGTTCAATCATATCCTCCAGCCATCTACTTGCAGAGCCACTGTTTGGATCTGTAGATTCAGAGGGCGTGGGACCCATCGATATCAAGTCGTCGTCCCAACCGTCGGTTTCCGGCGGGAAGTGCAGTGAGCGAGGGTGCCACTCGGCCATTAACAAGAGAGCCTCCACGGTGCCAAGACTTCGAATCTTCGATTTTGTTGACTTTTCTTGCCCGAAAATCAGTCGCATTGTTAATTGTTGACAATGCTGCCAAAGCCGGTGATGAATGAAAAAGTTCCTGGATTCACCCCCGGCGCCTGGCAGAATATGGTATCGAGAAGAGATCATGAGAATGGTACAGCAAAGAACTGGCTCACGGGTAATGAGCAGGTAATGATTTTGATGGTTGGAATAAAAGTCTGTCAGGATGGGAGACAAACAGGACATGTTCTTATAAAATCTGGATTGTTGTCAGCACAGCTGTAGTAAGGTTACGAAAATTTCGGAATAAAAGAAACAATAGCGAGTACTCACAGATCGATAAATGTCACTGCTTCTCGAGCAGTGAACCAACCCATTCGCACAAATCGACAAGCTTCCCAAACCTGAAGAGTTTCTCGCGATACTTCGGCCAGATCTACCGGCCGCGCGTTTCGGGGAACAGGCTCGAAGGGCATGGGGGTTTCAAAATGGCGGGGAGTACTTTGCTCCTGGGTATTTGTTTTGCCATTCGATGAGTTGACTCCTCCAGAAGGACTGGGTTCATGATGAGCATTGTCCTCTTGACTTTGTGCCGTAGCTGCCTCGAACAAGATATTGAGGGCATCATTTCCGCTGGCAACGACTGTCCGCATCATGGAGCTCGCCAGGTTCGGATTGGACCGATGCCGGTGGTCATGGTGGTTATGAGGTGAAGGGCGATTGTTGGAGTTTATTGCCTTTGTGCCGGGTGATGCGCTGATATTGATAGGGGGACTATGGTCGTGTTGCAGGGATGCTGAATGTCCGTTGAGTGCCCAACCGGACTGAAAAGGGCTAGACCCGGGATACTGAGTCGGCGACTGGTTATTTTGAGAATATCTTCCGTTCGTTGTTTCTGGTGTCCTGTCGGATAGATAGTGTTCTGCGTGCGGGGAAATTTGGTCGTCGGTTTCATCGTTGGATCGAGCTTCACGAATCGCAACCAATTAGTTTGCAACCACGAGTTAAAAGGTCTGGCTCTTACGTACCACGTTTGCCGGACCTCTCCCAGGCACGTTTCTCGGGGAACACACACTCGCGCATCTCTCGGCGACAACGTGCGCAAGGTGGGCCGATCGGTAAGCCATCTGGACCCGCCCCCAAGTCGCACTTAGCCTTGCGTTGCCGGCAAGGTATGCATGCCTTGTAGGTCCGCTGATACGGCCGATCCGGCCGGGATGGCCTTGCATCCATAATCAACCGCGCCGGTCCGAGATCGGGGGACACAGAGTATTGAGAGATCGTGATCAGCAGTCAGGAAGGCCGTGAGAATGAGTCGGGTGTTTTGGGGGGGGGAAGCCACGGGGGCCAATGCCGGACCTCAATTAACCGACGATTTCCGCACATAAACATCCCGCTGATAAGCCGATAAGCCGATAAGATAAGGAGATAAAACAGAATGAGCGTGTTCCTTCTCTACTACTAGTACAGTGTATCTGTCCATTATCACTTCGCATTGGAGAATCTTAGTATTGATCAGTCATACTGCACAGTCATACTGCACGTGGATGGATACTTGAAAAGGAAGCTTCAACCAGTCTACGAAACCTATTTCTTTCAAGTACCTCCATTTCTGGACTCTATTTTCAATGTTTCGAATTTGGCAAGATAAAAAGTGGAATTTTGGTACGAAATCTCAAAACACTAGAGGATATTAGGTATATCAAATCCAACCTTGGAACAGAAACGCAAAATTAACAGAAAATAACAACTCAAGATATCAAAACATGTGCTCCCAAAATAACTGGTAATTAACTTATTTACCTCCCAATCCCAAGGCATCCGTGAGACCACCAAGTCCCAAACCATTGATCAGCTTATCCAAGCCTAATCCACCGAGGATGCCATTCAGGATTCCTCCCAAGCCAAGACCATCGAGCAGGCGACCAACCAATGTCAAAACCCCGCTCAAAAGGAGTCCAACAGCGGCGATGATCTGGAACAATGGCTCGGACAAGAGAGCCCAGAGAGGGCTGAGCTTCTTCTTGGCATGAGGCATGTCGGCAATTCGTCGCTTTCCGTTGTCAATCGTCTTGACGACGGTTTCGGTCAGAGTCTTAATTAGATCGGCCAGCTGGTTCTCTTCGGGGGTGGCATCACGCGAAGAAGCACGGGCCTTGGCAGTGGCAGCAATGCGGCCATCGGGGTCAAGGGCGCGGATAGCGCCATTGCACTCTTGGAGGATCTTGCCTCCCTGCTCTAGCAAGGGCTTGACATCCTTGACCAACTTCTCCTCATCAAGTTCATCCTTGGGAGTACGGTCGGCCTTTTCAACTTTCTGTAGAAAAAATCATGTTAGCAGTGGACTTTGTTGGATGTTGAATGTGGTGACTTACCTCAGTGATCATGTCGCAAATAGGCTTGACCTGATCCAAGGTCTGTCGAAGAATATGGATCATCTTCTCGGCCAGCTGGCGGTCATGCTCAGCCTTGGCTTGAGCCTCTAGCTCCTCGGGTGATGGGCCCTCCTCCTCAACTTCGGGTTCTTCCTCAACTTCGGGCTCGGGTTCAGGGATGTGCTCTAGAAGAGTACACTCGCCAATCTTGTTGCCTTCGTTGTCAACAACGTAGCCGTTGTCGTCAATCGACTTGCCCACAAGGGTAGCCAGGTTACCAGAAGTGAGCTTGCCAATGAGGTTTCCATCGGCATCGCGAACTTCACCCTCCTTGTTGACCTTGCGGCCAGACATAGGGTTGATGTCGCGGGCTTTCTCCTCGGGTTCCCAGCGCTCGGCTTTACCGATGGTGTTGCCATTCTTGTCCACAACATCACCATCCTCATCAACCTTGCGACCAAGGAGGCGCTTAGCATCGCCTTCAATGAGACGTCCGATGATACGGCCAGCATCGACGACAACGCCGTCCTTGCCAACTTCAGCATTGTCAAATCCGAAGAATGGACCCTCGGCCTTGTGTTGCTCAGCGCCCGGGATCAACTCAGCGCGTCCGATGATTTTACCATCGTCACCCCAAATCTGACCCTTGCCGTCCACCTTGCGACCTGCAAGACGCTTGTCACCTTCGACAATGCGGCCGACAACAGCGCCAGTGGCAGGATCAACGACATTGCCCATCTTGTTGACAACCTTGCCCTCGAGCAACGAGAGATCTTCCTCAACAGGGACCTCCTCCTCTTCCTCGGGGACTTCGTAAGGCTCAGCACGACCCTTGACATTTCCATACTTGTCAGTGATCTCGCCATCCTCGTCAACAGCGCGGCCGCGAAGTCTCTTCGCATCGCCTTCGATGAGTTTTCCGACAATCGATCCTTCCTCGTCCTCAACGAAGCCATCCTTTGTGACGACTAGGCTTTCTAGGCCGGCGAAAGGACCTTCAGGCTTGTTCTCCAACTCCTCCTCGGGGATGAGTTCGACACGACCGACGACCTTCTTGCCGTCGAAGATCTCACCATCCTCAATCTTCTTGCCAGCAAGTTCCTTAGGGTTACCCTCCACAACGCGAGCAATGGGGAATCCCTCGGGTCCAATGACCCATCCGGCCTTGTTACATCGCAATCCGTTGAGCACAGAGAGATCAGGGGCAGCTTCCTCCTCTTCGGCCTCGGGCTCAGGCTCCTCCCAGCGCTCGGCGCGACCGATGACAGAGCCGTGGCGATCGAGCACTTCACCATCCTCGTCAACGCCGCGACCGAGAAGCTTCTTGGCATCGCCTTCAACCAGCTTTCCGACGCGAGTCTGGTTCTCGTCCTCGACGAAACCTTCTTGGCCAACGACAAGACCTTCCAGTCCGGCAAATGGACCTTCCTCGTCTTTGTCGTCTTCGATGGGGAGTGCCTTGACCTTTCCAATCACGTTTCCTCGGTTGTCCCAGAATTGGCCTTCCTGGTCAAGGGTGGCGCCAAGACGAGAAAGCTTCTTCGGGTCGCCTTCGATGACTTCACCGACGGGTTTTCCAGTAGCTTCGTCAATGACGAATCCGCGCTTGTTGCACTTGAGGCCTTCCAGGGTGTCGAGATCAGGAATCCGCTGAGTTGCGTCTTCAATTGCATCCTCTGCAGCCTCATGAACATTCGAGGCAATGTCTTCCAATTCCTCTTCGGGGACATCGACATCCACCTCAGCGTTGTCCTTCGCACCATCGACGGCATCTTCGGCATCGTCAGGGACACCTTCCACAGCGTCTTCGGCGGTATCCTTGGCGTCCTCGACATCGGGAACAGCATCCTCGGCATCTTCAGGGACACCGTCGACGGCATCTTCGGCGTCTTCAGGGAGGTCGTCAAGAGCATCTTCGGCCTCTTCGGGAACTCCTTCGACAGCATCTTCGGCATCTTCGGGAAGGTCATCAAGAGTGTCTTCGGCATCGTCAGCAACGCCATCCACGGCATCCGTGGCGTCGTCGACAGGGAGGCCATCATGGGCGTCCTCAAACTCTTCATCAACTTCGCCCTTGACACCGTCGACCTCATCATGAGCATCGCCGACAGCCTCTTCGATGGCCTTTTGTTGCTCCTCGATAGGAAGAAGCTCCACACGGCCGATGGCATCGCCTTCGTCATCCACGATCTCACCAGAGTCATTGAGAGTGTATCCAATGAGATCCTCAGGGTCACCTTCGACAATTCGTCCCAAGACCTGACCAGCAGCATTCTTGATCACACCGCCATCGGAAACAGGTAGACCCTCCAACTCTGCGAGGTCGGTGACAGCGTCCTGGATATCACCAAGCTTGGACTGAGCATCGTCTTGGACTTCATCAAGCTTAGACTGAGCATCGTCGGGGATATCTTGAGCTTGCTGGACAGCATCATGGAGAACATCCACGCGACCAATCAAGTCACCCTCCTCATCGACGATCTCACCGTCATCACCAACGGTTTGACCGACCAAATCCTCCGGGTCACCTTCCACCACCTCACCCAATGGGTTACCATCCTGACCTAGGATCTTTCCGCCATCGGCGACGAAAAGACCCTTCAAAGCAGATAGGTCAAGAGGAATAGCACTTGTGGCAGTCTGGATTCCGTTTTGAGCAGTGTCCTTTGCCTTTCCAGCAGTGTCCTTTGCCTTTCCAGCAAGACCCTTGGCCTTTCCGGTCAATCCAGATGTGACTCCGCCTAGGGATCCCGAAGCCTGGGAAGCAACATCATCTGGTGGAGAGATAGGGCGACGCTGTTCAGATGAAGGGACCTTCTTCTTCGACTTGGGAGAGGGGGTCTCGGGGATAGATTGTTCGTCGTCTTGGATGGGTTTGGGCGATTTGGGAGTGAGCTTGCGGGCGGGTGTCTTCTTCACGGGCTTGGGAGATTCAGCGACACTGGAACTGGGTTTGGAGGCGGCACTCGAGCCTGAGGCCTTGCGGAGTTTGGAGGGGGTTCCGGCTTTCGAACCGAGCTTGGGGGGTGCTTTGCTCACTGCAGGGGACGACATTTTGATTGTGGGTGTAGCAACAGATCAAAATAGTAGGTATACGAAATAAAATGGGCGTTTCGAATATATCAATAGATCAAAGCTTGAGGCGTAACAATCTGGACAGAGTGACGTCGTAAAGTTCGTATAGTATCGACAGGGTATGTAGGAGTGTCGTAGTATGTATCAGGTGTAATGTACAGTATGTAGTAGTATAGACCGAGGTAACTGGACGTTCGGACTGATGTAGGGATTAAAAGAGTAGAAATAAGAACGATTCAGTAAACTTTTTTTGTTCAAAAGTAACTTGGAGATTGAAATGTTTAGTGGAATATTATAAACTGATCGTGAATGCAGGCAATCTATATACCTTCAAGAGGTTGCGACATCATCCCAGGTACAAGGAAGAGCCTACTACGTCATGGGTATTGATATCATCGCAGGGCTTTTTTCATGCTTCTCCAATCCCTGTCAAGCGATCGATCCAAACTTTCTGCACGGTGCACGGTGCGTAGCGGGTAGGGAGCCACAGAGCGTTGATACTGATTTCCATCATCATAGTGGGTCTGGCAGGTTGGAGAATAGTGGATGGAAACGTGCCTCAAGAAGAGACGATCCCTGTATCTGGTCACGCCGTGTACCAATCAGAGCTTGTGGATCCTGGAACTCATTGGCCTGTGGAGTACAGTCTAACATGACGCGGACCACTGTGGCTTCAATCTGGGGTCAGGTAGTGTAAATGATGAGTTTGTGTGGGGGGGTCAACGACAGTTGAGTTCAATCGGATTCCACTATTGATTGTGATCCGTATGACAATAGTGTCAGTGCATTACAGTAGTATTCACATCAATAAAGCATTTACCTGAGAGATATTTTCCATTTCAACGGTTTTTCTCCCTTTCCCCCAATGACGAGTCTTCACAGGTGAAAAGCAAGCTTCCAAGGTTAAAATCGACGTACCTGTAGAAATGAAACGGGGATACGAAAGGGGAAATCTCCATATTGGGTATAACCCGGTTTATTGGCAGGTCACAATCCATGGGAGCATTGGAAACAAATTGGCCACCCTATATGGATAAAACAGCAGTGGACGAATGAGAGTCCTGGAGGCCGCGCTGAGCCAAAATAGATTGCAGGGTAATTTGCCCCCAAGCTGTCAGGACCTGGTCTGTGCCTGTCATGTGTGGCTGAAGGCTTCCAGACTTGTGCTGTGGTTGGTTCGTCATCAGCCTCGTATGTACTGCAGCACGTTTTTTTTTCTCCGAGGCGATAAGCGTGGTCATCATTACATCAAGCGCCTGCCAAATCCGACGTTGTACAGCTTGAGTGCAACCGGAAGTTTGCCTGTAAATATGTAGATTGTATACTACAGTATGTGTACATGTACGAGTTGATATCAGAAAATTGAAACGAATTTTCACAAATTGACTCTCCGGATGTAGGACAAGATCTATTTAGTATCTAGTAATGGCAGATGATAGTTCAATCGACTTTCTGTGTAGCTTAGAGAAATCGGGGAGTATTTTCTTTGATGTTTTCTTTATCACAGAATAAGCATTGTATGCAGAAGAGGAGGTTATAGTATAGAAACCTGGAAGTAGAAGACCAAAGATGGATCAACGCCACATGGGAAGTTGAGAAGGTGAGAGGTGAGAGCAGGGGTCTCGGCCGGATGAGATCATGAATTCATGATCGATCGGGCGATTCATCATTTTAATCTATTTAGAGTGGAGCCTTCAGCCACTCAAGTCATTCCCCGCGACAACTGATATCATCGGGTCAAATTCAAGGCAGAAAGAGGTCTGACGAGGTCACAGTCTTTTTGCGACATTTGAAACAATGTATCAAGAATAAAGGTCAGTAAGTCTCTTTCCAAAGGGCATCTGGAGTCCATGTTTTATAGTCACCATGGCGGATCCGTGCCCTTTCTGACGCGTGGAAAGTGGATAGAGGGTAAAATCCCCGCTCAAATCAAAGTTTTAGGCCTAATTTTTAGTCATGTTCTCAACGGCGCGGAAAGCAAGTTTTGGGTACTTCATGTACAATAATAGACAGTATTCCAAGATTGTCAGTCTCTTGTCTCTTGGCCATGTGGGCTCTAGCAATGTGGATTTTACTCCCAAATCCACTTGGAGACCAACTTGGAGTCTAGACCTGTAAAAAGTGGGCCACGACTTGGAATTTGACCCATGCAGTTGAAGACTAACTGGCGAATTTATCCCTGTATAACCAGGTAACCAGAATCAGATTCACTTGTGCTCGCCTTCAAATGTTTCTGGCTTACATCATCACTGTCACGTGTTTTGTCGCTATATTAGGTATCAACAACATGCAAACATCTGTAAATAGTACTAGTAGTAAGTGGGTGCAACCAGTTGACCTGGGAAAGAACTTCTAGAATACTACTAGTATTTAACATGGCGTTCATATTTATAGAGGCTGTGCGCAATTTAAAGTTGAGCAAATTTTCAACCTAGGAAGTGTTCTAGAATTCCACTGGTATTTCAATTTCAGCCTGGCATTCGGATTTATAGAGGCTGTGCGCGATTTAGAGTTGAGCAAATTTTCAACCTGGGAAGTGCCAAAAGAAGGTATGTATACTTCTAGACAGAATCTAGAAAACTTCTAGAATAATACTACCAGCTTTCACCCAAACAAAATCAATCCTTCCAAGGTTCGAATCTATGAGAATAGTAGATATATGTAATCCCTCGGCCAGTGGGCCACTTGCCGGGGCATGGTACCTGTGCAAGTTGCCTGTGCGCAAACTTCAAATGTTTGGAATGATGATGGATCAATCTCATTTGAAGATTTAGTTCATGAATGTTACTGACTAGATACCACATCGCAAAAGGCCGTTGGAGCTCACATGTGCAGGGTCAACTAGAGCCCAATTCGGAAAAATCACAGCCTCAAGTGGAAAGAGGCATAGTGCATGCATGGCTGGCACCGAGATTTTAGATGTCGAGTTGTAGACACCAATTCGAAGTACATATTATAGACCTCACCGTGCACATGTGGCCAGTGCACTCATCTTTGGGTGCTGGAGATGACATGCATATTCCGAGATAAGTAGTATATCGGGCAATTCTCTATTTAGGTAGAATAATTAGAAACTACTACTAGTAGGTATATCAAGGGTTACATTTTGACTCGACTAGCGTGGATCATCTCAATAACAAATCCCACCATACTTGGTACTAAGGTACTAACGTCCCGGTGCGTATACCGCATTGGGTTAGGCAAGGGGTTAGGGATCTGACGCTGTCAGCATGAATCACTGGGGATATTTCTTTTTCCCCATTGTTATTGCCGCCTCATGAAGCGATCGGTTGTAACTAAAAATGGCAAGAGCAGATGGCAATGCCTAGAATCTAGAAAGATGCCGAGGCGTGGCGCACGTCAATGCTTGCCAAGCCCGGGCCACGCGACCCGGGAAAGAGAAAGATCCAGTGAGCTTCGAGAATAAAATGCCATTGATTATTGAAAGACCAGAGCGGAGGGGAAAAGCCGGAAATTTTGTTACTTGAAAAAGTACTCTTGACTCCTGAATCCTGATGAATCGCTCATTTCATGCTTGACTGCAGGGCGAAAGTTGCAGATAAATCACCTGTATCTATTCATGCAGCCCTGGTCAGCATCGAATGTAGATTGGAGGAAGAATGTACAGTAGATCAACAAGATCAGCAAGATCAACAATGTGTCCACACAAAGAACGCTTGGACCATCTTGCGTTTGCCCCGATTGGGAAAACGCATGGCTCAGCACACAAACCTGTTGGCTGAGTAAGCCACTTAATGCGGATAGACTCGACCAATCAAATGAAGAGTGGATCCCCCCATTTCCAGACCTAATCGCAATTCGGCAGTCAAAGAATCATTGCTTTGTTGGCTTTCAGCCTTGGCTATTTGAGTCTCATTTTAAGTGGAGAGAGAGAGGTGGAATCAGAAGCGAGAGCTACAAGCTACGGAAAATATTACGATATGTTAATTGTTCAACAGTTACTCCGTTGTCCCCAAATGGAGTATGTTGATCCCCCCCCGAGTCATTTCGCCTTATACTCTATCGGATTGCACTTGCAGATCGAATAGCCAATAATTCCCAGGTGGAGTTCGGCCTGATTATGTCATTCTTGATGAAGCTGCATTTTCCAAATTAGGATTCTGTCTCTGGTTACATTTTGAGGTTTTTTTTTTTAGGGGGTTTTGCTTTGTTTTTCTGCAAGGCGAGCTGTTCCCTCCGCATTTTGCATTTTGGAAGGATAGAAGTCATCTTAAAGGGACAAAGAACAGGGATCAATCTTTTTCACCTGATCAATCTTCATTATCGGCCCCACTCCCATCGTGGCCGTATAATCCTGGTCTATTTCATTTCTGCTTTTTTTTTTTTTTTTTTTGCGTGTCATCACTTATATAGACAGCGGTGCGGTCCATCAAAACCTTCCAATCCGAGCGAGCACTTGAGAAAGAAGAGAGAAAAAAAAAAAACGAAGAAACGATCGAGCCCCCACAATCCGGATTCCAGGAAATGCCGTCAAGTAAACGACTTCGACAGCGGATTGTGCAAAGCAAATGCCAAGTAGGTGATTGTGCTTTTTCCCACACCAATCCGTGTGATCCGTGGTGCCCATAGCTCCTGCATAATGACCCCTCGCAGACATTTGAGAACCGCCTTATTCTAACGATTACCCGCATGTAGTTCTCCGAGACAAATTGTTCTCACTATAAAGATCGAATGGTGGCCAGCCACGCCTGTCGACCTCGCATGGCACGACTGGACACAAAAAATCGGGACTTAGCAGCATCAGCCGGCTCGTCGCCCACCTCGCCGACTATGACCACCACGATGTCTCATCCGGCTCAGACGACATCAACAAAGGTCTCTCAAAACACTCTGCCGTCAGATATGGAGGAGGCATCAGCAGGTTTGCAGGATTTCGAGCTAATGATGCACTGGTGTACAACAACCTACCGTTCAATGGCTCGAGATCGTGCCACAGAAACCCTCTGGCAGACGACTATCCCACGCTTGTCGCTACAGGTGCCTTCACTTCGACATGGAATATTAGCATTATCCGCACTGCAAGTTTCCGGGGAATGCACGGCCGCAGAACGCCGATGGCGATATCTTCTTGCCGCACGTGAGCATCAGAGTCAGGCTTTGATGAGTATCCAGCTCGACACAACACGACAGCTTACGGACGCAGAATGTGATGCCCATTACGCCCTATGCAGTATCATGACCGTTTTCTCCTTTGCATACTGTCTGACCGACGATGGCCTTGAAGAAGATGACGAGCAGCCTGATATACTGGACGAGTTCCTGGAGGTATTCCAACTCACTCGGTGGCTTCGAAGTGCTATGATATTGTGTGTGGATCGCGTGAGTGATGGGCAGCTTCATTCGTTGGTTCAGTCTCAGTCAAGCCGGCCGCGAATGCCGAATATATCTCAGTTGGTAATCCAAGCTTTGCAACGACATAATGAGACCGAAGCTTTGCGAGACCCAACCCATGAGAAAGAAGTTTATGCACAAACGATTGACCACCTTGGTCTCTCCCTCGACCAACTGACGAGCGGGAGTGAGCCCAAAGACTTTGCTTTTTGCTGGACTTTTTATATACCCGTTCACTTTTCGGAGCTGGTACGCGAGCGGAGGGAATTCGCGCTAGTGATCCTTGCCCACTTCACCGTCATACTGCATCATCTGCGGGGGACATGGTGGATGGGAGACTGGGGTACCAGGATTCTGAAGGAGGTCGTGAATGAACTTGGATCCGAATGGCATGATCTACTAAGCTGGCCAGTAGATGCCATGGGGTGGTTCTTGCCACATGAGACGTAATTGGGGCTGACACTGCCGTCGAGCTACCGATGGAATTCCATGTTGCGACCGTGTGTTCCAGCATCCATTCTTTCTTGTCCGCCGGTGAAAACATTTATAAGTTCGAGTCGACTGATGGCGAGGATCAGTCACATTTTTGCATACGTACCTGTAACCTGATCAGTCAGATTGGGTACTATCAGGTATAACGAATCATGATCGCAATTTTTGATTAGGATAGAAACCTAATTTTCATAAGAGGATCTAGTATCCTTTGAACCATATGCCCGATACCCAGTAGGAATATGCACAAAAAGTCCCTGTTCAAAAAAACAAAACAAAACAAAACCAAATAATCCAAATTCCAGAACGCCGCGAAAATCCTTGGGGGACATGGTGATGACCCGCAGATAGGAGTTGGGTAAAGATAAGGGAGGGAAAAAGAAAGCAAAAATATTAATACCAAAAGATAAGAGATTCGCCCTAGCACAACCCCGCATTAAGTACTGCCCGCAGCACTTCTGACTGGTTTTTCTCTTCTTCCCTTCTCTCCCAGAGGCGAAAAGTGTCGAATGTCGCGTGTTGTGTGCAGTTTGTGTCCGGGTTGTGCTGAGAGCAGTATGGGCCCCTGAAGTACCGATCGGAAACGCCACTCGACCCCGGAGAATCTATCGCATCTATCGCAAGAGAAAGAACGAGCTAGGTCGATGATTCCTGCTGCCGCAGTTCCTGATTCCGCAACTCCTGTCGCTCGTGCTCGATCTCCTTGATGCGATCCTTGTCATTTGTGCGCACACGCATAAGCTCAGCCTCCTGCAAACGAGCTCGCTCCTCTTCTTCGGCGGTCGGGATATAGGCGTTCGCGACACCTCCTAGAGGGGGGGGGGGTAAATATATCAGATCAGCTCCCTGTTTCCCACTGTGGCTTGGCTTGGTGCTGAATTGTGGATCTGCATACCTCGACCAGTGTGGTGGGGAATCTTCTGGGCGCGCAAAGGCGGGGATTCCACGTCCTGGCTTTCACGAGCGATCTCTGGCCGTTCGGGATCGTTCTGTACCATGTTGCCTGAACCTCCGCGACCGGTAGTATAGACCTCTTGCTTGATTGTTGGAGTGACGAGATCTCGCGGGGTGGTGGCGGACTGCTGGCGGGAGATGTTGCCTAGCAAAAGTGGGAGAAAAAAGGTCAGGGCGCATTCCGGTGGATTCCAGGTGTTCAGCAGTACTTACCGGCGCCACCGCGACCATATGAGATATTTCGGCCAGACATGGCGATGTGATTATGGGGATAGCGATCGAGGGGAAGGAGCTTCGAAGGGAAAGTGGGGGAGACGGCAGAACAGACTCTGGCTCCGCCTCGTGACCTTTTGGTTTGGATTTGCGTTGGATATTTGAATAATTATTTGCAAGTTCAGGACGAAGGATCCCTATATCGCAAGGTGGTCCGGTTCAGTCAAGATAAGTACAATGTGAGTATGTTGTCTACCGCGGATGAGTGCGCATAGGGTCCACTGAAATCTTTTCCGCGCCAAGAGCCCCCGATGAGGTCATGGATCCAAGCGGATCGGGATCGATTGCCTTTGGGTTATATTTCGCTATCTACTTATCTTTATCTGAACAGCTGAAGAAGGCGAAAGACGAGAAAAAATTGGATACCTATGATGACATAAACAGATCAGTGATAAGGAGTGATGGTCAACCAACTGGCAGCAGGCTAACTAGGACGTCCAATCGGGTTTTCCTTCAGCAGTTGCCTTGTCATCGTTGGACTTCCTTGTCGCTACCATACACCAAAGCGGAAGATTTCCGTGAAGGAAATTCAGAGAGTCCGTGTCTGGTTGTCTGGAGCTTGAATATTTGCCTCTGGGTGCTCGTTTTCTGCTGGCTAGTTACTTTTAGGTCTATATAGCCTTGCGAACTCGCATCATGACCCATGAGACTGGATCGATAATGTGTTTAAAGCACCAAATCAGTTGAAATTACAATGCTCCAAAGTGGCTGTGACTATCAAGTATGATTCGGCTCTATTTGTTGGGCTTCCTCTGGTGATTTCATGATCACTTTTGCCAACCGAGCTTCATATGTTTAACAAGACTGGTAAGTGACATGCGTCTCCTGCACATGCGTTAATTAATTGGAATTACACCTGGTAAGCTAGTTAGGGACTTACTTGATGAATAAGTCAAAAGCAAATAAGAAGCTCATTTGGATTGAATGCGATGAGTATAGATTTTGATACGCCCAATTCCCTGGATGGTCAATTCTCTAGATCCACATTGGGATTTAAATCTCTTCCTTATGAATTTCCTAAATAAATGAAATTTAACTTCCATCTATACTACTAGTAGCCTGAGTATAATAAACATTAGCCATGCTAGGAATATCATAGCTCCTGGCCCGAGGTTCTTATTCAAAAGCTATGAATATCAAAAGTTTTTGATAGACTAATCAATCTATACCCCGCACAAACCGCTTCCCCACAAGACGGACCGAGGCTTCAATACTTAACTATTCAAACTGACAAACATCCAAGTTAGCTGTTTGACCCTGTTCTACTCAATAATTTTAGAACTCACTTCCTATCTTTACACCTGTTAGCCCAATTTATCGTCGCTACCATGATCTTCGATCCCAAGCCCTTAGACCTACCAGCCTCATACGAGACCCTCCCAACATCGGGCCATGTCATCGTCAAGCACCATCCCCCCGGTGCCCCAACAGTAACTCCCGTGGTTGTGGTCACGCTCAATCGCCCCAAGAACCAAAATGCATTCACTGGGCAAATGGTCTTCGATTTCGAAAAGCTTTTCGGCCTATTTGACGTCGATGAACGTGTCAAAGTAATCGTGCTGACTGGCGCGGGCAAGACCTTCTGTGCTGGTGCAGATTTGGACATTGGATTCCAGAGCAATGGGACCAAGGAGAGACAAGCAGATCATCGTGATGGGTATGTAAATTTCCCACCTTTGCAGTGAACAAATCCAGACGTTGTTGTTTTTAACAAATACCAGTGGCGGACGCGTTTCACTCGCCATTCATCATTGCCGCAAGCCCACCATCGCAGCGATGCAAGGCTCCGCCGTCGGAGTGGGCATGACCATGACTCTTCCTACCATCATACGGTTAGTTTTCAACAGTCCCGAGAGTCAAGAAAACCAAGTCAATCACGATTCACAACTTGAACTAATTGTATCCAGTATTGCATACGAGAAAGGAAAATACGGATTTGTATTCGGACGTCGCGGTATCACAATGGAAGCATGCTCATCCTTTTTCTTGCCGCGTATAGTCGGCCACTCCAACGCAAGCTACCTTGTCAGCACCGGAGGCGTGTTCCCACCTACGGCAAAACACTTTGGGGATTTGTTCAATGAGATCATGCCAGAGGCGTCCCAGGTACTGCCTCGAGCTCTCGAGCTAGCTACTGAAATTGCCGAGAATGTCAGCCCGACTGCGTCGTATCTTAACCGAGCACTGATGTGGCGAAATAATGATTCGCCGGAGGCTGCCCACTTGGTGGAATCGAAGACGATTCACCATATGTTTGCATCTGCGTACGTGAATTCCTTCTGCGACTGTAAAAAAAAAGCCCCCCAAATCTGACTATCTTTCAGGGACCAAAAGGAAGGCGTTACAGCATTCTTTGAGAAGCGTAAACCCAACTTCCGAGCCAATCTGGATGATGATGTGCCTGCGCATGTGCCTTGGTGGTCCCAGGTCGATACCGGGCGGATTGCCAAGGCTAACACGACCTCGAAGCTGTAAAAAAGCTCGATTCTACCTAGCTGTGCCATATGTAAAGAAGCGAGGTTGTTCCCGTGGCAGGTGGTATATGGTATGTAGATAAGCTTAAATTGAAGATGGTGCTTGCAGGTGCTATCAAAGGTCATTTTCAAATACAAATATGATGCCCCAGGTCGCCCAGACCGCTAATGAGATCGAAAAGAAAAAGCATATAACACCAATCCATATCCAAAGAAAAGAAAGCGACCGGTTTTGGTCCAGAATCTGCGTGTGCAGTGTCAAGCGTATTCACAAACATGCAAAGGTAAACGTCTCAAGAAAAGGAAAATTAAGCGATGAAGTTTCGGCGCTTGCGGTTGTACGCCCGCTGGTCTTTCAGCCACTGGCGGTATCCCTGCACGCTACCGATCTTCTCGCCGTAGTAGTCGGGGACGGGGTTGGCGATAGAGTTGGTAGACGGGTCGACGCGGAATCGTCGAATGCGATCGAAGAACTCCTTCTCTTTCTAAAATCACACACGACCTCGTTAGCAAATCTTTTCTTACAATTGATTAGTCGTTCGTTCAACTCACTGTGGCGACAGAGGGAGTAAACCGGCGGTAAACAAGACCCCAGAGTCCGTTGCCAACAATCGGGCCCAGGAGCCATCCAACAGCACCGCAGGCAGCGGTCGCCAATCCCAGAACCACAAAGGGATCCAGACCCATCACCTGAGCACCAAGACCCTCCAGATCCTGCGATGACAGAATCTGCACACCGGCTGTGGTGGAGACAAGGGAGGTCGCAATGGAGGAGGCGAGGGAGTATCGGCGGCGGGAAGCGCGGAGCTTGAAGAAAGAGTTCCAGTCAAGCTTGACATCGTCCTTGCCAGCGGAAGAGGTCGAGTTCATCCGCAGACCCGGGCGACTCAACGACACGGGTGTAGGGCGAACATCTTGTTGGATGGGGAGCTTGCACACGGCACTCGGGGTGGGACGGACAACGGTGGAGTGTAGGCGTGCAAGTTGCTGGGATGCAATTCGGGGGGAAGGGCCGGCGAGGGAGCTGAGAGTGGCGGTGTTCAGGCGACCACCGATCACTGTGCGAGCTGACATGATTAATGTGTTTTAGAATGTCAGAAGCTAGAGGATTGGATTCGGAGACAAGAGATTGCGTTGCTTCCAGTGAAAAGCGAAGGTGGAGTTGCGCTTATGTAACCCGATCCACAGACCAGAGCGACTACGAGGGATGGTGAGAGTCTTGTTTGAACATTGACAACAATTTTCAAATGTTGTCTATTATTTGCATGAGCGGAGTATTTTACTCATTCAATTGAGATTTGACTGGTATTATTTCCACTGAGAATGAAGGATGAAGATGACGGAAGAAATGTTCCCCCAATCTTCTAGCCCTTCCAAATGTATGAGAATTCTTAGGCATGTCCAGACTCCACAGCTACTATTTTTCACCCTCTCTCCCAAACCCACAAAAAGTAAAAATCAGTGCAATGCAATGCTGTCATCTATGTGAATTGTGAAACCATACATATGGCCTTCTAGGTGTATGTGCTTTTGATCTTCGAACGCAATCAAGTCCAAGTTGGCCTGAGATCAGGTCTTGAGTGGTGAGATGAGCCCGGGTCTAGAGCTATCCAATAACCACCATGCACATCCAGCCCTAGCTGAGCGGACAAAGAACCTCACAGACCCTCTTTCCGTTTAATATCGCCTGGGCGAGATTGAGCCGGGATACCAGTTCCAAATCCATTGACTCGACCATACAGCCATTGAATGGTTACAGTACTAAACGCCATCACAGCAGCACTGAGCGAGAAAAGCCCAACACGGCCCACGGTCGACAGTTGTTCGAAAATAGGGTATGGGTACCATCCATTGTACAAGAAGCATTGCTCAACCCAAAACCAATAGGCAAAAGCAATGGTTGCCGAGAGCCCTAGCGAGGGCAAAGCAGTGATGGTCCACGGAGGAGACAGGAAAAGTAAATCCACCACCATCACCAATGCTGGGATTGCATGGAAGCCAATATCTGCTCAGCTTGCGTTAGCATGATCGGATCAATGCGAGGCAAAATTTGCCATTTCCACTAACCCGCATGGAGTGGGATCACGGCCCAATCAGGTACCACTAATCGCTCATCGATCTGGGTCTCGATTAGCATTGCATGTAAGTGAATATATGGATATTTACTGACCACTCGAAGCCCCCAGTACAGAATGCTGATCAGAACCTCCATTGGGGCACTGCATATTGACAGTAGGTTTTTGACCAGAAATAGGCGCCGAGACAAGGTAATATCTGCTAACAAGGCAACAGCAAAGGTCAAAGTAGATAACGCCAGACCAATGACAGTCAAATACTGGAAATGCCAGCCATATGCCTCATTTCTAATATAATTAGCATTTCATTTTTCACCCCATACTTGAATTTCATGGAGCAACAAGGTAGAACCTACGCTCTATTGGGATTGTCATGCATACTATTGGATCCTCGTTAGTTGACCCGCAAGCATGTTTGGGGATAGCTCTACAAGAAGCGATGATTCATGACTGACAATTTGAAAGACGACAGGAAGCTCGCAAGACCCGCCACCTATGTGAATCAGTTATGCGGCTCTTTCGTTGCATTTGGACCAGGAGAGTCATACGTGAACTAGAGCCGAAAGGCCCCTGGAAGGGCTCGAGAGCCGCTGCAACGGGTGCTGGTGAAACAAACGGGCAGACATCATATGAATAAAGTTCAGAGAATCAGGTGTGGCCACTCCAGGGGTCTGGAGGTTCGGGGGGTCAAGGGAAACCAAGGAACCCAAATGACTTGCAGTAATGAGCATCAATTGCTATCGGAGCCCGCGGACTCCAAATGTCTATGACGTAAGTACACGTGACACGGCAACCCGCGGTATCCCGTATCGGACCGAGGATTAATCCGACATCCGGCTGAGTCAGTCTTATCTTTGGCCTTCCCCACACTTTCTCGTGTCTTTCTGCATGGCCATTCCAGAACGTGCTTGTTTTTCTTCTGTTGCATGAATAACTCTGAGCCTGCTGGTTTGTATATGGTGAAAAAAAAGAGCTCTTTACTTTAAAGTGGGCCCTTACCCCGGAAATCTTCAGTGTGTCCCACATTCTGTGATCGTCACGATCATCATAACCCTATCACGTTTGGAGCTGCATTTGCAGACCACCCAAAACCCCATTGCTGCAGTCGCAGCGGGATTCTGAACCCTTTCCTGGGCACATCTCCCTCCCATACCTCGATGTCCCTGTCTACTAGGTGTGGGTGCTTGGTCGACTATCGTTTCGTCGCCACTTGGGGTCAACACAGTTCTGGACGTAAGAAGCGATCCAATTCCATACTGTGTGCCCTGTGAAAAAGCGTCGACAGTTTCCTTCAAAGCATTTTTGCTTTTGAATGGAATCTCCTTGGAGACGACCTTGAAATTCTTTTTTTTTTCTTTCTCCTTCGATCTCACCGTTACTCGGCTCTGGGGCTGGTTATCGACATCTCTCATCTGAGGTGTGCAATGCCTCGTCCCCGAAGGCCTGGTGCGCCAGAGCCGAAGAGAAGAAGCCGAAAAGGGTGTTGGTATGTATATGTTTGTCTGGATCTGGTCTTTTGCCGTTTGGAATATTGATTCGTTTTTGAGTCCGCAGGCCATGCAAGGCACGCAAAGTCAAGTGGTAAGCAAGCAACATGATACGCAACGTGATAATCCCACTAACTGTGCACTTTCCAGTGGAGAGGAAAAGCCCTTATGTCTCAACTGTCAACGACAAGGAGAGGCATGTGATTATAGCGTCCGACTCAACTGGGGTGGCCGGAGCAAAAAAGCCTCCGTCGACTCCCCTAGTTCTCAGTCAAGCGGGTACGCTGGAACAATCATCTCATTTCCAGATATAGCCCCAACAAGCGCCGTGAACTCCAATTCGATGCCCAGGTCAGCGAACGGGAATTCCGTGGATGGCTTTGTCAACTTTCATTCCAGTGATCTAGGTTCACCTGGGGCCATATCGCCGCCATCAATTGGAATATTTGAGTCGCCCAAGCTGCCTGCAGGGCCGGATTGTGGTCATTCGCCTGGTCAGACCGATGTTCAATTTGCGTCAACCTGGCCCGAACAATCTCCTTTAACTCCTCCAGTTTCGTCCGGTGCTTTGGCACATTATCCTTTTGGTCCGGGCTTCCATGAAACTTTCTCAGCAGCTGCCGATCAAGGTGTAGGACTCCGTTCGCTCTCTGCATTTGCATTTCCGTCAAATTCCGTATCACAGCCCGTATCATTTCTTCGAAGTTCAGTGGATGCCGCTGGAGATGCATCCGATCAGAACAAAAGCCCACATGGCTCTATTTCCCAAGATGAGCATAGTATTGGATACTCAATTGGCGAGATGGTACATCATCATCAGCACTCTCCTAGAATGTCGAATGGAATGAGTATATCAGCCTTGATGCTCAACTCGCATGAGCCAATGGCTCGAAGCAATGCCCCTTCATCTCCAGGCGATAGAATGACCCCGTTTAACCACCAAGTGGATACGGGGGCGAATGATTGCAATGATAATGATCAAGCCGCACGTGAATCTTTCGCAGCGCAAAGCAGATGGCAGGCTTATCTCACCAGTGTAACCGACAACTATGGATTGGATTCCGGAAGACCGGATCGGGATGTAGCTTTGAACAACGATCATGCTGCAATTGATGTCCATCCTTCCTTGGAAGTTATCAGCACACGGAGCTTATCTGAGGAGGCTTCGCCCAGAAGCTACCCGACACCATCAGGGCTCCAAACCGCCGACTTCACAGGGTACTATGCCGCTCCAGTGCCGATCAACATTCCACGATATCTTTCTCCGCTGCCGTCATCATTGTTGGGAAATCCGATCAATTTGATGTATTTTCATCATTTCCTAAATCATACATCTCGGATGTTGGTTCCACACGATTGTGACAATAACCCGTTCACATCAGTCCTACCGTCAAGTAAGTTTTCCATATTCCACAGGTCGAGGATCTTGGGTTCATTTTATACTCACAAATGGTATTAGTGGCGATTGGTGATCCCAATTTGCTCAATTTGTTACTAGCGTATTCAGCCAGTCACCGTGCGCGGTATTTAGGGCACCCTGAGCCAGCCAATCGAATTGCGCACTGGGTCAGCGACGTCTTCCCTACCCTGCGTGTGGCATTGGAAGCATCGCATGAGGAGATTACCGATAGCCACTTAGCGACTGCAATCCTGCTCTTATCCTTGAAGATCGTGTCCCCGGGGACTTTTGAAGTTCCCATAACCTGGCAAAGCCATCTTAAACTCGCCCGTGAATTGTTCATTGCTCGGAGTGAGCGCCTTGCTCAGCCTGGCAATCGAATTGGCGCGTTCTTTGCACGTTGGCTGGGGTATATCGACACCGTTGGTGCATTGTCTTGTCGTCAAGCCGGTCAGCCTTTGATGCTTTATCAATCTGTTCTTGGTGCCTGCTCGAATCCAGAAAACTATGATGAGTTTAGCGTGGACTGCTTCACGGGATTCACTCCCCGTACCGGCCTATTCCTCATTCGCCTTGCAAAACTGGTGCAAGAATGCGATAATCAACGATTCGACGAGCTAGGCAACTTCCACCGAGAATGGCATCCGTCTGCAGACATGGTTCTTCAAGCCCAAGCTGTCTTGGGCGATCTAGACCTCCTAACCGATCGTGCCCATGCTGACCCAGAACACCACCAGGGCCTCGAAGCACAAGATATGATGGCAGCAGAAGAGGCCTTCCGATGTGCTGGCCTCATTCATCTCCACCGCCGTGTGCTAGGCTCATCAACCGATTCGTTCCCGGTAAAGGAAGCTCTCCGACAGCTAGTTGACGCACTCGGCCGGATGAGACTCGGTGCCTCAACCGAGGTTTGTTCATTGCTTCCATTGTTCACGGCTGGTTGCGAATCTCGAGACCCTTCTCAACAGGCCAGAATTCTAAATCGCTTCTTGGTGTTAGAGAAATCTGGATTGAAACAGGTAATATCTCGCATACTGGCTACAGTTACTTATTTGACTAAACCTTTCTCTAGATTCAAGACGCCCGTCAATTAATGCAACGGTGCTGGGAAGAAAATCTTCCCTGGGTTGCGTTGGCTGGTGGGGAGTTTTTCGGATAGATATGAAATCAGATGCGAACGACCCTTGAGCAAGACAACAAAGTCTTTTTTTGACTTATGCCCTTGTTGTACATTTTGATCAATACTTTCTACCTGCTCGAGAGGTCCCGCACCTGCTGTGCCAGACCCTCATTTGGGCACAAACATACATACTACTATACATGATCATGATTTCAAGCCCTTTCTGTCTATCTCCATCTCGTCATTATTTGAATATTTCTCACTTCCACTCATCTTGCAGCTATCTGCAAGTGTCCTGATGGACATTCTTCCCTTCAATTTCTGGATAATATTATGTTTTACCAAGAAACCAACACTGCAATGGTTCGGGTCACTGAGATGGCTATTCCGACCCGTGGACTTACACCCCCACGATTTCAGGAACAGCAATTACATTGAACGCAAAAAGTGACTCTGTCCTGCTCAAGTGCTGGAAATCTTTTCATGCCAATTTCTGGTCCTGAAGGAACCTTGGTAATGGTCTTGCTTTGCCTCGGGTTCCACGTACGACCAAGTGGAGCTGATCTGGAGAAAAGAACGAAATCCCCGCAAAAGCGTGGGGCTGTGATAATCTCCCCGCGATGGATCTCCACGGGATACCTTTCAAAGCCTGCAATATAATATAGCCAATACTAGCGATTCAATGTCAATTTCAGCTTGATTGATGACATCTCATCATTGCGCTTCTGGATATTACTCAGCTTATTTTTTAAACTCTGCAGGGAATTGTAACCCCGAGGCACTAATTAGGTATCTTTCTATGCAGATCGTGCGGTCCATGCCGATCACTGGGGGAATTATTGGCATTGCCCCTGCAACCAGATGCGGAGTCGATGCCAGCGATTGGATGAGAGGATGACAAGACCCTTGCACAGGACGCACATGCGCTTACGGATTTTATTATTGTGCAGATACGCACTCTTCCCTCGTTTAGGTACGCTTAGGCTCAGCTAGTTCATGACTACTATTGTACTTCCCCGCTCCGCTCCTCCATTTACCCTTCTGTCTTCTTTCCTATTTTCTTTCCTTGTTTTTCTCAATTCCTTATGCAGCCTTGTGCCGCACACAGCAGTACTGCATTGTCACCAGGGATAAACCCTTCTGCTGTGTAACATTATGACTACCGAGACCATTGACGTTGATAAGGCAGCCCGCCTGGACCCGGAGAAGCCCTCGAATTTACTTGTTACAAACAAGTTGGTGGGCTTGGAGGATCCAGATGAGGGCCTTAGTGATGATGAAAAGGCTGCGATTGTATACAATACCCCTGGATGCACTTTCCTTGGCCACGCGCTACGCCAGGCTCATGCAGAGCCGATCTTATCTTAAACTAACTACTATACGTTTATAGGATCGGAGGCTTCTCTGGAAGCTTGATCTTCACTTGATTCCATGGTTAAGTCTGCTGTATCTAGCTTCTTTCCTCGATCGGTATGTAACATCTGGACTTTATTTGACACCAGGTAAGATCGACGGTATGCTGATGTACAAAAAATAGCACGAACATCGGCAATGCCAAGATCGATGGCCTGAGCAAAGATTTGGGCATGACACCGAACCAGTACAATGCAACTCTGACCATTTTCTTCGTGTCATACTCTGTCTTTGAACCCCTCACCAATGTCCTCTTGAAACGCCTCCGACCGAGCATATTCATTCCTTCCATCATGATTGCCTGGGTAAGCAATATATACCTGCTACTCTCAAAACCAATGCTTTGTACCTATTCTAACAAATATACAAATTCAGGGTATATGCATGACTCTAATGGGTACCGTGCACAACTATGCCGGACTAATGGCAGTGCGATGGTTCCTCGGTCTCAGCGAAGCTGGATTATTCCCGGGTATAGGTTACTTTCTTTCATGCTGGTATCGTCGCGAAGAGTTTGGTGTGCGGATGGCAATCTTCTTTTCGGCCGCTGCTCTCGCCGGATCCTTCGGTGGACTCTTGGCAGCCGCAATCGCCCTAATGGATGGAGTGGGAGGCAAGGCCGGTTGGGCGTGGATCTTTATCCTAGAAGGACTGGCGACTGTCGTTATCGGCATGGCCTCCTTCTGGTTTGTGCATGATTTCCCAGACCAGGCCCGATTCTTGTCTGAAGCGGATCGAGCCCGGACGCTCCGTCGACTCGCCCTGGATGCGCAGTCGAGCGCCGAACATGAGGAGTTTAAGATGACCTACTTTTGGGCCAGTGTTACGGATTGGAAGACCTGGACGGGTGCGATGGTGTACATGGGAGCAGATGGAGCGCTGTATGCCTTTTCACTTTTTGTACCCACGATCATCAGCGAATTGGTATGTGACATTCACTTGCATTGAAATGTGAAACCATTGCTAACCTACCTTTCAGGGTAATTTATTCATATTCTGGTCATAGGTTCTACTGCACATGCTAAACTGACTTCGTCTACAGGCTACAGTTCGATCCGTGCACAATTACTGAGTGTGCCTCCCTATGCTGCTGCCGCCATTCTGACCATTACAGTCGGTTTTATTGCCGACCGTACGCGTCAGCGAGGACTGTGCAACATAGCCACCTCAATCTTAGGCATGACGGGATTTTCTATGCTATTAGGATGCAAGTCTGCTGGCGCACGCTACGCAGGCACTTTCCTTGGGGCGATGGGCATCTACCCTGCCATCGCCAACACGATCTCGTGGTCGAGTAACAATATTGAAGGTAAAACGTATTCCTAGCTCTGCAACGCTCAATGCACTAACCCAATTTTGCATCATCTAGGTGTGTACAAGCGTGGCGTATCCCTGGGCTTCATCATCGGTTGGGGTAATTTGAACGGCATTGTCTCCTCCAACATCTATCGTCAGAAAGATTCGCCCCGATACTATCCCGGACATGGTACAGTGCTCGGCTACCTAGTTGTGTTTCTGTTTGGGGGCTCCATCATACAATACTTCTTGCTCCGCCGGGAGAACGCTAAGCGTCGGCGGGGTGAGCGAGACCACTGGATCGAGGGCCTTGATCAGAATCAGATCGAGCTGCTGGGAGATAAGCGGCCTGATTTCATCTATACTTTGTGAGATAAGCAAGCAAGTTTAGGACAAGCATGTTCATATCGCCATGTGTTCCTCTGTTTTGAAAACTTGAATACCATTCAATGTTGGTAGATAAATCATAGGTCTCTATGTGAGACATAGTAGATGTCAAGGTTGTCAATAGTAAATACTGTTTGCAAATTGTACGGGGATCATGTGACGTGTTTTTGAATGTTTTGGTCAAGTCCAGTGACTCCAGTTTCGACTTACTCCCCCAGGAGTCCCCCTTACTTCTTTTTTGCTCTTGGTTTCGGATATTCCCAAAGAATGAGACTTGGAACATTCCATATACCTGAGGATCTGGAACTTCAAAAGACAACCGATCGTGCGTGTCTGGAACTTTTTTCTTGGTCTTTCATCCCCTGACTTAGATGTTCTCCTCAATCTCATTGGGCGCCCGGGCTCGACCACGTCCTGGTCGTGTGACCACTTCTGCCAGATTTTTTTCTTCAACAAAGACAGCTCCATCACATTGGGCTAGAAATGCCGTGGTTGGAGGTCTCATCACTGGTCCAGCACTGTATTGGGCTACTTCTAGTCGCGACGAAAAGCCCAGTGTGAGTCTCACTGGTGTGCCTGGTGTGCCGCGGCTAGACACTCCGCCCACGGAACATTTGACGTTCGGGCCGGGCCTTTCACGAGACCAGGTGACCCAGATCATCTCCCAAAATGCCTATTCGGTTCCCGTCAGTGAGATTTCTGGTGTCAGTAGATACGATGGCACTCAGTGGGCATCCAATAGCCCCTGCGAGGACCGTTTCTTCCATGGCCAATTTCCCTCACCGTGGAATGACGGTAAACAGTGGATGGCCTGGGCGGTCTTTGATGGACATGCCGGGTGGCAAACGGCAGAACTGCTGAAACACAAACTACTCCCCTACGTACGCCACAGTCTAGACCAAGTCCGATCGGATGAAAAAGTCCCTGCAGAGCGGGTCCAAGAGGCTCTGGTGCAAGGGTTCTTGAACCTTGACGCCGCTATTTTCAAGGCGGCCGAGGATGCATCTCGCAGCGACGAACCCCTGCAAGACCGAAGCCAAAAGATGGAGCCCGCATGGGCAGGCTCATGCGCCTTGCTTTCTATTTTGGATTCCACCACAAATACACTGCATGTTGCTTGCACCGGCGATTCTAGAGCACTGCTAGGCCAACAAAGACCCGACGGCACGTGGGAAGCTATTCCTTTGTCGGTGGATCAGAGTGGAAGTAATGAAGAGGAGGTTGCCAGACTGCAACAAGAACATCCCGGCGAAGAGAACATTGTCAAAGATGGACGAGTGCTGGGTATCATGGTTTCCCGGGCATTTGGAGATAGTCGGTGGAAGTGGCCCTTGGACTTGCAAACGGAGATGCATAAGCGGTTCTACGCGCCGGCCCCCTTGACGCCTCGATATGATGTTCGAACGCCACCATATCTGACTGCCGAGCCAGTGGTGACTAGTACCAAGATCGACCCCAGTAGACCGTCTTTCCTGATCATGGCCAGTGATGGATTATGGGACAATCTCTCCAGTGAGCAGGCAGTTGGACTCATGGGCAAATGGCTCGGATCCCCCTCGGGGAAGCGAAGCCCGTCTAGTCCGACGGCAAGCCGTGGGCCGCGGGACTTTGTCTTTGGGAAAGGGGTAGAGGAAAGATTTGTGGAGGAGCGGACGACCGTGCAAGATGATAATGCTGCGGTTCATTTGACTCGCAATTCTCTCGGTGGGAATCAACACGAGCTGATCGCAGGACGACTGGGTTTCGGTTCTCCCTTCTCCCGGTACGCTCGAGATGATATTACGGTGCAGGTTGTATTCTTCCATGATCTTCAGCGATAGATGATATCCTTACGAGAGCTTTTCTTGATCCCCCGCGCGGGGATTGCTTTATGACCTGACGTATGTGTATGCATCTGCTTACTCCCGAGGTCCGTACGTTGTATACCTAGCCGCGTTTAGACCCTCGATGTCGTGCTATGCAAATGTACCTCTATCTCATCCCCCTCTCAAGTCCTCTCTGTTTATTTTTTTGTGTCGTAGTTTTGGTTCCATGTCAGCCCATCTGCATGGACCCTCATTTCACTAAACCAGGGCATGCACGGAGCAGTCCACTCCGCGGTGGATGATCTAGATGTTTAGCTTGGGCACAAGAACCTGAATCATGGCGCCAACGGAGAAACCACGGGCGATCTATAGCACTAAACCATTCTCTGCATAGACACGGCTGAGGCGTCCAATGGGTCAAAACTCACAGCCAATGAACCCAGCGGTGACGCAAACTCTATCTGTGTAAGCAGCAAAAGCTCGTGGTTGAAGACCTACGGATGCGGGATTAATTATTTGGCTTTGCAAATCTCTAATGATCAACATTGCAAGCCCTTCCCGAGGGCAAGGACCGTTTTTTAAAAAAATAAAAAATAAAAAGATATTCATTGCCTTTGCATTTCTTTTCAGCATTGGGCACATTTGCACAAGAGAAACTGGGAAGTAAAGGAGGGGTGGTGGGGTCAAATCCAGTCTACGCGACCAAACGATATACGACAGGACGCGGTATGAACACGACTTTCGGGAAGTCCAGTCGGAAGCTCCATGTAATCTTGCAAATCTTGTAATCTCCACGTTTCCCGTACCTTGACAACCAAAGCTCCAGTGGTTTCATTGGAACCGTGATTTGATTAGCACAAGGGGCTGAGACTATAAACAGTCACCGCGAACCCTATAAGGAAAGGGATCCAGTTTTTCGTAGAAAGCCGGAAGAACATTAAAGCCTACCAAAAGCGACGAAACAATCTCAAACAAGTCAAGCCGCCAAAAACAAAAAGGAAAACCCGAAAACGTCCGGGCTTGGCATCGTTTCGGCATAATCGGCATTAGGTCATCGTGCGTTTGGTGCGTTTGGTGCGTTTGGGGAGAGAACGGGATGTGAGGCTTATTCAGCCAATCACGGCGCTGAGATAAGCGGATTCTACCCATTGGGGCTTGTGCCGTTCACCTGTTCAAATGTTCCTTCTTTTTTTTTTTTTTTTCTCGATCTCGGCCTTTCTGTGGCTTGGACCTTTTGAAACGAGATCTTCCCGGTTGACATGCAAATATATGCACCTGGTGCATTTCTACCCTTTTTTCTTTTTTTTTTCTTCTGGGATCACCCTTTTTCACGCCGTAGCGGGAACCCGCATGTTACATCTCCGGCGCCACGGGTGGTATAGCGGACTTCCAGATCCACCGATATCCACATAACTGCGTCCTTTTCGGTTAGCCCGCAATGGGTAAACCCGGAGGGGTTGTCGAATTAATGCATTGATGATTATTTTAGCGACCCTACGTCATGGCCTGGGTTAATGCAACAGTGGAATAAGTCAGTTAAGAAGGAAAAAAAAAGAGACAAGACTTCATGAAGCTATGGAAGTGTAAGGTATATGGAAGGTATAGCGGTATAGTTGCAGGGTTATAGGCTTGAGTGAACAAGCTTAATCTGACATCGAAACAAGTCAATTCACCCAAACATCTCAAACACCAACAGCTAAGTTAGCACCAAATTCAAAATCCCCATGACGTCAATCTCCCACGCATTTTCCCCCGCCATCAATCCATTGGAACCATTCAAGCCATTGACCTTTATGAGCCTTTTTATTTTTGACATGCGCGCTTTCTATTAATGATTGGTATTCAATGCCACGTCACTTGCCGTCTCCATATTTTTTTTTTGGTCTTTGTAGGCCTAACTAGGCTTCCTTGAGACAATCGGGCGTTTGGTCGGATGCTGACCGTATAGAAAATGTTAAAAATATGTAAAAATGTCTAAGAAAGATCAAAAAAAAAGATCTCAAAACTTCCAATCCGTAAAAGAAAATTATTATTAAATTAAAATTAAAGAGAAAAAAAAAAGAAACCAAAACTTGAAGAAATTATGGGGCTTCTATACCCACTCAACCAGTCAGGGCCCGTAGACACGGGAATGCAGCGATGCTTCGTAGGGGGAGAAACCGATCAGCGCGTCATCGCCGATAGGTAAATCGGGTCGCTCGTCATCAACCACAGAATTGTGCATCGGTTCTGTGCTCCGTGACCCAGTTTTGAGGGGTCCATTGAAACTTTTAATTTTTTGCATCTTCTACATATACCCTTTGAGAGACCCCATCCTTAACCTTCTTCTATCTCTCTTCGATATACCCCTCCAACCCACAACACATCTCTATTCACCATGCCTCGTTTTGAAGACGCTGACCTTGGTGTCGAGTCCGCCGCCCCCAGCGATGTGCAGGCCGCTCGCTCCCCACGGGACAACAACCAGGGCATCCCTATCCCCACCGAGAACGGCGAGACCATTGAGATTCCTGCCACTCGCAGCTCCATGAGCGGTACCTCCGCCATGATGCACCACTTGAGCTTGGGTCCCTCCATGCGGGACCGTCGTGGCTCTCGCAACTCCTTCGGTACCTCCCTTCCTATCCCCCGCTCCCCGCGGATGTCGCGGAGCTCACGTCTGTCTCGTGCCTCCCGGCCGAGCGTCGTGGGACGTGATATCATGGCCTCTCAGGTCCAGGATATGTCCCCGGAGAAGGTGGCTGCCGTCAAGAACATGGCTTTTGCCTTTGATATCGATGGTGTCCTGGTGCACGGAAACAACTACATCCAAGAGGGTCGTGATACTCTTAAGATGCTGAACGGTGATAACGAGCTTGGTAAGATTAAAACCCCTAGCCAAAAAGATATATGCACTTTTTTCTTTTTTAAAGAACAAATAGCAAATATACACCAAAAAAAAAAAAAAAAAACTCAATAAAAGCAGAAGCTAACAGAATATCATTCAATAGGCATCAAGTTCCCCTACATCCTCCTCACCAACGGTGGTGGTAAGACCGAGAAGGCTCGCACAGAGCAGCTCTCCGAGATCCTGGACCAAACCGTCCACCTCGACCAATTCATTCAGTCACACACTCCCATGCAGGCTCTTGCTGAGTACTACGACACCGTGCTGGTTTGCGGTGGCGAAGGCTACAAGATCCGTGGCGTGGCCGAGCAATACGGTTTCAAGAACGTGGTTCACCCCAAGGATATCGTCGCCTGGGACCCCACGATCTCTCCCCAGCGCTACTTCACCGAGGAGGACCTCAAGGACGCCCGCCCCCGCGACTTCTCCAAGGTCAAGTTCGATGCCATTCTCTGCTTCGCCGAGTCCTGGGACATGATGACCGAGTACCAGATCATCAACGATCTCCTCATGTCCGAGGACGGATACCTCCTCACCCGCACCAAGAACCCCAAGGAACACAAGCACATCCCCATCTACTTCTCGCAGGGTGATCTCCTCTGCCCCACCGAGCACAAGGGTCCTCCCCGTCTCCACCTCGGTGCCTTCCGTCTCGGTGTCGAGGCTATGTACAAGGCTACCTCCGGTAACGACCTCGAGCGTGTCCTGTACGGTAAGCCCGAGCGTGCCACCTACGTCTACGCCGATGAGGTCTTGGCCGATTGGATGGAGGATCTGCACGGCGAGAAGAAGCTCCCCAAGAACATCTACATGATCGGTGACAACCCGGCTTCCGATATTGTCGGTGGTAACATGTACGGCTGGAACACTTGTCTTGTCCGCACTGGTGTCTTCCAGGGTGGCGAGAATGACGAGGAGAACCCGGCCAACTTCGGTGTCTTCAAGAACGTCAAGGAGGCTGTCCAGACTGCTATTCGCAAGGAGCTTGGTGATGACTTCAAGTTCAAGTGGGAACCTAAGATCAACCCCGTCATGCACGGTAACTCCCAGTCTGCCATTGAATAATCGCATTCAATAAAGACGAAATAACCAAAAAAAAAACAAACAACACAAAAAAACAAAACAAAATTGGGTTCGCGTGCCATGGAAAGTGTATTTTCACCTGATGAACAAACGCTTTGGACTTTTTACCGATGAACGAGTTTATGGATTCTTTTTTTTATATATACCAAGCATAGAGTGCATAGAAGGGATTTTCTTATCTAGTTATGACAATTTAACTTTTTACCATCTTCATTTCATCTCCATTGACCCCAGCCTTCAAGTGTTGGTTCTACCAAAGTAGTCCTGAGGTCGGCGATGTCAACTTTAGGACTTTCTAGCTTCGAACTCCTCACATTTGAAGATTCCAAGGTTGAACTTTAATTGATAGCCAATAGATACCCCGTGTTTTTGGTAAAAAAAAAAAGCCTTAAGAGGTCCAGGCTTAAATCATTTCTATACATGCTTGACGTGGGCATACTAGTCATTGGCATGTATTTAGGATCAATTGACTCCAGGGCTAATTCCATTGCTATTGGAAGTTAGCCCAGGCGGGCACCGGGCACGAGACAGGGCATGTGCACAGCGCAGCCTCGTCGGCGATCGTTGCCATTTTAGTCCGCCTTTCAACTCATATAAACCAAATGAACCCCACGGCCCCGGGGGCCACGCAGGGCTGAGCCCATGAAAGTGACTCAACTCAAGCGCTCCGAGGTTGAAGTCTAAGTCCTCCCAGACCCTCCAAAATTCGAAGTCTTACAACCATTCAAGGTTAAAGAGCAACCCGATGCTCGTGCACCTGGCATTCAAGAGTCAAACAACATATGGATTCTTGACACTCAGGCACCACATGTACCAGGTACATTGTACGTCATTCCGCTAAACGATAACCTCCGCACATCCAGACCTTATAGCCAGGGCCGGGCACAATCAACTTGCAACTTTTGGAAGCATCTGAAATTCGACCTCGGACCATGTACAATCCTATCACCAACATGTACCAGTGGGTGAAAGATAAGATATTTCCAGACCCTCAAAGGGCACCGAAAAGCGAATATGAACAGACTGCCGACGAGAGGCCCTCCAAGAGCGAGATAAAAGCCCGCAAGCGATTCTCGAGGGAGCACGGTAGACGGGTACGTGCGCGAGAGAAGGAATTGGAGAAGGCGTGGCAAGGCCCACGGAAGTTTATTGTGCGAGGGGACTGTGGAGCGGTGCCTGGGGGTGCTGCATGTTGATCTTGAGCTTTTCAAGCATTCACCTGATCGCTGGGCCCAATATGGATTCTGTTTGGAATTCCGAAAGATGAAGTAGGGCATGGCAATACACAATATTATATTATAACTGAGTGAGGGGACCTGTATATGTACTGTATATTTCAAGACCCAGGGGTATCCAAGAGCAAACTGACTGTTAAGTCATTGCTTCCTCGAAATGCAATGCAAGTATTCACAATGTCAAAGAAGAAGAAGAAGAAGAAGAAATCACAACCAAAATCATCAAGAAGACCAAGTATTGGCGCCAGACAAGGCCGCCAAGGCAAAATGGCTGCCTAAGGTCGGTCGCGCACGGAAAGAATACGACTCACCAGCGGTGTAGCCGTCACTGGCAGTGACCCAATAACGGTCACAAAATGGAGCGGTGTTCAAACCATTGGAGATGTATGCCCAGATATCGTTGATGAAGATGTCCCGCGCCTCTCCGCTAACAGTGGCTGCTCCGAAGCCTTGCCAATTTGTCTGGCCCCAGCCAATAGATCCATCGAGAGGCACACCAGCAGTTTCACGCACGGTGGGATAGAAGTCAGAGGTTGCATTGTAAGCGTCCTCTGGGAAGACGTCCAGTCCAAACAACTTGTCTGGGTAATGGTTGAAGATGAGGAACCAAGGGTCGATGTCGTACTGAATCAAGAAGCGGGTGCCATCGGCGTCGGTACCCAAGCGGTCCGTCCAGATTTTGTCTGCCCAATCGCGGCCCGTAGTCTCATATGTTGTATCACTAGCCAGCTTGCCGTATGCTGTCAGAGCAACGGCAGCCTTGACGGCCAGGTTGGTCTGGTTGGCGAGAGCACCGAGGGCATCATTCAAGGATAGTTGCGCAGCCGGGTACAGACCATTGTTGTAGAGGTAGGTCGCGTACGTCTTGAGCTGAGAGGAGTAGGTGTCGTAGAAGTCGGTGTCTCCACTAGCCTTCTGGTATGCGTATGCGAGGAAGATCACATTGCCGCTCTCTTCGATCGGCATAGACTCGCCGGAGGCTAAATGACCCGTCGCGTTTGGGTACAATGCTCCAAGGTCGTGGACCGCGTAATTCTCAGAGTAGGCGGAGGTAGCCATGTACTCAAACACGGGGGTGAGGAGCAACTTGAGATAATCGGGACTCAGGATGTAGAATATGGGGAAGGTCGCGTAGATAACGTCAACGGTGTTAATGTTGCCATCGCTTGAGATCTCTTTGATGAACGCGCGGGCATCGCTGGTGTCGAGGGTTTCGTTCGGAATGGTCACCTCAATTCCACCATAAACCTGGCGCACAGAAAGGGCCAGCACATCGGAGTAGTTGGATCCAAAGCTGGACGATCCTGTGTCGGAAATCAAGGCGTCAAACTGGGTCGATTCGGACTTCGCGTCGGCGTAGTCATCGAGGAAGTAGGTGACGGCGTTGACGGTATCAGGGTAGGTCGCACGATAGTAACCCGTTTGCGCGGCTCCAAGGAAATTGATTGACTCCTCGCGCACGTGACCGATCGCGAAAGTTACCGCGGATTCATCTGCAGTTGTACCTAGATCGTGAGCAAATCCGACCACGGCACCCGCGGTCCAGGCCGCGTGTTTGTTGGTGAGGGTTCCATCTTCAACGAATTGACTCCGGACCGAGACCCGCGGGCCGGCCTGAGTGGAGAGCGTACTACTGCCAGAAGGACGGGTGGCGTAGACGGCGCTGCCCCACAGAGCTTGCTCATTGCTACTTTGCGAGTATGTCGCCTGCCCAACTGCCTCGATTTGGAAAACGCCCGTGGTTCCATTGGTGGAGTAACTCCAGCTGGAATCAGTATCTTGGCCCGTCCAACCACCACTAATATCTGAGTAGATCTGAACGGAGCTTGAATCCCCTGCAGCAAGCGTCACGGTCAAGTATGAGAAGGGCAGGGATTGACGGAGATAATTCTTGGGAGATACGGGCGAGAAGAAGTCCAGGATAAAGCTGCGCGAGCCAGCTGTGACAGTGAAAGTGGAATGCGTCGAGGTGTACGTGGCCGCGGTCACCGTGCCGGATGTGGTGTCATCATTAGGGCTGGCCACTCCAAACAAATTGTAGGTCGTACCCTCAACACGGGCGATGACAGTCCAGACCAAAGTATTGCCATACCAGAACTGTGCATTGTTGGAAGTCAATGATGCTACCTCATTGCCAGGGATCCACGCTGCGCTGAAATGTTAGATGGCTGAAATTCCGGGGTAAAACAAAACAAAACAAAACAAAACAACCGAACAGCAAACAAGAAAAAAAAAAGGGAAAAAAAAAAGAAAAAAAAAAAAGACCAGCGCTCACCTGATAGGTACGGACTCCGTACTGCCAGGGGATATGATGGCGGTTTTAAAGGGGTATATGTGATCGCATTGCTAGGCGACACCAAAAGCGAAGCCAATAGAGCAATTGTGCCAAAGGCTTGAGCGAACATGATGGCAAGAATTAAGCTCACCCTGAAGCGTGTCAGGGAGTACCAGGTATGTAGATCTTGTGTCAAACCCGTCTGAGGCCTCCAGATGTCTGGACTTGAAAAAAAGTCCAAATGAAAAGGATATGAAATAAGTAGAATAATAATATACCTGTCTAAGATAAAAGACAGAATCTTTAAGCCAGTCCAGGCCAAAATAACATTGGAATATCCCCGGAAACGAAAGGGAATTCAAACCTTCAAATACCTTGACTTCCACACGATACGCCATCTAATCTTACAAAAAATCTCAATCACAACATGTCAAGTGCTCCTTGCGTGAGAAAGGCCCTAATGCACACCAGCACATACATGGAAGGTGGGGGATTGCAATGTCAGTTGATACAGCCGATGTAGTAACCTTGGAATGTTGTCATATAGTATATTATAGTGATGGTAGTATAGAGTCTACAGCCTACACTTCATGGGGCTTGAACTAGTCGGCACTAAGCACGCAATTCAGCATAGGCATGATGAGCCCTTGAAATGTTGACCTGGGATGCTATGGATTCTTCAAAAAATGATAATCACTAGCGTGATCCACTTAGTCGAGAGGCGAGAGCCGATCCGACACAGGGCTTTGAGGACTTGCTCGCAAAGCCTCAGCGAGATGGCGTCATGAGGATCTTACATTTGCGAGCATAGTACATGGTGGTTTCTACATGCACATCTGACGTGGAGGTTGTCAAAACTCATCTCGAGAAAAAAAAAATTTATTCAAGTGTTAAGGTAGAAGATACGATACTTTACAGTGATCTCGTATACATACAAGTTTAGCCCAAGTCCGGGGGAAATGGACCCACCGCAATCTACATGTACATGCACCACGGCGTGGAAAACAAAGAGGGAAAATAGAGCAAAGAGCAAAGAGAAAAGAAGGAAAAAAGGAACTCAAAAATACGCAGATCCCACTCGCATCTTTTCCGCTCGGAACGAGCGTGGATCAGTCAATAGTTGGATGCATGCAGCATCACATCAGGCTGGGGAGGTATGGCATATGTACGATGTGCCTTTCCCATTCGAAAGTTTCTCCTCAACCTTCTCCACAAACACATATGTGTATAGTAATCTCCATACTTTCTGTTCTTGATAAACTGCTTTGTCTTATCTCTCTTTACGTATCCAGATACTAACTACAAACTCGGTTTATAAATCAGATCCGATATACCTTCTGTGCGGGGTTATCATCTGCTCATCCCCGAACCAATAACTCCCCTCGGGCTTGTTTTTTCCCCCCCCCCACTAACCCCGAGGAACCAACACCGCATGCCACTTGAAGTGCGTTGAGGTCATCGGGCAGCATCTAACAAACTTCCGCTTGGATCGGGGGCTTTTCTCACTCCCAGCTTTAACATTGGTCCCTGGCCATGTGTCCCTTGTCGTATGACTCCACCTCCTCGGTTGCATGGACCAGGGGTGGTCACCGCTGGTTTATCCCAGTTGACCAACGCACACTCAAGTCTCCATACATGGATATCCTCCAATATGACAGGGTAAAAGAGCAAGTACAAGTCTTGGTCCCAAGATCTCTTTCACCATTTCCCCGCCTTTCGACGCTGATAATCATGGTATGGTGTGCGAGCCTAACAAAGTTTCGGTCGACCGCAAGAGCAAAAGAAAAATCCCCGATTGTTCCTTTTTTGCCCCCCAAAAAATACTCCTCCGAAAACTCGCTTTTTTCTATCATGACTACACGTACTCGCAAGACTTCTCGTCCAACCTGGTCGTTCAACTTGTACAGAATCTAAGCTTGCATGAGAATCAGGGGCAAAACGCAGATCAGCTGACGACGACTCTGGCCTCGCTCACCACTCACCGACTCGGACGCGTTTAACTCCCCTGAAGCTACCGTGATACTGGTACAATCGCACATGGATGACTGGAGGAGTCATGCAAGGGACTGGCTCTTTTTTACGCCTTCCCCTGAATAACGGGTCTAGAGCAGAAACCCAGGCTCTTCCTTTGGTTCCACATATCAAATGACTCAAGACTAATAAAGCGATCGAAAGACCAGCCTTGCCCGTAATACCTACTAGTATGTTCACACTCGTGTTCATACATACAGTGAAGGTATGGGCGACCGCTAGGGAATGCGACACTACACTTGGATTATAAGACATCTCATCCATCACGGAGATTAAATGCAAGATGGATGCACATGTGTGTAGACCCTTCTAATCTCCCTTCTAATTGCCAAAATCGGCAGCTATCGATCAATCCAAGATAAAAACGGACTCTTTTTTGATAATTCTGGAAAAAGTCCATCATTTTGACTACGCGGCCATGCGTAAGTCATATGTGGATGGGAAATTAAGGCCACGAGTTGTGGATATCTTGCCCGCCTAGCCACTCGGAGTATCCACCAGTCATAACGAGCAAGCTGATATGCTTGACATTGCAGCAAACATAACGGATCGTCAATTCAGACTAGGGGCCTGCCTTTGTCCTACCAGGAAATTTGGTACCCAGGTGGCACAAGGATCGGGTGTTGGTTTTGATGGGTCCTTGGCCGTTGGATGTATCACAACCGGAAGAGAAAAACCTGGAAATTGTCTTGATTAATTCCAAGGTTGCGGGCATGCGAAGATCAATGCATGGATGTATCTTGCTCTCCAGGTACAGATGTGCTAGTGCACTCAGAATGTTCCTGCATAGAGGAACTAGAATCGATTACCTATTCTCATTATGCAAGGTCACTTGGTAGCCTGGGGCATGTGCGTGTATGTACTCTACATATAAAGATCATTGTATAGGTCATGCATCTCGACCATGGACTCAGATCAATCACTGGCCAGGTAAAGAAAAGCCATGATGATCATTTTGTATAAATCGCCCATCCTAAGTTTTCTAAATGACAAGAGAAAATGCTGAAATTAGTTCCAAAGTTCATGGAAAACATATCGCATCGTATGTTCTCGGCGCATACGTGCATGTTCGAGATTGTAAGTGATGTTCCATGAAGACACGGGATTGAGGCTCCGTGTTCCCTCTCATCCACGGGCTTGATCTCCCCGCATCAACCACTCCCAGACAGGTGGTACCATAGGATAAGCCGACGAGGTTCGTGTATTCTTGGGACAGGAGGCGCCTTCTAAAACATGGACGGACGGGAAGTGGTTCCGGGACAGGGCCCGACATCCATCAGAAATCAGCGGAGCAAAGTCCCAAACAAAGACATGACATCTGGAAAGATCAGGTATACAAATCGGAAGATATAGAGCCATACCTCTCACAAGGGAAATTCCCTGTACTTCCGTATCATGGGCATTTTGTCGTACGAGCAATCTCTGTGGGGACGTTATACTCCGTAATCTCCGAGCAGCGTGCACGGTCCCGAGAATCAGCCGAGCGTCAAGGCGAACTGATGTGCCAACCCTATTCCGGTCAAGTCAGATTTTCTTTGTGGCTCTTGGTGCTCCGGTTGACCCGCTGGGGTGGGACGGGCTTGTCCGCAAACGGTAGTGGCAGGGGAGGGGGGAAAGGTGTTGAGAGCCCAAAAGAAAAGTGAAAAAAAGGGAAAGAAAAGGGAAGGGAAAAACCCTGTAATAGTTCGCAGTTACATTGACAGGTTTCTGTTGCGCGCGTGAATAAGGGCTTACGATTCGTCAGGACCCGTGTTGAAATGAACCCGACCGTCTGGGTTTTGGGCGAATGTGGCAGACCAGATGCTGACAGGCTTGACCGCTCTCTCTTCCGCCTTGATCATCTTTTGGAATTTGGGGAAATTTTGGGAAATAGTATAGAATAGTCTAGAGAAATAGAGAAATAGAGAAATAAAGAAATTATATAGATTTGGGTGAGAATCTCAATTCAATCGAATCGGCATTTTTTTTTAGATTAAATTACCTCTCTCGATCGTTGAGCTAGTGACATTCCTAGAAAAATGATAGATCCATGAGTCGATCGTTAAATCAAGAGCCAATGATTGCAATGGAAACCCTTCAATTGTTTCCCCCTCCCTTTCGATGTCCACATTGATGAGAATGAATTAAATTGTAAATGTAACCCTTTTTTTCCATTTAATTTCTTCTAACCATAAAAAGGCAAGAAAAACAGAGGAATAAAAGAAAAAGAAAAGAAAAAAAGAGGAAAAAAGAGGAAAAAAAAGGAAAAAAAAGAAATTATTATGTTAAAATTCTGCCGGTCCAACCCCGCTTAGCTAATGGCCGCAATCGTCGCACCTTACAAGCCTTTGGGTCTAGGTTCCTGCGCGGTGGGTCATATCCCAATTTCAGTTTCTAACTTCACCGCCCTGTTTCCCGCCTGTATTGTATTTATCATATATAGGAATATCTTAAGGGATTTGATCTAAATACGGGTCTCTTTTAGAATAGACTTGAGAATAGACTTGAGAATAGTAGACTTGAGAAGGGACTTGAGAGTAGACTTGAGAGTAGACTTGAGAGTAGTCTTGAGAAGGGACTTAAGAATGGATTAGTATATGACTAGGATATTAGCCTCTCTTTCTTGCCAGTTGTTGTGATATGCAGCGCTGACCTGCCTGAACATAATGGAGTTCAAAAACTAGTAATATGAATTTGGAATTACTCGTAATTTACTTTCTGCCGGTCGGAAAGTTGAAATTGGGATTTGACCTAGGGGTGGTCTCTATCGGTCGCCGCATGCGCGGCGGATCTTTCATGGCGGAAACTGCAACCAAAGTCTGCTTCGAGAACGTCACTCTCTTTCCCCCTCCGCCCTTTCCAGCTTTTTCACCTTATTCGATTCCTTCTCTCCTCTTTTCTTTCTGGAATTTACCCTCCGTTTCCTCCCAACCACCTCATATCGCCTTGAAATAATCCAACTTACCTCTCTTCTCCCCTCGTGGATACTCGGATACTCGCGACCGCCCCATCCCCGGGAAGTCGATGCTTCAACTCTGACGTGTGGATTTCTAGCGGGGTCGCATGCCACATATCTTGTCCCCCCGCCTCTAAACAACTTTAAACAAGGGTCCACCAACATCCCAAGACCGTCAAGCAAAAACAACGGGATCCGTCCTTTCGATCGTCAGCTTCGGTCCTCGGTTCATTGCCTGCACGAGCCATGTACGCCGTTGAGCAGGATAGGGCCCATCCGGGGCCGCCGCCACCACCACCACTTTCAATGGATCGCATCTCTGCACCATCCGCCGCATATCCCACTCCAGGCACTGGTCCGTTACGTCCCTCCGATCATCTTGCGCCCGTGACCACCCTACATGAAGGTCGGCTGTGGTCATTGCAAGTCGTCCAACAGCCTATCCGAGCGCGCATGTGTGGCTTCGGTGATAAAGTTCGTCCAGAATTCCTCTTCTCCAGAATGCGCCATTCTCATTCGGTTTGTTCGGACTAACATGATTGTTCTTAGGATCGACGACCAATTACACCGCCGCCTTGTATTCGACTCATTGTGAGAGATGCGCAAACGGACAAAGAGATTGATATCAAGTAAGATTATATGCGGCAATCGCAGGGGATGGAAGAAATATTCTCTAACAAACTGCAGTGAGATTGATACTTCATTTTATGTCCTCACGGTTGATTTATGGAACGCCGATGGCACCAATGAAGTAAACCTTGTGAAGCATTCCGCTACCTCGCCTTCAATCTCAACCGCCATGTCATCATCGTACCCGCCTCCGCCACAGACCATGTCTCCTACGTACCCGCCCTACGGTCAGCCTTACGGTCAGCAAGTCGGATATCCGCCAGTGAACAACTACTACGGAGCCCCGCAAATGCAGCAGTACCAGAATGCCTACAACCCGCAAGTAGGCTACCAGTACGGTTATCCACCTCAGACTCAGATGCAACCCAACATGTCTCCCGCGCCACCACAGGTCACCGGTGGCCCCGGAGGAATGTTCACTAGGAATCTTATTGGAAGCCTCAGCGCCAGTGCTTTCCGCTTGACGGATCCTGACAACAAGATTGGTGTATGGTTTATTTTGCAAGATTTGAGTGTCCGGACAGAAGGTTCTTTCCGGTAAGATTCATCAGTTCTAACAAGATAATCTCCTTTGCTAATATCTAATAGACTTAAAATGAGTTTTGTTAATGTTGGAACACAATCATCCGAAACTGGCAATGGTGCCCCCGTGATTAACCACGGAATCGCACCAGTCTTAGCGTCAGTCTTCAGTGACCCATTCCAGGTTTTCTCGGCAAAGAAGTTCCCCGGCGTGATTGAAAGCACCCAACTTAGCAAATGCTTCGCGCTACAGGGCATCAAAATTCCCATCCGAAAGGATGGAGTGAAAGGTCCCCGCGGCCGTGGCGGTGGCGACGATGACGACGATGAAGGAGACTATTAGAAAGAGCATAAAAGCAATCTTTTTTTATTTCATAGATGGGCATGACCTATCTAGCTCCGACACGACACAAGTCCTCTGAGGCGGAGACTCACGTTCTTCCCGCCTGGAGACCGATGAATGGGATGAGGGTTATTTTCTTGCTTGGGCGGAACCAAGACGTGGGGCAACTAAAAGGGGGCGTGTTGGCTTTACGGTGTTCTCGGTGGCCTCTTTGTCTTTTTTTAATTTCTTTGCCTTTTTTTCCTTTTACTCTTATGGGGTTATATTTGCTACACGGATAGGTACTGGGTGGGGTGCTTGGCTTTTTCATTTCTACTGGCTTCGGCCATGTTTATACCAAGAGTTGGACCAGCCGGTCATATACATACACCTTTTATTATTGTCAAATCATGCTCATTTCGGGTTGAGCTCATAACAATTGCCAGATCAGCCCTCTGCATTCATCCTGGCGCTTAGCAGATAGTACTAGATTCTTAGAGCCAGCACTAGCCCTGGAGACATTCAATGTCCTACTAGTAGCCTTCAAGGTTGGAAACTTTCGAAGCTACTAATAGTCAACTGGCATTACCTGCTATTTTGCCTTTGGTTTAATCCACATGTGCACATGCACATGGATATGGCATCAATTGATTGATAATGACGATCGTCTACCCTCAAAAAGTACTACATATGCTCCAGCTTCATGCACGACGGGTGTGGTAATTGATAACCTCGAGTTTTGAAGATTAGTGGGAGGCCAACAGAGATGGATTTTAAGGTTATCTAAACACGCTTCTTAATCTATGGCAAGTTTCTTTTCTTTTCCAACTCGACCTTGGAACTCTCCCACTAGTTACAAGACACGCAGTATATGTACATACCAAAGGCTGTGGGGCATGACCAGCTGTGGATCCGTACAAGGTGCATCCGGTATATCTAGTGACTACTAGTATTCCTGCATGTGCGCTTGAGACATCTATCTGCCTTCATACATCAATCATCCAAAATTCTATCTAAGATTCAATAACCCGATATGATAACGTCTAGAAGTACCAAGCAGGTACCTTCAAGTCCCTCCAGATGTCTATTATGCTATCGCCTGGACAGAACTCCGAGTCTTCCCCGCACATCACGCTCTTTGAGCCGAGATCAGCACAGGTCTTTCTGAGCGTTATCTATAAAATCTTAGTAGTGCCCCGGGGGAAACTCCTTGTAAATCAGAGCCAGTTCATATATATCCATCTGTCTGATTTGATCTCCTTGCCCTGACATCGTAATCATGCCCAGTTCAGTTGCACCCCCATTCCTTCATATCACCATCACCGAATTACATTCTACATTCGGAGCCGAGATCAGCGGTGTCAACTTCTCACGGCCGGTAGATAAAGAGGTCTTCCAAGAGATTCTAGCCGCCATCAGCAAGGTTAGTAGTATACACCTAAACCGATCGTAGCATCACTCCACTAATCGTCCAGCAGTACGGCGTCTGCGTGTTTCGCAATACAGCCCTCGACGACGCTCACCACGTCGCATTCGCCGCGCAGTTCGGCGAATTAGACGACGTAACGCCTTACATATCCGGCGGACGAGCCCACCGTCTATCGGACGTCCGTCTGTTCGACGTAAGCAACGTCGATCTCGACGGTATGGTCTTCCCAATCGATAATGTCCGACGGGAATGGAATAAGGTATTTCAAGCCCGAATGGATTGCACCCAATCCATCTAACACGCACAGGGCAACGGACTCTTCCATGTCGACTCAAGTTTCAACCCCCGACGAGCCGCGTACTCACTCCTCCGAGCGCACGAACTTCCACCCCCAAACATGGGCGGAGAGACCGAGTTCGCAGATGTCCGAACTGCCTTCGCCGACCTTCCGCCTTCTCTCCAGGCTGAGCTTCGCGAGCGGGATTACATAGCTGCACACTCGCTCTGGCATTCTCGTAAGGTCGCTGCGCCAGAGACGTTTGTAGATATCGATCCGGCCGAGTACCCGATGAGTCGGCACCGCTTACTCCAGCGACATGAGGCGTCTGGTCGGGAGACGCTGTATATAGCGGCGCATATCCATCACATTGAAGGGTTAGAGGACGACGCGTCGAAAGCGCTGTTTGAACGGCTATTCGGACATGCGACGCAGCCGGAGTATGTTCTTCGAGTGGGGTGGGAGAATGCGGGGGATTTGGTGCTCTGGGATAACACGAGTGTGATGCATCGGGCTGTTGGGGGGAAATTTGAGGGCAAGTATCGACGGGATATGCGTAGGGCCACGGTGCATGATAGTAGTAGCTTGGCGTGGGGATTGAATGAACATACCGAGGAGCGACAAGGTTTGCCTTGAGTACTAGTCTGTTGACCTTTTTTGCTTGGTTTCTTTCCTTTGGATCCAGTTACATCATTGTTGATGAGTAGTATGGAGCATAGTTGCATCGAAGCAGTCAAATCTCGTATTGTGTCTAAGAATATGGTAGAGACTCAAAGAGCGGAAGAAAAAATGTGGTAAGAAAAGTATACAAGAATAGAATAGAATGAGACATGGAATGCAGATCATCAACTCTCTCTCACCTCAACCACGGGGAGAGAAGAACGGGCCCACCGCCGTTTCCCAGTTTCAACCTCCTTGGCATATTGTCTCACTTGGAAGTCTCCATCTTCACTATACCATCTTCAGCACTAGGGGAGAGACATTAGGTGAGCTCGGATATATCATATGAATCGTTTTTTGTGCATCTCGTCACAGGGAGGAACTAACTCCTGCCTAGTGTCACATAGCAACGAGCCTAAAGCCATGTTGTCTCACTCGCGACCAATGAACTTCGCCAATCGGCGACCCCGCTAATCGGGTGTGGCCGACCCTGAAGAGCCTTGTTCCCGTCATCGACTTCGGTTCCTTGGGACTGCTAGACCCTTGTTTGGAGGCAATTCGCGGGGCTAACCGATGAATAGAATGACCAGAAATAGGCCTGCCATGTTGTCTCTGCTTGGTCTTGGTTACTCGGGGCATCTATATAAAGAGGACGCAACATTCGTCAAATCCTAAGAATATCATTCACTCATCCATCGCATCCAGATCTATCCAGACTTACATCTCTAAATTCGCCTCTTCCTTTCCAGTCAAGATGAAGTCCGCCATTGCCTCTATTGCTCTGCCTCTCCTGGCCGCCGCGGCCCCAGCTCCAGTAGCTAGTCCCAGCGCCGCCAGCCTCCCAGCTTTCAGCGTCATGTCCATCCGCTCTGCGTCGCCAATTCACTACATGCAGATGAACGCCGCGGGCCAAAAGTTCTACCTCGGTGGAAGCACTTCCTCCTACTGCCCGGGTGTGGAAGGCATGGTCTGCCCCCCTGGCAACCAGACCGTCTTCGCTCCAGGCGGTAACGCCATGGTATGTGACACAATATATCGGAGAATGTCGGACAAGGCGTGGAAAAGAATATATGTACTGACCACAAGATATTGTATAGGATACCGAGGTTCCTGGTGGTCAGCAGGTCTATGTTGATGCCACTGGTGCTTTGAGCTTCACTCAGGCTCACTCAGCTTCTATTCCCGCTGGGTCTTCGGTCGGCGATTTGATTTACGAGGCTGGTGAGCCTTGGTCTCATTACAGCTTCAATGGCTGGGGTGCGCAGGGCTTTATGGCTTGCCCGACCACTGATAGCCGTTGGCAGGTGTTTGCTGCTTTGCAGAACGCTACTGTGCCCTCTGGGAATGTGGCTGATTGTCTTGGCTTTGATGCTATTGCTTTGACCTATACCGGTGATATCCCTGCTTGGCAGTATATTTAAGTGGACATACTGGGTACTAGTAGCCCTCAGTTGTTCCCAACCTTGGTTAAAATGTTTTCCATTGCTGGTTGTTGGTGTTATATGATTTTTGGGTTAAACCCATATAGCTTCAAGTTTGTACATACATTGTCGGCTTAGCCCTGATTTACTGTTTATCCATTTAAGCATGCTGCGAGAAGTCCAAATGAATGAGAAGATTTAAACCAAAAACACTTTGTACTTTTAATTCTATCGGGCAATGGGTATCATTCTATACTTTTCGTCTAGTTCCGCCAAATCCGAATCGCTTTGTCCTTGCCACCACTGCCGACCTTCTGTCCATCGGGACTCCAGTCAACAGCAAATACCTCGTCCTGGTGACCCGGGAGATCCACCGACAGCTTACCCGAGCGCACATCCCACACTTTGAGGGTTGTGTCCTTGGATGAGGACACGAGAAGTCGCGAGTCTGCGGAGAAGCAGCACTGGTAAACAGCGCCAACGTGACCACGGAAGGTGGTGATGAATCTATAAACACTCGTTAGCGAATAATTCCAATTGGTGATGATAGGTTAAAACAAAATATCAACAACATACTTTCCATCACGTCCATTCCACAGCTTGACATGGTTATCAAATCCAGCGGAGGCGATGTATGCCATATCCGGGGAGAAAGTAACGTGGTTAACCTCCTTCTGGTGACCCAAGAGACGAGCGACAGGCTTGCTTGAGCTAGCCGGGTCCCAAAGGTACATAGTGAAATCATCACTGGCTGACACCAGGCGCTCAACAATCTTGTTGTTTACAATCGCCGCCTCCTCGAATCGTTTCTTCGCGGCGGCAATCTTCTCGGCTTCTGTCGCAGGAACCTTGCCAGTGTGGTTGTGGTAAGAAACGCGCAAGGCAAAGTCGGTTGAAAGAGCAAGGTGGTTAACGCGGTGGGCATGCGCCGACAAAGTCTGAATAATCGTGCCCTCCTTCGCATTCCAGACCTTGATAGTCTTATCGTGCGATGAAGTATAGATCTTACCGGTACCACCCCATCGCACACAGGTGACCGATCCCTTGTGTCCAGTCAGAACCTTATCAATGCGCTTAGAGACAACATCCCAAATGCGAACGGTTGAGTCCTTCGACGCCGAGGCCAGAAGGGGTCGCCCAGACTCCTGCACATGGTACGGCTCCCAAGCCAGACTGGTAATCCACTTAGAGTGACCCTTAAGCGAGCCGCCGAGTGGCTGTCCCTTCTTCGCATCCCACAGACGCACTGTGTTGTCCATGCTACCGGTCGCGATCATGGCGCCATTGGGCGAGTACGCCACGGCCAACACCCAACTGGTGTGACCCTTCAGTGTGTGAAGAGGAGTTCCAGTGTCACAATCCCAGACTCGGGCGGTCGAGTCACCACTTCCGGAGACCATTGTTGAAGAAGAGACGGGGGAGAAGGAGGTTGCGAGAATGGCTTCGCCATGGCCGGCAATGGAGGCTGCACAGCGGGAAACAGCCTTAACCCGAAATACGGCTTGAGGGGTAAAGAATAGAGAAATTGTATCTTCGGTAGTCTTGACGCCGGGTTGAAGAAGCGAATGGTACAAGTCCGAGAGGATGTCAATGGTCTGTCCTTCTTGTTTCTCGGGGTGGTGGGTGAAGCGATACGGAACTCGTTCATCATCCTCCTTTTTGTGAAATGAATTGTTAGGTCGGACCAAATATTAGCCACGGTGGAGAGAAGAAGAACTTACATTTCCTTGCAATGTGTTTAACAGTGTCTCCAAGTTCTTGATGTTCGCATCGGCCACAGGAACTGAGACCGCAGGCCCGGTAGCATTGCCGGTGGCCTGGTCAAAGAATTGCACACGGACGCTGCCGAGATCGCTGGGGATACGATCAATCTCCTGTTGCTCCCGCGCCTTTTCGGCTACGGCAAGCTTCTGGCGCTTACTAGGTGGGGGGACAAGGGTCGACATTGTCTTTTTTTTTTTTTGGTGGTAGTTGGAGAAGGAAGAAAATTTGAGATCAGAGCCTTATCTTATCGCGGGGCTCAACGTCACTTGGCGATAGCGAATATAGATCTACAATCTACAAAGGACCTCGCTTTTTCTAATTCATTTAGCAGTAAACTTCAGGAGTCACGGAGGGAGAGTGATAATGCTGCTTTTAATAATGTTTCTTCTTTTTTCTATTTTTCTTCGTAAATATATATCTCAGGAGGAGAAAATAAAATAAGGAGATAGGAACATTGAAGCAGAGTGGATGGATTCCAAGAACCCACGAGCACTAGCACTATACTAGTATTTACCAGTAGTATTTATGGGGTATTGTACATAGAGTGCGTTGTGTCTGGTTTTTAACACCGAATGTGCTGCCAGTGGGCAAACCTCTTTTCAATCTTTGACATAATCAATTGATGTATCCTGCGGCCTGTCCCTCCCGCCTACACCTATATGATTGATCCCACCTAGTACCATTATCCTAACATTGAAAATCCACCGAAAATCCACCGAACATCTTCCAAATATCATCATGTCTCTCTCATTTAGAGAATCTTCGGTTCAGTCGTCAGTTCCTTTGCCAACGAGAACCACCACTAGCAGACGTCCGGCAACTGCAAGGCCAACTACTACCGCGACAAGCGTCGCATCACAGGACATTGTCTGCGCAGTCAGCGAGTCCCGTGGTGTGTCATCTACCGTTGGCTTGGCTTTTATCAATCTAGCAACAGCAGAGGTGGTCCTGTGTCAAATATGTGACACCCCGACGTACGTCAAGACCGTCACGAAGATAGGCGTCTTTGAACCCAATGAGATTTTGTTCATGAACACCGTCGCCGAATCGAAGCTGCGCTATATAATTCAAGAAAACCTGCCCGACCCTACTCTCACTTTTTTGGATCGTCGATACTGGTCGGATAAAGCTGGACAAGAGTACTTGGATCGGTTGGCATTCTCAGATGAGGCGGATTCGTTGAAAGTGACCCTGGGTGGGAGTTATTTTGCGGCGTGCTGTTTTGCTGCGGTAAGCAGATAAGATATTCCAAACCAAGACCTGCATCTTTGCTGATCTTATAACAGGCCCTGAAATATGTTGAGTCGGAGCTTCAACGGGTCTTCACCTCTCATTCGCTCAGGATCAGGTTCGAGCCCTCGCAGGGTTCAATGACAATTGACTTGCAAACCATCGTATCGTTGGAACTTATTCAAAACCTCCATGCCGCCAAATCTCGGGACAGCCTTTACGGTCTGCTCAATCAGACTTTGACTCCAATGGGCGCAAGACTACTACGTTCAAACGTCCTTCAGCCGTGCACGGAGAGAAATAAGCTGACAGCGAGATACAATGCCGTGGAAGACTTGTCCACAAAGGAAGACATGTTCGTATCCGTTCGGCAGGCTTTGAAGGGTTTTCTCGATGCTGATAAAGTCTTGACCTCGGTTGGTATATTGATTTCACGCATTGGGCTATATCGACTAATCATCTAGATCATCTTGGTTCCAACGAAACAAACCGTCCAGTATGTTGAACAGTCTGTCAACAATGTCATCATTCTCAAGACGTATGTGTCTGCTATCAAGGAAATCTATCAGGCCCTAGGTGCAGCAGACAGTGACTTGCTTATGACCATCCGCGAGGTACTTTCATGTCCCCGGATATACTACTCCAAAAGCTGATCAGTCTAGGTTTGCTATCCTGCAGGGCATCAGGCGGTTGAACAGTTAATTGAAGATGCATTGAATGAAAACGTCACCTATCAAAGCAAGCCGCTTGATCTTCGCAATCAACGAATTTACTGTGTCAAGGTGAAGTTATATCGTGGATTGCCCGTGAACATTACCTGACAGGGTAACTAGGCAGGTGTCAATAGCCTGTTGGATGTTGCCAGGCAAACTTACAAGGAATCGAATGCCGATGCGGTAGAACTTGTGTCCAAGCTGGGAGGTAAAGTCAATTGCTGTCCTTTGAAATTGACCTGACGCTCATATCTACAGATGCCCATGACATGACTTTGGACCTCAAATATGATTCCGCACGGCAGTACTACATCTGCGTTCCTTCCACCGAGCCCGGACCATTGCCCGATGTATTCATCAACGTATACCGAAAGAGAAATCGCATCGAATGCCAAACACTCGACCTAGTGAAATTGAACAAAAGAATCACCGATTCCCACAACGAAGTCATCAGTCTCAGCGACCAAACAATCCAAGAACTTCTTCGTGACGTTTGCTCTGAAGTTTCGGGGCTGTTTCGAATCAGCGAAGCAATTGCCATGCTCGACATGCTCGCAGCCTTTGCCCAGCTATCAACAAGTCACGACTACATCCGGCCAGAGCTAACAAATGCCCTGGCCATAAAGTCTGGACGGCACCCCATACGCGAGCAGATCCACTCCAGCAAGTTCATTCCCAACGACGCATATGCAACAGCGCAAACCCGATTCCAGATTATCACGGGATGCAACATGAGTGGAAAATCGACTTATATTCGGTCACTGGCCTTGATGACGGTCATGGCACAGATTGGCTGTTTTGTCCCGGCACAGTATGCCTCATTCCCAATCATGCACCAGCTCTTTGCGCGTGTCGCGACAACGGACGATCTCGACGCAAATGTGTCGACTTTTGCAGCAGAGATGCGCGAGATGGCTTTTATTCTGCGAAATGTCCAGCCACGGGGAATGGTGCTTGTAGACGAGCTGGGAAGAGGAACAAGCACAAGCGACGGACTCGCCATCGCAATTGCCTTGGCCGAAGCACTAATTGCAAGCAACTCATTTGTTTGGTTCGCCACACACTTCCATGATCTAGCGCGGATTCTATCCGAACGTAGTGGGGTCATCAACCTGCATTTAGCAGCCGAAATCACCTCTAATGCAACGAAGATAACAATGTTGCACCGCATTGAAGAGGGTCCAGTGCCGGATCGTCGATACGGAATTGCCCTCGCGAAGCTGGTGGATCTTCCACCCAGAGTTCTTGAAGTTGCGACGAAGGTATCGGAAGAATTGGATCGGTTATCTCAACGTCGGAACGATCCATCGCGTGCTGTAGCTATTGCTCGAAAGCGAAAGCTGTTGCTATCTCTGCAAGAACAGCTTATCATCGCTCGAGACGGGACAATGGATAATAAGTCGCTTGCCAGACGGCTGAAGAAGTTACAGGATGAGTTCGCGTTGCAAATGGACGTTATTGACAAAGAAGTTCGAACAATCGATGAGACGGACGAGCCGGTAGATGGAACCCAATCGATTCCAGAGGGGTTGGAACCACAAGTTCAGACCCCGAGAGATGAGAGCCAGAATTCAGATGATCTCAAATCACTCGCAGGCACATCTTTTGATGATCCAATTCCGATCGATTCGGATTCTGAAACTGACGACACGGACAACGATAGCGTGGTACTTGTCTAGTACAACCCTGGGAAGACTGACGGATTTTATGAACTATTCGGTCCAGATGTCAGGACGTTATGGCCAATAAAACTGCATCTATAGTATATAGCAACATGCGAAGCAGAGCAAGGAATATGCCGATATATCAACAGGCAAATGATGTTGGAACCAAAGTTTATTGTTATACAGGAAGGAACTCATCAGATCAATGACTACTTATCTCAGCCTGGCAGGTGGATCATTGGAAGAAAATGAGAAAATGCTTTATTTTATTCGACGATCGGACCGTAACATGGCCACAACACGTATTCAGGGTATTTCAAAATTAACCAAAGTGGTAAAGCGTTTGCTTGCCCTTCTTCTTTTTGCCCTTTTTACTATCATCGAAGTCTGCATCAGCTGGTTCGGCGGGAGATGCAAGGCCAGAAGAGGGGTTAGATCCCCAGGCAGTTGGGGCTGGACCACGGCGATCGTCCCAGCGCACATAGCCGCGAGTCTTGCCTGCCATCATTACATTCGGCCTTGCAGCTGCAGGAAGAGCTGGGAATGCGTCAGCACCAGTTCTGGGTGGTGGTGCAGCGCGCGCAGGTGTGGGTGGAGTTGAAGAGGTAGATCGTACAGGGCCACTGGGGATAGATGGGCGTGCAAGGGGCGGTGGGGCGGCAGCCGCCCATGGAGTGGAAGGAGCGGGCTTGTTACGGCGAGAGGAAGGACCAGCGGAAGCAGCGAGAGGGGGGAAAGGATTTGAGGATGCAGATGGCATGGCACCACTTCGGCCAACCGCGGACCGTGAGGACTGGGCAGTGGACGATTTCAAACGCAAGACACGCTTGCCGCCAGTGTTGGCAGTACCTGGGGACATGCCAGGCAAAAGTCCGCCGGGACCTGGTAGAGCTGGGTAGTCCTCATTAATGGCTCGCCAATCATTCCAAGATTGCAACAGACCAGTGCGCTTGGAGTCTTCCTCATAAATGTCAGCGAGTTCCTTGATGAGCTTGCCCAGGTCAGAACTAGATGTGTCGAATAGAGAAAAGAATGCGTCGATGAGCTCAGTGGCAGAGATGGCAGATGTACGATAGCTGGACACTCTCAAACGGAATTCAGCAAGCTTATTCTGGTCATTGCGGAGAAGACTTGTAGCTCGTTCAACTACGGCCGTGTGGCGCAGTTTTCGCGCTTGATCTTGGGGCCCAAGTGGCTCTGGATTGGCAGCGAGACTGAGGCTCTCAAGCTCTGCAGCTGGAGGAGGTCGAGTGCGTGAGGATGAGGGAACTGGCGTGGCGCCAGCTGATCTGGGTGGTGCTTGCACTGTTTGGGTGTCGTTTCTGGTAAGCTGGCCTCCGAAGCTCCGCGTTGAAACGGACTGCGCACTCTGAATATCCATTTGTCGTTGGAAAGCGAGTTCAGCCCGTGATAATGTCTGTGCACTTGAGGCCGGTAATGGCTCAGCGTTAGGGTCTCGTCCTCTACCAGCACCACGCCGTTGGCGTTGAGGCTGATATGGGCTGCGCATATTATCAAACTCGGAAAGATCGACCAGCCGTGCATCCCGTCTGATATCTTTCGAAACACCATCAGGGTGTGCTTCTATTTGATGTCCCTTGAGATCCATTTGAGACTCGAATACCACGAATTTCTTCTCCAGGCACTCCTTGTCGAGGCACACAAAATGGTCACGTTGAAAGTGGTCCTCAAGTGCGTGATAATCGACATAGTATTGCTGCTGACGATTGGAATTGCGTCGGTCGCAGATGTGACAGCGCTCATGGCGCTCTCGACAGTGGGTGTAAAGTTCATCATCACCGTAGAACCGCTGATGACAGAAACCACACTCGGGATGTCCCTTGAATCCGCTCTGATTAATCGCGCCTGGCTTATCATCACCATGCTTCTCGTGTTTGCGTAATTCGTCTCTAGTAAATAGGACATGTTCGTGGGTAAAGACTTTTTTATTGCGAGTACAAAGGTCACTAGAATTGTCCCAGTTAGTCTCCTCTCAGTCTCTCGCGCCAATGTTGTACAAAAAACTTACCACATAACCTTGCTGTGCTTGCTCTTCACGTGGCGATGTAAATCGGGCCATCCTAAGCAGGCCACGTCGCAGTCCTCGTCGGGGCAGTTGTACCGAAGCAATAACACAGTGTCCTCAAAAATCTCATCGTTTTCATAGAGAACGCCCAAGTTATCATCCGTCCTAGCAAAGTCCTTCTTCTGAAAATCTTCGAATTGTCGGTTGGGGTCGTCGGTGAAGATAACAAAACTTGCTTCGGTCTATAAAGTCACAGATTAGCGCATGCAAAGAATTTGTGGTCAAAACTGGGCAAACTTACACGACAATGGGCGCAAGCTTTGTTTTTATACAGCGCACGGAGTCTCAGCGCGCAGATATGACATGTCCGGTGATTACACGGAGAGACAGAGGTATGTTCGACCTTGGAAGCGCAGATGAAACAAACCTCTCCATCGTCCGCGTCGTCGGTGGCAGCTGGGAGGGCCTTGGAACCGACGGTCGCAGTTGGGGTAGGTGTAGCTTGCGTATCCTTGTCCTGGGACCCGTTCGCCAGCTGGGATTGATCGCGACCTCCGGAACCCTTGCCTCCTCGACCACGAGACTTGGATCCTCTACTAGCGGCACCCCCTGCGTTGCGTGGGCCATCCGCATGGCCGGAGGGGGGAGCCCCTCCGCGGCCCCGGCGGCGACCACCACGGCCCCGTCCTGATGAATCTGAAGCAGCAGGAGTGTTGTCAGCCATATCAGGATAGCAGCGATCAATAGCGGCACAAGAGACAAGTATCAATGACAGACTTCGAGCTGAGAAAGCTCGTCGTTGTGGGTGTGGTGGGGGATGGGAAAAAGTTGTGTCGCTGACTGATCCATTCCGCTGACCACATCAAAGAGCATAACTTCAGCTAACTAACTTGAACTAGATAAAGAAAGATTACGAATAAGTAACCAAACAGCAAAGTAAATTGATACGACTCATTCCCATGAGCCTTGAATTCTAGGATCTTCACATTGAATGAATAAAGCTTTGGTAAATTACTCAAAGACACAATCATTGAGCACATTCAATGTTGTAGTTAATATTGGTGGACAGCTTTACATGCATGATTACTAATTATGAATCTAACATGATGTTCACTAACTATTCAGTAAGCCTTGTTTCGCCTCTCCGGCACTTCAAGGGGGCAACATTTGCCACGTCAAGAATGAGATGAATGGTTTCGAACGCCCAAGTCTCTCTTATTCAAAGGCACTACAGTCGAGGCTCATTCAAATCAATTCCAAGATTGGTCTAGACCCATAGACTTAAATAACCTTGGATAATACCCACCTCTAGGCTACACTGGAGCCCTGATCAACCTTGGGAAATGATCTACAACCTTATGTTTGAATTGATATTAGAACGGGAGCACATACATGTATGAAGGACATGGTACATACTGTATGTACCAGATTTCCGCTTGTGGATTTCTAGTCCCCCCTTGCCGCTCTATGCTCTCCGAGATCCCCCTTAACTAGTCCGTGGTATAGCAAATGACTCAACGCAAAACTTCAAATAGGTAATGATGCGGAGTGACGTGAACGTTCATATTGTATTACGGCATATGTTATTACCAAAAAGGACTAGTTTGTTATTTTATTATCAACTCTAGGCCGCGGGCGTGGAACTTAGTATGTAGACCTATTTTGGCTCGTAAGGTTTCCCACCTTCCTAATTTACGATCGCTCGTCGTAGTTCTTCTTTCTCCTTCAACCAATTCAATTTTCGATCAATACTAGAATCAAGTATTAACCCTTTCTGAAAGTGATGAGCTACCTCATCAGAAACACCGCGGAGATGACTAACTCCAAACTACACACTATCGGACAAGGCGCCTGTGGCACTGTCTGGGCTGAATCCGAGAATGGCCCTATCTACAAGCGAGAGGATGGCGGACCAGGTCGATCCTTGGGAAACGATTTCGAAATGCACCATCGAATCATTCAAAGTTTCTTAAAATTCAACGACTTCCATAAAACCGAGCTTCAGGTTGAAATCCCCACGCCATACAATTTCATCAAAGCCAACGACCAAGACTGGTGGTCAGCTAATCTACAAATGTTTCCATCGGGATATACCCCATGCAACATGATTCACGCCCAGCGTATCCCGCCCTTCCCACAGGCTGCAAGGGAGAATCTCATCAGCAGATACTGTCCTTCAAATATCCAATCTACAATCATCAACAGCGAACCCGATAAGGACTGCGTGGTAAGACTGTACCTGGGCCGAAGACGAAGACAAAGATCCCAGACTTCATCTAGATTCACTGCGTTTTCGCTGCGAAACTTCCCTCTTCATCTCGACCAAGTGGAGTCTCTGGGCACTTCACAAAGCGAAATCCACAAGTACGCCGAGATCATGGCTGAGACTCTCGCTGTCATGCACTGGATTGCGGAAGTCGATGGGAACGACATAGAATTTGTTCTTGCACTTCCAAACAATGGTCATTCTGGCTCCGGGGTATGCGGCTTGGAAACGGACTCTCATCCACTTGGCAGACATTCGATGTGGGTATTAGATTTCGATCTATGCAGAGCGACAACTGTGGATCTGAAAGGGGTGGAGCAATCTGCAAGTGCATTCTGGCGCAACGACCATTACTATCCTCGACCCGATCTGGATCGTGAACTATGGACCGCATTTCGAGAGCACTATGTTCTGTTCAGCGATGCTTGTGCAGAGACCTTTGATCATCAAGAAGGACAGAAGAGGCGTGACCTTGCAAGACATTTTATTGACCTGCTTGAGCAAGGCGTGATAAGGGTGGAATGACAAGAAAAGTTGAAAACTTCAAGAGTTCTTTGCACTTGATGAGTCGAATTTCCGGATGAGCCTTGGAGCTTCAAATGTTTAATGTATGAGCTTACTGCATGTAATTTCTTTATAATTCAATGTTGGCCTGTGGCTTTAATGAGACCAATCAATCAACCAATTTACAAATCGACCAGTTGACCACAAGTAGTACATAGCCCAGAGTGGTTTTAGCCCACTTCCCTGTTTGATTGTTTGTAAATACCGGTACGGTAGGTGAGTCGACAATGGACATTGATAGTATGGTTAGGACTCATTAGTTAATGTTAGTATATCTAGTTTTTTTTTTAAGGGGTAGTACATGTGTATGCGTACATAGGGTGACAAAAGTGTTTGTACACTTCCATTTTTCCCTGCAAAAAATAGCAAAACTCACCCTGTTTGGTTACAATTATTCTAACAACTTTATATGTAGAAGAGGATTTTTAAATCGCCTTAACTCTAAATAAACGATTGATAATTGATCTGTATAATTAGGAATCCGGTTTAAATGCTTGTATTGTGGAAATGTTTGGCCTAGAAAATGGATATGAATCATGATATTTTTCTGAACTTTTACTATAGGGATGCGGCCTGTTTGCTAACAAATTTCAACAATTTTTCTCATCCTCAATTTTAAAGTCATGCAACTCTACCAGGATAAATCATACCAGAGGTTCCAACTGTAGGAAGTACTTATTTACCAATTATCTATAGCTTAGCTATAATCAGAAAAAAAGTCTACATATAAGTTTATAGTGGTACTGAATATCAAAGTTGGTGAGTTTTGCTATTTTTTGCGGGGAAATATAGAAGTGTACAAACACTTTTGTCACCCTATGTACATACTATGTAGATGCTAGTACCCCACATGCACAGTATTTACCCCAGATGCAGCCCATGGATCTACAGGGGACTGGACAGGATACATACATAAGTGGGATAACGGGAGTGGTTTTACCATGTAAAAATGGTGAAGTACTAGACTAGTTCCTATGAATAATGGTTTTGAGGAAACCTCTAAAGGAGTGGCGTGGAAGAGCCCAGAAGGAGAGGAAGGCTGTCATAGGGTGAGTCACAGCCTGTCATCCATGGGGCAGTGGGATTGCAAAGTGGCCGAGACAAACAGCACAGACAAACAAGCGCATATCATCATCAGTGATGGAACAATGACCATATGGCTTCTTGAATTCTTGAATAGTCAGGCGGAACTTGCTTCAAATGTTGGGACTAACCAAAAATGTTATAGAGGGAGAAGCAACACAAGTTAGGTCGAGGAAAAGCCTGTCCAGATCAATTGCAATGATCATAGATAATGTTTGAAACCGGTTGTGATAAGTACATAAATCTGGTAAATCTGGTCAATCTGGTAATCTGGTTAGTCTGTTGAACCAGGTTAGGGGTTGGTTGACGTAGAGCCTCACCTTTGCGGGATTGACGTCATCATGATATTTGATGTCAAGATCATCAGGACCATCAGCTATAAATATTCCCCTGGACCAGCAACAAAACGAATCTTTAATTCCTCAGAATCAATTACCATCTACACCACTTTCACAACTTTTTACCACTTTCACTACTTTCCAAAATCTTCCAACTTCATCATGGAGACTGTCAAGGTTCGTGACCTCATGTGACATGTAATGTTTGCTTTGAATGACATGCTGACTAACCCTTCCACACAGAACGCCGCCAACTACGTTTCCGAGTCCATTCAGGGAACTGGAGCTCAGGCTTCCAAGGAGGCCAACAAGCAGGTCGCTAAGGACGACGACGCCAAGCTCAGCACCCGTGCCTCCGCTGCCAAGGATGCTATTGTCGACAAGAAGGACGAGAAGTCCCACGATATCAAGGCCGATGTGAACAAGGGTAGGTGACCCATGACAAAAGCACACAAAGCGACCCAAGGATGTTAACATTTTTTTCCCTTTTTTACAGAGCAGGCTAAGCACTAAATTCGAGATTGTTTGACTCGATGACGCGTTTTTTTGTCTCTATTCAGACGGACATGGTTTATGATGATTTTCCAGGGGTTTCATGTACATAAACACGATGCGATCAATAAATACCCATACCCTTTGAAAACATGAAAGAAAGAAAAAAATACACTACCCCTCTTGGACTACATATAATATTTAAACCGCAAGCCTAAAAAGAAGTGAGTACGTACATCCCCTGTATTAATCCCAAAGGGCAAAGGGGCGTTGGTGTCAACATGCATCGGCTCGTCATTGGACCCTACTGGGCGCATTCTCAACCTTTCTGTTGTGACACAAATTTCTTCAATATTTGAGGATCTCAACATTTGAAGGTTAGGCCACCCCACAAGTTTTAAATCCCCGGCTTTGCTGCGATGCTTTTTATGTGGAACTTTTGTTTATTCTTTATTGATACGTTACCGTACTTGGGCGGATAAAGGAGCCAGCTTCCGAAGAAAGTTGCCACTGTGGGTCTTTGCTGTTGCTCGAAAGCCAAGTGGAACGCCACAGCTTTCATTGGATTCTGTTTCGTGGGGCCGAGGTTTTTTTTTTTTTTTGGTGGAGAAGTGGAGTAACGGGCGCATTCATCGTCCAAGACGCTGATTGGGTATAGTCTCAGGACGACATGGATTTGACTGGCGGATAGCTATTCCGGTCTTAAAATGGATTCTTTTTCCTATCAAGTTGATGTCATCTCAGTGGCCCTTGATCCTGCCCCTCATGCCATTATTATCTTCGATATCTCTTATGAACTCTCCGTGATCCGCTCGTTGCTTTTCCAAGGTTACGCCTAATATCAAGCCCCCATTTGCCATTCACAGCAAACATGTTTGGCAACAGGTACATTGAATCCTCGATTTCTTTACACAAGATGCTAATCATATGTTGTAAATACTAGACGCAATTCGCAAAAGCCAAACGAAGGCCTCATCAATAGGTTTCAGGCCACTTTCTCCGATGTTGTTCGGCCCACTGTCACGGGGGATCCGTCTTCGATCAATGGCGACTTCAATCGCCTTACTCCAGGTTTCCGGTTTACGCCATTTCTAGATGACCAGTCGCTCCCAACCCCCGGAGCTACTGCTCACCAGAATTTTACTAGTCATTTCCCCGCCTTGCATTCAGTCTATCATGGCCCGGCCGGAGATTTACACACCCCAACCGCGGGGTCAAGCCTTTTAACGCCCAGAACGCTCTTGGAGCAATTTGCAGTCTCACCTCTACCGAGGAACACCAATGGAATCTCGTACGATAGACTGGATCCCCTATATTTTGCAAGAGAACCCCAAAGCATGGCCTGCGGCAATCACAATCCTGCATACCCACCGAGTGCATTTGTTCACTCTGATCTGGCCGATGGTTTCGTTGAAGAACCCAGCCAGCAACAATTTCAGGCTAGCTCAGGCAATCAGGGTCTGTTCGCCCCTCATTTTATCTCTCCAGAACACCAAGCACCAAGACCTGCGGAGAGGTCCTCTAGTGAAGGCCAGGCTAAGTAAGTATTCGCCCACTCCGTATATAGAAATTTTGAAGCTAACAAAAGAATCAGCAATTTCCGGTACCAAGTGACATTGAATACGCCCACGGCAATGATTCATGATCCTAATGATGCACCGGTAACTTATCTGAATAAGGGACACAGATATATGTTATCCGTAAACGACTCAAAGCCTCCTTTAATCAACGGAATGGTTCAATATCGAACGTCGGTCCGAGTAACTTTCCAAGAGCCCGAGCATGTTTCCAACCCTGCTGCCTGTTGGAGTCTTTGGGACGACGTGCGAGGCCATGAGGGGCATCGGAAAGATGGAAATGCGCATGCGGTGGAAATGGTCGATTTATCGCAAGGAAATGAAGGCGAACGCTATCCTATTCGGCTTGAAAAAACATCTTTAGATGGGTTTTCAGTTGTCTGGTTTGCAGACCCGACTAAGGGGAAATCCGGGTTCACGATAGGGATCCGATTCAACTTCCTTTCCACAGACTTTAGTCATTCTAAGGGTGTGAAGGGAGCGCCTCTTAGGCTCTGTGCCAAAACTGAGACGTCCATCCCAGGTACTGCCGAGCTGAGCTTTTGCTACGTGAAATTGTTCCGTGACCACGGTGCTGAGCGCAAAATGTTTAACGACGTTTCGCAACTGAAGCGGGCAATTGAAAAACGCAAAGAGGATTTTGCCAAAGCCGACAGTGGTGATAATCTGGGGAAACGAAAGCGCGGTAATCGTTCAGTCTATACGAGTGATCGGAATTCCGAGAGCGAGAGGAAGGCTGAATTACAAAGCCGAATGGATGCGGAGTTGGCAACAATGCAAGGCATATTCTACTCTAACCGACCTGTGACCCACTTCTGTCTTCCGGGTGACCAGAAGGATGATCCAGATCTGTCCCCGGTCCAAATGATAGAGCAAACACAAGGCGCCGCAAAGAAGCCGCGTCATTTACAGACTTTGACACCGCCGTCGACGTCAACATCAAACAGCGTGTCAAGCAACGGCTCGAATAGTTTGGTTCATCCTCAGGTACCGGGGTCACAACGGGATGCTGGAGCTCCAGAGTGGAATGACTACAGTGGCTCTTCAAATCAATACTCCCGTAGTATTAGCAGCGAAACTCCTTCTGACAATGCAACCACAACACACACAAGTCCTGAGTTGCCAGCGATATCTACTACCGATGAGTGTGAAATAATGGAGGTTAATTCGAAGTTGAACACACCAGGTAAGTCTCTTATCTTGAACCACACGAGCTAGTCATAGTCACTGATGCCTACCCAGCAAAATGTTTCTATCTACGCTTCAAGCAAAGTGGTATCCCGCAGGACGACTACCACACTGCCGTATATCTAGTGGAGCCTACAGTTGATGAACTGATAGAGAAGATTGCTCAAAAACAAAAATTCAATCGAGACCAGAGAGTCCAATTATTTCATGCCAAGCCAAACGGGATGAAAGTAATGATTGATAATGATGTAGTCAAGCGAATCCCGGATGGCCAAGACATGGTCGCCGAGGTCTCTGACTTGGAAGAATCAAACAAAATTGCAAGTGCCACCGGTGGTGGCTCACTGCCTGCGGCTATCGAAGTTCGATTGTCTTTCTAGCTTTGCCCAATCCATTGGAAGCTTAAGCTTGGAATACCATCAAGGTTGATTCCAAGGTTCCCGATTTTCTGGTTTCTATATATCCCGAGATCTCCTGTCATGACTGTTAATCTCAAGCGCTAAAATTGATTTTCAATTCCAATTACTGAGGTCCCAATACGTCGGAAGTTATATCCACACATGCATGATCCAACCTTGGAAGGTTTCATGACATTGAAAACATGATGTATACAATTTTTCAGGGTTGAGAATCGAAAGGTACCTACCCTACCTAGTACCTCATTAAATTTGAACTACCTAGTACGCATGTGGGGTATATTAAGCATCTACATACATAGGCTGTACCTACTAAATCCACAGGGGTTTAGTAGGCATCTCCATCTGGACAGACGTCGTGAACAAGATCTACGCTGATCCATAATGTGTACTGTAAGTATGGAGCCTGTTTAGCAGATCTCATTGGTCGGCTGGAGGTTCCGAGATTGTCTGTATGTACTTGTACTGCACACAGCTTGCCGCTGTGTGATCAAAAATCAAGGATCCACTGTGGGGCTTGACACAACTAGTACAAATTGGGGATGAGGGGCATCTTCACTGCCCCTTATCCACAGGCACAGACTCAAATCAAGCTTAAATGGCCAATGATCATTTACCACGTGAAAGGTAGTCGGTGTAAATTCGGATACCGAGATTGTAACTGGTATTGATGGGCAGGCATCGCGTTTCATATCAAGAATTTATGATGCAACGATAATCACGATTCACGACCAGTCCATGACATCATTGGAATATTAAAACCTAAGTATAGACATCTTTGCTTTTCCAAGTACATAGTACATCCAAGATAGACCATTGGGCTTTGTTCTTCATATTTACCCTACCATACACAATGGCACACTTTATAACTCACGAGATCATGGGCACGGCCATGGAAACAACAGACCGGTACTCGGATCTGGAACCAAAAGGTGTTGGTTCCGCTGGATTAATTTGGTAAATCACATTGTATACTTAAAATTCTCCTCAAAAATGAGTACTAACACCCAATAGTACAGCCCACGACACAGTGGCAGACAAACCAGTCGCGATAAAGAAAATAAAGAAGCCATTTGAACACACTGTCGTGGCCAAGCGCACGTATCGGGAGGTTCATTTGCTAAGCAATTTGCGACACGACAACGTCAGTACCGAGTTTACTAAGGATTTAAAACTACGACCACCTGATTGCTAACCTTGGACTCAACCGGAATAGTTGATCAATATGAGAGATATCTTCATTTCTCCAACTGAGGATCTGTACGACAACTGAACTCTCCATCCTCACATTTGAACCTCATGCTGATTTTCGCAGCTATATTGTGACCGATTGTATCCAAACAGATCTTCACCATCTCATTCAGTCGAGGTCAAAGCCATTAGAGGATAAATTCGTGCAATTTTTCACCTATCAGCTTCTAGTATGTCCACCCAGTTCAATTCATAGTCACGAGCTGAACGCTGACGAATCCAGCGAGGATTGAAATACCTTCACTCAGCCAGTGTTATCCATCGTGATCTCAAGCCCGGAAACATTCTAATCAACGACAACTGCGACTTGAAGATCTGTGATTTCGGATTGGCTCGAGAACAAGACCACAAAATGACTGGATATGTCACCACGCGATATTACCGAGCCCCGGAGATCATGTTGACGTGGCAGAAGTACACGTACGCCGTGGATATTTGGAGCGTCGGGTGTATATTGGCGGAGATGTTACTAGGAAAGATCCTATTTGCTGGCAAGGACCATGTGCATCAGTTTACCCTTATCACCGAACTTTTGGGTAAACCGCCAAAGGAGGTCATGGAGAGAGTCTACAGCAAGAATGTATGTCCCGATGTTGAAACAGGGCATAAAACAAAGCAAATGCTAACAGTCAGTCTTAGACTTTGGAGTTCGTAGAATCTTTACCCGAACCAAAGCATCAGCCATTATCATCTCGCTTTGGAGATTTGGATCCTCAAGGTATGTTTCTATCTCTCATCAGTCTCGTCGCGTGGTTTAGGGCTACTTCCATGACATCAAGGTACTAACGTATGAACAGCGGTCGATCTCCTCGAGAAAATGCTCAACCTCGATCCGGAAAAGAGAATCACAACTCAAGACGCCCTCATGCACCCATATGTCTCAACCTACCAGGACTCCGCAGATGAGCCAATCTTTGAAAAGCAGCTTAGTTGGTCTCTTTTGGAGTCGGAACTCACAGCGGATGAGTGGAAAACCAACATGTATGTCCACTGCCTTATCCTGTTATATGTATCAATCGTTTACTAATGGCTCCGAAGGTATTATGAGATTTTAGACTTCCACCGTGGTGCCTGTGAGGGTGAAGAGACAAACGTTCCAAGTACCCAGGTTAACATCAACAATCTCTCCAATGAGATGATGATGGAAACGTACTAATATTATTTTTGGCGGTTGTTTACATGTAATGAACGCGAAGTGAGATACCTTAGATACTTTAGATTAGAATATTGAACGTTTTGTTTTGTTTTCTTATATTTCTTCTCGTCATAACTTGGAAGCTCCGGGTATATACTAGTAATACATAGGAAATCAACTGATTTTGCGGGGGTGTACTACTTCATAAAAAGGTCAACTAATGGAACAGTATTATGCACATGTGAGTCTAGACAGTGGGATCTGTAGATTTAAAAAGCTTTTTGGTGCCAGGGTAATTCCATCACATCCATGGGTCTATCTTGAATTCTTGGAATGCAAGGTTGTTCTCCACGCCTGCAATCCAGTCTTGGCATAAACGTCCTTCACAGCCTTGAGAATTCCCACCATTTTGGAGTATCTATGGTAGAGTATAACCTCCATCGACAATGAGGTCTGCTCCAGTTGTGTAACTAGAGGCATCCGAAGCTAAGTATACATAAGCCCCCTTCAGCTCTTGAGGAAGTCCTTCCCGACCCATGGGAATCTTATCCTTCCAGATGGTCTTAGTCTCGGCATCAATGAACTGGGAAATCTCCGTTGCAATGTAGCCCGGCGAGACGGTGTTTGCACGTGCAAACCGAACCCATTCAACGGCAAGAGATTTACCTATACACAGTTAATAAGAAGTTAAAAATGCAAGCTCTGAAAGGTTAGGTGGACCTCAAAAAGCAAACATACATAGGTGAATGACTCCAGCCTTGGCGGCGTTATACGCAGCCTGGAGCTGAGGAACGTTGACGATACTGCCGCTCATAGAAGCAGTGGCAACAAAGCTACCATAGGTAAACCCTTCAAGAGGCTGGCCAAAGATATCCGTGCCTTGTGCTTTCTGTCGTCTCCAATGGGATGCCGCTGCTCTGGCACAGTAGAATGTTCCATCCAGATCGGTCTGAGTCACATTTGAGTAGTGGTCGAGTGGGGCATCCACCATAGCTCCCTTGGTCCATGGAATACCAGAATTGGCAATGAATATATCAAGCCGACCTTGGAACTCACGGACGCATTGATCTAGAAGCTTTTCGACGTCATCGCTCTGTTTGATGTTGACTTGGTATGCGCGGCCTAGTTGTAAACAAAAAAATCAGTCAGCGTCGAAATTTGGATATGAATTGGGACTTTAACCCACACTGAACCCCATACGTTCTCTCAATGTTTGCTGCTTCCTCCGTCGCCTTTTTGTTGGTGTTGTACCAGAGGGCGACATTGGCACCGCATTCTGCAAGGGCATGTGCAACGCTCAATCCGATTCCTGAGGCTGCGCCTGTGACGACGGCGGTCTTGCCTTTCAATGAGAACATCTCCATCACACTAGGCTTGCCTTCAAATGTGTTGTTGCCATGGCAGAAGTTGCCCTTCGAGATCGGATGCTCCGCCATTGTATGATGTTTCTAATGTTTTTTGGTTATTTTTTGAGTGCAAGAGAAAGGGTGTCCAGTAAGAGAAATGAAATACGTAGAAGTGTCAAGTGAGAAATTGAAACAGACAAGGGAAGTGAAGTTGAACTTTACTAGTAATTAATATTCATTCTAGCAGGGGTCATGCAGAGCTATTAAATAGTGGACGAGATCATGTCCTATTTTGTAAATCTGTGAGCACACATGGTGACCTACGTGGCACTAATGCGGGGTGGCTCCTTTATATGGCAATTCCATATCTCGAGAATTGTTTAGAATATGACTTAATCGGCGGAATAATCTTGAAAGTCACGGCCACATCGGCGGAAGCGGAGTTTCCAAAAGAGGAAGTTGCGCCTTCTCGAATCTCCACTCCTGCAAAACCAGTTGACTTCCCACCCGGAACTTCAGTGCTGAGACTACTGACTGGAAGAAATACAGAAAAATAAAGACAAAATTCAATATCATAATACTCCTGTACTAGCTGGCACTATCAGAGATAAGGTCCAACACCATGTTCCAGATGTCGACGAGAACCGTTACCATGATCAGAGTGGCGAGCTTCAATGTTCTAGAGCCCGAAATTGACCAGATTCGGCATGATAAGTCAACCGAGCCCACCATATTGACAAGCAAGGATCAATTGATGGACTGAAGTTTCAAGTCGTCTCGGGTTTAATAAATGGGCATCTTCTAGGCAGGCAGGTTCCACAGCAAGGCTCTGACTGAAGCTTGGTCTTCCTGGTAAACCAGCATTTTTGTCATTTTTGTAGTAAGGGCGCGATGACCAAGTGCAAACATGCATGTGCTGCACCTCACCCTCCAGGGAACCAGACTGAACAGTGACACCACCCTCAACCCACTAGATCATGTGGTTCAAGTTGTCAACTGGTCGCGAGGGAAGCCGGCATTGGGCTGCTCGTCGTTGGTGGCACAGTGTACTTGCCCATGCCTTCGATCACCCAGTTCTGCAAGTCATTGATCGTTGGTATGTATGTAACATTGATCGATCATAACGAGCGAGCTCCTATGTATTCAAATGTTAATCTTCCGAGATCTAGGTTTTGATTCCAAGAATGGACATCTGGATCATGGACATCAAGGTGCCCAGGTGTCCGCCCGGGACGCACGTGTATTGATGTACCCATGGACTTCATGTGTATGTAGTATGTACTAGTATTTTGCACACATGTGCCTATGTAGGTGCATGTGGGTAAACCGACATCTGGATGTCAACTTGAAAGATATTTGATAAGTAAAGTACCAATTGATGTATATATATAGTATGTGCATCCGTAATCTACTAGGTATCCATCCACACATGTGCAGGCACTGAATCAATGTCTGCAATATATAATACTAGAATGTGGTATGCCTCTAACATTGGAAGCTTCCAATGGAAAGCCAGGCCTTTGAAGGGCCGCCTCTTGAACATGTGGGCAGTCGACGACGACTGCCTTGATTTTTTCCCCTTGACGTGCGGGGCGTTCAAAGCTGGAAGGTGCATGGCGGAAGTTCAATGGAGCGCAAAAAAAGGGCAAAAAGAATGGTCCCAGAGGGGGTCGAACCCTCGACATTCGCGTTATTAGCACGACGCTCTAACCAACTGAGCTATGGAACCCGTTGTATATAAACTTCTGTAAAAGACTGGTATATAAAACTAAATGTAAAATTGAGATTAATAAGAAGTCGAATGAAGTAATTGAACCTTATATAGTACCCATGGACTTGAGCTCAACCTCGGGACTTGTAAATCTAAAACATTTTGATGCTCGCCAGTCACTGGTGCGGCTCGGGCGGGTAGACTACCTCTCTGGGAAGCGTTCCGCTGGATTGCGCCAATCAAAAGCGTCGGGTCTTTCCATATCCGGAATAGTTCTCGAATACTTCCATTTTGGGCCTTCTTCCCGACAAGAAGGCGCATCAATCAACAGTTCCGAATGGGAAAAGATACTATACGGCTAGTGGCGACGTAATCCCTCACAAAGACATAAAAGAAATCGATCACCCCTCGAGATTTCGGTCAATTTATCGAGTTAGCTCACTTTTCTAGTAGCGACTAGATCCATTACTTTCAGTTGAACATTTTCTACACTACGTCATTTCATCATGTACATTCCAAAAGCCAGAGGTGGTCTCTCCACTCAGCTTGCTCGCCCACTTTGCAAAAGGACCTTGCCTACAGGGTCAAGCTGCCTTTCAACAAACACCCAAACTGCCCGAAAAGAAGGTGACATCTCTTCCGTCTTTGTCTCGTTATCCGGGGACGGAAAAGCTGCGCCGCTCGATGAGCGATTCGCAGACCAGAAGAAGAAGCTCATCGCTGGGCGTGGAGACCAACTAAAACGAAGCTGGGATCGTCTGCTGTGTAAGCTCAGAGATGAAGTTGAGATCATCGAACAGCGTGGATCGGATATCATCCCCAGTATCGACTTCAAAGATATCCATGCTGCCCCCAGATCATTCCACGATGAGCTCCGGAAGCGAGGAGTTGCAATTATCCGTGGTGTGGTCCCCGAAGACGAGGCGAGAGGCTTTAAAGAAGAGATAGAAGCCTATGCACGCGCGAACCCGGGTACAAAAGGTGTGTTTACTCTGTTGTGAAAGGATCTTGATCAGCGAAGACCCATGCTGACCCCATTAGCCTTCCCACCTAATGATCCCCAAGTATACGAACTGTACTGGTCTCACCCTCAAGTTCGTGCCCGCTCACATGCCAATATGTTGGAGACACAACGATTCCTCATGAGCTTCTGGCATTCTTCCGCATCCGATGCCATGATTTCTCCTCTGCACCCAGTCACCTATGCGGATCGTCTTCGTATCCGCCAGCCAGGCGATGCAGGATTTGCACTAGGTCCCCATACCGATGCTGGAAGCGTTGAGCGCTGGGAGGACAACGGATATGGCTTGGGCCAAGTCTACCAACGAATCTTCGAGGGACGGTGGGAGGAATACAACCCCTGGGAAGCTAGCTGCCGCCTTCCTGTGATGTCTAACTTGTACGACGGTGCTGGAGCTTGCTCTATGTTCCGCATGTTCCAAGGATGGCTGAGCATGTCCCACACGGGCCCGAATGAGGGAACATTGCTTGTGAACCCTCTTCTTTCAATGGCCACCGCGTATATGCTTCTCCGTCCATTCTTCCAGCCTGTCAACAAAGCTCCAGTAGATGGAACCTCTCGCATCGCGATGGATACCTTTTTGGAACCCGCAAACTGGCGCTTGGAGGATAAGGTCACTAGCAAGCTGGAGGGGGCTACTCCTGGTTACTCACAGGAGCTTAACTCAGTTCTTCACCCGCATCTTGAGCTTGAGAAGACGATGGTACATGTTCCACAGATTGGACCTGGTGACTATGTTGCCTGGCACTGTGACAGTAAGTGCATCTTTACATTATCTCCCCCGCCGATATGCTTACTAACCACCCATTAGCTATTCACGCCGTTGACAAGGTTCATCAGGGTGCTGGTGACTCAAGTGTGCTGTACATTCCTGCCTGTCCTGTCACAGAAGCAAATGTGGAGTACGTCAAGCGCCAGAAGAATGATTTCATAAACGGCATTCCTCCTCCCGATTTCCCAGGCGGTAAGGGTGAGAGTGAACATATCGGTCGCGCAACTGTGGAGGATCTTCAAGGTTACGCCAATGAGCAAGCTCTACGCGCATTTGGTTTCAGCAAGTGGAACTCCGAGGAGGAGAACCTCAACATTGGGCAGCGACGTGTTTTGCAAAAAGCCAACGAGATCCTAGGCCTCTAATATCTGATCTCTCGATCAGCAAACCATTGGCCTGTTTGTAATTTACTCATCAAAGCCAATTGTACATCATACATTTTTCTCATTCATCATCAGATTCATCACTCTTTCCAAAGGTCCCCAGGAGCGGATGGACCATGGATTGGATTCATTCCTCCAATAATCCCAAAATCAAGATCAAAATTGTCAAAGATCCCCAGAATAGACATTGGGTCCAATAGGCCAGGATCATATGGCTGATATACTGGTTCCGAGGATTCCGAGCCTTGAACATGCTGTGGTTCAGTTTCTTCTAATATCATATTAGCCAAAAGTCAAGCTTTGTGGTGAATATTGACTGACCCGTCATTATAAGTGGATCTCTTCTGGGTTGCCCACTGGCCATTTTTTGGATCTCTTCGTTCTGAATTTGCTTATCTACTTCGGCGATCAAATGCTCTCCTAAATCTGCCATTAGCGAGGCATAGACGAAGACCTCCCCAAGCTCTCTTAAAACAACACAATTTGAAATAAGCTGTTTCCGAGCCCTCGTCCGAAGAATGGGCACTTTGCTCCGTTGCAAATTATGATAAGACACCCGCAGGGATAGAGCCACAGCATACGGGACGATCGGGAACGAGGATAACTTGTTGTGGAATTCATCTCCGACGATAGATGTGACTTTCGATACCGAGAGACTCTGGCGAAGATTGGACTCCGAGGATTGAGAGACACCATCTGGAGTTATCAGGCGACATGACAAAATGGCTACTGCATGGTACAGTACTTCTATTGTTGCTGCGATCTCTGTCAGCTTTGAATTATATACTAGTAGTTATTCAATTTGGACCTCATTACCAATTAAATGCACAGGAGTATCAGATATTCCAACTTCTTGCAATAAATCCTCAAATGATGGAAATGGACCATTCCAGATCCCGATTTCGGCAGGTCGGTAAATTTGGATCACTCGTTCCATCAAGACGATGGTTCGAAGAAAAAGCTGGAAGCAAGCTTCTTGCGAGGCTATAGATGACATGAGGTCACGTCCAAAGTCCCGTCGATGCAATTGAACGGGCCTCCCAAGACACGCAGCGTTCAGCATATCGAGAGCATAGAGACAGCAGAACATTCGAGTATATATGTGCTCGTGTGGCGTTACCGGATCAGACGGATGATGCAAGCCAACCGTATGCGCATGACAAATAGCCCGATACAAGAGCTCTGCTGACTCTTGTCGGTCTCCCGAGAACTGTGTGAATAATGAAGTCAATGATAAGGCTTGGATCAAGACAACCTTGTCTCTCACTAGGCCCACTGCTATTGATGTGTTGATTGCATCGGAGAGACTTCGAGAGAAATCGCATCTCGGTGTATTGGCTCTGGGTATATTGAGATATTGTGTTGCTTTTCGATCTAAACTAGCAGCAAGGCATATTCCCTGCGACAGGAGTATCTTGTCTGGAGATGTATCGGACATTGTTCGATAGGCATCATAATCCAGAATCGGAAAGATGGGATGGATGTTCTCGAGGTATATCCGAAGAAGCCCTTCAATATCACCAAACGCTGGAAGGATAGAGCATTTTTCTTGCAGACAAGGCATAAAGGCAGTGGATATCAAAGGATTAAGACAAGGTACACCTGATGTGGGCTTTTTGGCTGCAAGCTCGGAACATGTCTTCCCTGGTGGTAGCCAAATACCAACATCATGGCGCCTGAGTGGGCTTGGTATTGAAGATTCCGCTGCTGTCCAGAATGCACTTGCTGGGTCCATTTCACCCACGAACCAAGATTCCCCATCTATACGGGGACCAGGGGCACGTGGCTGCGCACCTAGTTGCACGGCCCCAGTGGCATGTCCCGGGCTCGTGGCGGGTGTTTCTTCATGCACACGTGGCGGAGATACCGTGTCGCTTGTTCGGGTATCTCGAGGCTGAATCTCGGGATGCCGAGTCACCTTCGGTCCATGAGTGCAGCGCCGCTTGCGCTTACGGCATTGGCCACATGCTCGGTGAGTTCCTTTGCGGTTCTGGGGAAGACCCACCGGGTCATTGGCAATGAATGTGAATAACTTCTGTCGACCTCGCATGTTAAAAGTTGTATATGCAATTGAAAAAAGCTTTGTGAAGGGAACGCAGCATGGCTTGGCCGATGAGGCCCAGCCCCGCTCAACAATTTCATAGCGCGGAGCTTCCCATTTTGGAAAGTGGGCCGCATCCACCGTTGCACATCATGAATGAGGTGGGAAGCTATCAAGCAAGCGTAATATATGGTAAAAAATGGCGCTGTCCGATGCGCCAGTCTCATTCTTGACAAAATTCGATGACTGAAACCCACAGCCTTCACTTTCATACACCTGAAGACCTCGGACGCACGGTCACATGATCCGTATGCCTGCAATCTTTCACTCGCTACAATTTGACTACTTAGTACAAATGCCATGTAAAAAGCTATAATTCAAAGATTTTTTTTTTGGAATATAGAGTTATTTGATAGATCCTAGGAGGTATTCCGAGTAAATTCAATAAAGAAATCTGGAGAAGTTAGATGCAATTGCTAATAATGATAATGATAACCACTCGAAGGCCAACTCCCGCTGGAGGGCCAAAAGAAAATCTTTAATGAGATAAAGCAGAATTGTAAGCGCCATTAGAAATCAAAGCCTCGACGGGCAAAAGGGTTGAATGAGTCACGCCAGCATCCCTATGCATCGCAGAAAAATATTGGAAAGGATGAGAGTCATTACGTCGGATAGTGAACCAATCCGAGAGTGCAGCACGGTCAACCAAAGACCGATGATTACTCGTCGGGGTTATACAGGTTCTGGTTCAGGATTTTGGTCATAGTGAACATGTGTACCCGATCTTGTTTGAAGACGGCGCGCATCGCATCGTCGCAACGGATCTGGCGTCTATCACTTGGGTCCTGGAGTTCTTTTTCCCGGATATATTGCCAGACCTTTTTCACGGTTTGAGGACGTGATAACTGTGTGGTGAGTAAGCAAATGGCGCAATCTCGAACACCATGGGGCTAAACATACCGTGGGCTCTCCCAGGAGCGCAGCTAGAGGGGGTGAGAGATTGAGAGGTTTCTAGAGCACGTTAGAGGAATATTACAACAGCTAACATAGGTGAATGCTAACATGGAAACCACCTGTCCGATTGACCTCCTTCTTTGTGTCGGAGCCAGATTCAACATCTGAATCATCCTCTGCCTTAACTCTCTTCGAAGTTTTGGCCTTGGATTTGCTCTTTTTCTTTGTCGGAGCGGCCCGTCGCGTATTTCCCCCTCGCGTTGGTCGCGCCCGCAGGTTCTCTTCAGCTTGTAGCTTAGCAGCAAACAACGCGTCGGCATCAACATCAGCCTCCGACTTGAGTTTTTTCGGGGGAGGAGAGGATTGGCTGGGATCGGAGGCTTCTTCGCTGTCGGCCTGGCGCTTCACGGGAGACGAGGATGTGGCCGTGGCCGGTGACGGTACCGCGGAGGCAGAATCGCCATCCTGGTGACTGTTGTTTGCGGGCTCGGGCGATTCGCCAACCCCGTTTTTCTCCGCGTAGATGTCAAATCGCGCCATGATGAGCTCCTTAACCGCAGCCTACATATTTTCCGGTTAGTTTCACCCAATGGCAGATTGTGATGTGAATTCGGGTTCCCGATCCCAGGGAAAAAACCGACCTTCTGGGGAGTGAGGTCATAGCCGACTTCCTCCTGCAGACCCTTACGAATGCGCTTCTCGGAGATGGTGTTGAGGTCACTTTTTGCTAGAATTGAATCGATTATGTCGGTGAACCGATCGCGCAGCTCGGAAGAAACTATTGCGACACGTTAAAATCCCAACTGCGCCATTTGGAGAGCACCCGACAATGGCGACGGGGTAGCGCCGAGGTAACATACGCGACATCGTGTCGGCGGATCAATCCGTGAATCGCCTTTGAAATTGTACAGAAACCAGGCCAAGCTGGTGGTTGGAAATGCGACTAGGAGCTTAACACCGACGATGAAACTGATGTCGATTGTAAAATGGATGGAAGGTACTTGAGGTGGACGGTGTCAGGTGGGTATAGTCGCACTGGCGCTTAAGACCCGCGGCGGTGGGGAAAGAAAGGCAAGAAACGGAAGGGCACAAAGAACAGAGTATAATAAACCCACGTTCTTTGAATGCGAGGGCAATGAATACTTCAGATGTATGGAAATAAGAGAAACGATGAATAAGAAAATATATAAGTCACCACTAAGAAACACCAAAAGAAAGAGTTGACACTACTAAGCACGAATAAGACCCCGCTGTAGCTTCTCGGAAGCAACTGCGACTCCTGCTCAGTACTTCCGTTCTGCCAATCTGTTCCGCATTGGGTCTGGGGGCGATCGCTCTGGCTGACTCAGCCTTGCTTAAGTCAGCTTTACATGTCACATGATCTACGCACACAAAGAATCCGCTTGGCAGAGAAGATTTGTGGATTTGTGTTCCTGGCCGAAAAACTCCCTTGAAGTCCCCCAATCCACCACTTCTTGCACCCGGTCGCCTACCGCTCACCCATCATGGCGCCCAGTTTCGATACCCTGTCCGAACAGGACCTTCACGAGGAGGAAGAGGAGGAGATTGATTTCTCCGGTGCGTGTGCAGAAACTTTCCCGGATGCCCCTCCTCTCTAATAAATCTTTAGATCTCAAGGAACAGTTCGATGTCAAGCTCGATGAGGGCCTTGACACCTTTGTCGTTATCGATGGCCTCCCCGTTGTGCCCGAAGACTCCCGCCAGAAACTCATCAAGTTCTTGTTGAGAAAGCTTAACTCCGTTGGTCAGGCCTCCGAAGATGCCGTCTTCATGCCCGTCACCGACAAGGGCGTGACCGAAGGGTGCGTATCATGCAACGACTCAGTGTGCCTGTGGTGGAACAATTTTGACTGAGACTGGATTTCCTTGGTTTTATAGATTCGCCTTCGTTGAGTACGAGACCCCCGAACAAGCCGTGGCCGCTGTTAAGCAGCTGCACGGCGTCCCCCGCGACAAGAAGCACACCCTTTCCGTGAACAAGTTGATGGATATTGAGCGCTATGGTCGTGAGGGTCGTGTTGAGGATGAATACGTCGAGCCCGAAGTTGAGGCGTTCAAGGAGAAGGAGCACCTGCGCTCGTGGATGGGAGATTCCAACGCCCGTGATCAATTCGCCCTCTACCGCAACGACAAGGTCGGTGTCTTCTGGAACAACAAGTCCAACCCTCCAGAGAATGTCGTCGACCGCGCACACTGGACACAACTCTTCGTTCAATGGTCCCCCAAGGGTACTTTCCTCGCCTCCGTCCACCCCCAGGGTGTCCAACTCTGGGGTGGTGCCTCCTTCTCGAAGCAGAAGCAATTCCCCCACCCCTTCGTCCAACTCGTCGAATTCTCGCCTCTTGAGGGTTACGTGACCACCTGGTCCTCCCGCCCCATTCAGGTCGAGGAAGGCCAGCCCATTCTGACTTACGAGGAGGATGGTAAGAACATCATTGTTTGGGATATCGAGACCGGAAAGCCTCTCCGTTCGTTCGTGTCTCACGATCTGGCCGCTGGCCCCGCCGACGAGGGTGAGGTTGCGCCCAAGAAGAAGGTGCAGTGGCCCGCTTTCAAGTGGTCCGCGGACGAGAAGTACGTGGCGCGTATGCTCCAGGGTCAGTCGATCTCCATCTACGAGCTGCCTAACATGAACCTGCTGAGCCGGACCTCGGTCAAGATCGAGGGCGTGAACGACTTTGAATGGTCCCCCGCTACCGTCACCCGTGATGGTGTCAAGCAGTACGAGCAGCTGCTCTGCTTCTGGACTCCCGAAATTGGCAGCAACCCGGCCCGTGTGGCCATGATGAGCGTTCCCTCCAAGGAGATTGTTCGCACCCGTAACCTTTTCAACGTCTCGGATGTCAAGCTGCACTGGCAATCACAGGGTGCCTACGTCTGTGTCAAGGTCGACCGTCACTCCAAGTCCAAGAAGTCCTTGGCCACCAACCTGGAGATTTTCCGTGTCAAGGAGAAGGGTGTTCCCGTTGAGGTTGTCGAGAACCTGAAGGATACCGTTGTTAACTTCGCCTGGGAGCCCAATGGATCCCGTTTCGTCGCCATCACTACCGGTGAGAACCCTGCCGGTCCCGCCGCTCCCCCCAAGACCGGTGTCCAGTTCTTTGCTACAGAGAAGAAGGGCAGCACTGCCGGTAACTTCAAGCTTGTGCGCACAGTTGAGAAGAAGACCAGCAACGGTATTTACTGGTCCCCCAAGGGTCGCTTCGTCATTGTGGCTACCGTTCACTCCCAGTCCAGCTTCGATCTTGACTTCTGGGACATGGACTTCGAGGGTGAGAAGGTTGAGGCTGAGAAGGATCTCGCTGCCAACCTGCAATTGATGAAGACCGTTGAGCACTACGGTGTCACAGATGTCGAGTGGGACCCCACAGGTCGCTACGTCGTCACCAGTGCTAGTGTCTGGACTCACTCCGTAAGAATACCCCTCTTTACATTGTTTCTATTCACCATTTTACTAACTAATCTCTCAGATGGAAAACGGCTGGAACATTCACACTTTCTCCGGACAAACCCTCTCAGAGAACCCTACCGAGAAATTCAAGCAGTTCCTGTGGCGCCCGCGCCCCCCCACTCTTCTCAGCAAGGAGGAGCAGAAGCAAGTTCGCAAGAACCTGCGCGAGTACTCCAAGGAGTTCGACGAGGAGGACCGTTTCGCCGTGGACATTGCCAACACCGCCGTTGTGGAGACACGCAAGCGTGTTCTCAACGAGTGGCTCGCCTGGAAGCGTTTGGAGAAGGAGCTCCAGAGCGAGGAGAAGGAGGCTTTCGGATTCCCCGAGGACGTCGACTCACCCGCACTTGCCAAGGATGCGCCAATTGGCGGCCAAGAGCAAGGCGATACCGTGGTGGAGGAAATTGTGGAGGAGATCATCGAGGAGTCCGAGGAGGTCATTGGTTGACGAACCCTTTCTTTTCCCTTCCTTCGCATTTAATGTCTTTACATTTCCCTTTTGTTCGTTTATTCACCGGCGTCCTCTCTGCTTGAGGCTCGGGTTTCTGCCCCCCATGTGTTTTGGTCCTGTGTAGCGAGGATCGGGGCCTCTCCAAAAATCTGATTGATTGAGCTATTTGTCCAAAGCTCTGATGTGCAATGTGGATAAGCATGAGAAATGCCGTACGAAATAAGCCACGCCGTTTCCCATTTCATTTTATTTTCTCTTTTATGTATTAAGTATACAGGCTCATTCCAACCCCCACCACCCCAAGCGCTAGGAACATCATGCATACCGTGGATTCCACGCTGTTTTGCATAGTCGTTGCACCTTTATTTGGTCGACTTGTCGCTGTAGAGACCGACCCTGAGGCAGTTTCAGTGGCAGAGGCAGAGGAAGAGGAATTTGAGCCCGTTTTCGAATAGCTCGGCCACACGTTCTTCTTGAAATACACATCATGGTCCCCAACCACGTTGCCCGCTGGCGTGTATTCACATACAACATACCAGCCCTGCGCCCTCGAGCTTCCATCCGCCGCAGTTCTGGATGCCAACTTCTCCCCGTCTCGCCTGACTTTTGACATATCCTCAGTATATCCACAATTCACAGCCGCACACCCAACCTCTTCTGTGGCTTTCCAAACCAATTGCGTAAAATGCCCTGTCGCCTCGGTGAATCCGGTGGGTTTCTCGAAGTTGTATAGCTCTCCTTCATCCCCCCACGCCTCTACTGCAGCAGTGGCATTGGCATATCCGAATGCAAGATTTTCCCCATATGGACCATCCTGTAGATTATTAGATGAAATTCGTACAACTTGCGTTGAGACGTGGACAAGTCAGTTAGTATATAGTAGTAGTACATACAGAGTGTTTCCAGATGCAAGTCTCCGCCCATTTTCGGGCATATTCCACCAGCGTCTCATTCCAGACTATATCCACCGCTTCATGAGCACCTCGGTACTCATTACTGGCCTGCAGGACGGTTTCTTTGAAATCCGGAAGAGAGGTATAGGATGCTGGACTGGGGACAGTAGGCGCATCGTAGACGGTACTCGTTGCTTTGACGGTCGTCTCAACTGTGACGATGACCACATCTTGGCTGATAACACCCATAATTAAGCTTCCTGTTAAGAGAAGCCATCGCGGTAACCAGTGGCGGGAGTTCATATTGATCGACATGGCGATAACGAGATACTCCCCATGAGTATTAAAATAAAATAAGGGAAGAAAGGAACCAAGTACGAGGTACGGGGTACTGATTCCACGATCACCGCATCATTCAGGCAACCGATTCACCTCTTTGGCCTAAAGCGGAACAAAGGGCCTCGTTTCAAGTTCGTAAAGGCGTGTCAGGGCAGACTTGAATAGTCAACCTTTCTTCAGGTGCGCCACTGGTTCCTATATACTCTTCAAAGCCCCAGGATTAGACCCGCGCTAACAGTACAAGGAAACATGGTTTCCACCTGTGAAGAAATCAGCGTCACCTCTCGTTGTAACGGCGAATTGAGCTACGGGCCAGTTTTTGTGGGGATGCAGAAGTACCTGAAATACTAGCAAACAGGGCCATGCTTTCTATTTTTGTTGGAACAGTGGTTTGAACCTGCATGCGGGTTTTGGTGGGTGTTGGTTCTCGGAAAGTCTGGATGTTGTTTCAGACGGGCTTGGGCTGTTCCAGTAGCCGCCGTTGACGTCAGATACTACGCCGCGGAAGAACCGGAGGGTCAAATGTACCTCTTGAGTATGGAAAAAATCATCTACATCACGATAAAGAGGAATAATTGAAAGTCGCTGCGGTCGTTCAAGTATGTATGTCATAATGTATAGAAGGCTCAATTTGTATATACTACTAGTATGTACTACTCCCGAGCTGATTGTATACCCGCAAGCTGCAAACTAACATATGCAAGGAACACCATACAACCACGCTATGCAAATCTAGGTATCTGTCATTGTTCACATCACGCTACACCCAGCGCCATACATGGCTCGTTCCACATTATTCTTCACTTGGTACCAGTCCGCTCGACGTTCCGCAAACTCGTATACCTCTTCAACGCCCCAGACGCCTTGGAAACGATCGGCGTCAGCAATGATTGTCGCCAGTTCCTTGGCATGGGACGCATCAATCAGGTATATCTGAGCGAGTTCACGGAATGCCTTGAAGTATAAGAGAAGTTCGTTGTTTCGAAGAGTTTGGATGAACTTGAAGTAGTGGTTCATGTCACTGAAGATTTGGTCAGCAAAATACGGAGGGAACACGAGGTAGACCGGATTACTTACCTGATCAGCTTTAATGATCCCTCATTACTGATCCGCTGACGCTTGAGGTGCTTGCACAATGCAGTAAAGAGGCGTAGCCCAACTTCTTGGTTGAATACGTCCAATGTGCTCTTGTCGGTGCTACCAACTAGCATCTGCGTGTGCGATGACACCACATCCACTACAGCTATCGCGACTGCACTGACTCCCACATCCATGGTCTGTCGATGTGGATCCGATGAAACTTCTGGATTGAAATCAGTAGCCAATTGACGCGTGGCAAGAATGTAGTCGACTTCCTCCATAAGCACGTCAATTCCCTTGTTCAATCCAGCAGCAACCCGCTCGTCTAGCATTTGCTCAAACTTCTTTTTCTCCTTCACGGCAGGGTCAAGGAAGTCATGGCGATCAGTGAGACGCGTACCGACTAACTCTTGCTCATAAAATACATCCACCATCTGAAGGATCAGATCACCGACATTGACTAACTCTAGGAATGTAACTAGAGGCTCAACCCCGGACTGGTCACGCTCCTCTTGTTCACGTGGCCGATAATTCGATAGATGATCAACGGCTTTGTCAAAGCCAACTATCACATGCTGATTGCCCAAGATACGCAGGAGATCCACGAATATGGCCTCACATTGTTGCTTGGCTGCTTTGCCATAGTCTCCTCCCAATCTGACAAACTGGGCGGCTCTCTCAAGACTGGACTTGGCAGAATGAACAAGGCTGAGTGCAATTTCAATGCTGAATAGTGATCGAATGCCTTCCATCTTGGATTTCATGAGTAGCGCCTTGGCTGCCAGTTCTGTTGTTGGAGCTTCTTGGATTGGAAGCGGAGAGGGTGAGGAGATGGTAGAAAATCGGTTGGAGCTCTTTAAGGCAGCCGCAGCAGTGGCTTCATCCGGCTTAGCTTCCTCACTGGCCTTGGTGCTGGAAAAGCTGGGTAAAATATTGACTGGCATCATGATGACCTTTTTGAATGAAGTAAGGAAATCTCGCTTATCTGCTGCCCGGTTGACATTGGACATTAAAAATGACTCTGTCGAGGCAGCTTGCTCTGAAAGCTGGCGATCCCAGTCATCTACCGTTGCTTCGGAATTCTTACGGAAAAAATCCAACTCCTCAGCAAGGTAAAGATCGATATGTGGTTCGTAGATTTTGGCCACGACAGAATCCAGGTAATGATCGAAATTCTCGCCCGAGTTTCGTATGGGCAACAGGGTTTCAGACAGGTTCATACACTGTATAAAAGTCATAGAAATAGCAGTCAGGTAAGACTCCTTATTGATGCGGTGCAATTCGTCGAAAATAGCCGTCAAAAATGGGAAAAGAACATCCTGTCCAACCTTCTCCATGAAAGGCAAGGCGACTTGTAATTCCGATGGAAATGCTCGGTTCATAGTTGTGACTTCTTCGTTATAAGCGACACTCAAGCGTGTAAAAAAGCTTTGAGTATGCTGGATCTTCACTTTTCCAGCAACGCTATCTATACAATCTGACACGGTGCCAAGTTCCGACTTTCGGGTCATCAAGTGGTTATGGTGGATAAAGATATCGACTGCAGTTTGGCCGCCGTTGAGTGCGTACAGGATGTGGGCGTACTTGTGCATGAGGCCATCAATGTCGTCTGTCTCGTAGCCTTTTCGGAACTCGTTTATTGCAGCGGTTTCAAACATAGAGGTTGCACTCTCCAGACGATGCTCTCGCGACTCCCAGCCCGTAGTCATATCACTTTTTGCAAATGCTTTTAATTGAGATAGCATTCGTGCTTGAAGCTGTGGGTCTTTGTACTTTGTGAACACCAGATTCTCGGTGGACGGGCCAGATGTCGCAATGTCATTGTACAACGGGGCTAAAGCGGCATGGATTCTCCCATACTCTTGACGAGCTTCGCCTCGAATCGACCTGACGTACTTCAAGACAAGAAGATCTGGATCACTCGCTTCGCTTTCCAAGGATTCGAGTTGTGTCGCTGTCTTGCCCAGCTCGATCTTGTCAAAACCATCGGAGATAGCATTGACTTCCGAATGGGGGGCTCGAGTAACCGAAGCTCCTGAAATTATGCCACTCGCCTCTTCATCAATCTCATGTTGTTCAACAGCCTCCAGGTTGGCAACAGTTCCATACACTTGTTCCACGTGTCTGCGTGCATCCGACTCATCCCAGCATCCAATGCGTTTTAGCCGTTGCACCCATCGAGTATCGTCGTACGCCATTTCATGTAGGAGTTTGCAGGACTTCGCTGCCTGGATAAGGTCGACCGGCCCTAGGTAATCGAGAATAGCTGACATGATCTCTGTAGAATGTTAGTGTCAACCTTCATGTTTCTTACCAGCCAATCATCCAGAAAACGTACCTGCAGGCAGAGCAGCTCGAGAGATTCCCTCCAATGACGCCATGCGCAGCGAAGCCAGCACATCCCTGCGCGGCTTGGCTGGCGCCGTCCCTTTCTTTCCGTTCGGCATTTGTGATGCTTGGCCACTTCATCGGGAGTGGGCCGAGTGTTCGCGGGGTGTGCTTCGGGGGGCGGACGGAAACGGTGTGCTTTGCCCTCGCAGCCACCAAGGCCGTTACTCCGGTGTTTGTAGTTTGGGGTGATTCTGAGGGATTGGGATCGGAAACAGCACCTGGGCAAAGAAAAAAAAGCACAAACTATCGGCAAACACGAAGATCGACTCCGGTTTAAGCGTCGATCAGCACGGCAGGGTCCATCTCACCGCCATTTGTTATTATCCGGCATAATACGGCGGTGAAGCTGTGAAGTATACAGCTTCCTACTAGAGACTGCAATTCCAAGTCCCCAGCATGAATCTACAACATCTTATGCGATACTCATGTCAGATTTCTGGCGGAAGTTGCCATATCGATGACCCTAAGAGCATGGGAATTCTAAATAAATTTTAGGAATCTAATCGCATCAACTCACGCATAAACATGAAGTCACGTGTGACTGTACATGGTACAGTAGATTACTAGATGCTAGATAGACTATAGTACTAGGATGCTGGAGAAGTGGAGAAATTGAGAATCTTCTATCAAATTTGACTTCCAAAGAATAAAGAAGCAAACTCATACTCGACCTGTCATGAAAATCTTCTCAAATCCTATCCAATTGATAAACCCGAGAAATGTGGACGATCTGCCGGCACCGAGCCCCCTTTCATAGCACGCTTTTCTTTCAATGTCAAAGCATTTCCAACAACGCAGGGTCCAAAGACCCCATGATCCCAACAGAAACATACATCCAACAAATATTTGCGTATGGAGATATCCAGATTGCTGGACTAGGCTGAGGGCAACTGGTTCCGCAACAGTAGTGGGAATTACCAAAGCTAAGCAAGTTATAGCAAAGGTGCGTGACATGCGCCCCAGACCAACAACCTCAGCCAAAACAGGTGTAATAGTCGCCCAAAAAGTGCCACATACCATTCCAGACAAAAGGGCAAACACTAGCAAGACCGCATAAGACTTTGCAGGTATCCAGATGGCCAGGCACACCACGCTGCAGAACGCTGTCAGGAGAGCAGGAACGGTAATTCTGCCGAATTTATCGCTGATATAGCCCACAAGTGGACGGGCAATGGTCATGCCTACATTTAGCATTGCACCGGCGACAGATCCCTGGTTGGCCGTCAGGCCAATAGAAGTGGCATAGTTGGGCAATGAATAAAACAGGGCGATATATCCGAACTCCGTTGTCATTCCCCAAAATATCACGAAAAGGACTTCAGGGCGCTTCAAATCATCAAGTACAATGGTCTGAGTTTGTTGGATGGACTGGGTTTTTCGTGTTTTAAGGAGCAAAGAAGACACAAGGTTGGCTCCCAAGGCACAAGCTGCCAGGATCTTGTACGCAGTGCGCCATCCGAGATGTTCAATGATATAGCTTGTAGCAAGATTGTAAAGAATGCCGCCAATCCCGGCACCTGAAGCCGCGATCCCCATGGCAAGACTTCTGCGACTTGAAAACCAATGCGGCAACACAGACATAGATGGGATATAGAGGAGTCCCATTCCAAATCCAAAGCAGATTCCTTGGGTAAGAAAGAGATGCCAGATCTCAGTTGCATAGGAAGCTCCGAGCATAGACCCGGATACTAGCACAGTTCCCAGAAGTAACGGTATCTTGACTCCGATGATACTTTGCGCCTTGTGCACAAGTGGTCCGATAAGGAGCGCCTGGGAGATAGACAAGCCCCCAATGAATGCATAGTCGATCCGAGTCGCGTTCGGAAAAGTGGAGTTGGTGAGGAAGTGATCGAGAATGACACCCCAAGCACTGTTGATGCCCCAGGTATGTACAATTATCATGAACACACAAAAAGTACAAATCCAGCCGTGTCCTCCATTAGGCGGGGTATCTTCCAGAGGACTAGTCTCAATGTTTTGCAAGTTCAATTCCGTCGGTTCTTTCCGCTGATCCGGCAGCTGAACTAGCTCGATAGAACTTGAAGCCATACCGACACTTGGTAACTGCGATAGGGTCAAAATGCACTCTCGGAGTTCTTGACTCGAGCGATTTAAATCATTGTAAACTTTTAGTACGAATGTCCAAGTAGAGGATGTGACCAATGTGACCAATCAGAAGGACGATACATTTGTGGTCTAGACTAGTCTGGCAAGTCGATAAGCAAGTATCCCCGCCAGCGATAACGGAAGGTCGTCACTAGTCAGCCAATGAGAGGATTCAGAGGACTGGGGCGGATTATTTTAGTCGGCAATCCAATGCTATGCTTCGGTCCTACGGATGTCGAGGGAAGCAAGGATCGTTGCGACTATGTGCGTTGAGATGAAGAGAGGAGAAAATCTTTCAAAAGGAATCCTAGAGTATCCTTGATACTTAACCACTTTCTGGTCCACTAGCGAGATACATGGCTGTTGATACATGGACTTTTGTGCAAATATAGATGATAAATCCAGCTTATCGTGGGTGGCAGGGCTCATCTCCAATCTCCTCCATCTTCAGCTCTAACAAGGTGGTCATGTGCTTCACCACTTCCCGATACTTGTCCTCATGGTAGCAGTTGAACAGTTCCAATGGATCCTCATCCAGATCAAATAGTTCCCACTCTTTCTCCTCGCCGCCAAGTCTTGCACCTTCGATGCCAAAACTCTCATTGTACCAATAGATCAGCTTATACCGCTTATCTCTCACGGCATAGTGCGCATGCGCATCGTGTATAATATCGCGATGCATCCAGTACCGGTGGTAGGCAACCTGCTGCCAGTCCGCCGGCGTCTTTTGTTGCACCAACGACCGGAAACTGACACCCTGCATATACGTTGGCAAGCGTAGCTTTGCGAAATCCAGCCATGTCGGTGCAAAGTCGACATTGCAAATTATATCGTTGCAAACGCTTCCAGCGGAGATCTCACGCGGGTATTTGATCAGGAAGGGCATGTTGAAGCTGTTTTCGTAGACGAGGCGCTTATCGAACCATCCGTGTTCCCCAAGGAAGAATCCTTGGTCAGATGTGTAGATAACGATGGTATTCTCGGACAGACCCTCTTCATCAAGGTAGTCTAGCATCCGACCCACGTTATCGTCGACGCTTTGGATCGTGCGCAGATATCGCTGCATGTAGCGCTGAAACTTGAACTGGGCGAGCTCCTGGCGTGTTTGGAAGGTGAATACGGTACCGTCTTCTTTATCGATCAATTTCATTTTAGTCACATCTTCAGGGTCAGGAATTTTTCGCTCCTGCGATGACCATGAATCCACCATCTTCTCTCCAACGATATGGGCGGGTCCATCAGGTTGTGCAAGTCCGAGATCAAAGTAAGTGAGATCTTGCGCCACGCGCATCTTGGAAGCAGCGGCTGATTTGGCACGGTTTTTATAGTCATCTGTGAATGTATCAGGCACCTTGATCGGGTCTTTATACAGGTCTTTATGCTTCGGGTCGCATTCCCAGCTACGGTGGGGCGCCTTGTGGTGACACATCATGAAAAACGGCTTCTTGGTGTCTCGAGATTTGATCCACTCAAGACTTTTATCAGTGATAATGTCCGTCGCGTAGCCCTTCTCCCGCACAGTTCCGTTGGGCCCAATGAACTGCGGGTCATGATATTCGCCTTGTCCAGGAACAACTTCCCAGTAGTCGAATCCTTTCGGTTCGTGTGCCTCCCCTTCACCCAGGTGCCATTTTCCAACCATGGCAGTTTGGTAGCCGCCCACTCGGAGGTGCTTGGCCACGTTTGGCATGTGCTTGTTGATTTTGGAATCGAGCGTCATGACGCCATTGACGTGGTTGTGGGTACCTGTCAAGATCGCGGCACGGGACGGGGTACAAATACTGTTGGTGACATAACAGTGGTTGAACTTCATGCCTTCGTTGGCTATCCGGTCGAGGTTGGGAGTGTGGTTAATACCAGCCCCATAACAGGAGATTGCTTTGGAGGCATGGTCATCGGCCATGATGAAGAGAATGTTTGGGCGAGCGTCCGCCATGACGTTAACAAGTGAAAGAGTCTAAGCTCAGTAAGAGTGATTTCTGTCGGTCAAGTTGAGAAAAGGCTTTGAGAAAGCAACTGACTGAGGTCCTCCACGGTTATTATAAACTCAGAAAGGGAAGGACAGAGGGGGTGACGTGTCCATAGGATGAAAGGCATGATTGAGATTTCGAATCGCGTCACCACAGGATGTGCTGATTGGGGAATTTATGTAGCTTCAGTCTCTGCCAGCCTTTGGAGCCCCGTAATGGATCTTTTGTAGCGATGTGAATGGTAGAGACATGCCGAGTCGCGTGAATATCCAACCTCCTCCCCCGCGGATCCACATTTGAGCGGCACTCGCCGGTAGTCGGTACTAAAGCTCTTTTATTGGTCAACTTGACAACCCACATTTTGTTCCATCATAATTTTTGAATATCCAACACCTGTCAATTGATAATGGCCGTTCAATGAGTTTGATGCATAATGTGTACATAATCAATTTTTATTGACCTGCAAATGTGTATATCCTGCCCTTCGTGCCTACCTAGTAGGTACACGGACCCAGGTAAGGAAGATTTCACGTACTTAGCAGTACGATGTGTATAGATCAATTAATATTTGAATATATATATGTTCAAATTTTATACCCACCTAGGACATATATATGCACACATGAACTGTATGTACATCTCAAGGGGCACATTCAATGTTTGAACCTTCAAATTCAAACATCAATTGGAATGGATCAATCAATCAATTCAAACGTTGATGGGACTTGAGTTTCAAATGTTGAAAACAATTGATTAAAACCAAGTTGACTAATGCCGTTTATATATAACATTGAACGACAATTCAAATGGAAACAGTGGGAGATCCTTACATAAAGAGGTGCTGAGTCCTTCTACTATTTCTTTAATGTTTGAAGTAAGACAGATTTGAACCTTGGAACATCAATACTGTGCAGAATAATTTTTTTGAAGTATGGATGGATACATCTATGGTCATTCCCGAAGTATTACCTATTTATGATTCAAATGTTGGCTTTGTTTTTGACGAGGCTTGAAAGTCGACTCAATAAGAAAGAGTCCTTTCAAAAGATTATCAAGGCTAGGGGAATAATAGACGAGTAACAAGCACTTGAGGGAACAAGAGGAGAGAATAACATAAAGTTGGCATGAGCGTGTACACATGTAGGTGCGCGGGCATTTGATCCAGGACCCAAGATATGATACACCAAGCCATCCCACAGGCCCCAGTCTCAGCTTCAGGACTTTGGTTCATGACAGGTAGTACATGTAGGCAAGGTTCCAATGTTGTACTACTAAGTTCTTATGACGGTGGACTTCAAGGGGCAAGTGCTCACATGAGCACATGAGCACATGGGCAAGACATTCAAACTTGGAGTTCCAATCTTAAAAGAGCCGAAACCGGTGATTTTCAAAGTCAATTCAAGTGCTTGTCCGTATCCCAAAATTCAAATCTTCTTTGCAAGCTTAGAATTTGACGATTCCAAGCTGAAAATGACAGCTTACTTAATGTTTACATTCAACAAGGTCTGTATGAATCGAGACGACATTTCATTGATCTAACATTGGAATATTTATTAGTAAAGGCAAAAAGGATGTGGTCTCACCGCAGAGTCTTACGACATCAGGGAGGTGCCCAGGTGGACAGCAGCAATAAGGGTTTGAGTGAGTCGACTGGTGGCTACATTCAGGATAGAACTTTGTGCATATACCTCAAACCTCCGAGGCTTGCAAAATTGAAGATTTGAATGAGGTCTAAAATCTACACTGTCTCTTGGAGTGTGCAATTTCTGTCCATTCGAGAATCACAGTGGTTGATGGTTGAAAAAAAAGTCACATTGCAGCCCGGAGACATGTATGGATTCAATGTAAGGACGAGCTGGGTCTCACCTAGGCAACAGAGAGACTACCGCCATTTGTCTAGAAAGTGGGCATGTAAAGAACCGTTAGGCTTTATCCACCCAAGTTGGCCAGTGCGCTACTTAAATTGGTACCGAGCATGACGGATGATAAAGTTCTGTCACATGTGGTTGGATGATTGGCAGTTCAGGCGCCATACTAGTATGTAACAAGAACATGTGTACTACGTAGTACGCTTGAGTAGTTAGGTGAAACGATCGTACGATATGAACGTGGAGGTCCTATTGCCAATTTTGGTTATGCCAAGGATGAAATTTCTTTACATTTAGGTGAAATGGCCATGAGGTTCAAATGTTACCTATTTAGGTTGAAGGCTGGGTCCTACGATCTCGAATTCTCCAAATCGAGAATATTTTGCCTATCAAGGTGGACGGGATAGTTTTACTTCGTACTTTATCTGGAATAGACACTTGATCGTCGCCAGAGAGACTGAAGATCGACAGAGTTCTGTCTCACCATGGATAATCAAAGCAATTCCGTATTAATCTCCCGTATTCCTGTGTTTCAAACCTGCATGGGGGGCGTGTTGATGAATAAGAGAGTTCTAATTTCCGGGCCAGAGGCAGCATATTAAGTGGCGGCGACTATTGACCAGGAGTGCAGGACCCTAAGCCGATCTGCGGCGAGTGGAAATAAAAGAAAAGAGGCCCTGGCGGGATTTGGAAGGCGTTGGTCGAATCAGAAGAGAGGGAATCCACGAGCAACACATTCTCGAGCTACCCAATCGGCTCAGGCCGAGCCGGAGAACGGAGTTTTGGGTCTAGAATAAGAATAGAAGTCGGGAACGGCAGTTCAGTCACAAGGCGCTGAAAGGTGAGGGATCGGCCAGTCGATATGGCGATCTGGGAGCACGTTCCTGCATGACACGGTGGAGACTGCAGGGCGTAAGGGAACTTGCGTTCATGTTCAACGGCGTGATACGCCTTCGACGCCTCCTACGGGGCTGAACTAGTGATCTTGCGTTGCATGGACCACTTTAAGCGATCCTAAACGATGCATGTGGTTTATATCGGATACTCGGGAGGGTGATTGCGGCAAAAGTTAGCTTCGGGCGGATGAGATATTCTCGGCTAGGCTGATTGAGAGCTGCGCGTACACCGTACTCCGTACCACGGAGTAGGATATGATATAGTGTGATCCAAGGTTTGGTGGATATGGAGCGTAGTCTAGCCAAGCTACATGTGCTGCTCCGGATGTCGGAGTCATAATGCTCGTAAATGCTCGTGTGGTCAAAAAGGCAGGTCAACTTGGTCGACGATGCCTAGAATGTGGATCGGTGTGAGTCGTGTGCTCCTCGGGGTCTTTTCGGGGTGGTCCCATCGAAAGATGTCCCACGTTTCTTGTTTTTTTTGACCATGCTTGATGAATGATTTGATATGATTTGATCGGGTTGGTCGAAGCGGATCTCATGCCATATGGTTAGCGTGGCATAGGGATCGGAGGAGACCGTAAAAAGCATAAACAGCGCAAGAAGCGTGAAAAGTGTAAATGTAGGCAAGAATGCGGATGGGGCGGGGACTCCGGACAACTGACATGGGCCAATGGTGGAGCTGAAATGTGACTCCAGTGAACTGACTCCGGAACCCCATGTGCGTCGAGGGAGCGATGTGAGTCGGGGAAAAAAGTGGGGAGAAGACAAGGATGGTGGAGTAGATATCAAGAGATCTGATGATGTGATTGGTTGTAGATGAAATTGAATTCATGGGAAACAGTCAAAAGACCCAAAGCGGCAATTCCAAGTGGGGCCGCAGCCTCGACACCTTAATAAGCTTTGAATTGAGCACGGGGTGAAATGCACACCTCTGATTGGCCAATTGCCTGTATATCGAAATCCGTGCAACACGAGCTTCTTCTCTTGTCCTTTTGAACCATCTCCCGTGGTCGCATGAGAAAAAGCCATCTCTGTCCATGCCAAATTATTGCCAATATCGCCAATACTCGCTAATACATCGCCAAGTTACGCCTTGCAAGTCTTGGTGTTTCTTGTGTTTTGCTTGTCTATGCTAAATTTGATATCATTCAAACGGCTTATAATTACATTGTTAGCTTAAAAAAGAAAAACAAAGCCGATCGGGGTCTCTTTAACGGGCCAAAGAACACCAAAAAAAAAACGGAATCCACTTTCGTTTCTAATTTCTAATGTACGACTTGTAACCAAAGAGGTTCAAGTCCAATCAACCTTGCTCGTCTCAGATTACATGCGCGTGCTTCCTTCGTTGGTCTTGTTCTAGAAGGGACCTATTGCCACAGGCTAATTAGATTGGGAATATTGGGATTTATTTTTTTCTTTTTTTTTTTTTTTTTTTTTTTCGCCCCAGCTTCTCTCCCGTAACCAGCAAACTTGTTAGATGAACATTCAACTTCTGACCACTCGCGTGCCTTGAATGCCACACTCGGTCAATGCACCCGAGGTTGTCCCAGCATGTCGCAGAATGGGTCCAACCCGGAGCCAAAAAAAAAAGAATCCCCAAGAAATCCCCCAAAATGAACAAGCCAAACGACCCAGAAGACTAGTGCTAAAAAGGGAGATTGCCCGGCTCCACTATCATCGGGAATCGTGCTCCCATGCATGCATTCTATAGGCCCCTGGCCACTTGCTTTCCCTCCCTCGTGGTTCACCTCGCCTAGCGCCCTGCTGGGTCTGTTTTTTTCCCTCGTCGCATCGCGCGGTTTAGCCTGTCGTGCTGTAAGATAAATATGTCTTGATCTGCTCCTTTTTTCTTTTGTTCCGTGTCGCTCTTTCCCTTCGAAACCAACCACCCTTAACAAAAAAGCAACCCTTGCTTCCTCACCCATTCGGGTTCGAGTTTTATTTCACAATGGAGGCCCCTAAGGAAGTCCTCTATCACTTCGAGGAGATGGAGATCCATGAGAAGGCTGCCTTCGATGAGATCATCCGCCCCGCCGACAGTTACACCCCCGATGGTCGCTACTGGGCCGATCTCCCCATCGGCGAGCGTGTCAGCTTCTGTATGACTCAGGATCGCGAGGAGATGAAGAAGGAGTCCGCTTGGCTCTGGGATATGATCAAGACTGATCCCCTGTCGCCCATCTCCTACTACCTCCGCAACTTCGTCCTGCCCGGTATGGGTCTGGGTCTGGAAGGGTGAGTCGAGATTCCCAATCCGGAATTCTGACATATGCGGGGCAACCAAACTAACCAACCTTTTTTTAACCCTCAATAGTTACGTCCTTTTCTCTATCAGCAACGTCAGCGCTTTGTTCGATGTTAGCTACAAGGATTGCTGGAAGTCCGGCAAGACTTGCAACCCTAACTGGGTCGCCGCCGTCAACTACATGGAGGTTGCTGGTATTATGGTTGGTCAGGTTCTCGTTGGTTACTTGGGTGATGCGTAAGAAAATTCCCTGGGATGATTCTACCCGATGATTTGCTAACGGTGATGATTATAGTATTGGTCGTCGCTGGGGTCTTATCCAGGATGCTATCATCATGTTCATCGGTCTTGTCATGCTTACTGCCGCTTGGGGTCTTACCGAGAACGGCTGGGTTATCTGTTACATGTGGTCCCTCTTCTTCTACTCTATCGGTGTCGGTGGTGAGTACCCCATGACCGCCACTATCGGTATGGAGAACGGATACGGATCCGGCAAGGTCACCACTGCTCAGGATCGTCTTCACCGTGGTCGTACCGTCGTCGGTGCCTTCACCATGCAGGGTTGGGGTCAATTCGCCAACCAGGCCATCCTCATCATCCTCCTGCTGATTTTCAACGGCGGTCACTCCACCGGCTTCTCTCCCAAGACTACCCAGTGGGTTTACCGTGTCTCCTTCGCCATCCCCGCTGCCGGTACCCTTTGGCTCGTCTACTACCGTACCTACCACATGCGCGCTGCCTCCAAGCAGCTCGAGGCCCAGAAGAAGAAGTCCTCTGTTACCGGATACGATAGCCAGTCGCTCAAGCTCACTTTCCGCTACTTCACTCCCCGTCTTATTGCCACCGCCGGTGGATGGTTCGCCAACGATGTCTTCTTCTACGGTAACAAGCTCTTCCAGAGCAACTTCATCAAGGCCATCAGCAGCAACGACGACACTGTCATGACTGGATGGCTCTGGACCCTGGCCAACGTCGGTGTTGAGCTGTTCGGTTACTACGGCGCTATGTGGACCATTGATAACAAGCTCTACGGTCGCAAGTGGGGTCAGATCATTGGTTTCATGATGTGCTTCATCCTCTTCGTCATCCCTTGCTTCAAGTACGACTACTACACCAGCAAGGAGAACATCCACTCTTTCCAGGCCATGTACTTCCTGTCTTCGTTCTTCAACCAGTTCGGTCCCAACTGTATCACTTTCCTTGTCGCCGCTGAGGTCTTCCCCACCCCTGTCCGTGGTACCGCTCACGGTATCTCTGCTGCTTTCGGTAAGCTCGGTGCCCTGATCATCGCCATCGTCGGTTCCTACACCACCACTCCCCAGCGCTTCTACATTGTCCCCTGGTTCGGTCTTCTCGGTGCCTTTGTCACCTACGTCTTCCTTCCCGATACCACCGGTCTGGATCTCCGCGAGCAGGAGCGCCGCTGGCAATACCTGCGCGCTGGTCGCGAGGCTGACTACCACGGTCCCGCCGTGCACTCCAAGCACTTGTCCCTCTGGGAGAACTGGACCGGCAAGGGCAAGTACTACGATGCCGAGCTGGACTACAAGATGAAGGTCGAGGAGTTCCGCGGCGAGTGGGAGACTGCCATGGCCTCGCGCACTGCCGAGTCCGAGACTGCCTCTGAGGATCTTGACATCGATGAGGCCGTCCTCTCCGGTTCCATGCACAAGTACTTCGAGCGCACCAGCCCGAGAATGGAGGCCATGAAGAAGGACAACATCGATCCTCTTGTTCTGCCCGCCGCTGCCTCTGAGGGAGAGAAGACTCTTTCCCACGAGTAAGCGGTTCAAAAGATCCACTTGATCATACGCAATTGCTGTTCCTAGTCTCCCTTCCGAACTTGGATATATCTCTCCTTTCTCCTCGCTTTGAATATACTTCTGGGAGCGGACGGTGCAGCTTTTGTATAATATTAATATACTTCCTGGATTTGATTGTTTTTTTTTTCTTGAAGGAACATTGGAACACGGGAGATTGTACAAGGATGCCCCCCATTATGCCATTGTTAGAATACCCCTGAATACCCTGAGTTTCATCTTCTCCTTTTGTTTATATAAATTTCGTTCTTGAATATAGCAATATCAAAGATTTGCATTTCAACTTGGCATCTGATTCTATTTCAATGTAATATAATTGATCTAGTTCCCCACCTCCTGGATACGTCTGCTCCAAGCACTTAAGGCAAAAAAAAAAAAAGGAAACAGCCTTGGAAAATGGTTCAATGCACATGTGGGCTCGAGTGCTTGGACCTCCAGGGCTCGGAAGCCCCGGAGCTTCCCTGCCGTTCAAATGTTACATAGTAGTATATACTATTCGAATATTATTTGACAAAAGGTTCCTAGTATTGGAACTACTGAGGAAATAATAATTCAATGTTGGCTCTGCAGTCCCGAGGCCCTGTCGTGCATTCCCGCAGCCACACCTTATTTCACAAAGAGGTACTTAAGTATACCCCTTGCACACTCTTTTCTCTACCACTGTGTGTGATGACGCGAATGAAATTTCTTTGACTGGGACTAACCGGCCCTAACATAAATTTGGTAATATGTCAGGGGCCGGTTAGCTTTCCTGGGTCACTCAGCGCGTCATCGGCGATTCTGCGATAGATCTGCCACTGCCCTGAGAAGATCACCACTCGGAGCTCCCGAAATTTCTGCCGCGAGGAGCGCCGGCATATGAGATTACATCTGCGGACTGGCATGCAGTCACCATCACCATTGCATTTCTTGGGAATGTCTCGGTGCTTCTCACGTTTGATTCGGATATATCGGTAGCTTGGATCCGATTCCCCTCTCTCGATCTACTGTAACATGTTGAAAATTGTGGTGGAAGAGAATCAACATCATGTAAAGTCGTCTATCTTGTAGTCAATGTTTTACTTTACGTTTTCATTATAGCCAATAGGAGGAGACGGCTATGTTTTTTATATGTAGTTCTTTCTACTCTTTCTTCTCTCTTCCAATTTTTCTTTGGCTTTTTCGTATCTGTTTTTCCATCTAGACAAATTCCATTCCTCCCCATGGAAACATATCGAGCACATCCGTCTTGACCCAATATCCTCTCGTGCCCTCGCGATTAATCTCCGTAGAATCTAGAGCGTCCATCGCCCGCCAGACGGCAATCTCCGCATCCCGTTTTCGATCCCAGTCCCCTTCACGTATAACTTCTCCTTGGATCCTCGCCTTTGCCTCAAATGGCGTGAATGCACGTAGCGACGGCAAGAAGTGCAGGCCTTCCCGGCGGTCGTCTGCCTTCAATGATAGCCGCTGCTGTACCATTACACAATATAAATCGTCGGTGCGCGGTAACAATTTCTCTTCAATGAAATTGGTCACACTAGTAGTGACCTCGTTGCTCGCAGTTCTCACGTCATTATCATCAGTGAGCGGCGCAACAATCTCCATAGTAGGATCTGGGTCTGTTTTGAGAACGAGGTGGACGGATTTGCAAAATTGAAAGTGATTCTGTAGAAGAGAGATCACAGAGTCCAGAGATTGTAAGTCCTGATGGGCGCCGGCAGCAGCGAGATCTGCTGTCTTCTTGTTGGCTGAAGTAGCTGAACTATCCATAAGGGAAGGATCACCCTGATGAACCGGGCCAGACTCGGGCGCTACTTTGCAGCAGGCACTATAGAGACGGGGGAGATAAACGTTGACGATCACCCCGTCAAGGCAGAATTGGTCGTTTTCTGTGATTTGGTGGACTTCATCCCAGTATCTATCGCGTGATTTTTTTGTGAAGTGAGTTTATACTCTTTTGAATATTCTCTGTTGGGTTGGGCACTGGGGAAGTGCAGACGAAGCCTTGGACGTACCTCTTTTTCCATAGAACTGCTTTGTGGAGGGATAGTGATATGCAATCATCCTTTCCGCTATGGGCAGTTAATGACGGGTGTAAAGCACAATTGACGACACCATTTCGGAGAGAAATATCCTTATTAGGTGATCTCTTGTCTGTGAATAGTTGCCATGGAGAACTTGATCCAAAGCTATGAGCGCGAATATCGACTTGAATAGTGCCAGTCGTAGCCTTGTAGAGGCATCGCGTCAAGTTTCCTGTTATTGCCTCGTAATCCATTGGTAGAGAAAACTTCGGCTGAATTTGGGGAATAGGAAAAGAACCGGGTCGTAAGTCGGATATTGGAATTCCATGACTTTATCGAAATGTATTATATAATCACATTTGTTGTGTGCGGAAGGAAGATGGCGGACTGCGCTGCTCGAATTCGACCACCCTGGTGTGAACATTTTCCTATGTTAGTATGGCAACGCCTTAAGTGCTGTCTCTTATACTTGTTTACGGTTTAAATTGACAAAATCAGATTGCTGATTGATAAATTTCAGAGTAATGGGGATATCCGCTCAGCGCCCGAGCAAATCATCTCACGCCTGGGGCTTTTATTCTGAAATTTTCGGGCAATACATGGCTTGGATTTACAGTTTGACGACATCTGGAGATGGCTTCGGTCAAGCGGACCAACAAGAAACCTTGGAATGTCTGCCCCATGATCTCATTTGCCCTCAAAATAGGGCTTTCAAATTTATGCAACGTTGCCAGGAATACGAGAATACGGTGAGCGGCAGATGGATAAAAAGTTTTGAGAAGTGTAAGGTTTGTTTGAAGTTTGTTTGGAATTTTGGGTTCTGTCTGTATATACAGGTCTATATCTATATGCATGAAATCATTCTTTTATAATGATCCATTGAGGCATATCCAGCATGCGACAATGGACCCAGAACCTCTATATCGCAAAAACAATGAAAAACGTTCACAAGTGGGAGAAAATATTTCCAGTCTAAAATGTCCTGACCAAGCAGGAGATCAAATGAAAGTACTGATGTTCTAGATGACACTTAGCCCAGAGTAACAACGTACTGGGCGCTGGTAGAGCAAGAGTTGGTATCGGTGTCATCGGGGTGCTGGTAAGAGGCAGCACAGTTGGTATCACCAGCAGCACAGGTGGCAGTAGTGCAGCTAGAGTCACTGGGGACAACGGAGAAACCGGAAGTGATGAAATCAGAGTCAGACTCGAGGTTGATGGAGGAAAGATCCCAGTAAAGGGTCTCGCCTTCCTCAGTGTACTCAAACTGGAGGACACTGTCCTCGTTGTCGGTGGTGGACAGCTTGATGGAGATACCGCCACCATCGGGGTTGGTCTGCCACTCCTCGCTGTAGGTACCGCCGCCAGAGTTGAGGGTCTGCATGCCACCGGAGGTAGACGAGGTGCTCCACAGGTAGACGTTGGTGTCCAAGTTGTTGACGATCTGGACGCTGCCGGAACCAGACGAAGTGGAGCTGGCACTGGTGCTGGAAGTTGTGGAGGTGGCGTCGCGAGCAACCATGTTAGGACGGGGCATGGCGGCAGCGGTGGCAGCAAGGATGCTGGTGATAAGAACGTTGGTGAAGTACATCTTGTAAAAAAGATTGGTAGAAGTCTTCAAAAAAGAAAGTGAAGGGTCTTCAAAAAAAAAGTGTATAAAACGAAGTGATTGTGTTGACCGAAGGGCCGTCTGTTCAAAATTGAACAAGAGAATGTGAGTGTCGAAAAGACACGAAAACACAAAGAGAATGGAGAAAGAGAGTGAAAGACTGGACTGGTTGAGAAACAAAAAAAGCCATCTCAGGGCGACATGAAGACCTATTTATCCTACATGGTGGAGTCGGTAACGGCCGGAAGCTGATGAAAATGCAAAAAGTTTGGGGATAAAGAAAATTGAGCAGTGGAAGTATGGTTGAGCAATAAGGTTATTTCGGGTGGAGCCTTGATGGAAGGCCAGACCTTCTCGACCACTTTGTCATCGCCTCATCGCCTTACGTGGAGACCCCATGCCATCAGAGTTCTAGAAATTTCTTCATCCGTTCCTTCCACTTCAACGGTAGAGCTTCTTGTTCGTCAAGAGCGGAGGCGACTTTGACATAAGCTGTGGCCGTTTTGGGGTTCTTGGTCCACCTACGTACCGGATTTCCTTTTGACAATTTTTGGCTTCCTTTTCCGGATTAGTGCTCACCCTGTCGCCGCTTTTACTCACTGAGTAGGTCTGAGCACGGCCTTCGGCTCAGTGAGTCTTACAGAAGCCTTGCTCATGCTCAGTGAGCCGGGCCTGAGCAGACTGATCACTGAGCAGCTCCCCACCGTCACGTGATAGACCGGTGACGCTTAGTGAGTACTCAGTGAGCACTCACTGAGCGCTCGGTGATCATGATTGGCTGCTCACTGACACCCATACCTCCGTTGATTACTAAGAGGCATTTATTGTCCACCCAGTCTACTACCAGTCTATCCCCGAAGAGGCATATTATCTCCATCACTGATTACTGATCTATCTATATTTTGATGGCCCTTAATTACCGCACTGTCTGTGTTTCATAAGCTACTTAATCTCCTATCCCCTCTTTAACACTAGAGTATAATAACGTAAATCTGAATTATACCGTAGTGCTGAATACTAGTCTGTGAAAGAAAAAAGATTCAGTCATACACAAGACCCAATCACACAAACAGCGAAGCACTCAAGAAGCTAGAGAATCGAGGCCATGTCATCCAGGTTCTTACTCATCGCATTGGTAGGAGAAATCGTTCGGAGAGAGTTCGCTCGCGAGCCTCTCTGCCTCCTCAATCTCTCCATTTTCCACCAGCTCCACGACCCGGTCGAATGTTGTCTCCAGCTTGCTGCTTTTCCTCCCTGAGGGCGATTTTACCTGACAGGTGGGCGTAGCCAACAGTGTTCAAAGAACGGAGAATAGACGGGTGTGTAGCATACCCTAGTTTATGAGTCATGTTAGCTATACTTCCCTTGAGTTTAGTAGATAGAACTTACGGAATTCTTGGAGCTTCTCAGCACTTAGGCCATAGATCAGTTGAAAGAGGCGTCGCTCTTCTGGACAGTGATCTCGTGACTCGTCGTGATAGGAACATAGAAGCATCTAGCAGAGCGTCACCACCATGAACCTCTGATGAATTCAAGATGTAGATGCGATTTCTGTGTGTTCTGTTGAACCCGGTAACATGCTCATAGGAACATAGAAGCATCTAGCAGAGCGTCACCACCATGAACCTCTGATGAATTTAAGATGTAGATGCGATTTCTGTGTGTTCTGTTGAGCCCGGTAACATGCTCACGTAAAAACGTGAGGTAGTTTCGCTCTCTGATTGCGGCGGCCGATAGAGGCCACTGTCAGATCCACAAGGATCTGGGAGAAACGAATGGTAATGAGGGAGAGAAAGAGACGGAGAAAGAGGAGAAGAAACAACTGTATTCTTCTACAGAGCGGGATGGAGAGGGGAAAGGAAGAAGGAAGGAAGGAATGAGAGAGATAAGCTCTCACTTCCCTAAACTACCGACTACTAACCCTAGCCCTCTCACACACAAAACCAACCCACGCGCTGGAGCATCTAGGAGCAGACCATGTGATACATCACATGGTTCACAATCTCCAACAGCCACCCCTAGGTCAAATCCCAATTTCAACTTTCCGACCGGCAGAAAGTAAATTACGAGTAATTCCAAATTGATATTAGTTTCATTATTTTGAACTCCATTATGTTCAGCGCTGCATTATACATTAAATCCTTAAAATCTATTATATATAATATTTGAACACTATATGATATATATATACTATATTATATTAATTACTTCTCTTTCTCTATATAGGTAAATTATCATAATAACTAGCAAGAAAGAGAGGCTAAACCCTAATTAATAATAATCATACAATCCATTCTTAAGTCTATCCTCAAGTCTATCCTCAAGTCTATTCTCAAGTCTATCCTCAAGTCTATCCTCAAGTCTATCCTCAAGTCTATTCTCAAGTCTATTCTTAAGTATATTCTCAAGACTACTCTCAAGTCTATTCTAAAAGTGACCTGTATTTGGATCAAATCCCTTAAGATATTCCTATATATGATAAATACAATACGGGAAACAGTGCGGTGAAGTTAGAAACTGAAATTGGGATATGACCTAGGGGTGGCCTCTATCGGCCGCCATACTCTGATGTTCATCAATGACTCTAGGACTATATTGAGCGTTGTCTTGACGTCCCTAACTTCTTCTTTCAGCTGTTCCAGCGACTCGAAAAGAGACGCGCCATGTTCATTGGCCATGATTCGATGATTGCGAACGATGCGATATGTGGCTTGGTTTGCTTCAGCGGCGATGTTGGCTCTCTGATCATCAATCGTATTCTCGTTGGACAGGATTCCCGAGACAACGAATTGAAGGTCTTGCGGGTGCTGCTGCTATGCGAGGGATGTGTCAGTTAAGTCATACGTAAAGATGATGCGTACTGACCTGAGAGACCTGGGGGGTTTCGGCCGAAGGAATCCCGGCCCGACGCAGCTGCTTTGGTTGGCCGCTTGAAGAGCTTCTTCCAGAAGCCGCGTTACCTCTTTTCTTAGGCATGGTGTCAAGAAACTGAGTTGTTGAAGTGAAAGGTAACAAGAATGCCTAAGTGTGGGTGGGAATCGTGAAGAGAGGATGATGATGATGAGAATGGACCTTGGGTTGGCTCGCAGAGAAGTCACTCTTTCTTTCTTCTGCGTGAAATTGGCAGCAACGACCACATCATGTTGACTCGAGAGCACGGGACTTGCAAATTTGGAAAGTATCAATCAAAAGAAAAAGAGCAGAAAAAGCATAAAGAAAATTTAACCGGTCACAATAATAAATAATATTCTGACACCCGGAAACAAGAGACTTTTTTTGGCCTTCTTTTTGAGGAAAATGGTACTTCTTAAATGTTACTTTAGCTCTTGTATATGGGAGGGTTTATAATTGATGGTCAAGAATGAAGAAGTAGTTAAGGCATGCCTAAACATGATGATCAATATATACTGGGCTCCTGGGACTGGTATGTGGCAAATTTTAATTGCGGTCGACACTTAGTTCCCAGGAATTGGACAAAAACTAAGTACGCTTAAGAGAACTACAGTAATTCCTAGGAGTATTCGTAAAGATCAGACAGGTGATACTTGAGGGGTAGCCGAGAACAAATGAGCAGAGCTAAGTGTTCCTGGGAGCAAAGTGCTAGATAGTAGCTGATAGGCCAAGTTTTGCTATCTGTTCTGTTTGATCACGTCGTTCATTGTTAGATGAGGATAGTACGTAGTCAAGTGGGAATGGCCATTCGCTTTTATGTAGGTGGGATGATGAATATCTTGTTTTGAGCGAGTGGGGCCTTGAGGCAGCGTAGTGAAATTCGTTTTATTGGGGTAGCTCACGCACGTGAATCACATCATTGCGCCTGCGCAGTGAGCCTGAGCCCAGACTGAAAATTACTCAGTGAGCCTGAGTCTGAGTGCCCTCATAAAAGCGGCGGCATCCCAAATAGGAAATCCCCACCCGTCAAAGAAAATCCAGTACGTATAGTGACCTACGTAGGGTTCGCCTCTTGCCAACACGGAACCAAAGAACATAGGCGGCAAAGTTTCCTCGCGGGACCTGACCTCGGGATTCAGAACACCAAAGAGAAGACTTCTCGAATCTGGGTTCTCGAATGAGATACTATTTCAGGCCGGGTACCTTTTCTCCGGACGTCTTTGAACCTGAACAATTTCCAAGGTTCCTCTTGAAAAGAAAGAAAGAAGAAGAAAGACGTTCAGGGAACAAGACAATTTGGTCCAGAAGGTACACGCTCGTCATAGTACCAAGAGATTAGGACCCTCCCCCGTAGTTTTCATACCCCCCATCGATAAAATTAGCCTGTCTGACCAAACTATGCACTGCCAGATGGCTGTGGCGATGCAGGCTCTGATCGAATGGTGGCAATGGGTAGCAAAGTTCTTTGTAAATCGAATTGGGTCCATTGCTTGACAGGTCTACCAAATGTTGCATGTCAAGAATAATCTTTTCGACAGATGCAGAGTTTGCAAAGAATCGCCGCAGCACATTGAGCGCGACATTTGCGCTCCGGATTGCATGATCGAAGTCGATTTGCACATCCATATCTGGAGCGCAGGGGAGAAACAATGTTAAACGGGTCGCATGGTATGCGCATACCGCAACGTAGGGTGGGAGTAGGACCGGTGAAGGCGATAAATCTAGAACGCCTCGAATGATGCAATTAATGCTTTGAACATGCTCTTGGCACTTCTCCAGGGCCTGTGCTCTAAGATTGGGTTCGATAGAGTCGGTGATTATTTTGGGGGCCGCGCCATCGTAGTTAGGAAGGAACAGCCGGTACAGGTCACAATGGGCTTGGTGCCAGGTAATCGAAATTTGGAGATAGCGCACAAACCATCGCGAGCTTACCATCTGAGCCACGCGAGTGGGGGTTGCGACCTGATACTGAAAGGAAAGTTCGATGTCAGCCTGGAGTCTCCACAGGTCGTTCTGGATCTCCTGGACAAGCCCACTCAACTGCGGGAGTGGGTGTTCCGAAAGTGCGAGTTGCCGCGTAAGCCGCATAATATCCTTCAAAATTTTGGAAATTCGAATCCCAGCCGAAAATAAGTTGCAGCCTGCTGCTGGATCATTGTCCAGCCATGGCCAGTGTGTGCCTGTTCTAGATATAGGCTGACCATCTCGAAACTCTTCTTCCGAGCTTGGGAGCCGCTGATAGATGACAGAGTGGGATATCGTTTCATACTCCGGGAGGCCTACAGAGAATGAGCCATCGATAGAGCTAAGAGCCCAAAGGACTCGTCGACGTGTCTCTTGGGCTATGAAGCTCAACTCCGGCCGTTCGTGGTTCAGACGCAGTGCAATGGCTCCTCTGGCTGCTAGTCCGGCAAGCATAAAAGCCCGCGAAAAGCGACCAATCTGTATATAGTAGTGAATGACGAGAAGAAGAGATTGCAAGCAAAAAATGGTAGGCTTCTCCAGTTGATTCCAAATGTTCATTTCCACTGTCGATATCCAAAGGCGACTTTTGTCCGAGGGATCTGTATCAGTTGACAGAACTTCTTGAACTACCGCCACGAGTGCAAGTCCCAAATTTTGGTCAAGAGTACCTTTCGTCGATTCCTGGCGAACAGAGGATTCGTGCAAAAAGGCATACGTCAGGATTGGATAGAGGTGTTTGAAATAATCATTGATGCTCTGCTCAAGTTCATCTCGTTGGATAAGAGAATTTGGCCTACTTGCTGGTCAGGAGTCACTGTATTAGGTACCTGCGTAAACAAAGACTTACAATGTTTCTTCATGCTTTCCATTATTGCGGTGTATTTCAAGCTTGTCTTGTGTTTCATCACGACTCGAGTCGGATTTTGTCGGGTAATGACATCGTCTTTGACGGCGCTGGCAATTTGCGCATTCAGGGGACTCTCCTGAGCAGCGTGCTTTTTGTCGACGACATTCTATGCAAGCCTGACTTCCTCGGCGGCGTTCGGGATGGTCTGGCGCTTTGAGATCTGCCTGTAGGTTTACAGGACCAACTCGCTTTTGAAAGGAGCAGGAGAATTGTAGGCGTTCACAATTTTCACATTTGTCCTGTCGACGATCACAGCGTACCTATGAGGATATTAGTTACTATGTCTTAAGAGCGACCTTGGAATGATGGGTAGATTGGTATGTGGTAATAGAGTGAACCATTTACTTGATGCGTACTACATACCTTTCGGCATCGACATTGAAAGCATGGAGAACGCTGGACACGGCCCATCTGAAGGTGCCCGAGAAGAGTTTATGCTTTTGGTATATTCCGAAACATGAAAAGGCGATTCGGCAATCCCAAGGCTCGAGAATGAAGATTCTTGTAGATAGATGAGGCCCGCGTACAAATGGCCTAGTGCGTGTTAAAGTCAGGGGAAATCTGTTTACCGGCTTTTTGTGGGGTAAAGCCCTGATCACTGATGCCATCCGTCGTTAGATCACACCACTAAACCGTTTCAGTGGGATTCTCGTAGCCTCAAGAAGATATTTGGCTCAAAAACTGGTTCCTATTAGTACTATACAAGATTCGAATACATCGCCATCTTCCTACAGTTGTTTAGACAAAATCCTGCAAAATCATGTATAACTTCTGGGTATAAATTTTCCCACTAGAGACCGGCCTCGGGATAATGATTGGCTCTATAGGTAAATAGTCAACTGGTAAGACTATTTTCTCATTGATCAAATGCCATGTGAAATCTGTAGAACTCATATTCCAGGCTTTAGATCTGTGCAATAAGTACTATAGGTATGAAAAAGGCAGAACGTATGATCTATCTGAAAATCATATGGTGATCAGGTATTACCGAGGTAAGCCGCACCCGTTGATTTACTGTGAGGAGCGATGATCATTTACTACGAAGTGCATATGATACAGACGATCTATGGGACTACATCCTCTTTGATAGGCAGCAGAGAAGCGGAGAACCCCCTCAAAACCAGATTTCTCGCTCATACGTTAGTCAAAAGTCCAGTTGGAATGATTGTCTACATCACCATTAACTAATTCCCCACCGTTGATAGGCGCTTCCGAGATCCCCGGAGCTCCGGACTATCTAATCTTCCGAATCCCCACCCGGCATCTCCCTTTGCCATTAAGAGTAAAAAGTCACGAATCAGCCAATTCTGTCCCCTAATGCCTTCGCCCCTCGCCTTCATCCCTATGAATCCGCCATCATGAAATTCTTCGAAAACAAATTCACCTATGACTACTCTTTCCCTGCCGTCTCTCTCGCCTACTTCCTTCGCTACCCAAACCCCTACTCCCGCCATGTCCTCACTACCGACGTGATTGATCGCTACGTCGATCCCAACACCCAACGTCTGCATACCACTCGCCTCCATCTGAAAAAGTCCAAGGTTCCCGCCGGAATTCTCAAACTACTCCCCAAGGGAATGGGCGGCTCCGATAACTCCGGCCAGAGCTACATCCTTGAGACCACCGTCGTTGATCCTCACGAGGGCTGGATGGAAACCGAATCACGCAACATGGAATGGACGGGTATCCTCAGCGTCGTGGAGAAACAGCGATACCAACGGCTCCAGGCCGAGAATGAGGTTCGCGCTCTTGACGGTCTCTCTATCGATCAGCGAGCCGAACAGACCACGGTCCGCACCACTGTGACATTCAAGTCTCGACTTGGACAGGGCAAATTGCTTGGCAGGAAAAAGACGGACCCAAATGAAGCGGAGGAAGATGTTCCCAAAAAAGGATTCTTCTCCTCTCTGTCTACTGCTGGTATCCAGAGAACCATTGAGCTGATCGGCGTGAGTCGCACCCGGGACGCCGTGCTGAAGAGCAAGGAAGGAATGAATGTTGTGCTCGAACGTCTTCGCAGTGGCGGCATTGTTGCTGTTCTGGAAGGTATGCGGCGAGATCGTGAGGCATTGGGGCTCGACAAAGCCTTGGCTCGTGTGTAGCTCGGCCGCATGGGGCTGGACTCACAGGCCATCCCTGGTGTGGTCACCATATCAAATTAGCCTCTGGGCTTCTGGCATTTTTTAATGTTTCATTTTGAAACATATGCCTGCATCTCTTTTTACTCTCTTTTATTTCCAGCGTGGAGTTACGGAGTTTGGGGCATTGACGGACACTCTCCCATGATAATTTCTGATTTATTTTTCACGGCTTTTCTAATTTGAAAACGAAAACCACTGTACATGGCCATCAAGGCCTGCATATTTCAAGCATTTGCTTTGAAGCGTTGTATCATACCGAAGGGGAACTGAAGGCCTGGGGCGGAATGGCCATCCTCAAGTGTACTATATCATACTATGTCAACTTTTACTTCATTATGGACTTTTATTTCATATTTATCTCTTGTCTTCATTGATCTACTTACTCACAAGTCTTTTACCAAAACCAGGTACTATTTATATACTACTAGCATGTGGTGATCCATATCAGCTCAGAAACGCGTACCAGGGAAGGTACATTCGCGTCCAAACATGCATCAACACTACTAGTACTGCCTTCAAACTTCTTCGAGTCGAACAATTTCGCGTTTTTATTCTGATTCCATTCACAGCTTTCCCACCTACCCCGCCCTCCAACACGTTTCAATATCTAATTGACGACCAATCTCACTCTTTTCATTCTAACTGAACCTCGCCTTTCAGCCCTCCACAAAAACCCCATACTTGATACCACACTCCAGGCCACAATTTGCCGTATTTCTAGCTTTTGATAAGCGAGGTGTGGTCAACTGGCCTTTCTTGCATGATGTCACGGCGAAGCAAACGCCGCAGGTAGGTTGATCCGTGAACCACCTAAGAAATCAATGAAATCAATGTTTGTGCTAATTTACCATGGTATGTAGAATCAAGAATCAAAGAAAGTCGTTAAAACAGGGCCATAGCTCTACCAGTGACGACTATCCTTATTGCCTACCGATGCCGGAGGCTGGTGACAGCCTCGAAGTCACAGCATCCAAGCTTCATGGCATAGCCGATGCAATTCACAAAGGGGGCAAATTCTTCATGACGAATGCAGAAATCACCAACCCTCCTACTCGTCCATGTAACTTGAAGGAACCTTCCCAGATCACAGAGAGAATGGCGATATGCATGATGAACCCGGCCGAGCAGGCTGCATATTGGCAATGGAAGCTGAAGAAGGTCAAATTACCGGTCATTGATTGGGTTGAAAACAGTTTAGATTTCTATGGGCGTGACTCAAAGAGGACGTTCACCTTGCTTGCCACGGCCATTGATCTGATCTGGGATATCCGAGGCACAACCCTACAAAACGCATGTTGGATCAGCCATCACAAGCCCGAGGTGATGGATCTAGTGATGGCTGTGAAAAAACTATTAATTGCTCAAAAGAAGGTGAACGCCTTACAATTACTCTCTACAACGCTGAATGAGAGCTTGAACGCCGAAATCCAAACCCTTGAACGTGTGATGGCAACTTTGTACACGAACCTTGGTCAAGAGCTAGAGCGTGTGAGGGTGACTGTGAACACGAATTTTCACCAAGAGCGAGAGCGTGTGCTCAAGTCAACCAAGTCTATCCGCGAGTCGCAGGCGTTACTCACATGGAGACTCGATCTGTTGATGAAGACTCGATCTGTTGATGCGATCTGAAAATTAGGGTGTCCGCTTTTCATATTCTTGTCTACGGCTCTTCTAATTCGTGTGGTTTTTTCTTCCGGCGTTACACCATACCAAACCACGATCTTATGCGAGATACAAAGGAACCAACAACGTCCTGTGTTAAATTATTCGTGTAGCATACACTGATTGGTTCAAATGATCCGCCTTCAGCGCTATTCTCTGATTGAATGAATGAATGAACTAACGAATGAATGATTGTTTAATTCTACCTTGATTCTTACTTTTAGCTTGGCAATAAGCTCTGTATTTTTTATTTACTTTTCTCTTATTACGGTATGACTGTGACTGCCAGTTATTTCGGGACAGTAATACAAGAGAAGCACTATGCTGATTAATAGTACTGACTCGACATCAAAGATTCACCTGCCAAGAATCTTGGACTACTGGACTTGACTCAAGGTCGCTGAATTGACTATACCCTTGTTCTCCACCTGGGCACCAGATTCCGAAAGATCCGCTGTTCTCACCAATGATAAATTGCAGCACGTCCCACCTGAGCACTCTCCAGCCCAATATATGACGCAGTTGGATATGCGCAAAGCCTCCTGTCGGAATGCGCCGAACCGACTCCGCGTCTTACGTCAGAAGATTCTTGCTCATGGAGACCCTGGATGATTGACAGGAGATTAGCCGAGTGATCACCGTCTCAGATCTGATACCGCATTGCGGCATTGGTATCCCGTTCTGCGACAAGGATCGGAAGCTATCGGGCTTGTTGTTGCAGAGCATAATGCAAAGACGATATGCAGGCAACCCTGGTGTAACCGAGATCTTGCCAATTTTTGCCAATTTTGCCAAGAAAGGACGGTCTCCGGTCGACGATTTAATATGTTTGGAACGAAGGGGAAAGAAAAATAACCATTAGCTTTCAGGTTAACGATGGCTAGGCTGGTTATCGTTTGGGTGGGCCAAAAGCCATACCACAATTTTTTCTCTCTTACTTTCAAGTTCTCCTTTTTTCTTCTTTTTATTCTTCCAATCCGCTTATTCTTCCCCGATAAGCAATCTCTACTGATTTATTTTCAGTCCACAGGCGAGTCATACGAGAAGTACTCCGTACCTCAAGATTATGATACACAGGGTTCGATAGCGCCACCAACAGGAAGGGGACAACAAGGGTCCTGTAGGCCACCATCATGGACGCCCCTAGCGAGATAGTGCGGACCCATACCGAGACATACGAGCCCCAGGAGTGGCCAGTTCCTACTGAGCTGCAACCCTGACTTCCGATCGCCGCTTGGATTTGCCCTCTTTGTGAAATGTAATGCGGAGACTGAATCAGTTAGCGTGTCGAAGATTGTTCCCAATGTTTAGAAATTAAGAAAAAAAAAACCAAATTCAGAAATTGACCTATCGGTGACTTGAATTTCTATGCGCTGCACGACCCTGCAGAAAGTATCTCCGAGGTACTCTGGAGGAGAATGCTCGGAAGTTCCCTTTCTAGTTTCTCCCATTGCTTGATCACATTACTGTGTCTTCTCTTCTCCCTGGCATTCATGTTTTTTTTTTTTTTTTTTTTTTTTTCTGTTTATAACTTCATAACCAATAATCGACTTCCTTTGGCCTTGTTCTTTCTCTTTTTTTTCCTTTCTAAAATTTCTTTTAATCCGGTAGCTCCATTCCTCTTTCCCCATTTCCACTTATCCACCTTGGCAAAGGACCCTTTTTTGCCTCGTTCCCGAGCACAGACTCCGCTCAGCTGAATTCCATTGGCTTGGCTGGTTGCGAAGAGGATCTGGCTGATTAGGACCAGGGTATAACACCCGCCAAGTCCCTGCGGGGGCCCATTTTTTCCCTGGATTTAAACCCTGTCGCGAATGAGAGCCTTCAGTAATCTTGTCTGGTTCGTTTTATGATTGTCCTCGAGGATTTTCTCTTTTTCCGATCCTTCTTTTCTCTACCGTCATAATCCAATATCTCTCTTCTCCGACCGTGAAAAAGAGACGATGACCTTGGAAAAAACGCTACCCCGGCCAATTACTCGACATTCCCCTACTGTTTTGAGGGCCTTCACGGTCGCTCTCGACGACCTGAGCCTCCCGAGGTCCTCCTCCCCCGCCCCTTCCTTCCTCCGGTCGTGAGCAATGGCCCTCCAGCTCTGTATCTTGCTAGTCAGCTTGACTCTGCTGCAATGCGGCTCCGCTCAGTTCTGCTCCTTCTGGAATAATGGCTGCATCGACCCGCTCGCCCAGGCTGCCGTGGCGTTCAACTTCCCGCCTCTATTCCTCGACCCCATCACCCTTTTCTACTCCTTCGACTCGAGTTCCTCTGGTAAAGGCGAAGGTCCCATGACCAAGACCGCCTTCTGGCTCGGATATCAGGGTCAGAACATTAACCCCCAAGTCATCGATACGAATCGCACCTCCGAGATCGCCCTACGAGTCGGCAATTTGACCGGTACACCGCAGGGGCCTAATAATGGATGTGATGGAATCTGGGGTGGTCATTGTTCTCAAGATATCAAGAGCTCTCTACAAACGACCATGTTTCAACTCGCCACTTCGGGCGATTATTATCACCAACCTTTGGCCACAGCTTTGGACCAATTCATGATGACACCACCGGATCTACCGTCTTGCGGTGCGCCTGTATTCGATGTTGCCGCCATTCCCGTGCAGGGTACGTCTTTAATATAGAATTCCGCTTTAAATCAATTATATGCTGACTTTCTCATCACAGATTTTGTTTACGAACAATGGCCTTCGCAAGAAGTCACTATCATGAAGCCAGGCTCAAGCTATCACCCTTGGCAGGTATGGTACCTGGATCGCATGACCGACTCTCAACAAGCCTCGCAGGTCGCGGTGGGAATTGTCAGTCGTTCGCCCAGCTTTGATAGCCAGCCACCTCTCAGCCCAGACGATATTCAAATCGAACTTGTTTGCCTTCAGGCACCTCAGGGCCCGCCAACAGGATCCGGATCTCCCAACGATCACGATTGAGATCGATGTTCTTTGGGCGTTTCTTCTAATCGTCCATTGGTTTCTTTCTCTCAACTTCTACCACGACGTCGTTTCATCAGACTGATCAGACTAATAACGGGCCCGATTATGCATGCCCAGAAGTCCTGATTTCAAACATATCCGGCCAACGTCACATTTTCTCTACAGAATGTAACGTCTCTTGAGCCCAATGTTTTAATTTGTTCTGTTGTGGCCATGCGCTATGTACAGAATTCCTTGGTGGACAGTGTCCATCCTGTCCTTCCGGGAACATAATTACAGGTCACCTGGCCCATGTCGGTACCCAGACACATACCCGTCATCCCAATATCGGACACATGGCAGCAATCTGTTTATAATGTTGGCCAGCTATTGTCGACGGGCTTTAGATCTCCGGGTCCCCGGAAATCTTCCAAAATATCCGCCTGCTCGCTCAACATATGCCGATCGGTCTGAATACCAAGCCGGGCCAACCCACGCCACCTCTCCAAGTCCTTTGGGTTGCGCTTGTCACCGTGGGCCTCCTCCGCCTTCTCCCAATGCCCCTTCGAGAAACCAAGCAGAGTGGTTATCTTCTTCCGGTGGATATCATACACCAGCGAACATACAGTCCCCGTCTCTTCCAGCCAATTGCACTGCCATAATTCCCCCGGTCGGATGCATTGGTAGTCGGCTGCTTGGAAGTTGATTCGTCCTGCCATTGGTCCGCCGTGGATAGCATAATTGATGCGATCCTCGTTCTGGAACCACATCTCATATCGCCATGTTTCCGGTTTACCCTGCTCGTCCTGTGCAGCGTAATCATAGATCAGGTGTCGGTCGCGCAAATCGGCATCAAAGGTTGAGCCTTCCAGTGAGGGTCGGACTGGCATTTTGGAGATCGGAATTATTTGATAGCGATGATTCCGGAGAATAATAGATATTAATTGAAGACAAAATTTTGTTGTATAGTAGCAACTGGAAAATAAAATCAATTCTAATAGATCTTCCCCCTGCATGAATACCATTTAAAAGTAAATAACCTTAAATCCTCATATGTGCATGCGTCATTGACTTCTAACATGTTTCCGGCGTGATCTTCCTACTTTTTCTCCAGAGGATCCAGTCTACTCCAAATGGGCCCACTTGATGTCATTATGATCTCGACCACAACCCCGGATTTGGGAGCAAGACCAGCAGAATCGATAAACAAGAAAAAGAAAATCGGACCTATCTATTCTATGTGGAGGAAGGTCAAGCGAAGAGCAAAATCCACTTCAATTCAAACACCGAGTCAACATTTGAATCCATAATGTAAGGAGTAAAGCAGCCCTGAAAAGAAAACTGAACAGTTCGCTCCTTGATATGAATTGATAGCTCACTTGAGCATTAGAAAGCTCAACGATAAACATTCCATTGTCGCTTTCCCCCAACCATGCCGACTTTATGCCGCTGTCTAGACAAGTGGTTTATTGGAACTGTCGGTTCTCGTCGTGGTATGTACCTGCCCGAAGTATGTAATGCCGATCATCAGATAAACTTCATGATTTACCTATAGCATACTAGTAGCTTTGACCCATTTTTTATGCACTCGACCTTCAATAGTGTAACCATCGGGATTTGGAGATGCAAGGGACTAGTCACTTTTGAAATATCTGTTCTTAGGTCATGAGTGTCTTGAAATAGCAAATAGAAATGTCTTGTATACCAACACTAAAGTAAAAAGCCTCTGTTGTTTTAACTTACTATGATCCAAATCAATTGAAAACTACTTCATTGCGAGTGTTGACAGTACTAGTAGACTAGTAGCTCCTATTCTAAATTAGGCAATTGTTGAACTGTCAATCTGCGCGCTCTCCTCCACTCCTCTCCCCACGTGGCTCTACAGAACGTGGCTCTTGAGAATCTTAATGTTTACACTTGACTTCTTCTTTTGACTTCTCTTGACTTCTCTTCTGCGACTGCCTCTTTGAATATCGCCTCCCCTCACCAACCCTGTACGACTTGGCAGCTTCTTCAGAATGCTTCAGGTCCTTCTGGGAGTCGGTGCGCTGTTAAACGCTACGGCGTCTCTCCCCGGGGATGCTTCATACGTCGCGGCCCCTGGCTTCCCAACTTCTGCTTTTGCGTATGAACTCGGTGAAATATGATCAGTTTGGTACTAATAAAACGATAGATCGTACTACAAAGCACCGACTCTGCCAACAAAGGAGCCTCAGCCCATCATCTATGATTCCGTTCTGAATTACACTTTTCCTTTCGAGTTGACCAATCCTGATTCCATTCCCCAGAGTCAAGATGAGTTGTTCTTTCCCCCGCCTCTGGTCAGTCTGTCGCCGGTTGAGGGACAGGCTTTTATCGAGGCCGTGGTCACCAATGTGAGCAATATCCTCAAGAGCAAAGCTCCCGAGAATCAGTGCGAAAAATGCAAGAAGGCGCTCGCTGCAGCCAAGCCTGCAGCCTTGTTTACTCCAGCTATGGCTCCAGAGGCCATGGTCAGGTTGTGCAAAGCCTTTCAGTTTGCTTCTAATGTGACATGTGAAAATGACTACTCGATACATGCATTCGGCACCATCTGGACTCAGGTCTTGGCCTATGCGGACGTTGAGGGACTCGATGGTCAGTATATCTGCCATTCGCTCAAGAGTAGCTTTTGTCCTCAGCCTATGACTCGCCCACTCAATGCATCCAGTTGGTTTCCCAAGCCCAAGCCGCCCAATGCTCATGCCCCGAAAGCGAGCGGCGAACGGGTGAAGGTACTCCATATGTCGGACTTCCACCTAGACTCTCGATTCGCGGTCAGCTCGGAGGCAAATTGTTCGTCAAAGCTGTGTTGTCGTAGTGACAATCATAATGAACACTCGGAAGACAAGGCGCTCATTCCTGCAACACCCTATGGAAATTTCAAATGCGATACCCCTTATGATCTCGGTCTTGCTGCTCTGCAGGCCGTGGCACCATTGACTGGTACTGGGAAAGGTGACTGCGATGAACACCTGGCATGGACTATCTACACTGGGGATTTGATGTCGCATGACCCTGAGCCTCAGATCTCTCATGAATATCTTGAGTATACTGAAACCAGCATCTTTCAAATGTTCAAGGAATATCTCACGGGCCCTGTGTTTGCTGCGCTGGGAAACCATGATTCGGCCCCGTCTAACATTGATTCCCCCCACAGTCTTCCTGGGTGCTTGGGTGAGCAGTCGAGTTGGAACTATTATCATCTTGCGCATCTGTGGCAGCATGAGGGCTGGATCAGCAACAAGACCGCAGAGGAAGCAGCAACACACTACGGCGGTTATTCTGTCAAAACGCACTACGGACTGCGTATAATCTCCGTCAATACCGATTTCTGGTACAGGGCAAACTTGCTCAATTTCATCAACAGTACAAACCCTGACAACTCAGGCATGCTAGCCTGGATGATTGACGAGCTACAGAAAGCCGAAGATGCGGGTGAACGAGTCTGGATAATCGGCCATGTTCTGACTGGATGGGACGGCAGCAACCCACTGCCTGATCCAACCAACCTCTTCTATCAAATCGTAGACCGATACTCGCCACATGTCATTGCCAACACCTTCTGGGGCCATACCCACGAAGATCAATTTATGGTGTACTATGCAAACAACGGGACGGTTCGGAACGAACAAACCGCGCTTTCAACCGGCTGGGTCGGCCCCAGCGTCACACCTATCACTAATCTCAATAGTGGATTCCGGATGTACGAGGTTGACACGGGTGACTTCAATGTTTACGAAGCCTACACCTTCTTCAGCAATGTATCCGAGTACTCACACCTGAACAACACGGGCCCAAAGTATCAGATCGAGTACTCTACACGTGACACATATGGCCCAGCTGCTGGGTGGGACAAGCACTCCCCTCTGAACGCCACATTTTGGCACCGTGTCACGGAAGCCATGGAGACTAATATGGAGCTGGTCACTCTGCAGAATGCTCTACAGGGCAAGTTAAGCGTCCAGAGTCCCGTCTGTAACACGACCGCATGCCAAAAGGCCAAGGTTTGCTACATGCGTAGTGGAAGTCCTGGGCTGGGCTATCAGTGCCCTCAAGGGTATGTCCTCTCTACTTCCTGTTTTACATTGGCATAAATGTTTTATACCGAGGTTCCATCATGCTAACATACCTTCTTTAAAGATACGGCTCGGTTCAGAGCCCTTTTACGCCAAAGTGATGGTAATGGCTTAATAATTTTAACCGTTTACTTTGATTTGCTCGAAGGATCTTGATATGCAGATACACTACTACTCAAGTGCTTGCATGGTGCATTCGGCGAAGGCGCTATGGATTCGGGGTCCTTTATATATTATGCTTTATTCCTGTCCCATTCAAATATTCCAATCAATATTATTCAATTAATGGGTTATTCCATGTGCCTTGCAATGTACCAAAGTCAGTCAGCGGCTTTTTGGCTCCAGGATTTACCATTTACCTGAGCCCCGATTCCATTCGGTAACATTGAAGCGTAAGATCAAAGGCTTTGGCCATTCACTGAAGCAAAGTTGAAATTTTCGGACAAGCCCAGGTGTAAATTCAACATTATGTTTGTTTTGAATATCTCTAGCATGATTTGAGAATCTCACAAACATTGAATGTTCTCAAGATTCTACGGATTTCTAATGCTCAAGTGCTCTCATGATATTTATAGTGCGGCTTAGAGGGCATTACCCATGATAAACTAGTAACTATTTCAAGATACCGAGAGAATGAATGCCCGTGTTCCACGAAGAGTTTTAATCGGTCAGCATCACCATATCCATTACGCATTGGAGAAACTGGAGGAATATGTGAATACTTGTCACACAGGCGAGACGGAGCTATGTATGCACATACGTTTGGATCGGATGGAGATGTTGGTGGTTAGTTTTGGGACTGTGCTATGGGCACATCTGGATGATGAATCATTCAAAGGCCTTGGGTGCGGAAAATATGTGTAAATATTAGAAATTGAAGGAAATGGTCCGGTTATACCATTAGTGGAGCCACTCCCTTGTATATAAAACAGCTTCAAAGATGAACTTGAATATGAACATTGAAAGAAAAAGAAATCACAAAGCAAAGCTTCGCATGGGGAACTTCGGGTGCTGTAAGGGTTGATGTCCTCAACAATCTTCTTCGACACTTGGCCACTGTCCGTCTGGACCATACTGAGCCGGAATGCTAGGCCATGCATCTACACCGTCCAAAAATACGAGCCTAGATCAGTATATTAGTACAATTCATCATGACTTAAACAAAGCTTGATGCATGTAGATAACATACCCCATTCCGCCTGTCAGGTGTGGATCGAGATGACAGTGGAGCAAAAATGCCTAATTTGTTAGTTTTATGAACTAATATAGACCGAGGAAAGTAAATTGCTCATACCCCAGGGTTTAGTACTAATGAAAGAAAGTCAGTTAGCCCATGGTATCTCTGTTCGGCTGGAAACCCACATACCTTGGTAGCGAATTGCCATCCATGTTTCAGCTCCAAAGGCAGGAAGCGTAACAAAGGTATCTATATAACACCAATCAGTCACTGGCGCGCCGGTGGGATCAGATCCGCAAACCTCTCATAGGGGGGTTAATCAGGTTAAAGCTTTCCGGAATAGCCTTGGCGGCTTCCGCGACCGTGGTATAATTAAAGTCCCCGGAACCAGAGCCCTTGGAGTTGAAAATCAGCAAATTGTGCTCAGCGGCTTCATGCACTAGTTTGTTTGAGGCACTCACAATAACGTAAACTCGATTGGAGTGCTTGTGGAGTGGGTGGCCGGGCTGAAGCACAGTTGCGCTACCAGTAAGAGAGAAAACAATGTCTACCCAAGTATTGTTTTTGGTGGTGATAGTCAAAGGACTCTTTGCTGCAGATTGAGGGTCCCAGAGATAGGGCTTGTCGGCCTCGAATGCTACATCATAGGTATGGTTCCCGTTGAGAGACCACTTCCAAGCTTCTTGAACACGACCGACAGTCAAGATGTGGGTCGCATCCGGTTCCTGGCTAGGTTGACTTGGAATCAACATTTCGATCGTGGTTTCATCTAGAGTGACCACATCTGTACTCAAATCGATTGCGCCGTAATTTATATAAGGTGTCGAATTAACAGCGTGTCCGTGCTTATAGGACAGGGTACCGAACGCTGCAATCTTTTGATTAAGCCCTGAGTTAGCTGCTGTGATGGAGTAGTTCCCTGGCGTCTGATTCAGTTGTATTAAGGCAGAATAGCGGGCTCCGTTGTTGATTGTCAGCGCCTATGCGATAATTCTTTAGTCAGTGGCTATCCATGGCAACTGATTTCAAGGTGAAGAAAATCATACTTGAACCTCAATAGGGTTTATGTAGAGACCATCGATTTCATAGACCCAAAGCGAATGGTTGTTGATGGACACTTTGCTAATTAGCCTAAAGAACCGTATCAACGCTTTCGGGTTACACACCTGTAGGAGCTGAAATAGATGCCCCGCCAATAAAATTCAGACTTGCCCAGCCAAGTGACGGGTTAACCTCGATGACCTCTTCCGCTGATTGAGTGGCATCACACTCGTCAAACAAAGATGCTGGAACAGCACTGTAGTTATGTGCGTATGTAGTTTGCGCCAAGGTATCTGCAAGTGGAATACATCTTTGTTCTCCTTTTAGCGTGGATTCTGAAAGGGGGACTATGGCTGGATGGCATACCCTTTTGCTGTCAAATTCAAGCCCTGGAGTACGGGTTTGATCGTAGCGGGAATCATAGCGGTTAGAACCTCGGGACTTCGACAATTGACTCGTCCTTTTCCGTTTATAAGGATAGCGTCAACACACCTCATCGTCATGTCAGTTTGATTTCGCTTAAAAACTGAAGACTTCTTGTTCCAAGTCTCTACATCGGTAAGGAATCAGGATGGTCACTTACAAAATATCAACATCTGCAGTTTCTGCAATCTCTCGGAGTTCATCTGATGTCTGGTGGATCCAGTCAGAAAGCAGCACCAATTCAGGCGAATGGATGGCTTTGTGTATCTGGGCCTGCTGTAGGGTATCATTTGTGATTGAAATAGTCAAGTTTTTAGGAATGCTCCGAGGTCTATAAGTTCCAATAGGTATAAGCTGAATTCGCGGTCTTGCGTTTAGACCATGGGTAAACAAACCTAATGTAAATCGGGCCATAAAGCCCATCCATAATTTGCCCCGCAGTATGTGAGTGGTACCTTTGAAATAAGTTAGAGAGATTGGCTGTCTGATGGGGTTTTATGAACGTACCAATATGATCCATACTGTTGGACGGTAAATTTGGAAACAAATTGCTTGCCAGGCAAGATTTGCCTCTGCGAAACTCCAGGAACACCATCTGACCATGGTGTGCCTTTTTGTCTTTTAACGTGTTAGTGCATGTTACAGGCCTTGGACAGCTTTAGTCGAGAGAGGGAACTCACTCGATGCCATGATAATGAATGGTCGTGTTGAAGGGGCTAAAATTATTCACGGTAACTTGGACATTATCACCTTCATCCATGATGAGAGGTGGTCCAGGAAATTGGCCATTGACCAAAAACTGTTCTCTCGCAACCCCATCGGGTGCCCGTGATTCCCAGGTCAAGTTGAGTTCAAAATGCTTTGTTGGTGGAAGCCATTGATGAGTCGCTGAGTTTTCAACTTCAGCTCCAATTGCAAGGCCAGCACCTAGTCTCAAAAGAGACAGCAGCACAGTCAACTTCATGGCTGCAAAAAGGGTGTTAAGAGACTTGTTCGGCTCTGGAAAAGTCAGAGTGAAGATAAAGATGATAGTCCTAGGACGAACATTTATAGAAATCGATAGCCCCTGAGGGGGCGTATAAGCTTCGTACACATCATCAATCAATTCTGCATGCCATTGGGGCCATGAAATCAAATTCAGCCCTCCAAAAGGGGATCCACAGCTTACTGCCCTAGAAAATCCCCCCAAGGCTATTGAATGGTCGATCTCATCTGTACATAAGACACTTGGCGGATCCACTTTTCTTGTACGGGGTTGATCCCCAGCATTGAAAAAATAGCCTGGAGCTCCTCGGGCGACCAAGAATGTAGGTATGTGACCTATGTCTTCGTGCACTCAAGGATTTAGTCTCTTGGGCATGAAATGGAGCTGGATCTGATGTCGAGAACACTTTCAAATCTGGCATGTAACGAGTCAGCCTTGTTGAGAGTAACTTTTGACAAGGTTTGTATGTAGCGGTGACTGTCAGCCTTATGCATTCCACTTGGGCAATGTTGTGAGAATGCGTTGCGTTAATGGGAAACAACAAAGCAGAGGAGCTGCTAGTGAGGTCCATGCTCCAACAATACTAGTTGATGATAGGTGGGAAGAAAAACGTTGGAAAGTTCCAAAGTTTGCGGCTGAGTATCACAGTTAAATTAAGATCGTTAAGTCCGGGTTTGATCGATTTGCATGTTTTCTTCTACTGGTCGCAGGAACGCTTTCTACATCGAGGGCACGATCATATCATTTAGAGACATGTGTACTTTGGATTCAAAGCTTCGGAACATGATTTTGTGGACGTACAAGAACGCCCAGCTCATGTCTGAAATTTGGCGGGGATTTACGATTTTAGATCCGGCCTTGGGGCCAGAACAAATGAGGAAAGTGGCGGTAGTTGGAAACATTGAAAATGTTTGAATGATTATTGAAAAAACTATTGTTTTGTCTGACATCATTGGGCACATTTCCTCCTGGGCAGCCATGAAATGATCTGTGTCTGACTGCCAGAGCTTCCCTAGGGCAACTCTTTCTGATGTTCTAAAGTTTGAATTGATTTCCAAACGCTTTAGTATAAGCCGAGTACAGAATCGGCAAGTAATAAGCATCCCGATTAATGATTCAATTGTGTTTTCTGATGAATAGAATCGTGAATTGAAATCGTTTTGAGCTCAATGCACAAGCCATTCCATGCAGAGAACCCCTTATTCTTACCTACATGCATCGTGTTGTGTTGTTTGTTTGCAGGGGGCCTAATAATCAAGGCTGAACCAATGATTTTCCTATAATGTGACGGAAATGCAAGGACTGCATAATATACGTGTCAACCATGAAGTCGGTGGGAAAAGGAGAAAGAAAATAAGAAAAAATAATAAAAATAAAAAAGTAAAGAAAATAAAAAAACAAAGATGCCAAAAAGAGAAATGTGGAAATCCGGCGTTTCGGGGAATTGGGGAAGTCCCGACTCCCGACATCAGGGACTCGGTATACGAATCCGCACCGCACCTGCATCCGCACGACGCCAGAGGAACAGGTCATCGTATCACAAAGCCAGATCCGGCACGGAGCGCAGCAGGATCTGTAATCAGTATGGGGCTGGTTATTTGAATTTGAACAATCTCACCTGCATCTAAAAACTCAATATTCTCGATTTTAAATGGTCGGAATAGCTTCAAAAACGATGGTTTATGATTATTTAGGCTATAAAGAACATATCTTACCGTGCTTGTTTTTACTGTAATAATTTTTTGTGAACATTCTTCCATATCAGATTTAAATTGGACTAACACATTGCGTCCACTATACACCGTACTCGGGGCTTCTAAGTTCTAACATTTAAAGGTTGTTCTAACTTCTGGCCCCGTCCAACTCCATTAGGTTTAGCGTAAACAGGACATCGCTGAATCGCTGATCATTTGAGATTTGAGATTTGAGATATGTGGATATTGATGTAAAAGATAAAAAAAATGGATACAAAAGTAGCATATTAGAGGTTCTTCCTTTCTCAAGTCATTCCACTCCATTGATGTACAGCGTAAAATATGGTAAGCCGGAAGAGGGTTGAGCTGCTCTTAGTTATGGTTAATGGCAGCATGTATTAGTTAGATCAACATTTGAACAGTTTGTTATAGTATGCAACTGATCCCACGGTTATCAGGAAAGTTCTTCTCATCGGTACTTATTTGTGCTAGAATATGCCAATTTAGCGTTTTCTAATTCTATACCAAACTTTTTCTATACTTGGTTTAGGTTTAAGCTATACGATTTAGCAGTAAACTTGAGTATTTTACTTGGCACGAAAGTGACATATTTTAGACCTATTTCAAAGCTTCTATTCAAATTAGCAAGTGGCGGATGAGTTCCTGCTCGGGACTTTGTACACGATGATCTTTAAAAAATTACTTGCAAAAAAAAAAAAAAAAAAAAAAAAAAGGCCTGGGGTACCCGCTGTGGGGAAGCAAGAGAGCACTTGTCACCTTAAAAAGTAAATAGAAATTTTCTTTGCAACTCATTTGGTCATCGATCTCAAATCAGTGAAAATCCGTGAAAATCCGTGATGCAAGCTTTTCACCTGATGCTGCCCCTCTTTCCAACTCCAATCAGTCCCGCGAGTTCCCGGGTGCATCGTTGTATGAATGCATGACGTAGCGAGTCTGAAGCTTCCCTTGAATATCGTCATCATCATCTTCCCGGACCATCCGCTATTTATTACCTACACCCCTAGATCGTCCTTCGTATTTCTGAAGTTCTTTCACAGCTGTACGATACATTTTATCGTGTATACTTTATTCCTCGACATACTCGACAATCCACAATCTAAAAATCAGCTATGCGGGGTGTTCAGTTGGGTCTACGTGCGTGGGAGGTATGAGACACAGAATCGCTCCCTTTTCTTTCTCCCCCCCCCCCCCACAACGTCAAGAAGTAGTCGCTAACTATGAGATTCTACAGTTCTTATGGACTATCCTTATCATGGCCCTCGTTGGTAACATGATCAACGACGCCATCGCTGGCAACCCAAGCTCCATTAACTATACCATGTTCCTGTCGGCATTTTCTCTATTTTCACTGTTTTATCTGATCCCGGCTTCATACAACCCCGACTGGGCCTTCCACCCTATCATCGTGATCGTAGTGGACGCGCTCAACACAATTTTCTTCTTCTGTGCGGCCATCGCCCTGGCTGCGAAGTTGGGAGCCCACTCTTGCAGCAACTTGGTATGTAACACACCCAATATATGGATGGAAAAGACCTCCAAATTCAGGAGCTCACGACTAATTTATTTGGTATCCAGTCATACACCCTCAGCAACGAAATCACCAACGGCTCCAACAACACAGGGAAGCGTTGTCGTGAGGGCCAGGCAGTCACTGCCTTCCTGTGGTTTGGCTGGGCTGGATACATGGCCTCGACCATTATCTCGGTCTTCATGTCCCGCTCGGCTACTGTGAACATGCGCGGTCGCACTGGCAGTTCTCGTCGCCCTGCCCGCCCCAGCATGACCCAGGTCTAAGCCCTGGCTAGGAAAGCCTGATGGGGGATAAAAAGAAGTCCTTTGGATCTGAACGATCGGTGTTGGCCGATGGGGGCTTTCCCTTTTTTCTCTTCCTGCCCAGTCAGTTTTATCTACCAGACTTGGGTTGTAATGTGATGGGTACGATGAACATGACCATGAAATGGGTGGACATGATATTTGACAACGGTTGAGGATATGGTCATGGTGTTTTGCCAACCTATTCCTTCGCCCCGGTGATTTGAAAACGAAACAAATACTTATTTGGGTTGACTTTTTGGGGGTTTGAAATGGCGTACATGGGGGTTGTTTCACTGTGTTTAATAATACCTACTGGTTTAATATTTGAAATTCATATTTAACATTGAACACACTGGAAGCAAGAAGATCTTCCTGGAGATTGACCTTGTATTATTTTGTAAATGATAGATCGTTGGTTGCTGACCTCCCCATGCACATGTGTCCATCCACTCCTCGTGGCTGACGTACCTAGTATAAGCTATACTGCAAGTTGACTCATTCACGGACCGTGCGCAGGACACAATTCAATCTAATTTGAACCTCGAGGATCTCCGATTCCTCTCTACTTGATCATTTTTCTCATCTTTTCTGATCCCCTTTACTTGTTGTTTTCTATTGTTTAGGGCTCAGCGGGGCACGTCTCTCCCATCTGCTCCACTCGTGAATAATTTGTCCAGAGCTCGGATCCGCCACGGGTTTCAACACCCCTTCTCCATCCCTTTCCCCATTTCCCAAATCACCCCACCATCATGCCCATCAAGTGAGTTCTGGGATCTGTTCATGTGGCATATCTCTTTACTGACTCTTCCAGCTACTTAATTCTGCTGTCCCGCCAGGGCAAAGTGGTTTGTCTCCCTCGTGGCCCACCCTCATACCGGTCCCTCATTAAAGCCAACTGACTTTTTTTTCTTCTGGAAACCTCAGCGTCTGGCCAAATGGTTTACTACTCTCTCCCCCAAGGAGAAGGCCAAGATCATCAAGGATGTGACCCAGCTGGTTCTGTCGCGTCGCACGCGCATGTGCAATTTCCTTGAATACAAAGGTGGCTTCAACCTCTATACCCCCCCCCTCAAGCTCCCACCTCCGATCATTGATTAACATGTATGTTCGTCTACAGACTCCAAAGTCGTCTACCGTCGCTATGCCTCCCTTTTCTTTATCGCCGGATGCTCCTCTACCGACAACGAATTGATCAGTCTCGAGGTGGTCCACCGTTACGTCGAACAGATGGATAAATACTATGGAAACGTGTGTGAGCTGGATATCATTTTCAATTTCCAAAAGGCCTATTTCATCCTGGATGAGCTGCTACTGGCTGGAGAAATGCAAGAGAGTAGTAAGAAGAATGTTCTCCGTTGCATCAGTCAACAAGACAGCCTTGAAGACATGGAGGTGAGTCTATCCCCCTGACGAGTGTTCTTTTTCCCTTTTCTACCTCGATGAATCCCTTTGAGTGGTCTATTACTTTCGCAGCAAGTAAATTGCTACAGAAGATAGACTTCTCTCCTTTCCATCTCACCCCTGTTCCCCTCCCCGGCGCAATCGGGCTAATGCTCTTCTGCCTCAGGTTGAGGAAGATGTGGTCACCAAGATTATGTAGTGACCTGGGGGTTGTTGTTATTGGTGGATTTTGATTTCTACATTGTCTTTCAAGTTTATTTATAGCGTGTTTCCTTTTTTTTTTTTACTGATGAATACCAACCCTGCCGATTCAGGACTCTGAGGACATGGTGCGCAACTTGGACCGAGTTGGTCTGTGATGATGACTGATAACCGCCTGAACCATGGATTAAGTGCAACAGCGTGAGGTCAAGGCGTGATATCACTGGCTTAGACCGAATCCACGTGACACCCGGTCGCAAACCCCCCTCTTACAACTCATCATCAGTTGAAAGGCAGCGACCGTTCTATCTTTTATTCTACTCTCATTCTCTCCAGCACTTATCGGTCTATATCCCTGTTGTGGCGCTTTCCTGCGACCGCTACACCGCTGTTCCTATTCCTGTTTGCGGTTACCTCCGATCGGCAACCACCACCTCCGCCCCCGGCGCGATCATCCGCGTTATCTCTCCATCACCTCAGTCCACCCTGAATCGCCTCAGCTGGTGATAACTATACTATTTATCGTCCACTTATTCATATTCAACCACTGAAACTCTTATCGCCCAGTGTCTCACCATGAAGGTTGGTTGCTCCTTCCCCCTAGATCGCTTTGTCGCCACGGTGACCCGATCCGAATCCATGACTCAACCCCTCATGAATCGTTTTATTCATACTCAACTCGTTCCATCATCAGTTTCTTCCTTTGCCAGAGTTTGAGGATGTCACGGGCTCTTTGAACTTCGATACAGCCGACTGCCATATCGTCGGTGCATGCGATCTGTACACCACCAAGGCTGCCCGATCTGACCGGAAACTGTACAACCACATCGAACATGCTCTGGAAGCACAGTACGAATCAATTCTCCGCTTTTCCGCCTCCTTATCTCCTCCCAATGCCCACGATGCCGCCGAAACATTGAACCTATCGCGATCCAGCCCCTTCGGCCCCCTGAGCGATCACTCCAGTCGTCGAACATTCGCCTACTTGATCGCGACCCTCAATGCCAGCCACCCAGACTATGACTTCTCAAATGTGTTGCGCCCGACCGATTTCCGCCGGGAGCGTCATTTAAAGCGGGTCATGAACACTGTCAACTCCACACTGTACAACCTGCGACCGCGCGATTCAATCGACCTGTCCCCATCATCTCCCGCGACTCTCTCGGGATCACACAATACCGGATACCCCTGGGGTCCGCGGATGTGGAGAATTATGGATGAACATATGTCGTTGAAGGAATGCTCGGTGTATTCTTATTCGCCGGACGAGGATCCGTCTGACTCTGATGATGGGGCCATCTGGAGCTTGCATTACTTCTTCTTCAATCCGCTGCGCAAGCGCGTTTGTTATATTCACCTGCGGGCGATCCCAATCCTCAGTCATACACCGCCAGAGGAGGGCGTCAGCACACCGACTGGCAAGCGTACATTCGACGATGGGTATCTCACACCCGATCTCAGTTCCAGCAAGCGTACCCGCTATTGGTTCGGACCCCGTGGCGAGTCGTCGCTCCGCAACAGCGAATCCGATGATGACGACTTGGGTCACCCATCGCAGGCTCCGCATCCGATTTCGGATGACGATGATCAGTACATGCTCAGCGATGAGGAGATTCAGTCTCGCTCTGGCCACAAGGGTATGGTGCGTGCAATGAGTGAGGAGATGATGGACACGATGGAAGTTTGAGATTTTGGTTTTTCCCCCCCTTCTTAATGTTTGCTCCGTTGATCGGTAGTTCTCTTTTTTGCTTCTCTCTTCAGCTGAAGGCGTTTTTGGATGATATTCGATGATATTCGATGGACTTGGGGCGCAATTCAACCTGCATATCTCTTATCCACGAGAGGCGTTGGGCAAGAATGACATGCAAGACGCCTCAACAGTGATGCTGTTTTTTCGATTCGTGTTAATACGTTTTAATAATGCTATTTATTCAATATTTGACTTGATCTATCACCAACCTTACGTCGATTTTGGTATGAACGAAAAACTAATTTGTCGATGAAGCATGATCTGTGTGTACTATTCATCAGGGACTGCGTACATCCCTGTAGACGTAAGAATTTGATATGCAATAGAGCTCGCTATCTGCTTTATCTGCCCTATCTCGTGGTTGTCCATGATGCCATATATAGATTATAGGTGGTCCGTGCGCCAGATGGGGAAAGCTGTCCATTCCCCCCGTCCACATCCAGTCTTCCCCACCACCTACTCCATTGCTCCCATTCAATCGATAAGAGTCATGGCTGACGAAGAGGAGCGCATCAAAGCTGAGAAGCTGGCTGCCGCCAAGAAAAGAGTAGGTCTCGTCTGATATGCTGATTTTCATCTCTAACAAGCAATGTTTTGCAGGTGGCCCAGCTTCAGAAGCAGAAGAAAAAGGCCAACAAAAAGGTCTCGCCCGATGCCGACGCGCCGAAGGATTCTGAAATTACCAAGGGATCTGACACTGTTGCGACGGAACAAACTCCCGGAGCAGAAGACAGTCCGTCAGCAGAGGACAAGCCGCAGGAAGACACCAATGTAGAGACCAGCAACGAGCAATCGACAGATCCGGAGCCAGTCAGTGCAGAGCCAGAACAAGAACAACAAGAGAAATCCGATGAATCCACCGAATCGCCAGTCGAACCTATGCCCCCGGCACCCGGCTCCCCAGATCCAGATGCTGAGCCACAACCCGCTCGACTGGATACACCCCGGGCGGGCCACACCCGCGCACCATCTCTGTCAATTCAATCGAAGATGAGATCCTCGTCTTTCCGCAAGACTTCTGTGTCACAAGGCAGCCATTCGCCATCCCCAATAAACTTCAAATCACCCCCACCATCACTACCACCCCTGACCGGCGATGGAGATTCAGTGCATGAGGTGTTCCGGAAACAATCGATGCGGATTGAGGAGCTGGAGAAGGATAATAAGCGCATGGAAAATGAACTGGGCGATGCGACGGCGCGCTGGCGGAAGACAGAAGATCAATTAGAAGATCTTCGAGAGGCCAGCGTGGATGGGGCGGAGCTACGGGAGAAATTGAAGGATGCAGAGGAGAAGGCCGCTGGTATTGAGTCATTGGTATGGATTGCTGGGCATTTGGTACTGTGAAGGAATCCCATGGACTAATCTTTTGCCACAGAAAGAGGAAATCGCCTCGCTACAGCGCCAAAACTCACAACTACAGTCCCGATCACACCGCAACAATGCCAGCTCTGTGCCCGGACAATCAGAGTCGCCTCCTGTTGATCTCGTACGCCAGCTGGAGTCTAAATCGGCTACAATCGAGGCTATGGAGTTGGAGATCTCAAACTTGCGAGCTCAGATAAACTCCCAGTCGTCGTCAAACAGCGCACATGAGACCCAAGTTGCCGCATTAGAAGAGAAGGTCTCCCAAGGCCAGAGTGCCCTTGAAAAATCGCAAAGTGAATTGGCCGACGCGAAACAAGCACTAACACGGGCTTCGGAAAAAGCCGTGAAGGAGGGCGTGGACAAAACATCCACTGAGACCCTGATCAAAACCCTTGAGCGGGAAATCGAAGGCCTGAAGGGCGAAAAGTCTGAGGCCGGAAAAAAGATCGAAACTCTCGAAAAGAAACTTCAGGCCATGGGCAACCTGCACAAAGAATCAGAGACCCGTCATCAGGCCAGGCTTCGCGAGAGCGAGAAATCAGACAAGGAGACAAGTGTGCTCCGCAAGAAACTAGCCAGCATTGAGAACGAGAATCTCCGGCTCCGCGAAGAACTCGATCGCATGAAGAAGCGAGATGTAGGAGGAACCGACGACGACGCCCTTGACGAACTCGAAGACGAAGAACGCCAGCGTCTCGAGCGTCGGATCCGCGAGCTGGAAGGTGAGGTCTTCGACCTCCGCCGCGGTGTCTGGGAGGAAAAGCGCCATGAGCTCACAGGCCAGCCCTTCTCTGACGAGAACCCCGAGTACTCTACCGGTGACGCCGCAGCCAACGCCTTTGACGACGTTGATCTTGTCGGCGGCCGTCCAGACCACGCTCGTCGTCGTAGTATGGCTAATCAGCAACATCATTCATCTTTCTCCACTGTGTTGTCTAGTGGGTTCGCCGCGTTCACAGGGGGTAATAATAACCCCAACCGTGCCCGTGCCGGCTCTTCTAACCCACCTCACCCGCATGGCCCCGCAACGCGCGGTAGTCTCGAATTGCTGTCCGAGGAGAACCTGGATGATGAGTTCGACGAAGCGGAGTTCACCCGTGCACAGGCTGAAGAAGAAGCGCGCAAGCGTGTCGAGTGGGTGCGTGAAATCAAGCGTAAGCTTCGCGACTGGAATTCATGGCGCTTGGACCTGGTTGACAGTCGAGCTGGTGCTGAGGGTGCCGGTGTGGGAATGGGAGAGATCTTTGAGGTTTAGGATTTTGTTTTGTGTATGATCTTTGGCATGTGGTGGAAGCGGCGCTTTTGGAATGTTATATTATACCACTATCTTGTCTACCATAAGGGGATATTTGCAATGAAGGACTGAAAGCCATGACTCGTTCTTGGAGTATTAAGGTCAAGTTCGACACAAAGCCTTGAGAAACGACTACAAAGCTGAGTGCTTCAAGTGTCTCTTTCCATTGCATACTACTAGTACCTATCTAGAGACATGCTTAGAACTCGAACTGCGCGGCGCTCGTGAATCATACCTCGGTTACATGGTAACCATTCGCGTGTCAAGTGTATTACTAGTAGATCGGCCACAAAAAAAACGGAATTCTACTACCTGAGCAATGAAGCGTACTACTAGTAGTTTAACGGTTTTTTACACACGAAACCGCGTTCAGCGCAAAAATCTCCCAATGCTCAACTACTACATGCAATGTTTCCCTCGGTTAGCAGTCCGTAATGCTATCTTCCCCGCATTTTATGACATTTAAGGTTAAGTCAGCCAGATCTATAACTATAAGAACATTTGCACGACTACTTACAGACAACAGCAGACAACTACTTCCATCCAGTTATCGAAATGCAATCGCCGAATCATTCAGATCCCAGTACAAATTTCCCCGACCTACCACCTTTTCCCACCGATGTTCCAACCGCTCCTCTACTTCGCCTATCTCTTGAAAAGCTTCTGGACGGAGATACATCCGAGTGCAATCGCCTCTTCACAGCATCTGTGGAGATAGGATTCTTCTACCTAGACTTCAGAGACTCTCGACTCGGGGGTTCTTTGCTTGAAGATGTCGATAGGTTGTTCGGAGTAGGAAAAGAACTGTTCGAACTCAGCCTGGAAGAGAAGAATAAGTATGATTTTAGCAAGCAGAATTCATATTTTGGATATAAAGGACAAGGCGTGGCGGTCGTGGATAAAGAGGGGAATTTGGACCGGAATGAATTCTATAATGTGAGTCAAAGAGACGATGTTGGTTTTCATCACAAACCTTGGAACTCAGTATTAGAACATTTCATTCCAAGTATAAAACTTACAACCCGTCCATTTTGTGACCAAAGTAAAGGGACTGACAAGATAACCCAATCCGTGGAAACAGGTCTCCAAAGACGACATCCTCGGCATCACAGAGCAACTCCCCGCGCCGACCCTCCTCCACCAGAACAGAAACCTGCTCTCATCCTTCATGAACAGCGCCCACACAATCGTAACTCTAATCCTAACAATCCTCAACACCAAACTAGGCCTTCCACCAAACACATTACAAAACCTGCACCACCAAAACGCCCTAAGCGGCGACCAAGTCCGCTGGGTCAAAGCACCACCACAACCCAGCAACGACCGACGGGTCGCACTGGGCCAACACACCGATTTCGGGTCCGTGACCGTCCTCCTCAACCGGCTGGGCGGTCTTCAAGTGCAATTGCCCAGTACAGATGAGTGGGTGTATGTGCGTCCCTTACCGGGGCACGCAATCATCAACCTCGGCGATGCAATGGTGAAATTTAGCAACGGGCTTTTGCGCTCCAATATACATCGTGTCAGTGCGCCGCCTGGTGCGCAGGCGGAGTGGACGAGATATAGTCTTGTCTACTTTGCACGGCCGGAGGACAAGGTGATATTGCGGCGGCTGGAGGGGGATGCGATTCCGAAGTTGGAGGGCCAGGTTGAGGAGGAAATTAGTAGTAAGGAGTGGATTATTAGAAGGGCTTTGGGGCGAAGGGTTAATCTTGGTCAGGAGATTGATTATGAGAAGTCGGCTGGGACGGAGGAGGTTAGTCGGAGGGTTAAGGTTTGATGTCACGATTCTAAATTTATGTTTTCTTTGTGTTGACAGAGAGTGCTTTCATTCTGATAACTCTATATGTCGGTCTCAAAAATGATCCTGGTTACAAATAAAAAGACAAAAAAAGAATCGACGGCTGGCGGATTCGAACCGCCGCCTCCGAAGAGAATTGATTTCTAGTCAATCGCCTTAGACCACTCGGCCAAACCGCCTATATAAGAAACGCATATGTTTGGCTATATATACTTGAACTTTTTCAATCTACTGTGGAAATGTACTGAGCAGGAGTACTAACTACTAGTAGTATCATCTACTAGTATTAGTTTGCGATAAAAAGCATTCAACCTCTCTCTTCTATTCCTCTCATCAGTACTTCATACCACTGCAGCCATTCGAAAGCTCAAATGTATGCCTTTCATAAGCCTGCTACATTGCTACAATAATCCGGTCTTTTCAATCCTTAAAAAGCGTCTCGGTGTGAGCAGATACATATTAATCACTGCACGGGTGGGGCAACGGGCTATCCAAACAACCCCACCAAACCAGCTCTCCAACAACGTCATTGAACAGACTCGAGTAAGTTTCCCACCTCCAACTCACAATGGCCGATTTCAAAGACCTCTTATTGCCATACGGCCGCCCAGAACTATGCAATTCCGTGCTCCCAGGACTCCTAGATTGTATCGCTGACATCGCAAAGTCACTACATGAATCCCAGCACGTCTCCCTAGCCGGAACAACCAACACATTCGGCGACGGCCAATTAAACGTCGACATCGCAGCCGAGAACCTGCTGCGCGCCGCCCTTGCAAAATGCCCCTCCGTCCAAACAGCAAGCAGTGAAGAAGAACCAATCGAGCGCCCCGCCCGCTCAGCCCAAGCCGCGCAAAATGACGTCTCTCCAGCCGCGGAAAACTACACCGTCGCCTTCGACCCGCTAGACGGAAGCTCCATCATCGCGCCCAACTGGACCGTCGGCGCCATCATCGGAATCTGGGACGGAAGCTCCGCGCTCCACCAGCAGCCCGCCGAGAAGCAAGTCGCCGCTATCCTGGGCGTCTTCGGCCCACGCACCACTGCCATCGTGGCGCTGCGAGTCCCAGGCGGCAAGCCGGAGTGTCTTGAGATCGGGATTGGGGAGTCCGGGGCGCACGAAATTATTCGGTCGAATGTGCGGCTTGCGGAGGCGCCGTTTAAGACGCGGTACTTTGCGCCGGCCAATTTGCGGGCCGCGGCGGAGAGTGAGGCGTATATGCGGCTGATTACGCAGTATGTGGAGAAGAAATATACGCTGCGCTATAGTGGTGGGTTGGTGCCTGATGTGGTGCATGCGCTTGTGAAGGGTCATGGTGTGTATTTGTCTCCTGTGACTGGTGCCAGTGAGGCGAAGCTGCGTCGCTTGTACGAGCTTTTCCCTGTTGCGCTTGTGGTGGAATGTGCTGGAGGAAAGGCCATTGATCCTTCTACTGGAGAGGATATCTTGAGTCGAACGTTGGAGAACTGTGATGAGAGAGCGGGGTTGGTTTGTGGAACAGCTGAGGAGGTCGACATTGTGAGAAAGGCACTGCTTGGTTAGTGAGGATTTGTTGAAGTTTCATGCAAAACACTATAAACGGATTTCATATTCAAATGTTTGATGTTTTGAATGCCCAGGCGAATAGGCAGAAGATGAGTGATTCCTACTTTCAAAGGGCATTTATTTTTAACTATCGAGATTTAATGGATCTCTACCAAAAGCACTTGAGAGCTACGTGGAAGATGTAACCAGTCAAAATCGAAGGCAGATGTATTCAAAATATATAGCAAAAATCTAATAACAAATAACAAGCACAACTCCAAATAATGACAAGCAAAACTCCAAATAATATGCAAATGATCTCTATATATATGTTAATCACGACTCACCTGTCAACTCTAGCTCTCATATTCAACTGGAAGGCGGCAAGTAGGGCAAGTGTTGGATCGACGAAGCCAAGGCTCCAAGCAAGCAGAGTGGAAAGACCAGTGCGTGCAAGGGAGAAGAATAACCTCATCTCCAACATTGAGGTCATCCTGGCAAATCGCACAGGTGGTGTCATTGTCGTCAAGCATAGTCTGAGTCACAATGGGCCGAGTCAGCTGGCTGATGATGTCTTGGGGTCCTCCGGCTCCCGCAGGGGCAGCATTTCGAGAACGACGAGGTGCAGAGCTGGCATGGTGGTGGTGGTCATGGTGAGCATGGTGGTGGGGGTGGGCGTGTTGGTGGGGGTGGGCATGGTGGGCATGTTGGTGGGTGCGCGAAGATCCAGAAGTTTCATGACGGTGAGCGTGCTGAGGGCCAGGAGTTCCATGTCGGTGAGAGTGCGAGGGTGCAGCAGGAGCTCCATGTCGGTGAGAGTGCGAAGGTGCAGCAGGAGTTTCGTGTCGGTGGGTGCGTGAAGATCCATGAGTTTCATGACGGTGAGTGTGTGAAGATCCATGAGTCTCATGACGGTGAGTGTGCTGAGGGCCAGGGGTTTCATGTCGGTGAGAGCGTGAAGATGCAACAGGAGTCTCGTGTCGGTGGGTGTGCTGATGGCCAGGGGTTTCGTGTCGATGAGAGCGCGAAGGTGCAACAGGAGTTTCGTGTCGGTGGGAGCGCGAAGATCCAGGAATCTCATGACGGTGAGTGTGCTGAGGGCCAGGGGCTACATGTCGGTGAGAGCGAGAAGATGCAGCAGGAGCCTCGTGTCTATGAGAGCGTGAAGATCCAGAGGTTTCGTGACGAGTGGAATGGTGAGCAGAAGGGGTGGCATGGCGAGTGGCATGGTATTCGTCTCCGGGAGGAAGGAGTAAATCAACAGTTCCAGGAATCCAATCTCCCAAAGTCACAGGGGGCTCACCTGGACCCGAAACAAGCTCATCCTCTAGATGATCAGGAATATTTATGCCATCATCACCGCGCTCAATGGCTTCTTCAACAAGGAGGCGAACGTCCTCTGCAAGGGCTGGGGTCTTGATATAAAGTCGTGCAACTAGATCATTTAGTAGGTCAACTCCATCCTGGTCAACTTGACGGCGGGAAGACATTGTTAGAGATTTTTGATTGGAAGTTAAGATTGAATAAATAGAAGTTGTATAGGCTGATTAGCACAGGAAATGCTGTAGATGATTGTAGACGATTGATGATGGTGATGAAGTCCAAGAACCACGGGGATCGTGGGCCTTTTATCATCATCTGCAAGTGCTGAGGAAAGAATCATGTTTGGGTTGCATTGTCTGTCTGAATAGAATGGATTCTTTGAGCTAAATGAGGCACACAAACCATTTATAAGTATAAATAATCTGAACTCGAAGAAACAAAGACTGGACTCGATTGTCTGTATTCGAGTATTCTATTCCGAGGGACAATGCATACAATGAAGTTCAAGGAGTAAAAACAATGGTATAGAGTGACTACAAGGGATCTACTTATAGTATACCGAAGAACAAAGTTGACAAAGGTACAAAGGGCTATGAATAGTTTGGAATTCATGTTTGTCAATAAAGATCCCCAACAAAGCATTGTCCTCTATCCAATAATAACAATTAAGAAGATTTCCAACAAATCGAAAATTTCAACATGTTCTGCTGTTGGTAATGTCAAGATGGATCCATCTTGGCCCTGGCCTTGATCACAGGGATCGTGTCTTCTCAGCGCACCATTGAAATCGTTTGATTTACTTGAACCATTTGGACTGTGTATAGCAACTCCGGTTGTTTGCTCATGTTTTTTAGCGCGGGGTAGCGTCTTCCCTGTAAATACTAGTACCGTCCATATAAACTGGGATACTAAGTACTAGTAGGATAGTAACATTACAGCCCAACCGATGATACGATACGCACGCCTTGATTCGCCTCATTATGGAGTCACCAGGTTGTATAGAATTTTGTCCCCTATTTTCTCTCCATAAAAACTTGAAATATATAATGTACTCACACTGAAGCTCATGATAAACATGCTCAAGCGGGCATCGAGGTATATAATTAATAACTCAAGATATCCTCTCCACAACAGCCATTACAATTTCGCATCCCTGAATATAACTAGGTCCATATGCCTAGGTACGCGAGTAGATACCGGTAAAGTGTGTTGGGTACCTAGCCTACGGGGTACTAGTTTGCCTCATTATGACTGATTGCTTCCTTGTTGCCTGGTCAGGTGCATTGCTATAAAGTCTTTTTTTTTTTTGGCTTTCTCTCTCTTTCCAAGATTTTCCTTCCTGTGCATCTACCTTCCCCCATATTCACTGCCTATTCTCTGCGCCAAAAATCCTGGGCAAAAAAGACACCATGACTGAATCTACTCAACCGTGGACGGCTTTCATATCCTCTGATAAAGCGTATAAAGTGTTGAAAGACCTGAAGCAAAAAGTAAGTCACGGGCAGTATACTACTTAAGGGTCACCACAACGAAGCAAAACATCTAAATAATGGGCCCAGGGCTGGAAAAGCGAAGAGGGAGATCAGTTCTTCCAAAAACGAAGACAAAGCGCCTTGGACCCAAGCCAAGCAGTAAAAGAAAGCTTCTACAAGATGACGGCACAAATTGGAAGAGGACTTGCAGATGCAACACCGATCTTCAAGTCAAAGTCTACAGGCCTCAAAGTCCTCGATCTCTGCATGGCACCAGGCGGCTTCACAAAGACGGCCGCAGAGGATCTCTCACAGCCCGTGATCGACGGCATCACGCTTCCACCCGCAATCGGCGGCTACGAAGTCCTCGCACAGAGATATTGCCGGGAAATAATCTATGCCGATATCACGATGTTTCCTACAGAGATGGGATACGAGGGACAGATTCCAGACGGACATCCCGATGCGAACCATTTCGACACTAGTCGGCCTTTGGGCAATAACATCTATGACATTGTGATCTGTGGAGGAGCTGTAGGCAGAGAGCATCCTAGGGAGGAATACCGTCAAGACTGCGAAGCCCCACGGTTGACGACTTCCCAAGTGCTGTTCGCCATGAATCATTTGAAAAATGGCGGCTCGATGGTTTTACTATTGCACCGAGTTGAGCAGTGGGATACTGTTTGCATACTGAATGCATTCAATCAGTTTTCGGATATCCGGGTTTACAAGCATCCCAAGTGCCATGCTATCAAATCGTCGTTCTACCTCGTTGCGACAAATATCAATACCGAACATCCTGCAGCAAGGGAATCGGTGATGTACTGGAGGAGTCTTTGGAGATATCTGACATTCAAGGAGTTTGAGGATATCTCGGTGCCTGAGTCGAATCTTTATGGCTCTGATGACGCCTTTGTTCAACGGTTGATAAACGAATTCGGTCCTCGGTTTTCGCAAATTGCACGGCCTTTGTGGAAATGCCAGGCCAACGCATTGCGCAAGGCGTCATTCAACAAATAGTCTGGGGCTTGGAGTGGGTGTAGTAGCTTTATTGAAATATAATTGACATGTTTACCTCACAGAGATTTGATTCCAGTTGTCTCCAGATGTCTGAAGCCTAGGATCCTTGTCTGGTAATCTTGAAGCAATGCCTTTGTAAAATTGTAAATGCAACCATATATTGAAACTAATAAAATCAAACCCTCGCAAAAGAACATTCAAATCAATCCCTATAATGCTTTCCTGTCAAATATCCCTCCGGTTGCTCCTTCTTCCTCCTCCCGGCAATCTCGCCAACCCAACCTGAGATCTGATAGATCCAACCACCAGTCACAAGCACTCCACTGATGGTGTTAATCACCCGGATAACAAGCGCCAGGAACCCGCCGCGCTCTTCACTGACAAGGAGCAGTATCGGCTCAATGTTATACTTGAAGAAGATACCCGGAACCAGAAGTGGTGTCTCAGGCATCTCTTCGGACTGGCTGGTCGCCGCGTACTGGTTGGTGAAGACCGTGTTGCGACCACTGCGAGCGGTGGCCGAGGTCGGGTTGCGGGTGTATTTGTCCAGGGCACTTCGACCCTTGGTGTAGAGGGTTGGCACGACAGAAAGGAAGTACTGATATTTGTAGTAGTGCTTGTCCGTCTCAGCAATCGTCTTGTCGAGAGGATTCATGAGACTCGGGTAGTGAGGACCAAATGAGAGTTCGGTAATCATATGTGAGAAGTTAAAGGCTGGGATAAGTGTAAGTAGAATAGATCGAAAACATCGAGACGGAATCAAAGAAAAGACATACCACTGTGATCCAAGTGCGGCGCGAACTCCCTGTAACCGTGTCCTCTTGCCGTGATGTGGAAGTCTCCCTGCACTTTGTTTCCTTCCAAGCTACCGTAGATACGACAGGCATCCGCCACATCACCCCATCGCATGGAGGGACCCTTGGCAAACTTGCGCCTCGAGTTGTGTCTCGCCTCGCCCAAAACATGGTGCGCGTGCGAATCTGCCTCCTGCTCTGACAACCGATCGTTCTCTTCGTGGTTGAGCGTCTGGTACTCATGCTTGTCCTTGTTGCGCTTCTGCATCCACAAGTTCCAGCTTGTTTCCTCACGTTTGAGCATGTCGCTGGCTAAAATGCGGTCGCCGGCTGCATCTTGGATGTTCACGCGGAGGGTGTCGCAGGGCATGTTAATGACGACATCGAGATTGAGCTGAAGTTCATGGGAGACGCCCTTTTCCACGCTGAAGTGGTGTTGTTCTGTGCCGCGCCACCATGTTCTTAATTCGGAGAAGCTAAAGATAGTGCAAACGAGGAGGATGAGGACAGTCCACTGGCCACCGCGGTGGGTTGGAGTTGTATAAGAGGCCTTTGTTTTTGCTAGTACGATGTAACCATTAGCTTCCCAATTTCTCAAACATTTATTGCCTCGTGGTCTTCGAATTGGGTGAAGTGTGATGTTGGTGTTCGTGGATCGCGTGTCTGTACAAAGTGTACATGGGCAGAGAAGACTCACGGAAGGCGTCAAAGGTCTTCAGCCCCGACAGAGCGGTCTTTTCTCCAAAGTCGTCCTCATCGAGGCCCTTAGAATCAAAGCCATTCATTGCGAAATGGAGGCCAACAGCATTGAAGAACAGAAAAGGAAAGGTGGAGTGCGGGTCAGATAAGGCGATGAGGCCAAGTAGTCCGATTCGCCGCGACCCACTCTGTCAGGTACAGACCACAGCTACTAAGAACTTCTACTCCGTACTAGTATGCTTGCGTTTTTCTTTATTGTCACAGGTACATTATTACTAGTTCGAGCTTTAAAACGAGAAGTCTTAATTCTATGCTGAGTATTAAAAGGCTCAATAAGTTTAATCTCTGGTATTTCAAAATCGCGCTTCTCGAGGCCTATTGGCATGTATGTACCCGGGTATGTACAGCAGTACATACAGTTCTACCGCAAGAGTCTCAATACAATGTGCATCTGGGAATGCACAAGTGTAGGTCCACTCTGCCTATAGATGGGATGGACCAAATATTCGAATCAAAAGTTGACAGCTTCAATCATCCAAGCAAGAGTTGATTTATTCAACCCCTTTGAATGGAAAATGATGTAAAATGTGCAATCGTGTATTCAGTATTCGTACTCCAAATCTATGATAGTAGTTATGTATCGTAGTAATGCATTGATTGCCAACATTCGAATCAAAATGCTCTGAAGAAAGTTCATGGTCGTGAAGCTCTCTCGGAGAGATGCAAGAAAAAAAAAAAAAAAACAACGTCAAACTGTACAAAAGCAGGACCAGAAAAAAGGTCCTGATGGGGGGTAGTGATGGGTCATCAGTATAGAAGCGAGAAGCAGCAAGACAAACGAGAGACATCAACATAATAAAGCCCCGTCGCATGAATCATATCAGGGCTCAGATGCAAATGCTGTCAACGAACATAAAGGGTATAGGATGGATGCCGTCCTTTTGGCCGTGGGGTCCCCCGAACCAGATCAACAAATGCGTGACATGACAAACCACCTGATGCATGAGAGAACATGAGACAAGAAAACAAAAGAAAGAAGAGGAAAAAAAAGGAAAAAACAAAGTAAGAACAATCATTATTACAGTGTGGGGGAGAAGAAGGGGAAGAAGAATTTGAAGAAGAAGAGGGGTTATTTGGTCCTCTGTCGGCGGGTCAGCTTTTGATTCATGGTGTCTAACCAGCCAGTGGCTCCATGCTACTCACTAAGCTGGTCGCAGCCGCCGCGGTAGCAAGATCGGGCTTTCCACTAATGCTTCGTGCGGAAGCACGAGGCAGTGTGGTGGAATTATTGGCCGCTCGCTTGGCGGGACTGGACGGCGGGGGACCGCTGACTGTTGAATGGCGCTTCCCAGAACCCTTGACCGGAGAATTTCCAGATGGATCGCGATTGCGCAGGAATGTGCCAGTCTTCAAGGTTGAACTGGGGGGCTCGGGTAGCGGACGCCCATTGGAGGCGGTGCTACGCTTAGATGGCGAGCTTGCGGTGGCCTGGGCATACATTCTGGGACGAGCTGATGGTTTGATACCGGTGAGGAACTCGTGCTTCAAGGCATCGTGAGGGGTCAGTCGACGGGCTGGATCCCAACGCAGACAACGAGTGATGAAATCCAAGAAGGGTTCATCGTCGCACTTGAGAACTTGACGAAGCTCCTTGGAGCTGGGACGACGGCGCCGGCCCTTAGATGAGACAGTCAAACGTGGCTTGCCTAGGGAGTCGAAGAACAACTTTTTGCGTGTGCTCTTCTCAATCAAGTGCTTCTCAGGAGGACCAAAGACTTCCATGATGCAGGCCAGTTGTTCCTGTTCATTCTCACCCGGGAAGATAGGATATCCGGTGAACAGTTCAGCAAGAATACATCCGATACTCCACATGTCGATGGGCATACCATAAGACATGCCCAAGATGACCTCAGGTGAACGGTAGAATCGACTCTGGATGTATGTGTAGACTTTTTCGTTTTCGAAGCAACTGGAGCCGAAATCGATCACTCGAATTTCAGAGTTCAACGGGTGAACAAGAAGAATGTTCTCTGGTTTCAAATCGCAATGAATGACCTTCTTGGCGTGCAACAGGGTAAGACTGCTGAGCATTTGCTTGGTAAACCGACGGATGAGCTTAATATTGAATCCTCTGAAGTCGTGCGCCTTGATGAACTCGTAGAGATTGATTCCCAGAAGCTCTGTCGATATGCAGAGATGACCACGGAAATAGAAATTCTCGACAAAGTTGACCACGCTATGGCGACGATCCGGATCCCAGTCCTTCAACTTCCGGAGAAGATTGACTTCGATTAAAGCTTGCTGATGGAATCGTTTCTTGTTGCGGATGATTTTGATTGCGACCAAAGCACCAGTCTTATGATCAACACATCGCACGACTTGTCCGAAACTTCCCTTGCCAAGGACATCCACAACTTCGTAGCGGTATGCAAGATGATCGCCCATTACAATGTTGTAGTCACCACGATCGTCATCGTATCCAAAGTTTGCAGTACCCGAGTGGAGATCACCGACATGCTTCTTCGCGTTTTGAGTGCCACAGAAGAAGATATCTCTGTAATCAATGATCTCACCGCGCTCAAAGATGTTCAAGTTGGCCATCTTGAGAGCTGAGGCCGGACTTACACGATCCTTAGGTCCTGCCTTGCGACGTAATTCGTCTAATGTTTTGGCGGCACTCTCAAAGTCCTTGCGTTTGGCTCCAAGCCTCCTCATTTCCTCATCCGCGATCACTATGTCAGCGTCAACACTGGAGTCCGCCGACCGAGAAGCTGCAGCTGCAGCACTGGAACGAGCAGAGCTGATGATTTTGTGCACCGGAGACACATATGTGCTGGTAGGTCGGGCATGCGAAGGATCAAGACTCCCGGAAGAATCATTGGAACGAGTTGGCTCCAAGTTGACACTTAGTTCGCTGCTAACGCTGGGCTTTCGAGGGGAAACCGATTGCTTTGTTATGCTGGACACAGATGATTGGCGGCGGGGCTTAAGATAGGATGTCTTGATGCTAGGACTGGTCGAAGGCACAGAAGACAGATTGTTCCATGTTGCAGATGCGGGGAGCTTAGGTGGTGGCATATGATCGTATTTGGAGGGATCGGTATCCGTGTCAGATGAGGGAGTTATCTTGGAGTTGCTGCGAACTCGTGCGACATTCAAGCGATCCCGAAGTGAGGGATTAGACACCGCAGTGGTGCTGTCTGGCTCGGACGGGGTCGAAATCTGGCTTAATCTTTCCGCAGCAGGTGTAAAAGTAGCGCTCTGTGTTTGTGGGCGTGGACCAGTCAACTTGTACGAATGAGATGCTCGGTTATTGGAATAGTCGCCACTAGCCTGATGACGGAGAGCATTAAACTCACTCCCACTCTTGGGCAGTGTGTATGATGCGTATGGCGATATGTTCCGCGTGCCACTGGGTGTATCGAGTGACTCAAACGCGCTGGTACTGCTGGCCGCCCGTAATGCAGCCGCTGTGGAGCTGGTGCTGATCGCAAAATGGGACGTACTGCTGCGTACCTGGGTGGCAGGGGCCTTATCTTCATCATCGCGGAATGACCAGAAATTAGATGCCTTTGAAGCAGTCATCGGTGTGCTGGGTGTCTTTGATTGGACTTGATTGGAAGGAGTATAAGACTTTCGCTCTTCCGCTCCTCGGTCTTTTAAAGCTTCGATCTTCGTGGTCATTGGAGTTCCCAGAGGCAGAAGGTTCAAAGGAGGCAGCTTCAATGGCTGCAGGCCCTTGCGACCTAAGACCGTGGATGTTCGTGTTCGCGACTCGGGCGTTTTTGTCGTCCGCTCAGTCGCAAAGTCATTATTATTATCATCACCAGTAGCGCCGACTCGACGCTGGGTATCCATTTCTGAGTCCTGTGTAATTTGCAGTTGACTGATATCCACTGGCAAACTGGACTTTCTTGGAGCCGGGAAGACTGGTGCATCCAATTCACCCTTGGGGGATTCATAGGCCTTGGGAATTGCAGGCACTGGAGGCACTTCTTCCTCTCCATTTGACGCCGATTGATCGGCGCGTGGCTTCGGCGTAGGTAATCGCGAAGATGAGAAGTTCTGAGAAAGACGGGGCTGAAGCGAGCTGCTGGAGTTCCGGATTGAGTTGTAGCTAGTGTTTGATGACAACGATAAACCAGAGCTGTAGGACTTGCGGTTGGGATCTGGCGTGGTCCGGTTAGAGGATGGAGTGATGCTTTTTCGTGGGAGGAAGGAAGGGGATTGGGTTGAGGAAAGAGGCCGAACAGGAAGGGGCTCTGTTTGTGTGGGTGGGGTATGTGGCATAGGAGGTGCAGGAGGTGCGATGGACATCCGCTTCATGCGCCGTGCATCCGTGGGACTGATGGTGCGGGCGCCTAAACCAGTAGCATGCGGCATGACAGACATACGCTTGGAAGATGAACAAGAAGATGTGGGTGTTGCCTCAGCGGGAATTCCGGATGTGTTATTCTTGACAGGCGTACGAACAGCATTAGTCGACGAGGACCGGCTGTGATCCGCTGTCCCGGACGCGGTCAAATAAGCCCCGCGCGGCTCTCGTGGAATGGGTTGGAAAGACTTTGCCTTGAGGCTTCGCAGAGAGGAGGGAACTTTAGGTTCATCCCGCCCCAAATCTGTCTGGGTGCCCCGCGGTCGAAGAAGACCATTCGACTCTCGCAACGGGTCGGTGCTAACCTTGCGGGCACTCAAGCTGGCGCGCCTTGCTGAAGCACTGGTCGGGGCGAATGCGCCAGAGCTGATGGATTTGCGAGACGGACGCGACCCGACACCGGGGCTACTATTGCCTGCATTGGCGGCGGGCTGAGCAAGGCTTTGGCGTCGCGACCGCGTGTTGCCAGAGGTCGTGAGCAACCCCGGATTTGGAACATTTTGAATATGGAACCGCGATACTTCGCTCTTCCGGCGGGCGGACGCGTTTCTTGTGCGATCAGAAACATTGCTCTCGTAGCTGTTATTTGTCCAGGAACTGTTGGTAGACAGACCCGAGTCTCTATTCTCGGAGCTCGCGCCTCCATTTCCGGGCATAGGGAAGTGATTCAAACTGGGCTCCGCCATGATGCTGTTGTGAAAGTCATCGAAATTTATTGGCGCCAAAAAATCCATGCTGTCCGGAGGAATTTGAGTAGTATCTTGCTTCGCCAAATTTCCCACACTCGTAGATCGGAGGTTGTATCCTTTAGAATCGTTGCTTGAGTCGATTGATGAAGTTTCGGAATGGAAGTAGCCACCGGACGGTTTGCTATAGAAGACCAAAATTAGATGATATTGTTCAAGAATTATTGATTGCCCGCTTTGAGACAACAAAAATCAGGGGGCAGTCCAAACCCACCTCCAGCGCGAAGCGTCTTGCGGTCGCGGCCCCTGAGGGGCATTGCCTCGAACAGATAATTGCCTGCGGTTTGCCCCCCCAGCACGAGGACCCGCTACTCCCCTCGAGGGCTGAGAATCGAAATTGTTCGTAGAATTCGTATGGAAATTGGTTGAAGCTGCCTTTACAAGACGTCTGCGGGCGGGGGTTTCCGCTATTGGAAAAATGTATTAGCTTTGATCTCATTGTGGTATTTGGTAGCTTCAATCTCACATAACTTACCTCCAGAGCCCGAGTCATCATTCCTAGATGGGTTGGATGAATGAGATTGTACTGAACCGGCTTGACCCCTCCCTGGAGTTTGGGGTGGATTGACTGGCATTGTTCCCAATCACAATCGGACGAAACGGCTGCGATCTTAAAGTTGACAGCCTGTTGCGCTGGCCAAACCGAGAAATGACAAAGACTGACAGCAATGGCATTCAGGAGAAAGCGGGTTTCGAATCCCCACTCGGAAGAGCCTTGAGCACAGTCGCGCGACTCGTCAAATGGCGGTTACCGGTCCATATCGGGGGGCTCAACAAAAGAACGGCCGTATACGATGCCCAGGTGAATGTGGGTTCAGGGACTTAAAGGGGGAGGGGGTAAATCACAGAAGGTGGGATATTTCCAATTTCCCAGAAATAATTTTGGTGTAGCTTTTAGTCGTGTTGCTGGGGCAAGTGCAGGGCGGTCGCAAAAGATTATCAAGATCCACCAACAAAGCACGACAAAGGGAATTCTAGAATAGGTAGTGAAATTTTCAAAGAACACTCTTAAGTGTCTTAGGAGGAAAAAGAAGAGAAAAAAAACAAAAGGACAAAAGGAGGATGAGCACAATTACATGAATTAAATGTCGGGACTTCCCCTGATTGCAAACTGCTTGTATGGTACAACGGCTTACTAGATTACCCGCCATTTGAAATGAACCCCACATAGAAGACGCCGATCGCAAGAGGTAACATTGTATCCAAAATACGGAGTACATACGGAGTACACAGTACACATAGCTAAAAAAAAAAAGTAAAGAGCTACTAGTATGGCCTGATTTAACCGGCCACCAACCCGATCAACAGCGCATGTGCTTGGAACCATAGAAAGATCTCCCCTCGGCAGCTTTCTTGTTTCTTGCTTTCTTCCTTCCCATTCATTTCATGTCTGCCTATTTCTACAAATTCATTTGAATATCATGCCACAGTCCTTCCAAGATGGATGATCCAGGTTCAGAAACTAGAGCAACTCGCAAAGAGGCTCCAGGCTCGGGCTTGTCCATATTGAAGCAGCGGCACCAGAGGCAAGGTTCGCCTGATAGCACGCACTCGCGATCATCTTCCATGTCGAAAAACACAATTCAGGACCGGCTATTTAATAAGTCAGTATCTGCCTAATACTTCAAGATGCATGTGATAGAGATCCAGCGTCTAATATAAACCCAGGCTTCTGCAACAAGTTATCCCCGCAGACGATGATGCGGAACCCAACACCGGGGACAAGGCCATGGCAAATTCCCCAAAAAAGCCACCATTTAGTCTCCCAGCAATGACGAATAACTTTCGCCGATTTAATGCAAGGTCAGTATTAAACGGCTGAACCACCTAGCAATTGCTGGAACATGAAAACTGATCCTCATGTAGAATCGGCGTGGTATTTCTTTTCCAGGCTCAGGCAGAGGGTCTATTCTGTTGGAACACACCAACCCACACAATATCTTTCCTCTTCGTTTATTCCTTCGTCTGCCTGGATCCGCACCTGCTATTGGTTCTCCCACTGGTGATTTTCCTACTCTTTATCATGGTGCCGGCCTTCTTGACCCGCCACCCTCCACCACCTTCTACATCCACCTCCAGCACGACACCTTATTACTCTTATGAAGGGCCAGCATTAGCACCGGCCAAGACTATTAAGCCCGCTCCCGAAACTTCCAAGGACTTTTTCCGTAACATGCGTGATCTACAGAACGTGATGGCGGATTTCTCCGACGCTCATGATGCAACGGTCTCTGTCGTTGCACCACTCACTAATTTCTCAAACGAAAAACTGTCTTCAGCTCTCTTCTTGGGTTGCACGGTGGCTACGGTGGTGCTATTCTTAACAGCACATCTTGTACCACTTCGGCTGGTGATGCTAGTGGCCGGGAATGCAGGTGTCTTGTTAAATAACCCCACAGTGCGACAGTTCTTCCAAGGCTTATTGCAGGATGTGAGCGGAGTAACGGATCAAGATGCCCCCCTTCTCAGTGAGGAGGCCGAGCGTGAGCTGTTCGGGCAACCAGTCCCAAAAACACCATCTGCGGCCGTTTCTGCTTTGGAACAGTTGGCGGACATCTCACTAGACACCGACCCAGAAGAGCGTGAGGTCGAGATTTTTGAAATACAACACAGATCTCCAGGGACTTCGGAATCCGGTTGGGAGAATTTCTTGTTTAGTCCACTACCTTACGACCCACTCTCTCCTTCTCGCATTGCAGGCGATCGGCCTCGTGGGTGTCGATTTTTTGACGATGTCCGCACACCACCTGGATGGAAGTGGAAGAGCAAAAAATGGGAACTTGACTTGGATTGTCGGGAGTGGGTCGTGGAGCGCATGATCACCGGCGTTGGCTTCGAAGTTCCAGGTGTTTCACCAGAAGATAACACTATCGTTGACGAGGTAGGAGGCTGGGTCTGGGACCTTCCAGCCGAACCATCGGCCAGTGAAGAAGAAGAAATAACCGCAATGGCTTATGGAGACCTACCACCGGAGAGAAAACAGGAGGGTGCACTCCCAAGAGAACCCCGTAAAAGGTCTACCACGCGGGATTGGGAAGAAGGAAGCCCTGCTTCTTACGGAGTGGGAGAATGGCGGCGCCGTCGATGGGTACGAATTGTGCAGCGCATGAATGTCCCCCCAGCTGGCACGAGCACTGTCACGTATTCAACCCTAGGCCATTAATTTGTGTACTAGATGGTACCGGAAGTCACGATATCAAAGTATAATATTTCACTCGGTCCGAGCTACTATGTACTGCTCAACATTTATATGTCATGGATATGGATGCGTACAAACATTAGACCACTTTTTGTTTTCTGAAACACAACCCAGAGAACGCCCGAATCGCCGTAATCGAATGCTAGAGACAAACGTGCAAGAAAGTCCACACATCACTCCTGGGATGCCTGGTACTCCTTATATTTGTCAATTCTCCTCCGCAAATCTCCCACACTCTGCTGCATAGGGTTGAGCTTGCGGTCTCGGACCATTGCCATAAGATCCTCTCCGTGCTTCTCGACAAGTCGTGAAACCCACTCAATCTCGCGAGCACTCAGGTGGCGAGGCTTCTTAGCCTTCTCAGCAACACCCTCGGAGTTGGCTTGGCGCTCCAGCTTCTTCACAACATCGGTGCCCGATGCGCTGTTCTTGAAATCCAAAACGGTGTCCTCAATATCGTTCAAAGGGTCGTTAAGCGGGTTTGCGGCACGGTGCGAGCGGCCGGCAACATTGATCTGTTCATCGTCGCGAATAACGCGCAGAATTTTTCCAGTCTCGGGATCGCGCTCGACACGAATCTCGCCAAGATCAATCTGAGCAGAGGCCTTGCCACTGTCCCGAATCTGCAAGGAGTGCGTAGCGTCGTCGCCAACTGTTCCAGGGAGACGTTCGCGACCACCGGTCGGGGCGTTGAGTTTGTGCAGAAGACCCAGGTTCTTGTAGTTTTGTGTCAGAGTGAGGTCCTTGTCCCTAAATTCAGTGATCGTTAGTATAAATTTAATTTTTTTTTCTCTCTTCGGGTCATTTCCATACCAGTTCGCAGCAATGATAGCGTTGCCCAACACATTGATCTTCTTGTTACCGCTCTTCAGGCGGTTGTTCTTGGCCTTAGCCTTGGACAAGCCGGACCGGGCCTTCTTCTTCTGTAAAAGTTTACCCATTTTGATGTGTAAAAGGTGGTATTGGTTGCAAATTGCAGATTGCGCGGCCCAGAAACTTTTTTTTTCCCGCTCCGCACGGAAGGCGGTGAAAGTGTCTTGCCCAGAGTTTATCAGGGTCCGATAAGTAAAGTACAAGTGGTTCGATACCGGATAAGACCGCCCCCACGGCTTGTTTTGGTTTCCACTTTCTTTGCTCTCAGGGGATTTTTACTTTAATATCCCAATGGCTTCAAAGATGTTTTCTCGTCGGACAGGAATTGCAATTGCTGCAGGATGTCTGCTTTTTTCTGCTCTGGCTGCGGCAAATGTTCGTCCCGAGGATATGTCTGTTAGCCAGATCGAGGAACAGCTGCAGGTACGGAAGAATCATGCTCATTGTGTCCAGACTTGCCAGTTCCTTTCAAACAACTAACAGTACTAGCATTGTCCTCTTGTTGAGTCTCTAAACCAACACAAAAAGTCCACCGCACCAGAAACTGCGAGCTTCACGGCGCAAATCTTCGCTGTTCTGTTCCCAGGGAGCCCCGCCGTGAATGCCTTGCTTGCAACACTGTATATTTCCGGTCCACCCAGTATGTCTAGACACTTCAACCTGCCTCAAATACACTGTATTGATATCACCAGACTTCCTTTTGGCACTATGCCCTCCCAACATCGATCCCTCCTCTCTGTCTGTCATGGTCGCCTTCGCCGTAGGCGGACTACTAGGCGACACGCTCTTCCACCTCCTCCCTGAGATTTTCCTCGGTGAAGCTTCCCCCGATCATGTCAGCTTCGTAATGGTCGAGCCCAACAAGAATCTCCTCTTGGGCCTGGGTATCATGGTTGGTTTCTTTACCTTTGTCGCAATGGACAAGACACTTCGCATCGCAACTGGCGGCGCAGGGGGCCACGACCACTCGCACGGACATGCACACGCAGAGACGGTGTCCACTGCATCCACAAGCAGTGCCGAGACCGACAAGGCTGCCGGTGATCTGAAGCAGCGCAAGTCGAACACGAAGTCCGCCGACTCAGTTGCCGCCCCCGAACATGAAGAAAAGGAAATCAACCCCAGCGTCAAGTTGGGTGGCTACCTCAACTTGATTGCGGATTTCACACACAACATCACGGATGGCCTGGCTCTTTCTTCATCATTCTATGCCTCGCCCACCCTTGGCGCAACTACCACCGTTGCAGTCTTCTTCCACGAGATTCCGCACGAGGTCGGTGACTTTGCTTTGCTCATTCAATCTGGCTTCTCCAAGCGTAAAGCTATGGGTGCCCAGTTTGTTACTGCAATTGGTGCCTTCCTGGGAACATGCATTGGAATTGCAGTCCAAGAATTTGGTGGAAACAGCGCTGGGCTGGAGGATGCGCCTGCTTCTGGCCTTTGGGGCACCAGTCTTACTTGGGGTGATATGCTGCTCCCTTTCACCGCAGGAACCTTCTTGTACGTGGGAACTGTGGCTGTTATTCCTGAGTTGCTGGAGACTGGAAAGGACAAGGGCGTTGAGGTGCGCAAGACCATTACACAGTTTTTGGCCGTTGCCCTCGGCGCCGGAATTATGCTTGCGTGAGTTTTCCATCCGGAAATCAATTTGGATGACTTGACTTGCTAACATTTTTATAGAATCTCCTGGGATTAAGCATTACCAAGCTTGGACTAATTTTTGTCTCGGAGACGCGATTGGATACTCTGACTATAAAACAAGAACCTTGGAGGTTCTACATGGATTGAAATACATGTAGTCCAGACTCGGAGGCAAGAGTCAAAATTTGTACCAAGATTCTAGTCTATCTATTCTACCCCTTTACCACTTGGGTACTTGTGGTTCTTAGAAATGTGGAGGCTCATTTCGTTTGAAGCAAGTAGCTCCATTTTGAAAGTATTGTGAAATCAAAATAAGGAATAGATAAAAACATGCCTTATCTGGGTATGGCATAGAGGTGATTTGAGTGAATTTATAAAATTAGAAGCTACTAGTACAGACATAGTTGTGAGGTAGAAGAGAGAGTCGTGCCTTCCTTGAGTAGGAGAGAGGGGTATATCCTGCCTCTTCTGAGATTCTTGTGTTTGTCCTGTTTCTATCTTAACCAATCATCCTCAATCATCATGGCTAACAATCTGAACGCAAGAATGACTGTCACCCAGACCACCACCGTCATCATCAATACGATGATAACGATAACAACAACCTCCTCCGTTCCGGCTGCCCCGACTCCCTCGAACGACCCCTCTGCAAAACACCCTTCCTCCACCGCCTACGACCTCCTCCAGGCTTTTGGAACTGGGTGTTGGGAATCTCCATTTGCCTGGGCATTCCGCTTGTCGCGGGCCTCTCTTATTACCTGTCGAACCGGCTCCACAAGGAAGATGTCCCGTAAGTCAAAAGAAACGACTTGTCCAGGGCTGGAGGAGCAGTTGGTGGTTCCCCTGTTGGGGGCCCAATGTATACATGGTAAGCTAAGACTCGACCACGTGCATAGGACCAACGCCGATCTTCTTACTGTGGCTGCGACGCCGCAGACAGCCCTGACCTTTGAGTGGCTGCGTGCCCGCGTCAACAATGGAGGTAACTTGGTAAGCCAGAGATTGCGGCGGCCGATAGCTAACTAAGGGCCACCCTCACGAGTCGTCACGACACATCCCAATTCCAACTTTCCGACCGGCAGAAAGTAAATTACGAGTAATTCCAAATTCAGATTTGTTTTTGAACTCCATTAACTATTCTCAAGTCTATTCTCAAGTCTATTCTCAAGTCTATTCTCAAGTCTATTCTCAAGTCTATTCTCAAGTCTATTCTCAAGTCTATTCTCAAGTCTATTCTCAAGTCTATTCTCAAGTCTATTCTAAAAGTGATCCGTATTTAGATCAAATCCCTTAAGATATTCCTGCACATGTGTACGTAATAAATACAATACGGGCGTGAAACAGGGCGGTGAAGTTAGAAATCGAAATTGGGTTATGGCACTAGGATGGCGCTTACCGGCCGCCATACTTAGAGGTGTCAGTGGTCACATAGTCAACCCTACAGAGATGGGACAAGTGTACTGATTTTGTATTGATAGATAGCTCTCGCCAGCCAGTCAAGTCTTTTTTCCTCCACGCATCCATACCACTCCTCTCTCTTGCAGCATAATCTCCCAGTAGGAGTGAAAGCTTGAATATTACATCCTTGAACTTGAGTAGAAAAGAGCAAAATCAAAGCAAATGTGACCAGTCCTTAAAGCAGTCGTCAAAGATGAATAGTTCCCATGTTTCTAGCAACCCCGAGTCTGCTCTCGCCGTATTCACGGCATTTTGTCTTCCCTCGAAGAAGCCTGAAGAATCCGATCAAGATCATCATCGTTAAGTCTTGAAACTGTTTCATAAAGCTCAACGTGTTCAGGTTTGCGTGACTGCAAAAGGTTTCCCATCTCAGTCAATTTCTGTGCCATCTCATTCAACGAATGGGCTACGTCTAGGCATATTTGACCATGTAAGAGATGGTCGCTTGGAGCGAGTTTATCGCCGGGTAGAGTCTCCAATTGGATGTCGAGTCGGTGCCCTTGGATGTCGAGTCGGTCCGCCACGTCATCCACTTGTTTTTCTATTTTGCGTCGATGGCGTTCATTTTCAACGATATAAACAAACACATTTGCCCTTGGCTGATCTGAGCAATATGGTGGAGGGGAGTCCACACTATTTGCCATCTGTGGATTCTTGATTTTAGAATGTAGACCGCCTATCTTGAAGATCTTTTGAAGCAAATGCATCTTTATAAGTGTCGGTATTTGTGGATATGTAGAATAGTAGAAGATGTTAGATGGGCAAGTTCTCCGAAAAGATTGGAAGATAAAAAAGTAGAGCCGGTTAGGTTGTAGATCAGATCAATATATGTATATCACATGCATGTTATCACTGGCCGCCGTTGAATATGGACATCTGGATTCTTCAACCGTGGCAGCAGCTCAAACACCACCATTGTGAGTTCAAATAAACATCGAACCAGAACGAATCTATATAACTCATAAAGTTAGACCATTTTACATACCCAGAATAGGCCAAGTTGGTAAAGACTTATGGGTCTCCTGTATTAGTCCTACTTCAGAACCATGGACCTTTGCAAATGAGTCGGGATCTCCCCATATGTAAATGGGACGGAACTTCAATGTTTGCGGAGCCAGATGCGGGATAAGCACAATTTGGCGCACTGTTTGCACTGTTTACCAATACATGTGTATCTAGGTGCTACGTAACGCACTTCAATGTTGAGCGGTCGTTCACTCCCAGGACTGCGAACCTAGAATTGATGAGAGATGCAAGCCTAATACTAGGGCAACGGCACCTGGGATTTTAAGAGGATGGCCAGGTACATACATACTAGTAGATGAAGAAGACAAAAGGGTCTGATGTTCTACTTCGGTACTATCACACACTCCCGTTGCATAACACCTCTGATTTTAACCTAGTTGACGGATCGCTTCAAAGTATGCATACTAGACTCGAAGCTGCAAATGCAATTAAATTCTCAGTTCTAACGCCCGTAAACTCCACATTGTCTAGTAGCGACCTGACCACAGAAAGACCAATTTGTAGTCGTTTTCGTAATGCACACAGGAAAAGAAACCAATCTTGGACGTCCCCGAAAAGAAACGGGAGAAAAAAGAGGTAAACAACAGAGGCTACCTCAGGAAAAGAAGCAAAACAAAACCCCCGACAAGAAAATATAGACGCCGAAGAATGTTGACAGGGTGCGATTTGCAAGATGAAAATGCACGATCGGCGCACGGCGCGCAACCAATACAAAAGTGGGATTGAGGTTCTGCGAATGGAATATGGAAAACCCCGTTACTCGTTATAGTGATAGACCTAGAGTCCAAGTTAGTAAGAGGTGCCACCAGTTGAATTGAATCGAGCCCTGGGAAAAGAGCGAAGGGTACATACGAAATAATCAGGCAAACCAAATACCGCATAACCCAGCCTCTTCGCCATTTTGGCGAATCCCTCCGTCTCAACGAGATGGAAGAAAGGGAAGGCAGGGAACATGGCACCGTCGCGATGAACATCTGCTTTCACCATAAGCGCAGTCCCACCAACGCCATCCAGGGCGACCATGCGATGCGGATCAAGATCATTAAAGTCCGGCAGATATGCCATGAGGGTACGGTAAGTAGGAAGCTCCGCATATCCCTCCAGCAAGATCTCATCGGGACCCATATTCGCCGCCAACGCCTGCGCCTCTTCGCTATCGATCCACGAATTGTAGTCGTACGGACGGATATCCCATTTGCGCTCCTTCGAGTCGTAGTAGCGCTGGAAACAGTTAGGAACGATGACGGGTTGGTCATGGCGAGTCAGATCCTGGATAAGCGAAGGGGGAGTCTCGATGATGTCGGCGTCCAGCCAGAGGACCCATGAGGTACTTGGGCCGAGGGTTGTGAAGACGAGGCTGTTCCGGGCGCGACTCATTGATTCGCGGCGCTCTTTCTGCGCGGCCATTGCGTGGCGGACCTTTTCATCCTGCGACAGGATCGGAGGTTCGAAGTCCTGGCGGAGGATGGAGATGCTGGCGAATCGGTCGTCGATGGGACCTGACTGCGTGCGGGAGATGGCCTTTTCCAGCGCAGCGACGGCTGCGTTTCCGTCTTTTGTCTTGGGGGCGATGAAGCCCAGGGAGATGAGCTCGTGCGGATAGCTCAGTTTCTCCAGGTTGGTCCAGTATTCTGGGAAGAAGCGAGCTAGCGGGGTGAGGATGAGGATGCGCTCGTGGTTGGCCGCGGAGGTACTCGTGCTGGTGAGATTGTTGAGATCGTAATGAACGACCGGCGGGGCCGCTTGGTATCCATCGCTCCGAATTGGCTGTGACTTGAGGAAAGGCTTTGTCGGTGGAGAGAGAGGGTGTTCCGCTGTGTTGTCTTGTCGCTGCTGCGATGTTGCGGCGGCTGCTGCGGAGGGCGTCGAGGGCGATAAGAGGAAGCAAATGAAGCCAAAGGCCAGCACGGCGGCCAGCACAATGGTTGTGGGACTTGTACGTCGCATTGAACGTACGACGGCCATGGCCGCTCCGACCAAATCTCCAAAATTGAAGATTTGAAGATGTACAAGTGTTGGAAAGTGGCCAGACGTTCAATCTGAAACGGTGATCGACCTGGTGCCTCAGGCAGCCGCAGGGGTCTAGGATCAGCCAAACCTTGGCTAACCTAAATTGCGTTGCTGATGAAAGAATACTAGTTAGTATGATATTATTAAAACCCCTGCAGTTTCAAGGCCACATCAACTGCTTGGGATGAAAGATAGAGAAGAAGAGAAATAGAAATCCTTGAATTGAAGTTTTGGCCAACCGGAAAGAGAAATTCTGTGGGCACATGTGCACGTTTTTTCTCTCTCACTATAGTTACACTTAGTACTACGCTAATTTCCTTATCGGCGTTAACAGCCTCGGCCACAATGGGCCCGATGGCAACACATTCTCAATATTCACGCCCCGAGGATGCCGATATTCCAGAAACAGTTACCCGTGTTTTTTCTTGCTCGCTGAATGCAGCCATATGTTTTGATCGTGAACATTCTTGAGCTCGGACTGTGGCGTTTCCGTCGAGGGAAATCAAGTATATGCAGTAAACCTTCAAATGTTGGAAGTTAGAGCCAAGTCTTGGTAAGATGTGCAGGGATATGAAATCTAAGTAATATTGGTATATGTCTATGTTCTTTTGTGCGACTGTTTTCCAAGTCTTTATATATACATCTCAAACTCTTTAAAGCTTTGTTCATGGTAAAGTGCGCATCACTCCCTCGAATGCAACCAAGGCCATCGCATTCGCCGGGAACGCCCTGATGAAGCATGGCACAAAGCCCCTCCAGTAGCCTCTGAACCCACGTTCCCGCCCGACAGCCACTGCGGCATCTTTCCAGCTTCGGAATTTCCTCTGTCCGTCGTTGAGAGATCCGCCCATTGGATCTGTCATCAGCCGTTGTTTCACCACGTCTGATGGGTAAGCGGCGACCCAGAAGACCTGAGCGGAGATACCACCAGCCCAGAAATTGATAGCTGGTGCCGAGAGGCTTGTGTTCTTCTGCATGTAACGAGTAATCAGGTCGTAGGAACCCCACCAACAGAAGAAAAATGAGCGGAAGAGCATGGTGGCACAGAGGCCGCGGTACAACCCTCTGATACCATGTGTGCGAAGCTAAATTCTTCCTGTCAGCAAGAAAAACACATGTCGGCAATTTATCATCACAACTTACAATTTTGCGAATGCAGTCAATAGGACCACTGTACATGCGCTTGCTCTTGTCGGCAGAATATTGCACCTGCAGCCGGGCTTTGATGTGCTCAACTGGAGCAGCAACAAGACTGACAGTCATTCCTGAGAAGACACCAGCAATACCATGGCCAAAGGTTGGGAGAGTTTTCAAGTCAGGTTGGCTGCGTGTAAAAGGGATGTATGGGCGGAGACCGGGGTTGGAAAAGATGTTTTCTTGGAGAAGTCGTCGGTATAATGTGAGGGATCCCAGCATACTGCCTCAAATAATGATATTAGCGGCAGAAAGCGTACATATTCTCGAGGGAAACACTTACACAGAGTCCATCACCATCCAGCCAACTAGTGGTGGACTTGCACCCTTGTACAGGCCTCGCGCGCCTTCTTTCCGTATTGTCTGCATGGTACAGTCCAAAGGTCCCCGGAAGTGGCCATCTTGGCTGGTCTGAAGACGGACTTTGATCGTATCGAAGCTGGGCATGGTCAATATTAAGGACAAACGAGTTGGATTGTGGGTTTCGAGAAACATACGGATGGCCAACTAGAAACATGACTCGTAAGTATTGATGCAACGCACAGTGAGATTCAAAGGAATAAAGGAATAGACCTACCACTCAACTTGGCAATACCAGAGAATATTCCACCCACAAATCCCTTGTAGTCTTTCTTAGTCGAGGCAGCCGGAGCTGGTGTGGAGGTAGGCGCGGGCGCAAGATTCGTACTGGCCGTTCCTTTCGATTGAGAACTTTGTTCCGTCATGTTGAATAAGTAAGGGCGCTTGCGCCGATTTTATGCGCTAATGGTATCAACCTAGAAAATCAAGAGAGGACAGTCGACGCGTTTTGAGGAAGCGGAAGTTGGTCGCGCGACGAGCAGGAGCAGAGCACAGCTCAATTCGAAGTGGGAGGTTCCGAATCGGGAGGATTTCAAAGGAGAAGAATTCGTGCGGGGGCTTGAGACGAATATATGGGGTATTCAAGCAACCGAGAAAGGTGGGAGGAGAATTGTCACTCTTGAGTGATCGGCCTTGAAGGCCCCGCATTCACTGGTTCTTTTCGGGGAGGAACGGTGCAGCTCCGGCATCAGCTCCGATCTCGCAGACACCTCAGCCTTCAGGTATAAAGTCTCCTGCCAATCAGCAATCGGGGATCCAAGAAGGTCAACACTTACCGTAGTGTTTGTTATGCATTGTTCAATGACTGGAGCCACGAATCCAAAACCCAATTCCTTTGATCATTGCTCACTGGAACTGGCTGATGATGTTGTTGGGGTAAACTCAAAGTAACAACTTACCGATTGAACACTTCCCCTTGGGGGGACACCACGAGAACTATGGCAGAAGCCGGCGTAGTTCAAGGGATTTATAAAATTTGTCACAGTATTGATCCAGTCGTGCTCAGGCTGAGAGAATCGGTCGGTCGTTTGTAAATAAAAGGCGGTCTTCAGATATGAAATAAGTTCCTAATCAATCCCAATGAATCGTTCACCAGCAGTCTACTGAGGCAGTTTGCAGAGGCGCGTCTACTAGGTCTTTCACGGACGAGTCCGATACAAGCAAGAACCTTTCGCGGGCCAACCACAAACAAATTAAGCCAGTCGGCATAAGCACCCCTACTTAGTCTTTCACGGACGAATCCGATACAAGCAAGACCTTTCGGTTAGCTTTTCACAACGTAATCAGTAGTCTTCTGAGGCAGTTTGCAGAGGCGCATCTACTAGGTCTTTCACGGACGAGTCCGATACAAGCAAGAACCTTTCGCGGGCCAACCACAAACAAATTAAGCCAGTCGGCATAAGCACCCCTACTCAGTCTTTCACGGACGAGTCCGATACAAGCAAGACCTTTCGGTTAGCTTTTCACAACATGATCAGAATCTGCTTCAAGGCACTCACTCTACGGAGACAATCCTTTGCAAGATCGAGCACTCCGAGGCAGCCTTGAGGGACGAGGGACGGTCCGTGTATATTCTCCTCGCGTTGCCGCATATATGTATTTTTTTTCGTACTTTGATGAATCCGAGGCGGTCTTTCGAAAGACATAGCACTTGTCGAAGCCCGATGGAGCCCACTGAAGCCCGCTGAAATGCTTTGGTATTGTCACAGGCTTTTTGTATCCGAGGAAACTGAGGTGGTCTTCTGACACTCGATATTTTCTGCAGGGGTATTTCTACCCATTTGACGCCCACAGGTTTTTTGGCTAAATCTTCATATCAGCAAAATTTCTCCCAAAGTGTGTACACGTCTGAGCCAGATCCAGAGAGCAATGATCAAGAAATTTCCGCTGACTTGTCGTTCGAATCCCTAACTAGCCACCGTTAGTCAACACGAAACTCCCATGAAAGGCCTTGACTTAGATGATGGAGGGAGATGAAAGATGATGGAAGGAGACGAAAGATGATGGAAGGAGACGAAAGATGATGGAAGGAGACGAAAGATGATGGAAGGAGACGAAAGATGATGGAGGGGGACGAAGGATGATGGAGGGAGACGAAGGATGATGGAGGGAGACGAAAGATGATGGAGGAAGGAATCAAGATCAAAGAGTGAAGATGTGCTGGTGGGTAGATGGGGGAGGGAAGCAGGGAGAATCAGGATGGGGACGTGAAGAAGTATATTACGCGTGGAGGTTTTGGCGATGAGAAACATGATGGAAAATGATAGCACTTGAGAAGACCCAGAAATTGGTGAAGGGAAGGATGGGAAAAGAGCTGGGAAGAAGAAAGGGAAGAGAAAATCAGAAAATGGGGGAAATGGAAGAAGCTATTCATACCACACTGTAACTACTACTAGTAGTACTGCTAGGATGTATACATATTGCCTTTTTTGGTTGAGCCTTCCCAGATAGGCTTAGTACAAGACTATTCATGAATCGGAACAATGAACTAAAAATCGATAGGAACAAAGAGATCCGGTACATCTTCAAATCGACAAGTTTGAAAGATTCAAGTCTCCATTGTACTTTGACAGGTCTAAAATCAATATGCATATGATGGACTAAGGGGGTATAGATACATGATGTCGTAATATAAACGGGCAACACCGATTTTAATCAGAATGTCACTTGAGAAAGGAAATGAGAAAGGAGTAGGGGGGGAAAAAACAGGAAAAACCACACAATCCGATGCCGTGGTTCTCAAGAAAGCGTTTTCATGCCCAAGAACACCGAAGAATGGAGATGTATGAAAATGATAGTCAACCAATTACTGTCTTTCCAAAAAAAAGAAAGCAAAGACGAAAATTCAAGATCGAAAAATGGAAAATGAAACAAGGAAAAAAAAAAACGAAATAAGCAAGGATAACGGCCCTGATGCAGTAGCAGTAGCTGCGGAAGTATCCGTGCGTGAAAATTGGCTCAAGCCACAGCGTCATCGGCCCTTCTGGGATGTGCGGCTCTTCTGACGAGCCTTTTCCTTTTCTCGGGCAATCAGCTTTTCCACCAGCTCTGGCGGAGGCCCGACATGCTGGTTAGTTGCATCCCGCAGGGCACGCTCCTTGGCAATTGAGCCAGCGGCGAGGTAGTCACCAGCCTCAAGGGCAAAAGGAGTGACCGGGCCGGGACTGAGAAGTGGGTCCAGGCGCGGGGCGGACGGGCCCTGAGTCGAACCATCGAGGAGATCACGGTATTGGAATTTGACGTCCCGAGAGCCCGAGGTGGTACGGTAGCCGTGAGTTTGACGAGACTGACGAGGTGAAGGTGGTTGGGCAGTCACAGTGTGGGAAGTAGGGCTGGGTTGATAGACCGCGGGGTGGAAGCGGGGCAAAGTTCCGAGTTGGAAGGCCGGGATGGCCTTGGTTGAAGGTTGGGTACGTGAGGAACGTGAGGGCTGAGGTGAACTGGGTCGTCTGGGTGACATTGTGGGTGAAGCAACCGGCGAGTAGAAGGGGGAAGTATCAGAGCGCATGCTTGAGTATCGGCCGGGGCGGCCGGATGGACGAGACGGCAAAATGTGCCGGGACTTGGCGGACAAGGATGCACGCTCCCAATCGTCAAAGTAGTCGTCGTGATCGAAGCGGCCAGTAAGCGGTGTGACGGGGAGATGATCGTCGTAGACTCGGATTGCCCGTCTTGGGATGGGGATTGGACGAGTGGAGGAGGAAAGAGTCAAAGAGTCAAATGCGTCGGTAGGAGGAGAAACGGATCGGTAGCGGCAACGGCGCGGGGAAGGGGGATTATAAGTTGACGAGGTGGAGGTCAAGTCCCGCAGGGAGGACAAGGAGACTGGAGTGGGGTAGCCGTGCCTCAGAATCAAAGTTTCAAGATGATCCCTCGGTGATAGACGAGGTGACGGCGATGATAGTCCTATGCATGCGATCAGATATGGATTTTCGCTATTACGGAATGCGCACACGTGTCGAAGCAAGTATGGAACGTTTGGAATGAAGATTTTCCAAGATTCTCCAATGGAAGGAGAACAATGCGTATGGGTTTTATGATTGGAAAGCCAATGACATGCTCATATGGCAAGCATTCCATTCCAACCTTGGAAGATTCAAATGTTTAGGGGGGGTCAACACACCTGAGAATGAACTGCTTAGCGAAGAGGGGTAATAGGATGATTCCGACGAGGAACTTGAATGTTTCTTGCGCATCTGCCGTGTGCCCCTTATATATTAGTGACTTTTCTCACCCTTTTTTTTTTCTTTTAATTTTTTTTCCCTCTTTCTCTTGCGTGTACAACTTCCAAGGTTGCGGGGATTCCGGGACTCCACTTCGGATCTCCTTAGAATTCCTGTCGGGACATGGCGTCATTTGGCGTCTTTGGCTCCTTTTTTTCTCTCATTTGTGTATCTTTTGTGGTCTTTTCATAGAGTGTACCGAGCTCCACTTTTGATATCCATGGCTCTTCATCACGGATGGCGTCGGTACCTGACGACAAAGAGAAAAAAAAAAGTCTAGAACTTCAAAAACTCACCATTGAACCGTTGAGACCGTCAAATTCAGTCTCAGCCTGATTTGATCCACCAGGCTCCCAATTCCCCCACTGATTCGTTGCTGTACAGCATATGCCGTGTAATATTTCGGGTAGTTAGGCCGAGTTGTAACGGTCCAAACTCTGCCCACTTAAAGAGGATAAAACCACGCAGATGCAGATGCAATATATATGCACCTACAACTATTGATCAGCAATTTTTTTCTTTCAAAAATAACACGGATACCAACATGAAAGAGAAAAGAGGATTGCTGTCCTTTTTGAAAAGAGAAAAAGCTCCGGCCAGGCACCTGTGAAACCTCGATGACTGAGTTAAAAAAGGGAAAAGAGCTCAGGCTTAGTCTTCCACGCGGCTACGCCTGGTGACCACTCAACATGTTCATTCCAAGGAACAGAGACAAGAAGCCTCAAAAATCAGAAAAAGAAATAGGAAAAAGGAAAAAAAAAAAAAAAAAAAGTATGTGATATGTTCTCAGGTCTACTAGTATTCTATCGATCATTCACAGTCTCGATCGACTTTGAATGGCGGAGCTCGAGAGGGTAAGGGGGGCTGAAGATCTCCGACCAGGCGCGGTTGATCGTCCGGCGGTCATGCGTGAGATACAACCAGGTCATCCTGTGATTCGCACGCGTCCAGATCCATACTAGGGATGACGTCCTGCCTGCCGGGCATTGAGGGGCGCAATGACCACTTGGAGACCAGGGCGGGATCAATGTTTCCTGCACCCCCTCAACTTTCAAGGGAGATCCTATCTGACCATTCACCGTCGCCGCCGCTTTCAACGTTTCCAATCAGCCGACACCTAATCAACGAGCCAGGAGGGATGGATGCACCCCACTTCATTGGTAGAGATCTATGATAAATGTCATTAATTGCGCCTCTTTTATCCGCACACCTACATCGCTTGGGTGGTGTGTGGGTGTCTCGGAAGAGTGACTATTATTGAACCTCTCACCCCACCACACCACAGCTTGCTCGTACCCTCCTTTTGAGGTGTGAGTCAGAAGATAACTCCAGGTTGCCATGTTCCTGATGGGGCTTGGACAAGAAAGGAGGAGGATCATCGAGCACATCCTGGCTTCTGGCCGTTGAGTCGATCTGGATGCTCCGGCTTGCCCACTTTCGGACTCTGAAGAAGTTCATCAAGGAATAAGCTAATCTATGCAGAACTAGGTGATGCAACATGGGATATTCCCCTGCATGAGAGTAACCAACCCAGGTCTTTAATGCATATCAACACATCCTTTCTAGCTTTACCCCTCCCACTACCGTCATTTCAATCTGCGCTAGCGACTTGATACTGACTGTGTATGTCCACCTCCCGCTCTAAAAATTTTGCTGTGTCCACTCACGCAGTCAAACTAGCTTTTGATGCCGGCCCAACTGAGGATAGTCCTATATTCTTTCGTGCCCTGGGGCCGGAACAACCTCCAAAGCTGGCCCGGCGGACACATCCCTATTAGGTGAGTCAGGACTCTGTAAACTATGCCAGGCTCAGTACATCCACTATGAGCGCGTCGTAACAGGCCTGGTCTAGCCCCCTCCGTTTTGAATTTTTTCGAATTAGCCAATTTATCGCTAGGTTAAAGTAAAGAAGACGAATCTTGACGACCCTGTTGTCTTGGTTCAGAGAGGGTGACATGTCATAAGTTGCCACAATATCTCTTAAGCAAGGTCTCTGCCTATGTAGCATTTTTCATATAGCATGATGCACTTACTAGCCTCGATTGAGGTGGATCAGACTTGTGGTGTGAGTAAAATCTCCACCCGTCAAAGAACATCCAGTACGTAGAGCTACTTACTAGTATGTTTGCTATGTTCCTGCACATAGGGCTCCTGTCCGCGACATCAATATAGCCGTGTTGAAACTTGACTGGAAGCGGAGCTTACCCGCCTCGTGGACCCCGCAACCACATGTTCCACAACTCAAACAAACATTTGAACCCACCAACCACCAAAACCACTAAGTGCTAGCACTTGAGGTACCTAGTACCAGGCACCTGCACGAATTTATCAAAAATGGGAATGATAGCACGCTGTCAGTGCTCCAAAGTGCAGTTCACCACTCCAACAGACAGGCCACTTGCACTCTACGCCTGCCACTGCACCGAATGTCGCCACCAAAGCTCCTCTGCCTTCGGTATTACGGCCATTTTCCCCTACTTCGAGCTTCCAGAACACTTGTCCCATCTGGTCGGAACTTACACTCGAATCACACTCAGAGGAAGACATATGCAATGTCTTTTCTGTAAGAGCTGTGGTGCGCGGATAATGCATCTCATCCATGATACAGCACCTGTTCCTGGCGAAAAGCCAAAATCCACTTCAACTGCAAATGTGAAGGGGGGCTGTCTTGAGGGGCTGGACAAGGAAATGATGAAGGGAATTGTTCATATATGGACTAAGCATGCGATCGTGGAGATTCCCGAGGGTGCGGAGAAGTGGGACGAAGCCCCGCCGGTTGTGAATCCTCTGCAACGTTAATTATGACGGCGGGATAACATGTCGGCCAAATTTATGGTTAGTCCTGAAAGTTGAAGGCTAAATTCTCGACTCTTCGATATTAACATGCAAAGTCCCCAAAATACAGAATTATTGAACTCCCTATACTCCTATAGAGACGCAAAATCCAATCCATTTAGTCGCGCATACGTTCAAGGTTTATGTATTTGTATGAATTGAACATTGACACCATTGCAAAAAAGAACATTTGAAGGCTTGGACAGAGTCAAATTAACCGACCATTGCGGACCAGCCGTTGTCAGCGGAAATACAGCCTCCATTCACAATGCCGAATCCCTTGCCACCGGCCAAGTACAAAGACAGCTCGGCAGCGTCTTCCAGATCACAGAAAGGGAGCCCAATTGCTTGGAGAGCACTGGTACATCTCTTCATACCCTCCATATTGCAACCGGAGCGCATCGCGTCAGCGATGTTGGTGTTCATCGCACCCATCATCAAAGCGTTGCAGCGAATGCCCTTGTCGCCATAGAACGCAGCAGTGTTCTTGGTCAAACCAACAACACCATGCTTGCTAGCAGTATAAGCAGCGCCTAGAAGATAGTCAGCGATTAAAAATCTTTCAAAAAGAGAAAAACCCAAGAAGAGAGTTGGAAAGCAGAAAGATATTCACATACCAGCAGCACCTCCAGCCTTTCCAGCGATGGAAACAATATTGATGATACGGCCCTGGGGCTTCTCCTGCTCCAGCATATTACGAACGGCCAATTTGCTCAATAAGAAGGGAGCTGTCAGGTTGATAGCGATGACCCGGTTCCAAAGCTCTGGATCAAGGTCGGCAGCGCCATCAAATCTATCCATGATACCAGCGTTGTTAACAAGAACATCAATCTTGCCGAATTCCTGGATGATCTGCTCGAAGAGGGCCTCCACTTCACTTTGGCTGGTAATGTCGGTCTTGATGGCCTTGAAAGGGCCCTTGGTCGATAGCTCGGCCGAGGTCTGCTGCAGACGGTCTTCATTGATATCGCAAATCACAACATTAGCGCCGGCTTCGAGGTACTTGGTCGCGATGGCTTTTCCCAGGCCACCTGCACCACCGGTGACGAGGCATGTCTTTCCAACGAGGAGTTGTTCTGTCATTGTGGAATATTGAGGTTTGTGTGGAAAATTATCGAGATTCGTGGCGTGGCATGGATTTTAAGTACTAGGATTCACGTTAATGACGGAAGACATCGTATCCGGATTCCGTTGCGATCACCTTCTTGTATTCTCCACCTAGAGGTCCGCACTTTGCGGGTCAATTAATTGGCTTTGCGGCAACGTCTTGGTTTTGATTTTCTGCTCTGGTGCTTACTTCCTGCCGCTTTAATTGGACCTTAACAGTGACCTTTGGGAATTCCGAAATTCCGCCTCCATTCTACATAGTACTACGCATGTCACCTCTGGGTTCTGGAATGAAACCGAAATCTTACACGCATACTCTGTCTTCTTCTGCTATTTATTGATAAGCTGCGCAGGGATGCTTGCCTCGCATGTCATTATTGATATGCCTAATCTGCCGCCGGATGACCGGACTTACTACATAGTACAGTAGGCTGTGGCTGTGGTAAATCAACCTGGTGTACTACCTACTTCTTGCATAAATGTACATGCGCTTGCGATGTTCTTTTTCAGCATGTAATCGCAAGTGCTGTGCAACCCTTCAATGTTAATCTCAAAACTGTGTGCCAATTTCCCTTATAAACATCAACATGGAATGTATCAGTTGAGAATTAACAAAATATGACAATGGAAGCACATTGTCTACTACTTAAACCTAAAGCAGCGGCAGTTCGAATAGGGGAACCCCACTTAGAAGTCCCCACGTATACCGAGAAGTTAAGTTGCGGCATCTTGTTCAGTCTCTCAGTGGCTGTCGTTGAGAAATGCGTATAGGATGCGTATAGAAATCGTATTCGTTTTTTTGGCCGGAAGTTTAGTCTCCCGAAGCCCTATGCCCTAGCACCTAATCTGGCAAGACCCCTTTAGTACAGTCGAACGATCCGGACCAACGCCAAAGACCATCCGATTGGGCTTATAGCGTTAATCTTCTAATAGCCTGATTACATAGCTTCATTTTCATAATCGAAGCGTAAATCGTCAGTAATGAGATCAATTGTCTGTTATCACCTATGAAAAATCCAAATCCAAATCCAAGAAACACCAAGACCCTCTCTTATCAGTGAAGACCGCTCAAGTCAACGAAGCTAAAACAACAAGGGCAATCGCAAGAGATACCCACGCCTTTCCCAAGAAATTCAATCTTCTTATTACCCAATTCCCACGACAAGTACCCCACGAATTGATATCGAAACTGAGGCCCAGCTCTCTCGAACAAATGACAGACCCTGCAAGTGCAAGCACGCTTATCGGCGGTCTCGAAGCGCCCCCGCAAAGAAGCCGACAAAGTTCGCTCCCCGCCCGAAACTGACACGAGCGGCTCCACTGCCGTCGCGCAGACCTTCTCGAACAGGAAGGTCAGTCGGTCAATCTATCTTATCGTCCCTACATCTCTCCATGGGGTTTGGCACAGAGCATGGGGAATGTACGAGCGACAGTGCCATGTCTCGAATATCTTAAGGATGGCTTTCGCCCGCCGGGTGAAAAGTTATAGTTTGCCGTGTCAACTATAGCGCTGCTTGCCGCAAGGATGTCAATCAACGACGAGACGCAGGTGTTTAAGGGCACCACAAGCGAAGATGTTCGATTGGAGAACTTGGGTTATGAGCAGGGTGAGTCTGTCATGTCATTGGAAAGAATTGGCTCCGAAGTTTGTGGGATACGCGCTGATACCTTGCTATAGAGCTCAAGCGTTCCTTTGGTTTGCTTAGCATGATTGGATTCAGTTTTAGTGTCGTGACATCGTAAGTGCTGTCTGTCCAGGGACACCTCGCAACATAAGCTAACCAGACGACCAAGATGGACGGCTCTGAGTGGGGTGTTCATTGTCGGCGTCACATCCGGTGGCCCGCCAGTCATGATTTTCAGCTTCCTTGGTGTCAGTATTTTGACGCTTGCTGTTGCTATTCCGATGGCAGAAATGTGCAGCATGTTGCCCGTTTCTGGTGGACAATATTCGTGGGTTGCTGCTCTCGCTCCTCCAAAGATCGCTCGAGGGTTATCATATATCACTGGATGGTTTTTGCTTGTTGGTATGGTTTCATTCTTGGTATATGCTTTGGAAGAGAAACTGACTTTATTGATCGCTAGGTGTCCTGGCAATGGGCGCGACTAATAACTCTATTGCATCAAACTTCGTGCTGGGAATGGCGAACCTGATATTCCCGGATTATGTTATTGAAAGATGGCAGACTGTTCTCGTCGCCTATCTCATTGCCATCCTTTCTGCAGCTGTCAACCTTTGGGGATCGCATCTCCTGCATCGCATCTCGAAATTCATCCTGATTTGGAACGTTGGCTCTTTTATAATCGTCACCATCACGCTTCTCGCTACCAACGATCACAAACAATCGCCCTCCTTCGTCTTCTCGGAGTTTGAAAACTCAACGGGTTGGGGTGCTGGAATGGCTGCTATTATTGGTATCTTGCAGGCCTGCTTCGGAATGTGCTGTTACGACGCGCCTTCACACATGACGGAAGAAATGAAGTCTGCCTCCAAAGAAGCCCCCAAGGCTATCGTCCTCGCAGTTATTCTTGGCGCCGTCACAGGATTCATCTTCCTTGTTACCCTTTGCTTTTGCATCGGCGACATTACATCAACCGCCAATAGCACCACTGGAGTGCCTGTGATTCAGATCATCTACGATTCTACCCGCAGCAAAGTTGCAACTTGCATTCTAACTAGTATGATAACTGTAATTGTTATCGTTGCCGGAAACAATATCTTGGCCGAAGGCTCCCGCTCTGTCTATGCCTTTGCCCGTGATAATGGACTGCCATTCTCCAAGGTCTTCAGTAAAGTCGACACCAAGACCCAGGTGCCCGTTAATGCGGTCCTGCTCACTCTTGTCGTGCAACTGGCCTTGGATGCCATTGAATTTGGTACAACAACTGGCTTTGAGACAGTGATTTCAATCTCTACCGAAGGATTCTGTCAGTTCTCCAATCTTGTCTCCAAAATTCCAAAACTATCGCTAACACTAATTCAGATCTATCCTACGCTATGGCGCTCGGCAGCAGATTGCTCGGATATTTCTCCGGACACGTCATCAAACTAGATGGCCCATACGCCTTTTCCGTCCCCGTCTCCATTGCACTCAACGCCATCGGACTTTTATTCTTGCTATTCGCTTCCATCACCTTTAATTTCCCGAGTACCTACCCAATAAACCATGAGTCCATGAACTATACTAGTGCTGCCGTTGGGGTTGTTGCACTTCTTAGTCTCATTACATGGATCACGACTGGAAAGAAGAACTTTACAGGCCCAGGTGCGGTCAGTTTCTTGAGCGGGCATAACACCACTCCAGAAGCGACACGGCCTGTTCAGGAAGTAGAAGAGAAAAAAAGTTGAGGGATCTATCCGCGCAGCCGAAGCTGAATCATGTACCACTATGGAATTTGACTGCCACAATAATATTACCATTGCGGACTGACCGCGCTTTTCCATAGACCCCAGCACTTCTAGTCCTGTCGGCCTACATTGCCTGGTTTATCAGCCTGAGACCTACACCGTCAATGCAGACAGCGTTTTTTCATTTGAGTGGAGCCTTTCTTGGGCATGAACTAATTTCCCGCTTTCATTAAAGGTATAGTATGAGACCTGAATCGTCAGACCGACAAGCCAAGGGAGTATACACGTAGAGTAACTAACTGACCATCGCATGTCATGCTTTGAAATATTACCCGATGAACATGTCAGTGATGCAATCTGTGCTTTCCAAATCTTTGACTGGTTCAACGTGTCAGTTTAAAAAGCGAGATTGATCTGCAAACCACTCTATGACTGGCACGATCTCACGATTACGCCTCGATGTCCATGCCAATCATCTTATGGGGTGAAGCATATGTGGCCATGTGCATGCTAGTTTTTACAGCAGATCTCGATGTGCATCAGTCTGATCTCATAGTACTCCTACGGAGTATTCTTAAATAAATCCCCAGATTTTTGCCATCGAGTTTTGCCATTTGACGTATCGTGTTACCCCCCAAGACGCTAGTCATGCACGTGTCCGTTTTAGCGGAGTCGATGGCAACTCCCCTCGCTTTCCCCCCCACAGAAAGATCGCTTCTCGTCCATTCCACAGGTGGATAACAGAACCATGGAGATTTCGAAGGCAAAATGTAGAGACGATCACTGATTGCATTAGCCGAACACGAATCACTGCTTCAGACGGTGATGTCAAAAAAAAACAACAACACAAACCCGTGGAGCGCAGTACAACCCCACCACACCAAGCCCAATGCAAAATGACGTGCCCAAAGTAAAACAACGTGGATTTTTTGGATGAGCGCCCGATGATAGATCGCAGCAAGGATAGACTGTCAACTAAGTAGCGGTCTAACCTTGCGGCCTCAGGATCTCATTAAAGATCCGGCTGGATGCCTCTGGAGTCAAAGGAAGGGGCCTCGAAGCGGGTAGTGGAGAATGGAGAATTAAAAGAAAGAAGTTACGCACCAATCGTGAATGGGCTTCGAAATCCACGGGGCTGAAATTTCCAAGTGAATCAAATTTCACGATGTGAATTCAGAATGCATGCATTAGCTCCTGGACTTTGTGGGATTGGCGGTATGACGAGCTGATCCACCAATCAGCTTCTCGCATAGAGCTGATCATCGCACGATGCGGTGTGTAGCATGCCCGAGATAGACGATGTGCGAAGAGAATTTGCTCTAGAAAGCAAATGCAAAGCGCTCTTTTAAGCTCCGAGTTTCGTACCCTTTTGGCATCTTTTACCTTGCAGCTTGATGTTGTGCTACCACACTCTTCCATCAAGAAGAATACTTATCAAATCTAAAGGTCAACTGAGGGTGACGGTATAGAAAACAACAAAATAAAGGTATGTGATAGCTTCAATCTGTTCATTTGAATCCTCAGCTTTTCTATACATCTCTGGAGTGAATCATGCATGTGTACCCATTTTATCTTTTGCTATAAATCATCAGCTAAACCATCCGAATCCCAGTATCGAAATGATTGCCTGTTTCGTCCTGGGTAGTGTCCTGGCCTATGGCCTGGTCATGGTATTCTATCGACTACATGTCCATTCACTAAGCAAGTACCCCGGACCCTGGCTCGCCGCAGTCACAGGTCTATATGAAATGTATTTCACGGCATGGGGAGCCGGGTCTTTCGAAGATGAGATTGATCGAATGCACCAGATATATGGTAGATTTTACCCTCCCGATCCTGGTCAATATCCAACCTACCTGACTCATGCTAATGCCACACAGGGCCCGTGGTGCGCATAACACCAGATGAAGTGCATATTCAGGAGCAAAGCTATCACACCAACTACGCCGACGGCTGGATCAAAGGCACCAAGGGACTCGAGACTGGTCGACAGCCCTCCGCAAGAACAAGCCAGCATTTCCAAACAAAGAAGAGATCAATCTCAAGGGCTAGATCAATTCTCCAAGTGGAAGTTCACCAGATCATCCGTGGCCTGGTACAAAGACACCAGCTACACCGCGTGTTCGGTTCGCCATTCCCACCCTTCATCCCTCTTCCAGGTGTTAGTGGACTCGCCCGAAGCGATCCGGAAGAGAGTGATCTAGAAGACGGGCATTATAGTCTGGATCGATCGATTGGCCCGGCAATACCGAACCAGTCCCAGGAAATGTCTTTGATAGCAGGAAGCCAAGGTTCCTGAGACCCAAAGCCAATAGCTAAGCGCCGCAATTGACGCAAGTCGGAGTCAAAATTTGCCCGTCTCGAGTCATGGGCCCCGCTTGGAGCCGAGATGTCCACGGACAGGAGATGGAAAGTTTGACATGGCACACGGTTCAATGGCTTTTACCCCGCAAAGTGTGAAAGGCGAAAAGTGCTGTAAGCGCCTGCGATGTGATTGAGGCGCTTCCAATCCCGAAAGTACAAAAAGAAGAAAGATTCTTTGTCCCAATTTCGAGAAAACCTGACGCGACCAGGATCGGATTGGCTGATGCCGAGATCCGAGTAAGAATCCAACAAAGAAAGAAATGGCTTATTGGCGGGAAAGAGATGTCAAAGGAAAAAGCACGGTCCCTGCGGAGCTCGTCCGATTCTCCACCAAGAACTTCGATTTGAGATTTCGATTTTCTGCCCTTTATACTCGCGAGTCGCCATTGACCTTTTTCTCTTTCACTTTCTTCTTTAACACCCAATCTCATTGATTGATCATCCTTCACAATGGTATGTGCATATCCATGGTGGGGGAATTTTGCCCGATCTGCCGCCTCTTACCCCCCTGCATGTTTCAACAAGCGCGATCGCGATCGCTCAAGGAACAATCTCCAACTTGGATCTGACGCTAACATCGACAATCCCAGCCTCACGCCGATGCCTCATACTTCTTCCCCGGCTCTTCCAAGGCCGATATCTACCAGCAAGTGCTAGACCAAGCAGAGGGTCTTCTCTCAGGACAACGCAATTGGGTAAGTCTTCGATCGCATCCATCATGCCCAACCCCGCGGATACTATGTAACATGTCGCTAATCGATCCCGACAACAGGTCAGGTAAGCTACTACACAGTGCTCCAATGCACATCGAACAACACACTAATCTACCCCAGCAACCTCTCTAACGTCTCTTCCCTTCTCTGGCACGCCTACGCCGCCCTCCCCGCCCCCTCCTCCTCCGTCAACTGGGCCGGCTTCTACATCCGCGATGACAAGTTCCCCGCCCTCGCCTCGCCCATCTCCTCTCCCCCTCTCAGCGGCACAGACGGCGTCCCCGGCGTAACAATCTCCACCACATATGCCTCCCCCGAAAACCAGGTCCTCCTCCTAGGCCCCTTCCACGGCAAGCCAGCTTGCCAGGAGATCCGCTTCGGCAAGGGCGTGTGCGGCACCGCGGCCGCAAACCAAGAAACTATTATTGTGCCAGACGTCAACGAGTTCCCGGGACACATTGCTTGTGACGCCGAGAGCCGGAGTGAGATTGTTGTTCCGATTGTTATTCGTGGAGAGGTCAGTGACTAACCCCGTTCTAAATCGAAGGATATGTACTCTTTATGCAGAGTGCAAATGCATTTAAAGCATCGGTGCGCTAACATATCTCGGTAAATTAGACTGTTGCTATTATTGATATCGACTGCACTGAGCCTTCTGGCTTCGATGACGAGGATAAGAAGTACCTTGAGCTCCTTGCTGAGATCTTGGGTAGAAGCTGCGACTGGTAGTTGGATTCATCTCCGACATGGCACGAGAACATGTAATGCTACGTTATATGCAGGATACGATTGATATAGTAATTATGGATTTGGATGAGACAAAGCTGAGATCAAAGTTTCATCAAAGTTGGAATGGATGTATAAGACCAGGTCAGTAGTACCTAGTACCTATGTTTCCAAGGTTGGATCGGTTTATGAAGATTTATTACGTCGAGGATAGATACGTGGGAATATAGACATGTGAAAAAAAAAAAGAGAAAATACATCTATCACGCATTCAAATTTGTCAAATCGATAAGTATTCGGGTTAAATCCGATCAACAGCATGAATGCACAGGCTTTTATTTAAGGAACCCTGGTTAGTTAGAGCTTCCACTTTGTATGAAACGTACTAAGATCGGCGTGTGGGGGTAGCGCAACCCTGAAGGATTTAAAGTCTCTGCCAAGCTCAATCCTTGGAATGTTATACGTTTGCGCAGATTCACATCAGCCTAAATGGTTCAACCTTGGAAATACGAACGTAGATATTGAAAGCCGGTTGTTTTGAAACCCCCGGTCTGTATGAATTCATAGAGAATATGTCTAGCAAAGGTAATCCATCTGGTAACCGAGAAAGTCAGGGTACGATTCACCTCTGCAATCAAAGGTAGCGACTGTGTCAAATAAGAATGATGAGACACCGAAAAGCAACTATGTAATCTCCGAGATGACATGTGGGAAGATGATGTAACGACCGCTAGACTGTCACAAAATACAAGAGCAAAGAAAGATTGTGCATCTTTATGTGAAATGGTAGGGCGAAGTTGGATCTAGAATGTATCGTGAAACGCCGATCAGACGATGGGGCAGGCATATGCGGTCATGATGAAAAAGAAGAAGAAGAAGAAGAAGAAGAAGAAGAAGAAGTATAGGAGTGGATATGAGGTGTGTATTGCGGTCACATGTTGAGCAGGCTCATCTGTCGACGCATGGGGTTGGGAGAAAAGGAGTCGCCATCTTCGCTAGGGCCGATGCCGCTATCGGTGCCGGCAAGTCCAGTGTCCGTGTCGATGTCCCATTGTTCATCTTCGCCGTCGCCGCTTATGTCTCCATCCCAGCTTTTTTGGACGGCGCCACGGGTATTCCAGCGCAAGGCGCGTTGGACACTTGTGAACCATTCGCCGCTATCGGATACGACAGTTGGGAATGGGTATTGGCTGGCTTCGACGGTGACATAGTCGCCTTGTCGAAGCTCGATGCGGCCCTTTCCATCGAAAGAACAGTAAGCGGTGGATCGGGAAGTGTTGGGAACTGCAACGCGGAGCAGGTGGGAGTCGGAAAGAACCATGGGACGGAAGGAGAGGGTATGAGGGCAGATCGGGGTAAGGAGAATTCCGGGAATAGAAGGGTGCATAAGGGAGCCGCCAGCGGACAAAGAATAAGCAGTAGAGCCTGGATAATATCAGTTAGATGAAAGCGATGATAAGATCGGGGGTGGGAGAAAAAACTTACCAGTAGGCGTGGAGAAAATGCAACCGTCGGCTTGGACCACAGTCAATAACTCGTTGTCGGCATATAATTCCAAGTTCGACACATAAGGAGATGGCCCGCGGTCAATGACTACTTCATTGAGAACCTCGAACTGCTCGCCCTCCTCGACTGCTCCAACTTCAGCGCCCTTGCTCCGATCTTTGCGGAATACCGTGCAGGTGAATCGCATGCGCAGATTGACACGCATGCCGATATCTCCCATGACGCCATTAAGATGGGATCTATATTCCTCGAACTCGAAGTTGGTGAGGAATCCCAGACTCCCCAGTGAGAAACAGAACACGGGCGGCACGACCCGTTGGAACAACCATGAGGTAAACAAGACGGTTCCATCGCCACCAAGCGTCAGAACCAAATCGAATTTATCCGGTGACGTCCAACACATATCTGGGGTCCAAAATTGTAGCATCTGTGCGAACCGTGGTTCCTTCTGAAGTAAGCCCGGCGTATCGAAGCGTTTGGAATTCCGTAACTTTGCATCGACATAGACGTTGACTCCCACATCACTTCCGTATCGCGGGGTAGATAGTAGCCATTCGGCGAGTTCCCGCGTCAAATGTACGAGGCTGTTGTCACGCGCCTTGGTCACAATCATAATATTTCGAACCGCGCGCTTGATTGGTCGGCGTTGTAATTGTTTTGATACCTCTCGAACCCCCGTTGCGGTCTGTACTAATCGCGAATGTGACAACCATTCATCATCAGCGATTTCCTCGAGGACTTTTTTAATATTCACGGCGTCGTCGAAGCGTTGGTGGAAGTAACAGGGCGACTGTAGAACCAAGCGAGCGGTCGCTGGGGATCGTTCCACATAGCTGCTCAGTTGCAAGTTGGATAAGGCTGCCGAAAGTCCTTGGGAGGATGATAACCCTTGGGATGACGCATTGCTAATACGGCGCTCTCGATCTTCTGAATCAGAATTTTGGTTGGCATTACTACTGGCGACGAGGTCCGACCAGGAATTTGCTGAAGACGAGTTTTGTGTGTTGAGGCCGGGAAAGGAGGTTCGTGAAGCAAGGGCCTTCATGATGGTCTGGCGCGGGATGCAATCGGTGGAGAGGGTCCTGTGCTGCTGTTGCGGGCGACGTCCGGAGATAGAATTCTGGCGAAGTCGGCGCAAAGTCGAGGAAGGTAGCGACCTACCGGCCTCGTCTTGTGTGGAATCTATCTTGCCGGGAGGCAGCGCGTCGCTGCGAGAGGTTGTGGGGGTAGGGTCAGATTGAGGGGGGTGTGTGTCTGAGGCTAAATATGGATGGCATAATCACGGAGTAGCGCAGAGCGCCGACGTTCGATGCGGATGGGGGTGGGGCGGTAGCTGGGGACGGACTCGGAGTTAGGTGAGACGGGGATGACGGTAGTGGGTCTGTCATCTCTTTTTTTTTTGCGAACTGTGCTCTTCCCACACGGAGTTTATTAACTCCACGGCCTAGTACTCCTCAGCCATGATATATGTCTCTTCAGATTATCTCGTGGCTGCCTGTCTTCTGAACAATTGACCGAAAGGAACTTCAAGTCGGGGAAGTCAGGGGTGGGGGTCAAATAACACTTGTCGAGGCTCATCGCTTGTAGGCAGTGCCACTTTTTGTTCACTGGTTGAGAGATAGTAAGATCCCATTACCGTTTATCAATATTTCTGGTTTGTTTGGCCATCGTACTCGAGTGAGATGATTCGATCATATTCAGATCTTCCCCGGTGAGGGTATACTTGAACTGAAGGAGGCAGCCCTTCGACACACATATGTTGGATGGGACTGCCATTGAGCTGGAACATCATCGTTTTTACAGCACAGCTTGGCCAATATTCAATGTTAATACGAGTAACGAGGTACTAGTAGGTAGTAGGATGTGATGTAGACAAGGGAACATTTCGCATTCAGTGATTTTTATCATTGACGCAAAAGGTTACCTCATTGTGATATAACATTGCAAAGTGCTATCTATAACTTCCTCTGCATCCAACCATGGTCCACGTACAACAGAAGAATTTCAATTTAGACATGTGAACTGTGGGGAATAGCAAGTAATCATGATTCAAATCCACTTGAAAGCTAACGGAATAATAAGGATAAATGGGTGTCCAGAATCTTGGAATGAATTTGACTACAGCATTTGGGCCCACAGGATACGGTGATACCAGAAGTACCCAAGTAGTAAACTTGAGTGGGATGACAAACCAACTCTTCGGCCAGTTTATTGTCACACCCGAATGCGTTATAACTATTTCCACTCCTTTGTTGCTCGGGTCGATAATCCCCCCGCTTTCCCCCACCCTCGACGAGCTTACGCCCAGTGCGACTGTGGTCATGATCCAATCCAGCAACATCAACTCAAAAAAGGGACCACAGTGAGTAATCTAGGGAGGGGTGTGAGTGATTTCCTTGCGCATGCAGTGACGGTCAGGTGATGGGCTCGGATGTGTGACGCAGCCACAAAGCTGTCACATTTTGACCGCCTCGCATGGTGATAGCGAATGAGGCCCGTAGCCGGAGATAAGGGATCATCGTAATGGGTAGTAGTAAGCAAGCTCATCACTTGCGACTTCGATGTTTTGTCGGTTGGCAGCCATGCTTTTTAAGTCCCCGGGAAAAACGACGATAAGATGCACTGTCTCAAATCGACTCGATCTTCCAGTTGTAGTCGCGGTAGAGATGGTCTTCCACCGTCTCACGAACGAATGCACCCAGCTGAGCACTGTCGGCTCCGCTCATATCAATGTCACCGTCAGCGCCAGAGGTAGAAGCTCCCTCGCAGATGGATGCGGCTTCCTGTCGAACCAATTCCCATGTGTCAAAGTCGAACCGGCCCAGGCTTTCATTCATGAGCAGGTGGCCCTTCGAGGAGAAAGACAGGGCGTGCAGTGACGCGGCAGCTTTGGCGGCAGCCGGCGATGGGTCACGAATAATCTCCCCAGACTGTGTTACACCGAGCAAGGTAGTAGCGAAAGTCATGGACAAAGGAATGGCAGCGGAGATCAAAGCCAGTAGGGCGGCATGAAGGAGAGCGGGAAGAAGGGTGATATACTGGGTTTATTAGCCTCTAGTCCCACCAGCTAACAATAATGAAGGATTTAACTCACCGAATCACCGCGTTCTGTGGCTTCACCTCCCGAGATTCCCAGAGTGATGACCACTCCGCGGCGCGGGAGTCCCTTCTCGCGTCGGAGGATAACTGTGCTCAGGACCTCGCGCAAAATTCCCTCCACAGACTTTTCACCCACGCCAGGGGTAATGTTTCCAGGCTTCACAAAAACTTCAACAGTGGCTTCTTCGGGTTTAAGGGCGTCGCGACGGGCTGGAAGCTCGATGGGTCCATTGACAGCACCGAGCACAGAGTAGCCGGTTGCAGGGCATTTGTAGGAGGCAGAGCCATCCACCCGGTTTAAATTGTCAAGAGAGGCTGTGGGACCGACCATGGTGGATATGATATGTGGGAAAACTGAGAATTGAAGCTAAAGAAGATGCCAAAGGGTTGGGTAACGGGTTTGTAGGGGAACGACCTTCAGTGATTTTTTTGAGCGGGTGCGGGCCGGTCGTTGATTGGTCAACCTCTATCCCGCGATTAGTTACATTAGTTAACAGATTCATAATATACTTGGATACAACATTGAATAGATATGATCTGCGTTGTATATTAGTTTTTTAGAGGAAGAAACCCTTGGAATGCTTTTATAGGCTTTATTTCTTCCTTGATGCTCATATATTTTAAATATTGTTGTTAGCTTGAGATACTTTATAAATATGAACTTATTAGTATACTTTTCAACAAAGCTTTATTATTGAATAGTAAGAGGAAAGGTAATTCAAAGGGTGGTGTAAATAATGTTACATACTGTCCTGGCAGTTATAGCATGGAAGCCTGGCTAGCTTATGAGTCTCAGAGTAGAGAGACTGAGGCTGACGGCTGGAGTATGGGATATGCGCGCTTTTTTCCGATTTTTGAGCCCCCGGAGGTTTCACCGCCCCAATTTTCACCGCCCTTCACTGCAGTTCCCCCTACATCAGTCACATGACGTGTCTTTGACTTGCGGTGTGAATCGTGACAATTTGACAGAGCAAACACGTTATTTTATTAGTTCAAACAACAAATCGACCTTTGAATTACTTTATAAGTTATGAATCTATTCACAAGCATCTGCGGGAGTAACTGGTAGATAATAAGGACCTCAGAAGGCAGAAGTCAGAATTTCATAAGATATTATTTCCTTCACACCAGTAAACCTTTGGAATACATCAGAAAGTAATTCTGCTAATATTAGATTGAAAAGAGTATCCGAGATGCCGAGATCTTGGAATGTGGCGATGCAAGATTGGCAGCGCAAATGCAGTCATGGTCCGAGTCCGACTGATGGACTTATCAGAACCATGGATTTTCAACTTTCCACCTGAGAACACGAAAGCAAAACTGGTTTATCTCTTTGAACGCAAAATCTATCAAGAAAAGATATCCATATGCCTTCGTCCTTTTACCCCCACAAAACCCCGGATTCAAGGCCAGATGGATCATGGAAGCAAGGATGATCACACATACTGATGGCTTTCACCCCATCAAAGCGGCGCCCAATCAACGCGGGGTCCAAGACACGCCTGTGAGCAAGCGTCGCAAGCCAACAACCCGATGATACCAGCCAAGCATTTGGACTGATTTGCCCCAATGATAATCCAGATCCAAGAAAGTGACAAGAGATACCTATCCATACCCCCTCTTTTAAAGAGAGACCCCTACGTATAAATGCATTATGCAATCCATGCATCTCAATGCTATAAAGAAACACTTTCCTACTCTAGTGGTTATCACTCACTTGGTTGCGATAAAGGATACATCTAGCTAGATTACCTAGATAGTGGATATAACTCCATTCACCTCTTTCCTTTCCCGACTCCACCTTTTGAATGGGCATAGAGAACACCCCCGACGTCGAGGAGACGACGGAACCTCCTATATGTGGCTATAAGGAGTCTCTTTCCATTTCCCATTCAAATGGGCCAAACACCCTAAGACCTGAGCTGGTTGACCACAAATACGACCGACACGAGAAGCTCAATACCCCCGCAGACCACGGCATCCCAGTCTATGACCGACTCAAAAATGCCCATCTTTTGGAACCAGCCGACATCGCTTCGTTCCTCCAAACCGACCTGCAGTACGTAGAAGAATAGGGTGAGATTTAATTTGCAATTTATTTTTATTGATCTCCTTTCTCTATAGAAATGGCCTCTCCACCAACGAGGCGTGTCTGCGCCTCCAACGAGATGGTCCAAATACCGTCCAAGAAGTCACGGGCGTCTCCGTCTGGGGGATACTATTAAGACAGGTATCAAACAGCTTGACAATCGTAAGTTCATCACAAGAAAGATATTTCTAGAGACTTGTGATACTGATTTGAAAGGTTCTCCTACTGACCATGGGCCTGTCCTTTGGCATCAATGATTATATCGAAGGAGGTGTCATTACCGCAGTGATAGTCTTGAACATCATTGTCGGGTAAGTCAGATAAGAATGACCGGCCCGTATCCAGTGTTGACGATTTCAAAGATTCTTCCAAGACTACCGCGCGGAAAGAACCATTTTGTCTTTACAACGTCTTTCGGCTCCAGAATGTAAGGTCGTTCGAGAAAACCACATAACGTCAATCAAGGCACAAACTTTGGTCGTTGGAGACATTGTACGTCTCGCAGTAGGGGACATTGTTCCTGCGGACATAAGACTGTTCGATGGAATGAATATCTCTATTGATGAAGCACTCCTGACTGGCGAATCCCTTCCCGTCCTCAAGACTCCCTGTGAAACCCTCGGTTCTCCGGATACTCCCATCGGCGACAGGACCAACATGGCGTATTCTGGCTGTAGCACCACCCAGGGTCGAGCCATTGGCATAGTCGTAGCGACGGGAATGAAGACGGAGGTTGGAAAAATCGCCAAACTGCTACAAGACCAAGATGATGAGAGCACGAAAGTTCATTCTCGGCTTTTGAACAGCATCAGCTCGTCTGGGAAGAAGATTTTGGGCTTGGTGGGAACTCCATTGCAGGTCAAACTGAGCAAATTTGCACTTTTACTCTTTGCACTTGCTATTCTGTTGGCCATCATCGTATTCTCAGTCAATCTTTGGGATGTTCAGGGCGAAGTCCTCATCTATGGCATATGCGTCGCGGTTGCAGTCATTCCTGAATCGTTAATCGCTGTGCTCACCATTACCATGGCCGTCGGCACAAAGGCCATGGCAAAAGGAAATGTTATCGTCAGGAAGCTACAATGTCTTGAGGCCGTCGGTGGCGTGACCAATATCTGTTCAGACAAAACTGGTACCCTCACACAAGGGAAAATGGTCGCGCGTGCGGCGTGGATTCCGGGTGCTGGAACACTGACAATACGTCAAATTACCGACCCTTATGATCCTACGAGTGGAATTGTACAGCTGGATGATATTAACTGGAATTCAAGCCATCCCATTGAAGACCATCCTGCATTGCATAAATTCCTCTCCGCTCTTTCACTCTGCAACCTCTCGGTTCTACACCACCAAAATAACGTCTGGACTGCGGTTGGTGAACCAACTGAAATTGCACTTCATGTTTTGGCCATGCGGTTTGACTTTGGAAAAGAAGCAGTAGTCAAGGAACGCCGCATCGCACTTCGCACGGAGTACCCGTTCGATTCTGCCATCAAAAAGATGACAGTCGTCTACAGTAACGCAAGCGAGAATGTGAATGAGGTATACACGAAGGGTGCCCCAGAAGTTATCCTCCCATCTTTATCCATCTCCGACAATGAGAAGCATATTATTCACGAGGCAGCAGATCGAATGGCCGAAGAGGGCCTGCGGGTTCTGTGCATAGGCATAAAAGAATCGCCAATTAAACAAGACGACGCAGTGTCTACTCGCTCAGCTGCCGAATCAAATCTTCAATTTGGTGGCCTGGTGGGACTATACGATCCACCTCGTATTGAGAGCGCAGCAGCTGTGCGCAAATGTCAAATGGCCGGGATTACAGTGCACATGCTCACAGGAGATCACATCAAGACTGCGACAGCCATTGCAGCTCAAGTGGGTATCTTAGATCGCGTTTCCCTTATCACACGGCCAACAAAGTTGATCATGGCCGCCGATGAGTTTGACAAGTTGTCAGATGCCGAGATTGACGATATCGAGGACCTTCCCCTCGTGATCGCCCGGTGTAGCCCTGCAACAAAAGTTCGCATGGTTGAAGCTATGCATCGCCGTCAAGCGTTTTGCGTTATGACCGGGGATGGGGTCAACGACTCACCTGCACTCAAAAGAGCCGACGTGGGTATAGCCATGGGTAAAAACGGAAGTGATGTCGCAAAGGAAGCTGCGGATATGGTTCTTACCGACGACAATTTTGCATCCATTGTAAAAGCTGTCGAAGAGGGCAGACGATTGTTTGATAATATCCAAAAGGTTTGAACTCTAAACCTACATACGCATACACTTTCATCTTATCGCTGACGAAAACAGTTTCTCATGCATCTCCTCATATCTAATATTGCCCAAGTCATACTTCTTCTCATTGCCTTGGCTTTCAAAGATTCTGGTGGGAACTCGGTATTTCCATTATCTCCTCTTGAGATTTTATGGGCAAATCTTGTCACATCTTCGTTTCTAGCCGTCGGCCTTGGCCTGGAAGAAGCCCAGCCAGACATCATGTACCGACCACCGCACAATCTACGCATCGGAGTCTTCACCCGCGAACTAATTGTTGACAAAATGATCTACGGGACTTTTATGGGATCGTTATGCTTGGTAGCATTTGTATGCGTTGTGTATGCCGCGGGGACGGGGTCCTCAGATCTCGGAGATGGATGCAATCAGGAATACAACTCAACGTGTGACACGGTATTCCGAGCCCGAGCTACAACATACGCAACTCTAACATTCTTATTGCTGGTAACAGCATGGGAAGTCAAAGACTTTTCACGGTCTCTATTCAGTATGGATCCAATCCGATGTCCACAGCGTCTTTCAATTTTTCCCACGGTTTGGCGAAACCGTTTTCTCTTCTGGGCTGTTATTGCTGGTTTTGTTATTGCATTTCCGGTGATATACCTTCCTGTGATTAACCAGCTTGTGTTCAAACACCATGCTATCACTTGGGAATGGGGTGTTGTGTTTGGATGTACACTTGCATATTTGGGGTGTGTTGAGAGCTGGAAAGCTGTTAAGCGTGCTTTTGGCATTGGAAGTGGAAAGTACAACATTCTTAGCTTGGAGGATGTTGAGGCTAGAGTTGGATTGGATACGCCGACTTTGGTGTCTTCCAGTGCCAATGCGAGTGTCGATTTGAAGTGAGAAGCATTTGAAAGTGAACTTGTGGATTATCGATTCAACATCGATGAAGGCTCACATTTGAAAGAGTCCCACACCAACCTCGCACTTTGTTTGTGTGTTTTCTTTTTCTTTTTCGCGATTCTTGCGTTTTTCTTTTCATATGTTGCCCATTAAATTGTTCTTATATCCATTTACTTCCAAGGTTTCTTAAGTGGATAGGTATGTTGGGCCCAATGCTATTTATATACTCGAAAACTCTTGCTTGAACGAATGTTATTCCAAGACTAAGCCTAATTGTTATCTTGATACAACCTTGGAAGCGATTGTCACCCCCAACATTGAATTTCTAGGATTTATTGTACTTTATGAAGTCAACTGGCACCATATAAAGACCGCAAATTATGGGAGGCTTTGTCATGTGACCGAGTGGCGTGGCCGCGTGGAAATTACTAATGAAGTCGACGGCATTGACCTGGAACGAGGGATAATAATGAATTGATAGTCACCAACATCCACCTGTGACCTGGGCAATGGAAAATATTGACACCTTCAAATCATACTTTCTGTCGGTCTTCAAAAATGCATGTTGGTCCATTGAAAACCATTACATTGCGGAGATCATGCCAAGCCTGCGCCAGGGGTAAGCGGCGATGCGATCAGCGTTTACCTCAGTGTAGTCGCTGCGAAAGCAGAGGTGTAAACTGCGAATACGTGAACCAACCACTTTCAGTCCAAAATGGTTTCGAGAAAGTGCCAAGAAAGCGCGCCAATCTCAAAAACCACACTGCCAAAACAGCATCACCTCATATCCGCCTCCCCTTGCGACTGGAGATCGCCAAAGAATATGACTCTTCAACAATTCGATTCCTGGTGAACGGACTACGCGCATTCCCAAACACGTTTGCCGAAAAGTGCAAGACGATGTTCATTCATCCAGATCTCCACGCAACAGGACTCCCGGTCTGCATTCGCGACATGCAAGCACTTTGCAAATTACACGTTCAAGCTGAACAGCAAAACCGCAAAGCTGATCTTCTTCCACTCATTCATCAGCGATCAGCGGAATTACATCGCCGCCTTAAACAATCCTTATCATTCGATGAGCTTTTAGGTTGTTCACAAGCTCTCCTTCTGGCGCAATGCATCGTCGCGTTGAACAATTGTGATAATCCAGACATGTACTCGGAAGGTATCAGTGTGATGCTTGAGGGGATTGCAGTACGATTATGGGAACAGGCCCCTGTCCAACTTCCTCCGACACTTAGCCGGCGACACGCATGGCTTTTGGCCGAGAGTGTTCGGCGCACTATCATCGTGAGCTTAATGCTGAAGAGCGCGTATTCATTAAACACAAGAAATTATTCCGTTCGGACGCCTTTTGTTGATGCTCTGCCATTTGACGTGCGAACAAACTTATGGGATGACGATTCAGATAACACGTGGGCTGTTGAATTACCCGAGTCTCCTGACTCTATGATCTCTTTGCATGGGTATTCGGATGCTTTGGAAAGTGGTCACTTTCGTGATGTGGCTCCATTCGGAGCGTTAATTCTGGCTGCATGCAAAGGGAAAGAGGTTTCTTCTATACCATTTCCTCCGCCGGTCTCATACTATGGCAGCTAATACGATCATTATGCGTGAAAGACGACTGCAGGATTTCTAATCAACCTTGGAAATTGAGTTCGACGATATCTATCTGGCGTGATCTTTTACCTCAAAAACTGCTTCAACAACCCAGACAGCAACTCCGTCATCTGCTGATACATTTCTTGTCTCTTGACCTCAAAGGCATTGAAAATATCCTGTGCCGAGCCAACCGGGATTTGATCCTCCCCAGCAGACAAGCGGCTCCAGACTTCATCCACAAATTCTTGCAACGGCATTCCAATCAAATGGCCATCCTTCAGATCAGGCTGGTGCTTAGCATCATGCAGTTCTGTCTGGACGGCAGGAGGGTAGATCTCCAGCACCTTGACATTTCCAGGCCCGTCATGCAGCTGCGTTCGGAGAGCAAGGATGAAATGGTGTAAAGCTGCCTTGGATGCGCCATAGTTCGGGCAGCGCATCATGGGTACAAGGGCCATTTGGGAAGTGGTGAAGGCCAGAGCAGTCTGTGTTTTCTGCTTCTGCAGATGTGGGATGAAGGCCTTGGAAAGATGCACAGCGGAGGTATAGTTTGTGATCAACTCCTGGTCGAAGATGTCCAGGTCGATGGTTTCTGGTTGGGAAAAGTCGAATGGGCGCTGGATGCCCGAGTTGACGAAGATACAGTCTAAGTCCGGATGCTCGGTGATGATATCGAACGCGAATTGGGAAATCTTATGTAATGCATTGGTTTTGTTTTCTTGCGAAGATTGGACAGAGAATGTTTGGTGTGCGTCACTTACCTGGTCTAGTTTCATGATGTCGAAAACCTTTGACTTGACTTTATCGGCGCCATGCTGCTGGACAAATGCATCGAGATTATCCTTTCTCCGACCAGACACGATAACTTTGGTTCCATTTTCAATCAACTTGGAGGCAAGCGTTTTGCCGATGCCAGAGGTGGCACCGATGACCAACACTTTCTTGTATTCAAATGGCATTTTCAACGTTTTCCAAGCGATATTTGACTCGATTGCGAACTTTGAAATCAGAATGTGAATGCTGGGATGTATTCCAGAAGATTGAGAGACACAAGGCTTATATAGTACACAGCCTTTCGCAGTGTCAGGCTTTTCATCAGAAATGCCATGTCCATGGACATGAAATGATTTCATGAATTGATCAAGTGCTGCGGAGACTAAACCGAATATGGCAAATATGGAGCCGTACCCCGATAACCCGATTGGTTGGAAGTTAGAACTTCCCGATTTTTACGCGCCACAACGGGTGGAGGTTAAACTCGATATGGAAACAAGGGTCCATCAAGATTCAATCCATCATGAAAGATACTTCCAGAGCTTTGATTTGAAAGCATTTGAATGAATAATGCTCATTGGAGTCAGAACATTCCTCCCTGTGGAAATCTGTCTCCGAAAAAGCCCCTGATTTCCCAAGTTGCCATATACGGATGGATAATACAGGAGCTTTGCAATTACGACGCAGAGATCTAGCTTTAGATTCTTTCTAAGCTGTTCCCCCCCTTTTCCCTCTCTTTTTATTTTCACGACTATATTCCAAGTAGAACAATAAAGATATACGATAGAGGTCAAATTTGCTTGTCCATGTTTCTAAGGTTCGTGATACATGAGAGGGGAATATGACTCGCCTACAGAGTCTCGTCAACATTGTAAACCAGCTTCTCACCGCTGACTTTGTCATTCTTCAACGCATCTAGCCCATCCAAAACGCCTCTCAATCCCCCCTTTCCAACATTCGGAGGGTGGACTTTGATCTTTCCTTCCGCCAGAATAGTCTCAACGATAGGGATGAAGCTCTCGGTATGAGCCCTGTCCTCCGGCTTGGCGGGGACAACGATATCGCCAAACCTAAGCTCGTCTCCAAGCACTGTGTAACCGAGAGTATAGTGGTGGTTCACGTCCTCACGCCCAAACTCCGTCCTCAACAGATGGCTGTAGTCACCACCCGAAGAAATAGCCTCCTCACAGAATTTGATGCTCGGCTCCAGTCCGATACAGTCAAAGACAAGCTTCAAATTATCATTGGTAAACGCCTTGATCTCAGCAGCAGCCTTCGGGTCCCTCGAATTGAACACCGCATCCGCACCAAGACCACGCACAAGATCAAAGTTGTGCGGGGAACACGCGGCGAGCACAGTGTAACCGGACAGCTTGGCAAACTGGATAGCCAAGGTTCCGGTCGCGGTAGAACCGCCATAGATCAGGATTGGCGCAGGGTCAGAAGTGGGCTCATTAGGCAGAGCAAGCTTTAGATTCTTGTAGAGCGCGTGGCCGATTGTCACGATGCCCACACCGAGGGTGGCACCTTCTTGGAAGGTCAAGTTCTCTGGCAGCCTGATCACCACGTCGCCCTTGACGACAATGTGCTCAGCGAAGGCGCCATCTTCCGGCTGCAGTTGATTGCTACCGTGAGCGAATCCGCACACACGGTCACCCTTCTTCCATTGCTTTTTCACGCCTTTGCCGACGGCTTCCACTATGCCAGAGAAGTCACAGCCAACTTGGACACCGGCGGGAGCGAATCTGGCAATTGATTTCCAGTCTGTAGGGTTCAAGCCAACGGCAACGGTTTTTACGAGAAGATAGTCATCCCGCAATGTGGGAATTGGACGATCGGTGACTAGCTCCGCCTTTCCGAACTCGGTGACGACGACAGCTTTTTGTGTTGACATGGTGCTTGTAGTTTGCCGGATAAATTGTAACGATGGCTAGAAGCTGCAGAAGAGAAAGATAAACAGAGTTCCATTTTGGAAGAATGGAAGTACCGGTGCTTTTGTTCTAAGAGCAGATTACAAATGTCATCCGCTGTATCCGATATAGGATAGGCGGCGCGGGGTAGACCGTAAGTAAGCGTGTACAAATGAGAAGCATGCATGTGGAGGATGCATCTAAACATAGCAGTTAGCAGGGGGTTTGGAATGTAGAGGCCTCCTCCAATGGTCTTGTAGAACAAGCACAACATCAGACTAAGTTAATTGGAGTGACAGTCTGCTCTCAAGTGCTAGGATTCAATATGGCGAAGGTAATTCTCCAACTTTGAATCTTGACGGTTTGAACATTCAAATGTTGAAATTGGAAATACATTAAATGATTGGTCATCATTTAATCGTGATTTGCTTCAAAGGTGCCATCATCCGTGGACCGTGTTACGTGTATCATTTCTGAGTATTCCCGACCTCGGGAATCCTTCCAATATTATCATTGGTAGGAAGAGTCAACGCACTGAAGGATATCAAACTCAGCTGATGTCATCAAAGAGCCTGAAGTCTCCGAATACCCCCAAGGTGATTTCCAGGAGAGCACCATTGAACAAGGACTTTGAGTGATTGGTCGCACACAGCCGGGCCACCGGGTGCTTGCAGTTTCGTAGATGATGGCGCTGGCGCCTGGCCTGATCTCAGTGGAGATGTCTTGTGGGACCCTGTCGATCATATTATTGCTTCCACCTTGACGGGTTTCATCCACGTGGATGCTATCGATACAGAATCACAGATGCTCGTACAGAACGCTACCTATCAAATCGGATACCTCGTTCGCAAGTTCCGAAAGATTGTCAAATGGTGTTGATGGAGAACAAAGAGACTCGAAGATGGGGTGACTTGGACCTGTTTAGTGCACAGGAAAGAAAGTGGATTCTCTGGTGCAATGAACCGTGGATATCAAGCGGCCCAGGAACAAGGGATAGTATATAAATCAGGTTACAGATATACATCCAGAGAAGGTGTAATGGCTTCAACCTTGGAAGCATTCAAAGATTCCCCGATGTCAAGATTCGAAAACACATTCAGGTATAAATAGATCAATTGATGATTCGGAAATGCTTCCCGGCCTACCAGCCCCGCCGTGCATGAATGTGACCCCGCGGCAGCTTGAATAACTAGTCCCTTGCTTGAAGAAAAATCCAATTTCCTTGATAGAAGCCCTTCCTTTTTAACGCTTCCATTTCACCGTTGAAATCTAAATCTAAATCCTTTCTCTATCAATTCAACAGTTATCTCGTTATCGCCCCCAAGCCTGCGCATTCCCCCGCTTACGGATTGCCAACAAATCTTTGCCACGCGACCAAAACCTTCCTCTTACACCTCCCTCTTGGATAACGCGCATACATAATGAAGGTCCTCTGTCTTCATGGAAAAGGCACCAGTGGCGCCATTTTCAAATCCCAAACCTGTAACTAATTCCCCTCATCGCGCATTAAAAACACCCCAAAAAAAAAACAAAGGATCCACACTGACCCCGCCCCCACAGCTTCATTCCGAGCGAAACTTCCCCAAAAAAACGTCCAATTCGACTTCGTAGATGGTCCCGTGAGCTCTGAGCCCGCCGCGGGCGTAGATCTCTTCTACCCGGGGCCATACTATGGATTCTGGGAGCGCGGCTCCGTAGACGACATCCGCGAAGGCTGCGACTGGCTCCGCGAATACCTCGCCAAGCACGGCCCCTACGATGCCGTGATGGGATTCTCACAAGGAACAATTCTCGCTTCAACATACCTTCTCTTTCACGAAGAGGAAACCCCGCACCTCCCGCCGCCGTTTAAGGTCGCCATCTTTCACTGTGGCGGTGTCTCGCTGCATGTGTTACAGGATCTCGGATTTAACATAACATCGGCCATGCACGATCGCGATTTGGCTTCGCGCAATGCGCTGATGAGCTCGGCTAGTTCGGAGGCGATTTTGCGGATGGGGACAAATAGGTGGAAGGGGGATAACTCGAATGGTGGATTGAGTGAGCAGGAGCTGCGGGATGAGGTTAAGGGCCCCGTGCAGATCTCTATTCCCACCGTCCATGTTTATGGGAGTAGGGATCCAAGGTTCACATCGGGTGTGCAGCTGTCTGGAGTGTGTGATCCGGAGAAGCGGAGATGTTATGACCATGGCGGTGGGCATGAGATTCCGCGGCAGTCGGCTGTTACCCGTGTTCTCGTGGAGCTTTTTGAATGGGCGACTGAGCAAGTTGAGGAGGCCTGAGGATTAATTTCTTCATGTCTGTTGGATATTTGCGATGGGTTGAGGACTGGAATAAGTCGTGAGTAGATGGAAATTCATAGAGCAAAGGGATTCTGGGGGCTAGAAAGCAACATCGGCAGGCAAAGCTTTCAAATGTTGCGACTCGGCGAGTATTCAGTATTTTAGATTCAGAATATTGTTTGAGCATTTTATAATGAAGAATAGTATTTGTACACATGTGCAGGAAGCAAAATCGTGCATCCCGAAAATTCCTGATATAGCCGGGCATTTCCGCTAGCTGACCATGCAAATGTGAAGCACAAGTGGGAATTCAATCAATAGCGTTTCCATGCTAGGAGACTCGCCAAGTGGTATTGGATGATTGGTCTATACATATCGTAATGCTTGGATTTTATGTATGCGCTTTTTTATCTGATCCTGGATTGGTGTACACATCGTGAGTCGTGACATCATAGCACTATCTACACCAGTTGACATGTGACTTGGTGCCCAACTCGAGCCACGTTAGCATATAATCCAGTCAGTCACTCTTGGATCTTGGAGTCTCTCATCATTCAGCCTTTGTTCTGCTTTCTCAAGGCACTCTGAAATTTTATAAAAGCAAAGCAGCTTGTCAACATACCCAATGGAGCCTCAAAAGCTACCCGAAGCAGCCGAGGAAATTCGCCAGGAGATGAAGGCATTGATACCACAAGTGTGGATGGTCAATGAGGATATTCATGGAAATAAGAACTACAGTGGGGATGCAATTCGGAATTTGATGTATCGTATGAAAGTTGCGTTGAAGCTGGACGAGGTAGGTACTAGTATACTGCCAGTCTGCCACTTTACTATTTAGTGATCTTCTTTGTGTAGAAAGCATCTTACTAATAATCTAGGCATTACAGAGCTGGCAAGGATGCTTGATATACCGGTCAAAGCCTACAAATTTGATCAATTCTGGAAGACAAGCATACATTATACCGATATCAGACAACGTTCAGATGTACCCAGAAGGGTCATTAAAAGGTGGATGTTTTATCCAAATGAAGAACGAGCAGCTTCTGGCAGCAGGAGTGACAGCTTTGATTCTTATAAACTCAACTTAGTCTCAAGTGCTGGTATGGCTTGACTGCATTTAAACATTATGGGGGATATTCAGGGAAAGAGAATTCCAGATTTTTGATGTATGAGTTTTCAAGTCCACATGCAGGCAGCACCTCATTTGTCATTTATATAACAAGAAATTACAATACCTATATATATTTATTAAGAATTGATCTCTACTTTGTATAACCAGCTACTCCCGCAGATGCTTATGAATGGAGTCATGATCCATGATCAGTTATTCAAACATGTATTCAATGTTTGTTGTTTGAACTAATAAAATAACATGTTTGCTCTATCAAATTGTCACGACTCACGTGAGTGACGGTGAGTCACGTCACAAGTCAAACAGACACGTCATGTGCCTTGAGTAGGGGGAACTGCAGTGAAGGGCGGTGAAAATTGGGGCGGTGAAACCTCCGGGGGGTCAAAAATCGGAAAAAAGCGCGCATATCCCATACTCCAGCAGCCAGCCTCACTTTCTCTACTCTAAAACTCATAAGCTAGCCAGGCTTCCATACTATAACTACCAGGACAGTAGTATGTAACATTATTTACATCACCCTTTGAATTGGCTATGCTTTTACTATTTGATAAAACGTCATTGAAAAAGTGTAATAAGTTCATATTTATAAAGTATCTCAAGCCAACAACGTTTAAAATATGTACTAACTAAACGCCCGACCAGAACATAATATAGCCCATCACCAAGAGAAAGATTCCTCAAAGAAATCAACCGTCTTTTCGCCTTGTACATGACGAACGGCTTCACGAACACTATCACCAAGACCACCAGGGCCGCAAACACTAACCGCCATCGCACCAACCTGCTCTGCCTTCTCGTTCTCCAGCAGCGTCGTAAAACAGGGCTTGCCAAATTCCACACTGACTGGTACATTCACCGGAGCAGCTTCCGTCCACGGCGTCTCTGGAGCCGGGATGTACTCCTCGATATCATCCTTGTGGCCTGTGACATGGACCCGGATGGAAAGCATCAGACCTGGGAATTGGAAGTATGTATCACCCTTGGGGTCTATTGAGCTGTTAAGCGCGTCATGGCTTAGAACTTCGAGCATCCATGTTTGAATCCAGGTCAAGTGATCTGATGATGTGAGATTAGCGGGCTGTGAGGGATTAAGATAAGGGGTATTGATTCTTCTTACCTAGATTGCGGATCATCCAGACTAGGTGGACCTTTCGTGTCGCGGATGTCCGAGATGTGAAATTTGAGACAACTTCGTGCAGATAGGACATTGGATGTGTGATTCCGATTCCACCAGCGATCAGAAGGAGGGTTCCGTACGAATTTAATGAATGAAGACCACCTGATTGAGTTAGTAATCTTCCAATAGGAAAACAATGATTGACGCTGTCAACATACCGAATGGTCCTTCTGCCAATGCCATAGCTTTGATTTTTCCCCCGGGCGAATCCTCTGCCTTCTGAAGAAGCTTTTTGGTAAAGCCATCCTGTCCTTTGATCAGGACTGACATGGTTGTCGTTTCGGAACCACCAAGAAGCGCCGCAAAAGAGTCACTCGAGCTACGCTTTTCATTGTGATTCAACGTCGACCCGCCAGTCGATGACCATGCCACAGTAAAAGGATGTGAAGTCCAAAGGCCCAGACACGGCAGATACAGATACATGTACTGGCCTGGTCGAAATTTCCAGGCGCGTGCCACTTCTACCTCAACCTTTGCAACCGAGCCTGGTAGGGCCTCGACTGTGGCGGTTGTACGGCGCTTTGAGCAGTTTCTCCAGAGCAGAATGAGGACTCTGCTGGCTCGGTCCAGACCCCATAAGATCAAGGTTCCCAAAAGGACTCGCTGTTGTAGTAGGTTCTTGAGGTGGTACCAGAGAGCCACAAAGGACATGACGGCCAGTGCGATATGTAAGTGGAGGAACAGTTCGTAGAATGAGTGGCGGAGTGGAGATAAGGATTGAATGGAAATGAAAATGAATCCGAGGATAGCCTATAGAAGAGCAAGGTCAGAACGTGTTCAACTGATTCCGTCAATTCCGAGGTCAGATTGTACCACAAGGCCGTAGATATAAAATGGCATTTGCCAAATTGTGTATAGAATGTATTCCACGCCATCTGGTAGCAGTGTTAGTTTGATTGTACTGAAATACTGGCGGGAGGTCAATAAAAAAAAGATCATATAGTACGTACGCATATAGGCTTGATTCGCCAGAACGGCACTCATATGAATCACAGCGTTCGCGGCGATAACACGTCCAACCCATCGATGCATAAAATTGAATGTATCGAATGAAAGCCCGAGCATCATTATTAGCGGGTTATTCCGCCCGGCACTGAGCACCAAGCCAGGGGTATTCATCACGGCTAAATGACCCGCCGCATACTTCAACTGGAACATTTTCACGGAATACCCTTCCCACCAATCAACAGTCACAAAGACAAAGATGATATTCAAGGAAAGGTATACTGCCAGCAGCATTGTTTCCAACCGCAAGGGCACAGACCCCATATGAAGTCGCAGAAATCGAAATTCCCGACTATGGCGCGATCCCCACAGCGGTGCATAGAGCAAATTCTTCTTGAGACTCGCAACAGCTCTGTGTGTCATAGAGAGCTGGGTCTGATCATCGCCCTGCAGGGCCATCTTTTCGCGTTGCCGATTTTGCAAGCGGATAACGGTTCGATATAGCAGCATCGTGGTGACGAAGCCTCCAACGACGAATAGAGGGACGGCGATCTCGGGGTTCATGGGCGGCTCTCCAGGGCCATTTCCAGCGAGTTCGACACCCATGTTGCCACACAAGGAGAGCCGAGCTTCCAGATATCAATGTGTATATCGGGGAAGGTTATCGGGTGATGGAGAGGGTTGGTGGGTATGTACTAATATATGTCAACCGCTCAACAGCGACCTCCAAGAACACCTTCAGACCTGCAGATTGAGAGAGAAGAAGAAGCTTAGAAGGAGAGCCGCAAGATATTAAAAGATAGGAAAAGAAAAAAAAGGCAAATACGGGATCGCGTGGAAAAGACAGAAAGTTAATCTTGTACGATTGTGTGGTATTGGGGGATCTACTTGGGATGCCGTCATGGACCCCTGGGGAATATCAGGAGTATGTTTCCCTAATCGAAAACATTCGTCATTTTCTGTTAACTACGAAAGCGTGAGTGTAACCGGACGAATCGGGGTTGGGAGGCCAGATTGAGGAAAATGGGAAATTGTAAAAAGAAAGAATCAAATGAGGAAATTGAAGAGAAATAAGAGAATTAACATTGGAAATTAAGAAAATTAAGAAAATTAAGAATTAAAAGAAAACCAGAAATGGAAATCATTGACATAAAGTTGTCAGTAAAGTTTAGTAGTAACTTAAGAGTATAGATCTTAAGCCTCCCGAGCCATGTACACACTCAGGGCCAAAGGGGAATTCACAAAACTCGTTTTATGAAAAAAATGACATTGGCATTTGCGGATTCTCGAATAGAATTATTCCATTTCGCGCAAGGGATATGAAAACCCGTCAGCCGGTCTAGACGCGGATCTGCATTGTTGTAGAGGAAGCCCTGAAAACGGAAGTGGAATGTGGGTTCCAGGGTCAAAGCGGCTCCCCATGATCCACCCGTGAAGAGTTCTGAGAACTTCTGACATTCAATGTTCTGGCACCGGATCAACTTCCAATTATAGTACAAATAAGGTCAGTTGTTGGTATTGGATCTTGATCTACAATTCAACCTTGGAAAGCCTTCACTATGATTCATAATTCGTCCATTAACCACTGGCTCTAGGGCATTCAGCGTCATCTCGACCGTGGATTCGAACCCATCATCTGGGAACGCAACTGCAACGCTAGACTATAACAATGGGACAGTCCGATCCCGAGGTCATTGTGGAGACAAGGTAGTAGATGATCCCCGAACGACCATTGGTACCTTGGTACCCTGCTACGTAATCAATTAAAGCCCTCTGAAAAGGGGAGATGCACGCGCGGGGGGCTTTGGAGAGAGAAAAGAAAAATGGGTCTCTTGATTATACAACGTCGGGGTATGTGCTTCAATGGCTATGACACAGTTTGGGACCATTGACAAATCCCGAATTGAACTGCCGAGGAAGATCGGGCGCCACCCTACTTGCTCTTGTGATCTAGACTACGTCGATTATACTAAGGTGCTCTGTTGTCATTCTTCTTATTGGTTCATCTGGACAGACCATGTGCCAGCACTACCTACCTAAGCAGGCACTCATTGTGAGAGCCAATGACAATAGCGAGTACCTGCTACCAGTCTTGTGAAAGCATCGTCATAGTAGGGACCAAGTTCCCTGTCGTCATTGTATCCAGGACCTCAGGACGAATGATTCCCTTGATATTTCCATCTATGAGCTCAATGTGATCATTCCTCAACGACTGAACCAAATCTCTCAGAATTGATTTTGAATCCTAATTTCCATAACCCGAGAGCAGCAGAAGAAATCCCTCAAGAGGCAAATAGCGCTTCCCTCCTTTTCAAACCCTTGAAAGCGTAGATTGTTGCCCAGGTGCCTGAAGTGTTGCATGAGACAGGCCCTAAATCGGAAATGGCAACGTGGAGAAGCCCTGCGTGGATACCGGGGCAGAAATTCTTGTGACAAGATGGGCGAAGAATGGACCCAGCCAATTCTAGATTCAGGGCCTGGGCCGCTATGGTAGTAGAAAATTGGGGGTGAGTAGTCCAATTCCGCTTCTATCACGGTCAGGTGACCAAATAAGGGTACACAGCACCGTAGGAGCCCGCCAAAAGAAGCCAGTAGGAGTAAGAGGCTTTTCGTACCTCTATCCTATCTTCTGTTTTGTCTCTCTTATCTTCCAGTTTCGTACAGATCGAGGATGTGGCTGATCCTTTGAACTTTGCGTGAGCCAAGTATGTGGGCTTCGATGTCTGTAGATGCCGACAGATGAGAGCGTCGTAGACAAAAAGGGTTTCCGAACTTGTATGGTCAGGATGAGGATGATGATGAATAGATGTTGTGTGTAATCGGGACGTAGATGGAAATATTGACATAAGTCGTCTATCTTCGAAGGAGCTCAAAGGAAAATCCCTCACAAAAGGCCCAAAGTATGTATGACATTTGCATAATACAGAAATATAACAAAACTCCTGATAAGAATATGATTCTAATTGGTTTTCCCTTCAGGGCCATCCTGACGCCAGTGATAACTAAACAGTGACATGAACCTTGGAACATAACCTCAAACGCCATCATTATTACCCGCTGTTACATGATAATTTATAGTATGCATGCATGAACTCACGCCGAGACTTCCTGAACGTTCTCAGGAATGCTGGGGATAGATTGGCCATCCTCTTCGAGACTGAGACTTCCATAGCCTGTATCATTACTAGCCGATCGTTCGCGACGTAGGGGCTTGCTCATAAGCGTTTCAATTGAGTCTTGGTCTGCATCACTTTGGAAGGACTGCTCGGAGACTCCGCGGCGACGGCGGGATCGTCTCTTTCGAGAGGGCATAGGTTCAGATGGCGCTTGTAGATAATCATCCACACTAACGCCGGCATTTTGGCAGACGACTGTGCAGGAATTCACGATGACATCAACAAGACTCGAGGAAAATCCGTAGAAAGCCGGGTTGTATGCGTTGCGTGACCAGTATATCAGTTGTGCGGCTACCCGACCCACGTTGGGAATGTCCCGGGGGCAGACGGCGAGTTTGCGAGAGATTCGAGGCTTGTCGTCAGCTTCATCGTCTGCGGAGGATGCTGCCCCGGAGACAGGCTCTGAAGGCGATGATGAGTCAGAAGAAACGATGTAATCGACGTCAGATGCCAGTAGATGTAGCAAATGATACACGGCGGAAAAGCCAAGCAAGCTTAGTTCAACAGGATCAATAGGCAGCTGATTGAACATGTTGATCGCCTTTTGAATGGTGAATGAGTCCGGAAGAGAAGTATCGCCGGTGGATCGCGCCGTGATAATGGCAGCGATCATGGCGCAGCGAACGGCAACGGAGATCTCGTCCCGAACTGAGATTGGGAGTGAGGAGTCTAGGAAGTTGGCAGCTTGGCTCCATTCACCCTTACGCTTATCCTTGGGAAGGGTGGCTAGCACAGCACCGACATTCTGGATACGATCCTGGTCGAAGAAAACGGCCTTCATAACGAGGGCTCGAGTGTATGCGGCGGAAAGTCGGGGAGCGACTACAAGAGCCATGCGAATCTTTTCCTTGAAAGCGTCACGACTAGCCTTGAAGACCGGTCCTCCCTCACTGGCCTCCATATACTTGAGGAGCGCAGTTTGGAGAAGATGGCTAGACCACCAGGCTGCCAGAGCATCGACGGAGCATTGAATGGCAGGGTCCTCTTCAACAACATCAAGAAGAACCTCGTCGTCTCCGGTACCTTCCTGTGTTGGTCGATTCCAGGTGAGGTTGACGGCGCGCTGGGTGATGGCATCAATCATAACATCTTCACATTCGAGCTTAAGCAGTTCGGCAAGGTGGCTTGGAACCTGGTCGGGATGGCCCTCTGGAAGCGCGTTGTTGATTTCTCTTGCGACGCCCCATTGGTAGTTCGCAAGAGCACGGCCAATGTCATTAGATACACGGAAAGACCAGGACCCGGTCTCTCCGACTCTCCAAAGGAGGATTCGGACATGCAAAGCTTTCAACATCATCCGCATAGGGCTGCTAGGAAGCGTGCCAGCCGCAAATATTGTGAGGACCAGGCGACTTTTTGTGATTTCAGCATCGCCTCCGGTAAGCTGGGCATCGATGGCAATATCCCATGTCTTCACCCGGCCCCTTTCGTCTTCCTCGGTAATTCCCGTCACCCAAGAATATATTTTCCAACCCATTAAGCAGCGTAGAACATATTCAAAACAGCGAGATGTTACCACATACCACTCGCGGAAGAACCGATGACGCGGTACACCAACTCGTTGCATGCTGGTAAGCCACGCCTGGCGCCGAAAGTCACTCGATGTGGGAGCGCCATTTTGACCCTCACTGAGAACCTTTGGTGAGCTGCGCTGTGTGGCTGGTTGAGCATTGAAAAGATAAACGAAAACTATGAACGCACTTCCGACAACCAAAGTTGCCAGAAGAAGGATATGAGAAATTGCTCGCGCATGGGAGGAGGACAGGAAGCTTTTAAGGTAGTACTCCCAGTGAGCAAGACTAGGTGACTGTAGTCGGCGGAGGAGGTTCAGAGGAAGAGCAAGGAGTCCTTTCTCCTCTGTCTCGGATTCATCCGAACCAAAGCCCTCAAGGACCATCAGGCCGGCTAAAGCTCCAAGCATATATTTGTTGGGTAACTTGGAACGGCTTCGGGATCCATTTCCATTTCCACGGCCATAGTCAGAGACACCAGTCACCCGAGGAGAAGATTTCATGTATGACTCTGCAAAGATGCCTTTCTTGCCTTCTTCACGCATCCGCTTGAAAGCATCAGGGACCTTGATCAGGCCCTCCGGAGGGTGCGAGGCCGACGCACCAGGAGAGCTACTATCAATCTCCTCTGGCTGGGAGAAAACACTGGGTGATGTGCCAGCGTTGGAATCACTAGAAGCACCGTAATTGCTAGGTGATGAAACTGAGGCGGCAGATGTAACAGCTTGGTCGGCTGCTTTGTCGACTTGTCGTAAACGATTCTTGAGAGCGGTATTCTCATCCTCCAATCTCTTGTTCCGAATTTCCAAGTGCTTGATGTATTCGGTTGCCTTTGATAAGATGGAGGCCTTGTTCAACTTGCTCGCAGACTGAGCGCCTTCTGCATCCTCGTCATCCTCGTTGGAGTCCCCGTTGTTGTTCTTCGTTGTTCGTAGACTTGGCACGCTATCACGTAGTTCGGCGATTTTCTCATTCAGATTTGCTCGATATCGTTTTTCAATGACGTTGTGAGCCCGCTTCTTCGCCGGCATTTTCTTACCAGGCTGAACGGGGCCGGTCACAGTCGTAGCATCGTCATCACTGCCCGTCTTTCGCTTTCGGCTTACCCCGACACTAGAGATGGGAGAGACCAGGCCTGTCTGGCCCTGATAATTGGACACAATTGAGTTTCTCTGTTGGCTGTAGTTTGATGGAATCTCCATCAGCCCAAGTGGAAGTTGCGGTGAGAAGTCGATCTGTTGAAGTTGGTTGGGAGAAGAGCTCATGCTAGTGTGGGGGGAGACGAATGGGGGTTCCATTGGGCGGTCGACATGCTTTTGATCACCCTCTGTGAACATCGGTTCATCCCATCGCATCCATTGAGTCCAGTCTTGGTTGTGATTCTCAGTTTGTTGTTGCTGAAATCGGGCATCCCCTCCACCAGGTTGCCGATGAGAAGAAAACAGCTGAAAGTCACTATCCATACCGGGAACAGACATTGTGCCTGGGCATCCGTTATGAGGATACTCGGCCTGCAATCGCAGATTTAAGTTGTATGTGTGCTCAGGGAGATCTTTGGCACTGTATCTTGCGTTAGCTATGAACATATGATGGCCAGCCTAGGGTTCAAGATCAATGATCGCCCCTGACGAGGTACCTGGAAACCCTAGTTCCGGCTATCGGCGGCAAATTTTGAACCATGATAAGAAGGGTGTGCAAACTCACTGGAGCTGGAAATTTGGATCGATTCAATTTGTATCAGTTACTGGCGACAATGGACAGCATGCAGGAAGAGATTCCAGAAAACTGGAGAAAACTGGGAGAGGGGGAAGATGTCAGAGTCATGAGCGCATCTGGGGGCAGCTAGGCAGAGAGATACCCACTCAAGTCAGTAGCGTGGGCGGGCCCAAATAAGAATGGAGATGGTGGGTTCTCAAGTCAATTGGTCTTCCCCTGCGAAGACGATCATCGCCAAATGGCGTGGACGGTGGACCAGGGTGCAGGTGTAGGTCGCGCTACGCGAAATCGGACAATTCAAAATGTATCTAGGTTGTATTAACGGTTGATTGTCGCGATGTCGAGAACACGAATAGCATTCTGTTGTTCCAGGCATTAAGGAGACCTCAGTTTAGACATATTTTTGGTCGTATGATCGCGGCAGGCCGCACTTCCGGCTCCTCGGCTCCCACGGACAAGTGGAAATCTTACGGTATGGTACAGCAAATTGGGTGGCGTTTGGTGGAAGTCTGGGCGTTTGTAACAGTAAGAGGTCTGTATTTTATTACCCTTATCATTGGTGATTCTGGATTCCCCTACCGCCTGATGACTCAGCTACTGCCATGTGATTGTCTTCCTTTTTATCTCCTGAACATCATTTCCAATTGCTTCCCACAACGTTTGGCCATCGCGTTTTTATTTTTTGGTCGCCATGACTGGGTACTGGAATGAGCAGAATTTTCTTCCCAAATTCTCACATTTTTGGATCAGCAGCCTTGGCACCCCACCAAGGTGGCGCACGGCAGAGCATGACTGCGCGGTCTGATCTTATCTGATCTGTAGCGTCTCCACTTTCACCGCACCAAAGCCCGCGGAATTTGCGCGACGGCGACGAACACGAATAAGAGCATCCAACCAGAACCCTAGTGAGGACTGGTGGGTCAAACTTCCGTTGTCGGCGGGTCTCACTTTTAGGAACAAGGGATTCAAATACCCCTCTCACACGCAAATTAGCGTTCAAGAGCCTTTCCAGAGCGTATTTGAAGCGGACTCTGGAACCGTTTGCTGGCAACCTGCGTCATTGATTGAGCTATACTAGCGCCCGCCACTAGATCGGTGTACGCTCGGTGGACACAGGCGGAAAAATCTTTCCCATTAGCTAGTCAAAATGGATATTTAGACTGCACCTGGGCATTGAAAAACTCGGACGGACTCTACCGCGGATCCTCTGGTCTCTGCCCAACTACGACCCGGTCTTGACTTCCGCTACCATCTCCATGGCATTGTGAATACAGTTGAGATGATCAAATTTCCTTTCTAACACCCCCTGGTGCGGCTAAAGTCAGCCCAGTGCATTCCTAATTTGATTGGCAGGGGCAGAATACAATGATATCACAGTTTATTAGGGTCTGACATCATGTCTCTTCAATTTTCACCTGGGCAAGTGTCGTTACACGGGGCTAACTGAAGCATGACAAACAGTATCTACGAAATAACATTGAACTTCTGAACGCCACACTTAGTCCTAGCACTATTATGAGGGTACCTCGTCGAGGTGAAATGAAGTTTGGAAGACCTTGAAACTTCCAAGGTTTGGTTATTAACAGCGAACTTTGTAAAAAATCAAGTGAAATTCATTTATTATGCCCGAGCCATATATCCTTCAAGAATATCCGAAATACTATTCACGTATGTCTCCCACCCAAAAAAAAACAAGTCATATTTAATGCTTTAAATGAAGATGTCAGTTCATGAGGGTTATTGAGTTATAGCTGTTGATGATCCACTTACGGTGACATCCTCCCATTTCTCCCAGCCCCGCCCTTTAACCTGGGCGAGCTCATCCATTGTAAACTGCTTGCCGGTCGTAAAATATCCCGCGTTGATCTTTGCATCGATCTCAACACGAGAATCATCAGGAATCATTTCCTCCGGAATCGGGACTCGCTCAAGAATCTTGATACCAGTTTCTATGATAGCATCATGTTTCATGTTGGACATCGACAGCATGCGATCGATTTTTTTGATTCCAAGCCAATGAAGAACGTCCGGCATTAGTGCTTGGAACCTCATCTGAAGCAGGCATTATTAGTACTGTTATCAAAAAATAAAACAAGTGAGAATTCTCCTTACATCTCGCACTCCGGCGATATTTTCTGTCCGTGTGAAGTACTTGTCCGCGGTGTCTCCTCCTCGTTTGCGGGCGTTATAGACTAAGTATTTGATAACTTCACCTAAAGCGCGACCCTCTTTGCGGAAGTATATTACCACTCCACTTCCACCGTTTTGTGCCTCACGGATCGCTTCACGGATACCAAACGCCAAGTATGGTCGACAAGTGCAGATGTCGGATTGGAAGACATCGCTTCCATTGCACTCGTCGTGAACTCTTAGGGAAAGTTTGACATTCTCGTCAGCAATTCGCTCCGGCGGTCCAAAAATATAAACAGTCTGGCCTCCAATCGGCGGTAGGAATATCTTGAGGTCGGGTCGTGTGATAAGTTCAGGATAACTGCCACCAGTATGCTCGAACAGACATCGACGAAGTGTGCCCTCATCCACACCAAATCTCTCGGCTACTCCAGGTAGAAACCATACCGGCTCCACGGCAACCTTGGTAACACGAACCTCGCCTGAGGAGTCAACAACAATATTGCCGTCCACTTCCAACTGGCCATCTCGCACGGCGTCAGCAATCTCCGCCAACTTCATATTAGCCCTTGTGACAGCCATTGTAGGCCGAATATCCCACCCAGCCTGCAACTCCTCCTTGTACTGGTTGACAATATCATGACCATATGGATCCATCGAGACAATCTTGGTCTTATCCGCCCAAGCAGCTTGCCACGGAAAATTAAAAACAGGCTGACTATTGCGCAAGTCAGGCTTGAAGTCTGCATCCAGATCACCGGCTGCAACGGCGAGCGCGTTATAGATGCTGTAACTGCCTCCGTGGGCACCGATGGCATTGCGACGTTTCACTAGGTTTCCGCTGCGGGATACCACGATCGGGCCACGGGCTTTGGCATCTGAGGCTCCCCATTCCAACGGCACAGGATCGATTCCACTTTGTCCGGGGTATGTTGTCAACTACACAATTGGTTAGCATGCCCACCGCCACCCATCTAGCCTGGCTCGTTCAGACATGTCCCTACGATGATATGTTTGCTGATCCGCGATTTCGGTGATGTTGGGGATTGGGGAGTGGGCTCTGGCATATTGGCGACAGCATCAGAATCTCCCATTTTGAACAAGAGAATAGATGATAAGGAGACCTTGTGCCGGGTGTAAAACCGGTGTATTAACAATTGGGCAGCGCACGACCATGTGACTTCCCCCGCACTGTTATCTGGGCTTATCTATGCGTCATTGTTTGGATTTCTTTGGTAGTTCGTATCATTGAATTTTCCAGAATCTTTTCCTAGTACTATTTCAATGTTTATCGTGTCGCACTGAAGTGCTGTTTTCTTTGAATGTGAAATAGGATAGTGTTGGGCCCACTGCTATACTCTTTAGTTCGGGGGCGCGACTGAATGACCCATTCCCCCCACTTGGTCTCGGTCTCTTGGCGTTTAGCTTCAAATGGCCCAACCCGAAATTTCGCCAAACCTTTGGATATCCCAGTGATATGTAAGTCCAGAGATGTTTATTATATTTGACGGAGAATATTCTTGGAGAGATACTTGTGCTATTGTCTTACGTAACACTAGTTGGATCATCCTTCCAAGGGCAGATCTTAGCAACTGAACAAAAATGCGGTGAGGAAAGGGTACAAGCTTGAGTGTATGTATTCTAATGTTACACAGAAATTGATGGAGTTTGAGCCTTCAAGCTTTTTTGAGAAAAACGGAAGCCCATGGATTCATTTATGATCAATTGATGGTAAGAATGGAATATTATAGAGATCCATCAATTGATAAACATTAAATTGATAGTGGACCTATCTACCTGGGCATGGACATCTGGATTTACCAGTCGACTAGTACTATCAAGGCATATACTGTACTCAGTTATATGTATACTACATACTATCAATCAGTAGATAACATTGAAATTGATTGATTTCATATCTACCCAACATTTGAAGGTAGTGCTCTACCTAGTACTACGTAGGGGATTAAGTCATTTGAACATCAAAAGTAGTTAATTTAAATAAGATGTTATATGATGAAGGTTTCACTTTGAAGCAAGAACCCTGAAAAAGCTTCTCAGCTTCCAAAGTTTAAAGGAGGAACTAAAAAACATTGGCTGGTATTAAGATACATTTGCATAATTTCCGCTAATGACTGCCACAATGACTTAATTCGTTCGTAAAATGTTATTTGATTTCGAATTGAACATTCAAGCATCCATTCGGATCGTTAAATTTCATGAGGCGACTATTGTCCGGTGACAAACTTGGCTTGGGCGCGGGAGTTTTTGATTGTCTTCTTGATCATCTCCTCGACCTCGTCCCAGTCAGAGGTGTCGATTCGGTCAATGGTGCAGCCAAAGTGCTCTTGGATCATACGAAGCATCTCCCACTCCTCCCGGTTGGCCACAAATGAGATGGCAACACCGATACGACCAAATCGTCCAGTCCGACCGATACGGTGAAGGTAAGTCTGGTATTCAGGCTCTCTGGTGCGCGTTCCAGCGTGGTAGGCCTCGGGAATATCATAATTGACGACGAGAGACACAGTGGAAACATCAATTCCACGGGCAAGAACGTTGGTAGTGATGAGAACCTTCGCCTTTCCACTGCGGAACGCGTCAATGACCGCATCACGCTGGGAGCCCTCAATTCCACCGGTCAGGGAGGCAACAGTGTGTCCCTCAGCAACCATGCGCCTCTCAATCTCCTCAGCAGATCGTCGAGTCTATTGGATGTTTGTTAGCGGAATTAATGGGAGAAAAGGTAGCAAGTACTTACGCGAACGAAGATAATGGATGATCCAACAGTCAGCAGGCCGTAAAGCTGCACAAGGTTGCTGTATTTCTCTTCTTCGTTGCTGCAGTCCATGTAAAGTTGCTTGATTCCATCAACAGTCAATTCGTCGTGCTTCAAGGTAATCTCGTTGGCTTCCGGGGCAAACTTGGTTGCATAGCGGTATACATGAGCTGGGAAAGTAGCCGAAAAGAGAACAACTTGGATGGACTTGGGAAGCATGCTAAACATTGTGTAAGCAACGTACGGGGCCGGGGTGGATGCTGGAAACCCTAGGAGACTTACGCCTTGACACGACTACACTGATCACCCATGCCCTGCAGGTCCAGCATGTTATCGGCCTCGTCGAGAACCAGAACCTTAAGCTGGCTGGGGTTCAAACGGCGCTTCTTAATCATGTCTTGGACGGTGCCTGGGGTACCGACCACGACAGAGGCAGTCATAGCTTCGGCACGAGTGGCGGTATCGGCAGGGACGGCAGTACCAATGATCATTCCGTCAAGGAACTGACCCATGACTTGAATAACACCAACGATCTGTCGTGCCAACTCACGTGTGGGAGCCAAGATGAGAGCTTGCGGGGTAGTTTGCGCAGCCTCGGTGTCAAGTTCGAGACGGCTCAAAATGTTCAGGACAAAGGCAGCAGTCTTGCCAGTACCGGACTGGGATTGACCAACGAGGTTCTTGGGCGGGTTGCTCATCAGGAGGGGAAGGGCGCGTTCCTGAACTTTGGATGGCTGACGGAAGTTCATGCTTGAAAGTCCCTTGAGGATTCGATCATCACTAGTATATTTGTTAGCTTCAATGAAACAATAGGTCTGCAGGAAAACTCACAGGCCAAGATCATTGAAAGTTTTAACGGAGAACAAGGGATTGTTCGGATCCGCTTGCAAGTCGCTTAGCTTGACCTCAACAGTGTAGTCTGGTTCCTGGAGCTCGGAGCCTATGGCATCTTGACCTGCACCATCGTTGGATGCGGCAACGGAGTCTATAACATTCGATCCAAAAAAATGACCAATTAGTTATATCATTCAATGTAAACCCATGCTTCTATGATGCGGTGTAGCAGATTTGGGTCAAGGTGTTCATTTTTCTCGTACCGGTGGTAGGAGCATCGGGCTTGGAGATGCGATCGGCGAGAGGGCCTCCGGTCTGAGAGGTAGCGTCAGGGGCTTCCGACATCATGAAATTTTGGCTTGCGACGCGATATTCTTTTCGATCAAGTTGGAGGGGCGACGGCGTCGCGGGGTACCGAAAAATTGAAGGGATAAAGCGGGTCCACAGAGAGCGTAATTGGTAGGGGATAAAGGAGGAGCACTGGCAGCTCGCAATTAAACCCAGCTTCGGTGAATTGGAGAGAGGGGAGAAAAATAATGGTAGAAGTGAGAAACGCGCAGGAGGAACAAAAGAATAGGTGACTTCAGAAATGACGGAACAAAGCGGCACTAGTCCGAAAGGAGAAACTTGAAGGTATTACCCTTGTACTGCCCGCCCCAAATCTCCGATAACGATACCGTATCGTCACAGGCACCGGAGATGCTGCTCCCCGCCTTCTAAGATCATCGTCCTTGCTGCCTCATTGGCTTTCACTTTCTCTGCGCCTTGATTCTTTCGTATATTTTATAGCTGTGACGACAGTCAATACCCCCGGCCAATTCAAACTCTGCACACTTGGGTCTGTTTTCCCAGTGTATGTGTGATTTCCTTTCGGTCTTGAGGCAGCCATGGCGGCAGCAGACGTGGCTCCCCAGTTTGGGGCGGAATTAAAGGTATGGGCTCCAAGCGGCAGTTGGTTTTCTGATAACTAATACTTTTCTCGTGATAGGACTCATTCAAACCAGTCAACGCTTGGGTATGTCTCTCCGATCAGTCGTCTTCCCCGCAACGCAGCGCGCGTCGTATAACCACGTTTCCGGGACGGAGCTAATGCAACCACGTTGCACAGGTATCGAATGGCATAACATGGCTGGAGGAAATTCAACAATTCTACCGCGAACGCAGTGCTATTGAAAAGGAATATGCAGCGCGACTTTCGGCCCTGTGCAAGAAATACCAGGACCGAAAAGCGAAGAAGATCAGCCCATTGAGTGTCGGCGATACGCCGACTATGACCCCGGGCTCCCTCGAGAGCGCCTCCCTAACAACTTGGTCCACCCAATTGGCAACGGTCGAAGCACATGCGGCGGAGCGCGACAAGTTTGGTACAGAGCTACTCACTCACATCGCTGAACCACTGAAGCAAACGGCTGTGCAATATGAGGAAATTCGTAAATGCCATTCGGATTACCACGGCAAGCTCGAAAAGGAGCGAGATGCATCGTATGGCGAACTGAAGAAGGCCAAGGGCAAATATGACGGAGCTTGCCAGGAGGTTGAGTCGCGGCGCAAGAAGATGGACTCTTCATTCGATCATTCCAAGACCAAGGCGCAGAGCGCATTCCAGCAACAATTATTGGAAATGAACAATTACAAGGTATGTTCCAGAACACATAAGCCGCAGTCTTTATTTAGCTGACAAAAGCCAGAACTTGTATCTACTCAGTATCAATGTGACGAATAAGGCGAAGGAGAAGTTCTTCCACGAATATGTTCCGGAGGTCATAGATGTAAGTCGCATCCTACTGGAGTACATGTCTTGATCGCAAATACTAACAATGAACCAGGGTCTACAAGATCTCAACGAGACGCGAGTGATAAAATTGAATGCACTCTGGACTCTTGCTACACAACTGGAAAAGCAATCTTTTACCAACAGCGTAAATAATGCCTCCAATCTTCTAACTGAAATTCCCCGCAACGACCCTCGGCTAGACTCGATGATGTTTCTCCAACATAACGCAATCCAGGCCCAAGAACCGGCCAATATGGGTTTCGAGCCGAGTCCTGTTTGGTCCGATGATGCATCCATCATTACTGACGATGCTGCCAAAGTATTTCTCCGTAATCTGCTTGGTCAAAGCAAAGCGCAAGTGCGTGAGCTACGTGTGGAGTCGGACAGAAAGAAGCGGGAGGTTGAGAGCAGCAAAAAGATCAGAGATAACATTCGACAAGGCAAAGACAACCGAAACGAGATTGACATTGTTCGGAGCATCTTCCATTGGCAGGAAAGCTTGCATGAGGTGGACCGTAAATGGCTGACAGCCGAGGTGGAAACAGCCACAATCATCGCGGTGGTGGGAGACTTGTCCGTGGGAGCACAGAACCACAACTTCCGATCGCAAACATTCAAAATCCCCACTAACTGTGATTATTGTGGTGATCGCATCTGGGGTTTGTCCGCCAAGGGCTTCGACTGCCAGGACTGTGGATATACATGCCACAGCAAGTGCCAGATGAAGGTGCCACCGGAGTGTCCGGGTGAACAATCAAAGGATGAGAAGAAAAAACTGAAGGTTGCTCGACAAGAACAAGCGGGTGCAGGGCCTAGTGTTGATCTCGAATCCTCTGCAGCCTCAGCCACTGCGCCACCTCTTACTCGCCAGAATACTATGAACTCTCTAAGCTCAGGTTATGCGGCTAGTGGAGCTCGTTCGATATCTAATGTGGCCATCCAACCCACGCCTGAAGACCCGACTGATGAAGCTCCGCCGCCTGTTGCTGAGACGAAGCCAAATGCCGGAAGAAAACATCGGGTCATGGCTCCACCTCCTATGGCATATACGCCCGCGCCACCCCCAGAGCCCAACGCAGCATCCAAGCCAAGAGGCAAGATGCTGTATTCCTACGAAGCCACGGGTCCCGACGAGGTGACGGTTCATGATGGAGATAATGTGATAATTGTGGAGGCTGATGGTAAGTTCTGCTTGGAGATGTGATAATTTGGATTAAAATAGCTAACTGACGTGTGTCATGAAGATGGATCGGGATGGCTACGTGTGAGCATTGGCGGTCAAGATGGACTTGTTCCCGCGTCATATGTCGATGCGGTACAGCCTCCCTCGGCTAGCCCGAGCTTGCCCGAACGACCGGGGTCTGTCTATTCGAACTCCTCCGCTTCACTAGCAGCTCCTAAACGGGTGGGTCCGGCAGTGGCGCCACGCAGAGGAGCTAAGAAACTTCAGTATGTGGAGGCGTTGTACGACTACGAGGCCCGCAGCGATATGGAGTGGAACATGACTGAGGGCGATCGATTTGTTCTGATCACTAAGGACACTGGCGATGGCTGGGCAGATGTGGAGCGTGGTGGAGTCACAAAGAGTGTACCAGCAAATTACATTCAGGAGGCGTAGTAGATACCAATGTAGATATAGCCTTCTGTACAGTGAGAGAGGACCGTATGGTGGATTCTTTTCGTGCTGCATTATGTGTGTGTGTGTGTGTGTGTGTGTGTGTGTTTCCCCTTCTTTTTTCTTTTTTTCTTTTCTTCCCTCTTTTCCTCTTTTTCTTGTTCATCTTCTTTTGCGTTTTGCGTCCTGTGTCCCGTTTCAAGGCGCTCTCAGTGACACTCAGCACCGATTTGCATCAGCAAGGAGCGTTGGGGGGCTACTTTCCCCATGTTGCATTCAAGTCTATAGCATTCTTCATAACATGTTTATTGGTATCTCTCAGCATGACAAAACCTGACAGTATTGTACAGGTTGATTCTGTTCGTGTTCATTCCTAGACCTAAACAATCCTCCCAAAACGGTCTCCAAACTTTCTATATCCAAGACAACCAACCCCTTAATCAGGCGTCCTGCAACTGACTGCATCATTCATAATCATCATGACATTACCGAGAGCTCCCTACCGGGAAAACTTGATTGTCATCGCGTCATTGGGGGGTACCCCATATCCAAATGTTCAAACCCAGTCTCCGGCGACCACATATACCGTGACCAATCCTCCACATGAAAGACCTCCTCCAGTCCCTCTGTGATATCCAAATCCATATCCTCCAAGCACCCCAGTGTACCACCAGCAGCCAATGAAGGATCCAAGGGGAAATCAAAGGGATTAGCCCCATCGAGCGGACTGACCAACGAGGAACCGGATTGCGTCAGTGCAACAGACGAAGGAGGAAGCAGGGAATACATGGGATCAAAGATGGTGTTCCCTATCACAGAGGGATCCATCACAGACGTTGTTGTTCCCGTTCTGGAAACCGGACTTGAAAGGTTCTGAGCAGGCCTATCACTCTGACTGGTAGCAGCAGTACTCCCAGCAGCAACAAGACCAGCACCAGACCTTGTTCGACCAGATGACTCATTCCCAGAGGCTCCCTCCTCCGAGCCGGACCAATATCCCACCGCATAAGTTTCGCCGGGATCCGTAACGCCAGTATTTCGTCTCTCGGTATTCATATTTGAATTTGGATTTGAATTGGAATGAGAATTTGTCGAATCATCCGCCGAGGTAGTAGACTGCGAACCAGATCTCTCGACCCTCCCCGAGTCCCGTTTCGTAGCCCCGGAGATCGGTCTCGGGGCAATGGGCAGGAACCCGTGCGGATTGTGATGCCGGGGATAAAGTCTAGCGTGGGAAGCTTTCTAAAATGAAACCAAGAAAAAAGCGATCAGCGACACGCCGTCTGCCAGATCTTCACTTCACTTGAGAAGCAAAGACGAAGATGAGCCAATCCGGTGTTGTGATTGAGCGTGTGTGTGTTTGCGTTACTTTTGGATGTTTGAGTTCTGACTCGCGCTTCTGGCGCGCGTGGTCTGTTGGGGATTTGCATGGGGTTGAGTTGCAGATGGAGCAGGTTGCGAAGGGGCGACCTTTGCGCTTTATGCGGATCAACGGTCGATCTGAGGGGGGGGAAAGATTGATTTGTATGTTAGTGTATGAGTCGTTTATATCTGGACGTGTGTGTTTTTTGGGGGAGAGACATGAATACATGTAGGAGAGGAAAAAAAACATGGGAATTTGTATAGGGGGAAGAAAAAAGGGAAGTATCATCCAACAACATTGAATAGGGAAGGAGTGTGTATATACCATGATGTTTGCAGCTTGACACACGGTGACCTCGTATGCAAGCTTCACACGCCCACTTTTGACCGTCGATAAGCATCCCTTCGTAAGATGAAATGAATGGACGAGTTGTAGGTTGGGTAAGCTTATATACCTTTTTTCTTCAATGATCTGTTATAAAATTTAAATCAATTTTTTTTGGCACCATTGATCCGTTCCTAGGTCTCGTGTAATTTTCTTTTTATTTCTTTTTTTTTTCCTTTTTTTGTATTTTTCTCTCTTACGGTAGGACTGAGGGGCCACATTGGAGCTATGACATACCACCCGGAGAGCTTTTCCATGTATATCAGCCCTCAAGTATAGGACTTCGTGGAATCTCATCTACAAACAGCCACATCAACTGTGGAACTGCACGTGCATTTCGGAGGGTTCCATACGATCTGCTATTTTTTTTACTTTTTTTTTACTTTTTTTTCATTGTTTTTGTTACATGGGATACTGTTTTTCAGGAGCTTGGGCCAGTGCAAAAAGTTGAAAGTTTCAAAATGCTGGGATTGTGTACTTTTTTTTTTTCAGTGGGGCTTAACAAGGGAAGTATTACTAGTAGTAATCATATAGGGAACAGGATCTAGAGCGGGAAGAATTCAAGTTCCATTAAAGCGTGAGGGATTTCTTGTGGTTGCCTGGAACAGAAACAGAGAAACAGAGAAACAGAGAAGCATATGCCAAATGGGTGATAAAACATGGAAAATTGCAGGTAATCGGGAAATCCCGAAAATTTCAATTCCAATTTCCATTACTATCAGAATTTCCATTTCCCTCCTTATTAACAGTGGTAGCCCCATTTGTTCTGAACCGTTCTGATGCGGCCAGATCGGTGTTAGATCTTAATACAAATGCCTCATACATATCCCGTTTTCACGGCATTGCTTAGGTCCCGGGGAGGACCCAGAAAATTAGAGAAAATTAGAAAAAAAAAATATAGAATAAAATAAAAATCCAGAAAAAGGTCAGACAAATCAAGAGAGAGGAAAACTGTCGTCACGGTACCTTTGAAACTCCAATTCCCCAATACACTACTAGTAGACAAGCACCGATGCCCTCGTTTCAATTTTCTTTTGGGACACGAAACGGCCGAATCAGGTCATGGTTCTACAAATGGGGCTGGTAAAATCGTGCAGCAAACTATAACTATCTCCACCTTAGCTACACAGACCACATCCAGCTCAGATTATAACTGGAGGTGGCTGTGCATGCCATTCGGCTAAGTGGCGTTGCATTGAAGTTTGGACTTTTTCGATTTCTGGAGTTTGGAATTTCTCAACAGGCGCAGTAGCCTCGAGATTCATGGAATTTTAGCATTTCACTTGGATTTTTTAGTTTCACAACGATGTCATATTGCACATGAAATTATACGCAATTGTCCGAGACTTGGAAACAATCACCTAATAAGAAGGGAAAAAACAAGAATTATAAAAACCGATAGACTATAGAAGAAAAAAAAACCACACAGACCACAAAATGGCCCCAGCACTGATAACCAACTGGACCGCAGCCCTAGATAACGCACGACACACGGAAAAAAAAAGAAGGAAAAAAAAGGGCAAAACCAGCAAAAAAAAAACAAGTAAAAATCAAATAAAAAATGATTTAGGCAAATTTAAGGAAAATTAAGCTCCAAGTGCAAATCCCCAATCAAAACGCGTCAAAAGTGAGAATCCAAAGGCCCGCAAAACCAGCCATGTAATTTGCTGATCTCCACGTCAAATCTTCACTATGCGCCATTTTGCATACCTGAGGCATTTTTCTTTTCCAATTGTTTGGTTTGCTACTTTCTCTTTCCCTTCTTTTCTCCTACACCGTATCTTCCAAAATCCATTGAACACTTGTCCACTGCACATTTGTTCTCTGGAGCCAAAGGTCCAAGTCCCTTCGACTTTGTACGGAACTCGGACTACCGAGGGACAACCGGGGAACCTGCTCATCCTCTTCCGCTGCATGCAATCCTGCTCAAATATGGATATCGCGATCTCCGGTGGATGTCAATGTCCCCGCTGATTTTCCTGTCAAATGATACTTTCATTTTTTTCCCACCTTTCCTTTCTCAAGCCGCTTTCCCCCTCTGGTTTTCCCGTTTTCTTTTCACTGGGAAATTTCTCACCCGGTCCCCATATGTGAATTCCCTTCGCTTGCTTCCCCCCATCTTCCACTGTGTGCCATTTCCCATTTTTTCTCTTTCTCCTGCATTATCCCCAGTGACTCGGCGAAGATATCAGTAAACTCACAAGCACCTCGACAAGGTCATGGCTATAGTCAAAAGTCAAAAGTCAAAAGTCAAAACACAATGAAAGCTATGAAGCCGCCCATACCAGCTATATACTGGAAAGAAAGCTCAGCATTCACTTTATTCATCTGTCTCCAAATTTCAACAGAAAACATTTGAACCGAAGCAATGAGAATCTTCACTCTCCTCGTGGCACCAGCTCCTATTTATACTTCCCACGCAGATTTCTCGGATCGGAGCATCGGGGTTAACGGCTCTATGAGACCCTCGTCGTAGACCGCCACCTCAACGTTTTGTTCGTTCAGATTATATTGCTCGGCATCACGCCAGGGGTGCCAAGCTTTGAAATGGCTGGAATTCAAAATTCGCTCTCAGCGGATTGGTTGCGATTAACGCCGCCATGGTGAATGCTCCAGCCGTGTGTCCCTTGATTTGACGACGTGACTACTGGGATTTAGCCCCTGAAGCCTAGGAGGTTCTAGGCTCAGCATTTGGAGACTAAAACCGATCGTCAAGTACTGTGTAGAGCTTAAATATCTATCAGTTCCGGACTTGAATAGTCTAGACCAATTATTCCTTTTAACCCCTGTTCAAGCCAAGCCTCTTTGCATGCAGATAAGTAAATAGATACTAATAAGAACGTTAGAAGGTACTCTTCATGTATATAGTGCTTCCATCCTTAATTCTCAGGTGACAATACTGCATGTGGTACACATTTGCAGGCTTAGACTCAGTGCTGGTAACCACAATGTAATGTTGCCTACGTGCAAGTGGTAGGTAGTCTTCTGTTGTCTAGATACCTCAAGCTTGCACAAAGCCTTGTGTATAAATACCCATGGACTGATCCATGGATAGTAGTATGTGCAGTGCCTCAGATTTCAGTGGTCCAACCAAACATGAGGTGTGGCCACACATACTAGTAGTGTCTATGAATAACAGTCATTTTTAAAGAATTTGAATCAATGGTACACGCAATTGCGACCCCTATTCGGCAATGCCAGCGGTGCGCTAATCTCTTTTAGACTATCCTTGCTATAAAGACACTAGAAAGTATGAAATATAGAAGCATGTGACAATTCAAAGCATCAGCAGAGAGCTTGCATCGGCTGGGTGGTCGGAAAAATCAGCTGGACAGATTACAGCTTGCAAAGGAACGAAATGAAGATTTGCGGGACTTCAATCTCCACAATCTATCATCTTTCATGTCTTATCAATCATTTGGGTGGCTGATTCATACTACTCTTGGCTCAGCTGCCGGGGGCATTCAAAACATCCACTACTAGAAAGTTGAAAAGTTCATTGTCATTCAAATGTTTAATAGATAGTATTAAGTGAGAAAAATCCAGTAACTATCAACTGGAGTCAGATACTCCGAGTTCTCCTGTTAGTCCTTGGGAACTGGTAGTGACCTGACTATAAGATGCTTTTCTGTTGGGAATTTACCTCTCCCTTTCCCACCTTTATTCTAATACCATATACTTGCACCTTGCTCGAATGATAGCCAATCTATTTAATTTGAGTCTAGTACTCCATGTATGTGTTTTTAATTTATACAGATATACATGTCAAAATCGAATGGAGACGGTGTGAATAAATCAAGTATAACCCCCACGACACTTCAGTGAGCCGTAATCTATCGAGTAAAGAAAGATCTGGGCTTTCATTAGGCTCAAACTGACGAGTAGGTAGGGGGATAAGTGAAAACAGCATTCGATCGATCTCAACAGTGGATGAACGCGCAACGCAACTTCTCGCCCAGTCAATTTCTCGTGACAATAAATACTCGACTTCCATCTTTTCAAACTCTTCTTCCTCTTTATTCTTGACTTTTAACGAATTTTCAAGGACACTAAGCACTGCACTTTTGACAACATCTCATTCATTGTTTTGAAAAAAGTTGCTCTATTGCTTTTCTATTCTTGGGTTTTCCCAAGGACACTGAAGCACTGCATCATTGTCAACACCTTCTCGTGTTCTTGAAGGTTGCTGCTCTACTGTCCTTCCTACCTATGCCCACACCTACTTGGGGCAGATCTCATATATCTTCAAGTTCCGATGCCTTCACCATATTTCAGAGATGTCGCAACCTTCAAAACACATTACTGTGGGCATAATGTCTCCACCGCTCAAGAAGCCTGCTGCAATTGCCGCAGACGTAATCGTTTCATTGACGCCGGTACGTGCTTGGCTCTATCATACAGAACCCACATGTCTTCACACTACTAATATCTTCTTTTACCAGTAAAAATCACAAAAGGTAGTACGGGATCTCCTGACTGTTGTCCTGTCCCTAGTTGAAACCGTAAGTACTATCTAATACTGCACATTCCTTGATCAAAATATTTACTCTCACAAAACATAGGAGGATAAAAATGAAAGTGCTGCGAAGACAGAACCCGGATTAAATGCCGAAAAGAAGGCATCCGGCTCAAATAAGGCCCGGCGGTCTCGTCGCGGACGTGCTAGAGGGAATCGAGGACATGGAGGGGGTAACAAGATAAAGCTCCCAGTTAGCAGCGAGGCGCGCCCTCCCGTGGGTAAGTGCTTTGGTTTTCCCTGCATAGAAGAAATTCATGAACAATCACGCTGATAAGGACTGAATAGTTGCAAATCGGCCTTGTGCCAGCGCAAGCGCTGCCGATCCCTCCCCTCACGCCGAGGCCTCAGCTCCACCGGGCGGTAACTAGTCATTCCTCTCACATTCTACCTGAAAATTGTTACTAATACTTCAAAGACAAGGGTGTGAATCGGCGTGCTCCCTTCCCAAGTGCCAACTCATGCGCTGGACGTCCAGAAAACGTCGACTTTACTCCTGCCAGCCCCCTGCTCCCCACAGCCCAACCAGTGGCTGCAAACGAGTCCAGCGAGGGCTGGTTGATAGAGTTCAGCGACTCTGAGTAATGGTGGGCGTCCGGTGGCTGGGTGATTGGGTGTTTAGGTGTCCTCGTCGGGTCACTGACTTCGGAAAAGACTCTGCTTTCAATGGCCTACCGGTTGGTGCTCAAGTCAGGGCTCGAGACATAGCTTGCCGTACGAAAGCTCGCCCTATTTCATCTTTGTCACCAAAGCTTCTTCCGTCAGCAAATACCACTATACCTGTGTGGCTCCGGGGCTTCATATTGGGGCCCTCATTCGACCCAAAAACACAAACCCCGACCGATCACTCGACGCCATCAAAAATGGAAGCCGAACTCGTCACTGTTGAGAACCAGGCAGCACATTTGGCTCTAGAGCTCTATCCTGCGAACAAGCAACTGGAGCACCTCGAGACCCGAAGCGCCACTTCGAAAACTGGTCATACATGCGATTTGGAGAAACTAAGATCGGTGCTCTGATTGGAGTTGCCGAGGTCATCATTATGGTTGGAAAATTGAAGAGCATTAGCATGAAAATAATGGGCTCTCTCTCGACTCACGTACCACACGAGGGCTTGGGATACACTACTTAGGGCCTCCCGGGTCCTCGTGGTCCAAGGGATACAGATATGATCAGTCTAGGAAATACCTGTACCTGTACCTGTACCTGTCTATGTCGCCTGAAAAATACGACGGATTCAGGGCGTACGCCTTCTTTCTTTTGGGCATGAATTTCCGGCTTGGAAGAGCTGGCTTATTCATTTGCTATTCCCGGAGACTGAAGGGCAATATACCAAGGGTAAACTGACACGAAAAATGGCCACCTGTCCACTGCCTTTCGAAATTCGAAATTTGGTCAGATCCCTGCGCACACTATGGCTGCGTGGCGCTCGGAAACCGGGGATATGAGACCACGGAAACTTCATGTCCTGTCTCCCAAGCTGCCTCTCCAGGCGCCTCTCCAGGAGGACCTAGTGCATACAAATTCATGATGAGCTTTTGAACGTTACTCTGCCAATCGACCCTTCGTGCTTCCCCGTGCGGCATGTATGCCATTTTCTCCAGAAACAAACCAATCGCATGCTTTCACTTACCGACACAAATTTGATTTGCGTCTTCACCAAATATATGGGATATTCCCGCGTGGTGCTAAGATGCAGATGATACTATGAGGCTTTTCAGTGCCAAGGGAGAGTGCTATGATCAAAATGTCCTATTGCAAATCAATCATGATGTTCTAAGGTTATGAAAGTCATAATTCCACATTCAATTCTTCGTGTTTCAATTTGACATTTATGGTAGTCTGCAAACCAATGAATCATTCTTGACTTCTTGATTCTTACCTACAGTCATCTTCAAATGCGATGCTGGGAATGGATATTGGGCAGTCGCGCTTGCGAATGCAGATGCTTTCAAGGCGGCATTTATTTCAGTTCTCGGACAGTTCTGTTATTTGAGGATGGGTTCAGGCCTTACTGGTGCCCCAGGAACGTACTGGAAAGGCTACGCAAAGCAGGTCTTCAAGCTGCGATTCACAAATGCGAATTCTCGACCGCAGAGACCAAGTTCCTGGGATATGTTGTTGGAGTTGACGGTGTCAAAGTCGATCCTGGGAAGATCTCTGTGTTGGTGAAGTGGGCAGAACCTGCAACCGTTCGCGGTGTGCAATCATTCTTGGGTTTCTGCAACTTCTACCGACGGTTCATCAAGGATTACAGCAAGCTTGCTCGACCACTGTACCGACTCACTCGAAAAGATTGTCCGTTCGTCTGGAATACTGCTTGTCAAGAAGCTTTTGACTTGCCGAAACGATTTCTGACCCACGTCCCGATCACATATGCACGATTTAATGATCTCTTCTCCGATGATATCCCTGCGCCTTTTTGTGAACCTGGGTTATGTAACGGAAATGTCGGATTCAAATGCTTCATGGATGATGATATTAGGGCATGTGAGTCTATAAACGACTTACTGGTTTTCCTCCATACAGGATATTTCCCTCGGTTGAAGTGGGCCAGGTTGATCCTTAGTCCATCCAAGACATGTTTTGGGTTACTACGAACCTCAATTCTGGGTCATGAGAGGACGTTGTCTGCAATCCGGCTTCGGTCATCTTGGACGGGTTTGGATTGGGGCTTCCAAGCCCCGGAGGTTTAAATCAAGATCAGTTCTTGTAAAGAAACAAGTTGTTGGAGTTGTATCGGAAACAACGGGTCATGACGGACTTCATACAATTAATTCTGGATTCCGAGTTTATAAGTGACAAATTAATCAATTAAGCTTGAGTACCAGCATTGTTCCAGGATGACCTTCAGCTGCACATCGTTCTTGACCACTAATTACGATCTTAATGATACGTTCCTGTTGGCGTGGGCTGCCCGCCTGATAGCTAAGCCATGCCGGAAATTTTGTAATTTGTTAGTCAGATGCTTATCATTTATTCTCTCGTCAGCGACTCGGGCAATCACATCAACTTAAGTGCCCATGTGTACTTTGAAGAGGAATCCAGCTTTAATCATCGCTCTCGAAGACAGTGAGGTAATAGACACCAAGGGACCACATCTAGAGTCTTGTTTGAATGTTACATTGGACTTGTCTATGACATTTCAACAAGTTCAATGTTGCCGAGGTCGGATTTGATCGTACCCCGAACCATGGTTGAATGAGTCAGAATCTATTCTAGAAATAGCTCCGGGGCCAAAAGGTTTTCAAGTCATTGTCAGCATCTCTTTATTCGCTTGGTTTTTTTTAGTATGTAAGAAAGGAAGAAAGGGTTATGGTAATTGGTACAAACAATGTTGGCCCCAACAAAGACCCCAACAAAGCTCATTGGAAGGCGAAGTTCGTAATCTGGGGATAAGTAAGGAGTAGCCCTATCGGATCTCATCGGAGTGGGGCCAATCGCGGGGAGGAAACATTTGTACCAAAAGATAAATCGGCCCCGAATATCCGAGCCGAGGTATAAAAGGATCGGGCCCGCCACGGTCACATTCGAACCATTACAGACTTGCGACTTTTAACTTTTAACCTTTAATCGAGTCATCTTTCCGATTTCCTATTTCTCACTCTCTCACTCAGATTTCTTAACGCATATTAGACCATCACATTAGACCAGCAGCATGACAATTCAAAATCAAACTCCAGCAGTCCGGATCGTGGAAGTAGGACCACGGGACGGCCTACAAAATATTCAGGATCAAGTTCCCACATCCACAAAGCTGGAATTGATCCAACGGCTGCAGGAATGCGAACTGAAGACTATCGAGCTGACATCGGTTGTCTCGCCAAAGGCTGTACCCCAGTTATCAGATTGCCGCAGTATACTGGGCAATGAGAGGGTACAGGAGGAGATGAAAAATCCGAGTCTGCGATTTCCAGTCCTAGTTCCTAATATGAAAGGACTTGAAATTGCCATTCAGCACGGCGTCAAAGAAATCGCCGTGTTCATCAGTGCGACCGAGGGATTCAGTAAAGCGAATATCAACTGCAGCGTCGAAGAAGGCCTTGCGAGAGCGAAGAAAGTCACTTCATTGGCGCTGAAATCTAATATTGCTGTCAGAGGGTAAGTAACACCATTAGATCAATTTCGCAGATTTGAACATAACTAACATGTGGTCACAGGTATGTCTCTTGTATCTTCCAGGACCCCTTCCACGGTCCCACATCGCCATCATCCGTACTTCATTGCGTGAAAACACTCCTCGATGCCGGGTGCTATGAAGTCAGTATTGCCGATACACTCGGCGTGGGCTCACAATCAGATGTCCGCTCTCTTATGACCCATTTAACAAAAAACAACATCCCGCTCAGCAAGCTAGCCGGCCATTTTCATAACACGTATGGACAGGCATCAGCGAATGTTTGGGAAGCTTATAAGGCCGGGATTCGCGTGTTTGACAGCAGCGTGGGCGGCCTGGGTGGTTGTCCCTTTGCGCCGGGTGCAGCGGGCAACGTTGCCAGTGAAGATCTGGTCCGTATGTTTCATAATGCCGGTGTCAACACGGGAGTCAATTTGGCCAAGTTGGAGCAGACTGGGGAGTGGATTTTGCAACAACTCGGTAAATCATACCCGCTGGCGGCAACTTTGGCCAAGAAGGGCGGGGAAGTGAAGAACGGTACTTCCAAATCGGGCTATCCACGAACTATCGGCTCCAAGACCGATCGAACCGAGCTTTCTGGTTCTAGTCTGAGTTTCAAGGTCACTTTTAATAGCTCGGAGAGCTTCTGAGGTCGGGTTCACAAGTATTGCTAATGAATATGGCGAGGAATTGCGGCACGAGAAGGTGGTACCTAGTATAAAAAGAGGATCATACCAGGAGGCATTCTTGGGGAATTGTTAGTACTAGTAGACTTAATGGCGAACTGTATTTTTGAGCGAGATTTGTTCTAGATTTTATACAATCAATCACATCTTTGAACTTGAATGTCAAACTTCTAAGGAGCAATGTTCGTACTGGGGGAAGCTGGTAGACGAAAATCCAGATAATCATATTTCATTGAATTTCGATTCCAGGTCATGTACTGTCTGAACACCCATTACATGACCATTAATAACAACTAGCTAACGTCATGAACCGGGTACAGGTCTCAAGATAAAAGATACAAGGTCTTTGATCAGCAAAAGCTGACCGATAAGTGCAAAAGGAATTAGTGGATCACAGGAAGACAAGGCTGGCTCCAAAAAGAGTGGACAGAACGGTCGCCAAACCAATGGCAATGGGTGCCATAGTGAGTTGAGGGACTTGAAGACCCACAGCAGCTCCCTTGGAGCTAGTGCTGCTTGAGGTGCTGGCAGTTGCAGTGCCAGACCCTGGAGTGGCGGTAGCTGTAGATTCAGTACCAGAATCCATGCTACCCTTGCCGCTGAAACCTGTACCTTTGCCAGCACCGTCGGTCAAGTACTTCTTGGCGGGTTCAGGCATAGCGGGCAGGACGTCATCGGTGCTGACAGACCAGTATACATCCTTTTCGGGGCAAGGATTGCCACCGCCAGTGCTATTGTAGCCTCCGTTGCCAGTTGGGTTTTTGGTCTTGGAAAAGGCGTCCTTGAGGGTAGTATAATCGGGAAGCTCAGTAACATTGCCTGCGCCAATCTCCACCAAGCCGTAACCGTTATCCTCCTGGGAATATTCGTAGACCAAGCCACCGGAATAGACACTAGTCATGTCTGTTGAGTAGAGGGAGGTAACCTCTTCCCATTTACGAGTGTTCGTCTTGCAGCCGTACTCGGACAGGAAGAGTGGGATGCCGTAGCCAGTGAAGTTTTTGACCTTTTGGTCCCAGGCAGATTGAACGAAGGAAGATGGGTCACACCACGAGTAGTCGTTGAAGGCGAAGAAGTCGCTCCGCACATCATCGGGGCCGCAGTTCATGTATTCGGCCAATTCCAGTCGATTCTCAGCGATATCCGCCTAAAGTTTTATTAGTATAAATCATCAGAACGGTGGGAAAATACTGACGGCGGAATATCCGACGGGGACTTGGCGGAGTTTACGAGCACGGAGGTATGCGCGAATGTCACGAGTGACAGCCTTCACATACGGAGCAGCGATCGCAGTAGTGTTTGTATCATTGATAACTTCGTTTCCAGAGAAGAAGGCCAGAGTGTTGTCATATTTGGCGAACATCTCGACAGTGGCGAAGATGTACTGGAGGTACACATCGTTGTATGATTTGTGGGGGCTGGCACGGTTGATCGCGTATTTGGGAGTGTTGACATCAAGTACCAGGTAGATACCAGCATCTGCCAATGCCTTCATACACTCATCGTGGTCCATCGAGTTATCAACAGAATAGACACGAACGGTGTTGAGGCCAAGATCCTTGAACTTTTGGATGTCACGCTTGCAAACCTCGGGATCGGCGATCGGGTCTGTCAGGTTGGAGGAACCGCCGGGCTGATAGTCAACACCCCGGATGTAGAATCGGTCATTGCCCTGGAAGAAAGCATTGCCTTTGATGGTGATGGGGGTAATGGTGTCGCGTTGCACACTGGTTGATGGGGTACCCCAAACAGGGGAAACACCCACCATGAGAGTTGCAGCGACGGAGACGAGGCCAGCCTTCATGATGGCAGGTTGACCTTTGACTTTTGAGTGTGGTTTCGGTGAGTCAGTGGAGTGGAAAATTGGGAATGAATTGGACGTGGTTGAGTAAACAAGCGAATGTGGGACGCGTGAAATTGAAGATAACGAATGTATGAAAAGACGCGTGGGGAAGGAAACAAAAGAAAGGAAAGAGCGAAGGACTGTTGCTCAAGAACGTAGGGATGAGGAAAGGGTGACGGAAATCATGGGGCTTTTTTGTATCTTATACTTTCCACAACAATAGAACACTTTTAATCCCCCTTCAGCCTTAATTGAGAACTGATCAACCCTAACAGCCACAGCCCACAGCAAGGATACTTAAACGCTGCATCTAACATCTCATGGTAATTGGTACCATGCTACTCGTTTCATGTCAATTTTCCTTCATACATCCTCCAATTCCCCAAACATGCAAGGGGCTTCCGCAAGACAGGGACATCTTGGCGACCCTAGCCTAGACATTCAAGCCTACTAGGTCACCACTTTGTGAGGACTTTCTGGCGTTCATTTTATGGTTTCGAGGTTACTTTTCAATATGAGACTTGTCTTGGAAAATACTCGTATGTACATGAAGGTACTTGGCATTTGTGGCCGTGGATAGATAAGCGATAGGTAAATATTATACATACTACTTGTAGTAATACAGGAATACTATAGATCCATCAACATGAAGAACAAGCGCCTCTCTTTCCAAGGCCTCTTCCGAGGAGGGATTTTTTTTTTCACATCGTACGAAGTAGTCTTGTTTGTTAAAATGTTTTGAGTGGAGACTCCGTTGGACCCTGCACATATGGACGCATATTATTGTCTTGGCGTGATGCAAGCCTGGCGGCGAGATGTATCGTCGATCTTCATAAACGGTACTGATCGGTCACCTACCAATAACTTGAAACCGAGTGCAAAGCTTGCAATGGAAGCGGAACAGTCAACTGATATCTACTACTGGTAAGGTACTATAATTTATCCATGGATAATAGGTAGAATCGAAGTGACCTCGTGGGTGCCCCGGGGCCCCTGTGCGATTCTGGCAATTCTTATGCGACGTTGCAGCCATGTCCCAGCCAAGAATTAAGGTACCCTCTAGACTGGATTCCACGAATACATAGCCACAGCCAAGTACTTCTGAGGACCCTTTGCTGCAAACACCAATGAACTGAATGATACTGTGGAGCAAAAATCTCGGCAGCTCTTGGCTGTGGAACAAGGATGATCTATTCTTAGTATCGTCATGTCACTCATGCTGCATCTACCCGATAGAAATATCAAGGCAGAAACATTTAACTCGAAAACAATCAGAAGTTTAATCTAACATGGAACAGGGCTTATTGTTTTCTCTTTGCGATATCCAAATAGGGCCTTGACATCCCTCCCCACCCCTCCCAAAATATCCCCCAAGGCGCCGGCACTTTCGACCTAAAGAATGCATGTGATGAGCACCGAGCCATAGCCTTCAACAATGTGGGCTGTTGAACCATTGTGGACTTACTACAGGATAAACAACACAGATTATAACACTGACCCAAATCCAGATGACCGAGACGACGACCCAGCCGGTGAAAAATGACTTGCTATAAATATAGCTTGTGCCAAAAAGTGTAAAGGGAACCAGAACAACGGCGCCAAAAAAGAAAATCGCATTAGCAACCCAGGCAATCTTTTCGCCTTTGCGCGCAAGAATAGGATCCATGGGCTCAATGTTGTTCGAGCTGAGGTAATCAACGAGTTCATTCCTTGTCGGCGCCACAGCATCACTTGCACTCGGAGAAACGGCAATGTCGCTCTTTTCTTCTTCATGTGCGTCTTGAGCAGGAGATGAATATTGCTGTTGATTAGCAGGCTCTGCTGGAATGCCAGTAATAGCAGCCACAGTCACGTTTTGAGGCACTTGCTTCTTAGGGAACACAAAAGTCAAGACAACAGCCATTACGAATCCCATTCCAAACGACGCAAGATTTCCAGCCACGGCATTGGTGGTGTCTCCTGTTGTTGCAACATTAATAGCACCACTGCGCTTCCAAGCGGTCACAAACCAACAGATGATCCCACAGAGAAAGGCGATCCATGGGGCAGCGATGGCCGCTACTGTGGACATGGGCTCCCATAAAAGGATCATGCCTACAGGAAGAGCAGCACCACCGACGATGACTCCTAATACTGTCAGAACCCATGTCAGACTGATCCCGACGGCATTGAGAATGCAGCAAAAGGCAGCGAGAATAATTGCATAGAATGCGATCGCCCAGTGGCTGACCCTGACTAGTTCTTCGGAACTCGTATTGGGTCGGTAGTAAGTTTTGTAAACATCAAACGTCAACAGCGACGAAACCGCAATGAGTTCTGCAGAAGTAGAGCTGGTCACTGCCATGAAAAGCAAAATGAGCATCAGCACAGCACCACCCTTGCCGAGAAGTGCAATCGCCGTTGCAGGGGCAGAGAGCCCTGCCTCGACTTGGGTTGCGGATAGCGGGTTGGGGTAAGTGGGGAAACGTGGGTCGCCTGTCAGGGCTGCACATCCCAAGCCCATGACCGTCGCAAAACCAAACGGAATCCCTATCCTTTGTCAGATCAAGATTGATAATTCTTCAAGTCAAGCACCACTCACCATACCATGCAATACCACCTAAGATATATGCCTTGACCGATGTCTCCGGTTTCGACGCAATGGCACGTTGCCAGTAGGCTTGATCAAGCCACACCGTCGTGAACCCAGCGACAAAAAGATCGCAAGCAAAGACGAGACCCCCCACCGATCGAAATGCCAGATAAGAGCCATCCGTGTTCCGCGCGATCGGCATAGTCTTCGACGCTTCTTGCAGAAGGTCGTACAACTTTCCCGGACTACCAACCAGATCACTTGTAGCATTGAGCGAGAACCCGAAAACCAAAATCGCCACAAACAAAATCACAGTATGTGTATAATCAGCAATGAAGGTAGAGCGCAATCCACCCGCGATGACATACGCAGCCACCACGGCCGGGATTAAAAATATCGCTGCATAGACACTCATCCCGGTCAGAGCTCCCACTACTTGCGCACCCCCAAGAACTAAACAAGCACCGACAAGCATATTGGTCGCAAGCCCATAATACAGGTAGGTCAGATGCGCAATCGTCCCATGGCGGGCGAGTACAATCTCCGGCATTGTGTGCGCGCCAGGAGCATTAAGCTTGATCTTGATCGCAATCAGACCGAACAGGAGAATTTGCAATGTCCCCGTCGCGGCATACCACATCGGCCCACAGACACCATACTCGTATGCGAACGTTGAACTTGTCAGTAACGTTGCAGACCATGTCCACGAGGACACGAGGCCAGCACTGATAAGTCCTGGCTTGACGGATCGCGATGCCGTATTGAATTCTTCAGCTTGGTTTGTTGAGAACCGGGTATACCGATTCTGCATCCAGGTTAAGCTGAGCATGAAGAGGGCAAAGATGCCTCCGATTCCGATAACGATGCCATAGCCTGCGCTAGGTGGTAGGACTTGAAGATTTTTTCCCATGGTCTGCAGTGTGAATGGTAGTTGGCACTGCGTATATCGGCACAGATTTTATTTTGCGCAACATGTCTCAAGGCCAGGCACATATAAGTATGCGTATTTTCCCAATGACTATCGCGCCGAGTAGTCCATGTTGATAAGAAAGCGACAGAATAGCCTGTTTCGGGTACGATTTTCCTTCAGATCAACCTACCCCAATAAGAGTGTTGGGGTAACGCGATAAGAAGGCATGTTATCTCGAATGATGTTGGGGTCAGTGAATGTGGATAAGATTGAACATTTGTATAGATAGGCTAATCCTTCTCACGCCTTGGATCTTTGTACGCGATTGACTGTATGGTGGAGCAGTTGGAATATAGCCTTCTGCTGACATCAGGGATCAGCAGCTTCGTGCTGGCTTGGGTACGGTCAATATGTGTGTTAACCCTGCCCAGCCTGATACTAGTAGATATGGTGCCTCGGGTCAACGCACTACATTGTCCTTCTTCACCAAGTTCCATAGTAGGAAAGAAAGAAATAATTCCACATGGGCAATACAAGACAGGCCGTGGGCTACAATGTCATTAACTATGACTATGACTACTACTACTGTCTATTCTTCTATATCAAGCAGCGGAATAATCTTACTGCTGGTGACGAACTAGATCAGCCAAACAAGTGTTTCAAAAATCAGTCGTTAGATGAGTGAGGCTTGTTGTTTTTCCAACGTTAATCCTACCCGCCGTCTACTCGTAGTACCTTGAACGTTCAATGCCACATCCACATGAGCTTGCGGACCTGACGCCCTTCCAATTCAGTTGCCAATCGTCTATTTCTCTCCCTCTCCTCTCTCTTCCTCTTCCTCTTCTCTCTTCCCCTCTTCACGTCCCTCCCTTTCTCTGTCCTCGACCTCGTCCCCGACCTCGTCCCCGTCCCCCCTCCGCCCCCACCTCCTCACCCTCTTTCGACATCATCAAAGCAAGCGCTGACCACAGCTTGCCTCAATTCTGTCGACCTCGACACCCTCCCACAGCAGATTGTGTCACCTGGTTTTCTACACGCGCACTGACTGGGTCTACGACGATGCCCCCATACGGTGTCCCCGCCTCACACATCGTTTGAAGGCTCCAAGACTGTTATCCAGCACCACCTCGAACCTCTTTTTTCTCTCCTCTTACAGGTGTCGAGGACAGCCTGCATCTAGAAATCACCATGTACCCACCTACCCACATCATCGATCCTGACGGGGAAGTGATGATACTATTGCGCGACGCAAACAGTGAATTTGCTCAGCCGTACGATATGACTGTTTTTGACTCGTCATCTGAAGACGAACGGAGGATTTCTGGCATCAAAGAGTCTCCCTTTGAAAAGCTTCCCGACGAAACTCCCGAATTCCGTATCCAAGTATCGGCCAAACATTTGATGTTTGCCTCCCCTGTCTTCAAAAAGTTACTGACTGGTCACTTCAAAGAGAGCGTGACCTATTGGCAAGAAGGCTCTGTTGAAATCACTGCAGAATCCTGGGACCTTGAGGCCTTTATGATCGTTCTCCGAGCTATTCATGGTCTTCACGCTGAGATACCTCAAGAGCTGAGCCTTGAGATGGTCGCCAAAGTCGCTGTGATCGCAGACTATTATGACTGCAAGGCAGTTCTCTATCTCATGACGGATATGTGGCTCAATAGTATGGAAAAGATCAACTACGAGGAAGTCAAACTCTCGATGGCTGTTGTCCGGGATTTGATTATCTGGCTGTGGATTTCTTGGACGTTTCAACTGTCATCGAAATTCAAAGAAACAACGTCGATTGCCATGTCGCGTAGCTTTGGCTTGATCGACAGTTTGGGACTTCCGATCCCCCACGCCGTGATAGGTAAATACGCATTACTTCATTCAGGTGTTTGGACGCTAATGAAGTTACAGAATCAATGAACAAAATCCGACAGGGCGCCATTAACGAACTGCTCATTCTTTTCCATGAAACACGCGATGAATTTTTACACGGTATTCGCGGCTGCTGTTTTTGTTGTCGCACAATGCTGTATGGGGCTCTAACTTTTGGGATGCGTTCAGCTTCTTTGACTTTGCCAAAGCCCGAGACGCCCTTTACAGAGTTGAGCTACTATGATCTGGTGCGCAGGATCGAGCAATTCCATATACCATCGTTTGACCACGGAGGAGGTTCCTCTGACGATGAAGAAACTTCCTCTTCTGAGCACGGAGAGATTTCCCCTGAGCCGGAGCAGGAGATACCACTAACCCCCAACTACTTTGGAGGTGCTTGTCCTTTCCATGAGGAAGATTGCGTTGGCGACCTGAAAAAACTCATGACCGGGCGTAGCGGTTACCTTGAGGGCTTGGCACGCGAGGACTTCCCCATTTCGTAATCGCAGGCATTTCATGCGATTACTATGTGTATCGTGGCGTTCTGGATATTGTTGTTGAATTGAAAAGTGAAATTAAGAGCTTATGGTGCATTGTGGAATGAGAAAATTCTACCCAAAATCACTTCCACCCCACGTTCCTACCAACTTGTGACAGGAACATCGGCCTATGAGCGAGGACCACCAATTTCAATGAATTCTTTGATTGATGCAGATACTCCAGAGGCCTGGTAGGTAGTTAAAGGGTGGACTAAAACCGAGACGATGTGGGTACTATGTACTAGATAGAGAGACTGAATGCGATTAATGTGGAATCTTTAAAGATTGAAGGCATATGTAAGGAGAAAAACTAGTTGACGATCTGTGTTTATGCCACTCAAAAAATCTACATCATACAATACCTCGTCCGAGGTCCTTCTGGCCCGCATATTCGCATCAGAGATTATAAGTGGACAAATACTACTAGTAGTAAAGTACTGCCTCTTCGACATCATAGAGCAAGGTATTTGAGTTGAGATCTGGATGGAAATGGTGGTACTCCTAATCAACAAAAAAAGATATGAAAGCTGCACACATGTGCATGTGAGGTTCTCAGTTTACATCCAGTCATCCCGAGGTCATTTACAGCCCTGTAGGGCATTAACATTGTCAAGGTAGATTATTCGGAGTGCCGCTTGCCAAGTTTATTCGTTCCATGCACCCAATCCAACAATCCAACCGATCCATAATTCAGATTGAATTTCTCATGGTGCAAATCATGCATCTTCGCCTTGTTGTGAAAAAAGTCATATCCACTATGCACAGTTGCAGTATTAAACAACTCCCACGCAAGAAAAGCCCAGAATGTCAACACATGGCTCCGCAAAAGCTGCGGGGGTAAAGATATAGGTAACGCATTGGCAAAAATATGCTCAATAGGATGGGCGAACTGAGCGGCGAGGGCAATCGGCGCCGTAAACTTATGATGCTTCTTATGGATTTGACGATATAAATATGGGACATGCAGCAACCGGTGGCTGTAGTAGAACATGGTCTCGCGGAGGAGTAGGCTGATGAGAAAATCGCGTGCAAATTCAACGGCGCCGGGTAAGGGCGTTTCGACCCGGTACGAGGACCGTGAGCGCGCTTTGGTCGATATGAAAAGGAGAGTGAGGTGCAGGACCGACGAAAGGATCTGATTTTGCGTCACGACCAGGAAGCAGCGCACGATATCCTTTCGCGTGGGTTGCTTGGGGGCGGGTTGGATCTTGTGTTTTTGCGAGAAAGATGGCGCGATAACATCCAGACACAGGTAGAAGATTGACGGTAGCCAGAATGCCAGAATTTGGACTAAGAGTGTTCCCAGAAACTCTATCCTCTGGGGTGAGTGGGATTCCACGATATCCGACCAGAACTTCGTGGCCTGGTTGTTGTGCTTCTGTAAGCTCTCCATGGCCCCAGGATTGTTTTCTGAAAGACAGGTCACTGTAGAGGGGAAAACTGGAATGAATTGAGATTAGGTTCCGGGTCTCTCTTATTAATTAGAGCAGACCTCGGTTCCCCCAGTGCCCCAGGAATCCTTTCCCGCGCGCCCCGCAATCGATCGACCGGTGTCATTAGTGGATCTCGGCTAGATCACGATGCCATGTGAAGTCCTCAGTTGTCACATCCATTTTGCCCATGCATTCAAAGTGTAGTATCTAATCACTGTCTGTAGCCGTTAAAGTGATGCAATGCTTACTTGGGTACATATCATTCAATGTTGTTTATGACGCCCTATTGCTCAGCATAAGCCAATCCCACGATGTATATTTGTACGTAGTATCTCAGCAGCGACAAAATCCCGATAGCCAAGATATGGCAATGTTCTCTTTCTCGTATCGGAATGGAAAGATGCGTATGAGGTCATCCGGTCAATCGAGTAATGGTAGAAAGCTCCGATATGCCTTGTAATACCCTCTAGTTCACTCCCAGTCAAGAAGAGCCGTGGCTTAGCAATATTCATCAGTCAGGATGTTGCGAGTACCAAAGTCAGAATGCGTGACGACAATTTCATGATCCTTTGTAAGTGTCTTTCTCGGCAAAATCTCCATAAATCCGAGATAGTCAGGCCAGGGCCCGGATCTTCGAAAATCCAATTGTGGAACATCTTCTCAGACTCCGATGGCCCGCATGAAGCTTTTGTGCGATGTTAATTTCTTCCGGACTTTGTCCAGTCACTTTCCAGGAATGTAGTCTATTGCAAAGGCTGTGATCTTACGTTAATTCAAACAAGTTGGCGAGCAAAGAGGGAGCGAGGAACCCCGCATTCGTCATTTGTCTCCATTGCTTCAATCGTTGTCATTTAAGCATCCCCAAAATTGGTTTTGAAGGCTTCTCGATTGACTTGCATGAGATTGATAAACATACTGGGAATGTCTAAAAGAGCAGGAGAGGGTATTTACATCGGGAATGCGCCGAAAGCGGTGTGACATCTACATAGCGGACAGCGGGCTAAAGACCGTCTGGCTATACGGGTCCTGTAACCTGCTAAGTAGGTCAACGGCCATCTTCAAATTTTTTCCGGCTAGTGAGTTGTCGATTAACATATGGATGAATGTTTAGATGCTAACTAATTCCAAGGCTACGGTGTCAGGTTCATTGGCCCCGCGCGGGTAAGGTCTTAAAGATTATCGAAAAAGGATTCCGGTGGCATGACGTTAAGGGATAGGTCGGATTGATGTGGTTCTCTGGTGCTTTGTTTACAACCAACACACTCTCTAGCAGTCGATTCCCCGAATGTTCGAAGCCGATTCAATGACTCTGTGGCGCAGTGCGAAATGGCCAAAAGCTTTCAGAACGAGTCATCACTATTTGAAACGGCCCCCCACTTTGACAACACTGAGACATCTTTGACTCTCCATCTCATTCTCTCGGAAGTCAGGAGAAGGAAAACAAAGCCCGAAAAGTATTTCTGGCAGTGGAGCCACTATTCCACGCGGAAGTGGCGGAGGCTATGCTCTAAGTGGTCGCTCCAAAAAAAAAAAAAAAACAATCCGCCCCACCCAAGACTTCTTTCCCGCAGAGTCTAGCCATTCTCGCCGAGCTTCCAGAGCCGGGATTTGATAACCCCCCGACACGGCAGTGCCTGAGCCGAAACCTGAGCGACTGGGCTCTCTCTAGTCTTACGTCTCACAACAATGCCACTATTGTGTCTCGTCTGACACTAACGGCCTCCAGGTGATGTTGGACCATTGGTCGGCCCGACCGAAGGGTGTGCTGGTAGTCCACTCGGAGGCAGACACTTTCAGCCGCGACACGACGCTACATGATCTGTTCGCTTATTCGCAGGATTTTGGCGTTCGTGCTGCATTGTGGATGATCGGCCGGGTGTGGGTGCAGTGGCAAGATGCCGATGTGTATATACGGATAGTCGGCGGGATGCGCTTAATACTAACAAATATTATTACGAACCCGTGGGCGATGCTTGAGACATTGGAATTTGGTTATAGAGTTAGTTATACTCGATCGAGGCCGATCGAGCGAATTTCATGAGGTCATGAGTCCCGATGGTGAACCAGTCCTGCTTACTCCGTACTCCGTACAACAGGTTGTTTTTTCTTCGTGTAGGGGAAAACAGAGTTTGGTCAATGTCATGATTTGTCGGGTGTTCGTTGTCCAATCGTCCACCTGTCGTATTGCATGAAACTGATTCGGTCTCCGCCCCTAATGCACGCTGCACAGTAGTGCATATTGCAAAGTACTGAGGGGAAGATGAAAGTCGATCAATGATCGACTTTCATCTTCCACGGGCATTCAGTCGTTTAATGAATAAATGGATAACCTTGCAATATGCTGAATGTGTTCAATACCGGCGCGCTACTCATATTTGTTTATTCATTTCCGTTTTTATTATCGATTTATACAGAAATAGTTCATTCGGGTCCATACTAGTATAGACTAAGATGTAATGTACGGTATGTACCCCAACACGACTTGCCGAATGCGGCATTACGGTAACTATTTTCAAACCCGCAACCAATCAGCGTTGACCGCTGCAGGCTGCCTTGTTCATGTATGTGAGGAACCTTGGGTCGCACCTTACTTGTGTCTCTTGTCTTGTGTCTCTGCCCTTATATTTACCATATGATCACGATTAGCAAGAAATACTCTAGTCAAAGTTTTGTTTTTTTCCAAAAAAAAACCACACTGATCGGATGATCGGATAGCAAAAAAAATCCTCGAGATTAAAATAGGACTCGACTCAATTGGTACTAGAAAAAAAAGATCCAAGCTTCTCAAACTATTTGTTTCGGGGATCGCGTCGGCCACTAGTGCGGTTAAAGTGGACAAAATTTACAAAACTGGGAAAGTAGCGTCCTTCCCATTGCGTCGCCTCTAACTTTTCCTGGTAGCGATAGCTGGTTTTTTTGAACTTGTTATCTGCTGCTTCAACTTTTACTTCCTTGACCAATTTGTTTTCCTTTTCCTTTTTCTTTCTTCTTTTCCCCCTTCCAATCTTCCCCATCACTCCGTCATCCCGTCACCGGAATCTACAATCCCAACATTCTTCGAGCTTATCGCCTATCGCTCTTCACTCATCATGCCTCGTTTCAACTTCCTCCAGCTGCTCGTGGCAGTGTTGATGCTACTCTCCGTGGCCATTGCCACTGAGCAGCGCACCGAGGACAACATTGTCCACCGTGAGTCTCTCCAGGAAATTCTCGCCGGGACCAATGCGAACAGCATTCACCGTGCTCTCCATCTCTTGTCCGACAAGTTCAAAGACGGCATTTTCCCAACTGACATGAGTGCCGCCGAGGCCCTGCAAGGTGAAGATCAAAACATTGCCAGTATCTTCAAGGTCATGAAGCGGGAGAGCAATGCGACCGCCAGTGCATCTGCCAACCCTGCCACCTCCACTGATGCCGCCACTACCACCGATTCAAGCTCCACTGATGCCACCACCGATGCTACCACCTCCTCCACTGCCTCTACCACCTCCCCAACTGAGTCGACCGATAGCACCAGCTCTACCACTAGCACCAGCACCAGCGTAACCCCCACTTCCACTGATGCTACCACCTCCACCACGGCGAGCACCCCGGCCTCGACCAGCTCGACTTCCACTTCGACTTCCACCTCTGCTGATACCACCAGCACCACGTCTGCGGCTCCCACTACCACTACCCAGACTACCTCCACTTCCACCTCAAGCTCTTCGTCGTCGTCTAGCTCGTCCTCCACCTCATCATCCAGCTCCTCGTCGAGCTCGACCACGCACACCACTCTCACGACCTCTGCTAGCCTGAGCACTTCCACCTTCAAGAGCACCACCACTCTGCCTAATGGCAGCCTGAGCACTATCACTGATGTGACAGTGGTGCACGTCACCCCCACCGCGTCGAGTGCGACCACTACCACTTCGGCCCACCCTGGCCTCCAGACCGGTGGTGCTGCCATGGCTACTGGCCTTGGCCGTGAGGTCGTCGCCATGGTCGGTGGTGCTGTCCTTGTCGCCATGGCTCTGTAAGAGTCTTTCTGAGTTTTCGGTTTCGACCGCGCCCCCCGAGTCGCCTTTTTCAATTGCATTTATTATTCAGCCAGCGTCAATCACTCTGCATACATACCAACTTGACATGATATTGTCATATTACGATCCCTACGAATCCACAGACGTCCTTCATTCATCATTCCCTCGGCGTTCAACTTCTTCGCGTCACCTTAATTCCTAATTCCGGTGTCGCCTGGTTCGGTTTGTTTTGTTTTCACCAACGGATTAGAACGGTGACATTTTCAGCGTGCACACATAGTTTCCATGTTATCTATTACATACTGCACACATTATGTGCTAGGATCTTCTAAGAAGACAAAAATGAAATCTCTAGCTTCTTTGCTCAAGAATTCAAATTTCCCACCGTTTGTAAAGTCCGTATTGAATATCAGTATAGTAAATGGCGTGCTCAATCTCAGATTTCTCATAACAACCAACGATGATACAATACAAGCCAAGGGTGGGAAATGAGGGGGAGAATCGTATGTTTTGGTGTAATAGAAAGGAAAGCAATTGTAAAATCCATTCGTTCTAGTTACTACTAGTAGTTACTAGTTACTAGTAGTTAGTAGTAGTTAGTTATCGAATCTTCCTTCAGATCTATAAGATGACTAAACCCCTCCCGCGGGGAGATCGTCGCGTTGAGCTCCAACCCCACGTCACCGCAAAATCGAAACCAAAGCGACCTCTTTTTACAGTGATTCGATCTTCAATGGAACACCATTGAACATAAATCAAAAACACTTAAAATATACCAATTTTTCCGTGCCTGCGTGCCTGCGTGCCACCATGGCTCCGAGTCCAATCTCCATCCCCCTCTTCGCCGAAACCCAGCTCCAGCTCTTACTCCACGAGCACGAAGCCGAAGTCTCCTCCTCCTCACTCGCCACAACCGCCGCCTCAGTCTCACCAGCAACAAGACGAACTTTACAAGCAACCGGAAACGCTTTAACGGGTCTCATTCTATCACAATGCCGGACAGGTCTTGGAGGTCGTGCCGTCGGTGAATTCGCTCCCGATCCAGCTATCGCGTCCTCCGAGTCTACAGACGGCCAGCCTCAGCTTGGCTCCCATGGGATCCGAGTCGGTGATGTTGTGCGCGTGAATGATGTCGCTGCCGGAGCGAAGAAAGTAGGCAAGGACAAGCCGAAAGAGGGGGCGGATGCAAAGGGTCCGGAGGGCGTTGTTACGCGCGTTAGTGACAAGGCTATTTCGATTGCGTTTGGGCAACAAGGCGGTGGTGCTCGTTCGAAAGAGGATGACGAGGCGATTGAGGAGCTGTGGGGTAAAAAATTATGGGTGTATGTCTCTTTCTCTGGTGGTTTGCGTTCGGGATATCGCTAATGGTTTGTAGAATCAAGCTTGCCAACGATGTTACATATAGACGGTAAGAAAGCTATAATCATGGTGTGAGGATATGCTAACATCATTCAGAATGAGGCAGACTATGGAGAAAATGGCTAAAATGACTGAAGGAGATCATTCACATTTCATGCGTGTGGCTTTTGGTCATACCACTCCCCTACAACTAGATGAGCTTACAGAACCTATCGAATACCTTGATCCGACCCTCAATGACTCGCAAAAGGATGCTATTGAGTTCGCCTTGAGATGCAAGGATATCGCGCTTATTCATGGCCCACCTGGTACAGGCAAGACACATACTTTGATCGAGCTGATCATGCAGTTCGTGCAACGCAAGAAACGCATCTTGGTCTGTGGCCCGTCAAATATATCTGTTGATAATATTGTGGAGCGACTGGCACCGAAAAAGGTCCCAGTGGTCCGTATCGGACATCCTGCACGTCTTCTTCCCTCAGTCCTGGAGCATTCGCTTGAGGTTTTGACACAGACATCCGATGCAGCCGGGATCGTGAAAGATGTGCGCAAGGAAATGGACGAGAAACAAGCGAGCATTCGCAAGACCAAGAGCGGACGCGAAAGGAGGGGGATCTATGACGACCTCAAACATCTTCGGAAGGAGTTCAGAGAACGCGAATCCAAGTGTGTTGATAATCTGGTTCGCGAGAGTAGTGTTGTGCTAGCAACCCTCCATGGCGCCGGTGGGCACCAGCTGAAAAACCAGAAATTCGACGTTGTCATTATCGATGAGGCCAGTCAGGCACTGGAGGCCCAATGTTGGATCTCACTCCTGTCAGCTGAGAAGGTTGTTCTGGCGGGTGATCATTTACAATTGCCCCCAACTGTGAAATCAACGAATCAAAAATCCAAGGACACGCCCAAGAAAGAAAAAGATGCGCCGGAGAAGGAAATTCTCAAGGGCTTTTCATTAGAGCGCACCTTGTTCGACCGTTTGTTGGCATTACACGGGCCCGATATCAAGCGCATGTTAACTACGCAGTACCGCATGCATGAGAAGATTATGCGATTCCCGTCGGACGAGTTATATGAATCCAAGTTGATCGCTGCTGATTCCGTCAAAGGCCGTCTGTTAGTTGATTTACCGTATGAGGTACGCGGGACGGACGATACGCAGGAACCCCTTGTTTTCTGGGATACGCAAGGAGGTGATTTCCCGGAGAAGACGGAGGATGCGGAGATCAGCAAGAAGGATACACTTCTTGGAGAAAGCAAAAGCAACGAGATGGAGGCCTTGGTGGTTGCCAAGCATGTTGATAACCTTGTGGCTGCAGGACTGAGACCTGAAGATATTGCAGTGATTACGCCCTATAACGGTCAGCGGGCCCTCCTGTCTCACATGTTGCGTGAGAAATACCCCGAGCTGGAATTGGGCAGTGTGGATGGATTCCAAGGCCGTGAGAAAGAAGCCGTTGTGGTCAGTCTTGTGCGCAGTAACGAGGAACATGAAGTTGGATTCTTGGGTGAGAAACGGCGTCTCAATGGTAAATCTCTCTTTGCCCCCACCCCTTGATGGCTTCACTCTTTGAGTTTGATTTGCACAATCTAACTCTTTCCCCCCCGCCCTCCAGTTGCTATGACTCGACCTAAACGACATCTGTGTATCTGCGGAGACTCGGACACTATCAGCCGGTAAGTTATTACGATTCAAGTCCAAGCTTTGTCTTCAAAATTCAGTGTTAATGGCGTCAGCAGAGGAAGTAGCTTTTTGAAACACTGGATGGATTATCTGGAGGAGAATGCTGAGCTACGCTACCCCGATGCCGGGGATTTACTCTGAAGCAATCCCTTGTGGGGGTAAAATGCGGGACTCCTTAGACACGGGAACCCATGGCACGATACGAGCTTCACCGGTAAAGAGATGTCGATCCTCGATGCACGATCCTCGTGAAATGATGAGATGCAGCAACGCAAGGCCTTTTGCAAGCCTCGGCCCTCACAGTATTACAGTTACTCCGTACTCCGTCTAGCATTCCAGTCATCCGTAGGGCAGCAAGTGGTGTACAAGTCGCCAAGCCGTGTGTGTGGCAGAGACTCCAAAATGCCAGCCGAGACACGCATAGGTAACTTAAACGGGCAAAAGCCGTGTTTCAAGACACGCTCTCCCCCACTCCACGCACTGTTGGTCCGTTACCTTGTAGATCATTATGGTTGCCGGAAATACGTTACTGGAAGGAGCACAAGCGTGGGCTAAAAGGCTAACTAAGAGAGTAAGTCAAAGGCCATTGGTTCCCTGCACTGTGCAACAAACAGAAGGATCCGGCACTAATTCCCATGTGTTGTTTCAGACCAAGTCATTGACATTCTGGATTCGCCTGGAAGCCCTGTTGGAATTCCTTTTTTTTTCCTCTTTTTTTGTCCCTTTCTTGCCCAAGATCCACTTCTCGGCTCGTGGATCCCTGTGCATGAGTCGCATTCCATGTTTGAGGAAGCTAAATCCAAAAGACTACTAGTAAATTCACTTTTTTCTTTCTCTCTCTTTAGTCCGTTTGAGAATTGTACATTAATCGAACTTAGGTACTTAACTTATCAAAAAAAAAAGCCGAACTCCTTTGACGGTTGTGGCTTTATTGTGGGGGCAGAAGCTACCTTTCTCTAATCTTTCACTTAGTAAAGCTTGTCCCCTATTCCCTCACTTTTCTCCTCTTTCAACCTCTCAGTGTCCACCTTGTCTGTCGTTTGTCTATGCTTCGTTTTTTGCATTTCTTTTTTTCCTTTCTTTTTTGATTTCAAATCCCTCGATCCTCTTCACGCTGTGAAACCTTTCACTCCGAGGCAAACGGCCAACCCGGAAATGGTGCAATTATGATCTTTATCAGGTAGGGGGAAAAGAGCTTCGACCTCAATTTAATTGATTTGACTTGAACTATTGATACTAATTTGTCAGCTCTTCCTAGTTCTCGATTCCAGTGTCTCCCCCAGATTCCGCTGGGCGGCTCATAAATCTGCTTTGTCCTTTAAACTTATTACTTATACCATCTTTTCTCGACATTCGCTCTGCTCTTTATCTTTTTCTTTCTGCGCGATATACCCCTAAGTGCCGCAACGAATATTCCCTTTAATGAGGTCGATTCTTGTTTTTTTCTTTTCTTTTTCGGTGAAGAGGTGATTTGAATTGGAGACATCTCAGCCATGTCAGGAAATTACACACGTTCCATTGCAAGTGCCGGGAGCGAGTCGGTCGGAAGTGGAGGTCTACAGCATCGATCATCGTCCGTCGCCCGCGCCGAGCGTTCAGCTTCCAACCCGGCGTCCTTTTCCCTAGACTACGATACTGCTCTACCCCCCATCAATTTCCACCAAAATGCCACTCTGGCACACCGACGAACCGGGAGTACCTTGAAAACCGTGATGCGCAAGATCTTCAACAGGAAAAGGCAGAGCGCAACAGATGAATTGGAGGAGAGCCCCAACGAAGCTCTTTATTCTCCTCCTGTGAGAAAATTAGGACCCGCGGGGAAATCATTCTTATCGGTCCCCACTCCCACCGCATCCAAACGGAGTAGCCCTCTCTCGGAGGAGAATCTACAATTGCAATTTGCGGAAACACATTTATCACCAACCTCCGCAACTGGTGGCTCCTTGCCATCGCCCACTTTACCACGCCCTCGCCGACGAGCAACGCTCCCCAGTGTGATCTTCTCCGACGACGAATCCCGGTTTGCAGTAGCGTCTGCAATTTCCGATCCTCAGGACGATCGCAATCTACAATTTCAGGAAGGACGTCGACACAGTATGGTTCAGAACCGAAGGTCTCGAAGTATAGAAGGGTTGGGGGAATTGGCGGTTGAACGTGAACGATATGAACAATCACATGAAGACTGGTCACCCCGCACCACCTCCGCTCCGACTTCGGGACCTGAATCTAAATCGCCTCCTATCGGAAGCTCCATCAGTGATCACTCCGCCAGACCTTCCACGGGAAAAACTGTCACAAGCGTGACGCCTGCTTCTGTCGCACCGTCCATTTCGGAAGCCGATGAACAAGCCGAACAAATCAGCCTGCCACCTAATATCGGCAATTTCGTTCACAGCATGCAACAAGACGACGGTCTAACGGTCGAGCAACGACTGAACACTCTCGAGGTCAAGATGATTGACCTGGAATTCGCAATCGCCCGTATGCAATCCAGTCCCATCGACAGCCCCACAGAACGCTTATCCCGAGTGAAACGCACCCCATCCTCCGAACCAAACACTCTCCACACCCGCAACAAACCTTCCTCCGGGTACCTAGGCGCACCCGACCGCGAACGCGAACGAGACCGCGACCGTGAACGCGACGAATCTCCAAGTCCCCTTACGACCTTCCCCGCAGTCCGCCCATCCAGCACAAGCACCATTCGACAAGAAACAATGAACAGAAGCCTGCGCGCCGCACCATCCACCACTTCCCTCTCTGAATTCAGCGGCGTCTCCATCGAGCAATATAGCACTCTCGTCACACTGTTACGCCGTGAACAGACGGCCCGCCGTAACCTTGAAACCCAGGTTTCTGGCCTTCGCGACGATCTGCGGCATATTCAACGAGCGGCGCTTCATTCGATGGAGATGGGCACCACCATGTATCCCATTCACAGTGTAGATTCACAGGAATTTCTGCGGTTCCGGCGTGCGCTTGATGACTCGGATTCTTCACCTATCTCTACCCCTAGAGACAGAGAAAGGGAACGAGAAAGAGAAAGAGAGCGGGCGAATGTGAATGTGAATGTGAATGGGAATGGGAATGGGAATGGGGATTACGAGGATGTGTCGGAATATGGGCGAGATGATCCTATCGGACCGCACAAATGGGATAACACACCGCGGACATTGACGACGCCTATGATTTGATTTGGGTTCAGTTTACTCAGTTGCGCTTGGATGACAATCGTCCATGTCTTTATCCTTCGAATATTGCCAGTAATTATTTACTCCACAGGTCAACTTCGAATGACCTACATGGATCCTTGATCTAATTTCGCAAGTTTCATGGTTCGTCCTCATTACTTCAATGTACATTAGCCATGCGAATCTGCCAAGCAGTCTTTCTATTACTGCTGATGCAGAATCTGCTTTACTCAAATGGCCTGATTCTCCACTTATGTCGATCTCGTGATATGATCGCTTTTTTCTTTTTCATTATGAGGGCTACTCCCTCTTTTTTTTACCACGTGCCGCGACAGGATCGCGTTGATAGAGTCGAATTATGGCATTGAGATACCCAATTTGAACTCCGTCTCAATCAAGATAAATCAAAACAAGCGGTTCTTCCCGCTCGCCATCCACGGCTCCTAATCCCGAACCGCATTGATATCAACCATAGTAGATCGTAACCCCGCATTTACAATAACCCAATAATCAAACATTGAATCCAAATACCACATAAGCCAAACCCTGACGTCCAACCAAGAGCATATATCGTAGAGCATCCATCTATCTATTCAATGTTCCATCAAACCTACATAAATCCCTCCAAATAAAACCATGCCCCCACCCAAAACCTTCACAACCACAATAATAGGCGGCGGCATAGGCGGCCTAACCCTAGCAATAGGCCTCCTCCGCCGCGGCGTCCCCGTCCAAATCTACGAAGCAGCCTCCTCATTCCAAGAAATCGGCCTCGGCCTCTCAATCGGCCCAGCCGCCCACCGCGCCCTCCCCCTCCTAGACCCCCAAATCCGCCAAATCTACGACACCCTCGTAACCACCCACGCCGACAGCCCAGGCTACGCCTCCTTCCACGACACATGGTTCGAGATCGTCTGGGCCGCAGGCCCACACGAGGGCAACCTCTTAATGGACCTCAAGGCCCAGCCATCAGGACAAACGACGGTGCGCAGGTCGGATTTCCTCGCTGCGCTGGTTAGTCTTGTGCCGGTCGAGATTGTGCATTTCGGGAAGCGGCTTGAGAGGGTGGAGGGGAACGGCGATCCAGGCGCGGATGGAGCTACGGGTAATGATACAGGTAGTAGGAGTAGTAAAGTGGGATTGATATTTGATGATGGCACACATGTCCACGCTGACGTGGTGATCGGGTGCGATGGGATTAAGTCCAAGGTCAAGGAGTCTGTGTTCCCGGCTTCGGGGCACGCGGTCTATAGCGGCATGTATGGGTATCGGGCTGTGCTTGAGATGGAGGATATGGTGCGTGCGGTCGGGGAGCAGAGGGCTAGGGTGTCTACTTTGTACCTTGGGGATGGGGTGTATGGGATCTCGTACCCGATTATGCGGGCGAAGAAGGTGAATGTGGGACTTTATGTTTTGCAGGAGAACTGGGATTGCGAGACTTGGGTGCGGGGGGCGGAGAGGGAGGATATGCGGCGGGATGCGAGGGGGATGGGGCGGTATTGGGGGGAGTTGGTTGAGGTATGTTTCAAGTTCATATATACTACACATGCGCACATGCCATCTTGCTTGGTTCGAAACACGAATTACCTTCTTCTCGTCTTCTTCTGACCATTTGTCTAAACTCAGCATATGCCCGATCCATCGCAATGGGCAATCTTCGAGCATCCGCCTCTTGAAAGATTCTGGCAGTCGCGTGTTGCGATTCTGGGTGATGCGGCTCATGCGTCGACGCCACATCAGGGTGCTGGCGCTGGGCAAGCGATTGAAGATGCGCATGTTTTGGCGGAACTTCTCGGTGATGAACGAGTCATATCGGCTAATGATGTCGAGGCGGCGTTTCGGGCATACGACGAGATTAGGCGGCCTCGTAGCCAGCGGGTTGTGACTAGTAGTAAAGAGAATGCGTATCTGCTTTGTTTGTGCTTGGATGGAGTGGGGAATGACGAAGAGAAGCTGCGCAATAGTTTCCAAGAGCGGATGAAGTGGCTTTGGGATTTGGATGTGCAAGATCAGGTGGAGCAGGCTCGGGAGAAGATGATTAGTTATCTGGGATGATTATTGTAGTAATAGTTGTGTATTGTGGACTCTTTTCGGTGTCTCCGTGTTGATATTTGTCTATCGATGCGAGATGTCGGCATGGGTTGCCTTCTGGCGATCTCATTGTTCTCATCAGACTCCACTGCTCTAAGCCTAGGCACACCCAATCGGCAAACATGGAAAGCCGTATACTTGATGGACCCCGCACAAGCATTTATAAAGGAAGAAAGAAACCCCAACATGATGAATATATTCTTTTTTTACATATCAATCATTAACATTTTCTTATTCCGTCATGGCTAGAGTCTACATCGCCGACGATGACCTCACGGGCATCAAAGACAAAGTCATCCTGATTACTGGTACCAACCACCTTACCACTCTTTCAAGTTCCTACAAGGACTACCCCCAACATCTGAAGGCACCAATACTAACACTTCAGCCTACAGGCGCCTCCTCCGGAATCGGCAGAGCAACCGCCCAACTCTGTCTCGACCTCGGCGCAAAAGTAGTAATCGGCGACCTCAACCCCCCCAACCCCGACTTCACCAACACGACCAACATCACATTCCAGCACACAGACGTCACACAATGGGAAAGTCTGCGCGCCCTGTTCACACACGCAATGACCCAACACGGTCACATAGACCACGTCTTCGCGAACGCCGGCATAAACCCAACCCCCAGCTTCCTCGAGGTGAAGCTCAACGAAGCCGGCGAGGTGCAGCCTCCGAACATGCGCACTATCAACGTCAACTTCCTCGCCGTGATCAACACGATCCACCTCGCAAACGCATACATGACCAAGCTGGCTCCAGCGAACGAAAAAGAGAACGGCGGCACAGGCAGCATTGTGCTCGCGGCGTCGACCTCGTCGTTCCAGACCTTCAGCACGGGCGATTATACAATTGCCAAGCATGGTGTTCTGGGCATGCTGCGCGCATTTGTGGAGCCGTTCCAGCTGCAGGGGAAGGTGCGGATTAATGCTGTTGCGCCTTCGTGGACGGATACGGGCATTATGCCTGCGGCGCTGTTCCAGAGTGTTGGGGTGGGTGTTCAGAGTCCTGAGGTGGTTGCTAGGAGTGTGGTGTTGCTTTTTGCGGATGAGAAGCGTCATGGTGATGTTCTTTATAGTTGGGATGGAAATTATCGCGAGATTAATAATTCGCCTGGTGGGCTTTTGGAGGGTGCGGAGCGTTTGCTGGATAATGCGGCGAATGAGCAAAATGCTATATTGAGGATTCGGGAGGCTTTTTTGAAGGCGAAGGGGGCTTGATACAGTAGTATATAAGACTGTAAATGCAGTATGTCTTGAGACATACATCTCTTATTTACATATTCGATCCATCAATCCATCAGTAGAACATTGAACGACATCTGGACACACGAAGCATGCAGGGGTGGTTAATACTGTTCTCAAGCAATAGAGCCAATTCATTTACTGTTTCAATGTTTTGATTGTTCCAATCCATGAACACAACAACTACAACAACCTTGCCTAGGTGGAAGCTTGGAACATTGAAGGTATATGTAGCAAAAAGTAGGAGCCAATGATCCAATATATTGATTAGATCAATCTGTCATAGACGGATATACATGGTAATATGCAAAATAGTAAAAATGGGTGACCAGAGATGTCCAACGGCCTCGATCCGGTCATGAAACATCATGAATCGAGGCACAATTCCTGCAAGCGTCTGCCGATGGAAGAAAAGTAGATATGAAAATAGAAGAAATGTTCAAAGAAGCGAATGGGGGAATCAGCCCCCAGGGGACTATGGCCAAGGGGATAAAAAAGAAGAAAAGAAATGGAAAAAGCCACAGCGAGTGAAAAGATCTGACAAACTAAGGGTATCCAGAAAGAACTGCAGTATTATGCCCGCGAGGCAGAAGGTGCAGTTCCAGATGCTCGAAACAAAACAGCTGCCCAGGCGGCTTAGATAAAGGGTTTGAATATGCTGGTGGGAGAGAGAGAAGAAGAAAAAAAGGGGGTAGGGAATAAGAATGAAAAAGAACGGTGAAAAAAAAAGTCGGCCCAGAACGCTCCAAAAACACGTTGCTTGAATGCAAGGTATTGAACTCAGATTTTTGGTCTGAGCCTCTGAGGGTAGTTTGTGCATATAGTCTATGACTCGGGTACAGACTTCTTCCGTTGGAAGATACTGCGAGTGCGTGATTTGCTGCGCGTGTTCTTCTTGTCACTGCTGACAGTTCGCCCGCGCGGACGAGATGTTTCCTTGGCATCGTCTGCCATATATTTCTCCTTGTAAATCCTATTGAACCGTTAGTATGGAAAGTTTCATGTAAGTGCAAATCGGAGACATACCAACTGTTGCCAACCATGCTCATGCCGTTGGACTCAGCCTGGCGATAGAACCGCGCAGCCTTCTTCATGTCCTTCTTGCAACCAACACCTTCGGCATAGCAGAAACCTGCTTCGGCCATGGCATCCACATCGCCCCATTGGCCAGCAATCTCGAAACAGCGCAAAGCAAGAGCCCGATCCTGTTCAATGCCCCAGCCGTTCAAGTGACTGACACCCAGCTCGTAGATGCTGAGAGCAAATTGAGCACGGTAGGCCTTCTGCAGCTCTTTTGCTTTGGACGCGCCAGGGGCATCGGGGTTTTCAAGCATTTCCAATCCCACTGAGTCCACAGCCTTGCGTAGCCACCGCACACCCTCCTGTTGATTGGAGCGCATGCCCCAACCATGACGGCAGGCAAGGGCATATAGTAACATTCCGGTGGGGTGGTTCTTCTTTGCAGCAATACGCAGGTGATAGGTCGATTCATTCAAGGACCCGCTTTCGTGCAGTTCAATGCCCTTGGCAACATGATCGTCAGCAGTCACGGCAGCCGATGGTGCCTGGGTCGTGGCAGTCTGTGGGCGCAATGTGCTCGCAGAGCCAGCTGAAGATGCCGTCTCGAGCTTGTCATTCTTACGAGTAGACTCTGTGGAAGGTCTAGGTTTCTCGGGTGTGGCCAGTGTCGGTGCCGCTGGCATTGGTGAAGCCGGCAGCTTTGGTGAGCTCGGCGGCTTTGACGAAGAGGTTGACGGTCTTGGCGCTAAGACTGGTGGCTGAGGGGAAGATTGAACTGGCGGCTGAGGGGAAGGTGGAGCGGGCGTTTTCTCTCTAGGAGGTTCCTGAATTGGAACCTCGTGCATCGAATGTGGCTTGGGCGAATGATCCATGCGATGATTCCTGGTCGGTGGTGGTGTGCACACTGAGCGAGGAACCTCAACCGATTCCCGCGGGGGTGAATTCTCAAAGAGAGGCTCATTCCATTCAAAGTGCGGAGTTTGTAGGCCTGCGAATATCACCGAGTCTCTGGAAGGCTCACGTCCACGCGGCAGTGCATACTTGGCGTACACGAACGATGATACCGCCGAAGATGGCTCTCCGTCGGCGGGTTGAGTAGCAGCAGCCTGTTCAGTAGCCAGAGGAACTAGAATCGGGTGGGGTTTTGTTGCACGGTGCATATGATTAGATTGATGGCGTTGGGGGGTAGCAACTGGAGCTGTCGTTGGCTCAGGAGCTCCTGGTGCAGAAAGACTGGTGCTAGAGCGACTTAAAGGTCGGGAGAAATTGAAGGAAGGTCGCGCCAGATAGCTGGTGCCCGTGGACGTCTCGGAGCTTATTGAAGGCGAACGAGGATGGGGCCGGACTGGAAAGTTCGACATAGGTGAGTATGGAATCGATACAGCACTTGCCGATGACAGTTTCCGTGGCTTGGAGAATGTCGAACCTGCATTAGAGCTACTGTAATCATCATCAGAGCTCTCCAGTTGATTCCCCCGGGCACTGCTCGACGGCCGCGAATGCGGCGAGACCGGTGGAGCCAAAGTTCGCGGGATGTGAAGTTTGCTGGTAACGGAGTCCAGCGACGACTGACGCGATGGATCTATCGCATTGACTCCGACCGAACCTTCCTGCATTTCCTCCACAGATTCCGGATCCTGCTCAGGTGATTCCGCCCGAGGTATCCCCCAGTCGCCGGGGTTATCCTGAATCATCGTTGTCCTGGGGGTAGTGTCATCGTCTTCGTAAAAGCTCGCCGCATTGCTGCTGGTGTGCGAGACCGAACTGAATCGAGGATGTTCGGAGATTGGGCGGTATTTTGGCTCCTCCACTTCTGGAAGGCCTCTCTGTGTCGGTCGTCGTGTCAAAGGTTCGGCATTGGGGTCGCTGTGCGGAGAGCGGAAGTAACCTGGTCGGGGGCGGGACAGCGACCGGGCGACACTGGACGGAGGGAGGCGACTCATTCGCCGTTCCCCTAACCGGGACTCATCCAACTGTCGGGCAAGGAATCGACCTTGGGCGGCAAAGGCATCGAGGGGAGATAATGCGGGAGGGACCTCGCCGTCGAAATGGGCAATCCGTGGGGAGGGCATCCCTCCACGCAGAGTGTCATGGGAGTTGGAGCGAATGTCGCTCAGTTTCGCTCGCTGGTTCATCATTGTCCGATTTTTGGTTGGGTTTGGTTGGTTATTATGGGAGATATTCGTTTAACGGCGGTGTTAGGGGGGGGGAGGAAGTTGTCGGCGTCTGTCGGATTGATGTCGTTGCCCCGGGATCCGTTTCAGGGTCAAGAAGTAAGAAAGCGCATGGAGGTAGAATCAGTATGGGCGGGGAAGGCGAGGCCAAAGGAATGACAGCCCAGAGATGTTTCTACCAGAGTTACAGAGAAAGGAGGAAAACGGGCGAGGCCCTGACGATCACAATGAACACGATGACAACAAGAAGCCCCGTGCACTTGGATCCACCTTAGGTAAAAGGGGGCAAGTTGCATATAGTTAACATTTGAAGTACATGGAAATTATCTAAAGGGAAATTATATTGAATTCTGTACTCTTTACTCCGTGTTCCGTATGGCTATTTCAATCCTTGATGCATTTCTCTTGATATATCTCTCGTTTCAGGGGGTTTTTTTTGCCAAGAGTATTGACGCCATCCACCTTTCTATTATGAATATTGGACGATCTTCTAGAATAACTCGGTTCTCCCCACACGGGCTATTTTGGTTGTTTCATGCTTTTTACCTATGCTGGTTCGGGTTTGGTCTACCAATTATACGTGTCATAGTGGAGATGTCAAGGTTGAAGAGCGAAAACTCTTTTCCTCTCAGGGGAAAACTTGTCACATTCAAAACATTAGTATGTACTGTAGTATGTATGTACTAGTCAAGGTTGTTACTTTTTTTATCCCACCAATAGTACTCTCTAATACTAAAATAGTTCTGGTAGTTCCTAGGAAATTTCCTTATATATAGCAAACTTCCTCCATGACTGCATGACCCGGAAGCTCTCAAGTGCTCGTTACTCCGCCCCGCAGTAGCAATGTACCAAGTTCATGTCCACCTCGGAGTAATCCCGCATTGAGACTGGTCGGTCTTGGTCTCTTTCTCTCCAACCAATCCCATCGCGCCTTTTCTTCCTTTCTCACTGTTAAGCGGCTTAAGCCTCGTTCATGATGTGTTCCAGTTCGTTTTGGGTCATAGGGCCACACTGTCTTAAGGCCCATTAACCAAAATGGGTATGGTTGCCAGCTTAGCCTACGACAACTTTTCGATATGCAGATGCAACGATTGAATTTTTCCATGCATGAAAAAAATAAAGAAAGAAAAAATATTTCATAGAATTTAGACTCGTCAAATCAACTCTGCTTCACATTTCCCCAATCACGGGCTTGTCTTGAAGCCTTTCAAACCTTGTAATACGAGGTGAAAAAGGACCAATATCATCCTAAGCTGAGCCAGGTAGATAGATCGGTTACAAGCTACCGAGTACACCTTTTCAATCGATCACCATGCGCAAACCCTCACGAGCGGCGCTCATCGGTGCCGATCCAAAAGACGATCACCTTCACCAATTCGAAACCTCATGGCTACTCTCACCAACCATCCTAGCCTGTGTCCGAGGTCTCATCGCCCTCTACATCTTCACCACCATAATCGTCATCTGGATATGGTACGGCACGCACGATGACCGTGTCGCAATTGGCGAATCCTTCAGCTACTTCACCTGGCTCACCTACTGGGGTCTGGGATTCTACTTCCTAGTCTCCACCATCCACACAGCCCTCTACGCACGGACGGGCCGCTCCGTGCTCTTCGATCGCTGGCCGCGTGCCTGTCGCGTGCTTCATGGCTTCTTCTATGCCAGCATCACCACCTACCCGTTCCTCGTTACTATCGTCTTCTGGGGTATCCTATTTACCCCGCCTTTCTACAAGGTCACGTTTCCAGGATGGTCAAATGTAGGTTTTTTTTTTTTCTGTTTCTTTTTCTGGAAACCCCTCTTTGTCTCACCCCCGCGTTTCCCGTATCCCTTCATTCCAGGGATAGACATACATAAAATGACATAATCGCGGATGCTAATGAAGTTTTTGCTTGTTCTGTATTGCAGATCTCTATGCACGGGCTGAACTCCTTTTATGCCCTTCTGGAAATCTTCCTTCCGGCTACGGCGCCACACCCCTGGGCTAGTATTCCGGTCCTGATCCTCGTCTTGCTGTTCTACCTCTGTGTTGCCTATATCACCTACTATAACCAGGGCTTCTGGACCTATTCGTTCCTGGACACTGAGCACGGCAAGAAGAGTGGGATCGTCGCGGGCTACTGTTTTGGAATCCTGGCTGGTATCCTGGTCCTCTTCTGTATCTCCAGGGGTTTGATCTGGGTGCGGAGACGAGTGACCGGTGATAAGAGAAAGAGATCTCCCCGTGATTCCGCTCGCGGACAAGATGTGTCTGATATTGACAATTTCAATATGCAAGCCGAGTCAAGTGACATGAAGTTTGTCACCGTTTAAATCCACCCTGCGATGTGGTTTCGATCCGGTGGAGGTGGTGGGATAAGGATGTTATACTGTATACATAAGGGGTATATCTACCTGGACATAAGTTTACGCTTAATGTGTTGACGGATAATGTTAATCAAAAATTAATGCATGCTTTCAAATGTTAAGAGAGAAGATCAAGAAACTATATACAAAGTAGTTCCATAAATTAAGATTTACAATATAAGAAAAAGTGGAGAAGATATTTTGCGACTTTGATAGTCCGCCCCCATACATCCGGCTTTCAGGGTGCACTTAAACCCGCTCCCAGCTGTTTTCGCTGCCACTACTGGGACTATCATTGCCTGTATTGCCACTTTGGTAACCCATCATCAAGGCAACAAGTCCACTCGGGACCCATGCGCCGATTACGCTGTAGGATCGAGCACCCCGGCCAACATAGATGACCGACTTCTTGGATTTCTTTTGCCCAAGGAAGTTCAGGCCTGTCGGCTCCAAGGCATCCATCACGGCGTGATGGAGGTATCGGGCCGAAGAGCCTCGCACAGCACCAGGGCCCGCAGATGCGACCGGTCGCTGCTCAATGCTGGACATGTACTGAGGAGCATATAGGGCCCGCTGCTGGACGCTCCAGGCAAGGACCTCTGTTCCGGTGATTTGGGACTGCGGGTTTCGGTACCCAGGGCCCAGATCGATGTTGCCCAAACGAAGCTCGACGACGTCGACGTTGCCACGCTCTAGGAGTCGGAGCTCTTGTCGAAGAGAGGCGGCGAACGAGGAAACGGCGCTGGTAGCAGTGACCTCTGGACCAGCAAAGGGGGCGGATAGAGAGGAGGAGATGGTCGGGTAAGCGAAGACGATTGTGCTGTTGTTGTTGCGGAGGGTCATGAGGGGAAGGAAGGCTTGCGTAGTGAGGATTGGAGAGAGAACGCGGGTGTTAACAGCGTCTGCCCATGACGAAGGTGGAATGGTTGCGACAGGGCCTGCAGCGTAGTTGGCCGAGGGTACGATGATGAGACCGCTTAGCTGACAGGTATGGGGGAGCATTCCCGGGGACGGGTACTGCGGTTGTGTGATCAGGTTTCGCAGTTCGTGCAACGAAGGATGAATATCCGAAGGGTTCGACGGTGTCTGTAATAAATTATGTTAATTTATGCTCATCTCGACATCTGAAGACTTGAGTACGTACCGTGGTCAAGTCCAACCAAAGCGCCTTAATATCAGCTCGTTTCTCGGACTGGACAATCTGTTCCTCCTCCGCAGATGATACCGTCACATAGACAATGTATCCTCGACGCTCCAAGTCCGCCGCGATCGCTCTAGTCATAGCCTCGTGTGGTGATCCAGCAACAACTGCAATTTTTTATTTTTTTTAGCGCATATCAATACCATGACCAAGAAGCCTATCAACTTACCGACAATCTCTTTGCGGGATCCGTTACCCGCTTTTCTGGCCTTTCTCCGTTTGGAATTCAGCTTCTTGTTTCCATAAAGCAAGACACAGCCTGTGCCGACAAATGCAAGGATAGCCGCGGTCCACGCGCGATTCCGGATCATCCAGTCCTGAACTCGGTCGGTCAGACCGCGGGGAGATGACCGCATCTGAGAGGCGCGCACCGGCGGCCGTACAGAAGAAGGTATCCATGTTTGTTCAGACAGTGTATTTCGAATAGCAGACGCCGCTTGGTCGACTGATCGGTCGATCGAGTCGGCGACCTGCTCAGAGTACCGCCTTACGTCATGGGGTATGGAAGAAAGCTGCGCCAGAAGTCAGTTGTTAGCGCTTGGGCTATTTTCACGCCTGATGGGAGTTTTGGAGGGAATGTCTCACGTAGTCGAAAAAGAACTGATCGTCGCTTGTCATTTTGTCTGAGTTGGTAAAACTTGAATAGAGAAAAGCGCGGATGATAAGATCGTATCGCACTGATAAAACACGCCTCTTATCGGTCACATGAGCTTCCGTAGAAGATGCGGGAACTTGAAGGCACAAAATCAAGGGCAAGGGACCTTAACCACTCCCTTTACTATCAACCGTTCATTTACCGCAGTAAACCTTGGAAATCGGACTATTGCCTTCAATGTTTATTCTATCTGACTAATTTTCAAAAGTCATCTCAATACGAAATACTCAAGGTATATATATTTTGATTCGTTTACCACATATGTGTACCATGTAGTAGTTCAATATTGCAACTGGATCGGCATCCCCTATAATGATCAGATCGCGCAGCTTCCATTTGGATTGATTTTGAGATGGTCCGACTGATGGTACTCGGATCGAGCAAGCACTGTGTTGAGGAAGTGTTGTGTATGCAAGTTGCACGAAGGGCAGATTTCCGGTGCCCAAGGGTGATATGCTATTCAAAATGGCGACCATCCTGATACACCCCACGCACTGGTCTCAATTCTTACCACTCCAGACATCATGTCGCCTGCCCGGTGAGTAATTAAGTCGAGCCTAGATATGTATGATTCCCTCGGTGGCGAGGATAGAGATTCTACTACTATGTAGTAGGTATGGGTTTGACTAGTAGTAAGATAATCCTGCAGCAAACATTTGAATGTGTCAACTGGTAAATATGTACACATACCTTAATAAGGGCCAAGCGCTCAAGTGCTAAGAAATATACAGCATATGTACATATATTGGCTCGTACTTCATTTAAAACCATGAGGACATCTGAAGCAGGGCACTAACATTACATATGCACATGTGCATTGACGATCAATTCAGTTGAGGCTCCGAGCCTTGGAAGCCTCATAGCTCTGCGCAATACTTACTACTGATGCTCATCCTATTATAGTAGACATCTGGATGATGGATTTTGTGATTTTCTGCAATAAAAGTCTCGTTTTACGACATCTGGACTGTGTAGACTTTCCCTGTTCGGCCTAGAGTCTCCTTGCCATGAATATTCATCGCAGTGGAGATTTTTTGACAGATTTTGAAAAAGAAACACTCCCACTACTTGGCTACAAAAACCTCATATTTATGAAGTTCTGGAGTATAGGCTCTGCAGAAAATCGTGTTAGAAAAGAGACAGGCTCAGGCAGCCATCCTTATAATTTTAATTTATGCACGTGACAGTATATTCCCTGTGTGCCTTGTTTGTCAGGCTAGGATTCATGATTATCAACCAGCGATTTGGTCCTAACATGATTCTTTGCGCTCACCACACCCTTGCATTCTTTTCTTGCCAGTCCTCAAAACTCTGGTCTGACTATTGGAAACTTTGGTCCATACTTATCTTGGAGAATGATAACCCAAAAGAGGCCATAGCCTCCTGATACATGCGTCTTCAAACCCTTCTTTACATTACATTCAACATTGAATCACCCCAAGGTTTCGCATAATCAACAGCCACCATGCGGGAACTAGACGCCCTCATCTCAGAGTACAGACATGAGAAAAAACGCCCACGCGAAGCAGAGGCACTTTTTATCCTACGCAAAGTGGCTTCCATGGTCAAACCGATCATGCGCCAGCGCTGCTGGAAAGTGGGTTCTCTTTGCGAGTTTTATCCAAGCCAAAAGAATCTTCTCGGTCTGAATGTGAACGGGGGCCAGAAGATTTGCCTGAGATTACGGTACGCTTCTGATCAGAAGCAATTTCTTCCTCTCGAACAGATCGCAGATACGATGCTGCACGAGTAAGTCAGCTCATCTTGATTACTCAAATTAGTTTGACTAATGACTTAGGCTGTGCCATATTGTCCATGGCCCCCATAATCGTGACTTTCACGCACTGTGGAATCAGCTCCGTGATGAACACGAGGAACTTGTGATCAAAGGATACACAGGAGAGGGCTTCCTCTCCAAAGGCAAACGGCTAGGTGGAGCCAGAATACCCTTGGATGAGGCTCGTCGACAAGCTCGTGCCACCGCAGAGAAGCGGAGACTCCTCGCCAAAAATTCAGGAAAGAGGCTTGGTGGTGCTCCTGTCCTCCGGGGAACAGACATGCGCAAGGTCCGAGCAGATGCCGCCCAGCGTCGCGTCGAGGTATTGAATGGATGCGCATCCGGAACAGACCGAGAAGCTGAGCTCGTGGAGGAAGAATCCAAAAATGGCTTTAGAACGAAGGCAGAAGAGGACGATGCGAATGAAGAAGCTATTCTTCAAGCCTTCATTGAGCTGATCCAAGAGGAGGAAAGGGAAAAATATGGGTCTTCATATGTGCCCCCAAGCCAGGAAAACCCGGCAGGACCTCGAACAGAGCCATCTGCATGCAAACCATCTGCTAGGGATACCGCGAAATCCTTGCTAGCTAAGGCGTCAGCAAATACATCCTCCAGTTCGTCTAGTGCCAACAATAGTTCATACGATGCTGCGTGGACATGCCCGATGTGTACACTGGAGAATCCGTCTAATTTTTTGTGCTGTGATGTGTGTGCTACCGAGCGCCCGACTCCCACCAGTACTCAATTGAACAAGGGACCAACAAGACAGCCATCTGCTCAGAGTATTGGCGCGGAATCGCAAAAGCCAAAAAAACGCGCGCTGCCAGATACCACGGAAGCAAAAATTGATCCAGCCCGTGATACGTTTGCATTCAAGAACCGCACCCGTGCAGTGGACACCTTGTCATCTCTGAGCCGGGAAACCAGCAAACGACCACTGGGATGGGTTTGCTCATGTGGCACCTTTATGGAAACTCAATGGTGGACATGTTCTTTATGTGGATCGATGAAGCCATCATCTTGATTTGCTAAGAACTTCTTGATTTGGTATAGAAAGAAATGTACGAGAACCACGAGCATGAAGTTACGAACACATAATAAACAAAGGCCAAAAAAACCCCCCATTTATACATCTTGCTATCTTGCTAGTAATGACCTCTAGAATTTCCGTCAACTGGCGGACCCGTACGCTAAAGCTACACGTGATAAATGACTAAGCGAAGCTCCACCAGCTAACCCAACAATTTTATTTTCGCGAGCTCCATTCTTCTCTTCTTCCTTCCACACCCCCATCCAACACCCATGCCAGCATGGACAAGGTCCAAAAATGTGTGGATACCTTGTCGATGCTGGATGAACAATGAATGGTACGTTCCATAGCAACATTCTCCCCGACGGACAGCAGGGACGCCACAAACAACCAAGAAAAACGCAAAGCTTGAAACATTTCTTAAATGATGAGAATCTGCATTGAACCGAAATAATTAGGAAGAGCCGGAAGAGGTATGACAATCAGTATACCCAAAGAGGATACGGTTGTTGTCGATGCTTATAATGGTTCGGCTGAAAGAAATGATTCAAGCTTTCGCTTTTTCTTGCTGGCTTGTTGGGGATATTTGGTTTTTCGTGTGATTCATGGCTAACTGTATGACCCCATTAGTATTTCGAATAAAATAATTGTCTCGAGGTGAATTAGGACAAAACGAAGAATAGAAAGGAGTACGGATGGGTTGATGTTTCGTCTGAAAATATACATTTTCAAGTCTGGACGATTTTAAGGATCTTAATCTTAGGATAATTATTATGAATCTTAAACCGAAATATTTCGATGGTGACCTTTACGTATATACGATGCAAGTGATCATTTAAAAGTAGATCTAGTAGTATAATACATCCCTCGATCTTGGCTCTGAACTCCCAAGGATATCCAACTTTTATAGAACAACATTAACAAAACAAACCATATCAAATCAAATCAAGGTCAACGCCCATTGAACATGCTCGTCCAGAACTGGCCCAAATCAAGCCATGCTAACAAATTGCCGCTTCTTGCCCGACCCCTTTTGTGTCTCAGGCTGCTTCCAGGTCTCCTCGTCAATGTAATCGTTGGTGTTCAGTTCACGGATCTGGTTGCCGATGAACTGCAGCGCAGACAGGTTGAAGCCCATCTCGTCCTTTTGGCGGGAAAGGACCCGACGCAGGGCGGAACGAATGCTGTCCAACATGGGACGCATCATCTTGCTAGCCACGATCTGGCGATGGTGGGTCTTGAGCATGAAGAACAAGACACGGCAGGTAAGAGGGACGTTCCACTCGCGCTCAGCCCAGATGTTGAGGAACGTGAAGAGAGCAGGAAGCTTGTTGAAGGGAAGAACCAAGAGGGCATCTTGCAGGGCTGCGGCGGGGACCTTGGAGACGGTTTTCAAGACGTGCTGCTCCGCTGAGATGTTGCCGAAGGCGAGATAAATGGGGTTACGGTTGGGGGGTGAACTGTTCGGGTTGGTCTCGCGCCATTCGCGGACAAGTTCAAGGTCCTCCATGCCCAGGTCAAGAGCTTCCATGATCTTTTCACCAGCCATGAGGGTACCTGTGGTTTGCTTGCTGGCGTCAACTGCCTCGGCTTTCTCACCATCCTCGCCCTCCTCGTCTTGCTCAAGTGAGGCGGTAAGAGTGTTGTCGTAGGCTTCTTCCATCTCTCTCTCGCGCTCTTCCTCCAAAAACAATGGCTCGTCGGTCTCTTTCCAGATGCGAATACTCTTATCGTGACTGGCAGTGACAATGGTATCACCATCACGGCTGATAGCCAATGCCCAGATCTCTCCGTGGTGACCGACCAGTCGCTGGATTTGCTCAAACTTGTCACCATCCCAGTATTTGATAACTTTGTCTTTGCTCGCACTAAAGAAGTTGTGGCCATTTTGTTGCTTATTGCTAGGAACGAATGCAACTGCCATGACGCTGTCATCGTGAGCGTGCAAAGACTTGTGGCAATCACCGAAGTCCAGACCCCACAGACGAACAGTCTTATCGGCTGAGCAAGTGACAATCAACTTGCTGTCAAAGGAAATGTCCATGGACAGAACAGGAAGCTTGTGCCCATACAGGTTCAAGAAAAGTTTAAGGGAGTCAACAAAGAAGACCTTGACAGTGTTGTCCAGCATGGAAACAGCGAGAAGTCGGGCATCCGGGGAGAAACGAAGGCTGAGGATGTCTTCGTTTACCTTCAGGGTTCTGGTGTGCACTAACTTGAGGCGCGCAGTAGTGCGCTTGGTACCTGGAATCTCCTCCTGTACAACCTTGAACTCCCAGAACTTAGCTTGCTTATCAGCACTTCCACTGACCACGGACTTGCCATCCGGGTGCACATGCATCGACCAGACAGGGCCGTCGTGGGCCTTGATGGTGTCCAGCAATGTTGAGGAAGCAATGTCAAAGACCTCCAACTCTCCATTCTTGTTTCCAACCACCACGATCTTGTCACCTGGAAGGAATGCAGAACAGAGCGCATATCCGCACTCCAGGGTACGAAGACAAGTTCCTGTGCGTACGTTCCAGATTTTGAGGCTGCCGTTAGATGCAGAGGCTAGCATACGGTCCTCAGAGCTCAGAGCAATGGAACGAATATCTGTTCGGTGACCAGGAATATCCACGGCGAGGCTTCGGGTGTAGTCAGATTCTTCTTCGTCCTTGTTCTTTTGGTTTGCTGTGACAATGCTGTAAGCTTCCAGCTGGTTATTAGAAGTTGCTGCAAGGATGTTGAGGCTCTTGGATTTATTGGTCATCCAGTCGAATGAACGGATCTTTCCACCCGTGCGAACGATGACATGGGAAACAAAGACTTCTGTGATGGGAGCAGAAGAGACATCTTCAAGCTTCTCCTGTTCAACTTCGGTCTTTTCTTCAGGCTTCTCTTCAGTCTTCTCTTCACCCTCACGCTGGGCCTTCTTCTCCTTTCTCCGCTTGAGCTTGCGGGCCATACTCTTTTGCACTTCTGTCGCGGAACGAATGCGCCAAATTTCGACCGATCTGTCTGAGCCGTGGAAACCAACATAATCCAAACGGGGATGGAATCGAATGCCGATTGTGCGGTCCTTGCCATTTCGGTAGAAGGTTCCTCGGTCGGTCATAATTCTGCGGCCTTCGGCGCTAACCTTCTCTTTCGAGATCTCAATCATAGCAGTTTCGTCGATTGACCACACCTTCAGCTCTCCGTCGTTTCCTGCGGTGATGCATCCACCTTGGTCCGGTGAAAGGCCCAAGCTCCAACATTCGCCATTTGTCTGCGCAACATGAGTCTCGATGCAGTGCTGTGATCCCAGATCCCAGATCTTGACGAGTGCATCCTTGCCGGTTGTCAACAAGAAGCCCGGGTGTTCACTGAGCCCGGAGGCATTAAGTAGCTCGGAAGAAGGGAAAAGGAAGTGGAGGGAGGTGATCTGGTCGGTGTGTCCGCGAAGTCTGAATAAACCGGTTTCGGTAATCAAGTCCCAGACGATGATGTCGGTGTCCTTGGAGCCACTGGCGAGGCGTACACCAGCGTTGTCGAAGGCCATGTGGGTCACGGCAGATTTGTGGCCATTGAAAGAGATAATGACAGTGCGGGTGCGCGAATCCCAGATGCGAATGCTGCCATCCTCGTAGCTATAAAATAGGAGAGCAAATGTTAGCGACCGAGGTCCGTTCATGACAGCAGGAAGAGCCTTACCCGACTGCGAAGATATCTTCATCCGTCTTGCTTTGAGTGACTACGGTCACAGATGCCTTGCACGCCGAATCGCGCCACCGGCCCAATAGTTCACCCTTCTTCACATCCCAGCAAAGAACCTCTTCACTGGCACCTACGACCGCTCGACCAGCGCCTGTCTGGCGGGCGGCGCCTGGGAGCTGCTCATCCTTGGCCCAGATCGCATTGGACGACGCCGAGGCGACGAGTCCAAATGTGCTCGAGTGCTCGAATTTGCTGAGAAATTTAATGTTAGTCCGTTAGGTATCCAATAGCAATCGTAATTGGCACCTACAAGTAAGATTTCACCATCGTGGGGTGGATGGGAAAATTTTTGGAGAATCGTAGACTCTTGCTATCGATAGCACAAAAATTAATACGGGCGGCGAGAGCGACCTATCCGGCTCCCCCACCGCCCGGTAATGACGATCGCGGGTTGCCATCCTCTCAACCTGCCATCTTGTTGACACACGTTATCTTTGCCTGTCATGTTGCTCTTGGATTACCAGAATGTTTTGATTCAATCGCTCCTTACGGAGCGGTTCTCTGGGTACAATGCCCCCTTCTCCCTCCCCACTTATTCCCCTCCCGGCTGCGTTGTTGTATACACTCCCGCCAGGCCCCAGCTAACCCCGTTGCCCGCAGTGCCCCCCCAGCCTCCATTGACCAAGTGGCCTCTGACTTTGACGGAGTGACATTCCACGTTTCAACCCCCGAGTCCAAAACCAAGATCCTTCTCTCAATCAATGTCAAATGCTTCAAAGAGCTTGTCCAGTATGGCGCCCAGGAGGTACTTGAGCGGGAATACGGCCCCTACATTGTGTCTCCCGAGCCCGGTTATGATTTCTCCGTCCAAGTTGATCTTGAGAATTTGCCTGCTGAGCAGGAGGCCCGGGATGAGTTGGTCATGAAGCTCGCCCTGTTGAAGCGCAATGCCATGGCAGCCCCATTTGAGAGAGCATTTGATGAGTTCAACAAGCTTGCGGAGGAAGCTTCACGATACACTTCAGAGTCAGCACCACAGGGTATAAAGGAGGGTGGAGAGGTGATGGCCATTCATTACCGGGAAGAGGAGGCCATTTACATTAAAGCCAGCTTTGACCGGGTGACTGTCATCTTTAGCACCGTGTTTCGGGAGGAGACAGACCGCATCTTTGGCAAGGTCTTTTTGCAGGTTTGTTTGATCTTGGACAGTAGTTAACTTTTTCTTCTGGTGCTGATGGGAATGTTTCTTAGGAATTTGTGGATGCCAGACGTCGTGTGGTGACCCTGCAGAATGCCCCTCAAGTACTCTTCCGCAATGATGCCCCATTGGAGCTACAGGGTGTGCCTGGCCTGCTCACTGCAGGCGAAGGTGAAATCAGCTACGTTACTTTTGGTAAGAACCCACTGTTTTTGATTTTGGACCGTATTCGGGGTTATTGACGTATGCATATAGTTCTGTTTCCCCGGCACTTAACTCCCCAGCGCCGCTATGACAACATCTCCCACATCCAGACCTTCCGTGATTATTTCCACTACCACATTAAGGCTTCGAAGGTATTTTACTATCCTATAAACTACTTAAAAATTAATAAACTGACATGACAGGCGTACATCCACACCCGTATGCGCAAGCGCACAGCCGACTTCCTTCAAGGTACGTGCATCTTTAAAGCACACTCATTATACTTGTTACTAACTTAAAAACAGTTCTCAACCGGGCCAGACCAGAGAATGAAGAACGTGAGCGCAAGACGGCCAGTGGACGGACATTCCGAGTGCAAAGTTAAATTGTGGCTTCATGTTGATATCCATCCGGAGGCGAGCGTTTTACGAACCAGCAAAGCACTTCTTATTTTATACTTATCTCATTCTTTTCCAGTATAGCATGAACCTAGTATTGTTACTAGTCCTAATCGCGTACCTTCCTGTCTGTATACAATCTTGGGTACTAAGCCTTTTCGGGCCATGTGTGCATCTTAGCGATTAGCCCTAATTCGGAAACCGCCAACCCTCCCTCCCTGCTTCACGAGGCTCAAAGGTCATCGGAGAAGTTAGAAAAACAAATGTCAAGGACTCAATCTTTATCCCGTGACTTTTCCAATCTTAATCTCCTCAATCAAATAATGTCCCCTTAAGTTTGAAAGGCATCTTTAGGAGCCTGGAGTTTCATAATGCTTCACCGGACCAAGGAGCACTTATCGAACTTCTCTTTCTTCAAGCTCCTCCGCAAAGACGCGTCTTCTCAACCCCGCATCTCCAAATCCACTAGCGAAGAACACAATTCTGAGTCTGTACTAAGCTCAGATACCTGGGTTGACGCGTTTGAGGATCAGCCATTCAAAGAATTTCCCACCTACTTCGACAACCCCCCAAACTTCCACCCCCCTGTTGAAGTTGATGCAGCTGAAAATCAACGCGAAGAAGGATATCAAAGATACCCAAACAACCCTCCACCTCTGCAGCAGCCTGTTAAAGTTGTTGCAGCTGAAAATCAACGCGAAAAAGGATTTGAAAGATACCCAAACAACCCTCCGCCCCTTCAACTGCCCGTTGAAGAATATCTAGCCAACATGGATTTTGATGAGCATCTTGATAGTGATTCGGATTTCCCATCGGTAAGTTAATTGCCCTTCCTTCTCATACTTCATTAAGTATGGGAAATAAGGCATACGTCTAATGACCTAATGGTTGGAACAGGTATCGTCGGCGAAACATCAGTCGAGTCCCTACAGCCTCAATGGCGGCGAATGGGTGACCAATCTACGTTCGACCTCAATCTCGCCACCTTCGAGCTATGGAAAGCCCCAGGAGCCCCAGGCACCCAAGGTGATGAGGTTGGCCCTGAATGACATGACCGAGGAACAAATCGCTAGCCACTTCCCTCGTGTACTCAAAATTTTCTGCCGGATCTATGCTGTTGCCAAGCTTATGCAGGTTGCATTTCTAGGTTATGGAATTGAGGTACGTGGTTTCAAAATCCATCTTGACTTACAGACCGATGACCTTAATAGCTTGACTCATCTGAGACGGGATTGCTTTACTGGATCCATCAAGCTGAGACCAATGTCCGGGCGGATTCCCTTTTTGAACTGCTCCCAATTGTCGAACATCTCTTCTATGCACTTTACGCTCGCGTTCAATTCGAGATGTCGTGTGTCGAACTGTGTTGGTTGTTTAGATTTGCAGCCCGTCCAGGCAATCGCCGGTTCTACATGCCTGTCCCTCATCACATGTATCGTCTCTTCCATTTTTTCAGGGAGATCCTGAGCGACCCAGAAATCTGCGGTGGGCATGACAATGGCATCATCTGTCATTTTATGGAACGATATGTGTCGCTCGTCATCGAGAAAGAGAACAGCAAGGGACCGTTTGTTGCTGATGATATACTGGGATACCGCCAGTTCGCTTACAGCCTCACTCGCAACCAAGGTTCTAAGTACTGTAGGAAATGGGACAGCCTAATTCCCATCTTTCCTGACTTTCCAGCTGAGATCCTGGTTGTGCTTTCCGAGAAATACCTCACCGTTACCCCCAAGCGTGTGCCAGAAGTTGATATTCGCTCAGAATGTCTTCCATTCGCCAACCTGGAACTCATGGATCCAGTTAAGCGCGAGAGAGAAATCATCCTCGACAACCATCTTGCCACCGTGGCCAAATTGGAGGGCAAATGCATCGGAGACTGTCGACGCGAGGATCAGGATTGCAATTTGTTGCACAAGATAAAGCAATTCAAGTGCATCTGCCGTTCACGCTGCTCCTGTGCTCGTCTGTGCACCCATAATGTGGAGAATCCCTGCCCCTGTGCTGAACGACAGTTGCGTATGCAGCTAGCCATTAACCGTAATGGTACTGGCCGGTATGACTTTGCGACGCGTGTTAGCACAATTGCTATGGCTGGGTTCCAAGGCCTTGCGGTTATGAGGACAAATGTCCATGATGATCTCGTGGTCGCTGAAATCGCCGGAATCCTTGGCGTGATTAAAACGGAGATCCAAAAGCAGCGGGCTGCTGATATGAACAGCCGGCCGGGTGTGAATGATCAATGGGCATTTTAAGGCATTTATCTCGGAGTTGAGCATGTCTGCGGGTATGGAAAGGGAAAGTGGCACATGGGACATCTCATTTACCGACTAACACAGCGTATTCTGTTATCTACTAGTAGTACTGTGGGCGGCCCTCTTCTTTTCTTTTTTTGTTTGATTATTGCTTACTGAGTCCTGGAGGGAAGGAGTTTTTTTCAGCTTCAATGTTTGCTATGATCCGGTCTAGGGAAAGATAATATCATTATTCAATCAAAGACTTGTATTCGTAACTTACCATGCCTAGAGAAGTATGTAGTAGTAGACTTGTACATATAGTCGTGCTACCATCAAAGCACCGACATACTAGCCAACATAGTAAACACGGTCCCCTTTCCGTGTCCGAGTCGGTGTACCTCCTGCCCCGTTAAAAGTCCGTGAGGCGGGTCTAATAGCCAGTAATGATCGACCAGCTAAGCCTCATCGTCAATGCCCCACGATCGGCCCCCATAATACCTATTAGGAACCCTTTGTCATGACCAAAATGGTTCTTAGTTGTGCTCCTGTGTACAGAGTAGATTCACGAATCCTGGTAGTCCGTATACGGTCGAAGGATAAGTGACTCCATAGAGACCCACTTTAGTTGCTGCACAGATATCTGGGATCCTCATAGGAATGTGACAGAAGCATAGATAGGGCAAGGTATGAGTCAAGATAAGGAACCTCTTGTCATCGAAAAAGTCCATGTCCGAAAGACATAATGTTTTCCGACGGTAAAAGCCGGGGGGTATTGAACGGAGTATATGAAGCTTTGAAATTTGAACGGTTTTTTTTTGTGTCTAGAACGCCGAGGCTCCTCTGTATAGCGGGTCGACCATTTTTCGGTGGTTTTGGCGATCATTGGATCTAGAAGGGGGCACATCTTCAGATCTATTGGAAAAGAGAGGTAATAGTGTTGAGCTATGAATCTATTCTAGTCAGAATTACCCCAGAGATGCATGTTCAATCCAATTCAACAAAAAAGGAGGGTTAGGGGGCCGTGTTGCATTTTTCCTCATATGACACGCCCTACCACGTAGAGCAGAGCACAGTTTCCCGGTCGGCGCAACAGTCCACTCAACGTTCGCGATTGTATGCGAGCTTCACCGGTGAATACCGGCCTTGCAAAACAACATTCTCTAAGAAAAATCTCTTCTCTTTGTTTACTCATTCATTCAATTTACTTCATTTCTTCGCCAAAATATCACCTCACCAGGACATGACTACATCCTGAAAAAAAAAGAAAAGAAAACCCTTCTCCCTTGCAAAACCCTCCCCCAATCTGACTGGGCCTCGAACATAATAACTGCGAACCAAGTCAAGGCATGGTGACCACGGCAAAGGTTCCACAGTCACTCTCGTCTATATTATCGTCAATAACATCCTCAATATCACTGCCATCATGGTGGACCTCCACTAGGTCAAATGTCAGCCCGGGCCGACTAAAGCTAGAGACGCGGGTGCCGGCGCGGCCATACCACGCGGCTGTGTGGCCCTCATATGGCACCACCACCCCCGTCCCTAGTCACCAACAGAGCCTCGCCTATTCCCCATTCAGATTCGAGACCGGTTACGCCTTACGTGCCAAACGCCCTTCCCGCCCATTTCCCCCACCGTTCCTGTCTCCGCCGTCTTCATCCTTTTCCGATCCTTTAACTACCCACTCCCTGAACCAGGATAAGAGATTATCCGTCAAGGGTGAGCTGATCCGTGGCTTGAATAACGGGGACGATGCGGTTATCGTTGCCGAGAACTTTCTCGGCGTGGATGACGGAGTAGGCGCTTGGGCGACGAGACCCTGTGGCCATGCAGCGTGAGTTTCCTCCCCTTCTTCCTGACTGCCGTCTACCTTTCCCGACCTATCTCAACGCAATAGAAAACCAACAGAAAACTAACAACACACCCCCATCCAAACAGTCTTTGGTCTAGGCTTCTACTGCATTTCTGGTCTCTCGAGATCGAACGCAGTCTCACCCCAACTGCTCTCCCCGACCCCGTGGGATACCTCCAATCAGCCTTTGAGGAAACCATCCGCGCAACCAGTACCCCAAATGAATGGCTCGGAACCACCACATCTGCCACAGCACTCCTTCATTGGACGAAGGGTAACGATGGCAAGAAACAACCCCTCCTCTACGTGACGAATCTGGGCGATTGCAAGATTCTCGTCATTAGACCCAGCGAGGAGAGACTTGTCTTCAGCACAACAGAGCAATGGCACTGGTTCGACTGCCCAATGCAACTGGGCACCAACAGCATCGATACACCTCGTAAGGACGCCGTGATGACAAAGGTCCCCTTACAAGAAGATGACATCGTGCTGGCCGTGTCGGACGGCGTCATGGACAACCTGTGGGAACATGAGGTTGTGACAAACATCCTGGACAGTCTCAAGAAATGGGACCAGGGGTCTCAAGATACGACCGAGCTGGCCTCGTCGGATCTATCGAATGATCGCATGGTTTACGTGGCGAGGGAGCTGATGAATGCTGCTCTGGTCATTGCTCAGGATCCATTTGCGGAGAGCCCATATATGGAGAAGGCCATTGACGAAGGCCTTGCCATCGAAGGAGGTACGTTTGTCTGCTGTTTATTTTTTACCAGAATGAATCAATACTAACATCTCGCAGGAAAAATGGACGATATTTCCGTCGTGGTTGGTTCTTGCCAGAAACGCACTGGGTGATGAGTATCAAACCCACCCAGCTTAAGAACAATCCATCCTTTATGCGACCAGACTCGCACTGAAAGTCTACAAAGGAGCACTGGCCATCGTGAATAGACCATGAACCATTTCATCGATGAAGAATCCGGTCTCTCTGCCATCACTCCCGATTCAACCCACATTCTATACGTCGAATGTGGAGGGGGGTTTTCGGCTTCAATCAACCATGCCCCCTGCACTCGATATACGAGCAGGGCGAGGCATCTTTATGTGTCCACGAAATTCTCATGCTGAGAGACATGACCGGTCGTCTCTACAAACAGATACACAATAGCCTTTTCCTCGGGAAACTCCAAACGAGAAATGACGGAGGTCTTGAGTTGGTGAACAAATTAATCTAAGATACAAACTAATAGAAGTCCCTTCCGTGCTTATTCCTCGCCTTCACTGCTCGGGTCCCTGCGTAAAATTTTGCGACATCCAGATTTCTCCAGTTCGTAGTTGAGAAGCAATGTATACAAGTAAAAACTAGTAGGCAATAAGTAGTGAGTATTGATAATTCTCGAGTACTGCGTAGGTACTATCCATCTCAAGAACTTAGTCCCCGGTAACAGAGCTGAAATACAGGTACTTCCATCGCGAGCTAGGAAATAAGTGTCACCCAGATCACGAATTGTGCCTTCTGTTGATTTTGCTCTTCAACGAGCATAGAAGATTCTCGCGAGCGTTGCATGAACTTTGGGTAGTTCTGGGCTAGAGAGTGGAAATTGGATGAGTCCTCTCAATGGGAGTACGCTAGCTACTAGAAGTCTAGAACTATACTAGTGTCTGGAAAAACAGTACTAACTACTAACTACTCCATAATCCATAATTGAAAATTCACGTGGCTTCCTATTAGTTATTGGAGTCAACTGGTCAGATATAAAAAGTCACGTGTAGATCTAATCGTGTCATGCTCTTTGCTTGCCACATCACCGCCTCACCCGCCGCCCGGCAAAATAAGAAAAAAGTTTCGTTCGCGCATCACTGCAACGAAATCTCCGTAACTACAACAATCATTATCCTCAACCATTCACAATGAGGGCCAAACGCTCCAAGAAGTACCGCAAGCTCATGCACCAGTATGAGACAACATTTGGCTTCCGTGAGCCCTATCAGGTGCTCGGTATGTCACCTTTAAAGCTGTCATCCGAACTCGAATACTAATTCATCTTCTATAGTCGACTCAAACTTCTTGCACGCTGTCGACCAATTTAAGATGGATCTGCTCCCGGCTCTAGAGCGGACTCTCCAGGGCACACCTAAGCCACGTCAGTAACCACACTCCAGCGAAGCATACCACAATGGCAAATATATAAATTGTGGCACTTCTTCACAACCGGATAAACTAACCAGCTACCAGTCCTCACAAAATGTTCTCTCGCAGCTATTATGGCTAAGCAACCGATCAACCCCAGAACCAACACACCTTACCGTCCTATGCATCTCCCCCCACCAACAATTCTACCCCTCCGCCACTGCACTCACAACGCGGAGCACAGCCCTATTGACGAGGTAGAATGTCTACTTTCTCTCCTCTCGCCTAATGCCGAAGTCAAGAAGAACAAAGAGCATTATATTCTTGCAACAGCTGAACCACCATCAGCTAAGAAGAGCGATAAGGCGGACAATCCGGCACAGCGCAAGCGCAAGACCGAAGAGGAGCGTGAAGAAGAGCGCGCAATGCGTCGCTCTAAAGCTTTGCGCTTCGGTGCGCGTGCCATTCCAGGTGTGCCTATCATCTACGTCAAGCGTTCGGTCATGGTCCTTGAGCCGCTGAGTACACGTACGGAGGCTGTGCGCGATGGCTACGAGATGGGCAAGTTCCGGGCTGGTTTGGATGACCCAGAGCTTGGTGCCAAGAGGAAGCACGACGGAGAAGGCGAAGATGGTGGAGAGAAGAAGAAAATTCCTGGGATGAAGAAAGCCAAGGGACCCAACCCGATGAGTGTGAAGAAATCAAAGAAGAGAGTCGAGGGAAATGCCGGTGGTGCAAAGAAGGATCAGGTGGAGCCAGAAGTGGCCGAGGCCGAGGCTGAGGCTGAGGCCGAGGGTGAATTCAATATTCCCACTAAGACTAAGCGGAGACGCCGCCACCATAAGAGCGCTGACGCTGGTGACGCTGGCGACGCTCAGATGGCTGAGGCTGGTGAAGCAGACGCATAAATTTGCGACAGCTCCTGGTTGGAATTGCATGATTTTTATTGTCCACGGCATGGCGTTCGGAAGGGGATACTCAGTTTTAAAAAGTCCAATGATCCAACTGTATATGGAAAATTAAAAGCTTGAGATATAAGCTCACCATTTGTTTCAATCCATTCCTAAGTACTGGGTTCCTAGGCCACCATACGATAATGTCTCCTTTGCAACCAGCATTCCATCTTAATCGAGTCTCCATATCCAGGGCTTCCCTGCTATATACTATACACATAAGTTCACCAGTATCATACAACCTCAATTTTTCACCGAGAAGAGAGTATCATCCCATCCAAAGAAGCAATCGACATAACTCCAAACACCAAAAATGACCGCAGCGCATCATAAAACGAGCTAAACGCTACTCATTGCTTCGCGCCATCCGTAGAAGCACTAGAAGTAGCAGCAGCAGGGGTCTGCACGGCACTCGCATCCAGCGCGCGCTCCTTGGCCCAAATATCCTCGATCTTCTGTCGCTTGCCGCGCGCGACTTCGCGGTTCTGCTTGGCCCGGTCGGCGCGCTCAGCGCCAAGACAGCGGTTCACTTCACGCTTAATATCATTGCAGTTTCCGAGGGCTTTGTAAATGAAGCCGCGAGCATGGCATTCGTCGAGGGCTGTCATGATTTCCTCGCAGTCTAGATAGGCTCTTGTTAGTTTGCGGACATGGTCGGATGAGGGCTCAAGCATGAGTCTTTGGGTCGTACGTACTGACGTTGTATGAGGTGTGGAGGTGAGAATGCATAATGGCGGTTAATTTCTAGTTCAAGGACTCAGGAATTGAGAGAATGGAGGACGTCTTTTTGAATCGTATGATGTCCAATACTCTTAATCGTTTGGTCCATGGAACAAATCGCAAAACCGCGGGCGGTGAATAGATCGGCCATTTTATGCCGGGCGGAAGAACCCCTCAGCACACCGATAAAAAAAATATCGCCGATAAAAAAAAAACCCGGACTTATCTTTGGAGATTGCTGTGATTACGTTCCTCACAATGTCGTCCATGATCACTACCACAACTTGGGTGAAGCGCGGTGTCGCTGCCCAGTTCCCCACCAAGTATGAAATTGACGAGGATGAAATGAACCGGATATCCAAGCTTGCTCGTATGCAGCTTGAGGATGCCAAGGACGATATGAGCGCCGCGCAGGGCGAGGATACCGCTATGGATGAGGATAAGAAGGAGGAGGATGTCATGAAGGATGACGCAGAGGAAGAGAAGGAGACCTCCAAAGAAGGCACTGAGTTGAAGACTGAGTATGTTTACATCCTTGTGTATGCTGCACTTTTCGACTTAAGCTAACTGGTGTTTTAGGGATGATGATGTTCTTAAGGAGTTCGATCTCGACCACTACGATAGCGAGGAAGTCGACGAGGATGGAGAGAAAGTCACCATGTTCGGCAACGTCCAATCCCTGGCTTACCACCAGCCCAACGAGTCCGACCCGTACCTTGTCATGCCCGAAGATGAGGACGATGAGGACCGCGAGGAGCTCCAAATTATGCCCACAGACAACCTCCTCTTGGCCGGAAAGGTCGAGGATGAAGTTGCCCACTTGGAGGTCTATGTCTATGAGGATTCCGCCGACAACCTCTACGTGCACCACGATATCATGCTTCCCGGCATTCCCCTGTGCCTGGAATGGCTCGACATGCCCGTTGGCAAGAACGCCGAGGGACGGACACAAGGTAACTTTGTTGCCGTTGGAACCATGGAGCCGGATATCGAGATCTGGGATCTGGATGTCGTGGACTCCATGTACCCTGACGCCATTCTCGGCCAAGGCGGCCGTGACGGCGAGCGCAAGAAGAGCAAGAAGAAGGCAAAGGCCAACGACGAATACCACATTGACTCGATCCTGGCTCTGGCAGCCAACCGTCAGCACCGCAATCTGCTCGCTTCCGCCTCAGCTGATCGCACCGTCAAGCTCTGGGATCTTAACACCACCAAGTGCGTCAAGTCTTACTCGCACCACACCGACAAGGTCTGCTCGCTGGACTGGCACCCTACAGAGTCCACCATCCTGCTGAGCGGTAGTTACGACCGCACCGTTGTCGCCGCCGATATGCGTGCACCGGATGCCAAGGCCCGCTGGGGCGTCGACTCGGACGTCGAGGCCGTCCGCTGGGACCCCCACGACCCCAACTTCTTCTATGTCACCACCGACGGTGGACAGGTATACCGCTACGACGTCCGCAATGTCCCCGCCACCCCGGCCGAGTCCAAGCCCGTCTGGACCCTGCAGGCTCACGACTCCTCCGTTTCCTCCTTCGACATCAACCGCACTATCCCCGGTTTCCTGGTGACCGGCTCCACAGACAAGCAAGTCAAGCTGTGGAACGTCGAGAACGACAAGCCCAGCATGGTTGTCTCCCGCAAGCTGGACGTCGGCAAGGTCTTCTCTACTTCCTTCGCTCCTGACTCCATGGTTAGCTTCCGTCTCGCTGTGGCCGGTAGCAAGGGTAACGTCCAGATCTGGGATGCCTCCACCAACGGTGCCGTCCGCCGTGCGTTTGTTTCCCGTCTGCCCGATTTCGAGGGTGAAGTAAAGGAGCGTATGGTCGGTGTGAATGCTGATGATGGTGAGGATTCCGAGGATGACGGTGATGCTGGCGTTGAGGCCGAGGCTCCCGGTCCTGATGGATGGGAGTCTATGGATGAGGATTAAATGATTTCGTCTGAGGAAGACTGATACCCGTGGAGTCCTGCTTTGATGTATACAAAAAATAGATTTTCTTACGTTTGCGATCACGCATGTTACTTGATGACCTTCGGTGGCTCTAGCCAACGCCAAAATGAATATATTTCACACCTCAAATTTCAATGTTCAGAGTATTTCCAATTAATAATTACTCTTCAAACCCAACACCTGGACCATGGCTATTCTTCAAAGCATGATCATAATGTCTCGCCGCGTTGAAATCAGCTCTATCCCTCTCATCCTGGCTCAGATGTTGACGTTCATCATGATGGTGTCCATGGGCGTGCTTGTCTGATGGATATTGTTAAGTTATTAGCGAAAACATAAACATTGAATATAGCATCTGGAAAAGTTCTTTGAATGCTGCTTACCGGCTTGGACATTCAAGGGCTGTTGAGTATGTTCTCCGTGCTCGGTAGGCTTGTTTTTTTCGTGGTGGTGGATGTGGAGGGCATCCTCGGCTTTGTGCAAGACACCGGACATTGTGATGGTATTTATAGGATGGGATTAAATTATTGAGCTTGGAAGTACTGATTGAGACTCGAGAGTTTTTGAGGATGTGATTCATACATTCAAATTGGTGCCGAGCTCGACGAGAGAAATTATATACCACCAAGAGATACATTCACTCAAGTACCTATGACGTAGAATGGCCTGATGTTTCAATATAGGGAAATGCCTCAATATGTCTCTAAGACTTACGTAGATGAGCGATCGGCCAAATGCATTCAAGTGTCAATATTTACTACGTACTTGCTTGGAGAGAAGTTCTGGGTGATATCATACGAGTGGAGCCACAGGTAAATCCGGTTGTCCGTTGAGATCAGATTCCGGGGGATAAATCATAGCCGTAGCAGCCGGGATGCCGGTTAAGAACCGAAGTGCAGGATGAAACGTCATTCGATGTGCAATCTCTCTTGAGAGGAATTTTGGAATACATTTTTTATTACTCAATGAATTGAAATTGAAATTCATTTGGAAAGATCAAACTTGGTTGAAAATCGATGAGCATCTAACTATGTTAATTTAAGGTCTTGTTTACTAGGCCAACTAGACTAATGGCCTGGATGATCTACTAGACTCCGCTGCCGTACTCATATGAGTTCTAGACCACGACCCATCGGATGTCCTATATACGTGCACCTTTCAAGGACACGTTTCATTGCATGCGGATGTGGAGTTTCTCCTTGCATTTCCCCCCTAATTTGCAATAATAAGCACACTGGGCTTTTACATGGCAAGAATTTCTACCAGTAACAGTAACCATATCCGCGATTTCCTAACAGAAGTACGTACGACGTACTTGTCTTATTTACTGTGCTTAATAAATTTGGAGGATCATCCCCAAAATCTGCCCCATGGCTGTTTCGAAGCGAGACTTGAAACGCATTTCTTATGGGTCCCGACTACCTAAATGGCTCGGCGGGTTCCCCCCTGACCATGAATTAAAGCTTTAAGTTATCAATCATAGTTTATTTTTGGTCTTTATGTTATATCGAAATTATTTTGTGTCAGATAAACCTTTATAGGTGTCTGATGAGACCAAAATTCGGAGATGAGCCGACATCCACCATTCACCTGGACATGTGGTGCGTAGTATATAAAGACATCGCGCAGCACCGATACTCAATTTTGGAAGCAGTAGAGACATTCTAAACAATTGGAACTCCAATTTTCAGTTACAATTCTCACCAAAATGCACTTCACTACTCTCTTCGCCCTGGTGGCCACCGCAGTCACGGTCTCGGCCACCGTCGACCCATGTTCATCGAACACAAAGGGTTACAAGCCAACCAGCTTGAACTGCTCTGGTAAGTGGATTTTACTATGATCAAACCGGAACCACTTCCTACACCTACCCACGCCACACCGTTCCTTCCCAATGCCTTGCCCTACCTAACTATCAGGTCCACGACGAAGACTGACTATAATCTTGCTACAGCTGCCAAAGTCTCGACTGCCATCCAAGCTGCCGAGTGCTCCCACAACACCCGCGTCTCCGGTACCCAAACCTTTGCTGTCTTCGAGACTGATCATCAGTACGACGATGACACCGGTGCCCCCTACGGTACATGCAGCGCTTATACTTGTGATGCCCCGGCGAGTGATGAGTTGGAGGAAAGCTCAGACTACTGGGTCTTCTACTGGAGTGATGATGGAGAGGACAGCGGTGTCGGTACCGGCTGTATTAAGGATCCACAGACTGGCGTCTGTGGCTGTGAGGACTCGGATGGAACTTTCATTTCCGGCAGCGACAGCTGTACTTAGATGTGCGTTGCATTCGCTCAGGCCTGTTTCATCCCTCGGAAGAGGAGAGCAACTAAGCAGACAAATATAAAAGATATTCATATTAAACGGAAGCACTGCGCCCGAATGCATTAACTAGACACCTTGGAAATCATCTATTTGTTATTATATTTTTCATGAAATCGAAAGACCGTACCGGTCTATCTAATTAGCCTCTTGGGCATGCACAAAAGTCGTCAAATCAAGAAGTCGGTTCGAGTATCCCCACTCGTTGTCGTACCATGCCATAATCTTGAAGAACTGTGAAAAAGTTAGCACTGAATCGGGCTAATGATCTCGAGAAATAATAAAGCAAGCATACCTGAGGGTTCAGCTCTGCACATGCTGGCGCATCAATGATAGCGCTGTATGGGCTACCGTTGTAGTCGCTGCTCACCAGCTCCTGATCGGTGACGCGAAGAACTCCAGCCATACTCGATTTTGAGGCAAGGCGGAACTTGGACATGATTTCTGAGAGAGAGGTAGGCTTCTCGGTGCAGACTGTAAGATCGATCATGGAGACGTTGGGTCTGGAAGTGCTTTGTTAGCTTGCGCCTTTCCACAGGAACCTGGAGGTGGAAATGACTTACGTGGGAACTCGGATGGAGACACCGGTCACCTTGCCCTTCAACTCGGGCAAAACGGTGGCGACGGCCTTGGCGGCACCGGTGGTGGTGGGAATTATATTGTTGAAGACACCTCGGCCTGGAAAGGGTTAGGAAATTGTTTACTGATGTTGGACTAGAGAAAGATATTGCTTACCCAGACGAGCGTTCTTCTTGCTGTATCCGTCCAGAACCTGCTGAGATCGGGTAGCAGCGTGCACAGTAGTCAAGAAGCCTTGAGTAATGCCGAAAGACTCTTGGAGAACCTTCAAGACAGGTGTGACACAGTTGGTTGTGCAGCTTGCATTGGACACGACACGGCACTCTTCACTGGGGGTATAATCGTCGGAGTTCACGCCGTAGACAAAGGTAGGTGCGTCTGAGCTAGGCGCGGAGATAAGCACACGCTTGGCGTTACCGTAGGTGATGTGCTCCATTGCGAGGTCGCGCTTTGTGAACTTTCCAGTGCATTCGAGGACGTAGTCGGCTCCCAAGGAAGCCCAGTCAAGCTTCTTCAAGTCACGCTCTGATGTAAGAGCCACTCGCTTTCCATCGATGGTGATCAGGTTATCTGACAGAGCTTGAATGTCGACTCGCTCATCAAGGTTTCCCATTGAGGAATCATAGCGGATGAGGTAGATGAGGTCTTCGACGGTAACACATGTGTGGTTGATAGCAACGACCTGGATATCAGATCGGACAAGAGCAGCGCGGAGAACATTGCGACCTATGAGGAAGCTGTTGGTTAGCTTGTGTTGAACTTTTTTTTTCTTTTTTTTTTTTCTGTGTTTAGTTTGATTGGGTAGCATAGATCTCTTACCTATACGACCAAATCCATTGATGCCGACATTACAGGCTGATGGAGAAATGGTCTGGCCAACGGGCACGTCATTGATTGAAGGCGCCATGATAAATGTGATTAATGAAGAGAAGGGTATTCAAAAAGATTCTTTTATAAAATTTGGACTTGTTAGAGATATGGCTTAAATTTATTCTATTATCAGAGAAATTTTCACCAGAACAGACGAGTTATAAGTATAGTCCAGACCACCGCCAGACCCATCAAGATGTCATAAAAACCCCTCTTAACCCGACTTGTTCCGCCACAGCACGGATCCTGATTCGGCTTCCAACAAGGTTAACAGCCCAAGCAAGATATGATTAAGGAATGATAGCAGGCCTTTCTCAAGATCCCATCACCAACCGAGCCCCGTTCGGCGGTACCGCATCGGATATCCGGTTGTGATGGATCTAACGGCAACCAATAGCGGCGTCTCATCGCCCCGAAATTCCCGCTTCCACTTCCCGAGCAACGCGGACATGGCCAACTCCGCCTATAAACGTGACGAACAAGCCTTGTCATCTCGGCTGGTCTACTGGGTCTGATGGGGCTTTTTCAACTCCGGGGTAAAAGTAGCGAATATCGGAGGAAGTTGAAGTAGATTTGGCCCTTTCCATTGGCCCTTCTTCAGTGCTCGGCGTCAGACTGGGTTAGGGACCACTTTTCGTGTCTGGGATCAGGTTCGTGGGTCCCAATTACTTTTGCGTGCGTTGTGATTTGCGGTTGAAATCTATTCCCGACCTTGGCTTGCTCCTTTCCTCCGCATCGGCATTCCGATGCGTGGTTTTATCATACCGCGGTCTGCCAAGATTCCGGTCTCGCCGGCCTCGATGCCGAGTGTACTATGTTTGGCGAGTTTTTATTTTGGATCACGGCAATTCAAGGGGGCAATAGCTGATGTAAAATCAACTCTATTGCGGATAGAGATCAACTTGATTTCGGATAGATGTTATACCAATGCCCGGTTTTACAATATGTAAAATCGACTGTCAAGGTTATCATTGAACCGTCTTCTACACTCAGCAATCACCTCCTCGTGCCCTACATGTCATACTTCAATTCAAACTGGTTTAAACGCGGGCTTTATTCTTATCTTTTATTATCTTTTATTTTATTTTTATTTCTAAAAACACCACGCGTCGTGGACGGAAATCTGCAGCAAATGATATTCACAGGCGACTGCTATGTTACTATACACAATTTCAAATCAGGCATTCTCCTTCATTTCGACAAAACACTCCTCCTTTTCTTCGTTATGAGCCATCAAGTCTGCCTCAGTCACCTCACCCTGAGGCAAATTCCGCGCCATAGAAACAATTTGCCAAGGAGACGAAGCATCGCGAAACACATGATTCAACAACTCCAAGTTGCGATTCATGGTCTCCGGATAAAAGAAATACACCAAGACGGGAATACAGGCCGATAGAATCGCATACATGATATAGTATTGGTACCCGATGGTATCAAGAGCCACTGGGGTAACCATCACAACGACAAAGTTCCACAGCCAGTGATTCGCAGTGGAAATAGACGCCATTGCAACTCGCAAACGCACCGGCGCAACTTCAGTGCAGTAAAGGAAATTCCCACCCAAAAACCCAATGGGGTAGAAGAGGTTGAAAAGAAAGATGAAACAAGCAGACGCTATCGATGCGTGTTTGTTACTGGAGTCGAAGCTGGCTGTAATAGCCAGCGCCGCCATACACGCTGACATGCCGGCCCCACTGACGATAAACAAAGTGCGACGGCCTAAGCGATCGATGGCGAAGAATGCGATGAAACAACAGAGAAACTTCCAGGTAAGCGCACATGCAGCCAGAATAGAGGAAAGTTCAGAGCTCATATGCAGATTATTCTTGAAAATTGTAGATGCGTATACCGAGATGAGGTTTCCACCGCACATCTGCTGAAAGAACTGTAGGACGATGCAAAGGCCAAAACGATATAGTAAACGTTCTTCATCATCTTTCGAGAACATTTCTCTAATTGCGCCTTTCGATTGGGATGTAGCTTCCAATGACAGTTCGATGCCGGCGATTTCGGATTTAATGCTTTCGTCACTAAGAGATAGGCCTTTGTATGCTGCCAAGTTGGTTGATGCTTCATCCACCCTGTTGACACGAACAAGCCAACGCGGTGACTCTGGAAGAAGAAAGACAGACACCAAAATGACAATAGAAGGGAAGAATGACACGGCTAGTGGTCCTCGCCACTGACCGGTGTTCGTGTCAGGAAGCTTGGTGAATGCAAAGTCGACCCAATTGCAAAGAGCGTACCCAAGACACAAGAAAATGCCCGAAGCAATAACATGCTGGCCACGAGTTTTGGCAGAAGAGCATTCGGACTGCCAGACCGGGACAGCGACACTGAATTGACCGGTCCCCATACCGAGTATAATTCGACCGACGGTAAATTGGATCAGTGAATAGGCCGAGACCTGAAGCAACTGTCCAATAATGGTAAGGATTGAGCCGATAAAGATCGTCTTACGACGCCCAAGTCGCTCGGAAAGAACAGTGCAAGACAGGGCACCCATCAACGCCCCAATCTGGAAAGATGCAATCACAGCACCTTTTCCGGTCGAATTCTTCGCTTCCACCGCACCCGTTGTGTTAATTGTGTCGATTTGAGGAAAAATATGGACCCAGCTCTGCAGCGTTGCCAGGGGACCAGCGCCGGCTTGATTGTAGCCAAAGATAATGAAAGCTGGGGCCACGATCAGGATAATTTGGGCTAAGCGAAGGGCCCTTCCTGTTAAGCCTAAGAATATTGGAGCCATGATTGCGGAGTTGAGACCAGCTCTTGTAGTTGAGAAAAGGAGATAAATGAATCAAACAAGTGAGAGAAAAAGGTGCCATGTTGTTTTTATAATTATTTCCGCACGGTACCATCCCCAGATTATCAAATGTCCGACAACAGCTGCGCTTGTCTTGGTGACCCCATAAACCTGGGGAAGCGGACCAAGACATCCCCGCAGAAGTACGGGATGGGGAAATGCATGGAGATCGGCTTGCTTTGCTGAACGCTGACTGGTTGGTATTTAGGAGGCGAAAAGTTGGGGAAACTGACCCACGTCCGGCGGAGGAGGCAATGTCCGGCTTGGCGACATTAGGCTGGAGTGGCATAACCCCAGGTATTATGTACAGCGGGGCGCCTATGCAATGACTCATTACATGTTGTAAGTTGATAAATGATATTTTCTTTCCGTTGGCGACCTGAATTTGCCCACTGTTCGTCTGGTGTGTAATGCTTCCACAATCATTCATTGAAAATTCACAATATGTACGATTCTTAACCTCGGACATTGTCAAGTTCGGAGCCGTCACCTTCCTCCCAGGGGTGTTCATGCTCCACCGAAAGGATCAGCTCTTCATGCGCAGCACTCCGGGGTGTGACCTGTAGCTTGTATGGGACTGGATGGCTGATAACTCCAGGCTGGAATTCCGGCTTTAAATCTACCTCAACATCGTTCTCCACAGGTTTGCTGATTTTAAACGCTGCGAGCGACTTTGCAACACTGAGCCATACTGTACTGTCTGCCAAGATTCGACCAGGACAGATGCGACGCCCAAAACCAAAGACAAAGCCACTCGGATCCATTTCCGGGCTCTGGCCATCGATTTCCAAGAAGCGTTCTGGCTTAAAGACCATAGGATCGCGATACAACATGGGATCGTGCATCATACCCCTATTCCACAAATTAGAACAGATCACATGGGCGAAATCTTCCCGACTCAATTTATCGAACCCCAAACTCACCAAATGTTCGGCATGACAAGAGAACCCTTCGGAAGAAAATACCCCTCGTACGTGTCATCAGCTGTCGAAACATGTGGGACTCCCATCGGTACTACAGTATGCCATCGGAAGACCTCCTTTACCACGGCGTTGACATAAGGCAGCTGTTCGCGGTCTGCTAATGTGGGAAGTCGGCCAGTCCCGATCACCCTGTCAATCTCATCATGGGCCTTAGTCTGGACTTCGGTCCTCAATGCCATCGCGATGAAGAATGCCCCGACTGAAGATACGGTCTAATTCATGTTCAGCAATAGAATAATTGGCGAGGGGATAGGGAGGTAACAAACCGTGTCAGCACCCGCGACATAGAGCGATGCAGTTGTCCATCGGGCAACCAACTCTTCCTCTGATCCGGGCAATGGAATCCCATTTGTTTTAAATAGATCGGAAAGAAAAGATGGCTCGTATCTGCCATTCTCAATCCGCTGTTGAACAAGGGTGTAAGGCTTTTTCGCAACGTCCTCGAGATTTTTCCTCCATTCCGCCGCGGTTCGCTTGAACGAAGCCCCCGGAAACCAGGCGGGGACATATTTTACTGGATTCGTATTAGCTTTGGAAGTGAGAGTGGGAGTTATGTGCCCAACTTACATGCTGGAATTATATCCACAAGCCAAGTGCCTGGTGTCGTAGCAATTGAGAATTGCTCTAGGGACACATTTGCGAGGTTCACCAACAGATCTTGGCTATGCGGCTCAACTCTGTAACCATAGGCGATTTTGAGAATGATCGCTCCTGCCTCACTGTTAAGCTTGGTCATTAACTGGGATCTATTTTGCTAGTGGCATTTTGGGTATTGGGAATCACTGACGTCTGGATATGCTGCGTGAGGTTCTTTTGGTTTTTAAGAACACGCCACAAAAAGCGATGGGTCTCCACCTCCTGCAGCGGTGTATACTGCGCAACGATTTTTTCCGAGCTAAAGTATGGTTTCAGAAGTTTCTTATAGGCTCTGAACCGGTCGGTGTATGGCTGCATAGATAACGCATGCTCCCAGCCCACCCTGTTGCCTTGTTAATGCAAGTCCCGATGAGTTCGACTTTTTTTCCCCGTGTTAGATCAACATTGGAAGGGATTTTAAAACTGACAATTCAGAGGCAAATGCCATATTAGGTCTTGACGAGTACAGCGAGGCGCGTTTGCGTAAAAGATCTGACGCTATCTTCGTATCATTTATGATAACGAGTGTCTGTCCCATCACCGTCACGGAGCTTATGGGCCCTACGGATAAATTTTCACATCAGCAATAGAAAAGAGAAGATAACCGTTGATGCACATCTTTGTACGTACCATACAATTCTTTATGTTTTAACCAATGCATCCAATCCTGCACACCTGGAGGCGGCAGATCGGCAAGGTTTCCCACGATTGGCCTAGGTTTCGGCCCTGGCGGTAGTGGCCCCGTGGGCTTTTTAGGTGTTATCCATAGTCTCACAACATAAAGAGCGAGTAGACCCAGTACGGAGTTTAGGATAATGTTTGACGACATTATGGCTGATTGTGCACGATCTTCCAAGATTGTAAAGTGTTAAGTTGAAATGAAAGAAAAGTGAGATTTCGAATTGCAGATGTCCAGTGAGGACTACTGTTATTCCTTTCATGCTAGTCTTCTGCAGCCTTATCAAATTTCTACTGTGCTTATTCACTAAAATGCCATACATAACTTTGCCAAGATCCCGGCACTTCAATGGTCGCCGAACGAAACAAATTTTTTCGATTAAGCCCTGCAACATTATGAGAAGCCTCGTCCTGTGAATGGCTACTACGAGGCAAGCGGGCCTGAGCCGCCTGACATAACTATCAGAAAGATAGTCCTTCGCTTACCGTATTTGAGCATGACAGCGTCGAAAATAGAATTTTCGGGCCAACATTGGCCACAAGCATGCAGCTTGAATAAGTGCCCCATAGGCCATAACCTTACATATGCCCTACGCCGCATTTGCGGCCGCACCCGCACCCGGGGCCGCACGCCTTACCCGCAACAAAGAAAAACAGGAATGAAGAAATGAAGATAGTTTGATCATTGGTCAAGGAGATAGCGGAGTTAGGAATTATCGAGACAATTCATATCTTGCCCCACCAGACTCTATAACTAGTCAACTAACTATAGTTACTCACGGTCGCCTATGATTGGTGATAATCTACACCTTTACTACTACTCAAGTACTTCCGGGCAAAATCCCATCACATGATCTCCCCAAGTACGAAGTTTCTCTAAGTAAATAAGCTCTCTTGGAATACCTAGGCCTTGCCCAGGAAGGAACATTTGAAGGTTCCACAAGGCTCTCAGCTATGAATCGGTTCACTATGAAATCAGTTCCTTCCGCAGTTCTGTACTTCTACGCGTCTTCCCATGTTCAAATGTTAGTACTCATTTTATGTGACCAACTAATTACCACAATTGATACGAGATCGCTTCCAAAATGTGAAGACCAGGTAGGTTCAAATGTTTACTGTAAAATCGAAATTCTCAAAATCTTATGAATTTGCATTCGCACCGACCCATAGGGCCAACTAGATTTCGTAACTATATCTTCTGGTTCATCCCCTCCCCTTCGGCAAGATAAACCTCAAACATCTGAACGAAACCTCCGCAGCATAATCTGCACCGAATTGCACAATGATCTAGTTGAAGCAGAGCACCGAGTACACCCATCCAATTTCCGTGTTGGTGCAGCCCCAGGTTTCGCCCTTGTGATGGCCAACATTCTGCGATTCACCACCGCAGTGAGACCCACTGAACAGCGTACAGTAGGTACCGCTCTCCTTGCCGGCACTCACCCCGAAAGAGGCGGCACCGCCGTTGAGATCGGTGCAAGTTCCCTCGACACTGGATCCCAGACTCTGATAGGCGTTGCAGTCGCAATCATCGCAGCTGTATGCATAGAAGGAATCGGCGGCTGCCATTGATCCGTAGCTGACCAGGAGAAGAGAGGGGAGAAGCGTCTTGAATTGCATGGCTAAAAGTTATAGGTCAGTGGTGCTATCGATTGAAGTTATCTGGCTGCGTATGTACTCACTGGCGGTAGATCAGGTTCTAACGTGCAAGATAGAAGTCTTGGGGATTGTGGATTGTGAATTGGAAGTGTTGATTCTGATGTTGATGTTATAACATGATCTTAGACGGGGCATTCAGACCCTTTTTATAGACGAAATTGAGATCATAGTCCGCAGAGGATTCTCCTTTGAGCATCGAGTGGCAGTCCCATGATCCAGCCTCTCGAGCAACGGAGTTTTGTCGACCTGCCAATTCCGTCTAGCTTATCTGACCTGTTGCCCAGAATGGTTTGTTGAATACGTCTGCCTTGTACGTCGGCAGTCCCGGATGAGCGGTGTAATTGAGATCTGCATTAGTGAAACACGAACGATGCTAAGATCAGGCCTCCCACAGGGCTATATCGTATTTCAAGGTTGAAGCTGAATGGACTGCTCGGCTACACCGTGCCTAAACAAACTAGGTCGCAAGCTTGCAGGTGGCAAGTTCTCCGATGAACCAATTGGATTGAAGATATCTCATTTTTTCCAGGCCCCTGTTCGCTGATTGCGGCTAAGTTCAGGGTCTCGTCACTCTCGTGAACCGGTCCCTGCAGATAAGTGGGCCCTGAAAGCGGGTGACTCTTGGGGTATTGCCCAGTTGGCCCCACTGGGCAACAGCGCCCAATCTTTTTAGAAGAATCAATTCCTCAACCGCAATTGCCTCATTTGGCAAGTTTTTCGTTCACGAGTGAGGAGCGTACTAAATTGATAGGTAAATGTGGCAAATGCTTGTACGTGTATAATGGGTGCAAAACCACACAAATTATCAGCAAACATCTTTTCCGGCCACCATAATCATGCACGAGTCATGACTAAGGCATGTGACCATCCGACATCGCCGACATCGGTCCAAGGTAGACGGACACATCCCGGAGCATCACCTCTTCTTGCTTCTACAATACTTTGACGTAACCCGTCCGATTCCACTTGAGTCCAAGGTTCTGCTTCAAATGCCTCGGATTGTTGTTGTGTCCTGATTACTGAACCGGAAAATGGATCAAGCCTTGCTTGTCTGTACGACATGCAAGAAAGGGAAAAGACAGTGCGACAAGCGACTACCCTTCTGCTCTAGGTGTGAAAGGTACGTTGCGATGTATATAAAACGTTTTTCTACGAACTACCACTTATATTTTCAATGTTTTTTTTTTCTCTTCTAAATTTGTGTATTATGCAGGGCAAATAAAGTGTGCGAGTATCCACCCATCCCCACACCAACAGCTGTTCAATACCATGAAAATCGAAATCTACCGGATAGAACGTCAATTCAATCATGCTTGAGGTGCAAGCTTCACAAACGCAAATGTGATCGACTTGCTCCAAGTTGTTCCCGTTGTACCAGGCAAATCCCCCCCTTCGTCCCCTGATGTCAGCGTGCATGCGTGCGTGAGCCGGCATCAATTAGTCACCTCCCGGTTCCCATCCATTATCGGCCTCAGAAAGCTGACGCTTTATTGTAGGATAAACTCAACTTGTGATTACGGGCCCATTAATGATGCCTTGTCGTCTATGCTACCAACTACCGAAGATATACAATCATTTTTGTATTCATCCGACACGAGCTTGGGTTCAAGTCCCCTGTCAGCGGGAATTGAGAATCCGTTCGAGCCGCCGATCAAATACCGTCCCTACATGCCACTCTTACTCAAGTTTTGTGAGTCGCCCCTAGGTTTATAGTACCGAAAAAAAGTAACATACTGGTCCGCGAAAAGCTTGAATACAGTCAAAAAGCTCAATACAGCTGATATTTCTAACACCGATACTTTGAGTTAGTCTCAACGTCGATAGCCTCATCTTCCAACGTTGCTGTCACAAACAGCTTGGCTTCGCACCTCCACTCGAAATGGGTTGAGGTCGCGATGCTGGACCCTTGTCTATTCCACGCCACTATGTTCAGTGCGTCGGCAGCTGTTGATCACTTGAAAAACCGTGAACACAGTTTAATAACTTTATATCACCATGCATGGGCTATTCGTCTGATCAATGAACGTCTTAGCAAGGAAAACCCAATATTGAATTATGGGACATTCGCATCTGTTGTACCCTTGATACTTTACAATGTAAGAAATTAACCCTTGAATTGGGGACCCGCTCAGTATTTCCGCCTTGAGATTGGCTGCTGATGAAGAGACAGATGCTGGCGTTAGACAAAAATTCTGCAATGGCTCACCAAAGGGGCCTGGTAAAGATGTTGCTTTTGACACCAAAGGCGCGGAGGGACGGGATAGGACCACTTCTTGGTATTATAAAACTGTACGAATCAAAATATCTGCTTTTCTTTAAGTCTTGGTTTGACTCTCATGCAGGGCCATGCTCGCTCTGTCTTGCGTCTTTGATATTCCTCCCGACTGGGATTGCTTGCTCTCACCTGAAATTCGCTCTCACTCAATTCTCCGCAATCTTGTTGCCAGCGCCTTCTTTCACGGTAATAAATCCATTCTCGAAAAGGCAACCGTGGATACGATTCTGAATTTGTATGAGGCGGTCTCCCAATTGAGTCAAGTCGATGAAGTCGATGCCCCTTATATCGGCGAAGTGATCCGGCAATTGGTATCCCAGGCAAAGAAAGATGGCTTCTTGAATCCCATTCCAAGAAAACCAGCGCCTTTGAGTACTGCGGATAGAGTCAATATCTGCTGTCAGCTCTGTTCATTCATATTTTGGAAGCTACTCGAAGGCCGCGCCCTGCTTGAAGCTGGCAGTCCTGCAACGAATGTGGAAGAGACAAAGTTATTACTGGAAGTTTTGACGGAAGTAGAGCCTCGATTTTGGATTCAAAATGCCCCAGAAACCTTGATATGGATTGTATTCACAGGCATCGCTGTATCTGTTGATGAGAAGGATCGAGGAAAGTTTTTTGAAATCGGCGGCACTTCCCTAGCAGCCATTGATTCTGACAGCCTAGCTTTGGCCAGACAAGGCTGGAGGTACTTTGTTCTCTTAAGGAGGCTAGCTGGTCTTTCGTCGCCTTCTGAGATGCCCATTTATTTGTCATATAAGGAGGCTACCGGGCCTCTCATCGCCTTCTGAGATGCCAATTTGTACAGTATTAATAATATTAGAGATTTGTCTTATTATACTCTCTCTTCGGTCCAGACCCACAGATCATGTGCCATTGCTGAATCTCTCGCAGCTTTGCTAGCCGCTGAAACTTTACCAACCGGCAGAAGATACGCTCCATTATCGCGATTGATTTGGAGAGACATGGATGTCGCGGCATAAACAATGGCACCTGCTCCCTCGCGCGGACCTGGAGCACCTAGCTCCACAAGCGGCTTTATAAAGCGATACATCGGCGTTGATGACAGCGGACCATGCGATAATCCCCTGTGAACAATTAGAATGTACCGCAATAACGACAATTCATATCTGTACTTACGTTTTGACAGTCCCCGGATGCAGAGAAAGAGACATGATCTTGGCATATCTCTTTGCCAATTCTTTGGAATGTAGCACGTTGGCAAGTTTTGAATGGCCATACCGAGCCCAGACTGAGAAACCATCTTTCATGTTCATATCAGAAAAAAGCATGCCCTGCTTTGGCGCCAGCTTTTCGTGTCCGTCACTGGAGACATTCACAATTCGAACTGTGCCTTCTAGGGTAGACTCGGTCGTTTTCAAAAGGGTTGGAAGAAGCAATTTTGTCAGGAGAAAATGCCCGAGATAGTTCACCTAAGAAGGAAAATCAGTCATTGGAGTTTTGTTTCAAGGAAACAATAGAATATTTACCGCAAATTGCATTTCAAATCCATCTTTCGTTTCTTCGTAGGGCAAACACATCACCTAGAATAGATTCAGTACCCTGGCAGAGATAATTTGAAACACACAAAGAGCGGCCACCTACGCCAGCATTGTTCACCAGTATATGAAGAGTGGACTCAAGCCTACAAGCCAGAATCAGTACGTCGTATATCATGGGCTAACGGTCTTGCATGCTTCATACTGAGTAAATTCTTCAGCTGCCAGTCGGACACTGTCTAGGTCGGCAAGATCCAGGGGAAGGAAATGGACATCTGCGGAGGGAAACTCCTTCAGGATGTCATTTTTGGCAATCTTGACCTTCGAGTCTGAGCGACTGGCAATGTATACACGCGCACCATGTTTAGCCAACTCAATGCTTGTACCGAATCCTCTGTCAAGGGTTAATAAATTTCATCTTGCACCTTTTCGAAATGACCCGATCGCATGCACTCACAGGCCTGTGTGTCCGCCAGTCACTATAGCAACCTTTCCAGACAGATCGGGTGTCGATGACTTTGTAGTGCCCCCCATGATTGAATATCGGCAAGGAATACAAAAAGACTTGGAGTTTAGGGATCAATGAGTACCACGGGAAGCTTTATACTTAAGTATGCATTCGAGAGCACATAATGGGCGGTTTTAACCCTGGAAGGTGATAAAACACTGCGGATCTGTGTTCCAGAAATTTTCAAATCCATTTCCACACGCACTATCCCCTGCGTTGTTCCATTCTTGAGGTTGGTAACCATGTTGCCTTCCTAGGCTCCGCTTTTGTCAAGTGCGGGTGCGGCTCAAAACGCGGCGTGGGGTCGAATCGGTCGATCTCTACAGGGCAGCAGCTAATGTGCAGATGCATGTGGAATATCCTTTTCGATCGATCGTTAAATCCGAGTTTATCTCCTTCGACCTGCATGATCATCAATTATGAGAATTCGTATTTCAATGTTTCTTCAATGTTTCTTCTCAAGTGCGGCGTGCGGCCGCAAGTGCGGGTGTGGGACCCCGCTGGAGTGGCAAGAGGGGGCTACTAATGCAGTCTAGCCTGCTTAAATGTCAATATGCATAGTAACGGATTTAAGCAATAATTCGGAGGAGTAATAATCTTACTGCATACCGTCAGCCGATTAATAGTGTCCAATAACTAACTCTGTCCATTATCCAGTGGCCGTTCAAGCACAGACTGCTAGTAGCACCTCAAGTGCTGTGACAGGGCTAATCTTTGTATCATCAAAGTCACAATCGAAGCCAATGCAAGTTTTCGCAAAACCAATTATCATCCGGTAGATAAAATTAAATTTCCTGGCCCTACATGTATTTGCAAGGTGCCTCATCTGAATAATCAAGCATATGTGTACTTGGAAACGGCCTCTTGCAAGATCTCTTGGAACTCCTCCAGTGGAATGCCAAATCCCTCTTCAATCTTCTCGCTGAAGTCTGCACCATATCTATTTGTCTCCTCAAATAGCCCATACATGCCCAGCATCTGGTAGGCTGCAGAGTTGAGCCTATCCTGGACCCCATCGGCTGTGTCCTGAGCCCACATTTCCTTTCCTTGTTGAAGAAATGTTGAGAGCGGTATTTCGTTCTTACTCCATACTTCTCGGCTGTCGTCAGACTCGTCACTAACGAGAGCCGTAACCAGCTCATTGGAGCTAATAGTGTAGTCGGCAAAGTAGGCGGCGCGGTTCAGAAACGCGACCGGGTTTTTCAGAACAGCAACAGACGCTCTCCCAACCATATCTATGGCTGACATGCTGACTTTCTGGTCCCCAGATCCAAAGACCATGACCTCCTTGGATTCTCCATTTACCCAGAAGACACCTAGTGGAATGGCTATGAAGCTTGAATTAGTTGCGACGCGTTTCCCAAGAAAAAATAAGAGAAAAGAAACCGAGGAAAGAAAGAACTGACCCCAATCAAAGAATGGCCCTGTAATGATAGCGGTCCAGTTCAGCCCATGTTTCTCGGCAGCCGATTCAAGAATGCGCTGCGCTTTCAACTTCGGCTCAAAGATCGATAGTTCTTCAACGTTCGGGTTGAAAGTATCGCTGCTGAAGTCAGGGGTAATGATATGGCGTACGCCAGCATCGATTGCGGCTTGAACAATCTGCTCCTGAAATACCGCAACGTTTGGATTAAATGCCTCAATAATAGCATCTTGTCCGCTGAAGGCCTGTTTGAGTGATTCTGGAGAGCCATAGTCAACTGAAATCTTGACTGCTTCCGGAGGAAGATCAGACATAGAAGTCAGGGTTCTACCGCCAGCCGTGACAGAGAATGAGGCTTGGAGAAGGGCGGAGACAACGTGTCGTCCAACATTTCCGGTGGCCTAAGAACTGATTAGAGCCACATCCACCGTATCGAATCACAAATTACTCACACCTAGTACGATAACTTTGCGGATATCCTGCATTACAGCAATCTTTCCAAGGGGGTGGGCAATTTAACACGGGTTGCACGAAGAACTAATCTCTCAAGTTCTAAAATTTGATGAATTGATTATTGCATCTCTCTTGGAGGCTGCCTTTCCACTTCTTATACTTGTTGGTAGTTCTCGCCTCGGATTTTCTTACCTATCCATTTACTTCAGTCCTTGTCATTCAATATCATCCTATTTCTAATCATTGTTAATCAAAAATGGAGGAAGACGTCATACGCTTACCCTCCAGTCCGATCATTGGGTGCAAGACAAAGCAAGCAAGCATCTGTGAGAAGAAGGGGTACAGTCGGGTGGTGGGGTTTGACTTCGGTAGTCCACCGACACCGGCGGCAGCCCACTGAGCCCGGGCCCCGGGCTACCACCAAACCTGTCAGCCTGCCACAAGGTTCACTTTGAGTACTCCAGTTTCATTCTCGCAGGATATATATTACTAGGCAAATACGCAGGTAATGCATGGTTGGTTCAATGTTTTCTACTCTGTATTAAAAGCGCTCAGTTCTTCACGGCAAATATTTGCATAAAATCCAGCTATTGGAGTATCTACATTGTGAACATTTTGAACATGTCTGGAAGTATGGATGCTGGGGTTGAGGTATTCGCGCTTCAAAGGAATGTTCATTTTATAACATCAAATCTTTTAGTTTTGTACAAATTTATCTATTTAGAGCCCAGCTGTTTCTTGATCTCCGCAACAACAGCATCGGTGACCTCCTTGGTAGTTGCCTTTCCACCCAAATCGCGAGTGAGGACACCCTGTTCACAGACATTCTCAACACATTCCAACAACTTCTTGGATGCATCCTCCTCACCCAACCAAGCAAGCATCTCTGCAGCAGTCCAGAAAGTCGCCACGGGGTTAGAAATGCCCATTCCAGTGATATCGAAGGCAGAGCCGTGAATGGGCTCAAACATGCTGGGGAATTCGCGAGTAGGATCGAGATTAGATGTAGGAGCGATACCAATAGAGCCAGCCAGCGAAGCAGCAAGATCGGAGAGAATATCCGCGTGCTATAGAGTCATGTAAGTAACAGAATTCCCCAGATCGTGTGCGTGGTGTACTAACCAAGTTTGTCGCCACAATCGTATCCAAGCTCTCGGGCTTCAGGACCATCCGAGTAGTCATAGCATCGACAAGCATCTTGTCAACAGTGACATCCGGGAAGTCCACAGCAACTGCCTTGGCGACCTCATCCCAGAGAACCATGCCGTTACGCTGGGCATTGCTCTTAGTGACAACAGTCAGGAGCTTCCGCGGGCGCTTCTGAGCAGTCTCAAAGGCAAAGCGCATGATTCGCTCAGTTCCGTGTCGAGAGAAGATGGACACCTCGGTGGCGACTTCCCATGCCTTGCCTTGGTGGGAGCGACCACCCTGACCGGCATATTCGCCCTCGCTGTTCTCGCGAATGATCACCCAGTCAAGGTCTCCATTCTTGCAGTTGCGGAGAGGCGATTCAGTACCGCGGAAGACTCTAGTTGGGCGCACATTGGCATATTGCTGGAGGGGTTGGCAGATGGACAGGCGGAGACCCCACAGAGAGATGTGATCGGGGACGTCTATGACATATTAGCGATTCGGTGGTTTCAATCAATCAATATACCACTAAGTTGAATAAAAGTATTTACCTGGGGCACCAACAGCTCCAAAGAAAATGGCATCGTGCTTCTTCAGCTCGTCAAGTCCACCATCAGGGATGTACTTTCCAGTCTTCTTGTATGTCTCCGAGCTCCAATCATAGTGCTTGAAGTCCAGCTTGAAGGTCTGGAGTGTATCTGTCAAGGCGTTCAGAGCTGCGATACCGGCATCGATAACCTCGGGGCCAATGCCATCAGCAGGGATAGAGGCAATGCTGTAGGTCTTTCCTGAAACAGAAGGCGACATTTTGAGTTAAATAATATGAGATTCACAAAGTGAGATCGAGGTGTTGTGCAGTAGAGGGGTAAGGAATTTCTGCAATGCGGGGGATTCAAGGCTTTTTGTCTCTAGCTCTTTCAGTCACTTCTGGATCTTGATGGATCTTGACCCCCTCATCATAAATCATTTTGGCCAATGAGGGTTTGGAGAAGATCCCTCGGGGGTTTCCAAGTCCGATGGGGTCTCCTGGCTGGGTGATGTTGACGCGGGGGTTCTCATCTCCGGGGATCCACCAGGAGAAAGACATGTCCGGATCATGGATGTTCATTCACGGTACGGAAGAGTACGGTAATACCACAAGCCTCATCTATCATCCTTTCAACTTATGAATCTAGACTAATTTTTGCGGCCCAAGGAATTCTTCCGTGACATACTACTAGTCCTTCTCAAGTTGGATGTGACATCTCTTCCTACTGGTATCATCCCACCCACTCTTACCAAACCGATCCTCAACCTCAACCACAATGGGCGCTTCTAAAATCCCCCAAGAAAACATTGACAATATCTTGGATCGAATTTTACCATCTATAAGTCACCACATCATCACACAGTCGGCAGCTTCAACCAAGCGTCCCTTCATACTTGCTCTCACAGGCCTCCAAGGCAGTGGCAAGTCCACATGGACCGACGCGCTTGCGAACACTCTCCGCAATAAATACAACTACAACACGATCAATATCTCCTTAGATGATCTATATCTGGACCACGATGATCTGGTCACACTTCGAGAGACCAATCCAGGAAATAAACTTCTACAAGCTCGTGGACAGCCTGGAACACACGACACGGCTTTGTCCGTGTCATTTTTCGAAGGGTTGAGAAACTCAGGAGAGACACCGATTCCAGCTTTCGACAAGAGTCTGTTCAATGGGGAGGGTGGGAGAGTCCCATCACACCAATGGAAGTCAGTCGCCACATCCGGCATTGACATTGTTATCTTCGAGGGATGGTGTGTTGGATTCCAGCCTCTCACCGAAGAACAAGTTCGATTGAGGTGGAGTGGAGGCTGTGGAGCAGGTGATGGTGGTAACGAGGCGAGTGGGGCGACGTACCCGACAAATACCCTGAAAGATCATGCGATTGAGCATCTTCTGGGTGTCAATCGGAGCCTCCAGTACTATTGCGAAACGTTTATGGGGTCGCGACATTTTGACTACCTCGTTCATTTGGATACAGATGACCTGATCAACGTCTATGAGTGGCGTATCCAGCAAGAACATGCCCTTCGCCAGATTAAAGGAGGTGGCATGACTGATAAGCAGGTTGTGGAATTTGTCAAGGGCTATATGCCTGCATATGAGCTGTATTTGGATCAATTGCGAGGGGGAGTATTTGTTTGCGAGAAATTCAAGGGACAGTTGCGCGTGGTTTTGGATCAGAGGAGGCAAATAGTTGCCATAGATACTGTCTGATGAAACCTGTGTTCTAGCCTGCAACACTTTCGTTATTTGAAGAACAAATTCAAATTTTGTATTATAAATGGTCCATGCGGGGCGTTTTGAAAGTTGTCTAGTAGGCATAGAGAGGGAAATGGAGGATTAAGTGATAAGATTCCAAAATCCAAGAGAATCAACAAATTGAAATGTGGGTATCATTATAGGAAGTTTCCATCAATGATCCATGGCCCATCTGCTACACTCCAAAGATCATTCATGAAAAAAGATGCGTCCGAAAATGGTTGAGACTCCTGGCCTATATTCCCTGAGTAGATGTTGGAATGGGTGTTCGCCATGTTGCCAAAAATCAGTCCAGCTGAAGTTTGTCCGTTTGATGAATACACATCCAGCACGGGTAGATCAATTGCGGGGCCGTGGTTATCATGTGGCGGAATGATTGCCGAGTCAGGTGGCTGCCCAGAGTTAGCAGGATTTGCCGGGGTTCGGAATCTTTGTGCTGTCATCGAAGGTGGATCAACCTGAGATGAATTTGTTCCTTGGTTATCGGAAGAAGCGAGAGTTGGAATACCACCCACTGACCGGCGTGGTGTGAGATTTCTGGGAGAACCGGTTTGATTTCGTGTCAAGATTCTATCATTGGCAACCAAGCTGGATGGTGTTTCCTGGGATCCAATGTTGGAGAGCAAAGCTGACTCCATGCTTTTAATTGCTTCGATACATGTCTCTGGCCAGCTGCTCCCTCGAAGCGCGAGATGCTCCAGCACAGATATGCCCATCCTGGCATATTTCAAAGCGGTGGCTACAGGAAGTTCGCCTTCCCACGATGCATACATCAAGATGAGGCATGCCATCCATGTTGTCCAAGTGAAGGATGGCCAGGTCAAGGGGGTATCAGAGGAAGAAGACATGAACTTTCTCAAAGCAGCAAGCAAAGACCGCGAAGAACCAATGCATGTTTGTAAAGCATTCTTGTAATCAGGGTTGGGTTTCTCAGCGGCGAGAAGAGGTCTGTTCATAGATATGATTGCTTCATGTCTTAGAACCATGAGCAGAAGCCTGTGATACGGAGCGAAAATAGGATTTTGTTGGAGGTCACCCGGCGTATCTGAGTTATCCTCGATGGGATTGACGTCGTCATAAACTTCATTCCACCATTGAGACAGTTCGCCGTTTACATGCGATGCCTCGAATGTACCAGCATGACTATGCAAGATAGATTTGTTGCGCAACTCCAAAATCAGGCCTCTTATTCTTGCAAATTTCGCAAGGTGACAAAGTAGTTGGAGGCGACCGGCATCGCAGTGATTGGGTGGATCAACGTGTCTTTCGGCTCCAGGGTAGCAAACATCAATGTCATCGTCTCGAATACTGAGAGGGACGCCAAGAGCCTGAGACAAGTATCGCTCGAGAGAATATATTGACCAAAAAAGGCGACGTCTTATATCAACTTCTTCGCTGCTGAAGCAGGAAAAGCGGCCAGGGCATCGATGCAAACCTAAGTGGAAAGCAGTTCGTGTAATGATTCCGCCCACACGAGAGGCAGCATTGAGGCGCAAAAGGGCAGTCAGGGTAAGTTGAACAGTAAATGCGGCTTGCAACAATGGGAGTGTTGTTGGCTCTGCTAGCAAACTCTGTATCTCCTGCATGATATTATGCATGGTTAGAAATAACAGAGGGCCAGGAACAGGCTTCAGGGGTTCGGAGGATTGGACCTGTCGTGTGTCGGCCAATGATACCGAAACAAGACAGCGAATGACTATTAGATCCAGTCTTTTGATTGAACATAAGCCATGATGGCACAGGGCCTCCATAGCTTTCAAAATCGTTGGGGCATGAAGGCAAGGGAAAATCGGATGCCAGTTTTCAAAGTACGGACGGGTCCAATGGACAAGGTCTTCAAAAGTGAAATCATTGTTTGGTGAGTTATCCACCTCCTGCTTTGTCCATAGCTCATTCGTGTCGTGGTGCCCGGAGTCTCGTTGCAGTCGATCATCTTCTCCAGGAACGGAACTCCTATCCCCTGCTCGCGTCTGCTGTAGATCTGCGGAGCGGCGTGCAAAGGCACCGTATACATGCCGAACAAAATGAATTCCACTGGAGCTCCCAAGAAAGCTGGCAGAGCCGTCGTTCTGGGACTCTCTCATATAGCCGATCTCGCGAGGGGATGGTTTTGATGCACCCGGAGTTGAAGCTTGCTTGCGTCGTTTGGTGGCACGAGGCCCATATTGCCAATCTGACTCGTCCTCTAAGCGAGTGTTGGGAGAGGATGGAGAAGCCATTCTATGTTTTGTTAATCACATTTTCCAGACGATGCCAAGGCTAGTATGTAGCTATAGACTGCCACTCTTATGAGGCGCGCCAGATGTCAGGACTCAGGACTCAGCACGAACAGTTAAATTAGTAATCATGATTCAGTTTCAATCACGTGAGCTTTGATGACTAACTACAGGAGAAAGGAAAGACTGCTTCACAGATTCATGATGTATCACGACTTTTGCTAAAGAATCAACTTTAAGACAAGGATAGTAGATTGAAATTAGTTGAAACTTCCCATTTCGTTGAACTGGAGGGATATTGTCACTTACGGTAGCTCAAATTCGGGGAAATCGCATCATGTTCATTATCATAGTATCGAATCCCGCCGAATTTCACCTGCTTCTCAATCCACAACCAGCCCAGCTACCTTTAAGTATTTTCCTTTTTTATTGCGGTATAGATATTACTAGTACGTATTAGCATGTAACTATCTACTGGTGGTAACAGTTGGTTAACTAGATGAAACCAATTGTTCCAATATTGATGACATAATCATCACGTGTCTAGATATTGCCGGCAGCCGGAGGTTTCTTTGTCCGCAAGCAATCTGTGTCTTGTCGCTACACATCATATCAAGACTAAGAGCAAACCAACAACCTTGGAACCGGACTGGATATTCTGAGCGTTCTCATCGTTATGTGTTGGAAATTTACTTGAATATAAAGCATTGGGAAGAACGACCCTTACGAGTAGGCTATTGTGACCTCGGGACGAAAATCAGTCAGATACAATGCCAGGTAGTGACACCAGATCCTTGCATGAGCAAGTTACACATTGGAATGGAACGAATCAATAATTGGCTGATATCGTCCAACCCTGACTGCAGCAAATGATAGTTTAAGTCTGATCTCCTGTGAAACATGTCGACAGCGAAAATGCAAAGTTAGTCACTTGATGGCCTACGAACATCCAGCACTTGAGGGCTGCACTAACCAGTGCATATTTTCTAGTGTGACCGTAAACTGTACGTCAACTCCGATTATATTTGCTTGGGCAGCTGAAATGAAATATTGAACTAATCGGGGTGTTGATCGAGCTCATCCACAGACCCTGCTGTTCACAATGCGCAAATGAACCATCGCGATGTGTTTATCCCGAAAGTGGCAAGAGGTATATATTCATTTATGGAATTTCTACGATCGGGGATCATATAAGCTAAAAGTCAATGCAGGGGCTTACCTCTTGGATATCTTAACCAACTTGAACAAAGACTGGCCGATACGGAGGCCGCTTTGTACGGCGCTGTAGCAACACTCCGTGAGATGAGAATTAGACCATCGGCGTTGGTCGAAGCTTCCGCCAAAGCAGAAGGGCAAAGGCAGAAGTCGGGACGCATGGAGGAATGGGCCCAGTACCCTTTACAAGATTGGACCGGTATAGAGCATTGGATGGCCGCGGTTTCTGACCAGTTCACGGTCGAAAGACAACCTATTGACCCGATCGGGGAACCTCATGGGCAAATGGATCAGTTTGTTGCCTCCCGGAATAGCAGCATAGCTCGGAGTGCTGCAGACACGGAGTCGGCTTACACCGGGCAACTCCCGGGTGACAATGATATCCACATTCGCCCGGAGAGGATGAACTTGCCGGGAGCTTCACAGCATACCAGCATGGTGGGGTCTGACGGTGTGGCGGCTAGCGGGAGTGTAGGGCACACCGGCATGGTGGGGGCTAACCGTGGTGATCAAGCCAAAGTGACAGAGCGGTCCAGGGCAGCGGAGCTGTCGACAAGTAAATCCGATATATATTTTTGATCTGCATACAAACGCGACAAATTCGAACATTTGTTTGTTCCACATTCAAATAAATCTCAAATTCGAGGGTCCAGTTGTGATGGGGCTTTTGCACTTAACCTGCGACGGACTAAATTAAGTCCCGGTCGCATGCGTTTCATCATTATCCAGAATCCAGAATCCAAATCAGGTATAAATAAGAACGAACGCTTGAGGAAATAGCCACATTTGGAAGGTGAGGCCCAAAATGGCAAGGCGATCAGCAAGCCCTGCTGTCAATTTGACTGTGCGTTGTTCGCGATCTGAGTTGGATCTGAAGACCCACTCGAGTCGGTAACAGTGGATGCTAAGTTGCATATCCACGAGGTTTTTTAAGATTAACGAGCGGGGTCCACCTCAGCCCACCAAACCCAAGTGACCCACGAGCCACCGCCTCATAGGTCTATCGAAAAGCACCGGTCGGAATCACGGGGATGAATCAAGTGCAGCAGCCCTGCATCTGGAAGCGCCGACCGCACCAGGATCACGCTGGCGGCATCGAGATGGATCGGGGCAGAATCTGATTGGTCTTCAATGCTTCATGTATCATGCGCAGCTGTGCCTGGGACCTGGCGATCCGTCGGTCTTGCGCAGCACAGACTTGCTTTTTAGTTTGGGAGCGGCTGGTAGTGGTGAAACGTATTCGAGTTCGGGGGGCTGTTTCATCAGCTCCCTCTAAGATAGAGCAATAAAGAATCGATGCGTCACAAAGGGTCACTCCCCTTTGATTGATTCTTTTTTTGGAGAATATTTGGTGATTGGGTCGGCCTTTACTACTGCGTAAAGACCCGAACAACTCAAGAGTGCGTGACGTGCCCTTATGGTCTGCATTAGTTTACCACATCAAGCGCGTTTTTTTTTCCTGCCCAAAGGATGGCTTAAACCCCGTGACAATAAGCCTTTTCCGTTGTGTGTGCGCCCCCCCTTCCAGGCACGGACAATGGGGCCGTGGCCACTTTCTCTTAAAAACGATGGCGAAATCGGAAGGGAAAAGGTGGCCAATGGTTAAGGGATAATGGAGAATCTGAAATAGTGGAAAGAACCCGTTCGCCACGACCCTTAAGAATGCCAGAATGGACAATAATAAGTGGTGGATTTGGCTCCAGAAGCTGTGAGGGAACCTTGGGACGGGAAGTAATTGTGGGAACAGAATCAAAGTTTTGGGAGTTTGGGGAGTTTGCTCTGCGAGTCCAAACGGTAAGCGCCCACGGAATCTTAAGTCCAGACCCTTGCCTTCTTTTCTCTTCCCTTCTTTCTCCTCTTTATGCGCAGGGATTTCCTTCATTCTTTCCCTTCTGTCTTGATCTATGATCTGTGATCGGTGATCCTAGACTCCCTTTTTTTTTACTTCATTCCCTAGGCTTCTTGAAACCACCTTTTTATCTAACCAATTTTTACCCCTGGCACGCTCAGGCTATACGCCCCTCATTCATTCCCCTAGACTTCAGGGAAACAAAAAGAGACCAGACTTCCGCTATTTTGCTGTGCAAAGTTGCCGTCAAAAAAGGTCTAGACATTCATTTCGAACACTTGTGCAAGACACGGACTCGATCGTCTCGAATTGCCTCACATTCCGGGCAATTGATCTTCATTGCCGCCTCCGCATCCCGCGATCATCTTACCACGCGAGATCAATCAGGTGGAATTTGAGATCAAAAATTCGACACAGAAGAAATTATTTCACCCCAAAAAAAAACAAGAATCTTGAAAAGGTTCTCGGACCGAAGCATTTGGCTCAGAATCAACTCCATATACCTCGTGACCCCTCAACTCGCCTTCAGGTGTCACAGACCACGTCTCTATTAGAACTTCATCATGTCGACTCTCACGCGCGCTTTTACCAAGCGCAATAAGCGGCCAGAAGTGTCGGCGCCCATGCCATATCAGGAAGAGAAGGCCAAGGGCCATTCACGATTCAACTCTGGCTCCATCAAGCGTAGTAACATCTCTGGCCCTGTTCGACTCATTTCCACCACCAACATGCTGGCTTACAACGCTCCCGATTTGAACTCTATTGCGCAGTCCCCAGTGTCTTCTGCTTCCTCTATGCGATCGCGCGAGGATTCCGACGTCGCCATTTCCCCGCACAGCTACTCCTCGTCCATTACCACCCCGGACAATTCAGAGCATTCTTCTCCCATCGATGGGGCCCCTACGTCGTACTTCCCCAAGCGATCGGCAACTGTGACCAGTGCCCCACGCTCCTCCACTACCTCGGCCTCCTCAACGGATGCGCCCTTGGTTCCCGTGCGTGCACTCTCCCACACCAAACGATCTCACCAAGACCTCGCACGCAAGCGCTCTCAGGTCAGAAACTCGCCCCCAACTCTCAGCGCACCACGCAGCAACCCTACGCTGGGCGCATCCCTTGAGATGTTCAAACATGCACCCGAGTCGCATCCATTCAGCAAAGAGTTGGCCCAGGTCAATGAGGTGGCTGAGGAGTTCAGTGGCCCACGCGTGCTAGACGAGGAGGAACTGTTCCTTGCTCGCAATGGGCTACACAAATTCTCGGTGGATGACTATCTTGCTGAAATCGAGGAGTTGTATGGAAATGCCTTTGAGAACAAGCTTGGACCCATTAGTGCGGGTCCGTGGCTGTGAATCATCAACAAATCTCCTGAATACACCCCGGCTGAGCCGGTGCCATAATCCACGACCCACTGAGTGGCGTTGTTGACAGGACTGGATCTTCCTCTACAACGCCCGCTATGACCAACTCTTATTCAATCCCTCACGACTCTTTTGATATCTTTTTCCCGATTCACATTATATACCATGGGAGGAGGCGCTTCAGTTCCCGAATTCCGATTTCTATTTTCTCTGCGCTCTATTTGTCTTTCGATTTTTCGTTGGATATTGTCGAAATTCGTGATGGGTTCATGTACATACCTTACTACCTGTATGGCATTTATGTACGCATTCTTTGACACAAAGTAGACTGAATATTTTTGAATATTTTCCATCAGAATCTTGCATTATATTCAACACCTTGTCTGATCTGCTGGTACATACTAGTATCCTCACCTCACCCCTACTAAAAGTTCACCTTACCCCTTGTGGATCAAATGTCACATGACTCTTTCCTAGTACAAGTTAGTACACGCCTGAACATTGCGGCCTCAGGCATCCAAGTGACATAATCTATATGTAATTACCCAAAGTGGACTAGTGTCGAGGCTCACCAGTCACGGGTTCTCCGCAGCCCCACAACAAATCCCAAGTGCATTTTTTTTTTCTTAACTCCAGCACTTGAGTCCGATCCATTCACAGCACCTTGGTCTTCGTATCCATCAATTCACTTGACCAACTGGAATGATTTTGGGGGAAACAGACAGACCCTAATGAGTCTGATCCCTCGTCCCTGTAACACAATTTGAAACAATTTGCTCGATTAAGCGGTCGTGTGCTTGACTTCTGTCCCTGTCTTCACTCCATCCAGAACGATCCCTCTGCTTTCACCGGAGGTTCAGTACAACAGATGTCGATAAAACAGCAGTCCTTTTATCTTCTTTCTCAATAAGGATTCTCTTTAAATCTCAGCTATGGTCTCCGTTGCCACAGCCCCCCTCTCGCCGGCCCTGACAGCCACACCTTCCATCCAGCGTTCGAAGATGATCGCCATGTCATCTCCCGTATCGATCCTCAAGTCCTCCAAACCCGGCGGAAACAAACGCAAAATGGACGACGCTGACCTGGGCCTCTCCCCGTCTATCCCCGATGACCTTCCCAAACACCTCAATAAGCGCCCCCGCGTTACCTTCAACGAAAAAAATTCCGTTCGCACATTCTCGGTCGTTCAAGATGACCCGCTCACCGGTTTGCCAGTCAAGAGCCTTGCTGTGATTCGGGAAGAAGTACGTCGGGCCATTCATCGCCATGTTACAGCTGCAGATAGCGAGGGCTATGACCAAGTGAAGGAAATTTTCCTTGCCGACCCCAAACAAGCGGACCGTGGAATGTCTTCATGGAGCATTCCCACACCCCTAACCGTCAAGAACCATCTGATGGGTCTTCTTTCTCACATCGCCTCCTTGGACCGCAACTGCAGTGGCTTGGTTAATGCTATTCTCGACAGTGAGTGGCTGGGTCGCGACGAGCCCTATGTCAAGCTCTTCATTCGCTTTCTAGGCAATCTTGCCGCTGCGCAAGGAACATATCTCGCCCAGGTCTTCCGCATGCTTACTTCCAAACTTGCTGGCGTCTCCCACGGCTCTGGCCGATTGCCTGGCTACTCAGTCGTTGAGCCCTCAGAGATCTACACTCGTGTTCACATGGCCTTGCGCCATGTGATGCGGCTTATTCCTGCTGGCAGTGGAGCCTTGTCACCCATTCTATCACACCAATTTCCTCCCGACCCCGACCCAGCCAAGTGCTTCCTCGCTTACACCCGCAATCTCATCAAAATCATCCAATACGCCCCTGAGCTTCAGTCTGATGTTCTTGCCCTGATAACCGAGAGGCTGGTCAAGGTTGATGTGCAGATTCAGGTGGACTTGGAAGATGTTGAGGATGAGTTCGGCGAAGAATTCTTACTGGAAGAGCCTTCTGACTTAAACGAAGAACTGGAAGACCCGGATGAGGATTTTAGTGATGACGATGAGCCCGACCAACGTGCTAAGGAGATCAAGGGAAATATTCAAAAAGTTGATGGAATGCTGGATATTCTGTTCGAATTTTACTCCGGTCCCTTCACAACAGGCACTGCAACCGACAAAGAAAACACCTTGTCACTCCTGATCAGCCACTTCAGATCCATCATTCTCCCAACCTACAAATCCCGACATTCTCAATTCCTTCTCTTCCACTTTTCTCAGTTGTCTCCTGAGCTTGTAGAATTGTTTGCCACGGAATGTATAGATATTATTGGCAGCAAATCCCAGCCAGGTCTCATGCGCCAATCCGCAGCTGCTTATCTGGCTAGTTATGTTGCTCGAGGTGCCCACATCTCTGGCGACGTTGTGCGTGATGTTTTTGATCTCCTCCTTACGCATGTGGACAACCTGCAAGCAGATTATGAACTTGCATGCCGCGGTCCTGATCTTCGGCGATATGCTCCATACTACTCCACCGCTCAAGCCGTGTTCTACATCTTCTGTTTCCGCTGGCGCGACTTGACAACTGCAGCGATTGACGGCGACACCCTCGAGCAGATTGATGAGCTTGAGCCCAGCCAGATCATTTTCCCACCAAACATCAAGGAATATCTTCACAAGTCAATCTACTCGCGACTGAACCCGCTCAAAGTCTGTTCGCCTGGCATCGTCACCCAATTTGCACGTATTGCCAACTACTTTCAGCTCCTTTATGTGTATCCTCTCTTGGAGACCAACAAGCGTCTTCGCATCACTACTTTCCGCAGCATTGGCAATCTCAGTCAAGTCGAGCGTGAGACCCGTGCTAGTGACCATCTCGGTCACCAACTCGATGCCTACTTCCCCTTCGACCCATACCACCTACCTCGCAGCCGACGCTGGCTGGAAGGTGATTATGTCGAGTGGCGTGGTGTTCCAGGTCTGGACGACGATGACGACTCGGATAGTGAGGCTGATGAGGACAATGACGAGGATGACGATGTCACAGCAACCGACGAAGATTGAAGAACCACCGTGGTTATTAACACGATGTGTCTTTCCTGCTTTGATCTGCACAAAATTTGGCAATAGATCTAGATCTACTTTGCCTTGCATTTTCGGAATTTTTCGGCTTTTTTAGCGTGGCGTTTGGGATTATAATTCGGCATTTACCAGCACAAAATTCGTGATACCATTTCAGTGCCTCAAGCTATCCTATTTGAGCGCGCATCGAACCTAATGGGGAATATGATACGATTTGCTTGTGCACAACACGTGCTACCATAGCTCTAGCCAAAAAAATGGAAAAGTCTATATCATCTGGACATCTGGAACTTTCGGTATCCTGTAGTTTGGAGAATCCATCTCATCAGTGCCATGTGTTTGGTTTACCTTGAACCTACGCTACCTACGCTGCATAGGCCGCATATAATCTTGAATCCTGAAGATGAATCTTGACTACCATGTCCAACGATTCCGGTTTCACAACGCAAAGCCTAAAATTGAGGCTCATCCAAGAATAAGTCCTATTGGCCCCGGGAGAAGATTAACACGGGCTACATTTCAATCCTGAAGCTCCCACGGCCCAATTGGTTAATCAACTCTCATGCACTCTTCAGCGGTCACCACTCGGCCTGTCATACATGAGGGTCGAGCCAACATTCTCATACACCAGTAACACAAGTACTACAACAGCTACCATACCTTGCTCCAGATTTATAGAGACCGAGGCTGAGATATCCCGGCTCGAATTGCCGAGGGAAAAGATCACGCGCTGTTCTCATTATGAGATGCCAGATACGAGTATGTATCATTAAAGCGCGTGATCGGTCTCTAATCACAACTGCGTCCATCAAACACCTGAATTGGGATGTCGCTATCTGTTGAATTAATTCACAGCATATTACGGCAATCGAAATGACACGGTAACCTTGAACCTTGCAATCTATGGGACCATATATATGCGGGGTTCCATTGTGAAGATGCAGGGGGACGGGTGCTCTTGACGACCTCGGGGGGAAAAAAGGAGAGACAGGATGAGAGAAGGGTGAGTAGGGCTAAACACATGTGGCAGATCAGCTGAGCACTGGACAGTATTCCACAATTCAACATTGAAGTAATGAGGTTTCATGGTTCCATGCCGGGTAGGTAGGACGCTACTGCTGCGTCTAGCCGAGAAGCCAAGAGGTAAGGCCTGGAAGCTTCTATGGATCATGGTGACCCGAATCTATTCACTGGGTTATACATAGGTTGTTGATATACGTATAAAATCGTCAGCAGACACTCTCACATGGCCATCTGCCACAAGGAGAGCAGCTGTCAGATATTTTTTCCATTGGGCACCGAAATGATCTCCCATGCGTTCCTCACAGCTACGAATTGCGGACATCTGGATAAAAGTGGCTAAATTTATCCATGGATCTAAAATTATGCATGTGCGATACGTCAAACGATCAAAACAAGAACGCACTATGCTTTACATACATATGTCCTCTGGATAAGCATGGAAGCACTAGCCATGTGTCTACATATCATTAGCTCATACCCTGCTACAGCACCCGATCTATAGTAGAACCACATTATAGTCTGGGAACACATACCTGTTTCGATATAGCTCAACCCCTCGGACGGGACAGAGTACAATGAACCCAAGTCAGATTACATTGCACCTTCGCACTTTAAGTTAGGTACAACGCAGACATACACCGACCAGTGGCAATTTTCAAGCCCCCCAGACGCAGAACAGACTTGAGAGCCTGCATATGTCCGATCGATTCCGGGCCAGATGCTGCGTCATCCCGTTAGGCTTGTATACAGGTCATTTCGACCTACATGGCTCACTTCTTTCCATTTCGCCGAAGTACGAATATGTCAGCGGATGGAAAGACCGGTGTGTATGGAATTGAATTGGAAGAGAGAGCGAATGGCCGGTATCGCTTGTTTGGCGAGTATAAAAGCCCGGCATCCTGATTGACTGAAGCTCTTTTAAAATGTTACTCACGGCTTTTAGACAAGTTTACCAACGTCCTGTTCCCCCGCGGAATCAAGTCAAGTGATCACTCAACAAGTCGCGACTTGAACAGAGAATATCACGGCAAGATGTCCGACGAGAAGGATCCAGTTCCCGCAAAGTGAGTTTCATAACTGAGATTATTAGTACCATGTCACTCTGTTGGTATTGGATGATATGAGAGAGTGAGGGCTGATATGCTTGTGTCTAGGCCTGTCGACGCGTCTTCGGCAACTATGATCTGCAAGGCTTGCGGTGAATCGATTGACTCGACCAAACACATTTGCCCCAAATGCGGCAAATACGCTCGTTAGTACGTAATCTCTCATGTACTTGTTGACTTTGGCGTCGGTATTGATACTTCCGAATCCTGGGCTGACCGTTGCGGTAGGGGATCTTGATCCTGACTGAGCGGATCGCGAATCCGTATTTTCTTTATTTTTAGCACATACCAGTGACTGAGATCCGTCTAGTGTTGTGTGTCTTGAGCCTCCGAGACTTCTTAAAGAGTCTTCATGCTGATATGGATCCCATGTGACTGCATTGTTTTTTGAAACCATGCCGGGAGACTTCTTTCAAGACTCAATTACCAACTACATGATCCGTCTTATTTTCTTCTACGTTCTACTGTCTACTTCCTACACTGTAAATATTACCGGAGCGATTTGGATTTGGAATGATCCACCCAGAAGGGGTATTTCAGCCTTGCCCAGTGAAGGATTGATGTTGGGCAACGCTGTACACTGCACACCGCACACATACGTACTGCTACGTGCCATTCACTCAGCAATCTACCTAATTTTGGGGAGCAAAAAGCGGTATAGCAGACTTATCATCAAATCAAACAATCAAACGCCCTTGCTTCCTTTATATCCCGCAGAGGTTTGCCTTTTGGGTAGAGATTTTTCCAAGTTTTGGATTCAAATCTCGACTGGGCATGAAAGGCAACCATATCAATCTCGATGAGTCATGACTATAATGGCGTTTAAAGGAGGCCTTGATATCTAGTCCGTATTTAACTTGGTTTTTTTTTTTTTTCATAGCTTCCCTTCAGTATTTCCGTATCAGTAGCGCAGAGGGCCTATTCATGGCTGCTTTCAAGGTTTCACTTACTTGGTATAGGAACTAATCGTGATTCACTCGCTAGCCGCACTCTAAATTAAAAAAAAAAAAAAAAAAAAAAAAAAAAAAGTAAGACCAATGGTGAAGAGTTATAAGCTTCAAATGCCTTTTTGAATGCTCAAGGAACATTTGAATCTGTGGGTTTATTTAAATGTTATGGGTTGGCCAGCGAATACACCATTCGCGGAGTGACTCGTCCCAACAAATGCAACCAAAGTCTCCTCATTCTCCGCCTGAATTTTATAATGAACCACAAAAGAAGAATCAAGCCTGATGCACTGGGAAGAGCGATGATCCAAAACAAGCTCTGGTTGAACGTACCGTTTCTTATATCCACACTGTTCATTCCGAGGTAAGATGTCACAAATGACAAGGGTAGAAAGACAACTGTCACAATAGTGAATATGGTAATAGCTTTGCTGTTGGATTCTTTTCGAACTTCAATCATGGATCGGAGCTGTTGTTCCTAATTAGTAAATGGAACTAAATCAAAGTTTCCACGGATGTAAATATTAACCAGTATGGATGCTTTCTCAGCCAGTCGATCAAGTCCGCCTAGATCGTGTTTCATTCGACTGATCTGCCGTCGGATCTGGCTAATTCTTTGCTGGTTAACTTCGCTCCTTGATCGTTTATTAAAATCCCACACAGAGCCCATTTGCTCAAGGAACTGCAATTGCTGATCAAAAACGGCATTTAGAATACCAAGCTCTTCTCTGAGCTGCTGGATGTGGTCAAATGTTGCGACATTGGGAGAGTTTCGCGCTTGCAACTCCTGATGACATGTAAGCCACGTGTTCCCATTAGTTAAGACACGGAATCATCTCACCAGACGTTCGATTTGCCCTCGGTAGACATGCAGGAGGTCAAACCCGTGAGTTGGATTAGCTTTCACTGGTATCATTTTCCTTGGTACTCTCGCGAGGCGCTCGATCACCATTGTTACCATGGCTTGTGCATCAACGCGTCTGAACACCTTGGCTTCACTGTAGTCCCCAGTGCTCAGCATGGTCATGAGTTGGTATCTACCAATTCGAAGGTCTTGTGCGATTTTCGAGGCCCTCATTTCAAGAAAATTCCACTGCTCATATCGAATTTCGCTTTGCTGAGTACAGGCACAGACATAAAAGATCAATCTGCTGAAAGCATCAACCAATGCTTTCGGGATGAAAAGCTCAGTAGTCTTTCCAGCTGGTTCCTGTGAGACGCCCGCCTGGATTTCTTCTAACTTCTGGTGGAAATATGACAAGGCTTGCTCGACCTTTTCAAGGTAATCTTCGGAGAACTTGTCTTTTAGTTAGCATTTTTGATATTTCAAGACCATGGGTTAGGAATTCGTCCATAAGGTGTCTCACTTTTCCATCTGCGAACTTCATAACAGCACCGTAGAACTTCTTGATGACCCAATATTGATGAATGTCCTGATAAAACACAGGCACAAATGTATCCAAGATTCCAACTGCACTGGAAATTAATTTCTGCTTCAATGCCCAGATCGCTTGCTTCCTTGCGAGTTCTTGTGATTCCTGTTGGATCAATTCGATGTCAATGCGCTCCATCTGTGCGGTCAATTGCATCCTGGAGCAGTCTGGAACATTTTTCACGGCGATTTGTTCCTCTTCGTGTGCAACAACAGACCATAAAGCCTCAGTGTCTCGATCTTTCAGTAGTTCACGAATGGTGCTATCAATGGCTTTGTAATGATTAGGCACCTGAGGTCGAGCATGTATATCTGATGCGTCGATGACTCTTTCGTCGACTGTCTCTCCCTTCCAGGCAAATATAGGACATGGCTGTGGATCTTCAGTAATGCCAAGCAACGACTTGCTGCGTAATCGTTCTTTGGTCGATGTGGACACATGCCCTCCAAATGACAATTCTGTAAGTGAGGAAGATCGTGGGGGATTCAATAGAGAGTCGGCGGAATCAGAGGTCGTCTCCCCTTTTGATGAATCCGGCAGACTCAACGTTGACTGACAATGGGCCTTAGTAAGCTTCGATTACCTTGTTTGAAATTAAACGCGTTTCTTACCTTAATTGTCCAAGTATCATTGCTGTTCTGGTAGACAAAGGGATTTACTCCATCGACGCTTGTTCCCCTTTGAGGAACGATCAGATAGTCCAAGGCGTTAACTGATGTATCCTCAGCCCTGGGGGATACTAGTAAGTTCTCGTCATCGTCAGAGACCAGGTAGTCCCAAACGTTGACATCTGTTGCGACTCGGATCTTCTGGATTTCAGACATCTTTGATGCAAGGGAGCCTGCTTTTGATTCTGGCTGGTAAAATTGCTCCGGATCGCAATCCAATGCCTTGGGGGACAAGTTTTGAGTAGACTGTAATGGGACGGGATCGATTTCTGAACAGATCCGAAGTCAGTCTGGGATCTTGCGGCTCCATCTTCTAAAACAATAGAGTTCCCTGTTCCTTACCTTCTTTCGAAAGACTGGCGGTGCTAATCGAAGACTTGAGCTCGAGCTCTGGAGTGTGTGCCTCTCTTTCATGAACCTCAACATCAACTCTTGCCGAGGGAGATAGCGATAGATGTGAGCTCTTGGAGACAACCGAAGGGAAATCTTCGTCATCACTGCCATCCTCGACGAAGCTCTGCATATCAGAATTAGCCCGTCGGAGCTTCTTTGGGACTTCGTCTTTGTTTTCTACATCCGCCTGAGCTTCCACATTTGATACAAGCACTTCTGTCAAATCATCAGTCTCGTCCACTTCGGGTACTAGTCGACTTCCTGGGTTAGCTTTAGGGTCCGAAGATTGCTCTGATGTAACCCGATGCACCGAGCTCAGAACGCTTTGGCCGTGACTGAGATTATTCGAAGCAACCGAGTGAATTGATTGCTGATCAACATGGACCTCAGGAGCTATTTTCTCCAATTGATCTACTGACTTGCTCTTCACTCTGCTCGATGAATGCGAATTGGCGGATCTGGGAACGACGGTTCTTGCGGAACCTTCGCTCTGCGATGAGGACCTGTCCTTCATCCAAGAACTTTCCGGTAGCTTGAGCATCTGGGACTCTCGAAGCGCATTGCCAATTTTGACTTCGCTTTTTAGCTCAACCTTGCAGCCAGGAAAAATTTTGTCGTCCCATTCAGAGGGAGTGATTGGCCCGTTCGGGCCGATCAGGCTGTATCTCCCAGCAATGAAGGCAGACCAATCTTGAGGTGTTCCATTCATCTTTGCGCCAATCACCGAGTACATTTTCTACGAACTCTTAGTAAATTTCCATGCACCAGGCTTACTAAGTATGATGGGGCAGTACTAGGCATTATTGAATGAAGGGGATAAGGGATAAGCATACTTCCCAGTATCTTCCAATACGCCAGGGGATAACTAGTTCAAACCCATTTAGGTCTTTCAATCGAACCGGCTGTTTCTGCTTTCTCCAGGCATTTTCGTGGGTTGGTCGCTTATCATATTCGCGCTTTATTCCACGTTCTGCTGTTCTTCCTCTTTTAAAAACGGCCGGATGTCTCACGAGAAAGGCACCTGGAGCTCCCTCGGACGATAGAAGGAGGAGTTCACTCTCTTTTGATATTGATGTGCCTAAATTTGATAAATATGAAGTCATCTTTTAGCCTTCAGCCCATATGCTTGATTTGATAGAATATACAGATCAATGGAATCGCAAGTTACTAACCACCCGAGTGTGAGAAAGCGCTGTGTGGAAACTGACCCATGAGGGCTTTTGTGTTTTCGAGAGCCGAGGGGTGATAAGAGGGCCCATTAGAGTGACAGTATGGATACCTGTTTTGATTTGGAGTGAATCTTGTCAAAGAATTTTCGGCCTTTGCAGGAAGTATATCGGTAGTGTTGGAATGATAAATTGTGGGATACGGGTACGCATTTTCATAAGGAGACTTTGTGTAGGGAGACATCTCATAGGAAAAGGGATATGGGGGCATGGGCATTGATTGGGGAAAGTGGGGCGCTGGTGGGTTGAAGGGGTAAGGTCTGAGGCCCTGCTGGTGAACAAACTGGTTTTCCAGTGATCCATACGGCATTCCAGGGAGTACAACTCCATCACCTTGTACTATATTTCCTTGTGCGAGAGGTATTTGGCTATGGAGCTGCGTCGGCGGGAAGTATGCTGGCGGTTGCACAACCTCAGCTTCGGGTTCAAGATCATGCTCTCTGAGCTTGCGCCGGATGTAAATGACAAAATCTTGACGTTTTTTCTTTTTGAAAAATTCAGACCAGTTTCGCTCTGAGATAGTCTCATGATTGGATTGCAAGTCGTAGCCCTCCTTCCAAGAGTCATCGTATAAAGATCTTGATAAGGGATTTTCTGACCCTAGAACTCCCGCAAACATGTTGATAAACTCCTAGAGGTACAGGGTATCAGTATATTTGACCCCAGGCAGTTTCAGAATCAGATCAAGGGTGAGGGATGGTTCACATACAAACCATGTTTGACATTGTGTTTTGGGTAGGCAATACTCCTCTCCTTCAAGATCGATCACCCGGATTTGAGAATCCCCAGAATATGATTCCGAGGAAATGGCCTTCTTGAGTGTCAGATGCTCTCCTTGGAGCTCTTTCAAATTTGTGGGGCTCATGCTGAGAATGACATCTGAGTGAAAATTAGAAATCATTGATTGCAAGGCTCTGACACAGAACTTACCATCATTTATCAGGAGTAACCATGCCTGTGGTACATGCAATACATCAGTTGATTCTCCAGTCTCAAGGACAATCTGTTTTTCATCCTGATTGGTTGTCGATTCAAATGAGTATTGAAATTGAAGAAGACTTCTCACTGGGTGACAAGCTTCAACAAGATCACTTGGGGGCTTGAGAGGCTGAAGAGACATATAAGGAAATGCGAAAAATGCGACAGAACTCTGACCACTAGATTCATCGACCGTGGTATCGCTTTTCGGAACAAGATTCATTGCCGTCGAATCGAAGTATTTTCCATGAATGAAGCTCTTCTCTTTTTGGCTGAGGTGTTTGAACAATGAATATATCAGTACTTTTGTCGCCTCGGATATGTTCTTCAGCCTTAATGCCTCGTTCTAATATTAATCAGCAAAGCTTCCAGTGTTGAGAGGATCACATAGAGGAGACTTACTCGGAAGACCTCCCAATTCATCGGATTACTCTCGAAATGACTTGAGGAAAGATTGGTCAGTCTGTTTGAATCTTTTTTTGGCAGTAGTTTCAGATAAATTCCAGCTTACATCCATCGTGTTTCAGGGTGAGATAACCCGTCTTTGTCCTCAAACCTTAGAGTGGCAATGTCATGGTTGCGGTCATCTGATTTTGCGAACAACTCTGTTTGAATTATTTCGTACACTTCGGTTTTGGTTGCATTGTCTCCATGATTGAATGTCGGTCGGGTATACACCTCCATGCGTGGGGGTGGACCAATGTCCTCCCTCTCTGCACTTCCAGTCAAAGGACACTCTATGACATAGTTTATCTGTGATTCTGTAGCATCAAATCGATCCGCTGGATTGCGATTCTTGTCAAGATCATCATAGGTTCGTGCGGTTTTGGGAGGTGACGAAGTTGCGGGCGGAGAAACTTCTGCCTCGGGCAGGCGAGGAGAACCGTTCGCGCGATGCTGTAGATTATATGGACTTGGTGTGGGAACGGCTGGGGGAAGGGCGTATGGTGCTGAGTATAAGTAAGGCGTGTAGTATGGTTGGGGTCGATAAGACTGATATGGCAGGTAGGCAGGGTAAGTTGGATAGGCGGGATATGGATTAGAGCGATATGGGTAGTATGGAGCAGGCTGAGAATATGGATAAGATGGGGGATATGGGGGATATGGGGGATATGGCGCCAAGTCAAGCGATGACTGTGCCGCTTTCGTGTGTTGTGATGGAGGTTTGTAGATTTTTCGAGTGCTCAGTGCTGGAGAGCTCAGTGCTGAAAAGCTCAGTGTTGCAGGATTGGGGCCCCGAGAGGATCTATAAACTCCTCGCTTTTCCTGATAGATTCCTCGATTTCTCCGACTTCCTGATGTTATAACATTTGGTCCAATCCCGAATGGGAGGCTCGACGATGGATGGAAAGATTGATCATCGTCAAAGGGAGCCGCGCTTGGGCGAGATCTAACGTAGCTGCGCTGTGAAGATACAGATGGGCTGCGCTGCGATGAAGCTGGTAGTGACTCCGGTGAGACATGACTTGTTGATGAAGTCTCGGAGTCACTTGAATCGGAAAAAATCATGATAGCGTAGGATAAACGACAAAACGGGCACTCTTAGTCTCAAGTCTAATGGCTAGCCTGATGGCAAGATAATTTTTTGCCTTGAACATTGACTTGACCACGTTCTTTTGGAGTGAAAATACCCCACATGAGAAAAGGAATGGGTTGCGGCTTCGCGGCAATCCGCTATAATGGCTCCGAGCGCATATATGCATGAACGCTGGCCCCATCACATTGGCTGAGCTGCAAAGGTCTGATGCGATGGGCTAGGAGCAGCCCGTCGGAAATGCGTTGGCACCTGCTTACTATCACCCGGGCGTTCAACGGCCCTGTCTCGGCAGACCATCTGGCAAAATGTCTTTTCGAGCTCATTGTTCCTTCCTATAAGCAGATATCATTTTGCTTTTGATATTTAGTCTTCTTTTCTTTCTTTCTTTCTTTCTTTTTTTTTTTGCATAGGGGGTTTTGTATATGCGATGGACTAGCAGGATGTGGGTATGCTATTCGAATGCTTCAAATGGTTGGTCTGTTCAAGGTCGCATGTGACCTGAGAAAGCACCACGGATTACTCAGTATGAGCTTCAAATGTTGAGAGATTCTTTTGAAAATTTGCAGGTTCAAATGTTCAAATGTTCGATTGGATTTGCAGTGGTATCCATAATTTTTACTATAAGAATCCCTCTTTTCTCTTTGTAATACTGATGAACCTCCCAAAGTTTCAAAAATTCCGATCTTTCAAGTTCTGCTCCACAATTGTATACACTATCGCGTTATTTATTGGCAGCTTGGCAGCGGCCCAATCATGACAGCCCAACCTAGAGCGGCGAGCCTATAGGAAATGCAAGAATAATGCAAGAGCGAACCATGTGATCAAGAAAAAAAAAGCGCATTATTCAAGGTCCAGAGATTTCAATGTTCCCCTAAAAACGCAATGTTGACGAACTTCCTAGCGCGGAGCTCCAAGCTTCAAATGTTGGAACTGCGTGCCTTGATTTAAAGTTCTTGGCAGATTCCAATTATATCATTCGATTCATATATCAATCACAAACGGTCTATGGAGCGCGGAGTAGCCGACTCAATGGAGACGAAGGCATGCGTAGCTTTCTCAAGTCTCAAGCTACATGACATCACGCTATGTAGTGGGTTCACGAATTCCAAGGTGTACATCCAAGGCTTTCAAAACGACGTCAATACAAATGTGGATACAGGTTTGTCGGGTGCAAATCTGTCGATCGGCCAAGATGAAGTCTATTATTCCTGGGCTGTCGGGCCAGCCAATAAGATCCATTCTAGGCTAATTATCTCTTCAATTTTCGGATTCCTGAACGAGACTTATGCTTAAACATCATGTACTGCGAGTTATGAGCATTATGAGCTCGTGTACGACCTGCAGTCATGTGCTACATATTTGACTTTTTTCAGCTCGACGATACAAGTAAGAGGCTTTCGGCTTATTTAGAGAATAGAAGATCTTCCCTTTTTTTTAAAAAAAAAAAATTGATTTGGTTGAAGCAAACGAAGGTGCAATATGGATAAAAATTGTGCGCCAAGCACAAGACGCCGTGGATGCTGATGAAACGCTAACCAAACACCCTCAACACAAACACATGCAATCTATTTAGACAAGATAAAAGAAGAGCGAAGAAACGAAGAAAACGAGGCAATCAACGATCGAAAATTGATTTCATGGAGGCGCATGCGTCACGGTACAGAACGTCTACGCCGGCCTGATCACGGAATGGGTTAGGCGACTTGTCCCAGCCATGTTGGGCCTTCTCAATCATCATAGCGCGAACTCGCTTCCCAAGCCCCTCGAGACGACGGACAAAAGTCTGACCCTCCTTCATGAGCATGTCCCATTCACAAATGAACAAGAAGACGTCATGTGGGATACCTTCCGACAACATACTATCGGAGGCGCGTACGGGTGATGCATAGGGGGAGGCCCGATCATCCAGGTCGGGGATATACGCCGCATCAAACAGATTGGTGAAAAATGCTGGCAGAGTCTTGTCCGGCATAAGACTCATCATACGGCGATGATCCCGGGACTCCATGTAATCCAAAATGGGGTACCAACTGAAAAGGGCCACGATATTGAGCTCATTGACCTGGTCAACCAACCGTTGTGTGGATTCCGCCCGGCCAAAGTGTTCTTTGATCTCGGTGGAGAGTCGCTCTCGAAGTCGCAGCGGCACTGTAACGGCCAGATTGCCGCCTGCCGAGAACCCGCTCAGAGCTACGCGACTCACGTCTAGACCCAGATCCGTCGCATGGGTGGCGAGATAGAGCAATGCTTCGACTCCGTCGTCAACTGCAGCTGGGAATGGATGTTCTGGCGCTCGCCTGTAACTCACACTGGCGACGACCGCCCCAACCTCTTGCACCACGGCGTCGCACCAGCGGGAGTCATCGGTAGCACATCCGAGAGTGAAGCCTCCGCCATGGAAATTAACGGTAACGGGAAACCGGTGACCTTGTCGGCGTTTTTCTTCGTAGTCTGGTGGGCAGTAGAAATGGATGACGACGGACTGGCAGTGGGAATTGGATTCGACGGTACGAGTAAAGCGAGGTTTGGAAACGCGCGGCGGAGCGATATCATGGAGGAACATTCCAATGCGCATCAGAAACCTCCAAAAGACAGCCTGGACACATAGCCACCTGCGAGACTGAGCCATGGTGGGAGGTGAAAGTAAGCTTGAGGTATGGACAATTCGACGTTTATCGGGCAATTCTCCGAACTTCAATGATCATATGATATAAGGGGGTCAAGGATATCGGTTAAATGGTCTCGGTCGGGAGGCACATGGCCCAATTTCCAGTCGGGCTTTAGGTAGGATGGACGTGGAGTCTAATCTTAAGCTTTTTTGTTTATAAAAAAAATGAGAGAGAGGGTAAGTCCGGGTTGATACGAGAATCGCGAGGAGAGGAAATAGTAGAAGTTGCCAGTTGCCGAGACTTCCAAGGTGGCGAATGTCGTAGATAACGGAGAAGCGGATAACGTACGGTACTTTGTATACAACGTAACAACCTTATAATAAGAAGAAAACAATCGGAAAATAAACATTAAAAACAACAGATAAGCTGCAGTCCCAGGGCATCATCATAGTCATCATAATAGCTAGAATGCCTTGATTCTATTGACAAATTCATCAGGGCCGATTGTCAACTTCCAACATTGAGCCCGGAAATCCGGCTTCTTAGTGATGATGTCATATTATGAAACCCTTGAGACGTTCTTCGCCTTTATATTTCTCTTTGGAAAGAAACAAAATAACAAATCCAAGAGGACCTTGTTTCCATTCCAAGAGGTATTTTGTACCTTATTTCGGATCCACGCGGCATTCTTCGGTGGCATAAGCTTCAATTGATTGGTTTACTTCCGAGTCTCGACTCTATCGTCACTGATTGCACCACAAAGGGATCGCCCTGCAGTTTCCCCTCCTAAGAGTCCCCTCCTTATCCCGATTCCCGCTGACTCCCCCCCACATCTGGAATTCGGGCCATTCATATACTTCGGACCTCCCCCCCTCCAAATCTTCTTTTTCCCTCAACTCTTTTATCACTTTTTGCTTGCATTACCTGCACCGCCTTCCATGTCGATCAAACGAGCCCTTTCCAAGGCCATTCGAGGAAGCGTGGGAGGAGACAAGGGAGATGAAGATGACTCTTCTGGCACCAAAATCCGTACTAGTCTTCCAAGTCTCCCCCATAAGCCTAGAATATCCCTTTCCCGAGATGAAGGTTCACCCACCGCCTCCCCTCGCCGCAGCATCCTGGGCAACTTCTTCCGAGAACGCGACTATGTCTCGTCCTCCGAGGACGTTTCTGATGACTCCTCTTCGGGTTTGAGCAAGAATCAACAAAAACGATTGGTCCGCGAGCAACGACGTACCGAACGCAGTCGCCTCAGCGAGGAGGCTTTCACAGATGCCGATCACCACCGCAAAGAAGAAGAGATTGCAAAGGCTATGGCGGAAGAAACTCCAGAGATGAAAGCTCGGTATGGCGAGCTTCCCTTGATGCAGTCGCAGACTCGACTGCGGGAGGTACGCATCCCATTGGATGATATTACCGCGGATATGGTCGGTCAGGACATATACTTCACAGCTCGGCTGCATGTGGTGCGCCGTATGAGTGCCAAGCTGGTCTTTTTGGTATTCCGCCAGCAGCTGAGCACCTTCCAAGGGGTTCTGCACGAACGTGCCGGGATCTCCTCGGTGGCCATGGTTCAATGGGCGGAACACTTGCGAGTGGGCTCGTTTGTTCGAGTTCGCGGCAAGCTTCAGAAACCCGAGGTGCCCGTTCTCGGCTGCAGTATCCATGATGTCGAGCTGGCAATTGACTCGGTGCATCTGCTTGTTAAGCGTGAGGAGCCGGTGCCCTTCAGTGTTTACGAAGCCGAAATCCGGACCAATGAGGAGGATAAGATAGAGGGCCGTCGCAGTCATATCCCTGATCGGACTCGGCTGAGCAATCGCCTCCTTGATCTGCGCACTGCAACCTCTCAGGGAATCTTCCGCCTCCAGTCAGCCACCTGCAATCTCTTCCGTAGTGCCCTGGATGACCAAGGGTTCATTGAGATCCATACCCCCAAGCTTCAGGGCGCTGCCACTGAATCCGGTGCCAGTGTTTTCCAGGTCAACTACTTCAACCGCCCCGCATTCCTGGCCCAGTCACCTCAACTGGCTAAACAGATGGCCATCGCCGCTGATTTTGGTCGTGTCTATGAGATCGGTGCTGTCTTCCGCGCGGAGAACTCCAACACCCATCGCCACTTGACTGAATACACCGGTCTTGATATTGAAATGGCCATTGAAGAGCACTACCATGAGATGCTCGAAACCATTGACGCAACTATTAAGAACATCCTGAAGGGTGTCTACACGAAATATCGACGAGAAATCGACCTTGTCAAGCATCAGTTCCCCTCAGAGGATGTCAAGTGGTTGGAGACTACTCCGGTCATTCGTTTCGCCGATGGCATCAAGATGCTCAATGATTCCGGATGGCGTGATGAGAACGGAAAGGAGTTACCCCTGGACGAGGACCTGGCGACCCGTGACGAGATTCATCTGGGTCAGTTGATTAAGGAGAAATACGACACCGATTACTATATTCTTGACAAGTTCCCTCGTGGTGCTCGCCCGTTCTACACCATGCCTGATCCAGAAGACGATAAATACACGAACTCCTTCGACATGTTCGTCCGTGGACAGGAAATTGTCTCTGGTGGTCAGCGTATCCACGACCCACACATGCTGGAGAACAACATGCGCGCTGTGGGAATCAACCCGGACGACATGGAAGAGTACCTGGAAGCATTCCGCTGGGGTGCACCACCCCACGCTGGTGCGGGTGTTGGCCTGGAGCGTTTGCTGATGCTCATCCTTCAGGTAGGCAACATTCGACTTACCTCGATGTTCCATCGCGACCCCAAGAGTCTGCCAGCCAAGCCTGCAGTCCAGACGCTGCGCCATCCCGAAGCATCGACAATTGATCCGGTGTGGCTGCGAGAGCACCACCGACGGGTTGCTTCCGGCCCTGAGGAGCTGCCGTCCTTGGAGAAGATCGTTGCCAACTACGGCGACGCAACCTCTACATCTTGGTTTGATGATCGATACAAGATCTGGCGTGACATGGGCACTGGTGCGGCCGTGGCCTATGTTCCCAGCACCAGCAACTTCGTTATCGTCCCCGGTAACCCGGCATGTGATCCCAGTCAGTACTCTCGTACCATCACACAATTCCTCCAGTGGCTTCGTCGCGACACTAAGTACAAGCCTGTCTGGATCCTTTGCTCTCCAGAAGTTGAGACCATCCTCGGCGAGCGATTGGGTTGGCGCAGTCTGTCTTGTATTGCCGAAGAGCGTGTTGACCCCTCGCGCAACCAGGCCGCCTCTGATGGAGAGATTGCCCGCAAGCTGCGTCGTGCTGAGACTGAGGGCATCAAGATTGTTGGCTTCAACCAGGGCGAGCTACCCGACGAGGAGGTGCGCAATAAGATTGACGGTCGCGTTCGGGAGTGGCTAGCAAACCGTAAGGGCACACAAGTCCATTTGTCGGAGATCCGGCCATGGTGTGACTCAGATCACCGCTGGTACTTCTACGCCACAGACAAGAATGGCACCATCTGTGCTTTCGTTGCGTTGGTCATGATCTCTCCGGCCCACGGCATGCAAGTCAAGTACAGCTTGGACTTCCCCGGTGCGCCCAACGGTGTCATCGAGTACATTGTGACCCATGCCATCCAGACCGCTGGCAAGGCTGGTGTTAAGGGTCTCACCTTTGGCGCCGGTGCTACCGCCCGTCTCACTCCTGGACATAACCTGCATGGCACCAAGATCAAGATGCTAGAGCACACTTACGAGGCTCTTGCTAAACAGTTCCACCTTGTGCGCAAGAGTGAGTTCCGTGCCAAGCTTGGTGCCACGGAGGATCCCCTTTACATCTCTTACCCATCGCATGGTCTTGGCTCCAAGGGTATCCGTGCTATCCTAAACTTCTTCGAAGATTAATCTTATCTAAAGGAGTTGTCAGCTTGCATGTTATCTACGACAAGTACTACGATCTAATGGTTTCTTTTTTACGACTGGAAATAAATTTGGCTAGATTTGAGGATCTATGGGCAAGGTCCATGCATTGAATTCTAAACAAAGACTTCAAAATCGCATAGATTAAAGCGCATATTTGCACAACATTCTCGATCCGTCGATCTGGTATTTTCGTGCTCACTTTGTTTTCTGTTATTGGCGTACACTGTTACACTTGTTGCACAATGCTTTGTTTTTCAAGAATATCCCCTATCCTGTATTTACCCACCTCCTGTATCCCCTGGCTACTTACCTGGTGTTAATTGAACTGCAATACATATTGCACTCTTCACTCCCAATTGCAGCCTTCTAAAGGTTTAAATTTTAGTACATGCCATCGCATGCTACCTAGTAGGGGTCGTTCGACTGCAACCTTGGAATTTCTCTGCATATAGTACATCAATTTTCAACTAGGTATACTACAAGTCTCCATCCATAGGGAAATAGGTATTTATAGGCCAATCCCTCCCCTACGTAACATTGAATAATTCTATGATACCAGAATATAAGAATCCTCTTACTGCTCCTTCTTATCCTCCTCACCCTCGTCCCTCTCCTTCTTCGCCTCTTCAATGACCCTTCCAATCTCCCCACCAACCCATTTCGCCACAAAGCCTGCGACGATTGCAACAATGACAATCCACACCGCAGTGGGAACAAGCGATCTGGGGAACACATTCCACAAAAATGGATCCAGAATCAGATCCACAGATACGGGCGGCACGTTCTTCATCAAAGAATCGTCATGAGTGAAATAATCTGCCGCGGCCTGGACTCTCAGAAAAAGCACCGAGTCTGTCGTTAATGCTGCGTCCGGCGAGATCACCCCTCCTCCCGTGTGGCCCGATGCACGTCGCAAGATGGTGTTTTCTTGAAGCTGAGTGTCCAGACTTGCGAGGCGAGCTGCGGAGAAGATGCTGAGGGAGGATAAGAGGGTCTCATCCTCGATTGTTGCTGAGAGCTGGTGTGTTGTGAGTGTGAATGATGTCGGTTGCTATGTGGAATTAGTCTCAGGTGTTCTCCAAGGTTCTAATGGTAAATTTTTTTGCTTCTTGGAATCAATGCTCTGAGATCTTTTGGCTCTAGCATATGTATTTGACTCTTTGAATCCATAATTTCCGTATGAAGCAAATCATGGAATAAATTGATTGCCTTCATGGGTCGGATCGGGGTGGTTCTTACCGTGGCTAACCAACAAACCCGCACCTCATACCGCTGCCCGGGCTTCAGGTTCTCAAGGAAGAACCATGACTCCGTACCTTCTGGTGCCTCGGTACTAGGGAATGAAGCATTGAGCTGTGTTCGCACAGCATGGTTCTCTGGCGAGAGCCTTTCTAGACCGAGATCATCTAGATCTGGCTCTTCTGATGGCAGCGTGGCTGCTGGTGGGGCAAGGAAAATGGTTTTCTCCACGTTTGCGTGGACAAGGTTTGTGAGGGAGAGGAATATTAATCCCACGATGGTGGCGATGGAGTGGTACATCATGGCCACGGATAAGTTGTGGAATAATTTGAATGTCTGGATGGTGCTGCCTTCAAATTTTGACTTTGCCTAGATGTAAATCGAAGTTTACCGTTCGGCTTCCACGGTTTCAAGGTTGCGATGTTGTGCACAGGTTTTCACACGTCATTCATTGCGCTGGTTCATTCCAAGTTGGATTGTAGAAACTGAAGTTATATATTCTGGACGGGATGTAGTTGGTTCGCGTTTATTGGGTCGAGTGGCGTAAATGTTTAGGCGGTGAGAGATGTACAAGGCCCTGCGAGCGGTGATTGGTCCATATCTGGAATAAACAATTCAATTCTGGCGGTGGGCAAATGCATGCACATGTGTGCAGGCCTGGGAGGTCCCGACACACCTGGCTCAGCTGGACACATGTGTCAACTGGTACCTACTATAGTAGGTACATATGTACATGTCCAAAGTTTACATAGATCCAATATTGAACATTGAAATGTCGAAATCTTAAAAGGAACCTTCCATTGAGGTCGGAGCCTTCAATGTTTGAAGAAACCGAAGTTGTTTATCTATGGACAGTGAAATTCTATGTATACTGAACACTTTGTACGCAGCCTGGAGTAGTTCACCCATCGAAATGGATACAGAAGGATCCGGCGTCTGTAACTTATACTGAGGTAGTGCCTAGGACGAAGGGTCAAAGTTGGAACGGCCGTCCAGTATCCACCTTAAAAGCTTCTTGTCTCCCTCGTCGACAGTCTCATATATCCTCCAACCACACTTTCGGAGAACTTTTGCACTCGGCAGATTGCTCTCAAGAGTCACGGCCCGGATATCGAATAAATCATGCTTCAAGTCAGATGGAATGGAGTGAATTTGAAGACCCAAAGAAATTAGTGACATCCATGCTCGCTGAAAACCGAGAGCAGCCTCAGTAGCATATCCTTTGCCCCAGGTCTCCGGAAAGAACATGTACCCAAAGGGAGGGAGCGGAGATATGGGCAGGGAATCCAGGCCAGTCAGCCCACAAACACCGATAAGCAGACTGTTGTCTTGCGGGGATGAGTCAGGTGAATGTTCATCCGGGTGATTGTCGCCATTATCAGCTCGGAGACAAACAACAAAGTTGTAGTTGCGTCGTGGGATATCAGTCTCGTCTATGAAATTCTGCATCCACTCACGAGTTTGCTGTGGAGATTTGTCAATTTGTGCTTGACTGGTCCATTGCATGACCTCTGGACTTGTCCGAAGCTTGTATAAGGATTGGAGGTCGTTCCATTGGAATGGTCGGAGAGTTAGCCGAGGGGTTTGAATTGGTTGTTGTTTCGAGTATGGCGGAAGTAGGTCTTGAAGCGTGACCTCCATGTTGAGATAACCGAGGGTGGGAGTGTCACAGACGGTAGAGGGGACACCAAACGCTAATGATCGCGGCGCAGTAGATAACATGATTACACCGCCCAGGATTATACTGCCGACATCTCATATCTTCTCCAAATCAAAAGCCGAGGAAAAGGGGGTCTTGCGCTAAGAAGAGGAGGCGGTAAGTAACCCTGTACTTTTGCTGCCACAACATGTGAGATAACCCCAAACCCCTTACTTGCTACAGTTCGATATTTGAAGTTGCGTGAGGAAAAGATCGGATTCACCACATACTATGGACAGTGATATTACGATATGTACTGCCCGACACTATAGTTACTATTTAGTATGTACTAGACTAGACAAGACAGCTGGAGTGTTGATGACATAATAAAAAACATGTAGATCGAAACACGTGATCCAGAACAGGCGGTGAACCTCGCAGGGAGCGGGCGGGAAACGACCAATCAGCAGGCTTGACGCGACCCAACGACCGGATCAACAACGAACTCCCCCCTGTTAACAGCACAGACGCCCTCACTCCACAACATTTCTGTTCTTCCTTCTCCTCGACTTGATCTCCATTCCTCCCATTCTGGTGAGTCTTACCTCTTGCGAATCCGTTCACCCCTCCCCCTCCCCCTTCCTTGGATAATTCGCCCAATTTATACTTTTTTACTAACCCCTGAGTCGCCAGACCCGTGTTTGTTGTTGGGTCAACTTCTCCCCCTCCTTAATTTTTTGACATCCTGGAAATACCACCAACACAATGAGAGAGATTATTAGTTTGAACGGTACGTGTCTGATTCCGTGAGCTGTTTTACAGCAAATCGACTTTTGTGATGAAATTGACGCGCTGACTTGTTGATGTCCTATAGTCGGTCAGGCCGGTTGCCAGATCGCCAACTCCTGCTGGGAGGTAAAGATATAACATCCATTGTGGGCCAAATTCGTGGTAGACTGACTTGGAATCTGTACAGCTGTACTGCCTGGAGCACGGTATCCAGGTATGTTGGAATTCTAAACGGATCGTGGCGCCCAATCTCGAATTGAGTGGCACGCCCCCTTTTCCTGGGAGGGGAAAGCAAGTACCCGGGACTAACAATGTTGATAGCCCGATGGATACCTCACCGATGAGCGCAAGAAGGCCGATCCCGATCACGGATTCAGTACTTTCTTCTCCGAGACTGGTGCGTATACCGATTTTTTTTTACCTTTAAGAGAGGGGCCAGCCATGGCGCCCGAATCCCCGCTTTAAATCTCTTGTTCATGTTATCCTAACTTTTCATATCTGCTTTTACCAAATAGGCCAGGGTCGTTACGTTCCCCGTACCATCTACGCCGATCTTGAGCCCAATGTCGTCGATGAGGTCCGCACCGGTACCTACCGTTCGCTCTTCCACCCCGAGCAGATGATTACCGGAAAGGAGGATGCCTCTAACAACTACGCCCGTGGTCACTACACCGTTGGTAAGGAGATGATTGATCAGGTTCTGGACAAGGTTCGCCGTGTCGCCGATTCTTGCGCTGGTCTCCAAGGTTTCCTTGTCTTCCACTCCTTCGGTGGTGGTACCGGTTCCGGATTCGGTGCTCTCTTGATGGAGCGCCTGTCCGTCGACTACGGCAAGAAGTCCAAGCTTGAGTTCTGTGTCTACCCTGCTCCCCAGAACGCCACCTCCGTTGTTGAGCCCTACAACTCCATCCTCACCACTCACACCACCCTGGAGCACTCCGACTGCTCCTTCATGGTTGACAACGAGGCCATCTACGATATCTGCCGCCGTAACCTCGGCATTGAGCGCCCCAGCTACGAGAACCTGAACCGTCTGATCGCTCAGGTTGTCTCCTCTATCACCGCCTCGCTCCGTTTCGACGGTTCCCTCAACGTCGACCTGAACGAGTTCCAGACCAACTTGGTCCCCTACCCCCGTATTCACTTCCCTCTGGTCGCTTACTCGCCCGTTATCTCTGCCGCCAAGGCTTCCCACGAGGCTCACTCCGTCACCGAGATCACCTCCAACTGCTTCGAGCCCAACAACCAGATGGTCAAGTGTGACCCCCGCAACGGAAAGTACATGGCTACTTGCTTGCTGTACCGTGGTGATGTTGTCCCCAAGGACGCTCACGGTGCCGTTGCCAACCTCAAGACCAAGCGCACCATTCAGTTCGTCGACTGGTGCCCTACTGGCTTCAAGCTCGGTATCTGCTACCAGCCTCCTCAGCAGGTCCCCAACGGTGACCTCGCCAACCTCAGCCGTGCTGTGTAAGTCCACATTACTTGATATTTATGAGAAGAGAACTTTCCGCTAACATGTTTATTTACTATAGCTGCATGCTGTCCAACACCACTGCTATCGCTGAGGCTTGGTCCGCTCTTGACCACAAGTTCGATCTCATGTACTCCAAGCGTGCCTTCGTTCACTGGTACGTTGGTGAGGGTATGGAGGAGGGTGAGTTCTCCGAGGCTCGTGAGGACTTGGCTGCTCTCGAGCGTGATTACGAGGAGGTTGCCAGCGACTCCCTCGAGGAGGAGGAGCTCGAGCCCGAGTACTAGATTATGGATGCTATGTGACCGTATCGGAGGCATTGGACTGGGGCCATGCGTATCGTTTTGGCATATCAGCTTTTACCTCGGCAGATCGGCTTTCCTGAATCTACCGGGCTTTCTTTGCAAATACACAGGGAACATAGGTTTTTACAGTCCGATGAATGTGTTTTCTGGCTTTGTTGTTCGATATACCTTTAATATCCCCGAAGCAGCGTGTTTTCCGCTCGTTTTAACCCTATTCTGGGATTCTACACAAATTGTAATTACAAAAAAGCACCAAAAAAAACCTGCCCTCTTTCCTTAATTCTACAACCTTGCTCGTTCCACTATGACCTGGTTGTGTTCATTGCCGGGTTGCCTACATACTAGTAGTAGCGTATAGTAGTACTACTAGTAGGTACCTACCAGTGGGGGGCGGGGGGCAGGACATTGTAGATGATGAGAACAACTTGCTTTTAGTAAGAGATTGATTGCTCAGCGCCCGAGAAGTGTATCGCAATTAAGAATTGTTTACTAGACTGACTTAGTGACAATAGTATGTCCCTTTCACGTCTTTCACGTCTTTCATCTGATATGGAATAGGAGATTAGTAGTACCTACGTGAATGGGACCCTGAGCGCATGGAATGGGCGCTAAGCCAACTGACCGCCTTGGGGGGTACCTTCTTACGACATCGACTCCAGCCACTCTTTGAATCCCCATTCCACGTCCGGGATAACTTATTCACTTGTTATAGAGGTCGAACTTCGACTTGGATCCTTTCGGCACCGTCGTATTTAACTACAGAATCCGCGCCTCAACCCATGCTCGTGGTATCTTCCCACTAAGCAGACGGCACCCGTTCCCCAACTTGTCCTCCTAGGCACCCCAACTACTCGGATCCCATCAACAAGGAGAGGGGGTCTGCTCCTCCGTACTCACAGCTATGGCTGAAACCGGTGCGTTTATACTACTATACTCCAATCCTCAATACAGCATATGCAATGGCAGTCATTGGCGCAAGTCAGGAGGCTGACGTAGCTCCCGCAATTACCCCCTCCCCTGTATACCCGAATGCAATGATGCGCGATGCAGCGGAACTGACGGATGCAATTCTTTGTTACTATAGCACAGCGACATCCGAATCTGAACCTCACGGCCGAGGAAAAGCGCGTCTTTTACCAACTATTCCAGGCCGCTGACACAACGAACCTCGGCGTTATTACTGGAGAAATCGCAGTTCCATTCTTCGAGAAAACACATCTTCCTGGAGGTGTCCTTGGAGAGGTATGAGATACATAAATGACACAGTCTATTTGGCACGCGATTAGCAGGCTAATCGGTCGTTTATATAGATTTGGCAAATTGCGGACAGGGAGAACAGGGGTCTCCTGACCCCAGCTGGATTTGGAGTTGTTCTTCGATTGATTGGACATGCTCAAGCTGGACGTACACTATCCGCAGAGTTAGCATTGCAGCGTGAGTATCCTGATACCATTTGGTGATCTCTTTACCAATATTACAAGATCTTTACTGACTTTCATTTAACAATAGCTGGCCCGCTGCCCCGATTCGATGGAATCTCAGTCGACACAACAGCTCCTGCCCCGGAGCCGAGCCCTGCTAGTCCTCCACCAGGTGCATCTGGCCCCATCCGTGTCCCTCCGTTGCAACCCGATGATGTCAACAAATTCGTTTCGCTCTTCGACAAGTCCGAAGTCGTGAATGGAATCATGTCAGGTATGTCCACCCCCTTCACTTGATTCTAGAAGCATTATATTCGGAATAGTATGCTCATTGTAGTACAGGTGATATTGCAAAGCAAATATTTGAACGCGCAAGATTGCCAAATGAGGTTTTGGGTCGGATATGGAATCTTTCCGACACTCAGCAGCGCGGTGCTCTCGATGCCACCGAATTCGTCATTGCTATGCATCTTCTGACATCGTTCAAGTCCGGTGTATTGCGTGGTATTCCTCAGACCCTACCGGCTGGACTGTACGAGGCTGCATCTCGCAGGGCCCCTGCAAGGTCATCTTTTGGTGCTCGGCCTGAAGTCCCACCCGTTCCCTCAATCCCAAGGCAATTTACTGGCTCCCAGCGAACTGCGAGCCCCATGAACGCCGCTCCTTCCATCCCGCAGTTCGGAGGCCAACTGTCTGCTCAGACAACAGGTGGAGACTGGCTCATTACCCCACAGGAGAAGGTACACTTTGATGGGATATTCGAGACAGTTGATACCGCCAAGCGCGGACTCATCACTGGTGATCAAGCGGTTGGATTCTTCATGAAGGCGCAACTACCAGAGGAGGTCCTTGCCCAAATTTGGGACCTTGCTGATATTGATGCGGATGGGCAGTTGACTCGGGAGGAGTTTGCTGTAGCTATGTACCTGGTGAGGTTGCAGCGTGGTGGCAAGGAACCTGTACCTCAAGTGCTTCCTCTTGCTCTGATTCCGCCTAATATGCGACGCCAAGCCCCTGCGCCAGCTCAAATGGCAGCCCCTGCGCCCCCTCCCCCAGCTCCTGCGCCCGTACCGCGATCTGCTGCCGATGATCTGTTCGGTTTGGATTCGCCCCCAGCGCCCGCTCCTGCTCAGCTCCAGATGCCTCAGTCCACCGGCGGCTCTGCAGGCGCATGGCACACACCTACCTCCCCAGCATCTAGGGCCTCCCCGCCAACGGCATCTACCACTTTCAAGCCATTTGTACCGACATCAACCTTTGGCCAAAGTTTGCAACCGCAATTAACTGGAGCGTCCTCTGGACACCCAGGTTCAATTCGCTCACCTCCACCCCCATCCGATGATCTGCTGGGAGATAACGACCCAGAGGAAACCAAGAAACTGACACAGGAGACCACCGAGCTTGCGAACTTGTCAAACCAAATTGGATCCCTGTCCAAGGAAATGCACAATGTCCAACAGAAGCGTACGTCTGCTGAACATGAGATCACTCAGAGTTCACAGCAGAAGCGGGATTTCGAGGCCCGGCTTGCACAGGCACGTACTATGTACGAACAGGAATTGGCAAGCTTCAAGGCCCTAGAAGAACGTTTGAAGACATCCAAGGCAGAGACTATCAAGTTATCTCAAGAATACGCTCTGATTGAGGGTAGCCGCCAGGATTTGGCGAACCAGTATAACCAGGTCTCAACCGCACTGGCTTCTGATCAACAAGAGAATGCTAGTCTGAAGGAGAAGATCCGCTATGCGAATGCAGAGGTCGCACAGCTTAAACCTGCCCTTGAAAAGGCACGTTCCGATGCTAGACAGCAGAAGGGACTGGTTGCAATCAACAAGAAGCAGCTAGCAACCGTGGAGGGTGAACGCGACAAGGCTCAAGGTGAAATTGACGATTTGGCCAGAGATACTCCCCAGTATACTGAGGATGTCACACCTGTCAGCAGTGCTGCCGAGCTTGCTAGCCCTGCTGCTTCCACGACCAGTCAAAACACCAATCCCTTCTTCCGTCGGACCGTGACAGGTAGCGAAAGCGACCGAGCTCGTTCGCCTGACTCTACCAATGATCAGCAAAAAGCGTTTGACAGCCTGTTTGGACAGACGTTTGCCAGTCCCATAAGTGCTGGCCCTCCACCAACCTCTTTCCGTGCAGAGTCTCCGCTGGCGACCGCCAAATCACCGGTTACGTCCAATGTTCCAACTCCCTCTGCGTCTCCCGCTCCTGGATCTATGCCTGGATCTCTTCCGGGGGCTTTCCCTGAGCCCCCACCCCCAAGTATCTCTCGTCAACTTACCCCGAACTTTTTGCCATTCAACGAGAACCAGTCCGTGACCTCGTCCACTATGGTGTCCCCACCTGCTAGCAGATTTGGTCAAGATAACTCGGGGTTTGGGACCCCCTCCCAGGCGACGACTAGTGAAGTGGGCGGTGCTCCCTCGGTGACAGAGTCCAGTGACTATAGCTTTGCGGCCGGTTCGACTGCCGAAGGAACCCCGGCTCGTTCTCCATTTGAGGAGTTGCCGCCAGCTACTGAGGCTGCTGCTACCGTCGCTGAACCATCTGCCACCTCTCCACTCAGTCCGGACAGCCAGGAGGCACCCAAGGACCTGTCTTTTGATGAACTGTTCGGTAGTAAGGCGCACAAGCGATCGGAGTCTCAGAAAGGGAACGATTTCGAGGAGGCTTTCGCATCTATGAAACCCGCCGGTGGACCGGCTGGTGGACCAGCAAATGCTGCTGCGACCGGCTCAGAATTCCCTCCCATCCAGGAACTTCATCACGATGAAGAAGGTGACGAGGAAAGCTCAGATGAGGAGGGCCCTTTTGGATTTGATGACAACTTTGCCCCTGCCCCAGTTGCAGGCACCCAGAAGGGACAGCCAGCTGATTCTATCGACGTTGCTCAGCTTGCCGCGTTCCCGTCCCCGGGAACGGCTGTAGCTTCGGGCCAGCCTGAACTTGTGGATCCCCCCGCTGCGGATGCACAGTCCAGCCCTCCCCAGTATGAAAATGACACCTCTCACGAGGCCCCTGAATTCAATGGTTTGCTGCCCGTCCGGTCGGATCCGACTGCTGCCCCGGATGCCCCCCACTCCGTCGAGTCTGCCACCGGCGCACCGATCATCGACAACGAGCCCCAGCGGGAAGCCGACTCCCCTGCTGCATTTGCCCCAGCCCCGGAGGCTAGCGCTGCTAGTGACTTGAAGTCTACCACTACCGACTTTGATGCCGCTTTTGCCGGACTTAACCTGGCCCCCGCCCAGGAAGCAGAGGACGATGATGACGAACCGGAAGGCCAAAATAAGAATACTGACTTTGACTTTTCCTTTGACTCTCCGTCTCAGCCCAAACATGAAAACGCATCCAATACCGATCTCGGTCACAGTGGCTCATCCGAATTCTTCGATTTTGACAACAATGCCCATGAAACTGCGCAGCCTACTGCCTCTGCCAATGGAGGTGGTGCTTCAAACCATGACTGGGACACCCTCTTCGCACCTCTTGATAATGCGAAGCCTGCTGCCGAAGAAGGTACCAGCACCTTTGATCCTAAGAAGCCTGGCTGGGCCCTGGATACCGATACAGGCGAAGATGACCTTATCCTGCAGCGTTTGACCGGAATGGGATTCCCTCGGGATGATTCCCTTGTAGCGCTGGAGAAGTTTGACTACAACCTTGACAAGGTAAATTTGAATGATTCGGTGCAAGGTGACTTAAAAGCTAACTCATTCCAGGCCGCCGACTACTTGACCTCCAAGTAGACGTTGATTCGTTTCCAACATTTGCACATATCATCCCTTACATACAGTATCTCTCTTTACCCCACGATGCCTTCCTTTCCGAATGACCCCGATTTCCTTTTGTTATCTCTCCAGTCTTTTGCGATGCGACTGGGAACTGGGCAGTGTCTTGCATCCCCGACTACCCCATAATTCTCCTGTCAGTTATAACCAGCGTCATGTACATCTTTCTTTCCCGAGGTCTGTTTCTGTCATCATGTGCCATCAGTGTTCGCACTGGATTTTATATCTTTATTGACGGTGCCTATGGACGGAAAGGATGAGTGCTGATATTCTGTTCCATGCACCTCGACCCGCCGTGTAGTGTAGTTTAAGATGATCCTCTAATGCATGTTCACTTCATCATGGATGAGCTGTGCAGTATGACTCAAGAATTGGGAAATCAGTAATTAATTTGACGGGTAGTTTGACTAGATTACTTCAGACTTGGAAGTCAAGGACCGAGCATTCAAATTTTTCAAATGTTTAGTAGATTGACAATCATTTTCTGTGGCCTGCGTACTAGTTACTCGTGAAGTGTTTAGTAAACCCCGGAGTGGGAGTGATACTTTCCGAAAGTAGTAATCGGAGTCTCGGAGTCTCGGGGCTGTTCCGTGGAGCTGTGTTATGTATACCAGTGCATTCCAAGGAGTTGAACATCGGAGTGCCTGACAAAATTTCCCAATTAAAACAACTTTGGGGCTCGGAGTTGCTGAACAAATTGGCTAGATATTCAAGTCAACAACATTCAAATTCAGAGGTAAACTATTTAAGCATTTGCTTTTTCCCACTTAATCATGGTTTAATATCCATCCGCAAAGTCCCTTCTGCTTCACAAACAGTTCAAGCACTCAAGCTTTTGAAATAACCATCACCTTTCTGACTTTGAATATGACTCGTGTTCTCCTAACTGGTGGTAGTGGTTTTATCGCCACACATGTTCTCGAAATTCTTCTCGCCCGTGGTCATTCAGTTGTCGCAACCGTCCGCTCCCAGCAAAAGGCCCAAGCAATCTTGCAATCTCACCCCGATCTACAGAAAGACCGTCTGGACTGCACTATCGTGGAAGATATAGGTCAAGCTGATGGTAAGTTGACGGCCATGTCCTTTTCTCGGTACAAATCACTGAGCTGACGACCACTCTATAGCCTTTGACAACGCCGTTGTTTCCGAGCCTCCATTCGACGCTGTTATTCATACGGCCAGTCCATATCATTTCAATGCCAAAGATGCGAAAGAGTTACTCGATCCAGCCATTATTGGAACCACGGGGATTCTCACTTCGGTGCATAAATATGCGCCGTCTGTCAAACGTGTGGTGGTGACTTCTTCTTTCGCTGCTATCAACAATATTTACGCCCAAGGCAAGGACAAGGTGTACTCCGAGGTGAGGAGTTTATCTACAATACGTACGAATTGCTTGAGCCATCGCTAACGGTAAACATGGATGAAAGGCCGACTGGTGTCCCATCACAGAGGAACAAGCCAACGAGAATCCTGGCAACGCTTACCGAGCAAGCAAGACATTTGCTGTAAGTCCCACTGAGCGCGAAAGGTGCGGTTGAAATACAAACTGACAGACCGACTTTAGGAGCGAGCCGCATGGGATTTCATGAAAAGGGAAAACCCTTCTTTTGATTTGGTAGTCATGAACCCACCCCTCGTTCTTGGCCCCATTGCACACGGCCTTGCCTCTCTCAGCGCCTTGAACACTTCCAACCAGCGCATCCGAGACCTGATAACCGGCGCTTCTAAAGCCAGTTGCCCACCCACTGGAAACCACGGCTATGTTGACGTACGCGATCTCGGACTGGCGCATGTCCTAGCGATTGAGAAGCCCGAAGCAGGCGGGAAGCGATTCTTTACCGTATCGAGCCATTTCTCAAATAAAGAAATTGCGGAAATCATTGGTCAAGAATTCCCGGAGTTCTTGGATCGGTTGCCGTCGGGCGATGCTTTGGCTCCCGGTGACTACCCGGCCGATGGGGTGTATGGATTTGACAACTCACGCAGTCGGGAGATTTTGGGGTTGAAGTTCAGGACTCTCAGGGAGAGTATTGTGGATGCCGTGCATAGCTTGTTGGCCGTGGAGCCAGAGATTGCCAATTGAAGATAAGAATTGCACCTTTAGGAACATAGCTAATTGATTCTACTGCTTGACAAAAGCCGCATCACTTTCCACCCGGGCAAGAGGGGCTTTCTTTTCCGGAATTAACACATGATTTTTTTCAGCTAAATGATGACAGGTGATTCAATCTGACCGCTTAGCGCCACTAGATTAGCACTAAAGAATCAGGATCCAGCCCACCTTTCAAACGGTTATCAGATTAACTTCTCTACTGAATCGATCCCTGGAAACATCATCATCTCGACCATGCTTTCTACATTTTCAGCTGACCCGGAGAAAAGAGCACCTTTGCGACGCCCAAGACGGAAACAGGTTGCTCGGGCGTGTGATTGGTGCCGACTTAATCGGACCAAGTGTGATGATTCCCAGCCTTGCGAGAACTGCCGCAGCCGTGGCAATGAGTGCAGTAATAGCAAGCGAACAGAAGTCCTCACGCTACCAGCAGCAAGCAGGTATGTACCACAGACATTTCATGAATTTCAAAAGAATGACTAACTCTCATCTACAAATCCAGAGAAATCCAACGATTGCGAAACACCATCAGCGAGCTACAAGCCCGAGTTGCCCGGGATCAGGCGACCAGCAAATACGCAACACCACCAGAATCTGACCATGTGGGCATCTCGCCCCAGGAGTCTCATGTTCCACGGTCCATGAATTCACATTCACGTTCACCGACCACAGAATGGAAGGGAATACAGATCCATGATGTTCATGGTGGGGCAATCTACTATGGACCACTGTCATCTTCGTATTTTGGGGCTCGCATGGGTCACTTCTTAGCTGACGCGCTAAGCAAATACCCGGAATCGCAGTTTCAGACTGATACTCTGCGGCTGACCTACCCGCCTACATTTCTGACATGTCAAAGTGATCAGTCATGCTTCGAGAGTCCAGGGGGCATCAACCTGGTGGAGAATCTAGAGATGGGGCCGGATTCCTTATCCCGGGCTGAAGAACAATTCTTTCTGGACTTACTTTGGCAATCTTTTCATTGCGTCTATCCTATCATCGTTGAAGGTGATTTCCGCAAATACTATGAGTCTTTATGGAGACCAGAAGATCAATCTAATCGGCGTCCCTCAGCACTGGTTGATAGCCTGCTGTCTGTTTGCATGCAATACGGAAGCACGTTTCTTATTAGTGACGATAATGATACACTGGGAAGCGAAGGGGGTCACCATGCTTCATCGGTTTCAAAAGGAAGTCATGGGTTCTTTCGCCGGGCCCAGACCCTGCTTCTGGATGAGATGGAAAGGCCATCGATAATGGCACTGCAGAGCCACATATACTGCGTTATCTATTTACATAACACATGCTTGTTAAATGCGGCCTACAGTCTGTTAGGAACAGCTGTCAGAGTTGCCAAGTCTCTCCGGCTACACCTACCTCCTCCCGACACGTCGATTCAGGAGGAACAAGAATTATACCGACGTCTTTGGCACACACTGATTGTCCTAGACTGCCAGCTTTCCATGTCGTTGGGTCGCCCGCCGATTGCTCGTATTGACGAAGTTAACTTTGATCTACCGGGAGATACCCAGGAACATGCCCTTCTATCTGGTTCAATGCTGATGGTCCCAAGCAACGAGGAGATCAGCTGGCTGACCTTCCACGTGCAGTCCATCCGACTTTTGAAAATAGTGCAAGGTGTTCAAAGTTCTTTCTATCAAGAAGGTGCTCGATTACTCGAGCAGAAGAGTGCACAGAGTATATACGAAGATCCGTTCTTGGTAGAAGAATTAGCTGCATACCTTGCTCGCGTGGTTGGAGTCGTATACGACTGGGCACGTAATGTACCACCATCGCTGCAGAATCCCCGAGACTCCGGGGAACCATTCTCCAGCAAACGGAGTCCCATCAGATTCGATACATTCAGCCCCATTTGGCTTCAACGACAAAGAATTATCCTTGAACTTCTATACCACCATCTTCAGCTGTCAAACTTTCGCTCATTCCTCCGATTTCCACCTGGACAGTCCTCCATCACTCCGTTGTCCGACTGCCATAGTATCAACACCCTCAACCACGCAATGGCTTTGACAAACATTCTTCACCAAGTACTCACTGAAACGGACCTACTCCGCGGCTGGCACCCCGTATTCCAGTATCAATGGGAAGCAGCTCTCTGTATCCTAGGCTTTGTGCTCGCAAATCCAGTCTGTCCCCCAACGCCCGCAGCCCGCAAGTCTATACAAACGGCAATCCAATGTTTGGAAATAATTGGCAAGAATTCGGCAGCGGCTGCCTCTGCAGCAAACATAATCCGAGAGGTAGGAATCCAAGCTGAGGTGCTCGTTGGTAAATTTCATAGCAGCTTGTCGACTCGCAACCCACCATCAAAGGAGAGAATGTGGACTAGTGCGAAGGTGCAGATGGTTTCAGCCCCGGGCTTGACTCCAGAGTATCTTAGCGTGGGAGCTTGCCAGCCTGTCGAAATTGGTGATTTTATGATCAACAACATTTCAACTGGGGATAGTCTCCTTCCATTTGATACCTCTATTTCTCCAGATGATATGGGAGATGCGGATGCCATACTTTCCACAATGGGATTGCCGTGGACAAATGGTGAAATGGCTTTGGGGCAATTCTCGATTTTTCCGGAAGGGTCGGAGTGTCTGTAGAAATTTGACAAATATCTTCAGGCTTGATCCCATGGTGAAACTCGTATCCATGATCGGACAATCTTCATTCAGGACCCTTGTCGTCAAGACTCAAGTTGGTCCAGGACACACGCGTGATCTAAGAGGTAGGATATCAAACTCTCACTTGGAAATTCCAGATAAGCGAAATCCTGTCAGATTTTCAGCTGTGCCTGTACAATAAGACCCCTGAGACACCTGGTGATAAGCTTCTATTTCCGTTGTTTCACAGCTCTACGGCCCATGTGTTTCATGAATTCTCGATCCATGAGTTTCACGGTCCCACGTCAGACACATGGCATGCCACATCAGCTTCATGGAGACCTCGCATGAGAAACCCCCCGAGGCTACGGGCTGGGGTTACACGACATACGGCCTCTCGCGTGGTGTTTTGGATTCAGCCTCTTGGCAGCTTGAAATGTATAAAAAGATGCGTGGACATGTGTACGCAATTGTGCTCCTCATGTTCGTTTCCTCTTTAATGTTGGGATCTCACAGCCGATAAGATGGCTAATGTTGTTGCCTTTTTGTTTTCAATATGGCTGATCCTGGTTTCCCCCGTCTGGGGGATACCTAAGTTTAATCAAGATCCAGTGCTAATGAAAGATGCCACACGATTTGAGAAGCTCGCTCAAGAGGCTTTGAAGTCGACGATAAACACGATTATTGAGAATTCTTCAAAGGAAAACAATACGTGCACGTTGGAGAACCTACGAGTTCGTCGGAATTGGAGAGCTTTCACTTCTCCTGAAAAGAAATCTTATATCAACGCTGTCCTGTGCATGACCAAGTCTCGGACAATTACTCCGCCCCATTTGGCACCTGGAACCAGATCTCGATTTGACGACTTTGTCGCTGTTCACATCAACCAATCGTACCACGTCCATCGCGATGTAAGTATTTGACACGATTGATTTGATACAGAACACTGACAGCGGTACAGGGCCTATTCTTTGCGTGGCATCGATACTTCATCTATGAATATGAGCAAGCTCTACGAAACGAGTGCAACTATACAGGGGACTACCCGTAGGCATCCCGCATTACAAACCAGTCACATCTACAGCTAAGGAGTAACACAAGACAACCCAGATACTGGAACTGGGCCGCAGACGCCAACAATCTCGAAAAGTCACAGCTGTTCGACGGAAGCGAGACCTCGCTCTCCGGTAACGGTGCCCACATCCCAAACGAAATGCCCATCGGAGCCCGAATCCCCGGCCCATACCCACCACTCTGGCTACCCCCAGGCACAGGAGGCGGGTGCGTAACCAGTGGTCCCTTCAAGAACCTGACCGTCAATTTGGGCCCGTCCTACCTCGCCGTTCCAGGCGATAACATTACCCGCATGGCAAACCCACTGGATTACAACCCGCGCTGTCTAAAGCGAGATCTCACAACTGCCATCTTACAGATGTATGTGAACTACACTTCTATCGTGAATTTGATCACAAAAAGTCAGATTGTCTGGGACCTGGAGGATAAGATACAGGGCCAGGTGGATGGACCCGGATTGCATGGTGGTGGTCATTTTGCTATGGGTGGTGATCCGGGTCGGGATGCGGATGCTAGTGCTGGGGATCCGGCATTTTATCACCATCATGGGATGGTGGATCGAGTCTGGTGGATATGGCAAAACATGGACTGGAAAAATCGACAATTTGCAATTTCGGGGACGAGTACCTTTATGGATACACCCCAGTCGGCTAATGTGACGTTGGACTATATGTTGGATGTTGGTTACGCGAATGGGAATTTGGGGTCGGTCGCTTTACGGGATTTGATGAGTACTACTGCTGGGCCGTTTTGCTATGTTTATCTATGACCTCGGGATCTGCACATGTGGTCAAAGAGATTGATGTGTCTCTTGACTTATGTAAAAAAGCCATTGATTTCATGTTTCTTTTTGTTTAATAAACTTACCTTGGAAGTCAGCACTTGAGAATACCTGATTGGTCTATGCAAGAGGCGATCTTACCCTCTTTTCACCACGCTAAACCAGAAAGGATCTTTCCCCCCTAATGTAAGCAGTTTTGTTGGGCTGAACTTTGCTAAATGACAATGGCTTCTTGCATGAGAAAAAAGCAAAATTGAGAAACTGAAAAAGGGGGAATAAAAAAGAAGAAAGGCATCGTGGCACATTAATCTCATTGATCAGTTGGCAGGACCGCCCAAAGTTGAAATCATGGGAAGTTTGGCAACAGACGCGTCAATTCCCTCCCAAATCCTAGAAATCTCATTTCTTTACGCCGCCCACTGCCTGATCCCAGGCATCCTCTTGATCTCAACATCAAAACGTTCAATATGGCGATACATCTCAATCCCAGTTCTAGCACTTATCGCGCACCGATTCATCCGCGCGGCCACAAGTCTAGGACCAGGCTTCATCTGGTGTGAACTAGCCCGTCTCATCGTGACAGTAGTCTTCCAGTCCCTAAATCTACTACTGATCAACCCAAAAGACAACACCGACCTTCCCCAAGAAATTCAAAGTTTGGTAGCGCGCATCTACTATTCCACGCGACTATTTACCCAACCGCGTGGTATCAACACGCCTTGGCAGATTAAAAACGCCCCCGCACAACCCGCTTACTATGCGAAAAGAGGCATGAACCAGCCGCCTCGCGGTCGGTTCTTGCTTCGAAATACCGCTATTGCGGTGTGGCAGTATTTGGCGTTGGATGTTTTCGCCACGCTTGCGTTGCAGCAGGCGCGGGAGCAGGAGGAAAGCCAGATTTTGCCGCCGACTGTTCAGTGGGATTTGTCGGTGGAGCAGTGGATTGAGCGGATTATCTCGAATCTGGTCGCTGGGTTTGTGGTGAGCAGGTTGCTTATTGATTTCCATCATCGTGCGTTCTCGATTCTCATTGTTGGACTGGGGCTTGATTCACCGTCGAATTGTCCGCCTTTGTTCGGTCGCGCTGCGGATGCGGGATCATTAAGAGGATTCTGGGGGTATGTACTTGTCTCACTTGAATTGGGCATAGTCGCTGTATCTTGTTGGAGAATGCTAATGAACTTGGGCAGGAAATTCTGGCATCAATTGGTGCGTGAACCATTCGTCTCCGTGGGGACTTTCATTACTCGTGATATATTGGGTCTATCAAAGCCACCGTTAGAGCGATATACAAACATCTTTCTTGTTTTTCTCTTCTCGGGTGGACTGCACGTTATCCTTGATGTTATCCAAGGAATCCCAGGATGGGAGTCAGGTGCCATGTTACTATTTATGACGGCGCCATTGGGTCTTGTAATTGAGGACAGCATCAAAGCGCTCTGGAGGTCAGGGAAGGGAATCAATCGGGGCATTGAAAGTGCCGACAAGGAGGGTCCGCCAATCTGGCAAAAGGTTCTTGGGTTTGTGTGGGCAATGGCATGGCTGGGTATCACATCGACTTGGTATTTCTATCCGCAAATGCTTCGACCTGAGAACCAAGCTCTTGTTCCATATAGCTTTGCAAGTCATGTTGGACTGCCTGCTGTGGCAGGAGCTGTCCTGGCTGGAGGCGCTCTGGTGGCGTATGTGTTTGAAGTTGAAGTGTGATGAAAGATGTTCAAAATCTGCCTTCCAAATAGAGAGTTGGGTTCACACGTGCATGGTCTTGTCGCCTATTTTCGGCATCTAAAGTGCCAAGCCCGAGATCAATCCATGCATGCTCCGAGCAGCCAATTCATTAATTCATTGAGTCTCAAATCTCCGCCGGGATTTTGAGTTCGATCGTGCCTACAAGAGTTCGAGTATGTAGTATATTCGAACAGGCTTCCATCAATCAATAGGTTCTTGGAATCTATCCGACATCCGTGAAAGAATGCTACATACAATGATCCTCGTTCTCCACAAGAAAGTCAATTCAACCTCGGATATTGCATGGATCGGGTCTATCCGCATCTATTTCTTCTCTCAGGTGCTTTGCATGAGATAGTTTTCTATTCCATAATGGATCGATGTCGCCTTCAAGGTAAGACAAAATAATTAATAAAAATGATTGGGACAGACTTCCTCGCTTATTTGTTCCAGCATTCTATGCTTATTCTGTACTTACCAGGCTGACTATGCACTGATTACTGCTCCAGATGTCTCGATGCTCCGTGATGGATCAATTGATCCTAGTGCAGGGCGTGTTTCGTTGCCTGGCGGTTGGCCTTACGTACACGCCATCCTTGACAGTTGTCGACCAATATCAATTTCCACCACAATCATTGGGCAAGGAATAGCCTCAGGTGGATCCTCGGCTGCAGGCGTAAATCGCGTGATACTATCTACAGCCTTGAACCAAACGAGCAAAAGCAACCTCGGCTTCGGCAGATCAGTTCACAATTCATTGGCGCACTGATGTAGGGATCTTCGCCTGTGGATCTGTCATTCCAAACCAGGTCGACTTAGTACATTGGAAGATGATCGGGTGCATTTATTATTTACGGTTTGTTCAATGTTGGGCTCTTCTAAGATTTTCGATGGGATCAGTTGGTGGAATAATTGCATTTCCTTTGCTTTTAGTTTATTATATGCATCGCTGATTTCAGGACTAGTATTTCCCATGAATGTTTCTCAAGCCGAGTGAGATCCAACCCGTCCATGAGGATGCCCAGCACTTGGCACACCCTTGGCTTTTTTTGGTATCATGGGGACTCGAATTGAGGGGCCGCAGGTAGTATGGAAGTTGCCATCCCGCGAAGATTTTCACGTTTGGGGCTATGGGTTATTTTTGTGACCAGACAGTGTCTTATGAGGACTAGTAGGAAGGTGCTAGCAGGGCAAATTCAGAATTTCAGGCTAAAGAGGGTAAGCATGGAGATTCTCCGCTTATTAGACCCCCAAATGAAAGGTTTGGTGGTTTTAGCGGCTGTGGCTTGCTTTTGTAGGCAACCAGATTACCCGATTCCCACCAACGTGGCCAATTCAGAAAAGGAAGAAAGAAATCTCTCAGGCTTTAAAAAAATTCCTGATCTGTTAAAGGGGGTCTTTTTGGAGACTTTTTGTTGTGTTCCTGGAGACAAAAGAAATTTTGAGACAGGGCAGGGGAAGATTGTAAATTGTGGCATGAGCCTCATGGAAGTTTGGAACCCTTGGAATTGGAAAGGTTAAAGCAAAGCCCGGAAAGGCAAATGAAGAATCTCTTACTTGGGAAGACAAGTCAATAAATCGATAATAGGAAATTCGTATCGATTATTCTGTTGCCTGTCAGAGTAACATTTACCCCCCGTACCTGATCCACCATTTTCAGGGTTTTCGGGTGATCCGATGGGCCAATCAGCGCTGGAGAGAAACAGGGTTAAGCTTTGGCTTAAGCTTTAGGGGTTGCCGCCTAAAAAGTCTTGGCCCCGGAAGTCTAACTCCTGTTGCTTAACTTAGTCCTTGGGGCTGTACCGCGGCCCAGTATGAAACTAGTTGTTTTTTAAATACAAATCACCCCGGGAAAACGGGGCTTTGTTTCTCTCTCAATCCTCATATTCACTTCTCCTCAATTTTTCCATTCCCTTAGAACATGTGACGCATTTCACAAAAGCCTTCTGGATTCCTTCGCTCGCTGCAATATTCTTCTCATTCACGCTCTTTTTCACTCCTGACTGAATCCACACAATGACCCTCCTCCCACGCCATGATGGCGTTTTACAAAAGAAGCCTTTGGAAGCCATCTCAGTCCTTGCCCCGTTCTCAGCGCTCATTATCTCGGTCACTTTGCTCGTTCTATTCTTCATTCGTTACTACATCCTCGAAGGATTCCTCATCAAATGGTACTATCAAAATATCTACACAGATCTCAATGAGGTCAATCGACGTGGCTTTATCAATCATCACATCTCCGCCGCAACAAAGATCCTCATCCTAGTCCTGGCAGCTTACCCATTCATTTGCCTGAGCTTCGGTAGCTCGACATTTCATACCCCCTTTGCCCATGGCTCCATTGTGACCATGGGCGACGTGATGATCGTCGCCGCACAGATCCTCATCGCAATGTACATGACTGAACTCATCTACCGCTCTAAACTATCCCCCGTGGCAGTCGCCCACCACACTGGTACCATCCTGATAGGACAGTCTGCTATTGTGATCAGTCTACGTCTGGCCCGTGAGCCAGACGCAGACATCGAGTTCATCCTGTGTACTGTCTGGGGTAAGTCATATCTCCTATCTCCATCTACCGTCGCTCAAATAACAGCATCTGTATGTCTTCTCACCAACTTCGTCTAACGTGTTCCCTTCTCTTCCCTTTCAGGTGCCTTCGATCTCATCGCAGAGTTCTTCCCACACGTCGCCATCATCCTCTACCGCATCTACCCCCACCGCCACCATTTCCTCAGTCGTGTGTTTCTCTTCTCCGCTATCACAACGGCCTGTGGAACACTGTTCGAGACCATCGTCACAATGTGGCTCTTTGGCAGCCTCTGGGATAGATGGCAGATTGCCTTCAAGGTTGTCACGCCTATCCTACACGTTGCCTTTTCTATCGCACAAATGCATGGGAGTATGGTGTTCTGGCGTATGTACAAAAGACAAAAGCAGATTCTACGGGAGGAACAGGAGAAGCAGGATATCGAGGGCATCTTGATGCCTTTTGTAGAGCCTCCTAGGCCTCCTAAGGCTTTCTGTGCCTAATGAGCGATTTCTTCTTAAAAATAGGTTCTTCTGTTTGTATGTTAATATGCTTTGCATCTTATGTTTGGAGCGGGTTTCAGATACATTTTTTTAATTGAACACTTAACACATTTAAAGCGTATCTGCGCATGAATCTTTCACACTCCACTCGGTTATTTAATACATCGTAGACTAATATTTCAACATTTGAAGGAGATGCATGACATTGGGGTGTAAGATAGTATGGCCAGGAAATAATGCACCACTGCACCCAGTAACGTGTGGAAAAATCCAAGATTTCCCGTTTTTCCACTGGACATCTGGAGGTTAAAACCAGTCGGTTACAACTTACACCTATAGACCGCACCGAGTGACGGCATCCAACATGCAATTGACGCCATAATGTGCTGCGAGATCCAGAACAAGAATAAAACCAATTATTCTAGTAAATCAAAGTATCCAAGCCCAGGGGAAAGACAAAAGATCCGACGAAAAGGAAAGACAAGATTGGAAGAGTAAGAGAACGCTAGGAGCGCTAGGTTCAAATTTCAGTCATGGCGTGGGGAAAGTGGGGTCACCCGGCACGCAAACCAATCAACCACTGGCAGTCTGGAATCCTTGGAGTTACAGTACTGGGAACTTGGAAGAGCCATGGTTGCCGTTCTAGGGATATGGGCTGCTCAGGGTGATCAATTGATGAGCAAGTACATACCTTGGTATCTACTTACCCAAGGTTATAGAACCTACAATGGAATAAGTCTGGAAGGGGATCACAGCATTTCAAGTATCAGGTGCTAATAATACAGATTTGATCCGGACGTTAATACCTATTGTGCTGTATCCTTCGATGAAGCTGAGTTAAATGATCCCAGCTGAATCGAGTTCTCCTAAGATATCACTTCAATGCTCCCTTCAATAAAATATTGCCATGCAACGTCGAATCCCAAGGGCGCCTGGTCTTTCGAACAAAGGAACGGGCAGTGTCGAATCCCAAGGGGACCTGGTCTTTCGAACGAAGGAAGGGGCAGTGTCAACTAACAAACGGGGCGTCTTACTGGTGCACGTGCTGGACAGAAAGCCGACCGGCACTGGTGTCTATATAGTCTATCAGCTTCATGCAAGGATATTGCGAGTAAAGAGACGGGAGCATTGAGGGGACTTACCAAAGTCCTCAGTGTCACGCGGGAGGGGTCTGCGACGCCACATCCTTCCGTTCACCAAGTCATCAAACCAGCGGGAACGCTGGAGAAACACGTACAAGACACCATTGACAAAGGTGATTCCTGCAGAGAAAATCCAGACTCGAGCGATGGTTAGACCAGAAGAAGGCGTGTCGCTCAGAACACCGAAAAAGCACATGAGCGTTGAGATCATGTCCACAGAAAAAACGGCGATGATGAGCGCCAGGGAGGGGCCGGGCTTCCACAACGGTCCAGGGCGGCGGGTTTGAAGACGCGTAATAAAAATCAACCAGTTTTGTGTCAAAGTAATCTCCACAAATACGACCATACTCTTATCCCCAAAGTTCTGCACGATGCCTTTGTGTTCACCTTGTAGCAACATGGTCCCGAGGGCGACCCAAGATCCTGTAGCGAGTGTTGTGCCGAGAACAATTGAGGTGCCCCAAAGCTTGGGACAATTCCATCGAACAGGAGCTATGTCGTAAGGAGCCGAGTCATAAGCAATGGCCAAGGTGGCAACATCAGCGAAGATAGCGAGCAGAACCACGAGACGGAGGTCCAAAGTCGTGTCCATGGCGATGATCCAAGCGCCGAGAAACATGATCAGGTGGAGGGTTAACGCGATTCGATAAACCACGTACGAATACATCCTGTGAAATATCTGGCGTGAGCACTTAATGGAGTGGATGATGGTAGAAAGTCCAGGTTGAAGAAAGACAATATCAGAAGCGGAGCGTGCAGCGTCTGAAGAGCCTTCAACCGCAATACCTGTATCTGCTTGTTTGAGAGAGGGCGCATCATTGACACCATCCCCCGTCATGGCAACCAAGTGTCCCCGCCGCTGCAAGATCTCTACAACTCTATATTTATGCTCCGGAAACACTTCGGCGAACCCATCCGCAACTTCCACGAAGTCATTGACTTTAGATCCAGGCAGATCACCAGCTCCAGTCACGCCAAGACGTTCTGCATTGTATATGTTCGTGCCCAGTCCTAGGGAGCGCGCAGTCTCTCTTGCGATTCCCACAGCGTCTCCAGTGAGCATCTTGATACGAAGACCCAGTTGATGTGCTTCTTTGATTGTTCTTTTCGTATCATAACGTGGAGGGTCCAAACAGGGCGCAATTCCGAGGATCTGCCATTCACCATTTCCAACCTTGCGAGCTACACCAAGAGCCCGAAACCCGCGGCTGGCAAACTCAGCAACCTTCGCCGTGTAAGCATTCTGAATTTCCTCTGGGACATGTTGATCCTCCTGAACTGTACGCAAAACTGACATGGGGGCTCCCTTTGTACAGATTATTCTCTCGCCGTCAGCATTTTGTACCACAGAGGTGACCTTTTTGGACACTGGATCGAAAGGATGGAACCCGATGGTTCTATGCATGTCCATTTGAGTCTTGGCATCTGGATACTTCTTGAGGATTTTGATAAAGACACGATCAATGGCATCAAGACCCTTCTTCTTCCGACTTGCTGCTAGGCAAGCAGTGAGAATGAGATCATTGATCCTAACTCCAGGAAGCGTGAATGGATCTCCAAGGGCCAACTTGTTTCGAGTGAGGGTGCCAGTTTTATCCGAACAAAGGATATCCGCACCGGCTAAGGACTCTATGGCGGAGAGCTTTTGAACAATACAAGACTTTCGGGCAAGCTGAGATGCCCCCACAGCCATTGTTGTGGTTACAACTGCTGGAAGGCCGACAGGGACACCGACAATCGTGATGGCCAGTGTGAACTCTAGAATCTGACGGATTTCGTTTGACCTGTAGTACGAGCTGATCCATACTGCAAGGAGAGTGAAGCTGACGAGAGTCATCAAGACCCTAGCTATTCCCTCCAGAACCAAAGTGAAATGTCCTTTTCGATTTGTGGCTTTGTTCACAAGGGCTGCGGCTTTTCCAACAAATGTCCTGTCACCAATGGTAGTCACAATCATCAAAGCCTCTCCACGTTTGATGATGGAGGATGCAAAGCATGGATCATTTGAGTGTTTATCCACAGCAAGGGACTCTCCTGTGATTACGGACTGGTCGACCTGGAGATGTGCATTTTCAGACGCAATGAACCCATCAGCTGGAACAATCACTCCCTATGGCGAGAATTAGCATGCAATACTTACTACGTCACCTCCATTGGTCGGGCTTTACCTCTTCAAGAAAAACAATATCCCCAGGAACAACGCTCTTGACGGGAATTTCCTCCTTGGATCCATTGCGAATGACAGTGGCCTTGAGAGCAAGAGTTTTCTTCAGGGCTTTGACGATGTTTCCGGCGTGGTATTCCTGGATAAAGCTCACAAGGGCGTTGAGCAAAAGAAGACCTGAGATCACACCAAAGTCAATCCAGTCTTGCAGAGCGGCTGCAAGGAGTGCTGCAATCTATGTGCCAGACGGGTGAGCTGCTAGCCAAACAGGATAGCTGCATAGAATCTGCAGTGACAATCCACTTACCTCCATGACACACTGCACTGGCCCGATAAATAGCATGAGAAACTTGATCAACTGGCTCTCTCGTTCCTCTTCTAGGATGTTCCAACCGTATTTCCGTCGTGAAGCCTCAACTTCCACCTCGCTAAGACCTGTTCTGAGGTCTGTTGAAAGGAAAGGCGATGGGCTGTGGATATCGTTACGAGGGTCGATCGTCAGGGCTTCTGGGTCAGGATCTTTGCCGTCCTCTTCTTCAAGCTCCCTGATCAGGAAGTCCAAATCGTCTTCTGTCTCCAGTCGGGTGATCAAGGGAAGCTCCTTGACCTCTACCCCGCAGTCGTCATCAACCGGGCTGTGCTCAAGACCCAGGGCCTGGGAGTCGATGTCTTGGGTCATGGCGAATAAAGGAAGACTGCAGGTGGAACAATAACAAAGAGTCTATTGAGAAAAAAAATAAGCCTTTTTTTCTTTCAGATAATGCTATTCATAAAATGAGGATATGAGTTGTGCATTATTGATGAAAAAAATGGGGAAGGATGATGAACAGACACAGGTTTGTTGCAATACAGACCTTTTACAATGGCAGGGGCCATTTGCAACAAAAAGAGAAGGCGCCATTGACTCGTCGATTTTTGAAGCCGATGCTTTTATATGCTGGGTTTCGACGCGTCCGACGCGTAATAATCCAAGAAAAAGAAGAAAAAAGAGTCGAAATCGAAGCCACAATACAACAAAAGCAGACTAATGTTGAGGATGCTTGGAAGTTGGAAATGCTTATCGATATATCATATGATGATCAATTGATATCGAACAGTGTGGACCTTCAGTACCAACATTTCAGAGCCCCATAATCAACTGGATGTGGCCAAAGTACTAGTTCAGGCAACTCAATATTGAAAGCAGATTTGATGGTCTCATTGAAGTTCAGCCATAATGTCTGGATTCTTAGGGCAACGACAGTCGACAAGTTCAATACAACTATACCTGGCTGCCCCAGGCATCAATGTTATGTAATCGCCACAGCGACGTCGCCATCAATTGAATCTGCCGAGTTCAAGTGAATTTTAATGCGATGATTTTGACGTGAAATGCTCCAGTGGGAGCTAGCGTTTCTCATAATAGGGGAAATAATTAACTACTCAAGAGATGTTGCCCATTGAAATTTGCGTCAAGAAGCGTCTGCATGTTTTACAATAGCAGCGCCAGTTACCTACGGGCCACGGCAACACCGCCATCACTTTTCAGTATTAAAAGTTCATACTATTTTGACTCGTTGATACTCTTCTTCTGCGCAACTCCCTGTTGTCATTCTGCCTTTTTCAGCTCGTCATATCAGTGTCTCCTAAGTTGATCCCACGGATTCTCCTCCGTGCTTCCATCCTCCACGATCATCATCGATTCATCATCATCCTATTGCCCTCTTCTTCTTCTTCTTCTTCTCCTCCTCCTCCTCCTCCTCCTCCTCCTCGTTCTTCTTCTTTCACGCTTTCAGCAGGAAAAATCCTGTATGCTCCAACCTGACTGTCACGCCATTTTACACGTCGATCTTACGTGTTGTCGTCCCTCCTTCCATCCTCCATCATCTTTTCTCCTAATCAGCGTGAAGTTGAAATCCCGCGACGATGAATCGCGAAATTCCAGGATTCTACTATGGTAAGCGAAACCCAAGTTTTGATTTTGATCCTCTCCATTCCACTCAAAATCAACAAATCCTGATTGTATGCATAGATCCCGAGAAGAAAAAATATTTTCAGATCCAGAAGAATCACGTAGCATCTGGTTCGTCAGGCTCATCTTATTCCAACGATGCCATCAAAAAGAAGGAACAGGATGAAAAGGTTAGCATGCAAATACTTTGAGAAAATGGTTCAATGATTGACACAAAGCCTTGCAGAAAAAGAAAGATCGAGCACAGCTCGAGAATCGCATCAGAAAAGAAAGGGTACAGAAGGCCGGGTTCTACAATCACGCCTTCAACAATGTAGCCCTTTCTTTGGGGTTGCCGGCCGTCTCGACTCCGGTCAGATTAGACCAACAAGCCCGGACCTACGCAAGTCAACTAGAAAAGAAAAGGTTGTGGAAAATTTCCTCGGCAATTAGAAGGAGCGTAAACCCAACCTCTATCAGAGAGGTTGTGCGCCATCCTTCAAATGGGAATATCTTCATCAGTTCGTCTTGCCTGCAAAACGTTTATAGGAAGATGTAGGAAGATGCTAACATGTTTTTGATAGGCGGCCAACAAGGCTCTGCCGGAATAGTATTGTATGCATCCCCTCTGTTGTCACCCCACAGTGCCTTACAATGACTGACAATCGAATAGTATCAATTACTCCCGGCCAGACAGCCGAGGCAGTGAGTGGAGTTACAGAGAAAGCACCCAAGAAGCCCTTGGAAATGCGTCCATGGTACGTCACATGGATACAAGCTATAGTCTACATGGATATAGACTAATACACGTTGATCATAGGTGACCTCGATGACCCTAAGCCCTGCAGACTACATGCTGTGAGTATTTACTCAGATCCAATTACGATATATTCGAGTTACTGACACACTCCCAGGTTCACCATAGATGCAACTCAAGATGGCTTTCCCTCCCTTTATCCTCGCAAAATCGTCGAGGACGACTTGCTCCACTTTCGGGACATGTTACCTTGTGGGTCTTAATTGATATCTAAAATACTCGAAGTCACGGAAGTCTAACCTCATTCACGTGCTATCTAGTCTCCGGTCAACCCAAGATCCGTATGAACTCCACCGTGTTCTGTTCTGCCGCCTGCCCAACCAAGGATAGGGCTCTGTTCGCCATTGGCACTTCGGGGGGTGTGGCAACCCTTGAGGGGGAGCTTGACCGGTGGACCGTCTCGAATAAGCCATTCCCACGAGGCGGGGACAATGACTTTGCTCGGCGGGCCGACTCCTCCCATGCTTGCGTGACGGCGGTGGACTGGCTTTCCACAAATGTCATTGCAGCTGGGATGCGTGATTCGACAGTGATTCTGCACGACCTACGCACCTTTTACAGCGCTACACGGTTACAACACCCAGAAACTGTTTCGAAGATCGTCCGAGTCAGCGAGCATTGTCTAGCTGTAGCAGGACCCAGCAAAGTAAGCAACTCTTCTTTCATGTTCTTTTGTTCTTTTGTTCACCTCTTCACCTGACCCTTCACTCTTCCCCCTACTCTTCTTCCTTCTCTTATCCACACTCCTCGCCTGACTCTTCACTTACTAATCACTAATTATATAAATATAGCTCCAACTGTATGATATTCGGTTCGCCCCGAATGGATTACAGCGCAAACCAAATCCGATGTCGAGCTCACATACGGCTACACGCCCATACCTGTCGATGCAGAATTATTCGCCGAACACGGTCCCTGGGTTCGATGTCAGCCCGGAGTTGAGTCTCCTCGCCAGTGGTAAGACCTTGTCCTATCTACATCCTTTACTCCTCTCTGACCTTGACCTTACTTCCTTCCATTTGCCCCGTTTTCACACCCCCTTCCCATCTCCCCCTTTACATTCCGTCTCCTGCTGTTGCATGAATCAATTCAATTTGACATTTTAATTGAGCGGATGGGTTGCTAATACAATTCAAAAGCCTCCGACAAGAAAGTGCAACTGTTCTCATTGCGATCAGGTACTGAGGTGTCCTCGCCGCTGACAGAGTACGAGTACTCTCACCAAGTCAGCTGTGTACGGTTTGAGGATAGCGAGAAGGTTTCGGCGCGTGGCCCCCGGGCTCCGAGTTTGCTGGTGTGCGCCGGCACAGTGGTGGACCAGTGGGCGTGGTAACTTTGCCCGCCCACCACATCCACCCTGTGTTCGCGCTTTGTTAGACAGGGAGAGTGTTAAACCAGGATGACTGGAGTGGGCGAGCTTACAGGTCCGATTCACAAGGCCTACCTGCATAGGGGGTCTTGTGGATCCACTAGACTATGCCTTTTGGCTGATAAGTTACTAGCTCATTTGGACCCTATTTGACTAGGTCTCGTGGATCAAGTCCCCCATTTTTCGAGCTGACAAGCTACCGGCTCGTTTAGATCCTCTGCGGGTTTCCAGCAGTCGAGCGATAGATCAAGCTATCGAAGGCTAGAAATAAAGCCATGTTTCCATTCTCGAACTCTGACAATGGGTATGACTGAAGCTGAAGACTAGTTGAGCAAAGATGAACTCTTGGCTGGAGAGTGCTTTAAATCTTGGTCGGAGTCATGGAGGAGATTTGCTCGAGTTCTATACACATGGAAAGACCGAGGGTCTATGTTTGCCAAATCTTCTTTCATTGTAAACACTGCATTGTAGTTCATTGTAATACAGTGTATTATCTAAATTCTGGAGTTCGTAATGGCTGTAATGAGTCATCCAGAAGTAAAACAATCAATAATGTGGTACATGTATCCATTGCCCAGGTGGGCGTTTGGCGAGCAGCCGAGATATCGCAAAGCAGGCGGGAGTTGTCCTAGCCGTTGCCATGCGGCCCCTACTTGACTTTCACCATTTTACTTGTCCCGGATTGATTAGCGCTTGGGATTATCACATTTATGGATAGGATAGAGAGGGCAGGAGATTATCCAAGGCGGAAAATGGGCATAAAAAACGGGTATAATTGATTCGCATATCAAATTGCCATGCAGCCTAACCAACACCAAATGCAAAAAAAGAATAGAACTCTCTCGTCATACTCCAGATAGTGCAACAAATAGAATCTTGGAAACTCGACTAGTCCAGACCACCAGCTAGCCATTCGCCAACCTCAACACCAATGCCCTTGGCTAACTCCCCAATCCAGTCACCAGAAACATTGACACACCATTTCTCTCCTGCGTCCGCACTCGTATTTCCACTTGCAGTGGTACCAAGGCCACCATGGTGACCCGAGGCCGGGACAACTAAACGCAGGCGACGTAGTGTGGCCAACTCGGCATAGATCTGGTCTGCAACTGCGCCGGTGCGGATGGGATTTTCGGGCGGGTTGGGGTCGATAGCGTGATAGATTGCGAGAAGACGCTCGAGTGGGAATGGACGTGCTGTGAGAATCGTAGACGGACCTGTTATACCCGCACCACCTCCCATCGCAGATGTAGTGGCTGACGATGTAGCAAAGGCTGAAGACAGGGTGGATTTTGTGATACGGGTCTTGGTCCGTTTGCCTTTTTTGTTTGGGGTTGAAGGGTCGTTAGCTTGTCTCATTTCTTCGGCTTGGGCCTGTGAAAGTGTCTTGAGACGACGACGGTGGTGAGCACGCTTGTTGCGAGCGGACAGTGAAGAGGAGGAGAATTTGGAGAAAAAGATAGTGTCCAATCTTTGTGGGGTGTGGGATGCGACGTATGCAGATGTCAAGATTAAAGTCGAGAAGTATGGTAGAGAGGGCAACCCTGAGCGGACGCCACTGGCGGAAAGGGGCTTGCGTAATAATGTATTACTTGGGGCAGAAGAGTTGTCGGGCACAATTCGATGAACAAGCGCCGATTCACCTTGGTGTCTGAAAAGTGCCCTATTCCTGACCAGCAGTCGCGCAAAGTCCCATTCGGTATTGCCAGGAGGTGCTTCGCCTTGCAACACAGGGGCCACGAATTGGGGCCATAACCTCTCGCAGATAGATCGGAAGTTTGGGATCGACCCAGCTGTCGGTCCGACCAGGGCGTCATAGATGGTCGAAACAAAGTGCGGATATACGCGGGAAAGTATTTCCTCCGGCAGGCCTTCTAGCGTGGGCGCAGGCGAAGCCATCAAGATATCAATCATCTCTTTTCGGGTATATGGCGGAAAGCTGATATGAGGAACCGACGCACTCTGGAGGAAAAGTGGCCGTGGAGTTGAGCTCAGGACCAATACAACGCAAAGCGATGGGATCTAATGGGACTGGCTGTCAGCACCGGCGGGCCACCGAGAATGCAAGAACACGACGAGAATCTTCAATGAGTACTCACAATTTGTCCAAGTCGAGCCAGTGCCGAGAGCAAAGTCGGCGCCGCCTCTCTCTGCCTATCTATCTCGTCCAACACCAAGACAAAATTTCCTTGTTTGTCGGCAGGTCTCGCAGCCAAGCATTCCTCCAGGAGCACTACCAAAGTACTGACATGCTCACATCGTCCTTTTCCGAACTTCTCCCATTCGTCCTTCTGACCAAATGCCTCAAGTGTATTCCAAAGGATCTTGGTCAGTAGATGCCGTCCAGTGATGCACTCGGTGCTTCGAACAACGGCATGTGGCGCCTCAAGGGCAGCAAGTACACCACGGATAATTGTGGATTTGCAGGTTGCCGAGACTCCATGGACGACCACAGTTGAAGGATTAGGTAGTTGTGGCTATGAAGTTGATTAGATGAGTTAGCAATTGTTGAGAGGGCTTCTGTTTATTTCAATGATCGTGCGGAGCAACAACGTACATGGAGTAGACTAGCAAGTTGTCGAGCCTGCACATCCCGACATGGCCATTGCGCACTGAGTGAGCGAGCAATGTCAGGGGGCTCCATGGATTGCGGACTTTCCAACGTTCCACACGCCGATATTCAATGTTGTCTGTAGGGTTGAAAGGATGCAGACTCCGGACCCAAGCTTATGGTTCCCCGAAAATCAAGTCACGTGATGCCGCGACGCGTCGATCAGCTTTAATCGCACCTGATGGGATGCAACTCTTTTTTTTACAAAATCTAGAATTTGGGCAATTTTTTTTTTACAATTGCAAGACATTCGGTGTAAATGGAATATATTGCTCGAATGTGCATCTAGATTTGGTAGGATTAGGCATGGAGTGTAAATGCCTAGTCCTCTATGTACACATTCTCCATGAACGACGCATCAACATGGCGGCAGGTCCACTGACAAGGAAAATTGGCAAGTTGACAAGCGTGCATAGCGCCATGTGAATATGTCATCAAGTCCACTCACGACAAAAACGGGTGATAAAAATGAAGCAGCTTGAAACAGGAAATGATAAAAAATATGTGTAAAAACAATGTGACGAAAGAAATCGGATCCACGGAAAGTAAAACACCAGCGGCAGCAAAAGGGAAACATTGCAGATGTACTTAGGCGCTCAGTTTGACAGCAACCGAAGATGAGCCATGGCACGAGACGTCACGCCAAAGAAAACTGAGTAAATGAGTTCAAATAACAAAACATGGCCGTTGAAATGGACACGTTAGAACATGTGAACCTCGTCGTATGTTCCGTGAAATCATGAAAAGGGAATAATATCATGGGATCGTGTCATGTGGATAAGAATACAAGAGGAAAGGATGATGATGAAGTCAAGGGGAAATGATAAAAATGAAGAATGGCGATGGAAGCCTTCCGATGCCCCAGCTAGAAGAACTGGTAGCCTGCCTCGGTCTTCGGCACAAGGCCAGCAGATGGAGAAACAGGGGCGGGGAACATCAAGGAGTGTTCTTTACCTCCGCCAGGAGGGGTGTTCGCAGTGGAGCTTGTTGCAGGGGTTGGTGGAAAGGTTTGGTTAGCAAAATCGTTGACCGATCCCTGAGACAGGTGATTTTTCTTTGCCGAAGGCTTGACAACCTGGTTAGGAACATTGACCTCGCGGATGGGATGCTCAGCAGACAAACGGCCACTGGTCTCAATTGCGAGAATTCTGCTAGCAATTCGACGTCCATGTGGGGTCTGACGGAACGATGGCAGAATTGGCCGGATAGCCTCGACGATCTCACCAAGCGACTCCGGGTCGGCATGATCCATAGCAGTCTGGATAACATAATTCCCGTAAGCGTCCCGCAGACACTCCGGGAAATTCTCATGATGGACCATCTCGGCAATCATCTCGCGACGATGGCCTGGTAGGCATGTGCGCAGCCCCTTTTCGATGACATTAGAGCTGAATTTGTGCATCGCCATAGTGACGACTTTGCCGAAGAACCCTTGGCATAGAGGTGCCGTGAAACTAGGTTCATTCATATCCAGGATATACTGAATAACATAATTTCCGTAGGGGTCTTGCACCAGAATATAAGAATTCTGCGTGATTTGATCAACAAGGCGAGCTTTCTGATCACCCGACGCATGGTCAAGACAACGCTGCAGGACACAGCACCCATGACGGTGAGTACCAACGGAGATACAATTTTGACCAACGGCTTCATAGATGAAGTCTGCGTCGACCGAGCGCAAGCGGTTGAGACATTTTTGGATAACGTGGTTGCCATTGATATCCTTAACCATAGCAACAACATGCTGACCAAGGGCTTCAATCACCATGTCAGTCTGCTCTTGAGTGGATATGGTTTCGATCATCTTTTGCAGGGCACGTGTTCCGTGCTGATTAAATGCTGTCTCCACCAAAAGAGGGGCGGCATTTTTAATCAGGATAGTGCGTTGCTCATTGTTAGACAGTTCGAGCAGTTTCTGGATAAGGTAGTTGCCGAACGGATCAGTCATGAGCTCGGTTACGTACGGGTACGTCTCTTGAAAGATAAGCTGAACGTGGTCCGGGTTGTTGTCATCCAGCTTTCGCTGCAGGAATCTGCAACCATGCTGGTCCTTGCACAGGCTGTACAATTGACCCTTGTAGTGCTCCAGAGGGTGGTTGAATCGAGTCTGCTGGGGGCCATCAAACCGATTCTGGTTGGGGATATCTCGTGCAATCTGATACTGGGAGGCCTCGCTCTCAGTGGCACGTCTCTGGCTGTGCCCGCTCCGGGTTGGGGCCTCGTTAGCACGATAGCCATTGCCGGCATGGTTGGAAAATCCACCGTAAGAATTTGGATCGGCGAATAGAGCCATCTGGTTCGAGGCTGTCCCATAGGGCTGAACACCATTGGTAACGTGCGATTGTGCGGGGAATGGTAAACCGATAGGTGCAGCAGAGCCATTCAGACTATTGTTTGACATCGCCGATGAAATCTGCGGGCCAAATGGGGCAGCACTTGCCTGCAGCATAGTTTGACCGAGCTGATTGTTTTGGTGCTCAGAATCTGGGGACGTTCTAGACTGGTGAGAGTGCACGCTAGGTGGAATACGCCCAACGCTCGGGGTGTGGCGATGACCACGATCCACGTTATTCCTGGGTGGGGTAATGGCTGCCTCAAAAGCTGTACCCCTAACGGTAGGTACATCATTCGTAGAATATGAAATGCGGGCCATGGGACGGCTATAAGAGGGCACTGGGGTGACAGATTCGCGCTCATTTGGGAAAACAGGACCACCCTCCAGGGAGTGGCGAGCCTGGTGCCGATGAATGAGTGTGTCCTCTGCGTGACCGCCTCCCAGGGAATCCAGGCGATCGTGGCGTCTCATCTCGGTCAGACTCGGGGGCATGCTCTGGTGGGAAGAGCGATTGCGGCTGTGGTAAGAAAACGTTTCATGGCCCAAACCCCGTGGGTTAGCAAGATCATGGGCGTCTGGATTGGCTGCCAGCTGAACATCAAAGTTAGAGCAAGCCCTCAGCGAAGGGGATACCAAATCAATCACTTACCATATTCAAGCCATCCCGACGAAGAGTTGGGAATTTGTCCTCCGGATCCGTCATATTGATGTACCTAGTGATGTCAGGCGTGGACAAACGAGGTTCATCTTTCGCTAACAGCCCCGCATCGCCGTGGTAGAGATGTTTCGCGACTGGAAATGAGTCAAAGCCCGATGCGGGGTTGTAGCTATTCATATAGCCATTAACGTTGCCGTTTGCGTTGCCGGTATGAACATTTCCATTGGATCGATATGCGTTGTAGTGGTTGTTCGACGGCATCGAGTTACGGTGTCTAGGATCCAATTAGTCACGTTCTTTCTAGGAAAACACTGAAGTTGGAAAAGAAAGAGGAAGAAGGGATGGGAAATTCAAGTCGGTTTTTCAAAATGTGCGCAATGGAGACGGGAGGGATGAGATGAACTTACGAGGTACCCCGAATAGTGGAATCGATCACGGTCGAATCGAACAAGAAGTTGTCTTTTTCGGAGTTGCGCCGAGATCCAGGAAGAGAATGCACGGCAAACCGGTCCATAGATTGTGCATGAGAACGGGCATTCTGCGACCCCTGGTTCTGAGGAGAGGTAACAGAAGGAGCGAAGGCACTGAAAAATCCAGGAGATGAAGTCACACTGGCAGCAGGAAACAGATTGGGTCTTCCCCCAGTAGACACACTGGGGTCACGGTATTCTGGGGGAGTGGTAGGTTGACTGGCACGGCCAGCAATGCCAGCCTTAGCAAGATCAAGGGCCAATTGGTCCATCTCCATTTTCTCCTTCTCGTGCTGGATATCGAGAAGCTTCATATCTTCTTCAAATCGTCGTTTTTGTTCACGCATGGACTCGATGTGCTGCCGTTTCTTCTCAAACTGGACCTTGTTAGTCTGATGTTGAGCGTATTTGCGAGAACGAGTCATTGATTCGAGAAGGGCGTGTTGGGGATAAAGGAAATCGATGGAAGACAGGAATTGCTTGAGAAAATAGACACGCTCAACGCGTCGGACAAAGTGAAGTGTGAAGTGCAGAAGTGAGTTGAAGATGGGGAATGCTTGAGAAAATGGACACGCTCAACGCGTCGGATAAACTCAAGTGTGGAGGAAGGAATTGCTTGAAAAAACGGACACGCTCAACGCGTCGCAGATTCAAAAGTGTGGATGATCGCAAGGATGCAGTAGTCAAGAAGCAGTTGATATTGAAGAAGAGGTTTGGGGAAGAAGGAAGGAGGGTGATGGGTTTTCTTTTTATAAAAAAGAAGAGAAGCAGATAGTCTCAAAAGGGAAGCTCGAATAGAGCTCTGCCTTAATGTCCCACTGCTCCCATGTCCTTGTATGGGATGCATCAAGTTGAAGGCAAACTTGAACTTTCGAGTTTGGGTTCAATGCAATAGTGCAATTGAGGAGTTGAAGAATAGGGTTGGGAAGGGGAACAATAGGAATGGAAGGGGAACAAGAGCAATAAATCATACAGGCGCCTATTGACTGTCTAGCAGCGATTGACACCCATACAAGAACATTTATCACATGCCATTGCCTCAGGAAGATCAAATCGACGTGCCAAAGCCTGAGGGTTTTGGGGACCGGAGAATAAACTATTATTCTCTTCCCCTAGCCCTCGAAAGGTAACCAGATATGAATTTGTGCTTTTGACCCAAATAGCAATTTCAAGAACAACAAAAAAAAATAAAAACCTAGGAAATTTCTTACGTACCGAGGATAGTAGGTCCAGGGTATCGGGCATCTGCGGGGTCCCTTGATTTAGGAAATTCCAAGACGACAGCTTGCTCGAGTCCGTGGTGAATCGACGTTGCAAGTTGGCGCGAACATCACTATTCGGTCGTGAAAAGCCTGACCCAAAGTTCGAATTGCCTGGCGAGAGGGGGTTATACGCCGAATCGGACGGTGGGGAGCGCGGGGAGGGGAATCGCAGCTCATCGAGGCGTTCGCTCAGCCCGTTCTTGAAAGCCATGGTGGGTGGAACAAGCAAAATGTTATACTACAACATTGAACAACGTCTGGGGTCAGCACAAGTTCTCCAAAGTGGCCGCAGCTTGCACGGTGCTTTTTAAGACAGCGGGTTACAGCAATGACAACACTCGGACGCCTCCTTCTCCCCAGCCCCAAATTTCCATGCCACGAGGCATACAAGTGGCAGGACAAGGGATAGTTTCCTGACAGGTATATAGGGCCGAGCGGTGTGTTGTGTCGTGGACTGTCCCTAAGTAAGGGGGGGGGGAGGTTCGAGAGAGGGGCCGGAGGGGTTTTGGTCGGAGATGATCTACACTCGCAAAAAAGGATTCCCACTCACACAATGAACGCCTCGTGAGAATGAGGTAGAGGGCGATTCAGGATCCAGTAAGAGGCTAGGTAAGTGGATTCATCTAAGGGATATTGTGTGCAGCGGAGGGCGCAAAAAAATCAACAACCCGTTGTTGCTGGAAAATGCGGAGATCAGCCGCAGGGAATCGCAGAGTGGGATGGAACAACTTACCTAGCGAAACACGATATAATCCGGACAAACGAATGTGCTCACAAATACAAAAAGTACAGATGAACCAAGAATATACCAAAGGAAGGATACAAGAACTGTTGTACAGAAAGCTGGTAGGGAAGGAAGAATAGGAGGGAAAGGAGGAGAGGCTGGGAGAGAAGGAGAGAGATCCAGAGCGGGGAGGTCTCTTTGCAACCCTAATCGGGCGTGGCCGTACGAACTCCCTTTTTTTTTCTTTTCTTTTTTTTTTCCTCTTGGGGGATTTTTGGTTACTAATTGATTGGGCTTTTTCTCGCTTGTTGCATTCTTTTAAGCAGATTTAATCTATTTTTTTTTTCCTTTACAGATTTAGGATTGATAATTAGGTGTTGATTGAGTGTTTTTCTTTGATTAGTATCCGACCGGTCTAAAGCCCAAAGCCCATATCCCGTATCTCATATCCCATATCGCCCTTTCCTGCCAATCTCTAGCAACAATGGGGAAAATCTTACTGTAGGTAAGTGTCCCTGTAAAAAAACCCCCCCGTAGGATTAAGAAAACATTGATCAATCGAAAAAAAATACATATATAAATTGAAAACCCTATCAAAGGCACCAAGAATCCTAACATCTTCCAAATATCCCGAATCTATGCCCAGCCCTGGAGGTGGTGGGAAATCTGGCGGTCACAGCAGATAGATCGACCATACATACTAGCAGTTACTCGGGAATTGTTCGGGCCTCAAGGCATGATTGGAGATGTGCTGCACCTGTACCACCAAGATGCAGCTATCTTTGCAGACCAGCCCGGGGTAGATGGTCAATAACTTTCAGAGGGGAAAGAGGCTCGATCCCTCTATGGTGTCTAGTATTTACCATAATCAATTTTATAGTGGACCAAGACCTCATGGACCATTGACCTGTTGTACTCTTCAGCCCTTCTTTTCACAATTTTGTTTCTTTTTTTTTTCTTGCTGTTCCAGGATGGTTTTTGGCCTCCTATGATGCAAAGCTATGGACTTCCAAATTCAATGGCGCAAGGGGGAAAGCGGAGAGAAAAGATGCGCTGTTCGCGAGCGTGGCAGGTGCAGGTGCATGATTCCACGCCAATTGAGCACTGTATCATTTTAGGCGAGTGGAGACGCGCCGAGTGCGAAGATTTGACAGCGGATCGCCCTCTAAGATGGTTAGCCACCGCACGGAGCGACTAGTACCTGAATCGGACAGGTTTCAGTGGGAACGAAGGGAATTTTTCTCCATTTTCTGATGAATGTGTCTTCTAGAAAAGACTTCCAAGGTTAAACAATGACAATAAACAGAGTTGATATATAGATCCAAGTCAACCCCCTAACTCTCTTATCGCTTTGTTTTCCCAAGTTCGTGGTTCGCGTAAGCCAGTAAACCTTTGGAACGCGGTTTCCCCGGGAAGATCCATGGTTCCTAGAATCCTAACAAAGACTACCTTTGTCAGGTGTTGAACCTTTTTTTCGGATTTCTTTGTTCTATACGTATCGGATTACTGAATGGCGGTTTTTCCTGTTTCCTTTTTCCTTTTTCCTTTTCTCTTTTTCCTTTTCTCTTTTTCCTTCCTTCTCTCCTCTCCAGTACTGTCCCCTCTTTGGGCTCTCTGGCGCTTTTTAACTCTACTCTCTTTTAATTTACGCCTCGCTACCGATAAGGACTCGACTGGCGAGATGAGCGGTGAACGTGATACCAGTCATTGGTGCTGATCTTGTCCATTAGAGCCCCTCTGATCCACCGAATGACGAGCATACCCTCACTGGTTGTGGAGATCCTGCATCAAATGAACCCCAGTCAATCTCCCCTTCTCGGAGAACGGATCGCCAATCAATCACGGGCCACTTTTTGCCCCTCTTCCTTACCCTGATTCTAAACCCCAATTTGATCATTTCACGTCAAAAAAATGCTATTAAAACATTCTGATTTGCTCATAAGGCTGGCATCGTCTCCGATGTTAAAACATCCGACAGAGTACAGAGTACAAATAAGGGTCTGTGCCCCATGTCCCCTAAGAGAAGATTATTAATGCCAGATGAGCATTTTCAAGCACGAAATGACACATACACTTTGGGGACAACTAGTGTCAACACTAGTCCGATTGCCGAAAGGATTATTTTATTCGTGTGGCCACTAAACACCGAAAAAAAAAAACGCTTGTCCTCTTAGAGGCCCAAAGGAACCAAAGATTGGTCTTTTTTTCATGCCCAACGCCCAATTTGCGCCTCGACTGATTGACAATGGTTACACCGTACTTGACATCGGGACCACTCCCTCCGTATATGTGCCGTACCATGTAGTAATTCTGACACGAGATTCCCCCAAGGATCGGCTGATATAAGCTCAAACTCGTTGATGCATCGCTCCCGGATTTTGAGTCGTTGCCCCCATTGGCAAATCAATCCCGGCGAATGGCATGGCCCCCGCTCCAGAACTCCAAAACCCCCCGGTAAATGACACTTCTAGATCGTTTACGGAGTAGCCGCAGCCGATATCTCCATTAGTCTTCTGGCGCCAGAGGAAAGACAAGCGGTGATGGGGCTTCCAGGGTTGTACGGAGTACTTAGGACCGATTGCCAAATCTGCCACGTGCACATGGCTCTCGCTTTGATCTAACTCGTCTCCTTTGGGGAATTTTATTTCATTTGTATCGGAGTTTGACGTGGATTACTTCTCTGATGAAGACCGTCTCTGACGTAGCTACCTGCATGAAAAGTGTGACCCGTCAATAATCTCCTTGTGGATTTGGAGAAACAACTCCTGGGTGTTTGAACCACACAAACCACTTGAGTTGATCATTGGGCTTGGGGGTTCAGTGGCGATTCCAAACATTCGAACTAAAACTTGCGGTCAAGCGGATTTGCCACACAAATTAGGTATATTCGCCATCTCTATTTCTTGGGTGGCTTTTCGTTTAAGGCCAGAACTGCCAACGAATCGAAGTCCTAGCGCAGTGACCACTGTGAAACACGCTATAAATACATACAACATTTAAATGCACGTGCACGTGTGGGTATATGATTCCCTGTCAATTTGGGATCTTTCGCACGGATTATTTTCCCTAGCAGAGTTACAACATGTAGTAGTTCCCATGATTCAAATGTTAGATACAGTGACTTGGAAATAGGCCTGCCTGGGGTTCACCACTATCATTTTCCCCCCTCTGTCCTTCTCCTGAATCAATCTGGCACGAGACAACCTTGGAACCTCAGCTATATGTAAGCTCTAAGACCAGAGTTCTGAGTAAGTAGATCATGTACAACCTAGTCTACCAAGTGGGTTCTAAACCCGTCGTCCGTGCAGACTCCCCTGTATGCCCACGCTGCAAGTGCGATGATTGTTTAGGGGCCCCCACTTTGACAGGTCTGTGGACTTGACTTTTTTTTTTTAAGAAAAAATAAAGTGTCTCCATGCACTACATGTAGGGTTAGTGTGGTCTGTGGCCCTTGCCCTACATATTCCAAAATGTTCTGATTTGTACTCCGTATCTGTCTGCCCGCCTGCCTTGAGCTAGAACCAGTTGACCCACATGGCTCTCGGGCACATTCCCAAATTTGAGTCGGTGGATTCTCTTGAAGTGCTTTCCCTTCAGGGCTCTATAACATTCAAAATGCCTTCGAACATTGAAATGCCTAGGCGCCCGGGCTGTTATGTATGTATAGGGCCTGAGGTCAACTGGTACCTAGAACATCCAGACATGAACATTGAATGTTTGACTGGTTGGAGATGTCACGCCCATCAATTCATCAATATATCGATTCACTGTTCATGGTAAAAAGGCTTCCAACATTGAATGTTGTATACATATATACAATAACGTCCTCAATGAGGTCAAGGCTCCAAAATAACCTCAAGCACGAGAATCATGTTATGTATCTAAGTAGTGGGGATTGAGTGCACATACTGTTTTGAAGCTTCCAAGGTTCAATGTTGGAAGAAAATCATCCGTTCATACTAATGTTTAAATCGTTCGAGGCTCCCACGTAAGGCTAGTCCCAATGCAGTGTACGAGAATTCTATACCTACTAGTAGCTATTTTTATATAGGCCATATCAAAGTCTTCAAAAGAAGCCAAAAAATAGTAGCAGTATTCAATACATTTGATGTTTGATCAAAACTACTACATAGTAGTCTTAAAACTCTAAACTCACGCCTCAGGTGTCGACGCTAACGGATAGCTCATGGGTTAGATAAGCGCATCTCCAAATTCTCTTTCCCCTCCATGTCACAGCTGATGCATCTTGCGATCGTGTCAAACCTCAAAGATTGACTGGTCTGGGATCTTTTAGAGTGTTGATCTCTGGAAGCAAAGTTCTCTTGCCACGATGCCGCCTCGTAGGAGGCCACAACCCTCCGCGGCCAGCCAGGCTCGCCGGCCCTCTGAGGTAACAAACCTTTTTTTCCCCGCGCGTTGTCTGCAGCTGTCCGACCTTGAACCACTTTTGCTGACCTTTTTGATCAATCTGCTAGGCCAGTAATCATGCAGCGGAACCTTCGAGATCTCAACGGCCCTCAATATCACAAGAATCAGCCCAACCGACCAAGCCCACCGGAGTGAAGGACCAAGATGACGATTATGTCAAGTACCAGCACCGAGATCCCTTCGATGCGCTTTTGGAGCCATTCTACTACAACAAGTCACTCACCGACCCCATTGATACTGCAAAGGATAAATGGAACCTTCTCCCTGCATTCCTGAAGGTCAAGGGTCTGGTGAAGCAACACATCGACTCGTACAACTATTTCGTCGAGGTGCAGATGAAGAAGATTGTCGAATCAGCTGGTATCATTCAAAGCGATATCGATCACCAGTTCTACGTTAACTTCACGAACATCTGGCTCGGATCGCCGCGTCGCGCAGACGAGACACAGGATGCTGGAATCGAATTCCAGTCGGATATCACACCACAGGAGTGTCGGCTTCGAGATACCACCTACGCCGCTCCCATTTTGATCGACTTCGAGTATGTTCGCGGTAGGCAACGTGTTGTCCGACGAGGTGTTGCTATTGGCCGCATGCCAGTCATGCTTCGCAGTTCCAAATGTGTGTTAGCGGACAAGACCCCGGCACAGATGGCTGTTCTCAACGAATGCCCATTGGACCCCGGTGGCTACTTCGTTGTCAATGGAACAGAAAAAGTTATTCTGGTTCAGGAACAACTGAGCAAAAACAGAATTATCGTGGAAACAGACCCCAAGAAGGACATCGTCCAGGCATCGGTCACCAGGTATGGAGTAATTAAACCCCATTTTTGCCCCATGGCTCAGCTAACGGTTCAATAGTTCTTCCAATGAACGTAAATCTAAGAGTTACATCGTCCTGAAGAAGGGCCGACTCTACGTGAAACACAACGTCTTGAGCGAAGACCTCCCGATCGTTGTGTTATTGAAAGCCATGGGCATCCACACCGACAAAGAGATGCTGCAGATGGTAGCCGGTGACGATAGTCAATACCAGGACGATTTTGCCATCAACTTTGAGGAAGCCCTCAACCTGGGGATTTACACCCAGCAGCAGGCTCTGGATTGGATGGGATCTCGAATTAAAATCAACCGGAAGACAGGCGCATACCGTAGGACCCACGTGCAAGAGGCAGTCGAAGCCATCGCAACTGTCATCATCTCCCATATCGAAGTCAAGGATATGAACTTCCGGCCCAAGGCCATTTACGTCGCTCACATGGCCCGTCGTGTCTTGATGGCTAAAGCCGACCCGTCTATGGTGGATGACCGCGATTACCTTGGAAATAAGCGATTGGAATTGGCAGGTCAAATGTTGGCACTCTTGTTTGAGGATCTCTTCAAGAAGTTCTGCTTTGATATCAAGTTGAACATTGACAAGGTTTTGAACAAGCGCAACCGGGCAGAACAGTTCGACGCATGGAGTGTCATGAGTATGCATGGTCACCATATCACACAAGGCATGAACCGAGCTATTTCTACCGGCAATTGGAGTCTGAAGCGTTTCCGCATGGAGCGTGCCGGTGTGACCCACGTCCTCAGTCGATTGAGTTATATTGCCGCCCTTGGTATGATGACTCGTATCAGCAGTCAGTTTGAAAAGACTCGAAAGGTCTCTGGTCCTCGTGCTCTCCAGCCGTCGCAATTCGGTATGCTGTGTCCTGCGGATACCCCAGAAGGAGAGGCTTGTGGTTTGGTCAAGAACTTGGCCCTTATGACCCATATTACTACCAATGACGAGGAAGGACCCGTACGAAACTTGATCTTCATGCTGGGTGCCGAGGACATTTCCACTGTCAGTGGTATTGATCTCTACAAGAAAGGAACTTACACTATTTCGATCAACGGTACGCCAACTGCTTTGACAAGGCGGCCAAAATACTTCCTCAACTCCTTCCGCAGACTCCGTCGCATGGGAAGAATCTCGGAATTTGTCAGTATCTACATCAATCACCACCAGCAAGCGGTTCACATCGCAACTGATGATGGTCGCATCTGCCGACCGCTTATTGTTGTTGAGGATGGCAAATCCCGAGTCCGGCGACACCATTTGGAAAAGTTGCGCGATGGGAAGATGGCATTCGATGATTTCCTTGCCCAGGGTCTGGTTGAATATCTCGATGTCAACGAGGAGAACGATTCATTAATCTCTATCTACGAGAAGGATATCACCGAGGCCACTACTCACCTCGAGGTTGAGCCCTTCACTGTGCTGGGTGCTGTAGCTGGTCTTATTCCTTACCCTCACCACAACCAATCTCCTCGAAACACTTACCAATGTGCCATGGGTAAGCAAGCAATTGGTGCAATTGCCTCGAACCAGTTCCACCGAATTGATTCCATTCTCTACGTCATGGTATACCCACAAAAGCCAATGGTCAAGTCACGAACCATTGAGCTGGTCAAATACGACCAACTCCCTGCCGGACAGAACGCCACCGTTGCTGTTATGAGTTACTCTGGTTACGATATTGAGGATGCCCTGGTTTTGAACAAGGGCTCGGTTGACCGAGGATTCGGACGTTGCCAGGTCTTCAAAAAATACGTGACCAACCTCAAGAGCTACCCGAACGGAATGAAAGACAGGTTGAATCCTCCAGAGTATGAGAATGACGCTCCGATCCGCAAGCACGCGCTTCTGGAGGCCGATGGTCTGGCTGCTGTAGGCGAGAAGGTGAGCCAGGGCGAGGTCTATATCAACAAGGTCACCCCTGACCAGGCCCACACGAGCGGAATCATGGGCTCCGACACCGGAACCACTTCTTACAACCCTGCCTCCATGTCCTACAAGCTACCTGATCCCGCTTACATCGACAAAGTCATGCTCTCTGCTACCGAAGGCGAGACCCAGCTTCTCAAGGTCCTGACCCGGCAAACTCGTCGCCCTGAAGTTGGTGACAAGTTCTCGTCTCGTCACGGACAGAAGGGTGTCGTGGGTATAATCGCTGACCAGATGGACATGCCCTTCACCGAATCAGGTATCAACCCTGATATTATCATGAACCCTCACGGTTTCCCGTCCCGTATGACAGTCGGTAAGATGTTGGAGTTGCTTGCTGGTAAGGCTGGTGTTCTTGCTGGTCGACATGGATATGGTACTTGTTTCGGCGGCACGCCCGTCGAAGAGGCATCGCAAACTCTAATTGACCACGGCTTCAATTATGGTGGTAAAGAGTTCCTCACATCTGGTATTACTGGAGAACCGCTCCCATTCTACGTCTTCACGGGCCCCATTTACTACCAGAAGCTCAAGCACATGGTTCAAGATAAGATGCACTCGCGTGCACGTGGTCCCAAGGCCACTCTTACCCGCCAGCCTACGGAAGGTCGTTCGCGTGATGGTGGTCTTCGTCTCGGTGAGATGGAGCGTGATTGTCTGATTGCATATGGAACTAGCCAGCTTCTGCTAGAGCGTCTTATGATCTCTTCGGATCGTCACGAGGTTGACATTTGCGAGAAATGTGGTTTCATGGGATTCCTCGGATGGTGCCCTGGTTGCAAATCGACTCGTTCTGTCTCGAAGATGGTTATCCCCTACGCTGCCAAGCTTCTGATCCAGGAATTGATGAGTATGAATGTTGCCGCCCGCTTGAAGCTGGATGATGAGTTCCCTGAGATGAAGGGCCGTTAAGTTATTTGCTACAGGTGGGAGGATTGGATTGATTATTGTTATTTTGGGCCTAACTCGGCCATGGTGTTTACGGAACAACAAAACGAAGAACTATCTAGAGGTGGATTCTATCTAGTTCATGTACATTGTCTTCACGAATGGCATAGCGCGGCGATTTGAGCATTACCGAGTTTCCAGAACTACTTTGTAAACATTCGGATTCTGTAGTCATCGACGCAAATCAAATTTTAGTAGCTCTACCCAGCACTCGAATTAATAAACAAGAAACAACTTGAAGAGAGGCAAGACGCAAAGAGCAAACATGGGTTTTTTCCCTCCGCGCAATGGGATCAACACCACTGAATTCAAAGCATTAGAACCCTCGACTCCATCGCAACATGCTGATACCGCATGAACTCAATCAACTCCTCCAAAAACTCATACCTACACTTCAGCGCCTCAGTCAAAGTCATAGGCATATTCCCCTTCTTATCCTTATTCGAAAGTGCCAACTTCGCCATAGCAGAAGTCAAGCTCTCCCCCTCCCCCTGCTCAGCTTCAAGTGTCCAATCCAAGCGCTGAGGCGGGATGTTAGCTGTAGAAATGATCCGAATGTTGGGGTCGACCAGGTAGAACACAAGGCACCGGTTTGAGCCCGGCTTCGACTTGTCTTTCAGTTCGAACTTCGTCATCCGGTGCTGCACCGTGCTGGGGAACATGACTACTCGCCCGGTAGGACAGCGGATGGCACCTGAGCGTTGAAGGGCTGGGTCGCCGTTCTCAAATCCGTAGACTTGTTTCAGCCAGATAAAGTCACCGGGGTCATGTTCGACTTCGGCGAGCGTGTCTGTGTCGACTATGTTGCGGAATTCCATACAGGGATCTTCCATGTTCTCGTTGTCGAAGAAAATGAATGCTGCGGCGCAGATGTGTTCATTCTGCAGGGCTTTCAGTTAGCTATACTGTATTTTTATTGTTTGGTCAGTTGCTTGATGCTTTCCAGGAATTAACTCACCATCTGTCCCTCTACATGCCATTCTGTCTGATAGTACGGGCTTTCAGGGGTCAAGTCTACGGACATTATCCGCGTGATTACCTGCAGGCCACGGTCCTTGTAATGTTCGACCAGGTTGACGCTCTGCTCAATCCGCACGGGAGAAGGAAGGTCCTCAGCCAACTTTGACATCATACATTGTGGCACAGCCCAAGGAACAAACTGATCGACATCAGGTTGAACAGCTTGGAAATGCTCCATCCTCCATTTCTCATGGCGTTCGTCGAACTCACTCTGCGCCTCTCGATCATGCATCTTAGGTGCCTGATCAATGATCTCCTTGGCAACGGGATAATACTCAGCTTTGGTATACTCGATTCTCGCGCGGGAATGCAACATATCCCTAAGCGGCGTCATGGTCATATTCCATTGCGGAATAATGCAGTTGAAAGTCGCCTCGATGAGGTTGTATATATTGCGATGTTTGACCGGGTGCAAGTTGTTGATGTACGTGGTGATATGCCAGCGGCCATCGTCGCCATATTCCCAGTCCGATGGCAAGATCTGGAAAGCTCGGCTATATGGACGAACGGAGATGTCTGACCGTTCAGATACGCGCCAGGCGATGTCTTCACGTGTGATACCTGTTTCTTTTGGCATGGGGATGACCTCGCCTTGCCCGGCGTGACGAAGGGCTTCGTCTAGGCCGATAAGCCTGTCTGGTAGGATACGGCTCTTTCCGTAGACTAGTGGGTAAAGCGCCATGGAAAGAAGGTCGCGCTGCTTGGAAAGGTTACCAGGGTGGTAGAACTGTAGCTCCTCGTCTCCGTATGAGAGGATCTTGGTCTTTTCTCTCAGATCCTCGAAGATGGAGCTAGGGACGTTGGAGTCGGATTTAGTGACGTCCCCGTTGTAGAGTGCTACGGCATGGTTGACTTCGTATACCATAGCTTTGAATTTGAGCTCGTCAATGATCCAATCGGCCATGTTCTTGGTAATGTGATCTCCAGTGTCGCGGGCCATTTTCTTCCAGTCTTGCGCAGTGGTAGGGTCATGAATCTATCAAGTTTAAGCATTCATTTAAGTCGGGATAAATAATGGAAGCACGTACCTTTTTCCACCACTCAGGGATGTCAGTTATATCTTCCATCACCTCTACCATAGCGATTTCTCGAAGCGTCTGCACAGGAAGCCTTTTTATCATTCGGATCAGTTTTTTTGCATAGCAGGCATTGAATGGGTGACTTACTCGGTGTATCCGTTCTCAATATCTCGATCGTCAAGCGCCGATGGGAACATGCTACGACTTTCAATGCCGTAGATGTTCTTCTCAACCGGGTAGAAGTCCAATGGCCGGCCATACCCGGGCAGTTTGAAGCGACAGTCTAGGCTTTGGCTCACTGTGAGGAAAGCCGACTCATTTGCCTTGTGCTGAAACATTTTGGCGGTTGATCAAAGCAGTCTCGGGGTGTTAAAGCTTCGATCTGGTGTTTTTATTTCAATGTTAGTTGGTATTGCGAAAACATTCATAAAGTCAGTGGTTGAAACGTACAGCAACGGAGTAACCTGTCTGAGCACTGAAAGCCGGAAATGACAAGAAGAGTCACAAGTCACAATATCCAAAGAGATAGCTTGCCAAACAAAAATATCATTCAGAAGAAGCTTGGTTGAATGTTTTGCGTCGGCAACCCCGGCTCAGATCGCAAACATGATGCATTATTGTCGTCGTTCTAACTGGTTTCCCATGGTATTCGATGTTTATCTGCAGTACCAAAGAGTAGGCGCGGAACACTCTTCCGACGAAACAGAAACGTAAAGTCATGATCTTCGACCGTGACATGTACCGGGACCTGCCGAGATGACAGTCATAGTGACTAAACACACGTCTGACATATTAGCGTCGGCCATATTCCTTGCTTTAACAACCTTGGGACCATCTCAGGAAATTAGTATGCACATCTAGAAACGGAACCAGGAATTCTGAAGGAAATGGCAGAGTGTAAAAGGATGAAAATCGCAGTATTCAAAAGCTCCGACTTTGTGATTTCAAAAAGAAAGTCGAAAGAAAACAACATGATTTGAAAAAGCAGTCTCATTACTTATTGCCTGTGGAAATAGGGGAGTCTGTTTCACGGAAGCTTCCAACCTTGGTTGCAGGGACGCCTGGAATTGGGTAGAACCTTGGAAGGATGTATCAAAAGGGCTTGGCTGGATATTTGCAGATCGATGTAAATGCTAGTATGTGTAAAATTGATATTGGTGATCCTTCGAATGATCCCAGAAACGAACTGGCATGGGATTTTCATAGCATAAACAAAACAGATGAATGAGCCAGCGATATCGACTCATGCCCAGGCGGCTGGTACAATATTCAAGCAGCTCTGTTCAGCTTCAGACATTCGTCAACGATAGCCCAGTACCGCTCCGGATCCGTCCTCATAGCCATAACATGCTGCGCGTCTTTGAATTTCTCAGGCCGTACCACGACACCGCACGACTCTGAGTACCTCATATGATCTTCAACATTCTCCGAAAGGACAATGTTATCCGAGTCCGAGTATATGTAGTAACGCACAAGGCCTTCCTCAGTAGAAGGCTGATAGAGTGCCCTATCGTTAACTCTCCGACAAGCCATATCAACTGTATTCGGAGCATTAATTATCCACCCATAAGCCCCCATGGCGACTAGAAATACCCAAACCGCAGCCTGGGAGATCAGCCTCCAGAGCCAGAACTGCGGAAGTTGAAAAGATATCGCTTTCATGCCGGACTGGATGCTCGTAACACCAGGGGCACTGTCAACAATCATCGATGAGATTGGCATTGGCTTGCCGGTCGTCTCTTTAAACAGACGCATCAACTGAGATGTCTTCAGCATGCCGCCGTTGGAGAACAGGTGGATGAAAACCGGGTTCCCCGGGACCGCGAACGTGCGGAGTGCGTCCACGGCGGGAGCGAGTTGAGCACCTTGTGTGGCGTCGCTGGAGGCGAGGAAGAAGTCATTTGTAGCGGAGCGGAGAATCACGATGCGAGCCAAGGGGATCATGCGCCTGTACTGATTTCCATATCTGAGAAGGGCGGAGGGCCCGGCGTTCATCCATAATGCGAGGACAATTAGCGGGGGATTGCTATTTTCTGGAAAGTCCTCGGGGTCTGAGACATAGACGGAATCATTCAGCTTGTTGAAGGCTGCTAGGGCGGAGTCCATGTTTTGCTTCATGGTGAAACCTCTGTATCTGGTTGAAATCTTGGCATGCAGGGGAACTGGTAAACGCGGGGTGTGAGAATTGGGGCTAACACTGACAGGTCTGGCCCGCGCAGGTGGGACTGGCGATTGTCTACATTTGTACACGGATTTATTCAATGTTATATCTCCCCACATCAATTGATGTTCTTCGACCTTGATAATTATGAGGAAAGTCTAGAACCAGGAGAGACAAGAATAACACAATTCCGAACTATAAAGACATAAAACATAATCATAAAAATTTATTCAAAACTAAAGACAAGGAACGCCAACCTCGCTATGCCGAAATAGTACTCCCGCCACACATCTAGAGGGAATTGGCCCAACAATTTTCATAAAGTATCATGAGATAGCAAATCAGCGCTTGCTGCTCCCCAGAGTTCGTCCACCCCCACTGACCCCCTTGCCTTTCTGGCTCTCGGCCTCACTACCAGAAGTGGGAGTAGCTGACCCACTGAGGTCCTTCTTCTTTCCTCGTAATGTCTGACCAATACCCTGAAAAGTTGGCTGGTCCGCGGGCATCACAGGCTGGCCATTCTCGTCGCGTGGCTTCACTGGCTTTAACTCGTACCCGAAGAAGAGTTGATTAGGTGGAAGGCGCAGTGGTTGTGGGCCGTTTGTTCTGCGTACAGGTGGGGGGTGCTGAGGATTGGTAGCCCCCGGTGCGGGGGTAGAGGCTTTCGGAGTAGGCGCCTTGCTACCTTTCTTGGCGTTCAGACGCTGCCCTTCCGACAAAAAGTTGGATGACGCAGCTCGGGCACCAGCGGCAGCCTCTGTGGAGTCGGGCGCGATGGCGGCATAGTTTATTGACTGGGCCATGGAGCCGTGAGGATGCAGAAGTCCACCAGAGGGAAGTTTCACCACGCTTCCCGGAGTACTGGTACCGCTGGTACGTTGCGGTTCCTCGTATCCAACCGGCGTGGCGAAATCGACTTCCAAGTCGGTTTCCAGAACCGAGATGGAGTTCTTGGAGCCTGCGGGCTTGGTCTCTAAAACTGCCATTTCATAAACTTGATCGTTGTATGAGAATGTAAATACATCGCCCTTGCTGAGGCAAGAGAAGTTGCGGAATGCATTTTCAAGGACGGCTTTCGGGTCACTGATATCGAGGAATGATGTTGACTGTGCCTGGAGCTTGATAAACTGACCCGGGGGGAGATCGGTCGACTTGATCTGAAGTAAGTCACCGGGCTCCAGAAGCAAGGTTTGCATGATCTATCAGACGGGGTGGGAATAGTCAGCATGGTTTCGACATCGCAGCAAGTCATCGAGCTAGTTTGGCGACACTCACCCAGAATGGCAGGTAAATTTTCCCCTCCTCTGCAATAAACTCTAGAACACCAGCATGTGACATCCGCTCTTTGGCGCCATTGTGCAGCTCAAAGAGCATAGGGTAGGTGATATGGAGGCGAGTGAGTTTGTCCAGTGCACTGGGAGGCATGATAACCTTTCCACCGTGGTTGACATTTTCTCTCTCAGGGCCAGGAAGCATCGCAACGGGGTAGCATCGATAATATTCATCAAAGCGACGAGCTGCAGGGCCTCCACGGAGCATGCCAGCTCCCATAATGCCATCCATGGGGTCCTCAGACCAGTAGTCAGGTCGGAACTGGAGCTGTTAGAAGCTATCTCCAAAGGGAATAAAGGTAAAACAACGCATCAGTGATGAGCTTACCATGATTTCAGAGAGTATCGACTAGCAGCGGTGAATGCAAAGGGAAAAAGTGGGATAAGTCAAGAAGATTGGGGTAGTTTGAAAGATGAGCGGTCCCGCCAAACGATTAACGGAGTTACAACTCGCCGAAATCCAAGTGACGCAACTTAGCTTCCGACCTGATTTTCCGTTCCGACCCCAGACGCAAAGGGCATTCATACTACAACCACAGCTTACAAAATACCCATTCAAACTGTTTTTCTCTGTCGCGGAAGTTTTTCTGCTAGAGAATCATGGCAAGCTCGATGCCACGGCCCAAAAGGGCGGGCGAAACCTTTGCTCGCACTCATCATGACCAAGACGACTCTCAAGGACCCTCCGATAATAAGAAGCCTCGATTCGACCTACGAAACCCCTCTGCCCTTGCAGCTGATGCCCCCGAAGACGATGCCATTTTAGATGCCGATGAGATCGGTCGGCGTGGTCAACAAGTTCGTCGTAAAGCGATCAACCTCGACGGATACGATTCAGACAGCGACAACGAAGGATTCTCAGCGCGCAAGGAAGAGAAGTCCAAAAAGAGCAGCGCAAAGGATGACGACGATGACGATGACATGTTTGCCGAGCTACAAGAAGACTTTGGTGACGAGGAAAATGACGGAGACGAAGCCTCGCGCAAGAACAAAAAGTCTGTCCGCTTCTTGCGTGACAATGAGATTGAAGGCCAAGAGTCCGAGTCAAAAGGTGGAAAGGCATTGCGCGCCGACCTGAGCAAAGCTACAGATGAAGTGGAAGAGGAGGATGACGATGACAGTGGAAGTGATGTTGGCGAAGAGGAACGCGCCAAGGTTGATGATGAGATGGACGAGGAGGTTGGCGCCGGCGGAAAGAAGAAGCATGCTCCCCTGCTCGATGCCTTCAACATGAGAACGGAACAGGAAGAAGGCCAGTTTGATGAAAGTGGTAATTATGTTCGCAAGGCCATTGATCCAGATGCTGTTTACGATTCATGGCTCGACGGGCTGTCCAAAAAGGACATCCAGAAGGCGAAAGATGCTGCAGAGAAGCGTGACGCAGACCGAAAAGAACAAGACCGCATGAATGATAGCGTGTTGACGGCCGATGTCTTAAAAACGATTATTACACATCTCGAGCGTGGGGAGACAATATTGGAAGCTTTGGCTCGACTAGGCAAAGGTCTGCAGCGCAAGCCCAAGTGGCAGAACAAAAAGAAAAACAAGAAGACCAGCAACAACGAAGATATTGAAATGGCCGATGAAAACCCCGACGAAGCCAACCGGAAAAGGGCAATCGATGCTATCACCGGTGCCGCGGATATCCTTATGGGTCGCGATCAGCCCGAGATCTACGACACCGAGCGCGAGCTCCTGACGCGGCAATATCGCAATGAGACTGGCGAGCCTTGGGTAGATCCACCTTCAACATCCAAAGACGCGCCAGCTGAAGGTCCCGCAATGTGGGAGTATCGTTGGTCGGATGCCCGAGATGGAGGTGATGCTCATGGGCCCTACGATAGCACTATGATGGCTTCATGGAACAGCGCCGGCTACTTTGGGGAAGGTGTCGAGTTCCGCCAGGTTGGAAATACAGGGCCGTGGAGTGCCACAGTTAATTTTGTCTAAAATGCAGATGCAAACGGAGTCTCACATTCGATTCCAATAAGAAAAAAAAATCATAAACATAAAAGATCACCTCAACAAGCGCCAGTCCTATTCATACATCAAGTGATGCGATAAAAAAGAAGAACAAAGAAGTAAGATACCATTGCAGTTTTTCAACCCGCTAAATCGTCTCCCCCGCGAAAGCAGTCAACACATGGCAAAGAAATGGTCACACGAGAATTATTATGAGAGCTCCATAGCATCACCGTTGGCGGCCGTAGAGAAAGAGACTGTACCCTGATCGCCGATGAAACGCTGCTCATACTGGCTGACAAACTTGACACTGCGGCCTGGGTCGTAGAACAGTCGGAAGCTGCGTTGAACATCGTCAACACTGACTTCCTTGGCCTTGCGCTTCTGGCTCAACAAGTGAGAAGTGGTGATGATGTTACTGGCATAGCGGAGATTTGACTCCTCACCAATCTTGGTCAGAAGGGCTAGAGCGTCTGGAGAAACATCAATCTCTTCTTCCTGGGCACGGATGGCAAGGATTTGGCGGATTTCATCACCCGAGTATGGCGCGGTGCTAACAATGACAACTCGGTCAAGGAAATCAAGAGGCAGGCCGTGAGGAGAGGTGTATGTGGTTCCACGAATGCGAGCTTGGCCACGGTTGCTGGCCATGATGACAATTGGTGCTAGTTCAGCCTCCAAAGCACGATTAATGTATGAGTAACACTCGATATCGAGCATGTGCACTTCGTCAATGAACAAGACACCTGGAATAATTTCTGCCTTGCCCTCTTCTTTCCATTCGGCCACCTTGGTGTTGATCTGATCACGGACCTCGCTGCGAATCTCGCCGGTGTCACCTGAGAATAGTGCCAAGAAGCCTTGTGACCGAGAGTTGATCACATCGATTTCATGAAGGCTGACGGTATGAACAATTTCCTTGCGCACCTGCAACTCTCCCTCCGGGCATTGGACGAACTTGGTGTCGGCACCCATGGCGTCGTAGTCGCGTGAACGAGCATAAGAACGACCAAGTTTGGTAATCTTGCCAGACGACTTATCGATCGAGATGACATCTCCAGCCATCACTCGTTCCTTGGTCATCGAATCAATCATCTTTGTGCCCATATCGTAGATTGTCTCCATGTCGGTGGTCTTGATCGTGAGCTTTCCTTGTTTGTTTCCCTGTGATCGTTAGTACTCAGCCATCGATGATTTGAGAGAATGTGAGGGGGGATGGGCTTGCTTACCCCAGTGACACTGCGGTCAATCTGGATCTCCACGACCTCTCCTTCGATGATCTCACTTTCCTCCTTGATCCGCACTCCGATGGACTTGCGGAAAGCCTGGGTAAGAGCTTCCGTCTTTGACATTTCCATCGAGAAGATTTCGGAAGAAGCAAGCATGGTGAAAGGCACATCAGGTCCCAGCGACTGAGCCATGCCCATCGCGATGGCTGTCTTTCCGGTACTAGGAGGTCCTGCGATCAGGACTGCGCGACCCGCGATCTTGCCTTCCTTCACCATCTGTAGAATCACTGCCGCGGCCTTGCGGGCCTTTTCCTGTCCTACCAGACCTTGTGAATTTCCTCGGGGCTGTAAAGTGTCCGCATCGACTCCGAGACCTCTGATATGCGAATGGGCGGCGATGAGGTTTAATCCTCGGAGCTCCTTGCTCTCTGCGACGGTGGAAATTGGCTGGAATTCCAAGTTAATTAATCGATCAATTGGCATCGAACAAGCATTGAGACTTACAGCAGCCATTTTCACTGAAAAGTTCCCACGAAGTTTCCGACTGGCTTTTGCGATGAATTTCCAAGAGCAATTGATCAGCACCAAAGCTGCGGAAGAAACAAGCCTGAAGGGAAGAATGATGGCTTACCGCCCGGCAGTATCCTTCTTTCTTTGGCTTCCGTTTTAGCGCCGGAGGATCAAACCGAATCCCTGAAAGATTGACTCTTGTGCTGATGAGCTTAAAAAAAGAAATGAGCGACCAACGCAACCCTCATTACGCGATTGTTCCTTGTTGATCATTTCCGTTCTACGGCTCTTTGTCCCGCGATTCTTTCATGCCCCGGCAGCAACCCCCAGCACGCGCCCAATCACCGTTGCTTGTCACAATCGATAGGTCAAATTTCTCATTTTAAAGGCAGACAAATGGCCCGCCATAACTATTCGACACTCGATTTTTTTTCTCCCCTGGGTTCTCTTCTCCTTGCGACCTTTACGACACCTCGGTCCATTCTGTCCATCACGAGATGCTTTTAAGTGAATTCCCAAAAGCATGAACCAATCACAAGACTTGCTTCAAGAGCTCGGTCAACAAAGAGCATGATGGATATGGATCCACCGCCAGTACCTCCACCACCACCAACACCACCACCTCCCCCGCCTCTCCGACGGTCTTCAACCGATCCTCGGTTGGCTAACATACCTCCCCGCCCATCCCTGAACACAAATCTACCTCGCCTGTCTTCAGCCCCGAATTCATCATTTTCAACTCCACAGATTACATCGCGATCTACACCCAGTCTTGTACGTCTTGTACAATCTTCAGCTACGCCAGGAGGCTCTGAAGATCCGGGAGAGCAAGATGTTTCTGCCGTGGAAGTTGATGAGAATAATATCCTAGTCACATTGTCCAAATTCAATGTATCTCATTTTAATATTCTCAATCAACAAAATGAAAAGAGGCGGCTGGACGAGATTGCTGCTCGAAATATTCGAGAGCTTGAGCGGTCAAAGACGATGAAAACATATCCTGCCACGGCCGAGATGTACCGCGAGCTGAAGAAAAAGAGTGACAGCGATATCATTAAGCTCAACCATTCCCTTAACCGGCATCAGTCAATCTGTCAGAAAATGACTGCAGAGTTCGCGAAGAACCAGAGTTTTCGCGTGCCTCCGGCTCAGTCTTTATCTAGAGAGCCAACTTTACATCCTTTGCCCCCTGGAACCGAAAATGACGGGAAAGATGAGAAAATTGCTAAGCTGGAAGCCAAGGTCCAAGAGCTTCAAAGAGTTTCCGAGATGATCGATAACTCCATCGAAGACCATTCAAGCCGAATGTCGCGCCTACTAAGAGAGACTGGTGCCTTGATGGCCTGGCGAGTGGCTATCGAGGGTGGGGAAAGGAAACTGCCTGTGGGGTGTATCCCTGTTGACATGGATCGTGATATCAAAGAGGCTAAAGCCGCGTCTAATGAAGCTCTTCAAAGGGCAAACCTAGTTAGAGGGGAGTTGGCCACGATAGGGGAGAAACTTAACACCCACAACGCGCGAACCATTCCTGATGGCTTGGAACAAGCTCTTACGAGGATGGACCAAGTTTTCCTGCAGGTACCCTTGTTGCAAGGGCGGCTTGAGAACGCTGAGCAAATGTTTCACCCTATTGCAGCCATTGAATCGCGCATTCAAAGCAGCTCAACAGAAATTGAGGCTCTCAAATCCAAGGTGGACCATGCCGACGCTACAGGCATTGAGCTGAATAATATATTCAGCAATTTGAAAAAAGATCTGGCCGGGACGTTGCGGGAAGCAACGGGTGCTACTAGCAGTAACCAGAGTTCTGATCAAGGGTCAAACATTGCGAGCACTAGGGTTGCGGCCCTTGAGGCTCGTCACTCTGTTTTGGATTCCAATATGAAAGACTTATTGGCACAAGGGGCTACATGGACCGAGGCACTCACTTCGTTCAAGGTGGCACTCCGCTCAATCGAAATGAGATACGAAAACATCAGCACAGAGACTTTGGTCAAGCGCATGGCCCACGCCATACTTGAAATGTATCCTACCTTGCCCCAGGTAGCGGACAAAGTACAGGCTTTGCAGCTTGAACTCGGCGCTAGCCATCAATCCCTAACGGATCGAGTCCACAAAATAGAGAGTTCAACAATGGCCGAAGAGATGGTGGCAAAGGCCAAAACAATCCTCGAAAGGGAGATTGTATCTGTTCGTGATGAAATCAACAAGTCGGCATCCGAGGTCTTGTCATTGCGGGATGAAGTCCGACGTTATGGTCCTGATATGGCACAGTTTCGTTCCCGAGTCGATGTACTTGACAACAAGATGGTGTCAATGCCCAGTGTTCTCCGGTCAGAATCGAAAGAGGCCAGTAAGGAGGCTATACAGAAGCTTGTCCAGCCAATATGCCAAGTCCAAGGAGAGCTTTCCGAAAGAATCTCGAAACTTTCCGAGTCAATGTCTAGAAACCTCCGAAATGTCAATGACTTGCATGAAAGTTACAACTCGCTTTCAACCGCTTTCCAAGGGCTGGCAGATGATCATTCGGACGATGTCAAAGGATTGACTGATAAGAGTAATCAACTGTCAACCGAATCGAAAACTCTAGCTGGAACTATGAATTCACAATTCGATCGTCTCTCAGACGAATATCAGACACTCAAATCCTCATTGCAGGAAATCCAGGATTTCACAGATGAGCTAAAAATTCTCCAGCCAGTGGAAGATATTGCCAATATTCGGCGCATATTTGATTCTGCTGAGGATATTCAGAGACTGAGCCGCCTGCTTGAAGACAAAAGCAATATCAGGCTAGCAGAGCAAACAACTGAAATGTTGTCCTTGGTGAAGACAGAACTGGAGAAAATTTCCAATGTGGCACTTCCCCACGATCGCGTTTTCGGTATCGCTAATGACGGGGCGAACCATGACTTGCGAATTCGAGGCTGCTCTACTCTAGCGGCTGCGCCTATGCCAATTGTCACGAGCCCCACGAGACCCGAAATACACACAGAGACGGGAGACAACGAGGATAGAAACAAAGAGCAGAGGGACAAAGAGAGTAGGGAGAAAAGGAACAGGAAGAAAGAGGCGAAAAATAAAGAGGAAAGAATACGGCATAATGAAGTCGCCGGTTCCGACAACGACTGTCAGATTATCGAGACCGAGCGTTCCTCCACCATGATTGAGAGTGACAAGCCAGTAGCTCCATCGCTTGCTCTTTCTGACCCCTCCAGCTTGCTGAAGAAGAAAAGGAAGAGGGATGGCAAGCGCTCTCGCGAAGAAATAGCCTCTAGTGATGACTTTGCAACTCCGACTCCCTCCACTGGCAGGGATACTCCCGTGCATCTACCCAGGTCCGGAAACTCCAGCCTTGCGGGCCAGCCATTGACGAAGAAGAGCAAAAAGTCGAAGAAGAAAGAGAAACACTGATTACCTAATTGGGCCTTCATACAATAACTAACTAATAAATTTGTATGTAATGCATACCACTGCGCATGTGCGTTCTTGATTGAACCTTACATACATTTTGAATATACATTAACCTAACCTTGAAATTCGACTTTGGTTCCGAGGTTGCATATACTATATACAAAGTAGATGCAAGTTGTACCAGCACTTGCATGTGAGCAATGAGTACAGCTTGAGTGCATGTACGACAAGATCCGGTCTCGGGAATTTAAGTTACATGTATACCTCAGTGCTACTAGGTACATGTAAGTGCCACCCGGTACAGACCTATGTACGCTCAGAATATTGAGTGTACGGTACCTAGATATTCCAACATTGAAAGCTCCAATGGCCTCAAGTGAGATAGGACATCCAATGTTTCAAATGTTGGAACACACATCATCACATGCAGTGATAAACAGATCCATGGATGTAAATCACTCCTTAGTAAACATTGAATGTTCTACCTAGTACTAGGTTACCGCAGGCGAATTGGGTGCTGCAAGAGCTCTGCCTAGAAGTGACATGGATCAATAAGCACTCGAGGACAGGGTTACCATCTCCACCTGGGCAGGACTGACTCTGCGGGGGTGGCGGTCTGTGCCACAGGCATCCTATCCATCCAGATGTCTGTGGGCAGTTTCAACATTCAGGACACTCCAGGCTGAATAAAACCGCGGGAAATTCTGAAACATCCACTGAACCTTTGAATGAGTGAATCTCAGCTAGCAGATTTTCAAGATAAACACAGGTCTTGTGTTTCTAAAGTTGATTTGACGCGCCCAAAATGTCTCGTGAACTACTAACTCCATACTCGGTCTCCGTTGCAGATACTGCGCTCCAGGAGCTCAAGCAGCGACTCGCCTGGGCCAAGCCTGCAACCCAGTTTGAGTCTTCAAGCCAAGATTCATGGGATTTTGGTGTCCCCGCCAAAGAAATGGAACGACTGGTGACACATTGGAGAGATCACTTTAACTGGCGAAAAGCTGAGGCTCAATTAAATGAACTTCCCCAGTATCGCACGGAAATTGAGGTTGACGGGTTTGGCAAACTGGATATTCATTGTTAGTATACTAGTACTACGAGGAGCGCAGCTTTTATACTACCGAACTAACCTGAGTCCACTCAATAGTTGTTTATCAAATCAGCCCTGTAGAGGATGCCATTCCTCTTCTCTTCAGCCACGGATGTTAGTATTGTGTCTCTCAAAGAGCTCCAGGGTTGAATACGATTTGCAGACAGACTAAAATTCTAATTAGGGCCAGGATCATTCATCGAGGTGACAAAACTTCTACCAATGTTACAAGGGGATGGTAGTCATCCGGCTTTCCATGTCGTGGCACCTTCATTGCCTAATTTTGGGTTCTCCTCCGGAGTCACCAAGCGGGGATTTGGGTGGGCCCAGTATGCCGAGACGTTTCATAAGCTCATGCTCAAGCTTGGATATTCCGAATATGGTATACCTCAGCTTTTTGTACAGATATATGCTAGATGCATAAATACTGACACCACGAGTAGTCACGCAAGGTGGAGACTTGGGTTACTGGATAACCAGAAGTATGGGTCTTCTATACCCCGAGCATTGCAAAGCCTCCCACGTGAACATGATCGTTGCTCAGCCTCCCAAGTGGACCTCCAACCCACTATTGGCTCTACAACACAGCATTCAACCATACAGCGCCCGTGAAAAAAGGGGTCGAGAGCGATCTGCGTGGTTCGCAGAGGAAGGATTCGGGTACAACCTGCTGCAGAGGACGAAGCCCCAAACGATCGGCACTGCGTTAGCGGACAGTCCCGTTGCACTGTTGGGCTGGATCTATGAGAAGCTGCACGATTGGTCAGACTCTTATCCGTGGACCGATGACGAGATCTTAACTTGGGTCTCTATCTATTGGTTCTCATCGGCAGGCCCCGAGGCGAGCGTTCGCATTTATTATGAAGGCTCCCATCCTCGATCCGACAAAGATTTGACCTATGAGAAGTTGAAGGGGTATATACCCAATGTCAAATTGGGCCTTGTACACTTTCCACGGGAGCTTATTGTGGTTCCCCGTACATGGGCTGCTGCGTTGGGCCCTGTTGTGCTGCAGACTGAACATGATCATGGTGGGCATTTTGCGGCATGGGAGACACCGGAAATCATCACTAGGGATCTGCGGACGATGTTTCGAAAAGATGGTCCTTGTTATGGTATTGTGCCTGGAAGAAGTGGTTATTAGATCTGTCAACTTGTCTACTAGTATGTAGTATGTACCATGCGGCAGCTCGTGCCCGATGATGCCGGCGGGTACACCGCTATTTTTATGACAACGGGCTTCCGTCAACAGGTTTCATTTGTGTACCACATAGCCAGTAGGTGTGAGTGAGAATGTTAAGTTTAAGTTAAAAAAAAATTGACGAGTCTAGTAGGTATGTACATAAGTACTGTTGGCATTATTCCCTGAACCATGAGTTGGTAATGTTCAAGTTGAAGTTCTTGGTCACAGCCTGACAGGAAACATATTACTCAAAACAGTTAGAGGCAAAAGCACAACCCTTGCGGCCTTGCCTACTAAGTACACAGTCACTTTTACTTGACGGCATTGATAAAAAGAATCAAGCTTATAAGGCTTATCAGTCCAATGTTGACAGGGGTAAAACTGCCAAGAGCAAGGAGAGGCTCATTGTAAGCCCATCGCCTAAAAAAACGCGTCAAGTCATGGTTGGAAATGTCTTGAATCCCCTTGGCCATAAGAAGAATGACGCACCCCTTTTCTAACCCCCCATTTCCAAAGCTCCAAAGATCAGGGGCGTTAATAGCAACAGAGGGAACCCACTTGGAGCCCGATAAGAGGTTCAGATTTCCAATTTTAGTCCGTGTAGACCCCGGAAAAAGGCCTAGCCTCCAAGACAGATTTGCGCCAAGCCATTCAATGCAAGCACTAGCTTCAATGATCAACGTCGATCACTGCCTTGGCATACAGATTCCACATTCTGTCATCGCGCGTTGCCCGCGTTCCACATGAAGCCCCTGTGGTAAATATACGCGGGGCTTGGTCCTACGTTAGTGACTGACTGGGCTCTTTCACAATTTATTTCCTCTACCAAGCGGCGATGGCTGCCAAATCACTCCTTTACGCTTAACAAAACAACCACCATCGTCCAGATACATAGTGAACATGTCTAGTCGCATTCAGTTCGCAGAGCCAATTTCAAAGAAAAAACAATATGGGCCCTCAAATCGTGGGAGGGATAATGCTGAAAAGGGGTCGGCACAACGATCACTTTCGCCAGGGAGCGAAATCGTTTATCCAACAGGATGGCGACTCGTTTTTACTACTATCGGGTAGGTGATTCCAACTGCTCAGGGCGGGGGTTGTTTTTAGATTGCTGGATGAAATACATGCTTACGAGACTTACTTGATGGCAGGCTCTTGATTGGGTTCTTCCTATCCAACTTAGATGTTACGATTGTTAGCTCTTCACTAACGAGCATGACCGATGATCTGAACGGATTCGAAAAACGAAGTTGGATTATTACGGGATACCTGGCCACCTATACAGGCTCCATGGCGATATGGACCAAGCTCAGTGATATTATTGGACGGAAACAAGCGACTATTGCTTCTCTTTCCATATTGCTTGCATTTTCGATTGGATGCGGGTGTGCTCAGACGGTCAACCAACTGTGAGAATTGCTTTACCTGGACTTTTGACATATTCACAATGTTAACAATCTCGATATAGCATCATATGCCGAGCACTACAAGGAATAGGAGGCGCTGGTGCATATGCGCTGGCCATCCTTTGCATCTACGAAATAGCGCCCAAAACACAACTTCCAACTTATAGCGGTATCATGTCGTTCTGCCTAGCAGTGGCAGCTTTGACCGGGCCCATCGTTGGAGGTGTGCTTGCACAGCATGCAGCCTGGAGATGGGTATTTTTAATCAAGTATGTGGATATCCCATGTTGAATTTCTTCAACGAAATGCTAATACATCCTCAGCGCTCCTTTGTGTGCACTCGCGATCGCTATAATTATAGTAGCAATGCCAAAACACTTTGGCCTTGACCAACACACACCCTCATTCAGAACGCGAGCATCATACCGTTCGTTTGCCAACGTCGACTTTGTGGGTTCATTTTTGATGATAACGAGCACCTTTTTGATTATCACTGTCTTAAACGAAGTCAATTTGGCCTTTTCCTGGAGCTCAAGAGGCTCAATAGCTCTTCTCATCCTCACGGGTGTCTCCTGGGTTGCTTTCTTTGCCTGGGAGTGGTACTTGTCTGGCATTCCTGGAGCAGACCCAATATTCCCCAGACGATGGCTTTGTGACCGTCCATGGATGGGCATTCTCATGTGAGTTCCTTGTCGTTTAGACAAGCTTTGCAAGGTCTCGTTCTCTGACAATCAATTTTCAGCTCCTCATTCGTTACCGGTGCAGTGTGGAACGTCGTCCTGGTTTACGTCCCGCAACAAGCCCAGATTCTTCTAGGGAAGTCGCCTCTTGAATCAGGTATTTACTTGATTGCATACTCCGCTGTTGCAGCTGTGGCAGCGGCTGTCATCAATATCGCCAGCTCCAAGGGGCGTATTCCTTTCGTTTACTCCCTACTCGTGGGATGCATCATCCACACCGTCGGTACCGGGCTTTTATCCACAATAACCAGAACGAAAGGATCCCATGCCACAGACTTCGGTTATGAAATTATTGCTGGTGCCGGAATTGGCATCACGCTTGGTGTCTTATTACTTTCAACACCTTACATTGTTGAAGACCGAGATCTTGGTATGTACCCGCTCAGCAGAACTTACAAAATCTTTGCATCGAATATCGATTATTAACAACCCGTTTGTCTTTTGCAGCGATTGCCACCGGAACTGTCGTCCAGCTACGATTTCTTGGCGGTGCTCTTGGTCTCGCCATCGCGTCCAACATTCTTAATGGCCGCCTGATACATCATCTCAGGGACGTTTTGACATCACACGAGCTTCACCTATTCTTGGAAAATGTGACAACAGTAAAGAAATTGTCTCCATATCTCCAAGAGGAAGTGAAGAGTGTGTTTGCCGATAGTTACCGTATCCAGTTAATAGTCATGATCGGCTTTGCAGCCGCTCAGCTGCCGGCAGTCTTGCTCTTGATAAAACCTGGACGACAACTTGCGGTAGACAAGGACCGAGGCGTCTCGGTTAGCAACCCTGCATGACAGGTCATAGGCTCATATCATACATAGGCGTTCAGCATGGTTTTTATCAGCGTGGATTTATATAGGGGATCATTTCAAACCATCACAGTTCAATTCAATCTTGTTCAATCCAACTTACTCCAACATCTGAGTCATTTCACCGACTTTTCAACCAACCTTGTACGCCATGTTTTTGTTTTACCCCGTTGGCTTCCGAGAAGTGGCTGATCTCTATTGAAATCTCATGGTTAATGAGCACGCGCATCCCACGAGGAAAGCAATTTCCTCTCCAAATCTCCATGTCACGCCTTTAATGGCTGGATCTGGTCACTGCGGTACAAGCTCAGTCTATGACCCTTTAAGCGTCCTTCTCGTGATTTGCACGGCCGGTCTCCAACTTTACTGCCTCTGTCAATGGGGGAAAAGACCCACAAGTATGTACTCACCCTCGGCAATTGAGCCTCGGGAGTTGGGCATCTGTTCCACAAATCCGCAGATCAAAGGCGCAATGGACGAAATTACATATTTGCTCAGCCATGACGAACGTCGAACACCGGGCCGTATGCCAAGCGGGGCTTGTTACAACAACAGTCAGACAACGTCTTGGCGATTTAAGGAAAGTTCTCAAGCAGTCCTAAGCATGGTGATCTATTCCAAATTGAAGATATCATGCAACGAGGTAAAATGTGCGGAAAAGGCAGCTGGATTGTTCAAAATCTCAATTGGCTACCGTGCGGTGGCTGTGGCTATGTTTTCAAGTGAAAGTTAGAGATCCAGTTTTTTTTTGTTTATCTGATGGTCGATCACGTAAACTCTCCGCAGGTCAATCTCTCATGTTTTCTTTTCTTCTTCTCATCTTCCCTTCCTCATGAGCATGTTATGTTCTCGAGTCTATAATTTACAATATTAAATGACGAAATGACGAAATGAACCCATGTGCAACTTATGCATACAACACGGTTCACACCGAGCTGGGAAATAGGAAAGCAATATCAACCCGATTACCGGCCGGACTAAGACTAACTTTGTCTCCACGGGTTTATGGAGACATTCCCCTTCCAGGCAAAAGATGACAGCCGGCAAATTTCTCCCAAAATCGAGTTGGAGTAACTTGAACAATCAAATTTTGCTTGAAATGGGAAACTCCACCGCGCATATCATCCAAGACGGCCCCACTGACCTCGTACATTGGGTAACGTCGCAGATTCGATGACAATGGGAATGTGGGCCAGATATGGCAAGAAGTCAAGCTACAATTGCTTACTTCTGCTTAGTTACTGGGCCAATTTATCAAACAGGGCAGCTTTGATGTTCATCTGGCTGATTTTCCCGCGCTACGCGGCACAGGGTTGTTAGTGTGAACTTTGGTCCATGATCAGATTAGATTGTCATCACTCTCCACTTATTCCCTGCCAGTGTGCTTGTACTTTCTATGGCCTTTTATTGACGCTGCACTGATCTCTGCGGCATAGTTCAAATGACGCATCTAACTTCATTTACCTGGGGTTAGCGGTATTCTTCCTTTTTCCAACTTGGGTTTCACCCGTTTTCGAAGGATTGGTGTACCCACAAGGGCTGGGGGTTGATAAATATGACATTTCCTTGGTTTGAGTCGGGTCCCATTTCCTCGACTGATATTCTCCCTTTTTATACCTATTCACTCATTCAAAGTATCTATCTACTGAAATGGAGGATGCTAGTGTTCAGACAAACAATGTTTGGACTGATAAGTACTTTGCCATTGCTATGGGGGCAATCATCGTCTTGTTCAGTCTTTTTCATTGGGGCAGTCTAGCATTTTCAAGATATGGACCACAGGTGCCTGGAAAGAAGCTGGGTCAGACTGTAAGAATCTACAGGTAAAACCCTCGAAAATAATGAACGCTAGCATCAAATGACGCTGATACTGTGTGGCAGGACCGTACAACGAAAACTGGATACAGTTGTCATAGGAAAGCCTTTCCATAAATGGCTACTATATCTGACATATTGGGCTATCAATGTGATTCTCACATTGACAAACATTGATTTAACAGAGTTGGAATATGTTCGTGGAGTCCTTTAAACTGTGAAAGACGTTTCTAATGTCCCTTACAGATCGCCAGACGCATGGGCTGGTATGTCAGCTGCTACAGCCAGTGCTTACAACATCGAAATTTCACCCTATACATTCACTTATAATTCTCTTTCAAAAACCTTTTAGGATCTCCGTGGCAAACTTTGTCTTGCTAGTCTTCCTTGCCCTCCGAAACACCCCAATAGCGCCCTTGTCCGGTCAGTCCTACGAGAAGCTACGCCCCCTCCACAAAATTGCTGGGTACACCTGCATAGTCAGCAGTGTCACACATGGAATCCTTTTTCTCAAAGAGAGCGCAGAGATTGGATACCTTGAGTTGATGAGCGAACGAGAGAATCTTTCAGGCGCACTGGCGGGCTTATCGATGGTGATTATCGGTCTCTCCACAATAAGCTGGTTTGCTAGTCGATACTACGAAGGTAGGCTCAATTGACCAAAATGACTAAAAATCGTCACTAATTGAAGATCGCTATTCTCATTCAGCATTTTATATTATCCACGTCGTTTTGTTCATCCTCATTGTGATTCTTGTCGGAATGCACCGCCCCGAAATTACCACATCTACACTGGCCATTGTCATCTTCATAGCCTGCATCTGGCTTTTGGACCGATCCCTACGAGCATCAAGATTTGTGTGGAATTTCTTCGGGAATTATGCCACTCTTACTCCGATGCAAGATGGCGCGGTTCGAGTCAAGCTCCAACGTGGTATCCGCTGTTCTCCCGGATCTCATGCATTTATATGGATGCCATCCATCCGCTTTTTGGAAACCCACCCCTTTACGATGATATCCGCGGACCCTGTTGAGCTTCTCGTCCGTCAATATGACGGGTACACCCATGAACTATATAAATTCGCTCACGAGCAACCTGGCAGAACTGTGCGTTGCTCCATGGATGGAGGATATGGGCAAGTTCCGAATTTCATGAACTTTGATAAAATAATCCTCGTTGCGGGTGGTAGTGGTGCCACTTTCACCATTGCGATTGCGATTGACTTGTTAAGTCGTTGTGCTGCTGCAAATGTGACCAAGCAGATTGATTTTATTTGGACGGTGAAATATTCGAGTAAGTTGACTCAATTCATACATTCAAAAAGGGGTGACTAATTTCATGGCTTCTCTCGCACAGGCTCCCTAAAATGGTTTCAAGATGAAGTTGGAAAGCTTCAAGACTCGCCTTTAGTCAATCTATTTGTTCACATATCGCAGGACGATTTAACCAGCCATGATTCTAGCAGAGGAACATCTCCTGTTGGTAGTGACATGGAGAAAGGCAAGGATGCCATGCGTTCATTGGAAAATCCGTCTTGTATCCGGAAAGGAAGACCTGATATTTCAGAATTTGTTGCGAGCGGTATAGCGTGCTGTCCTCTACAATACAAAGTTGGGATAGGTGCCTGTGGGCCTATGAAAATTCTCGAAGCCACACGACGAGCAGCTTCGCAAAAAGTCTTTGATGATGGCCCGTCTATTACGCTGCACATTGAGGTAAGTTCAGTTCCACTGCAATATTCTGTCCACGAGCCCCGAGCGCTTCTAAACTCAGCAACAGGAATTCGAATGGTGAACGTTGTCGATTTGCTACCCAAGTACCTAGTAGTACTAGGCATCCTACTAGGCATCTGCGTGACCAAGAGAAACGAGACTGTATGTAAAAATATTCAATGTTAAGAAATCAATCGAATAAACATTGAATTTCGCGAGATGAGAGAACTAAGTTCAGTCAAACCATCTTTCGACATTGGATTCCGTGTTGATCATGTAGTACTCCCCTCTCTGTTATCACATGGCTGTACCCCTGGCGATTTAATATTCTCTCTTTACTCTTCTTCTTCACTTCTCTTCTCTTCCTTCTTTCTTTGCCGCATTCCTAGCAAATATTGCTTCCTTTTGATATCCCCTTGGCTTCCACTTTGCTTCTGAACGTATTCCAACACAACCATAGCCATGTCAAACCATATCGTCAACGTTGCGATTGTCGGGGTACGTATATAAGGATATGTCATTCCAAGACCAGATACATCTCGTACTGTTCTCTTCCCATCTCGATCGCACACTAACGAACATATCTACTCAGGCAACGGGAAACATTGGCCGGTTCATCACCGAAGCCCTGCTCAAGACAGGCAAACATAAAGTCACTGCCCTCGCGAGATCTGGACGCTCCACCACACTTCCAGTTGGTGTGTCACGCAAGGAAATTGACTATGGCAAGCGCAAGACAATTGTGGAAGCACTGAATGGGCAAGATGCGCTAGTCATCATCCTGAATAGCAAAGCTCCCGAGGAAACTGAATTGCTGTTGGTCCAGGCTGCCGGTGAGGCTGGTGTGAAATGGGTGCTGCCGAACGATTGGGCCCCTGATACAACGAATAAAGCAATGAACAAGGACATTGTGGTATTCCCGGCCAAAGGCGAGTTGCACAGCAAGTTGGCTCTCTTAATCAATCTTACTGACAGTTTATCGATCGTTAGCTGCTATCCGGAAATCCATTGTTCAACTTGGCAAATGCAACTTTATCGGTGTATCCACCGGCCTTTTGTACGAATGGAGTCTTGCTATTCCATTCGCGTTTGGAATCGATTTACTCAACCGCACGGCGACTTTCTTCGACGACGGCGAGACAAAGGTCACAACCTCCACTTGGCCCCAGATCGGCCGTGCTGTTGCTGCCCTTCTCAGCCTGCCTATCAAATTTAGCGGGGACGATGCGTGTCTTGAGAGGTTCAAGAACCAGGTTGTCTATGTCAAGTCCTTCACAGTGAGCCAAAAGGACATGCTGGAATCTGTTTTACGGGTGACCGGAACACAGGAATCGGATTGGGCTATTTCGAAGGAACCATCAAAGGAACGCTGGGCGAATGGTATCAAGGAGATGGTGCAGGGCAGTCGCATTGGGTTTGCCAAAATGCTCTACACTCGCGTCTTTTATCAGGACGGTGCAGGGAACATTGAGGCCAAGGGTCCTTTGAATTCGATGCTCGGCCTGCCAACCGAGGATATTGATGAGTTTACCAAGATTGCGATTGAGCGTGCGAAGCCTCAGCCTTGGAAGTGAGATGGTTTAGATGAAGGATGGAGTTCCCGAGGGCCAACAGAGGCCAGGGACTGTTGAGTGGGGGAGCCCGGAGCCCCGATGTCGGCTCTGCGCCGTTGTGGAACGTGGGGAAGCCGATCACTAGCAGTTACAGCCCACCACAGTGAACTACCAAATGAGAAAATCCCAAATTTACTTACAACGCTCCAGTAGAAGGTAAGAATTTGTCTAGAAAATTGTTTTGCCCTTGATTGTCAAGAAATATATACATGGGTGTCATGGTGCGATCATGATTTAGCTGTCCAGCAGCACAGGGACCTTCTCAACAAGGTAGTCGACGATAGCATCGGGGCCGTACTTGACTTGCAGGCCTTCGGGGATGGCGTGGAGCTTGATGTCGGGAACAATGGATCGGGCAATGTCGTGGATCTGCTTGGCCTCCTCCTCGGTCCACATGGACGCGCTGAACTATAGGACGGTCGGTGTCAGCTGCTGCGAAAATTCTCGGATAACCCGATCGCTGTGGGACTTACCAGAACGTTCGGCTGGTGCTCCTTGACCTTGGCCTCGACCTGGTCGATGGCTAAAGGGGAAAAGTCAGTCGGGGTGCTTTCAATTGACACGTGTGTTAAGTGTGAAAAGTAGTACTCACAGTCGCAGTTGTCAACGTGGATGATCTCGTAGCGGTCCTTGAGGAGATCGGCAACACGGCCGATGAGACGCTTAGCGCGCTCGGGGGCGGTGTTGACAGTGACGAGACGGAAGGGACCCTTGGGAGCAGACATTGTGATAATTGAATTTGGAATAGAAAAAACGAAAGCGATTGCGATATCGCGGGGTATTTATTTCATTCGCGTTGCCACCTGCTCCCCACATTCCTGGTTCCGGCTTATCCAGGCGGGATAGATTTACTCCGCTTTATCGATAAGAGGCAAAGTACAAGAGTTGACAAGCTTCCTGAACTTCCCCTCATTCTACAATTCCTGTACATCCCCAGTCCTCTTTTAAATTTTTACCATGTCTGATATTGCCTCTACCTTTTCGCGTGAGTAAACTTTCTGTTTCGGGCCCCATTGATGGTTGAGACTGACTCTGTTCCGCAGGCCTTGTGCGCTTCGTCCCCAAGTCCGACCCCTCCAAGGTTCTGATCGGAGAGCCCGTTGACGCTGAGCTCGATGTTGGTTTGGCTCTCTACAAGGGCCAGGAGGTCTCCGTGCGCCCATTCACTGGTGCCTCTGTCTTGAGCCCCGGTGCCGCCACTTCCGGCACTGAGGTTATTGAGCGTCTGCTCTCTCCCCTCGCCGAGAAGGAGGTCGGATCTATCCGCTGCGTCGGTCTTAACGTGAGTTTCGCGAGAAAAACTGTACATTCTAAAGAGTTACATTCTAATATACCGAAATAGTACGTTTCGCACGCTAAGGAGATGGCTTTGCCCATTCCTGAAGTGCCAACTTTGTTCATTAAGCCTTCTACTGCGCTTGCTGATCCTTACCCCGCCCCTACCGTTCTGCCCAAGATCACACAGACCGATAACACCGGCGATTATGAGTCCGAGATGGTTATTGTGATTGGCCGTGACGCAAAGGATGTGCCCGAGTCCGAGGCTCTTGACTACGTTCTCGGCTACACTGCCGCCAACGACGTTTCCAGCCGTACTTTCCAGATGAACCAGAGCCAGTGGTGCTTCTCCAAGGGCTTTGATGGCTCTTGCCCCATTGGTATGACAATTGACTCTTTTTGTTTATCTCCTGTTGCGTCAACAGACCATGAACGACCTCAAACTAACTTAGTTTATAGGACCCACTCTCGTCTCCGCCAAGCTCATCCCTGATGTCAGCAAGCTGCAGATTCGCGGTCTTAAGAACGGAGATGTCATGCAGGATTGCCCCCTCACGTACGTGCTCACTATTCTTCGCGCTTCGGGTATAAAAGCTAACCTCACAACTATAGTGACTTGATCTTCTCTGTTCCCCAGCTCATTAGCTTCCTTTCACAGGGAACTACTCTGCGCGCGGGTACTATCATTCTGACTGGTACTCCTCCTGGTGTTGGTGCTGCTAAGAACCCTAAGCAGTTCATCAAGGCTGGTGATGACTTTGCCGTTGAGCTGCTTCCTCACGTCGGTACCCTGATCAACAAGATCGAGCACCAGTGATCAATGATGAGTTTATAAATGAATGTGTGTCAGATGAGGGATTGACCAAGAAAAAATGTCCTTGGTGTTGTATATATCTATATCCTTCAAATAGAGACCAAAAATAAGTGCTTTCCAATTGAAGATTGAACATGCATGTCCATCAATTCGAATATTTGAAATATCGCAACATTTCCAGATGTCAATGTTGAACATTATCTGCAGCCCGAAGAGCATCAGCCTACCTAGTTATGTAAGTACATACTAGTACTGCATACTATGTACATATGCCGTATATATGCACCTCCAGCACTCAAGTGAGGGCTATTCATAGTATGTGCCAAGGTTTATATACCACTAGTTGGAAGTGTCAACTGGTAGTACATTCAAATTGATGTTATGTAGTATGCATGCCTGCTCACATGCACCTCCTACATCAAGTCAACACCTCCAGGCCTGGGGCTACCTTGAAGCCCGTCTATGAACCAAAGTTCTCTCATAGACGGGCTTCAAGTCACTTAAGTCAACTGGTCACTCATTATTGAATCGATCTATGATTTACATTAGCTCAGAACCTTGGAAAGTATTCCAAGTCCAAATCTCAATAGATTTATCAACCAATCACAGGGGTGGGGAATAATCTACTCCGGGGCGGAATAATTCACAGCCTCCAGTGCTTGAATCTCGGCGCAAACTCCGAACTTACTCCGCGCCTCGTACTATGTACTACGTAGTAGTATGTAGCGCGGGGAAGTTGATCGTCATGGTATCAACCATGTTGAACATGACATTTCGTAGCTTAATGGCACACAAAAGCGCATTAAACCCAAGTGCCATGGACATTGAACACTTGGAAAAAAAAAACCTGCAGCTTACTGCCATTGCTTTTACAATGGGCAACGTAGCGCCCGGAACCTCCGCTCACAATATGCAGCGCTGAGTTTGGCTATTTTCGTACAGAGTAGGACACTGATACTCCAATCGCATTCAAATGTTCAAACTTCAACTCTTGAAAGCACATGGTCAAAATGCAAATAGACACCTGAATCCTTCTACCAATCAGGAGTACAGGACCTTGAGTAACGGCTGGATATAATATCTTCCCGTAGCGGAATAAATCATGTCCGGCAAATTCATGGCTTGGCCCCCTGACTCAAAGTAACACAAAAATGCGCCAAGAACAAACCAACAATGACGGTCGTTGTACGACTTTGACGAGTTAGAGCACATTTGGCATATCGATTGTCTATCAATACGTAAACACGGGAAATAAGACATGTGAATCCCCAATTGGTACTGTACTCATACAAAGTACTCCGTAGGCGATGCAATATTGGCGTCATTTCTCAAGTGATGTTTTTTTTTCGGCATACCGGTCGCGGTGCCGTGGTAGTATACTGGCCGTACACATCACATACTAACTTCAAATGTCGAGATTGGCTATTGCAGAAGAAGTCAATAGCGGCAAGGAGGCCCGGTAGTAGACAGAATGAACGACGCCGAGTTTGAAAGCCGATAATCGCACGATCTTGTAATTTCCAGGGCCTGGACTAGCGGCTGGTGGTATGTTTTGGCGCTACGGGCCATTTTCGGGATTGAGCACCGAGCTGTCCCGGTCGGTGTACACGTTAAAGACGGCCTGCGGCATTTTGTTTATGCCGGAGTTTTTTTTTCAATAAACTAGTATGAATTGTTTTTTTTTTGCTCTCCGATTCAGGGTTTTCTTCTTGATATAATTAATTGGAATCTGCCCTTTTCTTTTGTTTACTTTTTTTTAAGCTTCAGAGCTGCCTGTGCTCAGGTGGAATGGCTGTTTTGCAATGTTCCTTGGAGTTGCTTCTTCAGCATCCACATGTTGGCAGGTGTATACTTGAGCAGAGGCTTACAAGTCAGATTCTACATGTTATGCAGTCTTCGACTGACTACATGATGAGTTGATCTATCAGGCTCAAATTTGAATCATTCATTCGTGTTGAAATTTGAGAAACTATTGCTTGCTCATGCATCCTATATACAGGCACAGATCACGAAGACATCCGTCCCGACTCCCGAGCCGAATTTGTCCAGTCTAAGGCATCCCGATGCCGATTCTATGCGTTTATACCGTCCCAACTGATCACCCAAAACAATCACACCAAAAGAAGAAGGAAAAAAGGAAAAAAGACAACGCTGGCAACGCGTCATTTACGACAATTTACTCCTCGTGACGCATCTTCTTTCCACGCCAGTGCAAGAAAACGGTCGGAATAACACTGACGGCAACGATCATTGCACAAGCAATACCGGCAGAAGGTGCCTCTCCAACATTCTCGAGCATAATTGGGAACCTGGAAACGAAACGAGTCAGTATAATGCGGGATGAAAGGAAGCATCAGGAGGGGCAGGAAACTCACCAGAAGGGCCCAATGAAACCCCACATCTGGCGCACAAAGGTGATGAATACACCGATGCTTGCGGCCTCTTGGGGGAAACAGTCAATGGCATAAGTGATCATCACGGTGGTGACCAGCTGGTTACCAACGGCACCGATACCAGTGCCAATGATGGGGGTCACGTTCCAGTGACCAGAAGGGGAAGTCTGCGTGCAGACCAAGAACACAATAACACCAATCATAGTCAGACCGAAGCCAAAGTAGCTGAGCCATAACCGATATTCCGGGTCGGGCTTGCGCTGGCGACGGCCTTCTCCGAAGCGCATCCACCGGTCGGACAGGACACCACCCAACTGCTCGCCGATCAAGGATCCAATAATGACACCCAGGAACTGGAGACCCAGCTGCTCTGTGTTCAAGTCGAATTTACTCTGCAAGAGCTGTGGCACCTCGACGGTTGCCAGAATACTACCAAACAGGAAGATCATCGCGTACGCACAGGCAGGGATGACGATGGACGGATGGCGGACCATGGTCAGTGGGCGAACAAACTCGTACGCTGTCAACGGCGAGGGGTCGATCCGGCGAAGTGTGATATACTCTTGCTTCCAGTTCGATTCGTTGTTTTCGACACCACCACCGAGATACCGGGTCTCTGGTCCAAAGAACAGGTATAGAATAAACTGACCACCGTTGATCTATGAGATGTCTAGTTAGCGGGGTGGGTTCTACCTGACGAAGAAATCGGAATAGGTGCTTACCATAGCTAGAATCCAGTAAATCCACCCGTAACCAGCACGGTAGGTGACAAAGCCAAAGATGAGTGGTCCGATCGGGACACCCAATGTGACCATGAGTGTCCAAATACCCATGTAACGGGCTCGATCCTTCTTGAACGTGGTCTCCATGACCACCGCACTGCCAATCGCCGAGGCTGGAGAGATGAAAAAGGCCACCAGGGCCCGACAAGCCGCGAGTGATGCATAGGTGGTGGCCTTTGCACAACCGATGTTACACACTAAACTGAGAATAAGAGACAACAGGAAAATTGGGCGACGTCCATAGCGATTGGAGAGGGGTTTCCAGAAGAGGGGGGCACCTCCCAAGATTGCGATTTGGAGGGATGTCAAATAACTCGCAGTCTGCAGAGGGATGTCGAGCTGTGCAGCAATGTCGGAATAGGCAGGAATAATTGCTGCAGCGGTAAATGTACCCATGCAAGCGTGAAAGGCAACAAGAATTAGGTTGGCCATTTTCTAAAAGTTCATGCATTAGCATTTATGTCTCTTTCGATTTCGCGCTGGTTCTCCTTCCCGATCGTTCTTGGGACAGGGTTCTGTATTCAAGGGATGCACTCACTTTCCATTCGGGCCAGTTGTATGGGTCAGCTGGGCCCATGCCAGGGATTGGATCAAGTTCCAATGTGCCATGTCGCTCAAGCAAATAATCGCGATGGGCTTTGGGAAGACGTGCTGCTACTGACTCTTCGTAGGTGGCGGCTTGACCAGCGCCAGCACGCTCAACGAGATCAATGTCGGCCTTGGATCCCGGGTTCTCCTCGAACTGTTCCGCCCGAGAAGAGCTTTGGCCTAACTCGAAAGATGTCATTGTGATGGCACCGCTCGAGATGGGCGAGAGAGAGAAAATGAGAACAATCGCAGTAAGGATGTTCGAATCTTGGAATGCTGGTTGGTGTTGAGAAATGTGTATGTATATGTGTGTGTGGTGTAAAAATTGGGTGGGAAAGAATAAAACTACGAGTACAAAAGGGTTGAGAAGGAGGCGAAACAAAAAACTTGATAACTGATTAACCTCGAGGGGGATATTTTCTCCTCTATTGCCGTTGGTCGAGGCGAAAAGCTTGAACCAAGGCTGTGTGGCGTGCCCGAGAACAGGCCCGGTGAGTGTGCATAAGAATACCGCCAGTCGCAATGTCCGGAGATACGGGGCTGGGGTATTCTTTCCCGGGCTCGGCTCGCCTGGAGAGAAATGCGGAGGGGCTCCACGGCCCACCGAGTGGACTCTCTCCATCGGGATCGGCGAGTAAAGAGCCAGTATTCACGGCATTTCATGTCATAGAGATTAGTCACCGACCAGTCTGGCACTTGAGAACGGCTAGCCGATGCAGCTTTTTGCTGGTCATGCGGCATGATCACGTACGCTTAATTACCGAAAACTGACAGTTGGAGGGTCCATGGGCGCAGTCTTCCCCATATCCTCTCCAGACTTTCGGGAAATGAAGAGTTTTTCTTTGGTTCTGGGGAGGATTTGAGCCTCGGCATCCAGAGATCTGTCACCTGTGGGCCTAACTAGTAGTTATTGGTTTTTTTTTTTGGGTAAGGTGAATGGTAAATCTCAAACGGCAGATAAGTACGGAGTAGTAGGGTTGCTGTTGTTGTGAATTGTCAATGGGAGGCGAAAACTATTGCAGGGAAATTTGGAACCACACACCGGGCCTAAGTTGGTTCCACGGCCCAGTTTTTCCCCCATCCCAATATGTACAGTATGTCCGTTGGGAACCAAAGGCCAATTTGACAAACCCCATTTTTTTTTTCTCCCCAGGTCTCCCCAATAATCGATCGGTGTACGGAGTAAGGGGATTTTGGTGTGAGAAAGGGATTCGTAATTCCCCACTCCCCAGTTTTTCGGTGTTGCGCGCGGAGAGGGAGAAAGTGCAATTGTTGCTAAGGGAAGAATATAGTGCCACATCCCCACAATTGCCTCTCCACATCACCACTTTCTTTCCTACTCACCAATCTGTCCTCCCACACTCTCCCCTCCCACCCTCCTGGTCGGAAAAAAAGAAGAGAGAGATGGCGTCAATGGAGATCATGACGATACCGTCGGAGGCAACAGGCGTAAAGAAACTGGTGTGTCGTGTGTGTCAAAAAGGATTTACCAAGGCCGAACATCTTAGAGTAAGTTGTTGATCTCCCCTCGTCCCCACGAATTTGAGGGGCAGCTCCCCCGAAGCTGTAGTAGATGTACACAAACAATCAAAATGCATAAAAGCTGACGATGATTTAGAGGCATGAGCGTTGCCGTAAGTGCTTACATTCTTGATGCCATTTTTATGTTTATCAATCTGTTCTATTATTATCGTCATTAGGCCGAGGATGCTTTTGCTTATATTACCGATTCCGAAAGAATCCGTCGGCTGACCGGAAGTGGCTATACAGATACCGGATCTAAGCCTTATGTCTGTAAGGAGTGTCGTCGGCCATTCGCCCGGCAGGATGCCCTTACTCGGCATAAGAAGTTGCATCAGCGTGATATGAACGCCAAAGATGGCCCACATTCGGGGTCAGTTCCCCCTTCGGTTTCAATAGATTCGATGGCTTCGTGGGAATCAAGCAGTACATCCAATGCGGGCCCAGCCTCGACTTCTGCGACTAGTAGATCTTGGGATGAGCCGCAATCTGCCCATCATGCGAGCATGCACAATCATGTCACATCCGATATGGATTTCGCTTTGGTCTGGCCGGACTCCGAGAATCTCTTCCAGAGTCTCATGTCCTCGGACACTACCGATCAATGGCAGATGCCATTGGGGACTTTGCCGTTCCCGCCCGTCGTACAGGACATTAATGGCATGAACTTTGGATCGCCGAACTCCTTTGACGATCGAAGTTCATCGGTGGGTGCTATTCCCTCTGGTGGTGGACACCAGGCCGTGCGGGATGTGACAGACATGATTAATAGCTCGGTAAGTTCTTGTAGCCCCTGAACTAGACCGCCAAATCCAAGCCTCGCGCACAAACTCTGTTTGTGTCGACGGCACGAGGTGATAGTGCCTGACGCTAATGATGATAATAGTCTTCGAGTGTTACAGCTGCCGTCAAAGCCACGTCGATCACATCCGTCTTTCTAGATGAGTGTCTCCACATGTTCTTTGTCCGGTTTATTCCAACTTTTCCTGTACTCCATCGAGCAACCTTTGTCTTTCGAGAATGCACCCACGCCCTACTCCTCAATGCCATCGCCATTGGCTCCTTGTATCTTGGCCCAAGTGATGCCGTCTCGAAAGGAGAGGCATTGTGGCGGCTCGCACACACCGCTGTTGCCACCTCATGGCAATCCTTCATCACACATAATGGCCCTTACGATGCCTGCAAGGGTGTGCAGTTGATGATCACTGCACTCCTCGGTCAAATATACGGAGCACTTTCTAGGAATCGAGCAATTAGGACCACAAGCCAAGTGTTCCGTCCATTGGGATTCTTTTGGGCTCGGCACTGTGGAATGTACGACAGCGAACCTTACTCTATGGACAACCTGCCTTCAAACGATGCTCCTCTCGCCGAAAAAGAGCACCAGTGGCGCATATGGGCTGCCCGGGAAATACAGCAGCGTGCTCTGCTTGCATACTACGTTCTTGATGGCCTTGTAGCTCAGGTATCTGGAGATGGGGCGTCGGCTCGGCATGTCTCGAACTCGTTGGTCCTTCCAAGCAGTGAACCTGCTTTTGATGCCAGCAGTCCTGATGAGTGGCTGGCACACATGCATTCACAAAAACCCGATCAGTCTTCCTTCCGACTTGTTTTCCGGTCATTGTTTCCACCCGTTGGTAACTTTAGAGCACTGGACTACCAATTCTCTTCCTTCGCTCTCCGTGTAGTTTTAGAGGGTCTCCAGTCCTTGATCTCCGACAGTGATGATCATGACTTGGCCGTGGGCGTTCCTGGCCAGTCCGATGTACGCAGAGCCTTGGCCCAAGTTCACGAGACTATCTCTATGAGTATCCATTTTTCTGCAGCTGAGAGACTAGAGCTTCTTTTGCGCTGGCATACTGTCTGCCTGGATACTATGATTAATTCGACGGTTCTATCCCGTCACATATGCTCCCGTTACGACATCCCGCAGCATGTATCCGGAGGTTGTCGCACAACCCGAGCCGGCTTCGATCTCATCAAATGGGCCAACAGTGAAGACGCCAAGCGAGCGGTCCTTCATGCCGTCGCTATCCAAGATATAATTGAACAGCTGCCTCGTGGCCGGGCACACGTCGTGCACATGCCAAGCTCACTGTTTGCCGCAGCTACCATCTATGTTGTTTTCACTCTTGCCGGTGTAGCCACCGTGAACCTACCCCGAACTATCGTCTGGCAGGACGCTCTACTGTCCCATTCCGATCTTCATCTCGGCCACGATGATATCCGTCCTCGGTCTGGCTCTGAAACGCGCCGTTTCGTTGCGGCAGACCAAGGAATTTCTCCCATTTTTGCCGGCGGGGCTGTTCGTAATCTTTTGTACGAGCTCAACTCCATCCAAAAACTTTTCCGCTGTCTCTCATCGCAGTGGGGAATTGCTCATGATATGGAAGACATTGTTGCCCAATGGATACAACTATGTCATTAGGCCCTGGAGCTGGACTCCACTTGCCAATAACCCTTCTTCCCCTCCAACAGACTCCATCGACATGACTATTGCTTCATGCATGCATATAATATCGATGCGTCAAATTGTACATATATGGCGCCTTTTGCATATCAATAATGATTTATGACATAAATTAGGTATGGACATTTGAATCAATCTGGTATGATAGAATCTTTTTGGGTCTTCTACGCAGTGCTTGAATATTCCAGTGCTCCACCTGGGCACCTCGGCAGCACTTAATTTTCAAGGTTAACATTTTTGAATGGCCCCGGATACATTGTTACTACTACATTCCGGGTTTATCATGACCTTCATTTGCGACGTCAAACATTGACATTGAATAAGCACGTGGCCTAACTACACGATATACTCAAAGGGAGAAGCTAACCTTGGGAATCTTTCAAGGTTCATAGTAGGGTTGATAGCGGCAACATGCCACAAACTTGACCAGCCCCCTCAATTGGAGTTATCCAATTCAACCGTCTATCGGTGTATAGCTCCGCCTCGGGTTTCTTTTCTCTCAGAACCTCATCATCAAATATCCCTGCTCGGACGACGGTAATTTCGGCAGGATCCCCATTTTCGTCTACCCTCGATCCATAAACCGGCGTGCCTAATAATCTCATCAGAGACTTCAAGTTCCTTACCAAAGCCTTTACACATACCACAATCGGGACAGAAAAAGTTTCTGATATGATTTCCACTATCAGATGTCTTTTTCACTTCCTTCGGGTTTCCAGTGATAGTCAAATCGGCAGTCTTGACAACGAAACTGTAGCTATACAGTGAGCCGGTAAGCTTCCGGCAATCGAAACAATGGCATATTCCCTAAAAATTGTAGAATAAGATTACTGGACCCGACCTCGACGCGCATTTGGATCCTGGAAGTGTTGGGTTGTACTCACCGACGTAATAGGCTCGCCCTTGTATTCGATTTGAACCTTGCCGCAGAAACAATTGCCGACGGCCATTATTGAAGAATTTGATCTGTTTCAGAGGGATAGAATGAGATTCAAGGGGCACATGGCTGCTGACATTTGGTTATTTATGTGGTCAGCAGTAGCACAACCGACTACCCTAAATGGGTATCGCGCCGTTTGGACCGAGGCTGACGACCCTGTGAACCAATCAGATGCCGTGATTGAATAAGCTCTTGCAGGGACTGACTAAGCATCTAAGAATAGCCCCAACAACAAAGCATTGGGCAAAACGTATCCCAATCGTTGAGTCCACGGGTTGGAGTAATCGGTCATCTCTAAGAATTACCTACTAGTATGTACTGAATTTCCACTCCCACTTCTTGGCTTTCCTCTTCCGGATTAGTGCTCAGTCCTCGCCGCTTTTTGCTCACTGAGTAAAACTGAGCACGCCCCTGAGCGCCCTGATCCGATCAGTGAGCATTACATAAGCGCACTGATCTGCTCACTAAGCATCACCTGATAACTATTAACTAACTAACTAACTAACTACTCACCTGAGCGGTCTGATCTACTTACTGATCCTGATCTGATCATCTGAGCGCCCTGATTTGCTTACTGAGTCTGAGCTGAGCCCAGGGTGAGTGGCCTGAGTAAGCTATATTAATAAAATATAATATACTAGTACTACGACTACTATCATATATAGCCCTCCTCTTTAGATTGTTTCCAGTACATAAATGCCACACAATCACATTCTTTATTTGCATTGACCGCATATCGAACACGTCGCACAAAGCAGGCAGAGAGGTGGCAGAGGCGAAAAGTCAACTGCCGACGTTGGAATTTCCTTGTAATGGGCTGTTGAGCCGTTTCAATGTTGACATTCTATAATTCTTGAACCAGTAAAATCTTGATTGGGCGCTATGGCAGTAAGAACAAATACGTTACGCGAAAACCATTATCAATGAGAATTGCTTTAATGGATAATGGTGTTGCCAAAAATATTAACGTAGAGCAAACAATGCGAACCTCAATGGTCGCACTGAGAATTTAACGCCGAAGATTGCGCGGACTGTGATATTCAACAGTCTGATTGAAATCATCAAGCAATGGTAGAGGGTCATCCCCATGCCCATTATGCATCGCTCTAACTCTCTCAGCAATTGTAGCGTCTAGCCCATGCTGTCTGGTGATGCTGATTTTCCTCTTAGACAGGCGCAGAACGTAGATAGGAATTGGTGTTGTATTAGTGTGAGCTGTCTCGTAGACGTAATCGACATTGTTGACGTCTAGAACGAAAAAAGCATGGTTCCCGGGGTATATGTTCACAGCTATGAAACAAGTTTGGATGTCTGGACAGCAATCACGAATGGAACTCTCAGTCTTCGAGACGAATGGACGTAAAGATGCTAGATAATCTCCAGAGTCGAGCAAGCTGTTGGGTGTGTCACCCAGTATTCGAATTGGTGTTGAAACACCTTGTAGGAATTTGTGAATTGTACTTGGGATTTGATTCATGATTTGCTCTCGAATTTGTGATGCTTGATCCGCCATTGTGATTGAAGTAATGCGCGAGGTTATGAAGTGTTTTTGTGTCGGTGTAAAAGAATGTATTTTATGCTACACCGCCTTGTTGCCCCTTGTTGCCGCGCAAGAGCATAGCACAGTGCACATACTACATACTGGTCAGACCGGAGTTGTATGGATGGATGTGGCTCACGCCCGGAGTTCATATGTATCCCCCGAGGTTATCTGTCGCTCGTGCGTGTGATCGACCGTGCTTAAACATTTAAAAACTTAGTACGTAGCAAGAATTTTGAATGCTATCGTATCCATGAACATTTGAATGCATATGTATGTATTCACCATTGAACTTACTCATGCCCAGGTGGGGTTCAATACCTTCAATGTTGGAACTTTGAAATTATTTCACTATATAAGACTAAAAGACAAAAACGATTGACGAAATGCTACATATTGTGGGGTATCTTCATATAAAACGAAGCAGGTACATATAAAGCCGACAGGGGTATATCATCAAAACTTCCGGGGAATGATCAAATATCAGCCATGACCGATTCAACAATCTTTCGCTTGTATTGCGACAAGGCACGATCCTTCTTTTGCATCTGCGATCGAAGTTTCATGAATCGCTGTTTCCATGTGGCATCAGAGGCAGGATTTTCACCGTCGTCTTCCTCCATTTCAATGTTTGATGCATTATCACTCTCAGGGACCTTGTTTCGATGATCAGGAGGCGGAGCCGGTGGCTGCGGTGGCGGCCCAACAAAAGCAATTGCAGGATTCATGTTGCCAATAGCTGTGTGGGTTGAAAAGTGGCCAGTGGGGTTGTAATCGTAAGAGACACTGTAACGAGGCTCTTTGGGGCCCGGTACCTGGTCATTTGCATCCGGGGTCGGGTGTTCAATATGAACAACCATGGGCGTTTGCCTAGGAGCTGAAAACCCAAAGTAGTGTCCCACGCCAAGATTAAAGGCCAGGAGATAGGAATGTAACTCAATCGGTAGTTTTGAGTACTGCGCAGATGAATTAAATACCATCATAGCAGCCAGTGTATGAGCCTCCTCGGGATTAAGTGGTGTCGGTCTCATGACACGCGCTCCTAATAGCTCACTTGATAGAGCGCGAATGATTTCGTCGAATGGTACTTTGGGAGCCGTCTCCACGGCTCGTTGATCGACTGTCGGACCAGGCTCACCAAGTGTACCCCTGTGGTCAACCTGTTGAGGAATATTGGGATGGACATTGGAATGAGCTTGGGGATGATGCATTTGAGGGTGGGCTTGAGGATGGGTATGGAGATGACTCTGAGGATGGCCTTGGGAGTAAATTTGGGGGTGTGGTTGAGGATGGGCTGGAGAATGAGTCTGAGATTGAACATGATGATGAGATTGTGGATGAACCTGGGGTTGAGATTCCGTGGACTGAGCAATAATTGCTCCGTTGACACCGTTCACTAGCAATGTTGGGGGTGTGGCAAGGCGTACCGGGGCCCCCATGTGTTGAGGAACCTGCAGTTGAAGTTTTCCTGGTCTGCCTTGGGTGGCAGGGGTAGGTGATTGATTATAGGATGGTGTTGGCCCAGTACTTGGGGTGCCATTATGATCCACAGCTGGTGGAGGTGATTGAGGAACCGAAGTTGGCGGAATCTGGGATGATTCTCTGCTTGGCTGGAGCTGAAAGGTCGAAAAAGAACCAGATGAAGGTTTATTGGGGGGTCTTCCTCGACTCTTTCCATTGGACGGGTTATTACTAGTTGGCCAGGCGGATGAAACTGCAGGGCCATGCTTGCGCTTGGCACGAGTCTTCTCTCCGGATGATGGTGTCACAGCAGATCGAGGCTCGGCCGACATAATAATATCTGCGTGGTGGCCTCTTGGAAGAATTGCAGACTGCGGATATCCTGCTGGGGATGTCTCGCGGTCTGGAAGCCTCCAACGTAAATCCTGATTTTGCTGTTCCGATGCGCCAGGTGGTGGGAAGGACGAGTTTGCTGTCATCCATGGATCGTCTTCAGGAAAGGCACTGAAAGGTATGGCGCTCTGCGGAAACGTCACGGAGTGGTTATGAAAGCTCCCTGGCGGTAAGCCTCCTACCGAAGTGTCCAAGGAAGGTCGTTTCGCCACTTTTTCTTCCTCAAGCTCTCTTTCGTCGGCTCTTTTTCTGCCTCTCTTGGGCTTCCATTGAGGGACAAGAGCTCGAAGGGCAAGGTCCTCCTCCAGCGGCACCCCATCACGAGATTCACTCACGAATGGGCCAGAGGGTGGTAATTGCGTGTAGTAGGCATGCGGATGTCCGAGGCAATATTCAAAAAATGAATCGACGTGCATGGCACGCATCCAACGCTATATTCCAGTCAGCCACAGGATACGCAAAGTTTATGGTATGAGCCTACCTTTAGTCGAACAGCATATTGCTGAACTTTTTGTGTACTCTGTTTTTTTTCCATTGATGGTGGCTCGACGCCTAGCTCAATTGCTAGTTGAATCCAGGTCTTGAGCTCCTTGTTGTCAAGCCTTCGAATCAGCTCGAATAGCTTATGGACACTAAAGCTCTTGCCATCGCTGCGTGGAGGGCAGCGAAATGTCTTTCTTAGTTCAGATGTATCGACAGAAGAAGGGACATTGGGATTGCAGTAAAATATGAACATCACATAGGCATCATCAATGTTCTCATCGGTGATATCTCGCGATGGTAGGACTCTAGACTCTGCTTGGTCTGTTGTATCTTTCATTGGCGCATGGCGCAGGGCATCAAATACAGGCGGTGACATTGAAGGCCCTGATCGAGCAGCCGACGCAGGAATAGCAGACCTAATTCCCCTTGGAGAAGACTGTAAGCTTCGAGGGGTACCCTTGCGATGCAAGGAAGGCGATTTACGGGCTTCTGCCTGGCTGCGTGCACTCCCTAGCGAGGATGCACTGCGTAGGGAGGACTCTAGCGTCTGCGGGTATCGCGCATACTGCTGAACAACCATCGGTGCTGCACTGATTTCACCCCGGCTTAGTCGGTCTGTTGGATCCATCATGACGGGGAATGTGGTTTCCATCGAGTTTTCCTACAACAAGTCTTGACCCCCAAGCCCCCAAATCGAGTGCGGGCCAAATGAAACCGATAAGTGGAGGCCAGAGATTATGGGGTCTCCGTGCGGGAGGGTTGCATCGATCATTTGTTTGTCGTGACCTAGTGCAAATAATTCCGAAGGCATACGGGAATCAAAGATCGCGTCCACAGCACAGAGAATGGAAGCAATAACCTACCACGAGGAAACCCCTCGAGGTGGCTGGAAGCGCTTTCAAGCTCAAGCGGAGTTCTATTTTGGGCGCATCTAGTGCATCTTAATCAGGCCTAGTGTGGTCGCCTGAGGGCGGGGGTTGGTGCCTCGCAAGGTCACATGCTGCATTAGCGTATAAGCAAAAAGGAGATGAAACTACTTTTTGTTTACTCCGTACGATCCATTTCAATTGGAGTTGATTTGCAGATCAATTTCTATTCAGATAATTTAGCACATACATATACCAATATACCAGGATCGATGTCAACCGGTACACATGCACATGCATATATCCAAAATCAAATACCAGAAAAAGATGGCTCATATATATGTAGTACCCTAAGCTCTTGAGAGGCAAATGTATAGATATTCTTTGACTAAGGGAATTTTGCTGACCGGCCGCATACATGTGCAAATGGCCACCAGTTGACTATACTTGTAACTTCAAGTTGTTAACCACACAGAACATTTGAACAAAAGCTCCATAAAAGATGCCAAGAGATCCGATTCCCATATCATGTTTGGCGCTAGGCCATATACGGAATAGCGTGGCTTCCTGCTTATCGATAACGCTGATCGCTCCTGCCGTCGCATTGATCTGCTGGATTGCATTATGACCTTCCTTCTACGTCTTCCTCCGTTTCCCCTGCATATTCAGTCTTTTGTTCGAAGCTGGTTGCAGCGACTTGGATCATGCAGAGCTATCACACATCCTCATAGCTCTTCCCTCATCCACCATGGCGCGCTCCCGCCCTTCCGCCCGCGCGTCGTCGTCGAGACCGGTTCGTCAGAACAGAACCCAGGTTGCATCATACCACGAAGACTCTACCTCCGATGAGCGGGATCAAGATGAAAATTCCACCCGACGTCACTCACTCTCCTTGCGTCCTCGAGCTACCCAACAAATACATCAATCCTATCGAGAGAAGTCCACCGATGAAAGCTTGGAGTTGTCAGATGATCACCAGTTGAATGACAGACAAACAGTATCTGAACCTTTAAGCCTGCAACAAGCTTATCCTGCTACTGCTTCAGCCACTAGTCGTTCTACCCAACGCACTCGCCGTACAGCACCCTCTCGAGTCACCAAAACCAAACGAGTACAGCCGAAATCGAGAGCATTGGGGCAGCCGTTAAAAAAGCGACCCAAAGTTGAGCCCGAACAGCCATCCTTTGTGGGATCTGGCGTGATTCCTCCTTGGCAAACATTGCCATATCACATCCTGATAGAAATATTCCTCCGAGCTTTCTACCCTCTCGACGACCCCAAAAATCCAGCGGCCAAGACCCCTGGCAAATCACTGGAGACAAGGTCCGCGCACAACCTTCTAGGGATTGCCCTTCTGTGTCGTGGGTTCTCGGAAGCGGCCCTTGCAGCTCTTTACTACCGACCTCCCATATTCTCCGCCTACAACGGGCATAGTCTTTTGAATATCCTCTCAAAGCCACTGGGCTCTCAGGCCATCAACTACGCTGGAAAGATCAGAGAGCTTGAAATTGACGCTGAAACAGTTCTCACTTTAAAAAGTGGCCCTACTCTAGGCTATTTTGACCTGCTTCAACTGCTGCAAAAAACCCCTCGGCTTCACACCCTTCGCCTTTACCACCCCGATGATGTGGTGCTGGGGAATCCCTCGGTGACTCTTGCCCTCGCGAAGTGGAACTACTCGGACTCTTTCTTCTCTGCTCTTGATCAAAGCACAATTAAACTTCGGAGCTGGGAATGGAATGGTCGTTTTTTTGATACGGCGTCCTTGCTACCTCTCATGCTGGAAAGACATATGCTTTCCTCATTCCAAACACTCCAACACATTCGTCTTGTTCATCTCCTGGACAATGACCGAATCGATACTGCTGGCAAAGAGGGCGCTCTTGCTGCCGCCCTCAAGGCATTGCCTGACATCGAGCGTCTGGAAATTCACGAGTGCAGCCTTTTGGCCGGTGGCCTTCTAGAGCAACTACCACCAACGCTCCGCTCCTTGACAATCTCCGGCTGTGATCGAATAGTTTCCTCTCAAATCTCCCAACTTCTGAAAGTTCATGGAGGACAGCTTGTCGAACTTGCTCTTAACCACAATCGCCACCTGAATATGGAGTTCATCCCAGGTCTAGGGGTTTGTTGTCCTCGACTTGAAAGATTCAAGGTAGACATGTCGATGCATGACACTTCAAGCTACCATGACCTTGAGCCCCATTTTAAACGGCTTCTTTCTTGGGACCAAGTTCCCACCTGGCCTGAGACTATTCAAGAGATTGAGCTGTATCAGCTTCGGCACTGGAACTCGGAGTTGGGAGAGATGTTCTTCACGTCTCTTGTTCAGGCTGCGCCCAAACTGAAGAATCTGCGAAGGGTTGAAATTACTGCCATCGTTGGGGCTGAATGGCGGGACCGGGCTCAATTCCGAATGAAATGGGTTCACCGCTTAACAAATGTCTTCATGCGGCGTAGCCCTCCTCCAAACCCCAACTTCCGCTCTCTTCGAAAGCGATTGTTACTAGCTCCTGTTGAGAAAGACCCAACGCCAGAACCCTCAGCCAGTCGAGGGCCCGTGGAAGATGAAATACACCCCCCAAGCGGCACAGCAGCCGCTTAGCACAGCAAAACATTTCTCAAGACACTGACTTGGAGGAGGCGAACCCTTCCGACCCTGACAACAGTTTCCAGTACGACGACAGTATCCAAGGAATGTGTGAATATTTCAATATCCGAATTGACAATCAACGACCCAACGACATACAGTACAACGAAAATGATTTTCTCGATGATGAAATCAGCGGTGATGAGGACTGGCATGACGACGATTTCGAGCCCGAAGATGGCCATGCGTGGTAATATTGATATGTCCTTTAGCTTTAATACTCCACAATCTCCTTTTATTGTTTATGACTGACTTGCGTGGGGTGTGGGTTTGGGAGTTTGGGGGGAGGGCCTCATCTTTCTTTTCTTATGGCGCATAAATATGGCTTTAAGTAGAATGTGGCCGGTGTCTTTGCTATCCTCTTATGGGGTGATTTGGGATTTGGGATTTGGGATTTTTCATAGTTATTCTGGCTGACCACATATTACAATAATGCAATTTAACAATATTCGGTCTAATACTTGGGTTATGACGGTAGCGCATGGCGACATGCATCTTGACTTCCCAGAGATAACGTATCTACTCGTGATAAACGGATAACTCGTGATCGCCTCGCCAAGCCCCCAGGGCCCCACATGATGGTCTTTAACGCACCCATTTCCTTCACTTGCGATGTTTCCCACATCTCCAGGAGCCTGACTTTATTTTTTAAGGTGTGCAAGATGCCACAAGAAGCTCCAGCAGACACGGCAGGTCCGTCGTCACCACCTCCCCGAATGCCCGAGGGATGGTAGGTTCGCTCCGACTCGCAGTGTGCCTTGGCCCTTCACCCGAATACTGACGGTCCACGCGTTCAAGGCTCCCTCAATGGGAAGGGGTCCAACGAAAGTGGTATTATGTCCAACGAGCGACCGGCAAATCTCAGTGGGACATTCCAACCGAACCAGTTGTTCTTACACCATCAACAACACCCACGTCCATCGGCACCGGCCCCTCACTAGCACCACCCTCGCGACCATCAACAAACAGTCCCCAAGTGACGGGATTGACAAGCACATTGGCGGAACGCATTGAAGCTGCCGCAGCCAGTGCGAGGATCTCCGTAGGGAATCGCGCTTACTATGTCTGCATATTCATTGCAAGAACGTCACTGATAGCGGGTTAGAGCTCTCTAGATACCCAGCTTAATGGACAGGCTGCAAACGCTTCGCTTGGCTATGCAGAGAAATCAGGATGGTATCAAGACCAAGCGATCCAGAATCCTGGCCATACTTACGTCCAGAATGCTCCCTTAGCCGAAAGTGGGTATAGCTCGGTATGCCACGGTTTATTCTACTCCGCCGTTGACCTGATTTGACCGGGGAACTAGGGACTACATCTTCATCATCACCATGGAGTATCGGGAAACACAAGCATCGGATCATCAAGCTACTGGCCTGGTAATTCGGTTCCCAATCACGTTGTTGGCCCACAGCTTTACATGGGGAACTCTTGGGGTCATAACTCAAATGTTCTAGCGGGACATGCGAGTGGGTACAATCAACAACATCAAGACCTTTATCGCAATTTGGCTATGGGCTCTCAGCCATTGCATCAGATGGAAACATACTGTTCCCCTGTACCTATCCCCGAAAGCCAAGCTCCAGGTGTCAGTGCTGATCAACCCCCGCCTCAGCCTCAATGGCGGGTGGAGCAACAACCTGCTCACCAAAACGCTCCACATTACCCCGTCTCCACAAATCCTGGCTCCACCAATTCACCGCGGGCAAGTTCAAGATATGAGTCGTATCCAACACCACAAACAAGCGGTTGGTCACCTGGAGATTTCCCGTCGCGGTCATCACAATCATCCGAGCACTCGCATCCAGGAAGTGAGTACAATTCGAATCGGTCCGCACAACCGGCAGGTCATTCGATGGCGCGAACCCAATCTCATCATAGCCCGTTCCACCAGCAATTGGGTAATGATCTCATTAGTCCTGGGAACTTGCAAACCCATGGATACCCTCAGCAGCCGATTCCCTCCCATGCTCAGTATGCCAGCACCAATATGGCAAGCTCCCAAACTGGAACGGGCTTCAACTCGATGGTCTTCCCGCCGGCCCCAGAACCACATAATATCGGTCAATTTTATCAGAACCCTCTTGCCCAGGCCAGTCTTCATCAATACTTGCCCCAGCAACAGTCAATTGACCCTGGAGGCAACATCACAGGTGCCGGGTACCCACACAAATACTTGCAGTCTAGTGGTCAATACAATCAATGGCCCAATGCAGATTCCCATATGTCGCGAATATCGGCATCGGATCCTCAATTTGTCAGTGGTCCGTGGGGATCGACGCCCCCAACGTCGGGGCCTCCTCCACCGACTCGATATCAGTGAGATTGAGTTGCATGAATGTTAGGATTGGAGAGGTCTGAATCGGTAGTCCTCACGCATGGCACATGTGGCTTTGCTTCTTCATTTCGTACATTTGTCTTTTTTTTCAATGTGAATAGACCGACTGTTTGGGTTCCAAGGTTGAGACTGTCGAGGCTGCTTTCTTTCCCCGGTGAGCTGTACCTTTGGGTCTAGCCATTTCTTTTTTTTTTCTGGACTTTGTGTTTTCATCCAGACATTGAATGTTCTCTGATGACTGATCACGACATTGAAACAAACAACTGGATTTTTTATAATTGAGATCAATGCGCCACTATATCCATTGAAGATGCGTTGAACCATTCCATGATGTCCCTAATGGAATTAAAGCCTTGCAAGGGGTTCATACAAATTCACAATTTGAATTTTCGGGTTGCTTCTATCCATTGTGCTTTTGCCCAGCTGTGAACCTCGAAAATTTCGTATCATTGCATGTTGTATCAGACCATCTGACTGACCCCTGATGCTTCCGACGTTCCCCAAGTGTTCCAGGCAGCAAAGGTTCCAAGGTTTTGGTAAGGTTTTGAATGTCCTCGAAGGTCTCACTGAAGGTCGCTGTTAAAAGTCCTCCTCTCTCAGCCTGCCCGACTTCTCCCCAAGTGGCTGACATACAAACACCTTTGTGACCTAGTCCACGGGTATTCCATAAGCCCTGGAGCCCATGGTGGGACCTGAGTCTGGGAGCATGAGAGACTTGACGCGGTTTGAGGTTGAAGGGAATCTGAAGAAGCAGGGCCAGTATTAGTGATACGATTAGTGAGGGTTAATTACCGACACCTGGGGACATTTCGATGTGAGAGCAGCCCCGGAGGGATCCACCAGCATTTGAGCCACGGGACTTCCATGTGGCCTGGAGCGCGAAGTCAACTCATATTGATATCTAAGTGATTCTGCTTTGAAGACGCTTTTGGCAATTTACATACAATTCTAGTATAATTGTGTAAAGGTATTTAGCGATGTATCAACCGAACGAAACAGATTGGATTTGAAAGTGAAATCCCCAACCTTGGGAGAAATATTTCTTCCCATGCGCAACGAAAATTACTGCTTGAGACAACTGAGAGTATATATTCTCCAGATGTCTCCAGGTTTGGACCAGTCTAAGGGAGATGGACTTACCTAGCACCTGCACCAAATCCGATATAAAAGAAAAATTTGCCCACATCCTGATCCCTTCCTCCTTTTTCTTCTTCCAACTCTTTCCAGTTCATCTATCCGGCAAAGTGATCACTACTACGACAATTTGCCCTACGTTCGCTTTCAAGCATCCCACCTAAATTTATTTTCCAGTCATCTTCACCCTCAACCTCCGCCATGCCCATCTCGTGGGACCAAGGAGCCGATGCCCGGGTATGTAACTGGCCAACCCATTCAAATGACCTAACATTTCAAAACCATCTAAGTCACTGCTTCATTAGCTCACCGTGGCTTTGGCCAGCACCGGATCGCCTGATCTGAATGCTGTGGCTAAAATGATGGGAGAAGGTAAGCGCCGATCCCAAATTGTCACTTCTCTGCGTTAACACTTTCATAGGAGTCACTGTGTCGGCAATCAAACATCGCTTGGTTCGGATCCGACAGGGAGCCGGAATCACACCTACTGGCGTTTCTAAGAAGAACAACAAGACCAATGGTGCCAATAACCGTGTTGCAAAGACCTCTTCTACGAAGAACTCCGCTCCCATTAGGCGCAAGAGCCGTGCACCCAAGTCCAGCACGACTGCCGATCCTATTCACGCTGGTAAGGGATTAGATACTTCAGCTTCTACCGATGTCTCCTCCTCCATTCCTGCTGGGTTTCCGGACGAAAAGCCCGACACAGAGCTCAAGTGCGAAGATGAGGAGATTGGTGGTTCCGAGAAAGAAGACGTCCAAGAAGAGGAACAAGAAGGATTTGACTACGATGACTATGTTTAACAGGTTCGATTGATGACGGTTGCCCCCTCCCCATATTTCTCGTTTGTCGGTGTGCTTTCTTGATGTTTTTACACATGTGCAGCCTCACTCTCACTACTCCCGCATTTTTTGATCTTTTGATTTGATTTTAATGCTCTGTCAAATGTACGAGGAGATGAGATTTCTTTTTTGTTTTGTGGTGCTGGGGGGGGGGATTGGCGTGTCTTGACTTTATATGCACTGGCTGAATTAGCGCAGAGTATAGTGCTTCAAATCCCGATCAAGACACATTTTCTTTTATACCTTGCGGTGTAGTGCACTCGAGAGCTTTTTCGAACATCAGGCCTGGGAGCAAGTGGATAGAGCGAATGATTATAAAAATGTCGATTGTTGTCGTTCCTTTCAAACATTCGAAGGCTGCGTTGGAATTCTACCCAGAATTTCGAGGCCCCCATTCTCGAGTGCATGTGACACGACTCTTTACGCTTCCAGAAAAGCCCGCGCTTCCTAATCCTCTGCGAAATCTGACGAGCCAGAAAGCATTATCTACATGGGTTTCTCTTAGGTAAATGGATAACTTCAATCGTGACACGACTGTAAATTCGACCAGCCAAGCCTCGCATCATCCTCAACAACTACTACTTGGAGGGATTACGAGAATCAGGAAATTCTTGTCTTGAGTTGTCATTGATTTTGATAAGAGATTATGGAAACTGGAAACTCAAGACTCATGCTTCGCGCATGACGTTCACAAATCCCGAGGAAATCCTATTCCTCCTTCGCACGTGCGGTAAACCCCTGTTCCTCCTTCGGTATCAGATACCGTGCCAGTCCGAACGTATTTGGCAGAGCCTAAAAAATGCACCTCGTCCCAAATGTTCTTCTTAGCTCACTTGACATGGTCGGAATTTTATTCGTTGTAGAACTCTTCTTCTGAGATCCACTTCTTGGGAACCCAGGTCCCATCCTGGAACATTTTTTCAGCACGCTCCGCGGCGCGCTTCTCGAGTTCTTCGGCACGCTGACTGGCAAGCTTCGAGGCACTTCGGCCAGTAAGAGGGGGCTCCCCTGCCTCAGCGCGAGCAAGAGCGTCAGCCTTGAACTTGCGTTCACACTCCTTGAACTCGCGATCATTCTTGTTCCGAACATTGATCTTCTTGGCCATGTCTGCGCCTTCGGTCTTGACCTTGTGGAGGTGGTCGCGGAGAGATCGGTATGAAGGAGGCGTCTCTTCAATAGCTTCGTTGCATTTGATGTCAGTTCAAGACTTTCAGGGCATTGACATTAATCTGCAGTCATGGAGGAGAACTTACGCCAATGCTTGAGGATGTCATCCACCTCGACCTTGTTGGTCTTCAGGACAGTGGAGAACAGCTATAGTGGTGTCAACATTAGAAAGATCTGGAATGTTTCTTTGGTGATTCTTTCCAACTCGATTACAAGGGGCAATGAGGATAGTAGGTCTCGAGGGGAGATAGGGAGTTCTTACCACGCGATCGAGATCGGGATTCCAGCGATAATATTTCTTGGGCGAGTCTGCACGTGCAGAGGAGGAGGAGGCCATGGTGATGATTTTCTTAATGGTCTTGATGGAGATTGCTTCGGTTTGATGGAATTTCAAAAAGAGGAATGGATTGAAGGATGAGAAAGAAGGAAGTTCGGGATGAGATGGGGAGAAAAGGATTTGGGGTCAAGTGAGGGAATTGGTTGACACCGCTCATCAGGCCGTCGACGCCGAGCACCAGGCCGTCGACGCCGAGCACCAGGCGGTCGACGCCGAGCATCAGGCCGTCGAGGCAGTCAATCCAAGGCCGTCAACGAAGCTTATACTAATATCAAAGATTCCTCTATTGTTGCACTAGCATTCACGCTTTTTGAACCTTTCCATGGCATCATTGATCTGAGCTTTAAGCACAAGCAGTGTGCTATCGATAAAACGCCGGTGTTCAGGGTCGTCATCTATTGTGGCGGTTATGTTTTGGATCTGGGTTTCAAACTCATCAAGCATTCTATTGGCCGACAAACAAAATTCATGCTTCATGGCCATTCTTTCGGTATTGAATTTTGCATTTCTGCGGCGGATAAGTGGAAGCCGCTGCTTAGGAAGTCCATCGGAATCAATAGCATCCATCTGGCTTGGCTCCGGAGTGTTTGATTTAGTTCTGGCTTCCAGGGAACCCCGACGGAAAGGCCCAATGCCCAGATAAGACTGGGGAGATATATCAGTGAGTGCATGTAGATTAGGTGACAGAGGACCTGTGGGTGCTGTTGATTCTGGTTCTGGCACTGCACCAGAAGAAGTAGACGCTGTATGCTTTCCTAGACAGGGTTGGGTATTTTCAGTCTCCCATATTGTCATACATCGTCGGCATGACTGCCAGGAGTAAATGCGGTTGCATTTTAAAGAGAAAATATCTGACATGTCCATCCAGAAACGCTTTGTTTTTAATGCAAAGCTGCCCTCACTGTTGTTCTTCTGACAAATGTCAATTAAGATGGATTTTTCTTCAGTGGTAAGTGGTTTACCTCGACGGGGAGGTAAGTGTCCGTCACCTGGTCGGTTCAAAAATTTCGTTGTAGACATGGTGTAGTAAGGAAGATTTGTCTTAGGTAAGATAAATAGAACTATAGAAGGCCGATGGGATTTTGAAAATAACGGAATATGAAGCTTTTTAATGATGAAAGGAGAAGAGATACAAGCGATACAAACGATCCAAACGGTTCAAACGGTTCAAACGCGGAAAGTTGGAACACGAAACGCGTTCCTAATCGGGACTAGCTCCATCGTTCACCAACTGGTCAGTTGATGTACTTATTCCAGTCCGTTACATCTTCAATGAACAAAGATTAACCACCAGCTGTTAATTGCATTCCTGAGTTCTCATACAGTCCTTGATACATTCTTTTGCTACCTGCTTATTATATATGAATATTTCAATCTTACTACGCTGTTTCAATCTTATGCATCATTTTAAGCGTACGTACTTGCCACCTGCAACACCAAAGGCTAGCGCACTAAATATTATTAGATAAATACACAGCCAGGGAGGAAGAAAAATTGCCCAAGTGCAAGATTTGAACAACATGGCTTCAATATGTACCAAACCAGAGCCTGGATAGATACATTGCAGGACATTTGAAATGCTTCCCCTCTTTTTCTGATCTAAATGTCTGTAATATGTATGGATTGAATTTCATCCATGCGAATCTTCCGCTCAGGAAGACCATCCTTGGATGGGCTACAAGAGGTTACTAGAGTCACAAGCTGGGCGACCTCGGAAACTCACTCAATGCCTGTATAACCTTGGAATCCTACCTTAGTGGGTAGGCACCTATGCAGGAGCTTGCGAGAAGAAATCGAACCCATAGATGTACACAACATTTGAATCACCTAGGTTTTTTTCTACTTTTACCCTAGATGAAAAATCGAATACGACAGCCTAGGTAACGGCGATGACATTGCCTAATAGATACATGGAATGCCTACCTAAGACTTCTGGAACCTTCGAACCGATCTGACCGAACATGGTCATTTAGCACCCACGCTTCCTCGAGAAGCGGTCTCTGCTCGTCGCGCCATTGGAAAACCGGAAATAAGTGATGCATGTGTCTTAAGATATAATAGTACTTAAATTATAGAAGTACTTTCAAGCTGGCGATCTGTTTGGTGAAAGAATGAGAAGAAAGAAGTTAGACCATGCTGAATAGATACTGTCTTGAGACAACTTACTACTTCGACGAGGAGTGAATAGGATGGAGCTCACAGCTCACCCTGAACATAGAGGTTCATAGCGGCAAGAACCTGCTTAGCGGGGATCTCTTCATCGTCAAACTTCTTGACAGGAGACTCCACAAGGGCATCCTCATTGCCGTGGTCCTCACCAACAGGCTCGTTGGCGAGAACTTTCTCTTCGTCCAGAGAAGATAGCTCGCTGCCGTCAGAAGACAGGTCGATAGCGTCAGAGGACCGGTTGACTTTACCAGAGGAGACCTCCTTGGTCTTCTTGGTAACACGGGTCTTGCCAGTCGACTTGGCGACTTTGGTGGCCTTGGTAGGCGAAACCTAGAGAAATATCAGTCGAGTTACAAAGTGACGAGTATGTGAGTTGCATGTGTATGTAATACCTTGGTGCGAATCATGAAGCCCTCAACGTTCAGGCCATAAGTCTTGCGCAACTTGTGAAAAGTGTTGCTTGCAGATCGAACGTTAGTGTATCCCTGCAGAGTGGCAAAGACATTGAGATCGATCTGAATTGAAGCAAAGTCTTATCAGTCAAAAGTTCATCAAAAGTACTCGACCGGCGTGATGATTCTACCTTTTTCTCCTCCTTGTCGAACGACTTCAGGATGTTGACCAAGATCTTATTGTCCACTGCATCGGGGGCATCGCGAGAAGACTTAGTGACAGCCTTCACAGGGGTAGCATGCTTGCCTGGAGACTTGGGAGTCTTGGTAGGCGAAGGCATTTTAGAAAAAAAAAGGCGATGAAATGGTTTGATAGAGTATGAAGAAAACTTAGAGAAAGATTGTCACGACGAAGTGTTTTGGAGAAGAGAGGGTGTGAGAGAGAAAGGATTGAAGTAATCGAAGCAGGAACTGCTTCTTTTATAGCCAAAATTGACTAGCACGCATGGGAACAATATGGTATTGATCTATGCTAGTAGAAGTGAGGTATACCAGCAGAAGATCATGCATTTTTTAGAATGAATGTGCCCGTTTTTGGGGTGATGGGCAGATGTTGATTTTTCTCACATAGTGCAATCGTTATTCATACCCAGCAATGGAAACATCATGCGCGTATTATCCCATTGTAAGTATTATTCTTCGAAGTGAAGTATCGTGTAAGAGGGTATATACTGGAATACTACGGATGCACCCGATTTTTGGATGGATGCGTTGGTTTAACTTCCTTTACTTACACTACCCACTATACATTCATTTATTTCCCCTTCTAGTAAGTAATGTACGTCAACTTGCTTGTTTCCCTCAAGTGCTGATTGTATACACTCCGTCCCCCCTGCTTCTACAAGCTAGTAAGTGCGCGGATTGAACTCATCCATAGCTAATATATTTTATTGCCCCAAAAACTGTCTTCGATAAAAAAAATGACATCCAGTCCCTTTCTAATAGTCAGAATTCAGATATAAAATATTAGAATACATTGTTCTGTCAAACTTTCTTGCCAAATTTTGGATCCTGCATGTGAAGATTCCTGAATAGTCGTAGTTCCCTGCTGATTATTCCAGCTCGTAGTATGTTCCCTTTTGAATAGGAACATGCGGCTCTGTCTTGACACCAATCAACTTGATATCTTCCTCGATCTTAACAGGGAAACTTGGCTCAATCTGGGCATCCACCAACTTGATACCCTCTTCAATTTTAATCGAAAAATTTTGCTCGGTCTCAAGATCAATGAAGTTGGTGTCATTTTCAATCTTCACCTGTGCCATTTCGGGCTGAGCTGCAGCGATAGATGTCTCCCAGGTCATGTTTTCGTTATGGTTGATATTTGGTAGATTGGTTGTGAGCTCTTGCATGGCGAAATCCTGCGACATGGAAAAGGGAGGATAGAATGATGGTGGAGTTGACGAGGACATGGTGAACCCCGGGGGCATGCTCGATGACATGGAGTACGAGTTTCCATGATACATATCATGCTGCATGAACGGGTGGATTGGGGGCGGATAGTTTGCATCACCGCTTGGAAAAACTTGTGACCACGGGTAAATTTCACTCATGTCAGTAAAGGGCTGGGCATTGAAACTTCTGTCATCACCCTGTTCGCATTTGATGGGGTAGTTGTAGGGAAACGAGTCCATCGTCTGCATTGGTGTCGGTCCAGGAACGGGATTTGCAAACATCAAGAGTTTAGCATCTGCCTTTTCATTCGCGACCTTTTTTGCGTTCTTCTTTCTACCAGCACGTTGAGCCCCAGTTGTTCCTTCCATTTGGTTGCGAAAACGCGAGAATCGCATGCGAGCAGCATGACCATTCGAGATCTCAATATCGGCAGCCACACGGTTCCAGTCAATCTGTTGAATTTGCATGTAAGATAAAAATTCCACATAATTGCACGTAGGTAATAGACACCCTTTCACTCACAGACTTGAGATCGAGCTGTTTAAGCATAGCATACAAAAATTTGGGTGTTGGCCCGTCAATGTCCAAGACTTTCGATCGTTGAACCATGACCAATGATGTCTAGGTTAATTGATGTAGCTTCAGTCTGGAAGTCAGTTTTCCAAAATTTAGCAAGCACTTGAGTGAAATCTTGACGATCAAGCAGCTGCACTGAGCCGAGAGCCCTAGTAATGAGATATTGAAATGTTCCAAGGTTGATTCCAAAAATCTGAGGGGATTTTGAAACGAAGGGATTTAGGTGAACAGTTGTGAACGTCGGCTCAATATATAGCCAGATTTTGGATCCATAGAGGATTCAAAGTTCCAGATGTCCACATGCGAGAATTCCAGCTAAACATTGAACCAACCTTGGAACTAGATCAATTGATAGAACTGGTAACTATTGGGTAGTAGCAAACCTTGCCTTACATGCGAGACGGAAGGTCTAAACTCTTTAAAACCCTGCCCAGGTGGAGGCTCTAAGGAATCTTTGACCTTATCAATTTTATTCAATCCATTCAAATATTAATTGTTGCGGGGATATCTCCATGGTTACAATGAAGGTTTTGAGAGCCTTCTTTTGAACGATTGTTCTAACATCCATGGATTCAGTATTGTAAAGAAATCGCCATCTTTCAAAAATGTGGAATTGATGGATGAACATACTAGTACTATCTTCCAACTTGAGTACCAGTAAGTAGAACTACTATCACAAGTACCTGCCTACAATAGATCAATTGATAGCTCAGTATCTCAAGCCTTACGAAGTCCAGCCTTGATTTGAATGCTAGAGGTTCCAATGCTAAATTGTATTCGCGATGCCTATCTGAATACTACCTACAAATCATAATATTATACATGTAAATATGGTGCCTATATATTCTAAAGCCTGTGGACACCTTCCAAGGATTCCAAACTTGATAGATCATTGATTTTTTGTCGAGAAACATATACGGATCATAGAGAATGCAATAAAGTGACTGCTAGGGGGTTTTCTTTTGCAAGAGAATCCCAAGGTTAATGCTAACAAAAATGTGAGACTACATGTACTACATGGTTGTAGTAGACGCAAACAGATTTTTCAGGCTGCATACGCGCATATGAGTGTTTATAACACTTGCACTCCAGCAATGATGCCCATGCTGGAAACAATTTAATGTTTAGACTCATCTAAAGGCTTTATTACGTAGAACGGTATACCTACTACATGGTTCTGCTACAAGCCTACAAATGGCCATCATTAAAGAGTAAAAACGCGAAGTAAGCAGCTGCACATTCATTAGTATAATATTGTTTGAGTACATCCGTTTGAGCCCCTTTGTGCCAAATCTTGAAAATAAAATCAAAATTTAATCTATACTAGTAGTAATAGCCATAGGCTCATAGTAACTAACTGTTCATTGCTACTAGTCAACATTGAAGACTTAGTTACAACTTACTAGTAGTTGGTTACTAGTTTAGTTGATACTGGGGTGAGTCGGTGACTAATCTACCCCGCACTTAACCCAATTGGGCTTCAACTTTCAAGGTTGCTTGAAGTTGCTTCCCACGGTGATAGGCTACGCCGACGGGGCTTCTTTAACTATTCAATAAAGCACTAGGGTGATTGTCAGTCAGTGCATAGATATCAATTCATGTCTTTGGTCGCAGTGGGTGCATGCTATGTTGATACCATCCTGAGGTACGTCTAGCTCTTCCACATGTGCGTCATGCAGTACAGCAATGTTGAGGCGAGCATTGGACAATGGAAACCCATGAGTCATATGCTCATTGAAATTCAGCACATCGCGTTACCCGGGAGAAGATGAAAAGCTACGAGCATCAAAAATTGTCCGTCGACGGGGTGGGAATTGCCCAAACAGTCTGGAGGTGTTGCAGCAATTGACAGCCATCTTTGAGCAAGAGCTGGCCTTGAACCTTGTAACGGTCCTGCCAGCCAAGTCATCGGTAGCCTCACAACAAATTATATCAGCTCTTGAGCCTCGTGTTCAGCTCAGCCATTGTATCCACCGAGACCAGTTTCAAGAGCCTGCATCGTGCTATATTATCAAAAGTCAGTCGACTGGCAGTAGGACCATCGTGAATCACTGTGAGCTTCCCGATATGACAGTTGAAGAATTCGTTGGAATCGCTGAGAAGTTGGGTCCTCAAGCAACTTGGTTTCATTTCGAGGTATGTTTTTGATATTCTTAGTGAACTGCATGCTTATGTTCCTTTAGGGTCGTATACCCAAAGTCACTCTCGGGTGTATTCAACACCTCCGACGAGACTTTCCATCTGCTCGCATTAGCGTCGAGTTGGAGAAGCCTGGCCGAGAAGGCCTCCACGAACTTGCAGATCATGCCGATGTGGTTTTTTACTCAAAGACATGGGCACAAGTCAGTCAAGTCTAATGAATCTCACAGTCGTTTGGAACAAAATAGGTACTGATCTATTGCATTCGTAGAATCTCGGATATACATCAGCGGAGGAATGTTTACGAAACCAAGCAGCGAGGACACAAAACGCGTGGGAAAACCGATTCGCAACTCTCTTAGTCACAAAGCTAATTTTTCAATACGCAGCCTCTTACTTTGCTGCACTTGGGGGCAGGATGGTGCCGATGCCCTCGACCTTAAAACAGGAGAATTCGTTCATGTGGACGCCTTTACCCCTGCCGATTTCCATGTTATAGAGTGAGTTGGTTCAAGTGCCATCTACTAGTACGCGATGTACACTCCAAATGTACACTCCAGGGCTGACATTGATTTACTTTAAAGTCCAGTTGGTGCTGGTGATACGTTCAATGCAGGTATGTTGTATGCCTTGAATTGCAAGGAGAAAGAATGGGATCTTTCTGAAAAGGTGAGATTTGCCAATCGACTTGCCGGCATAAAGGTGGCGCAGGAAGGGTTTTCAGGACTAGGCCAAGCAATGGGGTCTTATGATCCAAGATAAAAAAAAATCCAAATCTCATATTAATAGTATCTTTGATCAACATTTGTCGTCCATGTGGAGATGGCAGAAAAAACCTACCAAACAAAAAAGATCCTCTTGCCAAGATAGAATATCTCCACGTGACCAGGAAAAATGATGGGCGGTGTGCAATAAAAATATTCTGCCACTAAGTTTTCTCCGAAAGAAAGCTTTCAGCGTTTGATTTTATCGCACCCTACAAAACACAATCACCATGGCAGCAGTTTACAAGGCAGTGAGCAAGAAGAAGGCCCGTCAATCCATTGAGGATGACTCCGATAATGAAATGGAGGCTGGTCTGGAGGAGCTTCTGAACGACGCCGACGATACCACCGACAGTGAAGAGGAAGATGAACAGGAGGATGAAGACCGCATCATCGCGGCCAAGAAGATGCTTGCCCAGGGCTTCATGCCCAAGACTCGAGTTCTCATTCTGACATCTCGTGGTGTCACACATCGGTAAGAATTTAAGAACACCTGCACTACCTTTTGAAGATCATTTTACTGACCGGCGCAATTTTACTCAAACTCCAGTCACCGACACATGATGGCTGATCTTTGCGCACTCCTCCCCCACACCCACAAAGAAACCAAGCTCGACACCAAGAAGAAGACTGCCGGCTATAACCTTTTGCTCAACTCGCTCGCTGATCTCCACTCCTGCAACATGATTTTCTTCCTTGAGGCTCGCAAAAACGGCCAAGATCTGTACCTCTGGCTTGCGCGTCCCCCTAACGGTCCCACCATTAAGTTCCACCTGAACAACTTGCACACCATGGCCGAGCTTGGCGCAGGTTTCGCGGGCAACTGCTTGAAGGGTGGTAGAGGAATTGTGGTCTTCGACCGATCATTTGATGAGCAAGGTCCCGATATGGGCGTTGCGGGGACTGAGTACCGGGGACTCGTTCGTGAGATGCTTCGCGGTGTCTTCTGTGTTCCCAAGCGTGGCGTCAAGGGCATGAAGCCCTTCGTTGACCGCGTCATCGGTATCTTCGGTGTTGACGGCAAGATCTGGATCCGTGTCTACGAGATCCGTGAGTCTGAGGGTGGTGCCAAGAAGGAGGGCGAAGCTACTGCCAAGCCTATCCCCAAGGGTGGAGATGGCATGCCCGAGGTGTCTTTGGTCGAGATTGGTCCCCGATTTGTCCTGACTCCCATTGTTATTTTAGAAGGTAGCTTCGGTGGCCCCGTGATTTACGAGAACAAGGAGTATGTCAGCCCCAACCAAGTCCGTCGTGAGATTCGCATGGGCAAGGCTGGTAAGTACACCTCACGTCGGGACGTGCAAACCGATCGCGTGGCCAAGCGGACGGATCTTGGTCTTACCGACAACTCCTCGCAGAAGCCACACGCTCTGGATTCGAGGAAGCTTTTCAAATAAGGGTCTGTGTGGGGTTTCAGCGTTCATTCATTTGATCCACTCTAGAGATTTTTTTCGACTACATGTATATTTGATGGCGACGATATCATGGTCTGCTATCTATGGCGTCAAGGCAAAGTCTTGTATTGGTTAATTTTCATTCAAAAAGTATCTTGCATGTTTTATACCTCATCGGGTTTCTTAAATTGTAGGGCAACTTAGGATTCTGTAGGTCTCAAGATTTGTATTTGGAGCATGTTTTTTTTTTTTTTTTTTTTGGAGGCCATCGGGCTAGAATGGTCTAGTATGAGACCATGACCGCCACTTCCTTATCATAGACGCCTAATTTCTCATATTGTGGAGCTGTAAGTGGGCCCGAGGTCGCGGCACTCTATCTGGACTAAACACATTTTCACCTCACGAAGAGACGCCGAATCCAGAACGTTACGTACGGGCTCATAAAAGAAACCCTTTTCATGTGTTAAATCAATATACTGATGCTGCTTCATACAAACCCAGATAGCCAGTGACGCCCAACCAAGACCATTGCACAGATGCACCTGGGGAATCCAGAAGAATACTTAGGTCCGGTGGAAAAGAAATCAATTTCGTAAAGGGGAGCCACGCAGAAAAAAAAAAAAAAAAAGAACAAGCAACAGGGTAGGGAAGGAAATAAAACAAAGGTCTGACTATATCCGGGCTACGATTCCCATCTTCCCCATGCGCTCTCTACCAGATCCTGCCTGTTTATCGTTCCCCAAAATTACAGACCTCATCGCGGATCAAACCGTTCCAATATCACAGCGTAAAAGAAGAGTCGTTGCGTTCGGGAGTATTCTCACGAATTGTTTAGCAGCAGCCCTGCTTCTGCTCTTGGTCCTGCTGAGTGACCTCGATCACGGGGCGACCACCAGGGAGCCCAGCCGAGGAACCTTCGCCCTGGTCGAGGGCCTTGCTAGACACGATACGGTAGATTTCTAGAAAGAGAGAGAGAGGCTAGTTAGCTCTGTAGGTGGGGGGGGGGGCTTTGGGCATCGAATGAGAGACGCACCTGTGAGGATGTTCTGGAAAGCAAGCTCGACGTTGCTGGCATCAAGGGCGGAGGTTTCGATGAAAGAAAGGTTGTTCTCGCCTGTAGGTGGTCAGCATGTGTATTGACATTTGTGTTCAAGGTGCCAGAGGAGGTGTAAGAAATGGTAGACGTACTGGCAAATTGCTTGGCCTCCTCGGTAGGGACCGCACGCAAGTGCCTCAAATCGCTCTTGTTACCAACGAGCATAATAACAATATTGGAATCAGCGTGGTCGCGGAGCTCCTTCAACCAACGGGTGACATTGTCGTAGGTCTGGTGCTTGCTGATATCGTAGACGAGGAGGGCACCGACAGCGCCGCGGTAGTAGGCAGAAGTAATGGCACGGTATCGCTCCTGACCGGCAGTATCCCAGATCTGTGCCTTGATGGTCTTCGAGTCCACCTGGATCGAGCGAGTCGCAAACTCCACACCGATTGTTGACTTGGAATCCAAGTTGAACTCGTTGCGGGTGAAACGACTCAACAGGTTGGATTTACCGACACCGGAATCTCCGATCAACACCACTGTGTGTTACCGTCAGTTATGTTCTTGTGCTGGAAGGCCGTTGGCAGACACGATGTGGGGGGCTTTGCGCAGTACTGCCGGGTAGGCAGCTGCACGAGGCGACGTTACCTTTGAAGAGAAACTGGGGCCACAATCAGCGACAGAAGCAATAACACAGGGTCACAGGTACTTACATCATATTCGTCGTTGGCCATCTTGCAGGAGAAGGAAGGAAAAAGGGAAAAAGGGGTGAATTACAGAAGAGAAAAAAAAAAGCGGGAAGATGTAGTAAGTGAAGGCCGATAGGGAGAGAGTTGATGTCTGTAGGTGGGTGTCTCCTTAACAGCCAGGTCACGTGGGTGTTGTTTTGCCGCTCGGCAACTTCTAATGGTCTCTCGATTTTGACCGTTGAAAAAAGACTTACATACTATATTTGCTTTAACACAAGGAATTGGTAGGCCAGATACGGGCAGGGAGCTTTACCTGCTCCTAAAATGCCCAATTTTCTCTATATAGAATGCGTTCAGTGCTTCTGAACACCCGTCTACCTTGGAAACGGTCTTGCCGTTGTCGATGACCTTAAACCGCCAATCGAAACAAGCGTTGCGCCGAAGCGTGCATTTTTCTTATTTTAGCCGATTTCCAATTGTCGTTTAAACTACTCATCGTGGAAATCTAATCCGTCTTTCACCCTCTCCCTAAACGCAGGCAAGATGGAGGTCAGCAGCAGCGACGACGACAAGCCGCTTATGCGGTCACGTTCATCAGCTTCGCGTAAGTACAATGAACGAGAGCCACCAGAGCCAGTTCCAGACTCCCCGACAGAGTCTGGCGCAGATTCAGGCTCAGGTTCAGACGAGGAGTTTGATGTAGAAGCCATCCTGGACGAGAGACGCATCATGGGTATTACAAAATATCTGGTCAAATGGGATGGATATGATCTGATGAACGCCACGTGGGAGCCTGCTACATCCTTTAACTCCGAAGAGACATTGATGGAATGGGCGAGAAAGAAACCCCTCATTGAAGCGGAAAGAGAGCGCCGTTTCGACGTGAAGAGATGGGAGAAAGACCAAGAGATTGTCAGGGCCGAATTCGAATCATCGGGAAAAGACTTGATTGGTGACAATGCCACCCTCAACACCGACTTCGACTCATATTTTCTCCCGTTGCCAGTTACAGCAACATTTTCACCCCCACATCCCACCAGAGCAAGTCGCTTATCCGTGGCATCGGACCGCTCATCTCTGTTCGTTCGTCAAGACACCGTACCCCCGGAGAAACAACCGACGCCACCAAGGGCACAAAAGAAAGATCCTCCCAATCCCCAACCTCAATCTGGTACTCCTCAGAAATTAGGTGTTCCACGCGCCTCGTCTCGTGCAATCAGAGCACCAGTGGCAATGGGATCGACCGAAACCCCTGCGAATGATAAAGTCTCCCAACAGCAAGCACCGAAAAGGCAAGCACCTAAGAAAGCGCCTCAGAAAGTGCCAAAGCAAACAGCTCAGAGGACACAGCTCCCAAGATCCGCCGGTATCTCGGGACAGTCATCTCCCACAACACTACCTCCCAAAGCTTCTCTCTTTGGCTCTGGCCAAAGAACTCAGCCAAGCTCTAAACGATTTAGTGGTAATTCGCGTTGGGCTCCAGAAAAGGTGCCAGATATCAGTCAACTGGAACTCATGAAGCCATCTGATTTTCCCAGCCGACTGAATCACGGATACATTCAGCCTGCTGCATCGTTAACAAACAGACTTGGCGCTGAAATTCAACCGTCTGGAAAAGAGTCTTCCAACCCGGAAACACCAGGGAATTCTTCTACCGATATGGCTCCTCCCCCAAGAGCTCAGCTTGCAGAAAATACAGTTTCAACGGCGCGGTCCCCGCCTACTATGCCAAGGGCTGACAGGGAAGCACTCCGAATGCAACCTCCAATGAGAGATTATCCGCAATCGATCGACTCTACCGCACGTCCCGTGTCACCAGAAGGGGCAAATCGTCGAAGATCGTCTGAGGCTAGCCGTCAGAGGCCAACAGAATCTAACAGCCGCCGGCGATCTCCAGATGTTTACAGCCGGAGGCAATCTCCAGGTTCATATAACCATCGAGGCTCTTTCCTCACTGATGGCGACAGTTATAGACCCGGAAATTCTCATCATGGTGATTTCTACAGGCCTTCGAGTCCACGCCAAACACAAGATTCGAATAGACCCTCGCGATCATCAGATGCCGCACCCCCATTGTCGCCCATTACTCATCGCTCAGGCTTACAACCCACCTCCACGTTTGGTCAGACCAATTTAGATATTGCCAGCCGGAATTCAAATTTCGAAGGGCTCCAAAGTCAGCCGATATCTCCAGTGACTGTATCAAGGCCTTCTAGTCAACCTATCCCGCGGGAAGAGAAAGAACAGATCGCGCGGATGCCTGTAGGAGAACCAGGGCCTCGTGCAACGTTCATCAAGGGGGGTTTATTTTTCAACCCGGGGGAGTTATTGGTGCATGTTTACCTCGGCCCTGAGAGGAGCTATATTGGCCCGGTGAGGGTTTGTGGTCATCTCAGGTCCGCTAAGGATGATCTTTTGCAAAATAAGGGGAAAGGAAGCACGCTTGAAATGTGGTTTCGGGAGCTTTGTACAATCGACGAATGGGGAGACCTGACCCGCGAGGTGAGTTAGACTTTGAAAGCAACGTCATTGGCTTTTCTAACACGCGCTTACATAGAATCTCTCAAATCGTTCATGGTGTAATGCTTGGATGGAAGGATTTGAAGGGTCGAACGAAAAACTGTTTTACATGGCCGAGTCTCTTAGAAAGACGAATATGGCGGCAATCTATCGCCCGTCAAATCCCGATGCATTGAGCTGGCTTGCGTACTACCCTTCGTCAGAATTTAACCGTCTCACACGGTCTCCCGAAATGTTTAAACTCCCAGACGGTGTGCCAATCTGCCTGGCCGTCAGGGGTCCCTTGCCGGACATCTCAACCAGGGAACTGAGAAATACCATTGACAATCCCAATCGCCAACTTGGTAACGAAATCTCTAGACTGGACACATCAGCCATACACCCTTCCCGTCGATGGCAGGTTGAACCTTCAGTCAAGGCAGATGCAAGGGTACCAGACGAAACCCTCCATGAGGATGGAGTGGAAACAGACCCTTTGACTGATAATGAAGGCCCAGGGGTGTTAAACAGCCCTCCAAAAGTCCAAGAACCGGTTGTTGCATCGGAAAATACAAGGGCTCTCGGGATCGCTCAAATGCTCCAGTTCTTTCAAATGACGATCAAAATGACGATAAAAGATCTCGGCACTCTTCCCAACGGCGGTATTGCAGACATGTTTTATCTCCATTTTCCTCTGGAGGATGATGAGGCCTGCGATGAATTGAAGCTCATGGAGCTTTGGCTGAGCGCGCATCAAGTCAAGTGCTGGACAAGCCGCGACCCAAGGAACTGGGAAAAATTCCATTCCAACTGCAAACGCGGTGTGATAATTGTATGTGACAAATAGCATTCCGTCTGAAAGTTATGGCGAAGTAGCTGACTATAGTGCCGACAGTTCCATGAATCATTCAATCGATACGAGACCTTACGGCCGAAGATTCGTTCGTTCCAATGGAAGCCGCATTTCAACTTCTGGAGTATCCGTCTTCAAAGGCCTCTGGATATACCAGATCTCCAACACTGTCACGAAGGTTCTCACATCCAAAGTCTGTTTCCTTCTAGTACTGCGATGCTCCTCACTGAGGACGTGTTGCTGGATATGAAACGAGCGGCCATGATCATTTGCTGGTTCTATCACAGGAGATTGTTAGCAGACCGAGAAGGTTCTAAACCATCCAAATTGGTGCTTTGGCCTAATGTGTTGACACAACTTGACAAAAGATTAGATGATCCCCACCGAAACAAAGATGATGATCCTTGGTAAGCTTTGAATTTGCCCATGTCGCCTTTATTTTTGACACTGACACCGCTACTTAGCATCTTGAGTATCATTGCTTGTATCAGATCGGCGAACTCCATAGATCCCGATCATCCTGAATTCGAACCGAGCATCCTTTCGATCCAGGATATCGATTGCCCCAACAATAATGTAATATGTCTTCCTGTGCCAGGATACGGCCACCGCACCGGCACCGAACACCCAGACATCCCTAAGGGCCTCACGCAAGAGGAACGAAACGCGGATCATCTCGTCGAGGCCTTTGCCGGATGGACACACTTGCATGCTGCGCGCTTCCGAAAGACGGCCGTCGTTACTTTTTTGAAGAAAGATACCTTGTTAAGCCATTGGTCAGACTGGGGGCATGTGGCTGTGCTGGACTTCCGAGGTTTTTGCAGAGCATACAGCACCGACGAATCCGTCCTTTTTGACAGGCTTCAAAATGGCCCCCCTCAAGCTGACCATTCTCCAAACACCCCCCGTGACCCTCCGACACCGCGAGAGTCACAGGATCCCCGTGTATCTCGCCGAGATAACGCACCTGCGAATCCCTCACTGTCTCGGGTTTTTAATACTCAAACAGGTCGCGTGGAACCCTACCAATAAACATCTACCGGGATGAAGTGTTCCAATTGTGGTATTCTATCGTCGTTCTTTGTTGTTTTTACAATGTTGCGCTTTGCCATACATGATATCCTATCTGCATTGCTGGACTACAATGAGTCCATTTCAAATGTCGATAATCCCATAATATGCAACGAGTCAAAACAAATATCTACCATTTCTAGACTACTGCTTTTGTCTCCCTTAGATGTTTGATTTAGACAGAGTGGGTGATTTTTCAATTTCGAAGGTAATTTGATGTAGAAAAAGGACGAAGTATCATCTTCAATCGATAATGTCCATAGACCCCAAGGCCGAATGAAGAACACATAATAGACAAGCAAAAGCACCGGGTATTTCATGATCGCCAAACCAGGAGTGCAAAAGGTAGAAATGAAAACAAAGTCGAAAGCAATTACCCAACCGCCCGTTTGCGATATTCCCTAAAGTTTGCCGGATGCTCGCCAGAATCGTTCGGCGAACCATTCTTCTTGTTTTTTTCTTTCTTATCCGGCCTGGTCTTCTCCTCCCACTTGCTTTCTTCCGCTGATATCAAAGCATGGAACCGACCACCCTGGCCACGGGCAAGATATTCAGGTTTTTTCTCACGATTGGCAACGGCCTCAGTGACGAGGACAAATTTCACGCTTGATCCTGGGCCTTCGAACATTGCGTCACTGAGAATTGTCTCCATCTCTGTTCGCAGTGCACGAGCCCCTGTTCCCATTTTAAACGCATTTGATGCGATTGTGTGCAAAGCCGGGGTAGTGAAGCGCAGTTCAATTCCGGAGAGGAAGAATAGGGTCGTGTATTGGACTAGCAAGGAGTTTCGGGGCTCCGTGAGGATACGTAGAAGCAAGGGCTGAGTTAGTGTTGAGAGGGCTGCGGTGACCGGAATTCGGCCAATCAACTCCGGGATGAAGCCGTAGGATTGCATATCTGCTGGGGTTAAAAGATCCAGTGCGTTGAAATATGTGGGTTCGTTGCTTGATGCGGGGGATGCAGACGTAAAGAAAGGGAGGTGTTTTTTGTACAATGCTTCTTCTTCTGAGCCGGGGAGAATGGCAAGAGGTTCTGTGGAAGAAGTGTCCGAAGGACCAGCTCCATCATGAGAACGAACGGGCTGCCCGAAGCCCATCGATCCATGGGAAATTCGATCCATGACCAGTTTGTGAAGACCAACGAAAGCGCCGGAGAAAATGAAAAGGATGTTGTCTGTGCGGACATTGTAGACCTCACCCTTGGTGGGTGGAGCTCCGCTATGTGGCTGGAATGGAGTATTTCCTAGAGGGCTGTTGGATGGGTATGAGTTTGGAGGGCTGGTTGTGCGAGGATTCTTCTCCGGTTTGGCCTGGACTTGCACCGTAGTGCCTTCAATAATCTTTAGCAGTGCCTGCTGCACTCCTTCGCCACCGACATCCTTCCCATGGCTAACTTTGGCGGCCGCAATTTTATCCACTTCATCAAGGACAATTATCCCACGTTCCGCCTGCTCCACATCATAGTTGGCTGCCGCGAGCAGTCGGTGCACGCAGGTTTCTGCATCTTCGCCTATATAACCAGCTTGTGTAAAGGGCGTACAATCAGAAATACTGAACGGTACTGATAGAACACGGGCGAGGGTTTTAGCCATTAGTGTCTTGCCCACGCCCGAAGGGCCCAAGAGCAAAATGTTGGACTTCTCCAGTTGAAGCGGGGATGTATCGACAAGCTCGGTCTGGTCTAGAGGCGTAGCCTGGCGAGATTTGGGTGTTGACGGCAAGCCAACTGCCCGTTGCTGGCCTGGGTATTCATCTAACCCGCGACGATGATTAGAAAGGGTTATAGTAGTGGGGTGGGACCCAGGCAACATGCCTTCCAAAGGATGACTCTCCAACGCTTCCTTGCGCTGACGCTTTGCTAAAAGCTCCTCGGCTTCCTCCTCTCGCCGTGCAATTTCCTGTACTCGTTGGTAATGATTGTAGACCGCTACACTCAATACTTTCTTTGCACGATCTTGCCCCACCACATATTGATCGAGATACTGCTTCAGAACTTTCGGTGTAATCCGCGGCGCGCCAAATGCTGGAGTTGAGCCAAGGGGTCCTGAAGTCGGGAGCCCAGGCTCATAGCTTCCAGTAAATGGTTGGTTTGTGAAATCAGTCCGGTTAAACTGAGAGGAGGTTGGAGAGTTACTTGAATCATTGGACAGTCGACGTGCGTGGCCGGCAGATAACACGAGCACCAATGGCCGACATCGGATAATGTCACGATGCCTCAGGGCAAGCGGAAGCCGACGTTGAATTGGCCGCCACAGCATCGCCTGAATACTCTAGTGACTGTAGATCTGAGATCGGGAAAATACAAGGATCAAATCGTGCTTGGCACTTGCAGTGAGGTTGTGAGTGTCCTTGAATCAGATAACCAATTGGGGGGAGCTTTCCCCGCAGGTGATCTTATCTGCTTAGTCATCGCGCTTTGCATCGGACCATGTTCGGAAGATCGGGAAAGCATAATTTTGAATGTTGGAATGATACTCTTTCCACCAACACTTTTCGATGAGACAATAATACAGCTTTTAATTCAGCATCATACACACTCTTGAGGGTTTGAAGACTGAGAGCGTCTAATTCAAGCACTTTCATTGTTTCAAAGTCACACCCGGGCGTTGATATGTTTTCTCTATCGTAACGTCCAGACGTAAGGTAAAAGTTAGAGGACTAGTACTAATTAGTAGCACACACACACATGCTAATAGACGTATGTACGTATATTAGCTGGCTACTAATTCCGAGGTTGTTTACACAGTATTATATCAAGGTTGTAATATTTGTCCCATCTATGAGTATTACTTGCATGTCACGGTGAGTGAGATCCATACATGTATACATGCATTAACCAAAGTCATATCTTTATAAGTTGTTTTGATTGATTGATAGACTATTATCTCCGAAGATTGCTCAATGAAGAGTTCCTCGGGTGCCTGAGAGCGAGTTCATCAGGCATTGCAAAGTCCTTTCCATGTTTGGATCCAGAATAAAATCCCAGAAATCATATGATTCTTGCTGGGAATATCATCAGCGCAGAAGGACGGGACCTCCTAGCAGCAATCCGTGTTGCTGATTCATGCCTGTGCTTAGGCAGATGTCCAAGCCATGGCGTTGTTCAGTGTTTGCTGGAGTTCGTATCTAGTACGAGAAATGGGTATTGTCGAGTCGTGCAGAAAGGTTCTGGTGTTGTTGCAAATTCCTTCTTAATTGTTCGTCTTGAAAACCGGTTGTTGTTCCATCGTTTGAGAGATGAAATTTCGCAGCGCAGACCACCGATTGGCCGTAGGGTTGGCGGTTGTGTTATTCTCATCAGTACCAATTGGTACGGGGGTGGCCTGCAGACCTGACATCTGTGCCATGTTCTTCGCAAATCGGTCACGTTCAACCTTCTCAACCTTTTCACGACGTTTCAAAGCGCCAGGCTTGTGACGTAGGGTATTCTGTTTGATCACATTCACCTGGCTCGCGGCATCGTGAGACTCCTCCGCAGCTTCGGGTAAGGCATCTGCCAGAGATTCGAGGTTGGCGACCAACTTTTTGGAGGCACGACGCTTCTTGGGGGTCTTGGTGGCATTTTTGGCGATTTTGGACATGAGACCCGCGTGCTTGATCTGACGCTTGTCCTTTTTGCTTGTCCGGAAATCATCTCCAAAAGGAGTTGACCTCGGGGCGGTCTTTCCGATACTCTTCGTCTTCGCCATAATTTTATGGAGATGTCTGTGTGTGTCCGGGGATTGAAGGGACGAGAAAGATCCGGTTTGTGACGTGGAGCAAGAAGGAAATGTACACTTTTATCCCGCATGTGAGATCGGCATCGATTTTTTTTCGTTTTCCGCCGCCCCACTCTGACCGCCCGCACCCCCTTGTCCCTGGGGATTCAACCAACGACACTTCTGGTCTTTGAATAACAGATCCACTTGTTGACTAACTTCCACCGAAAAAACCAAAGGAACACACGAAAATGCAATCCCTGTGACGTGACCGTTGTCGCATGTCCCTCTTCACATCTGGTCTCTGAATCTTCCGCTCCACCTTTCGGGTAAATCCTCACAAGAGTTTTCTGGGGGCCTGTGACATCAGACCTTGTCTACTTGAACGAATACCCGGTTCAACTTGATCTAATTGGGTCCCGGTCAGCCTGTTCTGGATGCCCTCCCCAACCCGCTGTTATCGGATCTGCTTTCCTGCCCTGCGTACCACGCTCCTCTTGCCTCGGTCGCCTCCACCCACCCGGTTCCAGAGTCCTATCAAGCCTTCCCGGTTGCCCCCGTCCTCTTGTCCCGAATCCTTTTATAAACCATCACCTTTCGCCTCTTCTCCGTGCAGATCATATTCTTCGGCTTCTTTTTCCAACATGGGTTCTCTCACTCCTTATCAGCGCAAACACAAGGTGACCGTGGTGGGCTCCGGTAATTGGTAAGTTTGCCCCTCATTGGCTACTAGTCTCGCTGCAGGAACACCAAACTAACTTTGTTTTTTTTTCTTTCGTCATTGGTAGGGGTACCGCCATCGCTAAGATCGTCGCCGAAAATGCCGCTGCCAATCCCGATACCTTCGAGGAGAAGGTTGAGATGTGGGTGTTCGAGGAGAACGTTGAGATCGCAAAGGACTCACCACACTACGATGCTGCCAACCCCGGCCCTCAAAAACTCACCGAGGTGATCAACCGCACCCATGAGAACGTCAAGTACCTTGCAGGAATCCAGTTGCCGGCCAACCTCCACGCAAACCCCTCCCTTGAGGATGCCGTCAAGGACAGCACCCTCCTCGTCTTCAACCTCCCCCACCAGTTCATCCACAAGATCTGCGACTCAATTAAGGGCAAAATCCTTCCTTACGCTCGTGGTATTTCATGCATTAAGGGCGTTGACGTTACAGAGGATGGTGTCCACCTCTTCTCAGAGACCATTGGCAAGGTTCTCGGCATCTACTGTGGTGCCCTGTCTGGTGCCAATATCGCCAACGAGGTTGCTCAAGAGAAGTGGTCTGAGACTACTGTCGCCTATGACCCCCCACACATGGACTCCAAGGCTCCCACCCCACAGCTTTCACCCTCAGGCTCCCAAGTAAATCTGGTCGAGTTTGAGCACAAGGATGTCTCTGGCAAGATGTCCAGCGTCAAGTTGCAGGCACTGCCCTCAGACTACCCTCCCATCGATCACGCTGTCCTCAAGTTCCTTTTCCACCGCCCTTACTTCCACGTTCGCGTCGTAAATGACGTCGCTGGTGTGTCTGTCAGTGGCGCTTTGAAGAACATTGTTGCCATCGCTGCTGGTTGGGTTATCGGTATGGGCTGGGGTGACAACGCCAAGTCTGCTGTCATGCGCGTTGGCTTGAAGGAGATGGTTCGTTTCGGAGATCTGTTCTTTGGTGCTACCATTGATCAGCGCACCTTCACAGAGGAAAGTGCCGGTGTCGCCGACTTGATCACCAGTTCCAGCAGTGGTCGCAACTTCCGTTGTGCCAAGCTTAGCGTTGAGCGCAACCAGTCGATCGAGGAAGTTGAGAAGACAGAGCTTAACGGCCAAAGTCTTCAAGGTACATTGACCGCCATCGAGGTCAACAAGTTCCTGAAGAAGCAAGGCATGGAAGACGAGTTCCCTCTTTTCACTGCTGTCTTCCGTAAGTCTCCATTCTGACACCATGTCACTTTACAATTACTGACCTGAATCTTTTGTGTAGGAATTTTGGAAGGTAGCATGAAGGTCGCAGATATCCCTGCGTATATCGAGCGGTAAAAAATCCTCTTTTCGGCCTCTTTCTTTTAAGTGCTTGTCGTTAATTGCGGGAATTTGGTGTTTTAGCCCCCCGGTGTCCAGTTCTTCGAATACTACTCCTGGCGAGAATGGCGATGGCGATGGCGCTCGGTTTGCTGCCCGACTATGAGTTGGGAAAATAGGGTTTGGCATGAATTATAGATAAAGATTTACGATTGTACTTATGCATCTATGCGAATTTGATTTACAATAGACATTTCATAACATTCTTCAAAGTTTTGACCTTTGCACGACGGGAAAGTGACCGACCAGACGAATCAATCCCTTTTACCGCTATGGATGAGTATGATGTTCAGAAATCATGAGACCTCGGGACAAGAAGCCAATTCACAATTGCGTGTTCGTTTTAGGTGTTTTGGTCCAGACCGATTAGACTGTACTTACAGTAGTAGGTACCCTGGTGAATACTGACCAACAACACTAGTATTAATGCCGCCTGCTTTCTATTTCTATCTCAAATATTACAATCACCCGCGTTGTTCCCATATTTACTTGATACTAATTCCCACGGGGAATGAGGGGTCACATGATGACACTATGGGCGATGCTCAAAGAGAGCGATTCTCAGTACACGCCTTGGTATTGTCCAAGAACAGCCAGCCTCGTCTCGAATTCCTCGTCATGCTCCATCCTCCTCCAAATCTTCACTGAGTGATCTCATCCTCAATGATCAGCTTGGACTCCTCATCAAAGCTCACCAGAACGGTACGATAGTGCGCCATATCAGGTACGCCCTTGTTATTCGAAACGAACCACATAAACCCTCCATGGGTCACAACAGCGATGTCCGGCCGATCAGTGTCCTCCAATTCCTTAAATTGAGTCCTCAATCTCTCCTGCACCGCACGCCCCCTGCGCTCCAATTTCTCCTGTTCCGGCTCATACGGTCCCGTCTTGGCCGGGAACGCAGGGTCCTGGTTAACCAGGTCCCACGGCAGATCGGGAAACCGGGATCGCACAACCGGCCACTCGGACCCTGTATCGCAGGGGCGGGCAGAGTGTGCCTGGATATCAGGCTCCACAAGAAATGTTGCGCCGTTTGGGATTCCACACTTGTTGGCGTAGTATTTCTCATCTAGTGTCTTTTGGAATCCCACCAGTGCTGTGCGGATGGTACGCGTGAGAGGTGACGTAATTACCAGACCCACGCTCTCGCTGAAAGGAAAGTTACGACTGAGCTCTTCGGATTGTTTGACTCCCCTCTCTGTCAGTTCTGGGTCGAGGATCGTTGTGTCGTGTTCGGGGTTGTGAGTCCCCTCGGCATGCCGGACGAGATGCAGTCGGAAAGACATGGTTTTAACTTTTAAGGTTGATCTTGTGGTTTGGGGAAGTTTGCTGTCCAAGTGTGTACCCCAGGTATATAGTATTGTTGAAGGTATGCCAGGGCCGGATGGAAGCCGAATTTGATGTTTATCCGGGTGAACTGTAGAGATGCAGCGGGGGAATTTAAAGTATAGAAAGATGGCAAGTTCAAATATCGGGCACACGGCACACGACAGCTTTTATTGATCAACTCATCTCGGCTCAAAGAGTGGGTCGGCGACTCGCGAACCCTCGTGCGGATTAGCATGTGTACACAGTGGGCTGGAAGGGGGAAGAGACAGTGGTGGGAATTAGGGCCTCGGAGAAGACGGCTTCAACGTTGAGACATTCATACGCTTTTCAGATTGACTAGTCCAGGCAGCACTTAGAGTACTCAGGTTAGTGAATATACTCCAAACTCTTTCTGCAATACTTAGACAGAATAAGTACTATCGAGTAGATTAGTAGAGAGAAACATTTGATGTAATCGAAAATGGCCCGTTTGGGACGGCGATAGCCTCACGCTAGCCCAGATCAGGTAAATTATACCGGCCGATCTACAAAGGAGGATTCTATGTCCGATTCAAGTCCGAGGAGATCAACACAGCAGGGAAAAGGGCTGATTGTCGGAAATCTTTCCAAATATGGGTTGTACTTCAATGTTGGTTTGACTTCCAATTTCTGGAACATTTGAACGCTTGAGTATCGGTGGTTGTTCTCAAGTGCTGATTTACCAGTTGACATCAGTGCGGGCCCAGGAGATGGACTGAGACAGACTTTGGTATATATCAAGCACGCTGTCAGCCGCCTTCAATGTTCCCATTGTACATTGATCAATTGATCAATTGATAGCCAAAATCAGGGTCTCAACTCCAGACTGGTACTGATGAACATTTGAAAGCTATCAATTGTAAGTTGACTGCCGAACGGGTTTATTTGGCTTTTGGTGTCTTCTACCTCGAGTGATGACATCCATGGACATTCAGGTTGAAGGGCCTCCCTTGAATGTCAGGAGTTATTCAAATGGTTGTTTATGTAAACGTTCCAACTAACCTAACCTCAAGTGCTCAAGTATTTTGAAGACATGGAAGGGGGTCTACTTCAAAGGGAATTGCGATACATGCATTGCATGTGTTCTGCTAGCCCTTGCCCACCTGCGCGAGTGTATGTACCCTTGAGGGCACGTACATTGAGCACATGGACATTGTATGCAGGCCACATGTGCATATAGATCTATCCTAGGGATCTGATAACTCGGTACATATGTAAACATATGTAGTATGTATACTATACAGTACATATGTACAACATTTGGATGGTCACAACCTTGGAACCAATTTAGTTATTATTGAAATTGAGATCCAAATTGAAATGCAATGCCGCTCACAAAATAAAAATACAGGAGAGGAGTATATATTATACATATAGCAAGGGGCCTCAAATCAAGACTTTTTGAGAAACTCTGCATCAGTTTCACTGCTGCTCTTTCGAGCGTCAACTAGCATACTGTCCATGCCTTTGTCTTTGAGCGCTTTCTACAAATCAGAGTGGGTTAGGAATCAGTGGTCAAGTTGACAGACACGGATTTGGCACACCACTCACGTGTAAGCAGGTTTTGTACTTAGAGAACAGCTCGTCGCAGTCATTTGACTTGGTGTTGCCACGGAGGTACTCTGTTGTAATATCAGTTACACTGCTAAATCTCCAGTCAAAAGGCTAGATACACATACTCTCACTGTACCATTTCAGGAAACAAGTGTCATATTGCCTATAATCTAAGGTTAGCTTATAGGACAACCCTCGTTCTCGAAGAGGCGATAAGAAAAAGCCGACGGGTAGCGCACTCTTTAGTCTCATTGCATTCCGGGGCAATGGAGGCAGCCATAGTGAATACCTATAGCTGCAAAGGACCAAACTAGGTGAATATGAAAAGGAAATTTGTTGTATGTAGTAGTAGCAAACTCCCAAAGACGTCAAAAGAGGGAAGCGTTGGCTGGAGACAAAGCAGAGGGCGGGTTCGCGCCACTTTGACCAATCAGAACACTTTGATGTGGATTTCGTCTTTTCTAGGCAGGCGGCCATGTCCGGCAGAACCATTTCTCTGATTTCTCTAATCAACTTTTTTCGGAGCTTCTCATCTCCCTCCGCCAACACAACCTATTCGTCTTGTTGAATTCTGTGGTTTGAGCTCTGCCCATCATGGATTCTGCAGAGTTTGCCCCATTCCAGGATAAGCTGAAAATCGCTTTGGTAAACGTGACTCGCACCGTGGGCCAACTTGCTTCGGAGGATTTAAATTTCCACCGCAGCTCCAGCGGCGAGTTCACTGAGTTGGTTGACGAGCAGAGCGAACGACTTCTGGCTCTGACTTCGGCTGTCTTAAAAGCGGCCACGACCGGCACCGACCTCCAAACCCCGGCACTTGAAGATGAAGAATCTATTGAAGACAATTGGCGCGGCGTAGTGGACGTGATCGACTCTCTCTTGGAAAAGGCGGATGCCTGCCTCGATGAGTTCACGGGCGTGATCAAAAAGTTGAGTCCGGCGCAGGAGGAACAAGCCCCTTTGAAGAAAACTTCAAAATTCCCGACTATCTACGACTACGGGCCCTCAAAAATTCCCAAACCCCAGCTCCTCTTTGATCACAAAATCGATAATTCGGACCTGGGTCCTTTCCGTCCTCTCCTCAAGACTAAGCCACATGCGATTGTGCCGCTGTCAAAATCCTTGAAGACACAGCAGATCGATGGGAAAGAAGGCTACCCGAGCCCATACGATGCCGAGATCCGCGCCGCGCAGTACCCGAAGCCGGTCTACGAGACCTCACCCCCGATCGATTACCTACCTTTTGAGAACACAACTGCGACACTTGTCGATACCATGGAAGGCGTCAAGGAAATGCTGGAAGAGCTGAAGGAGGTGAAGGAGATCGCGATCGATTTGGAACACCACGACGTACATTCCTACCATGGTCTGGTTTCATTGATGCAAATCAGTACGCGGAATAAGGACTGGATCGTCGATACTTTGAAGCCATGGAGACAAGAACTTCAGATTTTGAACGAAGTCTTTGCCGACCCTGGGATTCTGAAGGTCTTGCACGGTTCTACCATGGATATTATTTGGCTTCAGCGCGATCTCGGTCTATACATGGTCGGCATGTTTGACACTTTCCACGCAGCCTCTGCACTGGGATACCCGAAGCGCAGCTTGAAATATCTTCTGCAGAAATTCGTCAACTTTGAAGCCGACAAGCGATACCAGATGGCCGATTGGCGCATTCGTCCACTTCCATCAGGCATGTTTGACTATGCACGCTCCGATACCCATTATCTTCTCTTCATCTATGACCATTTACGAAACGATCTTATCGAAGCATCAACCCCCGAAGAAAGCCTCATCGATTACGTTAAAGAGCGATCCCAGAATGAGGCCCTTCAACGATATGAGCGCCCGGTTTATGACGAGAATAATGGACACGGCGCAGGAGGATGGTACGACTTGTTGACTCGTAACTCGGGAGTACTCAGCAAAGAGCAATTCGCAGTGTTCAAGGCCGTGCACAAGTGGCGTGATGAGGTCGCGCGGGCGGAAGACGAAGGCTTCCAGTGTGTTTTCCCGAAACATATGCTTTTCCGACTGGCTCAGACAATGCCAGTTGACATGGGTACCTTGCTCCGTACCGTGTCACCCATGACTCCGATTACCAAGGAACGCATAGATGATCTATTAGACGCCATCAAAGAGGCCAAGATTGCTGGGGTCAATGGCCCAGAGTGGCGTGATGTTGCACCCCCACCAAAGGCGGGTGCAAAGCCCGTTGCATTGCAGAATGGAGATTTCCCTGTTGCCGAAGCTTATGAAGAATCTCAGTTCTGGGGTAACACCTTAAAAGCTCGCCAGCCTTCTACTCCTTTGGAGTACTCCCTTGTTGCATGCAATGAGGCACTCAGACTTTCTCTTCCCTTGCCGCCAATGCCATCCACAGTCGCTGAAGCTCGCGCGAAGTTTGTTGATGTCCAGGTGGCCCCAGTTTCATCTCCCAAGGTTGAAGCTTCACCTGCCGCAACTCCTCCGGCACCAGAGGAAAAGAAAGTTTTCACTGTTAAGGAACTTGGCGGTCCTCGCAAGCGCAAGGTTACCCCTGTTGAAAAGCCAGAGAAAGATGTACTCACTCTTGACGGCATCGACGACTTCAGTGGAGACGAAGAGTCTGCGGCGAAGGAACGCAAGAAGGCCCGCAAAGAGAGAAAGGCCCAGAAGGCCGCTCAGGCTCAGGCCGAATCTACTCCATTTGATTATGGCGCCGCAGACTCTGTCTTGAACGCACCCTCCTCGCATGCCCCTGGAATGCAATCAAAGTACAAGAAGGCTCACAATCCTTACGCAAAGGCGCTCGAGGCTCCCTCGGGTGTGCGCCATACGAAGCGCGACATCGCCGGCAAGTCTATCACATTCCGCAAGTAAAAGCATTCGTCGTTCCGTGCCTTCTTTTATTCGCCTCCAAAAAGCATGTTTGGGGTTACCAGGTATTTATTTTTTCTTGTCAATTTTTTGGCTCCTTTGTTCTTTTGTTCTTGTTAGCATAGCGATACCCGTGCCTCACTGGGAGGAGACTCTGGGGTTCTTCTTATGTACCTAGAGATGTGGGGTTTGCCCCTTGACAATGAGATATGTATCATAAAACCATTGATCGACTTAAATTTGTAGCAAAAGTTGGACTATTCAAGTACTACTTAATACAAAGCAGTAGATAATTAAACAATCAAAGAAATGGCCTTCATGCAAGCTGCGTGCAACTAAAGCCCTGAATCCCCTGCGAATCATCCGTAAGCCGTTACCGTGACCCGTCAGCACTACTATTGGTCAGTTGGAAATTGTGAGAAATTGCGGTATTCATGCGCTATTTCCTCGGATCCTGTCTGTGTGGATATGCGTCATGCAAACATTAGTACATGTCTGCACAAGTTACACATTCCACCTATGGAGTGGGAGCCCGGTTACTTTCCAACTCCTACTTCACAAAATTATGTCGTTGGACCTGCAAAGCCATCCCAACTTTACACCTATAGTCTCCGGCATTGTCAGCTTACGCTTCAAGAGCAATGAAGCAGATACAATCTGAGGAATGGAGAAGGGGGGAAAAGAAAAAACATTAACAGCCTGCTCCAGATAATTGATATCATCATATAGTCTCAGGCACCAGCACTGAAACCCACAAAGGCCCAAGTTCCCTACCTGCTTGGCGAAGTCTCACGTCCCGGCCGATCGGTCTCTGACTGGGAGGATATTGTCCAGTCCCGATTTCTTGATTCATCACCATATCATACATCCATGCATGCATGTATATATCATGCTAAAGAAGACATCAGGGATGTTCGTTCCTTGGGGGATTTTGCGCCATCTGGCAGCAAACGACGGGGGGAATAGTCGGGATCGGGAGGCGTAGCACAGGTTTATCGACCTCAAATGGCTCCTGGGGCTGTTTCGTGTTGACTAATGACCATGCCTTGATAATAAGTGATCCACGAGAGAAAAGTATACCCATCCTTCTCAAATCCATCGAAGTCCACAAACAACTTCGAATGCTTCTCCCAAAGATGCCACCACATCTCTTGTTTGCTGTGGTGATCCTTACACGAGGTGCAGAGCCAGAAGAACTGCAACTCATTTGCCCCAGCAGCCAGATTGTGAGGGGGTTCGTTGGTAACATAAGGATTGAATTTCCCGACTTGCACAAGGAAGTTCAATCCATGTTCACTCTGCAGGTGTTCAAGTATTGGCTGGATGGCATAAAATTCTATCTGATGTCTCTGGCAGGATACGCTAGGTTGTTTCCTAGTAGTTATTTGTTAGTAATCTCTTCTCGGGTATTTTTCAAAGTCTTCGTTTTCAACTGATGACTGCTTACCAGATCAGAGCCATGATACAATTTGCACAGTTGGGAGTCTGATCAAATGAGTCGAGAGGAGGAAAGTTGACGTGAGAATCGTAGAAAGGATCAACTCATGTGTGAATGTTCAGGCTCTCGGGTTCGAGGGTTGCAAAGAGAAGAAAGCAGGATTGACAAAAGGAAGATATTCATGTCCATAATTCTGGTGAAGATTGAATGAACGACATTGAGATACGGTAAATTTTTACCACAACATTGAACCATTGTTCCTATTCACTCGTTCACTCGTTCACCATCAAAGAAGAACATGCGGGCCCGTGCGCCAAAAAACGACGCAAATTTGCGCAAAGAGAGCTCGAACAATAGACACTTTGATCTATGCCTATTAGCGTTGCTTCCAAGGTTGGCCATAGAGGAACTTCACTTACCTTTCGAACCTTCAATGTTGGAAGAATATATTATTGTTCTACCTTGACAGTTTTTGATATGGATTAAGAGAGATGCCATCCTAGGACCTTTTAGTGACCCAAGAAACAACACATGGATTGAGGGACATGAGCATTGGATCGGGAGTCGTGTCGTTTTTCACTATAAGGTTATTGTTCTCGTTCTTCCAAGGTTGCTTGGTCTCAGACATCTGGAGGGACTTCTGAACCCTTTTCCATAAATAGACTTGCTATTTTAGGAACTTTCGAATGCATGTGTTGAGTGAGCGGGAATATCAGAAACAATGGAGGGGCTCGTAGCTGCTCACCTGGCGCGTTGGTTCTTTTGTTCTTTCTAAGGTTGTTTGGCCCGGAAGGAACTTCACCTACTATTTTTCAAATAAGTTTTTTCTCGCTGACCTTGACAGTGAACTTCCTATACCTAGGGCCTAGGTAGTAGGTAATCACCTAGGCAAGGTAGAGGGCTGCCCAGGTCTTGATGACACATGCATCTGGAACCTCCAGGACTCCCGGAACTTATGTAGGTAGATTCATGCACATGTATAGACCAGGCACTGGTTCGTGGACCAACTCCCAGAGCTTGGAAATCCACAAGTGCATCCAGACTTCGAGACCGGTGGAATTCAAGGGTATCTCGGGTTGAGGTTGTGCTGTTCAACTCAAGTGCTTCCAGATGCACATGTGTCCAACATTGAAGGTTGAAGCCCTGAGGGGTGACTATCATCAACCGTATCTTGAGCCCTCCTGTTGTCAAGTCTGGAAACTGAGGTGGGAGCCTATATGTAGGTTTATACCATCTTAATAAACATTTGAATATATATTCACATGCACATGCATGTCGCCAAAGTTCAATGTTAGATTTCTTGCAACACCAGTTGAATTCAAAGTTGAATGACATATGCTCATGCCGGGGTCCGTGAGGAGCAAGAGACAAGAAGACCACCAACAAATGCAAGCGGCATGGCTGTTATGTAACTTGAAATATTCAACAAAACTAGGCAAACACCTACTAGCCAATGTGGTTATTTATATTAAAGTGCAGTTGGGTTCGGCAGGAAATCCGCGAGATTGTATTTCAATATTTACAGAGGATTTAATTATGTAGGTTTCTTTTTATGGAAATATCGAATTAAAATGTGCAGATGTATACATATTTGGTCGTCAGTTCAAATTTTACACATTTTGATAGTGTCCCCCGCATTTGTGATAGATATGAACTGCCGATGATTTGCTAGCTTTTAACTTTTAAGCATAGATGGGGAATTGCCTTCCTAGAGCAGTTAGGCTCGCCGAGCTGAATCCCAAACAAGTCAAAATTCGGCGAATTTATTGATGAAAACGGTTAGTGTACCACGGATCGAACCGACATGTGGAGTATAAATTGTCCATGCTGCCCCCTCTTGACAATATTGTGCGAATATGATTGGTGTCGTGTTTATCCAAACGAGAAGATGTCGAGAACACAGACCTTGAGGTAGTATGCGGTCAGATGTCATCTGGACGTGAAGAAATTTAAGTCAGCGCCTGTCAGGAATTCATTCTTCTTCTTCCTCTTTACACCCAGTCCGACCCATAACTAATCATGGCAACAGCAGCGACTTACTTACCGGTCCCTCCACCAGTCTTGAATGCCTCTATTCAGGAAAGCCTACCTGAAGGGTTGGGCCAAAATGGAGGAAGAGTCTCTACTGAAAAGATCGGATTCTTACGCCCCACGCCTGTAACGATGCCTATCAGGGAGATGAGGCAGCGTCTCAAACAGGATGGCTACCTCTTTGTCAAAGGGCTAATTCCCCGTGATGATGTCTTGGATGCACGAGAGAAGTATGCCAACATTCAGCTTAAATTTCCATGTACTATTAGGATGCTGACTAGACGTCTCTAGCTATTTCGGCCAATACTTGTCAACCTCCTTCCTAGAACCTGGATCATCTCCCCGAGACGGCATTTTCAATTCTTCATCCGACCCAGACTCACACAAGGGTATTGGTGGAAATGGACTACCCGCGGATCAGAGAGAAGAGAAGATTCTCATCGATGCCCACAAGAACTTGAAATACCGAGCTTTTGTCGAGCATCCGTCCTTGACAGGATTCATTACAAAAATCATGGATTGGAAAGATCATCAAATACTAGACCGAACTATGTTACGGCATAACGTGCCATTTGGTAAGGGAACGGGTATACATTATGATAAGCTGTTCTTGAGAGGCGGCGATGGCTTCTTTCTGACGGCCTGGGTTCCCATTGGTAAGCATACTCTTCCTATTCATTGATCACCATCCAAGTTTTATTGACTGCATTTAGGTGACATATCTATTAACGGCGGAGGTCTTTGCTATCTAGAGAACTCTGTGCCTCTGGGTCGCGCAATCGAAGATGAATATAACAACCGCGCAGAATTCATGACAGAGGAGGAGCGCATCTCGGCATTCAACGTGAATATGGTTGTTGGTGGAGGCATGATTTCACATTCTCCTCAGGAATTTCAGGAGATGCACTCTGCTCATGGGATACACAAATGGCTAGTCACCAGCTATGAAGCCGGCGATGTGGTGTTCCATGACCCATATAGTATTCATGCCAGTGGACGCAATGAAGACTCAACAGGGCGGATTCGTTTAAGTACGGATCTAAGATTTTACGAGAAGGGTGATCCAAATGCTGATAAGAGATGGTTCAAGATTTGGACTCCAGACGATGGGCTCTAGAATTGAGAGGGAATTTGATCTTTTAACATGGATCAGCGCACTAGACGAACATGATAAATTGACCTTCAATGTTATTCTGGGTTACTTGTTTTTTCCAGTATGCGAATTACATCAGTTTTAATTCGCCAATACAACGTCATTCGTAATGCCCAGGTCCCAGATGCGGGGTAATTTGCACGAATACCACGAGCCTAATCTAGACCGGTCGATTCTACTAGTAAATACGTTAGATAGAAAGTATTCAAAGTCTTTGTGGTAGCACTTGAGTAGTATCATTATATTTATATGCAGGTCAGCTGATCCATCGCCAACATTCCACAATCGACGCGTCGGGGCTTGCACCTTTGAGCATCGACTTCGGCGAGATTAGCCACATCAACCTCTGAGTGAGGCAATGACCCCGAGGTCTAAGCCCTGGTAAGCATAGCTTTGAAGAAAGTCATTTTGCTTGGGAACACGCTAATAATCACGACTTCACGCGTATAGTGACAATTGCCGCAGTATGTGGGAAGCGACCACCCTGCCGATCCAGAACTGACTTCCACTGTCAATCTAGGAGATCATTTAAAATGTAAGCTTACTTATCCGTTCATCCGTGCCTAGAACATCATTTCTGACAGAGCTTTAGGTGATGGCGCCAAGCCCCGCTGTACACGTTGTCAGAAAGCCAGACGCGACTGTGTTCGTCAAGAGCAGCCTAAATTGCGGTTTCGCAACATTTCGACTGCACAACAGTTGTTTAAACCACCACTAGGTGCGTTTGTTTCTTGACTTTCTTTTCCATCCATATCCTTCGTTTAACAATGGACTTAACCTTTCTTTTATAAACAGAATTTCAATACATCGATGAGACACTCAAATACATCGAACCTCAGGCAAGCAGCAGCTTTGCTCAGAGTGCCTCTCCTGAAGTTCATAGTCAAGGCCCTCAGAGCTCCCTTGTAAGGGGCACCCCCAATGATACGCCAGACTGGGAACTGTCTTTCCACAGACAAATAGACCCTATTGTGAGTACTCCCAATGAAACTACCCACCTTCAGTAATCCTTCCTAGGGAGCTATCTACATAACGAACATTTCAGGGCGCATTACTTATATCAATTATGCAGTCATTGCCATTGCCGCAGCGAGAAGGACCCGATCTGCTATATCAAGTCAATCTTGGAGAGGCTTTTCTACTGTGATATTTCGTAGAGGAGCTAGCAAAATGGGTACGAGCGGTTTATCATTTCATTCGAACTTTTGCAGGGCTGAAATATTTGCTGACGTTTTAGTTTGATTTATGCGATCCTGAACGACATTTTGCGGTGGCTGTACCTCAACGAGTGCGATATTGCCCGCCTCTTTTCAATGCTGTTCTTTCGGCATCTGCGAGACATTTTACAACATTGCCGGAGCACAAGCAAAGGGAAAAGGCAAAGCAGCTAGGCCTCAGGGAAAAGTTGATAATTAGCGAAGCAGCTGTTCTGGACTATCATAGCCGATGTATCACACATCTAAGGATTCTTGCCAATGAGTCTGATGCTATTATGGATGAGAATCTACTGGCAGCTGCAGTGGTTCTTCGGTTTTATGAAGAGCTAGACTGTAAGGCTGGAAATCTTGCTTGGGTGACTCATTTTAGCTTTTGCTAACATGATTGATTCAGCGCCGTTTATCGATACCCCCAGTGATGTTGCTACCCGAGGCCTTCAAGTTTTCATTGAGGCCCAGGCAAGCCTAGCACTCGCATCTTCGGGGCTCCGATGTGCTGCATTCTGGGTTGGCTTCCGCCAAGAGTTTCACATGGCTTTCTCTCAACAGCGATCGTTCCGCCTTCCACTTGAAATTTGTGATGCCTACCTCTCTTGGGATCCAGCACCCGACCACGTTATAGTGAACCGGTTGCTAATAATAGCTGCCCGTATCATCCAGTATTGCTACGACGGTCAACGCCAGCAAACCCGCCCACGATATGATGAATTGATGGCGCTCTATAATCGGTGGTTGGAAACGCGACCCATTGCGTTTTCCCCAATATATTCTGATCAGCTGGACCAAGGGACCGGATTCATATTTCCCCAAAAATGGTTCCTGAAAGATTGTCATGTTGTTGCAGCGCAAAGCGTTGGCCTCGTAGATATCATGATAACCGCTTACAATCCAACTGTCGCGCGAATTGGACCTGGTCAGAAAAGTGCAATGCAGTCCATAGATACCAAGCTCAAATCTGCAGTCTTAGACATCTGTGGAATCGCACTTTCCAATCGTCAAGAGCCCACAGCTCTTTTGACTGCCTGTTTCTCTATTGCGATATGTGGAGACCGGTTCACTGATCGCATAGAGCAGGACGCTTTGATGGATATTGTGATGAATACTGTACGAGATATCAACTACTGGCCATCGAACGCGTTGGGTGAGAAGTTGAGAAAAACTTGGGGTTGGGAGTCATGATAATATGATTTCTCACGAAGCTAACATCTAAATTAGCAAATAAAGAAGAAATGCTGCTTGATGCATGAAATATTCTGGCGTGTTTATCGTATAGTGCGGGGTGACCATGTGACATTTGGTATCGTCCAATCGGAGTGCATACTGATAGCTGCATGACTCATCCGACGATCGTGCCCGCGAGGGGCAGAAGAATTTCGCTGTAGTTTCAAGTCAATTCAATATACCCCACAAAGTAAGGAATTCTTGAGATCTTATCAGGGCCATACTAACCATTTCTACGCGCTAGAAGTCTTCGTTTACCACACACATCATGGCGGACGAACCAGGTCAACCCCCCGCGCTCACCAGCCTGAACCTTGCCGAACAGGCCTCGGTACCCAAGTCTACTGGCCAAATCGTGACACCCTTTGATGTTTCCGGTGGTGTGGATGAGTCCGGAAAGTTGCTCCCTGTCGATTATGACAAGTTGGTGCAGCAGTTCGGAGCCAGTCCTTTAACTCCCGATATTCTTGCGCGCTTCGAGAAGGTTACAGGCCACCGACCCCACCGTTTCATGCGCCGTGGCATCGTGTTCAGTCACCGCGATCTTACCAAGATCCTCGACCGTCATGAGAAGGGCCAGCCTTTCTATCTATACACCGGCCGTGGACCGAGCAGTGACAGCATGCACGTGGGACACACTGTGCCGTTTGAGTTCACCAAGTATGATTTCCCTGGCCGTATTCGAATTTGATAGTCAGGGAACTAACCGAAATTGATTGAATTAGGTGGCTCCAGGACGTTTTCGATGTTCCCCTTGTGATCATGATGACTGACGATGAGAAGTACATGCATTCTGCAAAGATCGAGATTGAGGATGCCAAGCGGTACACAAAGGCCAACGCCAAGGATATTATTGCTGTCGGGTTTGATATGAAGAAGACGTTTATCTTCAGTGATTTCGACTTCGTTGGTGGCGCATTCTACGAGAACATCTGCCGCATGGCCAAGCGCATTACCATCAACCAGATCCGTGGCACATTTGGATTCAACGACAGCAACAACATTGGAGAGTTCCACTTCTGCGCCACTCAGTCTGCCACGGCCTTTGCCACCAGTTTCCCCCAGATCTTTGGTAACGACTTCAAGAAAGTTTCTTCGATTCCTTGCCTGATCCCCTGCGCTATCGATCAAGACCCCTACTTCCGCCAGTGTCGTGAGCATGCCGAGAAGATGAAGTATAAAAAGCCATCGCTCATCCACTCCGTCTTCTTGCCTGCCCTCCAAGGACCGGGCTCCAAGATGTCTGCCAGTGTGGACAGCTCCGCCATTTTCATGAACGACACTCCCAACAAGATCAAGAACAAGATCAACAAGTTTGCTTTCTCTGGTGGTGGTGCCACTGCTGAGTTGCACCGCGAGCATGGTGGTAACAGCAAGGTCGATGTGCCCTTCCAGTACTTGACTTTCTTCCTTGAGGATGACGAGGAGCTCGAGAACATCCGCACCACCTATGAGAAGGGTGAGATGATGACCGGTGAGATCAAGCAGCGCTGTATCGCTGAGATCCAGAAGTACGTGACTGGGTTCCAGGAGCGTCGGGCTAAGGTCACTGATGAGATTGTGGCTCAATACATGCTCCCTCGTACTCTTGAGTGGAAGGGAAACCCCAACCCTGTGGTAGCCGAAAAGAAATAGAGGGCTACCAATGCTGAGAGTACGAAGAACATATTTTTTAAAAAACGAAGGAAAAGACTTGGCAAAAGATTTTCAGCGTCACGACGGACTCAATGCATTTTCTATATTTTTTACATTCATCTACACATCTCATAATCATACGAAGGGTGGTTGCCGGTTATTGCGATGGGGAGCTCAGAGAGATCTTTCCACGCATAAATCCTCGTACCCCATTGCTTAGCCAACACTCCTCTCCATCAACCAGCTCTGAGGCACTAACCACCTGCTCGGTACAGAAACCTTGCTCCAATGCGTATCTTCTAGTTGTGCCAGCATTACCGCCAGACTTCAGTGGCGGAGTGACCCAAGTAGCGCCGCGGCGGAAGTACGGAGTAGTGATAGTCCCTTCCATGATCTCCCCATCCATATTCACCGTGAGAAGCTCTTCTGATTTGGCACCGGGACTAATTTGACCCCGGGACTGAGCACGGGTGTAGCTCTCTCGGGCTGTGGTCTTGTGTGTCGTGAAATCGGACGGTTCTGTACGCTCTGTGTCCACCCAAACCCGCCAAACAGTCGAGCTTGTGTTTTTGTGTAAATCGGGCGTGAAGAAGTTATCCAGATCCATTGGTCCTGTCTCTGAAAACTCGCAGAATGCATGGCCATTGTGCTGCAAAACGAGCTTCAATCGCCACGGTCGAGATTTGTCGGGAACTCGCCAGCTCAGGAATCTGATCAGGCTTTTCGGATCCCCATTCATCCATGCCGGTCCATCGTCGAATACCCCATTCCAATTGAAATGGCGGGCAGCAGCTATGATTCGATCTTGTTGGTAGGCCAGAAGGTAGTAGGGCGAGTCCAATGGTTCGGGAAAGCTCTCTGGGTGTTGAAGGGCCGCACTTGGAAGGTCTGGGTCATAGCGAAACGACGAGAAGAGGTCAAACGTTTCCTTCTCAGGATTTTCATGCGAGACCACGAACAAATTCGAAGACATTGTGGAGAATTGACAATGGCTCTTGATGTATAACAATTAATAATGTGCAGGCTTTGACGGTTAGTTGTGATTCTGCCTCACGCGCCAGTAATTAATTTTCCCTGGCGAAAGGGAACAGTGAAAGAGAAGACTGGAAATAAATTGGAGAAAAGAGCTTCGAATGGATTGGAAAAGTAAAGAATGCACGAGCAGCACGAAAGTTTCAATAACGGGCGCATCCCTTTTTTTCCCGGTGCAGCCGAAGTTGTGGTATTCAAACGGTGGAGAAGGTACCGTCATGCGGCGCGTGATTGGCCGCAACGCGATCGTCGAGTTCTTGACTTTTCCTCCAAAGCTCCATCATTCTCCCTATCTCACACTTCCCGTTTTAGGCGTTTTAAAGACCGGTAAGTTTCCTCTTTCATCATCATCAACATCGCATTCTATTCCCATTGCTAATTCACCGCCCCTTATAAGAACCTCAGGACTTAAATAGCATCGGTCGCCGAGCCCGGTTCCTGCCCACATAATGTCAAGCGTGTCGCCATTACCTACACCTACACCCACCCAAAACGTGGTGCTGGACACTGCGACTTTGCCACCAGCAGGTGCTTCATCCGTCTGGGATCGCGTGTCGAAATGGGTGTCCGAAAATAAGGCTTTGGTTTACACCATTGCCGGTGTCGCTGTTGTCGTCACCAGCGCCGGAGTTGTCTACTACCTCTCCGACTCTAGCAAGCCTTCTCCCCCTGCGCAAAAGAAGCCCAAGACCCAGCGACGGAAAGAGAAGAAGAAGGCCGAGGAGGAGAAGAAGGCCAAGCCCGCTTCTGTTCAGGATGGTTTGTGTCCACTGCATCATATGATTGAACCTAGGCAACTGACATCATAACCAGAGCCTGTTGCCAAGAAATCCGACGAGCCTGAGGAGTTGCCCGAGGTTGACGAAGCCACCGTTGGTGAGCTCTCCGAGGAGGTACGTTCCCAATGATGTTCGAGCCCCCTTTGCCATCGGAGGATATACTGACATTGGATTCAAGACACGACAGGAATACGCGGCGAAGCTGAAGGCCGCTGGTAACAAGGCTTACGGCTTGAAGGATTACCCCAAGGCCATTGATCTGTATGGCCGGGCTATTATCTGCAAGCCTGACCCCGTTTTCTACTCGAACCGCGCCGCCTGCTACAACGTCCAGTCGGATTGGGAGAAGGTCGTTGAGGACACCAGCGCTGCTCTCGCCATGGACAGTGAATACGTCAAGGCTTTGAACCGCCGGGCCATTGCCTACGAGCACCTCGGAAAGTTCAGCGAGGCCCTCCTCGACTTCACTGCCAGCTGCATTATCGATGCTTTCTCCAACGACGTCAGCCGCAACGCCCTGGAGCGCCTGCTGAAGAAGGTTGCCGAGAAGAAGAGCAAGGATATTCTCGAGGCCCGCAGCAAGAAGCTTCCCAGTGCTACTTTCGTTTCCAACTACCTGCAGAGCTTCCGTCCTCGTCCTCTCCCCGAGGGCTTGGAGGAGACCGCTGAGTTGAGCGAGGAGTCTGGTAAGGGTCTGCTGCGCAAGGGTCTGGTTGCCATGGCTAAGAAGTCTGGTGAGGGATACGAGGAGGCTGCTGCTTCTTTCGAGAGTGCTATCGAGACTGGTGATCTTGGTGAATTCGAGGCTCTGGCTCTCAACATGCGTGCCACCTTCACATACCTGGGCGGCAATGCCACTTCCGCCTTGGAAGACTTGAACAAGAGTGTTGAGCTGCAGCCATCCCTGGTGCAGAGCTACATCAAGCGTGCTAGCTTGCACCTTGAGCTTGGTAAGTCAACATAATGGAATGAAATTGCCCAATGGACCAAAAAAAGAGTATTTTACTAACTGATTGATGATTGATAGGTAACAAGGAGGCTGCCGCCGATGACTTCGAACTCGCGATCAACCACGACAAGGACGACCCCGATATTTACTACCACCGCGCCCAGCTTCACTTCATTCTGGGTGAGTTTGCCGAGGCTGCCAAGGACTACCAGAAGTCCATCGACTTGGACCGATCCTTTATTTTCTCCCACATTCAGCTCGGTGTGACCCAATACAAGATGGGATCCGTTGCCTCCGCTATGGCCACTTTCCGCCGGTCGGTGAAGAACTTTGAGGAGGTTCCTGATGTCTACAACTACTACGGAGAGTTGCTGCTCGACCAGCAGAACTACGCCGAGGCCATTGAGAAGTTTGACAAGGCCGTCGAGATGGAGAAGCTGAGCAAGCCTATGGGCATCAACGTTCTGCCGCTCATCAACAAGGCTCTTGCCCTGTTCCAGTGGAAGCACGACTTCCAGGAGGCCGAGAACCTCTGCCAGAAGGCTCTGATCAGTACGTTTACCTTTTCACATCAACTCACCTTTTACTTTCCATCATTCTAACCTACTACCATTTTAGTTGACCCCGAATGTGATATTGCTGTTGGCACCATGGCCCAGCTGCTTCTCCAGCAGGGCAAGGTCTCTCAGGCCCTCAAGTACTTTGAGCGCGCAGCTGAGCTTGCTCGCACCGAGGCCGAGATCATCAACGCCATCTCCTACGCTGAGGCCACTCGTACCCAGTTGGAGGTCCAAGAACAGTACCCCCAGCTGGCTGCCCGTCTGAACGCCATGGGTGCCATGGGCGGTGGTATGGGTGGTGCCCCTCCCATGTAAAAAAAAAAAGGAGGTTGTTGAAATTAATGTCTGCTCCCCCTCTCTCTTCCACCCCCCTCTCTTTCATGCTACCATCATCTCTCCTATCCTTTTCTCTTTTTTTCTTCACTTTGGCCCTGTTCTCCCCAAAATCCGAAGTCGGGGTTTACAATGCCTACTTCCCTGATTATATGGTCCCAGTCTTCAAGGCTTTACTCCGCCTCGCTCTTACAAGTGCTCAGGGCTGTTTTTTTTATCTGCTTGTATTTAGTACCCCCGACATATTCCCTGTTCTACTTTATGTTTTTTATTGTTCTTGATCTTGGGCTGCAGGGCGGAGATAAACGGGGAGAGATGCCTAGCGGGAAGTCCAAATTGGGGCCATGGCTTGTGTCCTTGCCAACTTGCATGTTGGAGAGTAATCTGTGTACCATAGAAGGTTGAATGTGAACGTTTCTGATCTTTAATTGTTTGCTTGAATTTATTCCCTCAAACATTGAATACGATAACTGGTGGTTGGCACTACTAGTAAAGTATTCAAGTGATAAGTGACTGGATATTGGCGGTGTCTCTGTTTTGAGGGGAAGAGGATCCACTTGAAATCCACATGATCCTCAACTTCGATAAGATGCTGCCCCACTTGGACTATAGCATCATCATCACCCTTATCTAACAGTTCTATTCACCCTATTCACTCTCAAGAAAGAATTAAAGGGAAAAAGATCTCGAGGTGTGTTAGAGTCTTGGTTCGCTAAAGCGTTGGTCCAAGGTTCTCCAAAAGGTCCCGACCCTTCGTTTGTCTAAGTCTTGACAACCTGATTCATCATCCCTACCCCTCTTCCTCCTTCCGCTTCTTTCTTTCTTTCCTTACCTCATCCTCGCACCCTTTCTATTTCCTCTCCGTACTCTGGCTTTCTCTACCCAAATACTCTTTGACTTTGTCATCTAACGTCTCCTGCGGTACGGCTCTTTTTTTGCTTGTGTTGGGCAGCTAGGTAAGCTCTCCTATCATTCTTTCATTATCGCCGTAACCTGCCGGCATCCTTTGGTCTTCATGAACATATAAGCTCATCTTCTGAGAATCAGTCACCATGTCCGACCACAAGCTCCTAGGTGAGTGCTTCTTCTTCATCCCCATATTACATTTCCTTTCAGGACTACTTTACTGTTTTCTTTTCTGTTTTTCTTTTCCATCTGCTGACACAGTTGTTGCCTTGTAGCGAATGTGACTCTTGCCCCACTGGGGGCGGAAGATACCTTGACTCGTCAGATCACTCTCACTACCATCGAAGATACCGCCATCATCGGGCGCTCGTCAAAGAGAGGTGCCAAGGGTCGTATCCCCGACCAAGATAATGGATGGTTTGAGTCTCGTGTCATGTCCCGCGACCATGCGGAACTCCATATGGGGCCTGGGATGGTACTGTGATCCATCCTTGTTGAAAATATCTATCATTCTATGTCCCGAAATACTGACGTATATGCTTGGTAGAATGTCAACATCGAAGACCTCGGCTCGACCCACGGTACCTGGCTCAACAATAAACGGTTGGGACACGGGGATGCGATCCCCGTATTCACTGGAGATGTTATTCGATTCGGCGTTGATGTGGAACGTGGTGAAGGTGTGTAATGTCTTCCAAATATGTAAAAAGTGAAAGTCCACATCCAGCTAACATCTCTGGCAGAAGTTTTCCCAGCTCTAGTTGTTCGTTGCAAGGTCGACTTCACCAAACAGTATGCCATTCCCTGGGACTGGTCTTCCCGGGTCGATACTGATCCTCTATGCAGAGATGTTCCCCAAGATATCGAAAAAAACCAGCCTGTACTCACATCTGCTCCACGCCATACCTCAACCAACACCTTCTGCGTGCCTGAGGACGACAGCGATGTGGAAGAAATCCCTAATCCGAAGTCTATCTCGACCACAACTGATTCTGCGGCCATGATCACCCCTCCACTCACCTCTTCTGATATTCTTAACACCCTTGAGCACGTTGATTGCCATCCTGGAGATCCCAGGAAGCCACTTCTGCCCCGCCAGCTGATAGGTGTCGCCCCTTCAAATGGTATGCTACCATTGGAGCCTTGCCCAGTGTATGACCCGAACCCCGACAAAGTGAACTGGTTATCATACAAGGGTGACATGTTCCCCAATGTTGACCGAGGGCTGGATGAGGATTTGGAGGAAGAGAGTGACGAAGATGAGGACGGTTCCGAGATGGACTCGGATTCCTCGTCAGATGACTCTAACGCCGAAGCCGAGCAGGAGAAATCCAAGACTTCTTTGTTTGTAGCTCATGACGAGCTCAATGCCGACTCCCCTTCTGATGCTGGGTATGCTTATGACTCCGATTTGGAATGTCCATCAGATGTCGATTGGCCTAAGGTTGCTTCCGATGTTGAATCCGCTTGTGACGCGTCCGACAATTCGGACGATGAATCATATGTTGAAGATGAGAACGAGAAGGAATTCATCGATCCATCTCTCTTGGCTCAGTGGCCTGTATGTGCACCCAGCAAGGATGTGCCTAGTTTGAACCCGGCCTCCTTCCCTCCAAAGTATTTTACAGACAATTCGGCGCCACAATCCAGTTTCAGCCAATTCAAGCGTGACTCAACTGGGCTGAATCCCCCCACTAACGATGTGAAGCATCATGCATCAGACTTGCATGACCTTCATGTACGATTCCCAAGGTGTCCCATCAAATCTCTGCTGAATTGTACACCTGTGCAAAGCTCGGTCAAGGGAGTTGACGTCCCCCCTCGTCAAGCTTATCCGAGTCTCCCTAGTGGCCAAGGCTTTTATCTTGATGGGCCATTTTCCTGCACTGATATTGTTGACAAAGAGGTCAATGAGGATAATTGGGGAAGTGGCTGGGATGACTTAACCAAAGTGTCTCTGAAGCGCAAGGCTCATGAAATGGAGACACAAGATGCCCAGCTTCCAGAAACCATTCCAGAACTTATTCCAGCATCTTCTCAGGAATCTAGCCTGAACTCCATTCAACAATCCGAAATTACCACTGCCATTACCTCTGCCTTATCTGAGGTTGAGCCCCCTAGCAAACGAGTCAAGTCATCACACTCATCCAGCCTAGCGACCTACACAGCTACTGCGGTCATCAGCGCATTGTTGGGTGGACTTGGAACCATAGCTCTTTTGGCAGCTTTACCCGCTGAATACTTCCAGTAGGCTACGGGTTCTACAGTTTTTTTGTCGAGTCACGTTTCCTTGCTTCTTTGCGACTTCCAGCCATCCCCCCTCTCTGTCCCCTATTTGAATAAGCTACATGACCCGTGCACGATTCAGTATTTCTTCGGCGTTTCTATTTCTCACTGGTGGCGAAGGCTTTCCCAAAGTATCTTTTTCCCTCTGAGCTTCTCGGCTACTAGAGATTTTTAGGTGGGCCTGTGGTGTCTCACGACCAGATTGGAGTTTTTGAGACAAGGAGTTTACATGCGTTGATTTGGTGGTTGTTCGCTTTTGATATCTATTTATGGCTGTCTTTCCCTCTTTGCTGTGCTGTTTCCTCTTTCCTTGTGTGATGCGACACTGGCTATCAGGGTCGACTTCAGTATGCCTGGTCGAATGGTATTACGTTGCTCATGATATGGTCCTTAGCCAGAATTCAATTCCTTATGACTCAATGATTCGGTGTGCTGTCACTCTGTAGATCTCATTGGTATTTAGGAATTTCCTGCTGTCTGATCCCGATGTGCCGCGTGATGTGCCTCGTGACATGCTCAGAACTCAGCCTCGGGATTCCATGCATTGCTCTCAGGTACGCTTCTTCGGCCTGCAGTCCCATTCGAAAGATTAAATGTGATGTCATTCTATCCATTCCAATCAATCTTTTCATGTAGTCTCCTTTTGACTTTATTAGTAGTCAGGTCTCACAGCAATTAACAACCAAAAGTCAAGAGCATCAGAATATTTGGGAAACTGCACGCGACGGAACTGCTCGTCACAGCTCTTTCAAGGTGCGCTTTGCATGAAACCATATCATCCACCAATATACCCTGTAAGCATCACTCCGTGAAGTCCGAAATCCGAGTTGATCCAGCTCCTTGGAAAAGTCCCGAGACAAGACCCCGAAGCACCGAATTTCCAAGGGGGACAAGAAAGAGCGGTATACGGTATACCCACAACAAGGAACTCATCATTTAGTTTGAATGTCAGCTGCGGTCCTAAAAAAATCCCGAATCTCATTCCCACATCGAATCAGATCGGGCAATTTCCGTTAATCAAAAGGGAGTAGAGGATTGGAGCCCACTTCGTCAATCGGGCTGCAGCTAAATCCTTGGTATGCCATATCAGCTGACTGGCGATGGCACTTTGTTTCTGCCGTCTTGCAATGAACTTCACCTGTGCCAAATCCAAAGTGTCACACCATGTCGAACAAAAAAGAAACCTGCACTGAATTTCGAACTCCTGACTCGCTTCCTGTGCTTTTCTTAATTTCGAGTCCTTTCGAGGATTTCCACTCCTGGCCCCACTCCACATCCTAGTGTGAGTTCATGTTCTCCGGTCTGCGTTGAAATTCCGAGCCTAGCGCGTGATGGAGAATGGCTGGCTACAGATCCAACCCCTCATTTCCCAGTCGAACAAGCCCAAGTCCCATTTTTTCGGTTCCTGTGGAGATATCAACCTGTCAAATGGAAAATGGAAAATGGACAATGAAAAATGCAAGAACGGCTTTTAAGCGCCGGTATGCAGACCGGGTTGAGGCTAATGTACTCCGTACTTATCGTCCCACGAATCCAGGCACGTTTCTGAGTGCTGACTGGCTGCACAGCTGCAACATTGAAGCGGAGAATAAAAAACAATGAACCATTCCCATTTCTACGCCAATGGCTGAGCCATCTTACTTGGTAACATTGGAGCATGTCAACCGAAAACCTCCAACGGTTACAAGGAACCCCTTACATTTCCATCGGCCAAATTAGGCCAGTGGACGTCAACATTGAACAAAGAACGATAATTGATTCTTTCCTCGGGGCCTTGTCCTAGTGTTTTAGTGTCCCCCAAACCCTTCAATGTTGTGTTCAACGGCTACTTGCACTCGGGACACCGGAGGTATCTGCCATGTCGCATCCACGGCGCTTCCAGAGTGTCTTTCTCGTATGGACGAGTCCTTACATGATGCCATTGGCCACAAGGACGACTTTTTGACGTGTTCCTTGGTTTGTGATTCGCCCATCACGATTTGCTAGGCAACATGTTTATTTTCATTTTACCGTTTCCCAAATTCTTTTTCTTTTTCTTTTCCTCGTTTCTTTTTCTCCTGTAAAAGAAAATCAATATGCAGCTCATGGTCATCCACATTACGATTCGAACCAGGGGAACCCTTTTCTGGGTCCTTGGAAGAAACTTGAAGCTCACGCACACTAATTTACGCGACCATCACGTCCGTTTGTTCCGGAAGTGATTTTTGGGAACCAATGAGCAAGAGGAAATCCATCCATCTCACTTTGCATCCTACTAGTACATACAGATCCAACATGCATTTTGGAGGGACCCTGCAATTTTTACATGGAGGGGCGCACAAGGCCCCTCCAGCTCGCTCTCCTGCACTAATCTCGAATCCACGCACGTTCCCAGATCTCTCGAATGACGTCCCCTGCTTAATCTAATCTGTGTTGCTAGATGCATACCAACTACCCGCTGAGCACCTCGATTTGCAGTTCATGCGGTATGCATCTTTGACCCCGCTTAACTCCGTCTGGATGTAATGATTATCATGCCTCAAACTGGAAGCGCATTCTGTTGGACTCGTGAGCACTGCCTCTAAATCTGACAAAGATCATCTTTGCTTAATCCGTGTTCTTTTCGGAAATGAGATCATCCTCGCTTTCTTCCATGCAAGTATCCGTGGATGGATTTCCCCATTCGGACACTGCAAATCCCGAGTCGACATGACACTATTCCCCTATCTAGATTATTTTCCCCCTCGCCACACTTCCATGCATCTCTTGACAGGGGCATGGTCTCGTTCCAATGCTGGGTGTCTACTGAATCATAGCAAAAAAAAAAAAAAAAGGTCACACAAGGCTGTGGTGGCTGCCATGAGGCTTGGACTTATTTTCCGCATATATGTACTAGGAAACACGAAGTCCCGGTTTGGGTAACGACCTGCTTAACATTGGGTCTAATTCTAATTTGCGAAGGCCGAATATTTCCATTGGAACATCCCTGCATGGGCCTATTTTCTTCCTGGGGTGGAACTGCTTCTGTTGAACCGCCACGCAACCCGGGACACCGTTGCAGTCTGATGGTACCAAGTATGTACCATTGACAACTCGTCCTTTGTGTGAACCTGAAAAAAGGGCGGACCGTCACGATCTAGTTCACGGAGGACGGGATCGACTGTCCCTCGACAACAAAGACCCACCACCCCACCAGGTCGGCCCGTTTCAACAACCCTGGAAGTGCACCTGCTAGGCACGTTAGTGTGGTCGTCCTACATGCCTTATTGTGCGCGTCCTCCGATGTGCGCTCTCATCCAAGTTGATGGGGCTTGGGGCCAAGCTAAACTCAATGGAGCACATGCGCCGCTACCCAAATCGATGGCAGATATAGTCCTGTGTCTTTCATTGGTAGGTCACCTTCTGGAAATATGTGGCTCTCGCGCGGATATGACCGGCTCATATCATTGAATAGAACCAACCCAACCCAACCTGCAGAATAGCTCACCGTTACAACATATGATCTGCTGACCATTCAGAAACCGCCTTTTCAGTTGGTTTTCCTGGATTGACAACATCTGCTACATGATTGTAACCTCCGATCTTTTAATCTGAGATGTCGTGTGCCACTAAGCCTTCACGTGTATAAGAGTCGATCTTCCTGGTCCACTCCCGTTTCCGGGCTCATTATACTCTGGCCTGGGCAGGAACCTTACCCTTGCTCGGTCCACTGGAGATAGCTTGTTGCCTTCTTTCCCATTGTTTCCGACGTTTATTGAGTTCAACATCAGGTTGATAAAGCGCCACCATCGGCCTTACTACATCCCCTTAAGTATTCTCATCATCCTTCAATCAACAAAGAACACATCACAAAGAAAAGAGATAAAAAAAAAACAAATTCTGGCCCCGGCCTCATAACTTTGTCAAACTCTATCCAGCCGACCCTTGCAGCACTACCATTTCTGGCTCTGTGCATTATCTTCCTGCCGCCTCACTCCACTCCGGCATCTATCATCTTCAAACCGCTCCAATGGCCTCAGCACAGTCTCTTTTCAGCCTCGATCCAGGCCATATTTCCTGCATCGGTGGACGAACAGCCTTAACCTGTCGGAATTGTGCCGGGAATGCCCCGAGGTAAGTGCAGGGAAAGATTCCCACGTACCACTCGTTCATATCTGACTGTTACTTCTCAAGAGGCGCAATCTGCACTAGCTGCGACGGTCGAGGCTTCAACATTTTTGTATGCGCACACTGCAATCCCGCTGCAGCCGCGGCTTCTATCCGGATCGGTGACACAGCCGCCTCAGCGACGGCTAATTCTACCCCAGGGTCATCGGCACCCTCCTCCCCGGGCTCGTTAAGCCGAAGCCCTTCTACCTCATATCCATCACATCCTGATCCAAGAACATCAAGGTCGTGGAAGCCGCTTAGTGACGATAGTCGAGATAGGACTGGACGTGGACGAATTGAGACGAATACCCCTCGCAGTCTTTGATGTATTGCAATTCTGCGTGGTGGTATTCGCTCAACTTCGTCGCATTCAGCCTATCCATCGATGAGCTTTGTTTGTAATTTCTGCCTGGTTTCCTTTTTCTCCGGGGTTTTCATTCTCCTTTTATTTGTCTTCTTTTTACATACCGTTTACCTTTCTTTTCTCTCCTGCTACACTGCTGCCCATCTTGTGGCAACAATGGGCTCCTTCACGGGTTGTACATGAATTTTTCTCCCTCTTGGACCGCACGATACACGGATATGGGACAAGGGAGCAGCTGGCTTGCTCCTACTTTCGGTTTTCGGGCTTTGCATGTGGATTCTACCTGCTGGGTCTGTGTTTTATCTGGACTATTTATATGGCTATCGATTGTCAACTTGTCACCTAAATAGGCAATGAAATCCAGTCTGCGATTCTAACATTTGTGCTCGGAACTTTTGAGAGTACGGATTGCGCATGAAATGACTTGTCAGTCGGCCCAGATGTCATGAGCACATCCCGATATGCACAACTAGTATACATTGAACCTCGGCTGTGTTCGCTCTGGTGAATCGGGAAAGACTCTTGACATTTCTTGACTATAGGTTTCTGAGATATGTCTCACCTAGGATCAATATCATGTGGTGGCACCACGGGGTTATGTACATGAGTCAGCGATCTTATAGTTTTGAGTGCACAGAGAGAATAATCACGAGTCAGCAACTCCAAGGATCAGTCATCGACTCTTTACTGAAAATCATCCCACTTTTCAAACACCTGATTATGATTCTTCAAGTACTCTATCCCTCTTGTTCTTACAAATCTTTTTGAGCATGTGTCCTTTCCCATCCCTTTTCTTTCCGTCTCAACTTTGTTACCGATATTGATCAGACAGCCATTGCTGCTTTGGGGTTTCAACGCACAGTCCATACATCGCTTCTTTTTCTTGCCGGGATTGTACTCTTCTTTACACCTGGAAAGAAGGGCCCTTGAGGGCCACTATCAGAAATATTTGAGGATCAGCCCTGGAGCGATCTCACATTGAAGCATTGGAATTTATACAGCCAGGTTCACGTGGAACATTTGAACATGCTACCAAGACTAAAAAAAACTTCAAATGTTGGTATCATGGAAGTACTTCTTGAAATTTACCAGTGCATGTAAGCCTTCAGAGCTGTAGATCTACAGCCTTCAAAGACAACGTATGCACACGGTCCACGGGCCTCGATCATCGCGCCTGTACCAAGTGGGGTGCTTCTCCGTTCCAATCAACATGATTATAAATACAAACGGGCCAATTAACCATTCGAGGCTTATCGTCGCCAATTCCTTCTATGTGCACAAGATCTTTTTACCGACTTTATTCATGTCCGGAGATCCACCGGCAGCGCCTGTCACAAAATTTGGTTTAAACGAATGCGTGGCTCTGAGAAGATCTGCGAAGAGCGTGCGGGTATACTGTTTGGAGTTCCCACACTGTCCCATTCTGAGGCAATTGAGTCGCAGCTGCAACACTCAGCATCAGGATAATGCCACATGCCGGAGGAGACGACTCAAAAGAGCACAAATATGATGTTGAATTCTCCGCGCAGCCATCACCTCCCACCGAGGACACGGGATATCCCGAGGGAGGATGGAAAGCTTGGTCTGTTGTACTCGGGGCTTGGTGCGCCATGATCCCCGCAATGGGTTTATTGAATACCCTCGGTGTTTTACATGCCTGGGTCCAATTGCATCAACTAAAGGACTACTCTGCATCGAGCATTGGGTGGATTTTTGGAGCCTATGGCTTCTTTCTCTGTGCCGGGGGTGCCCAAGCTGGTAGGTAAGCCGTGTTTCATTTATTTCCTACATAGGCCCATTGAAACTAACTTTTCGGCATAGGTCCTATTCTCGATGCTTATGGTCCGTGCTATGTCGTTGTACCGGGCTCTGTGGGCATCGTTGCATCCATGATATGCTTGAGCTTCAGTGAGGGTATGTCTTTTTCCCGACTTGGTTAAGTACCACAGTGAAATACGGGGTCCCTGACTATTCTATTCTAGAATACTACCAGATCTTTTTGTCGTTTAGTGTGCTAGGTGGACTATCTGCCTGCACACTATTTACGCCCTCAATCTCAGCAGTCGGACACTGGTTCAACGTCCGTCGAGGCTTCGCTACTGGCATTGCATGCACCGCGGGCGGAATCGGAGGCGTGATCTTCTCTCTAATCATTCTCTTCGCCGCGCCTAAGATCGGCTTCGCGTGGGCTATCCGCATCATCGCACTCATTTCAGCAGTAATGTGTACGGCCGCCTGTCTTCTGCTCAAAACCAGATTACCCGGTAATCTAAAGGCGGGCGCATCCATCGATTTCAGGGCTCTCATGCATCCCGCATATGCATCTACGACTGTCGCGGTTTTCTTGGTTGAGTTTGCGGTGTTTATACCATACACTTACATTGCGTCTTATGCTGTGGATGTCGGTGTTGGGAATCAAATGTCGTACCTAATGATTGTTTTCTTGAATGTCGGTGCTATTCCCGGTCGCTTCTTGCCCGGGATTATTGCGGACAAAATCGGCCGGTTTAATGTGATGGCTTTGACTTCCATTATATGTGCGATCTTGACATTGACACTATGGCTGAAGGCAAGTGATAATCTGGCTGCGATCATTTGCTATACTGTTTTCTTTGGATTCTGGAGTGGGGCTGCCATCAGCTTGACGCCGGTGTGCATTTCTCAGGTCTGTGCCACTGAGGATATTGGTAAAAGAATGGGAACTACTTTCACGATCAGTAGCATTGGCACTCTTACTGGTATTCCCATTGCAGGCGTGATCCAACAACGGGATGGAGGCGAGTATGGAGGGTTGATCATCTTCGGCGGAGTGCTTTATCTTGCCGCAGCTATCGCTTTCGTGTTGGCAAGGGGCGTGTGTCGAGGATGGTCTCTGAAGACAAAGTTCTAATCCTCCTGGGTCCAGAGACACATGTAACCACCATACATAAGATAGAGAGTTACGTTGATAGAAGCAAATATTTGAAAAACATATACAGTAGATTCATTAATTAATCTTTGCTAATAATCATAATTGCCCCCATGATGGTATATACTAAGTCAGTGCCTAAAACAGATTCTGTGTACGGGCCCGTAGCCACGGGCCAAAGATGTAGAGAGGCAAAGCCAGTGCCAGCACGGCCCATTGAACTCCCGCAAACTCATAGAACATGGTGTTCACGCCCTTCTCCGCCATCCAAGAGTAGGCACCGGTGGCCAGTCCAAAGGCAACGACATTCTTCGATGTGTTGACCAAGACAAGCGCCTCACCAGCGGTTCTCGGGTAAGCGTCCACAACGTATGAAAGCATCACAGAGGGGACAAGAGTCAGGCCAGCGGCACAGATAGCTGAGCCGACGGCCGGGCGGACATAGTGTTGTCCGTGGTAGATAGTGTACCCGAAGACAATGAGGCCGACGGGACAGACGAGGAAGGGGAGAATAAGCGCAGGCAGACGGTGCTCAGGCTGGTGGACGTTGTTATTGCGCTTGCGCATCCAGCGGGAGAGAAGATCGGTCAGGGGACCGGCGATGGGCCAAGCGACAAGGATGCCGACGAAACTGCTCAGGGTGAAGAGACCGAGCTCGGAGGAGCTGAAGAGGTAGGGGGGTGCGCCGAGTAGTTCGGGAGCGAGGGTAGAGATGGCGACAATTCTGTTGATTTGTTAGAATGCGGTTGGACATTGTATTAGAATGGGGATTCAGTATGCTTACCCTCCAAGGACGACTCCGTACATAGCCGATGCGATCAGAACACCGGGGACCAGCAATAGGGGGAAGGGGAGCAAGAACTGGTAGAGCAAGTGCTTGAGAACGCCCTTCTCCCTTGCCTCGTTGGTGAGGCTGAAAGTGAACAGTCCCTTGAAGTGAGCACCGTAGTCCAATTCGACACGGTCGCCAACTTGAGATTGGACACGGACGGCCTCGACGTGGCTGTGAGAGTCCTTCTCGATATCCTCCATCTGCTCGGGCTCCTCTACGCTCTCATAGGTAGTCTCTGGGAGGAAGAAGATGGCGGTGACAAAGTTGAATCCGGCCAGGATGGCACAGAGGATGAAGAACCAGCGCCATCCCTTGGCCTCGATGAGATATCCGGCAATGACCGGACCAATCTGAGAGCCTCCAGACAGGGAAGCCGCGTAGACGGCCATGGCACTGGAGTAGTTGCGTTCGAAGAACATATCTAAGGAGTTGTTAGAGACTTCAAGAAGGGCTTCAGATAAATGATATGGGAAGGTAGACGAACCTGCGAGAATACTGGGTCCAAGAGACTCAATAGCGCCATAGCCTATGTTAAAAAAAAATATCAGCATTCAGGTCTAGTCGTAAAAGGAGAGAGACATAGAGTATCGACTTACCGAAACTGGCAAAGACTCGAGAGCCCAGCAGGCTGTTATAGTCCTTTGCGACCGCACTCCAAATGATTCCGCAAAGGAACATTGCCATGGAGAAGATAACAACAGGACGCTTTCCGAAGCAGAGAGCGAGAGGCATCCAGACCAAATTTGCCAATCCCATGGAGAGGACTGAATAAGTCACCAGGGATGACAGTTGTGAGTCGCCAATGTGAAAGTATTCGGCTAGGGATCCAAAGCCTGTTGCTATGCCCGACTGTAGAGATAATTAGTATATATATTTTTTTTCTTTGGAGTTTTTAAAAAAAAAAAAAAAAAAAAAAAAACTCACCGAGTACATATTACCCATAAAGACATAGAGGTTGACAGCGAAGAGGGCGGCCCATCGCACCCGGTTAGGGAGGAGCTGTACGAAATGTTAGAGTCTAAAGACATACAATGCAAGATAAGCAACAAGCTAACATACCCTAGGATCGATGCTAGTCATCGTGGTAGTGAAGGCTACTCTGTGTGAAAATAAAAAGTAGATCGTATGATGATGGAACCAGCACTTGAGAGGGAGGGATCAGCCACAAATATAAACAAAATCCGGCAGCTCGACTCGGAAAGCAAATGACTAGAGCATGGGAATTCCCAGCTAGATTCCCCCCTTTTCCCCCGCACATTTGGGTAAAATATGCAAGACTATTGGTGATTGCAGGGACTTTCCCCCGTTTCCCCGGGATGTCCGTGGGGTAGCTCGGATGCATCTCGGGACCGGTTTTGGGCGTGGCGCATTTTAAGCGATGACAGCCACGGGCAAGGGCGCGACGCTAACTATCAACGGATCAGTGGCTTGGTTGGGATTTTACCGAGATTTTGCCACGCAAGGTCATGTTCTGTGCTATTTTTGTGGGTTCCTGCATGCGCTATAGCTATTGTGTGTAGGTGCGTTCGTGTTTTGGGCTGTGAGATCTCAGTCAGGTGAGAACATCTGGTTAGTCGACGCTGCCCAACCACAGAGAAACTGTTTAGTGCAAGCCACACGGCCCGTGAAAAGGATCCCGAATCTGAGTCACTCGCTTTTACCAAAGATCGGATCCGACCGAGAGAAAAAACGTCCCGTGGTTCATCCAATCTGGCGGATCGTCAAATCAATTGATCGGTGATCAACTTTGGTAAGAGAAATGAGTTCAAGGTTCCAGGGAAATATCCAGCTTAAGTTGTTGGCACTGGACAGGTGGATTCGGGACATGTGGGGGACATTCGGGATCCATTCAACCAGTTGGTCTAGCCTCCCCCCGCAAAAGGTAAAAAAATACAAAATAAAAATAAAAATGAATAGATACAATTCAACAAGCTTTATTAAGGATCTAGTTCCTATTAGAATCTATAAACTTTGATACACTGATCATCATAACCCCGGATTTTCCGCAACTTAGTTCCGAACAATAGCCGCAGGGTTCACGTATTCCCTGCGTCCTTTGACCAGGTACATCACAAGGCTAAGGATAAAGACCGCCACAAAAATGACCACACTCCAATTGAAATTGGCGGCCACAACTGGAACTTCGGTAGGCCAAAGGGACCAGAAGAAAGCAAAGATGCAATAAACCAGTCCAATGATATTGACGGGCAATCCCCATCGACCCATACTCCACGCAGGCGTAGGAAGAGTGTCAGGAAGCCAGATCTTCCTGTAAATAACGCAGCTCATCGAGGTGATATAGGTGTACATCAGAGCGGCGACGTTCAGCGAGATAATCGCATTGAACGCAGTCTCGGATCCGATGTTGATGAGAGATAGCGCACAGCTGCAAAAGCAAGACAGTCGGATAGCATTGATAGGAATCTTGCGCTTTTCGTCCACTTTGCCAATCCAACTGGAGAATGGCAGTCCCTTGTCTCGAGCGAAAGCCCACGTCTGACGGGATGTGGCTGCATTGAAGTGAATATTGCTGAAAATAACGGGTAGGAGTATAATCGCTGTGAGGCCATTGACTCCGGCGGTAGACACAGCTTGCTTGAACACATAGAGCAACGGGAATCCCGTATCGTCATTCAGAGAATCCTCCACAGATGGAGTTGCAAATAGATATGCGATCAGCAAGACAACAGCCATTATGCCATTGCTGAAATATCCCCACGCGATAGCGATAGGCACATTACGTGCAGCATCTTTGATCTCCTCAGACATGTGTGCAGCTGCATCCGAACCTAATCTCCTATTAGCTTTCAACGCCATACATATCAGAACCACTCCAATTCCTTACTAAGGCAGCCGTATATAGCTGATATTTGTCCGACCATCACAGCCAGTGCCATATTAGACCAACCACCCAAGCTTTGCCATCCTGTCACAAAGACCTCGTCGGCAGTTCTGTGCGGGGACATCACGCAAAGAACAACCAGGATGATCAGCCAGGACAACACATGGAATGCCATCAGAAGATTATTCAGAATAGGCATCACATCGGAGGCGTAAACGTTGAAGATATAAATCACCAAGACCATTGCAAAGACTAGTAAAGTGCCTTGCCATCCTGCAGGCTCGTAGTCGGGATTTCGGACACTTATCAAGCCCTGGATGATGGTTCCTGTGAGGAAAGAGCCCGAAGCTGTTCCAGCTTGCCAGGCAAGGACCGACATCCAGCCCGTCACGTAACTGAGAAACTTCTGGTATCTCGGCGACGAAAATTCAGAGACCCAGTGATATTGGCCACCGTTGGTCGGGGCCATGGAGGCCATTTCCGAGATCGAGGCGATGATGAATCCGAAACCAATGAAAGTCCATACAAAAGACCAAAACATACCAGGAAGACCCCCATCTTCCAGGCCCGAATAGTTAGATCTGTTGATCTTGTGTCAGTTCCCGCGGTATATATTCAAATGTTTTATGAGACTCATATGACCACGCACAGTAGAATAAATTCCCACGTTGCTTGTAGAACAGAGGCGAAACTTAAAGCAGCCACAGGTCGGAGATTGCGCTGTGAAAAAAGGCAAAGTAAGCTATTTGATGTACATAAGACTGAATGGATGCGAGTGAAACATACCTTGAACTCTTGAACCTTTCCCATGCGAAGCATATCGTTATCATCCAAAACAGTCCCATCTTTCCCTTCCTGGCCAGAGTGGACCTCCATGTCCCTTGATTCAAGCTCTGGGGATTTAGTGGCGTCGTGCATGTCCGAATTGGCACCCCGCGAGTAACGGGTGGAATAATGGGAGAAGAAAAAAAAAAAAAAAACAGGAGAGATTGAGGGGGTTCAAATTCTGAGGTGACAGCCGATAGCGAGATAACCGACCTTGAATTCCCTAATTGTTTAGTCTTGCATTTAATTTGCCTTAGCTTGGCAGTGGGGCGTGTTGATCTTTGGCTGGGCCTGCTATCTTCGAACATTGGCCCGTCGCGGGCAATGTTGAAGCTCTTACAGCCTCAAAAATAAATCCATATTCTGATTGTTCTTGTATAGTGAGGCATGCATATCACTTACGTCAAATCAAGGTGGAATTGTCAAAGTCATTGGATGTAATCAATGCCAAGGAATTCTCACGTGTTTTTAGTCGGTAAAAATGACCGCCTTTTGAATCAAGGTAGTGGACAAAAGTACGTATTTCAGGAAAATAGATTATCTTCTAAACACTGCTGTCTATACGATGCTGTTGAAGGGCATTGTTTCTATTGGGACACTATTGAGGGAATCCCACCACGACCTTTTCAGGAATGATTATGTAGAGCTTTTACAGTTCTGTAGTCAAAGAATGTACAAAGGTGGATCTATGCGTCGTCCAGTTGTGTTCAAAATCTGCGATCAATTGACTTGGATATAATAGTTTCTAACGTTTTTCTCCTATTTTGACTGGTCAATGGCATACAGTAAACTGAATAGTAAATAGTATTTGCTGCCTGGCTTTTCAGGTTTCTGTACATGAAGGATGATGTTGCCATGTTGGTGTGTTTTGGTGTTCAGAGAATTCCTAAGCACTATAGAGTATTGTAGAGTGTGTCGATATGCTCAGCCGCTCATGATGGTACTAAGGGCAAGTGCACACAATAGATCGCTCGAGGCTACGAAGAAAATAAAATTCGGACTTGCACGGTGACAGGAGCCGCACTGAAAGCTTACATTGATCTCTAATCCAGAAAGCCAAGCCTTACGCCATTAGGCAGGGCCTGGCCATGCAAAAAAGCCGAGGAGAAGAAGCTACGAGGATTATTAATAGTGAACATGGGATAACTATGCATTAAGCTGCTTTTTCGCGAGCCTCAGCTGATCTACTGGTTATAATTCCTTGGCATCTGTTATAATCCCAGATCCACTATTGCTTCCCCAGACTTGTCCCCAGAAAAGAAAAGAAAAGTCAAGCCAAGGTCACGCAGACATGATTTCCAATCCACGCGTTTCCACTCATGAAGAGAGTCCAAGCGGGGCAGCTACAGGAAAACCCGAGAGCGTTCTGAGTCGGCAATCCCGAGATTGTGGGGAAACCGGGGCACGCGGACTCGGCCATTCCGGATTTTTCAATAACAACCGACAAATTATAACCAAAGCTCTTCTAATCGTTGTCCTCTTTTGAAATTCTAACAGCAACCTTTCTCCAGACTTTCACCAGAATCTAACATCACACAATCAGAACTTTTCAACATGGTACGTACGAGCAAAACGCATCCCGTCCTGGTGGCTTTATACACGCTACAAACACACCACGCATGCATGCTTACCCCATCCCCTCATCTAGGTCCCAGAAGAAGCCCGCCTCCGCGTAATCATCGTCGGAGCCGGTCTCAGCGGTATCGCGACTGCTATCTCTTCCGCTCTCTCGGGCCACGATGTCCAGGTCATCGAGCAAGCAAAGGAGCTCGCCGAGGTCGGAGCAGGACTACAGATCACCCCCAATGCGTCGCGCCTAATGCAATACTGGAAGCTCCCCGCCTCGCTGTGGGAAGCTGCCGCGGAGCCTACGAAGTTGACCGTGCACCGGTACTCGGGCCAGGTGTTGGCTCACGATGCGGCTTTCAACAAGAGTATCCGGGCGAAATACGATGCGCCGTTCGTGGACTTGCACCGTGTTGATCTTCAGCAGGCGTTGTTTGCGCGTGCGAAGGATTTGGGAGTCACTTTCCATCTTGGGGAGAGAATTGAGCGCATCGATTTTGATACTACCACTGTGCACTCTGTGGCGGGGAAGGTGTTCTCGGGTGATCTTATTATTGCGGCGGATGGGCTGTGGTCGAAGTGTCGCGAGGCCTTTGTTGGGAAGAAAGATGAGCCGCTGCCCACGGGTGATCTTGCTTATCGGATTGTCTTGACTGCTGACCAGATTACTGATCCGGATCTGAAGTCTTTGGTTCAGAATCCAGAGTGTCATTTCTGGATTGGACCTGGTGCCCATGCTGTTGGTTATTCGCTGCGCGGTGGCCAAATGTACAACATTGTCTTGCTGGTTCCTGATAACTTGCCTCCGGGAGTTTCAAAGCAGGCAGGATCTGTGGATGAGATGCGAGAACTATTTGTTGGTTGGGATCCAATGTGAGTTGTTTGCTTGTATGTTTTATCCTTGACACTTTTGCTGACTGTGTTTTTTTTTAAAAAGCCTCAACAAGTTCCTGACATATGTTGACACCTCTGTCGGTATTGACAAGTGGAAGTTGATGCACCGTGAGTAAGATTATCTTATACTGCTGATCATCATTTCTGACGTTTGCATAGATGGTGAAATGGAGAACTGGGTCAACGACAAGTCTAACCTTGTCTTCATGTAAGTCAATCCCTAACCTTGAAAGTCATAGAAGTATGCTAACATCCATGGCTTCAAAGTGGAGATGCTTGCCACCCAATGCTACCATACCTGGCACAAGGTGCCAACTCATCTCTTGAAGATGGTGCCGTTCTCGGTCTGCTTCTGGGACACATGACAGATAAGGCACAATTGCCTCGCATTTTAAGACTATACGAAACTCTCCGCAAATCCAGAGGAGAGGCTATCGTTCGCGAGACATTCAAGCAGGTAAGCTATTACAGCCACTTAATCTGTTCCTGATATCATACTGACAGTTTCTTTCTAGCGACACGATTTCCACATGCATGACGGAGAAGAGCAAGAGAAGCGCGATGAGATTTTCCTTTCACAGCTTGGAAAGGAGCTCAAGGGTGCCTTCCCTAGTCGATGGTATGTTTCCATTCTCAAACATTTTCTGTAATATTTGCTAATTTTTTTCATTTAGGACATGCCCAGAAGTGCAGCCCTGGCTGTATGGCTACGATGCTGTCAAGGAGGTCGAGAAGGCCGTATCGCAGAACCAAGATCTCTTCGCACAGCCTTCTCAGCCTTCACAGTCATACTGCACCATCTTATAGAAATAATCTATAGAGGACACGATATAGCTGCCTGTACTTTTCATTTTTCGTTCTTTTCTTTGTCATCAAATATCACCATTGCATAGTTAGTTAGTCCAAATACCGAATACGAACGTTACAAATCAAATTTTCGCAATCTCGTTCTTCTTTTCGTTTTTCGAGCCACTGCCAAAGGAAGAAAATGTCGTTAATGATTGGAGACATTATACAAAGGTGAATTATAAAACAAATCTATAATACAATACAGCACAGAGCAAGAGCTTTGAACAAAGAACATGCCGAAAATGCACTTACACATTCCGCAAAATAGGCCAAAGCTCCGCCTTAGGCCCAACCAAAGGCTCAAAGTCCTCCCCCTGACAAATCACCATAGCCTTCTTATAAGCCGGGCGCTCCGAAACCCTCTTCAAATAAGCAAGAATATGCCTATGCTTCTCAGTATCAAATTCCACAGGGCAGAACCCCCGCATAGTCGTCAACGTAAAAAAGCTCATCGTATCCGCGACCGTCAGATCCTCACCAGCAAGATACGCCCCCGTCACCGCGAGCCGCGCCTCAAGCATCTCCAAATACCCCTGCCACTTCTCGAACGTGCGCTTCACAAACGGCGAGTCTGGGCCTGCGGTCCGGGCCATCAGGAGCCGGAATAGGCCGGGCTGCAGACTGCCGTTGGCGAAGTGGTACCATTCCAGGAAATGCGGGTAAATGGCGCCGTCTTTGGGGGTTGGTGCTAGGCGGCCCTGGCCGTGCACGGCGACTATGTAGTCTGTGATTGCGCCTGACTCGGCGAGCACGACGCGGGTGTTTGTTACGGGGGATGGGTCGTCCTCCATTAATGGGGCTGTGCCGGCTGGGTGGAGGTCGCGGAGGGATTGGGGGGCGAAGATTGGGTTGCGGTGGTGCTCGACGTATTTGTAGTCGAGGCCGAGTTCTTCGGCGAGCCAGATTATGCGCTCGGATTGGGAGAAGTTCAGGTGGTGGAGTGTGAGGGGCATTTTGGGTGTGATTATGGAGTTGCTGGGTTGGAAATTGTTTGAGAATGAAAATGGTTCAATTTTCTGATCAATTGCACAGATTTAGGTGAAAATGGGGCTTCGATAGATGAAGAATGCTAGATGCTAGCCTTCAAGTTGGTGATCACAGTAGATGGGCATGGATTCAATGTTGTATCCACTTTATGTAGTTGTTGGTTGGAGCAGCAACCGGATAAAACCCATGACGTCAGGTAATTCCAAAGCTTTCGATTTTGGATGATTCCTCTGTATGTAGAGTTTCTGTGCCATATGTTCAAGTTATCGCTAACATTGAATTGGACAAACCAATAGAGATCCACAGTAGTGTGGAAATCTTGAGCTTTCCTGGAGTTAATTCTGGACTAAATCCGAGATATGTAGTCGGTTAGCCATGGCCCCGGGCCCGTCCCGAGGTCCACGGCCCCGGGGTCAGCACTAAAAGTCTTGAAGCAGTTTAACCTCGAAAGTAAACCTTGCAAGGATTCCAAGTCAAAATCGGAAGGATGGATTCAGAACTCCATATGGTGCTAGTAGCTGCTAGTAGACCTTACTCGAAAAGTGTTATATCCTTAATTTAAGTACGCTGGATTGTGTGGCTCATACATTATTCTCATCCAACATGGGCAGTCCCCCGATATCATCAAACAGTCGAGCGATCCCATCAAATGAGTAATCAGGGAATCCGAAGCCATGAGCCCAATCCGGGATTTCAAATCCAGGTTGGCCAGGCCCTGGCTCTCCTGACGGGGCCATCTCACCGTGCTCTCCGCCGGCTCCCGGCACAAGGTGGTGCGTACCGGAAGCCCGGAATTCCCGTAGATATTGACGAATAATTTCCACCGACTTCCGTGCGACGACAGACTCCTCCATGGCTTCTAAGATCTCGACTCCCATTTCTACAGAGCGGAGCAAGGGCATTGTTTCTTCGCACATGCCGAGTTTTGACATTGGGAGAAGAAGAGTTGATGTCGCAAACATCACATAGGTTGTGTTGTACCACCTAGCAGATGGGTTAGCGAAAAGAGCACCAAAGTTGGAAATTGGAAAGCTTACCAGCATCTGAAAAATTCGTGGACTCGGTAGATATCATGTATCACTTCGATCGTCTTCATGGCAGCGTCCAGGCATTTGCCGATTGTCTCCTCTAATTCGCTGGGAGGATGTCGAAGCTTGCGGGTGAAATGACTCAAGAATGGCCGGAATAATAGCATTTTCACGTTATAGTATCCTAGAAAAATACAATTTAGTTTAAGTGGTGCATGAATTTGCGGATCGATGGTTCAACTCACGGATCCCCAGCACAAGCCGTTGTCTTCTCGCCCATTTTGGATCTCGGAGGGCACTTCGAGGTGGTCTATGTGCACCAATATCTGGCCTTAGCTTTTCCGGTAGCCGTGCAAGCCAGCGGTCCATCTCCATTTCGATTTGAAGACCCAGTTGGAGCTTCTCCTGTAATGTAATGCGCGAGTGGTAGATCTGGACGGAGACCCGTCGGACGATTTGAGCGAAGTCAGCCATCCATGGGATAATGGCATACTCGGAGTCATCTCGAGGTGGCATGGCTCGATTATGGTATTCGTCCATTCCCAAAGTATCTGGTCGACCAACTGAAAAGCTCATTTCTCTGTAACAGGTCAGAATCGATAATCCACTGGTCGAATTCCTGTCACAAAAGTTCAAAACCATGCTTACATTTCAAGTGAGAATAATCCCCTACACAAAACAATCATTAGCCTGAGCCTCGAAGTAAGGCCCCTTCTCCACTTACCACCAAGTTTTCGAGATCCAGCTCGAACGTTGATCATTAGGGCCTCGGACCTCTCGGTTAAAGCCAGCAGATAGACAAGTGCGTACCGCCAAACCAAGATACATATAAGCCACTATTAAATTAGTATTATGGAAAAAGCGAATGTCGAGGGCTACTTACGATTGGGGTTAAGTTCGTTTTGACAAATTTTTGCCTGCAAGCTAGTCAATAAAAATTCTCGTTGGTCTTACGTTTAGCGAATGAACCTGGCATACCATCATATAGAGACATTGAACAGTTTCAAGATCATTCGAGAACCGCAAGTGATTCAAGTAAGCCTGGGCTTCGCCAAACAGCTTGCGGCTCCATTCGAAGCGACCCAGACCAGCAAGGGTATCCTCGTCCCATACCCGCACCAGCGATCCAAAAGATAGGATACTCAAATACAGTGCGACGAAGCTGGGCTCGGGGGTATGAGAGCGATTAAGCCACAGGTCGCTGGCGCGCGCGAAAAAATCTTCCTTGTCGATAAAAGGATGAATGAAATGAATATTCTCGAAATAACCATTCATAAACACATGCGCCTGGTCAAAGTAATAATTTTGCTGCTCGATAGAGGTTAATTGGCCAGGGCCTGTGGTTGATGGAGAGAAGCTAGGGTTGTGCAACGTTGAGATCAATGAAAAGTTCGCTGCGCGAGGATGGTATTCCTCGTGGGGCTTCGGCTCTCGAGTCTTTTGCAGATGGCCGAGAACAGCCGCTGAGGAGGTACTGCCGTGAAATTCGATTGCGTTCGTGTGAAGGTTTAGTTCGTTGATTTCGTCGTCTGCGCTCTCCCCGGACTCCTCTGGGGGCTCGTTGGGCAAATTGGCTGTGTCGCGCGGTGTGGAACCTGTTCGTGGCATGGAGCAAGGTGTTGCATCCAATGCCACGGGAACTACAGCTTGAGCGCTCGGTGCATTGAGAGGCAAAGGAGATGTGATATGGGCCTCGGCTGCGCGTAGCTTCGAGGCGAGCTCCTCTACCTTCTTCTCAAGGTCGGTAACATAACTAAACCCGTGTCAGTCTACTCATATAAGGAAACCACTGGAGCTACGCAGCGCAGACAGCGCTGGAACAAGGTTGGAAAATTTGGGTCTGACATACCTTGCAGACCGGGTGCTTTCACGCTCCCTATAATTCCCCTGATACACGCAATCTAGGTGACTCTCTATAGCGCTGTTAGTTCAAGTAGCCAAGAGTCCCCACACGCAATCTACCCCTCCATCAACTCACTTCTACAATGTGCGCATGGGTATTGCTCATCGCACTTATACTTCTTCGTCCTGCACCGGTCGCAGGCCTGGGCAGCCCGAGGCCTCTTGGTCCGCTTAGGTGCAGGATCTTCCCCAGGTGAATTCTGAATGGCTTGCATTATCAAGGCATCATGCCACAGCAGGGAAAATCTGGGGGTGGATCAAGCTAGTTGCAGATGATAGATGATAACGAACACGAGGTCGGATTTTCCGGAGGGTTGCGCAGTGCGCTTGCAGGGGTCCACGTGATGGGGCTGCGGGGAACATAATCCGGGGAAACCAATCAACGATCTCGCTTGCAATCACTACTTTCCGGTGAACTCAATATGAATTAGACTCGTTTTGCAGGTCATGGGATCGGATATGCATCTCGGCAATTAACAAAGTACAGTCTTTTTAAAAAAGAAAAAAAAAATTAAAAAAAAAAATTTATGGAGAAAATAATGCTTGAAATCCAATCATCAATGTTCGCTATTTACACATCGCTATCTAATAATAATTTGTACGTCGTTATATAACATTCGTGCCTTAAAAGGTCACGTTGAGTCGCTCCGCCACTGACGCTAGCTGTGAAGGGTCCCACTCAGGAGCCTGGTCTGGCAAGACAACACCCTCCACGGGCTTACCCAGCTCGTGGATGAGGGTCTCAATACCATCACCATCAGCGAAGGAGTGAACCTTGACATACTTGCTCACAAAGTCCAGCGCAAATGCCTGTCCAGCAGGAATAACCACGGTTTCACCCTCACGGAAGATGGTCTCTCCAGAGCCCTCCAGACGGACCTTGAGAGAACCCTCCATCACACAGAAGCAGTGGTCAACCTTGTTAAAGGTCATGAACTTGGAGAGCGCAGTTTCACCGTAATCCTTAGATGACTCAATGCTGGAAATAGCACACACCCCGCTGCTCTGCTTGGTAGTGACAAACGGACGGGACATCACACCACCCAACATCCAGCGGGGACCAGTGTTTGCACGGAGGAAGTAACCCTCGGATCCCTCGGGAAGCTTCTCGTCGTCCTTGGTCCACTCGCCCAGATCGGGGGGCTGGTAGTGAGGCTGGAAGACGACGTCGAATTTGCCCTTGGCGGCCATCACCTTGGGGATCAGGAGGGACTTGATGTCCCGGTCATCAGTCTCGGGACACAGGATACCTTCGTAGGGCTCGGAGACATAGCGGAAGAAGTCGACCCAGTCACCGGGGGTAATGAGGCCTTGGAGCTCGGTGTGTGGGCCGATCATGTCGGGCATGTGAACGACGAGCTATGTGCATAATGAGATCAGTATTTCTCCTTGAGAAAAAAAAAAAAAGGCCTGCGATTGTTGTACATACCGGTGGGACATAGGCAAAGTCACCGGGACCCATGATCCGGCACTTGTCTCCGTTGTACAGCTTAAGGAATCCCTTGGTCACCAAGAAGACATCGTGGGCTTTGTTGTGGTAGTGGAAGCCGGGAGCATCGGAAAGAGTGGCACCGCTTGTGAAAACGGCCATCAAGCCATCAGTCTGCTTTGAGGAAGTCAAGATGCGGAAGACACCCTTGCTACCGGGGATGGTAATGCGTTCACCCTCCAATTGGGGGATAGCATAGGGGATCCGCTCAGCGGGGGGTTGATTTGAGAATGGCAGAGACATTGTGTGTAGGGTTTGTTTGAAGCAGAGATTCGGAAAAGAAGTGATTTTGAAGAAGAATCTAAGTTTGAAGGAGGAAGAGGTCTAGTTTTAAAGCTGCGGAAACTCCACTCCAACTTTCTCTGCTCGGTATGCGGGGGACAGGTTGCCGAGCGGAGGCATCCGTGGCTCGGAAGACCCGAGAATGTCTGGCCTTTGGTGGCAATTGGGGCAATTTGATTTGTTCTTTCTATGGAACGTGATCATTTCGAGTGGATTCAAACGCTTATAACAGGGATTGAGTTATTTTAATCTGGTTGGTTTCGTTCAAGTTATGCGTGTTCGTAGTCAGCGGAAGCAGTCTAAAGCCGAGACGCGATAAATGATATAGGAGTCTGTGTGTTTGTTGTGTCTGTTCGGCTTTGATGTAAATCTTTATAAAAAAAAAACATACGGAAATTTCGTACAACTTGTACAATTCATATTGAGTGTACTCAGTAATCAAATTTGCCATTGCAAAGGGGCCTTGTGATCTTTTAAAATGGCGGGGTCAATTTTTGCCCCGCAGTTCAACGCGTCGCGCATAGAGAGGGCCGACGGAGCTAAATGCAGATACTAGGACTAGTAGTTATGATAAGCAGACTCGGAGGCAATTGAGTAATGATTACTGACAGAGAAAAGCCGACGGAACTCAACCCGAGCCCACTTGCAAAATGTCAAAAATCCCACAATTTTCCCTCAGTCCGGGGGGTGATCCCATATACATAAACAGGACTTAACCGTTCAGACCTCCAGTTGATAGGATCCAAGTTGAAGAAATCAGGGCCGTTTAACAATGCTCATAAATGCCTTTCCGGCGAGATGGGATTGGTCCAGGTCAAGCTTGTAGAGCCCCCTTTGCCACTCCAAATGCATCCTTAATTATGGTGAAGGGGTAAAATCTCATCCGTTCCCCACGCTCGTGGGGACGCCGCCTTACTCCGAAAATCTGTGGGGTTTCGCGACTGTAGTATATTACTCGTGCCCTTCTCTCTTTTTCCTCTTCTTCAATTGATTCTATTTCCCCCTCTTTCTCCCAATCTACCCCTCCCATCCATCCCACATATATAATGGCGTCTTCTAATTCGGCTGCGCTCGAGAAGCCGACTGGCGAGTACCGCCAGTACTTGCCCGACCTGAGCTTGGAGCGCTTCCAGGTTATGTGCACGCAGGACGCGCACGAGTACGCCGATGCCTTTAAGACATTGAAGCAGCCTCCCTGGTTGCACGGACTTTATTCGCATTGGCTGGACCTTTTGCAGGAGCCCTTCAAGGGTGTCACCACCGACGGTAAGTAAAGCATTGCGTCATGGACCAAACCGCCATATCCAAATTAGCCCGCTCCAAATAAAACGAACCAAAAAAGAAGAGTATGGACAGTTTCTAATATACACCTCTCAGGCCGCGTTCGTCCCGATCTTTTCACTATCCAAGATGAGGAGGTCCCCATCCAACACATCGTGGATACCACACAGACCTTCCTAAGCTTGCTAGACGATAAGCAAAAGGAAGCCGTCAGCTACCACATCGACTCCCCACAGTGGCGCACATGGTCAAACCCAGAGTTTCTACTCGCACACAAGGGTGTCCGTCTCGACGAAGTCACCGAGAACATCCGCGACGCAGTCATGAACGTCCTCAAGGCCACTCTCTCCCCAGAGGGGTACGAGAAGGCCGTCAGCGCCATGCGCATCAACCACTTCCTCGGCGAACTGGTCAAGTCCCCGCGCGTCATGAACGAGTTCTCCTACAACTTCGCCCTCTTCGGTCGGCCCTCCACCACCCGGCCCTGGGGCTTCTCCTTCTACGGCCACCACCTGTGCTTGAACATCTTCCTGTACAAGGGCCAGATCATCGCCTCGCCCTGGTTCACCGGCGCCGAGCCCAACGAGATCGACTCCGGTCCTTGGGCCGGCACCCGTATCATGCAGGTAGAGGAGAAGCTGGGCCTGGAGCTCATGCAGTCCCTTACCGTCGAGCTACAGAACAGTGCGCGGGTCTTTGAGAAGATGAAGGATCCCGCCATGCCACCTGGTCGCTGGAACAAGGATGACCAGCGCCACGTGTGCGGTGCGTACCGGGATAACCGGGAGGTGCCGTACGAGGGTATCCTGGCGTCGACATTCAATAAGGCGCAGAAGGAGCTTATGTACGGTATCTTGGAGCAGTATTTGCTGTACCTGCCGGCGAAGTCGCGGGCTGTGAAGCTTGAGCAGGTGCGGAAGTGGGAGGCGGAGACTTACTTCTGCTGGATTGGTGGAAACAGTGATGAGGATCCGTTCTACTACCGTATTCAGAGCCCGGTTATTCTTGTTGAGTTTGATCATCACTCTGGCGTGTTCTTGAACAATGAGGAGCCGAAGAAGTTCCACATTCACACCTTGCTTCGCACTCCTAATGCGGGCGATTACGGTCAGGCCCTGCGGGCTCAGATTCCGGGTATTGAGGGTTTGAATGGAAAGGAGATTGTTTGGTAGGTGGATGATACCTGAAATTTGGCGTGGATTTCTCTCTTTTTTTTACCCTCTTGATATAAACCTGTCATGTATAACTTTATGCGATGAATCTTGATGACTTTTCTATTTTTCCCTGTTCGCATTTCTGGGGTTGTGTACGGGGAAACGTTTGCACTTTTTTCTCTCTTTCTTTTCGTCTTCAATATAGACTGATTTAGTCTATTTACTTGAAGGTCCACCCGAGATACCAAGTTATGATTGATTTGACGAGTTTTTCTCAAGGATAAGATTCCGAAAACAAGACTTGTGTCAATTGCATTCAAAAGCTCGCTGAATATGAAACATTCCATCCAAATTAGTATGTTATCAGAAAACGCTAAGAATCCCACCCAAGGTTCGTAACCAATAGTATATACAACCTAATGAAACACCAAACTATCAAAGAACATCAATACATCAAGTCAACAATCGCGACAGGTAATTAGATATCACAAACCAATGACAATAGAAACTTCCGCTCATCGATAGATATGACCCGTGTGGATATTGAACAGCACGTATACAGCTTTGTAACCTAGACGGGATTAGAAGAAAGCCTTCACGAAGTAACCCTAATATCATCATGATCAGGTATAAGCTCATAGCCACCCTCAGATGGCAAGGTCTTCGCCGCAACAATGACCGCGCCAGCGCAAATCAAACCGATACACCAACTAGCGGTGCAGAACATCCAGGACTCGTCCAAGTGCCAGCCAACAAAGAAGCGATCCTCGTTATCGAAGAGGTATGCCTGTACCCGCGAAAGGATTAGTATATGTATAAACGACTAGAAGTTGTAATTATTTGGTTCTCCGCTGTTATCCTTACCACTATCGACATACTGGCCGCTTGGATAACCGCAGACAGTATGACAAATATACTCAATACGCGCCACCCGTTTTCGCGGAGCCGCTTTCCTCCCGATAGAATAATCAGGTACGTGACGATACTCAGGCCTTGCAGCACGACGGCAAAGGACATCAGGAAGCCCACGGAGCGCCACATGGAGCAGAAATATCGGTCTTCGCCATGACAGTCCTCGCGCACGGGGAACGGCTCACATGTATCGGAGAGGGAGGAGCATCGGAGGTGGAGGCCGTAGGAATAGTGGTGCGCGGGCTGGAAGGCAAATGTCAGTTTATTTTTCTCTTTTTTGGGGCGGGTTTCTTCTGCGGTCGCGTGAGGGGAGCCAAAAAGCCAGTAGAGAAAAGAAAAAGAAGTAGAAAATAGCATGGTTCACCTTTTCGCTGTGATAGCTGACCCATTTGGGGATGACGATGGCGCTAATAGTTAAACCGAATGCTTGTTGTCATTAGCATTCCAAGCGGTAAAGTGCTGCCTGGATTCGGTGTGGACGGAGTTGTTCGCTTACAAGCTAGAAACACCACCAGGGTGCTTGAGTAGACAATGGTTTTGGTGAGGAAGCCTGTGTAGTTGTGATCTGTTCCCCGTGGGACCATATGGAAGTCCATGGTGTGACCGTGGGGGAAGAGTGGTACTATGGAGAAAGGGAAAGGTGGGTCGATATGGGAGGTTTTTGGCCCGTGCGACGGGAGGGGATTAATGCGAGTCGGAGTTAGGATTTAAAATGCAAAGGAAAATAAGAAAATTGCAAGTCGGCTATTAGAGAATGGAGTACAGTGGAAAGGGAAGAAATACTACAAGAATCAAGCGCAAGAGTATATGAAGTGATTGAAGTGATTGATTTCAAGTGAAATTCCGGGGGTTGACCCACTTATGGTGTCACGTTAATCTTGATCTCTGCGTCATTTGGTTCACCAATCAAGTATAAATGCAATGTTGATGGGTATTCTGATTTCATGGCTACTATATCGATCTCATGTAAGCTGAAAGTGAAGGAGTCTAAGAAGGGTTATTAGGGGAGAGATAAAACGAAGGGCTTACCAATTAACTCCTAGTTTATACACTCAGACCTATAATTTATACTAAATACTTTTTCTTTGTCCTTCTCTGCTTCAAATGCTTTATCCTCTCATTATTGCTAGGTTATATAGTCTTCCAGCACTACTTATCAAATACGTCTGCCCTCAAGTACTTGATTGGGGAACCGAATATCATGCTTATAAACTTGAGTAGACCTGCCTGTAGGGGTGACTCAATGTCTCATTAATTCATAAGACGATCATTTCGCGAGATCTCTCCTACTAGTATGCATGGAAACCCGTCCTGACAGAATGGATCTCTTCAATGTTGGAACAGCCGTCATCATTAGAACTAAAGGAAAACCCAGCAATACAGACAGGCATAATATACAGTGAGCAGACCTTCTACCCGACACAAAACGAGAAGCAAGGAAAACACCTGGGCATAGCACAAAATAAATGAATCCAGATGGATTTCGTGGGGTCTCATCGCAACATTCAAGGGACCTTGCCACCCGAGCAAAAAGAAAAACGAAAAATGAAAAAAGCACGGGGGGAGGCATGATTGATGTGAAAAAAGGGAAATGAAAATGAAAATGAAAACGCCAACCCAGAATCATGCCAGAACAAATACGAATGTTGCGCCGGATAACGTTCATTGCCATAGCACACTCATTTCACTCGGTGCGCTTTTGTTGCAACATCGCTCGGAAATCATTATTGCTCTTTTTAGGTGGACGCTCACCATCGGCCGTAGTGTCCATATTATCGCCGTCCTTGACGGGCTCATTGCCGGTACTGGGAACAGCTGCTCGTTTCACTCCCAGTCCGGCTCGACGACCTCCGCGGGACCCAGGTTGTTGGGGGCGCCGAATAGGTGCCGCAGGTTGGATGGCGGTCTTGGGTTTCGCAGGTTTGCTCGAAGTGATTCGAGTCGTCTTGTGCTCAGCCTGTAGCTTTTTCATATCTTCCACCGTGCCGATATGGAGTGGCCGACCTGAAATAATTTCTTTGCCCTCGAGTGCCAAAGTAGCCTTGCCGGCATCCTGGACATCGACAAACTCAACAATGGCACCTTGATGATCCGGTCGAAGAATGATCTTGACGAGTCGACCTAATGGTTCAACCAGGGCACGGATACGAGCATCATTGACAGTGTCGGGAACATTCATCAATGCAAGTGTACGGTCCCAACGATCACCAACTGTCTCCACGAGGTTGGCGCCATTAGACTCTGGAGTTGGTGAGGCTGAGTTAGCAACGCGCGAGATAATGGTGCTGGTGATGCGCTTAGCACCGCCCTGGGTACTGGGTAGAACCCGAATTGGGCGAGACTTGAGAGTTTCGCCATCCATTGCAAGTGCTGCAGTTGCCTCCTCCTGTAAAAAGAAAATTAGTATTGATCGGGTACATATAGGTTTGGGAGAGAGAAAGTTCAAATGGGCGTACCTTAGTGGAGAAAACCACAAAGCCGTAGCCTTTGAAGCCACCATCAACCTTGCATGGTAGGGTGATATTCTCAATTGTGCCGTATTTCGAAAAGGCCTTCCGAAGATCTTCCTCATCCAGTCTGAAGGACAAGTTTGTGCAGAAAATCTCACGGCCTTCTTCGAGTGCTCCGCCACGCTTTTGCTTCTGCGCTGGGTCCGAGATTTTGGCGACAAGATTGAGCTTGCCGATGGGGGATCCATCTAATTCAGTGGCCTCGTGGGCAGCACTGGAAGAAGCGAACTGGATATAGCAGAATCGTCGACTTGTCTGATACTTGAGTGAAGGCCAGCGCACTTCAACGATACGACCATACTAAAAAAGAAAAAAATGTTAGTTCGTCGTTCAGAATTCAATCATCAAATAAATCGTTGCTTACTTTGCCAAAGAGATCATGGAAATATTGATCATCTGCAGTTGGGGGAAAGTTGGCAACAAACAGAGTCGACTCGGCATCGGATTCGACATCGATGGTGTTATCCCCAAACAACTTTTGATCGCGGGTCAAGGCACTAAGGGCTTCCTCTTTGCTGTCGAATTCGATCTTCGCAACCTCGCAGTTTCCATCCTCTCCAGCGAGCATCTTGACGCCATTGATGGTACCAATCTGTGATCCGTATTAGTGTATGCGGTTGTTTGTGGATTGACAGGGGGTGCTTACATGTCTGAAAAACTGGCGCACTTGATGTTCAGATGTTTCTTTCGGCAAGTTTTTGACCACCACAGATGAGTGCTCCCGATCACGGCGAACTTCTGATGGTTCTTCCTTGATCTCTGGAGAAGTCTCCTCGCTGCGGGTCTTTTTGCTATCAGGCTCACCATTGGTGTCTGCCTCATCCTCCCGTTTTCTCTTTTCCGATGACGAAGTTGCCTCGACAGCAGCGTTCAACTGCTGCTGCTGTGCTGTCGCAGCCTCGTGGGCCTCATGGGCCTCTCTCTCCCTTCGAGAAGTTACAGCCCTCATGGCCTTGCGAGTTTCAATGACAGCAAGTTGCAGCTCATCCGAATCTGCATAGTCTTCACAGTGGGCAAGGTAGGTCTGCACAATCTTTTCGGGCCAGTCGAGGTCAGTTCGCGCGATGGCTTGTTTCAAAACAGCAGTGGCATAGCTGGGCGTAGGGGTACGTCTTGCGGCATCCACCGTCGCCTCGCCCTGAACAAACTTGCTCCAAGAGATAAGCTCCCAAGAGTAATAAGTAAGCCAGAATTCATAGCTATTGCCACGGCGAGCCACAAGACCCTTGAAGGTCTCACGAGCACTGTCCCAACTACCACTTTCGCTGAGGTATCGGATATAAATGCGCTCCAGACGGAACAAGGGATCACCCTGATAAGATCGACCATATTTCTTCTCACCCAGCTCTTGAACACTCTCGATTGCTGAGCGGATTCCAACCTCTGCAACATCCAAGTCTTCATCAGTCGAATCTGAGAGAAAGGCGCGTCGGCGGAGGTAAGCACACCATGTGGTATGGACTTTGAGCACTTCTTCCAGTCCACCGGCATCGAGCAACCCTGTTGCGGTAGCCCTGTGCTTGATATCAGAGATTATGGCAAATGAAAGGCCCTCTCGTTCCGAGCTCAGGAGGTATTGTGACCATAGGTTACCAGACCATGGGCAGTGACGTGTCCCACGGTCGAGGGTTGAGATTGTCGTGGTGGATGCATGGTTGTGCATCGATTCCTCAAGAAGGAACATGACGTGGCCCTCCCATAAAGCGACATCGGTCGGGAAACGAAGAACGGCGCGCTGGTAGATTGCATTGGCGAGGTCGAAGTGGAATTCCCGCTGGCGGCGGTTCCGGGTTGACTCCCATTCAATATACTCTATGTACACAGCGTATTCCAAAGCCTTATCACCGGACTCTTCGGCCTTGCTCAGCCGATGCTCAAATTCTTCTCGCGCAGAGTACATCGCCTTGATATTCGAGCCTTGAGCAACAGTTTCCGACATAACGTTCTCATAGTTGGATTCATAGTAGGTGGAGACGAATCCCGAGAAGTTCTGGAAGGTCTGATCCCAGTTTGCATGAGGCGTCTGCAAGCGAGAATCGTATAATCCACGAAGATGGTTGATTTTATCCTGCGAAGGCGACCGGGAAATATCCTGGGTCAAAAGTTCAAGGTACCGGTCCCATACCATATGGCTGTTGTTGATTCTCCATCTAGTCGATTCGGCTGCGTCCTTCCACACATCCAAAACTGACTGCCATGTAAATCTCCGACGGTCTTCCTCGGTCCACTGGCCAGCTCCGCCGGTTTCTCCGACAGCAGATTTGTATAGGTACAAGACCCATTCGCCATAAATATGCCAGAGATTGGTGCTGCCAAATTCTTCGATGACTGATCGCCTGCACAAGCTAACAACCGCATCGCGATCTGCCGCCGAGTTGGTCAGCATACTCTCATCCTGAATCCACTCTGCCCAAAGATTCTCCCCCATGGCGAAGAGCTTGTCCATTTCCTCTCGGGCTATCCGCATATCCTTGAGGAGATCGTATCGCCGAGGGTCTCCGTGGAGTTCCGGGTTATTGGGCGGGTAGACATGGTTGACGAAGCCGCCGTGCAAGATACCAATGAATTTGACATGCGCGTCGTAGGTGTGGGGGTTCTCTTGAATTTGATTAAATAGATCAGTCGCCGATCGCTGTGCGTCCGGGTCCAGCGATGTGTCTGCATAGTTCCTCCGTGCACTTTCGCGTGGTCCTTCAGACATGGCAATATCGAAGGATGTGCGAGGGATGGGGGTGTTGTGGTTGATGGTATTCACGTGAGGGTGGATGGTAGAAGGAGATAACTGGTGCTCGTATGACTCGGTACCACGCAGCATGCTTTGGGCGTTCTGGCGCTGTGGCTGGTGGTGTTGCATCGCAGCTAGGTCGGCCAAGGTGTCCATACCGGGGGTTGAGGGTTTGGTCGATGACGGTCGGTCGGTCGCAAGCGAGTCATTGCCCGCATTTAGGATCGGGCCAACGGGAGGGCTGGCTCTCGTCGGTGAGGTTTCCGAGATTGTGGGCCCAGTGGGAGCGTAGATCTGCTGGGCCAAAGGTGAAGAGGTCTTGCTTTTGCGAGTAGACCCTGAGCGCGTCCGCTGAAGTGCTTTGTGGGGGCTTGGCCCTGGAATCGGGGCCGGTGCGTTATTTGACGTGACACCGGGCACAGGCGTCGAACTTCCAGATTGAGGATTCGAGTCCGGGGACAGCAATGAATTGATGTCCATCTTGCCGGACCAGCGCAGAGGGCGAAAGAAGGAGAGATAGAGAGAAGAGAGGAAAAAAACTGCGATGCGCTCCCGAGAGGAGGGATAAGAGGGGAAATCGAAGCGACCGAGTTCAAGGAAATATCAGAGATCGGTCACGAGGGGTCACGGATAGTGCTAAAGAAGCAGCGATCGAGATTAGACGAGGGCCACGAGATTCCTCAACAACAAGTCCATTCCTATATTGACCAGCGCAACTTATGATCCTAATCTCGTCGTGCCGATTTCCGGAATCGCAGAGAGTTCTCACGAGGCGGTTCACACCACTATGAATTGCTTTCCTGTCGCTGAAGCTTCGTGATGCTCAATGAAGGAACACAGGGTGGGTAAAGGAACGTATTGACCAAAGGAGCGGGAACCAGGGTCAGGCAAGTCAAGGTCGAATCTGCAGCTTGGTCGAAAGCAGGAACCGTGGGGAGGAGAATGGGGAGATACGCCACAGGCGAGTGGCCTGGGAGAGGTAGAGTTAGGATGAAGAAAGGAAGGGAGCTGATGAGGGAAAGTGAGAGCAAGAATCGGGAAGGAGAGCGCTGAAGGCCCTGAAAGAGGGAAGATGAGGGCTAGTGGATCTTCACTGTGGAGATGACGGTGTGAGGGAAGACCTGGCGCAGTTTGGGCGATAAAGTTGGCCGAGAACCCCATGAGGCCCGAGTGTTTTAATCTACCGCAATCAGAAGTACAAAACGATCAAGCGCTGCAAGTCTAAATTTCAGGGTGGTGGGGGGAATACGATACTATCTCTTTTACTTTCTTTCTTCTATTGTTCGTGATCGATCACGTCGCGACTTGCATTTGGTGGCCTGAGGCATGAGCACTAGCTACGACAGGCCATAGAGACCAACTATGCACCGTAAGTTTCACCTTTTTTCCACGCTGCTCCGATCTCCGATCCCCAATATCACATCTCCGAACGGCCACAATGGGTGCTGTCTTACCTTATGGGCAGCTGGTCCGGTCTGGTATGCTTCAGATGCCACCCCCAATTGCAAATCATACAAAAGCTAACCTTTATTGCAGCGGCCCGGACCCGTGTCGCGTACGTCCCCCGGCGAACATTGACTACAACCCCCATTCGTTATAACCAAAACGACCAACCTGCTCCCCAAAAGTCATCCTTTTTCTCGTCAATGAAGAATTGGGTTCTTGGAGATTCAAAGCCCAAAGCTCGCACACCAGCCGCCCCCAAGCGCGAGGAAGGCAAACTCGGCTCCGGCTCCATTTTCGCAGAAGATCTTGGTGATACCTCCGGCCCAACCCCCCGCAAGAAGGATCAGGGCAAACAACAAGATGCCGCAGAAGCTGAGGGCTCTAAGTCATTGGATGCGCGCGACAAGACACTCCTCCAGATGGGTCTGAACCCCAACCCGAAAGCCCAGCTCCGATGGGAGAAGAAGATGCTCATCCGTGAGATTCGGAAACGCGGCCGTCTTCCCAAGGCCGTTCAGATCAAGCGGACAGAGCGTGAACAGCTCTCCAAGTCACACTGGTTCAAGACCTCCGTCAAGAAGCTGGGCCCCCTCGCCCGCCAGATTGCCGGTAAGAACATCGACGAGGCTATCCTCCAGATGCGTTTCAGCAAGAAGAAGGCTGCCCTGGATGTTCTGGGTCACTTGGAGCAGGCGAAAAACGAGGCCATGGTCCGTGCAGGCATGGGCCTCCCGGAAGAGAAAACCGAGCCCACTAAGCCCCTTACCGTCATCCTCAAGTCTGGTGAGCGCAAGACCGTCACCGACCCCACAAACATCTATATTGAGCAAGCTTGGGTCAACCGTGGTCCCTATGGATTTGGCATGGATCACCGTGCTCGTGGTCAGATCAACCGCCTGCGCCCACCAGCTGCTGGTCTCTCCATCATGTTGAAGGAGGAGAAGACCCGCATCCGCGAGTGGGAGGAGCGGGAGGCTACTGCGCTGCGCAAGCGGAAGGAGCAGCTCTGGGTCCAGTTGCCGGATCGCAAGGTCTCTGCCCAGAGCCAATACCCTCTCTGGTAATTGTGTGGACTGTTGCTCTTTCCCTCTTTGGCGTTGCATTTGTATTATTTTAACACCTGGACTCTGCACCATATTGGTGCTTCTCCGATCTATTTGGTTTTTTTCGTTGTCCTCGGCCGGAGTGGGGAGGATTTTGCATGCAGTAGAAGAAAACGGGCTAATCGCCCATGTACAATATCTACAATATGAAAGGCATATCACATGAATATTTTCCAATTTTCTTTCAAATTACTAGTAACTTCTAATTGAACTAAATATGCATCCATGAACAATCCGTCTGAATTGAATCCGTACAATCAGCCACCAATTGCTCATAACCGCTCCGCCTGCACAACAACAGGAATCACTGCTCCTGTCTGCAAAGGAAATTCACGGTGTCCAATGATCTCAAGGATACTAGTAATAGCACCCGAGTGCGCCGTAAGAGAAAGGAAAACATTCTCATCATTCGCAAAAATATCATACAGCAACTCGGTGAATCGCGCATTGCGCTCCTCATTCGTCTCCCGGTGATTGGCATGCCAGAGCAAATCATCCTCAGCAAAGCCCGGCTCGAACTGATATCCCGGGAACTCGGCCTTGATTTCAGATGCTTTGGACCGGCGGTCACAAGTATGCTCGCCTAGTGTTTCACGGAGAAGCTATGCCCCGTATTAGTAGTGGATCATTACTTTGTAGATTTCTCTCGCAACTCGTTATGATATCGGCACCAGAGATGAATCATCATCTGCTTACCTCTTTAATCAAAGGTTGGAATGGCTTCGTGAGCGGCATATCCTGTTCCTTGAATGTGATTTCGGCCGTCTCGCAAGTCCGATGCAACGGACTAACATAGTACGACTGCGGTGGCGGAATGCCATGGGCGAATTGCGTTTTCCATGTTTCTTGGGCAGTTTTGGCTTGACCTCTGCCTAGATCCGTGAGCCTGGCATCAACCCAGTTTCCATACTCATCGCCGTCAAGGAGAGACCAATATGCCTATGATAAGTGGTCAGTCGGTCGTTCTTTGGGAGCATAGCGAGGGCTCTGAAGGGAACTGGTAGTACGTACGTCCCACGCTGCGGTGCCATACCGGGTCTCGGCGACATTATGGACACCCTGGCCGTGTCGTCCGAGGAAAAGCACTTTATATTGTACTGATGCACCTCCCAGGTTGTTCAGTTCATTGATGCTTTGGATGAACTTCTGCCACTGGGTGTGCAGTGGATCCTCTCCGTGCAGAATGAGGCCAAAATTTGACTCTGACTGTTTTCAAAATGAGTGGAGCGCCTTTTATGATGGATATCAATTTATTTTGGGATCTGGAGGTCAGGCTTTCGTCTTACATAGTCAAAGGTAGCTGGATCAGTGTTCAGCTCATCTTGGAGGAAGAATCCCGGGACGGTGGAGAACTTGAATGGGGCTGGGTGTGTCATTGTATTTGATACCAATTGCATGGTATTGTACCAATGAGACTTGAGGTATGTACGTTCTCCAAGGTTGAAGTAGGGGAAATCACTCCTGAAACGTGCTTCTTCCCGCGGTGGGGCTGCATGCGCGGTGAGCCTTGTGCAGTATACTTAGTAGTAATTACTGCCTACTTCAGAGCCGGTCCAGCTATCCGTACACATCGCAGGTGCACTGCTACGTGTTTTACAATCGCAGATAAAATTCTCCAATTTATCAAAATTCATCAAGCTTTTGAAATTTCCATACTTCTAGTAGTATGTTCTATCATAGGTGGTCCATCTAATATTCTACCCAACGACTGCCTTGGCAAAGCCTTAAAGCACAATTCCAACTCCTTGCTAGATTTTCGATCGTCACAAAGATAGACGCAATAAAACTTGCTTCTATCAGTCATAGGCCCAATATAATTGAGCCCAGGGATTGCATTCTTGCATTCCCATGTCAAAGAGCACCTTGGTGTTTATTTGAGATGGTAAAATCGAATGTTGAATCATGAAAACCAGGAGCTCCGCATGTGTGAAAGCCCAATGCTTTTCCTAGCAGACGTCAGACAGCTTCCAACTGTGGATAGGCCCTTCAAGATAACATGATCTGCCCAACTGGTCAGAGATGTTGACTGCCTCAAAGGCAAAGAACTTGAAAGACCAAGCTGAGAATTGACGGAGTGAATAAAGGTCTGGATGATATGGCGGATGCCGGCATTGCTCCCGAAATTCGAAGTTTGACCGTCGTCCTTGATGGATCGTTGCGGCCGTGCGGATTGCAGTTCCACAGGGGGTTGCGATCTTGGAATTGCGAACGGTTGTTGGGCGGCGCCGTAGGGGAGCAGCCCGCTTGAGCTTGCGCTTTGGGGTGCAGAACTCTTGACAAATAAGGAAGCTGTGGTTTGTTCTGTATTTCCGCGACGCGCCACAGAGAAAGACCTGGTTTTGGCGGTACTCGAAAGGATTGCAGTTCTGGAGCGGTGCACACAGAGGCCACAGTTTGTTGAGATTCCAGTAGCAGGTTGGGCTGGCCAAGGTTGGTTGGTAGCATTCTGGCTGCACGAAGCCACATGCCTGACATGCGTGGCTCTCGGCCGCCGAACTTGGGTCCCGGGTTGACCGGGAGTCCCGATTTCGGGCTTGCTTGTCGTAGATATGGTTTGCCTGGCATGCTGGGATGCAGTAAAGCTTCGAAGGAGGTCCTTGGGGACCGCAACAGTCTTTCGGTTTGTTTGCGGCGATGTGCTCGGCATAATCGAGGTTTGAGGTCTCGAGGATGGCAGCACAACAGTCTTCCGATTTGTCTGAGGCGATGTGCTCGGCATAATCGAGGTTTGAGGTCTCGAGGACGGCAGCACAACAGTCTTCCGGTTTGTTTGAGGCGATGTGCTCGCCATAATCGAGGTTTGAGGTCTCGAGGAAGGCAGCACAACAGTCTTCCGGTTTGTTTGAGGCGACGTGCTCGCCATAATCGAGGTTTGAGATCTCGAGGACGGCGACAACACTGTATCGCCAGGGAAACTGTTTGAGCTTCTCGGTTTTTGACTGGTATCCAGGACCGGTGACAGCACAAAGCTTGTACTGTACAAGAGATCGTGGCCCGATTTCTTGCTCTTGAACTTGGTGGTTGACGTGGTAAATGGTTGTACCCCGGTCGGGCTGATTGACGGCTCGTTCACAGGAGATTTTACCATGGCCTTCTTGGTCATATCGATCGGTGGACGTACGACCTGCGCAACCCGTGAGAGGTCGTGATCAGAAGCATTGAATGAATGCTGTGACTGTACAGTTCGAGTTGGCGATAATTGTAGCGTCGGTCGTTCTTTGAAGGCGACGTCCATTGGGACTTCACAGGCGCCCGCACGGGCAGCAGCCTTCTCAAGGCAGTTACACTGGATTAGGATCAGTTATCAGGTTCGAGAAGAAGATCAGTAGGTCGCACAAAACTTACTCTCTTGTGCTGTTTCTTGTGCTTCTCACAGGCACCGTATTTTCGCGCTTTGATGTAGTTCTCCTTCTGCGCCTGGGAGCGAGGCTTCTGCTTCTTCGGAAGGTTGGCAGTGGCATTCATGTTCAAATCAAGAACCATCTCCATGCCGCCATTTCCGGATGGGGGAGGAGCAGAAGTCTGTTCCGGGCTGGAACCATTGGATTGAGGGGAGATGCTCTCGCGCATGTAGTCCGACCAGCAAGGCGATGAGAAGCTGGTGTTAGAATCGGATGACATTTCGAGATCCAAGGCCGTCGCATCACATAGGCGCTGCAAATGCAGAGCAATGGCTGCTTCTCGACGCTTCTCCTTGAGAGAAGCGACACGGGGGTCGACAGCGGCCTGCGCCTCAACCATTTGCCGGAAGTCGTAGGTGGTGTCGTAAGATTGGCATCCAGTGAACATGGCATCATCGCAGGATGGAACAAAGTCCGGCATCAGGCCCATATCGGGGGCCTGGTCGGCAAAGAAAGGGTCATGTGAGATGTCGTAGGTGGCCATGTCGGGGAAGCAAGACTGGGTGAGGTCTGGCAGGTTGTTGGCGAACATTTCACCCTCGTAAGGGAGTGACATCTCCGGCGAGATGGAGTTAGCGGAATAATCATCGCTGTAACTCGGGGAGAGGTCAAGGAACTGATCAAAGTCAAGCCACTCTTGCTCGGTGGAGGCATTCACGAATTGATTCTCAACGGACGCCATGGCTTCGAGTCTGACAGGGTACCTTGGAGTACTTTTGGGGGCTAGATAAGGATAAGGATAAAAGAGGGTATATGATTATAATTTATGGGGTATAATCAGGGCCACAAGGGGCCTGTGAAGATTGATTTCACGGGGAAGCGTAGGCTCAAAATGAAGACCGTCAAAGGGACTCGAGGAAGAAAAAGAGAGGGAACCTGAGGCAGATTGCAATTGTATATAGGTGAGCGCTTGTCTAATCCCCTTTGGGGACCCCGACATGCGCTAAACCAGATTAGGAGCCCGACACTGCCCGCTGCCTGAGTCACAAAATGGGGCTTAGATCAGAAAAAGCGGGGGCCTGAAGCTCTGGACTAAGAAAACATGCAAACATGCAAATGACATACTCTACTACGATAGTATGGAAAGTGGGAAGTGGAAAGTGAATGATTCGAATCTGCCTTTCTGACCGCCCTGACCCCATCATTAGTGAGAAATTGAGAATGAGACACCAGTGTACATCACTGTTTAACCCCCACCTGTGACGAACCCTGGAGCATGAAGCCTCGGCGAGTCCCAATTTACATTGAGTCATAAGAAAAAAAAAAATTTAAAAATTATTAAAAAAAATTGCATTTATTGATTTAACCTAATAAATCATGATGTCAACCCTTAAAAGCTTTATTTTTTTCTACAGCTCATGTCCCCCCTTTACTGCTTGTGTATGCGATTGCGACTAACCTCATCATGTACCATATTATCTTGAATTATACCGACTTTTCTGCTTACGTTAAAAGTAAATAAATGCCTTCCATGCTGGTAAGAAACTCAGATAAGTTACTAAGTTACAAACGCAGAATCTACATATAAAATCGAAAATGTAGAGATCTAAGGATCTTTAAATTTAAAATATGTGCAGTTCAATTTCCCATATCACCACCAACTGGTGGATTTAAACCCCCACCAAGATCTGAGCGGAACTTTTTCCAGCTTCAGCTCCGAACATCATAGATTAAAGCAACTTGAACATCCCACCACCACCACCACCAACACTTTCCTCTTCTCAATTCCTACCATAAAAATGGCCGACGAATACAAACCCCCACCGCTCCCTTCTCCATTCACAAATACTAAGCCATCACCTATCCTTCTCGCTCAGGGCGCTGAAGCTCACGTCTACAAAACCGTTTCTCTCGACCCCTCCATCCCAGCCGCTTTGAAAATTCGACCCTCCAAACCATACAGACACCCAATCCTTGACCGTAAATTGACGCGTCAACGAATTATCCAAGAAGCCCGATGTCTCGCCAAACTCGTCCGCGAAGGTGTCAAGGTCCCCGCAGTCCTGGCATTGGACTGGGAGGGACAAGGCGGTGATGAGGCAGGTTGGGGTGGAGCTTGGCTGATGATGGAATGGATCGACGGCCCAGTAGTGCGTGTTGTACTTGAGAAGTGGGAGGCCTGGATGAAGGTGAATCGCGCGTCGTTGGACGCGACACGCATTGCCCAGGAGGAGGCGCGAGTGCGGGGCTTGATCCGGCGCATGGGATCTGCCATTGCTGCGTTGCACAAGGCCGGTGTGGTCCACGGAGACTTGACTACAAGTAACCTTATGCTGCGGACTGCGGAAAAGGAAGGCGAAACGCTTTCTATGGACGGTGAGGTCGTCTTGATTGACTTTGGACTTGCATCGCAGAGTACCCAGGACGAGGATCGGGCGGTAGATTTGTACGTCTTGGAACGCGCTATTGGAAGCACACATCCGCTATCCGAGCCCTTCTTTGGCGAATTACTTGTTGGATATAAAGAAGGGAATAAGGGTGCTACTTCTACACTTCGGAGACTTGAGGATGTGCGGTTGCGAGGCCGCAAGCGCAGCATGCTTGGATAAAGAATGTCTCTTTTCAATTTTGACCGGACAATGGTCTCGACTATTCCGATATGAATATGCATGCGACAATGCGACAACCCTCTTTAATCTTTCATCCCAAAAAGAAGAAAGAAAAGATAAAGATAAAGATAAAAAGAAACGCCACGCTGAATCATGGAAATGAATATTGAACGACCTCAAAAAAGTTACAGGCCTGACTTTCATGGCCGCAACTCGACGCATGTACCAACATCTGCCAAAGCGAAATACCCCTTGTTCTCAACCACTCCGCGATCCTTCACCACTGCCGTATACTTCACCACCCACTGTGGCTCAACATCTCCCTGGATACCGTCGTTCGCATCGGGGGCAGACGCCAGGATGCCCGCGCCCTTGTCCGTTGGGCCCAGAAGCTCTCGCGTCATACCCACCGGGAGAATATCATTGCAGTCATTATGGGTGAGGAGCTGAATCTGCTCTTGCTTGGCATACAGAATCAAGGATTTGGGAACCACACAACAATCCTTGAGATTGATCTGGTCGACAGAAGGCTTCACCTTGGTATGCGATAAGAAACGTGCCAATCGTTCGCTGCCAAATTCCGCCACACCCAGCTGGGAAATCATGCCCTGCTCATGCAGCTCTTCGAGAGTCCGCCAAGTTTGCACCATACTATCGAAATCATCAGGTTCGCCGGTGACCCCAGCATCCTCCTCGTCGTCGCTGTCATCGTCCGCGTCGAAGAGGATACCCGGGAAGGACACAATCAGCAGATCGATAGACTCCACGTGTAGCTCTTTCAATACCAAATCAATCGCCTCCTTTGTGTGTGCACATCGCCGAGAAGCCGGGACGCCTGGTAGATAGAACAGTTTCACTGTGATATCGTATTGAGATCGCTCCTCGGCCAATCCAGGCTGTGAGAAGTCGATTGCAGGGATATAGAGTGATCCGTTCTGTTCTCCTGTCCAATATCCGTAGTCCTTTGTAGAATGCGATCCGTTTGTATGGCCGTTAGAGACTCCGTTCCCGTTGGTCTGGGCAGACCCGTTGGTGAGTGGTGCAATGTGCTGCGATGCAAGGAAATTCGAGCGCAAGGAGTTGATCAGTTCCACGTTGGACTTTTGTGTCAGTGGCAGACGAATGACAGACGGCCGGCCGCCTTGCATCAGGTTCCTGGAATCAAAAAAGTCAGACACTTTGCCTGTTTGGGGGGTGTCTCGTGGTCCCGAAATTCCGCAAGACAATGCGCCGGGAAACGACTTACGAGGTGGAGAGGATCAACTTCATGATGGCGCTGATCAGTGGAGAAGAGAATAAATGAAGAAAAGATATATTAGGAGAGGCTCATGCAGCCGTGTGTGTGCGGACTAAAAGAATGTCTTGGTTGATTCAAACAAAGAATTGCGAGAAAAAAACCCCGCGATTATCATTTTCTTGACCCCTCCGAGTCTCCGAGTCCCTGACAAATCCAGTTCCCGCATTTACAAATTTAGACAAATTCCATACGAATCTAATCTTCCATTCTCCACTATATGTCATATCATAATCACTCGCTAATCTTCATCCACGGTCGGATCCCAGTCAGTAGGCGAATATTCACCCGTATCAAGTAGCGCCATATCCTCCTTTGAAAGTTCAAAGTCGAACACTTCGGTATTCTCACGGATCCGCTGCGGCGTCTTGGATTTGGGCAAAGGCACAAATCCCTAATATAGAGTCAGCTTAACACATGTGTTTCCATGGAACAAGAAGAAATTCAAAAGTGATCTTCAGACTCACCATCTGCAAACTCCACCGAATCATAACCTGAGCCGGCGACTTGCCATACTTCTTTCCAATGGTCGCCAGCACAGGCTCCTGTAGTCTCTCTCCATGCGCGAGAGGCGAATATGCTTCAACTACGATCCCACGGCTCTGGCACCACTCTGCGATATCAGAGTGATCTAGCCATGGGTGCAGCTCCCACTGGCCGACGCTGATCTCGCCGCCCCCGCCATTCTGGATGTACTCTTCCAATTCTTCGAGGTGGTGGATACCGTAGTTGGATACGCCGATCGATCGTGTCTTGCCTGCTTTCTGGGCTTCGACTAGGGCGCGCCAGGAGCCCAGTCGGGCTTCTTTGCCGCCATATGGTGCGTGGAGTAAGACCCTACCGGTTTCGTCCGTTATTAGCTTGGCTTTTTGTAAATGAAAGGAGTGTGTGCAGGCTCACAAATCAAAGTAATTGGTGGCTGCTTCTTGTAGACTCTTGTCAATGGCTCGCTCTGTTGTTTTGTAGCCCATTGAGCCTGGAGGAATCTTCGTGGTCAAAAAGATCTCGGATCGGTCAAGGCCGGAGTTCTGAATGGCACGGCCACAGCCCTTTTCATTTCCATACATGATGGCTGAGTCGACCTAGTTCGTAGATTAAAAAAAGATTGGTACTGGGTAGTCATTTGGGCGCTGCGTTTGTATACATACATGGCGGAATCCGACTTTGAGTGCTTCTTGGGCTGCCTTTTCAGTTGTAGCTGGGGCACTACATCTGTTAGCTGAAGATGGGCTTTCTTCGATTGATTGATACGCACATCATATAAACCTAAGAGAGATCAAAGTCTCGGTCAGCTTGTTTCCCTGCAGATGCAGTTTCATTAGGTGCGATGTATTTACTCACTCCGAACCCAATGACCGGGATCTCATGACCCGATAGCAGTCTATACTTGGATTGCAACGTCTGTTTGAGCGCCATACTTCAATATGTTTGGGTAATTCAAGTTATGTACAAGATGGTGTACTTGAGAGGTTAGGAAGCATGGGGTAAGCATCGAATTGGTCTTCGAAGCGATGAGATCATAGCACCCAAGTGGGGGTCAACCGTAGTATTTACCCCATCCATCGCTTTGAATTTGACAACATATTACACTGAGACCTTCCATGGTTTTGCATAACTTGAGCTCCACATGCATGAAACTTCCGGAAATAGGCTGAATACGATACGTACTAGTAAATAGGTAAAATTAACAGCAAGCCTGATATTATATCAGTAACAGAAGGATGTATTAGATTTCATGCCGTTCTATGACCCTAGTATCTTCAACCTTTCTATGTATACAGGGCACGTTTTTATTCATGCCTGAGCTCAACTGCTCATTTAAGCTGTTCTCTGCTGCTCTTTCAGAGCCACAGCCTCAGCCTCCTCCTTCGCCTTACGCTCCTCTTCGCGCTTCAGCTGATCAGGACGACGAACGGCGATATCCTTAGGGCGGAAATCACTGAAGAAGTGCTTGAGCACATTCTCGATGACGTAGCAACCAACATAGTCGAATGCCATCAGCACGGTCAAGGTAATCTTGAACTCGTTGCTGAAGGGCACCAGGCGCAGCTTCTCGTTGATCTCGGGAACAAACTCGGTGGCACAGGAGAAAGCGACAGCAGAGGCTGCAATGAGACCCCAGTACATGGCCTTGTTCTCACGGATGGATTCACGGAACGGACGACCTTGGTAGTTGATCGAGAAGGTGGAGATTTGCTGGATCAGCTGGAGCAGGTAAATGGCACTGTTCAGAAGAGACGGCTCAAACTCGCCCTCCAGGTCAATGTCGTTAGATCTCCTATAAAATCCATCAGTGTCATGCTCTTGGTTTTTTTTTTTTTGTTATCCGTGTGCCCTTTGAAAACTTACGGCTCGACTTTGTAAACGTAGTTGGAGAGGTAGATCAAAGTCGCAATGTGAATAGCGAATTGACCAAGAACGGATCCAATAATGTACACGTTAAAGATGTTGGGCTGCGGACGCTCCTTGGAAAGACCCTCGACAGACTAGAGCCTATTAGTATTCACGAAACACATCACATAAAATGGTAGTGCGACATACCTTGGCGCGGGAGATGGACAAGAAGCAGACACTCATCAGCATACCACTGATGGTGACCTGGCCGTCACCAAACTTGATGCCTTCCAAGTAAATAACACTCAGACTGTAGGCACTGATCAGGCAGTTCAAAGCAAGAATTTTGTACATTTGGATTGTTGCAACAAGAGTGCAACGACCTTGGCGGAGAATGTTCGGGATCGCAATTACATTAGCCAGCTTACTGGTAAACGGCGCAGCAACAGAAGCATCACCCAACTTGATGGTGGGCGGCTCGCTATCATCCAACTCCTGTTCCAACATAGAAGAGGTGAGCTTGTCAGCGAGACCAGCTGCGGCAGCTTGGGCTTGCGTCTGTCGCTGCTGCTGGGGGGTCATGCTCTGCTGAAGAGCTTGGGCACCGGGAGAAGTAATGGTGGGTACGGGGTCGCCAGGCTTGGCAAGTGCACCCTTCTTTGACATCTCTCTCTCCATAGCCTTCTCGTAGTGTGGGTTACCAGGGCCAGGAGGGTAGAGGTGGGCAATGTTCACAGGGACCGGTGGAGCAGGCTGGTTAAATCTCTGCATCATGCTAACCTGTTTCTCGTATAGCTCCTTCATCTTGGTGGTGCGGTAGTGCTCAGCAATCCGGGTGAGATCATCTGGCGAACCATTCAAAAGGGCAACACCAACGTGAGCTTGCTTCAGAGCACCGACGTCATTAGTACCGTCACCACACATCAGAGTGGTGTAGCCAGCATCCTTCAGACCAAGCAGAATGTCCTCCTTTTGCTTAGGAGACACACGAGCGTAAACCCAGGTGTGGCGCAAAAGATCCGGAAGGGCCTTTTGGTCCTTGAACTTCGCGAGGGCGTAACCAGTGATACAGATGTCCTTGTTCTTCAGAATCTCCGGGTCCAGAGGCTTAGTGGGGTCAACTTCAGTGTTCAGCTTGTCGTCAATGGTACGCCAAACAAGTCGAGTTCCCGAGTTATCATGTTCAGGGGCGTCAAGAATGACAACCTCTCGGTCAACAATCTCAACCTTGCGCGCGACATGGCAGGCAGTCAACGGGTTGTCTCCAGTGATCATAACAACACGGTGGCTGCTCTCGTTCAACATGCGGACGGACTTGATAGCATCATCCTTGAGAGGGCACTGCAAAACAAGGAAACCAGCGAAGATCAGCTCGGACTCGATCTCCTCCCTAACGTAGTTGTTCACACGGCTCTGGGAAAGCTCAGACTCCGAAGAGAGATATTTGTAGGCAAGGGCAAGAACACGAGCACCATTACGAGTGAAGTACTTGTAAGTCTCCTCGTAGTTTGGAGGGGTATTAACCAGCATAGAATTGATAGTCTCGGGAGCACCCTTGACGCCGACGAAAGTAGCTCTGCTCTTCTTGGACGTCTTCGGGTCATTGGTAGTGACAGTGGCGATGGTACTCTGGCGCTTCAGGGCAGAGGAGAATTGGAATCTTCTCTTAATCTGGACGGACTCGACAGGGCGGGATGCAATCTTGGGTGCAGTTCCCTTGGACATCAGAGTATCATTCTTTCCCAGACCCCAGCCAAGCCACTGCAGAGTAGCCTTCTCCATGGGGTCACCAACAACCTCGCCTTCATCTAATTTCACCAAGGCGTGGGCACTGGCAAGAACAAGAGTAGTAGCGGGGCTAACATTTTCAGCCGTGGCCAAATCCGCGTGAGCACCATCCGCTTGAACCTTGGCACCAGACTGGCCAAGAGTGAGACCAGCAATACCGTCAACAACAAGATCTTCACCAGTCAAAGTACCAGTCTTGTCGAAACAAGCAATATCAACACGGCCTGCGAACGGGATACGGAAAGGCTCCGTGCAGAAAATAGCATACTTGCTCAAAGCAGCCAAACTGGTGTTGACGGCCAAGCTCAGTTCCATAGGCAACTCTGGGGGAACAACGCTGGTGACGATAAGGACACAATCCAGAAGGAGCTTGGATCGCTTGCGGTCCTTGATGACACCCTCCTGCCACACGTACCAAGAGGCGGCAATTGCGAAAATCAAGAGGAAGAGAATGAACAACAAAGCCTCGGCGTTGTTGGCGGAAACACGTTCGGTGGAGTAGATCATGGTGCGCACAAGGCTGCCCTGACTGGTCTCAAATCCAGTCTTGACAACCACACCGAGAGCGCCATTATCGGGGGGCATGCTGATACCGTTGACAAGATTCTTTGTAACCTCCTCACCATTTACATTCGGGTGAGTGACTTGAAGAACCTTGGTTCCACCGTGCACAAACGAGTTCTTATCCAAGCCCTCCGGTTCAATGCGGTCATTGCCAGGGCGAAGCTGAACGGAATCCTTGAGCAGAGGGGTACTCTCACCGGAAAGCATTGCCTCGTTCACAATCACACTGCCCTCGATAAGGAGAATATCGCAAGCGACACCGCCGTCTTCCTTGGTTCGGTTGACGGACATCAGATCACCGGGAAGAAGCTTGTCGCTAGTGGTTTCTTGCCATTTGTTTTCGCGGAAAACCCAAACATCGTAAGGCTTGATGCTCATTCCACGGAACTCATTGAGAGTTCTCTGGCGCTGCCAGACGACAGTGCTCTCAAACATCACAAGCATGAAGAGAGTGAACAGAGAGTAGTACCAGTATTCGTCCAGCATCCACAGACCAACACAGAAGACCTGAAAGACAAAGAATGGCGCGACGGCATGCTCTTGGAAAAGCTCGACGAATCCAGGGACGGGAATATCGAAGGTGTTATCGCCATAGTGCTCCTGGATGTTCTCAACTTCAGCCTTGGTGGTTAGACCCTTGCTTTGCTGGAAGTACTTGAGGGCAGGCTTTGGTTCCGCATCGAGGGCGTAGGAGAGGGGCGCAAAGGTCTGGCGTTCCGGGTAGTAGAGGAAACGGCGCTTCTGGAACAAGAACGAGAGGGTCTTCTTGCCACCGGAGGTGTCGTGGATCAGGGGACAGATTTCAGCAATTCCGGCATTGGTGATCGGGATAACCTTAATCAGACGAGCAGTATCAATGGAGCTGGCTCCGATGGTGGTGAAAAGAGTTTTGATGTTGATGTTCCACTTGGTCATCAGCCACAAGAGGGACTGGATGGTGATGATGGACCCCGCCCAAACGAAGGTCCACTCCTGGCCCTGGATGTAGGTATCATAGCGCTCAGGGGACAAGTAGAAGGCGAAAAAGACGGGCCAAATAATCAGGAAAGGTAGGACATAGGGATGGAATTGTATAGCAAGAGGATTGTGCAGGGACGCGTGGTGAATCTGGGGGTCATCTGCGAGTTTTGCCCTGATACGGGTTAGATTGAACAATTTAAAGATGCATAGGGGGACAAGGGTCTCCATGAACTCACATGATGGCAATCGAGGTGACCACGAAGATGGTCGGATGGAAGACAAATTAAAAAAGCATAAAGAAGAAACACCGACTAAACACAGCGGGAGAGCTCAAGAAGAAGCCACCTTGGAGATAAGTAAATTTGGTTTCCAAGAGTTCCAGAGGGTTCGCCCCCCGGACACGCTAGACTGTTGATTATGTCAGAGAAAAATAGTGATTAGCTCATGTAACCAAAGATGTCTCTTCCTTTCACAAGTCCAGCCGGGCTAGCTCAATCGGTAGAGCGTAAGACTCTTAATCTTAAGGTTGCGGGTTCGACCCCCGCGTTCGGTTCTTTTTTTGTTTATTTTTTTCAGTTGCTTACAATGATCTGTTTACTTTTTGATCTCAACTGCAGGTCTTTACAATCTTTCTTTACTACATCTAGGCATAACAAGTAGACCTGTCCAACATCAACTTGGAACTCAGGTCCACGCTTGAGTACTAGTGAGTGCCTCGGATTTCAAGGGCCACATCTATAAGCATGCATAGGTAGTTGAAATATATACATGACTACCTACTTGAGCATGTTCCGTTGAATGAACTTTTAATTTAACCTTGAATTATGAAGAAATAATTACCTAGTGTATTAAATTTGATTCAAATATTTATTGATCACAGAGTGTATAGTAAATCAATTATTATGTAAGACGAGCAAGTAAAGTACAAGTGAAACATTCCAACATGAGGTTGACAGCGCCGATCACGTCCACCTAGAGGCACGAATCAACCAGTCCATCAAAAGTCAGGAAATTCTCACTACCCCAGCTGCCATATCTCCTGTGGGACATATGAAACTACCAGAAGATCATTTCTCATGTTACACCCCTTCACTCGGTCGAGAGAAAAGGTTTCCTCACCCCACCTGCGATAATCTGCCAATGCTGACGCCATCAGACTCCAATTTCACGTCTTCTGAACCCTCCACGCAATACCGCGGCGGCATGAGCTGCGGGGTTGATAGCGAAAGGCGTGCTACAGCTTCGATAAATAATACGAAATAAGAAAAAAGCACAAGGTACGAAAAAAAACCCCCACCAGCTTTCAATTGCATTCATTGCATTCCAATCCAACTACCGAGAAGCTTCGCAAACCATCACAATGGGTTCAACAGAGAAAAAGCAGCTCATCATCAATGCATTTGCGATGCACTCGCCGAGTCACCTGAATCCAGGACTCTTCCGCTACCCCACGGACAAAGGCGCAGACTACAAAAATATCAAGCATTGGATGGCTCTCGCCCAAAAGCTCGAGAAAGCCAAATTCCACGCCATCTTCTTCGCCGATGTCCTCGGTGGCTACGATGTATACCGTGGGCCTGCGAACCTGGACCCAACCATCCCTGCCGGCGCCCAGTTCCCCATCAATGACCCTCTATACAGCATCCCCGCGATGGCAGCCGTGACCGAAAGCATCGGATTTGGAGTGACGGCGTCAACGACATATGATGCACCATACGCGCTTGCTCGGCGTTTTTCAACAGTCGATCACCTGAGTAACGGTCGGATCGGCTGGAACATTGTCACATCGTATCTTGATTCCGCAGCGAGAAACTTCGGTCTCGATACGCAGGTCGAGCATGACGAGCGCTATCGTATTGCGGACGAGTACCTCGACGTCACATACAAGCTCTGGGAAGCGTCGTGGAGGGATGATGCGGTGGGCTGGAAGCAGAGTGATGCGACACTCGATGGTCCCGCGAAGGGTCAGCAATATGCGGATCCGCGTGGTGTTCGACAGATCAATCACAAGGGAAAATACTTCCAAGTTCCGGGTCCTCATCTGTGCGAGCCAAGTCCCCAGCGCACGCCGTTTATTTTGCAGGCTGGGACCTCATCAGCCGGCAAGGCGTTTGCAGCTAAGCATGCCGAGGCTGTGTTTCTTCATGCGCAGAAGCCAGAGCTCGTACGACCGTCCGTGGATAGTATTCGGCAACAAGCTGCTGAGCTAGGACGGAATCCGAAAGACATCAAGGTTGTCGCTGGTGCTCTGGTTATTGTGGCCGAGACGGATGAGGCGGCGCAGGCCAAGTTCGATGAATTCAAGAAATATGGAGATACCGAGGGTGCCTTGGCGCTGTTTGGTGGGTGGACCGGTTATGACCTTTCAACGTATACCGATGATCAGGACTTCCGGTTTGTGGAGCAGCCGGCGGTGCGAAGTATGGTAAACCACTGGGCAAGCACGGTGCCTGGAACAGAGGGTAAGAAGTGGGACAAGAAGACCATTGCAGAGTACCTTGTTTTGGGGGGCAATGGTGTCAAAATTATTGGCAGTGTTCAGACCGTGGCTGATGAGCTGGAGCGGTGGGTTGACGTTGGTGATGTTGATGGCTTCAACTTAAGCTATGCCAGTCTTGATGAAACATTCGATGACATTATCAATCTCCTGCTTCCTGAGCTTCAGCGACGGGGTCTGTTCTGGTCCGACTATGCTGTGAAGGGTGGAACATTCCGAGAGAACATGTATGGGAAGCAGGGCCAATCGAGACTGCCTGATGCTCACCCGGGCGCGAAGTTCTTTTGGAAGAAGGGTGAAGAGGTACCGCCGTATTCATTGGAGGAATCGGAATAAGTTACTCTATTGTGAAAATACAGAGAAGAAGCCACATGAGCCGAAATGTTCGACAGTATATAGAATTACCAAGTACCAACAGAATGAATTTCGAATTTCCCAAGTAATACAGTTGCAAATATCGGTAATGCAACCCACCTACACGTACTAGGATGTTTTCAGCTTTTTAAGATAAATGATTGCTACACATAGGTAAATGTCGTTAATCTATACATAATAAGTCATAAAATACTAATTTCAGACATCCCACCAGCCTTCTAGATGTGACCTCAAGTCAATATCCTCAGGGATCTTAAGATGAGGCGTGAGATCCGCATCTGGATCCAACTCCCTGGAAGTCCAACCATTTCCGAAATAAGCAAAGCGATTTCCACTTGGGTTAACGTAAGTATACTCCCAGTCTTCCCAACGGGGGTCACGGCGGATGTAATTCGCAGCGGCCGCACTGCCAGGGAACAAGCCATGGATACGTGCACCGGGCTGGCCTCCATTGTACCACGAGCTGCAATTGGCAGACCACACAGTGCGCGGGTAGAAGTTGTCGCAGTATTCGACAAAGTCATCCGCAGCTTGCTGTGATGGTGCGATAGACTTGATACCCTGACTTCGCACCTTGCGAAGCACTTTCGCAACAAATGTAATCTGATTTTCCATGCTATTTGGAACAGTTCCACTGTGACCAGCGGCATATGGACCACCGAGCCAGAAAAGATTGGGGAATCCCGGCGTCGCAAATCCGAGGTAAGTGTATGGGAACCCGAAATGGCCGTCTCGCTTCCAGGCTGATTTGAGATCGATGTTGTTGGCGATGATCGAGAATGGGGGAGCGTGATCTGTATTTGCGCCTGTTGAGCAGATTACGACGTCTACTTCTCTTTCAACGTCGTCCTCTGTGATAACTCCCTTCTCTGTGAATCGCTGAATGCGCGTTTGAATATAACTGACATTTTCCTTCGTCAGGGCCTCGAGGTACCCAGGTCCCGGGGTAGGGCGGCGACAGTTTGGAGGGAAATCCGGAATGATCTTGTCTCCAAGCTCGGGCTTATCGGCAATGCGTTTGAGCATCAGCTCGGACCATTTTTCTTTTAGGTCTCTGTTCTCAGGTGTGTCCTTGAAGATTGCACCGAATCGTTGGAAGAATCCCTTCTCCACCTGTGTACGGTATTTGAGATACACCTGCGGATCTTTGAAAGACTCTCGTAGGTCCTCAGGGATGATATTGGGCTCTAGGCGGCGCACACCACCGTTGCCACTGCTGAAAGAGTCTGCAATCCAAGTTGGATTGCGAGCATAGTGATCGACGTGACTGGCAATAGGCTGGATGGAAGGCAAAACTTGCAGCCCTGAGGCTCCATTTCCGATCAAAGCAATGCGCTTTCCCTCTAACTCGGCATTGTGATCCCAATTGGAGGAATGGAAGAGAGCGCCTTTGAAATCTTTGATTCCCTCGTAATCAGGTAGCTTCCACGCGTTAAAATGACCAATGGCATTGATCAGAACATCCAGCTTTTCTTCATAAACCTAAGTTGATAATCAGTATACTTGATATGGATCGGTGCTTTAAATGTATCTTACCTTGTTAGAACCATCAACATGCTCAATAGTAACCTTCCATTTCCCCTCATCGCTCAGCCACTCGGCTCTTTGAACCTGTTGCTGAGGTCGAACGTACTGGTAGACATTGTACTTTTGTGCAACACCTTGCCAGTAGTCTCTGATTTCTGCGCCCTGAGCAAACTCTTCGCTCCATTGAGTGTTGGGTGAAAAGCATGATTGGTAGGCATGTGCGGGTATGTCGCATCTTACGCCAGGGTAGGTGTTTTCAAACCACGTACCGCCCTAAATTAAACGTGATTAGAGAGCAGGCGTAAAAAGATTTTGGGAAGCCAGTTATTCACATACCACATTGGCATTTTTGTCGTAGATTCGTAAATCAAGTCCAGGTAGCTTAGCTGGTAGCAAAACGCCGGCAGTGATGCCGGTGAGTCCAGCACCGATAATGCCCACTTTAATGGGTCTTACTTGATCAACGGGATGCTCTTCTAGCACGAAACTGGATTTTGCCTCTGGCGCCTTTGAAGTCAATTCATTGAGTGGGTTAACAGTCACAGAAGGTGCCGAAGTTGAATCCGAAGGTCCCTTGAAAGGTTCCGATTGTGAAAGGTTGACCAATGTCGGGAAAGGAGCGATCTGGGGATTCTCCAGCAGAGTCATGATTATAACAGCTTATCCTGTCCGTACTACTGATATAGCATGCGGAAAAGAAGAGACAAAGAGAAACCAGACGCACTGAAAGATTTTCGGGACAAATGCATTCAAATGTTACCCCGCTGATAAAATGGGTGGTCAGTCTCTAATGTATGTAGATATTCTCTGCACGCCATCTAGAACATATTATACGCCACCTAATCCGGCTTCGTGCCAAGAGGCATATAGCCATAAGCCGTGGCACTTGTATCTATCGGGTTGTGCTTGTAATCAATTGATCGGTTTTGCTCGGAAAATCACAGGAACCGATTTGGTATAGGTAACACCATCGTCGTCCCCGATTGCGTAAGAGGTCTGGGATATTCCTTATCGACACCATCAACTCCACTGTTAACGCCATTTTGGAGTAGTCCCATTGCGTGACTTTTAATTGGAGTAGAGGGGCATTTTGATTACAAACATTGCGTTGAAACTGAATTCCGACCTATCGCACTAGTAAGTTCCTGGATGCGGGGGATGCTACTTACTGGGGGTGAGCATATGAATCCACACCCCACATTGACCCGCATCAATCAGTCATGTCCTCAAGACCCAACAATACTTACATAGACGGCACTAGTCAATAATTTGTGCCAATTTCCAGAGGATGTAATTGTTGATGTATATTTAGATTTACTAGAGAAACGGCATCCATGGGTACACCTCAGTGGATTGAAGAAGATCTACTAGCATTTACTACTAGTAGCATTTACTAGATTACCACCGCATACATGATTGGGCATACTACTTATATGATCTCCATGTAACGCTCAAATCCATTTACCATGGAAGTTGTAAAGGAGTGGACAGGTTTTTGCCCAGAACACTTTCTGCAGTTCCAATATCTCTGTGTATGTGGTTCCTGTAATCAGCTTAAGTTTTTGGAATATGAGACCATTATCAACTTACGCGGGTCCTCTGGGTGCCCAGTACTCTCCAGTCCGATGGATATCAAAACTCTCTATGAAAGATACAAGCGACTGAGCTGATTCATCTGGGGTAATAGCTGAAGAAAAGTTAGCATATATCAACTTGGTGCTCACTTTGTGGTAAAGGCTACTTACCACCGCCGGCATCCCAATATTTGTCAAACCCGACACCTTTGGTCATTTCTGTTCGCATGAAGCCTGGATGCACCAACCCAACAGCAATTCCCTTAGGCCTGAGGTCCAAACTAAGAAGCTTGCCCACCATATTCAACGCAGCTTTGCTTGCATGATGTCCATAATTACCTCCGCCTTCTTTTTCGTGACGAAGAGTGATGCTGCCACTCTCGCTGCTGACTAGAATGACCTTGCTGGCTTCCTCCAACAGACCCGATTTGACAAGGTGATGAACCAAGAAAACGGGTGCAATTGCCGATGTAGTGTACATCTGGACTTCTTTTGCCCAGTCTGGAGTATCGAAGGATTCGAAGCCGAAGTACCCAGCTGAAATGATGGCAGTCGAGATCTTGGTAGACGCTGGGATCTGTGAGACCAATGTTTGGCCCACGTCAGATTTGGTAAGATCAATTCCAGTCAGCCAAGTAGTGGATGAATCTGTTTGAGGAGCTGAATCTGATCTAGAAGTCGCAAAAACATGTTTGGTTGAGTCTTTGGCATATAATGCTCTGAGGGAGGCACCGAGACCTCTCGTTGCACCAACCACAAGGATGTTGTTGCTCATACTGCTGCTTTGTATGATTATTACTGGAGTTGTCAGTAGAATAGTAGTTTGAAGGACGAAGGACACAAGAATTGCAAAGCTTCAGACCGACTATTTGTGACGCCTGACGCCATACACGGATGACGTAATTGCAGGTATACATTGTCAAACTTGAAAACAAGTTGAACTTGATCATTCATTGACATTGTGAAAAGCTTTGTGTAGGACTAAGATTATGTTGAAAGGCACAGGGGAATTTGATTTTAAATTCACAACTATTTTATCCATCTAGGACCGGAAGCTATCTACAGCATGTGGGGATTGCAGCTTGAAGTGGGACTATTAAAGTGCCAAGAATAAGCTCAAAAATTATACGAAGATTATACGAGAGGATAATTCAAGCTTGTATGATGATAGTCGAAGATATGAGCATTTTTAGTGAATGGCTCCTTTCTTTGAAGTTTCATCAAGTCTTTGAATCTTCATCACTATTAGTAAACAAGGGTTAAATTAAACAGGGCCGAGGCCATGAATCATGATGCCAATCCATCCACATCTTGGATCCACCCAATCCAAACTTTTTCACTCGATACCATTCCATTCACTTGATGCTAACTCACATTGCAGCTTTTAAAGCCTTGTGCGAAAACAGAGAAGAATAACCTCGTCAGACTACAGTGAGCTGTGCTTTTCCGTGCTTAGTCATTCGTTGATGTTAAACGCCCGTTCTTTGAGACGCTAAGAAGCTTGACCTTTCCCCCTCCGTGGCCTTGCCAAAGCCGGCTCATCTATGTGTTGTCGGACACCAGAATGAGTGGGTTCTCCAAAATCCTGCCATCAGTGCAAAAGTTCCGAGCTGCGATCCAAAGAGGGAGAAAGATCGGCGCGAAGGACAGGGATCGATCCCAACGGGACATACCGGGGTCCTCGTCTGAGCTTGGGTGAGCTTTGTTGTAGCATAGAGAAGTTTGAGTTCGCTGGCTGATTTTCTTTCTTCCTTTGCTGCGCGACAGTTTAGACAATGCCAGTCCTTTGCCGCCGTGGGGCCTCCCCGTCGAAATCCAAATCTTAATCTTCGCGCATTGCGGGACCGCCGATTTTCTCCCTCTAAAGCTAGTCTGCAAGAGCTTCTACAAGGTCTTGACCTCCCACGAACATGCCATCGTTCGCCTATACCTTCGCCGACACCGACACGGCAGCCTCCCCTCCCCAATCGACAGCGACCGTACCTACACTCGGAATCCGGAAGATGACGTGGTCCTCCTGTCCGACCTGTTTCCCCCCTCCAAAAGCGCTCGAGGTGGTCACCTTTATACATATAGATACCTGTTGAGCTTGCGACAGCGACAGAGGCTTTGCTCGAGATTATGTTATTACCTCGCAGATAGGGTGATGGAACGATTTGAACAAGCAGAGCCCAAGTTCGACGAAGCTTCTTTCCCAATGAAAAAGAACGAACGGACAGCACTGGTGAAGCGAGGCAAAAGTAGCCTGTGGTTTCATCTTGCGCCCTTGATGTGAGCTTCTGTCGGAACCATAACCGGGCGATGAAACTGACAAACTTAGGTATTACACATTATATTACCTCGAAGCCTACTCCTCGGCCCGTCGCGAACACACCAACACACTTCTCCGAGAGCACGAAGCCGGCAATCTCTCCGTCCCAGTACCATTTCACATGCGTCAAAGAATGTACCGGGAACTTCAGACTCGAATCCTTCGCGAACCCCCATTTAACAATACTGCGGCACTTGTAGCCACCCACCACTGCATGCATTTGCTGGTGTCATACATCCGATACACCATGGAGTCTGAAGGGGAACCAGACGACTCTTGGATTAGCTCCCTCCTCACATTATCACCATTTGTCCGAATTGTCGAGTTCTTCTCCGCCGAGATTGGCGATGGGCGAAACCAGCGCATGCAGCGTAAGGACTTCATGTACAATTTCTACCATGACATGAAAGCACACGAAAAAGACCATATGAACTCAGTGGTTTGGGGTCGAGCATCTGACCGGAGCGTCCAAAACCCGCATAGCTCAGTGCAAGACCTTTGGTTTGATGCCGCCAAGGCAGAATTGGCGTCTCGTGGCGCGATTCCTCACGACATAGAAAAAGCCTGGCACTGGAACGGGATCCCTATCCTCTTTGGTTGCCGAGATTGTCATCGCACATCGGGATGGCGAGCATGATGCATATAGATTGAGCGTTTTAGCGTTTTATAGAACAGATACTACTTTTTTTTTGGTGTTAGCAATATATTCCCAAATTCACCTCGAATTTCTGGAACTTTTCGTTCTCAATCTTGAAAACCTGTTCAGCGAGCTTGATCTATCCTAACTTTATTAGTATTTGGCACAAACTGGAAGAACCTCCATGTAGTCACCTCATGTACTAGTACTAAGTTAACTACTAGTAGTAGTAGTATGTATAAACACCACTTGAACCCGAAATGCACTAAGACCAAACAGGGAAACAATGTGTTTGCCTGGTTTGCACCAAGCGCGTCCATATCGATAAGCTTAAAACATTATTGATAGACAACTCCAAGTTTACCTGTCAACGATAAAAAAAGGCCAAGTAAATTAATTCGTTCGCAATGGCTACGGCATCATACTCGAGGCTTTTCAACACTTCCTGGACTCTACACCGTCTTTCTCCCCTGCATCACAAGAAAGATTGCGAGAGTCTCCTCAACAACCAGTCCGCTCTGAATACATACGCAACAAGATTACGCGATCAACTTACCGGCGATGTTTTAGCGGGTCTCCAGGCCACTGCTAGCGCAGCAGATGATGACGCGCTGTCGAAAACTGGCAGCCTCAAAGAATGTAAATGGCAATGCATCTCAGCGGGGTCATCCACACGCGACGCATCACCAAGCCGACGCGCCGCTACATCTCCCTTCCCCGGGATCCTGGTGACACTACAATACGAGAACATAACCTACGAAGCTGCTCTTCTCGCCGAGGCAGATTCCAACGCTCAACGGGAACCTCGCGAAGGATCGACGTATCTTCCGTTACTGTTGACTAAATGTCCCAACGCGCTGCGACAAACGTTGATTTCTTTCTTATCGTCTAATTTTGACACCTACTGCGCTCCCCTCCGCCTTCCGTCTGCTTTTCTCTGCCAAGGACTGGAAATCTTCGTGGATGTGCTGCGGTCCGAGTCTACAAGTGACGAAATCGTGGAAGATGTGATCAAAGAGCTTCAGCTTACATTAGCCTTTTCGGCATTAATTGCGCCCGCATTGCGGACACTGAATGTCAGCATCTCGCGAGCATCCTTGACTGGATTCTTGCGCGCTGGTAAGAGTTCGTCGAGGCGTACTTTGAAGCAGAAATTGGACAGCCCTTTGATTGCCAATATTACATCCTATCTTGAGACGCATCTTGCGATGCAGCTTGATTTAAAAGGCTCGTCGAAGAATCAACCTGCTAAGCAGCATGTCCGTTTGTCCAAAGCTTCATGTGGGGCTTTTGTTTTGGGAAGCGAAGGGCGCATGAAACTCGTTGTGGATGTTTCTCGGGCAGAGGATCAGGATGAGGATGGAGTCCCAGCTAGAAACAAGCTGGTTCTTCGTGCTAGCGAAACTTTGCTACGGGCCGTCATTAGCAAGGCTGTCATCGGAGATCAATCGGCTACATGAATTACACGCTGCTTGTGAAATCTTGAATTTTCCACTGTCCGTCAATTACTCGGAAGGCTTTCTTCTATGAGGACGGGCAGACGATACCCCGCTGCTACCGAGCTGAATGTCAGTTGTACTGCCGGGCCACGTTAACTCCTGTCTCGCCCCAGCATTTCGCATTGGTGCGGAGACAAGAGACCGCAGGGCCTCCCTTCAACTACTAGGGACGAAGGTCGGGGCTTCGACCCACAGAACCAAGGCCATGCGCAAGATATTCATCCCATTTTTGGGATCAAAAGCATCGCAGCCATTGGATCTCAGCGAAAGCCATGGGTTGCTTAATCTCACCGACCTTCACTTCGAGAACAACAAGTTATTGGAATGTCCGGCTTGCGCGGCTGATGGTGTTCTATTGGTAGTAACCATTCTTGAGATACAAAAATCAAATCGAAATTCATCGCTAGATAACAGCAACTGAAATATCACAACATATCGTCGTTATCTACAAAGCAAGCCTCGAGGACAATGCTGGGTCAGTCAATCAAAGGAAGAAGAACTTCCGATGTTACACAGATGGTCAGAAGCGGCATATGATCCGACTTCAATTTCCGTCCCACCGGTCTTCTGATTCTGCCAATTGAAGGGCTTCATCAACGCTAGGAACGAAGTGTGTCATACCACCACATTCCTCAACAATACCACTTAGCTCGAACATGCGGAACACACGGTCATTGGGTAGTCGACAGAAGAAAACCCTTGTCCCTTCCTCTGTATAGGCGCGCACGATCTCATAGAGGACTTGTGTACCAGAACCATCAATACTCGTGACGCCGTGTACATCGAAAATAATGTTCTTGTTGTACTCGGCAGGTCGCATGCGAGGAAGAGACGGATGAGCCCGACTAGTGCCGTAGAGCTCCAAGCGGCGCAGTCGGTTCTTGAGATCACCGGTGTTGGCAAATGTAAGGGGTTCCGGAATCTTGACAATCAAGGCACCTTCAACGATCTCGACGTGCCCTGGCTGGAGTTCGGCGTTGGCAAACTTGGCGGAAGTACCAGATACCCTTCCGAGAATTTGGATGCGAGGTTGAGTGGCATGACGGATGAGGATAATTACAGAAACACCAATTCCAAGTGCCATGCCTAGCTCAAGAGAGTAGAAAATTGTTGTGACGAAGATGAGGAACATGAGCGCAAGTTCGGTCCATCCACGAAGGTGCAGGAAGAAGATCAAATCGTGAGGACATTCCTCAACTAGAGAAAATGCCACCACAGATATCATAGAACAAAGAACCGCTTTCTGTTTTGAGAATGTCAGCCAGTTTCATAGAGAGGTCATGGATGGTCACGAACCGGAAGATAGTAGAGGTATGGCAGAATGACCAGAATGCCAATGAGAGTAATTATGGCAACGAAGATACTGCTCATGGGTGATCGTGCACCGGTTTGTGCATTAAGCTTGCTTCGACCGTATCCACCAAAAGCTGGAAGGCTCATGAAGCACCCACCCACAAGATTGGCAACTCCCAAGGCTACCATTTCTCGATTGGCACTGATTTGCATACCTTCAATGCCATCGGACTTGACATCTGCCAGACCCTTAGCTGCCACTGAAGACTCGAAGAACCCAAGTAGTGTAATGATAAAGGCTTTGCTCATGGCAGTGCGAATGTGCTCCATATACTTCATCTGGAAGGGCCATTGGAATGCGAAAAGGCGGCTTGCAGTGACCTCGGTGGATCCCAGCAGTTCAAGACCTTTCTCCTCCCAACCAAGAGACCAGGCCAAGATTCCCGATAGTAAGACGACAAAAAAGCGATCAGGAAAGTAGACCACTTGGGGGAAACGAGGTTCCATGAACTTTTTCAATGTTCTAAAAATGACTGTCAGTGATACAGAATTCTACTAAGAACAGGTGAATAGCACATACCGGAAAAGCATAATGGTGCCAAAGCTCACGAGCGAAACTATGGCGGTGAGGCCATGGCTTTCACCGATATTGCGAACAATGAACGTCATTTTGGAAACTGTGGTACCATGACTAGCACCGGTTTCCTTTGCAATCTCCGAAAGACCCAATTGCGGGATAAGCTGGTCCACAAAAATAACGAAACCAATGGCTGTAATGAAACCTCTGAGGAAGGGCCGACTGAGCATGTTATCCAGAAATCCTAGACGAGTCAATCCGGCAATAAGAATCATAGCCCCCGTCATCGCGGTTGCTATTCCTATCACCATAGAACTCTTCACCAGTATATCTTCCGGTGAGTCTTCGGGTGTAAGGCTGGCCTTGACAATGGCTCCCGTAAGCAGAGAGCCTGCCGCCTCTGGTCCAACAACCAAAAGCGGGCAGCTTCCCAGGATCGCATAGACCAATGGGTGTATGACAAAGGAGTAAAGACCGTTGACTGGAGGTGCATGTGCAAGATTGGAGGCCAGGGATAAGGCCATTGGGATATAGACAGAGGAGATGGTCAATGCTGCTACCAGATCTCCACGGAGAAAAGACCAGCGGTACTGCCCAATCCAATTGAAGAAAGGAATGTAATAGGATAGGTAACTGTAAAGAGCTAGTCAGCTTCCTTCATTTTTTAGGTGGCCTACAGTGCCTCGTCAACAGTTTACATCAAATGAGGCTTACAGTTTTTTAGAATCGTGATTAGAGAGGGCGGAGATGGACGATTTCATTTGCGACGCATATTCCGAATCTTGGTGAGACTCCGGACAACCATCACCGCCGCGGAGGGGGCTGGATGCCATTCCTTCTCTACCCCCATTGATTGCGACATGACTGCTTGAGGACCCCATATATGCGAATCTGTCGGCCGCGTCGACGTGCGGAGAGAAAGTACCATGACTGCAACGTCTTTCGCCGCACGCAGGGTCTGAACGGTCGTACGACTCCAAAAGGCGGGTTCTTACATCCGGTTCGCTCGTAATTCCCAGGCCTTGGCCACCCTGTGATCCCGAATCATCGGTTGCGGCGAAAGGTCTTTGGCGGAAGATATCAGCCAGGCGATCTCGTAGATTGCGGGCATCGTCAGTATCTTGGCCGAGTTGCGGACTAGAGTCGGACATCGTGCTTGCTTAGGGAAGAACCAAACGACAAGCTGGATTCAGAGAAGAAATAGATCCCAACCCTCCATCCATGGAATGAGATGGAAAGATTATAAGAGAGGCTTTTATTGGGAGGGAAGGGGAAAAAAGAAAAAAAACAAGCCGATGGTCGTGGCTGGCTAGCAAGGGCGGTGTCCACTAGGGTCTGATAAGCGGGGCCAGCTACTAGTCGTTCATGCAGAGTTGTCGCAGAGTTGTCACAGGAAATGTAGGGAGCTATCGTGTCTAGTAATGCAATTGGAAGTATAAGGACCAATCAGCATGGTTCTTTTCTGTAATGTGTGTTTCGAGTTCGGCTGTGCAACATCCAGACGGGACTAAAAATGAAGCTGGTGGAGTAGGTGATGCACATTAAAGTAGTACTATCTATGCGGTCTGTAACAAATGCCGCGGATCAATAGCGGTGACATAATCGAAGATACTGAGGCGGTGAGTCACGTGTTAATTTGGGAAAGTCACCTCCCTCACGTGACCGTGTGGGTTTTGAGCCCGCCACAATAGTGATTTGAAGTGATTGTGCTTCCGCCCCGACGATACACTCTCCAGCCCCTTGGTCTTGTCGATTTGCTCAGAACCCTTTGCTTAGGATTGAGCCCACCGCTGCTTCTTGGACTGCCGTCTCATCAGTCCTTTTTCCCGCCAAAACCCCGTTGCTGAAAATCAGATCGCAACCCCGCCAAAATGTCTTTAACAAATTGTCGTTTCTACGAGGACAAGTTCCCTGAGGTCGACAGCTATGTCATGGTCAATGTCAAGCAGGTAGGATCTGAAAGCCACTATCTAATCGCGCTCGGCCATGCTCATTCGTTTTTCTTCCGGGGTAGATCGCCGAAATGGGCGCATACGTGAAGCTGCTCGAATACGACAACATCGACGGCATGATCCTGCTCTCTGAGCTGTCCCGAAGACGTATTCGCAGTATCCAAAAGCTCATCCGTATCGGCCGCAACGAGGTTGTTATCGTGCTCCGTGTCGACAAGGAGAAGGGTAAGCAGCCCTTGATCTTACTACAAAGAACTAGTGACTGACTCATATGGCGTTTAAAGGTTACATCGATTTGTCGAAGCGTCGTGTCTCCCCCGAGGATGTGGTCAAGTGTGAGGAGCGTTACAACAAGAGCAAGGCGGTGCACTCCATCTTGCGCCACGTCGCCGAGGCGGCCCAGACTCCTCTCGAGACCCTCTACCAGCAGATTGCCTGGCCTTTGGACAAGAAATACGGCCACTCCCACGATGCATTCAAGATCTCCATCTCGTACGTCCCCTACGGTACTTGATGTGGAGGCGAACAATCACTGACCGACTTCTTTAGTAACCCCGAGGTGTGGAATGAGATCGAGTTCCCCAGCGAGTCCGTGAAGAAGGAATTGCAGCTTTACATCAGCAAGAAGCTCACCCCCGCCCCTACCAAGATCCGTGCCGATATTGAAGTCACTTGCTTCAGCTACGAAGGCATCGATGCCGTCAAGGCCGCCCTTCGCACCGCCGAGGCCGAAAACACCCCTGAGAACCAGATCAAGGTCAAGCTTGTTGCTCCCCCTCTGTACGTTCTGACCAGCCAATGTCTGGACAAGCAGCTGGGTATCAAGCAGCTGGAGGCCGGAATTCTAAGAATCGAAGCCCACATCAAGGCCGCTGGTGGTAACTGCACCGTCAAGATGGCACCCAAGGCCGTTACCGAGCATGATGATGCTATTCTCCAGGAGCTTATGGAGAAGCGTGAGCGTGAGAACCAGGAGGTTAGCGGAGACGAGAGTGGTTCCGAGAGTGATGATGCTGTGCCCGAATAAAGGAATAGTATAGCGACAATTGTTTTTGATCATGGTAGTTCCTAAGGCTACTACTCGTCTGTAACATAAAAAAAGAAAGAGCGACAGGCCCTTTCAAGGTTCGTCAAGACATACCGTTCAGTAGCTTTCAAGCGCTTGAGGGGGAGGTATCGTTTGCCATCAGGCGTCATTAACATAGAATCGGACTCTCGCCTAACTACTACTCTCCCATACCTGTCAAATTCTCGGAGCCTTCAATGTTGAAAGAGAAGGGCTTCTAGTAGCCCTATCATACTATATACCGTATACTACATACTACTATGTTTTAGTTCCTCTTACCCTTGATCTTATTTTAGCTCTCCCTCTTGCTTAATATTATTAAAAAAACCCATCCGCAGGGGTCTCGTCAGAAAATACGCACAGATAGTCATTATCAAGGGGGGTGGGGGAACTTCCTATTGACCACAGTCCTCTCCGTTCTCCAGCTACCACAATCTCCGCCATATCTCAGTGCCCCATCAGAATGGGCCAGTTCCAGGGCGGCCTGGCCGCTCCCGATCATCGGGTGGTGCCACAGGGGGGAATAAAGGAATAGTACTATATCCATCAATGTTATCGACCAGGGCGAACGGCAACTGCAGAGGAAGCTATAGCTGGACCAAAACGGATAGAGAAAATCATGCACATTTTACGCGATCAATGGAACAGACAAAGGCTTGATGAATCCATGTCAGTGCTATCAAGAGCGATTGCAGTTAGAAATTGCATTTCTAATAATCACCTGCACCTCGACTGGGGGTTTTATCAATCTATGCATGTGAGCAGGCGCAATGTTGTAGCCACTAAGGACGACGCGTAAACTATGATTCTTTTGATAGCGGGGATTGTGGCGCTTGGCTCTGCCTTCCCGCAGATCATTTCCTGACCGCGTTTTCTGCTCCCCTCACGACCATCTCAGCCTCCCCGGCCTGTTACTCAAGGTTGCATTCAATTTTGATATTCGCAATGGGTCATTGGAGAGATCTGTTTAGCTTTGATCGTCGTCGTGCGCGCCATCGCTTGGCTGTAGAGCGCCGCAGACGTACGTCATAATCAATAAACATCGTGCAACAACACAGCGGTGCTAATCGAGTCTTAGTTCTCCCATCATACATTGCCGACGAGGCGGAGGCCTCTGACTCTTCCAAGGAGATTGCTAAAATTGCATTGCGATTGAAATACCAAATCGAGCAGGTTGTTAGCTGCGAGATCGAGGAAGGTGCCCTGACCGACCCAAACAGCCGTATTATCACACAGCATGTCATCGAAACCGCCAAACGAGCTGGCGGCGAAGACTACAGGGCCTGCGTCGTGTACTGTCTGCTTGTTTGCCTAAGATGGTTTCAGATCCAGGCTTCAGTTGAGCTTTGGGACGCTGATCTCCATCAAGTTCGAGCTGTGGCCTGTGAGGTCATCGCCAAGCGCATGTACGAATTCCCCGCTATCCTAGTCCCGGTGCTTGGAGTTCCTAACAATCATTTAGTATTGAGTCTGAGCAAGATCAGAACTATCTACTCAAGAATGTTCTGCTCAAGCGTTACTCCATCTTTTCCGAGGGCGTTGAAACTGATCCTGTCAATGTGATTGAGCGCTCGGTGGATCTCCATGCTCTGAGAGTCATCGGCTCCGCTGGATACCAAAAATGCATACAGTATCTTTGGTATGGCTGGATCTGTCAAGAAGAAGGCAATCCCACGAACTTTGTGGAGTACGAGCAGAAAGCTAGCGCCAACTACTGGGTTCACTTCCACCCAGATCGCATGCGAACTCCCCTTTACCAGAATGTTTGCCAAATTGCTTTTTCTCTAATCTATCTCGCTGTTTATACCGCTGTGATAAATACAGTCAACCCAACTGGTGATATTGACGTCGCTGAAGGCATTCTATACGGTATGACGCTCGCATTCCTTTGTGACGAAATAGTGAAGTTCTGGAAAGTTGGGTGGAACTATCTTGAATTTTGGAATGCTTTTAACTCAACCCTTTATGGTCTTCTCGTCATCTCCTTCGTTCTACGTGTCGTTGCATTGGCCCATTCTTCCTCGACCCATGATACAGAGAGGCAAATGTTCAATGGTTTGAGCTACAATTTCTTAGCCTTTGCAGGACCTATGTTCTGGATGCGGATGATGCTATACTTGGACTCCTTTAAATTCTTTGGAGCTATGTTTGTGGTTCTTAGGGTTATGATGAAGGAGAGCTTGATTTTCTTCGCTCTCCTCTTTGTGGTTCTAGTTGGTTTCTTCCAGGCTTTTATTGGCATGGCGCAGGTGGATGATGATATACCCATCACTCGACTTATCATCCAAGGCATGGCGAACACCATCATGCAGAGTCCTGAATTTGAGACTTTCCAGGACTTTGCATTTCCCTTTGGAATCATTCTCTACTACATCTTCAGTTTTGTCATCATGATCGGTATGTGGTTCCCTTTTACTTCTATTTCCAAGACTTCTTTCTTAAGATACAACAAGCTGACTCGAAATATTAGTTCTCTTGAATATCCTCATTGCGCTTTACAACAGCGCCTATGAGGATATTTCTGGAAATGCCACCGATGAGTACATGGCAATCTTTGCTCAAAAGACTATGCAGTTCGTTCGCGCTCCCGACGAGAACGTCTTCATCCCACGTAAGTTTTGTGCCATTACCTGACCTGCACATATATTATTAAAAACCGCCGATCTAATGAAATATATCAGCCTTCAACTTGATTGAGATTTTGCTAGTGAGCGCTCCCTTCGAGTGGTGGCTCTCCAAAAAGCACTATGCGAAGCTCAACGATGTTATCATGGGTGTGATCTACTCGCCTCTTCTCTTGTTGACAGCGTGGGTTGAGACCCATCAAGCGGAGCAAATTAGGTGGAATCGCCGTCATGGAGAGGAAGATGAGGAAGATCAACAAGAGTGGGAACTGGTGGCCGAGGATGTGGACTTTGAGTTGGATGATTCCTGGAAGGAAGAAGTCAAGCAAAGCACACCCGACATCAAGGTCGATAACTGCACTCTGGAGGTTAGGGAGCTACGGGCGCAGATTGAAACATTGACAGAGTTGGTCAAGCAGTTGAGCCGTGAGAAGGTGGTTTTGGATGGACTTAGTTGAAAAGGTTCACTCGACAGGGCTGGGACCTCGGATGTTGTTGGTCTCTTGTGAGTCGTGACTAATGTATATTCAAATGAAGGAGTGCGACCTTCGAAGTGTGATTCTTGGATTGGAATTTAATTGATTTATATGAATGAAACCTGCAATTAAAATCCCGGCGAAATGTAGCTCCCCGTGTCAAGGCTGACATTCAAATGTTACCAGCAAGAGATCACAGGTAGAACATGACACTCTAAGTATTGGCCTCGATCAATGGCGCCAGATCTTCCTCACTCCACCCAGCTGATCGCAAAATCTTACACATAATCTCCGTCTTGGCAAAAGTATAGTGATCCAAGCTTTCGAGTTCCGTATCCCTCAACATTCTCTTCACACGCCCATATTCTTCGCGCAGCTCTTGATTTTCCATCAACACCCTCTTAGTATCGAGGTGGTTCTTCAGGGATGGATACCCTTCGACCATCAGGTAGGTATTATACCGTACCTCCCCATCTTTGTCCTTTCCATGGGCAGCATCAAGCTTTCCATATCCTGGCTGTCGGAATACAAACCGACCGGGGATATTCAATTCGCCAAGGTCATCATACCCTGCGTTTTTGAGGGCATTTCGTGCAGCTTCGAGAGAAGAAGCTGGGATGATAATGTCGATGTCAATGACCGGTTTGGCCATGAGTGACGGGATGGATGTGCTTCCCACGTGCTCGATCGAAGTGATGCTCACGTCTTGGAGAATGTCAAGTAGTTGGTCGCGTTTGTCGCGGAATTTCAGGGGCCATTCGGGATTGTAGGGTTCAATTGTGACTCTCATCTTTGCTGCTCCGTATAACAAACAGTGGATTTCGGAGAGGGGAATAGTCTGTTAGGTGGTTGGTTTCAGTGAACGAACCTGGCAATGGTAGATCTAGCGGGGGGTCTGTGCTGCTACTACTCACAAAGAGAGGCTCGGGCACCCGATGTGGAAGTATGAGAGAGAATGCGTCTCCACCGAACAATTAGGTTTGGATTGTGAGTCGGGGACCGAAAGAGTGAGATGAAGCCGAGCACGAGAGGCGGAAAGGGGGGCAAATCAAAGGAGGTCGTCAGCGCTCCTCTTATCTACAGCTTACGGCGGGGGTTTGTATAGTAAATTACAGTAACTTGTTTGGGGATGCAAGGGTATGTATACTATTATGCATACAGGGCAAGAAACAACTCGCGTGTCCAAAAAGGGAATATCTCGTGCTACTACAAACTCAATGCGACAAAGGGAGATTATACAAGTATTCCGCAATGATTGTATAGGGGATTCCAGGCCCAGAAATGTAGTGACAAAAAAGAAAGAGAAAAAAAAATGCATCATCCGTGAATCGAACACGGGCCTCGTCGATGGCAACGACGAATTCTACCACTAGACCAATGATGCTAGTTCATGTAAGGGAGCTCGAATTTACGCTACATAACCAGAAACTAATAATCTGATTCATTGTCATGCAAGTTCATGAATCGCGACAAAGGAATTCCAACCCGGATCAAACTCCACCTCATGCCATACCAGATCCATCAGAAGTGGCAGTCGGATTCCGATTCCCTTGTACAATATACTGCTTATTAGGAGAAAGATTATCCAGCAGACTGTCCGGGAGCTTCAAAGTATCCTTGATGATCTGCTTCGGCGTGAGCTTCAACCATTGACCGACTGAGATATCAGAGAACCGTGGTGCCTGAAGCATTTCAAGAAAGACAACATCCTCGTTGCCGGTATTCTCAATATAATGTGAAGCTGTGGCTTTAACATATGAAATGTCACCAGCGGAAAAATCAACGGTCGCACCAGCGGTCGGCGCTTCGTATATACTGACTCGTGCATTCCCGGCGAGGAAAAATCCCCATTCGTCACTGGTCCCATGCCTACGGGGGAGACAATCGTTAGATACTGAAGAAGCTCAGCCTTTTATATACCAGTTGCGTACGTACCAGTGGATCTCTCGCATAGCGCCCGGTTTAATCGTCACAAGCGCCGCACTAAACATCTTTGCAATCGGAAAGCTCAAGGGGTCGATAATCTTGATGCTTCCACCCGGCGTCTCAAATGCTTCCTGTTTCGATAAATGGTAGGTATAACTCTCCTTGCCGGATAAAACACCTCCAGGCCCTGGAACAGTCTGCTCCTGCACGTCCCTCGGCGCGGGTGTCCCATTAAAAATGTACAACTGGTCTTTCGGAATATCATCAAAGTCCGAAATGGGAGCCTGGAGGTTCTTGGACAAGACTTCCTTGGGATTGCGCAGGAACATTTCGGTGATCAAGCCAGTGCCCCCATCGCTGAAGTCGCCTTGATCAAAGACGAGCATGAACTCGGCGCCCTCGTCGAGCGCTTGGAGTGAGTGGGGTACCCCGGATGGAAAATACCATACATCGCCCGCGGTGACATCGTCTGTAAAGGTTTGACCGTCTTCGTTCATCGCCTGCACTCGGACACTTCCGTTTAGGACGATGCTCCACTCGTTGGCTTGGTGCCAGTGCAGTTCGCGGTATGCCCAGGGAGCCAGTTTCATGTCTACTCCGGACATGGCTGTTGCAGCGGGGAGAACATCGGTGTTCTCTTCTCGGGACCAGCCTGCACGCCCTGGGAGAATTCGGTTGTGTGAGAGGCCTAGTGGCCATTTCCCCTGCGTCACTTCACCATTGTCTGATGCTGGCGGTGCAAAGGTATTTGGGTTGAGGCGGTCATAGGCATATGTTCGAGGGCCGGAGTCCGTGGATCCAAGGTCTCCCCGGATCGGCTGGGGGTGAAGAGTATTTTTGAAGGTGAACGGAATTCCTATATCTGCGTCGGCAGTCTGCCCAGGGGCGAGCTCGATTGCAGATTCGGAGACCATGGCGCTGTTTTGGGGATCCACTTCATTCTGAATAACACCCAATAGGGCTGAGCTGCCTCGAAGAGGACTTATTGTAGACGATTCGTCATTCCCAGCGGCAGAAGCCCAGCCATATGGACTGGAATTTTGAGGAAGTGCATGACTGGGCTGGAGAGTGGCGAGTAAGAGGGATAACAGGGACGCTTTGAGACAGAGTCCCAAGGAAGGCTGAGAACTCATGACTCCAGTCCGAATAGAAGATGGGGCAGAGAACACGCCAAATATTGAATAATTAGATCATGAATGGAATTGAGAACATGAGAGTATCATCACGCTTTTATATGTCTGAAAAAGACCAGTTCCTCCACCACCAGATCATAAATGGTATACTCTCATATGTAGGCAATGTGCGGCAAGGAAGCTTGAAGTCGCATAGTATCAGTAAGCTAAAATAGAACCTGTTAAACAAGTGGCTATATTCCATACAGTCTCTCAAACCGAACCAATCAAGTTATTATGGTTATACACATATCTGCCACATACTGCATCACCGTTGCTCAATAATCTGTCTCATGTGGGTGAAATTGAAATCAAATACTACCAGTCCCCTTACTTTGTTCCAATCCCATCGAGTATGAGTCGTTTGAAACAGGTCTATCCCTGCGGGAAGTGAAATCTCGAAGGAATAGGACAAGAAGGAAGGCAAGATGTCTCGCCAGGGTCCCAAGTCGACAAGGAAATGACAATTAGGGGATCTCTCGGATTCCAGATTGCGGCTGCTCGAGAACAGTATTGAAGAGCCGATAGCATGGGTCGAGTCTAGAACAAAGACGCTGGTGGAATAGTAGACACTTTGTTGCATTGATGAAAGGCGGTCTCCTTCAGAAGTTGGAGCGCCCTACAGGGCTGAATCCTGACATCCACATGAGGGAATTTTTAATTTCCCCTCCAGGTTGCTGCAAGGGTTACCGACTTAGCCGGTTTCACGGCGACTTCAATCCACGACTTTCAAAATATTCCAAATCCGAAATCAAGATAGTAGATGAAGCATCACAAACAACCAATTGTGTTGCTCGGCTAGAATGAGGCAAAATGCGAGCGGGGGCTTACGCCTCAGCGGACAAGCTTTAAGCTAAGCTTTCGGTATACTGCAACTATACTATATGTACTATATGTACTGTAAGTACTATAAGTACTATACTATACATGATGCTGCTATTGGTTGGCAACAATCAGCTCACTCAAATGTTTGGCGGTAATCAGGTGTAAAGTCTGCATGTGCTGTTTACTCCGTAATTTACTCGTAATCATCCATGTGTCCCGTACATGTATCTATGGCCTGATGTCAAACATTCAAATGTTGATGGCAACCAAATATCGACTTTCAAGGTTGGTGATTTATCTAAATAATTCCAGACTCGAGATTCAGATCATGTGTCTATAATCATTAAATGACGCAGTTATTTCCCTCAGTCTAAAAAATGCCTGATCTCTAGTTCGAATTGTTAGACTTTCGTGTTTGAGCACAGCCTCGGGGCTAAGGTATCCGTGGCCCGCGTGGGGCAAAATTGGCCCCAACTTGGCTCTACTCGGCTTTCATCATTTACGTCAGAGCATCAGTTCCAACAGCAAATCAGCATGGACTAATGGTTTAAACGAAAACGAGCTTCAAGATCGGCAGCCCAAACTTTCAATGAAGTTTATTGAACAATGCCTTCTAACCTTGGCGAGTTGGCATCGCCCCTTTTTTTTTTAAATTTTTTTTTAGCAAAATCCATTTGGTATCAGATCCCATTAAATGTAGAAATCATCTAGAAAGATGTGGGCCTCACGTGTGGAATGTCAATTCAAACATTTGAGCTGTTCAATATACTTTGGTGTACGGAGTAATCCCTGCATATCAGACGAATTATATTCTGTACCAGTACCCAAGTAGCGCCATGTATCTTGGACATGTCTTTGGGGATTTAGTGTATCATATTGCGACCTGTATACGTTCCTAAAGAAGGAAAAGCAGAGATGGTAGAGTCATGATTTGTAAGTTCGGGTAGGCGGCAACCACGGTAACCAATGAAGACTTGGCATTGGCAGCCTTGTTGTATGGACGTTTTGTGCTTTGCGCCCGAGAGGCTCAGCACAGGGCTTAGAGGTCAACCGATCAGCTTTTTTTTTTTTTTGGTCAAGAACTCAAGGAAAGCGCCCGATTGCGGGATTAACTGATTGGTGAAAAACTCAGGAATAGCCCCGAATGGGTAAATTATGGGGATTTGATGGGGATTTTGATGGGGCCCCACTGTGGAGAAGCTCAGGGTATCGTTTGCTGCTTGCAGATGTCACGCTTGCCCAAGTGATCGGAGCTTTGGCTCTTGTTTACTTGGGCCTTTTAAAACCTTACGATTCCCCCGCTCGATAAACTTCTTTCTTTCCATCATTTTATATTCACTTGGAACGACATTCATCTGCTTCCTAATCCTTTCCCCATCTCATCTCTGATCAAATCAACCATGTCTGTCAACGGTGCAAGCAACGGCAAGGCTCCAGCTCTGGATCCTGAGAATGCTCCGCGCAGCACAGCCCACGGCCTGGTAAAGGTCCAACCTGCTCGTCTGTCCGATCTTCAGCCCAAGTATGCCGCGACAATCGACCATGGTGTGGAAAACCCGGAAGCGCATGGATGGTACTCCCAACTGAGTAAGTACTCTCAGTGCACTTAATATATGCCAAATCGACCTTGCGACGGAAAGCGCATGGCTAACTCCTTTTTGTTACTTTCATTTTTCAGTCCACAACTTGGGTGCCTGCATCGGTTTCTGTGGTGCCATTCCCTGCTGCATCTGCTGCCCCAACCCCTTCAAGCCAGTCGACCAAGGTCAAGTCGGTCTGGTTTCGCGATTCGGACGGTATGTGACCAACCACCATCAAACCCCGCACAAATGCGCAAACCCAACTAATCCAATAATACAGTTTCGAACGCTCCGTGGATCCCGGTCTGGTCAAGGTTAACCCTCTGAGCGAGCACCTGACAACCGTCGACGTGAAGATCCAGATTGTCGAGGTACCGCGCCAGGTCTGCATGACCAAGGACAACGTCACTCTCAACCTCACCTCCGTTATCTACTACCAAGTCACCTCGCCTCACATTGCCGCCTTCGGTATCTCCAACGTCAAGCAGGCCCTCGTCGAGCGCACCCAGACCACCCTGCGCCATGTGATCGGAGCCCGCGTCCTGCAAGACGTCATCGAGCGTCGCGAGGAGATTGCGCAGTCTACATCGGAGATTATCGAGGAAGTAGCCGCTGGTTGGGGTGTGCAGGTCGAGTCGATGCTCATCAAGGATATCATCTTCAGCAACGACTTGCAGGATTCGCTTTCCATGGCGGCTCAGTCCAAGCGGATTGGTGAGAGCAAGGTTATCGCTGCTCGTGCCGAGGTTGAGTCCGCCAAGTTGATGCGCCAGGCTGCTGATATCTTGTCTTCTGCACCTGCCATGCAGATCCGTTACCTGGAGGCTATGCAGGCTATGGCCAAGACCGCCAACAGCAAGGTTATTTTCTTGCCGGGTGTGAGCCAGAATCTGAGCCAGCAGCTGGTTGAGAATGCGGGGGAAGGCCCCAGCCACCAGTTTGACGAAGGATTTCAACAGGCGATGAATGCTCGCGTGGTTGAAAACATCTAGGCGCTACGTATGCTTTGACCCAGTGCTTCTGGGTTTTGTTTGTTTTTGCCCCTTGCTTTGACTGTCTTGTCTTTTATGAAGATATGATTTTTTATCCCCTGATGTACATTGGCTTTCACTCCGGAAAATCACCCGATCGTCATATTCTTTGATGACCGATAGAACTTTCGGGGGATTGAAATGTTTGTGTGGCACCGCGACTGGATCTTTGACGATACCCACCCTCTTTTTTTTGCTTTTCTGTTAGCCTTTGCTATCCCTATACTCTAATGAGCTTGATTGTATTTCGCTATAACCCGTCTAGTATTTAATTCATCATCCCTTCTCCAAAACCCCCTTGCCCTTATCCATCTCGAGCTCGTAATTAACCAGAAGAATTTAGCTTGTTGAAGGGCACGCAGGTCTACATTGAATGGCCTGTGAATCCCAATATCGAAAAATACCGAAATATCAACCAGGATCATAATTCTTGTCTCTTACCTAGGTGGTCAGTAGTAAGCACTAAGTATACCTAAACAGTGCATCTTTCGCGGCAAGACGCATGGACTGCCACCTGCGTACCCAGACATGCTACACATTGAGAAATCGAGCAAAACCGCACAGCCGTCAACGTGATGGCGGGTACAACATTACCTACTACCCGTGGACCTACTAGTACTGGCTCGTGCATCCCATGCTCGACTCAAATGACCCGACTAAAATGAGATCTTGCATGTAGTGGTAAGGAGCCAGTATATAAAAAGACGGATTTCCTCCCTCTACCCAAACCTGACCCCTCCATCCATCACTGACCAATACTGAACACTATCAAAATCCAACAATCTCAAGCCCGCACCCATGCAAATCAAGCAAATCATCCCAGCACTAAGCACACTCCTAACAGCATCCGAGTCCTCACGCACACACGCACACAAAAATGCAGACCTAGTAACTGCCCCAATCCTGGCGCTTGGCAAATACCGCAAATGACCCATCTGGCCCTGAACTGAGTGGCGTGACCCTCATTATTTGACTTCAAGTCGAACACCCATCTACCTGGTAGGACCTTTGCACCATGAGCTTGCGTCTTTGGCACTTGCATCCAAGAATCGGCGTCATGCAACTTCTTCAATTGTTCTCCCATTGTGCCCTTCCACTGGGAGGCGTACTCAGAAGCCATGACTTGCTTGAAAGTTTGCGGCTTGACGACCGTCCATGCCTTGATCTGATTGTTAACGACGTCGATCTCTCCTGCGGAGGGAAACATTTCATCTTCTTCTTGTGCAATGGTATCGATGAGTGCTGCCATTTGCTCGAATATTTGAGTCTCGATCCACCATCTACCAGGTATTTCTGTACACGCCAGAATCAAAGTCTCCGCGAACTTTTGTGGCATGCAGAATTTAAGCAAGGACCACCACCGAGCAACATTGTTATCTACTTCTTCAACATCAAAACTTCTGGTCATATGCTCATTCATTATTGGTAGGTAGTATGTAAACCACTAGGGACAAAAAGGGAGACATTCACACATAACATCAAAAGCAAACATTGGCAAAGACCAGACAAATCGCAAATGTCTTCTCTAGAGCTGTAAATGCGAGTCCTGAATCAAGTATTTGGATGGGACTTTTTAGAGCGCAATAGGAGTAGACAGAGTGAAAGTAACAGGAGAGCCAGTGAGCTCAACCCAGACGGTCAGAGGATCACTGCCCAGCTGCTCAGTGGCAAAGCCTTGAGTAGAAGTGGGGGCGACGGGGAAGGTCACAGGGATTGGCTCGCTGCAGGTGTTTCCAGTAGCCGTGACAGTGACACCAGTGATCTCCTGGTTCTCAGTAGTGTAGCTGAGGGCATATCCACAGGCATCGCGGGTGTAGCGAGCCAAGAAGCTAGCAGACATCTAGAAAGAAGGGGGAAAAGGTTAGTAAAGAGTTTCATACAATAAAGCAAGAGGGTGAGGATACTCGGGGGAGATGAAACTTACATCAGCGTGGTTGATGGTCACGAGGGGCCAGTCGGACAGACGGACAAACTCCTGAACAATAAGCTCAACCCAGGCCTGGAAGAGAGACCATTGACCGGCCACTCCGTTGATGGTGATGGGATCAGTGTCATTGTTGCGAAGGTTGGCCTGGTGGAACATGTACGGCTCGTGGTAGAGACCGAAGAAGTGGCGCATGGTATCAGACTGCTCTTGGGACATGAGGTAGTCAAAGTCACCAGAGCCAGATGAGGTGTTGATCCACTCGGCCAAAGTGCAGGCAGGAGTGGTGCAGTCGTAATAGATACGAGTGGCCCAGCGAGGGTTAACCTGCATGCCATTGAAGCCGTCGGTGGCGGTAACGGTAAAGTAGGGCCACATGGCGTTCTCGGTATTGAGCAGGGCAGAGCGAGTGTTGTCACCAACACAGTTGGTGATGCCATTGTCCCACCAAGCCTGGAGAGCGTCACCGTTGTGGATACCCGTGATAGCCGGGGGAATGATACCATTGGCAGTGAAGTGAGTACCCTGATCAAGTCCAACCTGCTTCAACCAAGCCTGGTTGAAGCTGATCTCCTTGTAGACATCGGCATAGGTGGCATTGTCCTCGGCCTCGTGAGTGAATGTGTGCGAGAGCAAACCGAAGCTGTTGAGGTTGGTTTGCCACCAGACCATCAGAGGGTCCCGTTCGGTGCAGTCCGTGGTCCAGTCGTAGGCAGTAGGGGTAGAGGGCCACTGGTCAGTACCAGTTCCCAGGGGCTTTTGGAACTCAGCTGGTGTTGTCGCAGCACCCGCGTAGTAGACACCACCACCACTGCAGATACCCCAACCATCATCAATGTTCGAAGAGCGGTCAATGTTTCCGTTACCATTGAAGCCAACCTCCGGATAGTATGAGCTACCGGCGTTCATCTTAGCATTGATGGTAGGAATCCAGGCCAGAACGTTGTCCATATCATCAGTGGTGATACGGAAGGTTGTGTTGGTAGGCTCGTAGATGTTGGTAGTCAACATCATATCATCGATCTGGGTGTTGATGTAGACACGACGCCAACCAGCATGGAGACCACGAGTGATCCAGGTGATCCAAGCGTGCTGTAGGAAGGCTGAAGTGGAGCTCCAGCTAGGATCCAGAGAGATGAAAAACACCATTTGCTGGCGACCATCGAAATCATTGATAACAGCAGCAGTGGTTTCAACGTCGACGACCGAGTTTGCAGCAAAAGAAGCAATAGACTTAGTGTTGCTGGAGTTCAGAATAGTAGAGGAGTAATGCCATAGTCCTTCGGTACTGACACCAGCAGCAGAGCCAGTGAGCAGTCCGGAGGTAGGGAAATCGCTGATATCCGTGAAATAGAAGTCTTGTTCGACACCGGTATCACAGCATCCATCGGAGCCACTGATAATCTCGGTTCCATAGTCAGAGCCAGGGTAGACATCGTATTGAACCATGCGCACACCATAATCGAGCTGGTAGGCATATAGCTGATTCCATTGGTCATCAGTCAAACCACTTGCCCAGCCCGAGTCATAGTCGTAGCTGATTCCCGAAGCTACAACAATACCTCCAAAGAGACCGCCCGCATCATTTTCGAGTGTGGGCAGATCAGCACCGGCTTGCGGCACCACAAGAGTGGTGAAAGGGATTCCGTAGCCATTGAGACCATCAGTTGCAGCGAGTGCAGACGTAGCATCTCTAGCAATGACCAAAATATTACCAGCGACGGTAGCCGAGCTGAGGGCCGCAGTCGTAGTAGATGAGACTGACATTGTGAATGATGTTCAAGAAGTGGAACAGAGCCAGTCGGCAATGACTCCAGAAGAGATTGATATGTCACAAAAGGACTTGGAAGAAAAGATAATCACAGAATCAGGGAGGACACTAGCTGCAATGGCAGTGGGATATTCCCATAGAATGACTGACGTGCTTCCTGGCTAAACCCCGGGGCAAACTTCGCAATTTATATCTTTATTTTTGGGTAGAAACACTATAGTCTACGGATCATATCGGGATTTATCACCGCTTTTCATGTTGACCAAAAGCACCCAGGCACACAGGAACGAGGTGGGTTAGTGCAAAATGTACCAATCAGAACTGGCAGCCAAGAAACCTGCACGGCAGGGGCCCCGGGGAGCAAATGGTGGTGGGATTGAGGCGCATGAAGGTCCGAATTCCTGCAGCAGCAAACTGCAGGGCCGGGGGAATTAGAAATCGCCCGAAAGCCTATCGGCTGCTTTGACTACGGCTAACAAGCCTCTCCCATGGCGATTTTCGATGAACTGAGGGGCTATTTTCAACTAGCGTTATTTTTCAACCTTGAAAAGGAAGGCCGAAAAGGCCGGGGGCGATGGGAGAAGTATCGCTACAGGGCATGGATACAGAAAGAATCAGCTGGATTGGATCTAATCTGGTCAAACTGCCTGATCCGAGTACGAAGTGTAAGAGCTAGAGAAAACTCCCCGATAAGCGATTGGGGAATTATCAAAGGGTCAGAGAAGTGGAGAAGTGGAGGGTGGGTATCTCTCGCATGGTAATGTGATGATTCCAAAGTCTGAAATTCTGGGATGCATGCAAGCTGGGGTGGACGGTGTGCCAACAAGAGCTAAGATGGGAACTAAGGCCGAGGAAGCGGGAACAATCGCGCTTTCATCTGAGACATTGATAAAAGCAAAAAGCATGAATGGATCCATGGACCCAGGGCGGGTAGGGTTCTCCGAAGACCTAAGAATATTAATATACATCGGGGATATTATTATCACTGATCAGGGACCGGATGCAGGGTTTTCCGGCGAGGAGCGGGCCAAGCTGGGGCTCGTCAGGGACAAGAACCGAGCCCCGCTTATGTATGGGGTTCGGCAGCAGGTCCAGAACTTTGAAAACTGGAAAGGCAAAGGGGAAGAGGAGGTCGTGCCCGATGTGGAATGGTATGATATGTACGAGCATGCAACCTGTGATGTCTCTTCGTGTCCGTATGACTGACTTTTGCCCTTGGCGCCTTGGCATCTTGGCAACTCGCATTTTGTTTTGACCAGAAGACAAGAAGCTGGGGCCCTGGGGGCTTGCAAAAAGGAGAGAAGATCTGCTAAAATCAAGATCTTCAAAGCTTCACATCGAGATCTGGGAATCTGGGAATCAAAACATGAGGGAGACAAAGAAGAAAGTACAATTTCTGAATCGAACTAGGGTGGCACTTGAAATGCGAGAAATAATGGGGTGCTAGTAAGTCTGCACCTAGTAGTTAGTGGCTGAGTGGGACACAATCAAGTTGAATCCAACTTTGCCACAAAAACACAAAGATTCAGCTCCCCGAATCACGTGCACCATCCAATACCTTCATACGCCCCAGCACTAGAATGCATCTGATTTTGACTAGGGTTTGTCTCAATCAAGGACCTGATCAAAGTTAGAATCAAGTTAGAAGGGTCCAGCAGGTTGTAGTGCATATTCAAATCCACTGATTACAAGGCATAGCCCCCACCTTGTCCTGTTCACAATCAATCTGGGCATCGATTTATGGTATTATCTGCCCAAATCATGCATTTCAACCTTGCAATGTGCCGGATAGTCAATTAAGTATGATCTATTCTAGCCTTTGGCTCAAATATTCCAAATTATATGCGTCAAAATAATCGCAAATTCGCATTTGTACTAGTATATTCCAAAAACAAATGCACGCATCATTGTATACTTTAAGGCGGTGAAAGCTTTCTTAAGTGGATATGGGGGCTTCGATGTTGACGCTCTCCAATTGCACCAGAAACCCAAACTTTTGGTCCGCCCATGTCAAGCCTTCATTCCTCAGACTAATCAGATCACACCAAGTGCGAGGCACCTGCACGCAATGGCCTCTCAAAGCTACAGCTCGACCGCACGGGCCAGCCTAAATGTCAAATCTCCCAGCCCACCAACCGACCTTTCCCCCAACTTTGCCGACCCAAACTTCGACCCAGCCGATTTCCTCAATGATTCACTTTCATCGCTGACAGTGGCGTCCCTACAACCGAATGCCTCCCGATCACCTGGCTCTGTGCCTCTAACCGAACTGTCAGCCCAAGTACAAACCCTCCTTTCGCAGATCAGCGCCCAAAATGTTCGCCTGTCCAGCACGCTCTCTCAGTTAAGCGATGAGATTCTTCGCAGTGGCGGGCGTCTAGCTTACGAAGTGGAGGTGTTGCGAGGAGAAACCATTGGGTTGTCTGAGACCCTAGCAGAGGTTCTTCGCGACGATATCACCAACTTTGTCCCAGATACTTCGAATACAATCACCGTATCGGCCGTTCCTAAGGATGAGGCGACAGAAGAACCGGCAGAGGGTGCTACAGCTACAAAGGGCGACCAGGAAGATAAGGATGAGGATGAGGACACAGACGAGGCAGTGGAGAAGGATGCGACCATAGCGGACCCAGAGTATATCACCAATCTGCGCACGCTGAACCAAGTTCGCTCGCGATTGGAGAACGTTGTACAGACATTTGGCGATGCAATGGAGTGGCCTCTGCCACCATCAGAGATCTCCTTCTCATCCTCCTTTATTTCCGTCTCCGGTCCGGATATCACTGTCGAGGGCTCTGATCAGGAAGCGAAGGGTCAAGAGATCATGAAGAAACTACGAACAGAGACACTGGAGCTGCTGGACAGCGAAGGTGGTGGACGCGCTGGGTTGGATGCTGCGACTCGTCGCGTGGAGACTCTAAGAACATTGGCGACGGTATGGAAAGGATCAGCGGAAGAAAAGGCCCGGCAGCGATTTGTGGACAATCTTGCCCGAATTGTAGATGAAAGACGGCGCAATTTGGAACATCAGCAGGCGATGGCTGAGCAAAGTCAGCGCGGTCCCAAGTCGCGACCAGAACCAAGGCGAGACGGTGATAGTGGAGCCCCCGCGGGAGGCTTATTCCGCAACCTGCAGCGACTCAAGGAGGAGATCTACTTGGAGTAGATAGTGAGAGAGAAAGACAATTATACACCTTCACAGGCGCTGCATTTAATTGAATAATGAAGATTATGACTCTTTGTAAGTGACTGTAAATTACTATGTACAACCTCATGTACGGAAAGCGTTGGTTTCGTCTCCGTCGATCAATGAGCCGTTTCCATCTCCACCTGCATCCATTGCGTATTTCCCGCGTGGCCCTTCCCGGTCAAATTGACACCACCTACAACCTCGAGCTATCGCGACATGTTCAATCGGCTGCACCACCGACTCTGAGATAGCCTTGGCATTACGGTCAGCATGGCGTCTAGCCCGCCATTGCCGCAGTTCAAAGAGGCCAAGTCAACCGCCACCTCTATGATGTGGCAGGTCTACCACCTACGGCCGCGCACTTCAAGGTCCAAAACCATCGTCTACTCGATTCTCGCCTTCTTCTTCTTTCTTTTCATTCTCTCATCGTCATCCACTGTAAGTTCCCCTGCGTGACCGTTACCTGAGCCTGAGACGAATAGACATGGCATGGACAGGTGCGGGAGGGCCAGGCACAAGATACTGATCATCTCCGAAACAGCATTCCGAGCCAGATTTTTGGACAAAATTCCCATCGCATCACCCATTCCCCGAAATTCCTGAAGATGCGCAGGTCGCACTCCCTCGACGAACCGATATCTCAATCAACGATACTCTCCCTCATGACCTGGACAAGCCCAACCCGAATCTCCATGTCCTGGTGCCCATGCAGCAGGGCTCGCGCGGCACCTGTCGCACCTTGACATCGGCCATGATCCTAGGATACCCACCTCCAATCCTGGTAGGATACGGACGTGACACTCCTGGTGCAACCGAGTTCGAGCGCACTGTGAATCGCATCACCCGCCTGCGTGATTACCTGAAACCGACCCATACTATGAAGGATCATGATCTGGTGCTGGTTGTTGACGCCGAAGATGTTTTCTTCCAGCTGCCCCCGGAGGTTCTCATCGCGCGCTTCCAAGAAATCCTACGAACAAATAACCAGAAACTATTGAAAAAGCACGGATTCGCAAAGGTGGAGAAAGCAACTGCCGGTGCTCCGCCGGATGTAGTGCCGAAATACTCGCAGCGCGTGCTTTTTGGTGCTAGTAAACTGTGCCATACTGATCTGGAGGAAGATCCGGGCTGTGTTTCTGTTCCAGACTCGTCTCTACCTCCAGATGTGTATGGTTGGAAGACGGATATCTACCCTGACGGACATTTGACTCGACCCCGATGGTTGAATCCGGGTGCAGTGATTGGCCAAGCTGCAGACTTAAGACTTATCTATGACGAGGCCCTGCGCATTCTCGAGCAACGCCGCAAGAAGGACGCTGACCACCAGGCTCTGACGCAAATGTACGGACGACAAGAGGTGGTCCGTGAGCTGGAGCGACGCCGCACCACCAACAGCCTAAAGGAATGGTTTCAGGGACTTTTGGGCATCAATGAAGCCACCAATATCACAGGCATCCATCTCCGATTGGAAACAGGTCACCGATACGAGTACGGAATTGGAGTTGACTTTGAGTCCCAGATGTTCTTCAATCAGATCCTCTCCCGCAATGATGTTGAATGGATCAAATACAACAACATCACCAAAACCTCCATACTCCAGGGGCAATATGCTGTCCCCCGTGAACACCGTCTTCTTCTGCCAGATGATATTGCATCACTGCCAAACCCGTTCAATCAAAGTCGCTTTGCCCAATCCCAGACAACACACCCCGAATGGAACGCCACGCTGGATAAGCTACCAAACCCGGAGGAGCACTCCTGGCACAATTCACCCCTAATGACAAACCCACACTCCGCTTCTGTGCCTGTTCTCGCGCATCTCAATGGCGATGATAAACTCCGCAACGCATGGTGGGAGAAGATGTGGTTCTTTCCCTGGGGCCGTGCTCTCCTCCGTCGATACATGCGTTCCTCTCGCGGTTTCGATGCCGCCCAGTCTTCCCTTCTGGGTGGTCAAGAGTGGTGGAATATGCGTGGCGGACGAGGTGGAGTCTGGACAGACGACGAGAATTGGGTCACATTTTCGGATGTCTGTGAAGGCCAGGAGCGAGATCTCTTCGATGACGATCTAGGAATCTGGGCTAAGGAGAACGGTGATCCCAGTGCGCCAGTCTACAATCAATTCGGCAATCTCCTATATGGCAAAGAGCCCCCAGTTGATAAGAAGTGAAAGATAGACGGGTCTATATGGGCTACACTTGAGCCTTCCAAGCTGCTTGCCCTGCTTCTCACCATTCTCACCATGCTTGTTGTCAACAACCACTATCATCAGGCAGTTGAAAATACCATGTGCATACTGATAGAACTGGAGCCATGGGGTCTTTCCGCCCTTCTTTATACCACTTTGAGTTTTTTGTTTTTCCCCGGTCATGCATGGCATCGACATATGCCATGCTCTGGCGTTCTGGTTTCGGTTTCGGTTTTTGTTCCCTATCATGATCCGATATTTTTCATGGAGGAATTTGAGATGCCGCTGCGTCGAGCTGGCATCACGCTGGCAAACGTACATAGAATTCAAGAATATTTTAGCTTCACCTTCACATAATACATGAGTATTCAAACATCCATGAAAGTTGCTTAACCCGTAAAGCAGAAAGATGACGAATTAGCATGGAATTGAAGGGCCCATGCGCCCGGGATATCAAAGACAAGATACATAATCTAGTTAAACCAACAAGAAACTTTTGATCTTCTGATCTTCCAAAAGTTCCTTCTAACTCCCATAGTGCTCGCTGATCACCTCTCGGATGATTCCCAACACGACCTGCACATCTGCATCCGATATGCGCGTCTCGCGCTCCTCAACAACAGATTCGAACAGTGCCATTGCACCGAAGTCCTCTTCCTCTTCACCATCCTCTCCATTAATAGCATTGCCGTCTTCGTCAACATCCATGGCTTCACCTCCGTTGGCCCCCTCTTCACCATTTTGGCCCTCGGTTGACGAAGCAACGCCAACACCCAGGTTTAGGATCATGACGACCTCCGCCTTGGTAAGACCATATGGCTTTAGCTGTGTGATCAGATCACGGAGGGCGAGATCCATGGGAGTTTGTTCTTGAGAGGGGTCGCGGGAAGGTCCTGCGGATTTTGTGAGGTCGTTGTTATCTGAAGCGGAGTTTTGTGCCGGGGGGCGCATGGTTCCAAATGCCGAGGCGGATTGCGAGGAGGAGGGGCGTGGGGTGTAGCGTGGGTATCTTAAAATATGGGGTGAGATGCGAGTGACATAGTTGTGGATCTGAGGTAAGGGCGTATTTGTTAGCTACTAGTGTTCTTTTGTTCGTGTGCTATAGCAATCACGATTCATTGGGTACTGGATGTTTTGAATTGAGATAGAACAATCGGTCTCTTTTTTCAAGAAAACAAAGTAGATTTATGATAGCCCAAGGGTTTGAGAGATATAGTGGAATAGAGTCGTTCGGAAGCTAGCTTACCTCTTTAACCACGGTGTTGTGGTCTCTCAGATCTGGGCTGGGCACCCATCGATCAGCATTCTGCGGCGGATCGGGGGAACGGCGGGGCGGATTGGCTGTAAGGTAGGCCAGAACCTCAACATTGGTGAGGACGGCAGACTGAGGGTCAAGAATCTTAATTTTAAAGTTAGCAAGTTGGTCATTATGTCATATCAGGCCCATCTTACCCGCATTGTGCTGGTTGTCGAGGATATGTGAATGATCGTCGAATAATGCAAGTCGCAACCGGAGGGAAAATTGCTTATTTTGCCGGTTTAAAGATAAGCGGTGGGTGGGGCGGTCTTTGTGTTCCTGCAGGTCCTGGCAAAAGTACCATATCAGTCAGTTCCTAAGTGAATCGAGGCATGAGATGTATACGACTCTACACAGAGAATGGCAACCCTGTTGGTTTAGACTTAAGCCTACGGATGTAACAGATAGAGACTTTGCTGAATACTACTCAAAATTGAAGTATGAACAGATTATTCAGCTAAACTGTACTGCCTGACCAAGCACCGTCTGCGCCATAAAAATAAAAACGAAACAAATAAAAACGTAGATCAACCTTGAAATGCCCCCGAACATGCGAGCAAAAGGCCGCGACATGAAAAGAAAGTGATATCATACAGATTGCGCAAAAAGAGGCCATCCATCACATTGCACGGAACTTTTGAAACAAAAGCAACTCATAGCTTACTCGCCCTTGCTCTTCTTCTTCTTCTTATCCTTCTTCTCATCGCCCTCGTCGGAGCGCTTGCGCTTCTTGCCGTCTTCCTTATCGGCCTTCTTGGCATCCTTCTTGGACTTCTTCAAGTCCTTCTTGCTAACGGATGTAGGGTTACCAGAAGCATCAAAAGTAATCTCACCACGCTCCAGCTTGCGCTGGTAACGCTTGACACTGAGACCAGCCTTCTCGGCTTGCTTCTCCAACTCGGTCTTTGAGTCCTCCTCGGAATCAGAGTCGGAGTCAGAGGAGTCAGCATCCTCCATATCCTCGTCTGAGTCGACCTCCTCCACGAGCTTCTTGTTCTTCTTATCCTTCTTCTCCTTCTTGGCAGAGGCAGGGGCCTCAGTATCCAGAGCATCGGCATCGGGGTTGTATTTGCGGGCCTCGTTCAGATCGAACTTCTGGGGTTGGGAAGTGCCGTTGGGGGCAATAGCAACACCGCGGGGCTTAATAGGCTTGCCCTCCATACCGGCAAGCTTGCGCTCCAAGTTGAAGCGAGCCTCAGTACCAAGAGCGGCCTTCTCCTCCTCGGTGACATCCTCATCCCACTCAGCGAGGGAGTCGACACGGATACCGAGCGAAGCCTTAGCAGCAAGAATACGGGCCATCTTACCCTTGTTGCGGCCGGTGGCCTGGCCGATCAAAGAGGCGTGGTAGATCAGACCGTACTTAGGTGTGTCGTGCTTGGTCTTCAGGGCACGGAAAAGCGCCTTCTCGGCACCCAGAATCTGGAGGGTAGAGGCGGGGCTCTTGGCAAGGCTGGTCAAGCTACCAGCGTGGGCAATGAGACGGGCACCAACAAGGTCACCGACAAGAGCAGTCAGGTTGGGAGCAATGGCGTTCATGCGGGAGGTCAGGTAGCTAGCAAGCTGAGCACGGTAGTCGTAAAGGGAAACAACCTGGTCGGCAAGAGCCTGGATGTTCTCGAGATCATCCTCGCTGATCTCAGTACCCATGGAACGATCAGCAGCGGACTTGACGGCGCCCTCAATCTCCTCGGGCAAGATATCGGCAAGATCAACAGTCTCCCAGTTAGAGCGCATGCCCATCTTGAGAACGAGCTTGGCGTAGGCAATGTTGTCGTTAAGGATCTTGGCAAGCTCGGGGAAGTGCCATCCGTACCATTCCTTCACACGCATAGCGTAGGTGTTCAACTCCTTGTCCATATCGTCCAAAAGGTTGATGGCCTGGACGATCATGGTATCGATCTTGTCGGGCGAGAACTTGAGCTTGTGACGGGCAAGAGAGTGAGACAGACCAAGTGCCATGGTGGACATGTCGCTGGGAGCCAGACCGGGAATGAGAGAAGTGATGTGCTCACGAATGGCACGGTAGGCCTCGGCGGTAGAAGAATCGGCGATCAGCTCAACAGAGAGGCCAGGCAGCTTGCTGATGGCATTTCCTGAAGATTATGATGTCAGTAAGAAACGCAACAACTGGATCATAGAATTGAACATACCGAGCTTGGGGTCCGCAACAGCGAGGGAAACCTTCTTCTCGTCCTTGATTTCCTCCAAAAGCGAAGCGAGACGGGGAGTAACCTTGCCCTCAACGATGGCTGCAGCCTCCTCAACGGCGGCGGCGGCACTGTTGAACTTCTGGAAGGACTTCAACTTGAAACTAAAATGGAATTATTAGAATCGGTCTCTACCGCAATAATTTTTTTTTTCTCAAACACTCTGCCAATGATTCTTCCCCGCTTCACTAATTTTTTTTCCTCGGAATTTTCTGGCAGAGACAAAGATCACACATACAGGCTTGAAACACCTTCGGCGGTGGAAGCATCCTCGGGGAGCTGGTCGCGCTTGAAAAGCTTCTTGTCCTTAGCCTTCAGCAGGGCATAACCGGCGCTGGTTTCGGTGAGGATGAACAGCGACATGGTGGCTACTGATTCGGGGGGGGGAAAAAAGAAACAAGATGAAAATATAGAGTGCCCCGTTCGATTGGCGAAAGAAAGACGGATTAGAATGAGTGGACCGTCGAGGCGTGCACCGTTGGAGAAGGGAATCTAGAAATTTTGCAACGGAAAGAAAAAAGTGCAAAATTGTTCGAGCCACAGCCCTGTGGCTGGTGGCTTATGTAAGGACCCACCGCGCATACAGCTCCCAGCACTTAACATGTACGTAGATTGAGACGGGCGACTTGAATCTTTAAACCACTTCCCACTCGCTGCAATGGAGGGCCTCTTCTTCAATGTAAATTCTGGGTATGTATGCTTCTGGTCGTATTTTTCGCTTTCGCTCACCAACATCCATCCTCTAGATACGTCGAGGGCATTGTTCGAGGGTATCGAAACAGCCTTCTGAGCGGTCAGAACTACTCTAACTTAACACAATGCGAGACCATTGATGGTATTTAAATTCCGCTACAAGCATAAGGATCATTTAAGTCTAATGTGAAGTCGATCGGCAGATGTCAAGCTCCAACTGGGCCCAGCTTACGGCGACTTCCTCGCCTCTCTCCCCCCGAACCCCTCCACCTCCGCCCTCGCTGGCAGGATGACCGACAAGCTTGTGTCGGAATTCCGATACTTGATCGCACAGTCTACTGGGGCAACGGCCAAATTCCTTCGCTATCTCACCTATGGCTATATGATCGATAACATTGCCCTCCTGATCACAGGCACCCTGCATGAGCGCGATACCCGAGAACTCCTGGAGCGATGCCACCCTCTCGGATGGTTCGAGACTCTACCCGTGCTGTGTGTCGCAACCAACATTGAGGAGCTATACAACTCAGTCCTGATTGAGACCCCGCTTGCACCTTTCTTCAAGGGCAGTCTGAGCCACCAGGATCTGGATGAGCTGAACATCGAGATCGTCCGTAACACTCTGTACAAGAACTACCTTGAGGACTTCTATAAGTTTGTCAACACCGACCCGGACTTCTCCGGTCCCACCCAGGAGGTCATGTCGGAAATTCTTCAGTTCGAGGCCGATCGCCGCTCTATTAATATTACCCTCAACTCCTTCGGCACTGAGCTATCCAAGCAAGAGCGGAGGAAACTGTACCCGGAATTCGGAAAGCTTTACCCAGAGGGTAGCTTGATGCTGTCTCGAGCAGAGGATGTCGAGGGTGTGGCTTTGGCTGTGAGCGCTGTTGCGGACTACAAGACCTTCTTTGATGCAGTGGGCTTGAACCAGGGTGGCAGCAGTATGGGTGGTATGGGTGGAAGTGACGGAAAGAGTCTTGAAGATCTTTTCTATCAGAAGGAGATGGACTTGTCCAAGTTAGTCTTCACTCGTCAATTCACCCCGGCGGTGGTTTACGGGTGGTTGAAGCTGAAGGAGCAGGTACGATGATGATATTTCAAGACTTACTTACGGATACAAAAGATTCACAGGCTAATGACTATCAGGAAATTCGAAACGTCACCTGGATCTCAGAGTGCATTGCGCAGAATCAGAAGGAGAGAATCGGCAACTTCATATCAGTCTTCTAGACTTTGATTTTTAGCTCGTTCCTCACATTTACTCTAACTTCTTTTGTATTTACCCCCCATTGGGCTGCATGACTTAGCTTTGCAGCCAACTCCGTTGTATCAAGTACCCAGTTTGTTTCTTGTCCCTCGATATTGAAGTGAGCATATCGCCCAGACTGGGCAAATTGTCACTGCTTTCGGTCCTCGTTTCTTTTCCTGGCTCTTTTTACCACCTCCTGGGCGTTTGGCAATTCCGTGATCTGGCTGTGAACATTATAGAAGAGCAAAATTCATCGGGTGAGATGAAGATACCTATTGGTAAAAACTCCTAGCATAGGTAACATTTGAAGAGGAAAGAATGTAAATAAGAGCTGTACTACACACATGTGCATGCATCAACATTGAAACTCCCTGGACTGGAATCCAGGGTCAACTGGTACGCACTGCATATTATATGTACCTAGTAGTAGCCCTGGAGCCCTGGAGGTATGTGTGCAGTTAGTAGGTAGTAGGTAATATGTACATATGCCAACTAAATAAGACATGTCCTACATCCATAGTGCTGCATACTATCCATGCATACATGTGCATGCAGAAAGAAATAAGACAAGTCACATAAACCGTATTTTTTGATTTCATCATATGTGCAAGACGGCAATAGCCAAAATCAATAGCTAGGCAAACATAAAGGTCAAATAGAACAAACCAAGCCCGAGCAGCAAGACAAGACCAATCATTTGAATACAACGCTGTCTCGGGCAAGACTACATTCAAAATTGACCAGGGATTCTATATAGATTCAAGGATGGTGCAAATGATACCAGTTGACCGGAGAATGATAACCAAAAAAAAAACGTCTTCACATCAGCAACGCCAGGTAGATCGACTCATATTCATTTAAAATGCCAAATTTGGCATATCAATCCAGCCATGAATTTTTTTGATATTTGCAATTTTCCAAATAGGAGAGAGACAAAAGATGCTGGCAATCAATCATACTGGAACAAGACACTAATACTCTCACCGTGGTGGACGCGGCGGATGGCCTGCATTGAGCGGTCAGCAAGGCCCGGGCGCAATTAGACAAATAGCACTTACCTCGGCGAAAACGTGGCCAACCTCTAGGACCTCCAGCTTCGGGCATCGGCGCAGGTGATCGTTCTGCTCCACACTGTTGGTCACCACCACCTTATCAAGGGCGCTGGCGTTGATGCGCTCGATAGCATCACCGCTGAGAATACCGTGGGTGACCAGGGCATAGACCTTGGAAGCGCCCTCTGTCTTCAGGAGCTTGGCTGCCCGGGTGATTGTGTTAGAGGTATCCGCCAAGTCGTCGATCAGGATAGCTATCCGGTCGCGGACGTCGCCGACCAACATCATGGTGGCATTCTGGCGGTCTGTGATCTTTGTGGGGCGGCGCTCCTGCAGGGGTTGTCAGAACTTGAAGATCCAAGGCGGCAAACTAGAATGAAAAATGTTAGGGGAAAAAACAAGAATGGATCTGACCTTGTGGATGAGAGCGAATTCCATTCCCATCTGGTCAGCAATGGCTGTCGCACGCTTGGCGCCACCAGCGTCAGGGCTGACGATGACGGCCTGCTTGAAATTGGGGATGTTGCGCTGAATGTAGCTCTTCAGGAGAGGACGTCCATAGAGGTTGTCCACGGGAATGTCAAAGAATCCCTGGTACTGAGGGTCGTGCAAATCCATAGTAATGATGTGATCAGCACCAGCGCAGGTCAGCAGGTCAGCTACCAGAGTGCCTGCTTGTGCAACCCACTGCTTGTAGCCAGGGCGAGGCTGGAAGGCATTGATCTTTGAAGCAGCGGAAGAGTTACTGGTAGATTCTTCAAGGGCCGCACTGTTAGCCAGGGATTTGAGGGAGTCGTTGGTATCACTCCGGGGAAGTGGAGTACCGGATGCAGGACGACGCTTCACTGGGCTTCCATTGTGCTCTTCGATCTGAGCTTTGGCAAGGCTCTTCTGGAGGCTATCAATGCCATTCATCAGACCCAGGCCCTCGGGCTTACCGGGGCCTGGGGTGGGAGGAGTGCTTTCGAAAGTGTAGCCGCTGGTAGATTTGTTCGGGACCGAGGACTTGACGAGAGGCGCTCCAGCCTTGTCGTATGGAATATCACTTTGGCGGGAGTAGGGGAAGAGAGGAAGGACAGCGGTCACCCGGCGGGCCGATGCGGTCTTACAGGCGGAGATAGTAATGAGGAGCTCAAGCAGGTGGTCGTTGACTTTACCACCTCCGGACTGGATGATGTAGACGTCCTTTCCACGGACGGACTCCTGGATCTCCACACGAGTCTCACCCACAGCGAACTTGGACAGCAGCACCTCCGCCGGAGGGAGGCCCAGTACACTGCAAATGGTCTCGGTCAACTGCGGGTGGGATGTACCCCCGATGACGACCAGGTTGCGAACCATGTTGTTTGATGAGGTTTGTTTGGGATCGAAAGAGATATTGGGAGAAAACGGGAGGAAGGAGTTGGTTGTGGAGGAGATCGAGGAATCTGGAGAGGCGGAAAATCTGCGGAGAGGCGAGATCGGTTCAGAAAAGGGCAAACGAGCAAATGCAAAGTGAATTCAAGAGTGGAGAGTCAAGCGACTACCTCATTTCGCAGAGATTTGGAGGTCGAAAATTAGCCCGGACAATGGCCCGGAAGAAAAAAACCGAATTGAAGCTCGTGTGAGTCCCGCGATAGAAAAAAGCCTCTTTTGGAGAGTGGAACGGAGTCTTGGTCTCGGGTTGGCTGGAGAGTGGCTGGCCTCAGGCATCCAGGCGTCAATAACGGCCGAAACAGGAATAGGGCGGGCACATTCATCATAGTAATGCATTTAGCCCCGCAGGAGGCCAACTTCGAACAGAAACGGCCGGAAAAACGCAAAAAAAAAAAAAGCTCGTTGGAAGGAGAGACGCCAGCAAATGGTCAGCAACCCAAAAAAATATCGGGTAAAACCGCTTTACAGCAACTTCCATTTTTTCGCCGGTAAGATACAAAACGGTCGATGCAAAAAAGGGAGAGAGAAACAGAAGTCCCTAGTTCATAGCAGGAAAACATAAAAAGAATGAAAACAGCATAAGAAATCCATTCGTGCACGCTCCCATGATCCATAAAAAAAAACATCGTTGATAGATTGATATGAAAAACACCGACCAGTTGAAAAGATAAAACCCATCCCGCTGAGAGTACATGAGAATAACGATTCTAGTCTCCTGTTCCAACCTCCCTATATAATGGGTTAGTATACGGGTTATAATAGAAGTTGGTAGGGAGATCGGGTAGTAAGTAAGCTCACAAGTCAAGTTGTACCCCATTGCTCACTCCATAGTCCTCCAGCGTCAGTTGGTCCTTGAAAGGACGTTCGCCTTGACGTTTCAATAGAATTTCATGTGGTTCTCGACCGATACGAGCAGCGACCTGGGCTTTGAAGAGCTCTAGATAGATAGGAATGAGGTTAATACAGATTCGTCAAGCAAGCTTAGTAGAGCGGGTAAAAACGTACTGATCGGATCAGAGGCCAGGCAGGGAATCTCAGCTTTGGTACCCAAGCGATCATTGACATAGACAATGATCATTGGCTCTGATGACTGTGGCAGAACTGGCTTCTTCTTCTTTTTCTCCTTCTTATCCTTATCTTTCTTCTCCACGCGATCTTGATCTTCTCGTGGTGTATTACGATCCTCCCGCGGTGCATCACGATCGTCCCGTCGTCGGTCACGGTCTTGGTCTTGATTGCGGTCTCTGTAGCGGTCATTATCACGGTCTCGGCGTGGGGATCTTGGTCGTTCGTCTCGGTCTCGGTATCCGCGGTCTAACCTGCGCTCTTCTCCGCGGGTATCGTCGTCGCGACGCTTCTCCTTCCATCGAAAGCCCCCGGATTTCTTGGGACGGGATCGATCACCATCCCGCCGGTTCGGGGACCGACTTCTGGATCTATCACCCATGATGGATGGGTAAAAAGAAATAAAGAAGAGGGTTGATGTCCTACAGTCCGGTCGCGATCACAACGGAATGAGCTGAGAGTCGATCGCTGTAGCGTCACGTGATCTAAATACGGGGGTGTGCAGTACGCTAGTCTATATTTGGCTTAGTGTGTGAATTGCGGACTTGAGCTTCTGCCCCGTGAATTGTTGATAACAATCTTGTTAATATCTTAGAACCTATTGCGAATACCTTAAAGTACCTTGGCTCTTTACACCGTATTGCGAACTCCTTGGCTCACAATGCCTGGTCGACTCCGAGTCCAACGGCCTTCTCCGACAACCGTTAGCTTCACGGTATCAAATGCGCCGCAACGCTCCAATTCCCCCGCGAAGATACTCTTCGGTTTCCAGATCCTACTGAGAACTATTCTGTTCTTTTGCGTGATAATTGTTGGGCTAGCACGATTACGACACTTCTCATTCCAAGCCGATGGTGGATCAATACCATGGCCGGCTATGTGGGCGAGCCCTCTCGGGTCTCATGTATGCCAGCTAGTGGACGCATACAACCCGTGGGCCATGGCGGTAATAGGTACTTTGGTGGTCTATGGAGTCTTCAGGAGAGGGTATACAGGTATGAACCACTCACTTGTCGATGTGCTCTTCGTCATCTTCTTGCGCGCCAGCTGATTGTTTATATAGAGGAATCGCTTCTGGTTATTCGAGGGTTCGGCATCCAAACCTCCACATCGTCCTCTACCTATCTTTCATCGGCCGCAACAAGATTTATTCCTACAACCCAAATTCAAGACATTGTCATCCACGAAGCTTTCAAGGGCTTTGAAGTCCGCTTTTATCTGGCTGTTATTGTGGAGGGTGAGCCGGACGTCTTGGTGGTCTTTCCGGTAAATTGTATCCTTCCTGGCACTGTTATTACGCTAACTCATTATCCCAATCATTAGCATCTACTACCGAAGCGGGAGATCTTAGAGGAAGTCTGGAGAGGCTCTCGCCGTTGTCTCTATGATGCAAAATCTTGATTTATAAAATGCATAGCAGTATGTAAAGTCAATGGGTTTTACACACCATGGGACCGATGTAAGTATGTAGTATGCTATACTCTATATCCTTCATGCTTCCTCTTTCTTGTTTTCGGCTTCTTTCTGAAGCGCCAGTTTTCGCTGCTTGCCTGCTAGCCACTTGGCATTTTGAACTTCGACGGTCGCCGTCCTTTCCTTTTCCCAGACCGGCTGGTATCTTCCTCCAACGCGAACGTGGTTATCCCCAAGCCAGACCTTTGCGCCTCTGCTGTTCTTTTTGCCTGTTCCATTCTTGCCTTCCATGTTCTTTATAACACTCAGATCACCCTGGCTAACAGTCAGGTCCAGCAGTGCACCGGCCAAGATCTCATCAATCTTGCGCTGTCTCCAAACCGACCACAGCCCGTCAATAACACCCTTCATGCCAAACTTGCTATCGCCTTTAGCACTTCGAGATCTGTTAAGCCGTTCATCACCGGCATATACCCAGTTGAGAGCATCCTCGCGACTTCCAGAGCTCTCGTCTGGGAAGATTGTATCCCACAGAACTAGGGGTGCATCGGAGGCCATCTCATATGACGGTTTGCGTGGGTTCTCCTTCACATCTAGTAGCTTAGGCACAATTGATGGAGACTCGAGCCCTTGTCCGACTAGGAAAAGGATTGCCACCATGTGCCGGACCTGATGCCACAGGAATGCAGATCCATGCAGAGTGAAAGTGTAGACTTGAGGTGTGGTTCCTAGAGGCGCCTCCGAGGACAGCATGTCCACGTCAGATACAGAGCCTTCTCGCTGCTGGAACCCGGCCTGGCCAACATAGCCCAAGGGATTACTCTTCGGGTTCACGAACTCAATGTCGGCTCGGTGAATTTTGCGTTGGAAATTCTCGATCTGCTTGCTGGTATCCAGTTTGCAGAAGTTTCGGAAGTCATGAGTTCCTTCAAAGTATTTCGCTGCTTCGCGCATAGCTTCAATGTCCAGCCATCCCTCGCGGTTGGTGGCACGGGGTCCGTTGCTATCTTTCTCAAATCCAAAGGGGCCTGGAGTGGGCGAGAACGCAGGCTGGGTAAAGAAATACCGGTACCGGCGCTCACGGCAGGAGAAACGGGCATCAAAACCAGGAGGGGGATTGGGACAATAAGCCAGTACCCGAATATCTTCGGGTAAAACCCTGTTCAGGACTTGTATATAGTTTATTTCATCGGCGACATCATCCCAATCCTGATCAGCGGCTGTCTCCTCGACCTGCATCCCATCACTCTCCTCGTTTGTGGCGGTTGTAGGCTTCGGCTTGGGTCGCAAACTACGAACCCGAATGCCAATAACTTGTCCAAAAGCGCTGACGCCACGGTCAGTTCTCCCGGCCTTGGAGTATTCACATCCATCCCAGAAGATGGAGTAGGGCCGCACCACTCTCGGCCCACCGCCACTTGGCTCGTCTGCAGGAGAACTAGTCTGAGGAAGAATCAACTTCGTACGTCGCAAAGCCTTCCACAGAACTTCCTCAATTGTAGGCAGCGGTGTAACATTGCCATTGGTGTGCTCAAGTCCATTGTATTGTTGACCCAGATAAGCAAACTTCAGAGCAATAAACCTGGTGGTGTATTTCGAACCGTCAAATTCTCGCTCTGCCTTCGAGGCGCGGTGAATGCCAGGTTTGTGTGTGATGTCTGTGTCCGGCGAGTGAAGTCGCTTCTTCTTCGAGGCATGCTCATCGGTACCGTTTTCGAGAAGTGGGATCGCAGGCTCGTGAACATCGCTGGGGATCGGGGTTGCCGGGGGTGCAGGGTGTTTTCCGGTCGGCGCTGTATACTGTGTTGTCTGGGAGTTGAGTTGACGCTCAAGTTCACTTATGCGCTCAATAAGGCTGGTGTTGCTCCAGGTTGTATAGTCAGGGCCGTGTCCCTCTTCGCTCTGGGCCGTCGCCGTCATTTTTTGCGATGAAGATTCGTAGTACCCGCGGATAAATCGCGCTTGGGGTTGGAAAGATGATTTTTGAGACCAGCGCGGTGGTGAGAGTCTGTTTGGTCGTCTCCACATGCCCTTGAGGCAATTGGAGGTCAGCTTGGCTCACTTGAGGGTGATGGTGGTGGTGGGGTGATCGCAACTTGGAAATTTGGACTCGAGGAATCTTTGGTATTTTTTGTAATGCGGTATGTACTGTACTGTAATGCAATACAGAAGTCTCTTGTAGTGTTGACTTTCCGCTAGTATCTTTGTGTACTGCCCGTATCGAGATACTTAATCAGGCCAGAATACTATTGAATGTTTAAGGTGTAGGTGTTAGCAATATTAGTGAAATGGTCGGGTTTGCCAGACTTGCTGGACGTGCATGTGGAAATTGATCAGGGGGAGGAAGCACGGGGAAGATTTGTGAATGTATATCTCGGTGTAGATCCATCAACTCCACACCTGGGCAGCCAACCTTATCTTCTTCAGCGCCGTTTCCAACTAGGCCGCTTTACATACCACTTACCCATGATCACCAGAAAAAAGAATAGAACAGCAATATGTCGGAGGTAGTATCATACCCAGAGACCGACTCAACAGTTACTCTCTTACTTCTAGGCGACGCGGGCTGCGGAAAGTCCATATTCTTATCGTGAGATTGAACCTCCTCTTTGATTCTTGAATCTTCACTCTTACGTGTGTTCTGGTATCGTACTGTGTAATCAGCAAAAACCCGGGGCTTACTGAAAAGTGGTTTTCAAAGCGCATGAAATGCCTGTAACTGATAATTCTGCAGTCGTTTAAAGAGTGGCAAGAAGCCAACGCCATCTCAACCAGCCACTGCACCAGATTGCTCACTACAGACCCTACGGGATAGCGACCAACCCTTCACTTATGATATCCGCTTCTCTAAAAGAGCTTTTACCCTGGAAGTCTATGATACATCCTGTCCCAACCAGCACTGGTCGACTCTTAGGCCTGATCTTGTCGTTATAGCCTTTGATATCTCAAACCGGGAGACACTTACAGGACTTAAAGAGGTGAAATTTGCTTTCTTGAGATAGTAACTCTCTGCTTACTAGTAGTTAACAAAAGCTGACCTCTTGTCACACAGTGGCGAAACGATATATCAAGATACTTTCAACATGGTCGTGGAGACCGTATCCCCGTGATGATGCTTGGCTTGAAGAGAGACCTGAGGAAGGAAGGCGAGGGGATTATATACCCACAAGAAGTGTGTGAGATACACCCAAATTGGTATTATACAGTTAGCTCATTGATCTTCTAGGCCTACCGTATTGCCCAGGAATTGCGCTGTGATAGATATGCAGAATGTTCGGCTGTGACGGGTGAGCTGCTGGCAGAGACATTTGAAGACATTGCCAGGCTTGCAGGAATGTCGACTACAGAAAAAGGTGGACAAACAGCGGGAGGGTGTAATATTTTATGAGCCTAATACTTAGAATAGTATATGATTTGACTATCCACTGTTAGTCTTGTTCATGTCGAGCACAGTTTCAACCTTGGTTCCCGATAAATGGGGACCATTCTAGCAACTAGCTGCGACGCCCGGCTCCTAGTGAGTCGTTTCAAGGCTGATTGATATCTAGACAACTATTATCAATTTACAGGACCTACTAGTATGTGGATCACCTAGCAGTAGGTGTTCCGGAGCATACAAATCCAATCTACAAATTTACGCAATCAAGATGGACAACAATACCAAGCACAATCCTCTTCCAATTACTAGGATACAAACAGGGAGAAACCAAGGTAACGATTAAGTCCACCTTGTAGATTGACAGCACAGGGCTTTCCCCCAGTTGTAGAACACAACTGGATATCTTTCCCTCATAAAGCGCCAGGTCAATGATTGACGTCGCTATTCCTCCCCGATGCAAAAACAAGAAAATAAAAAAAAGGGTGCTGGTAAAATGAGACCACTGATGCAAAAGGATTAGAGGGTTCCCGGCGAAAAGCTCGTTTTTGTTCTGCTGTTTTTCAGTTTCTTTTTGGTTTGTTTTTTGGGACACTGGACAGAAACTAGGATAGACAAGTCAAGGGACTTTGCGGGAGACGGTGTATTTTTTTCCATTTGTCAATGGATTTCGTAGGTGAAAGAACAAAAAAGAGAACTCCTCATCTCTCCTGTGCCCCGACGGACACGGGAACTATCCCAATCAACCCGGATCACCACGGCTTTTTTGGGTTCTTGAGATCATACTTCCACCCTTTCAACGGCTATCCTTGTCACTGTGAAGTGAATTTACCACTTGGCCTCGGGGGTGGCGGTGGCAGCAGCAGCCTGGGTAGACTCAGCGGCCCACTCGGTGGGCTGCTGGGTGGAGCTGGCAGCCCAGTCAGCACCGTCAGCCTCCCAGCTGGTGGCACCGACAGCGGCGGTGGCAGCAGAGAAGGCAGTACCGGGGACACCGGCACCGGGGGCGTTCACGTCCCAGTTGTCACCGGCGAAGCCAGACTCAACGGCACCAGCGCCAATCTCCTCAGCACCGGGGGCCTTGGCCTCATCGGCAACCTCCTTGTTCTCCTCGGCCTCGGGGTCGCGGTAGAAGTACAGGTCAACAACGCTGTCCCACTCGGTCTCGCGAGTAGCGAGGGTACCGCGGAGACGGAGGACCTCACGGGCGAGCATCCACCAGATGAGACCGATGGAGTGACGACCCTTGTTGTTGGTGGGGATGGCGACATCAACGAAGTCGGTGGGGGAGTCAGTGTCGCAGAGGGCAATGACGGGGATGTTGACGTAGCTGGCCTCCTTGATAGCCTGGGCGTCGGTGCGGGGGTCGGTGACGATGATCAGGCGGGGCTCCTTGAAAGAGCGGGTGATGTAGTTGGTGAAGTTACCGGGGGTGAAACGACCGGCAATGGCGGTGGCACCGGTGTGGTGGGCGAACTTCAGGACAGCACGCTGGCCGTAGGGACGAGCGGAGATGACACAGACATCGGCGGGGTTGTCGATGGCGGCGATGATACGGGCAGCCAGGACGATCTTCTCCCTGTTCGTTGCGCGCAAATATTAGACATGCCATTCATTTCTGCTTTCCATCTTCCAAAGTTTATCCTGAATTCTCTTGTGCATACCAGGTCTTGCCAATGTTGATGACATTGACTCCGTCGGGACGAGTCTTCCACAGGTAGGGCTCCATGTGAACCTGCAAGTTCTTGGAACCCAGGTGAGCCTGAGCAGCCAGGAGCATCTCAATGTCCTGGGGGGTAGGGTTGAAAACCGGGGGGAGCTGGGAGGGGGCCATGTTGGGCGATTGATGTATTGACGGACTGGAGATATCAATCGTCTGGCTCTTGTCGTGGTGATGGAGGGAAAAGATTGAAGCCAAATCGCGCCTCACTCTCGGGAGAATTTCGCTTGACGGTTGTGAGCTTAGGGCTAGGGCTAGTGTCTTATTTGGGAAGCAACTGTGATTACATAAATTCTTGCCTGAGGCATTAAAGACTACACCCAAAAGTAGCTTAGCGTATGTCGGTCGGGCCGAGTGATTTTCCAGACCAGAAGATCGATGCGAAGAACTTCGCAAGCCGCCGACGGGGGTTATTGATAAGTACTAGATCACCACCATGCCGCCGCGATTCTCAGCTCAGCCTTCTTGGAAGGCATTGACTGGTATGTCACCGTTTTCTACTACGACTTCTTCTTAACAGTCGAGTCGTTATTGCTTTGCCCCAATGCTAATACTCTTTTCTAAGCAGGTACACTTTACAGGCAGAGCCCGGTTGCTGTTCCGTCCAATGCATCCCACGTCACTGTGAGGGCAGCATCTACCAAAGCGCCAACACAGAAAAGAACAGATTTCTTTAGGGCCGCACAGGCTCGTCAGCGAAAGGCTGCCAACCTCTCCCGACAAAAGCTTCTTCAGGAGGAGCGGGAAGCCTCGCTTGGTGACCCCGTGGAGAGCCAACCCACGCCTTTCATCCAAGATATCCAAGAAATCTCTTCTTCGGCACCTAGCACCGGTATCAACTACTATTTGAAAGCCGACGACCTCAAAAGCGCGTTGCAATTCTCCAAGGACCTGTCCGAGCCCCTTCAGAACCCGAACCGTGATACAGCAGACCCCCAAGCCGAAAAGGAAGCATTGGAAAAGCACCAGGATTCCCATCGCAATGCAGAGGAGGCTATCCAGCGCATTGTGGATCTCAACAATGGAAACAGCAAAGATCGGATGCGGTTGAACATACAGAAGTGCATCGAAGAGTTTGGGCGACACAGCACTGATGCTGTACTACCACCGAAGCCTGCCAGCGTGCCACACCAATCGGCTCCAATTCACGCAGAGAAGGCCCCTCGTGTTGGTATCGACACAGGCTCTCCCGAGGTTCAGGCCGCGATTTTGACAATCAAGATCATGAATCTTTCTCGGCACTTGCAGACTGCCAATAAGGACAAGCACAACAAGCGCAACTTGCAGTTATTGGTCCACAAGCGGCAAAAGCTTCTCCGTTATGTCCGACAGAAGGAGCGCGGTGGTCCCCGATGGCAGAACCTGATGGAGAAACTCGGTCTGTCTGAAGCTTCATGGAAGGGAGAGATTGCTCTGTAGGAGTTTTTGGGACAATGGGGATGTATTACATTAAAAAATCTCGGCCCACCTTTTCTTGGATTGAGCATCAGCGTGTTTCTTTAGATTGAGTGGATTTGTCCTGGGGATTTAGTGGGTTCACTGTCTGGACTTGGATCTCCAGAACTTCTGTGTAAGAGTGACTGGTATCATCTGTACAAATAGCATTATTTCTTTCCTATCTTATATCTGATTGTGTTCTAAGCCAAATGCTTCTTCTCTCAGAGAGAATTTTGTTTTGACGTTCTTTCACATGGCAAATCTCCAAGTTTTAAAACAGCTTGGGATACTGTACTATACAGCTTTGTAGCTTTCTATGTATGTAGAGTGCAGAATTTGGTGCCTGAGGTGTTAATATATGGGGTTGACCGCCCAGGAGTAATTTTCGGACGTCCAGTTCGCGCTTTCCGAACCAGGCAAGAAAAAGATCGAAGAAAAGTGAGGCTCTTTCCTTGAATGTTTGAATCTAGAGTTCACTTTCTCAAAAGGGACGGGATTTTGTCGCGTAGGTAACGAAGCTGTCACGTCCACACAACTACGCGCTCATAAACAACTTTCTTTTCCTCCCCTTGACTTCTCTTCTTCCTTTACCTTCCCCACACTCCGAACCACTTTTCAACATAACACCACCCCTTCATTCCTTGTTGTCATTTCGGAATTATTGTCTCGGTGTCCCTTTTTTACTTTCTGCTATTTCTGATCGTGTACCCGCCGTCATGGTGCGCACTCGTTCCCAACCTCTTTCCCCAGGGGGATATCACTCCCTGGACCAACTTCCTCCTCGTCGCCGTGCGACGCGCAGTGCGTCCGCAGAACCCAAACCTGCAGAGTCCAAACCTTCAGAGCCCAAGCCCACAATGACTCGCAAGACTCGTGGTAAGAGTACCACCACTAAGAAGGTAAACAAACAATCCCTTCCCCATATATTGCCGCTTCCATGTACAGGAAATCACTGCTACAAGAGAGGAATACCCAACTAACTTGATATGTTCAACAGACCGCTCGCAAAAGCTCGAAGGCGGCCAAATCTAAAACACCCGATTCCCCGTTACCCCCATCAACCGAGACTGATCAGGCGAAAGTGCTTGCTGTGGACACTGCTGATCAGCAAGACGTTGGTACCGAAGTCCAGATGGCCCAAAGCGTCACTGACACCCCCACTCGGCAACCTCTCTCTGAACTCCAAAACCGAGTTCTAGGTCCGCAGCAGGCGACTCCTATCATGCGCCGTCGGCCCCGTATCCCCTACTCCACTATCACTACCCGCCGCCGAAACAATGCCGATGGCCGTGTGGTTCACACCCTGTTCCAGCTCGAGGGTCTTGTCAACCAGTCAGCTGAGGCCACTGCTACAGAACACGCTGGCGCTTCTCAGGAAGGGCCTCTGTCGATTGTCGAGGCTCCTGCTACCCCGGAACCGGCGGTCCCTTCAACCCCAAAGTCCGCCCCTGCGCCAAGTACTGATGCCTCTCCCAGCTGGTCGCGAAGGATCTTTAGCAAGGTATCCTCAAGATTTTCCTTCATTCGTGGGCGAAGTAGCCCCCAAAAACCTGAAGAGTCTATGGATGTTGAACCTACCGTGGTAAGCACTGACGCGATTGACACCACCGCCCCCAAGCCCCACGAGACGGATGTGAGCGCGCAGGCTTTGCCCGTGGGCACTCCTATGAAGATGAATGCGGCAAATACGATGACGACACCGGTGGCTGTAGCCAATACACCCCGCAGTGCCCGTAAACTACTCACCCCACGACCACCCCCCATCAATTACACTGTTAGTTTCGGCTCGGGCGGTAAATTCAGCAAAGAGACACTCGAGAAGTGCTATGCACGGAGTAGGAATCTTCAACCGCCAACGCCTGTCAACGCAGTCCCGGAGGAGCCATCCTCAGAGCAGGCAAAGAAGCGCAAGCGCTTGTCTCCCGAGTCCATTCCGAACCCGCCTGGATGCAGTTACGGACTGCACGATGACTATTTCACGTTTGATTCTGACGACGAGGTTTGGGCGGCTCAAGAGAAGTTTATGCGAGACGCAGAGGCTGCCGCTGCAAAGGCCGCGGAACTGAAGGATGAACAAGCTGATCAACCCCCTCCCAAAAAACAACGCGTGGCTGAGGAGACAACTCAGCAGCGTCGCCGACATATCCTCCACTCAGAAACACCCCGCAAGACCCAAAATCGTCCTGGATACAATCCAAACCGTGAAAACCGATTGTACGAACCTACTGCTTTATCTCCCATTGAGTCGAGTGATTTCCTCTCGGAAGGCGAGCAAGGACCCCGTATCACCCAAACTCGCCCCAATTGGAACACGGCCCCGTCAAAAAAACCCACGAACAAACATGGCACCTTCCAGACTCCCGGATGGGAGTCATCCTCCGACTCTGACGATTATCCTTCTTCTGGCCCCCGGGTTCAATCACCGCAAACCCTCAATGGTATCAACACTCCCGATGTTACCAATACTCCCAATGGTATCAACACTCCCAATGGTATCAACACTCCCAATGGTATCAACACTCCCAATGGTATCAACACTCCCAATGGTATCAACACTCCCAATGGTATCAACACTCCCAATGGTATCAACACGCCCGATGGTATCAACACGCCCGATGATACCAGTACACCCAAAGGTGTCAACACTCCAAATGGTATGTTTATGCAGCTCATGCCTTCCTCTCCAGACGACTTCTACTCGGTTCCGTTGCCGGCCCCAAGAATCATTAGGAATCCGAATCCACATGGAACGTTTCAGACCCCATACTCTGATTCATCCTCGGACGAAGACGACAACTCATCCCCCAATATCGCAAGAGCTAACCCAAGAAATGAAGAAGAAATAAGGACCCCTCCCCGAGTCGACGATACTCCCAAGTCCGATGACCCCTCTCCCCTCACCCGAATTCGCAATAAGGCCCAGCAGTTCAAACCTAAAACCCCCAGCCGCCTTCGCGAGGCTTCTCGCTTTTCTCTCGGCAGCACGAATATCCCTTCCCCGGACGTCGAACCAATCTCAGTTGACGGGTCTTCTTACTTATTCCCAGGCACCCCTGGCGATAAGACCGACGATTATCTACCTGGTCAACAAGACATCCCTGAAATTGATCCTAACTGGATCCTAAAAATCTGCCCAGAAGGGGACTTCGGGCACTTACCATGGCCATATCTAAGCGGTACCTCTATTCACAATCCCAACATTGCTTGGGATACCCCCAAGATGGAGACAGCAGTTCAACACTGGGCCCAGGAGTACCGATCAAAAGTCTGATGAGCATGACCGCGTCTTCGGTCTCTGTTTTTATTAATGTACCCATACCATCTTCTCAAGGCAAAAGTTTTCACAATTATGGAAATCTGTATCTATTACTGTACATACTCATCAAAGACATACTGATCTCCAATTAAAGAGTCCTGTTACACCTGAGACAGCCTAACCTTGGCGTGTTTGACAATTTTCTCAATCTACTTACGGGACACATGCAAGATCTACTTTTCATACAAAGTCCCAAAGCGTCAACCATAGTACTAGTACACATGTAACCAAAGCTTTTAAGTCTCGAGGTCAAACTTGAAGCCACTGGTAGTTACCTTCTAGTACATTGTACCTACTAGTAGAAATTCATCAAAGACCTGCGGATGGAGTTTTTGCTCCCGACAATTGTCGTAAAGTTCAAAGTTGAAACATTCCATTTCCCAAGATAAAAAGTTTGTACATACTAGTGACTGTTCATAAAAAAAGACATCATTTCTTATTGATCACAACGTCTACTGGTTTCCCAACTTCAGGATTCAAGAATTCGAGGAAAACCGGGAACTTTACCCAAAATGGAAACCCTGACTTTGTACAGAGAGTAATGGCTTTTTCTGATCATGCCATATAGGAGGGGTTAAGGGACCAAAACTTTGCCTAAATCCTCGTCCAGTCTTGGTGATAGGCTGTTGCGTAAAGCAAGTAGATAGACATGTCTTATGTAAATGATCTCGATAGCCGTTTGGGCAACATTATAATGAACTTTCATCTTGGAACTCCAGGCAACGAGAGCTAGGCCACCGCAAACATAGCATTGTCTCGAATGTCGGTGACGACATTGAACCCATTTTTTTGATCGACTGGGCTGAATACGCCTTGTCATTCGGGTTTCGACAAAAGGCCAATGTGCCTGAAGATTTCCTTCATGGTCAAGGCCCGTGTGTTGGAGTTAAGTTATCGCCCTCACTATCCATGAACTTGCGAGCGGTGCTGATTTTGGATTGGTGACTCCGCAGTCAAAGCAACGAACACTGACTGTAGACCGGTAGGCAGAAAACTTGGAGCACTGTCATCTAGTGAATGATGATTAAAAAACAGCCTTGATAGAGATATGTGCGCCCATTACTTGGTGATACTTACTTATCGATGCTTCAGTACAAATTAGAGCCTCACGGATCTTGAAGGAGGAACTATACAAGGCGAGTAATAGTTGTATTAACATTTGAGCATATCCACTTTTTCAGGTGTAACCCACATATGTGGATAGGTGTGGACCTCGAGAGTGGGTATACCGACATACAGGTTGTAGTACTTGCCATGGTTGAAGATTGATGTAGTTTGTACGTTTCAAGTCTAGCAAATTAGCTACGAAAACTAAAAAGGAAACATTCCCTAAATCTTGCAATGTCCATATCAGCAGGAACATCAAAGACGTGCCTTATCTAAACCAGAAAACAAATGCGATGCAATGCCATGCCCGAGAAGAAAACACGGAGTCATCTAGACATCATTAAAATAACAAAACACGAGAAGAGATGTGTATCTGGAGGTGCTGTACGCAAAGCAAAATAAAAAAAGTGCAGTATATGTCTAGCCAAAGACCTTTAGGAATCCCCAGAGCCCAAGTCCACTCAACACCGGGATAGTGAAGTTGTCATCCCAGCTCCAGAGATCAATGAACTCGCTACCGGCAGCGACGAAGCCAGAGACAACGCTCATCACGCCAAGGGCCAAAGGGCCAGTTATAACCGCGGATGAAGTCTCAACAGCATCCCATCCGACCAGGCTTCGAATACAATCTGGAAGCAAATTCAGGCGGCCTGTAAACATGAACGAACCTTCCGGGTCATTGGGGAATGCACCCATGTAGGGAACAAACCAACCCCAGAAAGCAGCGGCGGTGATAACACCAACCAGCCAGGCGGCTGCGGTGCCAGCCAGACTCTTGCCCTGTCGCAGACGGGGGGTGTAGCGGCCGTACATGCGACCAAATGTGGAGGCTGCGGTATCGCACCAACTGAGAAGAAGGACACCCATGACACCGACATCCTTAGGGAAGAAACGGAGGACGACATATGCACCGAGCAAATACCAGATCACACCGTTATAGCCAGAGACCTCGGTCTCGCGCATAAGCGCGCCCACGCAACGAATATAAATCTTATTGACCTTCTCCGAACGATGCCGCACAATGTCGGTCACTGCAATGGGTACCAAAAAAGAGAAAAGTACGGGTGTTATCTGCAATGTCTGGATACCTCGGCTGTACAGATGAAGTGTCAGGAATCCAATCGATACGTGGAGGACTTTGCGTGGGATTTCATGGCGATGAATGAAACTGCGGTATCGGGAATGCAAAGGAATCAGACCGAGCGGTGATGGTGACCTCGACAGGTCACGTAATGCGTCCGAAACTTTCGATGTGGGTGATAGGAACCCATTGGATGCGCTGCCATTGGTCGCTGGTGGTGATGCTGGCATTTTGGGGTTGGACCTCCGAGGCGGCCGACGTTGTCGAGCAGAACTCCTTGAGGGTGTCTCCTCGGGAATCTCATCGGGAGGGCTTCGGCTTTGTCTTGAGCCAGGTCCATCCTGTTGTCGGCGCGATGCAGATCGCGTTACCGGCGCAAAATACCCATCACGTGCTTCTGATCTATCGGAGAGAGAAGGCGACGGTGAGATGACTCGTGTCTCCGGTACTCTACTAGGGGTGGACGACATGTCGGATGCTTGGACTGCAAAAGGCGGGAGTGCTCGAGGCCAAATAAGGCCAGTGAAAGAACGCGCACCGGTATTTGTGCTGTCGCAGGCGAGACTACCGTAAGGTACCAATGGTCTTGCTAACAACTCAATGATGGGCGATTGTTTCAAGTGAGAGTACTTTATGAACTATTGTAAGTATGCTTGTAGACACAAATATCGGGCACCACACATAGAAAGTGTGTTGGAAATGCAACAGGAGCTGAAATGTCAACCTGAGTTAGGCAATGTTAGACCAAATGGGAAAAGTAGATCGAGATCCGCCCAAAGCCGCCTCTCATCACGTGGAGATAACTAATCGATAAGAGACCGGGGCAACTTTTTTTCTTTTTGCGATTTGCGATCATAGAGAAGCAATCAAAAGAACAGCCTTGGCTTCAAGTGATTGATCATGGCACCTAAACCGCCCTCGTCCTCAAGATCATGGGATGGTCTCAACCCAAAGCTATCAGAATGGGCATTGGAAGCCGTGTCCTCCATGGGCTTTACTCGAATGACCCCGGTCCAAGCCTCCGCAATCCCTCTGTTTATGGCGCATAAGGATGTGGTCGTGGAAGCAGTTACAGGCAGTGGAAAGACACTGTCATTCTTGATTCCCGTCATGGAGAAACTCCTGCGCATTGATCAACCCCTCAAGAAGCATCATGTTGGTGCTATCATCATCTCCCCAACAAGGTAATTCGAGTTGCATATGCTACTTATACATCCTTGTCGCTAATCCTAATGTGCAGAGAATTGGCCACGCAAATTTACCAAGTCCTCCTTTCGCTACTGGAATTTCACCCGCCATCCGCTGCAGCGATCCACCCCCCGGAAGGTGACGCCCCACGCCCCAAGATCTCTGCCTCTACCTTGAAAGTCGTTCCACAACTTCTTTTGGGCGGTACAACCTCGCCCGCTGAAGACCTCAGTGCTTTCCTCAAACGGTCACCAAATGTCTTAATCGCTACCCCAGGAAGACTGCTGGAGCTTCTTTCTTCTTCCCCGCATGTGCACTGTCCACAGTCCTCGTTCGAAATGCTCGTGCTCGATGAAGCCGATAGGCTTTTGGATCTTGGATTCAAAGATGATCTTCAACGGATTTTGCGTTACCTCCCTAAACAACGGAGAACTGGATTGTTCAGTGCCAGTATTAGTGAAGCCGTGGATCAGATTGTCCGCGTCGGACTTCGGAATCCTGTCAAGATTGCTGTCAAGGTCAAAGGAGGCGGCGGAGCTGAGGATAAGCGTACTCCTGCCAGGTATGTCTTTGATCAAGTACTATCATCATTTCGAAAAAGCAATACTAATTTTTGGACAGTCTGCAGATGACCTATCTCACAACCCCCCCAGCTCATAAATTTTCCGTGCTCAAGCATATTTTGACAACCGTTCAACCAACACCCCAAAAGACTATCTTCTTTGTATCAACATGCTCTAGTGTGGACTACCTGGCTGCTATTTTACCTATCATACTGGGAGACGACTTCCTCCTGGTCCCACTCCATGGCAAACACGCTGCTAATGTCCGTCAAAAGAACTTCACTCGCTTCACCACCACCACAACTCCCTCGATTCTCCTCACTACCGATGTCGCTGCCCGTGGTCTTGATATTCCATCTGTGGACTTAGTTGTTCAGATTGACCCCCCCTCAGACCCCAAAACTTTCATCCACCGATGTGGTCGAGCAGGTCGTGCTGGACGGAGAGGTCTTAGTATCGTCCTCCTGCACCCCGGGCGGGAGGAAGATTATGTCTCATTCTTGGAAGTACGGAAGACACCAGTCGCTCCATATAACCTTACAACCCCTAGCTCCGATGTGGATGCCGCAGTGGCCACACAGTCTGTTCGGGCGGTGCTCCTCAAGGACCGCGCTCTCCACGACAAGGCCCAAAAGGCTTTCGTCAGCTGGCTCCGCAGTTACAGCAAGCACCAAGCCAGCAGTATCTTCCGCGTGACAGATCTCGACTGGGAATCTTTGGGCAAGGCGTGGGGACTTCTTCGTTTACCCAAAATGCCAGAGGCTCGCAGCTTCACTGGAGATCGGACATTGGGTGTCAGTGTTGACTGGGACAACTATGCCTACAAAGATAAGCAACACGAGAAGCAGCGCAAGCAGGCCGCGCTGGAGCCCAGGGAAGAAAAGAAGGGCCACCATGACTCAAAGAAACGGCCTGCAACCGAGAGTGCGGCCTGGAGTCAAAACCAAGAACTCAAAGAGAAGAAGCTCAAGCGGAGAGAGCTCAAGCAGACCCGCAAGGAGAATGAAAGATGGGAATTATTGCCCGAGGAAGAGAAGCAAAAGTCCCGCGAGACAAAACAAATGGTGGAGGCAATTCGGATGGAGAATGAACATAAGCGACTATTGCAGATCGCCGCGAAGAAAGCAGAAGCTGCAGGAAAAGTGGTTGATGGTGATTTCGAAGGCTTCGATTAGATATTATATTCAGCATAAAACGGCGTATATTCTACAGGCTATCGCGCTTGACAAAATACAAAACCTTCATCAAGCCAAAATTAGTGCAATATGTAAACATCAACTCTTCCCGGGGTCAGTGGACAAAGTGAAGCAAAAGTCGAGCAAAAGTCGAGCAAGTGGCAAAGCAACGAAAAACAGGTACAGGTACATGGTGTATGACAACAAAGAACGTGAAAAGACTTATCCATGATTGGTCTTAACATAAATCAGCACGAAAACCAGAACAAAGGGACAGCGGAGATGTTGGATCAAATCAAAAAGTGCAAGAATGGGTAACAAAACCAGGTGTAAGGAACGGAGTCCCGTCAGGCCGTGTCCCCTGCCCAAGTATAAACTCAAGCTGATCAGTTCTTGGGCCTCCAGACATCCAAGAGAACAACCAAGAAGACCACAGATTCATGAGCTCCAGGGCGAACCCAGAGCCTCGATTCCAGGAACCTTCAAAGTATCATCCCAGGAGACGGCTGCCACCAGTAAAGACCTTCACGGTAAGTCATCAGTCAGGAGTGAGGAGTATTCAGCCATCGGAGCCACGCAGACAAACCCACGGTCGTTAATCCCCTTCCAGAAAGCCCTTGAATTCAAAAGTAGGTCAGCTTGCAATCCTAGGAATGAAGCTGAGGCCTGCAGATGAAGTTCCAACAGTAGGCGAAGCTAGTGGCTAGAGATTCCAGAGTCCAGTGGGAGCGCAAGGAAAGAAAGAAGAAGAGGAAAGGAAAGAGAAGGAGGAAAGTATGGTGTTTATAGTTTGGAGTTCACGTACAATTGGGAATACTGGTCATCCCCCGAGCGTGTCACTGCATGAGATGAGCTTACTATGGCTTACATTAATATCTGGAGTCTTTGTTGCTATTATTTCCCAAGAGCTTGCTGATCTTATTAGTAACGATGTATAAGATTTAGTATGGTCATCAAAATTTCATTATCATGTCCTGCTCGCAGGCTCCCATCCTCGTCTCTGAATTAAATCGATAGTATGTACGCACGCTTGATATGCTTGTACCACTCCCAACGCCGAATCCCTAGTTCACAGAGAAAATGCAATATTAAACGGGTATAATGCTAGTGCAGATAATCAAGTCATATCAATGACACACACGCGTGAGATACATTGCGTTTTGTCTCTTCTTCGACTGCGCTTTGCACCTTCGCTCGTAGACTCCGGGTCTGGATCGTAAAACGACCAGAAGCCATTCTCTGTATAGAGGTTCTCAACATGAGTGGGCGTTTGTCTAGGATCTGGTGTCGGCTTCTTCTCTTTTGACTTATTCACTCGCTTCTTGTCATCTTTCAGGCAGGAAGCTGCACCCAGCGGCGTGGCCGTAACTGGGATACGTTTGTCCTCGCGATTAATTGACAATGATAGAGAGCTCACACCTTTCTCCAGGCATTCAATGTTGCCAGAGTCTTCTGTGACAGGCGGGCATTTGACCGATTTTGTGGGCCTGCGGCGAGCGGTTTTTTTTACTGGGGAGATTGCCAGGTTCTGTCTGACAACATCTGGAGATGACTCCAAAGCTTCGTCGGCCGAGATCGAGTAACTCATTTTCAGTCCCTTTGGCATCGGATGTTGGGACGAAACAATCGTCTCCTCAGTAAGTGAAACTATGGATGCATCCACAAGTTCCACTTCTCCAGCGGATGAGACCACTGCGCGAGATGGGTTTGAAATTTGACCTGCCATAGGATGACGCTTGACTCCTGGCAGTGAAGGTGCAGTACATAAAGAGGAAAATGAGCTGATAAGGTCGTCAAGCTCTTGGGAGGCGTAACGCACTCGACTGGAAGCTTGATTCTGAGGGTACATGCTTGGAGAAGAATCCGAATCAAGGTCAATAATGCCCTCGAACGAAGGTGGGTGTCGGAAACCAGGAGAAGGTTCCTTTGCTGTCGACTGAGATGAAGCGGCTTCTAATAAGTGCGCCTTGTTATATGACGACAGCTCTGATTTCTCCTTCGTGAGCATTCCATATTTGAGAATGCTTCCATGCTTCATTCCCGGATCTATGGGGCCTTTCTTCTTGGGCCCAGCACGTTTGGTGGCAGGTTTCTTTGGTGCCGCTTTCTTGGCTTTCTTGGCCTCTTCTGCAGCCGCCTTCGCAGCTTGTTCCTTCTCCCATGCAGTGACAGCATCAGCAGCACCGAGCTTGGCAACTGTCTCAAATATCCAGACTTTCTCAATGGCGAAGATATCATATCTTTTTTTGGGTCGAGACTTCGAAGGTGTCGCCGGGGGTCCCTCATTAGCAACCTCTAGGTCATCTTCTTCATCCCCTTCGAGAATTTCTTGGGCAGGTGCTGCCTCCAGTGGTGGATTCGGCTCCTCAGCAAGAAGATCAATACCAACAACATCAATAGGGAGCATATCCATTTGCAGTTCAGTCGTACCATCCGTGCCAAAATTTGCGCGGGTTTTGTACACTTTCTGCATCCATGGTGCATCACAATCCGGTGCCAATGTGCCTTGTGATAGGCCTGACAAAGGCCGCTGAAGGCGAAGTTTGTAAGATATCAGGGGCTCCGCCAGGAGCTTGATCACCTTCCTTGCGCCCGAGCGAAAATTCCATTCAAAATTGTCAGCAGCAAATCTTCTGATTGCGAGAGGGTCAATTTCGCGATCCCAGGCGTGCCTTAGATTGAGTCTTAATGTAGCCATTTCTTGATCTGTGGAGACTTTTGGTTCCGCGTAATACTCTAAGATCGTGCGGTCAGGGAAAGTGTCGGGAATGCGAACAGCCTTGTGCTTAGTCGTGAAATAGCCACTCTCGTTTTCCTCCAATTCATATTGAAGGCGATCACGCCATTCGCCGAGGCGCGTGTCTATATTGGGGGAATGCGACGCAAGTTCTTCAAGTAAAGCTTCGCCGAAGTGAGCTTTGGCGATCTCTGCCGCCAATCCAGGTCCACACTTTAGAACACCACCGGGAAGATAATCCCCGCCACTAAGCATAGCAAACAAAATCATGCCTGCTCGACTTAGAGGCACATTGGACTCGTGGTCGTCATTCCCCAGGTGATAGCATGTTACGTGGGTCGATGCGGCTGTTCCAGTTCCACTCTCTTTCGAGAAGTTCATTATGGTGCGGGTCGATCCAAACATGAGCGCGTCAACGTCGTTGCTCATAACCGCGTCGACGATTCCCGCTTGCTGCAATCTCGCGCATTCGGCTTCCGCTTCACCAGGGGCCTCATGCCAGGGGAACCGGAATCGCTCAATAAGCTCTTTAGAGCGCTGAATGATTGGAGCATTGCCATAACTACGCGGAGACACCGCCTTTCCCCTCTTGAAGGGAGGTTTCTGGCGCCCGTCGTAGACAAAGAGGGGATGTACTGGCAACGCCAAAAGCTTCAAAAGTCGGAAAAAAAGTGTGCGCAATTCGGGATTCTTTCCACCGCGACTGGCTTGAACCTGGAAGAGCCAGATTGAAATATCGACTGCCACTCGAATGGGTCTAGCTGTTCGCTCCAAATGGGTGACAGCTAATTTTGACAGAGAGATCCGCTCTCCCTTGCCGATGGCGTGGATGAGCCTATCGCGCGTTAGTAAATGACATGGGTTTGAAAAACAAAAACAAAAAAAACAACAAGTCAATGCTGTTTTGGTGGCGTTGCTGGGGACTTTTGAATGTCCCCGTTCTCGCTGGACTAAAGTATACGTAGAATGACTTGCATGGGAAAGGGAACCGAAAGGAGACGTACCCTGGGATACCCATCCTGCCGGTATTGGTATCGACAGCGGCTGAATCTTAGAAATTCGAATATGAACTTGAAGCCATGTGGTATCGGTAAAGAGGAAAGTGATTGTTGACGGAGTAAATAAACCACGGCCCGATGTAGATCCGTTGAACTTTAGATACAAACGCGTCGCTTCCCTCAGTCTGCAACCAATTGGAGCTTCCTGTCACTCTTGATCATTCCGTTCAAACTCCACTACAATACTCTCTTTAAATTCAAAATTTACAATTCCAATGACGCTGTAGACACAGCACCGCGCCTGAAGCGGGTCCTTGCCGGAGCTTTTTGTTGCTCCGAGGGGCAACTACAATCACTCTCCAACACGCACACGATTCCGAGCCACGCGACACAGCATTTACCAGACGCCACATACTAATAAAACGAAAACCACGGATATGTCTGCCCCATCAAGTCTTCGCCAAAGCCAGGCTGCGCGACCAGATTCCCCTCATACCCCCCAACAACCACTCCGCTCCGGCAATACTTCCTTCGCCAGCAACACATCACCGGGCTCATCCTTTCGCAACGAAGACGACGCGATTGTATTTGAGATTGGTGCGCGATGGCTACGAGCTGGATTTGAGGGCAGCAGCTCCCCGGTCTGTGTGGTGGGATTCGGGCCCGAGGAATCGAGGAGAGCGGGAGACTATCGGGGGTGGATTGAGGGCGGTTCTGGAGTACGACTAGCAGCGCAACCCGTCGATGCCGAAGATTGGACTCGAGAATACGAATTGTGGAGGCTGGACCTGCGACAAACCGACCTTGGGTTGGTAGAGGACAAAATTGAACGCGCCTTCCGTGAAACATACAACCAATACCTCTTGACCGACGCAGGCACATCTCGCCTGGTCTTGGTTCTGCCCTCTCTCATGCCCCATCCGTTACTTTCGTCGCTGCTTTCGACCTTGTTTAGCCGCTGGCGCTTCCCCAGTATTACGCTCCTACCGAGTGCGCCCATGTCAGCGACCGCTGCGGGATTGCGGTCTGCCCTGGTGGTAGACATTGGCTGGGCGGAAACCATAATCACAGGTCTCTATGAATACAGAGAGGTCACCACAAAAAGAAGCACAAGGGCAATGAAAGGCGTGCTACAAGAATTCGGCAGGCTTCTTACTGGGTTGACTCCCAGGATTGAGCAGGACAATACTCCCACAGACGGCATCTCTGTAGGATTCAAATATTGTGAGGAAATTGTCTGCCGACTTGCTTGGTGCAAGGAGCGGGCTCAGAATGAGACTGAAGAGCTCTTTAACCAGACCGTTTCAATACCTTCACCAACGAACCCAGAACAGGAGTTCATTGACGTGCCATTTTACCGCCTCTCAGAGCCCGTCGAGAAGGCGCTCTTTGCCCCGGATGTGCCAGAGAGTGAATTGGACGACGAGGAGAAACCTCTTCCACTTCTTGTTTACAAAGCTCTGCTCGCACTCCCGCCGGATGCGCGTGGAACATGCATGTCACGTATCACTTTTGTGGGTGGCGGAGCTCGAATCCCTGGCTTGCGGCAGCGGATCTTAAAGGATGTTTCACGCTTGATTGACCAACACGGATGGAGTCCCATTCGAGGAAAAGTCATTGAACGGCAACGCCAGCGATTGGAAGAACTACGAATTTCATCTTCAATTAATGGCGAGAACCAGCCAGTTCCAAAGGATGGAGGGTCCTCGCCCAAAGACGAAAAACCGGACCCATCTAGAGATGAACCTGAAGTTGATTTCGTGGAACAAAAGCTGCGCCGCCAGAACAAAGACACACCCGTTCCTGTTCAAGGAATTCTACGGGAGATTGATTCCCTGGGAGCCTGGGCTGGAGCTAGCTTGACGACTAGCCTGAAGATCCGTGGAATGGTGGAGATCGAGCGTGAAAAATTCCTGCAGCATGGGCTTGCTGGTGGTACGCGAGACTCAGAACCTACACCTGATCGTCGATCGGGCCTGAGAGCAGGCGATCGTTCCAGTTGGACCTTGGCAGGATGGGCATGATACTGTAAATTTACTACTTCTGGCACATAATACTAGATACCCGTTTGGCATATAACCGATGATTCGGCTCCGCAAGCTAGCTTTCCTAGGCAAATTCAAGTGCTGTAGAGAATTGTTCACTTCTCTGACTTATGGTCAATGCACTGTTTCTTGTCCACAGGTTCGTTCATTGGGACCACTCTTGACGATCTCTAGTTCGGGAATTCCAAAGAACAACGGCAATCAACTTGATACAATTGATAGTCATATGCATCTGCTTTCAATTCTGACCCATCTCCATGGCATACTAAGTATTCAAAGCACTTGATTTTTTTGCTGACAGTCGGCAGTCGGCATTTCGGTAACCAATTCAAGTGGCCATGTGGGGTTTGGGCGATCCGGGGTGCGGGGGAGACTGTAACCTGTAGGGGAGCTTTGAAGGCACGGTTCAATGTTATATTTTGAACATTGAGCAGTAAACAAGTCCAGTGACACCATATTCACTTTCTAACACTGAGCTCACAAGCAACAAGGAAAATGGCAGATATACCTACATTTCGCAATCTCTCCATAGAGAGGCGTGGAAATGTATTCATTCTGACTATGCAAAAGCCACCCGAGAACCGACTCAACTCTTGGTATTGTCAGGAAATGATTCGAGCTTTTCGCACCATCGAAAAACTTCTGGGAACGGACTCAGAGGGCGCAGTCATCACAAGAGGCAATGATGCCAAGTTCTGGTGTACTGTATGTACACCATACATGACCTCAAAAATCAAGGATATAATAGCTAAATTGGTATTCTCTAGGGACTGGAGCTAGATGAATCTGACGGGAATCCATTTGCAAACACAGACGGATTCTATCCTGTAAGCGACAAGACTGTGAATGGTTAGTGCAGTCTCATACTGACAAGTGATAGCTTATCCATACGATTCTCGACTTCCCTTTCCCGACCATTGCGTTAATAACAGGTCACACATTTGGCGGCGCATGTCCCTTGGCTCTGGCCCACGACTACCGCATAATGAATTCCAAGAGGGGCTTTTTCTCAATGCCCCCTGTCAACCTGGGCCTGCACTTTGAGGGAATCGGATCCCTCCCTAGATTGAAGTTACGTCCTCAGGTTGCACGCAAAATGCTTTTGGAAGCGCACAAGTGGACAGCGCAAGAAGCTCTTGAGGATGGCATTGTAGATGTCATTGCTGAGCCAGAGCGTATGCTAGAGGAAGCACTGGAACTTGCGGCGAAGTGGGCGCCAAAGGCCAAGATGGGGTGAGTTAGACCGGTCTGGATGCATCTATACCTTGAGCCTCTTTTAGCTGACTTGATGTGATTAGGGTTTATGCTTTGTTACGACATGAGCTCTGGGGCGAGGCTATCAAGAAGTTTCAGCGAATTAGTTATGTGCATAGTCGAATCACATCGGCTCCTGCTAAGGCTAAGATTTGATTAGATCCTTTATTGTTTAGCAAAGCTCACCAGTAGCCATGTGGGGTCCCTTGACGAGGTATTTGTTTGTCAGACTGGAAATATTTGCCGTTATTTCCACTCTTTCCCGGGTAGAAGTCCTAGCATCTGACATAAACCTTGAAAATATTATTGTCTACCTTTGTTACCCAACTTTGCAACAACTTTGGACCGACTTTCCTACTGTTTGAATCTCCTTAATCATAAAATCCGGGAGTTTACCTTCTCATCACCAGTAACACAGCCATAATGCAACTAATTCGATGTTTGTGGGTACCCAGGGGGGGTCCCGGGATGCATTCCGTGAGTTGTTTGATATGTCTACTTGGAGTGATCAGGGGTGAAGATGGGGAGGTGTTTTGCTTTCAGTCACATGGGCTAAGAGCCAGTATGTTGCAAGGCTTGTTTCGAACTGCATTCATTTGACGATGGCTAACTTGAAGTAAAGTCTACTCTATTGCTGATTCGTATAGAGTATCTGATGTTGGGAGGCTCCAGTTTGGGATTCGGGATGGACGTGCGAGGCTAATATTGCCCATCCACGAAAACTCGACAAAGAAAGATGGTATTGACCAAGCCGAAGAGATTTTTTCATTCGCTATCAGATCGGTCAACTCTGACAATGGCCCTTTAATTCTCCATAATGCCTGCTGGGCTCTTTTGCACACATGCTGCCCTATTACCTCGGTTCCACTTGATATCCTAGGTGCAGGTTTATACAAATTATCGGGGGAGCAAATAGGTTGGGAACTCCTTTTCCGCATGAAAGATATGCCTCGATTGCTTGTCAAAGATTTGGATGCATATGAAACCGTCATCAAAAAGGCACCACCACCAAATCCTAGTGCCTTGGTCATTGAACAGCGACAGAAGATTAATACGGCAGGCGACCCCTTCACCTCCCTTCCATTCGAGATATGTTTGGAGATCCTGCGAGAGCTACCAGTTCCTGACTTTAAAACCTCCGCTTTACTTCTCGCATTATGGGACAGTTTCTGTTCGAAAACACGTTCTGGAAAACTAGGTTCGAGGTGACCAGTGATCGTGGGTTTCTGTCTTCGTTGAAAGAAAAAAATGGTAAAATTGTCCATAGGACAAACTGGCACGATGTGTATTGTGCCAGCAAAGAAGATGACACGCCAGCGAGACAAGCTGCAGGTGCCTGGCTTCGTTGCCTTTATGTGAAGGATTTAGTTTGGCAACAGCGCCAGGCCTTGGACTTGGACTAGGACTATGTGTAAGTGTTGGTGCAAATGCGCATTTCGGATTTCTTTTTCGCACTACGATTGATTACGTGCTAATCCAAGATCGATTAGTACCTCCTGTGCCGCAAAAATCTACCAAATTGTGCCGATAAAAGAAAAAGCAGTCAAGTTACTTCAAGGCTCGGCCAAAGAAGAAATGAGTGGGAACAGTTACTATGGAAGTATGCCTGTTTTGGTGATCTATGAATGTTCTAAGATTACACCAATGAAGAAATTCCCAGGTGAAATTGTCGTTGGCTGTTAGTGTTTCGAATTCTTTATGAGGACGAAGAAATCAAATTGTATGTTCTAGTTGCTCTATAGCTTGGCCCTCTTGCTCCACACTGAAATTTCCGGAAGATCTCCATAGTTCGAGGGAAACAGTTGCGGCCCTAAGATTTTCTTCTGGACTTTTCCTGTTCCTGACTTGGGTAGCTCACCTTTTATCACTCTCAATATGGTTGGTATCTTATAGCTCGCCAATCTACCTCGAAGATCATCCCTTAGCTCTTCCAGGGTGAGTGTTTTGCGTGTCGTGCTCTGGTCCGTCTTGAGGCTAATACTGGCCGCAACTCGCTGGCCATATTCTTCATCCTCCACGCCCACTACCATCACTTCAGATACATAATCCAAGCCAAGAATCTCACGCTCAATGTCCAAGGCGGAAATCTTGTACCCTCCCGACTTGATTATGTCAATGGAGGCACGACCGAGGATGAAGAAATAATTCCCTTCTTGCCGAGCGATATCGCCCGATTTGAAGTACCCATCTTTATCATGCGCTTCACTTGTTGCCTTTTCATCATTCAGATACCTGGGAAGTAAGCGATTAGAGAATGCCGAGCAAAAGTGCGCTTCGTGTATAGTGATACATACTTTGAGAACATGTAAGGACATTTCACCAGCAGATGACCATCATTTTCAAGCTTAAGCGAGACACCCCCAACAATGCGGCCAACGCTATTCCTCGGCATCCCCCGAGGGTCAAGATCAGTCTTGATAACTGCCCCAAACTCAGTAGCACCATAGCGGGTCATCATTGGCTTTTCTCGGAGCTGCTCCCAGAACTCCTGCACAGGCCCAGGCAATGCCGATGAGCCACAAAGCATCGTACGAATATCACGCGCCCCTTGGATATACTGATCTCGCACTTCAGGTGCCTGAGTGGCAATATTCTCTTCGAAGTATCGCATCATTCGCATGTATATGGTTGGCACACCCGAGAAGAAGCTCAACCCACCCTGACGCCAGCGTTCCCACGTCCAAGCCGTATCGAAGCTACCGCTTCGGAACTCAATACACGCACCGGCTGTCAAGAAAGGTAGAAATGTCAATCCCAGCCCGGAGGCATGATGGACTGGCAGGACATGAAGTATGACATCTTCTTCCGTGACGCCGTAAAAGGCTGCGTCGGTTTCGGCGTTACCGGTCAACCAAGTGCGGCGCTGGACGGCGCCTTTAGGGGGACCGGTTGTCCCCGAGGTGAAGATGACTGCGGCAGCGTTGTTCATATTAAGGGCACGGTTTGACGAAATGAGGATATCATCCACTGGAAAAAGAGTTGTTTGGATGGTGGAAGCGATGGGCGAAACGCAGGGTACAGGGAAATTGCTCTTGGTGTCCATAGAACGTACAACTGACTTTGCGAGAGTCTCGCTAGTTGTGTCAGCCAATAGAGCCACGCACTTTGCTTTCATTAGAAAATATGAGACTTCATCCACGGGCAATCCGGCAGCTTGAGATGGTCAGCTTTCGTCATGGTATCACAGGGGAAACGAAATATAAGGGTTAACTTACCCATTGGAACCACCGCAGCACCAAGGGCCAGAATAGCAACAAAACCAACGGTATACTCATAGCCACCCGGGGAAAGTAGTCCAATATAGACCTCTTTATCCTCCTGGAGATCGCGTAGAGTCTCGGAACTCAGATTATTCTCTAGTTCTTTGCGGAGAGCCAAGGCATCTGAAAGAACATGGTGGAATGTTTTTTCCAAACCGGCATTCACGTCTCGAATAGAAATACACGAGGGCCTACGCTGAGCATAGCGAAGAAGCTTGTGGAAAAAAGGCAGATTGGGAAGTACATTATCTCCCACATGGGAGGGTACAAATTGAGTGCGATCTCCCATTTTTCACGAATCACTTCCTGTCTCGCACAGATGGAGGCACCAGGGCTGAGCTTTCGAGTATCTCAGAAAGATATACCAATCTCTAACATATTTAACCAGAGAATTTCCCGGAATTTTACCATTCGTGTCCACATCATGGTAAGTCGGCTACTTCCCCACGTTCTTCCCCGCGAACCTTCCCCGCGTGGGATATGCCGGCAATCGGCACTCGGTGATTGCCTAGGTATTCGGGTAAAGCCAGTGGAAAAGATGTACTAAATTCAAGTTTAAGAAAGACTGTCAGAGAGAGAATTCACCCTTGAAGAAAATCCAAGTCCGGATATACACTGTGATGCTAAAATCGAACATTGAAATCGGTTGACCAACATGTCCGACTTCACTGATAAACTTCGTCCAAGTCAGCCAGATGGACACACAACCCTTGCGTGCGAACGTGAACAATCTAGCATCTCAGTAGATGAACTAGGACACCACCTGTTCTCCTCCGATGGATTTCTGGAACGCCAAGCTCGAATTCTATCAATTGTGCAACGAGAGCCCCTTCTCGCAAAAGATAAACAACAAAATCTGTCTCGGCCAGAGCGATTCAAGCTAGGGCTTGCTCGAGCGAAGCTACTGCGTCGACTAGTCGACCACCACCAATGGAGCCATGAAGATTACAAGATGGCGGAGTACTTGGTCAGCGATGTTTCGCCATATTTTCTACATTTGGAGATGTTCGTTACGACTGTTCGCGAGCAGGGCAGTGAGGCTCAGCGGGCTTATTGGATGCCATTAATCGAATCATGGAAGATTGTCGGGGCTTACGCGCAAACGGAGCTTGGGCATGGCAGCAATGTTCGGGGATTGGAGCTTGAGGCACGATGGGACCCTCGGACCAAGGAGTTCATACTTCATAGCCCGACACTCACGGCTAGCAAATGGTGGAACGGTAGCTTGGGGCGTATGGCCAACCATGCAATCGTGGTTGCCCAGCTACTTCTTCCCAAGTCTGGATACCCGGGTGAATTCGTGTCCCATGGTCCCCACCCGTTCATTGTGCAAGTCCGAGATATGGAGACTCATCAGCCACTGGATGGTGTGGTGGTTGGAGATATTGGGCCCAAGTACGGATATGTCACAATGGATAATGCTTACATGCTCTTCGACAATTTTCGGTATGTCCAGCAGGCTACGGTATCCAATTGATATCAATACAACTAACCCTGCCATTAACAGAATTCCTCACTCTGCCATGCTTTCAAGATACTCGAGCGTGGACCCCGAGACAGCAGTCTACTCAAAGCCAGCTCAGCCAGCCGTGGTATACGGATCTCTTACCTACGTTCGAGCCCAAATTGTCCACCACGCCAGACTAGTTTTAGCACGAGCAGTTACAGTCGCAGTACGCTACACTGCCGTCCGACGACAGTTCACAGACCGCGATACCAACGGCAAAGGACCCGAGTTGTCCGTCCTGGACTACCCTACCGTCCAAATACGCATTCTTCCTCTTCTAGCCACTACATTTGCGCTACACTATACCGGCCTCGCAATGCGGCATGTTTACGAAATTACACGACAAGACGTCGAGCGCGGCGATTTCCGTTCTCTAGCGCACATGCACAGCATGTCGTCTGGGCTAAAAAGTCTCTGTACAATGCTCGCTGCAGATGGAATTGAGACTTGTCGACGGGCCTTGGGTGGACATGGCTTTGGGGGTGGAAGTGGGCTGATCGAACTCAATAATGACTACTTGTCGAAGCCAACCGTTGAGGGTGATAATTGGATGATTACGCAGCAGGTTGCTTCTTATTTGATTAAGAAAATGTCTGCTGCGGTAGACTCGCCTAACACTCCCGGTGCAGATGAGACGGAGTCTCGATTCAAAGAGTACGTTCGAAACCGAGGTAAATCTTCTTCAAAACAACATGGATACCGCGTATTGGGAAATGATCAAGATATCGCTTTGAGCTTCGAGTTACGTGCAACTGCTATTGTGAGTATGAAGAATCCGGAAGAAACGTGAGCTGCAAAGCTGATGATTGGTAGGCATATGATGCGTATGAGCAACGGGTAGTCAAGAATAGAAGCTGGAATAGTCTTCTTATCCAATTGCACAAGCTCAGCAAAGGTGAAAACCCATGATACCATTTCTTATTGTGACATTGCAAGACTAACCCAACACAGCCCAGTCCCAATCTATCCTTGTGACCAAGTTCTTCGAAGCGTTGTCCACAGATGGTAGTCTACCAAGCTCCCTTAAAGCCATATTATGGGATGTGTATCGTCTATTTGCATTGAATACCATGGAAAACGAAGGATACGAATGTAAGCACCCTCAAACTCAGACTGTTGTGGCGGTATTAACACGCCCAGTTTTCCGCTGCGGCGCCGCGTCTCAATCCGAGCTCGACCTTTTGTCAGCCCGTGTCCAAGATCTGATGGCACGAATTCGACCGCATGCCGTGAAACTGGTGGATTCGTGGATGATTCCAGATTATTTGCTTGATAGGTGAGTTGAGTGAAGCACATTCATTCTAAGAAGCTTACAAGGAGGTTCCGAACTCTAATGATTTGGTTTTCAATTTAGCGCACTGGGGCGATATGATGGTCGAGTGTATGAGGACCTGTTCAACAGGGCCCATCGCTTGAACCCGTTGAATAAAATGACCTTCAACCCGAACTATTGGGAGCATGAAATTATCAAGGGGAGTGGGAATGATGAGTATGATATACTGTCAAAACTATAGTTTGCCAATCAATTCCAATTATAATAGCCAACTGTGCATGACATGTGTATAAATGACTTCCAATGTTACAATATAGGAGGTCCCCACCAGCCCTCAAGTGCTTACTCCAATAAAATCGAGGAGGTTGAATCCTACCACGGGGATTTCATTGGCATAACCAAAATGATGCTTTCGCCATTTGGTCAGAACATTTTTAGTTGCACGCAATTTTTGTTGGGGGGAGGGGAAATGGGCCAATCCGGATTGGCCTTGGCATTGCAGAGCGCGCATAGTCCTCCAAAATGTAAAAATATCATGTTGATTTATTGGCAAGCGGTGTGGCAAAAGCCAAGTCCGAGTTCCAATGCCAAGGCCCTAAGCCTAATTGGGAGTACTGATGCCTGACTGATGCCTGCTTCCAAGGTTTCTGCCTTAGAAACCTACTTTAGCACTGAAATGACCTTAATTTACGTTAGAGGTTTGGGACCTGAAAGACGAGGCCTGAAGCCTAGGACTGATGGAAAATCGAAGGAAGAATTTGTTGATATTTCTCATTGTCCAAAATCCATGTTCATGAAAATCGTATTGTTTTCTTATGCTATTCATGGATATGCAATGATCTGAAGCTCAAGCCAAAGTAGATTCAAGGTTATACCGAGCCCCTGCTTCCAGTCTGATGCTTTCAAAGCCATCTAACTGTAAGAGGCGTTTACCCCAGTAGATCAGTGGCTGGGTGTTCAAGTAGATATTTGAAAAATCAGCCTTGGAAGATATTCAAATACGAATTTTGTAGACCATGGAACTTTAGAAATCATTCTGATTCTCCTGTTTCTTATTTTGCGGCGTATATCAACATGACTCCATACACACTGCATCGTTCGTGGGGGATGCCGTTCTGCTTACTCCATATAGGTTTGAACTGTATACCACTCTGGCCAATGGGGTGATTTCCCACACACCTCTGTGGCTCACGCCCGTCTAACCGGAAGTTACAGCAGATACATACTACAAAAAGCATAGAAAGGCCCCACTAACGGCGCGCCACATCCATCGACCCCGAGGTCCCAACTCTGAATGTTTATGGACTTTTCTAAAGGATTCATTCAAAAACATGTTGATCGAGATATAAATATCAAGTTTTGAACGACTCGTGAAGGAGCCCAATATTTCAGACTTGACATGCAAAAAAGGGTTGGAAGATCATGTATGTACGTGCGATCGGTTCAGACTGGTGACGGGCTAAGCGCGATCGTCCTTATCAGCACTTACGTACTATACGCCACTGATCTCGAACTTTGTAGGTACCCCAGACCCCGGAACTTTCATTCTGGGATAGCTGCATCTCGTATAGTACATAGAGGAAAGGTACTATTGATTCGGGTTCGGTATGCCGACCTACATCTTGATTACCCACCTGGGTAGATACATAGAGAATATATGTAGGTCTAGTTGATTATGGCTCATCTTACAGCCATGAATTCTAATGAAGGCTCTACCAGTTGACTACTATGTACGCACGTGTATGTATAGACTACATAGGTATCCGTACATGTGCGTCTACATACTACCTACTGTAGGTAGGGTTTCATCGGGCCTCCTTGAATGCAGGAAAAAAAATCTAAAAGCCGGCCAATTTTGGCCACTTTCGACCTTGGAGCCTTGGGGTTTTGTTTAGATTTGTCTGATATTTACAAACAATCTTTTCTTCCAATTTTCTCAAATTTTGCTAGTAAATAAGCGTACATATTCACTAGTGTTATTCAATGTTGTAAATTGTCGCGTAGTACGATGAATTGATGTACTATACACCCGATCTAGACCCGGTTCACAGGCCACGCACGTCATCCCGTACTTTGTGGACCGGGGCTCACGTGTATTGCGTCATCGAGCGGATTTGGACTAGCGCGCCAGCTCATAAGTTGACCTCCATTGACCTTCAACAGGCCAATCAGGGACTCTCATTCTGGTATCCGAGTCTTCATCCTCCCGTCTGTGCATAGATCTGACTGGCTGACACGCTCTAAATCTGGACCCCACTCGGCTGACCCAGCTCCCGGGACACATTCCTGTCGTCGTCATCGTGAAATCATGCATCCCCCTGGTCAGATGTGTATTATACATATTTCCATCTAAATCTTGACCGGAGTAAAATGTTCCATGAATGGTAGAAATATCGACAATGTCCTTGAGGATGGTCTCATTCCTGTAGTTGTTTGCAGATCTTGAATCAGCGCGAATCAAAACATTGGAAAAACGTAAGAAAATTTTTCATCGTCTTGCCCGTACCCTCAGTTTAGCCCGGAAAGACAGTCGACTCCGCTTCCGACGCTATAAATTAGCTGTCATTGGTTACATACACGGTACCAGACCCACTCGCATCTCTCCAGGTTCGACAAGTCGACATGCGAGGGTCCATTGTTGAGCGAGGTTTTTTTTTTTCGTTTTTTTTTCTTCTTTTTTTTTTTCTTACCTGTCTCTGTACCGCTTCTCTTCTAGCTTACCAGTGAATGATCGGTGCAAATCAACATAGAATTCTTTATCGAAAAAGAAAACTGCAAGTAGATCCAGGATTTGAGAGATATGTATAAAGATAGGGAGGGAAATCAAGGTTGAAAATCTCGACTTGTCTGCACGACCAGTCCAGACTCGGGGTCAAGGCCATTACCCAACCTCCTACTGGTTTTTTTCTTTTCTTTTTTTTCCCCCCATTTCTTCTCCCCCCCCTTTACCGACTTCGGTTATAAAGCAATCCTCTTTTTTTTTTTTTTTTTAGTTACATCGGTTACCTCGGACTTACCGTACCATTCTCCTATCAAAGTAGTGGAAATTCTTATAAATCCTTGTCAACCCTGTTTATGGACTGTGGTATGGTAACGGTGGTAATACACTGGTATTGGCCGGGGGGCCGTGTAATTTCCCATGTTACTTAATGTTTTCTCTCCCCTAAAATTGTCGTCATCCCCCCCTCTACGTCACTTTCTCTTTCTCTTCTTCCCATCGGGTCAACCTGCAAGCCACGCAGTGATCTCTATCTTTTTTCGTGCGCTTGACTTCAAGAATATACATTCTTGATCCAATTTCGCAAGTATGTCTGCTGCTGTCGCGCCCAGTACGACTACCATCAGAAACACCTTGTCCGCAATGGACTCGAAGAAAAATTCCAAAGAAGGTTCGTCGAATGCTTGATGCGCGCGTGTCCCTTTTTATGTGTGTCGTGCCCCTTCTGCAAACAACATTTGATATTTCCCTGCCCTTGGTTTTTTTTCCTATATGGTGGACAACAAAAGGATGAACCAGAAAAGAAAAAATAAGAAAGAGAGGAAAAGAAAAGGACACAGATGATTATTATAACCGAATATAATCATTACTCTATCTTTTCTTGGTAATCCGCCACCTGGAGTTACTTTAACTCAACTTCCCCCCCTCTGCCGTTTGGATGATCTCACAACTGGCGTCATCGATCTTTCACCTTTCCTCCACACAATGAAGGGCCCTCGTTTTCGACACCCCTCTGGTACCTTTATCGCGCGCGTCATCGTCTACCATCATCATTAATGCTGACTCGCCTTTCAGACTCGCAATCTTCAGGGAAGGACCAGAAGCCCGATTCGCAAAACTCGCTGGCGCCACCACGACGCCCTGCCGGCGCCCCTAGTGATACCCCGGATTACTTCAACTCCGTGCATAACCCTTTCTCGCTGGAGCCCAACCCATTCGAGCAATCATTCAGCAGTAACCCCGGCGACACCCCCGGCAAGTCGCTGCTTCCTCCCGTCGCGTCCCTCACTTCCCCAGCTCTGGCTGGCGCCAGCTCCGCTGGTGGCTACAACTGGTCTAACTCCCTGCGCTCAGGGCCCTTGAGCCCCGCCATGCTTCCCGGTCCAACTGGCTCCAGTGATTATTTTGACAGCATCGGTCGAGGCTTCCCAACCCCGAACGAATCGTCCCTTCGCACTGGCCTGACCCCGGGCGGTGGTGGGTCGATGTTCCCGGCCCCCAGCCCCAATTCACAAGCTTTACTGCAACAACTCCAGAACGGCGGTGCCACACCGTCCACGATTGAGTTTCACCGCACCGCGTTGACTGCCCGGAAGAACAGCGGGAATGGTCAAGGGAATGAACAAGATCAAGGCCCGAATGCGACTATGGACATTAAGCCTCAAGTTCCCGCAGAACAGTTTACGCAACACGATGCCGCCGATGCTGCCAATGGTCTCTTCATGCTAGCTAAGGGTGGTCAAGCGAACAATATGCAAGCAAACCAAAATATGCAGAATGAAAATCGCGCCGCTCGGCGCGTGTCATCGAACACAAACGGCACCAGTGGTCGTGAGATGAGCGGTGAGGGATCGGAGCAGGAACTCTCCAGGCCCTCTGGTAAGGGCAAGGGGAAGAAGAACGCCACCAAAGCAGCCCCGGCTGCTAACAACCGACGCAAGGCTGAAGATGCTCCCAAGGGATCTAATAAGAAGGCCAAACAAAGCAGTCTTGAGCCACCGTCGGATCTCGACTCGGATGATGAAGATATGAAGAAGTTCTCCGGAGATCCTAAAAAGATGACAGATGAAGAAAAGAGGCGGAACTTCCTGGAGCGCAACCGGTATGTCGCCCTGAGCCATCTAACTTGGATTTGATCATGTTTATACTAACATTCTTTATCAGCGTCGCTGCCTTGAAATGTCGCCAACGGAAGAAGCAGTGGTTAGCCAACCTGCAGAACAAGGTTGAGCTATTCACCACCGAGAATGATGCGTTGACCGCTACTGTTACTCAACTTCGTGAGGAGATTGTGAATCTCAAGACCCTTCTGCTCGCCCACAAGGACTGTCCCGTCTCCCAAGCTCAGGGACTTGGTCCTCTCATGATGAATGGCATGTCAACCGGATACGATCCCCACGGATACGCCCACATGCCCGGCCAAATGGGCATGCCGCAAGGCCCAATTCCCTCTCAGATGCGACGGGCGTAAGGACTTGAAACTCTCAAGCTCCGTACCCCGGCGCCTATTCTACATTCCTATATTTTTTGCACATGGGGCCAAATAGGTCATTTGCCTAGGTATACGACAATTTGCCTTCTTTTTCCGGGCATAGGGCAGTGATCCAAAATTTCTTTCCCCCCTCTTTTCTATTTCGGCAATGGCTCCGCCGAACCCTTGGCATGGGCAGGTGTTAATGATGCACATGATTCAAAAATTGAACAGGCTGATTCCGGAGGCCTGGAACGAATGAATTCTGTTTAGTCTTTGGAGGGCGAGTCTTTTTTTTTTATTTTGGCGTACTGAGATTTTTATGGCTACTCTGAGGTTGTTCTGGTCTGATGGCTTATGTTTCCCCAACCCTGCTCTTCTCTCCCGTTGTATTTTCTCACCCCCACCTTTTGTTTCTTTTCTAATTTCTTGTTTCTTGATGACTTGGGTTTGGGAAGATGTTTTCTTTTTCTCTTCTTTTTTTCGCTTGTCTAATATTTGGAGGACCCGCGGGTGCATGTGTTCTTTTTGATACGGGTTGCTTGTTGAGATACATGATTTTTGGATGGCGTTTGGGTGGTTTGTTCCTATTATTGTTTAACTAGTTTCCTTGAATGGGATACTGGAGCAAATGAATTAAACATCGCTCTACAAACTAAGTTAAAATATGTTTTCCTCGTATTTGTTGATAGTAGCACGCAGTAGTAAAGTACTAGTAGTAGTAAGTACTAGTATGTCTTGGATACCGTAGATGCGTGTTGATAAGTGATAAGAGACGCGCTTTTGGCCAAACAACCCAAACATCGGAAACACAAGCCCACTCCGCATGAGAGCCTCCATTTCGATTATGGGTTACGAATTCCCAGTTCAATTCGAATAGATATCCACTCTCACCCAGTCCAACTGAAGCTAAAAAAGGTTCAATCTATCAAAAGAGCAGTCTTGAACCTCTCAACTTGCCGCCCAACCTCCTCAACGCCTGCCCCAACTCAAGAGCGACTGTCGACTCCAAACCTGCCCAATCCCACCAACCCACAAGAATCACCCCCCAATCGGCGGGGAAAGGGCCAGAACATGTCGATGCCCACCCGCCCGCGCCGTATCGATGATGCCCTCTCCCAACTAGTCGACTCTCTTACCCCCGCGCTCCCAATCACCGCTATCCAAGACGACGAATACTCCGACGCCGACGAAGCGCTCGCCGCTGCGGAAGAACGCCGGCACAACGCATATCTCGAGCGAGCATGGCGCATAATAGACACCCACACATCATCTAACCCCGCGGATGGTGGCTCTCCATCAGGTCGTCGGGGGAGCGTCGCGGGAGCAGAAAATGTCAACAACGCCGCAGATCTGATCAAGCGCAAATTGCGGCGTGAAAATGCAAGCCCAGAGCTGGCAGTCAGGTTCTCGAACATGTACTCCAAGCTCCTGACGCAGCCCGTGCTCTCGCAGAAATGGGGCATCCTGTACCTGCTCTATAAGCTATCCGACGAGAGAGAGTTTGCGGCCGAGCAGGGCGGCGAGCGGAGCCGCAGCCCGCTCATGGACGATGGAAATTTGCAGAATATGCTGGGTCGGGGAACTCGGCCTAGACGTGGTACTGGTTCTCGTCCGTTTGACTCGGAGGATGATGAGGGTCCTGCTGTTAGCTCGTCTGCGTCGCAGCAGATGCCGCAACGGGTGCAGATGCAGCCTAAAATGGAGCGCCAGAGCTCACTTCGCCGGGACTGGGAACGAGATGAGCGGGGTAGTGCTGCAGCGAGCAGTTTCGACGCGACTGGGACCGATCGCGAGGGTGATGACCGTGCGGACGTGGCGTCTCGACCTTCTAGGCCATCTACAGCAACGCCGGCTACATCTGAGCCCCGGGCTCCTGAGGGATTTGAACATGGACTATTGCGTGACTTGCCTTTTAACTTGCAGGGATTATCTTCAACAAACTTGCAGTTCCAGTCAGATTCCGTCTTGAAATTGCCGCGCAATTTGCCGGCGCCGATTATTTCTTTGCTCAACTCGTTGTCTGAGCCTTGTCTTCTTTATAAGGGTCTGTCAGCCTTTGTTGAAAGTACAGAAGGTGGGTTAGTGAACCAGAGCCTTCGGGCAGCTATTGCCAATGAGCTTCGCTCTTATCTCAGCTTGGTCGCTACTTTAGAAGCGGAAATCAGACAAGCGCTTACTGCCATTGGCAACGCAAATGATCCTAAGAGTGTTCGGAAGGGCGGAGTTACCCTGAAGCGATGTGTGGTATGGACAAGGGATGCTACGATGGCGCTCCGGTTGATGAGCCTTATCGTAGAGGAGTCTCGTGGTAAGTACTAGCTGATTCAAAAAGGTGTTGCTCTTGCCATTTCCATGCTAATACCAAGTTTAGACAAGAAAGGAGGCCAATTGATATCCTTGATTTATGGGTTTTCATCGTCCCACGGTGACCCTTTTGTCTGCGCATTTGCAGAGAAACTTCTAGTTCATGTGACGCAGCCATTCTACGACATGCTTCGATCATGGATCTATGATGGTGAACTCTCTGATCCATACGAGGAATTCTTCGTTGCAGAAGGAAAAGGAAAGTCTGATGAGGATCCTCGCCGCATCGCAACCAGCGTTTGGGAAACCAAATATGTCTTAGATGAGAAAATGCTGCCTTCAATCATCACCCAAGAGTTCGCAAACAAGGTCTTCCTGATCGGAAAGTCCTTGAACTTCATCCGATATGCTTGCGGCGATTCCGCATGGGTGGAGGCATATTCTAAGGAGGCTTCAAAAGAGCTTAGATATGGTGATACAGCCACTCTGGAGATATCCATTGATGAAGCTTATAAGACCACCATGGCACGCTTAATTCACCTCATGGATAACAAGTTCAAGCTCTTTGATCATTTGCAAGCCCTGAAGAAGTATTTGCTTTTAGGTCAAGGTGACTTTATCGCGTTGTTGATGGAGTCTCTAGCCTCGAATCTGGACCGACCTGCAAACTCACAGTACCGTCATACCCTGACTGCACAGCTGGAACATGCTATCCGCGCCTCAAATGCGCAATATGACTCGCCCGACGTTCTTCGCCGGCTAGACGCACGCATGCTCGAGCTCAGCCATGGTGAGATCGGCTGGGACTGCTTCACCCTGGAATATAAGATCGATGCCCCCGTGGACGTCGTCATTACACCGTACGGATCAACCCAATATCTAAAAGTCTTCAACTTCCTATGGCGCGTGAAGCGAGTCGAATTCGCCCTCAATAGCACCTGGCGCCGTTGTATGACCGGTGCAAGAGGTGTACTCGCCCACGTCGACGACAAAGTTGGGCCGGATTGGAAGCACGCACGATGTGTCACTGCTGAAATGATTCACTTCGTCTGCCAACTCCAGTACTATATCTTATTTGAGGTTATCGAGTCCAGCTGGGATACGCTGCAGGCAGCCGTATCTAAACCAGACTGCACACTTGATGATCTCATCGTGGCGCACAAAGAATATCTCAACTCCATCACACACAAGGGTCTGCTCGGATCCGCATCTCCACGCTATGGTTCCTCAACCTCCAATGCCGCCAAGCAACCCGAAGAAAGCTTCCTTTCCCAACTCCATCATATCCTCAAGATCATGCTTTCTTACAAGGACGCTGTTGATGGGCTATACTCGTTCTCCGTTGCAGAGTTCACCCGCCGCCAGGAACTCAATGCGAAAATCGAAACACGTACTGCGCAGGGCCGCTGGGGCGTCACAGATCGTGATATTTTACCTCGCCGCACAAACAGCCGTGGTGGCACATCTATGGCCTCAACGCCAAATCTTCGACCTGCTAGTTCAGGCCTCGACGGATTCGATACTCCATTTAATCTTTCGGCGCAAGATTCTACAGCTGACGAGCACATGCTCTCGTCTCTACGTGTAAGACTTAAGGATCTCTCTGCTGATTTCCGCTCGCGTCTTAATATCCTGCTTGGTGATCTTGCCTACCAACCTGATGTGGATATGCGTTTCTTGGGTGTTGTCATGAACTTTAACGATGTTTATGAGCCTATAAAACGACGACGTGCTCCAGGTCCTAGTTCGCGGGATAAAGAGAAGGAAAGAGAGAGGGAGCGTGCGAAGCGAAAGGCTGCTGCTGCTCAAGCTACAGGCTCAGGCACTGATGGCAGCGTTCCGCGAGAAATGCGACGAGAACGAAAGGATGCCCCGGAACAAGCCGTTAATGGAGTTGCAACATGAGGGTACGCTCACTCGTTCCTGTAAGAGAAAAGTATAATAGTGGGAGGGCATATTAATGTGAGACGAATCAATCATATTGAATATCAAAACCAGAACATTCATGTAGAACATGTACCGAGAGCTCTTCAACTATACCAAGGCCCTAAGCAATCTTATCAGAGACCGCTTTAGCTTCCTTCCGGCAGAAAAAAAAAGTCAACTCCGCCTCAAGCCATCGTAGAATCCAATCTTCACAATAATCAGGCTCTCGGAAAAGTACCTGAGGCCCATTGAAAAACTCCAAATACTCACGGTTGAGTTTTTTTCAATTGTGCGAAGTTCAATTTGAATCCTTATTTTGGTATCTGCGCCGCAGATCCTATCATCAAACCACCCACCATGGCGAAGACAAAAGACACCACCTCCAAGCCAAAGGACCTCAAGGAGAGCATCAGCGAAGACGTACAGATGTCCGAACAAGCTACACCAAAGAAGAGTGCCGACAAGGACAAGAAAAAGCGCAAGAGTTCATCCGAGGAATCGGAAGAAGTGACAAAGAGCAAGAAGCGGAGGCATAGCAACGAGGCCGAAGATGAAGCCGACGCCGTGACGGAGGAACCCACAAAGAAAAAGAAGAAGGAGAAGAAGGAGAAGAAAGAGAAGAAAGACAAGAAAAAGAGAGTCTCGTTTGGTCCTGGGACCAAGATTGAAGACGGGTCCGGAGATGATAGCGATGCCGACAACGAAGCCGATGCCGACGCGGAAGCTGAAGCCCCATCAAATGCTGAAGCCAATGACTCTGACTCCGACTCCGACTCCGATTCTGACAGCAGCGACACAGTCACTACCGACCCAGCACAGCAATTGCAAGCCGAAAATGAGGAGGCGTTAGAGGAGATGCGCAAGCGCAAGCGCGAGAATAAGAAGGCAAAGAAGAACAAGGATTCCTCCTCAAGCTCCGCGCCATCATCATCTTCCGCCGCTACGCAACATTTCCATGAAACACCTGTCATGTCCTATCTGAGCCACTACCACCACGACCGTTCATCGTGGAAGTTCCAGAAGAACCGCGAGACAAACCTTTTCAAGCACCTTTACTCTGAGGAACACGTTCCTTCTCGCTATAACATTGCGCTTTTGTCATACCTGAAGGGACTAAAGGGTGATGCGGCAAAGGCGAGATTGAGTCAGGGCGCAGTCGAGGTTCTGAAGGCCGATATTGAGGCCGCGCAGAAGGACGGAAAAGAGGAGGATCCCAAGTTCCAGGAGGCTTTGGATACGCTTCGGGATTTGTTTGCCAGTGCCGGCCCAGAGCTGAACACTGTGGGAGTTCAAAAATTGAAGGCGGATGCGAGAAAGCGTCTTCAGAAGAGAGTGCGCGCAGAGCTTGTCTTCTTTGCTGTCTGCGATGAGCTATTTGACATCGCGACATCTGTCCCCAAGAAGATGCCTGTCAAGGTTGTTGAGGTTGTTGAGGAGGCCCCGGCCCCGGTCAACAAGAAGAGAAAGAACCGTACTGCTGTTGTCGAAATCTCGAGCAGTGAGAGTGACAGTGACGATACATCTAGCTCCGGCTCGGACAGTGATGATGAGAAGCCAGCCGTCGCCAAGCGCCAACCTAGGGTCCAACCCAAGATGACCGTTACCAAACCCTCCACATCTCAACCATACTCGGGTAACAACGAGAAAAAGATTGAAGCCCCTACTGGTATTTCCAAGACCAAGGCAGCTGCAGCACTCCTGAAGGAGAAGAAGGAGAAGAAGGCTGCTTTGAGAAAGGAAAAGAAGCTGGCACCCGCACCTGAGCTACCAGCCCCAGGTAAAAACAAGAAGAAGCAAAAGCGAAAGCTCAGAACTGCTGAGATTGAAATCTCGAGTAGTGAGGATAGCGACTAGGGTTTCGGATGTGATTTTGTTTTATATGGCATGTACTAGAAAAGATATCCAGCCGTTTGTACAGCGATCAATCAAAAGATAAATACTGGGATGTGATCTGTATGCCTGAGGATGTAAAGAAGAACTTGAATGTACGTGATAGGCCCATTGCAATTGCTTCTTGATTCCACTAGTAGATGTTTGCCTCCATGGAGTGCTTGTGTCCGACTACTATGTACACGCCAGTTGACCGCATGAAGTTCTATGCCAGGCCTAGTAATGCCATGACATGGCTTGCAATTTCTCGAATCCCAATTTAAATACTAATATTTCTTGGAAATTAATGTTCAAATATAGTATGTTTCACCAATCTCAAAATTAAAGTAAACCATTGTTGTTTTATCCTGTACTTGTTGGTATCGGTAGCAATATGGAGGCTGGATAAAGGCGGTGAGTTCGAGCTCAAGCTCTCGCTCAAGCTTAGGCACCGCTGGCACGCGTCACTGTCAATTCACTCCCCATCCATCTCGTCACCTGTCTCTTCATTTCGACCCTCCTCTTTCCATCTCTACCGCTATAAAAGAATTCATATTTCGCCGCCATGTCTGGTATGTCTTCCCCAACCTGCCAGCGCTGATCCCAAACCCCATGACCTCAGTCCCGACTAACCCTCTTCTCCGCATCAGGAAGCGCAGGTTACGATAGACATATCACCATCTTCTCCGACCAGGGTCGATTGTACCAAGTCGGTACGTTATCCCACTCGCCAAAAGCCCCGGGGGCTCGCTCGTCCCCCGCGAAATCACCGAAGCTTTCCCCCGTCATCATACCCACGGACCACTAACAATCGATCTGCGCTCTAGAATATGCATTCAAGGCTATCACCTCTGCTAACATCACCTCTATCGGTGTGAGAGGAAAGGACTGTGCCGTCGTGCTGTCCCAGAAGAAAGTTGCTGTAAGCCGCCGCACCTGATCTGATCCATCCGCACAAGTAAAGAAGCTGATCCCCCCGGTCCCCAGGATAAACTCATCGACCCATCCTCTGTTTCACATGTCTTCAAGATCTCGCCCTCAGTGGGCTGCGTCATGACCGGCTCCATAGCAGATGCTCGGGCGTCCGTTGACCGTGCCCGTGGAGAGGCTGCCGAGTTCCGGTACAAGTTCGGATATGAGATGCCCTGTGACGTTCTTGCGAAGCGATTGGCGAATATCAACCAGGTCTACACACAACGAGTACGTTCCTATTTCCGTCTCTTTTCGCCTTTCTCTCCCACCCTCTCCCTCTCCCTCTCCCTGTCTCTGTCCCTCTCATCGAAACGTTACTAACCTTTCTTTTTTACCCTTTATCCAGGCTTACATGCGCCCACTCGGTGTGGCTACGACCTTGATCTCCGTTGATGATGAGAATGGCCCGCAGCTCTACAAGTGTGATCCAGCCGGTTACTTTGTTGGATACAAGGCGACTGCGTCTGGTCCCAAGCAACAGGAGGCGTTGAACCACCTGGAGAAGAAGCTGAAGAACAAGGATGCAGCCCCAGGCACCTGGGAGGAAGTGGTGGAGCTGGGTATTACTGCGCTCAGCAATGTGCTGAGTGTTGACTTCAAGAAGCATGAGCTGGAGGTTGGAATTGTCGGCGGTCCCGCGGCGGATGGCCAGGGTACAACCACAGCCTTCCGGGCTCTAACAGAGGAAGAGATTGATGAACGGCTGCAGGCCATTGCAGAGAAGGACTAAACCCGACCAATTGCAGAATTTCAAGAGAGAGTGTTGATTGGGAAGGTTGGGGTAGTATGATGATTGAGCCCGAAGATGTCCGAGGATCAGGGTGTGATATTTGTGATATTCAATTTCTATTTTAGAAAGAACGACGAATGAAATTACTCCATTGAACTTTTTTTATTTTCTTTTTTCATTTCTTTTTTTTTTTTCATCTTTTTTCTTTTGTCTGTCATATTCTTTTTTGGGGATGGATGGTTTTCTGCAAGGCTTGAACAACACACTACCAGGATATTCCCTTCTGTACCAGTAGTACTGCGACTACTATGACAACTCTTGATATAGATCTTAGTGGTTGTATATATGCGCTTGGCTGGCGCGTCAAAGAACGGACTTTTGGATTTCTATCACAGTTTCAGGTGGGTCCAGCTACGACCTGAAAATCTGGGAGAAACTTCTTGCCACTTTGCTGTTATGATAAATCACATAGTGGATAGTAAGGTATAATGTATAAGGATGAGTATTATTTCTGACGATACAGGATTTTCCACCATAATGCAAGGTAAGGGGGGGGGTATTGGAACGGTTTCTGATTGACTCAGCTTTCTCAGCTGTTGTGTCGACGCCACATGTGGCTCGGCCATGGCCGTGGCTTGTAGGGGCTTGTAGAGGGCTTGGATTGGGCTTGGAACGGCCCTCAATCATAGCTGAACTTGATGCATTCTGCTGATTGAGTCATGGCTATTCCAGGATTTCAGTGTTCGAGATAATGTGCGTTTGAAACAGATGCCTTGTTTTTTTTTTCGTGATGGGTTCGTGGCCTATTTTTCACTTGTAACAATTCACAATTATGTATGAGGATGTATGAACGGATGTACCGAAAACCAAAGTAGTTCGCAATCCGCTTAAGCCAATCAACGAACGTTTCCTTGGAATCGCACATCGCTCAGGAACTTAATCTCACTCGCTCCACAATGGTCGTGCTCGGTGGAGGAGCATGGATTTCGTATTTTATTGTTTCTTTTCTTGTTCTATGTTACAGCCCATCAACGTTTTAGTTTCTTAGTCTCTCTTTAGTCTGCATGGGTCCCTGTTCTTCTCCCCTGCCGTTAGACGGTTTCTCGGGAGCTATAGTGGCCCCACCTGCATCCCAGCTGTACTTGACTCCCGAGTTTTCTAATTTTGCATTCCTCACCGTCTATTGGTGCAGCTGCTCTGTTAGATGGTCCTCCCCTGAAGTTCGTCTCCATGGATAACTTCCTTTTTTTATGATTATCCTCTTTTGGGATATTCACGATTATTGCTTTTTGACATTGTGGAACTGGCCCCGTTGGACTGATATGGGGTATCCAGAACGAATGACGATGTCTCTCCTTACATTTCCTATAAAGGACTTGGATTTCTCGTCTCATCTCTATCCATTGACCCATCGAAGCCATTGACTTTGCTTTCTTATACATTCATTCTTCTCTTATTTGCCTTCTCTTCTTGGGACGTTCACTGAGTGACGTTCTCTCTCGTCTTGGCCACTGTAGATCCCCATCTACGTCTACTATTACTTATAATAAACGACGACAACAATACTCCCAAAAATTACAATGTCCGACGGACGTAAGTACCCATCACTTCGATCCAATCGGTTCCGGTGATCTTGATCTTGATCACGATGCTGATATTCAATGAAACAATTAGTCAACCAAGCTCGCGCAGTGCGAGTGGCCGAGCTCATCAATGACTACCGTACTCTCCTGATGCATATCTCCCAGCAAAGCGCCGACGCACACCCAGATGATCAATATGAAGAAGGCTATACCGTGCTCCGCGAATGCCATTCCGCTGCTCAGCGCTTAATGTCCGCCAACTACCACCCATGCCCGGTAACAGGCCAGGGCAGTGCCCACACAGAGATGGTAGAACTACAAAGGTAATCAATTGTCCCTCTTCACAATGATACAAAACAAAGCCAAACAACTTTTGGATCTATGAATTATCAATTCTCTAACATATGTTATGTATCAGAGTCATCATCGATAGCGCCGCTCGCCGATTCCAAGCACACAAGATCTACCTTCGAGCCGCCGCCGCTCGACGATGGGCCATTACCCGCGCAAACACTCTCCGCGGTGGACGCCCAAGCTCAGCAACTTCCGCCGCCCTAAAGGCCCTCAACGCCTCCCTGGTGCAGGATCTGGCGCGCGTCACTGACCAGCATGTTGTCGCTGACCTTCGAGCCGCGGACACACGGGCAGGCCACTGGCTCGATGATGATCCATCTTTGGATGTTATTCGCCGCTGGATTGGGCGGTGATTCTCATGCCCATGCCGATGACTACGATTACAACTATGAATATGATTATGATGACGCATCGAGTGTCAGCCATCGGGTCTGAGGGGAGACCAACTAATTCTCTAGACTGAGAAGTGTTTCTATTAGGGGCCCATCCATGGATGGGTATGAAAGATATGCGTGATTGCTTTCTGGTTTTTCTTTTCTGATTTTTTTTTCCTTTGTCTTTTTTCTTTTTCTTTTTCTTTTTCTTTCTCTCCGGCGGATACAGCGCGGGTCGCTGTGCTCTAGCTGGGATTTACGGCACAAAACAAAAGTGACACATACCAAAAAAAGGAGAGATTGGGTAGATCGATGTTTCTTGAGCATGGCGAAGATATCCCCTCTTGTTTTTTGAGTTTTTATAAATTTGCTATCTTTTTTTTTGAGAACGTGACTATTTGATATGGTTTATGTGATGGTTGGTTTCATTGTTCATTTACGGGCGTTCATCCAAATGTTACCTTTGAAATTTAGGCTTCAATGCATATATTAGGAATAAACGAGAATATTGCATCGGAAATCCCCCCAGCTAATGGCCAACAATGAACAAGTCTAATTTTTCTAAGCTTGGAAACATCCCCAATCTTAATTTCACGAAATATCATACACTGCTAACCTCTGCAACAGCCCAACGGAGACGCCGACACCGAAAACTCCAATTCTTCATAAAAATAAACAAAGTGGAAACATCCGTGGAACTGACTAACTATTGTAACATGCAGAGAATGGAAACCCCCACTATGGAGCCATGTAGATTCTTCAACTCCATCGGGGACTCAGGCATCATCAGCCCGTTATTCCAGTCTCCACAGTTACGAGCTAGACCCGTCGGACTACAGCACCAAGTGCCTACTAGTACCAGTAATAGGGCATAGGGATTGATACGTGTCCACAAACACTGAATTCACAAACTCACAGCTCTAAAACACAAAATAAATTGAAATTGAAACTTTAGGAATTTCCAGTGCATCCTACAGATCTACTAAGTATCAAAGGTTCGGAGACGCCTGCAAGTTCACCCCCACTGAAAGCTAGGGGCCCCCATATGTATCCACCACGGCACCTGTAACCCTTGTCTGGGCGATACGATTGGGCATTGGGTTGCCCGCACAGGCGGGGGTTCGGACACCTGGGCCGCGAGGCAGACAATGCCAGCTGAGAAATCTGCACTAGCCTTGGAAGGTCTGTGACGTGATGAAACATGGCACTAACGGATCGAACGGATAAAGAATTCATGGAAGGTGCTGATGGAAGGTGTCAAGCGGCTCCCGCGGTGGATCAGGGACCAGCCACGTTTTCAAGCTGATACTTGGTAACGTTGGTTACGTGGGCGCTTCGCATGACTCAGTATGGATAGGTGTATAATCAGTACGTAGCTCTGTATAACTATGGAGCAATGGCTGTGCATGCTACAATAATACTACTGTATTCGGTATTTCCGTGCGAGGTATCTAGAATGTGAGTTTATGGCTATAGACGCCATCAATGCAGTTTCCTTGGATGTAATTAATAGCTAATTGATCTTCTTATGACTATTGCCGCTGATACTTGTCCTGTTAGTATACAAACAAATCGTTGAGTCAAATTAAGTTGAGTGTTGGGGTAAGTACTATGGAACCATCTGCACGAATAAGCACATGGGCAATATGTACAGATCTAGAAGTAGAAAAAGCAGAAAAGATCCATAGTGGCGGATATAGAATCATTCCGAACCGTTTTGGCGCTCTCGCTCCCCTATGTACGTTGCTAGTATGACTGGTGCGTTCATGATAAAAAATGGACAAAAATTGGATGGGATCTGAGTGGATCCGAGGCTAAGGCGTTAGTCTGGCGAGGGCTATGCCAATCGGTGGTCAGATCGGGCGCGTGTCGGCTGAGGTTCAGCTGGTGTTGGTTTTTTGGAAAAAAAAAAAAATCTGCATCTGCATCTGCATTGTGTTAATTTTACAAGAAAATTCCGGTTCTTCTTTTCATACTCTTCTAAAATAAAATAAAAATGTTCATTAATCTTAATATACTAGTAACCTTCTTTGTACCAAGTCGATACTGACGGAACTGGATTGAACTAGTCTTGGTTTCAGCTGCCTGAGGTCTTCAAATGTTCCCTGCAAGATCGGCCCATCGGATAGTGGGGGGCTTTTGGTATTTTATTTTTCCTGAGTATGGACTGTTGCTCTGTTTTCGCTTTACTCTATCCGGGTCGTGCTCTGGTGCCATGTGTGCCCGGGTATCTGCATGACTCGTGTTTTTCCAATTTTGGGATCCTTTCTCCATAGCATCTGACTTTATGTGTTTCCATTCAATCGAAATGTCAATATCGATTGCTCCCGACATCATATGTGCAATGAGTCAACTCGTACTAGTACAGTTGACGGGTTGATGTACCAAACATTTGAAAGGTTGATATAGTTATATATTTGTTCAGGCATGTTTACACATCGAACATTGGATAAAGCCTCTACTATGTAAGTCCAACATACACAGAACAGTGATAGAGGTAGTCCACATGTGCACAGATATCGAATAAACGCCTCACATGTGCAAGGTTCAAACGAGGCCCTCGGGGCTCGCAAATTGAAGAATAGCTCTAGGACAATCCATTGTGTGGCCCAAGCTTTTGAATGTTTTTGACATGGATGCACAGGGGTACGTCGGGAATTAAAGATCAGTATGTTATAGGTCACAAATAGGCTTACAAATCTCAACAAGGTCCCTTGGGACAGCGGTTACTCCGTTCGGTTTTGATCCGAAAGATCGCCGGTTCGACCCCGGCAGGGACCTTCTCTTTTTGCATTTTCTTTTCCCCCCCCCCTCTTCTCCACCCATGTCACTTTTTTGTTTTATTTCCTCAAGGTCGTTTCCTTTTCTGCATTTTTCTGTTGTCAACTCATTATTAGATCCTTAATCTTCCCCTTAAAAAGAGAAACCCAGGCAATTCGAATGTTATATAACCTGCCTGAACCTTGGAACCTTTAAGAAACAAGATAAATAGATGGCCTACTATCTGTAACTTAATACGACCTAGAGAGCACTTAATGTATGCACCTTGCTCCTTATTTCCACCCCCTTGACCTATTGCTCAGGCGAATAACCCAGTTTGGCAGCATCTTGTTCCAAACCACTCTACAGGGACCCTGAAATGCTTCATATGTATTAGCACTTACTAGTGGGCACCCCGGAATTTTCATCGTTTTTGTGTAACTTCAAACCAAATCACCCTTCACACCTAAATAAACAAAGCTCCCATGACTGCGACATATGTCCTTATCTCCGGGTCTATCTTACTGGATCTAGAAAGAGAGTTATCGGTCAACACCATCTGGCTTCGTTTTTTATCCCTGCCATGGGTCAGGAAGGATCCGTAGATGACCTGTTTATCAAGTGCAGAATGAGGCATATGTTGAGAAGATCCAGTCAAGTCAATAGTTGAAAATATTGGATAGCAGCATGACTGCATGTGGTGCCTCAGGTTTCACAGATGCCATGATGGATTGAAGTCATGATGCATAGATGCATAGTTCTCGATTGTGCAATGGAATCAGTATAAAAAGGGACTTGATTTCTACTCCAAGATGTTTTTTTTAACTTGCAGCTCGAGGCCCATTCTATATTTCTTGATAAACGGTGCACAGCCTTTGGTGAAACTTGGAAAGTTCAAATCGTTACATATTCAGCCACAGGTACGGAGTCCCTTTACGCAGCCACATACAAGCACAGCCACAGGACCCTGCTCCATTTGGTGGCGTTGTTATTTATAACCCGCCAGGTACAAGAATCCACTAATAGTTAGGCTGCGACGTTAGGTACCCTGTCCATTCTTTTATCCTGAGAAAAGATCAAGATCGTCTGAAAACAATTGAATTTTTCGTGGTTACTTATTAATCACAGTTCCAAAAGTGTGGCTTTGCGTCATTCCCCCGTTGTATATCTTGCCGCGTTTGTGGTCCTCGTGGCTGCCCTTGTGCAATATTCTCACCTCACTCGTACTACCCCGCCTGCAGCAAACATGAGATCCGTTGCTTACTTTGTCAATTGGGTATGTACACCCATCGAACCGAGGCTTCATTTCTAGGATCCTACATATCCTAGTACCATATGGAGATTGTGCTCTCCATGATCTTGTATCTGACTATTCGCAGGCCATCTATGGTCGCAACCACAACCCGCAGGACCTGCCTGCAGACAAATTGACCCATGTCCTATATGCGTTCGCCAATATCAAGCCGGACTCCGGTGAAGTGTATGTGTACCTCCTATACCATCTTCCACATTCTCCATTCCTGGTGCACTTGATGCTAAATTACTTGTGATATAGATTCATGACCGATAGCTGGTCTGATGTCGAAAAGCACTACCCCAGCGACTCATGGAATGATTCGGGCAACAATGTTTACGGATGCGTCAAGCAACTCTATCTCCTCAAGAAGCAGAACCGCAAGCTGAAGGTCTTACTGTCCATCGGTGGCTGGACTTACTCTTCCAACTTCGCTCAACCTGCCAGCTCTGCTGAAGGACGTAACAAGTTTGCCGAGTCGGCGACCCGACTTGTCCTAGACTTGGGATTCGATGGTATGTTGTGTCGTCAAAGTTAAAAGCAAGACCAAAAACCATTAACCACCACTGCAGGAATCGATATTGATTGGGAATATCCTCAAAGTGAGACCCGCTAGCGCTTGCCATACCTACATGTGCACGAAACTGACGATAAATACCCAGATGATGGCGAAGCCCAAAACATGGTTGACTTACTCCAGGCCTGTCGACAGGTATGTCTCATATTACTTTCAGATGTCCCTTCGATACCATACACCGCTGACACAATAACAAAGCACCTTGACCAAGCCGCGGGTCCAAACCGCAAATTCTACCTGACAATCGCCTGTCCCGCAGGCCCTGCCAACTTCAACCGCCTGAAGTTATCCGATATGGATCGATACCTAGATTTCTATAACCTCATGGCATACGACTATGCCGGCAGTTGGGACACACTCGCCGGCCACCAATCAAACCTCTACCCATCTGGGGACAACCCAGGCTCAACACCATTCTCCACCCAGACTGCAATTGATCACTACGTCAACTCCGGCGTCTCTCGTTCCAAGATGGTACTAGGTATGCCACTGTATGGCCGTGCGTTCACCGACACCGACGGACCGGGCAAGCCATTCAGCGGCGTGGGCGAGGGAAGCTGGGAGAAAGGTGTTTGGGACTATAAATCTTTACCACGACCTGGATCGCAGGAGCTGCTTGTTCAGGGTATCGGGGCCTCGTGGTGCTATGATGCGGGATCGCGCACGATGGTGTCCTACGACGACCCATCGACGAGCAGCCGAAAGGCCGACTATGTGAAGCAGAACCAGCTTGGTGGTGGGATGTGGTGGGAGAGTAGCTCTGACAAGGGTGGGAAAGCCGCGAGTGCTGCGGATGGGAGCTTGATTGGAACGTTTGTCGATGGCCTTGGTGGAACTGGCGCCTTGGAGCAATCGGACAATGTGCTTGACTACCCCGAGAGTAAGTATGACAACCTGAGAAGCGGCATGAACTGAGAGAATCGGATCATTTGAGCCAGTTGGGAGTTTGATTTGCATGTTTGTTTTCAACACCGCAACATATGTGTTATTACCACCCAGAGTATGAATATTATGCGTACGCTTTAACTTGATCTCTACAACATGTCATCAAGATTGGCAGAGCCTAAATTTTTGTAAAATTTGTTTTTATTTGTAGTATTGACACAAAAGTGCCTAACCACTATCTACCGGAAATCATAATTTCATCCTAGCATGGCTCGAAATCAACGTACAAGGCCCGGGCAGACTAAGTCCATTTACTTGGACTCGTCGAAGACGTAGGTCAGGTGGCACTTTCCGCAGTACTGGCGGTTGTGCATGGCAGCCATGAAGACACCGGCACCACACTAGAAAGAAAGAAAGTTAGTCTATGACTCGTTTTGATGAGTGGCAAATCAGTGGAAACATACCTCGGGAGCGGGGCACTCGCGGCGGAGACGCTCAATTTTTCCATCACCGTCAACCTTGTAGTACTTAAGGATGGCGAGCTTGGTCTTCTTGTGCTTGTGCTTGATCTTCTTGGGGGTGGTGTACACCTTCTTCTTGCGCTTCTTACCACCACCACGCAGGCGGAGGACGAGGTGAAGGGTGGACTCCTTCTGGATGTTGTAGTCAGAAAGAGTACGGCCGTCCTCGAGCTGCTTGCCGGCGAAGATCAGACGCTGCTGGTCTGGGGGAATGCCCTCCTTGTCTGTAAAAGCGGGGTGTTAGTTTTTTTCCCCTCTCTTTCTTTTCATCGTAGTTCACGACGATCTTGTCGCATGGATGGTATTGGGAATGCGATTCGTACCCTGGATCTTGGACTTGACATTGTCAATGGTGTCAGAGGACTCAACCTCGAGGGTGATGGTCTTGCCCGTGAGGGTCTTAACGAAGATCTGCATGATGAAGGCCTGCGATGCGGTTAGTTTCAGGCTTCAAGATTTGATTTTGATTGTGGTGTGCGCAGTCAAGGCAGTGGCTTCCAAGCAAGTGTGCGCAAATCGCTACATCTTGATTTGAACACTGAAATCCTTATACTGGCGGGTTCATCAACTTACCTCGACAAGTTGTCTTCCTTAACCTTGACGAAGAGAAGAAATTCAATGTGGGTGGGACTCGGTTGATGATTAAAATCGTTGTGCGATCACATGACTGCTCCACACCCTTTTTTAGGACTAGTGCAGAATAAGGCGGAAGAACACTTTTACCGCCAAGTCTTATCGATAAGGATCACATGATATATTTACGGGAATATTATGGCCTCAGGCGGCAAATGACATCGTTGGGCATCAGCAAGAGCTTTTCCCGGCCCCAGCTGAGCAAGATCTGATCGACTATAAGAGTTGCCTGATCAAGGAACATTCCCATGGCGACGGCGGCAGGGTCAACCCCTTCACTAGGGACAAGAGGTGAAGCCGGTCCTCCTCGCAGCGGAAATACGGGCCCTTGCAGAGAGGAAGTTAGGAAGTTAGAAGTCAGGGTTGGATATAGAATAGAAGACGAAAAAATCATGTATAGATGGGATCTCGGTCGATAATGCCTAAATGAATCTAACAAAAGATGCAGGATCCGCAGGGCGGGGAGTGGGCCCATGCTCGTCACAGTTGGTCACATCTGGTTTCCCAGACTCCCGACACGGCGCGTTGCTATGCCAACCCGGCTTGTTGATGCTGAACCGTGGGCTGGATTGATAGATCTTCAACTCTTCTGGCCCGCTTCAAAGGTCTTTTATTGGGTTCGATTTCTACCTTAACTGTCTCCAGTTTTCTACTTCTTCTTCGTGTGACCTTTTATATCTATCTTCCTGTGGTGGGACGGTGATTGAACTTCATACATAATCAACCCAGGACTCTTATCAACGCTCCATTGCTAGCTTGTTGAGGCTCTAGACCACTTTCTTCTCGTTTTCTTTTTTTTGCGCTTGCATTTTATTAGTGTTCACAGACTAACACCGTGACAGGAACTGTGAAATTCGAGCGGCCGGGCAGCTATGATCTCCCCCTCATCCACATTATCTCACGGTCACCGTCGCCAAATATCAACTCCCGGTTTCGAAGCTACTCGACCCGTGATGGCTAATATGCCACCCCGCCGAACACATCGTCGTGGCCAGACCGTCGACTATGGCTCCTTTGGCCCACAATCCGGTCTCGGTCGACGAAGTGCGACAAACAAGGTCACTCAACTTCGAGACTTTTATAACGAAAAAGCAGGTTTCTCACAGCAAGCAATGTCTACTCAGCAATTGGCACCTTCGCCTCAACATGATCAGCGATTCATCCCATCGGGCCACTGTATGCAACCAGAACAATACCAGACCGCATACATGTGGAACCCGGAAGAGCTGCACGACATGTACACAGCTGGTAGCGCTGCTACATTTACGACTTCAATGGCTCCCGCTCTTGCACGATCTGCAAGTGACAACCCAAACTCCAATCCTGCTTCGAAAAACATAATGCACCGGATTCCAGAGGAGCGTCAACAGCATCCTCAACCCCGTGAGCAGAAGCGTTGGGAGGAGCTATTTCCTCAGCAATTGCAGTCAATGATGCATAAAGATCAAGTTCATGGCTACGACCGAACTATGCATCAGCTCTCTGTTCAACCAGAGACTATTTCCCCCAAGATCAACCCTTACCTTTCCTGTATGATTTAAACCATAAACCAATAACCAAGCTACGCAAAAGATACTGACTATTCTTATAGATACTTCCCCCCTTACTCCCGATGCCACCCCCATGAAGGGTTCTTTTGATTTATCTATGTATACCAATGACCAGACCCCTACTAAGCCCCAGAGTTTTTCTTTCCCCCGCCCAAATGTTACTGTTGAAATGCAAAGAACCCAGTCTCTCCAAGGAGTACCTGGATCACACCATGTCCACCTGACTCAAATGCCATCGCCTGCAACTTCTGTTGCCGACTTCGCCGAGCTAGCTGCTATGCCTTCACCGGGCTCTTGTGGTGTGACGCCATACAAGGCTAGCTCCTCGACAAAAAAGCGCCAACGCTCCGTCTCTTCCGCTTCATCAAGTGATGAGTCTGAGGAAGATATGCAAGCCGAGCCCGTGAACGAAATCGACCTTGATGCCCGAGTGAAAGCATCCGTGAAAGAAAGTTCAGTTTCCAGTGATGAAATCGCCCAATACATTTCCGGCCCCGACCCAAAAGACAACAAGTGGGTTTGCACATTCTCTGGCTGTCACTGTCGCTTCGGTCGCAAAGAGAACATCAAGTCCCATGTTCAGACCCACCTCAATGACCGCCAGTATGTATGCGACCGATGTGGAAAAGACTTCGTCCGTGGACATGACCTCAAGCGCCACCTGAAGACTCATTCCGGAAAGAAGCCTTTCGCCTGTGCTTGTGGTGCTAGCTTTGCCCGTCAAGATGCCCTCACCCGACACCGCCAACGTGATATGTGCGTTGGAGGCTTCACTGGATTTGTCCCGAAGACCACCAAGCGTGGCCGCCCACCGAAGAAGAGCCGTCCCGATATTGAGACCCGTCAGATCAAGTCTACCCGTACCCGTCAACGCGTTGCCGACATTTCCGTCCCCGTTATGCCCATGAAGATTGAGACCAATATGCCCCACGAACAGCCAATGTTTAACTCCCCCAACTATGCCCCGTCTACGTCTATGTCATCTTTTACCCCGCCTACATCCCCCGGTGGTGGCGCTGACCACGAGTCGCCGATCCCGTCAAGTATCCCCATGAACCACCAACAGTTCGAGGACGACATCCTTCCCTTGCCCTTGTCGCCCCCTCAGATGGCCCACAACCGATATGCTCGCGCTATGGAACAATTCGATGCCCACAACTCTGCCTCTTCTCAGGATTGCTTGTATAGTGACCCTGCTCTTTCTCCCTACGATATGTCATCACCGCATACTGCACCAACCTTAGCAGGATCTACCGTGGGCTCAGAGATCGATGTCTTTATCTCTCAGGACCCCACCGAGCGGCTCGAGCGACTACAAGAAGAGTTCAAGAACATGGAGGAGTTTGGATCCATCGATCATCAATCCTATTCCAACCTCCCAAGCAGCTATGCCTACATGGACCCCACAGAATTTGGCCTCGCCTCCGGGATTTACTCCGATGTTCCCGATAAGACCATCTCCAGTTTCAGCGCTCTCGAAATGGACTCCTATCGTGACCAAATCGATTCGCTTTCCAGCGAGTTCTTGGTCGACCCATGAGTCGTCATTCGAGCATATCCATCTGACTTGACTGTACCACCACTACGCGAGTGCCATATCTCGCACGACAATGGCGTTTTCTTCCACCTTTTGAAAAGCATGACATAGACGGCGTGCACCTCTCCTTCTTCCCTTAACGCGCGACACAACTGCAACGATACGAAATGAGACCAGCTTGTATACACTCTCATGACACCACGACAAACCACGGGCGTTCACATACTATATCCTTCCCTTCTTTTTGGCTTGAGCGACTCGGGTCTTTTTTTCACTGGACATGAGTTTTCTTCTTTCTTCATTTCTATTAGCGCACATGACTTATCAGCCTTCGGGGGGCTCTGGGATTAATGGTGTTCTGGCCATTGTTTCCCCTATGTTTCCTGCTTTACCACCTGTTCTTCTCTTTTCTCTTATCATATATTTTTTTGTTGAGTTGTGTACCATTTTTGGGTTGGCTCGATTGAATCTTCATGTCTCATGTTTTGATGTTTTTCGTTTGTCTTTTTTGAACAGATCCCCTTGATATACTTGAGGGATCCATGCCGATGGCATGCATTTTTATTTCTTTGGCGAATTTCCCCTAATTCACCTACCTCTTTTGTGACGTATATCTCATGAGTTTCGGAATTGATCATCTCTAGCTAGCTACTTCCCATCCAATCCTTTCTATCTCGGGAAGTACCTTGAGATCTTTGATGATGGACAGTGTCCTGGCTTCTCCTTCTCCCCTTCGGATTTACTATGTATGATTTATTGTTGTCCATGTATTAGTCTGGGTGTATGATCGTGTCTGAGATCGATACTGTGACATTCTTGAGGTACAGTCACCTTCCAATTTCTATTGATGTCAATATAACGAAAAATAAATTCTACCAACATTTGAACCGATATCAATCCGAGGCTCCTGAGTATGTATGTGTTTCTAGTCGCCGTTATATAAGAATATAATTAAAACATGATGATAACAAGAGAGATGAATGATGACCAAACTACATGGTTCCCTTCATTGGCATGACACACATGGCTTCAGCTTGACTCTTACGCTTTCCACGAGATATCAAGTTCAATGGGGTGCCCTTCCTGGTCGGAGTAGACGGTGCTTTGCGTCCAGCCCGCGGGCGGCTTGTCGGCGTAGAAGACCGTGTTTCCCTCGTACGAGAGCTTGTCGCCTTTGCTCTAAGCAAAGAAGAAAGTTAGAACAATGAGCTCAAGCATCAAATTCAATGGCAGAATTCATACCGTAAAGCGGCTGGGGGTATCAACATGATTACCACAACTGAAGGCACCCTTGTCGAAGGAGCATGGTCCCTTGCTTGATCTCAGAGTGAAGGTATCATCTAGAAAGGCAAAATCAGTACCAACACTATTTATAAAACATGCTACTAAGCAATGCATAATTATCACGAACCTGATTTCTTCTCCGCTCGAAAAGTAGCGCAAGACCCAGACTGATACCATGTTCCATAGCTGATGATGCAGCCGCGTTTCTGATTCTGAGTTGATACCATTAGGTTTCCCCTACCGGCGAATGGAGTTCCTGGGTCCGTCGGCTTCGATCCATGGGTGGTGGTGGTCTTGGATGGATCCTTCTGGGGCCGCTTCAGCGGATAGTGGATACCCCGAGCGGGGCAGTTTGATTTCTGACCATCTGTCTTACAGTTAGATTCGTGATCTTGGCCACTGGTGAGCTTTTTCACCGGACTAATTGAACGTACCAGGATCCGCAGTGATGAATTTTCCACCTTGCAGGCTACCAGCGATGTTGAAATGGTACCAAATTTCGTTGAAGACGCCACGACGACAGTGAACTGTAACTGGTGCACCGTGTCCACGCTCGAGTGCGTTTTCGATATCTTCCAGCGCGTAGGTTTCGCGGTTTGATGGGACAATACCCGCGTCGGCCAAGAACTAGAAAGGAGTCAGGAACGGAGCTTCAACGATGGAGGAATTGTGCATGTATGTGACAGACGGATGGCACAAACCTTGTATGACGGCCTTTGTTGGTAAATCTCCACTGCTTTATCGAAGTAGTCTACTACTTCTTGCTGTGGGAGATAGTCATCGTAGCAATCAGGCTCAAGAGTGCTGACGCAGGTACCGTGTTTGTTCCACTCATGTTGCCACAGGTTAATGTCGTCCCCACGGAAGTCCTTCCAGTATTCGCTCATATATTCGAGTAGGTCGCCACGACCAGAATCAACCAAGATCAGTGAGATGTTGCTGTACTTTCGCTTGGAATCGCAGAATTGGTCGAACCCGCCGTCACAATGATCGGGCCTTTTGAAAGTCAGTCTTTCTAGGTTTCAAATCGACAACTTATGTTCCATCCTGCTATGGCCTTCACAGGCGGGGTCATTGTTCTCTTACCAAAGCCCGTGAATGGTCCAAGAGTCATCGGGACCGACTGCGGGGTCTGCGTCCCAGAACTGGGTTGCTAGCATTTGGCCACCCGGATAGTTGAAGCAACAGGTATCTTGGCCATTGTACTTGGCTTGGCAACTGACTTCCGATCGAGGGCAAGATCGCGAGATCCCCGGGGCCCTTTCATCCGCCGTTGTGGACAGCCAGAACGAGCCTATTGTTTTGAGGATCTTCTGGGGCCCCGGGAACCCCAAGACTTGTTGCGATGAGCCCCACATGATGGGATGAAGTTGAGACGGGAAGAACTTCGACCAGCGAAGCTTGGATAGATAAGTGGATTGTGAAGACAGGGATTTAGTACCTAGACAGGTACCTTGCAGGTCAATCAAATAGAGTTCCAAGCAGCAGCGAAGGTTGGGGTTCTGGGGTTCTTATCGCTGCAGATGACTAAGACGATCATCTGACGTAGTTACATGTGGATCCGATAAGCATCACGAGTCATAAGCTCAAAGGAGAAAGAGTGAAGGGGTATCTTATTTTGTGCTGCTGCTGATATAGTCATTGCATCTATGTTACATTCATACTTTTCATCTCAGATGACCGAAGTCTCTTGTTTGCGTGCCTTTTCTTGTTCCTCTTGCTCGTGTACCCTCTCCTTCCATAGTCGAAGGACCTCAAAGCCAACCTCGACGGCGATAAGAAGAATAATGATCCACTCAAGTCGGAGGCCGTGGGTTTCACTAAGACGCTCGCGTAGTACACTGGCGATCTCCTGAGCATAGTCCATTTTCTCATTCAAGAGTTTGATGCGAATGCCTACATCAAGGGCTCGACCCACTTGTTCATAGTACCCCTCCAACCCGAGCTCATGCCGACTGTCCCAAAAGAGATCAGGAAGAGAGTCGGTAAGCTCAGAGTATAGATTCAATTGTGCGCGTACACTGAGTAGTTGACCGGTCTTGCGGAGAATGAAATCCCGGGTATATGGCAGACGAGAGCCCTTGGATAGAAGAGTGGGGATGGTGCGGGTCGACTCAAAATAGTTCGACAAGAGAGTTTCAAGAACGGCCAATTTCGTACTGCGAGCCAGGCCAGACGAGAAGGCAACTTTGGTCAAGACAGTATCAATGGATTGTTGTTGTGAGATCGGGACTTCGGGGCCGGGACTTCCAGACTTGGTGCCTAGAATAATGGTATCGCCCTTGATGCTGCTATTCTCCCGCCTAGGATCCTCCACGAACTCGAGGTCTTCAGTTTCCAAGTCATCCACATGGGCGCCCTCGGCGGCCGGGAGAAGGGTTCTTGTCGCTAGGAATGAAGTGAATCCTTCGGGCAGGGCCCATGCCACAACTGTGCCGGATGGGAAGACAAAGATGTCGCCTACTTCGTCGGACGAAAGATCTGCTGTTGAAGGATTTCCAACGCGTCTTATTGAATCGATCGGAATCTGTACATGAACAACCTGTGGGTAGAGTCCGGTGTTTAACGGATCCGGCTCGTATCCTTTTTCTTGTAAAATGTCTCGGACTTTGCGTATGTCAAATTGCTCGGCAACGGCGTAGGCGGTTACTATCTGAAAGCCCCCGAGTCAGTTAAATTCTTGAAATTTTTATTTGCGACCTTACCTTGGTTTGGTCAATACCCTGTTCCCTAAGTTGAGCTTTGGAAGCAGATCCCTCTTTTGATCTTTGTGCCTCCACTGCAACACGGCGAAGAGATGTTGGAGCCGCTGGCGATCTCGTTGCACGCCTGCGTTGTTTTTGTGACTCCAAATTTTCAACTCCATCTTCCTTACTGGGCTGTTTTTGCGACAGGTGCGCATTGGAAGAGAAGAAATCTTTCCGGCGAGGGAGCTCCAATGCCGGCGTTGCGTGCAAATATTGCATCTGCGGCTGTCTCCAGAGCCGTAATGGCACTGGCCGCTTGCAGGCCGAGCAGATAGAGGCCCTAGCAAGCATGTTGGTAGCTTGTGAGTAGAAAATAAAAATAACGCGAACCGATGTCATGGTCTGCAGAACACCGAATCCCCTCCGCTTAGTCATGAAGTGGAGCAGCCCGACCCCAGCTCCCAAGCTGCAACAATCCAGGTCCCGTTGCTTGTCGCATCTCGATCTAAACTGGTCTAGGAGCTCCAGGCGCCACAAGGGACTCTCGCCATGGATGCGCCTGGCGAGACAAAGGCGAATGGGGGTGCCGACAAGGGCCTCACAGAGAATGACGCAACTACGCGCAGCCGATCATCCTCCGATACGAATCCCCACGAGCACGATCGACGTCATCAAAGTAGTGAAGATGAATCCGGCGGCAGTGATGATGGAGATGAAGATGAAGATGAAGATGCGGAAGAAACTGAAGACGAAGATGAAGAGCCAAAGCTCAAATACGCATACCTCTCTAAGCATTTAGGCTCGGTTTATCGCAATGGAGACGCGACCAGCACATTCCTCGTTGCAGGAGACAAGATGGTAGATGCTCTTTGCCATTGTACGCTCATTGACTAAGCTAATGTGTGATTTAGATTGTGGGAACACACAACGGTGTCATTGTAAGTCGCATTATTCTCGTCTACCTCGGCTCTCGAGGCAAAGTTAACCTTTACTAGCATGTTCTTTTATTACCCTTTCTGCGATCTCTCCGAGTATACCAGGCCCATTCAGCCAGCGTTACTTCCATATCTATATCTCCATTCCCGCCGCCTTTGCCGAATTCAAAGTTTGATGCACCAGCCAGACAAGCCGCGGACGATTACCGCTCTCCGACACGGGCCTCCACGAGCTCGGGCAGTATACGGGGTCAGCCAAGGCAACACCCACAAGCGACGGTCCCAGATATACCTTCCAATTCATTCTATATTGCTTCGGCGTCGATTGACGGCAACGTGTGCATATCATCGCTAGTGGATCCAAAAGATATCCTCAAACGAAACTTTGGGCGACCTGTTCAGGCAGTCGCCCTCTCGCCGGACTACAAGAATGACAGAACGTTTATTTCCGGCGGCCGTGCAGGTGAATTAATTCTAACAACTGGTGGTCGTGTTGGCGTCAGTTCAAATGCTACTACAATGGGAGGGGCAACCGCGGCGGCATCAAGTTGGCTAGGCTCAATGGGACTGGGCAATAATAGCGGAAAAGATACCATCTTGCATAGTGGCGAAGGTGCTATTAGTACGGTCCGGTGGTCTTTATCTGGCAAATATGTCACCTGGGCCAATGAAGAGGGAATCAAGATCATGCGCTCAAACTTGCACCTAGAATCAACAGAGTCCGAGTTTGCGTGGAAACGGATCAGCCATATAGATCGACCAAATGGGCCGGGGTGGGAAGAAATGGCCAGCGTCTGGAAGGCACGTGCTGAATGGATTGATCAGTCGGCTTTAGACGACCATGATAACCCCGACTCCAAGGATGACACAACGCACCAAAAACCACCGCCTCCGGGACCAGCAGAGAAAGTTGAGAAGCTTGTCGTAGGCTGGGGAGGGACCGTGTGGGTTATTGACGTTTACCCAGACCGGGCGAGCAAGCATTCGAAGGGCGAGAAATATGGCTCTGCAGAGGTCACTACAATGTAAGTTGCAACGTCAAAACGTCCAACTATTCGAGTACTAATTTTCAACTTGCAGCCTGCGAACAGATTGTATGATATCTGGAATTTCCTTGTATACGCCTCGTCTTCTGGTCATCCTGGCATATATTGAGCCGGAAGACGACCAGAAGAGTTCTGGCTCACGGAATCGGCAGAAAGGCCAAGAGCCTGAATTACGACTTATCGATTTGGAAACAAAAGAAGAGCTCAGCGCTGACACACTTTCCGTCAATCGATTTGAAGGCCTGGCTGCATCGGACTATCATCTGAGCGTCTTGCCCCCATGGAAAACCCCCGAAGGGCAGATAGTTCAGCGTGGGGCCCTAGGTACTCTTGGTCACGGCCTATTAGACGCAACGATGTACTCTGCCCGACTGTTCAGCTCCGGTGCTAGCATCCGCAGTACCACCAGCAGTGGTGACAGGGTTTCTGCAAGAGTTCCTCCTTCATTCAGCTCCAGACACTTTCCAGTCGACGAGCTTCCCAAGGAAGCCCAGGACGTTGCAGCCGCTTCAGGCGCAAAGATCTTTGTGCATAGCCCATACGACTGTGTTGTTGCTGTGAAGAGGGATCTTTCTGATCGGCTGGCTTGGCTCGATTCCCGTGGGCAATACGAAGAGGCATGGAAGCTTCTAAATGAACACCCCGAAGCTGCAGGCTCAGCCTCGGTCTTGAAAGAAGCAATTGAAGGGTCCAACAAACCCCAATCAACTCTAGGTGACTTTTTTGCGGACGACCGATCATCGATAATGACCGCTCGGAACCAAATTTCCGCTGCGGACGAGGAAAAAGTTCGGCTTGGTGAATTGTGGGTCGAGCAGCTTATTCGCGAAGCAAAATGGAGCGAAGCTGCTCAAGTCTGTAACAAAGTTTTGCACAGTGCATCTCGGTGGGAACATTGGGCTTGGGAGTTCTTCAAGAATGAGAAAGTGGATGATATTACCCCTTATATTCCCACGGACCTGCGCAACGCGCTATCCACGGAGGTATACGAAGTCATCCTCAGCCACTATGTCTGCCGAGACTTGACTCAATTCAAGGAGTTGATTGAGGGATGGCCGTCTGATTTGTTCGACTCCAACAATGTGGCATTGGCGATCCAAGATCGGCTCAATTCCATTTCAATGCACGAAGATTCTGAGGAATGGAGGATCTTGACGGACTGCCTTGCCAAAATGTTTGTCGTGGGCGGCCACCATCGGGAGGCCCTACATTGCTACATTAAACTACAGGATGCCGATGCTGCCATGTCATTGATTAAAGAACATCACTTGGTCGATGCCGTGGCCGATGATGTTGTGCCGTTCATCATGATTCGTATATCCAAGGCGCAGATCAAATCAGCACCGACATCAGAATTGGAAGAGCTAGCCGCTGAGCCAATTCAATTGCTTGCCAGGGAGGCTTACTCAGGGATTGTCCCCCCAGAAACGGTGGTAAAGCAGCTGAATGCCGCAAATCGTGTTCTGTTCGTCTACATCTATCTCCGAGCTCTATGGCGTGGTGAATTCCTGCCACAGGATACCTCGAAGCCTCCAAGAGGTCGCGGGGCCTACGCCAGAGACGCAGCGAGCAAGCTAGCTGCAGCCGAGGGAAAGGCTTTGATCGATCAATTTGCCGATACAGCCGTGGAAGTATTCGCCGACTATGACCGACCTCTGCTGATGGAGTTCTTGCAAACGAGCATCTCCTACACCTTCGAGACCGCAACCTCAATCTGCGAACAACGTCACTTCACACCGGAATTAATCTACCTCTTGTCCAAGATGGGCCAAACGAAGCGAGCCTTGAACCTCATTCTGTCAGATCTTAAGGACGTATCTCAGGCCATCTCATTCGCCAAGTCGCAAGACGATCCGGATCTTTGGGAAGACCTTCTTGACTACTCAATGGACAAACCAAAGTTCATCCATGGGCTCCTCGTGGAAGCCGGAACATCCATAGATCCCATCAAACTCGTGCGTCGAATCCCCAGCGGTCTAGAGATCGAAGGCCTACGAGACGGCCTCACACGCCTGATCCGCGAGCACGATCTACAGGCGAGTATCAGCCAAGGCGCCGCACGCGTCATGCAGGGCGAAGTCAACCTGGGACTAGACACACTACGCAAGGGACAACGTCGCGGAATCGCATTCAACATAACCGAGGACAATGCAGCGGATGCGAAGCACGCGGATCCATCCTCGATCTCCGCACCGAAGAACCAGAATCCTGAAACCGCATCCCTGTCTACCGTTTCCACGAAGCCCGCTGCATCTAAACGAGGAATATGCGGCGGATGCCAAGCCCCGTTCAGTACGAACGAACGAGAAATCCTCGTCGGCTTTGCTTGTGGCCACGTTTTCCATCTGTCCCACCTGCACGAGGAAGGCTCACAGCAATACTCGAGCACCAGCAGCGTGGTAGATCGTACTCCCCGTCCCTCGTCTCCGTCCGAGGAGCTGTCGTCAACGGCTTCCCGCACCGTGGGCCCCAAGGTGACAACCGCGCGACTGTTGCGAGACAAGATTGGAGACGGATGCCGGATTTGCGCATTAACACGGAAGATCGAATCTCTCGGCAACGAAGGCGAAGAGGTATGAGTTTTTAATTCTTGATTCTTGTATCTTGGCTCTTGCAAGCATGATCATGTCTACCCTACTGATAGCATTCATCCTTTTTGATTTGTTCATACAATACTTGTACCCTGCATCGCGATCCAGGCACTCATGTATATCCACTATGTATTTTCTTTCTGATACCCACGCATCTTCCGGATGGTCCCGTGCATTGTGGGACGTGACTTAGTGTTGGCAGATAATGCATCAACTCGATCTCTGGAATTCAATTTATCGTGTTCATGAAGCCAATAAGATCGTAGCGGGGCTCTTCTGAAATGGTAATAAGGCAACTAAAAATTGAAATCCCCAGGAAATAATACTAAATTATTCAAAGTGTCGGGTATTTTGTATGCAGCCCTGGAGATGTGAGGAGCGAAAACCATTCGATCAATAGTACAAACTTGGCTGTATTCTGATGTCGTCTTCCCAGGTTTCATGCATCACAGCCCTGGAGTGAACGACAGATCTGCACCAACCAGTCTGAACCTAATCATCTGGAGACTACTTGATAACTTGATGTTTGAATGCTACTAAACTACAATGAAAGAAAGTTGGGAAAACAAATAGATTAATAAATCTATCTAACTGGCTACCTTCTCATGTCATAAAGCATAAAACACACTCAAAAACTAGAAAATTACGGCAGCCCATACATCTTGTCTCCCAAGGTCAATTGACCCAAAATAAACAAAAGAGGATCCTTCCTTCAGGGGCGGAAACACACACAAGAATCCGGATCAAAAAAAAAACACAATGAAGAGGTTATGACCGCCCGGCAATGAGCAGGGCTTCGATGCCAACCTCCAAGAAGTAAGCTTGCAGAGTCTCACAGTGCGTTGATGAAAACCATCATCAAGAAACCAGCAGCAATAATGTTGGCCTTGTGGCTCAGACGCTTGGCAGCCTTGGAGTATACCAGGGTCGAGGTAGGAGAGCCGGGAGTAGGAACTCCAGTAGTTGGCTTCTCACCAGTAGGGACACCAGTAGGCTTCGAGGGAACTGTGGTCAGAGTAGTGGGAGCACCTCCGTTGGGAACATTCTGAGTGGAAGGGTGGGTTTCCTCGGTGGGAACGCTGCCGCCGGGAGCACCTCCGTTAGGAACATTCTGAGTGGAAGTGTGGGCTTCCTCAGTGGGAACGCTGCCGCCGGGAGCACCTCCGCTGGGAACATTCTGAGTGGAAGTGTGGGCTTCCTCAGTGGGAATGCTGCCGCCGGGAGCACCTCCGGTAGGAACGATCTCAGTAGAAGTAGTGGCTTCGCCGGTGGGAACAGTCTCGGTGGAAGTAGTGGCTTCGCCGGTGGGAACGGTCTGGGTGAGAGTTGTGAGAGAGCATTCAGATTGAGTGCAAGTCTTGGTAATCACAACAATGATTCCGCCGGTGGAGGGAGTCTGAGTAAGGTTGAGCGAGATGTAGGGGGTTTGAAGTCCTGGGGTTGTAACAGCCACCTGGCTAGGCGAAGAGCAGGGCAGGGTGGTGAACTCGGTCTTAGTGTTTGTGGAAGGGGTGGCCACTGGAGTCTGCTCAGGAGTGCTCAGGGTGCTCGAGATGCTGGACTCGGTCGAGAACACAGGAGTCTTGGAAGGAGTAGTCTCCGAAATGGTGCTCGAGGTGCTAGACTCGGTCGAGGACACAGGAGTCTGGGAGGGAGTAGTCTCCGAAATGGTGCTTGAGGTGCTCGACTCAGTGGATTTGTCCACAATGAGGGAAGTACGAGTACCAGGGCAGTTGGTGACGCTCGAGGCGCACTCGATCTCGGTAGTCACAGAAGTAACATAAGCAGTCGACATTTCTGATAAAGGTCAGCGGGGAGAACAATGTGAGAAGCCTATACTTGAATGAAACTCACCACGAGCCAGCAGCTGATTAGCAAGAGCGGGGACATGGTCAACTGTGATATTGTGTTAGCGGATGGAGCTCCCCCGCCAGTGAGGTGAAATAACTTACGACCACGGAGGTTGAAACGGCCACGAACAGCGTGGGCCTCCTCGAAGGGGTCATTGTCTGTGAATTGATAAGTATGCGAGGTTTGATGATTTGAAGACGCGTGGTGTTGGACGTGATGTGGGAGGGAGTGCAACTGGAGTGCAAATGGAGTGACTTACTGAGGGCTAGAACCTGTCCAAGAAACCCGAAGGTTCCAAAGAAAAGGAACAACACACGAAGAAGGTGAGTGAAAATCATCTTGATAAAAATCTTGATGATTTTGAGGAGCTTGGCAAAAGACGAGTTGAGTGTTGATGAAACGACCGATGAAAGCGAGTGTGGGGGAGCGAGAGATGTGTGGGATCACGAAACGAAGAGAAGAGGGCATGGGAAGAAGAAAGAAAGGAAGAGGAAGAGGAAAGGAGAAGAGAAAAGATTTGAGGCCACGGGACTGGAGCTTTGGAAGGTGTGAGCGATAAATTTAGCAGGTGCGATTTCTCCTGAATTCAGAAGGTACGACCCTAAAGTATAGGATCACGCTGCTTGTGCGAAGTACCATGTGAAAGACACAAAAGACTGCGCGACGACTTGCTAAAAATAGCTCCAAAGACAGGCCCTCTGTGCGAGCACACTAAAAAGATTATTATGTGTGATATTGGAATCATACAGATCAGAGGTATGATTCAATAATTCATGAAGCTATCTAGGTGGTTATCAAAACATGCTACTAGTATGGACATTGGCAACCTTTACCTAGTAGGTGACCTTGGAAACTCAGTGCACGGACTCAAGTCTAATTGATTTTAGCATCTACTAGTACTCATGAACCCTTGAACATGTGGCAAGTGTTAGAGCCTCAAAGTCAAGGAAAAACTTGGAATCATTATTGATTTTATAGATTGAAGTACAGTGGCATTTCATTGGCCGAGGACTCAGCCCTATATGCACCTGGCTATGCATCCAGATGTCCGGGACTACTTGACAAACTTATGTAATGCATGAACGTGTGCCTTTCAAATGCTTTATTTTCTTCCTATTTTCTTCCTATTTTTTTCCCATTTAAATGGGGAGTCTTGTACAAAGCACTAGTCATGTAATCTGATACCTAGTTATTTGAATATGAATCGAGTTTGCAAATGACCAAACTCACTTGATATATTCCTAGCTGGAATATTACACTATTCATTCTGTACAATTTGACCAAAAGACCAAAGTAAACATAAGGTGAAAGTAAAAGCCGCCAAAATCAATGAAAATAAGAGCAGACCCGGTAAGTGAAAGGACAAGATGTACACGACGCGCTAGATGTCATGTCCCAACAACACTAGGAAATATAGCCTAGCTTCGAGAGAAAAATGGTTGAAAATATTTTTTTAAAAGAAAAGAAACAAACCAAATACCCTCTTTATATTGAATGTACAGGATGCAGTACTAGCGTTGGCTGTTCTCTGATACGGTATGCAGTACAGAGACGTACAAGAGGACGAAAAGGGACAAAAAGCGACTCAAAGAGGACGAATACATGTATTGTACCGGGATGAGCCGCGCTGGGAAAATAAAGTGTAGGTGTATTATAAAGTGATGTCATGGGGCTTTTATGGGCTTTTATGGGCTTTTTACGGGCTTGAGAGGCTTTTGCCTTCATCTGGGCGCTTTCTTTCTCAAAGTGGGCGTTTTTCAAAGGCCACACATTACATGCCAACACATCTACCCGTTAGCGCTCACTTCCAAGGATTCTGAACACAAAGTGCTAGGGGAATCTGGTGTGGCATTTCAACATTCCCGTATCCGTACTCAGATCTCGGAAAGAAAGAAAAGAAGGGGCTAATGTACTGAGGGGCAGTTAATCGATCGTGGATCTACAAGTGGAACGAACTAGAGGGAAGGGGATATTTGTATGACAGGATAGGGATCGGCAGGAACGGGGCCAATGCTCGTTGAGTCGAGTGTTTCGAAGGAGCGGGGCGAGAGGTGCGCGGGATTTGCTCTGTTCTTTAGTTTTTCTATCCTAGCTTTAACGGCCTGACGTCATGCGCATTCCGGCATCTCATCCGGCCAGTACGAGGATGTAGCTTGAGCTCTAAGCGCTTCAAATGTGGAGATTGGTGCAGAGGGATCTTCATCTACAGAGATTTTATTTGTCTACCTCCTTCCTATTATCATCCATTATTATGGGGAAAAATCCCTAGCTGACAACGAAGTCCCGAGTCTCTGGGACCGCGTCTCGGAGGCTGTCGGATTGTGCTCCATTATGGTAAAGTGATGGCTGCAGGTGTAACGCCTCCAAATATACTGGGACTCTTGGGCCCCGGATGGGAATGCGTATGGCGTTAGTAAGGGCGGATACCATTTACGAGAGAATACCGACAGAACTAACCTTTGGTTTTGTTTTTTCTCTTCGACTTTTTGAAGTAAAATGTGCACATGTGGGCATCGGTAAAACCCCATGTTGCAATACTGGAGTGAACGCCACGCCCATAAAAGTACCATTAAAGTAGACAGCAAATGTGGTACACTAGCATATGCTGTAAGCCCAACACAGTTGACCTTTACCACGCCACTTATCACACATACGTACTTGGGAAGCCAATTGTCAAAAGAAAGGTTTTTTTTCTCTCCACAAAAAAGATTAATGATAATTATTAATGACACAGAGACTAGCAAAAGCAAATTAAAAAAGGGATGATCTCAATACTCTACAAAAACATTTGAAAGGCAGCTTTAGAATTGTATGATGGAGCTTCAGATACAATTTAAACGTAACCAACCACATGCAGAGGGAAAAGGTATCCCGAAGATCCCGGAGATCACTTCAATGACAGTGATCAGGGGCGAGATAACCAGAAACCCCCTCCTCTAGGGCATCATTCATTTTGGCATTTTCCTTTAAGAAACTTCCTTCTTAGTGGAAAGAAGCGGAACTGAAAAAAAAGACAACGACATCATCGCACTCGTTGTATAATTCAGTACAAAAAAGTACCTAGCAATCCCAAATCCGCCCCAGATATGACATATCACAGCAACAAACCCATGGTGCAAAGCCACCAACCATAAACGGAAGGGAAAAAGTAGCCCCGAAATGGTCAGACTTTAAGATTTGATTGGTCTACGGACTGTAGTCTGTCGTGCCGCCAATCAGAGCGGACTTCAGGTTTTTTCGGAGCGGTAGATACAACCCTAGTGCTTCCCGCTTCGGGTAGTAGCCGACCAAATCTGTCTATGGCACCATATCCAATTTTACCCAATTTTACTCAATTTTACCCAATTTTACCTAAACCCGTGGTTGAGATTTTTCCCCTCCCGGCTGAACGTTACCAGGTTGCTGGGCCCGGCTCTGGGGGTGGAGGTTACCATGGATTGTTTCTTCATTTTTTTCTTTGTGTTTTTTGGGACGCGCACTATGTGGCTTTTTTTTGTGGTACAGAGAGGCAAGGCTAGTGGTAATGGGGTTCGTGGCTTGATGATCTCGGAGTTAGCTCTCAATGCAACAATTTTTGACCTTCTCGCACTGTTTGTTCATTTCCATTTGACAGTAGGGATGTCCGTTTACCCACCCCAGAGCTTAGAAATTTTCCACCCATTATCTCCAATTCTCCAAATATGCCCCAGTGCCAAGCATCCGATAACTCCGTCGCATGGACGTAATTCCACAAGAGAGCATCTTGGTGATGCCTACAGAATATGGAATTACATTTACGGAATAAAACCTTGGAAATATTAAGTACCGTGATTCAATATAATTGATCTGATCAGCTAGGTCATCGTATTCTGAACCTATGTATCATCCATGGAAATGTTTGTTGGACTCGTAACCCCGCCCCAGTGACTGTCGGGTCAAAGACCCAACGTTGTACAATGCGCCCAAAATTGAAAAAATAGCTGAACACAGAAGCCAAACGCTCGACACACAAAATGAAGAGCAGGACGGCCGCACAAGATAAGTCAATAAGCGCAGCTTTCAGAAAGTGGAACAACAGGGTATCAACTTCGTGTGCTTCGTCCCTAATCCAGGCCAACGAAAACAACTTTGTAATAACAAACAAGATAAAAAGGAAAAGAAGAAAAAAAGAAAGAAAGAAAGCAACCACGGCAGTGTTTATAAGCCTGAACAGGTCTGCCCGTAGACTCATATATTGTCGCGGGGGGTCCTCAACGCCTTCAGATTCAGCAATTAAAAATAAAACGCACGATAAGAGACAACAAGAAAATTCATCAACGCGTAGTGTAACAGAGTATCATTGCTCGGAGACTCGTATATTATCTCCGTAATCAATAACGCCCCTTAAAATGATGGTGAATCGCCAATTCAATTGACAACAAGACCAATATGGAATAACAGACATCCATTAGAAAGAATGTCGGGAGCGGAAGAAAAGCGCAGAGCGCTAGGCCTCTTTTGTCGCCTGCACACCAGGTGCAAGGAATACCCCCAAGGCGTCCTTGACTTATCTTGAGATAAGCATAGAAAACCGGTGAGGTATGTGAAGCGAGGGAAACCGAAGCAAGCATCGATTAAGAAGAAGAAAAGGCGAAGCAGTCAAATCTATGCGGAACACAAGATGAGAGTTCCGGAGACCATCATGCTTGATTCGTCTAATGCAAGGTGGTAGGTCGTTAATATGTTAATTTGATCTCCACTGGGGAGCCAGGTGAGACAGGCGAGTCGTAGCTTTGCTTGATTTCAACATCCGGCGTTTCATAAATATCGACAACCATGTCTTGGCCTTCAGGTAGTTCGCGGACCACGTCGTCATCGACCATGATTCGTAATCCGGCTTCGTTGACGTGCAGGATGCGAACTATCCTTGAAGGGTCGATTTCATGCTTCTCGGAGATTTTCTTCATCAAGTCCCGGACAGTGCGCTCGGTTAAGTAAATGGCACGGTAATATTCTCCGGGATGATTTTCATTCCCTGAGAATCGAACGTAAAAGCATGCAATCGGCTTGGGCGGTCGCTCGGCAGGAGGTCGGTAAGTAGGATCAATATCCACAGCCTCGATATATCCTTGTGAGACTCGATCCTTGGATGAGACTCGTGGAACATGAATTGGGTTTTGATTTTTATCCTTCAAATACTGAATGGAACCATTGTGTGGCGAGTGCATATTCAATGAGGCATGACTGCTGGTAGGTGAAAGAATCAATGACTCCATAGACTGTGAGGCACTGGAGTTCATACGGCTCAAACCATCTGTTTTAACAGACTCGCCTTCCGCCGGTAAACGAACAGGGTACTGATCGGGATCATCACCCTCTTCACCACGAAGAGCAAGAATGCTCATTGTACGAGTTGACGAAAACATGTCCTGCATCATGGCCAACTTGGATTGTAAATCATCCTCCAATGATAGCTTATCGGAGCCATCTTGTGAACCAGATGACCAAGTACGCTTGTGCTTCAACGGAGGCTTGGTCCGGTCGATGGTAGATTTCACGGTTGGTGCAGCATTGGTGCCACGCTTGCGCTTGCCAAACCCACCACCCAACTCAGCCTGTGAGATCTGCTGCTTCAATTTTTCAATGGTCTTCTTAACGTGGGCAATATCGTTGGACAATTTTCGCTCAGCACCGTGGTCCCGGAAAAGCTTGACCTTGCAGTAGCACACCTCCGGCTCGTTCGAACCCCCCGCATCAGTTCCGGGTGAAATGAGTTCGGTCTTCGCACAGAGTCGGACCGGGATACCCTTTACACCCTTCGAGTGGCTGAAGTCGGTAGACAAGAAATTGAAACGCACGGGGATACTGCAGTCGGAAGAGCCGGTAGCCGGGTTGGCGGTCCAAGTCACGCAGAACCCATCAAAGGACATCTGCTCTATTTGCAGCTGGCGGTGCTTAGTATGTTCATCACCACCCTGGAGCGGATCGACATATTCCACAGCCAAAAGTTTGCCCCCGCGTTGGTGGGCTTCGCTGGTACCCCGGCCTTCCTTCCATAATTGCCAGCAGGCGGATGGCTTCAATCTTTGCTCTTCTTCTTCGAATGAGACGCGAACAAATGTGCGGTAACGTAGTGGCCCGGAGCTCGGAATCGGAGGGGCTGAGTCCACCACCGATAAATTATAGGCCTGACCCTTGTTGAGGTAAGACACGGGGATTTCCCTCGCGTGCTTGACCATTGCGGTTGGGGCGCGCAAGGAAACATTATAGCGGAAACTGGTAGCAAAATTAGAAAAATATCTTTTCCATCGGTGTTGTTTGTATACTTACTTTTCACCGGCGTAGGATACGCCAATCGGAGGATGTGTCCCAGGAGCCGATGAAAAATCGGTCGAGGCTGTTATACCGGAAGCATTGGACATCTGATCGATTGAAATTCCGTTGACAGATGAATCATCCACCGTCTCGTCCATAACGTCGTAACCCGCGTCACGCTGCATGAATGCACTTGGCGCGTAGGAGCTTTGCATGTATGGGTTCATTTCAGGCATCTGGTGATGGTGTTGGAGATATTGCGGACTAAAATGGCTCATTCCAGGGTGGTGTTGATGAGGGCCTGTGATGGGATTTGTAAGGGAGAGGGGAGTCATAGTGTGCAAGCCGGCGGTTGGTGTGTGGAGGTCGCCTGCCTGGCTGTGGAATATAGCACCCAAACCACCGGAGTTGGGTGTGTAGAAGCCGGGATGCTGATTGGCCATGGGGACCATATTCACTGATCCTGAATCCAGCCATGAGGGTGAAAAATTGAGGTCTTGCAGGTTCCGAGGTGTGCGCTGGGGCATGAATTTCATATTGTGGTGATCCTCCAACTTTACGTCGTGACCTTGCATCTGTGATCTATATCGGGTCGCCATATCAGTCTCTGTTGCCATCTTTTCCAAATCACGGTCTGCATACCTTCCAGCCATCATAGGATCACCCATGTAATCCGGGTGTTCATCCTCTTCGCCCTCGCGACGAGGCACTACATCGGAAAAGGTCTGTTGGAAGCGACTGATGAAGTCGTCATCAGGCTTCTGAGTATTGTTTCTGTATAATACATTATTAGTATTTGGATGGCGGTCTTTCATTTTCTCTCTCTTCCTTTTCTGATTTCCAGGTTATAGAGTTCGGGGGCGGTACCCACCGGTTGCGAAACATTGAGAGTGAATCAATCCACTGTATTTCACAGTGTAAAGATGCACAAAGAGGGGTCGGACAGTACGGAACAGAAAAAAAAAAGATAGCCAAATTTAAATCACCATTCGACTGAGGTGGAAGAATGTGTGCAGGAAAGTTGCCTTGTGGTGGTTCTTTTCAGCAGATAGCTCTCCGATACCGACAAATCGGATATACTCAAGAGAGTGGATGGTTCGGACGGGTCGATCTTCGAATTCGATAACGGAGATTCCATGCACTGGAATATTGTTTGGACAACGGTGGAAGATTGTTGTGTTCGCACCTTTTGGGTGGTGGTTGGTAGTGTTGAGAAGATTGAATAGGGAGTGTGGGGGGTCGTGGCTTGAGAGGGGGGGGTTGCGTAAGATAATGTCTATGCGAGCTTCACAAAAAAAAAAAAAAATTGCGGAGCCAGGAACAGACAAAAGTTGGCGGCGGGTCTGGACCAGAATATACTGGAACTGTTTTCTTCGTTTGTTGAATAGTGATTATTTAACCAATATGGTCGAAAAAAGAGGAGGAAAGGAGCAAAGAGGATTGAAGGTGAATTGGGAGAGGCTCCTTATGTATTTATTGTTCGGAAGGGGAATGTTCAGATAGGGTGGAAAGTGTTGTATGACGAGACGAAGAAAAGAAAAGAAAAGAGACGACGGTACGGTCCATGAAGCCTCCAATAATGAACAGCACAGAAAACTTAGGATCGACTGACCTTCAACCGAGCCACAGTTCAGAAGGGGGAGAAGTGTTAGTGGGGATGTGAAGCTTTCGGAGAAGAGGTGTTGCCACTGTGCCGATAAGGACCAGGGGGGCTACAGAGGTAATTTTGAAAGAGGAATTTTTTTTTTTTTTTCTTTTTTCTTTTCTATTTCTGTATTTTAATTTGATTTTGAATTCTGAATATTATTAATATTTTTGTTCTTTTTCAAGAGTGGAGATTGAAATTCTATTTCGTTCAATTATGGAATGGAAATGATTGGTACCAGGGGAAAGCAGAGGAACGGGAGCGACAAGGAGTCTACGGAGAATGACGATTGGAAGGGAAATGATAGCCCCAAACCCATATCGCCTAAGATTGGTGGAGACAGATGGCCTTGTGTATGGGCATTGCCAAGCTTACGGGATTTACGGAATTTACTCGAAAATTACCATAACCGATTCCCAATGTTGCATTTGTTTAAATCTTTTTTTTTTTGCTTTACAAGACATAACGTAATTTATGGGGTATTGTCGGGGTATTCTAACGAATTGCCTGGTCGGTTTCTAGATCGGCATGTTTCAAATAATGAATCGGAGATCTGAACAGCAATTCATTCGCATGATATCAATACATGGGAAAGCGAAAGCGAAAGCGATAAACATCGTAGCCCGTTCTAGAGCCTCGATTACGAGGGTTTTCGAATGATCAGTGATCAGCATATGATCCAGCCGGAGTCGTTCCCTCTATCGATAACGGCGTCCCGAGTCTCTGGGTTCAAGCTTCCCCAACATTTAAACATTTTTGACATGCCCCAAATTTCGATTTGGAGAGAGCGTCATGGCATAATTCTGTACACGTATCCAATTCTTCCGTACTGTGGAATTGTACACCTTTGAAAGCCAGTACCAATCGCTAAAAAAGATAAAAAAAAAGTTAGACAAACAATCAAAATATGATTTCATTAAAACAAAGCCAAAACAGTTGACTGGAACGTGGCTGGTGGCGCCGAAGCGGTAAGGGAACATTATTCGTTGTCCACATAAAATCCACATCCAAATGGTGTAGACTATGGCGCACATGATGGATAGCGACGGTAGGAACCGCAGGCAACGGTATTTGTCACATTCGCTAAAAAAAAAAAAAATTATCCGAAGAAAGGCATTGCAATATGTGTGGCTAACTAATGATTTCCATGGATCGAGGTGTGGCAGTGTGTACAATCTATTCGGTTTAATAGGCGGTTGCCCGGACCGGACTTACTCCGTTCACTTCACTAATGAACACTTACGAGTCATTACGATGAATCGACAATCGATCACTCGATCACTCGATCATCGACCCATCACGATTGATCGGGAGTTTTGTACATGTATGTACTCATGTATATACCCACGGTTAAGATAGGAATGAGGCGTCAGCTGTCACTAATCCTTATCTCCATATATCGCCATCCCTAGAAAATAAAAGGTTCCAAGAAAGGTATTCCGGACCGATTGTATATGGTGTGATTTATCGGGGAGAGATATCTCCACTGTGGCTGTTCGCAAGGGCACGAACTGGCCCAGGGTCTGACAACCCTGTAGCTGATGCCGATATTTTTGGATCAATGCATGTTGACGTTTTCTTCACTGTCGGGAGTAGGAACAGGCAATTGATGATGAAAACCTACAAGGTACCTGCTTCTGTGTGGATATTGGTTCATTCCATGTTGACGTACGCAGTAGAAATGAACTGTAGAAAGTAAATTAAAATCGAAAATTACACACTTTGCGTTGCATACCGCATATACGCATCCATAACAGTACGCCCCCCTGCCTTAACCCGAGATATTGATTGCTGGGCTGTCAACCCGCCAATCAGATCCACAGTCAGAAAACACCACACGTGTTATCAACAATACCAATACCAAAAATTTACATCGAATTCGATGCACGGAACATTCTCAATTCCGGGGAAACCGAGGCGGTTAGTCCCTACGCGCTACCACTTTAGAATTTCCACACGTCTACGAATGCAAGCCCCCGTAGAAATTATGACGACATGGAATAATTTCGATACTTTTGTCGAACATTCTTTACTTCGTAGCCGTTGGAAGTTCAGAGCAACGTTAAACGACACAGGTCACATGGTCTTCCGGCCCTCTGATTCGTCGGATGCGAAGCCGAATCTAAAGCAGAAGGGATTGGAAAAAGAGACCCGCGTTGGGAAAAGGAGTTTTACTGAATTCGGTAGTGATGCTCGGTATTACAATATTTTGAAGCTCCACTGTCAGCACAGACTTTAGTCGACATCTGTGGATTTATACTCCGGGAGTAATGCAGCCCATTAACTGTACGGAGTAGGCTCAGGCCCACAAAAAAAAGCCTTAGGGCGCATCTTCACTTCCTATATTGGCCAATATTACCGTAATTTACAGCCATTATATGTACTCGGGTATTATTCCAGAAGAAGATTGAAAACGCCAAAATTACAGCCCGGAAGCCCTGGAAGCCTCGTACTATGTACAGTAAGTATGTACCCATGCGCTCATTGCCCCTGGCATCAATCCAACCTCCACTATGTATGTTGGCGGCGTTTTCCAGAGGCGCCTTTCGGGGTTTGGCGCTGCAAAAGAAAAAGTCACCTATAGTGCTTTTGTGCAAATCACTACCCCTTCTCGAGCAGATTCTTCATCCGTTACGTGAGCCCAACCTTCTTTGAGGAAGACAGATATGCAGGCTTGCTCCTTGTGGTGACACCGAGAAGCGAGTGTACGTGTGCCTGACGCCGTTCTACGTTCTACATGTGCATTCGTACACACTAATGCCCTTAGTGCTCCCTTTCCATGTCTCTCTCTCCCTCTCTCTCTCGGCTTCCCGTACCCACATAGTACATCTCCACATAGCCTATCCCTAGCTGGTGACAGCACACGCGGAACAAAAGTTGTTACCCTAATTATGTTTTTTCCCCCCGCCAAGTAACACTGTTCTTTGTTTGCTGGTATAATCTCCCCGCGGCTCCGGGGAGAACGAGGGAGAGAGAGAGAGGAAAGACGAGGACGAAAGCCACACCGTCATGGAAGGCTTGTTGGGCGTTTAGATCGACAAGGGAGCAGGCGCCACCAGCGCAAATTGCAATTGGCAAGTGGTGGAATGTCGGTGGTACAGCCAGGAGAAAGGTTCTGTGCCGTCTACGGGGATGGAGGGAGGAAAAAAGAAAAGAAAGTATAGGTAAAAAATGGATCTCGGTAAATCGCTATATCGGGGGGTGCCTGGTAGATTATGTATGTATAGGTTTGCAATAGTCAAGCCTCGGTTTGTCAAAAATGGGACTGAGGTGTGTGTGGGTATATCGGTATGTGGCTAAGTAGCTTTGTACACCGTTATCCCTTGTCGATCGTGGTCTTTGATTCGGCGATCAGATTGAATCAGTTGAGGTCGGGGCTCGTTTTCGCGATCCTCACGGCGGCGATCTTCAGCCACGAGGAGGAGTCGAGTAACAATTCAGGGTGGTGGAGGGTGACCAATCAGGTGAATTGAATGGCGCCATGGTGGATCACATTAGCACTAGAGGTTGTTGGACGCACGGCTATCCTCGCATTTCAATGAACAACGATGTGCAGTCAAATGAAAAACTTATTCTAATCATCCGTCCACAGATTATATGCTGCCAGCTAATTGTGATAAAAAAAGAATACCGTCGATCATTGACGTATCCGCCACGGAGGAAAGTTTAAGCCATTATCATGGTGTAAGTTCTACTCTTATGTATGAAGGTTGAGGTACATGGTAGGAGTATATATCTTCAACAGTTAAGGGTGGCGCTAAAAACAACACACTACATACATACTAAGGGCTTCCATGGTTAGTACTGACATATGTACCGGTACATATGTGAGAGAAAACGGAAAACCACTCGGGCGGTTGCTTTTTCCACACATGTAGTCAATGACAGCGCAACGCAGATACAAAGCCACCACCCAATAACAAGCAATGAGTCACGGACAGAGTACGGAGAGCTCGGGGAGCCTGTGTGACCACGACCGGGGGAAGAGGGGGAAGGTATAGCCAGTCACGCCATGTAGTGGGGTTGCCACAGCTTGGCGTCTGATTGAAACCGCGCCACATCACCCCTCCTCCTGTGCCAGCTGACGCAACGCAGCTACAGTAAAATCCACAGGGATGATCTGAAGCACGGTGTCCCGTGTTTCATTGAAGCGGGGGTAGAGGAATGCACCCAAGAAGTAAGTAAAGTACCAATGCTTTTTGAGCGTCCCTTACGGAGTATTTTTGTGTACTTCCAAGTGTTATAGGGCAGACGGGACGGGCGGAACGGGGTCTAAGCATTGGACCAATAATGGGAGGTCAAAATGAGGGGCGGTAGGAATTCGGAGGAAGGAAGTGTGGCGAATTTCAGTCAGATGCGATCCTGCATATCCGAAGTACGAATGATAATTTACAAAGGATGGTTTAGGGATCCATTTGGTGGAGCTTTACTTATGACTAATGTGTACACTATGGGTTGTGGTGGATCGGCCCAGAGATGATATTCCCAACATATCAGCCCTAGAGGCATCGGGATATGCTCTACGGAGTACTGCCTACAGAACTACATATTTACTACACGTCTTCTCCAGGTGTAGATCGCATGTAATATTGTATGTAGGAATTCATTAATCATGTCATATATGTATGATGAATCATCCATACCGCAGAACTAGAATGATCAGCATAGATTTGCTGAGTTTGTGCCTCCTCTGAGGACATTTTGATTACTTAGTTTATCGAGCTCCGTTGTCGATCTTATAAGCCCCCACATTAATCTATTAATCCATTGGCTCGTATAACTTTCCTTTATCCTCACCGACAAATCATCTTTGACATGCATTTTTGGAGGTCTCCACTAAACTATGGAGGGCATACATAATGGGGCAATGAAGGAGCCAATGGTGGATAATAAACCCGCTCAGTGTGGTGGCTATGTTGATTCGCAATTTTACTATTGTACATCAATTTGAGTCGGGACACATTGTCTCGGATGTTTTGATCGGCACACCGGCACTGGGAGTTTCAACAATTAGGAAGCCTTGTGGAAGTGGAAGCACTGACCGCTGGCGACCGTGCTGTGTGTTATTATCCATCTATAGTCATGCCCAATATGAATGGTCCTTGTACAAAAATGTCCTGGTGCAGCCTCACTGTAGGCGCTAATCCACCCACAACGCGTATTGACCTGCTCAGAATGGGAACAAAAAGCAGCGCCAAAGAAGGTAAAAAAAAAAAACAGAAGAAAGGAAACATGGTACGATGAGTACATAAATGCAGCCGCACGAAAGCTCGACAACGCCGCTCGGAGGGACGAAATGAGAGATATAGACAAAAGGCACACTAGCCCGACAGAACCTCGTGTATATGTACTGGCCGGTCCTTGGCCAGTTTTGCTTTGTAGAAGGTCAATCCTTGAACCCCATGATGCAGGAATAAAAAAAAAAAAGAAAAAGAAAAAGGTGAAATGAATGGTCGCGTGTGAGAGTTCACGCGAAAGTATGCAAGAATCGCTTTCAATGTTGAACGATAAGAGAAAAACCATCAACCCATGACCCGAAGGATCCCGAGATACCGGCAATTTTGTAGCCCAGAGGTGGGATCAAGGTGTGTCTAGTAATACCAAAGTCGGTTAGTCATGATTCGTGATGCACTGGAGAGATCTGAAGTTATGTGAAACCTACCCTGACCCTCCATTGGGATTGCCATAGAAGCTGGATTTCCTCCCGAGGCTGGTGAGAATCTCAATTCCATCAATCCACTGACCGGCTCGGACATAGAATCCAAGAAGAATCTCTCCACGTCGAGTGTCTATAGAGTCACAGTTAAAAAATGGTTCCATTTGGAATTGCTGGTATAAATCTTACCAAGAACGAATTCATCACCGCCGACTTTGCCGCCACGTTTGCCAAATAGCTGGCTGGTCATGTCTTCATAACAAAACTCGATGCCATCTAGAGCGCTGCCATGGTAAACCTTGATGGAAGTCAAAAGTTTGGTGGCAATGAAAGCACACTCAAGGAGCAGTTGCTGAGGCTCGCTGCCATCCATCGAGGAGAAACCGAGGATTCCACTCTTGTAGCCAGTCTGACTCTTGGGAAGCTTAACCAGAGAGCCCTTCGATTTCAATGCAGCGACATCTTCAACGGTATAACTGCCTAGGGCGCCGGAGTACACAACAAGCTTGATCTTCCTTTTCTTCTCCTTTTCGTTGCCAAAGAGCTTCAGGCGAAGTTCATTTTCGGTGATGGAAATTTGCTTCGGAAGGCCGTTAGGGCTGGACTCGCTGTTCAGATATTCGATAGAAGTATGGCAAAACTCATCACCCTCTTTGTACAGCTCCATGAATGCAATGCCGGAAGAAGCAGTAAACAGAATCTTGCCGTTTTCCACAGGCCAGACTTGGACACTATCATCTGAGCTTGGTGTAGCGTCGCTGGGCAGTCGGAAACATGGGTGGAATCTGAAACGCAGAGCGTCCAATCGATGCCAGCTACACTCGTCGTTAGGTAGACACACCTTCAAGCCCTGAGCCTTGGTGCGAGTGCAAAATGGCTCCTTGGTCAAAAAGGAGCGATTGAGCTGCACGTAATCGCGGAGCATGACGCCAGACTCCTGATGGGGGCATCCAAAGAGATGGCCCACCTCATGCAGATGAGCGCCAATGCCGATGTTGGCAGATTCCCAATTTGATCCCGCTTCACCATTATCATTGGCGACATAATTCGTATCTGTCCGGGTGCAGTCGGAAAAGGCATCCACAACTTCTTCTAGACACGATGGATAAGTTTGTAGACTGTGGGATCCAAAGATAGCCATTTTGATATCGTCACCACCAGAACCCAATGCTGCGTGGCCGGTAATGATCTGTTGCTCGGTGTCCCAGTGAGAGTCGAGCAGCAATACCGAGACATATTGCTTCTGACCGGGTTGGGTATTGAAATGCTTTCGCACGGCCTCCTTGGCGATTGTGAAAAGCTCATCTTTCTTCTGGGCATTTTTGTTTTGCTGGGCGATATTCAAATCCCGAAGCTCTGCGACTGTCTTATCGGTACGAACGATGTGGATTTTGGCTTCGTTGCGCATCTGACCAACCGCCGAGTCGCGACGGCTCAAACTACCAGATTGCCATTCCTCCTCAAAACGGAAACAGCGGCGTCCAAGGTTGTTGCGAAACATCTGCTCTCCAGTAAAGGCCTGCCAAAGGTATGCCGCAGTTCGATACTTCCGAATTGCCATACCCAGATCATTGCCCTCTCGCTCCGCGCGCTCTGGCACAGCATCGTAGGTGCCCTCTGAATCCTTCCCAAGCAAGACGACAAGCTGCAATGGCGGGGTGTTGGAGAGAGGAAGGTAGTTGATGCAGATCCATGCGGAGTGAATTGCGGGGTGGGCGCTGCCGGAGGAGAGTTTAGGGGAAATAAAGTCGAAACGGAGGCGATTAGGACCGGGCACCAGGTGAACTAGAGCTTTAAAATGAGATTCTGTGACTGGCCAGCCAGTCGATGGAAAGTTGTCTTGATGATGGAAGACCGTGATGTTCCCGTCCAGCGGGTGATTCCTCGGGTCGCCAATTTGACCATAAACGAGGAGGACTTTCTGGTGAACCTGCGCAGGGACTAGTTAGCTTTGAGGGCTTTTTTTTTTTTTTTTTTTTTTTCTTCTCTTCTTCTTTCTTGCTTGGGGCAAGGTAAGCTGCAGGACACGTACCCAGGAGTTATCGGTGATTGAAACAATCCTTGGCGCATATGGCGAGCTAGAAACACTTCTATATACTCCATTGATAGATGATGATGAGCTCCCCTGGTTATGCAGACATGCAATTAGCATCTTGAAACATCATTTTCTTTTTAAAGCCGAGTCGGTTTAATGGATTTTGGAGCTTACCACCATGCTGTTTCGTTGAGACCGAGACCCCAACTGGCCTGGGCGCGGGGGCGGGGGTAGCTGTAAGGCATTGGTATTAAGTTCTGTCAGGGAAGGTAGATTGGGGGAGGAGAGGGTCGGCTTGATCGACGATGGCGGAGTTATGGAGCTGTGGGAGGATGTGTCGATCGTGGATGAAGATTTGCCGACCATTTCCACCTTTGCGGCTGCGGTTTTTGACTCTGGTTGAAAATTGGCCTTTGAGCGACGACGCAACTGCTTGAAGAAAGCCATGGTGAACAAGATTGAAAGTTGTTCAACAGATCAAGATCAAGATCAAGGAGTTTTCTTCAGGAGGAAGCGAAAAAGAAGAGGGGGTAGTTGCCGCGTCAGGGTCAGGAACAGGAGAGCGCGACCGTTTGCGGCGGGTGACGAGGCCGTGGAAGTTTCGCCCCGCAAAAGAGGGAAATAAAAGGGTCAATTCGGGCCAAGAGTTTTATGAAATATAAAGAATGAATTAAGGGGGAAGAAAAGAAAAACGAAAGACAATCTGTCATCAAAGTTGAAGATCAAGAAGAAAAATAGGAAGGCACTCAGGAAGTCAGGAAGTCAGGAACTCAGGAACTTCTCCCCTCAAGCTAGAGGAAACCGGAGTTGAGCAAAGGGAAAAAAAGAAAAAAGCAAACGCCTCCCAAGCTTAGAGGTCTATACTTAGTAAAAATGTATTCCTAACCAGATTTTGGCATCCAAGGTTCTAAAGGGTCCTTTGGGAATATTACGTACCCCTCTCACCTCCCAAGGCCTCAGCACTCTGTCAAGAGTCGCAATGTTTCACCGGTGGATCTTTAATGATCGCCCTAACGCTCTTAGTTTCGATCTAGCGTCAAGCTAAGGCTTCACATACCAAGTTCATGACCTTTGAGAATTTGCAAGATAACAAGGCTGAGGACGTGTTCGAGATAGAGATGTACATAATATTGGCAATCTCTCGGTGGATCCAGCTCTCTCTCTACCAGCACATACTACCACTGTTTCAATCTTGATCAATACTCTAACCATATCCCAGATGGCAGTCCCTTTTTTCACCCTAAGATAAGCTACTAGTATGCTACATAACTTGCACTTGAGCTGATCTGCAAGTCAAGTTCTGAAACAAAAATAGGTAAGATCTGGGCGTTTTTTTCCCGCCCTCCTTTCCTTTTTTTTTTTTTTTTTATTATTTTCCCTGTTTCTCAGATGTACGCCACGTTATCAATGCACGAGGTGCTGGCGCAATAGGGACAAATTGCCGAGTTTTGGTTCTCCCGGAAATGCCGATTCCAAGCTTCCCAATGATGTTCTATATGAATTAATCTGGTCATATAAATGTTCTATGTAACCTTCGAATGTAAGCTAATTTTCTTAATTTTCTTTATTTTTATTTTTATCTTTACGTCTATTTTTTCGAGGGTCTACAACAGAAAGGGGGTTAAGGCCCCAATGTTTCCTCGATTCCGGGGCAATCTTAGCATACCGCATCGAGCGCATGGCAACGGATTCCAGAGACATCACCTTTTTTTTCATCGATGACATGTTCCAAGACTTTCCAATCAAAGTGTACGGAGTAGTGCTTATGAACAAGTGGATCTGGAATCTTGGATGGCATGCCAGATGATTTTGCTGAGTCCCACTGGGGAATCCAAGTCAATTTGCGGAAGTTTTCAAGGTGGAGCACCAACTCAGCCTCTTAGCCTCTTTAGCTTACTCGATAGATTGATTTTTTCTTTCTTTTTTTCTTTCCATATCTGCTTTCTGTTCGTTATTTCCCTTAATTCAATGTACTCATCAAGATAAGCAGCGTATAAAGTAGAATGTACCCTGTAGGTACAAACCACGTACAAAGGATACATCAACCGTGGAATGGACCGAACACGACTTTTCGCGTAAATTGACGCGGAACGCGTCTTGGGCAAACAAGTAACTCTTCGCTCTTGATTCCTGGATTTTTTTTTATACAGAGTAATTTGCTTGGAATTTTATTCTTCTTGTCCCTCAATACTTTACATTCAATTTCATATTCAATATTCAATTCCTCAGGCATCTACTCATTTTCTTCTTCAACTTCTGTTCGAGGCTAGTGTGTCTTCGGCTCCATTCACGATCGCCCAATTGGCTCCCTTTTCCGCCCTTGCCTTGCCAACCCGCAAACTGGGTCTCGTTCGTCGGCTTCTCTTTTCTTCATATCCATTGCCCAAGATGACCCTACAACAGCCTGCTTCGGCTGAGAAAACCATTCGTAAAATTGACATTTCACAGGTAAGATAACATCCCCCAGAGAAGAAAAAGAATGAAGGAGTGAAAGAAAAGAGTCCTCCAAAGCCAAGTGGGCCCGGTGGTTGGGTCTTGTGCCTGATGCAGGAACACAATAGAACTGCCCACCATCAAGTGGGAAAAAAAAAGACAGAGAGGTGGATAGGTAGATCTGGTGAAATGATTCAAGCTAACAAACCTATTTTGCGAGGATCATAGGTCTCTCTCAGTTTACAAGACCGATTAGGCTTGGCCAAACTGAGGTATCAACAGGGCAAACTTCATGGACCGAATTCAACCCTTCCGGACTCCAAGTTGGGCCGCCTCGATCTTGAAAAGCCCTCCGACTCCTCCTCCGATTTCTCACGCAGTCGCTGCGAAACTCCCTTTACCTCCCCTCCCTTGAGAGCCGCCACATACTCCAAGGAACTCCCTCGTTCCGCCCGAAACAAGCATGCCGTCACCTTCGATTCCCTCGCCATGCAGCCCATGCTGACGGCAAGCCGTAAGCGTGTTCGCTCAGACTCCAACTCAGAACGTCCCGCAAAGGTGCCCCGCACATCATGGAAGAGTTCTCACCGATTACCCGAGTCATCTCCTGGCTTGGGTATCCGTCACACTGCACGACGAACTCGGGCACCCTTCATGTCCGAAGCACCAATTCCGGAAATGTCCTCGCCAAGATATCATGTTCCATCTGATGAAGAGAACGACCCCGACCTACCCATCCATAGTTTCCAACATGTGAGCTCCATGGTGGGTTCCTCGCCTCCTCGTACGCCGCCCCCGAAGCACGCACGTCTGCCACGAACCGGCCGAGCTGGAGAAGGTGGGGATGATGGCGCTGGTCTCTTGCTCTATCTTGCGAATTCACCCACTCCGGCTCGTGTGGCAGTTGGTTCGCAGGCTCAGCCTTTCCCGCCATCGACTCCCCCGAGCCAGTACGCTGCCCTGGGAACCCCGGGTCAACAATTCAACTTTGCCGATTTCGTGAATGTGACACCCAGTCCTGCACAGCCAGTGTGGGGTAGCCGAACCCCTGGCAACCCAGCTCGCACTCCTCTTGCTACCAAGGATGCTCGCAAACGGTTGAACTTTGATGCTCTCGTTCCTCCAACCGGCTCTCCTCGAATGCACAGCAAAGACGGTGGATTAGCTCTTCAACTTGGAGGCGAGTTGCATCCCTAAACACCTTGATTTCTCTATCGCTGTTTGCCAACCTCGATCATTCGTTCTCTTCTCTGTCTATTTCTTTTTTTTTCACTTTTCAGTTACCCCTTGTGACGTCTTGACGATTTTGCTATGTACTGCATTTACTTATTTTTGTCTTTAATCACCCACCCCCCCCTTGAAGCGTGACGAGGCCTTGTCAGATTTACAAGAATATGCCTTCGACTTTAACAACCAAGCTCACCCCCACTGCATCCATGGCGTTTCCTTTTACTGCATGGCCCTTGTTCTGCATTTTCTGTTCCACATGACTGACGTTGACCCCTTTCATACCTTACTTTTTCCCGTTGTCATGGCAATTTTCCCCGTTGCATGTTCTATTTGCACTCAACATGCCCCTTCCTCTTATGATTCTTTGTACCCCGACTTCATTGTCTTGATGATTAGTGTACCTAATACTTTCAAGTTCCTGTGTCCTCTGGACAGGAGGCGCAGGAGGTCTCCTCGACCGCATGAACATAGCGAATAGCCTGTTTATGAACTATATCTTTGTGCCGAAAGGCAAGCCTTACATTCAATATTAAATCTTCCTCTCCAAATAGTATCTTCTAGTCGATCTAAATTTCCAACCAAAAAAAAAAAAAAACAGACTCATGTATAAACTAAATTCAATCCTCCGCCCACCCCAATGCCTCTTCCGGCCCCTCTTTCCCCTCAACCTTAGCCTTCTCCCCCTGTTTCCTCCACAAGAGAGCCAAATAATCCGAACTAGTCGCCTCATCAATCCCCTTATCCTCCCTCACCTTCAGAAACCTCGGAAATCTCAAACTCAGCCCACGCTCATCACTAACCAGCCCAATAGCAGCCGTATACGTAGGGCTAAGCGTTATATCCGCAAACGCCATCTCCCACACCTCCTGCGGCTCAAACCATACATCCGGCGTACCAAAATACTCCACATACGCAGGCCGCGAGATAACATTCGGACTGCCGGCGCTATACTTCTCCTTATTGGCCTGGTAGAACTTGTCCGTGAATCCCGACATGCATTTCGTGACGGCTTCCAGGGCCCCGGATTCCGGATTCCGGACCGCGAGGAGAATTGGGGACCACCATTTTGCTTTGCGGCCTTGACCGTGCCAGCCCGCGATTGGGATTAGGTCCAGTGTTTCTGAGGAGGTGCTGTAGTCTTTTTTGACTTTGAGCCAGGATTCGAGCCGTTTGTCGGGCTCGTAGGTTGATAGGAGGGCTTTGCGGCGGGGGTTGGGTTTTTCTCGAGTATTTGTATTTGTATTTGTTTTGGTACTGGTGTTGGTCTTGCTGGGTGTCGGTTCTACTGAAAGGGGCTCTGATTCGGGGTTGAGGACGGTGGGTGGCTTGGTATTCGGATTTATGGCATTGTCGAGGACTTTAACCATTATTCCCTCGCATTTGACGTCCGTGGCGGTTTTGAAAAATTCAAGTACACTCTCTGAATCTGCGGAGGTGGCATCGAGGCTTTTGACCCAGGTGAAGCGACGGGGGATTTCGACGAAAAGGCTCCGGAGTAGTTCGCGGCGTTCACGGAACGGGCGGTCGAGGAGTGGTTCGCCGTTGAGGTACATGAGGTCGAATGAGAATAGACAAACGTTGACGGTGATGGCTCCGATTTCGACATTCTTCTTTGCTCGGTTGGTGAGTGTTTGGAATGGCTGTAAGTCACCGGTATCGCGGTCCACGGCGACTACCTCGCCCTCTAGGATGAAGCTTGAGACGCCTTCGCCTCGGATTTGGGGGACGAGAGATACTAGGTCGGGGTATTTCTCTGTCATGAGCTCGAGGTGTCGAGAAAAGATAGATACTTTGCCGTTCTCGTCACAATGAACTTGAGCTCGCTGTCCATCGTACTTGTATTCACAGCTGAAGTCTCGTCCTTGTAGCTTTGTCAACATATCTGAGAGATCGCGCGTGATGCTTCCGAGCATCGGTCGGAGTGGAATGTGCAATACCAGGCCACACCGTATAAGCAGTTCGTCGGTCACACCGATCTCGCACAGACATGGAACTAGATCATTGTAATCTGGGTGTCTCGCGTAGGACGCCTTCACGATCTCTTCTGCATTAGTGTATAATTCCGAGAGTTCGTCTTTCTTCAAACGAGTAAGGTCATGCTGTGGGCGAATCTCAAAATCTGCCCCAGCAGGTTTCGAATACAGAAATGCGCGTGCAAGAGCGATGAGCATGGTAGTCTTCACAGCGCCGATTCTGAGGTTCTGGACCAAAGTGCGGACAATATAGCGACTCTCTTCCGCGCCCCGCGTATCCTGCAAGAGCTTCTCAACAATTCGTTGTTTAGTCTCTTGACTTCCAGGCCCTTTACTCGTGGCGATTTTGATGAGCGATTGGTATACACTTTTGATTCGAAGAGGTTTCGGCTTGACCAATGTAAAAGATTGGCGTTTCTTGGCTTCGAACGCAACGTCTCCTGCATCTCCATGTCGATCATAGAGTGTCTTTAGACCTTGATTATCCAGCCCGTAAATTTTCTTCAGAGCCTTGGAGATGGATGAGCCGCCCAAGCCTAACTCCATCTCATCGTACGGTGGCGAGATAGAGTTGGTTGCTAGCCAGACGGCTGGAAGAAGACTATCGGGGTCACCTTCGATGAGGACTCGAAGGAAGTTGACCAAAGTGTCGACAATTTTAATTCGACTTGTGGTGGAATTTGCCAGGACAAACGCCCTTGTTAGCAACGCGTAGGTGGCATCGCCGCCCTGAGAGTCCCAGTGCGGTCGCAACTCGGAGGCATATTTGCTCGCATCGAATGTTTGCGGGCTCTGATCAAATGGGACAATAAGCGACACTGTATCCTCCGTGCCCGAGGATGATTGCAATGATAGCGTGTTCTTTTTGGACGTCGTTGGAGCTGGTGTTATCGTTGTTGTATCTGTACTAGGTATTAATGCGAAAGGTGGAGCTGCACATGACTCTGTATCTGGTGTCGAAGGTCGAAGATCATTTGAAGTAGATGATTGGCCGTTACTTTCTTCTTGGTCCCATTCTGCCTGGAGCTTGCGTGCTAATGCTTCGTCTGAGAGAGTTTGCTCTGTGACGTCGGGATCCAATGGCTTCGGAGGCTGTTTAGCCTGCCCTTTGAAGAATGACTCAATACCACGCGCTTTTTGAGGTGACGATTCAGTACCATTGCGTTTGCGTTTTTTAGCCGGACTGGACATTATTATTTCAATGCATAGGTGCGAGTGCAAAAAGTTGGATATTTTAGTTGCCACTGCAGTATAAGTAGTAGTTGTGGATGGGGTAGACGTCAGTCCGAAAGGCGGAGATCAGCATCGCGAACACCGTTGCGTTGCGCTTCGTTTCTTCCTTCCGCAACAATGGCGCCACCCACGTCTCTGTCTTCGCACGAGCGGACACGAGTCGAGGATTATCTAAATGATAAAATTCAGATTTCTGCTGACCTCGAGAGTCTTAACTCGCTGCTGTCAAGTCTTCGCGCGCAACAGGAGCTCCAGCGGAAGCAGGTACTTTCCCCTCGTGTCCCACAATTGTGGCTTCCACGCACAACACTCGCATTCGTTGGACTGACTTTGAGCCAAATTAGCTAACAGATGCAAACGAAGCTCTCTCAAATGCGACCAAGGCATCCGACGACCATGCCGAAGCTACTCGAAAGCGTGCCGAGGCATTCACTGCGGAGCAGGCCGACATTGACCAGCGGCTGAAGGCCATTACACAATCGGAGACGAGCGATGAGGCAGTACGGAAGTTGGAAAAAAGTATGGAGAGGCTACAGCGCCTGGAGATCTCTAAGGGATACGTGGGACTGCTGAAAGAGGCTGAAGGGCTAAGGTACACATTCACTAACAAATGGCAACTGAACCAAGCTAATTGCAAGTACTACAATTCAGCAAGGAAGCTTTGTCCAGTATTTCCTCCAACCCGCGCGCTGCCTTGAAACCATATTCTCAACTACGCAATATCGTGGTATCGTTGAAAGAAGCACAGCCTGCTGCCGAAGGCGCCGCACCCCACCTGATCGACTATACCGAGAAACTAGCGTCCGCGCTGAGAGACCAGTTGAAGAAATTCTTCGGCGATCAGCTTCAGAAAACGCTCACGTCCTTGAAATGGCCAACACGAGAGCTTAATATTACGGACAAGTTGTTAGATCAATGGAGACAGGATGTTGAGCTCTTGATTGATTTGCAGACACCGTTTGTCTCCCTTCGCCATTACAACAAGTATAATATTTTTTTTGACAAAGATTTCAGGGAACTTCCACATCGCGATTCATTGAACGCCAGCCAAACCTTGGAGCCCCCGGGCCTGTTTCCTTTGCAGGTGATGGTGAACCCCTTGGATCTCCGCTTCAAGTATCACTTCAGTGGCGACAAGCCGACAAATAGACTCGACAAGGTACAAAGCCCTTACTGAAATAAACCTGTACGTTTGCTAATTCAGAATTTCCAGCCGGAATTTTTCCTCTCACATGTCTTGGACCTCATCAACCAGTTTGGTGGTTTTTTTACTTCATACTTCCAGCCAATTCTTGATGAAAAGGCCCAGTCGGCAGGCCCCAGCTTGGAATGGAACTTTTATAATGCTCTGCATGCTTTCATCAATGCTTTTATGCCCATGCTACGAGAGAAAATCGACTCCTTTCTTCCACAGGTTTCTGACTATCCCCAATTGCTCAGCCATTTCATCCACGAATTAATGAATTTTGATAACGAGCTTCGGGAAACTTGGAACTACTTACCAGACCCATATTCTGATGGAAACTGGAAGGGTATGACTGGGGAGGTTCTGGCTAAACAAGGATGGTATGATCGCTGGCTTCAGGTTGAGAAGGATTTCGCTCTGGCTAGATACAAGGATATCATCGACACTGCCGACAGTGGCCAGATTGACTACGATGGCGTCGAGCCAACCGCGACTAAACCAACAAAGGCCGCAATTCGAGTCAATGATCTTCTTGAAACCATTACAGAACGTTACCAGCCATTATCTTCCTTCAGCCAGAAGCTTCGATTTCTTATCGACATTCAAATCACAATTTTCGATCAATTCCACGAGCGGCTCCATTCTGCCCTGGAGGCATATCTTGCTATGACCTCTACGTTAGGTCGGACTGTGCGAGGAGCAGACGGACAGGCTAGTGTAGAAGACGTTGCAGGCCTAGAGCGACTGTGCAGAGTTTTCGGAAGTGCTGAATATCTCGAAAAGAAGATGGAAGACTGGAGTAACGATGTCTTCTTCGTTGAACTCTGGTCAGAGCTTCAAGAACGAGTACGCCAGGGTGGGAAGAATGTGGCCGGAACCATGACTGTTGCTGAAGTAGCTGCGCGCACTTCTCCAGCAGTCAACAATAACGGAGTATCGAACTCAGAAATCTCTTCTGATGGTGCATTGTTTGATGAAACTGCCTCTGCCTACCGTCGACTTCGACAACGGTCAGAATCTATAATTACTTCCACCCTCATCTCGAACATCACTGCAGCCTTGAAACCATACTCCCGTGTATCTACCTGGGCCACACTTTCCGTTCCCTCTGCTGGTTCCGCGGCCTCACCTCTATCCCTATCCTCTGACCTGGCACACGCAATGCGCACACTGTCTTCTCAACTGGCCTTCCTGTCCAAAGCACTGGGGATGGCGCCTCTACGAAGAGTGTCTCGCCAACTTCTACTCTCTATACAGACTTACATCTGGGATCACGTCCTGACTAGAAATACTTTCTCCGCGGCCGGTGCAAACCAGCTAGTGAGTGATTTCGAGCAAATATGCAGCGTGGTTGACAACACCCTCGGCGTGGCTGGTCATCCAGGTGGTTCCTTGTTGATCATGAATAAGCTCAACGAGGGCCTGCGTCTTCTGAATCTGAGTCCGTCAGCCAACGAACCTGGCGACGGAGCTTCCAATGAGTCCAGTGCTACTTTAAGCTTATGGGACGTGGAAAAAAGACTTTTCAAGGATAATGAAAGTGCTCGTGCTGTTCTGGTAGAGCTCGAGATTGATGCATTGACTGAGGCAGAGGCGCGATCTGTACTGGGGCACAGAGCGGAGGTTGGCAGCTAGGCAATTCCTTAGAATAATATCCATCCAGCACGACAAGTGCTATGCTTGACCCCTGTTGCTCAAGTAGCTGGTAGTATATTGTACTAGTACGTATCATAGCGCATAAATTGATCAATCTCAAACGAGTTTCCACTAGAATTTTGGACTGCATGCATAGTACAAACTTTGTCTTCAGGGTCAACAGGAGGCCTTATTTTCGTCCACTTAGAGAGCCCCACGACTCCTTTTTTTTTTTTAGCCGAGTTATCAAATTCATCAAAGCGGTTCATCACAGTGTTGAACAGATCAAATTTCTAAAAAAGAAAATTGCCGAAGGTTGGGATCGAACCAGAGTCGAGTTGGTTTCCCTATGTACTTCTGAGGTACTTTCTGAATAGCGTCATATGCATCGGTCGAGAAATCGATACTCCGCAGTTCTCTCCATTTACCATGCCAAATACTCAGATAGAGCTCAAATAAAGCCGATATTCAAGTTCAGCATGGTCGATTTTATAAAAATGGCAAACATCTAGCCCAGAGGGGCCTCTCTACCCGTAGCGCCTGTGGCACTAGGAGGGAGGTCTAGCTTCTGAGCGATGTTTCCCGGTGTAACCAGCACCCGTCTCTCAAGTCCCAACGGCTAACTCTGAGAAGACCACCTGGGTGATATGGGAAAGCTTTGCCACTCGACCATACAGGTGCCGGTTGTTGAAAGAACAACTGAATTCTTCCTCCTGACCCTTGCTTTTTAATGATTATTACGCGTTTCTTAATCATCTTACTCTATGTTCTTAACCCGCGGACTATAGTCCTTTGCGATTAAGTTTCAAGGTTGACATTAGCTAATTCCGCAACCCTATCAGCAATATAGTGGCCCCTATCGCGTATCTTTATTAAACGCCACTTTCTGCAAGATCAGAATTATTAAGGGCATCGGGATATTTCTAAGAATGAATAGCTGGGATTAGCGCACTGTTTATCAGACCAATGAGCAAGTCCTTCCCCTTTTGACAGCAAGTATCCTTTGCTATCCGGTTAGAATAAATGGCCCCAGCGCTGAAGAAAAGCAAAGAAAATCTAAATAGATGAACTGGAATGGCTCGATTAGAGCGATGTGCTGGAAACATTTGATAGGCTCAATGGTATGAAGGTTATCAGCCATAAGAACCTTTTTAGTCTACAGGCTTCAAATGTTACAATCAGTAAATGTTATGGATGAGCTAAGACGCGGTACTACACATGTGCATACAACCTTGACTTTCGAAGAAGCAAAGTTCAATGTATTTGGAATGGATGCTAGTCACACTGAGATTCTGTGATCTGTACTAGTAAATTTCAAGGTTCTTCATCCCTGTAACCCCGTGAAGCCACAAGCCCGCGGTCATCCTTGCACCAAGCTAAAGTGACTAGGAGTATACTGGGAAGCAAAACAAAGAGTAAGCTTCACAACAAAAGGCTTAGGGTACGTCATCTTACTTTCTTGTTCCACTCCATTCCATACACAAAGTATGGAATGGCTTTTTCTGGGGGATATGAGAACTGGCCAGGCCAGTGCTCCAGTGCTCCAGTGCCCCATATCGCGGACCGCGGACCATGTAGACTAGACGGGTGCACAGCCCTAATTTTGTGACAGTGAAATCAATTGATCGGCCCATCGCATGAACAGATGAACAGACCACCAAGACCTGATAGAAGAAAAGAAAAAGAATAGCGTGTCAATTATCGATTGCCCTCCTTACAAGAAAAAAATAAAAACAAAAATAAAAAAAAAACCAGGTCGCAGCAGGCGTTTCAACTTGCAGCGGAGATCAACCGCTTATCTCGGCGGACGTGGAAAATCCCAAGATAAGCCTGTGGCCCGAGATTGGCTCAACCACGACAATGCATATTATGAGTTATGCCACTTGCCAAACTACTTTCATCCACGCGATCAATCACTTCTCTTCAACTTCTTTCCAATATGGGGGCCTTCGCCGTTCCCCGTTATAATCCAATATCTCCGACCCACCGGAATCTTGCCGGCCACATGCGCGAACCATTCCCCGGTCTATTGACTGGTCCTGGAGCCTCCTTGCGGAGATCGAGATAAGCATCTCCTCCGCCAGTCAGCGTTCAAGAATCTCACTTGCTCAGATGTTAACCGTTATGACAAGGGGCGATGCCACTTCAGCTTACCCGATGTATTGGTTCAAACTCTATAATCTGGCATGTCCATGGCCATGCGCCATTTTTATATCTCCTTAAGCTCTTTCTCTCCCAATGTCAGCGTTGATTGTACCTTGAATTGTTGATTCTGTCCTGTGTGTAAAACCATGCTACCACCATGGCTCAACAACTACATGAATTCACCTCGCTTTGGTGGCCCGAAGAGCGAATCAAGTCGACCCTAGACACAAAGTATATTGTCAATCAACTACAGCCTACCAATGTGCCGAGACTCTTCGATCTCCCCAAATGGGGAGAGGGTTTGACTAGTGAAACTTACATGGAATACATCCTCCTCAAGGCCGGGCGTCTTTTCTTAATTCTGAATGAAATCGGAATTCCCGACCGCATCTTCGCCTTGGTGGACGAGTCCTGCGATGACGACGATTTGCCTATCGCCGAACAGAATGTCGATCGCCTATGCCTATCGCCCGATGCGAACGATCCCTCCCTCGATACAAAGTTCTTCCACACTCAATGGCGCTTCTCGGTCCGCGGAATTGGAGAGGGCGAGCATGTCTCATATACCGGCAATGAAGGTGTTCCGGTCCAAGTGCTGCGCACCAATGGCATCCACAATGAGCTACAGGGTCGCGATGACTCGGTCGACAAAGTCGTCCTGGCCGGGTCGGTATGCCGAGTGCTCATGCGAACACAGGTGCAAGTCGGTGGTGCACCACACTTCTTCTCTGCCGACGAAGTCCTAGCGGAAATCAAGGCTCTGCGCAAACTCGCCCATGAACATGTCATGTCCATCTACGCCTCCTACTTTGTCGATGACAGCGTCAGCGTGCTATTTACCGGTGCCGAAACAGATCGCACGTTACATAGCTTCCTCACCGATGAACCACCGGCCTTCAAGCGACTACCGAAGGAACAGCGTCGCCAGACTCTAATCGTCTGGCCACACTGCCTGATGTCCGGACTATCCTGGCTGCATGCTCACGGCCACTTCCACGGTGCGATAAGACCATCCAATATCCTCATCGATGCCAACTTTCAAATCTGCTTGGGCCAATTCCATGTCCTAGACTCGCTCCTCGCTCCACCACGAGTCAACGATCTCGAGAGCTACCACTACGCCGCACCGGAGCGCTGGGTACGCACCGCAGCACCAGTCGCACCAGTCGCACCAGTTCAAGCAGCACCAAACCGTACCCTTCTCCTCCCCTCGGGAGGCCGCACAGGCCGAAGAAAGAAGCCAGCCAAACTAGCCCTATCAACCCTAGACGAAGGCAGCCCACTCTCCTCACCAGACCTCCCACGCCCCGACTCCGCCGCCTCAAAAGGCACCGTGATCCGCATCGGACTCCCCGGCTCTCCATCCCGCTTCTCCTTCGCCTTCTCATCCTCTTCATCCTCATCCTGCTCTTCCTCCGCCGCCTCATCCCGAAACAGCGAGATAGCAAGCCCCAAGCTCCCAACCCGCAACCGCATCTGGAACAAAAGACCCAGATCCCTAATGCCAACTCCCTCAATCACATCCTCAACCTCAACATCCAGCTCCTACACCTCCTCCTCATCCGGCGCATCCTCCATCCTCTCCGGCAACACAACCACAACCAGCAGTAACCCCCCACCCACACCCGCACCCTCAATAGTCTCCAACCCCTCCCTCCTCACAAACTGGCAATCAGTTCAAACAAACCCCGCCGCCTCAGACCTCTTTTCCCTAGCAGCAATAATCCTCGACATAATGACCCACCTCTGCAAACGCTCTCAATCCTCCTTCGCCTCGCACCGCGCCGCCCGAAATCGCAGCGCCGGCCGCGGCGGCGGAATGGCCGATGCATCCTTCCACCTGGCCCGCAACGCAGTCCAGGTGCAATCCTGGATCGCACTTCTAGAAGGCGACGCGCTGAAACGCTGCCGCCGGGATCGGGGCAGCGATCGTGTATTCTGGGCTGTGCCGCGGATGCTGATCGTGCTGCGGGCTATGCTTGCGCCGGAGCCGGAGAAAAGGCCTACATCTCGGCGTGTGCAGAAGTGCTTTGCGGCTGCTATACGGGAGATTCCGGAGACTAAGGGGCCTGTTGGCTCTGGGCTTGGTGCTGCGGGTGGAGGTGTTCCGCTGCATTGTGTTCCGGCTGAGAAGGTGGATAAGAAGAAGCAGCGGAAGGAAGAGAAGGAGGCACTGGAAGAGCAGGAGAATAGGGCTAGGGAGGTGTTGAGGGTGGAGGGTGAGAGGAGGCTTAAGGAGAAGAAGTCGAAGATGTCTATTATGAGTTCTGTGTCTGCTTTGGATGGGTCTTCTGTTTCGGATTTCGATTTCGGGTTTGGGGATGAGGGGAGTGATAGTGAGGTGCAGGAGGATGAAGAGAGTGAGCCGTCGTTGTTGGAGGTGGATGAGGACGACGGAGATCTTGCGTTGATGGAAGTGGATCGTGTTTCTCCGCAGTTGTCGCTGCCGACTTTGGATCTTCAATTAACGGGTATGGAAGGGTTGACTATTCACGAATAATGAATGGCCCGGCGATGGATTTATACATAGACGTGGTGTGTCGTGTACGAGTATTATGGGGAATGTTCTACTAAATAATCAGGATTTGTACTTATTACTTACCTTATCACAGGGTTTCTTTTGTTCACATATATTCGATGTCAAATATTTCTTCAAAGATTTGAATACTTTTAATATTTCAAGATTCATCAGCTTTTAACATTCCATCTGAGTATTCAAATCGGGGATAATGATATCCCAACCCTAGTAGAAACAAGTGTGCTTGTAATAGATAGCGACTGAAACCAGTCGTTTAAATTCTATAACTAATAATCTCGTGTATCGTGTGTGTACAAGTGAAATGCTGAATGCTGAAAATTCAATAATGTAATGAAAAAGGCTCGTATGCGCACGGCGAGCTGACCAATATGTAAAACAATCGAATGGAAGCAGGTCTAATCCCGAAAATCCCAATGCATATGAAAACACAATATAATCTCCTCCAGTATAGTGGAACAGAATTACTTAAAGCCAGAAGGCGAACACTCCCAAAACGCCAGAAAGGAGCAGGGAAGCAGTGAACAAGCGCTCGGTAGCAGGGTTACCGGCAAGCATGACATTGCTAGCAGCACCGCTCTTCTTGGTGGAAGTAGCGGTGGAGCTAGAGCCAGTGCTGGTACCAGTGCTAGTGGAGTCAGTAGTGGCATCCTTGTTGTAGACCTGTCCCAGGGTAGGGAGAGCAGAGCTGGGGTCAACGGCCCAACCACCAGAGGTAGAAGCGGGGCACTCAAGGCTGGTGATGGTAGAGGTGTCCAGCTTGTAAGCGGACAAAGAGGTACCAGTCGGGTTCAAGGTAGCCCATTGAGACTTCAGGTTAGAGAAATCAGGCGAGACGGGAGTCGGGGTACCAGCGCGGGTGTAGCCATCCTCAACGAGGGTGTTGGTAGCCGCAGCAGTCGAGACGGAAGCACCGTAGCTGATCAGACCGTAATCGTTGGTCTCCTCGATCCACTCGTAAATAATAGCACCGGACCAGGTACCGTCCATGTCCGAGCCGAGAATAGCAGCCTGGTCATCAAAGGTACGGGGAGCCGGGGTGTTGCAACCAGTCTCGGAGAAGAAGATGGGGATGGGGTAGCCGGTGGCGTTCTTTTGGAGCTCATCGTAACCAGACTCGGTGTAGCTGGACTCGCCGCACCACTCGTAGGCGTTCAAGGAGTAGAAGTCCAAGCGCTCAGAGGAGTTGGAGCTGCAAGCCACGTAGTCCTGCAGCATGGGGCGAAGGGCAGCAATGTCGGCAGCGGAGTATCCAACCGGGATCTCACGGTAACCCTTCTTATCACGGTAGGCCTTGATGTCACGGGCAGCGGCCAAGACATAGGGGGCGGCAATGGAACCGGCAGCGGTGGTCAACACCTCGTTTCCGACGAAGACACCGGCAGTGTTGTCATATTGCTGGAACTCATCCAGAACGGCAGTGAAAGCCTCATATTGAGTCTCGTTCCAGGCAGGGGCGGTCTATAATTTCTCACAAATTTCAGGTTAGTCTTTGAGGCGTTATACGGCACTGGAGCCCAAAGGCGTCCGATGGTGATCAACTGACCTGATCAATGGCGGTGGTGAAGGTATCAAGATCCACGAAGATGTAGATTCCGGCGTCCGCAAAGGCGGTCATGCAGCCGGCGTGGTCTCCGTCAGCATCCACGTGGTACACACGGATAGCGTTGGCGCCCAACTCGGACATGCGGACAATATCGCGTTTGCATTGGGCCTCATCGGTGAGCGGATCATCGGGAGTGAGCTGATAGGCGATACCTGAAGAAATGTATATATTAGTCTTGCAATTTTTTTTTTTCAAGAGGATCGGCGGGCCAAAGCCGAGGTCCGAACATTGAACGAGAAACATACCCTTGATGTAGTACTGAGTACCATTGGAGTAGAAGAACTTGGAACCAGTGGCAGAGATGGTGGGGATGGCGTTCACGGTCACAGCCTGCAAGCCGGCCAGCAGCAATGGGGCGAGCGCGAGCGAGGGGAACATGGTGGTAAGATAGGCTAGTTTATCGCTGAAAACCGTAAGACTGTCTAGTAACACCAATCACAATTGACGCCGAAAGCCAAGGGATCCGAATGCTCTAAATTAGTTAGGAAATATTACACAAAGAAACACAAAAGGGCCCTGTGGACAACGAGAGAGTCACTGTCAGGGATACACAGAGAAAGAGCGACCGATAGAAAAAGATATCTAAAGAAAGGAAGGGGAAAAGAGAAAGAATCCAACATCCAAAAGCCGCGCAAGCAGGGAACCTCTAGAAAATTCCTGGCCTTGAAATGCTTGGCGCTAACCAAGATTGAGATTGCAAGTGGCAGCTAGCGTGACAACGCTCTTCAATCCGCCCCAATCTCGAACATGGCATTTTAGGGGGGGGGATATTTTAGGGTGGAATGCCTACGTAGGTGGGATATTGGAGTCAATTGACCAGTTCAGGGCTAATTTAATGAACTAGAGGGAAATATTGAAGGAATGATAGAACTAGAACTAGTATATCACAACTGATAGACTCAAGTCAATAAATATCTAGAAATAGACTCAGATAAAATTTCCAACACAAATTATTTTCCAATTGTTTCTCCACGCGGAGTCAACCGTTGGGTCCAGTTCCAGCCCTAACCCCATTCCATGTCAACGCACATCAATTACCATGTATATGCTCTAGATTCAGATCCCCGTACAGAATACACCTGAACAAAGCTTGTATGTCGCCATCTTGGTCATAATGGCAGGGAAAGTGAAACCCCCATATAAAACGACGATCGTTGACCTCTTGGACCTCCGACCTCGACGGAGTCTACCGAGTTCCACTTTAACCCTCTTCAGGGCAAGTCCAAGTTTTCCACGGTGACAGTGACAGGCATTAATGTCACCTGAGGTTTACAGATAACTCGATAAACAAAAAAAAAATTGACCTATCACAGGAGATCCATGATCGGAATGCACGCCACATGGTACATGAGATTGACCACGCAGCTGGGTACATATATCTGGGGTTCAGATAAAAAGAGAAAGAAAAAAAGGGTCAAAGTAAGAAAAGAACCAGAGAAAAAGGCTATCTACATACTAATAATATGATTGGGGATAGGACTCAGGAGACCCCTTTTTCTTCCCAGTTGTTTACCAACTTCCCCACTTTCTATGGTCGGGAACGATCTACTCCTTCTCTTCCCACCTTTTTCTTGCACCGATAGCGGTCAACTGGCCCGATATCACAACTTTGTGGTCTAGAGTTATTGGGCACGGCCAAATTTGGGCCGCTCTGCCGATCGGAGTTGCAATTGTATCGGGTTAGAATACGAGGCGAAAAGATTTTTTTTAAAAAAGAGTTGAGACTTGTCCGTTAGGCCCAAAGTGGCGCTTGATGTCTTAGAGAGGGCGTCTCCGTATGGATCGTATGGATTGTGCTGATGGGCTTGGGGTTATCAGGGTAAGTCGTGACGAGTAGTGAGACTTGGGAAACGAGGATTATCTATACTTAACCATTGCTTGTGCGCCACGGGTGAGAGACGAAAAGTCCAGGACAGTCCAGACTCAGTGGTCAATCCACTCAATCCGACCGAATCCACCAATAGTAAACGCCACGCGCGACTGTGTTCGTCAGCCGGTGGGGTTTGATCCATTACGATCGACTTTGCCAACCCTGGATGTTATGGCAAAGAGAAGGGGATCCATAGCACCATAGCCCGTCCCTACACGATCTGCGTTACTCCCCATGACGTTTCCGGTCAAAGGGGGGGCGTTATCCCCTATAATAGAGTCCGCATCCGGCGCTTTTCATCACTTGCCCTGACATTTGCCCTGGATATTTCGCCCTGGATATTTTCCTTTCCAACATATACAAGAAATAAAGCAGAAAAAAAAAAACTGATGATTGAATTCATGGCGATATGGTTCTATAATCTAACCAACTATTCAAATTACTATTAGTCGACAGTTATCGGTGTTCAACCGCTTTTTTTTTTTGTTGATCTATCCCATTGGACGCACTCCCCACTATGTCTTCCGAGACCCCTTGCCCATTCCGCATCTCGCTGCGCGACCAAATCGACTTGGAGCGTAATGAGGCTTTCCAAGCCATGCGGGAACAACTGCGCCGCCAGGATTGCGGCATGGAAGGCCCGACCTTCTGCTCCACCCACCGACATGAATGCGACTCAACCGACCAAGAAGCCTTCCGCCTCCATCGCGATATCATCCACACCCTCCTCGTGCCTCTCTTCCTAATCAACCACCAAGCCGAACAGATCGCCACCCAGGCCCTCCCCAGCACAAAAGGGGCCGAACCCGAACGCGCCTTCCGCGGCGAAGCGCGTAGCGCCTTTGCCTGGCTCCACTGTATCCTGATCGAAGAGCACGACTGGTATCTGACAGCGCGTTGCCCAACCTGCATCGTGCTTCACGTCCTTCACTCCGAACCTACAATTCGATTCCTGACCGTGGCCGCTCAGCTCGCGGGGTCGCGCTCCGGCTTTAGGTGCTGGCTTTCTGCGCTCGAGACCGCCGTGCGCGAGGACCCGTTCTGGGGCGATGCATTCTGGCCTGATATCGAGGACCGTGCTTCCCGTTTGACCGACGGTGTGCAGCAACTGGTGCGTCAATGTCATGAGTTGCGCGCCAATCTGGAAAGCCCCACCTTTGAGAGACCCTCGTTGGCGAAGACGTCTCCAGTGTATGAGCGACCGGCCTGCACCATTGCTATCAAGACTTCGAGCTTTGCCCGGAAACAGGTCAAGCTGAGCCGCGAGGAGCAGCGTTACCGATCTTCTCTGATCTGGAACTCGTGGAATTGCTCTAGGGAAATGCGTCAGCCGCTGGGTGGTAATGGCTCGACCCAATCCCGACAACGGTCCATGACCTCTTGAAGGATGATGTGCGAAGAGATGATTTCGAAAATTGGAATTATCTAGCTTTGTCACATTTTCAAGGAAAACAAGTCACACTTGTGTGAGAGACAACACCTTTGGAACGCCTGGTGAATCAGGCTTACTTTTGGCTTCCTAAGGCCCCCCATCCCCCCCTCCGGGATACCCTTTTAGGAAAGCCAGGGAAAATACCAGGATAGAGGAAAACCGGCTTCAGAGCCAACCTCAGCCAACACATGGCTACAACCCCGCATCCCTTCCCGGGTTTCCCCCTTCACGCGACCGAGCCAATCTTGACTAAAAAAGCAAGGCTCCCAAAGTTGCACGGCCGCCAATATTCCCATTTTCTCAGCTTTGAAATCTAGCTGCGTTCTGTGATGTAGGAATGCGGACCGGGAAACTGGAGACTATTATTGAGACGGCACATTCGTCCTGCAGGTCACACAATGCAGAACCCTTTGTCATACCCCATTCGGTTCGCTGCAGGGAAATAAGACTTGATTTCTATGATGGCTCTTTTTAAATGTTGATCATATTTTTCTTTCATCTCATATTTTTTTAATTTAATTTATTTTCCATCAGTTGATTATGGTCTCTTAAATTCCAATTGATTAGTGCCCGGTATCCTTTTCCGTATCCCGTAGACACCTGGAGCCCTGGAGCCAAGTGGAATATTATACTGGTTACTTCTTGGAATATATGAATCTCCACTGCGTAAGAGATGACACGTTTGAAGTCGTCAGTGGCAAGATCCTACTCTACCTGCGACCGAGTGGAGACTGGGGAAATCATCCTGGACTGCGAACCAGATCGGAGACTTGGACGGTGGAAATTAAATCAACGGTCCAACGTTGATTCCGATGCACTTTCAACCACTCGGATGGCTTCAATGGGCCAGGGTCCTCTATAAGAAGAAATATATGATTCTGATGGAGTAATGACTTTTTGGGATGGGGCAAAAATGTTTAATTTAATCTTCCTCATGGCGCACTGCAACTAAGGAAAAAAGAAAAATTATTGCAAACCGTGAGTCCAGACTCATCTGCAGACCTCCAGACCTTCCAGACTCCAAAGTGTAAAAGAAGAAAAAAAAAAGGAGAAGCCTTACCAATGCCCTGGGATTATAAGATATATTGACTTTCACTTGGTTTTTTGGGGCCCAAACCCCCTCTCAGTGGCAATCCTGAGCCCGATGCTGTCCGGAAACAGGAATCTGAGCTCAAAGTATAGGGTACATGGGAAACGTAAGGGCTGGACACGTAAAAAGGAAGTACCCGGTACTTGCCTATTGCGGCGGCTCAGCTCGATCTCTTCATGATCCCTTCAACCGAGAGTGGAATCAATTACTGACAATTACCAGTATGGGCATTTTAATCTATAGTAGATTATGCTTCGATTATATTATTTGAACCAAAGAAATGATTTTTTTTTCTCGTTTAATCTGACACCGGTTTTTTTTTCTCTGATTTTGAATACTACATTAAAATGAAAATTCAATCAACTCGATGCAGAATCGAGAATGATCGCCCCAGCCCGCGTGGGGCGTCATAGCCAGTCACACTTCAGAGCTTTGGCCGACCTGTCTAGACTTTTGCACGAACACATTTTTAGCACTTGTTATTCCCCCCTCTTCTCTATGCCAAAACATAAAGGGACTGCTTTAGTTTTGGTGAGATTGGTGTATACCATAGAAATCATAGTTTAAAATTAAAAGGAGAATTTAATAAGAGATTCCAGAAAAACACTAAACCCCCAAATTCCCTTGTAATTCAATAGAAGAAAAACCCCATAAAAAAAAGCAGGACCCGATGACTCGACGACTCTGGTGTGGTCTAGACCTTCAAAGTCTGGGCCAACTCTTCTTTGCCTCCCGTACTGGGTACTTCCGCTGCTCGTGTGTCCGCCATATTGGGTCTGAGTACCCGGTACTCAGGTTTTTACATTATCCACATCATTTCTAGAAAACTCCCCTTACTCCATCATCTGCTTTCCCTCTTTCCCTTATTATTCTATTCTCGCCCTTTCCAACTTGCCCGCACCTCTTCCACCTAATTTCTCAACCCTTCCTACCCGAGTCCATGCTGTCCGTCGCCCTCCGCCCTCCCGACCGGACCGCTTGGATGAATGAAGTGTGCAATGGACCTGGGTGGCCTTTAACTCCCAACGATTTGACCATGCACTCCACGACCATCAGGAACGAACAACGACCTCGCTCCCAACACTCCGATGCCGTTTCTCCCGGCCCATCCTCAGTCAAGCTTCGTCGACGAGCCTCGCAAGGTTCCCTCCGCACCAAACCATCTCCGGTTTCCCGCTTTCTTTCCAAGGGCAGCGTGGCCGTTAATTTCCCTTCGTGGGAACAACGCAACTCAGGTTCACCGCTTCGCATTGAATCTCGAACAAGGTCGAGCGATTCTCGGTTGCGACTGTCGACCACAGTGTCTCGCGGGCCGAGACCACTAACGGCTTCCTCCACACAATCCTCGCCTTGGAACTCACCAAAATCGTATCAGAGTGACTACCCCACTACATTACCTCCCACACCACCAGAGGACGACAGTAACATTGCCTGGGATCCGAAGTCGGATATGCTGTTGTTTGATGCTCATTCTCACCACCGCCCGCCCATGATGGATGAAGTTCCAGGCATGAACGGAATGAACACATCACCTACCACTGGTCCCTCAGATACACTAAGCAGTCCATCTGACGGGTTATCCCATGGCTCGTCTAGCTCAAATGGTAGCCCTGGCCCCTCGGATGAGATGGACTGCCAACAGGATGTTGGCTCTTGGCTAGATCACGGAATTAATGTCACTGGTAAGGTGCCTTCGGGGTAAAAAAAAAAAGAACTATTTTATGGTCAGTTGCTGATTTGTCTTAGTGTCGTCATTGGCCATGTCAAACCCACGAGCGGACGCCGTCAAAATCGTCTCGCAAACCCTCCCATACCCACGCACTTCCGACCAGTCCATTTCCACACCCAGGACTGACAGCATCTTCTCCTCCATTGTTCAGGCTGTACACAACCACCTCCAGCCTGGCCAGTCACCATATATCAACGTCACCCATGCCGTTCCCGAACAATTCAGTCTATCCAACCTTCCTCATTCTCCCCCAAGCACTCCTCGCTCTCCAACTGCTGCTGAAGACTACTTCAACGCCACCGTCTTCTCCAGCGCCGCAGTAGTAGGTGCCTACCACGACTTCCGTGGACCTCTCCAACGGCACCTCGCCCACGCTCCCATGCCCGTTGTTCCTCCCCACAGCGTTCACATTTCCGTCCTGGAGCGGTATCTCCCACCACCGTCCGCCCAAGAATATCGTGATGTCTTTTGTCACACCCGCCCCTCCTTCCTTGTCGATCGTCTCAGTGAGCTATCTCCGAACGGCGGCTCCCTTCTCTTCGTATACCCGACCAAGAAAGGTGCATCCACCTTCAAGTCACAATATCTTGGTCCCATCCTCGATCCCCTCCTGCGACAATTGGTCGTAGTCAATGGATTATCCGCGGACGTGGGCCGCTATCTGGGCAAGATGTCAACGGTGTCTCAGATGGACGATTTCGCTACGATGAAGGCGAACATGATCTCTTTGTGTGATGCTTTGAGCTCGCCATCCTCACAATTCGAAGTAGCTGACGCTGGCCGGTCCAGCGCTCATCTGGACCGAAATCTCTGGGTGGAATGGTTTATTCACCAGGAGAAGGCCCGCATGAAGGAGGTCCTCAGCATGCACTGGCAGAATAGCCGTCGCCCACCGGTCACCAAGACCTCGAATTCCGGCATGGGCGATGGCAAGGAAGTCACATCGGCCATGCTTCTGAGTGAGATCTTCGAAGGGATCCGCAAGCGACCCTATGGCGAGGACAGCGAGCCTCACGACGGAGTTGAGCTTGGTGTATTCGTGATCCGCCGAACCCATTAATCAACCCAACCCAACCCACCCCACCCCAACCTACCTGGCGATCACTCCTCGATTCACCGACTCTCTCTTACATCCTCTTCATTTCACACCCTCCCTTTTTGATCTCATATCACGTTTTAAAAATCATGTCTTCTTCTGCAGCTCCTTTTGACTGCAACGTCATAGGACCATTGGTGTCCTTGGAGTTAATCCCTTTTTCGGCCGTATTTATTTGTTGCTTTGGCCGGACGGAAATGATTGTGAATACCCATGATGTTGGTTCTCATTATTTGGCGAATATTTTCATGATCTCTTTTTTCATTTTTTTTTTCTCGTGATTAATATATATAAGACAAGTAAGTTTACATAAAGTCCAATATATGATTTCATAAATGGGAACTCTCCTTTTTTTCCTCTCTCTTCTCCTTTTCTCCCTTTTTCCTACGTATCTCTGCCTGGTCAGACATCATCAGGCACCATTACCTCACCGACTCTACTAGTATTTTCGATGTGATTGGAAGACGGTCAGTCGGGATCACTATCTGGCCCAAGCATGGATTGAAACCTGCTTACTGCATGTGGCAGATTACGCGAGTTATTGAAATTTTGGCCGTGCATCATTGAGAAATTGGACCTCGGGATCTTAACCTCCCTAGGTAATGTTTATGTATGAAGTTTGGGGAGGTACCGGTCATTGGATGATCTGCCCACAAGTATTTTAAGGAATATTTGATTGGAACTTTGAGTCCTTCAATGTTGCTAATTTCAAAAGATCAAGATTGCATTGAATTTGAATGTTGACGATCAGAAGCTATACAATACGTTTCCCCTCTCAAAATGCTCAAAGCTTTCATTGTAAGTTTCTATAGTTTTGATAGGATACGCGCGATTCTATGATGTGTGGAATTAAAAAAAATGAGATTAATACTGTGCCTACACTATGGCATAGTTTTAATTCCACACATTACAGAATCGCGTCTATCTTACCAAAACCATTCATCACGCCCCTTTACTACTGGGTGCTGTGTGAAATTTTGTCACATGATTTCCTCAGTTGGTGCTAGGTAGTTGAAAAGTAGTAAGATATGAAAGCAGTAGGCACCGAGTGGCGGGTACAAGGCCTAGTATCTCAAGCATGAAGTTTACTACTATACTCTTCTCCAGCTTGAGTAGTACTGACTACTGAGTAGGTACTCATATCGAGTACTCAGTGTATACTACCCATCTTAACTTTAGGAGTATGTGGAATTAAGTAATTTCGATAGACTACGCGTGCTTTTCAGCCATCTGTGGCAGGGTTTGGCGAGGGAGAATCTGAAACCAAATGCATGGACCAAAAATGTCCAATTCATGTACAGTTACTATTCCAGGGTTAACATTTGAACGTCTTAGAATACAAAAGTTGTTCTTTCAAATTCAATAAAACCTTAACACAAGAAACATCTAGATGATCACAAACCATGGTGCATAACTAGAAATCGGGTTGTTTCAGCCGGTCATTGCTCTCAGTCAGTGAATGCACCAGTGAGTACAAAAGTGAATTGAACAGTACTAATATAGTATGGAGTATGCTTCGGGCCCGGAGAAACGTAGCCCCGCTACTAACCTATTTGGGCGTCATAGTACAAACGTCGCGGCTTGCCTCTCCACTTCACGTTTTGCTAGACCATATACCTCTGCGTATTTAATAAACTTCTCTAGACACCTCTTTTCGACCGATCCTCAACTCCTTATCCTCCACAATACTCATCACCCAATTCCCACGGGGTTTTTTCTCGCTTTTTATCCCACCAAGTTCATGGCCTACTCCCCGCCCCCATCACCCGGGACCGGGCCCGCCTACCATGGAGGTCAACTTTCACGAGGCCGTTCCACAAGTCCTTCAGGTGCAGCAGGTCCTGTCTCAAAACGGGATAAACGCCGTTCTGCACTGCAAGAACGCCTACATGATTTGACTGCGACGTTCAGCCAGAACCGCGACGCCCAATTCCGACAGCAGCTACACTCTCTTCAATGCGATATGACTCTGATTAACAACTCCGACCCTTATGACGCTAACCCACTCCCTGATTCCTCGGATGACGTCGCAACACTTATTGAGGAGACCGTTGGTGGGGGCAAGTTTGCTAAAGAAATGGCGAGCTTGTCCGGAACCTGGTATGCCAAATTTGTGCAAGAAGTGAACAAGGTCAAGGAGACCCGCGATGCCGATGTGGCTCAGCTTAATGTAAGTTCTGCTAAAAGAACCCCGTTTCATCCGAATTAATCACTAATATGTGCATCCTGAGTAGGGCCGCCACGAAAACCACCTCGAGCGACACAGACGTGAATATGAATTCCGCGCGCATTTTGCCAAGGAGGAGTTCAGCCAATTGTCGGGCACCATGCGCGAACGTCTTATGCAGAGTATCTCGAGTAAACGAGCTCGCATGATGCGTGAGAAGGAACAACTCGATATTGCGGACACCAATGCGCTTCTCTTGCACCCAAATCAATTTAGCATTACAAACCCCGCTAGCCCTGGCGGAATTCACAGCAATCGCAAGACCCGGCACACTCGGCACCGCGTGGACATGGACGAATTGGGCAACGGAGTTGCTGCAGAATTAAACAAGCGCAAGCGCAAGGCGCCGGAGGAGGAAATCGGATCACCCGTGCGGGACGCGGGTGGCACGACTCCGGCCGAGCGCTCCAAGGCCTACATGGCTCAGCAGACTGCTCCGACATACTCGATTGCTTCATTGTTTACCGATAAGGAGCTCAATGCGCACGCTAACCAGGCGCACACGGCTGCTCTCCACTTTTTCTCTACTTCCAAGCGCCCAGAGCAAGGCTCCGGAGTTATCACCAATGGCAACAATACCGATGCCGAAGATATGGGCGATGGAACCCCGCTCGATGACAACGGCACCCCCAGTGCTGCCGATATGATGCGCACCGCTAGCCACAATTTCCACGTTACACGCTCCACTCGTACAACCGCAGCCCACAGTGCTCTCAGTGCTCTTGCGGATCTGGCCGATAAGCCTGCAACGCGCCCCGCTTTGCCCTACCATGCCCTTTCCAACTACATTGCGCGACCCAACGGAAATGCCCCTCCACTGACCTCACTTTTGACTGAGGAGGTAGATGATGACATTCTCCGCCTGGATCGTTTGAACAATAAGCCAATGAGTTGGATTGATTCCTCCCTTATCGAGGTGGTTGCTGCTATCAATCCACCCGCCGATTCAACAAACAGCCACCCAACTGCCTCCGAGCGCTTTTCTTCTGCGCACCCGGATTTCCCCGCTTCCCTTGGTATGCTGGCTGTACCTGCACGACCTTGGCAAGGTGCTGAAATGTTTCAATCGGTGGGCATGGAACGGGAACGCAGCAGCAAGCGTACCCGCAACCACTAGCAATGGTGGTTTGCTATCTTTCAATAAAGCGATAGAAATGTCGCGGACTTGGGGGTCAGCCCCGGTAACTTTCATCCGTTTTTCAGTTTCTATTAGTATGTTTCAGATATTATTTTCAGTTATGGAGGGCAAGGGGTATCTATTTTTATGGGAGGCTGGCGTCCGGTTTGATTGATTTTGATGTCTGACAGTATTCATAAATAATATTCATTATCTTTTCTTCGAGTAAAGCCGTTTCGTACAGATTCAAGGACATGTCCGTACTATTATGTTAGATTACGCATGGTATACAAGTAGTTATATGAGTGTCTCCTAGTAATATTTCCTATTACTAGACCCAACCTTGAGTAGACTGCAGGGTCCAGACTTCAACTAACTTGACCTCAAGTCCTTGTTTCCCTCGAATACGTTTGATGCAGCAAACTTCAACGAGTATCTGAGCCCCTCCATCTCTCTTTCTCCTTATTTTCTTCAGATACAACTCTTGAGTTTGAGTATACGTTGCTCTCTACCTAAACCCTTCTCCCCATTCTCTCTTTCTCTCTATTTTCCTTTTCTTCCTCTTACATAACTCTGCCTCCATACTACCACCTCATAGGAACGACTTTGAGTATATGTTACTGTCTACTATTTCGCTTTATTCCCTATCCTCCCTTCTTTTTTCTTTTCTTCTCCTTGTACACCTCCGCTTCCAATAGACTTAAGAATAGACTTGAGAATAGACTTGAGAATAGACTTGAGAATAGACTTGAGAATAGACTTGAGAATAGACTTAAGAAGGCATTTGAGGTATATTAAGACATCAATGCGTCCTGATTATGCTTAGCACGTCATATGACCTGTGTTAGTATGAGAGTAACCTGTGTTTATATTAAAGCCCAATTGATTCCAACTCTGGGACAGAGACTCCTCTACCTAGCCTCTGGCTAGACCCAACACCTAAGGCTAAAAACCCTTCAAAGTCTCCAAGTTCTTGACTTCTATATTTACTTCAACTTCCAAGCTGTAAGTGAGCAACAAGTTTTCATTTCTATTGAACTCTCAGTTGGCAAGAAGTCACTTAGGGGATTTGATGATATTTCAAATGCGTAGATGATGCAACTCATCATCAAGGCATAGCACGTCCGCCAATGTCGTGGTGATGGCTTTTTGACCTGCGCCGAACTTCATTCTGGCATGCATACCACATCCGCCGATATCCTGCGCCTCGTCAATCATCTTTGGTTGGAGATATTCAACCAAGGAGACCTTAGCCTCCACCGCTGGATGTATACCATCGCCATACTTCAATCTCAACATAGAACCATGGAGACTGGAAAAGCCAGGTCTTGCCACCCACGCAAAACCAAGTTGCTGTATCTTTTCACATTCGAGGCCTTGCCCTTCGAGAATCGGTACAGGAATCTACCTGTTGCCATCAATCTACATTGCGAAAACCTACATTGCGGAAGCAGCATGAATTTCTGTGCCAGTGTGAACTGGGCTGACCAAAAAGCCATGAAGTGGGCTGAGATCTGTTTGCATGAGGTCTTATTCAATGAACAACGAACACATTACTTTCAAAGGAAGACTGTAGCGTTATCATTGTTGTGCAGAACCTTGACGAATGAGGTTTCATGATTATTTGGAGACAATGCAACTGGCAATTTGTGAAAGAAAAAGAGAAGAAAACTCCCATTGGAACGACTCGCCTTCGTCTTTTGACAAACCAAGAATTTTTGCCGCATTTGAGCAGCCATGTGGTGCTTTGGCGTGGAAAATCTCATTCGTCAAATAAGGCCCGATGACAAGTTCACACTACTGCACATAGCATAATAACGCAACCTTTCGACACCCCTTGGAGTCTCCTGAAACTTCATTCAGCCACAATTGTAAACAGTGGTGGTAAGCCACATGATGGAGCTGTTCCGTCGCAGTCCTCATTGACCAGCTCCCCCCTGGACTTGTTTGTGAGGCAGAGAGCCGGCTTGCCTGAGTTTGGCCAATTCTCGCACAGATTTCAAACGTGGACTGCATGTCCATTCACATTCATGACTTTCCCACAGAAGTTTCTTCCCACTCCACGGAGGTTCATGAAACAGGCCCTACGGATCTCTCTTCATCTTTATGGACTTCAAGAGCGCGTGGGATGCTCAACAAAATAGCCTCTTCAAACATCATACTCGGGGAGGCCAGTCAAATATTTCCTTATCCTCAAGATCATCACTCAAAGCGGAATTGGAAATTCCGAGCTTTCATTAGCTCTGAGAGATCGACCCCTCTGGTCCAATTCGACAGCGCTGCCCATTCTTCAACCCAGAAGTTTCTTCAGCTTTCAAGCTGAGGAGAGTTGAACCATTTTCTATGTATTTTATGCGCTGACTGCGACTGAAGTCGAATGATCAAATTCTTCGCACGAATATGGAAATCCCAAAGCTTTGGAAGTCTATATTTGTAAGAATCGAGTGAAATACCGGGGTTTTCAAGTCCCCGGGTTTTGCATGAATCGTGCAAACTTGTATAGCATTGGTCTCTACTTTTTTCCTCTATATCATGTTTGGTCAGACGAGGTGTCTGATCAAGGTTTGGGAGAGTGAAGTGGAATTAGGACCCTCTGTTGAAATAGTGGTAACAGTCCAAGGTTTCCCAGCATCTTGAGGGATCAGATTGTCAGCGTGTCTAGAGGAGAAATTCCACGGAAGACCACAAGTCTACGGTTTCTCCTCTGCACATGTGAGAAGGGTCAATTTGAGGCATTCACGGACTATATTGATTTTACGATCTTCAAAATTGACGCCTTCTGATCATCCAGACAATATGTCTTCAAACTATCCTGATGGATATCAGGGTAAGGCATTATGGTGAAGTTGAAAGAAACTTCGTCCATCCACCACTGCTTAACTTTCAAGAGGCCTCAACATTGAAATGGCACTGGGCAATGATCGTGTGCAGAAGGCAGCCAAAGTGTCCAAACTAAGGTTACCAACAACCAGCGCAAAGTATCGAGCTGGCATATCCAAATTTAATGATGTCAGCCAATACATGGCACAAAGGGCTGTGGAGAGAAATGAATATCCAGCAGACTCCAAAAAGCACTAACAGCGAGTAGCGAGATAGACGCATTCTTGAGGACCCTACGCTCTCTTGGCCTACCCACCGGCTGCAAATTGCCTTCTCATAAGGCTGTCTTATCTTGTCCTGGATGAAAGCACCGGGTTTGGTTCATTGTTCTTGATATTGACTGTCAAAATGGTTTGCGTCAGGTTAACACTCTGTGGCATTATTCTGCGCTCGATCACTCGAAGACGTGACTTTCCACAGTCAATTCACATTTGAAGATTCGAGCCATCAATCAAGCACGCGAACAATAGTGGCAGCTCGAAGTACTGAGATTCAAACTTCAGGACGCACGACAATAGACACTTTCTTTGGTGTCTGTCAAGAATGCTGTGGGATTACAGCGACGTGATTGTGATGTGGGTGTTACTTTTGATGATGCTGATATCTGTTGTTGCCATCCCTATGCTCTTTGGAGGGCAGTAGAGACTCTCAAATGGTCAAAACCCCCGATTCCAGAAAATTTGCGGGAACTCAGAGAAGTGCATGACGAGACAGGGAACCCACCCTTCAGCAGATAAAATGTTCCTGGTAATCTGGCCAATGTTCCTGGTCATTTGCCCGAAGCGTGATGTACTGGGCGAAATCTGGAAAAAGACATTACTCATATTTCGCTCAAGAGAAAACAAAAGCTGTGATGGATGGGACTTGGCCCTTCAAATGTTGGTTATTTGCTCTGGAAGAAAATACTCAGCATGGCATGGAGTGGCTAATCGAGTCACCAGTTGACTGAAGGGTGAAGTCTTGACTCTTGATCAGTATATTTTGTTATATTAAACCTTGGAACCTCATTTTGCCACCCGCTTGGTCAGCCTGTAGCACCTTAAACCCTCGGTTTGATTTTCAATACCTGTTACCTGGGCTACAAGTGGTACCCAGATAATTGTAGGGGTCAGGGTTGAAGTGCTCGTATTCGAAAATAGATCTGATGCAAAATTGCCACTTCAACATTGCACCCATGGATGGATGTCAGCTTGGAGCCTCAAAGGGGGACTTAGTATGTATGTATTGATGTAGGTATATAGCACTTGAGCAGCACTTGAGTACATAGTATGTATGCAGATTCAAATGTTTGTTTATGGTGTCCAATATTCTAAAAGTTTCAACATTGAAGTTTCAAATCTAATCTCGTCTGTGAAAATATCGATCTGTTCTCCGGCATAGCGGAACCCCGGTAAAAGATCCCTCCAGGGCTGGCTTGCTCACTCCCGGATGTTAAGAATTAAGAACGCTATAATGCAAGTCGCGAAATAGTCTAAATACACTTATAGAAGCCCAATCACAGCAACCAAAACAGAAATCAACGAGACAGAAGCTGGAATAGCCAAAGAGGAGGCCGCCCCGGCGCTTGCAGAAGCTGCTGCCACTGCACTGGTACTTGTAGACGCAGCGCCGGGTGCACTGATACCAGGAGTAGCCGAAAAGTTGTCATGACCAAGAGTTCCAGTGGTGTTGACACCAGAGATATACGTTGTGCCATTGCGAGAGTAGGAGATACCGACGTCCATGCCGTAAAGGGCATCGTAAGGGAACGGGGCAGTGTAATTGTAAGTCGGAGCGCGGCCTTTGTACAAATCAACGACGGATTGCAAGATACCATTGCCACCCGAGCAAGTGTCATTGGTAGAAGGAACGGGCCAGTTAGACCGGTAGGCTGTAAAGCCCCATCTCATGAGCGGACCGGGTAGGGACTCGTTGATGTATAGCTTGGTGCTGTCGACGGCCCAGTTGGTGTAGCTGACTTTGTCGGCGACAAATTTGAACAAATTCGCACCGCAGTCCCAGCGGCCCAGTGAAGGGAGACCCCAGTTGGCCTCCACGGAGGCGAGACTGGAGTAGTGGGTGTAAAGTGTATCGTCCTTTGTGCCGACGAGATTTTTGGGGACGGCGCCACCTAGTAGGATGCTGAACACACGGTTAGGCACATCGTAGACTTCCGACTCGTCGAAGGTCAGCAGCATGAGGGTGTTGTCCCAGAAGTATGTGTTGTTCATCAACTCTGATACGAAGCCACGCAGCCAGTGCGAGCCATATGTGATATTGGTGTCGTGTGCGTCATTGGTCATGTTGGGCGTGATGAAGGCCCACTGGGGAAGTTGCTTCTTTTGCAGGTCGGTGCGGAAAGTATTGAAACTTTTAATCAATCCTAGAGCAGTATCATTGCCAGAGATATTGTTGAAGCTGACCAGAGGGTTATGTTTGCGCACATAGTCGTCGGCGTAGGTCTTTTGGTTAGAGTAGTTGTAGCCTTGGAAGCCGGCGTATGGTATATCCTGCTGGTACTCTCCCCATGAAATACCCTTGGTGTTCAACAGATCAGCTACAGTCGATACATTGGCAATGTCGTGAAACAGATCTACATGTGTTCATATTAGCATTGAAGTATTACCGAGCGAGTAGTATGCTGACCATTATCCATGCCGTAGTTGTCACCACTTGCAGCAGCGCAGTAATTAGGTTGAGAGGTGTGGCCGACCGCAAAATAGTTGGTCAAGGTGATACCCTTACTGGCCAGCCACTGTTGGTCGGCATTCCCGGCAGCATCGTTGTAATCCTATGGCGAAGTAAGCATCTCCAAACTTGAAATTTTGTTAGATAATACATACAACATTCTCTAACCACACCTGGTAGAACCGGTCGAAAGCCTTTCCTGTGACATTTGAAGTCCAAGTTTGTGGTACTGTAGTTTGCTGGGCTGCCTTGATTACTGACAGAGCCGGCTCCGTGGTAGTGATTGTCGCACCAGCAGCCAGGCTGGCGACGGCAAGAACCGCAGCTATGGAGACCATTGAAAAGGTCAAGAAGAACAAATTTCAAGTGAGGTAGTTGGAGGGATGGGGAAAGGCACGAAGATAATCCATGGAAAATAGTCAGATCAAGGGTTCATTTTATAGCATCGAGCCATGGAAGCCTGGCTCTACAGTTTGATGCGACCGTGGGGGCAGCCCCTAATGCGGAAAGTGGCCATGGAAGAATGAGATGGCCAGTCACACATTCTCGCACCCGAACAAATTTCCGACTTGCACAGTGCTTAACAGAAAACTGGCACTGAGTCAAGGAGTTTGCACCTAGTTAGGAAATGTAACGATTTGGGGGGTGGGACTGGGGAATATCCACTGGGATTAGCGGGTATAACGTCGGATAAGCGGAATCCGCCACGCTTCAATGTTATTCTCAAGTGAACGGCCCCAAATAAATATCCTTCGGTGCAGAAGGGTCTTCCTGATGGGGGCGATATAAAAACCGCCCCTTTTGTATCACCAATCAAATGTTCAATAGTTCTTCGTATATCCTCATGCGATAGATGTGGATCTTCAATGTCTCACAGACTCTCACTCTTCGTAACGCACCATGAGAATCATATGGCAAATGTTCGTAAAATTATCGTGTTCAACCCCTGGGGTATGTTTTTTGGAAGAACATAAAAATGTCCGGTGGAATTGTGGACCTGCGGTGTGGCGTTGACAGACTTATGCGTATCTCTGAAGACTGAGAGGGTGGCTTGTTGCATGCAGTCCTTCTCGTATACGATTCCAAACCTTGGAATTCCACGTGTTGGATGTACACGATTATCGCCCTATGTGGTAATTCCCTTGTTGTCCTGTCCATACATGGTACTGGGAAAGATCCGTGGCCATTTCGAAGACATGCTGGAGTGGACCCTCACTCAACCCTGATGCTAGCCTTCGGCCTTAAGACGCATTATCCTCATTTGGAGGGGAAATCCAGGAAAACCTTGGCGGTTGATTCATATCTGACTGGCAGACTGGATGAGCTTGAAGCTGGGATTGACCACAGAAGTGGCTGTGTGTTGGTGAGTTCTAATAAGCTTAAGAATTACAAGGGTCACTGCAAGTGAAGTGCGCGATGGGCCGACTGTTGATGATCGGCATGACATCTGCATGAGATAGCCGCGATGATGAATCTTGTGTGTTTCAGTAAATGTTTCAGTGAAGAGTATACTATGTATGATGGCAGAGCTCGGGAATCCCCCGAGTCCCGACCATGAGGGAGAGGCAACTTGTGGGGCGAAGAAGTGGACCAAATGATTTCATTGCTTTTTGCCCCGCGTATTCGGAAACCGCAACATCTACTCGATAACATTAACACCATGGCTATACTCAAAACCAGAAATTTAGGAGAAATTCGCGGGCGAGAAGAGGATGGAGTGAGTCAGTATTTGGGTATTCAATATGCAACCCTAAAGAACCGTCTTGCCGATGCCGAGCTGGTTGAAGCTCGTACAGGCGGCGTGTTAGATGCAACAATTGATGGGTAGGTTTTTTCTTTCTACTTTTCCTAGATTTCGGTCATGCAGTTACATCTAACAGTAGTCACAGACCCTTATCATTGTCTCCCCTAATTGGATGTGATATTGAACTTGGGCATGTTCAGCAAACATTGCCCAAGAAAGAGCTTCAATATTCTGACGTCAATTGTCTCAACCTCAACATTGCTGTACCATCAAATGCGACTCCTGAATCAAAACTTCCCGTTCTGTTCTTTATACACGGAGGTGGATTTTTTATTGGTGGAAATTCGTGGCCCCAATATGATCTCACTCGGCTTATGAAGCTGTCCATTGACAAAAAGTTACCTGTAGTGGTGGTGACAGTCAAGTATGAGCGGGAAGAGCTCTAGTATTTTGAAATCCAAGCTAATTGTCTGGCAGCTATCGACTCGGTGCTCCGGGATTCTTGACTTCGGAAGAACTGCGCCAGGCAGGATACCGCTCCAACAACGGTCTTCGCGACCAACAGGTTGCACTGGAATGGGTACAGAGGCACATTCAAGATTTTGGTGGCGACCCTGAAAATGTGACAGCAGCAGGCCAAAGTGCTGGTGGAGGTAATGCCAGTAGTGCCCTGACCATGTCTTGGAATTAATACTGATTGAAACAGCCTCTGTGACGTATCACCTCCATTCGCAGAAACCTCTGTTCAAGCGAGCCATTCTGATGGCTGGTACGTCGCTTCTCTTACAGGCGCTGCCTAACATCGCCCACGAGGAGAACTATGAGAAATCCATGGCTGCATTGGGACTTGCCGATGCGCCCGCGGAAGAAAGAGTAAAGGCCCTTTTGGAGATGCCTGGAGAGGATCTCGTGGCTCAGCTTCCTCCGGGTATCTCTTATGCGCCTGCTCTTGACGGCGACTTGATTCTTCCCGGGACCACGTATACTGAGATTGCAAAGCAAGAATCCAGTTTCCTTCCCGGTAAAGCGTGGTGTCAGGATCTGTTGATCGGAGATAATGAAATTGACGTAGGTTGGAACTTGCAATCCGTTCTTCGTTTACATGCAGACTGACTCAGCCATAATGTATAGGCAAGTATTCTGGGATTCATTGCGCCACAACTGAAAACACAGACTACTAAGAAGTTCCTCGCGGCAATCCACAAAGTTCTTGCCCTGCACCCAGCGCTGGCTCATCGAATTTTGGACGCGTATCAAATCACCGAGGAAACCTCTGACGTGGACGCCTACTCCTCCGCGCTGACCTTTGCGAACGATATTTCTTTCAATGCGCCCACGTTAACATATGCCTGTGGCTGGCCAGGTAACGCGTATGTATACTATTTTAATGAAGGCAACCCGTGGGATGGACCTTGGAAGGGGCGGGCCAATCATATCCTCGATGTGATCCACTTCTTTCAGAACCTCAATGACTCCATGAGCCCCGAGCAGGTGGCGGTCGGCGCCGCTTTTGCTGAAGATATTTTCAAATTTTGTCATGGCAAGGCGCCTTGGTCAGCGGTCGCATCTGGTTCCATTGAGGATGGGGCTTCAGCACGCATTTACGGCCCCAGTCAGAAGGGTGTCACTACTCGTGTGTCTCAGCAGTTCTTTGGAGGTGATACCCTCCGCAGAAGTATTCTCTTCGATTGTGGGCCCGAAGTGTCCTTGGACGATCTAGCCAAGGTGTTTGGAGAGCTGCTGTCTGGTTGATTTGAGATTGTGATTAGCATAACCAATAGCATAAACGCCGTATATGTAGTTTATTGAAATCATGCGCATATTTCTTTTTGCTCTGTTATGTGCGACCGTAGCCTTGTGGGCAAGGCAAACGAGCCGATAAAGATGACCAAACTTGCTGTTGTGTCATGTCGATCTGCAGAGGAATAAGTTGGCCTCAGCCCCGCTTGACCAGCCTTTAGACTGGCGAAATGCGACTTTGTTTTTGTTTTTGTTATCGGTGCAAGTCCGTGCAACCTATGGCGTAACCGATTGTAAACAAAGCGGATATTGTCCCGGTGGAAAATTGACTATCGGTGCTGATCTGCCGCAAAATTCCCACGCGTACCAGCCACATAATAGACTAGTCGCGTGTTCAAAGTGGAGTCCCTAGCAACCGACATGGGAAAAAAAAAGTTCTATCCAATAGAGTGGAAAGATGGTCGGCAACAAGAAACATCAGGAAAAAAAAAAAAAAAAAAAGAAGAAAGCCTAATCGATTGTGGAAATCTTTTCAAAGATCCAGACTCTGAAAAAAAAAAGAACGTGCAGAACTGGGTCTCAAGAGTCGTCGTATGCATGTCAATTTCGATTAAGATCTTGATCAATGAAATGGGGCATTACGTCGTTGTTTCAAACAGACCCAATAAAAGATGTGGAAGTGGCCTATAAGAAAAGCTGATATGCAAAATCCAGGGGAAATAAAGACATGTGTTGTCCCGGGCGTGATTGGCTGGAAGTTTTTGCATTGGACCAAGCGGGGATTTGTGTGCATGAGGGGGTTGGAGGGATGATTCTGATAGGATCGCAGCCTTTGATTTGTGAACAACAAATCTTGGATTCTATTGACCCACAGCATCCACTTAACAGGTTCCAGCCCGTCTCTATTTGCCCAAAATCGGCTCAGAACAAGCTTTCCCAAGGCTCGTTCCCTTTTTTTTCAGGAACAAAAAGTTTGTCTCCAGGGGCTGGTGCTTTTTTTTTTCTTGTAAATATCTTCAAATCTCCTCTGCTTTGTTGCATTTGTTCATTTCCAAATCTCCTAACAATGCGGTGTAGTCTATCCGCTAGCCAGATCATTGGCGTGGGCCTCGCCATTGTGCCCGTCGCACATGCCTTGTCACCGCGTACGGAGATCTCCGATTCATACGATTTTGTCATTATTGGAGGAGGTCAAGCGGGATTGACTGTTGGTGGTCGTCTTTCTGAAGATACAAACCATACAGTATTAGTTCTGGAGGCAGGTGGTAATGGCGATGATTATCGTGAGCGTATAGGTATGAAGCGATCTAAGATGGTAAAAGAAGAATAAGAAGAAGAAGAAGAAAAATCTAACTCCTCCAGATACCCCGGCATATGGATACTATGAATCCCTGTGGACAACACCTTTGAATTGGAAATACTATACCGTTCCACAGTCCAATGCCGATGATCGAGAGATTTACTGGCCTCGAGGCAAAGTGCTTGGAGGTAAGCATCTCTCCTCTTCATGATATATCATAGATGTGCTTAACATTTCCGTTTGTACAGGCAGTTCCGCTATTAATGGACTATACCTTACCCGCCCAGGTGAGGATGACATCAATGCCTGGAATGAACTACTGGGAGACATGGATGGCGCGGACAACTGGTCATGGGACTCTTTCTACGCTGCCATGAAGAAGGCCGAGAATTTCACTGCCCCCAGCGACGCCATCGCTGAAGAAGCAGATATCCATTGGAACATCTCAACACATGGAACCCAGGGTCCCATTCACGCATCTTACCCGGGATACACATTCCCACAAGTCGGCTACTGGTCCGAGTCTTTGGAGAACATCGGTATCGCCATCTCTGAGAACATGTATGGTGGTGATAACTGGGGCGCCGATGTCTCAACATCTTGTATCAACCCTTCCAACTGGACCCGATCATACAGTCGTACAGGTTACCTCGACCCACTCCCGGACCGGGGCAACTACGATGTTTTGGCCAATGCCTATGTCACTCGCATTGTCTTTGATAACTCTACCTCGACCAACTTGACCGCCACCGCTGTTGAGTACACTACCGATAACGGCACGACCACTTCGACGGTCAAGATCAACAAGGAGGTTATTCTGTCTGCTGGGTCAATTGGCAGCCCGGCTATATTGATGTACAGTGGTGTTGGCCCGAAGGATGTTCTGGCCGATGCAGGTATCGATCTTCTCTCTGAATTGCCTGGTGTTGGACAACATCTTCAAGATCACTTCGTAAGTTCTTGAACCTATTAAACTTGATGAAATTTCAACTGACAAGTCACAGAGTGCTACGGTGACTTGGGATACCAATGTGACTACCTCGGGCTCCATCTATTATGACGACGGTGCCGACAAGGTTAGTCTTCTAAACTTGGTCCACGGGAAATTGCAATCCACTAATGCTCATGAACAACAGGATAATGAACTATATCTCTCTTACATTGACGACGCCGTCGCCTACGTCAACTCGACCGCGATCTATGGCAGCGAAGTCTCCACAATGGAAGCAAGCATCCTCGCCTCCATCGACCAGTACGCCCCCAACTCAACATACGGCGACGAGGTGATCGCCGGCTACAAAGCCATCTGCAACATCACAGCAAAGAAGATTTTCAACAGCCCAACCGGCATCATCGAACTTTTGTTCATGAACAGCGACTCAAACGGTGACATTGGCATCACCGCCGCTCTGCAGCACCCATACAGCCACGGCCGTATCTACATCAACTCCTCCAATCCACTAGACTACCCCGTCATCGACCCGAACTACCTTAACAACCCAGCCGGTACGTCCCTCCCCCGCACGATCTCAAAAAAACCCCCCAAAACTAACCAATCCCTCCCAGATTACGAAATCCTCCGCGACGGCCTAAAGATGGCCCGCAGCATCGGCGAAGCCGCCCCACTAAGCAACAACCTCACCAGCGAAACAGCCCCAGGCTCCGACGTCTCCACCGACGACGAATGGGTCACCTGGCTGCGCACGGAAGCCAGCACCGAATTCCACCCCTCCTCCTCGTGCGCAATGCTGCCCCTCGAACTGGGCGGAGTCGTCGACGCAAACCTGCTCGTGTACGGCCTCGCCAACGTTCGCGTCGTCGACGCCAGTGTCCCGCCCATCGCCTTGTCCACGCACCTTATGTCCTCGACATACGGCGTCGCCGAGCAGGCCGCGAACATCATTCGTGGCTTCTACAATGGCGTGCCTTTCACTTCGTCTTCGAGCAGTGGCAGCAGCAGCGGAAGCAGCGATGTCTCTACGAGCGCTAGCGCCGTGAGTGCGAAATCCACGGGATCGGTGGCTGCGCCGAGTAACGGTGCGACATCTGGTGCTGCGGGAGCGGCTTTGTACAGTTGGATTTCTCTCGTTCTTATCATTGCGTTGACTTTTTAGATTTTACATCTGGGGTTAGATGGAGTTTGTGAAGAATGTGTTTCGGACGGAATTTTGTTTGGGTCGGATACCTTTACCCGGGGATTTGGGCAGTATTTATGGATGTTTACAGGATTATATGAAGCGTTTGTAATTACTAGAATACTGAGCCCGTAATGAAATGGAGCAGTTTACATATATGAATATGCCAAAGTTCAAAGTGTACTAGTATGTTAAATTAAGCATATTCCAAGGTTTCCACGTGGGGTTCCAAGGTTGCCCTTGCTCAGGGCTGGGCACATGCCAATGATGTAAGGCACGGATTTTAATCCTGGATGTTCCCTGTATCTTTCAAAGATCCGCTTCAAAGGCAATTATGTATCTGTTTTGAAAAATCCACGTGATACAGAGGAAACGAGCTCGTTCCTCATCTTGGAGATGTAGTTTCCACAATGCTACTATGTATATGCATCCAGGACACTCTGGCTAGGACACCCCTATCAGATCCCCGTTAGATCCCATCGGCGAAAGCCAGGAGAAAGAGGGATAAATCACATCAAGACTCAAAATTCATAGAATAACCACCAGTCTTTGGATCCTGGACGAACTTGAAGTTATCCGTAGACAGACCAAATGGTTTTAAGAAACCGTTTCCAAGCTGAAAGAAACAGTTGTCAGCTTCCATATACCACAGTCATTCAAGGGGAAGAATCACTCACGTCTTTCATTTTTGACATCATCTCACCCATTTCCTTCTCCTTGGCCTCGTTGAGCCGACTTGGGAGCTCTTGAAGCGCCTTTTGAACAATCCGCCTATCAGCAGCGGGGAGATTGTCCATCCCACTCAAGACCTGATAGTCTTCTAAAGCACCTTGTAAGCTAGCCCAGCCGCCCGCTTGTGATTTCCCCTTAGCGCGCCGCATGAGAGCCTTGGCCCGAATCCGCAGGACATTTGTCCGAGTCTCATCCAATTCTTGCAAGCGCTTCAATTCTTTTTCCTCTGCCTCGTCGTCATCTCCAGATATCTCCACCACTGCATCACTATCATGTGCATCGCTACTTGTGGGTTTCGAGCTTTGGGAGTCGCTCTGGTCCGCTTTGGGTGGCTCGGAAGGGATGATCTTTTCGAGGCGATCGAGTGACATAGTCGCAGTGTCAACGGCGGATTTCCAGTCCTCCATTTTCAGGTAGCACGCGGAAATATTACACCGGAGCACGGCGACGTCGTAGTCTAGGTAGTTGGGGCAGGAGGCGAGAGCCCGATCGTAGCAGGAGATGGCCTGGTCATAACAGCCAGAACTGTAAAGTTGATTCGCTTCTGTTTTAATTTCGTGCGCTTCTTTCAATAGTTGCTATTATCATGCCGACAGAGTTAGAGAATGGTTGAGAAATTTGGGTAGTTTGAAGATGATTCGCGGCTTACAGCTTCTTCCTCCGCGGGGAATCGGGCATCATGGAACACATCGTCGTCACTGTCGCCATCATCATGTGAGAGATCAATATCCTTGTCGCGCTTTTCGGCGGGAAAGGACTCGCCGGTGTTCGTCATCGTGAAGTGGGATGCGACAACACGAGAGGAGCGGACGTCGGCGGCCAAGAATCACGGGACTGATAAGCGCCGTTTCCCCCGCGCGGCCCTTATCAGACAAACCCTTTGTCCAACTCGCATATACCATAACCGGACGACATCTTCATAATGACTGAGCAAAAAGAGTAAGCATAGGCTAGGAATTGGCCAGTTGAACCCTTCAATTGACATGCATAACAGACTCCCCCACATCCGTGCGTGTCTTTTCGACATGGACGGATTGCTAATCGACTCGGAGGACAAATACTCCCAAATCACAAACGAAGTCCTTGCCATGTACGGCAAGCCTATGCTTCCTTGGTCAATTAAGGCGCAGCTACAGGGCCGTCCACAACCGGAGGTATGCAGCCGAAATACTTTCAAAAACAACCCAATGACCAAAAAAAACTCAATTTAACACTTGCGACAGGCTAGCAAGATCTTCCATGAATGGGCACAGCTCCCAATTACCCCGGAGGAAACGCAAGCCAAGCAAGCATCTTTGCAAGCAAAGTACTTCCCGCTGTCTCAGCCACTGCCTGGAGTTCGCACTCTTCTGTCTAACCTGGTGTCCACACAATCCACGGAACACCCCGTGCATATTGCTTTGGCAACTTCGTCAAATAGCAAGAACTTCAAGCTCAAATCGGGCCACCTCACAGAACTCTTCGCGGCCTTCCCTGAGGTCCACCGGGTTCTAGGTGACGATCCCCGAATTGGCAAGGGAAGAGGCAAGCCATTGCCTGATATCTACCTCCTGGCCTTGGAGACTATCAACGAGAGTCTGCGCAGCAAGGGTGAACAGGAGATCAAGCCGGAGGAGTGTTTGGTCTTCGAAGATGCCGTTCCGGGCGTGGAGGCAGGTCGTCGTGCGGGTATGCAAGTTATTTGGTGCCCACACCCTGGTCTTTTGGAGACCTACCGGGGCCGGGAGGAAGAGGTTCTTGCGGGTCTGACAGGCTCGCACAAGGAGGCCGAAAAGTCTGCAGCTGAAAAGGAAGCTGAGAAGCTCCAGTCTTCGCGTGTGCAAGGCTCTGGGATGACTGGAACTCTTGGTGATGGATGGGGCCAGCTTGTTGGTACTCTGGAAGACTTCCCTTACGCACAGTTTGGAATCAAGGTGCCTCAGAACTAGATCACGAGCCGCACACAGGCGATAATACCTGTTCTAGTATCTGGGCTAGGAAAGAATTAGAAGGTTACCTCCTGATAGGTCGCCTCTCAGCGGCAGTCCTTGGAGGCAGAACATACTAGTAAATGAGAAGATTATATGCTGTACATAAATCTCGGAACATACTCATGTATGCTAAACCTTCAAACTTGCCTTGGAAGCTTAAAAAGCACCTGGATATAGCTCAACCCAAAAGGATTGATCTCATTACACAGATAATGGTTTAGAAGAAAAAGAGAAAGGTTATAAAGTATAGCAAAGGCAAATGACTGCAGAATGCATGGTATTTCATGGCCGAGGTCGCAGTAAGGAGAAACTGAAACAAAGCAATAAACAACAACAGCAGGAATCCCGACCACACTGTGTTCCCCTTGAAAACTGGCGTCGGGTCCCTAGTCTGAACACACTTGAGTAATTAAACAGACTAAATCATAAAGAAAAAATAAAAAATAAAAAAAGAGAAAAAGAGAAAAAGCAACAGGACAAACGGCAGGGAAGCAGGACAACAGGACAACAGGACAAGACGGACCTATCAAATTTCAAATATCTGAAAAGGCCCAAAAGCACTCACTGCGAGGGAATTGCCCAAGCAGCCGCAACCGCCATGGCGCTTTGCATTTGCCCTGCTTTGCGGTCGTTGACCCGCTTGTTCGCAACCACCCGCTTTCTGGCGCCATTCGGGTCAAGCAGGAAGGATTCGGCGTATGTCGGGTCGAGAAGGTGCTTGCAAAGCGTCTTGGACTCCTATATGTTATCGAATTAGTACCTTTCAAAATGTCATTGATTTGGACCTGCGTACCGCCAGCGCCTTTACGGCTGCTTCGAAGCGAAGTCCAAATATGCCCGTCTCTCGTCTGACATGAGCCACGGTGAAGGAGGCGCCGGCCCTGTGCCTCTCGATGAGGGCAGCCTGGTCAAGGTTAGCCAATCGACAAGAGTAGTGGACGGGGTACTGGTGAGCTGACAAGGAGATTCCAGCAAGCCAGCTCGATCTCCTCCTCAGTCCACCTGCTCCCGGTGAAGAAGCCCAAGAAGTTCGCGCCATCGGCAGCGTTCCTGGTCGACATCATGGCGATCTTGAGCTCCGCCACGAGCTGCTGCTCTTCCAGAGGCCCCTGTGGAAGAGTGTCGTCGAAGACGACCTTGCCAGTTCGACGGGTCCCCTTCCTGGCCGCCTCGTATGACGTGAACAGGGCGACTACCTTCTCAGAGGCGTCATTTCCCGCGCTTGTGACTGCTTCGAGCTTGGCGACAGCTGGTTTGGCTGGTAGGATTGATTGACAGATGCCGTATGACACGGACAGTGAAGTGCTGTCAAACGAATCCCACAAGCTCCATTGTTCATCCATGGGAGGGCCCGACAACATGTTACCAGTGGGGAAGACTGACGACATTACGGTGGCCGCGGACGAAAGAAAGTGGAAGGGCAGGAATTGCCTACTACTGGTAGTAAGAAAACAAGCAGGAAGAGTGCACGATGTGACCAGGAGTTGAGGGAGCCGAGAGAGCTGAAAGTGAGAGAAGAATTGAGGAAAGCCGAAGAATCTACTAGTTCTTTAAATATCTCAAGGCTGGTGAAGTGAATAACATTGAATGCGAGGGAAGTGAGCACTCTTCTATTCACTTCAAATAAGTGGAGCCTTTTACTTCAAATTCAATTCAGACCCACCTAAACCCATTGACCGTGGGTTCCCATTGGCCAGCCCTATTAACTGCAGACCCACCCTTCATGCACATGTGACTCTCATCTCTCATCTCTCTCGAGTAGCCCTAAGTGAATGCACCTGGAACTGATTCTATAACCACTTGTACAGTCTTCGAGTCTGCATTTTCTTGGACCTCTAAACGCTCTCCAACGTCTAAGCACTAGTACATGATTTCCTCTCTGTATTATTTCAAAGGTAGAAACCTAATGGAAAAAGCACAGCTACAGATGAGAAGAAACTTAAGAGTGTGTAAAGAAGAAAAGATAGCATTTCACCAGGGCATTGATGCTTACAGCGGTGATAAACAAGAAAAGATTGACAGCACTTGAGAGCTTCGAATTTTGACGTTATTTTTTGGTATGGGTCCAATTGAGCTCAATGGGAGATTTTCATAGCACCAGCAGTAGCAGCAGCAATAGCGGCCTCCATCCTTTTGCCCTTCTTGATCAGTTCTCCCTTCTGTTTGTTGAGAACCCTATTGGACTTGACTCGCTTAGCCGCAGCCTCAGGATTGTCCACAAATGTGTGGAGGTACTTAGGATCCAGCAAATGCTTGCAGATTAACTTGCAAAACTATTTGGAACGGATTAGTAGACTTCAACAAAGTATGTTGATCTATCACGTACTGTCAAATTCTCCAGCACTTCCTGGAAATGTGTCTTGAAGGAGACCTCCAGACAAGGAGCTTCGGCTTCGGTAGAGCGTGCATGTGAAGAGAGAGGTGGTCCATCTCTGTGGTAGGCAATCATGGTGGACTGATGTAAGTTAGTAAAGAAAATGATCAATTCGACGAGTGGGGTACAGGTAAACTCACAAGGAGGCTCCAGCAAGCCAACTCGATCTCTTGGTCGCTGTACTGGCCGTTGGAAAAAGCCTTTTTGGCCTTGTCATTATCTGTAACATATGTGGTGGATAGCATTGCCTTCTTGAGGTCGACGATCAGGCGCTGATGTTCCTCAGTGGTCTGGGGGAGAGTTTGATCGGTGATAACCGGCACTTTACGACGCACGGCAGCTTGAGCTGCTTCGAGAGATGAAAATAGGGTTAGAGACTTCTGCTCAGTTGGAGGTGCGGTCCCCAGGTAATTGGCAGGGACGAGCTCGTCATGGAGAGGGAAATCAGAGATCGGTTGGGAGGTAGAGGGCCAAAGACCAAGATTTGGATCAATCGAGTCATCCTTCATCTGGTCCAATTCAAAGTAGGTCCCATCAGACACGATAAGACCCCGAGAGATTTCCGCGATGGGGTTGGAGTCGGGCCAAAGGCCAAGAGCTGGATCAATCGAGAAATCAGTACCCTGATCACGCTCATAGCAGCACTCGAGATTCAGGAACATACCCTTGGCGTCGGCCATTACCCAGTCTTGAATTGCCCAGTCTCCATCGTTCATAACAACATCTTCCATGGCGTCGAGTCCGAGACCGAAGGTTAGATGTATCAAAGGGATCAAATAGGACGTGTTTAAGGTAATGGGACGTGTCTTTGTCCTGCGAGAAATTGAAAAAAATCGGGTACTATCACCCAGTGCTTGTTTTCCTGAGATATTGAATTGAATGCACGGGAGACGAGAATAGCCTACTGCGTGCCCTAAGTAGAAATTAATTTCATTTAATCAAGCCCTTGCAATTATTGAGCTCATTTAATCGCCAATTAGAAAGTAAACAACTTGCTGAACTGCAATTGTGTTGAATCGAATGGCTGGCGTTCATTTGGAGAGCTAGCAACAGATAGAACCTACTTGAAGTTCTCAGATAGATCAATCGAGTCTAACCTCGAGCTCTCCATTTTCTTCTGGTCGAGAATCCAAACATGGCATGGTCCATACTTTGACACTGTTCTCTCCATTTTTATGCTGATTGACATCATCTGCGTCGAGGTCGTCCATTGTACTTGAATAATTTCGCTGACCACAAGAAGTGGCAACAACACCGCCCATGGGGTGAAACACCGCGCTGGTGATGGTATCTATAGCCATGTTAGCTCACAGAAACATACAGTATTTCCGTCAGAATACTGACCATCATGCATCTTGAACTCCCATTCAGGATCTTGTCCACCTGCAGCATACATGGGATTCTTCCATCCTCTCATGAACCCATCCGTCCCACCTGCCCAAACACTATGGGCACCATCTTCACCAGCAGAAACGACATCAATTCCCATCCGCTGGTTGGTAATGGCCTTACGTCCTCGGAGATATCCGAGCATCTGCCCAGTGACTCGGATGTCGTAAACGAGAATGCCGTCACTTTTCCGCTCCGCGATATACAAGTATCGTCCACACGGGCTCCAAGAAAGCTGTGTGATGCCCTTGCCTCCGATTTCACGATTGGCCTCGGTCTTGGCAATGCTGAAAGTCCCCAAGAGCTCCCCAGAGCCATTGGAGCTATAGAGGCCAACTTGTCTTGTGAACGTACCAGCAGCTAATATCCCGTCACCAGTGGGACTGACAGCCATGGCTGATACAATGCCTCTCATGCCAATGCCGCCACCGACGATCTGTTTACGCTTGCTTGGAATGGTTGGTAACCATGACATAGGGCCATCTTTTCCAGGGCGAGAAACATCGAAGAGACAAATCAGGCTATCAGAGCCGGTCAGGAAGTGTGTTCCTCCGAGCGAAGCTGGATATATGATGGAATGGGGTGTGATAAAGGCTTCGGTTGTTGGATTTATCAGTGAGTAACTTGCTACGGATACTGGGGCAAGAGCAGATGCCAGTCGAATAGGGTGGTCTCTCACAGAAGAGAGGAAGAGAGTGGTCGATGGGTCCTGGAGATTGAAGAACGGGTACACAGCAGTAGCGTATGTTGGTTCTACCGAAGGAAGAGTTGAATATGGGGAGAGATGGTGAACAGAAGGTGAGTCAAGAAGATCTGGCGGCCTGATCATTATAGCTACATCAGAATGGTGTGAATCCAGAAGTTGCATGAAAGTAAAACCCACAATATAAAAGACCGGATGTGATGATCAGCTGAATCTGTCAGAAGCGTAGTGCCGTCTGGCGTCCTACAGATATTTGGTGTCAGTCCCAGAAAACGTATACCAAACTTCAAACTCAAGGTTTGATCTATCAATAACACATGCATCACATGCATCACCAACTCACCATTCTGCACTTTTGAAGTTTTGAGCATGAACATCGCTCTCTGGAGCTGCATCGAGACTAGGGTTTGATACAGCAACTTTGTCTCCGCCAGCTGAAGGAATTGTTGAAGCAACACAAGTCGGCATCCATGTCTCTGGGGAATCCCCAGCCATTAGTTTGGCGGTGAAGTAGGGACTTGACAGGATAGTTCAAGGAATAAAAGGTTGCAAGTGGGGATTAAAACTGTTGGTTCAATATAGAGTATCAAGATGAGGAAAGTCCGCAGAGTGAAATATATGAACTTTAAGATTTTTGTTTCGGCATCATGAAGACATTGAGCATTTCAAAAGCAATATTCAAGTAAACCCCGAGCTCCGGCTTGAAATGGAATCCAAGTAGGGCTCGCTGTGTCGTCAAACCTCGGAGCCGGAATATCAATTCTCCGTCCGCAAATCTTATCGGTGTTACTGCTTGCACGCGCCGTGAGTGTTATTTTGGTTAATTGATTCACATTTCGGCATATCATGTTCGCCCCCAAGCCCTCCACTCCCTCCGCGGGTGGATTGAATCTTAATACCAATTCTGCAAGCTCTCTTTTGTGAGTCGCCCTTCCGCCCTTCTTCCTACTCCCGTCATAGCTCTGTGCGCAGTATCTTGTCGCAACTCTTGAGCTCTTCCCATCAAAGCTTAAGATCTGCAATCCTTTCTGTGATCCCTTGCGTCATGTGGAAATGCTGAGTCGCCCATTCTGGGGTTCAAGCTTCCAAGCCGCTGGTTGGTCGTGGATGACAAGGGATGACAGAGATGTATCCTGGGTGACTTTGACCTTTGAACCAAGAGCTAACAAATATTTATTACAGCGGTACCAATCCACAAACCACCTCAACATCCACTCCAGCAGCGGGCACGTCAGGAAGTCTATTCGGCAACGCCAATTCAGCCGCTCAGCCAAAGCCCGCTGGGGGGCTATTCGGAAACACACAGTCCACCCAACCTACCGGATCAAACATGTTTTCAGGCCTAGGCCAGCCACAAACTAGCGCAGCTGGTGGTGGTATTTTTGGGGGAGCTTCTACCACAACAACTACGCAACCACAGTCATCTAGCTTGTTCGGTGGGCCCACGGCAGCTGGTGCCGGCACTGGCACTGGCACCGGCACTGGCACGGCCCAAACAGGGACGGGGGGCATGTTCAGTGGTGGACTAGGAGCCTCTACGGCACAGACTCAGCAAAAGCCTGCATTGGGTCTGGGTGGTTTCGGCAATACAGCTACCTGTGGTGGTGTTTTGTAAGACAATGGCGGACCCTGATTCCATATACCAGCAAGCTAATCCTTTCTTTCAGCGGCAACACCCAACCGCAATCCCAACCCCAAAAGCCAAGCCTTGGACTATTTGCCAATGCCACCAACACACAGCAACCGCTTCAGCAAAGTACAGCCACAGGAAATGTCGTTCCAGGCGTGAAGGTCGACCTTACCAACCTCCTCCCGACCACCAAATACGAAAGCTGTGCTGATGAACTTCGCCGCGAGATTGAGAATATCGACAATGCCATTCTCGAGCAAATTCGGATGTGCAACGAGGTTGCCGATATATTACCAACTATTCAGCAGCAGGCAACAACTATTCCGAACGATGTGGAATTTGTGCAAGCCAAGCTGGACACCATCCAGCATGCCCTTGAGAATGATGCCAGCGATATTGATCAGCTCCGAGGACTCGTCGCCCGTGATGCGGCCGAAGCCCAAGTTGCCTTCCGTGCTATTGATACCTTGAAGCTGCCTATGCAATATCAATCCGCAGGGGGTGGTGGCTGGTGGTCAGTGCATGATCAAAAGGTGCAAGATCGCGGTTCACTTCGATCAACTCGGAAGAATACCCTTGCACTGCCCGATGACGTTGAAGTTGACCCATCCACCGCCAATAGTGTGAATGGTGTGCCAGTCAATCTGGTAGATTACTTTTCTCAGCGCTCGGACGAAATGGGTGCCGTTCTCGGCCGCTACAAGGGCAACCTGAAGGAAATCGAGGATCACCTTCATGGAGTGGAATTAAACTTGAACCGTCAGATTCACGACTTTGTCAGCTCCAGATCTCGCGATGGACTGGGCTCGGGAACTCCCAATTCCGCGGTGAATGATCTCGCGGCTGTCCTGGGTGATGTTGAAGCTGGAATCATGGGTGTGGCTACTCGACTAGGTGGTGTTACCGAGCAAGTTCAGGAGGTGAGCCTCGGGCCACTCGGTCTAGGTGATGGTCGAATTTGATGAATGAGCGAATCTCGGACTTGCATCGATTGATTTTATGTATACTAATGCGATGAGCTGGTCTTTTATCATGCCTAGGTGATCATAAATCCTTCTTTGTGGGTTCATACTTCGTCTGCGACGACGCAATTTTCCAAGACGCACTATCAGTAACCCAAGGAGAATTGCTACATGAACCAACCCTCAGTACCAAGGATACACTATGTACTTAGCTAGAAGTCATGTTTTGATGAGGAATTAATGAATCAGCACTCCCTTAATTCGGTTCGAGACACATCAGTACTCTATCGTACTAGTTAGTGGAAGGAGATCACTCCTTCAGGAGCTTCGGAGACAAAAATTAAACTTGGCTTACGAAGCTGTGCAATGATTGATAATGCGAAACCCTCTCAAACACGCCACAAGACCTTGTCAAAATCCGGTCCGGTTCCTCAATAGAAAAATCGAGAACCATTGTCAGCATCCACTCTGATAAATCCATTGACATGGGGTTGGATCAACTTGGATGCGATTACACGCCAGACTCCGCCACTCTTGCGTGATTGCCGCTTAGCGCCACGAACGTTGCTTACTGCTAATTTTAACCTCCACTTTTCTTCCCGCGATCAACGATCAACCCCCACAAACATACGCACCGCGAATATGGCCCTGACTTGCGTACGCATGCCGGTTTATCTCTCACATTTCGAAACAGCGGTGAAATGATCCGTTTCCCCCTGGACAAGGGGTTTATCTCTATAGTCATGATTATTCGGTGGAAATGGGCTAATGTTGCCATCAACGTCACCAAGATGGCGTGATCCGCCGCCCCCTAACATAGGGGTCCCACCACCTAAATTCCGGGGAAATCACAGTTTGAAGGAAGAAGCACATCCACTTGCTGTCGTGATTGGCTGAACCACGGGATTCCCATCTGTCCTGAGCTTGGCTTGGGTGATCACGTATGTCGATGGCGCGATCTCCGTGGACCCCGGCACGCAATTGCATCAGATTCTCTTCAGCTTATCCGGGGTTGACTCACTGTTGTTCTGGATCCACAGGAGCTCTGTGTCTCGTTCAATCCTATACCTATATAAGGCTTCTGTTCCAGGAGAGATAGACTTTTCCAATTCATACTTCAGTCCCACTTCAACCCAAGGATACTATCTTCAATTCTTCACACGTTGCACTTCATACAACATACAACCTACAATATCTTCCATACCGCATTTGCATATTTAATCCACCATTGAGATTACCAACACTCGAAATGGCACCCTCTCTGGAAGAGCCCATCGTTGCCTCATCTCCGGCACCCATCATTGTTCCCCTCAAGGGAGTTGCGGCCGGTAACAAGTTCGGCTATGTCCCTGGACGGACACTCGTGAAAGAATATACCAGCTACGACTACGATGATCTTCTACCCTCTTTCCCCAACATTCATTGGAAACCATTAGAGGAAATCGAGCACCAAGACCGGGGAATTTCTGGAGATCCCAAGTTCCGTAACCTCCTCCAAGATGCCTCCAATGTATTCGACTACAACCCCAAGATTGGAACTGAGATTCACGGAGTCGACTTGGCCAATTTGACAGATGCTCAGAAGGACGACCTGGCTCGTCTGGTAGCATACCGAGGAGTTGTTTTCTTCCGTGATCAGAAGAACCTGAATGTTGATGCGCAACGGAACCTTGGAAAGCACTTTGGAAGGCTGCACAAGGTTGGTGTTCTTCTTCTAGTGACCACAAAGCACGAATGCTAATCTAGTAACAGCATTCTACTACTTCCGTTCCCCGCAAGGGAGGCCTTGAAGATGTCCACGTCGTGTACACGGCTGACAACTCCCCGGACAACCGTGCCTTATTCAGCCCAAGCTTCTTGTGGCATTCAGATGTATGTACCGGGTAGTTTAAGAACGGAAATACCGGGTCTGAAGCTAACAACGAATAATAGGTTACATACGAAGTTCAACCGCCATCATACACCATGTTGAAGGTGCTCACCGGCCCCCCAAGCGGAGGCGGTGGCGACACCCTCTGGTCGTCACAATATGCCGCCTATGATGTCCTGTCCTCTCATATGCAGACTTATCTCAAAGGCTTGACTGCCCTCCACTCGGCTGATATGCAAGCCAACGACTCACGGGCTCTTGGTCGTCCAGTTCGTCGAGACCCAGTCACCACCGAACACCCTCTTATCCGCACAAACCCCGTCACAGGCTGGAACAGTCTGTTCTTCAATCCCGGCTTCGTCACCGCCATCGTTGGTATTCCAAAGGGTGAAAGCGATGCCATTATCCGGTACCTCACTGATGTCGTTGCGACGACACAAGAGGCACACGCTCGCTTCCAGTGGAACGAGGGTGATGTTGCCATCTGGGACAACAGGACAACGGTATGTCTCTTCTCCGACCATGAAACCATGCAATTGAAGCTAATTTAATGTTCCAGAACCACTCTGCTACATACGGATTCACACCTCATCGTCGTCACGCTATCCGCGTCGCTGCCCAGGCCGAACGCCCGGTTCTGAAGGACTCGGGCATATCACAGGAGGATGAGATCAACGCTTTGCATGGTCTACCCGCAGTCAACAAGAACGGGGCACGACAGTCAAACTACAATGACTAGGTGCGGGACTGGAGAAGTGCCGCATTGATGCCCCATCATTCATTTTCAAATATTCTAGCGTTTTCTCTTGCATGATTAGCGAAACCACAAACATTTAATATTATTGATAACCAACCTTGCCTATTTCGCTCAGTAGTCCATTTATCTATTTACCGTGGCTGCAGCCCCTGCTTATTCTAGAGCCCATACTCTTTCAGCTCCTTAAGAATCGATTTGTCCTCGCTCACTCAGATGAGTATAGCTCACACGTTCATTCCGGGTGGAAAGCCGCGGCGCCTAATCTCCAGGAGCCAGGCACTGACGGGCACCAAAACCGCCAGAATAACCTTCCAGATGTCTGATGGCTTTGGTAATTTATATCCAACGGTACTAACATTGAAAATTCTCCATGTACTGGTGGGTGACTAAACGACATCTGGAAGATTGGTTGCCCCTATGTATGTAACTAACTAGTTATAGGGCCCCTACCTTGACTTCTCAAGTGTTTCCAGTCTCGGGAATTAACATTCCCTGGGCAGCCTCTTCCAGCATTTGAGCTCAATGTGCATTTGAACATTCCCCGGACATATCCACTGAAGTGCTTGCACATGTCAACTGGTGCTTGAGATATATACCAGTTGACACAGGGTACCAAGACAGGTACATTGAATGTTTACTTGTTTCTGCGTAGTTGGAGTCTACACAATTCCAATGTTGGAAAACCAGAGGTGTTGGGAACAAGAGAGGAGATTATCATCAAATTACCAATTGCCTGCCTTAGCACAGGCACAGACGCGACAAGTTGCGATTGGTTTTAAAAATACATTGGACAAAGACATGCAAGACCCAAGGCCAATCCAGCGCTTCAAAAACTCAGTATGCAAAGGTGAACGAGGCCAAAGCAGAGACCACGGGACAAAGCCTGACCCAACGGACGTGCATCCGGAACCCCGGAAATATAGTTTATTATTTTTGTAGGATTTGTTCTTGAGATCGTTGAGAGTGGTCAAGCTCGTGACTTCGCTTCGATATGGTACAAACCGAATGTCTCCCTCTACGAGAATTCAGAGCTCGAGAGTCGAGAAAGACATTCAGATAAGGAGGAGGCGAGAGACCAGAGTTGAAATGGCTTATTGAACCGCTTACTCGTTGATCTTGGCAAGGATCCTGCATTTCATGTCAGTAACAGTCTACTCTGAAAGGGAATTTCATTGTGAATGAAGTGGGGGGATGAGGTGTGTAGACATACTCGGAGTCACGGAACAGGGTGTACTCCTCCTCGCCGACCTTGATGGGGCTACCACCGAACTATAGAAGAATTCAGATTAGTATCAAAACAACAGACAATGCCTCAAAGTATATGATAGGTAGAACGCATCGGCAATGCGATGCGACATGATGCGCGGAAGAGGCCGGCCAGGGGAATGTGGCGGGAACTTACCATAGGGATCAGGACCTTGTCGCCGGAGGCAACACCCATGGGGAGACGCTTGCCATCCTTATCAAAGGCACCGGGGCCAACAGCGACAACCTTGGCCTCGTTCTGCTCCTTGACACTGCTCTCAGGGAGGAAGATACCGGAGGCGGTCTTGGTCTCGGGCTTGATGCGCTGGATGAGGACGCGGTCCAGGAGGGGAGCAAGGCTCTTGATGTTGCGGATGACAGACTATTGGGATTGAAATTAGTAAACTATGTGCAAGGTAGAGAGGGGGTGTTGATTCGGTTCGAGTCTGGGGAAAGGAAAAAAACGCGGGTAGGCTCCGACGCCATTCCAGCTTGCCAAGAAGCTTGGAAATAGTTATAGAGGGGTTTTCTTGCTAGTATGACACGTAATACATACCATTGTGATGGAGAGAGAGGTCTTGAAGTCAAGGGGTGATATTCGTGGGATGGAGAGAGGAAGAGGAAGTGTCCGGGGGAGGAAGATCTGGACTTTCGCCGCGAGAAATTTCCAGAATGCCAAGACCACAGCTTTAGTCCCGAGGAACATTGGAGAACCCGAATCTAACCACTTGATCGGACCAATTAAATAATAAGATTAAAGAGCCTCTCAAATCCTATGAAAACTAATATGATTCGGATTAGACCAAAATCTGCATTTATTGCTCAATTGTTTCATAGGTAACGAGCAGGTCTGCTAGATAGAAACCCCCACAACCATCCTTACCTCGACATACCCTTCCGTTCTTCCGAACCGGACCTTCGCGCTATGAAATTATTACAGAACAAAAACCGTTGTAAATTGGATATCATTGGTCCATTCGCATAAAACGCCATAAAATCCTGCCCATCATCCGGAGGGCGAACCCAAACTGGTCATATATGGAGTACTAAAGCTAAATTCGAAACTACCATCTTCGTCCACGGCCACGGCCTCCATAATTGCCACGCTGGTCGTAGCCTCCATATCCCATCTGACCCTGAGAAGGCTGACCAAAAGATTGGTTTTGGCCTGAGCCTCCAAAGTTCTGTTGACCTTGCTGACCACCGCCAGGCTGGCCACCACCCATCATCGCCTGCGCGTTCTGCATGAAGGTCATTGGATCCATGTTGGACGGGTCCATTCCCTGTGCCATCATGCCAGCCAACATCTGCTGCATAATATCCGGAGACATATCAGGCATGCCAGGCATACCAGCCATGGGTGGCGGGCCGCTGGCAGCAGGTCCGGGGCCGGGGCCGGGGCCAGGGGTTGGTGCACCAGGCATCGGGGGCATTCCCATACCCAGGAATGAAGACATATCATCCATCTGTCGCTTTTGGTCGCCGACATCTTTGCGTGTCTCCTGCTGCTTCAGACAATAGCTGACCCATGTAAATTCGTCGAAGCCGTAGTTGAAAAAGTCGGAGACATCAGAGCCTGGCCGCCGCCAGGGCTTGTCATCGGCCGGAAAGTCTGTGTCCATGTCTGTTGCCATAATAGTCTTTCCAGTGGAAGGGTGCATGGGGTTGCCATTCACGTCAATATTGGAGGTATGGATGGCAGGGTAGGAGGAGCCGGGTTTCTGATTTTGCGGCAAGGTAGTAGGCTTCGGGGGAGCAGCGCTGCCAGTTCCAGGTAGTAAAGTTGGAGCATCGAGACGAGGAGTTCCGGACGGGGTAGCAGATTGAGATACAGTTGACTGGTCTGCGGAAGGGGGTCGTTGGGACTCTTGTCGTAAGCTTGCATGTCGTGGATGTGAGCTTCAAAGGTTAGCTAAATATGGCTTTCGCGCGTGAATGACCAATTGCTTACAGTTCTGCAGGCGGGGCGTCGGCAGGTGCCTCTGTAATGATATTGAAATCATCCTAAACTTCATTAGTAAAGTCAGAGGTGCAAACGCGAACAACAGTTGGTATCGAACCTCATCGGAGTCGACGTCTACATCCTCGTCGTCCTCCATGTCATCTAGCTGTTGCCCTGGAGCTGTGTCCCGGGCATTGTTCGATACGTGGGCCGGTGCCACCATATCGGCGGGATCATAGAAATCATCCTCTTCGTCTTCCATGGTGAGTGGCTTGCAATCCCAGGGATTTTGTTGTAGAAAAGATGTCGCGACTGATTGGCGATCTTCCTCCGCAGGTAAATGTGAGTTTGGACTGTTTGCACTTGGATGTAGCTCCGAGTTCCTCCCAACAAACTGTACAAAGTTTGGTGAAAGGTAACTGGGATTGTAATAAAAAAAATCAAAGGGTCTTTATAACTATTGAAAAAGAGCTTATTGATTTTCTTAGTGAAATAATAGGTACGTGGTGCATTAACAGGCGTTAGAGAGCATCATAGATAACTACTAGTTAACTAGTTATGCTAGTTATCTAATACCTGATGAGTAAGGTCCTACATAAAATATTATGGCTTTTCAATAGATCCAGTGTAGATGACGATTTCCAAGGTTTGATCAAGATTGAAAATACGAGCGGTGACAAGAGACTTACTCCAAATTCTCCGATTTCAATCGCATCAATTCTTTGTGATGCATTTGTTGGCCAAAAGTAACAGTACTACCTGTGAAAAATAGTCACGTGCATGCCCCCGACGTCAGTGAGTTAGATATCCAACGTTTTCATTTAGGCCAACTACTCCCAGCAACTATCTTCCAGCTGTGGGAAGCAACCCAATACGCATAATGACAGACCAAGAGAGTGGAAACTCTACCCCACGGTCCTTTACGGGCCAAACTGCCTCTGCGGAGGACATGCTAAAGTCGCAAACTGTCGGACTCGTGCATTTATCCGATTTTCGCAAGCGACGGGCCGAGGTCCTTGAGCAGAAAGAGCGCGAAGCGCATGATAAGTCCCTTGGGCGACTGGCATCTGGTAATTCAGGATCCGCAACTCCATCTGCAGGCGAAGTGACTGACGGGTAAGCTCAAAGGCCCTATCTCCCCGCGACTGTCTCCATAGGGACCTCAACTAATCTACTCCATGATTGTATAGGTCGTCCACACCTCGAAGCGACGGACCTCCAAAGAAGAAAAAGAAAAAGCCTCTTGCAAAGAGCAAGCTCTCATTTGGCGATGATGAGGACGATGCAGGCGAGGAGTCTGCGGCTACACCACGCGATTCCAGTATATCCCGATCTGGCTCAAAAACACCGATAGAGGAGGGCGCAACTTCAGCATCTGTTCGCATGAAGGCTAATCCGAATGCGCCACCTCCTCCGAAAGCTTTGACTAAGGCTTCTCTAGAAGGCCAGGCGCAGGCTCGCGATATACTTCGCAAGGAGTTCTTGGTCATGCAAGAAGCTGTCAAGAATACAGAGATTCTGGTCCCCTTTGTGTTTTTTGACGGCACAAGCATACCTGGCGGGTCGGTCAAAGTCAAAAAAGGAGATCCGATATGGCTGTTTTTAGATCGGTGTCGCAAGGTCGGTGCGGAGTTGGGAGTTGGTGGTGTCAATGGAGCTGCCAAAGCACGGAAGAATACTCGTCGAGAATGGGCACGTATCAGTGTTGATGACTTGATGCTTGTTAAGGGAAATATTATTGTGCCTCATGTGAGTGTTAAGTGCACCATCATTCTTGCCGATCATTCAAGCTGACCTGGGTTTTAGCATTACGAGTTCTACCACTTTATCTCCAACCAAACACCAAGTTTCTCCAAGGCAGGGGGTTTGCTATTCGACTACACAAACAAGCCCCCTCCAGAGCGTACAAATGAAGGACCCTTGTATCACCCCAATGAACATCCATTGGAGGGCGCTGACAAGGATTCGGCGGAAACTAAAGTAGTAGACCGTCGTTGGTATGAAAAGAACAAACACATTTACCCAGCAAGTTTGTGGAACGAGTATGAGCCCGGCAAGGAATTTGAAGAAAAGATGAATTCAACACGGCGTGATGCACAGGGAAACACATTCTTCTTTTAGCATGCTGTTTTTCTGAAAAAGCAATTTGGGGCTATTGATTTGTTATTATTGAATATATCCAGGCGCTGCGTGGCTCAAAACTAGATCAACTACTAAGATACGATGAATCCATTTCTGGAGGCGAGTCCTCACTGACTGACCACCACCCACTTCCATTCTCTCTTTGTCATCCCACCATCCCAAACTTAGCCACACCATGGATTTCCACCTACGATGCAATTCTCTCAAATGTCGTGAACAATTAAAAGAGAGAGCAGTGGTCACAACTTGCTCGTGAGTTTCAAAGGTGTATTGGGTGTGGCGGGTTGTTGGCAAACTGACAGCTCTAGACACATATTCTGTGTAGGATGCGCCGATGGACTTGGACTTTCACACCCCACAGCAGATGACCGTCGCTGCCCTGCTTGTTCAACGGTCCTTTCTAACCCCGATGACGCTGTTTCTACAATTCTGAACCCTACTGAAGACTACAAGACCAGTGTGTTAAGTGGCTTGGACCCCAATACTGTCATGGAGTGTGCTGGCCGTGCGCTGGGATTCTGGGCATATCAAAGCACACAAGAGATGTAAGTCTACCTTCTACACATGGCTCTGATCCTTTAAACCCATTCATCGATGTAATGACTGATTGCAGACTCAAGATTTTATCAAGAATTCCTAGGGAAGAGCCTCACCGAAAAGTATACAAGTCTCAATATGCAGATGGATAAGATCGTTCTCAACGCCAACTCTGAGATCTCAAATCTCCACAGCAAGATTTCAGGTACCTCAAATTCTCCTCCTCCAGATTAGGATCATAAATTTGATAATTTCATTTCAAGATCTACAAGGTGCCCAAGAACAACTTCAAAAGAAAAACCAAGAGCTCGTCGATCTCTACCGAGAAAAGTCAACGAAGTTGACACAGATGACGAATCTGTACAATATTCTCAAATCACGCGCCATGCGATCTCGTATGGAGACTGCAGCTTCGGAGACGGTATCTCATACTCTAAATACTGCCTCGCGGAATGGCCCAGGGCCACCACTCCCCCGGTCTGGGCCATCTCGAATTCCCACTTACACCACATCAAACCCTCCAAAGACACCTTCATATCCTATTAGCCCTGGAGGAATTGAGCAGTTGCACCGATACCAGCGAAGTGGTACTGGAAGCTCCAGACGAGTTGGCACGAAGTCATCAAAGTCCGCGGGGTTGCCCCCTCCAGGTCGGCCTACATTGAACTTGCAAAATCGTATGTTCATATTGTGCATGTGAGGGGAAGGCTATGAAATTGGCTGACCTTCCTTCTAGTCCAGAATACGACAACTAATCCGCAGCACCGTACCCGCCTCCCACAGAACAATCGGCCGCCGACGGCTTTTTCTCAGCTACCATCCGCTGATGCTATCATGGCCAGATTTGGGAGTTAAGAATGTGTGCTATCTGCTAATGTGTCGGAAGTTTGGAGTTTTACAAAGTGGAAGGCTTTTGATCTGGTCTGACGATTCAAAATCATCTTATAATATTATTCATTACTCACTCCTATGAATGGATACCATCGTTCCTCGCGTTTTATACACATGCAGGTATACAGAATTTCCCGAGTATGTAGACGCATGTCCACAAATCTTGATTGAGGAGCTTTACGGGACTATGTTTTCATGCCTACTAGCATTATTTCATAATTGAACGCTCAAAGTCGGCAGCAATCCTTTATTCTTTATACTAGGCGCGAACTACTTAGTATGTACCCGCGGCCCGCCCGCGGGTAGTGTCAACATAGCCGCCCGGTAAATACGGTACCTTCAACTAGATGTAGAGAAACACCAAAATGCTATGGAAGTCTTCAAAAGAGCACAGAAAGATTTCATATCACTATAAGATCTCACAGTATTTGTACCATGAAGCTCTTAGCTATCCGTAAACGGTTAGCCACTGCTCCTATCTGCCCTATTGCACAGTACATCTTCCCAGCCTCCCGCTCGTCCGGGATCTAATCTCGGAGTAGCGGAACCCTAGCCGCCCACCTCGGGCCAACTCCCCAGAAGCCACAAATGATGCTTCCCCTCCATCATGGACCCTGACTTAGCTCGATGAGCCGTTCCTGGCGATCTAGATCAGCCAGATCGATTTGACCCCTGTCAATCCGGGGAAAGCTCTGGTGGAGTCGTATGGTGCTATACGGAATACCTGTACCTGGTTTTATAGATCTGTAATTTTGGTCTGGTGTATTTTATACCGTATTACGCCAGCGACCACATATTCAAATATTCTCTTCAACTTTTTGACTCCTTGTCTCCCCTTTTTTATTTCTCACGAGAACTCTCCACGGCTGAATTTTGACCCGGCCTTTAAATCTTCTGTTCGCCATGAATCATACCACCAAAATGAAATCGGTTGAAATGGGGGAAGCATGGATGAGCAAACACAAAGCCATTCCAAGGTTCTTGACTGCGAGAATAAGGTCCCATATTTTGAGAATGTACTTAGTAGGTAGCAAGTACTTGAGCCATGACGGCAGATGAAGTTTGAAACCAGCACCGACTGCCTCGCCCTCGACTACAGTAACCTCGCCAGGGCAAAGAAGCATGAGCATCAGAACCATTCAATGTTCGGATAGATGAGATACAGAGCCTTCGCTGGCGAGGATCTGGCCGCTCCTTGGGATATACCTTGGTACATACCTACCTTCAATGGGCTCAAAGAAGAATGACAACCTCGAATCTTGACCACACCTGGCCATCCATTGATGCGACCTCAGCTCATCTCTTGAGCGAACCCAATGATTATAAGCGACCCGGGCCAGGAGGCGGCAACCACCAGGGCATGGCATGGCTTGCGCAAATGGTTATATGTACGATACAGTCTACTTAATTAAATTTATTGGATATGCAGAAGGTCTTCGTATCATCACTGATATATTATCCGATGGGACATCAGGATCTAAATCCCCCGGGGAAAGGTGAACATAAAAGGAAATCTAATCATGTACGTCGGCACCAAAGCACGCGGTCTTTTCGTCCGGGCAAGGGGGAAACGCCAAACCCTCGACCAGCAAACCAGGAACAGACGCCGGGGGGACTGCATGGCACAGCCCAGCCCGCGGGGCGGCATTATCCCGCATATTTCATATCATGCCATGCATTATTCCACACACACTCAAACCCATGCAACGGAGGGGGAGGTGCAACGCTGCAAGAAACAACAAACAAGAGGGACCCAAATTTTTCCAAAAGCAAGAATCACATTTATACGCCGAATTCCTTGATGTCGGTCTTCTTGCCCTGGAGAGCCAGGGGCACGATACCACTGACGTGCATCTCAGGGCCGAACACGTGCATGTCAAGACCCAACTCAATACCGGCGGCCTTGATGTTCTTGAGACCCTCCTGGTAGTTAGGACCGGCACGGCGGACCCAGATCTGGACCTTGTGCTCAACGAGAACAGGGGCGACATCACGGATGGCACGGATGACACCCTTGAAAGTGCTGGCAACGTTGGTGAAGTTGGCAATACCACCTCCGATGAAGAGAACCTTACCCTCGGGGTGCTGGGGAGCACGGAGCATGAGGTCCAGGACGGTACGAGCGTACTGGAAGGTCTGGTTCTCAGTGGGGGCACCGGAGTACTCTCCGTAGTTGGCGAGCTCGGAAACGAAGCCAGCGGAGGCAATGGCATCAGCGTAGACGACGGAAGCACCACCACCAGCAACCAGGGTCCAGACACGACCAGTGGCGTTCAGGACAGTCAGCTTGAGGGAGGCACCAGTCTTGGCGTCCATGTCGGAAATGAACTTCTCCTCCTTGGTCAACTCACGACCGAAGGGGGCGGGGAACTCCATCGGCGGACCAGCGTCGATGTTGACCTTGCCGTCGGAAGAGGCGAGAATGGGCATGCCCAGGGCGGCGGGGCTGCGGGCAACGGCCCACTTGGTACCGCACTCGAACTCAGCAGTCTGGTCGATCTTGGCAGCCAGATCCAGGAAGTGAACGTCGGCGGAGGTAGCATCGGCGTTGGGGATGACAACGAGAGGGTTGATCTCGAGGTAGGTGAACTGGCAGTCGACGTAGACGGCGTACAGACGGGAGATGAAGTCCACGAGGACGTTGTGGACACCCTGGGGCACCTTGCTCAGCAGGGTGGAGGCAATCTCCTCGTTGGAGGGGTAGTTCTTCAGGTTGACGGGGATAAGCAGCTTCTCGGCCTTAGCATCGACATCACCGACATCGACACCACCCTCGTGGGTGAAGAGGATCCAGTCACCCTATAGTTTGAAAATTAGCTTCTCTTCCCTTTCCCTTCGTTCATGTTCCAATAGCTGTCCGAATTCAAGCTTACCTCACGAACGGAGTTGATGTTAATGTAGTACTCAGTCTCCTGGGGGTGGGGGACGAAAGGCTCAACGAGGAATTGACGCAGAACACCGGTGACGGTCTCAACCTGGACCTCCTTGGTGGCACGAGCCTCAATCCACTCACGAGCCTCAGCCCAAGTCTTGTTAAGGGCGAGGAGACCGCTCTTGCCACGGCGCTTGATCAATTGATCGGGCTTAGCAACGAACTTGGAGCCAGCAACCAACAACCAAGGGTAGGCGACCTCGGCCTGGTCGAGGACATCCTTGACGGTCTTGTCATCAGGGAAGTGGAGGGAGGCCAGGCGGGCGGGAGGGTTGTGTGTCGAGGAAGCAGGGAGAGGAGTAGGCTTGATGACGGGGGCGCGGGTGAGGTGGTAGTTGAGGATGGCCTTACCATCGGCCTCGAGGATAGACTTGGCGGACATGATTGTATGTGTGTGTGTGTATGAGAATTGATCGAAGATGAGAAGGAAAAAAAAGAAGGGAAAGTAGAAGAGGGATAACTTTTTGGGAAGACTAAGGCCGAAGCTAGGGGAAAAAAAGAAGCAAGACTGGATAATACGGCGTAGGACGAGAAAAAAGATTGTGCTGGATATTACAGCGTACAATTGAGGGGTGATCCACTGTATGTTGAGACTTTGAAAAAAAGAGTGCAAGTTGCGGAAGGTGGGGGTTTGCCCTGTTGGGATTACAGTCCAGTTACCCACAAGTTACAGGTACCCAGTACTTTTGACTGTACTTTTGGTTTCTTTTAATGGGGTCACATTACAGGGGAGTACAAAGACTGATCCGGCTTGATTATGGGGGTTTGTATGGCTTTAAACAAGTATCTCATGTACCTTTTTCCACTATATACTTGTTTTCGACACCGCTCATTTCTTGTTAATGTAAATCCCCCCCCCCTTGGGTAAAACTCCGGAGTTGATTAAAGTCTTGATTTTAAACTGTTGGGTTTTTTTTTGACCCCAGAATCTGATCTACCCAGTAGCCCCCAGTACTGTATCGGGGTTGGCCGGGGACATTGGGGCCCCAAACAACTTAAGAATAGACGGAATTGGATACATTGGGATTCACCTTGCATTTTATTAATAAATTTCCCTCGTATATGATAGATGGTGTATATTTCTTCTTCTAATAACCGTCACGGGGCCATATTTCTATCTATAGAGAATCACATACGATAGATGCGATGTACGATGTCCGACGTACAGTGGATTTTGCTTTTTTTTCAATGTTTTGTACAGTGGTAATAATACGGTGTACGGGAAACACCACGCTAACAGAATGGATCTTCAAAGTGGATCCCACAAGTATCGGTGGTACCCGGTACTTTGGGGAACTGTTGAGCTCTAGCGTACGCTGGGAGGAGCTGTACACCGTATCTGCGAGTACTCGGCCCCGCGCTTTTTTTCTTCACATTCTGGCAACTCCTTTCTTCTTGATCTTCTTTCCCCCCAATCTTTCTTCTTCCCCAAAACAACATAGCGGGTGTTTTGCACAAATAGGTATGTTTCTCGACTTCCATCATTGGCACTCCTCTCCTTCTCTTTTACCTTCCCATACAGCAAATGGCCTTGCAACTTGCCCCTCTTATCACCATCATCACCACCATTACTACATAAACGAAACCCTTTTAACACTCGAAACCTCATTACAGATTCATCATGCCCTCTACTACTTCCCCTGCCGGTAACGGCAACCAGTCTGCCAACGACAACATCACCCGCTTCGCCCCTCCCAGCCGTGTTCTCTCTCCCCAAAACCACGCTCTATTCCACAACAAGACACGATGCTTCGTATAGTAAGTCCGCACGCGAGGTCTCTCTAGAGGGCCTCGACCCCGGTCAATTGAAAAGGGTGAACATGAAGAATTAACTGGCAATAGTGGCATGCAACCCCGAGCCGTGCAGGGCATGCTCGACTTTGACTTCATCTGCAAGCGTACTACCCCCTCCGTTGCCGGTATCATCTACACCTTCGGTGGTCAATTCGTCAGCAAGATGTACTGGGGTACCAGCGAGACCCTCCTCCCCGTCTACCAGGACACTGAGAAGGCTTTCGCCAAGCACCCCGATGTCGACACCGTTGTCAACTTCGCCTCTTCCCGCTCCGTCTACCAGTCTACCATGGAGTTGATGCAGTTCCCCCAGATTCGTTCCATTGCCATTATTGCTGAGGGTGTCCCCGAGCGTGTAAGTTCATTTCCCATTTCCCCATTGCCCCATTATAATCGCAATTGCAAGCTCAAGATCTGACAAAAAATTTCCTCAACAGCGTGCTCGTGAGATCCTGGTTGCTGCCCAGGAGAAGGGTATCACCATTATCGGTCCCGCCACTGTCGGTGGTATTAAGCCTGGTGCTTTCAAGATCGGTAACACTGGTGGTATGATGGACAATATTGTCGCCTCCAAGCTCTACCGCAAGGGTTCCGTCGGTTACGTCTCCAAGTCCGGCGGTATGTCCAACGAGTTGAACAACATTATCTCCCAGAACACCGACGGTGTCTACGAGGGTGTCGCCATTGGTGGTGACCGTTACCCCGGTACCACTTTCATTGATCACTTGCTCCGTTACCAGGCCGAGCCCGAGTGCAAGATCCTCGTCTTGCTCGGTGAGGTTGGTGGTGTTGAAGAGTACCGTGTCATTGAGGCCGTCAAGGCCGGTGTCATCACCAAGCCCATTGTCGCATGGGCCATTGGTACTTGCGCCAGCATGTTCAAGACCGAAGTTCAGTTCGGTCACGCCGGTGCCTCCGCCAACTCCCAGCTCGAGACTGCTGTCTACAAGAACCAGGCCATGCGTGAGGCTGGTATCGTCGTTCCCGAGACCTTCGAGGACCTGCCCGAGGCCCTTAAGGCTGTCTACGACGCCGAGTTGAGCAAGGGTAACATTGTTCCCGCCCCCGAGCCCGTTGTCCCCAAGATCCCCATTGACTACTCCTGGGCTCAGGAGTTGGGTCTTGTCCGTAAGCCCGCTGCCTTCATTTCCACCATCTCCGACGACCGTGGCCAGGAGCTTCTGTACGCCGGTATGCCCATCTCTGACGTCTTCCGTGAGGACATTGGTATTGGTGGTGTCATGTCTCTTCTGTGGTTCCGCCGCCGTCTGCCCACCTACGCCAGCAAGTTCTTGGAGATGGTTCTCATGCTTACTGCCGATCACGGTCCCGCCGTTTCCGGTGCCATGAACACCATTATCACAACCCGTGCCGGCAAGGATCTGATCAGTGCCCTCGTTTCCGGTCTGCTGACCATTGGTTCCCGCTTCGGTGGTGCCCTCGACGGTGCCGCTGAGGAGTTCACCAAGGCCTTCGACAAGGGTCTCAGCCCCCGTGACTTCGTTGACTCTTCCCGCAAGGCCAACAAGCTCATCCCCGGTATCGGCCACAAGGTCAAGTCCCGCAACAACCCCGATCTGCGTGTCGAGCTTGTTAAGGAGTTCGCCAAGAAGCACTTCCCCAGCACCAAGCTGCTCGACTACGCCATTGCTGTTGAGACTGTCACCACCTCCAAGAAGGACAACCTGATCCTCAACGTTGACGGTTGTGTTGCTGTCTGCTTCATTGACTTGCTCCGCAACTGCGGTGCCTTCACTCCCGAGGAGTCCGAGGACTACATCCGCATGGGTGTCCTCAACGGTCTTTTCGTCCTGGGTCGCAGCATTGGTCTGATTGCCCACTACCTCGATCAGAAGCGCCTGCGCACCGGTCTTTACCGTCACCCCTGGGACGACATCACCTACCTCCTGCCCACTCTCCAGAAGGGTGGTGCCGAGGGCCGTGTCGAGGTCAACCTGTGATTTTGTTCATGATTTGCAGCGCCGTCCGCTAGTGGCATACAGTCCATCCTCTGATTGGAGGATGGTGGAGTTTGGATGGTTGATCCATTTGTTTTATTTTTGTCTGAAGCAGTTTTTGTGTCTGCACAGCCTTTTCTAAGGGTATTAACCGGGCTTTACAGGCGATGCCAAATATGAAATAACTAAAAAAAGGCACGTCATTAAGCACTCGGCACCCATGCCCGACTACGGATTCTTGATTTAATTTGTTTAGATGACTAGACCTCCGGGGATCTAATGAATGCCCTTGCATGATGAATATAAGCAAGCCATTGAGGTATACTATCTTTATTATTTTGATTCCCAAGTAGATAAAATGTATCTGTTCAAACGTAAAGTAATTCCGAAATCTCTATACGCCGTCAGGAGTGAGTCAGGCTTTGCTATTCTCATAGTAGCTACTTGGGCCGCGGGCGGTACTGGCTTCATGCTGAAGGAAATCCTTATCTTATCGCACCCACCTCTTTTTCATGCTCTCAATTTCAACCTCTCCAAATCCAATTTCACCACACTATTCTCCTCAAAGAAATACACAAAATGGTCCGCCTCAAGAACCGTTATCTGCTCATAGATATCCTCTACCCAGACCCTGCATCATGGCCCTCCACCAAATCCAATTCCAATAACACATCCACCGCCGCACAACTAGCCATCCACTCGCCCACCTCCGACGCGCTGACACCAGGCCTCCTTGCTAAAATGATCCGCGAGGAAGTCAGCGACCTATATGGAGATTACGGAGTGGGAAAACTAGGTGGCGCCACTGCGGGAGGTATTAATGGTAGGTACATTTTGCCTGCATATTTCAAACTCATGCTGCCTTCTATCGTTCACTTCGGGTGTAAAAAAGACCTGCAAAGACGAATAGAAAGAATATTTGAAGCTTTGAATCGTTCCTCTTCTCCAATTTTATCTCTCAATCGCGTCGTCGCACAGACTAACACTATGTCACTCAGTTAAATATCTCTCCCCCGCAACCTCAACCGCCATCCTACGCTGCCCCCGCGCATCTTTCCGTCTTGTCTGGTCCGCCCTTACATACATGTCGCATGTCCCCGCGCCAGGCGGCGATGCGGCCCAGAAGCGGCCGAATGGGGGTCGGGAACGAGGATGTGTATTCCGGGTTTTGAGGGTGTCGGGAACAATGAAGAAGGCCGAGGAGGAGGCTATTCGGCGGGCAAGAAGGGAGATTGTTCGTATCCGAGGGGTCGAAGAGCGAGGTGTATTGGGGGATCTTGTTTCGGGTGCTGGGCTCGCGGAGAAGGATTTGATTATGCAGGGTGTTGTTGATGCGAGTGATGATGAGATGGATGATGAGGACGATTGAGGACTTGCCTTCCATCCCCTCTATACTACTACTGTCTCCGGAGGCTAGCTCTGTACCTTGATGGTTGGAGCTTGTCTGTACGATTAAATGATACCCCCTACTTGGTGGCCACACCATGCCATATATGCGATATTATACATTGGATATTTTTAGCCGCTCATAAGAATTGATTATGTTCATAAATCACGCCTTCCGGCGTACTTTCACGCCGCTGTCGGGCATGGGACCGTTCCAATTTGTGACGTCCTCATCCTCATCCATTTCATTCGGATCACTGTTGACAGCTTTGTGTGCCTCGTCACGCATTCTAGCCTCCTCTTTCAAATTCTCCCTCTCCAGCTCATCATGCTCGTCCTTCCTATCGAGCCAACGCTCTTGCACGTCTCTCACATCTGTGACGCCCATGCCCTCTCGGATAGCGACCTGCCATACAGAGTCGTTTGCACCCTCCGCAGGACCAAATGCGTATCCTGACGCGCGATCGATGGCTCGTAGAAGATTCATCATGCTCTTCTTATCCTCGACGGCCAGCGTCTCGAAGCTGACGAGCCCGAATTCTTCCACGAGCGTGATGATGGCTTCATTCAGCGCGCTGAATTTGCTGTTTGTGAGACGGGAGTTTTCGGCTTCTAGGTGAGGGAGTAGATATGAGAGATCTTGGACTTCGGTGTAGTAGTCCAAGTTGAATGGGAGTTCATTGTAGTTGGAGAGATTGTCGATTTTGGTGAGGACATTGAGATGGGGGAGGTCGAGTTGGAGCATGGCGCGTAAGGAGAGGAGAAGGGCGGAGATATACATTGAAGGAAGAGTTAAGGTATACGAATCGACCAGATGGATGACTATTAACTGTTTTGTATAACTAGATTAGTGAGGTGATCTTTCTTCAACCTTGGGAGGAATACGAACTCGGTAGCCTAGCTTTTGGATCTGGAAGATGATGTTTCGTAGGGACGCATGGTGTGTGAAGAGTTCAACCTGGCCAGGGCAGTCGAATAGAACATAATCCTCTGAAGAAACGCACTGTCAGTCAATCGGATTAAGAAAAACATAATGCGGGATGACACTAACCTCCGAGTTCTTTCAGTCCACCCTCTAACCAAGAGTAGTTTTCTTCCAGTTCCTCAAGCGCATATAGGGTAGCTCCATTCGGGCCAAGATGATCCTCTTCCATAATCTCTTCTAGGGTCACAAGATCGCGCACGTCCAGCGCGCACGGGTATGAGGTCTTGTCATTGGCGGGGTCAAGATTGACAATCGAGCATTTCCGGCCGATAGCGCCTAGAAATTGGTGCATGCCATTGCAGTAGGTGGACTTCCCAGCTCCGGGAGGTCCAATTACCAGCTGGGCAAACGGCATTCTGGTATTCTGGAGGCTGAAAGAATCAAGATCAAGTTGTGCAAGAGATGAATTTGACGTGATAGCTAGTAGATCGGGATCTTTTTTCTTATCAAAAAGCGCGGGGGATCGGGGCGGTCTGAAATGGCAGAAAAGCAACTGCGTTGTAAAGCTGCAGCTAGGACGCGGTCTGGCTTTCATTAACTTTCACTCTGCAACAATTCAAAATGGCGTCCAGTAAGCCACCCAGAGCTTCATTATAAACTATTGAATGGCTGACTGAATTCTTATAGATCAATTCACTGTGGCCTCGCCACCAACTGATGCTATCTCTGCTTTGAAGTTCTCCCCCGAGCCCGAGTCGACACGGATCGTCGTATCGTCATGGGACAAGTTCGTCTATCTCTATGACCTGCGGGACGAAAATGGCGTGGTCGGTGAAGGCAAGCTCCTACAAAGGTTTGAGCACCGTGCTCCCGTCCTGGATGTTTGCTTCGGCGAGAATGAGAACGAGATTTATACCGCTGGCTTGGATTGGGATGTGCGCAAGTAAGCAGTCTTTGAATGGAGCTCTTTATGAGCTTCCAGATCACACTGAAGCTAGGATTTTTTTACTAACTTCCTCAGGATTGACTTGAACACCTCTGAGCAAACTGTCATCAGCAGCCACGAAGCTGGTGTGCGCAACGTCGTCTACAGCCCCGAACACAAAATTATTATTTCAGGCTCATGGGACTCCACACTCCATGTTTCCCGTACAGACACCGGCACTGCCACCGCATCCCTACCGGCAATCATCCCCCTCCCCTCGAAACCCTTCTCTATCTCCCTCACAGCTACCAAGTTGGTTGTCGCCATGGCATCGCGTGCCCTACACATCTACGACCTGAAGGCCCTGGCCCTCCTCACTGCACAGGCTGACAGCACCACAACCAACGGTAACCGGGTAGAGATCGAGCCTTGGCAACAGCGCGAAAGCAGTCTCAAGTTCATGACACGTTGTGTCGCCTGCATGCCCGGAGATACTGGGTATGCTTCCTCCAGTATCGAGGGTCGTGTTGCTGTTGAGTGGTTCGATCCCTCGCCCGAGTCACAGGCGCGCAAATATGCGTTCAAGTGCCATCGCCAGACATCGGAAGATGGAGTCGACGTCGTGTATCCAGTCAATGCGCTCGCATTCCATCCGGTCCATGGCTCATTTGCATCTGGAGGCGGTGACGGTGTAGTCGCTCTGTGGGATGGAATTTCCAAGCGCCGCATTCGTCAATATCAGAAATACCCATCTAGTGTCTCTGCTGTTGATTTCAGCGGCAGTGGTAAATACTTGGCTATTGCAGTGAGCCCCGGTTTCGAAGATGGCAAGGACGATATCCCAGAAGGAGTGGTCAAGATCTTCGTGCGCGAGTTGGGCGAGACAGAGGCAAAGGGCAAAGGTGCGAAATAAGCAAATCCATGCTATGTAGTATAGATTGATACCTGGATTTTTAACCAGGTAGGAGACATTCCCCAGATTATATATCATGGGTAATGTATTGAGTTGCTCTTGGGATCGACAGCCAAAGGGAACATAGGTAGTAGAACAGTCTTTTTTGATACCACCGAATCTAACGAGCCAATTGAACCAGAATCAAAACATATGAACATCTCTTCATTTCTAGATCTCCTCTCTATGAAGCATCTTGGTATCATCGGGCTATATACGTAAACCAAATCCGAAAATCAAACAAATATCACCATTCTCTCTTACGCAGAGGCGGTGCGCACAGAGACGGAGCCATCGGGCATACCGAAGTAGGCTGCGACGGGGCGCTGACCACCAACACCACCGGCAGCGGTAGCCTGGGGGCCGGTCAGACCAGAGAAGATACCGACATCAAGAACTCCGCCGATCTCCTTGATCTTCTTCGACAGCTCGTTAACCTCCCAAACACCATCCTTGCCGGAGACCTTGCCAGCGACAATATCCGCCTGGGTGAGCATAACGGGGAAAGGAGCATCGATAAGGAAGAAGTCCTGATCCGTCTTGCGGGGACCCTCCTTCGCATCGACGTTGGTACGGATGACCGGGTCAACACTGCCAAGTTCCTTAAGCTTGTTAAGAACCCGGTAAGCAGCAATGGGGGCGACCTCAATAGGAATGTATTTCCAGTTGGTAAGCAGACGAGGCTGGAGCTTGCGCGAGTCTAATTGAAGAAGGTAAAAAAAAAAAATCATCAGCCTGTATCACATGCAAAAAGGCCGGCCCCAAAAAAAAGCACCAGGGAAAAAAAAAACATTGCATCAAGACTTACCAGCAACGCAAATGAACTCCTTGGCTTGCATGGCAACCAACTTCTCCTGGAACAGGCAGGCACCGCCACCCTTAATGCAGTTCAGCTCCTCGTCGACCTCGTCCGCGCCATCAAAGGCGACATCCAGCACGGTGCCGGCGGGGATAGCATCGAACTCGACGGCCGTCAAGCCGGCGGTAAGAATCAGCTGACGGGACTGGTAGCCCGTCGGCACGTAGCGGGTGGCACTGGTGTCGACACCGAGGGCCTTGATAGCCTCGACGACGTAGACGATCGTCGTTCCGCTACCAATACCGACCCACCGAGCATCCTTGGGGTAGTGGTTTGCGACGGCAGTTTGGGCGGCAGCGCGCTTGGCAGCTTCAACGTCAGCCATTGTGGAATGGGATTGAGATTGAGTTCGGAAGGTCGGGTGGAGGGGTAGGGACAAGGATAAAGGCGATAGTAGAGACGGGCGTTGGCGTGGGAAAGTTTGGTGGAGGCGGGGCAGAGATCGCGGAAGGGAGGAAAGTCGGGTGGAGAGGGAGAAAAAAGGTGTACAGTGGCGTGGACCCATGGATGCTAGCTTCTTATGTAAATAAATCGCGCGTTTTTTCCCTCTTTTCTCTTCTACACAGCTGGATTCTAATGCCGGTCAAGGTTGGGGCCTGCACTATAGCGTCATTGGCGCCGAGAACAATGTGGGGGTTTGAGTGAGAAAGTTGGGGAAATCTACTACGAGATTCTACACCGAGTTACTAAGTTGGGCAAGTATAGTATCAACGTATATTGTTAACGTTTTGATTTTAGATTCTGGATGGATCTTTGTATATTAGGTAACAATAACATTTATTTTGATCCTGTTCATTGTTTTGGTCCTCAAGTGCTAGAAGTAGTAGTTGATCGCATATGAAATCATTTACACACGGACCAACGTCAGACCTGTTCTGTTGAAGTTGAAGTACAAAGACAACCAACCAGCTGAAATGTAGTGGGGTAATATGCAGTACAGTAGCTGCAAGCTCACAGACTTGGGACACACATGGTAGTCTACGCTAAATCTACAGCTCATTGAAATTTGGCATTGACCTGGGTAATGAAAATATGTAGTACTAATAGTGGTGTAGATAAAGGTTCGAATTTTGGAATATACTATAGCTACTAAGAGACATAGTATCAATCATACTAGGCTGTGCATGTACGAGTACTGCGACACATGTGCGCGGACAGTAATCCTAAAAGTCCAAATTCTGAAACATGTCAGTAACCGTTTCTCTCAAAGACATGCTTTGCTACTCACAAAACTCCACCCGAATAACCTCGAATATCTGATCATCGCTTTCTGCACTTATGCGGGCAAGCGCAATTCCACTCTCATCGGTTGAGTGCAGCGATCGGCCATGAGAAAGGTCAAGGAATGTGTATTGGTAAGGACCCTGATATTCCACGTAGAACGTCTGAGCAGTTGCAGACTCCAGACAAGATCCCGAGTCACAATTCAGGTATTGCTTGGTTGCGACACTTTCAATTATCGTGGTATTATCCCCCTGGTCTTCGAATCTCCAGATCTGACTGCCCTCTCCGGCGGGTGTTTCGAAGGTTGGGGCACTATCGTTTCCTTGTCCAGTCAAGACAAGGTCCTCGCCATTAAAGGTTTGTTGGATGCGGTAAAGACCGAACAGACTGGCCCCGAGTGTCTGGCCACTGATTGTGAGAAAAGTGATGATCGACAGTGGGACTTGGAACTGCATTTTGGTGTGTAGGTGGTATAGAGGACAAGTTGAATTCCAAGGTTCAAATGTTCAAGTTTTGTGGGTGATGTCGAGTCAAGGGGTGGAATTTGGATAGCTTATATGTGGCAAATTGAGACGCCACGGGGAATCAAAAGATCAATTGTCGACTTCGATTGTCTAGGATGATCAGATCTGCAGGATTTTATTGTAACACAACATTTGAAGACTATCGATTTTATAACCAGCATGGATCGGATGTTCGAATTGTGGAGTAATCTGCAGGGGAAACACACGTTTTGGTCATTTGCAGATTTTTGCTTTTGTCGTTTGGAAGAAACATTTGAGCTCTGATCAAAGATTTTCGTTTTACCTAATTTTGAAGAAAAGAATTACGAGGTTTCAATTATTACAATCATTATACAATTCAAATGTCGAGGACTGGTAGATCCATTGGATTTGAATACTTAGTTCATGTGTCATCCGGAACTACGGAGTATATGATGTTTAACCCTTCAAATTTTATGATTGGATACAGTAATTGAGGAAGGTATTTCATTTTCTTGTTTGGCAACCTTGAAAATGTCAGAATATTACATGTATGATTCTGACCATGTAACCAACCGGACATCTGGATCCATGCATATGCAATGTATTATAAGATCGACCGCTGACTTGCCACTGGCTTACTTTAAACAAATCCAAGAAGTAAAATCACAGGAAACCGACTAGGACTCGATGCCAAGTACCGAGACTGACCAAGAATTGTCCCAAAAGTATCTAACTCATCACCTTTCCACTTCCAGGACCGAGAGTCACGCCGTCACTATTATGACCAACCAGTATTGATATAAAGCCTCTAGCATCTCATTCGGTTCGAGGGGTAAACACTGACAGGCCATTTTCTGTAGGGAATCAATCTGTGTTTGTGTGTCTTGACATTGTCCGCATATGAAATCTTCAGTACAACCCCCCCGGATATTAGGTGTGTAGCAGGGGAAGAGAAGAAGGGGAAGTAGTGGAAGAGAAGGAAGTGACTATACTTTTGAAGAAGGAGGCTAAAATGAGATATCTATGGATCAAGCAGTGACCAACCACCCTGAACCATATGGTATAAAGTGTATCAAACATTTGAAATTCTGTTGTGAAAATTGTGCAAGCATGAATGACGAATCCTTGAATGTAGTATGTAGTCGTTATATGTATATATAATAGTAGAATGTACAAAAAATGTTTACAGTTCAATTCATCTACGTGAATCAACATCCAATTTCTTTCTTCGATTTTAATCCTTCCAACTTAAGAAAACTTCAGTATTTATGAGAGGTTTTCAAGTACTTTAGTAACTTAAATAGACCAATACTATATACTACTAGAGTCTAGTATAGCCTATACATCAATGATAAGCATCATTGACCTGCCAATTGCCTTAGACCTCAGGCCACAATTCCCTGCCCACCGCTTAGTCAAAACCGATGCGCATCCATCAACAAGCAAACGACATCATTCCTTTCACAACATTATATAGCCTTGATAGAAAGAAGATTAGGTCAGCGCCGAGCGCTCAGTCGACCTTGTGTTTTGAATTGCGCTGAAATCTCGAACTCCCCTTACACCCAGTTCTATTCTTCCCCGCACGCCTATCGATCTTATCAAGCAATGGATTCCTTCCCCGCGACACTCTCTGGACCAACATCCAAGGAGCGAAAGTATGATCGCCAGCTTCGATTGTGGGCAGCAACTGGTCAACAGGCGCTTGAGGATGCACGGGTACTACTAGTGAATTCAGATGGCCGGCTCGGCTCCAGCGGCACTGGCGTTCCAGGCGTGGCAGGCGTGGAAGCCCTCAAGAACCTGGTACTACCTGGAATCGGCGGCTTTACCATCGTGGATCCAGCAATCGTCACAGAAGCTGACTTGGGAGTCAACTTCTTCCTTGAGCAAGAGTCCCTTGGCAAGTCGCGTGCTGATGAAACATGTCGGCTCCTTCGCGAACTGAATCCCGATGTGCAGGGCTACTCATATTCCAAGGTACGTGATACATGCTATCTGCCAGAGGCACTCCACATTTATTACTCGGATATCCAGCGCATCAAATACTAAACCTTGATTTTAGCCCATCACCCATCTTCTCTCTGATCCAAACTTTCTTCCCCGTTACAAGCTGGTAATTATCTCCGGTCCAGTCAAGCGCTCTACTTTAGAGCTACTTTGCCAGATGGCACAGGAGCTAGAGATCCCAGTGCTGTACACCCACTCAGTCGGCTTCCACTCAACATTCTCATTGCAATTACCCACTGAGTTCCCCATCGTGGAGACACACCCTGACCCAGAGTCAACACAAGACCTGCGTCTCATGAATCCATGGCCTGAGCTTGTCGCCGCCGCCGACTCCCTAGGTAACCTGGAAGCCATGGATGACCACCAACACGGCCATGTCCCCTACATCCTGCTCCTTTTGCGCTTCCTCTCCCAATGGAATCAAAAATACGGAAGCCTGCCAGACAACTACAAAGAAAAAACCGCCTTCCGCGACTTCGTGCGCTCAAACGCCCGCACGCACAACCCCGAAGGCGGCGAGGAGAACTTTGACGAAGCCGTCGCCGCCGTCCTAAAAACCATCTCCCCCTTCAGCCTGCGCAGCTCTATTCGCGAGATCTTCGAGATGCCGCAATGCCAGCAGCTGACCGCTTCATCTGCCGATTTCTGGATCATCGCTTCTGCTATTCGGGCCTTCTACACTGCGCACGGCGTCCTTCCTCTTCCGGGCTCGCTCCCCGATATGAAGGCTCAATCCGCCGACTATGTTGCTCTACAGAATATCTACAAGAGCAAAGCACGACAGGACATCGAGGAAGTGGCCGCGACTATTCGTCAATATGAAGCACGACTCGGACGCACAACTCCCATTCTCGATCGCGAGGTCGAGGTCTTCTGCAAGAATGCGGCGCATATCAAGGTCGTTCGCGGAAGAGGAATTGCGCAAATTAATGAGAAGACCGATCCAGCTACTTTGAAGGCGTTGCGCAGTGGGCTCGCCAATCCCGAACCAGTGGCGTCTATTTTCGTCGCATGCCAGATTCTTGATGCGGTTGTTGATGAGATTCAAAGCAATCCGGCACTAAGCGGGCGTTCTGTTGATGACGATGACCTTTGGGCTATGCACAAGAACCGTATTTTGACCATATTGTGCCGCGATGATCCGACACCCCTTGACGAGGCAACGCTGGAGACCATTGACAATACGATCCAGGAGATTCGCCGTGCTGAGGGGGGTGAGTTGCACAATATTGCGTCGCTGACTGGTGGCTTGGTTGCGCAGGAGTCGCTTAAGGTGTTGACGAGGCAGTACGTGCCCTTGGATAACACCTGTGTTTTCGATGGAGCGAAAAGTCGGAGCGAAATGTACCGCCTCTAAAAGGACCTCTTGCAGTTCCATAGAGTGGTGGAGGATATGACATATGGCCCTAGATGGTTTATGATTTATGATGCGTGGTAGCTTGGTGCAGCGCATTACGAGAAATGAAATGCATAGTACTGTTAAGATGGTTGATGCCGCCAGGCATGTGAATTTTGTGTCCTAGTATATACAGTAGATGGTATTGAGCGGACGAAGACATTTAAGCACAAAAACAAAGTGTACTATGTCTGCGAATGTTCATGGTGGTGAATTTTAGCGTTATTTCAGGTCTGTCGGCGCTGGTTTTCAGACCCAAACAGCCTGAGCCATGAATAAGCTACCCGAAACACACGAGTTGCTCAAGCAAGATCGAGATTTTAAAACAGGTCCATAATCGATGTAGACCAAGCTGTGTTTGATGGACAACGTTAGAATGAGTCAAATTTTGGAATTTGAGGCGACTAATTTCCGAGTCGATCAATTCCTCCTCGGCTTGAAATTTCTTGGTCCCTTGTTGGCGTACGGGACATGTTTAATATCGAAAAGCTTCTCTTTCCCAAATGCCGCATCAGCAATACGCAAATAGCTAGTGACGCCCTGATCCACAACCGCCAAAACGACATTGCGATATCCATGTCGTAGACGCATATACATCAGGCGACTCATTTTCTCTCCAGACGGCGGGTCAATAGGTGTGCTTTCTAGCAATGCGCCAAGCTGAGGAAGGGTTGGGATGGTAGTTTGTTCGCGAGTATTCACGACAGCAATTCTGAAGTCTGGTGTCGGGAGAGCGGTCTTCTTAAGCTGGGTTGAGGGCTTGTAAACGTGGAAGACGACTCGGAAGGGAGCTATTGTGTCTAGGGGATCCCGCTGGGGCGCAAGGACCGGATCATACCATGGAATCAGTTCCATTTTGCGATAGACATCGGCTGGAAGTCGGTGTTAGTTAGCAAGTACAAGACCAATAATTGGATACAATAACTCTTACCGTAGGTGCGATGAATGCCGCATCCCACGACAGGACCAGCTGCCGTGTTTGCTGTGGACATGGGATCATGGATCCAGTCCGAGATGGAAGCCAGAATACCAGCGAGTCCCGCTCCGCGGTATCTCAACTGCGCATATGCATCCTTCTCTTTCTCTTTCTCTTTCTCTTCTTCTTCCTCATTACTAGCAGAACCCTCCGGCCTGGCCGAATCGTTCCACCCAGGCGCGCGGAGAACCGAATATCCCAGCCGCTTCAGGCTTGTGAAAACAGAGTATCTCTCCAGAGTTAGGTTACCATGGCCCATGAAGCATGCATACGCCGCTTGCAGACTCATCGGAATAGAGCCATCGTCCTCGCCATCATCAGCACTGCCTGGCGTGACACCTGTCAGCGAGACCGGCCACCTGATATCGAGACTTCCTCGTTCAATCATATAAAGTGCCTCCTCGGGTAATATCCACACGCGATTCCAGCGATCTGTCTGACCCATATTTTTGAAAAAGGTTCCCTTCGGATTCACGATATAGACACAGGCATCAGGCGAAATGTTGAGACCCCGTGCTTCACCCTTGGGCTTGACAGACTCGATATATTCGGGCGGGGGCGAGAACCCATCCGGCGCATAGAAACCGACCACCCGGCCCTTGGGGTGGTGAACGCGCGGGTGAGAAAGCGCATTATGCATCGCCTGTCGCGAGGCGGAAAGGACATCGGCTTGGAACTCGGTCGGATTGGGCTCGAAGTCTTTTTCGCCACGCTTCGGTAAAGACGAAGAAGCTGTATCGCCCAAGCTACCAAACATCAAGAAGGGTTTTGTTAGTCGAGTGGAATAGTATTTAGTTGCGATCGGCGTTGGTGGCGCACTTACAAGCTTAGGTGGTTCAGTAGACGAAAGTCCTGGGTTTCGTCGGATAGATCAACCTCGACCTGGGGCGCTTCGGCCGAGGTCGAAGTGATGACCTCTTCGTCTGCGTCGGCCATTGTGTGGTATGTGGGGTTTTGGGAGGAAATGTGAGCTTGCAGAGATGAGTCGCGGCGAGATCGAAGTCCAGAAATTCGAGGTCTTATCGATAAGCCGCCCACATTTCAATTGCCGATAACGATTTACCAGTATCGTTGTCTCTCACTTTACCGAATCACTGTACATATCAACGTTTTCGATGGAGTCAAATTCATCCAAGCAGGCGGCCTACAATGAGACGCTACACAAAGTTAGTCTTGTCGGATCTTGGAGTGTTGAGTCGAATTAACGAGGTTTGCAGATCTACAACAGCCTAGAAAACACGCTCAACACTTTCGGGCCTGCCTCGAAGCAGTATCAATGTGTTCTTGAGATCCTCAAACAATGTCTCCGAGATATCGAAGATGCCAAGATGAAATACGCCGAACCGGTTGTCGATCCGGATATGTTGAGTTTGGCGATGGGTTTTCTTGAGATCAAATAATGATATGGCGGGGCTGCAAGTGCTTTTTCGATACCCACATGTGTTACTTTTTGCGAATTACGCGGCAAATTTATCATGAATGAACATTTATATTGAAATTCACATATCATATTGATATACAGTAAATTCATCGTGTAAAGGTTGGCAGAGTCAGGTCTCTCCGCAGACAGAGCCCAGAATCAAAACAGAAATCAGGGACCAGGTATCTCTCATAGACTGGGATATCTCGCAACGCAACGCCTCCAAGATAAAAGTCACCAACACCTAGGCTCCAAGCCAATAATGAACAAGTATCCGGTGCCATGCAACCAACTCCTGGCTCTCTATGCAATCATAAGACATGATAATGATGTGTAAGCTTCTGGATTATGACCAGGGCCTCAAAAGATGACTGCCAACTGGAGGGCTAGTCTCTTCTGGCCTTAAGCTGTGGTGAAGCTGGCCAAAGGGTGTTCTTTCCGTCTCGTTGCGGAGAACAATTAATGTACTCTTCTTGTATGTTGAGAGTATTCATTTGAAGGGTCGGGGTTCGTTTCTCGTAGATGGCGTTTCAGTCGATCAAAAGCTTTTTCTGGTTGGCGACCATGGCGACGCCGATGTAACTAAGGGCATTGGGATCGCTGGGGCGCACGATCGAGGGGAGTGGCAGCATTGGGTTATCGGGGTTGACATGGGCTGCGTCTCGAGCAGCTTGTTCGATCGCCTCCATTTCCTCTTTGCAACCAGCGTGGTCAAGTGGGCAAACCACAATAGGTTGTCGGATAGTAATATCTCGTGCAGATGTTAAGTGAGCCTAAATAATGGTGAGATAAAAGTTGCTTCCGCTTCAAATATAAGCGACTTACCCGAACTGTGAGGTAATACTCAATTTTATACAAACTGCCAGTAGTCGTGAACCCGCTAACGCCGTACATGGGAAATGCTGTGCGATTGCGAGGCAAGATCCCTTCCGAGTCCCGCATGTCCTTTGCGGGAAATACCAGACCCATATTCGTCAGGTATCCCGACTGGGGTAATCTTACTCCTACAGGATCGGTCTTCTTCGCCAACGTCTTGACCTTGCGCTGAGGCTCATCACCCTCGTGATTGTAGATGATCTCCTCGTCGATACCAATCGTGATCTTGTTGATAGTGACTTTGCGGGCTTTACCCATCCAATCTTGATTCGGCGACAGCTTCACATAGACGCTGACGGGATCTAGTGGTCCATATGACCACCGTGGGAGTGAGATGGCGAGGGTGACCAAATGGTCAGATACTCGCTCTGCCGACTCGGGCCGGTTATACATGCCAAATGTAGATAGTGTGTCGTAGCGGGCGATCGGAACTGGAAATGTGTATTTGCGTTGTTCGGAATGACCTTGCTGCACCATGACCATCATTTCATAGAATGTCTCGGCAGTACGGCTGGGCAGCTGCAAGCTTGCTGGGGGTACCCGTCGCGAAGAATCGCGGCCCCCACGGCCAAATGGAATGAATAGTACAAATGGCAGATCCATGGCGATAACTTCTTCATGTTCTTTCCCAGCAGGACAGCGAAACAACAACATTTCTTTGCCGACGATCTCTGTGAGTTCTTTGCGAGGTGGAGCAAGGCGCTTCTTCGTTACGGAGTCGGCCGATGGGTGGATAGTCTCGCGGCGGAGGAGTGAAATAGTAACGAGGGAGACATTGACGGGCGCAGATATGCCAACACTTGGGCGAATCTCTACTTTACCTTCGATCCGAGGCTAGATGGGATGAGTGGTCAGCCTCGTTGACAAAGCAAGCTGAGCTCGGGTCTCTCCCTTCAGCCGCAACAAGGCGGAGAGTATTTGTGTATAGGTTAGGGCGCTTAGCTTACCATGGTCGCAGAGATGCCTGGATAGCCGATCAGGAAATTGCCATTCGCAGGGCCTGAAACGCGCACGAAGGCGGCCATCTCGATAGCGGTGTTCCCGCACCACCATGGGCACGCGGAGGGGGCACAATGAAGTTGTGGGGAACCTGCGAGCTAGACCGGGGCCGTGTCGCACGGTTCATATGGATCGATGCGGGTGTTGTCTGGATTCCGGGATTTTCTGAATGTTTTTCCCGGGGTGTTTTATTTAGTTGAGATCTGCTTGAGAGATGCAGAGACTCTAGGGTTTGGAACAGGAGAGGTGTGGAGAGCGGTCGGGAATCGCAGATTAGCTTAAATGGTTCATGTGGGGGGGAGGGAAAGGGAAAAGAATGGCAAGAGAGACCAGTAAAGGGCGAATCCCAGCCCCATAATCCATTTTACCGCTAACTGAGCCTCGATTGCATCATTACTGTCTAGACGAGCTAGACTCTAGCCATATCATGTATACTACTATATACAGTATTCAACAAAGACATATGGATTTAAAAACTAGCCATGTTTACATTGATCTGCCGATGGATACAAGGGATCAATTCTTTTCCACTTGGCTACATGTTCTCATACACGTCATAGACTCTATACTAGACTTATCACTTCATAGTAGAAGATTCCAAATATCCACCAAGACTAAAAGAAAAAGTTCAACAAAGACCTGAAAAATAAAGAAATTGACTTTGAAACGAACAGAGAAGTAAAGTACTAGTATACAATCCTGCATAAACAAAAAAGAAAAAAACAAAAAATCTAGAGTACCATGGACGCTATGACCAAAGTATGCTTTGATTTCGCTGGTTCCGGACTCTTCGGTTGCCAGGCGACACATGACGCTCCCAGCCTCATCTACATCTACACCATTGACAATTTGAACCCCACCACGTTTTCCCTCTACCTTTGAAGCCAGCCATTCTACCAATACTCTCACGCTTTTCTTTTCTGTATCAAGACTTCTCAAATTGCAATACTCGAATTCTCCACTGCACATTAACGCTATGCCACCCCGCCGTCGTGCAGCTGCCAAGGCGCAGTCAGCTATTTCCTTCGGTACTCAGTCCCGGGTCACCAAGCCAGCAACCACTCCAGTCACTCAAAATAAAGGAAAGAACCTCGATGCGACTACGCTCCTGAAGACCGAGAAAGCTGCATCCGTTACTCCCGAACCTCAACATGATGTTGCCACCGAGCCATCGAAACCCCGCATTACCGAGTTAGCTGTGCGCCAGCCTGCGCAACCCAAGCACATTCAAACAGAAGAAGAGAAACGGGCATTGAAGCTGTCCTTGAAAGATATACAGAAACACTGGAGAGAGCAAAGTGGTCGTAACTCAATTCGAGGTGAGTTTGGCGTTGAAGCTCCTTCACCAATGCCGAAGAAGTGAGTACTGACGCATCTACATCACTGTAGTTCACCATGAGGACGTGAAGCTAGAAGAGAAGGTCCTTCGAAATTTCGATCTGTCTAGTCAATATGGGGTATGTACTTGAGCTTGCGATCCACGTCAAACCTGTCATACTGTATACTGACGAATTTCTAGCCGTGTATCGGTATGGATCGGACTCAGCGGTGGCGCCGTGCTCAAAGATTAGGCTTGAGCCCGCCGATCGAGGTTTTGGCGATTCTCTTGAAAGGCGATCTAAATGAGCAGTCCCACATGGAGGAGCTAGTCTCTTGACCACGAGTCGAGACGAATTTCATAACCAAGCTTTTTTTTTTTTTTTTGAATTCTATTATTAGCAGTGAGATACCAATACACAATGGGGATTTCCCCAATCGGCATATAACAGATGCCAGAATAGCGCAATTTTCTCAGGCGCGTGTTAGGATAAATTCAGTTAGGACATCCCTATCGCTCGTTACCGACATCGAATCTCTTTCATTGCAGGTGGCATGGAGGCGCAAGCCACAGGTTTTGGCATGATTAAACCCCCAATTAGAGGGGATTTGATTTGAGAAAAAAAAGTTTCGGTAAAAATGGTTGTTTTAGAAGAATTACATGTATAAGAAGAACGCGGCTCATTGAGGGCATGTGTTTTGATTGTTAATATATACAAAAACGAACCCTAGAGTCACAAGACACATCCAGGGACAGCCCAAATATAAGAAAGAAAAGTCGAAAAATTAGATCATGGTATAGATGCAGGAAATGCATTGCAAAACGTTGAAAACAGATTGAGCGCTTAGTAAGTGCCAAACTGGTAAGTAGCCCAGTTGATAGCAGGACCGTCATCGGCGCCGAAAATCTGGTACTGGTCACGACCCCACTGAGGCTGGTTGATACCATCAATCCAGTCCTCGGTCTCAATGACAAGACAGCCGTACTTGTTAACGTAGGCAGCACCAGGGCTGCCATCCTGTGCCTTGTTGCGCTTGGCCTGGGACTCCTTGGTGGCGATGGTACCATTCTGGCCGTTGCAAGAGTAGATCTGCAAAGCAGCTTGGTTGGTAGTGACATCCAGGCTGATACCGGTGGTATCGGAGGCAAGGCGCAAGGAGGGGACCATGGAGTTCTCAGCGGCGTAGGTGGCAGGACGGTCGATGATCCAGCAGGTATCGTAGCCGGTGCAGTCGGCACCGCACAGACCGGCGGTCTTGTTGATGTCTTGGCCGATAGCCTTGGGCCAGGAGAAGTCCAAGGCACCATCGTAGGCAGTCGCAACGTCTGCAATCTCGCCAGTGGGGACCTCAAGGGTGTCTCCGACGACGAAGCGCTGGGATAGGGGCATCTGCAAGGTGTCCTTCAGGATTGTTTCATCCTTGAAGGCGTTGAGGTTCCAGTAGAGGTGGTTGGCAAGCATGATAGGGGTCTTCTCGGTCAAGGCCAGGGAGATCAGCTTAGTGGTCAGCTGGGGCAATCCCTTGGGGTTCTCAACCGACTTCTCGGTAGAGACGCTGTACTGGGCGTGCGAGATAACCTCGCCGGGGAATCCCTGCCATGCCTCATCCAGGAGACTGAAGGTGATAGACGACGCGTCTTGGGCGGTGACAGTCCAATTGCGCTGGTCATAGCCAACAAAGCCGCCGTGGAGGGTGTCCAGGCCACCGTGCTCATTCTCGGGGATGTGGTAGGTGCTACCATCAATGGTGAAAGTACCGTTCTTAATGCGATTGGCGTAGCGACCCACAACAGCGCCGAAGTAGGTGTGGTTGGTCTCTGAGTCGTGCAGGTACTCAAGCGGGTTGTCGTAACCGACTAGGACATCTTGGGTTTTGCCATTACGATCGGGGACCAACACTGAGGTCAGACGCGCTCCGTAAGGGATGATTGTGACGGTGATGTTGTCCGATGAGATTGTGTACTCCTTGAAGTGAGCAGCATCTGCGGAGGAGCTGCTAGACGCGGTGGAAGCAGAGGGGGCTGCGCTAGCCAGGGCCGACAGGCCGTAAATGGCAGCTGCGACGTTGGACTTGAAATGCATTCTGATACCTAATGTAGCTGTGAAAGCTAAGAAAAGGATACAATAAATGAAAAGAAGTCGAGGAGTGAAGCGTGCAGGACAAAGAAAGGAACGGAAGCAACCGAGGGGAAGGCTGGGCATTTTATGTTGGAAGCCTCCGATACGCAAACAATCATGGGCCAATTCCACGCGCTAGGCTCTACTCCGCATGTGCCGACGCTAGGGGGGCTTCTACGCGTGGGGCAGGAAACCCGGGGTAAGGGTCGATAGATCACGAATTATCCGAAAGCAGGTGAGGAGATTCTGGTCAATCATTGGACTACCGGGGTAAGCTGCTTGGAGAGATGAGGGGGAAGATCCGAGCCCTCTGAGCTAAGGTACACTAAGGTACGTAGGTGGAACCTCCTAAGCTTCCTGGGGCAGAGTCAAAGTGAGCAAAACCAGAGAAAATTAGGGGAAAACGGGGTAAACAAAGGAATGTAAGTTACATTGCGCAAAACTCCGGTGGAGAGAAATGCCACCCCTTGACTGGATCCACCAATCAACTTCTCCCTTAGTCAGTTTGGCTTGTTGGGCCACTGTCGATCTCTGACTAAGCAGGCACTTTTCTTAGTCCAACTTTACTTTGCTTCACTTTACTTCCCTCGTTTAATCTAATTCCATCTCGGTTATGGTTATGTTTATGATTTCTTTCTCTTTTAACCCCCCGGAACATGTCCATTTCAAGCCGCTTCCCGTGGAACAATTTTGGATTTCTTTATCTCGTGGCTTCTAGTCATAAGTTTACGGCATATGCAAGCGGTGCCGACGCACCTCTTCCTTAGTTTGCTTATGAGCACAAATCAAGCCACTTACTTATCTATATGACTTGTTAACCTGCAATTAGCCGAGCCGCTCGGACTGCATCATGTCTATTCGATGCGAGGTAAGCCATGCTACCATAGACGGGAATTCCATGAATTCCCCGGCATACAACCTAGATCTTGCTGGTATGCGGATACATCCGCCTCAGACACCCCCGGAGTACCCGGGCCTCAGAAGAATGATACCTCATATATCTCACTCTCATCAAGGCTGAGATGGACCATCTCGGAGATTTGCAGTTCTGAAATGGAAGGACAGTGAGAGTTTATCAGTTGCTACCACAGACTGATCGTTTCCTCATTTGGTCGGGGTTAATATACTGAAAGGCCCTCCAGATTTATTGGATAGCACCACAAAGGCACGCATGAATAAAGAGAGATCTGAAATCCGATGCCGGTAGTATTTCTTGGCCAGATCTTGAAATCGGGAACCACATGGCACTCGTGGGGGTTCCTCAGATGCATGTGAAACCTGGAAGGGGTGACTGACATGATCGGCATGCAACCATGTAACAAGCTTAGATGCAGCTCGTCTGCCGGCATTAGATCTAAGCTCCTCATCGGTACCTGCTCACATGAAGTGGCCCCTGAATGAACTGACGTACTGCTACCTGTAGGGCTTGTCATTGAATATACCTACTAGTCCGAACATGAGATCGATTCCAAGCGTCGAGTCTTCGGCTATACAGCTTAAACATCCAGCTATGGCATAGACAATGCATGGATCATAGAACGAAACACTTCAAATTAACTCTTCTCTGCCAATCAAGTTCATGGGGGTACACATTGATCGTTTGAAATGTAGTAGGTACTGGTCGACTGGTTTTTAGGTACCTACTAGTAGGTATGCATACCTACCAGACCGCACGAGACCTTCCGGTGCACCAATCATATACGAGGTCCGTGTATACTAGTCTATATTTATTGATGAACTTGAAGATTTCAAGGACATGAAATCCGGGGGTTGCCTCTTTGCGGATGAATCACTTCAATTATGCGTCATGAGAAGGAACTTACAACCATCAATAGATGAAGTCATTCTTGAATCACCCGTAACCGCGTAGGTAGCTGATCTAGTTTACACCAAGGAGTTGGAAGCTGGTATTTTTCACATTCAAGGGCATTTAACGTCAACATTTGAATGCCCCAACTGTCATCGGGACTATTTTGATATCATACCTAGCATCCCATCCTAGGCCATCCAAGCATGACGGAGTGCGAAGTTGATCGAGGAGTGATACAGCCGCGGTGTGACGAGCTATTCCGATCGATCGAAGCCGATTTTGAAGCATCTCAAATCCCAACCGATAAATGGTACCTCACTGCCCTGAGCGCCCTCACCACGACCTCCAAGCCTCATCTAGCAGACCAGCTCTATCTGTATTTAATCGGCCAGGAAAAGTATTCCACCGTTGACGCACGACGGGTACTGATCCAACGCATGCGTGAAACACTATTCAAAGCTATCGTGCTTGTGGGTCTTCCCCGGCCTACTGAAGCACTTATATCGATTAGTCGGGTGGAGCCCGAGGGTGAAGAGGAGCAGAGTTTCACTCGCGATGGATGGCAATGCGACGAATCCAATCGTACACGAGGAATGAACTGGCTACTCAAAATCTACGCTGAAAATCTTACAGCTCTGTTCAGTCTGTTCAAGAGACACCGCGATTGGGGGTTCTGGGTTGGCGAAATTGCCTACGGGTTGCACCTTTCGGATCGCCAGGTTCTTGACGACGTAGACACAGAGTTGGTGGTTTTGCATGCGGTAATGGGTCAAAATTTACCACGGGAAACATACTGGCATATTCGAGGAACAAGAAGAGTCGGAGTCGCCAAAGAAGATGTTCAGATGGTGTGTGATTGTGTACGCAAGGTGTCTGGGTTTTGTGGAGTCGAGCTGGACCAAATCCCGTCTGTTGATGTGGTAGATGCAGAAATGTAATCTGAGGAAGATAGAACAAGAGTTTGTGAGCATTTTGAAAACATTCAACTGAATACGAATTGTTAATTTTCAATGGAAATCAATAAAACAAGGATGCGGGGATGAACCATCGTGGTAGATGTCATATTCAAATGCTATACTGATGCTTACCTAATACAACCGGTCGCAGTGACCGACTCGTGCCGCTTCGGGAGCTTTGTTTATGTGTTGCCCCGCTGTTTTTATCTTGATTACTTTGGTTTATTATTTTAGAATCTCTTGCACTGGAGTATAAGCTCTCAATCCTCCAGCATTCCATAGGGTGCGCTCTCTCCACGCCCCCTAGCGGCACGCGTGCCGAGATTCAACCACCTCGAGTCCCCTCCCCGTCATGTCAATCACGTCGCGCAGCCAAAGCTCCTCCCCAGATGTCCTCGGTCCTCCAGGTGACGCCGAGTATTTAATTTCCTCTCCAATTAAACCCTTTACCGGTCGCCAAAGCTGGATGTCTCCCGCGATCGGCAAACGTCAACTCACACCGGCCAAGCGATCGCGTACGAGCCTCAGTCCCGGGAAGAGCGCGCATTCTATCCGCTTCAATGATATCCTACTTCCCGGTTCACCGAGCAGGAAACTGAACGGTCGCCAAATGTCACTCTCCCCGGAGAGGATCCAACAAGATGGCAACGTGAGCCCGTGGCGTATCCGGGTCACACTCGAGGCAACACAAGATGACGAGAACCAAATCGAAGCTAGCCCGTCGCGCAAACGGCAACGACGACCTTCGACCGTGACGACAATGATTCCTTTGAAAGATGAGCGCAGTCCTTTGATAGAACGGACGCCTGCAAGGAAGCGTGGGCGCCCGCGAAAATCGGACGCTTTGCCCCAGAATGGATCGCCATGGCCAGGAAGCCCAGGACACACCCCCGGCCCAAATGAACCGAGTACAGAGAAAAGGAAACGCGGTCGACCGCGAAAGGATACCCCGAAGCCGAAGCAACTAGAAACAGTCATCGCCGAGGATGCGCCATCACCAGCACAGCCCTGGGGGAATATGAGCCCAATGGATATGACTGCGGACGTTGCGAACGATGCTGGTGCAGGTCGTCAATTAAGCCCGATTAACCTGGCAGTGGATGGAGGCGTGGATAGCGACTCTCTTGGGGCTGACGATTTACCCGTTGCAAACCTCCGCATGCCGACCCCATCACATGGTGAGACTTGGGATCATGCTACCACCCGCGAGTATGGCAGAGCTTCCTATGATACCCCCATTATCGGAGATACAGAGCATCACTTCCAAGATGACGATCGGAATCTAAATTCCACGCCCTCTAAGATGCCATCACCAACTCGAGAAAGGCTAGGCTCATCTACTAGATCATCACGTCGCGGCACAACTTCCTCACCACGCACCTATCCGTCCCCTAGTCCAACTTCTTCGCCTGGCGAGGAAGAGAACGAAGCCCGTGGAGATCGTTTGCATGAAATTGAAGTGACTAATGACCACGCGCATCTTACATCAGATGCGATTGATGACCATGAAGAATTCGATTCTATAATGGAAAGTGAGGGCTTCACAATGGTCTCCTTGGATACCCTCCCCTCGGCCAAACAGTTCGGTCTTGGATCTGGCACCAGAAATGCGACAGACAATGCCGCAAAAATACTCAGAGACCGAGAGAAGGGCCGTATTGGTGAACGGTTGAAGCGCAAGTTGGGAGGGGGCATTGATGATCTACGGAGTGATACTCACAGCTCCGCAAGGCCGAGTCCTTTGGTCCATGGACCTTCTCCCGTCTCTCAAAGCTCACAGCACAATCAATCACAACCAATTCATCCGAAGCGACAAAGTTCATCTCAGGTGCTCTCCTACCCTGACCTTCCTACAGGATTATCACCCGAAAAGCCGCAAAGGCCAGAGGCTGAAACTTACGAAGCCGAAGAAGAAGTTCACTTCCAGCGTGATATTGAGTACGATTCCGATGTGCTAGAGCAGCAAAACCAGGATGAGATGGAAATGGAAGAGGCCAGGATCCAGCAACCGTATTCGATCCAACCGAGACGACGAAATTCGCCCCCAGCGCCCTTCTATAGCCACCATTCTACAGAATCTTCGCCCGAAAAGTCACCCATCCCGGAGGCTGATCTTTATGAGTCCGAAGAAGACCATCACCCTCAGCACGAAATCGAGTATGATGCTGATGAGCTAAAGCAACAAAATCAGCACGAGTTGGATATGGAAGAGGCTAGATTCGAATCATCACATTCTACGAGAAACAATCCGCCCCAATATAGCTCCCCAGGCTTAAGTCCGGCACGAGATTATCGATGGCAGGCAGACCGAGAAGCTGTCAGTCGACATGCAGCAGACCCCAAGAATGCCGCACGGCTCATATACATCAATAGTGATGAAAGCGCCTCTCATCACGAGGAAGCTGATGAAAACTCACTGAAAGATATTCCAAGGTCTGCAGAGTCAGAAATGGAGGGGCAGCCCTTGGATGAGGAACCTCTCTACGAAGCTCTCGATGATGAACCTGAACCTCCATTTAGAAATCTCAATCAATCCCCTCGCCAACATCTATATGAACCCCTTGATGAAGAGCGGGTCGACGATGAACCTGATGAGGAGCCTCTCCATGAGAATCTCAATAGAACTTTCCACCAACCCGTCCACAGACGTTTCCATGAATCCGTCGATGCAGAACCCCTCGTTGAGGAACCGGTCGATGAATTCCCCGAGTATTCGGAGCCGGAAACTAGCCGGGTGCCATTTGACCCTGACCAGCGAGTTGAATCAGAGAATGACGTTGTCGAAGAAGACAATGAATCCGTCGACATTTGGCAACAGGAGGGAGATGCCGAGCCGAGTGTAGAGGATGAGCTGGAATCTACTAGGTCACATCAGTCTAATTCTCGAGAAAGAGATATGGAACCGGAAATGGCCGAGGACGATGGCTTCGATGACATCTGGCAGCAAGAAGCACGAGATGAAAGTTATCTTTCACAGCACTCCGACGATCATGGTTCGCCTGTTCAAGAAAGCAAGAGTCCTTGGCAGAGAATTGCTCGTACCTCAGCACACCAAGACAGCCTGAGCTCATCCCCGGCCTATGTGACGGTAGAGCATGATGACAATCGATACTTCGATCAAACCCACATTCGCAAGCTACGCGACCAAGAGGTTGATCTTTCTGCTCTATTGGCAGAAGATGATACCCCCAACCGAGCCCGTTACTACAATGCAACAAGTACTCCCCGAAGTATCTTACGTCGACCTGGCCCTCAAAGCTCCATTTATGGCTCTGCAATGAAATCTGTTTCGCGAAAGACCGAGAAAAGAGTCCGCCTCCAGCCTATCTCGCAAAGCCCGGAAAGGTATTCAGAAGCCAAGATGGACTCGCCTGTTGCGCTTCAAAACTCACAATTCGATTCTCCACCGAAGGAAACTCATGCCAATGGGAGCGTTTCTGACTCTGGGCTTCATGATAACGAGTCAGTACATGACACCACGACTACTCCAAAGCATCCGCGTGCAGAAGAAGAGCCTGAAGCAACCTGGTTCCAGCGAATTACCAGCCTGACTCCGAGATGGCTCAAAGCCCCGCCCAAGTCCCGCTATGACGATACTTCTAGCGAGGCTTCCGAAGGAGAACCGCAGTACGAGGAAAGTGACCAGGAAGAACCTGAGATTCTTCAATCGGCACCCGAGATCCGGGAGGAATTTGAGCACGACCCTCCTTCCAGCCCATCGCACCAATCATCCGACAGACAGGTGGACGAATCGGCGGATTCCCCACCCATGGACGAGGACGATCACCTGCCTTCTATTGAAGAGGACGTGGAGGATCCTTGGATTCAAACAGAGGTACCTGACGATGCTATTGATGACAATGCCGCGGTTGATAATGATAAGCTGGAGCGACCGAGCTCGCGACCGAGACCCCTTGCGGTGTTTGGCTACTTTTCCGATGCTCATTATAATTCTCTTCGGCGGATCTACCGAATGGCAAAGCGACATCCCGAACGCTTCCCATACTTTGATGCGCCCGGACGCGCTGGGATTATGGGTGACTGGATGTGGACCTCGGATGGACATCACGGGGTACCTATCACCGAAGTGCAATTTGCCGTGATTGATCGCTTCGTACATGAACTCTCACACGCTGACATTGAATATGGCGGCAGTGGGCAGGTAGATTGGACTGAAGCTGATCTACATCGGAGACTCATTAGTATTATTATTGGTGAGCAAATCCGAGAGGAGCGCAAGGCGAAGACAATCCGCGGAACTTCAGTTGATACATGGAGAGGAGCTTGAAATTTTTTTTTTCAATTATTTGAGCATTCGGGAGGGCTTTCTTTTCTTTTCACCTATTTGTTTGTCCTTGGCAACGGAGTCGGTTTGTTTTTCAATGCGACTGCAAAATTCTCCTTTATGATTCCCTCAAGGCTATGGATTTACTATGGAGTACCTTGAACATTTGAATATCCCATTTTTAGCGTTCTATCTGATACCTACTTCAAATGTCATTATGAAAGAAAGAAAAATTTCGAACATTGGGTACAATTAGTTTGCCACTTGTATGCATCGCTGATCGAAGCCACTGATCACATCCTTCATGTGGATTTGGGCTTGCAAACATTCAATATTGACGTCGAATAATGCATGTCCACCAGACGAGCATCAACCAGACCAACCCCTGCAAGTCGATCCCTTGTTTTTCCGAACGATAACGGCAGAACAAAATATGATGTATGTACATATCATATTTCTCCAGCGGAAGAGACTCGGCATTCGTCATAATCTGAAACCCGCGTATGATCTAGGTCTACAATGGAATCCAGTATGACCCTCATTTCTATCATGACGACTGGACTCGACCTCGACTCTGTAACAACAACACCGCACGACTGGTTTTCGCTATCTATGGGCTACACAGGAACCTCAAGGTACAAGGGAGGCTACACCTGTCTACACAGCAGCACGGACACCAAGGTCCAAGTTGGAGTCTGGACCAAGACTGCAGGCTTATTGAATTGGGCCAGACCAACCAGGGGGAGACCGGGGGTATGTACTCGCACTCGCGTGGCCAAGTATCTGATGTACATTGGGCTCTTCCCCACTCTCGTACAAGGAGCTGCACGTTCGTTTTCGTCGCAATCGGTCCGTGAGCAAAGTGCCACTTGGTCGAAAAGGGAAGCCGGAAAGATGGCAAAGTTCCCCTCCCCTTGTTGACCTCGTTCTAGAACGTATATATAAGAAGTGTGCCGTGCGCCTTGCAGGGAACCAAAACTTATATACCAGGCTTTCAAACCTATTCCTGCCACGCATTGAAGCAATCAAGCTACTCTGCTCATTCAGCGACACATACTACACATCTAATACTTAATCAGAAACAATGGCCGTCCTCACCATTGTCCAACGAGCCATACCCTTCCCCTGGAAAAGACGATCCTCCGCAACCAGCACAACCAGCAAAGGCAAAGAAAAGGAAGAAGAACTCGACTTCGAACTCAATCTCGATCATGATTCGGATCTTTACTTCCATGAAAAGTCCCCCGGCACCCAATTTGCCGCCATACCCCGTCCATCCATGCACAGTGACGTCTCCGACACCCTGCATGTAGCGGTGAAGCAGAGTCCAGGTCCAGACCAGACAATCGACCCCCACGCATCGTCCAGTGAATTTTCCGACTGTGACTCTGATTCGGAATCAGAGATTGACCAACAAGAGGCCTCCTCTTCGTCGTCGCGTGCGCGGTTCGGGCGCATGGTTAACTGGGCGAGTATTGTTCGCAGCCGATGCCGGTGGACGCAAGAACAGGAGAAGGAACTTCAGGGTGCGGAGAAGCAGTTGGCACGGTGTCAAAGAGCCTGGAGCTCTGAGCAGGAATTATGGCTGTCATATGTATGTTTGCTTATCCCCCTTTGCCCCCCTCGTCCCCCGTTTCAGTTCTGTTGTTTCCTTTGCTTGCACAAAGGTACTGGTACTATCTCGTAAGAGTATAGAGTGGAGGGTGGGCTATACACATACACATGATAGTCATTCATTCCCATTGTAAACATGGAACTTACAGAGGTTACGATATACTAATTTGTGATATCTGTGGTTTTTTCCGCTGCTAAGATCCAAGTTTTGCGCGAAGAAAAAGAAGCCCATGAAGGCTTTATGCTGATGCGACTGAAGCAGCAGGAAGATGAGCGAAGCCAGTTTCGCAAGGTCTGGAAGAGACGTCGATCTATTGAGAGCGCACTTGAAGAGAAGGAGAAGGAGAAGGAGAAGGAGAAGGAGCGAGAAAAAGAAAAGCAAATCACTCTCATGGTGAAAGGAAACATCAACGGTCTTCAGAAGCTTCGTCGACTGCAGCTCGGATATCTAAGTCCTACTAGTTTAGTGACCAAGTCACCGGCAGTAACATGTCAAGCCTGAAATGAGATGACTATCAGTTCTTTCACTAGAAAAAACTCCAAGTCCAACATATACGTATTGTTCAATAATACTACCGCATCTATACAAATTATAGAAGATCCGACCCATTGGTTTGAATATTCTACCTCGCCGCCGCCAAATGCTTACTCCCCTCCCTCCCATGCGTCCTATCCACACCCCCATGCGGCCACTTCCTAAACAAATCCCCAACCATATCAACAGGCGCAGTCAACAAGCCCACCGCCGTCTCAAAAGGCGGTTTACTCGGCGTCAACGGGTGCGCCCTCGACGGCAAAAACCTCTTCATCCGATCCAAAGACCCCGCCAACGCCTCACTATCCTCCCTCGACAACGCCTCCTCAAGCAGCACCAGATCCTCCTCCTCCTCGCGCCTCACATGCACCCGTAGATCCTCCGCAAGCGCCTCCAGCGTCGGCGCAAAGCGCGGATCCGTACAAGGCAGTCCCTGGAACATCTTCAATTGCTCCTTGATCTCGCGGTGCTCGGCGCGGTTCTTGTCCGCGAGGACCTGTCCGTGCCGGACATGTTTTGCGATGGCCGGGTAGACGAGTAGCTCTTTGCCGATTGTGTTGCGGGCTAGTTCCCAGGTGAACTGGTTTTGGTAGCGGGATTGTTCGTCCGAGTCGATGGAGTTGAGGATCTTGTGGCTGTGGGATTGGAGCTCGGCGTGCTCGTGTTTGAGGAGGGGGAGGATGCGCGAATGGACTTCTGGTGTTGCGGCTGCGTTGGTGAAGGTGCGTAGCGTTGGGCTGATGTTGCCGTGGAGAAGGCTGAATTGGTCGTTGTATTTGGGTTGGGGGCCTGGAGAGGCGGTCGTTTTGTCTGTGATGCCGGCCCTGGAGGTGAGGAGAGGGCGGACTGAGCGGAGGGGATGGATGAGGGGTGTGTATTTGAACATAGGGGTATATACTAGTAGGGGTTATTTGATGGTTTGATTTTCCTTTGTGTTTGTTTCGAGAAAAGAAGTTTTGGAGATAGTGAAGCAGATGGCGAATTCGGTCATTACTCCCGTGCAAGTCATTATGATGATATCTAGCCCTAATTCCAGTGGGGTTGAGTTATAAATTAATAAATAGAAGCTTGAAGCTCATATCCAAAGTGTAAAAATTCAATTGTGATTTCTTTTCTTCCATTGTTATGCTTCAAATTGCGCAAGCTATACTAAATATCAAAAACGATCTATACTCCTTCCCAATGTAACTGAAACCAGAAAGACTCAACAACTTAATGAAACCCGTCTTTTAAGCAATTTGTTCAACAAATTCAATAAATCAGCCAAAAACCAAAGCCCGAACCTCAATACTCTCTCTCGGCCTCGCTCCAGCGGGTGTCCTCTCATCCCAAAACGCCGTATGAGGCACCCACTGCGCCACATCGCCATCCCTCAACCCCTTCGAATCCGAACACTTAAGCAACAACCGCTCATCACCCGTCATACCAGACCAGTAATGCCACTTTTGACCCGCATTATGCTTCACGCCCATGGTCTCGCCCGTCCGATCCGGGTACCGAAGCTGAACAGGCACCAAATCATCCGGATCGACCGATTCCGCCGACGCAAAAGCCAACGGCGACGACTGCACCGGCTCTCCAGCCTCCGCGCTAAGCGGGCGCCAGACGTTCACAATCCTGTATCTGCCCTTCAGCAGAGCCTCGGCTTCCGCTGGATCGGGAACATGGAGACGGACGCGGGCTTCCGCTGCGCGCGGGGTTTGGTCCACGTGTACGAGGGTGACGGGCTTGCGGTGCGCGGAGGCCTTGTCGCGGCGGATTGTGTGGTCGAAGAGGACGATCTTGTGGGCGCCTGGGATGGAGTTGAGGAGGAGAGATTCGACTTCTGGGTAGTATATTTCTTGGACGAGGGCGTCGGAGTCGAAAGTTTCGTATGTTGTTTTGGAGGAGATGTTTTGGAGGGTTTGGAATGAGTCTTTGTCGAGGGTGAAGGGGTTTCCGGCGCCGCGAATGTCGCTTAGCGAGACTTTGTGGTCGACTCTGCCGTAGTTGTACTGGGGTTGGCCGGCTGGTGGTTCGCTGACGTAGGCGAAGGGAACGGAGTTATCGGCTGGGGGTGTGTAGAAGGTCAAGGAGGCGGTTGTTGGGCCGCGGGGTACGTAGGATGAGTCTGTTGTGATGGTGGTGGTGGTAGTGGTGGTGACGACTGGGGCAGCTGTTGTAATGGTGGACATATTGAAGGTTCAAATTGATGGTGAAAGATGTATAGTACTAAGTATAGAGTAGATCAACGGTGCGGGTCCCGGGAACTATGCCGATCCTAGGTGTGGAAACGCAGATGGAGTCAAGTATAGTGTGCTGTTAATGAGAAGAAGAGATAATAACAGACAGCACTTGAGATTATAGAGTTATTTATACCTCCAAACATTTGAAAGATGCATTTCCAATCCAACCTTCAGATGTGAATTAGTGATCAACATTGGGGCATCGTATTTGTAATCTCGCCGCGGATAATGCGGAGAAGCGGGTAGTTGGAAGTTACTGTAACTTACATGATTACATGATTGATTATGACCCCATACTCGGCCCGGATCACCTCATCTTTTAACTTAAGTTATGGAGTACTTGAGATTGACCTCACATGGATAGACTCAGCCGAGGGTTACGAACAAGAGCTCAATTGGAAAGAATGGAGATCTCCCGGAATCTGGGGAATTTGATAGGTCGAAAACGCGGGGATCAACAGGACGGCAGCGAACGACGGCAAACCGACTTCCGCCAGATCTTCCGGTTCTGTCTTCCGCATATCTTTGGAACTCCACTTAGCTTTGCGTCATTTCAAGACTAATTTAATGTTCCACTATATAAGGCTTCTTCTGGTATCCATCTTGGAAGTTTGGAAAGATCAGATTTCTTCCATCCTCAGTTTTCGTTTTTTGGGCTTTGTCTTTGTCAAATCTCAGCTCAACATGACCAACATTTACCGGTCGCATTATCCAGATCTAGACATCAAATCGCAAGATCTGATCTCTTACATTTTCTCCAACCCATACAACACTCCTCATGATCGACCCATTTACATCGATGCGCAAACGGGGAAGCAATATACATACGGAGAGGTGATTCAACGCACTCGCTCTCTAGCATACGGGCTGCAACAAAGTTTCGGTCTCCGAAAGGACGATGTCATAGCTTTGTTCAGCCCAAATAGCATCGAGTATCCAATTGCATGCTATGCGATCGTGGGTTCTGGCGGTCTCGTGGCCCCAACTAGCGCTGCTTTAACAGCGCTTGAGTTGAATGCACAGCTGAAAACAAGTGGAGCCCGCTTCGTCATCGCGCATTCAACGCTGCTTGAAACCGCTCGGAAGGCAGTAAAAGGAACAGCCGTTGAAAAGATCATTCTCCTAGATGGGCCATATCCTGTCGATGGTCAGGCGACATGCGAGCATCTCGCGAGCACATTTCCCGAGGGTACTCTTACGACAGTTTCCCCCGCCGACGCTGCCAAGAGACCCGTCTTTATTTGCTTTTCTTCTGGCACATCAGGACCAGCCAAGGGCGTCGTCTCCACCCACCAGAATATTGTCGCCAATCTCCATCAATGGCGAGCTATCATGTTCGAGACTGGTTCCCCCTCACAAAGACCACAGCGGCACACCGCCGTCGCGTTCCTGCCATTCAGCCACATTTTTGGTCTTAGTCTGTATATGTGCCAGTGCATGGCCTGGGGCACTTCGGTCGCGGTTCTCGCCAAATTTGATCTTGACATGTACCTCGGATGCATCGAAAAGTATCAGCCTGACGAGCTGGCATTGGTGCCTCCAATTGCCCTAATGCTAGTGAAGGATAAGCGGGTCGCCAATTACAATCTTCGCAGTGTGAAGCGAGTCATGTCTGCGGCTGCCCCTCTCACCAGTGAACTTGCCGCGGCCCTGGAAGCCAAATTCCAAACCTTGTTCCAAACAGAGGTGTTTATCACACAGTCTTGGGGTCTTACCGAGACCTCTCCTTTGGCGACTGGCATTCCCAATGACAGAATGGATAAGCGCGGATCGGGCGTCGGAGTCATCGCACACAACATGGAATTCCGATTCGTGGATCCTGAGACTATGAAAGATGTAGTTCCCAACGCCGATGGGTCGACTCCCTCGGGAGAGATCTGGTGCCGGGGACCGAACGTGACCTCGGGCTACTATAACAATGAGGAGGCAACCAAGAGCGCCTACCACACTGAGCCTGATGGAAGCAAATGGTTCCGTACTGGTGACATTGGAGCCATCGATAAGGAGGGGTATATCGCTATTCACGATCGCATCAAGGAGATGATCAAATACAAGGGTCTTCAGGTCATTCCCAGTGAGCTGGAGGGGAAATTGATTGAGCACCCCGATATTGAGGATGCAGGCGTTGTGGGCATGTGGGCTGATGAGAAAGCCACGGAACTTCCTGTTGCTTTTGTGGTCCTTCGTCAGCAGGCAAAGTCCAATGATGTGAAAGCCGTCACCGAGAGAATTAACTCATGGTTGAATCCGAAGATCGCGAATCACAAAAGACTTCGTGGTGGTATCTTTGTTGTAGATCAAATCCCGAAGAGTCCCAGTGGCAAGATTCTGCGACGACAACTCAAGGATTTACTCAAAAGCAAAGCGCCAAAGGCTCAGTTATAGGGGACTAGTAGATAATTCCGGATTTGTCATATTCTGTCCATAATCGAAAAATTGAATCATCAATAAATAATTTACTTCAACGTTACATGCATAGTACGAAGTCTTGTTAGATGGCCTTATATAAGACTTATTCACTCAAGTGCTGCTATGGTGGGCACGGGCACTACAAAGGGTTCCTTTATCTTGTTATCCTTCTCTTCCTTCTTTACACTCTCCACACTTTCGCACTTCGTCTTCTTACCTTCCCCTTGAGAATTATAAACAGACCCCAACCAAGGTATTGTCTTCTGCTCACGTTCTCACTTCTCATATTCCTATGTACCTTGGAGTATGTTACTGACTCCCGACTCACTTATTTCTTTCCTGTATCTTGGGAGATAGGGGTTTCAAATAAGTAAATTGGAAAGATCATTTTTCTGTTAAGCCAGAGATTGTGCTCCTGGCCCCTGGGAAGGATTAGACACCTTGGTGCCTTTGGAATTAGGCAACGACGGCTGTCTCTATGTTTATCCCAGACGATTTTTCTCGTAGAAACATCAATTTCAACATTTCATTTATTAGAACCAGTTGACGGTAACAGCTGAAGTGCTAAGTTGAGCATCAAAATGATTGTGTCCAGCATAATCTGAACGACATCTGGACATTCTCAACCTCAATCCCGATCTACCCGTGCCGAAGATTGTTGAAGCACCACAATATTCAATATTGGGTTCCCCGCAAAAGCCCCACATGACTTGGATTGACAATTTGGGACAAATGGATCCTTTGAATCTCCCAAGAAATACTATGGTGGATATCCCGGGAGTTGAGACCAGCGTCATTAGCCGGGGTCTACTCCTACCTCTCTCTGATTATTGACGTTTCTACATATTCCCCATCACCAAATTCCATCACAATGGCAGCCCCAGAAGTCCACCACGCATCCCTGAATGCCACATTCAAGGGCATCGAACGAAACTATGAAGGTTTACCGATTCATCAATTTCTAGGAATCAAATATGCCAGTGTTCCTGCACGGTTTGAAAAAGCCAAGCCCGTAGAGGGCTTTGCGGGGGCCGTTATAGATGCTACCAAATATGGGTATGTTAACACTTTGTATATTTCTAGTCTTCAATTCCCATTACTGACGTTCAAAATAGTCCACGTTGTCCCCAGGCTGATGTGGATGTTCGTCATCTTCTCCGAATCCCTGAGGACTTTGTTATTGCACCGGAGCCCGAGGATGAATTCGAATGCTTGAACCTGGAGATTACTTGTCCTCCAGTATCGACTGCGGACCCTTTGCCCGTGCTCGTCTGGATCCATGGTATGTTCTCATCAACTCTTCAAATGTATTCTTACTTTGTATAATGCTAACATGCGTTTTAGGTGGTTCTCAGATTGTGACTTTTTGCTCAGCTGCTTCCAAGATCTGTGGTAAGTTGAGAACATACATGATTTCGGTCGAAACGATAGCTAATCGCAATTCCAGATCCAACAAAAATTATCGCGGATTCCATCAGAGCGGGAAAACCTATGATTTTTGTGTCTATCAACTACCGGTTGAATATCTTCAGTTTTGGCGATGGAAAAGAGAAGAACCTCGCTCTCAAAGATCAGCGGATTGGTATTGATTGGGTGCGCAAGAACATAGCCTCATTTGGCGGCGACCCCGTAAGTACCAATTTTCTTGTTTCGTTTCGATGAATCCACTATTAACTTTCACCAGAGCAATATCACTCTTTCAGGCGAAAGTGCCGGAGCCATCTATACCCATGCGCATCTGATTACTGGACCACCAGTTAAGCGGGCGGTATTGGCTTCTGGAACCCTTTATCTATCATCTCCTCTACCAGTCGAGAGGGGAGATGGACTGATTAAAGCGTTGGATGCCAAAGTTCAAGAGTTGGGCCAGTCTTCACTTCGATCCTCCTCTGTTCCTGTCTTGATTCAGGCGCTCAAGGAATGCAATGTGAACACCATGTGGATCCAGGAAGAGCCAGAATTGGAGAATTGGGAGACTAGACCAGAACAAGTGGATGAACTGATGATCGGCGATACCGAGTATGAGGTAAGTTACACTGACTCTTTTTATGATCGATATGGCATTGACGCTCCATACAGTCAGTGATCTGGCGCAATGGTGTCGAACTTTTGGATGGCGAGACCATTTCTTCCGCATTCAACCAGAACCAAGAATGGGGAACAAAGCTTCGCAAGATGTATCAAGTGGTGGCCGATCGCCCGACTGCCGCCAAACTGGGTGCCTTGGATATTGTTAACGATGCACGATACACCTTGCCAGTCGAAGTAGTCTCGGAGAAACTCCGGGCTGCTAACAAGCTCGTTTACAACTATGTTGTCGATCAACCCAATCCATGGCAGCCGTCGAGTCGCGCGCACCACGCCGTGGACTTACTCTTCTTATTTGAGGGCATTGATCTCGGGTTTAATCCCGGCGCACAGACCGTGGGACACGAGATGCGCCAACGCTGGATTGACTTTGTGTCTGGACATGCCCCTTGGTCTAATGACAAGCGATTTGCGTATGGACCTGTCGGAGAGTGCAAGGAAATTAACAAGACACAGTTCTCTGCTCGTCGGCGAGTCGAGCACTGCCAAATTCTCCGAGAAGCTGGTAGTGTTGTCTATATGCCCATTTTGGGGGCCCTCACGGCTGGGCGAATTAGTCTCCTGAACTAGATTAGAAATAGGAAAAATGTATGCGCAGTGTTCAAAGTCGGCACATATTTCCGAGATCGAATACGAGCCACGGAATTTTCCAGATAAAATGTATACATAAATGTTGCCACATATCTCCTATGAAGCTATGGTAGGGGAAATGTAGAGGTTTCGGCAGTTGCTCCTTGGACTCTTTCCCGTCCCTCACTTCCAAGTCTCCAACCGACAACAACGGCTGGAACACGCGACCCACCACATCAACTAAACAATTCAATCCAGACTCAAATCCGGGCTTTGAGTTCATCAAGTGGATTTGGAGAGATTCAGTATCACTCCCCACGCGCCTCACCTCCACACGTTACTCAGACCTGACTCATGTGGGGTCAAGGTCCGCGAATCCAATCGTTGTCGAATTTAAGCCTACATCCGGCTTCCCCACTGGCCCTGGGAACGAATCGCGATCCACTGACCGGGGAGGCCGGCAGAGCGACCTTGTCACTACATGCCGATACTTGCTTGCTCTTTGTATCCGACTTGGTGGTCCGACGCGACAACCCATACAATTGCTCAGCTGAGATCATCCCTAATTTATTAATGACGATGTTGTTGGTGTTCCACCCGTATCTTTTACTGTGGTTCTCCACTTGAAATATTATTTGCAATTCTGGGCGTTACTTTCTACTCCGGAGTCGAGGGGATGACCCCACAGAATGAACCGTGTCTGTGTCTTACCAAGTATATAAGGCCTCCCGAGCTAGTTGTTGATGCGCAGATCCAATAATTCATTTCTTCTTTCTCCTGTTTTCTTTCATCCTTTCTTCTTCTTCACCCGCTACCACATCCATACCATGCCTTCTACAAATGGTACAACCGATCCCTTGGAATATCAAAAGATATTCCACTGGGCTGAAACACAGAAGGATGGCACTATCCCTTCGTTTAACACAAGACGCAATGACCCTTACAAGGTACGTACCCATGCCATTCCCAATGAGCCCAAAGTAACAGAGACTAAAACCTCGAATAGTATCAAGCCGGATTCGGCAACTCGTATGTATTTACATTCATATGCATCTAGCGATTCAACTGGCTGATGTAGCTTCTTCAGATTTGAATCTGAAGCTGTCCCTGGCACTATTCCACATGGCCAAAATAACCCCCGCAACGTGCGCTTTGGTCTCTACGCCGAGCAAGTTACCGCAACTGCCTTTGTGGCACCCCGACATGCCAACAAGAAGGCATGGCTGTACCGTGCCCGCCCAGCCGTTGCGCACCAAGGATTCGTATGTAGACCTTTCCCCCACATTCCCGATGAATTCCCTACCAACAGCGTCCCAATCAGACCGAATTGCCAGACATCGAAGACACCGAGTCCAACTTTCTGCCGCTGAATCCTCGTATTCATGTCTCCCCGACTCAGCTCGCATGGCACCCATTTGATATCCCCGAGACCGGCGAGGTAGATTTTGTCTCTGGACTCAAGACCGTTGCTGGCTCCGGAGACCCTACTCTACGAGAAGGTATCGCGACACACGTCTATGTTGCCAACACGAGCATGACGAAGAAAGCCTTCGTCAACTCCGACGGTGAATTTCTGATCGTCCCGCAACAGGGTGCATTGGACATCCAAACGGAGTTCGGTAAATTGTATGTCCAGCCTGGCGAGCTTTGCGTAATCCAGCGTGGCTTGCGCTTCCGTGTGGAATTGCCCGATGGACCATCCCGCGGATACATCCTGGAGGTCTGGGGAAGTTGTTTCGAGCTCCCGGAGCTGGGTCCTCTTGGTGCAAACGGTTTGGCCAATGCACGGGACTTCCTGACTCCCGTTGCTCATTATGAGATTGCTCAGGAGCCTTGGGAGATCGTGTACAAGCTTGGTGGAAAGTTCTTCAAGAGCACCCAGAATCACAGCCCCTTCGACGTGGTTGCTTGGCACGGAAACTATGTATGGATGATCCTCCCTATACAATTTTGAAAATAAGCTAACATTTGTAACAGGTCCCGTACAAATACGACCTGACGAAATTCGTGAACGTCGGATCCATCTCCGTGGACCATATCGACCCATCCATTTTCTGCGTGCTTACAGCCCCATCTCGCGATCTCAATGCCCCATTGGCCGATTTCCTTACTTTCTCCCCGAGATGGGACGTCGCATCCCGTAAGTCGTCCTGCAATTCTAGCACCAGTCCCATCTAAAATCACATTTTCTAATGGCGAAACACAGACACTTACCGACCTCCTTACTACCACCGGAACGTCGCATCAGAACTGATGGGTTTAATCTATGGCGACTACGGCGGTCGCTCGGATGCATTCAAGCCAGGCAGTGTGTCTTTCGAATGTGGCTTCGTTCCTCACGGTGTTGCGTACGAGGAATTCAAGGCTGCCAGTGACGATGTGCCGCCTGAGATGCGGATCTCCGAGGCGTCGATTGCCTTCATGTTTGAGTCGAGTCGACCTTTCACTATTACTGATTTTGCGTGGAACAGCGCTAAGAAGCATGAGCATGAGCCTAAGATGTGGGATAGCTTGGTCGATCATTTCTCTGAGCATGCTGAGGAGGTCGAGGCTATTTTGGCCAAGGCCAAGAACTTGTCTGTTTAATGAGTCTTCCAAGGTTCTGTTAATGGCGTCAACGTTTAGCGTATGCATTTCATGATCGGAAATACGATTTTCAGTTCACTTTTTCAGATTGTTTTCTATGGAGTCACCATCCTTCGTAGAATAAATGCCTAAAACCAAGTGGATACTAGTAGGTAGTATTTGCTTACCCAAAGCGACCTCTACATTCTTTTTGCTTGCCTTATCACTGACTATTGACCGATTACCGATGTGTTTGTAGAGAGACTCTTCACTTCTGACGTGGTCGCTGTCAAGCCATAAGCACTAGTTAAGCCATAAACTGTGCCGTTCAGCTCCACATTTTGAGCTCCAATCTAACTGAAAAGACGAAAATACCTCTACGCATCCAGTATTCTTATTCACGGATGGCTGGAGAGAAACCGCTTGATTCTTTTCAGCAACACAGGCTTGTCTAACAATCACCCATCCACCTAACTCCTCAATGTCAAGGTTTCATAAACTTCCAAAATTCAGTCTCGAAGGCTTCGGACGGGGTCCTTTGACGCCAGCTCTCTCGACACGGACTCTCTCAACCCGCCCCTCCTCGATATCCAAGGCCCTTGCCTGCCTTCCTCTAAAATTATCGATTTGGCATACCTGGCGAGACTTGATGATACTCAGGAACTGGAAGCCTCAACTCCCATGGTTGACGCTATCAAAGAAATTCCTGGGTGGAAAATGATTTGTTTACTACTAGTCAGCTTTCCGGTTGTTCAAGTAGGATACTTAGTAGTTATCTTAGTTTGTGTTCCACGATCCCAATTTTATTAATCTTCACGGACCTCAATAGATCAAGCTCTTTGTCATTGTATTTACAGTGGTGGAGATTTCCTGTGCGCCGCTCGTGATCATGAGTACTGTACAAATGTGCATTCAATCCATCAACCAATCAATAGATGATCAATCCGAGCCAGCTTGGTCTTGTTTAACAATGGGTTTCCTCAGGATATAGCCACCCAAGAAAAGGAGCACTGGAAGCGCAGAAACTCCAGTAATCAACCCCATTGCCCAGCCCATGGTGCCCCATCCAGCACTTTGTCGAATGAACCCAGCAAAGAAAGGCCCAATCAATGTGCCCGCTGCAAAGCTCATGTTCGTCAACCCAAAGGCCAAAGCCATCGCACCTCCACGACCAAAGCTATCAGGTGACTCGGCTTCTTTTTCGTTGACAGAAAAGAAAACCTCGGCAGCGAGCGGAGTCATTGCAATGGCAACACATAGACCCAGTAGCGCGAGCAAAGCACAAAGAACAACCTTATCATGTAACGTGTCATTCTTTACGACCCTCAAAAGCACTGCCACCGGAACAGCGCCTAAAAATGCGCCTGATACCAGATAGCGGGTTGATTTTGGGTACTTGTCGATGATCGTCCCTGTAATAGGATCGACAAGGTGAGGAAGCATGATCGGGAAGAAAATGAGTCCCTGGCCGGTTTGTTGCCAGCCAAATGTCTCCTCGACAAAGAGGGGAAGCACACTGTCAAAAGACGACAGAACCAGAGATACAACAAAATACCCCCAGAGAGCCACCGAAAGACGGGGTGAGCCCAACAGAGCTGCAATCTGTTTCAAAGGATGACGGGAGTGTTTCGGCTTTTCTAGGCTTTCGATCGATGAGACAGCAGAAGAAGCCGCGACTTGAGCGTTGCTAGCTGCTGTGTCGTCTTTTTTCTCGCCCAAGGTCGGTGACAATGGCCTCCTCTCAGGGGCAAGCCATGGGATGGCATGCTTTTGCTCAATCAGCACCACTCGGAGAAATATATCAATCGCAATCAATCCGAATGCAAGTCCAAAGACAGAATAGTATCCTCCATGCTGATACAGTACACCTCCCAGCAATGGACCTGCCACGGTGCCCATGCTCAAGGCCATCGAGACGTATCCGACTGCTTGACCAAATCCCTCCTTCCCCACCGTGTCTACCAACAGTGCAATTCCAACAGTCCATACCACGGCCGAGGCCATGCCTTGGAACAATCGGCCAGCGATCCACAGACCGAGGTTGGTTCCGATGCACAGCAGCGCCGTTGCAGCGCCCAGTGCCACCAAACCGAAAAGAAGTGGCCAGCGACGGGACTCGAATCGGTCAGCTAGATAACCCACAACAGCTATTGAGGTCAGCTTGACATCATATATATTGCTTGTTCTTAGGAAAAGTCACTTACGAGAAAATGCTAGCGTTGCCGCTGAGTATAATGCTAGAAGAATCGAATTCCACGATTGAACTGACGAAATATTCTGTTAGCATAGCTCGTGCTTCATGAGAATTGAGAAGTAGATCAAACTCACTATCATCTTTGGAAATCCCAACTCTCCGTTCCAAAGCCGTCGGTGTAACAGGCACAATCTATAAAAATTAGAAATCCGCCCAACTACCATGAATTGTGGGGTAGAAGTGGCATACCAGGCCATACATGAAATAATCCTGCAGGTATCACAAGTTAGAAAGAGTAAAAACAGATGAAAAAAAAGGTTCAAATCATATCTTACAGTCGATGCCGCAAAAGAAACAGTAAATATAATAAACCATTTGGCCGATCGAAGCTCCACTAGCTTCGGCCGTGTTGGTTCTCTGTGCAGGAAGCTTTTGAACCCCATTATATGTAAGAAAATGGGCCTCAGGTATTCATATTAGGAGTTTGCAGTTGGTTATAAAAGAAAATCGAGAAATAGCGAAGAATGAGATGATTTATTTGTATCGTTGCAACGGGCGAGACAAACCGCTAATCTGGATTGCGCGGAGCCCGCGGGCTCCGCAGGCTTGAGACCCACTCGGGCCTCTAGGTACGTATCAATGTTCCGATTAATGATCTTAGTATGATAACACCCATGGACTGCCTAGAAATTCGACAAGATAAGGTGATCATGCCTGAAAATCTCCAAAGATCCCTTAGGCATGTCAGTCTTCAGGCAGAGATGGAATATACTGATACGATTGTGACCTGTGAGTGGAAGGTCCAAGCATAATCAAATGCTGACAATCAAATGCTGACTGCCGTGGAAGATGTAAGACAACCAGTGGAGCGCTTACTCTGTTCAAACCTCAACGTTGGGAAAGATTGAAGCTGAAGCTTGTGGAATACCTAGACTGATGAGGTAGGACTGGAACGATCAAAAATGGTATATGATTATGGTCCTTGGATGGGAAGAGGTACATTGGTGTAGCATGATGGAGAAGAGTAGTGGAAGTTTGTACAGGACAAAACCACCTCGGAAGGACCTGAACTTTCCGTATTTCGTCGAGCCCACGATTAAGCTTGAGATGCTTATGCAAGGAATTTAAACTAGAAGCTTTCAGTGGGGAAACCGGGGAAAGTTGCCATCAACACTAGGTAAGTGCTCTCTTGCATATAGCTCGCTACTACCTGGCACAACCCTTGGATGATTCTTATCCAACAACATTTGACCTCGTCCAATACTGGCATAAGCCACCTTCAGTCAAGAGAATGCATTGCTGACCATTGAACCATAATTTTTGATAAAAATCTAAGCTGAATCTTGCAAAAGGGTCTTTTATTTTCATGATTGGTATCAACAGACGGTTAGGCATCGAACCATACGAAATTAATAAGGAGAGAGCCCTGTCCGTATGCAGCCCGCTTCCTCCGTCAGGCCAGTAGCTCCCAGAACAAAGGTTATCGAATCTATCAAAGGAAGTAATCGGGTGTCCGTCTCGATACCATCGGTTCGCCCGCTCTTGGGCAAGGGTCAAATTGTAGACTGGAATAATTCATTAGCATTATACTCTCTGTTATCAGACACAACAGACAAAACTCACAATGTGTACTTGAGATGCTCATCAATCTCCATAATAGCGGCCTGATTACCACAGCGGTAACAGTAATTGGGGGCTAAGAAAAAGAAAGAAAAAAAAACACACGCGTCAGTTTTCTTGCTTCACCATGGTCATCGTCCAAACCCACGGAAAACATACCAGAGAAAATGGTCACCACGTTTCGATCCTGTGACCAATTATATCCTTCCATAACCAATTGGTGAGCGCGTGCAACCAGAGTCAAGCCGTTGTTGTGGTTGAATGCTTCCGAAATATCCTGTCCGAATGTGTATCCTGCACCACGAGGAGAGATTCCCCATCCACAGCGATCATCGGGATCACTCCACAGCAAGTCGCACATGGGTCCTTCGTGTGGGACTTCTTGGATACGGTCCAAGGACCGAATGTTGTCCAGGGTGTCGATCGACGGGCTCAGCCCACCGTGCAGACAGAAAATCTGGTTCTCAATGAGAGCTGTGAGGGGGAGATAATCAAAGAGATCGGTGAAGTATTTCCACACGTTGGCGTTTCCATATTTGCGAAGACATTCGTCGTAGAAGCCATACACTTGGGTGATCTGGCGGGATTCGTGGTTTCCACGGAGGATGGTGATACGCTGGGGGTAGCGAATCTTGAGGCAGACCAGAAGGGTCACAGTCTCAACGGAATAGTAGCCGCGATCAACATAATCACCTACAATGAGAGTAAAAAAAAGCAAACATTAGAATTTTGTCTCATTGCCGATATAGGACCCCCACAGTCCGACCGACGACGGGCAGGTTATCACTTACCCATGAAAAGGTAGTTTGTGTCGGGATTAGGACCGCCAATGCGGAACAGCTCCATTAGGTCGTGGAACTGGCCGTGAATATCACCGCACACTGTGACCGGACATTTCTGTTATGATGGTCAGTGGGTTGCTGATGGTGGGGACCTCGCCCGACCCGACCGGAGAACAGTCAAGATACGTACCACTGGCTGAACATTGGACTCTTCCTGCAATACTTCTCTTGCCTGTGAGCAGTATTAAATAATCAATTCTTCGGATCCATTACAGCTTCCAGCGAGAGAAAAACGCACCCGATCGCACAGGCGCCGCACATCTTCCTCCGCTAATTGCTTGCACGTCATCAAACTCTCGATCCAACCATCCAAGGTCGGTATAGAACCAGTGTCGGTCACGGGGGAGAGACGGTGTGGCTCAGGTGAGCGCGCCGTATCGATTTCCATGTTGTTATCCATGGCGGGCACAGGTGATGTGGATTGGAGGGGCCAAGTTGGGGAGGGGCGGTCTCGTGAGAAATGACTAAGGTTCCGTGTCGGTCGGTAGAATGGGTAAAGGGGTTGTGGAGGAAAGAACAATCACAAGGGCAATTCGAAGATACGAGACAATATCCCCAAGATCAACTCAAGGGATGACGGATGGGGTGGAAGTTGGGAGGGGGGGAAACAGGGAAAGGGAGAAAGAGATGCGGGAAGGTCAAGTTTGGAGGTGTTCAAGTTTGCGCCACTTTTACTAGCCACACACCGCTTCTTAGTGAACCTTTGATCCGTGAACGTGGCGGTGCAACTATATTATACCAGGAGTAAATGCTCCATACTGAATTATCTTCTGATCTTAAAACTAGTTTTGCTCAGAATTTCTATTTTGAAACCGGGAATTCTGAAAATTTTCTGCGGGGATCAGTTTGACCATTCAAGGTTGATCATCGAAGGCGGTAACCAACCGAAGAGTACAATCTCATTTAAAGCTCAGACTGTCTCATCTTTCTTCTTTGTCTGCCATTGGGTAATGGCCGCCTTATTCGGCATCTCAGGTGGCTTCATCTGTACTCTCCTACATTTCAGGCAGGCATGATTGGAGATATAGACGCATATCGTGGCTAGGCACCACGTAAATGTTCAATTTCGTCAAAAAGCAGTAGGTAAAATGAACGACCATTAAAACTCAGTCCGTACACTCGTTTTGTAACATCATCAGCCTACCTGAATATTCAAAGAAGCCATGAAACTCTTAAATGAAGTCGCCCCCGAAGCCTCCGCCCCCGAAGCCTCCACCCCCGAAGCCTCCACCAGGTCCTCCAAATGGTCCTCGGCTGCGGCCGTGTGGTGGAGCACCTGGTCCGGGGGGGTCATATCTGGCCCCAGGTGGTGCAAGAGGATCATACCCACCATTTCCACCGCGTCCACCAAATAGGGGGTCATCAAAGGTTGGGTGCATGCCACCACCAGATCCAAATCCAGGGCCAGCAGGTCCTCGGAGGGGATCGTGAGGGCCAAGTCCAGCTGGATAGAGGTCACGATCTCCAATACCATAAGCGCCTCTTCCGCCACCAAATCCGGGAGGGATGCCGCGCGCGGGACGATTGATTTCAAACTCATCTTCAAATCCAGGAGGGGGGAAATCGCCCGTTGGCTGGGGTTGGCGGGGTGCACTGGCCAGTGGATCATCAAATGGGTAAGGACGGGCGGGCTCGGGCATAATGGAATCATCTCGCAAAGGGTCTCGGCGAGGTCTATCTTCTGGTTGTTGGCGGAGTGCCTCCTGGAATTCCCGAGTCGAGCCCTCTGAGGATTCTTTGCCCAGACCTGGGGCGAGTTCTTGGATAACATTGGTTTTGAAAAATGCGATCAGTTGACTGAGATGATCCGATGAGATGAAAACCTTATGGAGGGCAGCGGTGATATTGTCTGTTGATGATAATGGGAGCGCAGACTCCGAGATGAAGTCTTTCACAGATACATCAAAAGAACCGGTGCGGTCATCGGCCAGTCTCACAGCATTCACCACGGCATTTTTACCAAGTCGACTCACTCTCAGTAGGTATTGTGTCGGCGATTGTTCGTGGGCATATCGGAAGGTAAAGGTACTGTTAGCGTTCCATTCTGCGGGGAGGGTGGGCGTCTCTGTGGATTCTGTTGAAGGTTGGTCATCAGTAAATTGGAGCTTTGAAGTAAAGCCAGTTTGAGGGTACCTATGTTGTGATCTTCGCCGAGTCCCACTAGCCTAAAGTCTACCGCTGCCATGCAGGCATGCCCAATGAGAGCGATAGCTTCATACGGTGTTTTGAGACTCGGTTGATCATCACGCAAAGCTCTGGTTGCAACGTCCAGAACATTGTCTCTGCTCAAGGATCTTGGGTCTGCCATTTCAAAGTATGCGTAGATTGCCCAGGTGTGGTATTTGATTAAGGATGGAGTCAGAAAGTGGATTTAAATGAAATTGAGTGACAGGCAACTAAGGTGACGACACTGCTGAGCCCCACGCATCAACAATGATCCGAGGCCTGTCGCGGCCCTTATCAGAAGCTTATCGCTGCCCTACGTGGGGAAAGCTCCATCCGGCCCCTGTATAAAACTCTCCTTGTATTTATGCAACTTTATTTCCTTTCAGGTGAGCAACATTCAACAGAACTGGATGGTATTTATGTAAACAAATCGCTGATCGGTGACATGTAGTATGTAATATTTGCTCCTCCATAACAAAGTGAATCAACATCTAAGTGTCTAAAGCATCGCCTTGGGGAAGTCCTTCATCGCTTGCCGCACTCCCAAATCAGCAAGAATCTCTTCCGTGCCACCCAAGATAGCATCAAACTTATACCCACGGTGGAACATTTCAATAACCTTACCCATACCGCTTTGGGTCAAACCACGTCCGCCAAAGATATTGACAGCCATATCGGCAACCTCTTGAGCGGCACGAGTTGAGCTAGACTTGAGCAGGCCAATTGGACCAGCCAGGTGCTTCGCCTGTTCGGCATAGGACAAATTGCACATCTGGTAGGTGATGGACTCGAGCCAGGCCTGGTGGGCTTCGGCAAGGGAGATCATGCGAGCAAGCCTATTAGATATAATTAGCTTGGCCCATACATATTATGGAGAGTAACTGAATAAACTCACTTTTGGCGTATGACCGGTTGTTCAGCCAATTTCTTTCCAAACACCATCCGCTGGTTGCACCACTTGAGACACTCTTCCACTACCATGGTCATGCTACGACAAACAGCTGATGTCATGTACCAACGCTCGTGGTTGAAATTTGACATGATGACCGCGAATCCCTTGTGCTCTTGGCCGAGAATGTTGCCCACCGGCACCTTGACATTCTCAAACTGCACGAAAGCGGTTGCGGCGGTAGTCGAGTATGAAGTCTTGATTTGCTTGGTATCAACGCCGCCATCGCGGGGAATCAAGAGCACGGTGAATCCCTTCTCGGTCTTGCATCCGGTGACAAAGTAGTCGGCAAACATGCCGTTGGTAATCCACTTCCTAAAAACGATATTAGCACTTGACTTTGTCGCTATTTATAGTAGCTAAAGAAAACTGACTTGGTGCCATTGACAATATAGAACTTGCCATCCGGTGTCTTTTCAGCAGTGGTCTTCAGACCCGCAACGTCACTACCAGCGAAAGCCTCGGTGATCGCAAGGCACATCTTTTTCTTTCCAGACAAGACCTCCTCTGTCACCTTCTCCTTCAGCACAGGGTCACGTAGCCACTGTTGCACAGCTGTAAGACTAATAGTCATGCCAGCCATATTGCCGTCTTGGAAACCTGTAGTGGTAAAGTGAGTTACGGAATCCCACAAAAACCGATCAATCAAAATCACTTACCTCGAGCGTTGGCGCGCACAGTTTCCTGTGCGACAATCATGTCATGGAAATAATCAAACTCCTTTCCGTCCACAAGGCCTCCAAAAAGCTTGCGGTTGTGAAGGTGCTTGCCAGGGCCCAAACGCATCGCCAAGATATTTGTCTCGGCCATACGATCGATCAACTCTTGACTAATATATGTGCCATCTCTTTCCTTCTCCTGCGCTTCGGGGGTGACATATTGATCGGTGAACTCGCGCATTGCTTTTTGTAGCCGACGATGGCTCTCCTTGTAATAAGGGTTCTTGAATTGCGGGCGCAACCACAGCGGCTCCGCATACGGCACAGTGCTGACTGCGCCGATCTTGGGCTCGATAACCTCAGGCTTTTCGCCCTCGATAGTTCCGATGCATAGCTGATCCCGGTATTTCTCCAACACTTCCTGGCGGTGCAGATTGTAGAAGTCAGTTGTGGCATCTTGGCCAGCTACCTGGGCGAGGACGACGGACCCGCCCGGGTGAGCGTCCACGAAATCAGTCAGATCATAGACGCGGTGGTCGATGATACACCACAGGGATTCTTCGGTATTGTGCTTAGCGACCTCGGCCCGGGTAAGTATTTCGGACGGCATCGTGATTTGAACTGTGTGGTGGGAAGAGAGAAAAGAAGGGAGAGTTGGTCATTGGTGAGTATGTACCCCAGATTTGGGGTGTGCCAATCACGAGCCTGGTGATTTTCAACCGAGGCCCGAGGATTTGGTGAGGTAATCTACTTTTGAAAAAAAAACTGATCAGCTGAGGCACAGTCTACGTACTTGATGCATGTACTAGTGTTTCAATTATCACTTGCAACTCAGCTAAGGTAGTATTTTTTGCCGAATCTACAAAATATAGGCCAAAAGACCCGACATGCTAAGGACTCGGAGGTTGAAGTTCAGTCATGCTTCTGGAGAAGCGATATAATTAGCGCTAAAGTAAAAGTATGTATTACTGGAAGTTTACTTCCGAGGTTCAAATCAGTATTTAGCTTTTGATCGACATTTTTTCGTCACGAATGGGCGGACTTGAAATAGTAATCATTTACATTGCGGGACCCACTCTGCCAGGTCAGGGCGCCACATATCTCATTCCAGAATGGTGGCTTACTCTTGGTAAAATTGTTGGTAGCATCACATGAAAGAACTTTCATTCCATTATGAATAACTTCCAATGTTCTAGTAATAATATGTACATTGACGGTTTTTACCGTATGTAGAAGCAAGACTAGTATGTATTAACTTATGCCCGGCGTCCCGCACCGTTGGCCTTGATCTCCTTCATAGCTTCTTCAATCAACCACATGCAGATCGATTGAGCATCGCTACCAACACGCCAGCTGCCTAGCACGATACCACGGCTCTCGAGAGTATCACTAGCACGCTCCCAGCGACGCCGCCACAGTTCTTCGCGTTTATTGGGCAAAGGCGCGGGCGGCATGCTCGAATCATTGCTGCTATAGCTATTGAAACTACTAGTTGACTGCCGGGGCAACGATTGGTTGGATGGTGATTGTCGGAGCCCAGGTGATGGCGAAGAAGACAGGTTAAGTCGTTCGGTGGCATACGACAAGGCAGCCTGAGCGGTCCCAGAGACCGGGTATGAAGGTTTGTTTGCCAGAGATGCAGTTGCAGGCCGCAGTACAGGCGTGCTGGATGCAGAGCTCGTAGCGGATGGTGTAGTGTTTGTACGTCGGGGTGGCGGGGGAGGAGGTGGTATCTTTGAGCGAGATGATTGTGTCGTCGTATTGCTTGCATCTTCCAGCGCTGGTTCGGTCTGGGTGCGAGAAATGGATGGGAAAGGGTCAGAATCTGCCAGCAACTCTTTTCTGGCCATTAAACTTCCCCGGGGTGGCAAGGGAGGCACAGCTTTGCGACGAATTGACTCCTGGGAGGGCTGACGTGCAGCATTTATTGTATCCGTCCGTAGCGAAGATGGTTTGCTCGGCTTAGTAGGAGGCACCCGTGGTCTCACTGGTGGGCTCGACTTTGCGGTTGTTTCCATAATATCATCATCTATATCTATGAGGTTCCCAACAGGGATGCTTTTTACCTCTCTCTGAGGCGGTGGTGGTGGTGGCGTTGGCACGGGTCGACGAGGCGGCAGAGTAGGCCTGCTCGGCAGAGAATCCGAGGAGTCCACAAGCTGCGAAGTACTGCGATTGTACCCATCGGCCCTCTCAAGATTCCCGACAGATTTTTCAAAGAAAGGCTTCTTCTCTGGGGTCGTAACATCTCGAATGAAGATTCCCAAAATGCGACCTGGGTTTGCCAAGGCAATATCGGTATAGACTTCCAGATCGGCCTCTCCACTGTCACCAACTAGGATGAACTTGCGCTCGGGGAAGTCACGCAGAAGTTGCTCCAATGAACCTCTTTTTCTCTCGGCTGTCGGCTCGAATATTCCTTGTAACATGCCTGAGTACGCCTTGAGATGGAAAGATCCCGGCGGCAAGCCTGCCAACTTGAAATATCTCTCTAGCAATGGATAAAGCTGCCAGGGGGCGTTGGAGACGTAGTGAAGTTTCACCCCCTTCTTGGCTACTTGTGTATACCACTCGTCAACTCCGGCAACTTTCAGCTCGGCTAGCTCACGAACAAAGGTATTTCGGAACATTTCCTTTGCGCCACTGGCAATAGCTGAGTGTTTGACGGTATCATCGATGTCACTGATGAGACTGATACCGACGGGCTCGATAATTTCGATTGGCTTCGCAGCAGACAAGTCTTCGGAAGCAAGCACTCGGATATGAGTCGGCACAAATGACAACGGAGCACGAATATTAAAATGACCGGACTCATCTGTCATCATGTTCCGGGACTCGCTCTGATCATCATTGAAAAAGAACACAGTTACCGGCATACCAGCCATAGGGTTTGTCAAGAATGGACGCAGTCGTTCCATGAGATGTGCATTGGCGACAGAAACCTGGTCTTTGGTCATCGCTGCAGTCTGACCTGGGTCTGCCCGGCTTCGCTCCGTATTAGAGCTCTTCCAAGAGGAATCGGCGTCTTTTTCTGCTCTGTCGACCAGAGTCTGCATCTGCTTGTCCACATCTTCATCTTCGCCTCTGCCGGAAACTCGGTCAGAGCTCTCGTCATTGGGAACGCCAGAGGGAGTCGGAACGCCACTTAATGTTCGGGCCAGTTTGATCATCAGACGATGTTTGCGATTCATCGGTCCTCGATTCGGCGCATAGATCCATCCACGAACATCAACATCCACTATCGCATTAGATACATCAGGTTCGTTCAAGATAGACCCAAAGTTATCCCCCTGGGAAGCGCCGCGATAATCATCAATGGTCTCACTCCATGAATCTCGCCGTGGGCGCACGCCAGCACCCTTTTTTACTGGTGGCAATGTTCTGGCATAGCTGGGAAACAGAACCATCTCTTCATCGCCAGACCGCGCAATCTCGACATCCGGAAACGCGCCCGGGGTATGATAATAGTCCTCTTCGGAACCAGCTCCCTGTCCCGCCCAGCGTGATTTGTATGTCTGCCCTAAGTCATTCGCTGCCTTCAGCCACTCATAGGCTTTCTTGCGGCGGCTCCCAGTAGCATATGAACCATCACCGCTCCATGTAGACGAGGCCATTAGGCCTTTCGTAGCATCCTTCGGCCCGTCAATGGGCCTGCGAATATTTCGAACACGTTTCGCGATGGACGTAGCCCCTGCAAGCACGCTCGTTGCCGCTCTCCCGCTCCGCAGCCGTCGCCGAGGTCCAAATAGATATGATACAAAGCCCCCACCGACTCTGCGAAGGCGCGCTGCTCGCCGCACCTGGCGCTGGACGATAGCCCGGTATATGCGAGATTGCGCGCGGTGTCGCAGTGCGGGGAGGGCCTCGTGACGGAAGTTCCAGAGACTGTTCTGGGCGTGGCGGGTTCTGAGGGGACCGACGAGGATGCGGAGGAAAGCTGAGAGGGTGCTTTGTTTGGGGTCGCGGCGGCGGGGAGGGTAACTCGAGAAAATGCCCGGGGCCAGTGGGCGTCGGAATAAGAATTGCTTGAATCGGGGGATTGGCCAGCGGGGTCGCGGATTAGGCGCCAGGGTCTCGGATTGTTTGGTGGTTGGGTAATGGGTTCTTGTGCGAGGGACTCGCTGATACCTTGCAACCGGTACCTGGGGATTTCAAGAAAGAGTGAACTCTGTTGATTTGTCTGCTTGAACACTCGAGGGTAAATGAAGATGTAACAGAAATTGAAAGTGAATTCAGAGCGGTAATATGAGAGGATGGAGTGGGATGGAGGATGTTTCAAATGTTGCTGTTCCCTGCGGGGACCATGACGCCAGCTGATTTGGCCTCATCACCCGCACTGGTTTCATTCCGTTACATGACAATGATCTCAATTTGATTTCATGTAGCAGGGATGAAACTTCATTTTTGCTTGAACCAGATGCACATGCAGCATTTTATGAATATACTAGTATACTTGAGCTAAACTCACGGGATATAATTCGAACGCCTGAGACTTTTATTCATAGTATCTAATGGGACATATCTTATCAGCACTTCAGGGTCTATATGCACTGGAATATGTATCCACGGATAGACGATTTTAAGCCGCACACAATTGAACCACACATGTGCACACCTGCACAGGGCATGCGCCCTACTGATTCACATCATTGATGTTGGAGACATCACCATGATGAACTCTTCCCAGAATTTGCATTGCAAAGTTACAAGGTTTCAATCCTTCGAGGTTAAGCATTAAAGCGTTATTTACTAAATGGTATTTGAAAACCACCTCCACACATGCATCAATTGATGGGCAGCACTTGAGGGCAGAGCATCCACCTGCATGTGCACATATGGGCATGGATCTACCTGGTTCACAGTGGTCCTCTCAATGAGGGCTTCCATCCATGAAGTTTACCCTCGCGCAGGGGTTCAAATCAGCCCATAGGTCAGACATCTGGAGGCAAAAGTGCCAGAGCTGCTCAATTAAAGCTCAAGTGCTAGGAGTAGATAGACGTTTATTACATAACTTCCAAAATTTACCGATTGCCCAGGTGATCATTAACGCCCTTCACATGCAAAATATAATACAGATCATCTCCATGTCTGGAGGTCTATCTATGCACTATCCTCATCGTAGTTGACTTTCTTAGCTCGATTGCTTCGCCGAGAAGCAGGATTCGCAACTGGAGCGGGCTCTTCGGCAGGTATGGAGTTCAAATCTTCCGACTCCGGGGTAGACTCGATGTCGGAGGCTTTGCGCTTCGCACGGGATTTAGACTTGACTGGCGTCCGTGGTGCCCGAGCCGGTTTCTTAGCTACTGGTTCGGAGACACCGTTCACTTCAGTACCATTGGGTTCAGTGGGCTCAATCTTGATTTTCTTTGCCGCACTGCCCTTTGCTGGACTGGCTGCTGACTTGGTCTTCACAATTTTCTTGGCAGGTCGGAGCCACTCTTCCATGCCTCGAGGCCAGTAGACTCTCCGATCAGGCCCACCCATGCCGACTTCATCATCGGAGATTGTGCGAACTGGCGGGGTGGACCCCTCCAGGTCAACAAAGCCAGTGTTGTTCTTGGTTTTTCGTGGGGGTTTGAAGGGTTTGTTTTCATCAGTTCGTGTAAAGGGTATCAATTCATTAATGAGATCGTAGCCGGGAAGTTTGAATGTTCTCATCAGCTCAAAGACTGCCTGTTCCTTGTCCTTGGCCTCGATCATCAAGTCCATGGTTGGGATACAAGGGGGTAATGTTGAGACGCGGTCACTGTGCTTGCGGCGCTGGCGGGGTGTGATGGCAGGGGCAGTTTGTTCAGAGTAATGCATTTTCTGGTTGATATTTTTCCTTGACCAGGTGGCCGCAATGCGGTCATAGAGTTGCATAATATCCTCTGTGCCCTCGCGGACTTCGCTTGCATCGAACAAAATATTATGATGGTGGTAATCAAGTACCAGAGGGATATTAAGTTCCTCGCAGATGGGGAGCAGATCATGAACTGTCCAACTGACGTCGTCATTCTCTAGAACCAATCTATTCTTGATATCTTGCGATAGAATGGCATAATTCTTTCGGAACCGGTCCAAAGTTTCGGCCTTGCCCTCAAAGACTCCGCCCATATGCAAAATCATAACGGCATCACGGTCCTGCTGAGGTGGCAGCTTGAGTAGCTGCAGCATCTCCGAATGGTACTCGAGATCTCGGTATGAGTTTTCTACCACCTCTTTCCTCGGAGACCCTAGCTGCGTGAATTGCCCCGGATGAACAGAGACGCGATGGCCAAGTTCTGCAACTACCCGGCCTGCTTCAGCTAGCACTTCGGAGGCGAATGGAGCCAGTTTATATCCATATTCCTTGTGACTGCAAAACGGAAACATCTCACTGCTCAAACGCATGAACTTGATGCCATATTTGTCGTTCCAGCGCAGCAGCTTCACCAAGTCCGCGGCATTGGCCAGACCTAGAGCTTCCACGAAAGCCTGTCCACGAGCTACGTCAGCGGGTTGGTTGCGATCTGGACGGTTCTTTGTAGGATGGGCAGGTTCGTCGGGATTCTGCAGTGGGTGTCGGTTTTCGAGGATAGAGGCAATGCGACAAGTACGGGAGCAAAACACGGGAGGATTGGAGTAACGCAAGTAGGTATTCAGACAAGCCTAGAAACATTAGTAATTGTTATTGATATAACATCAACGTTAGATGCTGCGTATTGCGACTCACATATCCTAAGCGACCTTTCCAGGGAAGTGGCAGGTAGCTACTATTGACTGGGGGCGGTCTTCCTAAGGCCGCTTGAAGCTCTTCCGCCTCCAGTGCAACATCCTGGTCTGATTCCGGATCCAATGCCATCTCAGCCTTACCAGCAGGCTCAGGTACATCACCGTCAAGGATGTCCGCCGGTTTAAGATCAGTCTCAATCGGCTTTCGTGCCATATCTGCGTCTTCCGGATCGAGTGTATAGTAGATGCCTGGACCGACGGTTTGCGAGTATGCTCGGGATAGAGGGATGGTTATGACCGACGAGGGAGGTATATGCGCGAGACCGATGGTGCTCCGAGAAGGTTGTAAAACAGGGCGAGCCGCATGACGAAAATGGCCTAGAACCGGGGCTGGCGATCTGGCGTTCGCCACGGTAATCGATCGATCGGGACCTTTTAGTGACGAGACGTGGCGACCCCCCAGGCTGGACCTCGGGGAGCGGGCATGCTGGAGAGGCGGAGCACGCAGCAACCGTGATACAGACCGAAACATGCAGCAGAGCCAGCGCAGAATATCTGAACTTGTGCGAGTTTGGTGGTAGGAAGTGGTTAAGGGGTGGGATGAAGCGGGATGATGACGCGCTAATCGCTACAGATCGCGGACGCGCCGCGTGATCAGTTTACATTATTAAGTGTGTGTATTCGATTTTCTTTTCTGAACATCAGACAAACGCATTATTAATACATGAAATTCGAGACTGATATGGACGTTTTGGAAATCCTTCAAGTCAATTTTGTACAAAAAAAAAAGTTGGAGCAGAAGCTTCTGAGGGTTGACCTCATAGTGGAGCTCATCTATATCTGCTTATCGATCACGAACCACACACGGCACACCAACAGAATCAACGGGAAGCTATTTTCGTGGCGTTCTAGTAATGAATACTTGTACTAGGTATCTTATTTGCAGAGCACTGACCTGTCGGTGCAGATATTCTCCAATTGGACTGCAAAGCATAAAGCTGGCATGCAGGGAGCGACAGGGGTTCGACGGGGCGACCCCTTAGTATGTCCTCCATCCAACGACTTACTTGCATGCAAACCGGTTCTGAGAAGGGGAGCCCGCATTTTTGAGGTTGCAAGTGCACCATGTGGCTTACTGAATCCAAAGTCTGTTCAAGAAACTTGCACTACAACTCGACAGCCTTGATTGACATCATCTCATTCTCGCGGATTCCTCTTTTAACTTGGGGCGCAGAGATTAATATCGATTCGGAATGAAGACACCGGGTGTCATTGTGGCTTTCATATTTGTCTACAAAAAAGTTTGACCCCGGAAGCTTTATCCAGAGTAAGAAAATGAGACTGTTGAACGTTTTTTATGCCGTTTCAGAGGAAGTCGTCATTACAGAACAGCACACAGCAACGTGGTTCTGGATCAACACAGTATTGAGGAAAGAAGAATAGCATGATACCAAGTCTCCATTATCGAAACCACATGAGCAACTTGTCGCTGCGCTATTAACCATAAGGCTCATGACGGGGGAAAGAACGATGGTTGCCAGCATTCCGCGCGTTGCTTGTCCAGCGTTGATGGCTTGGGCCTCAGCGATGGCATCCCCCATTCCTCCGAACGATATCGGAGAATGCAATAACAACACAGAGAGTATTTATTATAACAATCCATCCAGTCTAGCACGCCTTCACTAGCCATTCAATCTTCTTCTTCTTTTCTAAAAAGTACAGAAATTTGACCCCGGTGGTTAAGTGCCTGGCTACAGACCGATACCTTTTTGATACTCATTTTATTACTTTATACAAAGTGAGTATACTACGTGCTTCCTCGGCTGGACACAAAAGACACGTTACTTACACAGACTAGCATTATATTTTCCAAAATGAAGGGCGCTCTTCTCGCAAGTTTGCTGGCCAGCACGGCCACGGCTCACATGCAAATGATGAAGCCCTACCCTATCCGCAGTCCATTGAACAAGGATTCTACAGGACAGAAGGATTACTCTTACACAAACCCTCTGCAAGCCTCTGGATCAGACTACCCATGCAAGGGCTACGCCAGCGATAAGTTCGACTCGCAGGCTACATATGCCCAAGGCTCCAGCCAAACAATGGAGTTGGACGGCAGCGCAACACACGATGGCGGATCTTGTCAACTTGCCCTAACTTACGATCAAGGCAAGACCTTCAAGGTGATCGAGTCCATGCTGGGAGACTGCCCTATTGCCAAGAAGTACGACTTCACAATCCCATCTGATGCACCAGATGGTGAGGCACTCCTCGCATGGACCTGGTTCAACAAGGTCGGAAACCGTGAGATGTACATGAACTGCGCCATGGTCACCATTGGCGGCAGCACCAACGGCAACCAGACAGCTGCCGACACCACCACCACCACCAAAAGCAAGAATGTTCACAACCAGCCTATGATGTCCGAGGACAAGAAGGCCTCCCACCCTCCCATGGCCATGGCCGCCCACCTAGCCGGCATGGAAAGCCAGCGTGGAGCCATGACCGAGAACAAGCAGGTCGGCTTCGACGACCTTCCTCCCCTCTTCGTCGCCAATGTTGGCCAGGAAGGCAAGTGCGTGACCACCGAGGGCGAGGCCGTCAACTTCCCCAAGCCTGGTGACAACGTCGTCGGCAAGACCGATGGAAAGGGTGATGGCTTCAAGTGCACCGGCACAGCTCCTTTCTTGAACGCGGACACCAGCAAGGCGTCAGCTAAGGATACCACTACCTCCAGCAGCACCACTTCCAGCAGTGACTCCACCGCCACCAAGGACAACACCAACGCTAAGCAGGCCAAGGCTACCACCACCGCCACGGACGCCAAGCCCTCCAAGGAATCCAAGGCCGACAAGACCAGCAAGGACGCTAAGCCCACTACCCAGTCCATGCCAACTGCCACTGAGACCGAGACCAAGAAGGCCCAGCCTACCAAGGACACCGATTCCAAGGACGTCAACAAGAACGCCACCCGCAGCACTCCCCAGTCCATGTCGAAGGTCGCCCAGGCCTTTGGCACCTCTGGCGCCGCTGACCCCCGCGTCCTGTCTACTAACACCGAGGCCTCCACCAACAACGAGGCTTCTACCAACAACGCCTTCTCTAGCTACGTTGGCCGCTTCACTTGCACCTCTGGTGAGATTCTTTGCTCCCCTGATGGATACTCCTGGGCCATGTGCTCCAACGGCGCTCCCGTCTTCATGGGCTCCGTTGCTGCTGGCATGACCTGCCGCTTCGGCGCTATGGTTGCCGCCCCCTGGTAAACCTTTCTTTTTGGATGGCTCTTTTAATGTATGCTATATTTCTTTCTTTTCCCGACCTCTGAAGCGGTCGATTTTGGTTAGTATTTCCCGGTGTCGGTGGTGTTTTGGCGCAGATGGATTCCCAGCCATTGTAACGGCCCTGTTGATGTCCTCATGTTGATCAGTATTTTTAATGATTGTGTGGTTTCCTCGAATGTTTCGATGTGGTTCGGCTTCTTATTCTATCTGTATCTTGGTGTTAGCTAGTATAATTTACAAACTTTATCCTTTACTTCTTACACCCGTGGACATTGATTTGCCAACATGCAACTCGAATTCTTGAAATAGAAAATGAAGTCAAAGAAATATCACTGATTATTATTATGTTCCTCTAGGCAAGGTCGACATTGCCTATTCCAAATCTCTCAAAATATTGCAAAATAATATACACTTGCCAATCTCTAGCAAACATGGTATCTCAGCTTCTAAAAACAAATTTCCCAAAAAAATAAATCATCACGTCATTGATCCACAGATCAAGTAGAGCTCGAGATTTCCATGGATGACGAAGAGCAGATCCGATAAGAGAATCAACATTCAATCGCAAGCCAGATTTCTCACTTGCACTTAGGCGTTACCAGTGTAAGCGGAGTTGCCGTACCCATAGCCATTGCCATGGCCATTAGTGGCACCTGTGGCAGTATAACCGTTGGCGTCGCTCTTCTTGTTGCGTCCCCAGCCGCCGAACCAGCCCTTTTCAGACTTAGGCTCAGTACCATACTCCAAATCAGCAGGAGTAGGGTGACCAGGCAGAGCGTTATCGCCGTTGGTCTCGGGGTTGTTCTTGTTACGACTCCAGAACCACTTGCGGCTGCCAGAAGTGTAGCCGTTGGCGGGGGAAGGACCGAAGCGCTTCTCGCGCTTGTGGTGACGGGCCAAAAGAACCTGGAAGAGAATTGAGATCAGGAAGAAGAAGCTATTTTGAAATTTTGTTAGTGGTTGTCGCATTTCAGGGGGAGGATAGTTGGTTGGGTTTGCAATAGCGGGGTATGGGTCATTGACACTTACATTCCGATCACTGAAACTGCGAAGACGACCTTCTCCAGTTTGCAGGCCATGCCGTAGTCCAGCTTAGAGGGACTTTCGTCGTTGGCTGAGCCTGATCCGATGGGTGTGTTGACTGTACCAGTGCAGGTGTTGGTGCCGTTGCGAGTCAAGATCGCGATGGCTACCATGGCACCGGTGAAGAGGACATCGAAGACGACGCCGATGAAAGCGAAAAATGCCACGCCTCCGAGACAGCAGACGAAGACTAGACCGAGCAAACTGTACAGTGTAGCTGCGCCGGCTAGACCTTCGACAGCCTTAAGCCATGTGTCGATAGGTTGATTATGTTTGGAGAGGATAGCGAGGAAGTATGAGAAGATACCGAGGATGACGGCTGCATCGAGAAACTGCAGTACACGAATGAGGAGACCGCAAAAGCGTAAAAAGACACCACCGGCAGCACCCATGATGGTGGAGAACGATTGGTATTGGTTGTTTTTTTTTTCTTTTGCTTTTTCTCTTTGGGAACCTCTTTAATAGGGTGGTGGTTCAATAATCGACTATTGGTGACAGGTGGAGGGTGTCACTCAGTATTTGAAGAGTAGAGGAATGAAGGCAACAGGATTCAGGCAGAGTTATTAAAGGACCCTGAGCCGACCTCCTCAAGACGCAATACATTGAAGATCAGTGGATAAGCAAGTCAGTGATCCATGGAACAAGACGGACTGTGAATGGCTGGGAGGGTCTCAGCCACAGGCAAAACCCAGGCAAACACAGGCAAACAGAGACAAACAGAGACAAACACTGCAAACCACAACCGAACAGAGACGAACGTGGGACCGATGATGTCACCCTGCCAAATACAGGGTTCCACCTTGCCGCTTTGGGGGCGGCGCCCCAGCCCTATGAATCTCCTGATTTGTTCCTCTGGGACCCGCCACCGCATGTGAAGACAAAGAGGAAATTGGAACTTTTCATTGACAATTTTTAGCAAATTTAGCAAATTTAGCATTTTCCATTTATCGATTTTAAACTTTTTACTATTATCCAGCCACGACTTCGCCATGATCGCCCCTTAGCCATTGACGTATGGGGTACCTAATACGAGGTACACACACTGCCATTCTGCGTACAGGGTTACAACCTGAATGTACAATTTAGAGACTCCGTATTCAATTTGTACCGATGTTTCTAATTAAGGGTTGCATTATGAGATTGAACATCTACCAGGATTTTGCAGTGCTTGTCACGATGCTCAAGTAGTGCCTTGAAGCCCCCATCCACCACCTGATCCAACGGAATACGCGAAGTGATCATGCGTTCCGGTTCAAGTTGGCCTGCAAGAAAATACGTTAGCTGGTTTCAAAATGATAACTTTGGAATGCCCCGAAGAATAATACATACCATCGCTAATAGCCTGCATCACATCCAAAAACGATTTCTCGTCGTAAAGCGCAGCTCCCATGTACCGTAACTCATTGTACATCAATTGATTAACTGGAATGGCAGGCTTCTTCTCCCAGACTGCAATGTTAACAATAGTCCCCTGCGCTTTGCAGGCCGGGATAGCACCTATAAGCGCCTTCTCCACCCCCGCCGTGTCGAATATAACGTCGGCCCCAATACCGCCTGTGAGCTCGCGCACGCGGGATGCAACATCCACTTCGCACGGATCAAGTATATGCGTTGCACCGAGCTCGGTACATAATCTCTGCCGGTTCTCCATAAGCTCAGCTACCATGATGTGCTTCGCGCCTTGCAGCTTCAGGACCTGCACGACGCCGATCCCGATTGGCCCGCCTCCGACAATGAGTACCGAGTCGCCGGCTTTAAATGGCGAGACAGTCACCGCGTGCCAAGATACCGCGAGGGGCTCAATGAGCGCGGCCGCCTCCAGAGAAATGTTATCTGGGATTGGATAGAAATGCGTGGCTGGTGCAACGATCTTTTTGGACATCCCACCACCGAAGCCTGTATGAATATTGGTTAGATGATGAGTGCAAGTGTTTGAAGAGAGAAGAGGCTGGAAATACCACTTAGTCCGATGAAGCCAATGTTTTCGCAGCAGTGATTGAAGCCCTCCTTACAGGCGCTACAGGTGCCATCGTAGATGGTTGGACGGACCACGGCACGCTGTCCGGGATGTAAGTTTTTTACATCGTCGCCAACTTCTTCAATGATGCCGCCGAATTCGTGGCCCATTGGGGTCGGATATGTTGACCCTGTAATAGGGTGCGGTTCTTTGGGGATCAGGACTGGACCGCTCGTGTATTCATGCAGATCTGTTCCGGTTAAAAACGGTACATACACATACAATGTTCAACAATGGTTTATTTCGACATACCACTGCCGCAGATTCCGACATAGGCGGGTTTCATCTGGATATTACAGTCTCATCTCAGTACCGAAAATTGAATTCTCACATCGCGGAGCGATACCAACCTTTATTTGGCCTTTGCCACACACTGGTTCCTCTAATTCATCGAGTCTAATATCACCTGGTCCATGGAAGCGGACTGATGGAATAGTAGGTGGACTCTGAAGCGTAGTATGCAGCGTATTCACTGCTTCGGTTGATGTACTTAACATGTTGAGGTACGTAGATTTCGCGACTGGTTTTAGGACTTCGATAATCTGAATCATTGAGGGGTGTATTTAGACTGGCTGAAAAGCCATCGACCTGGATGGTATGGATTTGAAAAAGTGCTGTGCAATATCGTGATGGGACTGGTGCTAATCAAGGTTGGAAACTCAGGAAAGTCGATGATGCCTGAATAACTGGGTATTGAAATATCACAAGCGCTTGAGCGTCTCTTTTCTCTACTAAACAGTGAGACGCGAGGCCAATTTTATAATGTTAAACGATATCAAATTTAGTTGACGTCATCTATCGTGAGTTGCATAAGTCACTTCGCTATGTAGCCTCTGGAAATAGTTCCGATTTGCTGGGTTCATAAATCCAACAGCCAGGGGCAGATACAGGTTCTTGTCACGAGTTCGGTTCCAAGAATCCCGGCCTGCGGGGCCGAGCTAGCTGTCAAGTCTAAAGAGCAACCCTGGATGAAGAATGGGAATACCTAGTTGGCGTCAAAGTCAGCCGATGGCCAGAGGCGACAGCCTCATCAGGTACGATACTGCTAGGCAGTGGCGTCGTGAGGACCGGGATGTTGGGGAAAGTGATCCAGAAAAGCCGCAGGAATTACGCATTCGATAGAACAATCGAAGCATGATCGAAATATACCATCTGACCGAATCTGGTTGTACGCGAATGATATCAATGGATTGTCGCAGGGATGTTGGGATTAGGTTGTCATTAATCATAGACGACTGGGGTATCAATCCTAGTTATGAGATGGGCGAGATCCCACCAATGGAGAGCCTGTACCAGGGGCGCACGTCTGTTTTGTACTGACGGTGGCTAGTAGAGAGCGATACAGTGGTGCACAGCCACTCCGCCCTCTATTCAAGAGGCCTCCTCGCGCTCTTTCTCCAGGTGTTCCAGGTATGTCTTCATGGTTTGATTCAACCCATCATTGCGGCGACAGAGCATTAGCACGTCGGCCGGGGTGACGGTTGACCGCCCGGCATGCCTAGAACAGGAATGCCGGTTAGAGAAATGTAGCTTATAGGAACGGGTTCCGAAGGAACCAAAACAGGAAAAAAAGCATGTTCCTGTCTAGCTATCTCTGGGCATTGGTGTTGACTTACTTGGCAAACGCCTCTACATCAACGATGGCAGATTCTGTTGTACTGTCAGTAAATGTTTCTCAGGCTTCATTGGAATGACGCAACGATGCCACCATTTGACTGAAAGCAGCCCAAGCGCATATATCTAGGATCAAGTAAACCACGTACCCATATGTGACCATGCCAACTCTAGCAGTGCGTTGGTGAACTGTGGTGTGGCAGTGACATTAAGCGTCAAGGTCTCGTCGTCCACAATTTTGCTAATGCACTCAAAGAGCTCGGTTTTCAGGCGCTATGAGCGAAGTTGGTCACTGAAATCGCAATAGATTTTCCAGAGCGGCTTACCTCTGCCTGGCCCTGGTCCGACTCTTGCTCATTTTGTGGCATCTTGTCGACGATAGATCGATGAAGAGGTATCAAGGTTCAGGCGCGCGCGCGCCATACATAACATGAGAGGCGCTGATTGGTCAAAAACGCGTAGGCGGAAAAATACATTATCCGAAAAGCGTCGCTCCTGCCGAATTGAGGTATTTTTCGTTTAGCAGGAGCTCCGAACAGCCCGGGACGATTCTCGCTGCTTCCATTTTTTAATTGCCTATCTGTCAATTACTATCACAGTCGCGCATTCCACCTCCACCCAACTCTTCTCCTCCACCTGTACAGCAAATACAGTGCCCCCCTTGATTCCCCATTCGGAATCTGGAAAATTGCAACTGCATCCGCCGCCACCCGCGCTTGCCCCCCCAACAAACAAAAAAGTTTCAAGCAGAGACTTCACCAGAACTCCCCCGCCATGGCTGAACCCCAGCCTGACATGAGCGACGTTGCCGCCGAGGCCGCCGCCGACTTCTTCCAGCAGATCTTTGGCGTTGTCATCGAAGCCATTTGCCGCTTTGGCCGCAATCTCTACAACTCCTTCGCTGAAGTGAGCGTGGGCCGCTGGACCAAGGTCGTCTGCTCCGTCATTTTCTACGTCCTTATCCGCCCCTACATCGAAAAGTTCTTCAAGTACCTGCACGACCGCGAACGTCGCATGGAAAAAGAGAAGAAGGAAAAGGAGAAGGCCGCGCTTGGTGGCAAGAAGGCCAAGCAGTCCGCCAACTCGCTGCGTGGTGGTGAGACTGGCAAGGTTCTGGGTGAGGTGGAGAGCGAGGATGAGCTTGCGGATGGCGAGGTGAACCTTGCCTTGGCTAGTGGTGTGCCGGAGTGGAACAAGATGGCCCGCAAGCGCCAAAAGAAGTACCTGAAGAACCTCGAGAAGGAGAACGGCAAGCGCGCCGAGGAATTGACCGAGGAGCAGTTCCTTGAGCTGCTTGACTGGAGCGAGTCCGAGAACGAGAGCGAGAAGAAGAAGGCTTGATCTCGATATGTACGCACCGCGGAGGAACTTTGCGAGGACCAAATGTCATGGACGAGCACTGTGTATTATTATTTCATGATTCTCACACTGTATTAACCTTATTAAGACACAAGGTAGCTAGGTATCTTGCTACACCTAATAGACTAATTTTTATCCTAACTGTGGGCAGATGTCGATTGCTGGTGCTGCTTTATCTGGTTGAAACTCTTTTTACATCGACCCCTAAGCGACTACCTAGGGCTGCCCGGGTGCATAGTACGCATAAACCTTGAAACCATTCGCAATACATGCAAGAACAATCTAATAACTCATTTTCAACTGATCATGAATGCCATTCGCCCAATCGTCAAAATCATAATATAAACCTTCTCCGAAGGTTGGCGAGCGTGTTAATGCAATCTGCGCAGCGCTTCAATCATTCCTTTCAACTCTTCCACATTCATCGAGCCTGGAATGTCCGCCACGATATGTTCTTGCAGCTCTGGATCACAGGTGAGGAACCTTTCAATGAGCTCGCCGTCAACGAAGCGGTAGGGGGCTTCGGCGGAGCGAGTCAGTGTGCGGAATGCACGGAATTTATCAAATGGTAAGTCACCCAGGGAATCCACCCTACTGGCGATGGCACTTTGGAGAGTCATTAAGAAGTCTTGGTGCTCGGGGTTGATAAGTGCGAAGAGGTAGATTGAGCCCTCGACCTAAAAGAAAATAGACGCGTTAGTTGATTGTGCGTGGTAAAAATAGTATGGATATCCGGGTTTGAAAGATGCGTACAGTAGCCAGGAAAGCTCGTGGAGTTACCACCACCGTGCCGAGCTGTTGGATGTTAATTGGGCGGATGCGATTGACCATTTCGCCGAGAGCGATCTCGCTGGTCGCAATCAAACGATGTTTATCTTGGTCGGTTACGCCGTTTGTGTTACGGGACAAGACAATCAGATTGCCTTGGGTTTCGCTGACAAGGAGCGTGTCGTCGTCAACGGAGGCAACGGCCGTGCTCCATACGGTTTGATAATGACGAGCGACTTCCATCAACTTGTTTTCGACACCATCTTTGCCCGGGACATATTTGACGATGCAGACACTCTTCATGAGGTCGGCAACAATGATCAAGTCTTTGACGATGGTTAGATCAATTGGGGCCGTTGATGTTCGGTAGCTGGCTAGCTTTTCGAGTTTCATCGGCCCAAAATCATTATGGATTGCTTTGAAAACAACAACCTAGATTTCACATTAGCATGGTGCTCAAAAAGAGGCAAAGTCTGCTTACAGTTTTCACAAGTGCTGCGACAATCTTGTCACCCAGCATAGCCAATGCTCGGCATCCACCCTTCACAGGCATCTCGGCTATCTGAGTCAATTTGCGACCATGATCAACTTCGAGAATTAAAATCCGCCCGCGGATTGAACCCTCCGATGTCTCGTTCAGATATGAGGTACCAATGATAAACCTATCTTTAGTTGACCCGTTTCCATTTTCGTTTTTCCCACATGGAAACTCGGCGCGAATAACACTCTCTACCAGTTCCTCGGGTTGCAACTCCAACGTATCCAGGCGCCGGAACAGGATCTCGTCGGCTAGCACAAAGTGACTCTTGACGGTTTCAACTCCATCCACTAGCTTCCGATCAATTGTGCCAAGTCCGAACGCCTTTTCGGATGGGGAATAAGCGACTCGGCGAACAGTTGACCCCACTGGTAGAGTTTGGATTTGGGTCGTCCGCTCTTTGTCAACCAAGGCAATTTTGAGTTCGTGTGCAGTAGCCACGGCAATAGAATCGGGATATGCCTCCGCATTGAGATGACATATGCGAGATGCACCCTCAGAGTTGACTGCGGAGTAAATAATCCGTCCCTCTGAGCCATAGATGAGACTAGGGTTCTCGCAAGTCGCGAACACGTTGAACAACCCATCTCCTCGGGGGAGTTTCTTGAATGTTGGCTGTTCGGACCCGAGGATCAGTCTGTTCATTCCGGCCAAGGAATAATCTTTAATGTTCATAGAGAATGTGATAACACTGCCGTCAGCCATAGAGACGAAGAGCGTAGGCGGGCTATCAGCGAGCACATTGGCCACAAGGACTGATCGTGGAAATGCCTCGCCTGGTTCTCCTAGCGATTTGGTGTGGAGCTCAGATAAGTTTTTGATGTCCCAGACAGAGACCTGGGCCGTCTGAGGGAATGCGACGATGCAAACACCCGCAGGGCTAGAGGGAACTGTCACGCCCGAGATTTGTTGGTCCACACCAAAGTCCTTTTCTTTGATGAGTTGAGCATTGCTCCGAATGTCAAAAGAAGCTAGGACTTGACCTCCAATGACAAGCACTAGATGGTCGTTGCTTGCCGAGGCAGCAGTGATAGCTTTCTGTGTTGGCGGTGTCCATTCAAAAGTAATCATGCCACTCTCTATGTCAGCCACCAGGGCTCGCTTCTCTGTTACCTGTAAGATCCGGCCCCCTGGTAAATTGGCTGCCAGAAGAGTGTTCTCCTCAAGGGCAAGTCCCAAGAAGGTTTCCAACTCTTCGATCTCCCCATCAGAACTGAAACGGAAAACGCGTGTCTCGTCAACAAAGGTGACTAACAGCGTGTCCAAGACATCTCCTCGACTTTCGGTCTGCAGTCCCCAAAGGTCTGTAATATGGTCCATTTCTCCTAAAACACCCAACTCTTCCATACCCACGCCGCTTCGCACACTCCGCAGAGTTCCGTCATCGAAAGCACCGGAGCCTGTCACAATGCGAGCTTGTCCAGATGAGAATTCGTGGGTTTGGCTCTCATTAGTGCGGTTTCCAAGGTCCATAACCGTGAAATCTAGGATGGGGGCAATGTTGGAAAGCGTCTGAATGGCTTCAAATCCCCCACTGCCGATCCGAAGAACCTGAGAATCGCCCTGGTGTGATCCAACAAACAGGATTCCGCCACCTAGATAGACGAGCACAGTTGCCCGGGACGTAGTTCCGAGGTAGTCTAGCTTCCAGTCTTCCACTTCACCGCGATTATCCAGGATGAGCATCAAGAAAAAGAGCCTGCCGTAGTCATCGGCCAAAAGCCACCGTTGGCTATCCACCTTTTCCCAAGCTACAAAGACAGTAGCCTCGTCAAGGTCACGAGAGATTACATCATTCGCATTATCATCAATATACTTGATTGAAGTTTCTCCCAGGACAATCAATCCTCCTGAATCAATGATTAGCTGAGAAGCCTGCTAGCTGACCACCATAAAACATACCTAACGGAGCTGGGATGGGAATCAAATGTGAAGATCCAAGATCAAGCTCATGCCCAAAGACTCCACCTTCCAATTTCTTGTCCTGGACCTCTTTGAAAGTTGCATCTGCAGGCCCGCTTGACGTCGCCCGACTGTAATCCAGCTCCCGAATCCGCAGGCGAACCTTCTTCTGATTATCTTCGTACAGAATAGCTAGCCACGGCTGATTTGAGACAGAGTGCAAGAACGCAGACGACCGCACGAATAATTCGTCAATTCGCGACGCAGTCGGCTCGCCAAGCTCGCCCACCCGCGGCGCATCAGCCTGTGACGCCGCCTGCGAAACACGACCTTTGCGCTTTGTCAACTCCACAATGGGAATAACGACCACCACACCCTCGTACACTTCCAGCGTCATGAAGCGCCCAGTAGGATCAAGAAGACAACGCGGGGTCGATTCAGATTCGCGAGAAGAGGGCTCGGAAATATCGACATAGCTGCGGGCGGTAACAATTTCATTTGTCTTGGAATCCCAGGCCAGCGTGAAGTAATTATATTGGTCTGTGCCGACGAAAAGGTGATCGGTGTCTGAGTGCGCTGGCGCTGGCAGGCGGGCGAGCATCGTCACCTGCGCATAAAGCGTGCGTGTGGCTGCGAGGGTCAGGCCATCCGGTGTGAGGGTGTAGAACTCGAGTCGATTCGATTTGCTAGAGCATTCCCGATATACGTTAGCTTTTTTGTCGTGGTATTATTGGGTGCATCGCGCTGAGCTGCCAATGCATGCGGTGTGATCCCCGCATGGGCCGAGAAACCATGTCGTCCTCGGCGGGCTGGTGGTAGGGAGGGTAGCACTCACGCAGCAACTAAGCAGTCCTCCTCTGGGGTAATGAAGTTTAGCTTCACCGCATGGCGAATGCCACTTGCGCGGTGAATGGGCACCACGTAGGCCATGGTCTCTGTCCTGTGATCTTCAATTCGTCCTGAGCTAGCTTTGTCGGCGGGCCAGGGCGAGAGGATTTAGTGGCGCCGAGTGAGAAGCTGGGCAAGTCCGATCTGATAAGAAAGCAATTTTTATCACTTCTTATCAAAGCCGGGGAGTCAAATGGCGCATTTCCTTGAAGTGGAGGTCGAAGGATTGGAAGCTGTGGTGAGGTTGATGTTCTTTGCCGGGCGGTCCCACGATTAAGTCCGCGCTTACAGCCGAAAACAGGATCAAGAACCTGTGGTAACTACTACGTACATCGCATTTGACGGTCATGGCATTCGCAGCATACATGGAATTTCGGATGTACGCATCGTCTTAATCAAAACGGAAAATAGTATTTTTGAGCTTACTATACGATTTACTACGCTGAACATTGAAATAACATTGAACGGCTGCATCAGCACTACGCGAAAAGGCGGCCATTTCTGACCTCACAAACAATGGTTGCTCAAAGTGTTTTTATCATCAATATCATGGTCCCCAAGAGTCTATTGTACTGGTAAATTTGTATCCAATCTACATGATCACCATTTACCCCGCCTGAGGCAATATTCCCACGCAGAAAAAGGGGAGTAAAAAAACAACGAAAAAGAAGCCAGAGTGACCTATCGCGAGGCATAGGTCAAGAACAAAGCTCGCCGCAATGAGGAAAGGCTAGTCAAGGGGCCAAAAAGAGTCGAGAATATATATGCTGCATCATCTAGAAAGGTGAAGGGAATATGATGCGAACAGCCAAGTAAAAAGCAAAGTAGCAAGTTCATCAATCATGACCACACATCCTCCTGGTAGCTGCCGCTACTGCGCATGTGCTTGACCATCTCCTCGCCCTTTTCAGCGGGCATGCCACGCTGCTCGGCGATAATGTGGCCAAGAACCAAGTTGACCTCCCGGGCCATGTTGGCAGCATCACCGCAAACGTAGAAGTTGGCCTTTTGCTTGAGAAGCTCGCTGACAAGCGGAGCGTTCTCCTTGAGACGGTGCTGGACGTAAACCTTTTCGGAACCCTCGCGGGAGAAGGCAGTGATGATCTTCAGAGAATCACCAAGCTGGTCCTGGTAGGTCTGACAAGTAAAGAAAAAAAAGTTAGTAAGTCTAAATGCCACTAAAAGAATGGGTTTGATATCATACCTTCCATTCATCGCGGTAGATGAAATCCTCATCCTGCTTACGGCATCCGAAGAACAAAACAGTGGTGCCAACCTTCTCGCCCTTGGCGGCCAGAGCAGCACGTTCCTGGATGAAACCACGGAAAGGAGCAACACCGGTACCGGGACCCACCATGATAATGGGCTTGGACGGGTCGGAAGGAAGCTTGAAGTTGGAGTGGCGCACGTGAACCGGGACGTGAATACCGTCGTACTTGTTGCGAGGACCAGTGATCGAGTAAGTCAGACCGTGAGGGTCGGGAGATGGGTCACCGTTCTGTTTCTGCTTGAGAGCCAAGAGGTAGTTGGTAGTCACACCCTTCACCATGTGCGCGGCACCAGGAAGACGAACAGACTCGACCACAGCGGTGACACTGATCTTGTCCTTTTGAACCAGTGAAGAGGAAGAGATAGAGTAGTAACGGGGTTGGAGCTTGTTGAGACCCTCAATGAGCAGAGAGAATGGGACGGCAGAGAAAGTCTGAGAAGTGATGCTCTGAAGAGCCTGGGCGATATTGAAGCACTGGTCACTGATTTTCTCGTGGAAGTAATCCTTGTCGTTACCAAGGCGAACAATCTCGGCCTTGCTTGCCTCATCGGGGGCAAACGCAGCGAGCGAAGAGACAAACTGACGGGAGACAGGGGCGCAAACTTCCACGTAGTAACGGACCGCAGCATCGTAGGTAGTCGGGGTGGGAATGGGAACCTTGGCAGTGACATCAATACCCTTGACGTTGATAACCGAGTGGCGCTTTTCCTCCAGACCAAAAACTTGGAGGAATCGATCGACCTCGGCACCGGCGTTGGTCGGCCAAATAGCAATGTGATCACCGGTCTGGTAGCTCAGATTGCTACCGGCGATGCTAATTTCCATGTGCAGACAGTTACGGTCCTTGACGGTGAAAAGTTCACGAGATTCGGCAATCGGAGCGATGAACGGGTTGTGAGCAGAGTACGGGCCCTTGGCGCGACCCTCACGGTGGGCGGTGGTGGGTTCTCCCAGGTAGACAGATTCATCCTCGGGAGTCTTCTCCTCATCCTCGGAGACGGAGAAGACGGGTTCGTAGACAGATTCACGCTCTTGAAGACCCAGGGATTCGGACAGAGCAGCCCACATGGGCTCCTTCCAGGCGAGGAAGTCCTCCTCCATAGTTCCAGCACCATCGTCACCTTCACCGGCAGATCCAATGCGTTGCGCACCAAGTTTAGTCAAAGCAGTGTCAACATGACGGACCATGGAGTTGTAGTGTTCGTAAGTGTTGTTACCCAGACCAAATGCGACGTACTTGAGAGACGACAGAGGCGAGTCATCCGCCGAAGCACCGCTCTCAAAGGCGACGTCGTCACCGGTGAGGAATTGGTAGAATTCCACCGCATTGTCCGTTGGTTCTCCTTCACCATAAGTGGCCAGCACGAAGAAAGCCACCTTGTCGTCGGGGAATTTGTCCAAGTTCTCGTAGTCGTAATCCTCAATGTCGGCCACCATGGTCTTAAGACCAAAGCGCTGGGAGCCCTCCTTGGCCAGACGGGAAGCGTAATCTTCAGCGGTACCAGTCTGCGAACCATAAAAGATCACACAGTTCTTGCCAGTCTCATCCATCTTCTCAATGATGTCGCGGGTCTTGCCGCTCTTAGCGCCGCCATTGAGGGCAGCTCCGGAAGAGGCGTAGGGGTCCTTGGGGACAGCCCAGTAAGTTCCCTTGGTAAAGTAGGCAACACTGCCAACCAGGAGAACCACCAGAACCGCCAAATCGAGGGTGTCGAGTTGCGCCATCGCGATCGGGTTGTAGGGGAGGGGGAAGAGGGTCCGTGGGGTGGAGAATTCCCTGGCAATAAAGCGGGAAACCCTCGGATTCAAAGGGAAAAGTAGATATAAAGGCCAATCGTAGCCCAGAACTGAGTGAGTGTCCTCTAAGTACTTGACACTTTTTTTGACCTGGGCGAATATTTCCAAAAGGACAGAAAGACCCCTATTGTCCAAGGAAGAAGAAGAGGCGAAGTGGTCTGACCACCGGGCTCGGTCCAAAAAGTGGATCTGTTTGTGCTTCACCGACTTGGATGTTGTGCAGAGTTCGGAATGTGCAGCAGATAAGGGAAATTATCTGGTTAATGAGTCAAAAAAAAAAAGAAGAGTGAGCAAGAGAAAACAAGAGAAAAAAAGAAAAGAAAAAAAGAAAAGAAAAGGAAGAAGAGTAGAATAGGAAGAAGAATCACAAGGAAAGAAGTTATTTAAGAGTATGAAGATAATTTAACCTCCGTTCGGCTAGGGGCCAAGAGTGTTATATAGGGCCGAGGGGGCCAAAAATCCAAAGACAGTCGGAAAGAGAAATCGGCGTCCTTTGAAGTACGAGATTCTGTCATACGGTCATGATTTCCCTTGTCAAGCGTAATTCATTGGGGGAACCACTATAGAGGAGCCATATAGTAGGTGGTTGACCCTCGGGTATGTGCCCGTTCGGTAAGGCTGTACGGGAGATCCTACATGTGGAATTTAGGGAACATGAACACCATCTCCATTGTGGCAACCATGACGGACTTTTCACTTTCCAGTACCATCTTAGTACTCTTTTCTTACCTTTCCGGCACGAGAAACCTTTCCCACTTGGGTAATTCCCAACGTTCTTCCGCGTTTTCCAGTCAATCCGGGTTGTCTCTATCGCTAGTGCGGCCATATTCCGCCATGTGCGGCTTTGCCATTCCTCACTGGATTTCTTTTTCTTTTTCTACATATCGTACTCGGCATTAGATGAAGTTATATGATAGGCCTATATATAGTAATGAGTAGCACATAAGTGGCTTTCATAAGACTAGGGTCTTGTAAGGTACATAAAACGGCGTTGCTGTTACACTCCCCGGAGCCAGCCCTGGAGGCCTGTGGCGTTCGAATCTGCCGATGTGGAAGTCCTTCGTATGTGGGGGCCAATGGAGTGACTTACATCTCCAGATTCATAAATGTCGTTCCAAGCCCTGGAGTACTTAGAGGTTAGTATCTCCAGATTCTATCCATGGATGGTCTCAAAACCCCAGAATATTGCCCGGTTAGCCGACTTTCAATGTTTGCACTGACGTCTATTTGACCTCGGAATATTTCTATTTGGCTGCACACGTTACATGTCAAGGTTTATTCGCCCGTGAGAAATGTCAGCACTCATCTATTACTCAAAAAAGACTTGCTTGTGCACAACCTTCAAACCCTCACAAGTACCCAGCCTCGGGCCATAACCTTGCAAGCCCGCTGAGGTTGAGATGTGTATGAACTTTGACCTGTTATGGTGAAGTCACACCGAACAAGTACTATACACCAGTTGCCCCGAGATCCAGTACCCGTGCCGAAGATCCGGGGAACATTGAAACATTACCTGAAGTCATTGGAACATCAGATACCTGTAGGTCCGTACATATTAATGTCCTACAAAGTAATGTCCAGTCCAAGGATTTAAAGCACTTGAGATTAAAGTCGGAGGACTTCAAATGTTGAAATGCACTTTTACTAAAGAGAAATGCTCAAGTGCTTGCTTCGTTACGTCTTTTTGAGTATCAACATTTGAATCCACCTTGAGCACACGACTCCACGAGTTCCCCTCGGGATGTTTCAACCTTTATTAAATATAATCAATGCGTTTCAATAATCCAGAATGATCCCCACGCCAAATTGAACAAATCCAAGTTTTTGGCTCTATGTTCCTGGTTCCTACAGCATAGCCGCATAAATATTCGCCACCATACCTGTAGGTACATGCATCCACTAGGCGTTGATTCGCTGCCTTGTAGAGATTCAAATTGAAATGGAAATAATTTTGGAAACGAAGATATCCTTCCCGGATATCTGAAAGGCCATCCCGGGCTCCCGGAGCATATTGACAGCATTCGTCCTCAAATGCTGTCGCGCAGATGAAATGTTTTCTTTCAAAGTGTATCGTTTTTAACTTCGTATTGATGATTAAACATGAAGATGTTGTTGCGCCCAACTTGATTGGGCCTGCAAAACCCGCCCCGGCAAGATGAAGAACGTTGGATTCTTCAATTGGGACGAAAACCTGGACTTTTTTTTTCTTCGATTCAAATCAAGATATCTGACGTCCTAAGATAAATCATAGGCCCCTTTCCCTTAAGCTCGTAATCACCAAGGATTCGTTAGTAAGAGTAAAAAGTGGTTCCCCGTGCGCCGCGAATAAACATCTAAAAAGCTCTCGTCATCCGCGGCTCTCCAGACCTTCAACCAACCACCCTCAACGTACCATTCATCCCCCCTAATGGATTGAGCCGCCATGAACTGTGACTGGCTCACTGCTGACTCCCTTGACACGGCCGCCTGCATGAGATTCAACCGGGCAATGAGTCGTTAACTTGTACCAGTAAGCTGTGTTCGCTGCAGTGCCATCCCGCCTCACTCCCTTGCGACCCTGTCATCCCTTCTCCCACCTTTCACCCGCCCTGGTCCGACAGGACCAAAGGAAATCAGGCTCTTTTGCTAACAGCTGGTCTTACTGGCGACAGTGGCATCCAATCCGGTCAAAGCTGCTGGCCCCGGCCAGCAACCAATGCTGCCCCTCATCCCTGACGACCTCAAATCTGCGCCGCACCCTACCCTTCAATCAGCGACAGAGTGGCGAGGGATAAGAACAGCACAATCCACACCCATGCATAGCCGTGAATCCTCTACGGTACGTGGCAGAGCGACCGACCCTTCCGCACTAGCTCCGACTTTACAAGCCCGCCGCGGTCACTCGGGTTCCAAGAGCCCTGACGTGTCAGCCGGTCGGCCTGCAGGATATGACGCAGGATTGGAAAGACGACCGTCGAATTCGTACGGCCACCACAGACAGACCTCAATAGTTCATGGGATGCAGCACTCACGGAACCCGAGCATGGCAGGTTCAACTGCCTCCAGTCCTCTGAGCCCGGAGCTTATCGCGTCGCTCGGTCGTGGTGCACCCGATGAAGTTGCCATTCTGCCCTCGAAGCTAGACCAACCGGATATTCATTTGAACCATCAGAGTCCCGCCGGAGTGCCATCGACTTATGGGTTTTCGGGGGCATTGAGCACCATTCAAGACACGGATGCGGATGAGAGGATGGATGGTAGTCCAGCAAGTCTGGTGCATAAGCGTATGAATTCGGGAGGGAAATTAAGACGGGATCGGTCCCATAGTCGCTCGCATTCGAAACATCATTCTGAATCAAAGACAGTGGGTGAATATGCACTACACCATTTATTCAACTCGGTAGGAAACCCCAAGACCGGAAGAAAGTTTTGAGAGAGTGATTGCTAATGGAAGGTAAAGTTCGTTGGCCAAGCCGACAGTAAAATTAACCAGGCCATTTTAAAGCTTGGAGATTCGGAAGCTCCCGTGGAGGAGGTGTGCGGACCTGGAGCGGACCTGAATTTCGATCAGTTGATTTCGGCTTTGGGACATATCGCAAGGCTAAAACCCAAGCCTTTGATTGATACGATCATGCTTTGGCGGAAAGGGAAAGGAGATGCGGCCATCACCGCAAGGCAAATGTCAAACGAGCAGGTAAACAAATACCGCTGTGGAGGGGTATATGGCGTCGTGCAAGAATTGACCTTACTGACCTGGAAATCTCCATTTAGCCAAAATCCGGGGTAACTGAAAATGGTGTACTCATGCGCCGTAACACGGAGCCAACTCAACCTCCCGCTGACCCCACTGCTCCTTCAGCAGAAAGGCCACAGCCATCACCCTTCCTTGCCCGTCACGACGACGTTGCGCTGGTCGAACGTCGTGCTACCGTCTCAGTATACCTAGTATGTCGAGTATTAATTGAGATCTTCAACCAGAGTAGCTTAGCGTCAATCACGGTTGACATGGCAGATCGGCTGGAAGACATTGTGTTTGGTCAGCTCAAAACGGTTGATCCTGATCAGATCTCAGCGTCCCCGCTGCGGATGGCAAACTGGCGGATATATGGTCAATTACTGGGCATCATGAGCGAGCTTAACTTCACTTCTGTTGCGAACCGCTTCCTGGTGGAGCTAGATCGTTACCAAAAGGAAGAAGCATCCCGAGGGCCATCACGCGAGGGAGATGCAAAGTCCGAGTTGCTCATCCTAGGCATGAGATACCTGCGTCTCCCAATGGCCACAGACAGCTGGCCAAAAGCTTGCGATTTTATGCGTTCACTTGCCCGTTTATTTGTGAATGCCCACGGACAAAAGATTAAGCAGGCCTACTGTTACGTGATTGAGAAACTGTTATTGCCCGTGGCAGCAAATCCCATCTGTGACCTCTCGTTGCCGAGGTGGAAAGAGTTCCTGGACCTGGTCCAACCCCGCTTGGCGCAGTTACTGACTAAACCTCGCCATTGGAGTGCCGCATTCTCCTTAAACGTGTTACTGCTCTGTATATCAAATAAGGACACGTTTTCTTCGCAGTGGATGTCCATGATTTCCAGCCTGCCTCCACGACTCAAAGATCGTCCAACACGTGCCCCGGCTCTACAGGCTATATGCCGCCTGGTTTGGACCTACTTCTTTCGCTTTTCTGACTCTCCTACCACAACTCTCCGGAAGGTCGAAGAAGTGGTGAAAATAGCTCTTCCAACAGGCAGGCGGACCTACCTCAGCGCGGAGCCAAGTATCGCCGATCCTTTGATTCAACTGATTCGAATGATCGGTTTCAAACACCCCGATGTCTGTTTCCGTACGATTATATTTCCTTTAATTAATTCCGACTTGTTCCTCTCGGGTCGAGACCTGAAGATCGAACAAATGGAACCGGAGAAAATGGTAATCGGAATCCGAGCCTTCCTTGCAACCATGTCAGATCTTGAAACAAGCGACCAGCTCTGCCCTCCTTTCCCAACAGGCTCTCTCCCGAACCCTTTCATGGATACCTCAAGCCCAATCAACTTCCATCGTCCACAGCTACTCACTGAGCCCAAGTTTGGTGTGATTTCCGAGAAGTCAGACCCATCGTCTTCCTGCCCGGTTAATATCTCGAGACTGAGTGATAATGTCAAAGAATACTACCTACGTTTCTGTGAGGTTCTTGGCAAGATTACAATTCTTTGTGATAACACATTTGGTGGCCAGGCAGTCTTGGATGAGAAGTTTGGCGGCTCAACGCCGAAAACCCCCATCACAGAGGCATTTGGGTTCGGGCGACGTGATGACCATATAAATACGCTGGATCAAAAACAAGGGTTTTATGACCTTCTCCACGTGGCCGTGCAAGCGTTACCCCGTTGTCTTTCAGACCATATACCATTTAACTCATTGATCAACCTCCTTTGCACTGGAACTGCTCACGTCCAGTCCAATATTGCCACGTCCTCAGCAGATTCGTTGAAGGCGATCGCCAGACAATTGCATGCCCAGCAGGTAACTATCGGATTCGCGAGGTTCATTTTCAACTTTGATGCCCGGTATTCCACCATGTCTGATGAAGGCATGCTGGGTCCTGGCCATATAGAGTCGACATTAAGACTTTATGTCGAGCTGTTGCAAATTTGGATTGATGAAATCAAGCAAAAAACCAAGGAAGCCTCCTCGGATCAGCTTGAAAAATCCATTTCGGGCAGTCGAGCTCTACACCTTGATCTGTCAAGCGTCCTCGCTCATGTGGAAGAGATTGAGTCTCACGGTCTCTTCTTCCTCTGCTCCCAATCGCGACGAGTTCGAGCATTTGCTATCAACGTTCTACGCCTCATTACCGAATTTGATAGTGCTCTGGGGAAGGAGAACACGCGGATAATCAGAATTCTGGAAGCGAATTCTTCACAGATATTGGATGTCAATGACGAGCAGCTCACCGTTGCAGAGAGGAGTCGAATCCAAAAAGGCAAAAGACGAAGCACTTCCCAAAACACCCTCATCGAACTCTGTAGCAGCGAGGTCTCATATGACTCGACGCTTTGGGCTAAAGTTTTTCCGAAAATCATCCGCGTCAGTTTCGAGACATGTCCGTTTGCCGTAACCCTGGGAAGAGAGATTGTCTGTGCCCGTCTGGTTCAGATGCATAAGCTCATTTCATCACTTGCTGAAAGCACGAGATTCCCGCAATACTCACCAGTAGATATCTACCAACGGGGTCCAATGGGACGAAGCAATGTGACTGCGGAAATTCTGGTCGAACAATGGAAACTTTACCTTGTCATGGCCTGTACCACAGTCACTAGCGTGGGCGCTCAATCCCAAAGTCAATTGGCGAATGCTCAGCTTCATGCTCGCAAGACGTCGAAGGGAGCGCAGCAGTCCCAAGACAAAATCAGCTCTGCGCGAAGCCTCTTTGCATTTGTTATTCCGCTCCTTTCTGCTGAACGGGATTCTATTCGAGCCGCTATCGTGATTGCCCTTGGTTCCATCGCCAAAAATCTTTACAGGACCTTGCTAGAATCCCTTCAATATGCCGTGACAACATGCAACGAAGAAGCTAAAGTCCGGATTGGTACCCACCATCGTACGCCTAGCAGTCCTCGTCGAAACCGAAAAACAGACCGCCTTCGCACTGAAGTCACCCACGTGTATAAACTCACTTCCCATTTCCTTCGCGAACCCGATGTGTGCAACGACGACTGGATCGTCAATAACCTGATCACGTATGCAAAAGATATCCGAATTTTCCTCAGTGATGCGGAGGTTCAGAATGACTGGGAATTTCAACGGCTGCGATTTCATTACTGTGGCTTGATGGAGGAAGTATTCGAAGGCGTCAATCGGACAAAAGATCCGTCTCGCTGGATTCCCTTTGAATCTAGAAAATCCTCTTTCTCATTGATGGAAGACTGGTGTGGTTACTCCCCCAACCAGGCTCACATCAATGAACGAGAAGACAATATGCGCAAGTTTGCCATGGCCCAACCGCAAGACGGTGGCGAGTTGCGTAATGCCGCTGCTGCAATGGAGATTGAGAAAAAGAATCTCCGAGCAGCTGCTTTGAGTGCAATGGCCTCTCTGTGTGCTGGCCCGATTAGTATCACTACAGAAAGTGGATCGGTGCTTCAATTTGACGTCGGCCGTATGCTTTCTTGGATTGATATAATTTTCAATACCATCAGTGATAAGTGGCATTCGATCGGCCGTCGTGCTTTGAAAAACCTTATCATTCACAACCAAGAGCATGCTTATCTGGTTGAACGATCTATCGAGATGTGCTATGTGGCTGAGCGACCAAAAGCTCTTGAAAGCTATTTCGAAGTGGTGACTGAAGTCTTGATTGAGTACCCCGACTATCCCCTCCGATTCTGGAGAATTCTAGGTGCTGTCCTCGTAACTCTTGGCAATGAGAAGCGTGAGATCCGGATGAAGTCGGCCAAGCTACTCCGCCGACTTGAAGAGCGCCATCAGAAAAACTCACGGATTCAAGACTTCGATATCAGTATCTCAGATAAGACCACAGCTGTTTACAAGTTGGCTCAGTTTGAGACTTCGAAACGACTGGCGGTTCAGCACTCCGACTTGGCATTCAATCTGTTCTCCGAGTTTACCCAGCACTTCCGTAATCTGCGCCCTGACAGTCAACGCAATATGGTTGCTGCAATTCTGCCATGGGTCCAGACTATGGAGCTGCAGGTTGATCCTAATGGTGGGCCAACCGGCAGGTCTTACATGCTTCTTGCAAATCTCTTTGAGATCACCATCCGCTGTAGCACCATTCTGCCAAATCAGGTCCAGGCATTATGGCAAGCGCTGGCCACCGGCCCCCACGGAGGTAACGTTCAGCTGGTTCTTGACTTCATTATTAGCCTCTGCCTAGAGCGGAAAGAGCAAAACTTCGTCGAATACGCCAAGCAGATCGTTGTATTCCTGGCAGGAACTCCCGCTGGCTCAAAGGTCATTGAGTTTTTCATGCAGCAAGTCGTTCCAAAGAACATGGTGCAGGAGCGAAAGGATCTGACTCCGCCCCCACCTGATCTCGCGAGCTTGCCTTACGTTGCTGACCTAGCGTCGGTACTTCCTGTGGGCAACAAACAAGCCGGTCTTTCGCTTGGACAGGTAGCTCTAATTTTCCTCGTTGATCTCATGGTGGCGCCCGTCACACTAGCTATGGAGGACGTTATCAAACTTCTGCATGTGGTACTTATTCTTTGGGATCACTATACCGTGACTGTGCAAGAGCAAGCTCGTGAGATGCTGGTTCATCTAATCCATGAGCTCATTGCTGCTAAGCTAGAGGATGATGCGCCTGCAGGCGCTCGACAATCAATTGAGGACTTTGTCGAGGCCATTCGGAAGAGTGACCCAGTCGTTGTCTGGGAGTATGAGGAGAACAATGGGAAAGATGAAGAAGTTGATGATCGCCGAGTGCCGCCTGCAATGGCCGCCGCAACTCGAGATGTTATCAAGTTTTTCAGTTATGCCTATGAGGGTGTGGGTGAACTCTGGGCCAAGGAGGCGCTGAACTGGGCAACCTCATGTCCTGTTCGTCATTTGGCATGCAGGTCATTTCAAATTTTCCGTTGTATTTCGACCTCATTGGATTCACAAATGCTGGCAGATATGCTTGCCCGCCTTTCGAATACAATTGCAGACGAAGAAACCGACTACCAGACCTTCTCCATGGAGATTCTCACTACCTTGAAAATCATCATCAGTTCTCTGGCCCCGGCGGATCTCTTACACTATCCACAACTTTTCTGGACGACGTGTGCTTGTCTCAATACTATTCACGAGAGCGAATTTATCGAGACACTCGGCATGTTGGAAAAGCTCCTGGACTCGGTGGATCTCAGCGAGCCTGCCGTGGTGGCACAGCTTCTTGAGGGACAGCCACCTAAATGGGAGGGTGGATTTGAGGGTCTTCAGGATTTAGTATTCAAAGGACTTAAATCTTCCAAGTCATTCACCCGTACGTTGGATGTACTCCATCGCCTCAGTGGACTTGCCAACAACCCTCTCATCGGAGACGGAACACGACAGCTCTTCACGATTTTGGCCAACCTGCCTCACTTCCTCGAATGCTTCGACCAGGATTTCTCTGATCCCAAACCCGTCATGCATGCTAGTTTACTGGCTCGCGTGGCGGAGATCGAAGGATGTCCCCGGCTCGCCGCATCCTTGTTTGGTTTTGCGAACCAGCAATACAAGACCGAGGCTGTTTTCCTCGATCATATAATCACAGAGATCAAGTCGTACTACTTCCCGCAGCTGGACTTTCAGTGCCTGATCTTCCTTATGGGGCTTCTCACCAATACAACGGATTGGTTCAGAATTAAGACCATGAAGATTCTCTGTGTCTTGATCCCTGAGGTCGATATGCGCCGCAATGAAGTTACATGCCACGGTCCGGATCTGATCTCGCCTTTGTTACGATTGCTGCAGACAAATTTGTGTCCACAGGCCCTTGAGGTTTTGGACCACATAATTACTGTTTCTGGCAATCCAATGGAGCGTCATCATCTTCGGATGAGTATGGCCTCTGCGACTTCGTCGCGTGCTATACGCAAAGAATACGAGCGGATCCAAAGTCTATATGGAATTCCGGAGCCAACAGGCTGGTCAGTCCCGATGCCTGCGACACAGTCGACCATGACTCGCCATAATGTTCACGCGGTCTTCTACACCTGTGCTGAAGCCGAAGATATGAATCGTCGGGACACCTTGACCCCTGATGTGGAGTTCCGTGCCGATGAGTATAATGACTCGTACTTCCCAATGAGGGCCGATACGATGAAATCAATCGATACACAAACCGACGGCAACATAGGTGATATTGTCCAAAAGCTGGACAGCTTGGATGACTTCTTCGAAGATACAGATAATGTTCCAACGCTCAACCCGGTGGCTCCGCCCATGCTACGAGGATTCACTGGAAGCTACGTTGACACCAACGCCCATCTATATGACCAGCAAACTGCACCTATACTACGCAAGTCTCTTGCAAGAACTGGGTCCACCTCTTCCTTCCACAACGGCCTTGCAGAATCCCGCCCACCCAACTTCCGCTTTGACGCTCCTGGCATACCTTCCCCAGTAAGCGCAGTGTCTCAAAGTACACTTGGCATAGGTCTTCGGCCCGTCTCGCACACACGGTCCGTTACTTCACCTGCCAATAATCTTTTTGTCCACACTGCTCCGACAGGCTCTCAAACCACTCCTCTATTGAGTTTCGGTGACTCGGCATTCCTCTCCGATGATGACATTGAAGAGACACAATCGGATTTCGAGGACCGCCCAACGACCGCAAGGCGAGTCCATCCACCAATGCCACCCATGATCCGCAGCGCAACAGAGGGCGCCGGTTCGCATTCAATCGAATCTATGATCCGCAGTGGCATGCGTCGACTAACCGGCGGCGCGGCCAATAACCGTGAAAAGGAACGCCAACGCGATCTCCTTCGTGCCCAACACCGCGCTATGGTCCAAACTGCAAATTCTCCCCGTGTTCCCAAAGTACCGGAGGAGTACCTTGCTGGACCAACAAGCCATCCCACGTCACCAAGATCCTAGAAGCGTGACCCAAATAGCGTCTTTTCCCGTACCTGTTTGTTTGTTTGTTGTTGTTTTCCCCCTCTTATATCGTCTACTGTGCACTCTTTTGCCTTCTTGATCTCTGCTTTATTCCCCAGTATAACTGATCATTTTGAGGGCGTTTGGATCTTTCCATATATATCATACCCTCTTACCTATCCTACTATTTATGCATGCCTCTGGGCCCTCACTCTTTGCCTTTTTTCGTGGCATGTGACCTACATATCTGTATATTATTTCTCTATCATGCATGTTGATAGATGTGCTTTGACCACTGGCGTTAGTCATTCACGAGGAATATGATACAGGATATCCATAATGTTCTTTCCATCCTAACTTAATCTGGATGCTTCCAATTGATAGAATGAGTTTCCGGGCGATGGATTCATGGATCCATATAATGTTGTAGGTAAGTGTCAGTTGACCTTCGAACTTTTGACTTAGCTCTGAGTTATAAAAGAACCGGGGCTGGGCGGTCCGGTACATACATAATGCCTCTCAATCTTGGAACATTGAAGGTTGTATACTCAATTTAACTCCGGGTACATGTGCCAATTACCTCAGTTGACTCATTTTTTTTTTTTTTGCATCCCTTCTGGAAGCTAAGAATCATCGTTGCGGGCCTCAAGATACCGTTATGCTTGAAATGCCCATTAAAATACCTCTTTGCTGTGACACGGCAAGCGAAGATAAAATGATATTGTACCAAGGTCCTATAAACTTAAGAAAGACACATACAGAGAAGAAAGAAAAGAAAAAGAAAAAGAAACAAGAAACAAGAAGGGAGGAACAAGCTTAAGTTCCTTAAGGTTGAACCAAGACTACTACTAGGCTCCGTTCGGAAATAGAGCAAAGACCATCAACCCGCAGACTGCCAACCTGCAAACCGCAATAGACACGTGCAATATACACGTGCAGCACGTAGATCAACCCGCATGACAAAGACTATCAACATGTACGTGCGACATCTGCAATGTTGCTGCAGTGTTCACATGTGAAATTTGCACCGCATACTGTTGCGACTGCCAGGAAGATTCACGTGCCATATATTACACCGTCATTCAAATGTTCAAAATGAGATACCATAGTCACTACCGAATTTCCAATGAATACTGTTGCTACTGTGGTATTTGAAAGCTATACTTGTTTGGCATCGTGTTACTTTTTCTGAACTAACAACTCAAAGGATACCTACTGACCAGGTGGCCATGCCTCCGGTATATAAGCAAGCACTAAAACTAGGCATATGTATGAAAAAAAGTGTCCCGCAGTCTTAAATGGAGCCTTTGGGATTTTGAGGTCATAATGTAAAACAGAGGTCAAAATGTAAGCTTTCAACACTTGAAGCAGGTCATTTATATCTGAAAGTTATTCGATGAAAGACAAACATTGATTTTTGAAATAAATTTCTACGAGATACGAGTACTATGTTAAGAGGAATAAGATAGTTGGAAGTGAGAGCTTCTCTCAGACTTACTACACTGTAAATCTACCAATGAGGAGGTTGTCAGAACCTCGATGTCGATGAGGTTCTGGGGGAGAAACGAATGGTAATGAGGGGAAGAAAGAGACGAAGAAAGAGGAGAAGAAACAACTGTATTGGTATCCTTCTACTGCTGAGCGGGATGGAGAGGAAAGGAGGAAGGAAGGAAGGAATGAGAGAGAAGCTCTCACTTCCCTAAGCTACCGACTAACCCTAGCCCTCTCGCACACAAAACCAACCCAACCCACGCGCTGGAGCATCTGGAGCAGACCATGTGATACATCACATGGTTCACAATCTCCAACAGAGGTGAAGAAAGAACAACTGTGTTATTCTTCTCAGCTAGGGGGATGGGGAGAAAAGGAAGGAGAGAAGGAAAAGAGAGAGAAGCTCTCACTTCCCCAGACTACTAATGCTACACAACACGTGCTGCAGCTTGACCAGGAGCAGACTAGTATATGACCTGAAGTCATATGGTTCCCTTCTACTGACACTCATTACCATTCGTTTTCCCCAGATCTATATCGTAGTCCTGCTAGGTACTACTAGTGCCCAGATGACCAGAATGATCTGATAGGGTGATGAGAATGATTGAAACACTGAAAAAAAATCTTGCTTACTAGATCAGATAATTACTAATACCTCTGTAGAGTGTACTAGTACTACTAGTAGTATGTATGAATGAGGAATCCATTCGAAGACGCACGTGACCCACTGGTCATAGGCCCCATGTGACCCACATAGTGCCCGATACCAGCCACTAGTAAGCTTCTGCCAGCCACATCCACTCCTGTACCCGCGTTCTGTACCCACTTCCCCGCAGATAGCACAAACTCAACATCTCGGAAAGCGTCGGCGTGCGGAGAACGACCAACCGAGGCCTTGATCCCCCGCCTTCACGTCTACTTAAGGATACTATTCACCCTTTACCCTCCCGATCACATAAAGCGATAGTGCCACGCCTACCGAGATTCCTTCCAGCTGAAATCGAGCCATGCATATCCGATTCACCCTTGCCTCTCGGGCTGGCGCTCGCAAGCTCGGAACTGGTCGATTGCTGTCGGCCAGCCAGTTCAATTTAACACGAGAGTTTTCAACGACCCTGCCCCGTGACGCAACGTGGGGGTTTATTGGGCTGGGACAAATGGGTACGCAGGGCCCTCGGGAAACCAACCTCCTTGTTTCAATTGGACCTCCCAACTGATTTTCCTTAGGCTACAACATGGCCAAGAACCTTCGGGCCAAAATTCCAGCTTCGGACACCTTGGTAGTGCGAGACGTCAATGAGGCTGCTGCCAAACGCTTTGTGGAAGAAGCGCAGGAGGTAGCTCGCAATAACGGGGCCGGCGCCGACGAATATCGAGTTGAGATTGCAGAGAATGCCCGGCAACTCGCAGAAAAGTCGGTAAGTACTAATACTAGACCCCACTGTATACTTCCCTCAGACATTCTATCCACATTCTCTTTTCGCTGTATAATTTGCTGGTGCCCAATACATATGCACATATTAGTAGACATGGCTATTGGCCGCCTCATATACATCCATGGATACATATATTTTGTTACTTGAACTGACTCTGTGAGTGTCACACATAGACTGTGATTATCAGCAGCCTCCCCGAGCCAAAACATGTGACTGAAGTCTTCCATTCAATTCTCCAGCCAGGAAAGCTCCCTGTACTTGAACAGGAGCGCCTATTCATTGACACCTCGACCGTTGATCCCATTACATCCAAAGAGGTCGCCAACACCATACATACCGCTCAAGCGGGGCGTTTTGTAGACGCCCCTGTCTCCGGCGGTGTAGTCGGAGCTCAAGCTGGCACTCTTTCCTTTATGTTTGGTGCGCCATCACAGTCAGAAGAGCTGATCAACCGTATCAAGCTTGTTCTGTCACTGATGGGAAAAAAGATGTGGCACCTTGGCGAACCGGGCTCTGGGGTGTCGGGGAAACTAGCCAACAACTATATCTTGGCCATCAACAATATTGCTACCGCAGAAGCCATGAATCTGGGAGTCCGTTGGGGCCTAGACCCTAAAGCACTGGCAGAGATGATCAACTCTTCCACCGGAAGATGCTGGCCTTCCGAGGTCAACAACCCGGTGCCTGGAGTGGTTGCTACTGCACCTGCGTCCCGTGGCTACCAAGGGGGATTCGGGGTAAGTTTGATGCACAAAGACCTGCGACTGGCACTCACGGCTGCCGAAAAGTCTGGCACACCTTTGGCTTTGGGTGAACAATCTCGGCAAGTATATGATGCCGTCGAGACAGCATACCGCGGCAAAGATTTCTCAGTTGTTTACCAGTGGTTACAAGATAAATCGAAATGATTCACCTTTATCTTATCATCAGACAGATTGCCTATTGTCTAACGCAGCATACATTGATACTAGATACAGGCATCTGAATAATAATAATGGCTGTGATCTTCCAGATGTGCTCCAAACATTTGAATGACATCATATTCCAACATTCAACCATTCAGGTTCAAATGTTTGCCTTTGCCTTAAGGCTTAGATTCCATCCATGGATGTTTGTCAATTTACCAACGTCACATCTTAAAATTTAGTACACATGAGACATCTGGACAATTATCCAGATGTCTCAATGATCCGTTTAACATTTGAAGTATATTATACCTGTGAGCTATAAGCCCCTGGAGGCAATTTGATTGATTTATTAACATTCATAGCTACATACTAATTAATTATGATAGATAATCCCTCTTGGTATTGCTGCAACTAGATCTTGTATGTGCATACATGATCCACATCAATTGATGCATTTAAGAGCAGGCATCGGTCTAGAGAAGGATGTATGCTGCCTACTAGTATACATCATAGTATGCAAAGTATGTGCTCAATGCTAAGTCACTGGATTTCCCTAATACAATACAGGCCCGTGACTGCCCGTGACTTGATGTTTGTCTCAATTGACTCAATGACGGATGTAGAATGTATACATAGTATACTATACACTAATAGCACTTGAGCCGATAAGTGAGCCTAGTAGTCTTGAACATTATCGGAAGAACCCGTGCGAGGTTCATGACCTGCCGTCCCTCCTTCCCTTTCTTCGTTCTTTTCCTCTTTTCCTCTTCTTCTCTCTTCTCCCAATCCCCTCATACCACATTTTTCTTTCGCTTCTCTTCGTACTTTCATCGATCCGTTCAAGACGGCTCCAACGTTCGTCTTATCATCAACATAGCTCTTCGTTTGATATTCGTTCCCTCCCTTTATCCTCGCTCGTTCATCTGTTGCCCAGCGGAGCACTGCTCCATTGAGAGTCGAGACCACCTTCTCGGCTGAGAAAACGCCCAACTGCCCATTTCAAAACTGTTACCGTCCAAGCCCAAGCCCTGGAATCCACTCAACTTTTTATTATCGTGGCAGGCCGAACCCAAAAAAAAAGGTAATTTCGACAATCCCCTGTCAAAATGCTTCAGAGCGGCTGGCTTACTTCATTGATACTCGTTTAATATAGGACGCAGCCATCCATCTTGCGACGTTGAATCAAGACGACCTGTCAGGTTGTGGCCACTCACAGGCGGCTCGGAAAAGTTTTCTTCGATCCTAAATAGGATCCTTACCACGATCATCATCATCATCATCCTCTCGCAACTACTATCAATTCGAGCATCTAAATTCTTCCAGAGCTTTTAGCTGGGGATCCCACCCAGCTTGGCCTCGTTTAGTTTATTCAGGGTGTTCTTAGCCTACGAGCCCAGAACCCCTTTTCAAGTCCTCAAACACCATCCATCCCATCTCAAACCTGGAACTGCTTGTCTCCTTCTAAGTCCATCACATCTCCAAGACTTCTACAACTATCACCTGCTCCCGGTAAGTCTGTGAGCTCATCAACATCCATTTCACAGCTGTTACGTGCCAGATCGATTCCAAGTATCGACCAAACATTTGAACTATTTGCCACAACCATCGGCCGTCGTTTCGCCATCATTTCCGCCTCCAATTGGAATCTTAGAACAAGCTACTCTTAGGTAAGAAGAGTCGAATTTCTTAAAAACTTACTCGGCAATCTCTATCAATGCTCATCCCTAACATTTAGTGAAGCAGCAGTGCTTATCGAACTTGCAACTGCCTGAATCATGACCCCGATTATCCCACAAAACCCTGCATCGACAGGACCTGGAAAGCAAATGCCAAAAGCTCCTCCCGCCATGCGCAATGAGCCTGCTTCAACGCATTCTGGAAATTCTTACCGACCAGGTGCCAATGTTTCCGATCGTGACAGTGTTGGTAAGATGGCCATGAACTCAAATCAAGCTAATCGACCCAAGTATGGTTCCAGGAACCATGCACGGGTCCCCATAAATGGACAAAACAACGCACGCTTGGACCACAACCGCCACCCACAAACTACACCTTCAGGCCAGCAATATCTATTTCCCGCGGCCAATCCGCATGGAGGGATGCAGCAAGTTAATCCTTATTTTCATGCCCAGCCAGAGTTTTACCAAAATGGGACTTTTCAAGGCATGCATCCACACATGCTACCGAGTACCTACAATACTTGGCCTGTTGTGTATCAAGGATATGACGCACCCGACAACCATTCATACAACTTAGGTGATCGTATGCGGGGAGCTCAGCCAGAGCTTGCCGCTCCCATGCCCTACCACCCCCAACAATACATGCCTCCTGTCATAGATGCCGTCTATCAATACGGGCCATTGGTACCAAATGTCGGCCAAATGCCAGTTCATTTGCAGTACATGAGAACCCGAAACGGCTATGTGCGACAAGACTTAGATGCTCTCACTAGACAAGAGCCGGCAATTCCTCGTGCCGTGCCCGCAATGTGGACTAATCCCTCTGAGCTTACACTCGCAAAATGTCTTGAGAACCGCGAAGGCATCACCAATGTCTACATTAGAGGTTTTCTGCCCGAAACCACAGATGAGATGCTTGCGGCTTATGCTGTTCGATTTGGAGATATTGAACGCTGTAAGGCGATTGTTGACCTGGAGACTGGTCTTTGCAAAGGGTATGGCTGCATTTTGAAAAGTGAAAAAAAAAATCATTTGGATTGCCACTGACCCCAATATAGTTTTGGCTTTGTTCAGTATTTTACTTACGAGTCATGCGAGAATGCCATTCGGGGTTTCCATTTCCTCGGTTATCAGGCAAGCTTCGCTCAAAAGTCCCGCAACTCTCGTCTGAAGGACTTGGAAGACCGAACATCGACCAACATCTACTGTACCAACATCCCGATCGAATGGACAGAAGCTGTTAGTTCAGGAATCATTCAATTGAGTCGTGCATTATTGATTTTCGATGCTGATGATGTGCTCTAGGACCTACGTCGTCACTTTGAGCCCCACCAGGTGGTGTCGGAGAAAATAAGTCGCGAAGAAAAGACAGGTATGAGTAAGGAAGTGGGCTTCGCAAGGTAAGAAAAGAAGTTCAGAGGCATTGATTTTCCTGGTTCTCGCTAATTTTGCCCAGATTCGAAAGTCGTGAGGTTGCCGAGCAAGTTTTGGACGAGTTTCACAATGTTATGGCGAGCGACGGTGTCAAATTGATGTTACGCTTTGCGGATACCAAATCGCAAAAGATGCTGAAAATGCAAAGTAACGAGCGCCGTGCCTACCGTGCGGGGGAATACAACTACTCTGTTGAGGTGGTCCAAGGATCTACTCCATCTCCTACAGTTCAACGCATGGCACAGAGCGAGACACACCTGACTCCTATTTCCACTGCCACCTATGAGTCCCCCGCGGGAGTCGAGAACGACTGGACTCCAGCTTCTTCCATGTCTCCGTATGTCCCGCCCAAAATGATTCAAGTATATATAATATGTTGACGAGTGTATACTGACAAATTAACCTTAAAAACAGCAACTTTCAAAAGCATCCTCTTAGCAATTTGCGCCAAACCTCTTCTCTGAGTCTCAACAATCTTGGAGAAAATACCCCCGTGACTTGGCCCTCTCGCCGGCAGCGATTGAGACGCTCTGTGACTGACAACACTGGAAGTTTCCTTCAGGTGGCCAGACCAGTTTCTCCAGATGCGCTTACTGACACTTCTGACCCTTCTTCTACCCCTCAAAATGGGATCTCGAAAGCTCGGTCCGTCTCGTCGGTTCCGTTGCGCATGTGTGCTTCTCCTATGGACTTTTCTCCTAGGTCTAGCCTCTAATTCCTGAAAAACGAAAATATTATCGCAGGTCTTCCAACACGATCTTCGAAATTACGTCTCATCATTTTACTCACTTATCACATTATTGATCTTGTCTTACCCATCACATGTCATCTCCCCTCTTTGAACACACCCGGCAATTGACAAATGATCTGCTACCCCAAAAATTGCCAAACAAGCCAAAAAAAAAGAACCAACACTTGGACTTTAGTGTTGAGCTTCGGCTCGACGCCAAGGTCGTTTCTTGCCAACAACTCTGGGAATCCCTGCAACCTTGCAGATAAACCAGGTATCTCCTCCACCCAACCCTTCCGAGTTTGAATCGTTCTTTGATAAGACGGACCCCTTCAATACACGAAAAAGCTCCTGGAATCCTGTCTTGATCCCGTATTCTCTAGGGAAAAAGAGAGGAATCCCTATGCGTTCGACTGAAAAACAGACCCTGCACTCTCAAAAATGGGCTTGTTCGTATCAGGAGCCAGTGCGATGTTACATGTACACTACCAAGATTTGAGGTGTAGCCGACTCCTACACGAGGAAGTCGGTGAGCCCAGAGGCCTTTAATAGCCCCAGAGGAAAAGGGTGACGGGATATGAAGAATGGTTCATCCGTGATACCAAAGGACGCCTGTCAGACCCCTTCAAGCAACTCGTGACACTTCATTTACAACATGGAAAAAGAAACACCGATTACGTCATTTGCCAGCATGGTTTATCAATCTGTCCGCTTGCTATCTTAAGTTCTTAACAACATCAGATGAGCCTTCCCGAACGAGGGGTCTTTGATCTAGCACATGGACTCATTCCCACGCGGAACAAATCGAGAAACACAAATCCTCAATATCAGAATCGCGAAGATCGCCTGGAGCTCAAAGCGTTCCAGGCTCTCTGGCTACGATTTTGAACTGAGATAAATGACACCATTGACACGCTACTCTCGTTACACAAAGTATCCCTTCTGTCGGCTTCAAGGATCAGGACTCTTGACTTGATCTTCCATGCCACTTTCCTTTTGTTGATCGGTCCATCAGATCCCCCATCTCTCCCCAGCAGTGACCTACCCATGAGGTCCAGATATTCAACTTACTTGTCTCCAACCAATCTTGTCTGCACAGGGCTCAGGCGACATTGGTCTTGTCAGAAGCCCTGTTAGGCCTCCCAGCTTTCAATGTTCAGCACGAACGAGTTTCAAATTTCCCAATCTTCAGCAATAACATGCATCAGCTCAACCTTGATCGTCGAGTCCCGTGGCTAATGAACGATTTTCAGTGACCTCGGGAGTCAACCGGCTCTTGCGACGCTTCGACAATACGATTGATTATTTGCGCCAATGAATATGAAATGTGAGAATACCGTCTTTTCTGGGGATGGAGCCAAGGTTCGAGTTGATACGGAATGCCAGTCTCTTGACATCCGCTAACTAATCCGCCGTCTCAACATCTGTGTGCTGAGCCCCGCAAGGAGTCAAAATCTTTGTGCTGGTAACAGCGATAACGATGCTGAGGCCATTGAGGCTGTCCAAAATTTGCAAGCTCGACTCGAAATCTCCTTGATTATGGGTGTCTTTCTCGCCAAATCCAGTCACCATCCTTCTATCCCATGCAAAGAAAGCGCTGGGACTGCCTACACCCATCAACGATCAACGAAACGGTCGAGCCAAATTTTTCTACGCAGCATTATCCTTGCCATCGTTCTCTTCTGTCACCTGTGCTTCGATCTCAGAATTTTTTCTCATTTGATATCCCCTTTAACCTTCAAGTCCCCCGAGTCTTTTTCTAGTACCCCCCCCTCCCCTCTTGATTTTTCCACATTTTATGGAGAAAACGGCATACGGGCATGGTGTCTTCAATTTGTTTACCCTTACTATGTACCTTTTCGTTATGATCAGTTTATTTGGTCCCCATGGATACGTATCGTGTGAACGATGCAAGGCTATCATGTTACTCTCCCGCACGCTGTATTTCTCTATCTCGATTTCTCTTTCTTGATCTTCAATATCAACAAGCTTTTATTATTCTTCTTCTCTTTATTCCCCTTCTGGTTTAGCCATACGAGGAAATATTTTCTGTGCGGCATTGTATGGATTTTATTGCAGCTCAGCTTGGCAACTGCGTAGTAGTCTAATATGATGCGTCTGCCACAAAAGTTTCCAAACATCCCGACTGAATATTAAACACAATCTATAAACAAAGACGGAGAGGGATCGTCGATCTGTGCTGGAGGAAAACCGACTGCCATTATCAACCCAAGGCTCTGACAAACCGAAAGGTCCGCAACATAAATCAATTGCGACCAAGCCTCTCCTCTAAATCCTCCATCAACTTATACGCTGGTAAATAAGTTCCCTCGCAATCGCTCTTCTCATCATCAATCTTCAAGCGCGGATTTGGCAAAGTATCCGAAGTTCCTCCAAGACTGGTGTATCCCATATCATAGAGCTGACAATATTCCAAATTAAGGTGTCGAATGAAAGCCCAAATTTCAGCATAATTCCAATCAATGACGGGGTGGATGCGCATAAAATCAGGCCACCCACCATCAGTCCGGTCAAAATGGGTTAACTTCGCACCGTGTGGGTCTGTCCGTCGCGTGCCCACAAATATAGCACGAACGCCAGGATGGCGTGCGAGGTAATCTTCAAAACTGGATCGCAATGTTGTATGAGGTGGGTCGGTGGTGTATTTCGTTATTGAGAGGTGATAAGCTTGTGCCGAGCTGAGAACAAAGTCTTCCACTGCGGGGAAAGGATCAGGAGGAAGGGCATAGATAGCGGGTATAACGGGGCCATTGGCCAAAGAATCAGCATCTTCGGATGTCGACGACTCGGCATGACTAGCGTATGGGTGAAGACCAGCCAAGAACAGGATAAGGAGAACGAGACAATCCTTGCCACCATTGTAGGACAGTGACAGCCCCGAGAGGTTATACTGAGCAACTGCGCTGGCGACAACTTCCAGGGACGTGCGGGTTGAGCGCTGGACCGAGGCGAGGAGCGAGTCGGGGGGATGTGACTCCGCTAGGAATTGCTGCACGCGGGCATGGATGTGCTCAATCACGACCGGGAGTGGGGGGATGGCCTCGTCGGCCTTGCCATTTATGTGTCCAGAGCCATTGTGCGCGCTCTCTTGAGCTGACCCGTCTCGCAGATCGGCGTCTGTCGCGTGTGCGGTATATGCGGTGGTGGCCGTGTCAGCCCCGCGTTGCCCCGGGGTGGAGATTTGGTCTGTGGATCCGAGGTTGAAAGGACGGAGATGCTCGAGTGCTTTGGAGAGCGATTGAGAGGAGGCTAGCGGCTCTGATGGCCGTGTACCTGGTACAGGGGGTTCGGCCATTGTGTTGGGGGAGATGAGAGACTTGAGGTCGAGGCGGGGGAGAAGTGGGTTTCTCGGCGCTCGGAATCCAGAAAATGATCTAATCCCATGTGGGGATGAGACATGTGGAAACGAAAGAAAGACCGGACAACTTGGGCTTAAAGATTTGCACGTTACTTTATTGATTCTTGAGAAACACATGTGCATAGTGCAAGATCATGGACAAAGAGAAATTAGGTAGTATATCTATAGTGTGTATGCCAATCTGTACCCAAGATTCTAGGTTTTCCCCGCGCCGCGGCTTATCGGTGGAAGTGCATGGAGCCTCGTAGATCTAAAGCAATGCATGAATTGCTTACCCACTGGGTCAATAGAAGAAGTTTCCATTCATTTATTTGTTGGTATCATTGTAATGAAGTTTATCCGAGGACTTTCATCTTCTTTTTCTTCTTTTTGTCGTCGCTTCCTTTCCCTTTCTTGAAATCGCGCCAGCTTCCAATGCGCTCCTCCCGAGTATCTTCCCATGCCTTGTCTTGATCGCGCTTCCGTTTGCGCGCATCAAGTTCCTCTTCTTCTTTGCGCTTCTCCCGTCCCTCTTCTTGCATGCGCGCTTTGGCTTGTCGCCGCCGCCGTGCCTCCTCCTCTAACAGGACGTGAACGGTCTTCTGTCGCCATTCCTTCTTGAACTCATCCGTCTTCAATTCCGGGGAGTCAAGGGTGTACTTGTGTTCACGGATCAGGAGACGTCGTGCGTCTGCAATGCATTCGTCTAGGTAGGTGCGCTCTTTCTCGTCGAGGAGTGCAAGTTGTGCCTTTTTGAGTCGATCAAAGGCATCTGGCGCGGCAGGATTCTTGGTCTTATCCGGGTGAATCAGAAGGGATTTCTTGCGATATTGTACCTTGATGTCCTTCTCAGGAACACCAGGCTGTAGGTCTAGAACGGCGTAACTAATGGGGAAAGAAATGGGGTTAGTGGAGCTCCGAAAGTAAACAGCGAAACAACTCACGCATCAAGGGAGAATGCCTTGCGAATGCGATCGATCTCCGCATCTTTTGTGAACTCGGAGGCTTCGCGCTCCAGCGAGTCGAAGATGTCTTGATCCTCGTCGTCAGCCATGAAGAAGTCGAGTGGTTCTTTCAATCTGTAGTTTCGGAGGAAGTTCTTATCTCGCGCCCTGACGAGCTTATCGGAAGATGAGTCAGCAGCCAAGAAAAAAAAAGATAGCGATTAGAATTTACAACCGATCAATTTATTTGATTGACAAGAAACCACTTTCACCACAATTATGGCTCCCGGAAAGGCCTCTCGTGGGAAAGCTCCCAAACCCCATCATGATTCTGGACGGACTATGAAACGCAAGCGTGGTGAGGAGGACCTGTCCTCACTCATCAAGCGTGTCGAGGATCTCGATCTTAAAGCCGCTATCAAAAACTTCTCCGATCTGCCTCTCTCCGAACCGACCTCCAATGGTCTGTCAGCCACTCACTTTAAGGTGATGACTGATATCCAGCAGCGCGCCATCACCTCCGCCCTCAAGGGTCGCGACATTCTCGGTGCCGCCAAAACCGGTAGCGGAAAGACCCTAGCCTTCCTCGTCCCCATCCTCGAAAACCTATACCGCAAATCATGGACCGAATACGATGGTCTGGGTGCCCTGATTCTTGCCCCGACGCGTGAACTGGCCATTCAAATCTTCGAAGTGTTGCGCAAGGTGGGTCGTTACCACGCCTTCTCCGCCGGTCTGGTGATCGGTGGTAAGAGCTTGCGCGAGGAACAAGACCGTTTGGGTCGCATGAACATTCTGGTCTGCACCCCTGGACGTATTCTGCAGCATATGGATCAAACGGCTATGTTTGAAACCAACAACCTTCAGATTTTGGTCATGGACGAGGCCGATCGCATTCTTGATATGGGCTTCCAAAAGTCCGTGGACGCTATCATTGACCATCTCCCCAAGGAACGACAGACCATGCTTTTCAGTGCTACACAAACCAAGAAGATCTCTGATCTGGCTCGTTTGAGTCTGAAGGAGCCTGAGTATGTCGCCGTCCACGAATCTGCTGCTTCGGCCACCCCATCAACTCTTCAACAACACTACGTCGTCACCCCGCTTCCTCAAAAGCTGGATACACTGTGGAGTTTTATTCGCGCCAACCTCAAATCGAAGACAGTGGTTTTCTTGTCTTCAGGAAAGCAGGTCCGTTTTGTCTATGAGTCCCTCCGCCATTTACAACCTGGTATCCCATTGATGCATCTTCACGGCCGCCAAAAACAGGGTGGTCGTTTGGACATTACCACCAAGTTCTCCCAATCACAGCATGCTGTGCTCTTCGCCACGGATGTGGCTGCCCGTGGTCTTGATTTCCCCGCTGTGGACTGGGTAATCCAAATGGATTGCCCTGAAGATGCCGATACCTACATTCACCGAGTAGGTCGGACTGCTCGTTACGAGCGAGTTGGTCGTGCCGTCCTCTTCTTGGATCCCAGCGAAGAGAAAGGTTTCTTGCAACGACTGGAGCAAAAGAAGGTGCCTATTGAACGCATTAATATTAAAGCCAATAAGCAACAAAACATCGCCCATTTGCTTCAAAACATGTGTTTCAAGGATCCAGAACTCAAGTATCTGGGCCAGAAAGCATTTATCTCATATGCAAAGTCTATTTATGTGCAGAAGGATAAGGAAACTTTCAACATTAAGGAACTAGCCTTGGAGGAATATGCAACCAGTCTGGGTCTGCCTGGTGCTCCTCGCATCAAGTTCATCAAGGGTGACGACACCAAGGAGCGCAAGAATGCTTCATGGAGAATGGCCCAGCTTTCCAGTGGCTCCGAGAACTCGGATGCAGATGCAGATGAGCCTAAAAAGGAGAAGAAGGATGAGAAGACCGTGCGCACCCGCTACGACCGCATGTTTGACCGACGCAATCAGGACGTGTTGGCAGACCATTACTCGAAGCTTATCAACGACGACGGCACTTTGATCGCCGCAGGTGCTGCAAATGGCGCTGGTGAAGATGCCGACGAAGACGCCGACTTCTTGTCTGTCAAGCGCAGATTCGAGGCTGGTGACGATCAACTTGGCCAGGGTGCTACCGACTCCGATGACTCGGAAGCCGAAACCACCAAGACCAAGATGGTCCAGCTCGATGGCCAAGATCCATTGGTCATCGATTCCAAGCGTCGCGAAAAGTTGCTCAAGTCAAAGAAGAAGCTGCTCAAGTTCAAGGGCAAGGGTACCAAGCTTGTCTACGACGAAGAGGGCAACGCGCACGAGGTCTACGAGATGGAGGACGAAGAAACGTTCGCAGCCCGGGGCGACGCCAAGGCCCAGCGGGAGCGCTTCGTGGCGGAGGAGACAGAACGCACTCGCCGCGCCGATATCGACGACAAGGAGGTGGTGCGCGAGAAGAAGCGCGAGAAGAAGGAGAAACGCAAGGCCCGCGAGCGTGCTCTTGCCGAGGAGGAGGCCCAGTCGGAAGGCGAGGGTGGCTTCCAGCTGCCATACATTCCCTTCAAGGACCCGATGGAGTCTGCATCTGAGTCCGAGCGGGAGGATTCTCGTCCGGGCAAGAAGGCTCGTTTTATCGACTCGGACAGCGACGAGGACCGGCCAAGCAAGAGCAAGAAGAGCAAACAGGCTGCCCAGCCCCAGATCGAAACCTTGCAGGATCTGGAAGCGCTGGCCAGTGGTTTGCTGGGTTAGATGTGCATTTCATGAACTGGGTTCGCTCTGGCGTTGTGTTTACTTTTCTCTCGTTGGTCTGTGTTTATGTACTAGCGAAGCCTTCCCAAAAGCATTGATTGTATCGATTTGCATGTGTATAATGACCAAGGAACAAGATCCATGGATATATTACTTTTTCAAAAAAAAAATTCTCCTATAAATTTTACCAGCTACCTACCTTAGTTCACGAGTGTGTAGAAGCAACGTTCAATGTTCAAAAGAAGGTTACATACTCCGACGCCCATCTCTTCAACCAGTGCTTGGAATGCATTTCTAAATGCAAGCTGACCTGCGGATCATTATATGTAGACCACGTGATCGTATTTGGACAAATTGACACCTGAATATTCTGGCAAAAAGCCCACGGTTTTTTGATATTTCGGACACCTGAGGGACCAGGCTATAATTTGCCACATGACTGCGCCCCCAGTGGCTAATACGGCTAACCTGAGGCTCAGGCAATAATTGCAAAGCTTATTTCCCTACTATCTCTGCTCTGCGCTTCTTGTCTGTGTTGATTCCAGCATCCCACAGAACCTGCTTATTTATCAATATTGGCCACATTGCTTGTACATAGAAGAATTTCGAAGCTGGAATGAGTGGGGCTCTTCGCCACGTGGGTTCTAAGGAGGAATCCCAATGCTCCTTTTTTGACAGTATGCTGACATTTTACATATCAGTTAGAAAGAACAAGAGGTTTCTTTACTCTAAGCACAATCTAAGAAACTGGATTGAAGATCTGGCTGATTCAAGAAAAACTTGAAACTACTCAAAAATGCCTGCCGAACGGTAGTTTGGTTGACAAAGTTACCCGCGCCAGACGAAAGGAGTGGATCCGATTGAATTTTTCTCTTGTCATGAAAATTGACAAAATGCGGGCCTTCCCGGTCCAACCATAGAAGCGCGCAAGCACGCCATCGTAAAAATCATGGCCTGGAGAGTTCAGTTTTCCGTCGATCGAACATGGCATTCCTTTCTTCTACTAGTTGGCTGGTGAAACATCTTACAAGTTGGGGCATTCCTGTCATATTGAAGAATCCGGGGTAGCCAAGCCACACCTTATACCTGCAGGTCACGAGATCGCTGGTGAGTCGTTCCTGGCAACATTCGTGCAACTATGGGATATTGCCGTCATATTGGACGCAGACACTGATATTGAAGTTCCAGTCTTGTTTAACTGCTGCTGCTGCTACTTTTTCTTACTGGATTACATCACACCTACATTACTCAGGTGGTCTGAACTAGTGGCACTAGTCGGTCCACTCACACATCACCATGTCTTCTTTCTCGGATGCTGAGAAGCATGTACCCGTCGAAGAGTATGGCGAAGTCGGCCTCGGGTCAACACCTCTAGTCAATGCCGATAAACTGGCTCGCCGTCTCTCGGGCCGACAGGTGCAGATGATCGCTATCGGCGGTACTATCGGCACCGGTCTGTTTCTCGGTACGGGTTCGTCCCTCGCCACAGGTGGTCCTGCCTCCATGTTGATCGCCTACGCGATCTGTGGTGCAATTGTGTTTATTACCATGCTGTCTCTGGGTGAGATGGCTGCTTTCGTCCCCGTTGCTGGTTCCTTCTGTACATTTGCAGGGTGAGTTACATTGATCGCCGATCCCTGCTCTTGGAGATACTGACTGTTTTTCTTTAGTCGCTTTGTTGATGATGCTTTGGGCTTTGCTTTGACATGGAACTATTGGTTCAATGATGCTGTTTCAACCGCTACTGATATCATTGCTTTGCAACTACTGTTGGAATATTGGACAAATAATTTCCCAGGCTGGGCAATTAGTCTGATCTTCCTTGTGGTCGTCATCTCACTGAACCTGTTATCAGTGAGAGTCTATGGCGAGATTGAATACTGGTTGAGCTTGCTTAAAGTCATCACCATTGTGGTACGTCCTATATATATGCTAGATGTTTATTATTGAGCGTCCACTAACTTTACCTAGATCTTCATTATTCTTGGTATCGTTGTCAACTGTGGTGGTAACAAGAACCATGAGTACATCGGAGGCAAATACTGGAACCATGGAGAGGCTCCTTTCGTTGGCGGCATCGGTGGTTTTGCCTCGGTCTTTGTCACAGCCTCATTTGCCTTGTAAGTCTGAATTGTTATATCTCTTCACGGTTTGTACTATGTCTGACATTCAAACAGTGGTGGTACCGAGTCCATCGCCATCACCGCCGGTGAAACGAAAAACCCGGCCAAGACCATGCCCAAAGTCGTGCGTAATGTCTTCTGGCGTATTGTGCTCTTCTATCTTCTTTCCATCCTACTCATCGGCCTCAATGTCCCTTACGATTACCCGGGTCTCTCGAACGAGAACAGTCGCTTCAGTCCGTTCACTATTGTCTTCGAAGAAGCTGGCAGTTCCGTCGCAGGTAGCTTCATCAATGCCGTTATCATGACCTCTGTCATCTCCGCCGCGAACCACGCCCTCTTCGCTGCCACCCGATTGCTGTACACATTGGCTGTCGACGGCTATGCCCCCCGCGTGTTTAGCAAGTTGAACCGCTTCCAGATTCCCTGGATCGCCGTCCTGGCTAGTTCGGTCATCAGTGGACTCTGCTTCGGTGCAAGCTACATCGGCGCCGGTCAATTGTGGTCCTGGTTGCAAAAGTAAGTCTTGTTTATGAATGACCTAGATAAATTGAAAAAAAAAGCTAACCAACTTTACCAGCATCGTCGGCGTTTCTAACCAACTCTCCTGGATCTGTATTGGCATTGCCTCTCTTCGCTTCCGTGGCGCTATCCGTGCCCAGGGCCTCGAGGATCTCCTTCCTTTCAAGAACTGGACATACCCATACGGGCCCATCTTTGCGATCGTCCTCAACACTGTCCTTGTCTTGGTACAAGGATGGTCCTGCTTCAGCCCACACTTCAAGGGCGTAAGCTTTGTTTCGTACTATATCGAAATCGCGATCATGATTGTCATGTTTGTGGGCTGGAAGCTCATCAAGCGGACCCGATTTGTTCGCAGTGCAAACATGGATCTGTACACCGATCGGTATGACGGTAATGGCCAAACTCCCGAAGAAGAAGACGCGCCGCAACGAAAAGGATTCGTTGGCAAGGTACAGCGCTTTGGGCAGTGGCTGTTCCTTTGATTTGGGGGTTTTGATTATTTGTTGTAATACCTAGCTTTTTATTTTGCATATCCTATATTGCGCGTCATATGAACATAGACATTTTTTCTTAATTTTCAAATCTTTCTCCTTTTTTTCATCTGACGGATTTTCTGAGACTCGTTTGAATGTTGACTCATCCATCGCATTTCCCCCCCCCTTATGCAGCAATTTTCCGGCACCAAACCAGCCAATCAGAGGCGATGGAACAAGGTGTCATTATCACTTTTGGCCAAGACGCCATGGACTCACAAGGTGCATTGTCCGTTTATTTCCATTTCTTTGCATGGATATTAGCTATGATTTATTTGGGCTACTTAGAACGATGGGCCTCTTTTCCCCATATTGCCCATATTGCCCATATTGCCCATGTGCCCTTTTCCACTTTTTTTTTTTTCTCTTTTCTCCACTTTTTACCCCGGGGTTTTAGCGCTAGGCCGGGGATACCCAGATTCGACATCTGATTGACGCGTCGCTCCGAGGTAATATGCCTCTCACCCCTAGTCTTTCTGATCACGGTTGGACCGGTAGCCTGAAAGGGAAAGGTTGCAACACCAATGGATCGTATTTACTGGGATATATAGGGGAAACGACCGTGCCAGAGTGAACGGCCCCGCTTGGCTTGATCCAACGCGGGGAAATGAGAAACTTTAGTGCTTATGGCCCTGCATGGGCTTAGTCGCTTTTTTCTCTCTCTCAGAGAACCCCATTTTCTCTCTCTTTCTTCTATAACATAGACAATGCTCCTGTTCCTCCCCCCAGGGTTTACCCCGGGTTTTCTGTCAGTTCCATGGATCGTAACAAAAAAAGCCCCTTCAGCTGCTTACTCTTAAATCCGAATATCCGTAGACTCAGCCATGGATAGTGCCATGGATTCCTCGTTCTAGACTGGTAAAATAATCAAGCGGAAATCTTGAAGAACTTTGAATATAGTAGAGTGGCGAGAAGGTGATTTACAGAAAATTGGCCAAGTCCTCGCATTAATTCCTCCAATAGTAAAAGCCAAGGGTCGCTTGAATTTGCATTTTACGCTAGGAGCTTCACCACGGACTTTGCGGCCTTTCCTGGTTCGTAGGTCGCTTATAGCACTTTCGTGGACCGTGCCACTTAAGCCCAACGCTTACGAACAGAAAAGAGAAAAAAAAAACAAAAAAAGCCACTGGCCCAGCGAGACATTAAATCGAAACCTTACAATTGCGAAAATCTTTTTCCCCACTCTTATAAACATTCCCGCATTTCCTTATGTTGTGTCTGTTTCTTTGCGGGTTTTTTACCTGGTTGTGATTCGCCTTGGCCCTGGGGGCATCTCATGCCTATACCGTTGATCGCTACATGCGGGTGAGCGACCCAGCTACCCTAGCGACTTCAGAATCCAGAATTTCGACGATCAGAATAAAGAAACCATTGGGTCTATCTATCGGGTCCGTTTTGCATCGGACCCCCCACTTATAGGAAGATCATGTCCACCAGCTCCGCCAACGGCATCATCGGGGAGTACGCTGGCGACGACTTCACCATCAAAGTCACCTTCACCGTCTTCCTAGGAATAGCCCTCTACAACTCCATCGAACTCCTCATCCTCATCTTCGCCTCCTTCCGCCGTTATCAAGGCCTCTACTTCTGGAGCTTACTACTCGCCACCGTCTTCGGTGTAATCCCACAGTCCGTCAGCTTCCTGCTGAAATATTACGGCATCGGCCCATTATGGCTGTCCATCACCTTATCCACCATCGGATGGTACTTCATGGTAACGGGCCAGGCGCTCGTGCTATTTTCGCGCCTGAACATCGTCGTCCAGGATCTGACCATTTCGCATCGTGTGCGCGCCATGATCATCATCGATGCCATCGTCTTACACATCCCCACCACCGTGCTGACGTACGGCTCTAATTTCGCCAAGCCGGCCGTCTGGGTCCAGGCGTACAAGATCATGGAGCGCATCGAGCTTACGGGTTTTTCCCTGCAGGAGTTTATCATCTCTGGCCTGTACATCTACAAGGCGATTCAGATCCTGCGCATGTCGCCACCCAGCACGACCGGCCACAACCCGAATCGCAAGATCATGTACCAGCTTCTCGCGATCAATGCGCTGATTATCGTCATGGATGTCATCTTGCTCGTCTTGCAGTATATGAACTTTTTTGTCGTCCAGACAACGCTCAAGTCGGCGGTGTATAGCATCAAGCTGAAGCTTGAATTTGGCGTGCTTAGTCGTCTGGTCTTTATGGTGCAGTCACATCGTTGGCCGCCGGGGCCGGATGAGTCACCTCAGCTATTTTCGCGTCCGGCGACGGCGAGGGAGGAGTTGGATTATCATGAGTTTTTGGGCGCGCCGGGGAGTAGTATGCAGCATCCGCCTGCTTCAAATACTTTTTGCAAGTCGGCTTCTATTCGGCATCAGGAAGTGGTATGACGTCCCTCAACGACATGTATATACAGATATAAATACGAAAATTAACATAATGAAAGTCATATTTAATAAAGCTACACGACCCTTGTAGGATATCTCGAGTTTTGTGCCACCCTGTTTAATCCTGGCCCTCGCGGCGGAGTCATCATGCGTCCCAAGCTACCCCTAAATTCAGAAATTCTTGCGGAACAGTGGCTTAGAATTGCTGTTGACTAGTCAAGCTCATAACTCATGATGACCGGAAATAGTTCAGGCAAAGAATCGCATGAATGTAATGATCGTGGACTCCCTCTTATCGTCATACATGTACACAGCAGAACCACCTTCCTAAAAGGGAAACTCCGACGGGCATATCCGCTGCTTAGTCAGTGGGGATTCAGCCCCCAAATCAGTTGGAGTAACAAGCTAAGCCTCTTTTGGAGCTTTATGAGCTTTATGAGCTTTTCTATACTTGGCCCAAGCTTCCTGGTGCCTGCAGCAGTGCAGCCTTCCAGTTGTGATAAGGGCTTTTTTCTCTCTCTACTCAATATTTCCTTGATTGTTTAAAACTTCCTTCTTAAGAGTCAAGACGCCCACCAAAAAAGAACTATACATCTCTGCCATGCCGAGATCCGTTCAACACTGGCCTGGGGGAATTCCCAGTTCCATCAAACCACACCCGGAAACGGATTTATCTTGGGACCAGATCAAGGAGGAAGTTAAGGGCTGGCTCTTGTTTGTACAGGTGTGTCTTGATGAATCTACTTCATGACGGCCACGCATTCAATTTATACTCAAGTGCTAACTTGTGTGTAGGAAAATTAGGTTTCTGCTGCAGCAGTAAACAACTGTGTTGACGACTACGAGCTACACCAGCGGCGACAACTCGTAGAAAAATGGGCCTCAGCCACACAGGAAATGCGGGATGTGAATTTTACCCCATGCCTCGAAAATCTATTACACTAACTAAATTTCTTATTTATCTTTCAGTCGTACCAATCGCGTGCGCCTATAGGTCTTCCAGGTACAGAGGGGCCAGATAAAAGGGGGCCTATTGAAGGCCTTCGGTATCCAGCCGAAGCACTGGAACATATCTACGACACTCTCCAACCAGAAGATGTTTGCGGCCTGGTTTCCCTTGTCCCTATTGACGAGGCCCATGCTGCCAATCGGGCGCGATGGGTCAAATTCGCCATCATGTTGTACGATTATGATATCGAGACTGGGCACTGTCTACTTGATAACTACATGCCCTCGAAGGCTGCCACCTTGAATCCAGCAACCATCGCCACCAATTCTTCAATAGAAGCATATCTACCCTGGAAGAATCTGGAGACCGCAAACTTTCTAAGTGTCTAATAGATCTCACACAGAATGGCACCGTTCTGTATCTCCGAGGTAATAACGGCCCACATATGCTGGTTGATGAAGAAGGCCTTAAAACCGGCCGTTTGTCAATGGTCAAGTATGAGATAAACGGCACTGTTGAGGAGGCTCTTCAAATCCGCCCGTTCAATATGCGATGGCCATATTTGTATAAGTCGGAAATCACGCAGGATCTTGATAGGATCCGCCATGTTCAGGGTGGCTATATACATCAAAATCCGCCGTAAGTATCCTACATAATCTCTATACTCAAACATGGACTGAGAGACTAATATAAAACATTACCTAGACTTGATATGGATCTACCGATCATCGAGCTTCTCTGTCAAGCTCAGGCCGCTAACCAACTTCCAAGAACAATGGACTTATGTGATCGAGAGCAATGGATGGATGATATTGAACTTTATGCCCCAGGCTACTTACGTTTCGAGGAAGAAGGGCGTGCGGGAGAGTATCCCTTGAACCGTCTTACCGATCCAAACTCTGTTGAGGGAGCTAAAAAAAAGATTTTAGACAGGCTGCGAGCTACATGTGACCCGAGGTTTACATTTCATTCCACTGAGTTCCCATGATTCAAAGTAATACTGGCACCTGCTATTATCTATCACGAATTATCTATGATACAACTTGAGCTCTTATTTATACATATACGCCTTACATGATGCAAACCATCCGTTTCTTATATCCGCATTTAGGTAAAACTCATCAATTGATACTTCAATTTGGGAGATTTGTTTCACGCTAGGTAGTAGTTAGTAGTTATTTTGGAGTGGGTTTGCAATCAATAACTACTAGTAACCAGGTGGCACTAGACTTGACGCCGTAATCCGACCAATATTACTTTTTTTTTTTTTTCGAAGCCAGCGTTCATGTGATCAAGGATCAATCAATAATAGTACGCAGGAATTCCAGCGTCATAAAATTATCAAAAAGGTGCTGAAACTTAGAAGCATTTGTTTTGCAAAATAGGGCAAGCTAGGGCACGTGTAAGTTGAGGGTTTTGATATGTATATTTAGTTTCATCTGAAAATCTTTCATCTGAAAATTCCAAAAAAAATCGCACGTATCCTAACAGTATCCATATTTTTTTTCTTAAAGCTCTACCATAGGACAGCTTTCTAACTTTCTTTGTAGAAAATCTCGATATTGGCTATAAATTGATCGATCTTTGTCCTGCAGTAGTTTCAAGTAATTTGAATTGTTTTATAGTGGTGCAGAGACTGATTTCCAATTTTTAATGTTAAATTGATCTATGCATGTGTGCGTGAATACAACCTATTATCATCCATGATTTGCCCTTTCTTTACTGCATATGAGTTTCTTTCAATGTTATGACCAATGTAGGCCCAGTATATATATGTATATGTGGGTCATGCACATGTGAATCACATATGCAATTAATAGGTGCATCACTCAAAGACCGTAGACTTCTAAATGTAGTTAATACATACATAAGTATTATATATTAATTATAAGTGTAAAATGCCAAGTCAACTATAGTAGGTAGTATTACACATGCAGTGATCAATTGATTGTGAGCGACATTTTTTACACATATGCTCTTATTCTAATGTTGATCAGCACATGTGCAGTCTATTCTCCTGGTATATAAACCTTGCTGTTTGAACTAGACAGAACTCACCTTCTCCACCAATCAGTTCACTATTACACTATTTATCAACATTCAATTTTCCATATACCTACAGTATTCAAAACTGAAATATGATGATTTATATTTATATCTATATATCCCCACTTGGCACATTACATGCTAAGAAATCCGAAAAAGATCTCGAAGCCCTCGATCGGGATTGCTTAATGTCAGTTCAATGTTGAGCACTCAAGTGACTACATTCATAAACTTCAAGCGTACTGATTATCCTAACGCAACAGCTTACAATTGACGAGTATTGCGCTCGTGGAGCGTGGAATATGGCATATCTGCTTCAACCTTGGAACATATCAATCCTCCTGCACAGACTCTGCATCTGAATGCCAAGTCTTGTGATGACAAAATGTTAAAACGCGCTCAAAACTTTACGGACGAACGATATTACACGCACGACTCTGCACATGTCACACATTTCAAAGCCCACATACATATGTATCATCAATTATTCCGTCATTAGAACTCAGCTTCTCCGAAACTACTGCCGGGGCCAAGAATATCCAATACACCGAATTTCCCTTGTCTTGACTAAGCATCTACGGAAAATTGCAGAACCGTCTATCACGGAGCCCCGATATTAGGAAGAGTTCTGCGCTTTGAACAGCGATCATTTCAAGAGGTCTTTCGATGGGGATAAGTAAGAATACTTAGACGACGTCGGAATGCTATGCATGCGTATGACTCAAATCTACGCGACTTTGAAAATACTACTACTCAAGTGGATGGAAAACTGCTGGCTCAATCAAAGTATCTCGTGTTCCACAAGAAGAGCCGCCGGTAGTCAAATTTCACGGCCTCCTATGTTTCTATATGATCGGCAAGCATCTAATATTTGGATCTGACCTTGCCATGAAATTGTCGTGGGCCCTCGGGAATACTTGACCGAGCGACCATTCCATTCAAGTCGGCCACATAACCATCCCGGAGGGTCAGTTGGCAAACGATTACGACGTGATAGAAACCATCCAGCATCATGAGTGACGGATTTGGAAGAGGTTGATTGAGCAAGCGACCATGAATACCTACTTTCAGAGCTGGGTGACAATCCCCTCTTTAGAAGGTAATGAATCGGTCGGGTATGTTAGAATGTATCAGAAATCTGAACTTCATGGTGAGCACAGCCTAGGCTTTATTCCACTACCCAGCTTTGTTTTAACTGCTAGAAGGTTAGTCTTGTACTGAAGCGATGTCTGGACAAATTCAGGATCCGCCGCCACCACTCGAAGTCGACGGCGGAATGGAGTGGGAGGTTGAACAAGTTCGAAGCTCCCGACGAAATGGAACCCGCTGCGAGTACCTTGTCAAGTGGGTTGGACACGACAACATTATGATCAAAAATGGTCACAAGCTGGAAAATTCTTTGTGGTTTGGGAGGCCATTTACCCCTCTATATTCTGTCTCACTTCTTCCAGTCTCTACTGTGTTTTCTTCTCTTTATTACCCAGTAGGTATCTCGGTATCTCTTTACGGCAGTCATAACATTCAATTGTTTTCTCTTGATCTTCCCTTCAAACATTTCATGACACGTCCAGACATTACGTTTGCGACCTCCAAACTCGCTCGCTTTGCACGCAACCCTGGTGATGCACACCGGACGGCAGTGCAGAAGATCTTCCGTTATCTGAAAAATTCAAAGGGTCTAGGTCTTCACTACCACAATCCAAGCGCCAATGTTGCATCGAACATGCGCTTACATGGATTTACGGACGCCGATTGGGCTGGACCTCATGCTGAGGCCCGCCTCTCTACATCTGGCTACGTGTTCAAACTCGCTGGCGCTACCATATCGTGACAATCGCGCAAACAGACCGCCGTTGCGCTCAGTTCTACTGAAAGTGAGTATATGGCTCGAGCGCACGCCATTCAAGAGTCCAAGTGGCTTCTGCTTCTATTACAAGAGTTCGAAGCAGGACTCGAGCCTTCCAAGGCTGCATCTCTGGTCCAACCACCCGTTATGATCTTTGCCGACAACCATGGCGCGATTGTATTAGCCGGTAATCCAGAGTTTGAATATTGGTTTCTCGTTGGTAGTGAACTTAGCCCATTCCAAACATTGAATACTAAGTCCATCCTCAGTCTTGCACCTGACCTAGGCAACCGACAAATTTCTACTTCTATGTAGGTTGTATATGACTGCTTAATCCTTGTATGCATTGTTATCCGTACTTGATCAGATTAAATCTAAGGATGTGAAATAGGTATCAAAATGCAATTTCTTCCCTTCAAATTTGACTATTGATCGGAAGTATGAGAAGCAAAAATATCGCAATCTGCAATCTACCAAGCCAATTCTGTATTGAACCCATTTTAATCTATTTTTCGGGCTCAGGGGGATGGCAATGAGAGAACAAAAACGGCCACTTTTGGCAGCCTCCGAAGGCCGCATTACACACCAGTACTGAAGCAGGTGCACTTGCCCCAAAAGTCGCGCCCCAGGTAGCACCTGCTGCTGCATAGCATGCCATAACAACCACCGCGCATCCTGCTTGGAAAGCTGTATAGGGAATGGGACCAGCAGCAGCAAAACTGATGAGGGATATGTAGATCATAGAGAGTGAAGCCTTCATCCTGCAAGCAGTTGTTTTGATTGTTATCGATGCTGTTCAATGAACTGGGCTAGCTTTTTGGTGGATAGTAAGAAGTAACCTTGGAAGAAGTAATCAACTATTTGGATATTGACAAATGGTCCAATTGAGGGTGTTTTCAAAGGTGGAGAAGGTAAGTTAGGTCTAGTTCAAAAGAGAACTTTTATATACCAGGGGGATGGACTGTTAATCAACTGATGAGCAGTACATTATGTACGTAATAAATACCGCTCATACTTCCTACTACAATACTATTGTTAGTTAGTATCACATACATACATATAGCATGCATAATCCCTACTCACAAAGAAATTAGTAAAGGAAAAAGTAAAGATTTAAGGTAGAGTTCCAATAATAAGGAGCTTTGTCTACATACTACTGTTGTGATTGAATGAATATAGATATCAAGAAGTCTTCAATCAGTTACATGTTCAATGGACAGCACAGAAAGACAGACTGCCCTCTCCTTATTAAAACTCCATTCTAAGGTTGGAAATGGACCCCAACACTACCAAGAACAAATCAAACTAGCTAGAACTATTACAGGAGAAAGATTGATCCATTCAAAGCCAATGTTGAGGTTGTGAATAAAAGAAAATCAAAACCCGTGACGTGGTGGAGCTTTAAGATGAAAGTTTAGATTTTACTAGGATACGCGCGATTTTTTTTTATTTTTAGGATGAAAAATTTTCAGATGAAAACTATCTTGCTCTCACTTGCCCTATGGACTGTCAGGACTCAGGGTGCACCTGATAGTCCAGTGTGGGGAGTCCGGCATGTTGTTTTTGAGGAAAAAGAGTGAGGCCTTCATCAGTGCTCACAAATTTCAAACCATTTTGTGATAGACTTGGTAGTACTGTAGACAGAAACCTAATGCGACAGGAGGATATAACATTCCACAATGGAGGATATAAATGATCATGAATAATGAAAAAAAAACATTTAATTTCCAAGGTTAATAAGTTTGGGTTTAGCCACAAAAAGGGTTATATTTTGACGAAAGAGGAGGATATCACAAGAAAGAATCGTAGCGAATAGCATCTACCACAGACCACAACCTCCCTTCTGCGTTACTTATCTAAGATTCCACTAGCAAGCCCTTACTCTTATTGCCAGTAACGGGGCTCATCGAACACATGGTACCGGTGACCACGCACACCCTCTCCACGGAATAGGGCAGGGAAACGGCGACCAACGGGCACCATCTCCTCGGGGATGCGCATCTCATTCTCCGGTTCAGGTTCACCAACCACGAACTTGCCAACCTGTGCAATGAGCATATTAGTATGTGTTTTGCTGGGTATCATGAATAAAGAATGGTCTTACCTGGATCTCAGTGTCGGTGATTGTGTCCCGACTGATTCTGGCGTAGCCGGTGCGGTGGATCTTCTTGAAGAGAACATACTCGCACCAACGGTCCAAATCAGTGGGGTCGATATCCTTCATCTGGCTCACGTCGCTGACGTAGGTGTTGTAGTTACCCTCGAGCGGCCTGGTGACCAGGTAACTCAACAGGATGAGCGGACGAGGAGATGAGCCCATCAACTTGGACAGGTATTGGCTTTGAAGGCGGCGATCTTCAGGATCCTCCTCCTGGCCAGAGTGGAAGACAACAATGTCTACCATCTCGCCATACATATCCAGAGTGGCGTGGATTGCGGGAGCCAGCTCACCCACAGGAGACGGAAGAAGGTGGTGAGTCGAGTTGACAATGGGGAACTTGGAAAGAAGAGCAGAACCCCATGTGTGCTTGTTAGGTCCTGGGCCGAAATCGGTGTAGTAACCAAGATCCTCGGCAATGTATTGGGTGACATCCTTGTTACCCATAATGATGCGTTGGTTGTCTGATTCCAAGAAACCAACGACATCCAGCTCGAGTTCGCCAAGAACATCACGCATACGACGCTCTGATGCCCACATGTCGTTATCCAGACCGAAGTGAACGGTCCAGATACCAGCAGTCACAATCTTCTCCTCAGGGTGGTGGGGCTTGTAGTCGTTAGTGGGGAAACGCAGGTAAGCCACAGACACCGAGAGAAGCTGCAACGCGGCGAGGACGTAGATGTAGTAAGATCGCTGTCTCTTGCTGTTGGGGCTGACGGGTTTGTGGGCACGAGAGCGACCAGAGTTCGAAGTGGCAGCAGAGAAAATACCGGCACCAATGGCGAGCATGGTGGTAATCATGACCCAATCAGTGCGTTCGCGCACGAGCGGACCACCAGGGACGAAGGCATAGGCAACAACCCAGACATGGAAGAGCAACAGGAAGATGTACAGGACAAATCCAAGACCAAAGGTGCTCGCCGGGGAGTGACGAACGCCAGATTTGATCATGACAGGGGCGACAGCCATAATGTAGAAAGCAAGGATAAGAGCACCGTAGTATCCAGTCCAGTGGTGATAGTAGGTCAAAAGAGCAGCACCGACGGAGCCGATGCCGTAAGCGGTCCAGCTGCCGGCGATTGCGGGGTTGAAGATACCATAAACAAGACCAGCACCCATGGCGAAGATGGTCACAGCACCGTGAGGCACAGCAATGGGTCCACGGACGGGATATCCATCCCATACCCATGAAATCATAGTGCTTGAGTCGGTCAGAAGCGAGACAATGGCGAAGAGAAGACCTCCGAAACCAACACCGGCCAGAAGAGATGAGCCCTTCTTGCCGCTAGCGGGCAGATAATCACTTCCACTGGTGATGGAGCCCCTCTGGGAGCGTAAGACAGCAAAGATGGCAATGAAGAGGCCAATCTTGTTCCAACCGCCGTTCTCGCTGTGCATGACAGGCCAAAGTGGGTTGTTTGTCGTGCAGGCAAACTTGGCAACAGTTGACATGATCAAACCAATGCCCCATGCCATGATGCGAGACTCGAGACGAGCGGTATTTCCACGCTCGGCGAAGAAGCTAGCAACCCAAGCGGCACATGTGGTCGACAGAGCAAAAGCGGTGACGAACAGTCGGTTGGCAGGGTCCTGGAATTTGTAGGCCACGAGGGCCGTAAGTGACAGGAGGTGAAGCAGGCGCAAGTTCTTGGTGGCAGCAGATCTCAAGGACGGGATGGCGAAGAGCAGAGGAGAAATGCAAGCGACAATGGCAACCTCATAGCCAGAGATACCCATGTGCCACAGAGGGAAGTACCACACAAGAACGGGCAGGCCAGTCACAATAGTCCAGAAAACGAAGCCGTTGTAAACATCGGCCGCGGCATCCAGGATTTCAGTCCAGAAGAAACCCTCGCCAAAGGTGTTGCTCACAGGCTTACCCTTCCTAATTACTAGTTAATTTCGAAGAATGGAGCGAAAAGACTAAAGAATTGTACACACCCTTTTTCAAGGACCGAGTCCGCAGTCGTCTTCAACTGCCTAAGAAGAGGAGGTTTTAGAATGTGCTTTGTTTCATAACCAACATAACTTATGCACTATACATTTGTGGATGTCATTTCGGAAGCCACGGTACATACCCTCTGCTAACTCCCTTCACATCGCGGATAACCAATTCAAGGCCCTCGAAATCAAGTACCGTAATGGCATCGAATCCAACGTCGAACAAGATCAGAGACCACTCAAAGAAGGCGTACCGGGTGTAGGCTAGAATGGGTCAGCATAATTTATCGCGGGATTAAAAAAGCTGGAGGAACTTACCACCGGGAACCTTGTGGACTTTGTGCTGAATGAAATAGTAGATCAATGGCACCAGAGTTCCAAAGAACAAACTGGCCATGATCTTACGGTACTTGACAGCTTGGCGGTTGTTGGGGCTCAAAGCAAGGCAGCCCAGTGTCCACGGCAAAGTGGCGACCAAATAAGAGATCATAAAGATATCGTGCCAATCGTGATCATCAGTTGAGGTGACATAGGTCCATCCACCGCAAGTCAGGGTTCGGAAGACACCCACACCGGCCACGATCTTCGGGAGAGACGAATTGGGACGAGCGGTGATGATATACCACAGGAAGACGAGAAGGAAGCGGGGACCGGAGGTGATTGCAATGAAGACTTGGAAGAAAGAACGCTCGGGGTATCGATCGCCAATTGTCGCGGATACGGAGGGAAACCATTCGTCGGGGTAACCGTAGTGTTCATTTTGCACGATCTTCTGATAATGCAAAGCAACACCGACTATAAGGGCGCTGAAGAAGGCAGCGTATGCGAAGACCGTGTGAGTCCAAGTAACCCATTTGCCGTTGATCTGGATTGGGATTCGTGTCAGAGCTGAGAAACCTTATCGCGTGTGTAGAAGACGTACAGCAACCACGGCATCTCCATCCTTGAATCTGGGAGCCATGGTAGCGCAAATGGAACCCTGCGCTGGGGGGATATAGGAGGAGGATTAAAAAGAAAGAGAAACAAAGAAAGAAATAAAAAAGAATGTCAAGAAAGAGAGATGATAGAGAGTAAGGGCCCCTGAGGAAAACACCGGAATCCTCGGTTTGGTGTTGCTTCCAGAGTGGCCTTGGGGTCCTGAATCTAACCCGATTGGGTTTAGCGTGTGCTTTGTCAAAAATGCGGGATCGACAAAAAGTTCGGAGCAACTTTTTTTTTCCTTTCGTAAGCTTCAAGTTCCAACTGCAATCATGTCCGCCGCAACAGATAAGGCTCGCTACTTTCTTGAAAAGTCAGTTCCAGAGCTGAAGGAGTTTGAGAAGAAGAAACTTTTCACTAAAGTGAGTGACGACAAAACGCGCGTTCATAAAAGTCACTGTTGCTAATCTTTGATTAGGATGAAATTACTTCCATCATCAAGAAACGATCCGACTTCGAGCACAAGCTGAATGCACGTGGCGCGAAGCCTGTCGACTTTGTCCGATATGTCGAATACGAGATCAACCTAGATACCCTGTGCAAGAAGCGCACCAAGCGCATGGGAATTCGCTCCGCAGGACACAGCGGCCAGCGACGGATTTTGTTTGTTCTCGACCGTGCAACCCGCCGATTCCACGGCGATCTTAACCTCTGGATTCAATACATCGAATACACCCGGAAGCAAAAGGCCTACAAGAAGCTTGCCATCATTCTGACCGACGCTCTGCGATTCCACCCCACCAGTGCGGAGTTATGGATCTATGCTGCCAAATACTCCCTGGATGAGCATGCGGATATGTCTCAGGCAAGAAGTTACATGCAGCGCGGTCTGCGGTTCTGCAAGAGCGCACGCCTGTTATGGATTCAATATGCAAAGTTGGAATTGATCTACATCGCCAAGTTGGTAGCTCGTCAACGGATATTGGGATTGGACGAAGCCAGCGCCAGTAAACGGTCAAAGGCTGTCGAGTCCGCCGAGGTGGATCACGATGCCGACATGATTGCGATGCCCGCGATCACCGAGGAGGATATCAACCCTGCAGCGCAGGGTGATGAGAGTGATGAGGCTGCCAAACAGGCCCTTGAAACTCTGAATGCGACACCGGCGCTCAGTGGTGCTATTCCACTGGCCATCTTTGACTCTGCCATGAAGCACTTCAAGAACGACGACCAGATTGCATCCGAATTCTACAAGATGGTGTCGGAGTTTGATGACGTTCCGTGTTTGTCCAAGATTCTGGGTCATGTGGTGGAGAACATGCAGGCCCACAAACCCACCAGCGCTCTGACATTGATCTGCTATATCAAGTTCCCAACCACAGGGGTCCGGGTCACATCGCCAGAATTCCCCCGTGCTTTGGGAAGCTCACTGGCACGCCTGAAGGAGTCACAGCCATTGAATGCCACTCTTGCACAGGAAGTAGTGAACTGGTTGAAACCGCTAAGCGAGACCGAGGACCTGGATCCTTCATTGAAGATGGTCATTGTGTCCACAATGCGCAATGCCGAGCGAGCACTGTCGGCATGATCTGTATATCTGAAGGAAATTTTTTGATCTCTTTTTGCACTTGCGAGGCGTTGGTTGGATGTGAAGTAAAAAAGTGTCCAGGCATATACATTAAGTTTTTTTTCTTTTCTTTCTCGCACGGGGATCATGTTAGCCAATTTCCCGTCGAATTCAATCATCATACTTATTCCCCCGCCGATTACTCTTTTTATCGCTTTGGAATTTCTTAGACTTCAAACGGGACTCATTTTGAGCTCGTTGACTGTAAAAGGGCGAGAAAGGAAAAGAGAGAGAAAGAGTCAGATCACCGGATCACACCCCCCTGCAGGACGAGGGGGAAGCTTACAGTTTATGAACGCGGTCTTTTTGTTCTGGGGAAGTCTCGCCCGGAATTACGGCCTTTGCGGAACTCTCCAACAGTTGGTGGAGCTTGTCGAAACACGAGTCCACGTTACTAGCTTGTTTCCGGGATTCATCCGAATGGAAGACTAGGGCCTGGGACCGCTCGGCGGCAAAACGTGAAGCCTGCAGTTTGGGGTGGAGTAGACGCGGAACCAGAGGCAGGAGCGCTGCGAAAGGAACCTTCAAGGTTGCTTTTGTGTTGACTCTGCCCCCACTATTAGCCCTGCGGATATTACTTGAAGGGTTAAGAAAGTCGGAATTGCACCGATATGCACCGACTTGTTGACATTCTGGCCTCCTGGACCGCTTGACCGGCTAAAGGACAGCTCACCGACCTGGCGGGGGACGGTTTGGGAGTCCAAAGTTTTCAGCCACTTTCTCGCTAGTTCAAAGTCTTGGTCAGATGACCCCTTTGTTGAAGCAAACCGGCGTAACCAGGGCGTTCTGACCCAAAGTCGAATGCCTCGCGGCCCCATCATCGGAACCGGGTGTGCCGGACAATTAGCATGTAGGGGTTTTCTTTGCTTTCAAAAAGAAATCCTAAAGTCCAAAAAAAAAAAAAAACAAGTAATATCAAAAGGCCGAAAAAGACTTGGAAGTTTGCGGGGGATTCTCGAGGTGTTTATATGACCAGTACAGGAATAGACTTGTACCAAGGAAAAAAAGTGAATGGGAAACTTGTCTAGTTATGACTAACCAGAACCTCGTAAGTTAACTCCGAGGATCTGGAGTGTCTAGCCCCTCCTATTCTGACTTTTTCCGTTTACTTACGAACTAGTGTATTTAAGGTCGTAGTTCCATGCAAAAAAAAGTAGAACTATGAAAGACTAAAGAAATGTAAAAAAAAAAAACATAGTTTCTAAAGTTAAGGTATTTTATTAAGGAACCCCCCAAATATGCATTTATGCAGTATGTAAGGATTCTAGATACATTTGAAAGTAAAGTAGCGTAAGGAAAAAAAAAAAAACCACCAGTAATAATGAGTCGAGTGAAAACAAAGGAGGTTCTTATGAACTCGTACAGAGTATTTTCTGCATGACCTGCATTACTGCATTACCAGAACTTTAGGCGCAATTCCCTCCAATTTCCCCAATTCCACTGTGTGTTCCTCAGCTGAGAAGTATTTAAAGAAGTCTGGTGGGGTGATTTTAGTCTGAATAGTGAATCTAAATTTTGATTCCACTTTTTCTCTTTTTTTTTCTTCTTTTCTTTTTTTTTCTAAACCAAAACCTCTATCTACCTACCGTATCTGGCTATCGGGGACCCTTACCGCCCTCTAATCCCATAGCCTTTTTTCTCATCGCCCCACCTTAGCTTGCGATCGCGAAAATTCACAAATCTCACTGTGTCATTATTACCACCATTCTCCTCCTCAACTTTCTATTTTGTTATATTCCTCCCCCCCGTTTTGTAGATGAAACGTCCGCCTCCCCCAAGTCTACATGACGCCAAGTTCCCCCGATGAAGCGCTTCATTTTCGCGGCAAGACACTGACTCCGGAAAGCCCTCGACCGTTGCATATCCCGGAGCCTTCGAATATCCCCGTTTTGCAAAACCAAATGGACCCTGTCTTCAACGATACCTCAACTTATGAACGCGCGGTAGATTTCCAACCCCAGAGAGAAGATGGATGGTTCGCGGAGGGACAGGGGCGTGGCCTAGCACATACCCAGGATTCAGCTAGCTTGCATGGTGCTCAGCCAGGGAACCCTGCGAACCCTGTGATGAATGATATGGCTGTTTCGGCGGACTTTTACCATTCCTATCCATCTACTTTGCAATCCGGAGAGGTGAATGTGAACCAGAGCGCCCATGCCCAGACCCATGCGCCTCCGGTTGTGCCGGTCCAGCCAGCCTTCGCCACTACCAGTGGAGTAGACAATGCCGGCAACTCAGGCGATTTGTCCCGATTGCCAGAGCACCTAGATGATGGGCAAGGACGTACAGGTTCAAGCACCACCGGTGTCAATTTCCAGACTTTGTTGGACAACCTCTCTCACATCCCACCTTCAGACTTGGCCTCCGGGGCTGCTCCCTTAGCGGGAAGCTCGTCTCTCCACCAAGCACCCAAGGACGACCATCACCACACCCAAGGCGTCTCTTTGCAACCCCTTCAAGACCATTCTGCCCAGACCGAATATAACCCAAATTATGAAGGGACATACCAGCAACACCCTTCTGCCCTTGCCACACCCCCGGCCCATCCTACGCAACCCAGTAACAATGCCCAATCATATGCCCAGTCCATGGCACCGGGCGGAGCACCAGGAACCGCCCCGGGTGCTGGCTCCATACCTCCCCCACCCATTGCCAACTTCCAAACTCCCTCATCGGGCGGAGAGTCCCAAACATCCCAGGAAGCTCCACAGGCGTCAAAGAAAAGTCGTATCGAGAGGCAGATAGGGCGGCTCACTAAGGGAATGGATGATGATGCGCCATGGGGACCAGAAGTCCAGAAAAAATACGATGAATTCCTCCACGATGAAAGAATTTATGTGACAGAAGGTCTCTGGGATCGATTTCCCATGGGATCTCGATTATTTGTTGGTGAGTGATGTTTTCCGACCACAGACTCTGTTGGCATTTCATTGACTGTTATTTTTTTAAAATCCCCTAGGCAATCTACCCACCGAAAGAGTCACCAAGCGAGATATGTTCCACATCTTTCACCAATACGGAAAGCTTGCCCAAATTTCCATCAAACAAGCCTACGGTTTTATACAATTCCTGGAGGCGGATTCTTGTCATGCAGCATTACAGGTGGAACAGGGGGCCGTGGTTCGAGGCAGAAAGATTCGTGAGTTTTTTTTTTTTTGGAATACTTCGAAAGTTGAAATTGGGGACCTAATTATTCCTAGACCTGGAGATTTCTAAACCTCAGCGGAATTCCCGTCCCGCGCCCGCGGAGCCATCTCGCGCGCCCCCTCCTCGACGTTCAAGATCACCAGAATTCAGCCGGGCTGGTCCCGCGCGACCCAATCCACGTGCGCCTAGTGATCGATATGACCGGTCTTATGAACCCCGAATCCCCTTCAGCGATTTTCGGGATGAGCCTTCAAGTCGCCGCCGTGATGGTTATCGACCTGCACGGTCGCCTTCCCCCCGACCTCGACCCAGAGACGGTTATCGATCTCGGGATAGAACGCCAGAGCGATTTGATCGCCGTGAGCGTCGGCGTTCCCGCTCCCCTAGATCCCGGTCTCCTCGGTCCCCCTATTCCAGAGATCGGCGATACCGCAGCCCGAGCCCCAGACCTCGAGGCACTTACGAAGGAGAATCCGACTTACCGGTTCCTCGAAGGGCCCCCCGTGACGTACCTGAGGTCCAAGTTCTCGTTCTTGAGGAAATTGACCGGTACGTACCAGCACCACTATACATCAATCTAGCGCCCATCAATGCTAATCTTTTTTTTTTTTTTAGGAATTTCGTGCTTCATGTGGAAAACGCCTTTCGCAATCGGGGCTTGCGAGTAGATGTCCTTGTGCTCGGTCCCCGTATTCCTCTTGGTGCGGCGGTCCATCGCCAGTACGTTGAAGGGGTTCTGGCAGTTGTCAGGCTCTCTCGCCCCAATCAATTCTCTCGCAAAATTCCTCTTCAAATTTTCGAACGAACCCCAGGTTCAAAAAGTGTTCGCTTCAGTGACTACCCTGAGGTTGACCCGAACATCGCGGCTGAGGTCATGTTTCATCAAGCTCAATCGATGCAACGCGGCCCTCCCCTTAACTCCTTCCCTCCCAATCCTGCTTTCGGGGTGGCCCCTTTACCTGCACCGGCTGTGCCGGTGCCTCACCCTGGCCTACCCGCATTGTCCAATCCCCCCAACATTGCGAACCTGATTGGCTCACTGGACGGAGCTAGCCTTCAAAATCTCCTGTCGGCCCTCCAACGTCCGGCACCTCAGTCCCAGCCTGTCTCGGCTACTCAGTCGCCATATGCTTCCCCCAACCCTCCACCTCCTGCCGATCTGGCCACTCTCTTGAACAATGCAGCTCGACCACCTCCGATCATGCAGCACCCACAACAACCACTTCCTTCCCCATATCATCTACAGCCCCCCAATGGGCCCGTCATCTCCGATCCTCATTTGCTGTCCATCCTAGCTAAGGGGCTCGGTGGTCAACAGCCACAGGGTCAACCGGCCGTCGGTTCTAATGTACAAAACCTGATGAACCAGTTGGCCAAGTGGAAACAATAATATTACGAATCTTCTCGCTGTGACTTACGTTCGGGGCTCGGGTTTCCATCTTCATTTGTTTTTCTTGCTGTATTGGTGCTTTGTATCCCTTCTCATTACTGGAGCTTGGCGTTCTCGCTCTCATTTTTTTTTTTACATTCATGTTTGGGGCATTTCCGGTTTCATCCCATGCTGGCACATATCCAGCGACTGCAATTACGGGCGTCTTATTGAATTTATCGGGGCAGGTATCTAGATATTAGGTTGAACGGGGGTGTATTTCAGTCGGAATCGTTATGTACCTTTTGTTTCATCCCACCACCTGTCCATTTTGAGACTATCTTGCGTATATTGCAAGATGGATATAATTTGACCGTGTTCATGATGATTTGGAGTTACATGGAGCGTTAAATTGAGATCGTGATAAGAGTGGATATGGTACATAATGTACAAGTACGAAAGCATCCTGTAGAGATAATATTTAACTCGACTTCCAGCCTTGAGTCTTCAATTCCTTCATCTTGTCCGCATCTTCCTTCTTGATCCGCTCGATTGTCTTGTCGCGGTTGTATTCCATCACTCGCTTCTCCTTGAAGTATTTGACCTATAAGAAATAACACATTAGTATCTTCTCAACTCCGAAGCCCATTCGTTATAAGCAAGCTCCTAAGAAAGCTACTTCAACACCCAAAAAATCATTCCGATAAAAGCTATACGTACCCAGGTCTGGGAGCAAGCTGCCTCAAACTCCAACACCTCCTTCGCGCACTTCTGACGAGCTGCCTTATCGTCTTTGATTCCATCCAAGATATCATTCCGGTCCAAACAGGCAAAGAAAGAATCCCGACCCTCCCAGCAGCGTGCACGACTTGTCCGGTCCGGCGCGATGCGACCACCATCAGAGGCCTTGCTGGCGTCGGAGGATGAAGACCAAGGGAGCCAGCCCATAGTGACGGTTGTGATTTGTAGACGGTATACGGGAAATAATAATCGAGCCGACGAGTGCCAAGCAGGGTTCTAGCGACGAGAAGGTGGATTGTTGGTGGCGGATAGAGCTTCGATGTAGATTTGAGAAGTCGGAAATGCTGCGGATGCGGCGTTGTTACGGGTGCCAAGACTGTTGATCCCTCGGCCGCCTCAACGCTGTCCAGTTTCCACCGTTGCCACAACTTTCACGATCTTCCTTCCAACTACACCACCCCTTACGACTTTTACATATTTTCCTTTCTGTTGGCCGATACTCCGGAGTTTTTCACTTGTTTCTCTGAATCGCCCCCGCACTGTATACCACTTGCTATTGTCGATTAATCGCTCCGCCTGCTCACTTCGCCCTCCACTGTGCCGCGCTCCGAACACTCGTCTTCCACACAAAAGGTCACTGAGGGGGAAATCCGTCTCCCCACATACCTCCTAGTTGATGCCCGGGCGCCGGCGCCTTCCAGCGGGGTCGCGAACCGACCTCCCGCCATTAAAAATCATCCGCAAGATCATCTTTCTCCAGGCGGCCTATTATGTCTGCGCAACAATCCTCATCCTATTCACGACGGTAGTATACGGCGCGCCATTCTCACTCGACCTGGTCTTTGGATGGGATAGCTTAAGAGGAGACACAACTATCGGATGGATGCTGGGACTGGTCTGGATGTTGAATTGTATCATCAGGTGAGCGTCAAGCGGTCTCTTCCATATTGGGCGGAGACAAAAGCTATTGCCTAAATAAAACCAAACTAACATATGCCATCTACAGCGTGATCTTCCTCCTCCTATTTGTTTCTCGATCAAAGCTTGTCCCCGACTTCGCCTTCACAATCCACTTCCTCCACCTTATCGCCACAACACTCTACACGCGCTCCTTGCCCGCAAACCTGCTCTGGTGGGCCCTGCAATTTGCTAGTGCGGGCATGATGACTTTCCTTGGGATGTGGGCTTGTCAACATCGCGAGCTCAAGCCCATTAGCTTCGTCGGGCTCGGAGGCGGAGGCAGCAGTAATGATGCGTCCTCGTCTCAGCAGGCGTCTGAGGATGCGCAGGCGGAATCCAGCTTCGGGAAGGGAAGAGGTAGGGAGCGGAGTATACAAGAGTATGAGATGAATGAGATGAATCACTCTGGTGATCGTGCTGTATAAATCAGGGTGATCGTGCACTTTTTCGCATTCGTCCTCTTTTTTCTTCTTCCATTACTTGTTTCGTTCATTTTGCTTGTCTACCTTTTGGATGCCCTGGCTTGGTTCCGTGGGCTATGAACTTTTGAATGTTTCCTTCTCCTTCTCCTTCTCTCTTCTCTTCTTGGTCTTGGTGCTTGGACTTACCGATGCCTAATGTTGCATTCTTATCACTTTTTGTATACCCCGCCACGGTTGCATTTCTTTAGATGGCGTTTCTCTTGGTGATGAAGGGGGTGGATACTTTTCTTTTCCCTTGTTGAATATACTGTTGTTCAAAATGTTCTATTAATATTCGAGACAAGCGTTCTCTGAAATGACACTTCTATTAATGACTTCTCTGAAATGGCCCCTAATTCTAAGTTTTGACTATCCCTAGCCCTCAAAGTAGCTAGTACAAAACATGTATCTGGATATGAACATACATGCGAAAGAATTGATATGTAATTTGAAAACGGATTTGTTCTATATGTTTCCTGGACGGAGGTGCAACCGCATGTGTGAATTGGTCCACGGATGCACCTATACTACCTTCAGTGTGATGCATGTCTTTATTTCATTTTAAATCCACTCCTGAGCTACCACCATCTATATATTCATATAAGCTGGAATTTGTACAGCATGATCATTGATATATGCAAAGCTCATGGCTCAGTTTTCAAAACAGGAAAACTGAAAACGGCATACGGTAGAGCTTTTAGGTAAAGGTGCGTATTTTGTTAGGCTACGCGCAGTATTTTTTCCGGATGAAAGATGAAATCCTACCTTGCCCTACTTTCCTATTGCCATACTTCTCAGGGCCCCACCACTACCCCAAAAAGAATGTTCCAATGCCATAATTCTTAAATGTCTATTCTTGAGTCTTCAACACCTGAACGTTGGCTTTTGAACAAAAAAGCAGAAGTGATATTACTGGTGGGGTGGTACCATACGCATTTTTTGATTTCCGCCCTGGGGGCTGCAGATTCCTTCCCAAATTCCAGAATGCCATATTTTAGCTCTTTCTAAACAATAGATATTCATTTTCTCGATCACTGCCTGTGGAATTTTGCAAACAAAAGATTTCGGTGTCCAGTATAGTCGATCAAGTTCTAATAATCTCTCACCATGCTTTCATAACTACTCACTATCGGGGGGTTTCTTTGGAAAGCCCTTAATGTTCGCATACGCCAGAGAAGCGGAAGAGTAAAAAAAAATGTTATGAATACTATTGTAGGTACCTCAGACAGAATAATTGTGCATTACCACATACAGTTGCGTGCCAACCACCACAAACCCAAGGCTTGACCTCGTATTGTATTTCCGAGGGTTTGAAGTCATCGCCACACGCGCAATATTCCAGGGTTAAAACGAACGGGGCATACTTGAAGTTCCAAGGTTTTACGGAGTCTGCCATAGCCTCAGGACCTTGGAATCTTTTTCCAAGGTTCGTATACTTGTAGTATGTGCATAGTAAATGTTGGTGAATGATAAACAAACATTTGACCAAGGCTTAAATTCTGTCAAATTCTTGAATATTCTTACACAGGCACTAATATCAATATAACTATATGTAATCTCATTAATAGAGTAACCACGTTTCACAGATATCTTCACCGTTGCCAGAACTTGTCTTTCCACGACGGAGCTCAATTTCCATGTGCTGTCCTTCTGGCATTTGGTTCACAAAATCGTCATCGACCATGATCTTCAAGTTCTTTTCATTGATGTGGAATACGTTGCACAAGTCGAGGGATTCAATATCGTATTTTTCGGAGATTTTCTTTGCGAGCTCTTCGATTGTGCGTTCTGATAGATAAATCGCGCGGTAATATTCTTGGAGATCGTCTTCCAGGAGTCTGATATAAAAACACGCCACTAATTGTGTTAGCAAGGTAACTTCTTTCTTTTTTAGACTTGCGCGGTCATCGAAATATAGTATTGGAATACATACCTGAATTGCGATGTCGACTCGTGAGTCCTTGGTCGTAAAAATCAATGCGATTCACTTTGATGAAATCGGGGGATAAGTCGTCATCAGCTACCATCTGTGGGATAGCCGTAGTCTCCGTATCGGAATGGTTGGAGTTAGGTGGCGTCACAATCTCCCATTCGTCCATTCTCGTGGATGTATCCATGCCATTCTTGAAAAGTACCGTCTTGCTTCCAATGCCATCTTCCGGTAGATGGATTGGGTGTAGATCTGGATCATCCTCCTTATCGCCGCGGAGTGCTAAGACCGTCCTGGAGTGAGAAGAGAGCGCCATTTTCTCAAGTCCGAACAATTTAGATCTTAGACCGGCCTGGTTCAGTTGCTCTGATACATCATCTTGTCGCAATTTTTTCAGGTTTTTCGCAACCGGCCTGCCACGTTTGCGCTTTCTTGAGGACCATCCTAATTCCGCGTTCGAAATCCGATGTTTCAGCTTCTCGATGCCTCTCATCAAATTGCTGTGGTCATTGGAAAGCTTTCTTTCGGCACCGTGGTCTCTGAAAACTTGGACTTTGCAGAAACAAACTTCCGGCTCAGGAGAAATGACAGGGTCACCGAATGTAGCCAGTTCTTCTGTCTTGGAGCAGAGTCGAACAGGGCTTCCTCTTACTCCCTTCGATCGTGTAAAGTCGGTAGATAGAAAATTGAAGCAGAGTGGTATGTGGCAGGAATTGAAGCCGGTGACGGAATTCATTTTCCAAGTGACGCAGAAACCATCAAAGTTTTTCTGCTCGACCTGGAATTGAAAGCTGTCGCCGCCTACATATTCGACTGCAAAGGGTGTTTCTTCTTGCTGGTGGTCTTGAGGTACACCTCGGCCTTCTTTCCATAGTTGCCAGAAGGCGGCTGAGTTGGACCTTGCCTGTCCTTGGTCGAATGAGACCCGAACAAAGGTTCGGTATGTTGCTGCCTTGTCAATTGCCTGAGGTGGTGTCGAGTCCAGCACGGTGAGATAGTAGACTTGGCCTTTATTTAGGTAGCTTAGAGGTGGATCTCCGCCTTCATTGATCATCGCGGTCGGGGCTTGGAGGATAGTGCGGAAACGAAATCTGAGGACAGGCATTTTAGTAAGGTTGATTTTGATCTCCGGCAGTTGATTAACTTACGACTCAGTCTCTTCGGATGCAATATCACCTCCATCGGTGATGAGATTTGCAAGGGATCCGCCGAGGCAAGTACCATCAGATGATCCAGCTAATGTATCGTAGGCCAAGGTATGGTGGAATAATGGCACGGGAGGGTGTACTCCTGTAGCGGGAAAGAATTTTGTTTCGGGTAGGGACGGACGATCGTAGCGTGGCATATAAGATGCGGATCCCCAAATATCTTTTTGCTGGAAGTTAGAAAGATCATCCGATATGGAATGTAGGCTTTCAACTTCGGAAGATTGCTTGGGTGAGACTTGATCGTCGCCACTCTCCTGGTACTGGGAGTTTCTCCGACTACTCTGATGAGTAGAGAAAGGATCTGGGTTCATCAAGGGGAATCCATCAAATCGAGTCATGGGAATGCCCTGGGTGGCATGTGGTAATCTTGAGGCTTCGTGGTTGATGGAAAGTGCCGAGTGGGGTCCATCGACGTCTGTCATATTATACACTGAGAATGCCATATCACTACGTCGGCAAGCATTAGCTAGAGTTATCTTCAACTGGAGTGAACCTTGGAATTGTTACATATCCTGGTTGGATGCATACCTTGGTGATAATTCCTCCTCCGTGTTGTGGAAGAACTCGCCCATTTTGAACTCATTGGGTTGGCCACTGGGTAAAGGTTCAAAGATGGGGCTCCGATAGCTTTCAAATGAGTTGGGAGGTAATTTTTGGGAGCTATTGTGTTCGTAAAGTGGAGGAGATTGAGTTAGCTGGGAGCTCTTGCAATTTCTTGGCATCCTTGTATAGATTGGACACGTACCTGCTGTAAAGCATTGCGCTAGGCCTGCAGATTCGGTATGTGAACAGATGGTCAATTAAAGGGTAAGGCTTAGCCTTTTGAAATGAGCTCTATAGATGTGATCTGGGGAGTCACGTCGGTGTGTCAGAAATTCTATGGGATGGTGGCTTGAATGTTCCATAGTGGCTATCTTATACATAAATCCAATAGGGCTATGTAAGGATCATGGAGGTACTGCAGAATGTAACGAGCCAATGGGTAATTTAGCCATAGGAATTTAAGATTTGGATTCTTCTAGGTCCTGAAGGCTGAAATGAATAAAATGAATAGTCTCTATTACTGCGTTGAAAAGAAAGAGCAAAGTTCCATACTTCGACATTGTCGCTCCGAGGTTCCGATTGGCCGGCTGGTTTAACCGGATAGCGAGGGAGTTACTACTGGCGGACGAGCGGTCTAGGCCACTGCTTGCCTCTGCGGACTTTTCACCCGGACTCGTCACAAGACTTCCAATTGGCCCTAACATCCATGGTTCTTTTTCTGAATTCAGCTCTGACAGGCTGTCACTCGGTAACAGGGCCCATAATAAATTGATCCACGGATCCATCGTCGTATCATAACCCCTCACAGATTCCCGACCGTTGAACTTCAAATTTCAATTTGCATCAAGCTTCAAAAAATGACAGTCGATCACGGATTACCTCCGCCACAGCCTTGTCACCGATATTATCTGTCCATGACAAAGGCGTTCGTCCTTCAAAGTCATTCAATCGCGCATTCACGCCTTCCGTTGTGAGAAGCAGCTCTACCATTCCTCTTTTCCCTCTCTGGACCGCAATTGACAAAGGTGTACGTCCTTGGATGTTCTGCGAATTGAGATTCACACCTTCCGTAGCAAGCAGCAATTTGGCCACTGCCTCACGACCATGTGCTGCTGAACATGAAATTGAGAGTGGTGTATCCCAGTTGGAATCTTTGATATCCGGATTGGCCCCAGCGGCAAGCAGTCGTCTAACGATCATCTCATGTCCGTTAAATGCGGCTATTGAGAGAGCTGCTTGGTCTGTACCATTCTCGACGTTTGGGTTGACCCTCCCTGTAGCAATAAGTGCATTGACGATTGTCTCATACCCACCTGCTGCCGCGCAATATAGAGGTGTCGTTCCCTTATTGCAGGCAGAGTCGGGGTTAACACTCGCACAGCCGAGTAATAAATCGACTACTCCTTCGTTGCCGCATGATGCTGCATGCCATAACGGTGTACACCCCCAATAATCTTTGGAGTTAGGGTCAATCCCTTTGGTAGCAAGGAGCAATCTCGTCACGTCTAAATGATCCCATTGTGCTGCCCATGACAAGGTCGTGCGGCCAGACAAATCGTTGGCATCAGGTCTCGCAACTCCCTTGGCAAGCAGCAACTTGACTAATGCCTCGTCATCTTGAGAAGCTGCTTTTGTCAGCGGTGTATCTCCTCTTCGATCGGCCAAATCACAGTCAATCGATATCGATGCAAGCAGCTGCTCAACCACAAAACGATGCTTGTTCATGATGGCTTTGAAAAGTGGGGTCTCTCCCATGAAATCTTGCAAATTTGGGTCGATGCCTCGTGTCCCAAGAAGTAATCGCACTACCTTGAGATGCCCATTTTGTGACGCACAGGATAGAGGGGTTTCTCCCCTGATATTCCTTGAATTTGGCTTGACCCAGTCACCCAAGCCGAGTAGCAGTGCGACCACCTCCTCATTTCCTATTGATGCTGCCCACCATAGTGGTGTTTCTCCAGTCTTAATTTTGAAATCGGGATTGACGGAGTCCCTGATGAGTAGCATATTGATGACTTCTGCTTGCCCGTTTTTCGCTGCCTTGAACAACGGTGTCTCGCCGTCAGAGTCCTCAAAATCGGAGTCGACGCCTTCTATGTCGAGCAGCAGATCAACTACATACTCGTGCCCGAATTCTGCCGCCTTTGACAGTGCCGCTTGTAGGACGCTCAGCTGTGTCTGAGCTCCCGCTTCCAAACTCTTCTGAGCCGTTCCAAGTTCCCCAAATTTGGCTGCCCATAATAATGCAGAACTGTTGCATTGTGCGTTGACACGATATAGATGTAGATCAACAACTTGATACGTGTAGGTGGCAGTTCGAGCAAGAGCATTGATATCCGGCTGACAACTCAAGTGCTCGGCTATGCACTGCACCAATTCGCGCGGTAGGTCAAGAATTCCAGGCATTATAGCTGAAATCTCCTAGGCTAATCAGTATTTGGAAACACATAGCATGTGATTACAAAAGCTGGCAGTTACCAAGATGGAGTTGAAGCCTTTTCATAGGAACCGAACTGCGAGCGGGGAAGAAGCAAAACAAGAAAAACAAGTAAAAGTTCCAATAGAATAGAAACAGCGATGATATTAGTCTATCAACTTCTTGTACGATGAGAAGAAGAAAGAGAAGAAAAAGTGCACGTGTGTGGTCAGCATATCAAGCCTGAGCGCTGACTAACCTCAAAGAGATGATCGTGCATCTGCAGCCAGCCGAATCAGATTCAAATAGCCGTGTTAAATCCCTCTCACAGCTATCGAGACATCCTCAGTGAATCATGGAGGCTGAAAATTTGTACCTTCAGAAATAATTACAGGTTGATCCGAAGACATTGGGCTACGGATTATTACAGTGCTTATTTTTGGCAAAGTAATCCTAGTAGAACAAAAGTACTATTGTGCTCCAACCAACAAGTAAATAGGCACACCGCACTACGGTAGGCCCTCAAGTCCCGGTCCTCTTCAAAGCACATATCGGCTAACGTGTCATCGGTTAGCAAGCTTCAAAGATGGGATTTGATGAAAATTAGCGCAGAACTTACAAGGTCAAATTCTCCCTGTCAGTGAGATCCATCTGGCTGTTGTCCACAACACGTGCGATCTTTGTACCATCAGAATCGACGGTCTCAATGATACCATTTCCATTGATGACATCGGCCGAGTCTAACTTGTCCCGACGTTTGTTTTCGTTGCTCAGATAAACCCGGAGGATGATGATAATTATTGACGGTAGGATGGCAGCGACCTTGGTGAAGTGTTAGTGACTTTTCATGGCTAGTCAATCAACTTCAACTTACCACAAGAAGAATGATCCAAGTTGGTCTATATCGAGGCTTCACTTAAAGTCAGCATATTCTCAGTAGGCGCGGAGCTCAAACCAACCTTCCACTGTGCACGAAATAGCTGAGGAGAAATGATATTTCCCAAGCCATATCCAATGTGATATAATGCAATAACGGTGGTCTTTTTGGTATGTCCCGCTGATGCGTTAGCTGCCCATATCATCACGACGGCATAGGGTATCCCAGTTGTGGATCGAATCCAGATGCCTGAGATGAGACCCCAGCGATTTGACCAGGGGAGAGCTTGAACATTATCAGTGATAGTCATCCAAATATTGCAATCAGTACATACCCAGTAGGAGAATACTAGACAGGGCTCCGGGAATATAAGCGATGAGGGATATCCAAGCTCGGGAGTTCTAAACTGTTAGTTTTTATCTTGGGATTATATTCAGAAGAACTTACCTTGGTGTTATATAGTACAATCGCCGCTGTAGCCAGAGAGAAAAATGAGACTATTCCGGTCACGCAACCTAGGAGTGTTGTTTGAAGAACGGTAAATCCGAAGGAATTGATGATCAGAGAATATTGATTTGTGATTCCATTTGCCATCTCTTGTGACCACGAATGCAAGAAAAATAGCCATGTTTTGGGGTCTTGAATTGCTTCAAGAAATCTAGAATTAATTTCAGTAAGAGTTGACACGAAAATCAGGATTATCGAATCGGTTCAAAAGAAGAGGCTCACTGGTATTTCTTGAATGTTTTTTGCTCAATTCCAGAGTGATTGTTCTTGATTCGCAAGATGGCTTGTGCACGCTCCTCGTAGGTTAAAAAGTTGGCATGGAGAGGACTATCCGGGAAAAGGAGCCACACCAAAGCCCCAAATATGATAGTAAGAATGCCAGTGATCACTGATGAGAAAGTTAGAGAGATATGAGTATTCAGTTTCTGAACAACACTGACCCATAAGCCATTTCCATGGAGCGAAGCTTCCTGTGTCGATCCATAAAACGCCGTACGATAATAAGCCTGATGTAATGGGACTTGCATTGCCGATTGACCACATTATTGGCATCATCACAGATTGCTCGCTATAAGTGAAGAACATAGACATGGATAGCAAGAATGCAGGGATTATAGATGCTTCTGCCAGTCCTAGGAAGAAGCGGACGACAAAGAGTGAGGCAAAATTATTACACGGGACGTGTAAAAGTGTGATACAACCCCTACTAGCTTGTCAGTTCTCCAAAATCTTCATGGCCAATATGAGGTTTGGACTTTACCAAATGATTAGATTTCCTGCCAACCATTTTGCAACAGGGAATCTCTGCAAAGCCCAGTTCTGTGGATATTCTGCCAGCAGATATCCAAAGTAGAAGATTGAGGACAGCCAATTATACTGATTTGAATTCAAATGAGCATCATCCAGAATGCCCAGAATCGATGAACTTCCCAGCTATTGCACGGTTACAAATTGTTGCAATTCAAATACATCAACAGACTTGGAAAACGTACTGTTTGCTTATCGATATACATGAGGTGATAGCCAATGCATAAAAATGGCAAAATGCGCCATAGACATTTGTTTCGTATGCGTTTCGCTTCTTCTGGGGTCGGGTCCGTGACTTGGATTTTGGAAAGTAATTTGAAGCTCTCGTCTGCATATTGATCAAGAACTTTTGGAGTATTGCTGAGGTTGTTTTCGCCCTCTCGTTCAGATTCCGTTGCAGCCTTCAACTCGGGCTTTGGGTGTTTGATATCCGACATCGCGTCGTGTATTCCCAACTTTGGAACGCGTGAGTTATTCAATCACCCTCAACGTTGAGATCTTGAACATTGATGTACTTCATACCTCAAGAACATTCACTCCTTATCATCTCGGGATTATTCTTGTTTACTCCGCACATGCACATATGCCAAGTTATTGCGCAATGTTTTTTTGTCCGTCTTCAAGATCAGCCGGGCGAATGCCGATATCAAATTCCTTTCTTGGGAAAATGCCAAACGCCAGGTTTTCCAATGGACTGGCATCAAATTAGAATTTGCGAATAGCTCTCAAAAGCACGCGTTAATTCGCCATCCCGAAGCTGGGGGTCGCGTCAAAGATGCACTGTTGACGTGCTTGGAGAACTATATAGGCCAAGAGAACCTGCCAGTTGATATTCTTAGTAGTACTAGGTGAACATTTTGGAGACCGATCCGAACCTTGATACTTATACCCCGCTTCTCAAGTTCTCGCCTCTATATATCCTTATCTTCAAGACTTGCATTAATTGCACTTCACTTCTTAACACCCAGGTGGAGATGTCGGAAGCTGAAAAGTTTCGGGTTATTATTGCAGGCGCTGGAATCGCTGGCCTTGCGACCGCCATATCCCTCAAGCGAATTTCCTCCATCCCCAACCTTGACGTTCAACTATACGAACAAGCTCCCGAGCTTCTGGAAATTGGCGCGAGCATTGCGCTGAGTCCAAATGTCAGGCTCCTAGAAGTTCGGTTCTCAATTCTAATGACAAATGGTCCTAACATCATAACAACAGGGCATGCGCACACTGGAAAAGCTTGGCGTGACAAATGCACTCTCAGATGAAGTCGGCTTCAGAGGGCCAAGCGGAATCCCCCAGATATTTCGGTATGTGTGACCACCTAATATGCCCCGCAAATTATCGAGTTACGCTGACTTGCCCTCATAGTCACTGGAAGACGGACCAGGTCATCTCCGTCGATACGCACACAAATGTACCCAATCCGCAGCACCATACTACGCGTTTTCACCGAGGCCATTTACACGCTGCTCTCTTGGAGCATGTCTCTCGCGATTCTATTCATTTGGGCAAAAAGATTATTCATGCCGAAGTCGGTCAGGATGGGGTGTTGTTACAATTTGAAGATGGAAGCCTTGCATCTGGCGACATTTTGATTGGTGCAGATGGACTCAAATCGGTTCGTTGTCGCATAATATATAGCACCATGATAGTGAAATTCTCTAACATCTTGAAGAAAGTCAGACAATCATTCATTCCTGATTACAAATTACGGTTCAGTGGGAAGATTTTCATGAGATCAACATTCGACGCATCATTAGTGGAAAAAATCCCCAACTTGCCCGCTGACTCGTTGCACTGGGTACGATAAACGTATTCTATCTCTCCATTTTGATGGTTTTGCTGACCTCTAGGACCTTGGAAGTGGGGGCCGCAAGACAACTTTTTCGCATCACGATTGGGTATGTGTGACAGTATTTATAAATATTAAACATGAAATCGCCTGACCTAACGACATTCAGGCAAGGGTCAATACACCACCGTTGGCGCTTATAGTGACCCTCGTTCTTCCGAAGAACTCGAAAGAAGTGTTGACTGGGACCAAAAAGGAGACGTGGGATTCTTAAGAGAGAGATACAAGGTGAGTGATCAGCAAGTATGTACTGATTGATGAAGCCCCATTCATAACCCAAAATATATTGATAGAACTGGAACCCACTTATTCAAGCCCTGACAGAAGCTACTCCGTATACAAACCTGTATCCCAACTTTGCCGGAGATTCACTAAAGAGTTGGATATTCGGTTCCCGAGTCACTCTCGTCGGAGATGCCGCTCACGCCCATGGTGGTGCTTTTGCCGCAGGAGGATCTCTAGCTCTAGACGATGCTTTTGCACTTGGGCTTGCTTTCAAGCATGTGATTGAAGCCTCCAGTCAAAAACTGCCGTTTTCGTTCCACGATGCTGAAAAGGCGTTTGAGCTATACGCCAATACACGAAAGCCACATACTGATAGGTTGTTACGTATTGTACACAATCAAATCGGTACAAACCCATCCAAGTCTGGAACGCTAAGGGAAGAAGATGCGAAGCTGGTTTCTCGGATGAAAAACAGACCTGATACAGAGTGGCTTTCTGAGCATGATGTCGAGGCCGCATTGGCAGCTACTCTTGCGCAGACTGATTCGCAAGACCAGTCAGAGCCCCTTGAGCATTCTAATAAGTCTCAAGAAACTCTTGAATCCGCTCTACACTTCCAGGGTAGCAAGCTTTGAAGAAAGAACGAAGGTCGATTGTGTTCACGGTTTCAATACAATAGATTCAGAATTATCAAGCTAGAACGACTGGGTAGCTTTGAAAGGAACGAGTGACTTCTTACTTTCGCCTTGGCTTATGTATCTGATCGTTTTCAGATCCATCCAGTGCCATCACTAGTATTCATTAGATACTCAAGTGCTCAAGTCAGAACTACGTGACAGAATGAATTTGACGCAATTCTAATACTAAATAACGTTTTTCGGCATTCCTCCGACGCAGCAAATGAAGAAGACCCCCACTTCTACTCCGTAACCCACATGTGCATACTTTGATCAGCTATATCGCGCCCTCAGAGAGTCTAGACCAAATTTCGTGCTTTCTCATCGTAATGACCGCAGCAAACGTTGGAGAGGGGGCATCGGGATAACGATAGCAGCGAATTTACAATTTAATATCCTGAGGAGAACATGTCTCAAGGTGCTAGAATCAACATTTGAACCGTCTCTCCATATTTCTGACAAACCCAACAATTTCAAAAAATCACGCAAAACTTACACTCCAGGAGGTCATTATTTGATAATGGGCTCAGAAATACCTTCCACGAAGCGACGGATTTATCTCAATGGATTTGATATGTTTACCGTTGGCCACCTCTCCTTTGGCCAATGGAAGAACCCATCAGATCGATCGGCAACAAAGCGTCGAGATCTCTCATATTGGACGAATTTAGCTCGAATCCTTGAGAAGGGGGATTTCAACGCATTGTTCCTGGCCGATACATTTGGCCTATATGACACCTACAAAGGAAGTGCCGAACCTGCCATTCGAAATGCGGCTCAGTATCCCATGGGCGACCCGGCAATTGTAAGTCAAAGCTTGGAATGTCCAAATTTCAGCATATGTGCATGCGAGGAACGGTCTGACTGATTCTCAATTTCAGCCGATATCTGCCATGGCGTCGGTGACTAAGAATCTTGCCTTTGCCATCACTACCTCTACCTCGTACGAAGCTCCATACGTTGTCGCAAAGAGGTTTTCAACCCTGGATCACCTCACGGGTGGCCGATTTGGTTGGAATATTGTGACTTCATGGAAAGCATCTGCGTCAAAAGCAGTAAGTGGCCCACAAGTCATATCAAGAAATTTCATGCAAAATAATTGTCGAATACCTCAAGAGACTGACAAACATAGCTTGGGTTGCCTCTTATAGACCATGATAAACGTTATGAAATTGCCGACGAGTATTTGACGGTCCTATACAAGTAAGCATTGACCAGCATTGCAAAGCCCTTCATAGCAACAACGGATACTCACATCTCAGACTGTGGGAAGGAAGCTGGGCCGATGACGCGCTCCGTGAAGACTCTGAAACAGGCGTCTATTCAGACCCCAATCGAATCAAATATGTCCACCACCACGGCGACAATTTCCACGTTGATGGCCCTCATATCCTGGACCCATCGCCACAGCGCACTCCCTTCCTATTCCAAGCTGGCACTTCTCCAGCCGGCGTAGCTTTTGGAGCAAAACATGCCGAGGGAATATTCGTCTCTGCCCCCTCGCCTCATATCCTCGCACCACGAGTCCAAGCGATTCGCGAAGAAGCCGCTAAGCTGGGACGTGATCCCCGCTCGATTAAAGTGTTTACTATCCTTACACCAATCCTTGGTCGAACGGAAGAGGAGGCGCAGACCAAGTACCGCGAGGCTCTGGAAAACGCCAGTGAAGAGGCAGGACTTGCCTTCTTTTCGGGTGGTAGTGGGATTGATCTTAGCCGCTTTGATCTTGATACGCCTATCAAGCCGACAGATGTCCATATCGATGCGAGGGTCCAATCTACAATCAATACACTCTCCTATCAGAGTCCCGATGTTCCGGAGTGGACGCCTAGAAACATTGGGAAACATATCTCCATTGGAGGTGCTGGTCCTGTTCCTGTTGGAACGGCTAGCTTTGTAGCCGATTTTCTGGAGGAGTGGGTTCGGGTCGCTGATTTGGATGGCTTCAATATTGGATATGTGCAGACGCCTGGAACGTTTGAGGATGTCGTGGAGCTTTTGGTTCCTGAGTTGAGAAGAAGAGGTGTATATTCACCTGAGAAGGAAAGCGGGACTATGCGGGAGAGAATTTATGGACCGGGACAGAGGCATTTGAGGGATGATCATGTGGGGAGGACTTATAGATATGAAGTTTATGATGGCAAATAGTCATAGTATGGCAGACAATATTGATTGTGCATATTGAAAACGAAGCGTGCATGTGCCATTGCCACATAAGGTATATAATAGTAGTTCCTATAAATTATTTCTTGCATTCTGCGTAGATTGATATTACTCAGGTCAATGATATCAAATTTCAGAGTCTCATCAAAGGCCGACTTGTTTCAACGAGTTTATAGCAAGACTCGTCCATTGGTCTCCTCAACCAGTAGCTCATATTCCGGTTGGAACTCGGTATAAAAGTTGTGCTAAACCGCATTAGTTGTGTTTAAGACTTACCAGTAGCTCACATGGGTACTCACAGGGTTCTGGGCGGCATTGGCGGTATACTGAGCCACTTCAGGGTTAATAATAATCTTGGGGATACCGTTAGCGGCGGCAGCTTCGGCCATCAGCTGGGAGCGGCAGCAGTTTTCCAGCATGGAATACAGAATTGCAGCTTCATCCACTGTAGTACCGACAGTCAAGAGACTATAAAGAACACATTAGTAACGCAGTCAGGCATAAGAGTCTCAGTTACCAGGCCTTACCCGTGATTCTGTAGAATGCAGGCAATATTTTCCTTGCCCAATGCCTTAGCAATCTGTCTTCCCTCCTCCCGAGACAAAGCGATACCAGCATGGTCTTCATACAGACCAATACGTCCGTAGAAGTTGCAAGCGTCTATGGTCAGCTTTTGTTAGCTTCTAGTTCTTTGTATAGTCTAATGGAATGGCAACATACCTTGCGTGAGCATTTCGATCGGCTTGCCAAATGCACTCCATGTCTTACCATAGATACCATGAGTATGGGCCGCGGCGATAACGTCGGGGCGGGCTTTGTGAATTTCGGAATGGATCATGAAACCGGCCTCATTAATGGGAATCTGAGCGCCTCCTTCCGTGACGAATCCTTCGTGGTCCACGAGGACTAAATCGGAGGCCTTGATCGAAGAGAAGTGCTTGGCAAAGGGGTTCATCCAGAAGTGATCCTTCAAGATGGGGTCTAAAGATTTATTAGAGTTGCTGTGATCATCCCTTGGGCGAATCTAGTACATCACTACTAGCACATACCACGCATCGAGATGTGACCAGAGACTCCCTCATTATATCCAAGTTTGCCGAAGTAGCGGAAAGCAACAGCCATATGTTCCTTCATCCACTTGCGCTTCTCAAGCGGGTCCGAGAATGTGGGGATTCCAGCTAGCTTAAGTGTGCCATTTCGGTCTCCTCGAGCGAGGGATTGGAAGGTGGTATCGGTTGCCGGGTCGGAGAGAATGAGATTGGTTTGGTCCTCAGCAGCCAGGCGAACGGATCCCTCCTGTTGAGTGGTCGTGACAGAGGTAGATGCCGACATAGTGGGATTTGTAAGTGAGAGATGCAATTGATAATCTAGATCCCGAGAATGATGTGATTAAGAAAAGATATTAGTATGATTCTTCCAGGGCAAATGGTGGGTTTTATCTAAGATTCTAAATGTTTCTTATCTAGACGTGACCCCACCCCCGACCCCCGCGCATGTTGATAGACGGCGCTACGGACTCTTTTCCGCGCAATAGTCAATTCTTTTGGGTAGTCTTAGCCGGAATCCACTTCTTGTTTAGTAAAGGAGACCGTTGATTGACTCAATCGATTCCTCCCTTATCGAGAGCCACATTTTAAAGATCAGATTGTGATCTTTGTCATTATCCAGATTCTAGATCGATATGTTCTTTTGTCCTTTTTGTCTGCGCCAGAGAAAGCTTGGCGCTCGGAATCCGCGGCGCCCGGTATCCCTTGTCACTTGTTGTCAGCATTTCGGAGATTCCATGAATTTTTGACATCTGAGTCCTGACGGTTTTGGGGCCGTACTATTACATTTCCACATGATAAGCATCAATAATCCAGCCTTCCACTCACGGTAGTGGATCTCCGGTACTCTTGAATATGCCTGTCACCGCTCTGAGCATATTCCTGGTGAGTCTACTACTACTACCTTTTACTACGGATAGACATCAGCTGATCATTTCAAACCAGGCTAGTACTGTTGCCTCACTTTCACTGGATTGCCTTTTACATCCGTTGGATACAATCAAAACACGCATCCAGTCTCCAGAATTTGTTGGCACCTTGCGAGGCTCAAGGACCAGCATTCTAAGCGATACGAAGATCCTTCGAGGTCTCTATCAAGGCTTAGGGCCGGTGCTTGTGACCTCATTTCCTTCTGGTAAGTTACAGCGCAGCAAGTTGCATACGCGATATCTAACCATTCATCATAGCGGGTGTATTCTTCTACACATACGAAAATATCCGGACCAAGTTAGCCTTTGCATCTGACGATCAATCTCAACCAACTAGCTCCACCCTGGTTCTATCGGATATATCTGCGTCTTGTGTGGCAGAGATTGCAGCATGTCTGATATATGCACCCACTGAACTCTTGAAACAAAACGCCCAAATTGCCTTTTCGCCATCTGCGAAGTCACCGCCACTACAAACGACGCGACAATCCCCCAGCGCATCCCCTGGCACCACCGTCTCGGTACTGCTGAAGAATATCGGTGGCCCAACACAGCTTTGGAAGGGCTACTGGGCTCTCTTGGCGCATAATCTACCATGGGTTGTTATTCAAATGCCTCTTTATGAAGCTCTAAGAAGGTATATGTCTCGGTCCGGATCTCAAACCAAGAAGAACGACACGTTCGAGACTGTGATGAACGCATCCTTGAGTGCTGCCATCGCAGGTGGAATAACAGGTCTCTCTACTGCCCCGATGGACGTTATCAAGACTCGGGTGAATTTGGATACCCCTGATCAGAAATCTGGCAGGAAAGGAGTGATCAAAGCAACGCAGAGTATACTCAAAACAGAAGGTCTGCGAGGACTTTACAGGGGGTGTGGTATAAACACTTTTATGGCTGTCGTTGGCTCCGGTTTATACTTCGGTCTTTATGAAGGGGGGAAACAATGGCTGGGCGATTCCTAGACTTTGACCATTCAAATGTTGGTCTCTTATGTAAATTATGTAAATTATCTGTACTATAAGGCTCTCAACTCTACCTGCCTACTTCTGGGTGTTGAAAAATTAGAATCATAACCTCCTTGAAGACATTTCAAGGTTTGAAATACTCTTGAAAACTCGGTATTGCTATACTATTACTAACTAGGCAATGGGCATTCATGGATCCTGACTAAGCGGCCCGTGACTCCGTTTATCGCCGCCATGTGGGATTATCGCGGAGCTGTCCACAGTTGTCGTTCGAACTACCCACTCGACATGCCTGAATACCGATAGCATTAGCGCAATTTATCGACACGCCCGCCATCTCCCATCTCCCATTTCCCCCAATCCCCTCCTTTACTGAAACGCTACGTCCATCATACTCTCCAAACCAGTCAGAGCACCGGTATCTTCTAGCGCATTGATACCCATTTGTTACTCTTGCATCTCCGATGAGCCGAAGCTTCCAATTTATCCGGAATTAAACCCCGACGAGTGCGTCCAACAAGCTATACCAAAATGTCCGAAGCCGAGCCGTCCTACATCGACTATGAGGCATTCCTAGACCCCGAGTTCTCACCAGCCGGATTCGCCAATTCACTAGTTCTGAGTACAAACAATGCAACGGATACCCCCCTGGATCTCTCAACACCACTCTCACGCGTGCTGTTTGATCTCCAAGAAATTGACACTCATATTCATGGGTTAACAACAAAGTCGGCACTGCCACTTTTATCCCACACACAAACCCAAACTGCGGCCGCAGAGAATATCCTACAGGAAACGGGCACACAAATCACATCAGTAACCCAAGGATATGAGCGACTAGAGAAGGAGGTGCTTCAGAAATGGCAAGCCGCTGATCAGGCAAGGATTGCGGCAGAAAACTCATTGGCTACCGTCCGATTAGCTAGAGCTGTTGCCCGCTGTTTGGCACTTGGGCGACAGCTTGAAAGCCAAGTGGCCGAAATAACCGGACGTACCACTGGACCAGCTATAGGAGCTGACGGAACAACCACTCCGACCGGCAAGGAAGGGTTCAAGGCACTGGAACGGGCAGCAATTACCATCCTAAACCTGCGACAAATGTTTGGGGCAACCTCGGAGGAAGATGAAGGTTATGGCCTGGATCGAGTGAAGGTCACCCGTACCTTGCGCAATGAGTTTGTGATCCCTGCAGAGAATATGGTCAAATCAAGGGCACAGCAAACCATCAACCGCTTTTCATTATCCAGTCCTATGACCACCAATGGTCAATCATCAGTACCATCAAGCTACAAACAGGCTCGCGAAGCCCGATCACGATTGGCAACGGCTGCAGCCACTCTATACCTCCTCTCACCTATCCCAAAGGACGCCGTCACTGTTTCGGACTACAAGCCTGAACTTCTTCTTTCCACCCTGCAGGGGTACATGCAGACATCCATCATGACATCTGCCAATGCCCTCGCCAAGGCACTATCTCAACTCCCCACAATGGATCGTGCCCTCGGTGATATCTCTGTACGATGCCAAGATATTGTTGCCCTGGAGTCTATCTTGCGAAATATCCGTCCACCCTCTCACCCTATCCTCTCATCAGCCACAACCTATGATCAACCTACCACGGACGCAGAAACAGTAGCTTCCAGTCAGACAAATCTCCTCCAGCTTCTCCTTCAGGCACTCGATACCTCATCCCTGCCCTCCTACTATTGGCGATCACTAGCTTCCGCCCTCACGTCCCGCGTGCAGGAAATTGTCAACCGAGGGGGCGTGTCCGCACGCACATTGCGATCGAACCGAGATCGGTTGAAGGCAGAAATCAAAGACTGTGTGATGCGTGCATCCCAGGTCTCTGCCACTAACCTTTTGGCTGAAAAGGGTCGAACTGGAACGGATACAGTGGTGGTAGGCAATTGGGAACGGGAGGCTACCGTGATGGTCAGCGCTGTGATCGGTCCTCTGAGCCGATAAAGGTTTACGGAGTATATTCCAATGTATTAAATAATTATAAAGTTTATCCCAGCCTCCACCTGGCACATGCAAAAAGAAAAGAAAAAGTGCAGATATCACATGCATGTTTACCACCCAGTTGACATGTACTTTCTACCTATCTCGAACCTTGTCCCTGAACACCATGGGTCCACGATATGAGTCACCAAGGAATCAATTACCCCGGATATTCCAGGGCCAAGTCCCAGGTACCTGGCAGGGGGAGGCAACAGTGTACCTTGGAAAGCAAGTCACCAAGGTGACACCAGGTTACCGGGATGAGGGCACAAACAACAAAGTCAAAGACCATGATAGATATGATATGTAGGTATACGGTACATACAACAACACCGACATCTGGAGGGGGCGATAAGGCGACATTTGATACCAAGATTCAAGCTTGAACCTTGGGAATAAAAAAAACACGAGAAAGTGTTTTCGGGGATTTTCAGCAGTACCGTTGGCTATCTGTCAGATGACTCGTTTGCAGGGCTTTGACAAGACCAGGGTGGCGGGGGCATGAGTAGCTGCATTGCATCTAGGTTGCCTTGCCGTGAAGCATCAAGGATCCAATCAACGGAGTCCAAGGGCTCCAAGCCCAGATGCAGACTCCAGGTCAAATGAGGGGTACAGAGTCAGCCAGGAAAGACAAGGCAAAAAGCAAGTTCTTTGTGCTGCGTCCAATGTGAAATCCACGGAGATTTTTTTCCTCCTCTACACCGAAGTTATTTCGGGGATGTACCGAGTAGCCTCATGTACGACAGGACTAAGATAGTAACAATAGCATGTATGTAGTATGTAAGTACTATGTAAGTACTATACCAGCGTACATGAAAGTCTGTGCTTATTGCCCTTTTTGTTCTTGTTCTCGTTTCTTTTCTGTTTATCTTTCATCTTTGTCCCCCACGTACGTGGCCGGACCCCCTCCAGGAGTCCAGGTACGCATCCTCATTACGACAGGTACATTAGAGCCGGGCGATTCAGGGCTCGATGATTGGATGGATCGGGGGGGCAAGAGGGGAATTTGGCCACTAAGGGTAGGGGTAGGACCGTAGGGAAAATCAAAAAAAGGGGAGATAATAAGCCTAACATCTCCCAATCTACTCCGTACAGCTCCTCTTGCACCTCCACACTGCGCGTATGGTATGTGCACCGAGATACGGAGTAAGAAAAAAAAAGAGACCTATCATCTTCGGGAATACACCGCTTGAAAGGCAAAGAGCCGTCAATGTGGGAAAATGGGTTAAATGAATCAGGGAGGCAAAAATAAAAAGAGAAAAAGAGAAAAAGACGAGCAAATAGAAAAATCCCCATCGAATAAGATAATAATTACTCCATTTTCCCCTCGAAGCCAAAGATCTCCGAAGTTCCCGCTGGACCAAAAGTCGACGACGTCAGTGTGTGATCCTCACCCGTGGGAAGCGCCGATCGCAAGAGTACGAAAGGGTTAAAAAAGAGAAAAGAAAAAGTAAAAAGAAGTAAGATTTTGGGGCGATTAAAGCCCTGCAGGTACCTGCCACTACCTGGTCGTGCGCCTCCCCCCGTCGTTACGGTGGCGCCCTGCAGTGTACCTACAGGTACCCGATTGCCCCTCTCCAAGCCTTACGCAGCTACCAATCATGCTATGTTAAGGTCCAGTACAAGGGGGGGAAACTAATTAATTTAATTAATTTAAGTAATTTAATTAATAAATCTCAAATTCAAAGAAAAAGGGCGTTGGACGATCGAGATGATCGGCGTTTTTTTCCCTCGAGTGAAACGTCCAGATTCAACATTGACCCATGTACATGAAACGGAAACAGGATCCCCTCAAACGCTGAACCAATGTTTCTGGACATGCGCGTATTCCTAAACGTCTGAACATCCAATCGACTGCTGGGATTCTATTCAACCCCTCTCTCTTTTACACCCGTCACTAATCATCAAGAGCAGTGAACAGTACATACAGACTAGCCCCTCTCTTTCCCGCCCTGATGGCGCGTCCAGGTTTAATGTTGCAAATGGTTGTTTTCATAAATCCCCAAGCAAATCAAGTTATCATTTATCATGAAATGAGAACTCACCAAAGAGTCCAAAAAATGAAGCACATCATTCCCACGGACCGTGGCGTCACTGAAGCCGGGAATATGGGGTCGGAAGGGGGCCCAGGCACTCGGGGAACAGGAAGGCATTTAAAGTATGAATCTATGATATAACCTGGGGGAGGTATTCATCTAGATGTCCGGTACGTTCCATCGAACGTTCGAAAAAGAAAAAGAATAAGGTCGGTAAGAACAGTATGAAGCACGTTAAGGATCCATCTCGAACATTCAACCCCGGATGCGAGGGGTGAATTCCCCAAAAGAGATAAAAAAGATTTAAAGACGACTCGCGTACCGTGGGATCTCATTCGACTCTTGTCATGCGGGCCATTGTGTACGACGTGGGCCGATTTACTTTGACCCACCGATCGTCGATATCATATCCCGCATTTCCTGCCGTTTGCAGCGAGCATCCACGGTAAGGGAAAAAAAAGACTAGGATACTGGGGAAAAGGGAGTTAAGGAAGTTTATTCGAGACGCAGGCACAAGTTGAAGCTTGCCAATGTATGGTGGGCCAGTCGGTGCTAGCCGGGGCCTGAAGGTTTCATGATGAACTTTGGGGAAAGTTGAAATGTTGGTCTGTTGTCTGAACGCAGTGGGGAATCTAACTTGAATGTTTCGATATAGACATTGACCTGGGTAGAGTTTGGATTTAAATGAATTTCTGATTTATAATGATTTTATGCTTTGATGATCTTACTCGAGGAGAAGCCAGTACCTTGTTCTCCGTTTACTAAAGTTCTTATCAATGGTCAATGCTAGATCGTGTGGACATCATGTACCCGTGCATTGCCGCCCATGTCGGATTGGGGATGTTGGGAAGATAGGCATTATGAACGGATATAAAGAGATACTAGTAGCTTTGAGTATACTTGGTTACAGATATGATCACCTGCTAGAAAAAATAAGAAAAGAAAAAAGAAAAACATGTAACAAGAGAGGTGCTGTATAGTACTTATACTGGGTTCCAAGGTTAATACCAAGACGGAGATTTAAATCCAATTTGATTTCATACATGGTATCTTTTTTTATTTTTTTTGTCAGGACGGACAACTCGGAATCGCCCCCTACCGCGTAACCATACAAACCCTATACAAGTCTGGAGATTGTATGACGGAGGCTTAGGTTCGGAGGATGATCCCCCCTGTGATGATACATCTAGATGCAAGGGGGTCGCATGGAAGTGTAAAGTAGGAACAGTACGGAGTATAGATACATAAGAGAGCTGAACACAGTAAAAAAAAAGAGTAAAAAAAGAGTAAAAAAAGAGTCTCGAACTCACTAAGACCCAACAAACTCCTTAGCCCCACGCCCATTCCACCAGGGTCTGGGCGCCATGAACGTCAAGGACTCGGCTCGGGTACTCTACCTTAGTTATAAGGAACGAAGGACCCTGGGAAGTGGAAAAGTAAAAAAAAAAAATATGAATCAAAAAGGATTAAAAAGGATCGAAAATGATTAAAAAATATCAAAAAATATTCAAAAATATTCAAAAAACATATTAATAAACGTAAAACATGGATGAGTGGCTGCGCTATGAATCATACATTTTGTTCCATTTGGAATCCTGTACCTGGTGCCTATGGATACTGTATCCATTCTGGTGGTTCCTTGAAGTAATTTATATGGATTTTTTATAGTAATTTTCCCTTTTTTTAACCATGATTTCCTCTAATAGTTCTGGACCTCGGACACGCGGTTATAGTCGCATTCCTCGAGATCTGGTGAAACGATGATTCGCATCGGTAGGCCCGGAAGTCGTAGGATCTTCAATCTGACTCTTGATTTGGTTCCTTTTTGCTTTCTACAGTAAGCTGAATACTCTTTTCTCTTTTCTCTCGCTTTTCTCTCTCGCTTTTTTGCCCCTCGCTTCCGATAAGCCTTTTTTCCTCTCGTCGTCACCATTTCTCTTAACCAAACAGTCTACGGTTCTCGACTTTCTCCACCTTTCCTTTTTACTTTGCATGACTTCCCCCGATTTCCCTTCTATACCCATTTTTCTCTATAATCTCTACACTGTTTAACTCCGTACACACTCCTGAATCCAGATCGGCCTTTTCCCCTATTTCCTTATCTCCATACTTGCCTTTTCTTTGACCGGAGTTTTCTTATGGGGGGTTAAACCTGAAACCTTCGGGTCCCACTCGACGATCCTGCTTCGCGTGTCTTTGCAGAAAAAACGTGCAGAGGAAAAGATGCTTGCGATCGGCTAATCTTTTCCCTCTTTCTTTCTTTACATTTCCCTCCCAACCCTTGCGTCTTCTTGACGACTACATTCCAAACCTCCCTGGAGTAAGCGCCCAAAGGAAAACCTGGGATACTTTTTTGTACGTTGCCAAATTCTATTTCCATAAGTTGTTCTGGTTTTTTTTTTTTGATTGCTTCATTGTAAGGCCATCTTCTGTCCCTCTTTTTGATCCCTCATTTTCCTTGTTCTGTCAAACGTGCCTGGTCGTCTGTTCTTTATACTTGTAGTGCGAGAAAAACGGGTCTGACGTTTTGTGTGCAATGTTGACAGTGGCCAGACTCTCCCGCATCTTCCCTCCGAGATCTCCGTAGCGCTGCGGTTCCTGTCCACAACTCCCACCATTTAGACACTACATTCCCCACGGGATCTGGGGGTCCTTTGAGGGAATAGCGGATCGGGTTGCCGGCGCGTTGCGACCGGATAGGGTTTGCCTCTGCCCCCCTCCCCACCTCCCTCCGACACTTTGACATCACCCGCCTCCACCTCTTACGTCGCCCTGAAAAAAAGGGAAAAAAAGAAAAAAAAAACATGGCTGCTTTCCTTCCTGTGAACAACTCAGCTAGGATCGATGACCACGCCATGGACGGAGCGACTACCCCCCGCGCCAATGCGAATGGCGTGCCGACCACCTTGGATCAATCTGTTGCTGCGGAGCAACCCCCGGATGTCCTGAAGACGAACAGAGGGAGTGAGGGGTCAATACAAACAACCATATCAACGGGAAGAGCCAGGACAGCGTCCATGTCTGACGAGCAGATGAACGATTCAGATGGAGAAGGAGACGGATCCGACCATGAAGGAGAGCCGGGAAGCGCACCACCGTCGAAAAAGAAAAAGGGACAACGCTTTTTTTGCACCGATTTCCCTCCATGCAACCTCAGTTTCACTCGGAGCGAACACTTGGCCCGCCATATTCGAAAGCACACCGGTGAACGACCTTTCCAATGCCACTGCTCACGACGCTTCTCCCGACTTGATAACTTGCGCCAACATGCCCAAACCGTCCATGTGAATGAAGATATACCGGGAGATTCTCTGGCGGCCACCGGCACTCGGTTCCAACGCCAGGTACGGACGGACCGAGTGCGGCCACCGGGCCGTGCACGAGCAGGTACCACCGGTAGTGCAGGTGGCCACAGCAGAGGCCATAGCCGAAATCTATCTACCTCCAGCATTGCATCTACGACCTCAACCTTCAGCCAACCTCCCGAACTGCGACGCCGCCCTCCGCCCCTCATGATGGCTAATGACCCCACCACCCGCTCTCGTCTAGGACTGGACCCCATGGGAGAACCGCCAAGTACGCCGCCAAGTCAGATTCGAGGAATTCCAGGACCATCAGCCAATGGCTCGCCATACACCCCGTCCAATATGTATGCTACTGCTGCAAATGGTAGCCCGCAATATAGCTCGCCAATGTCAGGTGCCACGCATTTCTGGGAGGGCAAGACAGCCGCTCGTCGGCTATCAGTTCCCACCAGCATGCATCCTTTTCTTCCTCCACATGGCAACGCATATCCGCCAGCATATGCCAACCCCGCTGCTGCCCCACCATATCCCAATCCAGCTGGAGTTTTCGCAAGCCCCACCAGCAGCAATTACCCTCCATCCAGAGACGAGAGTACCCTCAGTGCCGCCGAGATAGAGATGCGACGACGTACATGGCACCCTTCGACATACCCTGTGTTTGGTCGACCGTCCACCAGTGGCTTGAGCCAGTACCACACACCCGATACCGTCCAGCCGTCATTTGGAGTGGCTAGCAGTAATGCCACGGATCAACCACCTCGATTGCCTGGAATTGAGAGCTTTGACAAAGTGGTGTCTCAACACCGTCCTCTCACTCCTCCCACCCGCAAACCAAGTCCGATGCAGATTGACGGTCACGGCCGCCCACCTCCGAACCCTGGCTTTGGCGCGGGCTTCAACTATGCTCAACCTTCCGTTCGACCGGCCCCTCCCATTTCAGGGCCAGGTCACCGACGTGGTCATGTATCTTGGGATATGTCTTTACATACCAATTTGACGGGTCTTGATATCCGAGATCAACGGTCTTCCAGGGACGCCTCCCAATGGAGCCAACAGACCATTGCAGAGCTCCACAACGTGTCTACTCGGCCATCATCATCCTACCAACCAACCTTCGGGCCCATGGTCGAAAGAAGCCCAGAGGAGCATCGAGGACATGCCCCAAGTCTTTCTTCGGGGAGCATCCGACCAACACATACATCTCCGGAAGACTCTAGCAGCAGTGAGGGGGTTCATACCCCCTCTACCGCCTCGATAGAGTATCATCCGGCCATTGTACACAGCAGCGGATATATTGAATCACACGAGTCCTCGTTGCCGTCCGATCATCCTCATCCGGTAGGAAATCCCATTCGAACGGGTCGCTCTCGCCTCGGTTACTAATGCCGTCATAGATCTGTGGTCGACGAGACCACCACACCGACGGCTACCCAGGCCACGCCGAGCAAGAGCCCCGAGCAAGTGTTTTCAATGACTCCCCTGCCCGAGATTCCGGCATGGGTCGGCTTGAGGCTTTAGTTGCGGTCGCGACGAGCGAGAACAAGGGTGCTACGAGGTTGTTCTTGTAAATTGTGCATTCGACTCACACACGACTTTTGAGACCCTTATATACCGTCTTGTAAACCGACTGATCATATCTCCCTTTCCCTCTCCCGCCATCTGCATGATTCGACGGTTATGTCTTCCCGCTCATGCTTCATTTCCTCTTATCATCTCCTCCCCCTCCTCTTTTTTCTCTCTCTTCCTCCTCGGCTTGAAACTGACTTTTGTCCCCACTGTTATCTGAAATGTGGGCCAACATCTCTCTCTCTCTCTCTATATCTTTATCTCTATCTCTTCCGGGCACTCACCCTTGCAAAGTGGATGCGAAATCCTTGATGAAGTGACGAATGTGACGACCTATACATGAACTGGAAATCTCTTTTCTCTCTTATCTCTCTTATTTCTTTTTATCATTTTTTTGTCCTTATTTGTATGTGGGAGTCTGTCTTTTTGGTTTCAATCTCGATCCTTGGTTTTTCTTTTGATGTTTGCAGGGTTGCCGGTTCTCCGCATGTCCTGGGCGTTTCTCTGCGGGAGCGTATGGATGGCATCGTGTGCATGACGATACCCAGCCTCGATTCATTGGTGTTTCTCATTTCATTTTCCTCCATATTTCTCTCTGCTTGGCGGTTCACTCTTTTCATGTCTAACGGTCTTGACGCCTTCTACTGTTCCCGTTGTTGTTTTACTATACTGCTTTTTTTTATGATGGTGGATCATGTCATGTCGCCTACGGACGTTTACCAGGAATTTATGATATCGTTTTTAACGCCAATATGACTTGAATGCAAATGTGTGGAGCATCGTAGTTTCATGATTTAAGTTCCGATGTTCCATTCCTGGCAATGTACCTGATCTATGACGTTTACCCCGCAGAGCGGGAGCTTCTATCAGCTGCCTCTCATCTTTTTATTCAATGAACTTCCAGACTGACATGGAGGAGCTTTTTTCAAATGTTAATACGTACTAGTATGTCTAAAAACTTCAATTTCGCAATTCCGAGTCTTCGTATCTAGTAGATAGGAATTAAGACCAAATCCTTAACGCGGAGTCCATCAAGAACCCGAACACGGCAATGACCAAGCGGTGACGTCGACGGTGCATTGAACCGGAACATGGAAGCTCAATTGATGGAACTCTGGATTTTATCACGCTGAGCTAATATCAGCATGAAATAAGACTCCGAGGGTATAAAAAGCATACAAAGAAAGCTACTAATCCCATACCATGTATCACTGGAATGTACTTTGTAGACATGAGACCATTACCCAAGCTGAAAAACTTTCGAACGTGAACAATAACCCCGTAATAGATCAAGAATTAATTCATTGCTAAAAATCGAAATCGAAGAAAACGAGGTTCTGGACTCCGCACATGTAAGAATGGCTGGCACAGACGTCATAGTCTGGTGACGGCGCCAGGTTCGGGAGCTATAAACCTGAGCAAACCCTGCGTGTTCTTCGTTTCATTATAATTCAATCCTCTCAAAAGCAACGCCCTACACAAACGTCAATCTATCAATCCCCAGATTTCCTCCACACACATCCTTCATCATGTCGAAGAGCAGAACGCCACTTTACTTGGGTCTCGCTGCTGCCGGTGCAGGCGGGTACTACCTCTACCGCGGCGGCGATGTCAAGGGCGCCAAGCAGGAAATGAAAAGTAAGTTGCTAACGAGCACATCGCATCCATGTACGCCACTGAAGGATCCGATTATCTAACAAATCCCTCGCACAGTTGATGCCGACAAGGCGCGCGAGAAGCTTCCCCATGGCGAGAGCGCGCAGCGAGCGGGCCAAAATGCCGGAAAGGAGGCCGGCGCCGTCGTTGACGAAGCGGTATGTATTCATTCCCCTGCTCGAACCGGCGGTCGCATTTTGTTTTTTTATGTCAAAATACCTTACTCGGTTCCTGTTCCTGTCTCCCCTATCATCTATGTATCCTGGCCGGGATGGGGTTATGCTCATGGTGTGTCCACTATGCACACACTATTAGCCTAGCTACCCCCGCTTTCCCCTCCCCGCTGTAATCGCCGATCGTTCGCTCCATTGGCCAGACCCATGCTAACTAACATTTTCCAACAATAGATCAATAACGCCCGCTCCAAGTTCAAGCTGGACGAAGTCATCCCCGAAATCAGAGATGAGGCACAGACCAAGTATGAGGAGGGCAAGAACAAGCTTGATGGGCTTCGTGGGGACGCGAAGAGCAAGATCAATGCTGAGATTGATCGAGTCGATCGCACTGTTGAGCAGAAGGCGGCTGAGGCTAAGGGGTGGTTTGGAAGCAAGAAATAGATTAATCCGCTGCCTCTGATCTGAGCAATCTGGAGCCTTTTATCTTCCTTTCCTAGTTTATTTTATGTTGGCGCTGTGATGAATTGAACATTTGTTTTTCATGATGGAATTTGCAGTGTACCTCGTAACATGGGATTGAGTGGGTCAATTGGTAATTGGATCTTTCAAAACGTGTGCTCTCGAACCAGAAGAGGATGAACGCCTTGCAGTCAATGCCATATTGTATGCAAGACTCGCATTGAGTTGTAATAGCTTGGAACTTGTGCATGTGTTTCTGTGCAGCAACATTCCAATGCCGGACAATCACCACAGCGACGAGAATGTCAAGTTCGAGCGAGAACTTATATTGACAATTTTCCCATTTTGTATTTGAAAGTACAAGCTTTAATTCTGCTTCTTATTTGCTTGTTCAAAGTCATCAAAAAATTTCATAGAAAGCCTGTTGTATTGTTGGATCAAGTTCGTGTTCTAGACGTGACGCTAACTACGCGTCTCACTTTAACCCGAAACGCGCCTCGACGCGTCTTAGGGAGTTTTCTCCCTTAACTCGTCTCACCCGCTCCACTGCACTTGCACCGTTTCTTGCGTTTTGCACCTTCCTCTTTTTTTATTGATTCGTGTGCATAACCTTGGTATCTCTTACCCTGACTATCATCCAGTTCTATTTACCGGTCGCAATTTCCTCACAACGGAATCCGTTCCCCGATCCGAACAGAGAAGAAGAAAAAACTGCAGCCACGATGCCTCGCGTCACAAGGTCAAGCTGCCTTCCCCAGAGCCAGCCTGCCATTCAAATTTTCACCAAGGCAACAAAGGCTGGCGTGACACCGCAACTGCCCGGCAAGAAACTCGCGTCCCTGCCCGTTTCCCCTTCGAAAAAGCGAAAGCTTCAGGAAATCGAGAACATCGACCGTCCAGGCCCTCAATCCGTCGAGGAACAACCCGACACTCCTTCCAAGACTCTCAAACTTAGCCAATTATCTGTTTCCTCGCCACGCAGCGGCCACTATGCTACACCCAAACGCACTCCCAGTCGCAAGACGCGCATATCCACCATTGCCGAGAGTCCCTCGACTCCCGACACCCCCTCCAAACAGCGAACTATCAACTTTGCAAAGGTTGTGCCCGCCCCGAAAGAGCCCGTCCTCGCACCTCGAGTCGCTTGTGTTACCGATTTCATGAATATGCATTCCGCTTTCATCAAGGCAATCTCCCTCCACGCCGCACACAACGGTCCCTGCACCGCTGCCGACCTCCGAGAATTTCTGCCGAGCGTCACTAGCATTTGGAAGAAGCGCAAGGTTCATGTCAAAGATTTGCAGCGCCTTCTGTGGGTTTGGGATCACAGCTTGAAGGGCAAGGACATTTCCTACCGACTGGCCAACTACGGTCTTGGAAAGGTGTGCCTTGAGCGGGACGTGTTCATTAACGAGCAGGGCTCAGCTTTGCAGGATGCGTTCGAGCAGGCTTTCGATTTGCTCTGGGAGCAGACGGAGGAGTCTTTGAAGGAAGTCGAGGAAGCGGATCGCCCCGCAGTCTTCATCGAGACTCTCGGTCTTGCTATTATCCACGAATCTCTCACCCCATTCACAGCCTTCCAGAAGGGTCAGCAACGACTCCAGGACTTGAGAGGCGGTGTTATTCGCATGAAGACTGAATTATTCCGCTCGGAGGCCAACATGACGAGCTCAAAGCCCACTGCTCCGACCGGCAATCGTCGACAGGGCCTGCTTGAGCGATTGAAGAACAAAGAGCTCCGCCAGTCCAAGCTGCCTCCCCCGCCTACCAAGAAAGAGCTTCTTCGCCGCTCAGCTGTTGAGCATGCAGAGGAGGTGGCTGGTATTTTGGCCCTCCTGCGCCCGGCTGGACATCTTGGCACTGGTATCAAGGCCATGTTTGCCAATCAACGCAAGCCCTACAAGCTTGAGACGATCGTGGAACATGTCCGTGATTCTATCCGCACCCCAATTCCTTCTGAAGAGGTCCAGATCTGCCTTGAGATCTTGGCAGATGCTCGTGTGGCCGGCAACTGGGTTACCTTGGTGACTGTCAACGGTATGCAGTCCGTTGTATTGAAGTCATGCAAAGATGTTGCGCCCAAGGATCTCGGGGCAAAGATTGCCCTGGTGCAGGCTGATTGGGAGAAGACTTCGTCTTGCTCTCCTTTGTCTGTCTTGAAGATTTGAAGCACTTGATTTTGGACGCAGTTTCTTGTTTTTTATATCTTGTTATCCCTGTCATCCGTTGAGCCGGTTCGCTCGCGGTCTTTGCATTTGCATTTGCATTAGCGTTGTGATGATACCCTACCTGTACTTTACTATACCATGTTTTTACCTCGACACCTATGTAATCTTAGCCATTAGCCTCTTAAAAATAATACCTACTACCAATACTGAAGAAACCCTGGCTACAAGTTTTCCGACCTGTTCTAAGTAGTATGAAAGGAATCATCACAATGCTTTAATCGTCTATTCGTCGCGTCAGTTTCTGACGTGTTAAATGCATTATTTTTCATTTTCAATAGACCGTGGTAGATCTATCGACTCTGAACGCCATTTCCACCACTTAACGCGCGACGCGTCTCACGTGACCGCGTTGACACGGCGCGTCTCCCTCACTTGCACCGCTCAACTCCCAAGCTTGATAACCAGATTGTCATTACTGTACCTCATTGCAGAATACATTGACAAAATGGCCTCTCGACCTGACCTGAAGGTAAAGCTTCTTTACAATGCCCCAAAACCTAATTGGTGACAATAATCAAAAAACGAAGCCACCGCTAATTGTCCCTCCCTTAACAGGTCGATGACGAAGTTGGATTCATCCGCTTCTACAAATCCATCACAGACACAGACGACAATGACACAATCCGGATATTCGACCGCGGTGAATGGTACTCTGCCCACGGCTCCAATGCCGAGTTCATCGCTCGCACCGTCTACAAAACCACTTCCGTGCTCCGCAACCTCGGCCGCAGCGAGACCAGCGGTCTACCCTCAGTCACCATGACAGTAACCGTATTCCGCAACTTTCTCCGTGAAGCCCTCCTACAACTCAACAAGCGCGTCGAAATCTGGGTCTCTGGCGGCGTGGGCAAGGGTAATTGGAAGCTAGCCAAGCAAGCCAGCCCGGGCAACCTGCAAGACGTGGAAGACGAACTGGGCAGCGTGGGCGCCCTATCAATGGAGTCCGCGCCTATCATCCTCGCCGTCAAGATCTCCGCGCGAGCTGGCGAAGCTCGGAACGTGGGCGTTTGCTTCGCGGACGCAAGCGTGCGTGAGCTCGGCGTCAGCGAGTTCCTCGATAACGACGTCTATTCCAATTTCGAGTCGCTGGTCATTCAGCTCGGCGTGAAGGAGTGTCTCATTACGCTGGACTCGACGCGGAAGGATGTGGAACTCGGCAAGATCCGGGCTATTGCTGATAGTTGCGGGATTGCTATTTCCGAACGGGCGGCGGCGGACTTTGGAGTTCGCGATATTGAGCAGGATTTGACGCGGTTGTTGAGGGATGAGAGATCTGCGGGTACTTTGCCGCAGACGGAGTTGAAGCTTGCGATGGGCTCGGCGGCGGCGCTGATTAAATATCTGGGTGTTCTGACCGATTCGACTAATTTTGGTCAGTTCCAGCTGTATCAGCATGATCTGTCGCAGTATATGAAGTTGGATGCGTCTGCGCTGCGGGCGTTGAATTTGATGCCTGGCCCACGCGATGGTGCCAAGAGTATGAGTTTGTTTGGGTTGCTTAATCATTGTAAGACGCCGGTGGGAAGTCGTTTGCTGGCGCAGTGGTTGAAGCAGCCGCTTATGGATCTTGCTGCTATTGAGCTCCGGCAGCAGCTGGTTGAGGCCTTTGTTGTCAACACGGAGCTGAGGCAGACTATGCAAGAGGAACACTTGCGTGCTATTCCTGATCTGTATCGCCTGGCCAAGCGTTTCCAGCGGAAGCAGGCCAACCTGGAGGATGTTGTTCGAGTTTATCAAGTGGCTATTCGTTTGCCTGGATTTGTTCATGCATTGGGAGAAGTCATCGATGAAGATTACCAGACTCCATTGGAGAAGGAATATACATCTAAGCTGCGCAGTCATTCTGATAGCCTGGCTCGACTGGAGGAGATGGTGGAAACTACTGTTGATTTGGATGCTCTTGATAATCACGAATTCATCATCAAGCCCGAGTTTGACGACAGCCTAAGGATTATTCGCAAGAAGCTGGATAAGATGCGCAACGAAATGGATGATGAGCACCGCCACGTTGCAAAGGACTTGAACCAAGATATGGAGAAGAAGCTTTTCTTGGAGAACCACCGAACTCATGGTTGGTGCTTCCGTGTTACTCGTGCGGAGGCAGGCTGCATTCGTAACAAGAAAGGATACCAAGAATGTTCTACGCAGAAGAACGGTGTTTACTTCACCACTACGACCATGCAGGCCCTCCGCCGAGAGCATGACCAATTGTCATCCAATTACAACCGGACTCAAACTGGACTTGTCAGTGAAGTGGTTGCTGTCGCTGCGTCATACTGCCCTGTCTTGGAGCAGCTTGCCGGCGTCTTGGCTCACCTTGATGTTATTGTGAGCTTTGCTCATGCGTCCGTTCATGCACCGGCTGGGTACGTCCGTCCAAAGATGCATCCTCGCGGCACAGGAAACACTGTCCTCAAGGAAGCCCGTCATCCCTGTATGGAGATGCAAGATGATATCTCTTTCATTACGAACGACGTTTCCTTGATCCGAGACGAATCATCCTTCCTTGTCATTACCGGTCCCAACATGGGCGGAAAATCAACATACATTCGCCAAATCGGTGTGATCGCACTTATGGCCCAGACTGGCTGCTTCGTGCCCTGCACAGAAGCCGAGCTGACAATTTTCGACTGCATTCTCGCCCGAGTGGGTGCCAGTGACTCCCAGCTCAAGGGCGTGTCCACATTCATGGCAGAGATGCTCGAAACTGCCAACATCCTGAAATCAGCCACCTCGGAGTCGCTTATCATCATCGACGAACTTGGCCGTGGAACAAGTACCTACGATGGATTCGGTCTGGCCTGGGCCATTTCGGAGCACATTGTCACCGAGATCCGATGCTTCGGTCTCTTTGCAACTCACTTCCACGAATTGACCGCTCTGGCAGACCGATACCCCAAATCCGTGAAGAACCTGCACGTTGTCGCATTCATTGGAGACGGCACTGAAGCCGAAGCTGATGCTGAAGAGGAGTCGAAGAAGAAGCGCCAAGTCACCCTGCTTTATCGGGTGGAGCCAGGCATTTGCGATCAGTCTTTCGGTATCCACGTTGCCGAGCTTGTACGTTTCCCCGATAAGGTGGTCAACATGGCTCGTCAAAAGGCCGAGGAACTGGAGGACTTTACCTCTGCGACTGCTGAGAATGCAGAGCAGCAGTCAGCACCTGCACTTGATAAGTACTCGCAGGAGGAGGTCGAGGAGGGCAATGCTCTTCTGAAGGATATGCTGGTGAAGTGGAAAGCAGAGATTGAAGGCAAGGATCTGTCATCGGATCAGAAGCGGCAGATTATGCGCGATCTGGTCAACGCCGATGGCAAACTACAGGCAAACAAAGTGTTCCAGGGCATTAAGGCTCTGTAGGGTAATACCTCTTGCAGTTATTGGATGGGACGATTAGGCTTTTGGGCGGAGTATGGTGTTCACGGTGTTATCCTTTTTCAACCCGTTGGTCAATGAGGATCTCATCAATTAAAATTTCGGATTTCAATACAGATACTTTTCCAATCTGAAAGAACACATCTCATCACCAGTAGTACGTACAAATATTTACAATGTTTTGATTTCAAGTTGGTTCATATAAAGTTGTCCTGCCAAGCTCGGTATAGATCAGACCTAGTCACGTGGGTCCATTTTCCACCTTGAATGGATAATGGGGGTCTAGACACCGAACCCACACGCCCTGAGGATAACCCCAGCAATCAGCAACGCCTTCCCAAGATTGCATCGTTCACTCGTTTATATCCAGAATCCTAATTGACACAGAATACCGAACGACACGACATCAAGCATATCTGCCAATTCCAATTCAAACATCAAACAAAGCACCTCGATCCGACTCCCCTCACAGCTATGCGCGGACACTGAAACCCGGCACCGCTTCAAGCACCCTGATTCATGCACCCCTTTTCCATCCTTACCCTTGGGATCTTTGTCGCGGGCTACACCACTGCCAGGTGGGACCTTGTCACCCGTCTCTACGAGCTTGCTATCTTTGCGTGGGATCACGGCGTCGTGGTACGGTAGTCCCCTGTTCTTCCCCGAGACCCCTCCGCGCCCGCTTCAACCTCAATGCGCTTCCATTTGATCTCCGCTAATCATACTATTCTTGTATCATTTAGACACGAACTTTGAAGGGTTTCCTTTTCCTCTCGGTCTTCTTCTTCCTCCTTGTCCTGCCTATCAACCATCTAGCTACGAGAGAGGGTCAATTGGTGAGCTCCACCCCCAAACGAACGACCCGATAAACAAGCGGATATCGACACAATCTCTATTTACTTTGCCGGCATGCATAAAACATCAACTAATATTATTTGTGTCTATCAGCACCCGCGCCACGTGAATCTCGGCGTCTCCGCCCGGGAACAGCTGCGCCGCCGAGGCTCTTTCTAACGAGCAAGTGGAGGATGACAGCATGATCATGAGTGATGGTTTGCTGCGAGTATTTTGGCCATATGATCTCCCGCGATCTTCATCGACGGGGGTGATAGTCGGATGGCGCAACTCAGAGCTAGATTTATTCGTGCTCACGGTCCTGGAGGATGTCGAGGTGAGTACAATGCGCCCTGTTCTATGCTATAGAATACATTGTCCTGACCTTGAACTCTCAATGTAGCCACGCAATGTCGACAACGCACTTAAGGCTGGCATTCTTTTTCGAAATAGCCCGCATCCTATTGTTCGCATCTTTGCTCTCTGCGGTCGCTCCCAGATGCACGTTCTCGGTTCGACAAATCCAGGCACCCCACCAACTTCGTTCAATCCCTCCCATCTTCATGTGACGACACATCCGCCTTCGAAAAATCACATCCCGCGTATCTACTGCCAGTCGGAGGCGAATTTATCGGTTCAGGTTGTCATGTATCATCGTCCGCACCCAACGCGGATGGAGTACATGTCTTTGGACCCGATTGCCCTTGCCTTGGGCGATAAGGTAGCAGCTGTGGAAAATGGTGGACCATCATTGGGTAAAGTTGAATCAGGAGAGGAGAAAGAGAAAGCACGGTATCAAGTACTTGTGGACAAGCTGAAATTCCACACAGTGGTGAAGCACGTACCGTCGCAAAAGGAGCAGGCACTTCCGCTGATAATCAGCCAAGTCAACTGTGCGTATGAAATGAGCCAGTTGATGCACAAAAATTGTCATCTCATTGGAGTGCGCGCAAAGCGTAGCATGAGTGTTGGAGAACGTGTGGTGGAATCAGCAACTACTCTATGGGGCTTATTCGTTGTTTTCATTGCTCATATATTTTGGCAATGGATTTGGCCGGTCGTCACTAGAGTCTTTGTCATTGGTCTTGTGGGACATCGATCTGTTGCGGAGGTTGTTCTCAAGGTTCTTGAGTGGCGGGCTCGGCCTGATGCTGCTGCCCTTAAAGACATTTCGGCAACGGCCCAACAGGTTGATATACGGCTGCAGCAATTCTGCTATTGGCCGATCCAGTATGTCAAGTTGCGTCAAAGAAAGGACAATTGGGAGAGTGTGACTACCAGTCATCCAGATTACATTCGATTCTACAATAGTCTGTGGCTCGTGGCTAATGATGTGATCATTGGAATTGCCCTTGGCTCGTACATCATTGACAATGCCAACTGGGTGGCCTCTCAGATCAATACAGTTCTCACTGGATGGACTGTGGTAGGATTGCAACGCACTATCTCATGGCTGATGGATTGGCCAGCTGGTTTGAAACTCAACAACGAGCTGGCAGCTTTCCTCGGTGATCTATTCCTCTGGGTCATTGAAAACTGGGCCGCATGCATTGCCAACCTCCAACCCTACCTTCCCCATATCATTTACATCGTCGGATGTTCCAGTTTTGCCGGAGCCAGCATGCCAATCGCGCTTTTCTCCGATCTGCTTTCTATTCTTACAGTTCACATTTATTCCTTCTACATCGCCTCTGCCCGCATCTTCAACTGGCAACTTACCATAATCATCTCTCTTTTCCACCTTTTCCGCGGCAAAAAAAGAAACGTCTTGCGCAATCGAATTGATTCATGTGATTACGACTTGGATCAATTACTTCTTGGCACTATCCTCTTCACAGTGCTTTTCTTCCTTCTTCCTACCGTCATCGTCTTTTACCTGACCTTTGCATCGGCTCGCATGTTGATCATCTCTATGAAGGCCGGTTTCGATACCTGCCTGGCATTCCTTAATCATTTCCCACTCTTCGCCTTGATGTTGCGAGTCAAAGACTCAATGCGGTTGCCCGGTGGCATCCGTTTCGAGCTCCGAGAGGAAGTGGACAAGCATTCCACGGATGCAGACTCTACTATCTCTTACATCCACCTCGAGGTAAATTTGACTCAAGTCTCATTTGATCATAGTATCACAATAATATCATCGCATACTAACACAATCAAACCATCTAGTCCATTCCACTTTCCCTCCGCGCCATGTTCGACCAATACTTCCAACTTGGCCACCGACTCCGCAAACACTACCTTGCCCCCAGTGTCATTTTCTGTCTTGTTACTGGCCGCTTCGTGCCGCCCATTCACCGTCGCAACTTATACAGCATGCAATATAGTATGTTGCCCGCGCGTCGCGCCGGCATGGCCGAGGTCTGGTCACTGCTCACTCAGCCTAAGAAAAACGGGGGTGGAAGCGGTGGCTCTGGGTCAATGTCGGGCAGCATGGGTTCTTTGGGACATCCAGTAGCTAAAGTGCCGCCGAACTTTGGTCAGAGTGATCTCCGCAGACGGGGTCATCGGTGATGACTAGATTTCTTTTGATAATGCCCCCGTATATAGTACCTAATGGACCTCATTATTCTAATAAACCCAAGGTTGTAACTCTTCAAATTACTCACCACTACAGCCATCCAAGTCGGATGCTTGTGGGAACATTATGCTCTAGAGCCGCTGCAAATGGCTCAATATCAACCAGTATGAGTTTAAAGCACGTGAGGCTTGTTTCACACATGTATGTACTGGTAGCTCTGAGCACTAGAATTTACACATGCATACTTAGTAGGTAGGCTTCTGTGCTACGAGATAAAACCATGTCGTATCCAGACTGGCTCCTTGACCAAACTCGATTGACAAATTCTTCAGTAGGACCCGCAGCCCCTCTGCCTTTACGAGAAGAGCCTGGTCCCCGCTTTGCTCCAAGCCTTGAGTCATCTCTTCCAGGCCCATCATGACACACTGGTTCCAAATAGGACGATGTATATCCTTGAGTCGAAACTCACCCCAAGAAACAGGCTCAAAACCAGCAGGCTTCACCATATCGCAATTATGGGTGATCCACCTTAGTGAATATCAGTTGCCGGTTCCCAAGAAGGATCATGATAGCGCAGGAGTTGACTTACGAAGCGGCATCAGGTGGATTGGTTTGCATGAGAGTCGCAACAGTCGAAGTTGACTCTAACTTTGTTGGGTCGGGTCCGATAGCCTTCACAGAAGGAGCATCGATATCCATCCATTGAAAGATACCGCCAGGCTCTAACATTGCATAGCATCTTTTGTTAGTGTTTTGGTCGGGTTGCAAACGTTTGAAAGACAGCAGATATGCTAGGTAAACTGTATAAGATTTACATACTGAGCAAAGACATGACGTTCTGCAAAAGCCGATGCAGATTCTGACCACTGAGCAATGTCATGAGAAATCGCACATTGATGATATCGTATTTCCCCAAGTACTCTTCCGGGAATGGTTGGAAAGCATCGTGCTCATGGAGTGTGACGTTTGAAGGCAACCAATGTGCCAAAGGATACTGATCTCCAGAGATATCGAAGCCATCTATTTGCCAATCGGGCAGAGACTGAGCCAGCTCCGCAGGCCAAATTCTTTTCCACGAGAGTATCAATCAGAAAATGCTCACATGTGTGTATATCCATTGATGGATCCAGGTCGATATCGTAGGCCTGATCAAGAGAATGACTTACGCGGTGCCGGTGCCAATATCTGCGATACGGCCGGGGGTCAAAAAATCAATTTTCTCCCTAGTAGAAGGATGTAGAAGCTCATGGTCAGTGAGTTGGCTGATCAAGTAATACTGATAATTGAGGCTGTTATGTGTCAATTCAAGAACAGTGGTTAACGAATTGAGAGAAATAACTTTGGTATGGTTTGGTTGAATTCTTACCGGACGCTGGCCCTTGTATTTCTGCCAAAGATGTAGCCAGCAGGGCTGGATGAGTTGGAAGTCATCATTGATGATTGCGACTGGCTCTAATCTGATTTTGACACCGACCTCGGGATGTAAGCAGCGGAGAAGTATTTATGTCGAACCATGAATGCTTGCACTACTTATCTTCTTGAGACGGTGGGGGCCGAACGAAATCACACGTGCATTGATAGTACATGCACGCTAGACTCAAGTGAAAAAACGAAGAGCAAGCACTAGGATTAATAACACTGCCTTCGGGCATCTAGTAAAGCTTGCATGTGCATGTGGCCTCCAAATTTTCACAATTTTGTTCTCTAGTACATTATGTAGATTGATCCACTATGAGCATACATCAATTGATTGATGCCTCAGGCCAAATGGATTGATACATAGTCGCATCCGATGCCCGAATGTATATATATATTTACATACTGTTAATTCAAAGCCCTGCAATTCTCTCGCTCTATGGCCCACCTCTTATAGACCGTGGCAACATTGGAGAGATTCTGGCATTTTTTTTATAGTTGTCACAATGGACAACACGGAGAAAGCATGGAAGATAAGAGTTGATGTTGCAACAGGTTGACTGCTGTGCTCGGGAAGTGGGGACTTTTTCTTAGCGGAGCCGCATGATGCATGACTTTGGCAATGATATGCATGAGATTAGAGTTGAAGAAAGAGGAAATATTTGATTTTCTTGATTCGAAACAAGTACTTTCTAGTCCATTTGAAGCATGACTGAGTTCTGAAATGTCACCACAGTATCGTTTCCTACTCGGTCTCTATCTTACTTGCTGACTGAGAATCGAGATCACGGGGTATTGGTGCCTGGTTGCCCCAGCAACAGATGGTGTACCCACTTTGGGAAGGGGCGATGCAGATCTGTGGACAACGAACTTGTTCTCGACTCTTTCTTTTTTTGGTCTAACCTCCACAACCCAATCGCCCTGGAGCTCGACATCTAGCATCCACCATATTCGACCACCATGCCGTCCAAACAACCCCAGATGTCATTGTTTCAGGTATACCTTCGACTACGCCCGCCCATGACCGAAAGGCACGATGAGTCCGAACGATTCCTCGCTGTCGAGACCCCCGAAGCACAAGAAGACGTCGAAATTGTTGCGCCAGTCCCAACGCATGTCACATTACAACCTCCCAATGATTCACGGAAGCGCGCGATCGAGAAATTTGGCTTTACAAAGGTTTTTGAGGAGAGCGCCACTCAGCTCGACATTTTCCATGACACAGGGATGGAGTCCCTAGTGAGGGGCGTGTTGAAAGAAGGCCGTGATGGATTAGTAGCAACATTGGGAGTAACTGGCAGTGGAAAGGTTCGAGCTCTCAGTATACGGATCGTTTAGGTTAATGGAATGCTAATGCCAAAAAAAATTCAGAGCCACACTATTTTAGGATCCAAATCGCAACGCGGAATCACACAAATGGCCCTGGATGTTATTTACCGATCACTACAACCCACTCTCAAAACCGATGATGGCAACATTACTCCCATGATGCTTGCGTCGCTTGCAGGCTCAGATGCCTCCGAGGCACAGATATTTTCGGCCCAGACATTCCTAGAAGCTGTGTACGGTGAACCCACAGGAGGCCGTGGCTCAAGGGCCCAGACTCCCATGAGCCCTTCTCGTGCACACACTCCACTGACGGTACGGAACCCTGACCCCCCAAACCCCCAAGGATCGCCGATCAAGCGTCCAACAACTCCTGGATCAGGTCTTCCAAGACCATCCATTAGACCTGGAAGCCCCCAAAAGGTGGACTCAGTCCCAATGCCAACTCCGTATCGCACGGGTAGAATCCCGCCAGCGACGGAGCATACTGGATGGATACCCCCAGGACCTTGGACTTCCTTACCTTACACCCGCTCCAGTATGCATGAATCCCGTTTTGCTAAATCTCGTCTTATTGTTTTCAAGGAGCCAACGCCTGCACTGGTCTTCCCTCGCCGCCAACCACGTGAACGACCGACCGCACTCCCTCGACTCCCCGATGTCAGCCATCTAGCCGTTGATTTGAACTCGAATGCCGACTATGTGGTACTGGTCTCGATGTACGAAGTGTATAATGACCGCATCTTTGACCTACTGTGCCCTGCCATAACTCCAGGCCAGGGGAACACAATGTCCCGTGGAAACAACCAAAAAGATCGCCGTCGTCCCCTATTATTCAAGCCCACTGAAGGATCTCCTGATCGAAAGATAGTTGCAGGTCTCCGAAAAATTGCCTGTAGCAGCTATGAAGAAGCACTGGCCATTTTAGATGTTGGTTTGACAGAGCGCAAAGTGACAGGCACAGGAGCGAATAGTGTTAGCTCTCGAAGCCATGGTTTCTTCTGTCTCGAGGTCAAGAAACTCACTCACAACAAACGATACGGGGAAGCCACTTGGGTAGGAAATACTCTCACAGTTGTCGACTTAGCAGGTCAGTTATGCTCTCCGCAGTCTCCCTATATACATATATTGATGAATGCAGGATCCGAACGTGCAAGAACTGCAAAGACAGCCGGTGCAACCCTTGCGGAAGCTGGTAAAATTAACGAAAGTTTGATGTACCTTGGCCAATGTCTTCAAATGCAGAGTAACTTGCAAGACGGCATCAAGACCGCCCTTGTTCCTTATCGCCAATGCAAGCTCACTGAACTCCTGTTTTCAAATTCTTTCCCGACTACTCATCAGATGTCTCGCGGTCACCATCCCCAAAAGGCCATCATGATTGTCACTGCCGATCCTCTAGGGGACTTCAACGCTACTTCCCAAATTCTACGCTATTCCGCACTGGCTCGTGAAGTCACTGTACCTCGAGTCCCGTCAGTGACAGAGTCAATTATCTCTGCAATCACCGCACGAGATCGTTCTATCAGTGGGCGTACATCACCCAATGACGTGCCGGCACAATCAGAAGAGCTCGAGAGGGCCCTGGCAGAAATTCAGCGACTCACAAAGGATTGCCACGGTCTTGCTGTGCGTTTGGCCGAAGAAGAAATTGTTCGTTCCGAAACAGAGATTAGACTGGCGGCTTCCGAAGAGAGATCCCTAGACATTGAACAGGAAGTTCGTGAGGAATGTTGGGCTGAGATGGACGACATGATGGAGGTAGAGCGAAGACGCTGGCAAAGTGCCATGGACGAACAGATTGGTCGAAATGATGACCACGTTGATCGAAAGATCGAGCTGGTTTCGCGTGGATTCAACATTTTTGAAGATCCGGAGACACCCCCAGATGCCAGAGTTGAGGAGCTTGAAGAGGAGAACGAGCAGCTTCGCCGTCGCATCGCTGCCCTTGAGCGCGAAATGCATTCTCATTCCCCAACCAGAAAGCCCAGGACAAAGATCGCAACCCCTAACCCTGCATCTAACTTGCGTGCCCGGGAGAGCGACATTGAGAATGCTTTACAACGCATGAACCAGCTCAACCTTACTGATACTATGTTCTCTCCCGCCACTCCAAGCTCTTCGCCGGGCAAGAAACAGCGCAAGTTGGGAACGAGGAAGCTGGATTTGGGTTCGGAGTTTGATATCTAGGCTGTTAAAATCATTTGTCACGACCGTCATGAATTTCTGTTTGTGGGCTATTTATTGGATTGTTATGATACACCCCGGAGTAATGATGCTCTTTGCTAGGGAGTTGCCAGTGTTGATGTTTCCTGTCAGGATTGGATAATATGGGTTTTATCTTGATTTTAATAGTCCTTACTTGCACATTATCTTATTTCTGTTTTTCTTTGCTCTACAGGCTGGTCCATTCTAGCTTTGAGGAATTTTCACATCAGGCTGTACAAGTTTGATGGGTAGTAGTTATGCTGCACTAGAACTCCACTTAAGCATCTATGATTCTTGTCAATTTTGCAAATTGCAATACTGTCTGCATTTTCGGGAGGGAATTAACATTTCAAATAAGCTATAGTATGATGTGGGAATCCTACCCTGTCCCTTGCGCTTCCTCAAACACCAGCCTGTAAGTTTAGAGAAGGTCCATCAACGCCATGTCCAAGAATAAAAAGGAAATAAGAAAAATAAGACATGAATCGAAATGGTGTGTATCGGTGTTACCAAGCACCCTAAGCGGGTGTGATATCCATGGCATCTTGTTCGGTATCCTCACTAGGGGAAGGGGCACGAGAGTCTTTAGCATCTGTGATGTTGACAGTCTCATCATCCTCATTTTCCTCTTCGTCTTCCTCCTCTTCCCCATCTCCCTCCCCCTCTTCACCTTCTTCTTCCTCTTCTTCGTTCTCGTCATCTTGATCATACAGTCTGCTCTCATCAATGATTGTATCTTCGCCATCCTCATCCTGGTTCTCATCATCGCCAGCGTCGTCGAGATCCATGGTTTCGTCCCCAGGATGTCCAGTCGCACCGGCATCTCCATCCCCTTCGCCATCGTCTTCTTCTTCATCCTCTTCTTCGGCGCCTTCTTCGCCAGTACCGACATCATCTTCTGTCTCGACATCACCTGACTCACCCTTGTGCAGGCTAGGGAACATGATAGCCTTCCGTTCTGAAGATGGATTATCGAGTTTGGATTCATCCATGTCACTCAATTCGCTTTCATCGCCAGCATCTCCTGTTTGCTCGCCACTGCCTTCTCCACCCGCGGAGGTGTGTTTGCCTGTCCCCTGGGGGGTAGAGACTGGTCCAGATGTCGCTGCTGAATTGGATCCACGTCGGATTGGGGTTGATTGTTCATTATCCACCGCGGCAAGCCGGCTAGTTGCCGTGCGAGGGGCCAGCTTGAGCGTCACAATTGTATCCGCCCGCTTCTGAATGTCTCGACGGGCAATACCCTTAGTACGGCCACGAGGAGCAGGAGTGTCGGAAGCGGGAACAGCGCCTACTACAGCACTTGTATCGGCAGCGCTGTCGCCCGTCATGAGAACGTGATCAACCTTCATCTTTTCTTTATTTTCCTCGGTGGCCGGCTCAACAAGCAGAGACACATTAAGCTCGTATACGCGAGAGTAGAGATCTGCAATGAGATCCTCGAACATGGTAACCTTCATGAAGTTATTGTTCAGTTTTTTTAACTCTAGAGCATCTCGAATGAGCTCTAAGAGCGGTTGACTTTCAGGTTCCAGTGTCGCCAGGGTTTCCAAGCGAGCTGTCTTTGTAGAAAACTCCTCCCATCCAATGGGTTTGAAGACACCCTCCTCATGCCCCTCGTTGATTTGAGCAGCCCTCCGAATCATCTTTGCGTAGGTTAAACAGATGTCTTCCCACAACTTTGTGTGATCTATGAAATCACCATGCTTCTTTCTCACACGGCGTAATAATTGATCCAAGCTAGCGCGATCGTCCAGTTGGTCAAGTAAGCCGACGAAGAAATACACATAGCGTGTTGTGTAGACAAAGTGTCTTCCAGGACGCTCAAATTCAGGTCGCCACACTTGAATGGTCAGTGTTTTTGTGAAGATTTGCGACATTTCATGCTTGGCGGCAGCAGCAGTGGTGGCGTTCTTGTCGTCATCATAAATGATATGCGCAGCCTGTGAAAACTTAGCGACAATTCGAAATGAAACTTTACATTCACACAAAAAGACTTTACCTTGCTGCTCATGCGATGGTGCCAATTAGATTTGTCGGCACTCTTGAACTTCTTGATAACTTCGAGAACGTATGGCTTCCACCCTTCAAGATTCTCGGGAGAGTCAACCTTACGGGCCCAAGGAGTTGAGTTAAGAGCCTTGACCCCCTCATTAACCTATAATATTGTGAGTCAGGAGTACCAGTGATAGATCTAGCTCGATGTTCTTACAGTGAGGTTTTCCCGAAGTACAAGTCTGTGCACGATAGACAGAAGCTTGAAGTGGGGCTCGAAAATGGGATCGGCTCGCGAATCTCTCCTCTGCGGAAGGGCATTGATTGCATCGCGAAAAGCGTCCAACACATCATCCACTTCAACGCGTTTTGATGTCGTTCGCAGCGAATCATCACAGTTGAACATCTTCCAGAGACATTTCCCAAGGAAGTAATGCGTCCTATTTGATAGTCAGTACTGACAGATTTTGCCATGTCCATTAATTATCAGCTTTACTCACATCCAGCGCTTTGGTTTGTCAATCAGTGCTCTTCTGAGGAGATTGCTGGCAAAATTCCACACAGAATACCGAGACATCTCTTTGAAAGGCTGAGCTTTGTACATTTGCTGACTTTCTTCACTGCTGAAATGTCGTGAAAAGTCTGCCAGACTGAAGGCACCCATGGAAAGGGGTTCGCGGGACGAAGAATAGAGACGGATTCCAAAGTCAGTGTATAGATCTGACAACAAGCCTCGAGTATCCGATGTGGGTTCAGCGCTTTGAATGGCCGTTGACACAGCCATGGAGTAACAATGGATTGCATATCTTTGCGTTGCTGCCAGTTCACTACGATTGTTGTTGATCTTGTCCGCGGCCCAGGTGATATCTTCCTCCAATTTCGCATCGTATGCTTGTGCTAGCCGGTACCAGGTTTCCCATCGTCCTGTGCCATGATCTAGATCCTGCCGGAAGAAGTTGATCGCATCATCCAGCTCTGATGTTGACCCGGGACTCAGACGTTTATGGGCTTTGAACTTTGTGAGGGTGGAGTGGCCAAGAAGGAAGTACCAACCCTTGGCAGCGATTCTGGCATTCTCGCCAGGTACCGGAAGCATGGAAAGTTCAGTCACTCCCTGTACCGCGCGAAGGAGATGCGACGGGTTGATTGGTGATTTAATGTATATGCTGAAGAGACGTCTGTTGAACGACATTTGTGGTGACTGTGCGGGAAGCTTCGCAGGGCCAATAGCATGCTGCATTTTTTCAATGGTTGTCTTCAATTCAGACTTTGACAGGTCCTTCATGTTCATTTTGAGTGCTTGCTTCATCACGAAATCAATCATCAAGTTTGCAGTGTGACGATCTAATTTTTCGGGAGTACATCCATGATCAGCAGTGCCGTCGAAGGGCGAGAACTTGATACCGTGGAGATCAAAAAGAACCTGGCAGATGTCGTATTCATAGTCACCCTTGGTCTCAAGATCAAGGAGCTCGGACTTGAGGAGCTTCAGGAAGCGTTTCTGTGAGTACCTGCACAAGGACCGGACCCCCAAGGCATTGTGCACAGAGCGAAGAACATGAACGCGATCCTCCAAGGGTTCGGCGAAAGCGTCCTTGTTTTGGGAGATTGCTTCCAAGAAAAGAGTGTACTGCAAAATCCAGCAACGCACGTATGTTTCTCTCATTCTCTCCTTGAAATTTTCGAGAGATTTCGCCAAACTTCCTCGAAGATCACGCCCAGAAGTTTGGCCCACACGAACCGAGTCTTCGTACAAAATGAAGCTGTGAAGAAGACGAGCCAGCCGAGCGACTGCGGACAAGGACGATCGTAGATGTTCCATATCAATACATTCAAATGCTTTGTCAGACTGCTGCAATACAAGTGGGATGATCTTACTCATAATCCCATCGAGTGATTTGAGCCAACGCAGCAAAGTGAGTTGGCGTTGCCCACTGGATTCCTGTATGTGTTTTACACCCTCAAGCTCAGTCATGACAGTCTCGATACTACGCAGATAGCACGAGATGACCTTTGGCGGATAGTCAATAGCTTGATATGTCTCCTGGAGCCTCCGCCAAAGGAACAGTCGCAACGTAGCATCCCCCCGGTCAAGGAAAGAAGCCATTTCGCTCGAATGTGACATAGCCTGGGTCGCATCACTACCAGAATCCAAATACTCGATTGATGAAGGCTCAAGAATTGGCTCGATGGCTTCGATGAGCGATACAGGATCATCCTCATCTGCATTGAATACCTTTGCGAAGAAATCCATACATTTGAGTTTGAGAGCCTCTTGATCAATGGTGGCAATTGATAGCTCTACCATGATTGAATTGTTCACAAGGTTAACGACAGGGTCGCCAATTGAGTGGAGAATCTGTTTAAGATCTTGGAAGCATAATAAGATATGCTCACGATCGGCCTCGCCAGCGAGGTTAAGATGGAAAGTTGACGTCCACAGATGGCGAAATGCAATATTTTGGCGACACTCTTCGGATGGGCAGTATTCGACAGAGTATTCCAAGCATGTTCGAGCTAGCATTGCCCACCTCGCCAAACGATCACGCTGTGACAATTTCTGCTCTTGGCTTGGCTGGGCACCAAGATCTTCAATAGAGGCAAAAATTTCCAGATGAAGCTCAAATATAGACTGAATCATCTCCAATTCAGAAAAGTGGCTTGTCTCATAATTGAATGGGGGTCCATTGTGGGATTCAAGGATGCGTTTCTCAACCTTCGTGACAGCCTCACACAGCCTGGTGAAAATAAATTCATCTTCACGAACCAAAATCTCCATAGCAGTTGCTTTCAGCTCCTTCGGCCACAACAAAGAAGTGTATGCCGACTTCATCACTAAAAATTCGGAAGAAATTTCGCCAAATTGTGGCATGAGAAGACACTTCAGCCATTCAAACGAAGCATCTTGTGGACGTAAATGACCACTGTTAACCGTGTTCGAAAAATTGTATAGCTCCTCACCTGAGGCAACCAGCTCTTCCTGAACTAGCGATTTTCGAGTGGTCTTTCTAGAATGCTCGAGAAAAACAGCCAGGCCAGACTTGTTGGAACCGGGAATGCTCTTCAAGGAAGAAGAATCGTCCTTCTGCTGCATCAACCGGGACTTTTCATCATTCCAGTGCTTAATCATCCCCCGCAAATCCTGGAATAGCCTGGTCTCGGGGTCTTCGGGTGCATCTTCGGTATCGTTCACGATTGCTAACTTTTCTCTGAGATCTTCAATCGTTCCAAGGGCTGTGATACCTGCTCTAGAGAACAGAGACCCGAGGGTGTTGAACATCCACTCATCGGCGTTCACAAATATTTCAAGACGGTCTTCATAAAACTTGTCTTGATCGAATGGGACCTCATCCAATTGTACTAAGGCATCTGCATTTGATTCACGAGCTCTGGTGCGTCGGCTCTTCATCCTTCCGCCCTCCGATGGTTCATCGTTCGCTGCGGATGCAGACGATCTTTTCCGCCCACTGGTTGGTGATCTGGGCTCTGTTTCCTCTAGGCTCGGATCTCCTTCGCCTTGTTTTTCGAGGTGTGGAACAGATTGGCCTTCCAAAGACTCCATCAGTTGTTTCTCTGCGCTTTGATCAATTGAAGACTGTTCCTCTGTGAGCTCTGGCGGTTCCTGATTGTCTCCAAGGGCAGCAGCCTGGTCTGTTCCGTCGAGCATATTGATGTCTTCATTCGCTGCCTTACCTTGCTCGACCTGGTTTTCGAGATCCTCCATTTTCACTGATGCAATATCGGATCCCCCAGAGTCCCTCGCGGGCAGGGTAATTTGAAGGGACCGACTCGGAGCAGCGCCTACTGAGGCTTCCAATTCCTCATCTAAAGCTTGTGCGATTGCTTTGCCCACTGATTCCCAAGTTGCGTCGGGTGGCGTGAGCTCTCGTCGGGAGGTGGACAGAGCAAGAGGTCCTTTGGATGAACTCAGTGCATGCAAATCGGTCGGGAGATTTGGCAGATAAGAATAAGGATCTTCATGTTGTTTGAGGTACTTTATAAGCGCCTTTTTCGGTTTCTTTACTGGAACTTGGGAGGCAGAGAGTCCATCAAAGAGGGACGTCAAGGTCGCACGTAGGCGCTCTTCCGAGAAAATCTCTTCCAACCCAAGCTGCTCCGACCGTATCTCAAGGCGGTTGTCATCATCGGCCAGTACACTCTCTAAGCAGAACCGGTTCAAGCGATAGCTCTTCAGTGCACTGCTGAGTCTGGCGCTTTGTCTCCACAAATTGAGATCTGTATCATCCCGCTCTAGTGCATCTGCAAAGGACCCCAAAGCTTTCCTCGATGCCTCCGTTATTTTGGTCGTCGTTTCGATTGCTGTGTCGGGTTCTTGTGGAATGGCTCGAATGGACTCATGAAGCGCATCAAGGACGTACTTTCCGTGGTTCTTGTAGGAGAGGTAGAGGGTCTGGAAAAGGCTTGACGTGGAATCATTAATGTTGAACTCTGTAACAACCTCTGCGGGGCCTTCATCAATGGCTGCCACAACTTGCGCATCTGACTCTGCTTCACGTTTGAAATCCGAGATTGATTCAGGGTATTTAAAGATCTCCGATTTGAGGAGAGAATCGTATGCCTCTGCAGCTTGGGCGTAAAAGTCCGGACCTTGAGAATGAAGCTTGAGAGCGGTTTGGTAAAGCTTCAGGGCCTCTTCGATCTGAAGTTCCTTAGTATCGTCGACCTCATCCTCAATGGCGTCGTCCGGCTCGACGTTCAATGCGACCCAGCTCGCCATGGTCGAGCTCTCACGCTGAGATTATCAAGGACAGATAAATGAAGGGGTAGATAGCAGGAGAATCATTGCCGACCTTTGTTCTTAACCTTGAAAGGTCAGACCCGATATGACAAACCTGCTTAAAGTAGAAATCCGCTCAAAGACAGCTCATAATCGACGCCAAACGCGGGTTCCAACTACCGCGCGTGGCTGCCATATTAGGCAAGGGTGCTCTCTCCGCCTTTGTTGCCTGATGGCCTGAAGCTCTTTCGCACTGTTGAACTGATCATCCCCTCACTCATCATTCGTGGCATTTGATTGTCTTTTTTTTGACGAATTAAACCAGTCTCTTTAACTCGTCTGACTTGCTTTTTGCTTATATTCTTTGTTGATTTAGCTGCGCATTTCGTGCAGGCGCCATGGTCGCGCCCGCTGTCCCTGAGTATGTTCCTGATCCCCTCGGTTTACGTGTTCCCCGGCACTGCATGCGCATGGCCATTGCCCTCGATCGGCAGGGGGCGAACGGTGCGCAAATAACTGGGACATGTGACTAACTCCAGAAAATAATTATAGGATCCACGAGGAGGAGGAAATCTACGTTGCTGTCGATGCGCGCTCCGAGTCTTTGCAGAGCTTGCGGGAATTGGGTCCCCCGGACCTGGTATACCTAGTCAAGCAGCCCAAGGCCAATTCAACCCGCCAGGTAGGTTCAACTACATGACAACCAACCCGAGGCTTCAATTCAACTAAGAATTAATGGTTCCGGCCTCATATAGACCGGTGTATACCACCACGCAACTGGAATCGATGCCTCTTCCTCCGCTAGCCTTGCCGCCTATGTCAACACCCTTACTTTCTCCCCTCTCGATAAGACACACAAAGTTGTATCCGGAATCTACTGGTACGACCAAATGATATGCGCGACTTGCAGACCCTATCACTGATCTTCACATAGCTGCTACAATGCATTCTCCCACCTGGACATGCGAGTCGAAGTCAAGATTCCCGGAAGTTTGGAAGCCTACTGCATTGACGAACGTGGCGATAAGCGTGTGGCTACGGAGGCTCTCTGGCTGGAAACTTTTCTCTGCGCCGTACTGAGAGCTTATCTGTACGCCGATGACGGAAATGGAGACCAGATCAAAAAGATTGTCGGAGTCCGTCGCTTTAACCCAATCACCAACACGGAAATGGAACACAAGTTCCTGGATGCTGCTGAGAAATTGTTCTTCCTTGGTAGGTTCCCTAACCGGCATTGAACATTCCCACTTACTCACAGTTCAATAGGACGTCAACTCAGCTCCGATCCCGAAACCCAAGTTCCGAACACCGTCAGCAATCACCTCACATCGGGCATTCTCAAATACATCCACACGACCGGTCGTTACACATCTGGCATCAACTTGTTTGAGAAGCTGCGTACAAGAGATGTCGAAGTTTCGTCCCTCCTGGCTCGGGTACAGTTGATGGCCGACGAGGAGGTTCAAGCAGTGCGGCTTATGTACGACGCTTTGCAAGATGTCCCCATGGACTACGCACTGTTAGACTGCCAAGCATCGTTTTGCCAGACTAAGGGCGAGGGAGAAATGGCACTGGAGTGTGCTAAACGGGCCGTTACAGCTGCCCCCAGCGAGTTCAGCACTTGGGCTCGACTAGCAGAGGTTTATGTCAGCTTGGAACAGTGGGATTTGGCACTTCTAACCCTTAACTCCTGCCCCATGTTCACCTATCAGGATAAGGATACTCCGCGCATGCCACAGCCGTCTCGTATTATGCTTCCTATCCTTTCAGAGAGCATCCTCGATGAAATTGATGAAGGTCAACCCAAGCAAGGCGATCCCCACGACTACATCCATCCCTCCCTTCGGAAGTTACACGCCGCTGGCTACCAAGGAACATTCCTGAAGGCCTACAACATTTTGACAAAGGTCGCCGCGGCGATCGGATGGGATCAATTACTGAGAGCTCGAAGTGAAGTGTTCGTTATGGAAGAGGAATACCGTGTTGAGCGACAACATGTGCCTAAACCTGCGCATTCGCTCGAAGCCGAAACCAATGGTGCCATTGTTGATAAGGATAACGAGGAAGATTCCACATCCGTCTCGGGTCCTGGCCCAGCAGAGTCTTCCACTGGGGCTGCCACGAACGGTACCAGCGACAAACCTCAGGGCGAAGACACCATTGAGCGTCCTGAGCAAACAGTTGCTTCGGAGGTGGTCAAGTCGGGTAATGATGATGTAAGTTATATTTCAAACGATACAGGTCCACCCAGATATACTAATAATCATTTGCGCAGCCGGACCCTTCGCACAGCGCATACACACAGTTCCGCCACAAGCGTCTGTGTGAGCGATGGTTAGATAACCTGTTTATGGTTCTGTACGAGGACCTCCGTATTTACACCATTTGGCGAACGGAAATGGCGCAATTCCGCCAGCAGGCGATAGAGTACAAGAAGTCCCCCGCCGAGTGGGAAATTCTAGGCGAGCTCGCCGAAAGACTTCACCACTTTGACGAGGGTATTGAGGCGTATCAAAGCTGTCTGGCGACTCGCTTCTCCCCCAAGGCCATGCGCGGTGTTTTGAAACTATACGAGCAGAGGAATGATACACGGTCAATTCTGGGTGCACTGATTCGTCTGATCGCATGGCAATACCGCTGGTACTCCGAGGTAAGCATTCTAACTACAGTAACCCCCCTTCAAAACATGTATCGAGATACTAACCTCTCTAGTTCTCACCGGAGCTGTTGTTCTTGATGCGCAAGCTCATTGAGGATGAGGGTGCCGTCAAAGTACGCAGTATTGTGCAGGCCACCAACTTGCCTCAGCCTGTCCTGGATCTCACACATCAGTACTGCCAGTTGTGCGCAACATTCCGAAGCAGTGGTAGCGATACTTAAAATTGGATGCTAGTAATTGTTGTGTTCTGTCGGCAGAATCGAAGCCTTTCTACAGCCATGCCTGTCCGGTGACTGGTTAACATAAAGCAGCATCCGAGGTTTAATGATGGTCATTCACGAGGCTTGTTGTTCTCTTATTTCTTTCGTGTGTTTCCTACTCCAAGGTTTGCCAATGAAATCTTCCTAGCGTATTTTAGATGGTATATAAGATAGTGGACGATATTCAAATATTCTTTACATACATGTATCCATAGATCCAAAGTCAGGAGACCAGAATATAGCCGTATAAGTTTAAATGTCGTGCAAATCAAAATAACATTTGAACAGCTATGGATGGAATATTAAAATGGCAGCTGCAAAGGACCTTGAAGGTATTTTTACAGAATCTTACCGCATGTAATGCCAAGTCTCTCAAGTGCTTTCAATGTTTTTTAACTCTTACCTACTACTCCTATTGATGTCAACTGGTAATTACACATGTGCAGAGAACGATCGATCTTGACCTTGGAACCGTCAACCAGTATGCAATGTGAACATTTGAAAATTGAAAACAACGGTGGAAACTACTTGAATATGAGACGCAGCTCCCGAAAGTTATTTGAAGAAAGCCAGTAGAATATCTCATTACATATGCCGTCAAAATTGGGGCCTCGGTACTATAGATGTCGTATATCAAGCATGGAAATGCAGATAGCACTCCATCATACATCACAGTCATTTTATAAGAAACCGGCGCAGCCGACAAGCCAACATGGCCTGGACTCTAGATAATTTATTCCTCGTCCTCGTCATCGATCTCAACCAAATCCGATTCTTTAGGAACAACATCACCCTTGGCCTTGACAGCAGCCGCAGCAGGACCACTCATCTCTGCGGTATCATCCTCGTCTTCATCTTCCTCATCACCCAAGTCCACCTCCTCTTCCTCATCATCTTCACCCTCGAGTCCCTCCTCCTCGACCTTATCGCCATTGGCAGGTTTGTCATCACCAGCGGGCTTAGTCTTTTGCTTCTTGGCTGCAGGAGGGCCTGAGGCGCATAAGTAAACTAGTTAGCAATTGAGCGCTACCAGGATTACCAATGCTTCTTTCTGCAGATAGTAGAATCGTACCTTCGTCTTTGCCTTCTTCCTCTCCCTCCTCGTCTTCATCGGAGTATTCTTCGGCTTCGGCTTCTTCGTCGCCCTCACCCTCGTCACTCAAGCCTGCTTCAACATCCGAGTCTTCATACCTAGTGATGCGCGCACGAGGTTAGCGGGAACTCCGTGGATTCCGAGGGATTATTCTCGGTGGATCTGAAGCTTGGGGGCCATTGCGCTCAATGCGCGACCAATCAGGGGAGGAATTGGGGTTGCATATGGGATTTGGCGCAATGTGGTACATAGCTTGGAAATTGGGTGGAATAGAGTCGGAAATAGGATACTCACTCTTCTTCCTCTTCACTATCATCGCTGGGAAGGGCTTGGAGCTCCTCCTCGGCTTCATTCTTTCTCTTGCGAGTAGACATGTTGTGGATTTTATGAAGTATGGAAGATGGGGCTTCGAAATTGAGGCCGAGGTTAAAGTATAAACAAGGATTTTTGGGAAGTGAGAGGTGAGAGAAGAAAGAGGGAGGTTAAGTACGGAGTAGAAAAGAGACGGATTCAGCCTCGCTACGGGGGGGATTCTTATAAGACTACGGGAAGAGAGTGGCAGTTACCGGAGCTTTGGGAAGGGGGGAAGAACGTCAACCAAGGGAGAGGGGGTGCATAAGCTGAGGTGACGACATGGGAGTGAATCAGAGTGATAGCTTACACTGCGATTTTGTGGAGACAGGAGTGCGTGGCTAATGTGAGAAATTAGTGCGTGTGAATATGGCCCTGGCCCGTAGGCCCCGTACTTTCTGGATGATGGGAGGCTGGACTCCTCTTTTTCCTGTTCTATTTACATTCCACTTTCCCCCAAAAGTTGCTCAGACCCCCTAGGGGGTGTGAGAGGGACCCTGGCTCTGTGTCTCTGTGTCTCTGTGGCTCTCTTTTCTTTTTCTCTTTTTTTTTTTCTTCGGCTTTCCCCCTCCCCCCTAAAAAAAAAGACCCCTGTCACACATAACAAGAGCTTACTGCGCCAAGAAATCAAAACTTGCCATGCTCGGGTCTAGTAAATTCTCGTCAAGTCCAAATCCATACGTGCCGACCATATCGTAGATCAAGTCTGGCGGTGGGAATCCTTGCGCCATCGCGTTCGCGCCCCCGGGCACGTCGCGGCCGTCCACCAGACCGCCATCGTTGTTAGCGCCCACTTGCCATCCAGCCTCCCAGGTGTCGAAGCGTTCTAACATCTTACCTAACCCACGTGCAATATGCCGGGTTAAGTGTCGCTCACCAGCAGAGACACAATTCATCAGTTCAATGACCCGCTCAACAAGCAGGCGTACCTGGCGGGCGTTGATACTGAGGTAGGCCGAATTCCAATTAATAGCCACCTTGAGCAAGAAAACAGCGGAAAATGTGACCATGGTATGCGTGAAAATCGGAACGCCGACAATCGCGTCTCGAATGTCAGGCTCTTCGAGAACCATATTCAAACATGCCATGGCCGAGGAAATAGCTATGTTGGCAGATTCTTTGCGGTCCATAGAAAAAACCGGGGTGTTGGACGGTGATAGTGCACGAAGGGAAAGCGAGTTAAGTTGGAATTTGGCGAAATGGTAGTGTAGGACCACACCCTTTGAAGGGTATGTTCGTACGTACGAGCTATCACCTAAATTGGGGTTAGTCAAAAGCAAAAGAAAAAGCAAAAACGAAAGGGAAAGAGAAAAAAAAGTCGCAAGCTTACCAGAACGAGGCTGCCAGAGCAATCGCCATTGATCTACTGCCACATTGTATACCCGTAACTGGCCAAAATCCCCTTCCGTAAGGGCATGCTCCGTGTCGCTACCAAAGGTTCGGTATGCCTCAGTCAAGATCATGAACAAAGCAACTTGTGCCAATAGCCGAATGTCCCCCGGCGCTACCATCGGCATTTCAAGGAAAGTTTCGTAATTTCGGATCGCTATATCCTCGTGAATAACAGGAGGGCGTCCGTAAGCGATACTGAAATGATGGTCGCATACATAAAGCAGATACCACAGCTGAGCACGCTCATACTGATCAGTATGACCACGGATCAGTCGCTGGTAACTTTGGTGCAAACCCATCTCTGTTGCAATGCGCACCGCATGTCCAGAGAGTTTCCAGCTCAATTCAGATAGCCAAAATGCACCAACACAGAGACCTCGAATATCATCTAGCGTGTGCGCTCTGGTGAGAGCCATATTCGACACCAAAGACACATACTCATTGTAGCAACGGTTCAGAGTGGCAGTACGATTAGGAATATGGAGCGCCGCCACAGTAAGCACCGCAGCGGAAAGCAGAGTGGATGCACGACGGACGGATGTCAGATCGCGGTGCACCAGAATGATTCCGCCCCAAAGTAGCTGGTTCATGGTGCGACTGAAATATGCGAAAAGCTCCTCCGCCTCGTGAAGGGATATAAGGCCCCTTGAGATAAAGTCTTCCTCTAGTAATGTCTTTTTGGGTGCCTCGATGTGATTATTGCGCAGGTTGCGTAACTTGGTGACTTCGTACAGACTGCGCATGGGTGCCGGGACTAAATCTGGATCTTGAAGATCTGGCTCCGGAGAGGGTTCTCTGGTGACATCCATTACAACGCCTGGTCCTTCATGCTGAATCGGAAGTGGTTGCATTGCGTCAATGGATGGTCGGTGTGTATGGTGGGAGGCAGCGGGACTGGGGCCACTTTGAGCATCTCCGGTCGCAAATGATGAGAGATCAGGCAGTCCTGCCTGTCGCAATAGTTGTGACACAGCTGCCTGCAGCTGCTGCATTGAAGAAGAAGCTTGGATTTTCCAGCTAATGACAAAAATTGAGATTAGCACTCTCCTAGTATCTTTGGCTCTGCGACATTGGGTCTAAGGTGAGGGCCTCTTAAAGCTTTACGCACATCCCATCGTCGTCGACAAATTTTTGTGAAAAGTCGTTTACCACACATTTGATTCCACTGCGAATGCATTTGGTACAATTGGTTTCTCCTGCTCGAAATTCGCAACGAATTTTGTGTCTTTTACACTCGGCGCCTGGGGGCGGATTAGCTATGGGTGCACATTGGGGATGTGGGGAAAACGCCAGACTCACAAGCGCGGGCTTTGGAAATCTTTGGTGTCTGCTTCTTTGAATCTCCGGACCGAACAGATTCCTTTGGAGAATCAAGGCCAGCTTCCGTTGAAGACCGCTTAAGTGGAGTAGATGCATCCATTGCAAGGATGCTTGAGAGTGCAGTCGATGACTCGGTGATGCTCCGGGTTTAGGGGCAAAAGGTTTGGCGGGGAAGCGGAGGGACAAAGTGGGTTCCCCATACTGACCGAACCAACTTTTCTTTCCATTTCCTCCTTACAATAATCCCGACCGTAATGGCATGACCAAGCTGCTTATTTATCTTTCTCTGACTTTACATTCAAAATTTCTTTCCACCTGCTATCTAATGTGACATCTTCATTGACGCATTTGTGGGCTTAAATTGCCTTCTGTATAGGTCCCGGAATCAAGCATGACGTTGCGCAGTTTGTCGCCAACATATCGGTCTCTTCTCCGGAGCCAGCAGAAAGTGCCTGAACCAGACACATGATGGGATCCAAGCAAGGACCCTGAGGTGGCCCGGGAAGCCCATTCGCCCCACAGATCCACCCAAAACCAAGCCCACACCCGGGCAAAGTCCGGTGCGGAGGGCTAGCAGCGGATCGACCTCGGACTTCATGCGAATGCGGAGAGCAGGATATTGTTCATAAACTCTGCTAGTGAACGACATTCTCAAACATTTACGTTCAGAGCGCTCAGTTTCCCCGGAATTCTCTATTCATTATGCATATCCTTATCACTGGCGGTGCCGGCTTCATCGGTCAATTGCTCGCCAAAGAGCTCCTCAATGACCCCACATACCGCGTCACACTGACTGATATCCATCAACCTCCGATCCCCAATGGCGTCAAGTACCCACAAAATGCGACCGCAGTAAAAGCAGACCTTCTCACGGCAGCGAAGGATGTGGTGGATTCTTCAATCAATGCCGTCTACGCTTTTCACGGAATCATGTCTTCCGGTTCCGAGTCCAATTTCGATTTGGGCATGAGCGTCAACGTTGATGCCACTCGTAATCTACTGGAAGCACTGCGACATGCCTGCCCTGGGGTCAGAGTGATCTATTCTTCCAGCCAAGCTGTTTATGGTCAACCATTGCCGGAAGTGGTGACTGATAGTGTCATTCCAACACCGGAATCCTCATATGGTGCTGAAAAGATCGTTTGCGAAACACTTGTCAACGAATATACCCGCCGCAAGTTCATCACAGGCTTTACTCTGCGCTTTCCCACCATCTCTGTACGTCCCGGTGCACCCACAGCTGCCGCTTCATCCTTCCTCTCCGGTATGATTCGCGAGCCTTTGGATGGGAAAGAGTGTGTCATTCCTATTGAGGATCGTTCGTTCAAGTCATGGCTTTGCTCGCCTAAGACACTGGTCCACAATCTTCTTCTCACTCTCCGCCTGCCCGCAGACTCTGTGCCTCCACACATTCGCCAGATCAATGTGCCTGGTATCTGTGTGACTGTCCAGGGAATGATGGATGCGCTGGAAGCTGTTGGCGGGAAGGACAAGTTGGCTCTTCTCAAGGAGAAGGCTGATCCTGCCCTGATTCCGATTTTGAAGTCTTGGCCCACACAATTTGATAATTCCCAAGCTATTTCTCTGGGCTTCAAACGCGATGCATCTTTTGAACAGGCTGTGCGAGAGTATAAGGAGGCATTGTGAAGCCCATATATGTGATAAATAGAAATACAGAACTGCAAGTGACAAGTGATATAGAACTTTTTTTTTTTTTTGCCATGCATGTACTTTGTACGAGATGTGCTCAGGTGCCACCATCAACAGTTTAAAAATGCCACCTTTAAATGCCCAAGACACCCGCACGAGTGCTGAAGGCTTTGAATTTTACAATACAGCCTATGAGAGATCTAGCGCTCGAGCTCATTTTATCCTGATGAGTACACAGTAACTGAGGTTGGTATTGTACTCACTACTCAGTGCCTACTTTCATCTCCTAGTTGACTTTCAAAGTACTAAGTTCCAACCCTGGAGTCAGATAAAAAAAATACTTGTAGTCACAGGCATCCATATAGTAAAGAGGGAGATGTTGTGTTTCAAATCTCACATAAGCTAATGCCGTGCGGCCGCTGCCCGCATGTAGATCAGCGATTAGTCCATTGTTCGTTGACTACTAGTAGTACGTACACCTGTGATTATAAATCGTCCAAATACCAGAATCATAAATAGTCGTTTAGGTCGATCTTTTATTCCCCTCTTAAACTCCCTTCAATCGTAAATATTGCACTTTACACATTTTTTGTCACTATTTTCAATCAGCCATGAGCATTCCGACGAGAACTAAACAATGGGTGCTTCAGGAAAAGCCCTACGGTGATCCTGTTCTAGATGGAGAAAATACTACATTCACTTTGGACACCGCCGATATCCCAACGCTGAAAGATGGCCAAGTTCTATTGAAGACAATTTATCTGAGCAATGACCCCGCACAGCGAACATGGATCTCGCCACTTGCAGATGCCGCGCGCGCATACTTGCCCCCAGTACAGGTGGGCGAAGCTATGCATTCCATGGGAATTGCCCGTGTCGTGGAATCCCATAGCCCCGGCCTTGTAGCTGGAGATCTAGTCTCAGGCTTCCCAGGGTGGACTGAGTACTCTGTCGACGAGGCCAAAAATCTTTTTAAACTGAAGCCTCAGCCTGGTCTGCCAGAAACGCATTTTCTGGGTGCACTTGGATTACCAGGGTTCACTGCTTATTATGCTTTGACAGAAATTGTCAAGGCAAAGAGTACAGATGCCATCGTTATCAGTGGTGCGGCTGGTGCGGTGGGCAATATGGCGGTCCAGATTGCGAAGAAGATAATCGGTTGTCGAAAGGTATTTTTTAAATATGTTTCTCTCCGCTACTGATCTTTGATGTTTCTGATCTAATATTTCGGCAGGTAATTGGCATCGCTGGAACAGATGAAAAGTGCAAATGGGTGGAGAAACTTGGTGCGGATATTTGCCTGAACTACAAGTCACCTTCTTTCAAGGAGAGTCTTACCCAAGAGACGGAGGGCTTTGTTGAGATCTATTTTGGTAGGTTCTTCTGCGTCTAGGAACCTGAAATCTTGTTCCGAGGTTGACAATTGTTTGAAATTAGACAATGTTGGTGGAGAAATTCTCGACTTCATGTTGACTAGAATGGCTATGTTTGGCCGCGTTGCTGCTTGGTGAGAAATTTACGTCTACGTGTGCCCTTCTTCGTGGGGGCTAGTACTACACCGAGGTGCTAACATTGGAACACTAATACTCAGCGGGGCAATCGCGAACTACAATCGAGATTCAGACATTACAGGCCTGAAGAACTTTTATGTCAGTGTCCTGATTATCGTTTTTGAAATTTGTGTCATGGAGCTGTTCTCTAATCTTCCCACAGCAAGTCATTTTAATGCGCCTCCAAATCCTTGGTTTCATCAACCTCGACTGGATCGATCACCTCCCGGAATTCCAGACACTTGCCATTGACCAATGGCAAAAAGGAAATATGATCATTGCGGATGAGAATGAAATGGTTATTGACACCAATTTTGAGGATATTCCCCGAACCTGGATGATGCTTTATTCAGGAGGTAACACAGGCAAGCTTGTCACAAAGCTCAAAGATTAAGTTATAACAAGCGAGCCTCACACATGCATATATTTTCCAAGCATTTCCAGATTCAATCTCATCTTGGATTACACTTTGGCGGAATTCCACGCCACAGAAAGCTTGTCAGTATTACTAAATGTAGATGTTGTTACTAGTACTAAACAGTAAAATAAATTCAGCAAAATTGAGGGTGAAAAGGAACAATTAAGTTGTCCTTTCAACAACCAGTACCTGTGTGGTCGAGTTGGCAAAGCCCTCCCACATCACCCAGGTGGTCTTCTCAGAGTTAGCCGTTGGGACTTGAGAGATGGGTGCTGGTTACACCGGGAAACATCGCTCAGAAGCTAGACCTCCCTCCTAGTGCCACAGGCGCTACGAGTAGAGAGGCCCCTCTGGGCTAGATGTTTGCCATTTTAATAAAATTGACCATGCTGAATTTGAACATCCACTTTATTTGAGCTCTATCTGAATATTTTGCATGGTAAAATGAGAGAACGGCGGAGTATCGATTTCTCGACCGATGTAAATGACGTTATTCAGAAGGTACCTCAGAAGTACATACGAAAACAATCCTATCCGGGTTCGAATCCCCTTTGCCTTAAAACTTTTCTTTTCTTTTTTTTTAGTAGAAAATCGTATATATCAATTTTTATAAGCACTTGAGGATGAACAACTTCAAAGTTCACATGTGCATTGGATTTGATACCTCTATTTAAATATGTGGGGCTCTTTAAAAAATATATCTCATATGTGCATGCTTTAGCCTGCAGGACTGTCAACTAGGGCCCTTCAAATACATAGACATCTGGAGTTTCAAATGTTCCGATCGGCAGCACTTGCTTGTTCTTGAATATATACCGCGAATTATCCAACATTAAAACATTTGGAGCGAAGTTAACATGTATTAAATATGTTTTTTAGGATGACGCTCATACATTAGGCAATACAGACAGAAGGTATATACTACACATAACTTGTATGTAATTTCCCAGCATAGGATAACAACATCAATTGATTGGATGCATATGTGCAGGCATTGATTGCAAACTGGGTAGCTATATTTACCTTGTTTCCAATCAATATGGTGGTCGTGAGAGGTTTGAAGATTTTCTATGAGAGATGAAATATGCATGCAGCGTGGTAGTTATTGATAGTAGTTTCGGGGGACAAAGTGTAGCATTCGAAATTTGTTTGGCCGATCAACTATGAAAGCAAAGAATAATAATAATAATAATAATAAATTCGAAGGCTGAGTCCCCGCACCAGGAATGGAAATTATCCTAGTCCAATCCCCGTGATACTTCACTCCAAGTCGGTATGCTCAATGCCAACAGCCGTCGGGAACTTTTTGTCGCTAGCCGAATCAGAACTACCGTATTGTAGATGCTCGGGTCGACAGGCCTCAATAATTGTAGTCCCTTTGGCACTTTCGCGGACTCCCTGAGTAAAGCAACTCCATCCCTTTCCTTGGCCCTCGAATATATGATCAATTTCCTCAAGAGACAAACCTTTTGTCTCTGGATAAAAGAAGTAAACGATAGGTATAAATGACGCGTTGAAAACGGCCCCTAGAAACATGTCAGGCAAAAATTGCTCATACAAAACTGGATTGAGAAGAACGAACATATGATATAGTACTTCCAACCGATAGCAGCTAAGCTAGACGGAGTGATTGTGACGACGATTCCGTTGACTGTTCCCAGGTGCCTGTTAGATATGGACCATTTCTCTATATTATGTATGCATAGACACTTACAAAGCCAATTGGATGCAGAGGCAATAGCAGCACCTTTTGAGCGCATTTTCAAAGAGTTTATTTCCTGCGAACAGTGAGCATCATATCGGGATAAATAACGTCATCCCGTTGGTACTTACAGGCGCGTACATCCACGGGACATTAAGATAGCTGTAAAACCGATATCAGCTGGATGAAGCAATAATTCATAGTTCGCATATGTCTTACCTCATCCCAAAGGCGTCATAGAACAGACAATACATCACCACAGTCATGATGGCGCCACCTTGACCAGGCACATTGAAACCAACGGCGATCATGACCGACAAGATTGTCATAGCCGCTGCGCCACATATCAGGATGGTGCGTCTGCCAATTCTCTCAATAAACAAGACTGGCATGAACGAGAAGACCAAGTATTGAGTTGCTGCTACCGCGGCGATAATGTGCGCGGTAGTCTCTTTGACTGGGAGATACTCGACCAAGACTATTGGTAGATAGTACGCGATAGAGCTAAGTAAAAAAATTCGTCAGATTCTTCTTCATCAGTCCATGCAATCAATACTTACTTGATACCTGTCAATTGCTGCATGTACAGCACCCCAAATCCTAGAAGCATTCGACGGAGATTTTGTTGACCTCCGTTTCGGAAAAGATCCATCCATGAGCTATTATCTTCTTCCTCTATGGCTTTGCAAATTTCATCGCGGACTCGCAGGACTTCTTCGTCATTTTCATCACGATCTTGAAGCCGGGCGATGATTTTCGTTGCTTCGTCAATTGATTTGTGATTTGCTACCCACCGCGGTGACTCGACCAGGAAGGGAACACTGATCAGAAGATAAGTCGCAAAAATTAGTTGCACACAAATAGGGAAGACCCATTGCAGCTGCGATTTGGCAAATGAGGCTCCTAGTGTGATCCAGTTGGAGAGGAAAAAGCCCGTGTTGATGTTTGCGCTTTGGATTGTAAGATAGACACCGCGATTCCCTGCCTCGGAGACTTCTGATTGCCACTGGACATTAAGCGTCAGAAAATGAAACAGCCAATAATAGAAATCCGGTGTACTCGCATACCGTGGGTACAATAGAGGTCATAATGCCTACACCTACTCCCGTCACGACGCGTCCCACCATCAGATGCGGGATAACCTTCGCTGTCGCTTGAAGAATGGTTCCGACGATAACAAAAGAACATCCAACATACTAGGACTTTCAGTGAGTAGAGTATTTCGATAGTAAAATTTGGCATCTTACAATGGATTTTCTTCTTCCCAGCCTCTCGCCAATAAAGAGTATGAGAATGGACCCAAAGAGACAGCCAATATCGTAGAGACCCGTGATAAGACCTTGTTCCAATGCCTATAATGTGAGCTTCATGCAAAACCATGCTCAGGTAGGTATCATACCGATGGTTTGTTGAATTGTTCCACGAATGTACTGGAATCCATGATTCCGCCCATCACCCCTTGATCATCTGCTGACGGTCAGAAAGATACGCCAAGTAGTGAAACACGAAAATTCACATACACCCAAACAGCAGAAACCCCATACTAGTGGCGGCACTGATCCAAATATTCAGCGCTCTACCCCGAGGTTGAAACATGGCGCAGGGCTGTCGCTAAGAGCTGACTGGTAGATAGAATCTGAACAAAAGCGCGTTGAGAGTCGAATCTTGAAAGTATTCTGGATTCAATGGCTTTAATTTATACATTTTCTTTCTTATCTTTCTTTAACTCTTTGGAGATTAGTGCAATTCCATGCCCAAGTACGATCAAGTCTGCAATTGTCCTCGTGAAAGTCTAGAATCAACTATGCAAGGCTTTCGGTTTCAAGCCTCGGAATCCCCTGCATGATGAGAACCTTGCAAACGCTTAAGATAAAATAGCCGATCCCCTTACGTCCAGACCTATGTATAGTATTTTGTTGTTAAAAAAGGCCCACCAATTCACCAATCAATTCATCTGTTTACCCCAGTAGCGCCACATTGCTTGGTCTTCCAAGCGTTAATTGGTTTGATTTTCGATGAAGTTGGCTTACCAGAGCCAGGCCATGAGGCTTGAACGAAGAATTTGACTATCTCTCCAGGGCCCGAAACCTTTGGAATGTGGCGAAGTCCGACAACTCAGATTTTTATCCAGTCTAGATTTCCAGTACTCTTTAGGCATACCGCGATTTTGGCTACGCCCACACTCGGGTACCCGTACTTGGCTCGGTAACCCTAGATAGGTCGTCAGCAAAATGGCATTGGTGTCCAGTATGAGGCAAATATTCGCCTTCAAACATGAATTAGGAGCTATATTGAAATTCCCTGAGTTGGTCACCACTGATAAAACATTTGAACCTTGACTATGCATCATACAACCCCATTCAATTCATGACACTACCCCAAACGTGCAGTGTGGGGCAAATGCCGATCTCACAACTACAAGTCAACAAAACGCTGTTCCTGTCATCATCTTTGCCGCTCAAAAGGGGCCCAGGCACGATCGATCGCGTGGGCACGACCTGTTGTAATCGAGGTTTGACGTGTTTCAAGTGGTCTCGACGCTCCAGGATGGCATTTTCGGAAAATTTTTATACCCAAACAATGCGCAGAGCAAGCGCTCAAGTGCTGATCGTAAGGGCCAGTGGGTACACCCTACAGTGCTGGTACTCTTCGCTCTCTCAAACTTCCAAGGAGCCGAGCAAGTCCCAATTTGTTTGAAAATACCCTTCGATCTGAATTCGGGCTCCTTACGCAACAATGCTGTTCAAAAACCAACATTTGAAGTGTACGTATAGGGCCGTTTGTAAAAATGGGGAAGTCCATCGCCTCTTTGTTTGAGTGCAAACTACTATATGCGTGCGAAAAGAAAAAGGTGAAAGATTGAAGACAGTTCTTTTTGTGTGTCGAGACAAGGGAAGTCGACTCAGGAGAAAAGAATACATTTGATAACATTGAAGACGACTAGGGTTGAAAAGAGAAGAAGGAAAGAGGAATGACAGGAGGGAGGTACGTGTGCAAGTGTGTGAAGGCCCTGGGCTTCAAATTTCCCCTTTATTGTATGTGTCAATGCATTACGGGGGGATTTGCTGTGAAACGCGCGCTTTGGGACACACCCTAAACACCCTAAGCACCTCGATCGCCTGAAATTGGCTGTGAGACATAAGCCTGAGCTGGGATGTCAAAGCCGATGTTAATAACCCAATGAAGAATCAAGTGCAAGACTGGTAGTGAGAATAGGGGAAGTCCACGCCTTACTTCAGAGTTAGAGTGTAAAATGTTAGGCAACGCGCGGAAAAGTGAGATGAAAAAAATGGGATGAAAAACCATACCCCAGCGCAGAGTCCCCTGATTAGAGCTGAAGTCATCCAACATGTTTCAACATCGAATTTCTGTCAAAATATTCTTGGTAGCCATAAATGCTTCGATACAGAGGGCTACCATTAGTTCTACAATCCGACTTCTTTTGTTTCTTTGTTGCTGTAGATCATATGGACTCGGGTAATATTGCTCCTTGATCGAGGTCCATATCTATTTGAGACAGATAGATAACTTCAAAGGAATTGGATAATGCGTCATGGATTTTCCAGATGTCCATGATTGATGCATTCCCCCTGAATTAAGTTTGAACAAAAATATCAGAGATTCAGTCATCAAGCAAGAGGAAGTCGCCATGGCTTATTTCAATGATTTGACGCCCATGTCACCGTGTGTGGCCAGGACCTATTGATTGCTATCAGATTGATACATCAGGCTCCAAATATTTGAACTTGATGACATCGATTCAAATGGACTGAAGAACGTCGCTCAGAAATTTACTTCTGGATTTTTGTTGAACTCCATGGAGACATAATCACAAACAGAGCTGTGTACTAGTCATCAAAATTTCAAAGCTTCACGATGTTCTCCACTGAAAACCGCGCTAAATTGATCCCATCATTGCCTTGATCTATGAGACCATTGGTACTAAAGTTTTTCAATTTTGGCATGGCCATTCTAGTGCCAACTCAACCATGATGTAACAATTGAAAGTGCTGTGAAGTATGCTGTCATTAACCAATATTCTGTATAGGTATCTGCCAGGAACAGGATTCACGCTAGTATCAGGATCCGCGCTATGAACTATGCAGTCTCCACTCTAGTAGATCTTGGTAATTTTCCATTTTTCTCCACGCACGTCTTCTGCATCTGTGGTCGCGACATCGAACCCTTTACTGACGATTGTGCCCAGAGTTGCAGCTCTCAAGCCCTGGCATCTAGTCTCGAACGAGTCCATTTCCCAAATCAGAAATTGCACATCTATTTCTCATTGGCTCCATACCTTGGAAGGCATCTACCCCATGAAGCCGATCGACTCGATATAACCTCCATCTGGAAACTCACCTGATTTTAGTATTAAAGACCATCGGCGATCCCAATCACCTCTCGCCCGATAGCCCTTTTTTTCCTCCGGTTGTGGGCCTTATACGGTCCATGACTGCGGGTGACATCCAATGAAGATTGTGCTATCGTCAGCTATGCCACTTCATTCGTTTTGTCACTTGCAGAATGGCGAGGCAAACTTTGATATTGTGTTCTTTGATATCGGTCGGTCTTGATTCGTGCCCTGATTTTTGAGATATTTGCCGAAGACACGAACGGTGGAGATGATTCGAAGATTATGTCCACCGGCATAGTTCAAGGGCGACAAGATCCAGCGCTCACGCAATACCTCACTTCAACTGCTCATATTCGAAATTTCAAATGTCTAGGTGAAGCCCGGATATTCCAAATACCCCTACCTTTTAGGCTACGGCTTTTGCTATTTAAGCTCTGGTTACAGCCATGCCAAAATTCTCTCTACTCAATTCACTGGGGGTTTCACTTTGGCATATTCAACATGAAGTTTTTGAGCATCCTCATCTCTTTGACGAGCGTGGCTTCTGCTTTCCCAGTCATTGATAACCTCGATGCTGAAACTCATCACAAAGCAGCTCAGCTGGCTTCGCGAACTCTGAAAAATCTCGCCGAGAAGCCCAATCTCCGACGGCGTCAGTCACTTCCACTCCCTTCAGATGCATTGGGTCTAAGTCGCGCGGAAACCAACTGTGGTCCGACTGGCATCTGTGCCGAATTCAATGCCGAAGACCAGTATGTGTCTACGGAGGGCGAATATGCCTATGCTGCTCCTGCCGCTGATGAGATCCGCGGTCCTTGTCCTGGACTTAACGCCGCGGCAAACCATGGCTATCTGCCCCGTTCGGGAATTGCTACCATTGAAGAGACTGTCGCAGGTCTCAACAAATGTCAGTTTAGTCTCTCCTAATTATGTCATGACAATAGGCTGACCTATCCAGTGTACAATATGGGAATCGATCTAGGTGCTGCCCTTGCTGCTTACGCCGTTGTGATCGACGGCAACCTACTCGAGGGAACGTGGTCGATCGGGGGTCCCCTTCCGTCCGACCCTCTGGCAAGTATTCTGGGAACAGGTCAAGGTCTTTCTTACTCTCACAATAACTACGAGGGCGATGGTTCCATTGGAAGAAACGACGCCTACACCAACAATGGCGATGCCCACTCACTCAACATCTCCAAATTCGAAGCTGTATATGCAGTCGGTGGCAATGACACATCGGAAAATGGATACGACCAGCGCTACACCATCGACAAGTTCCGTGCTCGATACGCAGATGTTCAGGCGGAGTCCATTGCCACGAACCCGTACTATTTTACCGGTGCTTTTTCGACAGTTGTGGTTGTGCCTGCCGCGTACAACTTTGTCATTAATTTCATGTCCAACTTCTCAGCTGAGGAGCCGACCGGTTATTTGGTGTGTCGCACTCTTTCTAATGAATAGTGGTTGTATCTAACAACATCTAGGACGGTTACAACTTCAAAAAGTTCTTCGGTGTGACCGGTTCCCCTGGATCCTTTGTCTGGAATAAAGGACAAGAACGAGTTCCCGATAATTGGTACCGTCGACCCTCCACTGCGCCCTATGGTCTCGACGATGTCGTATTGGATGTCGGTATTGGATACCTCGCCTATCCAGATACTTTGAAGATTGGAGGAAACACCGGTTCGGTGAATTCCTTCACTGGTGTCGAGGTTTCTGATCTCACGGGTGGCGTGTTGGATGCTGAAAACTTGTTTGATGGTGATAATTTTGCATGCTTCGCATTCAGTCTTCTGCAGCAGGGAATTCCGGATTTCCTCAAGGGACCACTGGCAGATCTGAACAATGCGACCTCCTTCTTGGATACATACTTGTCTCCGATTTTGGACACACTTGAATGCCCAGAACTGGGACAGTTTGATCAGAGTTTGTTCAATGACTTCCCTGGTCACACTTACAGTCCAACTGGGCCGGACACAAACTACTAGATGTAACGCACTTCGACCAGACCATGGGTTTCTTGAGGGTCCGGTCGACTTTTCCTCGATATCAATGCTGGCACATGTGCATCAACCACTGGAACCTATCCATGGATGAAGAGTGAACATATTGGGGCACAATCCTGGCAGTTGGTTTATTTTAAGTATCTGATGGCACTCAGCTTAGAGTCTACGTATACCTACCGGATAAATCAACATTTCAAATTTTTCACAAAATGTTGTTTCGAATGTTTATTCAATGTTCCCGACCGGCCCAAGGGCTTATATTCAAATAATCTCGATCCATAGACGCTTCAGGTTGAACCTTTCAAGCTTCAAATGTTCATTTAAGCAATATTAGTTCTAACTTCTCAGGTTTAAGAATAAATCTGACTACTGGGCAATGTATCTACAGTATGTACTAATAAAATAAACTTGAATTTACTGAATACTTAGTAACAACATAAATACAAGAAAGGGACGGAAACATTGTGAATTTATTAGAACCGTCTTCAGTCACGAGGGTAAGGCTATACTAGCATTGGAAGTAAATTTATGGGCTACAATCTGTCCTGACTACGGGGCTTCCATGCCTGCAGGTACTATTTGTTGATCTCCGTCCCGATCGAGCGGGCCCTGGGGCAACGCAGGTGATCCATGGACCACGGTAAAGGAACAGCTGATGTGGATACTACAAGCACAAGATAACAAGGCCCCTATTCTGAAGATAGAAAAGAAATTCGCAAATGAGAAATATCAAACCTACGTCAAGTTCAAAAGTCAGCGATAAAGTAGATAGAAATAAGTCATTCACACAATATCAAGTCATAGGGCTTTGACAAGTCACGCTCATGACCGACTAATATTTAATAAGGTGTATCACGTGGCGGTTCGAGATGTTTTGGTCCACTTCCGCCCCTCACTCTCATCTCCTGCCCAAGAGCAATCCGCTACATAACCTTGCTTCATCTTGATCCATATGGGTGACTAGCTGGTTTTCAAAGCTTCTTGGCCCGACTTTTGAATATCTTTAGGAAAAAATCGAGCTTTCCCTGTAGTGAAAGCCCGCCCCTCATTTTTCCTGCGTCCCCACAAAAGCTGCCTTCAACCAGCCTCCGTATACCCAGCAGCAACGGTGGGGTTCGGACCCAGTGGGCTGCTGGGCGCTCCTACTTATACCAATCTAAAATACACTATCTTGACCGCCTCTTCCAAAGCTCTTTGACTCCATCGCGGGACTCCCAAAAGGGCAAAAAAAAACACAAATCTTGTTTATTGTGTTTTCCCCTCGATTTCAGGTTCAAAGTTTCCTTCAGCTTTCCGTTCAACCGACCAATCCTCTACGTGTTCACTGAGGAGTTTATCTTACCCCCCTTAGACACGTGCCTCAAATCATCCTACCCCCCTCTCCGTACCCCTCTGTGAGCTGCCGCCATGCCCTGCTTTAAAGGTCTTGCGGTGAGCATCCATACTCCGGATGGCGCGATCTCCGAATATTCCATTCAAAGACAGTCGCGCGCTTCCCGCATAGGCTGCTTCATTCCGGTTCCTCCGCCCAAGGTCCCTGACTCCAAGAACGGCAAACCCGAGCAATCAACGTTCGCCATTTCAATTACCCTCCTCAATCCTGGCCAGGATGTTCCCTACTCTACCCCTAAACCGACCTCCGATTGCCCATCCCCGAAACCAAAGGTTGTTGGTGGTCTACCGGGTCAGACATCCGATTCCGGCACGGTCGCGCCATATCAGCCATTGACCAATGGTCCGAATGAGACCGTGGCCGCATACATCTACTTTGACGGTAGACAAAAAGAAGAGGTGGCCACATTGCTGCGAAGAGGTGAAGAGACATGGGTGAATTCGCGGTGGGTCAGTGTGCCAGATTCCGAGGGTGGAGGCATCGCTGAGCGCGAGTTCCTGTTTCGTGAGGTTGGCCTGGAGCGCTGGCTCAATGGATTAGATCTAGAGGGTAAAGATGCCGCCGCGAAGATTGAACGGCGGCGTCAGAAGATGGAGAAACGCCGGGCGAAGCGGCTGGAAGAAGGCCAGACTGCAATGGAGATGGAAGCGAATACCTCTATGAAGCACAAGAACATCATGCGCTATGGAGGCGACGCCAAGGCACCGCTCGAGAATGTATCTGATGATGACTTCTCGGATTCCGACGACGATGACGATCCTATCCCGGAAACAACAGGTCAGATCAAGGTTGCTTTGTTCCGCGTCTTGGCTTCCGGAGAAATCAAGCGGGGCGAGTATTCACCACAATTTGATGCTCACGATGATGATGAAGAAGGAGGCCAGGAAAGTGGGAATGGGGATGGTGACATAGATCACACCACCAGTTTCGCTAAGCCCAAGTCTCTCGATCCGAAGAGCATTAGTACCCAAACCGTTACAGGCATTGATCCCACCGACAAGCCATATGCGACATTCACCTTTATGTATCGTGGAGAACGTGCGTCAACCCCTCCCATCCGTCCACCTAGAAGATTGGAATACTAATATGTGTGAGAAATAGGGCAATTGCAGAAGATGGGGATTCTCAAGGACCCTAAGGCTCAAGAAACTCCGGCGGCAAAGCGGAAGTCATTACAAGCGGACTTTTCCAGTATCGGACCCTTAAAGCCCGGTGGAACTGTTGGGTTCCTCAACTTCAGAGAGCATGAATCCGGACAGAAGGGCAAGAAGGGGGACGACGAGATGGACAGTGACGACGATGACACCGACAATCCAATCCTGAGCAAGGCCGATGACGAAGAGACCAAGGATGACAACCAATTTTTGTCTCCTGATGACATAAAACGTCAGGGCGAGCTAGAAGAGGGTGTTCGCAAGATCCGGGTAAGTCAAATCTCCAGCAAACTAGTAACTCTTCTGTGTCCATGTTCTAACAAAGCCACAGTTGAAACGCGCGCACTCTGCCGAGCCGCCTCACGCAAATGGCGATAGCAACTCTACTGGTACCCCAGCTTCTGGAACTCCACCCTCGGTCGCCGAGCGCTCTATCACCCCGCCAAAGACCATTTCGGATCCCACTGCTGGGCCCTCTGAGCCACCTCAGCCCCCGGCTGAGCCCCCTGTTGGGTTCTTGGGGAGCCCCCTAAAGAAGCAACGAGCGAGTGTTTCTATGGCCGACGAAAACGCTTTACGGCGTCGCATTGCCGAGTCTTCTGGTCGCATTAATGAAGTCCTCGGCACTGGTACAAACAATACCAACTCTGGAAGCACAGCGTCCTTCGGTGATAATATCCCGGCCGTAGAGTCGACCAATCCACCGAAGGAGGCCTCAAATGAGGATGAGGAATTGTAAATTTGACACGGGTGGTACTTCTTTTTTCTTCCTCTATTTCCTTTTTTTTTTTTGCTCAATGCCCGGCTCGCCTGGGACTTTGGAATTGATAGAGAGTCTTTTGGAGCCATGTGAACCTGTCATTGGGGTGATTCCACGCCCTATATTTTTCTACCTATTACGCCGTCATGTCTATCCAAACCAGCTACAGGAAACGTTCAGAAAGGGGGATACATTTAGCTGTGTCGCCTACAAGACGACTTGTTCATAAATTCGTAACTAGGAATGTGTCAAAAATCATATATGCACGTTCCCCATTCGATCGATCTTGGCAAATTTGCAAAACAGTAGACTTTGAAAGCTCAAGTTTTCGAACATCATCACTTTCCAACATTGAAGCATTGTGCGATATGTTCGTAAGTCTTCAACGCCTTCGACACGCGGTCCCATACAGACACAGTATTCGGAGCCGGCCCGCTCGCGTTCTCCACCAGGTGAATCAACCCGATCCGCTTTCTGTTCCTTCGACCAGGATTGACCGAAATTGAGCAAGATAGAGTGCACCAACATCTATTCAATCCAAAATGGCTCTCACGCGCTCCTCTGACCCTTTAGTATGGATTGACTGTGAAGTAAGTGATTATCGCAAGAGTTGCAAGTTGGAAGCCGCAAGCTTCAACCACATTGAAGAGGCTGAGAAAAGACGGGGAAAAAAAGCTCACCAGCCCAACTAGATGACCGGCCTCGACGCCGAAAATGATTCAATTCTTCAAATCTGCTGCTTCATTACCGATGCCCAGTTACAACTCCTGGAGCCCAACGGATTTGAGACTGTCATCCACCACTCCGACTCCACCCTCAACAGCATGAACCCGTGGTGTATTGACACGCACGGTCGCACGGGCCTCACGGCGGCCGTCCGCGCCTCGACCACAAGCCACTCCGCTGCTGCTGAGTCTCTGCTGGCCTATATCCAACGTTATGTGCCAAACCCTCGTACTGCCCTGCTGGCTGGGAACAGTGTGCACGCCGATAAAGCATTCTTGGTCCGTGGTCCTTATGCTCCCGTAATGGAGTACTTGCATTACCGCATCTTGGATGTAAGTACCATTAAAGAGGCAGCGAGACGGTGGGGTAGCGATGAGCTATTGGCCTCTGCTCCACCGAAACGGGAGGTGCATCTGGCAAGAGATGATATCTTGGAGAGTATTGCGGAAATTCGCTATTACAAAGAAAAGCTGTTCAGCTAGAGATATGTTAATGTTATGATTGGATTGTTTTTTCTTCTTTAACACCAAAATGTTGGATCTTCAAATGTTGGCAGGTTAAAAGTTGCTGCCAACTTTACTGGAGCTCTGTGCCCCGCGCCGTTGCTCAGGGAAAAAAAGGAAAACAACTTTGGCAGCTTCCTGAAAGTCAATGCCAAAACTTGTATTGGTAATAATTAGTAGATACTAAGACAATTAATAACAGCTATGATCAATTACAAGCTCCAAACCCCGTTTTAAAATTGTCCAATTGGTAGGGATTCAGAGTCCAAAAAAACGCCATGTTTTAAATTCGGGGCAGTGGGATGATCAACACATGACGCCAAACCCCTCTTCTCCGAGTCGGTGAACTTCTTCTCTTTCTACTTCACCAACTTTCCAAGCTTTACATCATGTCGGTTCAAACGGTCTCCTTCCAGTCTTTCACTGACCAGAAGCCGGGCACGTACGTTACCACTCCTTTTTCTTCTCATCCTCGCTAACAAATACCTTCCAGTTCTGGTCTTCGCAAGAAGGTCAAGGTCTTCCAGCAGCCTCATTACTCCGAGTCCTTCATCACTAGCACTCTTTTGTCCATCCCTGAGGGTGCTGAGGGTGCCTTCCTCGTCATTGGTGGTGATGGCCGTTACTACAACCCCGAGGTGATCTCCAAGATTGCCCAGATCAGTGCCGCTTACGGTGTCAAGAAGCTCCTGGTGGGCCAGAATGGCATTCTCAGTACCCCTGCGGCCAGCAACCTTATCCGCATCCGCGAGGCCACTGGTGGTATCTTGCTGACTGCCAGTCACAACCCTGGTGGTAAGTGACAAAACACCCTCAATGCTCCTCTCCTTTCCCCTCCCTTCCCCTCTTTCCGCGCCAAAGGTCAACTTGCTAAACAACCACTTCTGTTTAGGCCCGGACAACGACTTCGGTATCAAGTACAACCTGTCCAACGGTGCACCCGCCCCCGAGACTGTTACCAACAAGATCTACGAGACCTCCAAGACCCTCACCTCCTACAAGTATGTTGACGTTGGTGACGTCGACACCTCCATCATCGGCACCAAGACCTACGGTCCCCTCGAGGTCGAGGTTGTCCACTCCACCGCGGACTACGTGACCATGATGAAGGAGATCTTCGATTTCGACCTGATCAAGGACTTCCTCAGCACCCACAAGGATTTCAAGGTGCTCTTCGATGGTATGCACGGTGTGACCGGCCCTTACGGAGTGGACATCTTCGTCAAGGAGCTCGGATTGCCTGCTACCAGCACCATGAACTGCGAGCCCAAGCCGGACTTTGGCGGCGGTCACCCGGACCCCAACCTCGTGTACGCGCACGAGCTTGTTGAGGCCGTCGATAAGAACGGCGTGCACTTCGGTGCCGCCAGTGATGGTGACGGTGACCGTAACATGATCTACGGTGCCAACACTTTCGTCTCCCCCGGTGACAGCTTGGCTATCATTGCTCACCACGCGAAGCTTATCCCCTGGTTCCAGAAGCAGGGTGTCTACGGTCTTGCCCGCTCTATGCCCACTTCTGGTGCCGTTGACCGCGTCGCCAAGGCCCAGGGCCTCGAGAGCTACGAGGTGCCTACCGGTTGGAAGTTCTTCTGCAACTTGTTCGATAACAAGAAGATTTCCATCTGTGGTGAGGAGAGCTTCGGCACTGGTAGCAACCACATCCGTGAGAAGGATGGTGTCTGGGCCGTTGTCGCTTGGTTGAACATCATTGCTGGTGTCGCCAAACAGAAGCCCGAGGAGACCCCCAGCATTGCTTCTATCCAGAACGACTTCTGGAAAACCTACGGTCGTACTTTCTTCACTCGTTACGACTACGAGAACGTCGACAGTGATGGTGCCAACAAGGTTGTCGCTACTCTGGCCGACGTGGTTGCTCAAAGCAGCCCGGCTGAGATTGACGGTCGCAAGATCGTTGATGCTGGCAACTTCTCCTACACTGACCTTGATGGCAGTGTCTCCAAGAACCAGGGTCTTTACGTCAAGTTCGACGATGGCAGCCGTATTGTCGTGCGTCTGTCCGGCACTGGCAGCAGTGGCGCTACCATCCGTCTCTACATTGAGCGCTATGAGAGCGATAGCTCCAAGTTCGGTCTCAATGCTCAGGAGTACTTGAGCGAGAACATTGCTTCGGCTCTGAAGCTCCTCAACTTCAAGTCCTACGTGGGACGTGAGGAGCCTGATGTCAAGACCTAAGCAGCGAACTTTGGCCTGCTAGATACCCGCTGGATGGGGATCACAGCTTTCTTTGTTCTTGATGCGAGAAAACGATGTGACGACCGCAGAAGCAACGTATGATATAGAAATAGCAATATTTGGTTCTAGTAATATGATGTCCATTCTGCAGCGTTTACAAAATTGTTTTGTATGAAATACTGTAAGTAGCCTGCTTATAGCAATTATCAAGCGCAAATCATTAATTCGTAATGTCGTGATATCATAGTAGTAATGAAAGCTTAAACATAGAAGTATTCACACCTTCAACCCAACAGCTGAAGCCCTCAACTTCTCCTCCCACCAATCTCCCCAATGAACCACCCGCTCCTCACGTCTCGCCTCCTCGGCGGCGAAGACAACTGCATGGCTTCGCACTGCCTCCTCCAATGTACACCCCACGAATCTAGCCTGTGCAGTCTGGATATCCATTCCCCCATTCACCACGGCTTCAACAGCAGCCACATACTGACCCGCGAGGCCATAATCACCACCACCATGCGACTCAGCCCTCTCAGGCGGCGGCTTCGGTACATCATGAACAGTAGTCTCCGCGCACGCAAAATCATAGACCGAGATCCTAAGACTATCGTACTCAATCTCACCCTTCGTCCCATAAACCCGACCTCGTCGCGAACACTGGCTCTCCGTCGGTGCAATCATATGAAACGAAGCCGTCTTCGCCAGCCGATGCGGCGAACCAACCTCATCATCCCACTTAATAGTAACAACCTGATCATCAACAACATTATTATCCGCCTCATAGACACACCGCCCATACCACGGTCGCCCAGCTATCTCGGCATCAGAATGCGTCCGAACATCCCAGTCCTCGCCCAACTTAGCAAGTAACCGCGCCTCCGCAGCGCCCACTCCCCCTTTCCCCTTATACCCATCCTCGATATCAGGACAGACGATATCCACCGGCCACCCCGTATGCCCCTTCGCAAGGTGCCGATTATTATAGATCCGCACGGCACTATAATTGCACTCCCTCTCCGCAGGACAAGAGAGACAGTTCGTAGCACCACCCGCCGCAAGCGGTTTCCTCGCGCGCCGGAACTGCGTCAACGAGCCCGCTGACGAGATACTCCGCGGCAAATGCGGTTTCAAGCCGCCGTCTTCTGCATTCTCAAGCGAGACAGGCGAACACAGCAGCCACAGGATAAAGTCGATATCGTGGCATGATTTTGTTAGAAGCGAGCCGTCTCCTGCGGCTGTCGCGCGGCGCCAGTTGCCGCGGACATAGCTGTGTGAGAAATGCCACCAGCCGACGGGCTCGGTATGTTCGATCGAGACGATGTCTCCGATAGCGCGGTCTTCGAGGAGGATCTTGCGAAGTACTTTGTTATGCGGACTGTAGCGGAGGACATGTCCAATTGAGAAGATTGTTGTCGGGGCCCGGGGTTGCTGGGCTACGCCCTCGGGTGGTTGCAGGGTCCGGTAGACGGTTAAACAGTCGTCCAGGGAAAGGGCGAGAGGTTTCTCGCAGAGAATGTGCAGGTTTAGTGGGGCAATGGCTTGGATGATTTCGACGTGGGTCTCGTCTAATGTGCAGATGAAGACGCCGTCTACGCCCAGTGGCACAGTTGCATCATTGGTGTTTTGGATGGCTTGTTTCCGTCGCTCTGTTTCCCAGTGCACCCATTCACGCCAGTCTGAGAACTCCTGCCCCTCTGTAGATCCGTGCGCGCCCCAGATATAGTTCTGGCCGAACTCGCGCCGCTTAAAAGCGTGTGGCTCGGCAACGGCGTGGATGGTACCTGGTGTTGTTCTTGTGACGGCACGGGCATAAGCATTTCCTCGGGACCCAGCGCCGATTACAAGGTAACGGGTTGCTCGCTTTGCTGAGTCTGGAGTGAATGCTTGAGCCATATCTTGTAAGTTGTGATGGGAGCGGGTCTTCGAATTGAAACTTGTGTTTTAGTGAGGACTGGGCTTAAATCTGACGATTTAGCCTTGGAAGGTGACAAGCTTTCTCCACCTGGATGAATCCTCGGTCGAGTTTATATACCGGAGTACATTCAATACGAGGTTCCAGGGTTGCACTGCAGGCTGTTATTATAGTGCGGGGAGAAATGGAACATCAGCAAGATCGGGCGGGCGGTGATTGGCGCACACTCAGCTCCAGGGCTGGTCTTGTTTATCTTATCGCGGCGTATATTTCCCCACAATTTCACTGCCGGGTTGACATGATCCCCGAGCGGGGTCTTCGGCTTGCCATCCCATTGTCATCTCTTCGCTTTACGACGATTTGCTACCTTTGCCGACCTGGTCATGTACGAGCGACAAAGAGTATGGCGTGCCTGTCAAGCATGCCGTCGGAAGAAAGTCAAGTGCGATGGAGAACATCCTTGCCAAAGCTGTACCCGGAACCAATCCGAGTGCGTCTTTGAGCAATATAATAACATGAGGCTAGTAGATCCACAGTGAGTAACTCTTGATTTACCAGACAAAGATATACTATTGTCGACTCGAGGCCTTTGAAACCATCAGGGCACCCTATCAATATTGTCATTACCTTGGCGAAGCTGACTGTTCATAGATATGTTAAGAAGCTTGAAAATCGGCTCTCTCAGATGGAGACAGAATTGAAACAGCGTCAATCGGATCAAGAGAGCAGAAATCCCATTCTGTTATCCGAACAGCAGTCTCGAAATATTCCCGTTGCGAGTTTCGATTATCAGAATTCTTGTCTGCCGATTCCCGATGGTGCTTTATCCGACCCGACGGATGACTTCTTAGCACCATCTGCCGATACAATCACCCCAGTACCAGCACCGCAACTATCGAGTATACCTCAAGAAGCTGAGAACTGTAATTCAAGCACCCCAATCGAACCATCTTTTAACAATGGTAGCCACCAGCATGAAAATGAAGTCGCAATGCTTCCAGAACCCAATACAGTTGATGTGACTCAATTGCAAGACCCTATTATGGAATTATTCATCGACATCTTCTATCACTCTATCTACCCAATTTTCCCTATAATTCCTTACCGAAATCTACGTGCTCAGTACGACCACTGGCGGTCTTCCCGTGGCAAAAACGATTATCGGGAAGGTGATACCGATTTTCCCGCTTTACTGTACGCATTGCTCGCCGTGGCTGCATCGTTGACCCCTAAACACCACGCTGTTTTCGACCAACCGGGCTTGGGTATTTACAAAGAAATGGATTTGGGAGAGCTGCTTCACTCTCACGCTACATTTCTTGCTACCAGGAGTCCATATCGAAGGAATACGAGATTTCCCATGAATATTGTCATTGCCCAAGGCCTCCTCAGTCTCTATCTTACCGAAGCTGGGAGAGTGAATGATGCATGGGTCACTGCAGGTCACGCAATAAGATTATATCAAGGACTGGATTTTGAAGATGTTGGAAATGAGTCTGTCTCAGACAAATTGCAGGAACACAAGAAGCTCTGGTGGTGTTTATACATTCTGGATCGTTCCTTATCTACAGCTCTTTTGAAACCTCTGGCCATCGATGATGCAGACAGTGATATCGAATCTTACGCTGATGAGCAAGAGCCACCTCGAAGCTACGCAAAATCCGACCCTTGGTTCTCAGTGGTCGCAGACTTCCATGTAACAATGGGCCGTATATACCGGTCTGTACGGTGTATTCGCAAATCTCATCCCTCTAAAAATGCCAAATTGAGAGATACTCTTCGGTCGGAGGTGAAGAGGCATGATGCTGAGCTGGAAAGATATTACAGAAAGCAGGTTTTGCCCAAGATGGAACAGCCGGCTCATCAGATCGAGCCTCTTGCGCTACAAACAATTGCAATCTCATCATACTATATTGGAGTCGTTCTTCTTTACCGGACATTTATCGAGCGGTTGAATATCACGGAACCCACGGCTTTCCTGCGTTGTGCCGAAGCGGCTTCCAACTGCATCAAAGTCACACCCCAGGTCATCGCGACTGTCCCTGCTAGCCATTTTGTTATTCAACAGAGTCGAGCAATATATGCAAGTGTGAAGGTGATTTTGCATTGTATGCGTCTGGCTCGCAATCCAAGCTTTACCAATAAAGCCTGGTCAGATGTTGAAAGTGGTTTTAATATGCTACGAAATCTCAAAATACAGTGGCCGGAGATCAAGAAATATCAGGCTCTCACTGAGGAGGACATGATATCTACGCAGAGTGACCTTGCCAAGTATGACCTTTTTTACCATACTTTCAGTCAATACGGACAAGCGGAACAAGGACGGGGAGACATATCGCCTTTCCCTATTGCAAGTCCCGTTCGCAATGAAAGGCAACCTGGAGGCTCTGATTCAGATGTCACCCTTCATCGTCAACCGATAAGACAGCCTTTTGGGACAACAGACTCGACCTTGTCTCGGAGCAGCGAGTCTTCTGATCGACAATCGAAGCGTCGCAAAGTGACCCCCGATTCCTTTTTCCCCTGTGATCCTACGGCTATATTGCATCTGCTGCCGAACTCTGAAGAGCCTCAAGACTATGAGCCACCCAGCATGGGTATGAACGATGACCTCTCTGATCCACAGTCACTTTTCATGGGTCTTACTGCAGACCCCTTTGATGAGTCAATGCTGCTTAGCTCCATCGAGCAATTTTTGTCTTACCCAAGCGAATGATCCCCATGGAGATTTGTTCATGTTCATGTATATTATTCAGCGAACCTTCTTTGACCAGATGCAATGGCAATTGTCATACATTCTATACCATATCTCAATTTATGACCAGTGGTGAACGCGCTAATGAGCCGGCGCAATCTGACCACACGAACTACACTTCCGACTTTCTGCATTCTCCATCCAATCTTCAATAACATCTTTAAGCTGTGTTTCGATATCCTCACAGTAAAACTGTTCTTCCCGAATAACCTCAGGTGTCTCCCCATGAGCATCTGCATTTTCGCAATACCATCGAATGCGATCCATGCTTCGCAGAGGGCGCGTACGTTCCATCACAAGCCCTACCGTGTCTTTATACCTTCTCGGAGAATGGGGGACATTGGCTGTATGAATGAAAAGTTGAGCATTAGATTCAATGCCAGTTGCGGGTCAGGATTCAGGTATTCATCGCACCAGGTAAAAGAAAAGTCTCGCCTTCTTGAATTATAATATCGCGGAAGTGGGTCTGATTCTCAACGATCTTCAGGAGCATGTCTCCCTTGACTTGGAAGAACCATTCCTAGATCCAGAAAGTCAGATAAATCATAATTCAGTTTGGCGCTTGCGTATGTAGGTAGCACTGTAGGTACCTCTGTTTCATTAACTATTCACCAGGAGATTTAGCATTCGTTCCAGTATCCTGTACCATGCAAGAATTCCCCAGTGCACTGAAGATACTTACTGTGGTAGTCATTCCTGGTATTCGGTCCCCCCACAGCCATAAGTATAAAGTCCTTCCCAGAATAGAGACATGAATTGTTTACTGGAGGTTTCAATTTATCCGCATTCATCGATATCCATGAGGATAAGGAAAAGGGACCCGGGATAGAGGCTTGGGTGCTTGAATGTGTTTCGATGGCCATTGTTGGGGGTAAAGTGCTCATCCGGCTCCAGTGTGTGAAGTATGTCCAGGTGGGGTAGAAATATCTCTTAAATGATGGGTATTAAGATAATCCCTTTGCACCTGAATACCGTATCATCTAGATCAGCAGTGCTATGGGTACTGGCGAGGACTCGAGCCGCAACGGCCTCCGATTGATCGCCGGATCTATCCGAGACCCACTTCGGGGGGAAAGAGAGTATCATTGCTTGTTGAGCTGAAATGGATGATATAGAAAGGATTGAAAAGATAGAAAAAAAGTCCAAAGAAACAATATCTTATTCAGATTGCAAATCTGAAGCCTTTAAGCGCCTACTACTATCTTCATTAAAAAGTTATTTTTGCAAAGTCCACCCGAACTCAATATGACAGTCAACTATGGCTGTTGTACCTGCTCTTCAAGGAGCACCCAGAGCCAGGGAAATGGAGAGCGCGCCGCTGGCTCCTTCAAAATCGACATGCACACCCATATAATGCCACCATCTCTCCCCGATTTCTCCAAGTCACACGGCAATCCCGACGAAAACGGACACGACTGGATGACTCTCCGACCACATCTTTCATCGAACAAAGATTATGAAGAGTCCGAAAGTTACATCAACAATGGTGCCCCATCATCTGTCTCTCCCAAAGTTGATATGTTCGTCGGCGACAAATTCTTCCGAACTGTCGAGCCGAATTGTTTCGACCCAGAAGTACGTACCGCAGAGATGAATGCGACGGGTGTTGATATCCAGATCATCAGCACGGTGCCAATATTATTTTCATACGACAAGCCAATGAAGCCCGCGGGAGCCTTGGCTCGATACCTCAATGACCATATTGCGTCCGTTTGCCATGACCGCCCAAGTCGGTTTGTAGGACTAGCTACAGTCCCGTTGCAAGATGTATCCGGTTCTATCGTGGAGCTTCAACGAGCAAAGAATCTCCTTGGTCTGAGAGGCGTGGAGATTGGAACGGAGATCAACGGGAAGACGTTGGATGATGAGGATTTTGAGCCCTTCTGGACGGCGTGCGAGGAGCTGGACTTCCCGATCTTCGTGCATCCACTCGGGTACGAGCTTGAGAGGGAGAATAAGAATCGATGGGGAAGTTACTGGTCCGCGTGGCTAGTAGGAATGTCAGTAATGTCCTCGAGAATCTATGTACTGATATACTAGTATCCGCTGCTCCTACTGACTTGACTCCTGTTCAATGTTATCTAGGCCAAGCGAAACAGCACTGGCTATGCACGCCATACTCTCTTCGGGTGTTCTAGTCCGACATCCCAAGTTACGATTCTGCTTTGCGCATGCCGGAGGTGCTTATCTTCCTCTCCTTGGAAGAATTCAACACGGTTACGACTGTCGACCTGATCTAGTAGCACATCGCTCGCAGGGATTATCGCCAGAGACATATTTTCAGTCCCACCAGCAGAATATTTGGATTGACAGTTTGGTCCATGATCCGGACTTGCTTGAATTCATCTGCAAGAAGATTGGAGCTGATCGTGTAATTATGGGAAGTGATTATCCGTTTCCGCTTGGGGAGATGCCGGTTCCTGGTAAGATGTTGGCGAGTGATAAGCAGGTTGCTGAGCTTTTCTCGTCCGAGGCGAGGGCAATGATGCTGTATGGAAATGCGATCGAATTTTTGGGGTTGCAGGATATTTTTAAGAGATTTTATTTACACTCTTAATTGTCTTGATTACAAGAATTGTATATACAAGTTCCGGATTTATGAAATTCAAGATTGTTGAGTGTGTTCAAATGTCTATCATTTACTATATTCCGCAACTCCGCAAAAAGCCGTTCGGACTCGCTCCCTATTGGTCAGTGTATATCCGCACTATGTATAACGGTATAACCACTTGACTCTTGAGTCTCGCGAAAGGAAATAAACAGAGAACCTACAACGATCACCCACTTGATTGCTGCCAGAAGTCAAAATGAGTACAATCTCCGAGCTATGGAAGCTCGATACCTTAGATGCCGCCAAAGAATACCTGACCTGCCCAGAGAATAATCTGCATCTACAAAACTTCATCGATAATACTTTCTCCCAACATGCAGATTCCAACAATTGGATTGACTCGTTCAACCCACCAACCGGGGAGCTCCTAGCCAAGCTCCCTCGAAGCGGTGCATCCGATGTAAGCCGCGCCGTCAAGGCTGCCTCGCAAGCGTTCCCGTCTTGGTCGAACACCCCGCGACAAGAAAGATCAGAGATCCTTCTTCGGATCGCCGCCATCATCCAAGACAAAAAGGAATTGTTCGCGGTATGGGAAAGCATTGATCAGGGAAAGACGTTGGCGCGGGCCCGAGTCGAAGTCGACCGTGCGGTGTCGAATTTCCGGTCAGAACACTGTTTCCTTGATTTAATTGATTTAATTTCGTTACGAATACTGATTGGTTTTTGTGTTACATATTCCAGATACTTCGCGACTTACATCCTCCACGATGAAGGCTCAGCACGCTTTGTTGATGGCAATCCTTCCACCCTCACATACGAACACCGCTCGCCCGTCGGCGTCTTCGCGCTCATCTCACCATGGAACATGCCACTATACCTCCTCACATGGAAAATCGCCCCATGCATTGCCTTCGGTTGCACAGGTGTCGCAAAACCCAGCGAAGTAACTAGCATGACCGCATTCCGTACGTTATTCCTACAACCAACAAATCTATCAAGTTCCCCCGACTCCCGACTGACCAAGACATTCTACTAGTACTCGGCGAAGTATTCCGACAAGCCCACCTCCCACCCGGCGTGATGAACATCATCTTCGGCGACGGCCCAGTCGCCGGATCAACACTTGTCAAATCACCGCATGTCCGCGGCGTCTCGTTCACAGGCGGCACAAAAACAGGCATCAGCATCCGCCGAGACACGATAGAAGATATCGGCAAACATCTCTCCCTAGAACTAGGCGGTAAAAACCCGACACTTGTCTTCGACGATGTCGATCTTGACCAGGCAATTCCGACAGCCGCACAAGCCGCGTTCGAAAACAGCGGACAAATCTGTCTGTGTGGATCACGGATCTACGTCCATCGCGCTATCTACGAGCGGTTCCTGTCCGCCTTTGTCGACTATGTGCTGCGCCAATATAGGTGTGGGGAAACGGTTGGCCCGGTTGTTTCTCGGGCTCATTACGATAAGATTCGCTCGTATCTTTTGCTGGCGCAGAGTGAGAATGCGACCTTCCTTACTGGTGGCGTTCCTGATGAGGTCCCGGCGGGCGGGTACTGGATTGCGCCGGTTGTGCTTGGCGATGTTGGGACTGGGAGTGTCGTTATGCGCGAGGAAATTTTTGGACCGGTGGTTACGGTTTCTCCGTTTGATACTGAGGAAGAGGCTATTGGACTTGCCAATGATAACCCGAATGGATTGGCTAGTATACTGCTGACGAAGGATGGATCCCGGATGCGCCGGGTTGGGGAACGCATCGATGCTGGACTGGTGTGGGTTAACTGCTGGCTTGTGCGGGAGTTGGGCACGGCATTTGGAGGTATGAAGGCGTCCGGGACTGGACGGGAAGGCGGCTCGCATAGCCGTGATGTTTTTACGAATTTGCGGACTCTTCATATTCGGTAGTGGACACTGTAGACTTGGGGATTGCGGAATGACGTCGGATAGCGGGCCGTTCGGATCTATCCGAGGTGGCCTGGATTCCTGGAATTGAAATACTCTTTTTGAAAGCCTTTTTTTGTAATCTGACCAAGGCACGAAATCTCATCGATAAGCACCTCTTGCATATTACCTTCTCTTGGCCACTCTTCTTCTCCATTGAGTATCCCGCCATGTCCCAAAGCACCCCATATTTCCGCCCCTCGGCCCACGCCCAAGGCCTAGCCAACTACCCGCACGCTCGGACCATCACCTCACCCGACGGAAAGGGATCCTACATCTACGTCTCAGGCACATCTTCCCGACGAGGCGATGGCACTTTTGTCGGAGCAAACCACAGCCAAGATGCCGACGGCAAGACCACACTAGCGCTCGACATCCGACAGCAAACAGCAGCCGTTCTATCGAACATTGATGCCATTATCCAAGGCGCATCGGATGGCAAAGCATCAATTGCAAATATGGTAGATGCGACTGTCTTTTTGACAGACATGAAGGGCGACTACACTGGTATGAACGAGGAATGGAACCGGGTCTGGCCCGATCGGATCACTGCGCCGGCGAGGACGACTGTCGAGGTGCGGGCTTTGCCGCGAGACGAGATTATTGTCGAGATTAAATGTACCGCATATTTTGTTTGATTCAAAGAAATATCAAAATTCACCTACTACTAGTAGATACTACTCGCTACATCCTGCGAAAGCGTAGTGGAAATTGGATTATTGTGGTCACAGCCCAGGTGTAGATTTGACTAAACTAGAGGACTCCGAAAACGCCCCCTGTATCCATAAAGCACAAACGCAACCCGTCTCCATGTTTCCCAGGCTGAGAAGGTATCAAATTATTTTAAGAAATACTATGTCACAGTGCCATTTATGAATTCAACGATCGATCGAAAACATAAGGGATAAAAAGCAATAAAAAATACAAAACGCAGCGTAGGCGAAGTTTGCGTGCAGTCATGTGCAAACCGCCAGCGGAAAGACATCGTTCTAAAGGAAGAACGCAAGGAAAGAGGCAGCAGTGCCCATAAGAACGCTCAGTAGAGCCGAGCCGGCCGCGGGTGGAGCCGAATTAAAGATGGGCGTGTAGCTTGGGGAGGGAGTTGCGCTCCCAGAACGGTACGGGGAGCTCTTCATGGGCGAGGGCCGCATGAAGCCCGAGGGGGTACCAGTAACAGCCGGAACGATCGCGACAGAAGGACCGGTGCCGTAAGCGGTGGTGGTCACGAAGCTCACCAGGGGGACGGTGACAACGGAAGTCTGGTAGGTGATTGTAGTGACTGGAACAGAAAGGCCGGTGCGGGTTCCGACGAGTCCAATGGATGCAGTACGAGTAACGCCGCAAACACCACCATTCAAGGTGATGGTTTCAGGAACGTTAGTCAAGATGGCCGGGTTCTGGGGAACCCATTTAGCGCAGAGACCGGCGAAGTAGGAGAGGCCGCGCACGATCTCGGAATCGGACTTGCTGGAGGACTCGATGCAGGACTGGACCTTGTTGGTGAACTCTTCGTTGGGGCAGTAGCAGCTTGTCGAGGTATCGGAGGTGCAGTTTGTCTCTGGCTTGAGCCAGGTGTCAATGCATTGTACGACGACGGTGGATGCGGGACAGCCAGATCCTGTGCTGGTGGATGTTGCTGCGACACAGTTCGGGCACACAGTTGAGACTGAGGTCAAGGTAACTGTCGAAACATCGTGTGTCACTACTGTGCTGGTCGAGCCACCGGATGTCCAAGTGGATGTTACTGGGTGAGATGTGGTGCTCTCGTAGGTCACAATAACCACTGTCGACTCGGGGGTGGTAGTGGTAGCAGTAGTTGGCTCGACGACGACAGGGGTAACGACGGGAACAGTAGATGTGGCGGTCACGATAACTGTCGAGGGAGTGCTAGTGACAACGGTTCGTGTGATAGAGCCGGAAGTCTCTGTAGCTGTGACTGGGCACCAGGTCGTAGTCTCATAGGTCACAACAGTCACAGTCGACTCCTGGGAGCTGGAAGTGGAGCCAGCACTAACAGTCACTGGAATAATAGTCACCGGAGCTCCAGGGGCAGTTGTTGTCTCTACCTCGGTCTTTGTAGTCTGCACCGGGATTGTCGACTCTGAAGTTGCAGTGTGGCCGACAATGCATTTTTCTTCGGTACAGGTAGAGGTTACAATGGATGTCAGAACCACAGTAGAAACAGAGCCGGTGGTCTGCAAGCTTGTTGTACCACCAGTAGTGATTGTGTTGGTGACCGGGAAGGTAGTGAGAGTTGTGTAGTAAGTCGAGACAGTAGTCTCAGAGCTGACAGGGGTAATCACTGAGGTCGAACCAGCGCTGACACCAACAGGAGTGGTAGTGACTTCAGTAGTAGTAACAGGGATAATCGACGTGGTGGTCGAAGTAACTGTCGAAGGAGTGCTAGTAACAACAACGCGTGTAGTGGAGCCAGAGGTTTCAGTAGCTGTGACCGGGCACCAAGTCGTGGTCACGTACGTAATAACGGTCGTTAATGATTCACTAGGAGTTACCGAGGTCGAGCCTGCACTCACACCAACAGGGGTGGTCGTAGCAACTTCAGTGGTAGCTGGAAGAGTCGACGTAGAGGTTACAACAACAGTTGAAAGAGTGCTTGTGGTCACGATACGGGTAGTAGAGCCAGAGGTCTCTGTAGCGGTGACCGGGCACCAGGTGGTGGTCTCGTAAGTCACAACAGTAGTAACTGAGTTCCCAGATCCAGCCGGAGTCGATCCAGCGCTCACGCCGACCGGAGTTGTTGTAGCAACCTCGGTGGTAGTCACAGGAATAGTTGAGGTAGCTGTCACTGTAAGGCTTGAAAGGGTACTGGTAACAATTGTGCGTGTGGTAGAGCCCGAGGTCTCTGTGGCCGTAACTGGGCACCAAGTTGTGGTAACGTAGGTAACAACAGTAGTGACTGAATTGCCAGGGGTGATTGAAGTTGAGCCCGCACTAACACCAACGGGTGTAGTTGTGGGGGTTGTCACGACAGTAGTAACAGAGCGGCTAGATTCAGTAACAGTTGATACGGAAGTGGATTCTGTGGGAGTAACCTTCACGGGTGTGGTTGTGGGGGTAGTCACAGTAGTTGTCACAGAGGTGGACTCTGTAGGAGTGACATTCACAGGGGTGGTAGATCCAGGGGTACCAGAGCACTTCGTGCAGACAGTCGATGTCGATGTTATAACAACAGTGGAAAGAGTGCTTGTAGTCACGACACGTGTAGTAGAGCCAGATGTCTCTGTCGCTGTGACAGGGCACCAAGTAGTCGTCTCATAAGTGATAACAGTTGTCACTGAGTTTCCAGGTCCGGCGGGAGTCGATCCAGCACTAACACCAACAGGGGTAGTTGTAATGGAAGTTGCAACAGTTGTGACCGAGCGACTAGAGTCAGTAAGAGTAGACACCGAGCTGGACTCTGTGGGAGTGACCTTCACAGGTGTGGTTGTGGGGGTAGTCACAGTAATTGTCACAGAGGTAGACTCTGTAGGAGTAACCTTCACAGGGGTGGTAGATCCAAGAGTACCAGAGCACTTTGTGCAGACAGTCGATGTCGATGTTACAACAACGGTAGAAAGAGTGCTTGTAGTCACGATGCGTGTAGTAGAGCCAGATGTCTCTGTTGCTGTGACAGGGCACCAAGTAGTCGTCTCATATGTAACAACGGTTGTCACTGAGTTTCCAGAGCCACCACCGGGAGTTGATCCTGCACTCACGCCAACCGGGGTTGTGGTAGCGACCTCAGTAGTAATCGCAGGAATAGTTGAGGTGGCTGTGACTGTGAGACTGGACAGAGTGCTAGTGATAACAGTACGTGTGATACTACCGGAAGTCTCTGTAGCCGTAACAGGGCACCAGGTTGTAGTCTCATAAGTGACGACAGTTGTCACTGAGTTTCCAGATCCACCAGGAGTCGATCCAGCACTTACGCCAACCGGAGTTGAGGTGGTTGCAGGGATAGTTGAGGTAGCTGTGACCGTGACGCTCGATAGAGTGCTAGTGACAACAGTACGTGTAATAGAACCAGATGTCTCTGTAGCTGTGACGGGGCACCAAGTAGTGGTCTCATAAGTGACAACAGTTGTTACCTCGTTTCCAGATCCACCAGGAGTCGATCCAGCACTCACGCCAACCGGAGTTGAGGTAGTTGCGGGGATAGTAGAGGTAGCTGTGACGGTAACGCTCGACAGAGTGCTAGTGACAATGGTGTGTGTAATAGAGCCAGATGTCTCTGTCGCGGTGACGGGGCACCATGTTGTGGTCTCGTAGGTTACAACAGTGGTAACTTCGTTTCCAGATCCACTCGGAGTAGATGTAACGGCAGGTGTCGAACCGACTGAAGTATGCGCACTACCTGTTTCGCTCTCGGTGACAGGGACGGTGGTCGTCGAAACTGGAACAGTAGTGGTGACGACAGTGGTCGAATGAGCCGGGCAATTGGTGACGGTGGCAGCACAGCTAGTGATAGTAACCTCCTTGGTGGTGTAGATGGTAGAAACTGTGTACTTGGTAGGCGAGGGTGTGGTGCCAGCCGGGGAAGTAGGGATGGTAGTCACAGGGGAAGATCCTGAAGGTCGGCGCGAGTCGCTGGGCGAAACAGCCACAGAGGATCCAGCGGAAACGCCAACAGGGGTCGAAGTCTTCTCTGTGGTAGTCTCTGTTTCTGTTACTGGGATGACAGTTGTCGACACTGGAATGAGAGTCGTCGAGACTGTGGTGGAGCGAGCGGGACAGTTTGTGACGGTGGCAGCACAGCTTGTGATGGTAATCTCGCTTGTGACATAGATGGTGGAAGTAGTCCACTTGCTAGGCGAGGCTGTGATCGCAGCTGACGAGGTGCCAGGATGGACAGGGGAAGAAGTGACGGGCGAAGTAGCAACAGACTCAGTTGTGGAGCCAACGGGAGATGAACCCTTAGGCGAGCTAGCCGGGGATGTTTCAGCAGAAACACCGACGGGAGTCGAAGTCTTCTCGGCGGATGTCTCTGTCTCAGTCACGGGGCAGATAGTTGTCGAAACAGCAATAGTCGAAGTGACGACAGTGGTGGAGTCGGCCGGACAGTTTGTGACAGTGGGAGCACAGCTGGTAATAGTAATCTCACTGGTGGTGTAGACAGTCGACGTAGTATACTTTTGCGAAGTAGTCCCCGCTCCAGATGAAGTCGCAATGCCGGTAATCACTGGGCTGCTACTAGAAGCAGACACCGAAGAGCTGCTAGGCGAGTGAACAGGGGAGACTTCGTGAGAAGATGAGCTTTGCGAGGTGACAGCAGAGCTTTCAGGCGAGCTACCACTTGGGGTGGAGCCAACAGGTGTGGACTCAGCAGCCGATGTAGTGCTATCCTCCGTCCCGGTAATGGGTGTTACCGTAGTTGAGACAGGGATAACTGTAGTGACGACACGGGTAGAATGAGCCGGGCAGTCAGTGACAGTAGCAGCACAGCTGGTGACAGTGATCTCGCTGGTGGAATAGATAGTCAATGTTCCCATGCGCTGGCCGGTAACTGCGGCAGAGGCTGTGACACCAGCCGATGAGCTAATAAGGGCCGAGGACGTAGACACAGCTTGGGAGCTTGAGGAGCTTGACTGGGTCTCAACAACAGCCACAGATGTAGTAGCAGCTGCAGGGTGTGCAGCCGACTTCGAGGTACCGCTATCTGGGCCAACAACAACATAACTGGAAGAGGTTTGGGGCGACTCCACCGATGCAGAGGGAGAAGACTGAGGAACAACCTCCAGATTACTGGTGGCTGAAGCACTAGTAGTCTGAGCATTGGCATTGGTAGTAGACTCGGTGTGTCCGGCATTTACGCCGTTAGCATCAGCTACCGAGCTGGAAGTTGCAGCAGCCGTAGTTCCAGCATCAACAGACCCAGAAGTCTCTTCAGGCGAAACAACAACATAGGGAACGGAAGACGCTCCACGCTTGCGAATGTCCATGTGTGGGGGATCCTGTACAAGCACATTCATGACAGGGCTCTTCTCTCCGCAGCTGAACATGATGTTGTAGATACCGAATTCAGCGGTGGTCTCGGGGCTGTCCTCGGAAAGCTCGAACTGCACAGAGATGGCACCGGTACATTCATGAACGTCGATGACTGCGACGCTAGTGGAGATTGGAGCAACCTTGGTGCAGATGGCATCATTAGGCATAAGGAAATTCATCATGAGATCGATTGGCTTCGGGGCCGAGGCATAGATGGTCTTGATAGAGAAAGCGGAACGGGAAGTCATCATGGGACCAAGGCCGCCAGACTTGTTGACCACACCAGTGATGGATTTTTTCTACACGTCATGTTAGTATGTGGTCACAATGCAGGCGATGATTTGAAGTAAACAACATACACCATATTTGTGGATGGATCCAGTGCCAAAGGTGTTGCTGCAGTTGAAATCGGTGAAATGGAAATCACCATAGGTAGAGAAGGGACCGTTAGGCAGATTAGCCCAGTTGAAGCCATGGGACTTCTCCTGGTACGGGTTGCACTGAATCTGAGATTCTTCGCGAGTGAAGGTGAAGATGGATTTACTTCCATCTTTAAACCACTGTAGATGGGGTCAGTGTTTGTTGATATTACCGTAGACAAAAAGCACGTCAACGCGTAAACATCCCAAGTGAACATGATACATACCAAAGCTGGAACTTGTGGCAACATAAGAAGCATCACCACCGTGAACGTGGCGATCATGATAAACATTTTGAATGCCATGGTAGCGAGTGTAGTAGGTTAGGACACCCACAGAAGCCACAAAACGACGGGGGGGAAAAGGGCAAGATGTAGGTGAAAGTGAGTATCAGAGGAGCAGAAGATTGAACGAGAGAGTGTCGAAAATCAGAAGAGATCTTCGAAAGGAAGAAAAGGAAGAAAGTTGGAGGGAAAGTAGGAAAGGTTGAAAGACAAGAGGCAAAGTGAAAGAAAGTAAACAACAAAGAGCGTCAATAAACGATAGGAAAAGAAACACCCCAAATAGGAAATGAATGAGAGAACCAGCCCTCCTACAAGTTACAACCTTTGAATAAATGAATGATGAACTGCCTACACAACCTGGGGAACACCCTCATCTTTAATATAGGCGCCCAACTCACATTTCTATGTAATTCTTCAAGTATGAAACCGCATCCGTTGACGAGTCTAGAACCGAAGCCTCACTGCAACCTGTATAAGACAATCCGGCACCCATGGGCGTTGTCTCCTCCAATAGGCAGAACTCCCCATTACCTGGTGAAACGAGGTCGATGGAGAACAAGGCAAGGTAGTAAGGTGGGCATCCTTTCACAGCAGACAAAGCGGAGACGCTAGTGCAGGAACCTAGCAGGCGGCTAGGCCAGTACCCAATCAAGAGAAGTCATGGCTTTTTTCTTCAGTACGGAGCTTCTCGGTTCGGTGACATCCGGCGGTTACAAGGTAATCCAATGAGAACAATAAAGAGGACAAGGGTAATTGCCAGGATCGGCCTAAAATAGGTTCCTTCAAGTGAGGGCGCCACCGCCAGATCGACACGGGGAAGAGCTAACGCATAAGCTGCCTAAGAGCCCTCAGCCCAGTGTGTCCGTTGACTCGGTAAGTGTAACTGTGCAAGACTCTGAAAGAGGGTCCCCCTTAGTCTCAGCGGTTACGTAAGCCAATCAACAGCCAGGATTTGACAACTACAGTGGAGTCCTGCTGGGCTCGGCCAATTAGAAAATCCGGGGAGGATCCCTTTCAACAATCAAACCATTCAAACCATTCAAACAATTCCGCCCCAAAAATAGCTTGACGATTCTTGATTTTTGTCAGCGCCCACACGATGCAGGCACATGCATGCTGCATCAGTTCTTCACTCCATTCTGCGACGATCGGGTTTTGGTTTTGGGAATAGCTTGGGGTTCTTGGTCAACTTCCACCAGTTACATAATTTTCACTGTACCGGCGCACTGACCTTGAAAATCCACGCTACTCCCTCAGAACTCCCACTGACAGGGGCGCTCTTTCAACCTGACACATGGCTACGACTAGACTGAGGGACTGTGGCTTAGCTAGCTCAACCCTTTATATTAGACAATAGTAGGTGATTCATATCATATTAGAGACTTCAGTCACGTTCCAAGCTATTTCAGGTTCACAAGTCCACAAGTCCACAAGCACAAGAGTGGCACTTGAAGCCCAAGGTATTGAATAAAGTAATAAGTAAACAGGGGCTCCAAGTCTGAAACTACCTCAGGATATCCTTTAACCGAGGTCACTTATGGATGCAGTTACAGTTATATTTACGGAGCTGATAGAATTCGAGATTTAACTTTTTTTTTTGGGAAAAGATGATTGTAGTATGTAGTAGAAAAATGACATACATCCACCATTCGTCAGAATGTCTGTAGAGAGAATTTAAAATTCAACATAGTTCCGAGTTTCAAACGCCATAAAAATCAAAGGTATCACCGTCTCCTCTTCAAAAGAGGGGGTCCATGGCAAAAAAGAAAAAAAAAAGGTTAAAAACAAATGAGAAGCGAAAGAAGGTGAAAGGCCAAAACAATCCAATGCAATAACACAAGAATCGATCAACTTTTGGATCATGAGAACCGCGATATCGATCTTCTTTTTTGGGAAACAACATGAGGATGTCGGGGGCGGTTGATAATTGATTGCCAAAACATGTTGATCCATCATCCATCGGATGAGCAAAAGATCATACAAAAGACTGCAATATTCAAAAAACCAACTTTGCCTCCCCAAGGGCACAAGTCTGCCAGCGACTCAATACAAATGTAACAACGTCCGTGTGTATCATGCGATCTCTTTTTCAGAAAACAAAAAAATCCAAACTTCGTGGAATCGTTAATTGGGGGGTTTATCCCAGCCAAGAACATTTAAAGAGGCACCTGGGTGCGACGTTGCGCGTCCATAAGCTTGCGACGCACAGCCTCGCCGCCAGTGTATCCACTTGCTTTGCGCTTCCGGGTTGGGGTGCGCTGGTCGGTATGCTTGGCATGACGGAAAACACTGGCGGGTCGCGCGGGGGAGTTAGCGGGCATGAATTCGCGGTGTTGGGGGAGGCGGAGAAGGGCTTGGTAGCGGTTATGGTTGCGACGGAAAGCAGTGACGATGCCCTTGTCAAGATGTTCGAGGAAGCGTTCGGAGTTGGTATCCGGTTGGGACTCCGAGTTGCGCTTGGGTGTTGGAGTACCCATGTTGGCAATGGAAGATCCACCAGTCATGGGAGACATGAGGGTGTCATCGTCAAGGTTGCCCATATCTTCTTCATCGGAAGATCCATCTCCAAAATCAATAAAGTCGTCAACATTGAGAGCCGACTCGGGATCGTCTTCATCATCCTCTTCAAAGGAGCTATCAATGGCAAAGTCGCGAGAGGGGTAGAATGCTTCCGGGGGGCCCATGACCTGACCACCAGGAGCAAGATCGTTTCCGAGCGCCGTCATCATGAGGTTGGCACTGGAAGCCAGCATAGGGCTAAAGTCCATCTGGTTGGGGGATGCAAGAGCATCGGTATCACTCTCGTCGACCAGCTGCAAAGTGGTTTGACGAGGGCTGTTGTTGGCGGTGCCGGGCATGCTATTTGCCGCGGATTCCAGCCAGTCGTGACGAGAGGAGGCATAGGCAGGAATGATGACAAGATGCTTTCCGGTGCAATCGACCAATGCTACAGGCTTATGAGGGTCCGCCACAAATGTGCCCATGATAGGACCACGGCGACGAGGGACGGTATCGCTCTTGTCATCGCCGGCAGCGACCAACGAGTCGGTCGAGTCTCGGCGAAGCAGGGAACGAGGGTGAGTGATAGTGGCTGGAGGGGGGAGATCCTCATCTGTTGTGTCGCCATGATCGCCTGGGAGCTGGTTAGCACAGAAACATAAACAAGTAAAATTTGGTAGATGGTCAGCATACTCTCATAACCACTCAAGCTACCCTCGGATGTACCCTCGGACTCGACATGGTAAATATTGCCATGGCCGTAATCAGCGTCGCCAAACATCTCTTCAGACTGGCGGCGATGGCTGCGGTGATTTTCATTGTCGCTCTCAATCATGCGACGCAGCTGAGGGTCCAAGGAGTCTTGCTGGAGGAAATCACTGGGGATTTCATCCTCGGTGTGAGAGTCGCTGTCAGAAGAAGAGTCGGATCGCTCCTCAAAGTGGACTCGACGAGCCACGGAAGTTTCCACCGGCTCGCTAATAATTTCAGGTTCAGCAAAAGTGTCCATAGCACTGTATATCTGCTCCTCGTCGAAAAATGAGGCAGCAGGCAGAAACATGGAATCGCCAAAGATCTCAGTACCATGCCACTGGTCATGAGAGGCTTCTGACGTGGGCAAGACGCGATGTTCTCTCTCAGACTGCATGATCATCATCTCTTCCAATTTTTCCACATCTTGCTCCTCATCGTCATCTGTTATGTAGTCCACCGCGGCGTAGGCATCATCTGAGCTATCTTCGGAATCGCCATCGCTGCTCAAGATGTTGTCTGATTCTTCATCGTCCGAAACCCGTCTTCTCTTGCTGCCCTTGGCGCCGACGGTTGGTCGGACTACTTTGCGGGAGTTGTTCCACCGCCTGCCAAAAGACCGAGCCTGGGCCAGCGGCCGGTCCTCTTCGTCGTCTGCATCATCTTCGGATTCATCGGCATCCTCACTCAATTCCTCAAGGGAGGAAACGGATGAGACACTGGAGACTGATGAGGATGATGCTCGCCTTTTTCGCTCAAATGAGCCACTTCCGCCAGTACGGGAGTTGGCCATCTTCTTCGACTGTACGATGGCCTTGGGAGACATATCGAGGTGTCTCATCTTTTTTAATTCGGGTGTGGAGGGGCGTTGTGTAGTTTTAGATGAGCCCTTGTGAGTTCTTTTTGTAGAAAATGGGCTCGATTGCGGCATATCGTCGCAATTCTTTTGTCGATAATTTTTTTCTTCTTTCCGTAAGTCGACGGGAGTTCTTTTTTGTTCGGTCACAGGAAGCTTCTTTTTTGAGAATGTGACAAGAAGTGAATATCGAGGAGGATTCCGTTCAAGGGATTTGTGAGTGTATTGGAGGGAGGGTCCCAGGGGATTGTAGTTGGGAGTATCGTCGGGGGCGGGGGAGTGAAAGTTTTTTTTTCTCTTCTTAACCACGAAGCACCTCCGGTCCACAGTGGACAGGCAAAGTGCTTTTTCTGGGAGTGTACTTGGGGGGCAATTCCGATGCTTCTATGGGCATCAGAAGAGGAACAGATATCGTCAAGTTGAATTGAAGGTCGGAGCTGCGGGACTGAGGAGCCAGCAGGGGACAGGCTCCTCAGCGAGGCGTTTACAGCTCAACGAAAGCCATTTGGCATGAATTCTTGACGGGTATCTTTTGGAGGGTGGTAGTTGGTGAAGAGGGGGTTGGCTAGGGTTAGACGAAAAGTGGTGAAGCTGTTGGAGAAGAGGAAAGATGAAGGGATAATAATCCTACTAAACCAATGGATTTTTCCCGCCAAAGCGGAAGTGGGGAATGGGGTGGATTGATTGGCCGGACTCCACGGGCGCCCATTCGTTGGCGTCACTTCACCGCATCTTTCGCGCCAATCGAATCCAGTTAGAGATTTCTGCAATTGGAAATCCTGCACGTTATTTGTCTACGGGATAGTCTCTTGAATCTTCTACGGCCTAGAACCGGGGGTAATGGAGACAAAATGAAGCTCTACAGTATCAGCACTAAAGAGGGGAAAAGAAAAACTTTGCTAAACTACGGATAAATGGACCCAGAACTGGGGCAAGTATGCGGGTCCATGGCATGAGCCTTGAAATTCAATCATAATAATCAGAATCAAAATGAATTTGATCAAAATCAAACTAGTTTGGACTACATGCATGACGGTAAAAAGAGAGTCCAGACGACGTCAGATTGGCGCTTATCTGGGAAAATAATACGTGCAAAAGCCCCAAGTTGAGCCGTGCGAGAGTGAAAAAAATAAGACATGGGAAATATGATTCATTCCTCTCTGATCATGACACAAGATGGGATGAATCATCCTATGACTCCACAGAATCAGTCCAGGTCAGCACGTATACTCCTCATCCATTGGTTGGGTCCAACAATCGTGTTGATTTTTCCTTTTTTTTTTCTCTTTTCTCTTTTTTTTTCCCTTCCCGTGGTGGCAACTCGGGACCCTCCATTCCGATGACCAGAAAACCTCGTAGCCTTTGTTTTCTCTCGACTTGGAAACCTGCAAGCACTACCTCTAAATTGAATTGAACTGGACAAGTCTCGAGGGGGGAAATAGGCGGTAAGCATGGACAACATGCCACTGCGGCTGCATGCATGAGATAGATCGCCCTATCTCATCACGGCCCAATGTATATTATCTAAAGTACATCTAACCTTAGAAGGATTGTACAGAGTACAGATGAGGGGGGGAGCAATGACCCCTCCAAGGCAAGGGGTGAAATGGTTTTCCTCTCCAAACTTCTTCCTGCGAGATCATCTTCCGCCCCGCAATGGATTGAATAATGTTAGAGATTTCGCCCGCTAGTGCCCCACTTACGCTAGCCTATTTTTAAGTCCATCAACTTCCTCTGCCTTCCGATCTTTGGTCCACGTGGTCTATATGGTGAAGAGAAAAAATGGAAAGGAAAAGGAAGAAAATTCACGGAAGAAGAAAAGAAGAAAATATTGTAAAGAAAGGGGTAGAAAAACGGGAGGATCTGGAGGCTCAAATCAGACATGTGGCTTGGATTATTGGTGATCTGCACATCAATCCTCCGTCATCCAATCACGTCAAAAGTCACCTGGGCAATCTTCAACGTTCAAATGTTCCAAGTCATGTTCACATCTTCATCCATTTCAATATTTGGTGATTATTTGATGAGTACATCTTTTTTCAGTTGAAAAGGAAATTTGAATGTCCAGATGTCTTTGAGAAAGAATATATTGGCATCGAAAACGTAATGGATTGACGTCGCGATAAATACATTAGTACATATATTGCCAGAATCTGCTGGAAATACATATTGCCACTCTGCAGGCGTATCGGGAATGGCTTGGCATTTGAACATTGAATGGACATCACCAGACCTCCTCAGTAAGGAAACGGGTCCCAACATTTCCAAGGTTGAAAGAGAAGATTCCAGATGGATCCTTTCTCCCAACCTCGGCTCAAGTCTTCAAATTCACATTTGTTTCAAGAATTGATCGGTTCCAAAAGCCGGCGACTCCGGGAAGCCGACAACATTAAACATTTCAAGGTTAAATAGATCCATCAAATCTTGCATGCACATTTTGCACTAGGTCCACGGGTATGCACATGGGTGTTGCCCAGTTAAGGTTCAAACCTTCAATTTTCAAATATTGATTCAAGAAACCTTTAACATTTGAAAGGAAGTTCAATTCGCTTAGAAAAAAAAATATAGATAATTCATGTAGGTTATCAATCATCGATATCAATTACGGTATCATAAAAACATTGGCAAGTATCACATATCAATCCGTAAATCGTTATCATCGCTCTGCCCGGACTCCTGCCATATTAGTTTGCGTATTCACAAGCTATGTTTACAAGTAATCTGACGGTCACGTTTCATAATTTGCCCAGATGCTCAAGTCCCTGGATAAGGAGCAATGTCGGGAGACGAGGGCCCCGGGATACTCTTTGATCGGCCAAAGATAGACAGGCGCGACTTGCTTCGAGTAGGGGGCGCAAAGGAGGGTGTGGTCTCTGTCTCCTCCTTGGGGCTCAGAGGCTCCGAACTTGCAGCTTCCAACGCCGAAGATGCCCGGGCTTGCTCCACCTTCCTCACACCTTCTCGAATCTCCTCCGCCGAGGCTCCCTGAGGTGCCGTAGTTGTAAATGTCTCAGTGGGACGAATCTTGCCTTCAGTGGTATTCTCATTCAGTCGATTTATCTCCTCTTCGGTGACCAGTCGTTCATTCTCCAGGCGGACCTCGCGTCCACGTTTATGGCAATACCATAGGACAAATAGGAGAACTGGAATATGATGATTAGTATGAGCCATGCACATTACCAGAAGACGAGGGACTTACTAAACAGAGCCAGTGACCAAAGGACGTTCATTCCTAGCACGGCCGGGAAACGTGCCCTCAAAAACGCCATAATCGACCGTAGCATCCCCACAATGGCAGCAGGCTTTGAAACCAGTTCCTTCAAGCTAGGGATGTTGACTCCCATCTTCTCGGCTGCAGCGGCGGCTTTGCCAACATTCTCCATATTGACCCCACTCTGAGTGGCTCGTTCGCTAGCTACAGCAATCATCTCTGGTGCCAGAGTCTCAGTCCACTTTTCAGGCAGTTTCTCAATGAGCTTTTGAAGGAAGCCTGGCAGCTTGGTATATGTGTCTTGCAATTGGCGATTGCCATTTGTCAAGAGCATCTCCAAGTCGCGGTAGGCCGTGGGGACACCGTTGATCAGGTCCTTGAAGATCAATTTGAACTTGCGAAGCAGTTCCTGTGTGTCGTCGCTAATGGAAAAGACGCGATTATTATCTGCTGCGAGATTCAATCGCTCCAGAATGTCTGTCATGTCTTCCTGGTCCTTCTGAGCATCCTGTTCATTATCTGCCGTCGGTGCTGCCGTCGATGGAGGAACGGAGGTTTGAGATCGTGAAGGGTCTTCTTTGCTCGAATCTTTGTCTTTGTTCTACATAGAAGACCAAAATGTTAGGAAGCTGAATACAAAGGGAGTTGGACGGCACTGAAGACCAAGGATATCCTACCTTCTTGGAGTCGCCGTTCTTCTTCCAAAACATGGTACTCCATCTTTTCTTTTTTTTGTCTGAGACCGCCGGGGCCGCTGAATCCACTGGAATGGCCTCGTCGTCTGTCTTTAAATTCGTTGGCTCTTTGGTAACAGGACTACCAGAAAGTTGGCTTGCCCTTCGCCCTTGCTCTCCTAGCTCCTTTCCGAACTCCTCAGCTGGCGAAGTAGGAAGAGGGACCTGGTCAGCACCCTCATTCAACACAAACGGTGGCGAGCTCTCTGGGGGAACTTCAGCTCCTGGTAATGGTGTTTTTGCGACAGAGCTGGCACCATTTTCCGACGAAGTGACTTCTCGCAGGAAGGCTTCCTCCTCCTCTGTCAAGACAGGTTTGGGTGCCTGTAAGACCTGCGACGAGCGCCGGCGGTTCTTCATCTGGTTGAGATATTCCATTTTAGTGACAGGGGAACAGCCAATACCGTACTCGGAATATGATAGCAGGAAGCAGTAGCGAGGGAATCTTAAATGTTGAAGTTGAAACGCGGTCGGCGCGTAGTGAAGGTGAGGAGGTTTGAGCGCATCCACTTGATAGGTCACACCCTGTACGGGCGGCTCCAAGTGCAGATAGATCGGCAATAGATTGAAGTAGTTCGGCAAAGGGGGAGAATTTGTCGAAAAATAGAGGATTATGGTGTAAACAGAAGAGTGTGCATCGGGGAAGTTTTGATCTAAGCTACAGCCTACAAGCCTACAAGAGCTCTTTCTGATGATATCATCGGTGGCTGGCATGTGGGATAAGCCCCACTTGCGCCACAACGCTCCTCGTACTCAGCCACAGCGTCAACAATTATAGAAATGCTGGAAGCAGTAAAGTTGTCGGAGAAATTCATTAACACCAAGTTCGCTGGAATGAAAGAACACCGGAATACTGGGAATCTCGTATATAAATGAGATTCCAGTAGTGAACTGTTAGAGTGTTTAAAGTAGTACATATAGCTGCATATGGAAAACAATGCCACGCAAAATAAGTAGATAAAACCACACCGAGTCAATCTGGACCAATTACTAAATGAAGGCTTGGCGTCATAAAGCGCGCGCAACCTAGCAAAAGGTTAAAAGCGGATGTGGTATTATTGACAAGCGGTGTGGCAGAACAAAGCTATAGCCTTAAAAGATTACGCTATGCAAGGACCAGCAGTACGCTTAATCTAATGGCTGAAGCAATATGCATGTCCTTGCTGGTATCGAAATATCATCATCACAGGCAATGCAACCGCCATTCCCGCACCGATTTCATTCCACTTGTGTTTTATGTGACTGATTTTTGAGTCTCGACTCTCGACCCCTATTGCTGAAAAAACATCCCAGTGGACCGTTGGAGAAGCAAGTTAGCCTCGCCATTTGAAACCCATTCTGTGCAGGATTTCCATCTATTAGTTCATACTCTGGACTCTGGTACTTTGCCACTTGTTCGTCAAATCGACATGACGGATACTGGAAAATTGACCAAGACCAACGGAGTGACAGCATTCTCTTATAGCTAAAAAAAAAGTTCTCAAACTTGAGACCCCCATGCGGCCAATCATTCAATTTTTTGGCTCGAATGGCCCGCGGATCCTCTGCCACGAGCCCCAACACCTTCCCTTTCGCTGATCCCGAGGCACGCCAAAATGGAGATACCTCCGAAAGTTTCTATGCATTGTGAGGTTTGAGTCTGAGACGAGGGGTACCTCTTCTAGAAAGAACGCCGCTATGAGCTCAGTAGGTAGGTAAGTCTTGTATCAAGGAACTTTGCTCCACGCACCATATTGAGAAAAGTCTACCTGGAACATGGAAAAGGTATTTAAAGCACACCGTTCCCAGGACTACCAGTCTTGGAAGAGCACAATAATTTTATTGAGATTGTTTTCTGCGCAATAGAGCCAAGACTTTTCCGCTGTATCTGGTTTGACTTCATTCCAAAACTTCTCAATGTATTTCAACAGCTTCTCTTTCATTACCACGGCCGCGTTGCTAGCGCAGGTCTCTGCTTTCCCTGCGCTGCAGTCGCGAGCCACTACCGGTTCGTCAACCTAAACCCCACAAGATGGAATGCCAATTGACATTTTGAAAACTTATAGATACTGCTGCTTGGTCTTTCTTACAGCGTGCTGCCGACCTATCGTCCGCTGCGTACACTGGATGCACTGACACAGCCTTCGATGTCACCATTACAAAGCAAATCTACGACGTGTCAACGAACGCAAAGGTAATAAACATTTATTTTCGATTTTGAACCGTCAATTTCTCACCTTGACAGGGATTCGTTGGATATTCTACCCAGAAGAAAAAAATATCAGTCGTCATGAAGGGATCCACCACCGGTAAGTATTATTCCCTCGTCTCCAGTGTAGAGTTGAAGTATTGACAACTACCACTAGAAACGGATATTATCAATGACATTGACACCGCTCTGGTTACCCCTTCCCTCTCCGGCGTCACCATTCCCTCGGGTGCTCAGATCATGAAAGGCATCAGCAGCCCTTGGTCCGCCGTCCACGATACCATTATCTCAGAGGTCAAGACTTTGGTAGAGAAGTACCCGGACTACACGCTGGAGTCGACTGGACACTCACTAGGAGGTTCACTCACTTACATCTCATACGTGGCGCTGGCTGCCAACTTTCCGAGTAAGGAAATCACTAGCAATGCCATGGCTGCTTTTCCGATCGGCAACCAGGCCTGGGCTACCTTTGCCGACTCTTTCAATGGGACTTTGAACCGTGGCAACAACATCGATGATGGTGTGCCCGTAAGTTTTGATTTATATCAAACTCATACATCGACTGACCAGATCGTAGAACATGTACATCCAAGCCCCATACGACTTTGTCCATTACGGAACCGTGAGCAAAATCTACTTGGTCATCTTGTACACGCCACGGATAATATACTGACATTGTATGTTTGATCTAGGAATACTACAGTTCTGGAACCGAAGCAACCGTCGTCAAATGCTCCGGGGAGCGCGACACTTCTTGTTCTGCTGGAAACGGACAATATAGTGTGACTGCCGGTCATTTCTATAGCTTTGGCGTCGAGCTTGGAGCTGTTGGATGTGCTTCGCTATAATTTGCGGCGCTGAAAATTATGACCTTTCCGGGGACGTGAGTTGATGAAGTTCTTCGCAGGTGAAGGATCATCATAGGCTCGTTCACTTCAAAGTATCAAGTGTTTCATTGGATTCCGAACCATACATACAACTGTCAATAACTATATTTGGCACCAAGTGTCAGATTATTTCTCGTTTTAAGCCCCATTGTTATGGGCAAAATTCAGAATTGTGATTTGTACCAATTGAAACTCGCGCCGTTATCTCTGATCTCCAATCCCATTCCATCACGTTCACGTTACGGAGGGTTTAACTTGTGTACCTGGTGGTGAACACTTTGATGCCGGATTGGGACCCGTGGTCCAATACAAGTAACGCACACAGTGACGTTCCTAGTCATGTTATCAATAAGCTTCTTGATTGGGTTTTTTAGTTGAGTGTATACTAGTTACCAAATTATCATATGCTAGCAGGTAGTAAGTAGCAGCTGAGTCTAGGCGGCAGGAGCAACGTGCATTTGGCAACGCCGATCCGCGACGCGGCAGCCAATACGAGGCGGCCGCTAGGCGCCACCGAATAAGCAACAGTTACAAGTGATACTAGGCCGACTTGATTATGCCAATAGGAGATAAGACAGGCTCCGCCTGGTGATGGTGGCACCTGCAGTTGATATCACCTGACCGTTCGTCTTAAATAGCGCTCGTCCCCCTCACCCCGACTTGCCTTTTCTCACGCCTGCTAGAGTCGACAAATTGCGCACCCTGAGTCTCCCGGGACTCTTGAATGCAAAGCCATCATCCGAAGATTGTTTCGTTCCGTCTCTTGATGAAACGGGGGAACTATTTAGGACGACAGCTTTCCAGACTCTCTCACATGCTCGTGTGATCTGCAGCGTCAAGTGTATTTTTTTCTGTTTTTGTTTTGTTTTGCTATTTGACCAACTCGTATCGCTCCTTCTGATCATTTAGGAATTTTCGGCCACCTCCATCGAATAACCTGTATCACCATGTTCAGACGCTCCTTTACGTCGAAGAGCTTCACTTCTAAAAGCCGGGCGGGTAAGACCGTCAAGGCGAGTAAGAAGAGATACGACGAGCAGGCTAAAGAGAGAATGCAGGAGAAAGTAGAAAGAGGGGATAACCCGTCACCGGGAAGGTGGTAATTTCATGATGATAGATTTGAGGGTTTTGAAAGCTAATCAAGTCACGATTAGTGCCCTGACTAGTCCCATCATCACGATGGTCGTGGGTCAGGACCAGCGGCTGTTCGCAGCCCACGAGGATGTATTGTCCATCTCTCCATTCTTTCGCACCGCCCTGAAGGAGAAATCTCTGGATGACGGTCCAAAGCAGCTGGCTCTACCTGACGAGTGAGGGATTCTTATTTTTCCTTTTTTTTTTCTGTTCGTCGCTGCACCTATAAAGACTCCATGCTTATACTTCGCATAGAGAACCAGAGATCCTTTCGTGCGTCCTCGAGTATCTGTACAAGGGTGACTACTACCCACGCCTACTGCGTGGGAAGCGTCGAGACTCTTGGTACCTCGAGAACGCCCAGGACCCTCACCAAACCGGAGGCTGCGGGTCGAGTGAGGCGACGTTCTTCCACTCTGGTGTGAAGGATATCGTGCTCCGGGACACCGTGGTGTACTGCGCTGCCGAGAAATATGGCCTGGAAGAATTGAAGGACATTGCTCTTCGCAAGCAAGGACTTCAAATCGGTATTCCGGCTGATGTGATCTTGCGATCTGCTCGGTATGCGTACGACCACACCCCGGACACCGAATCTCGACTGCGCGCTCATTACCTGGCTCTCATTATTCGAAGTCGCAAGACATTCAAGAGAAGCGGGACTATGCAGATGGAAATGGAGAATGGTGGCAAGCTGTTTTTTGATCTGTTCGTGGCAATGTGCAACCACATGGACGATCTTGCGGAGATTAGGTAGGAGTCCTCCTGGCTTTTGCTTTCAAACCCATTTCTGCTATTTCTCGGCGGCTTCTTGTCACCATTACTTACAGTCTTCTTTAGTAGCATCAAGCGAACCCCGCGGTTGTTCCAGTAGAACAATCTATCGTCACATTGCCTGTTTCTTTTGGCTTCCAGATCGAACGACTTGACAATTGAAATTGAATCGGGAGGCATGCTTATTTCAACCAGAATCGCTTTTGACTGCGTTATTCTTTATTGAATCAGTCTGTTGTTTTTTTTGCTTTCATGGCAAATTGACTTCTTCAATTCTCGCGAGGTTGGCCGCCCTTAAACGGTTTGAAGAAACCGCCCTACTCATTTTTAATCGAATTGGCGTAAAGCGAATTGCGTTGACCGACATTCTCCATTCTTGATTGTGTGCTATATTCCACTATGACAACTGCGTTCTCGTCTGCATTGTTCGTTTTTCGTTGACTCTATGTCTTTCATGTCTTCGTTCCGTCCTTTAAGTTTGATTTTTAGCCTTACGATTTAACGGAGCCCTACGCTCGTTGGTGATTGAGAAACAGAAATTGATAACTCCGGCCGCCTCAAATGGTATTCTTCCTTGTGTTTAATCTTCATAGTACTAGTAGGTCACAAAAATAGCATATATCATCAATTAGTAGTATTCTCCATTCTTCACTCAAGTTGGGTGCATTCAACATTTGAAATGTTCAACCCTTCTTCCACATAGGTATCTGTATGGTATATCTATAATTGCAAGCACTTGAGATCATTTCAACATTTCAATGTCGGTATTCTTCAACCTTCTGCTCAAGTGCTCAAGTGCTTGTTCGGAACATTCTCTACACTCCTAGGAAATGATGAGAACTCAGGGACTTGAATCAATACATCACACTAACCAAGCTTCCCTTTTCTTTTGACTTGAACTATGCACTACTCTAGTTCCGAGGCCGGAACCTTGGCAGTTACCGGCCCTGATTAATCCCGTCGAAAAAAGCCCACGGTGGACCGGGGACCGGCTCACACCAATCTATTACCTTAAATTGACTGGCACCTGGGCAGAACGGTGTTTTTACGTGATATACCATTTTATTCCACCTTTCAATGTTTAATGTATCTTCAAACATTTATTCTTCAGAGCTTCTAAGGTAGAATTAGGAGATAAAAGTACTTCAATGTTGGCACCAAGTGTCAAGACGAATACATGTTATTAACAAATTGATTATGGCTGCCGCCACCGCTGCACTCTAAAAAATAGTTTCAAGTGCTTACATGTACGGCCGTCGTCACCTCCAGTCTCAGGTAGGTAGTATGCTCGCTTCAAAGATCGTGCCTATGATCATATGTATTCAAATGTTGATCCTTGTTCTTGAAATGTTCAAATGTTGGCACCGAGCGCGAATATCATGTTGATCTTGTATTGATAATCCAGATATCAATTCGAACTTTAAAGCTTCCAAGGTTAATCAATAATAGCATAAGCATGTGTTATTAATGAATACCTAAAGCCCCCCCCCATTCAGTTTTCACTCAGTGAACAAGCCCACGAAATATATCAGTATAAGAAATGCTGCACAGAGTAAATTACATGAGAAAATTATACAAAAACAAAATAATATAGTAGTAGAAAGTGAAAAACAACAGGAATCCAGACCTCAGGAGCAAAAGAAAAAAAGAGAGAAAGAAATATCGGTATGCATGCAAAATAAAGTATATAATGCTTGGAGGGTTCGAATGTTCCACAGATTCATTCAGAAGAGCAGATTCGGTCATACCAGACACTCGACTCCGCAAAGCCGGTCAATTCCGCGACTCTCGAGAAGAAGGCGTGCATCTGTGTATTTTGTGGGCGACTGAAGAACAAACTTCACTCGCAGGTCAGAGACATCATGGTACAGACTGGGACTGTCCCGCATAACAGACTGGAACTTTGGCGAGCAGGCAAGCAGCATCAAGTCCTGCACTTCGGCAACGAACCTAGGCAGCCACTCTTGCAGATGGTCCTTCGCGGTCGATGGGCAGTAGCTCTTGTAGACGATTGCTGTGACATCGAGAATTGGTTCTAACTGGCAAAGACCAGGGTACGAGTTCCAGGCGACTTGCAGCTTCAATGTAATATTCCGGATCATTTCATCCAGATTCAGCCGACGCGCGTAGACGTAAAGATTTCCGAGAGAGCGGATCGTTTCGCGGAGATCGTCCGAGGTGCGAATATCTTGCAGCTGCCACTGTCGACCGATATTCCTGATATCACCAATTTCAGATCGCGCGGTATCCTCGGAGGATCTTTCGTCTCTCATTTCTTCGCCTGGGCTATTGATTTGAATAAGACGAGGTTGGAATTCTTTTGTTAGGCACCAGGACTTCAGCAGTATAAATTCCGGTTGGGACCGAAGTTCGCTCATATGTTCCAAGAAGGCCTGGATCTCTCCTGCTTCGGGCTTCCCAAGTATCAAGGATTCGATTGCGACTTGCAGACTCATCTCAAGGACACCTGTGCTTGTCTTACCATGGTCACTGTCATCCTCACACTTGACTTTAACTCCCTGGTGGGACTGTGAAAAATCCGGAACATGGTTGTCAGTCAGGGCAGCAGCGGGGCAGGGAAGATTCCCAGGACCAGTCTCTAAAGAAGACTGCACTTTTGTATAGGTGAAAGTAAAAGTCTCTCCGGGGAAAACGGAGATGCCGAACATTATTGTCTCCGTGAGCAAACGGGGTGGTTCTCTGTGTCGCATCCAGTGCCTGCGCTGTAGAAAGGGAAGTTGCATACATCTGGCTGTTCGAGCGTCCCCGCATAGATGAAGCGATATCACCCGGAGCGGGATTAGTTCGCCGAGCTTTCAACAGAAAAAATCATCAGTATAGTTCATATAACGTTGTGCTACCCAAGAACGTTCTCGCGCGTACATACCCATGGCCCTGGCAGGTAAAGAAGCCTCCGGAAGCTCTTCAATTCCCACAAGAATGTTCTCATAGCTATCCGGCAAGACCAAAGATAGCAATCGGCTGCGTTTTCCTTTCTCGGCCATCTCTTTCTCTGCCATATCTTCCCAGAAACGAGAGCCCGGATCCTTTAGCGCAATTTTCTGCAGCTGTCGAAAGAGCGACGCATCGTCACGGGGACTGTTACGAGAAAACGCTAGCGGAACCCTGTTTTCGAGTTTGAAGATATCTTTGATATGCGCCCATCGGCTAGATTACCGTTAATTATGTGCACAGAGTTGTGTGCGGGCATGGGCTGTTGACTTACTAGCTGTTTCGGCCTGGCATGTAAACTGGATAAACACGATCGCATGGGGAGCTGTCCCAGGAGCCGTCGGAGTTCTTAGCGCCGGTGGCGCGTCCGTGGAGCTTTTTGCATGGTCCGAACTCCTCCGTAGTGATAATTCCAATCCAGAGGTCAGTTCTGTAGTTGCGGCAGGGGTTTTTGAAGCGTATAATGTATGCTTCGCCCGGTAGCGGCTCACGAGCGGCGCTTGCCTTGGTCAGACCGGCCGTGAGACCGGTGGTGGAAGGCTGTTCCATTGAGGTGGGTTTGGAACTAAACTAAAGGTTAGAAAGCGGGAGGAGAGAAGAAAGATTTTGATATGTCGGGACAAAGAAGGGCATGTAACTGTCTGTCAGGCCTTCTTGGCGCCCTGTATGATAAAACGAGGTTGAAAGTGAGAGCTTAAAGGATTGCGTCAAGCGACGTACCGAAATGAAGGAAATTGCGAGAAAGTTCCCAGCTAGGAATCTCGAGCTGGGGAGGTAACTTTGGCTTTTTCGATCGAAGTGAAGATCAGGAAAGGGTCGGAAAGAGACACGCGCTTTAGATAGCTCAGAGACTTGAATGTCGGATTTGGCGAGGAATTCCTGAGCTAGTCGTCTGAATTGATACCCTCGAGGGCTATGAGAAGGTTTGAGGTGATTGTTGTTGACGAAAGAGCAGACAAAGATGATTCTCAATGATGTGATGAATTCTTTCTGGGACGAAGAAAAGGAAGAAAGAAAAGAAAGAGGAAGAAAGGAAGAGAACGAGACTTGTGTCGTCGAGTACAGCGGATCACTAGGGGGACCGGCTCACATGGATTTATTATCTGGAATTGACTGGCAGAACGGTGTGTTTGCGTGAAGTACTATTTCATTCCACCTTCTTGTGTATTTTGAAGTATTCACTAGGGCTTCCGAGGCAAAAGTAGAAGGTAAGAGCAAGTGTAAAGTATGAAGTATGAAGTTAGAATTATCCATACAAAATCAACATGATATCCGCACTCGGTACCTAGTAATGATAAACGCAAACAACCCAGGGGCTCTCAAGAGACAGATACATAAGAAAAGGACTCAAACCTTGGAAATAATGCCTGAAATATGCGTAAGACAAAGAAACTGCAACAATGAGAAACAGATAACATCAAACTGCGAAGGAAACATAAGATTGAACACCAGGATGACAATAAGGCAGAAAAGGCTGAACTCAAACTCTTAATGAAGGCGCAAGGCCTTCGGTAAATAAAAGCGCACATGACCAAGCCGAGGATGACAATTACTCGTCATCAGTAGGAGCTTCAACAGCATTCCGGCGTGCAGCGCGCTGCGCGCGAGACGGAACATCTGGCTTCGGAACAACTTTCTTCGGCTCAGCTTGGACCTTTGGGTCCTTGGCGGGTCTGCCACGACGCTTACTAGTAGGCGCCTCTTCGGTAGGCTCTGTATCGGAAGTCTTGCGCTTGTTAATCTTGGTGGGACGGCCACGCTGTGCTGGCTTAGCTTCGTCATCGGCAGTAGCAGCAGGAGTAGCCACCTTGGCATTCAGCTTTGGGGTCTTTTTGGCTGGCTTCTCCTTCTCCTCACCATCGGCTTCCTTCTTGGTAGGCTTCTTCGGAGCTTTCTTGGTAGACTGAGTCTTCTCTTCGGCCTTTGAGTCGGGTTCAGTAGCGGCAGTGTCATTCTTATTGTTGGCACGGGCCTTCTTAGGCTTGACCTCTCCATTCTTGGCTTCATCCTTGGCTTTCACCTGAGCCTTTCCCTTGGTCGTTTCCTTGATTTCAGCATCAACTTCATCTTTAGCTTCGGTCTTAGTCTTGACCTCAAGTTCGGGGCTGATGGGCTCGTCTTCAGCCTTGGTGGGCTTGTCCTCAGCCTTGCTGGCCTTAAAGGAATTAGCTAAAGTTAAGCATGAAGGTTGGGATGGTTCGTACATCTTTGTTGCCCTTCGCGCGACTCACTGGGACACGGAAAAAGCGAGCACCAGGTTTGTTCATTTCAGCATCCTGAAACGATTTGTCAGTGGAAATGATCTTATCAAAAATGCCAAATTTGCGCTGGAAGATGGTAGTTGACTAGTTGGCCGGGCATTCGGAACTTACTCCCTTCCAGTCCTCATCATCGATGTGGCCCTGCTCCAGAGCACGGCGAACCTTCTCCTGGAGCTCCTTGGGGAGCTCATCGTAGCCATCCAGGAGAGAGTAGTCAGGCTTGTCCTCGGAGCAGTTTTCCTGCCACTCCTTCTTGATGTTTTCGATCACGCGAGGAGTGGTACAGCCCCTTTGAGAAAATATTAGTTCATCTGTATAATTTAAATGTTAAAGTTTGATATCCATCAAGTGTGATATTTACCAGTGGCGCCACATGTAGGCTTGAATCTTCTCGCTATCAATCCAGGAGCCTACGCGGAGAGAGCCCTTGGGGATCTTTTCCTTGGCATCCTTGCACTCTTTGTTCTGGCAACCAGCACGGTTGGAAGAAGCGAGCTCTAACGATAGAAATTAGCTTAGTAAACATGGAATAGTATCATGCATTTTTGGCGGGGTTCAGGGTGGCATCTGGGCAACGACGATGAGAATCATGAGATTATCCGTGGCGCCGTGATCAACTGGATAAACGCCGTAACTCAGCACGCGTTAATTCGCGCGTCGTTAGGCTCCGAAGGGTCCCGCTTTCTTTGAGCTGCTAAGAAAACAGACCCCAAATCCAGGAGATCCCAGGAAAGCAGCAGAAATTTCGGGGGAAAAATCACGAATAACGCGGACTTACCAAAACGATGAGGCATGATTGAAAGTGGGCGTGGGTGCCCAAGCTTACGACTTTTGGGGAAAGGAACAAGGCAAAGGGAACACAATACAAGAAATGCCAGGGGAGGAGCAGTTCGCAGTGAAAAACAGTATGAACTGGGAGGATTTGGGTTGGATGAGAAATTTCTGGAAGGGAAAAGGGTGGAGAGTGACGTGACGCCAGTTTCCAGCTGCAAATTAAACAACACAGTTGTCAGCCACAGCAAAATGGAAGCCATCTTCTCGGTTATTTTTTTGGCTCTAAATTATTTCTAGACTCTATTCTATTCGCCTCAAGTGGTCTTTGATAGTCTTAGACAAGAGCTTTGCAGGGTGGAATCTGGGCTTTGTTCGCGTTACCTACTGTCTATGATCAGCGACCGTCCAGATAGATTCCAGCGAAAAACATTGAGGAGACAGATCGCCCAAGATGGAGCAATATAAGACATGATGGTACCGGGTAAAATGGGACTTCTGTCTAGGAACTTTGTACACTTGTCTTTTTTTTTTTTTTTTTTTTTTTTTTTCTCAGCAAAATTGTATGGGATAACGAGGGATCATTTCTGCCAGAAATCGTAGAATCGATGGTTGTCATACCCATCCTACATGTTAAGACATGTTTATCGACTGGTGTGGATTGGCCCAAGTGCAATACCATCAAGTTTCAGGAGATCAAGGATATTTTGTTTGTCCCAAATCGAAAGAATTCCTTGATCAAGAGAAATCTTCATTCTGAAACCGTCCTTCTCGATGGCTTGTTTTATGTCTCCCAAATATCACCTCGCAACTATAATAAACCGCTACTTAGCTATATCTGGGAGTCAGGCTTGCAACATAAAAAGAACCATGGCAATTCTTTCTAACTCCAATGCACAAAATAGCTGGACATTGTTATCAAAGTTGGATCAACAAAGCTCAAAGTACTTAGGCAAAGCCCGAAAGCGGTTAGCGTGTCGCAGTCCTCGTCGCGAACTTTCTCGAGTTGCTTTCTTACTACACTCACTTTCAACCCACATTTTCTTTCGTCCCCCTGATATTCCAGCGGCATTCCAAACTCCAAGAGAAATATCTCCTACCGCTGCGCCACCATATCACCAAGCTCATCAAAATTGCCCTCAATTACTATTCAGCAAGGGCAAAAAAGCAAAGCATCAAAACCGATCTCGAGGTCGCCGATCTACCACTCTTCATTCAACAACCACAAAATAAAAGAACAACTCTTATAACACCACAATGTCTGAGCCTGGCCCCGAATCCCTCCCTACTAGCGCCGACCCGCGCAGCAAACGGCCCACCAAGCGCCGCGCCATTACTCCGCTCTCCGAACATGCATCGGAAATCAAAACACTCTTCAAGGACCCTTCAAAGGAGATCCGGCTTCCGGGAACAAACCCACGCACAGGATCGCTGCTTTCTGTTCCACCGGAGATCGTCGCCAACGTTCAAGGTTCCTCGGCCGGAGCGGGTTCGGGCGAGTTCCACGTTTACAAAGCCAGTCGGCGGCGAGAGTATGAGCGAGTACGTCAGATGGAGGCGGAAGTGAGCAAGGAGAAGAGTGACGAGGCGTGGGAGAAGGAACGGGAGGAAGCGAGGAAGAAGGACGAACAGAAGACGGACAAAAATCGCCGGAGGAGAGAAAAGAAGAAGGCTGTGAGGGGGGGCAAGCAGAAGAATCCTGCCGGTGCTGATGGCATGGATGTTGATGGCCCTGCGCCCGGTACAACGAAAGGGCCATCGGCTTCTGGTCCATCGGTAGCTCCTGGTGGCCAGACTGCCGATTCGGAGGCCCAGTATGCCGAGGAGGTCCCTGGTGTGATTATTCACGAGGAAGACTAGCTCCCCCAGAGCTGATTTGGCCCTGTTGTACAATATTGATACCCATTTTATACATTTAAAAGCCTCCTGCTACTTCAACTTACTCAAGCTCGACGAAGCTCAAAATCTCTCAATACCTCAATCGCTAATAAATTCAACCTTGCGAGTTCCTACATTTTGGACTTTTTCAAATGTCTGTGATGCTTTTTGATCACATCTCTTTTTCATTTATGCATCATCTAAAAGCCATGACAACGTCATGTGGTTCTCAAAACCTGCACGGGTCAACAAGGATCAACCTTGGAATTTCTCTGGCATAACCTTTGGAAGTGATATAGGAAAAAGCGAGACTCTTTCTACCGATATTCACCGATTGTCCCCTGGTCGGACCATTACCCTATTCTGTATGACATGAGTAACCCAGAATCGAAGACTCTCCATGGATTTCCTCTGTGTACAAGCGAAAATTTTGTGCCTTGAAGACGTTGCTAAGTGATTTATCTAGTACGGTAAAAAGTCTCTCTGTCTGCCTTGATACATACAGATAAAATGTACCTCCTTCGTAGAGGCCGGATGCTTTGAAAGCAACATCCTTAATTTACTGATTGAATATTGCCCGTATGATATGGATTCGGGTTGTTCAATGTGAGGGTGTCATCAACAGTAGCCCTGCTCTTCCCTCTTTTACTTCAATCTCTTCTTTTCCACCGCCCATAAACAATATAAGTGAATTCAATGGATGCCCATGTGTAGCAGGGATGCCGCTTACTTGAATATCTAAGCAGCCACCCACTGATATCTGGCAAGTTCATCTTTTTCACTTGTAATTTTTTTTTAAACAAGATTTGCCATCCAAGACCATCAGTGATCCTCTATACCTATACGGGACCACAAGTGTCAACCGGTTCAGCCCCCACCCCCCAATGTCAAAGCGCCGAGAACACTCATTTTCCACAGTTTGAATTATCCTGACAGCACCTGGACTTATGGTCCGTCAGCCTCTCATGTCGTGATGTATAGTCTAAGCCTCTACTGATTTAGTTAGATTCACTGCAACCGGGTGGGGCTTACATAACTCCGATAGCCGAACCGTGTCAGATATTCGATAAAGAAAAAGGATTGCACCTTGAGAGATACGATCTGACTCACAGGGGCTCACCTTGCAGGTCCACATCGCCTCTTGCATCTCAGGTCGCAGACCAGTCGACCTTTTTGTGCAGACATGGTTGCCACCACGTCAGGGATCAGCAGTTCGGGCCGAGACGCAGCTAACGGATTTGCCGACGGAAACGATCACCAAGATGAGACTACATCCCTCCTTGGTGTAGTGCACACAAATGTTACTTCGTATGGCACAACGCCATCCAGCGGTAATGAGAATGCCGCCGATGAGGATGAGGATGAGAATGAAAAGCCTCTCCCCGTAACTCAGGTCCTGCTACTTTGCTATGCTCGTGCGATAGAGCCACTGGCATTCTTCTCCATCTTCCCGTATGTCAGCCAGATGGTCCAGGATAACGGGCATGTCTCTGACGCGGATATTGGTTTCTACTCTGGCCTCATCGAGTCTCTATTTTCCCTAACGCAAGCACTTGTGATGATTTTCTGGGGAAAACTGTCCGATCGTATCGGACGCAAGCCGGTTCTGGTCTTCTCTCTAGTTGGTGTCACGTTAGCGACTGGTCTATTTGGTCTGGCGAAAACGATACCCCAGATGATCATGTTCCGATGTATTGCTGGCGTCTTTGCTGGAACTATTGTCACCATCCGAACCATGATTGCTGAGCACAGCACGCCCAAGACCCAGGCGAGAGCGTTCAGTTGGTTCGCCTTCAGTGGAAATCTAGGCATCTTCCTAGGACCTTTGCTAGGCGGTGTTCTTGCCAACCCCGTAACCCAATATCCAGGCATATTTGGTGGAAACCGTTTCTTCGAGTACTACCCCTATGCCCTATCTAGCTGGGTCGTGGCACTGGTTGGAGCTACTGCCGCCCTTTCCAGCGCGCTTTTCGTCAAAGAAACACTGAAGAAGGAGCCAGTCATTGCTGCTGACAGTGTTGGCGATGAGGCAGCCGCCCATGCACAAGCGCAAAACGGCAACATGTCCACTTGGCAACTCCTAAATGCGCCCGGCGTCGCTACGGTTCTGTACATTTACGGCCACACCATGGTGCTCGCTTTCGCTTACACGGCCATTGTCCCCGTCTTCTGGTTCACGCCCATCACCCTTGGCGGTTACGGCTTTACGCCTATGCAAATCTCTCTGCTAATGGGCATGAACGGCGCGGCCCAGGCCGCATGGCTCCTCCTGGTCTTCCCCCCACTACAGAGGAAGATCGGGTCGAATGGCGTGATCCGTCTTTGCGCCGCTGCTTACCCATGCTTCCTCTTGACCATGCCCATTGGTAACATGCTCCTGCGGAATGGAACGGATGCATCTATCAAGGCTTTCTGGGTGATTACGCCCATTTCGCTGATTATCGGTTGTGGTGTTAGTATGTCCTTCACCGCGGTTCAACTTGCTATTAATGATGTTGCGCCTTCACCGCGGGTCCTGGGTACGTTGAACGCCCTGTCATTGACTGGTGTCAGTACTCTGCGGGCATTCAGCCCGGCTCTCTTCACTACGCTCTATGCGCTTGGAGCGAGAACACAGCTTGCTGGCGGCTATGCTATCTGGATTTTCCTGGCTCTGTTTGCTTCCGGGTTATCGCTTGGGGCGAGATATTTGCCGGAGCCCAAATCAGCTCATAAGCGTCGCAGTGCCGAATAGGCAAAAAAGCTTGAACGTATATGACCTTCACAGAAAAGAAAACGGGGGTGATTTTCACCTCGAGTGGTGAATCTGTCTAGACGTGTGCCACCACGTTGTCACTTGTTACTTATGGCATGTGTGTATTTAAATTATAGAAAGCAGGGGACGCAGCTGATGGGCATTGAAAAGACTGGTTAGGTAGTATACAGGGAGTCTGCTATACGAAGATGGGTACCCATATGGCAGTTCATTTTGGTCTAGGATGTTCATACAAATAATAAAAACCAGTCGTGTAGCATTATGTACGGACATCAGGTGCATGAATCATCTTTTTTTTGGTCTTGCTCATCTATTAGTACTTACTCGCCACCACCGCCAGCGTTGCCAACTTGTTGAGCGGACTTGCCGCTGCAAATATCGTCGACACGGAGAAGCAAGCACGCGGACTATCATGAAAATTAGTTGACTGTAAATTATGAAGAAAGAACCCAGGTAGCTTACCTCGACCGCGGTCTTAATGCTCTGAAGCTTGACAGCTTCGGGCTCCCACACACCGTACTCGTTCATATCAACCAGGTTGCCAGACTCTCCATCCAGACCCCAGGAGTAGTGGCCCTCAACGTGCTTGGCACGCAGGCGGGTCAGCACACGGATGGGGCTAGCACCAGCGTTCTGGGCAAGTGTGCGGGGAATGACCTCCATGGCATCAGCAACGGCCTTGTAGGGCCACTGCTGGACACCCTCAATGGAACGGGCAAGCTGGCTCAGCTTCACGGAAACAGCCATCTCGGTAGCACCACCACCAGGGCACAGACGGGGGTGGAAAATGACGTTACGGGCAACACCCATGGCGTCGTGGAGGTTGCGCTCGATCTCGTTCAGGATATCCTTAGACGGGCCACGCAGCAAAATGGTGCAAGCCTTGGGGTTTTCACACTTGCGGATAAATGTGAAGTACTCGTCACCAATCTTCTCAATCTCGAACAGTCCGGCGCCGGTACCGATATCGGACTCCTGGATGTCGTCGACACGGTTAACGATGGTAGCACCAGTGGCACGAGCAATACGGTTGTTGTCGGTCTTCCGCACCCGGCGGAGAGCGGTGATGTTGGCCTTCATCAAGAAGTGCTGTGCGAGATCTATATATCAAAGAAAGAGTCAATAGTCAGCCATGAGGTCTTATCGACAATAAAGGAAGCTTAAATGTCTTACCAGAAACACCCTTCTCGGTGATGACAACGTCGGGCTTGCATGCCAAGATAGCATCGCACAAGTGCTTAACCTGCTCCTCCTCAATCTGCAAGATACGGTTCCAGTCATCCTCCTTGGAAACCTCAATGTTTGTCTGGGACTCTCCCTTCTTGTACTCCAGAGGGCAGTCGAGCAACAGAATGCGGGGGTTCTCGATTCTTCTCCGCATCTTGGGGTGGGTGATATCCTTGTTGACCATGACACCGTCAATGACCTCAGAGTCCTCGATCTGACCACCGGGAATCTTCTCAATACGAGCATAACGCTTAATATCAACCTCCTGCTTTCCACCACCAACGTCGAAGGAAACTGTGCGCACGGCGTTGAGTGCGAGGCTGCACATCAGGTCGGACCACCGAGATACAAACTTGGTACCAATGGAGGCCTGGATCAACTTGTACATAGCCTTGTCGTCGTGGATGTCGACGGGTTTGGAAACTTCTCCGATAATGGTAAGGGCATCGGCGAGGGCACGCTTGAAAGCGGAAATGATAACGACGGGGTGGATGTTGCGTTCGAGTTGGGGGAGGGCCTGGGCGAGCATCTCACCAGCTAGAAAAAGGATTAGTGAACGGTCATTCAACCCACCAGTGAAGTTTGAAAAAGCATACCCAAAATAATGACAGTTGTGGTTCCATCTCCGACCTCCTCGTCCTGGGTACGGCTGAGCTCGATCATGCTCTTGGCCGCTGGGTGGGACACCTCGATCTCTCGGAGAATAGCATGACCATCGTTGGTCAGGACAATACCACCCATTGGGTCGAGCAGCATCTTCAACATGGCCTTGGGACCGAGACATGACCGAATGATATCGGCAACACTGGCGGGGGGTAAATCGTATTAGCATTGAACGGACTGAGTAGCGGTGTAGTCGGGAGCGAGCGAGAATAGGAATAAGCGTACGTCTTAGCAGCGGTAATGTTGGAAAGCTGTGCCCGGCGACCAACCTGTCGGTCGCCAGCATTGGTGTCTATTCAGGGGACGGTCCGTTAGTAAATGCCGTCAGAACAGTTTCGGGGAAAGGAGGGGCACGCACTCATCACCACCACCGGAGCCTGCATATTGGCGGTAATTTAATATGTGAGATTGGAGAAAGGAATAAAGTCAAGCCAGATGCAAAACAAAACTCCTGATGAACAGAGAGAAGGCTTAACTCGGGACCGCGTTGATGTCGCCCGCATCCCAAATTTCCAAAGTGGGAGCTCCCTGGCACTAAACCCAAACGGGTAGGGACAAACCAAGCAAACAAGAAGTACATCGAAATCATTGCAAATCATCGAATCTGAGTAAGTAGTACCACCACTTGCATTACTGTTATACATTTTTCAAGTTTAATATTTGGATTGAGTGGATATAATACAAGCTGGGTGACTGAAAATTTTGGAGTATATCAACAAATACATCTAATGGATATCGTACAGCGTTCTCCCTCAAACATGAGGGATTGCCCCTCGACTGTCAACCATATGGGTGTTGCCTTTCAGCATATGGTGTGCGGGAAAGGGGTTGGACCAACGTATCATCGAAGGTCCTTTCTTTAATATTCTCGGCTTTCGCCAATGTCCACCACGTCAAAGACACCTTTCTCAGCCAGACCGAACCGTTTCAGGGCTGTCTTCAGCTTCTCAGGCGGCTCAAGAACATCTTCCTCGGTCAAAACCCAAGTTCCCCAGTGGATACCTAGTGCATTCTTACATTTGGTATCCTGGAAAATCGAGACCGCATCATGCGGATCACCGTGTCCAGGGCTCCAAACATGACGAGGGGCGTATGCACCAATTGGAATCAAACCAAGATCAAATGGACCCCGGAACTCACCCACTTGCTTGAATGCAGGGCAAACGGGGAAATCATACTTTGGATCATGATCGTCTTCTCCTTCAGGAAGCTCAGGAACCGGTCGGTACCCAGTGTCTCTATTGAAAAGAATATATGGTCAGTACAGGCCATCCAGCACAAAATGAGATAGATAGGGGGGGGGGGGGGGCATACCCTGCAAAATACACCTTCTTGCCCTCGGATTCCACAGCCCAGGAGCACCATAGGGTCTTGTTCCTATCAAAAGGTCCACGAGCGGTAACGTGCTGACAAGGCAGACAGCTGAGTCGGGCCGTAATTTCGGAAGCCTCAGGATGCCCTTCACCCACAGCTTCGACCTTGGTTTCCTGTGTTGTTTGGGATAAGGTAATATCGCATTCCTCCCACCAATCCAGCTCGGTAACTTTCTCAATTCCACAACTTTGGAACCATGGCTTATTACCGAGAGGGACGAAGAAATGGCAGTGGGGGTGTTTCTTGGCGATTGCTGTAACCGAGTGATATGATAAATGGTCGTAATGATTGTGTGAAATAACAACCGCATCTATTATGGGAATATCGGTGGGTTTGCAAGGAGCGTCCGTGAAGCGCTTGGGCCCTACCAGGTTGTAGGGTCCACAGCGCTCCTCGAGTACAGGGTCAAAGAGGACCCGAAGACCACTGGGAAATTCAATGTAGTATGCTGCATGGCCTAGCCATGTTGCTCGCAACTTTGGGGTGTCGCGGCTGGGAAGAAATTCGGGCTTTCGAACGGGGACTGTAGGGCCACTTGTATCGGGTACATTGGCTTTGCCGGTCAAGCGACGCCTATCGGAGAGAAAAAAGAATCGCGTGAGAACTTGATCGGCGGCACTCATGGTTATTATATAGACTTACATCATGACATCACGTACGCTTTTGAGATTCACATCGCGCCAAGAGCTTCGAAAACATTAGCCTCTACTCAGTCCCGTGCCAATCAATTAGGAATCAACAGGATAACTCACTCCCATGGGTTTCGGAAACCGGATTTGGCATGATGGCTCTTTTTCGCAGCGTCCTCTGGGGCTGGTCTAGTTGGAGTCGTAGCGACAGTAAGGGCATACAAAATTTGTGTGGTTGTTGAACCCATGTTGCGAACCGACGAATAGGGCCGAATGCTAGGCTGTAAAAAACGAGTGAAGCCACGCATGGGGGGCAGAGGTTCTATTTAAATGCCACCCCCGAAGACCGAATTGATCGCGCTGCGCGCAGACTTTCAGCGTGGTGATTGAAGAATGCCGGGGGCAGAAAATGCCATTGGAGCTAAACCGACTCCGTTTCTCCATTCATAAAACCCGATTATCTCCGTATCGGCATTCAACTCGGCATCATTAACACTTAGCTCCGGAACGAACAGGCTGGATTTTGGTCATTTCTGGGGAATCCAGGCTATTAGAAGAATTAAAAGATATAGAGAAAAAGAAAGACTATACAGAAATGTTTGATAGTAATTCATATGGCTCGTGACCCGTTTGTACAACGATCAACGCGATCGGGCCGTTAAAACTCCGATATCTTGACTTTCTTATCGTTCCGCATCTTTTGCATCCACCACACATCGTGATCTGGGCATGGAGTCACCCATACCTAATGTTGCGCCTGCTGTGGCTGCTCCGGCACCATCTGCAGGTGACCTGATTCTCCAGCAAAGGACACAAGCTCTTCAAAACGCTTCAGCGCAGAATGGGGACGGTAGTCTTTGGTCACAGCTCACATCTAATCCTTTGTTCACAGCAGTATGTGATCTACCACCCTACACATAGCTCCAATTGCGAGAATTGACCCTTTTTATCTAGGGTTTTGGCCTTGCAGGTTTAGGAGCGGGACTAACCTTCGCGCAACGGGGTTTCCGTCAAGGCGCCGCATTGCTGCGTCGCCGTATGCTGGTTGACGTCGAGATTAGCATCAAGGACGATTCCTACCCTTGGTTCCTCCACTGGATGACCCTGTACCAACAATCACAATTAGGTGCGACCCGGGCGGCCACCAACTCCGGCTACCTGGATCGTCTTCTCCAAAAATTGACACCGGGCATGCGACATCTATCCATACAGACTCAGAAAGTCGAACACTCGAATGGCGCGATGAACACACACTTCTCTTTGGTACCGGGACCAGGAAAACACGTCTTGCGTTATAAGAATGCATTTATTTTCGTCAATCGCGTGCGCGAAGCCAAGTCTCGTGACCTACAGACCGGAAAGCCATGGGAGACAATCACTCTTACTACCCTCTACTCTCATCGCCATATCTTCGAAGACCTTTTCACCGAAGCCCACGCCTATGCTGCCAAATCGCACGAAGGAATGACTACAATCTACAATAGTTGGGGCACGGAATGGCGTCCATTTGGTAACCCGCGACGGAAGCGTCCTCTAGATTCGGTTATTCTGGCGGAGGGCGTGAAAGAGCGTATTGTGGATGATGTCCAGGATTTCATCTCAAGCTCATCCTGGTACTACGATCGGGGAATCCCATACCGACGCGGTTATTTGTTGTATGGCCCACCCGGAACTGGCAAAAGTTCATTTATTCAAGCGCTGGCAGCTGAGCTTGACTACGATATTGCAATTTTGAATCTTAGCGAACGTGGACTTACCGATGATCGATTGAACCATCTTCTGACGATTGTGCCGAAGCGAACATTGGTTCTGTTGGAAGATGTGGATGCGGCTTTCTCCAACCGCCGTGCACAATCCGATGACGATGGCTATCGCGGGGCAAACGTGACATTTTCCGGTCTACTGAACGCGCTTGATGGAGTGGCTAGCGCCGAAGAACGCATTGTCTTCCTCACTACCAATCACGTTGAGCGGCTCGATGAAGCCCTGGTCCGACCGGGGCGCGTGGATATGACTGTCCGTCTTGGCGAAGTATCGCGCTATCAGGTCGGCCGCCTCTGGGATCGATTCTATGAAGATATTGATACCGACGGGTCACATCGGAAGCTATTCCTTGACCGGCTCCAGGAGTTGGGTCTGGTTGAGGATGAAAATGGCCACAAGGCCGATCGCTCCAGGAACACGAGCGCTGCAGCCCTTCAAGGGCTGTTCTTGTATAATAAGGGCAACATGGAGGGGGCGATCGCCATGGCCGAGGGACTTACCTATTCTGTGCATGATGAGGCTATGGAACATAGCCAGGGTCCCGAGTAACTGTACCATATCCTGTAAATAATATCCCACAAATGTATAGATATCTTGTTCTGTCTCTGCATTTGTTTTGGCAATTTTGTCCAATCCGCACTCCTTCTGCCGCCTCGGCCGGTTGCTTGCGCCGAATCTTCAGGTCGTTGAACTTTACGGTGAGATTTCTGCACAGGGCGACCACCAATCGCCATTCAGCCCCAATTATTTGGGGATTAAATCACCCGAGCTACCAATCATTTGGCCCGAGCGAAGCGCTCCTGCAGTCACTATCCCCCGTCTCACGGGATTCGGCCAATCACATCCCGTCAACGGCTAAGCGCCCGGCCCAAAAATAGGGTTTCGCACGTACTATGACAATGCATTGCGGAATCGAAGCAACATATGCCCTTCAACCTGACCGAGTATATGTCAATCGAAACATCCCCCCGGTCGCGTTCTTTTGCAAATCTCGAGAGTCCACTTTGGGATTACCGGGTCTACTTTGCTGTGCATTGTAACACGGATCTACTATATACAGCTTTACTCTCAAAATACCATAGCCATGAGCCAGTTTCAATTATTTCCACCACCGGCGCCAGAGGTGAAGCCGCAGAACCCGTTTCGCAAGGGTGTCCTCAAACCTACTATCTCAAAGGCGGACCCGGGACCTTCAATACACGTTGATGAAGCCAAACGCTCACCTCAAACGACCGAGTCGGTGCTGTTTCAAATCATCGAAGATACAAAGACCCTTCCACCTCCACCTCCACCTCCAGCCCACCTCGCACGAGCGAAATCCCCAGCAAAGTCGGTCTCATCAAATGACTCCCAATCTGCACGTAGCCGAAGTCGTCCAGACAACCAGTCGAGCCACAGAGCATTGCCTTCTCAGAGTAGCTTGAGCAATAGCAGTGGTAGTTTTCGAACGAACACTTCGGTTACATCGCCCGAGTCGTCCCAGTCATCCATTTCTCCAGCTCCAATGATGAAATCAATATTTCCCCAATTCGATCCGAATCTCCCCCTCAATGAACAAAGCTACCACCCCCAGGTGCCCAGCAGCGCCCCTACTTCCAAAGGGAAGGCATCTCGCCGGCCTAAACTCACGCTATCACCAACATCTGAGATTGATCAAGTTCTTGGGCCCAAGACTGTACCCGCTAGTGTGCTCAACTTTCCAACTGGAGTTTTGGATACTGAAGAGGCCCGGTTTTCTTCGCCACGGGAGCTGGAGATGTTATGGGAAGCCGCTAATGGCCAGCGACCCCAGGACCTTTTCGGAGCATTCAATCTACGTTTTACAAAGTGAGTTTGGTGTCATAATTGGTGGGAGTAGTTTGTAACTGACTTGATGTAAGAACGGGACCAGCAACCTTCGCATTCGGCAATTCTGAACAACCATTCTATAAACTTTCAACATACTCGAATAACGAATTGGCTATCTCCCGTTGTGCGCCATCAAACCCCGAGAATGACGTCCCTATCATGACATTAAGTCTTGAGAACCGCAGTCGCCGTGACCACCCCAATGATGGACTTGTAGCTCTTCTTTTCTCACGCTTAGCTGCCATGCTTGCAATTGAGCAGGCAGAAGAAGTCAGTAAACAACACAGCCTTTCAGGCTCCGAATCAAGGGATGTCGAAAGAGATGCCCTCAAGCGCGCCGCAGCTCAAGAGTCTTGTCGGCTATCTTGGAATCGCAACCTGAGACTGTACGAGCTTCGACATCCCTCGCTCTCCAAAAAGCAACCCCCGGCGCTCGTAGGGGCTGTGGGTATTCCACTTTCTCCTGTGCAGGCTCAATCATCCGGTATCCTCTATATCACAGTTTCTACCACATCTAGCGATAGCAGCAACCAACAGCCACCGACCATCATTGTTACAGGTCCGGTCTCATTTTCATCTATAGAGGCCGCACGGCAAGCTGCTAACCCCCGTACATCCGTCCTACCTGTAACGGACTCCGATGAACCACTTGCGACCTTGGACTTTGCCACTCGAACACTATCTATCTCTCCTGCAGCCGTTATCGCTACCATCCCATCACTATACGCTGTTGACTCTCTTATTGCTGCAATGCTAGCCGTGGCTGTATCAGATGAGGCTACCAATCCCATTCTTGCAAACATGGAACTTGGATCTCCCAAATCGATGGTCTCCAGCATCACCCCAAAGTCACGCCAAGGGATGCCATTCCGTGGGAAGCTGATCACAACCCAAGCAGAACGTGAAGATTATGCCGAAAGCCTTGATCTGGCATCTCAAATCGAGAATGCCAACGCCAAACAGGCTGGGTCAAAAAGGAAAGCCTTTCTCAAATTCTGGGATCCTCCCAAGTCCACTCTGCAGAGCAGCGAGCCAAATTCAAAGTCTAAGAAGAATCAAAAGACTCAGAAGATTGTGGTTGAGGAGTTCGATCTGGAAAAATATGGCCGGTACGGTGGCTCTTCGACGCGCGAAGGAGAGAAGCTGCCGGGTCTGGTCAGGGGAATATTGAAGATTCTCTTCTTCGGCTTAGACTTGATTGTGAAATCATTGACTCTTTTGGTGAAGATCTTAGCGTGGATTCTGGTTAATTCTACACGCTGTTTGACCAGTGAGAAGTTCTAAGCTGGACTTAGAGTAATGTTCTGTTCTTTTGACTTTTCTTCTCTCTCTTTTACATCTCTCTTACGTCTGGTTTAATGTCGATTAATGAAGCGGTGGAGTACAATATGTTCTTTTTCCAAGGTTGTTATACCCAATGAACGATTTCTTTGCCCTTGGCTGTTCCCAGAACCGGATTTTTTGATCAGGCGTACACGACATCTGGATGCTGTACACAGTACAGCCCACGATTCTGTTTTCCCTTGCATGACGATCAAATGCATTTATACAGAGTACGTCCATGGGCCATTATCATTGAAATGAGAGCAAATGGAATGGCGGTCTAAAATTGCGTGTATATCCGTCAATGGTGAATACGAGGATTTTTATCCCGATCATAGTGCCCATGTGGATTTACCCCCATAGACTATTGGGTTATGCAATTGTTATCTACCAATAGTAGATGGATCCGTTCCACACAATTGAACATAGCGTTTTGCATGATCCACCCCACTTGTCCCCATGGTAATTCATACCGACGAACTTATAATCAAAAAATGCCCAGCTCCTATTCAGCTCCTATTCAGCTCAACAGCTCAAACGTTGCGGGTCTTTTGCCAGCTGTGATCCCTGGTCTAGCCCAAATACGGTGTTCCACTCCCAATGAATCATATTAAATGCACGACAAGTGCCCAGAATGGATTTTCAGTATACGCCATTTCGGCAAAGCCGAATTATTCCTACGGATGTTCTGGAAGCAATTTGATAGCTGTCAGAATGCTTAAATACGCCCTGGGCTCGCACTGGGTTTAACCGAAGCGGAGAATATTCCAAGGAAAACTTCTGTGGAATTTTCTTATTAATTATCGTCCTGCAAACACATCATGGCTGACGTTTCGGAATTTCCGTTTACCGTCACGGAGTATGTTGTTGACGGACAGCATATTCGCGATTATGCCAACGCGACGGTGGACCCGACGGCCACATTAAAACTCGTTCTCAAGAGATATACGCCCGTCGACAACCCAAACCCTCAGCCCGGCGACGTGACTATTATTGGAGCACATGGATGCGGATTTCCAAAAGTGAGTATGCTTTGATCTGATAAGATTAAGCAAAGTATTCTGACTAATGAGATTATCAGGAGGTATACGAACCATTATGGGAAGATCTCTACAGTCGATGTAAACAAGACGGCTACCGTATTCGCTCTATTTGGATCGCCGATGTCACAAATCTCGGTGCTAGTGGTATCATGAACAAGGAGTTTTTAGGAAGTGAACGTAAGGATAACAAAAATCCCCATCTGTGTGGGAAGAGCAACCACTAACAACTACCAGCATCCTGGCTTGATCACAGCCGTGACCTTCTCCACATAATCAATCAGTTTCGCGATGATATGCCACAGCCCATTGTTGGTGTGGGACATAGTATGGGCGCAGGTCAACTGTACGTACTACCTCCTCGAATGCATAGTATAGATAGCCTTGCTTGTCCAAAAGTCCAAACTGACACTTGACATCCACAGAGTTCTTTTGTCTCTTCTTCACCCACGCCTATTCACATCACTAAGTCTCATCGAGCCCGTAATTCCACCAAACATCATGTCCGGCAAAGGGCCCCTCTTAGCCGTCATGTCACTCAAGCGAAGAGACACCTGGAAAACCCGAGAAGCCGCCATCGAAGCCGCCCGAAAATCTCACAAGCAGTGGGACAAACGCGTCCTCGACAGATGGATTTCGCACGCCTATCACAATCTCCCATCGTCAGCAACGCCCTCCCAAGATGATGCCGCACAGACAACATCCAAAGCCAAAGTCGATCAACCAGTAACGCTCGTCAGCTCAAAATATCAAGAAGTACTCCAGTACATCCGTGAGAACCCGTCCAGCCACCAAGCCGTTGGGCGAGAAGCTACCACTCCCGACGCACCTCCCCACGACCACCTCCTCTTCCCAGATATCATCGGACCGCCTGAAACGACCAACGAATTCTACCGGTTCGAGCCCATTTTTGCCTGGCATATGCTCAAGCATGTGCGGCCGCCTGTCTTATACGTGCTAGGAAAGCACAGTCCTGTTTCTGTACGTGAGAACCGCGAGGCGGTACTGAAGCGGACCGGTGTTGGGATCGGGGGTAGCGGCGGTGTGAAGGCTTTGCGGGTGGAAGAGAAGATTCTCAATGGTTCGCACCAGTTACCGCTTGAGAAAGTTGTGGAGACAGCTGCTGCTATTGGTCCTTGGATTAGCAAGTCAGTTCAGTCTTGGAGGGAAGATGAGGCGCGGATTGCGATGGAGTGGGCTCGTCGGCCGATGGATGATAGATTGAAGAACATGGCGGATTGGGTTCCCAAGTTGGAGAAAATGATGGGTGTTGAGAAGAAGAAGAGAGATTCAAGACTCTGATTGAAAGGGAGTACATGGAGCTTCCATCCTTGCAAGGTTCTCCCTAGGGTTTCAGGGGATTTGTATATAGTACTAATGCACATATGAGGTCGGTTTGCACATACTGTAAAGAGCTCCATAAGAGTCCACAGTAATACCTTCTAGATCCACCCGGGCTAAAAATTGTGCAGGGAACTAGAGCGTTCCTTTGGCCTATTTGCGTTAGGTATAATTAGGGCAAGTTTTACGTGGGCCGGGACCCTAGGCCACCCAGGTGGACCTTGTAGTGAGTCAATGACCAGAGAATCCTGTGCTCCGCAGAGGTTGTAGTCGAGGGCCAAAAATTCAAGTCGTGGTGAATATAAGCTATTCACTATCCATTTTCCATCTGGGACATAACTTAGCAGTGAATATCGGACAATTTGATCCATGGATGACAACAACTTATCCAGTGCTTTTCCAACTATTTCCCAAGTTTTCGGATGACTACGTAGCTGAGCATGGCCATTGAAGTTACCTGGAAGGCTGGAAGGAAGCATTTCAGAGGATTCAAGGATACAGATACATCGATGCATCTATGTGATATGCTGGACTTTGGTCAATTATGCGCCATACTGTTGGCCCGTCGACTGCCGATCATTCCACATCCAGACGGCCTGATATTCGATGTTGCTGTCAACCGGAGATTTGCCACGCAGCCTAATTGGGACCATCTGAGCATCTACATACAGTAGGTGATTTTTTTTAAGGTCTTCAAGTGTACATTGAACTTTTGAGGCATTGGGGACTATACGTGAAATGATGCAATTACTAGAGACACAGAACCCGTGCGAAAAATCCCTCCTGGTTATCTCGGATCAATTGGCCTCCTACCACACGACATGGACCATACAAACTGGATAATATTTAGATTTGCTGTTCCATAGGTTAGTGACTGATGCGAGAGTGGTACCTGAGGATGCAACATTCAAATGTACTAGTAATTCACAAACACATGTAGGAGAGTCCTTGACGCTAGACATTCTTCGGAAGAAAGGGTAACCAGGGATACAGGCGAACATAACACCAGAAACCCGTAAACTAGCATATTTTTGGATCCATTCCGACGTGATCAACAGGGGATAAGCTACGTACAAAATCATAACTCCAGTTCAGATACCAGCAAAAGCTTATGTACGCAAGCTTCACGCCCCTCCACGTCCACATACGGCAAGAGAGCTACATACCTTCACGTCATGGCCACCAACACAACCATATCCAAAGCATCCAGGGATGCAAAAAGGGCCAGTAATTTAGCTTGTTTACCCCAAATAACATTTCTTATTTAAATGGCCTTTGACTCCGCGTGCAGACTAAAATCAAATTGCTCTCTCCATATACCCATCCATCAAAACAAAAATCACACACAAAAACCATTCACAATGCGTTACTTCATCGGTGCCGCCCTCCTCATCGCCGGAGTCACCGCGCAATCCCTCACTGACATCGAGACCTGCGCCGTACGTAATCCTCAACCCCCCAAAACTTACCTCCCAAGACCAAACCCCCAACTAACATCAATTGCAAAACGCAGGATGCCATCCTCTCCGGAATCGACTCCTCCGCCCTAGAGACCTGCTCAGACAAGAGCACAAAGGACTGCATCTGCTCAGGCGACTTCAAAGACGCCGTTAGCGACGCAGCAGCCAGCACCTGCAAAGACGCCGGCATCAGCCCAGACGACCTCAAGAGCGCGTTCTGCTCCAGCTCCTCCAGCAGTGACAGCGTCGAGGCCCCCGCCCGCCACGCCAGCAAGCCCATGGAGCCCGCCAGCAACATGAACTCGAACATGGAGATGGCCGAGGCCGGCGTCAAGCGCGCATATGCGCCTCCCTCGTCCGATGTTTCCGCTGCCGCTGCCATGCCCCAGGTTATCTATGTGACTGAGACCAAGACCGAGTGCGGGTGCAAGGCTACTAGTACCCCGGCTCGCTTTGATCCCATGCACTTGTCTCAGATCCCGGTCAATGTGCCGGCTAGCAGCAGTGTGATGGGTAGCATGGCGGCCGCTTCGGCTTCGTCGCCTGTTTGGTCGAATGGTGTCATGGTTGTGGGTGGTTCGGCTTCGTCGAGAGTTTGGGGCTCTATGGCTACCCCTACGCCGTCCGGGGCCAGTGCGCAGGGCTTTCGCCCTTTCAAGGGTGCTGCACCGGCGGTTAGTGCTGTGGCTGGATCTTTTGCCGCGGTTGGTGTTGCGGCTGTTATGGGGCTGATGTTTGCTCTGTAAACTACAATCGGTTTTTGGGGGGTCTTCTTTACTTTTCATTTTTCTTGACTGTTGATTTTGTGAATTCTTGTCTTGATAGGGACCTTTTTTGGGGGTTTGTATTTTGGAGTTTATATTGGTGTTTTGGTTGAAAGTTTATTTAAAGAGAGAAATTGTAATGATCAATGGAATACGTAACATTCAGTACTTGATATTCATTCTTGGAATTCGTGTATTTTGTTTTGGTCGCGTGTATGTCGGCAAAAAAAAGCAATGTGCACGTAAGTATCGTGTGCAACGAGGTCTTTGCTATTCTCCCCCCTAAGCATGAATTGATTGCTGCACACGTGGGTACAGCTCAACCAGCTTGTAGTAGATATCAGGGTGATCGTTGATCATTACCTGAGGGTCCCAACCCATGGCCACAAAGATTGTCTCGACGCCACTTCCAATGGGGGTCATGAAAATTTGACAAATTTGCAGACCAATAACAAAAGAGAAAGCCATGATAACGGGAGTGAAATCTCCATCGGTATTGTAGGCCGGCTTCGTGAACTGCAGGTATAGATATGCCAGCAACGCACAGACGTAGGCCACAAACGTAGAGCCCATAGTGAGAACAGGGCCCATCAAACAATCCTGGACCAGGGCATCGATTCCGCGATCGCGCATCATCTTCCATGTATCCTTGGCGGCCGGGATATACGGCTTTCCGTACAAAGCAATGTGGCAGAGAGCGTAGCGATTGAAGAATGTAACCAACCAATCGAGAAACGAGATGAGACATCCCAAGATCCAGACAAAGATCGATCCGACAATATTTCCCTGTGCAGCTTCCTGTCGTTGAGCTATCGAACACGCCTGGCGCATCATGTTAATGATAGCAAGAATCAGACTGCTGAAGCTGATGCTACCGAAGGAATAGGTAGTCGCACGACGGAACGCGCCGCGGGTCGCATGCCTGGGCATTCCGCCCGGAGAGTTGCTCCAAAAGTACCAAGACCCATACAAACCAGCGATGGTAGTGTGAACGGTATTCTTGATCCACTCACTAAACCAGTACATGGCGAAAGTGACATAAACCACCAGGCCAATCACCTTCGCGGTACTGCAGCCGCCGTTGGCGCAAGACGGATTCGTCCCCTTGGAATCAGGTTCATACTTGACATAAATTGCGACCAAGGTCACAGAGAACCATGCCGAAAACGCGACCGTCACGATGCCACCTAGAGCACTGACGAGGAAGACATGTCCATAACCTCGCGCGACGTCCATGGTGGTCTGTAGCATGAAAGCTGTGAACGGGATACGCGGGATCCAACTGATAAAACAGATCACTGCGAAGACACCGAAGAGCAGGAACACTATTCCACCTCCATATTGCTTGCGCGCGATATAGTAGATGCCCGTTGCGAAAGCGAAGACGATGTTCAGGATGCCTGTGGCCCAGATGAAAGTCTTGGTAAAGTATCGCGCGCCCATAAAATATGCCCAAGAGAAGACTAGAGCGACGCAAAGAACGAACACGAATAAAACGAGGGTATTGGTGTTCAGCGAGAAATCATTGCCGGCGCCGTAAATTCCTCCTCCGCTGAAGCCTTTGTTAGTGGCGTACGAGTGGATGGTCAAGCCTGACACAGCGACATATCCGAGAAAGACTGCGATGAGCTACAATAGAATTATTGGTTAGTTTGGTATTCCATCTTGGGTTTTTGCTGTGGAGAAGGACATGACCTACCAAAAGACCCGCCCATATATCGTTGTATTTCGGCTTGTCGATCTTGAAAGCTTGATCAAAGGTTTGACCGGACTGTGGTGGAGGTGCATTATTCGGGTATGGAGGAGGGGGTTTGGGCTCTTCTGCTGGAGGTTGGTAATTTCCATTCTGCTGGTAGCCATTGCTATAGTTGCCTTGGCCCTGGCCCTGACCCTGACCATCAAAGCCCTGGTTAGGGTTGTAGTAACTAGCTGCTTGCCCACTCATACTAGCTGCATGCCGTGGAAGCAGATCAAAGGATGTAAAATAATCAATGCAGTGAGGGAGAGAGAAAGCTCAAAGGATTCAAGTAAGGAGCTCTTGTGTTCCGGATTAGAATCCATGACGACATGCCAGCATCGCGGAAGGAACCATGATCGGCCCAATGATCGGCCTTTTCAGGGTTCAGGACCCTTGGGAACTCAATAGTGCCAATCCCAATTTTGAGTGCCAAGCGACCAAAAAAATGCAAGTTGTCCAGCGCTAATTGCAAAAAGATTTCTATATAAATGCCATGTCTATTCCAATATGCAACGTAATTAGACGATTTAATTTTTGTTTCCACCACGACGCTCGCTCAAAAAAAAAAAAAAATTTGTAAGGAGATTGCTCCGGCTTTGGAGTGGGGAAAAAGGAAGTCCAATGTATGTGCCTTGCCAAGTTTGACAAGTATGATTATGATTACATGAATTAGTATAAAGATCCTTGATTGGCTTATGCTGATCACCTGGCCCAGAATTTGTAGGTAGGACAAGAGAGACACGGTCTTGGCAGGCTCGGCTCAAGAAATAAATTCGGATCGACTATCGAAATGCATGGTGCTTCAGATTGCGCCAGGAGTCAACGACCCGGTGCTCAATGCTCGGTTGGTTGTTCCGACGACGAGCAGGGATGTCATCGGCTGCCTTGAGTTCGCCCTTACTGAAAGCAATAGACCGTCGCATCTTCTCTTGACGAACAGCGGTGCGGCGCGCAGCTCTCAGTTCCTCGATTCGACCTTGTCCCACTCGATGCTTTCGCAAGAAGCAGTCATCCAGCAAAGTGTTGACATCCAGGATTTTTTTGGGCACGGTTTGCACCACTTGGAATACCTCCATGGGATCGGACACCGCCAGGATATCCCGCTCGCATGATTTGAAAATTCCCAACGAAACACGAAAGAATGTTTTGGAACCCTCATAGAAGAAAATATCCCAGACCCGCATAGTGGTTTCTAGAGGGAGTGTTCCGATAAATACCGACATAAGCCAGTTAGTCAGGCCCAGAGTGATGTCTGGTAAACTTGAGTGCACATTGAGTGGGGGGGTTTTTCGACCAGATGGGTTTCCTCCCATGCTGGAAATCTTGGCGTAGATGCCCGGCATCGTGTCCCGGAGCAAAACCATCAATATCCAAAGATCGATGTTCGCACCTTCCAGACTGATCTCATGTGTACCAGGCAAGCATTGTGATGTCACAATGTGCAGCATCCAGAATGCTTTCTCTTCTGTCATAAACAGAAGAAGCATGCCGGTGATGAAGTTGAGTGATTGGGTATAGCCGATTTTGGGATTGTGGAGGGCAAAGGCATATAATACACGGCGAAGAGATTGTATCATTTGCGTCTCCGTTGGGTTTCCACTTCCAGCCTGCTCAACGGCATCAACAAACTCAGGTTTGAAATGGAGGTTGTCAGGGAATGTTCGGTGGAGGTCACGCTCAATGTGCTCCTTGTCATCATTGCTTGGCGACGCCATTACTTCTTTCACGAGCTGGTCATACAGACCAACATTGGAATTCATTAGTTCCCATCCACCGGCATACCAAAACCACGCTGCGCCCCGATATTCCGCGGGGATGCCCTTTCGTACAAAGCGCTTGACTTTGTTCGATTGTGCCGGAAATGTGCTTGGGTTTTTAGTTGGAAGGCCATGCTCCTGGAGCATGGCATGCCATTTTTGTCTCCGATGGGCGGTATAATTTGAATATGGGCCATTCCAGGCCTCATACTGCTCCCGAGTCACGTACTGGGTTGCTTTCCGAAACCCATAATCGTCTCTTGTCTCATTTCCAGAATTGAGCGGTGGAGGGACCGGGCCGGGGATAAATATTTTTGATTGTTGTCGTTTGTGAACAGATTGGATGGTTGAGGATTGATCTGACGCCGGGGGTGTAAGTGGTTCGGACATTGAGAGGGGAGGCGGTTGCTCTATCTCTTCGAATGGCGTGGGTTCGGGTTCGGATTTAGGGAAGAAAGAGTCAGAGAGTTGAGAGGATGCCGGGTCATGGGTTCTGGATTCCAGGTACGCCGGTTCTGGCAAACTTGACATTGGAAGTGGTGGAATGGGAGGAATATCCTCAACAATTGGCTTCGGGGGCGGGATTCCATCTAAATGTGTATCCCGGGATGGGGGCGGTGTCAATGATGGGGCCTTGCTGTCAGACCGAGACATGGGGGATCCGGGCTCTTCTGTGACATCGCTGAAGCCGTCAAGGTACATGGAGATTGCATCCTCCACGCTCATGCCCCCATCCATGCCATAAGGGGCATCAGGGGTATCTGGGGACAGGTCGGTGATGGAGCTGCTCTTGGTGAGAACACTGCTGCGCTCCGTACCACTGTGTTGTTCAATGCTAGACCGGGAGGTCATGGCTGAGTTGAAGCTGGTTCGGAGGGTGTTATTATTATCCATAGGTCCCTTGGATGGGAAACGGGGTAGTGGTAGGCCATGGGGGTTGGCTTCTTGGCGTCGGTCTGGGGATTGCTGCAACCGCGGTCGCCTGCCGTTCAATCTGGATGTCGACATGGATATGCGCAGACCGCCCCTGGCCGGCGGGGCCTTGCGAGGGGGCGGCGGCCAGTCCGGTTCGTTATCGCGAGGGTAGTATCTTGTGGGTTGTCGGTCGGGTGATGGTATAGGAGCGTACTCCATGGATCTCTGCGCCCTCCAGTCATCTGGAATCTCCTGCGGGGAGCCTGCCCGGAGAGACATTGGAAGCCACGGTCGGTCATCCGGGACCGTGTAAGCTGCAGAGGGAGCGGGAGAACGTGAGCGCGGGTCGTAGGTGTAGGTTGAGTTAGGGGAGCGCGGTGATGATCTGGGGGTCGATCTGGCGGTTCGCGGTGCGCGTGGATCAATCCTCAGAGGATCTAAACGTGAGGATTGGGCAATCTTTCGGCGGCCGCGCAGATCAGATTCCTCAATGGGAGGCGGGTATCTCGAGCTTCCATTTTCTGTGACCATGGCCACGAGCTAGTAACCAGTTCCCGCTGGACATTTGTTTTTGTAATGGAAGGGGGCGACGATGATAACCGCAGATGGGTAGAGAGTATATAAGGGTAATGATGAATAGAGTGGCGAAGAAAGTCGATGGTGGTCGCGTGTTGGAATGGGAGTGTATTTGGTAGTTGTACACCTAGGGCGAAGCGGGAGAGAAAAAAAAAAGAGAAAAAAAAACAGTAAGAGATGAACGAAAGGCCGAGCGAAAGTCGCTCCAGGGGTATCTCAAATATGGGGAGAGTGACAGGAAAAGAATGACAGGCGACTCCAAACCGGGGAAAAGAAGAAATATGAAGCGAGAACCGCCTGCCAGAGGACTTGGAATGAGGAAGTTAAGACAAAAATCAACAGAAGCCTGATCTAGCCTAGCGTCACATGACGTACATTGGGCAAGGGCGTTTCAAAAGACGAATTATGACTGGTCTGTTTTTTTCTTCTGCTCTTGTCCTCTTTTTCTCTCTTTCTCTTTTTTTTTTCTTTCCTGTCAGTTTCTGGGGATACGAACTGCATATAGTCGAGCTCTCGAACATGCAGTTCTATTGTTCCTTCATGCAACGGGACCCATGGATGAGCCTTGTGTACATGTACTAGTACCAAACGACGATTGGGTCATTTTGGAATAGTCTTGTTCTCCCAACAGAATTTCCCTTCAATATTGATTCTTTTTGCATTGTTAATTATCTTGTTACATTAAACGTGGGAAAACCCCCTTTGAAACGGAGCTTAGCCGACGCAATCATATTTTATGGATCTCAAGGGTCATGTTTGGTGCTGAGTGGGGATCGGGTACACCCGTTTTTTCCAAGGTTCGGACCCTTCTAAGCTTCCAATGGAACAAATCATGATTTGATTCATACTAGTAGGTAATTTCATCTCATTCGATACATTCAAAGCTCTTCAAGTCTTGAACTCAATTAAATTGCAAACACAGAAAACGATGACAGCGGGCCATCTTCAAGTTCCAAAAATGGGATCTATCACCCACTGTCGCTCGATATATGTAGTACTTTATATCGGAAACGGTTCCGGCCCCGGGGCTAAGCAGCGCTTAATTATGATGGGTCATTTGAACGCATTTGAAATCTTCCAAGATTCCATGTGTTTTCTCTGTCAAGCTTGGAAGAAACCACGCAATGACCATTGTCTATTCCTTCTCCAGAGTTTTTAACATTTGAAAGTGATCAATCTTTCTTACCCCGGCTCCGTCCACGGCCCCGAGCCGGCACTTGACATCGCACGCGATAAACCATACATATCAATGTTCTCACCCTGGCCACATTTGCCACATGCGCATGAACAACAGGACCAGCTGAAAGATCTTTAACAGATTCAGATTCATTGCTCATACACGTCCGAATTTCCCGCTCAGGCCTTGACTGGAAAAATTACCCGTAGCCCTTAATGCTTGTTGTTTCCAAGCGAGCCGTCCGTGGACTCCATCCCTGAAGCATTGTCGCTCGTGGATTTAACCAGTCACTTTCAAGATCTAAATGATAGATGCGAATCATCAATAAAGACTTGTCTTGGAGTTCATGTTGGCCACGTCGGTAAAGTTTCAGCCCTGAGATAATGGCCCAGGAACAGATGGATCAGACGGGACGGGATCGAGACATTGTTACGCTCGCCTGCCCAGTGAGCCATTCTAAGCCCTTCCAAATAATAAATTCTTCGAACGGAAATAAACTTCTCGTCATGCAGAATACTCAAAATAGATCAAAACTTGCAGAAAAGCCTGCTCTATGTGCGTTCCAAGGTTCCAGGTTTCTGCTCTGAACATTTCATGTCGCAACCTACACCATCTCCAACGGGTGCTACCTTATCTATAGCATCGGGATTTGTCACTACGGGCCGCTCATAGCCTAATACTTTAACCTTGGAGAGATTGCCCACGGGCCGACCTAAGCGAGCATACTACATATCACAACGTATGTACCTGATGCAAAAATCTATCTCATCGTACGGTTATGTAGAGCGTGACTTCAAATTTTAGGGACCGTTATGTTATGTTTTGTTTTATTTCTTCTTATTTTGCTGTGTTCAAGTACTAGTCACAAAAACACTGGCAAATTCTAGCTTCCTCCGAGTCATGATGCAATCCAGCTCATGAGGGACGTAACGATGGTGTATCAAAAGACATGTAAAGTGTGGCAGCGTTCAAGTCATTAGGCGTGGCTCAAGGTATCCAACCCCCTTTTATCATTCTGCAACAGCGTACTTGCGAGTCCACTCCCGCGCAATTTCATCGTACCGCTTCTGGTCCGTTTTGTATTGGTCGGCGATTCGCCCCTCAATAGCATCATCTGGCATAGGCTCCGATAGTAGCTGACGAGCAAACTGTAAGACAGCAGATATCTTTGAGCTGGGTTTCCATTCATCGGCCCTCAGCATGCCCAAGCACATACTTCCCTTTTCGTCGTTTGTGATGTTTGGGTGGTAGATTTTGGTTGCAAAGGAGACGGTGGGGGGCTTGAAAGGGTATCCAGTTGGGAGAGAGAGTTTGACTAGGAATCGTCCGCCCTGTGTAGATATGAGCGTCAGTAAATGGATCGAGAAAATTCAAAACAAGACGACGGGGAATCTGGGGGCCATATTCGCAGTTTGGACAGACCCTCTTCCAGCCACGGCAGACAGAAAAGAGGGCAGGCACCCTGGGTTAAGGGGGCGAGGAGCAAGGCGTGTCAAGGTACTCGACCTAGTGGGTTCTTACTTGATATGGTGATCCTTCGGGTCCTTCCATATATACCTTCCACTCATATAGGTTGGCTTCGTCAGCGAGTTCGACGAGAATTCCCGTTGGCGGCGACTCAGTGAGCTCGGTCAGCTCCTGCAAGCAAAAAGACGTTAGTGGGTACTATGACAACATTTGGTGGGAGAGAAGAATAGCCCGGAGAATTTTACCTTGGCAATGCGCTTCTGGCTACCCATGTCTTCGAGATGATCTGGCCGTGGCAGGGCGCGTGATGATTGCGGGGTGTTTGGTAAGACAAACAGGCGTCTATTAAAGACGTCGGGGCCGAACGAGTGGATTTTGAGGGTATGTATGGCAAAAGAATTGGCAGTGTCAGTATCAGGAAATTCTGGGCTGTGGGTCACAGGGAAAAGCTTGAAAGGTGTGGTAATTCCGTGCAGCAAAGCTCGGAGCTCGGAGAAGTTGAAAGTTGGTGGGGGGGCCAAAGACGTCAGTATCATCGGCCCGCAAGATCAGCCACTGCTAAGAACCGATAGATCTCAGTTCCCCAGCACATTCGAAATTGGCGCTTACATGCTATTTATAGCCAAATTCTCAATTCTGCTACTATCAACAGACATACTTTTGAGGTTGAAGCTACATAAGGCTTTTATTTGACCAATAATGACAATCTACCTGTGATCGACAATATTTACCAATTATTCTCGCTGCAACATTACCATCAATCCCATTAAACCCAATAGAACGGTCTTCATCCAAGGGTGTTCCGATAGCATAATTGTCACATATCCAACCATGGGGATGTACCCTCTCACACTTCCGACGATGTCCTCTGGAGAATAAATTAGCGTTGACATAAGAGTAACAGTCGAACGAGATTGATAAAACTCCCGACACGACTTGAAAAGCATAACATATGCTCCGAATAGGCAATGGTAGCTTACCGTCGCGATCTAGGTGATCTTGGCCCTTGGCGTACTAGCGTAGTCCGAATTAGCTGACAGTTAGAAGTTAATGCGATTCGAGGAAGGAACTAACCAGCTCGGTGTCATCGGCCAAATTGTTATCACCCTGTTTACAGAAAACTAAATCAGTAACCGTCTCTGCGCATGTCACGGTTTGAGAATCCCGACGTACCTTGGTCAGGAGCATATGACTACCCGGTGCGGAGTCACTATAAATCCATCAGTATCCATATGAGGGCCTCGCGATCCCAATTCCACGTACACTGTGATCTCCTTCACTTTGTTCGTTGTGGAATCCAATTCCGGGAATGTTCGGACGACACGGTGGACGATACTGTAAAAGAAAGTTAGCAAATGCGGAGGCAAAATATGAAGCGGGTATGCGGGTGTTCGTACGGAATATCCTTTCCTCTCACGTTGTATCTATTCCCATTCCCAGTCAGTCAAGTCGGTTCTCATATTTTGAGGTAGGGGAGCACATACACAACAACTTCTCCAACCTCCGCCCGGGGACTTCTGTTCCACAAGAACAGCAGATCACCGCGCTGGAAGGCAGGTTCCATACTACCACTCAGAACCACAACGATCGGGCTAGATGAGGCACTCAACACCGACAGTCCCTTCCATAACATGAAAGCCGTGGACAAGACCTACGGGCGCTTGTTAATTGACGGTTCATCTCAAGGGTCCAGGGCACATGTAGCGTACGAGGGCAAAGTTGAGCACCGACGCCATCGTCTGGCGCACGTTAGTGGCGCCAGAAAAAAGTGAAGATAGCATAGCGGGCGATTTGAAGGTAGAGATCGGGTAAGGAAGGGAGCTCGAATAAGGTTGTTATGCGCTGGAATGGAATGATAATGAGCGACTGCTAAGAACTGACCAAGTCCCTCAGGTTAGTATCAGGTATTAAAAGTATGAACAATATAGAAAGAGGCTCACCTGTTGCGCCCAACAGTGCCGAGTGGTTTGTTTTGCGGAGCTGATCACCTTGAATGCGGAGAGGTGGCCTCCTCCCGCGTCACTATTGGTGCCTTGTTGCCTTGGCCGCCAAGCTACTTTAGCGTACCATCTACACCTAAAAAGTAAGAGGCTCAAGAACCCAAAAACTTTGTAAGTTCACAAAATGCCTATATGCCATCTGGAAGACGACATGGATTGCAGGCCGCTTTTCAATTTTCTCAATCAAGTCAATACAGAAAACCGAAGATTCTCACTAATCTCAAGGAACACACGGCCGATTCCAACCTTCCAAGGAAAGCTGGTCAAGCCGATCCCCAGTGGTGATTCTAACCACCAATCTCAAGTGCTTGAACAAAACAAGTCTTGTGGAATACCTCGATCAAATTGATGTTCAAGTTGACCATACCCGTGGACCTATCCAAACACGCATTTGACCAAGAATGACACGCGAACTGGTTGATCTCATGGCAAAATTCCGTTCTGACTGCTGAATATATTGGAAATTTACCTGACTTTCCTACATCTTGCCTAAAGCGAGAAGGCTAATCTCTTGGCGGGAAATCAAGGAAAGCACATACTTCTAAGGTCAACTGGAAATTGCTATTCCACTATAGCTCTTATTGAACATGATCATCCAGGTCGATTTATGAGTGCATAGCACTGAATGACCTGGAGAGGTCTTCTAAGGTTGAGGTTTTGGAGACGAGCCAGGTTGCACTTACACTGGTGACGTATATTAGTGACTCCTTGAGCTTCAATTCCCGACGGTCTGAAAATTCGATTCTTTGCATCGAATCTAACCATCTTTTGGTGGGAACTATTGGCATTTCGACTTTCAATGTTGAACAGTGTTTTTCCGTCGGACACCTTCAACTTTTTTCATAGTTTTTGGAACATTGAAAGCCTGGCGAAATAGTGAATGTGCCGCGTCACAAATGTCCATCGCCAGTGCGGCATGTGGGTAAAGAAGCTTGTCCTGAATTCTTCCAGATCAGTTACTAATATTTACCAGTGACATCACCTTTCACGAAGCTCACTTTCTATTGCTTGATTTTGAAAATGAATACATATATCCATCACGCTTCTGATCGCCTGGGAAAGTCTCCTGTGTTCCACCAGGAATGTGGATAGCCTCCATGGCTTAACCTTGGGACCTCATCCATCCCTTGAGAACAGGTATTACCTGCAAAGGCCTAAGCTTTCTCTTCATTTCCTCATCGGGAAGAGTCCCTTGCCCCACGAGAAGCACTTGAATTTTGAATCAGAATTTCCTACGAGATCACGGACTCGTGCTTGGAATAATTGGTCCCATTTTGCATATCTTCTGCAGAAGTCACGAACCCCACAGTCCGGAAAATTAACAGATCCCACAATGGGTCGTGATCTGCCCGCAGATCTCAAGGGGGACTTCATTCCTCGGGATGGAAAGTGCTCTCCCCCTGCGCGTTACGTACCACAGTTGGAGCTTCGACATAACCACACATGTCAAGCTTCCCTCTAAAACCACATGATTGTGAGCTCCGTATATAACTTTGCCTCTCCTCATCAAATGATACGCTTGCCTCTCATAATCCAACATGAAGTCGACTTTGGTTGACATTATGGACGAACCCAAGTTCTCGCTGCGAAAACAACTGCGAGAACATCACCTCGAGCTAACGTTGGATGGAAGATTTGTACGGTGGATGCGAGACAACCCTAAAAATCCTCGAAACTGGTCCGTTTTTCGAAAGACTTACGATGCTGGGCTGGTCTGCGTCCTTGATCTGTTTATGTGCGTACTATATCTCCATCTTTGGATATTGGGAGAGTTGGCTAATGTTTATTTGTATAGAACCGCTAGCAGCACCGCAGGCGTGAGTTTTTACTTTCCGGCCTTTTTACTCCCTCCTATATTTATAATTCCTAAAAGTGGTATCTAGGCCGCTGCCGCAACAAAAGCAAAAGATGAATATAACTTGGATCAAACGGTCGCGATATTTTGCTTCGTGTCATTGTCAGATTACTCGCATCATGATTTTGGAATCTCTCTAACAAGTCACACAGATTTCTTCTCGGGCAGTGCCTAGGCAATATTGTGCTTCCTCCATGGACTGAGTCATTTGGCCGCAAAAGAATGTATATCATCAGCAGTGGCATCAGCACCCTATGCTGCGTTATTATTGGCCTTGTTAAATCACTACCGGCGGCCATTCTAATGCGCATTCTATCTGGAGTCTTCTCAGCCGTTCCGGGCACGATTGTCGGAGGAACCATTGAAGATCTTTTCGATATAAAAGAAAGAATTTGGGTTGTTTTCTTCTGGACTGTTGCTTCCAACATTGGCCTGATCATCGGCCCGATCATGAGCAGTTTTGTCATTGAAGGACTTAATTGGTAAGTCCGTTGAATTTATCACTTGCATCTCTGCTTTATCTAACAAATTGTCAGGCGATGGGTGTTTTTCGTTTATGCCATAATTCTTGCAAGTATCACGGGCCTCCTATGTTTTATCAGAGAATCACGACCATCATGCCTCCTAGCTCGAGAAGTCAGCCGACTACAAAAGGAGATTCCTGATATACCGCCATCGCTTAATCACGACCACTCCCCCAGTATGAAGACTTTCCTGGCGGACTCTCTCTTCAGACCCGCACAGCTGTTTGTCAAAGAGCCTATAATATTTACGATCTCCATGATGATCGCCATTTCCATGTCCCTGATCTACATTTTCACCGAAGCTCTCCCACCGATATACCAGTCGATGGGATTTTCATCATCTCAGGCATCATTGATTTTCCTTGCCATTGGCCTCGGCACTTGTTGCAGCACTTTTACCAGAATGTTGGACTGCCACATCTACAACAAACGACGAAGGAAAAACCTGCCCATCAAGCCCGAGCACAAGCTTGCAGGATTAGCAATCGGTGCGCCGTTCTTGGCAATTGGGTTATGGTGGTTTGGATGGACAATCCCACCCAAAGTTGAAGGGCCAAGTGTGCCTTGGATTGTCCCAACCCTTTCCTTGGTGTTGGTTGGGTTCGCTCTCACGGAGATCGACACAGTTCTCTACGGGTATATATCGGATAGCTATTTGAGTTACTCGGCAAGTGCTACCGCTGCGGTGGCATTCATGAGAGGCATGCTTGCCGCAACCTTCCCACTGTTTACCAAGCAGATGTTTGGCAAATTGGGAGCCAATAATGCCATGTCGATACTTGCCAGTTTGGCGACAGTGTTTTGTATTGTTCCACCTTTATTCTTGTGTTACGGTGAGAGGATTCGACGGCGGAGTCAGTTTGCAAAATACAGCTGGGAGATCCAGGGCGAGATGGGGAAAGATGAAGATGATATTTAGAACCAGTTGACCTTAGATAGATGTACCAGATAGTATACATATGCAAGGTAAATATTTGAAGTCTTGTTTCAACATGCGCTGGTCAGATCGAGCTTTGACCCCAGAGCCCAATCAGGCTGAAAAGATAACAAATCTTGAGTTGCCGTAAATGGAACAGTACCGAGTCCCGACTTCCTCCAGAGGCCTGAATAGTGTCGTCTGTTAACTCATTGCCAATGTGTCTCCGAACAACGCCTTGTGTTTGGAGATTATTCTTTGTGCCAGTAAGAGCTACACTTTAGGCACCGGTTTGCTCTCGAGGATGGTCAACTGGTAGCATAATTGGAATCACCTGACTAAGACCGACTCTAGTAGTAGAGGGCGGGAGGGATTTCCAGTCGGGAAAACAAAAATCACATGTGCATCCAATACATCTACAATTTTACTGAATTTATTCGCCATTATGAAGCCTCAAGATAGATTTTACTCTGAGGGACAATGCTACTTTGGCCCGAGAGAAAACCCTCTGACCGAAACCCACTGCAATGTTTGGGATTGGGATCGACTGCGGATGGTCAAGGTCAAGGGCACCGCCAAGCTGTTTCCTCCAGATGTAGATATAGAGATCCCAATTCTAGCTCAGTTTGCGGACTACCTGTCGCCGGAAGTTCGCTCAGTCACAATCGACGACCATGGACTCCTTGCCGGGGTTTCGACCGACCCGGAAGAGGATGATACCCCCTTTGTTGCATACCTTCCCGTCTCCGTTTTTGAATCGCTCGCCGATTGCCGTACAATTCAGTACTCTAAACTTCAGGAGCTCGATCGGCTTGGACCAGGTGTTGATCTTTCATTATACGAAGACGAATCCGGGATTCCTCACAAAGTTGCCTTCAAATTCAACCCTTTCGACAAACCCCTGAGACTGCAGATGGCGTGGGATGAACTCAACCTTCTTAAAAGTTTGCCTCCACATCCCAATATAGTACCTCTTGACCGCATTGTACTCGAGGATGTGGAGTCTCGGGTGATTGGTTTTACAACGAAATATATCTCAGGTGGAACCCTCGACAACACCAATGTGCCTTTCCGATTTGAATGGTTGCAACAACTTACCCAGCTCGTGGACTTCCTCAATTTGGATCTGCGAATCATGCATCAAGAAATTGCACCCCGCAACCTGCTTATCGATCCTGAAACACAGAGAATCCTTCTCTTCGATTTCGATCGGGCCGCACAGGGATAAAAACGCCTGCTGGAAGGTCGAGATGACGTAACTGCTGTTGTATTCACACTCTACGAGCTCATCACGAACGATACACAATTCACAAGTATTCCTCACTGGGAAAGAACCATGGACATGGTGCAGAGTATTTCGGAATGGACTTGTAATCGGGAGCTGGACTCTGACGCATCAAAATTTCGCAACTATTTGAATGATTGGGTCGCTACGCGAAAATTGGACGGAGACTTGGAACGATATCTCAACGCACCCAACCGGCTTACATGGCCGGACCTACCAACCGCGCCTGACTACAAAGTACCTTTCGAGCTGGGCAAAACTTCGGATGGACAGCCAATCTGGACAACGGGTCCGCGGTTTAGACGCACTGCAACGGAGAAGGGTCAGTATTGTTTCTTCTGGGAGAGACCGTCACAGAGTAAATTGTTGAACAAGGCCGAAAGTGGCATATACTACTAGCCGATGTATAGAACATAATGCTCAATCATTGAATTCTGATCAGATATCGAGGGTGAAGACGTATTATTCTCCCCAGCATTTGAAGAAAACATTGGAAAGCCAGCCCAATCCCACACATGTGCAAGTAGTTCACGGTCAAAATTTTCTAGATTTCTGTCCTCCGTACTATTTCAATATTCCGAACTCAAGCTGTCTTTCGACTTATTTTCCCAGCTATGGTAGCTATCCTCCTAACTATATTTCTAAGTCTCTTCCTAACTCTCTGTCTAACAGTCTTTCTAACCATCTTCCTGACTATAGTTCCCAGTGAAGAGGAGAGCTATAATATAAGAGCCATTGAGTAGTAAAATAGAAGGGTATATAAGAATTCCTTATGATAGGAAGGACTATTATGCGTAAGTAACATTGAATAGTATATGACTGTATGTCTAGTGAAAATCGAGAAAGTTTATTAATATATCCAAGAAACCCCGACCTGTCTTAGGATCCAGATGACCTGTTTCTCTATTAAACTCCTTAAAAAGGTGCCCCTGGTTAGGAGGCGGTTGTAAGGGTGTAGGTTTCAACATTGAATGTTGCACATGTGGGTTTCCACTTAGGTAATGTAACTTTGGCAGGTGAATGTCTCATGTACATTGTATCACTTAAACAAAGACCAGAGACTTGTATTAAAGTTAATGCTTAGCTAAAGGTAATAGTGATCTTCAAGGTAAACGGACTTATCTTCGTACAAGATAGAGCCATGGTAATGACTACCCCGGAAGGTGCGCTTGAGTCTTAGATCTTCAATTTTATTATCGCGCAATTTCCTTTTGTATTGATCGCACCATTTATTACTACTATCTTCTGATAGTTCTCCCATGGTTCCAGAATCACTACTAGTACTAGTAGTATCTATTCACTTTTTACCACCTTCTTTTCCCCCTCTCTTCTTTCCCTCCTCCATCTCCCTCATTTCTTAATCAAAAACTCCCTCTCGATCTAAACCAGCTACAGAATCTCCTGATCCCATGAATACCGTCCAGGAATCTCTCAAGGAGGGATGTGACCACGCAATGGATCCCATCGACGTGGAAAGACCTGAAAAACCTGCTGGTTTTTATCCCGTCCAGGAGATTGATCTTGATGCTGAAATTGACAATTCCCGTGTCATTAAGACAGGTATCGATGTCTCTAATCACTTGATCTCTTTGCGAGATGACTTCGACCCTGCCATGACATTTCGCAACATGTTCCTTGCCTCTGGCCTAGCATGCTTTGTAGCTGCCATGACCATGATTTACAAGGTAAAGAAAGATAACGCAGAACACAAGGAACAAATATTGTTCCGCTTCTCTCAATTTTCCAATATAGCTGACACATATCCCACATTTGCAGTTCAAACCAACCGAGAGCACCATCACGGGAACGTTTCTCGTCTTGATTTCCTACATTCTCGGCACTGGTTGGGCCAATCTGCTCCCCCGTGGTGATAAATTTGAGGCTCGTTGGAGGGAAAAAGGTGGTCAAGGCGACCTCCCTTGGGGCATCCGTGCTTTGAAGTTTATCAACAATGGCCAATGGTCTCTGAAAGAGCATGCAATCTGCCAAATCACTGCTTCATCTGCTGGCAGTGTTGTCGATGCTTGTATGGTTTTTGCCGCACAGCTTCTTTTCTACGATATGCGCCTAACTGCAACGACGATCATTCTCTCTACAATCTCTATCAATCTCTTCGGGTATGGGCTATGTGGTCTCTTTCGCCCCATTTCAGTCTGGCACCCAGAGGCGTTTTACTGGGGCTCTTTACCAATCATCAAGTCCCTCCAGGGGCTCCACTGGCAAGAGGTGAGAAACTCCAGGCCACTCCGACTTTTTTGGTATGCTTTTGCTGGTATGGCCGCATACGAGATCTTTCCCGCGTGGGTTTTCCCATGGCTCAACTCAGTCTCTATTCCGGTAAGTGATCAAGTCCAATCACTGAAATCTGTTTTAGTAATCAGATTAACTAAAATTGAATTTGCTCAAAAGTGTCTAGCTGCACAGAAAACGACAGGAAGCACTGCCGAGGTGCTGACGAATGTCTTCGGAGGGTCCGTCAACAATGAAGGCCTGGGTCTTTTTTCACTGACATTCGACTGGCAATACGTAAGCTAAACTACGTATTGTATGGCAAACACCATATCTGACAGAGTCACTAATTGAGACAGATCACTTCTGCTTCGCTAGCCTTTCCTTTGACCTTGCAACTACATTCCGCTATCGGATTTGGCGCATGTTTTCTTTTCATGATTGGAATATATTACGGCAATGTCTGGGGCTCAAAGTCACTTCCATTTATGTCATCAAGACTTCTCACATCCAATGGCACCAAATACCCTACTGCGAAGTTGTTCCCTGATGGCGTGCTTGACGAGTCAATCTTGCTCGAATTCGGAGTTCCCAAATTGGCTGGCTCATTTGTATGGGGTGTGTTCTGCGCTTTTGCTGCAGTAAGTACCATGATTCTATTCAGAGCTCACAGTTTTGCTGACCACGTCAAGATTGGTGCTTTGATCGTCCATTGCCTCTTGTTCTGGAGTAAGGATATGTGGCAGACAATCAAAAGGGCAAAGGCCGCTAAATTCGACGATCGCCACCACACCCACATGATCAATCACTACAAGGAAGCGCCCTGGTGGTGGTATGCGTTGGTTCTTCTTGCAAGCTTTATTCTCGGTCTGATCGTTGTGCTCAAAGAGGATATAACACTGACAGCTTGGGCTTATGTGGTCGCCCTGATCTTTGGGTCTACCATTGCACCATTCGTGAGTAACCAGAGTCCTGGTGTCTTTCTATAGGGTGATTTTGACTGACCTCGTATAACAGAGTATAATTCTCTTCTCTCGCTTTGGAAATGGCATTGCTACCAATCAACTATCGAAGATGCTGGCTGGTCTCATGATTCCCGGAAGACCAGTTGGGAATATGTACTTTGCTGCATGGTCACATAATGTCATTGCCGGCTCCTTAAATCTATCCAACGATCTGAAAATGGGCGAGTACTGTAAGTTCATCCTGTGTCATGCATTACTTCGTACTAAAATTCACATGATATTTAGTGAAGATTCCTCCTCGCGTCATGTTTGTCACCCAGATCTGGGGAACTCTTCTTGGCGGCTTTATCAGCTACGCAGTCATGATATCAATCGTGTCCAAAAACCGCGATGTTTTAATCAATGGCAACGGAAACGCCTCCTGGAGTGGCGTCAATGTGCAATCCTACAATACTACCGCAACAGCTTGGGCTCTTGCCAAGTACTTTTTCAAAAGTGGTGCCGAGTATTCAATCGTACCTATTGGCATGGTTATCGGCGGTGCGATTGTTGTTGTTCATCGTATCTTCTGCCAGGTGCGTACTATCTAAGTGTATTTCATATTTGAGGCTAACCAAGGTTTTTCACAATTAGATGATTCCTAAGATCCGGAATTTCGATGTCCGCGATATCAACATGCCCCAGTTCATTCAATATGCAGGCTACATTCCATACAATAGCCCTCAGACTTGCACAATTCTCACCCCTATCATTGCCGGTGTTTTTGTACAGTACTATCTCCGAAACTACCGCCCACGCATCTTCCACGAGTACTTATATCTGTTCACTAGTGGCCTTGATGGTGGATCTTTTTTGGTACTGTTCATCCTGTCTTTTGCTGTTTTAGGAGCTGGTGGATCTTCGTATCCGATGCCCTCCTGGTGGGGAAATAATGTGGACGGCTACTACGATTGGTGTCCATCTCCTAGTTCGGAGACGTAGGGGATGAGATGACTGCCAGTCTGGCTAAGACGTTGTCAAAGTGTGCTCGTTGAGAAATTCATTTTTTACGGTGACTTGAACTGTCGAAAGTAGATTTATTCACGAGAGATATGGAGATTACTATCCAAGCCCTAGCTCGAGATCAAAATCCATGGGTAGTAAAATGTACATACAAGCAAACATTCATTCATTCTTCCAACCTCCGCCCCTCACCCCAAGTCCAGGGATCTTGAAATCAACAATACAAGCCGCAAACGAGGGTCGCCGCCGTAAATCAGAAGAATCATCCTCCTGGATTCTCAAAGCATTGACCGGTCGAAGCCCATCTACCATCTTACAAGACACATATCGACTCGCGCCATATCGCCCCATGAAACTATCTCTTAACGCCGACGCCTTACGTTTCCGGGATCCAGTCTCGAGTCTGAAACCCGGTGTGCCACGCTCGGATATAGTGGCAGATATGACACTCCCATCCGAGCCAAGAGTGACCATTTTCATCGGAATATTGTCAGGTGCAGTTGGGAATTGATCCGATGCTGGTTCAGGCTCTGCAGACGTGGACGTGAAGGTGTCGATATCGAATATCCGTGCGGAGCCAGAGGCACCAAAGGCCCAGATACGCGCGCCGCCGTTCGAAGATTGGAGGGCGAGCTCGACGATATTATCCATGCGTCCGATTTCTTTGCCGTGAACCTTGAATGGCCAAGTCATAGAGGGCGCTTTATAACGCGCGCTGAGAACGAACTCCCAGTCCCCATTATCGTTTTGTATGAGATTTTCGCGGCGTTGGCGGAATTCTCCTGGGTCTGTCCCTGTGGCCCAGTCGCGGGCTTGATCGTCCCCCATGAAGCCATCCGATTGGCGTTCTCGTTCTTTGCGAATGATATTTAGGAGGTCGAGAGGTATTGAGTAGAGGACTATATGGTCTCGGTATGCGGCCACGACGCGGAGCCCCCAGCTTAAATCCGAGGCAATGGCGAATGCTGTTGGGACGCGGGCTTGTTCTGTTGATACGTCGGGTTGATATTTGGTGGAGCCTGGAGGGACGCATACGAAGGCGCGGGTGAGGCTTGTTGGGCCGCCGATTGGGGCGTCAGAACCGATACAGAGGAGCCCCGTACGCGGCTCTATGAAGATTATATGGTAGCCATCGTGGACTGGCATGGCGCGATAATGATGGCAGTGTGTTGCGCGAACGAGGCTGAGAGATGAGTGGTTTGGGGGGTTGCGGATTGATGATTTTGAGTCGCCGAGGAAATTGAATTGGCATTTTTTGGGATGGTCGGGAAATGGGGATTGCCGACATGAGCACTCGTGGACGCCAGGTCCTGCTAATGAAGATATAAGGCGCATTTCCGTCGGCACCTTGGGTGAATTTGGTAGGAAGTGTAGGATTTCGGAAGGTTGAGACATGGGGAAATGTCGACGTTGGGCTGTTTGAGTATTTTCGTCTATCCAATGTATTTCGATACCCCCTGCGCATCCGAAGGCTACGCAGCGACGGCCTGGACATAAGGCGATCGTTCGTGGAGGGTGATCATCAGAACAAACATCTTGAAAATAGTGCGGGGTTAAATGGGCGGTTGTCGGCATCGAGTATAGATTGTGTTTCGCTGGCTTGGATGACAAGGATTCTGGTGCCTCATCCACCGAACCAGCAGTGGATCCTGCAAAATCATAAATTATGTTTGAGACATACAAGTCGCAAACCATGCCAGCTCGATTTCGTAATAATGCGGCGATGACAAACGGAGAAGAGGTTGTATCAATTGTGGCAGATAGAACTTCAAATGGACAAGAAATGCTGGTTATCGGTATCACATTGGAATCCGCCAAAGACATCGACCGGGAATCCTTGTCTAGAAGGCGGAATACGTATACCATGCAGCCAGTCGTGGTCAAAAGATACTTGCCACAACTGCTGACACTAAATGTTGAGGCGCTATGTGAGTTTAGGCCATGCAATGATGTCGTGGCTCCTCGAGTCTTCATCCGTGGCAAGCTTGCAGCAAGTTGAGAGAAATCGATAGACCCCGTTGTCACAAAACCCGGTTTCTCAAACACGGTACTCCGCCCGGAAAGCAAACACTCTGTCGCGAAGCGCTTGCTCATCCTCCACACCTCACTTTCATAACTGGATGGGTTGCGGTAGACTCGTTGCGTCATACTATCATGCCGCCATGCATCCCACCAACCCGCTCGTTTCAGCATCGTTTCCAGCAAGTCTTTGTTCAGGCTGACTCTCATCCATTGCGAGCAAGTTCGTCGCGCATTATTGAAGTCCCGGGGTGTCATAAGGGAGTATATTTGCAGTAATATTTCCGGTGGTGTAATATTAGCGGCGGGAGGCGTTGAGCCCGCAACCTTTGTATAGTTGTGTTGCACATTTTCTGTGATTTCGTCCAGTTTGCTGAGCAAGTTTTTTTTGGTGATGGGTGAGTTACTGGCGGTGGTACAATGTTCCTTCCCTGAAACAGGCTGTAGCGTCTGCTGGGCAAAGCGTTTGCTTTGCGACCTCAAGGCCGGCATTCCGTCACCACTAATCAACCAAGCTCTTCAACATCGACTTGCTTGTTCCACTGATATTTTGGTAAATTGATTGATTTTAAGGAAAAGAAGCCGAAGTCAATGGACAGAGATCCGGAGCCGATCGGAGTGGAACCTTGGAAATGTTGAACTAAAAGCAGATCTGCAATGTAGGATCGACCGGTAATAGTTTAGGCGATAATGATATAGAGTAAGACGGGATGATCGGGAATGGGATCAAGTAGCTCCACACGAATGAACCAGTAGAAGTCCACGAGGAGCTCAACTCTGAGTTCGATCAGATTCAGATCTACCACGATCTTATCCAGCAAGAGGTATGGTAGTATTCCCAGCAAGTCCCACGAGTTCGGAGTTTGGAATAAAATATGCACAAGGTTGTATTAAAGAAGTCTGAAAGCGGTCGACTTTAAAGTCGAGGAATCCGATTGATAAAGGAAGAAACGAGAAAAACAAAAAACGGGAAAATAGAATTAGAAATAAGGAGGAGGCAAGGGTTTTTGTTGTGCATGAACCCATGAAAACAAAATCCTATACATCAGATGAGAAACACGGAGAACGTTCAGTTGCCGTATCCTGACATCGAGATCGTGTGAGACATGAGCCACGTTGAACGGCGGATCCTGTCAGAGAGCGTATGCATACATTTGTATACGCCATCGCCACGGAGGACGCATGGATCTCCGACAATGCACGAGTCAGAGATCCGCGAGTCCCACCGTGTAAAACGGCGGAACTTGTGCGGGAATGGAAAAGGCAACGGGACGTCTAGGCAGTAGTTCTGATGGTATAGTAAGCGGGGCACAAAAGCCAGAAGAAAAAAACGTAAAAAGAATCCATGACTGAACTCGCATTGGAGGTGGTTTCACGTACATTCCATGGTCTAGGACTTTGGGTAGTCGGGAATGTGACGTTTCCGGATGTAGTTGCGACTCCACTATATTGTGGATCTGGTAGATTTACCATTGGCGAACTTTGGACTTATTGACAGGTTGATCACCGTTTGGGTTTCACTTGGTGTGTATAGATTGGGGGTTTGTTTATTCTGTCTTAGACGAGGAAAGGAAGAGGAAGGAAGAGGCACGGGGCAGCATTGTTGTGATGCTTACCGCAAGGCCGTGGAATGTACGATCTTGCCATGTGGAACCCCCTTGGTAACATTTCAATGTGAAAATTCCAGAAAAGCACCGTTCATTCCACGTATGCACGCGCACTGTGACAGTCTCGCTTACAACTCTAGAAAAAGAAAACTAGATCTTTTCCGGATCGCGATGCTTTCAATCTAGATCCCTGGAATCTACATCGACAGCAATCTTACGGCGCGTTTTGGTTAAGCCCGATTTCAAGCTTGACATTCATCCCTGTCCTAGACTTTTTTTTTGACAAATTCCATTAATAAATGGCTTAATTAAACAATAGGCTAATATTATACTGGAGCCTTGGTCTTTGATATGACAATACATTGCCACGTTGTGCTCGGCTGTTGAAACAAGTGGAATGTAGACTAGTAGATAATCCATGTCCACATGAGAAGTGCACCTGCAAATGAAAACACACGAGAATCTTGGCAGGCTCTAGTAGAAGTAAAAAATACAAGTCCAGCCACGCGTGAATACAGATTCTATTCAATGGGAGAACAAAAGGCAAGCACATCAAAAATACATTCGACAGGTGATTCTGGCATATTCCAACATCACATAACAAGAGTCAATAAGTAGCAGCAATTAAAATGCAAAGGGTATTGTGATGTAAGTGAGAGATTATCAACAAGGTAAGGTGTAGGAAGGCAGGAATGCGATCGAGGTATCACGGTCGTATATCATCATAAAACAATAAAAAAAACCAGGAAAAAGAAATACAAGGGTCATGCGATAAAGAGTGGAAAAAGGAAGGAGAAGAGGGGGTGGGGAGTAGATTAACGAGGTATCTAAACGGAGAGAGGGCCTAACGACTCATGGGACTCGTGCAAAGATGCACCGTTGCCCTGGGGGCGGCGGCCCGGGATCCATGCGTCATGCAGCGGTACGATCAAGTTCGGGTGAACATACTTCTTCAACCGAAGCTCCAGTTCTGCCCCGCCAATCCGGATAGGTAGCGCATCGCGATCCAAACCAGAGGGTGGCGAGAACGGAGTAGCGGAAAGGGAAGGAGATATCTCGCCGCCACCGGGTTGTTCCCGGTTAATGCTCTTGAGAGCGATGAACTTCATCAGCGGTTCATAAGTCCGTGAAAACCAGTAACTGAACCACATGGTGAAGCCCAAAAGAGGCACCAACAGCAACGGACGAGTGATGCTTTGGCGAAGAGCCAACACACCGATCATAGCCAGTTGGAACACCACTAGCCCGACATACACGCGATTGCAGATCATGGGCCAAGCCCGACCAGTGGAGTGCTGCTGGTGGTCCATCGCATAGAGCAGCTGGTACTTGTAGATGAATTTGCCGATGGTGAAGTACACTAGCCCGAAGCAGCAAATGAGCCAGGAGCTGGGGAACACGCTGTAGACGATACATATGATCAAAATGAGAATGGTCTGCGGAATAGAGAAGCCGTAGCTAAACTGGGGAGGCGTGGACAATTCCGCATATTCCCGAGGTGTCCGTGCCCAAAGAAAACGCAAGGGGTACAGAGCAACGCTGCCAAACTCAAGAAGTCGGAAGGGGAAGAGACCCAGACTTTGAAGCATCAATAGATTGATGTAAAAAGGGGCGAGGCCCTCCAACGAGGTGGCCAACGCCAGGGCAACGGTTGAGGCGTCCTTGAACGCATCACGCAAGTGTTCCCAAAGACCGTAGAAACCACTTGCCGTTCCAAAGACAGTGAAGAGGAGGAACAAATTGAAGAAGGAGAAGAAGAAGTTCTTTGAGATGATGGACAACTCAACATCTCCACGAGACATCATTCCTTGATTGTTGGAGAGCCATTCGTAGAGATACGGGACAGCCACAGTCAAAAGCGAGAATGCCAAAGTAGGCAAACCCGTCTGGACTAAGGACTTCACGATCGGGTGTTCAGAGAGAAGTTCGGCAAGCGAAGGTAAAATCTTGTGCAAGGTTTGAAGGTCCAGCAAAGTGGCAATTGGCAACAGAAGAACCGACCAGAATATAGTAAGAAACCCAATGACAAGGGTGATAAACCACGACTGTGTCATTCGCCGAGTACGTGAAACATAGGTATTCTTCCAAATCACATCAGCTGGTGCCGGAGCAAGTCGAGCAAACATTTGCATCGGATGCGGATCGAGAATGGCCTGGACGAGCATCTGGGAAGCTGCAATAGATTGCATGGTCACAAAGGCGATCTCGGTGGGAGGGTACTCCTTCTCTCGGGCACTCAGAATCTGTTCATCAATCTTGCGCAACTTTTCTTCATAATAGTCGATTGCGTCAATTGATCGGAACCGAAGTTTGAGCGGGCCGTACCAAATACGGACTCGGGGCCGCTCGTTGGCATAACCAGAAACATGGGGGCGTTGGCCTTCTGATAGTAGATGAGAATGCTCGTCATCGTCATCAAGAGGCCTGTTTGAGGTAGCCGGCGGTTGGCGGGTTAGTGGCAGAGTGTTCCCATCACTTCGTGGACGCTTGTATCCGATATGCTTTGTCCATGCGCGTTCTAATCCTCGAATAATATGCATTCGCTCGTCAATCAACTCATCTAGCTCGCGCCATCTGCGGCACAAGGTAACACTCTCAACCTTGCCGATGTGTATTCCCTCCACAAAGGTTTTAATATCATCTTCAGTTTCCAATTCAGGCGGGATACCCGAAAGACGGACCGTGCGATCTGTTGTACTGGTTTGATTTCCAAGATAGGTTTGTCGGGTATGGATGATCTTGTTTGTTTCCTGGAGAAGCAGGTAGATAGCCAGACCGCTGAACACATAAGGAAAAACGACATAGATCCACAGGTAGGTAAGATCAGGGACTGTATCCTTATCGCCCTTTGCAACCGTCGCAAGTGCAGTTATCGAGTTATTACCGGGTTCGGTATCCCAGCCAGGAATTCCAGAATTGCCAGTATAGCTGACGTGAACAGGCAAAATAATACCGACTGCAAAGATAAACACGTATAGCAGGAGCCGAGTCGCAAACTTAAAAAAGGACAGAAACTATCAAGAGGCCAGAAATTAGCAAAAAAAAACCACCTGGACTTCCAATGCACCGAAAACTCACCACGTATGCGTCTAAGCCCGCCGACTGTAGCACCTCCTCGTCGGTAATGCGATATAGCACAGGTATCCATCCGAACAAGCTATCCGGAAGCTCCGGCAACCTCGAAGCGGAGGATCGCTGTTTTCTCCGCGCAGCATATAGTTCCGTCCATTTCGGTCGCAAAACACAAAAAGACAAGAAAGCCCCCAGCCCGAGAGCGAAACTGATCACGAATTGGGTGTACAAATCACGCTGCTGTTTTGTCTGATCCTCCCATCGGTGCTCGCCGCCATCGTCTGGGTCGTCGGCTAGTGCAGTCCAAATTGTTGTGACCGCAGATGCCGTCAAAGACATCTTCTTCGATTAAGTGGCGCCTTGCGCCTGGAGAGTGTGGGGTGTGGAATCGTTCGTCCGAGGAATGCTCAAGGTATTAGTGCATCAGAACATGCGGCGCAAGGGGTTCAAGGGTCGGTGATGGTTTGGTTGTGGATAGCCTCAAAGGGTTCGTGATAAAACAAGGAGGTACTAGCTAAGCACGGAAGTCCAAAGCTGGGGGGTACTCTAAAGGAAATGAAGGCAAAAAAGGAGCTAGCTTCCTTTGTTTTCGTTCAATGACGATTTCCGCCGCTTGGCTGACTCATCATTTTATGCAACTCCAACTAACGTTAAATAAGGATCTGATAGGTAAATCTTTATCTCAGCCTTAATGCTAGGTTGGCTTATGGTACCTCTATGATTTTGACAATTTAATCCGGCGACTGGATGCAGCTAAATGATTTTCGATGATGCTTGATCTTATCGATGAATCGTAGATTGGGCCACTATCGGGATTCGGGCCACTATGGGCCCACCATCTATCTCGATGTCCCGGCACCGAACTAGTTAGCAGTACTACTAGGTACCTGACCCTCCTCAGCGCCAACAAATGTATGTTTGGTTATGTATGAGACTTGAGCGCGCTAGGCTTTGACCGGGGTGAAATTTTGACCTTGTAAAGGGCGAAGAAAAAATTTGAAAAAATGTATGTATTATGCATAAGATAGAAAAGAATCCAAACGCTGACATATGCTAAGTACATCTAGGAACAGACCATGATCAAGTAAGCTTAGCCGCATCATAGTAGAGGTCAAGCAGGCAGCCAGCAGACCAAGCTTGTGTGGGCGACTAGAAATTCAATATGTTAGCATCGTTCAAAAATATCTAAATCAGTTGAGACCTACCGAGTCGCCACAGTGCTCTCCGTTCTTGTTAGTGAGCTCTGTCAAGCCCCGCCAAGGGCTTTCACGCAGCGCCTTCTTGCAACCATCAAGTCTTCGGGTGACCTGCTGGAAAGACTCGATGCGCTCTTCGGGCGTTTTGCGGCGAAGCAAATCGAAAGCAAGTAGAGCACGGAGGAAGTACCCACGCTGCCAAACCCATTCGGGGCCTTGGTGGTAGTTGCGACCCTTGGAGGTTGCAAAGTCTGTGGAATCCTCAGAGTTGTTGTAGTTAGGGCGGTAGTTCAGGTCGGATGGGTCAAGAGTGGCCATTCCAACGGGGCCAACGACAGCAGAGTCAGCAATGGCAAGGGCAGCCAGAGCCTTTTCGGGTGTGAACAGGTCCGGGGCAACAGTCATTGCGATAGGGAAGTTGGATCGTAGCTGATAGTCTTCGAAAGGCTTACCAGACTTGTACAAGTCCTTGTAGATACCGCGGCGGTTAATGATCTTGGCATCTACATCATACTGGCCATCTTCCTTGGAGTCTGTGGGGACATAGTAGCATCGCTCAAAGTTGGCCTTGATCTTGCCGGCCCAATCCTTGAAGGTGATGGATTTCCCATCACCAATGTCCACACCCTCGTGCGGGTAGACCTTGGATTCATTTAGCTGCGATACCCAAATTAAAGCGCTGTAAAGAAGACCAGTGATCTCAATAGCTGCGCCATCACGAGGAGTGCCAGGGAAGCCCTTATTTCCAGCAGCAACGCTTTCACCCATCTTGTCTTGCCATGTGCCGCAGTTATCCTGACTTCCACCAAAGACGATACCTGTTTCCCAATCGACATTTACATCGATTTGAAAACCCTCGGTCTTCATTTGGACATCAAGGTCCGACCCCGCGTTGTACTCACGGAAGGACATTCCAAGCGCGTGTCTCTGGAACACTTCTTGGATGACCTCCAGAAGGGTGGGAGACTTGGAATAGGCACGAGGGTCGTCAAAGGGGAACCAGGTGTCGTCATAGGGCAAGAAGCGGCGAGGGACCTTCTCCTGCAACAGACTAATGCCGTTCGGAGCCATGGTTGTGTAATCCTGGATTGCCTGCAAGAAGAACCAGACCGAGTCGCGCGAGTTATAGCGAGGCAACTTGCCACTGCTAAGGAGGTTTGGAATCATGCCATGCTTGAGAACACTGGCGAATGCAATGATGTGCTCTTTCGCGTCATCAAATCGGCCCGTGCAGAGGAACAGACCACGAATGGAGATGAACACATCGCGTCCCCAGCATCGGGCCCAATCAACAGCGAAGTGGGGCAAGCCAGCTGCTAGACTGCGAACCTGCTTGGTGGGCCAAAGCGAGGCCGAGTTGACGAAGCCAGTCTGCTGAACGCTGACCATCGCCAGTTGGTGAACAAACTCTTGGCCATAACGGACGTTGTCGCTAAACTGGTGGATTCCAGCTTTCCAAGCAGCATTGTAAGCTATTTGAATGATAATTGCAAAGTATCGTGGAAGCAAGAAGTTTGGCAGACTTCGAACGGCATCAAATTTCTCACGAAGCCATGCAGCAGGTTTGTGTAGTGCGACATAGCCCTCCTTGGAGGCTACCTTCTCCATACGCCCGACGAGGTAGTCAAGGGCCCATTGGCCCTCACGCAGGTGATCACAAAGCGCATGACCGAGCTGGTTATGTTTGATTATGTCTTCGAGAACGCTCCACCAGCCCTGCAGGCCCGCATAAACCAAGGATCCATGTTTGGGAATCGTGTAGGCACCGTCTTGCCCGTCGCTTGAATCTCTCTCCTCTGCATCACAGCGGTAGAGCACAAAGTTGAGATCAATGAGGCTGAGGTCACTGAATGCTTCATCTGCTCCGCTAGAAAGGAAACTGTCCAGTCCGCTGGCATGCTCTGCGCTAGGAATCCAAGTCTCAAAAAGTGCAATGGATCCCGGAACAAGGGTCTTGAGCACAGAAATGGTAACATCGTTTCCATCCCCTTCGATCTGGGTACATTCGATGTCATGTGTTTTGCTGGGCAGGCCCCCGAGATACTTATCATCTCCGAGGACCTTAGTCTTGGTCTCATCAGCCGTGTCCACCTCAAGAGCCCAAGAGCCAAGGTGCTTGGCCTGTGTACCAGTGATGTGGGTAGGAGCAAGTATTGCCCCGTTATCATTGCCAGGGTAAGCAGTGTGAGCGATAAGGAACACACCCTTTCTAGTCTTGGGATGCACTCGGTGAACAGTAATGTATTCGCCGTCGTGGTGGATATGGGTCTCGTCATAACCCTCGACGCCCATCTTGGTGTGGAGCTCATTCAGAAGCTTCTTGATGCCTCCAATACCAGGTCCAGAGCCAATTTCTAGGTCGTGGTCTCCGGAAAATGGCGATGCGTACTGTCTAGTCTCGTGAACCAGATCAATAAGCTTGGGGTAGACTTCATCGTAACCCATCACACTTCCAATTGCGGACGCGCACATTGCGACGAGAGCAGCATTTGGAAGAGTATCCCGAGCATCGCGCTTCTGGGCAGGGACTTCATTGTCATGGGTACAGTCCATGAACAATGCCTGGACGGGTGTTGGTCTAATATGGGTAATTTGCTCATCCGTGTTTCCAGACTTAGCGGACGCAATGGCGTGGCTACTGCCGGCGGACGGGAGGTCCACATCAAAGCTACCAATTGGTCGACCACCATGACGATGAACCAAGCGACTCAATTCTGCGGTGCTCCAAGCTTGCATGGCCTCTCGAATGAGGGCATTGATACCCAAGCGTTTGACAAATACATAGTCTGCTTCCTCGGATCCTGTGAAGAGTTCTGCGAACACAGTAAGGTTTGGACGAACTTGACGCGCTTCATCCAATAAATATTCTGCGACCACCAGCGGTGTAGAGTGACAATTATCGATTCGGAATCCAGAAAAGTACTTGGCCATCAGACGGGTATATTTGGTCATGAATTCCCAGAGGAAAGGGCTGTCTTTTGGTGACTCTCCATACCGGAGCTTGACACAATCACCCCACACAATAACCTCGCGGCGAAGGTAGGCTTTGGAGTTTGGCCCGGCATTGTCTTTCATAGCATCGGCGTTCCAAATCCAGCCATTGTTGGCTAGTGAAAGGGCCTTGGGGTTGTGCTTCTTGGTGATATCATTGACAGGCAGTCTGGTGAAGTAGGTTTCTATCAACGGGTTCTCTTTGGTAATAGGGCCAAGCTTTGGGCCATGATCTTCGATTCGAAGATACTTGGTACGGTTGAGCAATTGATCCATGATATCGGCGACATCGGTGTCGTACTCTTCGTAGAGTGGAAGATTCACAGCATCAAGAAGCTTGGAAAGTGAGGCTTCAGCCTCGGGGAGGACAGCCTCATTGTTCTCGAAATCTCCATGAATAGCTGTCAAAATAGCAGCACCGAAAGCGGCATCTACTTCACGCTCGAATCTCCCGCGAAGTTGGTTTGAGTTCACCATACCATGAGTACGGACGATCGCTGATTGTTCCTTTGGTGACAAGCTCTGGAACTTTTGCAAGTAATCGGCCTGGAGGATTGCTTGATCAACAGCTCCGCCGGTCCATGCGTCCAAAATCTTCTTCGCGTTGGATTTCACGTCAAGGGCGTAAAATTCCCATAAGCGAAGAGCATCAATTACTTCTTTGCGCAACACTTTCATGACAGTTTCCACATCACCCACCGTTTTAAACTCGGTCGGCAAGCCCAAAGACTCGAGATCATCGCTAAATTTCAACAAAGCCGTATCCAGCTCAAGAGCAGATTCCAACCATGGCGCTGTCTCGGCACTGTATCCAGACTCTGGGTGTTCTTCCAACCACTTGCTGTTGTTGGCAGTGTGATTCCAAACAACATCGGTAAGAGTCAGAAGGCCATAGTCCTTTTCCATTTTTGACACGAGAGATGCGACATCAGCCTCTCCGTTGGGGAATAGGCCCGAATCAAAGGAAACCTGATCAAAGATGCTGTACGGCGAGTTTGAAGCTCCACGCTGCATGAGCGGTGTGAAATGAACCATGTTATAGTTTCGCTGACTGATGCCATGAAGATGACCATCCCAGTCCACGGGGTACTTTCCCATGAACTTCGAGATCACTGAGAAGATGGAAAGAGCATTCAACGGCAAGTCCTTTCCTTGCAGTACCAGCTTTGGCGACACGTCTATGTAATAAAGCTGGCTTTTAACGGGCTCCGGTGTCTTAACGGCCTCAATGGAGAAGTTTGGCAACGGGGTGAACGTGGCATAGTAGGCAAAGGAGCCAGCGCTGGGAACCCGGATATCGATCTGGATATTCTCGTTGAAATTGGGCCGCAGTCTACTTTGCTTTAGTAAACGAACCTCATCCAAGATTCTGCCAGGAAGCAAATATCTCATACCTGAACTCGCGAAACGATTGGCGATCAAAGGCCTTACCCTCTTCGGGAATATTGACCCACAAGCTGCCCTGTCGGCAGATGGAGCTGGTTCCTTCAATGATGAAACGCAGCACATATCCCTTCTCCGTCGGAGCTGGCAGGTAGACGTACCCACCGGGAACATCGGGTGAGCCATCATCCTTCAAAGGGAGCAGATAGACCTGGGATGGGGAACTCATGTTGATCGGTATTTAATGCTTGTGAATTGGCTCGAATTATGGCCAACAACGACCGAACGAGTGAATAAAAGCTCAAATAGCTTCACCCAGTGATAACTGGGAGTTGCTAACGAGTTAATGGCCTAAATAAAGGCCGGGGAGGTGGTGTGAAACAGAAGAGAGTAAAGAAAAAAAGAAATCTTGGAAGAGAGGAGGGTAAAATGTTCCCCTCATCTTGGTGTTCCGCGGCGGGTGACATCATGCATTTGGGCTACACCTTGACCTTGGCCGAGTATTTTTAGCGTCGAGGCTAGACCGGGCGTGGCGCCGAAGACCAGGTCCAGGAACAATTCAGCGACACATTGACCTTCTCCTATTCGCAAGGTGCATCGATGCACGTTGGTTCAGCGAGTCTTTCAGGTCTAGGAATGCGGGGTGCCCTGATCAACGGTAAAGCCCCCCACGTCAGTCAATCTTGCTGAAGACAGTGAGGACAAAACATGATCCAAAAATTTTATTTTTTTTTGGTAGAGAGAAAGAAAAAAAAAACCTCCTTATAATTTCGATCTCTACTACGTAGCCAATTTTAAAATCCGGCTTTATCAAACCTGGACCTTCTTTCGGTTTGGAAAAAGGGTAGTTTCTCAAGTACTTCAAACCCCTTGTCGACACATTGACTGGCGCTATATGGATCGTAACAAAGAGCAGCTGATTTGAAGCTATAAAAGGCTCGGAATCATCACTGAAATGCAACTTCGAACTTGTACCTCAACCGAAACTTTCTCATGAACTTTGAAAATGAAAGCTACAAGGAAAAATGATCCGTGGGTCCAGACTCGGCTCTTCTTATAACGGGCTTCGGAATGCCGATCGTCGGTGAAAACGAAAGCCGTTCCGTCTCATATTCAATATGACATTATAGTATGCTGCCATGCACATTCAGAAAACGTTACGGTACCAGTATGGAGAAGCTGTAGGGGTAAGTCACCAAAACCAAGGTTTTAAGTGTTCAACGGGGATTTCAAAAAAATGGCGGTTTGCTGCCCAGAACCCGATGTGTGGGGATTAACATCATGGAGGGCTTGCCCCACCGATAGAAGAATCAGCAGATTAGCGCCAGATCCTGGTGAAGATGGCCATCACTTTGAAGACCACCATTCCTTCCGTTCTTTTGCTCCATGCTTGGTGGCTGGAAAGCAACGAATGGAGAAACCCCTTGCGACGCGTACGAAAGGGGCTCCTGTGCGAACAGCCGCGACACTGTGTCACGTATATGAATGTGCAAGCAGGGCTAGAGTTCGGCAGTGCAGCAGTCCAGATAAGAACAGATCCAGTACATTCCCAGAGTCTGGGATAGAGGATGCACAAAAACAAGGAGGATTTCCAATGCGCATTAATGATACGCACAAGTATGTAGTAGTGTTGATTCACTTCGAAGATTCAAGTTGGGTTAGCTCGCGATCTCTGGATGCCTTAATGCCCTTTTATTAAGGCACCAATGTTAATGGCCTGAATCATGACTGATGCAACCCTAGACTCTTGGGGGCCTACTCCGTAGACGCAGACTCATATCCAGCAGCAGGTACGGAGTAAGTGAGGCTGTTTAATGTATTTGATTAAGGGGAGTCCACGGAGACACGCGGATAGCCCACTTATGTTAGAAGTGTCTACCCACTCAATTGGAATACAGTCATGGCAACTCAGCAGAGTGGATTGGTCGCAATTTCTGTGCCAAGAGTCCGGCGTTTCCTTAGCGCATACTACTGTACATATGTCCCCTGGATCCTTGTAAATTGTAAGAAGTATCGTGAATGATTGACCGGGGTGCATCATTCGGAGAATTTAGCCTATTAATAGTTCCAGCATCTGGCAATGGCCTTGAATTTCATTATCTCACCTTTCTCCATGGTTTCTGAATCTTAGACTTCAGAGTAACTTGTGGGCATTAAACCTTAGTTGGGCATTCAGTAACTCCACTCTGATGGCCCGCTTACCTGCACGAGGTGACTAGTGAGTAGCGCGATTGTCAAAGACCAAATCCCGTTTTTCTGAGCCTCGGTCGCAAGTGGAGGAGATCGTCTTGTCGTGGATAAAATTTCTCCAACGCACGTCGCAATCCGGTAGAATTAGCGAATAATATGGACTGAAATGGCAACAAGGCTACGGATTCTGCAAATGCCCCCTAACTTCTAGAAGACTAGACTATCTTAGTTGAGTAAGTCGAATGGCGAACAAAATAAAATAAATTGGAGATCACTCCGAAGATGGTATATGCCCCGTAGCTCGGCAATTTCTGGTTAATTCTTGTAGCACTTGAGTGCGGAGTATGGCGAACTCTTATCTGTCTTTAAATAAGCTTAGTGTCCCGATATTCTGACGCTTTTTTACTTCCTCCGGAAAGTTGATTGTTGAATCGACATCCGCAGAAGCGTCCACGTCCAAGGAAACGTCGCACGGTCTGTTTGGCTGTACGATTTGACCATGGCGTATATTACGCTGGCCGCTTTGGCCGCTATTTCGGCTTTTATCCTCGCTTTACGGGCATTCACTGTGAAGCCAAAGCTTGCAAAATTGCCGCCTGGGCCCAAAGGCAGGCCTATTATTGGGAATTTGCTTGATTTGCCCGCAGATGGCAAGCAAGAATGGCAACACTGGCTACAGCACAAGGAGCTTTATGGTATGTAGCATGGACTTTTGTATCTTAGTGCGCTCTGGCTGATTTCTTCAGGTCCTTTAAGCTCCGTCACGGTCCTCGGTCAAACAGTGGTCATTATCAACGATAGAGACCTTGCAGTCCATATTCTCGAGAAAAACTCAGTGAAGCATTCATCTCGTCCTCGTCTTGTCTTCGCAGACGAACTGTATGTTTTCTTTGTCCCGTGCAATTCTCAGACTAACAAATTATAGCTCGGGATGGGGACAAGCACCCGTGAGTCAAGATAATACTCCTCTCCTTCGGTCATATCGCCGCGCAATGGCTCGTATCATCGGATCACAAGCATCCGCATCGAAGTTTGATCATCTCCTTGTTGTGGAGGCCCGGCGATTCCTGTGGCGTGTGCTTGATTCTCCGCAAAACTTTGTTCAGCACATCAGAACGTGAGAATTGCCTCTCTCCCTCTCTCTCTCTCTCTCTCTCTCAGAATTACCCCATAACAGGCACTCCGGGTACTAATGCAACTGTTACAGCGCTGCAGGAGCTTTTGTTTTAAAGATCACGTACGGATATGAAATCGTCCCTCACGGTGCCGACCCACTGGTCAATTTGGCTGATCTGGCTCTGGAGCAATTTTCCAAAGCTGTGGTTCCAGGGGCATGGCTGGTGGATATGATTCCAGCACGTGAGTTTCTCCTAGCTTGGGAAATACGATTTCATTGAAGAATTTGTATCTGACATTCGATCACAGTGAAGTACATCCCTGAGTGGGCTCCCGGGGCCGGTTTCAAAAAGACCGCCAACTACTATCTTCAAACCCTCAGGAAACTGACCGACGACCCCTTGAAGTTCACGAAGTACCAAATGAGCAAGAAATCTCACCAGCCATCATTCGTATCAGAGTTGCTGAGTCAGGGAGAGAGTGAGGATATTACGAAATGGGCAGCCGCGGCACTATATGGTGGCGGAGCAGATACAGTATGGTCCCTGCATTTCAAATCTCATATTCCTGTTTCGTTTTGCTAATTATATGAGTAGACGGTTTCCGCTTTAGAGGGACTTTTCCTTGCAATGATGTTATTCCCAGACGTTCAGCGCAAGGCACAGGAAGAACTTGACCGCGTATTCGGTGGACCGGCTTTGCCCACAGTTGAGGACCGGGCAAGACTACCTTATATCAATGCTATTGTCAAAGAAGCCCTGCGCTGGCACGTTGTCGCACCACTTGGAGTTCCCCATAGAACTGACGAAGATGATGTCGTTGATGGCTTCTTGATTCCGAAGAATGCTCTTTTGCTGCCTAATATCTGGTATGGTTCTCCTATTGTTTTCACCTTCCTCATTACCGGTAAATTTTTTTAACAACTTTCCCAGGTCTTTCAATCATGACCCCGCAGTTTATCCCAACCCAATGGAGTTCCGGCCTGAACGGTATCTCCCAGAAGAAGGACAGGATGCTCAGCCTGATCCACATGATACAAGCTTCGGTTATGGACGCCGACTCTGCCCAGGCCGCATCGTTGCCGACACGTCTCTGTATTTGACGATTGTAAGCACACTGGCCACCTTCAATATTACCAAGCCAATTGGGGAAGATGGTCAGGAAATCGAGCCGCCTGTGGATTTCACTCCAGGAATTATTAGCCACCCGGTGCCTTATGCGTGCTCCTTTACTCCACGGAGTGAGAAACACAAGGCATTGATTTTGGACTTTGAGCGCGAAACTCCGTTCGAGAACAGCGATGCTGAGGCTTTGAGCGAGGCGCTAAAATGCATGTAGCATTTGAATATATTATAACATAACTTCGGTTACTACTATGAGAACACGACGTATAGCGCCTATATAGAATGCATTAGTGAGAATTTCCCAGCGAACATAGCCAAAGAAAAAATTCAAAGAAAGTTGGTGCAAGGATTTATGGTAAGAGCTCTTGCATGGAAATGGTGGTACGTAGTAGATAAATAAAAGATATAATAATTACATTGAAGAACTTTTCCCCTAGATCCAGAGATACAGTACGCTTGTCAGGTGCCCGGTCATTACGTTCCGGGCGGCATTAAAAGACGATGGTAAGCAAATTAAAGCAAGTTGCTGGGGCTTAATTCCCATTCAGCTTCTGCCGGCGAGCACGCACAGACTGTGCCAATACCTCCAAGACGGACTCGGTATCTTCCCAACTAATGCAGGCATCGGTGATACTGACACCGTACTTGAGTCCAGCCTTGCCCTCTGGGGGAACCTTCTGGGCACCTAATGATTGTTAGTAAAGATGTAAATATAAAGACAAAAATTATGCGTTCACATACCCTCGTTGATATTACTCTCGATCATGACACCCATAATGGCGGTTTCACCAGCAGCGATCTGTTCCGCCAGCGCAGCAGCAACCTTGGGCTGGTTCTTGTGATTCTTTTCAGAGTTGCCGTGGCTACAGTCCACCATCAGACGAGGAGCAAGACCCTTGGCCTCGAGCTTAGTCTTAGCATCAGTGATACTAGCAGCATCGTAGTTGGTACCCTTTTTGCCGCCGCGCAGAATCACGAAGCAGTCAGGGTTACCAACGGTGCCCACGATGGAAACAACACCGGGCTTGGTAACAGAAAGGAAGTGGTGGGGGTGCTTGACGGAGCCAATGGCATCAACGGCAACATCGAGCGAACCATCTGTGCCGTTCTTGAAACCGACAGGGAAGGACAGACCGGAAGACAGCTCACGGTGAACCTGAGACTCGGTGGTGCGGGCACCCACGGCACCGACAGAAAGACAATCGGCCAAGAACTGAGGGGAGATAGTATCGAGCATCTCACTGGCAATGGGCATACCCTTGTTTGTGAGATCAACAAACAGCTGACGCGAGGTGCGCAGACCCTTGTTAATCTTGAAGCTGTTGTCGATATCAGGGTCGTTAATCAGACCCTTCCAGCCGACAGTGGTGCGAGGCTTCTCCAGGTACGAGCGCATGACAATCAAAAGATCGTCTGTGTATTTTTCCTTCATCTTCATTAAACGATCACAGTATTCCAAAGCCATATCCGGGTCGTGAATTGAGCATGGCCCAATGACGACCATTAGGCGCTCTCTCTCTTTGTCGCTTCCATGGACAATCGCAACTGCTTCATCACGACCTTGGAGCACAGTCTGTCGTGATTTTTCGGTCAAGGCAATTTCATGTTGGAGAACGTTGGGTGCGGTGAGGGGGTTGTAGCCAGCAACTATGCGGGGAATTAGCTTAGCTCCAATTGAGCTCGGAATTGGCGTTCACATACTGCGAGAGTCTTCCAGGTGGCTGTGGTTGCCCACATTGGGGTTTTCAATGAAGAACTAGAGTTGTCAGATTCAGGAACTCCTTGGTGGCTAGGAGATGTTGTCATAGAGGGGCGGACTCACCGACATGGCGGGGCTAGACTGGTTTACGCAATTGGAGATCAATTGAGAGCTTGGGAGACCGGGAGAAAGGGCACAGCAATCGTATTATATGGGAACACAGAATTAAAGGGAACTTGGGGGGAAAAAGGGAACAAAATGGGAAGACGCACACTATAAATAATAATTCCCTGACAATTTATAAAAAAAAACGTAAGACAAAAGCAACATGGAATGAGTCAAAGGTAAAATGGCCCCACGTGATACCCCTCGGAGTACTCGGTGAGCGGGGACCAATCCCAATCCCCGTATATCCGCATTAACAAATGCCTAGGTTAATAAGTGAAAAAACCCCCTTTGACTGTAAAAATGCTCAATGACGTGGATCTGGCTCCGTTCCTCTCCACTTTTCGCTTCTCCCCCGCTATAATCCCTGGACTCGATGATCCAGGTCCTGTAGACCCCGAACTAATTCTTGACAGACCTGTCGGTGTTGCTCCTTCACGGCTGTCATTTGCTGCTGGTAAAGATCCATACGGACCTGTTGCGCTTGGAATAGATCATCGAGAATACGATTGCATCCTTGACGATAGATTTCAAGCACATGCCCGATCGTCTCCTGTTCTGCTGCAAGTTGACTTGACAAACGCTGTCATGTGTTAGCCTTCGCTTAAAAAAGCCACCACTGGAAATTTAAATTGCTGGACGCACTTGGTTTGTTTCCAACAGCAAATCATGAGCACTTCTTTGTGCAGTTTGTAGACCCGAGATCCAATCCAGGGGATTAGAGTCACTTGGTTGAGAAAATTGCTGGGCTTCTCGGGCCCCCTGAAATAAATTAGAAATTCCAGTGGTCAATGGTGCTACTGGCAATGTATGCTGGTCCGCGTGTGTCCTCGGTTCCTTTACAGGTATCTGTTTGAGACCCGGTCCAGCCTCAACATTCTGACTTTGATTGACTTCATGGGCATTCCCCCCAAGTATCATTGAGGCAGCTGGTCGACTGAGGGCTGGAACGGTTGAATCCACTGATGATTGTCCTTGACTTTGCTGACGAAGGACTTTGGGGTTGACATTAGTGCTGGAATTATCCTCGGGCAGACGCGATTGAGCCGAGCTCTTCTTTGTCGATTTGGTTTGGAAGCCATACTCCTTGAGCATGTCACGCTGGTATTTGGACCACGTCAGTTCGTCATCTGAACTATCTAGAGAATATCCATTCCAGTCTCTATCATAGTCACTAGAACTGGACCTTGTATCAGGAATATCAGCATTTTTCGGCACCCGAACATCATTTGGTGGGAATTGAGTTTCATCAGCCACTTTCTTTGCCTGCGGCATAAGCCTAGGACTACCATTTGAATCAACTATGCTGCTTTTGGGGGCTGCTGGTAAACCACCAAAAATCGAAGTCCGTGTCTGAAAAGGTGTTTGTAGACTCAGAAGCGGCTTCTGTGAATCAGGCGTATTCTGTGTCCCATTGTCTTTGCTTCTATAGAGCGTGGCCGAGAAATCTTTTCTTTCTGAATCCGGTGAGTTTTTCGACGAACTATCTGTTTCATGTCCCGGTACAGCCCCGGGGAGCTGATCAATGCCTTTGTTAGAATTCTCCATCTCATTGACAGGCTCTAGGGACCCATGTGCATGGCCTCTGTTCAGAGGATTTCGAGTTTGGTTGTGGTCGCTCACTCCATCACTACCGATTTTGATGTGGACAAAGCTACTGCCACCCAGTGACCCTTGACGTTTGGCAAATACCTCAGCTCCGCTAGTGTTATGGAAATTCGCCATCTCTGACGGGAGTGTTGTAGCGGGGGTCAGCTGAAAAGGTCGTGTCGATCGTTGACCTTGTTGCCACTTGCCAAATGTTGCTTGTCTCTGTTTGATGGCTTGACTCGGCACCTGCTGGTCTTGGCTTTCAGAATCATCAGTAGTATGCATGCGCGATAGCGGGCTCTCGACTTCTTGGTGATTAGCTCCATTTTTCTCTTTAGGATTAGGGTGCAGAGTAGTCTCAATGGCAGGGCGAAGCTGAGAATGCAGCTGTACGCCTTGAAGGGCATCTGCTAGCTTTTGACCGACAGTTTTGCCTCTTCCGTCACTGCTTGTTCCGATCACACGGTAAGTTTGTCCTCTGAGCACATCAATGCCATAGTCGAAGCTGTCAGGTTCAGATAAAATTGGGGAGCTCGTTATTTCAATGACCTCATGCTGCTGAGTGGCTGTGTCATTCTCGCCATTCTCATGTGGCATTTTAACGGGCGGTTGATCTTCAAGTTCGTCTCCAGTTTCTCTAAGCTGTGCACCTGGTATCATATTGATCATCGAATCAGAAACAAGTGGCCCTGGGTGAAAACCCTGGGATGGTCCCACAGCCAGTGAAGACAAAGACAACTGAGACCGCAGGTCGTTTTTTCCTTGGTTGTTAGCTTTGCCTTTCGAGGGCCCTTTGCGTTTTCCAGAACTTGTTTGGATGATCAATCTCGATCTTTTTCTCTTGAGAGTCGTCGAATTCTCCTCTTCGCCAGCGTTGAGGTCAGGGTCTGGGATAGAGACGGATTTTCCCTCGTCATGACTTCTCGCATGCGCCGAGTCATCATCGTCAGTTGGTCGTAAATCCTCATTCCAATCCACTTCCGTCTTCAGGTGTAGAGTATATGTCTTCTGGGCAGAGCGCTTCTTCCGAACTTCTACCTTCCGCGGCAGTGACAGTCTCAAACGCTGGATTTTACTCTCTGCTTGTATCTTTTCCGTGGGGACTGTAAGAATTCTGTCACTTGTGTTGTCACTGATGTCTTGTTTTCTGTCCCAACCCTTCTTGGATATAGCATCACCGTTGGTGTCAGTAACTTGTTTGCGGTGGATGGCAAGGGTAACACTCGAGGAAGAATGCGCAGTGTCGTTTGCATTATTTATCTCTTTGGTTGATATGATTTTTTGCGATACAGGACCGGCATCTGCTGATTGGGGCCGTTGTGGTACATTCGGGATTACGTGCTCGGTGGCAGCATGACACGAGTCGGTGGCACCATCTTCGCGCGCTAATCGGGGGTAATCATTGGCTTGTGATAGCGTAGTTAAATTCAACTTCTGGTGAAGAACTTTTGCGCTGCGTCGAATTTTATCTTGTTTTCCTGAGCTTGTTTTCGTCCTGCCTCTCGTAGCAGCCGGTTTGGGGCCTTGTCCCCGGAGAACCTCTGCTGGATTTTGATGAACATTTCCTTTGCCATGCCGGCCAGCAGGCTGCCATTCCTCGTCAACCTCCATTTGACGTCCCATGCTCCAGCTGAATGGAGGGTAAACGATATCCGAGGACTTCCGATGTAGCAATGAGGTGTACAAAAACAAAGCCGGTGATCATCGAGACTGTAAAACGGTTGACGAGCTCGGCCTTTTCAGACCAGGTCATAATTTATTGGCAGGACTAATCAAAGATCATCAGAGAAGACATTCATGACGGCTCAGGTTGACTGCATTTACGAAGGAATTTGCGACTTCGCCTCCGAGACCTGTCTTGATCCCAATGGGCCAAGCCCCGACCGTCCGGATAACGACAGTCGGTGCCGAAACTTCTTGTAAGCTCTTTCACGGGATGATATCTCTGAGGAAAATGAATGATATGAGATGAAATAATGAAAACTTGTGAAAGTGAGCGAAGCGCGTCGCAACCCAAAACAGCAACAACAGCAATCAAAAGTGTCACATGATGCCTTCGAAGGCAAACTCAAGGCAGCAATAATCATCTCGCATTGAAACCGACCTTTTACTACTTGTGATGTCCGATTTGCAAACCGCTGGATGACTCGAAACTATTAAACTAGCAGCTGGTAGCAGCTGCTTTCAAAAACAAGATGCAAAGCAACATTGAAAGTCATTGAATAATGATCTCCTGCTACGCGACTCCCCACATCGTTACTAACAAATATGTAACTAACTATGCCGATCTCATGAAAACCCCCATCAACACATCCAACTTTGCACTTCTTTCGGGACTATGTATACAAAGAAAACTTCCCAAAGATGGTCTGGAACATTCCCTCCCCACCAGGAAAATTCGGCATCAGGAATTCCGTTCACTCCGGCCCAATTGCTCCGTTTCCCGATTAATAATAGCGTGCGGGCTATGTAACAAGGCTTGTGGTTCGCTGCCTTTGGGGGTCCACAGCGGGCTAAGTACATCTATCTGGCCGATCCAAGCGCCTGAGAACCGCGCTATATAGCAGAGCCATGTTGCTGTTCGTGACTAACATTCTTCCAGTAACCTTTCAGCCTCCTTCGTCAAGCTCCCTCTTGACGTTGCATCTGGACCACCAAAATGGCGCCTGGTACCACATCACACGCGAACAATGTGGAGGTATCTTCCCCGTCTCAGCGCCGATTCAGCGCGGTTGAGCCTCTAGACCGACTCCAGGCCACTGTCCCTGCGGTCCCACCCCAAACTGCAGACCTCGATATTCGCTCGATCCCTACCACCTCCGTCGAACGTTGTCAGGCTTCAAATATCGATGCGTCCCCAGATCAAGATGTCTCGCTTCCTGAAAAAATTGCAGTGCAGGAGGACAGTGGCAAGGGTCTGCCGCAGAGATACGCAGAAGAGACAGTTTTGTATTTAGCATACGGGTCAAATCTGGCTGCAAAGACATTTCTCGGCATGCGTGGAATCAAACCAATTTCGAAAATCGCTGTTCTCGTGCCGGATCTGCGCCTGACATTCGACCTTCCCGGACTTCCCTACATTGAACCCTGCTTCGCAGGTACCATGTTCAGGGATCCCGACGTGGCATCTGATTCAGGCTCGGAGGAGTCTGAGATTGACGTTGTGGATGACGAGACGCTCCTCACAGAAAGCGAGTTTCTATCTGAGAAGGCGTCGCTCCTGACTCGAACAAAGGAAATTCGTGACACTACTTTCCATGAGCGGCATTGGCATAAGCCTCTCATCGGTGTTGTCTACGAGGTCACATTGCTGGACTATGCCAAGATCATTGCGACAGAGGGCGGCGGCCGTGGGTACAGGGATGTAGTCGTTGACTGCTATCCCTTCTCAGAAGACTACAATTCCTCCAACCCAGTCCCAAACCACCCTTCTACCCAGCCCTTCAAGACACATACCCTTCTCTCACCGGCAGCTGATGACGCCCGGAAGAGAATACACGCTGCTAGGACACCTGAGTCATCTGCGCCATCTAGGTCTTGTCAGGCGTCTTCGATATTTGGAGATATCCAGCCACACATGCGCCCGGATCCAGAGTACGCGCAGCCTTCTGCGCGGTACCTCGGCTTGCTTATTGCAGGTAGCGAGGAGCACGATCTCCCCGTATCATATCGGGCATACTTGTCGAATATCCATTCCTATCATACCACTACTTTTCGACAGAAGATCGGGAAGTTTGTCTTTGTTGCTATGTGGGGGCCATCTTTACTCCTGACACTACAGCTGTCCAAGCGTTTTGCTGGCCCTGATGGACGTAGCCCGCTGTGGCTGGCTGGGGTGGCTAATCTGCTATTCGCGGGGATGTGGAATAGCTATGATTTTGTCTTCAGACGGGCGTTTGGGGATGGTGAGAGGACTATCGGTGATACCCCTTCCTCGTGATTATAGGTTTACCTTCATGTTTGATGTACATACTATGTAACATAATCAATCTCGCGCATTGTGTTTCACGGGACAAAAATCGGGGCGATTATTATTCAATCAATGTTGCAATATATAGACATTTTAATCCACATGAGCCGCGAATCTAGTAAGAACAGCCTCGCACGTGTGCATCTCAAGATATCAACCTCTTTTGATCCCCAATATACTAGCATCATATATGCGCATCAATGAAGATTCGACTGAAATAGCTGCATTCACAAAGGAAATTAAATTCGGTTGACTCCTCCAGCACAATTTTCGGAAGGGCAAAAAAAGAGAATATCTAGGATACAGATACATGTGCCGGGAGTGTTCTAACAAAAACAAGGGCCGCGACCCTAGACACAAAAAAAAACAGATGACGGAAGAGATTTCTCCCAGGCGACACAACACACGGGGGGCAACAGTGCAGAGAATGCCCGTTAGGTCACGTAGCCTTGTTAACCTCTCCCATTTTCCAACTTATATAGTTCTTGGTGAACGTCGTTTAACGGCGGGGGCCGATTGGGGGGCTGTACACGACCTTGCGAGACTTGATCGGGGCCCACTTGTAACGCTTGACCCAAACGCTGATGGCGAACAGACCGGTGAGTATGGCAATGGCCTTGACACCCATCTTCTTGCGGTCGTCCATCTCGGGCTCAGCGGACCAGTTCAGGAACTCGGTAACATCCTTAGCCATCTGGGAGGTGGTAGCGGGAGTGCCGTCCTCGTACTCGACGACACCGTCGAACAGAACACGACCCATGGCAATACCTATAATCGATCGTTAGTTATCAATCCAACACCACAACAGCATCTAATTCTTTTCAAACGTACCGGTACCGGGGAAGTAGGGGTTGAAGTTCATGCCCTCGGCAACGCTGGCACCGGCGGGAGCCTCATCGGGGTAACCAGTCAGCAGGTTGAAGACGTAGTTGCAGCCACCGTGACGGCCCTTGATGATCAAGCTAAGATCCGGGGGCAGAGCACCGCCGTTGGAGGCACGGGCAGCCTCGTCGTTCTTGTAGGGGGGAGGAATGTAGTCGGAAAGCTTTCCGGGGCGCTTCTCGATTTCGCCCTCGTTGTTGGGCTCGGTGTCGTACTCGTTCTCCTCGGCCATAGCCTTCATCTCATCGACAGTGTGCATGACACCGACCATTGAGCGCCATGGGACACGGGTCAGGGAGTGGCAAGAGGCGCAGACCTCACGGTAGACCTGGAAACCACGGCGAAGACTGATGAAAAATGTTAGCTTGGCGTGATGGGGGTCGGGTGGTTATCTTTAGGGGAACCCACGCAGCGTGATCGAAAGTCTTGTTGAAGCGCTGGTGAACCCAGGGGTACTGGGTGGCGTGCAGACTGAGTAAAAAACAATGAGTTAGCTCAATCGTTCATTGATATCTTGATCGCACAATCCCGAGCTCGGAGCACCGGGGGGCGACCGGGTATTGATCGTATCGACCATCGATTCAAAGACTCACCCCTCCTCAGCAGGTGTCATGGCGAAGGCCTCCTGGCCATAGAGGTGGTAGTACCACGCGGCGGAACCGGCAGCCGCGGCGGTTGCGAGCGAAGCAGTGAGGGTGAGGTGGAAGGGGGAGCTGGCGGCCTCGGCACCGGCGGCGGTGGAAGCAGCACGCTGTCGGAATAATTAGCCAAAAAATCCTTTCTCAGCAGCATCAAGGCCCAGCGAAGCAATTATCATCATCGATGAGGCTCAATGGGCCTGATTGGGGGTGTTGGTAGCATACCGTGGACTTGCCGAGTGATTGGCGTGCGATGGCCCGGGAGGGCACGCGCAAGAGGGTACGGGCCAGCATTTCGAATTCAAACCCTCCGATCAACGATGTGATGGATGGGAAAGGATTGGATCGCAAAAGCGGGAAGAGGGGGGAGGGGAGGGGGTGGTGGCAGGGAGAAGTGCTGGAAGTGATGCGAGTTGAAGTTCAGAAGGTTCAAGTTTCTCGCGGGAAAATGGAGTGTAAAACCCTGTCTCTGATTGGCCCACACAACCCGCTCGGTGAAAACCGCGATCACTCGGAACAGCTGTCGGCTCTCTATTCTCTGCTTTTATCTATTCTTCTTTTCAATTGATCAAGCACAATTGCAACCTTGAAGCTGTTTCGTTCTATATTGCTAACATCCAGAACAATTCCCGGTCCCAATCGTCCAACGCCCGCCCGTGCCCGTCCATGCCTCCCTCCTCCACCCGACGCACCCGAATCGTTCCAGCAACGCTATGATTGGTCGAATCCGACCCTGTTTATGTACGATCACAACAGCTGTAGGGTAACGGGAGCCACCACCTCTCATGACCTCCAATATACACATATTACCCACAAATTTGTCGATCTAAAAAGAAGGAACTTGATGTTCTAAGGACGATACTGGCGAAATAACCTCTGTTGTTGCTACCACGACATGGAACTGGAACCGAAGATGCATATACCAGAATCTCAATTCAGGCAGGACCTAAAGCTTGACAATATCAGTTTTGCGACGGATGATGAAGTCTTCGTTCGTATTGAGGGCCTTCCTAAGACCCTCAGAACCATCGACCGCTTTAATAAGGCGTTGAGCTGTGTGGTCCATCTCTAGTTACTGTGTCATTCAAACCATACTGGGATGGTATTCTTGCTGGTATTTGGGATATCTTCCTGCGTCTATGCAGCCATATGAACCCATACGAACAGCCCATATACTCAATCCAAGTAGTGCGGGAATAGTGATGTTTTCTGGTCACCAAAGAACTTCAATTCACAGTGTAGCGTGTGTGAGGGATGATTCAAATGTGGGGAGACTTGGAAAAGGAAGGAAGAATTGAGAATCTTCAATTGTTCATCGAAATTTCGGAACTGCTTCAAATTTTCCAATCCGTCCACGCATAGGCAGATAAACAGATGCTCAATATAATTTTGAGCTTTAAACATTGTTACTCCCAAGCTCCCAAGTTCCAACAGTAGTTGCTAGCACTGGAGAGGTTGCCAAATATCTCTATGCACATGTGCAGGGATTAAGATTTGAAATAGGACCAAGATTGGACTTGTTCAATGTTGAAATGGAATGGATGTTAGTAAAATCAGAACAATTGTCTGGCCTGTTGAAGGCTTGTGGTTTTTACTCAAATGCACCGCGTATTCGGCGATCAAGATTCGGCGATTGTACCTTGCCCTACGTAACACAACCGCGTCACATTTTAATTATTTCTATCTTGGCCGGTTATTGAAGGAGATGCATATTTGCACTTGAAACCTTACTATGACGCGATCTTGCAGGGGTTTTAATATTTTGATCTTCAAATCCATCCATTGGATATATATATACGTAACATTTGAATGTACCTCAAGCTGACGCTTCCAAGGGAGGTTTGGTGTGTTCAAATGTTGATCTACCAGGTACGATATGAACAGTACATCAATGGAAGTACATACTACCACGTGGGCACTCTACACCGATGGGTTTAAACAATGATTCAAACATTTCATCAATTGACCTCATATTCCGTCTGAAGTCAACAACATTTGAAAATCTCTTGATCTATGGATATCCGCTTTCAAATATTCAAACCTTCGAGGTTCCCGGCTTCAAGTGTTCTTGCATAACTTTCAATCCTTTGTTGATGATACTGCCTACATAGGTCCACGGGTGACGACCTCAGCCTGGAGGAGAGAATTTTTTCGGGTACATTTGAATCTGGTTTCATTGAATAGTTGACCTACCACCTACATAATGTACTCAAGTTTGAGTGCTCTTGAGTACATAGTCAACTTGATACCAGTTGACATTGATCAATCAATAGTACTATGAATTCAAACATTAACATCAAGTACAAAAAAAATTCCTCGATAACCGACTGCACATGTGCACACATACTACCTATTCACATGCAGGCATGCTCAGTGATCTATTGATACATACATCAATTGATATATTTCCGAGGTCCCTAGACAACCTCGGGATGCACGACGATGTTTTGAACCTTGAATGTTGGAAGATTAGGGAGTCCGCCTAGGTAACCTTGGATAAGACAAAATAGACAAATAAATGCCAGACAATCGTTCTGAAGGAGCCAATTGCACCCAGAGAAGGCACTCCCACAAGGATAATCAGCGTGCAGCTGTATGTCTCGAAGTCTACAATGTTTCGTATTTGCGTCAAACACGTATTAAATACCGAATCAATTGATGTTGGATTGGAACATTTGAACCTTGCAAATGTGGAGTATCTCAAGAGTAGGTATACGAGTAGGTATACCCATGGATCCTTTTACGGAAGCTATTAAGTGCTAGGTAAAGTAGTATATCCGAGGACAGTTCCATATCAACCTTGAAAGATGCACACCTGGGCAGTTCCATGTCTGCCACGCGCTCCTTTAAGTACACACTCAACCTTGAGATAATCAAATCTCTTTAATGTTTCTTAAGTTGTTTCTGTTGCGAATTTAATTCTACTGATTCAAAGTTGGGTCTTTGAAACTCCAAGAAGGCTCCAAGGCTTGAAAGGAACCTCTTCTAATTCATTCCCAGGCGTGCAGGTGGCTAATGAAAGGTCCGTCGAAAGATCATCCCCTCCTTCCAGGCCTTGGTCCTCCAAAACCATCAAGTCATTTTCAAAATATCTAAATCCCAAACGGGAATTTAGGTAAATGCGTGAAAGCCCCCATTTTCATTGGTTGACACGTATTGAAAAGGGTGAAAGTGTTGCGTATGGAGCTGAGCAGGGGCCAACTCCCCAATCGCCGAATGAATCTGAAGTCCCCGATATCACACAAGGAGAACAGACCGCCAGTTGTTAATTGAAACCATGAATACACGTAGCTCTCCTGTTAATGCTCATTATGAGACAAGATCACGCTATCTCCCCCTTATCATTGATCCAATAGCTTTCTAAGCTTTCATTGACCGCTGTTCTGCCAGTTACCAGGTGACAGGACTGTACCCAGTATCTCGTCTAGACACGGTCTACACATATTTTTTTATGCAAGCCCCGCAAGTAATAATCCGGTAATAAAATTTGCCCCATCATTTAAAAGTCCTCATTCCATACTTCATGAGTCCAAAGTGAAGGATTCAAAATAGATAGTCCAACGGTCAACCCCAAGTTATGGGTGCTGAATGGTTGACTAGGGGAAGCGGTGCCGCCCGGCGGGACCCAATTACTTCAGCTTTCGACTTACACCTCACATTTCAACAACCCGTTCCTCCTTTGATCATGACTCCACGATCCACAAAACAGAGTGGTCTGGCTTCACTAGCGTGTACCGAGTGTCGCAAACAGCATTTGAAATGCGACGCCCGGAAGCCGACATGCTCTCGTTGCTTGCAAAATGAATATTTTTGCCAATATCTCCCCTCGCGACGTGGCGGCCGCAGGAAAACCCGAGAGCCCATTCGCCGAGCCTCGTTTTGTCAACCTGATCAGATCAACGTGAATATTCAATACCCATTATATCGAACTAGTAAATATAAAACGTACTTATCATTTATTAGACATCCCTTGTTACCCCTGGTAACACGCTTGGGCAACCTGATACACCGGATAGTACGTCCTTGTCGAGAACATCAGGACCAGCTGTAGGCATTCCAGCGGGCCAGGTTCCCTGGCCTATGCTTCCACTGAGAAACGAACTTCATCAATCACGCTCCGAATCAGCCCGTGAATCATGGTACCACGATGATCGCTTTTTACGATTGTTTTATGAGAATTTTCATGTTGCGCATCCAATTTTGGTTCCAAGCGCTATATATCGTGACAGACAGTATCCCGACTTTCTCCAAATGGTGGTGAATTTTGTTGGCTCTCACTATATCTCGTCAAATCCAATTCAACAGTACAAAGATAAAGTGATTGAAGAGCTCAACTGCAGCCGAGATCGATCGCCCTGCATGGTTCAAGCATGGCTGATTTACTCAATTGCTGTTTACGCCCGAGGCGAATGGCAGGAAGCTCAGGATGCATTCTCACAAAGTGTATCAATAGCTTTGGAGTTGGGCATGAATCGGCGGGACTTTGCTACTTCGGGGCATCCAGAAACCTCCATTGAGGCTGAAAGTATGCGAAGGACTTGGTGGGAGTTATACATTACAGACGTATTCATGGCAGCACCTTTCAAACACACGACATTCCAGTGCAGTACAATGGCACCGGAGGTTGCCCTGCCTTGTGAGGACTCAGCATACACCGGTACATGCGACATTCCAACACCCCGAAAGATCCTTGACTTCAAGCGGAGGGTCTTTGCCCCCGACGAAACAGTTTTCTCTTCTTCAAGTTACCGGATCGAGGCCGTGACAATACTATGTCGTGCCTTAGTGCTGAATGGACTTCGGGACTATCATCGAGATCACTTGCAAGCCGTCGAAAATGCGCTCGTTAGCTGGATCAACCACCTGCCATCCAAAAAGTTAGATATCGTCGACTCGTATGGAAACATCGACGAGATGATGTTTCAAGCACATATGACCATTGCATATGCCACAATGCTCCTACACCTGCCCCGAAGCGATCTACAGCCCGTCTTGTCTCAATCAGATGATCAATTCTGGCCCGTTGCAACTCGCCATCTCGCATCAACGCTTAACCGCTCAATACATAGCATCAAGGCCACTGAAGCCTCACGGCGTCTATCGGACGCCATATCCCTTTGCCCCAATGTCCCGAAACACACACCTTTTGCAATCCCCGCCTTAGCGCTCTGCGGTATGATCCAGCTCGCTACCTCTATCAAGCACAACGAAGAGTGCTTCGATCACCATTACAACCGTGTTACTCTTATTCTGGGGTGTTTGAAAAGTACAAAGCGGATCTGGAACCTAGCAGACGCCGCTTATGACCATTTACGATCTTCTGCAGCAGATAACCTGTCGGACTCTATGGAGCGGTGGTGCACGGAGCCTCCCAGGAAATTATTTCCATCAGATTCAACACCTAGTAACACAGAACGTATCAACCAACCCGCACGGCCAATCTCAGCAATATCGGAGGGGCAGGATATGTTGTTTCCTCCCCTTGTGTCAGCTTTTGTTGATCCAACCTGTTACAATGATTCATTCTTCACCTCTCTCCCTGATTTCGATATACACTGAAGTACATCCATGGATGTATTGAATATAGAAACGCAAAAACCTTCAATTTAAAGGATTTATACAATCTACAGCGACATTGAAGTTGAGCGCTGACGATAATAATTCTGAGTTCCAAGTCAACCTAGGTTCCTTAGAAGCTCCACTGGGCTAGACTTTCCAAGGTTGGAATGCGTACATGGCCAAGCCTTGGAATTATTGATAAACTAGAATAATAAAGCATAATACTGGTACACTCAATATTCGGTTATTCCCGGGATTCTCTTAGGTATTCTACACCGGAAACTCGCGAAGTTGCGAAGATAAGATAATAAAAGTAGCGGGCCCCGCGAAGGTTAGCAGAGGATGCTCATGGACACACCTGGGCAACTATGTTATGTGTCGTATGAAGCTGTCATTAGGTCTCAAGCACTAATCCTTTAAACTTCATTCTTGGGAGGCCGTGTGTTAATACTAGTACGATACAAAATCAACCAATGTGAAAAGGTTTCTCTCTTGGAGTCTTGATTGACTGCATAACTTGAGAACAAGCTTAGCACAAACACGTCTGGGGCTCCCACATTTGCACTAGTAATCATCCACCCCTTAAATCGAGCATAACCTGAAACAGGTGAATGTGCAAAGAAGTCTTTTTTTGATTGATTAGGGGGAAAGATAAAAAGATAGGAGTCCGACGGGGCTGGACCAAGGCACGCGGCCTCCTGTGCCACGCAGATCATTCCGGTCGGCGATCCAAATCCCAAATCGCCGATTGTCCCCACAACGTCATTGCACATCGGGGATTGACATACACTTGGGCCTGAGGACCAGCAAACTCCTTTATAAATGTGCTCAATTGATCCCCGAAATCCATTCAAACTACTCTGTTCTCTTCTCCAGCTTCAAAACACGTTAATCTCACATCTCTCACCCCAATATGTCTTCAACTCTGCTCTCAACAACCGCCACCTTCGACAAGGGGCTCTCCCCGAGCTATCAACCTTTCAAGGAGAAATACAACCTGGAATGCCTGGTGCAAGATATCAAACAGCATTTGGGAGAGTCGGGCGGCATCTCCTCCGAAGAGGTTGATGAATCATATCTGATCTCGTTGGCGCGAAAATACGTGTCCGATCCAAGTGACTGGATCGAATATTTCTACAACGATACCAGCAAGAACTACACCCGGAACGCGATCGAGAACATCAATCACAAGGCAAATATTGTTCGTGTTCATTTCTTTGTTTGTTCCCTTCCACGCCAAACGCATTGCTAACCTATGACAGCTTCTTCTTGTCTGGAATCCTGGAAAGGGCTCCCCTATCCATGACCACGCCAATGCCCACTGCATTATGAAAGTTCTTGCAGGACAACTACACGAGACTGTTTATCATGCCCCTGAACAAGATTCAAAGGAAGCCAAACCTTTGACTATCAAGTCTGCCAACACATTCGGCATGAACGAGGTGACATATATCTCAGATGATATTGGTCTTCACCGAGTTCACAATCCCCACCCCACCCAGATAGCTGTGTCATTACACCGTAAGTACTATCAGAGAAGAATGAGAGCCAAGTGTCTTTATTTGTACCCGAAGAAGCTAATATTGTTTACCTTGTCTAGTTTACACGCCGCCAAATGCAGCTGACTACGGCTACAACATTTTCAATGAAGCTACTGGCTCAGCCAGCTATGTATCGCAAGCTCATTCGGTTTCCAAGTAGGGGAGAGGACCGCGGTGTTTTGTTTGAGACACATACTTCGTTTATCAGATTTGGTTATGGTGATTTACTAAGCGAGGATGTTGATCATCCGCTCTAGCGACTTGCGTGCTATTTTCAAGATTGATATCCCCTTCGCCAGTTTGCTTTTCGACACGGGAACTTCAGTGGTTCGGCGTTAGGCTCTAAATTCAAACCAAGAAATGAGCATTCAAATTATCTTCTCCTAAGATTTATCTACTCAAGTACTCCCAAGTTTTTGTTGACAACCTGGAGTATGAGTAGCGGCTAAGCTACTAGCATGTAAACTTGTCTTAGATGTGTGATTAAAGTATATAAAGAGGAGGTAAATTGTTTGAAAGAAAAGAAGAAAAAAAAAAAAAAAAAAAAAAAAAAAAACTACTAGTAAACATTGATTCTACTCTTTTCCTTCAATAACCCATATTGGCGTCGGCCGCGTTGCATTCCTCTAGATCCACCTGCGTTTCATCCCCGCACGGAGCCGATCGCTTACTCATCGCGTGACGCCATTCCTGAATGGGGGTTCTCCAAGATAAGGTCGCCGACTCTGCGGAGAAACTGGCGTTCCTGCTTCCACATATTCATTCGATTCCTTTTCTGCGAAGGTGCTCTTTGCAATCGACCTACTGACTCTGGATTCGCTCCACAATGGTCTTCTCGGGCAACGAGTAAGTCTTATTGGCTTTATCCTAGCTTTACCCCAACCTTTGGAAGACGATTCACGAACATCTTGTCTAATGGTGCTGTACAGTGATGGCTGGAAGCCCGACCACGCGAGAGACCTGGATCTAGAAGAGAAGACAGCTCTACTAAATACCACCGATGAAGGCATAGAGACTGCCAGTGGGAACAAGACATCGGTGCCCCCTGTCTTGAAGAGGGGCCCCAGGAAATGCCGTCGCATCCTCTGTCGCGCCTTCATGACATTGGTATTTGCTGGTGTTATGATCTGGAACTTTGCACCATCCCCCAATGGTGAGTTTAATAATTCATTAACAGCCCTCAAACTATTAATGACTTTGTATTCAATTCTAGCCCAACCCTCCGAACCTACCACTCAGCCTGCTCCGTCAGTGTCGCGGGCTATCTGCAAAACCCCCGAGTGCATTCACGCGGCGTCGGAGATTCTCTATAATCTAGATTCAAACTATGAGAAAATTGACCCATGTACCGACTTTGACCAGTACGTATGTGGCGGTTGGAGAGAACGACATGATATGCGCTCTGACCAAGGCTCGGTCTTTGCTGGAACAATGATGGCAGAGGCTGCTCAAACACGCCTTCGTCATATCTTAGAGCGCTCAGAAGCTCCAGAGTCTGCCGACGCTGTGAATTATAAAAAGCTGAAGGACGCATATGATGCTTGTCTGGATGAATCTACTATTCGAGAAAGGGGCACTCAGCCATTAGTTGAAGTCCTAACGGAGCTGCAGACCGTTTATGCCGCTAATGATGAAGCAAAGGCTCGAACTGAGGATAATCTTACCGATGCTATTTTGTTTCTCCTCAAAAAGGGCGTCGAGGCTCTCGCATCTCCAGGTGTTTCTGTAAGCTTACAAGTTTGAATTCTCATATTGGCATAGGTGTATACTAATATTTAAAGGCTGATGATCGGGACCCCGATAACGTTGCAGTCTTCATCAACCCACCTGGCAACATTGGGCTTCCTGCACGCGAATACTATAACAATACTGAAACGGTCGCCAAGTACACGGGGGTTGTGAAGCAGATCTTGCAAGCTTTCAAAGTCAGCGATTTTGAAAAAATTGCGGAGAACATTGTCGCCTTTGAAAAAGAGCTGGCCGACGCAACTCCAGATACACAGACCCAGGAGGATGTTACCAAGTCTTACAACCCACTTAGTGTCAAAGACACTCAGCTGCTAGTTCCCCAAATCTCTTTTGATGGGATCCTCTCAGAGCTGGCACCGGACAATTATACAAGCGATCGCCTGATTGTTGGATCGCCATCGTATTTGAAGGCTCTCTCCAAGATCTTGAAACATGCCCCCAGACAGACCGTTTCCTTCTTCTTCCAATGGAAAATCATCCAGGCTTTTGCGGGCAGTATTGAGGATGATAAAATTGTTCCTCTCACCCGATTCGCGAATGAACTTGCTGGAAAGGACCCGCAAGCCAAGGAAGAGCGCTGGAGGAAGTGCATTCGCAGCCTTGATGAGGGCTTGGGCTGGACCCTGAGCCGATTCTACGTGTTGGATTCATTCTCAGAAGAGTCAAAGAAGCTTGGTGACCAGGTTGTGTCAGACATCAAAGAACGGTTTGCCTTTACTCTGGATCAAACCGCATGGATGTCCCCAGATGTGCGAAAGCTAGGGATCCAGAAGGTGGAGAACATTGTGCAGAAGATTGGGTTCCCTACCACGAGTCCCAACGTGTTGGACCCGCGGGATGTGGAGAAGTATTATGAGGCACTTGAGGTTTCCAAGAAGACCTTCTTTGAGAACGAGCTTGCCGTTGCGAAGTTTGATCTTGCGCACGAGTGGTCAAAATTAGGCAAACCAACCAACCGAGATGAATGGGGTATGACCGCGGCAACCGTCAATGCCTATTACAACCCCCCGGGGAACGAGATCGTCTTCCCGGCTGGCATAATGCAGCCTCCCACGTTTTACGGAGCAACGGCACCGTTGTATTTGGCCTATGGATCGTTTGGAGCTATCAGCGGCCATGAGCTCTCTCACGCGTTTGACTCGACTGGTCGGCATTACGACGAGACGGGCAACTACACAAACTGGTGGGACGACGAGACCGTCCAGGCCTTTGAAGAACGGGCTCAATGTTTTGTAGACCAATACTCCAACTTTACCGTTGAGGGACCCGGCGGCAAGATGCTGCATGTGAATGGACGCCTCACCCTCGGAGAAAACATTGCTGATGCTGGTGGACTGACCGCTTCGTTCCACGCCTGGAAGAAACATGACGATGCAAAGCCCGACCTCCATCTCCCAGGACTGGATGCCTTCACCAAAGAGCAACTGTTTTTCGTTTCGTACGCTAACTGGTGGTGTGGTAAATCTACGCAAGAGGCCGCCGAGCAGGCCATCTACAACGATCCGCATGCACCCAAGTCGGCGCGGATTATTGTAAGTATTGATCCCGTGCAATGCATGATCCCTGTCGCTAACAAACTTTTAGGACACTATGGCAAACTCTCGAGAGTTCAAAGAGGCCTTCCAGTGCCCGGAGAAGAAGCCGGTTTGTCAGCTCTGGTGAATCGTTGCCGGGTGATAAGTACTACATTCCCGACAGCTACTCCTCACTTCATTTCGGTGTATTTCAGTTTTCTATTGCTTGACAGTCTCAATCTCACATTATATTTCCTGTGGTTTCTTGTAGATGCATAAGACACATTTCCACATTCCAAGGGATTGCTGAATTTTCGGTGTCCGAAATTATAACACACCAATCATGGATAAACATTCTTATGAGACATAGTAAGCTTGTAGGGAAATCTGGTTTAATTTTCAGCGCTCATATCGGCAGTCCTCCCTCTTGCATGAAATACGACGAGGCGATCTCCCTGAGCTTGTATGTTTGTACTTTTTCTTTGCACCCGGGTTGCATCCACCCCCTCAACGCCGATCACCGTTTTAAAGTAGTTATTCCCCCCTCCGACGTGAGGAAATGGCAAGCCAACCAAAGGCCGAAACCGATACTCACTGCAGATCGGGAGGGGCGGTCAAGCTAGATCGACTCAGATCCTAGTTTAATACGGAGTAACGACCGGGAGATTTTTTTCTTGTCCCGGGACGATCGATCCATTTCTGATGAAGGGAACCCGCAGAAATAAGATCATGTGGATCGACTCAAAAATGGGATTTGGTGGGCGATGTAGTCAGACATTGTGGGATTTATTTCATTTGCTCATTTTGATCTAAATGAAAGGCTTGTCTTGGCGAGGGGGACGAAAATTAGACGACTCCAGTGGAAATTGCATCAGCTGAAGGTAAAGTGGGAATCAGTGGGACCCCCTGGCTGGGTTGCATGAGACATCCACTCTGCTGGGAAGGATCTTAAAGGGAAACGGGACATGTCATAGCTGAGAGCTCCATTCGATCAGCTCCCTGCAATCCCAAGGGCGCGTCACTATGTGCCGAGGCCAGTGGAGCATGGGATAACAGCGGGATAAGCAGCCACTTAGCGGGCAGAAACGGGGGCTCGCCCCAAATGTAGTTCGCTTCACCGGGGCGAGGCGAAAAGTGTGGGTTCGACGTATCAATTTGCGGTCATGTGTGTTGATGTGCATGTTGACATGTTGCCAGCGGGGAAGGTTGGATAAGAGAAGTCAAAACAAACATGTAATGAGATGCGATCAGACCTTGAAAAGAATGAAACAAAGTAAAAGATTAGAATGTTCTGATAGATCGATGAGATGGAAGAGTAGAAGTGTGTACTGTAGAGTGTATACACTAGTAGGCTCGTGTATCGTATACCAAAAAGGTGGCAACCGTTTTTGCCTGGATCCGCCGTACCGGGATTGATTCCCCAAACTTCCCAAACTCTTGCTCCACCTGGAAAAAAACAAAGTCCCTTGAATCTTGATTTTCCTTCCTACCTAATTATATACACACATACGCCTACTCACCTGTGCAACATTGATCACCGAATTTCCAGCCTGGTCTGCCTCATGCATTCGAGAGATACCCATTACCACGCTTGTCCGTGAGCAAAGAACACATACGTGACCGCGTCGCGCGCGGTCCGTGGAGCTGTTATCGAAGCTCTCACGATCGCCCGTCATGGAACCCTTTCCTGTCTCCGTCGACCGGCCCGCACATTCCAAGGATCTATCCGGATCACCAGTGCGAATCCGTGAACTGCCCGTTCTGCTGGATCGAACGCGCAGCGGAGCTAGTCCAAAAACCACCTCTTTACGCCGCGCCAACACGGTAGCACAAGGGAATTTGATCAAAAAGAGCCTGGAACGAAAGGCTACTCGGGATAGGACCGCGACAACTGGGACTGCGCCGGGGGGAGGAGCCTCAGGGCTCAGGGCCAAGGATAGCAGCGAACTATTACGAAAAGCACCACTGCAACGATCTCAAACACACCGGGGCCCATTGGAAGCTCGTCCTGCAGGACGCAAAGCAGGTCATTTTACGGTTGGAAGTGTTGGACAAAATGGCAAGATCTTTCTCAGGTACGATCGGTGTTTTGTTTTGTTTTTCTGCGTTGCTCTGGAATATCTAATCTCTCTGCACGACTATCCCGCGTCGCACATCACCTGCAGCGAGCTGACAATTTGCCACTATTTACTAGGCCGATTGCAAACCCACCCCAAAAAGAACCCCCAATAGTGCCATTCCCATCTATTGATCAAGTGACGACCGATCGCCTTCAGCCGCAACAATATGCTCACCCCCGAGATGATCCGTCCCGATGGTCGAGCTCCCAGCTCTCCGAGTTACGTCCGCGCGAAACAAACCAAGAGGATCATGACTTCGAGGTCAATGAAGTTACGCGACCTGAATCAGCAAATCGACTTCGTCAGCGAGCAAATTCGTTATCCACAATATCCGATAATCACTCGGCGTCTGGCGCGGGCAAGCGTGGAGAGCTACGCATCGTCATCGATCGTTCTGAGGACCGGCCCAAGACCGCGAATGAAAAGTCGCCTGACACTACGTTAGTGGTCCCCATCCCTCATTACCGGCTGGGCTCACCCAGGTTCAATAACGAGGGTAGTGCGGCCCTGCATACTTCCGTCTACACGCGAGCGTCAATGTCCGACAATTTTCGGAATTCGACCTTGTTAGGGGGCATGATTGATACTATTCCTGCGCGTTATCCGAGTATGTATAGCAGAGATTCATTTTCGCGTAATCGAACGTCCTTCAATCGGGCGTCCTTTGCAGTGTCCATGTTCTCCGGGGCAGCTGCGATAGACCTCAGTCGAGCTTCCCCGCTACCCAGAAATTCGATGGTGTATGAGTTGAAGGGACCAGTTGAACCCTCCATATATGAGACTTTGGTATCAGACATGGATGGTGAAACGGTTGTGCGGTACATTCCCGGCACCAAGGATATCAGTGCAGCCACACCCGCCCGCATTGTGGCCCAGATCTCTTCTGAGTCGTTCATGGATTATGAATTGGTATCCGATTTCTTTCTCACCTTTCGCTGCTATTTATCATCAAATCATCTACTTGCTCTGTTGCTCGCACGCCTTCAGTGGGCAATCAACCGCCTTCGAGAGGATGGACGGATCATCCGAATTCGTACTTTTGCGGCTCTGCGACACTGGATTCTGAATTATTATGTTGATGACTTTGTTCCCAACTATAAGCTCCGGACCCACTTTTGCGAGACCATTAACAGCCTCTATCAAGAGGTGAAATGTCGACGAAATGGTGGTATGAGCGATTTGAAAATCCTGATTGACTTGAAAAGATGCTGGAATGGCAAGTGCTCGGCTTACTGGACAGCGTCGGAGTTTTCTCGCGCCTACAATGACCCCGACAGCCAAATTTTGCCAGGAAGCGTAATAATGGAGCTGCCGAGTGAAGAGATAGTCCAGGAAAATGTTCCACTTCCTGGTGTGGTCGTTCAAACAGAGACTAATTCCCGGAAGAGTTTCCCCGTCTCTACTCAGCATGATCGAAATGACTCGGCTGGGACGGTACACAGTATTCCATTCTCAACAAAGAGTGAGCAAAGTATGTTGGCACTCTCCTGCTCTTTACCACCTCCAAAGTCCCCAAGGCGGCTATCTGCCCCTTACTACTCAAGGAGCAAAGCACCGCGCCCCGTTCCCTTGGGCCTTACCAAGTCAGTTTCGACTCATGAAAGACATCCTGTGTCTCCGATGCTCTCGCGATACCCATTCCATGGTCATAAGAGAAGTGGCAGCTTCTCTGATTCCGTGCGGGATCCAATGTCTGGTGTCGAGGCAGGCTCCGCCGCTGCCCCGCAGGAGATAATGGACCCCGTCAGCTTTATTCGAGGTGCACTATACCCTCCCGCTGAGTCATACATGACGATGATGGCACCAGATTCTCCTCCTTTGGCTTTGCCGTCATCTTCTTCCAATCCGGACCGCCGAAGCACGCCGGATGGCGGACCCAAACCGGCACAATCGAGCTCCGGGGTGAAGACCATCATCGGCTCTATAAGGCGGGCTCTTCATACTAGGAACGGCGGTCAAAGTGTTTCTGCTCGCATAGCCAATGCTTCGGAAGCTCTCACCATGCCTTACCGGGGGAAAACATCAGCCATGCCTAATCACATTGCTCTTGGTTCTGATTTCTACCGCGACAGAAAGATGGCGGCTACTCCCAAACGGCCCACACGAATTGACTTGCTATGTGAGCAGGCTTTGAGGCAGTATAAAGAGGCTATGGACAACTCAAACAATCAAGATAGCCAACCACAACCCAACGCCCCCGAATTACAGAAAGCCTGGCAAGATGCTCCTTTAGACATCCCCGAGAGCAATTTGGAAATCCTCAAAGATAATAGCTCGAAAATAAAAAGTGGGCTTACTACAGGTAGTGGGTCAATCGTCATCGTTGATGATACCGGATTTGACTTCACTCCCTCTATGTCTGGGGCTTTGGAAGATCATAGGCCTACTCGTGCCATGGGTGATCCGGTGCGCTTGGATACTGGTGATACACTTGCGTCATCCAAGTCATACTTGTCAACATCGACTCGAGGCAAAAGTGAACATACAGTTCCCATCTATTTCAATGGTGAAATTTCCGAAATTTCACAAAAGCCACATCCCTATAGCATGGCTTCCACTCGCCGATCGTTTTCTACTGAACGGCAGTCTACTCCCCAGAAGAGAGCATCACTTTCGCTCCGACTTCGGAAATATGCGTCCTTCCAGAGCGGAATCTCGAGACAAAGAACGTCAATGGGCAGCGAGGCAGGAAACTCTGTTGTGGACCCAAGCCTTACGCATGAAGCAGATAAGCCATCCGGCCGTGCGCTTCGTAGAAGGCCCGGGGGAAACTTGCGACAGATGCAATATGTGGATGATGTCGAGCCTGATTCTCGTCGAGGGAGTGACATGTCCATTCGCTCGTATGATGAATCTTTAGCTGAAAGTACGGTGACCGCAGAGTCACGGCCTTCCACCACCTTGATTCCGCCTAAACCTCGGTTCTCATTGATTCAACCTCGATCCAACCGCAACATGAAACGATCATTCGAAGCGGCTATTGCTCGATTTGCGCAGATTCCAGATGATGATGATGGAGGTATCGAGTCGACTTTGTTGAAGCTAGAGGGTAAGTGGCCTAGCTCACCGCCGGCTGATCAAGAGGCTGGATTCGAGCAGACGACCAAGAATTTCGCTCAACATGACAATGAAAGAAGCGATGGTCCTTCGGATGTTATCTCCCGAAGGCGGCAGACAGATAAATCTGGTTACTCTACCGTCGGAGGGCGGTTGGCGCCTCCAAGACCGTATTCGGATTCCGTGGCAGATTCTGAAGACTCCTACAATTCGATTCCTCTTCTTGAGCGTGGCCTGAGCGATGAATCAATGAAACGGCCAACAGTGAATCGAGCGCAGGCCAACAGCCAAGTTCTTGATGTGCAAGGGGCCCCTCTCAGTCTGATCTCTAGTCGGGATACCTCTGAATTGGCATCGTCGCACCCGTCAATCCAGATCATCCACGACACGGATAGCATTCGCCGTATTCCCCCAGGCTCGACGCTCCCCCGACCAGCCTCCTTTGGCATGGGACAAGCCACCCCCAAGCGTTTGTCGGCCATGTCTGTTGACATGATTGACCCACGCGAGGCCATAGAGGGTCGCTTCTCCACAGATAACCCTAGCTTGGGTTCGTCGACGATCGAGATCACACCTCATCCCCTGGGGCACCCCCCTTCTCCCCCAATGACCATTCAACACCCAAGCTCTCTCACACCATGTGTCTCGCCTATGGAGAAGATCCTTTTCCAGGCTCAGCCCCCTACACCCGATACTTCACCTAGGCGTCGTGGGATTGAAACAGCCACCTCACAGTCTAGAGATGTACCTCAATTCTCCAGCGATGTTCTTTTGAACTCTGAAAAGGATCATCCGCATGTCAATGATGATTCCTCAGATCACATCCCCTTCATCCTCTCCTGTGAATCTCAAATGCTTGCTCAGCAACTGACACTTGTTGAAATGGCTGCGCTGAGCGAGGTTGATTGGCGAGACTTGGTTGATATGCGATGGAGCAGCGGCTCTCAATGTATTGCAAGCTGGGTTGAGTTCCTCACTGCCGAGGAGCGCAAGGGTATTGATTTGGTTGTTGGCCGCTTCAACCTCATGGTGAGATGGGTCGTCTCGGAGATTGTTCTCACCCGCGATATCCACGAGCGAGCCCGCACAATCATTAAGTTTATCCACACGGCCGCTCATGCGCGCCGCATTTCCAACTATGCGACCATGCTGCAGATTGCCATTGCCCTGTCTTCATCGGACTGTTCCCGACTATCCAATACCTGGCAACTTGTTCCTTTGGAAGACAAACGACTGTTCAAAGATATGGAGTGCCTGATCCAGCCTGTTCGCAACTTCAATGACCTTCGCGTTGAGATGGAGACAGCCAACTTGCAGGAAGGCTGTATTCCTTTTATTGGTGAGTTCTGGGCCCTAATTATTTTTTGATGATCTGCTGCTAACTATCGACCTGTAGGCCTTTATGTACATGACCTTACTTATAATTCCCAAAAGCCAGCACAGATCCCTCGAGCCGAGGGAGGGCTTTTGGTTAACTTTGAACGATACCGCACAGCTGCTCGGATTGTCAAGAGCCTGCTCCGGTTGATCGATGCCAGCACCAAGTACCGCTTCGAGCCTGTCCAGGGTGTGATCGAGCGGTGCCTCTGGATTGCATGCCTTTCCGAGGATGAGATTCAATCTCGAAGTAAACAACTCGAATGATCTTACCGACCTTATTTTCTAATGACTGGACTTTTCTTTTTCATACCCCTTTTTGCAAATTTTCTCTCTTTTTTGACTTTCTTTTGCGATATATCACTGTATCTATACTCTGCATTTACGCTTTCTCACCTTCACTCAGTTTTATATTTGGTATTTGCGTTTGGAGCGAGCATTTGCATCACATTGGCAACTTGGAGATATGACGGATTATATCAATGGCCAGCTGTCATACATATCACTTTTCTTTTACTTACCGACCCACCATACCACCCTCTATTTCATAATCAAATAAGAGAAGCTCATTGAAATTAATATACAAATCAATTGATCAATCTACTCCTCCAGAATCTAGCCCGGTCTTAGTGACCCGTTTCGTAGTTTCATAGTGTGGATTCATAGTGCGTCATAGTCAAAAAAACCGCGGCGGTGTTGGATCTACTTGCGGAACACTAATTTCAGCCCGACCCCCATTTCTCTTCTTCGACCCCAAGTCCAAAGGCCTTCAACCGAGTGCAAGTTCCTCGTTCATCTTATTCTTTGATTTTCCCGCATATTCACCGACCGGCTCATTCAACTCTTCCCGTGTTGAATGTCCCGCCCCGTGTGTCCCCGCCACGATGGACACGAGCGAGCCGCGGCGCGGGGCTTCAGAGGACTTGGACGACACTGAGTCCAACCGCAGCCCCGTGTCCCTAGAAATCCCAAAACAGCTACCGGATGATCTTCCCAAATCACTAGACGATCGCCGCTCGGTGCCGGTATATCAACAGGAGACGGAGATGTACGATGCGTGGCAGGGTAAGGACACTCAACATGACAACCTTCGGGGTGGTCCGAGCTCAGAAACGGTGCCTGGATTTGATGCACCTATCTATCAAATCCCTCATTTGATGCGCACGGAAGTCGAGCGAGTATGAATTAAAGATCGAGCTCAGCTAACATGCCATGATAATTGCGCAGGACAATCCCAATTTCTCACGACACCCGTCGCCGCGAAACCACTCACATTCAGCCTAGCTCTGGACGACCACACGCACGACCCGGAAACAGACCTCCGCGCTCAATACGGGCGCGATATTGAAGATAGCGATGCGCGTCTTATGGAGATGCTTGCCGCGCAAGCTGCACACCGGGAAGTCGATTCGCTGGGCGCCGATGAAGAAAGCATAGCGGCCGACGAGAAGTTGACGACGGCTGAGAAGAAAGACATCCTGCAAAAGAGCCTGAATATGGCAGCAAGCAATGGCGATGTAGAGCGAGTGCAGAAGCTATTATCTGGCGCGGCAAAGAGTTTTGTGGATGTTAATATGAAGGACGAGGAGGGGACGGTACCGCTTATTTACGCGAGTTGTTTCGGACATCAGGACGTTGTCTCGGCGCTCCTTGATGCTGGTGCATTTGTCGACCAGCAGGATCGGAATCAGTGGAGCGCGTTGATGTGGGCTATGACGAACCGACATAAGACTATTGCGAAGATTCTTTTGGATCACAAGGCTTCGCCGGATATTAAGTCCTCTTCTGGTGGGACAGCATTCGACTTTGCGCAGCCTGGCAGTGAGATTTCGGAGTATCTGCATGAAAATGGATATAGCTTCGGGCCAAGCGCGACTGATTATGATTTCTACGATGCTGGAATTGCGCATGGACGGTTTGAGGAGGAGATTGCAGAAAATGCGATGAAGAGGCGGATGATGATGGAGGAGAGTGCGATCAATTTGGAGGTAGATCTGTCAAGTCTTGGGCTGGACGAGAAGTTTGAACCATCGGATGAAGACGAGCTGGAAGGCGAACAGCAGGAATTCGTCTGGGACCGATGTTTAAATGATCAAATGTTTGTCTTCCAAGACCATGAACTGGAGCGCATCTTGGATATCATCATCACCAACATGACACCTCAACGGTCTCCAACTCAAAAGCCTGTGCCAGCAAATCTTCTTTTTCTGAGTGCACGCTATGCTCACTACCATGCTAGCCCAGAGCTCCTAGCGGAGCTTTTGACCTCGGCAACAGAGAAAATCAATGATGTCGTCGAGCGGTATCAATGGGACATGACTATGCAAGCATTCTGGCTGTCTAATGCCACGCTACTATTGCATTATCTCAAAAAAGATCCTGGGCTTTTGGAGTCTACGGTGGAATTTCAGCTCCATCTTGCAGAACTGATCAACGAAATATTCGTCCTTATTATTCGTGACGCCGAGCGACGAATGAACAAAGTCCTGGATGAGGCCATGCTGGACCATGAGACCATCCCCGGACTGGAGGACGTTGCCTTCCAAAACGAATGGAAGATTTTCCGCAAGAAGAAGTCCGAGGCCCCCGAGCCTGCAGACAAGCGATTCCGTCCACCGTCACCGCGGCGCCGAGCACAGATCTCCCCACGGAACGTCACATCCTTACTCTCGTCGACCCTTTTTGTGCTGGATCTTTACGATGTTCACTCTGTGATCACCACTCAAATTATCTCTCAACTTCTTTATTGGCTCAGCGCCGAGGTCTTCAATAGGATCATGAGTACCAGACGCTATCTGGCGCGGACAAAAGCAATGCAGATTCGCATGAACGTTTCCACACTAGAAGACTGGGCGCGCACCAACAATCGACAACCCGAACACTACGAAAACGGATCCATGACTAGCTCCGGCGAAACAACGGTCGACGCAGCCCGTCGACATTTAGCCCCAGTCATTCAACTGTTACAATGGCTACAATGTTTCTCCTCCCTCGGAGACGATCACGAATCTCTCGTGACAACCTTACTCCAATTACAACAGCTCTTCCCGGTCCAGCTCCTTCACGCCGTAAAATCATATCGTCCCGAAGTAGGCGAGAAGGGCCTCACCAAACAAGCCATGAAGTTCTTGCTGGAAATGCAGCGCGATCCTGAAATCTTATTCAGAGAACAACGCAAGATCCAAGCCGAGAAGGAAAAAGCAGCAGCACCCCCAGCACCTTCCGACAAAGATCTCCCCAAAACACCAAAGAAAGACCAATATCAAACAGAAGTGCAGGGCGCACCATCAGATACCCCCGCTACTCCACATCCGGGCCCCATGTCCCCAGAATCCGCATCTCGCACACCGGGCATGGTATCGGCGGCTCGAAACGACGATCGCCCCAATTCCAACAGTGTCATTCTGGATCCCACCCTCTTCCTTCCCTTCTCTTTACCAACCAGCACGGATATGCTGATTAGCTTTGGCGCTGGTCTTGGCGGAACGAATCGTGAGCGTGCTCGGAAGTATATCCCCACTGTACCACCAGAGGTGCTGAGTCGATTTGATCGCGGCGATGTATAAGTCGATATGTACTCGACAAGCATAAAAAGAATACAGAATTTTTCATCCAGCAACGCTCTCGCTTGTGCCTTGGTGTCTTCTAGTACTTGATATGGTGACATGTGATTTTGGCCTGACGGGAGTGTTCAGCAAGAAGCGGACGGAAATTGTGGTAAGGCTAACAGATACCCTTTGCACTCCTTGCCTTCGGCTCTTTCTTTCTTTCCAACGTTATTTGAACAAAGAACACGCCCCCAGTTATATGGGTGCTAGATGGGTGGCCAACTGGGCCCCGGGTGTATATATTTCTATCAATGAAGAAAACTTTCCCAGGTTCCAAAGAAGACATCTGGACTATTTTCACACTTTAAATGCAATGCCTTTGTTCCTGTGCATTCCAAGGTTCACGGACGCAGATTATGTGAGATCTCGACTGGTCACTCAAGGGTCGGCATGTGTTCTCGGACTGAGCAGAAAAAGCCCAGAACATTGTGTAGGTACACATCGAAGTTATGTACAATGTGTTCCCGAACATTGAAACATTTGAACAAGAAATACCAAGACTCCAGATGCCGAGCATCAAAGTCAGCCAAGATCTATTTGAACTGAACTGTTACTGGGATGAATGGCTGTTGAGCTCTCATGGGCTTGAATTTTGATTTTCTACCTAGTTAGACTTAGGTCAGACTTTTGATCTGTTGGGGTATCATGCAAACACTAATAGGAATGGCAAAAAGTGAGAACCCGCAAAGAGTGCTCAGAAACAAAAGTCACTAACTACTACTGATACAGTTCGTTACCAAAAGGTCCACTGAATTCGGTGCCAGAACCCGCGTCTTAAGAGGCCTCCGAGATCGAATCCTCATCCGAGGGTTCATACAGAGACAATGGCGAGTCCTGGAGATCTTTCTCGGAGCTGCGTGACTGAGATTCCAGTTTCGTATTAGAGTTGGATCTGTTCACTTGAGATTCAGAGCTGATCTGTTCGGGCAAAGAGCGATTTCCAATGAGGGATTCTTCAGCCACGGATTCAGAAGACCCTTTATCTTGTCGCTGCTGCTGACTCGGCTCACCAATGGCGAAGCTTGATTCGGCAGCTCGCGTAAGGCGTGGTGGTATCTTTTTCAAACGTTTAGGAGGGGCAGCAGCCCGACCGAGTTTGGCTCGAGACTTCCTCTTGCGCGGAGAGGCAGAGCTGCGACTGTTTGATTGGGCCTGAGATGCTGATTCCGATGGCGAAATTGGATCTTCTGATTGAGGTTTGCGAAGAGAAGGGGTTCGCAATCCTGGGGGAGTCCAGAATTGGAATGTCAACCTGCGTTTAGGTGGATCTGGGTTGGGATTCACTTGAACGGGCGGGAGTGGAGGGACATGTCCACCAGCAATATCGGGCAGGATTCGAGGCTCGTCTTCGATGGGGCGTGGTTGAGCAGGCAACTGAGCTGGAACTGGACTGGGCGCAGAAGATCTAGCAGGAGGGACTCCCGTTGTCGGAGTGACTCCAACACTCCCAGGAGCTGGATAGCCCGGGTATGTAAGATTGCCGGGAGGCTGCTGAGGATGAATACCATGCTGGGAGGAAGATGAATGCGGGGGTAATAGAACCATTGGAGGATACGGAGTGGTCACTGCAGGTGGGCCGGAAAATGACCGCTGAGGCGGTTGAGCCAAGAAACGTCCAGGCATGTACTGATGATCCGACTCAGACGAAGATTTGTTCATACCAGTGAGATTCGCGAATAGCCCTGGTATCATGTGAGGAGGTACGCCTCCTCGTAAAGCGTCCGCGAGAATTTGCCCTTCCGTCTTGCGCAGCTCCAATTTTAAAGCCTCCTGTCGTGTCTTCTCTTCTTCTTGCTTGCGACGGTCCTCCTCAGCTTTGGCCTGCAACCATTGCTGCATGTACTCAATACCTTGGCATTGCAAAGGCGGCTGGGGCAAAGAAGTACCCGGTGGTGCAGACATACGCGCGAAAGAAGAGAGCGGGGGAAGTTCTCTGTGCGGAGGCATGATACTGGTAGGTCAGATGCGGGATTAGAATTCGATGGGCACCGCGGGAGCGGACTGGTGGGAGGGGAAGGAAGGAAGGAGGGATGGGAGACGTGAAATAAACATTGGAAATGGAAAGCGCGAGCTGGGAGGGTGGTTCTTTCCCAAATAGGAAAGCATGCTGGGTATCTGACTCTGACTCTCTGAGTGCGTTTCTCAAGTACTGGGCTATATAGCAGGTACTATTAAGTACTACTTAACAGTATGTCTTCTTTTCAGGTACACTGAGTATGTGCTCTCCCAAAATGCTCATTATTTTTGGTAAATAACATTTGATTCATTGCACGACCAAGGCTTGTCTTCAATACATAAGAAAAATGTCTGTAACTTACTACGAATCAACAATCTACACAATTAACAATGGCTGACTCAGCCACGCCCCGGGCCAGGTTCCGTGTGCAATCGGAATAGGCGATGGCCAAGACGCAATTTCAGAGGAATCAAAAAGAAACCAGGGACCATTGTAATCGAAATCCTCAAACACGGGAGAGAGCCGAGAATATGAAAATTTAGGGACTCGGGATCACAAAAATTAGTGACCCCAAAAGAAACCAAACAGAGTTAGTCATATAAAATGAGGGACCCAGTGGAGAAAAAATATTGGTAAAAACACAAACAAGATCAAGAGCAAGGAAGAAGGAAAGAGAGAAGAGAAGAAGAGAAGAAGAGAAGAAGAGAAGAAGAGAAGAAGAGAAGAAGAGAAGAAGAGGGATAGGGAAAAAAACATCAGAGCGAGCCACGCATGACATGGGGACCTACATTAGGCTGGAATAGATCGCCCTATAAAGACGACGACGCAGATAGAACAAGTGGATCATGCACAGTGCTCCGAAGACCAAGATCAATCGGTATTCTCGTTACCCTCACGGCAGCCGCCTTTTCGGCCAAGGCAGTGTGTCCTTAGCGCCAATGGTATTCTTCATCGGCATTGGGATGCATAGGTGGATTACGGATTCCGCGCAAGCGTCTGGTCCACTTTACTCGTGGCCGATTTCACGGTTGCCGGCCCCGGGCCCCCTTCTTCCCCCTCCAACCCCATATTAACCGCTGGGCTTGTAGGGGCTGCACCTAAGCACTCGCGAGAAGAGGCCAGGAGAAGAAGATCCAGCTTCAAGTTGATTGGTTCTATCGGATAACTGGTTAGAAAACGGCTGTAAAACATGACCATTGGGGAAATGGTGGGGTTTGGGGCAAATTCAGCAATGCAGAAGCGACCAGATCCATGACTAGCTTATGCTGGATCAGTCCAATTATACTCGTTTAGGAAAATCGTGTGCAGGGGTTCGCAAGTCGGCCACCCAATGGAGATGCACTAGGCCAGAAGGATATGACCCAAAGCTCGCTAGGGTCTGGGTTCTTGCATCACCAGAGAGAATACGGAAATGCAGGAAGATATGAAGATTCCAACCTTGGGAGATTTCGGGTGTGGATCAAAAGATCCACCAAGATCGGGATTCCGGGAGCGTAGAGAGTTTCGACAAATCAGAAGACCAAAGGAAACTTCACCCTTTCACAGGATTTAGGACTAACTTTGAAGAGGAAGGCTCAGATCTACAAAAGTTCTTGGTCAATTTGATTCGCCAAAATGTTCCTTCGCGTATTCCGAAAGACTCTGATTGGCTCCTGTGTTGATGCCCCTTTTCCAAGGTTTGGATTGGCCAGTTTGTTCAGCTGGAATGTTTTCGGGTACCTTCCATTATGTATGCCATGCGTAGAACTCCAGATAAAACAGCGTATGATCAGTTGTTATTAAATTTACAATTTAAACATTGATTCAATCTTGGATACTCATTCACCGGTCAATTATAGCTGGTCGTTCACTACTACGTAAGAATGAGTACTACTCCAACCTTGGTCAATCCTTATTAGGCTTCTGGTGCCAGGTATAGTATCAACTGCGTACCTCACACAGCTTCTTGCTCTTGTAACTCCTTCCACTTCTGATGTTTACAAATCTGGTCCTTCTTGCACATGTGATAATACCTTCAATATAATTGTTGGATTCTTTCTCTTCACGAGCTGCACCAATTCCTACGATTCGCAAAGCCTCATTTTTAGGCAGAACATCGACTAGTACATTATCGCTCGCCATGGCGTCTAACGATAAATGCCCCGACTTGGAGCCAGGCATCACCGTGCTCTGTGTTTTCACGGGAATCAATTTGGGACTCTTCTTATTCCAAACCTACATCTATGTGTTTTGGGCCTACCGGTATATCTATCAACCTAAGTACATAATCCCACTTTGAAATGTATGTCCTAAGTTCTAACAACATGCGCTAACACATAAAAACCTGTCGGAATTCAGGTTCTTCAAGATGCAAGAAAACATTTCAAATGAAGAAGAGCTTAGTGACCGCTCTCACAAAGCCCCCATGGAGCCGGTTCAAGCTATTGTCCTTGAAAACGAATCGTTAAGGAATTTCTGCGCGGCTCTTGAATTGGCCCCCGTGGGGACGCATAGGGCAAAAGCTCCAATGGAAGTCCTCACGATCCAGACAACCCTTTGTGACCGTGGTGGGAGGCGATGGGAAGCGTTGATGATTGTACCGCCGCTTAATGAGATTATTGGTGTTCATCTGCGAAGAGATGGGACGGTTGATCTTTGGCCAAACCGCGTGCACGGGAATCACGTGGCTACTCTTACAATCCCAGAGTGAGCTTACCACAGGCTTCTCACTGTTGCTTCAAAAATCGAATCAAAATTCATTGTTGAGATTGAATTGAATGTGTTATCTACGTCTGAAGAGTGGACCTCTTTCCCGCTCTTTTTTTTTTTTTTTTTTCTGGCCCCCACTGGGAACTCCCCATCGGCCTTTCCCATTCAAAGTTTCAGTGGAGTCAGAGCCGCATTCTCCAATGACTTGCCCGGCTATATACCGTGCCTTTGAGCATCTTGACAATCCCATTTGTGCCAATTTCTTATAAGAACTGACTTCATGTCGATGGAAGAGGGCTCGTATTGGGCCCGTGTTGCCCACGTCCAAGATGGCGCCTGTGTGACTCACGCATTCACGTTCCACGACTCATGATTATTTCCCGGATAACTTGGCACATGCTGTCTCAGATCCAATCAAGCTATACGAATATCTTTTTCCGTGTTATCTTGGGACGGTACAGTCCACGGAGCAAGAACTCTTAACGAGCCATTTTTAAGGGTTCAACCGACCCCTAAGGGGCCGCTAGTTCGCTCCAATTCTTGGCATGGAAAAATAAATTCGGACCCGAAGTGCCTGCCTATTATTGATTGGGCTGTGAGCAAGAGGTTACAGCCTTGCCAAAACTTTGTTTATGATCCTTGAAAATTCTAACATTTATCAAGTAATGAGCAAGTGTGAACGGCGATCTTGTCCGGTGTTGGCACTAGGTCGTACATTGCCCTATGGGGGACCCTGAATCGTCAAATCCAAGCGGATTGACCCCGTGGCGAGCCTTGTACAACTCACTCTTGAGTCTTGGGCCACGATAGCACGCTTACTTAGCTCAGACCCCTGTGTCCGTTAAGCCACAATGCCTATTTAGTGCCTTGGCTAGCTCCATGATAATCTCCACACGAGGCTACTGGTCAGACTAGCGTCAAAATTTGCTGCCGAATGTAAATACACTCTAAAAAAAGGGTTTAAAAAGAAGCCTTCACTCGCAGTCCCTCCTGTTCATTTTTCTCTCTTCAGTTTTTCAACCCATATTCATAGCCTTTTCCATCCCATTCATCTTTGGTCATTTCAATCCCGCTTCAATCATCATGCACGCTACTTTCTTCCTCGCTTCTACACTCGCGGCCCTGGCCGCCGCCACCGCCAGCAGCACCACCATCAGCTATCTCGGTGCCTCAATCACCAGCGACGTCGATCTTTCCAAGTACACCAGCGTCGTAGGCTCGGTCGTTGCCGCTGACGAGTCTGCCACTACATACGACATCCGCTGCCAAGACGGCGTAGACATCACCCTTTGCGCCATTAGCAGCGCGACCCCCTGGAGACTCATTCAGGGTCCCGCGACTTATAGCTTCTCGGCCAATGAGAAGATCAGCACCGACGGTGGTGTTGCCGATATGTATGCTACTGTCGGTTGCTCGTTCACCCACTCCTCTGAGTCCGTCTCCTGCGCCGGGAGTGTCTCCTACGATCTCTCCATCGATGGCTACTCCACTGCTTCCAGCACCAACGTTGCTAGCGCCACTATCGATGCCGATCAGGTTAGCTACCATGTTCTGACCGTTACTGGTGGTCTTGATATTCTGAAGTCCGCGGCTACGGCGACGGCTACTTCTGTTTCCTCCAAGGATGCTGCGCAGGCTCAGGTCACTGCTGCCCCTCTGTTCGCTGCCCTTGCTGCCGCTGCCGCTGCCGCCATGATTTAAGTGACCAGCTCAGGCTTTTTATTGCGTTATATAATACCCTGCACATGTTTGTCATTGTGGATGTTCTTTGGATGATCTTATTGATATCAATGTATAAAGTCAATCACCTACATAATTCGAATACCAGTTTCCTATGATTGAGCTTAAAGCCTTTCAAAGTTTTTAATCAAATACTCCTTCGATTTAATACTTACACTATCTACATCGTAACGTCAAGTGCTGTTGAATGTAGTATGTTCTAATGTTCTTTCTAGATAGTCGATCGTTTTTTAGGGTTCCGTGTCCTGGCAGATCATCAAGGTAAACCTTAACAAAACCACCAAAACCTTGGACTAAAGCCTCCAGACATCAGGATGTCCAGGGCCGAAAAGGCACTAATAGACACAGACGAGGACTTCCAACAAACAAAACGAAAATATGTTGAAGTCACAGCCGTCGCTTCACAGCCACACAGCCACATCTTTTCTAATGGTTAGATCATCGAACAAATCCGCCTCCTAGAGCCCAATTCAGTCATCATACCATCATCAACACGAAAGCCTGAGCAATTCTTTGAAAGAACCTTGGCCACAATGACCCGATCAGAGTCCAACACAAAAATTTTTCAAATCCTCCATCTAACTATTCTCTCCTCTCAATCAAATACGCAAAACACCACCCAAAAAAAAAGAAAGAGAGCTCACAATATGGCCTGCGTCCCCTCCTCATCCACCCCATGGAAGAAACCTGACACAACCACCCGGCCCATCGCCATAATCGGCGCCGGAGTAATGGGCCGACGCATCGCCATGATGTGGGCAGCAGCAGGCTACAACATCGAGCTCTGCGAAAAAGCCACGCACAACCACACCGAAGCCCTAGATTACATCCGCAACAACCAAGACGCCCAGGCCAAGAAAATGGGCACAAAGCCCGGCTCCGTGAAAATCACCACGTGCCTCGACGAAGCCTGCAGCAACGCGTGGATGGTCATCGAGGCCGTGCCAGAGAAACTCGAGATAAAAATCGAAATCCTGGGCTACATTGATGCGGCTGCGCCGGGCGACTGCGTCGTGACGACGAACTCGTCGTCGCTGCGCTCATCGCAGATGCTCGCGAACACGAAGCATAATTACCGCATCTGTAATGGGCACTATTACATGCCGCCGGAGCAGTGTTTCTACGAGGTTATGTCGTGTGGGCAGACGGATGAGGAGATCCCGGGTTTCTTGATGGAGAAGTCGAAATCTGCGGGGTTCCAGCCTGTGCATGCGAAGGAGGAGTCGACGGGCTTGGTGTTTAATCGGATTTGGGCGGGGATTAAGCGGGAGGTTTTGCTTTGTATGGCGGATGGGGTTAGTGATGCCAAGACTATTGATGCGATGTTTAAGTCGTGGTTTGTGGCGCAGAAGGGTCCTTGTCAGATGATGGATACGGTGGGGTTGGATACTGTTTACAATATCGAGGTTGTGTACCAGCAGCAGCTTGGGTTGAATCCGAAGGTCAAGGATTGGTTGAAGGCTACCTATGTTGATAAGGGTAATCTGGGTAATAAGAGTGGGAAGGGGTTGTTGAGTTGAGTGTGAGCTCAGGAACTACATGTGAACCATTTTGATATGTGATCCATGCCATCCATGGATTAGATAAAAGTAGCAAGAAAGAAGAAATTGAAGACCAAAAAGAAATTCCTAGTTAACTGGACCCTTCCATGCATGCAAAGGTCTAAACTGCATGCAAAGGTAGTACGTGGTTTCCAAGGTTACATGGCCGGACACGACATCTGGAAATAGATGTCCATGTTTCCTCAAATCATCTTCATCAATTTTAATCTAGAAGACCAGTGGCCATGAGCTCTCTCGCCAGCCACGACAGTGAGGCCTAATACAACTGAACAGATGCGGCACTTTATTTCATAATATCGATGTCGACCAGTGACCAACGGCCGGCTGGATTCAACACCTACCAAAGCAACAGGTATTTATTTGTGACACAAAGAGAAATATACAAGGTCCCGACAAGGTCACAAGGGGAAACAGAAAAAAAGAGAGAGAGGGAAAGGAAGGGGGGGATATAGGGAGCGTGATAATAGGTATCGTCTAGAAAGCCAAAGGACAAGTGACAATGGTGAGGAGACAAGGACTCGACAGGGAAAGATAGGAGATAATTCAGGGAGCGTGACTGGATAAAGAGTGACCAGAGGACACGAAGTGGAATAATTATGATGTGTAGGGGTTATTATGGTGTTCCACTGGTCATTCCAATGATCCATATCGTGGTGCAAGACGAAAGGTGTTGGGGTATAAGGGGTATTAGACATCAACAGTGACTCGGGAGTTTGACCCGACCATTAGGGTATAAAGGGGGCCGTCAAGATAGTGATTAGGGGGCGTCGGCACTCAAACAGAGATACAAAACAATAATTAGAAACCCATTGACTTAGTGGGTTTTCTTGCGCCGGTGGACCTTATATTCAGCCTTGGCGACACGCATGAAGATTTCAACGTCTTTGATTGGGATCCAGCTGGTAAGAACCTTCATCGTGTTTTCGAAATCAGATTCCAAAATTATATCACGCATACCGTCGATTAAGGCAGCAGATGTGGCATGGAGGACATCAAGACCTTGTCCAAATGTACCAAGGCGTGGCGGGGGAGCCTTGGGACCTTTTCCAGATGAGGTGGTTGGTCGAGGCGCGACGGGTTCCTCGGCGTCTCCAAGGAGCATGAAAACGTCCCATACTCGAAGTTGGGCAGGAAATGGAATGGAGTAGTTGAAGAGCGTAAGATACCAACGGGTGCCATAGGCTGTTGGTGGAATTCCGACCTCGGTCTGGAATAATGTTAGTATACGTTTCTCACGTCCCCCCAAAGAAAGAATAGTTGGGGCATATTCTTACCAGTTGCGTGGCCACTTCACCACCGGCCAGCCACTCGCGTTCAAAGTCATCCAAAGCCTCCATCAGCCCAGCAAAGCCAGACTTGTACAACTCTTCCAACCCACGCAGACGCCAAAGACGGGCCAGCATCACGAAAGCATGCTCCTCATCGTAGTATGCTAACAATGTAGCCGCAATAGCTGCCATGCCTTGTACATAACCGGTGTCAGGGTAATATAATGACATGGCATGAAGAACGCGGAATAATAGCCGTTGTCCACCACGGTAGCGCCGACGGAACATGATATGACTGCTGATTGTGCGAGGTACATCGATATCGATTTGCACGTCATCTGGAGAGGAGACATATTGGCTTTCATGGAAGGCCTCTACAAGCGCCTCCTCAGAGGGACTATCTTTATGGCGCTTTGCACTGGCCTCAAGGAAAGAGGACCAAGCTGATGCACGCCACCGGTCAGGGATTCCTTTCCATGTCCGCTCGATGAGCTTCGGGCTATGCGTATCGAACTCAAATCTCATACCACCGCCATCACGACTCTTCTTCGTTTGTTTAGCCATCTTCGTCCACTTGTCTTCGCGCTGCCACTCTTTCTTCCGCATCGCACGCGCGGCATGTGTGTCTTTGCCTTCCCCGGGGTCATCGGCGGGAAGAGTAAGCATGTAAGACGCCTCATCAGTGAACTTTCGATCCCTGTTGTGCGGAAGGTGATTGGTTGCAGAACGCAATCGTGATGTTGACCGTCGAATCGGCGCAGCGTGGGCACTTGCGGATGAGGTTGGGCGCACAGCGGTGGAGCTTTGGGACAAGTTGCGGGTTGGAGACCGACCATTGAATGATCGAGTGCTAGCTCGAGCAGTAGGTGGGCGAATGGAGAGCTTGCGACGCGGGGTCTCAGAAGCAAGCAAAAGACTGGTTGTGACACGCTGGATAGGATGGGGGGTTTCGCTATCATCCGGAGCGTGGATAAAGCCATATCGATCCACTTGGCCTGCGCCAATATCTTGCCAATATTCAACTCCACCTGCAAGTTCCTGTGTTTCTCTCTTCATTCGCTTGCGCTCTACTTCGGCAGAGGCCCTAACGATTGAACTTGGTGGGCTACCGAGATTAGTGCCGGGCGTCGAGGCAGTCTCGAGATCCGGTGTCGGCTCCTCCCAGAGAACACCGTGCTCCGATGCTATTGCGTTTGCGACGTCTTTATCGGTCACGCTATCATCGCCCTTCTCATACATAAGTCGCACTCGACGGGATAGCATGTCCTCGTCCGCGGAGATGGCCCTACTTTGAAGGCTTGTTTTCCTTGGATTGAGATGTCCTTCTGGTTTGAAAGGACGTGGTTTCGCCTCGGGGATATCGTCCGTCACAGCATCTTGGCCCGTCGAAGAGGCCACTATACTTGGCGCCTTGCTAGTTGGCGCTGAATCAGCTGGTATAGATTGCTGAATAGACGCCGTATCTGACTGAAAATCGAATGTCTGGTCCTCTGGGATTTGCTGCGACCGACGCTCTTGTTGCTGATCCCGTGCTTTCAAAATCGGCCGCTTGTCCCTAATCAAGCTACCACGGTTGGAGAACTTCATGGGCTTATCCAGTCCTTCTAGGGAGGACGTTGGGATGTCCATGCTAATACCGCTGAATGCCGAGTCGATCTGTGGCACCGGTGGTAGCTCTTCCCTGCTCATCTTCTCCTCCAAGTCACTTGATCTTTTCTTCAATCCACCCCACTTGCGCTCCGACCATCTGGACCCTGGACGGGACCCTGGTCGCGAAACCGGGCGATCATTTGGATCGTTTACGACGATGCTTGGGACACTGCGCAAGGACGGAGTTTTCCTGCTGAACCTTTCGTCCATTGATCGTCTTGTTGAGCCTTCTGAATTTGGCGACAAGGCTTGGTTTGAACTTTTGGGGGATGCGCGTGCGGAGGAGGGACGGTAGGGGCCTCGTGAGGCGTCACTGGCGCTGAGGGAGCGGCCATTGGAATTCGGCATTGTGTCTGTGGGGGCCGGTAGTGAAATAGATCTAATCGCGACAGGGCGTTCATCGGCGACCGTGGTTTCATAGGGCGTAGCTTGAAGGGTCGATTGCGACTCCGATCCAACGGGGGATAACGATGCCTGGAGCTCCACCATCATCCCGGCATGACTCGCACGAGTGTAAGGGGATTTTTAAAATATGTAGCAAGGAATGAAATCTCTTAGCGACAGATTTCACATCACCATTTTTCTCTCGTCAGGGTCTGGAAATTATTAAAATCGACCAGGAGAAAAAGACGGAGAGGGTGGAGTCGACCTTGTTTCTTCTTGGCGTTGATTTTCTAAGGTATTTCCTCGCTTTTTTCCAAGTTTTTTTTTCTTCCGTCATTCCACAATTCCATGAAATTTACCAAAGGAAAAAATGTGAGTTCTATAACAACATTTGCAAATACACCTAAAAAAGGTATCAGGGGGGGGCACCTCCTCATCCCACCTTTGGCCGCGCGAGCAGTGGGCCGCAAGACGACGACAAGGAGAGAGTGGAGCACGCTAGTGGTGCTTAGATTAGAACACAACCATGGTGTCATTGAAGAGTCTGGACTTATTGCTTCCAAGGTTTTGCTTTCATGGAAGGAATTGATTGGAATCCACAGAAGTTTGGAAGAAATGGGAATTAATCTAGAAAGGCAGATCCTCAATATACACTTTACAGCTTCTTGCACGCTAACAACATGACTAGTCCTAATCTTGAACATGCAGGTCCCAAATACAAAAGAAGAAAAAAGAAAAAAGAAACTTTCAATTTTGTGAGGATTTTGGATCATGTACACAAAAGGGACAACGCGTGAAACTCCCGGAAGCCGAGGCTGTAAATCCAGCAGCCCATCAGCTTGCCAATGCAATGGGGTGAAGAAAAAAAGGGGGGGCGTCAATAACTATCATAGAAAAAAGAGAAGAAGAAAACGACAAAGCAGAAATAGAAGATGAAGAAAAGAAAAAGGGAAAAAGATGAGGAATAAGGGGAAAATGGAACAAAAGGTCATAGCCATCCAGTGGCCCACTGGTGGAGTTCTCAAGCCACAGCGGTGTTGACTCCAGACTGGGTCTCCCGAGCTGGTCTACTCCGCTCGACAGGCTCCTTGGGCAAAAGTTCGATCTGTCGCACCAAGAAACTCTTCTCATCGGTGAACTGATCGTCGTCTGTGCGGTCCTCGAGGAATTTAGGAAGGAATCGCAATAATCGGTCTCGGTTATTGATCAGAATTCGTTGGACGGCTATTGATTTGTTGGGATTGGCAACAAACACCTGGGTTTTCTCAGTAAATGTATCACCATAAAGACCAGGGGATCATACCTTGAAAACGTGGAACCCTTCATATTGGACCATCTTGCGATCGTCCCGCAAAAGCTTCATACATAGCTTGAGATTCTCCCCACTCTCCACATAGGCCATCATGACATTGTAATTCGCACGGTCCAGCAAAATCTCGCCAAGAAGCTTGATGCTTTGTCGCTTCGTCACATAAGAGTCTGACTGGATAAGAACGTCATTGAATTGGCCAAAGAACAAGTCATAGTTGGTGGACAAATATGTCGTCACCAGATTTTTATGTCTGGTTAAAACTTCCTACAAAAAACGGTTAGCATCCATGTAAGTGCTTCGGTTCACTTTGCAATCATGTACTTACCCGGAAAGTCGTAAAAGCATCTGCGCTCACTTCGAAATTGCTTTTATCAATCCAATCGAAAAAGTTCCAAAATACCCCGTCACCCTTCTGTGGTAAATTCGGCTTGAGATCGCCGAGTCGCACGGCTGCCTCCCCTGGCTTGGACTGATCATACAGAACCACCGCAGCAACCACGTCAAATTTCAGCGCTTCCCTTAAGATCACACCACACGGCATGGCACTTTGGCTCTCAGAGTACCCACGACATAGCTCAACAAGAATCTCTGGTCGATGATGAACAATGTACGAGATGACAGGAGGGTCTTTGTCAGGCGCGTAATTACTAGGTCGGAAACGTAGAATATGGGAGAAAATTGTCTGCGTGTCTTTTCTTGCTTCAAATGGAAGCAAGTGGATTGTTCGTGATAGGTCGTAGAGGAGGTCTTCTTGCAGTGTTGCTTGAACAAGCGCGTGGACTTGGTCCGGTGAGGTGTTGATCTCTAGAATCAAAGCAATAGTCAGTCGTTTATTGCAGGACTGCATCGAGCACAGCATTGGCTAGTGGGCAATTGACTTACCTTGTGTCCCTTGAACAATAATCTTCATATGACTGAGTTGCTTTGCAAGGTCTTCTTCGGCCTGGTACTGCGTCAGCTTTGTATAGGCGGATGGCGTCGGGGATCAAACCTTCGGCACGTTAGGAGTCTCCTGGACCCTAAGAAGCAATTCCTTGGTAGAACGAGCAACATCAGCGGGTTGCCTTGACCGGCCACGATTAAAAAAGAAAGCCATGGCCTGGAAATAGTGAAATGGTTTGAGGGAAAGAAGGGTGAGAACCGATGCGCCGGACTGATCACATCTCTGGTTCCGCAATAAACAAACAGGGCGGGGCAACCGTTTGTTGGCCTCAGGCAGCATCACGATAACGATTTTTTTTTATCAGTTCGATCTCTGCCCCTCCATGATTCGACTTGTTTTTTAATACATCCATTGGTTTCAAAATTATCTTACATTTAGACTCCAATATAACCATGGCATCCACTAGCCGTGTCGCAGAAGCGCCTGTCGACGATGTTCGCGCCGATTCACGCTCGGTGTCCGACGAATCAGACTCTAGCAATGAGGAGGGTTGGGAAGACCTCGAGGCTGATGACGAGACTCAGCCTGTCGTGGATCTGTTTTCCGATGAGGTCTTCCCCGACGCACGCTCTATGCTGAGTGCATGCAAGGAGAAGCATCAATTCGATCTGTTGAAGATCCAGAAGGACCTCGGTATGTCTTTGAAGAGCCGGCTTGGTGGATAAAGCACCAGACTAACCAAAAGGAATTTCATAGGGCTGGATTTCATTGAGACTATCAAGCTGGTTAACTACATTCGTTCCGAAGTCAAGGCCGGAAACAAGACCCCCAATGTCGAGTCGAAGTCGAAGTTTGACGACGATGTCTACTTGAAGCCGGTTATGGAGGACGATGCGCTCCTGTACAGCCTGGATGATATCACCGAGGAACAGGGTCAGGAGGCAGCCACTGGAAGTGATGCGGAGCGACGAGTTCTGGAGCTTCAAGAGGATCTGGAGAGACTGCAGAATCAGTTCTCCGAGTACAGACTTGCAGTCCAGCAGTCAATGGATGATCAATTGTCAAAGGAAGACGAGAAGCTTGACTCGAAGACACCCAAGGCCTCCGGCTCCAACAAAGCTCAGGAGATTGATGAAGATTACTTCGCCTCTTACGCTTATAACGGTATGCAAAAGCTACACTTTTCTACTAAACCTTCCCTTGCTGACTAGTTGCCTATTTGATATCTAAGGAATCCACGAGTCCATGTTGAAGGATGCCATCCGTACCGATGCCTACCGTGACTTCGTTTACGAGAACAAGAACCTTTTCAAGGACAAGGTTGTCCTGGATGTTGGCTGTGGAACTGGTATTCTGTCCATGTTCTGTGCTAAGGCCGGCGCAAAGAAAGTCATCTCCGTTGACAACTCCAACATCATCGACCGTGCCAAGGAGATTGTTTTCGACAATGAGTTTGGAGATGTTATTACGTATGACTTGCCCCTCCAAGATACTTTGATGCGATATCCTGCTAACGATTGATAATAGTCTGGTACGCGGAAAGATTGAGGAGGTCACCTTGCCCGTTGACAAGGTCGACATCATCATTTCGGAATGGATGGGTTATGCCCTGCTCTTTGAGTGCATGTTTGACTCTGTCATTTATGCTCGCGACCGCTACCTTGCTCCTGATGGTTTGATGGTGCCCTCCCACGCGACTCTTCGGATCGCACCTTACGCGGACCCTGATTTCATGGCTTCGCATATCTCTTTCTGGGAGGATGTCTATGGCTTCAAAATGACCAGCATGTTGTTGAAAATCTACGACGAGGCTCTTGTCCGTAACATTCCATCAGAGACACTCGCCGCAGACTCAACAATCTTCTTGCCACTTCCCCTGCACACCATCACTGTTGATGAGTTGAGCTTCTTGAAGGATTTCCAGGTCACCCTGAACCAGGATATCGATGCCCTTGATGGTTGGGCTATCTGGTTTGACATTTTCTTCATGCCTTCGCGCGACACTCCCATTCCCGAGAATGCTACTCCCGCCGATATGCAGAAGCAAGGATATGTTGGCTTCACCACTGGACCACAGGGAACTGAGACCCACTGGCAGCAAACCATTCCACTGATCGATCACGGCAACCACATGCCTAAACCTCTCAAGAAGGGCCAAGTCATTTCTGGCAAGATTGGCTACCAAAAGAGGGACCAGGAGGGGTCCCGAGGCCTAAACATCAGCATTGAGTGGCAAGGAGGCGAGAACACCCACGGTTCTCAGAACTGGTCGCTCCAATAGGTGGTCTGTAGCTGTTTATTTTGGGTTTTCAGTTTCTGATTATTTGCGTTCATGTTGAGCTGCTTTCCCAGGGGAAGCTGGGGTGGTATCATTCGGAGTCCTTCATCCTTTTCGACTTCGGGTGTCAGTGTCATTTTTTTATCAAAAGAACACATAGATTACTAGATATACATGCAAAAAGGCCTGTATGCCTATATACCCCATAAAATGTATTGAAATCTTGCAATATTTAACGCTATGTGAGGACTCTATTCGTAGTAATCATAATCATAAAATCATGGGAAGGAACATCGGTGATTCTGGTCGATTCTTTCTCCGGTGCCTAGGAGCGATGGGTTCCCTTGGTTTCATCGCGCCGGCGATGAGTACGACCCGAAGAGTGATGGGACCGGCGAGATGAACTATCCCGGTGTCTATCGCGACTCCGTTCTCGGTGGTGATGGGGGCGACGATGGCTCCGCTGCGAAGTTCGGTGGGATTCATCTTGGTCTTTGGCAGCTGGCGAGTCGAGTTTAAACCCCTCAAGGCTATCAACGGACCTTGATCGCTTTCGTCGCTGATGGCTCCGGCGATCTCGACTTCCTTGCTCGGATCTGAGTGCTTCAAGCTCCCTTCTCTTCTCTTCATTCCACCGTTTACGCTCTTGCTCCGTCGCTTTCAACTGCCGAACACCGCGTTTCATAATCGCAAGAGGATCATTGGCATCCATCCTGGCTTTTGCTCGTTCTTTACGCATGGGATCTTCATTGCCCCAAACATTCTTTGAGGTCAGGTCTGGGGCTTCCACTGCTTCTGTTGAAGATGAATACCAAGGTTTTTGACCGATTGACTGTTTGAAGCCTGCCGCATTGGAGAAGCGCATGGTGTATTGATCTTCGTAGCTCCGCTTTTCTTTCTGTGCCTCCGCTTCGGCTTCTTTGTTTTTCTCCGGCTTCTTGTTGTCCCCTTCTGTAGGGAAGAGGTTGATATGACCGTCGCGGTCTAGAATGGGGGCTTCTGACTTGTTTTTCTTAAGGGCCGCGGTTGTTAATTCTTCCCGTTTGATACTAGCTTGCTCTGCATCTTCTCTGGCGAATCGTATGTCTCTATCAGTATCGTCCTCTCCGGCAACGCGCCTTCTTTTGCGGGACCTTCCAGCATCATCAGTTAATGTTCGATCTCGTCGAGTGGAAGCCTCCGATGGAAGGCGCGCGGGGGGCGGTGGAGGAGGTGTTGGCACTCTTTCTCCGCGCAATATTCGAATTCGCCGCTCGGCATCCACTTCCTGCATGCGACGCTCATCCTCCTCCTCGAGGGCCTTCGCTTGAGCCTCGTCTCGTTTGACACGGGCGACATTCTCGGGGTTGTAAACGTTCCATGACTTTTTCCCCAGGAGATGCCTATATTATGTGAGTTAAGATCAGAAAAAGAGCTAGAAACAAAAGATGACTTACAGCGGCATCGTGGTGATGAATACACCAAGTGTACTAGTACTCTGTAGTGTTACCTGAGAGAGAGAGAGAGAGAGAGAGAGAGCTCTAGTACAGAGTAGGAGCCGCTACTCTTATCGATAAGGCCCCCACCGCCTGCGGCCTGACGCTATTGAGGCCGTCGGGGCGACACTCCCAGCTCATGAACTTCCTACTTCAACTTCCCCACCTTTTCTTAATTTCATTCATTACGCCTGTAGATCTGCAGGCCATTCTGACACTCTTAGACTTGAACCAAGCTTGCCGAACCGAGGTCCCACATATCTCGCTGCCTGTTGTTAAAGACACAGTGGCGTCACTGCCAAGCTTTCTTCCTCAGCACACCTAACCCATACACCTTTCCAACTTTCCAGATCTCACACGATCCAATATGTTCAATCGGAAAGATATGCCTACTGTCCCAAACCCCTTCGCGTCTCGACAGGAGCCGCCACGCCCGTCGCCACAGGGTTACTCGAATCCCAACCAAGGGCCTCCACGGTATGATTACGGCCACGTCCCCATGCCCACGGGGCATATCTCTGACGGCGATGTGCCCATGACTGACGCAAACTTCCTATCAAGTGGATACGGATCACCTCCAGCACAAAACATGGGCAGACCGCCACAACCGATGCCTGGGCGCATGCCGTCTGCAGGCGGACGGACTTGGACTCTCCACCCCAGCAAGAGTCCAAACGACAACTACACTTTCGGTAACCTGTATGTCAATCATACACTCTGTGATATGTAATTAGTTTCTGGAACTAATGTCGCATAGTGTCGCTGTTTCGCCCCAAGACATTCCTCCCAGTCGCGACGGCACCGATGTGCTCCTACTCATCAATGACGTTTTCGTCTTCTCCGCCCGTCCTCTGGATGGCTTCCCGCCTGGACTCATGAGCATGTCGGACCCTCAGCGGACATGGGCGAATATCGGGTTGAGAGATGCTATCAAAGTGCAGCTGTATGATCCATTTAGCCAGGGTGGTCAGGCTTATCTCGGATCTGCGGACATTGAGGTCAGCTTTGCATCGGTCAAGAAACGAGTAGAAGCACCATACGATCAAGATGAGCTAGCAAACGCTGTGATCAAGGTATGTCAATTCTGACTGTAAATATTTTGGGACTTTTACTGAATTTCCACAGAATTTCGAAAACCAACTGTTTGCTCCAGGCCAGCGGGTCTTGATGGACCACAGGAGTATCCCACTTTTGTTGCAGGTCAAGACTGTTCAGCGAGTCGATTTGACATCGGAGAAATCCGACTCCAATGCTGGCGAAGTTGAGACAGACCCGGCAGCCCGCGGAATCATCACGCGGCATACGCAGCTTAATTTCTACAAGGACTCTGCCACAGGTATCAATGTCAAGGCTTCCAACCGACGCCCCGCTGCCAACTCGATTATTCAACCCGGCTTCAAGTTTGAAGATATGGGAATTGGTGGTCTGGATTCCGAGTTCAGCACCATTTTCCGTCGTGCTTTTGCTTCTCGTATCTTCCCTCCCGGCCTGGTTGAGAAGCTGGGTATTCAACACGTCAAGGGTCTTCTTCTTTACGGACCCCCGGGTACTGGTAAAACTTTGATTGCCCGCCAGATCGGAAAAATGCTTAATGCCCGAGAGCCGAAGATCATCAACGGACCCGAGGTTTTGAATAAATATGTTGGTCAGTCCGAGGAGAATATTCGAAAGATGTTTGCGGATGCCGAGAAGGAATACAAGGAGAAGGGCGATGAAAGTGGCCTTCATATCATTATCTTTGATGAGTTGGATGCTGTTTGCAAGCAACGTGGTAGCGGCGCAGGCGGCGGTACTGGTGTCGGTGACAGTGTTGTCAACCAGCTTTTGTCTAAGCTGGACGGTGTTGACCAGCTTAACAACATTTTGTTGATCGGTATGACCAACCGAATGGATATGATTGATGAAGCATTGCTCCGTCCTGGTCGTTTGGAGGTGCACATCGAGATCTCCCTTCCCGACGAGCACGGTCGAAGCCAAATCCTCAAGATTCATACAGAGAAGATGCGCAACAACAATGTCCTCGATACAGACGTTAATTTGCCAGAGCTTGCATCCGTCACTAAGAACTTTTCTGGTGCCGAGATTGCTGGTTTGGTCAAGTCGGCCTCGTCATTTGCTTTCTCTCGCCATGTCAAAGTCGGTACCATGGCCAGCATCAATGACGATGTCATCAACATGAAGGTTAACCAATCTGACTTCCACCATGCCCTGACCGAAGTAAAACCTGCCTTCGGTGTCTCCGAGGAAGAACTTTCCAGTCGCATTCAATATGGCGTTATCCACTACTCAGAGACCATCAACGAGATCATGCGAGAAGGCGAGCTATTCGTCAAGCAAGTTGGCCAGGCGGAGGCCACTCCTCTATTCTCTGTCCTGCTTCATGGCCCCCCTGGCAGTGGTAAAACGGCACTCGCGGCACGCATCGCCATTGACTCCGGCTTCCCCTTCATCAAGCTCATCAGCCCAGAGGACATGGTTGGTTTCAGCGAACCCGCTAAGATCCAGCATATTAGCCGAATCTTTGACAGTGCCTACAAATCCAACACCAGCATTGTTGTCATTGATAACATCGAACGTATCATTGACTGGGTACCCATCGGTCCCCGCTTCAGCAACAGCGTTCTGCAGGCCCTCATGGTCTTCCTCCGGAAGCAGCCTACCCATGGACGCCGTCTATTGGTTCTAGCTACTACCACCGAGCGTGCTCTGATGAAGCAGCTTGACGTGTACAACTCTTTCAACTCGGATATCATGGTTCCCAATGTGCAGTCTTTCGGCGAGCTGCGCTATGTCATGGAGCAGTCCGGCGCCTTTGACGCCCAGGAAATCGCTCGCGCTTTGGAAAACATCGGAGGTCTAGCAGATGACGGCCGCGTGAGCGTGGGAATTAAGAAGGTGCTCCTCGGTATCGAAACTGCTAAGCAGGATGCTGATAAGGTTGGCCGATTTGTACGTGTTATTAACCGGGCCATTGAGGAGCAGTCATTCGCCTAGATCGTATACTATACTAGAAAATGGTTTATGAAAAAGCCATGTAATCAACATTTAAATGATAACTAGTAGTCTTTATTTGCCTGGCCTGTTATATCTCCTTAAAAGGCTTTCAAGTATGCAGTAGATGCTTTACTAGACCAAATTGATATTCTCCAAGGACTGTAGACAATCAGGAATCGGACAGTCCGTTGTCCGCCATTCATGTGGAATATCGAGTAGTAGTTTGAATAGACTGGGGGAACATCATCGGTGCTTTCAAAATCAGACATTTCAGACCATGAAATTCTTCCAGTATCATACTACTTTCTTTCATAGACCTCGGAACATGTTCCTGTGTGGAAGTCTAGGTGCGGGTCCTAAAAAATCCGGCAGCTATTTCTTTCTCTCCATACGCACTTTCTCTCTCTGTGTCTTGACTCTTGAGTACTAGTGCACATATGCATGCAAGGAGTGAAAGCCCTAACGGGGTTAAAAGCCCTATTAGGTTCCAGGGCTTGACATCTACCAATTCTAACCACCAGAGTGGATACATGAACACACCATACAGCCTATAGCCAGCCCCCGGTTCGGGCATCACGCTCTTACCTAGGGCTCACTACATGTAGTGCTGATTCCACGACCAGTCTCTCTTACCGAAATACACTACATCCTACTTTTCTAGCCATTAAATGGCTAGGAAGCCTTAACCAGAATAGTTTTACGGTAAAAACAGTGTACGATTCAAGAAAAGCATACCTGTATAGAAAGCAGACGCGTAACTAGAGGCTATTCACACACACAAGGAAATACCAAGGCTATACACGCGTAGAAATCACGCCAACCTTCCCAAAAAAAGCAAAATAACCCGTCCCGAGTTATACCATCCCAAAAGTCCAAAGTCCCAAGTCCCGATTTTGTCCGAATTCATCATAATAGTCGTTAGAATAAGCAGTAGAAACAAAGTTGTCCCAGCAGCGGGTCTAGCCACCGAATCAGTAGTCGCTGTAGGTGTATTTCTTCGATGCCCGACGGTATTCGTCCGGGTGGGCCTTCTCGGCCTTAGACTTGAGGGCGCTATTCGCAGAAAAGAGGATTCGTCAGCACTTCTGGAACACGGGAATCAAGGGGAACTGCAGGAACCGTATGCGGTGCTAATCTGGACGCCACCCCGTCGATCTCCTGGCGCACGTGCCAAGATCTGAGCGGAGCGGAGACTATCTCGATTACCGTGTCACGCGCGGAGCGGGGCGGAAATCTCGACAACGTCCATTCCATGCCAGGGGGTGTCTGGGGTGGGGTTTTGCGTCCTGCGCATTCCCTTCCCAGCGGTAAAGTGTATGTTTTTTTTTCTTCTGTCTTTTTTTCTTACCTGACACGCTTTTGGGTCCACTCGAGGTCCCGCTTCGTCTCTCGTGCAGTTTTGAGTCCTTCATTGAAGTTTGCTCGCAGGCCCTTCATGCGGCGCTGCGCCATGGCTTGCAGCTCAAGGAGCTCCTGTTGCTTTGCATGCAGCTGACCGGAGCTAATTTTATGCTTCTCGTTAGCTTCAAATCCAAATTCAATTTTGACGCACGAGGAAAGTTGCAATTCTGGCTGTCGCTCTCTTTCGCGTTTGCGAAGGCGCGCCGTTGTTTCAAGCGGAAGGAAGTGGAGCTTTGCGTTTCCGTGAAGTGGGTCAACTCACGTTTGTGCTTGGCTTGCCAGGCTCTTGTCCAGCGGTGTTGGGTCGAAAGCGTTGTACATGTGATCGCTGAGAACGTCGACAACATCAACGCCTGAGTACGAGGCTGAGCTCGAGTCGTAGTCTCCGCCGGCGGAGCTAAAGGTCATGCCGCCAGAAGTGCGGCTGCCAGCAGTGGTGCTCGCATCGGAGTAATCTGTTGGCGAGCCGGGAACCCTGGAGACAGGGTACATGCTGGCTGGTGCTGGTGCCTTGGAGGGCATGCCCATGGGGACTGCGGAGGGCTGGTAGTACTGACGGTGGGCAGCCATGATTCTTTGAATGTTGATGAGAACCTTGACAGGTAAATTGAATAAATACCAAGTGTGGTGAGGTCAAGATAGTGATGTGTAGGAAGATGATATACTTCTTGATGAAGTATGTTGAAGCAATATCAAAGTGGATCAATGAGATTTAGGGCTGTTGCAATTGAGGCAGTTGGAAGGGATGAAAGAGGAAGAAGAAGGAATACTAGGACTACCTGACCAAGCGAGGGATTTTATAGACTTCGACGGACAGTCTTCCTTCCGGCGGGGGTGCCTCGTCGTGACGAGGCAAAGAGGAATGGGCAAGGATAGGAGGGCCCCGGATGGGAACCATTGGACCATTGGAAGAGCTGGACTCACACCCCTCCTGTGTATCTTCCAATCTCCGGCCTTCGGCTGCACCTCCTTCTCCGTATCTGCCCGCCGATTCGTCTCTTGGACCGCCCTGACCCCGCTCCGAGTGGGAATCGAGTGTGTCTGGGCCGGGGCGCTATTTCCATCCAAGGTTTCCGCTCTCCCGTGGCGGTTTTTTTTCCCAGGATGGTCGTACTAGGTCTACGTAGTCCCCCGAATGATGTGATTGCCATTGGGCCCGAGCGAAGACACTCAAAATGCTCCAGAAAAATGAGGGAAAAATTGGGCTATGGGTGGAGCAGGAAGGGTCTTTGGTCATGAGGTAGGAGTGGAGGATAGAAGTATAAAAAGAGCTCCTTCCCGGTTCTCCCCTTCTCTGTCTTTTTTCCCTTTTTTCCCTCCTTCGATTTTTCCCCCACTTCTTTTTGGCTCAATTTTCATTCTCTTATCATTTTACCCCTCCTCAATGGCTTTTTGTTCTCGAAATAAGGTGGCTGGGAGGCGGATAGTCGACTGAAGGCTCGAGGTTGATTCGCTCGTGGAGAGGCGGCCGAAACACGCTGCAAACTACAAGACCCGGTATGACATAGCACTTTCGCCCCAAGCCTAGGGTGCTCCCAGTCCAGTTTGAATATTAATTATGTGCTAGTGTCTTAGCAATGGTCTCAGTGTCCGCGTGATGTCCGCGTGATGATCAAAACTGTTGGAAAGGAATCAACTTTCCTGCCAGATTTTGGACACATTCAGGAGCCGCGGGCTTCGGAAACCTATCCCCCCCTCCAGCTGCAGTCAGAAAATAAAATGAAAGCAGGTCTCACGGCCTGACATCATCTGGAATTTTAGCAACCCAAAACTCAAAAAGCAGGACACTTAAGGTATGAAAACCATGGCGAGGTCACACGGAATGAAGATCCATATGTTGGACACCACTGCATGGCCCGAACGAACCGTGGAGAAAACCGGCACTTACAAAGATCCCAACCCGCCGAGACGATGGCCCCCATGTCTTCAGGCGCAGAAACTATATGCGCCAGAGTCACATCGGGATCAGCCAAGTTCAAATGAACGAATGTGTGACTTGTGTGTGATCCATTCCAGTCACAAAAACTCAAAGGGCAATAGACAGGTATTGTCTCGACAGGCCAATCCCTGCTTGCTTCTTTGCTCGCCTCGATGCGGCTATTCCTCCCGGGAGTCACCAGATTTCTCTGCACCAGCCCACAAGTGGCTAGAAGAGCAGGGAACAGTGATCAATGGAGCACGGGACAAGCGCTCTAGACGCCGTGGGAAGAGGAGAATCTCCCCACTCTCTATGCACACGTTCGATGACTTGCTTAGTCTCGGGCCATGCGGAAAAAGACCACATCTGCAGCTCGTCGGTAACGCAATTCGATAAGAGAAAAAAAAAATCACTTCAGAGCTCTTCGTCATTGGTCCTGATTTCTTGCTGACATAGGGGTACCCAGGCTCCAGCCAGAAAATTAAAATTCAAAATCCATTGAAGAGCCCAAGGGCCTTACGGCAGCGGACTCTGTTGGGAAACTCCGATGCCCTTCTACAAGTACATGCCAATGCCTGGTACAATGTACACTGCACCCAAGCCGTGGTCTCTGCATGCCTTGGAGCCTGACGAGTACCAATATGCCCCGTTCAACACGCATCCTGCCGAATTACACCGTGTCACCACCCTCCTTCAATTTTGGTCCCTTCTATCCTAATTGCCCACTTTTCCCCGAAGGATCAAATTGGAAAACCGGAAAAAAAAAACACTTATTTCTTTTTTGGGAAATCAAAAGATTTGTCGCAGGGATAGAAGACCAACCGACTAACCTTACGCCCAATCTCTGCTCCCGTTCATCTTAGCCCGGGCATCGGGCAGCACAGAAATGGTGCGCAGGGCTCTTCAACAGCATGAGAAATAGAAGAACGCCTTTTGTCTGCCTCGTCCATATTTCTCATAGCGTCGTAGCCTGGACTATCTAGCCATTCATCAGCGGCTGATCCGCCCCTCTCTTAGCCTCTCGCGACTCCGGTCAGACATCTCCAAGGACCCGGGCTATGCAATCCGTCCCAACCTTCAGCGACGAAAGAACCCGAGAAACGCGCTTCAACACCATCCACAGTCTCCCTTTTTCCCTGTTCAATATCTACCTGCATCTTTTCAACATGACAACAAGGCTAATGAAATTGCATGCGTTACACACGAACCCGGAGTTTTGGTCCGAGGGATTCCAGACAGCACCCTTCTCCACTCACATACATCGTTGTCCTAGTTGATTCATTCCCCTCCAGTTGCTCAGCCCATGAACCGCGACCACGTCGGTTGTCTGCTTTCCTGCTTTATTTTCCTGCCTTCTTTCCCCTCACTCCAAAGCCCCCCCATGTTATTGCGTTATTGCCCCAATTGGTCTCGGGCTGCATTCTCTAACCTTCGATCAGATTATCCGGACAATCCCCAAGCCCACTGAGCCGATCACTGTGTATTTCAACCAGACCGGGCAAAGGGAGTGGGGTTAAGCGGGGATTTATTTTTTCACGATACGCTTCCTTCACCGCCACATGCAGCGCCATGACTGGACGGTTGCCGTCGCCAACTCATCTCACTTTGCCTCTTTGGGAACGTCTCCCATTTTTTTCTTCTTTTTTTTTTCTCTTCTGGTACTTATTTTTGCCTTTCCGCTCTCTTGCGCTTGTTCCTCAGATCTGCCTTGCTCTGTGTAAAAAGGTCTGGATGTAGTTTTGAGACAAGGGGTGGTTGGGCATGATCTACTAACTTAGTACTAGTACTTGCCCGTCGGATACTCACGGCCTTTTTTTTTCATTTTGGCGTTTTACTAACAACGCAGAACATCTCTATCATGCAAGAAGTAGAATTGAGAATCTATGATTCATGATTCAGCATTTATTTCTTGATTTCTCGGCACACGAAATACATTACCTAAGAAACTTCCAAGGCTCGTTCTTTGTCTTGAGTACTTCAGTAGACATTCTCATCTGAATGAGTACCAACTACTATGCCTTGTCCTTTATTCTCCAAGATTAACCTTTGCCCCCTTGATTCCGTTTCTCTGTGGCGACTGTGCAAAACTCTGTTCGCTTCCTATCAGCGTTGGTCTTTTGACATGTCGTAAAGTATACCCAAATGGTTTGTATCGGGTATCACTAGGCTTCCGTCGCTGGAAAGTTTGCAGTCCACATGTGCATGGAAATTAACTACATGGACTAGCTAATGTTACTGTTAGATACATCTCAATTTTATCAAACTTTTCAAAGCCGGCGTAGGTTTTTAATATTAATTCTCGCATGCACTAGGGTCTTCATTTCAAGTGCTGTGGTGTGCACAACATCCGCCTGTGGATTTTAAGAGTACCCGCACTTCAAGTATATACATGTACAATCCATGGATCCCTGTTCCTCAAGTGCTCGACATCTCCGATTCTACATACGAGGTCCCAAACTTGCTTGGAAGTTTTCGTTTGAACATTTGAACATTGGAAATTGAATAATCAACATTTGAACATTTGTTTGAATGATTTCCAACATTCAAATGAAGGCTGCGGCACCGCCCAGGCGAAGCCCTAGACTTCAAAGTACCTAATGACCTTACGGATCGATCCCGGCCCCAGTTACTGCGAGTCATACCATGAGATCAGAAAGTTAAAAAGGTACCGAGGTGAATTATTATTGACATTTCAGTCCACAGCTGTCGTTATGCGCTCGTAATCTGGTATCACAGGTAATCAAAAAGAAGCGAAGAAACCAGCACGTCATGACTGATCGCTGGGGGGAAAATGATGGGGGAAAAAGCTCAGTAGACAGGAATAAAAAAAAATCGAAAAAGTATAACAACCCATCTCAAACAGTAACACCATGATTTCGGTCTCAAAATGGCCAAAGCAAACCAACCCCTCCACACCGACAGGACATTGATGCGAAAGAAAAGAAGAAATCAATAATACACAGAATTCGGCCGTCCGATAAGAATGAGAATGAAATGCCGTAAGCTGGGAAGATGGCAACAGTGGCGCAATGCCCAATGCAAGTAGATGCGATACTTGGTTCTTCGGGGAATTCGTAAAGAGGTGGTGCAATGCAATGGGGAACCGGGTTGTTGTAACGAGCACACCAAAAAAATGCACATGCGCCGGGATATGACCTTGACCCTGAAACCCTGAAACCCCCACACCCCTCCTCCGTATTCCGTGAGAGAAGAGAGAAAAAAAATAGATAAAATAGATGACCAATTGCACCATGAACCGTAAATCAAAAACCCTAAACGCGCTCGATCGTTGAAAAAAGGCGCAGATGGATGGCTTGAAAAGCAAACAATCGAGGAGATACTAGTAGTATCAGTGAAATAAATGTAATGTTGATCCCTGTCTGTTCACTAGATGGGACAGAATGGCCGCCTGGTGGTGGTGGTGGTGGTGGTGGTGGTGGTAGATAATAATATTCGAGATGCGTCTTCACTACCGGCGAATGGTGGTTTGCGGGTTGCCGGGCTGCAAACGATCTCGAAGAAGTAGAAGGGGCTGATGACTGTTCAGAAGCCCCATCATCATTTTGCCCAATTCGTTGTGTCTGATGGGCTTGGTGACATAGTCATTGAAGCCAGCCCGTGCGGCATTCTCGATCTGTTCTTTCATCGCATTGGCTGACAGAGCCATGATCGGAATCTGAGGATAATGGTTCTTCTGTTCCCAGGCACGGATATCTCGACAAGTGTCGTATCCGTTCTTGATCGGCATTTGGATATCACACTGAGAAATATTAGCTCGGTTTTGCTATGGCACAAAGAAAAATGGACTAAGCTTACAATAATGAGCGAGAAGTAGCCCGGTTCTTTGGTAAAGACCATATCGATGGCCTCCTGGCCATTGGATGCAGTCTCTGACATCAGCTTAATCTTGTCAAGGTACTTCAACATGACCTAGATATTTTGTTAGCATCGTTGGGATTCGAGTTTAAGGAGATAGGAACATACATCACGATTTGTCTCGTCATCTTCCACAAGTAAGATACGATATCCCTTGTTCCCCAGCTGTTCCTTGACCATCTTGGAGACGGACTTGAAGTCGTTACTGATCTCACGAGCCATATCCTGGTTGCGATCCTTGCTCAACTCGCGCTTGCTCTCGGGATCAAAGATTGTCGAGAAAGCAGAAGGTTTCACAGGCTTTGGCACAATGAAAACCTTCTTTCCGGATGTAGCCAAATCTTTGACCCTTGAACTTATCTGACGCTTTTGATACAAATCCGAGATGATGACAACCACCGGGGCAGTCTTGGGATCAGACTCGGACACGTGCTGGATTACCTCCAGAATGTCATCAGTTGCAGGCAGGTTAAGAACGAGATGAGTGCAGTGCGTATTAGAGCCTGATTGTGTCATGTCCTTCCACTCATCAACATCAGGCAGAGTAGTGATATTGAAAGGGATCTCATGGGGAACGACCTGTTGGATGTGTTGCTTTGTAGATTGCCGCGTATTGTCAAGGGGGCACAGGATGAAAATCGAGAGGGGACCATTCAGAGACACTGTAGCCTCAGTCGGTGGTGGAGTCAACTGAATTGGAGGACTAGGAACGGAATTTCCAGATTTCGGCAGAATTGCACTTGAAGGTCCGTCGGTTTTGGCAATGCCTAACGGTGGCGAATGTGCAGTAGAAAAATCAGGAGTTGGAGGACCAGTATATGTTGACGATGACAAGTTCAGGCCCTTCGTGTCCGAAGCCGTTCCGGCGTTGCTCAAAGTAGGCGAATGAGTCTGTGAGGCGGGAGATTCGATCCCAGGTGAAATGGGGGAAAGATCTGGTAATTTGAGATCCGATTGTGAGAGTCGGGACAGTGAATATTGATCGTAAGAGGTTGTCCTAGATTTGATTGGCCTTCTAGAGGCAGTTGAGGCTTGGCGAAGTAAGTTGGGTCTCTCAGATGGAGATGGAGGCGCAGGAGCATCGACCTTGACGTTGAAGGAGAACTTGGCTCCTTTGCCCTCCAAGCTGCTGGGAGTTAGGCTGCCACCATGCATTTCAACGAGTTGCTTGGAGAGAAACAATCCGAGTCCACTTCCTGCATTTTGCTGCGACCCATTTTCTCCCAATTGACTAAATCGTTGCATGAGACGGTCCGCATCGGTTCTGCTGAAGCCTTTGCCAGTATCAACAACATCAAATTTCAAGAAAGTCTCCGTATTCTTGAGGCCGGAAGACTTGTCGAGGCTGAGATTACAGGATATGTAGATTTCACCCTGAGCAGTGAATTTGACAGCATTACCAACAAGGTTGATGAGGATCTGACGAATCCGGAATCGATCACCTATAACCATTGAGGGCACATCTTGAGCAATTAGATAGTTGATCTCGAGGCCTTTATCGATGGCTCGGGAAGCAATAGTGTCAATCACGTCCTCGATCATGGATCGGACATGGAACCAATCGCTGACCAACGTCATTTTGCCAGCCTCGACACGAGAGACATCCAAAATATTGTCCACCAGTTCGCGGAGATTGGTAGAGCTGTTCTGAATGGTATCCAGCATTCTCCTCTGATCACTGTCTAACTGTGTGTCAAGGATAAATGGGATGGTGCCAAGTATTCCGTTCAGTGGAGTTCTGATCTCATGCGACATGTTGCTGAAGAACTTTGTTTTTGATTCCATTGTCTTATTCAGTTGACGCTCCAGGTTTTTGCGGTCATTGATGTCGGTACAAGTTCCGTACCACGAAGCTTCTTCGCTGCCAAAGCTGCTCGTCTCGACAAGAACCAAGCGTACCAAATGCCAACGGAAATCTCCTCCTCGGGAGCGAAGGCGAATTTCTGTGGAGTAAAAGACACGTCCATTTTCATCTTTCTGCAAAGATGCAACGCCACGCCTCACAAGTTCGTCTAATGCAGATGAAACACCGTGTATTTCCGAAGATTCTCCGCCGCTTGCTTCCTCCGTGAATTTCTTTGTTTCGAGTTTCGTGGTAGAGTGCAGTCCGCCACATTTCTCTAGATCATCTGGATGAACATGTTTGGCAAATCCGAGGTCGAGGGCCTCCTTGAGCTCTTGTCCGGTGTACAAATTCCATTGCTCATTGACAAATATCAGGCCCCTGTTCTCAGTTGCCTCAAACACGACCTGGGGGATTGAGTTCGAAAATGCCCGGTATTTGGCATCGGTCGCAAACTTCTCCCTCTCCTGGGTAGCTTTAAGCTCAGCAATATGCTGTTCGTGGATGTCGAGAAAAGATCCAATCCAGTAAAGGACCTCTCCAGTTCCTGACAACAACGGATTTGCTCGGAAAATGAACCAGCGATAAGCACTCTCGTCATTGTATCGCCTCACACGTACTCTTTCCGTGAACTGAGAGCCTGTTCGCAAGGCGTTTTCCCACTCACTGGAAACATGATCTCGTTCACTGCTGTGGATATTCTGCCAAGGGTCTCGCAACCTTTGTTCCTGGGGTTTGCTCCTCCGATAAGCATCAAACTTGGTGTTCGTCCATATCATTTCACCGCTCTGGGGTCTAGCGAGGAAAAGGTGAAGAGGAATCGAATCGAGCATTAATCGTGCAATGGTGTCGGAGAACGGACGGGGTATTTCGCGTTGAAGTTGAGCGTAAAACGAATGGGTTGATGCCTGACGTGACGATGTTTGCGTTGGGGACACAAGTGACGGTGGCCTCATATCTTGCGATTGGGATGCGGTGGCCGGGCTTGGATCTTGGAAATTGCCCTCTTCGATTCTGTAAACGTTGGCAGTCACTTTTCCAGGGGAACTAGGCGGGGAGTCGGCGAGTTTCATCTTCGTCTTTGGCGGCCGTTGTCGAAGTTGAGTACCATTTTCGCGTGGATGCCTCGGGTGCTGAGCGGTGAAATAGCTGTCTCCGATCAGGTCGCGCCCTGTGATTGCCGGGGAGAGGCCCGCTGATCCCATTCCTGGATGACCAAATTCAAATCCAGGTGTCCCAAAGCTTGAGATTGCAGGGCTAAACTTCGTAGATGAGCGGTCACTGGGGCTTGCAACACTAGCTCTGGTCGATACAGAACCTTCGTCTCCAACAGAATAGCTAACATGACCGCTTAATCCTGCAACAAGTTCCAGCTCGCTGCTCGCATCGGAGAAGGTGCCACCAAGTCCTAGAATATGGCCATAACGCGGTGTTTCCACCTTGGTCATCGATTGACGCTCAAGCTGACTATACTGTTGAGCCAAGCAGAATGAGGTGGTCAAATGAGGCATCAATTCCAGAAGGGACCTACGAAGGTTGGCGGGATAAGGGACAATTGTGGATAGCAGTGAGATAACGGCGACCGGAAACCTTAATGTTGATGAGGAAGGTTGATGGTAGCGACCTCGGTGTAATAGGGGAATGTGAATCACAGTTTTGGAGTGATCCACTCCAATAGCCTCCAATGGTCGTGTGTTGGAGTAATCGTGAGCAGGTGGATCCTTCTCAAATGCACCCTCATCAACCGTATGACAGGTGAAAAATGGATTTTGGTCGGCATGTGTGCGAGGGGCTGGCGAAGGCGCAGGAGATTGAGACCATGGTGACTGCGGGTTTTGCTCATATTCATCATACTGCCGTAGCCCAAAGGTTGGAAGACAAGCGGTGGGGGCTGGTTGCGGAGCAGTTGCGTGCGCTTTAGGTGCTTCATTATCTGGCGTGACTTGAACTGTCTCTAGTGGGCTGCGAGCTATATTCTTGTATGCAGGAACCGAGGAGGTATCTGAATATTCCCGTGTGAGAATGACAGGGCCTATTCGGCCAAAAAGCTTCACTACACCAGTACGTTTGATGAGAGGATCTGACTCCACTTCCAATGGCCTTGCCACAGGAAAAACCGCATGTCGCATGGGAATCAAGTTACTCGCAGCATCCTGGGTTTGAGAGATCTCTCGAGTACCTGAAGGTGGCCTAGTCTCAGTAGATAGCTCCTCCTCAATACGGGCTTGTTTTTTGACCGATTTGATGCTGTTGGACTTCGCTAATTGCGGGGATGGCTCTGAGTTCAAAGGCTGCTTTTTAGCATGACCAAACCCAGCAAAAGAGTGGCGGGAAGTCAATGGTGGGCGAGTTGGAGTCTTTCCAGACGGGTTGGAGAGGGTGGTCGACACTTCTCCCGGTACCGATTTTGCCCCATTGCTCAAAGTCCTTACAATAGGGGTGTCCGGTGGTCCATCGTCATGAATGAATGTCGTAAGGCCGTCATCTGATGAACTTCCATATTGGTTGAAAATCGCTTTTTGGCCCCATGGCACGTTCTCTAGATCTGTCGCATCACCAGGGACAGCAAGTGATATCCGCTCGGCCCCGTAATTTGTTTGCAGGATATCAATGAGGTTCGACCACCATCCATCCAGTCCCGCGTCCGCATTTAACTGCAATGTCAGATCGTACAGATTGGGGGTCGCAAAGTCAGGATCCTCAGGGATGGGGTTATTTAGGTCTGGCAAAAAGTTTGGTGCTTTAAACGGGTCTTGTGAAGGGGTGGGTTTTTCCTCCGACGATTGAGGTCCTAGGGAATTTAGCTTCTCGGATGGAAGTTTCAATCGAAATTGGGCCTCGCGCGCCGCTTGCTCCGAGCTGGGTTTCATAGAATCTTGTACTCTGGGGAAGGGGTAACAAGGCGTTTGGACGATGTTCTGGTTCGGGGAGGGGGCTTTGATTGTCCCCCCAGAGCCCAGTGAGCTGGATGAAGGGCAGGCGATCGTATCAGGAAGGTCGGTCGCGGATGATGTGGACAAGCGTCGTTTCTTTAGGAGGCTCGTTTGACTGTCCGGGTGAGATTTGAGCTGGTGCCTGTTGTTGCTGCATCTGTTGATAGACCAGTAATTCCTCCATCTGTCTTCGTAACTCCTTCAGAGTCTGTGAACTCCGGCCCTGGTCCTCCTGCTGCTCGCCGACAGATCGAGTGTCCTCTGTAATTGGTGTTAGGCCGGCAACCTGGTCCGCAGAATCGCCTCGCGAAAAACGAGGTTGGCGGGCCGTCTGTTTCGCTAACCCATCTGCTCCGAGAGACGGTCCATCCTTCGATCCACCTGAAGAATCATGATCCAGGGGCGAATAATTCGGTGACCGCGGGGGCTGTGTGAGGGGAGGTCGTGGCACGGTTTGGGACGATACTGTTTCCGATGGCGATGGGAAGGGAGAGCTCCTCCTGTTATGCACGTCCCCCATTCTTTTCGACGACTTCAAGTGAATCTATACTCAATACTCCTGGGCAACGACGACAGCGCGGGAGTGGGATAGGACGTTCATTTCTCGGCCACAACGGTCCGTTCGCAGCAATCGTGGGTTGTGGGGGACAGGGAGCAAGCGAATTCGGTCACGAGGAATCGACTGGGAGCGAGAAACGAACTGGTAACAGGGGGAAAAAAAGACGCGAATATGCACGAATTATAGAAAGAAAAAAAATACAGACTGTAAAAAGCCGTGTAGAAGGTTAGGATGAATAAGCCCCCGATGGGTGAAGAGACCCTATCAGACCAAGGGAACGGTTGATTGGGGAGGCACAACAAGCCAAGAAGTGTTGTGGGTGTGATTTGAGAGGGGATGATCGGGATCGAGGGAACCAGACAAGAGTGACTCTGGAAACTGGCGTCAGTACCCGCCAGCCCATTGCTTGGATCGACTTGGGAGTGGATGAAGGAAGGGAAAAAGTGGATTCTGAGTTGATGGTCGGTCTCCGGGGGGGATGATGACGTAGAGTGGCCCTGGCGCCATAAAAGCAGTTTGAGTTGGATTTTACTAGGGGAAAAGCAAAAAAACCTTGACGCCCCCGAATCCTGCATGGTCATTTGCTGCTTAGTGGCTTTTTTACCCCGTTGGAATCTGCATCTTGATTCGCGGGTTGATTTTCAATACGTTTGGGGGGAAAAAAGTGGGAGACTATGAAGAAAAGAAAAATACTTCATATAAAGTTGGAAGTGCTAGTAGTAATTCAAAACCATCTTCAAATGTTGGAATAATCTGATATCAATTCAAAAAACGTGCGATCGACATGTTATCCGGTCAGATGACTTTTGTCAACGTGACTACTAATAGGTAGTAGTATGCATGTGGCTTCTTCAACATCGCCAACTGGTTGGTCTCATATACCTCTTATATACACAGGGGACACAAGAGAACAGGGGAAATCCTATCCCCGTCCACATCTCAACTTACTCTTCACCGGTCTTTTTGGTTGCCTAAACTGGTCATTACACCAAGTCTTGAACATGATTCAAAAGGTGGCATGGTGATGGAGAAAGTCCGAGAAAATTTAGTAGTAACTAGACCCGAATCATGAAAACATTGAATGGACTATTTCGTGCACTGATCAATTCACCGGTAACGTGCTGCCCAGGTGGTGGCGAGAAAACCGCCTATTATTACTCCGAAACAAAAATAAAATAAAAATAAAAATAAAATAATATCAATAATCAATAATAATCAAAATTAAAGAAAAACCTTGGAAACGGGGAACAGAATCGATTTCCTTGAATTACTGCGCATGTACGATTAGTTCTCACTAAGAAAGTACTTATTATGGAGTCTTCGACTGCACATGCATGCAGAGCACTGGAATGTGCAGATTCCCGTCTATCCCCTCAAATTCTAGACCAACCTTGGAAAAGGACCATCTTTACGTCTTGAGGTCGATCAATGCCAAACCGCACGTTTCATGGAAGCGAGAATGTCCAGGGGTCGCATTAGTGGTGTTTCTAGAAGCCCCCTCAAAAAATTAAAATCCACTCTCCAAAGTGGAAATGAAGCGATCGACTAATGTGGCGCAACTCGGGGCCACCGTGAACCCGCTTGCCTGCTCCGTACCCCCTTTTAGGAATGGAGTCGAAATGGCGGCTTTCTGGCTTTCTCAAGGGGGGGGCTTCCCCTTCTCTTTGACGATCGGCGGCCTCCTCTAAGGTTGAGGGTCATCCGATCATCACCAGGTGCAAGTTCTCCCGCGTGGACCTGTCGTCATCTGGCATATTGGGCCCTTCTAGCCGTGCCCAGTTGGTGCGCAACTTCAATCGGACCCCTTCTGGTTAAGTAGGAGGACGAGGTGAAGGTAGAGAGGGGTCTAACCGAGGACATGGACCGTTCAAAAAAAAAAAAAAAAAAAAGGGGACTTTGTAGTAACAAAAAGGCTCCCAACGTCGAATATTTGAATATGCCCAAAATCCAAATCTACCGAAACTGACTTTAGGGTTTCCCGCAGTACGTCATGGGCTGAAATGCTCGTTAAAGGAAATCTCTCGGCTTCTCGGGAGCGAGAGAGAGCATCGATAGGCTGTGTGGGATACTTAAAAGCCTTTAAGGCTGACTAGCTCCCTTCGTATTGGTCCACGGGGGTCAGCGTGGATTAGGGCCAACACTAGAAAGTCTCTGGCTTTGGGTACGGACCCGTGGAATTCTCCGATTGTGGCCCGGTGTACGGGAGTCAGCCGACGATGGATTTTGCACCCAGCTGTTCTTCACAGGTTGGAGGTCAAATGAATCAAGGGGTAGATAAAATGGCGCTGCTCAGGTGAAGGGCCCTGGAGGGCGTATCAGTGGATGGAGATTCGATGTGGAAAAACACATTAGTTTTGAAGAGTTGATGATCAGTGTTGATTCAAAATGTTTATATCTACCCAGTATCTACTAGTATGATAATGTACATTAAAACGTAATGTGGTGCCTTAAGACCGCCTGAGTCAGCAGCCACTTGTATGGAGTACACTAATTTCAATCCGGCCTTGGTGAACAGGCCATATACTACTACTATGTTGATAATGCCACAAACATTGGAAGCTGACCTTCCTAGAATTATCAAACGAAGGGAGGAGGAGGTTTCAAGTATAGAAACTGAATATTTGAAGACATGTACATTAAAAACAATTAAAGTGGGGGTTAAAAGAGTGTCAGAATTTGTACTAAGCCGAGATTTGGGCCACATTGGATCCCTTGATGACCCGCAAAATAGATTTTCCCGTCCCACTGCGTGCACTTATCGCATGCGCTATGGTTTTTGCACGAGTTACATAGTTGACCTTTACTGCCCCTCCCTTTCTATCTTGTGATTCTACATGTGTGCCAGGGCCTGTTGACCCTTCGCGACACGCCCTTGAATTTTGGGGGCTGATCTCCTCCATTTATCACTAGCGCCGGCTGGATCCTCCATGTCTATCCCGCTCGCGATTCCGTTCTACTTGACCAAACAAGACTTGCGTCTAGCTTGGATGGCCAAGGTTCTCTAGACATCCACTTATATTCTTGTTGAGATGGAGGAGAGTCACTTACTTAGCGACGACCTGCCGCTCCCACCCGCCCGACTGTTTGAACGACTGGGCCACCTACCAGGCTATACTTGGGACCAGTCCATCGAGCCCTTCCATTCCACCTACAATCATTGGCATATTTCGGGATTTCGTCATGCCACCGAATCAAACCTCTCCACCCCGATCGCGACTTCCTCCGGTCCTGCCTCGTCCGGTCCTTCCAGCTTGACCCGATTCTCACCCCGCACCGAAACACGCCCTTCTGCGCGAGACAACCGAAGGTTCAGTGTCAGTGAGACTAGCAGTGAACTGTCGCTCTCACGAGGAGGTGAACATGAACAGGTCTGGATACCGGTCGTGGCTCGAGTCTCGACAAACTTCATCCGCCTCGAGCGAGAGTTCCATATGCTCAGATCGATAGTCCAATCCTCGGACCCAGACTGCAATCATACCGTACGGCCGATTGATCTCATACGACTCCCCGCCGATCCAGTAGATGGAGGGTCTCTCCTGGTGGCTGTCTTCGAGTCTCCCGGCCATGACAGACTCCGGGACCTGGTCACATTTGGACCCGCGTCTTTTGTCGCGGGTTCCAAAAGTGATCCTAATTTAACGCCCGATGAACAGGTTGACCTGCCGGCATTCTTTGATTTTGCGATTGGTGCGTGCGACTGCTTGGAAATCTTGCATTATGGTATGAATACGGTTCATGGGGAGATCCGCGGAGATGCATTTCACTTTAGCAGCGAAGGGGGATCCGTCAAGCTCTCCAACATGGGCAATGGCGCACGTTCATTTGACAATGTTCTGAGTGAAGGCTGGTCCTCTGTTTCCCGCGAGCTGGGAGCCAAGTACAAGCTGCAATTTATCGCCCCCGAGCAGACTGGCAGGATGCCGACAGAGCCAGATAGTCGCACAGATATCTACGCACTCGGTCTCTTCTTCTGGTCCATGCTCGTTGGGAAACTACCATTTGAAGGCGCAGACCCCGTTGAAGTAGTACAAAATGTACTTACCAAAAAGTTGACGCCGATCTCTTCGAAGAGAATGGATATTCCCGACGCGCTTTCAGCTGTGGTTCAGAAGATGACACAAAAGGTCGTGCACGATCGTTACCATACAATCTCCTCCGTCAAGCGGGACTTGACAGAGGTAGCAAAACTATTGGGCGATGGAGATAGCGAGGCTTTGAATACTTTCAAGATCGCCCAGCGAGACGTGTCATCTTTTTTCACACTACCTTCGCGAATGATTGGACGCCAAAAAGAATGTGATATCATTATCAATGTGGTCGAGAAAGTCAAAAAGCGCCAGGCAACTGCATCTGCTAAGGCATTTGTGCAAAGCCCAGCAACCGCTCACGCACTCGCTTCTAATTCCTCAATCTCAGAGGGGCCTGTGGATAGTTTCGATCTTGCTTCTGTTTCGAGTGACTCTGGTTCCTTCCACCTACCTCCACGCAGCAGCTCAAATACTAGTACTCAATATCACATTGCTCATGTCAACGCCCAAGACTCCATAGCGAGCAATGATACATCTCCGCCCCCAAGATTGAGGCAAAGCTCGGCAGGCCCGGATTCATCCAGTCAAACACCACCTGTGTCAATCCCTAGCAAAATGAAAAGTCCATCTCATTCCCGGTCTTCCCACAACACCGATAGGGAGAGTCAGCCTTCCATTGGTACCAATACCAACAGTCAGCCGTCCACCCAGACTTTCAGCCAAACTGATTCGTTGACTTCGATTGTCAAGCACAAGGCCGGTGTCAAATTCCGCCGGAATGGCCGCTGTGAGGTAATTGCAATTAGTGGTGCTGCCGGAATAGGAAAGACAGATCTTTTGAATCGGGTCCAGCCAGTCATTCGCAAGGCTGGGTATATTGCAATCACGCGTCTTGACCGAGCCAAGCGGGTACCATTTGAACCATTTGCAAAAGTTTTGGCCAGCCTACTACGTCAGATTTTCTCTGAACAGGATGTCAATACAAATTACCACAACAGCATCCGGTCAGCTCTGCGGTCCATGTGGCCCACGCTCCACAAGGTGCTGGATTTACCAGAGCAGCTAATGGCTCCAGGAGCAAAGTACAAGCCTTCTCCACGAATCTCTGTCCCACAGCCAATTCCTAAGCAAGAGGCTCGTGAAGATCCTGCCAAGCGACTCTATATTCCATGGATGGATCAAGGCCAATCATCCGCAGACTTTTTCTTGGCTAACGCCGCTTCAAATAATATGCGCCTGATGGATATTTTCGTGGAGATCTTGAAGACGCTCTGTCAATTCAAACTTATCACTGTGTGCCTGGATGATTTGGAGTATGCAGATGACGAGACCTTGGAATTGGTATTGAACATTATCAAAGCCAAGCTACCCTGCACGCTTATTCTCACAAGCCGTAAGGACGAGATTGAGTCTGACCGAATTCGATCCTTGTTTGAAACCGAATTGCCCAATGTCACACGAATTGCACTGGAACCAATATCAGAAGACGACGTCATGGAGTTTGTTGCCGCAACGATGCATCAAGAGCCCAATCCAACATTGACCCCACTATGTGCTGTTGTTCAAGAAAAGAGCCAAGGGAATCCTTTCTATGTGCGAGTGATGCTTGAGACATGCTACCGGAAGAATTGCATTTGGTATTCATGGAAGGACTCGAAGTGGCTGTTTGATCTTGATCGCATCTTCACTGAATTTGTGGCTCCTGTGTATGGAGAGGGACTTGGCTTGGGCTTCCTCACCAAACGTCTCCAAGAAATCCCCGCTGCTGCTAGATCGATAATGATTTGGGGAGCTCTCATCGGAAGTCCATTTTCATTTTCGTTGGTCCAAAGAATCCTAACCAGTGAATTTGTGACCTCAATTGATGACGATGACGAAGAGATGTGTCTCACAAAGCCTGGCAATGTCACCTTGGTCAGGCAAACAGAAGGTGATATTGTGGTTGGGTTACAGTATCTTGTCCAGGCAAACCTTTTGAATACTGGCAAGACCGACGATGAGTTCAAGTTCGTATCGTTCCATGGAAGTTCATACCCACCCTCGAATCATGTTGGCTAACGTTAGTTTTAGATTTGGCAATGATCGACTTGCGCAGGCTGCACTTTCTCTTGGTGAGAGTCGCAATGTGGAGAAGATGCATTTTATTCTTTCGCAGGTTTTGATGAAATATTATCATGATCACCGCAGTCGGTACTCTATGGCTCACCATATTGCACTTGCGTCACCTAGAATCAAATCTCGTGTCAATCATAGAATTGATTACCGGCGGATTTTGTGGGAAGCTGGGCAGACGGCTTCTCAGTCTGGAGCCCGTCCCAGCGCCCTTTGGTATTTCCGGCACTGTATTGCGCTTCTTCAAGATAACCCTTGGGACGACCAACATACGGATGTGTATTATGACGAGACAATGCGACTTTACATAGCAACGGCGGAAATGTCCTGGTCTCAAAGTCAAAATGAGGACGCCCTTAGACTTATTGATGCCGTTTTCGCCCACGGCAAGGATGCGGTCAGTAAATCAAGGGCTTGGGTCATCAAAGCCAAGATCATGGCTCAGATGGGTGACCACCCTCGCTCAATGGAAGCACTACTGTCATGTTTGGACGAACTCGGCGTACATCTTCGTGCTCCTACCACCTATGAAGAATGTGATGTTGCCTTTTACAAACTCAAGTCATACCTTGAGTCCGTCGACATCAATGCCATTGCCCAAAAGCCCATCAGCAAGGACCCTAACCTGGTCACCATTGGAGCCGTCATGGCAGAGGCGATGTCCGTCACCTACTGGGACGATGCGTTGACCTTCTACCGGATGGCAATAGAGATGATGCACATCCACATCTCCAGGGGTGGGTTCACCCCGATTTCAATTGGCTGTTCTCACCTTTCAATGATCACTCTGAGCCGTTTCAAAGACCTTGAGTTTGGTACCAAGCTCAGCGATCTCTCTCTCTCCCTCCTTGAAAATTGTCCTGAGCTCTGGACCCAGAGCAGGGGTTCAGTCGTTCATAACCTCTACGTCAGCCATCTTCGTGTTCCTCTGGCATCGACATTACCAGCACTAGAGGCCTCACTTGAGGCGTCATTTACCATGGGCGACCCTTACATCACGTTGATTAGCATTTCTTCAATGGCTATGACTAGGCTTTACCTTGGGCAAGATATGGCCCAACTTGAAGCCTTTTGTTCGGAGGCCCCCGAAGATATTCCAATGTGGACTCAAGATACCCGTGGGGGTGCCAGTATTATTTCTGTTCGTCAAGTTGCACGGGCCCTGCAAGGCAAAACAGAGATCCGGTCTGCGGACAACGTAATGTCGGATAATGAGCACCGGACAAGCTCTTTCATGAAGTATCTGGATAACCATGCCAGTAATGCTGACAGGCCTCGTGACATCTATCTTGGCCTTTCTATGATTCCCCTGTTCCTGTTTGGCCACTACACCAAAGCGATCCAAGTAGGGAATAAGCTACTTGGTACATCTTACAGACTCTGGTCTGTGCGTGTGTCCTACATCATTCAGTTCTACCTCGCCATCTCGCTTCTCAGTCTTCACAACGATTACCCAGCCCAGGGATATCTTGACGGGAAAATGGATATGATCCTTGAATACAAGGCCGAGATAGAATTTGCTCGAAGTTGTTCCGAATCCAATTATGGCATGTGGGTTTTCCTGCTTGAGGCCCTTATCGCAGAAGTCCGAAATGATCACAATGGTGCTATTCAAAAGTTCGAAGCCGCTATCGATCATTGCCAGATTCATGGCTGGCCGTTAGAGGAGGCCCTCGCACTTGAGCTGCAAGGCGAGTTCCTTATCCGACGTGGTGCGAAACGCGCCGCTCGTGCTTTGGTGCAGGAGTCTATTGCTGTTTGGAGCTCCATGGGTGCTGGAGGGAAAGCGATGATGCTTGCTGAAAAACATGAGTGGTTGCTCAAAACAGCGACCTCCGCTAGGACTGTTGAGGTTGGTTGCCAAACTCTCGACTCACTCATGAAAATTAATCGTGAAGCTGTTGCGGATGATATCATACTACCTTCTCAGTTGGAGGAGGATGAAAGAAGGCAGCTTTGGATTGAACAGAACGGTGTCAATCCAGATGAGAAATCCATGGATATCTCCAGCGTGGGTCTAGACATTATTGATCTGTCTAGCATATTGGAGTCCAGCCAAGTCATGTCATCAGAGCTTCAGATTGATAAACTCTTCATGAAAATGCTCGAGATCCTCTTGGAGTCATGTAACGGTTCCGACTTTGCAGTCATTGCAACCAATTTCGATGAACAAGGATTTGCCATTGCGGCGGCAGCAGATTCCGATAAAGGTCAACGATCATATCCCGAGGGCCTGCCCTTCTCAGAAACCGAGAGTCGGATGGCGCAGCATATCTCATACTATGTCATGCGAACAAAGGAGGAGGTTTTGGTTCACAACGTCCTTGAGGATGAGCGCTTCTCCAATGTCAATGAAACATATCTTGCCAATTACCCCCAAGGCCGGTCGGTAATTGCACTACCGATTATCCAAGGCGATCAACTTCTTGGAGTCATCCACTTGGAAGGTAAGCCGAACTGGTTCACACAACGAAACGTGGTAGTGTTACATTTGCTTTGCAACCAGATTGGAATTTCATTGTCGAATGCTTTGCTCTTCCGTGAGATTCGCAAAGTAAGCGCCAAGAATTCATCCATGATCGAATCTCAAAAGCGTGCCCTCGCCCAAGCACGGGAGGCGGAGCAAAAGGCCAAGGTTGCAGAGGCCGAGGCAAAACACAATGTCAAGCTCAAGGAGGATGCTGCACGAGCCAAATCAATTTTCTTGGCAAACATCTCTCACGATTTACGAACTCCAATGAACGGTGTGATTGGTCTTTCGGAGCTGCTGAAAGGCACGAAGCTGGACAAGGAGCAAGACGAATATGTGGAGTCTATTCGTGTCTGCGCTGACACCTTGCTCACCCTCATCAATGACATATTGGATTTCTCGAAGCTAGAAGCCGGAAAAATGAAGATCTCCACAGTGCCGCTCAATTTGAAGGAGACCATCTCAGAAGTGATTCGTGCGCTTCGCTACACTCACCGTGAACGAGGCTTGGATACAATCGAAGAGCTGGATCGTGTTCCTGCGGAGCTGGTCGTTCTTGGTGATCCTGTCCGCTTACATCAGATTTTCATGAACCTCCTCAGCAACAGCTACAAGTTCACACCAAAGGGCTCGATTGTCGTCAAGGCAAGGGTTGCCCGTGAAGCCAAGGGTCGTGTACGCCTAGAATGTTCCGTATCTGATACTGGAATTGGAATTCCCGAAGAGCAGAAAGCGCGCCTGTTCCGGCCTTTCTCCCAGGCTGATCCATCAACTGAAAGATCATACGGGGGCAGCGGACTAGGCTTGAGTATCTGCAAGGCGATCATTGAGGATGTCCTTGGTGGTGCTATCTGGCTTGAATCTGAGTCTGGAGTTGGAACTACCGTGACATTCCACTTGGTTTTCAATAAAGCCCCTAAGAAGACTGCCGTCAAGACTGCATGGTCGCAAGACCTTAGCCAAGCAGAACACAAACAAGCACCCCGACCCGCCACTTGTGATCTTACACAAATCCCACGTGACCAGATCCGGGTATGCATCGCCGAAGACAACCCCATCAACCAGAAAATTGCGGTCAAATTTGTGACTGGTCTTGGCCTCCAGTGCGAGGCTTTCAGTGATGGACGCCAGGCCGTCGATGCTCTACGTGCCCAATCCAACCAAGGCAACCCGTTCCACATCGTTCTAATGGATGTCATGATGCCCACGCTAGACGGTTACAACGCCACCCGCGAACTTCGACGTGATCCCGACCCCAACGTTAACCAAGTTCTGGTGATCGCCATGACAGCTAGTGCCATTGAAGGCGACAGAGAGAAGTGTCTTGAGGCCGGCATGAACAACTACCTCCCCAAGCCTGTTCGGTCACCAATCCTGAGCGAGCTTCTTGATAAATACCTTGCGCCAGTGCCATCCCATCCTCGTACACGGCTAGTACTCCGAGAGAAGGGGTCCCGAGCAAGTATGGGCCCTGATTGTGGTACACCTACCAGCATCTCTTCATCAGGGTCCGAGGAAACCACGAAACTTCCACCGGCCCGTACGTCAAAGGACATGATTACACACAACCCCAACCCCAACCCCAATTCCCCACGATGATACCCTGCACAGTTTCACTGGTTGAAAGGAACTCCCCGTCATAAAGGTACCGTTCTGGAACTTGATTGGCCACCATGCTCTTTGGTCATTTGTGGTCCATTTTTTATCATTTGATGCCTTCCTCACCCGCCAAGAGTGACTTGACCATTGGATATATTTTTTTCGGTTTTTAATTCGTTAGAATTTCTGTGGTGGTCGCTATGTTTTTGGCATCTTTATGTTTTCATGATCGGATTTATGAATTGCATTTGACGTTTTTTATTTTCTCATTTTGGTCGATGTTGCCCACGACTTTTCATGGATGGTGTTTTTATTGGAACTTCAGACTATGTCTGTATAAATCTCCAATTGGAATCGGAATTTTTTCTTTTTCGTTCATGGCATTAAGATTCTGTGCTCAATCACTCTTCCCCCGGAGCCGAAGAATTGAGGAATTCCAAGGTTGAGCCCCAAGGCTGGCTCGTCTTTAAAATCGAGACCTTAAAAGACGCGTGATGTGGTTGCGGAAACAACTGCCGCGCTGCCCAATGCGCGATACCTAGTATGCATGACACGTCTCGGCCGTAGATCGGGATTCAAGTATTATCACGGAGCAATCTATCTCGAATTTTCTTTTTAGTTATCATCGAGCTTGGAACTGAGAATACACCCAAAGCATACCCCACTAGTAGGCACCTATGCCACATGTGTCATGTGCATCTTCAGGCTGTACAGAATGCTGCCCAGGTGCTCCCGTGGACTTCAGCCTAACCTTTCCGACTGCAATATCTTGCTACTGCTGACAACCCCAAAGCACCTCAGGATCAGACCCAGTAATTCTCCAAGCTGTCACCAATACTCAATATGGGAATCGCTGAGTAGGTTTGCTTTTGAGCCAAAAGATAGATTGTTGCAAAACCGTTGCAATATGGACCACGTTTGCCCTACTCAAGTGATGTTTGTGCAACTGCTAGCGGAACCACTAGCACCTTCGAGTCCTTCTGAGCCCAAAGCTATACTAGACATGCACATGCAAACCATGACGAAATGTGAGACAACCAGTCAACAGAAGAAGACAAAAAATCTGAATGGAGGGCCGTAAATGTGACGAGGAAGGAAGACATGCACCACAGTATGTAAAACTATAATAAATACTCCAAGTGGGGCTTCAAATGCTTTTCTAACATAGAATAGGTGATCCAAAGAGGCTCCCAGAGATGCAAGTAATGGAGATTGATGCTATTTGAACTATATAGACAAGAATAGAATGTAATAGATGCAGTAACGCTAATGCTAGGCAAAAATGACAACAAACAAGAGGAAAAAATCCCAACAAGGTCAAAGATAGTCTTGTTGAGGCATTTCATTCTAACCCAGGGCTGGAAATGCATGTGCCTTTCATGTCGCAATTGAAAATTTATAGTCCCCAAAAGAAAAATGGAAAAAGACGAAAGATAGAATCAATAAGAAATGTCGCTTTTTTACCGACTTCCACCTGTGTTCATGAATCATTGGTCGCCGCTTTTTTCTCCAACTCTTTATATCGCCATGCCAACTGTGCCAACAAGCTTTTATCAGCAGGCGTAAGACTCTTGCCTTGTTCTTTCAGCTCCTTTTCTGTCTGCCGCAATAGTTCCCACCTCTTAAGCAGCTTTCCCTGAGCATCGGTGATTGCTGCCAGATTGCTATCCTGCGACTCCAAGCGCTGGTCGATGGTCGCGTGATATGACAACTTCGCGTGGAACAGAGCCATCTCCGATTCATCATATTTCAAGCCTTGAGCTTCGGGCATGGCAATATCATCAACACCCTTTGTCGGCATCGCGGGTGAAAGAATACGAGTAATTCGTGATTAGAACCGAGGGAGATGGACTGTGTAGTCTGGATGAATTGAGTCGCGCCGGGGCTAAGCGAGGAAGTGACCTCTGTCCGGATAGAATGCTGAAAAGCAGGTATCGACTGGGCGTGGCATGGGCTCACGACGGAAGTATATATGCCATAGATGGGCGGGAGCGGCTGGCGATGAGCCCGAGAGGGTTGGAACGGGATTGGGGACGAGAAGGAAATGCGCAGATGAGCGAAAGCTTTTTCGCTGGGAACGCCCAGAGAAGAAAACCGAACACAGAATAGAATAGAGATAATGCAACAGAAGGAACTAAGAGAGAAGAAAAGAGAATTCCAAGAGGATACAAGGGAAGAAGAAAAAGACTGACGTTGGATGATGGGTGGCGCATGATAGAGAACGGGAGGCCTGCCATTTTCTTATATTGCAAGTTCACACGCATTTGGCCCCATGAAAAACCTGGACCTGGTCATCCAATACCCGACAGCCCCCCTTAGTATCACCCGAAAGCTACCTCTAGGGTGATACTAGGGGGGTGGGAAAGGGGGCTACGAAACACCCCCAACGGTGCAGGACCAAGCCAACCCGGAAAGAGAAGGACTTTTTCCAAGGTTGAATAATAAAATACTGTATAAGAATGAAACCAGGTTAGACATGGACAGACACTCGATTGCATCTTGTAGCGTAACGGAGATTTGGGGTGATGAGAGGTACCTGCACACAGAAGCTACATCGTTTGTCTATAGGACCAAAAAAAGAAAAAAAGAAATGAAGAAAAGGGAAGGTAGAAAAAAAAACTGCCATCTGTCTCATGACGATGGCAACCGAGCCAATCGTCCCGACCGCAGTACAGACCAGGCCCTTGATTGGTAGAATTCAGGGTAACACGATTTCCTACCGCGCAACCGGACATAGGAAGAATCTGCTGGAGCGTGGTCGAGATGCAGCAGTCCCGTCCCGGTCCGTATGGTTGTTCGCGCAGGCATGTGTGTCAGGGTCGAAGGCATTGATGGAAAACCGTTGGGCTGAACTTTTATTTCATTCTTTGCGATTGATTGTACCTGTGAAAGCCTTACATTCTCACTGTATCAACAGCTATCGAGCGTATACTTAGTAGATCCTACTATAGTTAGTGCTTCCATTCAATGTTAGAAACCTTGTACTCGATCAAACACCAAGTGGAAAACAATACTGATTCCCTATCTCGTATCTGGCCACGCGGAAACCGAATGACAGAAGCCGGAGCTAACATGATTAAGTGTAGAAATTACACTGAAATAGAGTTGATGTAGCCTGCCAGTCATTCAACCTTCCCGTCGTTGCACCGGCCTTTTATCTCCTCGATTGTCTATTCTGTACATAGTCTACCCCGTGCCCCCATTGATGTCCGCATGGGAACATGAAAGGGCATCCATTGTTGAATTTCGAGTCAACTTCATAATCTCAAGACCCCTACGACTAGTACGTATAGGTAAGCCATATCTTTATGTAGTAAGTTGAGCTTATACGAAAAAAGAACTTCCAGGGGGGAAACCGTTACAACATTCAACATTGAATGTTCAAACATTTGAAGTCTTTCAATCGAAGTGTGTCAAGCCTATCCTCCCCATGTGCATGCCCAGACGATCAAGAAAAAAACAACAAGATGATTATACGTAGGTACTAAGCACTTGAGTGGCTGGTTTGTTGTATACTTGGTTGATTTACTAAATATATACCACACATGAGATGAACATCGTGCCACTTTTGCAAAGTTGTAACACTTTCGGATGCGAGAAGTCTTTTGACCATTTCCCAAAACAAAATGATCAACAAAAGGCCAAACTGATTGTATAGTAAAGAGACAGGGCACGAATGACGGTGTGTCTTATAAAGTCACATCAATAGCTCTCGGTACCTGAATTGTTTGTGTGACGCTGCGTATGTACTGATAATGTTGGGGCTTGAGATTTGATTAGAACTGGGACCAGAAATGATTGTGGAGAATAGGAGCACCAACGTTGGAATTGAATCTCCCTTTGAACAATCAGGGAATTGAACTGATCAAACGGCGTTCGAGACATACTTCGGATCATTAACATTTGAGCATTTAGGGCTAAGGATATCATCTGATTTCGGGTAAGGTACCAGGTTGGTTACCAAAGATACTTCCGAGGAGATTCTAGAACCAAAAACCCCAAAAAATCCCCAAAAAATCACACCTCTCAATCATACCATCGTACCTGCCTAGGATGGAAAATCCTTCAATGTTGGGTTTGATTCATTCGGCTGCACTACGGACGATGGAAGACGGATACAGTGCAACAGAACACGCATGCCTCCGTCGGCTACGTACAGCTGCATCGGACCCGACGCCGTTTCATCCATTTCGCATGGAGATTTTCCTAGCCGATGCCAAATGGAGTCTAAGTAGCCTCTTGCTTTGAAAACGCCTCCAAATTGTGGCGCACGCGAGGAGATTAATATTTGCTTTTGTTGGGTTTCATGGTGGGTCCTCCAAGGTTGGAAGGGACATCTACAAGGAGAATTATCTATGACCTACGGATAGATGCAGATTTTGGATTCCAGGTGATGGTATTCCGTCCCATGGGCTTGGCACTCTCGGAGATATTGCATTTGGATCAGAATAGCCGAGGGAACAATACATAGTACATAGGGGGTCATAAATCTGACCATATAAAAAGATTGAAACATTGAACTGGGAACAACATACCAACCTCATTCAAATTGTAATCCTCTGCTCCTTGATCGAAATGTGAAGAAAAACTTTAGAGATCTTACTAGCAAAATATTATGAATACATATACATCTTCTATATGTACTATATGTATGACAGTTTTTGTTCAAATGATGTTTGTAAAAAGAACATTTGAAAACAAAAAGAAATTGATTCATTAACATTTGAATCGATATAACAAAGACACCAATAACACTCCAGATGTCAAGTGCTGAATATTTTAGTATTTTTTTTGAAGCGGGACACATGTGCAGCAAATATAATTAAAATCTCTGCACATGTGGATTTAGGCGTAGTATGTATACATATCTAAGTTTGTATCATTATTTGCTAATGTTCAAAGGTTATGTTGTGGAGATATCTTACTTTTGAGCTGCATGTGGTTTTATAGCATGCGGCCAGACTTGTGGACTGTTAGTTTATTATTTGCGACTATGGAGGATCACTAAATATTCAAACTCCAGCGTACATACGTCAAAATCCAGATCGACCTTCCTCGTCCCGTCTGGCGGCAGCCCTTTCCTTCTTTGCCTTTTGCATATCAAGTGACATCTTAACAGGGTGGACTCCGGGGGTTTCAAACACCGTGTCAATCTCCTCTAGACTCAGGCCACTGGTCTCCGGGAAGAAGAAATATGATAAGACCAGCTGGACAGAGTTGTAGACGATATATACCGTCCAAATCTTATAGCCAATTTCGCTAATTCCCACGCTGATTCCATAGGTCTGGACAGCGCTTGCTGCACCTTGAATTAGGCTGTACAGTCCCATTCCCTTAGCACGGAGGGGTAGGGAGAGTACTTCCACGGGGTACAAATTGTGCATGGTAGCGATCAAAGAGGCAGAAAATGTTTGGTAGAGGAAAATCCAGAGAAGGGTCAGGGCTGCAGCGGCATGAGTGGGGTTGATGCTATATTGCCAAGATGTGATAGTCACAGCGGTTTGGAAAATGATCATGCTGGCCAAGCCGGCGAAGATGAGGGTTCGTCGGCGGAATTTATCAACCAGCAGAGCTCCCACTGCAGTAAACACGAAATATGTTCCAGTGCTTCCAATATTGATTCCAAGTTGTTGTTTCGTACCATCGATTCCGATGGTCTCGAGTGCGGGAGTCATCTATAAATATGTTTAGTATTTGGTACAGGAGGTAGGGCGATGGAGATGAATTGAGTGTGCTTACATAGTATGTGATAATGCCGCCCCCATTCCACTGTTGGAAGATGGAATATAGTGTTAAAACAAAAAGTCGATAGCGAACAGCCTTGGTGAAGAAGACTCGATAATCCCAGAAGGCGGAGAAGCCAGACTGATCATTCTCCAAAGACTCTTCAATCTGGGTGACGACAATATCAACAATTGGCTGATTAACATCGCCACTGGTGGTATGATACTTGGCAATCACTTGCTTGGCCTTTTCGCGCTGGCCCTTCATGATGTACCATCTAGGCGACTCTGGAGTCAAGACGAAGATGGTCAAGCAGACTATGGCAGGGAACAAGGCTTCAAGGATCAGGGGGATACGCCAACACTTGTTTCCCGGCAGGCCATCCAGCCCGATCATCGCACCGAGCATGGTCAAGCTACCCACCTGGAAGCAGGCACCGAAGAAGCCGACCATGCGACCACGAAGATGGATCGGAGAAATCTCACCAATATACTGTGAGCTTGACATTAGCGCTGTGCCGAATCCCATGAAGAACCGACCAGCCATGAACATATTGAGGTTGATTGCACAGCCTTGCAGAAGAGCGGCGAGGATCACAATGGCGTTGCCAGTGAAGTTGATTCCCCGACGACCGATAACATCTGCATAGGCCATAAATGGGGCGCCACAGACTGTTCCGATGCTCATCAAAGCATTCATTAAACCGTATGTGCTTCCCGAGGTGCCAAACCCAAAGTAGTCGTGCCATGCAGTAAGCGAATCAATGCCACTGATCACACCCCAATCGACTCCATATCCAGCTTGATTACATCCCTGCACGAACATTATGAGGCCCAGTCGAACTCCGGTCCACGAATAAAGGCTGAGAGACTCCTTGGAGAGTGTCCATAAGTCTTCCTCGGTCAGTCTTGCTAGAGCAACCTCCTCAACGTACTCCTCGCTCTGACTCTTCAGCACCTCTGGTTCGGGGCCACCCTTTGCCATGGTGCAAGTACCAACGGATGTATGAGCACACACAGTATATTCGAAATCGGTGTCAGAAAATCAATCCCGGCGAGCCGAAGGATTATGTATCTGTTGGAAGATCCGGGGAAGAATGCAAGGAGCGATGGCTTGGTATTTCTGCCTCGGTCGATATGCATAGCTAACCAAGCACCACCATGGTGGCTCAAAAAGAATGATGATTAACGCCCATTCCGCCACGGAGAGAGACAAGGATCCGAGACCAAAAAGGAAAAAAGAGGAAAAGAGAGAGATCTGGAGATCAAAGTCTGGGTCTTGACTGGGTCTCCTTGTTCTGCTAGCGTGACGCGGCTAGAAAAAAGCAAGCATAATTGGAATGAAGAGGGAATGGCGCAAATCACATTACCTGCCGAGGTGGCGGGGGTGGGGGAAACTCACCAATAAAGCCCTTGCTTCGGTCGCTAGGGAAGCATTGTTGTGCTTTGGCTGGATAGGAAACATTTGGAAACAGGTGACTCGAAGTTTCTCCACCACTGGGGATTGAATGCGGGGAAATATAGATTGAGCTTGTCGCTTGACTTTTTCACGCTAGTCAAAATGGCCCGATCGAAATGGCCCGCAAAGCCAATCTGCGGAGAGAAAAAGAGGAGAAAAAAAGAGAAAAAAGAGAAAGAAAAGAAAGAAAAGAATATTTCCAATAGGAATTTACCCGACAAATCTGATCTGGGTTGGCACGTGTCTGTATCGGAAATCCAGCGAAACCCAAGTGGTTTAACCTCTTGATTATGCTAGTAAAACACGACTAACAAGGATCCATGTGTCACGCAGCTATCTTCATGCTGGGATCATCCTCATCATCTGGAGTCCAAACACTCCCAAACTGCACCCCTTGATCTAGTTTATGCGCTTCAATCCAATCTACATTTCCCCCAACTCTTCATAACCGACATGAGTGAGCTATGGTACGAACAGGCTGCAGCCACTTGGAATGAGGCTCTTCCCCTGGGAAATGGCCGCCTTGGTGCCATGGTCCACGGTCGCACCGACACAGAGATGATACAGCTCAACGAAGCTTCGCTATGGTATGGGGGACGTCAACAAAGAACACCTGAAGATGCCTTAAGCAACCTGCCAGTTTTACGACATGCCATCCGCCAAGGGAACCATGCCGAAGCAGAAAATCTAGTAAAAACATACTTTTTCGCAAATCCTGCAAGCCAACGGCACTACGAGCCTCTTGGTAACCTGCTTTTGGATTTTGGACATACCCCCGATCAAGTTACCAACTACCGGCGCTCACTGGACCTCACCGAGGGGGTTCTGCATGTCAACTATGAGTACCAGAATATTCAATGCGACCGACAAATGATCGCTACAGATAATCCGTCAGTTCTAGTCTTGCACATTCGTTCCTCAGCCAAGATTGAGTTCCTCTTACGTCTGACACGGTTGAGTGACCTTGAATTTGAAACTCATGAATACTTCGATTCGGTCCAGACTATTGGGACACATCCTCTTCTAAGGGCTATAGGTCAAAAGGAGAATACTGTCACTATGAATGTTACGCCTGGCGGAAAGGGAAGCAGTGCGTGCTGTATTGTCCATGTTCAGACCATAGACGAAGACGGAAAAGGCACCATCACTAAGGCTGGCAAAAACCTGGTTGTCAAATCCGACAATGCTGTTATCTACATTGCCGCACGAACCAGCGTCATGGGGAAGAATTCCGATATTCATGCGGGATCTGATATCAGAAATATTGACTCCACTCCACACGACATCTGGAGACATCAAATCCAAGAGAACCAGAACATGTGGAACCGAATGAATCTGAAGCTCACACCTAATCGATCGGATGTTCCTACCGACAAAAGAGTCATTGAAAAGCGAGACCCTGGTTTAATTGCCCTCTATCATAACTATAGTCGCTATCTTCTCAGGGCCTGCAGTCATGAAGGAAGCGCAGCTTATCCATTACCAGCCAATCTCCAAGGGATCTGGAACCCTTCTTTCCATGCAGCTTGGGGCTCCAGATTCACAATAAACATCAATCTGCAGATGAATTACTGGTCCGCAAATCTCTGCAATCTATCCGAATGCGAACTTCCGTTGTTCACGCATCTGTCCCGAATGGCAGCCAATGGCAAGAAGACTGCGGAAAAAATGTACGGCTGTCGGGGTTGGACGGCTCATTCAAATACTGATATTTGGGCTGACACTGAACCTGTGGATCGTTGGATGCCAGGCACACTATGGCCGCTTGGTGGTGCATGGCTCTGCTGCCATATCTGGGAACATTTCCAATTCACCGGAAACACTAGCTTTCTACGGCAATATTTTGGGATCCTTCGCGGATGTGTCGAATTTCTCCTCGACTTCCTCATCAAAGATGCATCTGACAGATACCTTGTGACATCCCCATCAGTCTCGCCTGAGAACTCATATTACGACAAGATGGGGCAGAAGGGCGTTCTCTGCGAGGGATCGACAATCGATATACAAATAATCGACGCTGTGCTACAAAACTTTGAGTCAGCAACAGCACAGTTGGGCCTGACCAACGACACTCTCCTGGCCCAGGTCCGCTTAACAAGATCTCGGCTCCCGCCTATGAAAATCAGCAAGAATGGATACCTCCAAGAATGGGCCGAAGACTATGACGAAGTTGAACCAGGCCACCGACACACATCCCATGTTTGGGCCCTCTATCCCGGTAACGCGATCACTCCAGATACAACACCCGAGCTTGCTGCTGCTTGCAGAGAGACGCTTCGCCGACGTGCGGAGCACGGAGGTGGTCACACAGGCTGGAGCCGTGCCTGGCTCATCAATCTGTACGCTCGTCTCCGGGACACGGAAGAATGTCAAAAACATCTTGATTTATTGCTGTCGCATTCTACCCTCCCAAACCTATTTGACAACCACCCGCCATTCCAGATCGATGGTAACTTCGGCGGAGCTGCAGGTATAGTGGAGATGTTGGTACAGTCTCACGAAACGGGGTTAATCCGACTTCTTCCTGCTTGTCCGGCCGACTGGGTGGGCACAATTCACGGCGTCCGAGCTCGTGGAGGGTTTGAGCTAGATTTCAGCTTCGAGAATGGCCACCTTGTGGGTGAGGTCATTCTAAAAGCTCAGGAAGCCAAGAAAGTGACTCTGGTCTTTCCGGGTGGATTTCAAATGGAAATAGAGTGTGCTGGGGAATCCAGAATCCCACCGGATATTTATTCGAGATAGATCACTTATTGAATATGCAACCCCTCCAGCAGGTGCATTAGACAAATCATCATTCGTCTTATAATAGATTTTGGGCGAATCGTCTCCATTCGATCACTTCAAGTCCCCACATTATCCCTGCTAGTCCGACCTTCCCTAAACAGTCACGGAGTGATCACCCCGCACCGGTTGAGATGCTGGATAAAATGGAAATAATACTGCGCAATAAATATGACAACTTAACCGGACGAACCCCGCATGGGATTTCTCCCAATGCTTGAGCTTTACATCTAAGCTTGAAGCTCGAAAAGAAATAACAGCGCCACCTATACCTACCCCAGTCACCAGCCTAACTCCAAAATCCCCAAAAATGGATCTGGCCTCAGTCCATGATCTCAAAGACGTTCTTCGTCCAGACTTCTTTCATGGCTACGCCACAGCCGCAGCCCAGATCGAAGGGGCCTGGAATAAAGACGGCAAGGGCGTCTCAATCTGGGACACATTCGGCCATACACCAGGCAAAGTAGCCGACGGTAGCAATGCCGACGATGCGACCCGAGCATATGACTTCTATCGCGAAGACGTCGCATTGATGAAAACCTACGGCGTCAATGCATACAGATTTTCCCTCTCCTGGTCACGCATTATCCCGCTCGGGGGTCGCGATGACCCTATCAACGAGCAAGGAATTCAGTACTACTCCAACCTGATTGATGAGCTTCTGCGCCATGGAATCACGCCATTTGTCACGCTCTTCCACTGGGACATCCCGCAGGCCTTGGAGGACCGGTACGGCGGTATGCTAAATCAGGAAGCGTATACGCCTGATTTCGTGAGATACGCTCGCGTGTGCTTCGAACATTTCGGCGATCGCGTGAAGCACTGGATTACTTATAACGAGCCCGGCGTGTATACCCTTGCGGGATACGCGGCTGGGGTGCATGCGCCCGGGCGCTCTTCTTTCCGCGAACGCAATACCGAGGGCGACTCGTCAACGGAGCCGTTTATTGTCGCTCACACGGAGCTAGTCTCCCACGGACATGTCTCGAAGCTGTATCGTGACGAGTTCCAGCCGCAGCAAGGGGGTACTATTGGCATTACGTTACACGGGAACTGGTCGGAGGCGTGGGATGATGAGGATGAGCGGGATCAGGAGGCGGCGCAGCGGGCGCGCGAGTTTGAGATTTCCTGGTTTGCTGATCCGGTTTATAAGACTGGGGACTACCCTGCTTCAATGCGTGCGCAACTTGGAGATCGGCTTCCGCGGTTCACGGAGGAAGAATCCAAGCTTGTGCTTGGCAGCTCGGAATTCTATGGGATGAATAGTTATACGACCTTTTTCATGAAGCATACGGATTCGCCGCCGGATATCAATGATCATAAGGGGAATGTGGAGGTTCACGACGAGAATAAGCAGGGCGTTCCTCGTGGTGAGGAAAGCGATACTGAGTGGCTGAGAGCATCGCCGGAAGGATTCCGGAAGCTGTTGAATTGGATCTGGGACAGGTACCAGACTCCGATATACGTGACTGAGAACGGCACCACCGCAAAGGGCGAAGTTTCACCCACGCCAGAGGTCTTGAATGACACGTTCCGCATCAAGTTCTTTGAGGGTTATGTGGGATATGCTCTGGCTCGAGCTGTGAAGGAAGATGGTGTTGACATTCGGTCCTATTTTGCATGGACATTCACAGATAACTGGGGTAAGTCTATCTTGATCAAGTTGTTTTATTTCAAATTGCTGACTAGAGACGTAGAATGGGCTGCTGGATATGCCGATCGTTTTGGGTGTACTTTCATTGATTTCGAATCAGAGGAAAAGACCCGTCACCCCAAGCAGTCTGCCTACTACCTGGATCGTCTGTTTAAGCACCTGGTTCGTGAGCAATAGACTTTGATTTGAATAAATTCACAGTAGCAGTACCAGACTCGTTTGGCCGAATGTCTAGAGCTTTATAGCATTTTCGAGTAATCAATGTGAGAGACTGAGAGCACTCAAGTGCTTGAGTATTGCATTCCCTAGTACAATATAATGTACAGGATTCCTACCAGTAGTAGGTACCTCGGAAAGTATTAAACTCCGACTTCAGTAAACATTAGAAATAGATCCAACTTTTATGAGCCTCAAAGCAAATCATTAACTGTCCATCAATCGCGACAAATCGACTAGGAACGCACAATGCGCACTCTCAAGTGCTTAATTCTGGACGACATATCCATTGATGTTATTCGAAGCATTGATCTCTCCCTGTCCCCCGACACTTCTGGAAGATCCAGAGCATCTCCCCGAAGAGTACGTAGCGTATACCTGGAGGACTTCGGCGCCTTTGGATCCGTACCAGCTGATTTCGGCACCCCGGGGAATGTAAAGAGGTTTACAAGCCTGGGTACCAGTCTGTTGGATGTTTATCCCTGTGTTTGTTCTAAGCTGCCAAGCTGAAGATGTGCTCACTAGCATAGCTAGGAGGGAAGCTGAGGCGAAGGAAAACTTCATTCTGGATTCTGTCATCGATGGATTAGTTCGGTCGGATGTTAAGCACGGGCTGGTTGCAATTGTAGTCATACAAGTACTAGTGATTTTGTAAAGAATTTGGAATCGGTAGAGGTCAAGATTTGACTCGGTTGTACATTGAATTGATACAGGGACAAAACTCGAAGAATTTGAGCCTGAGAGCGGTGCTAAATATTGACGATTTGAGCTCATGATGTCATTATTCAAGTCGCTCGTGTGTACTAGTAAGTGTTGAGTAATTGTACTCGTAAATACGGGACAGACCCATGAACTTTCTCGTATTTATTTCCGTCTTCTATCTATGCCATGGGAGACAGCTGAGTAGTCCCTATCTGGGGTCACGAACGGTGGGTACTTGTGGTTCATGCAGCGGTCGGACCGAAATAGGCCAGCTCTAGCCCCGAATAGGCCTGTAAGCTGTCATCGGCGATCCATTGAAATTTTCTTTTACCCCATGCCTCTAACTGTTATAATAATATTTTGCTCAAGGTTGAATCATCAAAAAGGCCACTTGGGACGTCCCGGCGTTGATGAATAAACAAAAAGAAAGAGGCAAAAGGAGATGTATCATCCAACACGAGCTTCCCGAGGCCGATGGCAACGACGAACTCCCAAGGCCTCCATCCATATAGATATGGTAGTTAGTAGGCAAGATAAGTTGCTACTACAGATCAATTGATTGGGATCGTTTTCTATCACTTCTACCATTGAGGTTCAAATTTTGGTCATCATGTGATTTGATGCGATCATTTGAATTGTTTGGAGTAGGCAATCATTGAAAAGGTCCACGGGTTTTCTTCATTCTGTTTTTTTTTTTTTTCCTCTATTTTTTTCATATAAATTTGGAATCATGTCTCTGATCTATAGAATATGCCCATATTTAGTATACAGGAATAGCATCCACCTTCCTTTCCGAGAAAATGTATGAGATAAGAGTCAAGTTGCGGCAGGTCATTGCGATAAGGCCTATCGGCTAAACCCCGCTTGACTCCAATTCTCGGCTCTACTATTGACCCCAACAATGAATAGGTGCTCAGACATTTAAAAGGAAACTTACTGCCAACTTTCTGACATTTCGGCATTAACGAGTCTACGTTGAGGAAATTTATCCAAACAACAGTCATGCATGCAGAAGAACCAATAAGATTAACGCTGAGGGGAAGCCCTCGAGAGGTACACTTTTAAGACTTCTACCCCCGAAAATAAGTCTACGTAAACAAATCTAACTCTGGAACCATTCGTGTGCTTGGCATTAGATCGGAATCGAACATGGTCGCTTGCTACGAAACCAAATCCGCAGCCAGATAAGCATCTACGAGGCCATGTTTCAGTACACCTCCAAGCTATCCTGGTCAGAGGTCCGCGAAATCGCAAAGGACTTCCAACCGGCACTCATCAAGCTTGTCCCAGATATCTATACCGAGATGGAAGGGATCGCCGAAGGAGCGGAGCTCGATTCACTCGACATCGTTGCGCTCAACTGCCGTAGCGAGATTGCTCTCGGGAAGTTCTCTGATGGCTGCACATCGCTGTGCTGGAAGAAAAGCGATACCACACGGGTGCTTTCTCAGAACTGGGACTGGGCTACCCCAGTGGGACAGAACCTAGCCATGGTCTCAATTGAACAGACCGGAAAGCCCACGATTTATATGGTGACAGAGGTATGACATTTCCCTTCGGCTCATTGATTCATGCACCTGTGGTATCGGATTTCCTCCCAAGTTCTGTTCGCTGATTAAATGTTTTGAATGTGCAACAGGCGGGTATCGTGGGTAAGATCGGCTTCAACTCCGCGGGTGTCGGCGTTTGTTTGAATGCCATCCGTGCCAAGCCAATGATTAGCAGCAAGCTTCCAATCCACGTTGCCCTGCGCCTGTGTCTGGAAAGCGTATCGGTAGAGGTTGCGGTGAAGACTCTCGAGGATCTCGGGGGTGTCGCTTCCGCTCAGCATATCCTAGTTGCAGACAGCAATACTGCATTAGCACTTGAATTATCTCCTGTCGGCAACAAGTATATCTCGGAAGATGAATTTGGGCTTATCCCACACACAAACCACTTCATCGAAAATCAGTATGTTGAAGAGCCAGCTTGGCTGTCAGGATCGCCTATCCGTCTGAAGAGGGTGAAGGAGTTGGCTTTGGGACTTATTGGACGAAACGGGGGTGCTATTACGCCCTCCCTTCTGCGGACTGAAATCTTCTCTGACACTTTCAATAAACCTCAGGCAATCTGCTGTCAAGACAATGAGTCCGTTCATGTTTCAACTCGTGGGAAAACTCTGTTCAATATTGTTATGAATCTGGAAGTTGGAAATGTGCATGCTGAAGTTGTATTCGGGCGTCCTGGGTCTGGAGAAGAAGGATCTGTCCTTCAAATGCCATGGATATGAAAATACTATAATCTACTACATACATTCAAATGTTTGCTGCTTTATCTGAGGTGGACCCGCTTTTATAATATATGGGTGTTTCAAATGTGCTCAAATCTTCTTTCTAATGTTTACAAAGACCAATAGTACTATGTACTAGTAGTATGAGATCAATCTCTTCTATGATATGCTACAGAATGCCACTCGCACTAAACTAGTTGCTACTATATTCACAGTATTCAGATAAGTCGTATTTTCAAAAGCAATGAAGTATTACTCGTAGAGCATTTTTTTCATGGACCTGATAATACGGACGTTTGCGACATTCTTTGTCAATGAGTTCCGGTGCGATGTATACTGCTCGATGATCAAATAGCGAGCCATTCGTGTGTAGTAGGTAATACGTTAGAGGGGAAAACACCATGCCAACGATGCGACCAAAAAGTATAAATTCGTGATTTTCAGACCTCGGAACGATCCCTCGTCGACTCCCCAACTCTACTTTTTTGAAACCCCTACTCGCACACCAACTCTACCACTTCTAAACCTACGCCCCATTACCTTCCGGTAAGTCAATCCACCAACAATTTTCCAAGGATACCTTTTTTTTAATCTATAATGTATGCTCATCATGTTTCACTTCAGATCAAAAACCAATCTGACAATCATGGACCCCCGTCCTTTTGGCCCCATAGAGCCTACCTGTGAATACGAGTTCCGCAAGCTCGCCATCGCAAAATGGGAGGTTTGCTTGGACCTGCTTATGAAAATGATTCAACACCTTGTCCTCAGCATGCCAAGCAAGATTCATATCCGCTTCCTTGTTGACTCCTTCCACTCAAAGCTGAGAGAGGTTAATCGCATGGTTCAAAACAACGACCCGGCCGCCATGGACGGCTTCCAGTTCTTCCATGAACGTGTCAACCGCAACTACTCAGTCTTTGCCGCATATGGCAACTGCAAGGCTACGGAAGTTGAACATGATTTGCGCGCCCTGCGACGTGTGATGCTGGAGGTTATGCGTGGTGAGGACTTTCCTTTCCGTGCCTAGGCAACCAGTGATTATCTGATCGACACCGGATAGCCGCATTGCTGTCTGTCTGTGTCAAGCAATGCCTTTTGTATACTTAACCACTGTTCTTGCATTGCTGGTTTGCTGTTGTTCCGTTTTGTTCCTCTCTTGATTTGTCTCTGCTGTCTTTGTTAGCTTGTCCCTTGTGCTGCCTGCCAGTCATATGGCGTCTGCTAGGGACCGGGGAGAGAATCTTCACAAGAGAGTGTCGAGGATTCGGAGATCTCTTGGAAGATCTCAGCCTAGTATCCAAAGAAAATACAAGTTCATTCTTGTTCCATTTCCCAGCCCCCTTTCCCGCTATTATAGTAGATAACAGGTGTCATGTAGTGCCAGCAAGGTCAACAAATCGAAGGATAACTGACTGTATTTGCAGTCAAAGAGCTCCCTATATCACAGGGCTCTTGTTGCGTCACTTTCTACCGGTCTTCTGCATGAACAGAGGCAGGTAGCCGCGTGAAAAAAAGGATGAGGTCAGATCTATGAGAAGGTTAAGGTTGTGGTCCGTGCGCAGAAATAAGGTACGGGTCCGTGCGCATCGAACCAGAAATGGAAGGACAGAATCTTCTATTTTATCTTATCGCATCTTATCGGCAGCATCATCCGCTGGGTACTATCGCTCGCTCGAGGAATGCCAAGTGCATCCCAGTTTTTCCTACACCTGAGGTTGCTTGGAGGTTTCCAAGTCAGGAGTCAGGACATAAGACGATCCATTCTCCTTTGCTGATTATGAGCTAGGATCTTTGATTACAACTCCCGCAAAGCGCAAGGCACCTTCTTTAGTTTCGGTCTTGGCAGCACAATCGTCCGAAGTCAAAGATTCGTATCAAGATCGCCGATTTCGCTACCGAACCACCCCTACTCACAACTTCAAAATATCGGATACGGGAATACTGGAGGGCGTGGGGGATCGGGGAGGGGAGACAAGCCGAAGCACCGGGACGCTATTTTCTTTTCGGGAAGATGGAGACGGGACCATACGCTGCAGAAAGACGTGATGAATGAGGCCGACAAGGAGTTTTCTTCCTATGATTCCCAGGTTGATACGCACTATACGCTTTCACTACACGACTGAAGACATTGCGGCGCCAATGACGTCCATATCGGCCGGTTCCCTGACTCGTTGGGGATGCTGGATGATCGGGCGGGCTTAATGGCCACGGGGGGGGGGGGGAGGCGCCGAGTCTACCACAGCATATACTCGGGAAAGGTTTCTAATTACGGCCACGCATGGGATTATAAAGGACATGCGCTGGAAGATTGGACCCATGAGCGGATCTGCTACAACTTCCACTACTGCAAGTGGGAGAAAACGGATACCAAAGACGCCTTGCCATGTTGCTTCCATTTTACCTCCCCAAGAGCCGAGCTCTTCGGTATATGTCCCCTAAGGATAAGACTCGGCGGGTGACAAGCCTTGAATGTGCACCAAAAGCCACCTCAGATGCTGCAAAGTGAGTACGGCACAGTCGTCTCCGGCGTAGAGCTGGCGACTGTCCACGTAGCAACCTCCTGCTCGCGCATCTCCAGAGACCATTTCTTTATATCCTCTCGACTCGATTGCGGTGGGAAGGGGCGGTGTTTCGCTTTTTGCTTCAATAACGAAGGGCTGTGCGACCTTGATCGCTTGGGGAAGTGTTTTCCGTGTTTTCCGGGCCTGCGACTGGTCAGTCATTATGTCTGTTTCTGCCCAGTTTAAGCGGTATGTAAGTGAGGGGATCTGAGTAGATGGAAATAAGATGGCGCAGAGGGGCGCGTCGGGGAGGTCTTTGATGTATCGATTGGATAGATTTCCTATGTTTGCACTGTTTGTGTTGTTCTCCGGAGTCCGGGGCTGTGGGCTGTGGGCCGCGCGGTCCACCAGCACTGTATAGTTCTGGTTCGTCCGGGTGTTTTAAAGTGAGCTGAGAATTCCATTACATACTACTAGGCACAACTGGTTTAATACAAGCAATTACTGGACTAGTGAGGGGTAATAAATATGAGTACTATTTGCAAGCTCGGACTTAGCAGGAACGCCTTGGAAAATACCGACCAATCATACCTATCACCGAGGCAGATTATTTAGACTATTTAGAAACGGAAGCTCGCTTAAGAGAGTTGTTATCTTGGGTCTCAAAGTGAAATTTACATTAAAGGGAAGCTCAACTTGAACTGAGTACTATAGAGTAAAGTAAATGAACTAATCTAGCGGTATTATCTTTTTAAAAAGAGAAATCGATCTACAGAGCATATGGCCCAGGGAGAGGAACCCTTGCAACCCCGCATACGCTGACTGTAAGATTGACAATCACTAGCGACTGACTGGTGTAACCGAGCTCCACCTGAATGCTTGGAAGTTGGGGGTATCCATGTGCATAGAAAAAAAAAAACATCAAAATCGTCATTTTTTAGGTCGATCACGCCAATACTGGCGTTATCAGTTCACCGTCTTGAGTTATCCTGCGGTACGACATCAAGGAGGGGGCTTGCATACCACACTGCGGTCGACGGCACTAACCTAATGACGAGCGCGCTAGCAAGTAGTAGATCCATGTAAATCATTCCCATGTCTTTATTAAGACCAATGTCCCCCAATATGGGCACTAGCAGGAGACTCGACTTTTCTGCCTAAACGCTACTCTACTGTGATGGCAATGGCCTCCACCACTGATAACCCCGAAACAGAGTCTGTGGCAAACTCAACGGAGCATGATCCTCTGTTGGACCATCCGGGCGACGTCATCCAGCAGCAAGAGAATATATGGCTCAATCTTGTTACAGGTGAGAGCTAGTTAAAAGATTTTTCTTTCTCAAATAAAAGTACTAGTAATAACTGATGGTTTCTGACTGATTAGATTCTGCTGGTCTTGCGCAAGTTGGCATTTTTGTGGTAAGTCTTACCTTGTGGGGAATTTGCAGTATACCGTGCCACAACAAGCATCACCGTAACACGTCGAAGTCAGATCGTTGACCAATTCTTTTCTCTAGCTTGTCGCCCTCGTCTGGTCTAACATCCTAGCTCAACCAATCATCCTGTTTACGGCCCACCCAGTAAGTCAAGTGATCCAGGCTCTTCTGCACAGTGAAGAGAAGAAAATCTACTAACAATTACTTCTTCCACAGCTCCTCGCCAGCTCAGGTCTTTTACTCCAAATCCAAGGAACACTCATCCTACAACCTACGGCATCACCGTCTCAAAAACGCATCGGGACCCGCATTCACTACACCATCCAGCTGCTGAGCACCATCCTTTTCCTCAGCGCCTTTGTTGTCATCGAAGTCAACAAGGGTTCCCACCCCCACTTTACCTCCACACACAGCATCCTCGGTCTCCTAACTGTCATCTTTGTCGTCAGTCAGTCTGCCTTTGGCATTGTTCAATACTTCCTGCCACGGGCCATCCTCGGCAGCGTCGATAGCGGAAAGAAACTCTACAAGTACCACCGATTGAGCGGATATGTGGCGCTGTTGGTGTTGGAGATTCCGGCTGCGATCTGGGGGGCGACGCAGACGGGATACAGCATAGCTTTCTTGCATATCCCACTGTGGGCCGTGCTTACTGCGTCCGCTGCGATCATAGTTGGTGTGGGTGCCAGGATTAGGAAGCAGAAGTTGGGGCTGTGAAGGGTTTCCATTTGATTTGCATCTTGAACTGGCGGTTGCTGTGATTTTCTGTTCCGGCGCTTGCAAGCTTGCCACCTTCTGGTGCAGTCAAAGCCTCTGCGTACTCATAGGAGTTCGTTATGCTGAATGATATGGCAGTTTTAGTGTTTTATTTGGTATGAAATTACGAATCCTGGCAAACAGCTTCACACTGATGGGCCGATGGACCATGGCTAACAGAACAACTTGAGGTGCGAAATTAGGATCATGGGAGATTACTGAAAAATAACCCTGAGTTATAGTGTCTTGACTGCTTCACCTCGCAAAATATGGCCAACATCATCAAATATACTAGATAGCATCATGTAAACAATAGACACTTCCCTATAGTTCGGGTGGACTGATTAGGTGGTCCAATCCCGAAATGCTCCACAGAACAGCTAATCCACTCCCGCCAATTTCTCCAACTTCATTTCTTTCACCTTGTCACATAAGACAACATGGCGCCCACAAGCCCTTATATCTGCCTCAATTGCAGATGGGCTCCCCGATACAGATTAAATCAACTTCAACTCCGTCGCAATTTCTCTTTCTCTCCGCGTCACCACCAAATCCTACGACCCGCAACAGCCCCAAAGCCAACACCCGACCTTAAACACATCCGCCAGAATCCAGAGCGCTATGCCCAAAACTGCATTGAGCGAAACTATGCCGGTCATGCAGGATATCCTTTGCAAATCCAGGCTCTCTCCGAAGAAGCGCGACAACTCGATCATGACCTGAAGACACCCCGGTCCCGCGTCAAGCAGCTCGAAAAAACGATCGCAAAGCTCTCAATCGCCGCTCGCGCTGGCACAGAGACCAACAACGAGACAGGAGACAAAGCGGAGCAGACAGATATTGAGGCCTTAAAAGCAGAAGCCCAGCAACTAAAAGACGAATCAGCCGCTATGACAGCCCGCAAGTCAACCTGCACCGAAGAAATCACCCGCCTAGCTCTATCCCTACCCAACCTCTCCTCCTCCGAAACACCAGTCGGCGACATCCCCCGCTTAATAAACTACCTCAACTTCGATCCCGCCAACCCTCCAAAATGGACATCCCAGTCCCCCTCCGAGCTCCAGGCCCGCTCCCACGTCACAATCGGCACAAACCTCGGCCTCCTCGACTTCACCAGCTCCGCCACAACAACCGGATGGGGCTGGTACTTCCTCATCAACGAGGGCGCAATGCTTGAACAAGCACTGGTGCAGTACGCGCTAAGCGTCGCGCGCAGACGAGCCTGGAAACCCGTTTCGCCGCCCTCGATCGTGTACTCGTACATCGCCGAGGCGTGCGGGTTCCAGCCTCGCGACCAGCACAACGAGCAGCAGATCTGGGGCATCGAGCAGAGCGAACGCGACCGCGACAGCAAGCCTCAGCGGTCGCTGACGGGCACAGCGGAGATCCCGCTGGCAGCCATGTATGCCGGGCGGGACATCGGGGCGAGCGAGCTTCCCTTGAAGCTTGCAGGATCCAGCAGATGTTATCGGGCGGAGGCCGGGTCGCGCGGCGTGGATACGAAAGGATTGTACCGCGTGCACGAGTTTACGAAGGTGGAGCTGTTTGCGTGGGCGGATAACGTCGATGTCGACTCTTCTGCGAAGGCTAAAGCCGAGGCTACCGCTACCGCTTCGTCGGATGACCTGTTCGCCGAGCTACTGGATATCCAGACGGAGATTCTGACGTCCCTTCATCTGCCTTGCCGTGTGCTCGAGATGCCTACGGGTGATTTGGGTGCGAGCGCGACCCGCAAGCGGGATATCGAGGCTCTTTTCCCGTCGCGGCTTCGTTCGTCTGCGTCGTCGGATGTCGTGGACCCTGCGATCCAGGAGCTCGAGTCTGCCTGGGGGGAGGTTACGTCTGCTTCTATCTGTACGGATTATCAGAGCCGACGACTTGCGACTCGGGTCCGCGGCGGTGCGGCGAAGGACTCTCGATTCCCGCATACTGTGAATGGCACGGCGATGGCTGTGCCGCGGGTTTTGGCTGCTATTTTGGAGAATAGGTTTGATCCTATACGGGGTGTCGTGGTTATTCCGGAAGTTTTGCGCCCGTGGATGGACGGCATGGAAACGATTGGGGCTAAGCAGTAGATGCATTTCTCCTGTCTTTGTATATTACGACAAGTTTCAAACATTTGGGGTGTGTACCTATATGTATTCTATCTAAAAATCATACTTATGTTCATTTTCATGTTCGCTTCGTATCAATATTGTAATCTCGAACCTTTGAAAATGAGTTGTTGATAGCTATCTATAGTAATAACCTTGGGAGTAGAATCTTGAACAAGTAGGTAGAATAGAAACAGGTATAGGGCCTTGAAACCTTGAAAGCCGTCGATCAACACAATTCATAAAGTCATAGCACATTAATTGAAGGGCAATAAGGACATCGCATCATCGGAGAAAATCAACACGTAGCAGTAGAACCAAACCGACCTCCATCCTAGAACAGGACCAGCAGTCCAGAATAAGAGGATTCAATATAAAACCAAAAACTCCAGTATCACAACTCCAAAGTGTAATCACACAGGTATCTGGAGGGCAAACCGCCATTTGGCGCCAAAACAAAACAAAACAAAAATCATAAACGGACATATAAAGTCTGTATCCACATGTGCAACTAAGCCCAAGGCAGATCGGCCTCTTCAACCCGGGTGCAGGTCAAATATGGCAATCCTACGTCATGAGTATTCTCAATAGTCGCAGAAGTAGCACTTCCCTGCTCCGCGGCCCCTTTCAGTTCCAATTCAAGGAAGTTCCGCATAAGTGGTTTGACGATTTCACGGGCCAGCCGCTTTATCTCGTCAATCTTGCGCTCGAAACGTTTCAGTGTATCGCGGTTGTAAAGAGAGTCCGCTGATTGGGTGGGGTGGATCTTCAGAAAGCGTTTCAGCTCATCATGGGGCAAGTATGCCTGCGACGAGGAAGAACCAATCAGTCGATAAACGCGAGCAGCCGGATCGGGTGGGGCGATTGGTCTTGATGAGCTGGTCTGGGAGCCTGGTCCAGGTGTTGGGGGAGGGTTGGTTGCGGAGTTCTTGAGGATTGGAGCAGGAGGAGGAGTGGTACTCTCGATGAGCCACTGGCGGAATAAAGAGACGGCTAACCAGTCTAGATATGCGTTGTTGGGACCGACCCGCTCACCACGAGAGGTCGTCAGGGATAGACGAAAGAGTTTAGACTCAATGCGAGCTTTTAGCTCCTCCAGGTCTTCGTATTTATCCTCGATGAGATCGAGAACGGGGTTCGGCAGCGGAGCGTATGAGCCGTTACGTAGATTTGGCAAGGCGGCAGGCCATTGGCCCACGACATGGATGAGAGCCTCGGAGAAAATAACCCGACTGCGGGCCAGGTATCCTAGTTTGAGATAGCTGGGAGGATACTTGGCGATTTGCTTGAAAAGTCGCGAGCCGAATCCCAGAAGATGATGGTCTACTCGTGGACCAGTGACCGGCAGCGCATCGTACATATCTGCCAAGGCTAGGAGAGACTTGCACTCTGTATATGCTGTAGCAATATTCACGCTGTTTAATATCGGCGGATGATTATAGAACATGCGAAAGAGGTTCTCATAATCACGAACTAAAGGATCGGCGGCATTGCGGTCTGCCCCTTCAGTTCGTGGAAGGTGCACTACCGACTGCATGCCAGTCAAATTGGCCATGGATCGGAAGTAGCCCGCCTGTGCATTGGATGGTTTGGTCATTGTGGGAGGGAAGGCAGTTTGATCGCCACTAGTGAACATGGGCGCGTAGGTAGGTTGCTACTCGCGAGTTTGCCGTTAGTTATGAGCCCTGGATAACAACCCCTTGCGACTCGCGACTACAACTGGGGAAGGGGTGTGACCAACCTTCTGGACAAGTATGGGCTCTTCATCTTCGGCCCTATTCTGCCAATCCAACTCATACCTCCATCGTCGTTTTCCCCCTGGCTGCGATGATCCTCCGTTATCCGACTGCGCAAGTGTAGATCCATTGGATAGAGAGTCCTCCTCGCTCACCCGAGACAGTGTCGCATCGGGCTTCGAGGGTCCAGGTGTACTCCGCCCTCCCCATTCCTCATTTGTGCTTGCCTCGAAGAAGCCCGAGCATTGCGCTAGAATCAACCGATGAAGGAGATATCGTTTCTCTTGCGACCCAGCACGGATCGCGATCTCGGTGTCGCCGGTATACGTGAAGATGGGGAAATCGTTGGAGGAGGTGGAACCGGAGCCGCCATGGTGAGAACGACCCGGTCGATGACGGCGGGTTGAGTGGGAGTGGCGCGATACGACGGATGGGCTACTCTGGCTTGGTGCGATGCGATCGACGATTTGAGCTTGGGACACCATTGCGCGCGTGGAGTTCTTTGTCCTTTTCTTCACATATAGATCAGAGAGATTACCTCGTTAACAACGAAGAGATGCGCCGGTGATCACCATCTATTCGCGCCGACTGATATCTCCATTTAAAACCATATAAAACGTGGGAAATAAGGGTGCGGGTGGGTGGATTAAGGGTGGTTGTGGTTAGAGAGTTGTCGCGACGGTGGATTTTAGCATTTAATCCCCGCGATCTCCAAACAATGGTTATAGATAGATTGCACAAATCCCCAAAGGGCAAGAACAGGTTTGGGTGATGGAAAGTTCCAAGGTTCGGGTACCTGAAGGAAAGGAAAAGCAAGCAAAAGGTCAAGTGAGTAGAGTAGGCACTGGAGTAGGTACTACCTTCTCTCCCTAATTCCTAAGGCCGTTGTTTTCCCCCCCCCCCCCGTACACAAATCGTAGTACAGGCCGCAAGCAGCTGAAATCGCAGTGGCGAAAAAGAAAAAGAGGTCACTGCAAGCTGAATGGTAACTGTAATTTGCACTATGATCGACAAAGAATTCCCGGAAAATAGACCTTAAAACATACTACTACATTAAAGTAGGCCGAGTTTAGTAACTTGGTAGTAGTATAATGTATTTAGTGAAGATAAGTACTTGGGACTCTTAGAAGTCTGGGTTCGGCGGAGTTCGTCGGGACTTGCCTTAACTGTGAAGCCCCTCCTTTCCCCTCGATCTCCTTTTTTTTTTTTAATCTAAATTTTTCTCTCTCTTTCTTTTGCAATCTCTACGTGGTTCTAAAGTCTTCCTGAATACAATACAGGGCAAGACAGAACTCATCATATTCTTTGTTTATACTCCGATCCCTTGGTTACCTTGAGACCTATAGGGCAATTTTGGCTTTATACGAGAGAGGTCACACGATTCCCGGCTATTGTCACACTCCGGCTTACTTGGACTCGACGCCCAAAAAACCGCCCAACAAAATACAAAAATCCTGGCCTTGAACGCACATTCTCGGGACAGCTTCTATAGCTGTCCCGATCTGACCTCGCTGCAGATTTCTTCCCCCGTGATCTCTGCCGGCGGTTTCGATCACGACGTAAATACTGAGCCCTCTCGCTCGCCCTCCCCCGACCCGCTTGCCCCGCGCGTCAAAAAACTGTCCAGTCGACAAACCGTCTCACGCAAAGCGCGCGGTGTCATCGGCAAGGTTCGCGCATTTCAACGGATCGCCGCAGCCAAGATGGCGCATCCGACCATCAAGATCGACACCAGTGTCCAGAGCACCAAGCGCGGCCTGCCCGATAACGATGCGGGGGTTGACATGCTGAGCGAGCAGGGGAATCCCCGGCTGGAGACAGGAAATACGGATGACGTCCCACCGTTCCTGTGCCAATCGGTGACAGGTAAGTCAAGTGGTGTTGCATGCGCCTATAGGAGAATTCCTGCTGCACGTGGGAGGTATGACGAAACTGACCGCTTCCGTCTCCCATCTAGAGATTCACGATAAATTTGAAGATCTCGAATGGATACAGAGGACCCGGATGTCGGACGCCGCAACTTCAAATGAACCTTCTCATCCCTTTGCCATCGAGACTGATCCGAAAGTCAAGTTGAGGAATCGGTACCTGAACGTGCAGGCGTATGCGAATTATCGCATTCATATGCAGGTTCCCGAGGGCGAATGCGATTTCATCAACGCGTCTCCCATCATCCTGAGGGACTCTATAACGAGAGAGGAGTTGAAATACATTGCGACACAGGTGCGTACTTGGCTTACTCTCTCCACATGGCTGTCTTTGTTTTATCTTTGTGGTCTAACAAAATTCGCAGGGACCCAAGCTTGGCCAACTTTCACACTTTTGGCACATGGCTTTCCATGAGAGCAAGGATGTCGGTGTCATAATTATGCTCACTCAGACCTTTGAAGCAGGGCGCGAGAAATGCGCCCAGTATTTCCCATTGGATTCAAATCAGCCCACAATGGATATTCTGCTCGAAGACCCATTCGACGCCTTTGTGCGCGATGAGGCTCAACCGGACGACCAACCCCGTATCATGGGGAAAGTGACGCTTTTGGATTCTTTCTTTGACGAAAACTCCTGCTCCGAAGTTCGCAAACTGGAATTGACTCTGGGATCCGAGTCAAAGATTATTTGGCATTTCTTGTTTGCCGGCTGGGCAGATCACTGCAAGCCCGAGGGGCAGGACCGACAGGGATTGTTAGAACTCATTAAGCTATCTGCCTCTAAATGCGACTCGGACAACCCACGGATTGTGCACTGCAGCGCCGGCGTTGGCCGGACTGGAACCTTCATCGCCCTTGATCATCTCATGCGCGAACTCGAATCGGGCCAGTTGCTGCAGGTAACCGACACCGAGACCGATCCGGTTTATGAATGCGTCAACCAGATGCGCGAGCAGCGCATGATGATGGTCTACAATGAACTCCAGATGCAATTCATTTACGAAGTGCTCCGCGAACAAACCGATCTCAAGCTGGGCAAGTACCCGCCCGAGTCACCAGGAAGCCAACATGAGCCACGATCTGCCAAGGTACGCAAGTTGAGTGACTTGTCGGCTTATATACCCGCATCGAAGCCCGAACTAGAACCCGCCCCGGACCGGATTCAGACTCCGCCGCGAAGCTGGTCTGGAACTCCCGAGGTCTCCGATGACGAGGAGTCGTGATCTGTGCTTATACGAGTTTTTTGCGTGTTATATGTATTCTTCTTTTATCCCCTTTGCGATGTGATCATGACCCCCCTGGCTTCTCGATCTTGAGTTCTCTTACTGCATCATACCATGGCATCCGGTGTTGTATCGGGTTTGTTGTTAATTGTATTCAGTTGCCCCAATTGTTTAGCTGTTTAGCTGTTTTTCTTTTACTTTCTTTCCTTTTTTTCCATGCACATGTGCTCGCTTACTTGCAGAATTTCTGCTCGCCCTATACCTTTCCCCCTCGACCAATACCCCCACGACAGCTCAATCCTTGATGCCCCTTGCGCCGTATGTAGTTCTACCTCCACTGGCTGAACTTCCCTAGCCCTCTGTTAGAATTTTTGTATATTACATGTAGCTCGATCAAAACCTTGCTTTTAAATCCATGGATATTTGCCAGTTACAACTTGAAAAAAGTACCTAGACCCTATGGATGCTCTCATCATATCTACTATGTATACCGGATATTTGAGTATTCCAAGGTTTTCGAACCACCTGCGCATTCTTTGAACAATGGATTCATTCAAAGGTATGTGGGGATATAATACCTACTAGTAGTAGGTATAATTCTTGACATCTTGATCCGGTGGCGAGTTGTATACACATGTGCATGTTCCAAGTACTCCAGTTCCTACAAAGTAGGCACATACATAATCTCCATAGCTACGACTGATCCGCCCATGCCGTAATCTCTTTTTCCCAAGAAACAATATGAGCGCCACGAGTGGATAGGCGGTGTTCAATTTCACGCTCAATCTCTATCGCCGTTTTCCCATCGCTGTTGTAAGTCGAATGTGCGCCAGAGAGCACAGTCACGTCAAACCCAGCAGCCAGCGCTCCTAGAGTCGTTGCCTCCACGCAAGCGTCACTCTGGAGGCCGAACGTAATGACCTCGGTGATATTTCTGTCGCGAAGCCTCTGAGCAAGATCGGGATTTGACTCGAAAGTGTCTCCTGCAATGATTCAATATTAACTACCCAAGGTAGCGTGAGTGATAAATTTAGGGGGTGTATATACTTGTGCGCTTCGCAACCAGTATCTCGTCCTCCCGGTCTGCGCGAGGAGGGAAGAAAAGCCCCCAAGGCTCACTGCCTCTCAACAAGGTGCCTCCCGGAGATTCCTCATGCTGTACGAAGACAATAAGACAGGGTGCTGGATAGTTGTTCTTCAAGTCAAGAGTTGCCCGAGTAGCCTTGAGGATTTCCTCGGATGCCCTAATGACCCGCTCAGGATTTGGAATGCGAGTTTTAGGATCGGCGATCAGCTCGTTCTGAATATCGATTACGAATAATGCCCTTTGAGGAGCCATTGCTGGGAGAATGAAGCCGGGATGGTCGAGTGCAAGACAATGGATAAAGAGAGACAGAGAGAAAAGTAAGAAGGAAAGAGGGGCAAGAGGATAAAAGTTCCGCGAGGCTTATGAAGTCAGTGGAGTCTAATTAAAACTCCCTGTGGTGACTCACGAGATTATTTGACTACAGACCTCGGCAGCCTGGAAGGCTCGCGATGGCTTTTTATCTAGTACTAGTAGTATGTCTGGCTGCAAATGCATCCATTCCAGCCCCAGGGGCGGAAATTCGTAGAATATTTGAATCACTTGCGTACTTCCAAAGTTCTCTTCATTTTCACAACTCATATGCAACTTACCTTGTCTGGTACTCATTGATCTAGTCGTAGGGTTTCAAGGCGTGATGGGGAGGTTTGTAGAAGAACATTCTGGATCAGTCGTTATTGCACATTGTCATTAGAACATGGTAACTGTACACTTCGGGACTGAGCCCGATCGGTCAGGAATAATTGCAAGTATAAACTGAGGTCAGACTGGAATAGATCCTGACAACTCTCTTCCAATCAACCAGCACCGACATCGTAGAAAAGATAAACAAAAACAGAGCGCTGTGGAACACTAAATATCTGGTATCGTACCGACATGAGATCAATCAATGTATCAATAATCATAGCAGGATGAAGGGTAGAACACAGCTTTGGATGAGACTAAAGAGCCTTCCAGCCGACTATGTTTTCTTCTCAGTCAATTCACTTCAATTGAAGAGATAGTCCATCAGTCACTGCGCTTCCCGGCATGTTCTAAGACCGGTCCCCCGCTCGTAGCGCTGGCTTTTCGGTCCTCATGGTAAGTTGGAGGAGAGTTGGGTTCAGATGGCCCGGGACCGTCCTCAGTATCCCAGTTATCAACGGCATTTTCGTCCCAGGTGTCTACTTCCCGCTCGAGGGACATGACCCCGGATTCCTGGGGACCGAGACCATCATCATCATCATCATGCACAGAACGGTCGCCCAGCGCAACTCCAAGCTCAACATCTTCCCCTCCTTCGGTCATTCCAAAGCGGCTCTTCCGGCGGCGTTCCAACATGCGACGATGGTACCAGCCGCAGAGGCCAACTGCACCGAGACTTCCGACCACATTCGCGACAATATCGAATGGATCAAAGGCACGGTCATTAGGGAGGAAACCTTGAATCACTTCCGATCCAACACTAAGACCAAGGGTGCAGACCAGAAGAGTCAAATGTAAGGTGCGTCGGCGGGTGGTATCGAGGACCCAGTAAAACGTTAGCGACAAGAGGAAGAAGGTGAGCAGGTGAAGGAATTTGTCATTTGGCTGTAGATTTGTGGGGATTGTCGAAGAGGCGCTGTGTGGAAGAAGACCGATGTACCCGGCAAGGATAATTAGGAAGACAAATGCTCCTGCAAATCGTGGTGTTTACATTAGCTTATAGAAAAAGTTGATCGTGCGATCGGAATCAGTTTACGTACCTGCGAACGGATAACGGATCCGCATCATGAGGTCGACAATTAGGAGAGTAGCGATATACTTCTGGTCGGAGGTAATGATTTCCCAACTATTCTGATGATATGCGTAATTCAGCTGTTGAGAGCTTGAAGTGGAGGTTGGGGAGAGCTTTGCGGAACGTGGATCAATTGGCCCCAGCTGCTGCCTTGTGCGTCATATGTGGAGAGATAACGGAGATGGAAATATGAGATGGTTGGATGATGAGGAAGGTAGGCACTCAAAGCATAACGAGTCAACAATCAACTCTCCTAAAAGAAAAAGAAAAGAGAAGAAAGAGAATAGAAGCTGGGGAAGATCGGAGTTATCAGATCTCTTGTATTCAAGTGGAGAGGGAAGTGAGAGTAGCCTTGCGATCAGCATAAACCGCCTAAAGCAGATTGTCTCTATCTGCCGCGACTTTCCGCCTTCACTCCTGCCGTAACTGTACCTCACCCTCGTCCAATCTTCCTTACAGAAGTTCTTGTCTTCTTCATCAAACCTCCCCTCCTCCCCATCGCTGTAGGCCTTTTCGATATCACCAGTCGCCTCGGCCGAGCGTGCGGTTTCTCTTGATGCCTTTTTCTCCTCCAAAAACAACTTCCTTGTGATTTCTGGGCCTAGTTATATCAACCGTGGAGAATCGAGTCTCGCCCGCCCCCAGAACCGGGGTTTTGGAGCGAGCATGTCGCTCGGTCACAACGCCTGGCCACCAGGCAATATCCGCCCTCCGGATGAACAGCAGGACTCTCCGCGCCCGGTCAATGGCTTGATAAAGACATTGTCTGGCTCGCGAACCCCTCAAACACGCGGCTCGGTCAGCGCCGAGGGCCCGAATGCCGGTAGTATGACATCCGAGCCGGATACCACCGTCGAAGAGGACCCGCGCATCGCTTCATTCCGTGAATTGTTCCGCAGCAGTGAGGCGAAAATCAACGCGCTTTTTTCGGGTCACTATACACCTGACGAATCGCCCGATATCGCGGTCGCGGAGATCGACCCGTCCGAGCTTGAAAATGAACGCGTCGATGCGCCGGCCGCTTCTGTTGCAGCACCCCCCAAGACCACCCGCAAACTTGACGACGACTACGACGACTACGATGACGACGATGACGCGGATATGATAGATTCGACTGAGTCGCCTTTGAAATTGAAATCTGTACCACCGTCGCAGGACGCCCATCTCGCTCCCGCATCCGCTCAACGTCCGGGCACGGCTGTGTCTATAATCGCCGATGGATCTAAAGAGTCCAAAAAAGAGACAGTGGAAGATATACGGAAACAACTCGAAGAAGATAAAAAAGCGACAGAGGAGGCTGCGAGGCGCAGCTTCCACACGCTCTTTTACACCCTTGAGAATGACCGAGACGCCATGCTTGAACAGCAAAGACTAGAAGAGTCTGAGAGACAAGTTGATGCAGAGATATCGGGACAAGCAAATGCCAATGGAAACAACGCTGCTGCTGGGTCGAATGGGTATAGCTCATTGAGTAATACCAACCTCGGAGCTTCCAGCTTAACCTTGAAGAATCTTATCGCCCGAATTGACAAGAAGCGCGACATGGTTCAAGCGTCTGATGCTGAGCTCCGAAGTTTGCTGAGCGAGGTGCGCAAGAATCGCAGCAAGTGGGCCAGCGAGGATAAGATTGGCCAAGAGGAGCTTTATGAAGCTGCGGAAAAGGTTCTGAGTGAACTCAAGGCCATGACAGAACATTCTAACGCTTTCCTGACCCGTGTCAATAAACGGGATGCGCCAGATTATTATACAAGTGAGAATCGCCTCCTGCCCTTTCAACAACCGCAAACCCCAACCTACGTTTATCATACTAATGTCTAATGCCAGTTATTAAACACCCCATGGATCTTGGATCAATGACCAAAAAGCTCAAAGGCCTGCAATACCGTTCCAAGCAAGATTTCGTGGATGATCTGAATCTGATCTGGATGAACTGTTTGAAGTACAACACGAATCCCGAACATTTCCTGCGAAAACATGCCCTCTACATGCGGAAGGAAACTGAGAAGCTCGTTCCCCTCATCCCTGAGATCGTCATCAGAGATCGGGCTGAAGTAGAGGCCGAGGAGCGTCGACTTCAGCTAGCAGAGCTTGATGGTGCCGAAGAAAGCGATGATGAGCCCATCATGTCTTCTCGCGGGAGGAAGGCTCCTGGTAAATCGTCCAAGAAAGGTACTGCTCCGTCCCGCAATACCCACAGTGGCTCTGAAGGACCTACGGGGACTGGGTCCAGTCAGCCCCCAGCACCTGCTCGTGCGGATTCGGACACCGCAATGGAAGCGAGTCAAAATGGGTTCGGTACCCCACCCCCTGGATCTCATACTCCTTCCGACCCAACAGTTCCCGGATTGGGCGCTGCAGCCAGCCAGCAAGATGATTCTATGGAAATTGACGCACCCATCGCGTCTGCCATGGTCCTCAGCGCCCTGGCAGGTCCCGGTGCAGAGTTGGAAGACCCGGAATACAAAGTATGGAAGCAAGTAACAAAGAAGGATCGAGCTCTCATTGCTGCGGAGCGGCATCGCCTTCTCAAAGGCGATAAGGTCAATCCAGATGAACCGGCCTTACTTCGAACAAAAGCCGGCATGCGACGATGGCTTCGCCATGAACGGCAAGCAGCCGTTGAAGGTGATAAGTTGCATGACGCCTCCCAGGGAATGGAACCCGAGGCAGCCGGGGAAACCCTTGCCGAAGGGATCGAGGGCGAGGAAGAAAAGATGATTCCTTATTATTACGACGTTATGTCGGGTGTGCCTGATCTTCCGGAGCGGTTGGCCTGGAAGGAGGATGCACAAGGCAATGTCGTGGATGCCACTGAAGAATACCTTAGAATCCTCCCCAAGGGTTCTTTTCTACAGCCCGACAGCAAATTGTCTCGCAAGATCGAAGCGAACATGCGACAGATGCAGGAAACCCGCAAGATCTGTTCCAAAGTAAGCATCGTGAAGCAGATGCAGATACAATCACAGGTATGTATAGCAAGCCACTCAATTCCCAACTCGTTCAACAAAATCTCATTGCTTTCCAGATGTATCAAAATCAATTCCAAAAATACAATCCGGAGCCTTTCGTGGAGCAGGATGTCCCACCTCATGTCATGAATGATAATGGCCCGGTTATTGCCCCCGGAACTTGCCGAGCAGCCCTGCAACGCTCTGTTGCCAAAATTTTCTATCACACTGGTTTTGAGGAATATCAACCATCTGCTATCGAAGTTGCAACCGAAATTACGTCTGACTTTTTCCACAAGATTGGCGAAACTTTCAAATCGTACATGGAGGCACCAAAAGTTCCAGTGACCGAGACTCCGGAAATGGCGACGTCGGCTACTGATTGGAAGTCAGCATACACTGAGCCAGAAATTGTACTTCATACTCTTTCTGGAGTTGGAATCAACATTGATGAACTTGAGTCTTATATCAAGGAGGATGTTGATCGACTCGGAACTAAGCTGTTCACAGCCCACGATCGTCTTAAGTCGCTTCTTACCGAACTTCTTCGCCCTGCGCTCGCGGATGGTGGTGAGGACGGCTCTAATGCCTTCAATGACGGGAGCGAGCAATTCGTTGGTGGTGATTTCGCAGAGGATATCGATGAGGACTTCTTTGGCTTCAAGGAATTGGGTCTCGATCGCGAGTTCGGTCTGTCTCATCTGAGTGTCCCGCTCCATCTCCTCCAGAACCGGATGTACAATGCGGCCCAGTCGCAGAATACGAACACCATTCAGACTATTACTGTCTACCCTTCACCACCTTCATATTCCCGTATTTCGACGAGCAGTCTATCCGAACAAATCGGCCTCATACAGCCCTTCTTAAAGGGCAAGCTCAACGCCAACCGCGACGAACCCCTTGTGGAAGATCTCGAGCTTCCACCAAAGCAAAGGCCAATGGCCGTTAAACCTCGTCTACCGGCCTCCGGCAAGATTCCACCCATGCCCGGTATCTCAGGGCCGACCTCCAGTCCCCAGAAACGACCTGCCCCTCCAAGTACAACGGCAGGTACGAAAGCAAGTGCATCGGAACCAAGCAAGAAAAAGACAAAGAAGAACAGTGGGGTCGCCCTTGATATGCCATTCAGTTTCGACGGAGAAGCAGAGCAGGGGTCTTCCATTGATGGAACTAAAGACTTTTCGACAGACCTCAAGCCAGATGGTATGGAAGGCATCGACGAACCCAACGTTTCGCAACCGGATAATGTGCCCATGACAAATGGTACCACCGCATGAGCTGATAAAGACATGCTGTCTTTACTCGGTTCTTCCCAAGGCCTCAGCTGATTTTTTTCCTCTCCATTTCGATCATATCATTATCATCTCTGCTCCCTTCGCTTCCTCTTTTTACCTTCTTATCTTATGCATTCCTTTCCTATCCTTACCATCTCTGTTTATCTTCCGGCCCGATTGCTGGTGATGAAGTTTAACCCCTTAGGATGGGATCACTATCCGTGATTCGAAACCCAGGATGCATTATATGCCCCCCATGAACGATGATACTACCCACCCCCCCAAAAAAAAAAAAAAAAATTCCAGTGTTAAAGGGCAGGACAACTAATCAGTCACAGTAAAAATCCATTTTTATGATTCTTCCTCCTCGGGATTGTTTCCGTTTCATGTATTATGTCGTCACAGCATTCTTAATATTGTATTGATCATCTTTTCAACCTTCGAACATCTTTTCTTCATGTTATGCTCTCTGCATGTACTATATCATATCATTCGCCAGTTTGGCCTTGTTTGTTTTTATTATTATGATTATCTTGGTTACAGCACTTGAGGCTTCAATATTGGTTATTTGATTTTTGCTTGTTGATGGCATTGATTATTTCAATCTATGAATATGAATCCATGGCGTGTATTCTTATGGGAAAAAAAATCTAAACCTATAAATAACATTAGCAAAATCAGGGAGGAAGCCAGAAAAATCACACAGCATGACATTGATTTAGTCCACATGGTTATGTATAAAGACAACATTTGAACATTTGAAACCAACATGAAAAGGAACTATGAGACACGATTGGTGTGGGACTGGCTTGAATAGTTGCACGGCTATAAGAGGAAAGAACCAGCTGGTTTGAATATCGACTATCCGAATAACAGCAATCGCAGATTCATTATCCACTTACAATTTATCTGCGTGACGTTGATATGTTTCTTATTCGGCCAGAAAATCATACATAGTAGCATAGATTCAAACATTTGAAGAAGTTTAGAACCACTAAACCTCAGAAGGTCAGAAATTAATCGCAGAATCATAGAATTCTCAAAACACCAAAAGCTTGAGAGTCAAGACAACACCAATATGTATAGACACAACAACTCAACTCAACACAACATTGAACACAGAGTGAGAATCGCACAGGAGCAGAGGCCGTAAAGGGTCCATCTTCACCACATAGAAGAATAATTCCCAATAGACTGACCCAGTTCATGTATACTCAAGAGTAGTATCGAGACTTATTTCTTCTTTTTTCGCCCCCTTATTGCTTTACTCTTGTACCGGGTTTTAAAATACAAAGAATAAATATAAAAATGAAAAGAAAGAAATGGATAGGAAAACGATACTAACAAAAAGAACGAAAAAACAGAAATAATCAGACATCTCTTTCCTTCCCCCTTCGCATGTCTTTGCTCTTTTTTAATTTTCCTATTTTTATCTTTTTTTATCTTTTTTTTATCTTTTTTTCATCTTTTTTTTCATCTTTGTTTTATCTTTGTTTTATCTTTCTTTTTTCCCCTTTTTTTTCCTATCTCTTTCCCCCTTCTTGGGTCCAGAGAATCTTTTCTTCTTCTTTTTCTTCTTTTTTTTCCCTTTTCCCTTTTTCCTTTTTTTTTTATTTTTTTTTATTTTTATTGTTGCAAAAAAAAAATTTGCTCAGAAATCAGGAATTCAGGTCCAATCAAACCCACCACATCGAGTACTGCAGGTCACCTCCCTTCATAGGGAGAAGCTTTGTCGGGAGTGTCTCGGGCTTATAGTTTGATCGATCATGAGGGATCTTAGGACCACTCTGGGGACCGGCCGAAGATGCGACATCCTCATGGTGACGAGCACGTGCAGTAATCAAGTGGGAGTAGTAGATAGCCGGATGGATCGATACGGGCGTAGTAGAACGGACATACTGGTAGCTCTGCTCATAAATCATGTTCTCGAGCTCTTCGGGTTTGTGGCCAATCTCATCAAGGACAACCTTGTAATGAACAGGCCGAGCAGTTCCCTGTAGAGCAGCGTGAGCGTAGAGAAGGAAGTCCCAGCCATGCGGACTAGTGACTTCACGGTCGATAAGAGTTCCAGGAAGAGGATTGCCGTTGCGGTCAGCGGCTTTGCGGTCAGTTGGGCTTGGGAATGCACGAAGGTGGTGACGCTTGTTGGCAATAACCACACAGAGCTTTCCTGGCCAATGAGACATATTGCAAGCAGTGGCCAAGACGGCGCGGATGGCTGGAACCTCCTTGTTCAGAACGCCGCTCACCTCTGACTCCGATACACCATCTCGGAAATAGTAAATCTGTTTCGGGGCTGCATTATTGCCCACGGTGCGGATCCAGTTTCTAAGCAGAGGTCCAAGAATACTGATCACGTTGTCATCGGTAATGATCTCGACCTTGTCACCATTGCACTGGCATCCGCCCATGTAGCTGATTCCACTGACATCATTAGAGATGCACATGGCCGCCAGAGACGGGGTCCAGACACCAAGAGCCGGATGTGTCACATCACCTCCGATGATGATAGAGTTGGGCTTCAGGGTTGATCCACTCGAAGTCGGAAGTACACGGTTGGTCACTCCGCCGAGCTTGGCGTTGACCTTCATGAGAACATTCGAATGATACTGGGGTCGGTTGTCAATGCAGCGCTGCGATTGCAGCACCTGGGAAGGGACTCCAAATCTGCAATCGGCAGACTTCTTGATCCGGAGGTAGACAAACGCATCTTTCGAAGGCACAATGATAATGAGAAGCTGTGGCTCAGCCTTCCATGCATCCTTTGTTCTCGTGTAAAGCTCACGCATTGCTTCGCCGATATCACTCTTCATGGGGAGGCTGAAGGGATTTTGTGTGATAAGCCCGCCGTGCTGCTTGTAGATTCTTGTAAACTGTGCAAGCCAGTCTTGGACCTGATTGTAGTTGATCTCGTTACGATTCCCAGTGAAGTAGCCGATTCCCCATGAGCTGAGAGGGGTCTTTTTGGTCTTGTAGAACTTCTTTCCACGAAGATCCCATTTAGCAGTTGTTCCCGGGTTGAGCTTACTACCACCTCCGAATTGAATCTCGGGGTTGGGAAGCAGACGAGCTTTGGCTTTGATCATGCTTTCCCCAATCCGAAGTCCGAAGTGTTGCAGGTTTGGGTCATTTTCATGGCTCAAAATATTTTTGCATTTCTTGATGTGTTCCAGACGTTGGGCGGGTTTTTTCGCAGTATACTTGATCATATCACCTGTCTGCTGGTCGTTCAACTTGAATGGCCATCGCTGGAGGTTCTTGATGACCAGCAATTCGGCGGGATAAATGACTCCTTTTTTGCTCATTTGGATAAGAGCCAAGAAGGGCTGCTCCAAGGTCATGTTATACTTCTCAAGGAAGTATTCTTGAACCGTCAAACTCCGAATTTTGTTAGTAGCCTTGTCGGTGATCTTCAGATTGTATTCAGCAGCACCGCCATCGATGAGACCTTGGATAATAAAGCTCTTGTCCTTAAAAGGGCATCCTTCGTAGTCTGGCTGGACTCGAAGGCCCTTGAGCATTTTGCTGAGCTTGGTGAATGCCGGACTGGCATGTCGAGCATTTCTAGCATCAATTTTGGGGCGAAGGATTTTGGTGAGTTCATTGTCGGAATTCACTTGACAAATTCCCTTCATAGTGCCCAGAAGACTGATCCGAGAGAAAAAAACTGCATGAGCAGTGTCGAGATTCAGAAGAAGACCATTGACGCAGGGTCGAATCATTTGAAAGATTCCACGATAGCATGTGGCCCCCGAGTAACCTCCGAGCGAGTAATGGAACTCATGCGCAATATCTCTGTGTGATTGGGTCTCCTCGAGGTTCTGGAAGAAGTATGCTCGCTTGTGGGCTGTGAACTCCCTTGTGGGCCAATCTCGAATCAAGTGGTCGAGGAAATCTGCAAGTCCCGGTCAGTATATATGTATTTGTAACAATCATTTAACGGAAAAAAAACATACTCAACGCCTCAATAACGAACTCATCCAGAGGATGTTTCTTCTGCAGCCATTCGGAGATAACGGTCAGATTGATCTTACGCCGAGGCAGCATGGTGAGAACGACCTCTTTGCCATAGAGATCCGTCTTGGTACCAGCAGCTCGGGTCAGACCACCAGTGTATTTGAATCTTTCATGAACACCCTCTGGGAGGTAAATGGAAGACCTTGGATTTTGATAAGCATCAATCAATAATAAAAAGTATCAATTTGGTCCAACTCACCAAGCGGTTCTTGCTCCATCGTAGATGGCGTCAGGAAGGCTGTTCTTACGGGTGTCACAGTTGAAGCTTCGCCGGAGAACGCGGCGATCCTGTTCAATGCCTGGCTTCGTTGTTTCGAGCTTAGAAACCACATTGACCTATCAAATGTGAGCTTGGTTGTTTGAAGTGTTGATTTACAAAAGAATAGGACACCAACCTCGTACTGGTAGACATTTCTGGTGGGGTATTTTTCGATCGGATAGGTGTTCATGGTCACATCGATTTCTTTGCCCGACTTATTGTAACCGACACGGGCAATGGGTCGAGTTTCGAGAAGCTAAACGTTGTTAGTTCAACAAATCCATTGTGTTGAGATTCATAGCATTCAACATATTTTAATCATCAGGCAGGACGATCAGATATAAAAGAATATACATAGCCGTGACTTACCATGTCACGGTCCTTGTTGGCTTGTGTGGGGGGAGAAGGGACGGGAGTGGGATGCTCCGTTTCTGGGGAAGTCGGCTTGGGAACATCTGATGGGTTGGAACTAACAGCCTCAAATGCAATGCCTGACAGGCCGGACGCAGCATTGTCAATGGGTCCACCTGCTGCTGGAAGGAGCTGGATTGCCTTCTCCTGGCCCTTTTCGTAAAGACCAGCGTATGAATCCATACTGGAAGTGATCTAAAGGAAAGCTTGTCAGTAAGATTGAAGTTGAGGGGGAAAGTCAGTTATATATGATTGCTGACCGAGGCTTTTGAAGAAGAGAGTCAAGAATAGAATGATGACAATGGAGAATCAAGAACAAGGTGAGAGAATGATAGAACAAGAAACGGATGAAGAAGAGAAGGGTGAAGAAGTTAGAAGGATGATGAAGATGATGAAGCAGAGAATAAATGAAGAAGAGGATAGCAGAGAAAAGGATGAAGAATGAAAAAAAAAAACAAAGAAACCTACTCAATGAGGATGAAGATATTGGGAGGACGAGAAGGAAGATCGGACGTGACAAAAAGGGTACGGATCTCGCTCAACCCCCACTTCGGACGGGAAGTCAGGGCAGAGGGCTAGGTTATGGTTTGTATCTCTGTAGGGCTCTCAGGGTGAAGCTTGGGATATTGGTGATGATCCTTACTCAAGTGCTGGAAAGAACAGAGAAGATTGACAATGAGGTTGAGAAAGAGAGGAGAAAAATCGAAATCCTGAATCATGGCATACTATAGTAAAAAGAAAAGTGTTCTCAAATTGGCTCGGGCAAAGTTATTTATTACTTGACAAACGAGATTGATGGTATTTTGTTATGGCAGGTACACAAGAACATTCATATGTTGTTAAGCGTGTTCATGTTCTCTACTTGAAGCCGTTTTTGAAACGAGAGCGTAATCTAACTAGGAATTGTTTAGTAAAATGAGGTTAAGACATTGTGATTTGTACAGAATTTCGAATCTTATATAAAACTAAAGCGTAAAATGTATAAAAATCGACTGAGAAATTGTGTCAAATCGATTGCTGACTTAGTGAATTTTGACTATTTTTAAAGATATAACTAGACAAAATATATAAATTGTGAATCTTATAAAAAATCGAACCCCAAAATGTATAGAAAATCGACTGAGAAATTACATTAAATCGATTACTTACTTAGCTCTTTAAAGATGTACTATAAACATAAAGTCTTATGAATGAATAGTGAATTTTGATTATTTTTATAGATATAACTAGATAAAATATATAAATTTTGAATCTCATAAAAAATCGAACCCCAAAATGTATAGAAAATCGACTGAGAAATTACATAAAATCGATTGCTTACTTAGCGCTTTGAAGATGTACTATAAACACGAAGTCTTGTGAATAAATAGTGAATTTTGACTTTTTTGACAGATATAAATAAATAAATAAAATATATAAATAATGAATATTATATACCTAGATAAAATTGATTTATTAATTGCTACTTTAAAAGACTTTAAGGGTATATCTACTCTGGATATAAAGCTTTGGGTATTAATAATGTGCCTTGGCTATTTTATTTTGATAAATATCTGTAGGTATCAGAATTTATTATAGAATTTATGAATTCTACATGAAATCAAATTGTGAAATATACGAAATATTGAATATTCAGATTTTGAATTACTAAATGTTTAACGAAAGAAGGCTAGAGAAAGAAAAGAGAAACCCGGAAGAAGTAGAATAATGGAAGAGAAGAATAAAATATAGAACTTGCAGGGCACGCAGACCTATATATGCGTGTGATCTACTAGGTACGACGGCCGATAAGGGCCCCTACCCTACTGCCAATTCCTAATTTCAATTTTTAACTTCATTACCCACCTTGTATTGTATTTACAAGTGTCATCACCGTGCTTGCGCGCGGCGACTGGTGTCAATCAGAGACCACAGCTGTGGCATTTTCTTTGGACCCACCTTGGGCCTCTCAGCCAATCAGGTACTGCAAAAAACACAGGATCGCGTATAGTAGAGGGCTGGATCCTATTTAGGAATATCTTAATCCTAAACCCCTTAAGCTTCATTTATTAATATTAGTAGCTAAACAAAGTAAGGCTATCTAAGGGATTCGGGCATATGTATGAGACATACTAGGTATCAAAAAAATAGAAATCACAGAAAAAATAGTGCATCATGTGACCCCATATTCATACTTGAGATTTAATGTGTAACATTGAAAGTGCAGCAATTCAACATATAATAGAGTTTAAGGATTCAACATATAATGGAGTTCAAGGATTTAAAATAGAAGAAATATAATCCATTCTTAAGGCTATTTTAAAGACTATTCTTAAGACTATTCTAAAATCTATTCTTAAGTCTATTCTAAAGTCTGTTCTCAAGTCCCTTCTTAAATCCCTTCTTAAGTCCCTTCTCAAGTCTATTCTCAAGTCTATTCTCAAGTCTATTCTCAAGTCTATTCTCAAGTCTATTCTTAAGTCTATTCTTAAGTCCCTTCTCAAGTCCCTTCTCAAGTCCCTTCTCAAGTCTATTCTCAAGTCCCTTCTCAAGTCTATTCTCAAGTCCCTTCTCAAGTCTATTCCCAAGTCTATTCCCAAGTCTATTCTCAAGTCTATTCTATTTGAAAGTGACCCGTATTTAGATCAAATCTCTTAAGATATACCTGTATGTGATAAATACAATACGGGCGGGAAACTTGAGGGTGGTGAAGTCATGTAGAAATTGAAATTGGGATGTGACCCTTGGGTGGCCCTTATGTATCGGCCGCCATACACCAGGTAACTGATCCCCCAGGCCTCGGGCCCTAGTCTGCATGTGAGCTTTATGACTTGAGTTCATGCCACCTATTAAAATCAAAACCGTTTGAACTTGACCCTGGAATCTTGAAATGTGTAAATTGTTGGAGTGACTTTAAAGCAGGACTAATTTTTATAGCAAAATATACTTCCTGCACATGTGTAAAGGTTCCCAGCACTTGAGGAAGATTTGATGATTCATCCATGGATATTACATAAATGACTAGTGGGACCTGCATTCAGCATCAATTGATTCCAAGCGACTGTATTCGACCTTGGAACCATAATTAGTACTAGGTAGGTACCTATTGTCTCCGAACATTTGAAGGCAAGAACCTGGGTACCTATTAGGTTGAGCCTTGGAGGGGGGGTTTGAATACAACCACTTAAGTGCTAGAGAGGTAGTATGTACTACTAGTATACATAGGAATGTTATGTACTAGATACCTTCAACTTTGGAGTCATGCACATTGATGTGTTTAATAGATAAAAGCTTCTATGTAGGCACCGATGTACTACCTGGTAGGTACTAGTAAGAAGGCAAATTAGTTTGAAAGCATTATCTGGCATAAGAGCCTAGAATTTGTTATTTGTCAGCCTTGGAGGATAATAACTACTAGTAATATCTGCACTATTTGGGGAATGTACATGTAGAGGTGACCCTCGAATTAAAAGAATGAAGCTGAAAAAAATGAAACCCAAAGGAGACCGCAGGGCTCCCGATGCCTAGTAAAAATGGAAAAAATGCCAATCAGACCGACGCCGGCAGATGCAACAAGCTCTTGGACCAACGCATGAATACCACCACAGCCCCGAAAAATGAAGAATAAAGGCAAGAGACTTTCGTTCCAGGGCTATGGGATGTTGGTGGAATAGAATCACCAAATTTGCGCCTCGAAGATTAAGGGACATGAAACGGTATGGAGGTGGCAATATTATGGACAGCAGATAAATGAGCATGAGAGTGAACGCTAGCATGAGCCTCAGCGGTAGGAGCCTGTTATTCTTGGAGTCAGTTGGTTGATCGCTTGAAGAAAAGCTTAGGTAGTAATTTTGCTTACCAGAGTACTGGTTCTGGCCCGTGCTAGGCCCGCGAGAGTTCGCTGGCAGGGAAATCTGGGCGGTAGAGGCTGGAATATCGACTCGACGAAGAAGATCGACCATTTTTTCCGGGGAAAGGAAAGGAATGCCGAGGTATGCGGATGAAGGAGGAATGATGCTGAGAAGATGAACCACGTCCCGGGGCAAAGGAGCAGGTGATCCTTGTGGCTTGTATGAGGAAGTGGCTGAGCCGTTGAGTTGTGGAGCACGCTTCTGTTGGTCAAGGCGTCGGCCTTGAACAGCCTTCAATGGAGACTCAGCGCGAACAAACTTGCGGGGACGATCGGAATCATAATCATCGTCAACGGGGTAAGGTCGCTTGGGTGAGCTGAAAGATGACTCTTGCTGGTCAATGCGAGGCTCTGGCACAATACCAGTGGCTAGTGTCTTTGGCCTGGTCTGAGTGGGAGATAAGATCGGCTGGAAAGACAAGGGATTGAAAGAAGGTGTTGAAAATCTGTGAGTGAACTGATCCAACGCAGGATCTTCAGGGTAAAGTTCGCGCATACGAGCTTCCAGATTGATGACTTGAACCAAGTCACCGTAGCGAGACTCATACTCGTGGAGATATGAAAAGATCGGCTTAGCTTTGTGTACATTGTCCGGGTTGGCGGCAAACCTCCGAACGGTTGTCTCAAAAACTGCCCTTGCGTCTATTAAGGTTAGTCAGTACCGCTCTCTAACAAATGGGGGGGGGGGGGGGGGGGATAAAAGGTGCAGCTCACTGATGATATCATTGATGTCGATGAGGTGCTTTAGGTATTCGAGGGCAAAGTTTTCGTCTTCAGGGAACAACTTAGCACCTCGTTCAAAAATTTTGGTTGCTGCAGGATCTTTGTAGCAGTGGTATTCCATAAGCGCACTAGCAATGTAGACATCGCTTGTAATACGACCTCTTTTACGAGCCTCTGCAAAGATTTGACGAGAACCTGCCAATTCTCCTGGTTTGCCCTTGCCCTGAATTCGGCGCATAGAGCGCATGAGTGCAATCCAGGCAAAGGAGACACTCTTTGAGAGAATATTGATTTGAATGCCATGTGTTTTTCTAACCGTCTCAATCTGAGCCTTCTTAGCTGCTTCCTGCTCCTTGATTTCAGCTGGAACGTCATCATCATCATCATCGATAGGCACAGCCTGGCCCCCAGCACTCTGTTTCGCGAATGCTTCTTCGATGCGAGCGACATCCTGAGACTCCCGAGCTTTGGCCTTGGCGATCAAGTCATAGAGAGCATCAAGCAAGGGGTCATAAGGCTCCCTGACCTTGGCGGCCCGCTTAACAGAATCCTGTTCCGAGTCGGACGTGAACTCTAGTCGATCTGCTCGCTTGAAGGCTAATAGACAGCTCTCCGGGTTGGCCTCAATACCTTGCTTGAGGAGCTCGTTGCCTTCATTCTCCATATCATTCAAAAAGCAGAACTCGGAAGCATCAAACCAGATCTCAGGTAAGAATCGGAGAGTCATCAAGGCCTGCTTGTAGACATAAACCACGCGTGCTTTGAACGCAGCAGGGTCATCCTCTTTCAGAACGAGCGGGTCATCCTTCTCCCAAGCGATCCAGCGCTTCCAGATTTCGACCTGTTGGGCATACTCGAAGTCACCCTCCGACCCAGCAACAGGGGGCAAACGGGCTAGAGAGGTTCGAACTAAATCTCTGGTGATATTCTGCAGTTCAGTGTAAGAGCTGCGTGCTGTCACGTACGATGGCGAGTGCTCTTGTAGAAATTTGCGGCCCTAAGAATGAAAGTCAGGATACAAACGCCAATTGCAGAAAGCAGTAAATCTTACAGTGAGCTTATTGAGGCCCATCTCAAACTGATCATATTCCTTCCATAAAGCATTGACAGCCTGGGTTGGAACACAGATAGCCTTCTGGTAGGCTTTTCGCAACAAATCCATCTTCTGCTGGTCCTGCCATCCCGTGCCTCCAACAGTCCCTGGACCGGATCGAATGAACTCAACATAGTCATTCCAGATGTTTCCTCCATCCTTGTCCATTCCCACATATTGAAGAGCCAGGTCATATGCGGACGAGATGACCCGTCTCGCTGCTCCTGTTGTATCGGTTGTCAAGGGATTGCGGCGGCGAACATAATCCAGGTAGACGGACCAGAGGTTCACGCTGGGGATGGTAAGAAGGGTTCGGTTGAAGATTTGCTCCAGGCGGAAAAGTTCATTGAGTTCAGATTCCATCGTCGCGTATGCTACCCATTGATCGGCCTATAGGGATACATCTTGTTAGAACTTTGGAGTATTTCGGTTATGAATTTGGTAGATTGGGCTTACCGCCATGGGGAACACCTTCAAGAACTGCTCGTAGATTTCGCGCGCACTGCCGAGTCTGTTACGACCTCGGTGCTCAGCAATCAACTCCAACCATGCAGAAAGATCACCTCGGGGATCTTCGTCAACCCGGTCTTGCAAGATGCCCACCCGGTCATGAGGCAACCGGGATCTGTCAGCTGCAGAGTCATCGGGTACAGGAGTAGGGACAGTACTGCTTTGAAGGCTCGGATCAAGAGCGACTCCAGTCCACGACGAAACTTGGCCCGAGACCGAGGAATCAATATTGGGAACAGGAACATGAGAATAAGAACTATTGGCAAGATCTGGCACTGCGGCCGCGCCCTCCGAGTGCAATGGTACATCTGGGGAAGTATTTTGATTTGCATTTCCTGAGCTTGGATCTTCAGACATAGTCATAGGCATGGCATCTGTGTCATCCACCTCCAGGGCCGCTGGCGGCTCATAGTCCGCCTCATCTTTGTCATTCTCATCTTCGTCTTCGTCTTCATCGGCGTCTCTGACTTCGTCCTCATCTTCATCTTCATCATCTTCATCCACAAATCCCCCAATGGTTCTGGCCTGGGGCTGGGGCTGTGCGGTCACAGTTGTGGGTGGAATTGGGGTAGACGACTGAGACTCAGCGAGCGAGGGTTCCTGTGAAGGATTTGAGGACTCACCGGCGGCGCCAGTGTCTGGGTCTTCTGATGAGACAATCGGGTTAAGAGCGGTGGAATCATCGTCATAATCTTGTGGTGTTTCAGTCGTTCCCTCGTATTGGTCGTCTAGAGTTTTGGAGGGGTCGTATTCTTCCTCCTCGTCTTCATCATTGTCGGCGTCGGCAGGTTGATCTTCTGTGGGAATCGCATTGTCTGATTCGGCCTCGGTGGCTTGCGCCTGAAAGAAAGCCTGCTCGGCCTCGTCGTCCGCCATGATTGAGATGAACTCTGCAATACTTTCAGTCGAGAGGTGGTGAAAACCTAGGTTAGAAAGAGGTGCAGTGGGGACACGATTGTGGTACCGTGATGAAAGAATAATGGGGAGAGAGAGAAAGGGAGAGAGAAAATCAAAAGGAGAAGGTTCGCCACTAGTATAAGCTGACTCGTGATCGTTGTACCATCTAAATACACCAAGTATTAACTACAAGGCAGTAACTTTGACTTCACAGTGAAGGTGCTTCACAACTACTAATTCCCGAATAGCTCAAAAGCACGAGCTGAGTCTGCAGCTATATCACGTGGGCGGTCAGCGCGCAAGGGGACGCGAGAGGGCGCGTTGTGGATTTCGCGGGACGCTCTCCTCGCATCATGCTTTTGGACTCGATCACCCAGTGCATTCCTTGCGGTGAATACAAAAGGCCCTAAATTGAATTGCTTTCTTGTGTTTACTCCTACTTATTTTTTGTTGTTTCCCCATATTTCTTCCACCCGCCCTATAAAATTAGCCACACCTCCTTTTCATTCGTCCCACTATCCCACTTTCCTACCTTTCACTCATCCCGTACATAATCTGTCACCATGTCGGTTGTCTCCCTTCTCGGTGTTAAGATTCTTAACAACCCTGCCACTTTCACGGCCTCCTATCAATTTGAGATCACTTTCGAATGTCTCGAACAGCTTCACAAAGGTATGACCATGATCCCACAATTGAATCAACACAACAAATCAGCAAACCGCCCTTGCTAACATTGATGTCAACTTAGATCTGGAGTGGAAGTTGACCTACGTCGGTTCCGCCACTTCGTACGTTCCCCAACAAACCACTGCCATATTATCTACTTGCTCTTTGGACCGACCTCATTAACATTGACTCTTAGTTCTGAATATGATCAGGAACTCGACTCCCTCCTCGTCGGCCCCATCCCAGTGGGAGTGAACAAATTCATCTTTGAGGCTGATGCACCTGATCTCAAGCGCATTCCTCCTTCTGAGATCCTGGGCGTGACTGTGATCCTCCTCACTTGCAGCTACGACGGTCGTGAGTTTGTCCGTGTTGGTTACTACGTTAACAACGAGTATGACTCGGAGGAGCTCATCGCCGACCCACCGGCCAAGCCTGCAATTGACCACATTCGCCGTAATGTTCTTGCCGAGAAGCCAAGAGTGACTCGCTTTGCCATCAAGTGGTATGTTTACAATCTATTCTCTCGTCACATTTCTCATGCTAAATATAATTTACTTCTAGGGATTCGGAGGAGTCTGCCCCTGCAGAGTACCCCCCTGACCAGCCCGAAGCTGATAACCTTGACGATGACAGCAATGCCTACGGCCACGAAGAGGCCGAGCTCGAAGCTGCTCTTGTCAAGGAGCTGGAGGAGTCACACAAGCCCGCCGAGGGTGATGACCACGAGATGGAGGGAGCCGATGTGACTACGGGCAAGGACGACGATGAGGAGGATGAGCTCTCCGACGCTGGGAGTGAGGATCTCGAGGAAGAGAGTGACGACGACGACGATGACTTGGACGAGGAGGAAGGCGGTGAAGGTGACGACGATGTGGAGATGGGCGACGACTCTGAGCAGAAGGATGAATCGAAGCCCACCCACCCTGCTCAGTCCGAAGTTATGGTGCACTGATTGATTAGTGCGGGCTACATTGCCTCAGTAACGAATACCTGATTCTATTATGCCACCCCTTTCTCTGTTTTTCTCGATTTTACATGCATATGATGACCAACCAGCATGCTTTATGACACCTGGATCACACTTTGAGCCATATCCCTTGTCAACTTCACCGTTGATCAGGTTTTCCAAATAAAACCCTCTTCTTGGAAACATTTCTGTGCAGATATATAGCGCTTGACGTTGCCAAAGTAGACTAACCGCCTAGGCATGTACATAAGACCTACCTACTTCTATCCACGGATATTGTCATGATATGCATGATGCCCAGGTGGTGGTATATCGCTCAAGTGCTAGTTGATGTGATAACTCCTTTGAAAGAGCTGTCAATTGTGGGAATGCTAGGATCGGCCATTTAGTAAAACATACATGTGCACTAACATTGAACCCGTGGGCTTCGCAACATTTGAATGGATGCGAGAAATGAGATTTGTAGATGTGCGGCTTTAGTTCAAGTTGATTTGAACTGGTTTAAACATTGGCTACAAATCTCTGGAGCACTTCTATGTACTAGTACACTTCCATCTTGCTTGGACAGTCCGAACCAGAATATCATTACATATGCGAAAACTCCATTTTGAGTAACTCGGTCTAAGCCTTCCTCCTGTAAAAGTAATAAAATGAATGACCCTCGCTAAGAATAAAACCCTAGAATCCGAATTTCGACCCGAGGGCTACAAAAGACCGGTCAGTGCGTGACTAAGGAATGCAAGGGGGTGGAGAGGGGGTGAAAAAAGGGCAAAGATATGAAACCCTTCGATAACACAAACGGAATATGTAGATGGGGATCACTTACCGCCAAAGATAGCCTTCTTCTTTTGGCTTTGGACGTACTTGCCTACGTCTGCGGCAAAGTTACCGCTGTTCTCTTCGAGGCGGTCCATCGTGTCGCCCACCATTCCAAGGCGCTCCGTGCGTTCCTGGACTTGACGTGACATATATGATCCCCAGCCTTCCTGGTCACCTTGTGGTTGGTTTGCACGGCCCTCTCGGGCAGCTTTGCGCTGCTCATCCTCGGTCAATCTCATTTGTTCGACCATTCGCTTTGACGGGGGACGATCTGGGCCTCCGACTATAATAATTGTTAGATATCGCTTAGATCGGCATACACGGGCGGTGATGCTGGTAACATACTCAGAATGTCCATATCAGCCGGTGAGACATATTGGGTGCCGGAGATCCACTGGATGTTAGTGATTGTAGGGCGTGGGGGTACCACCTTCTCTGGGTCATAAAGACGATCTTGAGAGAGGCCCCTAAGAAAATGTTAGTACGTACTACTAGTAACTTTTGCGACACTGATGTGAAATCGTACATTGTAGACCCTTTGCCCCATACGTTGAACAGGCTAATCTGTGAAGGCCCAATCCATGCCATCACACTACCAGTGGGCGTGATGCATGCTTCCGAAAGACGACGCATGTCAGCGATTTGGCTGATCTTAGCGGATCCGATATCCTTCAGGGCTGGGATAGAAAATGCGCGAGCATTTCCATCGCCGAAGAGACCAACTAAACTGTACCCTCGGCCTTCAGACTTGACGACTTGGGCTGAATCACAGAGGTAATCATCCCATGTTTTGTGAGCGCCCTTGGCGGTCGGTGGCTTGAAAATCCGGCATCCAGATACTGTAACAGCGATCACAACGCCGTTGATCTTCTCGCCGTTCCGTAATCCGCCGACTGTATTCGGCGTGGCAAGAGCGTTACCGCCGGAATCCGCATCAATGGGAATAATTTTGATGACCTTGTCTTCAACATTAGAAACTCCAACGTACGCGGCACAGTATGCTCCATTGGCGCTTGGAATTATCTTGAAGGTCGCCAAATTTCCTCTGTTTGTGCCTACAAAGCAGCAAATGCTCGAATAATCTGAAATGACCACATTAGCTTTGCTCTTGGATATTCTGTGTCTCCAAAAATTGCCTACCTTCTCCTTCCAATGTCATCACACCAAACTCAATGTGAGTGGGCCACTCAGCTGGCGCACTATCTGAGCGACTTGGCTTGCGGAAACTGCTGCGCTTTGGTGCCTTCAGGAAATCGGAGATTTGTGCGACATGGATGATCGCAGGACCTCGCAAATCAAGAATGACCAAGCCTCCACCCTCATAGCCTGCGGCAACAAAGCCTACCGCGGTGTGCTTTAGCGCAGTCACCGGCCCTTGCTGCATATCCAGCAGTGTGAGAGGGATCAAACCCGTCTTCAAGCCAGGATCTGTTCTGTTTGTGATGGGTGTCAACCGCCCAGGGCCCTGATTGGCACCGGGAGCCTCCTCTCTGCCATAAGAGGCATTATTGCCCCATCTGAAGATAACGAGCTCGCCGCTCGCCAATCCAACAGACAGCTCACCCGTCCCACTCGCCGCAAGAGACATCTCGGTTACTTCAATATTGCGAACTCGGCCCACTGCCCGAGCCAAATCAACCTGGATTGTCTCGGTGTTTTCAATTTCATCATCGTGGCCACCGTCCCAGATGCGGATGGTACCGTCCGCATGAGCGGTAGTGACTATATTTCGGTTCTCATAACGTTTAAGAGGATTCCTCGCCTCAGCACCGCCAAAGACGAACTTAGGCCCTTGTGCCCGGCGCTCTCTTAACCCAAGCCAGGTATCACGAGAAACAGGAGTCAGTGTGACCTTATTTACAAATGGATGAACAAATGTAAGATAAGGATGGAGCATATTTGTGGGTGTGATTGCGTGGCCACTCGGGAAACTCATGCTAAGTAGTTCGCCTGAAGAGAGTACCGCAAGTATAGCGATCGGGTCATGGGCCCCAGCGAAATATGGCGAGGAGCGAGGAATCAAACAATATGTTGCAGCCATCGCACCTGGCGGAATTGGGAGACTGATGTGTTTTCTTGACCGCTCAAAATAGCCTGAGATCACTTGCCAAGAGGATGTCTGATAGTTAGGTGTTGGTCCCATATCCAAGAAAGTGAGACCCTTGTTCACATCCTGGACAGGCTTTCCACCTGCAACCAGAAGTCCCGTGTCGTCTGGATTTTCTTTGGCGCACCATGTTACTTTTGTGATAGGCTCCTTGGGCCCGGTTGCTTCCTCTGGATCTGGCCGGCCCCCACCTGGTTGGTCAATATTTGTAGCCTGGAGCGTCCTAGCATGAAGTTTGCGGCCATCTTTCGAATCCCAAAGTACAAGACTGGTGTCTTCGTGGACAGTCAAGACAAAAATTCCATTTGGATGCCAAATTGCATCCGTGAGTCTGGGCCTGCGCACGCCGCTGGAAGGCCTACCGGGGTCGCCGCCTGGCGCACCAGCAGGGATCTCATAGATGAAGTACTTTTGAGCAATGTTTTGTTTAAAGGTGAATGTCACTGCACCTTCTGGGTATCCCACGAGGATCTTGCCAATGTCTCTGGTAGAGAATGCGAGTGACACCACGGGGCAGAGGCGGGACCGTGGGTTCTGTGACAGCCAAAGGTTCGGGATTTTGAAAGGAGTCAAGGACTGTCGGTCGAGATCGTATGCGATTACATCACCTAAGTCAAATTAATATCGTAAGCCCTGCTTGTATGGCGTTCTGGTATTCCACGGACCATTTGAAAGACCAATGAAGGCGTAATCAAGACTTGAGTCCGACGCCAGGCAAGTGGCCTGGCCTGGGGGTGCATATGAAGTCACCAGACGCCGGGTTTCCAGAGAATACACGCTGATCTCATTCTTTGAGTCAATACTGACAAGTTTGTCGGCACAGAACTGGAGGAACTTGGCCGAAGCCTTGCGCGGAAGCTCAAGCACCAGCAACACTCGCCCCTGCCCAAACACATAGATCTGGCCGCTTCCAAACTGGGTATCGCTGGTTCCGACGGCGAGGAGGGACTGTACGGGATCGTATGCTATCACGCTGATCTGTGAATTCACACCGCATCGCTCGAACTATAATTGCCAAATGTTAGTTCGCTGTCAAAGAGGAAAAAAGTTGCCTGGAATGCCAAGACGAACGTCGTCGAGCGCAAATAGCTCAGGAGACAAGCCTTCAGAAAGGTCTCTTTGAATACCCGTCTGCTTGCCTCGCAAAAATTGTGCCATTTTGAGGGAGGTGGGGGAGTTGTGTCAGCCTCTGTGCAGGAGGAAAGAGAAGCAAGTGGAGCTTGGGGAAACTTCGTAGCTGACGACATATGGCGGAGAGGCTAATCGGACAGCCCCGCTTTCCGCTTTCCGGGCGCCGTAGGGCAGAGCGCATCAACTGTTTTGCAATCTTCACAATCCTTAATTTTGTATGTATTAAGCCTATAATTAGCTACGTGAAGGATTTTAGAAGTTTCCAGTTTATGCGAAAATGCTAAAATAACTTCCCTTTCCACTTATCTTGAATGGTTTCAAGTTTCTTTCAGAATTGCTGTTGCACCGGCTAATTCTGTATCACATGCTGAAGATTCGAAGTAAACTAGATATTCAATATGTATGTTGTATGGGCCCACACCGTTCTCTAGGATCTCGTATGCCCAGGTGCATTACTGCCTAGTTCCCAAGTGAGATTTCATCATTCGTCATAACATGTCCAGCTTGGGAGCGTGAGAAATGTTTAATATACGTATTATTGAAACGGTCCAGGGCTCGCAATAAGTCTTAGAAGTACCTTGACCTTGGCCTCCCCCAAGCGATTGAGACCGATCAATCTCTTAGTATCTCAAATAAATTAGGCTGTTGCCTCTTTATCCGTCACTTCCTTTTTGTCCTTTGCCGGCGTATCCTCTCCCTTTGGTGAGGGGTCGTAGATCTCAGCAACATTAAACCGCTTTAACTGGTCATAATCGCCTCCCACAACGCTCATTCCTATCACATTCTGTGGGGAAAATGTTAGCACTTAGCAGGAAAGGTATTTCACATGGACACCTACTTGAACTACATCGACTAGGATCATGTGATCATATTGTTTCAAGTTAACTGGATGTTCGGGTCCAACAATATCGGCGACAGTTTTGATGATGATATCCCGATTGAGCTTGTTGTTGCCTCGGGAAGTAGGTCGGATAGCATACTATTTCCAGCAGTGTTCAAGTCAGCTTTGAAATGGAGATTGGTCAAGATCATGGCCTTTCAGTGGCCAAGGGAGAAATTAGGGTTGCTGTCCTGTCGAAACCTACGGTCTTTGGTGGGCCTCCTGAATGGAAGTATGGCTTCAGAACTTCCTTTGCAAATTCTTCTAGGTCCACACTGAGTGTCTTTTTGACCATTGTTACCGGAGTCAAGCGCTTGATGTATCGGCTCTTCTTGATGTCCGGGTTCGCGTGTGCATCGAGACACAGATCATGAACAATTTTCACAGGATCAACTGATTTGTCGTTGAATCGAGCGAAGACAACTATCCGGAATTAGCTTGAATTCAATGATTCATTGCACATTGCAAACATGGACATACCACAGGGAATATCTAGCTGCATGGCTTGAACTGGACGTGTCTTTTTCTGACTTGGCTGCAGGCCCTCCAGCTCTCTTCGGATTTGAGCTTCGATGTCTTCATCGTCGGAGTCTGATTCCTCATCATCTACTGGGGCGGCATCCTTTTCTACGGCCTGGAAATTTAATCAGCAAAGGTAGATTCAGGGACATATACAGTGGACACGAAGCCATGTTTTTTTGTTGATTTTGCTGACCTGAGTGAGAATATCGGTGATCTCGGCGACACATTTCTTTTCTCTGCCCATGTCACAAGTCACAAAGATCCCTACATCGCCGGCATCGATCTCAGTCCGACTGCGCGTAATCCATTGTCCCTGCTTAAAATGGTTAGAGATCTTGATAAGAATTCGACATCTCTCCTAAAAAAACGCACCTTTCTGCGCTTGGCTTGGTTTGAATTATTAGGCATGGCTCTTTTACCCGATCCGGCCATCAGATCTGTCCTTGAGATTGGATTTGCTGTTCCCAAAGTAGTCAAGTCGGGTGTCGCGGGGGGAGAAATTTGTGTGATTGAATTGGGTTTAGCGGGTGCAAATCGTGTTGTGGATCATCAGGTCAGCCCAGCGTTAAGAGCTTCACGGAATCACGGTTACTCCCTCAACGTGGATAAAGTCCATGATTTCACACCTGTAACATAACCAAAGAACACGATTATCTTGTCAATTCGCTAGGGAAAAAAAGAATCCCATTGAGTCGGTGATACCAGAACTGTAAACCGTGATACATACAATATGGTATGACATCAACGGTCCAATCATGACGTAGTAAGCAGCCCCGATCATGTTATCTCTTAGTCCTTTGAGTCTAGAATTGATCCGGTGAGAAACTGCCCGGTATTGCCTGTTTTTTCCTCTATGGTGGGGAGATGCCGACTAATCCGTCCTTTCGACAAGTATAAGTTCTCACGTACTTGTGTTTCTCTCACCTGCATTTCCCCTCATCCCACTCAACCTACGAGTTGAACCATTCAACTATGTCATCCACCGATATTGCTACGCAGGAGCTGAAAAATCCCATTGACACCGCAGAGTACTTGTTCCGGCGTTTACATGAAGTCGGAATTCGTTCTGTCCACGGAGTCCCGGGAGATTACAATCTTTCTGCTTTGGACTACTTGCCCAAATGCAATCTTGACTGGGTAGGAAATTGTAATGAGCTAAACGCCGGTATGATTTGCGCACACCTCTTCCCAAAGGACTATTCTACTATAGCCGCAAATGGAGACTCATCTAATTTCGGGGCATAGGATATGCGGCGGATGGTTACGCACGCGTCAAAGGAATTAGTGCCGTCATCACCACATTCGGTGTGGGAGAGTTATCTGCTCTAAATGCCATTGCAGGCGCATACTCTGAGTTCGTCCCCGTTGTCCATATTGTGGGTCAACCGACTACTCAGTCACAGAAAGATGGAATGCTTCTTCACCATACCCTGGGTAATGGAGATTTTGATGTCTTCGCCAAAATGAGCGCCGGGATTTCCTGTTACGTTGCAAAGCTGAATGACCCCCGCGATGCTGCGACCTTGATTGACAGCGCAATCCGCGAATGTTGGATTCGCAGTCGTCCTGTCTATGTGACACTTCCCACCAATATGGTCTATGCTAAGGTTGACGGAGATCGATTAAAGACCCCAATTGATCTGGCATCGCCTAAGAACGATCCCGAGAAGGAGGATTATGTGGTTGACGTTGTTTTGAAGTATCTTCAAGCCGCCAAGAACCCTATCATTCTCGTTGATGCCTGTGCCATTCGTCATCGCGCATTGGAGGAGGTCCACGACCTAGTCGAAGCTTCTGGGTTGCCTACTTTTGTTACCCCAATGGGCAAGGGCGCGGTGAATGAAACACACCAGAACTTTGGCGGAGTCTATGCCGGAGATGGATCTAATCCCGGAGTGAGAGAGGTGGTGGAGTCCTCGGATCTCATCCTTAGTATCGGAGCGATCAAGTCTGATTTCAATACCGCGGGATTCACCTACCGGATCGGGCAACTGAAAACCATTGACTTCCACAGCAACTATGTGCGAGTGCGCTATTCAGAGTACCCCGAAATCAACATGAAGGGGGTTCTTCGCAAAGTTATTCAGCAAATGGGCAAGCTCAGTACCACTCCCACTCCCCGGATCAACAACGCGCTGCCCAAAGATGAGGAAAAGTCCACTAGCCAGACCATCACGCACGCCTGGGTTTGGCCAACAATTGGTCAGTGGTTGAAGGAGCATGATATCGTTCTGACCGAAACTGGAACCGCCAACTTTGGTATTTGGGATACTCGTTTCCCAGCAAATGTTACTGCCATCAGCCAAGTACTTTGGGGGAGTATCGGATACGCCCTGGGGTCTTGTCAGGGTGCAGCTTTGGCTGCTAAAGAGCTGAAAAACCGTCGTACCATCCTCTTTATCGGGGATGGCAGCCTCCAGTTGACCGTCCAGGAGATTAGCACAATGCTGCGCAACAAGCTGAATCCCATCATGTAAGTTCATACCGGTAGCTCTATGCCAGTGAGATTTTTTTGAGAATCATGGAACTAATCAGAACATTTCTTCTAGCTTCGTTATCTGCAATGAAGGCTACACCATTGAACGATATATTCATGGATGGGACGCCAAATACAACGATATCCAGACTTGGGACCATGTCAATATCCCCAAGGTTTTTGGCGCCGACGATGGCTACAAGGGATACCGGATTAAGACCAGAGATGAGCTCCACAAGTTGTTTGCTGAGCCCAGCTTCAATGATTCCGATAGCCTTCGGGTAGGTTTATTTCTGGAACAATAATTGAATTAGGCTAATGCGATGTGCAGCTGGTTGAACTTTACATGCCCCGCGACGATGCCCCTGCTACACTGAAGTTGACAGCTGAGGCAGCGGCTGCGCGCAACAAATAGGCCACTTGCATGGCTTGTTTTCAATGTTTCTCTTCGCCAACGAATGTTTCAAATAATGCCCAAGTCACTGCAAGCCTGCACGTACTAATGAACGCCAGTGGTTGAAACCCTAATGTTGGCGGAATTTTTCTTTCTTTTTTACCTCTTCTATGCCGCATACGAATTCAATAATTTTCAAGCGATTTATCATTAGCAGTCTCCCCTCCATGCAGAGATGAATCAACTTTGTCTTCTAAATTTTTTTTTTTTTTCTATCCTCAAATCTATTGTGTTTTGCAGGAGCAACGGGCGTAGCTACTTAGCTCCGGCGCTAAGACCGCTCCTAGCCCCCGGCCCAGGGATGCTATGCGCCACCAATTTCACCTGTCAAGTTCTCGATGGGGCATTCTGAGACGTCAAATTAGAAGGTTGACCGGCTCCGGCCCACCATAATGGATTTTCTCCAGATCATTTATCTTCAATGTTGGGGAATAACCAATCGTGAAGAATCATCTATATAGAAGAGAATACTAGTAGTCTTATGAGACTCTTTAAGGTGTTTTGAAACCTTGGTACCCAAACGATAAGATGCTTTCTTCTTCTTTCGTTATATACTTTTGTTAAACAGAAAAGATCAGGGGGAAATGTCCTACATCCCAATAATAAAAATTTCCGATGGAGCAGATAGCTCCCCTGATACTTAACAAAAACAATTTGGTGCTCCACTTTAGAGCGGGCCCACGTGATGATCCCAAGCGCCCGGGAGAAAAGGCATCGAATGTTTGTGAAGATTCACTCCTTTGTTTCCCTGTCACATAACGCTTGTCATCCCTGTGATCTCGTCTCGGTAAGTCCTTTATGTTTGTTTATCTTAGGGATATGTCTTCCGCAAGGAGCGGGGAATCTCGACTCCCGTCGCTTGCACTTGCTTGGTCCACGGAGAGGGGGATCGGCCTCGCCCTCGCCCTCGCCCAATTTCTTTACTCCCAAGTTGGCCATAGGTTGTTGACATTTTCCATCTTTCAGGATTGAGTCCAGCTTGAAGCAGCTGGCTGTTCACCGATCAGAAGCATAGCGGCATTCATTTCCCCGATTCACGTCATTCGAGCCCTGTTTTCAACGCCGCGATAATCAACTTCGGCGACTCCGAAGCTTACGATGCTGTGATAAGGAAATCGTCGCGACTCAAAATATTGCTTCTTTCTGCCACTATACGGGATGTTAATAGCGACATAAACCCAAGGCCGTCATCTATCGTGGTCTTAATTTGAAAGAGTGATTGTACAGTGCGATAATACTGTAATTTGGGCCGTCAAATCTTGCTCGCATACTCACCATGGACGGTCAACGACAACAATACTTCACGGGGCTTCCTCCACCCCCTCCCCGAGTGCCAGCGCAGCTCCAGCCCGTCGGAGTACCTGGCATGCCACCGCCACCCCCAGGTCCACCGCCAGTACCAGCAGGGTATGTTCAATCATGGCAGCAGCAGCCTGCCTACGTCCGACAAGTTATGACTCCTGGGTACCCTATGCCGCCACCGCCACCTCATGGTCAACACGTTCCATATAAACCGGCCAATTTTTCGGCCGTGGACACCTCCTATCCCTCGGCAAATTTCGTCCCTGGAGACACCCCTCTCACCTCGGCAACTTACGTCCCCGGGAATGACACTATCGGCGGGTTCCCACCACTTTATGAACATCTGCATGGAAGATCTACCTACGAACCTTATGGGCAGCGCCCTAATGGAACCCAGGTATATCCTGAAGGGGCCTACAACCCGCAGACTCCAGGAGGACGAACAATGCCGCCACCGTTTGCCATCCACAACAACTTTCACGAGTTGCCAAATGAGCATGTGAATCCATCACCGCAAACTGTCAATCAAGTGGCCGAGCTTACAAAATCGCCAAGTCATCGCCATAACACCAGTGGCGCGTCTCTGGGCGGTCTGTCGCCAAGTGAAGCGGCGGCGCAGTGGCCTCTTGATAAGGTCCTTCTGTGGCTTGCCAGAAACCAATTCTCCAAGGATTGGCAAGACACTTTCAAATCTCTCGAGTTGCAAGGTGCCGAGTTTCTGGAGCTGGGCCTCCAGTTCGGGGGGCGAGGCAACCTGGGGAAAATCCACCAGGTTGTCTATCCCCAGCTAGCCAAAGAGTGCGTCCGAAATGGTACAGGATGGGACTCGGAACGTGAACGTGTGGAGCGCAATGAAGGGCTGCGTATTCGCAAGCTAATTCGGCAGCTTCATGATGGGGCAGCAGATTTTTCAGTATCTACTCCTTTGCGCCAGGAAGCGCCAGTTATCGAGCCTGGATCCTCATATTTCACCCGTGAACCCCGTTCGGCCATTGAGGGAACGAATGACATTACTGCAGAGCAGCTGGCTGCCGCAAACACAACTGGCGCAAAGGGAACCATGGGAACGCGCTCTTTCACCACTCCAAACCCCACTGGACATGGCTCACCCTACGAGTCACCCTTACGAGAAACTGCTCCTGGACGGTCGGACTTTTCACGCGGCGCCCTGGGGGCGGCCCTTGGTGAACACCGCCGACAAAGCCCTTCCTTGTCTAATGACGCGGCAACCTTCTCTGGATCTACTCTCCGGCCAGAGCATAGCCCTAAAAGTGGCAGTCCAGCTACACAGTTTGCGTCACCTTCGTATGGTGGACAGGCATCTTCCTCCACCGGAGACTTACCATTTCGACAGGAACACTCCCGTGGGAACAGCACTGACTCGGTTCCTGGCGTTGGCCGGGGCTCTTCTGCAGTTGGCGTTCGCTACTATGAGAATCGTAAGGGTCCCGAGGCCACTCGCCCATCACCTCTGGATGCTCATGGTCGATCGTGGAGTGGGGAAAATTCCTCTGCTCACGGAAAGGATCACAAAGGATTTTTCGACCGACTCCGGAAGAAGACCAAAGGAACAGATTCAAATTACCCGTCGCCTAAAGAATCGGACCATGAACCACCTAGCCCGGATCCTCGCTATGTACCTTATACAGTGCCCGGTTTCAGCACCAGTGACTTGTCACTTGCTGAGCGTCCATCTTCGGCAACAACCACCAAGGCTAAAAAATGGGTGTTCGCGACCGTGGACAATCTGAACTATCGCTTGATCGATATTACGGATATGTCTTCGCCAGAAACCATGCGTGCAGGCATATGTAACAAATTGGGGATCTCAGATTGGAGTGGTTCCCAGATATGTGTCACTGAACCTGGGCAGACTGATCACGATGATTTCATGAATGATGAATCCTTGTCACGCTTCCGAAAACAAAAATTGGATCATCATGCTTCCCTCAGATTGTTATTTGTCAAAGGGCGAAAATCTCGTCCGTCTCTAATGGATGGTCTTGGAGTTTCTTTATCTGCAGTATCCCCTGACAAGCCGGCTTTGTCTCCGACTGCAACGCACACTCCCATCATTCGGAAGCCAGTGGGTGAAGAACCGAGGATATCACCCCAGACTCATGTCAATCCCAATTCACCCTTCTCAAGCTCCCGGCAAACAACACTAAAAGCTACCCCGAGTGTACCCCAGGTGGACCCCCACAAGGACGACCTATCTGCCCGCCATGAGGCTTACAAACGAGAGATCGAGCGAAAGCAGGAGGAAAATCATATCTCGCGGCATCCTCCCTCCCCGCAACTGCCCCGAGATGGGAATCCCGGACAAACTGGTTTTAGAAGTGCAAAGGTTATCGACTTCGACAAACCTCGCGATTCACCGTTTGAATCAAAGAAGGCCTCACCGTCCGACGATAAAAAATCGGAAACATTGGTACCCTTCCGACGACCACCAGTGGCCCCGAATGAGTCGAACACGCTCACAAAGGTCAATTCCCTCCGAAGGCCCCCTGGAACTCACAGTTTGGGAGCTGCCATTACTGGCGTCGGTCGGATAATCAGTGCAACTGGCAATCCGTCCGTCAACGTCTCTTCCACACCTTCTTCTGCCAATCGTGAAAGCGCTAGCTCGGATTCCGACCGGCCCCCAACCCTTGGGTCCATTGAAACTGCTTCTAGTAGAACAACATTGGGTAAGTCTAAATCTCAAACAAACCATCTTCATATAGGTGAAATTCTTTTTGTGGGCAAGCCAGATCCTAATGGAACACCCATTCTAGATTCTTCTCAAAGTGGTCCCAAATTCTTTGGTGAGCAGGTCAATGAAGATTCACCAGCATCCTTTGCTGCATCTTCCAAGGATCCCTCTGACCCCCCGGAGCGGCCCTCTTTGCAATCTCGGAAGTCATTTGGTCCAGCCTTTGATTTTGAAGAAAACGAAGTCTCCTTCCAGCGGACTCCCCAGCCAGCGGCGCCAGCTGATGACGATGATGACGACGATTCTTCCGATGATGGTCTTTTCATGGTTCCTTTGGCTCATAAGAACGAGGAGAAGCCCAAGCCTGAACCGGAGGCAAAGACTTTGCAAGGGCGGAGCCTCACTGTAGACACGAATCTCAAAGGGCCAAGAGTGAGCTTCGCATCTCCAGTCCCTGCAGATAGTTCCGGCGGAGAGACCTCCGACAACCAGGATACTGGAACTTTCTACCACGACCCCTCGCCGGTTGACGAAAAACCCCCCAACCGAAGAAATTCATTTGCCAATGGAGATGTCTGGGCCAGTAGACCCCCTGTGGAAGGCGTTATCGACAACCTGGACAGCTTCTTCCCAGATGTTGATCTCGATGCCCCCTATCTGCATGAACCGGCTTCGCCAAGCTCCAAGATCAATCATCACGATGATTCAAATCTTCGAAAACCGTTACATCCGCCTCCTATTCCAGCTTCAAATATTGATCCAAGCAGTCTCTATGGGGCTGATACATCAACCATGCGACCTCAGGCAGGATCTAAGGTCGTTGCTAATAAGTTGATCAATCAAAGCGGTGGGGCTGGCGGCGGCGGCGGTCTTGGAAGAACCAAATCTATTCGACAAGTTGCTCGTGATTCTCATCGCACAAAAAGTGTTAGCTCCTCTGGCCCGCAGCAGTCAGGTATGCTCCGTAGAAAGAGTACGAAGATGTTTGGCGCCAAAATTATGCAAATCAGCCCGAAGCCAGGGAGTCGAATCAGCCGGCTCGATCCTATCCCGCAGAGTACCAGAGAAGGCCCGAGTGGCTCTGCTCCGGCTACCTTCCGTATTATCCGTGGTCAATTGATTGGCAAAGGTACCTACGGACGTGTCTACCTGGGCATGAATGCGGACAATGGTGAAGTTTTGGCCGTCAAACAAGTCGAGATCAATCCGCGAATTGCCGGAACCGATCGTGACCGTATCAAGGAAATGGTGAATGCTCTTGACCAAGAGATCGACACTATGCAACATCTTGAACACCCGAATATTGTCCAGTACCTCGGATGCGAACGCGGTGAACTATCAATTTCGATCTACCTCGAGTATATCTCCGGTGGCTCGGTCGGCAGTTGTCTACGGAAACATGGCAAGTTCGAGGAGAGCGTTGTGAAATCACTCACTCGCCAAACTCTAAGTGGTCTGGCCTACTTGCACGATAAGGGTATTCTTCACCGAGATATGAAGTCAGACAACATTCTCTTGGATCTGGATGGTACATGCAAGATTTCCGATTTTGGTATCTCCAAGAAGACGGACAACATTTACGGCAACGATTCGACCAATTCTATGCAAGGCTCTGTCTTCTGGATGGCCCCGGAGGTCATTCAGTCAAAGGGCCAAGGTTACAGCGCCAAGGTTGACATTTGGTCCCTTGGGTGCGTGGTGCTTGAGATGTTCGCAGGCCGTCGTCCCTGGAGCAAAGAAGAAGCAATCGGCGCAATCTTTAAGCTTGGAAGTCTTGGCCAAGCTCCGCCAATCCCAGATGATGTGAGCGCGAATGCGTCTCTCGCGGCTCTCTCGTTCATGTGGGATTGTTTCACAGTGTATGTTTATTACCTCCGTCCTTTTCCCTTCTTGCCATTTTGAACATCAAAATACTGACATTACCACAGTGACTCCGCTGAACGGCCCACCGCTGGTACCTTACTCACTCGGCACCCATTCTGTGTATCGGATCCAACGTACAATTTCCTTGATACCGAATTGTACGCCAAGATTGGATTGCCACCCTCCTAGAGACACTGTCTCATCTACTTCCCCTGCTTCTCTCCCGGGTCATGTTCAAAATTCATTTCATTGTACTTTCATCATTTATACATACCCCTTCGAAGTTTCTTCTTTCGTTCAAGCGAGATTTAGAATTGGAAATGGTTGCGATGGATTATGGTTCTCGGTGTTATGGGCTTCATGTTACTCTTCGTTGTATGTATATGGACTCGGTTGTTCCTTGATAATATCTCTTCCCGTCCACTGTGAGGCTGGGGACTCAGTACATACCACGGATTTATCCATGAAGAAGTAATCACGTATTTTGTAGTAGATACCAGGTATCATTTCATACGCACATTAACTGTGCCAACCAAAATGGCTAAGTAGTAAATCTCAAGTGCTAAAATTGAAATTGCTCTTTACTTAAAAACTGAATTTCATATGGTATCTATGCGCGCAATGCGATGGGAGAAAAAAAGAGAGTCAAGCCGGGTAAAGAAAACAAAGACTAGAAATCTAGGAGGTTGTGCTCGAAAGATCATCCTCGTCCTCATCTACCTCTCCGGTTTGCAAACCAGCAACACCGACTCTGAAAACACCCTCACACCACTCGGCAAAAGTGTCCAGGTCCCAAACGGCATCATCCCGGCCTTTCCCCTTCATGCTCGTATTGAAACCCTTGCCCTTGTCCGACGAAGCATACTTCTCCAAAAAGTCTTCGTAGATCTGGATCGTCCGATCCTGCACTGCGCCAACAAGGGTCTCCTTCATTCGAGTATCATCAATGTATTCGTTCAAACACTTTCTCAAAGCAGGAACTTCTTTCTCAATGGTACGACAAGAAGGATGAATCAGTTCCCCGCGCTGGAGGTTGCGGGTATCGACAAACTTTGCAGGAAGGGAAGCTGTCATCCGTGCAGCGAAGGCGTTGATGAAGTCGTTAATGACAGTGCGAAGGCGGCCGTCAAGTTCGACTTTGGCGTCGAGCATGTTCTCCACAACGCGGGGAACGAGACCATGACCAACGAGGCGCATCAGGTTCCGTGGGTTGAAGAGTCCGCCTCGTTCGCGCAGTTCCCAGAAAGTATTTGTGACTCCGGAGAAGTCGAAGCTGACTTCTGGAGCAACGTATTCAATGTCAAATGCGACGATTTGTTGTTTGAGAATAAGGAGGTGGCCCATAAGGAATAGTTGACCGTCTGATGGGGTGGCTTTATTGGAGATCAGGATGCTTGCGTTCTGGAGGGATAAAGTTGTTTGGTGGACGATGTTGTGCGCTAGATCATCAAAAACGGTTGACTGTGATAGAGTAAGCATGGAGTAACTACTAAAGGAATGGCATGCCTTGACCATCATGTATGACATAAGATAGACTCACATTGACAAGGCGATAAATTCGACTAAGGAGCCAAATTGCCTTTCGTAAGGTGGGATACCACCCCTTCAGCGCTGTCTGGGTTTCAAAGTCCCATTTGCCGTCTTTATCTTGCGCAGCATCGTCACCGTCTGTCGGTTTGGTCATGTCAATCATAGTAGCAGCAGTCGTGTCTTTCTTCCCTGAAATTTGAGTGTCGGTCACGGTCAACGATACTTGACGGCTGTGCATAGGGTAATCGATGTCTTCCGGGCGAGGTTTGTATCGTTCAATTCCATCACGAAGAACCGCTTGGGCCCGGAATACCAGCCGAGCTTGGACATCCTGCAAGGCCGGTTGGATCAACGCAGAGAAATCAAGTTGATTTGTATCATGTTGTTCGGGCTCCTCTTCGGGGTCCAAGAAGTATCTAGTCTGAAGCAGAGTGCAAAGCTGGCACAAGTTGACAATGTCACTCTCATGAATGATTCGAGGACGAAGATGGTCGTAGAGAGGCTCGCAAATGGTTTCAAGGAAGTCGTACAACCCTCCTTGTCCATGGAACCATTCGCCCCATAAATCATATTCATCTAGACAGACGCCGCGAATGTAACCGATACTTGCGCGAGCAAATGATACCAAGTCTTTCGACGAACTGGGTGTTTGTGTGATCTCGATGAGCTTTTTACGAACAAGCGGTATGATGAGACGAGCGCGAGTAGCGGAGTAATTGCTATGCAATTCGTTCATCAGACTCTGGTATTCAGCCTCACTGTTCTGTTCTGGGTTTAAGGGAGGCACAGCTCGCTTTTGGATCTCGACTCCAATCTGCTTTAGCTCCGGTGCTCCAACCCTAAATTTGGCGTAGAGGAGAGCCGACAGGGCTGTTTCGTTTAAGTTTTGATCTGAAACTTTCTTCGAGACATTTTGGTAGATATCCTTGAGCGCAGCCACGAAATTACCACGGATGAGTGTTAGCGCGCGGGTGAGGAGAAGCCTGTATCTAGAGCGATAGACCTCTGCTTCTTTTTGCTCAGGCTAGAATAAACATCAGTAAACATTCTCCTCAAGAATAGTAACTTTTTTGACTAACGTGGGTTTCCATATAGTCCAAGCACACGTCAAGACGTCTGAGCATGCTTGAGAACTCCGTATCGCGAACAGTATTTCCAGCACCGGGGGCATTCAGTCGGCGGGATGCAGGATCTAAGAGATCATAGTAATGGAGATTATTTTGAATACCGTTTGCGAGCTTTGTATCTCTCTCCTGGGCCGACAGTAGCCCTTCGCATTGTTTCTCAAAGTTCGACGTTTGCGACTCAACGGATTTAAAGGACTCGGATAGGCTAGATAGGTCGTCAAGGAGAGTCAAAGTGTTCATCAATATCTCATCGATGTGGTCTTTTGATTGTTGCAATTCGTCGAGACAATTCCTAGTTGCGACAAAAAGATCAAGATTAGTCTGGAGAATGTTCACCCCGCCTGGGCACGTTCATCTGTACTCACTGGTATTGGTCGTAACTCTCTTCGACAAGATCCTCCTTCACGCCATTGAGCCACTGAGAGAAATCCAATTCATTGTTCCAGCTGGGGATGCTCCACTGCAAAAGGTTCGAAGGTTGTTCTTGTGTCGATTCAAGGCGAGGTTGTGTTTCGCTGGCAGTTGGCTTCCGCGGTGGGCCCGATGGTGCAGTCTGACGGCGGGCACGCTGCTGCTTGGTGGAAGGCATGGTGGTGGTCAAAACCCAGAGTAGTAGCGCTAGGTAGTCCACCTACACATCGCTTTTTGAAAGCTAAAAGTGAAACACAGAGCCAATGTTGGGGATCGCGAACAGTCGAGCAGGAGATGGTAAGTGTATTGAACCGGGGAAGTTCTGCCAAGCGAGTCCGCCCGATTTGACGCAAGCTACGTAAATGAAGCTTCCCCGGCGGTTAATTTGTCACTGTAGCTCTCTCTTCACCATTTTGGCTATTTTGTCTACCCCCCGAAAGACGCTTCTGGATATGTATTAATTGTCTGTCGTCAAAATTCAATATGCTGCCATCTCGAGTTCGACAGCCCGCGGCGCAATTTACCCGCCACCTCCGCCCGACCCTCGCGACAGGCCGATCTCTGAATGCGCCATGTCGACGACTTGCTAGTGGCAAATCTAGGAGATCATCCTCGAACTGGCTTACCACCTCTCTTGGTGTCGCGGTCGCAGGTACAGCAGGCTTCCTTGGCTATTCATACCTCACCAGCAATTGGAAAGAAACATGGATCGACAGCCAGCTGCCTAAGAAAGAAGTCATTGATGTCAACGATCTTCGGGCCGAGTTTATTCAGGAGAAAAGAAGTCTGAAGAGCCCTGGTGTCTATACCTGGGGATCCAATGAGTTTAAAGTGGTGGACCCGGGATCGAAAGACGCCGACGTGAAGACCCCCCGACGATTTAAATATTTCAACGGCCAGGTCCTTCGGGATTTCAAAGTTGATGAGAAGTCTGGTGCTGCGATTACGGAGGATGGTGATCTTGTGCAGTGGGGCAAGGGATTCTCTGAGACAGAGTTCAAGCCTAGCAAGACTCTGACAGGCAAAAACTTGATTTCCCTTGCTCTGTCTGAAAGCCGACTCATTGCTCTATCCTCCGATGGAAACATCTATTCGGTTCCCATCTCCAAGTCGGAACAACTGAATGGCCCGAAAGCTCGAGAGAGCTCATGGGTGCCGCTCTGGGGAGCAAGCTCTGCTTTGAGTTACCGCATTCTGAAGCCTTCTTTGAAGCTTGGTGAAAAGGTCACCTCAATTTGTGGTGGTCTAGAGCATGTTGTGATGCTTACAAGCTCCGGTCGTGTCTTTACAGCAGCTTCATCAACTGAAAATTATCCAACTCTCGGTCAACTCGGTGTACCTGGCTTGACTTGGTCCACCAGACCTAGTGGACCAGCAGATTCGTGTCATGAAGTAGCAACTCTGAAGGGCTCTAAGATTACACAGATCGCTTCTGGTGACTATCACGCACTAGCCTTGGCCAAGGACGGCCGTCTCTTTGCGTGGGGAGACAATTCATTTGGGCAGCTGGGAGTGGAATTCGAACCGTGGGAGGCATTCAAGGACACTCCTTTCATTCTTCCAATAGGGAAGTATTACCGAAAGGCATTGTATTCCCCGACCGTCACTAGCGTTGCCGCCGGTGGAGCTACTACTTTCCTCAGTGTTGATTCTAAGCGGATTCTGGGTCCTGAGGAAGACGCTACCAAGGTCCGCGACCTAGGCACTATCACTGCCGACACCTGGTCTTGTGGTAGAGGCATCTGGGGCACATTGGGAGCCGGCAAATGGATTCACATCCAAGACTCACCCACCCAGGTGAAGGACCTGAGCGGCTTGAGCGAGTATGACGAGAAGTTGAAGCAGCTAGCTCCTATTCGTCTTCGCTATATGTCTGTCGGCACAAATCACGCCGCAGCGGTGCTGGACAACAAGACAATTGTCAATGCCAAGAACACCGACTCGCTAGACAAGTCGAAAGACTTCGGCTACGAGGTCTTCTGGTGGGGAGGTAACGAGCATTTCCAACTCGGAACCGGAAAGCGAAGCAACCAGTCTCGGCCAACGTATATCAAGGCACCTTCAGAGTCTGCAAAGAAGCCCGAGCCTGAAGCGAGACTACAGCTTATGCCCAGACACAAAGGCCCTGTTGGCAAGCGTACCAAGAGTATGGAGCAGCGAGTTGAGTGTGGTCGGCATGTCTCTGCCATTTATTCGGCTGTATAAAAAATTGGCAACAAAATGCGATGTATATTATATGTGTCTATTTAACAAATTTGTATACCACAAGATTGACGGTTTGCGGATCATGTTCAAAGGCGTGTACAGTATACTACTGACAGGAACTAGATCGTAGTTGTCGTTGTCCTGGTTACCGCCACCGCCCTGGCCTTATCGGATGCAAACTGAGCAAACAGCACCGCGGAAACGCTTGGACCACTGCTTATCCAGAAATTTCCCAAAAAAAAAATCCTACGCCGTGTCAAGCTTCCAAAACACAATTATCATGCCTCGTGAACAGCAAAAGAGAGGCCGTCGGGCCGAGAAGAAAGCTCAGAAAGAGGGTGAACCAAAGCGCAAGTTTGATGAGGTGCCCGAAGAACCCGTCGCAAAGCGCATAAAGCCCTCCGACAATGTGGACGCCGACGGCGATACCCACGTTACCTACGATCATGGCGCCGACTACATTCCCCTCGACCAGGGTGACCAACAATTTGGCCAGCAGGATGAAGGCGAACAAAGAGAGTCTGAGGACAACGGTGACATGCCTTTCTTCGGTTTGCTCGACGCCGACGAGTCAGAGTACTTCTCGCGCGCGAGCGAGATCCTCGAATCGAACCAATTCGAGAATGCCGAGGAGAAACACTTATTTGTGGAGAGTGTATATCGGGAGGCCAACGGAAAGGAACTGAAGATCGCCTGTAGTCAGGGCTGTTCAAGGCTCATGGAGAAACTTATTTCAATGTCAGATGTCCGACAGATCCGACGCCTCTTCAGCAAGTTCATTGGTAATTTCCTTCACCTTGTGCAGCACCGATTCGCCAGTCATTGCTGTGAGACACTTTTCATCAACGCGGCACCGGCAGTCATGCAGAAGACATCGAAGACCCAAGCGAAGAAGGACGATAACGACGGAGAGGAAGCCGGAGACGACGAGCCGGAACTGTCTTTGTCAGAGATGTTCATGGCCGTAATTAAGGAGTTGGAGGGAAATTGGGGTTTTCTTCTGACCGAACGATTCGCCTCGCACACGATCCGAGTGCTTTTGTTGGTCCTTGCTGGAGAGCCAGTGGATGTCGAATCAAACGATTCGATTGTTTCCAGCCGCAATAAGGAGAGACTAGGTCTCTCGGCATTGAACACACAGGAGGAGAACAAGGAGGACAAGGAAAAGGCAGTTCCTAAGAAACGCAGTGTCCCAGAATCCTTCGAACCCGCGCTCAAGAAGATCATGAATGATATGGTTTTGGGTCTTGACGACGTCTATCTGCGCGCTCTGGCCACACACCCCGTTGGAAACCCAGTCCTCCAGGTCATGCTGACTCTTGAGCTCTCCCATTTCGGCAAATCTAGCGCCAAGGACCCAAAATCTATTTTGCGGAGATTGCTCCCCGATGAGAATGTTGAGGAGGGTACCGAAAGCGCTAACTTCATCCGTGGCTTACTTTATGACCCTGTTGGTTCTCGTCTTGTGGAGACTATGGTGCGCCATATGCCGGGCAAGGTGTTCAAAAACCTTTACAAGAACAACCTTCGTGAACGGATCGGCTCTCTTGCTCGGAACCAAACAGCTGGCTATGTTGTTCTGAAGACACTGGAGCGACTCGGAAAAGATGACTTGAAGGATGCCATGGACCTTATTATCCCCGAAGTCAAGAGTTTGATTGATAGATTCAGACTTATTGTTCCTCGGACCTTGGTTGAGCGATGTGTCATTCGTAACGTTGACACAAAGCCCTTCGCCAAGGCACTGAAAGAAGCCTTTGATGAGGACCCTGCCGCTCGCCTCCGCCAGATGCTCCGACTGGACGCCACCGCCGAAGAAATTCAAAACCACCAAACACACGAAGAACAGGAGAATCAACAGACAGCTTACGAGGCTCACATGGGACACAACGAGCACCGGAAAAAGACCTCGTCAACTCTTACTTCAGAAAAGCTACATGGCTCTCTGTTCACACAGACCCTCTTGTCTGTTCCAGGACCTCTCAGTGACCTTGTCTACACCGGCTTGCTTGCCCAACCATCCGAGACAATTATCCAGCTTGCACAAGAATCCACATCCTCTCATGTCTTACAACAGGCATTGAAATCCAAAACCTCTACCACCCAATTCCGACGACAGTTTGTTCCTCGATTCCAGGGTCACTTGGTTGAACTTGCTCAGAGTAACAGTGGATCTCACGTGGTCGACTGTCTCTGGGACGCCACCAAGGATATCCACTTCGTCAAGGAGCGAATGGCACAGGAACTCGCGTCCAACGAGATGCTTCTGCGTGATTCTTTCATTGGCCGTGCAGTGTGGCGCAACTGGTCAATGGATCTCTACAAGCGTCGCCGGGGTGAATGGGTCGGTCGGGCCAAGGGCATTGAGCAACCTACTTGGGTCGATGGTCAGGCATCTCAGGTGGAGCGACCAAAGTCAAAAATTGAGCTGGCACGGGAGCGCTATGCTGTGCAGCAGGGCATCCAGGATGTTAGAAAGGCTGCCTCTGCCGAGCAGGCTGCTAATGCTGCTACCACTGCTGAGCAAGAGTAAAATTGAGCGAAAAAATAGAACTGTATATCTTGTTAATACCACATCCAATCCAGAGGTTCTTCCCTCTTGTCATTCGGCTTTCTTCCAAAATCTGCTTTTGTGCAACACAGCATTAATGTGCTTCTTTCACCCTCATTTTAACATTTCAAAGACTTTGTCCACGTGTGCATGCCCAACAAAGACACTATTGTAAGAAGTCCTTTGTGAGTCGGATTTTCCATTCTTTCCAGGTCTCACTTGTATCAATTCTTTCTTTGGACGCTTTTATTTACATCCATCCTTGAACAATGTAGATCAGCTCCTCCCCACGATATAACTTCTGATTCATTTATAAAAATGATCTTGTCTGGCTGCCCGGAACATTTGAATTGATCGGTTACCTATTGTTCCCAAGAAATCCTTCATCTTGCTTATATATAGTTCGGGATTCCGGTAGACTGCCCAGCGCCGGTGGACTTTTCCATAATTGTCCACAATGGGAGAAAACTCCTCGCTAACCAATCCGCTGTCTATCTATCGGAGCCTTATAACGGCACACTTATCAGCGACAACTGCTACAACTCAATAACTCTCGAGGTCCTCACTCCAAACGGACCTGTGAACAGTTATAATTGCATCATGCTCTCCATTAATGACCACCCATATCTGCGCCGCCAGTACCTCCCATCAAAGAGCTATCGTCGACACAACCCCCAAATCCGAGAAGACCAGGTATGGGTTGGTGTGAACATGGACTGCGGTATGCACGAGAAACGTACGCAGCGGGATTGGGTCATAACGCTAAAGCAGGCCATCGCCCAGGGTCAATTTGTCACAACTAGAGATCCCAAACGTGGAGGTGGGTATTCTCGCACATTCTGGATGCAGATGCGAGGCTATTTCAAGTCTTTAGATCGGGCACTCGTTGGGATTGCAGTGGAGAGACATGTGGATTTGCTGAAACAGCTTATACATCATGGGATTGTAACTATTCAGAAGGAGAGGGTTCTCTCCCTCTTCACTATTTAGACAAATCAATTGCTATGCTAAGACTATAACTACAAACATTTGAATACAAATACAAGCACAAATATTTCATGAACGCTTCGTCCACCCCATCAATTCTTCTCCCCGTCCTTCTCCTTCACGTCTTCCATCTGAAGCTTGCGGTCGAAAATTCGCGAAACCTCCTCCAATGATCTTCCCTTTGTCTCCGGGAAAAGGAAATAGGCCAGGATAAAGAACATCACTAGACAACCCACATAGACAAAATAATATTTCCACTGTAGAAAGGAGAAGGCTACCGGGTTGACGTATTGGTTGAAAAAGCATGCGACGGCATCTGTGGAGAGCGTGATGGCTAGACCCTTGGCTCGAAGCTGGAACGGCAGGATCTCGGCCGGGTAGGCGATGAAGAGCGGCGAGTACGCAAGATCGAAGCCTGCAAAGAAGAGGAAAAGCATGGGCACGACAGCGACGCCCGCAGCTGCGACGTGCTTCTCTTGAAAGAGGCCGGCTGCGATCGTAGTAATGGATAGGAAGAGAAGCATAAATGCTGTCGATAGCAGCCATAGAATACGTCGACCGTAGCGCTCTGATGCGACGGCGCCTGTCGCCGATAGAATGAGATTCCAGACTTGAAGTCCCACGTTAACAGCACCCTGGTTGGATGCACGGGTGATTCCGACTGAGGCGAGAATCGGAGCAAGATAGTAAGATATGATACCTTTGGAATTTTGTTAGCACAATTCAATTTCTGGGGTTTTCTTTTCAGTTGTTTCTTACCATTTCCTGCCCATTCCTGCATCAAACCACAGATAACGCAAATCGCAAGACGATGCATATCTCCCCTGGATGAAAAGAATGTGCTCCAGTAGCCGGGCTGCTGGTTCAAAACATTTATACTGATGCAAATCTGATTGTACTCATGCTGAACGAGCTCATCATCGGGATTCCCATTGGCATGATATTTTCCCAAAATCGCAAGTGCCTCATCCTTTCGTCCTTTGGAGACTAACCACCGAGGACTCTCAGGAACAAAACAAAGACCAATCAGTTGCATCAGAGGGAAAACCGCCTGTAACATGCAGGGAATCTTCCAAGACCAAACACCGTTCATATATAATGTGGCCAAAGTGATCGCGGCTGATGCAATGGATCCTACAGACCAGGCTGCGTTATAAAGTGCTGTAGCAGTCTGTCTGTGTCTCGGATGGGCGATCTCAGTCGCTAATAAGGGAGCTGCAGTTTGTGCAGTTCCCACGCCGACGCCGGCAAGGACTCGACAACCGAAGAAGGCCCAGTGGCTGTTGACCGCGGCTTGAACGAGAGATGCAACGATCACCAATGAGGATCCAATGCATACGCAGGATTTTCGACCGAGGATATCGGCAAGGTATGAGGCTGGCACGAAGGATATAAAGGCGCCGAGGGAGGTAGCGGCGATGAGGAGACCGAGGATATTGGGGTTAAGACCTCCAATGATGGTGAAAACTATACGAAACACAGTTTTTTTAGTACCAGGTTTTCAAATTCAAAGGTATACGACTTATGCATATGATCTCTGTGGAATTTCGATTCTTTTTGAAGTCTTACATTCAGGCAGCACAAGCAAGCCATTGATCAGACTCCCGTTATATCCCGTTCCAGCTGATGAAGCGAACATGAACACGATGCCCAAGTTCAACTTCCGCAGTCCTGGATCCTTGAGCCAGCTCCGATTATCTTCCTTCGGGCATGATTTGACCTTGAAACTCTCTGGTGGTGAATCTGACTCCGGCGTTCGCTCCATGATGGCTCGATCCATAATGTCCAACTTTGAAAACAAGTCCTTAATACCTTTGCCGTTGCGAGACCGTCCAAAACGCCGTATGTATATCACGAAAAAGGCACACGAGAACCCCAATCCTCCATTTCCCGTTCCATTAAGCTTTATATTTAAGCTACAGTAAACGCCGACTCGAAAAACAAGGGTTATCTACATTCTTCAACTATTTCTCCATAAAGCCACCAGCGGCGTGGGCACCTGGTTGATCAAGGAATGTAGGGACAGGGGAGGAATGAATGACCGCTTCTTTACAGAAACTGGGCACATGAGACGATTGGAAAAATATCAAGGAGTCAAATCATTATCAGGAAGTCTTTTCCAAGGGTTTCTTTTTATCAATTGATTTGGTTTTAGTGTCAGTTTTACGTTTCACTCGAAGCTTATCAGCGTTTCCAAAATTCCAACTGATCGTAGCCCTAACCTGCTACTCGTCCGATTCCCCGAGTAGCGACGCATACCGATTCCCCAGCCCACAGAACCCCTCGCACTGCTCCCCCACCTCCTTTCGGGTCCCAAGCACCTCCTCTAGGCTCCACGCGATTCGCTCCGCACCCAGTCTGGCACCCTCGAGGTTGGGTGCCCCGGGTCCTAGACGTAGGCCCGCCATCCGACCGGTCATGTATAGAGGGACATCTTCTCTCCACATCAAGTCTTCAGTTAAGCACGGCAAGCCCTCTCGCACCTCGACGGGGTATTGCTCGTTCATGTGGGTTAGTAGGGACATTTCGCGCACGTCTGCACGGGCTCCGGTCGCGAAATAGATGTAGTCGATCGGAGGTAGATTCGGGATTGGTGGGTCTGTAGCCAAGGTCCAAGTCTGGGTTTCTTGGTCGTATTCATGTGATGTAATCACTGTGTTTGTGTGAATGGATGCGTTGTTCCGGGCGGCATGTTGCTTGACGATCCGCGTGTAACGGGGTGTGATGCTCCCGCCGTTGCGAGCCGTCTTGATCATTTCTAGACGTTCTGGACGTGTGTTAGAGCTTGATTCTGTCACTTGTGTGTCATTAAATTCTTAGGGTGTCATTAAATTCTTAGGGCTGGACTAACCTTCGTCAGTGTCTGCAGAGAAAAACGCTGCTTTCTCCCAATTCTTGTATTTGCCCATCCAGGGTAAGCTGATATCAAAATGCTTGACTAGGAGTAAGTTAGCAACATGTATCTGTCATTAAACAAAAAACAAAACATCGAATTGAAAAACAAAACCTCTAGTAGGCACGAGTCACTCGCCTTTAAGACCGGAGCGCATTAAAAACCATACTTTGGTTACCCCCTTCCGCACAGCCATATCCACAATCTGTGCAGAAGAGAGTCCGCCCCCAATAACAACCACATTTGTCTCCTGTCGACGCTGTATTTTGGTACGCACATTGACACTTGGGAAGGTCTTGATCTCCATACTATGACAGCATGCACCAGAGCCCTCTTCCTGGCTGGATGGCTTCCATGGGAAAATCTTGGATATCCCCGCCCCTCCAGCACCAATAGCGAGGACAACGGCCCGACTATAAAATTTCAATCCTGATGTCGTCGTTAGAGTGAAGATCTTGTCGTTATACACTGGTACATCTCCTCTGTCTGGTAGATAATCGTATGTCATGTCCACAACCTCCTGCTTCTGTACTTGATCTGGGTGGTTTAGACCATATCGGTCGATAATAGATTCGCAGTAGTCGGTGAAGAGGTCAGTCGATGGAGAAAAGTAATCTTTACGATCTCGCTCGTCAATCTCAACGCCAATAGTTCTGCTCAGACAAATCTATGTTAGCATCTGCAGATTCCAAGGTAAGTTATAATAGAGATCACTCACTGAGTCTTTCCGCCCTGTCTCCTCTTCTTCTTCTTATGCTTGCTCATCTCCTTCCCAACACACCCCGGAATCTCCCAAAGATCCTCTTCGCGTCCCATCTCCTGGGCATAAGCAAGCATCCCATCCCGATCCCCAGGATCAACATGGAAGAACATCGGGCTCCTCAACTGCTTAATTTCCAATGTCCGAAACGCATTGTTCCACCTCTGCATCCACTGATCACCCGACCCATCCAGAACAAGCGTCGAAACATTCGAAGATGTAGAGGACGTAGATGACGCAAGCGACGGAACAGACGAAACAGAAGACACCGAGTCCGCAGATGCTCGGCGCTGTCTATTATCCCCATCACAGGGACATCGCAGGCCGCGATTCCATTTCTCGGCTCGCACGCCGTTCTTCTTGGTGCGGCCCGCTTGCACAAGATTCATTTTGCCTGCGTGTTTCTTGATCCAGTGGTATCGTTGGTGTTCTTCGTCTGTGAAGACTGCTGAGGGGGTATCTTCGTGGATGCGGGCGGCGACGCCTAGGCCGCAGGGTCCGGCGCCGATGATGATTACATCGTGGATTATGGCGTCTGTATCGGCAGTGTTGCTCATTTTGAGTGGGAAGTAGAACCCTTTGTTATACAGTAGTATTAGTATGAATAAGCTGTGATCGGCAGAGCGCGATAGCGATTTATTGGTGTAGAAATGAGTGGTATTATAACGTAGATTCCTACAAACTTAGGGGGCTTCCTCCTTTATATGTGCTAGTAGAGCAATTCCTAATCTTTGGCTGTTTCTACAATGTCCTCATTCACGTAAAATGGCCATCGAGGTACTCTTGCTCGCAAGGTCCTTGGGGCTTGATAGAAGGGGTCCCCCACAGTAAATGTGGATCAGATCGACGGTTGGAAACCATCAGATGGATTCAGACCATGGGGAGATGGGGACCTTGGAGATTATTGAACTCATCGAAGTTTGAACCGTGCCGTTTAGTAGCGTAAATCCATAGAACCGTAGTAGTTAATGGACTCAGATAGTAGTACAGGTGAATATTACTAGCAAAATATTTGAACAGATAAGAAAAAATAAAGAAATCACATTAACGTCAAGAAACCGACGAAAGGGGGAATTAACATTTCAAACAACCACCAATAGAACATCCCGAACCAAAACATAAATCATAGGCAAAGAAAAAGAAAAGAACAAGAATACATGGAAAGAGGAAAATAAAGCATAGAAAAAATGAAATATCCCACACAAACTCCACAAGAATTCTAACGCCTCAATTTCAATATAACACGCTATGCCTGCAGCCTAGCCAGGCCAAACACCTACTGATGCCACTTCTTCGCCCTAATATTGATGTTCCGTGTTGATCGAGGAACACCGCCCCCTTCACGACGATGCCAAGAATCCTGAGGCCAAACCCATCCCCGGACCCTCTTAGCGTCACGACGCTCGCCAATCTGTGGCTCAGGAATCCAGTTATCTTTAGGCTCAGGGAGTGTACGCTGCCGCGTAAGGGCACCAGGGCCGCCAACGTTGAGGTGGGCGGACGGCTGATGAGGAAGTGGAACGGATTTCGAAAGCATGAGCAAGAAGTACAACGCCAGACTAGCCGTCATTGGCGTTGCATAACCATCATCTTCCGACTCTGGCATTGGGGACGGATGCCGGGATTGGGAATATGACGAGCCGTGAGAAGAAGAGGAAAACGATCGTGCGCTGATGGGGGTTGCCAGGGCTGGCGGCACGTCGCGCGCGGAAAGGGGACCGCCCGTTGCGGCTGTTTTAAGAGGGATTGGGGCTGCGACTTCGAGGTAGCCGAAATATGGGACGTCGCAGCCGTCGTCGCAGCCTGCGCGTACGCAGACAAGTTCGATCTCGGTGATTATGAAGCCGTAGCGGCAGGAGTGTTCGCGCATGCAGCGCTGCAGATGGGCTATGCCGTTGAGGTACTCGACGCGACGGTGGGGGGCTTCGTTGCGCATTGCTGAGTTCCATCGGTCGAAGCTCTTGACTATGCCTACGAGTCGACCTCGCGGGAGCCCTGCGCTAGTGCAGTCCGTGTCGGTGGAATAGTTTGCTAAGAAGTGCGGGTGGCCGTGGTTTTTGTGGCCAGTATGGCGGATATCTGGGGCTGCATAGAGCTGGAGGTGCTCTTCTCCTTGAGAGACGGCTAGGGCTGCGTTGACTCGTGGAGCATAGAGGTCTCGGATTAGGGCAACAAGGCCGGGCTCGGATTCTGGGGCGAGACGTGAAGAAGTAACACCCACGGGGGGAGCTAGGGTTGCGGGAATCTCAGTTTTTAGGAGCTGAGTGAGTCCATCGATTGTGTCAATAGTAGCAACGGAGAAAGAAGTCCAGTTGCGAAGTTGACGGATGTCCCACCAAAAGTAGTCATGCATGCCACGGGTAGGAATGACGCTAACATTGCGGACCAGGTTTACTGCCTGGGTAGGGGAAGTCAAGTACGAGATCAAGTTGGTAGATGGGGGAGGACGGTCCTCTCGAGGACTCATTAGGTGCACTGGTGATCTTTGGGGGCCGTGGATTGGGCTATAACAGTACTGAGGCGTGGGTACAGTCAATGGATGGCATGGTGTGCGTACGGGAGCAATCCGTGGTACTTCAACTGTCATTTGTTGAGGCTGAGAAGGATAGACAACAATATTTGGAGTCACTGGAGTAATTGGTGTAGTTGGGGTTGTTTGGGCTTGTACGTGTGGAATATATTTTGGGAGCTGTCGGTAGGTAGGATATCCATACCGGCTCAGGGTAGCCTCATCAATAACGGAGGCCGAAACAGATCGACAGTGACCTCCAGGGCCTTTGCGCTTGTTTGAGGTTATGGTCACTGGAGAGGATAAAGCAGAATGGCTGACAAGGCCCGTAGTGACGATGGGTGAAATGGGAGACGCCAGAGGCGGTCTATCTGCCCCATTTGGTTGGTTGCGTCGAAGAGACGGACGACTTAGAGTATAAGGCGCAAATCCGGGAGGGTTGCGTGTGTTGGACAAGACGCGGCGATTGCGCAGAGGGCCACCAGCGGAGACTGGCTCAATCACCACATCCTGAGGTCTAATCTTGGGCAAAAGGGCAGGCCCATGGTGATGACGAGTGGGCGATGTAACGGGACTAGTGTTACCTGTCATGGTTGACCAAGGCGAAGATTCACTAGAGTAGATAGACGAAGAAGAAGCGTTGCGGCTATGACCAGATCCAAGGTATTCCTCATAAGGTACTCCCGGTGGTGTAGTTGGCTGGTAATGATCGTGATCCCCAGACATGACGAAAAGATGGTGGAGATGATTCGACAACTTCGCTGAGCCTCCAATATCCAAGGGAGCAGAAAGAAAGAGTCTTCCCTTGATGGCGAGTTTGAAACGAATGTTAAGATCGAAACGAATGTAGGTCGAAGTAAAGCCGTTCAGATCAGAATACCTTCCTGATGATGGAACAGAGACATGACCATGAGGGAGAATGGCCTGGATATTAAATGGTCTGAGACTAAGCAGGCTCAAACAAGCCAAGTAACGATGCAGATATAGATATAGAATATCAGGGCCCACTAAGGTACCCCAAGCGGATCTTGAACAAGATGAAACATGGAGAAAAGCTCCATGCAGACGCCAACGGAGGCTCCTATTCTTTTTTTGGGATCCTGGTCTCCGATCTAGGGCCACGCCTGCCATGCGATGAAACGCGAAACTGCCGACAATTGTTCGTCAGGTCGCGCGACAAGGGAGCTTGAAACCCCGTAAAGGACCTCTATCCGGGTATAGTGCGGTTTCAGCGGTCAGTCGCGCGTTAAGTTGTTACTATATTTTGCATCAGCTTCGACGGTATTCTTCAGATCCCTAGTTGGGAATAGCGTGCTGCAGAGTGATCGCAGACTTCTAAATTCAGTAACAATTAGGTCACAATTATCAGGTAAATTAGGGGACTCATCCATCTAGGGGTCAACCCCTCTAAGACTCAAAGAGGAGCGCCGTGCCTCAGGAATTGGGGGAATAAGGTCAAAAGGTGGGCGGTTAGAAGGTAGCTTTGGTAGTGAAAGATAAAAATAGCCAGGGCGTGTGCTGTGACAATGCATGAAGCAGAACTTTGAATTCATGATGGATCCGAGCAGTTTGTTCACTATAGGGGGAAGTTCGTGGTGTGATTATGTGTCCGGCGGCTACAGATGTAAGTTCAAGTCTCAAGTACGCGCCGGACGATCGTCGTCACACCAAGTTCTTTTACCAGATCATGCAGAAAATGTCCCATAATTAGCAAGAACAGGTGTAAGTTTCAGGTTCTAAATTAGCCATGATTTTCTAACTAAAGCGAGTCTTATTTGTCTTGACTGTTTGACAATTTTCATGTTTTATGCTTTAAATGTTTTCTTTTTTACGTTAAAGAAGCTAAGAATCCTACTAGTAAGAGACTCCACTTTCCTACTACGCTTCTCAAGTCTGTGCTTTTTTAGTCCCTGCTAGTACTATTAATGGTGTTTGATAAGATTGCCTTGCATTAATTTGGTAGATCACGCATGATTGGCCGTTACTCTCTAGTTTTCTGAATAGCTTCAAATGTTTTCACTTGTCCACTGTCTTTCAAAATTATCCAGCTATTTACACTCGATGTTCAATGTTACAAAAATGACATCTGGAGAGGCTCTGTACATAAAAACCTTTCAAGGATCAACTTCAGTCTTTTATGTAGAATGTTGTTTGTCATTTGCAAGGTTCTTCAAGGTTGTATATAACTATATATAACTACTAGTATCCTGGGTAGTAGTATGCTGATGCATATGTACATATTCAAATGTTTGAAACAAGTTGACCTTGAAAGCTTGAGTGCTGCTATGCATATCTGCCATGTAACATTGAAGGTATGTAGCCTCATGGATACTCCCAGAGCATCTCGGCCATATCCTAGTCAGTTCCTAAACATGGGCATAGCCATATAAAAAAACCCCCATGACCACATTGGACCTCAAATATTTTCCCGCACGCGCGTAGTACCCGGGTATTCCCCGAGGTCCACGGATCTCACCGAGCAGAGCGAAGTATGCAGGTGGTATTACCGGTCACGAACAAATATTACCAGATTTTGGCACCACCATATCGAAGGTATTTGGTAATTTTCGTCACAGACCGGGTAAATATTAGGCCCAGCGGTAGAAAATATCCAGATGTCCATTAGATCTTGCTTCAAAGGGACACTGCCTCAAGCGTTCAAATGTTGCCCAGAACATTGAAAGTTGAACTCAAGATTTGATGTATGTACCCAGAAAGAACTTCCAAGGTTTAGGCATTTTATTTTAAAATGAAACCAGAGACCAAAAGAAAAAAGACTTCAATGTTGGGAACAAAATTATTATAATTTGGGCATATAGCCATATAGAAATTGATATTGTAGCTTCTAGCTCATTTCATCATTCATCCGAAAAAGTTGGCGTAACAAAAGAAAAGACAAGTAATTATCAAAAAAAGCTGTCTTTGCAGTCTATTCCAAGGCAAAACTCATCAAAAACGCTGGTGGGGAATCTTTTCTGAACCGTCTAAACAAGGGAGGGAATCATATCCAACGGCAAAAGAACGGAACGAGCTGACCATCTAGGCCTTGATCTCGTACTTGCGGCGGAACATGTCGTCAACCTCAGTGAGGTAGTAAGTTCCGGGAAGCAGAGTCTCGGTGCTACCGGAGGGCTTGAAGTTCTTCTGCAGGTGAGCGTGCTCGCGCAGCTTGCACATCTCATCGTAGGCAGCGGGGGCAAGGACGTTGCGGGCCTCGAGGCGCTCCTTGAGGTTGAGCTTCTCGGTCATGACGGAGACGTCACCGACGATCTTGGCACTGAAGAGGGAAGAGGCAAGACCGGAGCCGTAGGAGAAGAGACCAATGCGCTTGGGCTCGCTGGGGGAGAAAGAGACGTGGCTGAGCAAAGCAGCGAGACCGGCGTAGACGGTAGCGGTGTACATGTTACCGCAGAGACCGGCAACCTGGAGACCGGGGGAGACACGCTCGGCGAAGCGCTTCTTGGTCAGGGCCATGAAGGTCTTCTCGACGGCCTTGTCAGTCAGGGAAGCGGCGTAGTCCAGATCGCGGAGCTCAGGGGCGACCTCGGCGAAAGCGGGGTGGGAGGGGTTGGCCAGGAAGTCGTTGTAGAGCATGCGAGCGTAAGACTTCTGGACCAGCTTGCAGGTAGGGGCGTGGAAGAGGAGGTATTCGAAGCGGTCCAAAGCGGTCTGGGACTCGTCGGCGGCACCGTTGGTGCCGTTCTGACCGGCCTTGAGGACCTTCTCGCGGACGTCGTAGGCCTTGTAGCAGGCATCGACGGCCTCAGTGTAGCACTTCAGGGAGAAGTGGCCGTCAACAACGGGGTACTCGCTGGTGAGGTCGGGCTTGTAGAAGTCGTAGGCGTGGGTCATGTAAGAGGCACGGAGACCGGGCTCGAAGACAATAGGAGCATCGGGACCGATGAGCATGGCAACACAACCGGCACCACCGGTGGGGCGGGCGGCACCAGCGGCGTACAGGGCAATATCACCACAGACAACAACGGCGTCACGGCCATCCCAAGCAGAGGACTCAACCCAGTTGATGCTGTTGAAGACGGCGTTGGTACCACCGTAGCAGGCGTTGACGTTGTCGACACCCTCAATGTTGGTGTTTCCGGAAGGAGCGAACAGCTGCATGAGAACGGACTTGACGGACTTGGACTTGTCCAGGAGAGTCTCAGTGCCAACCTCGAGGCGGCCGACGGTCTTGGGGTCGATGTTGTACTTGTTCAGGAGGGAGGAGAGGGTGGTGAGAGCCATGGAGTAGATGTCTAGTGGTTTCAAATATTAGTTTCTTTTTCCAATTTGCAATGTACAAGACTTCCAAAGTGTCCAACATACCCTCACGGTCATCACAGAAGCTCATCTTCTTCTGGCCGAGACCAATGGTGTATTTGCCCTCGCTGACGCCATCGTGCTTCTCGAGCTCGGATTGATCAACGCACTAGAGGAATTGTCAGATATGAAAGTTCTTCTTTTTTTGTATTCATTCAGGCCCGAAAAGACCAAAAAGGTTCAGGGGGTACAAACCTGAGAAGGGAAGTAGACCTCAATGGCCTTAATGCCGATGTTCTGGGGGCGGGCAGACATGGTGGGGGAGGGGTATAGAAATTATTTGAGAATGTTTTTTAAAAAAGGAGTATAACACAACCACCAAGAAAAAAGAAGGGAAGAGCGTGCAGAGGAAAAAGAAATCTTGAACCAAAGACCAAACACTGGAATTGAGGGCGAGTTTATAACAGAAAAAGGAGAATGTTGTGTACTCGGATCTACAGTGTACGATCTGTCACCCTTTCCTTTTTTTTTTTTTTTCCTTAGTGGAGATGCCACTTCTACTGTTTTTTTCCTTTGAGCCGAAGAGAAAGAAGATGGGGTCAATTCCTGTTAGATTTAAGAAATGAGGATATTGAAACTTTTTGTTTATTAAAGTTAAGATTTGGTATAAAAAGCCATGTGAATGTGAGATTGGTGTAGCTAAAGAAGATGTTAAAATGTACGGTACTTGCTCCAGTGCTACTCTTGTAGATTTAGGTACAGGAGTCATCAACTGGTCAGTCCCAATCTACGGTGTAGAATCCAGAACCACATCTTATCTTGTATCCACCTTGGCCTCTTCATTGAATTCCCTGAATTCCCCTTAATGTTTTTACTTGAGAATACTGGTTTCCCTGGTAGCGGTGGATCTTCAGATCCGACTAACTCCGTTTCATGCAATAAATCTGCAGTGGCATCACTTCGGATATCTTCGCCCCCGGAGATGAAGTGATGTATACAAAACCCTTGGTGTCAGACTTGGAGATACTTTGTAGAGAAGAGTACGGATTCAATGTACTGCTTAGTATGCCCGGATTAACATTCTTCAGCTCCAATTTTGACTTGTACTCCGGTCACTCCGCAGTATGGAGTGGGAACTCGTTTGCTTTAGGAAAACACCAAGGATGATCGTTGATTCTTTTTTTTATTTCATTTAATAAAATATCTGGCTTCTAAGTCGTTGGTTTAATGTCTCTATATACCAGCTCTTATCGATTGCGAAAATGAGTGACATAGAGAGAACACGCGTTTTGGGGGGGGGGAAATACGACTTGGCCAAGCGTGGGTCACTGCGCCACGAGAGAGGGAACAGGAGATAGATAGTCCGGGGCAGACCGCAGGCATCCATCAACCCTCCATTCAACTGCCCTCACAACCATATTCATATCCCCCTCATTTAACGGGATGCGGCACATTCGTTTCATATTTCTGACAAACAGATCATGATCTGGAAGATCTCCGCATACGCGCCCTCCACTTGCCACGGCTACTCCTGGCCCACCCCGTGCCACCATGGGCGACGATAAGTTCGAATACCAGGAACTCCCTATCCCCTCCTACGAAGAAGCCACCGGTCAGCCATCATCCTCGCGTGAACACCTAGTAGTAGGTGATGGCAGCGATGCCGAACGTCAGGGGCTTCTCGCTCGTGAGCCCTCTCAATACCAACCCCCAACCGTCGAATCCGTTCGCGGCAGTCTCGATGACCTTGCCTCCTCGGCATCGGGTTCATCCCGAGGCTCCGCCGATGAGCTGCGCAGGGAACTAGATCAGATGGATGTTGACGACTCTGCGACATCTTCCAACGGTCGCCCCCGATTACGACACCGGTTCTCCAAGCGGTTTTCCACTCTCACTCGAACGCTTTCCGCAATCCATCGGCCCTTACAACGATATCTACCAAACCTCTCTAGCTTTCGCTTCACTTTCAATCTCCAAGATGCACGCTCGCGAATGCGGGATCAGGGATGTCTCATGTTAATACGACTGTTCGCCCTGATGCTGGTGGTGACATTGGTCTATGTGTTCTTCATTGGGGATATCTTCAACCTTAATAATCGCATGATTATGGGCCAAACCTACAGTTCATCATCAGTTGAAAATTTCATCCAGGGCAATATCAATGACACCAATATCGCCGAAACCCTCAAACACATCACCTCATTCCCCCACATCGCCGGTACTGAAGGTAGCTTTTACCTGGCAGAATGGGTCGAGCAGGCTATGCACAAAGCCAACTTTGACCAGGTCGAACGGGAGGAGTTCCAGGTTTACTTGAACTACCCGCGCGACAACGGTCGCAAGGTCGCCATCATCGATCCCCCAGCTTTGGCGTGGGAAGCCACCCTTGAGGAGAATGTCGCAGATACCCCCGTATTCCACGGCCACTCCAAATCCGGCAACGTTACAGGACCTCTAGTGTATGCCAATTTTGGTTCTCGAGAAGACTTTAAGCTGCTTGCCGACCGTGGCATTTCTCTCGACGGCGCTATCGCGCTTGTCAGATATTACGGAACGGAACCGGATCGAGCTTTGAAAATTAAAGCTGCGGAGCTGGCTGGCGCAGCAGGATGTATAATTTACTCCGATCCAGCCCAAGACGGATTTGTTCGAGGCCCAGCCTATCCAAAGGGACGTTATATGCCGGCCGATGGGGTTCAAAGAGGCGGGGTCAGCCTCATGTCTCAGGTTGTAGGAGACGTTCTTAGCCCCGGGTGGGCATCTACCCCGGAGGAGAAGCATCGGCTGGCGCCCGAAGATAGCCCTGGCTTGACAAAAATTCCCAGCCTTCCAATCGCCTGGCGCGATGCACAACGGCTGTTGCAAGCCCTAGAAGGTCATGGCTCCCAAGTTCCGAAGGAATGGGTCGGTGGAGTACCAAAACTTCAAGGGTGGTGGACCGGCGATCAGAAGTCGCCGACTGTCCATTTGATGAACCTGCAAGATGAAGTGGAAAGGATGCCCATCTATAACGTCCACGGGACAATCATTGGGCTCGAAGAACGCGACAAGAAGATCATTATCGGCAATCATCGGGATTCGTGGTGCCTGGGAAGTGTTGATCCTGGCAGTGGTACCGCAGTCTTTTTAGAGGTTATTCGGGCGTTTGGTGAGCTGCTCACTTACGGTTGGCGGCCACTCCGGACCATTGAGTTTGTTAGCTGGGATGGTGAAGAATACAACCTCATTGGCTCGACCGAACACGTTGAAAAGGATGTTGAGCATCTTCGGAGTAATGCATATGCATACCTCAACGTTGACGTCGGTGTGTCCGGCTCTGAGTTCCGGGCCGCTGGGTCGCCCGTTTTCCAACGCTCTCTGCTGCAGATCTTGGGACGTCTCTCTGACCCCACTGCCAACAAAACCCTGAAGGACATTTGGATAGAAAAGGGCAGCAAGCTTGAACCACTTGGTGCGGGCAGCGATTATGTAGCCTTCCAGGACATTGCGGGTACATCCAGTATCGACTTTGGATTCGAGGGCGAGCCCTATCCTTACCACAGTTGCTACGAATCCTTTGAGTGGATGGAGAAATTTGGTGATCCGGGCTTCCAGTACCACAAACTTCTTGCACAGTTCTGGAGTCTCCTCCTATTGGATGTTTCTGAGAACCCTATGCTCCCCTTCGATCTTCAAGCATATGCCACATCCATCACCGGATGGGTGAAGGACTTGGAAACATTCGCCAAATCCAAAAAAGCAGATGTCAATTTGGAGGTCATGTTCAAGGCAGCAGCAGGGCTAGAAGCTAATGCTGTCAAGTTTGAGTCCTGGAACCAGGTCTGGCATGATGCTGTCTGGGGCTCCGGCGGATACGAGAGTAATGTCATGGCGCTTCAACGTGTGAACCATAATTTACGCATGGCCACATTTGACACACATCTCTTGGATCTAGAAGAAGGCGGCGGCGTAAGTGTTAATCGTTTCTGTTTACTCAATCATTATTGTCAACTAATTTATTTTTTCAATCAGATTCCCAACCGCACCCAATTCCGCCACGTTGTATTCGGGCCTGAATTATGGTCTGGGTATGATCCCTCGATCTTCCCCGCCATTCGCGATACCATCAACGCCGGCGACTGGTCTGTCGCTCAGCACTGGATCAATCGTGTTGCCAACATCATCCAGACCGCCAGCAATGATCTATTGCAATAAATGTATACTACCTTTCCGGTCTCTCTTCCTTTTACCTCTCTTTCTCCCTCTCTGTGTCCTATTTCTCTCATGCATACCCCTCACGCTTGTCCTTTGGCATTTTCATTGCTGTCCCGCCTAGGCATTGTACAGCCTGTCTCTGGTTGGAGTTATACATTTATATTTATCCTTGCATTCCCTTTATCCGTCCCTCATACATATGCACAATCACATTTCTCATCCTGGTGGTTTCGGGAGCGATTTTCTAGACTTGATTCCAATACTTTCCACGTCCACGGGTGACATCAATGAACACGCTCAATTTATTATATTTCAACCAATCTTATGTACAGGATCTGGGTATCATGATATATAGACAAAAAAACAGCAAGAGACGAACACTGCTATGCACCTAGACACCAGGCAAAGGCGGATCAACCGCCAACAAAGCTGGATGGTCCGCCAAAGACTGCCAAAAGCCGGCCTCGAAATCCCACAAATCCTGGCTCAGCAAAGCAGACCAGTCATCGTTCCCAGCTCCCTCCTCATGACCACCTTGAGAATCCATCGCACCATGCCCACCATCAGAGTGAAAGGAGTCTAGGAACCGCTGAATAGTTTGCGTGGCTTTAGAAAGAAGTGCAAAATTCGGATCCCCTGGTCGAACGATCGTCCCAATCTGCACCTCGGCCACAAAGACGCTAAGGTCTTGCAGGATCTTCGTGCGCGCAATATTTTGCGTTGTATGTGTATGTTGTTTTATGAGGGCGAGGAGCACGATTCCCGCAGCGGGGAGGCCATAATATGCGACCTATAATAATGATAGTGTTAGCTTCAAATGAAATTTGGTATAGAAATGAGATATGTAGAGCCCTTGCCTTCCAAATCAGACCGGTCCCAGAATTAGTCAATTGATCACGCAGAAGAATACATTCGACGACGAGCGCAAGCATCTGTCCCGCCGTCTCGATGATCGGGATATCAGGTTCGGTAAGCGTGTTCAATAATAAGAGACGGAGTAAGAAGATGACATGTAGATGTTGGAGACGAGCATGGGCGAGAAAATCCCTATCGAAGGGAGTCCGGATGCATTGTTTCAAACTGCCCTCTAGACGAAGCGGGGAAGGGAGCGCGAGCCATTGTTCTTCTGCTTTTCGTTGAATTGCACTGTTTTGGCGTTCCATTTGATTAGAACGAGAATACTCATGAAATAAATTGATAGAATATCAAATATCAAACCATACCTCGCTCTTTGCACGCATGCTGCGTCTTGCTTATCTTGCAATAATTCCCAGACCTCTTCTTTCAAGAATGCGCAAAGGGCAGACCACCGTGAATCAGCTATATAGCAGGGTTTGGAATCGAGGTCCCAGGTGTTGTAATTATCATTATTCCGGTTGTAGGCTGCAGTTGTTGCGAATGTATCTGGCTGAGAGTTGGTCTGACAAGACGGGATTTGGAAATGGCAGAATCGTTTGTTCATTCGTGGTGGCCGGCCAAGGAAAATAGCAATATTCTTGTCTGCAGAGTATATCCGCGCGAAGGCAGACTTGCGTAGTTCCATGAGGAATCTCGGGGTGCCGGTTTTTGCTTCCAGGTTTTCATGAAATCCCATTGCGAAGGTTGAGGAGATGACATCGCCGAGTTTGCGCCATGAGTGGTAACCTTGGCGAGTTAGCTTATAGGATTAATCATGTAAGTCAATGAATAGAAGCTTACTCTGATCACCGTCCACGTAGGAATGGACGATAAAATTTTCATACTGAACAATCAGTTGTAAATCATTCAGGCAATCCAATGAAAGCGAGATCTCCAGCGCAAAATCACTAAGCTTTGTTGCTAGCCGCCGTAAAGTATACTGATCCTCCTCTTTGGTGTATAAGGCTGGAAAGAACGGAATATCAATGGTAGCACGACTGACTGCGGCGAAGAAAATTCCAATCGTTTCCCAGCGACAATTATGATCCATGAATTGCATCGAAAAATCAGACAGAGCCATGGATTGATGGAACCGCAGCGGCTGAGCAGAGTTATGGAGCAACCGACGCGCATATATCAAATGCCAGTTCTCATCATTCGTGGCGAAAAGGTGGCTCACACTCTCAGCGCACTGCGCAACGAACGGTTCCGCCAGCGCAAGGTTCGCTCCCTTTGCCAGCCAGAACATGATCAGGTCTTTCATGGCCGATAGCGGGTATGCATTGAGTAGATGCCGGAGAACATCAGCTCCCTGCAATACCAAGTGGTTATCACCAACCCATTGCGGACTTAGAGCCTCGGAGCTTCCGGTATGAGCACCCGCGCTCTGATCTCCATCAGTCGTGATATGCTTGAATATGGCCGCATGGCTAGAGGATCCCAAGTATCCGGGATTGGGGTATGGATTACGCCGTGGAGTAAAAGATGGCGACGGGTCTGGTGAGGACAAATCGCTATAAAAAAAAAGCCTCGTTAATCTTCTCGCCTTCGAAATCCAGCCATTTGTTGCAATGTTCGGTCGGTCCCACTTGCCTCGGTTTCTCGACGCGCTTCCGCTTAAATGGCGTGGTGCGGTAGATGCACACGCCCTTACTATTACTGCATCGCGAACAGACGGGTTGCTGGTGATCACAGGCGACCTTTGCCTTTCGACAAGCTTCACAGGCAGCTAGACGTGATGCCATTAAGAATTGCGACTAAGCGGAGTCTTGTCCGCAAAGGAAAAAGCTGTCGGCTATAGACGGAGCTCCGGAGTATCGGCCAGTCGGCGATAAGATGGTGGGGTAAAGTTAAAGCGGGGACTATATATTTGGATCTCCACTCGCGTCTTATAATCTAGCATTCTTTATTACTCTCTCTCTCTCTTTCTTACATACACACACACACACACACACACACCTACTACCTTCCCTTCAATTATGACCTCCCCCGACACCGTCAAGCTCGCAGATTACTTGCTCACCCGGTTATCCCAGCTGGGTGTCCAGTCTATCTTTGGTGTTCCAGGAGACTACAATTTACGTTTGTTGGACTATGTTGTTCCTGCTGGTCTGCACTGGGTGGGAAACTGCAACGAACTTAACGCCGCATATGCAGCAGATGGATATGCTCGGATCAATGGTTTGTCTGCCTTGATCACCACCTTTGGTGTTGGAGAGCTGTCTGCCTCTAATGGTATCGCTGGCGCATATGCCGAAAGGTCTCCCGTTGTCCACATCGTTGGTACCCCACCCCGGCCACTCCAGGACAGTCGCGCATTGATGCATCACACTTTCGCCGATGGCGAGTACAAGCGATTTGCTGCCATGTCCAAACATATCACCATCGCGCAAACTGAATTGCAGGACGCAGCAACCGCACCAGACAGGATTGATTGGGTCTTGCAACAGGCTCTTATTCATAGTCGCCCCGTGTACCTTGAGTTCCCCGATGACATGCCCCACGTCCTTGTCTCGGCAGCAAATCTCAAGACACCAATCAAGGTCCCAGATGTTCCAAGCCCTGCGTGTGAATCCGAGGTTATCTCTCGCATTCTAGAACGGATCTATTCTGCCAAACAGCCCGTCATCTTTGTCGATGGCGAGAGCAAGGCACTGGGAATCGTTGAACAACTCGAAACTCTTATCACATCCACCAACTTCCCTACCTGGACTACAGTCTGGGGCAAGGGCCTAGTCAACGAATCACACCCCAGTGTATACGGCCTGTACGCCGCGTCGTTCGGTGATAAACCCGCACAGGAATACTTCGAATCAGCCGATCTGATTCTTACATTCGGCCCTCACTACAGTGACACAAACAGCTACTTCGAGATGACAATCCCCAAGCCCGCAGCGGCTATCACGTTCCGGGATAGCACCATTCAAATCGGATCAGATATCTACCGCGACATCTCTTCTTTCAAAGTCCTCTCCGCCATCTTGAGCAAACTTGACACCTCTCGCACAACCACCGCCCAAGGTCCACCCAAGCAAGTCACCACACTCGACGATATAAAATCCACCGATCTAGTTGCACAGAAGAACTTCTTCCGACTTGTTAACCCGCTCTTCCGCGAGGGCGACATCATCCTCACAGAAACCGGCACAGCAGCTTATGGCGGCCGATCATTCAAGCTGCCTCCGAAATCACGACTCTTCGGTGCTGTGACCTGGCTGTCAATTGGTTTCATGCTCCCCGCCACCCTGGGTACAGCATTGGCAAAGCGCGAGCTGAACGCGGCGTCCGGTGCACGGAACCAAGCCATTCTTATTATTGGTGACGGTAGTCTCCAGATGACAGCGCAGGAGATTAGCGTGATGATTAAGGAGAAGCTAGACATCCTAATCATTATCATTAATAATGAAGGTTACACAATTGAGCGTGTGATCCACGGAAGGAAGCAGGCATACAACGATGTCCCCTTCTGGAGACACACCAAGGCTCTCCAGTACTTCGGAGCCGATGAGGAGGCTGTAAATGAAAACACATTTGAGGCACGGACAGTGGGAGAGCTACAGGAGGTGTTGAAGAATGAGAGGGTCAAGGATGGCAAGGGAGTCAGGATTGTGGAGGTCTTCATGGAGAGAGAAGATGTACAGGAGGGACCTTTGCTTTGGGTGCTGCAGAAGCAGCTTGCGGAGGAGGAGGCCGCAGCCAAGGCTGCTTAGATGCGTTCCAAGTACATACTAATAGCATAAGAGAGATCTAGACATGATCATCCATCGAACAGACAATTTAAATGTGTACAAATTTTGAATTTGCAAGAGCTGAAAGGTTTTAAGTTTACTTTTGAATTTTTTCAGAATGACATTTCAGTAGCACTGAGCTAATCTTTTGGATAATCATCATCATTATGTTGCCTCTATGGGCAGTGGAGACTTCATGCGTCTCGTATTGGATCAATACCACCGAGAATCGTCGTTAAGAATAACAAGTACAAAATTGAACAAACACATCTCCAGGCTGATCGAATGGCTTAGGCGCCCTGGGTTCGGCTCCGAGTACGGCTGCCAATTCCCTCAGTCGAAACTGCCTTCTTGACAACGTCCTTCGCCTTGTCTTTCTTGGGACGATCAGCTGATTTCTTGGCACTACCATTGGTACCATCAGTTGTAGCCGGAGCAGTTTCAGGTTCATTTGCTGGTTCGGATTCCGTCTCCAGCTTCTGTTTCTTGGTCTCGGGCTCCTCTGTCTTTTCCGGAGCAGCAGCAGGCTCGTCCTTTTGTTCTTCAGTGGCAGGAGCTGGGGCTGTAGTCGAGTCAAGATCACGCTTGTCACCAGTCTGGGGCTCTTCTTTCTCTTCTTTTCCGGCTTCCTCCTTTTCGGCCTGTTCCTGAGCCTTGGTCTCCTCTGCCTGGGCTGCTACTGGAGCTTCTGGCTCAGAGGACGCAACAGGAGCATCGAGAGTGGCCTCCACAGCTGGAATGCCTGGCGGTTGGGGATGAGGAGCCTCGGGGTAGTCGATTTTGGCGTTTGCTCTGCCTTTCTCGATAGTAGTAGCCTCACTGTCTGGCGACGCCGGATGCAGTACACTGTGAACTGGTTCGGCTGTTTCTGATTAGTCATCATATAATGGAGGAATCAAACGCGGCAAGCACCGCTGGAAATCTCCATTGAGATGAACGCTCGATTAAAGTCGTAAATTCATCCTGGAGGTAAACACATGAAGCTAGGGAGCACATACCTGGAGCCGGAGGGGCGGTTTGCGCGGGCACACCTTCACTGGCCATGATGAATTGATGATGTCAAGTATGGGCACGTGCCTTGGTATCAGATAAATTTGACAATAAATGGAATCGCGATGGCAAGGCGATTGCAATTAAAGTGATACAGAATGACTACCAGGGGGAAAATGAAGTAGGAAATGAACCGATTTAAGTCGGGGTGGGAGAAGTGAGGTTGCGCGGTGACGTTTACTAAGAAAGATGGAGACGCTAACCCGATTCCCTCGCAATGCGACTGGGCCGATTCGCCCCCTCTGCGACCCCCATGCTGAGACTCTCTCGTCACACAAAGCTGATTTGCTCCAATTTCCTCTATAGCCGCAACCCACTTTCATTGCACAAATGCATTCTGCTTTCATTCCCCTTATACCCCGGTTAAATGCATAGCTTTTCCAACAAAATAAAAATAAAAACCCCTTCCCCAAGTAGTTGGTACCTGGCAGGTATGCCAAGGAGATCTCGGAGGAGTTTATCCGGATGGCGCAGGGCTGGTGGAGTCTCAGTGCGGAGAACTGGAGCGATCTTCGTCATAGCGCACTGAAGTGCTCCGGGAGATGCTGAGCCATGAAATTGCCGTCATTAAAAGAGAAAACATATTTTTTCCTCTCGAATAGAAACCGGTATGACTCAAGTGAATTCCAGCCTCCACTAATTTTGGATTCTGGATCATTGCGGACCCAGGCGACGAATTGCCAAAATGTGAATGTCTGCCTTGGGGTTGACGGTCCACGACCCTATCTCCCTAGTCTTGTGCCTAGGTATGATAGACAGTAGTGAATTGTCACTGTTAATACATACTAGTATATGATATAGTCATAGTCATAGAACAGATGGGGACCTCAGGTTAAGCTCAGCTCCAAATGACTGAAAATACCATCTTCCTCTCTGATGGAAGACCGGATGCGAGATCCCTCAGCATTGTCTGTTGTATCACCTGGGAGCAAGAGTTGCACATGGCGAGCCAGATCAGTTGCATTTCGAATTTTCTTCTGATCGATCAGAAGGCGGAGAGCATCACAGGCAATGCGAAGAAAGGCGTCCCGGCGGGAATCATTCCAAGCCTGAACTTTGGCGGGTGAAAGGGACTCCACGAAACGAATGAAAGGCGTCGTGTCTGGTTTACTAGGATGGCAGAGGGAGACGCTCGAAAACAACAATGATCGGGGAGATGCCAAAGAAGAAATGACTGCCAAGTACTCGTCGTATAGGTAAGGAGTGACCTTCTCATTCAACGGTTTGGCATCCATAGCCGCCCGACTCAGATTGGCTCCGGCTGCCAGCAGGATTGGCTTTGCGGACTTGGTTGGATGAGGCGACATTGAATGTATCTGACAGACACGTAGATAATATTTCAAGGCTGATGGGAGGCCCTCTCCATATCGAAGTTCGGCATCCATAAAGTCGATGAGCACTTGGTTGACACTCTGTTGGGCGATTGCATCTGTGATTCGACCATTATACCCGCCCAAGTCGCGGGCCAAGAGCATTTTAATCCACTGGATGATGGTGTCTTGAAGACCCTCAGCGATCATGAACTTGGTCAAAGCCGAGGTAGTCGCTCGTGAATGCAACAACATCTGCCGAGAGGCCCCATCGGAAGCCCAAAACCATTCAACCACGCGGGATGCTGCCCGAGAGGTCTTCATCGATTCGCTGACATCTTTCTCAGCAGGAGCTCGGACCAGTAGAAGCTGAGATTTCAAGCAATTGGTGATGGTAGAAGGTGTAACGGAGCCTGAGGCCGCTAGCTCATCAAACACAACCATGGGTTCCTTGGCCAATCGATTCTGTTCATCGATGCCTCGGACAGCATGATGGTCTGGAGTGATGCCTTTGGGTGGTACGATGCGAAACAGTGGGTTGTCTAGAATGGTATGCAAGTGTTGATCGGTTGCATGAAGTGAGGAATCGGTATTCAAGGGTTGTCGGCTGCCTTCATGGTGGTCTGAATTAGATACCGGGTATGCGTGATCCAACTGACGACGAAATGAGGATGTGAGGGCGTTGAGTAATTGCTGAGACTCTCTTGGAGTTCGAGGTAGTGGCTGGTTAATCTTAGGCCAGGACTTGAACTGGAAAATCGAGGTCCCCTTCATGATTTGTGGATTATGCGGTGAGTCCCAAAGAAGGCTTATTATGTGACGACTCTCAAGTTGGGTTTGTTGAACCCCCTTGTCACTTGTGAAGGGGAAGATCGCCGCGAGGGGTGGGCGGTGAAGATCCCAGTTTGGGGCGGAAGTGGATGACGAGCAGACCGAAAAGTGGTGCAATCCCAAGTTGAAATGGGAGCGAAGAGATTTATCTTATGACTGGATCGAGTTGTATATTGTAGATAGGAATAATTAAGATGAATCGAATATTCCCAAGTGTAAGCTTTCAAGTTAGAAGTGGCTTTCTCTATAGTCTTAATTTCCATGTCTTTGAAACTTGCAGTAAAAAGACCAAGCAATACACCCAATAGGCGCCACTCGCTAAAAAGCCAGGCAGCGCCAAGACCAGCTGTGACTGGGAGCAACACATCAGAACTTAGCTTTTGCCTTCCCCATTCACAACGCTCTCCCCCTTCTCTCCATACCAAAGCCTTTTCTTGCTTTTTGCTTCTATCTCTGGATTACTATCTGGCCAGTGTGCCTGTGGTCCTATTTGGTGCTTTACCTCTTGCGCGAGGGTGCATCATACACTTTTTCACCCTACCTTCCTCAGATCTTTCCCACGCCGAAGCCCTTGCGACGCCATCGTGACCTCCTTCCCAATTCCATTTCCTTCATCTCACATACCCTCATAACACAATGTCCGACATTCAAAGCAGACCCTCTGCCCGAGGCAGAGTATCTGGCCGTGGTGGCCGTGGTGGCTACAGCAACAGAGGTGGCCGTGGTGGAAACAGCAGATCCAACCCCGACAGCTCAGACGTCTCATCCTTTGATGAAGGTGAAATTGGCCAGATGAAGAAGAAGTACTCTGATACTCTGCCTACTCTTCGCGAGTTGTTCCCCGACTGGAAGGATGAGGATCTGGTGTTCGCTCTGGAAGACTCAAATGGTGAACTTGAAGAGGCAATTGAGCGCATTACCGAAGGTTTGTCCCCCAAAGCCGCATCGCCGCTCGGCGCATTAGCCACCCTACCCCTTCCATGGCTCGTACTAATCAAGATCATTTAGGTAATGTGTCGCAGTGGGGAGAGGTCAAGAAGAAGGCCCCCAAGGTCAAGGAGGCCCAGAGCACTCCGACCGAGTCGACTTCAGCTCCCATCCGTGCAGCCCGTGGTCGTGGTGGATTGGAATCCCGCGGTCGTGCCCGTGGAGACCGGGGTCGTGGTGGTCGTGGTGGCCGTGCTGGTGCTCAGACTAATGGAACTCGCGTCGTTAGCACTGCAGAGCCTGTTGTGCCTGCGGCGGCGGTGACCGAACCCGTTACATCTAACGTGACAGAGGAGGTTGACAACGAGCCTACAGCCACAACCACCGAGACAGAGACCACAACTAGTGTGATTCCCGAGGGTTCAAAGAAGGGTTGGGCTAGTTTGTTCGCCGCGCCTCCTGCTCCTCCCCCGCAGAAGAAGGCTCCGCAGCCCGCTCCTGTGCCTGTGGTTGAGAAGGCTCCCGAGCCTGTGCCTGAGCAAAAGGCCCCCGAACCTGCCCCAGTGCCCGCCCCGGTACCTGCTCCGGTGCAGAAGACCCCCATTGCGAAGCCCATTCAACCTATTGTCCCTGCCATTCCCGCCGTTGTCGCTAAGCCCCCTCAGGTGGACTTGACCGAGACAAACCTTGAGCAGATTCCCGATGTGTCTGGCCCGGCTCCTACTGCAACTGCTGCCAGCACCGTTGGCAGTGCTTTGGATCCTGTGGCTGCTGCTCAAGCTACTCCTTCTCGTGCCCCTCCTTCCAGTCTTCCCGGTAGCGCATACAAGCAAGGCGTTCGTGCTCCAGGCTTCCAGCGTCGTGTGATGGAACAGCAACAGGCTGTGGTGATGCCCGGAAACCACGCCGTTGACCGTGCTGCCGTGCAGTTTGGAAGTATGGGACTGAATGGCGACGCTGTGGACATTGATGAGAACCGTGAGGAGGCCGAAACTCGCGCTCAACCTCCTCAGCACTCCCCCGTCGCTCCTCGTGCTTCCCTTCCTCCCTCCACCCAGGCTATTACCGAGACCCCTACCGCCCGACCTGCTCCTGGTCTGCCCCCGGTTCCCCAGGGCCCCGTTGCCGACTCCTTCTCCGACTTCTCCCGTTACACCGAGACCCAGAAACCCTACGATCCCTTCGCCATTCCTGCCAGCCAGCCCCAGCAGCAGATCCAGGAGCCTTTCGCCAACCAGGCCCCTACCCAACCCGCTGCTACCACCGGTAGCGAGTACTCTCCCTTCTACGCTGCCGACCAGCAGCGTTTCCCTTACAACTACTACGATAGCTACGGCCAGACTCAGAATGCCACCGCTGCTCCCCGTGCAGCTCCTGGATTCGGTGTCTCGAGTGCTGAGGCTGCGCCTCAGATCCCCTCCACTCAGGCCCCCAGCCGCTACGCTCCCGTCGATGCCACCAACAGTGGTCACAACACCCCCAACCCGACCATGCCCGCTGCCAACCAGACTCCTGCTTCCCAGCACATGCAGGGTCAGCAGAGTGCCTACGGCTACGGCTATAACCCTTACTACGCCAACCCCCACTATGCTCAGTACATGAACCAAATGAACCAGCAGCCCCAGTATAACCGCAACCGCCCTATGTACGACGATGCTCGTCGCTATGACGACCCTAACCAGGCGCAGCAGCAGCAGCAACAACAGCAGCAGCAGCAGCACTACGGCATGCCCCACAACAACCAGTACGGCTACGGTAACCAATACGGTCCCTACGCTGGTAAGGGTAACATGTACGGCCAGCCCCACGGGTTCTCCTACGATCACACCTCTTCCCCTGCGAATGCTGCTGCCAGCTTCAACCAGGGCACCCCTGGACGTGACTCAGTCTACGGTGGTCGCACCGGCTCTCAGCCTGCCGACAACCAACAGACAGCCGCTGGCAGCAACGCCTTCGGTACTGGCATGTCGGATGTCTTCAGCCGGTCTCAGGCCGGTAGCTTTGGTCAGAACCCCTCTGTTGGCCAGCAGGCTCCCGTGACCGCTGAGGAGACTAAGGGCTTCGAGGCTCCCAAGGCTGGCGGTCCTAGCCCGTCCCTTGCCCAGGCCAACCGCCCTGGCTCTGCCACCAACAACGTTCCCGGCCAGCCCCAGGGCCAGACCGGTCTTCCCCCGCTGCAGGGCCAGCAGGGTCAGCAATCCTTCGGCGGCTATGGTCACTTGAACCCCCAGTATGGCGGTCTCGGTGGTCTCAGTGGTCACCAAGGCGCTGCTTCGCAGACCGGTGGTTACAACAACTACGGTGCCGGATTCAGCAACTACTACGGAAACAACAACAACCGTGGTGGCTGGGGTAACAACTACGGCCACTAAGCTCAGGGAATGACTTCTTTTTCTTTTCTTTTTCTCCTTCCCTGCCATACTACACATATGGCGTTGCACTTTGCAGGTGATTTGAGAAAATCAAAAACAGGGCGGGGTTTTTCTTTTTTTTCTTGTCGTGATCAGTGGGAATACTTGATGACATCTTGTCCGCAGGACAGACAAGGAAGCCAAAAAAACCTCTTATCATTTTCTTTTCATCTTTTTTTCCTCACATCTGTGTAATCTCTACTCTCTTCTGGGAGCTTGGCTGGCTTTGACTTTTGGGGGGGGGGACTGGGTACTCGCGTTTTCTTTTTTCTTCCTTTCGACTTCCCCATGCTCTTTTCCTTTTGCTACTGTCACGCTCGAGGCGGTCTGTATTAAATCCATCAATTTTCCCCAGTGTCCTCTCTTCTCTCTACCTCACCTGACCCTTGTCCTTTTTTATCTTTTTTCTTTTTCTTTTTTTTTTTCTTCTTCGCCCTAGCTCACGGTGTCAATTGAGGTTCAATGTGCCACTAGGTGAAGACAGGTTTGTGTGTCCCTTTTTTCATTTTCCGACCTCTCTTTCATATGCATTGTCTATGACTGTTGGGTATGGCTGGGGTGGATCGTGATGGATCCCTCTCATTAATGAGCCTTTCAAAAAGTGTGATGAGTTATGTACGCACCTATACGAACCAGATATTGCAAGACTCAATAGAATATCTCTAGGGGATAAGCTTGAAGATGGATTATGTTCAATGTTCATTGTAAACCTTTCCGTAGCGTACACTACTTATGTATACCAGTTGTCATTGATTGAACTTGAGGCATCTACACCAAACATTGAATGAAGGGAACCTTGGATCTCAGGAATATCCCAAGGTTGAAGACAGATGGAATATTCAACATCATATAATTAGGTTATGCAACCGTTGATCTGCTCATTTCAAGCGTATAAGCAAGCAAGAAGATCCTCGACCGGGACTATATACAATCAAAATGCGTGGCATGGTCCTCCAAATACATAACCAAGGACATCACAAGGCGAAACTCTATGTGTGAAGACATTCGGGCTAAGGGGCAGGACTAGATAACCCGAAGGTAAGAGAGAGAGAGAGAGGGAGAAAGGGAAGAGCGTGGTCCTGGCACCCTAGAACCACGAGAAAAAGAAAAACACCCCAAAATGAACATATGAGAACGCAAACCAGGGAGAGCGTAGCTCAACTACCAAACAGATCTACCTTGTAAGATCCATCTACGCTCAAAGGCCAAGACCCTCAGGTCCAACCTTGTGGTAGGGTGGCTTGGCATCAACAGCACGGGTAGCATCAAATCGCCAGATTCCACCGGTCTGATCTCCATCGAGATCCGGGGAAAGATCCAGCGACCGACCAAGCTCCTGGATGGTGGCGTCATCATCCTTGGGCTCGTAGCGCGTGAAGAAGCGACGCTCCCACTCGCGGTCCTCGGTCTTCTCTACGCGACGCAGCTCACGCTGGGCATTCTCAATACGCGACTTGTGATGGGAGACAGCGTTCATGTCGTTCTTTTGGATGTTCTCGGCAACTTCTTTCCAGGCGCGGCGGCTCTCGTACAGATCCTGCTCGTCAACCGGGGCCAAAGTCAGCGGGGTAGTCTGGTTGTCCTCGACAGTCCAGGAGTCCACGACTTTGCCGGCTTTCTTAATCGTGAAGGTGTTTGACCACTGGCCGTCGATGGTGTAAATGGGCTTCTTCTCGCCTTCGCTAGCCTTGTACAGGCTCGCGGTGAAGGTGTTCTTCTTGCCGCTCAACCAGCCCTTGCCGGAGAAATCGATCTTGGAGACATAGCCGCTGCTGCTGGCAATTTTGGCGGTCTTCTCGAGCTCAACAAATGGAGTTCCGTAAATCAGGGACTCGATGTGCAGGTTGGGGAGGGTGATCAGGTATCGCTCCTTCTCCTCGGAACCGGGCGGAGTGAGGGTGTAAAGGGCGTGTCCGATCTGCTTCACCTGGATGGTGCTGGAGAAGGAAGCCTTCTGGGCGTTGTATCCTTGGAGCTATATAACGAGAGCACGTGTTAGTGACCGTGATTGGGATTAAGGTTGTGACTGCGTGACACGTGATAAACTTACCTCGACGCCATTCTTCTCGTTTGAGATCGCATATGCGGTAGCGGGAGGGTGGTGGCTTTAAGAAAAAAAATATAGTTGTGAGGATTTCATTCGTCTACTCCGGGTGGATTGCGGGAAGAACGACACGTACCTGACCTGCTCACTGACCAACTGTGTCTCGCCTGTCTCGGCATCACCCTGCCACTTACCGATGAACAGTTCACCAAGGAAAGGATTCAGAGGCTTCTTCTCGCTACCCAGCTTCTCACTACGGCTGCAATATTGCTGGTGGAGAGTGGTCAGGAACCACTTGAGGACGAGGAGGGCCCGCTTCTCCGGATCGGACTCCTTGGCGGGAGCCACGAACACGGCGGGATGTTCGGCCCAGTAGGCAGAGTACTCGACGAGGGAGGTGGAGGACAGAATGAAGGGAGGAGCTGTCAGAGAAGAAAGATCTCCGTTGAAGGAGGCGATGGACTAAATTGAGGCCGATTAATTCCAGAAACTCGAAAATTAAGGTGGCATGCATCCCACCTTGAGGAAACTAGTCCACGAGCCCTTGCTGTGGGCAGGCACGGCACTTTGAGGCTCTTTAGGCGACATTTTTTCAATTCAAGAAAAAAAAGAAGAATTTGGAGAAAGATAGGCAATTATGTCCAACAGCTTGTCAAACGCAAAAGAACTCCAAAAAATCAATGAAGCAAGTGGGGGGGGGAACGCAGTTGATGTCAACGGTTGGCGGTCAGAGCAGAGGATAACGTCATGGGCCCGAGTTCTATGAGTGCGATTGGTTCGATCCAGATGAACAGCCACAGTTGTCACTCCTTTCCCCTTGATTGAACCACTGGCTTTTTTCTGGTTTTCTGGTTTTCTGCTCTTTTCCCGGGGTAGATTGCGCGTTGTGACTGGGTATATGCTGACTCTTAGTACTCGTGATACTTGTGATACTCGTGGTATTCACACTCCAAGAGTCCCCAACACTGCATTTTTGCCTGAAGATCGTGGAGATCGAGGGAGAAAAAAAAAAAAGAACGAAATCAATTCTCCGAAATTCCACAAAAAAATCCAAAAATCCAAAATCTCCGAAATGCATATCTGATCTTATTTACTGCGACTTTCTTTCTCCTGTTATCGCTTTTATCACTTAGTATGTATAGTATCTCTCGGTTCGGCACCACTGCCGCTACGGCTACAGTATCGGATTCTTTTCCGCACCGACTCGGCCATGGCAGACCCTAACAAAGTCTCCACGCTATCCAGTCTCAGCCATTGGTTACAGAAATGCCTGGACCGGACCCTGAAGTGACCAAAGTTCACTGCAGCATGAGCATTCAGACGCTCTAATGCCTTACGGACTATATCCCGACCTTTTGATTGAACTGTGACCCCGCCGATCCTCGGTCAAAGATGGCCGTCGCCGAAGACTCGATTTGGTGCAAATTTTTCTTTCTTCTGACTCATTGTCCTTCGATTGTAATTATTCGGTGCTTATATACCCTAATATCTTTCATGATTCTCAGATTGAACATTTCAACCACAATTGGAGCAGCTTTTGCAGATTTTGGGAACTATATCCGCACTTAGTATGCTAACGGAACGATCCCGAGGTTGAAATTTGCGCCTGATCTTTGACCCCTCAAGAACATTGGAAACATTTTCTTCCATTTCACGAAAGAACAGCATTTGAACAATCGGAATAGGCCCTTTGAGAAGTTACTCCGGGCCTCTTATCGATATATTTGGACCACCACCGCTGCATACCTAGTAGCGCACCAAAATAGTGTTCGGTATTCACCATGTCTCCAACACATTCAATCTCTAGTATCGAGGAAGCTCCCTCGGTAGAAGAGATACAACCCCAAAGAACCAAATCACGCCGATCAGAGAACGGCAATGGCCTTCATTTGGTTCAAAGTCATCTTTCTCACCATGATATGCCCGTGACCAATGACGAGTATCACGAGGTCGACGCCGATCAGTATCTACGCTTCTCCCATACCCGCAAGATAGTCATTGTTGCAGTGCTATCTTTTTGTTCGTTTCTGGCTCCAATTTCCTCCACGTCGATCTTATCGGGTGTTCCAGAGGTTGCATTGACATACAATACCACCGGAAGTATCATCAATGCTAGCAATGCCTTATACCTGGGGTTTATGGGGATTGCGGCCCCATTCTGGGGTCCATTTAGTCAAGTGTGGGGACGAAGACCGGTCAGTATTAGTACCTGAGAACCTACACATCCGGAGTACCTCTCATCTGTCATTTTATGATCTACATAAGTACTGATTCGGACTTACTAGATCTTCCTGACCAGCGCTTTTCTCTTCTTTGTCTTCAGTATTGGCACTGCGCTGGCTCCGAACCTTCCAGCATACTTCATCTTTCGTGTTCTTACTGCCTTCCAAGGAACATCTTTCCTGGTTGTAGGTAGTTCCGCCATTGGCGATATTTACGAGCCACGGGCTCGTGCCACGGCCCTCGGCTGGTTCCTATCGGGTACCCTCATCGGGCCAGCATTTGGACCATTCCTCGGCGTACGCTCCTTCCATCAACTCTTCCATCAACCTAAATTGCAGGAAATTAATATCTGTCATAGGGTGTTATCGTCACATTCTGCTCCTGGAGAGTAGTCTTCTGGCTCCAAACCGCACTAGGCGGCGTCGGCGCATTACTAGTATTTTTCTTCTTCCCAGAGACATATCCACACCTCGCCAAGGCAGACCCAGCCCAGAAGACCTCGAAGCAAAAAGCCAAGTTCCTCTGGCACCGCGTCAATCCCGCGCGCGTGGGCATCCTTCTATTCTCGTACCCGAATCTCTTTTTCGCGGGCCTAGCAGCCGGTGCACTGGTCTGGAACCAGTATTCCCTCCTCACACCCATCCGCTACGTGCTCAATCCCCGCTTCAATCTAACCAGTCCCATCGAATCGGGTCTCTTCTACATCGCGCCGGGATGCGGGTACCTAGTCGGCACGTTCATGGGCGGGCGATGGGCAGACCATACTGTGAAGAAATGGATCCGCAAGCGCGGCGGCGTCCGTGTTCCAGAAGACAGACTTAAATCTTGTCTTGTCTTTCTTGGGATCGTTATTCCCGGCTGCATTCTCGTCTATGGCTGGACTGTTGAGAAGGCTGTTGGTGGGATTCCGGTCCCGGTGCTTGCGATGTTTATTCAAGGAATCGCACAGCTCTTTTGTTTTCCCAGTTTGAATACGTTTTGTTTGGATGTTATGCAGTCATCTGGTCGAAGTGCGGAGGTTGTTGCGGGGAATTACATGTTCCGGTATGTTTTTGCGGCCATTGGCTCTGGCGTCGTGCTTCCGGCTGTCGAGGCTATCGGTGTTGGATGGTTTAGTACTATCAGTGCCCTGTTCCTTGTGATCGCGGGGCTGTGTGTCTGGGCGACTACAATCTTTGGTGATAAATGGCGAAAGCAGGTTGATGCTAAGAATCAGCGCAAGGAGGGTGGAATCATTGAGGGCCCTTCTTCTCAACCGAACGATGAAAAGAAGGCCGAGGTTTGAGAAAGACATTGAATTTGTGAAAGTTTTTTTTCTCTGATTTCAAAATTTGCATTAAATACTAAGCGGCAATGTTTTTTGAACATAGAACAACAGAAAAAAGGCCGAAGGGACCTTGGAAACATTGAATAATTTGAACGAACGGGCTTGGGAATATTCTGATCAATTATCAAGCATATGAAATAATGAATCCTTTTTAGAGTGCCTTTGAACCTCCCAAAATTAACTCAGGGCTTGAGCAGAGCTTTTTCAATATCTCCCCAAGCCACTGGAAGTCGTCCAGCTCCAAGTATATCTGCCCACTGAGCCGAGTCCACAAAGCCGAATCATACACAAAGAAGGTAACAGCCGCAGAGTGATCCATGGCAAATCGTTCATACAGGAGTTCTGCAATCTTGTTCGCCTGTGAAGTGCTAAGAACAGGCCAAGTTGCTGGCATCTTTGGCGTCTCTTCTGCTACCGAGTCTGCGACAGTAAATGGCAAACGCACATTGGCGAGCGCACAATTCCTGATTCGACAAGGTCCACCTTTTCCAGATTCAGATTCAGGCTCTCCCAGAATATCAGTCCCAAGGATTTTGGCAACGAGATTGCCGCCTTCGAATGCAATCCGACGATTATATTCGAAAATAGCATCTTCGCCTCCTGGGACTTGGGATCGGAACTCCAAAGCGGTTGGGACTGTCAAGTATGAGGTGTTATCGGTCATTGCAGTGACTTCAAACATATTTTCAAACACCGACTTGGATTCAACAAGCGGTGGCGCTGTTGGTGAAGAAGGCTTGTGCTCTTGGTTTTGCGGAATGAACATGTGATAGGTCGGCATTGCGTTGCGAATGAGATGTTGGTTGCGGCGCGGGACATGGAAGACAGAGCATCCTCTCGCATTGTAAAGCCATCTATATGAAGTGGTTAGAATTGCCATCACAGAGACGTGCGTATTTTGTGCTCCCGACTTACTTGTGGGTTATGCTCACGAAGAAATCCGGGTTTAGTTCTCCAAGATCAAGAGGGATGTGACCAACCCCATGTGCGCCATCAACACAACTGAGAATTCCACGCTCTCGACAAACTTCCGTCAATTTCTCGAACGGCAACCTGATGCCAGGCTTACTAGCAATGGTGTCGAAAATGGCGATCCGGACGTTAAAGCCCTCCTCAGTAGCCTGTTGCACCGTCTGCAAGAACATCGCAACAATGTCCTCGTGACTCATCGGAAGAACCAAATCTATCTTTCGGGCCTGTAATGGGGTGGATTCCATGACAGACTGAATTATTTTTTCGCAGGGCGGAAAGATAGTCGAGAAGTAGATGATCATGTCTCTTGGGGCGAAGGAAATGTTGCGAAGTACCACATTGATGGCGACTGTTGCACTCTTGACGTAAACAATCTCGTTGGTAGGAACATTTAAGTAGTTCGCCATTGCCTCTCGAGAAGTATCCAACAGATCGGCATATTGAAAACCGATGAATCTGTCCGGTCGTACTTCGAGGGTATCTTGTATACGGCGAACTTCATCTCTGACCTTTCTGGGGAATGTGCCATACGCCCCTAGTTGGAAATTAGTTATCAAGAGCATAAATGTTATAGACGTTGATTTGGAACCTTGGAAGCTCACCGTGGTTGAAGTTTTTCCAATCATCGGCTAGAAGGAATTGGTCGAGCATTGTATGCCCTAGGCCGTGTGGTTGGTTTGACATTGTAAAGGGAGAATTATCGCCAATTGCAGGTTTTATTTTGCGAGTTGAAATAAAACATTTGCATATTGAAATCAGCGGCAATGTTTGCCATATAAGAATGATGGCGGCCAGCCAAGTGGATCCCGACCGGTAAGTGACTCACCCAAAGGGCGTAGCCACTTTGAGTCTTCGAAATATAATTGGAGCTATTTGATGATCTTCGTATTCTTCAGTGTCCATTGTTGATTCGAAAAGTAGATAAGATACACTTGTCGGTGGTGAGACTGTCCATCGTGGATCCCAGTAGCCCGAGCCACGAATTTAATGTGCCTGCGCTTCGAAGATTTCAAGACTGACATTGGCACCCCTGGTGTCTAACAGCCTTCTTATGTTATTGAACTTCATCTACAGTGTCATCATTCACACCCGACACCCTCTTTCCCTTAAAGTGGGTATTCGGGTCCAACCCGGCTTCCGCAACAACGCGGTCTACCTTCCGCTGCTCTGTAAACCTCCTGCAATCTTCGCGACCCTTTTCAATGTCCACAAATCCAATTGCAATCATGGCACCAGTGCAAACAGCAAAAAGGAAAGGAAAGCCCATCCAGTTGTTGCGGGTGTTATTGATGATAGCTTGAATGACGTTGGGGCCAATGATTGAAGACTTGAATTGATTTGGAGTTAGTAGGTGAGAGAGTTAACTGGAGATGCGCCTAGTAACCACTTACTGCCCGATTGGTGATTCCAAACAATGCAAAAAACATATTGTCATAGCGCCGAGGCATGAGTTCGCTGATCATGGTTTGGGCGTACTGTAGGCCCCGAGTTAGCTAGATACTTAAATCTTGAGAAAGCATAAAGAAACATACAGCGTAATATGGCGCTTGAAACAGGCCGAAGACGACATTGTAGAAGTAGAATTCCCACTGAGACTTGTCAGTATTGTTATGGAAACTTGAGTGACATGACATACTCTATGGTGGTAACCAATTCTGTTAGTCCATAATCCTAGCATGCCCCAGAATGGAATGAAGACGCTGAAGAAATTGGTTATCATGAACATGGTTTTGGTCTTGATTTTGAAGTATCGCTGGATGTACCAGAATCCGAATGTTGAACTTATGGAACAGACAGCTTGCGTGATGCCAAGGTAGGTTATTTGCAAAAACGAGAACGATACGTAGTCGTTTTGGATGATTGAGACAAGCGTTCCTAAGTTCTATGAGCATGATACTTTACAAGAACATAGCGGACAGTATACCTGTTGTGTTGAGACCGTCTGCTAGCAGGAAATATGCCACAAAGTATAAAAATGTTTGAGGGAGACTTCTGATCTCTCTCATCGCAAGCCAAATCTGCTTAAAGCCGATAGTGGCATAGTTCGAGCCTTTAGGAACAGTGGGACCAGGTCGCTTCTGTTGAAACAAGAACCACCAGATTCCGAGAACCACCCAATCTATTCAGATATGGTCAGAGTCAAAAAATGGCATGGACTGAAAATGTATTGACTCACATGAATTTGTCAGGCAGAGCGCAAGATTGTTTGAGTATTGATTATTCTGCATTGGAAGTAAAACACTTAGATTTAGCACCAAGGTGAGGAGGTATCCAATATTGCTATGCGCGGTTGAAATGTTACTGCAGAAGATTTGTCAGTGTTTCAGATTCGTTAGGAATAGATACTAAATTAGATGGCTATTACCTGATATGATTCCTCTCCAAAGACTCGATTGCATCATATTCTTGTTGATTAATCTTGCCTTCTCTGAGCTCATCTCGAGCTTTTCGGACATGCGGCATGTAACGCGCCAGTCTAGGAAAAACTGCCGCATAAAATACCAGGGTCGCTCCATAGGCAATATATGCAACAACATACATACCCATGGCGGCGGGCCATTGACTAGGCTGTCGGATCGCAAGCATGCCATATTGTAGCGCCCAAGCGACAACCGTCAGGGCTAAAAGAAGCCATCGTCCAAAAGAGCCGTAATCCGCAGCACTACCTAGCCAGACAAAGATGACAGTCATGAAGGCAAAGCAGAGACCGTTGGCAATTAAGATGACCGAGGATGTAGATCGTGTACCACCCGCCCAGGGCACCACGCAGGCGGAGGAGTCGGTACAGGGCTGGGGCGGATTGGTGTCGGGTATGAATCCGGCATTTGTCAGAGCCCATTGGAATCTGTTAGGGTCTAAATCAGCCTCAACTGCGCGGTGAGAGGTTATACTAACGTAGGGATGACTAGTACATACAAGGCTTGGCTGTAGGAGCCTGGACCGACGCCATTGTCACCTGATTTTTGGAATGTTAGTTGACCTCGCTGACTTTGATATTGATGAGCTTCATGATTGCAGTTTACCGTTATAGTAGAGATAGTAAGACCAGAGCTCTTTCCGAGTTGTGGTGGGTTGGTCATAGGCGTCTTCATCGACGCCAAACAATCGTTCATATTCCTGCTGCGCTTCAAGAGGCTGCACTTGTGACGGGACTATCACTTCATTGACAGTGGCATCTTTGGATGGTACTCGAGTTTCGTCCTGATCTGCTGAGTTCTCCATGGTTCATTTGACAATCAACCTCGGAAACCTGGGGAATGAAGGGAGGAAGAGAGTTTCGTTATGATTTCTATGGTTTCTATCTTTACTGAATTACCCCGCATTGTTCATGCTCTCATGCTCTGATGCTCTGATGCTCCCATGTTCTAATCTTGTACCTTCCCCCACTTCAAGACTTATCTGTAGCTTATCTTGACTGGATGTGACTCTGGAATGTTGCATCGATCGCTGGATTAGAATTAGTCTAAACGAGGTAGTAAGACTAGTGGCCTTTAGTGACTAACAACGTTACCTCGCAACTAATCCCCAGCTATGATCAGGTTAGTTAGTAAATACAGAAATAATTTCCAGGGTAAATAGCATTAAATCCATGAAAACCACTCTCTTTGGGCGCTAATACCCGCCATAGTGGAGCCAGCAAAGAGCTCCGATGGGTAAATGGGGCAGTTTCCACTTATCGACACTCATCCCCGCCATCGTTGACTTACTCTGGAGTCTGAACTCACCATCACCTCAACGCCTTCAGTACTATGGGTTCAACAGACCTCCAGAAACAGGTTGGCCAGGTATGGATCAATATGTATGCTTTGAAAGTGAGAAATCATCACTAACAAAAAATCCTAGTTGTTTGCGGTCGGGTTTCATGGCCACACACCTAGCCCGGAGATCAAAACACTGATTCATGAGCATCATGTCGGAGGCATCGTTTTATTCTCCCGCAATTTTGAAGATGCCACCCAGCTTCAGGTAAAGAAATCACCCCATACTCATAACAGTTTTCATTGAATAGAAAGCACATTGTCGTCAGCTCTCCTTAAGAATAGTACAGATACTGACATTCTTCTCGAAAGGCCTTGACTCTGGCCTTACAGACTGAAGCAAAATTGGCTGGCCACACACGACCTTTGCTCATTGGAATTGACCAAGAAAATGGCATAGTCACTCGGATTTCCCCTCCGATCGCTACTCAAATTCCAGGGCCGATGGCTCTTGGAGCCACGGGTGATCCAGAGATAGCTTACCAGGCAGGCAAAGCCACAGGAGAGACTTTGGGATTTTTCGGCGTCAACATGAATTACGCTCCAGTTTGCGACATAAACTCAGAGCCATTGAATCCAGTGATCGGAGTTCGCAGCCCCGGCGACAACCCGGAAACCGTGGGCAGTTTTGCCAGTGCTGCGGCGCGTGGTCTTCGGGAGCTGAATGTCGTTCCTAGTGTAAAGCACTTTCCCGGTCATGGAGATACTGCGACCGACTCACACTATGGACTACCAGTCATCCCCAAGACACGCGATCAGCTCGAACGATGTGAATTGATTCCATTCCGAAGGGCCGTTGCTGAAGGCATCGAGGCAGTCATGACTGCCCACATCTCCCTTCCACATATTGACGACAAGCTTCCCGCAACCTTGTCGCCCAACGCACTCGCGATCCTGCGCAAAGATATGGCCTACGATGGGATGATCATCACTGATTGTCTTGAAATGGATGGTATCAGGTCCACTATCGGCACTGAGCAGGGCTCGGTTCTTGCGATCAAAGCTGGAAGTGACAGCATCATGCTGTGTCATACCTTCGAGGTACAAGTTGCTTCTATTAAAAAGGTCTGTGAAGCTGTCCAGTCTGGAACACTTGAGTCATCTCGCTTCGAGGATGCATGCCGCCATGTGGCGCATGTGAAAGACAAGTTCCTGAGTTGGGATACTGCCTTACGCCATAATGATCTTGCAGAACTTGATGCACTCAACAACAAGACTGCTCCGATTTTCAGAAAAGCTTATGAAAAGTCGGTCACTCTTGTTCGTGATACAAATCAAACTCTGCCCCTTTCAAGCACAGGAACTATGGTGTTTCTTTTCCCTGGAAGTAAAATTCCTGTTGGAGGCGCTGTGGATGGTGAGGGACTGGGCCGACAGGGATCATATCAAGTTTCCCCGTACCTTAATGCACTTCGATCTCACAATCCCTCTGTGGCTGAAATCAAGTACAAGGACACCGGACTATCGACGGAGGAATGGAACACCGTTAAGGCAGCTGATGCTGTCATCTTCGTCTCCATAAACGGGAAGGAAGCGCCATATCAAGAAGCACTGGGCCATGAACTCTCTCGAGGCGTTCGTAAACTTGTCGCTGTTGCCGCATGTAGTCCGTATGACTTCCTGGATGTACCGGAGCTTCACACATACATCACGACCTACGAGCCGACGATCGAATCGTTTACAGTCGCGGCGGACATTATCTTTGGTCAACTAACACCAAAGGGATCCCTTCCCGTCAGCAACGGAGCTCCAAAAAATAATGTGGCGTTGACTCTGTTCGATCCCGAAAAGGATTTGGATGAAGTGGTATCTGCATGGGAGGAAATATTTCCAACCTACATTTTGCCCACGGATAGTTTAGGTACCTTGATCACTCGGAAGAACGGCCGTCACTTTGTCGCGCGGCTTGGATCAGAGTTAGTGGGATTTTGTCTTGCATATCTCAATGCCTTCGGTCCGCCATCCACTGTGCATATAGCAGTTTTGGGAGTTACGCCAAAGCATCAAAGTCAGGGAGTCGGCACGTCCTTGTTGATGGAGACTCGATCATATTTCAGAACCAACTTTGGCATTCAAAAGCTTAACCTTGGCAGTTCGTTTCCTCGCTTTTGGCCTGGAATTCCTCGTGAACTTCCTGAATCTGTTCAAAGCTTCTTTGTCCACCGCGGCTTCCGACTAAATGCACCAGGGAAGAGATCAGTGGACCTATTTCAGGATGTTCGCAATTTCCAAGCTCCCGAGAAATATATGAGCCGTGCTCAAGATCGAGGCTTCCGCTTTGCTCCTCTGCAGCCCGAAGACTATGAGGCGTGCCTAGTTGGTCAGAATAAGAACTTCTCAGATAAAGCGGTATGTTATTTTCAATTTTGTTCGACATATTGGGGGGCCTGGGCTAACATTCTCTTCAGGGCTGGGTCGAGGCGTATGTTATGTTGGAACCAAGCAAATATCCATCCTGCGTGATGGTTGCCTTTGATTCCCAAAATCAGCAAGTCGGATGGACACTCATGCTGCCACCGTGCCCGGAGTTGAATCAAGGTTGGACATTCCCACAGATTTGCGGTCCAAACACCGGGTTGATCGGCTGTGTTGGTGTTGATGCGGAACACCGGAAATCCGGCATTGGTCTGGCGCTCATCTGTCATGCCGTTGAGAATATGAAGCAGCGGGGAATTGAAGGAGTCTTTGTTGACTGGGTGGCTTTAGATGGATGGTATGAACAGGTCGGATTTACGACTTGGAGAAGCTATCGACCTGGTGAGATTTGAGAAGGCGGCATTGGATATATTTTTAAGAGACGTCTTTGGATTCGTTCAAAGGAAAATCTCGGAATCTACCTTGAATCAGACCGTTGAACTCTTTGGAAGATTCAACATTGTATTCATATCTGCTATAGATATAGAACATTGAATGACAGTCCAGTTAATCTCAAAGTACCATTAATGCTGATCAGAATTCGTCATTGCATCAACTCTGGCTCGTGATTTCTTGAAACCCTCACTCCTCTCTGCATCCGTACGGCCAGTATCCGGAATAGAAGCTCCCTTCAGCACCGCGCTTCTCTTTGCGATATTCTCAACCCATTTGCGCACAGCCGGGAACTCCGCAAGATCAATCTCAAGCGCATCGGGGCCAGAACGAACCCACGAGAAATTCGCAATATCCGCAATGGTATACTTATCGCCGGCTAAATACGGACTTTCCTTCAGGCGAATCTCGAGAACAGAGTAGAGGCGCTTCGTCTCCTCGATATAACGCTTGATTCCGTAATCGGAGCGAGCGCCGGCAAAGAGGCGGAAGTGGTTTGCTTGGCCTGTGGGTGGAGTCAATATTCGTTTGCTTAGTATTCTCATAGCCTCTATAGTTACAGTAGTGAGGTCTACGATTGCTTGGTGTGTAACATACCTTGCATAGGTCCAAGGCCACCCATTTGGAACATGATCCAGGATAGCTGCTCGATGTATTCGGGTGTTCCGGGCGCATAGCTGATCTTTCGATCGGTATCATATTTGTCAGCTAGGTAAAGCATCACTGACCCGCTCTCGAAGACGCGCTGTGAGCCATCGGTGATTGCAGGGATTCGGCCATTAGGATTGATTTTCAGGAACCAGCTGCGACTTCGTATTAGAACAGATATTCCGGAGCCAGCCGCTATATAAAGAGTCGAGACTCGGGAATCGGCATTGCCATTGATCTCAATTTTTCCACTTACTCCTCTTTTTGGATGTTGGTGCTGATGTCAATTGGCACAGTCTTGTAGGCTAGACCGAGCTCTTCGAGGGTAATGGAGGCTTTGATGCCGTTTGGCGTGGGCCAGCTGTATAGGGTGATGTTGGAGTTGGACATGATGGGCGATGTGGAGAATGGACGGAAGGTTGAGAATTGGGAAAGTCGTGATGCAGCTCTTAAGGAGCTGGAACCGGTGCGGGGTAGCATAATGATGAGATAATTATTAAATTAGTATCTAGAAGTTTTGGATGCTTCTGGAGCTTAAAAGATGCACAGGGTACCATGTCTACAGTGCTTGACTCAGCTTATTTCCCCAGCTTTAAGCTCATTTGTCAGCATCCTGCAATGGCGTCATGTCATTTTGGCTTTTGCTGCATTTGTCAGGAAACTCGGAGTCGGGGGATTTTACGCGTTATGGAAGCCTGCAGACTGGTAACCAAATTTAACCAATAATTCAATCTGGTGTTTTTCAAGTCAGCATTTTGCCGCATGAGTCTAGACAAAAAAAACAGAAGAGGTTGCCATGTGAATCGATGGCCCCTATTAGTGTTTGTTCTGTTTGCATCTTATGGTCACGCTCACCTGTGTGTCATTGCACAACACTTCCCCGATGCCAACTCCCGTACGGTAACTTTCTTCCGTCAGACAATTGTCAATTAGTCTTCCTTTACCAACTACCATGGCTGCTTTCAGTAATCCGGGTGGATGATCCCCACATGGTCGACAGCCACGAGCTCCTTCACGTTGCAACCCCCAGGAAATGACCCGCTCAAGCCTCGCCGAGATTCCCCACGAATTTCACCGGATGCAGATGATATTACAAGAATTGGACGGCCTCCTGTATGACCACACTCCCTTGTCATCCCTGCGCTCGGAGCTGGCTTGGCTACTTGGAAGTTGGGAGTCGTGGGACACAACATCTTGCACATGGACATGTCGCTTAACGGTTAGAAACCCAGAAGACTGGCAACATACCTTAGTCGGCAAGCCAGGATATAACTCATAGCCGAACCGCATCGGCTTCGCTGGTGTCACCCTGGCTATACGAACAAGCGGCGCTGTTTGTTTCCGTATCACGGTTACGCGGGCTAGGCTTGCGGCTTTAAAGCTCATCCCGAGGGGACATAGGCAGGGCTGCAGGGCCCAAGTGGATCTTAGGAGGCAGACATCGTGAACGCTAGTCTCGGGCCCAGACTACCATGAATCAGTAGGTTAAATTTTCGGCAGCTGGGGCCGGCTTGGCCGACTTCTGGGGTTGGAGTTGGTGTGTCAGTCCAACCCAACCCCGAATTGTCTCCACTCTCCCCGTGGAGAATGCAACTTGATTTCATTAAATCTTACTTCTTCAACACGAATTGAGAGAAGAAAATCCACTGGATGCAGTCTTATTCTCGAGTCTGTGGAACAGCAGATTTGGGAAAAGATCCTAGTCGATCTATTTCCAGCCACCAAATCAAGCTCGTGCAAACCTCAAGGGCAAGGTTTATTCTCATCAGGCCAACCTTATGTAGTATGTCTATTTTACTTTGGTCGACTCCCCTAGTCAGCCACGATACACAACAAGGGCCTCTCAACAACGAATCACAGGCCTCCCTTTCCGGTCATGGGCTGTGCGAAAGCGTGAGATGGAACTCAATGTTCTATGCACCGGGTTATTTCAAGGTTTTGCTCCCATTGCCTTGGTGGATGAGAGCCTAGTTGAAAGATTGCGGCTGGACTAAAACAAGTCCATGGAAATAGCTGTATACATGCAGATTTTCTGGTACTACACTGTAATGTTGCTTGAGAGTGGCCCAAAGGGCCGCCTCTTATCTAATCTCCACTTCAATTGACTTGCATAACTAGTACTAGTAGGTGTTTGGCCATCATTGGGCGAACATTTCTCCATGGGCGAGTGGATCCCTTCCCCGCCATCACATCAGTATAGGTGAAGCTAATTCTGCTGTAGGTCTAGTAGCTGTAATTGATTTTCACAAGGCCCAATCCACCGCTGATCTTGCCAACCGGCCTGAGATGAGAAAAGTGAATCTCTTGGACCATAAAATTCAAGGTTCACGCCAGTGATCGTGACTTCCTTTCTTGTTTCTTGGGTCTAATTCACTGTCAGATGCACCTCTCACTTCATTCCTTCAAACTTCTTTCCTTCTTCTTCCTTCTTCCTTCCTCATTCTTCCTTCTTCCTTCCTTAGTCATTCTTCATTCTTCCTTCCTTATTCCTTCTCCGCCTCTCCTATCGTTTTCTGTTTCAATCTTTGCATAGTTCATCAACACTCAACCCACAAATTTCCCAGGTCTATCTGTCAAGATGAACCAAGACTCAGCTGAACTTGGCTCTCCTCGCAGGTGAGTAATGATTTTCATTACAAGTATACACAGGTTCCTAATCATTAACAGTGCCAACATCAGTCGGGATGGTGCCAGTCCTGAGAAGGATCATTATGACAAGTCCCACCTTGAGGTGGTGAATCTAGAGAACAACATTACAGCGAAGTACTTCATAGGCTCTCACAAACTTGAATATCATGGCTAATACAAAATTAGAGTCCAGAACCCCCTTGCCCATCTTACCCAGGCCGAAGTGATTCAGGGTGTCAGCGAATTTGCCCGTTGCTATGAAGTCACTGACATCCTTCCCGAGCTGACAAAGGGAGCTCTTGTTGCACGAGACCCTTCCTCGTTCGAACGCGTTCCCAATATCACGGAAACTGAGGTTGCTGCAATTCGTGATGAAGTGCTTCACAAGTGGCGCCAGCCCAAGGCCCTCTACTTCACCATCATCCTCTGCTCTATTGGGGCTGCTGTCCAAGGTTGGGATCAGACTGGCTCAAATGGGGCCAACCTCTCATTCCCTGAGGCTTTTGGCATCCCGGGAGATAAGAGTATCAAGAACCAGTGGATCATCGGGCTTATCAACGCGGCTCCATACATTGCCAGTGCCGTGTTGGGCTGTTGGCTGTCTGATCCAATCAACCGTATCCTTGGTCGTCGTGGAACAATCTTCATTTCGGCTATTTTCTGTGTTCTTACGCCCATTGGATCCGCCCTGAGTCAGAATTGGCATCAACTGTTTGTCATTCGCCTGCTGCTTGGACTCGGGATGGGCCTCAAAGCCTCCACGGTTCCAATCTTTTGTGCTGAAAATTGTCCTGCTGCTATTCGAGGAGGTCTTGTGATGTGCTGGCAAATGTGGACGGCTTTTGGAATCTTCCTTGGTTTCTGTGCTAACCTGGCTGTGAAAGATACCGGTAGACTTTCGTGGCGGTTGCAGCTAGGGTCAGCCTTTATTCCTGCCGTGCCTTTGGTCATTGGTGTATTCTTCTGTCCTGAATCCCCCCGCTGGTACATCAGACGGGGCGAGATGGCCAAGGCTTATAAGTCTCTCTGTCGACTCCGAAACACCCCACTGCAGGCTGCTCGAGATCTTTACTCCATCCATACACAGGTTCAAATTGAACGGGCCTTGATTGGCGAAGGCAACTATTTTACTCGATTTTTGGAACTTTTCACCATTCCTCGAGTTCGACGTGCGACCCTCGCCTCATTTACTGTCATGATTGCTCAACAGATGTGTGGAAGTAAGTTACCTCCCCTCTCTAAGCCAGTTATATGTCCTATCGTGTTTCTTGTTATTACATAGAAGTTACACTTTCCTCTTGCTAATCAGTTTATAGTCAATATCATTGCGTTCTACAGCTCAACTGTCTTTGTTAGTGCTGGCGCAAGTACCACAGCAGCTTTATTCGCATCATGGGGCTTTGGCTTGGTAAACTTCCTTTTCGCCTTCCCAGCAGTCTGGACAATTGATACCTATGGCCGACGTGCTCTACTTTTGTTTACATTCCCAAACATGGCTTGGACTTTGCTGGCGGCTGGCTTCTGTTTCTATGTCCCGGGGAATGGAGGTGGTCACCTTGGCAGTATCGCACTTTTCGTCTTCATGTTCGCTGCTTTCTACTCCCCTGGAGAAGGCCCAGTGCCATTCACGTACTCCGCTGAAGTGTTCCCGCTGTCGCATCGTGGTATGTCTTCTTCTTTTATCACTTGGCATATGTTTTCTCTCTCCAAGGAATCTCCAAGCTAATTTCATGTTACAGAGGTCGGTATGTCCTGGGCTGTTGCAGTCTGTCTCGGCTGGGCAGCTGTACTCTCCATTACCTTTCCCCGCATGCTCTGGGCTATGTCGGCGACTGGAGCTTTCGGCTTTTATGCGTGAGTACCCTACATTCATTTTTAGTCTTGGAAACAGTATCGATATTTCTAACAATTTACTTGCAGTGGACTGAACATCACTGCATTGATCATGATTTTCCTCTGGGTTCCAGAGACCAAGCAACGAACCCTTGAAGAGCTGGACTACATTTTTGCAGTTCCAACTCGTGTTCATATGCATTATCAAGTTTTCAAGGCTCTACCCTGGTGGATCCAGCGTTACATCTTCCGCCGGGATGTACACCTGGAGCCTTTGTACACCTTCGACATCTTGGCTCTGGCTGGAAGCGAGAATGATGTACTCGATGTGGAGACCAAGGCTGTTGTTTAGTCAGGGGGATTTCGATGACTTTTTTACAATGAGCATTATTACGACTATGGATGAAATACAAAAACAGGTTTATGTACGGTGGGACTCATTTGGTCTACCTGGAACACATTTTAACCTTGAGATTGGGACATGTTGTATGTGAGATTCTTTGAAGTTATGTAGGTGGGAGATAGCCTTAGATATCAATAATCTGACGTGTCCACCTACTTAGTTACTAAATGCAAGCTCAATGTTCCTTGGACCTGTAGGCTAACATCGGATATTCAAAACATGAATGACATTCCAAGAAAGACGAGTAAATGAGAAATTCGATGTCCAACATTCAAGATAGAACTTTCCTGATCAATTAGAGATCATCTCGAACCCCACCAGAGCTGGGATGCTCCCCTAGCTGAGAAATGTCCCCATCCGGAGCATACTCCTTGATTTTGGCAACGAAATCGGCCAGTTTTTCATGGGATAATTCGGGTATATCACCAAGTGCACCCTCTTTCCTGAGATGTGCGAAGGGGCATCCAGAGGCGATAGAAAGGGTGGCTAGGGCCAGAACGAGAAATAATCGTGGGATCATGGCGGTTTTTGGTATGCTTTTTCGAGGTCCTCTAATGTGCCGGTGATGATGCGGAAAGTTGGAGAAAGGTAGTAGAGCCCTGGGGCAGGAAGGAGTTGGATAGAGTGGAATATTTGACGCCGAGGAGCTGGAGTTACAGGCTCAGCTGCCAGTGTCTTCAATGTGTGGATGTTTCTATCTTGTCTTTGGTCGAAATGTCATCCATGGATGGCGACGATGCATGTTTTATAGTGTATCTGTCTACATCACTCGTTTTCGTAAAGCTTGGCCAGGTGAATTCCGCACTTTAATGGCGCGATAAGAAAGGCTAACCTTGGCCCTGCAGCAGGATTCACATAGCTTCGTAAAGAAGTGCATGCCACTCGCTCGACGAACTTGTTCTCCACTACGTACAGCGGGTCTGATTATTGCGACGATTTGGTCCCGAAATCTGGACGCTTGTATTGGTGAGATCTATTTTCAAGGTTTTAAAACTGCCGATCAGTCCTCTCTTTATCTTGGAATGAAGATATTCGCAACATTAGGCTACTCTCCCCTCATCCATGGATGAAGTTAAGACTAACAAGTATGCAAGTACATACAGTAGTAAAGAGGATCATCGTGTGTTGTTGGCTAAATGATTTGTCAAGGAGGCCCTTGAATCACGACTTGATACATGGATTATTTGATTTTCTTCCAATTCAATTCCCTAATGATGTGTGGAGGTGGCATAGTTCGCAGCAAAGATGGTGTGATTCCAGCACATGCTAGGTTAGTGGGGGAGAATAGTCAACTGGTTGGAATTACCGCCCTATATTTGCCGCTCTTCGAGCCTCGTAATCTATCTCCCCAATACGGTATACCACAGCTCCGTATAGACAAGTCACAAGGGGCACAAAGAATTGAACCAATCACTCCGAACCATTGAAAGGACCGTGAACCTCATTGGAATATCTCGAGTTCTTCTCAGAAAACCTCCACATCTCCTCTTTAATATACGCGCCCTCCAGAGTTTCCTCTTTGTTTACAAAACGCGTCGCGTAAAGTGCCCATAGGAACCTGCCAAAATGTCGACAACCATCTCCATCGTCATTTTCCGTGGCGACCCATTAGACTGGGCCATGTATCGACACACGGCGATCCACGTCCAATACGCAGATAGCGAAAATACCATCTTACATGTCACCGGAGCGCACCCGTTTTTTGAATACACACCGATGGATAACCACCCACAAGACTTGACCTTGCATTTAGTGGCTTCCGTTCCGGTTGCAACGCCGCCAGATTCCATTACTAAATCTATGATTCAAAATGCATGCAAAAGAACTCCGATCTGGAATGATCCTCAACACCCGGACTGGAACTGCCAGAATTGGGTGGGGGACGCTCTCGCTAGGTTAGTTGCGATCGGATGTGTCACCAACGAAGAAAGATCAGCAGCGGTCGCTCAGATGGTGGATGTGTGCTTGGAAGCGGAGGATGAGCCCGAAGATATGTGAGTATACTAATTGACAGGGTGATATGGGTTCTTTCCTCTGATTTATACTCTTTCTCTGATTAGGTGGGAGTGATGACCTCTCTCGCTTGTGACTTGCAGACTCGACATGGACGGATTTGAATCTACATAATGATGAAAGAACGAATAACTCTAAATAATGCAAGATGTGAGATATGAGATATGGTAAATCTTCAAACACCAGCTGGCTGCATCAAAAACATTTGAAGATTGCGAAAAATCTGAGAAACTCCCGTTTTTGGAATTATTTCCATACCTGCGAGAACTTAGCACACATTCATAATGATCATATCAAAAGCGCTCCCAAACCTGACTATCGATGGCAATTAACCTATTGAAAAGCTGATTCCTCATTCCCATAGCCGTCAGCTGATAGGAGTGACCGGGCTCTTTGCCCACAATAAGCAGTCCATCAACAACTTCCTTGCCTCCTATGGCCCATCCAACAACCAATTTGCCCTTCCAGCCCATCCCACCCTGCTTCTTCATCTCTTGGACGTCCGACACCGGCATGGTAAACAGGACGGAGCCGCTCTTTCGACTTTCCATCTTGGTATCGCCATGCTGAATGTCAGTCGTAAAGTACAGCAACGGAGGTTCCTTGGTGGAATCAATAACAACGGCTCCGCGCTTTCCTTTATATCTTGCTTCAAATTGAGTAGGTCCGATGGGCGAGATTTCTTTGCCCTTTGGGCGCAATACTCCAAGCCGATTGGCAGCCTGAGAGGAGCCAACCATTGCACGGACTTTGTCGACGCCTCTTTTACTCTCCACTCCAGTAGCAGTGGTTCCACGAAAGAACCCGATCATTCTGGATGCCCAGGTCTTTTTAGGCATTGCGGAAGAAGTGTTTTCTGGTTTCTTTGGCTCTGGCGAGGCAGCTTTCGTGATTTCGTCTGGCGTAGCATCTAGGGTCAGCTCCTCATGATAGAGTGAGGCCGGACGAGAGGGGGGCTTGCCCTGGGACTTTGGAGGTGGTGGTAAAGGTGATGCATTCGCTTCGCCAATTCGCAATAGAGTAAGCGTAAGCTGGGCATTTGTAGGAATGCCTTTGAGTACCGAGCTATTGGTACTATTAGCAAAGAACGATCAACGATTTATTTACTTTGTGGGCAAATATACTTTTGCAACTCCAGTAGTTTCTGCCAGTTGGGAATTTTTCGGTTCAAATAGGCAATGGCGCGCCAAATGACGGGATCTCCGAAGAAAGCGAACCCAAAGAGGAACCCAGTGGTTTTCATGAACATGTAGCTTGATACGAATGTCGATATGAGACATAACGGTGCAACGATACAAGCTAAGCGTAGTTGAGGAGCACGTCGTGGAAACGGTCGTGTTCCTGACAAAGCACTGATATAAATGGTCAATATTGGTCGTCCACAAATATTCAAACGCGGAAAAACTGACTTTCCCAACTTCTCATATGTATCGGTGATGTCGTTAATCACCTGCATGGTCATATTAGCGGCATCCATTACAGACTCTTTCATAGGTTGTCTGGTCTTGTCGTGAGAATCTGCAGGTATCGCTCCAGCTGCAGCACTTTGAGCATCTGCGCTACTGGCAACGACATCCATAGCATCCGGCACGGCATCTTCCAGGGGCGCATCTTCTGGAACAGCCTGGTCGTTTTTCCCGACTGCGCTACCCACAGCAACCGTTGCGACACTGGATACAAGGTTACTGGCTTCTTGCTCAGCAGCCTCGCCTTTGAAGTTCTCGGGTGCGCCAGTAATGCTATCGTGGGAGCCCAATACACCAGCCTTTGGTTTCTGGATCCCGCCAGTGCTCTTATCCACAAGAGCTATGGGCGCTGGTGGAAACAGAATCGGTCGACAGGGAGGATAAACAATCAAGGCAAGCAAAGCTGCAAAGGCTGCTGGGATGAGAAGATCCAAAAGCCAGGCCACAGAGTAGACTGCACAAAATATAGAAGTTCGTTGAGCTTCTTTCCAAGATCTGAGGCGAGCAATTTGCTTGATGAAACATGTCAGACTGATCACGACGGTTGTATAAAACCTCTCCAGTGTAGTTCTTAGTTTTTCCGGCGAAAATTCCTCATCGCAAGATCGAGTTAAGTCAAGTTTTTGAAGGGGGGCATTTGGCGCCGCTTTGACGCAATATACTTGCTATAGGATGTCAGTTGTAATTGAAGTATGATGGAGCTTCTTTCCCGTAATTCACCTTATCGAATCGTCTGATGAGCATCCACAGGTCTTCATTCGACAATCCAGCGACAATGGCCTCGTCAAAATGGTGAGAAGGCTGATTCCATCCAAGATCCGTGATATCTGAGGTGATTCCTGCTTGTTGGGAAAGACCTTTTTCATCTTGTTCGACCTGAGATAAAATATGACTATCTGTCGGCCCTTCAGGACTTAATGGCTCTCCAATGCCATTAATGTTGCCGCTCTGCCGATCATGGCTGGGGTCTGTGCCCAATGGAGCGGCAGTGGCAGACATAGTGGATGTCCAGTGTAATTTGTAGACAGTCAGAGAGTCACGAATGAAGTGGTTATTTGAGGAACTGAACACAAGTTAGAAAAGAAGATGAGTTATATTGAAGAGAGATTGGATCCATGGATTGGTGTGTGTTCTTTCTCTTGTTCTTTCTTGGATTTGTTATACTCCCCTCACCGACGTCATCATGTCCAGCAGGAAAATGAACTTCAAGATACCAAACACAAGGGTTTAGCGATTGACAACAATCTGAGTGGGGATTCTTGCCACCAACATGCAACAAGTCTTATTTCCTTCTTACTCAACGTTTTCGTCATCGGAAAAGCCAACTTTACCCACAACTGGTCTACATGGTGACTAACAACGATAAGGTCACATGACAGCGCGCGCGTTCCCGTCGCTCGATATGGAATTTCCCGGCGCGTACCTTGATCAGCTTCATATTATCTCTAGCTCTCAGCCAGATGGCGGAGAGGCCACCATGAGCGAGGAGTGTGCCAACCCCCTGTTACTGGGATGGATCAAAGAGTGGTTGGATCAAGCCCGAGAGCGGAACAGCAAGGGTATGACAGTGTGGGTATCTCCGTGGTCCTTGTTTCGCGCTTGCCGTGTTGCTGATGTCATTCTAGGTACAAGAAAGCCTACGAGTCGATGAAAGCATGCCCGTTGGAATTTCAACACCCATCTCAGGCCCAGCAGCTCAATGGGCTGGGTCCTAAGCTGTGCGAACGTTTGACGGATAAACTGAAGGCTTACTGTGAAGAGAATGGGCTTCCCATGCCCGAGCCGCCTGGGAAAGGTGAATGATCTCCGTGGAAGTTGGAATGACCTTCAACGCTAACAGCTAGAGATGCTGCTTAGCCAGTAAGAGAACATCCGACACGGGAGTTACTACCGATCAACCCGCGAAAAAGCCTCGAAAAGTGAAGCCTTATGTCCCGACTCTGCGGTCTGGTGCTTATGCGCTTCTACTTGGATTGACGACTATAGGGGAAAACGCATCACAGGGCATGACCAAAGCTCATTTGATTGAGGTTGCTCAGCCGTATTGTGATAGTTCTTTCACGGCACCTGCCGACTCTACCAAATTCTACACGGCATGGAATTCCATGAAAACACTCATAACGAAAGATTTGGTCTATGAGCACGGCCGGCCCCTCAGAAAATATGGGCTTTCAGAAGATGGCTGGGAGGTTGCCAAGCGTATTCAGAAGACCTTACCAGGGTCAGCTGAGAGCATGGCACGTTCCACAGGCGGCGAGTCTCAATCTCAATCTCAAGCTCAGTCTGGCATCACTCCTCGCACTGCATCGACCGAGAACGATGAATCCGATCTTGAATACCTAGCACAACCAAACGCTCCATCACTTCAACAGTCGAATGCTGATGGGCCTATTGACCCCATTCCACTCCCACCGGGGACTTTTAGCATCCAACTTGTTCTAGATACCCGCGAAGTGCGCACATCGACAGATCGCGACTATATCGCGAATGAGCTCATCAAACAAGGTATCACTCCCCAAGTGCGCGCCCTGGAGTTGGGTGATGCCATGTGGGTGGCGAAGTGCCACGATCCCGCCTTTCTCCCACGACACGGCGAAGAAGGCGATGAAGTGATGTTGGACTGGATCATTGAAAGAAAACGCCTGGATGATCTTATTGGGTCTATTAAAGACGGACGATTTCGTGAACAGAAATTTCGTCTCCGTCGTTCCGGCATTAAGAATGTCATCTACCTAATTGAGGAATTCTCTATCACTCACCCTGAAGCCGGAGGCACACAGAAGTATCAGGAGATGGTTGCCTCGGCCATGGCCTCAACTCAGGTAGTCAACGGGTACTTTGTGAAAAAAACCAAAGGACTAGATGACTCGATCCGTTACTTGGCCCGTATGACACTGCTCCTCCGAAAAATGTACGGGGCTACGGACTCTCCTGGTCAAGAATATAGCAGCGATGATTCCGGAGCTTCTTCCTCGCATTCGAAGATTTCCATTATTCCTAGCCGCCAAATATCCTCCACACAATCCTACGTGGTGCTGATGGACAAATTTCGTGCACAAAATTCGACCCTTACATATGGCGTGTCATTTTCGACCTTTTCGGCATTGACTTCTAAATCAGATGTTCTTTCTCTCCGAGATATCTTTTTGAAAATGCTCATGTGCACCCGCGGAGTGACAGGTGACAAAGCCCTTGAGATCCAGCGGCATTGGCAAACCCCACGGGGACTGGTTGAAGCCTATATGGCTCTGGAGCCCAAAGATCGTGAGGCAATGGTGTCCGACAGACTAAAATCTTTGGTGGGAAGGAAGAAGATTGTGAAAGCCGTAAGTAAGCGATTAGCTGAGATTTGGGGACAGGGTGGGTAGTCAGGATATAAGGAGAATGCGAATACCCATACACAAATCCATAAATCTATACATATTGTCGGTGACGGTGATTTTGGGGACACCGAACCACCTTACCCCGTGATACACAGCAACACAATTAGTAAGGTCGGTGGGGTTTCATGCACTGAGCCAACATTTGAAAGTGGCTTTCTGCAATGTACAAGCTACGTAGGTGGGATGGCGTTTCATAAATGACATCACCTCCATCCACCGGGATCTTCCGCTAAACCGCAAAGATCTCAAGCCCGCCAAGTCCTTGAGCATTCAACCCTCATGATTGGTTCAGAGTCTCATATCTGACAAAACAGGGTTTCTGGATCCATTCCAGCCCAGCCTACTTTGCAATTTGAATTATTCAAATAAGGAGGGGCGCGCTGATCCCTCGTTCAAATGAACAGATGATTTGATATCAACTTGCCAATTGTTAATTCTAAACCCCTTGGGCCTGGCGAAATCATGCCCACAATAACAGGTGTCGGGGAACAATCTCGTTACCGTTTGGCCCAAGAGCGGGAATTCTACAAGTCAGTACTGTCCCCTTAGTATGCACCTGTGCTGATCCCTCCTGAGTTCAACTTGAGCTGACCACATACTTTATCTGACAGGTATATCCCAAGCGAAGATTATTCCTCTCACTACGCTCCTTGGGACCATGCCAGTAATCAAAGCTTCGCACCACAGCCATCGAAGGATCCTGCCTTGACGTCCTACGCCCAGTTATCGGCTCTCAGACTGGGTACCGACCGCGCCCTAATTTCCTTGTTCGATCGCACCCACCAATACATCCTGGCAGAGGCTACTCCGACATTAAGTCTCACGGGTGGCCATGTTACAACCGATGCCGAGCGAATACAATTAGGGTGTTGCGTATTTCCAAAGGAGCGTGGCCTTTGCCATGTTGTCGAGACATCACATCCGTCAGAAGGCTGGGACCATGAGAATCCAGTGACTGACGATTACAGCGTGACGGCTTTGGATGTCAATGAAGATGATCGCTTCAAGTCATTCCAACTGCTCGCCCCACTGTCGGATGTACACTTCTACGCGGCAGTGCCCATCTTCAGTCCACGGAACTTCAGAATTGGGTCATTGTGCGTGATGGACAGCAAACCGAGGACATCTCCTCCCGATAGCCATTCCTTCCAGTTCCTCAAGGATATGGCTGCAATCGTGATGGATCACTTGGAAATGAAGGAAACCAAAGGTCGACACCGCCGCGCGGAAAAGATGATCGTTGGTCTCGGAAGTTTTGTGGAAGGACGATCAACTCTTCGAGATTCATGGCGAGAAGCTCAGGCCCAACACGAGAAATCGGAGAAATCAGGCCAGCCCTCCGAGGGTCAGCTGAGTATGGAGCAACAAGACATGCAGCAAAGCGCAAAAGAAAAGGAGGAATCGAGACAGCAAGGCCTTGTCATCCGGGGCCCGAAAAAAGTCCGCGATATCAAAAGCGCCGACAATCTTAGGAACATGGATGACACAGAAGATCCTCCAAATGGCTCCACACAGTCACTCAAACCAACCAGCTCTACCGATGTGGCGTCGGAAAATCGAGAAAGAGAGCACACCAAGGAACCTGGAGTCGAGTTCTCTCAAAAGGGCCAATCTGTACGCAGCGTGCGTGCAGGGGACAGTCTAAAGGATAAGACTCTCCCGAACAGTATTCGAAATATTTTCTCGCGCGCTGCCAATCTTATCCGGGAGTCTATCGGAGCAGAGGGAGTGATGTTTCTGGATGCAAATAGCGAGCGATTTGGAAATCTTGTCGACCAAAACACTCGCCGGGTCCCCGGTCCTCATTTGAGGCACTCTACATCCAGCTCAGATGAAAGCTCAGATTCTGCGTCATCGGCAAAACGATTCGATGCGGGCAAACATTCGGACTCTGACGAGCACCCGGAGTTTTCTGAATGCTTGGGCTTTTCAAGCTCAGGTGTGTCTAGTATCAATGACGAGGACCGAGCTGGTCAAGCCATTGTGGTTCCTGAGCCATTGTTTACCTCGTTGATCCGACGGTATCCTCGTGGGAAAATATTCACCTATAACGCCAATGGAGCCCTATCGGATAGTGATGAACCAACTTATTCTATTTCTGGATCGGAACCCGGTGGTATCTCCCGTCCTTCTACACCCGGTTCATCCGGTAACCGGAGGCGCAGGCCGGCTTTCCAGCGAGATGCCGACGATCTGATCAATATATTCAAAGGGGCTAGAAACATTCTCCTTCTTCCGATCTGGGACTCAGACAGAAAGCGATGGTTTGCTGGAACATTGGCCTGGACAAAAGAGCCAGACAGGATTTTCACATTTGAGAATGAGCTGGTATATATCTCCGCATTCACAAATAGTGTCATGGCTGAAATTCGCCGAGTCGACGTGGAGGTGGCTGAGAAAGCCAAGACCAACCTCGTCAGCAGCATTACTCACGAGCTCCGAAATCCATTGCATGGAATTTTGGGAACGGCAGATATTCTAAGCGATACTGCCATGAATGCGCTGCAGCATGGAATGGTTCACACAATCGAATCTTGCGGTCGCACTTTACTGGATACGATCAACAATCTGTTGGATCTTACCTTCATAGATCAGTATAGAAAAGGAAGCACTTCTCGGCGCAGGGGGGGAACCCACGCATACCCTCCAGGGAGATGTCCTCATATACTCGAGTATCACTAGACTCTGTCTTGGAAGAAGTTGCTGAGTGTGTGTTTGCCGGATATTGCTTTTACAATCATCCCCAAGCGCCCCCTCCGGCTCTAACAGAGTCTTCGTCTCGTTCTGCCGGCCAGCCTAACAAGGCTGATCCTGTCGGTCCTCGAGCGACCCAAGTGACTGTGATTTTCGACATTGAGCCGGACACAGAATGGGAATTCTATACACATGCTGGTGCCTGGAGACGTATTCTCATGAACATATTTGGAAATGCACTAAAATACACGTCCTCGGGTTACATCTATCTCGGGCTTCGATCAAGCCAAAAGGACAAGCCCTCTAGCAAATCTGGCAAGCACAGTGATGAATTCGAAATCATCCTAACTGTCAAGGATACTGGAAAGGGTATTGGAGCAGAATATCTACAAAATGGTGTTTTCAGCCCTTTCTCGCAGGAAGATCCACTTGCATCTGGTAGTGGACTGGGGTTGAGCATCGTCCACCAGGCCGTCGGATACCTCAATGGCTCGATAGAAATTGAATCTACGAAGGGTGTTGGTACCAATTTGTCGATCCACGCACCCCTTATGAGGCCTCCACCCAATTCGGATGTTGGATCGTCATCCGCGTTGTTTGATTCATTGAGAAGGCACACAGAGGAGATGACAATTGGGTTCCTAGGGTTTGGACAAAATCTCACTTCTCAAAGAGATACATCTTTGTATGCTTCGTTGAACCGAATGTGTCACGAGTGGTTTGGTATGCAAGTGACCAAAGTCTCGCCATTAGAAGGCAAGCACAAACCATTCGACTTCTATTTGGCTGTGCAGACAGAACTGGATTGCGAGGATGTTGGGGGACGAAATCTGTTTGCCCTTCCTCAGCATCTTCGTAAAGAAGGTGACTGGACGTCGCCTGTTGTCGTTGTCATCTGTCAGTCTCCCGAAGAAGCCCATAGCATGTTTGTGGCGGCTAAGAATCGGGGCGACACTACTTTCTTCGAGTTCGTCAGCCAACCCTGTGGGCCTCGAAAACTGGCTCGTGCACTGGACATGTGTATCAAGCGACAAAATGACAAGCAGTCTGGGCGCCGGGCCAGTGACGAGCCCACTCGCTGGGTAGAAATGCCCGAGTCCTCTCATCTGCCAGTGGATCTTGGGCCTAGCGATCCCCCGGATGACAGAATGAAGATCAGCAAGCGACCAACAGCGGAAACCATAGGCAAAGATCGGGAAATAGCTCCAACATCCCGAAGCCCATCTTTAAAAGACTACACAAGGAAACTCGCAGAAGCAAATGAAGAGAGCCCCATCCAATCCACAGCCCAGGATAATGGAGGCTCTCACAAGCCCGCCGTCTTGCTTGTCGATGATAATGATCTCAATCTTCAACTACTCTGTGCCTACGCGCAAAAGGACGGGTATTCATATGAGACAGCCAGCAATGGCGCTGAGGCAGTTGATGTTTACAAATCTCATCCTGGCAAGTTCCAGGCAATTATAATCGGTATGTCTTCATTTTCTCAATTTTTCATTCGACCTTACTTTGCCACACATACTAATAAAGCTGCAGATATATCAATGCCCATCATGGATGGCTTCGAGGCATCACGGCAAATACGCCGGGCCGAAAAAGAGTATCGCCTTCAAATCTCCGAATCGGAAAACGAAGCACTCCCGCGCACTATCATTGCTGCTCTAACTGGGCTTGATAGCGCTGAAGCCCAGAAAGAGGCGTTGGGTTCCGGCATCGACACTTTCCTTATCAAACCGATTAAGCGAGCTCAAGTGCAAGCTATTTTGCGCCGACAAGTGTAAGAAATGCGGCAAATGTTTTAATGATCACAATACACGAAATATGTACATTCATTCATACTAGTATATGGATTCCCATGAGACCTGCTAAGTAATGTTTTTGTCACTACACCTCTTCGCAGGATGCTTCCAAGGTTTCTTAGACTATTTTTCTTTGGGCTTTGTAACATACTATAGATGCCAAATTCCACATGCAAGTTATCATATGTCCCGTCCATCAATTGATGTCTACTACCTACTACCTACTACCTACTACTATGTAGCACATAATCAACACCTGGGTGCTTTTATCCTCTGTAGCTCCAGGGCTCAACATGGATCTACAACATTGTCGGAAATTTGACTACCTTCGAACACCTTGGGACTAAAACATTTCGGGAATATTTCCAAGTCTTAGGGCAGATTGGAAAAAAAATAACTGATCATTCATATGACTATAAAATACAATTCAAACTGGGTATAATCGGACCACACTGCGAAAAGGCCCACTTTTTCACTTCTTCAACCCAATAAACTTCTTAACACTCTCCATGTCTATTCTCAGCGCCAAACTACTCGAGACGACCGAGATGCTGCTCAGCGCCATTGCCAGAGCAGCCCACACCGGGCTAAGTCTCCAGTGATCGGCGACAGTAACCAGCTCACCACCGATAGTCTTCTGGTGGTGGCCATTAACAATAGGATAAAAGACTCCAGCAGCCACAGGAATTAGACAGACATTATAGACTAGAGCCCAACAAAAATTGACTCTGACACGCATGAAGACCCGCCGACTGAGAAGTACAAGCTGGAGTATGGTGCTCAGGTCCGAATTGAGCAAAATGAAACTAGCAGAGTTGATCGCGACGTCCGATCCGGATGCCATAGCTATACTCACATCTGCAGTGGCGAGTGCGGGAGAATCATTGACGCCATCACCGACAAATGCAACTATGGGCCGCGCGGTGGACTGATCGTGCGGACCCTTGACTGAGCCATCTTGTACCTTGGAGACGAAACTGGCTTTCTCTGCTGGGAGAACGTTGGCCATGACGTTTGATCGCGAGATACCTAACATATCTGCGACGGCGTGCGCGGTTGTTTGGTTGTCTCCTGTGCACATATAGACGTCAACATGGCGCTTTTGGAGCTCGGAGATCACGCCCATGGCCTCGGGTCGGATGGTATCGGAGGTTGCAAAAACGACCGCGGGAACAAACGGTGATTGTGTGGAGGGTTGGGGATTGGTAAGGCGCAGTGAGAGTATAGCTGTTGACTTTCCTGCTGTTTGGAATCGAGACAGCAAATTTGAAACAAAGTAGGAGTCAGCCCCGTCAGGCAGGACGCTATTGAGGAGTCGCTCGTTGCCAATGGCAGCTTCGTATTGGTGCTCTGTCTGGTTGACAGACACAGTGAAGGTTCCCTTCATTCCTTGGCCGCTGATTTCGTGAATGTCAGATGTAATAATATTGACATTGGGCTTTGATTCACAGAAACCAGAAATTGCTTGGGCGATGGGGTGGTTGCTGCTCTCCTCCATTTTGCGAGCAAGAGCCCATGCAACTTTTTGAAGATCTTCATCATCGTTGATCAATACTTCATGGTCTGAGACCTTCAAGCTTCCTCCCTCAGTCAAAGTACCGGTCTTGTCAAAGATGATTGCATTGAGGCGGCTGGCTTCTTGAAATGCTTCACCACCACCCTTGACCAAAATTCCATGTTTGGCTGCAAGACCACCACCAACAAACAAGGCAGTAGGCGCAGCTAGGGCCAGTCCACAGGGGCAAGCGACCACAAAGACAGCAATGGCAAATTCAAGACTCCAGAAAGTCCATCCTCCCTGTGCATTATCCAAATAATCGTCTGGCAATGCTCCCGAGTGGCCTAGAGCGAGCCAGATGACGAAAGTTAGAATAGCGATCAAGGTGATTGCGGGCACGAAGTGAGATGTGATGGAATCTGCTACTCTCTCAAGTGGCGCACGCTTGCTCTGGCCCTCGCGTACAACAGCGATGATTTGATCGAGCATAGATGACCCGCCGAGCTCAGTAACTTTAATTTGAACAGGTTGGCCAGCATTTACAGAGCCGGTGAAAACTTGGTCGCCGACTTGTTTTTTGACGGGGCGCGACTCTCCAGTCAAGGAGCTTTCGTCGAATTGATAAGCTCCTTCGCCAACAACTATACCATCGGCCGGGGGAGAGGCACCATGTGGAATGCGAACAATATCGCCCACTTCCAGAAGATCAACACCGATGCGGGTCATGCGATCGGCATCGACAGAATCAACATTGATATCATGTACTAACAATGCCTCGGAGGGCCGAAGTTTGCCCAATGATGAGACTGCATCTCCGGTTTTAGCTTTGCTGTATGCCTCCAAAAATCGCCCAGCAAGAATGAAAAGTGTCAGGAAGACTACCGAGTCAAAATAAGTCGTGCTCGCCTCACTTGTTTTCTTCCCAACTGTGGCATCAACGATGAGGACCGCTAGTGAGGAGAAGTAGGCGACTGCAGTTCCTGCGGAAATCAAGAGATTCATACTACCAAAGCGGTAGAACCTCCGCAAAATTGGCACTCGACTTCCAGGGCGCCACAAAGCATGAATTTCCTTCATAGCTCGGATGTGGAACACATCGGTGCCATAGAACATAACAGGTGTCGACATAATAAAAAGGGCCCATTCTGTGCGCGTCACGCTCCCAGACCAGATTTTCTGCTCCAAATAGTGTCGAATCGGGTTTTCCGAGGGCACGAGGGACATGAATACAATACCAACCAAGAAAGTCGGTATAGCCACAGCGAAAACAAATAGTAGACGTAATAATAGCTTGCTTCGTTCATGTAATTGCATGGCACGGGAGCGTTCTTCGATGCTTGGCGGGTGGAATACACTCGCACTGAAAGCACTGCTGGCTTCATTAATTGTAGCAATGATTGTCCGAATAGTCAAAGAAGGTGGCTGTGGGATATATGTCACTTTGAGTATTGGATTTTTCTCCGAGGGGGCCTCTTCCACTGTAACATTTGAAAGAGACTCCAGGGACGAGAGAATCTTCTCTGGGCAATGATGGCAAAACATCCCATCAACAAGAATGGATGTTGTTCTCGCCTGCATGGCAGTTACATTCGTGCTGCTCTCAGCTAGAGAATGAACACTGATGACAACGGCATCATACCCAAGATCCTCGATTTTCTCCACAATGTCGTCCAGTTGTTCTCGTTCTTCGAACTCCACTCTGCCACTGTGGGACAACAAGTTCACAGAGACGTCTTTGACAAAGGGGAGCTCTTCTAACCCCCGAGTGACGGATCCAACACAGGATCCACATGTCATACCAGTTATTGCGATATCACTGACGAATCCCGTTGGGAGTGTTTCGGAACTGAAGGGAATACTTAATTTATCTACTTCATCAGGAAACGCTTCGAATCCAATATCATCTATTTGTCCCGTGATCATTGCGATGTTCTCTCGAGGGCCAGCAAACACCACTGCCGCACTGTTTGTGAGAAGATTGACCGTGACTTGTTTGACACACTCAAGTTCTTCAATTGCCGCGGTGATGCTATTGACACATGACGCGCAGCTCATGCCTCCAATACTAATTCGCGCACAAAATTCGTCACCATGTGGACTTTGTGGAGGCGTTTCAGAGGTTTCGGGTATTTGGGGAGGAATTTGGGGGTATTTATGGCCTGCTAGAGTCCCACTGAGAGCAGGTGATGACCGCAAGACATTTTCAGGCCGTCGATGACCAGCTTCAAGATCGATCTCCCATGCCTCATTCGATGTGATTTTCTCGTGTTGGATGCCAGTCTCTGCCAAAGTGGAATGTCTAGAGAGTCCATCGATTTCCTCTTTCTTGCATGCATCACAATTGGCAATATGGCGCTTTTCTCTGCTTGTGTGCAATTTTTCTTTGATATTGGAGGAGAGACTGGAATATGAGGTCCGGGGCGTGGCGAGTAGCATGCTACCGCGAGAGTTCCAAGTTGATGTGTCGAGCTCGGAGATGACTGCCCCTCTACCATCATATGTGGATACATGGTGTACTTCGAAAGCGGCATGAATCAATGTATCGACAAGGTCTGCTGGTTGTATAGAGATCCCATGAGTGACTCGCACTTCGTGGGTCAGGATTGACACGTCGATATCCCTAACGGTTGGGATTTCAGAAAGAATCTCGGTAACATAGGCCACGCATGAGGCGCAATGAACGTTGCCCACCCAGAAGACACTGCGCCTTGTGTCGGGGTCTAGGTCATGCGACTGCATTTTTGGCGTATGCGCTGGGCTCTTCGGCGTGGAAGACATGGCCAATCACTGATTGAGTGTCGGGTCAAAAAAGGTCGGATCTTTTGCTCATCGGGATCAAATCATCTGAAAAATGCTCAACGAATCCGGTCAAGCCCTGCTGAGTATAAGGCACCGAATGGTTCAAACCCTCCTGCAAGCTACCGGACGGGTAGTGGGTCTTCTTTTTAGAATCAACGAATCGCCACCTAGAATCTGCGACCACTCCACGAGATAACTTAGGTGTAGTAGTAAAGATAATAGGAGGTGGATGGCAAATGAATCAATCGTATTGCGGGTGAGGAAATAAAAGGAAGAAGAAAAGGAAAGGAAGGAGCTTGAACCTTGTAAATTAAATGAAGAGCGAGCGAAAAAATGCACTGCGGTATTTGCGCGTGGTTGAGGCGGATCACGCACAAATGCCGCAAGCTTACATTCCAATCAGCGAGAGCCATGGCCTTCATGCAGTATGCGACTAGCAACGAGTTAGGATGTCTAGTAGAAATTTTGACCGTTTATCGGATCATACAAAATTCCCCTACTATACTATAATCTATATACAACCTGCTTACTAGTTTTGTACTACTAGTATGCAGTAGCTGAACGAAGTGCACGTGACCCATACTCCCAAATCATAAAAACCGACCAAGATCAGGTTAATCACTGCTTCTACCATGTAACCCATACTCAGGTTCTGAATTTTAAAACCCGACTAGTATTTAAGTGAATGTGATAGTGGTTACTACTAGTTACGAGATCTCATTACTAATTCTTGTGATCGCTACATGAATGCCCGGTTAGCAAGGCAGAAACTCAATATTTCCTATTCCGTCCACGGTCCAGTGCAGTGAAGTCACATGATCTGGGACACTCGCTTCCTATTCACTTCCCCCGGAATTCAATTCGAAATGAAGGTTATTCCCATCCAGTCCTGGAGAAATTCATCTTCCTTTAAATCCCAATCATCATTCTTCATCATTCTTCATCCTCGTCTTTCTTCTTCCTTTTTCCATTTTCCGAAAGCAACTCTGTCACCGAGGCTCGAACTCTCCACCGGGGTGAAAGAGGGGGAATTTCCACCCACGTGACTCAACCACTGAGCCATCTGTGCTGGAGCAGCGAGGAAAAAAACTTCACTGCGCGCCCGCCCCACCACCAACGCGACTCTTTTCACCCGCGTCCTTATCACTTATCGTCCCCTCGAAAAAGGTCCCGATCAGATCAAAATAATACACCGTGACGATTTGAGGTTTAGAGGACTATCTGCTCAAGGCAGTGCTTGCTCTTCACTCCAATCCTCATTAACGACGTTCTTCATTTGATCCTAGTATCTTACCTTCGTGGCTCCCCCACTACATCCTCATCGCAAGAACGATATGCAATCGGACCCCATCTAGCTGCGTGTCGCAACGACTTTACATTACTCCAGAGCCTCTCAGCTTTTGGAACTACACTTGTCCCAGTTGCAATTGCAACCAATTCCTCACTTTCACTAATATCCGCCATGTCGATGCCAGCATCTACCCGTATCAGCGTGCCTCCTCGAGGGCCGAAGGCCCCGGTTGGCCGTTTGGCCAGCCTCAAGTCTTCTAGCTCAGTCTCCATCAACCGTCCCCAGTCAATTGGGCGTCAGCAGCCTCCACGTCCGACCACGCATCCAAAAACAACTAGCTGTCCGAATCCTGGTTGTCCTGCACCTCGCATCGTCGATGAAGATGGACAGAAGCTCTGCACCGGGTGTGGTACCGTCATTGCCGAATCAAACATTGTGTCTGAAGTGACATTCGGTGAATCCTCCTCTGGTGCCGCTGTTGTCCAGGGTACTTTCGTCGGGGAAGGTCAGAGTCATACCCGGAGCTTTGGTCCCGGCTTTCAACGAGGCGGTGGCATGGAAAGTCGCGAAATGACGGAGGCAAACGGTAAGCAAATCCTCTTGTTTATGGACTATAATATTGGAAGACTAATTATCGAATAGGCAACACATGCATTGCCCAGCTCGCACGACCCCTGAACATTCCTGAGAGTGCTACTAAAGCTGCTGGACAGGTGTTCAAACTTGCTGTCGGATTGAATTTCATTCAAGGTCGTCGGACTAAGACCGTAGCAGCAGTTTGCCTTTACATCGCGTGTCGTCGCCAAGAGGGCAACACGGTCATGCTGATTGATTTTGCCGATATTCTGATGGTAAGTGTCAAGTGTCCACACAAGCAATTGGGGCGAAACTTTGCTAACCTGAATCTTTAGGTCAATGTTTTTAAACTTGGACGCACCTACAAAGCCCTTCTTGACGAGCTTAGAATTGGCGGTAACGTCTTTATGATCAGCCCAATTGACCCAGAAAGTCTGATCTATCGTTTCGCAAAGACACTGGAGTTTGGCTCGGCTAATATGCGAGTCTGTGGTGAGGCTGTGCGCATTGTTCAACGAATGAATCGTGACTGGATGACTACTGGTCGCCGGCCAGCTGGTATCTGTGGTGCAGCTCTGATCCTAGCAGCACGCATGAACAATTTTCGTCGAACGGTTCGTGAGGTTGTTTACGTGGTTAAAGTGGCCGAGGTCACCATTAATCAACGGTTGAACGAATTCAGCTCGACAGAGAGCGGTGAGCTCACCGTGGACCAATTTCGGTCTGTGCAACTTGAGAATACACATAACCCCCCTTCTTTTACTCGCGCGAGAGATGGTCGCAAGTACAGCCGATCCGCCAAGAAATCTGCAGAACTAGTTACCGAATTCGACGATGATTTGGAGAGCGAGGCAGACTCGGTCCAGCCTAGGCGTGTTGATGCAGATGGATTTGCAATTCCGGATCTTCCAATTGACCCTGCCTTGACTGCTCGGCGACCATCTGTTACATCGGCATTGAACGAGATTCATCAGGATAGCAAGTTGGAAAGGGCCAAAGACAAGGGAAAGGGCAAGGATGTATCTCGACCAGCCCTTCTTGCCGATCCTACTCCAGATGACCTCGCAGCCGAAGAGGCACTAGAGGCAGAGATGCAAAAAATGCTGGAAACGGGTTCTCATATGGTTCAAAGTTACCCCGAAGTGCCAGAAGTGGCCGTCTCAGACAGCGTTGATATTGCTGATACCGAATTTGATGACGACCCCGAAATTAAATACTGCCTTCTCTCCACAGAGGAAGTTGATATCAAAGAACGAATTTGGGTCACCGAAAACAAGGACTATCTTCGCACGCTGCAAGAAAAGAATCTCAAACGTGCTCTTGCCGAAGCTATGGGTACCACTACCACTCGCAAACCTCGCAAGCGTCGAAAGACCCGTATGGGTGATGTCACCTATCTTGAAGGTGAGGACGCTGAGGGCCGCTCTCGTGCGTCGACCCCGGCTGAAGCCACACGAAGGATGTTGGAGGTGCGCGGATACAGTAAGAAGATCAATTACTCTCTGCTGGACACGCTGTACGGCGGTGAAGATAAAAATGAAGAAGGTGATGCGGAAACCAAGATGGAATCCTTTAGCCGCAGTCGCAGCCAATCCCGCAGCCGCAGCCGCAGCATGAGCGTTGCATCACGTCAAAGTCTGCCTCCTGCAGCTACGCCTTCTCGTCGCCGACGAAACGGCGCACCCATCAAACCCATCCATTCCGCCACTACTCCTGTTCCTGAGTCACCTCGGGCCTCTCCTGTGCCTATCTCTAGGCCTGTCTCTAAACCTGTCAACAGGTCTGCTCCGACAATCGCTGTCGAATCCGCCCCTCTCCCTACTCCTCCTTCAACGGCCCCCGACGCTACAAACAAAAACACTCCTGATCCAAGCAAGATCAAACCTCCTAGCGATCAGCGGGATGTCGATGAGTTGGAAGAAGATTATGGTTATGAAGAAGTTGATGACCACCTTGAGGATGCATTTGCAGGAAGATACGGAGATGATTACTATGACGTCGACAGCGATTCTGAGTAGGAGATGAAAAGATGCTACGGCTGTCTTGTGCTTTTGTGTTTTGAGCCTGCGATATCCATCAAACTGCATACATTTGCTCGGAGTTCATCTTATCTTTTTGTTTTCCCAATGGGTTACATTCATATTCGAATGTTTGCATACTAGTGTACACTATTTTTAGATGAAAATCAATGCAGTTGAAACATTTGAAGCATTCCAATCTGGACTGGATACGTAATGTATGACCTAGGTAACGCATAGGCCCCTTCAAGTTCAAAATATGTAGTAACCTGTCTGTCCAGGTGGGCACTTCGGCAACTGCCCCTAGCATTTAAGGGGGACCTTGGGAGTTGGCGCGTTATATAAGGGCGCTTCTCATGTGTGCCATGCTTCCAACATGCAGTTACCTAGTACCTACAACTTACCTTACTCTGTAGCCATACCCAAGGTTTATAGTAACTTTATTCTATCAATATTTATTATTCTGCCCTGAAATTCTAGGACGCATATCCAAATTTTCTGGAGAGTATCCTGTGCAAATTCGAGCTTTTCAAAATTGTTTTTGGGGTGGTGGTGAAGCAATTCGTGTAAAATGGTGCAAAACAGGGTGGCCGAAGAACATTATCGCTTTTTTTTGCGCTCTGCCTTGTATTTCCTATTTGCAGTAAAACCCTCCACTCGTCAATAACACCACCACCTTTGATTGATTTTGCTATAAATAATTCATGTGAGCTCTATATAGTTGACTCATGATTCTCTGAAGATTTTAGCTGATTCAAATCAATAATGGTGGTGGAGAAAAGCTTTGGAAAAGATGGTTGAGTTATTGCTGGTGAAACATTTGCCCTCGGGCCTGCATATACCCACATTGAAGAACTTCATGGTCACTTTATTCCACCAGTATTCATTTTTTCTCCTTCAAACTCCACAATATACCTCTCAGTGACTTAGGGAATATCCTGTAAGAATTTTAGCCACCCAAAGAACTTTTTGTATTAGTGGGGAAGGATACATGGTTTTATGAGAAATGTCACATCTGGAACTTGAAGCAATTCCCAATATTGGTACACTGAAATACCAGTCTACACAAAGAATTGCAGGGCAGATATACATAGCTCACTCAAGTGCTCTGGACCTACATAACATGAATTACATATAATCATCAATGGATCGATGGACGTATATCTAGCTGGTCAAAGGTCTACGGCTGGGTATCTAGGCTAGGTAGCACAACATATATATGCACATGTGCAAAAAATATGTGGGATTTACCCAAGTACCTTGCACATGTGCACATGTGGGCGGTTTCAAATGTTGATTAATGTACCAGTTGACATGACTTCTTGATCCAACCTATATCTAGGCGCCGCCTATTCTTTCTACGGTTGGATAAGACTACGAACATTAGGTTTAAACTGGCATATACATCCATCCAACTTTGAAAAACATAAGAGAATAATCATTCTTCAAAAGGAAAATCAAAAACAAAAAAAGTAAGCGTCCCCGGGAAGGCTCGAACTTCCAACCTCCTGATTAACAGTCAGACGCGCTAGCCAATTGCGCCACGGAGACTTGCTTGTTGTGACGATGATTGCATAGTTGGCATAATATGCCTTGAAAGGAAAGGCATGTTCTACTAAGCAGTTGACTTGGTATTCAGATGGCATGAATGTTCCCAATTTGGGGGTGCCGTGGATCCAATGAGGCGAGCGGAGATACACTTCAAATGTTCCCTCTGGAGGTACATTTTGAAACAGGCCCCGTTGAACCCAGTGCTGAGATGTTCCTGGATTTCAAACATTGAAATGTTCAAGACGTTTGAAATCAGTTACCTAATGCTCAGGTGCCTGTTCAAAACAAATCCTGAAATGGTCCTCCTACACATGGAAATTGCCAAGGCCAAGAGATCAATCTCCGAAAATATATGTATGAGACTTTTTTTTTTCATTTTCTCATTTATAATCATAGATATGGTAGAGCTGGAGTCAAATACAGGCAGATGAAAAAAACTCCAGGGTTACGACGCCGGAAATATCAAGATCCCGCCGGTGATATCCATAGGAAACGCCATACCCGCACGCCCTCCTGGGGCGTGAAATGGACCGGGCTGCGCAAACTGGGTCAGTTGGGCGCAGGTGAGTGGAATAAAACACTAAATCCAGTAAAAATAAGAGTAAGAACTAGAAAGAGAAGAAAGAAACAACAGAGAATCGATGATCGAGTCGGAGCGGCGTCGTAGTCGTGGGTGTCGAATGCACATGAGTCGTGGGCGCACTCAAGGATCGGGCTTTTCGGTGTTTTGTTTCTTTGTATGGGGCGTAATGTAAAAATAAAATGGTAAAGGTAAAAGGTACAGCGTTGAAAGGCAAAATGATAGATCATGGTTATGAGTCAATCTCCATTCCCATGTCGACGCCTCCGTTCAGCCCGGTTCCTGTTACGCTGAGGGGTGCGTGTGAGTGGTTTGAAATGGCTTGCTGGAGGAGAGGTACACCCATGTCCCCAGTGGTGTTGAAAGGATCGGTGGAGGGAGGAGAGTTGGAGCGGCTTGCAGCGGCGATGGGGGCGGGGCCCTCGAAGATGATAGGCGTGCTGCGTAAATTCTGCAGGCAAGCATCCCACGAGGAAGCCACAAGTTGAGCTTGGGTGAGGTCTTCGTTGAAAAGGTAGAAGGCGGGAGAGAAGGCAGAGACAGGCGTCGCGGCCACGAGGTAGGCGTTAAGGGCGCGGCTTTTCATGAGCATCTGCGAGTTACGCAAATGGGCAGCGTACTGGTTGTCGATATACTTGATCCAGCCACGCACAGCAGGCGCCATATCGTTGTCGGTATCCATGCGTTGCCAACTGATACCGAGGAGAAGGGTGGCATCGTCGATGAGGGGTTCAGCAGGTGGTGTAGATCCGCCTGTCAGATTGCGGTGCTGGTCAGCCTCGGAGCCGTCCAGGCGGGTTTGATTTGAGTGCAATGCAATATCATCAAGGCCCGGGGCAGAGACGCCGAGCCGCTGGGATTTACGGGAGACATCGGCAGCATCAGATTGCAGCGCATTGGAGAGCGACGAGACCGGCGCAGTTTTGGCAGCTTGCGACTCGGCTGTCTCTTCGTACCATGTACCAGTTTGACTGTCGGCCGAGAGAGCAATGCCAGTCTGAGGATTCAACAAGACCATCCCCTCGCCATATATAGGCTCTTCTTTAGGTGCCGGAGCGGGGATCGGTGCTGGAGGCACAGCGAGAGCTTCCCCGAATGAAGCATCATCACGCGACCTCTTGCGGGATGGCTTGGGTGCGGCGGTAGGAGTAGATACCGGGCCAGCATTAAAGAGAGGCTGGGCTGAGCCACCGTTGGCAAGCATCGAGCTATGGTTTGCAGAATAGCCATGGAAGTTGCTAGAGGAATCTAGCATGGACTGGGAGGGGAACTGAGCGAAGGCGCGTTCTTGAGTAGGAGAAAGACCCATGGCAGGACCATCCGAAGGGCGGTTGAGAATCATTGGCGACATTTTGTAGATAGCCAAGGGGGAGGAAAACTGTTCTGTAGGGTTAAGTGAGCAGCACACCATAAGCTACGACCACCTATAGATCACGAGGCAAGACGGTGGAAGGTGATGAAGAGGAAGGAAGGACAGGTCTAGGACAAATATATGATAAGAAAAGGATAGAGAAAGGTAGGAGGGGCCGAGGATAGAAGATAAAGTGAAGAAAATTGGGGGAGGGAATAGATTGAGAAGAGATAGGATGAAAAGGAAAAGGAAGAGTAAGAGAGAATGCGCAAAGCAAAGCGAGAGAGAGAGAAAGCGCAAGAGGATCTGAGGCGATCTTTATCTGCAATATGCGGAGGTTACCGTACAAGACCACAATACCTGGTGGTGGAGAGGTGTTCCGATGCGCCGTGACGGTAATAATTCCAAAGTGGAACTCCGAGAAGTCGGCGCAAGCGGATTGCGCTGTTTGGCCTGTTTGGCTGTGGGGGGCGCCTTCAGCTGCAGCGATTGACCAATCATGGGAGCCAAACGGAGGCCCAGCGGAGGTCCAGCCCTTGGTTCCAACCGATGCTCCTGCAACCAGCGCGCAAGCTGCGAGGCCCCAGCCCACTCCCTTTCCACCAGATTACTGTCCTACCCTACACCCCCCAAAAAAGTACCAAATAATTCCTCAAAAAATAGGTCTATTGGAAAATAGTATGATGACAGGAAGAGGAAGAAAAAAAAAAAAAAGAAAAGGAGAAGGAAAAGGAAAAGGAAAAAAGTATCAAGGGAAAAATAAACACCACGGAAATGAAAGTCCCAAAGCAATCCGACACCAGAGCTCGTGCAAGTCTAACATCAAATCAATGTTCGTAGAAAGGGAATGAAAACAAGTACACCGCTAGCAACACCAGCTTGACACTGTACCCTATCTTAGTAGTGGGTATACATCACGGGAATGCGGTCGAAAAAGGAATGGTAAAGAACAGCCGGAGCCCTCCGTTTTCCACACCGCGGAGTCCAAGGAATGAGCACCGGAGACAGACTTGATTTTCTGCAAGTCGCCGTGCCGGGTCCAGAATGGGTTTAGAGGGAAGAAAAATGGAAAATGAAAGTGAATAGCTGTTTCTTTTCAACGGCCAACGACAAGCTGACTTTACCAAGTAAAAGGCCACCAGAAATCGTGCCGAGCGAGATTTTTCAAAATCAACTTCTTCCGGAAATGCAAGTCTTTCAAGGGTATCAAGCACTTAGTTGGCCGGGGTGGCACCACCAAGCATGCCAGTCACGGACTTGACAGATTCGGGGGCGTAGCCCGGGGCCATGGTGCCAATGAAAAGGAAGAAGATGAGAGCGGCAGCGCCAAAGATGACAAACTTGCGTTGGGCAGGGCGCTTGTTGCCATACTCAGCCCAGGCGCGGTTAGCCTGACCAGTGTACTCACGGATCTTGTCACCGCCGAGCTTGTAGTAGACAAGACCGATAAGAGCGACAGAGTAACCGAAGAACTGCAAAGGAGAGACTGGGGTGTTCCACAGCATCATGGAGGCGGCAACGAGCAGGATATCCTTGAGGACACCGCACAGAGTCATAACCAGAGACGAAGTCTTGCCAATCTGTAGAAATTATTAGTGATCAGATTCAAAGAGGAAAATTTGAGGATAAGCAAACGTACCAAGAAAACGACGGAGACGTTCAACAAGAAAGCAATCATAGCGTTGGCGACCAAGACCCAGATGCCCACGTTGTAGATGTGATCCATGGTGAGGTGGGGGAACTCCAGGAACAGGGCAACGGAACCGTTCATGACAGCGCAAATGGGCGCAAAGTAGTAAAGAGAGACCATGGGGTCCATCTTGAACTCAGCGGAGCTGAGCAGGCGCTGCACCATAACCAGACGGGTGGCCTCGAAGACGATACCACCAAGCTGGAACAGGAATCCAACCATGACGAATTTGATCTCTCCGAAGGAAGCAATAACGACACCAACAACGATGATGGAAACGTTCATGAGAGTCTTGTAGTTGACGGGAGCCATGCCCATACCCCAGGTAGCAATAAGGACAGCAACGGGAGTAGTGGCCTATACAAAAATTTCCGTTAGCCGGGTGATTCTCCCGAGGTTCACAGCAGGTTCAAAAACGCACCTTGAGCATCTGAATAAAGGCAACACTCAGGTATAGATAAGTCATGTTACCGCAAATCAAGGAAAGACTGAACATGAGACCGATGGGGACAATTGCGCGGAGGTAGACACGCCCGGTCATCTTGACGCTCTTGCGGCCATCGAGAACGGTAGTGGTGCGGGCAAGGATCTGGGTCATGATAGTCGCGAAAGTCAAGTGCCATGTTGTAAGGACAATAGCTAAATTGGAGTCAGAATGGGAATCTCTGGGAAGAGCTTAGGAGTCTCTGAGAAACATACGGAAACCTATACATCAAGAGCTGTTAGCAGATAGTTCCCGCGGAGAGTGGGGGAAAATGGGAACTCACGGAAATTGGCATAATCGAGTAGGTACTTGTTGAAGAGAATGACACTGGAGCTGAGAGTGATCCAGATACTATTTTCTCACAGATAATCAGTTTTACTGTTTCTAAAACACCCCCGCGATTGGCATCACTATCGATTCTTCTTACCTCACGTAGACTGCCGGGTGAAGCGAAGACTTGGCTTCCTGCTTCTCGGCCGCCGGGTTGACAGTTGGGAGAGTCTGCTCGCGCACGACCTCACCGGAGGTACGGACCTTCTCGCCGTCGGAGCTCATTGTGAATGTTCGAGTTTGATCGGAGAAGAACTGTCGGAGTTCAAAGGGCCGCGGACGCGAAAGGCTTCCTTGGCTAAATGCGGAGGAAGCCACGGAGGGTGAAGGAGGTACAGAAGTGATATTATAAAACCACTGTTAAAACGTGTGATGGATTAACGAATGGGATTGAAGTTGATCCAAAAAAGGCAAACCAGCAGAACCACCAAAAAACGAGCGTGGAGGGGGAATGAAGAAATGATGATGGAAAAAAAGCTAGAAGGGATGGAATGGAGTACGTACTTCGGGGAGGGGAAACACTAAAAGTGTATTGGGGTCGAACGAGAAAAGAAAAGAAAAAAGAATAAAAAGAATAAAAAGAATAAAAAGAATAATATTCCCAAAAAAAAAGAAGAAAAAAATAAAAAAAATTCCAAAAGCAAATTAAGATACTTGGAGTCGAGAACCACAAAGCCAGAGAAAAGTCCAAGGTCAGGAAATTGATGGCTTGGAATTGTAAACTAGCGGGATCCGCTTCAAGTGTTCTAAACAAGAAAGTCTGATGCAAACAGCCAAACAGCGTTGAAACAGCAAACTGAGCTGAGTCTTTAATACCGTATTGTGTATCACGCTAAGGCCACCTGTACTTTTTTTTTTGGGAAGAAGATAAATAGTACTAGTATATTACCGTATCATCTGGTTATATAACGAAAATAACTCCACTTTCCCTTGGCAGTTCCTTCTCTCTTCTCTTGTGTACTCCGTAATGCTGCATACATTACCAAAACCTGCGGTACACACTCGTGGCGACTCCTTTTCGCCCTGGGCCGCACCAATAAGCATTGTCCTCCTCACCCACGGTTGGCTTGAGTCTTAATTTCTCTTTAATTTCCAACTATAATTAGGTGCGAATATATGATACCGAGTATTTTCTACACTAATCCGGGCTTTATCAGTATATCAATCAACGAGAATGCAACCTGACTATTTTTTGATGTCTTCGGGTGTCTCGACATGGTCGACGTACTCCCGGTTTGAGATAGAAGCGCTGAACGCGACTCTCCTCACTGCCTCGTCACAGGCCAACGCTGATCCAAATTAACTGTCAGTTGACAGAGGTCGCATTACGCAAGCAGCTGTTAGTCCCGACCCACTGTGGCCCGCGTTCAGCAACTCTTTGGACCAGCGCCCGGTCCTGGTCCCTTACGGGTGGAGAATGCGGCGATCGTTTGGAGGAGGCTGTGTCTGACGCCATCGCCCCGTTCAGGGACCTTTCTAGGATCCGCTTGGAGAGGAACAGGGGGGAGAAAAAGAGGAAAAATGGGAAAAAAAAGAACACAAACCAACCCACAGAGGTATAGGAGCCGATGGCGGTTAGTTCCCGCAGCAAAGCTTTTTTTTTTTTGATGTGCTCTCTTTGGTTATGGTGGGTTTATTAGGCTAAAAGTTCGAATGTTTGTCCTATTTTACACATACTCTGCTATAATACCATAGCCTACAGTACCCTCTGTAATACAAAACTCGAGACCTTCAGAACCAATGATCTTCCAGAAGGTATCTTCATTTCCTTCCTTACCCGAGAAGCCTGGTCGATCAAATGAGATCCAGCAACTGGGAGAAGAAGGATCTTCTTGATCCTCCTCGTCTGTTCCCTGTTTAGGGAGGGACAATCAGTGGATCCGCTCCCTCGCCTGTGCTTGACTTGTACCCTGAACAAGCCGATCACCTGCCGACGCCCGGGAGGGTTCAGGGTTGTCGAATATCATGGGTGTATATGGAGTATGGAGTACGGAGTAATGGCTGTATGACTTGTGCAGGCAACAGGATAATAACAATGGCTTCCTGACGAGTCACTTACTTTATACCAGACAGGTATCCGCTATGGAGCGACGATGCGTACTCCGTACTATACTCCGTACGGAGTACAGAGTTACTGGATCTCGATTACCCATACTGTTGCCCACAACGTGCCAATCGACATCGGTGGCGTTTTTAGCCAAGTCTTGTTGCTGCTTCGGGATCATTGCTTCTTTCTCCCCCCTTTCAAAGAAAAAAAAAACATTGCGATCTAGAATCTCTGTAATTTTAGAAGTATCATACCCAGTAAATTTCTACGATTACTATACTACTGTACTATGTACTACATAGAATCAAATAAACAAATTTCCCATCCTATGAAGCGTCTCCCAATTAGTTCATGGAGTCCCTTTGCAGACGAATCGGAATAAACCGAGAGATAACAACATTCCTGATTCGTTCTGAGGGACCCTGGATCCGTGCCAAGTGTACATTTTGAGTACATTTTGACCGCATGCAATCGGCAGGATCCCTTTATGGATATTTGAAGGTCCGATAAGACCATTCCCCAGACCAATAACGGCCGCTCGCAGATTGTGATGGATTCGATAGTTTAAACGCCAGGGTCCAGCAAGTGGCGTGAGGATAACGAATGAGCATTGAGGATTGATTGCATGGGCTTCAAGAATGAGCACAAAAATTCCGAATGAAAAGACACCCATTTCCTAAAGAGGGGGGGGGAAGAGGATCCAGCATACGTGTTCATGGTTGGGGGAAAATTAGGGGAAGAGTAGAGTTGCCCCTGAAGTGTAAAGGGCTGTACAAGCAATTGGCAAATGGGGGTTGCGGGACAATGTGATAGGGCCTGGACTTAGATCTGGATTGGAGAGAAAAGAAAGAAAATAATAATATAAAAAAAAAAAAAGAAAAGAAAAGCAAATTAGCGGCCTTCAGTGGTTCAGTGGAGGAAGTAAACCTGAAACAGGAACAAGCAAACTCCACTCTGCGACACCGCTTGAAAGTGCCGGGTCCGTTTACCCCTACCCACGGTTTCCCAAGGTGTCCCTCCCACTTTCCTTTCTCAACTACCTTTATTATCCCTTCTCCCCCAGTCACTTCTGCAGTCCCTCTGCTGCTCAGTTCATCTTCTATGCTGAACATCGCTCGCAAGACTTTCAAACGCGTGCCTAGCTTCCAGGACCTCCTACAAGGCAGGATGACCCACCCCGACATGTATGAACTTCCCCCCCTCACCGTCATTTCTCCCCCCAGACTCCCCAGACTAACCCCAATCCCACAGTTCTGTTGACGTTCTCGTCATTGGTGCTGGCCCAACTGGTTTGGGTGCGGCCAAGCGTTTGAACCAGATCGTAAGTTCATGAAAACCCCCTCTGTATTGATTCGGTGGTGGAAGGCAGAAAAAAAATAAATAGGGGGGAAATAGAGGGGTACAAAAGACCCTGAAAAATGAACCAAAAATCACTAACTCAATTGATTCTAGAATGGCCCCTCATGGTTGATTATCGACTCTAACGAGATCCCCGGTGGTCTGGCTTCCACTGATGTGACCCCTGAAGGCTTCGTAAGTTGCACCCTTGTTTACCATTGCGGGGGGAAAACCCCCTCCCAAAGGAAAAAAAAAAACACAAGGCTAACAGTCTATTCAACAGCTGTACGATGTCGGTGGCCACGTTATCTTCTCCCACTACAAGTACTTCGATGACTGTATCGATGAGGCTCTCCCCAACGAGGAGGACTGGTACACCCACGAGCGTATTTCTTACGTTCGCTGCAAGAACGAATGGGTCCCCTACCCCTTCCAGAACAACATCTCCATGTTGCCCAAGGAGGAGCAGGTCAAGTGTATCGATGGTATGATCGATGCCGCCATGGAGGCTCGTGTCGCCAACACCAAGCCCAAGAACTTCGATGAGTGGATTGTTCGCATGATGGGTACCGGTATTGCCGACCTCTTCATGCGCCCTTACAACTACAAGGTCTGGGCCGTTCCCACCACCAAGATGCAGTGCGCTTGGCTCGGTGAGCGTGTCGCTGCCCCCAACCTCAAGGCCGTGACCACCAACGTCATCCTCAACAAGACCGCCGGTAACTGGGGTCCCAACGCTACCTTCCGTTTCCCCGCCCGCGACGGTACTGGTGGTATCTGGATTGGTGTTGCCAACACCATCCCCAAGAAGAACACCCGCTTCGGCGAGCAGGGCAAGGTCACCAAGGTTAACGCCAACAACAAGACCGTCACCCTCGCTGATGGCACCACCATTGGTTACTCCAAGCTTGTCTCCACCATGGCTGTCGACTACCTCGCCGAGGCCATGGGTGACCAGGAGCTGATCCCCCTCACCAAGCAGCTCTTCTACTCCTCCACTCACGTTATCGGTGTTGGTATCCGTGGTGCTCGCCCCGAGCGCATCGGTGACAAGTGCTGGTTGTACTTCCCCGAGGACGACTCTCCCTTCTACCGTGCCACTATCTTCTCCAACTACTCCCCCCACAACCAGCCCGAGGCTTCCAAGAAGCTGCCTACCCTCCAGCTCGCCGATGGCTCTAAGCCCAAGAGCAACGAGGCTAAGGAGGGTCCTTACTGGTCCATCATGTTGGAGGTTTCCGAGTCTTCCATGAAGCCCGTGAACCACGAGAAGCTCCTGGCTGAGTCCATCCAGGGTCTTATCAACACTGAGATGCTCAACCCCGAGGACGAGATCGTCTCTACCTACCACCGCCGCTTCGACCACGGTTACCCCACCCCCAGCCTGGAGCGTGAGGGTGCCCTCACCCAGATCCTGCCCAAGCTGCAGGAGAAGGGTATCTGGTCCCGTGGTCGCTTCGGTAGCTGGCGCTACGAGGTCGGCAACCAGGATCACTCGTTCATGCTGGGTGTCGAGGCTGTGGACAACATTGTCAACGGTGCCGTTGAGCTGACCCTCAACTACCCCGACTTTGTCAACGGTCGCCAGAACTCTGAGCGCCGTCTTGTCGATGGTGCCCAGGTCTTCGCCAAGAAGCAGTAGATAATATTTCCCCCCCCCTTTTTTTTCCCTCCATATTTCCGCCTTTTTTTTTAAACCCACCGAGGCTTTTTTTGAATACACTTTGTACGAGGTCTTGAACCGTCATGGAAAACTATACACGCAATGGGAGCATCTGAAGCAGCATCTGGAAGACGATCTTTGTTGGCGTTTCATGTGAATTACTACCCATCTTCACTTTTTACATCCCCATGAAGAGACCTATTGTTGGATTTGCTTGTGGGCTTTCATTTTTGATACACACTTTTTTTAGACTTGCTGTGGAGATAACTAGTTTATTGTCCCTAATTGATTGTTTACGAATGCTTCCTGTCCCACCGTGTAAACACGACCTCCACTGTAAAAAGAATGTGGCCCATCTTACACGTTTCACTATCCATCACTGTCCACCATAATTCCGACCTCCCCAAGCCTTCGTCTCTACTCCCTAACTACAAAGTGAGGGAGTTAATTCCCCCAATCGCCACTGGCCGTGCCAACCTGAACCCATCGCCACCCGCAAATCTCCACAATCCACATATCCCCAAATCTCCAACTTGTTCCACACAGCAATCTGACAGGGTACAACCAACATCCCCGTCCCAATCACCATCCCCCAAATTTCCAATAGAGATACCAAGACCCTTGGAAACAATCCAGGAACAAAAATAGCACCCAAAAAGTAACATAACGGGAACCACAAAAAAGCCATCTACGAAATGAGACCCAAATAAATCGCCGGTCCCAACCAGTATGTACTCGAAATTGGTCCTCGATGCTGGTTGGACACGTCGTACTGGGTCAACGTTATTTTTATGGGTGGCGTTTTCAGGTGGGCCTGCGTCGTCAAAGCCAAGCATTGTGGAAACACAAGGACTGACACGAGGATGAAACTTGGTTTGATTTATTGATTGGCAGGAATCTTGTGGGGGTTGGGTTTCCTGATTAGCTGGTTAGGAGGTTAAATGGCTTGGACAATGTCATTGATTGCGTGGATGTTGCAAGGCTGAGATGTTACGAGTCTATGTAATCTAAGGGCTGTACTAGTAGGCACCTGTTTTGCCTGCTTTCAAGGCCGGTAGGGGAAATTTGCTTTCTTTGTGTTGTAGTGAATTCAAAATATACAGACTAGTATAGTACTTCACATTATTTTCTCTCATAAACAATTGCGCTTGATTTTGCCCGGTTGTTGGTAGGCGTATATTGATCAACTCTCGCACATGTGGAAATCAACAACATTCGCATCCATACTAGTACATAAAACACCTCTCCTTTTTATAGTTACATTATAAAAATTCCTCGTGGGGTCCATGGGTCTTCTTTTGCCCAATATTTCAACGACGAATTGACTTGATACCTTTTAACCACCACCATCAGGTCGCATCCTCCTCTTCTCAAGTAACTTGCTGTTGTTAAGGTTAAGATTTGAAAGCGCAGAAATCCCAGAAACCGTCTTGCCGAAGCTATTCCCTCCCTTGGATTCATTCGATGCCTTTCCAGCTTTCAATTCCCGCTCTAGCTGCATCTGATGCGCCTCCCGCTGCACGGAATGCCCAACATTGTAGATATCCCGAATATTGGGCGTCTCGGGGTACGAATTTCCGAGTTCATTCTCAGCAACGGCTTGCGAGTGCTCCACAGTGGGAGTTTTATCGGGCGAGTCGAATTGACGTTCAGACTCCTTACTGCTAATCGATGAAGCCGCACTGGTACACTTGCTTTCATTGTCTTCAGTTTCCCGCATCCAAGGATGATCAAGACACTCCTTGATACTGAGTCTTTCTTCGGGATTAATGGTCAGTAGACGCGAGACGAGGTCCTTTGCGCCATCCGAAACCTTATCCCACTTTGGTGATGCAAACGTGTATTCTCCTTGCATGATCTGACGCCGCATGATGTCAAGGTCCTCGTCATAGAAGGGAGGGAACCCGGCCAACATGGTGAAGAGCAGACAGCCCAACGCCCACATATCGACGCTAGTAGTGTATTTATGTTTCCTGAATAATTCGGGGGCAGCGTAGCTCATGGTTCCGCATGGAGTTGCAGCTGGGACGCCGCAGATAATCTTGGACAAGCCGAAGTCGGCGAGCTTGACCAGGCCGATATCATTGGAGCCGACATCAGCGATTGAGACGGCTTCTTCTTCGTTATTTGATTGGGTGGGGTTTGATTCTGCGCGCGGTGTGGATGGGACCGGGTAAAAGAGAATGTTCTCGGGCTTAATGTCTCTGCAGTTGGGATGAGGTCAGATTCATGATGCATGCCATGCATTTGCGGTGAACGTTGAACACACCGCTTTGAAGTAAGGAGGGGGGAACCTCAAAAGTGATAAGTATTTACCTGTGGACGATTCCCATGTCGTCATGAAGATATTCAACGGCATTTGCGACTTGTTTTATGACATGTCGACTCATGGTTTCGCTTAGAGACGCGAACTTGACTATTTGGTCGTATAGCTCGCCACCAGGGCAAAGCTCCAAAAACATATAATGATATTGAACCGATTCAAAGGAGTCGATAAGTCGTACCACATTATCGTGGTTGAGTTGGCGTGTGATTTCCACCTCGTCGTGTAATTTTTGTTTCTGCGTCCGTTCTTAGATTAGATCCTGTGAAGCTTCAACTTCACAATGGTTCTACTACTCACCTGGTTCTCTTTCATTTCATATTTCTTCGTAACCTTAATGGCGACTTCGCTATGCTCGGATTTGGTGTCACTTGCACGATAAACACAGCTGAAAGCACCGTCTCCAATCTTCTCTAGTAAGCGCCAACGATCCAGACCAGGATAGCTGGGCATATTTGACGCTCGTTGAGATTTTGACATGAAGCCAACAGAAAGATTTGAAGTATCGATTTGGCGTGCTTGTTTGGCTTCAGTTGCTTGTCGTCTCTCTCGTATGCGCTCCATCACGCTTCGATTCCCCGTGAAAGACTTCGTTTCAACGGGTCTAGATAATGTAGTGGTAGACATGATTTAAAAATTTGAGGGGGACTTTTCCCACGTAGAAGGATGGAAAGAAAATTAAATTCTTTGTCTGGCGGTTGTTATTTGCGATAGTTAAAGACCGACGGCTGGAAAATGACGTAAATGCATACCTTGATTCGGGGCGTTCGCAATCGCAAAATTCTAACATCTGAGTGGCTGCGTCATGACAGGGGATCCCCAGAGCCCTGACAGCTTCGTTATTGGCGGGTCGGATTTAGTGAGATTGACTCTTTTCTTTTGTTATCAAGATTAAGTGGAATTCGTGGAGCTTTTGAGGTTCGTGGGAGAATAGCAGCTCTCCATTGCTCTCTTTCTGCCCCTGTCTCTCTCTACAGCCAAAATGAATCAACTATTCTAAATCAACTATTCTAAATCAACTATTCTCTATAGCTTTGCCCTTGATATCAAATGAAGACTTCTATCAGCCAATTTTCATTGCCATATACTTTTTTGAACGATGGTGATTATTAGAAACCCTTTGTTGGAAAACATCTACTTGCAAGTACAAAAGTACCGGAAGGTGATTGGCTGGACTGCGACCCGATGTGCAAGAAAGCCAGGGCTCAGCTGTGATTGGTGGATTTCTGGCCGCCGACAGGTTTATGGATCAGCGAGAATGATGTACCTGGATGGTCCACCATCTTCAATCTTCAATTTTTTACTATAGATGACATCAATAGATAACTGTAACTTTGATAGAAATTGATTGCAAGCGTACATATGTATATTTGCCACACTGCACTAACCTTCCAAGAAAACTCATTGCCAAGATTCCAGATGTCCTAAATAGACATCCCGTGCTACATGTACTTTGGCCATACACATCCATGTATAAATTTGAGGCGAAAAAAAAGAAAAAAACCCTCGGAAGTTCCCCGATTGGTCGACTTCCAAGGTTATTTTAAATTATAAATTTAAATAGGATCGAATGCGTAGCAGTTCAGGGTGAACACAGTCCGCAGGGAAAATGGAAATAAGTCAGCTCATCAATTACATAAAAAACAATTAAGCCCGGGAACCTTGAAGAAATTCTAATGAAGCTCAATCTTCGTGATAGAAAAAGCAACTTGTAGATCAACTACTAGTAGGATGAGGTGGATCTAAACCCATTGGAAAAAGCAGAGAGGTGGAGAGCTCCCAGGTGGAGAAGTGGTGAGATAGTGGAGTGGTACAGTACCAGATTAATTTTTAACCTTAAATTTTTCATCTACATATATGCATGTGTATTGCTTCCATACAATAGTACGTTTGGAAGACAATTATTTCAACCTCATACTAGTATGTACTTGACATGATATATACAGCATCAAACATTGGAAACTACTCAAATACATCATTGCCGGACCGGTGACATCATCCCCTAAGCAGAAGCACAACCACTTTCAGGCACAAGGCTAATCGCATCTAGATAAACCTCCCCAGTGTCCGAGTTATCCTCGAGATCACAAGCAGCAAGGATATGCAATGACTCGACCGACTTCTTCGGCACATAGGTTCCGGAAACAGAGACCCACGTCCCAAAGGTTTCCTCATATAAATCAGTGCTCGTGATTTCCCCGACCGTCTCGTTGAAGCCCGCGTAAACGTACACGAAGCAGTACTCTGAGCCCGAGGGATAGGGGACTTGAGCCACGGCGTTGAAAGTATACGCCTTTCCTGGCTTGAGATTTTTCAAGGTTTGGGAGATGGTGTTGCCCTGGTTGTCGATGGCAGTTTGCAGGCTCCTATTTCCCCAGTCAGCTCAACAACGTTTGGGATTGATGCACAGGGTTGCAACTCACAAGTAGTGGTCACCGCTGTAAGCATTTGTGCCAGTGCTGACTTGAGCAACGTCCACGGCAGATGCGCGCCATGGGAACAGAACACCGGATTCGAAGCCTGGGTTGACCACGGCATTGCATGCTGAAAGAGCCATGTTTGCGAGTTGGGATGGAGAAAAGGATGTTTGCTTTGTTCCAAAGTGAATACTTTTTTGATATTGAAGTGAGAACGTGGTAAAGGAAGCGGCTTATAAACATCTGAATGCTGACTTTCTGTCTGAGACATTTACGGTAGGGGACGCGGGTTTGGCCGCCGTGGAACGCCTTTTCTCTACATCAGGGCAAAATCAGGGTCTTTTCATACCCGCATTTCCCCAATTAGAGTCTCACTAAGCTTTAACTGAAGAAGACATGTAACATGACTTTCAGGGTTACCCTGATCTGCAAGACATGGTTCTATTCTTAGTAGATCTGATATAGCTGACATAGCTAACATAGAGTGGAGAATTCAAAGCTTTTCGGCCAACAGGACTTGCGACGATCGAAACAGATTCCTTATTGAGATGGTCATTTGTGGACCCAAATTTCGCCAAAAACTTTCAATGTTTACCTATACTGCAAGCAATTCAAGTGCTGTCTTCCAAGGTTAGAGTTCTTGGTACCTCATCTCCAGGCTCACTCGTCAGCACACTGCCGCTATGGAAGTGGCGCATTTTGTTGTTGTCTTACTAACTCCATTGACGGTCGGATCCATGGATATAATTAGATTGAGACACAGACTTGAGATGTCTACATTGTAAATACGACTTTAAATGTTTTCAGCAGGAGAAAATACAATCAGTGTCGTTGTCATTTGCTTAGTGCCGTGATTTCCAAGTTTCGCGTTCGTTATCAGCCCCGAAACTGCCAGGAAGCATCGTATAAATTGTTGATTTCAAGGTTCACTTTTCGTCAGCTAAACCAATACAAGAACAGCGCATGTTCCCAGTCTGATAACACATCGATCCATCAATGTGCTGATTTCAGTTTTGAAGAATGTCCAGGGTAGAGTTCATTTGATGTTGGTGAATGCCAGCTTCGTCAGGCAGCATTGCACCCCTGTCTTATGTCAGACAAGACTGCATCTTGAATCTTGCCCAATACAACTCCCTCGTAAGAATTCTATGTCAACCCAACATCTCAATTTCGGATAGCATGGATTTGTTATTTACTATCACCACTGCACAAGACGGGATGCCGAGGATGTCGCAGATCGCGCTCGGGAATTCCGGACTCTGGATGCGTCATTTCCCCAGAAGACCCACGTACACGGGAAACCGGGGAGCTTCAATTTATTCCTGCTCGGTACATGAATCGGCATCGGTACGATATACTGTCTGACAGATTCCGAGGAATTGGGTTATTACCTTCGAATTTCAAAGTACATCAAAAAGAAAAATCGGCTTTCAAATTCGTCTCCGAAAGCCCTATTCCTATGGATAATGAGGGTGTCAAAATCATCAATCTCCACCAAGTGGCACCTTAATCAAGCATCTTCAGCATTTTGGCGATCGGCAATGCAGAAACCTCGGAATTTCCACACCTGCATCCTAACCGACATGGGCTAGTAATAATTATCCGATGTCTGCCCAGCAGACGCCAACATCGTTCACAGTTTACTCCAAGCCATCGACCCCTTCATCAAGTCAATCTTCTGCTAGCGGGTGAACCCAAATAACCACGCTATGAAGATCACACTTTCAGCCCTGTTGGGCTTTGTTGCGATAGCTGCATCCGCTGATCTCCGTATTCGAACTTCGAGCGGTACTGTGCAAGGAGGGGTTAACGGCACATATCCCAATGTCCGCCAATTTTTGGGTATTCCATTCGCCCAGTCTCCCGATGGAGATCGCCGCTGGTTGCCTCCCCAGTCGCTCCCTCCAACTGCCACCTCAAAGCATATCGATGCGACCACAATGCCTCCTGCCTGCCCGCAAAAAACAACCGGCACGGTATTCGCGAAATATGAACCAGAAATTATCATCGCTGGAGGAATGAGTGAAGACTGTTTGACTCTGAGCATCTGGGCTCCAAACAACGGCAAGACCAACCTACCCGTGATCATTTGGCTCTATGGCGGAGAATGGGTTTCTGGCGGAACAGACGTGCCCGCATGGTATCCAGCTCCCTGGATTGAGCGCTCTCAGGAGCACATCGTGGTTGCTGTGCAGTATCGTGTCAATATTTTCGGTTTCCCAGCTTCAAGGGCACTTGGGGAACAGAATTTGGGTATTCTGGACCAGCGCGCCGGTGTTGAATGGGTTCATAAAAATATTGCTCAGTTTGGAGGCGACCCGGAGCAGATGATCCTCTGGGGTCAGAGCGCTGGAGCAGGCAGTGTTGATATTCAAAACTTTGCCTACCCTGACGAGCCTATTGTCCAAGGGTTTGCTGCTGACTCTGGTTCGGTTTTCCTGACGCTTGATACCCGTTCGACAGACACTGCAGGAACAAACTTCTCGTCAGTTGCTTCATACTTTGGCTGCTCTGGCTCGGCTCAAGACGAGCTGAACTGCTTGCGCAAAGTTCCCGCTACCAAGATCACCGCTTATCTTGACACGACAAACGGCTCTAGCCTCACATTTGCTCCTTTCATCGACGACCGAATTATCTTCGACAACTATACCGAGCGTTACCTGGGAAACCACCTCTCCGACAAACCTGCCATATTTGGCTCCAACCTGGACGAGGGTACTCTTTGGTACGATGCCACTGATAGTGCTGCGGCCAAGGCCATGACCCTTTCGACCTTTGAATGTCCCGTCCCCTACTCCACTGCTCTGCGACAATCCCTCGGTTTGACAACCTACCGTTACCAGTACCGCGGCAACTTCACCAACATTTCGCCCGAGTCTGGGCTAGGGGCTTACCACACAGCTGAGCTGCCACTCATTTTTGGCACTTCCAACATCTATGGCTCTGACACTCGCTTCGAGAAGGTTGTCAGCGCTAAGATGCAAGATTTGTGGCTGGCATTTGCGAAGGACCCCGATAGCGGACTGGCTCAGCAAGGCTGGCCTCGATCGACGAGTGGGGAATTATTGGTACTGGCCAACACCGTCAACAACACAGTCTCCTCGATCATTGCTGACAGTGTTATCGACGATGCTTGTACGAGCTATTATTCCTTGTACTTGGTTTAAAAAAAAAAGGAAGCCATCACATGCAACAAAAGTCTATAACAAAACCAACTTTACAACATGTGATAGATTGGTCATACAAATCCATTCGAAAGAAAGTCAGCGGTTTCACCCGCATAATTTCTATTCCAATGCTACTCCGTATCAAATTCTCCGTTCAATTATTCCTTTAAAATGTGATCGTTTATCTCTGAGCGACATTATTTGTTGAGCGGCTAAAAGTGATCCACTAGGCTCCATAAAACGCCCCTTGCGGGCTAGCAGCCCCCATATCCCATATTGGCTTTGACCTCCCAACGGAGTCAGATTCACTCAACAACTTTGAGAAAATGAAATTTCTTTTTTTTTTCTCGCATGTGTCAAATCGATTCGTATTCGCGTCCTCGATTAGACCACATCGGTTAATGCAAACATTTCTCGGTTCCGGATTTCTAAGGTTTTGCCCCTGGCCAGGCCCACCAATCGCCACTGCATATCATTCCTCGCGTTGCATGGTTATGTATGAAAAGTCAATCTCTCGGGGCAGTCTCTGTTCTCCGGGGCAAAAAAAAAACCCAGATGGCTAATACCGATCCAGAATGGCGTTACTAATTCAGGAGAATGATCCAAAGATCGCAGGCGAATAAGAGAAAAAGAAAAGAAAAAAAGCCTTGTCAGGGGTTCTATCAACGCTAGCGATTAGACTCAAACCTAGTACCGCTATCGGAGCCTATCAGCGACTAGTGAGGGAAATTCATTTTAGCGCTAGATTCTAAAGTAGAAATTTTCTCCACGAGAATCCCGCGCAAATCAACGTCTTTTTAACGGTTCTGTTGGGTAGACATCCAGGGGAACGGGCCTCACTGTGAAAATATCAAGTCTGACATTGGTCCGTTGTAATCCGCATCCACGGAAAGGGGCTGTAAAACATCTAGAAGCAGTCTAGAAAGGTTCCACTTCAGGATCCATTACCAGAGTACCCCAGAACCAATCAATTTATCCTACTTAAATGTAAATAAAATTTCTCAACAGGGGCGCTCTCTTTTTTTTGTTTTTTTACATCCTACACTCGACTTTGCTTTTGCTTGTTATTTGCAAAGGCATTGATTGCAGAGATGGCGTCCTCTACTATCCAGACAACAGAGCCCGTGATTCAGCTCAAGGGAGACACCAACGTACGTGCTACCATTGAAGAAATGCGGAGAAAATGCCCAAATAACCCAGACAACCATAAATACTAACACAAAGTGAAATCTAGCCCAAGGACATCACCTATGGCTTCTTGAGAGACAAGGTGCCCGCTCACTGCTGGGAGCGCTCCGCCATCAAATCATTCTCCTACCTCGTCCGCGATATCATCTATGCATCCGTGCTCGTATGGCTGGCTCTCAAGATTGATCTCCTGCCTACGCCACTCATGCGCGCCTCCGCATGGGTTCTGTACACCTTTGTCCAGGGCTGCGTCGGCACCGGCATGTGGATCATCGGTCACGAATGTGGTCACGGCTCTTTCTCCGAGTACACCAAGCTCAACAACTTTGTCGGCTGGGCTGTCCACTCTCTTCTCATGGTGCCCTTCTTCTCGTGGAAGATCACCCACGCCAGACACCACCGTTACCACGGCCACATCGACAAGGACACCGTCTTCGTGCCTGCCACCGAGTCCGAGGTCCAGGCCCGCGAGCCCGGCACCCTCGACAAGCTCATCGAGCTCGTCGAGGAGACTCCTCTCTACCACGCCGTCACTTTGATCGGCCACCAGGTCCTCGGATGGCAATTGTACATGTTCTTCAACGTTAGCGCTGGAAACAAGTCTCTCCCCGATAAGGGAACTAGCCCTACCCAGAAGTTCAGATACAGCCACTTTGACCCCACCGGTCACCTTTTCACCAAGGCCCAGACTCCCCTGATTGCCATGACCGATCTCGGTCTCCTCATCACCGCTAGCATCCTCTACTACGTCGCTACCCACATCGGCTTCTGGAAGGTTGCTCTGCTCTACGTTGTGCCCTACTTCTGGGTCCACCACTGGCTCGGTAAGAACCACTTCACTTTGAATCTCGAGAGATTCCAATCTGGGAAAGAAGACCTTTTTTTGCTAACACAATGTCTAGTTGCCATCACCTACCTGCACCACACCCACCCCACTGTTCCCCACTACGACGAGAACAACTGGACCTTCGTCAAGGGCGCCCTCGGCACCGTTGACCGTCGCTTCGGTTTCATCGGACGTCACTTCTTCCACGAGATCATCGACTACCACGTCATTCACCACCTGTTCCCCAAGATTCCTTTCTACCACGCCGAGGAGGCCACTGATGCCATTGTGCCCTACCTTGGAGACCAGTACCGTCTTGAGGAGGGTCTGTTCCTTAAGGATCTCGTGAACACCTTCACTACCTGCAAGACCAAGTACGACCCCGACACCAACGGAGAGTTGCACTGGAAGTTTGCCAAGGATGAGGGAAAGAAGCTCAACTAGAGCTATGCATATCTGGCCAGGTGCTGGACTCGGCTTACCGGGTGTTTTGTTTTTATATGAAAGTTTTTTTTATAGAGATCTTAGAGTTAGACTAGTTTGCATTTCGCCCTTCCAATGGTTTGAAGGCGATATCTCCAATATGATTGCATATAGAGGAAAAAAATATATCTCTTCAATGTTTCTGATGAGTAGATTTCCATATTAATTGTTGTAGATTGGTTCAAGGAATACATCAATTGATGTGTTCTCCTCTTTGAAAGTTCTCGGTGTCAGATGGACATGCTCTTCAAATGTATTCAACTTCTTCTAGGTAACAATCTACATCAATATCATCAACATTGTGAGGTCTTCATTTACCATACAATCTCATTGATATCAAGCCCAGGAAGCCAACGACTGTAAAATCATCGATTAGGAATCGACCCGAGGATCAACCACAAGTCCAGGTGCCATTATGCTTTCACCAATGCTTGCCATGTTCTAATACATAACTAGCAGCACCCAAGGCACCCAATGCCTCATTGATTACAGAACAGAAATTTACGTATCACCACCTACTAGTACTAGGTGTTTTCTCACTATTTTGCTCCATTCTGCCGAGATTAGACAATATTCCAATGCGCCAAGGTCCAGTGCATTATGACAAACCCGCATACTTTAAGACACAAAGTATCCTTACGATTGGAGAGAAAAACCTTCAAATCAACTTGATCCAGGAGCATGATCATATGATGTCTTCTACTTCAGAAGTTAGCTGCAAGGGAATCGTAGATCTCAATTCTATAGATAGCTCGCAAGCCCTCGGTACCGAAAAGCTGTAACACTAGGCAGGGTCTCTCCAACGGACAATTCTAAAATCGACCAAGTCCAGTTCGGAATGTGCATGACATCTGCATCTGCATGGAACATTTCTATAATTTGATAAGACATCAAGAATAGAGCTGTTGGTTGGTGATGATTGGCGCTGAAGAAATTCTCCGACGCTTAAACAAACCCATTGTCGAGGCGAAGCAGGAGGGCGGGGTCAACCCAGTGGAATTGGGATTGCTGGAGCATCTTTCGTATTTGAGTGTTCCACGTTCGGAATCTATTATTATCACGAAAGCGAGGGCCCAGAACGTCTCTCTTTGTTTTCCCTGGAGCCTTCTGGTTTGCGCTAAGAATACCAAAGGTGAGACAAATCGATAAGCCGAGGGACTAAGACACGCGATTACAGGAAGATTGGGAGAACACAGATGCAGGTCTTTATTGTGTTCTCTGTGTCCTTTCGATTTTCAATTATAATTCAGATATGTTAATTTGCCAGATACAATTGAAAATAAAAATAAAAATAAAAATGCTCAATAGAGACTGGGAAGTTTAGTGGGAGGGACGCGTCAGTTGTTGGGTCAAAGGTTGGATACTGGATCTTTTCCCCCACCGGAGCACATCCGAACTATACTAATTTGGGCTCTTCTGATTTCAGTCCGATCTGTTTGGCTTTCAGTGTTGTACGGGATCAAGAGATTAGGAAATTAGTAGGAATCAAAGCTCGATCTTGGGGGAGTAATCTGAATGATGTTTCCAATCCCTGCAGAATGACGTTGCTGTAGTAGACACGTCAGGGTATAAAAATAAATGGGGAAAAAAAAAAAAACAAGAATCTCCGAAACCAGGAACTATCTATAAGTATACTGGTGGTATCTCATTGGCATGAAGGGAAAGGGTGTGGTATCAATCATAAAATCATAAAATCGTAATCCGTGTACGCTCCCAGCATCAAACAAACCGATCGGGCCATTGTGCTTTCCAGAGCGCAAATCCAGTGAACAAGGTTCCGACTGTCACAAGACCCTCGGTAGTTGAAAGGCTGAGTTTTCAAGTGTCTTGCTTGCACTAGGTATCCACATTAGTGGTGGTCGAGGCTGGAGAATGGGCCAAGCCTGCCTCGTCAGACCGAGTGGTGGACGCTAAAGTTAGTCCCCGGGGTGGGCTGGCATTGAGAGTCATCTCCGGAATGGTAGCGGGCGGCTTGCGGGAAACCTGAGAAGTGGGAAGCCGCGAATGCTCATCTTTTGAACTCGTGGCCCATGTATGGAGGGGACTTCGTCGGTAGTTTTCTGTGCGAGACGTGGTCAGTGGTTCGTTGATCAGACTAAATGGACGATCATCCTTGGCACAGACCTTCCAAGCCATACAAGCGATCCATTGTACTCTTTCCCTGATCCGGTAACGCAGCCCAGAGACCTTTGAGGTGTTCGTGATTTTGTGAGGAACGGGAGGAACAAGAGGATCCTAACCGTCTGATGGGGGCTTTGAAGGTGCCCACTTTGTGGTGGATCGATGTTGACTTAGAAGCAGATTCTTCTTCTGGGCTTGTTGTAATGGAGTCGTCTGGCACGGAGCGGGTTTTCACACAAGAGGATCCTTGAGCTTCGCGGGTTGGTTGGACATCTCCATTCTCTTCCGAATCTTCGGATGGTGCTGCGGAGCTCAAAGAGTCAAATTGGGTGTCTCTGCCATAGCTCGGATCTTGGTCACTTAGGTGTAAGCGGTCCAAATCGGTGGAAAGAGAACGGAGAAAGATACGGTGCAAATGATACTGAAGCTCCTCATCCCCTAACCAGATGATCGACGGCGGGCACCTGATCATGGGTGGCAAGATTGACGTAGGGGATGAAAAGAGGTACAATTGACATGATAACTTTCGATGGGGGAAGCCACGATTTGTTGCAATTGCTGCAATTGCCCCAATGTTAAAAGGAGTACGAAGATACCAATACTCCGCATTCCCGTACGATGACGACGCGTTCTAATTCGAACTTCCTTTGTTTTTTTTTTTTTCTACTTTTTTTTTAGAATAGAGAGAGAGAGACGAATGATTAATTAGTTCTTTTTTTTTTAAGGGAAAAAATTCCAATTCTTATGCCATATGTCTTAGTATCGAATAGAATCCCAATGTTTTTCTATCTATTACTGAGTATTTGAGAAAGCTCAGCCCACTAAACCCGATTGCTACTAAGACGGAGCCTCCTGTTGATCCTTTTCTGCCTTTCCCCCTCTCACCTTTCTTGACATCTTCAACGTCCCCTAGGGTTGGAACATGCCTCCACTGTTGCTACCGCCGCCATAATTACTTGGCTTTCTGGATTCCTTCCTTCCCCCCTCATCGACCCCCCCGCCTACCGCCACCTGTCTCCGGTCGCCCCGTCTCCGTGCCTGTCATGAATGGCGATTTAAGTCTATCCCAGTCCCTGGGAGGACTACGGATAGCAAATCCAGATGATTCGCCTTTACCATCAGAGGATGCGACCGCGGGTTCGATGGGTTTCAGTCCATCCGGCCAACCGGACGGTTCGGTGTCAACAGGTCCACAGATTCGCGCGCCGAGCGACGAGGCCCTATCGGCATTTCCTCCTGCACCCTACGAGGCACCTGCACCCATCGAAAACCGGACATCCGTCGTCTATACACACCCTGATTCCCTCCCACCGTCCGCTCCTTATCAGCCTTACACCTCCACACATCCCCACGCCAATCCGCCGAACCCTTCCCGACCCCTTTCCAATTTATACGCCAACGGTTCGACCTCCTCCGTACTTCCCCGAGACAACACATATCGCATACGAACGGACTCCGGTGCATCATCCACTTCGACATCTCACTCTCGGAAAGACGTCCGCGGTGCCGCCGTAGCCTTGCAAGCCGGTGTTCCAGTGCGCGACAACTCCCACAGCGACCGTTCTTACCGAACAACGCAGATCCCGGCCAATGGACCGGTAATGCGTCAGTCATCCAGAGCACACGCCCGAGGAACCACACACTCTCAGATGGCCCGAACTCCCTACGGTATGGAAAACGGACCAGCACCCAGCAGTGACGATTGGCAGGATCGCGGAGCTGCGGTCTCAGTAAGACAGGAAGTGGACGCCAATGGGAAAACTGTTTCCCGCTACATCAAAAAGGGCGTTCGGGATTTCTCGTTCGGAAATACCCTTGGAGAAGGATCATACAGTACAGTGGTATTTGCAACGGATCGACAAACTTTGAAGGAATATGCGATCAAGATTCTAGACAAGCGACACATCATCAAGGAGAAAAAGGTGAAATATGTCAACATTGAGAAAGACACTTTGAATCGCCTTACCGACCACCCAGGAATTGTGCGCCTATACTATACCTTCCAGGATGAACGTTCGCTATACTTTGTGCTAGACCTTTGCAAAGGAGGCGAGCTTCTGGGTGTTCTCAAGCGCATGACTACTTTTGACGAAGAGTGCACCAAGTTTTACGGTGCCCAGATCCTCGATACGATAGATTATATGCACAAGCGTGGTGTTATTCATCGAGACCTGAAGCCCGAGAATGTTTTGCTCGACCACCAGATGCATATCAAGATTACCGATTTCGGCACAGCAAAGATCCTCAAATCCTCACCAAGACCAACCGAGAGTACCAGCTCAATTCCGCAAATGGACGTAACGGAAATTCCAGAGGAAGAGCGGGCGAGCTCATTTGTTGGTACTGCGGAATACGTTAGCCCCGAATTGTTGACAGACAAGAATGCTTGTAAGGCAAGTGATCTGTGGGCATTTGGTTGTATCATTTACCAACTGCTGGTCGGTCGTCCGCCTTTCAAAGCGGGCAATGAGTACCAAACATTTCAAAAAATTGTGGCCTTGGACTATGAATTCCCAATCGGATTTCCCGCCGTTGCTCGCGACCTTGTGGAGCGTCTTCTGGTGCTTGACCCAGTCCAGCGGTTGCAGATTGAGCACATCAAGAACCACGAGTTCTTCACTGGTATTTCCTGGGGAACTGATCTGTGGAAACAAAAAGCCCCCCGGCTGAAGGCCTACGTCCCGCCTCCTCGTGAACCAATCAAACTTAATGGTGACGGCAGCGAGAGCTTCCCTCCCACGATCTCAACGGCCCCATCCAACGCACCAAATGCCAGCTCCCGTGCTCTTCCTAGAGTGGTCACTGAGCTGCCTCCGCCCAGTCAACTCGATATTGAATGGTCACCGGTATTGAGCAGGTCTAATGAGCGAATCCTGAAGCTGGGTAACATGGTTGTGCTGTCCTCGCCTGCTTCCCATAGTCCAACCTCCAAGAATGGTAGCAGCGAAGCCGAGGCTCCCAAGAAGTTTTCGCGTTTCTTTTCTAGCGGAGCAACGAAGAAACGACAACGGTTGGTCATGGTCACCTCGTCTGCGCGGATCATTTTAGCTGCATCTGGGGGCGATGAAAAGAAGGCAAAACTTGAGATATCTCTCCTTGCCGCCGGAACACACTGGAGGAGTACAACAGACGCCAAAGGACATTCATCGTGGATTGTGGATACAGTAGGTCTTACCTTCCACCACTTTTTTTTTTTCAATTGCTGACGCAAATAACAGAGAGATAAACACTATGTCTTTGAGGATCCTAAACCATCATCAAGCAATATCGGGTCTACAGCAGTTTCAGCCCAAGAATGGCTGGACGCACTAGACCGAGCTCGTGAGATGGCTTTGACACAACAAAGATCTGGATCTTATACAGCCGAAGACGCATTCCGCAACATGTCTTCTGGTTTTTCTAGTCACGCCAACACCCTTGACCGTTCTACCGAACTTCAGAATGAGAACAACGTGCCTCCCCCGGGGCGGAATACGTTGCAGAAGCAACAAGCCGATACGGAATCGGTCAAGGGGAAGAAGAGATTTAGCCGACGTCATTCTAAGAATGGCCTTGCTGCTGTTTTCTAAAGCCGCTGACCCCCATCTCTAAAGATATCATGATTTCTTGCTTCGCATTTTACGCACTTTGCTTCAAGCACTGCGGGTATCTACCTATACAGCATCTAGTTTTCAAGATGACTTGTGTATCGGCTTGCTGTCTATCACCTGCTTGGCTCACTCGCTGAGCCATTGGCCACCTGTCAGGGTAAACCAAATTCTCGGGACCAATGTCCCAACGACCTTTCCCAACCCCTCATCCTTGCCCAGGTTCGCAAGGAAGACTAGTCTCCTTTGCATATTGGCAGCCTTCTTATCTTTTGCATATTACACTGACGAGCGTGTTTTGTTCGTGTTGGGGCTTGTTTCTGCATTTAGAACTGGAGAGCATGCGTATTGTTTATTGTTTATTGTTTATTTTTTTATTTTTCTTTTCATTTTTTTCTCTTTTGGATCTCCTCCATCTCATTGCGTCGTCTCTTCAAGTACCAATTTTCTTATCGCTTTCCCATTTCCTTGTGTCTGTTATATATCCCCGATTCGATCTGATGCATACTGTCGACACCCTCATCATGGTTTTGTGTTCATTTCTTCTCCATCTGGTGATTCAAGTTGGTATTGCAGGCGACTTTCCGATTCGTTGATTACTGAGCCATTTCCAGCTACAGTGAAGAAAGCTATAAGTTTATCATTATGATTTTCCTTACTTTTCCAAAGCTCCTTCCGTGTCACACTACCTGTCTCTCTCTCTCTCTCTCTCTCTCTCTCTCTCTCTCCTTTTCTCCCTAAAAAAGAATCGGGCTAAGCTCTCGTTCATTCTCTATTTCTTTTCTCTTTGTCTTCTTTCTTGGCCCCTCCTCTTCTCAAAGTGAGTTGCCCTTATTACTATACCACATTTCCTCTCTTCTATTCGACTGGTCCATTGATCTGGGCGCTTCCTTCACTGTGATTTTTTTCTTTCTCTTTATTTCATTTTCTTATACACACTTCCATTTTCATTTACTTTGGTCTGTGAGTCGCCTTATATGGATGGCAGACCGGGTTTTCAATTTCATCTCACCAGAATCCAAAAATTGATATACCCAGCTTTTTCATTCGAGGGTTTACCAAGGGTATTACTAATTCCTCGAGTTAACTAACTCATTTCAAATATTTTCAAGGGGATTTTCACGTAGATTTGGTGGGCGATTTAAATTAAACGCTTGTCTTCGGGCGAGTCCCAACATTGAAGGCTGGTAACAAGTATTGATTTCTGGAAATAGGATTTAGCCAAAGCTTCCAAGGTTGTGCCTTGGAAATCATACCTATGCCCACGAGTACATGGAGCATTTGAGTGTTTAATGTGTAGTAGCAGTATAATAAATCTCGGCGGTTCGTGTATAATGATCATCAAAGTATGTAGTATTCATTCAAATGGGTATGGAATTAGAAGGGAGAGGAACTGGGTTCCTTGATTTTATACATGAGACTGCCAGCCCCAAGCTGCATCTAAATGAACAGCCAGTCAAGACGCGATGCGTCCAGCTCATCCACCCAATCAAACGAAGAATCAAAAGTTTCATCGTCGTTGTCCTGTTCGAAAGCGTCCTTCGGGAGAAGTCCATCGACAAGGCCAAAAGGAACATTCTCCCGCTCTCGACGTTTTAGATCCTGCTTCTGCCACATGAGTCTAAGTACCCATGCCGCATTGCGGACATTGACACTCGTGACAGCCTGGTAGAGAGCGCCTATTTTTTCGAGAACTATCGGACGTTGCGAGAGACGACGGCATTCTGCGCCAGCGATGAACGAGGGCCAGATGAGGCATTTGAAGTGCGGATCGGAGTTGGGCACGGAGCAGATGCGGGTGATGAGGTCGTGCGCAGCTTGGGAGTGGTCAGAGGGGAGATTTGTTTCTGGCCAGGGGGCTGTGTAGCCTTCTCTGGTCTTGGAGAGTACACGGCTAGTGTACAGGTAGACAGCGGCCTGGTAGGCACTGGCGAGGGAGATGCGAGGGGAGAGGTCATCGAGGAAGAAGTGGGTTTGCATTTCATGGGCCCAGGAGACTGGATCGAAGGTACGGATTCCTTGGAGGAGTTGGGCGAAGGATTCACGGGAGAGGGGTTGGCCTGGTTGCATGGAGATTCCGAGCGTGGAGGGTTGAGGGACTGCAGCCGATAACTCCGATTCTTGGTACCAAAGGGTGTGGACAAAGAATATAACCTCTAAGAGATAGGCGGGGCAGCCGACCCATGATGTTTCTTCCAGGCGCTTGAGCATTTCTGGTCCCATGGTCTGGGAGTAGAACGGTTTAGAAAGAGCGCCAGGCCGTGCAAGTGTGGATCCCATTATCTCCATGATTAAGCATCCATCAATGGCAAACGCTTCAAGTCCCTGGAGAATGCCTTGACCGATCTGATTCTCAGGTCGGCTCCTCATGATTTTCTTTGCGCCTTCAATGTGGTAGCTCCATGCCCCGCTGCCAGACTCAAATAGATCTAGAAGAGCAAGGACGATAATGGCCGCCAGAGTGATATCGTCGTTTTTCTTGGCTGGGTTTGAAATATCTTGCGATAGCAGCTTGAGTGTGCGCTGCTTATATTCAAGGAAATGATGGTATGCCTTTGAATTGGTTTGTCGAGAACTGGGAATGATCATATTTTCGATGTCCTCTGATGATAAAAGAGAGTTGGTGGCCAAGGGGTTATGAGATGACCAAGGCATTGTAGATGAGTCGGAATTAGAAACAAGTGAGTAGTGCATAGCCCCCGTCGCAGATAGAACATTTGCAATTAGGGGTGAGTGTCCTACTAATGCGAGCATATCCCGCCAAGGATTTTTCATCTGCGGATAGACCAAGAAGTCATTTGTCATATACTCGTGATCTTCAGGGCAAAGTCAGTGGGGATCAAACAGACAGGGACTTGGGGACATTCATACAGTGTTTAAGATACATCCTGAACGTCGGGTTGAAGTCGCTCAGCAAAGGATCAACCATTCCCCATGGGGCTGGAACATATTGAATAAACGTATTCTGTGGGGTATGAACCACAGCGGTTTCAGAGTTTTCTGGTGGATGTGACTCCAATAAACCTCCTCCTTCATCAAGTCCGAAAACAGTATTGAAATTCCCTGCATCTAATACTTCTTGAATCCAATCTGTTTCCGGGCTGGCCTGAGCCGCGGAGTTCGGTGATGATTCGGTATCGGAAGGTTCAGGCAGATGAAAGAAGCTCGTAGCATTAGTCGTCTCTGGCTCGTTTGTGAGAGGTAAATTCTGACGATTGGAAGCACCAGCTGGTGTCTTCACATCCTCAAAGCTCCGGCCCATCATTTTGCCCCGACTAGCCACACCACCTTTGACCCACACCAAAGGCTTTTGATATCCCAAACATTCTTTCCCCGCATCTCGGCATTTCCGGCAGGTCGGTTGGCCATTGTCGCAGATTATGCGACGGCGACGGCATGTATAACAACCTTTGGTCATGATCGGAAGGACTGGTTCGTGCAATCGGTATAGAATGAGGCTGGCCGCGGTTGTACTTGGCCACTCGACATCGCGGTTAAGGGGCGAACAACCGGGCTTGCTGGAACCACTGATTTATCGCTGACTCTGGGGTGTTTTTATATGAGCCAGCAATGCTGCAGTGTATCACCGGAGCAATGACCAGGGAAATATCAAGAGGTCGACGGTTTGTGACGGGAAAAAGGTGGAACTGGGAACTTCGGTGCGGGGCTTACTAAGGATCTGGATCGTTTCTCCAGATCCCCTCATTCTCGGATTGATTCACGTTGTTTTTTTTTGCCTCCATAGCCTTTCTTCTGGCTCACAGCCACCAATATGGTCTGGAAAGGACTCTGGCTCGCTGAATTAGAGGTGAGTTTTCTGCCTGCTCTCGTGATGGATCTTTGCTAACTAAAGATAGCGTGCGTTGGTCAGCCGAGTATGTGATCCGTTCCCCTTCCCGACCGAGCCTGCCTAACCTAACCCCATCCAGCTCCTACAAAGTCATCACTGGCATAACCTGGTCGGTCGGATATACCAACGCGTTCAATACCATCGCCATGGTGTTCCGATGGAAGAGAGCCGCACATCTCTAACGGACGGTATGATCGGATCTCAAGAGCTCTTGGATCTTGCATATAGCTAACGCGGAAGCACCAGGAAACCAAGTCAGCCGATTCCTCAAGTTCTTCAAAGAAGAGTTGCAGGATCAGGCCAAGGGAAAGCCTCCGAATAAGCTGTAATATGGAATTCTGCCGGCGTTTTTGTTTTGGACTTTGAAACCTTTGGCGATACCCAGAATTTGAACTTGCAAAAAAATATTTCTTATCTCTCCTTTCCTTATCCACTTACCACATGGTCACAATCTGGACCTCGAGTGACTTCGGCGCATTTCAGTGCTAAAAACCAGTCTCCATTGCTCACTTTGTTGTCATCTCTCAATGTTTTAGGATCTGAAGCTGGGAGCATTATTGTTCATTTCCACAAAATGCCCAAACAAAGGAGATTTGTAAATTGGAAATTGGCCCAGTGTACTCCGTACGGCCCCATAAGCTAGACAAATCACATTTGCTGACGGCAATGGGTTAGGGGCATGGATTCGTCATGTTAAATCTCTCACTAACTTAGTTAAAATCAACATGGAGTAGTGTATACTAGTAGTTTTTAACAACAAACATTGAACTTGAGATCAACTTAAACATTCATGTGCTCCATACTATGTATTAGAAATAAACACGCGACTAAAAAACCAGGGATTCCAGGGAATTCCAGGGACCATATTCCAGTCTCGTCATTCGTGGCTCATAAGCAGGGACTTCGAGTCCAGCGGCCAGCCTCGTACGACAGGGCCCCATAGTAAGGAGTCTAGACTCCTATAATACCCGTACGGAGTGGACGGGTATGGAGTATCATCGTTGTATTATTGTCGCCCAGCATTGCCTCTGCTGTCACGTTCAGGCCCCTGGGGCGTTTATTGCTATTCAGCGCCACTCAGTTTTCGACCAAGTTGGGGCTAGTGACCCGGCTGAGTCGGCTGGGTTGCTCAGGTGCTCCTGAGGTTTTCCGTAAACGATAGCCTATAGAGCTCTTTGTTTTCCCTTCACCGGATTTCAGGCGCTCCAAGTTCCAAGTTCCAAGTTTGTTCCAGATGTTTTAACTTTACCCTTGACAGCGCAGAGAGAAGATCCAATATGACAGAGTCGTATTTATGAAAATCCCGATGTCATGTAGGGTGTCAATGCAGGCGTTACTAAATATGGGCCAGCGCGAGGGGTGGATCCCGTGGGCCAATGATCCGCCGATTGGGGAAGGACGCGAATGCAAAATATTTGAATTTTGCACAGCAGATTGAACCTTGATGAAGGATGGCTGGCAAAGGGGGGGTAAAAGAAGTAAAAGAAGTAAAAGAAGAAACAATATCAATAGAAAGAGATCAATGCTTTGATTGAGATGCGATTCAATCTCTGGTTTTTTTCTTCTGATTTTCTAGGATGATCAAGGTGGCCTAAAATACTTCTCAGATTTGAAACTAGGGCCGGACTAGTGGGCCCGATCGAGTTAGCGTCAACAGTCTTCCCCTACACACCCGCTCCCTTTCCCTTTTTCTTCCTTCTCCTCCTTAAAACCACGTTCGCTTACTCACTTACTCTCGTTTTGATATCTACTTTCGCTGGGTGAAAGTCAAGATGCGTCTCGCCAAACTCTCGTTTTTCCTTCAGGCTCTGCTCCTGACTGCCGCGGCAGCTCAGAACTATAAGCGGGACACCAGCAATCTGGTCTCTGATGTCGTGAACAACGACTCGACCACTGCCACTACGGCCTCCGAGGCTGCGGCTACCACCACCTCCGCCGATCCCACTACCTCATCGGAACCCTCGACCACGTCGACTACTTCAACTACCTCATCCACTTCATCAACCTCCTCCACCTCCACTTCCACCACCTCCAGTGAAGAGACCACAACCACCTCCTCAACATCAGAAGCCGCCCAGACCACCGCTTCAGAGGCCAGCAAAACCACCACTTCCCAGGATGACAACAGCAAGACCACATCTACCTCTGAGAACCAGAAGACCACTGCCGCTGCGACTACCTCTACCACCCAGACACCGGTCGTGGAAACCATCACCTCCTACGAAACCGTTAGCGGAAGCACCGTGGCCAATGTGATGACCACTACCTCCACCCCAGCTGCCACCAGCACTGCGGGCCTTAACGCCGACAGCAGCTCTTCCGGTAGCAGCAGTGGTCTCTCGTCCTCCGACAAGAAGATCATCATTGGTGTTGTCGTCGGTGTCGGCGGTGCAATCGTGCTGGGTGTTCTGGGTATCGTCATCTGGCGCATTCAGAAGAAGCGCAGTGAGGCATATGGCGACGAGGACACTGATCTCATGGGTGGTACCGCCGTCGGCTCTGGGCCTCGTGAAAAGACCTCTAGCCCGTCTGCTGGTACCCCCTTCAGAAGTACACTGGACCAGTACCACAACCCTGGCCCCGTCAACGCTGCATCGAACTTCTAAGATATGGGTAGAACCATATTCTTTGTTTTTGTTTTATAGTTCTTTCTGACCCCTTGGGCAGACAGCGGACGGTTCACATTTGAAAGTGTAAAAATCTCTGTACGATGATCATGCAATTCTCAGGCGCAATGGGCAGGGCAAGCGAAGATCACCGGTTGCTCTTATTTTTTTTCTTCTTCTTTGGTTGCGGGTCTTTTATTTTACCGCTTGGGCCGATTTGGTCCTTTTCACTCCTTTCTATCATAGACTCGACTGCTTTCCCACTCTTTTCAGCGCTACCAGCAACCTCAACATTCCTTATCAGTGATCGCACCCTCTCTTGATCTTGATCCTCATGCAATCTCTACAATCTGTCGGCTCCGTCCTATTTTTTATTATGGATTTGCCTCGTTTTGATTCCCCATGTCGAAGCGCGTGGTTTCTTTTCCTGATCCCTTTATCCTATCTTGATATCCCAATATCCTGTTACTTAATTACACCTTTTTCCTACTATTGTTGATCCTGTACGGGATGCTTTGGAGTGTACATTGTTCTCGGGTGCTGAAAATGTAAAAGTTTGCCTTATTTTGATCATCTGGATCCCTCCGTGGTTTTGTAGACCCGACATCCTCTTGTGTACAGTACCTACTAGGTACTAGTAACCTTGGAATGTTGCCCAGGTGAGTAGTTGTTGGCTTTCTCCATCCGACCTTGTATTGGTGGTCAAAATGCCAAGTTAGACTTGGCTCAACTACAGGATCTGCACTGTTGAGATATAGCGGTTGATCCCTAAATAGTGTGTAGTTGAAAACTGACGTCAGAGATCTAGCCATGTGAGCGATCTCGCGGGGCACACACTATTTACTACTAATACTTTATTGAGGTCAATCATGTACCAAATACAAACTACCTAACCAGGTAAGCTAAACCAGGGGTAAACTTTCGAACTGCCCAGTTAAGTAAACCTGAGCCATGTCTCGACTTCATACCATTTAAAGTAGAACCCTGGAATCTCAGAATCCTTTCCCCGTTCTATTCCATATGCCCTAAGTACCCGAAGTGGAAAGCCGTCGCCGATTATCGGGCTGACTCATAGCTCCGGGGACGGAGAAACCCCACCCCGCTATCAATGTGTCATCGCATACTATTTTATTGAACTCCCCTGTTCAATTCAACCATTTACTAATTCGATATTATTCTTCAATTACCCTTATACACTTCCAATATGTCACAGAAGATTTGGCTCCGTGCTGAGACCAAGCCCGCTGAGGCTCGGTCTGCTTGTGAGCTTCCCCCCACTCTACTCCAGTCGTTATCGCTGGAGGGGCGATTGTGATTGTTTGCTCACAGCTTCATGTAGTGACCCCGACCACCTGCAAGGCATTGATGGATGCCGGATACGACGTCACTGTTGAACGCTCCACTCAACGTATTTTCGATGGTATGTCTTCCAATCTCTAGGCTCTAAACTACAATGACCCAGTTGACTCATTCTCTCAACAGATGAGGAATTCGCCAAGGTTCGCCCATACCCCCTTCACCATATCGTCATACAAAGCTCCTAACCATGCCAATGGCTTTTAGATTGGTGCTCCTCTCGTTGCGGAAGGTTCATGGGTCAATGATGCCCCCAAGGACGCTGTGATCCTGGGACTCAAGGAATTGCCCGAGGAGGACTTCCCCTTGGAGCACGTCCACGTCACTTTCGCCCACTGCTACAAGCAACAGGGTGGCTGGGAGAATGTCCTGAGCCGCTGGCACCGCGGTAACGGTCTTTTGCTTGACCTGGAGTTCCTTACTGATGAGGTCGGCCGCCGTGTTGCCGCCTTTGGCTTCTCTGCTGGTTACGCCGGCTCTGCTTTGGCTGTGAAGAACTGGGCCTGGCAATTGGCTAACCCCAACGGTGCTCCTCTGCCCAGTGAGGTTCCTTACGCCAACCAGGATCTTCTCATTGAGTCGGTTAAGGAGAGCGTTGAGGCTGGTAAGAAGATTGCTGGCAAATACCCTACCATCCTCGTTATTGGTGCTGTGAGTAAAAAGAACCAGATATGATTGAGCTACGAAAGCTGTGCTAATACATATATAGCTTGGTCGTTGCGGTAAGGGTGCCGTTCAGCTGGCCAAGGATGTCGGTATCCCCGAGTCCAACATTATTCAGTGGGATATGGCAGAGACCAAGAAGGGTGGTCCCTTCGAGGAGATTGTTACCAGTGACATCTTCATCAACTGCATCTACCTCAGCGAAAAGATTGCTCGTGAGTTTTTCTCAATGTCATAATTGATATTGGGTCCCAGCTAATATTCAATCCGTTCCTGCAGCTTTCGTGGATGTTGAGGCTCTGTCCTCGCCCAAGCGTGCTCTGAGCGTCATCTGCGATGTCAGCGCCGATACCACCAACCCCCACAACCCCGTTCCCGTCTACACAAGTAAGTCATTTTCTATTCGATTCTCTTCCTTTTTTTTTATCCATAAGCTACACGAACCATGGACTGACATTGAACACAGTCACCACCACATTCGATAAGCCTACTGTTCCGGTTATTCTGGCCGCAGGCAGCGAGGAGCCGGCCCTCAGCGTGATCAGCATTGATCACCTTCCCTCTCTTCTCCCCCGCGAAAGCTCTGAGCAATTCAGCGAGGCTCTCATGCCCAGCCTTCTGCAGCTCAAGGACCGTACCACCTCCCGCGTCTGGAAGCAGGCCGAGCAGCTGTTCCAGGATAAGGTTGCTACTCTTCCTGCCTCATTCCGCTCTTAAAGGGTGTTTTGGGCTAGGTATAAAGGTTATGATGAGATGGAACATTGATAGATTTCGGATTTCGGGCCACGGCAAATATTTTAAAAGCCTTGTTATTGTCCATAGTTGAACTTTTGGGACACTTTTCCTCCATAATTACCTGAAGACTTTCATACCCAGTAGCACATATGCACGCACCTCTAGTGAATCAGCTGATGTAGACTTACTTGATGACGAAGATTGGAAATCTCCTAACATACAGGTAGCATTGAACATTGAAGTTACTATTTGGTTTTGTTTGCTTTGGGATCGCTAAGATTCCAATATTGTCAACGCTGACATCTACGTTGTGGATGAGTCAACATTAAAAACCAGTGGCACTTTGTGCAATATTGGCGATTAGTAGTAGTAAGCTGGTTTGGATGAAGATAAACGTTGAATGTACTTGAAACCTGGCAACGACCCATCTTACAGCTGAAACCCTTTAACTTGATCAATCTTCCTGCAATTTTTTAACATTTTTAACTATGTATCGTTTTCTTTCTTTCTACATGATCATGAGAAGGAGAGGGAATGCAACCTTGGAATGGCTGAAAAGAAATAGTGCATAGTGCATACTAGGTACCAACTATGTATTCCATGCACACACACCAGCCCAAGCCTTTGAGTCAATGTTACTCTCTCACACCTGGGCATTTGAAGTTTTCAAATTCCACAGGCCTGGCCCCTTGAAATCATTGAAGCCATCATGGCCCTTTCTGCTTCCCATTGATGCCAATGCGGGGTCCCTGGTGTCTGATATCCGAGGCATCCGTCGCGGGGAAATGACACCGTGCTGATGCGCCTTGGCTAGAATGACCCGACATGTTAGAGCGTCACGATTGGGCACGGCAAAATGAAATTGTGAGGCCTACGAATCTAGCTCTAGGCTAACCAATGCCCTCGAGAATACTTCAATCTATTACCCGGTCGGACTAACCCCATTTCGATCAGGAGGGTTGAGAACTTGGTATTTCTTGAGATCGAAGCCCCCCGTCTTCTCCGCATGAACCCTTCGGTCCACTCCCGCTCTCCCCTCTTCCCCGGCCTTGCCCGCAGAATTCTTCTCAGTTTCCCCAGTTCCTTCACCTCAAGAAGTTCGAGCCCCAAGGCGACTCCTTAACGACATTTCCCCTTCACTCGACTCCCATATTTTGCTAACCCGAGTCGCTCGGGACGCTATCTTTGCCATTGTCACGTTCAAGTTGACGATGGGGCGCATGGAATTGCCAAGCTGATTCGCCTCACTTCCTCCCTTACACCACGAACCGCCGCACAACCTCCCTCTACAACTCACAAGCCTTGATGCAAGAAAAGCCGACCACCGTCGCCGCCTACGCGGCTGGGGCTTCCCTCGCAGCCGTTGCACTTTTCTACGTGTTCGGTCCCAACTACACCATCGACGGAGACGAGTCCAACGATAACAACCGCAAGAAGAGCATTGTGGGCCTATCCAACCTAGCCAATGATTGTTTCATCAATTCCGTGCTTCAAGCTCTAGCTGGATTGGGCGACCTCCGCGTTTATCTGATTCGGGAGCTACACCGGCGCGAGCTTGATGGGCCAGACATTTACAACGCGGTGTCGAGCGAAGATGAGCTGTCCCGCGGAGCGAAGCAAGACAAGGTGCGGGAGTTGCAGCAGGGATTGATTACGCAGGCATTAAAGGAGATGCTGGACAGATTGAACGAGCGCCCGATATACAAGAAAACAATTTCAGCTCGGGGATTCATTCAGTCGCTGGAGTTCGCGTTCCGCACGCGCATCAGTCGTAACCAGCAGGATGCACAGGAGTTCTTGCAGATTATCCTGGAGCGACTCTGCGATGAGTATCATGCTGGTGTACGTGCAAGAAAAAGCGCTCTCGGTGCTATTGGCGCGCCTGCTGGTCTGAGCGCACAGAGCCCAGAAGCTGAAACCACTTTACCCGACAGCTCGTCGGGAGTGGAAGTTCGGATCGATGATGGGTCTCCTAATGGCTTGCCTGCCATTATTGATACAAAACTGAAGGAAATTGATAATGAACCGGGATTTCTGTTTGAGGGAATGCTTGAGTCACAAATCGAGTGCCAGTTCTGCCACTACCAGTACAAACCCAATCAGACGGCATTCGTCAACCTCACGTTACAGGTACCACAGAAAAGCTCAACCACCCTCAATGCATGCTTTGATGGCCTTCTCAAAACGGAATACATCGAGGACTTCCGGTGCGATCATTGTCGCCTTCAACATGCGATAGGCATGAAGACCCAAGAGAAGGCTCGAGCCCATTCCCCGAGTGACCAAGAGCGACTGGGTCAAGAGATCACTCGAATCCAAGAAGCATTGGAGAAGGACCCAGAAGCCGAACTTGAAGGCATTGAGCTGCCACCTTCTGATCTTGCACCGAAGCGACGTATTGCCCGGCACATGCGCATTACAGCGTTCCCCAAGGTTATTGCCATTCACTTATCGCGATCAATCTTCGACCGCAGTAGCTCTAGCAAAAATGCTGCCAAGGTTTCATTCCCCGAGCGACTACCGCTTGGAGGCATCTTGAATCAGACGTGGTTTAAGCTTCTAGCAATTGTCTGTCACAAGGGCAGCCATCACAGCGGTCACTACGAGTCCTTCCGTCGTAACCACATCTACGCCCCATTCTCTACCCCGGAGGCATTCAGCTCGTATGCACAGAGCCGCGTCGCCAGCGAGAACCCATCGGAAGCTCCAAGTCCTCGCCTGGTACCCCTTAGTACAGACGATATAGGCGATAGCAGTGGCCTCTCCCCAGCGACCTCTTCCCTCTCATTATCGGGAGCTCCAGCCAGCCAGACCTCCCCCTCAGTACCCCGGCCTACTACCTCCAGCTCTCGACGTTCTCTTCATAGCACTTTTTCTCGGTCGTCGACTCCCCAACCGACCAGCTCAGATAGCAGTCCGACCTTGGATCCCGCACGGGCAAGTACCTCGTCGGCCCCACGAAGCTCTCGGACCATCCCGCGCTCGTCTGCGGAAACCCCCACAGGGATCGGATCGCGTCTTCGTCGCAAGCGCAAATCGAATGATCGGTGGTGGCGGATTTCGGACGAAAAGATCAAGGAATGCAAGACCTCGGACGTGCTGGGCATGCAGAAGGAGGTGTACTTGCTTTTCTACGAGATCGAGCGGGCCGAATCTAGCCCCACTGCCGAGGGACATGACGGACGTGTGTAGGCCGATACGCAAGGGTTTTCTTTTTCCGGGGAGTTTTTTTTTTGATGTTTTGATTTTATTTTCTGATGTTTTGATACATACATTTTCCCTGTATATAGGCATATTCCGTGCATCTAACATGTATATGGAAAGCTAACTATGGTGATTGGGAATTCTTGCTGATCTGTATAGAGCCTTGGAAACCCCCATAGCAAACGGGGTTGCTCCAACAATCGACGATAACAACATTGAAGAAATAAACCTGTCCATTGTCCAATGCTCAACGACACTGATGTCACCGAAGCGGGAGGTCTGAGGACTTTGCTCCACTTCATCCCCTCTTAACCGGATTGTGTACACCGGAAGTGCTGAGTGGGACAAATGCGAGCATCCGGATTGAGGGATTGCGCTGTTTTTTCTGTATGTTTGAATTAAGCCCATTTCATTGGTAGATGGATCAGGACAATATCAATGTTTTTCCCCTACATTTTAAGCCCAAAATCTAGAGCTATGGCGTAAGGGGGTGCAGTACTGTTTTTCCCGCATAATCGAAGGGCAGCGAATGGTCTCGAATTCCCTCGGGTTCAACTCTTCCCCGCTGGACGAACAAATTACGGAGTAAACGGGATCAATGCTTTTTTGCGTAGTTAACTTGTAGAGCTATGATGATTATTTTTTTTTAAAAAAAAAAATTAATAAAAGATTCAAGCTAAAGGTAGCTCTATTATTTATTAATTCTTTGACTTTTATCTACAATACTAATAACCAGAGACACATTGAAGGTAAAATTACTTAGGCTGCGGGTAACATGGCGGCTATGATGCTTCTCTGTATAGTCGAGGCCGAACAACGGAGAGATCCGGAGGAATTCAATGCTTCCTTAGAAGCTACTGCTGTACATATATAATACTTATCCCCCTCTAGTTTTCTACTTGACAATTATCCTTCTACTTAAATCACAGTGACCTCAGTTCCACTAGGTTTCAACCTAAGGTAAGCTCCACTCAACCGGTGAGTGTCGATGACGATGCTTGCCCCTCCATCCTTGCCCCTCCGCCCTTTTTTAAAACTGCCCGCTTTCGTCCTTCGGTAAAGGCAATTGTTACTTATATTACTCTTCTAACTCTCCTCCTCTCCCTTCACAGTTTCCCTTTTTCTAAATCCAAAAATCAAATCCTGTACATTTCCAATCATCAACATGGGTGTCATTGAGCAGCTCTCCCGCAAGTCCGGCGTTATCGTCGGTGACGATGTCCTCCGTCTCTTCCAGTACGCCCAGGAGAAGAACTTCGCCGTCCCCGCCATTGTATGTCCAACTCCCCCCCTTTGATTCTTCCCCCCCCTCACTATCTCCCACCATTTCTCTCACTTCCCTCAACAATCCAACATAAGAGCATCACTGACCGGGACCTATAGAACGTCACCTCCTCCTCCACTGTCGTTGCCTCTCTCGAGGCTGCCCGCGACCAGAAGTCCCCCATCGTCCTGCAGCTTTCCCAGGGTGGTGCCGCTTACTTCGCTGGTAAGGGTGTCAGCAATGAGGGCCAGGCTGCCTCCATTGCCGGTGCCGTCGCTGCCGCCCACTACATCCGCAGCATTGCCCCCGCCTACGGTATCCCCGTTGTCCTGCACACTGACCACTGCGCCAAGAAGCTCCTGCCTTGGTTGGATGGTATGATGGATGCCGATGAGGCCTACTTCAAGCTCCACGGAGAGCCCCTCTACTCTTCCCACATGATTGATCTGTCCGAGGAGGAAGTCGACTGGAACATTTCCACCACCGCTGCCTACCTTAAGCGTGCTGCCCCCATGAAGCAGTGGCTCGAGATGGTAAGTTTTTGAATATCCTACTTCCCAGTTCACTCCGAACATGAATACCACAGAAAAAGATCCAAGTATGTCTAACATTTCATCTATAGGAGATCGGTATCACCGGTGGTGAGGAGGATGGTGTCAACAACGAGGATGTTGACAACAACTCCCTTTACACCCAGCCCGAGGATATCTTGGCCATCCACAACGCCTTGGCCCCCATCAGCCCCTACTTCTCCATTGCCGCTGGTTTCGGTAACGTTCACGGTGTCTACAAGCCCGGTAACGTCCGTCTCCACCCTGAGTTGCTCTCCAAGCACCAGGCCTACGTCAAGGAGCAGACCAAGTCTGCCTCTGACAAGCCCGTCTTCTTCGTCTTCCACGGTGGCTCTGGTTCCTCCAAGGCCGAGTACAAGGAGGCCATCAGCTACGGTGTCGTCAAGGTCAACGTCGACACTGACATGCAGTACGCCTACCTGTCCGGTGTCCGGGACTTCATCCAGAACAAGAAGGAGTACCTCCAGACCATGGTTGGTAACCCCGACGGTGCCGACAAGCCCAACAAGAAGTTCTTCGATCCCCGTGTCTGGGTTCGTGAGGGTGAGAAGACCATGTCCAAGCGCACCCAGGTCGCTCTTGAGGACTTCAACACTTCCGGCCAGCTGTAAAGAAAAAACACACTTTTTCTTTTCCCTTATGCCGTGATATGATTCCCCAAGCACTATTTCTTATTTTTTTCTTTTATTTTTATATCTTACCACCCCATATGTGATACGCGATGATGCCAAAAAATTTGGACGCCTGGGGATGTTGGCGAACTGTATGTAGCGAACTATCATTCGATACGTAATGAAGATATCAGATAATACGGCCTCATGACCGAATTACAAATATGAATTTTCTCAAAGTAAGGAGATCACTGTTTTGCTCTTTTTGCTTAGCTTGAAAATATCTGTAGAGTCATGTGGTAAGTTGAATCTTCTACTGTACTAGTAGAATGCAGACTAGTTCTAAAATCAACCGTGCCTGAGTGCCTTGATGCCTCGGTGTTTCCCGTGTGACCTGATGAACCAGGTGTCAATCAGGCCAACCTCATACCTTTTTCCTGCCGTTTCCGCCGTATGAACCTGAAATCTACAGAACAATGGAAATTTCGGTGGAACTAACCCAAGCATGCAGCTGTGTCACTGCTACCCTGGTTTAAATCGTTTACACTGGGTCTGAGAATGGCCAAGTGTTCCAGACTGCGACACACTTGCAAAGTATGATTGGTCTATCACGAGGCGCAGTCCTGGTTGATCCAATCAAAATGGAGTCAATGGGTCTACGATGGAGAGTCAGACGTGTCGGAGGACGCCACCAGGGACAAGAGATGGACATGGACGACTGGGGAAATGTGTTGACGCACTCGAACCCACACTCGTTATTAACGGTTTTTGGAGTGACGGACTTTTTTTGCACTGCGCAGTGGTCGCTTGTAAGATCGGCAACGCCGCTGATCGACTTTCTTCTCTAATAATAGGGCGATTCCAGGCCTATCAATCCCCACTTTTCTTTCATTCTTGTACATGTCTTACGCCGAGCGGCTTTCTTTTTGTGACTTTTTCTCTTTCCCTCCTGATCACTCGCTTCATGGACCCTTGACCTGTTCTTGGTCCTCAGATTTCTTCATGTGGCATTGTAATTTATTTTGATCTGTGACCGGTCTTTTTTCTTTTTTTTCTTTTTTTTTAATTCCTTCGTTTTATCCTGCTGGGTTTTGGGGACGATATGGATTTGCGCCAAAGGTTACAGCGTCGGGATGACTCGTCCTCGACGACTGCTTTCCTTGACCTCATTGCAGATCCCTTCAAATCACAGGTAAGTTGAGCCCCGTTTACGTTGCGAGAAAACTAGAGACTTGTGAGCCTCGGCTAACGATATTGCGCCTCATACAGTTTACCACCAGCTCCATCTGGGCTTCCTTGGGCACCTCGATCGGTATCTCCCTGCTCCTCGCTCTCCTATTCTCTCTATTTAGACCACGTCACTCGCTCGTATACGCTCCCAAAGTCAAGCATGCCGATCGAAGACATGCCCCGCCGCCGGTGGGCAAAGGATTCTTCTCTTGGGTCAAGCCCGTCATCAACACGCGAGAAGCGCAGCTGGTGGATACAATTGGATTGGACGCGGTGATCTTCCTGCGTTTCAGCAAGATGTGTCGCAACATCTTCATCTTCATGAGCATCATTGGCTGCGCGATCATGATTCCCGTGAACCTGGCGGAAAGCAAAAGCAACAGTGACAATTCCTCGCTCTCAGCATTTGATCTGATGACACCGCTCTACGTGACAAATACGATGGCAATTTGGAGTCAGGTGGCATGCGCATGGGCATTTGATTTCATTGTGATCTATTTTCTCTGGAGGAATTATCGAGCTGTGCGAAACCTGCGAAGAAAGTATTTCCAGAGCTCGGATTACCAGCGGAGTCTGCATGCCCGAACTTTAATGGTCACCGATATCCCTGCTCCAGACCGCTCCGATGAAGGCATTCTGCGACTCACCGATCAGGTTAATCCCACCGCCGCCTTGCCCCGCGCTGCTATCGGCCGTAATGTGAGGGATCTGCCAAGCATCATCAAGGAACACGAGGACGCTGTACGACAGCTGGAATCCATACTTGCCAAGTATCTTAAACGGCCCGAACATTTACCTGCGAAGCGTCCCCACATTCGCCCACCCCGCAGCCAACGCGACAAGCACCCCGATGGAAAAGTTGACGCCATTGATTATCTGACAGTGCGTATCCGGGTTCTGGAGGAACAGATCAAGCATGGACGAGCATCTATCGACCGCCGAGATGCAAAGCCTTATGGATTTGCCAGTTGGGAGAATATTGAACATGCACATGCAGTTGCTTGGACGGCCCGTAAGAAGCATCCCAAGGGCACGACAATTAGGCTCGCTCCTCGCCCCAGTGATCTGATTTGGGAGAATTTACCCCTCACCAAGGCCACTCGCAAGTGGAAACGGTTCATGAATTTCATCTGGGTGACTGCGCTGACCCTTGTGTGGGTCGTACCTAACGGCCTGATTGCGGTCTTCCTGTCCAACTTGTCGAATCTGGGTCTCGTGTGGCCCGCTTTCCAGACTCAGTTGGAAGCCAACCCCAATGTTTGGGCTGCAGCTCAAGGTATTCTGTCGCCCGCCGTGACTTCTATTGTTTATCTTGTGCTGCCCATAATCTTCCGACGCCTCTCGATCCAAAGTGGCAGCAAGACCAAGACTTCTCGCGAAAGAAAGGTCATGGGCCAGTTGTATATGTTCTTCGTCTTCAATAACTTGATCGTTTTCTCGCTCTTCTCCGCTGCCTGGACATTTGTGTCAACCGTGATCCAGGATACCGATAAGAATGAAACAGCTTGGCAGGCTATTGTTGACAGTGCACTCTACCAGAAGTTGGTGAGCGCCCTGTGCAATGTGTCTCCGTTCTGGATCACCTACCTTCTGCAGCGCAACCTGGGTGCGACTATCGATCTCGTCCAGATGATCACATTAGTGCGAGTGTGGTTCGCTAAGACGTTCCTTTCGCCAACACCACGTCAGTCAATTGAATGGACTGCACCTCCTCCCTTCGATTATGCCAGTTATTACAACTATTTCCTCTTCTATGCCACCGTTGCCATGTGCTTTGCCACTCTCCAGCCGATTGTGCTACCGGTGACAGCTTTGTACTTTGGTGTCGATGCAATGCTGAAAAAGTACCTGTTGATGTATGTGTTCGTGACGAAAAATGAGTCTGCCGGCACATTCTGGCGCGCCATTTTCAACCGCATGGTCTTTGCAACGATTCTGGCCAACGTTATCATCGCTCTAGTCGCCTTGTCGCAGGGTACCCGGACTATGGCGTATTGCGTCATCCCACTCCTCTTCATCATGCTTGGCTTCAAGTTTTACTGCATGCGAACCTTTGACCCAGACTGCGAATTCTACAATCGCGCCAATCTCTCCGACGCCGAAGCCCTTGGTCCAACCAAGGTAGACAAGAAGGCCTCGGATCGCCTGAACGCCAAATTCGGCCATCCAGCCTTGTACAAGCCACTCATGACCCCCATGGTCCACGCCCGCGCAGCCGAGGCCCTCAGAAAGATCTACCAGGGCCGCCTAGACGGCGGAGATATGGTGGGCGAGTACTCCGACATCGCCATGAACCCGATGTTGTCCTCTCAACCCGGAAAGGCAGCCGATCCGGCGCCATTCGAGGTTGTCCCCGAGAATCATCTGGACTTCTCATATTACAAAGATCGTCCGGACTTCCGCGAAGAATTCGGCGGAGGCATCTACGGTCGTCCAGATGATCTCATGACAGAACGCTCGCACACCCCGCGCCCCACACTAGGCGGCGAGTGGTCTCCCAGCTCCTCGCGTGCTTCTTCGCCCGCTCCATCGCTGCCATCCATGTCTGCCTTGAGAGTACACGATTCCTACGAGCCCCCAACTGATGACACGGGTCTCATTCACCCTGCATTCCGGGTTCCACTTTCGCGGGGCGACAGTGGCAATGATGTTGGAGGAGGCTTGTACCCACACGGGGATGAGAGCGAGACAAGACTTCTCAGCAGCGCGCAGGTACCTGCGCAGACTGATGCCAACCCGCTCGATCGCTGGCGCGCGGGGGGTAATGGCTACGGTCCTGTTGAGCAAGAGCAACATGGGGAGGAAGAGTATAACCCGTACACGTACACGTCGTATGATGCGTATCGGGCACCAAGGTAGTTGATGACGTTTTCTCATTGGATATTGAATATTCGAGAGAATGGAACCCCACCCTGTCTATAAATCGGGTTGTATCCTCTTATTCTTTGTATTTGTTTTTGGCGAACATTTATTCCGATTTTAGACGGCGGTTTCGAGTCTATTTGTGTACGAGATCACGACTGCTTTCCTTTTTGTTTCTTGAACATTACCTACTATTTGCATCAAGCGAGATTACATAAGACTCATACTTGACCTGTATAAACTAAAACAATTTATTGAATCTACTACTACAATATCACCACGCAAATGGACGAAAGATCTTACAGTATCCAATATGTATCAAATCTATAAAGCAAGAATCAAAATAGCGAATATCAACAACGCACATCCACCCGCACTAGTTACTTTTGCACCTCCATTGGACTGTTAAAAAGTGACAGCACTAGGAAGAGCACTGGGCACATCCTGGCGCTCAGTGCTCAAAATCAAATGATCAAACGACGCCGCCCCATCAACACGGGGATTAAACGGCGCGAAATCCCACAAGTACCCCAACGTCCTCAAAACCGAAGTAGCAGAGTACGACACGGTCTCACCCTGATTATTCGTCCCCTTCTGCTCCACAAAGCCCTTGGAGATCCACGGCGAAATCAAGAAAGTCGGAATCCGACCTCCCAACCGATTAAACTCATACGTATATTCCTCCCCATTAGGCGCCTTCTCAGTGTAAGTAAGATTATCCGGCCGCGGCGCCAACGGCGGCGGCACATGGTCATGGAAACCACCCGTCTCGTCAAAGGTGAGGACAAACAGCGTCTGGTTCCACTGCGGGCCCGCACGCAGCGAATCGTAGACACGCTTGATGAAAGCCTCGCCGTCGGAGATCAGGCCGCTGTCGTGCATGGAGGTTGTGCCGACGCCGCAGCACGACGGGTTGAGGTAGGAGAATTCGGGGAGTGAGCCGTTCAGCGCGTCGGTGTAGAACTGCGTCATGGCGACCACCTTGTCTTCGTTGTTGGACTCCTTTGTCCACTCGAACCATTGCGCTTCGGGACCCGTGCCGCCGGCCGTGTCCCAGTAGTTCAGCCAGGTGTGGTTTGTTTCGCCGAGCTGCTGGAAGATCGAGCGCTGGGTGAAGGCGTATGTGCCGAATGTGTCGTCGTTGCTGCCGTGGCCGGCTGAGGTGCCGGCGACGAGAGCGAAACGGTTAGGGTCCGTTGGCTGTGTGGATCCGAGTCAGTAAATATTGGCACCTAAATAGATAAAAATACATATGGGCACCTATAAATAGGTGGAGATATTGACTTACACCCGCGACATCAGAGTGCCAGTGGTTGAACGAGAGGAAATTCTGCACCAAGGAGGTAAGGACCGGGACCTCGGCCTCGGTGTAGTAGTTCATGACCTGCTTCGCGAGGACGGTCTTGTTCGCATCGGAGCCATAGTTATGGATCTGCTCGTGGATGAAACCATTGTTGTTAGGCGTAAGCTTGCCCTCGGCAATCAGGGCGTTATCAGGCGACCAGTTGCTATAGAACTCCATGGTATTTCCGGTGACGGCGTGGCTGGGGTCATCGGTCACGGAGTTATAGTCGCGGGCCTCGGTGCAGTGCTGGCCCTGGGAGGGATCAGTCACATTGTAGGGGTTACAGTAGGGGCCATTGTTGATTGGGTTCTCGAAGCCCTTGTGAGTCTGTCCGCCGAGCAGGTTGTCGAGGGAGCGGTTCTCCATGCAGAGGACGACGACATTCTTGATCTTGGACTTGAGGTTGGAGATTGAGGAGGAGGAGTGGGCTTGGTGAGGGTTTGCGGGGATGGCTTGGGCTGCGCTGGCGAAGGCCAGGAGGCCGAGGAGGGTGCTGGGATGCATGGTGGGATCAATTGCTCTGCGACCTGGAGCAAAGGAATGCTGGCGGCATGGTGGTGCCTTTTATAGTTGTCGGTGGGATCTAGATTCATATCGCTAAGAAGATGTGTCCGTGTGGGCTATGGTTGCATGGGGGAAATGAGATACACGTGGGGAGAATGTAAACAAAGCAGTTGAGGGGAAACAGCCGAGATCTTGGGGTTTTTTCCGAGTTGTAAATCTGCCCCAATTAGATCAATTTCAGGGACCACGTTTGTTCAGGTTGGAATAGAGTTGAGCGCCATGGCTTTGGTCAATTGTCTTGCAAGGTGGTAGATTAGTATACCAAGTACCTACTAGGTACTATACCGCTATGTATACAACTCTTGACCCATTGTTTAGAACCAGCTACAGTCATGCTATTCTATAGGTACGTTCTATATGGTGTATATCACTACTTTAAACTGCAGCATGAATTCAATTGACAGGAGATTCCTTTTCCCCGCTAGAAACTACGCATAATCCAACGCAACGCTTGCGTCTTCGTATCCGGCATCTTGATGTTGTATAGATCGGCCGTATCAACTGCCAAGACAGGCACTTGGCGGCATCAACCGTCACACTAACCCAATGAATCGATTGCTAATTAGTTAAGCCTTTAGGCTGATTGATTAAGAGTCAGCCCCCGTGGTTTTGACATTTATCGTGATTGGATGTTGGCATTTTCTGGGTTGCATTACAATGCACCACCGGAGTGTATGCCGGTCTTGCGGCAGCGAATTGACATTTCGTTATTCAGGGCACCCATATTCAGATATCTCCGATTGGAGCTTTTCTTGAATTGTTGAATCCATTCTCCCAAGTCGGTTAGATTGAAGAAATCACTTCTATGTACCTTCTACTGTTGGCTAAAGCTATGAGGTCAAAGCACCAGCGGTATAATTTGGTTCAACCCTCCAATCATATTTACCTAAGCAAGGCTGAAAAATGTACAAGAAAATAGAGGGCAAAATATGCAATACAGCACTCTTGTCAGAGAAAGACAAGTCAAGAAGTAAAAATATAAGAAAGGACAAGAAAGTTCTCAAGGAGCCGGTTGCCAAACCATCAGGTAAACCTTAGTACAGAGGCACGTCGTAGGCATCGAAGTCATACACCCAAGTGTCGTATGACTTCTGGTCAAACACACAGTCCAGAGTAGTACCGTTGTTCTTCCACAGAGGACGCTGAGGCCAAGCACACAGATTCTGCTGCTCGCCCTCATAATCACCAGACATGATGGTCGCGTTCAAACGATCCGGCTTGTCGCCGTTCTCAACCCACTCGATCAGAGTCTCGAGGGTGGTACGAGGGAAAGGACCGTTGGTCTGGTCAAGACTGGGAGAGCAGTGTGCCGCACCTGGGATCAGGTACAGACGGTTCCAGTCATTCAAGGCCTTGGTGCCCTCCTCAAAGGTCATATCGCCATACATGATCTTGCGCACCGTCTCGTGGTAGTGAACGGAGGAACCGGTCGGGATACTGGGATCAGATTCGCCGTGGTAGTGGATGATCTTACCGCCGGCCTTCTGGAAAGGAGTCAGGTCAGGCCAGGTGGTCTGCAGGACATCCTCGTAGCGTTGCCAGCCCTCAACCATCCACTCGGTCATGGTGTCGTAGGTGACGTTGTCCAAGGAATCGATATTGTCGGCGTCGACGAGGTTAAGGAATCGGGCAACCCATTCACCACCTAGGGAGGTGATATCAAGCTCCCACTTGCCGGTCTCGGAGTTGTACTGGGTAGCGGCATCTTCGAAGTCAGCGGAAGGCTGGTAGTAGATGTAGGCCTGCTTGCCGTCGAGGGTGTGGAGACCGTCGAGGATCTTAGCGGCCACAGCGACACCGGCAGCAGAGACAGTTCCGTTCTGAGCGGGGACGGTGTTAGTTTGGGAGCGCTTCAAGACCGTGGTGGAGGAAGAGGCGGCGCAGTGGTAGGGGTGGCCGATAGTGGAGTTGATGTTGAAATGCAGCTTGCAGAGGTCGGTACGGCCGACGACACCGTCGATCTTTCCGTCAAGACCATCACAGGCCTTGATGGTAAGGGTGTTGATCATCTCCAACTCGCAAGGGGGAGGGTAGTAACCCATGGTGTGCTCAACCAGGTTAGCATAAAGGTGGTTTGTCTGTTGCTGGCCCATACGGATAGCAGGGGCACCAATGACAGCGCCATCCCACTCCTCAGGGAAGCGCTGGACCTGGCTCCAACCTTCACGACCACCTTCGGAGCAACCCTGGTAGTAGGCATACAGCTTCTCCGAGTCACTCATATCGTAGAAGTTCTTGCTGAACGCCTTACCGATCAAACTCATCTCGTAGTGAGCCTGGTAACCCATCATGTAGAGAGCCTGGCGATCGATAGTACCGTTGGCCAACAGGAACACGTCGTCGAGCTCGGCACTGAAGCCACCAAATCCACCATCCGTTTGACCAGACACGGCGCCATAGATGACACCACCAGGAAGATCACTTCCATCGCCATTGATGGCATAACCAAATCCACCGGTAGACAACCAGCGGTTCTCGAACTTGTCCGGCGCCGGGAACCAGAGCTCCAGCAAAACCTGGTCGTCCTCGATGCCGTTGTGGGAGTATGTCAAAGTGACATTGCAGTAGTCGAAGCCATAAACATCGGGCCAGTTATCTTCGTCGGTGGTGGATGCATTGTAGACTGCATTGGCAGTGATGGAAGAAGCATCCAAGGTCAGGCCTTGGAACTCGTCGGAGGCAGGCAGGGCCTTTTTGGCGTACGTGGTGGTACACACATCCTTCAAGCTTGCGGCATGAACGGTTGCAAGTCCGAGGCCACCGGCCAACAGACTCCGTTGAAACTTCATGTCGTTGTAAACGAGAGACGAGATAGAAATGAACGTGGGTTAAACTTGAATTTCCTCATGTTTGTCGACCCTCGGCTGCTTTATATAACTTCATGATTCGTTTCCCCGATAACCGAAATTAGGATTGAGCTGGTCTGGTATCATCATTATTGATCAACTTGCTCAGTGAAACCTCGGGCAATCCCGATGGGGTGTGCATCGCCGGGAGCGGTTCCACTGATATGACGAAAGGGGCGCACACATTGGTAGAGGGCTGGTGGATTGTGGAGACAATGCCAATCTTAAAGCCAATCTGATCAACTTTATCGTCAGTTGGACGCGTGTGACGCGTAACTTAAGTCTCCTTATCCTGAGCGGAAAAAGATATAGCAGTGGATGAAGCCGAATACTCAACGTGTGACGATCGGCGTTGCGTGTTTCCCGAGAAGGTTCCATCCGTTTACATCGGCCCGGGCATTTGACTCGTTCGCTGCCTGGGATTGTGGATTCTTCAAACAATCAAGCTTCTTAGCCTTAAATCAATTTGTATATCTTGGATATGACGATCAGCGCCTCCTATGCCGGTTTCACCCTGGAAAATGGCCGACTCGGCTAAATAATTGGCAATAGCTTGAATGGAAGCGACCCAATTAATCTGATATTCTGGACCACGGGAAGAAGCAGTCAAGTTGCGTGTTCATTTTAAATCTTGGTGAAATTGAAGGGGCTTTTATCTTCTCCTAATTGAAGTCTGGTGAACATTTGAAGATGTTCGATTAGGGAGAGTTCTAGTAGAGAACACTCAACTTTGAACGAAAGACGCCACCAGAGATAGGTAGGGACCGTTACTACCTACTATGTATTTTCATTCATCGATTGATATGCATGATTCGAAACATTTGAACATTTGAAGGTTGCGTTGATGCCTAAGACATTTGGATTGTTCAATTCGTTCGACACCTTGAATGCCACATGAATGCTTTCAGACCTCGGGTCTCAGTCTTGGAATTTATGTATGTGTTTTGCTCATATATTTGATCAGGACGGAAAAAGAGTCGAGATCGGATCAATTCTACACTTGAAAGATAGAAAATATAATAGTGTCAACGTTGAATGTCAGATGTACTACATACTAAGTTCAAGAACTTCAAGTGTTAGATCTCGTGACAGCTCAGGTGATGATGATTTTCCTAAATAGGAAAGATCAGATCGTCTCCGCTTTACCGCACTCGTTGGGTCGTTCCTGCCCATCTTCAACTGCATTTGGCCTGTGTTCCTTCCATTTCTGATCCCCCAGGTGCTCCCAAAGATTGGAAGCACTAATGGTGCTGAATCCTCATAGTGTGGATATAAGCTAGACACCGCCTTTCCCCCGCCAATCCACTTCGCTTCATTCTTCGTCACTGTCAGGAACCGTGCGGGGAAGGGGCGTGCTTTCTCGCATTTGAAAGATCGCTTTCTCTCTATGCAACACACAGCAAAAGACCTCTGCGCATTTCAGTCCTCTGTCTTCATACAACAGTCTTTACTGCTCCGACCTACCTGGGCCCCGAATATGGGAGGAACCGCTGAGCAATAACCACCAACAGAGAACAGCTCCCACAGTCCGCCAAATAGAGAACACTGGAGGAAGCGGCTGGACCCGGGCAGAAGATCACATACACTCATATACAGTATACACCCTTCTTCCAAGCGGACTTCGACCACTGCTTCAGCTCCCCAGAATATTTGCGACCGGCAACAAAGCCATGGCGTGGTATTCCATTCTCCCACCACACCTCATTCAATTCGAGAGCTGGGCAGTGAGGATCTTCGTATGCGCCCCCCATTTCCATATTTAACAGTGGCCCCCGGCTAATATCTTGGACTTTCCTTAGTTCCTTCTCGGCCTCATTACGATCGTCCCCTGGGCTGCACTCATTCTCTTCGATGCTTGCCTGTGGCTTTACCGAATCCTCCTGTGGGAGCTTCCCTGGATAGGCGGGCGCGCACGTGGCCAGCAGCGACCCCGGGCCCCGAGTTTGAACGAACGACCTGGAGGTCAACGGCGGGCGTTTGGAATGCGCGGCGTGGAGGCCGATGCTGATCAAGACCATAAGCAACAGGACGATGCGCGGACAGACGAAAACACAGGCAAAGAGAACATGGCACCCACCTCTGACGCGGAGGCTCGCGCCAATACGGGCGGAGAGGTCAAACACCGGGCTACTGGCAGAGAGTGATCAGTTTCTGCTTGTTCTAAATCATCTGAACATGCAATATTCCGGCCTTGTTTAATTTTTGGGGTTATGGCGCTTAAGGTGTTGGCTTGCGAAATCGGCAGCATCTATATTGGACGGAGGAACTCAGCATTATATGCTGCTATCTGGGTTGAGCGTTTTGGCCTTATATCATTCTGTAAATATTTCTTATCATTGTGTTTGTATATATAATTCTTAGCTGATAAGCTCTCAATCAAAGCCCTCGGATGCTTCCGTCATGATAGGGAAATAATTGCCTTTCTCGATACAACCCCGCAGAGGGGTCGATCTATGGGTGCGGAGTAAAACGCGAAGCTTGTCCATTTACGCTTCATAACTACTACTCTTTCAAGACCTATGCTCGGTATCTGAAGGCTCTTCCAAGCCCACAAAACAAGAGGCTCACAGGCTTCAGGGCTGCTATCCGATTTCTAGATGGCTGAACTACATGGGACCACGAACTGGATCATCTCACGATGTGAATCGCTGTCTCTACTACAGTCTCTGGTCGGAGTCGTTGTGGTAGGACTATGCCTTGGTTCCTATCACTGGTTCCGGCAACAATCTTTGATCTCGACAGCCCCCAAGAATGATCAAGGAGACATCAAATACCCCCACATCGTACCTCTGCAAGACTTCGACTGGAAGAATACAGAACCACTTCAATTCCGTCCATTTCGTGGAAAGGAAAAATATAACTTGACTATGGGTACGACCTCAATCATACCCCAAAATCCCATCCACCACAAAAAGCAAACCCAGTTCGACTGACACATCTGCAGCAATCGAGACTCTAGATCCATCAGATCTAATCCCAATGGACAAAACATACAAAGACCGACTCGCCCTCCGCAAGCAACTCCTCAACCAGCACCACGACATCGTAGTCGCAGTCAACGACACCTCAACAGCAGACGCAAGAACCCACTCCGCCGTCCACGAACTATACTCCTTCATCATGGCAACCTACCTCCCATCCCGGTACCCCGGAATGTTCAAGCTGCACCCCAGCACCAACACCACTCCTGCGATCTTCGAAAATACCATCACAGGTGCATCATGGCCAACAAGACTAAGCCCAGAGACGCCCACGATCCGCGCTCTGGAGATCCTAGCACAAACCGTTGACGAAGAATTTCTCATCCTTCTCCCGGATATCTCGGCCTCGGAACACGACCCGAAGTATATACTTCAGGCGTATGGGACGTGCTTTCCGTCGGGGTTTAATACGCGCGAGAAGCTTGGGTTGCGGTTGGCTGATATCCATACGCCTGTGCCTGGTTATGCGGACAAGATTGAACGTAGTATGGATCGGTTCTTTGCGAAGATTGAGGTGGGGAAGTTTGTTAAGAGGGTGAATTGGAGTGTAACGACGGAGACGGAGCTTTTTGCGGCTTTTGGATCGGTGCATGGGTCACACGTTTCTCAGGACAGGCAGGGTGAGAATCTGGAGAAGGAGGAACGGGCTCTTCGGCTTGGGGAATTGAACATTGATGAGGTTGGTGGCTGTTCAATCCCAGTCTACGCTATGGACTACGGTATGAAATTCCCTGCTGACCGAATTTAGACTGTTCTGCGCTGCGAGCGCCAAACTTTGCATAGACTGCCGGATTCCAAGGCTCTTGTCTTTTCTTTCCACACATATATCTACCCTATAAGGCAGATCAAAGACGAGGGGCTTGGAGAAGAGTTTGCAGTGGCCATTGATGGTATAAAGAAGGGGAATGTACCCGGGATGCATGCCTATAAAAGAGGAAATTACTGGGGAGAGGCTGTCAAGGAGTTCTTACGATCTTAAGAAAGACTTATAGAAAGTATATAGCATGATCGTAACCAAGCCTTCTCTTTTCATTCGTCAAATTCTTGAAGCTTTTGCATATCTATACCAAAATCTTTTCTTTTATCATTATTTCACCCACTTACTGCAGGCGCTGAACGACCTTGATCAGATCAGCAGACACACCCATGGCAGTGACCTCACCACCAGCACCGGCACCCTGCACAATGAGCGGGTTGGCACCGTAGCGCTTGGTGTAGAAGCTAATGATGTTATCACTGCCCTTAAGACCAGCAATAGCGCTGTCCTTATCGAAGTACTGCAAGCCAACCTTGACAGACTTGCTAGCAACGTCAATGCTACCCACATAGCGCACAACTTTACCCTGCTTCTCAGCAGTGTTCTTGATCTCAGCCATCTGAGCATCGAATTCCGGCAAGCGAGTCATGAACTGGGTAATGCCCTCGGAAGAAGAAGGCAGCGACTCCAGCTCAGCCGGGATGAGCGACTCAATGGGGAAAGAGTCAGGGCGAGAAACCTCCAGACCAGCCAAGCGGGCCAAGATGGTGAGCTTGCGAGCAACATCCATTCCGTTCAGGTCATCACGCGGGTCGGGCTCGGTGTAGCCCAGCTCCTTAGCCTGGGCCACAACAGCGCTCCACTGCGCATCGGAAGAGCCAGAGGCAGGGGCGAAGTTGTTGAACAGGAAGGACAGAGTACCGGAGAAGACACCCTCGATGCGGGTGACTTCGTCACCGGTCGCGACAAGGTCCTTCAGGGTGGAGAGGACGGGGAGACCGGCGCCGACGGTGCTCTCGTGGTAGACGAGAGCCTTGCCCTCGGCGGCGGAGGCGAAGATGTCCTTCCACAGGGAGAGGTCATCGGAGAAACCCTTCTTGTTGGGGGTGACGACGGAGATGCCCTTCTTCAGGAATGTGGGGTAGGAGCGGGCGAGGTTGATGTCGGAGGTGTTGTCAACCAGGATAGCGCGACCGGGGGCGGAGGCGAGGTATGTAGCGATCTCCTCGGCGGGAAGGGCGCCGGTCTTGATGAGTGAGGGCGTGGCGGAGGCAGTTGCCCAGTCGGCCGCGGGGATGGCGGGGGAGTAGGCCGGTGTCGGAGCGAGGAGAGTCTGCGAGGAGCGGGCAAGGAGAACGAGCTGGGGGGCATTGGGGATACGAGCAAGCTGGGACAGGAATGCAGTTCCAACGCCGCCAACGCCTGGAGGTGTTAGCTTTTTGTTTCGAGGGTGTGTGGTTATGAGCTTGAGCACGAGGCTTGCTTGAAAAGATGGAGGGGTATCGTACCGACAACACCAAGGTAGATAGGGCTGGACATTATGAGTCAATTGGATTGATTCTGGTGAACACGATGGAGATTGGGTGTATCTGAGAAGGGAGTCAAATATACAAGGATATTAAGTTGACTCGGTGTGTAGATTGCGAGATTGATCTGCTTGACTCAGCTTAACCTTGTCCGGCCTCCGGAGTTATGTATTCCCAGTCTCAGGGCTGACGTAGTGGGGGTAAGTGGGGCATATCTACTAAGTGCTAATTTCTATACACTTCTTAACCCTCAGCTCTCTCTTTTTCGATCCCCAAAGTTTTCCAATTCCAAAAAGAATACTATACAAGGATTTAAAAGAGCACTGGCCATGCTGAAACAAAAGCGTGAGCACGGCCAAAGATAACAGATGATTCCTTGGGCGAAGGTGATGACGAGAAAATGAGAATGCGTCCACTGAAAAACAGTTCTCAATGAATAGCCCGCATTGCTTTCCTCTTACCCTGTGTATTACTAGCTCACTTCACCGATATAATGGATTTCGAGTGAATCATGCCCACCTTGAACTAATACTTACTAAGCAGTAGTAGACGATTAAACTTCCCAAACTTAGCTAGATCGACCTTCTCTATCTCTTATCTTATCTCTTATCGCAACTCACCTCACTTCCAATCCATCGCGACAACTTTCAAGCAACTCAAACCACACAGCCATGGCCTCCGACCAATCTTCTCTCTACGGACAACGCCGTACCAAATCCGCCAAAGGCACAGACACATCCAACTCATCCAGCCTCAACTTCTCCTCGCACCTCTCCTCCCTCATCGCCCAAGACTCAGGCACAGGCCGCGGCCGAGCCCGCCCATCCAAGACCCCCAAATCCGACCTCTTCGCCAAACCCAACAAAGGAGCCGAAAAGCGCCTAGCTACCGACCTCAAAGATGAAGGACACACAGAACAAGTACACAAGCGCAGCAAGGATATCGGCACAGTCGACGAAGCCACCCTCGGCCGATCCAAGCGCAAAATGGCCGCAAAGGTCCGACTATACAACGACATGAAGAAAGGATCGCACCTCGCAGCCCAAAGCAGCGACGAAGAAGAAGATTACACACCCGCCGACTCCAAGGGTGAAGATTACTACTCGCGGCTCCGCCGCAAAGAAAAAGAAGGACTGGTCGATTTCGACCGCAAATGGATGGACGAACAACGCAAAGGCGATGGCGATGCGGGCGACGAAGACGATGAAGACGACGAAGACGATGAAGACGACGAAGACGATGAAGACGACGAAGACGATGAAGACGACGACGACAATGCGTCCCAGGTATCGTACGAGGACGAGTTCGGGCGCACGCGCCGCGGCACAAGGAAGGAGGCTGCGCTTGCGGCGCGCACGAGGGACCAGGAGGCGAATCAGGAGCGCGTGACGCGGGAGCGGTGGCAGCCTGTGCGCCCGGATAATTTGATTTACGGCGCGACGGTGCAAGCCGAGGCGTTTAATCCGGAGGAGACTACGATGGCGGCGATGGCGAAGCTTGCTGCGCGGCGGGACCGGTCGGCTACGCCGCCGGAGGAGGTGCACTATAATGCTGATGCGGAGGTGCGGAATCGGGGAACGGGGTTTTATTCGTTTTCTGGGGATCAGGATGAGCGGAAGAGGCAGATGGATGAGTTGTTGGCGGCGAGGCAGGAGACGGAGCAGCAGCGGCGGGTTAGGCTTGATAAGCGGGCGGCGTGGGATGAGAGGATGAATCACCGCCGTGAGGAGCTTGCTAAGTTGCGAGGGGAGAGGATGACGGAGAGGCTTTTGAAGGGGCTTTCTGGTGATGCGACTTTGGCTCGGCGGCCGGAGATATGAGGGCTGCTTTTATGTACTGTCTGCTTTTATACCGATATACCCATCGTTTATTTGATTACTATGCCAGGTGCAATGAATGGACTGCAATTGATTGTCAGGCGCTAATCTTCCAAGATTACTGTATATCAACTAGAACGCAATGAAACCAGCGCACGCAAGAACGCATTAGAATCAAATGCTGCCCGGTCATAATCAAAGAATAAGCAGGCAGACTCGACTCCAGTAACTTCATAGTGTGTACCCACCCCCAATCGATACCAACTTTTGATCTTGATCATGACAGTCATACCAGCGTAACTCATCAGTCGTAAAAGTCCACAGAACAATGTGTATTTACTTTACTTCGGGCCTCTTAGCTCAAGTGTAGCGGGGTTTAGCGAATATTCATCGCTATCTCTTCCATCGTGCCCTTAAAGCCCTCGGCATCTAGATACTCGTTAGTCTTTCGTCATCAAGATTAAAGGTCTATAGACGAACCGCTCCGAGTATTAAACTTCAGAATATGGTCTCCGCGATCGGTCATTGGCGGATTGTAGTCGTCCGCCGACATAAGGATCGTGAGCTTCAAGTCGCGAACTGCCACAGACCGCGAATTCAAAGTTTTTAACCAGCCCCGTCGCGTGAGCTGATGAGTAACGAAGGCGGTCCAGACGGGAGTCCTATTTGAAAAGAGTCAGAGTCGACCCGGCCACTTTGTAGTATGGGGATCTAACTTACCGATTCATCGGCCCTTTGTGAACAGACGCTTGCAGTCGCACCGCTCCTGAGATCCTGTCTTGATACACACGTAGGGCATGGCCATATTCATCATCGACGATTTGGCTTGAAACGGTCAGCATTGTGCGGTACTAATTTGGGGATTTGGTTGAATTACCCGCCATATAGCTCCTCCTCATCTGCCAGTTCGTAGTCCTGAATGTTTTCGATAGGTCGACCGGCATCTTGGGAACGAAGAGCCAAGAAAGAACAGAAGAACACCACCATGCCTAATTCAATGTTAGGCTTCGTCTAATGGGTTAATATAGTTTTGACTTAAGGTGTAAACTTACTTTCAATTGTTGCGAACTTGAATTGGGCCCACAGGGTCAAATCCCTGCCCGAGTGTTTTCTCCGGCACAATTGAAGAGAGGATCCTGTTCGGACAACCTCCAACATATTCAGGGGCATACAGAAGTATTCACTTGATCGAGTCCGGTGAGGTTTCTTGCAAACAATTCGAGCGCGGTGGTCTTTCTCCCGCAAATAGAAGTAGACTGTTATCCTCGAATCGTCATTGAAGGCCCTAAAATAGATAAATCAGAAATGAATTCACCATCTGGATGAAGGATTCGAACAACGTACAATTGAAGAATTCTTTCAAACCCTTGTTCTTTGAGAGTATCCTTGAGCCCCAAGTGGGCGTCGTCGTAACATCCTGCTCTATAGTAATTGTTAGGACTCATATGCAATCTCAGCCCTAAGTAGGGCATCAGCGGAGACTTACCTCTCCGGTGAGTTTGGAAGTGCGGTCTCAGTATCATAAGTGCTAAAGATATCTCTCACCCAATGATACTTTATAGCATCATTGCGAGCAGAGCGGCTGGTGGTTGTGGTAGTAGTGGTGGTAGTTGTCGTGGCAGACACTGATCCAGTCAACGGTGTTGGAGGTGCATCCGGAGCAGAAGGAGGAATACTGTCGGAAAATGTACCTGTACCAGACGACGGGGACAGGGGAGCCTGAGACAGATGTGGAGGCCTTGGCCTCTCAAATGACCGACGATGTCGCCGGTCACGGTCACTGACCGGGCTGATCGGGCTCATGGGTTCCACTATACGCGCTCTAGAATGGGGGCGAGAGAGGGGACGCAAGGTTGGTTTATGATCGCGCGATTGACGCGATCCACGCGTTTCACGCCGAAACTCCTCAAAGGGCTCCTCATCCTCATCATGCACAGTATAACCTCCAAGGGCTAAGCTGCCGAGACCTTGGTGTAAATTATCGGGAACCGAAGTCGGAACCGGAGGCATTCGGCTGCTTTCCTGCAAGGCGAGGAGCGACCTCATGGCGCTGCGAGGGGATTCAAGGCGGGTATGATCATGACTTCGACTAGTAATATGGCGGTGGATTATTAGAAGACTTGTGAAGAAGATGACCACATTGGGCTTACATACTTGGCTAATATATTACCCTCCAGACCTTTGAGAAAAGTCTTGTATCTTCCCAGGCGAATTGCAAGCGGATGCCTTGATTCATCCTGAAAGAATCGATTCAATGAGAGCCATACTCTTTGGTAATTTTCCGGAGTGTTATTGCCATTATCCAAACGGTAAAAATATTTAAACATATCCTCTATAGTGAATTTGAAGCTCTGTCGCACCAAATCCACATCGTGCCAGGCGTAAGCCCAATTGGACTGGTATTGAGGGTTTTTCGAAAAAGCATCCAGGCTGGTGAAGGAGGCGCTGATGGCATAAAGGTCCGATATCAAGGCGGTCACTTCAGCCGCATGTTGAGGAACAGGAGCACGAAAGGTGGTGAAGCCGGCTGCCGCATCCTCGGCGTCTTCAACAGATGCGCGCAGGTCCATGGGGCGGGGTCAGGCCATACGGGGGGGGTTTTTTGGGGAGAGGAATTTCGAGCTGGTGAGAAAAACACGAGAAAGCGGAAAGAGAAATTAGGCCAATCTCACGTGGTTGGTTATGCGGCTCTTATACTTTTTTTTTTCTCCTCTCACGGAATCCCACCCTTGCGTCTTGCTTCCTGACGTGGTCGCGCAGGAATGGCGGGGCGTTTAGTGAGTGGGGGGGGAAGAGGGGGGACGGGAGAGCGGGAGAAGTCAAAAGAATCGAGCATAAGATCTTGAGACATTCCTAAGTAACCAGGGTCATGGTTATATTTAAAGTATTAAAGTATGCACATATGAGCACCCTGTATACAAAGAAAGTACTCGGTTTTATGATCAAATCCATGGATGATCACTGAAGTTTCCATGGCTCTCGTTGATCTCAGGGTAAGCATTGTTACGCGACCCACATATAGCTTCTGCCCTACAGGGATTTGGATGCATTGGAAGTAGCGGTGGAAAATGTATAATAAACCCACAGATCAGACCTCGTACTGAAAATGGTGCCGTGTAAATTATTGGAATAGTCAACATGTCTCTATATCCTATGGATGACCCTCTTCCTATAACCACATCCAAGAACCACCTTGGAAAGGCATTGAAGTGAAATAATCAATTGATGGCAATGTAAAGGCTTGAGTAACAAAACTCTGATATCTCTTTTATACCGAGGACTGTGCTGTCACTAGCCAGAAGAGGGGATGATGTGGCTTGTCACCGGATGTTGTGCAGGGAGTCAAAGCCATGCTCACTTATAGAAATCTTTGAGGGTACTGTGATTGGTTCTCTGGTTATACACATATGTATAGACTCGGCCCCAGGGGCAATGGATTTCCAACACTTTGAAAAAGTCTGTGGAGCTGAAACAGAGTTGTCCTAAATTGATTGAAGCTCGCCATCTTAGTGTATGCATCTCGAAACAAAGTCAATGAAGAGTTCTCGCCTTCAGACGCGAATTTGGTCAAGTGGTCAAGATGGTAACATTGAATTTTTCCCGAGTGCCTTTGGGGATATCCGAGGATATAGGGCTTAGTGGATAGTCTGCGACTAAGAAATTGAAACAAGCTTCGGTGTTAAAAGCCCTGCAGCTAAAGTCCTGACGAAACCCCACCATGTTTACTTTGAGACCCTTGAATAGCTCATGACCTCAGGCACCAACATTAAGAGAGCTTGGACCAGCGCGCGCAGACCATGTCGACTCGGGGTTTTAACGCGTTCGGCACGCGAGTTCCATTTCATTTTACGTCAGAAAATATTAACGGAATGGAAGTAGAGGGAAAGAAATAGCAAGGGAAATATAGTAGGATTGATTAGACTAGTGTACAGCAGACTAGGCTTGCGCCGAGAGATACAGCAAGCACCGTCCTGGCCATCCTTAAGAAACAGTGATAGAAGATGCTCAGCAAGTGAGTTCATTGCCTTTATACGAAGACAAGAGGATGATATCAAAAACCATAGCAAGAAAAACTGTCAAGAGGATGGATTGTCAAGATGAAAACCATTTCCCACGAGTAAACGCTAGTTCGGGCCGAATCAGGCCAATAAAATGAGCAAAAACCACCGAGGAAACCCATCCGTAAAGCCCATAAGTGATAAATCAACAAGGAAAAAGGAAACCGGGGAGAATCACTAAGAGAGCACTAGAACGCCAGCATCTGCGCAAATACAAGTTGCGATATGATGTTTACGAGGACTCCTCGTCATCATCACCAGCAGCCTGAGCCTAAAAGAGAGATTGGAGATTAGAAAAGAGACCATCATGAGGTGATGGGATGGGACTTACGGCCTGGTACTTGGCCTTCTCATCCTCGTAGCGCTTCTTATCGGTAGCAGCCTTCTCATCGTAGGGCTTACGCTCAGACTCGGTCAAAGCCTTCCACTTGTCACCAAGGGTCTTTCCGACCTGGCCTGCAAGGGGGTGTTAGATACAATTGACAAGGAGCGGGGAAGCTTGTCAGTAGTTCTTACCGAAAGTGATACCGGGGTTCTCCTCGCGGACAGCATCACGGTTGTCATTGGCGAAGAACATGTAAGCAGAGAGACCACGCTTGGGAGCGTTGGGGTCTACAGAGAGATTAGATTTCATCTAATTAATTGCGTTGAAGGAACAGCTTACCCTTCTTGCGGCGAGTGGTGCGGGGCTCGGCCTTAGCCTTGCGGGTGGTCTTCTCCTTAGGCATTTTGAATTTGGATTGGTTGACCTTGGGTATGGTTAGCTGAGTTCGGAAGGGTTTCTTGAGGTGCAGTGATGAGACAAGGGTAGATGAAAGAAATAGCAGACGAGATGATTGCAAAATGCAAGGAGGAAGAGAGAAAAGGAGAGAAAGTTGGAATGCGCAGGGTAAGGGAAGAAAAGTAGACGCGACTGATAGTGGTTGGAGGAGATAAAGGCCAAAGGCGTGGAAATGCGATTGAAGTGACCAAGTCACTTCACTTGGTCTCAATCGCACTGATAAACGCGTCAAATCCAGCGAGGAACTCACGCGAAGCGTAGCTTATGTATTTCAATAAGCAGTTCCGATGCTGAATTCAAGCTATTTAACCAGGCGCAAGTTAGAGTGATGGGGGCGCGACAAAAAAAAAATAACACTGAGGCGCGACTCCTGCGACCGCGACGATGAGGAAAAAAAAGGAAAAGAGCTTGCAAAAAGATCACATGGACAAGACAAAAGCAGAAAAAAAAGAGAAGTGGTGGTGGTGGAGAGAATTGGGTGATGGTGGTAGAGGTGATATAGATTGGGGGTGGGAGGGATATGCAGTACCTGAGGATTGTATGGTCGGTATGGGTGAGAGAATGGTAGTGTAGGAAGAAGGGAAAGAGAGAGGGGGAGAGCTGTAGTAGTAGGGGAAAGACCAAGAGAGGGGGAAATTCCCTTGCTGTTTGCTTACACACAAGGGGAATGTAACGGCCTGCGTCACAGTATTTTATTATAGTGTGTACCCCAGCCAATTACTCCCGTATGGTAATTTACTTTTCCCCATTTGATTGCCATTTCATGCTATTGAGTACTTTGCCCTAATTCTTCAGCTTGTTTTTGGCCTGAGATCAACTCTTCTTAGAAGATGAGGGAAAAAAGAGTCATATTGTTTTATTTTTCTAATTTTTCTAATTTTTTTTTTTTTGCTTCTCCCTCAATCTCGAAACGTCTTTGTTCCAATTCTTGCTTCCAAAGAAATCGTGTGGTTTGTTACCACTCTGCAACACCTACGCTGGCAGAGCGTACCAAACAGTAACATACTTAAGCCCTCTCACAGTGGAGCACCAGCCAAAAAGGGCGCAGGTGGTCGTACCCTGTACCGCGGTTACCCATAGTGAATTCACTTCCCACGCAAGTACCCAATACCACTCCAAAACACGGCTCACCTGGTTTCTCCGACTTGCTACGCCCGGTCTTTCTATGTATCATAAAGCCCGGTAATAATCAACAAATCAGGCAAACTACGGAGTAAAAGATTCTTTCTTTCTCTAATAAAATTTAAAAATCCCCCAAAAAAGACGTGATGACAACATAGATATGATAGAAACTACAGATAAAGAGTGAAAGACGAGGGAATTTGAGTACGCATCCCCGTCCTCATCCCCTAAATGGCCTTTGATACAATCAGCGTTTGTAATGAGGCAGTGTTGCGCGACACCCCACGGGTAAATGGCACTCGCACAAAATCCCCCCTTGATCATCCAGACCAGAACTCCGAGAGAGAGACGAATAACACGGGTACATGTATGTGGGGATGGACGACCCTAGTCACCGGCAAGTGACCATCCTCGCCAAAGTACTCCGTACCCAAAGTATACTGAGCTAAATTAAGCACTTCAAAGCCCTTGGAGGGTATTGATTATCCCGCCAGCTAGCTAGTATACAACCGCCATAGCGACGATAGAGTAAAAAAAAAAAAAACTCAATAAAAAAAGACAGATGAGAGAAAGCATTAATCCTGTAATAGCAAGCTATAATCCATGATCAAATTAGCGCGAGGTAAGGGCCTGAAGTCGCAACCGCAAGCCGGAGCGTTGCTCAATCATATGGCGTATACTCTTGGGAGGTAACCGCCGATTGGAAATACAGCCATACGTAAAGGAACTTTTTTTTTTGGACCCAGGTGGGCGTCCTAGGCAGAATTTCCTGATTGTTTTGAAATGTGGCCAGGGCTGCCGATATCCATTACAATACGTCTGGCGGGATTCGGCCTCTGGAAGAATTCAGATTTATGGGTCAGAAAGAGTGATGAGAAGTAAAAAACCGGGGCTCCGAAGAAGGTGATTTCATTCCTTGCAGAGGTCGGATCACACCATGATCACAAGCCGGAAATACTTTTTGGTATTGGGTGTGTTCCATTGCAAGACGCGTCTTGAAAGTTCGGATTACTATTCTAAATCTGGAGAGCACTAGTAAAGTCATCAGATATGGAGGATTCGGAGTAAACTTGCTACAAAAAAACAGACGCTCTGGCCTTGTCAATAGATACCTGCATGATCAGTACATGTACCAGCAATTTTGGATTTACTAGGGAAAAAAAGGCCAAGCTCCTTTGCATTCCGATACATGATGGGTACATGATTCTTGCTGGTCCAGTTCCCGTACTATCAAGTACCAACTCCACTCGTAATATTACCATACCTTTTCCACTGCTTCCGGAGAGCGTCATAGAGTTGCCCTCGCGTAATACGTACTGGGTTCTGCACAGCAATTCAAACGCTAATGTATGCTTTTCCCAAATTCTATCCCGGAAATAAGACGTATCAACCATGATAGACATGACATGTATAGCATACTCAAGATCATCCAGTTGCTGGGTCAAATTGGCTGTGTTGCGCGCAAAATCTCCCTACCTTGGAACGCGTCCGTATCGGTCTTATCATGGCACTCCGTCATGGTTGGTGTGTAGTGATGTAGACGTGGGTCAGGTCTTACTTATACGGCCACAACTTCCTTGTGTTCATCATTTTTCATCAAAATTGGAGAAATATGGAATTTCTACGAAAGTTGAAGAATCTACTTCTAAAAAAAAAAAACTCCAGATTTTCAGATTGAACAGTTGACATTCCCTTTACCGGACCGTGGGGTATAAACCTCTTCTAAGTAACGATTACCGCAAAACACCGAAAAAAACAAAAACACCAGAACGCGCTCGCACAAATATGTAGACATTAATCGTCGCTCTCATCCAAAACAAGAGCTTGTAGATCATCATCCTCGGCCCAGTCAAGTCCGCTGGCGACTACCATAGCACTAGCAATATTCTTCATCGTTTCCCATTTCGCCTTACTAGTTTTGAGTTCGGCTTCAAGTTCGTCGAGTTGCGACGTGAGCCTTGCATCTTGAAGTTGTTCACGCCAGGAAGAATCCTGTTTTGTGAGCTCTAATACTTGGCTCACCAGCTCCTGGTTCTCCCGGTTGATCTGCAAGTTCTCGACACCAGAGTTGGAAAGCTGCTTGCGAATTGCACCATGAGCCGAGGCCAAATTCTCGTATGCGAGAGCTAGCTCGTCGCGACGATTCACCAGGCGAAGAAGCGCCCTGTGAGTATTTTATCAGATGCGGCGCATATCGACTGGCCGGGGGTTATGAACGTACTTTTCGGGCGGAATATTTGCCTTCAGGTGAACCGCTTTCAAGATTGGGTCGGTCATGAGAATGGTACGTGCTGCTTTCCTTCTGACGGTGTAGGTAGATCGCGCCTCCAGGAGCTCGCGTTCGGCGATCTCAAGCTCCTCTTCCACATTGTCACCGGAAACCAGCTCCGGTTCTAGATCCCGAGTTAGACGGACAGACAAGCAAAAAAGCAAATAGAAGAAAATAAGAAAGGATGCAAGGCCAAATCGAGCAAGGGGGATTTCGTGTACATACCTTGTTCTAGCAACGCCTTCTCTAGTTGTTGTTCCTGGATCTGTTCGGCGAGCTGCAAGATAAGAGCTTCTTTCTCCGAGAGCGTCACCACATCGCGGGTGTCATCTGCAGCGTAATCAAGGAGGGTCAGCTCCCCTGACCGAAGGTTTGGCCACTGGACATGTTTTGGAGCCATGAGGAAGATCGCGTGGGTTGAAAGGGTATCTTGTGATATGGACTGGAGGCGGTGGAGAACTCACCTGGAAGAGCTTCAGCCCCTGCCAAACTTAACTAAGTAAACTCCCCTCTTCCCTGAAAACTAGAGCTTTTGCGCTCGGTGGTGAGGAGGGGGATATGAATTTACACGTCTATATTGCCCACTCTGGTGAGCACCTACTGGCTGATCCAGTAGCCTTTGCTTCGTATGTTCTGATCTACTCCCCGGCTTTTTTTGATGAGGGGAATGTCCATTCCGATCGTCCCTAGCTTTATGCACCCACAAGGCTAACTCCACACCATTCACAGTCCTGATGCGCTGAAATCATGGGTCGTCCGAAACACATCGATACCTCCTGCCAGGCAGATCTTGATGACTGCCCGGGGGAAAAACGTGAAAACACAAACGCTCGCTACGGAGGTACGTCGCTACCTAATCTCCGAATCCCCGCATAATGTGCCTGGCATGCTAACAAATTGCTGGTATTAAATATAGACTGAGATATTCGTATACGACCGACAATATGTAAGCGAGTCTGGCGAAATTGAGCTTCCGATGCTCCCTGCGCCCGATCCCTTTCAGCCAGGCAGCCCTCCGGCTTCCCTTACCGATCAGAACGATCTGCAGGCATGGCGAAACCTTTTCATGGCAAGGAAAACCTGGGCACAGGGCTTCTCAAGTCGCTGTGGGGCGACGGATAAGATGATTCAAGAGCATAACCAGCGAACTGATGTCATCAATCGTGCTGTGGGTGTCGCACTTGAGAACCTCAAGTCTCACGTGGGCAATCTGGAGCATCGGTTTCAAGAGGCTCAGTCATGGGCTTCTAATCTACTAGAGGAGCAACAGATCGCGCTGGCAGGCTGGCAAGACGCCCTAGCTCGACTAGAGAATATACCAGCCCGGAAAGATTTCCCTCTACTTGGACGTCCATCCACACCTAAGAAAGATACCAATCGACCGACGGGCACTTTGAATGATTTTGTTGATGGAAATGAGGTTTTACAAGCTGGAGCCGATGCAGCCGTTGCATCGCCGCGCTTTGCTGGGCAGATGGAAGATATTGCGAAGACTGTCGGTAAGACCGCGTCAGATACCCAACGCTTGGTTGATGACATTATCTCCTCGCCTGCTGAAGTAGACGAGGGTCTACTTGCTGAAGTGGAAACCATTGCAAAGAAGATCGGAACGGACTACGAGCATGTTCTTGGGGTCCCAAATAATCAAAAGTCGCTGGCAAATATCTCCAGACTTGCACTCAACCACACCCAAAATCTTCTCCCTTCTCTGTTAGCGGCCGGTGCAGATCTGCATCAATCTCTTGTGTATTCTGTGCGGCGACGTGGCTCTGCAGAGAAAACCGCCCTCCAATACATGCGAACCATCTCAGTACTACAGTCGCGCCTGGCAGACACACATACTCGTCTGATCAACCTTGATGTGAACACAAATGCTTTCGAGGTAATTGACGCAGTATTTCAGTTGCCAATGGTCTACGGCTCAATTCTGATCGAATCTGTGCGGCGCCACGAGTGGACAGGCAAGATCAAGGCGGATTCTTTGAATTTGGCTGAAGAAATGGCTATTCTCCGAGACGAAGAACAAAGACGCCGAAAGAAATGGGTCAAAAGCATGGGAGATCACATTTCCTTCGGAGATTCTACAACTCTTGGGATCGAAGTGAATCTTCAAGGGCAGGCGGAAGAATGGCCTGAGGTGGCTCGAAAAGAAATTGAGACTTACATAGAAGAGCTACGATCAAAGCACTCTCTTCCGAAAATCGCGGACGATCTATCTCAGCAGTTTAAGGACTTGGATACCCCTTCGCGCCAGCAAAGACGGCGAGCTAAGGCATTCAAGAATGGTAGTGTGTTTGACATGGGTCGAAGCTCCATGCTGCTACGCGGGGATGACATGGTCCGAAGCCTGCAGGATGAAAAGACAAAACTGCAAGAGCGAGTCAAAGGCTCAGAGAGCCGGATTCGCAAGCTGGAGGACCTTCTTCATCGCCAAAGCCACTTTAGTCGACCTTCCAGTGGGAACTTTGGACCTGATTTCCCCAGCTCGCCGGCATCTCCACATCCCGACACCCTTTCCAGGCGGTCTTCTGTTTCATCGAGACGGGTATCCATGACGCAGTCCCCAGAAGACAGAGCTCTTGTGCAGCGCATAGTCTCCCTTGAAGCTGAGCTAATGACCGAAAGAGAAACTGTACAGAGGCTTCAAAAAGAGGCTCATACCGAGCGTCAGACCAGTTCTGACAAGTACCAAGAAGCTCAGTCAACCAAGAAGGATCTGATTGGGAACCTCGAGGCACGGCAACGTGAGTTCGAGGATGAGCGAAAATACTTGGAAGCGGAAGTCAAGAAGTGTCGACTTCGTAACGAGGAGTTGGAGGAGGAATTAGATAAGCTTACGGACAGTCGGGATCATGACAAACAAGAAGCCGAGGAACATATCCATCAACTTGAGGCTGAATTGCAAAGTGCTAACGCGAATGCGGCCGAGAAGACTCAAAAGATCAAGGGTCTCGATGATCGTATCCAACACCAACAAGAGAAGGAGCAGGCGCTTCAAGACGAGGTCAAGGATCTTGCGCGCCAAAATAACGATTTGAGCCGGAAAGACCGAGATAACTATCATGCTATACAGTCGGCGTTCATGAATCTTTCTCCAGGCGGATCTGTACCGCCCGAACTCCCTGGTATAATTCACGCCATCGAGATACTCTCCGAGGGCTTGGCAATCCACGCCAGGAGCGCCGAAGATAGTGCGTCAAAGGCGATGGCTGAGATGAAAGCTCTTGAGGAACAAACCAATACGCTCCGATCACAACTAGAAGAAAAGGGTAAACTTCTCGAGGGTCGTGAGGCTGAAGTGGCTAAGTTGTCAGAAGAGCTTTCTCAGGTGCGAACTGAGATGGACAGTACAAAATGTGAACTGGACCAGGAACGCACGAAGCTGAATACTTTGCATTCCCAGGTGTCTGCAGGCGAGATAGGCTCAGATGCGCTGCGAGAGAAAATTGCAGAGGAGGAAAGGAAACGCGCAGATTTGTCACAGAGACTAGTCGATGCAGAATCCAAGGCTCGGGATTTACAAGACAAGAAAGCTGAATGGGAAAAGAAAATCGAGGCGTCCTCAGAGGCAGACCGAGATGCTCAAACTCGCTACGAAGGCCGGGTCAGTAAATGTTACGAGACGTCCCGGCAACTTTACTCGCAGGTCGATAAGTTGGAGCGGATGCTCGAGCAATTGGGATTCGCAGTCATTCAGCAAGATGGGCATATTATCGTCCAGCGAGCATCAAAGCTTGCCGCTTCGGCGTCTGGACTGGGCGAGAGCCTCGCACAATCTGGAATTGTTTCTGCCAAGCCCGATAGTTCACTGCTCGAGTGGATGAAAGCCGTGAGCCCAGAAGAGGAAGATATCAAATTTTCCGCCTTTCTCAAGAGTCTTTCTCGATTTGATGTTTCCATTTTCGGGGACGTAGTCGTGAAGCGCGTGAAAGACATTGAGGTACTCGCACGCAAGTGGCAAAAGGAAGCCCGCGGCTATCGTGAAAAGTATCATCGGGTTCAGAGTGAAGCTCACGACAAGATTGCCTACCGGTCTTTCAAGGAAGGCGACCTCGCCCTGTTCCTCCCAACCCGAAATCAGGCCATTCGTTCTTGGGCCGCCTTTAATGTTGGTGCTCCGCATTACTTCCTGCGTGAACAAGACTCGCACAAGCTCAACAGTCGTGATTGGTTGCTTGCCCGCATTTCCAAGATTGAAGAACGCGTTGTAGACCTTTCGAAATCATTGAATGGTGTTGCTCCTGATCGGCACTCCCTTGGTGAGGCCAGCGAAGCCGCCTCCTTTGATGACGAAAATCCCTTTGAGCTATCTGACGGTTTGCGGTGGTATCTTCTCGAGGCCTCAGAGGAGAAGCCTGGTGCACCCGCTACGCCGGGACTCGCGAAGACTACTGTGGCATCTACGCCCATTGATGCCAAAGGCAGTATTCGCCTTCAACGCACGACCGAAGAGAACACCGTCGCCCAGACTCTGTCAAAGAGCTTAGATAGCCGTCGCAACAGTTCTCATTCCAAACGGGGTACACCGACACCATCTCAAAGAGCCAACGACTCAACTGTCGATCTGGTTCGCCCCGCTGATGCTGACGCCGACCCTTCTGGCGCCGGCTTCCAGCGTGAATCTGCCCCAATGTTTGAAGAGGTTCGCCGTGACTTACTCCTCGGCCCGTGAAAAGTAGGGAAAGAAACAGCTTTTTAATCTTTTCTCGGGTCCTGCAGTGATCCATATGCTAACGTATCTCCTCACGGCAGGCTTCTTCGACGCAACAACCGCCTGCCGGGGGCGTGTCGGCATCGCCTCCCTCGAGATCCACATCCGGACGACGACAAGGAGGACGGGGTCGGCCGTGGGAGAAGCTGTGGTCCCTTGAATACCGTCGTGAAGACGGCCCGCAATAGGAAGGCGAGCCATTTCTTTTCAATCTACGGAGTTCTATGGGGTCTTGTGTTTTTCTATTATCTCTCGTGATTTTTCTTGTTTGCTTTGTTGTTTTCTGCTTTTACTTCTCAGGGCGGCCGTTCAGCGCCTTCCTACACTTGCCCTGAGGGGGATTTACTTCGACCATATACCCATACGTACAAATGAAGCCACTCTGAATTATTAGCTGTTGTGCCTACTACTATTCATGATATCGAGTCTGACTTATTATCTCTTGCGCGCGAATCTTGTGTTATCATCATAGCCTGTGCTATATACACTAAATGTATGGTTGGTGTTAGGAAGTGACTCCTATTGATTTAGTAGTTGTACTGTGTAGTAGGTATGCAGTGTGAAGTTGTCAATAAACATTTGGATAACAAACCTTGGAAGCTGATGCAGAAAAGCAGATCTGGAGTCAAAGGATAATTGCAAATCAGATCTGATAAGAACTAGGCATATTCTGATTGTGGTCTTCTATACAACTTTACATTTAAAACATCACCAATTGACTTCATCTGGCATTGTTAAGCACATTGTTTAGCAACGAGTGGGGTGTCTCGTGACTATTCCCCGGATCCAGTTGATCCGACAAGGCGAGATCTCTCCGCTCCGCAGCTCCGTCAACCGTCACCTGAATATACAAGAGTATCGGGAGTTCCAAACTTACCCGTACTCTCTGAACAATGACGCCATGCTTAAGAAGCCTCATGTACTCTGCTGGGGTAGCTCCCAGCTACTAAATTCGCAACGAGCTGGTTCATTCTCTCGCTTCGGTCTCACCTCACCCGCCCAGAGCTATGCCACCGCATCGGACGCCGCGGGACCCCAAGATTCCTGGCCCAAATCCCACTCATTCACCCCATACGACGTCTTCAACATCCCCCGAAACGCCACATACTCCAAAACCCGCTACTACGACCTCGTAAAACTTTACCATCCAGACCGTCCCAGCGCAGACATCACTCCCGAAGTCCGCCTCCAGCGCTACAAGATCGTAGTCGCCGCCCACGAGATCCTTTCCGATCCCATAAAACGCGCAGCATACGACAAGTTCGGTATAGGCTGGAGTTACTCCGCCCGGCCAGACCCCACCGCTGGCCCTTACGGCCCCGACGTCAACATCTACGGAAACGCAACGTGGGAGGACTGGGAGCGCTGGAATAACCGGCACAATGGGAAACAGCAGAATATGGTGGACCACCGCACATTTACGCGGCTGATGATTTTGCTGGTGCTGTTCGGTGGTGCTTTGCAGGCGTCGTGGATCGGTCAGTTGAATACCGGGTATGAGGATCGTCTGAGGGAGGTCAGTGAAACTTCGATGCGGTTTTTGAGTGGCCGGAGGCAGAGTACTATTAGTCAGATGCCGTCGAATGATGCCCGGGTCCAGAGCTTCTTGATCCGCAGGGATCCTACGGGGTCGGGGCTTAAAGATGATGAGCAGACTGTTTATCAGAAGGAGCTTCATCCTAAGCAAGGCATTAACAAGCTCGCGAGCGACCGACCGAATGGATCCAAGTCACACACTGAACCTGATCCCGCTTCTGACTCGAATGATGTCGAGTGATTGATTCCGTGATACCATGATTCTATCATTATATTTGCACATACTATATTGCATGGGTGGCGTTTTCCAAGGGATGAAAGAATCTCGAGTAAATAAAGAAATTTCACATATCTACAAAGTGGTAGAAATTTCGAATTTGAAGATAGTAGTACTTTAAACTTATGGACAATTCCAATCCGACTATATCACTAGTACCTACTATGTACTGCCAACTAGACTAACTTCTTGCTATGTAGTTCTGCTCGTGGCTAGCAAGTCAATAGAATGTCGGTCAACGAAAACATTTGACTTCCATTTATAGATGGTCCTACTTGAGATAAGCACTGGAAGGGTTTTCATAAAGGTGCAGTATTCAACATCACCTGGGAAGCTGCCTATGATCTAGTTGTACTCCGTAACTAGTCTGTTCCTGGTTGAGTAATCGATAAGCCAAGTTTTAAATCGCAGTGGATACCTGATCGAGCGCTGATCCGCGCTAAAAACCCACTAAGCACTAAGAATCGAACGGACCTCGGCATTGGGGCTGGCGCAAAACAGGGTTTGGAGTCTTTGGACTATATCAATCCCAATCTCACCCACTTTTGCCCCTAGGAGCAGAGCAGGGGTAAGCTTCTCATCGCGTGCCCAAGATGAGTGGAATTAAACACACCATCACACAGCTCAAGCTGCTGCTGTCTCGGATCCCTTTGATCCTGAGAACGCTTATCTTGCATGGCATTCGCATGTCCCCCGTCTCGGGGAAACAAGATCTACGCACTGAACTGATCACCGTCGTCATCCGCTCATTCATCACCGGCGATGATAAAAAACCGTTGGGCGTAACGCAGAAGAATAGCATGCGAGACCCTGGAATTCAAGGCCCTATGTGGGTATCTAAGATCACCCTACCGCAGCCCGAGATGGATGTGCGCGATGCAGTTCTCCGTGCGATCGAAGTCCTCGGCACTGGCCAAGAGACCTTCGATATCCCTGCCGCTCAAGCCGTTGAAGCCGAATGGACAGGCTATCGCCGCGGAGTCGGCAAGAAAGAACCACAGCCCGAGATCTCCGAGGAAGAGAAATATAGCGCACTGCGCAAGGACATCACCTCCGACATGACGATTCTATATCTCCACGGAGGCGCATACATGTTAGTTCAAAGCCCCCCACTCCACAGACCAGACCACCTATATATCTCGATCAAATGAACATGTGTACTCACCTCAACCCTACAGGCTAATGGACCCCTGCACGCACCGCGGAACCGTCTCAAACCTCGCCCGCCTAACAGGCGCCCAGGCCCTCTCAGTGCGCTACCGACTCGCACCGCAGAACCCATTCCCCGCAGCCCTAGTCGACGCCCTAACAGCCTACCTCTCACTCACCCACCCACCAAAGGGGTCCCCGCACGCGCCCGTCCCCGCCAACAAGATCATCATCGCCGGCGACTCAGCCGGCGGCAATCTCTCCCTCGCCCTCCTCCAAACCCTCCTCACCCTCCGCCGCATCTCCCACCCACTCACCTTCCACGGCAAAGAGGTAAGCATCGAACTCCCCGCCGGCGTAGCCGGCATCTCGCCCTGGTGCGACATCTCCCTCTCCATGCCATCAGTCGTCAACTACCGCAAATACGACTATATGGACATCCGGCCCGGCGGCGTCGACGAGCCGGACTTCTCGAAGCCGTTCGCGCCGTTCGCGTTCCCGGCCGACGACGTCTGGCCCGCCTCGCCGCCGCGGCTGGACATCTTCTGCAACGCATCGGCAATCGGTCACCCGCTCGTGTCGCCGATCACGGCCGCACCTGAATTGTGGACGGGCGCGCCGCCTGTGTTCATTACTGTTGGCGAGGAGTGTCTTACGGATGAGGCGCTGGTTCTTGCGCGCCGCTTGCATCAGGGTGGTGTGGCTGTCGTGGCGGAGATGTTTGAGGGGAAACCGCATTGTCATGCGATTCTTATGCCTTCGACGGCGACGGGGAAGAAGTTCTTTGAGGGGCTGTCTGGGTTTTGTTCTGATGTTGTTGCTGGGAGGGTTACACAGAGCGGATTCTTGACGCACTATGGGTTTAAGTTGGGGAGTACGCGCCGGATTCCGTTGGAGAAGGCTTGTGAGGTTGGTGATGAGGAGGTGGAGGATCGGTTGCGGACGATTGCGAAATGGAGGGGCGAGAGTGAGATGGAGTTGCAGAAGGAGTGGCGTGAAAGAGCACGATTGTGAGACTACTAGTAGGTTTGTACATACTACTATGGATACATTGGGTTGCATATCCGTTTATACCAGTTTGATAGGAAAAGATACCAACAAATAACATTTAAGGCATGCCTTCAATTTATTAAACACCAGAAAAATGAATGCTCTAATAATGTGTGCATTGAAACCCAATACCTTTTGACGTCTAAATTTTGGCAGTTTCAAGACAAGTAAAGGAATTATAGAATGAGAATTCATTGTAGACAAGCCTATTCAAAGCTGGGTGTCTAAAACACGGTCATTGGTGATATCGCTAAGTCCAGCCATGAAAACCCTTGCATAATTGCGCCTTTCCCACGAATCGTTAAATATGAGCTTCGCCACAGTGCCATATAGAGCAGCTAAAGATATTCATCATCATCAATTGATGGCTGGTCATCGTCCCTGTAAAATTTGACAGGGGCATCATTGCGCGGCGTCGGTGTCCACACAGGTTGGTGTTGTTTTTGTTGTTGGGAAGGAGGAGAAGGAGGAGGAATAGGGATAGGGACACCCTGGGGCTCAGGAGCTGTCAACCACGGGAATGAGACTGGAGTGCCGTTGATGCGGATCTCGCCTATAATATTACCCAGGCGTCCTGGTTCATCCACATAGCCATCCCATAGCCCGAGCAGTTGGGCCACTAGTCGTAGCATGGCCAGCACCAGGGTGAAAATGGGCATAAGGATAGATGACAGATGAGACCAGCGCCACATCATCGTCACGGTCACCCATGGGAATTCGGGTGCATCGGGCTGAAGACAATAACCCTCGCATGTGTCGCTCATGATTGGGTGGCAGTACTGATCAATCATCATGCACTCAATGACATACCACGACAGCGACACGAGCGTGACCCAGCCCAGCTTAGTGAGCTGGCGACGCCGGGTGATTGGGTTCTTCGTCCACAGCTGAGGAAGTGGGATTGCAGCATATAGACGACCGTCAGAGTGTGAGACACAAGACGTGCAGGACTCGCTGTTGTGTGTAGTATGTGGTGTTGGCTCAGCCACCTTTGTGGGAGAACTTGGCCGAGATGATAGCACGCTCTGACTGACATGTTCCTCCAGGTTGTTGAGGCCCTTCTTCACCTCATTGATGTTCTTTGCGAGAGATGCCAATTTTTCATTCAGCCGGTCGAGATCAACTGAGCTTGACCCATTCGAGCGGGCGATTGCTAATTTTTCGAGCACCTCCTTCTCATAAGCTGCCTCTTCCTCTTCCTCCGTCTTTAACCCCATTACCATTGGATCGTCCATGATTGCCTGGAGAGACTCGATGGTGTCATCTCCTAGATCGAGTGTCTCCTTTCCGGAGCTGGCGTCCTCAATGACTGTTTCTAGTCCGCTCTTTGGCAGTTTCGGTCGCAGAACTTGTGGCCTTGATCGTTTGACGGGTTTTGATTCTTCCTTTTGGGATTCTGTTGTGATGTTTGGTTCAATCTTTGGGATTTCAGGTTGGGCTTGGGTCTGAGCAGGGGCCTGCGTCGGAGCCACCACAGGGAGGTTCCTTTTTTTCTCGACCAGGGGCTCAACCAAGGGCTCAACTGAAGATTCGACTGAGGGCTCGACTGGTTTTGGAGCCGCGGGCGGACGGACGATATCTTTGGTCAAGTCAACCGGAATTGGAGCCACTTTTGCCGTCATAGGAGTATCGATCCATGCACCTGTTACTCGAGGTGTCTTATCATAAATGCGGGGCTGGGAGAGCTTTGTTTGTTCCGGCGTCTGGATTTGATCCATCCTGGGGCTCTCGGCTCTTGATAAACGACGTAGCAAGTCTTGGGAGTCTCGCTTTGAAGGACTCGGTCTATTAAACGTTGAGGTTTTGAAAACCACGATAGGTGTGTTAGGAATAGGATCGCCTTGACCAGACATGTTCTGGTTAAACTCGAATTCATGTTCTTTGGGCTTCTCCTGAAGCTCTTGTGTATCTTGCAGGTTTGGATTGGCTGTGCGTTCTTCGAGGACAGTGCGAGTTGGGACGCGGCTCCGTTCCAGTGAGCGGGAAGAGAGGCGAGGTTTAGGGAGTGGCTGGTCTGTTGGTTGTGTCCTCGATGTAGGTTCGCTAACTCGGTCCGTTGGGCGTTCTTCGAGTGTTTGATCCGGCAATTCTGGATCCGACACGCTTCGTTCGCTCACTTTCCGACCCCAGTCCGGTCGACGTGAGGCTCGACTTCCCCAGGCAGCTGGATAATTCAGCGAGGGACCAAACTCATTATTTTCCTCCTCTTCCACAACATGCTGACTCTGAATTTCCTCCTCGCGCCGTTGTAGATTATCCGCTGTCAATGCCTGCCGTGCGCCAGCCTTGGCCTTGCTGAACACAGGAGAGTCCTTGCCGGTCACGCGTCGGAGTCGCATCTCATCTTTGGTGTAATCGGTATTCCTCTGGCGCGGGGAAGGTCTTCCAGCGTCACTAAACAGGCTCGGCTCCGATATTGCCAGTCCATGGCGGGCAAATCTCTCATAGTCGCGACCCCTTGTTTGGGATGGTGAGCGACTTGCGGTACGAGCCCCCAGTGACGCTCCCCACCCATCTGACGCCACGTAGTCCGCTAACGATCCGTCTTCTCCAATTCTTCGATATGAGTCCAGGAGCTCTTCTGGGGGTTCTGATCTATTGGAATTGGGGGAGAGCGCGTCGAGTGGTTCCCGCGTCTGTTTAGGACTCGTGAACGAGCCCAGCCGCGCGCCTTCCTCCATCGAAGAACCCGACACGGCTCGAAAGGCTCCGGCTAATGTGCTTGTTCGGTAATTGTGGTGAGGACGTGATCCATTCTGTTTGGAAGGGGTAGGGAAGTTGTCGGTATCTAGATTGAATTCGTAGTTGGGTTCACGCGCGCGGTTGAAGGGTGATTGGGGATAGTTATGGCGCGCAAGTGAGATTCGATCGCGAGAGGTTGACATGGTGAAGAGAAAAAAAACAGTTTCCCCCTTGCGCAAGGGGAATCTTTTTTATTTCTCTACTATGATGTAAGGCTCAATAAGTTGGAGCAGTAAATTACTAGCAAAGTAAGTCCGAGGTTTCTCAAGGTAAATAACTTGGCCCGCATTGCCCGATGGGGTTAGCAACTTCAAGGGATTTAGTGTTTCTATGACATGCCATCTGTCTTGTCTGGTAGTTTGTCCTTGAATGACAATCTTCTCTTCTTCTTCTTCTTCTTCTTCTTCTTCTGCTTCTGCTGCCTTTTTTGAGAATTATTTATTACTATTGATCTTGAATCATGCGAACGACCTTGCTGACTTCGCCTTGACATGTGACCCACTTGGACTGATCATCTGCAGCCACGCGTTTCCAATAGAAAAAAAAGAAAAGCACAAGGCACTTCCGGCGCACGAGCTACCCTAACAGTAGGGAGTATCCCAGTTTACAAGCAACGGAAAAATACAAACAAAATACAGCCTCGAGTATACCATAAACCTCACCATGGCGAAAACAAAATCCTCACGCCGCAAGGCCGCAACAACTCCGAGCTCATCGGGCGCTTCTACTCCAAGCTCCGCATCCTCCGGCCCGATCCCTCCCTTCACCAAAGTCCCCTCCATACTCGAGCCCTTTGTGAAGCCCCTATCCTCCGACGAAGTATACCTGATCCATATCGATACAACAAATACCGATCAAAAATGGCAGACCTACCTTGTGCCCTTGGTCACGAACATAGCGATCACTATCGCCATCGCGATACGAGTCTACTTTGGAATCAGCACCTACCCAGCCCTCATCAAGGCCTTTTTTGGATTTCAAAGCCATCTCAGTGTAGATGAAGCTACTATCTCATGGTTCGAAATGATTGTACTCATCGTCCGCCGCACGGGCACCCTATTCTTCGACTACGTACTCGTGTTCCAGCTCCTGACCTGGCCCATCCAGTTCGTCTTGGGCCCTACCCACTGGCGCCGTGCCGTCGGATTCCAGGATCGAGAAATCATCGTCCGTCGCAGCAACTCCAGCTGGAGTCAGAAGCTCGAGCGAAACAAGTGGATCCGTGAGAACGAGGCCATGCGCGATAAGATCGTGGCTGCTGTGACGCCCGAACGCATCGGCAAGACCGGTACCCTGCTCATAGACGACGACTGGAATCTTGACTTCGACGCCATGGTTAACGCTCATTCGTTGGTTGGGCGTATCAGCAGGGGCAGGACTGATGGTGTGCAGCTGGACGAGTTCCGCACTGCGGTGCTGGTGCACACCGATGCCGATGGCTGGTTGATTTGGCGGGTCGGCGATGAGAACACCCCGGCCAACAAGAAGCGGTCGGCACAGCGGGATCAGATCATGGCGTTTCAGACCAGGCTCACTGCGATGGGCAAGGAGGATCTGTTCTTCCGCTGGGTCGAGCTAGTACAGTGGGAAAGCTCACAGCCTGGTGGTTTTACCCCGGAGAGGCAGAAATCCGCCATGGCCCAAGCGCAAAAGATGTTCGCTGAAGAGAATGTGGATTTCAGTGACTTTTGGGAAGAAACGGACGGAACGGATGGCGTTGAAAGCATGGATTCATGAAATGAATCTAGCATGTGCTAGGTTCAGTTGCACATCGTCTGGAGTTTGGGAGGGGGTTTCTTTTATACATTTCAATTTTTTTTTTCGCTTTTCAAATGCTCATAATTGCGTGATGTACAGTTTAAACGATTTCACAGAACTTGATTTATTGGTACATGAAACCCTTTAGCTGAGGTGCTCCTTGGCCTTGCCAGCTGCCTCGCTTGTCTTTCCCTTGGCCTTGCCCGCAAGCTCATCTGCTGTGCCCTTGGCCTTGCCTGCAGCTTCCTCGGCTGAGCCCTTGACCTTTCCTTCGTACTTGGGAGCATTCTTCTTGATATCCTCGGCCTTGCTCTCGGCCTCTTGCTTCACACCACCGACAGCCTCCTTCACCTTGCCAGCAACTTCCGCTATACCAAGAGATTTAAGTTAGCATGTGAATATGCCAGTTCAACAACTATAGTGGATACGTACAGCCCTTGTTGATACCACCAACTGCGGCATCGGATACCAATCGATCGGTTTTCTTGAGAGTATCCTTGGCCACATCAACAGGTCCCTTTTGAAGTCTAGCAGTTGATGAGATAGACCGAATAGCAATGGAGCTTGGTACGGATGAGGTTGCCACACGGGACTTGGCGAGGGTAACGAAGCGAACGGCAGACATGGTTGCGATAGGAGTGTAGAGTAGTAGATGAGGTTGTGGAAGTGTAGTGTAATGAAAGTTCCAGTTAGAGTTGAGTTATTTGAATGGCTTGAGTGTGAATTAAAGAGTTATTGTTTGTGGCCTGGCTTCGCATTTTATAGTGGAAATAGTTGGTTGTAGTTTGACTGGTTTCCGGCATCATCGACGTCATTGGCCTCACATTTCTTACGTCGATGATCGGTCACAATCCCGGCGAGAACCGCATGGGTACTTGAATGACCAGGTTTTGCTAATGTTTTACAATTTCCTGTTTCTAAACTCACCGTAGATCAGTACCAAGCCACTGGCATCGTTCGTCCTTGATTCTTGTCCAGTGATGGGGCTCTACGTCAAGCTTTAAACAGTGGGATCCACAATAGCTTTAAGACCCCGGATTTTCCAAGGTTGTTAATTTCGCATGAAAATATCCGATACTGCAGAATGTTCTATCCTTTTCCAGTTTCAACTGCATAATACTCAATCGACTCAATTATATCCATTGATAAACTCATGTGGTAATAGTTTTGCCATGCGAAAGTGCGAGTCGATCATGATGCCACTAAACCCCAATGTAAGCAACGAACAAGCGGGGAAATCATTTCCGCAAGAAAGAAGAAAGAAAAAAAAAAGAACAATCAAGACATACCTTTCCACAAGAAATCGGCTCATACAAAGCCGGATGCTCCTCATCAACACAACTAGGCACAACCCGACAAATCGAATCGGGATTAAACCCCAAGAAAAACGGCATCGAGTATCGCGACGTAGTCTGCCGATTATAAACCCGATGCACAGTAGACTTGAACCGATTATTCGAAAGCCTCTGCAAGAAATCCCCAATATTCACCACCAAGGTCCCGGCAATCGGCCGCGCATCGAGCCACTCATCATCACCCGACAGCACCTGCAGCCCACCTGACATATCCTGCCAGAGAAGGGTGACACATTGGATGTCGGTGTGAGAGCCGATTCCGACGTCTGTTTCGGCGTCTGGGGCGACGGGCTCTGTGGAGCCGGGGTAGTGAACGTAGAGACCGTCTGCGCCGGGGTTTGTGGTTACTTGGTCGAAGTAGGATTCTGGCATATTGAGGGCTAGGGCGAAGATGCGGATCATTTTGCGGGCGAGCGTGAGGCGGCGCTGCCAGAATTCGATGGTGGTTTCTTGGAAGCCGGGGAGGTGGGATGTGCCCTGCCACAGGGCGTCGTCGTCGCCATATGCGTATTTCTTATCTGCGAGGAGAGGTGTGGGGTCGGCGATTGTTGGGTCGTTGGTTGGATTGTAGCGGAGGGAGAAGGTTTCTTTCTTGTCTTAAAGGGATCGGGTATAAGTTAGCTTGTGAGGGGTGATATCTTGACCGTGGTCGATGAGCGCTACCTTTTGTCTCTCTCTTGTTAACTTGGGTACTTCCGACTCCATGGTACCCATTGAAATGGGTGAATTTCTTGTGAGAGACCAGGTCCTTCTGTTCATCTGTCTGGCTGAAGAATACTTTGGAATTTGCTAGAGCCTTTTCGATCAGGGTTTCTGGGATGCCATGGTTCTTGATGTAGAAAAAGCCTGTGCTCTCGGCTGCAGCCTTGACTTGGGATGCGATATTTTTCCGTGCTTCTAGATCGCCATCAATTCCGCCAATGTCAATGACAGGGATCTCATCTTGTGTCGGTAGTCTAGGTGGCGCGGTTGAGACTCGACGGAATTCCGAGCCGTGAATGGTGAGGAGTTCCACCTGAGTATATTGAGCCATGGGGGTAAAAAAGAAAGATCAGATGCAATGCATTTCATTGGAGAGGGGTATCAGGGATGTATAAAAAGGCGCTAGGACCCCGCTTTGTATCTGATAGTGATAGGGTTATCTAATCTATTACTATGTGTGTACCTTGCGTATCCGATAATAACAAAAGCGCGTGCTCTTATTGGTTTCTTTATCCTATACAGCATGAATACGGTATACTAGTACCTACTACTGGGGTTTTATACTTGGAAATTCTGCCCAGACCAGATCGCTCCTGATAAGACCAACTCGTCCGCATTGTGAATATTGTAAATGTAAATATCGGATTCCTATATCTTATCAGGAAGAATAGAAAGAATCAAAGACCACTAACGAGTACGTCTCTTATCAGCGTCAATTGAGTGGCGTGGCCCTAAATTCCTTGGAATCTTGGCTTTGGCTGTGGTTGCATTGAGATGTCTATGCTACTCTTGAACGTGTCCCCCCCCCCCAAAATTTACTGTTTAATGCTGTCCACCTCCCACATTCATTGACCTGGTGCAGGTTCCATATGAACCGTGGAAAATGGTTAAACTATTGCACCTCCACGAGGCACTGCTCGTCAAGAGCGTAGATCACGATGGAGTCCCGCGCCCCGTCGACATGCTCGACAACGACTCCATTCGTCCAATACCAGTCAAAGATCGCACATGGTCCCAACTCACCTACATAGTCTTCTGGTGGTCCGCCACCGCCAATGTCAGCAACTTGTACTCTGCTTCCACAGGAATGGCCATGGGCTTGACCATGTGGGAAGCTATCGCCTGCTCCTTCGGTGGCCAGATTCTGGCTGGGTGCTTGATGGCTCTTAACGGACGGGGAGGTGCCATGTACCGAATCCCATTTCCTGTTCTCTGTCGCTCGAGCTTTGGCTCTTGGGGTGCGCTGTGGCCAACATTCAATCGTGCTGCCATGTCGATTGTGTGGAACGGAGTTAATTCTGTCCAAGGGGCCCAGTGTTTATAGTACGTTTTTTTTTTTTTTACGTTCAGCCAGAGACCTGTGCATGCTTTCAAGGGATGTTTAGTATTAACGAACACCTAGTGTATTTCTACATGCGATCTTCCCTTCTATCGCGAATATTCCAGATAAGATGGGATCCAAGTCCGCCTTGACTTCAGCTCAAATGATGTGCTTTTTCATTTACTGGTATGTTGTGTCCAGCCACTTTCTCAACTCAGACGCATTTACTGATACCCAAGAAAGGCTGGTCAACTGCGCGTTTTTGCTTGTCCCTGTCCCAAAAATGAAGTCTCTTGTATACGCCAAGGTGGTCGTCTTCTTCGCCGCCACATTGGCCATGGTCGGATGGACTGTATCGTTGTCAGGGGGATCATCAAAATTCATACTCACCCTGCACTCCCCTTCAACAGTCCAAGGCACAGAGAAGAGCTATCTCATCTTCAAATTTTTCTTCCTGGGACTGGCAAGTTGCGGAACCTTCATTTCCAATGCAGCAGACATGCAACGCTATGCTCGAAAGCCCAATGATGTGATCATCGGCCAGCTAATAAGCTTCCCGGTATCGAATCTTCTCGTAGCTATCTTAGGCAACCTTATTGCCGCAGCTAGCAAGTCGATCTTTGGAGAGGTATGATACTAGTTTACTCCCCATACCTTGATGGGCTCAGCCAGCTAACAGTTGATAAACACAGCTGATCTGGAGCCCTTTGACCTTCCTCGACAAATTGATGGAAGGCGAGCGTTATACCCATGGCAACCGGACAGCCTGTGCTTTCATCTCGCTCGCCTTTGTCTATTCCACGGTATTCTCTGCGATTTTCGAAAATTCAATTCCGTATGAGCTTGCCCCTTCCTGACAGAATAAAAATGTCTGAACTAACCATTCTCAGCGCCGGAAATGACATCGCGGCTTTGATGCCCCGATACATCACAATCAAACGAGGATTCTTTATTTGCGCCGGTACGAGCAAGATCCCTTTTCTCTTCTTTCCCATCTCAACTATCAATGCTAATAACAGTCTCTAGTTCTCTCCTATGCAATCTGCCCATGGTATCTGCTCTCCACCGCCGCAATCTTCATCACATTCCTATCATCGTACCAGATCTTCCTGTCCGCCATCGCAGGTATCTTAATCTGCGACTACTATCTTATTCGTCGGGGCTATCTTAATATCCCGGCGCTTTATACCGCACGCCCGGAGAGTCTGTATCGATACTTCCACGGATTCAATCCGCGGGCTTTCATTGCATATCTCATTGCAGTGGCGCCTAATTTTTACGGATTCCTCAATCAGATGGGCGTCAAGGCCCCGTTGGGAATCCAGAGATTCTACTATATTGCCTACCCGACTGGCCTGTTGGTTGCGTTTGGTGTGTATTATTTCAGTTGTCTGGTTTCAGCGCCTGCTGGAATGGAAAGGTCTGGGTGGAGAGAACCTAAAGATTACTTTGATGAGAATGACCTGATGAGAGAAGAGAGCATGCCAGTTGTTCTTGATGGAGTGGTAGCTGAGAAGAGGGTTATGACTGCTTCTAAGGAGGTTTGATTCGACTATGATACGCCTGAGCAAATCATTATGCTGGGCTCAGGATTGCTCGTGTCCGGATAATCAACTCAACGTATAATCATATGATGTATCGCAAATGCCCAGCAGGTACCCGGAAATGCATATCTACTAGTAGTTATGTGTATGCTACATACACAGCCTTGGAGGGGAAAAGAAGGTCTAAACCTCTACATATCATCTATAAAGGATATCGAGTTTGATTCAATGATGTATGATTTATGGAACCGAAATGAAACCACCACCTCAATCACATGCTTTATGAGCAACACCGTACATGCACATTGACACTCGGGTCTTTTAAAGCTTTTATGACAATCAATAGCAATCAATCTTCTCAAAAGCACCACAAAAACTCCACTGCTCTAATAAACCGATAGACAGTGTATGCAAGAAAAACAAGACTGGTATGTTATGATACGGAATAGCAAGGTACCAAAGGAACAATAAAAACACGGATATAATGCAGGTAGAACAGTATAAGAAAACATGGTATAAGGAACATTAAAAACACTGAAACAAAAAAAAGATAATAGATCATGCAAACCGTACACCTAGGCCAACATAGTCGGGACGTGCAGGTGAACTGCCACTTCGCACACGCCTCACATACGGCTCGAGCTGTGGAGCGGGTGCAAATACGTGTCCGCCCTCTTGAACCAACGGACCAGAGATATTAGGATGGTAGAGCTCGTATGTTGACATATTCTGAGGAATCTGTAGTCGAATCGACTCCGATAGCCGCTGGCGAGGATCCCTCACATCAACACGATGACTACCAAGTTGAAGCATTTGCGCAGGCTCCATCTCTGGATCCCATTCAGGCTTCATCCCCAGCATTCGCTCATCCACCGAGCCTACTCGGTGGGCTTTGTATCCCTGCGGAACAGGGTATAGTAGATCCGACTGAAGAGCGCTGTTGAAGACGGGCACCTCGCCAGCCCAGCTGGATCGTTCGCGAAGTGTCTGCTGTGATCCGATCATTGGTGTGGCGCTCCGCGAAATCTCGGCAAACTCAATTGGTCCCTGGAGGCCGGGGATGGGAGAGAAGCGTGGGGGGTACCGGACTGGTTCTGTGGCCCAAGATTGGGTTGAGTAGCCGGATGATGCACGCGAGATGGCATCAGGCCCGCGCCGGTCGTTAAATTGTGATATTGGGGCATCGGATGGTAGGGAGAGGGGGAATGAGCCCGGCATCATTGCGGATGGATGGGCAACTGATGCAGACTGAGCTTTGGGGATATATATTGGGTCAGAGACCATTTGTTGTTGCCGTAAACGGCTTGGCCTTGTGATGGTAATGTCATTTTCGTATGGAAGAGGTGGACCATATGGAATACGAAGGGCGGGAGTACTCGCCGAGAGGTCTCGTATGGGCTCAAATGCTGCGAGTGAAGCACGACGAGAATTGAGTTGGGAGTTTGGTGCAGTGTGTAGATCTAGCTCGCGCAGTGGCTGGCTGAGATAATCACGTCCAGGGTCACTGTAAGTTGATCGATTTAGAGGCTCTGAGAGAAGCTCTTGTGGTGCAAGCTCATGTGAGAGTGGTGAAGCAAACATGTGAGTTCCCAGACCGCTAAGAGATTCCACAGATGATTTGATATGCATTCCAACTGGGTCTGCTCCTCGCCGCGAAGGCATAGAAGCTGGGCGCCTTGGCTCAGTCTCAAGTATATGGTGAGCGACAACACTAGCATAGGTTGGACCGTCATTTTCGTTCCCAGTTGGTAGAGAACTCGACTTCGGTTTTATATTTTCACGCATTGCTTGACTACCGCTAGCCCCGCGGACTGCTGCGAGTGCTTTCTCGGCAGCCGATGCTAATATTGCAGAGCTGCCCCCCTCATCCGCGGGATGGCGGCTGGATGATCCTCTTCCTTGAACATTTGATACTGTGACCAGTGGAATGGTTGGTTTGGTACTTCTAAGCCGACGAGGACCTCGATTACGTCGCTTTGGCTGTCTTTGCTTCAAGAAATGCGATTTCGATTGACGATCAACCACCTGCCAATCCTTATTCTCATCTGGCCCCATAGGAGGAGTAGAGGATAGAGCTGAGTGCTTTGGCTTTTCAGTAGCTTGGCTCATCTGTGACAGTGCCGGAGAAATACGAGGTGCCACCTTCGCTTCTGCGTCTGTTTCATACCCTTCCTCCGACTCATAACCGGGCCGCCGAAATATGTGAGGAGGGAATAAATCCAATTTAAACCGCGGTGGGGCAACTATTGCTTCAGGAGACTCCGTCCGAGCAGACCCCGAATCATTAAACCCCCAAGTTGACTCCCGTGAAAGACCCTCATCCGCCGAGGATTCGGGGAATGATGATGACGAGCTGCTTGAGCGATCAAAGACGGACTTTTGATTACCTCGACTTTCTTGCGACGAACTGGGCGACATACGATCAATTGCATTGCTAAGGCTTCTCCTCAGTTGCCGTAAGTTGTCTCGTGCCTCGCGAAGATGTTCTGCATGAACACCAGATTGTCTTTTGGGGAATAGCTCAACCAGTCGAGAAGCATGGGTTTCATACTCCCGGTAATCACGAACCAGCCCGCAGTCTTGATAGTGAGTCATTCTCTCTTGGGCAGCCTCCCAGGATTTGCATAAAAAACGGATAGCAAGAACTAGCCACGAGTCGTAGAAACCGGGGTCATCTCTCACCGTGGGATCCTTGGGTTCCTCGTCTCGGATTCGAAGTTCGTCTCGGCAAAATCCCTGTACCACACTATGGATCTTAATGACATCAATAGCTGAATTTCCAGGGTAAATGGAAAAAAAGCCTTCTTGGCTGCTTTCCGTCAGAGACTCGGTGAGTTCGGGAATAGGCTTGACCTCTCTGTGCATCTGCTCGCCGGACTGTTGCGCGGAGTTGTTTTGCACGAAGAATGGATCTGAATCCGTGATTCGCTCAATTAATCCATAGTGAATCAGTGTTCCCAGTGTTGTATCAAGATCAGGGTCTTCTCCAGGCTGGGCGCTGCTCAATATTTCGGCGTTCACACCAGACATGGCATGTTTCCCAAAATTCAGAAGACCCACAGGAACTTGATGACCCAGAAAGGAAAGCAGATTAATAAGATTCAAGGCCTCCCTTTTATGCAGGCGATATAGATCATTCATGATGCTGAGAAATGGCTCCGCCAACTTTTTATCCGTCACCTGGTGCTTGACGTGATACCTTTCGATCGGCTTGCCAGTTGCGTTGAGACGGTGACCGATCGCATGTATGGCCAAAGGCAAGCAGTCGTAGTGTGTAACGATTTCCACGGCCCGAAGAGCCTGCTCCTGTGTGGGCTTTTTGATCCCAAGATCTTTGTAGAGAAGCTTGCAAGCATCCTCAACTTGTAATGGACGGATAGAAAGACAGTATGGCTCAAACAGCCGTTGCTTTTTTCGAAGGGTGGTGTCAATAGAGGTGTAAATGATGCTACACTTCTTTTGCCACGGAAGAAAAGATCGAAAGTCATTAATGTCGACATCATGATCGAATGTGATGCCGTCAAAAATCAAAAGCCACTCTTGGCGTGTCTGAAGCCAATTTCGAACGGCGCTCACGTATGTCCGGGCTTCTAAATATGCTTGATCTTCAGCGTCTTGGCGTTCTATCAGTCTGGCTGCTTGAGCAATCTCCCAGAAACATTTATATGCTGATTCGCGAGACTTGGCGTCAATCCAAAACACACCTCCCGGGTAACATTCGCGCTGCACGAAGACATACTGCCGTGCTAGATGAGTCTTGCCTGATCCTGGCACTCCAGAAATTAGGACGGCCATAGCTCGATCCGCACGTGCTTTGGCCTTGAACAAGCGACTATGCAGTACCTCTAGTTCCTTTTGCATGCCAAAGAAAGTGGCGTTGGGATGGAATCCTGGAGGTGCGACAAAAAGCTGAGGGTCTCGATGAGAATAATGCGAGAATGAAAGTACTCCACTATCGCTCATATCTGATACAGGGGAATTTCGGCCTTCAGTAGCAGGAGCACGGGGAAGAGCCGGTACCGATTGACCTATAACAAAGACAGTCAGCCAATTGTCTGACTTCAAAGTGTGCGATGAAGATTTGAATGATATCAGCTCAATTCTTGAGAGCAGAGATGGGAGCCACCCCGAATGAAAGAAATCAATCTAAGATACACAAACTGCAATACAGTGATCACATCAAATTGAATAACCATATGTTCAAAAAAAAAAACCAACAAAAGTAGAATACCAAGAAAGACATGGGTAAGTGCCTGAAAATGTAGCCGAGCAAGGTCATCGGTGGAGAATCTTGAGCAATTATTCAAGTATTCGAGCTCAGAGACAGCAAATAGCAAAGCCATCAATAAGACGGTGTGATCACCGAGACGGGTGCAATAGAATCAGAAACAATGCTTCGCCTCTTTTGCTTCCGAGAAAATCCAATAAGGATTTATCGTTCAATAATAGCACATAATCAAACTATTGCTTCAAACGGCAGGCTCCTCAATCTCATAGTCCCGTAACGTCACTGATTCACCCGGTGAAGGAAGAAGGCGTGTCCTACCAATAGTCAAGTTCGGTGTGCTTTGAGCCAGGGAATCCCCATCTAGTCTGACTGAGCTGGTCAGCATATTTATTGTGCCTGGCATATCTGGCATCTCAGTCTTACCGTCATAAATCTCGCGAGCCTTGGCCTTCATCTCCATGGTGCGGGTCGTCCTCTCCGAGACCCAGCGGTCCCCGATCAAGGCAGGAGCTTGGCGAGAGTATCGCAGAAGAGCTTCAGCAACAACCTCATAGCCCGCAGCGTTCTCGTCGTCAAACTTGCACATGTGACTGTGATCCGCTTCAATTCCCATGCGCTCCACACCCTCTATATAGGGTGCGGCAGATGCCTCGTCCACGATAATCTCCCTTGTGCCTCGAACGTCGGTCGAGCGGGTTTCATGGAAGAAATAAATGTGGAAGCGACTAAGGATATCCGCGAATAGACTGTTGATATGCTGCAATGTTTCGTTGTTGGTACGCAGCGCTTTGACCAACTGCGGAGAAGACTCCATGAATTTCTTGGGCAGAACGGCGGAGCATATGTTGTGCAACAATAGACCCCATTTGGCAATATCAGAACCGTTATGTGGTGTACCGAGGAAGAGAATGCCAAATGTCGATACGTAAATGGAACGAAGGTGTTCGGTCCGTTCGCTCGACAAGCTTCGGCAGTAGATGAGCGCACGCTTGACCACGAGGCCACCTAGTGAGTGGCATATGAAGATAATCGGCCGGTCGGAGCAGTCACGGAGGTTGCGATTAGCCGCCAAAGTGGAAGCCAAGGTCTCCGCGTGACTTACGATCGAGTCACGGGAGGCTCCATCGGTGAACGCAGTAACGTTAGCATTGTATCCGTAGGTCAAGATACGTGGGCGTTGAGAAGCTAAAACCTCAGGCAAAAGATCGACAGGCCAGAAACAGTTAGTTGTCTTGCTGGTCCATGAGTCATGAGGGTGACCGTTGAGGCCATGAACGAAAATAATGTCCACGGTGGGGTCACCACGCGGGGCGTAGACCTGTGTCAAGCCAAATGGCTTAAAGGGACGAGGTTCGGTCATTGTAGATCAGATTAGCACAGGGCCATAGTACAGATAGAAGCAAAGCAAAGGCGAAATGGTCGAGGTATAAAGAAGGCGGAAGATAGTGCGGGGAAGAGGAATGATTTTATAAAGGGTAGCTGCAGGTGATCTGGTTCCCCTGACCTATTCAGATGACAAGTCAACACTGGAGCCCTGAAGAGCTATGCAGTGCGTACCGTACGGAAACTCGATTCAGGTCCCCTGATCCACCCCAAGATCGAACAGGCGCCACGGGTGTGGGTGGATCTCGTATGACCCATACGGATACCCCGTATTATTCCAGAATCAGCCCTGCAGATCTATAAGTAGAATTGTTAGGGTACACTGTTACCCTGGTGATAAAATCTGTTAGTGAAAGTTCCGTGGTATTCTATTCAGCCTTGACAACCCTTCAATGGTTTTCTTTCTATACTATAAAAAATACCGGTGCCTGCAGGAACCCTGGTATTTCCAGGCCTAAGGCGAAATTCGGGGCATCTGACAAAAAGACCAGGATCTAGCCGCATTGGTAGTGACTCATATTGTAGCATGTTTCATCTGAAGTCAGCACTTGAGTACCGGCAACCTATTGAAGCCCCGTCAACCTTGGAACCTGCAGGTGACATCTTCAAATGTTCAGACCCACGAACCACATATAGAGTTGGCGGCTGGCTTATTCGTCCCGTTAACGGGGTTAAGCAATCTGCATAGATCGATCTATCATTTAATCTTACTCACATCTATACGTGTAATGAGAGAATATTGAGTGGTTTTTTTAGACAAAAATAAACACAATGCTCGTATTGGGGCGAAGTTTCATGCATCATGCAGGCAACCGGACTAAACGTGGCTATACAAAACCACCGGCCCGGGCAACATCATTTCCCGTGCCCGAATCAAGTGCATCTCTGGAAGATCCACGATCCAAATTGACATGTCCACACGGGACTTTGGATCCAAGGCTCACTCAAGAAGAGGTTGGTAGATATCCAAGGGCGAGAAGGCTGCCCAGGTGTAAGAATACTGGTAGGGGGTGATGTTGCCAAGTGAGGCAGAGATAATATTGACTGATCACTTGACCTTTGATGTCGCAGTCCCTACTAGTCACAGTACTACAAGGCAGACCAGCTCTAGCAGAAGTTACATCATAGTAGTACTATGTATAGTAGTATGTAGTAGTACTTTAGCCATATGTAGACACGGTTAGGTAGTGAGTTGTAGGGCAGCCCATGGTTATGTTATACATCTACTTTCGTATTACTATCAAAGCTCCTTTTATGTAGCATTATATCCAAAGCGGAACCACGGGAGAGATACTATCATGCACATGTTGAAATGTTTACCGTCCTCGGAAAGCAGGCTTGCGCTTCTCAGCAAAAGCGCGCAGCGCCTCATACCGATCCTCGGTCTCGATAACGCCCTCATAAGCCCGGTTTTCAGAAGCCTCGCCCATCGGCGAGCCCTCAACGGCCAAAAGCGCCTGCTTAATGGCAATAGGTCCACCCTCACAGATGTCCAGCGCCAACCGAATGGCCGCCTTCTCAACCTTCTCACGTGCAACGCCCTCTTGTGTCGCCTCCTCGGGCAAGATCTCCACCAGACGATCGCACAGCCCCATGAAATAGGCCTCCGGGCCTGTCACCCGGCGCCCGGTGAGAATCATATCGCGCGCCCGGTTCATACCAACCAACGCAGGCAGTCTGTAAGTTCCACCGGCACCGGGGATAATCGCGAGACGGGTCTCCGGGAGACCGACCATGCAGGAGGAGCCGAAAACACGGAGGTGAGTGCAAAGGGCGAGCTCAAGACCACCTCCCAGAGCCATGGAGGAGATGGCGGAGATAGTAGGGACCTGGAGGTTTGCGAGGACTTTAAAGGTGGTGCGGAGGTCCAAAAGGAAATCTTCAGTCCTGTTGTGTTTTAAGCGTCACAGATTAGCAGGGGGGGGGGATTGTTTTTTGGATTGTTTTTTTTTTCATGGATGGTCATGGAAGGCACGGTTCTTACTCGGCAGGTGACATTTTGGCGCGCTCTTTCAAATCTGCGCCCGCGCAGAATGCAGCATCAACGTTGCTTGCTACTACCAAAGCACGCGTGGGGCCATTGCCTTCCTCCGCGGCGATAGACTTGACATGCTGCGATAGACTGTCGAGCAGCTGACGGGAGATGGCATTTCGGGCGCTAGGTCGATTTAGCTGCAGCACGCGCACATGTCCAGATCCTGGTGCAGGGATCTGCTGGATCTTGATGACTTCCTCGGAGCTGGTGCTGTACTGCGAGATGAAAACCCGGGTCGTCTGGGTCGCGGTCCGGCGAGAAAAGGTGGTGAGGGGGGTAAGTCGGGCGATTCGAGGCGCCAGTGCGGATGCCATTGTCCGGGTCAGTTTAAGCGGTCGATGTTTCTCTCGATCACAGGGTCCGAGAAGGTGTGTGGACAGGGTGTATGATGGTGATCATAAAATGCCGTGAAGTTTGCGATCGGAGCTGCGGATGTGGGGAAGCTCACTGGGGCCGACGATTGCCGAGCTACAACTTCTAGATGTTTTAGTCTACTACTGCTGCCAAGGTAAATCATGTACTATTTGTTGTAAATGGAGGTCTCGAATTCAAAATGGGTATCACAATTCATTTAGATCTATGTAAAAGTTACAGTATTGTACAATATTCCTGGATGTCCACATTACTGGGCCACTCCCAACCCACTGTCCGGCTGACAATGTCGTATGCCTCCTGCACTTTGTAGTCCGATGCTACTAGTATCTGATCGCTAGTGGTATACTGCGGGTGTAGCTTCTCCAGGTGCAGCCGGATCGCCACTAGGGTCTGGCGGATCATTCGTTGGCCATTCAGACGGTCCCCAGCAAGCTCATTCAGCAAATCAGCTGATTGACTCATCCACCTTAACAAATGTAACAGGCCATCATCATCTCCTACAATTCCCATGGCCCGCACATAACTGTGAATCGTGGCGTATGATGGAACATGTAGCAGAGACGGCATACCAAGTGATGATTTGGTCTTGTTCTCTAACTCAAAGATGCTTCTTTCTGCTATACTGGATGTTTTCGTCGAAGTAAGGACCAGCTGGTCAAAATGAGACTTGAGAACCGACAGTCCATTCTGGATCAAAAAATCGAACGAAGTTTCTTCTCGGTCCTCGATATTTGAATGGCTGGTCAAGTACTTGAAAGCCTTCTTCACCTTTTGAGGATGTTTGATGCCAGCATCAACAGCTCTGTAGAATGTCACACACAAAGCTTGAAAGTCGTCAGGCCCAATTTCAATATTGTGAATTCGCATCCAGTTCAACAATGATAACGTCCCGTGCCATGCCAATATGGCAAGAAGACTCCTATCACCCGCTCGTCGTACATTATCCTGACGAGTAAGGGCAGAAAGAAGGTTATGCCAGGCTAAGCCACAAGGTGGTTGCCGTGCTCTGACCAGTTGAATAGCATGTCGAAGGGTCAGTGGGTAATCAGGATCCGTATCCAACTCCATGTTATCATCCCACTCCAAGTTTTCTGTAAGAATTGCACGGTATTCTGCAAGATTTGCAACGGGTGAATTGGCTTGGTGTTTGATCACTGACTCTTCAGACGGTTGGTCGGGTATGAAAACGTTCGCCGCGAATGAGGTAACTGTTGTCCCCCAGTATCGACATAAAAATTGAACAAATGAACCGAATAAAATGTCCGATAGCGACTCGAGTGCCTTGAGATGATGCTTCTGGTAATCTGTCGACTGATGCCACACGGTACACAGTGCCAGAATCTGATCACTTCTGAGGACGCTACATTGTAGATAATCTATTCCTGAGGAGAAATCTTGAGCAGATTGAAGAAGTAACGCGAGGAGTTTTTCAGAGGCGCGGAATCCCTGCGAGACCATCTCGTCCAGGAAATCGTTCAAAGTCGGTGGCTCTTTGCGCACATAGATGATGTCTCGAGCAGAAGCCGGTTCGGGGTAGACCTCTCGCCCATCACCTGGTAAAGCAGAGTGATCAGTCAGATCAGTTTTGCTACGAACCGCATTTTGATGAAAGATCAATTTTTCGGCCATTGCAGCATAAATGGAAGCGGTCGGAGGTAAGCCGTGGTCTTGATAAGACAAAAAGCAAGCCCAGGCCTCACGCAGGGTCCTAGTAGCACGGATTCGCACAGTCCACAGCACTTGGTGATTACCAGTATAGTCATGGAGAGCCAACGACAAAGAACGACGGTTTCGAAGGGCTAGAGCTCTTGTTTGCACCGTGGGACTACCATCAGTATCCCAGCCTGCTAGGATGGCAGTTGCGTCTTCCCAAAGTCTATGAGAATAACCAGCTTCTTTCATCTGGGACAACACATTCATTGCGCGACTGTAGCGGCCCTCGTTGCCTCGTTGAGCATCGATACCAAGTTTTTCCTCTTTCCAAGGGGGCCATGAGGGGGCCTTTAATTCAGCGGACTGCCGCTCATCAATCGTTTTCTTTTGAGCCAGCTGGACTGCGGCTACAGCTCGGTAGCCCATCCGTGTCACGGGGATTACAGGCTTATGAGTGGCCATGGCCCTTAGAAGCTCAAATTGAGCCTGTTGTTGTATGAAGGCTGATCGGAATGGATGGACTTTTGCCGGTAGCGAGAGCGCCCAGAGACACTTGTTGAAAGTGCGTGTTTTGACCGGGTCCGAAATTCTTTTCTGAGGCTCGTTCAAATAAGATCTCGTCAAAAAGCGAGAAAATTCACGTGCGATGGCAGGGAGCGCTTCTGGCCAGACCAGTCGAGCATGTCGAATCAAGCGGAAAACAAGCCTCGTACATGTACTTGAGTCAAGTTTGGTTAATCTAGAATGGGTTTTTGCAAGTCCCACCAAAGGCGTATTCCTTTCCAAAATTTCGAGGTCGTTTATAGTCGGCAGTGGTTCGCCGCTCATGAGGTGCAAAGAATGAATCAATAGCAGTCGAAGGACATATGGTTCCAAGCGTGGCTTTCTTAACAAGAATAATGTTATGAAGGACGGGACTCTGGGACCTTCTGCGCAAGCAGTCTGGGTTTTGCAATCAGCTTCAAGAATAAGTATTCGAGAAGCTGCACGTAGAAGGTCACGGCTCGTCAAAACCCAAGCCCATGCAGCCACATCTTTGGCGTCGTGGCCTCGGCTTCTCAGGTATCGGTAATTGCTCTCTCGGAATACGCCCCTGATGGCAATGTCTAGAGCATTTCGATTGCCACGTTTGATATTGTCCTGTACCAGCGGTTCCACCAACTGAATGTATTCCCCTAGTATTTTTTGTAAACGTGGTCTAGGGTTTGGGTGCGTTCGAGACACTGTTCCCGGAATGACAGGGCCTGTAAATGCAGCTCGTCGTGAGAATCTGCTAGCCCCAAGTGCATATCCTGCTCTTTGAAGAGATTCGGCAAGGTAAACGGATGGAGTCGATTTTTTACGGCATTTTCGGATAGGGTTTCGTCTGTTGTAGGCATGCGCGTTTCCTAGATCTTGCGGATCTTGTGCCGGGTACACAGACGACTTGAGTGACTCAGCATGATGTTTCTCCTGCCTCTCAAACTCAATCTGTGCTACTCGTGATCTGAAAGCTTGGAAAGGTCCGGAGTGGAATGAACCTCGAATGCCTCGTGGGTTCTGTTGCAGCAGATCATTGCAGTGATATCTAGGGGGGCATGTGTCACTGTATAAGCTCTGAAACAAAAGTTCTGACTTTAGCGATAGTATTTCAGCTTGTGGATAGTTAATTCAACATACCTGGCGACATGGGTAGCGACGCCTTTGCGCGGCTCTTAAAGAGGGTACCCCCGAAAGGCCTCGAACATGATTGAGAGCCGATGACATCCATGAATATAATCATAGAGACACCTTTCCCAGAGCTAAGTACTCTAGTCAGGCGTCAAAATATCCTCCCTCGCACTGGAAAAAGATAGAGGGCAATGACATTGGTTTATCAAAACAAGAATCCAAGAGTTTTTGGATTGTGACGGCAGAAAATGGATACAGGTCACGTGTCGACACATTTCGGGCAAGCGCATTCTGAGTCTCACGAAACGGTATCGCCCTCGTCCTTCAATCCTCAATACTTCTGTATTCACAGCAACCAAAATAATTCGCTCGGGGCGGTAAATTGGTCCATTGTACCTCCCCACTATAACGTCTTTTCTCTTTCTTACTCCTCCTACATTGGTTCAACCCCAACTACCTGAACTCCTACGTGTTGTTCCTCCCCCGTCAGTCGCGATTTCATCCTTTCTTGATCCTGTCGCGGGCCTCACATCAAGACTCCTCGGACCACCAGTCGCAAACAGGACCACACTTTACTCACAACCCCGAACGACCATTGATCCTTAGGCATCCGGTCGCAAGCTCCTGGTTTTTCCCTCCAACATACCAGGATCCCTCAAGACCTTGTCTGCATTAGTGGAGACCGCGCGCGCCAAAGGAAGTTCTGACAACCCTGACCTCCCGCGTACTCCCCCACAATGAGCGCCGACGAGGCCGGAGACCCCAGAACGATGACTCCGATAAATGGTGAATCCCATCCGGAGTCGACTGCGACCGCGACTCCGGGTAAAAGGAAGCGTTCTACTCAGGATGAGAATTTGACTATTGAGGCTGCTTCAACCACATCGCGTGACAGTATTCTTCTTCACGAAAACCTTCGAACCCTTGTTGGTCTCCTTTTGAAGTAGGTTAAGTTATCTTTAGGGGAGTATTGTTTAGGGAGGATTTACTGACAAATTGACAGACATGACACCGAACTCCAGCTCCTTTCTTGTCCATTCCCCACGTCGGCAGCCAAGCCTCGGGCGAAACGCGCCAAAACATCGGGTGAACAAGACACATCCAACATCCAGACACGGGTCGAGTCAGGCCGTTACAATACCCTGCAGGAATTTCTAAGCGATATTGAACGCGCTTCCGCTGCAGTTATTGAGCGCAATCAAAATCAGACAAATGGAGCAACCACCGAAGGAGCTCCTGTCACGGAGGTGGTCAATCGCATCGCCGCTTTTAAGAAACATATGAACAGCCTTGTCGGTCAATCTTTCATCAATCAGCCTGACGTTAAGGCTGAGACACTAGACGATGATGAGGACGATCAACTTCAGTCTACAGTCTCACATATCGGCGCTCGTGAGGACAAACAGGCATTGACTTTGTTTGGCGGAAATCCATCACACCCGAAACAGTTGTTCTCTAGTTTGCAAAAATCCGTCAAGGTACCGTTGCAGTCTTCTGAGCCTGGCGCGGAAAAGTTTGTGGAGGTGCAAGAACCCCTTCGTGAAGGTGGACTGCCTAATGGCATGGCGACCACTCGAGTGGTTCCTTTCAATGTCGAGTCCACTGCTCCAAGGCCGAGAACATTTGGGGAAGTCTTTGCACCCCGTTCAGGCTTGCCTCCTGTGGAACCTCGGAAGCGAAGTAATCGAAACGCAGTCTCTTGGATTGACCCATTCGATCTCGTCATGGATATCAAGAACTTTTCGGGCGAGAGAAGCAACTCGGCCCTCGTGCCGCATCACTCGGGGCAATGGCTGCAATATGGCGGAATATCATCATCACCTTCCTATTGGTCTCGTGTTGAAAAGCACCGTGAGGATGCTGCCAACATCGGAATAAAGTATGCGGACCCTGCTCTCTGGACTGGTGATGACTCCTCCACTCTACAGGGCGTTTACTCCTCGTTTGCCCCAACATTTGACAGTGACAGGGCTGTTATACAAGCTGATGCAAAGAATATGATTTGGTGGGGGCAACGAGGCGCTAGACGTTTTCGTAACTGGCTATCTCTTGCAACCCCACAAGGCGACACGCAAGATGATGTAGATCTCGAAGCTATCAATAATATCGATGACAACATGATTGATGAGATGATTAACTCTGCCAAGCCGAAAGACTATTCTGAATATCTCGCTCAAACCGAGGTGTCACCCAAGGAACCTCTGGAATCGAGGCCGATCGACGAGGTTCTCGCAGAGGTATCACACTTGCTAGAGACCCTGGCTTCCTACCAAAATATCCGCAAAAACACAATACCTTCTGCCACCGAACATCTTGAGTCAAACGAATCACCTCTACCAGAATTCGATGACCTAGATACTCCATCCGATGCTGAGAGGGCTGTTTACGATAACCTCAGGTCAAAATTGGTTGCCATTATCAGCACTTTGCCTCCATATGTCGTTGCGAAGGTGAATGGTGATCAATTGGGCAAACTGAACATCAGCCAGAAGATCATAATTGAGAGCCCCGACTGGAAAGGCACAATGGAGAAAGATGATTACACGCTTAGCCAAGAGCGTGCTGCGGCGATCGCTGCTCAGGCTAATGCCGCTAACCGTGCTTCAACGCCATCATCGACTCGACCCAGCAGTTTCCAACCTTCTCACTCGGCGTACAACCAGCGCTCTTACAATTCTAACGCTCGTATATCTCAATCGCAAGGGGCCTTCCAAGTACCCCAGCAAGCTCGTCAACCCTCTTCGACCGGATCATTTACTCCGCCTTATGCAGGGGGTCGAGCAACCCCAGGCACTCCTTCCCAACGTCCTGGTTACGGCGCTCAATTTGCGCAAACAAACTCGCAATACAGCCAAGCCAACAACGTACCCCAGTTCCAGCGTCCTGCTTCCAATGGATTCACACCCCAGCCACAGGCCTATAATACTCCAAGGCCTGGGCAGGCGGCTACATACAACGCCACTCCTCAGGGACGCACACCCAATCCCGTCGCTGCCTCGGCTCAACGATTTCAGTATACAAATCAAGCCCCGTCACAGGCCTATTCAAACAGCGCTGCCGCCGCAGCATATGCTCGCAGTGCGGCTGACCAGGCTACCATGATTGACAGGACCAAGGCCCAAACACCAGCTCAGTCACAACTTGAAGCTCGCCATTCCCAAGAGGGTAGCTTGACACCTGGAAGCAAGCAAAATGGCACTCCCATTCAGTCATAGGGTATACATTTCCTTTCACGCTTTTTGATTTGCACATGAGCTATGTTCTGAGGCTTGAAAAAAAAGTTTCTCTAATGCCTCTAATTTGTTTGCAACTATGTCTTTGCCTTGATTCCTGTTGGAATCCACTTCTTTTTCGTGTTTGAACATGCCTTCACGGGCCTACGTTGTTCTTTACTCACATCCCCCTTCACTGTTTTTAATGGTCTTTGCGAAATCATTTTTGTGGGCTCATTCGGTTTTGTTTCTGTTTTCCTCCGGTGTTGTGTTGAAATGACTCGAGCGACTGGCGCCTGTGTGCATGGTTTCTTATTTCTCCAAGAAGGCGCGGGGGGCATTGGGGGTGGTAGTATGGACTGTCCGCTTAAAGTGTCAGTCTAGATGTGAAGAATATTGCTTTCCAACGTTTGCTTTAATAACATTCGTACTCTATACTGTATTTTACTCCAATCTACGTTGAAGAATGGAATTACTGCAGACTTCTTTTTTTCATGATGAATCTGATTATACGTTCGATGAAACGCGAATGTTTTCGATTTAAGCCGGAATTTATTTCATTTATTGATAGTTGGTACATGGAACTAAAACACGCATTCTTCCCAAACACCTCAATCCTGATGCCCTCGCCTCCATCCCATGCCATGCCATGGCGCACAGGTTCAACCTTTTGCCGATTCGCAGTAAACCGACATAACAAACTGATCTTCCAGTAAAACACAAAGGGGGGAAACATAGGAAAACCAGATCCTTGATATAAGCGGAATTAGAACACGAGCAGAGAAGGGAAACAAAATTCGTTCAAAAATGACACATTGGAGAATACAATTCATTATTCATCAAGCTCTAAAGACGGCATTGGCCAAAGCTAGGGAATGAACATCGCAGCAATAGCCATAAAACCAAAATACCTAAGGTCAAAATATCAGTATTGCGTTCTGTTTTCTGTTTTCTGTTTAGATCACCAGCGAGGAAATTCTTACAGTGTGGCACATCTCCAGCCATCTCTCGAATCAACGAGAGTGTCGATACCGGCCGAATAATTCGCTGCAACCGCAGCTGCGGCACCGCCAACAACCGTGACAACGACAAGGCGTCCAGAAAACTCTGCGATCATGCTGAATGCAAGCAGGGGAAGTAAAAGAGCCCCCGAAGCGACCATGATGGCCATGTAGACGGGAGCAGTAGCCGCAGATGCCGCGAGGCGGGGTGTGAGAGATACGAGGTCGACGTCTTTATCCAGGAAGCGGGTTTCAGCCGCGGCGATGGGGTTGTGTGTTTTCATCCAGGAGCGGTAATTTTGGATATCATCGCCTGTGGCGCGGGGAAGAGTTTGAACTACTTTGCTGTATGCGCTGAGGGCGTTATCTGTAGGGTCGGTTGTTAGATAGGAGAGTCATTTCGAGCGGCTTGGATAATAAACAGTAGGGACTGACTATATTGCTCTGTCTTCTGGATCAGGGCTGCCATTAGATCCATTCGCCTGTAATGCAGTTCCGGATAAGACTGGGTCTGTATGTCTAGACGACGTGCTGCGGGTAGGGGCTTGTTGCCTTCTTTCTCGGCGGTGGCGATCCGCTGCAGGTGCTCATACTCATCCATTAATTGCAGGTCTTCCTCCATCTGAGAAATCTCGTCTTGGAGGTGGAGTAGAACGCGGTGATTCAACTTCTCAAAGCGTCGGTACAACGGAGGGAATGCTCCCTTGTCGTCTGTGGCCGAATGGGTCAGGTGTGATGCCATCAACTCATAGCCCGACGATACCTGCGAGGCATTTGATTCTCTTCTCTGTAACGCACGGTGTATGCTATCCTCGGGACTACTCGGCGGAGAGGGTGGCAACGGCGACCTTTGAATGGCAGTAACATCTCTTGAGTAAAAATCTTCCGGTGGTGATATCTTCAAATTGCGCTTTCGTGGGGGTGGAGACTCGGCCGGAGGTTTGCTATACTCCTTTGGAGGGGGATTTCGTGCTGGCGACGGCATTGGTTTTCTATTTACCAAACGGGTATCTGTTGGAGGTACGGATGGCGGTGACGGCGCTGATGGAGGACGTAAATCTCTCGGAGTTCTCGATGCCCCGCCAGCGGGAGATCTTGTTGGCTTTGAAGAAGCGGTGGGCTTTGATGTCAATATAGCATGCGGTAAGGGGTTGGCACGCGGTCTCGGTGACTGGATTTTCGTTACAGAAGGTCGGGGCGCAGGAATGTCATCATCGGAATCTGATTCAGATTCAGATTCAGATTCCGACTCTGATTCGGATTCTGAAGGTTCCGATATGGCTGATGAAGATTCATCACTATGCTCGAGGAATTGGAACACATCAGGAACTTCTTTCACGGGCTCCGGGGTTGGCGGCGAAGGCGAAGGTGAAGCCGCCTGCAGCTTCACGATTTGTTTAGAAGTATCGTTCCGTCCAGCAGGAGTCTTTTTCTCGGGGATCGTAGAGCTTGAAACAGGGCCAGCCTGCGTTGTAGAATTGGAGACAGCCGATGAAGTTCTCTTCCTGCCATCTTTCCTTGTCGACTTTCGAGTGCGCATACTAAGTGGCATGTTGATCGGGTAGGCTCGGAAGAAAAGCCGGGTTCATTGCTGAGAAGACGTTTAAAATATTGAAAAGATTTTAGTTCATACCCGCACTAGTGGGATTCGATTGGCATAAAGCGAACCAGTATGGTGGTAATATCAATGAATTCCAGGGCGTTGATATCGGGCCGTGAGGCATGGCACAAGGGAGGGGTTAGGATCCGATCTCACGACGTCAAGCCGCGGGATTCTAGGGGTATGACCCGCAGGATGGACGAGAAAGTTTAAAAGGGAAAAGCCAAGCGTCCAAAAAGGAAGTAGAATCAAGCGATAGTCGATATGATGTCTCAAATGTTCCCACTGTGACATTCCTCAGGCAAGAAGGCGGGAGAGAGAGGTATGTTGTGTATGTAGTATGCCCCTAGCCAGTTGGATCGGGTTTAGATGCAAATTACGGAGTAAATGTCAAAAAGTAAACTGGGGGCTGCACGTCAGCTCTTCTATCTCATGGGGGAAACGAAGTCGCGTCACCAGGACGGGGCTAAAACACACCTGCGGCGCCTCGCTTTAAGAATGGAGTGTTGCAATTCGTCACACAGGGAATCGCCGACAAATCTGAAGCAGATGAGAAGCGCCGGGGGCTTCAGATCGGGGGACCAATGACGGCAGGCCCGCAAGGAGGTTCCTTGTAATCCCTGCCGATCGGTAAATGCGGAGGTGGTTGTCAGCTATCACACATGTACTCGGTGGTACAAGAAAATGCTAACAGCACGGATCTGAAAAAGGCCTTGGGGTTGAAGGGAAAGAGAATCAAATTGGACTAGCGGCTTGAATGGGGAAGGTTATTCAATAGCCCTGTGGGCCCATGGAAAAGCACAAATCAAAAGTCATCCTTTCCGGTCCGAGGGACAATGCATGCGTGTCTGAACATAGTAAAGAGTGAGTGAGCTGGCGAGTCGCTGTTGTCGATCATCTCCTTGCGTCTAGACTGGCGGTCTGGGCAGATAAAGGCCCCATTTTTTGGGTAGCGAAGATGGAAGGTGGGATGTGACCAGTCACCATTCTTCATGTATTGCGTGCATTTGATTGTTGCAGTTGCAAAATGTCACATTGTATCTCCAAGGATTCCAAGGTGGTTTCCAGAGGTTTCAAGGATTGTACATTTGTATTCAATGTTCAATGTAAGGTGATAATTAGAGAAGACATGGAGGAAATGACGTTCATTCGAATATACTTGGGTACATTTCTAAGAATAGATGCCTCGTTCATGCCTTAAAACACCCACATCCCACCTGCGCCTTCATTGTTCTTGAGTCTTGACTATTTAACTATTGAATTTTATTTCTGACTTGTAAGGTGATAGGTCTAAAGTCATTTGGACAGTCATATTCAAAATGGCAGATTCATTTCCCCCTCTCTCCATCTCTTGAAATAATGATTCTCTCAAATATTAGTCCGGTCGGCAGATCTGCCATGTCAACATTGTGTCCCCGGCAAAGAGTTCAAATGTTAGCGCGCTCCTGCTCCTGTTCCTGCTCCTGCTTTCCAATCACAAAGGTTCATTGTTAGCACTATTTATAGGTATACATAGTATAGACTCTGAAAATTGAACTTTTTGAACTTGAGATAAGTCAACATCGAATTGAATCAACTGATGCTTATGTATGGACTGGATTACAGCAGGATGTGGATTAAGTGCTATACATATACTACTATTAATCTAATCGTAGGTAGTCTCTAGGTACGTGCTGTTGTACTTCAAATGTTTCAACCTTGTTTTTGCCTCGGGTGTAAGATAATCCAAGGTTGCTGACTGGGTAGATATATCACCCTTAAGCACTCAGGGTTGAGATTATATAGTCTCGTCTATTGATATTATTGATCAGTTATTATATATTGAATATACAATCATTTGAACCAAGGCGCTAGGTGTATCAATAGCTGCATACATATGTAGGAAGTTTGAGTTGATAAAATTGTAAGTGACAGATCAGTTTACATATGCTAGTACATAGGTTATCAATGTTAGTCAATCTTATCTCCGATAATGTATACACTGTAGTACATAATATATATTAACATCTCCCGACCACTCGCCACTTGAAACGAACAAAACAAAGAATGACAAGGACTAGCTTAATGCATGTAATCATGGGCAGCCAATAACACTTGCAGAGATGTTCATATCAGGGCTGTGTCTTCTTCTCTTTAGAACTCTTAGATAGCACTTGAGTGCTCGAGAAAATCAAAAATCAGTAATTCTGGTTACGAGAGAACTTCAAATTCCAATGACAGCCCTTTCTCCTGCCCCGGACCCCATTTTTCTCCAGTGATTGGGATCCGCAGATATCATTACGACATATCTCGGACTTAATCCCTCGCTAAGACAGCAGATTGTAACGTAGTGGGACATTTCGGGACCCTAAATGGGGCAGCTCTCCTCAACCTGTACTTAACGGAAGTATGGAGAACCCGGCGGAGTGCAATGATCCCTAAGTGCAGGTTTTAGCGATGCTTGAACACGCAAACCGGAATGAACCAGGGCCGGGGGAAAAAGGGGAGAAGGGGGAAAGTTATAAAAGAGGACGCTGTCTCCTTCATTTCTTGCACTTTCAATCAGATTAACTTCTTTTTTTTTTCATTTACTTTTCAAGTGAAAGATCAAAGATTCCAAAGAGTTGAGCTGCTTTGCCCCTCTTTTTCTCCGATTTCTCCGATCCACCTTATCTTATCGTCGATCACTGATTTAGATCTCCGGGGTCTTTTCTATCTTCAATTCCTCAAATTCCTCAAATTCCTTGAAATCCCTTCTTCTTTCCTCTTTTAAACTCCTCAGTCGCACTTTCCTTGTCGACTTGCTTCACATTTCATACCCACAATGACGCAACCATCTACTATCACCTCGCGCTTCCTCACCCACCCCGATCATTTGGGTGTGGTCGCCGTTGGATTCAATGGCGGACAGGTAAGAAGACTAGAAACCTGAGCGGAAAGGCTTGAATCCACCAGAGACAAATCCCGTGCTAATCTTCAATCCTGAATTAGATGAAGAAAGGTGTCGAGGCCGCCCCAATGGCTCTGATCGAGGCCGGACTTCTCGACCAGCTCCGCGATGACCTCGAATATGAGATCCACCACGATAACACCGTCCACTACTACGAGCAAGACATCCCGGCCGAGGACCCCGATCACCGCAACATGAAGAAGCCTCGTGCCGTCAGCGCTGTTACCGAGCGCCTGAGCTCCCAGGTCTACAACTACGCCAAGGACGGAAAGTTTGTCTTGACCTTGGGCGGCGATCACTCCATTGCCATTGGTACCATCTCCGGTACCTCCAAGGCTATCCGGGAGCGATTGGGTCGTGAGATCGGTGTGATCTGGGTCGATGCCCATGCCGACATCAATCTTCCCGAAATGAGCCCTAGCGGCAACATCCACGGTATGCCTATGGCATTCCTGACTCGGCTGGCCAGGGAGGAGAAACGCGATATCTTTGGCTGGTTGCAGGATGAGCACATTGTGAGCACTCGCAAGTTGGTGTACATCGGTTTGCGCGATGTGGATCGTGGAGAGAAGAAGCTTCTCCGTGAGCACGGGATTAAAGCTTTCAGCATGCACGACATTGATCGGTAGGTTTTTATCTCCCCAGTTTCCCCCCCCCCCCCAATTGGGTTTTCTTCATGCCTAACCGTTATTTTTTTTTACCTTTTTCAGTCATGGCATTGGTCGCGTTGTTGAGATGGCACTCGCTCATATCGGCAATGATACCCCCATTCACCTCTCCTTCGATGTTGATGCGCTGGATCCCCAGTGGGCGCCCAGCACCGGTACCCCCGTTCGTGGCGGATTAACTCTGCGCGAGGGTGATTTCATCTGCGAAGCCGTACACGAGACTGGTAACTTGATCGCCATGGATTTGGTCGAGGTGAACCCCAGTCTAGAGTCGGTTGGAGCAGCGGAGACCATTCGTGCAGGCTGCTCGTTGGTCCGCAGTGCGTTGGGCGATACCCTTTTGTAATTTTGATTCTGATCTAGCACCATCTCTTTTTGTTTTTTTATGTATTCTTAGATTCCCACGAGAGCTAGACAGACTAGAAGCAAGGAAGAAAATTCAATGACGTTAAAGTGAATTTGTTTTTCAACTTCCCGTGTATACTTCCTAGTAAAAATCCCCTGCCACCTCAATTTCCCCAACCCCCCGCCTCCTCCAATCTCACATTTCCAACTCTTCCTATTCTTCCATTCTTTTTTCCCCCGCCAAATCATTATTCTGCCAAGTCTCTCATTCTTCAGCGACAGAAAATCTCTCGTTTGATTTCTATTCTCCACGTTTGGGTCTTGTCCAGACACTGCGCCTTTCGGCGCCCGATGCGCTGTCCGCCCTTATCGCTTCCCCAGATCTGCATCTAAAGCCACAAACACAACACCCTCGCAGCGTGGAAAACTTGGGCAATTGGTCGCTTACATTGCAAACAAGAGATTAATACCTCGCCAACTCGACCCAATCAGGCACAAACTCTCCCTCGTACCCTCTGAGGCGTCTATCTATAAATTGCCATTCACCGTCGCAACTCGACCTTCACCTTAGAGCGCAATCATCAGCTACCTTACAACCACCATGCCTAAATCGGCCCCCCTTGATCGCCGCGTGCGCCTCAACTACCACTGGCCAGAGATCCAGCTGAATATCTGGCTCATCGTCGTGCTAGCAGGCTCAGCAACATGCCTCGGCATCTTCTCCTGGTTCATGACCGTTCAGTCAACAATGGAGCTTGGAACACCATGGTAAGTGGACTTGCATGCAACCACACAAATCCCCACAACTCAGTCCAACCTGGGGGAAAAAAAACTAATTTCTCACTCGTGACTACCAGGCTCTTCCCGTTCATGGTTGCATCCAGCGCCCTGGGCGTTGCATTCATCTTCCTCGTCCTCGGGCTCATCGCCCGACACCTATTGTTACCCGGCATCCTGATACTCGGCAGTTTTATCCTCTTCGTTCTATTCCTGACTGGCTTGATTGAGACATCGCTGCAGTTATATGGAGTTGTCGGGAATGTGAATAGTAACTGTCAGATCTATGTTGTGGATAATAAATCGAGAGGGAATAATATTGATACGTTGGCGTGGTTGACGCAGCTTACCATTTGTGAGTTATTTGTAATACCCTGCGAGTTGCAGGTCCCATGAATGCTCTGGATGATTTTACTGACCTTTTCTGTTCTTGGCAGGTAATTGCTGGAAAACAGCTTTCGCTATGGAACTCGTTAACACAATTTTTTACGTGTGGATGATGGTCATGTCGTGGCAGGTGCATCGGAACTACTACCATCGTAGATGATTTGGCTCGGATGCTCCTAAAATCATGATGTGCTTTTTTCTCTTGTTTTTTCTTCATTTCGTCTTATTCTTTTGTTTTCTTTTGACATATTGTGATACCATATTTTGCATATACATTTGGCGTTTAGCGATGATGAATGTGTGACTTTGTCTCAACTAATTTATTTTTCGATCTGGCAACCCAATTTTCTGCTGCTGTAAATATCATTTTCAATTGCATGACTCCTACATATGAGAAAGATGTATTGAAACTTCAAGATGTTATCCTATCCATGTATGTAATTGACATTCGACCTTGTAGTCGGGAATCTACGACGTACTTACATTCCAAGGTTGTACAAAGACACCATACCTAATAGTAGGCAAAATATGGAAGGATACTGAGTATGAGTCAAAAGAAAGTAAAAATAACAGAGAAGAGGTGATATTTGATAAGGCTGATAAAGGTAGGGATGAAAAGTGATAAATATGACAGGTAAGACGTTAAAAAACAATCAATGCAAACGCCGTCGCTATGGTAGAAGCGCTTGCAACTGCAAGAATCGAAGGCAAATCAGATCGGAAACATGCATAGCCAGTTGGAAGAGTGGAATCTAGATCGGTCACAGATACCGAAGACAACCGGAGAAACAGGGATCAGTCAGCGGATATATGAAATAAAGAGAGAAAGTGGACCAAATTTAATCTTCAATCATGTCCTCCTCTCCTTCCTCTGCAACGCTATCGTTGTCCTCAAATGCCGCTAGCATTTCTCGCTCCAGATCGTCATCATCTTCGTCTGGATTCTCGGGATACCCATCATCTTCATCTGGGTTCGTATCCGCTCTGTCGACATCCTGCTCTTCTTCGCCCGCCTGCAGTGTCATACGAGAGTCATCGGAATCAGTTGGAGCAGCACTTGCAACTTCTCGGAGACCAGTGCCTCGTTTGTATGCACGCTTGATGCGCTGCGAGAGGCGCGAGCCTTTCTGATCAGAATCGCCCTCCTCGTCTTCGGCAGAATCATCATCGGCCTGGCCATCAGATCCAAATTCGCGCTTCCGTTTCGTGCCGCCTCCAGCCGCCTCATCGGTCCCTTCATTTGCCCAAGCCTCGTTGTCGCTTTCGCTTTCATCGTCACTACCGAGGAACTCCCTGAGTTCATCATGGACAGCAGCTTGTTCGTCTTCATCGTAACCAATGTGGGAAGCCTCATCCAATGCGGCATCTGGGAATAGTAGTGATGCGTCTGAACTCCCATCCTCGCCAGTCCAGAATGGTCCCGACGCCTCATCCGAGGATGAGAGCCAGGCGCTCTCGGCGAGTTCTTGCGAGCCGGGGGAGAGGGGCTCACCACGATCCTCGGGATGAACGGGGAGCAAATAGGGCTCCTCATCAAGACGCCTCCAGCTTGTCAAGCAATCCACAAGCCACTGCGTTGTGACGATCTTGACGCCAGGATATCTTGTGGCTTGTCGTACTTTCGCGGTCCGATTTCGGCCAGCGACAAGGTGAGTGGTACGCATGGTAATATTCGGAGAAATGACGATACCGAATGTCTTGGCCCAGAGGGAGATATCAGCATTCTGTGTGTCTGTTCCGAGGGGGAGTACACCTGAGAAAACCATGACCACTCCACCGAGAATCTGTGCCTTAATTCGGGGCATAATATCCTTGACATCAGGAACCAACTTAAGGTCCACATCCTTGTCTTTTGACGGGGCCCTTTCACCCCGCAAGACCGCTACTCGGCCTCCCAATGCGCTGCTGCGCCTCTTATCGTACTCGTCAAAGAACTGGAGATGAACTTGCTCCAGGCGATCTTGGAGTTGGAAGAGCTCTCGATCATGATCTTCAAGTAGATGATGTCGAGGCTTGCCTTCTTGGGAATCAAAGCTGAGTGTTGATGACTCACTGCTCTCGGCACTCGCATCATCCTCGGCATCTAATTCTTTCTGTTTTTGCAGCAACGGCCGGTCTTCCACCTGATGCAATATGGTCTCTTCTTGAGCATTTGTTTGCTCCTGCAGCAATCTTGGATTGTCACCACCTCCCATTGTCACTAGTTGCTCTAATGCGGAGACCTCACTCCCATCCGCTGACTTTTCGGTTGGGACAATACCATTCTGCCCCGTAGCTTCCGGTTTATCAACTTTCGCAACCGTATTTTGGGTCTCACCAATCTCTTGTTTCTTAGGCAAGAAGCTAGAATTGATGTCACCAATCCCGACGAAGAAGTCATAGGGAGAGACCTTGATGAGATTGGGGTTCCAGCGCCACACATCACCACGGTCATCAATAATGACAACCATCTTTGTGTCAACTGGGAACAGGCGCTGTAGGTTTTTCGCTGTCAGACTTCCACTTTCATCACGGCTGAGAATACGGTCTCCAAAAAGTTTCCTTGTTGGGTCAACTATATCGGCAATATGTTGTGCATATGCGCGAGTACCCATGGTGTAGATGTGTAGTTCATAGAGCTCAGCAACATTCTGCAAGAAATCCTCGAGCCCTGGCCGCAGCTTGATATAGTACCAACAGCCGCGCATTCCCGGGCCATCATCAACTAAGCGAAATTGTCTAACACCCTTTAATGCGTCGTAATTCGGATTATCCTTGTCCTCTTTCCATTCTCCAACGGTAGGATCAACGGTAGCATGGATGATGGTCTGGTCAAGATCCACTACAAGCGAGAGACGCCGAGATGCCAACAGGCGACGCTTGGCGTCCTCCTCAACACGAGTAGCTTCCCTTTGACTGACCGTCAGGGTTGTGTTGTCATGAGACATCTGGATTGGAGCACGGAAGGAATCCATAATCTCGGTATTGTATGAAGCTCTATTCGTAATCGCAAAAAGACTCATCAGTACAACAATACGACGATCATCTTGACCTTCCAAAACGACACACTTACTCGGTCATATCCTTTCCACACTCTGCGCACATCCCACCAAATTGCACCTCATGGGCACATGGTTCATTTATCTCAACAACATCAATCCTGCACACAGGCGTCAACCAACATCCACAAGTTTTCAGGCAAAGTAAGACTTACGGTCGATCAATGATATCGCCTTTAGAGATATTCCATGCCACAATCTCGCCATCAACGGTCGACTCGAATCGAGTTGGGAACTTGCGCTGTTTCTTGATGATGTTCCCTATGCCATCACCCTCCTCAACTTCTGAGTGATAAACATACCAAAACAAAGCCTCGTTGGTCTGCACCTCATCACCAGGTGCCTTTAGCAGTGAGGTGATGGTGATTGGATAATGCAGGCCGGGCGGCAGACGGAGAAGCATCTTTGCTCCCGGTACGCCCCCCAGGCGACGGAATCCACAAAGTCTCAATCAATGACTCAACGAGCCCAAAGTTTTCAAGGATTTTGTTTTTCCAATTCCCCGTCACAGATGAGCGGGGTATGGGAAGTGTAAGGAATATGATCGCGTGCGACTTGGGCTACGGAGCCATAACCAGCACGCGACGCGTGATGGGGAGTGTTTGTGGATGTTACGGAGCGAGGATCGCGCAGATGAGGTTGACAGAGTGGAAAACGACGACCCCTAGGCAAGCCGGATGTCTACCGAGAAGATAGATGGATAAATGGATGCCAAAGCGCAATGGTTGAAGCTAGAGCAGTCGTGTAGATGTGGAATCGCCACACAAGGCTAATACGAGAAAAGACAACTTTACGCGCCTTGCACAGCCACTGTGTGAATTGTAAAGGTCGGAAAACACACAGAGTCGTGAGGGGACAAGGTGTCAAGTGGTAGATTAACAAATGGAAAGAATGCGTGCGATCGGAGAATGGCAAAGCTCGGTGCGGGGACTGTGAACGGTCGAAGAAGCTCATTCTGCTAAGGACGACTACCTACACCGCCCCCGGGACATGCCGAGATCACTGATTGTACACTTAGTATGTATGGAGAAAGGAAAGTTCCATTCTGAATAATGTATGGTATACTACTAGTATCAAGTCCTATATTTAAACTGTTTTGACAGCTATGCTTGGGTAAAGCACGAGCTGGGCTCATTTTCTATTTCACTGACCCCCGACCCTACTATTGTTCCAGTCCTTCTCGGCCCGAACTGGCACTGCAGCCTGATTGGCCCTGGACCTGTCACTGAACGGCTCTCGCTGCAGTCACGGGTTATCGGCTCCATACGAGCTGGCCCACGAATCATGATTGGGGCAGCCAGAGAGGATTTTACTTGGTATCTGTGGAGTACATATCTCGGTTTAAACACCGGAGAGCATTATGGACAATGGGTATATTATTGTCATACTATGAGGAGAGAGTTTGATACAAAGGCGAGGGCCATGGATTCAAGCGAAAGGAATGAGAGATGCAGAGTAAATCCATGCAAGACAAGCCAAAACCGTGGTGTTACTGATGAGCAAACACAAGAGTAAGAGTTGAGCAGAAATAATAAATGAAAAGCAACAAGTAAAAGGATACAAATCAATCAAGAGATGCTTGAATTGGCAGATGACAAAGCACGTTTACAAACATTTGAACCCATAACTCAGCATTCTGGTTGGAACCGCATGTACAATAATGCATATACGAGACATTTCCTCAAGCCTTGGCTTCAGCTTTGCCGGTAGCTATCGCCTCAAGTCTTCCATTTCGCTAGAGACCTATTTGGCCTTGGCCAAGCCAACGCTGCCGTTGCCAAGGTCGTAGACGCTGTACCACTTGCGCAGGAAAGAGTCTCCCAAGATGGCCAGGGGACCCACGGGCTCGGGGAAGTCCATGCCCATGAAGCTGCTGATGCAGGATCCCTGGACCTCCAGGATGTAGTCGTGGGGCCCAATGGTGAAATCGTGACCGCTAAGGGTAAAGGTAAGGTCAGGCAGGGAGTCAACGGTAGCACAGTCAACGCTGTACTGTCCAGTGAAGCCTTTGGTGGCACCAATCTCCTTGTTCAGGAGCTCAGCGAGAGTAGATGGCAAAGCGATGAGAGAAGTACCGGTGTCGAGGATGATTCCGGTGTTTTCCAACTCAGCCTTGTTGTCGCCGAGAGCGATGGCGTTGAACTCGACCTCCCAGTAGGCCTTGCGACGCAGGGGAATAGTGGTCAGCTCGCCAGTGTAGTGGCTCTTGTCTACGCCACCGAATGTGGCCTCGGAGTTGTCACCCTCAGTGTTGGCGTTGCCCAAGTAGAAGGCAAAAACGGGCTCGTCCAGCAGGCTCTGGTTGAGCATGTTGTAGACAGGAGGAACCATCTTGTTGACAGAGATGGTGTCGTAGCCCAGACCCAGGATACCATCGAAACGACCGAAAGCAAAGGCGAGACCGGGCTCGCTGGTAGCTTCAGCGAAGTCCTGGTTCTTAATCTTCAAGTCGCCGATCTGGAGCGTGTCCTGGGAGACGAAGCCGCTCAGGCTACCAGAACCATATTGAATGGCAAACTCGGAGCCGTTCTTCTTGTAAGTATTGGATGAAGACGAATCATACTTGTTGTGGAGGTAGCAGGCGATCGAGCCACACTCCGATGACGGGACCCAAAGGTTGGAGCTGCCAGTGTCAAGAACAACCTTGAAGGACTGAGGAGGAGTACCAAGAGTAATCTCAGAGAAGTCTGATAAGATTTGATAAATCAGAGGTTGGTTGATGTTTTCTGGGGTGATAAGGGGAACTTACACTGCGCGTTCAGGAAGTTGTCGACAAGGACATCATGACCAGCCTGGGGCTTGAATGAGGTCTCCTGGAACATAGCCTCCTGGTGTCGGTCAGGGCGAATGCCCATGTACTTCTGGCCCAGAGCATGAACGTGGGCATCGATGTTGTGGGTATCCTTAGATGGGGGGGATCAGCCGGGAACTCCGCTTGAAGAGAGTAAGTAATATGGGGAAAGCTTACCAGTTGCTCGCTGAGAGGAACCTTGTTGAGCTTCAGCTTGTGAACCTCAGCAGAGGCACTGCCCAGCAGCACAGAGGCTGTCAAGAGGGCAACAGACTTCATAATGGGCAAAGAGTGTTGATGATGTTGATGGGGGGAGAGGATGAGGAAGATAAGAGGGAGCTGGGGGAGCGACTGGAGACGGAGATCGGCATAACGTGATAAGAGTGCGTCATTTTCCCGGAATCAGCTGCTGCCGCCGTGTGGGTTACACCTCACATTGGTCCATTTTCCCCTTCCGTTTTCTATCTCTACCCAACCTGAAGAATTTACTATTCTTCTGATATGATTGATTTTTTCCAAAGAAAGAAATATATCAGATGTCTTCTCAAGTGATCAGTAATTATTATCTTACGACGGGGATGAAAGAAACATGATAACGCCCGTATTCAGGATGCATTACTGAGGGGGTTGGAGAAAAGGGTGCCTAGCTTAGCGCTAAAAAGTGAGGGGGTCAGAGCAAACCTGTACCTGGCAGATGCAGTGGCAAAACCTTGGAAGCCCTGCTGAAGTTCAAATGTTATGATTTACTTTCGGAGAAATCACCACACCCAACAGAGAACATCTAGCCAGCTTACGGATTGTGGACATCCAAGCTGGTACTTACTACATAGTAGTAAGTACTTGCTGCTAACTCCTCGTCCTAGCGTACCAAAGTAGACCGTCGGCCATTGTTGCCTATGCAACCGTCAGCTTGCCAGATCAATATACCTGACAATTATGTAGCCACTTGTGTATGCGGTGCCCAGTAATACGTTTTTGAACCCAAGGCATGCATTTATAAAAACAGGGCAAATACAAGGTTTATAGTAAGTTCCAAGTGTCATAGATTATTTGATAATACAACGAAGAGGGGAACATTCCACCATACACACCCCCGAGCCCACCAGTTGGTCCGTAACAAAAAATTGCCAAACGCACCACAGGTTTACCGGTAGAAGTCGAGTCTGTAATATCATTAGTATCACAAGATAACCAAGGCAGGGAAGAAGAGAAAACATACCTGTCGTCATCGTGGCCACTCTTCACCTGGGCGGAATAAGCATCCTCCAGATCGGATTGGATGATGTTGTATCGGTTCTTGCGAACTGCCCGAAGACCAGCCTCCTGCATGATAGCAGCAATCACGGCACCAGACAAGGGCTCGTTGCGCACAATCAAGGAGTCCAAATCCACCTCGGGAGACAGGGACATCTTTGCGGCGATAGTACTGAAGATCAGTCGACGCTCGCGTCGGTCACGAAGCGAGGGGAACTCAATCTTGCGGTCCAGACGACCAGGACGCAGCAAAGCTGGGTCCAGAGTGTCAGCTCGGTTGGTAGCCATGATGACCTTGACGTTGCTAGATTGCTCAAAACCGTCCATCTGGTTCAGCAACTCCAGCAGAATACGCTGGACTTCACGGTCGGCACCAGTTTGGGCATCGAAACGCTTGGTGGCGATGGCATCAATCTCATCAATGAAAATAATAGCGGGGGAGTTCTCGCGCGCCATTCGGAACACGTCACGGACCATGCGGGGACCTTCTCCCAGATACTTTTGTACGAACTCTGAACCGTTCACACGGATGAAGCTAGCAGTTGTGCTGTTTGCCACAGCCTTGACAAGCATGGTTTTACCGGTACCCGGGGGACCATAAAGCAAAACACCGCGGGGAGGGTCGATACCTACTATGGGTTAGCAAGTATTATAGAATTCGTGTCGAATACCCAAGCGTACCAATCTGTTTGTAAAGCTCGAAGTGTGTCAAAGGCAGCTCGACAGCTTCCCGAATTTCCTGCTTCTGCATGTCCATACCACCAATGTCGGCATATGTCACATCTGGCTTCTCGTTATCACCCAGCATGGCGATCGATGAGTCGGCCTCTGGGGGAAGGATATCGACCAAGGCGTTGGAGTGTCGGTGAAGGGCGACCGAGGATGATGGCTTCAGCTTCTCACGGTCAAGGGTAGAGAGGATGCGAACAACGTAGTTAGACCCGGTCGAGCTCTGGACGATACCAGTACTAGTCAATAGTGTTAGCCATCATGTCCATGACATCTAACCAGATCCAAATCGACATACTTCTGATCAATAGCCTCCATGAACTGTCCAATCACTAGCGGGACACTTTGTATACGCTTAATCTCCTCCTGTGCCCGAACCAACTCTCTCTTCAAGCTCCTATAGAGAAACAAGTTGTCAGTGTCAGGCTCGTGTCAGCAACATCCAATCGACATCATCAAGACATACCTCTGCTCATCCTTGATGTATTCCTCCTGCAGCTGAATGTATCTGAGAGGCGTCAGTAGGTGGCGCGTATTCCAGATTCAAGGGGCTTGATGTACTCTAGATGTCTCTGTAACCGCTTCAGAGTGGCATATTCGTCATTTCCATCAGCTCCTACTCCCTCAAGGGAATCCAAGTTTCCAAGGGCGTCGAGAGCACTTGGCTTGGAAAGAGGCGTGACGTTGTTTGCCGGGTTCTCCACGGCCACGTCTCCCATGGTGAAAACTCTTGTGGGTGATGATTAGATGGCGTTAGTTTAGAGACAAGCTGAGCAGCGTTATTCGATGTGGATTGTTGGGTGTTGGATTGCGCGGTGCAGGGTCTGGAGATGGAGGTTGTGTCCTTGGAGCTCAATCAATCGGGCGATTGGAGCTCCCGGGTAGATCACGTGCCCTGGGATAATTGACCAGTACACCAAACAGACGGTGAACTTTGAAATCCTTTATGGATTATTTATCTGTGCTTCGATATTAATATCAACTTTGCTATGATTGGGAACTTATATCTGAGTGTTGATCAAATCATACTGACTATGAATATTTGAAAACATTTTTTGACACTGAAAGTGCTTTGCTGAAGCGCCTACTAGAGTTATATGTAATTCGTTCCAGATGCCCCTACGAGAGCAACAATGTTTTTCAAATATTAATAAAGGAATAGTTCCTTTTCAAGGTTCTTGGAAGCGTTTCTTCCAGATGTCAAAAAGGATTAAGATTTGAATTTTGAAAGTACATGTGTACATAACATTTGAATAGGTAGCTATGTATATTCTGTGTACACCCAGGCTCAAATACATAGGGACATGTACATAATGGAAGTAAACATTGAATGTCTAAGCAGAACGAGTAAAAGACCAAGTGTTTTCGTATCAGAAAACATATCACACGGATCAAATGTCAGCCTTGGAAAAATTCTAGCTAAGCTGTGTTCATGGCATGTTTCAGGGTGATCACCGGTCAGACATGGCCAGGTTTGCTTTATGGCCAATGAGGTGGGAGTACGTTTGTTAGGTCGGTGATGTGTATAGCGGGCGACGTAGATCAAGGCAGCTGATGTGTTTTTTTTCAAGACCATCAGTAAAAACCGAATCTTTCCCTTGTTCCTTTCCATCTAGCATTGAGCCCGGACCCAATCATGAGAGTGGAGTAGGGCCCGCGGTTAGGTGGGACAGGCACAAGAGACGATGAATTTTCCCATGCGGATCGAGTCGGATCCTTGCCACTGGGTGGAGGGGAGAACCTAGTCTTGGCTTTGATCTGGATCCTTTGCATTTGGGTTCCTGCGTGGGTTTTGTAATTTTTATTTTTTTCCATTCCGCCATTCTCTGAGGAGGGGGTGTGGAAAAGATTGGGCGCTCGTCATGATTATCAAACGCTAGCCTGAGCTTTATATAAGGAGCGCCCACGCCCACGCCTCACCCCGGAGTTCGCTTTTTTTCTCCTAATTTCTTTTCTTCCCTAATTACTTCCCCCCTTCTCTCTTCTTACCCCCTACTATGTAGAGAGCTTTTTTTTATATTTCTCTTGTGATGGTTTTCGTGCGCCCCCAGGGACAGTCCACGGGCCTAGCACCCTTGGGAGTATACGGACTAACCTGACTTGGCGAAGACCGTTGGAATGGATCATCGCCTGTACTTCTGTTGCAATATTTCCCTGAGATATTTCCTCTCTATGCTTCTTTTCTATTTTTTTCCCCCCTCTCACTTCTTTCCCTAACCAGATGGATAAGGATGGGGGAAAAAAGAACCAAAAAATCTGCAGTTCTAGGTTGACCCTGAAAGTGGCCTCGCCTCTTCCTTATGGTGGATGAGCCGCGAACACAGCCGAGAACCCGCAAACTAACGTCATGACGACCTATGCAATTCCAGCATCAGAAGAAAAAAAAAAGACCTGACCATTCTTTGGGAAGGGAAAAAAAAAAGAGAAAACTAATTCAGGAAGCAAATATACAGTGGAAAAGATTTCGACTAACTACAGGAACACAATAGGAGGAAAGAGGAAAAAAGAGGTGTTCGTGGTACAAAAAGACGGGCAAACAAGAACCCTTTCTTGTCTGGAATTCTCCCGCAGTAATTTTCCTCACTCAATTCTCTCTCCACTTCCCCTTTCATCCCTAACTGCTTCGTGTCAACTGTAGGTATTCGTTTACTTTCTTTCGTGTATTTTATGTTTTATGCTTTTTTTGCGGCTGTGGTTTTTTTTATTACTTGTTTCCCCTTTGGCCACGCACTTGTCCTTCCACCTTTCCCCCTTCTTTCCGGGAGCCCACACCTATGCACTACCTGTAACCCCCATTTGTTCTCTTTATGGTTTATCGGGCCGAATCTGGACCTTTGATCATCTAGATCGATCAGTTTTATTCCCAGCCTATGATTTGACTGTCCCCCCACAGGCCCATATCCCCCAAGCTTCCCTTCCCCCTCCCCTCCGTACCCTCATCCCCGTTCGCCTTACCTGTTTGCTGCTTAGGTGGCAGACTCGCTGCCTCAGGCCCCCCATAAACCACGTGACCCCCACCGAACACCTCCAACCTCTACCCTTTTTGTCCCATCTGCTAATCCCGGGACTCGGGCTTAGCCATCCGTTCGCCAGTCGGAATTTAAGTAATCCAGCCTTGTCGGTATGTACTTCCCATCTCTCCATTCTTTACCTTCCCTTCCTTCCTTTTATTTCTTTCTTGCCAAAATCATCCTCAACTCTCCAATCTTATGAGAGGGTCCCCCCCCCCTCCCCCCGGGACCCGTGTCGCGACCGGGCGCGCTTCCCCTCAAAACAGGCCCACCCTACGCGTGTTTCTGCTCTAGCATTATATTCGAGAGCCTTTTATTTGATTCCCCTTTGATGAATTTGATGACTTCTGCCTTGGATCATTGAAACCATGATGATGGCGCGCGACATCGAATGAGTACAGTTACTGATCGTGATGGCGCAGATGGGTTGGTAAAACCGCACGACATGAACGCCTGGGCCGTCGACGGCTCGAATATTCCTGGTCAGGATAATGGGGCTTTCAATCCTTCTACAATCGACCCCTCTGCCGCCTTTCTTCATGCGTCTCAAAACCCCCAGGACCCAAACCAGTTCCAGCGCATGTTCAATGGCGTCCCGCGGAACGCATCGCCAGGTTTCCACAACCCCAATCAGGTGATTCCATCTAAACGATCACGGCCGGAAGATGCCATGCCAATGTCACCTCGGCCTGCCCCCGGCGGTGTGGCCGGGTCGCGATCGCAAACCCCCCAGGTTCCCTATCCGGGCTATCAAGGCCCGTCCAACGGCACACCGCAATTCTCTCAGCATCCTACTCCCTATCAACACCTGCAACAAGGAGCCTCGCCAAATGTGACACAGTCGCCAGTAATGCAAGACTTCGACCAGCAAAGTGCTCGCATGGGCACAGCCTCTCCCAGCCCTTTTTCTCCCGCTGGCCCACACGTTGGACCTCACATGTCACCGGCACAGTCAGACCATGGAAGCCGTGTCAACACACCACAGAACAATAACTACATGGCAGGGCAAGCATTCCCGCAAGGCATCAGTGGACAGTTCCAACAAGGCCCTGGAATGTCTTCAGCAACACCCCAACAACCTATGCAGTCTCAATTTGGAGGTATGCAACAAGTGCCGCCGGGGTACCATCAAGCTCTCGCAGCCCAGCAACAGCGACTCCATGCTATGTCCATGCAAAATCGGCAAATGAATGCGAACCCGCAGATGGCCGGACGTCCTGTTCCTGGTGGAATGGGTATGAACCCCATGGCAAATCCCCAGCAGATGGCAGCTCTACGTCAGATGCAGCAAAATGCCTCAAAGCCCAACAATCCCGAAAATTTCATGCGTGCGCTTCAAAAATACCAGATGTCTCGAAACCTTCCATTTGAATCAAATCCAGTCATCAGCGGCCGCCCGCTGAATGTTGTTCAATTGTATGGAGCGGTCATGAAGATGGGCGGTTCGAAGAAAGTGACTGCGATGAATGGATGGCCTGCGATTGCACAGCATCTTCAATTTCCTCAGATGCAGTTCCCAGTGGCAGCTCAGGAGCTCCGGGATTACCACCAACGAAACCTGGCCCCCTATGAGCAAGCGTTCATCAGCTCGCAACAAAAACAATTTGCCGATCAGATGCAACAACAACAGCAGCAGCAGCAGCAGCACCCACAGCAGCACCCCCAACAGCATCCCCAGCAGCAAAACCAGCAGATCCAACAACAGCAAAACCAGCAGATTCAGCCCGGCGGAATACCTCGCCAGCCAAGTGATCCATCGGCAATGCAATTCCAGTCTCCGGGGGTAAAACAGGGCCAGGGTTTTGAGCCAAACCATCAAATATCGCACTCTCCCCAACATAATACTCCTATCCCGAACCAAGCTCAAGTCCCCCCGATGAACGGATTTGCGACTCCAACACAGGCACGCAGTCAAAGCAAACCTCCCCAACCCACACACCGATTGAGTGTTTCCCGCCAATCGCAGCCATCGGTACCTCCGGTAGACAAGACTGGACAGTTTGCTGCGCCTTCACCATCACAGCAAGGCAAACTTGCGTCTGTCACGCCTGGACCACAGCCTATTCAAGCTGAGTCAACCCTGGAACAGGTGACTAAGATGCCTATTGAGGATCCATTCAAACCTAAGGTGCTCACTGAGCACCGCCTGCATGGCCCTATAATGGTGGAAGAGATGTTCCAACTCGGCGAGGACATTTTAAGGTTGAAACCTACTGTACCAATGTTCGCAGAACTTGGCGTGGTAGATATTCATGCTCTGAACATGGCTTTGAAATGTGGGATTCAAGCAGAAACTCGTGTTGCCTTGGATACCCTGACTACCCTATCATCTGAGCTTAGCACTTCAATCTCCCTAGAGAACTGCGATGATTTGGTGGAAAGTTTGGTAGATTGTGCCCAGGACCAGGTTGAGTTCCTTGCCGAACACATCCCTGAATTACCAGAAGCCATGCCTCTACGTTCTTATGAAGAGTTGACTCGGGGCTGCCATTCAGAATTCACGTCACTTGCAGAAGTTCCTGAATTTGGGAGCATTGAATATCGTCTGGATCGAGCTGTGGAACGATTGATTTGCATCACTACAATAATTCGCAATTTCTCATTCAACGAAGCCAACACTGGCATTCTTGGTATACCCTCTGTCACCCAGGTCTTCGCTGACGTCTTCCGTTGCCTGGGAACTCACAAGATGTTCCTACGGACTGATCATGGTACATTGGATTTCATGAAAGACGCAGTGATTTTCATGAGTAACTCCGCACATGTGATGCAAATACCTGGGAAGGAGGAAGCATTGAACTTACTGGAATTCCTTCTTGCCTTTGCACCTTTGCCAGAGCCGACATCGGACCCGAACGAAGTGATGTTTACTGCATTTAATCCTTCAATTCATCGATATACCCCTGCAGCTGTGGATGGTCTGGCTAAGCTATTGGCGAGAGATGACCCGAACCGAATCTACTTTGGAGCCATCTTCTCTGGTGATGGCTCTGTTTCCCCCCGACCAGATCTTCTGACTCGCGCATTTGGCCTTGCCATTTGCGCGGTTCCTAACAAAATGCCTCTGACAGTTGCGGATGCTCGCAAGATCTTCCTCATGCAAGGTCTGTTGGCTGCGGATGTTTTGACCACATTTGCAGACGGACCTATGGCAAGATCATGGGTTGGATCTGTGGATGGCTTTGCCATCCACCTCCTGCGGCTCTCCTGTCTGCTTTGTACCGAACGCCTGCCGCAACTCGCCAGCAACCGACAACGAGGCCCACACGAGATGGATGCTTATGCATTTGCCGCCATAATCAATCGTGGCTTGGCCATCTTGCGCCGACTCGCCGAGAAATCTAAGCAAGTGGACAACACCCTGCCGTTGAAGCTCCCATCTGGAGTCATCCCTCGCAAGGAAAGTCTTCTCGGGGCGTTATTGCTTCCCAACATGGACCCGAATATCATCCGCCAACTCCTTTCCTATGCTCGTCTTGCGGAATAGATCTGGCACCTTCACACTTTCATGTGCGGAGTATGTGGGCAGGCATTACTGTATTCCTCCATTAGGTGAAAAAGAGCGGTCCTTTTGTACGAAGCATTTACGACAATTTTGTTTCTGTCATATCATTTGTACTCATGTATCCAGTCAATGGTCAATTTTGATTTCTCTAGGCGCCAGTGGATATGGGGGGGTTCTTTTTTGACTATTCTTTTTATTCTCAGATCATTTGTTTTCATTGTGAGATAGCGAGTTGAGTCATTCAGTGTACAATGTCAAAAATACCCTTGATATGATCATACGATCTGTGTGTAGTAAGGAGTACGACGTACTAGTAGTATGAATGGATGCACTGTAAAGTAGTACTAGTGGTGGTCCCACTGGGGGCTGGCGTAAATACTGCTAGTTACTAGTACTATACTCGCTGGTTTACCAGGCGGTTTCCGTATCAAATCAACAACTTTGGAATACCTGGATTTTACTCCAGTAGATGCGAATGCACATATCATGTTGATGCATGGAATCATTCAATTAGAGGAAAGACCTTGGCACCCGCACCGGGTCATGGAACATATACAAAGTAGGAATGATACAGGGAGAGTAAAACTCATAAAAGCAAGCGCCAGGAAACTGCAAATGGATAATAAAGGAAACCAAAAGGGAGAACACCGGCAATCAAAGAGAAGAGAAGGCAGAAAAAAAGATAGCCCCCAGCAACGAAGATTAAGAAGAACAGCAGATAAACCGAGGCAGGGAAGTGAAATTACCCATAGACATCTTTCAGTCCATCGAAGCCATTAGAATAAGAATGACATATTATCAGCCCCCACTGCCTCGTATGCTTGCTGTCCTTAGTGTAGTCTCGTCCTTCCAAGGATCTGTTCTTTAGGGTCGAATCCATTCCGCATGGAGAATTTGCTCAAAGCTTTTGTGACCATCTTGATTGTGGGATGGTTGAAAACACAATATTCGTGGGAATTTGGTACGAATAAAGGGGGAAAGTGAAGAGATATGGAGAAACTAGAAGTTGCGCTCCTGCAGGAACTTCAGAATCTCGTTTTTGCGCCAGCCCTGTGACATACAGCCATTAGTTTTATATCCGGCATTAGGTGTTGATGCGAAACAACAACACGAAAATGAATCAAAAAAGAGCCTACCTTGACAATGATGTGGCCAGTCAGGCGATTGACGCTGACATCCGGACTCCGCAAGTCAACATTCAGGGACCGTGCGAGGTCTTCCCGCAGAGCATCCAGATCACCCTCGGTCTTTTGAATCTTGGTAAGCTGCTTGGTGCCACCGGCCTTTGTGACAAGGTAGACAGGCAGCTGGTTGGAGCCAGTTCGGCGGATGAAGTAGGGGAGGTTGTTGAGTTGGAGAGGGGCTGGTGCAGCTCGTGTGGTCTGGGGGAATGGGGTTGAGGATGAGATGGGTTGCTCTTTAAGCGCCTGGGCTTCACGGCGGAGGTGTGTCAGGAACGTGCGCGTTTGACAGGTGGAAATAGAGTTGGAAGTGTAGGAGAGGAGAGAAGCTATTGAGGATTATGTTAATTAGCGGAACTGGATCTTATGATTTTGTTTTCGTTCTTTAGACCCAGGCCGGTATAACGTCAGATTCCTAGGATTCTGATGTCTGGATATTGTACCCGAATCTGTCGCTATACTATTTTCACTGACACAGCCAACGGTGCTATATAGCAGGCTGAACTGAACAGGTAGAGACGTGAATAAAGAGCATATCCTGGAACTTACAAGACGCAGGTCGTGTAAATGAGGAGGACAGGCTAGATGTCTGCACGGAAGCCACGGATTGGCACAGACGGGAGTTGACGCTTTGCTTGCACACGGTCGAAGCGACCGAAGCCGAGTGTCGGAGAGACGCCATCTGCGCGTCAAAGAAGAAGCGTTGGGGGAAGAAGGGAGGAGAAAGGCGAAAGAGAAGAAGCGACACAAAGCTTCAATCACAAGTACCGAGAAACAAGAAAAAGCGCAAGTTTCTCTCACGTCCTGATTCTGCCACCGCCCCACCTCTCCTGGCGACCCAAACGGGTTTAGTGCGTCAAACCCTCCCGCACACAAATTCAATCAAAGAGACATCGCTGTACCTTTTGAACCAACCCACATCCTGCGTCCCACTATGGCAGACAACGCCCCTCCTTCCGCTGAGCAGCTCAGCGGCGCTCACCCTACCGATGCCGCCCCCGAGTTTGACCTTTTGCCCCGGTTGATCCCCTACCTCGACCGCCACCTGGTTTTCCCGCTGCTCGAGTTCAGCGCCGGCAACGATGAGGAGGACAGCGAAGTCATTCGGGCCAAGTACGAGTTGCTCAAGCACACCAACATGACTGATTACGTCGCCAACTTGTGGAAGGAGATCAACAACAGCGACTCGATCCCCGAGGAATTCGTTAAGAAGCGCGAGGAGGTTCTGGCCAAGCTGCAGCAGTACGAGGGGCAGGTTGAGAAAATTACTGAGTTGCTGCAGGATGAGGAGGTTGTGGGCAACTTGCGAAGCGACAAGGCCGCTAACTTGCGCTTCCTCGAGGAGCAGCACGGTGTCACCACCGAGATGGTTGATGGCCTTTACGACTACGGCCGCTTCCAATACAGCTGTGGTAGCTACGGTAACGCCTCCGAGTTGCTTTACCAGTTCCGTGTTCTGTCCACCGATAACGACAAGGTTGCCTCCGCCACCTGGGGTAAGCTGGCTTCCGAGATCTTGACCACCAACTGGGAGGCCGCTATGGAGGAGGTGCAGAAGGTTAAGGACTCAATCGAGACTCGTCTGTTCAACAACCCGCTCGCTCAGCTTAACAACCGATCTTGGCTCATCCACTGGTCGTTGTTCCCCTTCTTCAACCACGACGCCGCCCGTGACGTCCTGACCGACCTTTTCTTCTCCCCCGCCTACATCAACACCATCCAGACCGCCTGCCCATGGGTTCTGCGCTACCTTGCCGCCGCGGTCATCACCAACCGCAACCGCCCTCACAAGCACTCCGGTGTCTACCAGAAGCAACTGAAGGACTTGATCCGCGTTGTGCGCCAGGAGGACTACGAGTACACTGATCCCATTACCGACTTTGTCAAGGCGCTCTACGTCGACTTTGACTTCGAGGAGGCCCAGAAGAAGCTGGGTGAGGCTGAGGAGGTTCTCCGTGGTGACTTCTTCCTTGTTTCCGCTGCGGATGCTTTCGTTGACGCTGCTCGTCACCTTATCTCCGAGAGCTACTGCAAGATCCACCAGCGGATCGATATCAAGTATGTATTCGATGAAATTGAGTCTTTCCCTTTTTTGGGGGGTTTTTTTCTGGGAGAAACAATAACTAACTTAACTTTTTCTCTCTCTTTCCAGCGATCTTTCTGCCCGCCTTGGCCTGAGCCAGGATGAGGGTGAGAAGTGGATCGTCAACCTCATCCGTGATACCCGTGTTGACGCCAAGATCGACTACAAGGAGGGCACAGTTATCATGAACCACCCGCCGCAGTCGGTTTACCAGCAAGTCATTGAAAAGACCAAGGGTGCCTTCTTCCGCACACAGGTCTTGAGCTCATCCGTCGCAAAATAAACAACCTCCCTTCATCTGTCCTTATCCATGAGCTGATGCCAAAACCGAACCTTTCTTCTTTTGTTATTATCAACCCCAAATGTTTTTTCTTTTTGCCTCTCCCTTTTATAGTCTCCCCGTGTATGTCACAACACGGTATTTTTGTGAGGGAGAAGGGACTCCGAGGCAGAGTGGCATCCGGCTGGCGTTCTTAGGTGGTCCAACCTTTTCTGATGTTTCTTTTTTACCTCTTAAGTCCACAGTTTCTCTTCTTCCATTTTTCTATTTTCCCCCTTCTGTTATCAGATCGTGTTTTTCCTCTTTTCATTGGTTCCTTGGCTTTGAAGAGCTTTTGCAGAGAAAGCGGGTGATAGAGAAAAAAAGACCCACGGTGCTCTCCCCGCGCCCTCGAAAAAGACCAAAAAAAGAAAGAGAAAAGAGAGGGAATCATGTAGTAGACCCCTGAGTTAGCCGGGGTCTGATGGATCTATGCTGTTACGAATGGTCTATAGAGATGAGTGAAAATGATGTCTGACAATATGTCTGGTCCAATATCTCCCCTCGTAAGTTGCAACAAGCTGCATAAGATAGCCAGGGGGAAGACACTGCAGGAGACTTGTATAGTTCATGACACCAAAGCCGGACCAGGAAATAACCATATCCGGTAGCAACGAACAACAAACAGGGGGTATGGGTATAAACAAGACGCCTGAAAAGACAAGCCGTAGGTGTTCAATATGTCTGATCCATCCCGCTTTATCGCAAAAAGTGATCAAATCCCGTTTCTCCTCAACCTTGTATAACCTCCGCCGGTGCCCAGGTGGATCGAAAAAGCAATAACGACCGAAATGGAGAATGAGAGAGCGAGCTCCGGAGATCGGTCTTGTCCTGGCATTGGAATTTGCACGAGAAAACCTGAGCCTTGAATTGCATGAACCTTGGAAGAAGCAAAGTACAATATGTCGTCCTGTATGAGGCATTCCATGGATAATCGTCCTTGATAGGATTCCTGGATAGGATTCCTCCAAAAAAAGGATGGACATAGAGCAAACAACCCCTGGTAATTTGGGAAAACGACGAATTCCAGTACACGGCTCTGGGGATTCCGGACAGTAACACAGACAGAAAGTAGGAAGTAGTAGGTGTATCAACGGCCACCCCTGGTCTCCGGTTCAGGATGTCGTCGTGCCCGGGAGGTTTCAACCGGGATCAATTCATTGATGTAGGGTTCTGAGGATTGTCGGGACGCAGAGACCCCGTTGCCATTGTTGTTTCCATTGGTGGTCAGGCTTTGAGTCGTCATGCGCAAAGCTTCCTGTTTCTCGTACTCTCGAGACATGGTAGCCAAGTCCTCGATTTGTTCCTAGATACGTATCAAAAGTCAGTTTATCCGTGATAATTTATTTCGCAGGCTTCGCCTTCTTTGAGCTGGCTCTTCTGCTTCCTCTTTCCCTCAATTAGGTCTCCTGATGGTCGTGGTAGATGACAGACCCGTGTAAGAGGTACACCCGTGATCAGATATCCTTCGCGTCCCTTTGAACAGACAAGGAAATCAGGTTAGACCGTTGATTGAACCCTGGCGCATGGTGGGTGGTGTGGCCCGATATACCTGGTAACTATAGGGCCGGACAGATGCCGTCGGACCGAGAAAATAGTGGATGTGGCCGAGGACAATGTGGCGGGAGAGGCCATATCCTGGGAGCCAATACTGCTGGACTGGGGCCATTGGGAAGAGCGATCAATGGTGACGGGTTCTGATATTGGATGAATTGATGGACCGAACACCAGCAGGGGAACCGGGGCCTTTTAGTCACTGGATATCTGTGATGGATATCTCTGAGTGTAGTATGTACTTATTTGCTTTTCATATTTTCATTGATATTCCTCAGGATTGTGTAGGGTATAAATAATCCAGCACTACTACGGAGTTGAAGCCAAAGCCCGAGGAAAACAATGCACTCCCCCTCCCATTTCATTTCCCCTCCTCCTTCCTCATAGTAGCGGTCTATCAAGAGCACTTGTCAAGGACAAGGGGGCGAATCAGATCAGTCCCAGGTTCTGCTGCAGCGTTCACCTCTAGATCCTTTAGCGGAGCCAGGTAGAAGATGATCTTACAGCAGAACCCACAGGGCCACAGCGAGCGAACCGCGTACACCCCACCAAGGCTCCCATGAAACCCGCAAGCTGCATTCTATTTTCAAAAGCAGACAAAGAGAATGCAAAAGGAACCAACCAAATCAAGAAAGGGAGAAAAAGCAGGCTAATCTCCCGAAGTGGAAGACGGTCTGATCTCCACAGCGTGGAGTGACTGGAGTCACTGGAGTGCACCCGGGCAGAGAGTACCCAAGTACCCTTAGTGCCAAAACCGGGGCGCACTGCAGAAGTGGTGTGAAAGAAAGTATAAACTCACAACCAATTGATCCAGTCCCAAGCTTTCCTGGAATTGAAAAGCCACGGAACTGTCGGGGACAAAAAAGGGGAGGGGTTCAGTTCGCCTCACTCTAGGAGACAACGAGACCCAACCCTTTCCCATTCGGTCTTGCCTCTTCTGTCAATGGTCATATCAAATACTAGTATGTACGTATATTTGATTAATTCGAAATCCAATATGCAATTGATTTTCCAATTGAAATGGAAATTCGAACCAGTCCATCTCGGACCAGATCAGAGCTCATAAAACGTTGACGTCCGTTACCGGCCTACTATTCCCTGTCCTTTGGGTTCAAAGTGAGGCTTGACTTAGCTCCTTGAGGGGAGAAAAAAAAAAGGTTAGCATATTGCTCCAGATTTCCAAGCAGCAAACAACGCAGCAAGAACGGAACAAATTGTGCCATAAAACAGATTAAAGCCCGTTTAAGAAAGCTTCTGAAAATCGTAGTTGTTGAACCTTTCTCTGGTGAACCCTCTGGCATTTTTCTCACACCGCACCTTGTTCAATGCGCCAAAGTGGCTGCTCATGGTGTCGTGGCACCACGGAGGCCCTTTCAACGAGGCCCCGACCTAAGCCGATGCAGATTTTTGCTGCATCCAGCGCTTTTGGGACGAGGGTTTTTGCCTCGGTTTCGATATGTATGTCGAACACATGGCTGCAGACCCATGGCTGCAGACTAAGGTTCCTGGGACCGATCAGCAAGGTACGTTCTGATTTGTCGGAGACTATGCATTTGACCCCCAAATCCGTTGAAACTGGAACCTCTCAGAGTGTATCTGATGTTTTGCGTTTGGGTGGGTTGCTGTAGTTGGGGTTTGGTTGGGCCGTGAATGGTGAAGATTTCCAACCTTGGAAGGTGGAAAGTCCAGAGCGAAAGTCGGTTGGAGATGTGACGACGACTTGCATGTGAATACTCTAAGTCTTATGATTTCCGGGGGTTCGGACTTTCAGCATTTCCTTGGATATATTATAACTACTAGTATTCTCTTATACATCAAGCCAGGATAATAGGCGTTTCATGTATTATTCTCTAGTCTTTTCATAATTCGTTCCGAAAAACAAGCTTGCCAAGTTCATCTCGTATCCTGTCAAATAATATCAAGCCCTTTACTGTGGAGGAGTGTAAGGGTTGATAAGCATGTCGCTGAACCTATACAAGAGAAGAAAAAAAAGAAACTGGTTAGCCAAGATCGAAATCCAAAACGTATGCAGGAATGAACTGACTTCTCCAACTTGTCCTTTCCACGGACTTCCTCCACCAATAGCGGCATGCGAACCACGTTAAAGTCCTCGTACAGCTCCTCAATCTGCTCCAGGTACTTCTTCTGCATCTTCCTCCGCGCAGTGCACTGGTCACAGCCACTGCCTTCCTTGGGGAACAGCAACTGGTTCACAACAATCGAATGGGTATCAATGCCGTAGCTAGTCAACTCCTGGATCATGCGCTCGGTCTCATAGAGCGACAAGAACTCTGCAATACAGACACAAACAAAGGTGGTCATATCCGGATTCTTGAACTGCGTGTTGACCTCACCAATGGTCTCCCGCAGCGACTCCATCTTCTGTAACAGGTCATCCATGTTCTGTCCACCAGGCAAACCACCCCGTGCGCCCAAAATGGAGTTGAGCATGGGTCCGAACTGCGACGAAAGCTGGGACAGCTTCGCCAGCGCCTTCTCGAGAACAGTCGGGAACTGCAGGAAGCGCAGGGTGTGGCCAGTGGGCGCGGTATCGAAGACAATAACCTCATACGAGAGCGACTTGACCTGCTTCAGGACCTCGGCAAAGGACATAGCTTCGTCAACACCGGGGATCTAAATTCGTAAAAAAAAAAACAGCGCATCCGCATTAGCTTTCTGTCCGTAAACTCTGGTGGGGTAGGGTTCTCGGTCTCGCTCTTCTTCTCGATCTTGCTGTAGGTTCCCGGGTCCCGGTTTCCACTTACGCTGAAGGCCAGATCCTGCATCATATTTCCCATACCCATTCCACCCATCGCGTCATCCTGACCGTCTCCATTGGCCAGGAGATCCTGGATGCTGCCATTGGGATCGATCTCCATGGCGCTGAGGTTGTCATAGCCGTCAATCAGACGGGCCTCCTTTCCGAATTTCTGTCCAAAGGCATCGCTCAGGTTGTGGGCGGGATCGGTGGAGATGAGGAGTACGGATTTGCGGGCTTTGGCGAGCTGGATGGCGAGCGAACAGGAGGTGGTGGTCTTACCCACACCACCTTTGCCTCCGACGAAGATCCAGCGGAGGGTTTTTTGGTTGATGATCGACTGGAGCGTAGGCTCCATGTCGAGTTCGTCACTTTGGACCACGGCGGAGGAAGACATGGTTGGTATGTTGCGGAGCTTAGGAGAGGTGTGGGGAGAGAGACGGAGGTGATGTTCAAAATTGATGATTTGCCCCGCAAAGCGATCGAACGTTCCGGAACACAATCTATATAGCTACAAAAGGGGTTGGAAGGGCTTTGATTATGATGAAGTTTGATATTTCTTTGGTGAATTCTATGGCAAAGGGCAGATGGTCTAGGAACAAAGTTTTAAGTATTACTTCATTATGCCTGTTTTCTTTCCAGATGACGCGTGTGACCAGTTGATGTATCTGTACAACGGCTCTAACTGAACACCGCAACACCATCTGTCACCAGTACTTTGTCTACGTTTAAAAAGCTATGTTGATTTTCAAGGAATCAGTTTTTCATAAAGCTCCGGTCATCTAAATATTTCAACATTTGCTAATGGACAACTATAGAAACTTAGTGATTATGTCCATCGAGTCCACGATCAAGGTCAATTCAGTTCTCTGTCACTACCAAATTCATTATACAGCAATTCATATAATAACAAGGCAAGAGTAGAATGAATGAGTACTACTAGTGTATGCATTGCCATTATTCAACTGGCCAAGTTATATAAAAAACCACAAGAAACAAAGTTTGATAGACTGTATCATCGATGAACCCGTTGTAGCTCCACCCATGGCATCCTCCGCATCTCCATCGGTGCTCTCCGACGCCGTAGAAACAAACCAACTTCCCCATAGATAACCCACATAATTTTTCTTTTCTTCTCCTTAATTCCCCTCCCTCATCCTCCCTCCAATCTCACTCATCTGTATGAATGGACCGACCCCGTGAATCCCCAGACCGCACAGCCAACCGCCTCGCGCTCTACCAGCAACATCTCTCCTCAACCCCACTCTCCAACCAAACCCCAACCAACCCACCACCCACAACAATGGCCGCCCGCGACCCCATCACCTGCCACTGTCTAAACACATTGACCGGCACACCCGCCGCCAATCTCCCCGTCACATTGACACTGCTGTCGCCGGCCGCAGCCTCCGCCGGCCCCGTCACTTTCCACGCTACGACTAACGCCGACGGCCGCGTCGCGCAGTGGACGCCCGCGGGCGGTGCGTCCGCTGCCTCGGTGCCGGATATCCTGGCTGCGCTGCCGGGCGCAGAGAGCAAGTCCAATTGGTCCGTGACCTTTGGTGTTGGGCCGTGGTATGAGGCGCAGGGCATTGAGAGCTTCTGGCCTGAGGTCGAGGTCAAGTTTACCGTTAAGGGCCGGGGCCGTGAGGGAGAGGAGGGTTGGCGCCATTACCATGTGCCTGTTTTGCTTGGCCCTTGGAATTACTCGACCTACCGGGGCTCTTAGTGCCTACCGGGGCTCTTAGTGGATGGGATATATGTAATGATTGCAATTGATAATTGATATGTCTTTCTTATTTCATCTATATATCATGTTTGAATGTTTTGGACTTGGATAGAAATGTACTCGCATGGTTCTTAGAAAGAAACAAGTGCAACGATTTGTCTTTGGTAATACATTCATATAGTCAAATAGGTAAGCGCAATACATCAACAGGCAAGATGGCCGAGTTGGTCCAAGGCGTGCGGTTCAGGTTCACCTGATCCAGATTTCCGCATCTCGTTTTCGGGGCGTGGGTTCAAATCCCACTCTTGTCATATCTTTTTTTGCTTTTTGCTTCTCTTTCAATGTTCCAAGCAAGAAGTTTTTGAAGCAGATGTTTTCTTTTCGTTCCTCCTCTAACGCAACCTTGAAATAGTTGACGGGTTTTGTTTTATTTTATGATGTGCCACTATTTCAAAGTCTACTCATAGATCAATGCAGGTAGAATCAAATTTTGGTCATTTCTAAGAGAGTTTGTTCATGTCTGTGCCATTATTTAGTCTTACTTCTATGTTTGTAATAATACAGTGTGAAATAACTCCTTTATGCGCCTCGGCCACGGCCACCACGGCCACCACGTCCTCCGCGGCCACGGCCTCCTCCACGGCCACCTCCGCGACCACCAGACTTCTCAACTCCACCTTGTCGCGAGCCGCCTCCAGGGCTTAGAACATCGCGCTTCTTGTTATTGGGACGGCCGTTGGGACGTCCACGAGGACCGCCGGAGCCGCCTCCATTCAAATCATCCAAGCTCCCAAAGTTGAATCCAGGAACACCCTTCAGACCCATCTTACCAATGACCTTCTTGTCCATTGGAGGAGCCTCAGGGCAGGCCATACCTTGGATGGCCATCTCGTTGGCAAGTTGGACAAGACCGGCCTTATCGAGACGAAGCTGCTTCAGAAGACCTGATCCAGCGAAGAATCCAATATAAGATGAGTAGGCACGTTGCTTTGTGACTTCATCGATCTGGTACATAGCCTCGTTGACGGGGACCGCGAAGGCGGGGGCCTCGGCGAGGATTGCATCGGTTTGGGGGTGGGGTTTAATGGGCAGGTGACGGTTGACCTTCATGAAGAAAGATTCACCTTCGGTAAGGAGGATGATCGCGCGGCCATCGTTACCAGCACGGGCTGTACGACCAACACGGTGAACATACTGTTCACCGTTGGAGGGCAAACCGACCTGAATGACCAAGTCGACGTTGGGGAAATCCATACCACGGCCAATAACGTCCGAGGCAAACATAATTCCAGTGGCTGCCTCCTTGAACTGGGCGGTGGTTCTTGTGCGGATGTTCTGGCTGAGGCGAGAGTGAATCTCAAACACGTTCAAGGGTGTGAGGCCTTGTGAAAAGACCTTGGCGCAGAGAGCAACCATGTTGGCAGTAACACCGAAAACAATAATCTTGGAGCACTTTTGGCTCTCAAGCTTGACAAGAGTAGCGAGGGTGGTAAAGGTGGACGCCACACTTGGAATCACCACATGGTACTGGGGTACCCTTTCGTGTGTTGGTGACTCGTTCTTATCAATGGTAGAAATGTTAGTGTAGCCATCCTTCAGCACCACATTGACCACATCCTTGACCTTGGGTGGAACAGTGGCCGAGAAGCACATGCCTTGCCAGCCCGACTTCTTTGAGGGGACTAAACGAAGGATCTGCTTCACATCGGCCAAGAATCCAGCCTCAAGCATGGTATCGGCCTCATCCAAAATCAGCGATTGAATGTTGGCCATCTTCTCGGCGGTGTATTCATCGGACAGATAATCCTTCAAGCGGCCTGGTGTTGCGACTAGAATTGACGGGGCTCCCTTCATGAATCGTGAGTGAGCGGAAGCACGAGCTGTTCCACCGACAGCAATATGGCACTCAAGGGGCTTTGACAATTGTGATGTGAGCTGATCGCATGACTTGGCAATCTGCTGGGCGAGTTCTCTGGTGGGGGTGATAATCAGGATAGCGACCTGACCTCTGGGTGGCGCATTGTTTCCCTGGAGGAGGCAGTGCAGCGCTGGCAGAAGGAAGGCAAGGGTCTTTCCGGTACCAGTCTTGGCCTGGACGAGACAGTCACTGCGCCAATCTGGGAGTTCGGTCAAAACACGTTGTTGGACGGGAGTCATGAACTTGAAGTCCATAACCTCCAGGGCTTTGAGGAGTCGGGAATCGAGCTTGCCAGCCATGGTGGCATATGGCTGGGCGCCATCGAGGTTAGGAGGGGATGACATGATGGAATATGTGTATCTAAATGAAAGATACAATGGTTGAAAGAAAATTTCAACCCGAAAGGTACCTGAAGGCTTAGCAGGCACTTTTGTTGACGGTAAAGTTTGGCAGAAATCTTATTTTTTTTTTGGAAAATCTTATCGATAAGACTTTTTCCGGTGGTTTGGGTGAAGTTTATTGAGCAGAGTCAACAAGCGAGTGAAAATAGAATGACTCGGGTATTTTAACTGGGTCCTGTCAAATAATTTTTTTAAAAAACCAAAATCATATTTGAAATTCAAAGACATTAATTTTTTCAGAATTCGACTTTTTTTAAGATTTGTTTTTATTAACGACATCTGCCAGTGTATTTGATGGTCGAATGTAATCACATGAAGACTGATAAGCACGTGTTGATTGGTTATCACCTTAAAAACATTAGATCCGCAACCGGTGGGTCCCTCTTTTTATGCATGTACACAAGTGCTGAATTGGTAGTTCCTCACTGCCTACTATGTACTAGTAGGTGACATATATTTCTGAGCCAATTTAGAATGAACACCCGAGGGTACTGTTCCTCGCAATTACGCTTCTTTCTAAGGTTAGACAGGCTAGTAGGTATTGAATGGGCATACTGCATGGTACAACATGCTACTACTACCTAGTATACATAGGTTTCAGCTTGCCTGTGACTTGCGGGAGATAATTCAAAAGGTACATGTAGTCATCGAGTACATAAACTCTTAACATTTCAAAGTCATTGAGTACCCGTGGACGTCAGTTGTCCAGAGTGATATGGATGTATAGTACAAAGTTGAATAGTGAACGATAAGTGAATGATAATCAAGCACTGACATCCAACTTCAAATGGACTTTCCTCGAGTGTCAAGGGTCGTTGGAGACACAGACAACGTTAATGCAAACCATGGGTAAAAAAAGAACTATCATACATTCAAAGCAACATAACATTCATCAATCCCGAATAAATTCTCCGTATGAGAAAAGGCTAAGAAGCATCTTCATTTCTCCTCAAACGTCTTCTCAACAGTGCCCTCATCCGAGATATGGTTCAAAGGTTTATCATATCGTTGTGCCATTTCTTCGTTATGCTTTTTCACATCCTCTGGGAGATCCTCATTTTTGTGGCCATCCATGTCACTGAGGCTCGACTGTCTGCCGTCTCGAAGAGTAGGATGGGCGTTGTTGGAGGGAATTGGGTGGTTTGGGGCATTGTCGTGATTTCTGTCTTTCTCCGGACCATGGTTACTGGGGGTGCCATGAATGTAGCATTGCTGGGCAGGAATATTGGTCAAGGTGCGACCGAGAGAAGTAGAGGAAATAGGCGCCCGAATTCGTGATGGAAGTCGTAGGATGGAGCTCATTTTGGATGGTAGATTGAATTGTGGAATGTGGAGAAGATCAAAAAGTTTCAAGGTCCGTGTTAGAAAGACTAAATAGATTAAGAAGATTTGAAAATGGACAATGGGTTCAAGGTGCAATTATAGGAAATCCGGTTTCTACATCTCACCAGGAAACATGATATGATGTTTGTTCTCCTACCGTGGCGATGACGTATTTCGATGTCATGCGCCGCCAAGAGCGTGAAGTAGTACACATTATTACCCCTGCAGATCTGGTATTTACTATCTGCGGATCTGGAAATTACAAGACCCAAATCAACATCGCGCAGAATGAGAACTACTCAATACAGTGCCGTGCTCCTTGACGCAGTAATGTCCATGCCAGATGAGATTAGCAACGAGCCCCACATGCATCGACGTGATGAGAGATTGTTCAGGAAGAGAACATTGAAGTGGAATAAACCTACTATCGTTAAAGTACCACCTGTTAGTGCCCAACATTGAATGATTTCGACGCAAATCTCCAGATGTCAAGGCCATACAATACATACGCAGTTCAATGTTAGTTCTTGAGCTGATGAGTAAGCCAGCGCATCAATGGATACAATTATTTTGCGTGTAGCCTTATAACGTCTACTGGTTGACTGGTTATCGTCTGCTCATCCGTGGTTAGCCTTGAAACCTTATAAGTAGATCCTTGAACCTTGGAAACTGCTGGTTCGTAGTATATATACTGGATAACATCAATGAACTGTCAACCTTGGAGGTTAATCAGTATTATCTATAGCCCTGAAAACAGTAGGTATGTTTTTCTTTAAAGTAGTGCCTGCTAGGTAGCTTACTAGTAGTCAATGACAGCACTTGAGAAAAACATTGGAAAGTTTAATTGAATTACGGTTGGCTTACTCCATGCAGTAGGGTGAGATATGTACAGGCGCGATCGATGCACTTTGAATGCCCACGCCTTATTTTCGGTTGTAAAGAAGTTGACTTCAATCAATATTTGTTTTGATGTTTGTAGATTAGTAAAAAAAAAACACGCAGTTGAAGATTTCACTCAAGACCTGATCCATGGATATTATTCATCTCCTGTATATACATATATGCTGGAAATACGCTGCTTAGAACATTCGTCGCTGTCTAAAGACATTTATTTCATTACCGAGGCATTCTTTCCATAATACAACCAAGAATCTATTGTACAGTAGTACTACTCTACCGATTGCGGATAGAAAGAGCACGCTCGCCTCGGCAGTTCTGACGTGACCGCACCACGTGACTAAGCGGTGACAGCCGCGGGTCACAGCCGAGATCCTCTTCAAGGCCTCTCCACCTTGAAGCGGAGCTTCACTCTTCCTGCGCATTTCGCAGTCTATCACTCACTCGCTTTCACCGACACTCCATCTTCTTCCCATATTCGGATTTCCCCAGAAGATGCTGACCCCTGTTTCTTTGAAATCGAGTTCGGTACTCTAATTCTATCTATCTTCCCTGTGCCTTTTGACTGCAGACTTCATTCATCATGGCATCCCTCCCAAGTTATACTGCCGCTGGGAGGACCCGATCATCGGATGGCGTCACTTCCAATAACAATGATGCTGTGACGACTGAGGGCACTTCACTCCCAACCCCCGACTCAACCGAGGACACTGAGACTGTATTTTTGAACAAAAGTACTTCAACGACAAGTGTTCTCGAAAATGTGGCTGAGGTCGCCGACAAAGCCACCGGTCGACCTTCAAATCAACCGGATACAACGCAAGAGGAACCTCGAAAATGCTGGATCTGTTACACCGACGAGACGGAAGACTCGCCACTGAATCTGGAGTGGCGATCTCCATGCCCATGTGCTTTGACGGCCCATGAGGCTTGCTTGCTTGATTGGCTTGCAGACCTTGAGAACCCTCGCTCGCGCAGACGAACTGGAGGCGCTAAAATAGAGTGCCCTCAGTGTAAATCTCGGATTATCGTGACGCGGCCTCGAAGCTACGTTGTCGATGCTTTGCGTATGGCGGAGAGAGTGGCGGGGCGGCTCGTACTTCCGGGAATGGCTTTCACGCTGGCGGGCACCGTGTGGGCAGGCTGCTGCGCACACGGCGCATACTCAATGCATCTTATCTTCGGCGCGGAGGAGGCTATGCGGATTCTCGAAGAAAGTCGAGAGGGTCCGTGGACCCCGGGAATGAACATTGGGCTGCCCCTCATCCCCCTCGTTCTGATATTTTCTCGCACTCGCTACGCCGAAGGCCTCCTCCCAGCGATTCCCGTTCTATTCTTCGCCGTGCATAGCCCAGCCCACGAGGCTGCTGACCTCGATTTCTGGCCACCTACCCCGGCGATCACTTTTGCCGCTCTGCCTTATGTGAAGAGCTTCTATGGTGCGCTTTACGACCGTCTATTTGGTGCACTTGAGCGGAAATGGATCGCAGAGGTGCAACCTCGCGCAGCAGAAGAAATCCTGGATGATGCACAGCAGCAGGACCAGGCGGAAGGACTCAATCGATTTGGCGACAACGTCAATGGCCAAATTCTTATGGAGATTGATCTCGAGTTACAGGTAGGAATGGGCAATGACGACGAGCTTGCCGATGCTCTAGCTCTTCCTGCCGATGACAACGATGGCGCTGACATAGCCGCCCAGGATGGACAAGCTCGAGCGGGCCAGAATAACGGACAAGGAATGGACCTGGGCCGACGCCAAAACGAAATCATTCACGACACCGGAAACCTCACCGATATTGTTCTAGGAGCTCTCGTGTTCCCGGCTATCTCCGCATCAGTGGGTGGCCTTTTGAAATACGTTCTTCCTAAAGCCTGGACCACGCCATCTTCGGTTCTGGAGCGTAGCCGCCCTGGACTTCTCCAAACTCGTTGGGGTCGCAGTGTCGTTGGTGGTTGTATGTTTGTACTACTCAAAGACGCACTTGTTCTTTATTGCCGGTGGAAGCTGGCACAAACACACCGACGACGCAAGGTTTTGAATTATGATCGGTCCAAGGCCAGAAAACCAGGGTCAGCGAAGCGATGAACTCAAAGATGCGAAACGATCCCATTTGTTGCGCCGCGATACCTGTTTCCTGTCCATTTGCATCCTACGGCGTTATATTGTGGAGATTTACTTAATGATTTTGGCGGGGTGTACCATTCACACGCGTCGCTCTGACACTTGATGCCTCTTATGACCCTCAATATCCCACTGCGCATTACAATCCGTTCTCTCTATTCTCTCTATTCTCTCTATTCTCTCTATTCTCTCTATTCTCTCTATTCTCTTATTTGACACATTGCCTATAATCTTGAATCTGTATGGATTGAGTATGCATTTTGATTACACACTGTATGTAACACCATGGGTATCTTCTCCAAGGAGATAAAAATCGGAGACCATACTATGAATGTCTGCTCGTTTTATTAGTGCCATATTAAAGGACAGTTGCTCTCGTAAAATACTATACTCGTTGTTGCAGTATACAGGTAACAGAAGTAACTTAAGCGCGCGGCTACCTCAAGGCGGCGAAGATTCTGCCGTCAGGGAATTATTCGGCCCTGAACTGCACGGCGACATCCTCTTTTACATCCCCCATATACCCCAACCACAATGAAGTCTCTATCACCAGCGCTCGCGTCACTCGCGAATGTCTTCCGAATTCCCATGTCGCTGGCACCGGTGCGCCCCTCAGTCACCCGTGCCTGCCAAGAGACCCTGACCCGGCGGGCAACACAACCGGGCCCGATCACCGCAGCCGTGCAATCTGCCCCCTTCTCATCGACAAGCTCCATGGCAAAGCGCGCAGGTGCCCGCCCTGGAACAGACAAGCGAATCAGTACGTTCAATCTACAATTGTCGCGAAATGCGCCCCATCCCTCTTCAATTGCCAAGCCACGTGCCCGCTCCGAAATCCGACACACCCCGGAGCAAGAGCAAGAACAGGAATGAGAAACCTCCGAAGCTAACAGCAATATCTTTAGCCCTTATCCGCTACTTCCTCCACCACCCCCTCACCCCGCGTCCCCTCCGTTTCTCCCGTAACCGTTTCCTCCGTCACTGGACTATCCACCGTACCTGGCAACTCTTCCAGGCAAAGCAGCGCCAAAACCACGAGTTCGAGTTGCAGCGCCAGTACCAGAGCATGCAGGCTGCTTGTGAGGAGCTGCGGACTGGTGCCGGTGACGGTGGCAAGCTGTTCCGCAAGTCCATGAACAAGAAGGGTATCTTCAATGATATGTTCCCCATCGAGTACGGACGCATGCAGACCGATTACCCGCCTGCTGAGGGGTGGAATCATGAGTGGAAGAAGCCGACGAAGAAATAGGTATCCAGGCTTTTTCTTGAACCTATGTTTTGTGTCGACTGAGTGATATTGAAGCGAATGCTAAATTCGCCTTGGGTTGTCTTGTATCATTGGCGCCATGTACTATATATATGCATTTTATCTTCTTTGTCAAACCTTCCTATACTCATACCTACTTCTAGTTTCCAAGGGGATACAGTTTCCGTCCCGAGTCGATCTTAAGATAAGACTCGTGCACGTAAACTCTCTAACCCCAATTTTGGAATTGTGCAATTACCAAGGCCTTAAACAAAGTAGATCAGGATTTCAGTATCGAAATGGATGCGACAAGATTTGCATTGAACGCTTTCGAGAGCGGTGCGACTTCTACTACAGCTAGTAGATATCGATAGTCCTAAAATACAAAAATAACAAATACAGTACACAGAATCCCGGGCGAGGTAATTGATTATGTAGTACCCGGGGAAAGAGTAACAACACACAGTATGAAAGGAGAGAGAGTGACAGTAAATGCGACACGTAAGAAGCATCAAAGGAGCGAGATTCGCTATGCACGTCGGGGAATTTGCAAAAGAGAGACAGGGACCGGTATCCGGGGTTGCACGTGCATCAAGTCGGAAAATGATGGAAAAAAGTAATGGCCAGTCAAGGAAAGACATGAAGTGAAGAGAGAGAGAGAAAAACAAATGTACTCCGAGAGAGAATAGACACGGCCAAAAAATAAAAATAAACACAGTCGGGGTAAAATCAAAGGCAGACATCGTGCCCGAGTCAATTGACTAGGCGAGCAGGCACTAGAACCTCCCAAACGCCAAGGATGCATGATACAGCGGAAGGTCGATTGAACGGCAAGCAAAATGAAGCATGAACCAAGTTCATCGCTTTTCCAAGTCGGGAGAGTAAACAAAACCGAACGCTGACAGAGAAAGAAGTTGCAATGTCGTGCACTCTTATGTAATGAAGTCATTATAGCACCACGCAGCAGGAACTTTCCCGCTTGTCAAAAGTTAGAAGGGCAGCTCGAGTGGCTGCTTCGAACACATCGTCAACACCCTCGCCGGTCAAGGAGGAGCATTCAAGATATTTGCGGGCTCCGATGTTGGTGCCGGTGTCATTGCCCTCCTTGGCTGTGACGAATTTGAGGGACTTTTTGCGCATTTCTTCGATGGCGAGTGGATCTTCTCGCAGATCCTTTTTGAGACCGACGAGGATGATGGGTACACCGGGGCAGCGTTCGTTCGCTTCTTCAATCCACTATCACCTCTGGTATTAGTGGCCATCCGATATTGTGTTCCGATAGCAGATTTGCAAGACGAACCTTGTGTTTTACGTTCTCCAGCGTGTCCGGTGTGTCCACGGCGAACCCAATCAGAAGAACATGAGCCTTGGAGTATGCCAACGGGCGCAGTCGTTCGTAATCTTCTTGTCCAGCTGTATCCCAAAGAGCCAATTGCACGGAGCGGCCATCGACTCGACAATCCGTTACGTAGTTTTCGAATACCGTGGGGACCTAGGCAGCAGATTAGATGGGTTGAGTTGGACGGGTTTCTCAAGACCGGGGCGGTTGACTAACATAATGCTATGGATTGTAAAAATAAGTCAGCTTGGGAAGTCCTGTTTTCGAGCAGATAGCCTTTTGATTTGCTGATGAAGACTTACAGTTGGGAAGTAGCCGAGTGTGAAGACGCTGAGTAAACTAGTTTTCCCGCACGCGCCATCTCCGATTATCACAAGTTTCCTGGATGTATCAGTTGAGGTTAGCATTTTGATACGATGATTGCAGAAATACAATTGCAGATTATGCAAGAATCCTTTTCAGTTCTCCACGGGATGGAATTGCCACACTGCGGAGACACTGACAGGGCCTCGTACGATCTAGGCCGGAGGGGGTATGACAAAGTGCAAAGGAAGGAACTGGCCGCGCGTACCTCCGCATCACATTATCGCCTTGTTGTTGCGCCATCTTTTCAATGGACCGGGTGGGGCAGAGGAATCTTGCAAGCGCTGCTTGACAAGAGAGTGGAAGAAAAGAGAATGATGACCCCGATTACAGGCGTGAGATAATCAGGTCAAGTCAGGCCCACGGAGACGCAACACAAGAAGCAGGGGTAAGGGGAGTTCAGCCCTGCGCGTGAACCGTATTGCCGCCCAATAACCAGATGATGCAGGCGAGGTCGCCCTAAGATAATAAAACAACAGTGAAATGGCTTTTTAAGTTCGTGAGGACGGTTGACCCGGGGGAGGAGGGGGGGGCTAAAGCGTGGTGTCGGCTGGGAGAGGTGGGATGCAGTTGACGAATTGGGTTGCTAGATCTGAGCCTTCATAAAAGTCCGATGCACCGGACACGAAGGTAATAGAGGACAAGGAAAGAACGAGAAACAAAAGAAGAAAAAGGCTAACGAGAGAGATTGTATTTTGGAATTGAGTAAGCGAAAGAGAGTTGCCGGTCTTACGATAAGATGAAGGGGGGAAAGGAAAGAACGGGAATGCGGTTAAATTAGTTGTAAGGCAACACGGAGATTTAAGGTACGCTGGAGGATAGTACTAGGTTTCAAAGACTACTACTGGTTATAAGGACTCAGGAGAGGTTCTCCATAGAATACGATAATGTTGTTTCTGATTTTCGGACACTCCGTAGGCAATACTCTTGAACAAAATCAGATTGTGGAAAGTTATTTTTAATCATTAGCGCTATGTCTCACTGCGCCAGGTGGAGTAGTAGCAACAACGACGTACATATCCTACATATCCCGTAGATCCGTGTTGAAGGCAACTGGTTAGACAATTCACCGCATTTCACACTGTGGGATACTTTAGACAGGCAGTACGGAGTAGAAAGCGGAGTGGAAAGCGGAGTTGAAAGCGGAGTTGAAAGCGGAGTTGAATCTCAAGTACCACGTGATGGCAGAAACTACGAAACATCTAGCATTAATCAATCCGAACATACTCAGATCACGAGTCACGATCTCCTAGAGCCCTAACGATATGAAATATAACAGCGCAGAAACACCCAGGAATACAGTTCTGATTTTCACCTTAGAGTACTATAAACCCGCTAAATAATATCATAAGAATACTCAAAAATGGCATATGTAGATTACTATTAGACGATACTTGAGGCATCAAATCGCTTGTAGCGCCTAATAACTAGTAAGCGCGGGCAGTCCGCAATGATCAATGCCAATGGTTGTTCGTTTCGAAGACACGGGGATTCGTGATGCTATAGAAAGCGTCCTCACGAAAGACGTTGTACGGAATCCAAGGCGGTTAGAAGACCCTCATTTCCTTGCCAACTAGCAGTCTCTTTCTTGCGCTCTTTGGTTCTTTCTTCATGATTTCCACCCATAACCAGCCTTCCCGCAGCTGATTGGACTCTCCCCCGGTTCCTCACTGTCTTTCAACCCCCTCTCCACTACCTTGCTGGTGCTCGGACAGACGCTCTCCCTTGACAACAACCGCCAGAGAAATCTCCTTGGTAGTTTTGGACGCAGCCAGGGGCTTGGATCTTCCAGTAAGTCACTCATGTGCACTGAATTGATTCGGAGCTTGGAGCGTTCACAGCGCGGTCTCCGCTTTTCCGCTTGTTTTCACCAACCCGCCCCTCTCATCCCCTCCCCGCCTTCAAACCTTTTGATCTTTCTTCCCTTGGTGCTGATATTGCTCTGTATCGCAATAGAAATCAGCTGGGGACTGTCTCCCAGTCTTATCCCGGCCCCAGCATGGCGACCCAAGCGTCGGCCAATCCCTCACCACCGACCAACGGCGATGCGCGGGGACCGTCAAGCCCAACTGCCTCTGCGAGCATTCCGACACCGGCGCATGTGAATCGCAAGAAACAGAAGCGCCGCGAAAAGCAAGCTGCTCGTCTTGCTGTCGACTCGTCCAATGTCCACGCTTCCCCGGATCTGGATATGACAGCCGACGATAGACAATCCAATGGCCACGAGGTCGATAGCGCAGATCTTGACCATGCTGGATCGGACGATACATTTCATAACGGAGAAAGCTATGATATGAACGAGCTCCCGATATCAAACGATCCCGACGGCGCAACCTCGTCAAAATCAAAGAAAAAGAAACCCAAGAAAGGTCGCTCTGACTCACACATAACGGCTGATGGCAGCTTGAGTCCTCATTCCTCTCCTTCCGCTACGTTCTCGCATCTTCCGCATCCACACTCGCTCCCCTATTCGCGCTTCCCTGACAAGTCCGCCAAGGAAAACAAGATTTGGAACCAATCGACCTTGGAGGAGCGTGAGAATATTCGAACATTTTGGTTTGAGTTGGGCAACGAGGAGCGACATCAGCTCGTGACAGTAGAAAAGGATGCTGTCCTCAGGAAGATGAAAGAGCAGCAGAAGCACTCCTGTAGCTGCACCGTCTGTGGTCGAAAACGAACCGCAATTGAAGAAGAGCTAGAGGTTTTGTACGATGCGTACTATGAGGAGCTCGAGCATTACGCCAACACAAATCAAGGCTCATTCGAAGAGGGTGCACCTATCATCCCTCCGCCTCGACTTTCCCGATCAACGTTTCAATCTCCTGGTCAGCATATCCACACGGACAGCCAATACCACCCATCGAGCGGCCGAGTTCAGGAGCTGGCCGAGGATGATGATGAAGATGACGACGAAGACGTGGAGGGCTCGGGAGGTGAATATGATGATGATGACGAGGAAGGTGAGGACGAGCTCTACAGCGATAATGATCTCGACGACGAGGAAGGCCGCTTCGCTCGCGCGGACTTTTTCGCATTCGGAAATAGCTTGACTGTTAAAGGTGCGGTGATATGCAAGCTTAAACTGTCCCAAATATTTGGTCGTTTTCTAACAGTTCATTGGATAGATGGTATTCTCACTGTGGCTGATGATCTCCTGAAAAATGAAGGCAAACACTTCATTGACATGATGGAGCAACTAGCCGAGCGTCGGATTCATCGACAAGGAGACACACAATACAAAATAGCTGCCGCTCATCCATCATTCACTGACGAAAATCAAAGTCAAGCGCGACTTGACGATTATGACGATGAAGAGGATGAAGACTTTGACAGTCAAGAAGGAGACGAAGAAGAGTTTGATGAGGACGAAATGGTAAGTTTCAAACGCCTCGTTTTGAAGCCATCTGTACTGACAGACATGGAAGGATGCGATGACAGAAGAGCAGCGCATGCAGGAAGGCCGTCGCATGTTCCAGATATTTGCCGCTCGGATGTTTGAACAACGAGTGATGACCGCTTATCGAGAGAAAGTTGCTGAACAGCGTCAAAAGCAGCTGATCGAGGAGCTTCAAGAAGAAGAAAATCTAAACGAGCAGCGCAATGCTAAAAAGGCACGAGAAGCTTCAAAGAAGAAAGATAAGAAGCGCCTGCAGAAACAGGCCAAAGAAGAGGAGAAAGCTCGTCGTGACGCTGAGAAAGCGGCTGAAGAAGCCGCAGCCAAAGCTGCCCATGCCAAGAAACTAGAGGAGCAACGGTTGAAACGTGAGGAACAGCGATTGAAGCGGGAGGCTGATCGTAAATCCTACGAAGAGGAGCGTGCTCGGAAGGAGGCAGAGAAGCAGCGGCGTCTTAAGGAGGAGAGAGAGAGACAAGCCGAATCAGAACGTAAACAGCGAGAGCAAAAGGAAGAGAAAAAGAAGCGAGAAGAGAAGAAGCGGAAAGAAAATGAGGAAAGCGAAGCCCTTGCAAAGGCGAAAGCGATTGAGAAGCGAAAAGAAAATGAGGAAAGCGAAGCCCGTGCAAAGGCGAAAGCAATCGAGAAGCGAAAAGAAGATGAGGAAAGCGAAGCCCGTGCAAAGGCGAAAGCAATCGAGAATACCAAGGCTTTGCGCGAGCAGCAGGAGCGAGCAAAGAGTGAGCTGGCAACTGACGCAAAGTGCACCGCCGGCGAGACAGATAACCCTAACACAGCTGGACTGCCTAGCACAGCCAGGGTCACGCTGGAAAACCCCCCCGCCGAGCCCGAGCACATTCTTCCTTCCCCAACTCGGACAAAGTCAACCACTCCCAGCGACGTGAATTTGTCTACCTCACGGCTACACTCTACCGCAGCCGTGGTACGGCTGCCCTCCACAGTAGCCGTGGTGGAACCCAGCGCTGCCGAGCAGATTCCGAGTCCGACAATTCAAAAGGAATTCGCCCCTGACACTGGTGAGGTGGACGTCTCTACAGCAGCCGCGATGGCGCGCAAATCTAACGCTCGCAAGCGTGCGAACAATCGAAACGAATCCACCATCAACGCCAGCGTCAGAATGACCAATGAGATGGAAAGTGTCAACGAACGGACTTTCAGAGCTGGCTCTCGTTTCGGAACTTCAATTCTCTCCCCTGCCGCTCATATTCCGTCGGATTCTGTTCTCGCCTCTACCCAGATCCCTCAATACCCTCAGAACCATCCATATCTTCAATACTCTCAATACTCTCAATACTCCCAATACTCTCAATACGCCCAATACGCCCAATACTCCCAATATGCTCCATCCTCTCAATACTCTCACTTTCCTCAATACAACATGGGAAACAATACCACTCCCAAGATTGACACTTCTGCCAGGCCACGACAAACATCCCTGTTTGTGCCTCGCCCTTCATCCTCGAATCCTCAACCATTCTCTTCGCAAATCTTCCCGCAGTCTATTTCTCCCCGTTCAATTGTGCAGCCGCAGAGTGCAGCCACTGGGGGCAGATCAGGTTACCAGCAGCCACCAACTTTACACCATCCTCAACCTTCCTCCCCCTTGTCGCCTCTTGGCAGAACCTACCCTCCTGGCTTCTCGGGCTTCGTTGGGCTACCTTCGATGAATGCAGGTCTGCCAGGCCTGAGTGCTCAAGCCGAGTCACTTGATGATCCTGAGTATTCTCCTTTGGAGGAGAAGTGGAAACCAGATTACACCCAGAGAAATCGGTCCCTCGCTTTCGCTGAGCCGAGTGACAACAGCGGATCACGCGCAATTCGCACTGTTTCTTCTGGCAGAGGTTTTCCATCTGATCCTGCCCAGGGTATTCAATCCTCTGCATACCATGGAACGCCTGGTGCATTCCTTATGCAGCAACCCGGATCTCGACTGGAGTCTTCTGACTTGGCATCTCCGTTCTCGCGTCTTAGTCTTGGCAATGGCCGGACACAGCCAAGCGGTGCAGGATATTACCATGACGTTCATGGTCCACCATATTACCACGACCATGAACATTACCCGTCCCCCCGGATTCTCCATCGCAGTCTACTTGACGATATTCATGACCTGTATCCGCCCAACGCAGAACGTGCATTGCTCACCACCTTGCCAGAAGAGCTCCCTTTCCCAACCCGAGCTAGTTTCCAACAGGGATCACCTCTTCCTGAACCTTTAGGATCCAAGTCCACCAAACTTGGAGTCAATGATCCTGGATGGAAGGATCCTTTTTCAGGCACTGTTTTCTCGTCGACTTGGTGCAAACCTACTAGTAAGTCGGTCTGTGTACTATTTTTCAATGAGGCATCCACTAATATCAATTGATAGGTGTCCGCTGGCCACAGCCTCGGCCGAATACCAACCCGTTCGCTGCTGGTGGGACCGCTCGTCGTGGCCCCCTCCGTCGATCTGTGACTGTTCGTCTCTTGCTTGCTCAGGCTTGCACGAACCTAAACCCGAAGGGTACTCCAGCCTACCACACATTCGATGAAGCGCTTGCCGAGATGAACCGACTGCTTCCATTCGATTCAAACGAGGCTCCTATCAAGATGGTTGAGGTGCTGGATATCTGCGACACAGACGGTACTCTTGTGAACGGCGGTGGGTCTTTCTGTATCAGAGAAGACATAATGTCTGTTAGGTTTGAACCACATAGGACCGGAGCGGTACCTGATCGCCGCGGTGAGGTTCCGGTAAAGGGTATTCGCACCCGCCCCACCGACGAATAGCAACCCTGCTAAATCCGAGGGACTTGCTCCTGTGCACCGACAAGGCCAATATTCGCCAAACCGGAGGGACTTCCTCCTGTGCCTAAGGCCAATACTTCTCGCCCAAGGCCAGATTCTTTGACGAGACTTCTTAATCCTTTTATGATTATGACCCCTTTGATCATATAAGACCGACTGACCTCTTTGATTGTTCCACTGATCATATCTTGGGACAACAAAGACTGTGCAGTCTTGTGGTTTTAATACCTCGGTCAAATTAGTATGTATTCTTATGGAACGGGAACGACATCTGAAATGCCTTTGATCTATTGTTTTCATGTTATCCGTCTCTCCCCATCTATTGATTTAAAGCGTCTCGCATTTACGGCTCACCCATCCATGTTTTCTCGTTTCTTCGGGTGCTTTTTTTTCGAACTGTCATGGGTGTCTGCTGCTTGGGGGTTTTTTTTCTTATTTCCTTTTATGTTCTAGCCTATGGGGCTTTGATCCGGGCATATGGGTCTGATTTTTTTGTTCGTTTGACTTATCTTTGACTTTCTGCATTATGCTGCGATATCCAAGGAGCTTGGGACAATCTCCCCCTCCGTCATCGTCCTTTACCGCAATTGCATGATTGAAGGTTTCTTCTCTCGTCACTTTGATCCCTACTAGCCTATTACGAGTCCGATCCTGTAGTCCGTATTGTATTATTCTTCTCTGCCAAGTCCAGGGGAAGATATCAAAAGTAAACACATGTGTAGCCAAACCTTGGACAACGGACATGGCACTTCTTGACACCATCCAGTATACTGGCTAGTATCAAGTTACCGAGGCTCTGCGGGTGAGGCTCAGCCTTCTCAGCCTTTAGTGTTCAGGGCTGAACGGTCACGTGGACATGCACCCGCGTCAGGCGAAAGGCTCCACCAGTTGACAGCGGTGGCCGAACATCTCCACGGTGTACTAGTCGGCAACCTTCCAAAACATCAAATGATTGGACGCACACAACTACGTAGTGAATTTAGCACGGATTAGTAGTATTGGAAGTAATTTTGAAATCCATACGTCGAAACTTTGGGATTTAGGTATGGCATGAGCATGGTACACTTGTATATACTGAAAAACGAAAGAAATAAGTATCATAGGTAATGGCTGGCTTCCAGAAAGCAAGACGTAAAAATGAAATAAGATGAAAAGGTTCAGGGGGGGGGGAGGCCACAGGTGAAGGATCCTAAGGCCTCGGGGGAAGGAAACAAAATCCACAATGCACTATCGCATCTCGTACAAAAAACAAACATGCCTCCTCGAGAGACCTAAATATTGCAAAGCTGACAGAAGCCTTGACAGAGCCCCAGTTAACACCAAATGAAGGGGAGAATCGACGCTACTGCTTCTCTGTAATGACACCTTCGTAATCTCGGGTCCGGATGTACTCGAGTGTACGCTCGAAATGACGCTTCGGGCCATCGAGGTTAGGATTAGGTTCGTCCTCGGTGTTAGAAAGGTTCGAGTGAATGAGCTCAATAAGTCCATTGAGGTATTTGGTGGTGACAGTCTCATTTTGCTGGTCGAAGTAGTAGACATAGCGATTGAGGATTTCCACAAAGAGTTCGACGGAGACAGCTGTGTCCATGCAAGCGTCTGCGACTCTAAGAGCACGCTGGAGGCACTCCAGAACACGTTTTCCGTCGCGGTAAAGCTGTTGGTTGCTATGTAAGTAAACATCATCGAGAAGCCAGGGTATTGTAGATTCTTACATTCTTGGGATCCTCCTCTCCACGCTGCGGGTTTTCAACGACCCACCAGAGGTGACTGGCAAGATAGACCGCACGGCATTGGTCTGGCTTCTTCAGAAGCTTGCTGCCGTGGAGCGCGGCTTTAGTAATCAAGGTGTCGTAATTCTCCTTGGAAAAGCCGCGGGCGCCATGCAGAGCTCCAGAAATAATGCAAACTGCCTGAAACTGTGCGCGGGAATCGCTAATTGAATCTTCGTAGATAGTAAATGCTTGCGCGAAGAACTCATAGCTAACCTCCTCGAAGCCAGTTTGGTCTGCGACCTCACCGCACATCACAAACAATCGCAGCGCCAAGTCGACGCAGCCTGGGTTCACTCGCTGGTACAGGTTGTTTACACATTGGTGTAAGAAACGGTATAGAGCAGAGGATTGCGATTGCCAATTGTCATCGTAGTGCTCACGAGACTTCAATTTCCGAGCCAGGCGAATTGAAGCGGTCACAATAGCAGGAGTAGTGTAACGAATGCGCTCATTTCCATCAGCATACGCCTTGCGCGTTGCTTGAAGGAGCTATTTCCCAGGTTAGTTAGTTATGATATAGGCCACATGGACTTGACGTCTTTCAAGGGTTTCTTACCTTGAGCTGAGTATCGTTGTCCGGTCCTTGAATCAAGTGCACTAATCTTGCAAGCCACCCTTGCTCTTCAACTGTCTCATCCGTCTCCCCTCCACGGCGCTGAGATTGCGCTCCTGGATATCCAACAGACTGTTGAGTTCCCTCCTTGATCAAAACTCTTGCCGTTTGTAGAACACGGTCAAGATTCTCTTGGTTCGAGATGACAATCTTATTTTTGAGAAGACTCCGGATAATCTCACCAGCAATAGATCTCCGAGTGGGGTATGACTGGGCTGTCAGGAGGGGCAGGTAGTGTGGTAAAGCAAGGGCTGTAAAGATCGAAACATAAGAATGGACGGGGGCGTTAAGAAGGTGCAGAATATGTTGTTGGGTGGGTGCTGAGTGCAGATCGGCGTAGTCAGTGTATTCAACTGTCTTTTGAGTCGCAAAGTCCAAGACTTTATCAACATATTCCAACCGATCGGGATGGATCTTCAATGCCAAGTTGACAAGCGATACGAGGAGAGCCATGATATCTTCAATTGACATTGAGATTGACATGACTTGGGATGTGCTGCCCTTGCTGGCTGTGCGAATTTTGATCAAGTTGACGACCTGCTCATAGAAGATATCAAAGAGCTTGATTTCTGCAGGAAGAGGCTTTGCGTCCTCTTCGTTAGTAGTAGGTTCTGTCTCTTTCACAGGCTCTTCAGCCTTGCTTTGCTCCCCAGTGCCGTTTTCTTGGGGTGCCTTTCCCTTGGCGGCCTCGCTCAATTCTTGCTTTTTGGTCTCTTTGTCCAGTTCCAGCTTCTCCAATAACTCCGTAACGGCCTTTTCTTCGAGTTGTTTCCGGGCCTCCGGCTCATTTTCTGGAGATTCTGCATCTCCGTCTTTTGCCGCGTAGGTCGAGAGACGGTCCATTAACCCAATAACAATTTTCTTGAGATCGACAGCTTGGTGAAGCTGGCTGATAGCAGTCAACAGGAGGTCAAGGGTATGAATGTGGAATTCATCTGGGAAGACCTTGGTGATCACTATTACGCAAGTTAGTAAAATAATGCGCATGGACTTTGTAGAATAGAAACCCTACCCTCTAGAAGATACTCCTGCGCTAGCACATCCCGACAATTCACCACTTGTAGGAGAAGCGCGGATAGGATACCATTCTTGTATGCTTCAAGATCCACCAACTGGCTCAGGCGAACAAGATTGCTACCCACAAGTAGCTCAAGCTCTCGCCTCTCCTGTATCCGGCGTTCGGTTTCTCGCGAGGGACCTTGGTGCTGAAGCCGCACCCAGAGCTTATTCATTTCCACGAAATTAGTCAGGACGAAGTTGATCGAGTCCTTCAAATTTCCCTCTGGCCCATCACTAGTTCCAGAAGGCAAGTAATCCCGCGCTTGGCCGGACAGATAGTATCGCAAGAACAAACCGCGAATGGGATGTTGAATGCCACGACTCATCTCCATCATATCCTTCATAATCTCCTTCACTGGCGCATTCTCCACCGACATATACACAGTACCAACAGTGATCATGAGGTATAAGCGGGGCACAATATTTCCGGCATATTGAACAAGCTCGTACAGGTCCGCCAGGTGGTTGACGGGGTGGTTCTCTTTAAGGTAGACGGATAGGTGTCGCAACGCATCGAAGACGGCCATGTACAATTCGTAATACTGCTTCGGACCGAGGCTAGGAGTTCGCAATTCGGAGACTAGAGTTGATCTGCGGACCCCAAATGAGGGTTTGGTTAGCACACAAGTTCATTGCGCGACAACCCGCATGGTTGCCTGCTGAGGCGAGGACAGCTTACCCGCATTTGAGCGCATCCATGAGCTTCCCAGGATTTTCTAAGCATTTGCGCATCATAGCCGACTGTTGCCTCACTACCCCCAATGCATCCTCGAGGAGGCGGGTTTGGTCCTCCGGGACAGGCGGTGGGCTGGCCATGGTGGAGGGAGTGAGGGGGAGCTGAGAGATGAAAGCAGGCGGTAAACAGCTGCGCGTTTAGAGCAATGATCGAGCTTGCGAGGGGCTCTTCACCACGCTTAACAATTCATACGAGAATTGAAGGTCTTGGTTGTTGGTTGACGTGTGGTGTTTGGAGGTGAGAGGGAGGGAGGTGAGTTGGAGCAAGAAGGATAAGCTAATGAGATGCCGTGGCCGTGGCACTAGTGTTAACTACTAGTATTAACTAATATGGGGTCGACAACCGCCGAAACGTCACTGAACAACGCAAGTTGTATTTTCTCTCTGCGTTTCAAACTAGTTACATACTAATATGATAATATGGGATGTTTTTTATTGGAGTTTCTTTTTTTCATTCAATTTTTTTTTCCTTTTTTTTTTCTTATCAATTTTTTTTGGCGGGGAGGTTCGCTTTCCTCTTTCCATCGGCTTTCCCCTGTCCATCACCATCATGTACCCATCACCTCCTCATCAACGGCCCTGACCCGATTACGACTGCGTGTCATAATCTTCCGCTCGAACGACTCCTGTCACCGGCATGTGATCTTGCCCTCCTACCGGGGCACCACATTCCGGGCACGAGGCCTCTTCCATCGGTGCTCCGCATTCGCCGATGGTGAACGGATGGTTATTGCGGCAGTAGTACCAATGCCCACTTCCCTGAAAGGTTACCGCCATGGCTTCGATGATGTCCATACGCTCCTGACTGGTGACCCCGGCGTAGAATCTGCCCTCCAGGAGCATCTTCTCGGCATTTTCGATTTCGCTAGGTAAGCCACTAGTTTGGCCAGGGTATGCCTGGCAAACTTTTCTGGCTTCACTAACACAGTGGGCGCCTTTCTGAAGATAGATATCGCCCACTTCTCGGGACACGTATGCACGTTCCAAAGCATAAAGCTCTGCCTCGAATATCAAGCCTTCCACCTGGTGAACTCTCCGCTCGCCTGAGATAGCTTTGCCAGTAAGATGACGGCAGTCGCAACGCAGATGCTCAAGGTCAATCTGAAGTACCTGATCTTTGGTAATAGTCGATTTTTCTAGTGCCAGGAAATCCGAAAGCAGAGCAATATCCAGCCGGAGGCTAAGAGCCGCTCCTTGGAGGAGTCCTTTGACTTGCAAGATTCCATTGTCAAATTCGAAATCCCCTGTAGTCTTTTTCTGGCGCTTTGCCATAATCACCATTTCCCAAACTTTCTGGAAAGGTTGTTCCTGTGGGCGAATATTCGCAAGGTACTTCATGATCCGAACTCGCAAGTCAAGCATGTTTGCCCACCTTCGAGGACTCACGCTGTTCATGACTCCCACCATCTCTTTGATTTGGGCTAGGCTCTGGCCTTTGATTTGGACCGCTGGCCATCGAGACATTTCTGGATGGCGATTATTTCGAAGCTCCTGGATCCCATCAGCCAGACTCTTCGCAAGAGGGACGAATTCTCGATTCAGGAGCAGAATAAGCTTCTTGGTGGATTCGTCTAGAAGAGCTCGCCGAATCAGTCGGCCATATCTAGCAAGGTTTCTCAGAGGACCGCGGCAAATTCCACATGTCTTCATGTCTTCCATGGAGAATGGTTGCGACGATTTAAGAAGGGCGGTAGGTTTTCCGTCAGCGTCAAGTTCGTAATGGTTCTTCAAGTCCATCTGAGCATCCATGCTCGTCAAAGCGAGGAAATGTCCACACTGTGGGAAAATGCACGGATCTTCATCAAGATTCGTGTCTTTGTATGTGGCACCGGTATAATAATCGACCTGGCGATTCTTGATATCGTCGGTTGCACAAACTTGACAAAATGATGAGGGTGGGCATGTCTCGCCGCACACTGAAGGACATTGATGTCCGCACTTGAGAATTTTAACACACCGGAGAGAACAAGGCACATGGTCACATGGTGCGGCACAAGGCATCGAGCACTGGCTGTGTGGGCATGCAGAGAGACAGATAATTGCTGCACACGGGGCGCAGGGCTCAAAGCACAACTTTGGGCACTGTGAATGGGCGCAGGCGACCTGACATTTGGCCCTGCATGGAGGACAGGGCTCATTCCCGTGGCACAAAGCAGCACAGCTGTGAGCACATGTGGTTAGATTTCGTCCACATACTCGCTGGCACTTCCCATGAATGGTTTGACTCTCATCATCTTCACGCTCATTTTTATCGATGCAGCACTTTCTAGTGCAATTGTGGCCACAAGGCAATACCTGGCGACACTCAGCATCACACCGATACTCGAGGGATTTCACGTCCACGTGGCATTCAACGGTAACTGTGTGGCCGCAGCGAGGAGCTGTCTTTTGGACATTCTTAGAACAAAGTTGAACACTCGAGGGATCTTGATTTTGCCAGCAAGGCAAACTCTTTTTGGTACTATGACCGCATCGGAGCCTGCGATCTTTTGATTGGACCATGAACATGCACTTGTCGGGGCATTGTTCACCACACAAGCTGAGGCATTCATGATCACATCCTTCTCGCGACCGATTGCAAGGCTCGAGGCACATAACAGCGCCGTGGAGAATATCAGAATGACAGCTCTGGCGACAAGTGTGGCCACATGCTAGCCGCTTGGCGCACTTAAGATGACAGCCTCCCTCGGGAGAGAATTTCAAGAAATCTTCAGGCTTAGAAACGACAATCGGTGTTTCTGGATGTCGTGGACACTGCAGCTCCAGTTTTGGACCGATGTTGTTACCCTGGCGGAGAAGTCTTTGCACATGAGCCCACATGTCGATTTGTCCGAAAGTTTCGGAGTTGCCAATCAGATACATTCCATGCTGAGCCCGGGACAAGAGGACATTGTTTCGTTGTGAGCTTCGCAAGAACCCACAGTTGAGCGCTAGATTGCTCCGGACTAGGGAGATCACCACCACTTTGGCCTCCTCGCCTTGGAAGTTATCAACAGTAGACAGTCTCAAAACCTTGGATAGGGGTGTCTTGACGATTGCCGAATTATCTTCAATGTCTTCGAAGCCGGCTTTTTTGAGCTCTTCTTGGTCACGTTCATTCAATGCAAGAACAGCAGAACCCCTCAGCCTCTGTGTCAATCTGTGTAGTTGTCCCAGATATGGAGTCAGTACAGCTATGTCCTGTTCGTGGTATGTGCCCTGCTGAGTGAGGTGATGCACCAAAGCGGCTATCATATCGACTTCGAATTCATTCCAGCAAGACGTCGATACTTCTGACCCATTTGACAATCCACCTTCCAGCTTGCGGTGATCGAACCAGAACAGTCTTTTCTTGATGCCAGGCACTTCGGGGTAGTTGTAAACATCCGGATGGTCTTCGATATTGGGATAAGATGTGTCACGAACCAGCTGGGCGATTGAAGGATGCATTCGCCTCTGCATCTCCAACATCTTGAAAGGTAGACCACATCCCATACGATTGGGATTTGAGTTCACCAATCTTTCGAAAAGAGACACGTCCAGTGAGTATTTCCAGCCATTTTGATGGTTATCCCGAGAGAGATCGTAACTTTGCACATGAGGAGGTAGTTGTTGATGGTCCCCAATCAAAATCAGATGTTCCACCTCAGGGAGGAGGGCTGTCAGGAGTTGAGGTTCAAGAACTTCCCCAGCCTCTTCACATATGATAACCTTGCATTGCAAATTTTGGACCATTTTCAGCCGCCTAGCTAGGCCTGTCGTCGTCGCTCCGACTACTTTCGCTTCATGCAAACAACGAAGGTTCACTTCGTCCTGAATTCCGGTGAACCTGACTTTAGCCTGGGCGTGGGACTTAACCACATGAACCGCCTCTGCATTCGCGCTCTGCCAAATTTCCTCGACCCAATGATCGTGCAGAATCTGGCGCTCTGAGTGGGACATGTTGGTCAGATTCGCTCTTTGAAGAGTTTCCAGAGTTCGAGGTTCATCCTTGCTCTTTAATCCTGAATCCTTCCAAGTCAAAATTGCAGAGCTGGGTTCCTGATCCCCATCCCTATCACCATATTCGAAAAGCTGGTTGTAGTGATGAGGGTAATAAATCCGAAGAAAGCCGACAAGTTCATCAAAGGGAATTTCCTTTCCGATATGGATATTGTCGAAACTGGTTTGATGCCTCGCCAGTGTACCCCGAACCTCTGCTATAGCTGACTTCTCCATTTTCGTCTTCTCCAGATCTTTGGAAACATTCCTGAGGCTCAAGGAGGTCATCTTATCCGATTGAGACCGACCGCCGATTCGAACGATTTTTGATGTAACTTTGTTGTTCAGTAAGGATTCCAAGAGTTGATCTAGAGCATGATTGGTGAATGTGACACAAAGAATTGGTCCCAAGCAGGTTTCTCTACGATCAATGCCGTTGAGAAGAGCTTTGATCAAGGCCACACCGGTGTAGCTCTTTCCCGTACCAGGGGGCCCTTGAATCAGACTAATTCTGTGTTGCAGACAGTGGACTAGGGCTTCGGCCTGGGCATGATCCATGTCTGAGCCGTCTTTGAGTCTTTGCAGATCGACAGGCTTGAAAGGATGGACCAAGAATTCTTTCCCGTCCCTCATCAAGGATGCAATATCATAATTGAAACCGGGCTGCAGGGAATACAAAGGAGGCATCGACTCAGATGAATCAGAAGAACCAGCTTGCTTAGGCAAAAACAGCCCTGGAAATGGCATAGCTGCATTCCTTTTCATCGACTGAAGGGCTTTCAGAGTCGGCTCAAATGATGGCAGAAGGACGTGGGGAAATTCGATCAGCGATAGGTCAATTCCAGTCCCTTCGTACAGCTCCAGAGCGGTCCGGACTTGGGTATCCTTGTGCTCAACAAGCACCAAAACAATCGATGCGACCTTCTGGCGTTTCCACAGGCCGATTCCCGGGCTCTCCCCTCTTTCGCCGGTAGCAGAGCTGGGGCTTCTCATTTCGCTGACAGTGCAGAATAGAATCTTTGTCAATTTTTGGGTGACCAAACATACAAGATTACCTGGTCGCAAGCGCCGCGAGTCTTGCCACCACGCCGCCCGAGCAGCAGTTGCCAGTACTGCCGCGGGGGCGGGCTGGGGGAAATTGACTTCCAATTCGAGTCTAGTAAGCGAGGACAAACAGCATTTTTCGACAGTCGCATTGCGATACACATTATTGCGAAGATCATTCTTTGACGGTTCGGACGAAGGCTTGTAGATGAAATGGTGAATAGCGTCACGAAGCTGGCCCACTGTGTCCTCTCTGAGAAGACGAAAGTTTCTATCGAGCAGTCCATCAAAGCCCCCGAGATGCCACTGTGCTGGATTCATCGCCGGAAGATACTCTGGCTGAATGCTGGCGATCTCCTCAAAGCTGGGCATGATATCGATGTTGCAGATGTCAGCATGATCGTTGTCGTGTCGGCCACCGGGGCCTTTGGGTTTATCAGCGGAGGGCATTTGGGAATCCTTGCTGTTGGTTGTGACAGAAGACGCTGTGGGGATCATATTTCCAACCTGCAGGCGACGTTGAACGCGGGCCATGTTGGCGAAGGACTGGTGAAGTTGATCAATTCCATGCTCGTTTTTCACGGTAACGAGTAGTTCATCAAACTTCTTGGCCAAATCGTGCAGACTTTGCTGGATAAGGGCCGTTGAGTTGAGATCCAGAATGCGAGAAAAGAAAAGGAGGGACACCTCAAGTTGCGAGATGCATGTGTTTTCAGCCACATTTTTCACCAGGAAATTGTGGATCTTTTCGAGGGTTGTCGAGGCTCTACTTCCATCGATACCGAACATGGATTTGTAAATGGTGCCCAAGTCCATCTCAAGGATGTAAGAGCGGAAGACATTATCCGGAGTGATAGCCCGCAGGAGGGGAATGAACTGTGAGGCAAAGGTGGTCTCAAATCGGCTTTCCAACAGGAAGCGGATGATTGCTAGACCTTCCTCTTGAGCGAGGGTCCGAATCACGTCTTGCATGCATCCTGCATTAGCCTCAATGAGATTACCAGCCCTAGTCATGAACGATTCCAGTTTTCCATCAACGCGCCACAAAGATGAGTTTCTGAGGACGGAGTCGTACTTCCACTCCCGAAGCATTTTGTCTGGTTCCTCAGGACGTACATGTGGGCGAGGCTGTCGGCGTTCATTGTTATTTCTAGTCTCTTGGATCATATGCCGGAAGCGGCAGTTCAGCCTGTGACACTGGCCCGTTCGGGCAAACTCATGGCAAAGGCTACTCTGGTTAGCAATTGTTTCAAACATTGAGAGGCTGGGGTGAGGAGGGGGGCATGGGGAGAGTATATGGGGGGGGGGGGGAGAGAGATACGAACCCAGTTGAGGCCATCGTTGTTTCTTCTTATTCGATGAACTTATTCAGTGATGCAATGAAAAGACACGGTGTAAGGGACGAATACTGGGGACGACGACGAGGAGAACGGAGAAAGAAAGAAGAGAAGGAGAAGTCAAGAAAAATCAATTTATACCCCGTGGTGGATTGAAACAAAACCGCACGTGCTTCGCCTGGATCTCCCGAATAGGCAAAATCTGGGGGAAAAGTGAAGACGATATTACCCCCACGTGCTCTATTGACAGTGAATACAAAGGGTACGAGAGAATCAGAGGGAACAATGAGATTCACTGCAGCACCTCCAAAGGAAGTGAAAGAAATTACACTTTGACGAGTCAGAAGAGGCAGAAAGCAAAAATTAGGGCTTCCCTATTCAGGTAAAGAGAGGGACGGCAGAACTTCAATAGTAACAGTGAACAAGAAGGCATCGTTTCATAATAGCACTGAATAAGGAGGCATCGTTTCATAATAACATTCAATACGAAAAGGCATCGTTTCATAATAACATTGAATAAGAAAATGCATCATGTAATGGCAAGAGGCTCCTAAATAAGCGGACAACGAGCTTACTGGGATATTGAATATGGGAAGACTGTAGGAATGGTCATATCAAATGTTTTCAACGATAGTGCGTTTCAGACACTGAAATAGCACAATCTCCAAACTCGAGCTATGGTTCGCAATACATGAACATTATATACACAACGTATGAAAGGAGGCAGCGTGGATAAAAAGAAACCCCGAGAGCAACTGAATAACTACTACATATAATGCATGTTGTTTGGAAACCCCTGATCTTATCCAGGTACCCGGGGTAAGAAAAGTGAAGTAGAGACAACCCGCGACTTAAACAGGCGCTATCACATTTCCCATATCGGTCGATCTGCAGGGGGCGATGGTTTTTTGGAAAGGAAAAGTTTTTTCGAGTTCAACATCTCCCCAGTCGCTTTTGGTGAACCCGCCAAGTAAAAACGCCATGGATATCAACGGTAAAAATAAGAGACGGTCAAAAACATGAACCGGCATCCCATCTGGAGGCTAGCTTGGTTGCCGGCTGGCCGCTGGCTTTAGGACTTTCATTTGCGGACAGCGAAGTCGACGTTGCGACTGCGCATCAGATCCTTGCGCTCCTTCTCCTTGGCCTCGTCGAAGACAAGGAACTCGTGCAGACCACGGCCGGAAGGAACCATGGGAAGAACAGGAACCTTGCGGTCAGTGATAACCTCCAGAAGAGCGGGGCCATCGTGTTCGATCAGCCACTTCAGCTTGGCCTCAACCTCAGCGGGGTTGGAGACACGGTCAGCGGCAACGCGCATAGCCTTGGCAAGAGGAACGAAATCAGGGTTCTGCTGGTGAGTGTGAGAGTAACGGTCATCGTAGAACAGGTTTTGCCTATGATCATTGTTAGAAGATGACAAATTGGATAGTAGAAAGATATAGAGTAACATACCATTGAGTGACCATACCCTGCTCCTCGTTGTTCAGCAAAAGGACCTTGACGCCAATGTTGAACTGGGCAGCAGTGGAAAGCTCGGTGAGAGTCATGTTGAAAGAGGCATCGCCATCAATGTCAATAACAAGGCAGTCGGGGCGGGCGACCTTGGCGCCAATGGCAGCAGGGAGACCGAATCCCATAGTACCAAGACCACCGGAGGTGATCATGGTACGGGGGTGACGCCAGCGGAAGTGCTGGGCAGTCCACATCTGGTGCTGACCCACACCGGTGGTGATGATGGTCTTCTCCTTCATGTGGGCAGTAAGATCACTGAGCTTCTCAATGACGGCTTGGGGCTTGATAGGGCCATCCACCTCCTGGCGCTCGTAGAGCGACAGAGGGAAACGAGTCTTCCAGTCGTTGATCTGCTCAAACCACTCAGGACGCTCGGCCACAGGCTTGACGTGAGGAAGGAGGAGACGGAGGTTGTCAGCGCAGTCACCCTCGACGGCCTCGGTGGCCTGGACAACCTTGTTAATGTTCTTGGGCATAATCTCGAAGTGGACAATACCACCACGTCCCTCAGCCGCGGCTAACTTGGCTTGCGGGGCAAACTTGGGAATGCTCAAAGTCACACGGTCATCAAAGCGAGCTCCAACAGCGATGATCAAATCAGCCTCCTGCATGGCCATGTTGGCGTAAGCAGAACCGTGCATGCCGAGCATGTGGAGAGCCTTGGGGTCCAACTCATCAAATCCACCAAGACCCTGGAGGGTAGTGGTAACAGGAATGGAGCACTTGTCAGCAAGCTCCTTGAGAATCTCAGGGCCATCAGGGCGAGCAAGAAGACCCTGACCAACATAGAGGATAGGCTTCTCGGCTTTGTTAACAAGGCGAGCAACACGGCTGATGGTGGTATCAAGAGAACGCTGGCTCATCTCACGAGCAGCCATGGTGGCCGCGCTGGGAAGAGATGGAATGGTGCTCTGCATGGGAATGGGGTTGCGGAGGATACCGGCGGTGACATCCTTGGGCAAGTCAACCAGGACAGGACCAGGGCGACCGCTGGTGGCAATCTCGAAAGCCTCCTGGATACGACGAGGAAGCTCACCAACAGACTTGACCATGACGTTCCACTTGGTGCAGGCACGTGAGATACCAACAACGTCAGCCTCCTGGAAGGCATCAGTACCGATGGCGCTGGTCACGACCTGACCAGTGAACACGACCATAGGAATACCATCAGACATGGCATCCTGCATGGGAGTAATGACGTTGGTGGCTCCAGGTCCAGAGGTAACCAGGACGACACCGGGCTTGCCAGATGCACGGGCGTAACCCTCGGCCATGTGACCAGCACCTTGTTCATGCTTGGGGAGGATGAAGTCGAAGTTCTTGGAGTTGTAGATGGCATCGAAAACGGGGAGAATGGCACCACCAGGGTAACCGACTGTAATTCATGGGTCAGGATATGAGCCCCAGAGACGGAGTTGATTTTCGGAGGAGGGTTATTACTCACAGACGTGCTTCACATCGAGACGCATCATCATCTCGTGGAAAATCTCACCACCACTCATTCCAACCATACTGATTCATTGTGTAAGTTTCCATTGCATTGGTCCCGGTTTGCAGGCTGGGCAAGGAATAGAAAGAAAGAAAAAAGATCAATAACGTACGAGTCATCAAGCTCGGGGAGCTTGCGGTTTGTGAGAGGCGAAACCTCATTGCGATGAGGCTCTTGGTTGAATGCCGGGCTAGGTACGGGACGGGGAGTTCTATGCAATGTGTTAGCATCATTGAATCCTTTGGTTTGCTGCTGCTGGAAACATGACTTACGTGGTGGCCGTCGCGGTGCTCTGGGCACGCTTCTGAGGAGAAGAGCGGTGGGGCGAGGCAGCGGAAGCCACGAACGAAGTTGAGAAGGGCCGACGACCAGAGGCGAGTTGCCTCTGGATGTGGATGGACCGCAGAGCGGACTTTGATGGTCTGAGAGGCAGCATCTTGAGACGACCAGGCCAGCAAACAGTAGGAAGGTGAATCAAGAAGAGGCAATTGGCCCTTGCTAGTAATGAATCCTTGGGGGAATGAAAAAAGCGGCCACCGGTCTGACTCAATTTCGAGGTTTGTGATTGGCTCAGATCTCCATCTGGTTCTCCGCACCTCCGACCTCGGCGTAAATCGGCGCATCACATGATCTAGCCGTTTTCGTGGATTTTTATGCATAACCCCATGACTAAGGTAGGTACAATCGATTGTACATGCAATTGATGCGAGGGGGAGAATATCGATTTAAGTGATACATGCATATGTTAGTTCTCGTAAAATAGATCTGGGCAATCGGGTATATAAACCATACCTAACATTTGAACCTTGTTTATGCGTTTCAATGTGAGCAACTTTGGAATCCTTCATTCAAATGCTACATATGTATGAGCTCGCACTAAAAATATGCATACATGCTATCAATAACTATTGAGTACGAGTATGTCCCAATAGATTCAAATTTTAATCTCAAAATATCCTGGAACTGGCCCTAGAGGGTCGTGGACTTGGAAGATTCTGCATACGTCAGGGCTTGAATATTCAATGTTCCAAACATCTGAATGGTTCCAAGGTTGTCGCGCGACCTCCACATTAAGCGGATCCCTGAGCTTATTAACCGACGGGATATATTTTCTTTTCCCGAAAACTCGCGTTGACTCCATACCGAACTGGGACGGAAAGCCGGGCCTCCGATCTCTACATATTCGGGCCGGGAAGGTACATGTATTTACTCCAGACTCGGTAAAAGCCGAAGTTTTGGAAGCAGATAGACGCACATGATATGCTTTGTATGTAGGTACTTACTAGTGGGTATCTGTCAGACTGTCAATATAAATGTTCTATTATAGACGTTCAGCTTAAAAATCTCACTCTACTCAATAATTACTCCTTACAAGGTTCCAAGGTTACAGGGTGGACGGCTACATCCCCCAGAGCCACCTCCACCTGTGGGTAGTGGCTTGCGGGACAATTAATTCCGGAGGCGCACCTGGATTGAAATACTGTAAAGATCCCCGCCACCATTGATAAAGGATGTGAAACTTGAGATTTCTAGCGGACTCGGATGGTAAACCAAAGCGAACTTGTACATTGAAAGACTTTGGAATAACTCAAGAAATGCCTTCTAAACCAGTCAATCATAGGGCAAAACAAGGGGAAATTTAGCGGGTCAGGGTCAATGTGACGCTCCCCGCAAAGACTAACCACAATCGCACTGCAAAGAGACACCGGAGAATGACGAGCACCCTGAGTGGACCAGACGTCTCCCCCCACCAACAAATCCAATTTACCCGGGGAAACATCAGAAGTTGGGGGACCTCGCTTGCGGCTTTTTTTTCTCTGGACTCTCCATTTACCTAATCTAATTGATTGCCCTTAATTCTCTGCTTCTGCTTCTTCTGCAACTTCTACTCCCTACATATTCCAAGCATTTCCTTTTTTCTCCCTTCTTTCCCCCCCATATTTCCTTACCCCGCCATGTCACCCCCACAGGAGCTTGTCCCGCAAACAGAATCTATCGCGGAGGTTTATGCCACCGACGATGCCTCTGCGAATTCGGTTGCTCCCGAACATCAGAAGCGCTTCTCTGGACTGGTGTCTCAGTTCAACAAACAATTCAACCACCGACCTGATTTTGTGGCTCGTAGTCCCGGCCGTGTAAACATTATCGGCGAGCACATCGACTACTCCCTTTACGATGTCCTACCCACCGCCGTTAGCGTCGATGTGATTATGGCCGTCAAGGTTTTGCCTGGCACCTCCGGTACTACTATTAAAATTGCCAACGTGGCCCCGGAGAAGTTCCCCACGCGCGAGTTTAGCGTGCCGCACGATGCCGATATTGAGATTGACCCCAAGAAGCACGAGTGGATTAATTACTTCAAGGCTGGTCTGTCAGGTGCTCTGAAGTTCTTGCGCAAGGAGAGACCAGATGATGCCATTCCCGTCAGCATGGAGATTTTGGTCGACGGCAATGTGCCCCCCGGTGGTGGTATTTCCAGCAGTGCTGCTTTTGTTTGCGCCAGTGCTCTGGCTGTCATGAAGGCCAACAACCACAACGTGTCGAAGCAAGATCTCTTGGATTTGGCTGTCGTCTCTGAGCGTGCAGTCGGTGTATACTCTGGCGGGTAAGTTTTCCCAAGAATCATCTTCCATCGAACCCAGGGAGGAAATCGCCTTTTTACTAACGAGTCATGCATCTGCACGAACAGCATGGACCAGGCCGCTTCTATCTTCTCGAAGCGCGGTTTCCTCCTCTACACCCAGTTCTACCCCGCCTTCCAGGTCGAGCACGTCCCCATCCCCACCGCAGAAGACGAAATCACCTTCCTCATGGCCCAGAGCTTCGTCACCTCGAACAAGGCCGACACCGCACCCCGCCACTACAACCTGCGCGTGGCAGAATGCACCCTCTCCGCCGTCATTCTGGCCAAGAACTACGGCCTCACCCTGCCCAAGGACAACAGCTCCCTGGGCTACAGCCTGCGCAACTTCCAGAACCAGCTGATGACCAAGGAAGGCCGCCTGGGCGACCCGCTCGAGTACCAGATCGACTCCGTCATCCAGGCGGTACAGGATCTCTTCACCAAGGAGGAGGGATACACACGCGAGGAGATGGCTCAGCTTCTGGATATCAGTGTCCCCGAGCTGGAGTCCCAGTTCTTGTCTGCCTTCCCCGTCCAGGCGGAGCGGTTCCGTCTCCGCCAGCGCGCACTGCACTGCTTCAAGGAGGCGCGACGTGTCTTGGATTTCAAGGCTTGTTTGGCCAATGCCTCGAAGCTGGATGAGAAGCGCATTCACTACTTGGGCCAGTTGCTGAACGAGTCTCAGGATTCGTGCCGTGATTCTTATGAGTGCAGTGCTCCCGAAGTGGATGAGATTTGTGCTATTGCGCGGAAAGCGGGTACCTGGGGTAGCCGTTTGACTGGTGCTGGATGGGGTGGTTGTACCGTTCACATCTTGCCTCAGGGCAAGGTTGAGGCCGTGACAACGGCTTTGCGGAACGAGTACTACCTGAAGCACTTCCCTGATATCAGTGCCGAGAAGCTGGAACAAGCTATGGTCATTAGCAAGCCGTCCAACGGCTCGTTTGTGTATGTTCAATCCCATTTTGATAATCCAAAAAGTTGTTTTGTTGCTAACATTTGACTACTTTTAGGGTTACCGGTGCTGCTATTGATGAGGTTGTTCTTTAAGAGATTTCATATTATTGTTTATCAGAGGGTTTGTCCAACTTGGTCTGTGAATAGTATAGATGTTCTCACAAAGAACCGCCAAGTTTTGAAAAATCAAGGACCGATTACCTCATGAATTTGGTACATTCATAGGAGTAGTAGCAGCAATGTTGGAGACCTTCGGAACTCCCCGCCAAGGTGAGACTGCGCTCAACCAGTGAGTCAGACAGATTTAGTATACAGTAAGTTTTACCGGGGAGGCAAATTTTTGAATCCTCGAAGCTGCATCCTGAAGTGGATGCAGCTAATCTGAAATGCTCTTAGATCGACAAAGGTTGCAGCGTCTCCACCGAGGCTGTGTGGATTGAGCTTAGGCCTTCTTTGTGACCTTCAAGCAAAAGGAGTGATCCTTGCAGGAGCCGGCTGCGCATTTTGATTCGAACCATGCGCTGTTACGCAGCAATGAGTTCTGATTTCAATTCGCCAATACGAGGCTCATGTCTTCTTCTTAGCAGCAGCCTTCCCGAAGAAATCACTCATTTTCTTCATGCCAGTAGTGTTCACCTTCTTCAGGTCGCGAACACCCCGTGACTCTGAAGCCTTCGCCTTCTTTTCCTCTTCATCCTTCTTGCGCTTCTTTTCCGCGCGAGCTTCGACTTCTTCATCATCAAGACCGCGTTTGCGACTGAAATCGGACATCGTTCTGGAAGAGAGAGCCTCTGCACGGAGTGCAACGAGTTCTTTCAATCGGTCCGTCAGAGGCTTGAAGTCTAATGGGCTTTCGGGGGCAGCAAGTAGTTCATCGATGCGAGTGCGCAAAGCCTTTGACAGGTAGGATTCTTTCATAAATGATAAGGCAGTGGAGATGCGCAGCAAGCGGGCCACGTTCTCAGCGAAAGAGTTGTCAACACTGGGAAGTTCAGGAGCGGGTGTCGATTCGCCTGCCGGTGTAGAAACGGACGGGGTGGTAGTTGTGGCCATTGTTGATGGGGAGTCCTGTCTTTTATCCGAATTGGCGCTTGTCTCGTCATCATTGTCGTTCTCGTTCGGTGTTTGGCTAGTAATGATATCGTCTCTCTTGACAGACATCAACGGAGCAGCCAGTGCCTGCCGAATGAACCGCTCCTCTAAGCTAGCAGGTAGGCCTTGTGTTGCCATGCGTTCAGCCTTGGCAATCAATTCCTTCAGAAGTTTTGTCTCGTTGAACCGGAACATATTCTCATCTCCAGCTTCCACCGTATCGCAAATAGCCTCTGCGCGTGAGTTGAGAGTGTTTCGGAATGCCTCATCGTAGAGAACATGGCGCAAGTGGGGAGAAAGGTCATCTTTGGAGTCAATTATATCGTCCAGGGGCTGGTAAAGCGATTGGCCTGATTTTGAGGAAGAAGAGAGAAGAGGAACCAAGAAGAAGACTGGATCAATAGGTGTTGCAACGAATATGTCTGCTTTCTTTGAAACCAATGCAGTCGGGCGGGTTGGTTTCTCATCATCAGACACGGGAGTCGGCTCTTGCGCACAAGGGGTGAAGAGAATACTTCGAGGCTGATGAGTAGGTGCGCCGACTACAGTGAATTCAAAAAGACCCCGTTGCGGACAGAAGAAATAACGGCTCAATTCGCCTGATTGTGGGTTCGGAAGGGAGACCAGGCGCGCGTCGGCGCTGGTGGACGCAGGGAGGATGAATGTCTTGGTAGGTTTGTCGGCAGTTAATAAAGCCTTTTGTTCTGTAGGCTTCTGTTGCTCGGCTGGAGCTGCAGGAGCAGATCGAGTTCGAGGCATTGTGTAAAAAAGAGTGTGGTGTAGTTGTAATGTTGTGGTGGAAGGATTCAAGGTAAAATTAAAGGATTAGAGGAAACTCGCGACACGCGCCGGAGACGCGCCCAATCATGTGTCAGTCATGCAGGCGTGATCCATCACTTCCACTCCCTGCATCCCTAGCATGTTGTGCATTTTGTGCGATTGAAATTCCACCAAAACATTGTCGCGACTTTGTTTTTTCTTGATCTGACTGTTTTATTCGATTTCAAGACCTTTCGCTGTCAGACAGAAAGACATTGTGCGTTCAGCCGCGGCGAAAACGGCTGAAGCTGCGGGGAATGACGACTATTGATTACAGCCGTTGTTGACTAATTAATTCTCCTTGGATCTGGAGACAAAAGTGACAAAAGTAAGCCGACCAGCACCCAAAATCAAGTGTTTCGCTACTAATCAATGCTTATTTGCAGTGGCCGAGACTGGTTGGCCGCCCAAGTCCCCACGCGACGCTCTGTTGAGCTCTCCTGGGGGCCGGAGGAAGTTCCAAGACATGCAACGCCGACAGCTTCTCTCATCGCCCTTAAAACGCTCCAACACAACCCCGAATTTCCGATCGAAGGCGAGTCAAGTATTGGACGAGGATGAAGATGAAGTGGAAGAGGACGAAGAGACACTGGAACTGCGGCTCGCCGAGATCCAGGCCCGTCTCAAGCTGAAACAACTCCAAAAATCCCGGGGTCGGTCCGGGACTCTCACATCTTATACAGAAGGAGATGAAGATAGCTTTGGCTCGGGTCCGCACTCTCAGCGTCAGATCATGGCCCCGCCGAGAAGCCCCCCGCCTAGCCAGCGAAAAGCGCGGACAGATGAGATCCAGGTTCCTGTATCACCAACCAGACGGCCAGCACCGGCTCCTGAGCCTTGGTCGCCTCGAAGGTACCAACTGGGGATTGATAAAGGACGGAAAGCAAGTGACGTGTCATTGAAACGACCCCCGGTCCCAAGAATGGAGCCAAGGCCCGCCAGTCAACTTGGAACGCGCAGCGGCGCAATGTCTCGCTCAAGCGACATAATTCCAGCGAGACCTCAGACTTCCCCTGGCGGGGGAGGAATCAATCGAATCAAAAGCTTTAGTGAGAGGATGGCTGAGGGCCGAGCAGCTGAACAGGCTGAACAAGCCCGCCTGGAAAAAGCAGAAAGAGTGCACGCAAATCGCAGCTCAGCTTTCCAGGTGGATAAAAAAGAAATCGAGAATTTCAAGGCTACAGCTGCAAACGAACCGCAATCGACACTTCCCTTGTCTATGAATCGAGACCCAGAGGAATACGCATTTAATCGTGCCGAGATTCTTCGATCACTTAGCCGGCCAGGTGGGCTGAAACGCAGCCAAACAACCCCAAACATGAACGAAGGCAGTGACTCTCAACATAAGAACACCGATGTGACAAAACGAACCCCGGACCCCTCAAAATTTGAATCTTATTCAAAGTTGAATCTATCAAGCCGAATACTACCACATTCATTCTTAACACGCACCCTGACTGATAAAACTGTCCTCCGCATACCCGATCTTCTCAAGACCATCAAAGGTCCGGCGTTTGAACTTCCAGAAACAATTGACGGGGATTTCGTGGTAGTTGGAATTGTCGCATCCAAGTCTGAACCCAGGCAGACGAAGTCGGCAGATGGCTCAACAAACAAAAAGGTCGATCCTTACGACGACGGCCTGAACAACACCAACCGATACATGGTTATCACCTTGACTGATCTCAAATGGACAATTGACCTGTTTCTGTTCGACACCGCATTCCCTCGCTACTACAAGATCACGGAAGGAACTCTTGTTGCAATTCTGAACCCCATAATCCTACCTCCTCCGAAGCACAGGCTAGATACAAATCGATTCAGTTTGGCCCTATCCTCATCAGATGATAAAGTTCTAGAGATTGGCAAAGCGCAGGACATTGGTTACTGCAAATCAACAAAAAAAGATGGCAAAAATTGTGGGACGTGGGTAGATGGTAGGAAAACTGAGTTCTGTGACTTTCACACCGACCTCCAGGTGCGACGCACCCAATCTGTTCGTGCCGGGCTCAATACCGGGGCGGGACAACTTAGCATGGACAGTCGGACAGGAGTCTATGAGCGTCGCAAATGGACCAATAATCGGCAGGCCATGCCAACCCCGAAAAAAGAAGGTCTCCAACCGAAGGGTGGTCAATACGACTGGGCGAGCGGGTCAACATACTTCGTGGCACCTGGTCCAAGAAACCGCGGCAACGGTCGTACCCCCTACAACCCCATGAATGATGGACGTGGGGCAGCTGCTCTTGACAGAGACGATGACCCCTTCATCGCAGCTGGTATGATGGGAAGAGGCGCAGAGAACAAAGAAGAGCAGGTGCGCAGACGCCTTGCCGCGCAGCAACGTGAGCGCGACATCACAACTAAGCTTATATCTGGCCGGACTGGCGGGTTGGGCGCTGAATACCTCCGCACACGTACGGATGAACCACCGTCTACCACTCAGAACAATGGCAAGCCGTCCAACACACCAAAACCACCTCCGAGCAGTACCGATTTCAATCTGTCTAGTTTCGGCAGGGCCAAGAATGTCAAGTTGGGTCCTATGAAGCGCGCCCATGACGGTGATAAGCCCCATGGCAGCGGTGTCAAAAAGACGCGTTTCATCACATCGAGGGGTATCCGAGAAGCTGGTCGTGACAGCCTGGGCGGACCCGAGGCGACAGGAGGTCAGTTGCAGGTCCTTTCAGATGATGATGACGATGAGCTGGAGTTTGTTTGAATCCGCTCATGAATACGTGCACTGTGGTCGGTCTACGTATCTTGTATGTTATATGTACCATTTCCTGGCCGTTGGCCAGGAGTTTTGATTGAGCCATAACGCTTTTATGAAAAAAGAGACAAATATCATATGCTTTAGAAATCTTACTTTGATTAGCCAGCATACTACCTCGGGACTTGAACTTGTAAAATACTGTACATGGAGTTCAATGTTGACTTGTCATCTGGTTGGCCTACCTGCTCTTCAAATGTTGATGTGCATACATTGAAGAGGCATGAGCTCAGGTGTTGGATGATGCGTGCTCCATACATTTACAAGACTGCAAGGGGTATTCATTTCAGGAATGATATGTCATATTGTGAGATGGAGTGCGGATAAGCCGCAAGCTATGGATAAGTACTTAGTAGGCCTTGACTTGAAGACCGGGGGTAATTGATGTGCAAGCCCTCAACCACAGGAGAAAGAATTGGGCTGTAAGAGACGAAAGACAAAAGACGAAAGAAGAAAACCCAAAACCCAAAGACGAAAGACGAAAGAGATAAGAAAAGCAAAACATAAGCCCGTAGAAGATAGACACTGAACTCCTTGACCCATTCCGAGAGGAAAACACGCTAGGCTAATTGGTATTCCCATTCCCCAGTTCCAGTTCCACGCGCCGAGTGAGAAAAACAAAAAGAAGACAAAACCCAACGGGGTGCTAAGGACATGTAAGTCATGACAGGGGAGGTAAGCAACTTAGATCATGAAAGAAAAAAGAAAAGAAAAGAAAAGAAAAGAAAAGGCATTCGACCACTGAGAACGTGGATGTGCAAGTACAGCAAAGAAAATGCTTGAAATGCGCTTGGCGAACATCAAATGATCAAGAACAGTAGTTGTTCAACAATGCAGGGAAAGAAATCAGACAGAAAGAGAATTGGCACTCAGACTGTGCAGATAGGACATAGAAAACACCAGAGCCGAATGAACAAACCAAGTATTAAGTAATACTAAGATTTAAGCACTGTGGGCCTTGCGAGTGGCACGGGTTCTCTTAGCACCCGGGTGGCTCACATCCTCCTCAGCTTCCCGCTTCGTGGCCGGTACAGCAGGTGCCTGCTCTTCAGAACTCTTCTTTTTACGCAACCAGCCGTGGAAGGCAGTGCGATGTGTGTTTGACCCAGACGACAGAGATTCACACGGGGATTCATAATTATCGACATGGCGGCGAGACTGAGAGCGGAGCTTGCGTATGCCCTTGGGTGAAGGGGGAAGCTCATGTGGCAAAGAAGTGACGGGACGTTGCTTGTGATCAGCATATGTAGCTTCCTCGTCGTCCGTGGCTTCATCCTCCGTAGCCGTCTCAGCGGTGGGCTTCGGGTTGGCCTCTTGAAGAACGGGCAAATCACTTTCGCTGGCCCAGAGCATGCGAGGTTTGATATCCTTGCGACGAAGGGGCTTGACACGTTGTATTTCAGAAGGCTCGGGCAGTAGGTGTTCACGACCAGCGAACAAGCCCAGATCATTGGGATCGTCCTCTTCATCTTCTTCAGCATCGTCGAATTTTTTCGTCATATTTTTACCACGGCTGCAAGAACAAAGTTAGGATGAGTGCATATAAGAATTGATAGGATGATTGCACTCACAAATTGTAGGTTATCCGGTCAGTTCGGTCCAGGTCTTTAAGCTTGCGAAGGGAACAAGTCATGGGATCAGAAGAATCATTATCCACATACAGTGGATTTCTTCGTCCAGGAGTACGCGGGGCCCTGGGGATACGGTCACGCGAATCCGTGAAGATATCGATACTCGACCGATCTTCAGACGCGTCAAGACCATCAACTGAGAATGGGAATGGGGTCATTCTATGCGCCATTTTGCTAGCTGAAGGAAACAAAGCGCGAGAAGTTGATGAAAGATCACCTGTTACTTTTTTCTTCAACGGAGTTTTGGCTGGGGTGGGAAAGGCATCGATGTGAGAAGGGGGAAGACCAGAGGTGAGAGAACTGGTGATTCCTCTTCGAGAGCTCAGGTGGGTGTCAAAATCCCGTGACCTGGAGTAACTGTTTGGTGGTGATATAGTTGTTTCATCCGTTTTTCGATATTTCCTGGGTGACGCCTTGGATTTGCTAGGCGAATTTGGGCAGCTTGGCGGAGTCGTCTCTTTCGATCTTGAAGCACGCTGACTTGCTAGTCTAGCTGAATACCGTGGGGCGTATGGCTCGAATGCATCATATCCAGCACCATGGCGTGGTGCAGTCGGAACCCTCAAGGCCGATGGTGACGGCGGCGGTGGGGTAGTCGCCATATTGAACGATTATTTTGTGTATAACCGTCTAAGAGTTTTGATTTCGAGTGAATGGCAGGGTTATACACAATTTACAGACGCGCGATGATGTCGAAGTTGTTATCTCGAATGGTAGACTTGAAGCCGTAGTCGACTTGAATCAAGGGCGAGGCGCGGTTCAGTTCAAAGTGGTGGAAATGAGTTTATGCAGGTTGTAAAAGTTTCTTGAAGGAGCGATATAAGCAATGAAGTTAGGTTTGTTCTTGTAGAATCAATGGACGCAACAAATGATACGTTGTAATGCAGATGATGGGGATCAAGGGCTTCAAGAAAGGGCGGATGTTTGTCCCCAGCCACCTCATCTTTGTCACCGCCCCCGACCCGCTTGACCGCCTACGATATTGGGCCGTTATTATCAGAGGCCCCGCGATTCCATGGATCTGCAATGTTGATACTCTGCCCGATCAGGTTTTCCACAAACACACGTCAATTGAGAAGCCACGGGGGTCGCACTTCGCATAGGGTGACCGGGTCAATCGGAAATCCGCCTTCTCGCAACACACAAAAACTTGCTCGTGATAAACGGGTCGCGTTCCACAATGGCTCGAAGTACTGCCGAGGAAATGGACAGGCTTCAACTTTCAGACGAGGATACCGAAGATCTCTGGGACTCGCCTTCAAAACGTGGAACTCGCCATAAGTTCAAACCTCGGTCCTCAGACCCAACACCGCCGCCGGCACCAGCACCGGAACCGCGACAGCCTCGCGATGACAGTGACACTATGTTCGACAGACAGGAGGCACGAGAAGCAGCACTACACAACGAATTACAGACTGTGCGAAAAATCAACGAAGTGATAGAGGGCCTTCTGGGCAGTATCGACCGAGCCAAGGGAAACATGGATGTAAGTCTATTGTCAATGTTCAATACATGATAAATACAAGGGGAAAAAATTCTCATTGCTTCTCTACAGACCGTATCGAGAACCGTTACCTCCGCATCGACCCTCCTCAATACGTGGACCCGAATTCTAGCCCAAACCGAACATAACAAACGTTTGATTCTCGACCCGAATTGGCAAGGTGCTACTCAAGATGTGGCCGACATGGAGAACGAGGAAACTCAGAAACGGCAAGCGGCGGAGCGGAGAGAACAGGCATTGCTGCTGCAACGAGAAGCTGCGGCCCGTAAAGCAGAGGAGGAAGCCCAGCGACGGGCACTATTAAGTACAAGAGGCACGCGAGGCACTAGTCGGGGTACTGTGCGTAGTACCGGCTTGGGGAGAACACCTAGCGTGAGCACCAGTCGACCCGGAGCTGTGCGGGGATCATCAACAACTGCGACTCGGCGACCAGTTAGTGGAATTGCGCGTGGTGGTGGAACAACGCGGGGCAGGGGCACCAAGCCTTGAAATGCTGTGGCTTTACTTGTTCCTTGTATATGGATAATCCAAACGCGTGGAGATCAATGTGCCCAATGAAATAATGATACCCCAAGGCTTTTAGATGGGATTTTTCAAAACTGGAGGGAGTCTTGGATGGTAGCCCCCCAAACATGTAGACTGGAGCTGGTATTAATGGACTTAGTCATGCGTTCTGGCCATGGTTTTCAAAAATCAGCCTTATTTACATTTTCAGTGCCTGAGGCAAGAACAAAAGATAAACGCGCGGACACGCGACCCCGATAAGGATAAGGAGCTTAAGTTCCCCCGATACCCAGAGCTCTTTCCTGCAGGCTGCAGCCTGCTAACCATCAAAACACAATGAACTTCGCACCCTATCAAGACGAGTCCCCTGAGATTGAGAGGGCGCTGTCCCCTCCACACACAGATATCAGAAACAAGTCTCCGAACCTCCGATCGCCGAGAGCTTCCACTGACCTCCCGTCCCCAAGCCACTTCGGAGGCGGACATGGGAACACCGGGTTTGGGCGAGATATTGAGGGGGGACATGTGAGCCTGGGGGCATTTGAGACAAGTCTCCCTATTCGTATGGACATTGAAGCTGCGCTGGCGTACTTGCTTCTCCCTCCTGCCGGAGGTGTGTTCTTGTTGCTGGCGGAACACAAGAGTGACTACGTGAGGTATGTCTCGATCAATAATCAATATGCTCTCCACTTGAATCCCTTCATAAGAGAGACTGACATAATCTTCAAATGCAGATTCCATGCTTGGCAATCTAGCATGCTCTTTGCCGTTCTTTTCGTGAGTATTTGCTTCACTCTGGTCTCATTCTTTTATCTGATTGAAAGTATAGATCATTCACCTCTTATTCTCCTGGTCTTCATTTCTGTCCTGGACCCTATTCATTATCGATCTCGCTTTGATGGGTTATCTTAGTATGCGGGCCTATCGCGATGGTAAGTTTGCGTTGTTTATATTCAGAAGCTGCATACTGATTGATTATTAGTGGACACTTTGGACCACTTCGAGGTTCCCTATTTCGGTCCCCTGGCCAATTCATTTGTTGATGATGAGTGATTCTTATCGGCTTGAGTCTACTTGAGCTTTGCGCATAGTTGGACAGTTGCTAAGATAGCGTTCGTTCTTTTCTCCATATACCCTGCCGTCTGTTTTTATCTATGATTTTATCTTTATGATTTGGTAGGTTGACCTCTCAGATGATATTCGTGAATATGTATATGAACATAAAGAACCTTGAAAAAGAGATTTTATCTCCATAATTTGATCGTTATCAGATATCTGCTCTGAAGTGCTGCTAGGTGACCTCGGCCCACAGTTCGGACATAACCTGTTCACATCGTACTTTTGACACCACAAACAAGACGCATTCAATGACTAGCATTCCAAGCACACCTTTGGCCCAATCAATGGCTCATACATGAATTTGCAAGCACTAGATCCCCACCAATTCAATTCATTCCAAATATCACCCAATGTCGTAATCTCATTGAGATACTGGTCGATGGTGTTGTTTTTCATCCTTTTCGTTGGTTTGAAGAAGGGCCACTCAACTGGCCAGTCTGAGAAAACATCTGGATCCCAAGTCTTGTAAATAGTAACTGGACCTTCCTCCCTAGATGGAGGAAAAATCCTCCCGTTCCCGTTGGCAATGCAATGCGCCTGATGGTGGCAGCAAATCACCTCCCTAAACTGTTCACGGGTTGATGCGAGACCTGGATCACATTCTATCACGACTCGGAAGTTTGCAGTCAGGTCGAGTTCCTCAACACATCTGTTTTGGATGTGGAATTGAATGCGGAAATATTTCCCATGTCTCTGTCCAAGCATCCCGAGAGGCTGTAACAAGATAGCGGCTGCAGCGTGTAATTGACAGAGTAGAGATTGTTGCGGATTGGCTGTGTTGACGTGGGTGAATTTCGGCGAAGAGATAATCCCATATCATGAGACGGATTTCAATGGGTAATAATTGGAAAATGCCCAGCTGGGCAAGGCACTGGGCCATGGAGAGTTCAACTCTTTGAATTGGCATGGTAGGTAGTGGTTGAAGGTAGTGGGTGGAGGTAGTGATTGAAGACAGTGATTGAAGACAGTGATTGAAGATAGTGAGACAGTGATTGAAGTCAGTGATAGAAGACAGTGATTGAAGACAGTGGTTGAAGATAGTCAGTGATTGAAGTCAGTGGTTGAAGTCAGTGATTGAAGACTATAGCATATTAGATAAATTATACTCCAATCATATAGCTCTATTTTAGTATGGGTAAGAAATGAGAGATTACTCTGTCTGTACTAGCTTAGTTGATACTTAGTAGAACCTAGTCGACAGTCTTCACTACTGAGCCAGATTAACAGCGGCTAGCTTGAGGGAGGATAAGCTGTGTTTACCGTGTAACAGTCTGGACAAATTTCCTCTCTCCTTCACATCCCTCATGCACATCTGCTTCAACGACTGTCTTCAATCACTCTATAGTACATGCCACTATGTGTTTGGTCATGTGGCCGTACTCTCACTCCATCTCCTGTAGATAGCTCTTCCTTCCTTCTCTTCTTCTTTCTTTCTTCCTTGCACCACTCAATACTATCGCATTGCGTTCATGCCCTCCTTTCCCTGGTAGACTCGTTCCTCGTGTCTCTTCACTATGTTCTGGGTCAGTCTTCGGGGATCTTGGCTCTTGCGGCTCTTGCCGCCTTGGGAATAGTCCACAGGTGACAGGTTTGTACTTCTGTTCTGCCCCTTCCATCAATCTTCTGCTCAACATCTAACAACGATGAGAACATCCTTCAACATCCCTTTCCATGCAACTGACCTGCCTGACCCCCTACCCACACACACACACACACACACACACACACACACACACACACACACACACACACACACACACACACACGCACGCACATATATATATATATATGCCGAAATCGAGGATGCTCCAGACATATCACTGGAATATGGAGGGCGAAGAATTGTTGGAGTGGGTCAAAATTTCGTGGTGAAATTTGGGTTAGGCGTCCATCTCCTTAAGGGTGAAAACATGCTTTTCGTTCGCGAGAACACGAATATTTCTGTCCTGCGAATCTTCGCGCTCTACTCGAGCCCAGACTCTGGTAAAAATTGTATCGTCATGGAGCACATTATCAGACAAATACTTCTATTGGCTTGGTCGTAACTTATACTATCAGAAAAAAAGAGTATATTAGGTATTTTACGGAGGTACTTTAATAAGCTACACCAGCTTCTATCTTTATAATATTTTAGAAGTATCGGTAAAAGGTACGAGATTTTTTGGATATATAACCTTAATTCTTTAGTAAATAGCCTATTCAATTCAGAAGAGGATCTTAACAAGGTAATAATATAAAAGTATATTTATAACAGAGGCCTGCGCTATAGAGCAGAATATTTCCGTAATTACTTCCCTCTCATTTTCAAGAGTCATTAAGCGACCTTCACTTATGGCGATTTCCAACGAAAAAAAATCATCATCCGCGACGAAGGCCGTTCAGACAATTTAGGCCTAAGCATAGTGATTATTGACTGGGAGAAAGCTGGGTGGTATCCAGCTTACTGGGAATATTGCATGGCTGTTTGGGCTTTACGATGGGATGACGACTGGTGCCTTTGTATCGACAAAGTTATGGCGCCATTTGTTTCTGAAGCGGCATGGTTTCAATCATTGCGCCTGGAATTATGGTCATAGATGCTATGTAGACGAACTCGCTTACGGTACAAAGGAGATAAAATTCCAACATTGAATGAATGAATAAATTGCGGAGGGAAAGAGAAAGATACACAAGAGCACGAGTATATGCCTAAACTAAGAAGCATCATTTATATCATCAACTAATCTATGTATAATCACAAGAACTAGTGCAAGGTCTCACCCTCCTGACATCCGATCGGCCCACGTTGATAGTTTAGACGGGTGGTAGTATTGTAGTTCCACCAGAAGTCAAGAGACTGCGGGTAAGACTTGGGCACCTTGCAGGATGTCAGATAGTTAGGCAGACTGTCCTTTAAGCTAGAGGTATAGCTGGCCAAGGGACATGAGTATCCGGGACCAGACTGGCACTTCTTGAATGGCACGACAGCCTCGTTAAGCACGAGACGCACGTAGGTCCCCTTGCTTGACATGGCGGTGGCGTTACAGCTGAGACGCTCAATAGTGAGGTGGCCACCCATAGGAACGATGTCAGTGGCTACCCAGGGGCTTCCAAACGGAATACGATCCAAAGGTAGGTCTTCCTCAGGAGTGAGAATTCCCAAGGCGGTGACAATTGGGGTGATATCAGTGTCGTGGGCACTGTAAGGGTTAGCATGGGTTAGGTAGTCACATCCAAATGCTTATGCAGTTGGGTAGCGGTGGTATTTGACATACAAGTTGAAGAATATCGGTCCGGCTTTTTCGGGGCCTTCGTTGAGAAGACTCAGTGTAGCGTTAGCATAGACGGCTCCAACAGCAGCCATGTTCTTGTCACCGGGTCTTTCATGAGAAGGAAGTTAGCAATTACGTTGTTTTCGCAATTGAATTTTCTGGTTTGTAGCTTACCCGGCACAATAGTAGTAGTATAAATCGTTCAAGTAGCCAAAGGTTACCCATTCGTCTTGAGTAAAAACGTTGACCCATTGTGAGAACGCACGAGCGTTTAATTCAAAGGATGCCATAGCTGTTCAAGGGTCAGTATGATTCTCCTTATGTGCAGAGTCAAAAAATATTCTTACACATCAAGTTGTAAATATCCGTCTCAGTGAGATTAAGACCAGAGTTCTGAGAGTTCAGACGAGCCGCAGCGACCTTAAACTGGGGCATGGTAGTCGGCGTCTGATCACAGGTCGTGGTATCATTATCGGTATCACAAGTTGGCGTCAGGCTGTTTGCACCCATAGAAGCAGACTCAGAAATGATGTTGAGAGCAGCACTGGTCGTGTAGTTATATCCGAAGAAGCCCTCGCCGAATTTGCGAGCGGTGTTGATCACCCGACTGTAGCCACTACTGAACATCGGAACGACCGACTCGCCATCCCAAAGATCACCATAACGATCCCGATACTCCGTACCATGCTGGTACGCGTCCGACAATCCCGCATAGGGACCGCTGTAGGTCTCAGCATTGTACCAGCACTTATTGGGAACAAAGTACTCCCAATCATCCAGGAAGGCTAGATCGTCCTTCCACTCAGTGACACCAGCGCCATAAACTTTGGCGAGAGAAGCTTCAATATCGGTGCCCATTGACGGGGAGGGATAACGCTCGCCATGGCGCTTGATCATAATCACTTGGTCGACTGCACAGCTGTCTGGCGGATCACGGGAGATGCCGTACGACCGTCTCTCTGAGTAGGGGCCATTGCCACCGTGGAACTTCAAAATGTTGTAATTTTCCGGGAACTCTTGCGAGAACTGTTTTTCGTAGGCGGATTTGCCAACCGAGTCACCGAACTTGACTGCAGTAACGGCAGATGTGAGGCTGAGGGCGTAAGCAACGCCCGAGGCGATAGAATGCATGGTGACTATTGGAGCCTGGAAGCAGGACAAGGAGAATAGGAGGGATGGGAGATGGAATTATTTGTTCTGATTTTCCAAGGTCCTTCCACGGACTTTTAAGAAAAGGAACAGGAAGGCTTTTATAGTGCCGTTCCCGCATAGGCTTCCGGATCCCACGACATCACATCAAACAGCCCACGGTATCAACGGTCCGTTTCCCAGGCCCAGTTATTTTTCAACTGGCGTCCCTCTGAGCGAATCATACCAGACAGAATCAGGGGTATGGGATACCGGAAATCAGAATTCCACGCTTGTACCACAAGTGGGTCGATCAACGGGCTATTGAGGTAAGTACATGCATGCATCAATGAATCCAAGAAACAACATATGACGGATCAGATAGATCCCGGGCAAAAAAATGACTCAATTGATCGTAGCAAAACATGAAATGCACTGCCCACGTGCCCTCATGTCGGAATGAGGCCTGGGGGCGAAGTGTTAGGGCTGAGCAGAGGCAGACAAGTTCAGTCAACATAAATCCCAATGAGGCAATGAGGCACGCGCATCGAAATCAAGCAAAACAACCAGGACCCACAGTGAAGATACAGTAATATTGGATTTCAGGGGAGCGTGTGTATCAAAACCACTCTGATTGGTTGAAATGCAGCTTATCCGAGTAGCGTCAAGCGGGGTAAATGGTGGGTCCTATACAGAGGTCGTCGTATACATACCCTCAACCATCGGGCGTGCCCTCGTCAAGCTTTTTAGTTAGTAGCTTGGCTCAAGAAAGGTGGCGCCACTGACAAAAGAGAACATTCCGAGGACCAATCAGTATTGATGGCTGCTCAGAGGAGTGGGAAGAGTCGGAGATGCTAAGCATCATCTCGTACGATACGGCGTTTCCGTAGATGTGCCGAAGTTGCCGAATTAATCTCGCCTAATGGATGAAGTAGACTAGAGCATGATTGAGTTCTGTGCCGCCGAGGTAGCCCCGACTCTGCCAGCTTCCAATTGAGGGGTCTGTAGGCCGAACGTTACCATTCTGAGTTAACACCGAGTCGCCGATCATACTAGGCGCTCTTCGGTTTACTTGTTTCGGACTATCTCCAGGATTGGTTCTATATCCCCAACGAGGCTTTGCTAACTCCACATCATCGGAAGTGGCCGCCTTCGATTATTCAAGGTCATTTTATTCATCTTCGAAGGTTGCTGGCTATCAATGAGCTTGGCATTACGTGAATATGCAGCACTACATGGCAATGCTTGACGGAGGTAATGATCTCCATTCAGCGGTTTCCTGGATTTTGGAAAATATCCATTTATGTACATTCAAACGAATCATCAGACGTATCAAAGCATTTCCAAGCACTGGTTGAAATTAACATCCAAAACTCACGAGCTTTCCCAATCAATAATAAATAACTCCATCTCCATACAATGTCGATCCCGCAACAGGCTCTTGAATAATCCCCTCTTCCACTAACTCATTCACCAAATTCAAAATCATCAGATCGCAGCCGTGAGGAACGATGAAGTCCACTGCCACAGGCAGATATTCCTCCTTGAGTGTGATAGTCGAGTTGTATAGTGCTTGTCCGACTAAACAATTACCGAGATTAGTATAATTCTATGCTGATTTTTGTTCGAGTAGCACTTACTTGGAACGACCATATCAGGTACACCGGCAAAGTTGGCAATGCGAGCGCTTTCAAATCCGGTGGGGATACCGGGAAGACTAGTAGTGGCAGGTCAGTTAATCATGTCCATCCTTAACCAGTACTTCCAAGACTGGACGAATATGAACAATCACAAGGGAATAAATACCTTCTATACACATTTCGATATTCCGGCGTCGCTGCAGCCCCGACGTATAGCATAAGACTGTCTGAGCATGTCTCCTCATCAAGTACCTGAGCCGTGCTATTCCACCAACGAGTAAAGATGTTCTTGTTTGAGATTTCCGTATCCAGTTGTGAGTCGGGATACTCAAGTCCAAAGTCCCAACGTGAAAGAGGAACTGGATCGATGAACGGACGGCGACCTCCATTAGCAGCTGCATAGTCCGCGTACAGTGGGGCGGCGATGAGGGGGTACTGCTGCTTCGAGATGAGGATAGGATAAGTGAGATTCAACAACGACTCAAGAGTTTCATCCGCAGCAACTGTTGAGGGCTTAGTAGCCTCCCAAAGTTCATCATAATCAAATGCCGAGATATTCGCACCGCCCAAAAAGGTCGATAGACGATCAACAAAGTCCAGCACAAGTCCATCCGCCACAGTGTCAGCACTAGTGGGGAACTGAATTGTCTTGATGCTCTTCGGGTACTTGGTGTAAGACTTTAGGCCGGCGTCCTTGTACAACACCTCAGAAGCGGCCTTCCACACTTTCACGTCTCTTGCCAAAAATCCCGCCGTATCAAGAAGCGGAGAGAGGGGCATGACGTCGTCTAATGAGACTAGATCCCACGAGGGTCGGTTGCCAAAGCATCCATTCACTTGTGCTGGGTTTCGGATAGAGCCTCCAGTATCACTTCCGATGGCCAGGTCAAGCCAGTCATATGCTCCGATTCCGGATCCGGGTCCTGATGAGGAGGAGCTGGGATCTTGGTAGCCGTCGCCGCGGGCGTTGAAGGGAGAGTGGTAATCGACCCAATCACCGGTGGCAGTCTCACCATTGGCGAATTGACTTGTCTTCATTTTTCCAACAATAATGGCGCCCGCATCAATGAGGGATTGGATTGCAGGTCCCGTAGCATTGGCTTCAGGGTATAGATCGAAGTACGCGCGGTTACCGCAGCCAGTCTTCACTCCCTTGATATGGTAAATATCTTTGACTCCAAGACGAACCTGTAAAACATTCAAATGTTAGTAAATCTTAGTTTCCTCAAATCGACATCCTCCAAAGAAATTCAAGAGACACGTGAGAAGTTAGTTATACATACACCTGCTAATGGTTTCTCAGCCGTCTTCGTGAAATACAATCTCGATGGAACGCCAATTGTCAACGATGCATAACCGGGAAGGTTTGCCGACAAAACATCGTACTCATCATTCCCAACTGGGATTAATCCCTGTGTAAAGGCACCCATAGCATCCGAATACAAGAGATAGGCTTCAAACAGTTCTCCACTAGATGGGTTAAAGAAATAAGGGCCAGGCGGTAAGCTCTTCGAAGACGCCAGCTTCGTCGACGATTTCGTATCATATGCGGAAGCGAATCCAAGTAATTTATTATTCCAAGAAGAAGGCGTTGATACGGTTTCCAACGGCGACTTGTGTGTACCGTTGTACTCGACGTAAATATTCTCGAGGAACCCCGTGTTGAAAACATCGTCTGTGGATTGGTAGTTTTCTACCAGTGACTCGATTGCGGAGGTTGTGAGTTCTAAAGAATCACTCCGAATCACGGTAAGAGGCTGCAGGCCATTGGTATTGCTGACTTGATTTCCAGATGCTGTCTTTAGTGTGGCTACTACTGTGGGAGGGGCGTAGTAGGTCTTGCCATTGAATTCGATGGTTTGGCCTTTGAGAGTGATTGTCGCAAGGGCACTAGTGGAGAGTGATAGGAGATACAGCAAAGCTGGCAGACCAAATGATTGGGGTGAGGAGAGCATGGTGATTCTGAGCTCCCAATGCTATTTTGGGGCAGATGTTGAGGCTCTTCTAAAATTGGAACCGAACAGAAAATGTATGTTTTTCTGTTTGGAAGGGTACTATATATAGTACTTGCTATGCACTTGAGGTACTGGTACTATCCGGACTGTTTTGTCAAGATAGATGAAATATTTTGATAAGGAAGTATAGATTAATGTTAAAGCGATGGAATAGAGAAGACAAAAAGAAGGAAGATAAGAAATGCGAGAAATGCGAGATTTATCATGGAAGTTTCTAAACGAACATCACCAAGACGGGATAAGTTGAGGGGAAAGGGTTTAGTTTGTTCCCGAATAGGTTTAGTTCGTATTCCCAGATAGGACTAGTGTCAGGTCCCTTATCTTACCCGTGAGGGAAATTGATCGAATTGGGCCGATAAGAGATAACGGATAACGGATGACAGATGACGATCAGGTACAGAGATAATGACCTCCTGAGCTCGGGAGAGTAATTAAAGTGACCATCGGCAAATTGACCAATGGATTTTGTTTTACTTGAGAATAGCCAGTGGCTTCATCATGTCCATACGCCTCGGCACGTGCGCCAATACCCCAGAGTGCAGACACAAGGGAGTTTACTCACAATCACAAGGCAATTTTACTTTTAACATTGGAATGTATACGATTTAAACATTGAAGAGTACGAAAGTAGAGAGCAAGTGGTCATTTTCATCAATTGTGGTAAGACTCGTAAAGAATAACATAATTTGGGTAAGAATTAGAGAAGAAAAAGAATTAAACACATCCACCATGAAATCCGAAGCATGTACATGGTCCAGATCGTTCCTCATGCAATTTGGCTTGAACAGATCTCCCAGAAGCATATCATCCCTCATAACGTAAAAAAAAAAGAAACCTCACAGAATAGATCAGCGCAATCAAGATATCGAAAAATAGAAAGAAGAGACGCTAAGTATTCCAGGTCAAACAAGCAAACATAAGAAGGATCGAAGAATTCGGCACATTGCCAAGAGAAATTGTGCAGGTAAAGGCAAAGCGACAGATCAAGAATTCGAAGATAGTGAAACAAGGATAGTGAATGTGCAAAAGGGGGATTGGAGAAGAGCATGGTATCAACGTGAAAGCGTGAAGGACAACAAAGGAAAAAAGGAAAACAAAATCGGAAGAATAGATACTAGGAGATCGCCGTCAGGACAGGTACTTGTCAGGGTCATGGCGGGTCGTAAAAGTGTAGACATTTTGTCAGATCTAGATGATCTGCAGGTAGTTGCTGGGGACCAAGCCAGGGTGCCCACGGCCATTGGTGACTTCAGCTTCCCACCATCCATCATCTTGAAGACGGATGACAGACAGGACATCGCCCTTTGCGAAGCCAAGTTCCTCAGGGATTGCTGGAGTGTAGGTGTACATTGATCGAGCAAAGTGCAGGACAGGACGACCATCACGGCTGAACTTCCGACCAGGATCAGCAACAGCAACAGTGCGGCTTCGAGAGCGACCGACAGGGGGTCCATTATTATTATCACCGCCATAGTGAGAGCGGGGGCGGCCGTCCCCACGGGTAGAGCCATATTGGCTGCCACCTCCGTATATGTCGTCTTGGCCGGCGGAGAGCTGCAGCTCCATGCCCCCGGCGCTGGATGGACGAACCTGCTGTCTGAATTGAGGCTGAGGAGACACAGCACGGTGAGAGGGGGCTGGGGAAGCTCTGCGAGCGTAGTCATTGGGAGAATACGGCTGCTGTTCTTGAGCTCGGCGTGGGCCCGGAGACTGACTATAGCGGCTGCGAGCGCTGCCACTTTGATAATTGCTCGGGCTCGGGCTGGCGCCACCACCGCCGTATCCTGTGCGAGATTGATACGTGCTTGGACTTGGGCTAGCACCGCCGCCACCGTATCCAGTGCGAGTGTCAACCCGGGGAGAGACTGCAGGGCTAGCACTGCGCCTTGGGGCGGGCGATCGGGAAGGTGCAGGTGATCTCGCGCGAGGAGCTTCCTGGGGCTTCTGAGCCTCCCTGGGGGCCATGGATGGGTTGTTACTTCCACCGCGAAGCATGCTCGCGGCTTGACCGGTGTATCGCTGAGTGGTCTTTTGCATCTGCTTAGCCGTAAATGCTGGCTCGGGAGCACCAAGTCGCTTCACATTAGGATCATTGTATGCGGGAGGAGCAGCCGAGGTGCTTCCACCGTATGTGGACGAAGGTGCCGAAGGATTCGGTGTTGAAATTCCATGGTATCGATCGGCCGACACACGCAAGCTAGGCTGTTTGCCACCAGTCGTCTTCAAATCCGCCAGGGCGCGTGCAATAGGGTCGGAAGCTTCTTCACCTTCCTTAGCACCTTGAGACCCTGCCTTTGATGCGTTCTTATCAGGAGAAGCGACATCAAAAACGTTGTTGCCAACATTCAACTGGAAGTTAGCTCGAGGATCGACGGGCTCAGGCTCAGGGCTAGGAGAAGGACGGCGTTCTGGCTGCTTCACTGGCGTCGGGGCAGGCTTAGCTGGGCTAATTTGCTTGGTGGGCGAGCTCCAGGGGCTTCTCGATGTGGATCCAGGAGTGATAGCCGGCCTGTCTTTCTCGTTCCGGCTCTTACGGCGGAAGGGACTGTTGCTGAAGAAGGCGCTCTTCTTCTTTGGAGACTTGTCATCCTGGGCACTTGGCAATGGTGCATTGTTAATAGGCTTTGGAGGAGACTGCTGCATTCTCATGACACTGGGAAGTGGTGGTGCTGGTTTCTGAGCGATAGGAGCTGGAGCCGGAGCTTCGACGCTGGACATGGATGTGGGATTCGAAACATCGCTTTGCGAATCACGGCTAGATGGCCGGTATGGGCTGGCTGCTGAGCTACGCTCCGAAGGAGGCCCTGTACGGCAGAACATAGTCATACCATCAGTAGGGTACGCGTTGTGTGGTATAGCATTGATGGCGCCGTGCTGTTCAGGATTGTAGTTCGGGGGCGGTTGTCCACCTCGGCGAAGGTCAAGAGGAGCTGGCTGCTGCGGCATATTAGAGTACATGGCCGGTTGCTGTCGCTGAATGGGTGATTGTGATTCTTGCTGCAACGTCCTTTGCGGAGGCGGTTGTTGAGCCATACGCTGGAGGGGTGGTTCTTGTTGAATACTCTGTGGCGGTGGCTGCTGGGACATGCGCTGCAGAGGTCGTTCTTGCTGCATGTTCTGTGGCGGTGGCTGCTGTGGCATGCGCTGAAGAGGCGGCTCTTGCTGCATGTTTTGCGGCGGTGGCTGTTGAGGCATACGCTGAATGGGGGTTTCTTGCTGAATGTTTTGGGGAGGCAGTTGCTGAGGCATCCGCTGTTGAATGGGTGACTCGGGCTGGATGCTTTGTGGGGGCGCCTGCTGTGGCATTCTTGGGACAAGAGGCTCTTGCATTATGTTCTGAGGGGATGGCTGTGGCACACTAGCCGCGGGGGGAGCTGAGTGCCCCATTTGAGCTGCAAGATCAGACTCTGGGTCATGATGGGACTCGTAGGTTGACGGCTGTGGAGATGATGTCCGGAACGCAGGGTTCATAGTTCGCTGGAACTGTGCCACTGAGTAACCCTCTCCTGAATCAATATCCGATCCTGCATCGTCGTCTTCTTTGCAAAAGTTCACGAAGCGAGGTGGATCCGGGATCTCCTGTCCGGTTCCTCGTTCCTGAATGAAGTCGAAAATATCCTTTTCCACCTCGCAGTTCTCAAGTGACAAGCGAATCTTCTCACAAGAGGCATCGTCGCTGACACACACTGTCGATGCGATGTTCGCATAGGTCCAAAGACTGCTCTTGGTGAAATCCAAACGTTCCTCCTCCAGATCTTGAAACTTATCACAAGCAGCCTTCCATTCCTTGTTCCACCGACCAGTAGTATCTTCGAGGATCTTGACAGCGGCCTCATACTCTTGGCTATTTGACGCCATCTGAATCTGAGTCTTCTCAAGCCTGGATTTGTTCTTGCGTTCCTCCTGACCCATTACCATGTGGCCTTGGGCAAGATAACCTTTAATCTGTAGGCAGTTTTGTTCGAATCGGTCACGAGCCTATTGAATTGTTAGCCGGCAGATCTCTCTGTTGTAGATTCTCATTGTCCTACCTTGTTGACCACGTGTGTTTGTTGCATCTTAGTCTTGTGCAGGCGTTCGATTCCATTCTGAATAATCTTTCGTCGTTCCTTCAATCCGCTGGCAAAAGCGCCCAGTGGTTCCTCAAGTTCTGTTTTCATTTGACTGGCAATCGTTGCATGTGCCTTCGCAATGGCTTCTGTCTCTCCACGGACCACGTCAAGCGATACACGAAGGGATCCCGACTCGCATGTTCCGAACGGCTTGCGGCAGAGTGCTTGTAATTTTCGCGCATATTCATCTTCGATCGCAGCTCGTACTTTAATAAGAATTGGAAGTTAGTGATTGTTGCTGCAGGTTTTGTTCGCGATGGCTCCTTGCATACCGTTGTAAAAGACCTTTAATTCGTCGCTTGTAGCCTTCGATCCATGCATGCGATCAAGCATAGGTTGCAGGCCCGCATCATCTTTACCCCAGAAGTTGTTGGCAACTAAATCTCAATGTCAGATGGTTATTTTCTCGTGCATTTTGTGGGGGCTAGTCTTACAGGACATGGAGACCGTCGGTCCCTCTGCCACTGTACCAGGCATTTTTGTTGATGTTGAGCCTCGGCCAGCCTTTGCTCATACACGGATTGAGATGAAAAACAACAGATACAAAGAACGAATAGAAGCAAGAAAAAAGAAAAGCAATGTGGGAAGGATGAAAGAAAAACACCCAAATTGACCCTGCGGTCGCTGAATGTCGAGATGTTGAGTAGAGGGATGAGCGTGCGCAATGTTTATCAGCGCGTCTCTCGGGGCAACGGGAGTCATGTACTGAGAAACAGTATTACGTAATTCACAATGGTGCCCAATCGGACGCGTCAGCTTTATTTTCTTTTAATTGCAAGTTATCTGGGATTCTTTATGGTCTTTGCTTGATTTATTCCGTCATTCTAAAGTTGAATTTGTTTGTAAAAAATGATATTCATCTTGGTTTTCGTGATCACTGCGTTGTGATCGAATCTAGATAAAACCGGGGCATCAGTTCAAACAATCTATATAGTCAAGCCCCTCGAACCCTAATATCCACTCATGTTCATAAAAAGTAAAAAAATACAAGTAAAATGGAAGAAAGATCGCATCCAGAAAAGAAAGGTAAAAACGCCTTTAAATGCACTCCAAAAACCCGACTCTCCCAAGTGAAAGTCGATTGGGCAGGGCCGCAAAAGAAAATATCAAATATCCGAGCTGTTTCGGCGACGGAGATCGTTGCAATGTATCGTGTGTCGTCTTGGAGTCATATTCATAACAATTCATAGGTTGAGAGGCTCATCACTCGCAAATCTATGTGCATCGTGTTGTAAAAAATAATCATGCATCATCATTCATGAACTGCTTTAATAAAGCAGAGCAGACGAAAGGGGGATGGAGAGGCTGGCGCTAGGCGTAGGAGTGGGAGCGCTAGAGGGAGTGAAGTGGCTCTCAAAGTCACGCTTGACGAGGAAAGAGGTAGGCGCGACAGGAGTGCTCACACTGGAAGCAGGTCCGGAGGGAGTGGGGACAGAGCTAGGGCTCCAACCGCCAAACTGACGAGCCACCAAAGAGGAAGGAGAGGCGGAGGGAATTCCCCAAGAAGCAGCATCGTAGCCGCGAGCGTAAACATATGCAGAGGGGCTCACACTGGGGGTGGCAGAGGGGGTGGCAGAGGGGGTGGGAACAGAGCTGGAACCCCAGCCGCCGAACTGACGAGCAACTAGAGAGGCAGAGGGAGTGGCTGCCGAGCTAGGAGGGACGGGCAGTGAGCTGCTGGGACCCCAACCTCCAAACTGGCGAGCAACCAGAGAAGGGGAAGCGGTGGGTGTGGTGCTAGGAGAGACAGGTGTCGAGTCACTTGGACCCCAACCGCCGAACTGGCGAGCAACCAGAGAAGAGGAAGATGGTGCAGCCGAAGGCGTGAAAGAGGGAGAAGGGTACCAGCCAGCAGCGTCTCGGACAGCCAAGGAGGTGGGAACAGTGGGCCAGGAAGAACCGGAAGACGAGATGTAGTTCTGTGCGAATTGAACTGGGTTACCAGCGGCGTTCAGGCCACGGCGGAAGAAGCCATTGCTATTGGCAGGCATGAATGATCCACCTGGAGGAGGAGCCAAGTGTGAGGCAGGAGCCGAGCTAGAAGGTGCAAGTGAAGAGGGAGCCGGAGTCGGAGTGGCTGTTACTGTGATGGTTTGAAGCACAGCAGGAGCACCGGCGGCAGTCACTGTAGACTTGGCAGTCTCAGTCACAGTCTCGATCTCAGGGGCGGCAGATCCGTTGGAGTCTCCGTCAACATTGACTACTTCGTAGCTTGTCTGGCGACGGCTAAGTTCATCTTGTGGGTTGGCGAAAGGAGCGGCATAGGTGACGCTGATGGAGGAGAAGGCGAGCAAAGCGGCAGCGTTGGCGAAATGCATGATGGAGAGAAAGGACGTATTTGTCGTATTTGCTTTGCAGGTACTTTAAACAAGATGTAAGAGTAAAAAAATGTAATGCGCTCGGATTTGTTGAGGAGAAAAGTATCGTAAGAAGAAATTGAGAGCGTGAATTTTAGTTTGAGAGAATTGGAATACGACAGAGAAGGAATGGAATTCAGGGTTTAAAAGTAAGCAGTATCACAATCTAGATCAGCCACGTTGGTCATGATGAAGTATTCCTAATTTGCATGGAAGCCAGGCCATTGGACCAAAAATAGGTAGGCTGGGATCTTCGGAGGCTGGGGATCAGAAAACATTAGATCCGTCAAACGCCCAGCCACGCTTTTTAACAGCCAAATGACCCACATGGCAGCGCCACAGCCGCTGTTGTGCATATTGAATGGAGTTTGATTGGAGATGGACACTCGTGCGGCCAGAAAGACCCACTTAAGGCGTGGCTGGGGGATCCACATGTACATCCGCTCCGTTGCATTAATTTGCATCCCGGAAAGACCGGTGCCTAGTTTCTTTTCTTAGTCTACAAATGACATGCTCCAATCTGGATTTCTATTAATTTAATAATATTGATTGAGTTTCACTGATCGACCAACTGCCGTGGCTGGTCCCATCGTGGCAGGGTAATTTTGTACACACGGAGTACACACATCATGCAACGGCAAGATCTTCAACCCGCAATAGGCCACAACCAAGTGCGGCACTGCCCCAGGCGGCACACTGGCGGTTGGGATTCCATCCCAGTGCTGTGACGTGGGTCCCTTCCTCATAAATCGTGGTGAGACTGAGGCCCATTGGTCGGGGCTCTCCGTTGCGCATAGAGCCTGTGCCTTCCGCACTGAATCCCTCGTAGAACCGGCTGACGCCTGGGTGATCGGGTTCGGATCCGGAGACCCAGCTATGAACAAACCATAGTTGCTGCCACTGTGTTTCTTTTGGGTGTAGGATTTTACGGAGAGGATTTGTCGCCATTACCTCACCTCCTGTCCCACCATAAAGAAGGCTGGGGTGCCAGAAACTGCATGGAGCGAGAGCAGAAACCGCACTGAAGATCTTTGAAATTGTGGCGGTGGCAAAAAATCGTCTGATGGGCATGAGTCGACCATATTCATGCTCATCACTGGAGCAGACTCCCTGGAGGACTGGCGAGAAGCTGAGATGAGATGAAGCTAATCGTACTCGAACTGTGCTAGTGGTCTCACTTTGGGGGTCAAGCATGGACCATAAGCGAGTTTCACCATCCACTGATATTGTTGAAAGAAGGTGTGGATGTGTTGGATATATGGATGTGATATTCAAAACGTAGGTTGCGTGAAATGAACGATAGAAATATGGTTCAGGTTCAGAGGTGGAGCAAGGGAGAATACTGTAAATGGCCACGAAACCATTTCCACAGCCAACTGCAATGTCGCTGGGTGAGAGCCACGCCACGCATGTACAAACGGTCGAGCTGGGCATGGCCTCAAATGCTGGGGAAATTATTTCCGCTAGAACTATGCATCAGAAAATGGATAACAAGCAATTGGCTAACGCCGAGGAATGTAGCTACTCACTGTATTTGGGACCAATGGAGTCTTTGTGGGCTTGCTGTAGCTTGATGTCCAGCACTCGCACCCTTCCATCTCCCCAGACTCCAGCCAGTAGACCAATGTCTATCAAACCTTCGTCGACATTACCTCGCTTTTCTCGTCCCATGGGACACCATGCCATACGCCGAAGATCCCCCCACTCCGAGCAGAATATATGGCGAAGTCGTGGTTCAACAGTCATGTCAAGAGTACTACCTTGGGTCCCTCCTTCTTTGCCTTTGAATTCCCAAATCTGAATTGCTCCACCATATGGAAGTGATGGTAAGAACGAGGAGATTGGGGGATTTTCGTGGGCCTTGTAGCTTTTCTTTTGTTCATCGGTGATTGGTGCAGCCACGGCTAGATATTGAGATGCACCCTCTTGGTTGGGAGCCCATGCCATACATTGGATCTTTTGCCCGATGTTGACGACCCAGCCCTCACGTATCTTGGCGGTTCCATTTTGTTTAGTCCCCCAAGCCTGACTGAAATCCATACTCTCATGATAACCAAGGTGAAAAGACTTTTGATTATTGGCTGGTCCCATGAGAATAGTATGACTTTTGGGCTTCGGTGACGGCAAATAACGGAGTCTTGTTTCCAGCACTTTCGATTTCAGATTCATTCTTTGCTGTTTTCGAAACTTTTCGCCTGTCTCTTGATCGTAGTACCAGCTCCAGCCTAAAGTTCGTTCCTTCTCAAGATCCTCTGGAGAGATTCCCAACGTTGGACCATATGGGGAATCGGATTCTCCTTCGGTCGTCTCCAAAGAAACACGAGTTGGAAATGTAGAGTCTCGGCCCCAACGCCATCGGCCTCGTATGTGGATTGTGACACCTAGGTCTCGGTCATCAGAACCAAAAGTCAAGTTGTATGACATGAACTTTGAAACGTGGTCTCGCGAGTCTAAGATGCCCCGAGTATGCGTCTCCTCCACCGATGGTGTATTGATCCCATAGGCCGTCGGTATCTTCTCTTTTGGTATTTGAGAGGGCGCAACCCTTTTCTTCTTGGGCATGGCTTTGATTTCATCAACATCCATGAGGTCACCTCCATCCCCACGAGATCCAGTATCAGAATCTTGTGCATTCTCTTCCTCGTCTACAGAGCCCTCGTCATCCTCATCTTCCTCTGGCTCGGCGACGTCTGGATCTGAGCCTGCATCGAATTCAGAGTCCGACGCAGAATCCTCTCGTTTCACCCTTTTAGTCTTGCTTCGGGGTCCTTTCTCAGTCAACTCAGAGCCTGATTCGTCACTGATTCCAGCAGCAACAAATGGATCCTCAGTGTACACTGTTCTGGCACCCTTGACACGGCCAGATCTGCGGCTGCGAGTCATTTTGTGCAAAGCCAAGTCAAAAGACCATAAAGGATATTTCTCTTTGGCGCAAGTATCTGTCTCTCGGTTGATTGACTGGCTCAGTCTGCTTTGGCAAGCAATACATGAGAGGAGAAGTGAAGAATTCAGCAAAGAATGCTGGAGATTTGGAGAAGCGGGCAGATACATCCATGACGCGCTATACCCGATTAGGGTAGTTACCGACCATGCCTATTTGGGTTAGTGAATATAAACAAACTGCTCAATTCACTAGTTAGTAGTAAGCCATATTTATTATTCACCATAATTTCCACTCGTATTCACTAGTACATAAGTCAAGAATAATCATTTTTTTTTGACTTTCGAGAGTGGTTTGCCTCTTGCCGTTCATATCTTCAGCCAAAATTGCACAAACAACTTACGCAAAAAATCCCGAGCCTTCGATTCTGGATTTGGTGCCTAGAAATCAAGGCCTGGCATTCGTTTGTTGTCAGTATTACTTCGTAGCCTCGGAAGGAGCCGTGTACAAGGCTACAAGCCCTTTGCATTGGTCACTTTGGCTGGTGCCTAAAGTTCTTTTGATTTATGGTTGATAATCTTCGCAGGGCAGTACTTTTGCCACCCATTTTGTGGTAATAACTTGCAAGTACACAGTAGTAGTATATTGTGGAATATAATGGTCAGGCTCATGATCTGCATTTAAGATTAGTGTAGAAGAAGGCTAGAACTTGGTTAATTCACGTTTGCCTCTTCATTTCCCTAATCCGGGGGATTCGGGGCACTGCAGTGGACACCAGATGCCGCTTTGCCGTAATCGGGGATTCTGACATCACTCGGATTTGCCTTATCGCCTTTGATCGCGAACCCCAACATCGAATCTCTCTACCTTGAGAGAAGTTCCCAACTCCAATCAATTGCGTGGTGAGTAAATTTCAAATCTAATGTACTGTAATTAATGCTGAGCGGTCAAGTCAAATGAACCGTGACAAATCCGACTTGGCTGAGATTCTGGCAGGTCCCAAACCCGGACTAGCGTAAGGTTTGAAGACCATAGCCACCACCGGGGCAACTCCCACGCGACTGGATGGAAAACCCCGCAACTTAGATATAAGAAAGAGATCCCCCGCCAAGCGTTGATCCCGATACCCACAAATTCATCAAAGGAACCTGCATGCCAAGATGTCCGATATCAAAATGGATTCGAAATCTACCCCAACTCAATCTACATACAAAGGCACAATGTGTGCTCAACCACAGCGCCCACATACAAATGCTGTCATTAAAGCAGGGCACCTCCGCGCTGTAGACGAAGTACGTCCACATGTCGACTTGACTGTTCCTTGAGTCGCAGTGAGTTAACTGACTTTTTGGGTGAAATAGCAAGATATGCAAAACCATTTGCAAAGGCTTCAACTGCAATGTGGTATCTACAACACCGACGTCGAGCCAGAGCATGATACCGAATATTTTTGCAATTGCCCGATTCATCAGTACCAGGCCAGAAAGCTTGGCCGACTTCGTGTGCTAAAACAATGGTCTGAAGCCGTTATTTATCCAGGTCAGCGATTACATATGTATCTGCCCGTCCGATCTATCTTTGAAAACTAACATTTTATTAGGTGAAAGAACTTACCATGATTGTTACAAGGGGGCTGGTTTATTGGGCACCTTGAGCAGCAATCCCTACCAATTCATATCATCCTACTCCTATAATAGTGGTGGGATAGGTGCTTTTGCTCCCTCAAATATGTACGGTGGGTATGGAGGAATGAGAAGACCGGATCCATACACATATACAAGCTCCCTGGAAAAGACAATCAGGTTGAATGCGCAATTGAACTCGAAAGCGCAAATTTCCATCGACAGCAAGGAGCCCACGTCCAGTATATGGAATATGGATTCTGTCACCGCGTCCCCGACCGCGCATGGAGATGAGAAAGGTGTCAAACCTTCCAGGCTTTCGGGATTTCGAAGAACATTTTCCATCAGGTCTCCCGAGGAAAAAGAGGCAGAGAAAATAAAAAAGCAGTTTTCTAAGAACGAGGGACTGCGGCTTGAAATTCTCAATGAAGAAAACGGACGGTGGGCAAACAAAGAATGGAGAGACTTGGTGGCAGAGTATCAAGAACATGTCGGCATGACACAAAAGATCGCCGATCTTCGAGCTCGTTATCCCATTCAATATTTGCACCTTCTTCGAGCAGGGTACTTTGAACCTATTCCAGTGGACTGGGCGAATCTTGCTTCAAATCCGCTCAAATTTAGCATTGAGGCTGCGTCTGGGTGGAGGGGTATCACTCCTGCTTGGAGAGGGTTCGAAGACACTGCCGAAGAACGACTATATTGGGTCTTGAATCACAGAGAGGGAAGCAATGGGCCACGAATGAAGCCTGATCCCATTTCCGCGATGGCTCTGGCCCGCGCCAGAATGGCGTTAGCGGTCCCGCCTCCTATTGAATATTATTCTCCCGATGATGTCTGTCATACTCAGCATAAGTCGGATGACTATTCACGACAGGTTCTGGCAGGACCCTTCAAGCCCTCGGATGTGCCGGGAACACCTTTGGATGATACGATGGTTTTACTGGATGTCTCTGGGTCTATGGACTTTGACCCCCTTCGTCCGATTTATCAACAAGCTCTTATCACCGGCTACGCAAGGTCTAATCAGCCCAAAAACAAGGGTTAGTTCAAGACTTCAATTTTAGCCACCTTTTGTTAATAATTACTAACTGTTTATTGCTGCAGATCTCGCGAAAGCCACCATTCGTCGCTTCATCGATGCAATGATTCATCACGATCATAATCCAACTGGCTATGAACTCGTCACTTTTCACGACAAATCCAACTACATCGGTGTGATCAATCACGAGAACTTTGAAAAAATGTGGAGAAAGGTTAGCTTTGGTGGAAGAACTCGAGTCATGACTGGATGGCAGCTTGTCAAGAATCTTCATTTCGAGAAACATTCTGAGTCTGCAACTTACCACCCGGTCTACGGGTGGCAAGCTGGTCCAAAGACCCCCAAACTCAGACTCCTTCTACTTCTTGACGGCGAAGCAAGTGACATGGATGAGTTTGAGCTTGACTTGCTCAGTCTGTCTTGGGTTCATGTCACGATATTCTTGATTGGTGTCGATGGTTGTCCGCACCATCACCGACATGCAAATGAGTTGCAGAGAATCAGTGAGGTAAATCCTCATGTCTCTTTTGTTGATGCCCAGGGTAATACCCCCGAGCGATACATCACGCACGAACTTTTGAAGAGGCATCTTGGTTTTGACTTCACAATGTCAGAATTCAGGGAGCTCGAGCAACTGCCATCGTATGATGACGTAGTAGAAGGCAGGGTAGCAAATGGCGCTGGGATAGAATCGGGTGCACATTATGCATCACCACCGAAAGGATCATTGAAAGCGTGATTTTTGGAAGCTTATGTATGTACATGTAGAATCTTATTTTATGAAATGAATTGATGACATCTTTTTAAGATCAATTCAAATGTTTGCAGACATCCTCCTATTCCACAGTGCTAGGTAATTGTGATATTTTGGTAGTAGGGTCGATATATGTCAACTTTGAAAGCAGTACACATGTTAATTTCAACGTTCGGAAACATCCCAAGGTTGATAAGGCCAAAAAATCATTTATTTGTTCTCGAACTCCTTTTTTTTTTCTCTATTCTTTTTTAAATGTACATTTAAATCCATGAAATAGATCCAATGTCATCAATATGTTCATGCCATAAAATGAGGCTTAAGTTGGTGACTTGTGGGGTGTTTAGAACAGGTTGACTACTTAGTAGTGTAATGTAGTGCCACGCTTGTTTCTTAGGGAGACAGGGGGGAAGCCAATCCCGATTCACCTTGGTGAAATAGAGCGCGCGTACTCTTTATCATTTGAAAAAAAAGTGTGGTAATATTTTCAGGCAGCGTGGCAAGTTCCTCAACTGATTCATCAAAGCACCATACTAGTAACTTTTTAGGGTTTCTTGGAAATATTGATTCTTCACCATCAAGCCCTTCTCTTATTCACAGTATAGAATTAAAGCATTAATCACATAATGATGAAGCAATTGGGAAAGAACCGAACGGTGTGGTCCAGTAAAGGACGGTACCTACTATGTAGCAGTACTAAGATAAGTGGACTATGTGCAAAGAACCACCAGTTGACTAGAAAGAGGAACATACACATGTGCATATATCTTGCTCACTGGCACATATGCAGTTGGGAACCGTACATAGCCCTAGTTAGAGGCGACCTCGAGAATTAATGCCTGTAGTTTGAGCGCGACGCCCGCGCCAAGATGCAGATCTCAATTCATTGCATGCACCTGCACGTGTGGGCATCTATGTAAGGTATATAAAATCACCAGCGCGGTCATCCCACTCCGCGCCCTGTACATCATCTTCGCTCCGTTTATTTAGATTGCGGTGATCATATACTTTTTTCACTGCGGTGAACAGAACCAAGGCAGTGACCAAGGTGCCAAGGGACCATCCATTCCCAAGGTAGTATTTTGGTTTATCATGAGATGGGTATATTTGCCCAACCACAACACCTATATATTGATTGAGATTGTTAGTATCAAGATCGTGATACATGTCTAAAAATTGACCATGGGTGGAAAATAGACATATCATCTAGGCACATACCTGCTAGATCCGTCAATGTCAATGTGATACCCATCGTAGCGCCCCTCTTCCCATCCGGGGCTGAATTCAGCGAGGCCCATGATAGGTTGATTCCGGCAATGATGTACATTCCGGTGGTGATCAAAAATGTGGAGAAGTATTGCACACCAGCGGGAATGGGGCATAGAATAAGAACATATCCCAGTGCAGTGATAGATCCGAAAACCATGACAAAAATGTAACGTCGCTGGAGTCGATCGGATAACCATGCAATTATCATGTACACAATGGCACCCCACATTTGCACTATACCGCAATGCATGGGTTAGCTCTAGGTATTCTAAAACGTTTTTGGCGTTTCATCATACAATACTTACCAGGAATAACTAGATATTGCGCCTGGACACTGCTAAAACCGAGTCCGTCTTCGATAATAATCGGTAGGAAGTTATTGAATCCTAGATCACGCAATGGGTTAGCTGAAGTGAAGAAAAAATCAGATGCCAACTCCCATATTCTTACCGTAAAGGGGCGTAATAACACAGAACTGCAAGCAGGCATGCAGCCAAGTCTTGATATCCTTAGCAGCCCAGAGAATATGTTTGAAGCCAAAATGGCCTCGTCCCCCACTGTATTGGTGCATCGCCTCGGCTCGACGTCTCATTGCAACTTTATCATCGTCATCCAAGAACCAAGCAGTCTCAAAAGACCCAGGGACTAGCCAGAAAGACACGAACCCAAAGGCAATAGTAACACTGCCCTCAATGATATAGATCCATCGCCAACCCGGTATGCCGGCTGCTCCATCCATATGGTAGATACCAAATGCTACCAAGCCACCAAAAGCGCCCGCAAGAGCTGACGAAGCTATGCAACTGTCAGTATGAGTTGCTCTCAAGCGTGAAATGGATCACCCACCAAACAGAAATGCCATTCGAACAGCTAGCTCTTCTCTCTTGTACCAGTTTGCTACAAAAAGAGCTAGACATGGGAATAGACAGCCCTGGAATAGACCCAGTACCAGCCTGGTTGCCGCAAGACTGGCATAGTTGGTCATCCATCCACTGCCAAGTGTGACGGCACCGAATGCAATAGTGAGAGTAGGTAGCACACGTTCAAACCTCCATCGTTTCGCAACCATGGATATGGGTAGCTGAAGTCCCAATGTTAGATTTTTGCGCTTCATCACACCTGATCAAAGATTGGATATCTGCCGTACCTCTGACAGCACATAAAATACATAGAAAATGGATATCGCGACCTGTTTGATGGGTCATTAATATGTGTTCATGTCATGCACGGAGGATCAAGTCACATTCAGCTCGTCGCCTTTAAGATTCAAGTCCTCTGACATTCCTTGGGTGTCAGCAAACCCGATATTCGATCTGTCAATAAAAGACTAGAGCATCCGAGTCAGCAAAGTACTATATCTCTTGCCAATGAATATGGAAGTCATACTAGAAAGTTGAAAGCGCCTATTAAAGGAGCAATGGCAAGATCTAATTTTCTAACGCAGACGCGTTCCATCTCGACAAGGCGTTCATAATCAATCTCTGCCGCCTCACTTAAGCTGAGGTGGTCGGTGGGATCGGTTTTTACGCCTTCCTCCTTCATAATCGACCCAGTTGGAGTTGGGCTATGTTGCATGGCTCTGCGGGTCATTTGGCTGGGGTACTTGAGTAGAACGTCAGCTTGAAGATAGTAAAAAGTGGGAGATTGGGGGGTTTTAATAGAACAACATTGGCTCATTCGGCATGATTGCCGAGTCATGGGACAATCAAGTATACACTAACCCTGGAGCTGCCCCGCCTTTGACCAATGAGTGTATGATTTTGGACATTTCAAGGTTCATTTTGTATGGGGTCGACGATGGCCAATGCTTAGCGTCTTCCTTGCCCCGGTTGAACCCCGGCTTTTGTGGAGAGGGATAATCGGTTACCCCGCGAAAGATGTTCAAATATCCTCCCTCTCAAACATTAGAATTTCTCACATACCCAACCAATTGATTGACTTATCACTTAGTATTACTGATCGCCAGGGTTGCGCCTGGCCAGAGTTGTGCCAACCATCCAGGGCTGGAGGAAAAGTCGTAGACTTGACAGGTTCCAAGGTTATATCAATACTAGTACGTCCATTTAAAATGTTCTTGAGAGCTTTGCCTTGAAAATATCCATTACCTGCTATGCTCTCTCGGTAACCGAGTACAAGGCGCCCTTCTAATTCAATTATTCGACACGATTCAATGATCCACGAAGTGAGATCTTGCCAAAACATACCAGTTAGTTGTAAGTGGCAAGCTAAGTAAGCTAGCGGTGGGTCAGGTACGTCAATCCACCCAACACCTGCCCCTCCGTAGCTACCGCAACATCAAAATCTTCCAAGCAACAACCTTAGAATGTCGTCCAGCAATCAACTATCGCACCCCGGTGTCCTACACGAATACGTATGACTAGCCTAGCTCCGCTATATTAATATGAGCTAACCATCTTATCTTGGACAGGCTCCCAGGCTTGTAGCCTTTGAGTTCACATCGCCTGAGAAGCCAAATAAACCAAACAGCTTAATCTTCGTGGGTGGATTGACTGATGGATTTTCCACGGTCCCCTACGTAGCACCCTTGGCTAAAACGCTCGAGCCAACAGAGTGGTCTGTGTTTTCGATTCTGCTTTCTTCATCCTATAACGGATTTGGAGTCAGCAGTCTTGATCGAGATGTAGAGGAGATCGCGCAATGTGTGCAATTCATTCGCAACCTGAAGGGTGAATCTGGAAAAGTGGTGGTCATGGGCCATTCCACTGGTAGCCAAGATGTTCTGCACTATCTCCACTCGCCCAATCCACTACCCAGAGACCCTGACTTTGACGTCGGTCTCAAGTACCTGACTCGGCCAAAGCTCGATGGTGCCATTATGCAAGCACCAGCTTCTGACCGGGAGGCTATCAAGCATCTCATCAAGACCTCCCACCAACCAAATGAAGCACAGGGCGCATACGAGCAGCTCGTGAGCGCTGCTCAGAGACAGCCGTGGACTGATGACAAGTTTGACTCGATCCTTCCAATGAATATGACTGTCTTACTGGGATTGCCGGGCGATGCCCCACTCAGTGCTCGCCGTTTCCTGAGCCTGGTCAGCCCCGACAGTCCTCAGACCCCCGCACAGGACGATCTTTTCAGCTCCGACCTGACCGGCAAGCGTCATCAGCAGACATTTGGGCAGATTGGTTCGCGAGGTATTCTGAGCTCCAAGTCCAAATTCTTGATCTTATACTCAGGCGAGGATGAGTATTGCCCACCGTGGGTTGATAAAGAGGCTATGTTGCAGACGTGGCAACAAGCGACCGAGGCCGGGGGCGCATCTTGGGATGCGGAAAATGGTGGAGTCGTTCCTGGTGCCAGTCACAATGTCAGTGGCGAAGGTCAACAGGACCTTATTGGCCGCGTCGTGCGGTACTTGCAAAGCATCTGAAATGAGGAATCGGTTCAAGAATGAGAGGTTTGATGACAAGAACTCTGTAAGACATGGAATGGATCATTGGATTTTTCTCTTGACATACACAAATTTCAAATAAGAAAAGACATGCAAACACCGCCCAAGAGTATGAAGATAAAAGGAAAAGGAAATTGTAATGAGAGAATAGACCAAGATGGGGTATATCGAAGTAACGGACAGACCGTTCAGAGTTGACACCAAGTGGGCCCGAATGAAATGCGCATGACTCAAGGGTCAATTAGTAAGTCTTGCGCTATAATTTAAACCTTCAGCCACAGGGTCATAACACCCTTGAGATACTCGACAATCTCGCTGCCGCCCAACTTGCTTTCTCCGTAGAGACGGTCGACAAAGGTGATAGGACACTCCTCCACCTTGTATCCCATAGCCTTGGCACGGACCATCATCTCCATCTGGAAACTGTAGCCCTTACCCTGGGTGCTAGTAATGACCTTGTCGAGAACCTGCTTCTTATACAGGCGGAAACTTCCAGTCAAATCACTGACGCCAGGCATCAACATGACATCTGCGATCATGTTTGCTGTGCGCGAAGTAAACTTGCGAATCAAATCCCAGCCATAGACACCCCCCTTAATATCTCCGCGGTTGGCGTACCGGGTGCCGGTCACAATGTCGGCATCGCTCTCCTTCTGAATGCGGACCATCTCGGGGATGAACTTAGGGTGGTGGCTGAAGTCGGCGTCCATGATGATGACAAAGTTGCCGGTCACGAACTGCAGGCCATGCACATAGGCGGTTCCTAGGCCGAGCTTGCCTTCGCGAGGCTTCAGGATGATGTGCTCGGCGCCATAGAGTTTCTGGAGTTGCTTTGCGATCTCGAGGGTGCCGTCAGGGGAACCATCGTCAACAATGATAACTTCCCAGTCTAGCTTGCTATTTACAGCGAAAAGAAAAGATTATCAGCTTTCGCATTAACATGTCAATGGAATAGCAGCCCGCATACCTCTCGTTGAAGGTTTTCTGGAGCAGCCAGATAATAATAGGGAGGTTCTTGCGTTCGTTGTAGGTCGGCAAAATGACCGAGTACTTGTTCTTGGTAGCGCTCATGTTGAAAAGATCGGGAATTAAGTTTCAATCGGTGTCTCCGGGACAAATGCGATCAACGGCGAAGAAATAAACAGAAAGTAGTGAGCGAATGGCCGGACAGCTTGTTGAAGAGAAGCAGCGTCGCGCCAACTGTGGCCAGATCCGGCGCTATACACCGCCTTTTGTTTTGCCCGATAACTTATCGCGAGAGCTTCCCCCAGACAAACCGTCCCTCGTGCGAACGTGGATTTACTCGTGTTTATCATAAATCTCCGAAGATGTCGTCACCTACAAAACACTTGCGCAATGTTTCAAGATGTGAGATACATTGATTTCATTGCATAATTGAGGGTTTGGTGACCGAAATGCTTATCAGAGTCCCAGCTTCACGGCCCCGCAGCTCAACACGGGGTCCTTTAGATGCACCACCAGATGAGTGAGCAAGAAACTTGACTGCTTATAATTGAAGGTCCAATCTCACAGCCCATGCAGCCTTCTTGAACCAACAAGCTTGCTTTCTTCGCCAAACATTGGCAACGATGCCGAAAGTGAGTCTTTCTCGGGGGCTTCTTTTCACGAATTAGATCTGCTGGCCCCCGACGACCTCCCAGAAACGCTGGGAAAGGACCTTTCTTTCGTTCTCCGGCATTCTATTTTCCATCCTCTAAACCATACCGGCATTCCCTCCCCATTACGCTCCGAATTTATTGTCCTCGATCCCAGCGAACCACTCTCATCCTCACTGGGCGTGCTTGAGAAGTTACTTGTTAAAGGTCGTTTCTTGGTCGCTGCACACTTCGCTGCTTCAATATTGACCTCCTCCTTGATAAAACCCACGGATATCAAAATTATCTTCTCTTTGTTTTACACCCGTCTTGCTTGCCTGGAGCTTTCCGGAAATACCGTTCTTGCGGCCCAGGAGTCGAAGGCATTGGAGGACCTGAATTCTGCATTCTACTACATTGACCTTGATCCTGATTCATCCGAGGCGGACAAAAAAGATAATGTTCATAGCCATTACCCTCGTCATATTGTCCCCTGGCCGCTGCGTGTTCTAGCTGTGAGACTCCAAAGCATTGGATTTGGTGACCCCCGCAGAAGTATTGGTGGTCTTTACGAAATCGGATTGGAGGCACGACGAGAGATAACAAACCCAAAAAATGGAGAAGCGGAGCGAAAAGTTTGGAGAGAAAGACTAGCAGATCTAGGAATGCGGAGCGTCAATGCGTTGGTCGAGATGGGGGACCTCGATGCAGCAAAAAGATCACTGGAAAGCTTGCAATCGGCCGAGTCTGATACAGATGCCACAAAGCTACGGAAGGCACTTCTATTCCTGCGAACTGGGGATGTTGACTCTGCGCAGCAAATCTTCGGCGACTCGACCGACTCGAAGGAAGCGGCCTTGTTACAACCCCTTTTGAGCATGTCAGACGGTCGTTACAATGATGCAGTGGACCAATGGCAGGCTTTGCAAGAAGACAAAACGAGGTCAGACACGTCCTTGGTAGCTCAAAACTTGGCTGTCTGTCTTCTATATTCTGGTAAACTGGACGAGGTATGTTGAATAATTTGTCGATCATTTGCATTTCTCTTACAATATTTCTAGGCGCGTCAACTGCTGGAATCTCAAGTCTCTGCCAACCACTCCTTCAGTAGTCTTGTTTTCAATTTGTCAACGGTCTATGAGCTCTGCTCCGACAATGCTGGTCAATTAAAGGGGCAGCTAGCCGCCACTGTCGCAGGTCAGCCAGTATCTGGGCAGACAAATATGGACCGACCAAACACTGATTTCAAGCTTTGAAAATACCCGGGGGAACTCGTTACCCTGTATGGTCATCATTGATCATCATTGATTCTAGCGTTCTTATCAAACTCCAAAGTGTACAGAAGACGCTAAGTACAACAGTCGATTGAAGAATCCAATCCATAATAATATATATAAATTGCCCACCAATGCTATGCATCCAAGCAACCAAGAACTCCAGTCAAGAAAATGCAAATGTGTCCGGGAGCCTCACTTCTCCGCTGAAATGGCTGGGGGTGGCCGAGACTTGGGAGTTTTAATAATGATCGTATCGCCGTCCTTTTGCCAGCCGAGATCCTCTTTCTGGGCCAATTCTTCCCACGTCCACTTTCTATCCTCACCAGTACATCCATCTATGATCCAGTCCACGTGAACATTGAGGTAGGCACTACCCACAGCCTTCAAGGCGTGCCTTCGCATTCCGTCCACGGCCCAATTCATCACCGCGCGTGTGTATGAGTCCACACCTTTTCGCACATCCCAAAACGCCACCCAATTATCGTGTATCAATGCCGTCAAGACGCGATCGACGGCCTGCGACTGAAAGGCGTATTCCCGCCTTGCCCGCGCCCGCAATTCAAAGGCCGAACCCATATCCTGCTGTCGACACGCATAATCAAGAATCAAGTATGAGACAAGTTCCTTCACCTGCGAGTCAGTCATGGGATGAGATTTTGTATGAAGCCTGCTCAGACAGTGCTCCAATGACGGGAAATATGACGGCGGGTGTTGCGCAAGAATAGACACGCGTATCGAGAAATAGTGGACTCGCTGCGCAAATTCGGGCGGAGTTGATTCTGGTGTGGCCAAAATGCCCTCTCTCAGCTTCCGGAGGGAAAGAAGCAGCTTGGACAATTCTGTCGAAGGTGGGGGAATTCGTCTCTCGCCGGGATTAGAGACGGCTCTTGCGACCGGCTGGGGTGCGGGTGGGTTCGAGGTTGCATCATTAGAGGAGCTCACGGGGAGCGATGCGTGTGCAGTATCGAAGTCTTTTTGGTGATCCGAGCAAAATCGTAGATATCGCTCGACGACCTTATCGAAGTAGTCTAGCTGAGCTTTGTGGACGAGGAGCCTGCCATGATTGCGTCAGAGTGGCTGTAGGGAATGTTGTTTAAAGCAACATACGTCTTGTCTCCCTTGGAAACAAATCCGACCCTCTCTAGAGGATCAGCCACGGGCTTCAACCGGCTTCCCTGATGTCTGGTGGACTGCATCGAGCAAATGTGAGGGGAATCGGGATACAGCCATAACAAGTGAATCGATGATAGATCTGGGGTCGATGTGGGCCACTTGCTATGTTTGGACTGTTTGCACCGAGGTCCCAACAGTACCAACGCTTCTTTCCTTTCTTGTCCTCACCTCTTGCCGCTTTTTGCTCCTAAGGGAAACTCGAGCAAGGTACCGAGGAACAGCTTCCTCAACCATAAACCACTGGGTTTCCTTTTCATGTGATGTTTTCTTTATACTTTCAAATTCCCACTTTTGAAAATATTGTCTCCAATGGCGCAATTCCTTTGCAACTGATATACAAGTAAATATTAAATAAGGGTACATAGTCACGTGAGTACTATGGAAAACTGGACTGAGATTTACCCAGCCAACATGACTGCCCTTATAAAAGCGGCGGCACCCCATCCATAGCAAGCTTGAAAATAGTGTATGTACAGCTGGCTACTATCTACAGCGTCTTCTCCAAAATAGTTTTTCCTCTCTTTATACCCTTCAAGTTTCAAATTTTTGACGCACCGTTGATCTGCTTACATTCCGTGCATGGTTTGTGGCTGATCCGTCAAGTTCCAAATACCACATCCTGCATTAGACTCTGCATGTGACGATGTCTCGCCAGCGTCGTCCAGTACAGGGGAAAGAGTCGGACAGTCCAACAACTGATTCGGTGCTCGAAGTCCCACCTAAAATGTTGAAGAAGCTTCTTCACTGGGACGAGTTACCGCACTGGCAGCGTGATAATCACCACATTCATACTGGCTATCGACCAGCCTCATCTTCGTTCTGGGCCTCATTCCAATCGCTGGGCTACTTCCATAACGAGACCGTCAATATCTACAGCCATCTTTTGCCGTCCATTTTGGCTGCTCCTGCGGCTTATCTACTCTACAATGCCTTGGAACCTCGTTACCAGACCGCGGCGGACTCCGACATCGCTGCGTTTGCTTGCTTCTTTGCCGGCGCAGCTTTTTGTTTGGGCATGTCCGCGACCTACCACACAATCTCCAACCATTCACCCGTCGTGGCCCGCATTGGCAATGCGTTCGACTATATTGGCATTGTTGGCCTCATCGTAGGCAGCTTTGTGCCCAGTGTTTTCTATGGATTTTATTGTGTGCCCGAACTTCAACATCGATACTGGACCATGATCTGCACCATCGGACTGGGCTGTGTATGTGTCTCAATTGTCCCACGGTTCCGGACTCCCCGCTGGCGGCCATTCCGGGCCGCCATGTTTGTCGGGATGGGCCTGTCTGCCGCCTTCCCCGTACTCCATGGCTTGGCTCTTTTTGGATTCGATCGTATGCGGCAACAGATTGGTCTCAGCTGGCTCTTGCTTCAGGGCTTCCTATACATTCTCGGAGCCGCCATCTATGCCGCGCGGGTACCCGAGAGACTGCAACCTGGCAAGTTTGACCTCGTTGGCAGCTCACATCAAATATTCCACGTGCTGGTCGTGTGCGCAGCGGTGGCTCATCTGACCGGACTTTTGAAAGCGTTTGACTACCGGCATAGTGGGACTGCCGAGAGTTGTCAGATTCCACGCGGCTGATATATGAAAGCAGATTAGGTGGAGAGCATGAGGTTGGACAGCATGCTCATGGCAATCCCAGAGGTAGCATAAAATGAAACATTTCACGCGTGTCGTGGCGAAAGCGTATATGCTTTCTCGCGCTCAACGGTGAATGTTTCTGCTGACTATTACCTGTTTCGTGATGTGCAACAATGACCACAGTCAGAGTGAAGCGGTGAAAAGCGTTTTGACAGGGAAAAGGTGCAAATGCCGTGGCTCAATCCGGTCAGCCAAGTCCCAAGTCCCAATCGCACTCAACATTTCACATGGTGCTCCTCGTCGCTGGAAAGGTTCTAGATAAGTTTCATTGGCGGTGCGTTTGGGTCTGGCCAAGAACAGACTCCCAGAATAGCCCTCTGTCAGCAGTGGTGTTCGCCATATGCCTTTCCAAGAAATCAAGAAAATAAAGTCCATGAGAGAAATACATTAATCACTGAAAAACTTAACTCCATGGGTCATTTACGATGTTGCATCAGTGTGTGTGACTGTAAAGACCCCTAGGGGGCTCCAGGCCCCAAACTTGCCTTTTCTGCTTTTACCTATCAGGATCGATGCTCCAATAGAGCAACGGCTGGGCCCAGCAAGGCGCTCCCCTATCTCGCGGGATCGCCGACGCTGTGGGGGTTTGGTGGAAGGGAATCTTTGGGGGAGGGCAACCCCTTGATTTTTTACTTTTCAAAGTGCCTGTCGCCATCCTAGGCCAAATTGATCAGATGGAAGCATTCTTGGGTTTCACAGCGGCTGACCTCTTTGCGGCTGCCGCCGGTATAGGAATCCGAATGCAAGTGTGACATTTTTTATTGCTCGATTTCATGGAAGATGAAGCTTGAGCTTGTTTTTATATATACGAGGGGAGTAGAGACGGCGTGGGTGTGTCAGAAGAAGAGGGAGGGGGGGTGAACGACTCGATGTTTCCCATTCGATTGTATACTTCATGCCTAAACCCAGGGTGCCCCATTCGATTTTCTTCCAAGTTCTTATGCATTGATCACCCCAGCATTGTCGATCTTCCTCCCGTGAGATCCCTTCTTCCTTCCTGGATCCAAGAAATAAAAATTTATTTTCTTTGATAATCCAGTTTGGATTTCACTCATCATTTTCTTTCGATGCTCACCGAGTCCAATGACAGTCCCTATGCTGGGGGGAACGCACCGAAACTTCGAACAGCATGCGAGAATTGTAGACAGTCCAAGGTGAAATGCAATTTATCGGGGAAGAATGTATGTACACGGTGTCTGCGACATGGCTTGCAATGCCAGTATGGATTTGCCAATCGATCTGGCAAACCAAAGGGCAGTAAGAACCGAGCTACACTACGCAAGCTGGGCCAACTCCAAGAAGAGAAGCCGCCAATCCGGGGATTTCGTGGTAATCGAATTGTTCCTCCACCCGTGGCAGAACGAGAACCTCGGGTTCCCCTAGGTACGGAGTACCCAGGTCATATGATAGATCCAATGATGGATGATGATGTAGGTGGATGTTCTACTATCTTCTTGCTTTCCTGGTGTGACCTCTTTTACTCACCTTTCCTTTCTCCTTTATAAAGATATGCTTGATACCTGGTCCACCGGGACTTTGGGAAAGTCCACGGAGTTTTGGCAGTGCCACCGCACTAGACACGCCTATTTGTCCTTCGCAGTTGGCAACAGTTGACGGTTCACCCTTCACCGATCTCATGGATTCTTGTCCTACAATTCCCCTTGGCTTGGGATACCCACACACACCGGTCACGCCCACTTTTCTCCCGTCGGACCCTCTGATTGATGGAATGGCAAGCCCACCATTCGGTGGATCTATCTCCTCCCCATATCCATCAGCACCATGCGACTGTGTTGACAAGCAGATATTCTACATGAATCGACTGAATCATCTTCTTGCTGAATCGATGCCTCTGCGATTCGACAACAGCCTTCAGCTCATCAAAGCTACATTCTGTGCGTGCCAGTTCTTCATGCAATGTGCGAAGTGCACCAAGGACAATGCAAATCTGCTCCTAGTCATCTCGGTGCTTAACTTGACCCTTCAATTATTCGAGTATTGGATCTCACGCGAGACTACACGAATCCCGCGGACAGAACTTGGGCTCGATATTCGCTATGGATATTATGAAGTCGGCCAGGATGACAATCGTCAGATTCGGGCATTCTTGCTTCGAAAGTTGCTGCTTCAGTGCAAAGATGTTTTGTCGATGCTAACCGCAGCTATCAATACCATCTGCCTCGAGAACCCCAAACTTCTTGATAGTGAAGGCCATGCAGAGTCGAGTATGAAGACTGAAGATCTAGTCAATCACACCTGGGCTCCACCTGGGCATTTCGGTGCGACATTATCCCATCCAGAACTAGACGGGCTATCCGGTCCTGGAAGTAACTGTCTTCTGCCCATCATTGGGGGCTATGAAGCCACAGTGGATGCATTCCTTCAATCTGTCTCGAATGATTGTATCTGTGGGTCGAAATACTCGATTCGAGACCAGTCTCTTTGAGCTTCCAACTGTGAATCGGGGGTATCTGGCTAAGGGCAGGCTGTTTGATTTCTCGTTTTTTTTTTCTTTCTTCTTTGATTTTGGCCTTGTCTTGTCTTGTTTTCTGTTTTATATTTTCTCCAATTTGTAAGTACGGGGGGATTCCTCATTCGTAGATAGTTTTCAGCTCAACAGTAAACGCTGCATCGGCTATGTCAGTCAGTCAACAAATTCAAATTTAAATAGGCTATATGAATTATGCTTCTAAATAACTTCTTTCCTTCGTTATACACTATAGTAGTTTGATATGTCTCTCTCATTACTTTTTGAGTGGGGAACCCCACACTCTCGGTCCGCGGCGAGCCTCGGCATTTCGACCGCCCTGTATAAGACCCAGCTTTCCCCTCACTCTGCCGGTACATCCCCAAATCAAAACAGCACATCGAAATGGCACCTTCCGATCGTCTTAACCAGATCAACAAGCACCTCAACTACCCAGCGGGTCTTCTCGCTGGGCAAGTAGCAATTATTACCGGTGCAGGTCAAGGTATCGGCGCGGAGGCAGCTCGCCTTTTCGCCAATGAGGGCGCCAAGGTTGTAGTAGCAGATATCGACGGCAGTATGTACCCACAGCTCTTTCTCACTATCTAATTATTTGAACAGCTCTGCCAATTCACCCTGTCCCTGCAACCATAGCTAACGGTCCAAAATAGAGAAGGCCAACGCGGTCGCTGACGCCATCAATGCCGCCGAGCCTGGTCGCGCCTTGGCTGTGGCCGGCGACGTCCTGGACAGCAACTACATCACCGAGCTTGTAAAGCGCGCAGCCGAATTTGGTGGTGGCAAGATTCACATCATTGTCAACAACGCTGGCTTCACTTGGGATGGTGTGATTCACAAGGTGAGCCTTCTTGCTCCTTGCTCCTTTCTCCTACTTCCTGCAATTGCACTATCACTCGTGCCGAGGTCACCCCGCACTGTACATTACCCCAGCTAGGCATATGAAGAGACTAACGAGGATCACCCTTGGACGAACTGGTAGATCACCGATAAGCAATGGGACACCATGCTTGCCGTGCACAACACTGCGCCTTTCCGGCTAGTGCGAGAAGCCGCGCCGTATTTCCGGGTGAAGGACAAGGAGCCGCGGGTTGTCATCAACATCAGCAGTACAAGTGGTATCCACGGCAATGCGTGAGTGAATGATGATGTTATCATATTCTTCTGGACTCTCGTTGAAGTTTCACCAACCGAAGTAAGGAACTAACCAATTGGTCTCAATTAATAGTGGTCAAGCCAACTACGCAGTCGCTAAGGCCGGCGTGGTCGGCCTCACTCGCACAATTGCTAAGGAGTGGGGTCCTGCCTTTGGTGTGCGCTCTAATACCATCGCCTTTGGGTTCGTGACTACTCGTCTTACGGCTGCCAAGGAAGAGGGTGCCTTCGTCACCACTCCCGACGGTACTAAGGTGCTGCTGGGTATCCCTGGCAAGCAGCTTTCCAGCAAGAAGGGCGATGATGCTCAGGTCGAGTCTTACCCTGATATTCCGTTACGGAGACCGGCTAGCCCCGAAGAGGCGGCTCGGTCGATTTTGGGTGTTGCCAGTCCATACTTCTCTTATGTGAACGGGGAGACAATCCGGGTTACTGGTGGACGCAATATGTAAATTTCAATTTGCAATTGTTAATTACAATTCGATTTGTCACATGTCATCTTGAGATTTCTGTGACTGTACCACATGAGCTTCAAAATAGGAAATCAGCATATATCCTTTAAATCCGGGCAGTTTATCTCCATGATTGATGCATAGATAGGGGTAGATATCTGCCTAGCGATATGCAGGAGAACTCGAACTGCCCTAGCGGTTACCATCGGTCTTTGGTACCTAAGTGAAAAAGCCCCGAGAGCCTGTTGCTGTAGCCCTGTTCAATATAGGTTATCTTATGAACTAGTACTAGTTCCAATTGGGTTTAAAAAGAGCGCCCATTACCTTAACAGTCCCAAGTCTCGGTAATTTCACCCACGGAATACAGCTAACAAACGACTAATTAGCCAGTATTGATAAGATATAAGGTCAATGGGCTACTATACGAAGATAGAGAACGTGACTCTGCGCTAAAGGGCCATAAAATGTAGCCACCAATACCCATTCTTTCTTTAATCCTCCAATGGCAATGTGCCCATGTGAATTTACATGATTGGCCGATTTCCCCGTTCCTCACACACGGGTACTTCATATATTAGAAGATTATTGCATCCAGGTAGATAATTTCAACGCAAGCCCATATATGCCAGCTATGCCTGGCAATTGGTCACACAACACCATCAATATCACACTGCATCGATGCACATGCGAGCATTTGAGTACGAAGAGCCAAGGCTCTCAATTTCCAGCCAGCCTCGAGAATATTGGGGGCCATATCATATGTATCAATGATATGTCCGGAGTACGGACTATCTGACAATTTTTGATTGAGATGAATCATAAGCACACCGGACAATTAAGTGATGTGTATAATACTCAGATGTCAGATAATCCTGTGACCGTGCGCATACGGGTATGCCGCTCTTGCATGCCACTAGGCCACATATATCCTCATAACTTCTAGCGACATCCATTTTCGAAGATAGTATAACCCAGGTGCCGTTGAAGAAGCTTTATTCACTTCTGACACACAAGTATGTGCTCAAGGTTCGGATCAGAATAGTCTCCATCGGACCTCGGAGATATTCATGCACATGTGGCAGTTGCCGGACTTAGTATGTGGCGCCGCAGCACTTGAGGATTTCACGATTTCAGAATCCAGGTACCAAGTACTAGTACATGTCTTCTTACTCAATTGCCCCCCTCCTCATCAATATTCCCATGCCCAGTGATGCGGAACAAAGAAACAGGTACCTCCACAGTCCCATCTAGACCTTGGAAACCAGGTTGACTGACTCAAAAATAAATAACAAAAGCAAAAAGACATTAAAAAAAAAAAAAAAAAAGCAAAGAGCAAGACTAACGAAAAATGCCTCGCAGCCAGCCCCCAATATTCCCGTACCCGGTACCTACAAGGCACAGCGAGCGTCTAAGCGCCAGCCTAATGCGCGCCGAGCAGCATGCCAACCAACCAGCCCCGAACACGCGTCGCAGCAAAAGTGCGAGGTCAGCCGCAGAACGCAACTGACTTGCAGCCACCAACGTTCTGTCCAGGCCCTGCTCTGCGGACATTTTTGAACAAGGCTCGGCATCTGCTTATCCTTAAACTTATCACGATCCGTCTGCGTTGAAACGGGGTCCATGTACTGTAGGCTATGCGTCACGCGCTAAGGGGGGAAGCTAATGCTGATGCTGATGCGGATGCGGATGCGGATCCTTGTGCGGCTGCAGGGCAAAGGGTGAGGATGTCAAATAAAATCGGCCAGCTAAGCAGTGCAGTTGTGGTTGTCTAGGCTTCTGTAGGAGGTCGGTTGGTGTGGGATAGTGTTTCGGATTCTCGTGTTCGCTGGGGAATACATGCTATGGTGCCACGGATGCTAATCTTCTCATATGTAGGTTATATTGATGGGTTTTTTGAGTGGTTCTGTATCAATAAAAGATGCCTTTGGATGAATCTTCTACCTATATTGTCTGAATCGATATCTTAGAGAATGCAACCCCAAGCTTAATTGTATTTGAATATTGGTCAATGTTCTAATTTCATTTGTGTTTTCATTTGCTATTCCCAACCTCTATCTAATATACATTCTTGGATATTTTGAAAAATCGTACATGTACCCTTTCTCCGTACTCCAAACAAGACGCCCCTCCCAGCCCCGCTTCCGCAGTCAAGACTCAAGACTGATGGCCCATGAGCAACCTTGGAACTTGGAACACCTGGACATCGCACCCTACACCGTCTCACAAGCCCATTAAAAAAAAACCATTAAATCACGCCCCCACACCAGCCAACAACAACATAGACTTTGCAAATAGCCGATGAGCCGATCACGCCTAAGTTATTGGAATTTGGGAGTGTCCAAGGTGGAGCTTGGGTGCAGTGGGGTGAGAAGCATAATCCCACAGATAGACTGCATACAAAGTCGTCGCGTCCGCTCAACATTTGAAGGGTAGTATACAAAATAGCGCACATTGAATTCAATTGTGGTGGATACCGCCTCAGCCAGTACACCTAATCAGGTACATTGCAGAGGACCCGCAGTGGTTAGGTAGGAACATTGAAGACAGATTTCCAAACTCTAGACCCGTGGAGGAGAACTAGAGCACAGAAAAGCGGAGCAAAGCCGAACCTTGAGCTCCAGCACGAAGCTCTAGTTCCAAAAAAAAAAAAGCAACCAAAAAAGAAGGGAATGGGAAAAAACGGTGTAGATGATACTAGTACAAGATAATGATAATGGTACATGTGGTCTTTCCATTGGCAAAGGATATAGTTTGCATCCAATGAAGGTTACTCAGTCGTTTCACAGTGTAGTGAGCATGAGGTTCTTCCAACAACCTGGGCGCAAAGGCTAAACGCCGTGACGAATCAGCCAGCGCAGATCGCGCATCTGTGAGATCCAGACCGCAGGAATACGTGGAAGCAGAGGAAATGGCCTCGACCATCCCTCTAGGGTTTGTGCTCGTTCATGCGGTATGCCTCATGCCCACGTCTCACTTGGGCAGCAATGGGTGTGGCACGACAGCTGCGGGCATCCACAGCATCCACACGAGACAACCCGCATAGTCGGTGTCTGTTTCTGCATTGCAAAGGTAGGACGGGGCAACGTTGCACGGTGAGTGGGAGAGTAGAAGTTGAGAGGGAAGTGAGAAATTGATTGGGAGGAAGAGAGGGAAATGGTAAAAAGGTGGAGTTCCAAGTTTCGAAAAGTCAAGTTCATGTTGGAAGTTGTATGTAGTAAATGGTATGCATTTATCGCATTGTTGGTATCATATCGTTAAAAAAAATCCCAATCCCAGTAATCCCATCCTTTCCAATGCCGTGATAAATCTATGCACGTATGCAAAAATAAAAATCCGAGATCAAGTCACCACCCATAAGATCATAAACAGGCACGAAACAAAATAGACAAGAAAGCCTCTCCGGAATTAAACAAAGCATTCACAAGAAAAGATCACAACCAATGTGATATAGTAATCGACTCCACAAGAAACTCCGCATTTCGCAAAACAAAACAAAAAAACAACAAAGAATAAGGTATTGTTCATCTGCCCTCCTAGGGACAGTCTTCAAATCGTGCCTCCCAATATATGCTAGAAAGTTTCCAAGAACCAAACTTCAAGTAAAAATAAAAGAAAAATAATAACAACGAAATAACAAAAGCCAGCCCTTTGGTATGTGGTGCAAAATATTAAAACAGTAGAAGCGAAAGCCAGATCTGCCGGAAGTAATCGAAAGTGGCCGGTATATGGAGAAGAAAAACGGAAGCCCAAAATCCAGTGGACAATGCAAATATGGTCACGGTCGCTGAGTAGATAAAATGTCGTCCGATGGAAAGTATGTCCAGGGAAGAAACGTAGGAATGGAGAAGAACGGTAGCCGAGTCCCAGGGATGTGGGATCCTTGACTCGGCCGACCTTGTTTTTGGTGGCTTTTAGAGAAAAGACCAGATGGAGACCAGCGGTATAAAAGGGTCCCGAAACGTGGATAAAAAGAACAATCAAAAGAAGTTCCGATGCGTACACCGGATCAAGAGTGGAAGTAGGCGTGTAAATCGTGTAGCTGCGTTAAAAGGTTTGGTGGCCATGAGGGGGAATATGTTTTTTTTAATAGACCATAATGGGCGCTCCCGTGGTGAAGGTATCCGCGGGTATGCCTTGGTCCACGCAGATGGGATGGGGGAAAACAACCTTGCAGTCCGGAACCTGCACTTGTTGCGAGATCATAGGCGACATGCAGTTATAATCGGCGTAGTCGCCATAGTCTTCGGTCAAGGCGGAAGTATCAGAGATAGCCGAGTCGGAGAAATCGGAATACTGTGAAGAATCCGATGAGGATCCGGACTGTTGGGCATGAAGGGGTTCCAGGGGGGCGAAGGGGATCTGCTGGGGCTGGACCAGGTAGTCGGCCTGCGGAATCTGGTCCGGCACCCAGGAGGCCACGGGGGGTTGTTCGGTAAAACGGGGGCAATCCACGATCAGTTGGCGGAGTTCCGGGATGGTTATCCTCTTGGCAGGGTCGCGGTCAAACACGCGGCTGAGAATACAGACCATCTCCGTGGACAAGGGCAGAATAGATTTAAGGAAGAAAGGATCCTTGAGGTATGCCCGGAATGTGGAATCTTCGACCGAGGCCCGCTTCCATGGGTTGCGACCGCAGGTCAGGTTCACGAGCATGACACCCAGGCTCCAGACATCATTGGCGGCGGAAGCGTAACAAGACATGGGTCGAGGGTTGGTCTGTTGACATTCTGTTTGGGGGATGAGTTAGGGTTGGTCCGGGCCGGGAGGAGAAAACATTGGGAGGGGAGATAAAGAAACAAAAGTCTCATCATATGGCGTTAAGGGCACATTATCAGTACTTACCAGGCGACATGTAAAAGGTGGAACCGCATCCGAAATCCGAGGTAATGTAATCCGTAGTGGCCAAGCCGAAGTCGGCCAATTTAACAGTCATGCCTTGGTCCGTCACTAAGACGTTCTCAGGCTTAAGATCCCGGTGGTAAATCCCAATGGAATGGCAGAACTGTACGGCATCCAGTAATTGCAAGAACACACTCTTCACCAATGGGTCATTGGAGACGAAGTTTCCCTTGTCAGTGATACTGGAGAACAAATCACCCTCCGGGCAGTATTCCATGACAACGTAAGTGCAATCCACGGAATCCATTATGCGAACCAAGGAGACAACATTGGGGTGTTGGCTGGCCAAATGGTGCAAACGAATCTCTCGTTGTTGGTACTTTAGTTGTCGGGGATCCAGCCCAGATTTGCTAAGTGCCTTGACAGCATAAGAAATGTTGGTGTGAATGTCCACGGCAGTATAGACGACTCCATAGGCACCGACACCCAGGATGCCAGTGAGTTCCAGACGGTTGGCCAAGATAAATCCTAATCGGTCCTCTGGAGTAAAACACCTGGGAACGGGAGACGGTGGTGGTGTGGGAAGCATGGTGGGATACATGATGGGTATATAGTAGTTTTTGTGGGTTCCAATGGTTGTAGAGTAGTAATAGGCGTATAGATCCAGATCCGGGTCCAGGTATTGGAAGGGGGTATATAGTAGAAAAAAAAAAAAAAAAAAAAGAATCCAAGAAAACTAACTCCTCCAGGGATACCTTAGGATAAAGGTAGAGAGAGTGTAGTAAGAAGTATTTCCAAGTTTTAAATCCGGGGATCTTTTTTTTTGTGTCCAGGGAAGTATTGTCTTGTTCTGAAAAGTCCAAAATGCAACGGCATTCAAGGGCAGGTATCCATTCCAGAAAAGTAGTAAGCACAAGGTCCAGAAAGGAAAGGGGTCCGATCTAATGTTTTGGGTGGTTTTGGGGTTTGGGGTATATAAGTATTAAAGAAAACAAATGGAAAAGGAATAAAGTAACGACGAATGAAGTATAGGATTAGAAAGGGGGGGAAGGGGGCGATAAAAATATCGATGATGCGTCGAGTGTCCCATGTGGACATTTAGGGCCAGGCCACCGTGGCTCCAAGGCCCAGGAAGCGGTGGGAAGCGGTGTGTGCATGCCTACGCTAGTGCCGAAACTAGCAGCTGGACTGCCCAATCATAAGCCTCGCTGCGTCCGGTGCAACCAACTTGACTTGATTCCAACTTGAACTTGCATGCGCCACCTGCGGGTCCTGATTGGCATTTTAGTTCGCTGGATTTTCGATTTTCCTTTTTCCTCTTGTTGTCACTTGCCCCCCCTTTTTTTTTGTTTTTTTCTGCCTTGGAGAAAGAAGTCTTCTGCCCACTTCCATTCTGTGGCAATTATGATTCGAGACACTCTCCGACCTCTCCGCCACTTCATCCCGTTCCCACATGGAGCCAATCTTGTGTCTCCATACCGCCCAGCCCCGCAGTTAAATTAAACAATAGTAAACATTAAGAATGATCAGAAAAAAAATTTAAAAAGAAAAAACAAAAGAAAAATAATAATAATAATAGGTTTACATGAATTATAATCAAAACCTGTAAACGTTTCTCCAACCGTGTTCCGTGTTTCGTTTCACTTGTAGCAGGGGACGTTTCTGCCTACCATACTGGACTAGGATCAGCGTAACGGCTTAGGGATCACTATGGTGATGGACTTGTAATCTGATACTTTTGTTTTTTTTTTTCCCATCCTTTCGCCCCAACTCTATTATGCCCCGTGCGAGCTAACGGAAAAAGCATCAACAGAGCATTGACCACCAACAAAGAAGAAAAAAGTGAGGCGATGCAGGAGAGGGGGTTCGCCAGCCAATCAACTCACAAGGCGTTAATGTTTTTCGAGAACGAGTGGATCCCTCTTTCCCGAAGACTCTTGTTGCACGGGCCTGCAGACCCTGGACAAACTGTGACTCCCACTATACACTGATTGGCCCAACGTTGCTAAGTTTGGCAGAGGGGGCGGGCAATGCATATCCATGGCTCTGTGTGACTCCCCTATAGGCGCCTAACTGTGTCAGAGAAAGAGTGAGAGAGAAAGAGAAGGCTGGGACTCTTACTCCCAAGGCTTTTTTTTTTTTTGGTCTTTTTGATTTGTACATTTTCTGTCTCGGGATCGGAACTAACCGTAAAGGACAGCTCATACGAGTCAACCAGTCAACCTGCGGTGAGAATCACCTGATCTACACGATGCATCACATCGATTGTTCTTGTGCTGCACCCCAGGATTGGCAATGCAGCTGAACCGCTTGCTTCCGAGGATTTACACACCGCTACCTAGGATTTTACCAGTTCCATGCTCCTTGATCAATAGTTTTCGGTAGTACGGGTAAGTGTGTATATAGTAGATTTGGACTGGTCCCATATAACTTCCCCAAGCTAGCTAAGCTCCCAAATTCTCATCTTAGATCATCGGCCCTGCATGAAGGCGCGGTATGCTAGCTGCCAGGGGGCGCAATCTCTCCTAAAGAGGAGTCATCATCATTCTCCTTGGTCCCACAAAATAAAAACACATCTCGACATCATCCAGCACATGGTATCATCTAATTTCCTGAGTAATCAAGATCATCATCACTCTTGGGGGTGTTCATCTGTTCCCGGATATCTTTGCCACTAAAGTGGTGGCAACCATGGAACGCGTAGATCTTCGCCTTCGAGAACTCTCCACTTCGAACAATCCATTGCAACCCGAGATTATTCTGGGTTTCTCTTTGTCCTGAAAGTAGTACTTACGAATATCCCTGATAATAACTATTTGGTGGTTGTACGTGAAGTCGTGAACGAATAGTAGAAACTCCGTAAATGCATTCCACCAACTCAGAATTGGTTAGTCAGATCTGTTATCGTCCTCGTACATACTCAATCAAAGAAAATAGTACATGCGCACATTGCAGCCCCCAGTTGTACTACCACCTATAGGCTATACGGAGTACGGAGTATACACAGCACCCACACACACACCTATAATCCCAGACCACCAATTCTACACCACATGTCCAACAGGTCAACGTAAGTCCCCCACAACCTTGGAAGGCGTCCAATATACGGGATAATCCCCCATCGAAATGCATGGCCCCGAAACGCCATGCATCGTCACCCGGGCTAGCCTCACCCCACCATTCACCTTCCCCCTTTCTGCCTCCTTTTTGCCTTTGGCCCTTTTTCATTCGACCATCCCGAATCCTCGTATCCTACTCGTCAACCAACATTCTGACTGGCCACGCAATTTCTATCACCCAGTCCAATCGGCTCCCATCCACGCTAAAACATTCCTGGATTCCTACCCATCTCACCTTGTTGCCCATTTGCTCTTTGTCTCGGGAAACATGGCCCTTTCCGAAGAGCGGGGAGGGAAGAAGAGCAACATGGCACACTAACCTGCTATGGGAAATCAGCTGCACGATTCCGCATCCGTACTTACGTAGAAGGGCTATATGAGGTCTTTGTGGTTTTGTTTTTGTGGTTTGGTGGTTTGGTGGTTTTGTGCTTGGTTCCTTCCTTGGCTCGGGCCCGAGGAAAGGGATGGATGGATCTTGGTCCGAGGCGTGGTTAACGGGTGAACGTTTGTGATGGGTCAGACAAGTCGTGAGATCGGCGCAGATTGTTCCCATCTCTCAACCGTGGATGAGTTCATGGTTGCTGATCTAGACTTACTCCGTAGGATCCGAGCGAAGGTTTGACCCGGTTTTCTTATCACGCGTGGAGTCACTACCGTCCAGAGTCCAGACACATTGTATGGAGTAAATTGCATGCGTCGCATGCCAGTGTCAACAGGTTTCCTTTTTATTGATTTGCCGTCCAGGTGCTATGGTTGGCTCAAGGCGCTCTGGTTATTAGTATTGGATGATGTGTTGATTATTCCATGGACCATTTTCCAATGTTGCCTTGAGCCTCTTCTGACTAAGTGCGGATACTCCGGACCCAGGCACCAACTTGAATTACCAGAAACTTCTACTCACACTATTACTCTATGAATACGGAGTTATCCAATAATAGATTAGTCAACTACGTCAATAGTGGCTTGGTTTATGACAGTGGATATCAATTCAATGTTTGCCTTGAGGCCAAACCAAAATAATCGGCACGTCGTGTGTAGATTAATGTGGATATGATGTCGTAGACATATGTACAGTCCCGCCCTGCATCGCCACCTGCATATGATACCGACTCAAAAGTATCAATGCCCAACTCCGGTCATTCAAGTTTCTGATTTTCCTTCCCATATCCTGTCAACGGCCGACGATCATGACAGGGTTGTTTGCCTCCACGGCTTCTCTCATCCGAGTTGCCACGAACGTTTGAAAATCGGTATGCAGCCTGCGTCTGACATGCAGCAACCTTCAAAATGTTTCGCCGCACGAAATGTAAGTGTACCCTAGGTAAGCATCGGTGAGAAGTTTGAGATATGAGGTTCAGATATCTTGTACAAGTGCACAATATCAAGTACCTATCGCCAATTAACCACTTATCATATACCCATGTACGTATCTGAATTCAGCTTCTCGATTTAGATAGCGTCCAGATGTCCATAGATAACAACGCCTGTGTCGTCGCGGATACCTCTGACCTCAAGCGGTGGAACTTCGTTGCCCTCATAATTTGACATTAGGTATTTAGCGATGAAGGTTCCTTTTTTTTTCGCGCATGGTACTGCACTTCATTCCCTTGCCTGGGTTAGGTACTATGTAGTATCAATGAATAAGGGCATTGAGTTTCTTTTTTCGTTCATTACGTATGTACTATGTACCTTAAAAAAGAATCTTATAGAGTTCGACAACAGTCCTTGCATACTGTGCATGCATGTGTGCATTAATATGTAGTTCAGGATTTTTCGATCGCAAGCGCCCCCCGATGCTCAAATTTAAGAAGCTAATCCAATGGAACAAGCCGCTCCATCACTGAAGCGCTTTTCATCGTCAGATGAGCAAACCTTGGAAAAGATTCACTGTTGTTAGATATTCAAATCAAACCTTGAATCTGACGGTTGCCCTGACGCCTTTCGACCCTGTCTTCGGCATCGCGATTTGATAGTCATGCTCGAAGGAGACATCTCTGGCGTCGGTATCGTAAAGAGCCATTTCAAATGAGCGAACTAAAGCCGAAATAACCAAGCAGAGCTCAGCATTGGCAAGCTCGATCCCCAGGCATTTACGACTCCCTTTGGTAAACGCCATTTGGAACCGTTTGCGCTCCCGACCAGCCTCCCCCAGCCAGCGTTCAGGATCAAAGGTAAATGGGTCCGGAAAGATGGAATGTGCGGTATGTGCGCTTAGTGTGGAGATGCTTATCGGTGTACGCGCGGGGATCTTGTAGGATTTTCCAGTGCCAGGGGCGGCGGCATAAAGTGATGGAGTGAAAAGTAGCTCCTCATATGCACGACGGCCGATGCGTGCCGTCACACCGAATGAAAGACGGTTGCCCTCTTCAATGACTGCCATAAGGTAAGGGAGCTGTTCTAGTTGAGACCATGGAGCGTCGGCTGGGACTGTTTCGAGCTCGGCGCGAAGCTTATTTAGAATGGACGGGTTGGCGAGCAGGTGGTAGAAAATTATGCTGAGGGATAGGGCTGGGGATTCTGTCCCGGCAAGGGCGAGAAGGGCGCCTTCCTGCTCCAATCGAGTCAAGGTTCTTTCTTGGGGCGGGAGGGACTCGTTGACAAGGACAGACTCGTAGACGGCTTCTTTTTCGGTCGCACTTCGGCCGCTTTTTCTATTAGTTCCAGCAGACTGTGTTTTCATGATACCAGAGATTTCTTCGCGAACTCTCTGCCGTGGGTCAGGAATTGATAAACAGATTTGAGCTGACGTATTAATATATATGTACTTACGTCAAACAGGTTGAACATATCAATGAGACCTGGGGGCATCAAGGGCCTGCTGATAGAGATAGGAAGTGCCTCGAGGAAATCCGGGATCCAGGGGAAATGTTTATTGATATGGACCCCCAGAAGCAGTTGTTTGCTGTTATTTCGAGATATACCTGCCTGTTTCTCATCTGCCAGGCCGTTCATCTTGTGGGCGAACAAGAAGTTGGTCACCACACTTGTTTTGATTAGCAGAAATGTTGTGATATAAAAAGCGCGCCACTCACTCGTTGGAGAATGCAAAAAAAAGGTCTGATAGATTAACTTGCGATGCTTCTCTGGCGTGTTTTGCGATGATGTCAGATAGCTGGTCGACCTTTTCTGTAACCAAATGCTGCAGTGATAGAACATTGCGTTTGCTGAAGAAGGGCACGAGAGCTTCGCGGCGCAACTTGTGGAGCTTGGCATCTGCTGTGGTGCCTACCCCCCCAGGCACTCGCAGGGCCCGTAATGGGTACTCATACTTGTCTCTCAAGCCAGAATAGACCGTGTCCAAGAAGCCAACATCGTTTATGTGAATTTCATCGGGGGTGATGCGAAGAATCGGTCCTACATGATGCTTCAAATGTTAGCTTCGTATTCTAGCGCCCAATAGCCCAAAGTCAACTGGGGCTCAAAAACAGGCTCAATGTACCATATTCAAGGTGGAGCTCTTGTATCTTAAAAATATACCTGCCTGGAAGGATGACATCGTAATAGAATTCGTACCACCAAGTCAGAGCGGCCAGGCGGGGACCTGGAATGTGGGATATAGGGTGAAAGAAAAGACGGCGGATTGACTCGGTGACCACCCAAAGAAGGGCCACGACAACACTGGTCGTGACAACCTGAAGAAACGCCATGAATGTTGTGGCGCAAGCTAGTTTGAGAACGAGCGATCGGCGATGAACGTTGAAGCGTTACTTACTACTGGGATATTTCGTCGGGAGTAAGTTCGTGAACAAAAAGAGGTTCCAAGCAAGAAGGTTATTGTCGGGATCTACTACCTACTAGTATGGATGTATCTTACTTTGCGAGCTGTGTAATTGGCTACATAATCAGCTGGTAAGCTTGTGCTAGTTGAATCGAATATGACCTAAGAAAATGTTCAGATCTGACATATTAGTGCTCGTATCCGGGCGGGAATGAAGTTCAAATACGATTAGGAATTTCCCTAAGGAGCAATCCATTTATATAATCAACAACCCTAAAGCTGGGAAACAGCTAAGAAAACATTGAATGCACAACAGCTACTAAATTGGAACTTGATTGTTCATCGCACTTCTGTATGTGCTTACCTGGCCATTTCCATTGCGTGATGAGGCATCCAAAGCCGACCAAGCACGCCATGCTATGCAATTGAAGAGTGAGAGTGGGTCAGGGTCCATGGACCCTGGACCCTGATACGCCATAATGAAACTTTGACATGTCGCGAGGCTTAGCCTCAAGTCAAAAGCAGACTAATCGCCATGAAGATTTACGGGAAAACGTGTTGGAACGAGTCGCGTCATTTAGGCAGACGCATTGCAAATTTCTGAGTTTTTAGATTTGAGCGAGCCCGCGCCCTGATCCAGTCTATTATATTTCGGCTGACCTGCAAAGTTCCAAGTGGAATCTGGAAGAGCAACAGATGGAGTATGTTATGGCGAAGCTTACCCCGCCGACACAACAGGGTTCAGCCTTTTTTTGGGGGGAAAAAAACACAAACTGACCAAACGATTACTTCGGCTTAGGCCATCCCTCAATGTCGTCAAACCAACGCGACCGATAGATTTCATCGCCCAAGTTGATCTTGCGCCGTGCACCATTTACCACCAAACTGGTATGGAAGCCACGGAACTTAGTCCAGAGAGACTGCACATAAATAAAGCTGCCATCCGGCGCCAGGTTGAAACTCTTCAGATCTGACTGCGGCAGCTCCTCAAACTGACCTGTGTGGTTTATTCCGTGACGATCATCGGTCGTCACCTCAAAGCCTTGCATAAACATGTCCTGGACATCTTGATACTCGGCGAAAAATTCGCCCGTCTCGATGTCAAAGGCGTGCAAGCCCCGATCTTCTGAGATGAGGAATTTACGCTGATTAGGTACCGGCACGAGATCGTGTGGCCCGGCCCACCATGGGTATCCTTTGCCCCATTCGGTTTCGATGGTATACGCATTGGGAAGACGGTAGATATACCGATCATCTTTGCGCAGTTCACCCGTCGCCGCATCGAACGGGTATCCTATTATAGTGCCGTGGGCAGGGACTGGATCTGTGCCATCGGCGGCCGCGTCGGTGCCGGTCGCCCATAACATCTGGCCCTGCTCATCCCAGATCATACCGTGGATGGCGCGTAGACCTGTGATATTCTGCAAGACGGGCGGCTCATCCACGAGCGGATTATCGAGACTAACATTGTATACAAGAATACCATCCCAGGGCCGTTGCCCAGTTGTGGAGACGGCAAGGAGATTATTGGGGAGGGGTTCGACGCTGTGCGCATTCCACAGGTATTGATTATCGCGGCAGGTGGCCCATGTGATTTTCTTATCGCGTGTCGGGTCATCGGGGGTATGGTTGACGACCAAGGCGAGGTCACTGTATATGGCGGCGACGCTGGAACCGTCGCGCATGTATTTCATGTCGGTCGCGTCATTGGCGCCTCCCCACAAGCATCGCTTTATGTTCGGGGGGAGTTCCTGCTCAACATCTTCGCGACGGAAACTCCAACTGACATCGCCGGTGCGGTCATGGATCTTGAGGAGAGGTGGGTGTCCATATACACCTGTGATGATGTTTTGCCAGGGTTTGTTCTCGGGCCGTAATCGGGCTTGGGGTTGGATGGGTGGAATGTACCAGTCGGCCAACGGCTCGAACAACAACGGGATCCAGCCCAAGGCCCCCAACATGATTCAGGTTTGGAGATATGATTATATTTCTGGATCAGGGGATGGAAAAGGGGGAAAGGAAACACCTTTCTTTGCCACTCGGGAGGGGAGAGGGATTCCTCCCTATACGAGTGGAGAACCGTGGTTACAAACGAGAACGAGAGCGGTTCCTACGCCAACTTTTTGGAGTTGCAGATGTGACATGGGAATCCTTCTCCGTTCGCCAATGAAAAAAAGGAGAATTAAACCGGGGCTGACGGCGAGAATCTCGAAACCGGAGAGATAGGAGATATTCTTGGAAACGAGTGATGAAATCACGCCTTTAACGTCGCTGGCTGCGAGCTTGGCAATCTTGGCGAATGGGGGGCCTGTGGATCTTAACCAATATAATCCAACAGAGAGATCGAATCCACAGAGACCCTGACTTGGCTAAGGCTCGCGTGTGTTCTGATTCTTAGGCCAAAGCACATCATTCTTCCTCTGACACGTCCAATCTCTCTCTCCTCTCTCTCCTCAGTTCTCTCCCATTTTTCGTCGAAGTGGAAATCTGTTAATGCAATTCCCATCATGAAGAAGGTGGCCGGAGTGGTGAATTATGTGCGCCACCAAGCCAACCAGCTTTATCAATCTCCCACTAGAGCCCTGGAAGTTCTAGAGGTTTTCTGGGACTTTTCGAGACGATATTTCTACGCCTTAGCCTTTTGGTCCTTATTCTGTACTAAATTGCTTCATCTTTTCGCCCATTTATATTCTCTTCCTTTACGCAAATTCATTATCTGGGGGCCTTCTTTCTTCTTTCAAGATGTTGCAATCCTCTTGTTATTTCGCATTCTGGTGCAAAAGACATCTGGTTACATTGCAGTGACATGCGCACTTATTGTTCTCCCGTTTAGGTAAATTCTCACGTGCCCCCCCTTTACTGCTTTTTTTTCCCTTGTTGCAAACTTGTCGAGGATTCAGTACACTCTGCCGAACAAGAAGATTCCTTTATCTGACACGAAAATGCAGTATACTTGTGTCGGGAATGGCTGCCGCCAACTTCTCCGTCTACGTCTTTACGGGCGCTGAGATCCATTGGCGCCAGGCCAAAAGCTTCACTGGGGATGCCGCTGCCCTCCGAACCCTACTATCCGGACTAACCGGGTTTTTAATTGGAGAGGCCCTGCTGGTGGCAGCGGCCCTTTTCACAGCCCGACCCATTCATCAATTTGGTGGTGGCGTTTTACATGTCTTGGCGTGGCCCTTCCGCTCCTTGCTAACGCGACTGCGACCGTGTGTGGGCTTTGTGGAGCCGTTGTTGAAACGCCTCCAAAATCAGCGGACGCCACATACATCATTACCCGATCCCCGACTATACGAGGAATTCGACCTCGAAGACGACTATCTAAACGAATCCGGGGACGAAGATGAGGAAGATGACTTCTTGCTCGATTCTCATAGCAGCAATGCTAGTTCCAGTGCCTCCAAGAACCACCGGTCTACTGACCGTTTAATACCCAGGGTTTTGGTGCTCGGTTTCGTATTCTTGGCTGCAACTCTACGCTCAGTCCGTCCGTCAGAGCCAGTCTACTTATATCTGTCCGGAACCTTACCCTTGGCCTCATTCTTTGAAGGTGGTCATCGGAATTCTCCGGTCGATATCTCCGGCCTACCGCCTTATCAGCAAAATTATCTAGCTCACAAGAATTCTTTGAATCTCCCACCATCCTGGGAATGGATACCCAAGGACGCTGTTCCAGGATTTGAGGACTGGAAGATTAATCTCAACGTCAATGAGTCTCTTCATTACGATCCAAAGACAAATCCTCTTCACATTTCCAATCTCCAGCAGCCAATTTTGGAGTCCATTCAAGGTGTCCTTGCCGATGGGAGCGTCAAGATTAAACATGTGGTTCTGCTCAAGCTCGAAAGTGCCCGTGCAGACACCTTCCCCGTGCGCAAGGACTCCTTTCTGTATAATCGCATCGCTGAAACTTATGACGACAACGAAATTCCCCAGGAGGTTGAAGATCGCATTGCCAATCTCACTCGCACGGCCGAGTTTTTGACCGGCTTTCCCTCCGGCTTTCAGAGAAATGACACGCTTCATACAGACCGCAATGCCTATGGTGGTATCAGCGCGAGCAATGCTTACACGACTTCCACTTACACCCTGAAGAGTCTAGTTGGCACCCTCTGCGGAGTGTCCCCGCTGGTTGCTGATTTCAACCGCGAGTGGGAGCACCACATCTACCAGCCCTGTCTGCCCCACATCTTTGAAATGCTCAATAATCAACAAGGCATCACTAGCAACGTCACCGATTTTACCCAATGGCCTTGGCATTCAATCTGGATGCAGTCTGTCACTGAAGGCTACGACAACCAGGACCAACTCACCCCCGTACTGGGCTTCAAGGACAAGTTCACCAAGGAGATCATCGAAAGCCCTGACGCAAAGCACTACCCCGTGAAATCCGAGGAAGTGAACTACTACGGATATGCCGACACTGAGCTGCGCGAGTATATCAGCGACGCCATTGACGATGCCGAGCATGATCACAAGCGTCTTTTCCTATCCCACCTGACCGGTACCACCCACCATCCCTGGGGTCTACCCAACAACACCTATGAGCAGATTCTCGGTTTGAACAAGGGTCACAACAAGGATCTCAACCACTACCTCAATGCCGTCGGTTTCCAAGACAAATGGCTCACCGAGATCATCGGCATCCTAGAAGAAAAAGATGTCGCAAATGAGACACTGTTTGTGATGGCAGGCGACCACGGTCTCTCGCTTCCAAATGATGGTGGCATCACGCCCTATGATAATCCGCACGTTGGCAGCTTCGCCGTGCCTATCGTCCTTGCCCACCCGCAACTACCCGCCCTTGAGATCACCGCCCCGGTCAGCAGTGACCAGATTGTCCCCACGATCCTGGACCTCCTTATTGAGTCCAGCTCTCTCCCCAAGAATTCCACCAAGCCAGCAAAGGACATCCTGTCCCTGTACGAGGGCCAATCGCTTATCCGCCCGCTCATTCAAGAGCAGGATGGCATTCAAGACTGGCAGTACACAGTCATGAACACCGGTGGCTCATGGCTTGCCGTGCGATCCGCCGCGCGACCACAATACAGACTGGTCATCCCCCTCGTCAACGACGTGGAGTGGCGTTTTTCGGATCTGAGCACCGATCCGCACGAACTAGAGCCAATTTCCAGGTTCGATCTTGTGGATTTGGCCGCTGTGATCAACAAGAAGTACGATGAGGACGTGGTAAAGTGGCTTTTCGAGGCGGCATATGTTACCAATTGGTGGGTTGGTGAGAACTGGGCTCGATACCGATTCCATCCTACAAATGGTGCAGATAAGTGATTTCGTTTCGGAATGTGTTTGGTTATTTCGAAATCACTATGTATCACCTTGAGGAGGTTAAAGCTCCCGACCTCGGGAGCCAGTCTCTCCAGACACCCCACACATCCAGCGTCGGGGTTGATCCCCAGCGTACATACTACATCTTTTCGCGGTCAATATTCAGAGTTGATGGACCGGGGGGTCATGTTATGTCAGACTTCCAAGCGCATGTATGTGCCTACATGTATTGGAAAGCTGTGTTCATATAATTGGCCGTATCTTGGACTCGACACTGATGCCTACCCTTGGACATAGTAGACTCGCGTGGAAGTTGGAACTGTACTTACTATAATTTGGCGAACTTTCTTCTTGTTTATCTTTGGTTATTTAATGATTGATCCCTGGAGGATTATTGAGCAATTCACCTGAATTTCTTTGATTGAATCCATGAACGTTCAAACTCTTAGAAAAGAAGTTGAGCTAGTACTAGTTACCTGCTTCTCCTGTCTCTCATGGAGCCTAGCGCCAGGCAACCCTCTTGACTATTGACTCTTGGTAATGGGCATGGTGGGTCTTGCCCAGGCAGCCTCGGCGGTAGAAGTCAGACATTTGGCTTGGCTCTGAATAGTACGAACTATTGACAATCTTTCATTTCAAATCCCCCACCACTCTCAGCTTCAAATCCTTGTCCAATTTAATCTTCAGGAGAAATTTCCTACTCTTCCAGCCCTCCTTGAAAGGGATCCCAATTCTGATCTTTTAGAGCCATGGCTCTGCACGATTTGCCTACCGAGCTACTTCTTCTCATAGCGAGCTTTCTGGATTCAGAAAAGTCCATCAACGCGCTAGCACGCACCAATTGTGCTTTCTTCGCGCATTTCAACCCCTTCCTCTACAAGTACCACCTTTCCCGTCCTTCCAAGAAAGGCGATTTCCATGCCCTTGTTTGGGCAGTCGTACACAATGAAGCAGGATTGTTAATCAGACTCCTCGATGCGGGCCTGGACCTCTTTGACAAATCTATATGGCAACAAACATCTACAAAGAGATGTTTACCAGGGCCCCTTCCACGCCACCCAATCTGGGAAGCCACCAAGAGAGGCCATGTCGAGTTTCTCGAAGCCATACTAGACAAGGGCGATTTGGGACCGCGTCTAAACGAGCTGAATTACCGCGAGCTTCTTTCGACAGCCGCAACAAGTAACAAACCCCAGGCGGTTCGAATGTTCCTAGAAAGGGGCGTCAATCCATGGCAAGAGGGATCTCAACATCTAAGCGAGGCCGCCCGAAACGGACGCCTTGAGCTCCTTGAGCTACTACTCGCGGACTACACGCAACGGAGCCTCGCGGGCTCGATTGCAGAATGGAAGGACGCCTACCGGGCCCTAGGTGTTGCAAAGGACAACGCAGAAGTGGTGAGGCTTTTGGTCGCGGCCGGCATAGATGTCAACCACATGGAGTGGAGATCGGGTAATATCTGGAACTGGCGACCTTTACACGACTGTGTTCGTTATCCAGGACCAATGCGGGTTCTACTCGAAGCGGGGGCCAACCCCAATTTCGATGAAGATGATAAATGGGGGCTCTTGGCGCATGCTGTGGGTAAATATTATGTGTCTCCTCCGCGACCTCAGGGCGGTGCGCCGGTCATTTACTCCCGGTTCGATACGGATTTTTCTTCCCAGGAAGTGAAAGACCGGAAGATGGAGTTGATTCAGCTACTCTTCGAGTTTGGAGCGGATCCTATGCGGGCTGGAGGTGGTTGGGCCTTGCACGGGGCACTGCGAGACCTTGACTATAATTTGGCCAGGTATCTTGCTGATAAGGGCGCGAGGATAAAAATTGCATATTTGAATGCATCGGACCAGGCATTGTTGGACCAAGCGGTGGTGGATCATGAATGGATGACAGTAGCCGATTTCACACCACTGCATTGGTCTGTTTTCACCTTTCCCTAATACGGCTCGTGACTCCAGGTAAGTTTAAGGAAATGTAGAATAGAAAACGGAAAAGACTTAGTATGTATAATGTCATAATATCATAGACTGACCTGAAATTGAATTGGTTGGTTCAAGTCTACAAAACCTTGAAAAAAAGACTCATGTGCAGTATGAATATCATAGATCTACTTGATGAAAGGTATGTAAATAAGCTCCGTCAAACACCCCAAAACCCACTCTTCGCTACTATTTAGGAGCCAAAAAAGGATGCTTCAACGCCTCTGAGGGGGTAATACGCTTCTCGGGATTCAGAGTCAGGCAACGATCCAAGAAATCGAAAAACTGGGTCAACTCCTTGACCTCAACATCTGACATTCCACGAGTGCCCTTGCCAGTTAGCCGCGACTTCAAGTCGCGTGTGGGCTTTTTGAAATCTATGATGCGATCGACACGCCGACCTGTAACTTTGTCTTCTTCCAGGCTGTGGAAGTTGAGCATGTCATCGAAATGCAGATGGGACAGGTTACCACGGCGTAGAACCTTGGGCGGGTATTTGCCACGGCACTCCATGATGGACTTGAGCATCTGGTTGTTGTTCCGACCAGTGAAGAGGATTTTTCCCGTGTGGAGCTCGAAAAGCGTACATCCGATGGACCACACATCAATGGCATAGTCGTATGGAATGCCCAGGATGACCTCCGGAGCACGGTAGAACCGACTGACCAAATAAGGCGTGATCTCATTGTCTGAAGAGGAGGATGCGGAACCCAAATCGCAGACCTTGAGGATGTTGCGCTGTTCGTTCACAAGGAGATTGTCGGGTTTTAGATCGGCATGGAGGATATTACATTTGCGGAGGAGACTCAGTCCAAGGAAGATCTGCTGGGAATAGGCCCGGATTGCACGCAGGTTCAGTCCAACATCACGTCCAAATTTCTTAAGCACTTCACGAAGGTTCATGCTCAGGTTTTCAAAAACCATGCACAGATGACCCTTATGCTCAAAGTAGCGTTCGAACTTGATGACATGCTTCTTGTCTTCGGGGTCTGCTTCGCGCAGCTGTTCCAGAATCCCAATTTCCTTCATACCGGCCTTGCGCATGGTGTCGTTCTGACGGATAATCTTAATCGCCACGAGGGCGCTCGTTGTGGAGTCGGTGGCTCGGACAACAGAAGAAAACATGCCTTTACCAAGGGTCTGTGTGACATGGTACCGGCCGTTGATCAACTCACCAATACGGAGGTTGTAATATCCCTCAGGGTCATCCCAGTTATCCATCATGCTAATGTCCAACTCTTTGGCTTGTGGTATGGCGGACATTGCCGAGGCATGGGTCGGTTGTCCTTCCTTCTCTTCGGCGAACATATCATCATCGTCATCTGCAAACATATCATAAGGATCCTTTGCAGGAGGTGGGGGTTGATGAGGAGGGGCATCGGGAATAAGAATATCCTGCTTCACAGTTTGTGTCTCATCGTATGCTGCAGACGATACATCTTCCTTTGTGCTTTGACTACCATTGTGTTTTTGTCTCTCCTCTTTGATGTCAATCGTAGGATCATAGTCTGCAGCAGAGGGGTCATCTTCCTCCATACCACCGGTTGGCGCACTGGAGTTCACCAGGTCTGTATCCTTTCCGACGTTGAAATCGGCAAAACCTTGCCCTGTTTGCCCATTGGGTGTCTGTGCTGGGGAAAAGGATGGAGAGTCTAAAATGGTTGATTGATACAAATCAGCTTTGTCCGTAAGAATTTCATTTGTCTCGGGTTTAAAAACATACCCGCTGTGTCTAGTGCACTGACTGGCTCGGTGCCAGGGGTGGATGAATCTGTATCACCATCGCCAGCGTGCACTGCTTGAAGATGCAAGGGTGATGCCTGGCTTCGATACTTCGCCAAGATGGCCTCACGACGTTTCCGACGTGCCTCCGCGACTGCAGCTTCGTCAACTGGCTCCGAGATCTGCGGCTCTTGCGTAACGTCTGAGGAAGGGGCCTTTACACTATAAATTGAATTAATTCATGGTTCTTCAGATGAATAACAAGGAACATACTCTTTTGCGAAATGAACACGGGAGGGAAGAACCTGCTGCACCTGGTTTGGTTGTGTTTCAGCACCAAGCTTGGAATTCCGAGAGCCAGCCAGGGGGTTTCTTTCACCCACTACCTGACTAGAGGTAGAACCACGTCCATTGCGGTCCGATGAATGCGCAGCTGAGTCCGGCTCATCATACTGTTTCTGCTTCCGTGGATCGCGGTACGGAGATCGGTTGCGGGTGCGCTGGCGCTTATCTTGGCGTTGATCGTGATCATCCTCGTACCGTAGACCACCGCCGTACGTTTCTTCTCGGTCATAGTCGTGATACGGCTTGTTGGCTCGGTGGGAAGGTCCTCGATCCTGTCTGTCGTCGTATCTGGAACCATGGCGGCGTGAGGGTTCATACCGTGCGTTCCGACTCTCGTGCTCATCGTAATCATCATCGCGTCTGCGCTTATAACCACTATCTCTGTTGTCCCGGTACGGTGAGCGAGAGGGGGATCGAGATCGCGATCTATTCCATGAGTTGCGTCGGTGTGGCGATCGGCTGCCTCGGCGTGGAGCAGGGGATCTGGGTGCACTAGCTCTGGGGGGACGGTCAACGCTGGTGCCATTAAGAGGAGGTTTTGACGCAGTTGCCTTCAACTCTGAGCCTGTCTCGACGATCTCACCCTCGGAAGGGGTCGATAGAGACCTCGATCTTCGGTGTGACGCCATTGCTAACAAGATTGTATTGTAACCAACTGAGCAGCACCAAGTGCTAGCTTCCCTCCTTGTTCGAGAACTTGAGAGACTTTTCTTTTCTGGCGGCCTTTGGAGGAGGCTTCAGATGATGGAAAGAGGCTCAGTTAGCACGAGCACAGGGGATGAATAGTATCTTCGGGGATGTTTGAAAGTCCAACCGGCTTGATAGGCCTGCCTTCACACCAAAGCCTTTTTGTAGCTTTGATTATCCCGGGCACATAGTTCAGTTCTTGGGTCTGTGATAAGAAATGGGAAGCTTGAGATTTTGATTAGAATGAATCGAAAAATGGACCGAGGGAGTCGTAATCGAGTGAAAGAGAGAAGTCGAGGCTTTGGCTCAGATCTCGATCCACGATACGCTGATTCTGCCTTGCCATATAGAGAAAGCGGTCTGGCCGATCCCCCGCCTGCATGATCAACTGTCAAAAAAAAACTTTGGCAGTCGCCTTCAACTTCCACCCCTCATCTTCCCTCCAAATTTCCCACTTTCAATCAAATTTCGCAAATATGGGTGGTGCTAGCAGAGAAGGTAAGCGCGACTTACTACCCTCACTTTTCGGCATATGAACATAATACTAATTCTCATCAACAATCAACAGGTGGCAAGGCCAAGCCCCTCAAGGCCGCAAAGAAGGAGAAGAAGGAACTCGATGAGGAGGAGCTCGCTTTCCGTGAGAAGCAGAAGGCCGGTATGTACTATACTATTGCTACACGGTGCCGTGTTGTTATCGCCGGAGACTTTTACTAACGACTCGGCGCATTAGATGCCAAGGCAAAGAAGGACATGATGGAGTCCGCTAAGGGCAAGAAGGGTCCCCTCAACACCGGCCAGCAGGGTATCAAGAAGTCAGGCAAGAAATAAATTCGGAACGGAATGCTTCCAAGCGCATGTCACATGGAAGGACTTGATCCTCCACATTTTTACGATCCAAACGAATCTTATTACCAATGAGAGCGCAATACATCCTGACACCCATACTATACCCACACCCAGTGTCTTCATTTGATGTTTACCTACGTGCACATATGGGTTGATGTATATTTCTGTATAGAATTGGGTTCCAACATAGGTTCAAATCATCTACAAATCTCTATAATTTCCTTGCGATCATGTATGGAAGCGTTATACATTTCTGTATTAACCCACAAACATGGAAAGACATACTAAACTCTTGAAAGAGAAGCAGAGCCTATGAAGCACAGGAGCAAATTGATACACCGGGTATCCGAACCATTTCCAACCGAAGGAAGACGCCGAGGGACCGCAAAAAAAAAAACACACAACGAAACAAAGGACTGGGAGAAGAAACAAAAAAGGTCAATAAAAGGCACGATCCAGATAAAACAGATTTGACTCAGATGTCAAGTTCTCCCTCCAATCCCCAGCCGATACTACTCGAGCATTTAGCTGGTGACACGCTTCACCCAAAGAGTACCGCCATCGCCATTGTTAAACTCATCCAATCGTCTCCACGCCCGAGCAGCCTTCAATCCTAACTCGTGCTCCTCCCTCTTGATCTCGGCAATGTCATTCTCAATGCTCTGGACGCTCCTCTTCACCTCTTGCTTGGCAGCAAGGTCATAGACAACATTTCCAGGTTGGATGACATGAGTCAACTCTTTAATCACTGTTTCCAAATTGACCCGACGCCGTGCAAGTCCATCTCGTTTGGCTTCCAGAGCTAAGATGCGATCCATGGGCTCCTTGGGTTCATTTGTAGAAGACTGATCCACTGAGTTTGACGCCTGGGCGGCTTCTGCCGGAGTAGGCTTCCGAACCGGCTTCCTTGACACCGGCATGGAGACGGGAGGAATTGGGCGTCGACGAGACATGATGGAGGGCGAGCCTTCCGTTGGTTCAGCTTCGGCACTCGGCTTTTGTTGAGAGATTTCCCGTGGACTCTCTTGTGGACTTTCTTTCGGGCTATCTTTCGGGCTTGGGTATGGGTTGGGACTGTCGGGCTTCGAGGCAACAGGGGTGGCGCTAGATAGGGCTTCATGCTGCTCGGGCCATAATGGCTCAGTCACCGTGACAATTTTTGGCAACGGCTTGGTATAGCGAGTTTCCCACAACTGCTTATTATTTGTATCTCGTGGTACTGGCCGCTGTGGCAGCGCTTTTGAACCACCGGCAGTGATTGTCGTCACGGTGGTAGGGACCATCCCAATATGGGAAAACTGCACACTTGCGTTGTTCGCGCTTGGACGTCTTGGATGTCCTTCCATGGGAGACGTGCGCGATGTTGACCGAGGTTTGACATTCTTTTGTTTGCTGTCTTTTGCTGTGATGGGTACCGGAATCTCGCTTTTGTGGAAACTACTGTTTCGACTACGGGCTTGGGCAAATTCTTTTATGGGTAGAAGCTGCTCGCGCCCCCAGTTGAAAATATTGGATGCCGATGCGCTTGGTTTGTGGGAGCCGACATTCTGCGAGTTGCCGTGTACAGTTTTACCAGTGGTAGACATGGTTGACTCGCCAGAGTAGAGATCCCTGTGCACGCCACTTGGTTGCTGACGCGGGGGCTCATTTTCATTCTCTTTGTAGATCGGTGGCAGAGCAACTGGTTCATCAGAAGCTAGTTCTAGAGGAACGGATGCGCCAGAATCCGACTCTTCCAAAATGGGCTCTTGAAAGGTAGCTTTGTGGTATCCAAAATCCCTGTAGATGGGCGCTTCGGGGCCCGTTAGCTGAGTCTGCTGCTTGAGGACAGGTGTCTCCGGTGAGAAATTTTCTATCGGTGAGGGAATTTGCTCTGGCACTGCCACAAATGCAACAGCCTTCTTCTTGCGCGGGGGCGAAGAGCCTATCACTGCAGGTGCTGGGGATGGTGGAGTATCAACATAAAGTGCGTTCAACTGAGCATCAGCTAAATACGCCCCAGCTGAGTCCCTTTGTTCCTGGTGCACAAAACCACTCGACTCGTCAATAGGTGATACACAGAAACTGCTTCCACTATCGTTCACAGTCTCCAGGATGGGCGAAGCCATCGGGGAAACAGCAGAATATCGCCATTCATTGTCATCCTGTGCAACTTCCAGATGCCCACTCGCTCGAGTCGACCGAGTCGGGGTATTGTCCTGAGATAATGATATTGAACTCCTGGTCGACTTGTTAGACTGGTGAATATACACGAACAATCGCAGGTAATACTTACTCGGGCAGTGAAGGAAGATCTTTGGAGCTGGGCTCTACCCATGCTAAACCGGATGTACGCGTGGAGCCGTGATCGCTCGATGTGGGGTTGCCCATCCCGCGCGATCGCTTTGGTTCTCTATTCGGCCACATGTTGTATTTGTGATGGTCGAACCGATAATGACGTCGCTGGTCACAATATTGTAGATGGGGCAGGTAGGAAGAGATCAGCGAACAAACGCAATACACTCGTTCATCTCGATCAACAAGGTGACATGAAAGAGAGGAAATGAAAGAGGCCGGGCTTGCCGGACCAAAGAAAATAAGCTCTGACGGTTGGGCACGGGTACCAACGCAGAGTGAGCTTCTGGTAAAGAAGAATAAAGGAGGGCTTTCAGGGAGAAAAAAAGAGAACTAAGGCCCAAGTTTCGAGAACAGCATGGCATCACTAGGTGGAGTGGGCACAAATTAAAATGGGGGCGATGGCTAAGTGGAGTAATGGCAATGGCCCTTTCAGGGACCAAAAGTTTCATGTTGACGTTTCGGCTGGTCTACTAGTACTAGTACGTTCTTTCTTTTGATTTGCTATATATAGCAACTTAGCAAGGCTGTGTCATCAAGCGCCGGAATCTGATTACCAGTGGTGTCCATTCAAAGTTCTTTCGGCTGCAATATATAGGTTTACAATATATGCTCTCTGGATTAGCCTACATGTATGATGTAACAAAAATAGAAAGCATCACGTGGCATCAACAAACCGTTTACGCTTAAAACCTTAACCAACGGACCCATGGGACCCATCGCATGGACACAACTTACAAGTAAACCTTGGAAGAGTGCTACGGTACTACGTCCTTAACACTTGGAATGGGCATATACTCGGTACTTGAGGACAAAACTGTTTTGAGCTATCATTGACGAAATAACTATTGAAAAGGTCCCTGACTCCCAAGAAAAAATAAGCGGCCCCAAATTCAAAGATTGTCGTATCATCGTGATCAGAAAACTGTCATCGCAGAATTCCAGGTATGTGCTTCCACATTCTGCCTTGAGTTTCTTCGCTAGAGCCATAATCTGAATTCAAAAACAAAAGAAATAAAAGGTATCGACCGGTTCATTCATGTGAGGCTATCACAGCTCGCTGCGAACACGCTGAGCCTGCTCAGAGGCCTTCTCACGGACCTTCTCAGCGGCTTCATGGCCCTGGGCGCGTCCACTGGAGGCGCCGATCTTCAACTGATCGAAGGCCCATTGCAAAGTATCCACAACCTTGGCGTAAATGGTGTCTTGAGGGTTCGTTGTGCCATACTTGAAGTAGGTAGCGTGGCGGCGAGCGACGGCCCGAAGCTCGTTAATGTTGGAACCCTGGTACACGGGGATACCATATGAGTCCAAGTAGTGCTTGAGCTCAGACTGCGACCACTGCTCAAAAGTGGCATCCTTGACAGCGCCAGTGGCCTGTGCCGCTGCTGCAGTAGCCGATGCGTATTGCTCGCCACCAATCTTGGAAGCCTTGACGTAATTTTCCTCGGCATACTTGGCCAGCTCTTCACGAGAGGCATCGGCCTTCTTTGCGGCCTTGGCATTGACAGCGGACAGGTATTTGCTAACGAAAAGGTTAGTCGTTGGCAATTGCCAAATGCATATTCTAAAAGAAAACTCACAGGAGGTGCTCCTTGTCCCAGGTATCAAAGTTGTATTGATTCCACCCACCAGCAGCCCGATGCGCACTAGCACGCACGGCAGCGACAAGCTCATCACGCTTACCAGCCTGAGGAACCGGAACACTACGAGCGTCAAGGAATGCCTTAAGACGTGAATCAGACCAGGCATCGACAGCGGAATTGAATTGATCCTCCGCCTTGAGCTTGGCGTCGTCCGTTGCCCGAGCAAATTGGTTCCCAGCCTTGGTAGTGGCAGCCCCGATAGCCTCAGAGGCAGCAGCGGATGCACTAGCAGCTTGATCGACGAGATAAGCACGGTGCTTGCGAGAAAGAGCAATAAGCTCGTTGCGCTTGGAACCCTGCGGCACCCGCACGCCGTGCTCGTCAAGGAACTCCTTCAGCCTGGAGTCAGACCAGGCGTTGAACAACTCATCACTTAGCGATGCCTGTGCGGCCTCGGCAGATGCAATAGCGGATGCCGTGAGAGCGCGTGCTTGAAGACTAGCGGTTCGTGAATTGCGGCGCACCAAGGCGATGAGCTTGTCTCGGGTGCTAGGCTGGGGTGCCGGCCATCCGCGCTCGTCAAGCCATTCCTTTAGATCAGAGTCGGACCACTGCTCATACACCCAGTTGCCAGGGTAAGCAGCTGTCTCACCGACTTTCTTTGCAATCGCTTCATAATTCTCACGGGCAGTCTTGATGAGGACGTCACGCTTGCGGGGCTGAGGTGCGGGGATACCATGGTAATCGAGGAATGATTTGAGCTGCGAATCCGACCAGCTTTGAGACAGTCAGTATGGTTTTATGTGAATCGAAGGGGTAATTGGGCCATCTAACCTATCAAAGACCCATTCTTTGGCATAGTGGAACTCGTCCGTGATCTGATCAGCAACTGCGCCGAGGGGCTTCTGTACCTTGGTCTCCCAGTGGGACTTGACCAAGCTTTCGAGGTCCCTGCGATCGGCGGGAGAAGGGTGAGGAATGTCTGAATGTCAAGTCAGTTCTCAGGTCATAACAATGATTTCCCCGTTGAAAGGCAAGTATTACCATGGTCTGAGAGCCATCTCTCAAGCTCTGTTTCGTGCCATTTGTTGTACACTAGAGCGGTGTTGTTAGCGTTGGAAGAATGGGTTGTTTCCCACTGTGTAATGGTGACTAACCAGCTTTACTCCACCAGCTTGAAGCTCCTACAGCTTCAGCGGTCGCGAGGAAAAACACCAGGCCAGTGGCCAAGTGGAGTTTCATGATGAATTTGATGTTGGATTTGATGAGAGCTGCACAGAAAAATAGATCAGTATCTAAATTGATGGAAACTCAAGCTGTGGAGAAGATGAGCATACCCAACAGAGATGAGCAAGAATTCAAGGAGAAGTAAAGAAGCAAAGCAGGTCTTTGAATTCCCTTAAATACGAGGGGTCAGATCTCACCATCAAACAGACAGGGAAACAACAAGCAGGGATGATCGCGCAGTGACGTAGTGATGGCATTTGCCTGGTTCACCAAGTGAATGATTCATCAAGTAGCTCATTCCTCCAAACAAAGAAATTGGCGTCATTTGATAATCTTGCTTTTTTTCTTCTTTTACAGCTTTCAATAACCCCATGCCAAAAATATGAGTTTGATAGTAATGTTTTGTAGATGCTCATGTCAACGTGGTTTTGTAGTTCTTCTAAGCGTGTTAGTCACCCCACCTAAGCTTAAAGCGGCTCCTTGAGATCCCCCACACAACCGGACTTAATCCCTGAAGAATCAGGGATGTCCTTAAACAAGCCTGATCGTTCTGGATTTCAGGCCGACCGGGTCCATTTAACCTTCTCTTGCCTCCATCAATTCCCATGTTTTTGATTCTGTTGATTCTCATGAGTCAAGCCAATGATTATTAACTTCAATGTTGGCGAGGCTGCTAAGGCTGCCAAATTCATGCCTTGTGGCCTAAGGCATACATATACTTCTCCACAACCAATCAGCTTTCAACTAACGGAGTACATATCCATCCCAAATGTGACATCTGCCAAATGCAGACCATATCTTGGAGAATTTTTATAGTCATGACTAGCTGATCACTGCCAGGAACAATTAGCAAACTTAGAAGGTTACAAAAAAACAATGATCCGCCACATCTCATAAAGTCTGCACTCTGATCATCCGCTATTTCGATTCTTGACCACCCGCACCCTCTACTACTGCATGGCTTCCACATGTGCAATATTCAACATACTGAACAGCCATGATCAAAGAATCTGGACTTTCAGAGAACTTCATGAGTAAGAAATTGCTCTTGTTCTGCTTACTATCGATTGGCTTTACTCTTTTCCTTCTATTCGGCACGCCAATACCCCTCGCTAGCGCCAGTGATGGACCACCAGTATCCACTACTCCAGAAACAAGTGCAAGACAAGGAAGCCATGCCATTTCAACCTTTCTAGGGCGGCATGATGAGAAGGAAATAACGGATGACCTGGACGCGAGGTACTTGGCCACGCGAACTCTTGTGTACCAGCTTCTACATGCCCCTAGCACCAAGCTGCATAATCCCGTCCCAGTCATTGTCCTCGTCGATCAGAGTGTACGGGAAAGCAAGCGGCAGAGACTCCAGAATGATGGAGCTATTGTTGTGGGGGTGCAGAGTGTTGAAGCCATCGGACACGGGGACGGCATGCATGCGGCCAAGCTACAGATTTTTAATCCCAACCTTGTCCCCTACGAGAAAGTCCTCTATATGGACGCCGATATGATCTTGACCCACCCAATCGACAAAATATTCAATGATCCTAGCACCGCAGCTAAGAATGTTGGTCAAAGCCTCCAGACAGCTTCAGGCAACTCAGAGTCGCTTCCCGAAAGTTTTGTCATGGCGGCAGCCCCAGTGACAGCAGATTATTCGGATTCAACACAAGCATCCATCCCATTTTACAATGGGCTTTTCATATATACCCCATCCGCCGATATTTTTCAGTACTATCTCAAAATGCTGGGTCAGTCTGGGCATGATTTGCTCAATTATGCCCACCGCCGTGGAGGACCAATGCCCTGGCAGAATATGCACAGCTCCTGGTATTCAAACTGGCCGGGGGACAATGCTCTTGACGGCAAGACGGCTCTTCTGAATGCGAAAGGGCAGGGCCGAGACGGATATGGACAGTCGTCGTACTCTGACAGCGATGTACGCGAATATGCCCAGTCGCAAAGGTGGAAAATGGAAGAATACTGGCTTGGAAAGACAGAGGCATCCATGTAAGCTCACATTTGAGCTCAATTTTTAGACATACAAACGCTGAACGTCCTCGAGATGAATTGTGAAAAACTATACTCCGTAGCAGAAGTAGAATCCACCACTTATTTCATTTCCACATTTCATGCCAGGGGCCATGGCGGTGAGAAGCACGTTACTAAAGTGGGACTAGCGTTGGAGCCTTGGGCGGGTAGCTATCAGTTGCGGGGACGGAGGTCACAGCCGACTTCCACGCTTTGTCCTTCAATAAACTCCTCAGTCCTATGACATCTGTTGTGCAAGTTGACCTTGTGAACATCGAATTATCTTGACGTGGAGACAAAAATCCTCTTTGTTAGACTTGTCCGATGTTATAGCTTAGCTTCGTGACAAAACATCTCGAGCACTTAACAACCCCCTTAGCTCTCGAGCTAAATACATCGTCATCCCCCGATACTCTACCAAGCTGAAGCACTGATGGATCCGTTGTCACCAGTATGCCGTGAGCTGGCCTCGCCTGGCATCTTCCAGCCTGTACTATCTGTGTATGCACCCTCTGCCAAAGTCCTGGTTGTGTCAGAGAACTAACCCTGTGCCAGCCTGATCATCATTGGCATCCTTGTTTCCTATCTACCCCAACATATTCGAATAATCAAACGACGAAGCTCCTTCGGCATATCACCTTATTTTGTCCTACTCGGCACCACATCTGGTACATCTGCATTTGCCAACATTCTGGTCTTCCCAAAAACTGCTCAAGAATTTGCTTGCTGCAAGGAGATCGACGGGATGGCCTGCTTCGCAGGGCTCCTGGGTGTTTTCCAAATGGGAACACAGTGGTTAAGTTTCTTTTTTATGTGAGTCAGAAAACTGCGGCTTTGAAGAGTTGAATGTGTTGAAATTATGCTAACACCGTCCCAGCCTCCTCCTCTTCGTAATTTATTTCCCCAGGGCTACCTCCCCCACTGATCCAGTCGAATCCGTTTCATCAAACTCCAGTGGCCCGACTTACCGCACTGCTCTTTCAATCACTGCGATCTGCCTCTTCCATGTACTTGTTACATTGATCCTGTCGGTGGCATTCGCACTCCGCCAACCCGCCGCTCTCTCGGCGTGGGCGAACTTCCTCGGCATCTTAGCTGCGGTTCTTGCCTCTATTCAGTACTTCCCGCAGATCTACACAACTCTCCGTTTGCGATGTGTAGGAAGTTTGAGTATTCCAATGATGTGCATCCAGACACCTGGAAGTCTAGTCTGGGCTGCTAGTCTGGCGGCGCGTGAAGGACTCAAGGGCTGGAGTATTTGGGGAGTATTGGTGGTGACGGCTTGTTTGCAAGGTACGCTGTTGGTAATGGCAATCTATTTCGAATACTTTGCACCAGATAGCAAACACAAGGGAAGCGTTGACGAGGACTCGGGTGTGCAGGATGGTCCATCAAATGGGGCTGTGCCATCGTCTGAGAGAACCGAGACACCGGGACGGGAGCCTGTGTCTGTGGAGTACCCTTCTGAAGAGACTCCACTGCTACAGAGTCGATAATTATCCCCGGGGCCTGGGCGTCTAACGGTTGGTCTACATGCAGTCGGTTTTCATAAGGTATACCTACTATGTACATAGTAGATAGTATGTAGGTATAATTGTATCAGTTGCCCAATAAACGTGTCGGAATAAACATAGTACAATACCACGAAATTGTAAGGGATCTTAAATTCTAGGGAGAAACATATTAAATTTTGGAAGAATTTGTTCATTTCAGCCTTGGGATAAACGAAGTGCATAGCAGTCACTTCATAGACCAAGCATATCTGCACCCTATAAATGAGAATAGATGAGTCCTTGGTATCTCATCCCTGGGTATCACACCCACGCCCGCAACTTCATTATCGCGTTGTACTCATTTTATCACCCGCGATTTCAAATAGATTAAATTAGACGGCAGGGAAGATGAGACGGAAGACATCATTGGCGATCCAGTATCCACCGTTGCCCTCAGGGGCAAGGTTCCATGTCTGGACGAAGTTCTGGGGCCGGTCCTCACCGTCGGTCTATCGATTGGGATTTTGTTAGTTCTCAAATCAAAGATTGCCCTATGAAAATATACAGGGATCGTCTTCACGTACAATAAGAGCACCGACAGCGATGACAATGACACCGCCGTTGGCAGTGGGCTGAGAATCAATGGTGGCAACCTCGTGGCGGACCTGGTTGAAGCCTAGGGTCTATTGAGCAGGCGTTGAGTTAGAATCATTCATAATATAGTTGAACACCTTGGTCCTCGGGAAGAATGAACAAACCGTGAGCTTCTCCATGATGGCACCGACACCCTGGACATTGGCGCGCTCGAAAGTGAGCATAGACTCATCGCGCTTTTCAAGTAAAATTTTTGTCAGCATTCGTTGGCCTTGTAACATGTATTTCGGGCTGCAGCAAAAAAGATCTTGATAGCGGGCTCGAGTATAGACGAGGACTGAACTTACGTATAGGCTTGACAAACCCGCCCGGTTGGAGTCAAAGAGGGGGTAGTAGTACTCCACGAAGTTCTCTTTATTATACCAGGATAGAGTCAGAGATTTGTACATCAATTGTCATAAGCGGCTTTTTTCGCGCAGGGGTCGAGGCGCCAACGCGGGGTTATGGTTTTGTGCCAGCGTGCATGCTGGTTAGGGATTGGATGGAGGAAAAACATACTAGCGACGGTCTCGAAGTCTGTTATACAAGAAGGTGTCAGCTGCTAAGGTCAAATAAGAATGTACTTAAATTCATCTGATGGCTGTATGCGAGTGCCAGAACATTTCCATGCAGAGTGAGGGGCAGACCTATACTCCGGCCCTTGGGAAGTTGGGTGCTTTGAGAAGGAAGGAGTTGGGGAATTGGAAATTTTCTAGACATACCAGCCATTGTGAAAGAGATATTATGCAAAAAGCGTGAGTTTGGGTATCTGAGAGAGGAGAATGGTGGGATGAAGGTATTTGTTGATGCGGGAGGGGTTGTGGAGGCACGAATTCTGTTACTGATTGATGCCTTGGTGCCTTGTGCCCTATCGCCCAATGACGACGTCACTGGAAATGAATCTACTAAACAGTAAGAGGAACAACAATATGTTGATAAATAACTTGAAAGTAACTAGCTTATTCTCATTTCAATCATTAAAATCTACTTTTAAACTGCTTTACTTATTCCGAGTCCTCCGCAAACATGTCTTCAGCTTTAGGCCGTGGTTTTCGAGGGCGCCGAGATACTGCATCTGGATCCTCAGGCTCTGGTCCAGACTGCATAGACGCTTGAGTTTTGGCAGTCTCTTCACTTGGCTGTGGTTTTTCTTGATCCTTAGGGGAATGATCCTCGGGGTCCTCGAGGTCGCTATCTTCCATAGGGACTCCATCAATGTCACTCATAGATTCATCTTCTGGGATACTGAGTGCAACATGATGCCGGCTCTCAGTCGCACCGGCATGAATCGAATCCACACTCTCTGGCACTGGTTCATCGTCCACAGCTTTCCAGCTGCTTTTTCCTTTGAGAAAAGCTTTCTTGGCTTGTTCTTCTTCAGCTTTCTCCTTCTCCTTTTGTTGCTCCTCCTCCGTGAGCGGTGGTTGCTCGAACATTTGGACGAAATGCCCGTGACTGTCCTGTGGGAATACACACCAACCTTCCCAAAGATGTAGGAGAGTACCGACACTGCGTTTCCATTTTTCAGCCTTGAGTCTGCCCCAGTTGAGTTCTTTCTCGAGTCGGCCAAGGTGCTCAAACACTGCGTGGGAGCGTAGGGAGGATTCGAATATCTGCCGATACCGCCATGCATGACGTATGCCGCTGGTTGCTGACGAAGAAAGAATATCGGAGACAATATAAAGCCCGACCAATTTAGCAGATGATAGATCCATCTTTTGTCGTGTTGACGACGCATTTGCACCGTCTTTGGTATCGTTTTCTGGTTCTGCTGCAGCCTTCTCTAGCTCTCGATCGGGGTTGGCTCCAGTGTATGCGAGCGGGCTCAAGATATTCAAGACGATCATGTCAACAACCTCATCTGCGCCTGAGCCAGCATGCTCAATTGCGAATGATGTTATACGAGCGACATCACCCCGACGAAGCTTAGCATGTGTTGTCGGCAATCGAGCCAGAAGATGAGTGAGCTTGGCCTTTTGCATTGGATTCATATAGCCAAGGCCGTCTTGTTGGCTACTAACTCCTTCTGGAGGCGGGGCTCCCCCATAATTTCGTCTCTCGTCTTCATTATCCGAATGCTCTTCATCTGACGAATTGTAGTCGTCATCCGAGATAAACTCGTTCAATTGCGTTGCATATTCGAATTTTATGCGACTATCGGGTGGGTACCAGCTCGCTCCACCTTCAAAAATCGAAGCAAGCTTATCATTCCTGCGGTCCGACTGAGGCTGCGTAACAATTTGCCATAGCTTCCAGCGATAGTATACACCGCCCGGACTTCGGGCATCCCAAATCCAAGCCCATTTCTCGTCTCTTTGCACTTCCGGTCGACTCATAAGCAGGGCCTCGAATTCGGGACCGTATTTTAAAAGCGATTCCAGAGTCTTGTGGACTAATCTGAGCTGTTTAACATCCAACGGTGCTTTCACTTCCACTTGCGTGGAAGGTACGCCTCTTCCCACATTCGATCCATATGAGCTTGGAGGTGCGAAGCCTCCGCGGTGGGATCCTGGGGGTGGAGCACGACTTAAGCGAGCCCCATGCGTTGGTTGGAAATTCTTCGCGCCGAATGGTAGCAAGCTAGCATTGGAGGAGCCAAGGCCCGTTGAAATATTCGAAGTAATTGCTGCAGACGAAAGATGCCGAGACAAAGAGAGATAATATCCGCGGCCCAGGTATTTGTTTTGGAGTGCACTGACAGCGTTGTCGATGTCAGAAGCTGCTGTGTCACTCGCGAGAGTCACAATAGCCGCTGATGATCTTCGTTCAGTGGCAGCTTGGCTAGCTGGACGTGTGATGTGTACATTGTCGACGACAAGAGGAGATGGTATCAGGGCTTTTACCACTGATGGGGACGTTCCAGGAGGCAACAATGCCAACTGCAGTGTAGGCTTAGCTGGCGCCCTGTCCACACCTTTGATGTCGGCTTTTCGGTAATCTTCATCATCCGATAGGTTGTTGAATCCAGGCGGAGGGCCTACCGGACCCGTGTTTGCCTGATCGAATCCTAGCGCGGTATCACGATTACGCGACACCGGGGCTAATCCTTCATGTGTGCGCTTGCCAGCTAATGAGTGTGGAGGCAGCCCTAGAGTACCTGGCCCGCTGCTGCGTGGGCCGGAGCTTGTAAAGTGTCGTCGTCCTGGCCCCCCTCCTAAACCTCCACCCCGAGCCCCGAATGAATTCAGTCGTGTATCAGAAGGTCTTGGGCCGGTAGGTATATCATCGTCGAAAGATTTCACAAAATCCTCGTACACGGCCGCGGTTTCGGCTTTCTCGCGGGCGCGTTTGGCTTCGGCTTCGGCTTTCTGGCGTTCAAATAATGATTTCTTCGTGGGTGCAGAAAGTTTGGCAGAGACATCGGGAAATGCTTTCCCTTTTTGTTCGTCGGGCATCGTATGCGAAAGCTGCCCCTTCAGCAGTCGGGAGCCAGCTTATAGTTGATGTGTTTGAAAGGAGCGACGATCTGGAGTCCAGAGCTGCAGTCCTTCCTAATTGGGATTGCTCATGGGCGGTGAGAAAAGCGGTCTCTTCTTGGGCCTTGCCGCCTTATCACTGTTATCAGAGCCGCAAGTTCAACCTACATGTAAGTCTATGTATAGTCTATATCTCGAATTTAAGAAATCCAACAATCTGGGAGCTTTGTTTTCTGAATAAAACAGTATGTGGTGATAGGTTAATCACTTCTTCATCATGCCACCTAAGTGTTGTTGTTTTTTAGTTCACCAATACACCAAACGGGCCAAACCACATGCTTGGACTTCATGAGCTCACCAATATAAGGTAAACCGTGAATCACTTATCGTACAAGTCGTACACATCTGAGCTTGTTGTAGCTACTTCAGTAGTAACCACAGAGGTGGTAGCTTTTTGAGAGTTGATGTCGCTAAAAGGCTTGAATCTTGATAGTCTTGAGTCTTGACCCTTGGGATGCGGCATCGGACCGCTCCCGATAGATCGCGGGTACGGGGCGCGGGGGCGACCGAGGACCTGGACATCGACTTACTGAAGTCTTCAATCGATTAAAGAGCATTTGCAGGGGAAATGCTCCGATTAATACCTACACGTCCGAGTATTAGCTCCTCGCTCTTCCCATCCAGTCGACGTACCATGCACAAGCAACACGCCCTGCCGGCAGCCTATTACCGAGGTGGCACCTCGCGAGCCATCTTCTTCAAGCAAGACGACCTCCCCCACGACACAAAAGACTGGGATTCTATTTTCCGCGGGGCTATCGGCAGTCCTGATCCCTATGGCCGGCAGCTCGACGGCCTCGGGGGTGGAATTTCAAGTCTATCGAAGGTGTGCGTAGTCGGCAAGCCGACACACCCCGACGCGGATGTTGACTACACCTTCGTGTCGCTGGGCGTCAAAAACACAGACGTCGATTATTCCAGTAACTGTGGAAATATGTCAAGTGCCGTAGGGCCTTTTGCAGTCGATTCGAGGCTCTTCCCCTCTCGAAAGAGAACCTCGATATGGCGTCAGTTCGCATCCACAACACTAATACCGGCAAGATCATACACGCTACGTTTCCGATCGTTGATGGTGAGGCTGCATCCACTGGTAACTTCTCTATTGACGGAGTTGCGGGGACGGCAGCACGTATCCAATTGGACTTTATCAATCCGGCTGGCTCGGTTACCGGTAAACTATTGCCAACAGGCCAAGCTATCGATACATTTGATGGCATTCCTGTGACTTGTATCGATGCAGCCAACCCTTGCGTCTTTGTAAGGGCATCGGATCTTAGAGTGGATGGTAATCTGACTCCAGATGAAATCAATGCCCAGCCTGATCTACTCCCACGATTGGATTCCATACGGCGCCAGGCCGGTGTGAAAATGGGCCTTGCAGAGACTCCCATGGCTGTGACCGGAAGTATACCAAAGATATGTCTAGTTGCTGCACCTTCTGTTTCGGATTCGAGAGATGTTGAGCAAAAGCAAACAAATGGCGATATTGATCTTCTGGCTCGGGCCTTGTCTGTTGGTCAGCCACATAAAGCAGTTCCCATCACCGTTGCTCTGGCTTTAGCTGCCGCCGCGCGAGTATCTGGGAGTACGGTCGCCCTTTGTATTGCCGGTAAAGATCCCATCGATGGTGCGGGTATTACAATTGGTCATGCTAGTGGGAACTTGTTGGTTGGTGCCAACTTTGACGCCGATGGTGCACTTGCATCGGCAACTGTCTTTCGCACAGCCCGTCGACTATTCGAAGGTCGGGTATTTTGGAAGAAAGAGGACTGAATCTGGGTAATCTTTTGCGATGTAAAATTAGAATCCAATAACAAGTCTGCCGATATCAATGACCGTGATCGCCGGGTGTTAGGTTCAAGTTCATACTCGAGCGCTTACCAGGGAGCTTTGATAGAATGGTGTTACTGTAAGTAGGAAAAGCTTCCAAGGTTAAAGCCCCAACCTTCCTTGGAACCTTGGAAGCACATCACAGCACAGATGTTAACTGTGAGTACTATCAGTACATACAAAGATCAAGTCAACCAAGATCCCTGGAGTGTTTAAATGTTTAATGAATACTTTTGTATTGAGACTTTTGGTATAAAACAACATTGGAATCGCAGCCCCCAACCTTTTTTTCTTTACCTTTTCTTACGCACGTCTACCAAGATCAAGATCCGCCACCAACTTCATATCTCCCTTTCCATCATTATCTCCCAATCCAAAGAATGGCTTCACCGCAACGTCGATTGTCTCCTCGAACAATCGCCCAACGACGACCTCCTTAAGATCCTCACCCGTCTGTGCAAAGTCCGGGAACGCGTTGACCTCCAACAAATATGTGCACCCAGTGCTATCGACCAAGAAATCCACACCAAACAACTCAAAAGCGTTGGGTAGTGTTTGAAAGTGCACCATCATACCCCGGGCTGCGGCTTCGAAAACCTCGCCCGTAATGGCACAGATCTGGGAGAAGATCTGCTCTTTCCAGTCCGCACTGAGGCCGGGGACATGGTGATCCAGATCCCAGAATCGGCGAACACTTCCCTCATTCGAGCTGCCTCCTTCTTGGAAACAAGTATTTGTGAGATGGCGGGCAAGGTCTTTGACTTCGTCTTCTTCCTCATGTGGTGGGAAGTAAGATTTTGCGGCAAACAGGGCAAGCATCTCCTTGAAGACGTATACCTTCAGCGATCCTGTGGCGAGGACATAGGTACGAATGTGGAATTTCCGGTTTGAGGATGAGGGGAGGAGAAGAGGTGGGTCAATGTAGGGTTGGGCGATAAAGTGGCGGAGCTGGGATGTGACAACTCCCGCATCATGTGCTTCTTCAGCATCTTCTTTCTCGGAGCCGCTCTCTTCTTCATCCGAATCCTCTTCCCATTCCTCAAAGATCTCTTGAAGTTGGGCTTCGCTGTTGAATAGTCGGATTCCCTGGCCGCGGTCACTCATACCGGGCTTGAGAATCCACCATTCTTTTTCTGACTCGGCTCGCTCTTCATTCTTGTCTAGGCTCTCACGAAGCTCGTATGCTTCTAGAAGGGCTTCGTCAAGGAACTCGGCGTAATCTAACTCAAAGTCAAATGCGGGCTTGACGTGTTTCTTTAAGACGCTATCTGGATGCTTGGAAATCCAGTTGGCGACGGTAGTGGACAGGTAGTGTTTGCGAATAAGGGCTTTCCGGATGACATAGGCGTTTCCAAGAGAGGTTGATGGTCTTGACATAATGTGTTCGAAGTCAAGGCGTTCGTATTCTCGGTATTGAAAGACAGGCGCAGAGGACTCTGGCAACTCGGAGGTGGATTTGATGCGTTGGAAACGAACAGAATCCCCCAAACGACTGGCCAAAGCTTTCTCCACGAGTTCTCCCACGTATGGAACATCGCAGTCGACAATAGAGTACACCGTGGGCTGGCTCACCGTGGGTTGGTTATCTGATCTACACCCTCCTCTATCAGAATCATCTCATATAGATATGCCAACAATGAATTGCACAAAAAGACTGCAGAAAATTCAAATAACAATGGGAATAGGGGGAAGCATGAGGTCTATCAGCTATGCCAGATATCTAAAGCACAAGTACCCTGTACATCTGAAACAAGAGATCTTTGCAGCCATCATGCCATAATTTCCACTCACAGCTTAATCTCGCCCGTGACGCCGGGCGCATGCATGAAACTAGCTTTCAAGGGCGTAACGCTATGAGAAGAAAGGTTGTCAGCTATAAGGTAAAATGGGTCCGTGTCTAATGACAGTCAACTCACCTGGTCATTTGCTCTTTGACGGCCCAGCCGTCATTACCAGGAGCACTCTCCTCAACACTTCTATAGACATCCTGCAGATCAGGCGCCCACTTAAAGTGTTTGTGTTCGAACCTCGATGGACGAGACTCCTCGCCACCTGCGGCCTTCGCATCGCTGCTCTGTCCCTCCAACTCGCTCTTGATACGTAATCGTTGTTCCTCCAGCTCCGGGTCGCCACCCTCGGCAGGGTCAGTAACCTCAAAGCAACTTCCAGACTTCCACTTATTGATTAGCATATCGGTATAGAGAACCTTGTTTTGGCTAACGCCAGGCTCCAGGGGAACATTGACACTGTAGAGGTCGACACCGTCCGCCCAGTTGGCGCAAAGGTGCTCGATCACTTTGACCGAGTGCTTTGATGCCTCTGCAATGATCACGGGGTCGTGGTTACGAGAGCTGAAGGCGTAAGATAAAGCAATGGATGGCTTTCCACAGACAGCACCCTCCATGGCGCCACCAATAGTCCCGCTCGATAGGGCAAACAGGGCTGTGGAATTGCGGCCATAGTTTGGACCCGAAACAACCACATCGATCGGGCCGCGCTCCTTGAAATAGTGGAAGAGGCCGATTTGGACGCAGCTCGCCGGAGTTGAGTCAATCAAAATCCATTCGTCACCGCCGTCATCGGGTTCGCCATTGCTACCCCGCGGTAGGTGATGCACTGTTCCGTCTTCCTGGTGTAGGGTACCCGGCCGGAAGTAGGTCGGCTTAACGGATGCACCGACCAAGTGTGCTTTGCCAATCCATGATCGCTGTTGGTGCGGTAGAATGACGGAAACTGTGTGACCGGCGGACTGGAGCCAGTGAACGAGGGAGTGAACGTACGGTGACGACTGGTTTGACGGTGGGCCGTCGTCGTTAGTGACCTAATAAATGTTTTTTTAGTCTTGTCATAATGTTGGCCAGGTAGATACTATATACGAACCAGGATATGCATGGTGACGATTGATCAATTGGGGATGGGATGGAGGGGGGAAGATCGGAGATTTGGCCGGCGCGGGGCGCTTTTTATCAGAACTTTGAATCTGCATAACGCGATGTCATCCCGATTCCCGATCGCGTCAACGTTTCCCCACTACACTCACCTACTAACTTGAAGTATGCATATTAGATACTAGTATGTAATTCTCATGGCTATCTGCCACACTATCAGGAAATCTCAAGTCGTCTGATTTGATCATTCAAATGACTGGCCCATGTATAGTGCCTTTATCGGCGAGCATGAGCATGTGGAAATCCAATGACTCAGGATTTAGTACATCAACGCAAATAGCTTGTAAGCTAAGGGTATATCGAATGCTATTCAAAACAAATGAATCATCAAGGCAGTGACAAATATCAGCTGTCATACTCCGTCAAATGGCTTCTTCTTTTCTGCAAGCCTCGCTCCTCTGGATCCTCAAGCCCAGAGCCAACGCCATCGTCTTCACCAGCTAGATAGCTCTGTAACAAGGAGCTACTGGCTTGTTCTTCAGGCTCTTCTTTCTTGACTTTAACAGCTTCACTATATGAGCCGATGGCTTCGCTTTCGGGCTCATCTTTCACGAGATCTTGATCTTGATCCTCATCTTTAATCTTTTCCGTAGACACAGGCCCGGGTTGCAGAACCAAATTCAACACGAACCAAGTAAAGCTAGCAGAAGCCATCGAGACGGTCCAGAACATAGAGCTGAAAATCACAAATGACGTAAGCTTCCAACGATACATAAACCACCTGCGAGTGATGTTAGCCAAAAATACCCCCTACAAGCAACAGTCACATGGGAACCATACCGAAGCCCAGTAAAGCGCGCCCGGAATTCCACGCGCGCAGAATATATTTGCAGCTTCCCATCGCTGTGGATTTCCAGACGCAAGCTCTGTGGCAAGTTTCGCGCACCCCGTGCGAACTCCAGCTTCTCCATCATCGGTACCTCTAGCGTCTCCGCTTCTCGATGCCAGCCAACGACATATAGCGGCAAGCGCACCATTCTCCGGGCAACGTCTACCAACGGAGAACTGTAGGTGAGGATACCAGACCGGCGCGATTGTGAAATCATGTTCAATGAGCTGGCAGATTTGGGGAGGACGGAGCTCGTTGGGGGCGAGTAGAGGGTGAGATCGATCATGAAGTTGCCCACTTCCAAATTGGACGGCGTGCGAGGCATATCAAGGGCCACGGCAACATCATAAGGCTGCGAGGACACGAAATTAGGGTCGAGAGATGCGAGACCCCATGGATTTTCGTCACTGTTAAATGGGTATAAGTACTAAAACGAGGACCCGATGGAAACGGGGGAGTCCCTACCCAAATTGCAGATGAACTTCTCGGTCGACACCGACCGTGGGTATAAATCTCAGATAGAAAATTCCGTAGGCAATTCCAGAAATACCCACCAAAACAAGTGTCGCGCCGATGAATAAAAGTGTGTTCAGGTAGATGCGGAGAGCGGTCTTGGAGAAGAGCATGCGAAACGGCGTCAAGAGCGCGCCCTGTCTTTTGTTAGACGCGTTAATGCATAGGTTTAACATAAGGAAAACATACCAGAATAACTGTTTGGGTAGAGGGACCACCCTCATATTCCATCTCATCGTCCGAGTACTCTGAATCCGCCATCGTGGTGGTTGAAGTCAAGGAGAGGGGGAGGTCAAAAACAAGTTCCTCGGCAGACGCAGCACAGGCCCAATCAACCTTATCGTAGCTATATGAGGTCACACAATGCACCACTTACACATGTGAACCTGAATAGATGAAATTTTACTGGAAACAAGTACAAAGAGAATATAATAGCTTAAATTAGGAATCCCAAGCCATCAATGCAGATCCCTTGTAACTCCCAGCTTTTACGATTTTATCATTACAGGTCGCAAGCAGCCGCGCGAAAATAGAATCGTAGTATCTTAGGTCATGCGGGAATCGTGACACGAATAGGAAAGATGCATACCGTCCCCAAGGCAAATCCCGGCCGTAACATGAGACATAAAAAAATAGAACGTGAAAAGCAATGAACCCCATGGAAGAGAAGAAGAAAAAAAAAAAGGAAGAAAAAGTACAATGAGGAGTAGTAGAGAGCGGGATGGTGTTGCCGTCTCATACTTTATTCGGAGGGAAGAGTGGATGATCAGCTTATGCCTCTTAAGGACGAGGGCTTTGCTGCTGGATGTGTTGGAGGAGGGCATCAAAAAGCCGACCAATCTGTCGTAGTTTCGTGAGCACTGGTGTCAAAGAAATTGCGTGACATGGGGAAAGATCCTACCTCGGGGGCCGCCTGGATAAAGGGAAGGCGGAAGAAGGAATAGCTCCGGTTTTGAAGCAGCTCCTGCAAAGTTATGATCAAGCCCCACGGGTGGGGTCGGTGGACGATGAGGCGTTCCAAAAGCACGCGGATGATCTGCTGGCGAATGTCGGAGTCATCCTGCTCGGAAAAGTCGACACCGAACAGGCGCAGGATGGTGAAGCTGAAGAAGTACGTATGGCTATTGGGGTATCGCAGCTGATTTGCCATCGCACTTAAAAGGTAATATCGAGCCTCGGGCTGCATGGCTTCAGCAAGTTTCTCGAGGAGGGCCGCGTGGGCGGAGTTTTCGAAGGCACTACGGATGTTGCTCTTCAAGGCTTGCTCCTCTGCAGCTTGCTGGCCAATGTACAAGACCAACGCGTTGAGAAGAACAACGTCGACGTTGATGGGCACTTGCATCAAAGCAGTGTCTGTGGATTCAGGGCTAGTAACAGCGTCGCAAAGCTGCTGCACGATGGCCTCAGAGGCATTTCCGCTTTGAATAATGGCGTCGACAACGCCCTTAATGTTTGCTTGTTCCAAAGGTGCCGAAACATCGCCCGCGATCTTGGGAATTTCCCGCATCTCCTCGATACGTTCCACTTTGAGACCCTCGCGGAAAGGATCCGGGAGCTTTTGGAAAGACGATGGGTAGGCGCTAAGAACGAGATTGCGCAGCTGAGCACAGTGGGCTGGAATCACATTGCAGAATTGGAAATGGTTCTCAGCAACAAACTCCGGGAAGTCATGGTGCAAGATCAATAAGATGCGGAGCACTCCCTTGTACAAGTCTTTGGCGACGTAGGTAATCTCAGAACCCTTAAGCTGCTCTCCGATGTAAGAAAGCAAGGCTTGCATGATCTCACAATAAGGTGCCCAGCCTTCACGGTCCGGCATGTTGAGCATGTCTGACATGAAAACGCGGTGAGAGACCAAAGCCAACCAACCATATACAAATCCTGGGATGTATTTGGGCTGAAGAGATAACAGGCGGTTGGCAAAAGCAAAGATCATGCCCTTGTGTTCTTCGTGGTGTTGGAAGCCGGCCAGAGAATATTCACATAGGAGAGTAGAGAACAGACGGAAGAACACGCGCTGGTTAAAGGCCTCACCTCGCATGACCTGGTGGTGGTTAAGAACGAGAACCAGAGAAGAGAGAATGGAGCTGAAGTAAGCTGGCTTGTTGGCCTTAACAGCACCGGCGTGCTCGCCCTGGAACTTGACAAGAAGAATGACAAGCTTTGCGAGGGCATCGATGTAGAGGAAAGCTTCATCGAGGCTACCGTGGGGGTTCTGAGACTCATGATCGTACATTCCCACGGAGATTTCAATGCTAAGACGGAAGAACAAAGCTGAATCTTCAGGGTTGTTCATGACTTGACGATTGTGAATATCCTGGAGGAAGGAGTGGTAAATTCTGTCAGTGGCACCGGTAGCCTTGTAAATTCCAATCCACTCGCTGAAAATGTACTCCATCTGGTCTCGCTTAGACCTGGCGGAGTCAGTGAGTAGAGGGTTGACAACTTCAGGAATGCCACAGTCACGCAGCTTGCGGATGATCTCCAGGGCGGGAATCAGGCCGGGGTCCTCGGCAAGCCATTGGCTCATTGCTTCGAGACTGCCGGAGAAGTCTGATCTAAGAGCTGCGGGTTCATCGTTGAGCAGAACACGGCTCATCAAGTCGTCGAGCAGTTCCAATGCACGGACGTCCTTCTGGGAAATTAGGCGGGCCAGCACCATGTCAACACGACGAATGTCCAGAAGACCAGCATCGATTAGAGAGACAGTGGCAGGCACATTGAACATGTGCTCGTCATCAATCTCCGCCAGAAGCGCCCATGTGTAGCGTGCAATAACCGTGGACATATCGCAAAGCTTAGCAAGGAGGTGCACAAGAACTTCAAGTTCGAGGGTGGAAGATGCTTGCGAGTAAAGAGTGGTACAGACCTTCAGAGAGGTCAGTCGTGCCAGCTCTTCACCATTGGGCGAGGCCAAGATAGTGCGCAAAGCCGTGTTGTACTCTTGGAGCACAGCGCTATCTCTGCCAAGATCCCTCACATGTTCCTCTGAAGCCTCGCGAGTAGCCAGTTGAAGTTCAGAAATGAGAGACTCAACCTTCTCACGTGGGTTTACGTGGTCGAGGTAACCATTGGTAGGAGCACCGCTGGTCTGTGACACAGCCTGTGGTTGGGGTGTCCGGTGGGGAACAGCGGGCTGTTCGGCGGGGGTGGAAAGGTTTGGAATAGTCGGATACGACTCTTGAAGTACGTCGGGGAGTTGACGGCCTGCGTCGGCTGAAATGCCTGGGGGGTGGACAACAGCTGCGGTGCCTCGCGATTGGCGTGCAAATTCTTCATAAATTGCCAGCTGGTCCTTGTTCAGACCACCGGGGGTTTGACGATAAGGCTCTGGAATGTAGAAACTCCAGCGGTTCATTGAAGGATCGATAAAAGCATCATTAGGCCGGTTGGTAATGTGACGGCGACGTGCTTCCAGCTGAGGTTCAATCATCTTCTCAATTTCGGGAAGTGACTTTTCTTCAGCGGCCTTCTCGACAATGCCGCAAGCAGCATCAAGGTTATCATTGACGCACATCAAAATCAAGCCTTCGGGCATGGGCTGATCCGATACCTCTTGTTGGATCATTCTAATGTAATTGGTCATGCTGACCTTCAACGGTTCTTTGCAGGTGACCAAGGCAAGGCTTCCGGCGAGCTGTCGGGCCATGATCCCGGCGGCATGGCGCACCTTCTCCTCGTCGGGCTCCATGGCAAAGTCCTTCGAGACAAGTTGTACAGTAGAAATAGATGCGATGGTTACCGAACGCTCCACAACGGGGGTAATAATTTCCGCAATAGCACGCTCTACTGCAGATGTGACAATGGTTCTTAGAATGATGGGGTCTACCATGCCACTCGCCGACGGGGGTAGAACAAGAATCTTGTCAAGGCTTGGCAGATTCGACAAGATAGCAGCAGGCGACAGCCGCTCATTGCGGATGCCCTGATTGATGGAGCTGAGACCCATGTCTTCGAACGCTTCGAGTCCCTCTGGAATGTTTGAAGGTACTGGCAAGACTTCTTCGCCTCGGGAAATGCGTTCCCTGAGGGAGGTAGAGGGCTCAACTGTCTTGTGGTCAAGGGCAATTTCTTTACACAAAACCTCAATTTCGAACTTATTGTTCAATTTCAATTCGGCAAAGTGGTAAAGTTCCAGCAAAAGGCCCAGGATGTCCATCAACCATGGGTTGGGGGGCTTGAATACTGTAGATTTGGCTGCCTGAACAAGAACCTTGCAAGTGAATGGAATTGCGACCCCAAGGCGGCTGGAATCATAACCTTCCATGAGCATCCCCTTGAAGTAGATGTTCTTGTGCTTGATTGGCTTGTCTTTGGCGATGGTCAATGCACCAAGCCAGGCAGCGAGATTTTTGAGATGGCCTCGTTCAGTGGAGGAGCTAACGGTGGCGTCGGAGTTCAACAGCTTAGAGACACTCACGTAGGTCTCTCGCAAGACCTCAGCCCAGAGGATTCTATCTCCAATCCGGTCAAGAAGGTCAAGGTAGAGTTTCTGGAAGTTTGGCTGCAATTTGGCGCGTTCTTCTACCAGATAAGCTGCAAACCATTGATGGTGCTGTTCAGTCAAGACCTCACGTAGATCACGTAGCTTCTCCTCGATGTTTTGTTCAGAGACATTGTTTAATACAAACAAAATCTTGTCCTGGGTGTCTTCGTTTGGATCCTGATAAAGCTCTGACCGCAACGGTGAGTCCACTGAAACAGATCGGAATTTGAAGGAACTGCCATCCACAGAGCGATCATCGTTATCACCATTCAGCAAGGGAGAGGGGCGGATGTTCCACTTTTCAGCCTCTCCGTCGGCGATTTCCTTGCCCTGGGCCCTTAGAACCTCTTCGGCTTTCTGGAAAATCGGCGTGCCTTGCAAGGTCGGAATTTGGAGCAGAAGATGACAGAAACCTGCCCATTCAGGGAGACGATCCATAAGCTGTTCAATTGCCTCTACGCCGAACTTGAACATCGGGTTGTGGACTTCATGCTCCCTGACAGCCTCCAGAATCATGCCAAGGCCAACCTTGAGGGTGATTCCATCAACCAATCGGAAGTTAATGATGCCACCAAACATTACTGCTGTCTTTGTCAGGGCATCCAGTGGGTATTCATGGTAGCAATGGTATTCATCGATGAGACCATGCACCATACAAGCAAAGAGCTCTTGCTCCTCGGGCTTGGGCGATGACTTGTACTGCCGCATAAGCTCCAGCATCTCTCTGAGCGAAAGCTCATCGTGGTACATTTTGCCAAACAATGCCTGCATCTGCTTATCAATAGCTTCAGGCAAGGTGTTGCCATTTTCGCCATTGGCATTGATTATTTCATCGAACCCTTCACCATAGTTGATCAATCGAGGGTAGGTCTGGATGCAAATACGTTGAACTGGGGTAAGGTTCTCACGGTCCCCGACGAATTCTTCCAACACGGTAAGAAGGGTGTAAACAGTCTTGACCGAAAGGCTGACCATTTGCGGGGTTGGCTGCTCCTTTCGCTGTACATGAAGCTCATCCTCAGCCTTGATTCTCAAGAACTTTGACAAAAGGCTGCCCATGTCAACTTGGCCCTTCTGTGCGGTACTGCGAATCCATTGGCCGAGATCAAACGAGCCCCTGCGGTCAGAGTAACAAGCAAGATCCAGTGCAAGCCCATTGGTGAAGCCAAGCAGATACTCAAGCCAGCCAAAGCTCGCGGCGTGCTCATAGATCATTGCAGTAGAAGTGGGGTCTTGGCTAAAAGCTGCAAACAGTTGCTCGGAAACCCACTGCCGATCTTGACGCCAAGCTCCGTGGAGAGCCAGCTGGAAGCCATCTTCTTGTTTTGATATAAACACGACGAAAGTCCGGAGAACAAAGCTCTGTTGAACATTCGACCAAGGCTGGGGGATAGCCAACGCGGAGATAAGGAACACAGGGAGGTCGAACTGCACGACAGTCTTGATCAGGTGCTGGCTTTCTTTCGTGCCCCAGTGGACCTGGTCCAATAGCGCCAAGTCGAAGACCGCTTTAATCGCATCCGTGGAACGAAGAGGAGATTTGGCTGCACGCTCTCCCAGCAGCTTAATCATCTCAGGTGCATCGTCAAAGAAGTCGGGAGGGAATGTCGCACGGAAGTCGCGAATCTGTGAGGGATCGACTTGAGATGCTACCAAGCCTGTTAAGAATGAGATCTGGGTTTCCTGGTTGTCCCATTTCCCACCCCACAGCTTCTGCATGTCCAGGGAGGGATCATCAAATGCAGCTGCAGAAAGCGCAGCATACAGCTTGCCGAACTGAACGTGGTTCACTCTAAGGCCGTCTCGGTCAAATTGCCGAAACACGAGAGCCCAGTTGAGTTGCTTGTCGGCATAGGCACTGATAAGAATGTCCAAAGAAAACTGAAGGTGGTACTGAGAGAGAGCCATGAAGAGAAGGGCACTGGCAAAAGTCTCTTCGGACCAGCTATCCGGGCCCGCCCCATTGATCATCTCAGTGAGTGCCTCGACATTGGCCGTTGCACGGGGTCCTTTGGAGTGGAGCTGGCGAACAAGGGTATACCGAGGGTTCACAAAGTTGAACATTTGCAAGGCAGAGGAGACTTGGGATGGCATCTCCATGCCCACCTTCTGGTATCGCATATTAGTTGCGTAGACCAGCTTAGCCTTAACATCGTCGGTGAAACTGCGGGGAGGGTAGAGGATGAATCGTTCGATTGTCATGCCAAGGAAGGCGTCGTTGAAATCCTTGTGTGCTTCGGTGGCGGCCGATAGGCTATGGAGGAAGGGATTAAGAGAGTTGGAGAGGATAGCATCGGCTGAATGGGCGTAAAGATGTTATTAAATGGCTTTTTTGGATTCTGGAATAGGAGACAAACTTACCCTTGGCACGAAGATCGGATTTGGTTGACATTTTGAACGCCAAAGCGAGAGAAACCTTCACAATGGGATCCAAACGGAAGTGATCCAAGAAAGTGGAGAGATCGAAATCCCGAAATATGTCACCTTCGGACGTATCTACTGTCTCTGCAATCTTCTGGGCATGTTCGATATCCGAGGAAACTTTTGTCATTTCCTGCACGAGAAGGGTGTAGTTGCCCGCATTTTCGACAGACTTGTTCACCCCAGGAAAAATCTGGGGCGCATTGCCAGTGAGAAGGCGACGGAAGTACTTTGAAAAGACCTCCATGCCGTTTGATGTCACAAGCTACCGAGAAGATCATATCAGCCTCTGGAGTTCGAAAGAAGGGATTAATTGAGCCATCGTTTTACCTTATGGATCTGAGCAGCCTTTGTCTCCCACTTTTCTTTTCCTTCCTTCTCTGTAATCGAGTCTAATAGGAGGAAGACTTGTGCAATTGAGATCTTCGTGAGCGACGATTGGCTCGAGTGGGCAGCTGCCGATCCGGGCTTGTCTGAAGCAAAGCCCGTGGGTGAATTCACGGTTGTGCCGGACGACAGTGGTGAAAAGGCTACACCTCTGGAAGAACCCGGCCCTCCGCCTCCCCCTGAGCCTCCAGCACCCGTGACGGAACCTGTTGCTGAGGCGAAATAAGACCCAGCGGATGGGGTGTGTGATCGAAACTTGGGTGAAGAAAGCGACTGAGCTTGCTGTTGCGAGCCAGTCTGTAGTGAAGTGAATGGCGAGGTTACAGGCTTGGGGCTACCGCCAGAGAGACCCCTGGTAGAACTCAGAACGGCAGAGAAAGATGATTGTGTAGAGACCCCAGGGCCTGCATCCAAGCCCCGGGCAGAAGCAGAGGGAGCGGTGGCGGAGGAGAGGTTTGTCGCGAGAGGAGTCAACCCACGACGAATTCCGGACTGCGACGCGGACCGACCCCAGGCACCAATCTCAGTCTTGGTCGATGAAGATTTATCGGTGCCAGAAGCAATCGATGATTGGGCAGAAGGGTGAGGGGGAGGGAAGGTCATCTAGGAGACGCGATCATTTGATCTGGAGGGTCCAACGACAGATTTTTAAGCGGGCGGGCGCAGTGGACCCGATCGATAAGATCGATCGAAAGACGGTATGAAGCTATGGTGTAAGACTCGATGAGGGGGGGTGGGAGAAGAGGGTTGAGGGGGGGGAATGGGAGAATGGATGGCGATGGAGGAGAGGTTGGAGGAATGGTGCGTCCAGGTGCGAGGTGTCGGAAGTGTGGGTGCCTCAGGCGACGAGGAAGAGCTTGGGCTTAAATTTTTAGTTGGGCACGCCACCGTTCGACTTCTAAAATTCAATTGATGGTGTCAATATAGGGTACCTTTGGTTTGAGGTGAGAAGCTTCATGATTTTCAGGAGCATTTTTATCCTATTGTCCTCTCTTTCCGTGTAAATGACCCAATCGTGTCTGCTCAGCTACACTTCCTGATCACATGACCAAACGCGTGAGCTGAGTCATCCTAAACCCGCTCTGCCGAAAGTGGAACAAGTGGGCTTCCCCAGGTTTGTTTACTAGACATCTCCAGGACTGTACCCCTTTGATGCTTCATTTTTAATCCTGTTCTCCTTGAAGTTTTGAGATAGTAGATAGGTAGCTCTAAAAATGGCCCTCGGTCAGAATGTTCACCCTTACACATTGAGCAAGCAAGTGAAAACGCAACAACCCTAAAAGATCACCGAATATGTAACTGTACATACTCTACTATCCATGGATGTATTTGAGCAACGTTGAGCTTGAGGGACATACACGATTTTTTTGATATCTTCGTCATGATGGCTCACATGCGCTCTGTTCAATTTGCCTAATTTTCTAATGTTTGATGTTCGTGCAAAGTCAAGTACCTAAGTATTGATCAATAAGTAAAGAGAAACTTGGAGGCTTAACCTTAGAGGGCTACATGTCTTGAGTAGATACATGTGTAGTAGGCAGTATATTCAGATGTTCAAATGTTTAATGCATATGTATGTGGATGTTAGGTAGTGGCACTTTTAACGTTGAGGTCCCTATGTACGGGTCTCGGTAGCTCCAGGTATGTACATAAGTAGGTTCAAATGTTCCAACATTGCACTTGAGGTTGGCATAGACCTCAGGATTATGCATGTGCACATCAAGTGCACTACATCCATGCATGTGGATGGATGATACCCGTGGGCCTAAATTTGAACAGTCTTACATAGGCACATCTATAGTATGCACAAACATACCTAGTAGTATCTCCAGGCAGAATGGAATAAACCTTCTATGTAAGGTTCCCATACGGGCGTGGACCACTGCTTTAAACATTTGAACCGCTCTTCAATCTTAGGCTATTTAGTAGCACTTGAGCAGCCCTCCAGTTAAGGAGTAGTCAAGGACATCACCAGCACTTGAGTCCATGTGCACCTGAGTGCCTGGGTGTTCCCAACTCTCGAGGTCCTGATCAATGCATTGATATGTCTCTTCCAACATTAGATTCCACCTGGGTCCGCACGGGCACATGTGCAACTTGGAAGTATATGTAACTCTATAGGTTTGTCTGTCAGGATGACCAAACATCGAAGGAGCTTGGGGAGTGAAACTGTGAAAGGCAAAAGAGGCCGAGAGATGTATTCCAAACGTTGCCTATCTTGAGGTTTGGTTTGGATAGATATGGGATGCTAAAGTCACCATCTGTGAGATGCTGAAATATACGAGAAATTGAACGCGATGGTCCAAGAAAAAAACAAAAATGGCAACATGACAACAATTGACTTGACTGAATATGTCAGAGTACCCAAACCGTACCAATTGACCCAATATAAACGCCAAAAACGAGTTTCAATCAATAGACCATATATAACCCCATAAAAAAAGGGGAGTTCCGGGAAGGGAAATCATGTCGTGTCGGGGGGCTGAGAAAAGAGAAAAGGAGAAAGGACAAAAATATCCTCCACAAGACCAAAAAGGGTTGGAGGGGGGTAGTAAAAAACGAAGTAGAATCACACAGTGGAGAAGAAGTATAATCGTGTGCACGTAACCCAATGCGAGTTCCCATGGCCTGATTCAACGCCGACGCCAGTGTCCCAGAACCAATACCACAATGAAGAACAAGCGCTCAAATGCCAGGAAATCAGACTAATCAGACAGGGACAGACAGTAACATGGTGTTGCCCATGTTGCTTTGGCGGTGTATGTCTGACCAGAGCCAGAGGCGGTGTTGGTGTAGGTAGTAGTCGGCGTAGGCTGAACCTCTTGGACTGAGACCACCTTATTTGGAATGGCCTGAATGTGGCCATTGCTCTCCAGCTGCATCTGTTGACAATATGGCGACGCCGCTCCTGCATCATCACGTCGTTCTTCCATCTTGATGATTCGGGGGTAGTTGGCAACATCATCATCGCGCTTGGCCTTAGCTTGAGCAGTGGCCATACTGGCTGCAAGATTCCCATTAGCGATGGGAGTAGATGAGAAAGATGCATCATGTGCAGACTGATTGACGTAGAGGAAAAACTCCAAGACGGTCTGGTTCCACCAGCAGAACCACGGCTTATCGCCAGATTGGACAGCCTCCTTTCGTTCCATATAACTTGCCAAAATGTCTTCTGATACATCTCGTTTCTTCGAAGCAGAGCTAGAATCCAAAGCAGACTCTGGAAGAATGACAAGTTTGTCGACGTAGGACCAGAAAAACAAGGCAGGACCAAGGCCTGTATCACTAGTATCCATGACCATGCTCAAATTTTGAGTGGGGGTAGGAAGAATCGGTTGCTGCGCTCCGTAAGAGAAAGTGCTGGTAGCGGTTGTGTCATCACTGGCGAAAACAATAGACTGCTGACCATCCATGTTTCCGACGTAGACCTCGAAATCCTTAGGTTCTTCCAAACAACTCCAGACTTCCTTAATATCATGATCTTCGACGCACATTCTAGAGTAGTTCTGCAAAACGGAAGGGATCAGAAAATGGCCGGTCGGTACTGGGGTATAGTTCGTATTTGTGGTTGTGATTGAAGAGTAGTCCAACTGCGCCGAGGCAGTCACTGTCACGATATGTGGACTCTGTTGTTGTTGTTGGGCCTGCTGTGCCTTGCGATCAGCCTCCTGGGCCTTTCTCGTACCAAGCACACCACCAATCACACCGCCGATAGACCCTCCAATCAACATAACCGTAGCGATAAGAACGATGGTCCAGACAGGAAGACCACAGCATACTTTCTGTTTCCCCTTGCGCTTGAGCTTCTCCTCAAATGCCATGATGCCCGTGGCTCCAGTAGCAGCCGTAGCGCCGGCAACCACAGGAGCCGCATTAGGCTCACTATTTGTGGATGTCTGAGGTATCAAAGCCCTTGATGATGTGTTTGAGATTGGCTGCTCCCTCGAAGTCGAACTGAGTTGCCGTTCTTCCTGTGGTGGTAGGTTGATATCAACAACAGGGTTGTTCATGTCGTTCATGGTCTCCATCTCCACACCAGCTGGTTTGGGAACGGCTCCTGTTGGGTAACGTGAATACGGAGGTAACGGTTCAGTGTGTCCATCTGGTCCAATGATATCGCCCACGTCATCAATCCGACGGCTGGGGGGTGGTTGGTATTGTGAGTTAAGGCCGGGAAAGCCGACCGGGATTTCGTCATCTATCCCTTCTTCAACAACATTCTGACTATACATCCCGTAAGGATGTTGGGGACCACTATTTTCACCCAAGGGACGATCGATGGGGCGAATAGTCGAAGTACTTCCTATACTTGCGGAGCGACTGACACCGACCTGAGGGTACATAGAGTAGGGGTGGCTAGGGCCGGTCGCACCCGTGTAGGGACTAAGGGCGCGTGGTATCGAGAAACGGGAAGAGACACTCTGATTCCTTTGCACAGCAAAAGTGGGATTGTTGAGAGATGTGACAGAGTTGCGGTTGTTGGCGAATCCTCCCTTCTGGGGTAAGCTGGATCGATGGGATTCGTCAATGGAGGACCGGGCTTCATCAGCGAATGGATCATCATTAGTTTCTGCTGCGGTCGCGCCCGCGGGTTTTGGAGTAGGTTGTGTGAAGGTGTCTGCGGAGGCGATGGAGATTGGACTGGCGGAGCGCTCAATTTGGTCGACGTAGATAGGTTCTAGGGAGTATTCGTCGGAGAAGACATTGGGATTGGAGACGCGCGATGAGCGACCGAAGGATTGACGAGATACCGATTCATATTGCCCTTGAGACAGCCGTGGGTTTTGAGATGACCTGGACGCCGAGCGAGAATGGTCGGATGAAATGTGTCTAGACATATCTCCTTGCTCTCGCAGCCCTGTCGGGCCACCTCGTTGATTTCGATTCAATCCGGATCCTGTTCACCCCCGAAAGTAATGGGTGGTGGGTATATGAGTGTGTGACGCAACGGAGGTAGGATTCTTCCGTTTTTATATCCGTAGAGGAAGATTTGGGTATATTGCGTTGGTGGTTGGGTGGTTGGCGAGGGTTAGTTGGATAGGGTGGAGGTTGAAGATGTGAGAGGAAGGGAAGGGGAGTCGACGGAATTTGAGACTTAGTGTGACGGCGGTAATACAAAGTCGGGGAGGGGGCGCCGCAGTGGGAGAGTTACTGTACGGGGAAACCTTGGAAAATAACATGTAAAAAGATCTTCAAAAATCAAACCCCCGTCTTTATTCTATTTCTTTTCAATCCAAATCCTTTTGATCTCACTGCTGACTTTTCTTTATCTTTCTTCTTTTTCTAGACCCTGGCCCTTGAATCTTCCCCATGGCCCTGAGAGACCCTTTGACCGGACGCGATCGACTGGGACTCCTCCACGAACGCTACGCCCACTAGGGCCACCAGGCTAGCGACTAGAGTCACTCTTCATTGTGGGTCTGGGCCATTGCCACCCACTCTTGTCCCCCCAAGTGGGAAAAAAGGGTTATTGGAATGATATGAGCAAGAAACCAGAAAAACAGAGAAGCAATAATGTCAACGACACAATGTGGTTTTTTTTTTCTCTCCCCGGCTGAAAAGTCATCTCGAACATCTTGATCTAGGATCATTCCTGTTTCCGTGAGGCAATCAGCGAGGTTTTCACATCTCCGCTACAAAGTCTAGAACCACGCGAAATTCGGTCCTTGCCCGGGCCTGGATTCTCAGCCTGCATCAGTCCAGACAGGAACAGATGTCTCCAGATTACCGACCAGCCAACAACATCGGGTGATTTTGGGACTGGCATCCACAGCTGCAAAACCCAGCACCAGACCGTTTTCTCGGACAGTTCGACTATGTATCATGGCTTTGCAAACAGAAACCAAACTTGCTGAGCCGGGAAGGAGCCCACTCTAAACTCAATCTGATTCACTAGTTTACTTACCTGTATTTGGGAATCGGGATGTTCAGGCATCAGTAATCACACCGGCCCCCAACTGATCAGCTCGCGGATATCTCGGACCAAGATTCTCCAGAACAAACTGACATCTCAATTGGCTGATTGTCACATGTACCAGGTACTCCGTACGGAGGAAAACAACAATACTCTGAAACTGGGAAATCTTTTGCATGGATGGGTAAACTCCGTTATGCTAACAATTATGCCGACGCCCACCATACTCGTCACAAATTTCGGAGCAGTCTGTGGTTTTTTTTTTCCGGGCACGAACCTGCGAAAATTACGTCGGTGGATTTCTCTAGTTTAACTCGCTAGGGGGTTATTGCATCAGGCTTTGGATCCATGGAAACCCTGGAAGGCCCTTGGAAAGAAACGGGGCAAACCGCCAAGACCGGGTAAGGATTGTTGTAAAAGTGAAAATTCAAAGACATCTGGATTCTTTTGCTCTAAAATCTGAGCAATCGCCTACAAACGCCATGAAACTTTACTTGAGTTCGCGTTTCAGCCCGCCATGCTTGAATGAGTAGCGCAACGCCTCAACACGGGTCTCGGCTGTGGGTGAGAATATAGCGCGTGACGATGTGCAAGATCCGGTCCAGATCTTCTTTGTTTTCATCTGACTTTGCTCCTCAATATGGTGGGTCATGTAATGTTTTGTGGTTCAATATCATTACGGTCCCACAACATCCATGGCCATCCGCCCAATCTGATTGCACCTTCCGACTACTCTAACCGCCGGGAAAAGAAGCCGATCTAATGCTCTTGATACTCTTAGATGCAAACAACCCGTTGTAATGTGATACACACGATACAATATTGTTCTGAAGGACCTCGGGATATCTTCAATATATGAGTAGGAAATCAAACGATTCATTGAGCAATATTATATCAGAGGTCCGTGAGCATTGATGTCGGACGAAGACACCAAATCTCCAGGGCTGGATACATTCGAGTTACCAATCACATCTATACCAGAGCCAACCTTGGAACGCTAGCTGCCCAAATGGAGGAAGTTACAGCCCTGGAGGTACCTAGGTACCTGTAAGTACTGGATTTACCCTGACAGGTGGGGCTTTGCTAATTTGGTGACCGTCGCTTTCAATAAGGGTGCTCAGGCTCAAGCTAACAGCTATCGGGTTTTTCGAAATCAGACAAAAGAAACTCGACTTTCCTCGTTATCACTGACAAGAGATCTTTAGCAATGTTCTCCTAATGGATATGTTCAGTCCTTACCTGATCTCAAGAAAAGTACTGGTACTCGTACTTGTAATTTGGGACTCGGAGCTATCATCTTGCATGCACGCTGGTTCCGAAGTCGGGACACTCAGATCGCAAAAATTGAACTTGATATCTTTTGGAAGTCTCGATGGATTGCCTTGTCCAAGTCCCCATATAGTGGCGAGGTAAATTTGAAACCGGTATACGTTTTTCTCAAAGTCATCTTTTGTTAAGTTCGAAAACCCGTAGAGGCCATCAACATCCTTGCAAACCTCTTGTGAAGGAATCGCTCCGCTGCGGGTTTCAACGCAACATGCACATTCAATAGAGCAATGCCCAATAGCAAGTTTACCAACAGAGCTGGTCAGACGTTCAGGACTTTCGCAGCATCCACATCCACGTGCACAGCATCCACCTTGGAGTACACAATCTTCGACTAGTACTCGATGCATATGCCATCGCTCATTTGATCGCCACGTTTCAAATCCCCGTTGAAGAGAGGCCGAACTTGATAGCATACGTTCTTTCCACCACCGATATCGCCGCTGCTGTTCCCATGAACTAACTATTGATTCTCTCAGTTCCATTCTCTGAGACTCGGACTGTGTTTGTTTTTTCAGCCGTATCTCCTTTTGGGAGCTCATGCGCAAGCTTGCTTCGAGGTTCAGGATCGCAAGAACTTCTTCCGTATATCGGTACGGAGGGGAACCACATCCCCAAAGTCCTCCATAATTCTCGTACCGAAATCTTTGCAGCTTCAATATGTCTCCGCTGTTTTTAAGAAATTCTTCTCGGGGTTGTTTTGTCCTAGCCCTTATGCAACACATCATGAGAGGGCTGAACTTGACTATCACGAGATTATTGACGGGTAGATTATGGAAACACGGTGAAGTTCTTTGGAGGCTGTCGGTTGGAGAACAGGCTAGGGGTATGTAGCAATTCTAAATCTTGATTTCAACTTTGAAAGGTCCGAGTCTTTCATTTCAGCGGATCATGATGACGGCACCCCACCTAGGTACCTCCAGAGCTGAGGCCAGGGTTTCTACCAGTATACACTTTGGCCGTATCCATTGATAAAAATACTCATACATGAATTGAAGTTCAAGTTACTTTAACATTGACTTGGGACACTGAAATCCAACCAGCTGATGTGACTGGCACAGCTCTACTCTGCAATATGCCCTTTACGGATCTTACCCCGTTGAGATTTTGGTTGAAAACATAGACCTTAGATCTCCTTTACTAATTGGGCTACAGTAGGTTTTCGGTGTTCTTCACTGCCTGGGATAGCCTATACTATCCATATATCAGCTAACCTTCCCTTTCAGTTAACCTTCTAGGTGAGCCTCCAGGTAACCTTATAGGTAACCCCGTAGGTAACCCTGTACTACGTAGGTACTTGTATACATAGAAGGGTATTTCTTCATTCACCTGTAAACACTACTGACTGAGTCCTCAAGTATGGATGTGAGCACGGCTATATTGAGAGGGTGTGAATGCGCCTGGACATAAATACAATCTCCCTCCAGGGCTTGAACTTCTTGACGGCCCAACATATGCCTGAGTACATCTTCTCGCATACAAAACATACGAGAAGACCGATACCAGCCAAACCCCAACTAAGAAGCTCGTAAACTCTTCATAGCAATGTAAATTAGCAAAGAAAACCCCAAAAATCATGATCTAAGCCCAGGTGACATAGTGACAACCCACCGGACATCTGGAACTCTGTGGGTCATGGTACATGATTAGTACTGGTATACAGGATGGACATCAATGTGGAGTTTGATCTAAACTTACTACGGCATTCATTTTTCAAGGACATCTTTAACAAGGCCCTGCAAAAGCTTGTTGGCTGCGCGGGCAACTATGATGAGAGCCGCAAATTGAATTGCGCCAATCCAACCAAATTCTTTCAGCGCATCGAGCACAGTGTCTGTCAGCGCGGAGGAATATAGCCGCTGCTCGGGGAAAGGAAAGAACGGAGAACGGAGAGAGAAGCAACTGGATTGGCTATGGACAATCTCTCTCGGAGGGATGGAGAGAAGGGAAAAGGAAGGAAGGAAGGGAGCAAGCACTGGATCTAGATATACCCAGAGGGGGTCACCTGACCCCTCTCTGACAACTATACCTACTACTACATGTGTAATGCAGCCAAAATACAACCATGGAAGTCTTTCAATGTATACTACTCAAGCGACTTGCCTTCAAGACAAAGCCTCCATCGATATGCGTATCAGCTATTAAATTAGGGTGTATACACCAGCTACTTACGCTGTTGTTGAATAGTCGATGCAAATAAATCGCCAGCCCTGAGTGCCGCCATGATCTTCTCATCGATTTCAAACCGTTCCTGGCACAACTCCAGTGCCTGCTCGAGCAACGAAGGAGGAACAACAACTACACCATTCTCATCGCCCACAAGGATATCCTTCGGGTACACCCAGAGATCACCCTTGAACTGGAGCGGGACATTGATTTCCGACGCACGACTGAAAGTATTAGAACCAAGAACAGCAGTACCTCGGGCGAAGACCTATCATTTCGTTTAGTTTCAATGTTGCAGGGTCAAATGGTGGGTAACTTGAGAAAGGTGTCGTCATTAGCCGACCGACAGACACCTACAGGAAATCCCATATCACGATGTTCCTGCGCGTCCCTCATACGCCCATCAACAATGACTCCCAGGCCACCCAGCTTCTGAGCCCGGGTTGACATCAGACCACCCCAGCAGGCAGAAGGCAGGCCCTTCGGCTGCTGGATATACATGATATGACCCTCTTGGTTCGCGTCTGCGAAATGCAAGGGAGGCGTGGGGCCGGGGCTTTTGGTTTCTACCATCTTCACGGTAATGGCAGGCCCATAGATACTCGTTCCCGCGCCCGGGGAGTACATCTTCAGGCCATCTAAGAAGCCACCGTATGGGTGCTTGAGTTTCACGAGCGCGTCGCCAATCTGGAAAATTTGCAAGGGGCTGAGTTAATGATCGGAGAAATTGATGCGGCTTGGACGAATCAAAGGGCTTCATACGTCGCAAGTGGTGAACCTTTTGAGGCTTTGCAGGGATTTGGAGATTGTAGCCATTGCTGGAGTGATATGGATACAGTGTATGTGACGTTTCAACCTTCTAACCTTGAAATTGTTTTGTATCCGGGTGGTTCCCCGTGCCCCACAACGTATTCTGGTGACGTGAGATGCTGAGGCCTCGGCAAACGAACATTTGAACGTCTTTGTGGCCTGTCAACTGCCAGAGTAAATAGCTGCTTCAATGTTGGCAACGTCCTCACCATGAATAATTTCGTTTTGCGTTTTGCGTTTCGTTTTCATGGACCGCGCGTTGGCTATACATTAATTGACCCTGCTGTATTAACATTGCAGAATCACCATGAATCGTCATTTGTGTATAGTATATAGTAGGTATACTCGTAATTTGGAGCCAAATTTCTGGGGAAAGATCCACTCAGCCTTGGAAGTAACGGCATTCTGTTCATGTATGTGACAAAGATAGAGAGAAAAAAAGAAACAACACGATTTCTTGTGCATACAGCACAAGAAACTGGAAATCTCGAGTAAACATGGATGTTCAATGTCCATATGTGGTTACTCGTTGGTCGGAAGTCCAGATGTCGTGACTCATTCCCTTCATCTCCTCAACACTAAACATAAGATTCAAGTACCTCCTCCCCCATCTCACTGTTCATTGTTATTGTCCCATTGGAAGTTTTACCACCTCTCAGAGAGCTCCTAAGATTACTTTTAATACCACAAACAATCAAAGAAGATGGCTCGGCAATTTGGAGTGCCCGTGGACACTCACCCCGCAAAACCACCACCAGCGACCACTTTCACCGGCCGCACAATCCGCCTTGAGAAACTAGAGCCTCGACACACCGAGGATCTCTACGAAAGCATTGGACTACCCGAGTACTCTGACATCTGGGCCTATATTCCCGACGGACCCTTCCAGGATAAAGAGTCCTTCATCGCGCTGATAGAAAGGCTCTCGAAATCCCCCGACCCATATTTATACGCTCTCATCGACAGTGCCTCCAACAAGGCAGTGGGGTTCTTCTCTCTCATGCGCATTGACCAAAAGAACCGCGTGATCGAGATCGGATTCGTTGTTTTCTCGCCCCTGCTGCAACGCACGACCGCCGCTACAGAGGCATTTTATCTTATTGCAAAGGCGGTCTTTGAGGATCTGGGGTACCGCCGTTTCGAGTGGAAGTGTGATAGCCTGAACCAACCGTCCAGAAAAGCTGCTGCTCGCTTTGGGTTTACGGCGGAAGGTGTGTTTCGCCAGCATATGATGGTTAAGGGTCGAAATCGGGATACGGCGTGGTTTTCTATGCTGGATTCGGAGTGGCCTGGTGTGCGTGAGTCGTTTGAAAAGTGGTTGGATCCGGAGAACTTTGATGCAGATGGGAAACAGATCTCTACACTTGTCGCTTTGCGGGGCTAGTTGACGTGCATTGCATATCAAGTGAAGGCTCGATATACTACATGCATACTAGTACCTAGTAGGTACCAGATACTTGTCTTGGACAAAAAACTAGCATTAGATCGTCTCGAGAAAATACATAGAGTAAATGTGAGCATTGGACGCAGAAAAAGTTTGCATTGATCGTAATCAATGTATACGAAACCTGGCTACATTTACTACGTCCTAGTACCTACTACTGTTGACTGCCGGGGTAGAGTAACAAAAGTCGTCAAAGCCCAAAAAATAATTCCATGTCTATCAAGCGTTCAAGCCGCAGGGTATCTATCGAGTGCGATTGTTTCAAAAGCCTTTTGAGGCGAGTCCCATGATTTAACCAAACCGTTGCTTAGCAAGTGTCTGGAGCCAACCAATGGTCTCCTGCTCCTTTTCACGATACTTTTGCACGCGCTCCTCGCGCTCTGCTACTCGCGCGCGAAGAATCTCCTCCCTGCGGATTTCTCGTTCGTTCTTCTTTCGCTGATCTTTCTCCTTTTCTTTCTTCAGAGAAGCGAGATCATTGTCTCCAGATCCCATCAACTCCTCTTCCGGTGCAGCCTCGGGTGATGCGCCGCGGGCGTTTGCGAATTCACGGTTCGCAGCAGCAGCTTCCCGACGCTTCTCAAGCTGTCTCTCCCTCGTACCAGCTTCCGCTCGCGGCGCAACCTCATCTTCGAGGTTCCGTACCGCAGACTTGTGAGATCGTATATCACTACGATGTTGCTGCCATGATTCCTGACGATCGGCCATGGCATCTTCAGCTGCGGATTCTGAGTGAACTTGTCAGTGGCCTATAAGTATTCGTGTGAGCGGGTGGTCAGTGCTCACCTCTTTTGAGTTCTAAGTCCTGCAATCTCGGTATTGTTGGTCCAGAATGCGTCAAGTTTCGACCTGAGTTTGGATGAGGCAGTGTTGGCCCATATTCGTCATCATCGTCATCATCATTTTCTTCATCCTGGGCAACTGGTGGCGCCCTGCTCTCCACATTTTCAACCTTTCCACCCCGCGCATAGTCCGGTGATCCTCTCTCCCGATCTGGTGGTGGTTGCCCCTCCGCGATGCTTTCGCGAGCTCTTTGTAGTGTGGCCGGATCGTACCAGCCTTCAGCTAATTCCGCGCGATTCCTGTGACCCATGTTAGCAACCGGACTGTTCAATGTGGAGAACTGTTGTATGATACCATTTTTGGATAAAACTTTTCCATCTGCCTTTAACCTCGTCCGCTGATAGGTCTTCAATATATATACCTTTCTGAATGTCCAGGTACATCGCGAACATGGGCTCGAACACCTCCAGATCCCGTCTTGAGAGCTGTCGCGCCTCCAGCGGTAGAACCACGGGCTTCGCAGGTGTTTCTTTACTCTTGTGCTCATGATGATCTCGGTCTCGATCATGTCGGCGATGGGGGCGATCTGATCTGTGTCTGTCGGATCGATGGGGAGAGCGCGAGCGCGCTTCATCGTGGTGCCTGTGCCGATGGGAGGAATGTCCATGACGGCTGCGATGAGGGCGCCGGTCCTTCTCCTGTGCGGCAGGAGAGTGAGACCTGCGTGACGGTTTGGGTGAGGGCATTGTGTGCGCTTCCGAAGGTTTCGAGAATTGAGAAGCTGCGTGAAAAGGTCAAGTGCTCACTTCTGAAGGTCGGAGACTCGGAGTGGACTTGCGCTTATCTTATCGGCCTAGAACCCCGGCGCAAGACAAAATTTACTTCTGTACTGGCAATTGCCCGTATTTAGTTTTGGATTTCTAAAACGGATATATTGTAAGCACCTTGCTATAAAAATATTACAAATTTACTTGATCAATTTATTATCGAAGAAAGAAAATCTGTTATGATAAATACATCTAAGCGAAGAAGTATACAGGGACCGACAAACACCGAAATTTCCTCCATATCTAGCTAGGCGGGGCAGTTTGCTCATCGGTTGTACCAGCTGGTTTATCACTAGCAGTCACGGCTGGGCTTGCTGGTGAGGAGCTCTTGGTTCGGTTGGCGGCAGCCATTTGCCAGGCCGGGATTGAAGCCGAGCGACCGAGTTGCGAAAGGGGGCTGCCCTGGCTGGGAGCGGCGGGAGTGCTTACCGAGGACTGGGTCTCTTGTTCTGGTGAGGTTACAGTTGCCTGCAGACCGTTCGGGGTAGAGGAAGCAGCGGTTGTTTCAGCTGGGACTGACGGAGATGCCATAGATGGGACGGGAGCGGGTGTCGGGGTGGGAACGGGGGTTGGAATAGGAGTAGAGCTTCCCAAAGTTCTGCCAGTAGCAGGAACAGCGCCACTACCACCTAGGCGGTTACCCAAAAGAACCTTCAGACTCTTCAGTTCGGTTCCAAGTTCCTTCAGTCGGTTCTCATTACCCTCCCGAGCGCCTTCGAGAGCCTTGGGAATGGCATCCTTCAGTGACTTGACTTCATCACTAATTCGGCGAGTTTCATCATCCCTCCGCCGCGAAGATGTCTTCAAATCTGCTACAAGACTTTCAACATCCTTAAGAGCGGTATCTAAGCGCTCAGTACGAGCATCTTCGGCGGCCTTTAAGGCTGCAGTATCGGTGGATAGTTGTTCAATCAAATCGAATGCCCGAGAGAATTGCTCATCGATGTTCTCCTTATCTTGTTCCAGCTGAGGAGGAGTTGGCGGGGCAATCAATGGGGTGATATAGCGCTGTTTTAGGCTGTTAGCATTCGTCACGGAATACAATCAATCATCCAATACAAACATACCTTGGTTACGGAATATAATCCATATCCTACACCACCAACTACTGTCGCCATGATAAACCAATCACGCCAGTCACGCTTCGGCGGCCTGTTATGTGGTTAGACCGAGGCATTGGTAGGGGTTCATAGCGGTGCATACTCTGGAGGTGGTTGCCATTGGTTGTATGGAGGATAGCCAAATCCTTGGGGGGCCTGTGGTGGTGGCCGGTAGGCGAGTTGTTGTGAAGAGGGGGCTCGTGGTGATGCCACCGCGCCAGTGGCGGCGGCGGCGGCTGCTGGGTCTTCACCCACTCGCGATAAAGCGAGGTCGACTTCTTCTTGAGTTAAATTTTTCGATTGTAGGAATGCGACTCTCTTCTCGATAGGCGATGAGGCCACTGATGGGTCTTGTAGAACTATTCCATAGTTAGCAGACAACTCTATCACGCGACGGTTGCGATAGATTCATACAAGTCACCTAAAAGCATCAGTTAGCGCGTAATGTCAAAAGAGATAAGAGGTTATGGTCTTACAGCAGACGCGATGATCTCCTCACGGGGAGCCATTGTGGGTAGGAGTCAACTCAATCTGGGAGGATGGAGGAGGGAAAGACAAGAGTACAGAGTAGGGGAAAGCGACTATCATCGGCATCCGCCGTGGACCTCGGAAGTTACGACCGCCAAGCTTCCCCACACCGAATCTGGGAAAGTCTCGTGATTGTGTCCCTGTTTGATCTGTTTGCGTCGAAGCGGTACCGCCTTCCTTGTTTGGTCGCGACCCGCTTCTTGTTTACATCTTCTTGCCCAAAGCCTGCACGATAACAATACCCCCCTCCAGAAGTGAGTTTCTGCGTGTCTGACTTGTACTTGACGACATTGAGACCCCGCACAAGCTCTCCAGCTACTTGAACCACCGCGATCCAACACGCCGCTTTTGCGGCTTTGGTTATCACAATGTCTCAAGATACTCATCTGTTCAGTGTCAGGCGCCCGGGGCCCCGAGAGGTATGAATTTCTTTCTGGTCGCAAAACGAATTTAAGCTAACGAATCGCTCCAAGACGCTCGGGAGTGTACAGAACTATTCCTCCATTCCGCAGCCCGCTTCTGCTCTTAAACGCACGAGTTCAGTCGGGTTCAATAACCCTCCATTCACGTCACAAAATGCCCGTCGCACTTCGCTGATGAATTCGGCAAGCAGGCCTCAGCAGCCCAACTTCGCGCGTGCTTCAATGGGAGGCCCATTTGGTGCCGAGGCTGGTCTTTCGTCTGTTCGCCGGTCCGTGTCGAGCAATATGTTTAGTGGCGCCAGCGCGAGTCGCCAAAGCTTTGCGCCGGGCTCTCTTCAATCCAATCCCGCCCCCCCGAACCTACAACGTCGAAGCAGTGTCTTCTCCAGACCGTCAATGAGTGGTCCCATGGGCCACCAGTCTTTTTTCAATCAAGTTCCCAGTGTGGCGGGTGTTCCTAGGGATCCACGACCACTTCGGGATCGAAGCTTCCAAGCGCGCATCGGACAGGAGCTACTGGAGTACCTGACCAACAATCAATTCGAGTTGGAAATGAAGCACTCTTTGGGACAAAACACCCTCCGTTCACCGACTCAGAAGGATTTCAATTACATCTTCCAATGGCTGTATCACCGTATTGATCCTGGGTACAAATTCCAAAAAGCCATGGATGCCGAAGTGCCCCCAATTCTTAAGCAACTACGTTATCCATACGAGAAGGGAATCACAAAATCACAGATCGCAGCTGTCGGTGGTCAAAACTGGTCAACATTCCTCGGCATGCTACACTGGTTAATGCAATTGGCGCAAATGATGGAGGGCTATGTGCATGGGCAGTACGACGAGGCTTGCGCAGAGGCCGGTGTTGATCTTACAGGTGATCGAATCATTTTCCGTTTCCTGACTCAGGCATACCATGATTGGCTTCAAGGTGGTGAAGATGAGGACGATGATATGGCCGAGCAGAGATTAGTTCCGCACATTGAGAACATGTCTGCCGAGTTCGCCCGTGGAAATGAACGATATGTGCAAGAGATGGAAGCTTTGGAGGCAGAAAACCAAGCTCTCCGTGAACAAATTGAAGAGATGGAGCGGAATGCGCCCGACATGGCTAAATTGGACAAGCATTTCCGAATTCTGGAGGACGACAAACGAAAATTTGAGGATTACAACCAGAACGTCAAGGGCAAGATTGAGAAATACGACACGAGGATCAAATTTTTGGACGCCGAAATCCAGAAGACCGACGTTGAACTCAACGCGACTGAAACCGAGCGAGCTGATCTTCAAGCCAGCGTTGATCAACAGGGAATCACCATTCAAGATATTGATCGCATGAACACGGAACGAGAACGTCTTCAGAAGAGCCTTGAAGATACAATGGCTCGTTTGGAAGAGACGCATTCTCGCGTCATGGAAAAGGAGGCAGAGGCTAGCCAAAAGCTTGAAGATTTGGAGGAAATTGTCAAGGCATACAACACTCTCGGCTATCAGACGAGTCTAATTCCTTCTTCTGCGGAGAATGCCAAGGGTGAGGACTATGAGCTTCAACTGAATGTCAACGAGAACAATTTCTCGGCCAGTCAGGTCGGAGGCCCACCCAGTCGCATTCCATCGGAGGGCGACCGTCTCTTGGCCGACCCTTTCACTGGATACCATCCGGCGCACTTACTGAATCTCGATCTCCGGGGCCTTGTGCGTAATAATCTACAGTCGCTCCGAAAGGAGATCAACGAACGTCGGAAACAAGGGATTGACGATGACCTAGACCGTCGCAATCTACTTGACAATATTAAGGAGGCGATGGATGAGAAACGAAGCGAAGTCGAGGCTTTGGAGCACCGACGACGGGCGGCAGAAGAGGAATTTGAACGTACCAAGGAAATCACCACCACTCAGAAGCTGGCATCTGACGCCCAGATTGAGAAGATGGAGAAGGAGCTTGCCAAGATGCGCGCCACCCTGAGCGACAGTGTCCAGTTAATGGAGCAACGAGAGATGAACACCAATATTGAGTATGAGCAGCTGACTCTACGGGCGAATGCACTCCGGGAAGAATTGCACACCAATGTGGAGACCATGCTTAACGATGTCATCCGTTTCAAAGTGCATGTCCAGAAGGGCCTAGAAGACTATGAGAGCTTTGTGGTGGATGAGGTGGAGCAGGAGCTAGGAGGTGACATGCCATCTGCCGAGGAGGAACTATGAGAAATCTCTTTTGGCGCCTTCATGAAGTGATGAGATTCTGTGTGGAGTTACTTTGTTTGATATGTTAATTGAGACCCCTCTGGAGTATGTTCTTGTACAATACCATTTCTTGTCTTGTCTTATTCTTTTGTTGTCTTTTTTTTAATTGCTTTTGCTCCCTCTTTCTTTTCTTGAATGATACTAGTATCGATGTCATGTACGGAGTACAGTGTTTCTATTTTGGCGAGGGACACGCAATCGCGGGGCCAATGTATGCCAGACTAAGTGTGAGACCGCCGTGGCGTTGCTGTGTTTGACGATTAGAAAGCCTTTAAAGCCAATGCTAGCGGAGATGCCTGTATTTAGCTTGCCACACCGAATCTTGAAATCACCCAATTACCATCGAGAAAGCATCACCCTGTTTCCCTCAATCTGAAGCCTAGAGGCGGGTGGATCGACAGGAGGACGTAAGCCTCGGTGGAGTGCAACTGTGACTTGTCCGTTTCACATTTACACTTCACACCTCATAACCGACCTCTCTGATAACATCCCCCAATTTAGTGTGATCCTGCAGGGATGTTTCATGTAAACAAATGAAAAAAAAAAAGAACAGTACACGCTCAGCTACTAGGGCTTCGGCACATTCTTGTTTCCCCTGAATGGCGCGTCTACTACTAAGATGTATAGTCCGTAACCTTCTTAAGTACCGGACCCACTTGGATGTTCCAAAACTTATGCTCGTGGACCCCTGGGGTTTCGTTTGCCCACCTTCTACCAGGATCGCCGTTGATTCGACACATCAACCATGGATGAGAAAAATGAACATCTACTCACAGTAGGCTGGGCAGTCTCAGAATGCTGATCCCCACCGTTCCTAGCATTCAGGGCCTGGTCCAGCTGTCTCAGCTAACCCTGGCGGCTGGAGGTCCACTTTGACAAGCTTGGAAGTGGTTGACCAAAAGTCCCAGACGGGGTATATATGGCACCTCAAGCCCTCCAGAAACATTTTTTGGACCAGAGTGCTGCGCGCTTCCTTCTTTCCCAATAGCTTTTTTCGGATCATCCAGAGTTTGACACTCGACCAATTCCATTCATTCACAATCTTGATTTTTACTATACCAACCACTTTCGTTGTTTCTTCTTACTTCAACAACTCATTCACCATGAAGTTCAACTTTGCTCTTGGCCTCGCGGCCGCCCTTTACCTGGCTCCCAATGCTGTCGCCTGGCGTCTGCCTGGAGTATGTGCCACCCTTACCCTATGTCTTTCTGTCTTGTTCTCAGACAATGAACTAACATCCACTTTGCAGCTTGAGAAGCGTCAGGACGCTACCCCGACTTCTCAGATCGTCTCTGGCTCTGAGCCTACTGGCACTTTCCCGTCCAGCTTCCCATCCGGCAGCGTTGGCGGCGGTGAGGGTCAGGGTGGCTCAGGCGGTGCATTCCCCTCCAGTGGTGCCCAACCTTCCGGTGCCTTTGGAGGCTCTGGTGGCCATGGTCACGGCTCTGGTAGCCATCGGCCTGGTCCCCGTCCCACTGGTGCTGCTCCATCGGGTAGCGTCAGTGGTGGCGAGGGCGGTGCATCCCCCTCTGGCACTGCACAGTCGGGTGGTGGTCACGGCGGCCACGGCGGCTACGGAGGCCAAGGTGGTGGTCAGTCCAGCTTTGTGACCATCCCTGCCGGCCCTACCGCTACTCCTGAGGCCAGCTCCCAGGGCAAGGGCGAGTCCTCTGAGAGCTCTGAGGGTGAGCAGGATCAGCGCATCCACGCTCGTCACTTCCGTGCCTATTAGACTTGAATCTTCGTCGAGATTTTGCTTATCCTTGGCATTCTCGCTGCCCTATGTGGTTGTGGTAAAGGTCATTGTTTTATGTATTATAGTTGCTGGTGCGGCTACTGAGAAAAGTATATACGTATCTAGACCCACGTCGCATCTACGTGAATAAGACTCTGGTTTGATCCTGAAAATACTCTGTTGATTTCTAGCTTTGTAGATATCTGGGTTACGTAGTTTCACTCCCTGCTGTCCCAAGGTCAGTTAGACAGCTTGTTTAGTACGTACTAGTTCAATGTTACATACCTACGCATGTACCAGGTAATGGTATCAACAGGCAGAAAGGAAAAGCCCGTGATACCAGACCACTCACCGGGTAAATCTAGAAGTGCATCTTCCTTGACCGTTGATATTGCTCAAAATAATGGGTTCAGTTCCTAATCGTCATCACACCACCTTTTTGACCTCGAATTTAGAAGTCTAGTCAAAAACTTCTAAACAAACAAATATTACACATAAACTATACAACCAGAAGCTTCATTGAAGCGTTACTTGATTCTTCTGGTGTATTCACGCATTCGAAGTAAATGCGGTGGCTCCGATTGGCTGTAGCTTCTGCATGCTGACTCATCAATATGGGCACCAAATTTCCAGCAACTCGTTTTCCTCTAAACAATTTCAACACTCCCGTTTGGACGGGCTCACAGCTACTACCATTTAGTGCTATACGGATTGGACCGATCGGAAAACACCTGCGACCCACCCGAGTTTATGTACGACTCGACATGTGCCACACCGTACCGGAACCTATCGAGTCCGTGAATCATCCACAGGCGCCTTTTGCGAGGCTTCTCGCCGTGTCATGAGAAGGTGCCTGTGCCCCGGCGGCCTCTTACGAACTGGTCGTGGGTCAATCCTCTCTAGTCGACGTGCCTTCCCTCATACCGCGATATCCCGCCTCCAGGCCCAGCCCTCGTCGACGAAATGCAACCTAACGCCCAAAGATAACGATTTTCTGCTCTCGCACACCTTGCCAACACCGTCTCCCCTACGGGCACCCGAAAGGCACGATATTGACGCCTGGTTGCCTCTCCTCGAGAAATGTGTCACGCCAATACAAAGAGAGGAGAGTCCTCTGGGTAAGCCCGAGGTCAATGCTTCTCTCTTAGATCATGCAGAAAGTCTTAATCGGGGCCATGCTTTGCGTGCATTGCTGAATCATGCGAGATCGGGTGCCAAATTCCAGCTTTTGAATCACCTGGGGTTCAACCTGGGCCAATGGTCGTATGTATACCGCCTTCTGGGCACTTTCATCGATACATACGAAGTGCTCATTCCTTACATGACCCCTCAGCGCCCATCGTCGTGCTTTGCTTGGAATAACACTGGAATCTCCCTTGACGAGCTAACAGGGACGGACCATAAGAATTTGACTATTATACGCGAGTCAATACCAATATTTCCGCCTTCTGAGAATTTCTCTCTTGCAATGCTAGCAGGAGCACGGCCAGCAGCACGAGAATCTGGTCGCTTATACCTAGGAGAGATATTGGCGAATCTTGGTTCGCTGGTTTTGGAAGCTGCAGATCGACCAGCAGCTGAGTCTGAACTTGCAATGTCCTGTGTATACCGCATACTTGCTCGTTTGCATCACATGGGCTTGATTTCTGACAGAGTGTACGAGTCTCCAAATGACAAAACTAATACATATTCACTCCGACCACCCGGGCTGAATCTGCTTTCGAGCCACATCATGAGTGTTCTATCTGATGCAGCATGGTTGGAACACGAGTCTAAACTTGCAACCGCAGCCACCGAAGCGGGAGAAGAGCCCCCGTTTGTTCCTTTCAAACTGGGTGTTCGAGAGCTGGGTCATGAGATTTGGCTTGAGCTTATTCTTTGGTGCTGTGTTGAACACGGATTCAACAAACAGGGCGCTTGGTTGATGGGTCAAATGTCCGAGCTTGAATCTCAGCCCACTTGGAAGATTGAGAGCTGGGCACCTCTTATGGAAGCTTTCGATCTTGTTCAGCAGACCAACATTAGTACTGAGCAATCATGGCGTCGTCCAGGCCAGGAAAGCTCAGCCGTTACACCAAGGGGCGTCAAGAAGCTCCCATTCAATGGACTTGGAAAGAGAACAATCAGTTCTGAAGTGGTTTCGAACCTACGAAACGGGCTCGCCAATGTCACTTGTACTGGAATTGGTTTCGGTGGGGCCACTTCCGCCGAACTACTTGATTACTCGAGGCCTCTGACTGCTTTGCTTGACCCCCCTGGCCCTGTTGACGAACTTCGTCCTACAAAAAGAGTCACTACCGAGAACATTACTCGGATTTTGGAGTCTGGCGTGCTAAAACCAATGGAAGATCCAGTTGCGTTCGAGGAAGTTCTACGATCTACCCAGAATCTTGTGCCTCCGTGGGAAACCGATACAGTTCCCTCGGTAGAGGATCTGGATCACATGACGAGAGCACAGATTTATGATCAGACAGCGGCTCTATCTGGTCTAGTTCAATACAGCATTAAAAGCTACACCTACAAACGCCAAGCTACCCAGGCCTTCCTGCAGTATGCGTGGCTTCAAAATATTGTGGATGCTAGCAAGGTCCAGCACATACAAGCGTTCTTTGATCACGATAGTCAACCCCAATTGACGGAGTTGCCATTCTTTGATTCACGGCAACTTAACACATCTCAATTACAACAGACATCTCTCCCCCAGGTCTCACTTACAACATTGGCTGATTTGCTTGATTTGGCGACTGCTACTCGTGCACATGACTTTGGAAACTGGTTGCTTTTTAATGACGATCTGGATGGCCCCTCGATTCCACCTGCTGCGTATGGAAAGCAAGTTCTGGTCCCATCAATACTTCGTTTTGCATCTGCCACGCGGAATAACGAGCTGAGTCAAGCGGTGATCAGGTCGCTTGAATTGCCACTTTCTGTGAACACCCTCAAAGCGATGGCTAACCTCCATATGGAATTTTCCGACTGGGACCGCGCAATCCTAGCGTTTGAGTATCTGCGTGATTTTAGGCTCAAGTCTTGGGGTTTCAGTAATATCTTTACCCTGGGGGCAAAGATAATAAGGCTTGAAAGTGCCCTGAAGCTGCAACAGGAGGCCGAGGACCCCGATGAGGAGAAGCAAAAAGCTTTGAATCACAACCTCCAATGCGCCAAACAACTTCTCCGTCGATTTTTCAAAGGGGAATTCAACACGCCTAAAAGCAAGGCATGGAGGCAAAATGACTTCCAATGGAGAGTTCTTTACCGCGCACGGGGTATCTTCCGGACACTTGATGGCGAACTGGAAGTTCTGGCAAAGAACACCAATTTCAAACGCAAGTTTGCGGACCGTGACAGGATCCACGGTGTCCCTGCTGCTTCTTTCCATCGTATTCTCGCCGCCGTGCTAGATGTCCATGGCAGCAAAATCGGACATGAGTTCGCCGCCCATTGGCTCCGAAGCACCCCCAGCCCCGTTTCATGGCGTCTCTCAAGGGGCGGTGTCACGCGACAGCAACGACACGTCGAGCGTGAGTTGTTAGCTATTGATCCTACTTTCAAGCCTGCTCGGTTTGAACAATACAAGAACGAGGCAGTCGTTCCCGATCTGAACACGATCCGCCTTGTTGCCCGAGCTGCCATGAGTGAGCTCGAGGCAGCTCAGCAAGAGAAGACAGAAAAGCCGGAGTCTCCGTCTGAACCTACTGCCACGTGTGAGCTCGATGTAGCTCAACAGGAGAAGATTGAACAGCTCAAAGAAAAGCTCAATCCCCGTCCTCGTTATCATGGTTATAAGCTGCGCATCTCGAAATCAGCATGCAAAAACATGACTCTCAAGGGCGGTAGACCTCCTTCTTCGGATCCCGAGGCCGTCCTTGATTGGTGTGCAACCTTCTTACTACGTCTCGGCATGGGAGAAGAGACCATCGACCTGGAGATCCCAGGACATACGAACCGTCTGCGCCGCCGAGGAGTTCTCACGACAACGCCAGAGAAGCGGCTCCGTGATCGATTCAAGGATATTCGGAATTCCCCCTGGATGAGCACATCCGTCAAAATAAAAGATGCCGATATCGAAGAGAGCACTTGAAGTTTGCCTGGAAATGAAACCAGAACGGACGGATAAGTGGCCTTCTGTGCTTTGCGAGTCTTGATGTACTCGCGTGTATAATATTTTGTTCTCACTACCTTGGACAGACAGTGTATATACCCTTTTTTTCTTGTCCCATGTTCATACGGTGTATCCATGGATTGTCACTTGTTATTTTCTTCAATCATCCCCCCGTCTCTTTTAGCCACATAGAGCCTTACAAATAGAGTCTTGCGAATAGAGACTTGTATCAATAGATGTCAATTATCACTCAAAAAATTATGCTGAACAATTTATCTACCTCTTGAAATTTTTAATTAACATCCAGATGTCTATAGATAATGTTGGATGCAAAATTACATACTCATACTACCTACTACATAGTAGGCACTCAATTGCTCTGGGTAAGACTAGAGCTAAGACAAGAAGTAGGTAAAATGGTTAGAAACCTTTGAAATTAACAAGAAATATCAGGCCAATCTAGAGATCCTGGTAATTAAACAAAATCGTAACCCCAATGGTTGTATCATAAAACGCCACCCAGCAAGCAAAACGGTCGGCAACCAGGCCGTCCCAGTTGAACTTCGTCCAATTTGCGCCTTTTCCCTAAAAGTGTCCCCAGATCGCAAGAACCTCCCGCCCAATCCAATACCGATTGTGTAAAAGCACGCCGTTGATGGTATAAAGCTGTACAAAAAGTAAAGGAAAACTGTAAGATACAACAGTATTACAAAAAAGATTAACTTTTAGGTCAAGCCTAAATGAAGATGAGTGATAGCAGAAATATGTGGAAAAATGATGAAAAAGTTTGTGGGGGTTTCGTCACTGATCGACAGTATCGTTCAACCTTTCTGCCTCATCAATAAGAAGCATTCTGATCCCAATTTTGGTCCTCGCCTGAGTATGGGAAGAAAGAGCGAATGAATTCGCCGCTGATCGGGTCGTATGGGAAGTATAGGTCGTCCGGCAATGAAGCATCGCCCATGAAAGCGGACATGGGATCAGATGGATTTAAATCCGAGTAAGATGCGGGGTTGTGGGCGAGATAGTCCACGCCGAATTCAGAGGGTTGATTGCTAGCCAAAGACAAGTCTTCCAGGCGAGGATTCCAGAGACCCGAGGTTGTGGGGGCGATGTTTTGAGAGGCTTCCTGGGGATGTTCGAGGGAGAGGGTAGAAGCAGGCGCGGATTGGTAGGGGTAGGAAGGCATGTCGGTGACGTCGAACTTCATGCCAGCGGACAGACGGCGTAGACAGATGTCGCATAGCTGCCATGCTCGTCGTGAGGCGATGCTGTGTTGGGACATGGAAAATAGCCAGCGAATGGCCTTTTTGGATAGGATGATAAATCTCTGCTCTTCCTCTGGCATGTGGACACACCCGAAGGCGAGCTCGAGAAGGAGGACTGTCGCGGCTTGCATGAGGTAATGCAGGATGCACCACCACGGGGCAATCTCGTACAGTTGGACGGCGTTTGGCTCCTCGGGTATGAGGTCGAGCATGAGGTTTGCAGACTCGAGAGTTAACTCCGCCATGTCGTGACTGAAAGCCGATCGCTCAGCGGGGCTTTTCTTCTGTGCGTCGCGCCGACAGAGACATGGCCGTCCCAATGTGATTCGTGCGCTATAGTAGTGGAAGGCCAGGGCCAGTTTGTAACGTAGCCGGTCGGCGCCTTCATCTTCCTTCTTCGTGAAGTCAAGTGCAGCCGGAAGACTGTGGTACCATAGGTCGATGCGACACCTCAGCTCGCCGATCCGATTCTCGATGTGAGCCCAGGGTACCATCACACAATCTACCGAATAAACCTTGTTCACAATTTCCTGCACGACGACAGCCAAATCGCAATAGTAGAGGTGGCAAAGACCAGCGTTAACAGGGATGCTCTTCACCCATGAATTGTCGCGTACACGACTTGTATGGGAAGCTTCTTTGCCTCCAGTGGGGTTCAAAGGCATGTGTCGGACCCAGGAACTTGCCATTACCTTGTTGATGCGGTCATCTCTGATAACGGTATCACTTAACAATTCAGCCGCCGCGGGTTCTGCAAGTTGGGCCTCTTCAAATGGTAGTGGCAGGGGTGTGGTGCAAACTCCATCCAGGATACAGGATGCACGACCAGTCATTATACCCAAAAGATGCTCAAAAGTATAGAGGCACCACCAAACTCGATAGCGAGCCTCTTTGGATACACTGGGTGTTGTAGGGCTGCTATTCTTCATGTTGATGCCTAGGGTAATTGCAGACCGAATTGCCAGTGCCGAAATTTTCCATGCACTGCAGCAAAGCGTTAGAATCAAGTATGATCATGACATCGCAGGGTGAAGGAAGCATCTACTTACCGATTGATCTGATCTGAAGCAAGGAGATAGAAGGCCATCAAGCCCTCTACCTGGACCTGCTGAAGATCAGGGTGACTGAATAAGACCTCGCCATTCATACTCAGCATTCTAGCCCGGTTCAGAAATAACAAATGATCTTTTTCGTCTCCGCGCCATGGTGCCTCAAGGAGTTGAGAGTGTTTCGATCCGATGGCAAATATCATGTTTAGAATAGCGAGCCATTTGTCCCCAGGTCGCGCGTTGCTATCGTAGAACGTCTTGTACTGCGCTGTGAAGAGAGGTTGGCTGATTATAGGAAAGAATGGTTGAACAGTTCTCAGGTAATCATCAAAGAAATGATCGGCCTGCTCTCGTGGAGGAACCGCATACATTTCTATCGGCCCAGGATAGTTGATATCCAAATCATCAAGATGATAGTTGACGGCGTGAAGGGCGAGGTCATCATCTTGTCGCTTGCTTTGACCAGGCTCAAGAGATCCCGGTAATCCTTGTGATCGATGTTCCGCTTCTCTTTGGAGTCGTTGCATCCAGGTCACTTCAGAATTCTTTCCCATATATCCAGTCGCCCGCGAGTTTTCATTTCGGTTCAAGTCCTCTTCGACACGATCGATTGCCTCAAGCGACCCAATTGACGAAGGCGAGCTTGGGTCATCAGGCTCTCCACCCTCATCCTGGGGAGTAACCGAGTGGGACTGGGCGCTGCTGGGCGAATATTCCACTCCATCCAAACCATACTGTAGTTGTCGCACGAATTAGTAACTAGTACTAGCAATAAAAGAAAAATGTCGATAGCATAGAAAGGATACCTTGTCCAGCAAGCCTTTGATCCGATCTCCAATTCGTGCGTCCACCAAGTTACCCAAGTCCTTCAACAAATTTTCATAATCCGCGGCTTTTTCGGTAAGTTTATCGACTTGTCTAGATCGTCGCAATAATTTATTAGCGCCCAATGATCTCCCCAAACCACAAATTATTAACAGGAAAGAGTCCTACTTTTTCGTCCTTTCTTTCCATCCAACGGGATAATTACAAGTCGCCCTGAGCTCACGGCATTGTCGACATACCGGAGTGTCGCCACTGCATTTCGTTTTGCGCTGACGGCAAGATTCGCAAGCTCGAGGCACCCGACGATTATACCGCGGCGCAATACCCCCTCGATGGCGCGGGATAGCGACTTTGGCGTGAGAGTTCCTCGACTCCGCGACCGAAGCCGTATCGGCCACAGAGGCGGGATGGGAGGGAAGTTCGTATTGCTGGCCGGGCAAAGATAGCCTCTGCTGGTATTGAGGGTCATTCGGATTTACAATCCCCTCGCCCGGCGGATGTTGGGGGGGCTCATCCATCGTCATAATTGCGGGTAGGTTAGGCAGTCAAGATTCGCAATAGTAGAGCACTTGAAGGCGTGGATTCTCGTCGAGGGAGGGTCCAGATAACGGCGCGATGCGATTCGTCGGTTCGGTTTGCCGAAATTAGATCGCGCGGCCTAGAAGCTGGCCTACGAGGCAATGGGATCCATTTGCATTGGATCGTAATCGATAAGGGATATATCTCCAAGAGTATTATAATAGCGATTGAGATTGAACGAGATCAAATTGACGTTGTAGGGAGTTTAGTTAAGTGACTAAAGTTCAAGTGGCGGGGTTGACGTCCCGCTTGATTAGGCTTAGGTAAGAAAATGCGTTCATACTTCAAAATGTTCCATGGATTTGCGTGACGCCTTTAGCATACAAAAATAAAAAATAGAAAAAATAAGGTCGCTTTTTGCCCTTCTTTTTGTCGACCAAGATAAAAAGATAAAAAAATAAATCCGATAAACCCAGATCTCCCATCTCATCTACCCATCCAGGGCGATTAAATAAAAAAAAAAACAGGAAAAAACAAGTATGTATATGTACAAGAATAGGAATGAGAGGGGGGAAAGATAAAAGCACAGTCGGGATATAAGAGCCGAATGCACAAAGGTTTAAAGGCGATAAGAGGGTATAACGACAAGAGTGGCTCTCAAAATGAAGCGAGAGGAGAGGAGAAAATAGAGAAGATGTAGAGAGGAAAAGAGATGAACTCTAGGAGAAGAGACAATAATCCGGATATCATGAGCAAGACTGTTTAGATTTCGCCAAACATTTCATCAAGCTCATCGACCTCAACGGTCTCCGGGTTTTGCAATTCTCGCCAAGAATCGGAAGCAAAGACAGTGTCGGTATCCATGTGGGCAAAGGCCCGAGGACCGAGGCTGAGCTTCTCGTGTGATTCAGTCAGATCCGACATCTTCAAGTCCACATCGGGGAACCCGCTGTTCAACATATCAAGAGAGCGCTTGAGAGTTGAAACGGGCGCGGCATCCATATCAGTGGGAAGGCTGATCTGGGGAGCAGCTGGAAGAGGGCCAGCCCTTTCCTCGCAATCAATACCGGCATCATCGACGCTCGTTCCAGACGAGACGGATGATGCAATGGAAGTGAGAGAAGGCGAAGGCGAGGTGCCGAAAAGAGTGGCGGCAGCTGCCTCATCCAAGTCTTGAGCCTCGTTATCGGTAGCGTTCATGTGTGAGAAATAATCATTAAATTCCTCCTCGCCATGGATGGAAGGAGACATCGATCCACCATTTATAGGGGAGTCGATGCTCATACTGTCATTCATGGAGTTGAGACCTTCGGAAAGAATGGAGAGACTCCGTTCGGCCGATTGATCCCGGCTAGCCTTCTCTTCCGATGCGCGCTCACGCACGGCACTGGCGGTCTGGGTGAATTCCTTCTCATCGCCCTCCAGGGGCGGGGAGGCAGCACGATTTGAGTGCATCAGGCGAGAACGACTAGACGGGTCAGGGAACTGATCGGAGGAGGAACCATGGCTAGTAGAGCTATCCAAGTCGATATCTTCTTCATCTCCGTAGTTGGGGGAGAGATCGACTTCGGGGCTGGGACTGCGTTGGCGGGAAACCATATCGTCTTCATCTTCATCCAAGCTAGAGACGCTGGGAGTAATGTGCTTGCCGTCAATGGCAACATTAAAGTCGTCATTTTCAGGAATAGGCTGACGAGGAAAGGTCGTCAAATAATAATACACTTTTCGTGGATGAATTAAAATAAGTTCTTTGGCGACGGGACAAGGCGCGAGGGCAGTCCAAGGTCGCTTCATGTAAGCTGCCAGTCTAGAGGACAGGAGGGCAGCGGGATTCGCAGAGCTTTTTTGCGACACAACATGTTAGCTATGGGACGCGACTTTGGAATTTGGGGATCTTCTTCTTTGTGAGTATATAGTACTTACTTGGTGACAGTCGCATTCAGTGACACTAAAACGGCAGCCAGCTCCTTGACGAGATGAGGACGATTCCCAGTCTTCTCCAACTGATCGATCACGGCAACCACAATATCATCGTTGATTCCCTCGGTATCAATCTTAGGCGCAATGCCACCATTTAATGGAGAGGGGGGTGGGGTGTGTTCAAAGGCTCCGTGTCGACCCGCGCGCACGAAAGAAGCCTTCTCCGTAGATGGCTCTGGCGATAATGAAGTATGCGACCGCTTGACTTTTTTGGCGGGGTGATCTTCAGTTGACGCAGCTTTTGAGCCGGGGGAGGAACGACGTGACGAGTTGGGGAGATGGATGCCTAGTGATGGGAGGGAGAGTGACTTGCGACGGGTATTGTACGGCATGATGTGGAGGGGTGGAATAAAACAAAAGGGAGAGTGGGAGAGATTCAAGTAATAACAAAGACAGAATCAACAATAACTTTAATAAATAATAATAAGAAAAGTTTCGCTCGGAGTGATTCTCGCGAGGATATGGGTAAAGGGGAAGTAAAGAGGAAGATGCGACTGAGCTACGAAGGCGACTTACACCTGAGGAATCTCCATGGGAAGTGGAAACTGTGGATTTTCTTACTTTTTTTTTTTCTTTTTCTTTTTTCTCTTTTTCTCTTTTTCTCTTTTTCTCTTTTTCTCTTTTTCTCTTTTTTTCTTTTTTTCTTTTTTTTTTTCTCATTTTTTTCCTGTAATTTATCGTAACGTTGGTATTTATCAAAACATGCCGGTTGGAATTGCTGTGGCGCTGATTGGCCTGGAGACTCATTTTTTCCATAAGTTTTCCACTCTTTTCCCTTATTTCCTCTAATTCCTGTGATTCCACTGTTTCTTCTATTTTTCTTGGCTTTTCTGGGCTTTTTTTGGGCTTTTTTCTATTTTTCTTACGGCATGCTGCTCTGCTTAACCACGGATGTCGATCGAGACTTTCCGGTTACTCGGAGCTACTCTCCTTCGAATTATCTTCCATGCTAGAACACTAAAAAAACTATATCCCGAGTCAAATAAGATATGACGATGACTCTATAATTATAACGGTAACCCTGAAGATATACCACCATAGATCCGAATTCAGCATCCAAAAAGGAAAATGAACCCAAGGGATGCAACGCGACTCAGAACAGAATTTAGAGAAGAAAAAAAAAGGGAAAAGAAAAAGAAAAGAAATCGAGAAATTCCAGGCGGTGAGTGGATCTTCCCCTGTCAGGATTAGTTTCGTTTGCTTAACGTGTATTTCATTTCTTACCATTAGCAACATTTAACAACCCACTCCATTCCCTCTTGGGCCTTAGTGCATACCGAGAGGCAAAAGAAAAATAAACCGATACGGACACACATAGTAATAGTGGGGAAGCCATGTGTCCCATCACCCAATTTGGTGTTCTTTGATGGTCCATGTCCATAGTGCTCCAGTTGAAACTCCATTTACAAACTCCATCGTCTCCCGGTATACCAAACACTCTCCACCACTCAGAAAACGTTGAAGCTGATAAACTGGGTCTCTCAAGGGTTTGATTGGCTTAACAGAAGAAAGAGAAGGAGAGACACACGGAGCGAACGGTGCATCCCAGCTCTGTGTAAAGTGTACAAACCGATGCCGATTATGCATCAGATCTGCCAATGGTTGCTTAGGTGACCAGTCGCCTTGTTGTACTTGACCGCTTGTGATGTATTCGATTAACCCGGAAAACACTATCGATTAGAATCTGACACCGCTCAATAACATTGATTCCACCAAAAAAAGAAACAGATGTGTTCTTTGGTTTTTTTTGGACTCTCCATAAACATAGAGCAACTCTTCCCTTTTTCCAACCCGTGCCGTGCACGCGAGCCAACCCGAGACCTCCGGACGAATAACACCGGTTCCCAAAAAAGATCCCTAGCGTCGCCGTTTAGGGCCAGCAACCCACTTTTCCAAGTGGATCCCCGATTTCCATGTACGTTTGGTATCGTCTTGTAATCCCTACGGAGTTAGCGTGAAGGGATGCGCGCAGTAGCGCCTCGGGGGAACAGGGAGGAGAGCCTCGCCACCTTCACCTTAGCTGACTTGATACCCTCATCTACGCCTCCTTCTGCACGATCAGCTTTCATGCCTCGGTTTGACTTTCTTAGCCTCTCCATCCTAAAAAATTAAGAAGTAATACCCAATCTAATCGCAGCTTTTCCAATTCTTACCCGCGATCATGAAGTAATCATGTCTAATGTAATGTCTTGGGGGGGGGGAATACTTTCCCTAATTCCCCCCCTTGACTCCCCAACGACGTCGATATGATGCCAACTCCCCTTTTAGCGCTTCCCTAGCGCGAAAAGCTGGAATATCTTCTTCCCCCTAAACTACTGTAGTAGCTATGATGGAGCCCCAAAAATCAAGAGAAATACAAAAGTTCCCTATGATTCAATATTATCCAATTCATTAATCAATTCTTGAAATAAAAGATCCCTCGATATTTCCATGGCGTCCAGCAAGGGCGGGTAGACACATTGCGGTTACATGCAAGTCTGGCAAGTCTGGCAAGTCTGGAGTCAATCCCATTCCAGAGAATCTTTTCCCTTTGTAGAATATTGTTATGTATCCGTACATGTACACTTACTCCTTCCAGTCCTCACTATCCAATCGATTCGCTCCGTTAATCTATCTCCTGGTGATGACATCGTTCACTTCCCGGGGCGAAAGTTACCTCTCATTGCTCGACACTTCAACCATGGATGCTCCATATTTGCCATCGCATCAGCCCATTACTCTGCATCGGCCGAAGGGAGATCGGCTTTATCTGATCTGGTTGCATTCCACTTCGATTTTTTTGCAATTTTGTGCCGCTTTGTTTGTTTCGCAACTTGCAGGCACAACTAATTCTCCGCATCTCCACAGTCGTATGTGGCCCCCCTACATTGGAACATGCGAATGCAATTAGGTTTGGTAATCTTGGCCCCTGGAAAAAGTGCGATTCAAGATAAACTTCAAAATGATCTGTGCGGAGTACTTCATACATTACACATCTGGAGATAGTGGTCCTCCGTTCTCCGTACATATGTACATATGTACATGCAGGTAGGTTTTAGGTTGTGTATGTCCTCATCATAGAAAGACATGTCCGATTCGCGTCTCGATGTGGCCTGGCCGGGGGATCTAAACTTTGGGATAATGTCTTTCCAAGCTTCAATTCCACGGTTTCGTACAAATGTTTTTTTTTCTGCTCACATCATCATGGATCCATCTTGCATGTGTACATGTTTTAATCTACGGAGCAAAACAAGCAAGAAAATCTACCCTATCACCTACAGAAATTAACGAGGAAATCCATACACATCAGACGCAACTCGACCAACCTCTCCCTATCAACGACAACCCAAATTACATGTACATGATACCATCCTTGCATCATGTCCTATCATCCTATCATCTATAAACCGCCTAACCGCATGAACCCCTCGGCCTTTCAACTCCAACGGGCTAACACGACAAAATGTTGTAAGACATATAGATACACCCCTGCAGTCGATCTGCGACCCGCATATCACAACTGAACCACATTGGAAGGTTATTTCCTCCGACTGGAGCCGTCGTTTGAATCTCGGCTCGCTTGTGTCCAGTGTCCAATAAGCTGACATGACCACCCCCCCTCAATCGTCGGCCTCCCGCTTTTTCAAAATGAAGGTTCCAGGTTGCACAAGGCTGTTCAAATGTTGGTAGCCGATCTTATCTACATTCATCCTGTTTTTTTGTTTGCATTCAATGTTTTTGCTTTCTTAGTCTGGGCTTTTTGCCCCAAGTGCTCTCTATTGGTTCGTTCTACAGTTGCTGGGACACTAAGTTGTTAGTCTTTTCCGATAGATGAGTCGCGACTCTTTCAAGGCTCGGTTCTAACGTTCGTCGTGCGGGGGCTATTACGTTTACGACTCGTCAGAGTTTAGACTTCAATGTTGTTTTATCCGGGCTTGGAAATTTTGATGCTAGTATTTTTCTTTTTCAAAGGGAAACATTGAATGTAATGTAATGTTGGTGTGTTCAAATGTTGACTAGTGAATACTTTTCATATTAAATCTGGTTTCATAGTTGCCCCGCATTCATTATTTTGCGACAAGTTCGGTGTTAGCGAGACATGTATGTAAGCAACGGGCTATGTGACAGGTCGACATGTGAAGACTCAAGGTTTAATCATCCGAACCTCAACTTTCAATCTTTCAATATTGGAACATTGAATCACCTGGGCAATGGCGAGAGCCCTGGAGATACCTAGATGTTCCAAGGCTGCTTGCTGGCTTTGTAGGTGTCGCATGTAGTGTGTTGTCTAGTAAAGCCTAATATTGTACATCGCTTCTAAAAATTTGATAGGTACATAGTATACATGCCGGTAGATGCAAGATAACCCCGCTAACAACCTTGGAAGAGGTCAAAGCCACAACCTTCAAGCGTAAACACATGGACATAGCTATGGCGCCCTCGAATCACTTGAGAGTTCACGGACTGGTCGAACTATCTCTCGGGCGCAACACATACCGCCACGTCGTCCCAAAATGCCACCTTTTCTCCTCCACAATCTCCAATCCACTCTCCTCGACAATAGCCCCAATATCGCGATTCCACCAACACCCATGCCTATCCGCATGCGCCGGCGCAAGGTTATCCAAAATCCGATTCAACCAATCATAATGCGACCGCCCATGCTCCAACAACAAGATCCGACCACTCCGCGGCTCCGTAATACTCCCCAAATGCCTCAACGTCCGCACAGGATCAGGCATCGAGCACAACCCCATAGTCTGCACAATAGAATCGTAATACGCCTTCTCATTCTCCCCCCTAGGCAAAACACCAACAGTAACCGACCCGGCATCCTGTGCGCGGAACGTAACCGGAGGCCTCTTCCCCTTGTAGCCCGGGTGCAGCGTTTCGAACTTCTCTTCCGCGATAGCCACCATCTGCGGACTCAGATCCACAAACGTAAGCGTGCGACAGCCCAGGATAGCAGCCTTGCCTGCCTCGTCCACGCCTCGCCGCTCGCCGAGCTCGTAGTACTCGAGGTTTCGGCCCGTGCCGCAGCTTACCTCGAGGACGTCGCCGCGCGCGAGCCGGATCAGGTCTGCGCGCTTAGAGCCCATGCGCATGGCCTTTTCCGAGAGCTCGACTTCTGCGTCGAAGGTTGGCGCGGTGGTGTTGTAGCGGTCTGAGACGTCGGTGGGGATGTTCAGGGCTTGGGCCTTGGAGACTTCGCGACTGTAGGACGCGTAGAGAAAGCCGCAGTAGCTGCTTATTCCTAGGATGGAGATTCCCAGGAAGGTCATTAGGCGTGGGGACATTGTTGGGCCTTTGTAGCCCGCGACTGGGTCTGCCTCTGCTGTTTGTTGGCCTCGTTTGGAGGACCGAGGTGAGATTGGAGGTCTTTGGCTGGGTGGGACGTTAGAATGGGGAGGTTAGGCATGGATTTTGATTGGAATTGAGCGGGATTTACCTGGGCCTGTGAGAACGGGGTGTTTGTGCTTTGCTTTGTACGCCTCTGCGGGCTGTGGTTGTGGAGGGCCATTTGCATGTGGGCTTGATGAAGGCCCTTCCTATTTGGGTCGCATTCATCGCGTAGGTTGTACAGCAATGAGGGCTGCTTAGATTCTGTAGCTGGGAGATTGGTTTCAAGCCCTCGGATTGGCCAATCGGTTTGCTTTTTGGCTGACTCTCGAGAGCTATATTTCCAATAGAACCTCTGATGCGCCGGGAAGAAAAATCAGGAGCGCGTGGGACGCAGAATGCAGCTCAAGTGCTAGATCAGTCGCCTTAATACACCGGTGTTGTAGATCGTGACGGTTGGTCAAGCACGTCAGGAACAAGGGCCCGTATTCAAAGAGCCACTCAATTCTTTCCAAAAAGGCAAACTAGTGAGGCTCCGCGGTCTTTAGTTTCGGGCAGGTTGGACAACACGTCGGGAGCCGGGCCGGAGCTGATAAGGGGGGTCCGTTATCGGGAATGCGTTCCCGATGAGGCACGATAAGGCACGATATGTACTACAGTGTCTGGCCATGAGACTTACAAATCTCCGAAGTAGCGCCAAGACGGCGATCTTGCATAAATACTGTATTCGAGTATCTAATACAATTGAAAACGACCTAGTCCCTATGCAACCCAAGTTATAGATAGCAGATGGTTATTGCAATACAGACTGGTATTGCAGCTACTAGCGTAGAGTGACTTCGGAAATTTGTAAGTCTCGTGGCCAGACACTGTAGTTATGTTACATGTACTAGTACTCTACTTGAGAACTTGAGATCAGTTGATGAGGGGCAACAGATAGTAACCAACTGGAGCGGGACAGTGATTTCAAACTACAATTACAGGGCAATTGCATACTAGTAGGTATGTGAAGAGTTCATATATAGTCCCGGAATTACCGACCACAAAGTTATAGAACGAGAGACACATTATAGACCCTGTAACCTACACCGCAATTCCCACCAGAGTCAATTGAAACCTAGACATCTGGATGAATGGCTGATATCAGAAAGAACCATCATTTGGGAGATTTCGAGGTGTCCTTTTGAGAGCCTTTCAATGCGACAACATGCCAGTCTTTGGGAAGCGGAGGGCTCTGGCCTTGCTCCTTCGACCCGCCCGTCACCCCATAAAGACGCAGCCCATTCTCAGTCTTAATGAAAACCGGCGAAATTAACATAGGTATTGAATAACGTTCTTCTTGGGTCGAGGGCAAGGGCGCCGCAACGAAAACATAAAAACTACCTTCAATTTTACCAGACCTGTTATGGCGCATTAAATGTTAGCACAAGAAATATTAGGTACAAGGCAAATTGGCTGACATACTTGGATTCTCCATAAACGAAGGGGTCTAGGGTCCTATTATGGAACGTTAACGTAAGCATCCACGCTAAAAGACAGATTGGCGGACTCACAATGCTAAGTTGCCTTCAGGCATGCTCGCCGGATCATGTACGCTAATCTCTGCCAGGTCAAGGTTTTTAGTGCCGGAAGGCACATATCTGTAGGATAAGAAGCGTCCAAAGGTATCCGCAGTGATCGAACCCTGACCAGCCACAGATCCCCAAGGGGCGCTGAGGTCATAGGCCTCTTTTGTCTTGACAAGGTAGATACCACCATCGGTGCCCGAAACCAAAATGGTTTCTCCTGCTTCATCCATGACAATCACATATTCAACCTCGCTCTTCGGATCTTTTGTCGTCAAGATGCGTGCAACATCAGAGATTTTTACTGGTGAATTTGCAATGTTCCTACCACCAAAATGATCGATAACGTCCTTGATCACACCAGTATCTGGGTCGACATCCGTGGTATTAAATCCATTCGCACTTTCAGTATTCAGTATTTTATGATAGGAGCTAAAATGAGATGATATCGTATACATACCTCACGCATCCAATACCATGATCATAGAGGGGTGTGTTGAACAAGTCGCGTTCCCAAATATCGAAGACCTGAGCGGTCACAGTATTGTCAGCACCAACACGCAGTTGGACACCGTCTGCGCAAGCACTAGGCCCATTCGAAATTCCCGCAGACGCAGAGACGTATACGGCAGGCTTCTCAATGAAGCCCAACGTTTTTTTGAATTTGCCAGTCAGAACATCAAGACCGAATTCGAAAGCGATGGGTACCCCAAACTCCAATTTGGCGGTTAGAGTAGCCGACGCCTATGTGTGATGAAGTTCGTTAGTCTTGTTTTCTATGCAAATGGCTCCTCAATTTGAGCGACTCACATTGGGACCTTGCATATGCTATATCTCGAGTTTATTGTCGAGAGATCTTCTTTCGGTATGAATCAGCTCACTATATGATATTTTTTATTGATTTGCGGGGGTACAAGTGGATGATCCATATCTTAGCTATGTTGTGTGTTACAAGCCCCTGGAAGCCGCAGCCGCTCGAGAGATTATCGGTTACTGATGAGCGACCAAGAGCCAAACAAATTCTGGGAAAATACGTACTAGTTGAACCTTCAACATGCATTTGAGAGGGTTGGTGATGCTGTGGAACTCATTGTAGGACCGAGATCGACCGAAATCATGGGGTTTCCAGTCAACTGGCGATATCAAATTTGGTACTCCTGCAGGGCTCGAGCCACAAACATGCTCACTGTAGCACAAGATAGACTACTAGTACGTTTTCAACCATTTGTGATTTGACCATATCAAGTACCCCTGGCAGGCTCGCAGGCTCCACTTTACTCCACAGAAGCCACACGAGGACCCGATAAGCAGGTCCGTTATCGGGACAGTCAACCGATCTCCAATCTCCAACTCGATTCTCCACCTGCTTCTTCGCTGACCACAAAAAGCACAAAATCCTACAAATCCAATTCAATTGACCTCTGCCATGGCGTTGCCACCAAAGATTCTGATCGTGGGAGGTGGTGTATTTGGCCGTAAGTTGCAACTCTCTCTCTGTGCCCGCACCACTACTCTACAGTCTACCCCAAACGGCCCATTCTCCAGTCCACAACCCCAGAATCCACAACCCACAAATCCCCATATTTGCCCCTCTTCCCTTTGTGCCACCTTCTTCAATGGCTCGCACATGGCACCTTCAATGTCATACTAATATGCACCTTACTATGAAATCCCCAACTAACCTGCAATCCCAGTATCCACGGCCTTATCTCTAAGCAAGCGCCACCCAAACTCCCAGATAACCCTAATTGAAAGTGCGCCGACAATTCCCAACCCACATGGCTCTTCAGTCGATACCAGCCGCATCGTGCGAGCAGACTACGCACACAGCGCCTACTCCAAGCTAGCCGCCTCCGCCATCCAGAAATGGCGCAGCACATCCTGGGGCGCAGAGGGTCGGTATACGCAGACCGGCCTGCTACTAGTGTACCCGGGCAACAGCGCCAGCGCAAAGAAGTACGCGGAGAAGAGCTACGCGAACGTGCGCGCGATCGAAGGCGACAACGTCGTCTACTTGCCGACGAAGAAGGACGTTCTGAGCATCGTCCCGCCATACGGAGAGACGCTGGATGTGGCCGGGGGCTACGTGAACTGGGGTTCCGGGTGGAGTGATGCCGGCGCGAGTGTGGCGTTCATCAAGGGCGTGCTGGACAGGGAGACGAAGGTGGTGTTTAAGCATGGCGAAGTCAAGCGGGTGCTGTTCGGTCCTTCGACTCTAGCTGGCTCTGCGTCGTCGAAGGAGCAAAAGCAGCGCGCCACGGGCGTGGAGATGGTGGATGGAGAAATCGTGAACGCTGACCTGGTTGTTCTGGCCACGGGCGCCTGGACGCCCCGGCTGGTGGACCTGCGTGGCAAGGCCGTCGCGACGGGGCAGGCTATTGCGTATATCAAGATTAGCGATGCGGAGCAGCGTGAGCTCGAGAATTTGCCGACGATCCTGAACTTTGCGACGGGGATTTTCATTATTCCGCCGCGGGATAATTTGCTCAAGATTGCGCGGCATGCGTATGGGTATCGGAATCCCACGACGGTGCCGGTGCCTGGGGCGCGGGATGGCGAGACGATGCAGGTTAGTTTGCCTGAGACGGGGGGACCGGTGCCGTTGGAAGGAGAGGAGGCGTTCCGTGTTGCGCTGAGACAACTTTTGCCGCGCTTTGTGGATCGGCCGTTTGTTGATACGAGGATTTGTTGGTATACTGATACGTGAGTTGCTTCCCCCCTCCCCCTTGTCTGTTATTTTCCATTTCCATTTCCCTCCACTCTGTTTCTGTTTCTGTTTTTTGAGAGCCGATGGTTTGATTGCAATGTCTCGGAATCGATTGTGCGGTGTGGTAGGGAGCCAGTTGCTGACGCTGATTTTGTGCAGCCCGGATGGAGACTTTATTGTTTCGTACCACCCCGAGTACGAGGGCTTGTTCCTGGCTACAGGTGGCAGTGGACATGCTTACAAGTTTTTCCCTGTTCTTGGAGACAAGGTTGTTGATGCATTGGAGGGTAAGCTGGAGCCTGAATTGCAAGCGCTGTGGGAATGGACCGAGGTAGTACCTCCGGCGTCTGCCTCTGAGGATCTGTTTGATGGTGATGGGAGCCGGTCAGGCGAACGAAACTCGATTCTGAAGGATGAGTTGGCGAAGACCAAGAAAGCTGGCAGAAGCAGTGCTTTATAAAATGGGATAGGTGTATGTATATACGGTTGGTGTCGGATTGTGCACATAACATTCGCTCGGAGCTTGAACATTATATTGGATATATAGAACAGCAGTGATACTCAACCGCGGTCAACATTGAAAACATACAACCTTGAACCCTTGGGAATGAACCTTGAGGACAATTGCATCCCGTGGATCTATACTACTAGTAGGTTATGAAGATACTACGGAGAAAAGCTTCTTATTCAACATTTTTTCATTTTTTTGCATAAGATAAGAATTGATATCGGAAGCATGACGGCGAAAGCCTTTTCGACAGTCTCACGACGGAGTGTAAGCTAACCATAAGATTTTTTTTTGGGGGCGGGGCCTGTGAATCGTAGGTGGCCAAATGGACAAAATGAGATTAAAGAGGCAGCCATTCGACCAGCGCACAGAAACCACCTCACTGCGGGTGTGCAGCAGAACTCTTCTAAGTGTAAAGGGTCGAAGATGAGAACAAAAAAAGCAAAGAATCAAGATAGGATTGGGGAACAATCCACCGCTAAAACGCCAAACAATGCTTGCGTAAAGAATCGTGACAAGATGGAACCCGGGGAGAAGGTTAGTAAGACTCGAAAGCCGAACCCATCCGTTTCAACCCGAGCAAGAAAAAAAAGGGGGTAAGATAAAGAATATGTTAATACAGAGCGTGTGAAAGCAAAAAAAAGGGCTTCGATCCCCCTGGTGGGAGCAGTCTGACTAGACCTTGCGGAAGTCTGGTCGCATGTTAGTTCTGTTCAGATGCCACGGGACGAGAAAGAAGCTGTATCACATACCAGAAAGCACAGGGTAGATCATCTCGAACGCTTGGTAAATCTCCTCACGAACTTTGGCACCAGTCAGGACGATCTTACCACTGACGAAAATCAAGAGTACAATCTTGGGCTTCATCATGCGGTAGATCAGACCAGGGAACAGCTCCGGTTCGTAAGACGAGAAGTTGTGGTGGCGAGATGCCAGACCCTCCAGACGGATGGGGAACTTGATGTCGCAGGAGCCGACAATGTTCTGAATCTTGAAGTCGGTGAACTTGGCGTTGAAACCGAGCTTCTGGATGATACGCGCGTACTTGCGCGAGGCCAGCTTAGAGTCATCTTCAGACTTAGCACCGGTCACGACCATCTTGCCCGAGGCGAAGATCAGGGCAGTTGTCTTCGGCTCACGGATACGCATGATGACGGCGGCGAAACGCTATGTAAATAACAAGTTCAAAGTTCAGCCACACTGTAATCCCCGATACAAGGAAAGCCCTAATCTCAGGGAGGTGTGGAAGTTACCTTAGGATTGTACTCGGCGTTGCGAGCATGCAACGCGATGGTCTTAAGATCCAGACGGCAGTCAAGATTGACCGTAGCCACGATGTTTCTTTAAAGAAATATTGGTTCAGCCATTGTGACTCTGGGAATGTGGTTTTAAGACAAGCCAGAAGAGTCAATACTCACTGCAAAGTAGGCACAATGCCACTGCTCCCGGTAGTAGCCCCGGGGGTGGCGACCGGAGTGGCCGGAGTAGCGGGGGTCACCCCATTGCCGTTCATGGCATTTCCTCCAGCCTGGCCATGGGTCATACCGTTGACACCGTGGATATCCTTTTCAGAAGAAGGAGGGGTCAAATCGGCCGCGCCACCGGGGAAGGAGAGCGAGGAAGGGGAAGTGAAGGCGCGAGCCTGCAGCGCGTTCGACGGGTGAGTCGTAAGCGAATCCATCATGCAATAGATGATCGACAATCACTTAGTCACAGAAAGATCAAGGAATCAAAGATTCAATGATCAGAGGTGTGTCAAAGCAAGAGTGGATCTCTGTAGAAGCGGGGAAGAAAAGAAGGTTAGTTCATAGAGCAAGAAAGAAAAGGACAAAAGATGGAGGAGTGAGGAAAAGATTTGACCGAAAGGGGTTGGCGGTGGAAACAAGCAGAATCATGTGATCACGTACCAGAATAATAGAGAAGTTGGGAGATGGACAAATCAATGTATCCCCCTGAAACGCAGGACGTGGTAACACGAACTGTGATGGTGCAAATATCCCGAAAGGGTATCAGAATAAAGTGAATCCAGAAAATCACACTCAAGTGTTTTCAATAAAGGGACAGCCACAGGGAAGAGGTGAAAAGAATTATGATCAAGTGGTATCAAACAGCAGCAACAACTTTCTTTTTGGGGAGTTGGGCGAGATAGAAAAAGGGGCTTTTTTTCTTTTGTCTCGTTGTCTTTTTTGCTTCTTTTTTTTTTCAATTAAGAATTTCCTTTTGGGTTTCTATCTGCGAATGAGGCCTGAATGAGAGTGGCAGAGGCAAGCCACGGGGGACAAGCTTCAAATGGAGCACGGGACTTTTTGAGATGTAATTTAGTACCCTCGGTCAAAAGGATAAGAAATTAATCAATCAAAATATAAACCTTCTTTCCCACTTAGAATCGGTGACTTGGAAATCTTTTGATTCTTTTCTTTTTTTTATTCTATCTTTTTCAAGATCAGAAGAAAAAAAAGGAAGATCAAGAAAGCGGATCCAACCGATCAAAAATTAGTATAAGATTGCAGCAGGATGCCACAAAAGGAAAGAGGTGTGGGGAGGGGGGGGGAGGAAGTGAGAAGAAAGTGCCAAGACCAGGACAGGAATCTCAGAGCGAAACGGAAAGTGGGAGGATGGCCCTTTATATAGTGCTGAGTCACAGCCTGCGTCAGGGGAGGCTGGGCCCGCTGGTGGCGCTTAAAGCAGCGATGCTCACTCTCCCTTCACCCATGGCTAAGACCTCCACTAGCGGCTCTGGGACTACCGCCGCGGACCAATCATCTCCTTTCATATCTTTCTTCTACGCTGATTAGCTGACTCCTTATCCGCCCCACTCCACTCTCTATCATGAGTGGCTGAATCACCCTTGCTTTTATCCTCCGCAGCGCCATGGTTACAACCAGTAGTTGCCCAGTCCGTAGCGCTCCTAATACTGATACTTGGGTCAATCCCCTCCCAATCTGGCCCGTCCCCCAATCATCATCCCCTATCCGTCTCGGTCTCTCCCTGTACGACGCGCTATCCTCTCGCCGCTTTAGTGGATGGCAACTGAATAAAAATTGTTGCCGCCGACCAGTTCTTTCCCTTTTTTTCCCCCTCCACACAAACAGGGTTACCTGTCAGTTTGTTTCGAAGCGCTGGCCCCAGTGCCAACCTATTTTTCTGTTCCTCTCATATATCATCACTGACCAACAAAAAAATAATTGCAGCCTAAATAATCAGACTAACCATTCACAGTTCAAAGTTGGTGTGATGGTGGCATTTTCCGAAGGGGGAAAAGAAAAAGAGGCCAGCGTGGCCATTTGGGACGGGATTGCGCGCTGGACTGGTCGCGTCACGGATTTGATCCACCGCTTCCGCCAAGCCTTGGATCAATCTCATGGCATGCGATCATCACACTGATATGTGTATTTTGGTATGCTGAATACCATACTCAACCAATGCTATCGTCACATTCCACCATTTTTTCACCATTTTCTACCAAATCCTCTGGTATTAACAGGGAATACCATGGAGAACATTCAAAAGAGGAAAAATGAAGAGGAAAAATTCACATGAAGGGGGAAAAATCCGATCAAACGAAGATGCATGCATGATACGGAGCCTGCAGTGTGATTCGGGTAGCGTGGGAAGCTTAATGCTAGCCTTGACCCAGATCACCCTATACCGTCTATAAAAATTGGAGCTGTCGATGATTAGCTTATTTTTGAAAGCCGTTTGATCCGTTCTTTTCACTTTTTGACCTTTTTTTTTTTCTCTATATCTATCTTTTTTCATCTTGATACTGACACCCTTGATGATGTCAAGATGGGCTCCGTCACATATTATAGATGGAGATTTTGACGGATCGCATTTTGGTGTAAATCTAATATCTCTTCTTCAGGATCAGATTTTGAAATTTACTTCCTCAACGACAGGAGTATTCCGTAAAAGCCATATGTTAAATCCGAGATGAACTTTAGATGTCGGGGAGATGGTAACTACTCCGTATCCATACTGAGCTACGACGGGTCGGTGAAGCCGGGTGGCAATTCCGACCTACACCGCCTCTGATTGGCTCCCCATCAAGTCATTTCGGCTTCTTTCTACTTTGGGTACTTTGATTTCAAGACATAAAACATAAAGGGACTACTCCGTACTTACGCCGTACGCCGTACCCGTTCTCCGTTCTCCCGGAGTACGGAGTACGGAGAACAAGGGTTCGGATCAATATTAGCAACTATTGAATTTTGGCCATCTATTCCGAACTTAATATGAAGACTGCCTATTCAAGTAATCTTCATATTCATAAGGAATTCGACCTTCAGCTTGTTCATGGTAGAAAAGGCCTGTCAGCTTCACTTGTAATTTTTGCCACGGTTACTTTCGCGTTGTACTTTCTAAGGTTATGATTCGGGATGGCGTTTGAAGACACTTGATGTCGCCTCTGTATTCGGACATAGGCAAGATGCTTGCATATACGGGCTTTCACCTGGTTTGGCATGACCTTTGCCCCTATTCCCTCAAAGGCTTGGTCTTATCCCCAGGTGCCACTTCTAGACCTCTGACCGCCTCGACGAACCACTTTTTATTTCCTTATGTAGTTCACCGCTTGAAATCATCCACCTGAAGTCTTTTAGATTGATCGTGTGCGCTTCAAAGATGCAAGCAAAAATGTGATCCAAGAGAACATTTGAACCATGAATCCCGAAACTGGATTTGTCTTCAAATGTTTTGATCGAAACTGTTATGCATTTCAAGATTTATTAAAACTTAAGGGCAAATTATCTGATGTTGGTATATCAGAGAATTCCTTCACCTCTATTTATGTTTATAGAGATCATCTTTTACCGGTATGAAAATGGTCCTTATGAGGTGGAAGTAAACTTATACAGAGTCAAGAGCAGACCCGCGCGCCCCATGGGGGGAAAGACGGGCAGAACCGTGGAATGGAAGGTGGAGGTTCCACGAGACAAGATCGACCATAGTTTGGAAATCCTATAGTATGCAATATTGTATGGAGTATATCTATGCTCCATTTAAAAAAAAAAAAAGAATAAGATCAAAAACACCTTCTACTGAAAATTTAAGCGCCAAACTCTGAAACTACAAGTCAGTGGACCACGTGGATACAATTCACCAGAAAACAAAAATCAAAGTGAGGCGGCCAGAAGTTGCCAATCAATTCCCACCGCCATCTTGCTTTCTTTTTTCTACCCTTCTTCCCCCTCTTTTTCCCTTGTCATCTGCACCTTTCCCTTTTCTGAAATCTGCCTGATACTTGCAGACACCTGTGGAGCCAGTCCAGCCCACCTGTTTCGCTGAGCAAGAAAAGAGCTCTAAGCGCCTGCCGCCCATCACCGCCATCTTCTTGATTTAGCCGTGTCCCACGCTTTTCCCGTCGCGCTGGGACTCCCTCAGTCACTAACCTTCTGTTCGCTTTTTTCATATCTGAGATTCATTCGGACAGGCCTGTCCTTGAATCAATCATGACGGAGGTTTCGTCCACTCGACTGTATCTCGGGAACCTCCCCCGCAATGGTACGCTGGCACACCCACACCCTTTTTCCTCTCTTGGCCTTCCGCGACGGTCAGCCCTACTGGAATTCCAGACTTGCCCATGGATCAAGCTCAGTCTCCCCACTGAGAAGGGCCACGCCCCGTGGCCCTCCATCTTCCAGAAGTCCAGATCCAGATATTAGCATCCAAACAGCCCAGGAGTCCCGACATTGTTGATTTTTTATCTCCGTGCACTGCTAATCCGGATCTAATCATTTGCAGTTACAAAGCAGGACATTGAAGAGCACTTCAGCACTCATGGTTCGGGTAAGATTACCGAGATCAAACTGATGAATGGCTTCGGCTTCATCGAGTACGAGGATGCCATGGATGCCCGCGACGTTGTTCCTGGTAAGTCTCACCGTTTAAGACTGAACATTTCTTAGAGCTTGCTAACTCCTTACTCTTTCTTTCTCTCTAGCCTTCCGTATGTCACCACTGATTCCGCGCGACCGCTACCTTCACCCCCTCTTATTAATACTGCAACAGATGGCAGCGACTTCAAGGGTGAACGATTGACTGTGCAGTTTGCTCGTGGTCCCCGGCGCAAGGAGACATTCCCTGGTCCACCGGACCGCCCCGCCGCGCCTCGTCCACGCCGCACCATGTTCCGGATGCAGATCTCTGGTCTCCCAGAAACAAGCTGGCAGGTTAGCAACTCAAGCCCATTCTTCCCTGGATCACTACCCCGGACTTTGATATATATACTTTGGCCATCTCTTTCCCTGAACTTGCCATGTCCTCCATCCCGTAGCCCCCGGTGGAGTCGTGCGGGTTGTTCCATGGAACCAAAGGACCCTTTGCACTCTCGGTCTTTTGGTCATACTGGGAAACCCCGGTCATGCCGAGCGCAAAGACCTTGAAAAGGCAGAATGCGAGCTGTTGCCGAGGATTCCCAAGCCCTGGAAATGATGGCCACCCTTTAACCCAATCCCCTCATACCCCCCGGACGTAGATTCTCTTCCTCATCCTTCTTCCACTTGGACCCATTGGCCACCACAATACTTTCTTCCTGGGAACCTGGACTCACCATAACATTTTCTAGGACCTGAAAGATTTCGCCCGTCAGTCCGGACTGGACGTTGTCTACTCGGAAACTGGTCGTGAACAAGGAAAAGGGTAGGTTACCATGTGCATTGCAAGCCGGCCCCGGGCTTTCTTGTTACCTTCAATTGACAATGGACACAAGGTTTGTTGAATTCGAGACGGCCAACGACTTGAAGACCGCCGTGGAAAAACTTGACAATCGAGATTTCAAAGGCGCTCTTGTGTCTTGCATTGCGGATGTAAGGAGCCATACCCATTTTGCCCCCGGACTCGTAGAAAAGGATCCGCCCCATCTCATACTTTCCCGCAGATTCAGACAAACTTTGATGACCGTCCCTTCCGGGAGCCCTATCGGTCTCGCTCCCCACGCCGAGCCTACCCACCCGTGGAAGAATATGACAGAAGATTCCCAGCCCCACGTGGATACAGTCCCCGGGATCACTACCGTGAAAGATCGCCCATTCCCCTGCGACGGGAGTATTATGACCGAGAGGGCTATGGGCGTCGCACTCCTCCACCGCCACGACCTAGGATGGAGGACTACCCGCCTCCGCGTCGTCCCTATGATGAGCACCCTTATGAAGCTCGTCCTCCGCCGCCTCCTCCGCGACACTACGAGGACCCATATCTTGCGGCACGACCCTATGCTCGTCCCCGTTCTCCACCCCGGAGTGATTACGTTGGATACGATCGCCCTCGCTACTGGTAGATGATGACCCTACCCTGGTGATTTCCTTCATTTTGTCCTTTCGGATGTTTCCTGCAGATGATTTGCCTTGTCTCCTCTCCCGAATACCCGCTACATACTTATTGCATTGCGCTTTATGGTACCATGAATCTTTTCCATCTGCCGATATTTCTTTTAGCGTGTTTTCCTGGCCAGATTTACCTTTTGAAATGGACAATACGTTTTAATTTTTTTATTAAAAAGGAAAGGAACATTAAGTTCCAATGTTTTTTGTTCTTAGGTCAATGAGATTAGCGGTCATAGTACATAGTACTACCTAGTAGATAGTACTCAAGTGATACGTAAGGTAGTAGCTTCGAAGGGTTGGACGTTTAGACCTTCAATGTTTAATCTGCAACCTTCCAGCAGCCCTCCAGGTGGACCTGTGGACCTCGGGAGGCGGACGGTGGGCGTTGAGATCACCCGATCTCAGGCATTCTTCTAGAATCACGGGGCTCGATGATAGAATATGTTGTGCATGACATAGGTGGATCACTGTAGGCCCCTGCATCCCAGCACTGTGGGAAAAGCAAAATGATTTTCTTGTCGTACTGGATCATTTTGAGCTTCACAGCTTAAAGGTTGGCGATATAATATCCATAGAACATTTCGAATGATCTTAAGAAGTGTTCTGTATAGAAGAAATGGAAGGAGCCTATCGTAACACATGTAATCAGCATAACACGTGAGCACCGGATAGGGTTTAGCGTCGCCCCGGATTTCCGCCTCAAAGCGAAACCTGGAAGTTGATTAAATGGATTTTCTCAGCTGGACTTACACCTTATTTCTCTCACGTCCACTTCGTGGGAAACTTTGAATAGATGATTCTGAAACCTGAATTCACTTGCCGCTTCTCTATGTGCCTATCTACTCTCTCCTCTTCTCTCTCCTTTATCCCTTTGACTAGCTACCTGGTCAGCTTGAACTTGATCTCCCTGGATTCACCCTCGCAGCGCGCTCCTCCCGACCTCTTCGACGTGACTAAGTATCCTGCACCTACCACATCTGCCTTGGCCTTCGATCCCGCCGCGGGCGAGGTGATCTGGCTAGGGGTCCCAGGTCCGTCCTAAAGAAGGGCGGACGGTAAAACTACTCGAGATATTCCAGTCGGGGTCCCACCCGAACCGGAGAAGAGATTGGGCTGGTTGGTTTTCTTAAACTGAGGTAATTATCGTCCTTTCCCTCTTTTTTTTTCTGATCGTTCTTTCTCCTTTCCCTTTACCTGAAATGCGATTGGTGGGGCCAAAAAAATATCCCAAAACAGAAAGCTCGAATTTACCCCTCCAAAATCCGAAAGCGCAAAATTGAAATGAAGCTGACTGAGAGGTTCATGTGTTCAGTAGTTGCGATTTCGGTATCTTCAGTACCTACTTGCCATATTTTCACATTTCTCTTCATCAATTGCTTGCCGCATAGCCAGCGACTCCTGCCCGGCGCCTTCAGCCGAACAACCGACAGCGGACTTTCCTGAGCATTGATAATCACTCGAATTCTCGACCGAGATACGGATCGCCCGCCATAACCATGGCATCCACTGCGCCCCACGATGATATCTCCGTCGGAGATGTCTTCACCCCACAAGCTGACAGCGCGCAGCCCTCCGTCGACGATTCGGCCAATCACCATCCCCCGGATGTCCACATGGGAGACCGGCAATCGCCGCGCAAAGTCATGACCGATTACAGGTCCAATGAACAGGGAACCATGCAACCACCGGCCTTGGACCCAAACCTGCTGACCGGAAAGGCCCGCCGAAAGAAGAAGAAGAAGCAGGCCAGCCAGGCCGATCCCGCTCGATCGACCGTACATGGTTTCACGCCATTGGCCTCGGGCGACGAGGATTCCGATTTCTCAACCACAAGCTCTCGTGTCCCAGACTCACGAACTGCTACCCCCGTTCGACGAACCAGTCCTCGTGGTGGTGGAATTAGCGCACTGAAGCTCCAACTCGATTCACTGAACCTTGCCAACAAACCCACTGCAGGTACCAGCGGGCTTTGCTCCGAGACCCCTAGCAATGCGAGTGTTTATTCCGACAGTGACCAGACCGAGATCTTGACCAGTTATGAAGTGCCTTTGGATCAGGACTTCGTTAGCACGGACGCTGTGGATGATGAAGTACCGGGCACTGCAAACACTGAGATAGCCGTGAGCGGTATGGATCTGCGAAGCCAGATCTGTCGCAAGATGACCGCACAAGACTTTCAGCCTCTACTCTGCCTCGGCAAGGGTTCGTTTGGTACTGTACTGCTGGTGCGGCATGTTGTCACTGGCAAGCTCTATGCCCAGAAGCAATTCCGAAAGGCTTCGATCACCGTGCATAAAAAACTTGTGGAGCAAACCAAGACCGAACGCACAATTCTGGAGAGTGTCAACCGACACCCGTTCGTGGTCAAACTATATTATGCCTTCCAAGATCACGAGAAGCTTTACCTGATTCTGGAGTACGCCGAGGGTGGCGAGCTGTTCACCCATCTTGCCATGGAACGCATGTTTGACGAAGATACCGCAGCCTTCTATCTGGCTGAGATGGTGCTCGCTTTGGAGCACCTTCACCAGAACGTTGGCGTTCTCTACCGCGATCTCAAGCCCGAGAACTGTCTTCTGGACCGCCACGGCCACCTGCTGCTTACCGATTTTGGACTGAGCAAGATTGCTCTCAACGACGATGAACGCTGCAACTCGTCTCTGGGCACAATCGAATACATGGCGCCGGAAGTTGTTCAAGGCAAGCCCTACGGCAAAGCCTGTGACTGGTGGTCCCTTGGCGCCCTGGGCTTCGACCTCCTCACCGGTTCTCCGCCCTTCCGCGCTGGAAACCACGCCAAACTCCAAGAGAAGATTGTCAAGCAGAAGCTTGTTCTTCCCTATTTCCTAGGACCGGACGCTAAAGACTTCCTTACCCGCTTGATGCGCAAGGAACCCGCCAAGCGTCTGGGTTACCACATGCCCAAGGACCTAATCACCATCAAGAAGCACCGCTTCTTCCGCAAGATCGACTGGGCTGCCCTCGAACGACGTGAAGTCGAGCCTCCAATTCGACCCATCGTCACTGATCCGGCTCTTGCTGAGAACTTCTCTAAGGATTTCATCAATCTCCCTCTTAGCCCCTCAATTGCCAATGGATTCGATGACCTCCCCGCCTCACCTTATGCGCCTGGCAATGCCCAACCCTTGCCCACTGGTCTCGGTGCCCAGGCTGCTGGTGATACTGAGTTGTTTGGTGGATTCAGCTTCGTCGCTTCGAGCAGTCTGCTGGATCATGGATTAGGCGTTATGCCCGAATGATGGTTATTGAAGTATTTCTGCTTGTTACCTTTGTCTTCTTATCTTACATCTTTATTTCGGGAGTTTCGGGTCACAGCCAATCTTTGCTGTCATTGCATTTGTACTTGCATCTCTTTTTCTTTTCATTTTTTCTTTCCGTTTCATTTCTATTCAGTCTGTCGCTACCATTGTCACCTTTTAGTGGGAAGACTGGAGTGCACTATTTTTAGAGAATATCCTTGCCGTTTGTTTACATCGCTCTTGTACTCAGAGCATATTCCCAACATAGACCGCGAATACACTTTCGGATACTGCCTTGAACTGAATCCCCCCGAGTAAAAGATGTGAGACAATCAAGTTGTGGTCGTACAGAGCTACGGCGAGGACCTTCATCAAGCCAAGTATCAACATTAGAGGGGGTCAAGAATTAACTAGCATGAGAGGGATAATAAACTTATTCAAGTTTGAAACGAAACTAATTGAATTGCATCAAAGTAATTTTATCAGCGTACTTGCTTGCAAAATCATTGGTATTTTGGTATCCGAAGGCAATTAGTAGATATCTCATCCCGGGGTGTGATAGAGACAACCAGCAGAGATAAGAAAGAAACTACTAGCTAGTAGTATGAATAAATATTCCTTTAAAAAAACTCCCCAGATCCATGCATCACATTCCAGAGTAAGGGAAGACAAGAAAAGAAAAGGACAGAAAGGAAATCTACTAGATCTCACCCTCTTCGCTTCCTTCTCCGTCGGGTGGATTCTCTTGTGGCGCAACCGCCGTGTTCGACTTGTCGGCCTCTTTCTCATCCGATACCTCGCCCTCTTCCGTGCTGCCTCCGTCATTAACCACACGAGAGTCAGAAACACCGTCTTTGTTGGACGGATTCTGCAGTGTGGGTTTCGGGGGCAACGATGCCATTGCCCGCAGCGGAATTCGAGGGAGAGAAGATGTAGAAGGCTGAGACGGGTCCTGGGGGGTTTTGAGGATAGGCGCGGGCGACAATGTGCGCTGCCGTTTTTGTGAAGGCTCGCCGCCAAATGTAGACGGGGCCTGAGGCATGGGGATGGGGCTCGGGTTGTAGTTATCTGCTGTGAAAGATTCCGGTTCGCGGGAGCGTTTGCGCCCGCTCCCCGCGGGGGAATCTGCAGCGGGCGTAGAGAGAGATGATGTGTGGTCTGTGACTGATAGAGGGTTGCTGTGGAAGAGACGGGTAGGGTCATTGGGGTCGGCGTCGCTGATGGTGAAGTCCGGATAATTCTTGCTCAGGTTTTGTTGCACGCGCTCATAGATCTTGACGATGAGCCTGCAAGCAGTGATGAGGTCTTCGACGCGGACATCGATCTGTTCCCACCACGGCCGGCCTTGGGAATCATCCGGGAACGAAACCTTGCAATGGCGTGCGGCTGCGTAGAGCGCGGCGGCGGCGATGACGCGCGACTCGAACAGCAGAGAGAGCACGGTGTATGTGGAGTCATTGAGGAAGGCGTAGGCGGCGTGTCGGAGAGGTCTGTTGTCGGGGACATTGAGGAACAGAGAGTAGTCCCACAGGATGCGGTAGGGTGATTCAATCGTCAGGTCGAAGCAAAGAACCTCGAGCAGGACGCTCTCGTTCTGCAGGATGAGGTCCCGCCATTTCCAGTAATCCTTTGACTGCTCGTCGACAATCATCTCGGGTTGCTTCATGGCAACGCGGCAGCAGGCCACGACAAAGTCCTTCATCCGGCGCATGGTTTCGTCTACCTTAAATGCGACGAAGAGCGCAACCGCTGCGATAACCTTTGGATGCATCAAGTCCCCACCCTGCTCAGGATATTGACCGCGCAACGAGTAGCGCATCAAGAATCGGTGCATGAACACGGTGGCAGTCATTGATGTCTGTGGCGGCATCTTCAGCATCATGCTCACTTGCCAAATAAATTGGACGGCTCGGTGCCGGATGTAGTCCTCCTGCTCACGATCGATCTTGTCGAGGCGCGACGGGGTGCGCTCTAGTTCTTCCTCCAGAAACAGCCATTTTTTCTCGGCTTCCGCCACGACGGGATTGGGGAGACCGGGGATGCGGTGCTTTGACGACGTATGAGATGTAGCAAACTCCATTTCGTAAGACAATGCAATTGATGGAAAAGGAATTTCTGAATATAGGGCGGGTCTAAATCGGGTTGAAATCGTCCGAGGAAGAGGGGTGGAAGTGAATGGTGTAGGTTTCAGAGACCGCGATGCTCCTCACGAGAGAGATAGCTCGGGGAGCGCAAGCAATGGCGCGAGACTTGAAGACGAGGGTTGGAATTTGCGCGCTCACTTCTCACAAGCAAGATGATCGGGGAAGCGCGCCTGCGCGCTTGAGGGAGTCTATAGATGGTGGTGGGCGTAAATTTCGTCGAGATAAATTAAGCATAGTGCGGCATTTCATCGCATTCCGGAGGTTGTTCTGTGACAAGGTGACTGTTATACAAGGTAGAGAATGGTGTGCATCCCTGGGAGCAGAAAGATAACCGAATATCAGGTGTTGACCTTGGATTGCAAGGAAGTGCAGACGAAAGCTGTTCGGAACGGAATAACCCTATTCCGGGCGCACCCGAAGTATACTACACAATGGGTAACCAGCCTCGACTTTGCCATGGGAAAAGAATAGCTCAAATGAGAAAATTGAAATGCATATTTGGTATCTTCGATCCTGAGTCCTAGCGCCCACGCTTATAGTAATATGCAGTATGTGAAAACAAAAGATTTTTTAAAATAAAACAATCATCCATAAGACAAGAAAAAGATGGAGCCCACATGGAAAGCCTTTACTCCTCTTCGCTAACCTCGCTCTCATCATCACTGGCCACATGCCACCGCCCAGAAGCATGTTGGCTATACTGCTGTTTACGAGCCTCTTCTTCCCGAGCACTTTCCTCAAAAGCGGCTTCCATCTCCAGAGCGAGCAAGTCATCTTCATCCTCCAAATCTCCACCGGAAGCGACCGGTGGAGGTGGAGGTGGCTGTGGAATATCTTGGCCAGGTGATGGAAGCCGTAGGCTATCAATATCGTCCTCCCCATCGTCCTCCCCATCTTCGTTAGATGAGAAAAATGATGGGTTGACCAATGTTCGGGATGGGCGCGGCGATCCCATATCAATGATCAAATCGCCATCAACAATAATATTGGAGGCACTAGACTGGACGGTATGTTGAGATGCATCCGATACTGCAGATCGAGCATCGTCGTTATCTTGTGGGTCGGGTTGCGAGAAAGTGGTCTCGATGATAGGCTCTGGGGCTGGCTTGGGTGGGTTTGGCTTAGCCTGTGGCTTTGGCGCCGGGCGTTTGGTCTGCCGGAATGGATTTGCTTGCTTTGTGGGCCGGGTAATGGGTTTGGCGGCAGGTTTTGTCACCGGAATTATAGGTGTATTTGTTCTGCTGGTGTAGACGGGCTCCGGGGTGCTGTTGCCTGAGGCCGCTTTGAGATCCTCTGCGCCTTCCTTACGGAGGAAATGTCGGAAATCATATGGGTTGTTATCGTCGGGAAGTCCCTCGTCCTCGGTGATACCGCCAGAAATACGATCCTCTCCCGATGTGTGTTCTTCCTCCTGCGCGATCCGGAGCTGCTCATATTGCTCAATGACCTGTTTCTCTGTCTTTCCTGGTGCCTCTCGTAGGTTGAAGTTGAATTTGGTAGACACGGGCTCTAAAACAAAGGCCTTGCGGTCGGGATCGAAGACAAGGACCAGATTGCGTTCGCTGACAGGGTCTTCGCTACCTTTGTAGGCATAAGTCAACGTGTGATCGGCATTCGGGGCCTTATCGGTGACGGAAAGGTCGTAAAGATCGCGCGATCGGTCGGAGGGAGTAACAATCGAACGTTGCTGTGGTGTGGCATGCTTGGTCTTGTAATTATAGTTGATATTGATCAATCGACTCCGGTCTCCATTAGCTAGTCGTTCACCCAGCACAATGGGGTACTCGGCCTGTTTGGTCGGGTCGATCAGCGTGGGGGCGGCCATATCTCCGCCACTGGGGATAGGATAGAGGATGAAGTTGCGCGACAACTAGGTTGCTATGGAAGATGGAACTCGGAGATATTGTATGAAGATCGGAGGAGAATAGGAAGTGTGTATATATGGGAAGTATGGGGAGAATAGTGTACAAAGTGAAGAGTTGTGAGGAAATGAATGAAAGGAAGAGTGACACAAACACGGGGGAAAGGCGGAGACTCGGCCGGACATTAGCTCATTCAATAGGCTTGGCGCTACAAATACAACAATACAACATTGAATCGGTGTACCAGGAAACATCGCTGTTAATGCATCTAATGCACTGATACTCGACTAGTCAATTGTTCCAATCGTCCTGCCAATGCTCGGTGTTTACGCATCACTTCCTCCCATTCATACTCAATTTCATCTTCTCCAGCCAATTCGGTTAGAATCATGCCAAAATCGCCCCCTAGACGACCCAGACTGGCGGCACAGTACAGTAATTGCGTCAGTAGACTCTCGCGCGAGCTTCGGTCCCGGACATTAGGAAGGTATGTTCTCATAGTATCGGTAAGGAGCTGCACCAGGTGCATCGGAAAAGTGGTCAGAGCAGACGGACGATTTTGCAATGGATCCGACGATTTGTGTTTGACGTCTGATCCCTGTAGCACCGGCCCAGAAGACTCAGATTCCGGATGCTCCGAGGAAGGAAATATGTTCTTGTATAACGAGACAATTGCGAAGCTTTGTTCACGAAAGATCTCGATGTATCGTTTCAAATAGCGGTCGGTCTGCTGTCCACCCGCCCAAGAGTCGGCCTTATCTTTACCACTTGTTCTTCGTTGGGTTTCTTGGTCGGCAAGTTCTCGTAGCGGGTCCAAAGCCTCCAGAGTTGAGACCAGATGGGCCAACCGGCAAATCAGAAAGATAGCGCCCAGCGCTCCTTCTCCCGACCCGGTAGCTCCATCACTTTGCAAGGTCTCCAGGTCTGGTGCGACTCGGCGCAGCCAACCCACGGTTCGCATGCCCGCTGCGAGTCGAAGATTCTGGGTTCGGAGCCCCGCAATGAGATTGGTAGTCATTTCTTTCATCGCATCTTCGGCCTGAGATGCTACATCCTGGATCAAGGGCGACTCGGGGTATAATGTTTGTAGTCGCTTAATATGTGCGTGCAGATCGAGTGCGGAGGAGTATGTGGTGGATGCTGCGCCCGCTCCTGAATTGGCCGATGCCGCGGACACGGCGGTGGACAGGAGTGAGGGCAATTCGAGGATATCAGACAATCGGTCCACGTTGCGCGTCAGTTGCATAGCTTTCTTTCGCCGTTCTAAAGCAGCATTGTCGGTGATTTTGCTATATTTTGTAGAGAAGCCCACGGCTGCTTCATCCAATTTCGGCAGCGCATCACGAAGTTCTTGTGCCTGGCGAGTCAACTTGGGGATAGAGGTGCGGAGGGTGGACAAATTATCGGCGGAGGTAATGAAAGACCGATGAGAGCGATTGGACAATGCTTGTAGAGAGAGAAGCGTGGAATGGGAGGATTGGGCGAGGGACTGAGGTTCGGTAGTCTGGAGGTTTTGCAAGGATAGAGTTGACAGGCGATTAAGATATTGAGAAGTGGTAGCGTCACTGGAGGCTGGTGTCTCAAGATGAGGAGCCAATAGCTCTAATAATGAGTCTGCCATGGAGAATGAAGAGAGAATGGTAGACTCAGAGTGATACAAAAGGGAAGCTGGCGATTGCGGTAAAAGCCGAATGGAGCAGGCGTGGGGGTCCGTGCACTAGAAACGTATCGGCGACGAGAACCTGGTAACTTCATGATTTCATCCTTATAAAGTGATCAGGTGCAAGTGGGACTCGTTGAGAAAATAGAGAACAACTTGTTCCATATCATTTGGCTATTTTCCACTTTCGTTTTTTCCAACTCTTTCCTCTCCCCCATATCCCCTCCACTCCCCCGCATCTCCAGTTTCTTGATTCTCTGTTTTACAGATACCCCTTCAGCCATGGGGAAACCACGGGTGAGCCTAGTAGGCCGACAGTGATACAAAGTCAAACCTAATCTGTTTCTTATTGCAGATGATTATTCTTGTCCGACATGCGCAGTCAGAAGGAAACAAGAACCGCGATATTCACCAGACAACCCCCGACCACCGAGTGAAACTCACATCCGAAGGATATCGTCAAGCTCAAGAAGCAGGCCGAAAACTACGAGACCTCCTGCGCCCCGATGATACTCTTCATTTCTTTACATCTCCATATCGCCGGACGAGGGAGACAACCGAGGGAATACTGGAATCATTGACCTCGGATTCCCCGCATCCTTCACCGTTCTCCCGGAACACAATTCGAGTCTACGAGGAACCCCGCCTACGAGAACAAGATTTTGGAAACTTCCAACCATGTTCAACAGAAATGGAGCGCATGTGGATGGAGCGGGCTGACTACGGTCACTTCTTCTACCGCATTCCCAACGGCGAGTCTGCAGCAGACGCATACGACCGCGTGAGTGGATTCAACGAGTCTCTGTGGCGATTATTTGGCGACGAAGATTCTGCCAGTGTCTGCGTTATCGTGACACATGGTCTCATGACTCGAGTGTTCCTAATGAAGTGGTATCACTGGAGCGTAGAATATTTCGAGGACCTCCGCAACATCAATCACTGCGAGTTTGTGATCATGACCCACAATGAAGACAACGGGAAATACACATTACAGAACAATTTGCGGACTTGGTCTGATCTACGGAAAGAGAGAGATGCCGAGAAGAAGCGTGAGCGGGAGGCCCAAGGACTGAGTCCTACTGCTGCCATAGTCCCGGCGGAGCATGTTCCCACGCGGCGAAAATGGGGTGGATGCCCTGATGGATGCAATCATGGCTTATCTGCAGATGCTAAAAAGTCCCTCCGAGTTAGAATGGTCGAGACCATGCGCTACGAGAGTGGGAGCGGGAGCAATAAGGAACCTCTCGAACCGAAATCCGCTACTTCGGCTTCGTCCAAAGATACAGATCGAGTATACAAATTTCCAAATGACAACAACGCTCAACATGCCTCCAATGCCGACGAAGATAATGAGAACTCCGAAAGCGACCACGCACAAGCCAACCCTCGACCCGAGGCCGAGGCTGAAGAAGCAAAACGATACAGAACAGGCGACTCTAGCTCCGACATACAGACCAAAATCACTCGCCCTGCTCGGCCAGCTCTGCAAGGTCTACACCACAGCGAAGACCACCTGCTCCACCCACCTGCTATGTCATCATCCACAACAAACCTAAAGCTCGCTCTTCTTCACCTCAGAGGTCGCGACGGGGGTGGCTCCATGAGCGGCGCAAACAGTCTCGCCCCATCCGACGACGAAGGAGATGACCACAACCCAACCCCACAACCGGTCTCTGGGTATCTCCAGCCAAAGACCGTCTTGAACCGCCCTTCTCAAGATGCTGAAGATGACGGAGACGACGAGCTCAGCGCGGCACCCACCGAAGAGATGAAACGTGTTCGACTTCACAGCAATCACTACACACACCATCATAATCACTACCATCATCACAGCCTCGAATCAAATAACCATGTATCCCACCACCGCCACAGCTCTTCCACAAATTCATCGCAGCCACCGCACCGCATGGCCAATATCTTGGGGGATGGAGATGACGTCTCGACACACTCGGACGGCCATTCCCCCGAGCCAAGTTATCAGGAGCACGAAACAAAGCCAAGAAACAACGAGACTCGGAATGGATCTGGGCCGGAACAAGAAACTGAAACGCATTCACTGGAAGAACAGCAACGAGAAGACCAGAGTGTTCGAGGGAGCATATATTGATTGGGGCGTGCACCCTGCCGAATATCTTCTCTTTCTTTTCACAGTTCTCGTTTTTTTCTTTCTTTTTTTTTTTTCCTTTTGGGTTTATGATCTTATTCAACATGCATGATATTCTGCGGATCACTCCATGGAGATACATTGATATGGATATACAAGGAGTATCATTATTGGTACGGATTGCAGCATTGTACCCGACCCAGCGTTACGACTGCGACGATAATATGAATGGTTCGGGATACCAGGATCAAACACGAAAGATACAACTACTAGTCGTGGGCATTTTTAAATTTTGATTTCAGCTATGATAGTAATACTACGCCATGATTCTCAAAAAGAAATTTGTCCCTGCCCAGCTGGCTAGAGCTTACAGACCAAGAATGACAAATCAGGGCTAGATTTTCAACTTGGTTGTGACGTATATCAAGTTAATAGTAGGATATGTCGTCAGAGGCTATGATACGAGTCACTCGATTCCTGTAGATCAAGTTCTAACGAAGCTAAGAGACTACGAGGGAGAAAAATGGACGGGACATGGTAGACAAAGACAATAGTTTGTCACGTATTTCAGCTTGAATATCTCACATCGTATTTCAACACGCAAGACCACAATGACAAGACTCAGGGAAGGACACAAAGAACCAGCGACCAAGAGAAAAATCAAGTCAAGACATCGAAAGGAATTGTTGAAGACAGAGGCAAAGGAAAGCAAGCGTCAACACTACGGACAGATCAGACCCTCATGCGGGGGCGTCTGTCTTAAAACCCAGAGCCGATGAACGAGCTCACAAAGACTGCAAAACGTGCATGTGCAAGATGGAGAATTCAAGTGGAAATCGAAAGAACATCACTTGACCTGCACACTTTTTTTGTCGCTTTGCATTCGAGGGTTGGGTAATCGATGGAGAAAAAAAAATAAGAATAAAAAACTCAAGTCGATCCCTTAGCGATTGCGCTGTAGATAGAAGTCGTAAATCGGAAGCAAATGATAATGGATAGATCAAACATGTTTGGTCGAATTTCGGTATTTGAGATGGGCGAAAAGGAATCCGAAAAAAGAGGAGAAAGTATTAAACGCCGGGATTTGAGTGTAGCGTGGGGAATTGGAATCGAAATAATGTACCGACATGGAAAAGGTGAGGACAATAAAAAAAGAACAATCTATGGGTAATCAACGCGAGACGAAGAAAAAAATAAGGTGCTCAGCGTGAAGGCGAAAAAAAAAGAATGAAAGAATAAACGAAACCGGGATATGAACCGAAGTCATGGGTAATAAACAAGAGGTGAAATTTTATGAATTCGTGATCGTCGTGACTGCGTCCCCAGCCACCAGGACCGGACCGAGGCTTGGTTGAAAAAAAAAGACCCGGTGAGCCTGGCTGGTGTGACACGATGTTCAACCGCACGATTGGCAAGGTATCGTAATGATTTTTTTGGCTGGAGCGTGCCAATGTCGCCGCGGGGAGCGTTTTTTCCTCTTTTTTTGGTGTTTTTGAGTTTTTCGCTTGAGCCGACACGATTGAGCAGACGCAGAACAAAAAGGACTTTTCGGAGGCGACGCGGAATGCCGATCGATGAGAAAGGTTGAGGCCAGGCGAGTCAAAAAAGAAGATGACAGGACATGAGCGGTCAAATCAGATCAGGAATCAGCGAAAAAGTGGAAGAATAACAGTATCATCAGAAGATAACCATGAAAAATCACTCAAACCATCGCAAGGCAAGTAAGTCTAAAAAAGCTGTTCCAAGCAGGACGACGAGACGCAAAAAGGGGTTGATACCTCAAGGCGTCCGTTGCCTTCCGTAATGATGGATCAGCGCAAGAATGGATGTAATCAAAAGAAGGACACGGCTTTAGCCTGCAATAATGGGCTGCAGAGCCGGGAAGGCGGTGTTGCACATGTAGTGCTCGACATGTTTGGCACAGTACATACAGCCACATGAGGAGCCGTGACCAGTCCAAACACTTTGAGCAAATGGTAGACCATAAGCTGGAGTGTGGTGGTACGACGGAGGCTGCGAGCGAGGTGCCGATGCAGGCATGTACGTGGGAGGAATCCAGGCCCGCGAGTAGGGCGGAGGTGGGTTCGGGTATGTCCATGTACCGACTGGGTAGTAGTCTGGAGTGTTGGGGCCGCTGTGAGGGGCCGAAGGAGGCGAGTACTCAGACGCAGCAGGGTTGAGCCAAGAGTTCTCGCCGCGCTGGTACTGCGGAGGAATGGGGCCCTCAGGGGACATGAGGGGCTTAGTAACGGTCTGCTGGTGTTGTTGTTGTTGTTGTCTGACAACATTAGTGTCAATAGGAGCCAAAGCCTGGCGAGACTCTTGGTGAGCTCGAGCATTGGCCTTGGCACGCCAGCTGTCCCAGTGTCGACGCCACGTGGAAAATCCGTCCTGTTCGTCATACATGCGGTTGTGGATCTTCCAGTCAAAGGCGAACAACCATTCCAACTCCATCTTGTTAAGCTCGGACACGGGGATGTTGCTCACTTCCGACCACGATTTGTTCTGGAAGGTATTGTCGTCCAAGAACTTGCTACCGAGCAAAAGAGACACGGTAAGCATGCGGTAGATCTGACCAGTGCTGGTCGAATACACGCGCTGGGCGGAGAGTTGGCGCATGCGGGCAGACAAGTAGTACAAGCCCAAAAGGATGGTCGAGCTCGGTAGGCGGGTCGAGGACAAAATTTGGTAAACGTATTTCCGGAACTGGGGGGGAACTGAAGATCCTGGGGCGATGCTTCGCATGATGTCAATATCTGCAAGGGTGATCTTGGTGTTGTACAATGCATACATTCCCTGGGTCATTTCCGCCACGAAGTCGGACATGCGATCCATCTCGTAATCCAGGTGGGCGGCAACACCTCCGGTTGCCTTTTCCTCCTTGCGGGGTTGCTCCTGCTGCATCGGGGCGATATCCTGACGACGGTACTGCGGGGGGATGGCGCTATCCATGGGCGGCAGTTGAACACTGGAACGGATCGGTGGCAGAGTGGCCATCGGTCCATACATGGACTGCTGAACCATGGGGTGCATAGACTCCCGAGTATGGTGCATCATGTTCGCGGACTGAGGGTGTAGGTTCATCGAGTTCGGTTTGGTGTACCGAGTCTGGGAGTAATTTTCGATGAACTCACAGCCACTCTGATGGTAGCGAGGTGGGAACGCGGAGTGGTTGATCGAGTAGAACGAAGGTTCATCCAGGCGACCACCGCTGTTGACGTGAGGAGGGGTAGGAGGCAGGCCGTGGCCTGGAGCATAGAAGGACGGCATTTCAGAAAGGGGGGAGGGGGGGGGGGGGGGAAGAAACACCGGTTCAGAACGAGGAGAGAAGACGAATCTGGAGATTCTGTCGCGTGGTTTTGAAGTCAGCGAACAATTCGCGCGCAAAATCACCTGGAAGAATCGAGCGGGAGAGAAGAAAAAGTAGTTCAACGAACCGTCAACCGCTCCGCGCCGTCCTGATCCTGTGAAACCGTAAAAGGAAGAGCGCTTGCTCAGAGAGCGTATCGCTCAGTTGTGGTCCTAGGGAGCGTCTCTAATCGAATGACATGGAGAGTCGTTCAATCAAATTGGGAGCGAGAATCACAAATGAGACAGAAAGAGCGTGGATAAGTCTGGACCTCTTCGAGAAGGATTTCAGAATACCGCGATTGAGAGAAGGATTGATCCACAAGATTGAGAATCAAAGACAGAAAGGTTGAAAGTGTATCCCTGCAAGAAATTATTGTTTCTGGGGGGAGACGCGCACACAACGAAGTCTTTCGCGACACAAAAGATGAATCACGAAAAAGGGTTTTTTGTTTTCCCTCGCGTAGAGGCAAACCTCACTCTCGTGAGATCAGCAACGACACTTAGTGAAAAGCTCGTTGGAAGGGGGGGGGGGGAGGAGGTTTGGAAACGAAAAGGGGAGAAAGAGTAGGATGAAGAAGGTGAAAAGGACGGCAAGAGTTCTGTGGGTGAAAGTATCCGGGTCCGTTACAGTGAATACAATGGTTTACAAAGACTTTCAATACATGACGGGGGCCTCGAATTGAATATTTGGCGGCAAACAGAAAATTCCACCAAGTTCCGAATCCAGGTAACTTGACTAAAACCAACTCAAAACGAATTGAATACCACTTCAACTCCAATTTAACCCCAAACCCTTTTCTTTACCGTTTCACTGCGAGAATCTTAACCCGAAACCCAAACCCCCCGAATTCATCACTTCTCATTTAGCATATATTAAAAATCCTTAAAGAAGATAAAAGCTGTATAAATGACCTTGTTTGACTTGTAACAAAGTACCAAGATCATCAGAGAAGAATTTTCTCTCTCCAATAATGGATATTGCCTCTCTGGTGGCTGTTTTTTTTTTTTTTTACACCGCATAATAAAAAAAAACCTATGGGGGCCACCACCCCTAATCATCGGTGATGCAACGCCCGTGTCACTTCCCCCTAAGAAAAGCTATTCGGTATGAAAAAAATGAAAAAAAGCCTAAGAAAAATCTAAAAAAAGGTTAGAGAAAAAAAAAGAACTCGTGCGGACTCCACCTGACTAAGCCCGGTAACAGAAAAAAAAAAGTGTTGAACCCCCATAGGTCTCCATAGTGAACCCCATAATAAATTACTTAAATACTTAAAATACTCTCCAAATACGGCCCAAGCGTTAAAACATGGACATTCCAGCCCCCGTTGCTTTGTCTACGTGGATCTTAGTACATATATCTCCTTAAGGAATTAGATGAAATCTACTTAAAAATGATCCTTTTAATATATACATCCCTTGGATAATGTAATTGGCGTCTCTACAAATATTCAAATACAATACAATCGATACTATAATTTATGTACGGAGGTCAGGAACTATGGAATCCATATATGCAGTAAGCTATGGTTTAGGCCATACTCGATCATCCGTCGTTCCCACCCTCCATTTATCACCCGGTACGACCAAGTAAGGGAAAGACAAAAAAAAAAGGAGGAATAAAAAACAACCCGATGACTTGTCACCCCTCTCTGCCTCTGAGTCACAGACCAAAGAGAGAAAGAAAACCATGACAGTGGGGAAGCGATCCCTGCAGTCTGCATAGCGTCATGCCGCATGGCCAGTCATTGACATTGACAGGAGAGGGGGCAGAGAGAGAAGAGGCGATACCGGTGTGTCGGAGTGACACCGGGGCCCGCGGTGGATGCTCTCATTGGACTGAAGGGCCCGGACCAGGTCGAACACATGTACATATGGAGTACGATGTACACCTGGCATTGCTAATCAACTGGAGCTACCTGTACCTACAGGCGGAGTAGGTACCCATCCCAAGCCTTTTGGACATATGGACTGCGTGATTTCTACATGAAGGACTTTCATTGGGGCGGTTATTTAATATTTTCGTTATTTATTATTTGAATATTCTTGTTTCTCCAGATCCAGTCATGGGAATGACTCGTACGGAGTACGCTGCCACAGACATTGACACTGCCTTCAAATGGGGGTGAAAGGGAAGGGGCTATACACTACGGGATCCATAACAACCCAACATATAGGATTGATTCGTTCTAGAATACTAAAATAAGACTAGTAGACTGCCGTGAAAACCGAAACTAAAACAAATAAACAAATCCCGTGGCCCCCTTCCCTCTCTGCCTGGTTCAAATGTGTTCGCCTTGGTAACCTCGATCCTTTCATTACCTTTCCCAGGCCATGGAGATAAAAATGTAATCCCGTACCTTTTTTGGAGGAATCAAGCTGCATTGGGCTGGAGGCGCTTCGCACTAGTCAAGCTTGGCTGGAATTTCTGGTTTCTTGCTCTTTCTAGCCCTTGACCCAGATCATTCATGAATTCTCTGCACCAGGACTAGCCTTGAGTATTGTAGACTTGCCCCTTTTCGGTGGAGCAAAACGGTCTTACCCGGATACACTCGGCCCAACTGTTCCTACTTGTTGCGTCGGGCAAGAACATTTTTCTTTAACCCCGCCATTAAGGAAGAATCCGGGCGCCCCTCTGTTTGGGTTTGATTCGGGTGGGGGAAAGAAAAGAGAAGAGGCAAAAATAAAAACAAGGAAGATGTCCGGATGAGTGGAGGCTTGGAAGCATACTCCCTACTAACATGGCAAATAAGAGAGAAGGATTGATCGAAATCATGTACCTTTTCAATGTATATGTACTGCAGGTTACCCAGGTCACGTAGATGATATATGACCTCGGGAAGAATAAAAATAAGATAAAAACAGGTCCAAGTTTCGGTCTAGATTTCATGTGGAATTTGGATTGGTATTTCTTCTATAATGCTAGCTTTTGGTTTTTTTGTTGTTCAAATGATGCTCATACCTAACATGAGCATCGGGAGGTAAAAAAAAAGAAGGGGTGGTTAGACAACAGATAGGCTCGAGAGCGCCCGAACCATCCCACTTCGGCAACAATGGTTACCATGTGCCAACGAAACAAGGAAGAAAGAAAAAGTACCAAGTCGGATAGAAATCAAAATCAAAAGAGAAAAAAAAAAAACACAAAAGATGTCCAGGGCACATGTCGGCCAGAACAGAGGGATATCATTAAGATTCAACAGGACCCAGTCACAAACAAAGACATAGACTCGTATACTCGATAAATCGTCAGGGAGCAAAAACACATTTCCCTTCCGGTCGAGTGCTTTCAAAGGAACACTCCCGATCTATCGCTCCCGGGGCAAATTTCCCCCCAGACACAAGCAGCAGACCGGGTCGCACCAAACTTTGATCAGGATAAACAGACAAAATGGATCAGATGGGCCAAAGAAAAAGAAAAAGAAGGGATCAAAACTCCAGGGGAGCCATTCCCCAAGAACGTGCAAAAGGTCGTAAGTCGTGACGAGAAAAAACCAACGAAAAAAGATCGGCGAAGCGGCTACTCGTCTTTCAAGCTTCCAACCAGGTTGCGAAGCACGTCCATGATGACGCCCTCGTCCTTGGGTTCACCACCGGGGAACGAGCTCTCAGTAGCATTGCCCACCACACGGGCACGGGCACTTCGGAGTACCTCTCGGATGTAGTTCTTGTCCTCGTAGTCTTCCATAAGAACGGCCTCAAAGTCATCGATGGCCTTGTTGGCGCGCTCAGTGAATGAGGATGTTTCCGGTGGTCCATGTGGCATAGAGGTTTGTCGAGGAGGCATATGCTGCGACTGGGAGTGAACCGGCGGACCAGGTGGTGGCGGGGGTGCTTGTTTTGGTACCTGGTGGTGAGGTTGTGCCACATGCTGATGCTGCTGCTGGTGGTGCGGCTGCTGATGTGGCTGGTGGTGCTGGTGCGACTGATGTTGTTGCTGCTGCTGCTGGTGCTGATGCTGATGCTGGTGTTGGTGCTGATGCTGATGCTGCTGGTGCTGATGCTGCTGCTGGTGCTGATGCTGAGGCTGTTGCGGCTGCTGAGGCGGCTGCTGTTGCTGCATCTGAACCGTTTGCTGGTGCTGGGGTTGGAATTGCGGCCCAGGAGGTGGGAAAGATTGAGGGGGTGGGTTGATGTGTTGTGGCTGCGAAGGTGGATTTGGGTGTGGATAGGGAGACTGCTGCGGCGGCGGAGGTCCCTGGCCAGGCCGTGGTGCTTGAGGCTGCTGGGCCTGAGCATTCTGTCCAGGTGGGTCAACTGCATACGGAGATGTATAGGTCGATGGGATAGTTCGAGCAAAGGCCGCCGGAAGGCTGCTGCGAATATTCGTGGCCATAGGGAAGGATGCGGCGGCAGCAGCAGGAGCAGGGACGGGAGTAGGAGCAGGGGAAGGAGTGGGAGCAGATATAGGAGCAGGAGCAGAAACGGGAGCAGGAACGGAAACAGGGGGAGGAACAGCGGCAGCAGGGACAGGAGCAGGAGCAGGCGCAGGAGCAGGAGCAACAGGGGCCGTAGAGGGGGCAGAAGAGACTGCAGGAGGGGGTGGTGGTGGTGGCGGCGGAGGAGGAGGAGGAGGAGGTGCTGCTGCTGCATAAGGACTAGAGTGCTGAGGAGCTGGCTGTGGTGCAGAGAAGTTGGTAGATGGCATCGGAGGGAATTGAAAGTTGTGATGCTGAGCTTGCACTGGAGGTGGACCACCGGATGGAGGAGGATATGAATGAGAAATAGGTCCCATATATGGCTGCGGAGCTGGTGCTGACATTTGCGGCGGTGGTTGTTGGGGTTGCGGCGGAGGAGGTGAGGGCCGTCTCTTCTTCTCCTTCTCGACGGAAGCACCAGGCCGGAGCTGCCATGACCATCCTTTACCATCTCGCTCTGCGTGCATGAACAAGTGGCTATTGCCATTGAGATTGTGCCGTACACTTGAAGTCCAACCCTCTGTCTCGCACTTGAAGCGGAAGTAGGGATACTTCAATTTCAATGCGCGGTAGATTTGCTTGAGCGTCATTGGGGTACCGGCTTCTGTCAAGGCATCAAAGATGAGAACAGCATAATTGTAAGGCGGCTTAGCAAGATCTTCCTGCGTGTAGACAGACTCGGGGGGATAGTTTGGAGATGGAGACCGAGAGGGTTTCCGTTTCTTGACTGGCGGAGGCTTCACGTATTCCTCCTGCCTTTGCTCTGGAGGGTATTGACCACCTTCCATGGAAGGTAGAGGATAATCCATGCCATCGGGCTTCCGCTTCTTATACTTCCTCTTTTCTGCTGAGGGCTTGACAGCCGAAGGTGGTGATTCAACTCCAACAGACTCCAGCGTGGTAGTATTTGTTGTTATTGTCTTTCCTGCCTTGATTGGTGGACGGTTCTGCATCGGTGGTGTGACACCACCATTGGCTTCCCGCTTAGCGGCTATCTTCTGCTCCCGAGCAAGTTCAGCTCTTTCACGCTTGGACATGATTCCATCCTTGGGGGGTCGACCAGGCCCACGGCGGCGGGCCGGCTGATCTCCTGAAGATTCAACGGAGTGCGCCTTTGAGTCATGGTCTTTCGTCTTATGGATATTCTTAGTCAACCCGGAAGAATCCCTGCCATCGTCATTATCGCTTAAACCGTCCATCTCATCATCAAGCTCGTGTTCTGCGTCGGCATCGGCATCGGCATCGGCATCCGCGTCGGCATCCACGTCGGCATCCACGTCAGCGTCAACCTCTACAGACTGTGGAGCTTCTTTTTCCTCTGCTGCCTGTTCTTCCAAACGATCTGCGCCAGTCTCTCCGATAGGAACATCAGGTAATAGGAATCGAATACGCACGCCTCCAATTTGGATGTAATCTCCGCTGTGTAACGGACGGAGTTGGCCTGGCGATAACCAATCGGCTCCGATAAAGGCACCATTGCGGCCCATGACCTCCATCTCGAAGAGACTCCGGTCAAAATTGTAGGCGATGCGGACATGTCGACGAGAGATACCACGGTGACCTGCGGCACTGCCGTCAATGGTTGATGGGGGGTGAATGGGAATTGTCGGACAAGAGTCAGGAGATGGGAGTAAAGCCAAGGCATCAACAGGTTTAGGGTCACCGTTTCCATCTTCAAGGGATTGCATTGCAAGGGCATTGTAGTCCGTTGAAGTAGTGGTCTGCAATTGCGCGGGATTGGCATGCAAGGGCATAGCCGATTCACCGAGAGAAGATTTTGATGATCGTCGGCTGATATTTAAATTGGATGGCATATGCGGGGGGACGTCCGGATCAAAGCCCATAATACCTCCACGATCACTGACCACACTGCCCATCATGGCAGCACTTTCCTCCCGTTTTATGCGGTTGGGTGTATGCGAGGCGTTTGAGCTCCTTGCTCGAGAGCTCCGCACGGCCTGCCGGTACTGGATTTCTCGCTGATGGGCGGCGCGTGCAGCTCGGACATCTCGCCCTAAGATGAAAGAGTAGGTGTTGCAGTAGAAATGCCCATCATCAAATTCCAACTTGGCAAACGCCTGAATGCGAGGCTCGGACCCGGCAATTGATGCCGATGCATCTTGATAACCAAGAGCTGAAAGATCAGCGCCTTGTGATAGGTAAGCAGCCGTCAAAAGCTCATTTTGCTGAAGAGCCTCGAAAGCGTTCTTCGGATTCGCTGTCAAGTCAAAAGCTGGCAGGAGCGAGGGCTGGTCCATATTATGCTTGGAGTTTAACGGATCGGAAAGAGAATCCATAGCGTCTGATAATCGATGTTCTCCCAAGCCACCTCCTTCCTGCGCAGTTGCACCGAGTCCTGCAAGGAAATCCGTCATCGGAAAATCACCGTTCGACATGTTGGGCATACCCGCGGACACCGAGGTAGGGTCTTGTGGTAAGTTCGGATCGGCGGACGTGGAGAATTGGGCGGTTAGATCGAGTGACGGGCGATTTGAGTCGTGTAATCCTCCATCCTGTTCCTCTATCTTTTGTCCGACGAAAGGCTCTGGCGCAGAAGGATTCGGCGCAGATTGATTGCCGAGGAGTTGGGCCAATAGTGCGCCGGCAGCGGATTGGGCATTTGAATCCTTCTCGTGGTCGGCCATGGCGAAGTCATGGTTATCCAACGACTCTCTTTTTATTCCAATCGGCGTGTCGGGCAAGGCCCTGGAGGCTGGGGCAGAATTATGCATGTCGGGGATTGCGGAGTCGCTTCTAGGGTCGTTCGGGGGTGAAGCGCCGTTTTGTGAGCCGCCAAAGTCGTACATGGGCGTATCGGTGCCTGGATCAGGCGGACGATGGCCCACCGCTGGCGCCGTCATGGTCTGCGACGACATGGCTCTGGAGAGGAGAGAAGGGAAGAAGCAAAAGCTGAAGTTCTCTCTTTTGGGGCCGGGCGGTGAGAAGACGATTTGCCCGACTGGTCACTGCACGTGGCCGTAGCAGAAGGATTGTTCCCTAGCGTGAATACATGCCCTGCATGATCATGGAGACGATAACTAGAGGCCACGGGAGAAACTCGAAGGATAGGGATTGGAGAGCAAAAAAATGAGGTTCCAAACTTGTTGAATAGAAAAGTTTGGACGTTGTTCCCAATGGCCCCTACACGATCCTCCGGGTCAAATTTTCTCTTCCCGCCCCGCTCCTCTCTCTCTCTCCGACTCGATCCACTGGTTTTGGGTGCCTGGCTCCTCACCGATTCCAATGATCGACTAGATACCCAACCCAATTCTTACTTCTCTATAGATCAACTGGTCTAAGCTTTCCAGGTGGTATTGAAAAACAAACAAACATTGTCCCATATGAATTTAGGGTGAACTTATACCTAATATCCCTGAATATAGCGAACAAGAGACGGTGTAAGTGGAGTTTACCCCTCTACTGATATTCGGTGGCTTGTCTCCGCTGCAGAACTCGGGACGTACAATCTACTATATCCTAATTCCCGGGTGGTCATTGCTAAAGGGGCAAAAAACCATAAAAAAATTAGACTAAATTCACACTTTCCCTACATACTAAGTCCCTGTCTAAGCCAAAGCCCAACAAAGACATATCATAAACAAGCATAAGACGAAAATAACGAAACTGCGGGGACGAGCGGAGCAAAAGCTTTTTTGGAGTAAAAAAAGAAAAAAAAATACTAAAAAAAAAAGATATGACCTGCAGGGATGTCACCAATCTTATCAAGTAGCTAACGCACACCCCTCACGAATCCTGCTCTATACTCCACCCGGGCACTTCGCATTTGAAACTTCTCCCCAGGAGGCATCTACATATTAAACAAAAATGCCCAAGGCCAAAAAGATTGACCCCAAACAGGGTCGCACAGCAGCCCCATCACCAAACCCCCCCACCATCCCCAACTGGCCACCCCTCCGACCCCTCCTCCCCGCGGCAGACCTCAGTCTCGTCCCCCTCGTCCCCGACCAGATCTACCTGATCCAGAATTTCCTATCCAGCTCCCTATGCAAAACCTATGCATCGTTTCTCGCCTCCCTGCCACTGACCACCACGCCCGGGAAACCGAAGAAGGATGAGGCGGTGCGCGTGAACGATCGCTTCCAGGTGCAGGATGCGCGGTTCGCAGAGATGCTGTGGAGTGGGACTGCGCTGAAGGAGCTGGCTACGTCGAGGTTTGCAGAAGATAACGAGGAGCTTTACTATAATGAGGACGGGGAGTATGAGGCTCCGTCGGCGGAGGAGTTGGCGGAAAAGGCGAGGGAGGTTTGGGGTGGGCAGCCGTTGGGATTGAATCCGAATATAAGGATTTATCGTTATTCGGCGGGGCAATTTTTTGCGCAGCATTGTAAGTGGGGACATCCATGGATCTTTCATGCGTAGTACTTGACTACTATATACAATATACGGTAGTATCCGAATGTTGGGACGGACATGGCTAATTTGCTTGGCTTAGATGATGAGTCCAATTCGTTGACTTTCTTGCCTCACTCTGCTACGAAGGCTCTCCCCGCGCGCACTACATGGACTCTTCTCATTTATCTGACCACTTGTTCTGGTGGCGAGACGGTCTTTTATCCCGAACCGACACGTGCAGATCGAAATCCGGAGCCGATATCTGTGGCGCCGGAGATTGGGATGGCACTCTTGCATCGACATGGAGACCATTGTATGCTACACGAGGGAATGGAAGTGACAGGAGGAGAGAAGTGGGTGCTGCGAAGTGACTTGGTTGTTGCAAGGTGATATAGGATCATACCCAGTGGGTACATACAATTTGGTTGATTACAGTTAAGCAAACTACTGGCGTTACAAGGAACGGTGCATTGAGGGAAATAGTGCTACATGGTCGCCTACATACACAATCTATGGATTGGTTCTTACCAGATAAAAATAACTTAATGCCGAGATGAATATAATGTTTTAGTCAATTTGCTTCGCTCTACCGTAGAGAGAATACAAAAAATCCAATGAACACAGCAAGATAGTATGACAAGGACGATAATAGGTACCTGTGTCAGGGAACCACGCCACACAATAAAAAGGGAACAAGAATTTGTAGATACAGGGTCATAAAGAGTGTCGAGGTCTGGGAATAGAGAGTCACGGAAAGAAAAAGAAAAAAGAAGAGAAAAAAAAGAGGCATGCGAGGATAGGAACAGAATAATTGGAGGATGACTGGGATTTCGAAGTGAAAAAATAGAAGTAACTGTATCCCACCCAGCATCACACTCTAAAATCTGGTTTCCCATGTCCTACTTCGACTTCATCGTATCGTATCACATTTATGAGTCACCGGGAGATTTCGAAGCGTCCACCTTATAGTCGGCCCGGCGCATGATATCCTCCACGGGCCCAAGCAGCCTCTTGAATCCATCCCGGCCCAAGCGGGCCACCTTGACATCGGTCTTGGCGACAATACTGGCCGCACGCGGCTTATCATCCAACAGGGCTAGTTCACCAAAGTAGTCCCCCCGATGATAGCTCTTCACAGGAGCGTCACCCTTGAATGCCTCGGCCTCGCCTGACTCCAAGAGATAGAATGCGTCACCTGGGTCACCTTCGGAGATAATGGTGGATTCGGCAGGGAACTTGATTGTATCCAGGGCGTCGGCAATCTTGGCCCGCTCATAAGGCTTGAGAGACGAGAGAAGCGGCACTTCCTCCAAAAAGGCCTCGTACATGCGGCGTCGCTGGAAGGCAGAGTCCATCAAGATTCGTCGGAAAGTGATGCGGTCCAGTGCCCACAAAGTGCTCTTGGCCTCGGTGGAAATGACGGTCGCCGCACGTGGGGAATTATACATCAAGGCCAGCTCACCAAATGAGCCACCGGGTCCAGTGCTGCTGACCTTGTTGCCCAGACCATCAGGACCAGGTTGTACTGCACCAGATGGGTGAATATAGATGTCGAAGCTGCCATTTTCCACAATGTAGAAGTAGTCGCCTGCGTCACCTTGTGAGATCACCTTGATATCCTTGGCAGGAATAGGCTTCTCGACTAGTGCATCCAGTACGGTTCTAAATTGATCGTCATCTAGGTGAGAAAATAAGAAATTCCCACTGACAGCAGTCCTAAGTCGCGCCAGCTGATCATCCGTCTTGGGGTGGTGTGGGGGCGTCCATCCCTCCGCACCAGCTGATGTGGGGTTCAAGGACTCTGCCGACACCGAGGTGCGACGACCCAGTGCATAGTTGTTCGGGAATCCCTGTCCTGCGGGGGCTGATTGAGCTCCAGGCTCGTCGTTGCCCGCGTTGCCCGCGTTGCCCGGGCCGGATGAGGGACCCGAGTCGAAGGGACTTCCCCGGCCAAACAAAGAGCCTCCAAAGGCTTGTGAACCGCTTTCATTCAGTGCGCTTCCTCCAAAAAGGGCGGTCCCGGACAGAGCGCCGATGTTGGCCTGTCGGAAGGTCATATCGGTAGGTGACGTCACCTCGAATTCCTCGTCCTCGGAGATTTTCTGAATGTTGGATTTGTCGGACTTGGTGTTGGAATGGGTGAATGGGTTTGACCCCGGGAATGAACTTTGAGCCATGACTGGATTGTTGATAGGGGCCGGAGAGGCCGCTCCGGCCACGGGTAAATTAAAAAAGAGGGGTGGGTTGAAGTATTTGTGTGAAGTTGTTGGGTAGAGTCAGGTCTTCTCCAACTAAGATAAAAAACTGGTGATTAGAACAAGAGGTCGTCGGATAGCAAATATATGACGTGGTAGTTGAGTCGAAAGGTAGAAAGAGGATGGAAGAGAAATAGGCAAGAGGGGTAGTTTAAGGCAAACAGGAAAAAGGGTGACCAAGGAGCCAGTTTAATTGAGGAATGCAGTGTGGGAAGAGTGTCCTAGACAGATGTGTCTGGCGATAGTTGAGGTCTCGGGAAAGGGCTTTGTGTAGAAGATGACTCCTGGGAACGTCTCATCTGGCGGGGCAATAAGGAGCAAGGGAGTACACACACACAACTCACACTTTTAATGAAGGTAAAGAGGAAAAGAAGCTGAAGATTCCAAAAGGAAACGACGGGCCAAGCAGGAAGGACTCGAGGTCTCGTGCAAATCAATTGGACGGGGAGATGGAAAGGGTTAGAGAAGGAGGGGTAACAGGCGAAGAGGAGTAAAGTTGGGGCGGGTTGGTCTGAGCTTCTCTCGCGTCGATCAAGCGGTCGTTTCCCTTATGGTGATCGACGTCACTCGTTCCCATCTTTGGTTCAACTAATGGATTTAGGACAAGGGAAAGATCCAATCGAATAGCTCCATGCTCAATAATGTGTGAAGGAGTCTGGTCCGCTTTAAACTATAATTACAATCAAAAGTGGGCAAGACTAGGGAAGTTTTTAATAATAATTTTTTTTTTAGAAGGAAAGAAAAAAGAAGCTTGACGTCCGAGTCTTCCAAGTGTCTTCTAGAACACGGCTGATCATTTGGCATTGGTCGCCACAACAGTGGGACGTGGTGGCAAAACGGGGGCTCATATGACTCTTGGAGTCATGCATTTAGGCCAAAGTTACATAGTAAAATCCATTTAATTATTTTTTAGCTTAACATGCCTATAAAATCGCCGTTTGCGGATACTTGGAGGATTTTTTTAATCTTGATGTGTTGCTGGAAAATAAAAAAAAATATTTTATTCTCGAAAATCTTTTATGTTCGACTCCTTCTATTTCTTTCCCAGTAGCATTGGCCTTCAAGTTGGTGTAAACGCCTATCTTACTATCTTACGTGGAAACAATTGAATCCCACCAGTTGGCATGTAGGGCAGTGCCGATCAGGTCACTTCAGAGCAAGCATATCCTTGCTCTGGCTTTGAGTTTTTCTTGCTTTAGCTTCACCTCATAGGTAGTTGGCAACGACAGCTTATTATTGAACCAATTGAAAACTCTTATACTCTTACTTAGATTCTAGTATATATACTTGATTTCAATGTTCTTTCAATATTTCTTTAATTTTTTCACAATCTATACGTAGATAAAAAAATCATTCTTAGGGTTAGGTAATCGCAGTTGGCGCCGGGTCTAGATGGTGGCCCAACGATGAAACCATGGATCTTACCACCAATCGCTGTGAAAAGCTCACTATAACAAGTACTTTTCTATATAGATGATTAATATTGTTGCTTTGGCTTGTAGTGCTCGGACCAATCGACTTTACTGGAATCTTCTCCATTTTCTTTCTTCTCCTTCTCATTCTCCTGCATTTTTAAACTTCGACTTGATAGGAAACCCTGAAGGGCCTGAACAGTCCGAACTCCTTGGCCCTGGCACTTGGTCTGTGTCACACCCCACCCGAATTTAGAGCTTGGAAGCGCCCTTCCAACTTTGATCTTCTTCCCCCTTCCAACTCTTTTACCTGAATATTATTTTTTGTCTTGACATTAGGCCTCTTTGGGTGCATTTTGTCGCAGCAATGGGTAGCTACACATTTCAATGGTGAGTTCTATGATCTATCCGAATCAATTTCTTCCGGGCGCGGGCGTCCGGGGTTGTGGAGAGCTCGAATCCATTCCCTTACGCCCCTCCGAAGTGGCACAGACATATTCCTGGATTGGTTCGCTGACTGGGCGGTTCCTCGCATTTGCATCAAGGCTTTCTCCCGCGAGTGAAGTCTTCGTTACTGGCACATTCGACGATTGGGGCAAGACAGTGAAATTGGATCGGGTGGGAGACATTTTCGAAAAGGAAGTGTCTCTTCCGATCGGAGAGAAGATTCAGTATAAGGTAGGTTTGGATCTCTTTTTTCCTTTTATCTCCCCATTCTTCTCTTTTTCTTCTGCTTTTTCCCTCTCTTTTTTTTTGCCCTATAATTCTATAGGGGATTACGCCGCAGCCGTAGATAAGAAAAGATGTTGCGGTGAGAGAGCGGGACTGCCTCAGGCCAAGAATTTACTAGGCACCAACCCCAGCTTTGTATGACGCCTTTGTTGCTTACTGACGTCACTTTCCCTTGTCCCGCTTTCCCAAAACTATAAGATCAACTTTGCGCCACAAGAGGGGGAGAACTTGTACTAACATTACTACTCTCTCAAGTTTGTTGTCGACGGAATTTGGACCACCGACAAACGTGTACGCGAAGAGAACGACCATTCCGATAATCTTAACAACGTGCTTCTACCGGAAGAGATCCAGACCCAGACTCCGAGTCAGAACCAGACCCAGACCCAGACCCAAACCGAACCCTTTGATCAGAACCAAGACACCACAACCCCCGCCACTGCAGTTATGTCTGGCGTGACCCCTGACTCCACTACCGCCATCCTGGCGGCCAATGTCCCCAAGGAAGAACAGAATGGTCACCTCCCGGGCGCTTTTCCCGACACCCCCGGACAAGAGTCCGAACAAATCTTCTCTGTGAATCCAATCCCAGCATCCGGTGGATACGGGAACCCGATCAAACTGAACCCTGGCGAGAAGGTCCCCGACCTCAGCGCGATCCATGGCAACACTGTCAACTCGACCGTGAAACTGGACAAGGAGTCCTATGAAAAGAGCGATAGCGTGCCCCTCAGCAGCGCTGGCACCCAAAGTGACACCGCCGGCCCCAGCGCTTTCACCTTGCCCCCCGTATCCAGAAACCTCATCCCCGAATCTAGTCTGCCTATGGGCGGTCCTGCTCAACGTGCTGCCACCAACGAACAAGATCAATTCCAAGCTGGAGGTCCTGCGCAACAGGCTGCCATGGCTGACCCCGGTTTCACCATTCAATCTGCCCACCCTTCATCCACTACCGCTGCACTGGCCGCGGAAGTTCCCTTGGAGTCAGTGAAGGAGAACCAGACAAATGGCACTGCTCCTGTGAATGAAGTCCCCGATGTAGTGAAGGAGTCTATTAGCGAGGCTCAGCAAGACCCCGAGGCCACAACTAATAAGGAGGCCGTGGAAGAGAAAAAGCTGGTTGAACAAGAGCTTGCCAAGAAGGTCGAGGTGGACGAGTCCACTGGCGCCCCTGCCCCCACTGAGACCGCTGCCACTTCCGCCAAGGCCCCTGGCCCCACCGCTGCTGGTGTCACTGCTGCTCATTTGTCTTCTGGTGGCTTCGACTCTGCCGATGTGTCCCCGACCTCAAGCCCACCCCCGGGCCATGCGGCGCCTACCTCCGCTCCTGTTACCTCCGCGCCTGCTACTTCTGAGCCTGCCACCTCCGCGCCCAAGACCACTGAACCCGAAACTCAACCGACAGTGACCACTGGTGCAGAGACTGCCCCGACCCCCCAAGTCAGCTCTCCTGCCAAGCAGACTACTACCGGTGCTAGTGCCGGAAGTGTTCACAAGGATGAGAAGCACGCTGATAAGAAGAAGCACCGCCTTAGCGGGTTCTTCAACAAGCTCAAGGAGAAGCTGAAGTAGAGATTCTCCGTGGATATTCTTTCTCTCGGTGATTCTTCTCGTTCGGAAGCTGGGACACGTTCAAAACCTTTTAGATATTGAACATTCAGTGGTCTACTAAGTCACTGGGAAATACTTTTGCTTGTTTTGTTATTGTTTGGGGCTGTTCCTTGCCTTTTGATTTGCTGTCTTTTTTTTGTTTGTGATTGATCGTTTCGATCTGGATACCTCATTTGCACGCACTGCCGCATTGTACTCCAGCAAGCCTTATTCTGTCTTCCCCTAATAGTGCTTCTTATTCATCGAATGAATTATCTATTTCATCCTCATTCGTCAAGGCCCTTGTGTACTAGTAAATAGTATGTATGATCTTAGTACGTATACGTATTCAACAACAAGTATGTAAAAGTCGTCCAAAAAAATTACCCCAAACTCCAACTCCGAGAAAGATAGAACTCCCAATCAAGTCAAGTTCAACTCAGCCTTTATGACCACAAGCTCGATGCATGTGGGCATCAGAACGGTATAGCATTACTGACTTTCCCATTCAGTTTGACCGGGTATCCCAACACACTACATATGAATCAAAGTTCTATATTAGCAATATTCCCACCAGTGCATCTTGCGAAGTAAAAGGTAGAAGCATACTCTCTCCCAGTCTGTGTGCATCCACAACCGCAAAAGATCGAAGCGGGCCAGCAAACGACCTATATTGAGAGATTAAGGGTCAGTCTCGACTCTCCAATAGCATTCACGCAGTCTAGGTATATTTGACTCCAATTTCACATACAGCCGCGACAACCGTACAGCAGAATCCTAATTGAAGAGATGGGGATGTCAGTTGATACACATTGCAGCATGTATAGTAGGGCAATGGGGGGGCGCAATGCGGGCACGAGCATTCCTCAACTTACCGAGCGTCGGCCCGACCACCTTACAATGACACGGATTCTGATCGGTGCCGCATTGGAAGCAGATAGGTAGGAATGGGATGAAAGGGACGTCGCACATTGCGTTGGTGAATTGGGATGGGGTTTAGGTGTGCGAATGTTGCGGGAGAGGAAAGGAAAGGGAGAGTAGTAAGTATTCGGAGCTTCGCTTAGGAGATGAACAAGTTTTTTGGAGATCTTACATAGCTCTTTTTTTCTCGTTTTCAGCTTTCCCCAGATTACTAGAGCCGGAATTGACCGCTTGTGGAGTTTGGATTCTATCATCATGACGCAGATGAAGAGCATTGCCGATCCGGGTAATTGTGGAGACGTTCATGGAAGATAGAAACTTTGATATACTATCGATATGGATACTAGGTTGACCACTTGACTTCCTTTGATGTTAATCTTTGCAACTTCATGCTATACATAGTACTAATTGGTATTACCTGATTTAGGCCCTTTACCCCTGACCTATATTGATAGTATTGGTACCTCGTATGTACTGGCAGTATCTTAGTTCAAGCACCCATGTACTTGCCATGTACTTGCCATGTACTACTTGCCATGTACCTTTGAGGCTTGATAATTTCCGGCAAACGGGCTGAACAGACCAGTTATAGGCTGCCATCTCGTATCGCCTTGTGCCCCTTGGCCCAGTGACTCGTTCGCTTAATTTTTCATAATTCCACAGATTCGTCCGTCAATGAATGATTTTTGATTTTCATCAATCTCAGTTGCTATAACTCCATCGATCTTTGAAGCGAGATGGAACTGATCTTACTTATCCTTGAGACACTCTTAATGACCATTGTTCCCATTGCCTGGAGTCGTCGCTATGTCTACAAAGTATAACTGCTCCGACAGAAATCCACCATGGTCTTCCGACAGCGAAATCACAGGGACCGGGGTAATGTTTCCACGTCTCTTCCAATCTCCCTCCCTTCTCTCTCTCTCTCTCTCTCTCTCTCTCTCTCTCTCTCTCTCTCTCTCTCTCTCTCTCTCTCTCTCTCTCTCTCTCTCTCTCTCTCTGGTGCGCTTGAGTATTCTGACTGTCCTAGGTCATCATTAACTATGTGGTTACATCGGGTATTGCCCTCCTGATAATCATCGTCTATTATTTTACCACGTACGAACCTACTCGTGATCCGTTCAAAAAAGATTCACCCCTTTCCTCTTCCTATCGATCCCGACATGTCTTCCGGCCAAATCAAGTGGACGCAATGCTGCTGAGATTTGGTCGTCGTCTTTCCACAAATATCTTTATGACTCGTGCGAAAGCTTTTCAGCCCAATGCTCGCCTTGAGAAGTTTTTCATCAATGTAATAAACAACCAAACATCTGGCGACCACGAGGAGATGCTGACCTTACTTCAAGTCCATCCTAGCTATGAGTGATCTGCAAATAGTGACCGGGCTATCCATCTTGATCAGCGGCTTCGCACAATTTCCCTCAGGCTTGACAGTCTATTATTGGCAGGCGATTGTTGATTTGGCTTGGTTCTCCAGCCTCACTCACCTTTCATGTTTGACCATATTACGGGGCTATCTCTACCATCATGCCTCTGAGCGCGAATGGAGATTATTTTCTATGGGCTTATTGGCTACATTACTGGTGGTGGGCTTGGTGTTTACTGGGAACTATTCCTGGGCATTCCAGTTCATTGAAAACCATGAAAGTGTCCCCACTATCACTGAGTATGCAATTTGCTACCTACATGTGATTTCAAGCACAGATAAGGCCTTCATATCAATGGTAGCATCGGTGTTTCTGATCATTCTCTCATTTGCCTCACGCATTGTGAAGCTACACAGAACGCTATCTGTGGGCATATTTGGTCGAGCTCGAGAACTTTCAAGTTCCTACACTCGAGGCTATCTCTTACTCGTGTTCAACTGGTGTAGCAATGACTCGCCGAGAAGCTTGAAGCGTACACTTTGTTACTACCCCGTTTTTGCTGCTTTTCTTCAATTCAGATTTCTTTTGGACTTCTGGGCATCTATGCTACTCGAGGTACGCTCAAAAATCACTGGAATACAGATAATCTAAAACTTACATTTCTTCCCCTAGATTGGCTGGCTTCTCGTGGGCTTTACTTGGGGCATAACACGCTTGACAACTCTTTTGTCCCAACCTACTGATTGGGGCCTGCAGAGCTCCTCCCGTGATAGTGATAGCAGCGACTGGAGCTTTGGACAAGTTGTTGCTCTGGTGCTTCTTGTGGCTCCGCTAATTACTGTGGTAGAATTCTTCAACAACAGTGAGTCTCTATGGTTTTATTCATGATTGCAATTACACCTACTTTTCATCTATCCTAAACATTTCTCGTTGACATAGGCCAAGAGGATAAAGACGACACACAGAATGATGCTAATCCCGCCGAAACTGTGCCTTTATCCTCTCAAATATACCCCACAGCCGACTTAAATACTGGATTCTCAACCGCAGCGTCAGGTAGACTTGATAGGCCTGATCACCCCGATAGTCACTGGGAACATCAAATGAGAGCCCTTGGACTTGCTACAATATTCTCCGTGATTCTTTGTTTCTCCCTATTTTCTCATTCCTGGGTCATTATGCTTTCGATCAGCAATAGTTCTTTGCAGGGAGTTGAAAACAGTTTTACTACTACTCGCTATGTCACCCCATTCACCGGGTTATTTTTGGTCATCTTGAATTCGCTTTTGATTCAGATTGTTGTGCCACAGGAGAGAATCTGGCTACGGATAAGTTTGGAGACTGCAAACATTCTATTTGCTGTTTGGCCATTTGTATTACTCCAGTATATGTACAACTCTTACTTTATTTGCAGTCAGGCCATTACTTTGATCATCTACATCGGAGCTTGCCTTTGGTACCGCTTTTGGAGTTAATTGAAATGAACGGACTTGATTTCGTTTTATCTTATTGTCTTGATGAGAATCCAAGGCACTACAATAAACGGGAACTGAACATTTTCAGTCGCGTCTCAAAGCTAAGGTCATTTTGTACGGAATTTGTCTTTCACAAATAACCCTAGGAAAGTGTAATATCTTGTCAAGAATTGCATTAGTTATGCAGAAGTGATTATAAACAAATCAGATCCAGTGTTACATATGGCTCAGACTCGAGTCAGACACGAATTACTTACTGTAAATAGTTACTATGGGGTATCCACAATTCATACCCGAACGGGGCAAAAGCGCCAGCCACTGCATACCCTCTTTAAGGAAATCATCACGCCGCACCGCCACATTCCCAAAATAACGTCACAGGGACCATCCGTTCTCCTGATCCGATCTAGCTCGCTTTCTCTGATAATTCCATAGCAAGGTTTCTTACGGAGTATTCTTCAACTCAACGCCTACCTCCTTCATCTATAAGTATACCAGGCAGCAAGATTCATTTACCTAAGCGCCCCATCAGCATCACACCCTCGGCCTTGGCGTCTTGGTAACGCGCACACCTTTAAAACCTTTAACCGCCTCAGTCGGACTCCACTCCCGATCACCCCAAAGCCACACCTCCCAGCGCCCACCTTCAAACGCGCAAACGCAAAGTCGATCTCGATACACACCACCTCTCGGGAAACCCCGCAAAAAAATCAAAGAAAATATTCGAAAATGCCCGACTTGAAGAAAATCGTCCCCCTCGTTCTCCTTCTGCTCTTTGTTGTCATCCTCGCTGCGGTGGGGTACGCGGTTTATAGCGTCCTTCAGGATGTCAAGAAGAACACTCGCGCAGAGATGGAGCGCAAGCACGTGGTTATTTCTAAGGAGGGAATGAAGGTTAGCATGAAGGAGGTCAATGATGAGGTCTACAAGGATCAAACTCAGAGGTACGTTGCGCAACGTCTTTATTTCCCGTGTCTCGTCGCGGGTCTACCGTCTGGCTGGGGTGTGGGGTGGAGTTTGCGGATTTTTTCCCGTCTTCGCCTTTTACATTCCCCGGATTTTCTTCAGCCACTCAGACTAGACTATCCCGGCCTCTTGCTGACTTGCCTTATCACACAGCGTTCTCTACAACATGTGGAACCACACCTCCTTCCCGGCATACAAGAGTCGACTGTGGGATATGACGGGAGCATCGGGCTCAAAGACCGAGAGTGGCGCCGAGAAGCGAAAGCCGTACGTACTATCTCGTCTGGTTCCCTGTGGCATTTGAATGTTCTGGCAAATCCAACTTTGATCTGATTCGCTAACGTGTTTGGTTGTTTGTTTAGGCACTCGAAGTAAAACGTCGCACAGTCCCTCTTGCCTACTTGCCGATCTTATCTTGCTAGACACTACACACGGAACCTGCAGAATTACCCGATTGGGGCTCTCCTTTTGATCTGCACATAGCTGCCCTGCGTGCATATTATACAGTAGCGTGGCATTTGGCTCGCGTTCTCCGTTTGCATTTGTGTTATTCTGAACCTACGGGCGCAGGCAAATCTTGCTGTTTTCATCGTCTGCTTTTCACACGACTTTATGCTTTCTGGCAATCATGTCATGATGTACGATAATGCCTTATACCCCGAGGTCTCTCACGGTGACCTTCACTCGTCAGTGTGAGGGTTGGGTTGGGATCTCACGATGGCATTGCCATCTTGACTTGATTTTCCTCTTGATTATGAATTTCATTTCTCAAGTGCTATGTTCTATTTCTTATTATCGATGGTACATAATACATGCATGAACTAAATAATAACCAAGTACATAGGTAGTAGTAGGTACCTGAGCACCTAAACTCCTAGGCCACTGCACATAAACGATGTATCGTGGCCAGAGACGTTACGCATGCGGGCGGGCCGTATGGCATTTCTCCCCATGCATACGTTAAAAGTCGATAGATATCATCGACTTTACATATCAGCATAGTAGCTGTAATCCTGGTTCAAGAGGTAAAAGGCCTCGGGCTCGGTCTCGCCCGAACCACCGTACCAAACAGGAGGGGTCAAGGTCTTGGGGGTATCAGTGCGACGCTCGTTAGTGAAGACAGTCTCGAAAGTCTTAGCCCACTGGACACGGTTGTTAAGACCCTCCAACTCCCAAAGCTCCTGCAGGAAGTGCAGAATGGAGCTGTGAGTGTAGGCGGAGTTGTCATCGTACATGGTGCCCTGGTCGTGGATAAGAGTGTTGGCAGTGATGTAGGGCGAGATGAGGAAAGCGGGGACGCTAAATGGAGCCAAGTCTATTAGTATTTAATTTGGTTTAAGGATGGCCATGGCATGGGTAGGAAACATACCGGACTCCCAGGCGGGTGAAGTCGTATTGAACGACGTGGCCATCGGAGGTGCCGTTGAAAGTGATACCGTCCTTGGGCTGGGGGACGTTCATGGGCGGGGCGACGTGATCGGCGAAGCCACCGTGCTCATCGAAGTTGATGATCAGCAGACTAGTATGAAGTTAGTGTCTATAGAATTTTGGAGTGATCATGTGGGGGGTGGTGTACTCACGCATTGTCCCAGTAGTCGGAGGCACGGAGCGCATCGTACAGGTGCTTGAGCATCTGTTCGCCAGAGGCCATGGGGCTAGTGGGGTGCATGGAGTCGATGGTACAGCACTCTGGGTTGATGTACGAGAAAGTGGGCAGGGTGCCTTCCTTAAGATCGGTAAAGAAGTCGCTAGCATGAGCAAGGCGGTCCATGGCGTTGTCTTGAACCCACTGCGAAGAATCAGCAATTGAAATCACAACTTGAAAGTTCTGGATGTCTGTAAACGAACCTTGTACATGAAGGCATCGATGATGTCGGTCTCGTAGTACTATACATTTAACTGTTAGTTTCCGTAGAGGTATTGGGGTCTTGTTGCAACATACGTTTTTCCAGGTGATGTTCTTGTTGGTCAAGGACTCGAAGATTGAGGTCGCGCAGGTAGTTCCGGTCACATTGTTCCAGAATCCAGAGGCCTGGTTGGTGTTGTCGACAAAGCCGCAAGAAGATCCGGAGGTCGCAAACTGGCGGTTGACATCGGTCGGGCCAGGGTGCTCAGCGAACTATATCTTAACGTTAGCGCTATTCCTTGTGGCTTTTTCTCCCATTGGCAACGCTAAGCCTTAGCGCTGCTGGCTACTAGGTCACTTACATAAGAATCAAAGAAGGCAAAGTTCTTTGCCAGCTCGGCCAGAAGAGCAGTCTTCTTCTCGTCATAAGCCTTGATGACAAAAGAGGCATCACCGGGAGTCTCGCTGTACTTCTCCGACTGGCGCTCAATGAAGCCGCTCATATCAGGGACATCATCACTGGTGGGGTTCCACTTGCGGAAGATTTCATAGCTGGTACCAGCAAAGTTGTGATCCGGGTCCTTCAACGGCACTTCATTCTCATAGGGACCGGCGCAGATCTCCAAGGGCTCTCCCCAGACGGTCCAGTTGGAGTTTGTGTACTCATTGCAGAAAGAGATGTTGCGCAGGTTGTCGATATCCGGGTGGAAGTCCCAGTAACCGGCAATGTTGTCGAAGGAGTGGTTCTCAAGGGTCAAGTAAATGACATGCTTGATCTATTTGGAGTGTTAGTGAAGCTGCAGGTGAGGGTGGCTTCGCAGAATTGTTAGAGTCGGATTTACTTACGTTCTTACGCAGTTGGCTCCACACTTGAGTGTTGTCCGTCGGAAGAGCCGATGCCACAGCGACGAGGCCCGAGAGAGCGGCATAAGTCCAGGTAGTCTTCATACTGGCGGGATTCCCTTGAGTGGATCGGAACAAGTTTGCGAGGAATGTGTCCGGCCTTCTCCACACGATACTTGGATGCGGAGGGGATCATGAGGCAATTTATACAGTGGAGATTGCAAATGCCAGTGATCTTGGAATCTTTGCCAAGCTGGACCCATGGCCCATTCCTTGTCTTGGGTACTCTGTAGTCTTCATTTTGATTTTACTTTTTTCCCTGTCGGCGCACTCCGTCCTTCTAGAAAAATGAGTGGACACGCTCATTTCATCTATTCTGAGTAGCTTAGACCGAAGCTAAGAGAGCACGAGGGCCAGGTTGGACGCTAATTGCCCATGTCCGCCAGTAGGGATATAGCCGAAGTCCTATCAAGGCCGGAGGATTCGGCACGATCCACACGACTTGTGCAAGTGATTCCCCATTCTTGCTAAAGTGGGGTTGGGAGGGGAAAAAAAAAGAAATGAGAGAAGCTAGCGCGGTCTTGATAAGGATGATATCTGAGTAGGAAGCGGGATGAAATTAAAAAAAAAGAGAAGATAAACAGCCATACTCGGTACTCCGTACGTGTTTTCCGAATTTCTTTTGATGTGGAAATTAGATCTGAGGGGAATTTCAGATAACACCAAAAAAATTCAAAAGTCAACAAATTGTTCACAAGCTTGGAAAAACGCACATGGGAGGTGCGTGTGAACGGAGCACGGCAGTAGCGGAAGTGATCAAGATCGCGTGGGAATTCGTACCTGGCGTGGCTTCTAGATCCTCTTCCTTTGGTATTTCCAATCTTGGTTGAGTCCGGTTAGATAAGTCATCGAATGAGGAAATGGCAAGTGGACACCTGGACCTTAGTCAGCCCAACCGCTGACAATAAATCCGAATGTGATTGGCTGGGGAGTTTACCCACTCGGTCAAATAAGCACCAGCGGACTCCACTCGGTTCCACAGTTGTCACTCAGTTGCACAGATCCTCCGCGAATCAGCGTTGCACGTGCCTGGTGTTGCATTTAGCCCCGGGGCCAATGTTGATTTTAGTACAAAAGTCGCCAAGCACGTTTTTCCTCGAAAGGCTGTGATGGGCTTATAACTCCGCACGAGCATTGTAACGTTTCCAAGCGAGGCACACGCTCATTGTCCCTCTTAAGTCCGACGATCGCTGCTTTTCCTTTGCTTTTTCTCGATCGCTACCTTTCAAAACAAATCTCCATCCCTTGATTCGATTATGTCCATCACCTCAATCAGCGGCCTCATGTCTAACTACTCGCCCTTGTCAGACCGGGCTTCGTCCGTCGAGGACGAGAAGGAATCCCACCGTCTCCACTCGGACGTTGAAGCCGGTGAGAAGCAGCTCGCCGAAAAGAAGAACAACCGCTGGATCGATGGCCGCACCGTCTCCGATGCCATTATTGGCTTGTCAGACGGAATGACCGTGCCCTTTGCTCTCACTGCCGGTCTCTCGGCTCTGGGAGACACCAGAGTGGTTGTTTTCGGTGGCATGGCCGAGCTCATCGCAGGTGCTATCTCCATGGGTCTTGGTGGATATCTGGGGGCTAAAAGTGAAGAGTATGTACACCGCGCGACCAAACAAAACACCTGAAATGAAGAAAAAGAAAGAAGAAAAAAAAACAGTGGGCAACAAACCACTCACCAAGTTCCACCAATATTGACAATTATGCAGAGAATCCTACAAGGCAACACTCAAGGAAACCGAAACACAAACCATGACCGACCCAGCCTCGGTCTCCGGTACAATCTCCGAAATCTTCGAACCCTATGAGCTCCCATCCGAACTGGTTGCCCAACTCACAAACCACCTCTCCGCCTCACCACTGCTTCCTTCTTTCCTCATGAACTTCCACCACACACTCCCCGAGCCCTCAGGCTCGCGCGCCGTCATCTGTGCCCTCACCATTGCCCTGGGCTACTTCATTGGCGGCTTCGTGCCCCTTCTACCATACTTCTTCGTCGGTCCCCACGATGCCTTCATTGCTCTCCGCTGGTCTATCGCTACTATGGTCGTCGCCCTCTTCCTATTTGGATACGGCAAAACCTGCTTTGTTAGTGGCTGGCGCGGTCGACGCAATATCCGCAAAGGTGTCGTGGGTGGTGTCCAGATGGTTCTCGTTGGAGGTGCTGCGGCCGGCTCAGCCATGGGTCTTGTCAAGTTATTCCAGATGCTAGCCGATAGCAAACCTCATCCAGACCACCAATGATCTCAGCGTGACCTGTACTAAAACCGACTTGATTTGCTTTTTGTTTTTCTTCTGATCTATGGCGCTGGCGATTTGGGCATTTTAACAACATCTACGGAATGGGCGTTTAGCGGAGGTTTTCTTGTTTAACCCAGCCTTTACAATTGTGGCTGCAGGTGGTCTCGGGGTAATTGTATAATTCTTGTTGACTCAAGTAGCTTTTTCGGCAGGATTGAGCTATCAATTAGATCTCATCCTAAAAATCAATCAATTGATCGTTTTATCTCAAAGTTGCAAAAATATGCCTAACATTGATTGAATCAATTGATTATGTATATCTAAGTACAAGTCTAAGCACTGCTATTACATTCACAGATATTCAAATTATCTGGAAACTGCACGCGTGTACATGAACTGACCTCGAAAGCTCAGAAATGGATGCATGCACCAGTGCTTTCACCATCAACCGATCCAGGGATACGGTGGCAATATTGATGCTGTGGGGTACAATCCTTCATCCTAGGTGATCCGCATGATCCGAACATTTGAAGTGAATTTGTCGAAGTCCTATCCACATCTGTTCGTCATATTGCCAGCGGCAACCTCGAATAGGTAACAAATTGCAAAAAAAAAAAATCCAAGATTACTCGAAGTGGAAATAATATGACGTGAGTACCGAAAAGAATATAGTCGTGGGGGCGGGGGCTATAATCAAGGATGCCTTAAGGTTATCTGGAATTGAGCTAAGAACGATATTCCCGATCGTATAGATGCGTGAAGATATTTATGTGGACAAAGGACTGGGGGCCAACATTGAATAAACGGCATCAATACTCAAAGAGGCATAGAGCCGCGTGCCCCTATACTTGGTCATTTGCATATGAGTCCTAACTAGGCTTGGGCCCCTGGCCTTGAGCTTGGCCCCATTGATGTTGACACGTGATGACCTCTAGTGGCCTTTATTTACAGTAATCCAGCACTTAAACCTCCTCACATCAAGCATTGAGGCAAGGCCCAAATCTCTCTCCTTCGCACTACTGCTGAAAACCTCGGGATCTCCCAAACCCACTCTACCTTGTGCTTGAGCTTTGTATATCTGTCAGATAATCTACAGCGTTATGTTGCGTCCGGGACATAGTATGTTTGTCATTTGAAGTCCGGCTTGATTGATATCCACTTGCGCATGTGACTTTTACTCGGCATACATGAGTTGGGCCAATAATCTAACCAAGATATCCATGACACTGAAACCTTAGACTACTGACAATTCTCAAGTGTCTTGATAGCACACTGCAGCATCGTGCGTCTCAAACCACGACCAGGTTCACAGGCTTCAAATGTTGACAAAGTAGTTGTCAACTACAGAAATTTGACGACCTACTACAAGCCAAGTGCGCCAATTTACAGAAGGACCAGACCAAAAGCATCTACGCTCAGATCGGCGCCTCCCGAGCTCAAGAACATTTGAATGTTACTCATTCCGAAGATAAAAACACGCCATAGGCTCTCGCAGAGATCTCTGACATGAGAGCCTGTCTTTGGCACTGAGTGATTCTCAAGTCAGAAAAATGATGATATTGGACACGAAGCTGGTGAACTTGAAAAACTTCCCAGGATTTCACCGACAAACCAAAAGATGGTCGAAACATCTGAAGTCCCAGATCTTATTATTGAACACGATAACAATACGCAAAATACCATCCACAGCCAGGGCTATCACTGATCCAGCGTGGTCGTTTCCAGAGATGGCTTTCGGGTATTAGTTTTTCTCTTTCGATCAATGCCTCTGCTGGGTGCGGCAACTCTGGCTCTATGCTCGATGAGCATTGAACATGCCGTTTGCGCAAAAACAGATTCATTGGTGTTACAATTGCCTTTTGCTATTTTGCACCAAGCGTTTGAATTCTCCTGGAATGCTCGGCTTTGCTGTTGCAGCTTTGAAACTTCCATTGAGAATGGCCGAAAAAGATGCAGAGCATTTGAATCGCAAGGATCGAAAAACTGCAACCAGGGGCGCCACTGGACTCGTTTTTAACTCAATGGGGCGCAGTCTGGTGGCAGCTTTATCTGCCTTGATGGACTAGATGGGAGACTCAAGTCTTCAAATGTTTGAGTAAGGATCACGACTTTTGCAACGAGTTCATCTATCGAGAGTTATAGGGGGGCACACGAGATTGTAGTCTCCCCAAATTTCAAGAGAAAAAATTAACTAGGCGCACATCATGAATCAGATACTCGCCAATCACCAAAAAGCTCCAATCAATGATGGTCGGGATATATATGTCCCTTAGGAATGATGGCACCGATGAAAACCACTGAAAGGGCCCAGGTTGCACATGTGAAGATCAACTGGATGAATGCCTACCTTCGTTACCATGGAATTTCGGCGCAACGTGCGACAGACCTCGGGAACTCTTCAACATTGAATGCTAAGAGGAAGGCGGATAATGCCTGACAAATTTCGACTGTTATTGTTTTCGTCTTTTTGACAGGCCACTTTCCATGAGAGAACTAGCCAGTGCACTGTGCACTGGCTAATTGGTCATTGATTAGTTTGAAAGACTCTTCATGCCTTGATTATGACTGTCGATTGTCAAGGCCAATCAATTTTACCGCCCTATATGTGCAATGGACACACTGAGGCTACAAGCTACTTGCCCTGAAAACCGTTTGGAAAGGTGCCACTGTTGCTCGGATTGCACGATTGTCTATTTAAGACTATTTGGAGTCTGGCTACACTCACGAGAAGAAGGCACAGAGGATTGGAATCGGCGTGAAAGCGAGCGCACATGGAGATGGTCAGTTTCGCCTCACCCACCTTGTGGATTCAGACGATCTTTCTGAAATGCCAACGGAAGAAAAGAAAAGCCCGCCTTCCTTTCGTTGGATATGCCGGCCCCTAGTGACATTGCGACTGTGACTAATTAACAGAGAGAATACCACACGTTGCGATGTTGGCGGGCCGATTGGATATGGATGCGATTGCGAGAGTTCTTCTTGAAAAGAGAGCTGATTTTGATGCACAAGGCAGAGAGCATGGCATTGAACTTCAAGCTGCACTGGCTCGGGGCTATAAAGGAATCGTGGATAAGCTGGTGAAGTTGTGCCCCAACTCTAGACATCTACTGATTCTATTAGCTCTGAGCCGGATTATCTATCACCTTTGAAGTTTATGGAAACATTGATTGAGTTTCCAAGCGTTGAATGACCATCGAGGCGTCAGGGAGTATTATCCTGATCACGCGGACCCAGCAGTAAGGCTTTGAAGTTCGTGTATTGTAAATCGATCATTGTTGTCACTTCAACACCAGACAAGAAACAAGTTGCATGGCAAAATTCGAGCCAGCGTGGCATTGTGTCATAGTACCCCACCACCAGATGCGGGGGCATGGTATGATGGCACAAGCCACATACTGCCAGCATTCTTTGACTCATCCCAGGGCATAAGATCTACGATGCTTACCATGCCGCTTGTCGATCCTTGATTGTTAACCTGGTTTACAGGGCTGACAGTTCGATGCCGATGATTGTCAAGAATGCTGGCTGTGCTACGCCAAGCATGGGGGTAGCGTTGCCGTAAGGGGGCTGAGACCTTCTGCCCTATGAGCATAGCCACTTGGAAGGCTCCGACGTTCAAATGTCTAGGGCCGGTTAGCTCCGAATGAATCCCCTTTGGCTGTACCGTAAGTGGTTGCGCAGCAAGGTTTCCTGTAAAGCCCGGACGGCCATCAGCCACTGCGTTTGAGAAGTCATGTGGTGTCACATGAATAGATCTCCTCGCTTAATCTAGACGAGGGATGTATGCGATGCGATGCGATGCGACGGAACTTGGAAGCAGGGGCTATGGACGACGACCAAGAGAGTGCAAGGACAACAACCAAGCCAGCCAGCTGATGTTGCGGACATGTAAGCATCTCAAAGGCTTTCGCTTTCGCATACCTAGACAGAAAAACGAAATCAGCCCGAATACGACAGGCCAGATAAAGCGATTAAGTGATAATGCAGCGTCATGAAGCGCAAACCTTATAAGGGCACGTTCCCAAAATAGCCAAACAACAGCGCTCCGAACCCGACATTTGTACACGTGTGTAAGGCGGCCCTCGCCTCAAGGCTCAGCCCCCATTCCAGTATGTATTCCAGAACGGAGTATTCCACTGCCACTTAGAAGCAGCTCTGCTATGCTTCAACGGCCTCGCAGCATGCAGGCTGACCTCATACGTGTCCCCACATCGTGTGGCGCAGACACGTCCATTGACAGTTGTTCAGAGAAGTAAGTGAGGGATTCAACGTTGGCGTATCCACTTTACTCCAGGCAACCACATGGGGCCCAGAGCGCAGATTGATAGGGAACAAAGCCAAGCGAATACGATTGAAGGATAATTTACGAATATACCAAGCCTGGTAGTATTGAGCTGTCACGAATGCTGATTCAAAGATTCATGACATGAATGTTTCAGGGGGTGAACAGGATGGGGGGTTTTTTTTTAATTTTGACGTAAGCGCCACGGGTCGCGACTCGTGAGGTGATGGCTTCAGCCTTTGTGATTGGTCTCGGGCGCGACGTTGAGATCTGAAACGTGGATTTCTTTGGTTATTTGGTTATCCTGGGGCATTTGTGCCGCTCTTTTTATTGGTGATGTATCCAATGAGAGTGGTTGGAGTTGCCATTTTTAGATTGGTAGAAATCTCCAGATGTCTGTACTGCACTTCCAAGAGCTCCATTTTTGGCCTAAGAGCTACAGTATGTCCATTCCTGGACCAGCTTCAATGTGAGAAGCTAGAAGTTCCAAAATTGAAACCGATTGTTATAAACAAGTCGGATTCTGCATTGGTTTCACTCAAAATGGTAAAGCAGTAAACATCTCGTCTTGATTTCCATGGATCCTCGACTGAATTTAGTATCCGCGGCTCAAACAGGTAGCGGCAGTAACATCCAACTAAGTATCGGCATTGATGTAAAAGACGACAATGAAAGGTACTTCTCAGATCAAACCTGTCAATCTCATTTACATACCAACCCTGCATACTGCTTGATTTCGGATTTAAAGAAAAGAGCCTCAAAAACGACATTTATTGACAGTATTCAAATCCTTCGTGAACTTCTTAATCTTCTTGATCGGGCAGTAGCGATCATCCCAGGAGATTCGGAGGTGGAAATCACCATGATCGTCTTTGTTATTCCCAGTTGTGTCTTCCTCTACCTCTTGTATTGGTGGTGGGTATCCAGAACATCCAGAGGTCGGTCAACTTGGTCCATCAACATTTGAACTATTTTTGGGCATGATTGCTAACTTCAAAGGGACAAAAGCCATCGAGCATAGACCAAGAGACTGCGAGAATCCCTGGCCCCATTCAAAGAACGCAGCCGCCCCTGTTCGCGTTTCTACTCTTCTGCCAATGTGATCAGCAATCAAGTGGTTGTCCTTTCATGTACGCACTACTAGTATACATACTATCGTGAAATTACACTTGGGGAGCCTTGACAGGTCGCCTTGTCAGGTCAGAGCTTTGGCCCCCTTGAAGAGATTGTGATTGGCCATAGCTGCGCGACTTTGGAATCTTGAAACTGGGGGCGACAAACTAGGCCATGATCGGCTTCAAGATATCCATCCGTGTCTAGTGAAAGTTTGCGGGAAATTACATTGCTTAGTGTTATGCCGGAGTTTTTTTATTGAAAAATAAAAATAAAAAACCCACTTGCAAACTTGAAAAGAATGATATTAATAACACGAGGCTAGGCATCCCTGAGATGAGACACTTGTTTTTTGTACTCCATTCAACTGTTGAGAACTGCACATCTTTATTTCCCGTCCAAAACTGGATTCAATCTTGTCAGCAGAAAAAAAAAATTGGTCGGGGCGTTCGTAATGCATCGTAAGCGGCCATCTGCCGTGTTTTAGCCTCATTTCTTTCTTTCTTTGGGACGATTTCCCTCTTTTTTTTTTTCGTACTAGTAGTGGATTATGGGAGTATATAAGCTGTCAAACAACGCCAGCCCCTGCGTCTACTGAACTTTAGGAAACAATAAGTAAAAGCCACACACGACTTCCCCCACGATTTCCAAAGTTGATGGCGATCACACGGGAAGCCATTACATAGAACCTTGCAGGACTCGGTACAATTGATCCACGATTCACCTCCAATTCCAACGAGTTTGAAAGCAATGCATTTGTTTACCCTAAATCACCAAGGACGACACACAATCCGCTTGAATCGGAGCTTTTGAATGCTGTACAACCAGTGGGCTAAGCGAAATTGGGCATGAGGATCTGACGCCTCCCGTTGGATACTGTAATTGAACGATGGGGCTGCGGAAGGGGAGGGTGGGCCAATCGGCCTTCTGAAATGGATCTTATATTGAAAATTTGCGTCTCAACCAATACAGGTCCCCCTTTGGATCGGTAATTGTACCTGAGTCTTGGCCGAGTTTTTTTGGCAGTGTACTGTAACCATGTAACCACTTGTTTTTTTCAAGGTCCTGTTTTGGGGCCCTTTTTGGCTCATTCGACCCTTTTTCTTTTCTTTTCTTTTTCATTTTTTAAATCTGATTTTTTGGGTTCCATACAATCCTGGTTCATTTGTTACTCATTTTCTTTCTTCGGGTTGGTATACGAAGCTATCTCGTATGTGCAACCTACCATTACTGCTCCTTACTAGGTTGAGTATAGGGAATACTCGTAGTAACGGGAAATGGGGTTTTTGAAGAAAACCAATTCCTGTTATGTGACTAAAGAGAAATATGCAGGTAGAAAAAGAAAAAAAAAATACATAATAATATTCTATCACGTTCTCTTCAACCTCGGGTTTTGGGGATTTAAAAATCATCGGATGCATTTTTGTTCATAATCTCCGTTGTGATTTCTCATGCATCAGCCTCTCGGCCTTGCTTGACTCCGTTCCGTCGCATCCGCCCGGCACAGTCGGGATGACCTCGTATTTAATACGGGCCACCAAGTACCCTTGTATAAGCAAGACAAGAATTGAGATCTTGTGAAGCAAGATTATCAGATAATGAAATAAAATAATAGAAAAAAAAAAACCTTCTATAGCTTTTTGAAAGAGTTTCTTAAATACAACATTAGAGATTGGAACCATAGAAGAAAAAACCAAAACCGGACAATTGGAATAGGGGCCAAGAGAACTAGTGACGCCATGGACTTGGTCTTTTTTTTTTCTTTTGGGGGATTTTTCAAAGCTGAGAACCGGGAAAAACAAGGTAATACAGATACCGCAAAATTACGGAAATCCTCCCAATTTCTTCCCCTTCTTAATCCTTACCTTATCCCCTCTCATTTCTTTTTCTTGTTTGTTCTCTGTATTCCTTTTCTCTTTTAGGGCTCGGCGCCTTACTTCAATCCGGTCCTCTCTTCCATGCCGGTCGGTCAACGCTGATTTCCCTCCCGAACGCTCTTGCGAATTCCTTCCGTCTCATCCCGCGGCATCCCTCGAACCCTTCTTACCCCCCTTCTACATTCGAGTGATTCCAGAGCCTCCATCAGGGGACTCCCGCCGCGAAGATGTCCACCTATCCATCATGGAAGGATCGCACACAAACTCAGTTCGGCAAACTTCAGATTCAAGTACCATGGCGTTCATTCAAGCTCTTGGTGCCACATCGCATGCGCCGGAAGATCCGCTCAAAGCTTCGGAGTCGCTTATCGCCAACCTCGTCCATCTCCACGTTGCAGACATCCTTTTCACCATTTGACACTCTGCGTTCACTCCAATCTCATCGATGGACGGTGTACGACTTCCAGTACCTCTTGCTACTGATCCTCGGCATCTTCTCCCTGACCGTCATGCAATCCCCGGGTCCGCTTGGAAAGACCGCCATCTCGAGCCTTCTCTTGTTCTCTCTCCTCATGCCCATCACACGCCAATTCTTCTTGCCCTTTCTGCCCGTTGCTGGGTGGCTTATCTTCTTCTACGCTTGCCAGTATGTTTCTCTTTCTCACCTCCGTTATTTTCGCCCCCACGTGACGTTATAATTGCGCGTCTCTGGTGATACACGATGTGAAAAACCGTCGAGGAGTTTCGCGTCAAATCACCGGACAAATAAGCTAACAAATCACTTCTTAGATTCGTTCCCAGCGACTGGCGACCCGCAATTTGGGTCCGAGTGCTACCGGCCATGGAAAACATCCTCTACGGTGCAAACATCAGCAACATCCTCTCAGCCCACCAAAACGTCGTGTTGGACATTTTGGCCTGGATTCCTTACGGACTCTGCCACTATGGTGCTCCTTTTGTCGTCTCTGGAATCTTGTTTACTTTCGGTCCCCCGGGTACAACTCCCCTTTTCGCCCGCACGCTCGGCTACATCAGCATGATGGCTGTCACCGTTCAGTTGGTGTTCCCATGCTCTCCTCCATGGTATGAAAATCTGTACGGTCTCGCTCCTGCAGATTACTCGATGCAAGGAAACCCTGCAGGTCTTGCTCGCATCGACAAGCTCCTCGGAATCGACCTTTACACCTCCGGATTCAAGCAGTCGCCCGTTGTGTTCGGTGCTTTCCCCTCACTGCACGCTGCCGACTCGACCCTCGCAGCTCTTTTCATGAGCCACACTTTCCCCCGCCTTAAGCCCCTCTGGGTCACATATACTCTTTGGATGTGGTGGGCTACCATGTACCTTTCTCACCACTATGCGGTTGATCTGGTCTGTGGTGGTCTGCTTGCCACTGTGGCCTTTTACTTCGCCAAGACTCGCTTCCTCCCCCGTGTCCAATCCGACAAGATGTTCCGCTGGGACTATGACTACGTGGAGATCGGTGACTCCTCGCGCGAATTTGGATACGATCTCGCTAGCCTTGACGGTGACTTCAACTTGGATAGCGATGAGTGGACCGTTGGATCCTCTTCCTCTGTTTCTTCTGGTTCCCTCAGCCCCATTGATGACCACTACACCTGGGAAAGCGAAACTCTCACCTCCAACCACGACCTTGAATCCGGTCGCTAATTCCGGCGGTATGCACATACCCTGTTCGACCTGTTGATTATTGCATCTCCTTTTCCAAACGGCGTTCTACTCTTTTCTTGATGATCATGTTGGGACCATTATCTGCATTGAACCATTTTTCGACACCTAAAGGTTTTTAATCCTATTGGAAACCTCCGGTTCACTCGCGGCACACCAAAATCCGCTTTGAGCTGAAGGTTATCTACCTTCTGGCTGTACATGCCTAGTCACTCCCGAGTGACAACCTCCGTCTATAATATTAATTCCGGTGGCGGACCTTACAAGGGCCCTTTTTTGCGTCTCCCGCAATCGCCACTGCTTGGAAACATTCGCTTGTACAGACTCAGACGTCTCATTGGGACGATCTGAACTTTCTACCCTTTTTTTTCTGACCCATGTCTTTCGCTATGACTTCTTGCACGGGCCACCTTTTACTTTGCTTCTCGGCCCGTGCACATGCACAAACATTTTTATCATTCGTGTCGATCGCTTATGACCGGCGTCTTGGGAAAACAACTTTTTTATGGAACAAAAAGTTTCGGCGCCACTTGCTTGCACTACACTCGCTGTGCATTAGAACATTGGATATTTTTTGGATGGTTTTTTTTTTGAGGACATGTTTTTTTTATTGCATCGGCACATAGAAAGAGAAGGGTTGCAACTTGGACCATCGAGTTGGTCTAACCTTCGTTTTGGTGCCTTCTCCGCTGGCAGGTGAAAACCCGGCGTCGGCATGAGGGATGATTCATACTGAAGAATCTTCCCTGGGAACATCAAGTGGTCACGGACTGGCAAGGACTTTCCTGCTGCGAATGGACTATCAACCCGGACTACTACGGCAGAGTGGGAGAGGTGAATGGGATTCGACGGAGCTCATCATCTCCCTCTCACTCTTGCCCGATCTCTTCGCTTCTGGCGTTCAATGAGGCACGATCAACCTGGATTGGCACAACATGCACACCAACACCCATCCTCCCGCCGACCTAACAACTAATAACTCTTGTGTTTTTCGGTGTGGTGCGCATGTTGAATCAGCCGGGCCTACTACCTACTCTGGGAACGATCGCGTTGGAATATCGTTAACCTTATTCTTAAACCCTCTTAGCTCATGAAGTTATGCAGAATTGTACATTACATTATTATCCCACATCGAACACCTGACCTTGTAAAGTAAAACCTTACACAAATACCTAAATACATAGCTCCAAACCTTCCCCATACCTACTACATACCAAATAACCTTGCTACCCAACCCTTGAACACTGGACGAATCCGATCAATCATCATGCAGCCCGTAATCGTACCCCTAACCTCCAAAGTCCTCAAGACCCCACTAAAAGACCACTGATTTGCCTCTTCTGCAGATCACCCACGACCCTAGCAAGTTTCCTACCCCCGCTTTTCAATCTTTGCAGATCATCCATCTGAGTGGCTCGCTTGTTTCCCCCATCAATCCCACGAGCTCAGGTAGAGTACATAGTAGATTCGCATGTGCACCTGCTTCCCTCCCCTCCAGAAACCAACTGAACAAGACGAAGAGGGTGAATGTCTCAAATCCGCATCCACATAAATGCGCGATACAAACTTGAAGAGATAAGTGTGTCTGCCCAGGGTGGCATGACATGCCCACCCACATCATGTGTGGTGCCAAGCGATTCGCCAAGCGCACCGCAGCATATGTAAATAGCACGATTCGATTCGATTCTGCAGCATTCACACAGGCGCACATATGTAGCAGTCGGGTCTAATGTGTAGAGTCTAGTAACTTACGGCTCGTCTGAGAATCTTCTCGTATTCGCAGATCGGGCTTGTGTACTTTACCTGTTGGGACGGTACCAGAAAGAACCGACATTCCACGGTTTGGTCCACAGTGCTCTGGGCCGACTTCCACTAGGTATGACCCTGTAAGCTCAAGGTAAGCAGGCTGGAGGTGTGGCGGTGCCTTGCCTTGCCTTGCCTTATCTTGTGTGTGTACTAGTAAGCTGTAAGTCCCCGCCATTCTAACTGGTAAATTGTAAGTTGTAAAATAAATTAATTACTTACGCGGGTCGGTTTCCGGGTTCTGGCGTGATATCACCCATAGGTCATCATTAGTTAGTGATTCGGAGCTTGTTCCAAGGTAATGGATCGGAGCGGAACTTATTTACTTTTTGCCATAGCTGCAAGCTACATAACCTTAGTATATTGATATCATCATCTACTAGTACAGATAGATAAAATTCATTCTCTCCGGTCAACTGATTCCTTCGTGAGCTGCTATCATTAGAGCTTATCTTTTTTGGTCCTCGTGCTTCCATCAGAGTAGATCAGTAGATCGCCGTGCCCCCTCCCTTCTTTGTTACTTGAGTAAATTGATAGCGTGATCATTTCGAATGTAGATATAAGTTTACAATACGAGAACTTTATCCAGCTTCCTTGCCGTTATCATGAATCATGAATCGTGGGTACACAGTGCCTGTCCACGGGTTTAGGTACGCCTTGTGGGGCTGGGGTCGGCGATAACCTGATGTTTGAGCTTAAAGCCGGTCGCCAGCTACTTGTACATGTACTCTCCTACAGATAAAATATCTACGTAGTAGTTACCAGTTGACAAGTATTTATTGATTCGGAGACTCATGTTCCTAGGTACTAAGATGCATCAATTATAACGCTTTTTTTTCAATTTTTGATTCCAAATCCAAATCCAAATCCACATGCAAATCATATGATGTGATGCATAACTAAGTTATGTACGTTTTTATTGCTGGCATGCCGTCTTCACAATTTACCTACATACTCACGCCATCTATTCCGTGCATTCAAGCTAGTACAGCACTAGTGCCGAGGGCTATAGTTGCAAGATGCCCAATTAGATATACCTAAAATTTAGCCTCGAATGCATGTGATGTCTTCAGGAGTGTCAAGCATATGTGAGCATTTTGGTAGTAACTAGTACTACTAGTAGTATGTATGACTAGTACGAACCCTGGAAAGGACATCTGGAAGAAATTAGTACTTGGAAATATAGTTAAAATCAGGCTCCATGTTCGCATTACAAGTCTATTTATCGTCAAAGATCTGTACACGTTCCGCATACTCGCGGATGTTAGACACAAAGGTCTCCTCAATATCATCTCCTTTGCCACCGGCTACACGGAGGATAAGGTCATTCAATGAGGCCCGACCAAGAATATCAACGTGATCACCTATTTTTGGTCAGTTCAGAAGTGGAAATCATCAGCAGGTAGATCTGTGAAAACATACCCGTATTAGGTCCTCCGCGAGGTGAAAAGCGGTCCGGCTCGTGTGGCATCTCAAAGACCTTAATCTTTGAACCAGCTGGGTTATACCGTTTCATGCGCCAGCCCTTGGCACACATATAGCCCGTGCTAAGTAAGTTCACTGTGCCATCACCCTCACCCATGTTGACACCATGGTCAACCTTTTCATCTATGGTGACGGTGGTATCAATGCTGACATTGAGGTTGACGAGCGGGTCGGGCTCCTCCTGGTACCAGTAGCTGCGCTCGGTGGGCTTGCCCACGCCGTAGAAGCAGTATATCTTCATGTCTGGAGCATAGGGCAAACGAGTTTCAAGCGGGTTAAGCCATGTGCGCGGGTCTTTCTCATTGGCCTCGACTTCGGCTGCGGTGTGTGCGACACCGTGCGAGTAGCTCCCTAGAACCTGCTTACGGTACCAGTCTTCGCTTTGATCCAGTAGATAATCCAAACTCTCGGGCGCAGTAAGGTTGCGCTTCGTCCAAGATGAGTTGGTCTCGCGGAAGTTCAGCAAGTTGCCAAAACTCGTTGCCTGGCCCGGTTGGTCATCCGGTGCCCAGGTCGCGTTGCCCCATACGGCTTCGCCGCCCTTGGGCAACATGCTGGAAATACCTGGCATAGCGCGGAAGATTTCAGCTCGCTCTTCTTTGGACAGGAATTTTTCAAGTCCATATACGGCAAAGGCATTTAGTTGCGCCGTGTCGCGCATTTCTCCCGAAAGCACGGCTGTCAAGCCTTTGACGGCGCCAAGCATACACCCACTGATGTTAATCCAGGAATCGATGTGCTTGTTGACCCAGTCCTTACCGCCCTTCCCATGATCTTCGCTTTCCACCCACTTAAAGAAGTATAATACGACCTGTGATCCCATACTGTGCGAAGTCAAAGTGATCTTCTCGCCTTGCACCAGCACTGCAGTTTCAATGTAGGACTTGAGTCGGCTGAAGTACTTATCGCGAACCTCCAGGTTCGGGTATGAAAGTCGCCAATCATATGCAGCTGTGAAAGCATTTGTTGGATCATATCCAATTGTCGCCAGGTTTTCCAGGATCTTATTCCAGATCCAGTATCCCGTGATAAAGAAATCGGTCGCATCGAAACCCTGTGCCGCACGTAGCTTGATACCGGGTGGATCCAAGCCAGTTTCACGATCAAGCATTACGTGATTCTTCCATTCTGCCTTGTCCATAACCAGTGCCCGCATCATGCTCCAGCTGCCCCACAATCTCCGGCGGAAGTATTGGCGTGAGGAATCTCCAGTTCCCCAACTCTCGAGGCCTGTAGAGATAACTCCCGGGATCATGACGACGGGGTGTTTGGCTTCGATGCCTTGGGATCGGAGGTGCAGGCCGATCGCGAACGAATCGTAATTGACAGCATCGCGTTCGTGTTGCTATATTTCCATCGACAGGTTAGCGGGTTTGGCCGGACGATAAATAGCAAGTCACTGAGAATGGGGGCTCCAATATACCGTAAACTCTCTCGCGTCACGCATGATCCCCTGTGGAATGACATCGATCAAAGAATCGAGGTTCAAATCTAATAGCGACTCCAAGCTAATAACCTCTTGCTGGTTCGCGAAGAACACTGCGATGAAGATGCCGAACAGGCCGCCTAGCATGAAGATAAAACCATTTCGACGTTTGCTTCGACGTTGTGGATGAACGACCAGCTGCTTGACTTTGGCACCGTCAAACTCCGCGCGAAGGCGTTCCTCCTCTGTTTGTGGCTGGGAGTCCCGTTTCTTGCCGTCGGACGAGGCGTCGTCTTTGCCCGTGCGGCGGCGCAACATAGCGACCGCTCAGAAAGAAACAGGGCAAGGGCCAAACCAAACCCAATTGAATCCGAAGAAAAGAGCTCAACCAGAAGATAGACACCAAGACAAGCAAATGGAGAAGCTCGGGGAGATCAAGGAAAACAAGAAAATCAAAAGTTAAAACGCGATGTATCGTTAACGGAACGATCGGCGTCACATGGTAATCACAGTGCATTGTGCTTTCCGCCTTGTGATTGTTGGGCGCTGGCTATCTCTCGCTATCATTTCCCCACCTCCCCCTCCAGCTTCAGCTCCCCTCCAATCAACCAGGGCACGCCTCAACCTTCGATGACTACGCCGGAATGAGCCAAGATGCCCCCTCTGCCCTGCGCTATGTGCAGTATGACAAGACTCGCGAAAACGAGTATGTCGCTGCAATGCGCCAACTGATCTCCAAGGATCTCTCCGAACCCTACAGCATCTACGTTTACCGATATTTCCTATACCAATGGGGCCACCTCTGCTTTTTAGCGATGGATGACAAAAATGAGATGGTAGGAGTCGTCGTCTCAAAATTAGAGCCGCATCGCAGCGGTCCTCTGCGAGGGTACATCGCCATGCTGGCCGTGCGCGAGGAATACCGGGGTAGGGGCATTGCGACAAAGCTGGTGCGCATGGCCATTGATGCCATGATTGAGCAGCATGCGGATGAAGTATGTTTCTATGTCGCTTTGTAACAATTATACTGCAACGTTCTTTACTGATCCCCGTCCCTCACATAATAGATCGTCCTCGAGACCGAAATGACAAATACGGCGGCGATGAAATTATACGAACGGCTTGGATTCCTTCGCAGCAAGCGACTCCATCGATATTATTTAAATGGAAACTCTGCATATCGGCTAGTCTTATATCTCAAAGAAGGTGTTGGCTCGATTCGACCCGCCTATGAGTCCTATGTGCCGCCTCAAGTGACGACACAACCTCCGATGACACAGCCACCCGCTGCTGTGACTGGCCTTGCAGGGAACGGAATGCCTTGGTGAGATGGCTCATTTATCGAATACCCACAGCTTGTCCTTTGGGGGTGTCAGACATATGGCCATGATGATGCGAAACGACCGGAAAAGATAGATTTGCATTCTTACATGGAACAGGCGTCTGGATTTATTATCAGGGTTTTCACTTGATATCACTTGAAATAGAAGTAGGGCCAATACCAAGGTCTACTGAAATTTGCCTTATACGGGTTGTGCTTATGTTTTCAAATAGCACTGTTCATCTCTAAACATTTGAAAAGAGCTATACCTAATTATGGTCTAGTCTTTATCGAAGCTTTTATTCGATCTATGGATCAGTATCTAAATAGGTAAAGTGACATTTCTAGGTAAATCTGCTAGGTTCTCCATATAGCCAAGTATGTCCACGGGCATGGCCGACACTTAATTCAGAGCGGCACCTGGGCTCCTCGACATTCGAGTCTTCTGAGTAAAAATTCCCATTCCTTCACCCATCACCTGAATCACATTTGTACGATAAAACTAAAACCATGAATCTCCCAAATATTAACAAGCTCAACGAAGTGCGCAAGCACGTATTTGCAGCCGCCCTCGATAGAAATGAAGGCATTATCAAACCTGGACAGCTGTTCAGAACGGCCGACAGAGCTCTGTGGGCTTCCGCTCGTCTTCTCAATGATAGGTTTATACCCGCGCGAAATCTGAAATTCGAGAGTGTCGATACACTATTCACTGAACAAGGCAACAAGCGAGGGCATCGCTTTTTATTTGAGGAAAGAAAGGACTGGACGAGGTCTCGTCTGGAGATCATTCTTACTCGGAAATTCCGTAAGTCTTTTTTGCCCAATATAGAAGACCCTATAAACCTGATCTAGATTTACCGACCAAATTTCACTCACAGTATGTGTACAGATGCAATACTAAATTTCATCGACCTCCATGTCCCCAACAACATAACAATCCGAAGAACCAGGCTCGATGTTCTTCTCAACCATGTATTTGACATAGTCGAGGAAGATTTCGGATCATCTCTTGCTCTCCACAGTGACCTTGAATTTGCGTGCGAAGGCTGGCGATTAGCTGGGAAGCAATATACCTTCTACGGTGTTCCTGATTACAGTGTATGGTATGGCCCAGTCGAGAAATTTGCGACGAATTTCATCATCGTACAAACTGAGACACCAGGGTATTTTGATGAAGCAACTGTACATGCATATATGGGTAAGTACCCAACGCCTCTACCTGTGTAACGCTATCAATCCTAACTCTGTATACAAAGGCATGATCCACATGGCGCGTAAGCACCGTGGCGGAAAGAACCGTACAGTTTACGGGCTTGCTACCGATTCGAATGAATTTTGGTTCTACCAGATCGATAATGATACTCGGGTGAGCTTCTCCCCGTTATGAATATGCACATGTTTGATAAACATACTGATTACAATTTTTCTAGTGGAGCCACACTTTGATGACGCCAGAGAACGGATACTTCTACGAAGATATTGCCGGCCTAATCGCTTCCATCCTTCATCAAGCTTATTTATTAGCACAGCAGAGCGGACCCGCCGCAAATCCCAATGAGCTCCCAGCGTCCAGATTGGAAATAAGGCAGTTGCCCCACCAAGACACGCATGAAATTGGCTATGAACGTCTGAAGGAGTTATCTCCAGAGGGGCTTGACACTTGGATCACTTAAACAACCTTGATCTATATCGACGATAGCATGTGGCTGACGCGTTGGAACATCAAATCGAATAGAGTTTCTCGCCCAACGCTCTTGCCTACCATATTTCTTGCTATCTGAGCCTGCACCACCGCCTGTGCACCTTCTACTTGTTACATCAACGAAGAAGTGGGTTGATTGTCAAATTAATATATTTTAACAAGTTTACGCGCCGCCCCCTACGTCATACCGATCCAACGGTTGATATACAGATCTATGTCCTCAGATCATAAAAAAAAAAAGAAAAAAAGAAAACCCAACGTCAAACCCCATTCCAAAACTTCCTCACCTTGAACAAGTCTTGGAACCTCTCACCGGAAATTCCCATCCGTCCTCCAAATCCAAGCATCCCACCATGTCAGGTCTCGATCCGGTCACCAGCGGCCTCGGCCGCATCCCAATAAACAAAACAACAGAAACAGCAACAAAACCAACAAAAAGCATCCCCAAACTAGACCGACCCGTGAAACAGATCCAAAAACAAACCAAAGACATCACCGACCCTATAATTCCCGGCGAGTTCCCCCGCGATGAAGGAGCTCCCCGCACCCAACACGAGCCCACCCCGCCCTCAACCTTCGCAGGCCTCTGGAACGATATTACCGGGTGGTTCTCGAACATTGTACCTTCGTCTATGGACCGATTCGAGGGCTTCATGAAATGGCTCGTGATGTACCTCCTCCCACCAAAGAAACAAACAGAGGTGTACGAGGCTGCGATGAAGAGGCCCATCGCATCGACGTTTATCGTGTGTCAGCTGATTTGCTGCGGAGTACCGCTGTTGGTATTCTTAGCCGGGGTATTTGTTTTTGCAGCTGTGGCACTGGTGCTGTGGGCTGTCTTGTCATTATTGATTCTGGGACCGGTGTTGCTGGTTGCTAGTATGATGGGTGTGTCTCTTTGGGGATGGGGCTGGGTGTTGTATGGAATACTTGGGTGGGTTGATCAGCGGTTTTTGGGAGGCATGATTGGGAGATTTTGGATGCCTAGATTACGGGCGCAGGAGGAGGGGGTAGAGGGGGAGGAGGGGAAGGGAGAAGGAGAAGGAGGAGGAGAGGGGAAGGGGGATGAGGAGAAGAAGGATGTTTGAGGAGGACACATTAGCTGGAGGATTTTGGGCATGCTCGGGTGGAATAATGTTGGCTTGATTTTGATGTGAGTTTGGTGAAGATTACGGAGCTGTTACAATTGAAGGTTCGAGGTTTCGCTTCTTCTATAACAATTTGATATATGTACATTTGCAGGCCATTTGCCTCTCGGTTCAGATACGGGTCCAGAACATACTAGTAGTTCAACAGTAAATTCTCGTTTCGAGTCAGATGGAGAACATTTTGTTTCGTCGTGGATTCATATTATTTGTCAGTATCGGATTCTCGCTGAATGGGATGTCTCCCTTTGAAGCTCGTTATTGACCATAGGATAAAACCTACACTGTGTACCAGTGCGCTGTGATCCGGTATCACTACATAGGCTCCCTAGTTATCGCTGGCTTTAGTTAGGAGGTCTCCTTGGGTAGAGTCCAGGCCTCTCGTAAGATGCGGATTCGTTCGTTGACTGCCAATTCCAATGTTGATGTCTACTACCTATTAGTACTACTAAGTGCCTAGGGCCATTCTTACGTGTAACCCATATAGACAGGGATTGATAGTGTTATCAGATCGACTGGAGTACGTACTAAGCAGTATCCACCAGAACAGGGGACAGGTGTGGTCTTGAGACACCCGTGACTTGAAGGCTATCCATACCAAGCAACTGAGGTCATTTGTCGACACTACCCTGTACAACGCTTATCAAAACTGGAACCGGGTCTTAAATTTAAGACCTTTTAATGCCAGGTACTACAACCGGGCCGTCCCCGGCACGGGATGCATATCAGTGGCTTGGCAGGTTTCAAGTATCAAAGAAAATGATAACCCCTGTGATATCGAGTCTGGAATTCCCAGACGATAGCAATTGGAGTAATCAGGATGGCATTCCATCCACGTCAATGTTGCTAATAAGCACAGGCTACCTAAAAAGGAAAGAGAAGAAAAGAAAAGAAAAGAAAAGAGAGAAAAATAAAAATCCAAGAAAAAAAGCAAAAGGCAACCGCCCCCTCAGAAAGAAACAACCACGAATGTGCAATACTCACTAGCGTGGGACCTGCGGATGCAAAGGCATTGCTCAGGTACATACTCACATTACGTGTTGACGCAACTAGCCGAACCCGTCTCGAGCCTCGCAACTTAGCGCCAAACTTACGTACATGGATGATGGGACCTGGGGTAAACAAAATGCCTCAAGCGCGCTCAGATTGCGCCGAGAGCCCGAGCTCCATGCCAAATAGCAAAGCGAAGATATTCAATGGCATCGCAGCACAGACGACAAATGCAGTCAGCCGACCTCGCCGTCCGATCCGATCCGCATGGACCATTCCCCACGTCAGGGAAGAATGCAAGGTTCAATGGACGAATCCACGCCAGGATTTGATTCAAATGTTTGCATTTGATTTGTTCCCTGGCGAGGGCGGGCACGCCCCGAGCAGGCTTGAGTATGGCACTAGCACTAGTCTACTGCAGTCTGGATACATTCGGTAAAGTGCAAGTGCAAGTGCGAGTCGAACATGGGCAGGTACAGATGCTAGAGAGGATCGGGATTCGGGGGTGGTGCGTGCCCCGCTCACGAGCTCCAGGATGGAGCGGCCCGTTGATTCACCCAAACTGTTATTGAGCAGCTTGAAATATGCTAGCATGGTGCATGCATTGCCGATCGCAAGCCCCAATCTTTGAGGGCTGGTACGTATGTAGGTATCTTGCACGGCAGCACGGGACCCCCGGCAGTGTCAAGGGGGGTACATACGGGTGAGCTGTGACGGATCTGCGACGGGCGTTGGCGCGTTTCATGATTTCAATTGATGATTTCATGGACGGGATGGGATCCATGTGGCCCGTGTAAGTAGTTGATGGGGCTTAGATGGAGACTAACATTGAATATGTACGGAGTAGGATGGATCCGCACTCCGTAGGGAAACAAGAGGGGAAAAAAAGGAAAAAGATAAAAAGTACTACATTCTGCAGAGAATGAGTGTTTGAGAATTTTGAGAACTTATTCTGGGGGATTTTAATATATGCATTCCCTGCACGACAAAGTATGTGCATGAAAGTGTCTCAGACAATAGTTAACGTCGAACGGGTTGTAGGACAAGTACAACGGTGTTTTTTTTTTGCCCTCCTAGAGTTCATGCTGGGAAGAGGGGAACTTTCCCTCGAGTCTCCATCCGAGTCCCACCGGATCCACTTTCGTGCGCATTTACCCCTGAACAGCCCCAAAAAAAGCACTGACCAAGAATGCAGGTCAAAGGTGGTGTGTGCAAGGGTAGAATCGGGTAAAGCTGGAGGGGGAAGAAAGCAAAGAAAGCACAGAAAGAGAAAAAAAGAGAAAGAAAATAAAGGAGAAAAAGCAAATATAACTTGTGTTCGGTGCAACCCCCGCATACATACAAGAGAACGCGACAGCTTCCAAGGTTTTCGGATCCGGTATAGTCGAGTGAAGCATGGGACACCAAAGGATCCTAGGGCTTCTATCTGAACCATTTGAAGTCAGGGACCTTGGAAATGTTCCAAAATTAGTGTTCCAGGATCATGTAGATTGAAGTTGAGATTCAAATGATTGTTCTTATTCAAATGTTCGCATGTACCGAGTAGTATGCCATGCATGTTAGCCAGGAAAAGATATCGCACGATATCGGATGAAGAAACCGGGAGTGTCAATCCGGCTGAGAGATCCGCTCCTTGCGTGTGATCCGATAATGTCGAACGATTACTGCACCTGCAGTAGTCAAGTGCCTTGTATGGCTTACAAACAGTGGAGATGATAAGCGAGGAAAGCAGGACTTGTACGGAGGTACGTCCAAGGTTCACCTTGAACCCTCCAAGATAACCAGAACTAGTACTAAGTCTTTATAATCAAAAATAGTTCAAATTCTGCACGACCCTGATATAGAGAATAAAAGCAAAACAGCAACTCAACCTGAAACCCTAAGTACTGCGTCCACATGGAGGTCTCGTGGACAAGGTGTCAAATTGACGGTTCGACAATCCCCACTTGAGTCCATGCGTCCCGGGCTAAGGATGCAGGTACCTGAGTACGGAGTACAAGGACAAAAAAAGTCAGAAAAAGGGAAAAAAAAAAAGACAAAAAAAAAAGATAAAATTATTTAGATTTAGATTATTGCATCAGATCCAGTGGCACCGTTGCTTGACGTCAGTAATCGGGCGAATGGGAGGGAATATGACAAGGGTTGGGACGATCATAAGGAGAAACCTTGGAAATCATGGTGGCAATAGAATTCACTCTGCAATTCTGGTAGAGATAACTAAGGAGTAGGGAAAAAAAGGGGGAGGTTTCGTGGCGAATTGTATGGGCCAGGGGTAATTACTATAGAACTCAATGAATTTGGGTTAAAATCTCCAGAAAAATAGATAAAGATTAAAAAGACAAAACAACATTCAAGGGCATTATAGCTATGCAGAAATAGGAAAATGGAAAAGAAAAAAAGAAAAAGAAAAAGAAGTAAAAATCCCCAAGATATGGGAAATGGTTTCCCCTTGCATACAGTCCACTTAGAACTTGGACATTTTGAAGAACAGGTAAAACATACTACTGGGCAAAATAGTACAAAGGTAATTAAATTGATTTATCATATAATCGGCATTAACATAAACCCAAATTGTAGAAATATAGAAATATAGAAATACTACAGGAAATAGAAATTACTAGGAAAATGGAAAAGGGAAATCATGATGGTCCCATAGCTCCACTGTAAATCCACCTTGTCCTTGACCTTTTCCCCAGAACCGCCCTAACAGCAAACTAACGAAATAATAATCTCCCCCTCCGATCAATTCTAATCTCCCTTTTCACCCCTCCGGATTCCCTTCTCACTTCTTCAACCTTCAATCTTTTTGCGCGCCTCGCATTGTTCGTGATTCGTCTTTATTTCCACCGCTTTTTCCCGCTTTCCTTTCCGTGGTCGCGACTCAAACCCTCTTTGCCGACCCAATCCCCCCTTGTCGTGGAAAAGAAAAAAAAAGACTGAGAGAGAGACAACACTCCAGCTCGGCGATTGTGAGGTATGCGAACTAGTCCACTGGGCGCCTGACCTGTACACTTTTGTGTCCCTATCGTCAGAAAGAATTTTAAATCAAAGAAAAAAAAAATCACGACAAAAAAAAAAGAAAACAATTCAACCTTTGGAATCTCAGCCCAAACCCCTCTGACCCTTTTCACCTTATCTTCTAGTTTCGCGCCGAATCACCTTGACAACATCGGTTGTCGGAAGTGCACTTGAACTTTCAAAGACCCTCCCACACTCCCTATCAATCACACAATGTCAGTTGCGACGATGTTACAGCCTGCATCGCGAATGTCCCGGGCGTCCTCGTCCTCCTCATCCTCGTTTCAACCCGTCGCACGACAGAACACCATGTCGTCCCACGATACTCGGTCGCTCCGCCAATCCAAGCGGATGTCAGTCACCGCATTATACTTGTCCATGTCCGCCAAAGACAGGGACTTGGAAATTTCAGATGACCTGGCAAAAGGTACGTGGATTCCCCCCTTATACACCCTTGGTCCGCGCTGACTCCCCGCATAGCTCAGAAACACTTGCGAGAACTCAAGTCCAAGATCTCGTCCCAATCCAAGAAGAACTTCGTTTTAGAAAAGGATGTACGATACCTGGACTCCCGGATTGCCTTGTTAATTCAGAACCGAATGGCCCTTGAGGAGGTAAGATTGAGATCCCAAATCCACACGGCACATGAGGATATAACCCAACTTACACCTTCCAACCCCTTAGCAAAATGAAGTCGCAAGCCACCTCGACGATACCGCCGACCCCCAGGAAGGATTCTTTCCCAATGACGAGCGAACCCAGAAATACGGAAACCTTTTGTTCCTGTTGCAGTCCGAACCCCGCCACATCGCCCACTTATGTCGACTTGTCTCCATGGCCGAGATTGATTCCCTTTTGCAGACTGTCATGTTCACAATTTACGGAAACCAGTATGAGAGTCGTGAAGAGCACCTTTTGCTCACCATGTTTCAATCCGTCCTCACCTACCAATTCGATAACACTCCCGAATACTCCTCTCTCCTGCGCCAAAACACCCCTGTCTCTCGGATGATGACCACCTACACACGCCGTGGTCCTGGTCAGAGTTACCTTAAGCAGGTTCTTGCTGACAGAATCAACTCCTTAATCGAATTGTGTGATGTCGATTTGGAGATCAACCCCCTGAAGGTTTACGAGTGCATGGTGAAACAGATCGAAGAGGAGACCGGTACCCTGCCAGACTACCTCGCTCGCTCTGTCACTGCTGAGGATGCTGCCGCGAATCAACAGGTGCAAGCCATCATTGCCCCCCGCCTGAAGATGTTAGCCGATATCGCCAATGGCTTCCTGACCACCATCATTGACGCGGTGGACGAGACTCCGTACGGAATTCGATGGATCTGCAAACAGATTCGAAGTTTGTCGCGCCGCAAGTACCCTGATGCGCAAGACCAGACCATCTGTACCTTGATCGGTGGTTTCTTCTTCTTGCGCTTCATCAATCCCGCCATCGTGACCCCTCGCTCCTACATGCTGATCGACGCCACTCCCACCGACAAGCCTCGACGGACTTTGACCCTTATCGCGAAGATGTTGCAGAACTTGGCCAACAAACCCTCATATGCCAAGGAACCCTACATGGCAAACCTGCAGCCTTTTATTGAGAGAAACAAGGAGCGGGTGAACAAGTTCTTGCTTGATTTGTGTGAGGTTCAAGATTTCTACGAGAGTCTTGAAATGGACAACTACGTTGCTCTCTCTAAGCGTGATCTCGAGCTTCAAATTACGCTGAATGAAATGTATGCCACTCATGCTCTTTTGGAGAAGCACACCTCGGCCCTGGCCCAGGATCACAACTCGCATCTTGCTCTCCTGCTTCAGGAACTAGGAGCCGCACCCCCACAGGTTCCTCGCAAAGAGAACCGAACCATTACAGTGCCCTTGTTCAGTCGGTGGGAAACTGCCTTGGATGATCTGACAGCCGCCTTGGACATTACTCAGGAGGAGGTGTTCTTCATGGAGGCCAAGGCTACTTTTGTTCAAATTCTCCGATCATTGCCTCCCAATTCTTCGGTCGCGCGTCGGCCACTGCGGCTAGACCGCATTGCCGAAGCCGCCGCCACACTTAAGAATGATGCGGTTATGGTACGCAAGGGTATCCGCACCATGGAACTGCTGAGTCAGCTCCAAGACATGGGTGTGATCGACCGTTCCGATGAATTCAGCCTTCTCCGAGATGAAGTGGAGCAGGAATTGGTGCACCTTGGTTCGTTGAAGGAGAAGGTGCTTGATGAAACGCGGAAACTCGAAGAGGTTTTTGCCACGATCCGCGATCACAACGCGTATCTCGTGGGTCAATTGGAGACTTACAAGTCTTATCTCCACAATGTGCGCAGCCAATCCGAGGGCAAGCAGCGCAAGAAGGAAAAGCACCAGGAACTTGGTCCCTACAAGTTTACCCACCAGCAATTGGAGAAGGAGGGTGTTATCCGTCGCAGCAACGTGCCGGAGAACCGTCGGGCGAACATTTACTTCATGTTCAAGAGCCCGCTTCCTGGTACCTTTGTCATCAGCCTACACTACAAGGGCCGTGCCCGTGGGCTACTGGAGCTTGACCTCAAGCTTGATGATCTGTTGGAGATGCAAAAGGACAGCCTGGAAGATCTTGATCTGGAGTACGTCCAGTTCAATGTCAGCAAGGTTCTGACCCTCTTGAACAAGCGATTTGCACGAAAGAAGGGATGGTAATGGAGATGCACCCAAGACTGCTTTCCCGCTTCTTCTTCTACTTTTTTTATGATTGATATGAGACTTGAGAGTTTAGGGCTTACACTGTGCCCTGTTACTCTCTTCCAACCTGAGATGCATCGGTTGGCGGTGAGTCTCGCCACCTAATCTTTTTTGATGATATGATGGACCCGGATCTATATCCGATTTAAACATGAACTGTCCGTCCTCGACCGTCGATGAACGGAATGAAATACTCCCTCTGCTACGATTCTGACGCTCTCGTGCTCTTTCCCAGTTGAGCCCATGCGTCTAGTGTGAATGTTGTTGATACACGGACATATCTGACGGAGGATGATCAACGCTTGTCCCGCTGGTTCGGGATTAGCAGTCTGATCTTCTTGGAAAGACTTCTTTGAACCATCTCCTTTGTATTGTGATTTTTTCCGTCTGCAAGTTATACCCAGCGCGCCTCCTTTTTTGTTGTTGTCTACTTTGATGATTGTTTCAGGCTCTTCTACATGGCCTGTCGTCTCAAATTCCTGGCATCTTGTTTTTGTTTGTTTCACCCCTCACCGCACTAGCTCTCGAGCTCTTTGCGCTGTGTATACTAATATCTTCATCGTTATGTGTGGTTGTCTGGATTTAATACCCGTATGTCTACTTTTTATGATCATTTCTCTCTGTACAGCTAGAAGTTACTAAATGGATTTTTTGAGATTTACATGAGCATGGGTAGTACTAAGTATCTAGTACTGTATATACTACTAGTATGTGCTACAAGTAGGTATACTTTGACAGACGCTCAGATACCCCCTTAGTCAAATTGAGCGTCATTTTCTCCTTTTACAAGGGTAAAGTTTTCAAGTTTCGAGCATATGCATCAACCTAGACCGCCTCGCCCCTCTTTGCCCCTCATTCAGGTTGGGCTTTGCGCTTTTAAGACCCTTGGCCTATTGAACTTATTGAACTTAAATGCCATTTGATCAAGGCCGCATATAGGGTTGGGCTGTTTGCGGATAACTTGCTTTCTTCCATATCCGACTTACACAGTTGTGACGTGATAAAGGAGATAATTAGTATTGTTGCCTCGATCATTATACATTGTTTTCATTCCATGTAGCCTTATCCAATAATATGCCATATCTAGAAAAAATTAAAGGAGTGCACATTTACACCGATAACTTGCCCCCTGATTTTCCACCCCATTGACTTGAGAAGAACCCCATTCCTGCTTTTCAAGATTTGAAGCGCTCAGTGATCATTGATCTTTTCCGGGTGAAAATTTAGCTCTACAGGCTTAAGGGGGAAAACAAGAGGGAAAAAAACCGTCGTATTCGGGTTGTTCAAAGTTGTTTACTGCGAACCAAAGTGGCCGATCCCCCATTTTATCTTGTGGCCAACTTACGCCTCCCCTCCTCCGCCTTTCCCTCCTACAACCAACTTCCTCTCCCAACTTTTTTTTTTACACTCGCCCCTCCCACCACATCATTCACCATGGCAGCCACCGCTGAGAAGACGTTGCCTACTGATCCCAAGTACGATCAGTACACCTACCCTACTACCGCCCCGGAATCCCAGTCTGGTCACCCTGGCCACACCACCCCGGAGCAGGATGCAAAGGTCGTCCAGTTCCGTGCGGAGCTTGAGAAGGAGGGATACACCGAGCGATTGGATACCTTGTCGCTGCTGCGCTTCCTGCGTGCCCGCAAGTTTGATATCCCCGCCGCCAAGGCTATGTACGTTTTGACGATCCTTTTGTTATTGGCATGCTCCCCCGTGGGGGAGCCTTGCGTTTGACATGTGAACGACTTGAGGCTAATTTCTTACTCTTCTCTCTTCTTTACAGGTTCACCAATTGCGAAAAGTGGCGCAAGGAATTCGGAACTGATGAGCTCCCCGCTGTCTTCGATTACACTGAGAAGGCCAAGGTGTTCGAGTACTACCCCCAATACTACCACAAGACCGACAAGGTAAGTTGTTGCCACTGCCCCTCTCCCTCCAAAAAAAAATCCGGAGATCACTTGTTCGATTCAGCAGTAAAACTAACTGATCCCTCCCCGAATAGGATGGTCGTCCCGTCTACATTGAGAAGCTTGGCAAGATCAACCTCGACGCCATGTACAAGATCACCACCAGTGAGCGCATGCTGCAGAACCTTGTGACCGAATATGAGAAGCTCGCCGACCCCCGTCTGCCCGCCTGCTCTCGCAAGGCCGGCAAGCTGCTCGAGACCTGCTGTACCATCATGGACCTGAAGGGCGTTGGTATCACCAGCATTTCCTCCGTCTACTCATACGTCAGACAGGCCTCCGAGATCTCCCAGAACTACTACCCCGAGCGTCTGGGTAAGCTGTACCTGATCAACGCTCCCTGGGGCTTCAGCGGTGCCTTCAGCATGATCAAGGGTTTCCTTGACCCCGTTACCGTCGAGAAGATCCACATTCTCGGCAGCGGATACCAGAAGGAGCTGCTCGCCCAGGTCCCCAAGGAGAACCTTCCCGTTGAGTTCGGTGGTTCTTGCAGCTGTGAGGGTGGTTGTGAGTTCTCCGACATGGGTCCTTGGCAGGAGTCTGAGTGGGCCCGCACCCCTGCCTGGGCTGCCCCCAAGAAGGAGGAGGCTGCTGAGGCTGCCGCCCCCGTCGAGGCCGCTGCTCCTGCCGCCGTCATCGAGAACGAGGACCCCGGATACGAGAAGAAGGACGCCGAGGGCCAGGAGGGTGCCGAGGCCACCACCAGCGCTTAAATGGAATCATAGAACCTTTTCCCCTTTCGGCTCGTCATTTCTCCGTTGAGAGGGAAGAGCATTTGATGCTGTATTGTTGCAGTCTCATCATCACCTTCTCCCAGGGGAAAAAAGAAACGAGAGAGAAAAAAAACAAGAAGACCTCAAGGAAAAAGAAGAAAATTGATTTGAGGGTATATTTCATATCCCTATTAAGACGAGCTCCACTTGATATCCCTTTGTTGGCAATTTTCTTTACTGGAAGATTCCAACACATCATCACCGACCATCCCCCACCACGTAATCCGTGGATTCCTTGCCCCCACTTGTCCCTTTACCTTTTTTTGTTTGCGTTCGATCTAGATATCATGGAAAGTTCTTACACATGTCCTATTATTGCCTGTTGAACAAGCGATTATGCCCGCGCTTGATATAGAAGGGCAAGTCAGGGTGGACTTCAAAAGCGAGTTTGAGGAGCGAGGGTGAAACTGGCTTTTGTTTTTATGTTTTTGTTGACATGAAGTGTACACATTGAGCACATAGCGAAATCGCGACCGTCACAAGGAATCCATTCCTTGCTCTTGAATCTCTACTCGTACGCATCGAACTAATGTAAATGGATGTCAAGTTCGTAAATTCAAAGTAGATCCATATAGATATATCGTACTATGTAAACGACGGACAATCTACTTCTGAACATTGAAGGAGATCTATCTGCTTCAATGTTAAGTGCTCAGTGTATATGGGCTCATGATTTTTGCGCTTGGTATTCATTTTTGCCTGGCTGCGAGGCCGACCATTGTTTTCTTTGTGGTGGTGCTTGGTTATCTTGGTCCGGGGGTGATCAAAAATAGGTGATTGGTTAAAGGGCTTGAGTTCAATGTTGGATTGATGGGGCTGAGATGCAATCGGACGTCAATTGATCCCAGTCTCCTGTCCGGCTATCTAGCCATGACAAACTCAAGTTGAGAATACCACTGGCCCTCTTTCGGGACAGGATTATGTTTGAAGGTAACTCAGACAACTGAACAGCCTTCCCTATATAGTAGACTCTCGTCCAGCTCAGATCGCCGGAGTAGTCGATAACACATGCCTGTGCTCCATTTTGAATCCAAGCTCCGTGGGTTTATCCGAAGTAAGCAGACGAAGAAGTCCACGCTTCTCCAAATCCCGGCAGAATTCCTCTTTGGAAAGAACATTTCCATGCTCACCAGAGTGCTTCTGATTCACCTTGTCATAGTCGTCACACTTGTTTACTTCCCCGTTATCCTGCCGTCGAGTCCCGACGCTGGACCATGACGGACACATTGTTCTGTCTATAGTTGTGCGCCATCCCGGAGTGGAGGCTTCTTCCTGATTCAGTGCTGCGCCTCGTGGCTCCTTAAGCAACGTCTCTGTGTGAGTAGCCAAATCTGGAAGCGTAAGATATTGGTTATGCCAGCATTTGTCGATGATATTGTCAATAAGCGGATCACCATCGAGCTTCGGGAACACCATGTTCTGTAATAAGTCCAGGACCTCAGGTCCATGCTCGTAAGGATCATCCACAAGACACTGGTCGTCATAAAGCTCAAAGCCGTAGTGGATCAAGTAGTACAACGAACCGAGGGCGAACTGCTCTGTTCGAGGACCTAGAAGGCCGGCAGATCCAGGCATTCCGTGGTCTGTCTCGTTACTATTGAGCAGTCTTCCGTACGGACAAGGGCAAGTTTCGAAATATGTTCCGAACTCGGCTGTGCAATCGAAATCAGACAGTACTAGCCGGTTGCGATCCAGCAAGATATTTTCGGCTCACAGGTCGCCGTGGGCGAGGTTGAGCGATCCGAGGAAAGTAACGCCTTGAGCGAGATCGTTCATCCCTAGAGATAGTAGGGGATCAACTGGTGCCTTATGTATAAGCAGTTATTGAAATGTTGTCTACTAACACGACTTTTGTAGGGCCAAGGGCTCTAGCTTTCCCACTTTAATAACCACTTTAGTTTTGGGGTCCCGAGTAAGATTGAATTGTCTCCTATAAGCAAGGGATATATCTAGAAATGTAGTGAGTAGACGCGCCATTAGCATACAATAGGGCGTCACACCTCTCATGTACTCAAGGAAGATTCCGTCTGTTGTATGGTAGAAACATTGCACTAGAGAGGGGCAGGGCGGATGCCGAGATAGAATCTCATAGATCTTGAGTTCTTTACGGAATGACTCTCTCTCTTCTGGGCCGGACTTGGGGACCTTGACCACGATGAGAGGATGGACCTCGTAGACAAATGAGATGCCTCCTGCCCAAACCCAGTACACAGTAGGAAATTGGTGTTGAATATCCATAACAGGGTGTGCAAAGACAGAGGAACATGGGGAGAAAGAGGGGAAAGGGGGAGCTCTGTATTGATGCAAGGTACATTGGATCACATAATCGCAGTCCTTCTTCCTTAGTAGCATAACAGTACTAGTGATAGATAGTCGTACTATGCCTGCAATCCCCAATCTCCATCAATATTCGGCAATCATACCCAGTTACCAAGGATCTTCCATAAAGTCACTAGGTTCACCACTGTACTGGGTAAGCAATAGACATATTGAGATTAAGCCAGGCAAAACACGGCTGCGGGTGTTTTCTTACAACAATAGAAAGGAAGCCGTCTCTGGCGCCAAAGGCTGTCATTTTCGGCGTTGTTTTCACAGGTCACTATATTCTAGTTGTAATAATATGTAGACTATGCATGTAATCCATGAAATCCAACATCGTGTTCAGGTCTTTCCAACCCATAACCGCCTCAAAAAGTAAAAAAGAATCGATGGTATCATAATCCCTCGACACCAAAACGCCTCGCATATCATATCGAATCAAAAGAAAGCCCCGAATCCGGCAGAGAAACAAAGAACCTGCCCCATCCATACGTGCCGCCTGCCTGCTTTACATGCTCTCCACAACATCAGCCGCCCGTCCAGCCCGTTCAGCCTTGCCAACCGTGGTAGCCAAAGCATTTCCCTCAGAGCCCTCCTCATCATCAGCTTCACCCTGCAACCGCTGCAAAGTCCGCAACGCATGCTCATACACCGCCGCCATATCCCCGCTCCGCCAACGCTCCGCCTCCTCCTCCGTCCCAAGCGGGACCTGTAACTCCCACGCCGGATCCGCGCGCCCGCGTTTAGGATTCCGAGCATGTGACGGGCCTGCTTCGTTTCCATTTGCGGTTCCATTTTGCTTCTGCTTTGCAGACGGCCCGTCCACATCCACGTCCATGGCTTCTCCAGCATCCTCCAGCGGTTCGTCTTTCGCATCCTCGTCTTCGTCTGCGTCTTCATCTTTGAGCACCTGCATCAATTGGGCTGCGTAGTCCTTTGCCGCTTGTCGGGGTGCGTCACGTCTCTGCTGCGCGACTGTCGTCGTGAGCGATTCCAACTGTGCGTAGAGTGCTGTCACGCGGGATGCGAGCTCGGTGTCGTAGGGTTCGTATTCGACTGTTTCGGGTGCGGTGAATGAGGCTGGGAAGGGGAATTGAGGGTGAGTGGAGTCAATGCCGTTGATGCTGACTGAGGAGGAGGCGCTTATGAAGGTGCGGTTTATGTACTGGTTGTTTGATAGGACCTGTCAGTACTGCTGTTTTTCTCTTTTTTTCTTTTCCCGTTCTCTTTTGGGAGGGGCTTTTCCCCTTCTCCCCTCCCCCCTCCCTGTTTATGACGGGGAGAGGATAGATACGCATGGCATTTTCCCTTTTGCAGGTTCAAGACCGAAGTTCACTCACGTCGTCGACTAATTCTCGTACGCGTTCGCGCATCGGATCGGGAGTATCATCGTTTGTTGCGGAAGGGGGGAAGTAGAGGTCGAGTTTTTTGCGGGAGAGGGACACTGTGTTGGTGTAGAGGTAGGTCAGGTCTGCTGGTGCTTGCAGCTCGATTCTGCGGTGTGCGGCCATTGTATATTGATTGTGGTGGGGGGAGTATTAGAGTGTTGATTTGGAGATTGTTTTTCACGCGTTTAGGGCGTTGCAGGTCTTGGCATTTTGGTCCCCGCAAACGATGTCATCGATTAGTTCCAAGTTGGAGATTCCGAGTCCACTTCCACCTTGCTTTAAAGGTTGTGACTTCATTCTTTTCTGATACCACTTCGGCGAATTTTTGTTGCTCTTCCTAGTCATATTATCTTTGGTTTTGCATTACCTGGCATTTTCATACTTGTCTCCTGTCCAGCCGGATCTGGACTGCAAACAGACAGCAGTGGAGTAATGCGATAATGCGGCCTTGGTGATCGTCGTGCCAATTTTCGCAACGACAGTCGAAGGAAAGGAATCAACCATTGATCAACATACACACGCCCGTACAATCATGTCTGCAGAACCTACCGTGGAGGACGCTCCCGCCATCTCCTTGGTGGATAACACTGTCCCTTCGCAACAACTACCAGGAGGAGAGCCCTCTCGACAAACCTCTAAACGCGCCCATAAAGGCGGATTGTCAAAACATATAAGCCGCACAACAGTTTCAGACCAACTAGCAAAGCGCAGATACGCGAAATGGCAACCTGAGAGGCTCGGTCTCTCGACAGACACCGACACATCTCCTAGCAGGGAGTCGTCGCAAGTTCGAGGATCAGTCTCAGCAGAGAGCTCAACGGGACGAACAAACACAAACGAGCCAGGCACGCCGGTACAACCGGACTATGCAACAGAAATAACCCATGTTGACACTGCGGACTTTGCCCTTTCCCAAACTCGAAGCGCCACGAATGATACCGTGCAATCAAGCGGAGAAGCAGGCCAACAGCCTCAATCCGATTCCGAAATAACCCCCAAACCCCACACCGAGCTAGATATTTTATACGAGAACCAGCGTGGCTGGTTCTTTTTTGGCATCCCACTCTACTCTCACAGCTCCCTTCTCAACTTCGATCCTAGCGCCTGGATGACACAAGACAAGCGAGCTAGCCCCGTCAATATCACCAATGCACAGGTCCCGGATCCCAGCTGGGAATGGGCGTGGCGGACGTGGTATGTAGATATGTCAGGCGATGTCGATGAACAGGGATGGCAATATTCGCTCTCGTTCGGCTCGTCCCAGTGGCATGGTACGCATCCGTGGTTTCACTCATATGTCCGGCGGAGACGGTGGATTCGCCTACGACAAAAGATCCCCGAGAGGCGGTACCGTGGACGCTCAGAGTTCGAGAAGGCGCATATGTTAACTGAGGACTACTTCACTATCCATTCTTCCAAGGTGAGGAGTCGTGAGCAAAGTCTTGCGCGATTTTCGACGGTTGAGTCAGGCTATCTGAGTCGGGTGAACACTACTTTGGACGAGGAAGAGCATATTGATGAGATTGGAGATATTCCTTCTCTCATGTATGCGTTGAAACTGGCATCCATTGATCGAGAGAGGATCGATGTGTTGAAGCGATTTGTCGAGCAAGGAGGAGAGGAACTATATTATCTCAATGATAAGGTAAGCTAACTTAACACATTATGGAAAGGCATTCAAAGGCATCCATGCTTTGGTATTGGAATATCTGGTGGCTAACTAGTCTTGTTTATGATAATAGGTTCCAGAGATCATGCCCATGTTTCTATTTCAAGCATCACGGTGGCAGTTCGTGACATATATCCTGGGTGTCATTCACCAGCTATCCAAACCAGCCGATCCTTCAGAGCAAAGGGATGCGGACAAGATACAACGCAAAAAAGAAAACCTTATTCGGGTGGTCGAGAGCGCCAAACAACATGTTACCGGGCCAGAGGTCTTCACCGATATCGCCGGGGACTCGGCATCTGAGCTACTTGATTTAACACCTGTCTCTCGGCATAACACTTTGCTGTCTAAGCGAGCGCAGATCTCCGATGAACCATTGCGCGTAATGAAAGAGAAGGAGATTGTGGGAATCCCAAAGGCCGCGCAAATTGGCCATGAATGGCACATCTATTAATACCCGGCTATTGCAGCCAACTCAATCCTTAGTTGTTTTTCCTAGCTTCTTTCAGCGCTGACACGACCTTGAGCGAAGGTATTTTCTTTTCTGTTTTTCTGTTCAATTAAGTCTCGATATTTTTTCTTATACAAACCAGAAAAGCTGTATTTGCACTGTTGCACATAAACATTATGTACTGTACTAGTCGCGTGGTGCCGGCAACTCGGCCACCGCCTTCCCCTTCCCGCGTAGATTTTTCGGAGCCAAAAGATCGGAGTTCTCAACACTTTGCGCTGTTTTACCACCACTTACTGCTTCAAGCTCCAGATGCCACGAGTGCATCGATCCACATGCTCTCGAGTGGCCACCCGTGTCTAAGAAGGCGCCTTTCAGCCGTCTTGGATACTGTCGCGGCCGCCCCCGAAGATCCTCTCCTCTTCCTCTACCCCCGATGGGCCGCTTCCGCCCTGCAGCAACGGCGAACGATCGCGTCCCTAGCGCCTTCTGCAGCTTTAATACAATGCAATCGAGCTCCTAGCAACCCGATACGTGCCAAAACTCGATCGTATCCATTTCCGCCGCCATTATCTCGACATTCCAGCCAATGGAGCTCTCCCGGAGCCTTGAGTTCGTCTGCCAATAGCTCTACGCCTGTAAAAGATGGTGCTGCAGGTTCCTCGGGAGTGAATGATAGCCCCGATGCCATTGGTTTAAGTCATGACATCGTGGGATTCTCCGGGGGGCTCTCGCAAGAGTCCAACGAATTCCTCGAGACCGCGTCCGATACCCCCAAAGCACATTACAAAAGTCGCGGCAATTTAAGTCGAAGGGAATGGCGACAGAAACGAATCGCAGGTCAACGGGAAGCTGCCAAGAAACCTCAAGAACAAGATATAGAGACGGGGTTTTCTTCGCGGAAGGTCTCCGTGGGGAGGTTGTCCGTCCGGGATAAGAGAAAGCTCCGGTCCGGAGATTTTTTAAGAAGGCGTCGCGGCTCTGACCGGTTTAGAAGTTCTGTGGATGCTTGGAATGATATGAAATTGCTGTTGGAGGAGGTGCATGATGACCCTCGCACGAAGCTCAGGAGAAGCACCAAATCCAAGGAATTGCAAATTCCCGAGGAGACGGTGGCGCTTCTTGCTGGTGTCATGAATACGAGTTTAAAAGAGAATATTTGGTACGTGCATGTGCGGAACGGGTGTAAAGTGCGAATCTTGCACCCAAGCGAGGGTGACGGAGCGCACCGAAAAGTCATCTTGACAGGATCCGAGCATGTCATGGAGACTGTGGAAGGGCTCATCAAAAATGCCCAAGCTTCTCAGGACGCCGGAGACCCGCTTGTTGATATAAGGAAGCCACCCGTTCCCATTTTCTTGGAGAGGGAAATTCTCTCACGGAAGAATATCACGATTCCCAAGATTCGCGGAACTTGGAACTTTCGTCGTCTTGGTGAACGTCCGCTCAGGCTCAAGGATGTCCTTGCATCGCGATCTTCTCTCAATTCCGTGAAAGATTTTGCGGAACATATTGAGGATTTGACGAATGCGAAAGAGCCATCTAATGGTTTGCTAAAATCCCAGAAGGTCCAATGGTCGCCGGATGCCAAACAGATCTCTCGCCACATTTTAAATCTCTTTCGAGATGCCTCATATCATCCCATCATTTCTACTGCTGCATTGAATCGAGCTTTGGAGTTTATGTGTAAGCACGAACAATTGAGTGCTGCACGGATAGTCTTCGTTGGCGCAGAACATGTTGCGACGGTAGACACATATAATGTTCTCCTGCGGTCTGCGGCGCAACGCCATGATACTTGGGCGTTCCGCAAGTTCTTGGCTATGATGCCTCGGTCAAACATTCGTCCCAATGCGGAGACTTGGCTTGCATTGCTGGCGGCTTTGACCACTTCCAAGTCCAAGGCGTCGCTCATGACACATATGGTGCAAAGGGGCCTTATGGCGGATATCAAAGTGATACGGACTGCTCTTCAGTTGACGATTCAAGATTCACTCCTTGTGCACCTTGAAAGCGGACAGGATGTTGAATCATTCGTCGCTCTCATGGAAAAAACCCATGGTGCAAATTGGTTTAGCCCATCGTTACTTGGACAAATGTTCAGTGTAGCTGCACGCTGCAAGAATTTTTCCGCCACGGACGCGCTGTTGAAGGTTTGCACCGAGAATGGATTCGCTATCGACAGTTCCATCCTCAATCAAATCTTGCTGATGTGTCGTGCCAACATTCTGACTGCCCTCAACTACACATACGAATGTGCCAAGTCACCTTGTTTCCATTTTGTGCCCCAGATCTGGGAGCGTCTGTTCCTCATTGCATTCAAAGGCCAGAACTACAATATCTGCCGAGTGCTGTGGCGATACGCCTGCATGGATGGATCTGTGACGAGACGCATGATGCAAACAGTCATCAGCTCATTGACCCGCAACGTGTCATTCAAGAAAAGCACAAATCAAATGAGTAAAATATGGGCCACTGATGCCGCCAAGGTCATCATTGGTATCGATACGCACCTCGAGGACTATAAGATCGCGGACTCGGCTCTGAAGGATGTCCCCTCCGAATTCCACGATACCCCCCTCGCTTTCCTCACATGTGGCTATATACCCGATGGGGAACAACGGCTTCATCAAATGAATCTGGCCAAATACCTTGTTGGACGTGATTTGAGCCACGGCGCTCGATTCTACACGCCAATCAATGACATTTCCATAATGCTCCAAGCCGCGGCTATCATTGATAGCGATTGGAAGGGTGTACCGCGTCCCTTGACGTGGAAAATGCAAAATGCCATCCAAGTGCCAATCAAACGCGACGAGAATTGGCACAAGAAAGTATAATCCTTGCAAAGTTCTCTTATATGATGGTCTTTGCAATCCTTCTCCTCTTTTTTCTTTTTTTTTTTACTTCTGCCTAGCGCTGCCGTGTTGCATGAGATATCCTATTCAGCGGGTTTGGATAGACATAGACTTGTACTATATTGTGTTTTTTTCTACTCATCTGTATAAAAGTTTTGCATCAATCTACAAAACAAACATCCTGCATACCAATACCAACATACATGTATTTTTGCTTTTCAGTATACACCAAAATGTAACATTGAATTCACTCAAGTGCTGATAACAGCATAGTCGGGATAGGAAGCCACCATTCAGGTCATAAGCCAACCACGTTAGGATCAACAAAATCAGCCCAAGACCAGAGACTCAAGTCCGTCGTCAAATGCGGCAATATGCTAGTACCTCTAGTCCTATCGAAATATACGTCTCCTTCCATTGGTATCCCGAAGGCCGACAAGTCCCCTGAAGACTGCATCTCCTTCATAGAGTCACCACTATTAATGTCTAAGGAAATACCCATCTTGTATACCTTGTCCCTCAGAAACCGCGTGAATTCTGCCGCACGAGCCGCAGCGTCCGATAAACGACCCCCGAACTCGAATACCTGGAGCGCGAGATCGATATGTCGAAGCGCCGCCGCACAGTGTATTGAGGATGAATACGCGAGCATGAACCCGATTATCGTTAGGACCGCGTTCCATTGGTACTGGTACAACTCGCTGCACCCGTAAAAAACGTCGTGCTGGGTCATGCGGGTGTGAATGAGGTCAATTGTTCTTAATGCGTGATTTAATGCTGTGTGTGCGTGCGAGTCTGTTTCTGGTCGGTGGGCGTGCGGTGGCGTCGAAGGAGGAAGTATTATGAAGCTGCGGTGGAGACTTATGAGGATATCGTGATACTGGAGTTCCAGAAGGGTGGAGAGTTGGATTTGAAGAGGATGGGATATTGGATTTGTGGTGCTGTGGTTCTCTTCGCAGCGCAGAGTGTTGTAATTCTCTTCCTCGTGGGGGTGGAGATCGGGTAGATCTAGGCGAACATGAATATGCCGAAAATATCTATCACTGCGTAGATCTTCTTTCCATTTCTCAATAGGGAGAAGCTGCCCCGATAGAACCAGGGCGTGTGCCTCGATATCAGACTCTACAGATCCTAACCGATGCGTCAAGGCCTTGACAACAGCCAGCGCGGCACATGTCAATCGAAGACACTGAAAATAGTACGGCGATGATTTCCCATTAGCCACACTATCCGGCGGACAAAATGGCGTCGACGCCGCAATAGAAAAAATCTCCGAAACAGGCTTGCCTGAGTACCGGGAGCAGCGGAAATCAAGATGAACAAGCGTCCACCAAAGCTGGAGGTTCTCCATCTCGTCCGAGCCAGGCTCGACTCGGTCCAGATTCAGGAACCGCGCGACACGCACAGCCATTCCGATCAGGCTATATGCCGCATGATGCTGGCCGGTATCTAGGAGAAAGAGCGACATGATGCAAAAGCATTTCAGCGTCATGAGCGACGGAGTCGCAAAGATAGCGTACTGCGTACAGTAAGCTAGACACCGCTGAAAATATTGCATGCCGATCACCCTGGATCGATTGCCCGGCTCAAAGTGCTTCCACTGTAGGCCCAGAAGCCGCGTATGGAGGCCCGAATGGAAAATATACTGCATTGTATATGCGATTACGGCATCTTGCAGCGGGGTGGGGAGTAGGGGCTCGTTGTCGTCGTCGACTTGGGCCGGTGACACGGGCATTTCGAGATCTTCTTGAGAAAGAATCGGGATATGCGGATGCAGGCGTGTCCGGAATACCCAGAATAGACTCTTCATCTGCTCGGGCGAGATATCGCAATATGCGGCGCTAATGGGATCTACTTCGCCGGGGCAGAAAGGCGATCTATATGGGCCGGGGTGTTCATCGTTGTTGTCATTTGACAAATGTGCGCCTATCTGCGACGGTGGGCGTAGGACGCCTGAGCAGAAAGTATTGATGCGCGTGACGAATTCCAGTGTCGAGTCCAGCTGGTACGTTATAGATACTGCTTGTGAGTCTGGCGAATGTGGTGATGGTGGGCACCTCGGTGTTGTCCCTGGACCGCTCTGGCTGGAGTTTGAAGCGGTTTCAGGAACCCGCTGTGGTTGCGAGAAATCGGATGCGTTCTTGCGAGATTCTCTTCTATTTGGGGATGAGTGAAGAGACCGAAGGCGACTGCAAGAGACGTCATGGTCAACGCACTGGGCGCATGGGATATGAGGGTCGCATCGGATGCGCTGTGCGCGACAGAAGTTGCAGGCTCTATTCACTCGTTGGCGTTTGGCGATTGAGCGAGGAGCAGCAAAGTTATAGAACATTCCGATTACTGCAAGAAAGTGAAGTCAATAGTTAGTCAACTCATAGTCCAGTTAATAATCCATAATGCATTGCGGAGTTTATGGGGTTGCGTGAGAGTGGCCAATAGGAAGTGGTGGACCAGTCCCAAGACGGCATTTGAGTCAGCAAGATTGGCCAATTGGGATTGTCGGGCTGATCTACAAGTAGTAATGCTTCCAAGAGGAAACTTCTCCAGATATTCAGCAAGTATGGGTAATCAAATCTTTTTGAAAGTAGATGGAAATGTCAGAAACACATATAAAAGACCTAGCACGCACGGTGACGCACCTACTAAGCAGGTTTTCACTTCAAATATTGATTATTCCTGATATTGGAATTATCCCAAACTTTGGAAAACATCCGATACCACCCCCAGCACCCCATCACCAATGGCTCATAACATTCTCATAACCGGCGCCTCTGGGTACCTCGGGGGCTCTCTCCTTGCCCGCTGGAAAAATGCCAACCTCCCTCCCCACGGCACGCTCCACGCCCTCGTTCGATCGGAGCGTCAAGCCGAGGCCGTGAAACAATACGGCGCCGAACCACTACTATGTGACCTGGACGACCATACCAAGCTGAGAGAAAGCATCATCAACCATGAGATCTCCATAATTCTCTTCCTTGTGGACTCTTTCAGTGGCCGACACCAACCAACCATGATCCAGGCTCTACAGCAGGTCAAGATCAAAACCGGTAAAGAGGTTCATTTTGTTCACACTGGCGGGGCGAAGCACTTTAGTCGTCATTCGGGCCTTCCTACCGAAGAACCGTTGCTTGATACCGATCTGGGGATTTATGAGATGCTGAAGACGACTGTGTCGCCGCATCCTTATTTCGCTCCGGTATGTACATGTACTACATACTAACCTTCAAAGGCCTTTAATGTTGGGATGGATCACCTCGATTACTTTGAGGCTTGTTGCATACTGCGGGCTGGCAAGGTCTGTGCTAATTTATATATTGCAGACCATCAAAACAAATATCATTGTCATTGATGCCTGTGAACAGTATGATGTGCGAGGATATATTTTTGTCCCGTGTATTGTGTATGGACGAGGAGAAGGATTTGGAAATCGAATTTCCATTCAAGATGTTGCGATCGTGAAGGCCGCTAAGAAAGTTCGGCGAGTTTATCGGGTCGATAGCGACAGTCCGGTATGTATGCATATGGAGAATCTAGGAGGGCTTCATATACGACCTTCAATTGATGTTCAAAGGGACCTTCAAATGTTTTGAACACTGCATACAAAGCTTAGAAATACTAACACGATACAGAGCTGGCCCGTCTGCCATATCGTGGACAACTCCAACCTCTACCTACAAATGGTGCGGAATATGCTTCTGAACAAAGACATAGGTTACAATAAGCGGGGCTTTTACATGGCTTCTTCCGGCAGCGTCGCGTGGGATGATATTTATCATGCCTTTGCAGTGGCGTTGGCAAAACGGGGTGTCGTGGATGATGATAGGGTCGAACAAGCAGATGACATAGCCCTGGTGGAGATGGGCGAGGCACTAGGAGTGCCACCGTCTCTCGTGCCGGTGATGTTAGGTGGAAAGTACGTACTTTTTCTTCTGAATTTTTTCTATGCTGCTTTTGGGATTTATTTATTTCTTCCTAACTAATGGTTCTCAGGTCTACCTTTACTGCTGTACATGGTATTGAGATTGGGTGGAAGGCCGAATACGCACCCGAACATATCCTCGAGACTGCGGATGAGGAAGTTGAGTTGATCATCGAAGGCCTTGAGCAATAGACACTAGAGGGATGATCACTTCCAAGGCTGAAGCCGTTTTACCCATGACGACATTCCGCACAACACATCAAGGATTCGGACTCAACGGGGAATAACGGCTCTGGTCCTCTAGGGACGAATTGCTACCAATGAAGATTGCTGTTTTCCATAACCCTTATGTATTCTATATTGTTTCATGGCACGGGGGTCTTCCTGCAGGCTATGATAGGCTCTCTCTCGAAGCCTAAGGCTTCCAAGGTTGCGGAGAACTAATGAACGATTCAGGATAAGGGACCAAGTGGCTTTATTTGCGAGTCCCAAGAGTTGCACTACAGACGGATCTAAATATAACAATCCCTGTAAGTACTAACGTGCTCCGGAATACTTGGATGCTAATCAAGGAAAGAACATAATAAGGTAAATCTGTTATGCACGGCAAGCAGAGCCGGACCCCCTGAAGAGATGAGGTGAAAAGGCCGGGGGTCTGGCCCGCTGTCAAATGTTGATCGACCACGTTTAATTTACTTGACTCCACCGTTTCGTTTGCCCCGTGCGAATTCCCCTTATTGCCACGTCCTCTCCGTGCAAAAAAAAAAAAAAAGGGGGGGGATAAGACTTTATTTTTATCTCCTCAACATTTCAACACGTTGATCAATAAGTGACCCCTGACGAAGAAGATTGTGGACCTTTTACTTTTTTTTCTCGGAAGTTTAAGCTCCTTAGGTTATTGTGGTTGGTTGAAGGTATTGATCGTCGCTGATATGTGAGGTATCCATGTGGCTTAGAACTTTTTCTCCTTCTCCATACTTTCGGAAAGCACCCATTTGGGTGGGACCGTTAGGAAGCGATCGGGATTTGAACTCTACGGGACTAAAGGTCTTGGGGATGACTTACTTTTTGAGAAGTGGATCAGTCGACGGGGGTGCCCGTACGAACGGAGGGTACAGAGTACTGGGAGAAATACCTACTTTTGAAGCGAGATAGGGGAAGAGTTCAAGGTTGATGCCGGGTGATTTACTTGAACCTACATAAGTACAGTGGTAGACATCTAAGCCCATCAGCCATCAGCCATCCCGAAAACCTTCCAAGGTTGGAAGACGCCATTTCTTAAATTTGGGACTTTGAGAAGATTGGACATACGGGGCACGGAGTACCTTAATTCAAATCCATATGAAGTATCTACCCCGGAGGTACCTTTACATGTACCCAGTACATAGTCCCAGTCTTACGAAATATGTACTGTTAGTTCACATTAATTATGCAATGCAACTCCCCTAACAGGAAATCACTGCCCATCTCCTCTGTACTCCGTAGCAGATCGGAACCGAGGCGTTGATTTCCCATCGATGAAATAGCAAGTCATCCTATGATAGGAACATCTATCTCCACAGAAAGGATTACCCCTGCCTTAGCAAGCCAGAACGGCACGGATGAAAGGCGTACCGAAGATCATGAAACCGGAAAGAACGAACCGGAATGAAGCCCCTCGTTTCAGGGTGGTACAAATGGTCAGCAGCAGATCCCTCGGAAGACAACAGTCTGGGGTTAGTGATGAACTGCAAAAATATACCAGTCTCTTGCTTCGTCGAAGGGTACTCCATCAGGGAGGGGGGAGGGGGGAGAATCAAGGCAAACAAGAAAAGGAAAAGCGTTATCTTCCCGAAACTTTTAGCTTCTGCGTAATCGGTGGATTGGAAAATGGTGAGCACGGGCACGCGTGCGTGCTCGACACACGGAATGCACAGTGGAGTTTGCCCTGACGTTCTCCACCAAGTCTTGCCGAAGCTGCTGTTCCACCGACCGATGGGTCATTTTCTGACCGTTTGGTCCCTGAAGGCGCATTTCTTTTAGCGAAAAGCATATTTGCTGATTGGCGACCAGAAAACCGGGAATTGAGTCCGAGATTGGCGCATTTAAACGAGGAGATCGGAAATCCAGATGTTGTGTTCTCCGCAGAACGCGAGGTGTCATGAATCATGCTTTGGAGAGGAATGGCCGAAGCCTCCCCATGAGGAAGATCATTGAGTAGGCGGGGAGGAAGGAAGCAAGCATGCATGCAAGAGAGGGTTGTGGCTAGCCCCGTGAGTACTACGGTACATACATACAAACAGGGGCCAAATGTGTACATCAACTCCGTACTCCGTAGAGCACATGTGGGGACGTGGCATAATGGAAGCCGGGACAGGATTCCACCGCCGTTTCAGAAATTTCCTTGCGTCTGTATGCGCGCACAGCCCATGCGGGTTTCAGCAATTGCGTGCCGATCGTTGCAGCTTGCATGCCGGATGGCGCCTTGGCACGCAGCGAAGGAACCATCGAAAAAAAGGCACGCGTGGAGACGGTTTTTTTTTTTTCTTATCCACCTGAATCACTGGGACCCAAGCTCTTGGGAGTGTACTTTTCGTCCGTACATACGGAGTAATACATTTGTTCTCCGGGGGTTTCCCTACTTTTTTTTTTCTCTATTTTTTTTTCCCCCTCCATGGGAGTACAGTGTTGTATTTGGCTCATCTTGTCATTGTCTCTTTGCTCTTTGCCATAGACATGAATCATGAATCATGAATCATGAATCATAGATCGTGATCATATAATCATGGAACAATCGATAGTGTTATGCAAGGATGAAGTGAAGAATCCATTGTTCTGGAAGTGCACGATGGAATGTGATTGGTCGATTGGTGGGAGGGTTTTCAATAGCGTCGCGATGGATCGGATCCTCTTTGTCGGAGTAAGTGACAGATTTGGGTATGAGAATCTCATAGAACTTCCATTTTGTTACTTTCATTTCAGAGTATATGGTAAAAAAGTATTGCTAATGTCAAAGATTTGCTGGTATTTACTAGTAGTATTGAGTATATGTAGTATATAATAGTAAAGCATTTTGTATTTAACATTTAGCATTTAGCATTTAGTAGATCAGTACTTTTGAAGCAGACACAGATCATAAAAGGTAAATGAGTTAGAGCCTTTGATGTAATTATGGAAAAAAATGAAATAAGAAAAAAGGCCAAAGTTGGCCCCATGGTGGATCGGCCTAGCGCCCCCTTAGTATTTACCATTTACCATTAGTACTTGTTCTGTAGATATAGAGAAATGAGAGAAATGAGAGAAATGAGAAATGAGAAATGAGAAAAGAGAAAAGAGCCCAAAAAAATTAGTGAAACCTTCTCTTTCCACATTCCATTAGACACATTTCTCATTTTCTTCTGTCTTTTTTGATCTTTTTTTTTTTTTTTAAATAATTTTCTCTCCTTTTCTCTTGTGGTGGATTATAAGTGTATCCTAGGAGGAAACCAAAGGGAAAAAACCAGCAAGTTTTGGCAATTCAAAACAATTCTTGGGGAAAAATACCGAGATAAAATAATCTTCAAGCTCGGCACTAACACATCCCCACTTGTGGATTCCCCTTGTGAGACCGAGATGCTATTGATCTCAGCTTGACTTTCTCCAATACTTTCCCATAATCCTAGTCCTTGTGTTTGGTGCTTTTGTCATCTGTCACCCTTTTCGCCTCCCCGCGAAACGCCCCAAAAAGTCTGGGTCCCCGTCGATCCTGCGCGAACTCTCCCTTCCACGAATTCCACCTTCGCAACAGCACAGGTCACCAGTACCAAGTGACCGACTCGGTGTCTCGGAGGATAATCTGGTCCAATTGGAAACTCGGCGACAACACATTCGTAACGGAACGTGGCAGGTCCTTGGGTGTGGGGAATCTTTGGAAGAACCCTTCGAAACCGGCGTTGACAGGATCTCGAAAACACGACCGCTCATTCGTCGCGTGTGGGATCAAAACTGCAGAGCAATCTTTGAATCGGTACGTCACCCTATCACGTCCTCCGGAAATCAAAATCTTTGCGATGCGCGCCCGTTCGAGAACGCTCTTTCTCAGCCTCAAAACAGTCCGTGAGGGAGGAAAGAAGTTCAGAAAGAAGAGGGAGAGACACGCAGAGAGAGAGAGAGAGAGTTGGTGGCGCGCATCCCTGATTCAGATCAGACCTCGTTCTATCTAGACTCGAGCTACCCCCCTGTTCTTCTCTATACTCGATCGCTAATTATTCTTCGCGTTGATTCAGATTCCTCTTTTAATTTTCTTTAATCATGGGTTGTATCTCCTCGAAGCCCGCCGAAGCGGATAAGGATGCCAGCCAGCGCAATGCCCGGATTGACCGAGTCATCAAGAGCGATAAAAAGACCATGGATCGCACTATAAAGATCTTGTTACTCGGTAAAGAATCCCTTCAGCAAGCTCCGCTCGCAATCAATTCCAACTAACCTTCTCACCAGGTGCCGGAGAATCGGGAAAATCCACTATCATCAAGCAAATGCGTATTATCCACAGCCGAGGCTTCCCCGAAGAAGAGCGCCACCAAACACGGGCTGTCATCTACTCAAATGTTGTCATTGCCTTCAAGGTCTTGCTAGACATTATGAAGGCGGAACGCATAGGTTTTGAGAACGACAATACAAAGGTATGGCGATCTCTATACCGGCCTAAGGTTCATTCGCTAATCAATCTATGAAAACAAAAGGCCAACGGTCAACTATTAGACAAAACCGAACCCGACGTCGGCTCGGATGAGGCTTTCTCGGATCTGAAGGTTCGCGATGCGATGAGGGCCATGTGGCTCGACGGCGGTGTTCAGAAGGCCGTGGCGCGCGGCCATGAATTCGCACTTCACGACAACCTCAGCTAGTGAGTCATTACTCTTTCCCTGAGCTTATCGTATCCAAGCTAACAATTTATCGTTTAGTTTTTACGACTCCCTGGACCGGATCTTCGCCCCCGGGTGGCTTCCTGACAACCAGGATATGTTGCAAGCCCGACTTCGGACAACGGGTATCACCGAAACCCTATTCGAGCTTGGCCAGATGAACTTCCGCATGATGGACGTTGGTGGACAACGCTCGGAGCGAAAGAAGTGGATCCATTGCTTTGAGGGAGTTCAATGCTTGTTGTTTATGGTGGCTTTATCTGGATACGACCAATGTTTAGTCGAAGACCAGAATGCTGTAAGCTTATCTTCCCCAATACCATTTCTTTCACAGATCAGTGCTAACAAACAAACTCCTACAGAATCAAATGCACGAAGCTATGATGCTGTTCGAATCACTCGTCAATGGCGAATGGTTCAAGCGCAAGCCTATCATCCTTTTCCTTAACAAGATCGATCTCTTCAGAGCCAAACTCTCCATTTCCTCCATCTCCAGACATTTCCAGGATTACAGCGGCTCCGATACAGACTTTGAGGCTGCTACACGATACTTTGCCGACCGATTCCGCGGAATCAACCGAATTCCAGATCGCGAGATCTACATTCACCAGACCAACGCTACGGATACCACTCTATTGAAGGCCACCATGGACTCGGTCCAGGATATGATCATACAAAAGAACCTTCATACCTTAATACTATAAGGCAGCGGAATTTTATTATACCGGTGGCCTTCATGATGAACGTCATTGTTTGCGACGAACTCGATTGTCGTTTCTTGTCAAGCTCTTGAGCCTACCTTGTTTTTTTCTTTCTCTTTGTTCTCTCCTTATATTCGGTTGCATAATTCGGCGGTTTATTCTCCTTTCTGTCATAGGCAATATTGCCATGTCTTTTGCATCCATTGCATTTCCGAGTTTTGCTATCTTTCATGAGGCGTCTTGATGATAGAATCGTCGGCCTCTGCCGTATCCTTGGGTCTGTTACGTTGCATCCCAAAAGTCTGTTCAATCTCACCAACTAATGCCAAGCTACAAGCTCTGTGATGGTTTATTTTCTGTCATACTTTGTTTTCTTTTTTGTCTTTTTTTTTATCATGCAGGATGATACCACTTTTCTTCATTTCTTTCTTTGTTGCTGCAAATTTGTTTTACCTGACGACTGTATCACCACAGGTTCTTAGTTTCCTCTATTAGTTCTACAACCTTGAATGAACTTCGATATATCAATCATCTCTCTATAGGAGCTCTTTCAAGTAAAAGCCATGATATTATTTAGTAATTAATGATTAGAGATTAGATCCATGGGTAAACATGACAAACAGGTGAGAAAGAGCCAATGTTGGAGACTATCGACATTGACTAGCTCATAGAGCAATTTGTGGTTCATAGTAACTAGTACTACTAGATAATATACCCCATTCTGTCACCACGTGGTAATGGAGAAGCTAAAGAATATTACCAAATAAAATCTTAGCTATTGAATTTACAGACTTCTTATGTTAAGAGTCTATAACGTTACCCTTTTTTCGTACTAGTTACAGTCAACTGTCTAGCTGAAGAACGGATAGGCGCCAGATGGCTCAGGCATAATATTACATAATCTCCGCATGATCAGAGACGCCGAGTTCCGGTCCGATGATTTCGCCTCCGATGCAAGTTCATCTTCACCTTCTTTCCCAGTTCCTGGGTACCACGCCAACCATGTTGTCAACATCCATACGCCGGGCCGCCTGGGCGCCTCTTTCCGGTGTATCTACCCCTGCCCAGAATGTTCCATCTGCTGGTCTTCTCGGCGCAACCCGCTACGTGCATCAGCGCCGATACTCCTCATCCTCCTCCAAACCACCAGTTCCCCCAAGCGATGGCTCCCAACGTCTGGATACCTCTACCGCTGCGAAGAGTGTGAACTCTTCCGGTGACAAGAGCAAGGCCACCCGCCGCCGAGGTAAGGACACCGGTGCCCGCAACGGATCTTCCAGATCCAGCCAGCAGCATGCGGCTTTTTCGAAGCTCCCCAGCGTCCCCTCGACACAGCACCGACAACCTCATGGTGAGTTCCCGCCTGTAGCAGCTGAAAGGGGCCCGTTGTGCTCCTTCGAGGCATTTTATACTAACTTTCACCCACGCAATAGACGTTCACGTCGCCTCGTTCTTCTCCATTCACCGCCCGATCTCCGTGACCACCACGGTCCCTCCAACCTCGAGCTCCGAAGCCTTCGAATCCATCTTCTCCAAGAGAATCCTGAAGAACCAGCCCGACGATGTCATTTTCACCCTCTCAAACACTGTGCAGTCTATGGAGGGCCCCAACGGCATGTCCGAATCCGAGGACCCATTCGGCCAGATGCACAGCCGCTTCACCAGCGATGCCAACGGCGAGCTTCAGATGCTCGATCACCCCGAGGCTCACATGTCCATCGAAGAGCTTACTCGGCGTCTTCGCCCCTTCCACCCTCCCCCACCCCCAGTCCCTATGAACATGAGCGCTGAGGCCGAGGCCATGGAGTCTCAAGAGGCCCAGAGCGAACAGGACGCCACTTACTCCACCGTTCTCACCATTCGGGAATCCCGCGGCGCCGATGGTCGTAAGACCTACGAGGCCTCGACCGGTCCCTTTGTCCGTGACGAGATGGAGGCCCCTGCTGGTTTGCGCGATGAGATTACCATCGATGCTCCCAGCAACACCACTGGCATGACCTATGTTGAGCGTCTGCGCAACAACTCTTCCATGCACGCCATTAGCACCAAGAGACGGCGCAAGGCGAAGATGAAGAAGCACAAGTTTAAGAAGCTGATGCGGAGAACACGTACTCTCCGTCGGAAGCTCGACAAAGCTTAGATCTGGGGCGGTTTCCGCGTTTCCATTTTGTTTTGGTGTCCTTTCTTCGGTTTTTATCGGATGCATCTTTGGCCTGCTTCTTGCATCTTTGCTGGGTTGAGGAGGACTAGTGTTGTCTGAATTATAAGACATTTCTCCTCTTTTTCTCTAGTACATTGCTCCTATTTATTTCTTGTGCTTTTTTACTTGGTTTCTCCTATACTACTTCTACTACTACTACTACTATCCTAACATCCACCGATCATCCACCAAGTTTCACTTTTTTTTTTTTGAACATTGAGCTAGAAGCCGTGGTTCATGACCGTTTCCTCTTATGTGTGGTATACCTATCCTGTCTCCCATGCATCGCGGACTGTCTTATAGAATCTGTTTTCTTGACGACCCAACAAGCTGTGTCCTGCATTCCATTAACTTCCATGACTCGCACTTGAAGTAAATAGAAGCATTCAAACCTATTGTACCTAGGAAATCAACTGGTTCATCGGTTTTCAATATGATACCTCTCGACAACGGGCGATCTTCCTAAACAAGGTTGTAGTATATCTACTATGAAGTGCAGAATCAAAAGGCATATTGCACAGAGTCGGGATTGCTATATAATATCGAATACAATGACCCCGACAAGCCAAAAAGAAAAGACAAGAAAAAGAGTCAAAATCGAGAGTGAAAGGTTTAGAGAAAGGAGGGTCTTCAGCACTAACAACGAGGCCAACAAGGCAAGTCAAACTCGTAGTAGCCATGAGACAAAAAAGTGGAAGAGAGTCCCAACCAAGCGAGACTCAATATAAAATACAGTATCCAGCGCGCGCATTCATGCAATGTAAGCCAATCCAATATCTACCCACACCTGTCCAACCGTTGGGATAGTATCCCCCGATTCTACATACCACATTGATCAAAAGAAGAAATTCCCATTCACAAGTCAAATGAATTTATCATAGCCGAAATCTTTTACCATCGTGCTCCACTAGCCTTCGTACCCGACACCATGGAACGGAAGTTTTAACGCGCTTGTCATGTCGGGCTCCGAGGTTCACAAATTGACACGTCGGACTGCAAGAGACCCCACGCGCTCGATGAGTGAGGTATCTAGTAGGTTCCGCACGTTATAACGAGGGAGTGCTCGTTTAGCAGGAAGCTTTGGAGCGAGAGTTCATGAGAAGAGCGACAATCAGTCCATAAAGACCTAGAGGGATATCGTTAGCACCTAATACGGGCCTCTTGCTTTTGAGCAGAGCAGCGCAGCGCAGAACACTGTTGCAAATGACTTACCCAAGACTTCCGCGAAAATGAGAATCAAAATCATTCCAACATAGAGACGAGGTTGCTGAGCAGTTCCGCGGACACCAGCATCACCGACAATACCAATAGCGAAACTGTAAGGTGGACGAATGTTAGTTATCAGGGCCATGTGGAATGTTTCAGGAGGGTTGGAAATCGGACGTACCCAGCAGCCAGACCAGCCAGACCGACAGCGAGACCAGCACCCAGCTGGATGAAACCAGTGTATAGAGGAAGCTTCTGGGTCAGGTCGTTGGCGACCAAGACCGACACGACGAGACCGTAGATACCAATGATACCAGCCATGACAATGGGGACAATGTCTGTGAGTTGGATTAGTAAGTGCGTTCAGGCATTGCAGTGAATAGTACAGCAGGATTGATATTTTCCAGTCCGTACGAAGCTCGACATACTCTTAACGATCAGGTCGGGGCGGAGGACGGCCATGGAGCAAACACCGACACCAGCCTTAGCGGTACCGTAGGCGGCACCGAAGCAGGTGAAAACGATAGCGGAGGTGCAACCCATCGCACCGAAGAAGGGCTATTGAAGATATATCAGTCATTGATTCCGGCGATGTCATTTCTGCAAACAAGCTTGTTCAGGCCCATGGGAGGGGCGGTTCGTGACGGCGTCGCCGCATAATTGGACCCGATAGCGATCGAGAAAGCTAGACTTACCGCATAGACGGGGCTATTCAAGATTAAAAGTTAGCAGGAGTCATCAATGCGTGTGAGCCCGTGATGGATGAGGCAGTGCCGAAGGTCGGTAGCTGTCTAGCACCCAGGGGGCTGGAGTCATAGCGACGACGTACCAGAGTTCTGTGGCCATGCTGACGGATATTCTCGACAAGACTGTCGAGGAGAATTCGGAGCTTGGAGTTAGATAAGAGAGATCCGAGAGGTATAGGCGTGAGCCGAAGAAGAGGTTAGCGGTGATCGGGAAGGAGAGAGCCAGCTACGAGGTCAGAGGCCACCACGCTGGTGTTGCGGTCACGTGTTTTCTTGGCACGGCATTGAGATCCACTCAAGTGCTGTAGTGTAGTATACATTGAACACCAATCTGAGATGCATTCTAAATATTTCGTGCATCAATCTGATGTGAGATTTCCAGGAAATTGTTATTATAGGGGTTTGTGCATCAATATCGAAAGCTCTAATTGCATTCTTAATTAGAGATTTATGACTTTGTTTCGACATAAGCTACCAGGGATCTTAGAACATTGATATTCTTCTTGAGACATTGATATGCGACTGTGGGACATCCTGGTTGACAGACATTAAAGCATTTGAAGCTCCAAATCTTCTAATATTATAACTGTACATGAACTTAGGAAAGCTTTTCGATTTTTCTACTGAGGTGCTTGTAATCCATTTAGATTATGCAGGTTTGGAAGTGGCCACTTTTGTGGCGCAAAATAACCGTAACATGACGTATATATTACCATTACGCACACTGAATAAGTTGAAAGATATGAAATGATTTACCTCTTCCACTAACCATATTGAGCAGCACTCCCGCGGGAATCCGCGGGCATCGGAGATTCCTCCTATCATCATCCATGCGTTGGCGTCTAAGAGACCATTCTCATTGGCTTTCTAAGAACCCCTCCACGGAAAAGGCCCGGGGACGATAGTCAGCTTTCAGATATAAAGAGCCCCCGCGGATGTCCGCGGCCTTGTGGAATCTATCAATCGCTATCCCGTCCAGTCAGCAAGATCGCGTACTACTTTGGGACTATACGCCATGAAGAGGGACGCCAACGGCAATCCAATCACGACGGTGCAGGGGTGGAGTCGACCTCGGCCGCAAATGTCATGTCAAGCTTGTCGTGACAAAAAACGTCGGTGTGATCGCGTCCAGCCATGCTCAAACTGTGTGCTCAGAAACACCGCCTGTGAATATCCGGGACAAAGTCCTGACAATGGTTCGAATGGCCCAGAGCCCTCGATGGTACCCATTTCCACTACATTCAGTCAAAATGCCGGGACAAAGCCTCAAAGCTGGTCGGAGCCGGCTGCAAAGTATGTTGCATCTCATTCAAATGTTTCTTTATACCCCTCTAACACCCCTAAAGCAATTCCGACGAGATGTTATATCGGATAAGAAGATTAGAAGCGGCGTTTCTTGAAAAATCTAATGATTCTAATGGACCCGGAGTGAACCAAGGGCCTGGAGGAAATCTTGGGGGTATCTTCACTAATGGGATTACACTGCCCGAACAGGTAAGCTCTCTCTGTTATGCTACAAACTCTTTCACCCTCAGCATACTTATCCGAATCTCAGGATTCTACTTCTCACTATGTCACTCCATTCAGTGCCCATTATATGAACTCTTTGAATGAAAGGAGTATAGGTGCGCCGGAAGCACCTACCATTGTTGAGTTGACGAGAAAGTTGCCACCTTTAAGCCAGGCGAGGATGCTGTTCAACCATTTTGCAGCAACATTGCAGCCTACCTTCGGTGTTCTTCACATCCCTTCATGCCGTAATACCATGGAGAAGGTGTATGAATGTATTCTTGAGGGCCAAGTACCCCCCGCTGTTGATTTAATGCTGCTGTTTAGCATATTTGCCGGCGCCGCCTTGGGCTGGACCCCCGACCTTCTGGAGAAATTGAATGCAACGAACGAAGGTGCACGCGCAGCCTTGATAGCGTACTGTCGATTTGCCTTGGCTATCCTGGACCATCCTTCACGGATTATACAACCGTCAACGACCGCTCTTGTGGCCATTGGGACCCTGGGCCACATAATCATGAATACGGATGGATTTCCATCCCGTGTTCAAATGCTACGTCATCACTGTCTACTCATGTCGAGGGAATTGAAGATCCATCGATTAGATACGGCAAAGGCCCGCGAAGAAAGAAGAATAAAGGGATGCGATATGATTGATGTCGAGGTCCAACGACGGGCGTGGTGGAGTATGGTGGCATCCGACTGGTAAGTTCTCTGTAACCTCTTCAATCGGCTTACCCATGACTGACTAAATCCCAGGCTTCTTTCATTCTCCGGTGGTCCCCAAGAAGGCGCTTATCTTTTTCAGCCCAAACACATGAACGTGAATATGCCTAGCAACACGGATGATGAGTTTATCACAAGTGATGGAGCTCATCAAGATTTTCCACTATCTGTGCCTACGGCAATGTCAGCTTTCATAGCGCGAGTACAGGGTGCGGATCTCTGTCGCCAGGTGATCGATGCTCTTCCGTCTATACTACTTGATTCCCAGCAACCAGACTATGCTACCGTTCTGGAGCTGGACGACAAGTTTCATGACCATATTCTTAAGCTCCCCACCCACTTCAAGTTGGATCCCGAGAGTATCGAAAAGAGTCGGCAAATCTGTAAAGAACGGCCATATATCGCTTGGCAGCGGATCAGTATCCATTTCAGTCTCCATACACGACTTTGTCGCTTGCACCGGCCTTATCACTTGGAAGGAATAACGAATCCCAAATATGCATACTCGCACATTGTCTGCATTCGTTCAGCGCACAAAGTCCTGGAACTTCGGCGTGCGATGGACGAAGTAGCGCCCGAGGTAGGACTGAAAGCCGCCCGGTTCTGGACCGTCATGCACCATGTATTCTTTGCGGCTTTGATCTTGGCGATGGATGTATCATTCAATCCGGTTGCACCTAATGCCGAAGCTCGAAAGGCACAAGTGCTTGGGGCTTATGAGATGTTGGAACGGTCCAGGCGAGAATCCAATGACTTGATGGAGGGCATTCAAAAAAACCTACAGACATTGATGTCTACACTGCACAAAAGACGGTCTTCGATGTCTACCCAACCCAAGACTGCTGCCGCCCGTGAGAGGTCTCTTGCCACAACCCTCTCAATGGGGAACCGATCGGCAAATGATGCGGGCGAGCCTGTGAATGTTCTCGATGAGACTTCATTTTCTGCACCGCCCTCCTTGATCGCCGCTGATGGAAATGGCCTACTTAACGACCTTGGTGAGGATGATTGGGAGAGACTTTGGTCTGATTTTGTGGCTGTGGCTCCGGATTTAGATGTGCCACAGTGGAACTCGTTGCTTGAAGATGTGAATTTTGCTCCACCCCTGGAACTATACTAGGATTCTATCGATCTACACATGGAAATAATTGTTTAAAAATAAACCCGCTGCAGCCTTATGGAATGCGTTTTCTTTAGGCACAGCCCTATGCACAAAGTTGGACGCCTTAAAAAAATGTTTTGAGTGCTGACTCTTCAGGGAATACGAGGTGGGTCCGAAATGAAAGTATACCATTTTACTACTTCATAGTTCGACTTTGCGTCAGGGGCTTTCTTTTTTTTTAGAAATTTTTGTCAAATTTCCCTGCATTTCGCAGCCCCCTCGAGTCACACTTGGCAGTTTTCTAGAATCCTGCCAAGAGTGAAGTCACAACATAATTAGTTTCGTGGCTGGCCAATGATGCGGTGGTTGGTGCAGCGTGGCCTTGGACTTGGCGGGTGGGGTCGTAGCGACAGGGCTGGACCGTTGGATTATGATGCGCCACAGGTGACGACATGGTTAGGATCGTCACTATCTAGTATCATGCGACTAGTAATTTTATCTAAATTGGTTTTCTAAGATCGTTCGCCATGAACCAAGTCATGCCGCCAAGCTTCTCCTTCCAGGCAACCGGCAAAAGGAGGTGTAGGATAGGACAGTTGAGAATGGAGCCGAAAAAGGAGTCCAGGGAGGTGTCCAAGGAGCTGAGTAAATAGAAATCAATAATCACGTCTCCTGCAGTAAATGAGACGGTGTGTAACCTTCAATTTGGAGGTTTAGTCCAACCAAGCTTGAGGAGGAATCGAGGATCATCATCATTTTAAATTCACTCAAGGTGGGAAAAAACCTTGCTTATCTGGACAAGGCGGAGAGGGTAATTAAGCCAATCAAAGCAAAGATATGTGATGAGCCACAGATGTGGCGTCTAATGATGTAATAGAAGAACAAGCTCTCTTGCTCTTTTTTGCTCCGTTTTCCACATTTAAAAGAGCTCCGCATTTCCTCTTTCCCCCTTCTTCCCTCTCTATCCAAACCTTGTGACCCCTCATACGCAAACATGCCTTTCACTGCTTCGTAAGTTCATCCCTGTCGACTCCAGAGCTATCGAGCTATCTGGTTTCGCAAGCTACACACTCCCACGAGCTCGCGCCCTGGCTTCCCACGTTCCCACCGAGATGGGGATAGCTCACTGTCACATGAAACAAGAAGAGTTAGAACTGACCTCGCAATTCCCAATAGTGATATCTGCAAAATCATCTTCGCCATCATCCTGCCTCCTCTGGGTGTCTTCCTGGAGCGCGGATGTGGTGCTGACCTCCTCATCAACATCTGTTTGACCATCCTGGGTTGGTTGCCTGGTGTCATCCACGCCTTGTATGTGTTGCCTCACCCTAGACTTAATCTCCCCGAAAGGACACTGAAACTAACCCCAATCTGTCTCGCAGCTACATCATATTCAAATATTAATCACGCTGAAATGACCCCCACCGGCGTTGCCTCTCGGTTCCCATGCGTCTCGCGCGACATTCAACGGGAATAACACGTTCGCGATGTTCTGTGTTACATTCCCCTAGCCATTGCTGAGCTCCATGTGGAATGTGCCACAGTGGCTGACGGGTCGAGTGCTGCCTTCTGCATGATTCCGCAAAGGTCCGATAGTAGCCTGCGTTCCCCACCGACGAACATGGCCGGTACGATGTTGATAATTCCCTAATGTTGGTAGTGTGCCCTGTGGACACTGCCAAGGATTTTTTCTTGATGTTTATTCCCTATGTGCGATTATTTTGCGAGCTTTCTTAACTTTTTTTTTTTTTTCTGCTTTTCAAATGATACCACCTCATCTTGTATAACCCGTGGGCTTTTGTTGGCTTGGGGTTGGTTAGCTTTTCGGTGGAATTGACAACATTGAATTATTTGATCACGATATTGATTGCTTGTATGTTGTAGTCGGAAGAATTCACCGGGATTGGAGATCTTATCCAGATCCTTGAGCCAAGTGGGACCGCTATAAATGATTATTGAAGTGTAAGGCTGGGCTACCGGATGACGCGGATACCACTTTTACAGGGATTCTCGCGAACTTCACCATCGTTGATAAAGTACTACTAGCACTTGAGTACTAATCAAATGCTATGCTGCATAATATATGGTCGACATTGGGACAACGATCGACATGGCTGAAACTAGATTAGTTTCGAGCATCCTTCCAGAAGCCCGGGGTGAAATTCGAAATCAACATCGATGATCTAACCACTTACCAACAAAGCCATCAATTCTAAATCAAGCACAGCAGATCGCCAGATCAGCGCCTCGATGGTTCTGAAACACAGCGCTGGCGCGTTGACTGGGTGCTGGGAGGTAAGCGCCCAACTTTGAGCCCCGGCGCGTAAAAAAGCAGCGGGCCCGCAGCCACCAAACGAGGTCTGACCGTATGGGCGCTTCACCACTGTTACCATTCGTCAACTCCGACAAGACCAGGATCGAGTATGTCATCTGGTTTCAACATGGCGCCAACTTGCATTGCCTCAATGAGTGTGTTTCAGGCTCGTGTCCAGCTTGATTTGCTTGGTTGATGTAATCTGACCAGCGTCACAATGGCCGGAGTCATCTCGCGACGCGCCCGACATTTACATGTTTAACTATGCCCGTTATCCTTCTTGGAGGCGGTTAGTGGCTATTGTTTTCGCTTCTACCCTTGAACTTTTTTTTCGATGAGCATTTTTTGAAATCCTTGGACCTTGTGCATTGAACGATACAGTGGTGCTGATCATGAGCAACTCCAAGACCACATGCCTTCAAGGGTAATCACTCCCATGTTTTATTTGAATAGGTCAGCTTGAAGATACAACTACGAGAGGAGAGGCTGGTTCTCACAGATTCTATTCATATAGACTCGTCAAGCATGCTCCTTCATCCTGTCTACAGGATACTCGCTGCGGCTCTCCCCCTAGCCGCATTCTGTGCGGCCAGCAGCGATACCTCCGATGAAACGAACACTGCTCTTTGGGACATGGTCCCCAATTGTGCTCGAAACTGCACAGAGAACTTTATATCGTCCCAGTACACTTCGGCGGAGTGTAACGACACATCGAATATCAAATGTTTGTGTCGCTCACAAACAGTTGGCAATCTCACCATCGGGGAAGGGGCGCTGAGTTGTGTGTATGCCTTATGCTCGGAGACGGTTAAGGAAAATACCGATGTTTATCATATTTGCGACTCGGTATCTGGGGCTCTGGCCGAGACATATGCGACCATCACCGCAACCACATTTGCCAGTGTGTTGTCGCTTGCGACGACAGAGACGACGACAACCAGCGGAACTTCAACAAGTTCAACTACAGCAACATCCACTACAAAAAAATCGTCATCTGAAACCCAGTCTACGGCTTCTTCAACGACATCTGATGGAGCGGCCCTAATTACTTCCTACCACCCATCAACCTCAGCATCCGATGTGCTATTCACTACCTCTGATACATCAACTACAACATCCACAAGTTCCCCAACGACTGCAGCTGGAAAGAGCAGTAGCAATGGGATTAGTCCAAGCACAGTCATCGGGGTATCTGTTGCTTCTGGCGTGGCCGGTTGCTTCATAATAGGCGTGGCGGTATTCTTCTGCGTGAAGAGATGGAGGAAGAGACATCAGACAGACTTTGAAATTGGAGGAGACATGTCCGAACCTTCTGATTTCTCAAACCCACCATACTCGCGAGGACCTTCGCCGATTTCAAATCCGGGGCCGCCGGCTTTAAACGTCATGCGACGTCCCCAGGAGATGTCTCAAATGTCGCTACCATCGCGTTCTTTGGAGTCATCGCCATTTCCTCCAAACTCCACTGCTCCGGGAATTCGCATGGTAGAAACACCACGGGATGAAAACAATCAGCGAATAGGCTGCGCTGTTACCTCTGAATCAGACTGGGAAGGCTCCCCGAGAACAGTGGATTCGCAACACACCATGGCAGAGCTACTGCCAACCCAAACTACCGGCTTATATCCCAAACCACTGAAGTTTTGGCATCGACCACCCAGCTCAGGTACTGTATTCGAAGAGGACGAAAACCATGTCATGGCAAACAAAGACCTACCTCCTCTACCGAGTACATGGAAGTATCCGAAACCAGGACCCCGACCTGTGATTATGGGTCTACCGGCCAACCCTCGAGCTGCCAAAGAGGGATTCCCAGCATCAAAATTTCGGCGCGTCAAACCCCAAACTCAACAGACAAGCCCCATACAACCCCAATCACCCCGAGAAAAACCAGCAGGCCCCCGCACTCTAGGAACCCCATTCTCCACAACCCGAAACCAAAAACGCAGATCAATGATCTCAAACAGCAGCAGTGGCCGGAATGACAGCTCCGGATTATCAGATCACACCTCCAACACCTATCTCACAACACCACTCATCACTACCGCACAGGGCCGTATCGTCAGTGGCACGGCCCAAAGAAAACCCAACCCCCCATCCCCAAGCATCTTAGCCCCGGCACCAGACATCGTATCACGCCCCCGAATCGTCCGCGCAGAAGACATCACGCGTGTCCCACTGGGAGAACATCCACCCAGTGAAGTCGTTGTACCCTACTGTCCCGAAGACTTCTGGCTCGAACGTGGCCGGACCAATCCTTCCTCTCGAACCGTCTCTACCGAGCTTCCCTACCCATCAGAGATGTTCCCGGGTGTGGTTCTATACCCGGACAGTCCGAAGAAACGACCCGAAGATGCGCCTGTGAGGGTATCGCCCACAAGTCGGAATTTGACTCCGTCTAGAAGAGGGAATGACTTGATTCTTAGCGTCGATTAGATTTGTTTTCCCCTTTATGTTTGTACCCTCTTGTTTTCTTTTTGTTCGTGTGAGCCTGGCTGCAGCGGGCTGCTTCTTGGTTTGCAAATTGTATATTATCATGGAGGCATCGTTTGGATAAACAGCGACTTGGCATTTCTTTGAGATGAATTTTGGTATCATAAATAGCGACCTCATTTCAGTTGTACATATAGATACATCCAAATATTGACTACATAAGCAGTGCTTCCAACATTGAAGAGAGACTTGAAATTACTTAGTAGGATAATAAGTTTCATATATTAGACGAATCGGAACGCCAGCCGAGACGCGCTCATCAATAAAAATTAAACGTGTCCAAAAACATGGACTCTAAGCTGACTAGATACCTCAAGTGTTGGTAGGTAATTAAGCTTTCCCGCATCCCTTCTAATGTTGATCCCTCCACAGTCCAGCGGACATAGTACATTGATAGTACCAGTTGACGTATTCTTCGAGAAAATACCAAGATTAGTTCTTCTCATCGAGGTTCTTCTCCTTAATCGTTTCATCGTCGTCATCTGTTCTATGTCCCACTGCAAGGCTTTCCTCCTCCTTCTCATTCTTAGCCTCTTCCTTCTCTTCTTCCTTCTCTTCTTTCTTCGCCTCCATCTGCTCCTCCATCTTCTCTTCCTTATCCTTCTCCCCCTTCTTCTCAACCTTTGCGTCTTGCAAAATGTGATCACTCTCCAGAGCCTTGTTCATTGTACGCTCATCAACAAGTGGTGTGGCTAAGAGAGCAAGACCACCAATACCCGTCATCACCTCAAAAATGGAGTCCAGTCCATAGACATACGCTTGCATGGCACCTTCACGCAAACTCCCAGCAGGTAGTGTTTTCAGGGTACTGATATAAGCCTCCGCGTTCTGAGCGATGGCACTGGGAAGACTCAAGTCATCCAACTTTGTCCTCATGAAGTTCTGCAGCACTGTCGAGCCGATAATGACACCGATCGCAAAACCTAGCGTCCGGAAAAAAGTGTACATTGAAGCGGCGTATGCAACGTCTTTGGCTGGTGCGCAGGCTTGCGCGGCAACCAGAAGCGCGTTGAACAAGATTCCGTGACCGAAACCCACAAAGGCGAAGATAAAGATCCAGGACGCTGTACTGGTGTGTTCGTGCAAGATGATGGTCACACCAGTGGCTGCGACGGTAGCTACCCACCCGAACCAGAGGGCCCAACGATACCGACCGGTCTTGGAGATGACGAAAGCAATCGCTATGCTTGTGGGCATGAGGGCGACAGAGACGGGCAGGAGGCCGACACCGGTCATGACGCCAGACTCTAATTTGACGGTCTGGAGCCACAAGGCGAGGTAGTACAGGCAGCCGTACATCTGAGCGGTAAGTCAGTAAAAGTTATTATTTTTGAGAACAGACAAAGAATGGGATGAGCTCACAATAGTGCCCTGGACAATAGCAGAGGCATAAACGGCCAAAGAAGATCGATCCCTAAGAATGGAGAGTCTGATGAACGGATGGTCGGTTCCATGGAACTCCCAGAATACCGTTGCAACGATGCCAACCACACCGAGACATAGTGGGAGCAGCGTTTGATAACTTGCCCAAGAGTACTGTACTCCACCCCAAGAGAGGCCGATCAAGAAGACTGACAAACTCGCGATGAATAGAGTCTGACCGATCCAATCAACCGAGCGAAACTGCGTTTCGCCCTTTTGAAATCGCACTGACGTGAATAGCATCACGCCCGCGATGGCAGAGAGTGGGAAGTTGATGTAGAAAACCCAGCGCCAGCCTGTAGAACGGCTTGTATACTCCTCAAAACAGCCGCCAATCAGAGGGCCGAGAATAGTCCCCAGAGCCATGGAAACCTGGACAATGGAGGCGTATTTGGGTCGTTGACGCAACGGCACCAGGTCAGTGATTAGAATCATCGCAAGTGGAATGAGACCACCTCCTCCCACACCCTGGATAACACGGCCGGCCAAGAGAGTAGCCATGTTGTGGGCAACACATCCCACGATGGAACCAATCACGAAAAGACCCAGAGCGGCAACGAGCGCTTTTCTCCGGCCAAAAATGTCAGAGAGAGAGGCCCAGACAGGTTGGAAACCTGCACATGGGACCAAGTATGCGCTACCTACCCAGAAAGTGCTGGTGGTATTACCCTTCAGTTCCTCAGCAATAAGCTGTTTCTGACATTAGATATGATTCGGGGGCAACGATAGGGACGACTGGTCAAATACTGACGGGGAGGATTGGCAGGAAGATGGTCATATCCAACGAAGCCATTAGACCAATGATGGACAGACAAAAGAGGACCTGTATGACCTCTTTGCTCGCCTTCCATTCTGGCTCGTCGACCTTCGGCTGACACGCCTCCGCAGAGGCAGCATCCTTGTGCGGGAAGCTTTCGACATTCTGCTTCTCACTGTCCTGCATCATTGCTCTGACTGTGAAGAGGATGCCAAGCGGCAAGAAACTGTTCACAGAGACCCGAATGAAAACGAACTTAGATTCAAAACAGTGTTCTGAACCAACTCTTGACCAGTATCACGATTCACCACACAGGATGAGACATGTTGGGTCGCGGAAGCCTTATCTGTACCTTCGCTTAGACTACCTCGAATTGTCGCTTACCTGTTCGCTTCGCCATGACGATCCTAGCTGGAAAAATCAATAAGCTGGCGAAAGCAAACAATAGCTATGTGTGACGGCCCCTTGCTGTGTGCATGCACATGTGCAACAATAGCTCTCCACTTTGCTGCAAACTCACAAAAAGGCAAGGGCTCCTGCGCCGTAGATCCAATCCAATCCACCAAATAGAGGGTTTTTGAAGCATAGAGTAACTTAACCGAAACATAGATCGTAAATTGGGTCTTGTTGCATTCCGGCATTTTTCGGGAATCGGGCGCGAGTCACGACTTGACTGAATCGGAACAACAATGCTCATGTCTGTGGGTCGGCCCGTCGCCTTGGCCCTTGGCCCTTGGGAATCCTCAGCTGACTCTGAAAGGGCAAACCCGCATATGGACCCACTTTTTGCATTTTGCATATGAACTATCGATGATCGACAATTCTAGAGTCGTTATCTCTCACCGAGAGCTTGTTTTTCAGAGAGCTCTGGAAGGGGGATGGAGTAAACATTGAATAAAAAATCAACCTTAACAATGCTTAAATTGTGTGGCCAAGTTTTAGGGTTATCTCTCCAGGGGCCAGGGCTTTGTCGTATACCGCCACATGGCCGATACTCCCCTACAAGTACTTAACATAATATACCCGGGTTATATGCAGAGATTCAGTAGTCAAGGAAGATTTTCGTAAGCTTTCGATAAATTTAATTGAATTCGTATTATTTATGCACACCGAATGTGTGGCGTTTTTGACCAATCGCCGATCAAATTGCTAGACAGCTCCTCACTTCAAATGTTCAATCCATCTTGTAGTATGTAGTCCAAAAAAATGCAGAAACCTGTTTATCTCCTATAGCATCTGTATGCTGGTCGTGTTGTTCGTCAGATGATCTCGCTAGAATGCGAGTTCAGTCTGTTGTAATGTAGTTCCAGGGTGTGTCTTCAAAGCTCGATGTGGACCCAGCTGGAGTTGTTGGCCATGTACATGAACTCAGCAGCAGGAACGGACTTGAACAGCGAATCCGCAACGAATCCCGCAAGGATGCTCATGCCAACCATAGTATAGCCACGACTAAACCACCACGCACAGTTCTTCTCGCTCTTGAGATCCACCGACGAGATAGTAGCAGCCAGACCCGCAGTTCCGCCACCAATAGCAAAAGCATAGTAAAGCGGGCCAAGCTCAGTAAGCACACCAATAGCAGCAAGCAAACCAACCATCACAACAGACAGAATAGAAACAACAAGCTTAGTGCAGTTCTGGAACTTAACCGCCATACCCTTCACGCCAACGTGGATATCATCCGCAACATCCTGGTGCGCATAGATAGTATCATAGATCATGCTCCAAAGCGTGTTGACCGCAACCACACACAAAGAGGGAACGAGGAACTCTTCTTCCATGGGGAACACATGCACAGACCGCGCACACAGCAGGGCCCCAACACCAAAGGTGGTTCCCAGCACAGCTTGCGGGTAGTACGTGAAGCGCTTTGCGAACGGGTAGGCCATCGCGAGCACGACGATGACGCCGAGGTATTTCAGCACCGCGGCCGGCATGCGCATGACCAGGGCCACCATCATGATTGTCTGGACAATGGCCCAGATGTTGGCCTGCGAGCGTGTGACGGCTCCGCGGGCAATGGGGCGTACGGCGCACCGTTCAACCTTCTTATCAAAGTCGCGGTCCACGCTGTCGTTCCAGGCGCATGATGCGCCGCGAGCAAGCACGCAGCAGAGGAAGATTGTGATACTGCGGTCGACGAGGAGGAGGAGAGAGGGCTGGACGGCGGCGATGGAGGTGGCGTAGGCGACGCCGAAGAGGCAGGGGAGGTAGAAGGTGATGAAGCCTCCTAGTCGGTCGAGGCGCATGAGTTCAGCGTAGGGAACCCATGATGCTGGGAGGAGAGGGAAGATGCCAGATGTGGGCCGCTGGTATGCGGAAGGCTTGGATTGAGTTTTCTCCATGGTGGTTTATAGAATTATATCAATTGGTGGGTTATAGAATGGGATATTGGGAGAAGGGACGTGGAGAGGAAGAGAAGAAAGGTTGAAATCAGAATTGCCTTGCTACGAGGTTTATAGATGGACTTGGGGGGATGATGCTACGATACAAAAACTACATGAGTTTCCATGGCAGTTCAATGGCCGGTCTGCCGTCTGTCCTGTGCATGCGCCGAAGAGGCAAGGCGAGCATCAAGCCAATCATCTCGGAGACGGCGTGGTCAGGTCTTCGGCCCCGCCGATGTCTGGAAGGAGGATACGAAGTGGATAGGAAGATAATTGTCAGGTGCAAAACTATAGACTATTGAAAAGAAAAAAGAAAAAAAGAAAAACAAAGGCCTTTCTCCATAAAGTGGATATAGAAGAATGGCAGATGCAGATGAGAAACACCACATGGCTCCACTTCCGATCTGCATACATAAATTACCGTAACTTACCATTGATTACTAGTAAAGAAACCGAGTGTATTTTAGATAGATCACTTTTTTGATTGGCTATTATAGACATTCTGGAATTTGTGTAATTTCAGTAATTTCACTCGTTTTTCTCTGTTTTGGTTTGGAACCTCAGACTTCCTTTTATTGATCTCCCAAAAAGTTGAATTCATAAAAGAAGTCAACTACTTATATACCCCTAACAAGTACACCATTCCAAAAGGATTGAGTGATAATCTAATACCTTGCAGCAAACATGAAAGTGATCATTGTGGGGGCTGGTTTGGGAGGTCTGGCTTGTGCCATCGCTTGTTGTCGCGAAGGAATCGACGTGGCTGTACTCGAAAAGTCACCTGAAGTTCGCGAGGTCGGGGCGGGTATCCAGATCCCTCCTAATGGCGCCCGCGTCATGCGGGAACTGGGAGTCTTGCCCCAGCTTCTCGAAAAGGGGTCACAGGTCCAAGAGGTGGAGTTCCGCCGATATAACGATGGCTATTCGTTGCGAACTATGCCCTTTGGTGATGACATCACGCGTGAATTTGGTGTACCCTGGTTGTAAGTTAGCCAAAGGGAATCCGGGTTCTTTTTTTTGATTTTGATTAATTTCTAAAAATTTGATATCTAGGATCATCCATCGAGCTGATTACCATAAAGTTCTGCTTGATGAGGCAACCCGGCTTGGCGTCAAGTTTCAGTGGGGTGCGAATGTCGAAGATGTCTTGACTGATGGACCTGAGGTTATCCTCGCTGGGGGTGAAAGAGTCTCCGGAGATGTTGTTATTGGAGCAGATGGTATGTATCAAAGATAACCCCTTTGGAACTGTTTCTTAATCTAAAATATATTAGGTATCGGCTCTACTGTGAGAAAGATTCTTCTTGGTGACAGTGTCTCCTTAATAGAGACAGGTGACTTGGCCTACAGAGCGGTATTCAAGCGAGAGCAGCTTAAAGCACTTGAAGATGATCAAGTCACAGAGCTATGTCAGAAAATTGGTGTGACAAGTTGGCTAGGGCCAGACAAGCACACCATCTTCTACCCTGTTCGTGGGGGCGAAGAGTTCAACCTTGTTCTCCTTCGACCCGATAATTTGAGCCCGGTATCTCATCGAGAGACAGGTGATATCTATGAAATGCGAGAGAGCTATGCAGACTGGGACGAGACGTAAGTCAACAGAACCCATATTGAAATACCAATACTGACTATCCATAGACTCCAGAAGATCATATCGTGTGTGCCATCCGTTGATAAGTGGAAATTATCAAATCTTCCCGAGTTACCATCATGGACAAAGGTCGCTATCAGCTCTCAACTTGTCTCATAAACACAGTATCGCTAATTATCTCCATATACAGGGCGCTGTTGCTATCTTAGGAGACGCATGCCATCCCACCCTACCATACCAAGCTCAAGGAGCAGCCATGGCCGTGGAGGATGGTGCACTAATTGGCAAGCTTCTTGGGCTTTTGCAAGCCCGTTATGTCAGGGATGAAAATGACCCATCGTTATCAACAAACGAATCCACCCAAGCGGATCTCGCGTCTGTTCTCGAGCTGTACGAGCAAATTCGCAAGAAGCGCACTAGCCGCAGTGTGCAGGGAGCGATCATGAATCGAAAGCTCTTTCACATGCCGGATGGGCTTCTCAAGCGGATACGGGATTTTCTTTTGCGATATGCAGGTGTTACTCGCAAATCTGATTGGACTTGGTTATCATCATTCCGGCAGAGGCAAACTCTCGGATACGACGTGCTACAAGACTCTACCAAGGTGTTTGAGGCGTGGGCAGCTTCTCACTTCTCGGTGAACCGTGGATAAATGGATCATATACGACTATTGAGTCGCTATCTATCACATTCACCCATATTAGGCTAATATAATACATTCGACTTTCGTGTTTCTTGGGATTTTCAACGTAGCTGCATGGTAGATCGGGGAAGTAAGCTTCGCAGGCCTTGGTCGTATAGGTGAGGGGTAGCTTTCAAGGGGTCTATGATGCCCATCTTTACTACTTAGCTCCAAACTCACACCAAATCTTATGTCGATTTGATTGTCGATCAGAAGATCAGACAATATAGTATACCACGATCTATACCTCGCGGTATTGGTACAGGGGTGGTTTGATTACCGGTATTGTCAATACCAGGACACGGGATCCACCTGGCGTGGAATTTGTGGATCCTCCAGGGCAATGGCGCACGTCAATCTCAGCCCTTACTGGCACTATGTAAACAGTAGTCCGGGATCGAGCGATTAGATGATCTGCGTTTGTACGTAAAAATCTTAAAATCCCTGCGCTGTCAACAGACCTAACGTCTCTCTACCGAGATCTCCCAAGTTGGGCTGCAGAAGATCCTTCAATTTATTCACCCTGCGAACAGATAATCGACCAGTCTCGGAGGAAAATATGACGGAAAATAACAGGCCCGCTTATACGGAGTGAGAATTCAATAGTTCAGTTCTTCAACTTGATGGCGGTGTGAGAGGTTAAATTCACGCCTTCACATCCCCTTCCTTGACAAAATAATTATTCCCAAGGCAATCGAAGTTTTTTTTTTTTTTTTTTTTTCAATTATGGCTACCCCTTCGGCAATCACTATTGGTAACGGATCGTTTACTGGAAAATGGGTGATCGTATGTTTCCGCCAAAAATACACAGACCTCGAGATAGTTAGCTGCACTGTGATGACTACTAACACCGGTTTCCAGGACAAGAAAGTCTCGCCCCCTCCAGACCCGGCCTTGAAAATTGTATGCATAGCTCGTGTTTGAAAGGAAATGAGTTCTCGTATAGGTACTAAACAAGGGTTTTACTGTTTTTAGCAAGGGGTCGGCTGGGTTCTGCGGAAGGCAGCTTCCCTAGCAGTGGTAACTCTCCACTGCTCTATCTCGGCCCCCTCAGCCAGCCATGCCGGCGCCGACTCTCAGCCTTCTCCACAGAGTTCGCATCTTTCGGTTCTCCAAGTCCCCACTGCTGGACTGGGACCGATCTCCGAGTCGCGCATATTGGATTGGGAGGAGCGGACCCCGCTGAGGGATTTTCTGTTCGGGACTCGTCTATCACGGAATCACTTGATAGCCGGTAAACGTGGCGTTGGTGGCCGCATACTACCCGACTTGGTCCCCGAGACGGCAATCCATAACGAGTTGATTGGTCAGATGCTGAGGGGGGAGACCCCACCCGATGGCTGTGACGGGAGTGGATTCCTAGTGGAGGGTGATGACGATGAAGCTGAAGATGCAGGTCTCTGGATCCATAGTTTCGATTATCGGGAAGATGGAGCGTGGACTGTGGAGCAGGTAAGGACTTCTTTTCCTGCGTCTCTCCGCGTACATAGATTCGGGTGACTATCCCATGCAGCAATTCAATTCTAACCTCTGAAAATCACTAAATACAGGTTTGGGGATTTGAGATGATTGGCGGGGAAAGATTCCATACGCGAAGATTTGTGGTTGCGAGCAAAGGGGGTAAGATTGAGATGGGTCGCATTGTATTCTCGTATGCTGGACCCCTTGAGGGCTGAGTGGCTGAAGCTGAAAAACTTAGACTACTGTGGAATTATTTGGGGCTAAGCTTGTTTTGATAGTATGTGGTATAGAGTGGATCATTGAGTGTAGATCATCAACTTTTTACCATATTGGGCGGCTAAGCTAGGGTGGATCTCGGGTGCTTCATCGGGTCCTCTCACAAGTTACGCTAAGAAGTTCGGGATTGACCGTAGAAAAGTCTTAATGTTCTTCGATTTCTAATCTTTAAGGCAAGGACAAAGAATTGTCATGTAACAGAGTCCAATTTTTTCTCCACCTTGTCCATCGTGTACTAGTATGTACGGTACATGGGAGGTGATGTAGGTGGTATGCACTTCGTATGATCCGTAGAGTGAGATTTTGCCTGCCACTTTCTTCGTACCCACAAGGCTTATGGGCTTATGAGTATTTGATGTATGGAGTAGGGGAATAACACAATATGCGGTGTGTGTACCCAATTGGCTAAGATATAATGGATAAATAAATGCAACTCAGCCGAGAACTGGTGGATCAATTGCAAGAGATACTTTATCTATCCTAGTAAGCCAGTACAAACCTGGGAAAAAACATTCACTACATCACATTCAAAGTTAACCTTTCTCCCCATATCCCAGCTTTCTCCAACTTTCCAAAGGTGAACTTCATCAACCTATCAAACTCAGAATTTTTATTACATTCAATCGCAATCATGAAGATGCCTTCTGCCTTAAGCGAGACCAGACTGTTCCGCAAGAGGTCCGACAAGAACAAACTCAGTATCTCAACAACCATCATCTCAAAGCCAGACCCTCAAAGTGGCACTTCATCACCAATCCAACGCTCTTCTGAGGAAAAGACTGCAGTTGGAGACTCTTCATCCAGCGACATTCTTCGCAACACCCGTTCTCCCAGCCCAAAATACGATGAGATCCTACTGGATGACTCGGCAGTCCTCGCCCCATGCGATTACATCCGATCACTGCCCTCCAAGAATGTCCGCGCAACAGTCATTCAAGCCTGCAACCTGTGGTTCAAGCTCTCCGAAGTCCAAACCACCGCCATCATCGACATCATCTCAGACCTTCACAACGCTTCCCTCATCCTGGACGACATCCAAGATGACACTGTTCTCCGCCGAGGGAGCCCAGCCACACACTGCGTGTACGGAAACGCACAAGCCATCAACAGTGCCATTTACATGATCGTCAACAACTGCGCAAAGCTGGGACAACTACAGCTTGTGGGTCCGGCCGCCATGAACGCACTCGTGAATGGAACACTCGAACTCTCCGTCGGCCAGAGCTGGGATCTGAAATGGAAGGCTCACCTCCACTGCCCGACTGTGGGCGAATACATGGCCATGGTGGATGGCAAGACGGGTGCAATGCTCAAGTTGATCATTCATCTGATGCACAGCATGTCTGATCAGCGCGATATGGACGATGCCATGCCACTCTTCGATCGATTGGTGCTTCTACTTGGACGCTTCTATCAGGTTCGTGACGACTACCAGAACCTGCAGGATGACACATACTCTGAGCAGAAGGGATTCTGTGAGGACTTGGACGAGGGCAAGATCTCTTACCCTGTCATTGCGTGCTGCAATTCTGACCCCGCGGCTAAGGATATCTTACTTGGTATCTTCCGGGAAAAGCGGGATCCTAGTATCAACCCGCTCCCTAAGAGCACCAAGATCTTCATGCTGCAGATAATTGATCGCTCTGGGGCATTCGAGAGTACTTGGGATATGTTGCAGACTTTGGGCAAGGAAACTTGGGATGCTCTTTTGGCTTTGGAGGAAGCTACGGGGAAGGCCAGTCCGGGGCTGCAACAGATGATCAAGATGTTGATCAACACTGTGCAGCCGCCCAAGCGCTGGTGATGTACTTAATGAGGTCTGATTTGAATTTCCGGGTACAGGAGTTTGGTGTTTTTGCAATTTTTGTACTTATTTGCTTCGATGTTCAAAGAGGTCGATAAATAATTAGATACATATATTTTTCAACTGTCATAAAATCTAGGTCTCATTCAAACATTTGAAGCACTTGAGCGTTACAGCACTTGGGCGCTCTCTATCTTTGAATCAATTCATTAACATTGACATTCATGATCTCTATGTATAATTCCAACATTCAATGTTAATTCAAATCTTCCAGATGTCCTTGGTCTGGATCAAGCACTCTTGAAATGTGATCGGTTGACCACCAGTTTAGACAACTGAGGCAACTCAAATATTCAATATTGAACTTGGAACCTGTCACCTAGCCAACATCGTAGAGATTTCCAAAGTTCGTACATGCCATCAATTGACCTTGGGTTAAACTCAGCATCGATCTGCAAGATAAAAATTTCCTTTGGACGTTTTGTGCAAGGTTGTTACCTCGTTTGACATGTCCGACAAGGTCCCTTGACTCATGTCTTGCTTCCAAGGTTGCTTTTACCGGACTTTACTTACATACCGGACTTTACTTTTCTTCTTCTGATTTTCCAAATACCTGACGTCTCGCACGTGCGCTGAATAATGCAAGGGCAAGGGTTTCCCAGATCACATTATGCAAAAGGCACATATTGCATAACAGGCGTCGCCCGTATACATCTAACACGTCCAACTTTGGAACCTGCCCTGAAACCCCTGATCTACAAACTACTACTGCAATCGTAAGAATCTGAGATCTGACGGATAATCCGGACAGTTCATGATGACCTTGCAGCATTATTTAGAAGTCTATTGACCACTACATCCAATTTGGCTTCGAATACGAAGCTGTACGTCTCATTATTTACGCACTAGTGATGCAATGACAGGGCACACTGGAACAAGCATCTACATAGCGTCGGCTTATATCGGCTTCGGCCAATGAATCGGCAATTTTGGGCCTTGGTAAAGGCGGGTGATCTACACTCCAAATAGCAAGTATCCATTGATTCACACTATAAAATCCGACCCAAAGTAGACAATCTAGGTCGCTAATGGCGGCTATTACGTATCCGTAGGACGCCATAGGAAGATTTTCACCGCCATTCACAATCTATACGGAATTATCTTCAGATCTACACTCCTTAGGCACATATGATTGTCATTCAGTGGGGGGGTGGCGTGCATCGCGTACAAGTTGCTATCTCCGAGTGGAGGTCAGGTAAGTAAGGCCAGAAATCAAGGTTTTATCCTCGGTGAATCCGACAAGCCAAAGATGCACAGCCAAGCAGAAGCCCCCACAAAACATTTCCTCTGATGGATGGCACCAGAAATGATTCAAAGTTCCGCTTACCTATGCACTATTGAGCTCCTTTTCTAAGATTGGGCCTCTTGCGCTATGCTTCTTGTCTCATAATCCGACCTCATTCAACCCAGCTTCTTTCGGGCGAATAGACCAGCGGGCCCTACCTTTATTCAATATGGAGTCGGAAAAGAACTCTGCCTTCAAGGTGATCATCGCCGGTGGATCGATTGCTGGTCTTACGCTCGCCAATGCTCTCGCGCGTGCCAATATCGATTTTCTTGTGCTCGAGGGACACGGTCAGATTGATGCTTCCATTGGTGGTGCGCTGACGATTGTCAGTAATGGACTGCAAATTCTTGATCAGATGGGCATCTATGATGATATTCGCCCGCATCTCGAGCCGGCGGGGGATGTTTTCACATATTTGAAAGATGGGAGTTTATTAGGGAAGATGAACACGCCCACACTTATGCGAGAACGGTACATTTTTCTGGTTTCGTTACATTCAAATTATATTGTTGATGGTTGAAAGCATTGGAATTCTAACAGCTTTGCAGGCATCATTATCCCGTTGCTTGGCTACCCAGGGAGCAACTGCTACGAATCCTATACGATAGTGTACCTGACAAAAGCAAGGTGCTGGTGAACAAGAAGGTCAAGACGGTGGATCATTCTGACAACGGAGTTGTGGTGCACTGTGAAGATGGCAGTCAATACTCTGGTAGTATGATTGCCGGTGCCGATGGAGTCCACAGCACTGTTCGCGGAGAGATGTGGAAACATATGGAAGAAAGCAAAAAGGGGAAATCTAGGGCGAAGAAGGATCGCAAAGGTATGTTATACTATACTCTATTTTAATCCTGTAAAATCAGGACAGTAGACTGACATCTTGTTATATCTTGCTAGCCATTACTGCTGAATACGCCTGTATTCTGGGAATATCGCGCCCGACCGAGGGTCTGAAACCAGGAGAGATTCATCGAACCTGGGGTAAAGGCTTTACGACCTTCGTTAACGTCGGAGAGGATGACCAAGTGTTCTTTTTCATCTTCACCAAAATGGACCGCAAATATCAATATTCAGATATGCCAAGATTCTCCAAGGAAGATCAAGACGCCAAGGCCGAGACCTTTTTGGACACTCATCTCTGCCCTGGTGTCAAGTTCAAATCAGTTTATGAAAATGCCATAAGCTCTGCTTATGTGCCCCTGCAAGAAGGAGTGATCAAATCATGGAGCTGGGGAAGATTTGCATGTCTGGGAGACGCAGTACACAAGGTATCCACGGATTCTTCCCACTTTTCAAACTGATAGTCACACATGCTGACCATGTTAGACAACACCCAACATCGGCCAAGGAGCCAGCCTAGCCATCGAAGATGCCGCTTCCCTCGCGAATCATATAGTGAAGATGGTGAACAATCACACGAACCTGACCTCCGATGATATAAACGAGTCCCTCACTATGTGGGGTACCGGTCTAAGAGCAAGGGCCAAGACCGTCTGTGACGGAGGTGCCATGTTCACAAGGCTAGAGGCACTGGCAAATTGGCCACTCAAGCTCGTTGCGCTATATGTTTCACCTTACCTTGGAGGTGTTTTTGCAGATATTGTCAGCCTCACTCACCTAGGAGCACCCACCTTGGACTTCTTGCCCTTACCGGAGAGGGAGGAGAGTGGTTCAATGACGGACGATTCGGTGACAGATGAAAAAGTGGTGGTAAAGAGAGAAAAGAAACCCGAGCTGAAGTTGAGGTCTTACGTTCGGGCGTTCTGGGCCATGAACCTGAAATTGAAGTGAGACTTCGATGCCTAGTACTATGTACATGTAAATTTTGATCATTGAGTGAGGGATCCATGAGTTTCGGGCGCATTCTCCAAATTTTTTTTTTTTTTATCTAGATTGGGAGGGGCTGTTGTTTGATTATACGAGTTTAATTGTTAAATTGCCCCCTAATTCTCCTTTGACATTCAACAAGCTTGCCGTTGAGAGTGCACATTGTAAAGATTGAATGGGGTTATTGTACTGTATACATGATTTTGAAACTCCGATGTTGTTGTTCCACAGAAAAGGTTAACTAGCGTTCGGGTCCATCCGATTTTACCCGATCTTGGTAAGCAGTGCAAACAAGACAAACGACCATTTCCCAAAGCGCGCACAGCCTAGTTAAACAGTAAACCCGACATTTGAATACTATGTTGCCCTGAACATTTGAACATTTCAAATTTGTCTATCGTAAACATTAAACCAAAGTTTTGCCGCTATAAGCATTCAAAGGGGAAAACATCATCGCTATGGTCCTCGCCCAATATAATACGGCGATTCATCCATTCATGCATGAAATAATTGTGCTAAGCATCCATCGTGGCAAATTAATCGACTTAATCCATTTATTCGGGTGAGCCACAGGTAAAAACACCATGCACAGTGCCAGCAGCATACTTGCTGATCTATAGTCAAAATTGATTAGCTGCATTCATAAATCGAGAGCAACCACAGATTGCACTTACGATATCAGCAATGCTGGAATAGGTTCCTGCAACCAGGGTGACGATTCCAATGATGAAAATAATCAAGTTAATCACTCCGAATAGGATGTTCTTGGGCTCCTTCCAGCTACCCTTTTTGAGAAGCAGGAACCACATCATTGGGGGGAAGTAGAATGTGAATCCAGAAATGAAAAGGGACGAAGAAATCGAAAGCAAGTCGTTGAAGAAGGGGATAACTTCAGCGATAATGAAAGCAATAACAGTACCAATAGCAATAGTTGCGAGCCATGTAATCCACCCCATCTTGGTGTTGATGAACCGAAGTTGAGAGTTTGCGAAGATTCGACCATGAACCAGGCGGCCAAATACAACAGTATTGATAGAGCCACTGATAAAGATGACTGGTAACGCAATGCCAAACGCGACACGCTTGAGCAGGCTACCAGCTGACAGAAGAGCAGGGCTCTGAACGTCCTGTCCGACAAATGCGTAAATCAGAGACCCGGTGAGGGTATAGATCACAATTTCGATAATACCCAAGGCCCAGATAGACTTGACATAGTCTCTTGGTGTATGCATCTCATCCATGAAGGAGAATTGGCAAAGCGCAAAGCTGTAGGCGAAAATGATATTGGTCACGGAGACAAAGGCTTCGTAGAAAGAAATGCCTTCCTTGGGCCATGCAGACCAGTTCACGGCCGCGAGTCCTCCGGGGGCATTGCTTGCATCCACACCAGTTGCAATAACGGTAATACCAATGGCGATAATAATCGAGCCAAAGTCGATGTAGCCTAGCACAGCCATTTCGGTAAAGCTAGGAGGAACCGCGAGGAGGAGCAAGATAATTGCGGATACAACACCGAATACCACTGAGCACACGTCACTTTTTGTGATATTCAGGAAGGCAATTGTACCCGTCAAGCAGTGGGATCCAGTAAGGAAAAGCAATTGAATAGCAAGCATCGCATTAATTAATTCAAAACCAAAGCGAGGACACCCGAGACGTGCACCCATCAGACGGCCTACATCGGCATAATGGGCGACCTCAGGGAAAGCCAGCTTGACCTTTCCAATAATCCAACTGGTATAGATAGCGACCAAGCCGAGGCCCACCGTGCAGATCACGCCGGCAACCATGCCAAGAGTGGCGAAGGTGGATGGAATGGACAAGCTTCCCAGTGCAATCGCTTCAACAATAAGCACGACAGTGAGGCGCTTCCATCCCAGCCGACTGAACTTCTGAATACCGCTCTCATAGATATGCCTGTCCGCCTCATTCATGTATCCGACTTTAATATCCCTCTCCTCGAATGCGTCGGTGGGTTGCATCTTAGCTTCTTCATCCTGGTTCGCTTCGCGGTTTTCGTCGCGAACAGGAACGTCGTCGGCGGCGTGGCCATGCTGGCCGTGGGAGATCTCGTCGCGATCCATATTGCGATGAGGATTTGGGAAGAAGAGAATTCAGGGAAAGAAAATGTGGGCAGATCTCCAAATAATCAGGGCCAACAATTTTCACGCAAGAAACCCAACGCTTATAGACGGGCAATCTCGGACAGACTCCGGCCCACTGAATATCTCCAATATTTCTTGGCCTATGAAGCCTTCTCCACTTGTATGATCGAACCAGCAACTAGATATTGGAAACCCAACACCCCTGTTGTATCTTGGAACGCGGGGAGATGCAGGCCAGATTGAATACGGGGAGGAACCCCAAGGCGCATGGTGTACCTGTAGCAGGAGGGGGGCCATCACGTAAAAAAAATATGAATGATCGTTAGAAAAGTGGACCATGACCGCATCTGGAGGTTGAAACATGAACGCGCTTCTAAAAAATTGAGTTGGCTCCACTTCTTCTTCCGTTAGGGTTCCTAAGGTTTCTCAAGCCTTTTCTCGGTGAGGAAAACGTAATCTTCCCGAGATTTCTCCCTTGCTCGGCGCCCGTGTCCACACCCGGTCCCGAGCCATGGAGCTGTGGAGTGCCCCCCCTCGCCACTTGGCAGTATGAGTGGGGTCCTTCAAACCTGTGATTCATTCACCAGCCCGACCCGTCTTTGGGGTAAATGAGCGGGGGGCATTGGCCGTATCCAACCTGAAGTTTGCCCGCAAGGCTTAACAACAGGGTCGGGGCACCATCTGGGGATGCAATGGCGGGGAATTGGGGCTTGGTGGTTTTTTGTACCTAAGAGAATCCACCTGGTATAGTTCTGCGTGTTTTGACACCACAGATGGGCGTCAGGGCATATGAAAAAGCTGAATTGCGCTCCAGGGCACCAATAACGACACCATTTTCGCCTCTCCCACAAGTTGACGATCGGGGACTTATTTTCTTCCCGAGAATGGTCTGCTCGTACTTGGTACTGGTTTCATGCGATCAACATTCAACGGCCCTCATCATTCACCGTGAAACAGTCACGCCAAGGATCATTGGCCTGCAAGACTGGTCATTCTACAGTGCCTAAAAGAGCACAACGGGGTGTCAATATCAATATGCACCGCGTTGCTCATTTCACCTTTCCCGCCCATTTTTGACAGCAAGGAAGCTTGGTGAAGGATGGGCTGGTCAAAGAAAGGAGGCCCGAGGAGAAGAAGCAACGTGGAATGGAACCGGATGACACCATGCTGACTTGGATGCCTCAGGTACCACAACATCACAAGAAGTGCTTACCACATACTACTAGTAGTATGTATCAATGCATGGAATCACGCGAATATGTGGAAGTTATTATTTGACAAGCCAATTCGGTGTTGGATTCTCATCCAAAGCTCACGGAATTAAAATTCTCACCACGATCCACCTACAGTAGGTGTATCCCGAGGTTTGCAGCCTAAATCAAGAGAAGACTTGATTTTACTCGACATATCACGACGCGTCCTCACGTGTCATCCCAAATCTTCCATGCATGACTGCGCAGCCTGCGCTTAAGCCCACAACGTGACGGCGGTGACGAGTAGCATCTAAACATAAATCAAAGGTATGCCGCTCTGAGATCGACGCTTGTGCGTGCGTTTGGTCGAGAGGAACTACTATCGGCTCTTGGGATTGGATCATCAGATGGACCAAGAACTTGCGCTTCGTCCTTGCGCTTCGTCCGGGGTCTCAAGCCGCCCAAAGTCAACTGGAATCTGGAAATGTCAGAATCCAGATTTAAACTGCTGAAGGCCGATAGCATGTCTGGCAGACTGGACCTGTCTAGAAAATGAACGAGTTCTCGCGAAAAATGCACAGCTTCACATGACGCCGATGAGTAGTTTTCGACTTCCATTTGCTTACCATCGGTGTACGGCTGAATCAACTTTGATTCTTGAATGCGATTGGCGCACAGACCAAATGGGGTTCGACTGCTGAGTCATCGATGACGTCAACCTCATGAATCCAGTGATGCAATGTGCCTTTGATCAATGTGATTTGATCAAAATCTTTGAACCTTGGCTTGAGAGGTCAGATTCCACGGAATAATTAGGAAGAGGTCAGAGTAAAGTTGGTCGAATTGAAAGTACTGACATGGCTCATCCTAGTAATTAACGTTTTTGAGGCTTTCTTTATCCACGACAACGTCCATGCAAGTCAGAATGGAAGAAAACTGCATATGGCTGGTTGATTGGTTCGATGGTTCCGATTATGTGACAGAAGCATACTAGCCATGGAGATACCACATATGACCGGATTGAAGGATAGTAGTTACATAGTGGAAAATGCCATCATCGCTTTTCCCCCCGTTATCTTAGTATGGCGTTGTTTCATTGAATTCCTCCGAGTTCCTATGTAAACGCCCAGTCACGAACATCTGAATGATAAAACAGCCTGAACGCACCGCACTATCAAGTAATGGTATTATTCCATTTAAATTGTTCAATCAGCTTCTCTACATACCTCTTTGGGACGGTTCGTTTATGCGCCAAGGGCAGCTTGCTGTCGATCCATAGAGACAAGGAGCATGCTATTTGGACATGATCGCGACTTGCGTCCGGATAACCAGTCAGGACTGGGATAGTTAATTCAAGGCGAGGTGATGACGAAGACCAAGTTCAAGCCATGAAGTGGGTCCGAAGGCGTACAGGAGACACAGGATTCTTGATAGCCAGAAAGTACATTAAGGGCCCAAGTCCCCCGCTTTGAGCTTTCTTTTCAAACAACCTTTTTGACCAACTTTGTGGTGGAATTTCTCTCGCTGCTAGCTTCACATCAAGCATCAAGCATCAAGCATCACGCATCACCAACCTTCCAACAACGGTTTGGAAGTGGATCGATTCTTCCAAGTCTCGACCGGGGTACCGTCGATCACACATTCACAGAACCCGCCTTTAGACCCACTCTCCTGCGCCACGCACCTTTCACAGTTCAGAATGGCCACCAATACCGAATTGGATCCCCAAAGGACCACCGTTGACGCCGATCCGGCCGACGTCTCTGGTGGATCTAAATACCAAAGCCTGATGATTTCTAGTGGGGATGGTGACTTCATACCTCCAGTCAAGATGACTAAAAATCAGGAGCAAGAGATCATTTCCTCAGAGGAGGACAGTCTTCAAACAGACACACCCCTCTCTACCCCGCCAATGACCATCAGCGACGATTTTGCTTTGGCCTTCGATATTGATGGCGTCCTCATGCGGGGTGGCCAGCCCATCCCTGAGGCCGTGAAGGCTATGAAATATATCAATGGTGATAACCCATTTGGAATTAGAGTGTGAGTTGTCCACTTTGCCCTTGGTATCGAGCGACTTGATTTTGAACCACATCACTAATTTATTTATTTTTCCAAACAGCCCATATATTTTCCTAACAAATGGTGGTGGGAAAACGGAAGCAGAGCGATGCGAGGATCTCAGTAAACAACTTGGAATCGAAGTTAATCCTGGCCAATTTATTTGCGGCCATACTCCCATGCGCGAGATGGCAGAGCGATACAACACCGTCCTTGTCGTCGGTGGCGAGGGCGAAAAGTGTCGTATTGTTGCAGAGGCATACGGTTTCAAGGACGTTATCACTCCCGGTGATATCATCAAGACCAAACAAGATACCACCCCCTTCCGAAAGTTGACCGAGGAGGAATACAACAATTCAAAAATGCTCGACTTGGATAAGACTCAAGTGGAAGCAGTCTTTGTGTTCGCGGATAGTCGCGACTGGGCCGGAGACCAGCAAATCATCCTGGATTGCGTCATGTCAAAGGAAGGACGCCTAGGTCAACGGTCGGAAACCTTCGACGACGGGCCTCCTGTCTATTTCTCCCACAATGACGTGGTGTGGTCTACATCTCACGACTATTCCCGCATTGGCATGGGTGGCCTTCGAGCCTCCCTTGAGGCTCTCTACAAGGTTGTCTCTGGAGGAAAGGACCTCAAGAGTATCGCCTTTGGCAAACCACAGATCGGCACCTTCCAATTCGCCACCCGCCTGCTACAAGACTGGCGAAGTGAGACCCATGGAATCGACAAGCCTCCGGCCACAGTCTATTTCTTCGGTGATACTCCCGAGTCGGACGTACGCGGGACCAATGAATTCAATGAAATTGCAGAGAATGATTGGTTTTCTGTTCTCGTGAAGACCGGTGTTTACCAGGGCGGCGACATTCCTCGTTTCCACCCGAGAAAGATTTGCGAAGATGTTTATGACGCAGTCAAATTCGCCGTTGAGCGTGAACATGAGAAAGAGCTCAATGGTGGCCGTTATCAAGATGATTTCTCAATTGATAAAAAAGGCGAGGTGCGGAATTAAGCTGGTTTTCTCTTTTCTCTCGGCCACTTCCTGGCTGAGGTGGCCCTTTTCTTCTAGTGACTCCATTCAATGGTCGCGCTCTTGGCGATCTATGTCAACATGATTCCCAATTTACGACAGCCAAGCCTTTTTTTTCGCCTCGTTTGCTCCGCAATTGCCGGCGCAGCGCTTTTTTAATCATATGCCGTGCCGCTTAGATCTATCCGCACCATATGAACAATATGATAAACGATATAGAAATCATTCATCCAAATATCACCCGACACGTCCTCCCAAGTAGTTTTGTAAAAATAGCCTCTTCTCACACTACACTCTTTTAGCGGCAAAATCACAAGGCTTTCAAGCGATATCTTATCTTGTACCTTGTATCTTATCGTATGGTTTTTATCTTATTTTGGGTGCCTTGCAGCCTTGGCTTAGCCTTCTAGCCTCTGGAGATTTTTACTATGGAGTGGACCAGTGGTACCTCTTACGGTGGCCCACGGGCCACTTGGCCTAGTCACTTGTGGGTCATATACCTCTCTACAGACTCTACTCCTCTTGGCTCCGTGCATACTCGGCAGAGCAAATATCCTTATATCCTTCGATTCGTTTGGTCTCTTTATCCTTGATCAGGAGATGTATGCTCCCGAGTCAACGCGTTCATAATTGTTTCCAATGTTATCTCTGGTCTTACGTAAGCCTCCAAATCCTTCCAGGCTCCCATGTTTTGAATCCTTCGCAAGAGTGAAGACCTGCTTTTAAGGTTACTTTTCAACTATGGCTCCCTTTCTCTTTCGTCCTGCTGTCATGAATTGACAACATGATATCTTTGATGCTATCCCCAAAGTTTGCACTTGTGCTGTTCGCACTATGTGTCATCGCATATGGGCCCTTCAGACGGTTCTTCAATCACCGCCAATTCGCCCGCGCCCAAGGCTGCAAAAGGATTGCAAAGACAGCCAACAAGGATCCTTTCTTGGGACTTGACGCTATAGCTTGGACTGCCCGCGCATATAAGGAGCATAAGTTGCTCGATAGAACCACCGAGCTCTTCTCGATTTACGGTAACACATTCACAACGAAGAAGCTACACGTCACTGGAATCGTGACTATAGAACCGGAAAACATCAAAACAATCCTGTCGCTGAAATTCAATGATTACGGACTTGCTTTCCGGCTTGGGCCATTTAAAGCACTGCTGGGAAAGGGCATCTTTGATACAGATGGCGAGCATTGGGCTTCATCACGCGCCCTTATTCGACCCAGTTTTACGCGCGACCAGATCGCCGACCTGACGGTGTTGGAAACTTTGATCCAGGATCTCTTTGCGCTGCTCCCTCGAGATGGAAAGACCATCGTTGATTTGCAGGAACTTTTCTTCCGCTACACTATCGATTCTGCGACCGAGTTCCTGGTCGGAGAGTCGGTCGGCACCTTGAAGAAGGCTCAAGCGGAACCCGACTTTGCCGAAGCATTTCGGTATGCTCAGGATGCTATCATCACGCGGGCAACACTCGGCCCATTGAAAGTATTTCACAAAGACCCGAAGGCTGACGAATCCAATCGTTTCTGTCGGGATTTCGTCCAGCGATTCGTTGATGAGGCATTTCGCGCTGTCGAGGCACAGAAGCAAAATCCTGAGGAAGGGGATGATGATTCAAAACGCCAAAAACATATTTTTGCACACGAACTGGCATCACGGACGCTTGATAAAACTCGGGTTCTGGATGAGTTGATGAATGTCCTTCTTGCTGGTCGTGATACCACAGCCAGTTTGCTCAGCAACCTGTTCTTTATGCTTGCCAAGAACCCAACAATATGGGAGAAGATACGCCAGGAAATATCTTTCTTACAAGGCCGGGCACCAACATACGAGGAGCTTCGCAGTCTTAAGTATGTTCATTGTTGTATGAACGAATGTAAGTGAAAATTCGTACATTCCAACACGCTCTTCGATCTCTAACTTGATTCCTCTTTTTAGCACTACGATTACACCCGGTCGTACCTCGCAACGAAAGGAAGGCAGTTCGAGATACCGTACTGCCGCTCGGGGGAGGCAAAGATGGTCTGTCACCTACCTTTGTGCCCAAGGGCACATTTGTAACATACTGCGTGTACGCAATGCATCGACGAACAGACATCTATGGCGACGACGCGGAATATTTCCGCCCAGAACGCTGGGAAGATGGGAAATTACAGCCTCGTTGGGGATATTTGCCTTTTAATGGTGGCCCGCGCATCTGTATTGGCCAACGTTATGCTTTGACCGAAGCCGCCTACGTGATTGTCCGGATGGCACAAGAGTTTGAGATCTTGGAAAGTCGGGACACAGGTGCATGGGAAGAATCAGTGGCATTAACACTGTGCTCCAAGAATGGAGTACAAGTGTCTCTCACTCCTGCTTGATTTAAACTAGAACATGCTTCCAGATTCTAGTTGAAAATCAAACATCTTCATTTCCATTCATAACCATATGGGTCGTGGTGGGTAGTCTCTTTTGTGTATATGATGGGGAAATCGCCGTCTGGGAAGCACAGGTTACGCGAAGCAGGTCCAGACTCCAGACTCGAGTGCGTTCAAGTTAGACTAATTCAAATCTAGGGGCGCAAGGAAAATCCACGTGGCGATGGCGGGGGGCCAATCTGTATGTAGAAATCCGGGGTATGGAGAATGTCAGATTCAAGCCAGCCTAGAATGATCTTTTTTTACTCTATTGGCAAGTTTGGTCCCTATCAAGAGTTCATATATGGCGGCCGATAGAGGCCACCAAGGGCCAAGGGTCACATCCCAATTTCAATTTCTAACTTCACCGCCCTGTTCCCCGTCTGCATTGTATTTATCATGTATAGGAATATCTTAAGGGATTTGATCTAAATACGGGTCACTTTTAGAATGTACTTGAGTTTGAATAGACTTGAGAATAGACTTGAGGATAGACTTGAGGATAGACTTGATAGTACATGCGCTGAACATAATGGAGTTCAAAAACTAATATGAATTTGGAATTACTCGTAATTTGCTTTCTGCCGGTCGGAAAGTTGAAATTGGGATGTGACTTAGGGGTGGCCTCTATCGGCCGCCGCAGCCTGGGGCCTGGGGGGCTGTGGAACCCGCCCGCGGTTCGACTGACCGCCCCCGGGGCCGGAGCCTATGTAGAATGTGAATCGTGATTGATATGTCCTTGATTAATACGTGTACTGTGTACATGTATGAGCCTGACTATCTCCAGGGCTGAGTGAATACTGTTTCGTGCTGAGTCCTGACCATCTGGGCACTGACACGATTCAATGTTCACTAGAGACTTCATGAGCAAAGATTTTTTACGAGTAAACAAACTTCCGGCAACACGAAAAAGCCAAACAACAAACACTTTGTCCTTCGTATTGTGGAAGATGAGGGGCGGAAAACCCCGTGTGGGTAATCCCGCCGTACAGAAGCAATACTGTCCTTACTGTCCTTGAGTCTTGTCTCTTGGCTCCCCGGGCTCGCTTTCGAGTTTCATAGCTCGGCATCTGGCCCCTTTGCTACTCGGACGTCTTCGGGAAATGTTTTTTTCTTTTTCGTCGCATGATTGCCCCCAGTTGGCAATTGAAAAGTCGGGGCGCAGGCTCCAACCTTATGGCCCTTAAAACTGACGGAAACTCTTTGCGCCTAGATTATCCAGATTTTCCAACCATCGGTAATTCTTCCCTTGATCAGTCAAATATTTCCTCTTTGAGAGAAGATACCATGATTCATCACCATGCATGCAATCTGCAGCCTGCATTGTCGAGCTGGAAGTGTTCCCTGTCAAACGTAGTACAGCAAACACGGTTCCTCATCTAATTTTTGATCATAATGAACATTTCATGATCCACATCATACATTCAGGCTGTGACTCGTGAGTAATAGACTTCTTACGTTACGCAATGTGGATTAGTCTTGCTATTTATTACCGCTAGGCTAGCGTCACAAGTGGGGGCCGTTCGATGGGCATGCATGTCAAATACGGAGGATGGAGGCGAGCTGATGTTTTCATTTAGACTTCTATTCCAATGAGTTGTCAAGCTGACCTGCAGCTGTCATTGAAACAAACCTTGCAAAATTTAGAGCGGCACGTGCGGTGTGTCCACCAGAAGATGATACCCGTGGACCCTGCATGACTATAAGTTCTACTAATTTCCAAGGTTTGACTCTCATATATTTCCCCACCATCAAAACCCCACTGAATACTATTTACACGTATCTGTATCGATGACTTTATTGAAAATGACCACTGATGCCTTGAATGGGTATGTTGAGAAGCTCTGATCTTGATTGAGAACCATGAAAACTGCATGGATTGGTTGGTTGATCTCTGACTAACTCATATAACGAGATCAGCGATCAGGATGGAAACCATCCATCAAAAGTCGCACCCCCAGACCCCATTGCCATCTGTGGTATGTCAGTACGTCTCCCGGGAGGATTACACACACCTCAACAACTATGGGATTTCTTGATTGCCAAGGGCGATGCCTGCGGTCCAGTACCAAGTTCCAGATACAATGCTTGTGCATACCACTCCAAGACGGGAAAGCCAGTTAGTACCAAGACTCAACATGGGTACTTCCTTGATGAGAGCGTTGATATGGCTACTATCGACACGTCATTTTTCAGCATGGGCAAGACAGAGCTTGAGTATATGGACCCCCATCAACGGCAAATGCTGGAAGTTGCCAGAGAGTGCATGGAAGATGCCGGCGAAATCAACTGGAAAGGACGGCCAATTGGCTGTTATATGGGAAGCTTTGGCGAAGACTGGAAGGAAATGTTCGCCAAAGAAAATCAACAGCATGGCATGTACCGTGTAACAGGATATGGAGATTTCACTTTGGCAAATCGTGTCTCATTTGAGATGGACCTGACAGGCCCAAGGTTAGTCAGTCAATGCTTTTTCTTTACCTTTCCATCCACTTACTTCAAACAAATAGTATGGTGGTTCGTACTGCTTGTTCCGCATCTTTGGTTGCGCTCCATGAAGCATGCCTGGCACTATCCAGAGGTGACTGTGAAGGAGCCATTGTTGGCGGAGCAAACTTAATTTTGAGCCCAGAGATGACAATGGCCATGTCAGAACAAGCAGTCTTGTCACCAGATGGCTCCTGTAAAACCTTTTCTGCCGACGCCAATGGATATGCTCGTGGAGAAGCAATTTCAGCTGTTTATATCAAACCCTTGGCTGATGCCATCCGCGATGGAAACCCAGTACGAGCTGTCATCCGGGCAACATCATCCAACAACGACGGAAGAGGACCAGGTGGAATCATGATGCCTAATGATGTTGCTCATGAGGCTTTGATCAGACGCGCCTATGAGGTGGCGGGCATAACAGATTTTTCCCAGACTGCATTTTTTGAATGTCATGGCACAGGTACACCCGTCGGTGATCCTATTGAAACTAAGGCCGTTGGACGTGTTTTTGGCCCATTCGGTGGCATTCAGATCGGATCTGTCAAGCCCAACCTTGGTCATTCCGAAGGAGCTTCAGGCCTCACATCACTGATCAAGTCAGTACTGGCCCTGGAGAAATCTATCATTCCTCCGAACATCAAATTCAACAAGCCCAATCCGGATATTCCGTGGGACTCTGGACTCTTGGTTCCAACAGAGCCAATACCATGGCCCGCATCTCGAAGCGAAAGAATCAGTGTGAACAGCTTTGGTATCACCGGTACCAATGCTCATGTGATTCTGGATTCAGCTAAGAGCTTCGGCATCTCTCCAAGGCCAAAGCGATCAATCACCACATCTCAACTACTTGTTTACTCTGCCAACAGTGCTGATTCGCTGAACAAACTAGCCGAGACTTACAGATCTTACATCCTAGCCAACTCAGACAGCATTGGCGACCTAGCGTTTACATTAGCCAATAGAAGGGAGCACTTGCCATATCGTGCATTTGCTGTGGCGAGCCCCATTGGTACCATCACGACCTCAGCACCCTCAAAGTCTGAAGGAACACCTAATATTGTTATGGTATTTACCGGCCAGGGTGCCCAATGGCCACAGATGGGTCAGTGCATGCTCCAAAGCAATGTTTATCCCACCTTCAAAATAAGTATTCAATCGCTTGATGCACATTTGCAGACGCTTCAAAATGCTCCGGAATGGTCAATCGAGGAAGAGCTCCAAAAGTTGCCCGATGCTAGCAGACTTGGCTCGGCTGAATTATCCCAGCCACTCTGCACAGCCATTCAAATTGCTTTAGTGGACACTTTAGCTTCCCTTGGAGTGCAACCTGCGGCTGTCGTAGGTCACTCCAGTGGTGAAGTGGCTGCTGCATATGCTGCCGGCGCTATCACAGCGAATGAGGCTATTGAAATTGCATTCCAACGTGGCCAGGTCACGATGCTTCAAACAAAGTCTGGGGCTATGGCGGCCATTGGCCTGGGATCTGAAGATGTCCAAGAATTTTTGCAACCTGGTGTTGTAGTTGCCTGTGAAAATTCTCCGAGGAGTGTTACTCTGTCTGGTGACTCCGAAGCTGTTGAAGCTGTCGTGACCAAGATTAAAGAGGCTCATCCCGATATTCTCGCAAGACAGCTGAAGGTGGACAAGGCATACCACTCCCATCACATGGTTGATATTGGCGAGGATTATCATGCCTTGATAGAACACAGGGTCTCTGCCAAAAATCCAACAAAGTTGTTCTTCAGCAGTGTTGAGAAGAAAGTACTCACTCAAGGCTCGAGCCTTGGCCCCCGGTACTGGCAGAAGAATCTGGAATCTCCGGTGCTTTTCAAACATGCCGTTTCTTCCATCATCCAGCATGAGGTTTCTAAGAACATGGTGTTCTTAGAGATTGGCCCTCATTCTGCTCTCTCTGGTCCTTTGAGGCAAATCCAAGCCCAGCTTTCCGACTCTTCTCCCTACGTCTCCGCATTCCTTCGCCAACAGAATGATTTGGAATCATTTTTGACAGCTATTGGAAAGCTGTATGTACTCAATGCCACCATAGATATGAGCAAGCTCATTGCCAGTGGCTCGACCCTGCCAGACCTCCCAAGATACCCATGGGACCACTCCAAGAAATTCTGGTACGAATCTAGGCTTAGCAAAGATTCCCGAAATCGAGAGCACAAGCATCACGATCTTTTGGGTATTCGAGTAGTGGAGAGTCTTGATTCTGATGTTCTCTTCCGCAATATTTTCCACCTGAAGAACGCACCATGGATTCGGGATCACAAGGTTGGTACGGATATCGTCTTTCCATTCGCTGGATATGCTGGGATGGTTGGTGAAGCCGTGCGTCAACTCACCGGAGTCAATGAAGCATTCAAGCTGCGCAAGGTCGTTATCAGCACAGCTCTTGTCTTGAACGAAGGCCAGCCAGTCGAAATTACCAGTTCTTTCCGTCGTATTCATTTGACGGACTCTCTTGATAGTGAGTGGTGGGAGTTCACTATTGCTTCCCACAACGGAACCAGTTGGACCAAGCACTGCTTCGGTGAGGCCAGCTGGTATGGCGAAGAGGTTGGAGAAGCAGAGAGTCATGTTTCTTTCGTACGCAAAGTTGACACAAGTCATTGTTATAAGTCAATGGCTAAATCTGGGCTCAACTTTGGCCCTGAGTTCCAACGTCTTGACAACGTCCAGGCTGACACTACAACCCAGAGAGCGGTATCATATGTGGCCAGCAAAGATAGCGAGGGCTATTATCTGCATCCGACAGTGATTGACGCCTCACTGCAGCTGCTCAGTGTTGCTGCATCCAGAGGATATGCGGATCCCGCTTCTAAGATCATGGTTCCTACTAACATTGCAGAGATGTACATCTACCGTTGCCACGATGATGTTCAGATCCGTGCTTCTGCATCCTACACTCAAAATGGTTCCATTATTGGAAGTGGGAAATGCGTCACAAACCGCGGCAAGGTTGTGTTGCGTAGCTCTGGAATCAGGCTATCCGTTCTCGACGAGCAAGAATCCAACGAAGCTGGCGACACCACTTGTCGGGCAGAATGGGGACCAGATATTGAATTTTTGGATGCCAGTACTCTGATAAAGCCTTTGATTGGCCGCAGTGACTCGATGCCTACTATGGTAGAGCTGACTCATTTGTGTATGATCCATACGGGACGTGTCATTGCAGGATTGGACACCCCAATTGATCATCTGCACAATTACAGATCATGGATCGAGCGCCATCTTCAATCTGTTGATCTTCAGGGTCTGCAAAATCTTGATAACTCCATAATTGAGAAACGGGTCAAGGAGATTATTCGCAAGACGCCGCAGAGTGCGACCGATTATGCTTGCATGGTGGCCGTACAGAAAGTCTTCGACAACGTTGAAAAGATATTCACAGGTGAAAAGGCGGCATTGGATATCCTGCTTTCCGAGGATACATTGAATAATGTCTACGTCTCTATGGAGCAAGTCGATGAATGTCTATTTTTCAAGCATTTGACTCACAGCAAGCCCAATCTGCGTGTCCTTGAAATTGGAGCCGGAACAGGTGGATCGACCGTCAAAACCTTGAAGATGTTGGCTTCTGAGAATAGAACTCTCTATTCAAACTACACCTTCACTGATATCTCGCCTGGTTTCTTCGTTGCGGCCAAGGAGCGCTTCAGCAAGTATCCAAACATGGAATACATTGCTTTAGACATCAGCAAGGATCCTTCCATGCAGGGATTGGATGGCCGAAAGTACGACTTGATTCTGGCTACCAACGTCATTCATGCCACAAGCTCTCTAAATGACAGTTTGAGTAATATTCGACAGCTGCTCGACCCCAACGGCTGGTTGCTGCTTCATGAATTGACCCCGACCTGCAAATGGCCCAACTATGTCTGGGGAATTCTGCCCGGCTGGTGGGCCGGGCAATCTGATAACCGATCAGACGAGCCTTACGTTAGTCCTGAACGCTGGGCGATTGAGCTCAAGGCCGCGGGATTCCGCATCCCTGATGCTGTAGTCCCTGATTCACCATTTCCACATCAGTTGAACACCATAATTGCGGCTAGGCCGGCAGTCGAGATCTTGCCCCAAAAGCGTGTCACACTTTTGACTCTCTCCAGCTCAGAGAATGTGAGCGCTATGGCACAAAGTTTGGAAAATCGGGGATATGCCGTTCACCATTGCGGCATGCAAGATATGCCATTTCCTGTTGGTCAAGATGTGATCGCTCTACTTGATGACGACGGCCCATTCTTTGAGGACTTGGACAATAAACGGTTTGAGTTATTCAAAATGCTGGTGGATAATTTGAAGAAATGCGGCATTCTCTGGGTGACTGGCCTTTTGCAGATGCAATGCCAGGACCCGAGGTTTGGTCAAATCAACGGCATTGCGAGGACAATTCGCCATGAATTGCTGGCTGACTTCGCTACTTGCGAAGTCGACAAAGTTGATGCCTCCATTGAGAATATCATTGATGTGTTTGAGAAGTTTCAAGCCCGCCAGGAAGATGACACTCTCAAGCCGGAGTTAGAATACGCTGTTGTCGAAAATACGATCCACGTTGGACGTATTCATTCTTTCTCAGTGCAGGGTGAACTGCTGTTATCGGACCCGAATGACACGATCGCGCTTCGTACCAGTAAGCCTGGTCGCTTGGCCGCTTTGGAATGGACCCACCAGGAATCTCTAGCTTTGAAGGATGATGACGTGGAAATTGAAGTACATGCAGCCGGCTTAAACTTTAAGGTAGGTTGAAGCCTTATTTTAATAATTATTTAACATGTTTAACGTGAATTCTTAGGATGTTCTGTGTGCGATGGGCATTCTCGAGTCTCCGGGAGATGGGTTCGGCTTAGAAGGCGCCGGAATTGTTCGACGCACTGGTCCCAATGTTAAAGACACGAAGACCGGCGATCGCGTCATGTTTATTGCACGAGGTGCATTTGGCACGAAGGTTGTGATTTCTGAGAATCTTTGTGAAATCATTCCAGACGGCTTGAGCTTTGAGGACGCGGCTGCTATGCCATGCGTTTTCGCGACGTCGATCCACTCGTTGTTCAGCGTTGGAAACTTGAAAAAGGGACAGGTATGTTCTAACTACTATGAGTCCGTACGTATCGTGTACTTGAGCCCTGACGTCGTATTAGTCCGTCATGATCCACAGTGCTTGTGGTGGAATTGGTATCTCTGCCATCCAGCTGGCTCAGATGGCCGGAGCCGAGATTTACACAACCGTCGGCAACGAGGAAAAAGTCAGGTACCTTATGGAGAGATTTGGGATTCCTAGGCACAGAATATTCAACTCTCGAAATACCTCATTTGTTGAGGATGTGATGCGAGAGACCAATGGTGAGGGTGTCGACTTGGCTTTGAACTCCCTATCTGGCGAGTTGCTGCATGCAACATGGCAATGCATTGCGCCATTCGGCAAGATGGTCGAAATTGGCAAACGAGATCTGGTTGGCTCTGGCAAGCTTGATATGAAAACGTTTGTAGACAACCGTAGCTATTGCTGCGTCGACCTGGACCAGATCTGCTTCACGAGGGCAAAGATGGCAAAAGAGTAAGTGTCACTGGCGGAACTGCCCCTTAGATTTATCGCGTTGGACAGCTAACATACTGCATGATGAAGGCTACTCAAGGAAATTGTCAAGCTGACACGAGAGCGTCACATCAAACCCATTCGACCTATCAAGGTCTTTGCATCCGATGCGATTCTTGACGCCTTCCGATACATGCAACAGGGTGTTCACCTGGGGAAGATTGTTGTATCAATGCGTGATAAAAACGGTCAATTGAGTCTGGGAGAAAATATTCAGCAGCGAAAGAAGCCCTTGCGCTTCGATAGCTCTGGTGCGTATCTGCTTGTCGGTGGCCTTGGCGGCTTAGGCCGTTTTATCTCCACATGGATGGTAAAACACGGGGCCCGGCACCTAATCTATCTCTCAAGAAGTGCTGGCTCAAATGAGAAGCACTTGGAATTTGCCCAAGAACTTTCTAGCATGGGCTGCCGCGCCAGTTTTGTTCAGGGCAGAGTTGACAGACTTGAGGATGTTAACAAGGCAATTTCACAGGCCCAAGGCCAGCTCAAGGGTATCTTCCAAATGTCCATGGTGCTTGCTGACCAGAGCTTCCCACGCATGACGATGGAGGAGTGGAGCACTGCCGTTAATCCCAAAGTTCAAGGAACCTGGAATCTCCACAATGCTTCATTGTCCGCTGGTGCTGACCTTGATTTTTTCGTCCTCTTCAGTTCAACTTCGGGCTTACTTGGACAACCTGGCCAGATCAACTATGCTGGTGCCAACAGCTTCTTGGATGCTTTTGCCAATTATAGGTTGGGATTGGGCCTGCGCGCATGCTCTATCCAGATCGGCGCCGTCGAAGAGGTTGGATATGTCGCCGAAAACGAGTCGATTCTGCAGAAGCTCAAAAATTCCGGGACAGCAGACTGGACGGTTTCATCACAAGGTCTGATTGAAGCTATAGAGGCAGCCGTTCAATCTCCTTTGAACAATTCACCACTAGGTGCTTCGAAAGGTTTAAAAGGCTTCTGTCTTGGGCCTCGCACAGACGATACTTCAAGAAATTCCAAAAATCGTGCGGTCTGGAAAAAGGATACCCGACTGGCTGTCTTCAACAATCACGACAATAACGGAAAGGCCTCGGGATACCCATCTAGCGAGGGTCTACAATCATTCCTTGTTGCAGCCAAGAGTGACCAGTCTTTGCTTGAGCAGCCCGAATCCACCCGTCTTCTTGCTAAGGAGATCGGAAAGAAAGTCTTCAGCTTCTTGCTGAAGCCGGAAGAAGACCTACAGACATCCTGCCCTTTGTCTGATCTTGGAATTGATTCCCTTGTTGCCATTGAAGTGAGACAGTGGTGGAAATTGACCTTTGGATTCGATATCAGTGTTCTCGAGCTGTTGGGAATGGGTAGCCTTGATGCTCTTGGGGAGCACGCTGCTCGCGGAATGCTTAAAGTGCTCCATGGTGTTGAAGAGTAAGCACTTGAGACATGATAAATAGCTAGTACCCAGGTGCAGACATCCAGTGGATCTCATCAATATACAACCTTGAAATTCAACTGAGTAGGTACCTACTAATGCATCAATGGGGATTACCAGTTGACCTAAATTTTTCAGTAACGTCGAACCTCAGAATCGGGTAATGGCCGCACAGCACCCGTGATCGTAACATTACAGTTAAAAGTTTATATTTCTATTTCACTTCATATGAGATCCGGCTAACCCCACTCTTCCTAGTGATCTTGCGTATGCTGATCGAGCCAACCAAACCAGTCCGCTCCACATGGGTACCACCACAGGGACTCTGGTCGAGTCCACCAACACTAACAATCCGAACAGGACCATCCCCAGGCTTAGCACGATCATCCACAATCGAGCCAGGATCCAACCACGAAACAGTAACCGGCAAATCCTGCCGAACCAACTCATCAATCTTTGCCTGAATCAGCGGCTTATGCTCATTATACAAAAGTCCCTCATACTCCATACCCGCCTCTTTGGGCGTATGATTAGCCTTGAGCTCTTTCATATTCGGCATGAGAATCTCCATTGCAACGCCGATAATGTGGCCGGCCGTATGAAGCCGAGAGTGGTAGTCCCGTTTGGCGCCATCGACCGTCTGCACAACGCTCTGGCCCTCCGCGAAAGCAGTCGGGTCCCCGTTACTAGGCTTTCCGAAGTGAATGATTTTTCCGTCTGGTGTTTTGCGGACCAGAGACACGGTGAAGCTGGGTTCTTGGTTTAAGGCGGCGATGGTGCCGGTGTCGCTAAGCTGGCCGCCTCCTTGGGGGTATAGGATTGTTTGGCGCACTGTCATGGCTGATTCATCTAAGCTGATGTTCTTGGCTAGGTCTTGTTCATCCTCGGATAGCGAGGAGATGGGTTGATATGTCAGGATCTCTGTAGTCAGAGTTCTCAGAGAAGCGTCATGCAGGTATACTGCCTCTGTGGGAAATGCCTAGATTGATTTAGTGGATTGAATTTGGAGAAATCTAGATTTTCACATACCATGTCTTCAATTGGGGGCTTTTGTCACGCTGTATTACCTGGTCTGCGTTTTTTTTTTTGGTTCTGGTCCCTGGAGAAAGGAGACCAGTTGTTCCCGCACTATGTGGGCCCGTGGGGGCGTGTCAATGGAAGGGCGGAGTACTGCGCCTAAGATATCAGGCACCAGTGGGGTTATCAAGCTTAGACTGGTCGCTGTTGACCAGAAACAACATAAGTGCCCAGAGTATGAAAAAGCAATAATGTATGAACTGCGGCGGCCGATAGGATGGCCTCTATCGGCCGCCATACCCCAAGCTGAGGTGACAGAACTATTTACTGTGGTTATAACTTCAAGTTGGTATGCAGTACTAGTTCTTGACATCATTCTCCAGTTTCATGAGACAAAATTAGGGCATGAAAGGTCGGTTTGAAAAGGGAAAAAGAGACTTCGTCATGAATCAAGTTTAAGATGATATTGTGTAGAATGTAATGTCTATCGCGTGTAGTATACAAGTGTCTATGTAGTGCTGAGTGTCTTCAAAAGATAACGCCGAAATTTCGTAATGGTGGAATGAGTCAAGATGATACCGCGTGAAGCAAATTATACCATAAAACCATTGTCAAGCCAGTGTTTCATGACCAGCTTGCCCTCACTGTGGCTTTCCTTTTGAATCCGATGCACGATCGCTGCATGGCTATGTCGGTGCTTATGGATATAGACAGGATACTTGCGGAAACCCACGTCATTCAGAGAATCAATGATGTCGAATTGGCCAGGTGTCAATGCAAGCTTGGGGGATTGAGACGCCACAAATCCAGCTTCTGAAGACTCGGAGTCGGTAGATGAATCCGAATTGAATCTGTTGGACTTCATTCCCTTCCCCGTATTCTTCTCATGGGAGTCAGAAGCCTCGAGGTCAGAACTAGAGAGATAGGCAGGCTCCTGTCGAGCATTGGCACTCTCAAATACTTCGTCCATGACGTGTTGCATATCCCGCACCAGTAAAGGTACTTTGTACTTCCCAAAAAGCGCGCCGTTTTTGCCTTCCACGTGAAGCCGAATTCGTTTCTGGCTGCGGAATGTTTGAATGGCGGCATTGATGCAGAACAGTGTGGAAGCAGGAGGCAGCAGCAGCAGAATAAGCAGATAGATTGGCATGTTTTGTAGAAATGCTTTGCTTTGCTGCCAAGCTTCGGATGCACAAGTCTCGGGTTCCTTGGGTGTGAGCGGTAGCAGGAACTCTTCAGGATCAATGATCACTTGTTCATAGCCCTCAACATAATTAATATTAATTTTTTCGAGGTCCCGGAAAGGGTTTGTTTTCGTAAAAAGGGTTGTGTAAAATGCCGTGGTACGATCGTTCACAATATTTCCGTAGACACTTCGATTTTGGAATCTCTTCAGTCCCTGAATGAAAATGCTCTCTGGGTCGGCGAGAATGCTAAGCAGGGGTCTTCCAGTATCGCGGAAGGAATCGACCATGAACAATTGTTGGCCGGAAATCGAGACCAGTCGAGGGCCTAATCCATTCCATATGCTGTCCCATACCCCCTTAAGGGGTGTTCTCACTCCAATATGTGGTGAGGCAAATGTAGTGAAGTTCATTGGTTCCACTTTATCCAGCCATCCGTGGGCCTGAAGCAACCCAATGGCATATCGAGCGACCAGACCCCCCAAGGAGTAGCCAACAACGCTAATTTTCGTAATCTTTTGCCCTTTGGCCTCCAATTTTTGCAGGGTGTCTTCGATTTCATGCACGACTCGTTCGCCACCCACTTCGACTCCATCATAGGTGAAGTTGCCGCTATTTCCTTCTGGACATAGAATGTAAAGGTGATCTTCTCCATATCTCTCTTTGAGTGCTGCTGCCATGTAGTCAAGGTGTGCTGGCTTACCCCAGAGCCTAGTCAAAGAGCAGGTCAGCTTGTGTCCATTCCGACGTCATCCCAAACCAAGGGAACCAAACATACCCATGCACCAGGACACAGAGGTGGTCGGCTTTGGTCGGAGCTTCGGTATCTGACATTTTTGCAGTATGTGACGGGATTATTTGCAAAGGGAAAATTAAGAGGCCAGGCTGACGAAATAAAAGGCCATGTCTGCGCTCGTCGGAGTTAAGGCTGACTCTAAGTTCCTGTATCCGATAAGGCCGGGCGATAAGACCAGTCTGCATTTGCTTGTGGCCTAGACTTTCGGGTGTCTAGTTTGATTTGGTTTGCATTCCAATCTTCAGCAATCGACTGCTTGGCTTCTCCTACAACATTCACTTCCATTTGTCTCTCCTGCTTCTTTAAAGTGACTTTTTTTATTGTTGATTTCTTTTTTCAATTTCGCCCGAAAGGAAGAAGGTCTAATATATCTTCAATTAGGACCGTGCTATCTCGCAAGCAATCGGTGATACTAATGTCCGCATCCCGAGCTCTATGATTTGCAAGTCATAACAACTGGAAGGTTGCTTGCTTCTCTGCACCTGGACCAAGCTGAAAACATTCCCATGAAGTCTATCGTCATTTTTGAAAGTCAATCATGATCTCTTGATACAGCTTTGAGCAATATCTCATCATATCACACAAAACATTACTTTGTACTTGAAGGGTCTAGCTCAGAGCTCTTCAGCCGATAATGTTCACAACTCTGGGTTTGTTCAATGGGGTTCCCTGTCCTCAGGTCAATCAATGCTGCCTCATCACTTGCATTTTCTCGCACACCGCACAGACAAGCACTCTGCCTATAGTTGTGAAACGAGCTTCTAGCTCAGTTGACGATGAGCGTACCACTAAAAGGCTAAAGGTCGACAGCGCCACCTCATCGTCAGGCTCAAAGTCAATATCATCTATCCATGTGCCTGTTCGAGAGCACTCAAGACACCCACCAGTGGCTGTAACTGAAGCAGACCAGAAATCTCAAAGCGTCAAGCCAGATATTTCCAGACTATCATCGGTTTCTCGGAAAGTCTCTCCTCCGCCAGGGCGCACAGCTTCTAAAACTACGAGTCAAGAACAAAAAGCTCCGGCCACTTCTCAACCGAGTACATCTTCCCAACTTCCTCCGCGAAAGGTGCCAAAAGAAAGTCTCAATCCTCGCATGCTTCCCAAAGCTCCAGCAACTCATGCGGTCCGGTCGGCCATTCTGACCAAGCTGCATTCCGGCATGTCAGCACTCAATGAGAAACTTGCCAAGGACAAGGGCAGTTCAAACAAATGCTTCGTCCTCAACAAAGATGAGCTTGTGACAATGGCCCTGGATGAGGAGGAAAAGGTAGCCAAAGATAACCCAGGGGTTTACTCCAATATCATCAAACTTCGGATCGTAAAATTGACGAAGATGGGATTGGAAGAATGGGCTCAGGAGGTAATGGCTCATCTGAATTCCCGGTACTACAAGATCCAACCTGTCCAACCCAATACGCAAAAGCTATTGAAGCCTATCACTACGGGTCTCTCAATGAAGGAAGAAACAGCTCTTGCAGTTGCACTTGTCACACCAGTGACCGGTCTTGAGGAGTTTGGCTATGTCACTAAGGCACCCACCCAAACGGAGGTTGAAACTGCCAAGAGGGGCGTCATCGAGTCTAAGGGCTGGGAAAAGTGTGATCGGTGCGGTGGACGCTTTCAAGTATTCCCAGGCCGCCGCGAGGATGGAGCATTGGCCAGCGGCGGTCAGTGCACATATCATCCAAGTCGACCTATGTATTCGACGCGCAAAAAAACAGACAACGTCACTGGCTCCCAAGAGGCATACTTTCCATGCTGCACTGAGCCTGTAGGTGCGTCGTCAGGCTGCACCAAGGCCAAAACTCATGTTTTCAAAGTGTCAGAAGTAAAGCGCCTTGCGTCAATTCTCCAGTTTGAAGAAACACCCGCACAACCAAATAAAGGACCCCTAGATCCTGTTTCTTTCGACTGCGAAATGGGTTACACGACTTTGGGTTTAGAGCTCATTCGTCTGACTGCTGTCACCTGGCCGCAGGGTCGTGATATCTTGGACATCTTGGTCAAGCCTATGGGTGAGGTGCTGGACCTCAACTCACGCTATTCGGGTGTCTTCCCTGAGCATTTTGCGTCTGCCATTCCTTATGGCACTGCGAATGCCAAACAAGAAAATAATGGGAAAGACACCAAACCTCTGGAGGTAGTTGATTCCCCTGCTGCGGCGCGATCCCTTCTGTTCACATTTCTACAACCTGATACACCTTTGATTGGCCATGCAATCGATAATGACCTCAATGTTTGTCGAATCATTCATCCTGTCATCATTGACACCGTGATTCTCTACCCTCACCCAAGAGGCCGGCTGCCCAGTCGCATGAGTCTCAAGGCCCTGGCACAAAAGGTTCTCGACCGTAACATTCAAATGGGAGGAGATCAGGGTCACGATTCTAAGGAAGATTCGATTGCTACGGGTGACTTGGTGCGGGTGAAGGCAGGCGTTGTATGGAAAAGATTGGAGGCGAAAGGATGGAAGTTCCAAAATAACAATCTAGTTGCTCCTCCTGGACAAAAAGTTCAGGATGTGAGAGAAGCAGCACAGGGAGGCGGTGGTCCCAAAAGGAATAACCCAGGCACCACATAGCATACTACTACATACTAGTACTAGTACTTTGAATACTGTGATTTCAGCGAATGACATTAGGACTTTTTACATGACGGGTTGATTTGAGAATTTATTCCACTAGAGATGCGCCCTTCTACGGCAAATGTCTGGACAATCTACGATCTCTAGTTGACGGTATGCTACGAAATTTGACTGCAAAATGTGTGAAGGGTATAAACTTTTTTTGATTTCATAACCCAATTAAGGGCTAGTCTATCCCGACAAATCCACGATCCAACCTTCCACGGCTCTCACACTTTTGTCCGGCAAAAATCACAAGCCAAAGAGGAATGCACATAATCCAGATGGAATCGATCGACAATCATCATTCAAGAGTTGGTCGAGGGTTTGAATATTTATTCCTCATCCTCCTCAGCCTCGTCGTTGACGACGTTGTAGAAGCGGAGCTCGTAGACACCCTTGGAGGTGGAGACGACACGGAGCCAGTCACGGAGCTGCTGCTTCTTCAGGTACTTCTTGGTGCTGTAAAGAGAGAAAAGACTCCAGTCAGCAAGACGATTCAATTATGTTACCGAGAATTGGGTGATTATCAACGTACAGGTACTTGAGGTAACGTCCGGAGAAGGGGATGTGAGCAACAACCTCGACCTTGCCGTCACCAATGGAGTTGATGGCGACGTTGTCACCGAGGTTGCCGACACGGCCCTCGACCTTGATGCGGTCGTGGAGGAACTTCTCGAAGGCAGAGACATCGAAGATCTTGTCGCTCGCGGGCTGCGAAGCGTTGATGATGAACTGTAGTATATTGTTAGTTTCTCCGGCTTGAAAACATCCAATTGTATTGGAGGTTGATTTTTTTTCTTCGTAGATTGCAGCAACGTACCTTCTGGGTGACCTTCTGGGCCTTGCGACCACGGGCCTATTACCGGAAAACAACTGAATTAGCCTACTGCTCCAACATGTCGAGTTCCCCAGTGGTAGTCGCAGCAGATCATGGCCACGAAGAAGTCTGGACAGCCGAATAGATATTCCAATATTCGGCCGACATCATTTTGGGTGGTGCATGGGTCTGCTGCATACAGCCAGTGGGGAGGAACAGCAAAGCGTTCACGGGGTGTCTTTCAACGTACAGCAGCAACGGGAGCCATTGTGAATAGATGGGAGGGGATGGGGACGGAAAAGGGTAAGGTCGCAAAGAGGTAAATATCCTGCGCCGGCGTGAGAGATGGTCGGAAGAAGATCTGTCGGGCTTCGTGGTGGAGCCCTTAGTCGAGCCTGCAAAAAAATCCAAAAATTACGCCGACGTGGGCTGCGCTTATCCCGTTTGGGTCATATTAGGGCTGGGGCTCACCGTTAGTCACAGGACTCCCTAATGAGGTGGCGGTGAGGTGCAGAAAATGCAGCAGGGTTATCACATGACCCGGTGGCCCCACTCTTGTTTGCTTGTTTGCTTTGATGATGTAAGCTAGAGACGCGCACGGTCCCCTTACTTTTGGGTATAAATACTTTGTTCCGCTCTCCCCCATTTCCTGTTTTCTTTTTTCTTTTCCAGCTCTCTTTGCCAATTGGCTTAGATCAAGTGTAGTATCTGTTCTTTTCAGTTTAATCTCTGAAAGTTTCCTACGGGAAACACATTGATTATTCCCATTTTTGGATCTCGCAACCAACCTCTGTGCTTGCGCATGTTGGTCGCACAGTGTCATCGGGCTTACACTACCCTCGATCGACGCGAACTCACTTTTTCATCAACTGATCGGCTTGCCCGGTCGCTTGGAGAAGAAGTTTAGTCTTGTAGAAAATAATAAATGCGTCATCGTACCCAGTAGTATTGAACGGCTTTGTTTACGTGTAGCGCGTAGCGCGCGCTAATGCTGTGGCTGTGTACTAAATATGTCCCTTCACCTCTCTTCCAGTCTGTACTGTCTAGTGGCTGCCCAGGCCACATATGCTAAACCTTTATTTCTCTGCTTGACGATCGGCTAGTTCCGAAGCTACTTTAATATGATCTACAAAGCTTCCAAAATCTTCTACTGCGACCTGTCCCAGCGTCCTTGCCCCGCTGTCCAACAGAAACCCGTCTTTGACTACGTATTTTTTAGAAAACAAACTCTCACAGCAGTTCATGGAAATGATCTCATTCAATCGTGGTATTGTATTGTATTCCCATGTCTTCAATCTTCATTCTCCGAAATCGCCAAGTATTGATTGTGGGTCGTTCGAAAAAGGGACTGTTTACCAGCGGCCACTCTCCTCCATGCGGGACTCGTAGGCCTGCTTGGCGTGGTGCTTGGCCTTCTCGCGGTCGACGAAGTCCAGACCACGGGTCTCGACCTCACGGTCAATGAAGGCACCGGCAAGACCAGCAATGATCTCCTTGGCCTTGGCGTGGTTCTCGACCTTGCCTATAAAAGATGTCAGTCCATGAACTTTGGCGACCTGGGGTGGAATTCCAATTACCCTCACGCTCCTCGTGCTGCTCGTAAGCCTTCATGGCCTCGTAGGCGGCGGCACCGCCGATGAGCTCGTGGGACCACTTGGCCTCGTGGGGGCGCTGGGTAACCTCCTCGTGGGCGCGGGCCTCGTTGCTCTCCTCTGTGATAAGTGTGTTAGGCATGGACAGTCTTTCATGTGTAGAAGGATTGTGTGGCACATACCGTGGAACCAAGCCATTTTGATAGATGTGATGTGATTTGGGGGGGTAGAGAGAAAAGTGTTGCGGATGAAGAGAGTGTAAGAGAAAGGGAGAGACACAAGCCTTATAACCCCTCCTCAGCCCCGCGCCACCCTTGTGAAACTACCTTTTCCAGTGATTCGGTCCATGTTTTGCCAAGCTTAGCGAGCTTTGTCTTTGGGGCTTGTTTTGATTTCAGAATGGCGCATCGAATAGTACGTATCCACTATACCTCTTTGGGCCTGTGGGCACCTTCAGATCGGGTTTATGATTGGAACAGCAAAAGCTTTTCCGTCTCCCACTCAATAATCCCCAATATTCTTTCGCCTTCTGAGGCTTAGACTGTCTTGGCCCATAGTTTGTTGAGGCGGTGTCTGGCACCACTCGCCGGCTTAGAGCGGAAGATAAGACAGACTTGAGGTGTCAACCTTGGAAACATTAAGTGCCTCATAGATTACATGTAAACAGGTTTCAAGCCTACGCCTGATAATGTAGCACAGGCATCTACTAGATAGTACCTACTACGCCTTACATAGTACTCTGTGCGTACTATGGATGTACCAAAAGGTCAACTGGTAGATCTTGGGCATCTAAGTGCATCCACGACCTTCCAAGATCGCAATTGGAAGTGCTCAAGTAAAGGGGTGAACAGACGAGCATCAGAATGTTGACCCGAGTAGTAAACATTCAATGTCCAAGGGATCCACAACCGTGTTGGAGGTGGTTCCAAGGTTTTGGACTAAATAGCCGCTGGTAACTCAGTGGAACTTCCAAGGTTTTTAATGTACAGTTCCAAGCACTTGAGCACTTGACTGCAGACTGGTGCTGTTCAATGTTGGTCATTCATTGAATCAATTCCAAGATGTTTCCCAAAACCGCTCCAACAGTATGGATCTCCAGTTGGGCTTGGAATAATCCACATGTAGGTCTAGTTGACAGCGCCTGTATATGTATGGTACTACAAATAATCATTTGTACATGGGTCAATATATTTGGAAATACTGGTGCCTTATTCCCGAGGTCAGGACCAACCTATTTCGATATCAAGCTGCATAGTAGGTATATAAGGTTATTCTGGAATCTTCGAATCCTGGTTGGGGAATTTGCGAATGAATATTCAGGTGAGTGGACGGGCAGTACATAAGCAGTTCCAGATGCGCATGTGATTTTATGGTGGGGGGGATTTGTAAATATATGTGGGCATCCATGATGGATGGATGAGGCCTTAGGTGCCCAGGTGGGTGACAACGAGACATTTGCGAGTTGTAGTGTCAATTACGAAGCACCCAGTAAGCGCAATTGTTCAGCCTTTTAAACCTCCAATAAATGCCAAATATTGAATTATCAAAAACCTCTCGAAATCCACTTAACTTTAGTACTGTAGTCTGTCGATCGGTCGTCACCTGACCCTATCGCGGGGTGCTGCGATAAGCTCCAGCTTCTCCAATTTTCACCCGTGAGTTTGACCGAACGCAGTACTATCTCTCAGTCACAGAAACAGCGCCATGGGTTCCATTGTTCTGCCTCACTTGCGATCAGCCTGGCACGTTGACCAGGCCATTTTATCTGAAGAAGAGCGCCTTGTGGTCATCCGGTTTGGCCGCGATCACGATCCCGACTGTGAGTTTCTTGTACTGTTCTGCCGAGGTCGCGACACTAATTCCTACCGACTAGGCATTCGTCAAGATGAAGTCCTCTACAAAATTGCCGAACGAGTGAAGAGTGAGTCCAATCACGGCGTTTTACCCCAACGAACGAGTCCTAACATCAACACCCACTAGACTTCGCCGTGATCTACCTCTGCGACCTCGACGAGGTACCCGACTTCAGCACCATGTACGAGCTTTACGACCCGATGACGATCATGTACTTCTATCGAAACAAACATATGATGTGCGATTTTGGTACGGGTAACAACAACAAGTTGAACTGGGTGCTGGAGGACAAGCAGGAGTTGATCGACATCATCGAGACCATCTACAAGGGCGCAAAGAAGGGTCGTGGTTTGGTCGTCAGCCCAAAGGGTACGTCCCCCAATCCAGCTTTAAGCTTGTGAATTTGGGCACACGCTGACAATTATGCAGATTACTCGACCAGATACCGGTACTAAACGAGGCCTCTTCGGCACAACGGCGGCTTCGGGTGATGTGTGCTCGACGGCACACCCCCAATTCATGATGTTTACGATTACGATCGCTAGAAATAAAAAGAGAGGCGAAGATCAGGAGATCTCAGGGGGATATGGGAGCTTTGATAAGGAATCGATTCTGTCCACGACTGTTCATTCAACCAAATTTATGGGCCTGCTGATGTGCGCTTAGTATGTACAGGTATATCCGGACTCTAAGGCCATAAAAACATGAGCCGACAGAGATCAACAAGTAAAAGAGCTTCATTCAATTTAAGCATTGACAAGAACGTATTGATCAAACAAGTAAATGCACCGTAGATAAATCTTATCACCTTGCGCGACTCTCAGTCGCTTCAAGGTAGTCGTATCTTACAAGATCATCAATGATTCCTAGTAGGTAAAGACAGCAGAAATAAGGAATAAACTGACTCTTTAAGTTTCTCGCAAGCCATTTTGTCCTCGACCAATCGATTCACCAAGCACTTACTGCTTGTTCAACGTTTGTTGATAATAGTCGTTTTTGACGTAACTCTCAACTCACCACGACCACCAATCACCCACCGCAACACTTTCTTCTCTCATCGCTTGATCATCCCCCATCAACCTTCACCCAATCTAACGCCAAAATGATCGACCAACGTATTTTCGAGGATCTCCAGACCAAGATCGACGAGGAGACCACCGTCCGTGACGTGAGTTCACCAAGAATTCTTGCAATCCGCGTATAGCGAAATTCTTCGCGTGCCAAGCCCAAGCCGAAGCTCAAGCTCAAGCACACCCGCTACACGTAATATATGGCCATCAGACAAATCTGACAGTGATTGTTCAGGAACTACACGACATTGTCCAGACTCTTGCACGAAAGGGTACATTTCACTTCGCACCTGATTTCAAGGCTCGAATTTTCTTTTCTGAGATATGACGAGTCCCGCCAACACGGCTGCAAAATTGATTGGACGCTGATCGTGTTTTCTTTAGGGCGCTCTACACAGGCAATTCTCTCAAGGGCACACTCTACCCCGACCGATCAGAGTAAGTAGATCGTTTCGATATATTTGGAAGCTATTCCTGACCTTGTTTGGTGTCGCGCGTTGTGTTGTGTGCCGCCAGTGACATTACACGATAGCTTGGATTTTTTACGAACTCCAACATAATAACTTGGCTAACTTGAAAAACACAGTCAAATCTGTCCTTGATGATGCAACTGCGGCAATTATTGCCCAGAAGCAAGATGTCGCCCGGCTGAAGGCTGTGGCAGACAAGCACCCATTCTACAAGTACAACAACGTGTGGTCACGAGAGTTGCAAAACCTGGTGCGTTTTCCCGTGCCTGACAAATTGGAAACGGCGATTAAGTGTCTCGATTTAGGTTTCTTACGTTGAGCTGTGCGCTTGGCTTGGTGGACTTCAGGAGCACAAGGGCCCTGACTCCACCTCGTTCATGACTATTGAGGACGTCGGAAAGTTCCTGGAGGGTATGTGGACATTCTACATGCATGAACCAATAGAAAACGGGCAAAGAAAGTGATAAGAGGTGATACTGACAAGTTTTCCAACCGCAGTCCCTGTCAACCTGAAGGAGCAAGATGCCTTCCACCTGACTATTGAGGAGTACCTTCTGGCGCTGATCTCTATGGTTGAAGAGCTGGTAAATATGCAACCATTTATTCCTTTACCAGACAGAACATGGAATGGCTGATTTGATTACAGTCTCGTCTGGCTGTCAACTCTGTGACTCTGGGTGACTATGAACGCCCCACCCAGATTGGCAACTTCATCAAGGAGCTCTTCGCTGGATTCCAGCTGCTGAACCTGAAGAATGACATTCTTCGCAAGCGAAGCGATGGAATCAAGTACAGCGTAAGTCGATTCTTTTCAATCGTCTCATATGGAACGATGGAAGGTGCTAACGTGTCTACGATAAACAGGTCAAGAAGGTTGAAGATGTGGTTTATGATCTTTCGTTGCGCAACCTCATCCCCAAGGGCGGCGCTGCTGTTTAATCGTGATATAACCGATTTCTTCAGAAAGAACGGCGAAGAAGCCTATTGCCATCAGAATTTGATGAGGCACACGAATGTCAGTGGACAAGCGTTCTAGGCAATCTTTTCTTTCGACCTAGCTAGCAATAATCATATATTGTCTTCCAAGGTCCCCGTGAACAGCAGCTATTACTTTTATCTGTGGATGACGCTCCAAGTTCCTACGATTTGAAGATGTGCTAAATCTCAGTTTCAGACCCATCTTGTAGACGGATAATCGTATTTAGTAAAGGGGATACCGAAATTATATAAACCCAATCACAAAATTATGTATACATTCCAAAAAAAAAAACAAAATAAGAAAAATTGGTATCAAAACAGCCTCATCCCGGATATAAAGCAGAGAGGGACATCCAGCTCACATCAACTGAGCTTGCTTACTGCTTAGAAGAAGCAAGAGTACCGGCCTTCTTGGCCTTCTCAATCTCCTTCTCAATAGTCTCCTGGAGACCCTCGGGCTTAGTCAAAGACGAGTAGCGGGAGACAACCTTGCCATCAGCGCCAACAAGGAACTTCTCGAAGTTCCACTTAATGCGCTTCAGACCCATAACACCGGGCTGCTGCTCCTTGAGCCAGGAGAAGATGGGCGCGGCCTCGTTGCCGTTGACGTCGATTTTGCCGAGCACGGGGAAAGTGACACCGTAGTTGAGCTGGCAGAAGGACTGGATATCGTCGTTGGAGCCGGGGTCTTGACCGCCGAACTGGTTGCAGGGGAAGCCGAGGATCGTGAAGTCTTCGGGGTATTTGGCCTTGAGGGTTTGGTAGAGCTTCTCGAGGCCCTCGAACTGAGGGGTGAAACCGCACTTGGAGGCGGTGTTCACGACGAGGACGACCTTGCCGTCGAGGGAGCTGAGGGGGAAGGGAGCGCCCTTCTCTGTTGGTAGAAAGTGGTTAGTGAATGAGTTCTTCCAAGTCTTGAGTGATTATGGCGCATGGGCAGATGGATCATGGAGCCACCGAGAAGGCGCAGCTCATCTGTCGCAAAAAGAGCTGAGAGAAACAGGGGGAGCGGTATTGTGAATGAGACTTGTGGGGGACGTACTGTCAACGGGCTCAAATTCAAAGAAAGAGGTGGCGGAAGACATTCTTGCGGTTTGGGTGGTGAGGGGTGAAGAGAAGATTAGGTGTTGCGGCCGAGGCTGAAGAGGCTTGGAGCTGTGTTGGAGACGAGAACTCGATGACGTCGTAGAGTAGTAACGGTCGCGAATGATACGGGGAGTGAGCCAAGACTTGGGATAGGAGCGACGAAGGATGGTGCGCAGGTACTGCTTTTGTATTGATTGCATTGAGAGAGACTTCGAGAAAATAGGTACCAGTCTTAACAGGCAATTACCAATGATCACAGGTCCAGACACGGAGCCTTGAAGGGCCGGCGGGGTATCCCTGCAGCCGAGCCGATCCCATTCAATCCAAGTGCTCTGATTGGTTGATCTGTGAACGCTTCTTGCTTTTCTGTTTGGGCAACTTCTTTTTTTCTTCTTCTATTGATTCTATGATCCACCTTCAAGTCCCACTGATGCATAACGTAAAGCTTATCCGGTCTATTTGTGCACAAAATTGGCACGGGTAAACGAAAACGATGGATGGATTCGTGTACAACGGTTCATTTTGGAGCGGGAGATGATTATGGATTTCTGCTTAGAAGAGCGGGACGGTCTCGATTCCACCCCAAATTGGCATGTGTCCGTGCCAAGAACACAAATGCAAATACTTCCTTGCGGCATTAAGGTACCGAATGGAGGTCATTTTCCGATGCTAGGATCAATTGTTTGTATGACCAACAAGCACCCCACACCATGGATACCTTCAAATCAATCTCAAGACTGTTCTGATCAACCTCGGCCAAGTACTAAGGTCTTCGCCCTGTGTCTGCGGTCCAGACCCCCCTTTTCGGGAAAGTACACAGGGTGACAGGGGGTATGGGTTGATCAACAGCGCCTTGTTCATATGAAGATAGCGATGCGTCATGCAGAAAGCACCATGCGCCCCTGGCGGCAACCGGTTAACAGGTTCGAGTAGCTCTTCCGACCTCGTAAGCACTGCCTACAGTTGCACAGTCATATCCCGCACTTTGGGTTTCATCGATCAGATAATGCAAAACGCCTCCCGAATTCAACCTTCAAATTCGGCTTTGAGCACATCAACGTCTAGCTCGGTCATCACGCCGAGAATAACACCGAAGCTTTCCATGAATCCATTGACAGCGACTCGGAGCATGCGGTTCGTAGTGGCGTAGTAGTTGACCAACAAAACGGTCTTGGACTCATCAGAGTTGGGATCTTGTTTCTGCTTCTTTTCTTGGGGCTCGGTCGCCGTTTCGGAGGCGGGGGTTGTAAGGGTCAGAGTGCGTCGCACAGAGGCGGACAACTCAGGGTCGACATCAAGAGTTTGCAGGGCAGCCGAGGCAAGACGCTGGGTTGGCAGTGGAATTGAAATTGCTCTGTGATCTGGGTCAGCATAGTATCCGACAAGAGAGAGTATTGCACGCGTGTTGCTGATCTGTACGTGGGGAGGTGGGGTGATCGTACAACGAGCAAGGGAATTCGGATTGCGGAGGTGGTGCGGTAGCTGCCATGGTTGTTGTTATGGATGTCGATGGAATGAAGATTGATAAGGAAACCGAGAAGATAAATGTCTGTATCGCTTAAGAACGTGTCGTAGCGTTCAAGGTACAATTGCTGAGTGAAGTTGAATATCTTATTTCTGAGTTCGAGGGGTGAGAGGGTGACTCAGCATCTCCACTCCTTTCAGCTTGAAGTATTTGTGTCCAAGGGCCAAGGTAAATATAGTTAAAATCGGACGCGAGTTACTACTAGCTTACCAAATGGCGACTTTCCATGGTACTGACTACATGCGATGCTCCAGATTTCTCTTAGGCATTATCGGGAATTAAGAGACGTCATATTCTAGCAAATTGGAACAATTTCATGGCAAACAGCCAGATGTTGCGAACGGTCATCATAAATAGAGAAGCGCACTCGTCGGATATAGTACAAAAGCTTGATCAAGCAAGAGCCCGAGGTATGACGGGGAAGAAAAGAATTAAAACAAGAAGGTAAAGGCCACACCGAATCAACAATGTCATGACACCTTGAATGCAGACAGACAATGTCCAAATGCTCTATTAAGATTGCAAGGGCATTTAAGCGGTGTAGAGGAACTCGACGACGTACTCGAACTCAACAGGAAGGCTGGAGATCTGGCTAGGAAGAATGTTGCCAGTTGAAAGAGCAGTCTGCAGGCCAGCGAGGGCGCCAATGAGGCCAGATGGGTCTAGGATAAAAGGTGAGCCAGGTTCATTTTAGGGAGAGGATCATGTAAACATACTGCCGGTCAACATGCCAAGATCGTTCTGAACGGAAGCATCGACAACGTTACCGAGGCCGGGTAGCTGACGCTTGGCTATTACACTGTTAATCATATGTTATTTGACGTTCGGTCGGCGTTTGTCGATTGAGACTTACCAGGAACGACACCAGCAACCGTGCTCTCAACGGTTCCAACAGCACCAGCAGAGGTGGTCTCAGCAGTGCCGGCAGCACTACCAGCGATACCAACAAGTCCATTCGTAGATTCAGTCACGCCATAGACGGTTCCGGTAAGGGCATCAGTGCTGTCACGCTTCACATCACGCTTCATGCCAGCAGCAGCTCCCTCGGCCGTACCCTCAACTTCACCGACGACGGTACCACCGGGCAGAGCGCTAAGGCCATTAAGACCAGGAACTTCACGCTTGGCTAATGTGTTGTTAGCACTAGATACTAATTCCATTTTGGACGGGGTATCTCAATTGAAACTTACCAGGAATGACACCAGCGGCCGTGCTCTCGACAGTTCCAACGGCACCAGCGGCGGTACTCTCACCAGTGCCAGCAGCACTACCAGCAACGCCAACAATTCCATTCGTAGAGCTAGTCACGCCATAGACGGCTCCGGCAACAGCATCAGTGCTACCATCACGCTTCACGCTACCAACTGCTGCCTCGGTCGTACCCTCAACTTCACCGACGACGGTACCGCCGGGCAGAGCGCTAAGGCCATTAAGACCAGGAACTTCACGCTTGGCTAATGTGTTGTTAGCACCAGATATTCTCTCTAATTTGAGACGGTATCTATGAGTTGAAACTCACCAGGAACCACGCCAGCAACCGTGCTCTCGGCAGTTCCAACGGCACCAGCGGAGGTGCTCTCAGCAGTGCCGGCAGCACTACCAACGATACCAACAAGTCCATTTGAAGAGCCGGTCACGCCATAGACAGCTCCGCCAAGGGCATCGCCACCGTCACGACGCTTCATAGCAGCGGCAGTGCCATCGGTCGAACTCGCAGCATCACCCACAGCGGTACGACCGGGAAGAGCGCTAAGGTCAGTGCGACCCGGAAGGGTGGGAAGAGCAGAGACGGATAAAGCGCTCGCAAGGGCAAGAGAAACAGAAAATCCAGAAAACTTCATTATGGCGGTTGATTGATTTTGGGTTAAGCTTTGTCAAAAGAGCGACTGTGTTGAGTTGACAAGTGACTGCAAAGAGCGAAAGGGAAGGAATGAGTGACTTGAGTAGTGAGTGGACTGGGAGGGTGTAGAAGGAGTGGTGCTAGACCGGATTTTATACATCTCCTTTTGGTTGTTTTGATGAGCTCGAGCAGCTACATGTTGTCCCAGTGAGCTCCTCGCATGTATTGCACCGGGATCACCAGGGGTCCATGGTTCCCCGGCGCTTTTTTTTGTCCGTTTCGGCCATGGCTGATGATGATCGACATTAGGAAGTGCCATCCGCAGCACCATGTAACTAGTAGTGTCGAAGGCCCACATGAGCTCCAATGAAATCTCTTGATGCAGGATATCGAAGGTTTTTTTCTTATGGGCGGTGTACTCGATTTGGAAAAAGTCGGATAGGCTTTCAGCAAGGGCATCAAGACTAATTAAAGGGCCATTGGTTGCCAGAGCCGCGTTGGTCATTTCCAAAATGAACCTCTAGGTACTACCTTGAGGCTTGGGTATAGATCATATTCCTGTCACGTTAGGCTTTCAGTATGGAGCACCAAAAGTGAAATGTCATTGAATGATCGCTTCTTCTTTTAATTCGAAGGAAATATTGAAGACGTTTCCAAAGCTCTGCTGGGTTAATTGCCTAGTGTTGCAAGCTATCACCCGGACAGGGCCTCATTTCATTTTCGCATGCTAGGGATGGCGCGGGTGCATCCGCTATGACCTGTGTGGTGGGGTGGCCGAGGCAAGGGCGTTAATATCGGACGACGCTCGAAAAAGGGTCCTGCTATTGCCCTGTCGATTCAACTTTGTTTTTCTTTTTTTTTTAAGATAGGCCAACTCTTTGGATGCATCGCCCGCTGACCCTACCTTCCCGTGGCTCTTTACTGACGCCCGTTCAATAACCCTGTGTCGATCGTGCACTGACCCAAGGGGGAAATAGTTTCCAGACACTGAGCCATTGTTTGATCAAGAGACAATCGATATTTGTCGCTTCGGCGATGTGTTGCCTTTTGGATTTGCCCTCCGGACACTACAGTAGTCCACGTTCTGAGCCTTGGAGGTTGACCGTTGGGAGTCCAGGAGTCGGGACTCGGGAGGGCCTCGGCAAATAGATCGAGGCGGGAGCCAATCACCGGGGACAAACAACCCTGGATCTGATCAGTCTGCGACTCTGCGCAGAACATTGAATGTCAACAAACAACTAGAGTGGCAAAAAATACTCCGTATCGCAACCTTCCTATCGAGCTTTCAAAAGGCTCCTACCATTTGAACCTTAACCATCAACATGGTCCTGGAAAGTGCGCCGGTGGACCGTTCAGTCCTTGGCAATGGGTCTTCCAACATTGAAGTTCCAAGGTTAAAGATCAATGCATGTGCCCAGTTGCCCCAGTGTCTAGGTAAGTAGGTACTGTATATTCCTTATATCTTCGAAGATACGTGGTGTTGTTTCCAAGCCCTAGAGACTTTCCCTTTAAGGTCCATGTAGATCTCCCAAAATTTTGTTGTATCCAACGACCTCTGGAATTTTTCTTTGAAGGTTGGAATATAATATAAATAAAAAGGGCCAAGGTAGATGGTTAAATCCATGGATGTTGTAGTAAAAACTTTAGAGAGTGACTGTAGTAATTCGGTGCTGACTTCTGAGCTCCCGCTGCTTTCATGAGAGTACTGAGAGTCAGGCTCACTGATTACTACTCAAGGTCTATTTCAAGCAGTCACTCATATCAATTTTCCAGTCATGGCAGCTGATGCACTCAATATTGAAGGTTTCAACGTTCAATGTTGGTTGGATGACAAATTTAAACGGTTCTTTCAAGTGGCTTCCTAGGTCATTCCTTCAAATTTTCTCCGCTTTCCTGCACTACATGTACTATGTACCCCATACCTCCAGTGCTTATACATATCCGATTCCCCATACTTTCCAGGTTTGTATAACATGACTAGACCCAGGCCATCACTTAAAGTGACTTGTAAAATCAACTCAAGTCGCACATGAATCCCCTCAACGGACTTTTGTAAAGACATTATATGAAAGTAGGAGTACATATTTATAGTGGACCGTTAGGATAGACCAGGCTGCAAAAATCAACGGGATTAACACAATCAGGCAAACACTCGTTTTACTTCCAACATTGAAGGTCACGCGCTGGGGTTACAACCAGTAAACATTTAGGAAACCGAAAGATAAACTCTTCTACTGAGAAGCGGGCTCAGGTGATCCCTATCTCAGGACTTCAGCTCTTCTTGATTTGTCTCACCTCCTGAGCCATTCTTTCTCTTACTTTGTCCGTTGCTTTTCTCTGTCACACACCTCTGTTGCAACGATTTTGTCCCCACGTGCACGGCGCTTCCTGCTTCACATTAATCAAATTACTTATTCAAACATTGCAAGGGTGACATCTTTCATCCACAACCCCCGTTTACGAGCAATATGAAAATTTGGTAACAATGAGAGACGACTGCACTAAGTGGTAACGCTACACTCACCCTGGCCCGGACGAGGACGACCCCCGACCTTGGATGAAATTCAAATGGTGCGAAAGTTCATTGAGCGCTACAGCACATCCGACCCTGTTCACCACAGGATGCCACTCATAAGCTCATTTCGCGCGTGACAGATAAGCGCCAAAATTCCGTCGTGACCAAAGGCGACTGTGTTGGTTATTTTTTGTGAGATGTTGGTATCGACATCCCGTGCCACCAACTTGCCATTCTCGAGTTATTAGAGGCTATTCGCGTGCTTCCTCAGATAGAAAGAACTGAGGAGCAGATCCGTGCTGTTCATTTCGAGGACACACTTGGAAGTCCTTGGAGAAATTCCAATATTTTTGGGATATCACCTCCTTTTTCCGCGAGTCGCTCGCTCCATATTCAACAAAGTCCTACCAGTAGAGACCAAGTAAACCAAAAGGAATAGTCTATGTAATGAAATTATTTCAAGTCAAGTAGTAGACTGGAAGGAAGACAGGCATATAAATACACCTGAGGAATTATTGATTACGTTCAAATGTTGATGTTTAGGTACATGCACCCGTGGACTGCACACATGTGCATGTGGATACGCTCGCAGCAGCGATACATATCCATGGATATGCATACCAACATACATGTATGCAAATGTTTCAAGACCTCAGCGGCAATGCCAGGTCACGCGATACCCGGCACGGCTTTTTCCGCGGATCTCAGGTGGCGGTCAACATTGTTGATGAGATCAGGTGAGCACAATTCTTCACTAGTTCTGTGGAATGCTTCCAATGTTTGGACTGCCTAGCATAGGTTGCCCGTTTCAGGCATCGACACCTTACCGCCCTGATGAAATGTTATGTTTGGATGTTTTGATAGAAGGGAAAACATTGCAGATGCCTAGGCAACAACCGCCAACAAGAAGTAACATTTATGTATTTCATGCAAGCCAGACAGCCCAAGCTGCATTGCAGAGAGGGGAAAGACGAGTGTACAAATCATGATGGATCATTTTGATGGAGTTTAATCCAATCTTGGGGGCAATGTTTGGCTGAGGTAATCTCTCCAACTTTATTGCCGGCCTGAGGCCACACATAGCTGATGGTTGTCGAGCCAACGGCGGACACTAATCCCAATCAGGCCCAGCACAACATAACATCGTTAGCGTGGCATGGCAATTAATAACCCCAACACCATGAGATTCTTCTTCCACTCTTCAACCTTGTGAAGTTCCTCTTACCCAGGCACTTATCATTACCTTTCGTCCTTTTCATTATTCCTCAGGTCTTTAAGATCATGAGCGTTTAAGGTCTTTGTATCCTATCAATTGTCGAACTTCGTGTTTTCCACACCATCGGGCACCGTCACCAAAAGTGACCATTTGCGACGCTGTTCAAGCTTGCATCATTTTACCTTCGTTGTTCCATACCTACTGAAGTCGCAACCTACTCATCGACAACATGTCGCTTGATTCTGGCAAAATGATTGAATACATCGCAGGTGCGTGATCAATGTTGTTATTGTTGTCATCCGAAATGTTTGAAAATGGTGGGGTCTAACAACAAACAAAACATCAGACCGCCTGTATCTGGCATCCTATGACTCCGCACCAAGCTCTAGAACGCACTTCCCATTCCCTGCCGAGTCCTCCAAGTCCCCAAGCAAGCGGTCGCGTGCTCAACCCCCAGCTACACCTAGCACCAAGCGTCGCAGCCCCGTGTACTTCACCGTCGATGATACTCTCCTTTACAATGCCTTCCACGCGGACTTTGGCCCACTCCACATTGGCCACTTGTACAGATTTGCAGTACTTTTCCATGAGATTCTCGGCGACCCAGCCAACAGCGACCGGCCCGTGGTCTTCTACAGCAAGACCGATGCGCGAAGCCGTGCGAACGCAGCATGCCTTGTTGCATGCTACATGGTCCTAATCCAGTCATGGCCACCCCACTTGGCCCTCGCACCGATTGCACAGGCTGATCCTCCATACATGCCGTTCCGCGATGCTGGATACAGCCAGGCGGATTTCGTCTTGAACATCCAAGACGTTGTATATGGAGTGTGGAAGGCCAAAGAGAAGGGTCTGTGCGGTCTCCGAGACTTCAACCTTGAAGAGTATGTACCTAAACCTTATTTTCCACCCTTGTCCTACAATATACTAATTAGTATCGCAGATATGAAAAGTTTGAGAGAGTCGATATGGGTGACTTCAACTGGGTGACACAAGATTTCCTCGCTTTCGCTTCCCCTCAACATCAACCCGTGGAGCCGGTCCCCGCAAACACCCCCGAATACGATGCCCTGCCCTCCACCATCTCTGAGGTTTGCTCTGCCAAACTGCCTTTGTCATTCAAGAATGTCCTAGTTCACTTCGCGTCGCGGAATGTGGGTCTTGTGGTTCGGTTGAATTCGGAGCTTTACAGCCCGTCTTACTTCACAGCTATGGGTATCGCTCATATCGATATGATCTTCGAAGACGGCACTTGCCCACCCCTACAACTTGTACGCAAGTTCATCAAGATGGCCCATGAGATGATCACCGTGAAGAACAAGGGTATTGCTGTTCACTGCAAGGCAGGCCTTGGTCGCACGGGATGCTTGATTGGTGCCTATCTGATCTACCGCTATGGCTTCACTGCCAATGAAGTCATTTCTTTCATGCGATTCATGCGACCTGGCATGGTTGTAGGACCTCAGCAACACTGGCTGCATCTCAACCAGGGCTCGTTCCGCGAATGGTGGTTTGAGGACAGCATGCGCGAGAAGATGGCACAGTCCGCCCCTGTCACTCCTGCTCGTATGTCAACCAAGAAGCGCGCAAGCAATGGCGTTGTTTCCACACCTCCCAACAACACTCACTCAAAGCGCGCTGCTCTTGGGGAAATCGGATCACAACGAAGGCGCTGCCAACCAGTATGAGGAGAACCTCCCAGCTCCAACCCCCGGTCAACCCCGTAAGTCGCACCGAAAGGACTCTCGTCACCACCCTTACTCCCGCACCGCATCTGGATCACTAGCTGTGGAGCATGAAGGACACAAGAGTGAACAGCGCAGCAAGGGCCACCGCCTCAGCAACGAGAGCAGTGAGAGTGACGAAGAGATTCAGCTTCGTATGTTGGCCAAGAAATCATCAAAGTCTCCTGTTGCATCACCTACACGATCCATCAGCTACTCAGCAACTGTCACTGCCAGCTACACCTTGACAGATGACATCCATGATGATCAGGAGAACTGGGTCGAAAATGCCGCCCCCAAGACTCCTATCAGCCGCAAGAGTGGTGGCGCCCCTATTTCTGTTAGCAAGGTTCGCACCAGCCCCCGGCGGGCAACAGATAGCTCCAAGGGTGAATCCCGAGGCGTTCGCAAGCCCAGTGGTCGCATCGGAAGCACATCAAGCCCCGCTCGCGCTGTTCGACCTGTTCAATAAGGGATGTGCCTCTTGATTTCCTTTTCTTCCACTCTGTCTGCCTGCGGCGACACATTACATTCTTCCTGCCTCCTCGGGGCAACCTTTCGCATACCCCATTTTCTGCTGCATTTGAATGCTCTTAATGTTTACTTCTCTTCGTCTTCACATTTTTTACTTCGGGTTTTTCTGGCGTGACATTAGGGTCTTTGGCATGTTCTGCTTGGCGTTTGGTTTTTGTGCTTTAATTCTTCTGTTTCGTTCTTGGGTGACTTTGAAGCTGTCATAAATGCCGTCGATTCCGATTGTCTAAATTCTTTCTGGTTTCTCCGCCCTCCTGGCATGGCGTTCTGTTACAGGGTTTTTCTGTACGTGTCAATTTGAATGGCGAAACGACAATCAATTTCACGATCCCACAATACTTCATGCTCACTCTGAATCGTAAAATCTTCCAAATCTGTCCATATTAGAAATAGGTTGTGTGTAAAGCCATATTCAATCCTTAATGGCTGCAGACTGGATTACTATGCTTCTTGACTTTATTCAATCCCGACTCCGAACCATGGCTCGACGCTAAACTACTTTGGGAAGATTTGATTCGCACTTTCTCCTCAATCGCCTCACATCTACTTTGAACCTTTCCAGCCCCATGGGCCAATACAATGAGAAATACTGATGATCGGCGCTCGCAATCACCCGCGACCCGGCGAAATGGCGCGTTGCAGTCCTGCGAGCCTTGTCGTCGGTCAAAGCAGCGATGCGACCATGAGCGACCCGTCTGTCACCGATGCGCGTCTAAGCGGATGAGCGACAAATGTTTCTATCATCCAGCCCCAATGACCAGACGGAGATCTTTACAAAATATCAGGCCAACGGTAATATCCTCCAACAGTCAGTTAACGAGCCAGCCAACTTCCAAGTAAACATCCATTTGCCCCGCCACTTCTGACTCGGAGTTTCTCTAACAAGAATCTAGTGCCTCAAGCCCGGGATCCTTGGGAAGTGGTCGCATTTTTGCTTCGTTAGAGGCTCAATCTGCTCTTCCTGGCTACCTGGGATCCACAAGCTACACTGCGATTCTGACGGAGCATCGCAATGAAATTCCCTTTGAACCGGAAGAGAGTTCGGATTCATATCCTGTCCTGTCAGTGGAGCCCGAGCGAGCCCGGTCCGGGGCAGACGTTTTGCTGTTCCTTTATAACCTCAGTTCCCGGCGAGCGTTGGTTGAGAAATGGTATAGTCGGTCGTGGAATGCGGTCATTCCTAGTATAGTATTGGATGCTATGCTTGATTCGGTTCAAGAGATCTTTGATGGGCTCAATCCTAGCAATCTTATGCCTGAGCTGCAGAACTTGGCCACGCAGATATTCCAGAACTCATCACGCGCAATGAAAGCATATCCGTCGATGACCGTTAAAGATTACTGTGCCTCGTTTACTGGCCGGAATATTCGGTGGGAGGCTCTGGGGAATATTTTTTCTGTGTGCGGTCAACAGCTCATGATCACACCGGAGAATGATCCCGAGGTCTCTCAGGGCATTGAGGACCCGCAGGTCAAGGAACGGCTGCTGGAACAGTTGATAGGAGCCAGTACCGTTTGCCTTGGTTTCTGTGACCAGGCTTCTTCGGCGAATGAGCTGCTTGCTTATCTGCAATATAACGATGTCATGCTTCGAACGCAGCAATATGGAGACTCGAGTATGTCTTACCTTTGGCACTTGGCGACCTCCTATGTACAAACTGTCTAACACATACTCTAGGTTATGAAGCATGGCGTCGATTAGGTGACTTGGTCGCTACGATCTATGCCGCAGGTATCCATCTTGATACCGATAGTGCCGAAAACTATCCCTTTTTTCTCCGCCAATGGCGAAGAGGCTGTTTCATCTCAGGTTTCTATATAGACAAGATGATGGCCACATTTGTCGGTCGGCCACCTCTAATGAACTATCGATATTGCACTTTGACTCCCCCGCTAGATCTGAGCGACGACGTTCTTATTGCAGGGGGAGACGCTCTTGACAAAGCAGTGTCAGAGCTTGACAGTAACGGCTGGAATACGCAAGGAGCTCGGCATAGAATGTCACCCTCACGGCTCCGTTTCCATCTGGCTGTTGCGAGAGAAAAAACCCTTGATATCGCGTTAGGGAATCCTGATATTCACGACCTGGTCCGCAGAACAAAGTGAGCTGATGCTATAATTTATCGGCTTCTCATCCGTCTCTAACATATCATGTTTATGAAATAGTGAAATCGAAGAAGATGTACGCAAAATATGGCATGCAACCCCCGATCATCTTCGATACGATCGCCAATCCAATGATGAATTTCATCATGGATGGTTGACAATCGTTTATATTTACCTAAGCTATCTATATACCTGCTTCCTTCTCCAACGGGCTCTGATAAAGCACACAAACACTGGGCAAGCCGCTCTCTGTGATGTTTCCCGCCGAGTCCTCGCAATTGTCGTTACCATCACTTCTCAGCGAAGTCCCATGATGGACTTTGCAGCGCATTATTCCTGGATTGTACGTTTGCATCCCTAACTTCGGTTGTACAACTCTGGAAGGCAGCAGTTTTACTAACTTGACACAGGCCCTCACTTACGGTCTTCCAAGTGCCAGCGTGCTTCTTGTCGAGCTCCTACACCAGTCTCACGAACCTGGCCCTCATAACGTGGCATTGCCGCGCGCTGAAATAATTCGCAATATTAGCGTTTTCATCTCGTTGTTGTCATGGGTATCGAAACCTGGCCATGGGAACTACCATACCTGCAAAGAAGCGGAGAAGAAGCTTTCTCGCATCTTGGACCAATTACTGGATCCACAGCCAGTGCAAGCGGATATGGTGCACGATGTTACTTCTGGCCTTTCTAGCTTTCTGGACTGGTCAAATTATAACGCCTGGGATTTTACTGAGTACTTTCCCGGCGCTGGCGGATTCGCACCATAGGGGACTCTTTTTGAAATGCAGTATATAGATCATTTAGCCCATATGTAGCCCATGCTTAATGACAAACGACTGTGCCCAGGCGGCATGGAGAGATTCCCTCACACTAAAAATTAATACTGACTGGCTTCCAGTCTCTCTGACTCATTTCGATTGATAAATTGCCTCTTGATGGCCAGGAAGTTTTCAAATGTTATAGAAAAAAATAGGGAGCTGTATGATAGGCATACTACCTACCAGGACTTGAGTATTGTAACTTTGAAAGCTGCAAAATAAGGTTGAATACCATAATCCTCAACATTTGAATCATCATAATTTCATAATCATTAATATCGGGTGTTACCATATATTTGAACGCATATCCTTGATCGTGTAAAATGTTCAAATGATCCACCCCAGTGCTCCTAAATAATCATACCATCCAGACATAATCATGCCGAGGCGGAGTCTCCGCAACAAAATATGCGCGATGGCACAGCGGACAATTATAATGATCACCCAAGAACCACTTCTCCAGGCATTCCCGATGGAAAACATGCAAGCAGCGTAACTCCCTTATTTCTTCAGACCGGCCCACCTGCTCCAGACATACGGCGCTAGATTAACATGATCAGCCAAATCCCATTTTCGCACGCATATATGAGTTGTATTTTTTGAGAGAAATAGAGCGAGCAAGGGGGTATGGATGCATGCATACCAGACAAACTGGCCATCCACAGCCTCCGAAAGGCCCATTTTGCCCTTAGTCATGGTCCACCATTGTTCCAATGTGCGGGTGGGTGATACGGCATCTAGACTAGCCAGTCGTTGATCGGGATTCTTCTTTGATTGCAGGAAAGCGCGGCGATCGCGTCGGTTAACAACAATCGTCAAACTGGGTTGGATTGTCAGTACTTTCTCGTCGCTGGTTCGTGTCGCACAAAATCGGAGGGTAATTCAGGAGGTTCGGCACTGTCGGAATTGAATAGAATTCAATGGGATCAAAGAGGAGAGTCGAAAAGAGTCGTCTTCAAGCCTGGGGCTTCTCCTAATGAATATACAAGGAAACCTCGAAAGACCCTCATAAAAGTATCATAAAATCAAATTAAAAGAAAGTGAAAGTGAAACAGAAAGACTGGAAAGAAGGGAAACAAAAACAGAAAAGAAAAGTCAAAGATAACTCACACCAGGCTTAATACGATCAGTAGCACCACCCCGAGCCCAATACCCAAGACAATGGCCATATGGCTCGTCTTGAGGTTATCATCTTCGGCCATTTCCCCACCTTTTGGAGAATCCTCAGTCGCGCGATCGACCAGCAGGGGATGGCGATAGATGCGCGATCTTATCTTCAATGTAATCCAATACGAGCTTGTCAGCGGTGGAAAACTGATCCTCTCCCTGGAGCTAGAAATAGATCGTATTGCAGCGCAACGCAATGTGAAACGCCCAGGATCCAAGTCAGCTCCAATAAGGAAGTTCGCGGTAGGAAAGTCGACCAGGGAGGGAAGTAAGGAAAGAAAATTTTGCAAAGAAAAAAAAAAAGTGCAAACGAAATAGTCTTCAAATTAAAGGTGTAAGCTTGGGAGCTGTGAGCCGAGAGCTGACAGTGGCGACCTTTTCGGCTCAGGTATGAAGAGGATCGACGCATTCAAAGCGGGGAGAAGCTGGGAATAACACGAGATGCGCTTTAGTTTCCCTCGTTGACTCTTGTTTCTTTTCTTTTTCGTCTCTTCCCCTTGTGCACCCGTGGAACCAATGGTGATTCGAGTTGTTGGAAGGGATGTGCGGGCCAAGGTACTTAGTGGGAATGTTGATCGGCTGAAATGTCCTATTCTTTTTTCAGCTTTTTGCAGTGATTGGATTAAATTTGAATTTCCGTTTTCCATCTTGTTTTTAGGTTGTGGAAAGTAAAAAAATCATGGTCAGATGAGTGGTTTTTATCGACGTGGGTTGATTTGTGTAAAGATGTAAAGAGTTGTGGTGCCACACTGCCCACTGCCCACTTCCATCTAACTCGTCACTTTATCCATTTCTCCACTTTCTCTCCACTTCTCCATACTTTCTCCATACTTTATTTCTCTGTGTTTTCAAAGAGCATGTTCAACATTCGACAATACTACCTTTTCTGACTCTACCGGAATCACTGCAGGTATCCGATCCGACCGATCAAAAAGATCATCTATCTCCTCAAGTGTCTTCTGCTTGGTCTCCAGAAAAAAGAAATAAATGATCGGAAATGTGACGCAGAGATCTACACGGGAAACTGTCAGCAGGGGGATCCACAACGCAGCTTTGAAGGGATGACGGAGACTCACTCCATGCCACAAATACAAAATAAAACCTCCACTGGATCTGTCCAAGAGCAGTTGGTGAGACCTGATTCCACACGGTACTGACCGCCCAGTTCCCAATCCCCACTGAAAATGCATTGCCCTTGCCGCGGATTTGCATGGGCATGACCTCGGCCATATACACCCTGTACTGAATGTGAGAAGTGGAACATGATTTGAAAAAAAGAGGGGGCGGAGTGGAGGGTCGCACCAGCTACACGGCCCAAACGAGACCGAGAAGGCAACCGATACGGCAAAAATGAAAAACACTCCACCGATGCTATATCCGATTCGTTCGCCGTTGGGGTTCTTCCAGGCGAGAATGGCCTCACACGCGAGCGCTATGGAAATCGCTACTGTGCCGAATAGCAGGGGCTTCCGGCGTCCGACTCGGTCGAGGAAAAACACCACGAAAATAAGGTTAGCAAGCGGGCCGACACAGTTGTAAACCCCTGCGATGAGGGTGTCGCGACCACCCGTAATCCCCAGGGCTTTGTACATGATTGTCTGGTAATACGTGATCACGTTAACACCAGTCATTTGGGTGAACACCTGGACTGCAAGGCCATGGCTGCAACTGTGAGCGTGGAAAGTCAAAAGGGAGCAAGGGATTGATCCGGAACATACAGCATACGAGTCCGCCACTTTGGAACAGTGAACATCGACACCCAACCAGGGGCTACAGCCGACTTCCCAGATTCATGGGCTTGACATATATTGTTGAACTCGGCTTCAATCCACTCGTCATTCGTTCCATCGGAATGCAACTTTCGGAGCACGCACATTGCCTCTGTGTGGCGACCTTTCTCGATGAGGAATCGCGGAGACTCAGGTACAAAGGTCATGCCGATAACGAGAATAAGCGCTGGTATAACCTGGAAGGCTAGAGGCAACCGCCATTGGAGTTGACTGGAGTTTGGCGCACGGAGAGAACCGTATCCTACCCATCTAACATTCCGGTTAGCTTCGACCAAAATGTTGGTTCTAATGAGATACTTGTTGAGTCGAGACCAGGGAGCCATACGTGCTAACAATAAACCCAATACCAATCATCTGCTGCGACAACCCCACAATCAAGCCCCGGGAGCGGGGATGCGCAAATTCGGCTTGGTAGACCGGGACCGCCATGGACATGATCCCGACACCCCAACCCGCCAAGATCCGACCAACAAGGATCATGGGTAAATTCTGAGCCGCCGCCTGAAGCGTTGCGCCGACGAGGCAGATCAAAGCACCCATCTGGATAGTGATTTTGCGGCCGAACCGGTCCACGGTGTAACCACCCTGAAAGGCACCGATCATGGCTAATTGACAGGAAAATATGAATGTTAGAAATTGGCGAGGCATCTCTATCATATGTACACCGGCTTATCAGAGCTAGAGGGACTTACCACCACCCGAATAGGTACTATTGATAGCACCGATGATTGCTGAAGTCTGCGTCGTATGAAAGGATTGCAGGAAATTTGTAGAGTCAATCACGTCGGTCATGACACCACTATCATATCCGAACAGAAATGAGCCCATCGCCGCCAATGCAGCTATGAAAACAGAGTATGATCGCCCCATTGTCAACAGAGTGGGCCTTTGAATGATTTCTAGAACAGCGTGGATAAAGACAAGAATATCTCCGCAATTGATCTACATCACGGCAAGACTGAGCTTTCCCGTTCCTGACTCGCATGGGCTCAAAGTGCGGGGGCTAGGGGAAAACAGCAGTGAACAGCCAAGCTAGAGTGACAGGGGGCAAGGTCCGCAAGGAACAGCGAACACGGACCAGAAAATCCAAAGTCCGGGGTTTGTGGTGGATCTGCGTTCTGGGCCCTGGCCTATCAAGTATCAGACTGTGGGGAAACCGGAAAAGCATCTGGAATCTGGATAGAGACAGATTGCGAAGTCTATTCTCAAGTCTATTCTCAAGTCTCTTCTCAAGTCTATTCTCAAGTCTATTCTCAAGTCTCTTCTCAAGTCTCTTCTCAAGTCTATTCTCAAGTCTCTTCTCAAGTCTCTTCTCAAGTCTCTTCTCAAGTCTCTTCTCAAGTCTATTCTCAAGTCTATTCTCAAGTCTCTTCTCAAGTCTATTCTCAAGTCTCTTCCAGATGTCTCAAGTCTATTCTAAAAGTAACCCATGTTTAGATCAAATTCCTTAAGAAATTCCTATATATAACATATACAATACAGGCAAGAAACAGGGCGGTAAAGCTAAAAATCCAAATTGGACTGGTTATGGCAGAGGGGTGGCGGGTATCGGCCGCCGTACATAGACAGATGATTAGTATGGGAGGGAATTCGATACTGGGATTCCTGCCCCAGTGGATACCGATGACGGCAAGGAGAATTGGACTCAATAAGAAAAAATTGAAAAGGGTCATTCTTATTATTTTTTTTACATGGGTTGATAAACAATTCATACACACTGGTAGCCAATTGCTCCAGACATCGCAACTTCTATACATGCAAACCATCCTCGACAAACTGCTTGGTCCCTTCCGTAGGAGCCTTCCAAGCCACGCGGTCCTTGGTAAACTGCTCCATCGTAGGCCTCAATTTAGTCTCGTGCAACGAGAAATCATCCACACTACCAACACGCAGAATACTCATGCCCGGGAAAGCCGCACCAACGCGGTACATTAGCGAGCCGCATGTGGAACAAAAGTAGTTGGTCATGGTGTTGTCCTGGCCAGGAGTTTTGACGAACACCGTGCGAGACTGGCTGTATGTCTTCAGGTTTTCGCGACCACGCAGATGTTTCAGGTGTGTGTCGTAGACTGTGAAGTTGGTTGCGTGCATGGATGCGGTAAGCTTGTGGCAGTCGGAGCAATTACAGACGAAGGAGCCGACGTAGCCAGGTCCGTGGGTTGGCTGGGAGTTGACGGCCGTTGTTAGTACTAGCACTTGAGTACAAAAGGAAAAGCAAGCCTGTAGCGCTAGATGAGACTCACAAATGATAATTGCACTGCACCACAGAAGCATGTGGCTGTTGCTTCGTCCTCGGTAGACCAGCCATCCTCGGCGCCGCCGGCGAGAGGAAAATAGGACTTTGACTTGTCGATGGTGGCGGATGCCATTGTTTCGTTGATTCTATACTTTTTGATGAAAGCTGTGAAGTTTTTCGATGTAAAATTGAAGAACCTCGCGGTTTCCTGGTTTTATATACTCGAGATGGAACAATCTTCAGTCAATTTTTGTCCTCGTATCGTGCGTCATTGTTAGCCACTTTTGGTTGAATCCCGCGAAATGTGGTTTGTAATCGGTGGCTTTGAAATTCAATCCTTCTGCATGATTGTATACAATCCTCCCGCGGGCCGCAATTAGTCTCCGAGAAGCATACATGACAATTTTCCAATCAATTCCTTCGGGGGATTAAGGTTAGTTGACCGGGTCAATTACTAGGCCGCTTATTTCAAAGCGCTTCAGAATATTGGCCAAAGATCTCCGAAGGGTCCGTGGATCCTTGAAGCGCTTAAAATATGGGCCCTTGAAGTACGACCAATGGTATATCGACACTACATACAAGACGACCGAGACAACGCCGCATGAAATCCAGCACATGTGAGGCATCCGCAGCATCCGCAGTATCCGCAGACTGGACTGAGTAGAATACAATGCCTACTAGTATCAATGTATATCAAACCTAAATAAGTACAAAGTTCACCTAGATACTAGGCTCTCTCTGAATCCTGCTCAGAGGTAGTCGTTTGAGGCCCATACATTCCGTATCTTCCAACAAAACGATTTCACTCATCCTAACGCAATCCACAGCTACTCTTTCCGAGCGCTATATGCGAAGACCCGACTCCACTCAAGGGCCCAGTACTCTAAGCTCGCCAAAGGGCGATTTCAACCACCCTAATGCAGCCCTGTACTTCAGCCCAAATCGCGCCACTGCAGAACAATACCGGCAGCTTTACCCCCGAATGCATTCGCAAACAATAGCCGGAATTATCTCAATCAGTATTCTGCGTCGGTGCATCGAGCAACTGAAGACAGCGGAACTCTGGGTTTCTTCCGATTGGAAACGATTCGTTTGGAGTAATAGACGCGGACAGTGTGCATGTGTACCGTCGCATCTATCCCTTTGAATACACATGCACCACGAAGATGAGCTCTAATATACTGGAAATAAGCACTTGAGCCTGACGACCACAAATATATCTTTGAAGCACTGGCCGTCACCCAACAATTTCCATGTATTCTCATTTGGTCGACTACAACTACCAGTCTCGTTCACATGTGCAGGCCCTGAACACGTCCGCGGATGAATATGTATATACTTCAAACACTGTACCCCTACTCAACTTGAGAACTTGTACCTAGTAGCTACTTCTTAAAACATTGAAGCATGCCTAGGCGCTTTTTAATTCAAAGCATAGGAGATTTCGTTACATTTAATGACGTTTTAAATATATTGCACAGTATACTCACAAGGTCTGTAACCCCTAAGATTAATGGCACTTGTAGGTACTATTCACTGTTCAGCACTGGCATTGAGCAACTGGTCAATGCCTAAAAGGTCACGTGCAGACGTGTTTTTCGCGTTCGGGGCTTTTTTTTGGTAGTAGTTCGCATACCTCGGTCTAAGACCCGGGGCTTTTTTTTTTGCATCTCTTCCTGGATTAAGCATGATGTTATGTGAAATGTTACATACCGGAGCCTCCAAGATTCTTAGGATCTCGCGCATTCTATAACGTGACGTGGGACACGCGATGGCCCCATAGCACGTCCGTGGCCGCAGTGGAGAATCCCGAATTACCTCCGACCGCGTCAATAGAAGAAGTAAATAAAGAATAAAAGAGCTCGAAATAACGAAGAAATTGGTGAAAACATAGACTAAAAACAAAAGAATGGAATATTGCCATTAGATATCAGCTAAATTGAAGAATAAAAAAAGTAGAAAAACCATCACCAAAAAACCTTGAAGGCAAAAACTAGCGCGGGCACGGTCTCGATTCCTCCGCGTCCACAATCGCGACGCGATTCCACTACGGCCTTGGTCTGCATACTCTTTCTCTGCACCAGCCTCACGCCCAATTTCCTTTTATTCTTTTCCTTTTCCCTTCTTTTGCTTTTGTTTTATATTCTATCTTTGAAATTGCCTCGACCGACCTATATACTCTATACCTCTTCCTTCCCCTCAATGCTCTATTGAGAATGATGTCTGATCCGGAGCCCTCAGTGGCCGTGGCTTCGTCCTCGCCATCTCTTCCGGCCACCGAATGCAATGCCTTGAACTACGCCTTCCTCGTTCACTCCCAAAAAACCCTCACACAAAACCTCCCTCCACGCGTCGACAACAAGCTGCTAGCTCGCCAAAAACGACGCCGAACGAGGTAAGTTCGCCATTGGTCGACCCACTCAACCCCGAAGTTGAACGCGTTGTTTTCTAACCAGCTATGGGTGATTTGATTTTAGCCCCGAGGACCACGCAATTCTAGAGACCGAATACCTGAAGGACCCAAAACCGGATAAAGTCGCTCGTGCGAATATTGTGAATCGCGTCTCGCTCGGCGAGAAAGAGGTCCAAGTACGTGATCATGATGCCAAGACCTCACCACAGCCCGCAGAAAAAAAACCTCCACACACCGTTGAACCTCGTGACTGACCCTTACAGATCTGGTTTCAAAATCGCCGCCAGAACGACCGACGGAAATCTCGACCTCTTCAGCCGCACGAACTGCTCGCTCCTCGATCGAGTATGTCTGATTCGTTGGGACATCCTTCTAGTGATGATAACGCGTCTGCGGAACATGGGTCGTCAAGTGGGGCAGAGCAAGTTGACACTCCAGACCGATCGGAGGGAACAAGGCCAAAATCGTGGGGTGGCAATCTGTTACAGTTGTCTGATGACTTGGAGCCGTTGACAAGTGAGAGGGAGGAACCTGAGCTGCCACCTCACAGCACACAAACTAGTGTGGCGACGATGGATTCTTTGGATGATACCCCGCCGACAACACAGGAGGAATTCCCCGGGGCGGACTCACAAAACAACCTGAATGAAAACACAACACTGGACGACTCACAGATACCCAAGCGGAAGCGCTCGATTTCTGAGATTCAAGATGTAGGGGCACCACAAGAAGAGCCACGCACAGATAAAATCATGTCAACACCGACAAAGTCACCACCATCACTACGGCTGTCGATGTCGTTTGATGGGGAGGCGATGGTGAGAAAGGAAGATGAGATGACACCGTCGCCGCCAAAGGGTCAGAATGCCCTACGGATTGCCATGTCGTCCGATGGCAAGGCTGTCATCCGCGCCGAGAACGAACCGTCCCCGTCCAAGAACAGAGTAGCCATGTTCTCAGCACGCCGCACAAAACTCACAGGCATGCGTCGCAGCAGCAGTGCCATCTTCCCATCCACGCCACGCGCCGGCATGGCCGAGAATGATCGCGTCTTCGGCCGATCGCGCGATCCCCGCAACTGGGAATCATTCTTCGACACAGACGCACGAAGCGCCCTATCCACCCCCGCCAGCTCCCAGACTGCTCCAAACCTCCACTCATCCCCCAGTCTCTTCCAGTCTCGCGGTCCCCGTTCCCTCACCCGCAGCGCATCAACAAGGCATAGTCTCCTCTCCGCCCACGCCGACCTCGCCCGTACGCCGATCTCACAGGCCATGGGAGAAAAGCGGCGAAAGCTCTCTCGTACCGTCTCATCCATGGGCAGGTTAGAGACCGATCGCAACCGCGTGAATTCTCAATCTAAGCTCTCCAAGCTGACGCCTTCGGCCTCAAAGTCTGGCAAGCTGGACTTCGAGCTGGATGCCGGTGACTCGGACAAAGAAAACTGGGTCCCGGGCACTCGAGCGTCTCAGAATCGTCGTCGTACAACCTCTCATGCATCCCGTCCTGCTCTGCGGGATGCAAACCGGAACCGCGGGTTAGGGCTGACAAATGGGAAACGGAACCGGCCATTTGCAGCTGGTGCGCAAGGCAAGGCTCCGCCAGAACTGAGCGCTGAAGTAACTGCTTTCATGTCCGGTGGTGGAGGGGACAGTCAAGAGGATGATCTTGACTGTGTTCAGGGGCTTCTTTCCCTCAGTCAAGGGGCATGGCGATAGCGATAGCCCCTGCCCGCGCATGAAGCGGGGAATCCTTTTCCTTCAATAAAAAGGGTCCAGGTACATACAGATGATGTATCACCTGTCAGCGTTGTCATTTAATCCTTTCTTTTCCCCGCCACGGCCATCTTCGGGGATTTTGTCTGTTTTTCTTTTTCCCTTCATGTTCCCTTTCCTTGTTTGTCTATGTCATGATTTCTGATTCGCGATGTGTGCTCGCAAGCGGTTCTTCGCCACATCTTCATCACGTGAACTCCATGATCCCTTTCTAGGACTGTTGAGTCCTACTTCTTCTTTCTGTGTATATCTGCTCCCTATCGAGTTACATACGGCTCGCTGTGCGGGATGTGGATACATTTGGCCATATAGCCCTGTCTTGGTCGCTGGTCGCTGTTGTTACGACCAACTGTGGGAGATGACTCCCGGTATAGATTTAAAACTAATCCTGGAATAAAACTTCAGTAACGATCCAATGATACAGACTGTTTTTATACTCATTTCAGCGCATGTCCACTGACATCCCATACTACTAGTGGAGACAACCAGCAGTTTCCCACTTTGACTTGAACTACCAGAGCTCACATTCTCCATTGGTACTATTTACTATTTAAAAGCATCCGCTTTATATGCACTCAACAAATACACCCATGCATCAAGTCCATCAATCCAAACGACATCCGCATCTCCAGGTAATCCAATCTACAGCTTCGCACCACCCGAAGGCAAAGAATCATCCACTCCACCAGAAACCCCAACACACCTCAACCCCCTCCTCTCGCAAACCTGCCCAGCAACCCTCTCACCACTCCAATAAGCACCAGTAGTAGTACCCAGCGCCACAAAAGGCGCAGTATGCTCACCAGCAAACCACAGGCCCCGCTCCGGCCCCGCACCCGCCCCAGCGCGCAAAGCCTCAATATCCCGATCGCCCTGCTCAAGCCCAACCTGGAAATTGGAGTAAGATCCATACCCGGCGTACGGATCTGCCTGCCAGCGCGTAGCCAGAATAGTACTGGGGACGCAATCGGGCGACGAGGCGTCGTAACCCGGTAGCTTGGAGTAGAAGGGCTGAAGAGTCTTCATTAGTGTTTCTTTGTATTCTTTTGAAGCGGGGTCGAGCAAGGCGATGCTTTGCACTATTTCTGCGCCGCCGGGGCCGTAGGTGTAGAATAGGAGGGTTGGGTGGGCGCAGGGCGAGGGGAAGGAGGCCATTGAGAGGCATTCTTGGTTCCATTCTAGATGGGGCGGGTGCTCTGCGTAGGAGGGGTCGAGGAATTGGGTGAAGGTTGGGTTTGTGGGGAGGGTTGAGTCGGTGGGGTTGCTTGTGTTGCTGCTGCTGTTGCTGGGGTCTGTTTGCCAGAAGGCGCGGGGGAATTTCACGAAGATTTTCTCCAGGCGGCCGACGGAGAGGCTTTCGATTGCTTTTGTGAGGCGGGGTGGGAGGGCTGGTGTGAAGGCTTCTGTGTTGTGCTTTAGCCAGCCGAGGGGGCAGGTGATTACCAGGTCGTCGAAGGTGAAGCGGGCTCCTGTGGCTGTTGTCACGGTTACTTGGTGCTGGTTAATTGCTGTGTCGTGCTTGCGAGGCGGGGCTTCGATTTTGACGACGGGGTGGTTCAGTTTGATGTCGGCGTGGGACTGGGCTTTCTTGGCCACTTGCTCTAGGATGCGCTTGTGGGTGCCCGCTACGAAGTAGTTATCTGTGGGTTGCGACGTTGTTAGAATGTTTCAGTTCACAAGCCACGACATACCTACTAAGTAGTAATTGTCTCGTGGATATGCGTTATAAAGATGGGAAACTTACATCCGTCAATGCATTCTTCCAGACGGAAGAATCTCAAGCTTTGTCTCTCGATAGGCTCGCCTACATAGGCACCCCAGAGCTTGCATGTATCCAAAACCATCTGCTCTTCCTCCTTGGAGAAGGAAGCCTCCCGCAGCTTCATTAAGAAGAAATCATACAGACTTTCTTCGGGCCGGATGCTCTCTCCGCGCTCATTGCTGTATGTGAAGGCATCGGCGATGGTCTTCCACACGAATTCGGTGATCTTGGTTCCAAGTTCCTCACTGACATACTTGCCATCGCGAGAAACAAGGAAATTTCCTCCCTGGGGGTCCCAAGTGACAGTCTGGGTCTCCCGAGCCATTGTCATGATGGGGTTCTCGCCCTGGCCATGGATCCAGTTTGCTCCCCTGTGATATAGGTTAGTCTACATCCATAGTAGGAATAGGACATGAATTGGTCCATATCAATTGCAGATATGAAGCAGTAAGAAATCTTCAGTCTAGATATGCACTTACATATCCACTGTATGACCTTCCAACACATCTTGATACACCTTTCAAAGTAGCACAGAGATTAGCTCGAGGGGTCCCAAATACAAATCCAGAACATTGAGCATTGAAGCATTCGATCAAATTCCACAAAACAGCAAGCAAAAAACAGATCAATAACATACCCTCCCACCAATGCGATCCCTAGCTTCTAGAATGGTGACCTTTGCCCCATTTTGAATGAGGAGATCAGCGCAGCGCAGACCCGCAAAGCCGGCACCAATGATACCAACATGCGGCCGGGAGCTCATGATTGCGGAACGAGAAGAGAAGAGTCGAGTAGATGGGGGTATTCGGCAAACGCACTGAATTGTTGCCCTGAACATGAATTGAAAAAGAATAGAAAAAGCCAGCAGGTCGAAATCGAAGCTGTGATGAAGTTTGCGCGGTATTGCGCTGGTAGGAGCGGGACCGGAGATAGCGGGTGATTGGCTGTCATTGATGTATGGACCGCTTGGACCTACTGCATGGGGTAGAGGCGGAGGGTAGAGGCGGATAGTAACTGGAGTTGATGGGTACGTGTAGTATGAACGTATGTTGACTTCGGAGATATCGAACATGCACCAAGTAGCTAAATGAAAACATCTACTTGCTGCTTTAGCGACCGAATTAGTTGCCGTGATGCGGGTTCTAGTCCGCTTTTTCTTCAGGGTCTGTGGTTCCAAGGTTACTACCCAGGTGGGCTGTTTGTCATGTGTGTGGAGCTCTTTCTAGGCTGAACTCTGGAGTATGTAAAGTTCACGATACTTGATACGAGAACCATTCCTCTACGTGATCGATCGATTTTGGCCGGAAATTGACCCTTTCATTCCATTGTGAGGCTAGCCGAAGACCAGAAGCATAATGCAGATGAGGACTCTTGAGTGAGATGCCCCGAGACCATGGTATTGAGCAAAGATAACAAAAAGAACTAAAAAATCAAATGGTACACCCAGAGACAAAAACAATTATGCTCAGCATAATAGATGAAGAATTCATGCGCCTAGTCACCGAGGAAAGCATAACAAGGGGAAATAAACACCGAGAAGGCAAAGCACCCTTAAAACTCCTTTTGGTGTGATGATATCGCGGAAAGATGAGAGAAATAAGAGGCAACCGAATATGTACGTGTCGGATACAATGGGAAGGGTATCAAATAATGTCGAGGAAAGCGGGGCGAAAAAGCAGCTCGACACAGCTCGAGATTACCCGTGGAGATCAACTCCAGAGGAATAAAACAGGCTTGTCGAGAGGGAGAGTTGTGGGATCGCAAACGCAAGGTATTAACGTGCTGCGGGTGATTCGGATCGTCCGGTCTTCAGGCCAGGACGAACAATGAATCATAGTATTGGCGATAAGGGCAAGCTCGTTAATCTTCCCAAATAGTCTCGAGGTTGAGATCTTGCCGGCGCTCTGCGCCACAGACACTCCATCGCTTGCGACCACCGCGGGGGGTATTGAACGAGTTAGACGAGCTAGCTGTGTCGGGAATACCACGTCGTCGGTTCAAGGTGTTGTTGCTCGCGGCATCATCCGCATCGGCCGCAGCCTTGAGCTCCGCGATCCGATCCTCTTCCAGGGCTTCAGCCTCAGCGTCGGGAATATCAGGGATAGTTTCCAGAGAAGAAATGCTGGGACTGCGAGAGCGAAGGCTGGTCGGGGTTGACGGGACGGACGAAGAGGAGGAAGCGGAAAGGCCGGGATATGATTCGTTGTATTTTCCGGTGAGGGTGGGGGAGGTATGGATGGCGGGCGGGCTGTTGATGGGATTTTGAAAATGAAGAGGGGAAGTTGAGCGCATGCGACCGATGCGGGGGAAAGTCTGCGGCATCAGGACGGGGGAGTTGCCCGACTGTGAGGGGGATTTGGGCACCGTCTCCAGCTCGGCATTTTCAGAGATGGTCTCGGAGATGTTAAGCGAACCCAGCCGGGTCTCGATGTGATCGTCCATGCGCGTCTGCAGGGGCACGCGCTTTGCATCGACAGATGAGGTGGGCATCCCGCGGCCGTTGACGAAGATATATCTTCCCCGAGAGTCCAGCCCTGGGGAGGAATATGCGCGCGTCATGGATGGCATGCCGGGGATTCCCACCAGTGACCGAGAGCGCAGGTGCGATCGGGCCAAAGGGGATCGGGTCCGGGAAGGTGCCAATGGTTCGGGAGAGAGAGACATCGAGATCATGACGTCTTCCTTTCCCACCCGTTCCAAAGAGACGTCAGAGTTATCTTTATTGGGATCGTTAGAGTCGGAATGAGGAGCGCGCATGGTCTCTGGTCGTTGCGATTCTTCCATGTCGATCAAAAAAATTGAAGAAAAGGGGGGGGGGATGCGGAGGAAGATGAAAAAAGGTGAATCACGGGCGCATCATATCAAGGGAAACAAAAAGAAATCTTGGGCCGGCCAAGCTTCAGAATATGCGAGCCGAGGTTTGTTGAGAAATAAGGTGGGAAGCAAAGGGAAGGGAGAAGAAGAAAAAGAGAAATAGAGAGAGAAAAAAAAGATGCTAAGACTTTGAGGCGAAGGGCAGGACCGGTCCAGACCACGGGAACCCTGAACACGCATCGGCTTTGATACTTTTGATTCGATGACTCTGTTCCTGTTACAATGGTTTTGTTTTAATACTTTAACAAATTAAGTAGGAACATTCAAGAGTTCCAGGGTGAATATTGATATTCATACTTTAAGATCTGGTGAATGGCGGAGAGCTACGGGAGGTTTCATCGGTTCATCACGGAGATAAGTCACACCCCTCACTCCACCAATCGATAGAAGCCACCGGTGTTTATCTGAACGTCGTGGCACTTGAGTATGAGTTTAAGCTTAACATAAGACATACATGTAGCATGTATGGTTCACCTGTAATGTTCAATTTGGTACATCTAATAAACCTAATGAACTTACCATAAAGAACTTGCATTAGCCTTTGATTTATATGGATCTTAGAGTTTTTTTCTTTCAAAATCTTCTAGATCAAACGCGACTCTAGAATTAGAAATACTTACACATGAACCATGAGCTTTTATCTGCATGACGCCATATATGAAGTTCTATAAGACATGAGCCATATACGGCAACTCGATATCTAAGTATAGAAATGTGCGGTGTATGGAGCCTTGGAAAACGGGCGTTGATCGGTAAGCCTGCACCTTCTCTACCACGTTCTTCTCGGCATGACCGGGTGCATTTAAGCGTGATAAAGTCTGGACTCCCACATTTCACTTGCCAATTCACTCAGATCATTAAAAAAAGACATGTATGTCAACACAGTACTTATCAGATAATGGAAGCCTACCCTCACCTTCCTTTATAGGCAATTTTATTTATATGAGCCATTTCTTAAAGCTTGTCCAAAAGACCCTAGAATCGGGTACTAGAGTCCCCACCAAAGACTAGTGTCCGTGGTGGGGGACTCAACTTGAGAACTGTGTCAACATGAGACATGATTGTTACTCGTTACCCGATAATCACGCACCTTGGTGCCTGGGGCTTTCCACAATTCTTCTCGTTACATACATGAAGTGGCACTAGTAACTAAGTCGGAGCCGAGTAATGGAAATTGACTGTCGCTTAGGCAAGATAATCAACATGTGATTTTGATCTGGGCTACAGGAATCTAGATGGCTCCAGGTGGTTCTAGATGTAATAAACAGTAACATTTTGAAACATGTTACATACTGAGACTGAATATTATACCGAGGATAAGGTAGTAGATTAATGAATAGTTAAGACAAAGATAAAAGAGACTAGAAGAAAAAGAAGGGACTGGAAATTAAGGGGAATCCAAAGAAATAAAAAATGAAAGAAGGCAAGGAGGAAAAGATCATCAGATCATTAGATCATCAGTGGGCATGTTCGTGCTCATGCTGGTGCTGAAGTTGCTGCACCAATAGATCCTTGCACTTGGTAGCTTGGTCTTTCCGCACATATGTCTCACGTACACCATCGCCCTCATTCTTAGGACCTCCCACTCTCCCATACCGAGATAAGTAGGAGCAATCTTGACGCCGCGTCCACCACCGCCCACAATAATATTACCAGGGCGGTAGTTAGGGTCAGCCTGCATTCTTCAATAGCAGAAACGTGAATCTCGGCATCCAGTGGCACATCGCGGACCTCACCACGCGGCAACGGCCAACGAATAGGTTTCCACGACCCATCAGCCTGGAGATCCATCCGACGGAAAGGCAACCACTCCATGATTCGCCAAGAAATAACAAGATGGTTGGTAGGCCCTGCTTGAACTCGAGACAATCGTGCTTGGGACCCTTCGTGCTGGACGTGTGCAGTGCATGCCAGAAGTCACGGCTAGCAGCGCTCCGCTGCTTCTCATCAGGACCAACGCGGTAGGCATCGGGATCGTCCTCTGAGAACCCACCGTACGACTGATACGGCTGCCACGGCGGTTGCCAAGGGTTTCCTGGATGGGAGTGTAGTCGCCGTCGTACTCTTCCAGACACTGGAACTGCTTCATCTTGCGCTCGTCGAGTTCCAGACCGGCCTTTTGGGCTTCCTGGACCATCCAGACCAATGGGGCGTGACTCAAGGCCCACAGCTCGCCACCCTCGAGTTTCCATCCTCCACCAATATCGGCGTGGCATCCTGGGAACCAGACCTCGTGAATGTCCTGCTCCTCGTCGTCACTCTCATCATCACCGGCAATGCTGGGGACCTGGATTGAGAGGTTTCCAGATTGACCGCTACGAATTGATGTGAGATCATCACAGGAGGCATTTCCGTTGGGAACGGTCAGTCCAAGCGTGGGATTTGGGGATTGTCCGCGGTTTGGAGACGGTGCGCGGTATCGATGAGGCTTCTCTCCAGCATTGTTCTCACTTCCCTGGTTTGAGGAACCGGCACGAAGGTGGTGAGGGTGATAGTAGGATTCGCCTGGATTGGGACCCCATCCGGGGTTCTCGAAGGTGGGTAATGGAGCGGGCGGTTTTTCATTTTGAGGACTTGCGGAATCATCATTCAAACGAATAGCGGGGACTTCGTCTGGGTGGGCATCATGAGGTTGTTGAGATTGCTGAGACTGCTTCTGTTGCTGTTTGCGCGAACCATCCTGGCGGTGCATATGCAAATGGTCGAAATGGGAGTAGGAAGGTGGTGTCGGTGGTGCTTGTGCTTCTTTTCTTTCGGGCGCTTTCCAGAGATCAGATCCTGACGGAACTTGGCACGTCGCTCATCAATACCGACTGCGTGACGGATGACACTAGCAGAGCTGCGTGCCGTATAGGGAACTTGCTGCGCTGCATCCAAGCATTCTCGAAACGTGAACACTGTTTACGGTATCGAAAAGTCCCATGAACTTGATGCGAGTGATCGGACGACTGAAGGTCTCGCGGAAAGCCTTCATATACTCAAAAAGTTTCTTCTTCTCGTCTTGGTCCTCTTCCGAATCGCCTTGGCGTTGCTGCCACTTCGCAAAAGTCTTCCAAGCAAACCGGATCAATTCCTCGTTACCGGCTTCAAGCAGACCGATATAGTCGAGCATCTCGGCCAAAACGAGCAATATATGAACCTCGACTAAAACCAATGAAGAAGATCTCGTCACCGGAGAATAGTAACGCATCAAGAACTTGTACCCGCCCATCACATGCTCGTAAAAGGAGAGCCAATGGCAGAATCCTTCGCCTTTTCATACCATGATCTAATGCGCTGAATGCGACCATGACTGGAGAGTGATTTCGTTGTCACATAGGTACCGATACCGGTTGGTAGTAATGGTACTGGTGCGGTTTACTGCGATCCAACATCTGTTGGGGAATTTCGATTAGCAGGCATATTTACACGATGATGCCTTTTAACTTCCGACAATGGAGAGGGAACATACACGGAAAATTTTCAAGACATTACTATCCGATTCATCACCAGCAAACTTGTTGCCCGTTCCATCGAAACAGAGCACAAACTGCTTTGGCGTCGCGGAAGAGGCTACGTGATGAGCCATGATCGCGGGAGACGTATAATCCCGACAAGTGTGGCTTTCACGGGAACTATAAATGGAGGGGGAGGGACTGGGGGTTTTTACGAGGAGAAGCTGCAGCTTTTAGAGGGGCGTAATTACCATGAATCAGAGCCAAGGCGGCATCGGGGGTTGGATAAGAATGCTCCAAGCGTGTGTCGCACCCACTCACACACTGAGGATGATCCCTGCAGTCCGAGATACGTCAGGTTCAACTGGATGTGGAGACGGCATTGGCGTATTCCGATTATGGATCCCATATCCATTTGCTGGGACCTTTCTTGTATTTTTTAACTTTTTGGGATAATTGTTTTTTCCCACCTGGTGACTCGACCGCGATGCACGCAAAAGAGAAACAACTTTCCGAGAAACAGGGCAAACAAGGCTGACCCAAAGGTAGCTCATGTTGCACACAAACAGCGCTATGCATTCGAATTAACGTGGGGGCAAGGTCCAGCCAATCACTTTGTTGCCTCGGATCGCATTGCTCTTGTTTTGATCTGGGCTGAACTGTACTCCTAGTGGGGATTACACCAAGGCCAGGGCGCTCTGGGAGGGAAAAAAACACCCGCGATTCAAAAATACCAGTCCAAAAAAAACACAGAAATTCAAATCTTCAGACCGTGCAAATCGAGACACTAAGGAACATCAATGGAGACTCAAAGCTCCACGATGGCAACGGGGTTGGACCTATGAGAGCTTCGATGCGGCAAGCAGATACAGATGAGATTGGTGGTTCGGGAGATTATTGTCGATCTTCCCCCATACTGCACCGAGTATCCCCTTGCCCATGGATCTGTGCAAAAATAAGGGGTTTGAAAGAAAAAGTAAAAGAGGGGGCGTTCATCTGTATTTTTGCTCCTTTTTCGCTCTGATCGAGACTTTCGCCGCCACTACGCCTAAAGTGTCACTTTTTCCACATCATGGCCCGCCCGGGATCCACCTGTCTGCCGTCATCTGAAGATTCCTTAAGGATTGAATGAAAGATGCGGACCTGAAAGTTACCATGTGGAAGTACGGCTGAAGGGAAATCCAGGTTTTTATTTTTATTTTATTTTTATTATTATTTTTCTCTATTTTTTTTTGGTGGAACCGGATCACCTCACAGACAAAACTTTCGACGCCTGAGAGTTTCAGACCCATTACTTTTCAGCATAATACGGGCGAAAACAATCACATGGAATTGAAATGATACCTTTTCCAAGGAATAAATCGATTCATAATTCCAAGGTTCATATTGTTCATTGTTCACAACCGTGCCAAAGCCCCGGGAAGGGCCGCGTTCCCCGGACCTGCCATATCCGACCCGTGGTTTTAGTGCTGTCCAGCCTGCAGAACCAGGGTCTTGATCAAAGAAAAAACCTTACAATCTTTTTGAAAATGGCCTTGACACTGCAGAGATCTCGAAGAATCTCCAATACCTTCTTTTTTGTCCTTGATGCCTAGTGTGCATCTTTCCCACGAGGTTCGAAAGTTGGATTGTGCGACGAAGCTAAGGGAAGGAAGTGGGGGAAAGTCACGATGCATCCGATTCTCTGATAAATTTCTGATGATGACTGGCAGATTCGTCCGCCAATGACCAGGGGCGCAATGAGGTTCGTGCTACCATTCATGCTTCTTGGGAGACGCTAGAGCCCATAGTGGGAGAACATGTGGGTCCGGACCGCTGATCCATCTCATTATGAGAAAAACAAAAAAACAAAACATGACAAAAGAAGACGAATGACAAGATAACAGAGCAGCTGCATCAAACAAAAAACCGTGAGGCTGCATCCAGTTTGCTGAAGGTTGGGAGACGCATCCCTTGCATCGGGTCCCTAACCGCCAAATCATGGGGGTGTATGACGGTTACTGCTATACAACCCTAAACCCATAATACTAGTACAGTAGTTATGGTTCAGCTCGTCTTCAAAATAACCAAAAAACCGGTTGCTATGGGATAGTCCTCCCAGCCAGCCACGCAGGGACGAAGTTTTCCGATCGGGACGTCAAGCGCAAACTTACAAGTTTACTTTACCACCCCACTTAGCGTTGCTTTCACCCATTTGGCTGGATCTATACAGTGTTAATGTGGGGCCTCATGACTCCACGACTCCGAGATTCGGTTCATCTCGTCTCGTCTCCGTACGAAGTACACCGCTACTGTGTAATTTGACCCCCTTCCATTGGTCTCGTTTCTTGTATTAAAAAAGAAAATTAAGAAAGAAAAATTTACTTCAAGGAGCACGACACCGAAAACAACTCTTCTCAGAGCACATGACGTCGCAAGAGAGCTGAGCTGAGCTCGTCTCTATGGTGATGGTGTACTCATAAGGATTTTCCTTGTCTTTTTGGGTGACGTGCCGTGTTCAATGGCTCTGGCCCACCCCCTTTTCTAAACAATCTTTACACTCTCCACTAGAGGGGACACCAGGGTGATCAATTACTGGGTTCAGCCGTTCGTCATCGCAAGAGACATGTTTGTAGTGGGGACAATTCAGCAGCTGGACCTCAAGCTCGTCCCACGCGGGGCCACCGAGCTGATTGGCTATGGGGCTCCTACGAGCCACAGCCTCCGGGCAGATCGAGGCTAGTGCTCACTGAACCTGTCTATCCCCAATCAGATCTGCTTATGACAGTCAATCAACTATTGGCGATAACAAATCCGCCACTTATGGATGCTCCACAGTCTTGCAGCTGCGGTGACCTAGGTCGCCCGCACAGCTCGTTTTTAAATCCGAAAGCGCGCGGACTCTGCTTTATTACCTTCCCCTCCCCCTGATTCAGCTCGTAGCTTAACATTTTTTTATTATTTTTATCTTAATTTTTTATTTTTCTTTCTCCCATTGAGTGACCTGTCTGTGTGAGCCTCAGACTACCATCACTATGTTGCGGAGAATCTCTACACAGTTCAAGCGGAACAAGGACGGCAATGGCGACACCGAGCCCAAGGCTGAGAAGCAAAACAAGCGCTTCTCCAAGGTCTCGCCTACGCGCAAGTCTTCTGCCAAGGAGGAGCCCGCCGAGGTTCACCAGGTGAAGCGCGCCGAGGTTGTCGCGGTGTTCGAGAAGTATGCACAGGCTATTCACGCTTCGCGCGAACCTTTGCCCAACCAAACTGGCGATGGCACATACCTTAAGCACGACCAGTCCAGTGGACTCATTGATGACATTAAGACCCTCGGTTTCCGCGATGTCAACACCGTCAAGGATTTGATTGCGAACAAGGCTTCCGGTGAATTGATTGACGACAAGACCTACCTTATGGAGCGCATTATTCAGGTACGAGAAAAGAACCATCGTTTGGAATTGAACTGTGGGAGATTCAGTAAAGAGAAATTGCGAACTAACAATTATTTGAATTGCAGCTTGTCGCAGACCTGCCCGGCCACTCTCCCAGACGTGTCGAGCTCACTAACACATTCCTTGACGAGCTGTGGACCTCTTTGCCGCATCCCCCACTCTCGTAACATCCCTCAATTGCACCACCATTTTCAAGGAGAAATTTTGCAACTAACAAAACACAATAGTTACATGGGTGATGATTACAAGTACCGCACTGCTGATGGTTCCAACAACAACCCCACACTCCCTTGGTTGGGTGCCGCCAACACCCCCTACTGCCGCACCATTCCTCCTCTTGCAATCCAGCCCAGTGGGTTGCCTGATGCCGGTTTGGTCTTCGACAGCTTGTTCGCTCGTCAGGAATTCACTCCCCACCCTAACAGGTGTCCAGTATGTTCTTCAACTGGGCATCTCTGGTTATTCACGGTAAGCAAAACAACGCTCCCAACCTAGAAAAAAAAACCACTAGCAATTGCGAAGCCAACGGAAGTACTAATGGTTGAATAGACATTTTCCAGACCGACTACCGTCAACCACACCTGAACAAGACCTCCGCTTACCTAGATCTCTCTATTCTTATGGTGATGTCAAGGAACAGCAGGATCAAATCCGTTCCCACAAGGACGGTAAGCTCAAGCCTGATTGCTTCTCCGAAGGTCGCCTGCAGGCCCTTCCTCCTGCTTGTGGTGTCTTGCTGGTTATGCTTAACCGATTCCACAACCACGTTGTGGAGCAGCTGGCCGAGGTGAACGAGGCAGGGCGCTTTCTAAGCCTACACCTAACCCTAGACTCTCTGAGGACGATCTCGAGAAGGCTTGGGTCGAGTACGACGAGGACCTGTTCCAGACTGGTCGTCTTATTACTTGCGGTCTGTATATTAACATTACTCTGTACGATTACTTGCGTACAATTGTCAACCTGAACCGCACCAACTCTACTTGGTGTCTGGATCCCGTGCCCAGATGGAGAAGGCGGGTGCCACTCCCTCCGGCCTGGGTAACCAGTGCTCCGTTGAGTTAACTTGGCCTACCGCTGGCACTCTGCCATCGCCGCTGGCGATGAGAAGTGGATCGATCAGGTCTACTTTGACCTCATGGGCAAGCCCGCTGACCAGGTTACCATGCCCGAGCTGCTGATGGGCATGAAGAAGGTTGAGAACATGCTTGATGCTGACCCTTCCAAGCGTGAGTTTGCTCACCTGAAGCGTGAGAGGATGGCAAGTTCAACGATGAAGAGCTTGTTGCCATCCTGAAGTCTGCCACTGAGGATGTTGCCGGCAGCTTCGGACCTCGCAACGTTCACAAGGCTCTGCGTTCCATTGAGATTCTCGGTATGGAGGCTGCCCGTCGCTGGCAGGTTGGTTCCCTCAACAAGTTCCGTAAGCACTTCGGCCTGAAGACCTACGATCTTTCGAGGAGATCAACTCTACCCCGAGATCGCCAACACTCTCGTCATCTGTACGAGCACCCTGACTTCGTCGAGCTGTACCCCGGTATTGTCTCCGAGGAGGCCGAGAAGCCCATGGTTCCTGGTGTCGGTATTGCCCCTACCTACACTGTCTCGCGTGCTGTCCTGTCCGATGCCGTGGCTCTTGTCCGTGGTGACCGGCACTACACCATTGATTACAACCCTCGCAACCTGACCAACTGGGGTTACAACAAGTGCCGTTATGACCTGAACATAACCAGGGTTGTGTCTTCTACAAGCTGGCTACCCGTGCTTTCCCCAACTGGTAAAGCCCGACTCCATCTACGCTCACTACCCCATGACTATCCCTAGCGGAACCAGTTATAATGAAGGACCTCGGCCGTGAGCAGGATTACTCTTTGGGACACTCCTGCCTTCACTCCTTCTCGTATCAACTTGACCTCTCACGAGTCTGCCAAGCTCGTTATGGGCAACCAGGCAGACTTCGAGCCCTCTTTCAGTACCGCTTTGCAGGAGCTTTTCGGCAAGGGCGAGTTCGATACCAAGCAGCAGCAAGCTCTGAGCCAGGCTCTCAGCAAAGAAGAGTTCCCCAAGCTCATCAAGCAATTCTACGAGGAGACCACTCTGCACCTCATCCAGCAGAACGGTGCCAAGCTTGCCAACATCAACCAGGTTGATATCACCCGCGATGTGGGTAACTCCCCCACGTCTACTTCGCCTCTGCTCTCTTCGGCCTGCCCTGAAGACCGAGGAGAACCCCGCCGGTCTCTTCACCGAGCACGAGATGTACATGATCCTCACCACCATCTTCGCTGCGCCTCTTCGATGTAGATGCCCCCAAGTCGTTCTCTCTGCAGCGTGCCGCCACCGCCGTTGCCGAGCAGCTCGGTGTCTTGTTTCGTCCACCGTCGAGGCCGACAGCGACACCGGCCTGCTGTCCGGTCTCATGAACAACTTCACCCCCCACGATAACGCTCTCCGTGAGTTCGGTACCGCCGCCCTCCGCAACCTGCAGGAGTCCGGTCTTACCTCTTCCGAGATCACCTGGTCGCAGATCATCCCTACCCTGGTTTCCCTCGTCCCCAGACCAGGGTTGAGTCTCTCACCCAGGTCGTCGAGTACTACACCAGCGAGGCCGGCAGGAAGCACTGGGCCAGGATCACTCGTCTCGCCAAGGAGGATTCCGCCGCGGACGACGAGCAGCTCTACCGCTACTCCCTGGAGGCCATCCGTATCAACGGAACCTTTCAGATGCCTGCGCCAAGGCCCAGACGCCATTCACCGTCGAAGACAATGGCAAGACCGTCAGATCCTGCCCGGCAACATGGTCTTCGCTTCCTTCGTCGAGGCCAACCACGATGCCAGCGCCTTCCCGACCCGAGAAGTCAAGCTCGACCGTCCCCTCGACTCCCTACATCACCCACGGCCGGGGCCCCAACACCGGCTTCGGTCAGGAGATCACCAAGATTGCCCTTGTTGCCATGCTCCGTGTCGTCGGTCGTCTGGAGAACCTCCGCCGCGCCCGCGGTGGCGGGCCAGCTGAGAAGATCAAGCAGGATGGTGGCTACTACGTCTACCTGCGCCAGGATGGCACTTCTTACTTCCCCTTCCCTATGAGTAAGTCATATATGCCCAAATTTTTTATTTTCTGAATAAATGCTAACGAATTCTATTCTTAAGCTCTCAAGCTCCACTGGGACGGCGACTTCAGTTCGAGCAGAAGAAGAACTAAGCTCCCTCAGCCAAAAGCATCTTGCCCGTTTTTTTTTAATACGAACACTTGTGTTCCCGGGCTTGGAATAATGTGTGGTCCTTCAATGTGGGCGGCCATGGTTAACGTTTTGAGTTTTTGTTTTGAGGACATGTTTGTTCTCCAGGATATCCAGAATTTGTGCTTCTCATCATGGAACTTTGTTTCCTACCATGTATTGTTCGATGATGACACTTTATATATGATGATACTTTTATCTCTGTCACTGCATTTCAACCTCAGGCTGTAATTAAATACGTCCGTACTCCATAGTGTCAACCTCAGGTAAGGTCCAGACTGACCCGTAACATTTGAAGGCATTGAGTGCAAGTGCCTAGGTAGAACCTTGAATATGCAGTGAACATTAAACATTGAAAGTGGTACGCATGGGCAGTTGATGGCAATTAAATATGGCAATGGTGGCAATGGTCCCATTTCGGTTCATTTAATAGGAATCTCAATGCCTGAGGCTGGCACAAGCTACACATTTCTTCCACATGTCATGCAATCAACTGGAAAAGACATGACAAAAAAGAGCACAGAGAAACCGACTACAATTGGCGAAAGACCGATGATGAGACCAATATCAGTTATTTCAATTCATATATCGATGATATTCTATATATTGAGAGCCATGGTCCGTCTCCGTCAGTGACCCCAATTCTTCATATAAGATGGTCTAAATATACCACATGGCCAAGGCTCCTGCAAATGTTCTAGCCTCACTGCGGAGTGAACTGAGACTGAGTTCGGGCTGTTCAGCCGGGAATTGGCACGCTGGTCCAGCGATTTTGAACGCTGCATGTCATCAAGGTCCTATTTGGAAAGTTGAGTTACAGTGAAGCCTGGTTTAAAAGTGAAGTTATTGAAAACAGTTCTATTGTGAAGGAATATGTCGTTTTGAAGATAACGCCAGAAATGAGCAGCAGCTTCCATATGATGGTAATGGCAATTAATGCGATCTTGCAATCAAATGGTGATGGCCATGAGATGAATCAAGCCGACAGTCAGGGCTATAAAATTGCTGTACAAGAAGGTAAAATATTGAGACCCAACGAACCAACAGAAAGCACATTGCATAAAGCTAAAACGTAAGAATATTGCACCACTAAGCGATTGTCGCGTGTGATTGGCGGGTACGGTGCGAAGAAGAAGCGATGCTGAGTAACCGAAGCTCATTGATTGATCTCAGCCGCTTGCGGCTGGGATTCATTGAAAACCTGTCCTTCGCTCACGCCGATTTCGGAAAAAAGAGAGCGCCCTTCCGCGCGCGCAGACGCCCGTGTATGGCGGATCGTGTGGGGCGGTCACTGCGGCTCACATTGTTGGGGCTCGGAGCACTGCTGTGAGCAGCGTGGCGAAAGAGTTGCCGATTATGGAGAATTTGTGCGGGGCTGGCGAAGCGATGGTGGTAATGACGCTGTATGGGCAGGAACGAGTGAAAGGATTCGAAGATAGCCACTGGAATATTGGCTGACTGTTGAGTTTTTCCGATCATGAGCGAGACATTGATCAGTTTGAAATCGGGGAAAAATCGATTTGTAATGGAAGGAATGGTACAGAAGAAGTTTGTAGAGAAATGCATGGAACAAAGGAGCTCATATGGTACATGGATCGTGCACTTTTGTGTGATTGCTATTCCTATTGGCAGCAACGCGGCTGAGCATGCGAGTCATTGAGCAACCCAAACGTGTTCGCACGACTTCTTATGTGAAATCCTCGAGGCTTTAGTGGAACTAAAGCTGAGCTTGCGGAAGTATCGACCATATTGTAAATTGATCCTGCAGTTGAAGCACTTCAATATTGATACCTGCTATGTCAGGCAAATACAGCACCACTTGTCCTCCTGGAAATCAGTGCTTTCGTCTCGGCCTGACGAGATCTCGCACCTATGTCTTCGTTTGGTCTCCCGCGTGTGTTGGTGAAGCCGGAGCCACTGAGACAAGAGCTGGGTCTCAGATGTTCTCAGAGGAGGGAGACTGCTGCCCATTGAATGCAGCAAATGAGTGAGTGAAGGCAAGTCTCCCATGGAGTAGCAAAACACATGAATGCATTGCCATATGAATCAAGATTTGACATCACATGAATCGACCATAATGATGCCTGGTGTATGTGGCACAAGAGAAACCTGCCCGTTGCCTAGGTGAATGAGGAGAAAAATAGTGTCACAATGGGCAACCAACTTCATTGACAGCCACTGCATTTGATGAAGCGCTCGTAAACCTCCTTGAAGGGCATCGCCAACAGCAACGCCAACACGATAAGCAAATGAAAATGGAAAAGATGCATTGATGAAGAAGATGGAAGAGACACGTTTGATGGTTTGAACTGAAGGAAGGTAACGCTAAATGGAAGCCATGAGAGTTGAGATGAGGCCACTTGGTGCCAAGATCAACACAATGCACTTCTTCGAGCTAAGTTTTTCTTTGGCACTGTGAGTTGGCCTATGATGAAGTTATTGAAGTTCGAGCTCATTAACTCGCTTGAATCCATGCTCTAAAGTGATATGAGAAAATTGATTGCATTGATAAGGTCGTTACAGCGACAGATGAAGAAATTTTGACAACTCTAAAGCAGTCCATCTTAAGGTCTGGTGTAACGAAGTGATTATTGCTAACAGTACTCTTGGGCCAAAGTTCGTGTAATTCTTGGAAGGAGTTGAAAGTTTATGCTTCATAGAAAGATGGGTATAATGATTGAACCAACCACGTCTCCGATTCTGTAAAGTTTCATTCAAAACAAGCCGCGACCTCTGTCGTAAAGTGGTTAATTAACGTGGATTCTTGTCCATTGATTGTATTTGTTGGGCTGTTGTCTCATTCCATCACACCTTGGACAGTGATAATGCAAAGCAACAATTTTCAGTTCAGCCCATTCAAATGTGCAAAGTCGCAAAAACAGTATGCAACCATCGTCAATGGCAAATGTTGATGTGACAATGCACATGTGCCTGAACACAGTGGTAGCAGCCAGCAACGTCACGGCAATTACACTTGAATGGTCAGCCGACCCATTCTCGACAGCCAAAGACAACGTAATCAGCAGCATGTCCATGATGTGCTCGCCACCTGCCGACGCCTGAACAGCACCCGTAACAGTGCAGTAATTGATTACATGATACCATTGGTGTTAAAGAAGCTGATTTGCACATCAGCAGTTACACATTGTGACATCGTCACATTCTACCTTGAAGTGATAATAGTTCACTGAAATGAGACCTGAAGAGCCGCATAGTGAAAATGATGCATATGCTAGCACAAGCATTGAGACAATGGGGAGCTATGGCCATACGTTGAAGGATTTGCGGTCGTTTGGAGGTGCAGTTGTTCCACCTTGAGCATGGTGGTCCTCAGCTGGTATTGTGAAGGACGACCGGCACGCATTGTTGCAAGAGTTGATGAAGGCTTGAGTGAAGGACGAGGCGTATTTGAAGAAGTTGTGACTTGTGAATGCAGTGATTTATTTATTGTTATATTGATTTGCTGGATTTGATAGTACTTGTCTTTTTGCTGATTAACACTTCGTGTCATTGGTTCATGGTGTGACTATTTCTTGAATGATGGTGGATGGAAGGAAGAAAGATGGTGAGAAACAGCGGGAAACCGTAGTGCAGTTGGTGTTACATGTTTTGCGTTATGGCAGCTACTAGCCTGGGAACCATATTGAAGATAAAATCTTAAAAAGCCATATATCATTGCCATTTGCATAATATCACTTGAAAGATGTTACAATGAAGCGAAGTAATGTTTGTTTATCGTCATCTCATCAGACGTGACTATTCGCGTACTTGAGTCAATTGGTATAGAGTTCTTATCATTCCATTGATCGTCCAATATACCGAACAGCCATTAAGTATGGTTCATATGCAAGCATTGTTCAGCTATAGTGCGCGCATCGCGAAAACGCACCACTTATTATGGTGCATAAAGTTCACTCAAACACCTAACGGCTAAATGTGGAGAGAGCGATGATCGCTTGAAGAAGCAAAACGATTTATGAAGCTCGTTCATATATGAATGATTTGATGAGTATGTTCTCATGATTATTGGCATGAATGAGCCATGAACGTGCTCCAGCGTGGCCACAATTCAAAAGCTTGAAGGCTGCTACCATCATTAGGCATTGACAAAACGATTGTTGGCTGTTGGTACAATTCACGACGTTCTCGACCTTTGAGAATGAAAATGATATGCAGATGTACTTCATTGATTTTGAGATCATTGATAATGCTGCTATGCAAGAAGTTGCCTGTTACCCTTCTGAATGGGATTTGCATGTGGTTCGTGCTATCGTTGAAAATACAGCCATAGTGGGCTACGTCCAGTCGCGCATGTTTATTACGACCCGTCCAGCCTGGACACGTCAGCAAGTAATGCATATATGCAGGCCTTCTATTTGCAAATCATTGAGTACACCGCATGTTCCACAGTTAGGTGGAATCAGTTGTTGATTTCAAGCACTTCTGGGTGACTGATGATCGCAGCTGTGTACAAGTCATTGTGTTGGCTGGAAACTGCAAGATATGATGATGATTGTGATAATCGGCTAGCAGGAAGATGGTTTGGGCCAGATATTTGGAGTTGTTCTTTGCAGCCGAATGAGTTGCTAGTTGACATTATCGTCATCTTCATGATTCACGTATGTGCTCCCCTATGATGAGGTCACAGTGGACCACTCGCGTATCATGCTGCTTGTTCGTGCTGATTGAGCTTCTTGTATTGTGCCGTAAACGTCTGCACGCAAGTTGACGCTGAGATGTGATGTTGCTGATAGTAAAGTCCACGGTTCGGAATAGCCTTATAAATCATTGACAAATTCGTTTTTCAGCGATTTTTTCTTTTTGAGTTGAGTGAGGCCACGCCTGGTGTTGTCCAATGATGATCAAGCCAACCACATGCACGTATGGCGCCCACAGCCTTAAGAAATCGCACCTGAAGGCAGTAAACTTATTCAATGCCATGATGTTCAACAGTTTGAGACGG